TACTTGCAGACTGTACTTGCAGACTGTACTTGCAGACTGTACTTGCAGACTGTACTTGCAGACTGTACTTGCAGACTGTACTTGCAGACTGCAGCTCAAGGAGTAATCTTCTGGCGGTAAGGATGATGTGAAATGAATGTGTCGAGACAGTCTTGCTGCCTATTGAGTGTGTACTGCCATTCACCTGCGATCTGATCTGTGGTAGGCAGTACCAAGCTAGCAGCAACATTGTATGGACGCAATAGGGTCGGCGATCCACAGCTGCTCCCCTACTCGGGGGTTGTCGGAGTCGAACACATATAGTCCGCTTACGAATCTGCTACAACCGCGAGATGACGCTTCGGTGCTGTGCTTAGACCAGCTTGAGGAACGATCTGTCGGAGCCTTGTATTTCACTGTCAACCAGTAAAGTTGTCACTGTAGCGGATATATCCTGCATAGCTTTCTCGAGCAGATGGCGAATATCAGCAAACCAGCAGCTTCAAACGATAAGATATATCCAAGGTCTTGAGTTTAATCACCAACCGTTAAGGAATTTTTTTTACCGACTAGATCATTCTGAAACGAAAGCGAGTTGGGTTCGGACATGTTGCGTGGGTGGCTCGGTCACCGATACATAGCTTGATAGTTGTTCTGCAGTCGGACGCAAAATTCTTGTCATGGGAAAGGGATCGCAGACCTGAGGGGGGGCGGAGACAATGTGTGGGTAGTGTCTTTTGATAATAGTTTGTTTGTCCGTTCGACATGATCCTACCATGATAGGTAGCGAGATCTTGTGCGTTTTTAGTGCATGCACTCACATCCAATGTCTTGACCAGGACTTCGCGTCTAAAGTCCTCGTTTATGCGTTCAATACTCGAAAGCCGTCCCAAATTCCACCCGTGCTATCTGTTTCTCTTTTGCGTAACCAGGAGCACTAGAGGAGCAGTTGGCATTGATGAGTATATCTCTACCACCCGCGTGGTGATGCCAAAGTTCTAGACCACTGTCATGTTTGGCGTTTATCTTTCAAAACGCCTCGTACATTATGCTTCTTGAGATAAATTCGATGGTAGTGGTAGCATTGAATGTGACGCAGGCCTCTGAGGTCAGTCTTACTCAAAACACAGGACTCATGTACACGGGTCGGACTTAAGGGCGCACATGAAGCAATGGTACAGGAAGACTGAGCTGATTGTTGTTGTTGTTGTTGACGCGTGACTTCGATGAAGTGGATGAAGTTTCATCTCGTGTTATTCGGCGGCCCTCGCGCGGATGAGCGAGAGACCACATCCTGGTCACGATCAACACGTTTTGGCATAGCATGCCAACCTAGAACGTGCCACTGCACGTTCAAGGGATACAATTTTCGTGAAGCATCTGGTAGACCAATTCCATGACAGAAAGACCACAAGAGACCCCGGATTTTCGCCGCACTAGTCGTTGTTTCCAAGGCACTATTGATGCCAATCAGGTTGCCAACCACTAGGTCGGGTCAACCCCGCTTCGCCAGATGAAGTTCCGTGCATGCTTGGGGCCGCATGAAGACGGGTGAGAAGCATCGCTAATCATGTCAACCTCTCCTTGCACATCAAACTACCGTCTGATAGAGTCTACAATGTTGCAATGCCCAATCATCCTCCACTAGCCCATATCGATACCCGTCTAAAGTGAAAGCAAGAGCAGTTTGAGTGAAGGGTAATGGCTGTGGCTGTTCTGAGCAGGAGATGAACCTCCAGTCTGAATGGGATCAAAATCTCAAAGATGGCGCATATCGTACAGACAGCGACACCGACAAACGATGGCGCTTCAAACAATACCACGTATCCGGTGTCTGCGAGGGTGATGAAAAAGAGGGAAACGGATCGAAGATGTCAGCGCATGATTAGAGAGAGGACCAAAAGTAAAATAGCTTATCTTGAGGTGAGATGAATGCTGCCTGTGAAGCCATGGTTAACATGTGATAGGATCTTGTAGAGCAATTCAGACAGCAGGATGCCAGTGGTAGAGTCGAGACATTGATGAGGCAGCTCGAGGACGCGCAGGAGGAACGTGATAGTCTGGCGAAGAAAGTCAAGAATATCGAAAGCATAATTTCAGACAGCAGCAAAGTCAAAGAAGAGCCAGAAGTACGAGAGTCATCCGTGCCTAAACTGAAAGACAACAGTCATCCATCCTCTCCGAGCATCGACGTCCAGCAAACTACAGCGAGTCACTCTCCTGTGGAAGACCTGACCACAGAAAACTTGCAGGAACTACCGTTATATGCTATACATAACAAGGAATACTCTGCATATGTCGATAGTTCTTCCAGATCGTCTTGGTCCGCATCTACACTTCACGCCGATCCAAGTCATCGCTGCGATTGTTCTGCTCATTCCTCTGCTCTCGATCCTACAAAGACACTGAACAAGTGGCGCTATGCCAACGATACTCTTACTGAATGGTTCAAATGGTCACCGCAAGCTCTGGACATGTCGAAATACCTTGCATACAACGACGACATTCCTGTACGTGCAATGGTTGAAGGCTGGGATGCGGTCGAGAAGCACGGCCACATGCATCCCGCTTGGCGTCTGCTCCGAGGTATTGATGAGACTCTTTTCAAAACTTGCGAGCCTCGAGAGAGACTAGCCATACTCACAGTAATGGGTCTGCTTCTGCAAGCGCACTTGAATCCGACGACAGAACAGCACAAGAAGCTACCGGCTTTTTACATAAAACGCCCTTCGCAGGACATGTTGCATTCGTACGCCACTGAGTACTTCGCCTGGCCAGGTCTTCGTGAGCGCTTTGTTTTCTCCGAGCATCGATATTGCTCAAACAGCTTTTGGAGTAATTTCTGCAGCAGTTTACGCATTCAATGGCCATACGAGTTTCGCGACTGTTATACTCGCAACACAGAGACAGGCCTATACAAGATTTCTCCGACGTTTCAAGAACGTGTTACAAACATACGAGCCTGGACCATGAGCATGGGCATGTTCAAACAATATCCGGAGCTCTATGCTGATATACCAGCATGTGACCATATTCCGGCGTCACTCGCACCACCATCTAGCAGAAAATCGTCACGAACTATTCTGACTATAACACCAGCCATAGCCGATTCCGACGAAGATCATTCAGAAACACAACCAACCCATCCAGAAGGCGGCAGAATGCAAATCTCGGACTTGGCTCGACAAGGCCAAGTCACACAGCCTGGGCCAGGGATATATATGGCTCCATCATCCGTTTCACCTTTTGACCCCATCACAGCTTCTTTACCAAATTATGCTTACTCCTCAACTGACGTTGCGACACCTGTTACTGGATTTCAGCACATGCCAGCAACGCAGCACTGGAACTATATGAACAATCTCGACATGTTTCAATTAAACCCAGCCTGAAGTTCGACTTAACGTGCTAAGGAGTAATCCATGCCTGCCTCATCTGTTGCGCTAAGGAGATCAGAATACAGGTTGAGTTCACTCCATTATCCTGCGATACAGCATTGACCTTCACCCAATACTCGAAAAAAAAAGACGGCGTTAGAAATGAGATCCTGACTGAGCTTTAAATATATTGGGGATGTAGAGGACACCAGAGTATACAAGTAGATGTGCATTTAAGTCGACAGATCTCAGTCATCTCTCAGAGTGGCGCTTAGCTACACATTATTGATGACATGGCACATCAATCTCGAGACTGGAGGCTCGGAGTGGAATACGACGATACGATCTCTTGACAACAAAGGCGCTGATCTATTACTCCTGGACTGGCCCCATTGGAGCTGTAAGACAGCGCAATGCTATTGCAGTTTGTTAACGAGGAGATATTGAATTCAAGTTGCACCTCGTGGACGATGATGTGGCCATGTTCAGGCGGGTGCACCCTCGGTTGTTCTAGGCGTTATGGGCAGGGCATCATCTGAATGATTCGGGGCGGGAAGGAGAGCCCGCAAAAGATATCTAGCGGCATCATTTGACAAATACTAGTCTTTTTATGACCGGTGGTTGCAATTATTGCAGCACTTTCATAACTGATCATCGTCGTCCAGAGCAGGTGCTCCGCGACCGTGCTGCAAGGGGCGTTTGGGCACATTTACACGTTCTGTTATCGGCTTGCCTTTGCCAATACTCTGGTTCTTCCCGTTCTGCTTCTCCTCGACTTTGTTATCACCGCCGTCGCCATCATCATCTTCGTCCTGCTCTTCATCTCCACTTACCGACACATCTTCAGCTTCACTACCAAGCTCTTCACCAACCAGATTGCGTCCCTTTCCCTCAGTATACTCTTCTTCTTCACTATCATATCCACTTCCAGAGTCGTCCTCTTCAGCATCTGGATCATAATCCTCTTCTAGTTCATCTTCCTCATCCTCGATCTCAGCTTGAGCCTTTTCCAACTCGGTTGCTTCACCGTCACCTCCCTGTCCGTTAGAGTCAGTGGCTTTAACAGCCTTCCCAGTCTTCTTGGCGCGTCTGGCTTCAGCTAAGCTTGCGTCTTGAAGTTGATGCCGCTTCACATATTCGTCGATACCGGCAAAATCTGCTTGGTCCAGCATAGAGAATTCGATTTCTTGCGTTTCGGCGTCCGGACTTGGTCGTATCGTGACGTTCAAGTTGAACGTGCGTTGTAGCACGGAAGTGTAGGATATTGATTCTATCTCGTTGAATGTGAAAAAGGTCAAGGGCTTCTTGAAGCCAAAGAATATGCCATCTTCGAGCAGAAATAGGTAGCCTATATGATTAGAGTGAATAGTGTATGAGGATCAGAAAACTCTACCTTCTTTGCTTCCTCGGAATGCCTTTATGTGATATGCTATATCATTTTTGCGGTGCGATTCGCGAAGAGCGCTCGCAAATTCCTTCTCAGTGGGTAGTACCAACTTCACATCTGTCCCTTGAAAGGCTAGATTCAGTGCATTCTCAAGGACATCTTCTGGACCAGGTGCTATGGATTTCAGCTCGTCACTTTCGATCTTGTAAGACTTCAAAGGTCCATGGTTGACAGTCCATATTATTGGCTCTACCGATACCTCCTTGCCGCTTACAGGTAACAAACAAAAGTTGTACTGCTTCTGATTCTTTTCAGGCACTGGTAGCCGAAGTGCATGTGCGTACGAGCTGAAGGGGTATTTGCTCTCGACTTGATTCGTGCCTGGATTTCGTAGCTGGATCGCGAAACTGCGGTCTGCTTGCGAACCGTATTCGACCAATCCGAGATGAAGTTTCTTTCGCTGAGGTAGAGAAAACGAGATGTCTCGTGCTTCTAGTACGAGCTTTCCTTGTCCTGTCTGCTCATAAGGTTGGTTCTGCGTGTCGTTGCCGTCTTCGTCGATCCGACGCTTTTTGTTTGGTGGTTCACCCGTCCCATTCAGGACATTGTTCCCACCTTTATGCGGCATACTGTCGATTTTTTGGGTGAGGATAAAAGAGCCGATATCTTCGAAGAGTTGGATCTGTCGTGGATGCTCCTCTGAATACTCAATCAGTTTAGAAGGAGGATATGGTGTTATCTCCTACTTATGGCATTATATATCCTATTCCTGAGTGATAGATTGTCTGCAAAAGCCTGATCCACTGTCGCAACAGGACCAGCCATTGCCGTGAGGTTGAATTATTAAGCTCACTGGTGGCAACGTAGAAAGCTAGATGATAGTACCGCAGTAAATTTGCCCAAGACACTCGGGACGTGTTTGAGATCTCTACTCGTAACGTGTTCGCGTTGACCTACGTCATCTGCGAATTACTGGACAGGACTGTGGTTACTTAGGGAAGTTGCTCCTGTGGGCTGTATAGCCCGCAATCGTCAATCTCAAAAGTAATATTCCTAAAGCCAGACCTATGTACAGCCAGTAGAGGTTGATATGTCTGCCACTTCGCTACGATGAACATCGCCATAGCTACAAGATTGGGACCGCATGCCACATGGCCGGAGACTGGGATCTGCTTACAATCTACACTTTGTGGTCGGTTATCTAAGAATGGTTGCGTTAAAACATGTATCTTGAATCATCAAAGTGTGACCCAAAAGAACAAGATACTTTAGTAATAGTTAATTCTGGTCTTTCGGTTATTGTTAATGAAGTGCGATGCCACTCGAACTCAACTCGGCGCAGCAAGAACGTGGCAGAGCACGGATCTCCACAGATGTCCCTGTGGGAAATTGGGTTATGCTCATTTAAAGAACTCATAGTTTGACCAACGCCAAAAGCGCAACAACAACAGTCCATCCAGCCTTTTGAGCATGCGATAACGAAGCTTCCACAAACGTCTAGATCTGCAATCACTAGCTACCACCCAGGCAGTATGCAGTCTTATACATGAATACATGCGATACGGCTTCTGAAACGCCTGGCTACAAGTTTTAGCCCGACTTCTGTATTGCCGCGTACTAAGTTAAGGTTAAGGCTTAGCATGAGATCATCCACTCGTAACGCGGGCCGCCCCCCTCCACTCCTTCCAGATTCACGAGGGCACGAGGCAGTGGTCCAGCTTGCCTGACTGATCCATATTTGTTACAAGGTCGATCCACGGTCGCCTTGCCGAATACGGCCTAAGGCTGGGCTTTCAGTGAAGTTGATACAACGCGGCGGCTTGTGTCAACTTGTCGAAGCTTGATCGTGGCTCGCTAGTTCGACACCCAACTGAGCCAGACAAAAGTGGTGTGTTTGCGCTCCCGGCATGCGGTGGGTTGCTTCGCGATGTCTGACTTCCTACATTGAAGACAGCAGTATCATGCGACTCAAGTTGTGAATTGCTTTGCGATACCTGTCACTCGTTAGATCTATACTAACCATTAGCTCTGGCTGTGTTACCACCCCTTAACGTTACTAGCTAATCGAGCAGTATTGCAAATCGTCCCCTCGAGGAGTTCTTCCTCCACCATGGCGCTCTGGCGCATTCTGTGGTCAGCGATCATCACTATTTCGACTCTTCAGATCGGCATCTTAGCGCAGACATGCGACACAACAGTACAAAGTCCGATAGTCTTCCCAGTAAGAAATGTTACAGTGGAAGGTAACCGCATGCGACGTGGAATGAGATTTTCATACGGCACTCCAGAACAAAATGTTGCAGTAGCTATTTCTGCGTAAGTTCTTGAAAGTAAGAACGAACGATTGAGCCACTGACCATTATACAGAGGCTGGAACGAGACTTACATATACGACGAGAATGGCCAATGTTCAGGTCTAGCATCTGCAGCATGCACTGTCGGAAGAGGTGGTGCATTCAACGAAGGCTCATCATCGACATGGACCGGCCTGTCTAGCATATCCGCCCTCAACTCAAAAGACAATGTTGCAAATAATGCGGGTAGTAATGGGCTGGCTGGAAGAGACAAACTCACGATAAACTCCTCGCTATCGTTTGACCAGTTTTCTATAGCAATTCCAAGGAAGTCTGGTCCCGACTACTCTACACTCGGTTTGGGTCCCTCGTCGCGAATCCTAGACATCGCAAAGAACGCCAGCACCATCGCATCGAGGTCGTGGTCCTTGTTTTGGGGACAGACAGGATTGACAGATGCGCATACCAATAATGGTGCAGTGGTCCTTGGCGGTGTCGACGAGACTCAAACAACAGGCAATAACTTTACGGGAGCCATTAGACCGTCAGTGTATTCGAGCTGTCGCTCCGGAATGATTGTTGAGGTTACAGACATGGTCGTGTCAGTTCCAGGAGGATCTAGTGGTAGTTTATTGTCCGGGGGTGTACAGGGTCAAGGAGTCAACTACTGTTTGGAGCCAGAGTTTCCCATCATCACCATGCTCCTAGATCATTGGAATGAATGGGAAGACATCGACCCTGATGCCGAGACAAGTGGAAATGCGGTCGACCGAGCTGGAGGTGGCCCGAACGTATGGGGACTTATCTACCCTAAACAAAACATGTTAGTACATCTCCACCTACCAGAGAGTTTTCTCACTAACGTTCTCAACAATAGCACGAAGGCCAGTCTCACGATTACAATTGCTGGTGGCCTCGAGATTACTATCCCGAACCATCAGCTTGTTCAGGCTTATTACACCTTTAATGAGGACGGCCAGATGGCAGTGAACAATACTGTCTCGGAACTGATGATCAACCCACTCCAAGCCGGCAAGTAAGTTTTGACCTGCGCATACCTGTCACGACACATTGATACTGACTTAACTCTACAGCGCTAATGACATTCCCAAACTCGGCATGACCTTCTTCCAAGCGGCATATCTCCACGTCAATTACGACAAAAATCAATATACCCTGTGGGAAGCAGCAAATCCAACAGGTCAAAACAGCAAGTTTGCAGGGGTCGGAGAGTCGAGCGTCGGCTGTGCAACACCGTCTAATAGCACTTCATCGCCCAACAATGGGACAACCTCCGGAGGATCTTCCAGCAACAACAACAACAATAACAGTAACAACGACACAGGTATATCTGGTGGAGCAATAGGTGGCATCGTCGCTGGCGTGGTCGTCGGTATACTCGCGCTTGCTGGTCTCGCATTTTTCTTCTGGCGCAGGAAGAAACAAGCGAGAACAGGTCCACCTTCCGAGACGGCAACGCCTTTATACGATATGAACGCAACACAGGAAAAGCCCGAGTTGATGGGGAGTTACACGGGTCATAGTTCATCCGGTTCCTACACCGGGAAGCCTGAGCTGGCGAGCAATGCTACTGCGCAACCAGTACCGAACTGGATGCAACCGCAGGAGGTCCCCGCGAATGCGGTACACCGGCCAACTGTGGAACCGCAGGAACTGCCTAGCCAGCGGTACGATTGAGTACAATGACTCTGCACGTTATGTTTTCCTGCCTCTGCATAGCAGGGCCAATGGTACAATGGTAAAATGTGAGTGTCCAAGCGAAGACAATGAAGCAAAAACAAAACTGTTGTTGAGGTATACAAGCCTAGAAAAACTTCAGATTTTCAAACAAGCCATTTGCCTGGCACGATCCTGGTACCTAGCCAGAATATCCGTCGACTCAACCTGTGACTGTGCTCCGAAAGCAAAATGAGCCGCAAGCGCACGAGTCTCAACACCAACTCGTTTTCCCTGCTGTCCTGGCAGCGTCACAGTCAGCCACTCCTCATCATCAAAAGCATCGTCGGGCATATTGTCCAGGATGTCATTGCTAAAAATTGCTATGACGTTGACCGACAAGCGGTCCGGTTGAGTGAACCAGACCTCTTCGTCGAGGTTACTGAAATACAATGATGTGTTGCCATGGTATAGGTTTTCGAGGAGTGAGAGATGCGATTGTGCTGCGATCCTCCAGGATGACCAGCTTGAACCCCAGGAATTGTACTCGATGCCCTGTGCTGGAGTTTTATTCAGGTTCTCTTCGGGGAGACGCAACCAGACTGGAAAAGAGCTGTTGGAGGAGTCATCATCGTGCAAGGTGTAATTGCTTGGCCCCTCCCAAATAGGGTACTGATTATACTGCCAACTCGTTCGTCCAGAGGCTTTGCCTTTCGTCAAACGTGCTAATACCTTTTTGGGAGTAGATGTGGCATGAGCTGGGAGGTATGGATGATAGGCTCCGGCATCGAGGTGCACCTTGCTCATCAACGGCGAATTTATGACACTGGCCGAGACGACCAAATAGTCGTCCTGGTTGAATTTACGACTTACCATGCGAGGGATCGCATCATCAGCCAGCCATACGACATCGTCGTCGATCTTGACGTAAATAGTGTCCCTCTGCAGCTGCCTCCAAGCTGCCTTATACCTATCGTTGACTTCCGATGCGAGAGTACTGTTAATATCGATAATCTTGTACCTTGAATGTTTCCTCAGCAGCTCATCCAGATACGCCAAATCGGTCGCGTTCTCAGTATTGCGCACGAAATGGACCTCATCAAGCCAGCCTCCTTGTTCGACAAGATTACGCTCGAGGTAACAGTTGAGTATCCGTACTCGATCTGCTCGACCATAGAAGACCAGACCAAATACTGATTGATCCACTGGTTTTGTAAGATTTGCTTCGATCCTGTAGGCGAGTGGATGAGTTGTCGTGTGCACAGAAAGTGGCATCATGTATTGCGAGTGTAATGTGATCCATGTCAGCCAGCATGCAACAAGTGCGAGGGTCGTAAGCTGGCACAATCGCGATCGGCGTGACTGCAGTAGCCATATCGAAACCTGCATGTCGAGCCTATTTCTGGACCAAGCTCAATCATGCAATGAGGTTGCTGCTACGCATTGGACTATGACTTGTCGTGCATGGTTGAAGTATAACAGTTTTCAGTTGACGCATCTCTGAACATGTTGAAGATGAGATGAGATGGCCATGGATAGGGAGAACTAATCAGTATAGTGTAGCAAGTGAAGATTGAGCTTTACTTTGCCAGTGTAGTAAATCACATGCATCGCGCAGCTGCTAGCTTGGACTAATGTCGATGGTTGCTGCACTGCCTGTTAGGCTCCTCCACCAGCTGTTAGTATCTTTGGTAATGCTGTACGTACACAAACTTCGGCTCTATGCATCGAGTATTTTAAAGAAACCGAACATTCCGCCGTGACATCTATCAGGCGGGACATTTTAACAGCGTCAAAGCGAGGAAACACGAGCTTCGGAATCCTTTTCGAATCCGGTGTAGCAAGCTTTGGCTAAGCTACTAGTCTAGATGACCAAACCTTAATTGTTTCGGGCAGCAACGAAAGAAATCAAACCACGTGGGAAAGCAAGCAAGCCCAGCGAAATAGGAGAGGCTGACGAACAGCATACTGGTACACTGGCGCACTGCCTACAGTGTCAAAGAAACAACCAGACTCTGCCACCACTCCCGATCGCTAAGACTATCCAAGTCAATATGCGAGTAACACCGATGTCGTTCGTACAGCGACAACCACCACGGATTGCCACTACTCAGCGAAAGTAGGGCGATCCCGACAACTCTGAAGGCATACTATTTCGTTGGTGATCTGCAGCAGACATTTCCTCAACTCGCCTCGTATTCGGTTGTGTCTGTTTTGTGGTATCCTCGCGATATGCAGGCGGCTGAGGCTGGTGAGACACATACACATGCGCTGCCTGCTTTTGATGCTTGCGCTTACTGTTACGGTGAAGCAAGAACGCAATCAACCCCAAGACGGCAATGAGAGGAATGCCGATGCCGACCGCAACACCGATAGCTCTTTTGGTCCCACTGCTTAGACCCGAAGGCGCTTCGGTAGATGTCGCTGCAGGTGCAGATGAGGTCGTGCTCGTAGTCACCGGGTTTGCAGCCGCAGTCGATGAGGTTGTGGATAATACAGAGCTGGTCGACGGTATAGAGCTTACAGATGACAGAGAGTTTGCGGACGCTGTAGAAATTGTGCTGGCTGCGCTGGAAGTGGCTGCGCTGGAAGTAGCTGTACTGGATGTGGTTGCTGAAGCAGGCATCAGACTCTCAGGCAGGATATTGAGATAATGAGAGTATCCGATTCTGGTATAATCACTCGTTGACATGATCATGTAGTATACAGGATTCGCTTTGTTGTAGGTAAAGTTGTATGTTTGTACCTGCCAATCGAAGGATAATCCGTTGTTACCGCCTGTCAAGAGATTAGCAAGTCAAAAAAATTTGATTTGGGGCAGGATGTGCATACTCCTGATGATTGAACACCCCGTTTTGGCCAGATTGAAGGCTTCACACAACATGTCATCTCCATCTTTAATAAGCCATAGTATGCTGTTAGGTTCTGGGTTGGTTGTCCATTGCAGTGTATAAGTGTCGTCCAGAGCGAAGTTCGGTAAGTTCGAGTAGTCGCCAACTGCACCAAAGGGTGGTGGTACTATCCACTGGAATTGCGACATGCTGCGACGTTTCTGGAACTGCGACGAGGTGTAGTGTTACCAGTATTCTCGGAGCTGTACCACCTCAATGAAGCCCGAACAGATCTGAAATGACCTGCTAGATTGTGGTAGAAAGCTTGGACACAAGAAATGCAACAAGGCAGAGTGTGGCACCTTAATCAGGCGGTTATAGTTATCCTAGAACCACCTTGACTGGAGGGTAGTCATTCGTGCGCGTGGTACTAGTAGCAAGTTCAGAGATCAATCAGCCTAGTCTGCACCAGATCCCTCATCCTGGCTTATATTGGCGAGGGATATAGGACCGCCGATTCGATGGTGGCATAGCTAGCTCGATTTCCTATACGAGGGCAGGTTCGAGATTGACGTGGCTTCCTGGGGCCGAGTAAATGGTACTTCAGGATGCACTGTTCGGCTGATACATCGGCAGACTGGTCAGACAACTCGAGTGGTTCTACCAGCACATTTATATCGTCCTAGCAGGATGCGGCCCAAAAGTAGACTCTTCCAATTTGGCGTTGATGACCTCGATGCCGAATGTTTGTGAACGACATATCTGGGAGCTCTCGCAGTCAGGCTGCAAGCGACTTTTGCAAGCTAGATAGGATAGTGCCAAAGTATCAGCGTGTCTTGTTATCCTAGTCACCACAACATGTGCGTGCAGCTGAGATGGACATAGCGCTACGCCTGTTTAGGGTCAACGAAAAGCCCAGATTAATTATGTTGATCGTCAAGAAAGGCTGAGGCCGAAGAGTCTGGAAAGAGTTCTGGCACCCAGCTGAATTCCTCAGACAAACCAGCCGACCTGTTACTCCTAAATGCCTATAGTGTGTCGAAGTTCAGGCTGCGGTCCATGTTGTAGTGAAAAATGTATTGCTGTGATTCGATCATATTGTGTCGAGGTGCAAGTACAAGAACATTGAGGTCGAGGTGAAAGTCTAAAAGCTGGTCCAGATTTAGCGCGGTCAATTTACTCCGTAGTGCACGATATTCCGATGCCGCTCCGGGGGCCAGAATCCGCTAATTAGGAGCCATCTGACTTAAGCTCTGCCTTGTCCCGAAACGTGGTGCCTCTTTCGTTGTGCCTAGCGGGTTGTATGGCGAGCCGCCTGCTCCAGCAGATTCAGTACAGCAACCATGAATCAGTAGAGTATGTCCATTGATCTGCATCGTTCAGCGACCCTCTCCTCTCGATATTGATACATGGGTCTGAGTATACCAGCAAGCATGCGACGAAAAGGTGTTCTGGCAGCAGCAGCTTTTCTGTCGTCGGCGCTGTTCCTACTTGGACTTTGGCATACCTCAACCACTCCATGGACATCTCAGCGTGTCAACACCGAGGCCATTGGCAGCCCATGGATCGAAAAAGGTGCCAAGGCAGGGGACAAGGCAATCGTGGTTGCCAAAATGAAGAACGAAAACGTAGACTGGGTTCTTGACAGTCTTCCAGAGTGAGCAACCATTAGGTCTGCTTCCATCTGTCAATACTAACCTCGTGTACAGATGGCAACATGCTATCTACCACATGGACGAACCCGACTACGTCTTGCATGTTCCTGAAAACAAAGGACGCGAAGCCCAAGCCTATTTGACCTTCCTGATCGACCACTACCATAATCTTCCGGAGATCACTGTCTTCCTTCATCCCCATCTCAAAGGTTGGCCCGAAGCATGGCACACCGATGCTGCTGACTACAACAACGTAAACTCAGTCAACGGGTTGCGTCTCGAATACGTACGGGAGCACGGGTATGCCAATATGCGATGTATCCACGATCCGGGTTGTCCTGCTGAGATTCAGCCCTTTCGAGAGGATCCTTCCCGTACTGCCGAAATCGCTTTTAAGGATGCCTGGATGTATTTCTTTCAAACCAACCTATCGAGTGTCCCGGAAAAGGTGGGCACCCCATGCTGCTCTCAGTTCGCAGTTTCAAGAGACCAAGTGCTGAAGCGTCCACTGAGTGACTATCTACGATACCGAAGGTGGTTGCTAGAGACGACCCTGACTAGCGACGTTTCAGGAAGAGTCATGGAGTATATGTGGCACATCATGTTTGGCAAGGATCCTATCTGGTGTCCAAGCTTGCACACTTGCTGGTGTGAGCAATTCGGCCGCTGTTAGTCACATCGTGCCTTCTCAGAAAGCATTACAGAGAATATTCTCCTTTTTGCCGATCTGCCAATGTGCGTGGCCTGATACCGCAAGAGCTGAGCAGGGTCGATTTGAAGCTAGTACCCAAGCCAGCTGATAGATCCACCAGCGGGAAGCACGATATAGCAGGTCAAACGGGAGACACAGCAGTACGCCGTTGCAGCAAGGTCACCTGTGTCACGACCTTCATGTCCTTCCAAGCCACGCTAAGAGCATCTTCGTGGCATGGTGACTAGGGCTGAAAGCTCCTGCTTCCAGCACTTGCGTCTCGATCATACTTCTGCCCAGCGGCGTTGGGACCTCAGCAAGCTTGAACATTTGACAGTCATTACCATTTCAGCATCACTCTGACGATTACGACCTGCAAACGTATAGCTATCCTCAACAGACTTACAAAAAGACAAACTTTCTGAAAGGCAAGCGCTACCCATTGCTTGATCCTGGATCAACCACACATGACGAGTACTAAAGATGAGAACGGTCCGCTTCGCCTAACAGCACTCGCGTGGATCAGTGACCTAGAAGTACCTGCGATGTGGGGACTACAGAAACTTTTAAGTTGAAGTCCAGAGAGTTCGTGCCGCAAGATTCGAGGAAGCAGTCGCCGATCTTGATCAGTCATGCGAACCAGCTATCTGTACTGGCAAGCGTATTCCAAGATTACCCTCTTCGCTCCTGCATATGACCGCATTCATCCTGGATACATGTGGTGGAGTCAGATCGAGCTCGTCAATGCTTGAATGCTCGGACGACTTTACAAGGGTCGTGATGGCCTCTTACGGGCGAACGGTGCTGTTTCTAAGGCTTATTTTGACGTGTCCATCGCACGAGTTTATGATACATTGGACGCAGCAGACAGTCAGCGGTTGGATACAACGCCACAATGCCACGAACAGCAAAGGTGACGACAAACGTTAGTAGCAATTCCAGTATCGTCGCATGCCTTTGTGAGTTTGTCCAAGACCTAATCCAGACTGAAATATCTGAAGAATTGCTCTCATCAAAACAAATACTGTTCTTCTTATTTGTGACCCTGGATCTTGAAGACGCGCCGAAATTACTGTCACTCAAATGGCCTTTGAGAAGACACGTGCTGCCATCTACGCACAAGAACGTCGAGACAATGAAATACAAGCTCGAGAAGAGTTGCAAACTCGTCTTGTGCCTTCACCTCTAACAGATATCGTGGAGGCGCGAGGCGACTTCAACCTCACCACGAAGATACTCGGCGTTGCCCTTTTGCAGATTGACCCTTCTGCGCACCTTCCACAGCATGTGCTTCCTCCCGAGTATAGCACTAGGTCAAGAGAATATAACCAGCTTCGACGGCTGAATGAGAACGATGTACGGCGCGCAATTAAGCACAAAATTCCGGCGCACATCCTTCAGGAAGACTTTATGCAGCAGAGCAATTTTAATCAGACTACGAAGGTTATCGTCGCCATTGCTAAATATCTCGATGAGCTCAAGGCCATAGAGAATACATTGATGAAGGAGGAACAAAGTCCAGCATGCGACGACTCGACACACAATGGTGAAAGCGCTATCAAGGCAGGTTGCATAGTTTTGCAAGTCACTATGACCTTCACTAACATGGCTGAATCTAGCTCGAAGGTACGTTGCCTGTTATTAGACCTCCTATGTTTCAGCGCTCCAGTGAGACGAGTTTCTTTCAGTCGTCACCAGATCGAGTTCCTATTATACTCCACAAACGGACCCGGGACGAATTCGAATCTGCACAAGTTACCCATTTTGATCGTCTGCTCAACCTGGATCTCAAGCCACCGCCACTCAAAGCGTTCACCGAACCTATAAGCATGCCTGCTTCAACTCCAGGCGCAGTAGAAGTCAAAAACAACGACGCACAACGCCCCTGGTTAGAGCAGCACGATAAAGCTGAGTGGGAAGATCAACGAACTGACCTTCATCCGATCTCTGAGATCCGTCTACTTGAGCAAGCTGCGAAACGTCTTATCGCAAAGGCGAAAGAGATGCTTGAACCCGTTCCGGACGACGTGGAATATGACAACGAGACGGCGCAGCCGCGGACGATAATGAGGAAAGGCTACCTGGCAAGGAGGGCGGACCTGTCCCCGGAACAAATGGAGGACCTTGCTTGGATCCATGATCTGCTTGTGGATGCTTGTGCTGTTGTCGAAGGTACTGGCGAAAGCAGAAAGATAGTGAGGAAGTGGGAGCGAAGTAGGAGGGATTGGGGCAAGTTTGAGCTGCTGCAGGATGAGCTGTCGTCGAAATCGTGAGCTGACGTCCATGGCTGCTGTACTACTGGCGTGTTAGCTAGTGGTATTGTGACCTGATCAGGAGTGAGCTCGCTTAGACAGTGGTTGACTGGTGCACTTTTCACAACTCTAAAGTGCTGGTGCTTGAGGAGCTTATTCATCACGTCATCATGAGCTTGCAGATAACAATCATTTCCTTTCCTTCGTGATTATCTTCTACCTTGCAGGACCCTCGTTCCATGCTTCCGTATTACCTCTTCCATAGTACTTCTCACTTGTGCACAGCCGTCAAGACCTATGTGCAACATGATGTCTAGCGGATTGTTCGTCTCACTCATCTGTACTCTAGTTTCCAACATCAAAACACTAATCTTGTCCTCTGATTCGGCCTCACCTCGCACTGTTGCCAAGTTGAGAAATGGCAGTTCTTGTTCTTCCGCATTGTTCAAGTCCAGTAAAGGCTCAGGCCGTAATAAACTGTTGTCAGTAGGTATTATTGTTCCACTCGAGATTGCTGCGAGTATACTTGGCATAGGCACACCAGCATCTACTAGAGCGATACTGGCTGCATTAAGACACGCTGCTAGGAGACCACCATCCAACGACAAGACTGTGAGCGAGATCAGAATGCTAGATCGTGGATATAGATGCGTGAAAAGATGGCTCTGAAATGCTTGGGATATGGTCGTTTGTATCTCCTGTGTTCGCTTGTCCGTACGACCTGCTCGGCGGCGGTCGAGCTGAGCGAAAGGTGCGATGTTGATTTCTGTTTCGACAAGAGCGTTGTTGCGGTCACCTTGACCACGTCTATCGGGCTTAGTGGGCACTCAATCTGCATTTGATACAATATATCGACTCACCCTTCTCGAGGTCCAGTAATTGTGCATACTACTGAAGTATTGCCCATGGTCACGAGGCTACTCCCATCTGAAGACGGCTGTGTAGATATGGAGGCTGAAAGTTTGCGCAATTCGTTCCATCGTCGACCATCTTGGCGAAGTAGTGTTGATGCATATGTCGAACTCGTATCGAGAGGCATTGTGATGGTTCTCTTTCCGATTATTGACTGCGAGATCACCGTGAAGCTTGGCCCGAGCTCAACTATACTCCCGATGCAGGCTGAGTTCCGTGTGGGGGTTCTGTATAAAGGTGTCGCAAAGTGACAAGGTTGGCATACACGTTTTCGTTGGTAGCTCCTTCTATATGCATGCACTTTACTTTCGCGCCGCGTGACGTCGTACCTGTCATTTCCAGTCGCGTACTTTCACTTTGCTGCTTCCTTCGAGAAACGTTTAATTACACCTCTCGGAGCACCACAGATATGTCTTCAACCGAAGAGCTGGACGACCTGGATACAAGCAGGAAGCAGATCAAACCATCCTCCAGACGAAACACAGGATTCAACTCTTCATCCTCTTTCTCTTTTAGCGATGCTACTAATCTTGAGCCGTACGGTGATCAGGATCGCCCCCGTAAGAAAGTCAAGCGCATCTCTGAAGGAGCAACAAGGGTACAGTGGTCCGAAGACGAAGAAGAAAATCCCGGTACAGTAGCCTACAACAACTTCAAAGCGAAGCCTAGCGTGACACGAAAAAAAGCTCTTGCTGCTACCAAGAAGGCCAAGGCAATCGAGGCCGAGAACGATCCAAAGTCCAGGAAGAAGGATGAAGGAACCACTGGTGTAGGCAAACAGGCTTCAAAGAAGAGAAGTTCGAAGGGACGTCCAGAGGCTACATATGGCGTCGTTCCTTCTGAAGAGGAAGGCCTAGACCATACCATGCCTGACTATATTCAGGAGCGACGCAAACACTTCGATGAGAGAGCCGAGAGGCTAAAGGAATCAGGTCTACAGCTTCCACCCAGCTATGCCGATATATACTTCTCCGATGATGAACGCATCAAAATATTGAAAGAGAGACCGGACCTGCCGAAAATCACGCCACCAGCACCATACAAGGACATCGAGCTCCCATATTCCCTAGGTATCGTACCTGCTCCAATCGCGCAATACTTGAGAGACTACCAGGTCAAGGGTGCTGCCTTTCTTCATGAACTATTTGTTTACCAGAAAGGAGGAATCTTGGGGGATGATATGGGTCTTGGCAAGACCATCCAAGTCATAGCCTTTCTAACTGCAGCCTATGGCAAGAGTGGTGATGAGCGAGACAAGAAAAGAATGCGGAAGATGCACAGGAGGCATCTGTGGTATCCTAGAACTCTCATAATTTGTCCTGGTTCGTTAATGGCAAACTGGCAAGATGAGCTCAATCGCTGGGGATGGTGGGAGTCAGAACTATTTCACGGTGATAAAGCTAGACGCGAAGTCGTGCTACAGCAAGCGAAAGCTGGCATGCTTGAGATCATGATCACCACCTACACCACATATCGCCTATACCATGAACAAATCAACACAGTGCCATGGGATTGTGTTATTGCGGACGAGTGCCATACCGTCAAGGAAAGACGAGCCACAGTCACCAAAGCTATGAATGAGGTCAACTCACTCTGTCGCATTGGATTGACTGGAACAGCCATCCAGAACAAATATGAAGAATTGTGGACCATACTGAACTGGTCCTCTCCTGGCAGATTTGGTCCCGTTTCACAGTGGAAACACACTATTAGTGAGCCTCTCAAATTGGGCCAAAGCCATAGTGCCACAATATATGAGCTTGCACGTTCACGAAAGGTAGCTAAGCAGCTGGTCAATAACCTCTTACCTCAATTCTTCTTACGGAGGATGAAGACACTCATCAAAGATCAATTACCTAAAAAGACAGACCGTGTCGTATTCTGCCCGTTGACGTCTATACAGGCCGAAGCCTACCAGAATTTTCTCGACAGTGGTTACGTGCAAACCATTAAGGACAGCAGCGAAATGTGTGATTGCAACAGTGGAAAGAAGGCAGGATGGTGCTGCCATGGCGCACTCGAAAATGGCGACAAATGGCAAGAATGGGTGTTCCCATGTATAGCCTACCTTCAACGTCTCTCGAATCATCTTGCACTCCTGATTCCCTCAAGCACAGATGAGAAGAAAAAGCAATCCAAGGATACAGAACTGTTACAGACCGCCATGCCTGACCAGTGGGAAGAACTTGTCGCGACACGAGACAATATACTCAACTACAGCAATCCCGAGTTCTGTGGGAAATGGCGTGTCTTGAAGAAACTTCTCAAATTTTGGCACGAACAGGGCGACAATAAGGTGCTAGTGTTCAGTCATAGCGTTCGCTTGTTGAAAATGTTGCAGGCTCTGTTCATACACACTGACTACAATGTTTCCTACTTGGACGGAAGCATGAGTTACGAAGATCGATATGCAGCAGTGAAGGACTTCAACACGGATTCTACTCAGTTCGTTTTCTTAATCAGTACCAGGGCGGGCGGTGTTGGCCTTAATATTACAAGCGCGAACAAGGTTGTAGTTGTTGACCCGAACTGGAATCCGAGCTACGATCTTCAAGCACAAGATCGTGCCTACAGGATTGGTCAGACTAGAGATGTCGAAGTCTTCAGACTTGTGAGTCAAGGAACGCTTGAAGAGATCGTATATGCACGACAGGTCTACAAGCAACAAATGTCCAATGTCGGGCTAGCTGCCACCTCGGAACGTCGTTACTTTACCGGAGTTCAAGACCGACCAAGTCAGAAGGGTGAGATCTTTGGCCTGCATAATCTTTTTGCTTTTCAAGACGAGAACGTCGTCTTGAGGGACATTGTTCACCGAACAAACGTTGCCGAATCCAAAGCTGATCTTCAAATCGCTGATCTTGACATCGAGCACGAAGACGCAAGCGAACCGAGCGATGAGGATAGTAGTGGCGATGATGCGCTAGCTTCAGGAAAGAAATCTAATTCACAAATCAGTGGCAAAGGTAAAGAAGATGCTGCGATGAGCCAACTCGCTGCCGAGATTGTTGGTGAAGTGAATAGCCGGTCACGAAATGGAGCGCCTAATACGGCCAGCTCCTTCACCACGACAACTCCACGTCACGATCCGGTTCAAGCTATCCTAAAGTCAGCAGGCGTCAGCTATACTCATGAAAATAGTGAGGTAATTGGCTCGAGTCGAGTGGAAGCAGCACTCTCTAAGCGAGCAGCTGAAGCTTCTGGTACTCAGCAAGAGTCTCAAGTCTTCAAGAACATTTCACAGAACCATAGTGGCGAGCTTGGTGAATATCTGACCACAAAAGGTGAGATTCGCTATCGCTATCGCCCACCAGAGGACGTACAAAGGAGACAATTCTGCGCTATGGCGCAATGGGCGGGATACGGGACTGACGAGGCTGCAGTCATTGAGTTCGCTTTGGTTGTTGAGAGCTGGACTCAGGCTGAAAGAAGAGCGTTTCTCGATAAATGGTATAGGTGGAGGCGAGAGTGCTTGATCAATGACGTGAAAGGATTGTACGTAAAGAAGGATCCTGATGTGAAGTCAGAATTCAAGAACGATCCGGATATGAAAGTTGAGCACACCCAGGACGAAGACGCCAAGACTGAGTGCAAGGTTGAAGATATCAAGATCAAATCTGAGAATGGTATTGGCGATCCTGTCAAAACAAATGCTGGCGCAGATGTTGTGACAATTGACTCTGATGATGATGAGTTATGAATGACGAACTATAAGTGAATGACGAGATGGGATACGAAAAATCATGCGAAGAAGAACGGAAATATTGAAGGCAAGTAATAGAGGCCGTATGGGCTTCGCATCTGGCATCATGAGCGTGTTCACGTAACATATAGATTAGGACAGCACGTTCCATTGATAATACAGTCAATTGGTACTAGCAATAGACTCGCTAAGTCACGCCGAGATACAACCTTACATCTTTTTCGAGACGTGTGGTCTACGCAATGATACCTGATTCGAAATAGCTCAATTGATAACTACTCCCTCATTTCAGACGACAAGAACACTGGTGTCCGTCACACTGTCCCCTTCTCAACAGATCATACCTGCACCTTCCGTACAATCATACAGGACTCTCCATCCTCTTTCCGAGTGTTAGTAATTGTCACTGAACCAGCCGACTCACTAACTACCTCTCACTTCCTCCAGAGAACAGGCGTCAGTGATGCAACCGTTACCCGCTACTTAATATATCACAAAAGTCATACGGCAGAGTTCCTCTGTGAACGAACAGCCTCGTCAGAGAGTAGCTGCAGGTGAGCAAACACAGTAGCCAGGTCACGTATGAGCCGCAATGTTGAATCGTGGCATTTATTGAGCTGATAGGCGAACATTTCAGGGTCTAGCGGGCTGGTTGCTGTGTCTGTACGATGAGTCTCACGATCTTCGGAGTCGAGGGACGTGCTTCGGTGGAGAGTCGGAGATGGTTCGTGTGGGTGAGAACAACAGGAGTATCTTGGTGGTGGAGGGATTGAGGACGATGAGCTGGGTGTTGAAGAGATTCTTGCTGAGCTGGGTATTGGATGTTGAAGAGAGTATGGTGAGTCAGGCGGAGAAACGTACCTGTCACGGAGGCTTGGCGGTCTAAGGGATGCGCCGGCTATAGACTCATCTGTGCTAATCGTCTGTCGAGAGTACTCTGAGCTTTTAAGCGAGGCTGGATCGTATTGTCCATGGTGCGTCGAGCTATTTGAGGCACCCTCGTTCTCGTCCCTATCCTCGTCCTCCACCAATGTCGACCCACTCAAGGCTGATGTGAACAAAAAATTGTTGTTGTAGAAATCTGTTCGTCGTGCATTATGGACACTCCATATGGAAGAGAAAGTGCTCGCGGAAACATTGCCGTTGTCTGGCCTGCCATGCTCGGTGCTGTTCAAATGTATCAGTCTTTGTAATTTCTTGAAAGGCTTCTTTAGCCGAGAAGAGAGTCGTCGGAACTTTGAAGAAGCAGAGCGCCTAAACTTGGTCAGTGGCTTTGACATCCTGTGGTCAGTAAATTGCAGCTGGTTCTCCGCTGAATTCTGTGGTTGTGTATTGCAATGAGTGGTAAGAAGTCTATGCTTTGGATTGAATAGGGAAGCTGATGAATTCAAGGTACTGTTGGGATGGAAGGATGCTGTTAATATACTTTGGCAAGTCTCGCTTCGACAGACATTTAGTCGCCTGGATTGAGACATACCAAGTCAAGTTTCATCGGTCTCGGTGGAAGCTCTTTGTTGCGAAGAGATATTGGTGGAACCAAGACGAAGATTGGGTGTGACCTCTTCGTCGTGTCATGAGTTTGTGACTGATCCCTGGCCATGACCGGTGGAATTGTCTTCCAAATTCTAGACGACGTCCTTGAAAGCGTGTAGGATTAGGGCCTCGAAAGCCGTGGTGGGCAATATGTTGCTGCCAGGTGAGGCTACAACATGCTCAACAAAGTCAGTGGTAAAAGTCAGGGCAGAAGAAGAAAAGAACACATCTAGCATGATGTCCAGTCAACCCAACACAGATGCATCGTAGAGTGTGTTTTGCGAGAGAGTCGTGAAGCCTGTTCACCGACGCTCGTGCAAGTCACAAAGTTTGGCTCTTCCGAGAACCCACGAAAATCGTTGAGCGGGAAACACTTCAACAATCTGGACACTTCGTTATAGCTCATCCATCGTGCGATCAGAGGCACAGTCTGCGTCTGGCAGGCACAATCACGAAATCTTTCCATCTTGTGGCATACAGTAACAATGCACTGTTGAAACGAAGTGGAATAAATAAACGTTCTCCTCGCATTGAAATCACCTGACTCTGCAGCTACCACACAGTCGTAGAACCAACCTTTTGGTATCACCTGACCATTCGAATACATGCAGGACTTGAGATGGGATCTGACTTACTTAAAGTTATGCCGGTTGATGGTCCAAGCATTCCTGAATGCTCCTTGAAATATGTCGATGTAGGTTGATTGAAAATTATACAACCCTTTTGTCTGCGAGCTGAACAAACTAGATTGCAGTAACAGCAACAGCGAAGGATTTTGCTGGGATCTACAGAGGAAAGCAATACCATGTCCCTGACTTTGACGCGGTGCTAGACCGGGCTATTGCTGCTGGAGTCGAGAAAGTTGTCCTTACCGGTATGTCGCTCTCTGATGTTCACTTCAACTTGGACATTGTAAAGTCACATCCTAGCCAATGCAGTATGACCGTTGGCGTACACCCGTATCATGCTGCAGAAGCAGAAGCAGAAGGTTATCTTGAAGACCTCTTCAAGCAGGTTCGCCAACTTTCTCATGACAATGTGATCTCTGCATTCGGTGAATTGGGACTTGACTACGATCATCTCGAGCACGCGAGCAAAGAAGTTCAGCTGCGAACATTTCGTCGACAGCTTGACATGTTCATTGAGCATGAGTTTGATCTGCCTCTTTTCTTGCACTGTAGAGCTGCATTTAATGATTTTGTTTCCACAATCGAGCCATACCTTTCGCAACTGCCTCGACGAGGTGTTGTGCATTCCTTCGTTGGCGATACTTCGCAGATGCAGAAACTTGTTGAAATGGGATTTGATATTAGTGTCAACGGCTTCAGCTTCCGCGATCCTGAAGCGCTGGAGATGGTCAGAAACATCTCTTTACAGAAACTTCAGATCGAAACTGACGCTCCTTGGGGTGTGATACCTCCAAGCTCTGAGGTTGCGACACGGTATCTGAAGAATGCTAAGCCACTTCCACCAAGCAAGAAGAAGGACAAGTTTGAGTTGGGGATGATGGTGAAAGACAGGAACGAAAGTTGCACGATTGAAAGGGTAGCAATGGTTGTTGCTGGATTGAAGGGTATTACCCTGCAAGAAGTTGCTGACGCAGCTTGGAAGAACAGTGCTGCTATGTTCAAACCACAGGCAGATATCTGAGTGGACAGCAACAATTTGCAGATACCCAAAATTATAGGATTGCGAGACACTTGCCGCTCTTCAACCACAATGCACTGGCAGGGCTCGGCTCTGATCGTGCCTGACAAACCTTGAGTTAGTATTAGTTGTTTGAAGAAGAAACGAAGCCGAATGCTGAGGTAGACGATGTATCGTGTAATTAGGAAGAAGAACACACATAATCACTCTCCGTGAATATGTACGTGGAAACTGTCCACCCCAAATTCCTGTCATGATATATCCATCTCACCACCGTTTGACTGCTCTGATGGTCCGTGTGCCATGTTTACATGACCCGTATGCTCTGCAAATCTTGGCCGATGCTCTTGACTCAACACTTCCATAAAGACCTCCTCGTAGGCTGAATCGTCATCAATCTCGAAATTATCATCCTGCTGATCGATTCTCTCTGCAAACATCTGGTCGTTTTCTCCCCGCAGCTGCTGTCCCCTGTCAAAGTACGCATGGACTAGTTCTTCCACCTCTTGGTCTTCGTCGACTGGACTCAACTCCGCATCCTCAAGATCATCTATTTGCTCAATGTCCATCTTCTCGACAATATCAGAGAGTGGTCCGTCTTGTTGTTGTGCTTCCCTTCTCAATCTAGCCTCTCTTTCTCGTCTTTCACGCCAGTAATCGGCCTTCTCGAAGCTCTCGATACCCCTGCTGTCCCGCTCGTCTCTGCGTGTACGTCGCAAGCGGTCTAGAAAGCCAGACGTGCGTGATGTTCGACCTGCGGAGATTCTGTTTGTGATTTGCGTGGAGGCTGCGGCGTCGCGAGCACGCTGCTGAAACTGGAACGGTGTACGCGTCGCGTTACTCGTGGTTTGTTCAAAGGTGAATGCGTTCGTAAAATCTTCAGCCCGAGGAAACAAAGTTGCTGTGCTATTGATTGTGGACGTGCTGCTTAGGAAAGGATCGTGAGGCTGAACCACCTCAACTGTCTGGTCGTGCTGTAGCACTTCGATCTCCCTGTTCTCTGTATCGCCTACCAACGCATACTTCGATGGGCCATGTTTCTCTCTCATATGATTGTGTCTGGGACCAAAGTTACCACTACTGGCAGTCGTCTTCAATGGACTTGGGCTCTTCGGCTGGTACGAAGACCAAGAGGCGAAAACGTTGGTGCGATGTGCTTGTGGTGTGTAGAATGGCGTTTGGCTCTGGCAAGAAGTCGCTTGAGGTGGACTCGAGTAAAACAGATAGGAGGACATCCTCAGCCCTGATACCGTCTGATCAAACTGAATCAGATCGGTCGGGTGCAAAGGTCGAGGATGAGAATGGCTCTCTGGCGACTGTGGTTGTGCACGTCTGATAGTATCGTAAGGAAGTGTAGATAACAGCAGGCTCTATTCGTTCTCGGTAGTCTTGCAGGTGCTCCCCATCACCATGAACTATTCCTGGCGATGATATACATGACGGAGCGAGCTTTGCACAAAACCTCACCACGCGAAGTGTAAAAACGCGTTGAAGCGCGTTTTCGCTCCTCACTACGTCATCGTCCTTGATCATGCCAAGACTTTCCGGCACGAGCACGCGCCCACCACGAAGAAAAACCAACCGCTTTTGGTGAACGCCTGTACCCCCCAATGCATGCAGACGCCTTTTTCAATATCCAGACGTCAAGGTACTATACCATTGTGACGGCACAAATCATCATGGTCGAAAAGAATGCCAGTAGTAATCACCAGAACGTGGTAAGAAAAGACCCTCCAGAGAAGAGAAAGAGACTGCTGCTTTGAGGTGTCTGCAGGTAGACGTATGATTAATGTACTCTCCATATAGCTATGAACGTGGTTCTACACTTATCCGATACTACTTCCCCAAACCATTCGATCTGGTAGCTCACCTCATCGCTGAATGCCGCGAGCTAATATACAACTCGAAGCTCTGCTGTTCTGTGATGTTTGTTCGCTCGCCTGCTATGCCCAAGAATACTCATGTTCCTCGTTACTGTGAAAGGATGACTTTTGTGATGCTGCATGTTGTTCAGAATGATGACTAGAAATTGGATGCCGTGTTGACTGGCCCTGGGTTGTGGTATTGGTTCAAAGTGGTCTGGAAGGGTGTTTGAGACTCAGTCGAATTGCTCGTCTTCTCGGCATTGGCATTAGGGTCGTAGAGATCATCGTCGTGCAGATTTCTCTTCTTGCCCCATATTCTCCAGGCTGTATAAGCCAGAGCACCAATGAGTAGAGCACCACCGATGCCTCCGACGACACCTCCAATAATCGCTTTCGACTTCGAGCTGAGGCCTCCTGAGCCGCCGCCACTGTTGTTTGAACCTGCCAAAGCTGTGGGCGATACTTGCGTGCTTGTTGCCACCTGAACCAGAGTGCTGGTAGTTCTAGTGCCCGTTACCGTGCTTCCTCCCTGTACAGATGTGAATGTTTCAACGACCTGAGATGCAGAACTTGTTGTAAAAAAGGAATACGAATACGTCAGCGAGGTGGTGGCAGTGCTAGACACGGTTTCCGCTACGCGTGTGGTCGAGCCCTGCGCATTGGTAGTGGCGCGTGTGCTAGTAATCACTACAACGGCTGTGGTGGGTACAACACTTGCTGTAGCTGTGACAGTTTCTGATGTGAGTGTTGGGACGCCTTCGGAGGTGACGCTCGAGGTCAGAACCAGTGTTGTTGTTGACTGGCCAGCCTCCTCACTCACTACACTCGTCGTTGGGCTTGCCACGACCGACGATGTGGTAGGAGCGGCAGACGATCCGCCTGTTGATAAACTGACTTGTCTCTTTTGTTCTCTCGCAAGCGCCGCATCAACGTCCAGCGCAGGCACGGCCGGCGCTGAGATCAACGCGAAGAGGAAGAAGGTAGAAATGGACCACCTGTGCATTTTGCAGAATGTTTAATCTCGTATACGTGGGGAAAGTGGATGGTCTGTGTGCTGGCAAATTGTTGAGAAATCAATCGAGAAGTTCTAGAAAAGATCGATCGAAGCAAGTGAAATGATGAGCGAGAGTCGGCCAAACAGAATGCTGACAAACAAGGAAATAATGGTATACAAACAGGAATTCTGAAGGTGTAACAAGGTTGTCAGCTGTAAAGAAATCGATGAATATGAACATGGATGGCCAGAGAAAGTCGTCGCGCTGAACTGCCATAAAGGCGTTACAAAGTCTAAACCGGCAATGCTGCACAGGGGTCCGCAGGGTAGAAAGTCTCTCGGACTTTGGTGTGCTTGGGTCCCATAATGGGCCAACAAAAGCTTTTCTCTGCCGATTCGGTGGTTCTCTGCTCTTCCGGCTGTAACATTCGTTGCTCCCTTTCAGCTTCTTATCGCTCTGAAACACACAAGACTGGTCTTTACAAAGCGAAGATGCGCGATACTTCCGTACAACTTGGACTGTACTGCCTTGCAAAGCCCAAGTCAAACCATGACCAATTGCTGATTATTGCGTTCGTTGTGATGACATGCCCGAACGAAGTCTATGATTTTTGCATAATTGAGGCTGTGAAGTTCCGAGCCGCTACCTATTGCGGCAACCGTTACAGCATATGCAACACATGCGAGTACCACCATTCCCTTTCATGTGCTTATGACGTGCATTGTCTCATCATAGTGTCGCCAATTATACAGCAACATCTCGTGATGCTGACATGCATGGTAACCTCCGAATACGAGTGTGTCAAGCACACCACCTGAAGCCCTGGGTTTGAGGCGTTCGAGAATACATCTTCTAGCACATTATATCTATCCAAAATCTAGAACAATAACCCCACCTCGATTTCTGTGGTGTTTGTGACAATAATGACAACGTTTAATTCTATCGATCCTCACGTCTCCACGATCACGTTCTGACCCTTTCTCTCGACCTCGATCTGGTTGTTCGTAGATCTCCTTTGAATGACATCGACGTCCTCTGAGAGATCACTGCTCTCTTTTATGATCACGTTGCCTGGTTTGGTTGCACTTAATTTGTCTGCTAGGTGGATCCGGGGGAAAATCGTGGAGAGATGTGGAAGGACTTTAGACGTATTGGTCGTTGATGTTGAATGTGAATGTATGTACTCCGCCCAAGATTGCACTTCGTGCAGCTTTCTACCTTCCAGGCCAGCGAATCCGGGAAACCTCAGAGAATTGTTGTTGGTCTCAGTTTTTGGATTCTCTATCATGCCATGCTTGACTTGAAACTGCACTGCAGTACCGTCGTAATTCGATGCATATTGAAACGAGGGTGTTTGGCAAAATCGCCAGCTGTCTGTCATCATCTCATCCATGTCTGAACGAATATCCTCCAAAAGGTCTTGCCTACCCTGCTTCTTCCCAACATCAACGACAGTTGGACATTGGTCGTGGTAAAATTTTCGAAAGGCGTTTGCAACCAAGTCTTCCACCCCGCAAGACAACCTTCGTCGATCATCGTCTTTGCTGAGCTTAAATAAATTGTGCACAGGGCTTGGAACGCTCGCGACACCTTTGGCGACAAGAAATGGCTTAGCTGGCGAGGAAAGTAGTATCGAGAAAGTGCTGGGCCCGGTCTGAGTGTGGTCAATAGAGCGTGCAATATTCGGCGAGCTGAGCAGGAGTGTTCCATGGTGCAGTGCTCGTCCTCGCGTTAATTTGAATGCACTTCCGCTTGCCTTGAACTCTTTCTGTTGATTAGTACTATTTTTGGGAACCATCACGATGTCATGCCTCTCGTTGACTCGAACATTGTGATAAAGGGCTGCTTCTCTCAAGTAAGGCCCGTTGTTCTTGTACTGCTCCAACGCATCAACCACTAACTGAGCGTGCTTGTTCCTCGAAAATGATGCATCGTTGGGCACAATGAACGAGAAGTTGAGATTGCCCTCGTCGTGAATGACTGTACCACCACCACTTCTTCTGCGCACTAAATCAAGAGGTATGTTTGGGTCTCCTGCAGCCTGGCTGGGCTGCTGGTTGAAAGCCCACTGCCACTCGTCAACGTTGAACTTGAGCCCTTCTTGTATCTTCTGTATATTGCATTCTAGCCACGGATTCTGGTTTCGCCCTATTACCACACACGGTCGGTTTGTATACGTAAACAAGATACGTGAATTGGGGTCAGAGTGCTTCAACAAGTGGTTCTCGACCGCAAGGTTGTAGTAGGGGTCATTTGAATAGGATCGAAATATAGAGACCAAGTTCTTCGCCGTGTATTGTTTAACTTCGGGAAGAATACCGAAGTCCTGGTGCGCCCTTGACGAAGATGAACAGAATGGTCGTTTGTGTCGCAGGCTGCGCGTTATTGTAGTCGATAAATGCCATGGTCGGGTTGCAGGAAAACGACAAATGTGAGAATGCTGCCCTGCCACCGCCACAGTCAACAGCTTCCTGGAACCTACATTGTAAAACGGGGCTCTTGAAGCAGTGACAGTTGCTTCAAATAGCATCGATGGGCCTTTCGCATATTAGAGGTATGGCAGCTAGTATGGTCCGCAGTGGAAAGAGCGCCTGTGGTATACGGGGAACTCAAGAAAAAGAGGGAACTTTGCCGATGGTTAGGTTTCACAGGCAGGAGAGTGCAGACCTTCAAGGCTCTAATCTATCCTAGTGCAACCCCATTGACTGTTTACCACCACTCTCAATCCATGGCTTCTTCCTCCTGGACTCCAACCGCCTCTCTTCAGTACGAAGGCTGACGCCAACTCATACCACATGACTCGTATACACCCCTTTGCATCTCCTCCTTTCTAGCAATCTGGCCACGTTTGATCTCCTCCGATAACGATGAAGACCATAAAAACTGCTTCAAGATTGCTTGCTGATCCTGCTCTGTGTTTAGGTTCAGCTGTCTTGCCATATCTTCAAACTTGCTTTTGAACCATATTGCTTCAGAAGCAAGTGGATGTGTACGCTCTCCTAGCATACCAATATAGAGGAGCCAGAACAGGACTTTGTTTTTGTTGGATTTGATACTCTCGGAGGATGCATCTGTCTGATGATCTGCCTCGGTTTGCGCCTCACTGACCTTGTGTCGAAGTTCTGTTGTGAGTTTGAGGCCGAACCTGACTGGTTCAGGGCTCTCGAGCACCATTGCTGTCAACAATGCAATACCGCCACATATAGCATACCGCAGCTTTGGCCTAGCAAAAAGGTGCGGATAGATCTTGACGCTCAACTGTTGTTCACCTAACCGACTGATGCAGTCAAGTTTTCTGAGGGTACGCCATCGAAAGATTTGATCATCTGGGGATACGTTGTGGGAATTCATGTACTTATCTACACGAAACAATTCTCGCAAGTCTAAGAGGATGCTCTTTAGAACTCCATCAATGATAGCGTCCACACTAGAGCTATGGTCTCCAACGATGTTGGCCATTGCCAATCTTGCCTTCCACGGCTGGGTCAGGGATCCTGGACTCCACTCTTGAAGAGGAAACAGTGGTCTGGTTTCGTACTTCAATGCAAAGTAGCAATCTGCAGACAAAACGTTCGCTCGAGACCAAGGATCAAGCAATATCGTTCCGCCCTGCGAGCTGACAACATTGCGAAGCATTTTCAGATGTACCCGAGCTGTAGAAGTGTTGTCCAATGCCGTTTCTGCAGAGAACAGTCTCAAAATTGCTTTGATGGTTAGTGGTTCGAAGCTTGCCGACCGTTGATTAAGCCGTTCGCGCAGCTCAGACATGGCCTGTATCTGGAGGAAACAAGCTTGTGAGGCGAGCTCTGGATCATCTGTAGCCATTGCCATGAGAGTGGCATAGAAGCATAATGTAGCAGATGCATAGCACGAGTCGTTGTTCAGCGCAGTGATGTCTTCCCAAGTTCGGCATATTTCATACGACCACTTCGGTCTCCCCATCTCACTTGGCCAGCTCGTCGGTATCACGACTTTGTATGCATAAGAGAGGATTCTCGCGACAATGGGAGGGAGTTGAACGCCTTCGAGAGGCACAGGAGCGATGCTGACATGGTCGAAATGAGTATAGCTTGATGTGTTTGGAGTGCCGGGTTGCGGTAAGTCGACTTGCTGCAGGTTATAAGAGGTGGTAACACTTGATTTGCCGAGCATCAACTGTTCTGCGTTGTCGCTTTGCCAGGGCTCTAGGGAGTACGATGTTTTCAGCCCTTCTTCTGGTTTCTAAAAACCTGATGTCAGCGAATTACTTGAGTAAACTTGTGGGCTATGGTCAACACTCTGAGAGCATATACCTCTGAGGCACACTGCGGCACATCAGGCTGACTCGTGGTAATTTCCAGTCTTTTCGCCTGCTCTTGTCTTTTCCACCTCTCGTACCGGTTCACCACATGCCAGGAGACAGCAGCACAATGGTCCTTAGAACCAATATTACTCGCATCTTTATTTACAAAAGAATAGTCGCCTTTGAAAACGGCAGGATTCTTCGTAGCTGTTTTCTTCTTCCTGCTTGTCATAGTCGTACTTTGGCTTTGAGCTGCCTTGAAGCCAACGCACTTGCTTTAAGGCTCGCGTTTCGCTTTGCTTGATTGAGAAGATAGAGTTTGATTCACTTTGCCGCACAGTTGACAAGTCTGAATATCTGAAAACTGAATTGTCACAATGTGTGCAAATGACTTATGTAGTCTCAAGCATTTTTCGATTGCTGTTCGTTCGTAACTATTTCTAACAAACCGGCGGAGAGCAACTTTTCGAAGAAGTGCCTTTTGTTTCCAATGTTCAGAGAAAACTTAGCTAATGCTTGATGATCTACCTTGTGGCTCGCGCATCTCTGGCCTTCGTGGTTAGCGAATGAGAAGTTCTCCTGAGGGTTGAAACCCTGACAATCCATGGTCAAGCAGCTGAATAATTAGCTAAGATACATTGGACCATGACTGGCACAAAGGGAAACAATGCATAACTGTATTGTATAGCGTTGCAAGAAGACATTGAATGGTCCACTCATAGACGTATACATCTCACGTATGTGTCGAGAATGTAGATGCCCGAAGTTTTCGACCAGCAAGGTGGGATTCCGCGAATTTGAAAGAAGTGACAAAGGCATTAGTGAGACGTCGCAGGCGAGAAGTACATTTTGCGTGTTGTGTTGTGCAATCCATGGCAAGGCACACGTCGTTGTTGGTAAGCATGCAGAGAGAAAGAGACGTGAAGCAGGGATGTTATCTCCAGTTGTTGACGTCATGCTGCGCACCGTGTACTTTTCGAACACGAACTCTTCGTCTTGGACGGCGTCAAAGTCACTTACGCCAGTCTGTCGTATATCAAGGCCATATTCGATAGATTCTGCGAAACGCCCTGCACTTCGCAAGGTAATGTTTATGCAAGTACTCTACTGCCAAGTGTGACTGTGTTGAAAACCAATACCTGTATCTTGTTTACGTCTGTGGTCTTGTTGGCAGAAACAAACAATATGTATGCGCTGTATCGTGAAGAACCAGCGTCGCCACTTCGGCGAAGAACGTCCAGCTTTGGTTGTGGTCTAGTCCTAGAATTGGGGATTTGGCTGGCTGTAGTTGTGACATTCGCAGGGGCATCTGTTCCAGAATCGAAGCACGAGTTCGTGCTCAGAAGATCGATCTCGAGACACCTCTTGACAAGGACTGTCTCATCTCTGTCAGATGATCAGGCTGGAAATAGTGTTTCTCAACTAAGAGGGTTGGCGATGAATTCGGCAAAACAGCCAAGGATTGAGATGGTTCGGCGTTGTGCAAGCTGATCAAGCACTCTCCCTCTATACCTGCCACGAAGTTTTCGAGATAGTACGAGAGTCGCTCAACACCTTCACTTCAAACACGACTGCTCGCCCCTTGTTCGGGGGCGACCATTTCGTGAATGGGACAAGACGGGAGTCGATGTAGTGACACTTACATTCGACGTCCACCTACCACACCGTAAGAGTCTTTGATCTGGATCGGCTTGGCGATACACGAGGCGCCTCAATCAACCAAGACCAGATGATTCAGTCGTTTCTGACAGCGGTGGTCTGGAGATAGCCAGCTAATTGAAGCCGTCGTCGCTCTGACCAATACACGCGCCAAGGCAATATCGAGTAGACCTAGATCTACGGGAACATTATCCGAAAGAGCGTGTCATTATTGCCTGATCATGTATTCGACAAAGGCCTAGCCATGACAGTCACATCAGCACAAACTTTGTACCATGGTCAGCACTTGAGATGCGGCTCATGAAAGTGCAACAATAGGCGGCAATGTCGAGATTACATCTGAGATATGGCGCAAGCCGATGAGATCTCGTAGAGCATATCCGTTGCTTCCGTATGCAGGAGTACAGCAGGCTAACATGACCCAGGCTGTGATTCTGTCTTTGTTCGATGCTCGTTATTGGTTCTGGACCAGCGACCTAACAAGGTAGTGAAAACATTGTCGAAAAGCAAAGTTTATCCAAGAATGGGGTTGTGTCTGTGACACGAAGTGAGCACAATGATGCACGAGAAACCAAAGTGAGTGTCCGTCTATAACAGTGTGATTGGAGGCAATGCATTATTGCGTTCTGGTCTTTACATTTTCGAGTGTTCCTGGTCGCATGCTGTGCAAGTTTACTAAGGACTGAATTATGGAACGGAGAGTTGAGCCGATTGTGGCGTCTCCCAAGTGCCTGTCACTCGCACCAATGTTCCCCTCATTAATGCCCCAGATTTTGTCCCATTACTCCGATAGGAGATTTGACTACTCGTATGGGTGAATGATTTGGCGATGTCGCCAATGGCTCAAGTGATAGAAACCGACAGTCTAGTCAGCACATATAACAGACCACTACCGCAGTACCAGTCATCGCTGTATAATGATAAAAAGGCTCGAAGTTACGTGTTCCACAATTGTGCAGGACCAACTCACCTCTCCGGTTACTTGAGTAGATACTGGCCGTCGCTACAATCCGGATCAAGGCAACTAAGGCATTTGCACAAGGAGACCCAACAACCAATACGGAGATAGATAAATATCTTGGTGCGAATCTCCCTGCAAGGAACTTAAAAGAATATGCTCGGCACGAACGACGACGATCAGGACACGTGCCTGAAAGCATGGTGCATGCCACTACTTCTAATTCAGCGTAGCTTGTGTGACAGGTCATTTTTCGAATGTTTGCGGGGACGATGCTGTGGAACTACTGCGAACACAACTTTGTACTAGTCCGAACTGAGGAGCATAATTCGAGTTTGATGCATTCAGAAGTTTTGCCAGCCTAAACATTTCGGTTGGATTAGCAGTTATCATCTAAGACAGCTGGTATAGCACTGGAATCTTGAACGCGGCCGTTGATGGTTGCTGGTGTTAGCGGCCTGACGATCTTACCTCTACAACGCTGTTCAAGGTCGAGCACGTGTAGAGAATGTAGTCATCTTCGATCGACGTATGAAGTTCCCCTTAAGCAAAGCAAAGCGAAGCCAGGGACGGCACATCTTGTGCTAGCAGAAAATAGCGAGAGTCTGAAGGATCCACACCCTACTGCAGTCAACAGTATTCGGACGACATTTCCTGGGTAATCGCTCGTTAGGCAGTCGACAGGCCCTTTGAAGGATTTTGAGGTGGTGGTGGTGGATCAAGCTGCAACTTCCCGATCGTCCTTGATCGGCCCGCCGATCTAAATAATAAGTTTGCGGCATGTGAAAATCCTGTACCTCGAAACTTCGACGTCCATAACCATTTGAGTGAGTGAAGGAGCACATATAGTTCAGATCCGGAAGACAGAAGAGTTGTGCCCTAACATGATCGAGACGCGATAGCGAGGGCCTTGATGACCTCGTATCATGTATGCCAGAGACCTCTTCAGGTTACTAGAAACCGTATACCGTAATCCAGAACAGCCCGCGCTGTCCAAAATCAGGTAAATTGGATGCTGCCATGCTTGCAACGACGTAGTGTGATTGCCAGACTGCAAGATATGCTGTAAATGCAAACAACTGAGTTTAGACACCACCAACGAGAGCCGACTGCTTCATATATGCACATATAGCGTCAATAATACATAGCAGCTGGAGCTTCGACACAACGAGTCCACGATCACACAGTGGTATCAGTGCAACTGGGCCATCTAACGCAATACATCCAGCTATGTTCGTGAGGGAGGGAGGGTGAGGAGGAGGTGCTGATCATGAGGCACCTCTTCACTAGTGCAGCGCGTTCGTGTGAGCATGTATAGGCTGATTCTGGATGTTTGAAATCAGAGACGAAAGTCATGACACCACCAAATATGAGCGGACGGTGGCTTGAGGATCAAGCGAAGTTGACGGCGATGGACATGTTGGAGGTGGAGTGCTTTCATGGTGTGCCAGAAAGCTAAAGGCAGCTAAACGAAGCTAAAAGATAGCATGGAGGAGGCCCTCGCAGATAAGTTGGGTAAAATTCACAGGACCTGGTGGCCAGTAGCGCATGCTGGAAGAGTCGTCATAGGGGAGACCAGCGCCCGCTGGAATGCTGTGAGTGGCTCAATCTGGGTGTGAGAGGCTTTCCGTCACCACTCAACCGCTTGGGTGCTGTTGAGGCCTCCACTAGGCTCAATTTGGCTGCGAGTCGAGTGAGGTGCCCTCATGCTGCTGAGGCCAAAGTTGTGCACAGCACAGCATGCCACTTCCACTTCAAAATCCACCAAACTCCGTCTTCACCAACTTGAACTGGACATCCGCCCGCTTCACAACAGTTTTCCTACGTCCTCTGTTTTTTCACTTCGTCCCATTGCTCTGTGTACCGGTTGTCAATCTGTATTTCGTCGGCTTTTTGCAAATTCTTCGCTTGCTACTTAACAAATCGTTTCAGTACTTGTTCAATCACGAGAAAACCACCTCTCCTTCGATATTACCATCGTTGTCGCAACATTTCCACGATCGAAGCTGTAACAAGGAAACCGCATATCCCTATTTCTGAGAGACCAGCAGAAAGAGCAATTCGAGTCTGTGAACTTCCTATACACCGTACTGGTGCGGTACATGTGCCTCCCTCTTGTGATCATTCGATGGAGAGCATATGAGTACAACTGTTGTGTTTACGAGCAGAAAGAGAGTTTTGCGGCCAAAGCTGAATGAGCGCCATTGAAAGCCCGGTGGAAGGGCACGTTGCTTATGGCAGACTCCAGGCAATTTAGTCTCGGTGAAGAGAATAGCGGTAGCAAGATCCCAAGCAGTGATGCCTCAGCACACGGATTTCAAGAGTCAGCGGCTGCATGCCATGATGAGGCTACAGAAGCGGATGTATTGACGCCTCTGGCCAGTGAACAAGATCCTCCGGTCAGAGGCGAGCACGCTTTCCACCAACATTCCACTCTATCACCTCTTATTGCAGATGCTGCGGAGACCGCCATGGGTTCCTTGACTACAACTTTGTCTACCACGGCACCTCTCAGGACAAACGTGTCGCCAGATCAGGTTACGAGTGGCTACTTTGGATCACAGCCCTTGAGGTCGCCCTCATCACGAAGAAGTTTGAGGACCATTCCTGCATCTCAGCAGTCCTCTTCAGGTTCCTTACACACTCTGGCGGAAAGAGAAGACCAGGAAAGCGAGTCGCAAGCTTCCATACGACGTGCGGCATCTACAAGGACGAGACAACCTGCCTCCAATCGTCGTCACTCTAAATCTGCCTCAATATCTCAACCCGTCAGCAGTCCCAGAAGGCACGTCAATAGCGACCATCCAGGTTTCCCAGAACAGTCACTGGCTTCGCTGTCGCCCACGCCTGTTTCATTTCCAACTCGACCCCATCCACCGCTCCGTACTCGGAGCTCTCATCCTGCTCAGAACCTTCTTTACAACGACATGGCTACAGCCAATGGTCTCTTTAAGGAAAAGTTGCCTTTGCATAATATTGCACGTACTGCTGACAATACGCCAATGTCGAGTCCAGGTCTTTATTCTCCCACTGCCGTCCGGCATACCAATCCATACGTGAGCGAACAGCAAAGACCTACGACCCCGACGTTGCATCACCTGCAGGCGCCTAAAGAGACGAACACGGTAGAAATCGACCACGATCTGTACTCGGGCAACAAGCTCATCAATGAGTATGAAGTCGTGAGAGAGCTTGGACGTGGTGAGCATGGCAAGGTCAAACTTGGTCGTGATCTTCGAACTCAAGAAAGTGTTGCCATCAAGATCGTTCCAAGATACTCCAAGACACGCCGGCTTGGTCGTCTGGGGGAGCCACAAGATCAGACGAAAAGAGAGGTTGCCATCCTCAAGAAAGCTCGACACGTCAATGTTGTCAGTCTTCTCGAGGTTATCGACGATCCGGGCAAGAAGAAGGTATATCTGATTCTCGAGTTTGTTGAAAGGGGAGAGATCAAGTGGAGAAGAGAGGGTGTCAGGGAGATCACAAAAATCAACAAATATCGGTTCTCGAAGGAAGTGGAAGGCAAGAAGCTTACACTCGAGCCTAGCGAGTCTGAGTTGTGGCAGGTCAGACTAGCTGCACAACGTCATGAAGGATTGGAGAAAGCTCGCTCGAATCAGCCTCATGCCTCGAGTGTGGCTCACTATTATGCAGCATATGACATCGATGAAGAAGGCGATACTCTTTGGAGAACTCCTTCCCAAGCACCTTCTGCCACGTACTCGGCCACCAACTCTGACCACCTTACGCCACAACGTCAGCAGTCACTGGACGATCACACACATGCTACGCCCATGTTAGCTGGCAGCATGTATGGTCCATACATGGATGAAGTGCCTTATTATGCAGATCGGAAGAATAGTGTTGCAACCGCTTTGTCTCACATGTCGTCCGAAATTGATCTGGACGAGGACGACGATGAACTGAATTATGTGCCAGCTTTGACCTTTGAGGAAGCTAAGCATGCATTTCGTGACACGCTTCTTGGTTTGGAGTTCTTGCATGCAATTGGCATCATACATAGAGACATTAAACCTGCCAACCTTCTAGTCGCGAACGATGGCACGATCAAGATCTCTGACTTTGGGGTTTCCTACTTTGGCAAACCTTTGACTGAGCAAGAAGTCACCGCCACGCAATACCAAGACAAAGACGCCAAGTCACTTGATAACGAAAGAGAGCTTGCTCGATCAGTGGGCACTCCAGGTTTCTGGGCACCTGAACTGTGCTATGAAGATGCTGGAATTTTTCACGATGGTAAGGCACCGAAGATTACTGGTGCCATAGATCTTTGGGCGCTTGGGGTGACCCTATATGCCATGGTCTATGCTCGTCTTCCTTTCTATGCTACTGGCAACATCGGCCTTCACCAAGCGCAATGCACTCTTGACCCTGTTGTGCCGACTACAAGGCTTGTGCCGGCTGACACCTCGAATGACGACTTGGTTACACATTCAAAAAGGCCGATCAACAGCAATAAACGGCTAGACTATGAATTAAAATTCGAAGATGTGCCAGAGGATTTGCGACACCTGATCAAGAAGCTGCTGACCAAGGACCCGGCACACCGCATCACGATTGCAGAAGCCAAACAGCACTCCTGGGTACTGGAAAATATGCATAATCCAGGCGAGTTCCTGAAGCAACCCGAACTGGCCGAGAATGGTACGAAAATCCTGGATGTTGATGAGAGAGAGATGTCGGGTGCCGTGTCAAAATTGACTATATTTGCAGAAATTGCCAAGGCTGGCAAGGCTGTTTTGAATGTGTTCACCAAAAGCAGGAAACGTGGGCAAAGCATGAGCTCGAATGCTAAGTCAAGCAACTCGAGTGACTCAGTGGACTCACCCTCAAGCTCGACGACAAGCACCGTCGGCAAAATCGAAAGGGGACGGGATTTTCGACGATCTAGTTTACATGGTGACGACTTGGTCAACGCACTGCAGCGTTCCAGAGAACCTTCAGGACATCCATTGGCCCAGAGCCAAACCGCTAGCCCTGACGACCAGGAAATGCCTTCTTACTTTACGAGCGAAACACCTAAGCCTTTACCTTCACCACGTGTCGCGCCCCAAGTCGACCACGAAGGTAGACCAAAGCTTCCTGACCGTGCCATTTCTGCCCTGTCGACTGCAGATTCGATTCGTACGATACGTGCAAGTCAGGTCAATCCATATCCCTCCTTCGACGGAGTGAAAGACTTCGAGTCTCCACAAAGTTTCGAAGCTGCTTCAAGTGTCAGAAGTCGAACAGCAGGTCTCTGGGAAGGAGCGACCAGGAGTCTCACTAGATGGGCCAGTCAGGACAGGCACGGTGCGGGCGTCTCTCGATCACCATCAATAAGTAGAAGTTCCTCAACAAGCGACACACGCTCAGTTCCCAGTCTAGCAGTCAGCAATACACAGGCTTCCGGCTCGATCGAGACACCAGAAATTCTACGCTCTTTGGACAATCACTCTCAGCAGGCGTCCCCTTCCAGTCCCAGTACAAGTACACATCTGGCACCAACCGAATCTCACCATCCGAGGTTGTCTTCAGGCACCGCTTTTTCACAAGCCCAAGAGATCAATCAACGTAGGCATATTCAAGAAGCGAGGCGTGGAGTGGAGGATGCGCTTAGGGTGATGGAAAAGTCGGAAGCATCCTCGGTAGAGTGTCCGCCGTCGCCAGACGACCTGATCTTCAAGGCACAGCAGACACATTCTCTCGAAGAACCTCCCCAGTCTCCTCTTGAGGCCGGGTCTGGCCCGTCAATGAGCACCGCAGTGTCTTCGGTTGAAGATTTCACAAACAGTAGCGTGACGCAAAGTATCTCAAACCCGAGCTTCGTCGCTACTTCTGGTGCCTCCTCTCCACCTGACGATAGCTTCCTCTCGGCGGAGTACAAGGAGCATTACCGAAGAGAATTGCACGGTATGGGGTCGGAACCAGACTTCATGCGAACAAATGACACCGTGATTGAACATCATGAACACAAAACAGCTGCAACTAACCAAAGATTAACTGAACGTCACCCTATGAATGATAACGACGAAGAAGACGAAGACCAATATGAAGAGGAGGAGGATTTCTCTGATGAAGAAGAGATGGTCATGATGGGTGCACCCAAAAAGAGAACAGCATAACTCCCCCGGGCATACACAACCGTCGTGCCGGCCACGACGCTACGAGGACGAGTGAATAACACAGCTTGACCTCGTCTTCCCATTTCTTTTCAAGCGTTGATACCCAATTATAGAACAAGGCAAGGCGCGTGATACAAGGCAGGAGTCGGCATATTACACAAGAGCGTATGGCGCAAGGATGGGAGCGAATCAATTTCAACAAAAAAAAAAGGAGGGAGTCAAATTTTTCAGACAGATAAGGTGGAAATTTTTCTTTTGATGATAATGTTAACGTGCATACGCAGACCGGGATTAAGATGAGATGGACTGGATGAGAATACACTGAGCACCTTTCGTTTTTTTCAGCTCAGGTCAATGCATCAGCATATTAGGGATACGGAAATGGTGGAGGCAAATAGCACTTTCTCTAAGAGGGAAGAAAAGGTGGATAGTTCAAGTCGTACACGACCTCGTGATACAGACAAACTTTACTCAAGTTCAAAGTTTCTCAACTCATGTTGTAGTCTTTTTCTCTTTCTGAGGTAGTTGAGTACCGTTTTGGTGATTCATAAAAGCTGGCAACGAACACGAGTGCTGTTTCCTTAGTCACGGCATCACGTAGCTAGAAAGAGAAGAGATTGGATACGGTGAATTGACAATTTCACATTATATTCAATGCACCCCTGCTATTCTATGCCGTGCCTGTGTAAGGGGTCGCAGATTCTTAAATGCTAAATCTATGTATATCTGTATCGATATGGAGACAGACAATCCTTGTCCTCTCGAACGCCAATTCTATGCAAGTATCAGTGTCTGTCTGACCTCGACCTCTATATACCGGTATCCATAGCATTCGGACCAGTACTCGCAGCGACTTGTGTCGGTTCTCGTTCGGTCATGGCTACATCGCCCAAGGTCTGACCCTCTTCGCCTTTGCTTTCGACCTGGACAGTCTCGACGAATTCCTTCTTTCGTCCACTAAGTCGCTCGTCTTTGAATTTTTGGATCTGTGCTTTGATCTCAGTCGCTGCGGGTTCCTTAGTATGCGTACAGATAGATGTGTTAGTGGTTGATGTATTTTAGACTTACCTGGTATGACGTCCTCAATCTTGAGCGGTTGGCGGTTGAAGGGGTCGTTCGGGTCGCTGAGCAGATGACTTCGGATGGTGCTTCGGTCGAGGATGTTCTTGGATGTGGGTAATATGACGGGATCGTCCATTAGTGTGTACATGAGTGGGTCGAGGAATTCGTCTGGTATTTCGCCCAGATCCGCATCAGCAGCCTCATCTTCTTCTTTCGCTAAAGCGAACTTCTTGACTAGGGTGTCCCAACGCCGGATCTCTTCAGGTGATTTCAGGACTTTCTGTTGCATAATTTGTCGCGCGGCCTGAAAGTTCTGGGGCTTGTAGGAACGACCGTCTCGTGCTACGGCTAGGACAAAGTTCTCCTTGTTCATCAGGTTCATGTAGACGTCGACGATTTCGTTCAAGAGGGCTTTCGGATCAAAATTGTATTCCTTAGGATTTTCAACTTTGAGGCTCGATGCCTTTGGCGGTACCATAGCCTCAAGGTTGTAGTCAAGCATGTCTGCCAGACGTTGGACAATCTCGGGCATAGTGAACGCGTCACCAAGCGCTTCCGTGAAGAGCTTGAGCATATGGACAGTCTCGTTGGTGAGTTGCATGTAGGACTTCGCCTTGCTCTTGGCAGATTCCAGGGCCTCTTCTTTCTCCTTTCTTTCCTCTTCCGAGACTGTGCTGCCGCTCGTTGCAAGCTCCTGTGAAAGATTGTTTATGCTGTGGAAAGCAGTAAACGACTCATCTAGGACGAACGTGACATCATTGAGGAGTAAGTTAACAAACCGAACAAAGAAGTCCAGATTGACTTTTGCTTCCTTCAGCAACTTTTGTCTATAGACCGGGTTGGGCCAAATGCACTTGATGATTTGGAAGATTTCGAATCGGATGTTGAATTTGTCGAAGAACTGCGTGTGACCACCCATGAACTCGGCCTCGATGAAGAACCTCATGACAGCATGCATAAGGTGCTCGGTTGCAAACGGCAATGCATTGTACTGATTCGCCAAGATTCCAGGGCCACCATATCTGTAGGGCGCAGTGCCTCGATACAGTATCGTAATTAGCTCTGCTTTGAGATAGGGATTCTTGATAAATCCTGAGCTTTCGAGGAAAGCTATGCAGAGCATGATCAGCTCATCTGACTGCGTAGATGTAATTATCTGAGGCAAGTTGTACAGAATGAACGCAAAATTGCCAGAGATTACATTCAGAAAGTATTCCGGTAGGCATTTAAGGGCATCCGGCTGAGATGGAAAGGGCAGTGATAGCTGTTTCTCAGGAAAGGTACCACCAGACATTTGACGCAAAAGCCAGACTGTGACGAATCGCATAAACTGCATCGCACGCGCCTGTGATTGCTCGTCCGTGAGAACACCTTGTATGGCAAACTTATAGGAGAGGCCTTTTTCGAGCTGATCTTTGTACTTCTTAAGCGCATTCTCGAACATGGCTAGCTGGGCGGGATTCGTGATGTATTTTTGTCGTTCTTCTTCGAATTGAGCCAGCTGTTTTTCCATGTGCTTTAGCTCACGCTCCATGTCCTTCAAGGTCTTTCGCGTTGCCTCTAGGCCATAATGATGAGCAGCAACCGTTAGGAAGAAGACCTCCGAGATAAAATTGTTCTGCCCTTCAATGGAAGTCGAGTAAAACTTCTGGGACTCTTCGTCGGTAGCATTCAACTTGGTTTCGTCCGTTATGTCGACTCGAGGACTTCTTCTGAAATAGTCGAGCTGTGGCCGGTCGATTTTAGTAAACCTTGCGTCGATGAAAGGTTCCGATAGGCGGTCAAGGACTGTATTGATGTTCAGCATGAAACCATCAGAGGACACAGTCTTCTTGTCCACTCTGATAGCTTGTCGCTTGTGGTTCAAGTTGATGGCCAAAGCGAACCAGTCCAGAAGTCTCTCTCGAGATTGTGGCGAAGCTCTGACCATGGGATCCACGATGTCAAAGAGCTCCGTCTGATGAGCCCGCAGGGACATCTGTAGCGCTTGCTGAGCGTTCCTTATTCGGCCTTGATCCATTGTTTTGGGGCCTGCAAAGTACTGGCTGGTGACTTTGGCCTGCAAAGGGGAGAGCTGAAAGAAGGGACCCAAAGTGGTTCTCGTTTCTAATTCCGCAGCAGGTACGGACTTATCACAGAAGTGCGGAGACTCCGTAAGTGCCAGTATGACAGGTTTGAAAGTCACCAACCGCCTCATTAAGCTCATGTATGGACTGTAATCATCATCCATAGTTAAGGCTGACAGTCGTATACTCAAATCTTCTACCGCAGCAACAAAGACAGGAGGAATAGTGTCATCGTCGGCCCACCTCGCGACCGCCTCTAACATAAAGTCATGGCAGACACCCTGGTCATCATCAGGATGTTGAAGTAAGTGGTCTGCGAATGCCTTGCTGCCATCGTATTCGGCGTTGAATATTTCTGGAGTTGTGATGGACAAGATACACCAGCTGAAGCACAACCTTCGTGCCTCCTGTAGTATAGTCCATTTCTGGTTCTCCGGCGTTCTGTCCTTGATGGACTTGTATAACCTCAAGACCCGTTTCCAGCAAGCGAACAGCCAGTCATGAGGGGTGGACCTTCCTAAATCTGCTCCTGCTTCCATAATAGCTTGTTCTAACAGGTCTGTTCTCAGTCTGAGTTCTTGACCGTCTGCCTGCAACTCCTCCCTTAGGTTTGACAGGACGTGCAAGTCATGGCCGTTCTGGTCTTTCTTCTGTTCTGGATCTAGACTGAGGCGAAAGATGTTTCTCAATATGCGATCTCCCCATTGCTCTATCGACTCAGCCGCCTTATTCATATCTGGTTGACGAGAGGAAGACCTGGAGGAGGGCCGCGAGGAAGACCGTTGTGTGCCGTTCATTTCTCGCTTCTGTGGTGTTATTGCTCGAGATATGTTTATACGTGGGGCTGTATGAGTAGGTATCGAGGATGAGGGAGGTTGTGGCGCTGTATTGCTTGGGTCCGATAGTGCTGGGGCTGTCATGGATGCAGAGGTCTTGCCATCATTGGTGAATTCTGTCGTCGTTTGCTTGCTCTCGGGCGAAGCATCTGTGACTACGGCTTCTGGTGGAGAGTTTTCTGGTTGCTGAGCTTGAGCTTGTTGTAACTTGGCCAATCGTTTGTTTCTGATCTGTACAAGATGAGCATAATTCAGTAACTTGCTTGCTTGCGCACCTTGTCAGCATCTGTCATGGGTTCGGACATCATGTAGAGAAAGTCTGTTGAAAGTGGTGGCAACTGGATCCGTCTGAGGAACGTAAGTAATGTACTGTTGTATAGTGGTACACCGGGCTAGATACTCGATGGGATTAATTACTAAACCGCGGTGACGTTGCTCTACGGGGCTCCTTGGAGCCTGGAGAATGCGGGCGCTAGGCGGTCCAGGCAACAACGTTGAACCGGCCTGAATTTCCTTAGTGCATACGACACTCGTGGCCGTTTGAAATTGCCAACGATTGCGAGACACTCTCACAGCAGCTGGAAGGAGAACACAGCAAGTCTACACAAACATCTACAGAGCAGCGTCGCAGCATACAAGATTGGATTTCGCAAGCAGACGGTCGAAATCTTTGACCAAGTATCATTGTTGAAAATGGCAACGCTTAACGCTCATACAATTCTCAGCCGCCAACACCTTGCCAAACAGCCATCAGGCTGCCGTGGCTAGCAGATCATTATCTTCTCCTCAATCCGTCTAAGCGTTCACAGGCGGGCATGGCCATCGCCCTTGCCGCCCTCAATTGTGCTTCGTCAGTAAAGAAGAAACCAGTCGCGTCAGCGATAGCCTGCCGCTTCCTTTGCGATTCATGCTCACACTGATATTGCAAGGTTGTCACGTATTCGACCTCGGCCGTTTTATCCAAATTTCTAAACTTCTTGTCTGTGTATCCGTCCACATCCTTGGGGTTGACGAAATAGTCGACCTTGTAATTAGGCGTAACTCTGTGCATCGTATATGGTCGTTGAGGTGAATCGAAACGAAAGCTCGGGCCTGCTGTGGTCCCTCCTGTGAATAATGATGACAGGAGAGGTAGTATGAATATTAGCAACAACGGGATAAGCTGTGTAAATGCAGCGAGGCCTTGAGGCGCTTGCTCGGTCTGACCCGAACCCGCCGGTCTCCTTCGTGGCATGCCGCCTCCCATCTGATGTACTCGAAAGCCTGGTCCTCCTCCCATGTTGAACACGAACTGTTGACCCCCAAAGCCAGCGCCTACGAACTGTTAGCTTGAGTCCTTATGGTCGAGGGAAGAGCGATCGTACCGAATGGAAAGGCACCTCCCATGCCGCCGCCACCACCGAAAAACCTGTTGAACAGTTCCTCCGGTGATATTTCGTCCTCATAGAAAAAGTTTTGGCCTCCCATGCCTGCTCCAGGCGATCGTGCAAAGCCACCACCAAAAGGAGAACTTGACTGCGAGTTGCTACTTGGAAACCGGCTATCTGGATCGCCACCAAATCTGTCGTATTTCGCCTTCTTGTCAGTGTCTGACAATATCTGGAAGGCCCTCGACACCACTACCAGATTTTAGTTTAACGATTCTTGGAGTGTCGTATGTGCTCTTACTCTTGAAAGCCTCGTCTGCACCGGCGTAGCCATTCTTGTCCGGGTGCGTCAGGAGGCTTATCTTGCGATATGCTTTTTTTATTTGCCCATCACTGGAAGTCTTTTCGATGGCAAGGATTTCGTAGAAGGCCGTCGGGCTACATTTTCGTATACGAATAACTTCGGCTTTCTGTTCAGGTGTAAAAGACCTCGTCTCACTGCCATCTGTGTGCTGTCTGTGTTTTGTGTCGCCGTTCGGCTGCGCATTCGAGCCAGAGGCTTTCGCGGACATGCCGCAAGATGGAACTTGTACTGCAGTAACAAGGTCGATCGGAAGTTGTCTATATGTCTAGCGCAGCGAGGATTTGCGCACACTCTGGGTGTTTGAGATTGGTTGTTGAATTGTCCCTGTTTCGTTCGACAGCAATATCTATGCACAAAATATTTTGGCTTATATCTGGCGACTGTGGTCGTAGTGTTAGCCGGTGGGGACGCAACAGCCGCAGCAGGTCCTACTTGGTAAGAAGCGTGATGTGGGTGGAAACAAGTGTAGCCAGCGATGACGCGTTTATCGTTTCTCAAACAGGTCTTCGTGTATACACATCCTTCTCTTTGTCTCACGCGACAACAACATTATAGCTACGAACAATGTCTGATTTCCCAAAGGAGACACAGAAGAGCTTTGTGCAGCAGGCCAAAGCATGGGGTGGTAAGCTTTACCTCTGTCAACCGCGTTTCCTGCGTTGACCTGTCTACGTAGAATGGCTGCTAAACCTCTTAACAGAAAGCTCGGTACCTCCATCTCTCCTTGCGACCTTCATCTTCGCTCAACATGCCCGACCCTTTCAGACCCTGCCTATGCTTTTCCCGCCCCTACTCCTCTTTTCAACATACCTGAATTTGCAGGGTTACAAGATCGATTCGGCAGGTACCACAGCTGCTCTGTCAGGCAGCTACATCGTCTTAGCATCCCGACGCCGTATGGGTTTCGTCAACAAATTTGGTGCGAGAGGACTCATCAGAGGTGCCACTATAGGGCTGGCCCTTGCCAATGTTGTCGGTGGAGGGCTTGCCTACACTTTTGGGAGTCGCTCGAAAGAAGACGATAGAGGTGCATCATGATGAAGTGCTAAAGTGAACAGCGTGCCTGTCCTTCAACATGAGACAAGCTGGCGGTCACCATGAAGTGGGTTTTTTTTCAATGCTGCTCAAGACAAGTGCTCGTGCCGGGCATGAACGCCGGAACCGAACGGGGTGTTGACTTTCTGCGGTTGTCGAACAGGCTGAGGAGATCTTGACGCACGGTGCAAAGCCTTTATCCGTCGACTAGCAGGAGCTTTGCGCATGTTCTACGACGGGATCTCAAACGCTTTGACCAGCAGTCTGTTGGTCGGCCTGCATGCAGATGGTGTTTTGGCGGAACAGCAGCGACGTCATGGTGTGTCGCTCTTCGACAACGATCACACAGGCTGCTGACTTCAATAGCTTGAGACATCGCGCGGTCATTCCGACAGAGAACGAACGTCAGCCCAATACCATCAGCTTTGACCACGACCGCAGCTTTGTGTTCTCTGCGTTGCTGAAGATGCACTTCCATCGTGCTGCTCGAAGACAACTCCCCAATAGTTGAGGGGACGCACACCACAATTGTAATGATCTACTGGCAATATCATGTGCAAGATTCATGCCAGCAGTCGTTGCTACTTCCGAATTGACCCGAGCATACCTTCAAAGACCTGACCGTGTAAATAACCATTTGAGTCTGTACGTCTGGCCGTGTCGCTGTCAGCCAAGCGGCTTCCAATATACTATTATTGCATATTACTTGTTCCTGGTATGGTCGTCTAACAACCACATGTTCTGTCCTCCTTCCTCATACTTTCTACTGAAACTGTGTCACAGGATGCACACCTGACAGAATTTGTGGGGTGTGTCTTTCTCTTGTTTGTCCCTTCACACGATCTTCAAGTTTCTGAATCCATAACAACACATTTGGTTGGTGCCAGTACTTGTGGCCACCAGAACCATGACTATCTCGAACCGATGGCCGATCCGTTCACTTTTGCTGCTTAAATATAGCTAGCGACCTTTTTAGAATGGCAAGTTCTCCAAAATTTGAGCTCAAAGTCTGGGCTCTTCCTGTGAAAGGTCGAAGACCGCGGATCTATACTACTGAAACTCGTCAGTGGCTGGAATCTTTTTCCAGACTGTGACCAATAAGATTACAAATCGCTTGTTTACTGCTCAGCAACAAGGAAGCTCTTCCTCTGCAGGACATCGAGTACAATACCGGCTATGCTCGTGGTGTATGTGGCAGACCGTAAGTGGAGCCACAAGGTTCATGTCCGACTAGCCGCAAGCCGTACTTTCACTCTTTGGGGGAATGCATCGATAGGCAAGAACGACGAGCAGCGCAAAAATGCTAATCCTGCAGAGCATCTACTGAAAGTGAACATGAAACTACCACCACTCTTTCAAAGTACAAGCAGGTGAATGTCGCCATATCATAGTCATTGTTACGACATTTGAAGGATCTGATTTAGTACTACTATCAGTGGCCATGGGCCAGACCTCGCCGCCCCGTCATCGCGGTCAGCTAGCGAATGAATCCGATGATTCCCCACGCCCCCGGGTTAGAAAGTATACAACCACAGCTTGTGAAAGCTGTCGGAAACGAAGAGTAAAGGTAAATTTCGTGCGTCTAATCGATAGAGCCTCACTGATAAGAGTAGTGCGACGGACAAAAGCCTAGCTGTAAACAATGCTCAAAAACATTGCGCCAGTGTATCTATTCTCACAACGACAGGAGAACCTTGGAAGTTCGACAGCAAGATACAGAAGCTCTACAGAAAAGACTTCATGGTCTTGAAAGTGTTGTGGCAAGACTGCAACTCGGCACTGATTCCGAGGCAACGGATGCTCTTGCATTGATACGCTCGAAGAAAAGGATCCCGGATGTACTAAACGATCTTGAACAGCTTCACAATCTGCCGTCTTTCGATACAGAAGGGAAGGTCATAAAGCCTCCGCCCCTTGTTTCGTCGGGCACTGGCCAGCATGTTCTTTCCGAACTGGACAACGAAGGCGAATTTCAAGCTCACGACCATGCATTGTCGAGTCAGCGTACGCCCTGGGTGGGAGTGCACGACAACGATGACCGATCCAGTTCCAGCGACCATATAAACCAAAGCAGTCCTTCGCAATATGAAGGATTCGAACACGACGATACTTCGGTAAGGCCAGTACGGCATATTTGGTAGCACGCGTGATCGAAGTGCTAATACCTAGCAACAGGAGCGGTTGTACAGCAAGATGGGGAATCCCTATGTCAAAAGACATGCTGGTAGTGCTAGTTACATTCGGTCATCTGAGTTTCGTCATCCTCTGTTGATGTCGTCCTACAATAAGGTCGATGCAGATGCCAACACTTTCAAACAAGTATGTGCGTACCTTTGGAGATACTATGCACCTGCCTAGTATTTTCGTGTTTTGAACTAACTATCGTTACAGCCATCAACACATGAGGCCACAGGATCGGACCAAATCACAACGATTCCACAACGAGTACCCTCCGATACAGATCGCGAATCAGCTATTGGTCTGGCTTCAGACACAGACGTCCAGCAACGTGAACACGTCCCCGAGTACGACCACCAGTACCTGTGCATAAGATCGTCCAATGTGTTCGAAAGGTTTGGCAACCTTGGTGTTGCTAGCGCAATCTACACGAACAACTATCCAGCTGATATACAGACTCGCCAACTTCTCGTCCTGCAGAAGGAGGAATGGGCCACACCCTGCTTGACCTTCTACGATGACTCTCCCTTGGCTAGACTATATGACAATTTTCGCAAGGTCTCAATGGAACACATTGCTGGTGGCATGTCAGTTGCTAGCATCCTTGGCAGGGAGGACGAAATCAATGTGGAACTGCTCTTTCGTGATCGTAGTTCAGAAGACGACCTCGATGTCAGCAACTTTGCATGCGACGTCTGGCGGAACATTCTGGGTCAACAAGATGTGTATGTTGTGCTGGCCATGACTGCCATGACGGCGCGTCTTGCAAGGGTAAGGGTCTCAAGCCATGAGTTCGGACCTAGCTGACCATGATTTTAAACAGTGGATGCTGATACCTAGCATACAAACATGGCATCAGATACCTGCCATCGCACGACCTTTTCCGAGCCAGAAGCTGATTCCCCATAACCCTAGCATCGACTTTTGTGCACAGTAAGTTAATTCGCTCTTATCCGCTCAAGTACGACGAGACTGACATGGTCGTTAGCCCAATAGCTCGGCAATCCTTGATGAACCATTACTCCGACTGGATATCTGCAGGAGAGCAAGGAAATATATGTGTCAGTTGGCCACATACCTTTGACCGAGCTATCTTCAAACATCCCGGAACTGGCCAACGCCATATATCGAAGGAATTCGAGCGCCACATCTCTGATCACAGAGTGTGGAATTGGACCAACGATGTCCTGAAGACCATGCCTTGTATGGAAGACCTTGGAGCAGTGATACGGTAACCACTGCTTGCGACATAAAGACGATTTATTCTCGATGCTCACGCATCAGAGCTGGCGTGTCTTGGATGCAGCATCTTCTCGAAACCGTGGTTCGAGACAAAGGATATTCGTGGGTTTACCATATCAGCTGAGTATGATATGTTGGACAAGTCTGAGATCATTCGTGTGCCTCTAATCATGTTCGAACCATGTATTGTCCGCCTCTATAGCTGTTTGTTTATCTGGGCTGGTGATTTGGGCTGGTGACTTGGGCCGGGCAAAGCTGTCCCAGTTGGATATTGACTGACAACCAGGTGACAATACAATATGGTATCAATCCAGCCATGTTCTTGTGCTTACAAGGGTTCTGGAACAGCGAGGCTACAACTTTGCGCACTCCACAGGAAGATCAAATGACATCCAAGGACATTGCAGCATCAAGATCTGAGGACTCTCAGGACTCGCACGATTTCAAGGCCGGCTTAAAGGAAAGCTTTGTTGCACTGAGTAAGCTGCACCGAACACTGATTTGCAAGCGTGTTTCGCAAACTCACGTTAGCAAAGTGCCGAGTCTCTGTCTTGCGCGACTTCGATCCGCTCGAACTCTTATTCGAATCAAAACATTCCAGAGCTATTATAGGGGAGATACTGTTATCAACCCTTCTACTGGATGCAATACCCACAAGTCGTCTTTATGACTTCGCACCACCAGAGAGTGGTACGACCAGGGAAACCATCGTTGTTGCTGTTGAGCCAGAGCACTACATGAGGTCTCGGACTCCTGCAGGCTGTTCGTACAGTGCTGCATGCGGCAACGCTATGCATAGCCTGTAGAGTTGCACACGATGTGACACAAATCTCTGGGACGACGAAAATACAATCTTATACTGCGAAATGCTGCAGTCTTGTGCTCTTGCAGAATAAGATTAACCTTGCATGGAGATATCAAACCCAGCTCGTCTTTCTTGGTAGCAGTTTCGTATAGATGGTAGCTTGCCGTCGTTGGGAGGTGTGATGGGGCATTGAAACATGCTCTCCAATCAGCTTCCTCGCGCACTTGTCACTAATCGAGTATCGAGTGTCGCGGGCCTCCCGCGGCTAAATACACCAAGTGAATAAAGAAGCTGGCGACTCCTGCGTGGTCTTCTACCCCTGGTCGTTTCACGATTAACTGGCCACTTGACCAATGATCAGCCTTGACAGCATGCTCCTTGCCATTTTGTCTGAATCGTGGTCAGTCATGATATCCATGCTTGCGACAAACCACACGATCCCGCAATTTTAGAATTGTCCTAGGGACAAGAGATGCACACACGCCGACTTCATAATATGGAAAGGTTGGGTGATCAATCTTTCCTCTCTCTCATTCCTCTCTTGTAGTCATTCCTTCACATCCTGGTGCTACGATCTGGTAGATCCTTCCATTCCTTTTTGCAAGTCACTCATTCAGAAACGCTCTTTTGAGAAGAAGCGAATTGATTTCGCTGTGACGATCTTTCCGGTCCGGTACCAATCACGAAACCAAGCATAGAAGCACAACAAAACATCTTCCTCTACCAGAGATGCAGTTCAGAACCCTTGCAGTCGTGTTGGCCTCGTTGGCCTTGAGCGAGGCTCAGCCTTTTGGTGGTCCATACAATGTACAACAAAAGAGGAGTACTTGGGGCGAGTGGAATGGGACGTCAAGCACAGAAGCAGTAAGCACGTCCGATGCAACCACTACTTCAGCAGTCTCTTCATCGACGCCGCTGGATCTGAGCAGAGCCTCTGACACCACCACTGTAGCCACGACTACAAGTTCATCGTGCCAAGAGGGCCTGACGACCAATGGGGCAGGAACCTGCGTGGCTACGTCTGTGACTACAACCACCACTTCCACAACCTCAGCTTGCGCAGAGACAGAATCCAAGGATGACAGCGGTGTTTGTGTTCCCGGCACACCGTTGGGAGGCATCACAAGCACTGCATCTGTTGCCAGTACCACAGGTACCACGGTCAGTAGCTCAACTTCTAGCTCGGATATGTCCAACTCAACTACTGTTGATGCCACCAGCAGCACGTCAAACGCATCGACCACAGCTAGTGTTACTACCACTTCGTCCGAAACTACAGCTGGGGTGACTACAACTTCCCCAACAGCCAACACAACCTGGTCGGCCTGGAACTCGACAACATCCACTACTACTGCAAACTCAACACCAGTATCTGGTGAAACTACTGCTCTTCCCAACAGCACCTGGTCGGAATGGATACAGACCAGCGGCAGTGTTGTAATTCCAACAGGCGGACTCAATGTCAACATCACATCTGCACCTGAAACCGAGACCAAGACAGCTGTAAGCACGAGTATATACGACAGCACCTTCACAATTACTAGTGCAGTTGGCGAATCAACCACTGTCATCACCAGTACTGTGCAACTGACTAAAACTATCACATATACCATTACCTTAACCGCATCTGCCACACCTACCGGCTCGAGAGGCTCTGGAGTAACACCGATTCCTTCTGGTGATGCACAAGAACCAACGTCGACCATTACTATGACGTCCACAACAACCTTGACCATTACATTGTATCCAGAGAAGTCTGGGACTTCAGTGGCTGGCAGTGGCAATGTTGTTGTCGCAACAGGAAGTTCCAACGTTGGCACTGGCTCAGGAATTGGATCAGGCTCCGGAGCTGATAGCGAATCTGACGCTGACAAGACACCAATGCCCACCACAACCATTACTGTTGTGCCTACAGGTGCAGCCAATGCTGGGAATGGCGCTGGAAGTGGTGCAGGTATCGGTCGAGGCAGTGGTAATGGCAATGGTGGCAGTAGCAGCGACTCAGGAGTCTGCTCTGTGATTGTCTCTACAACAACCGTAGTTATCGATCACACGGTCACCGTCGCGCCGACTGCGTCTCCATCGCTCGCGCCTTCTTTCCCTGCAGGTAATGGTACAGAATATTCCAAGTTTGCATCAAGCGGTTTCTTGACCTACGCTAAGCCTACGGGCAAAGACCTGGCAGCGTCGACTGGTTCGGCATGAAGATCGTGAGCAGAACATAAAGTGTCTGCATGACTGGTGCGCAAGCAGCATTTCAATTTCACTTCTTTGGATCTACCACCTTTTGGATGATGTACATGTCTACATAGCTTAGGTCTTAGGACATCTTTTGACGAATGTATGAACAATTTGTATATTCGTCTCAGCAACGGATTTTCTTCAATTTGTTACCGATATACTACAAGTACCAGCTCAGTCCTGATGAACACAAGAATTGCGCCCCACGTATAGAACTACGAAGCCGAATGAAGCCGATATTGGTCGACTTACGTCATCCTCACCGGCAACCAATGATCGTGCTTCGTCTCGCGCAACCTCCGTCAAAATGACCACGGTACTCGTAAGATCGTATGCACATACAGTACTGTACAGTACTCGTGTCCTCATCCACAGCTCCTAATGCTATTATCTGAAACTGCTGATAGGACTGATTAAGGATGGCACTTGGTGAGGGCACCGAGGGGTTGTCCTTGTACTCGTGCAGTCTTCGCTACCGAGAACAAAAAGATCTTGTCGATCGTCATCGAAGCTTGTTCTTCACCGTCCACTCGGCACCAGACTTGTATTTCTCGTCAAACCCTGGTAAGGAGCTGGCCTAGACGTCTCCAATGTGGCTCGTGAACGGTCAGCTACCAGTCATTTGTGCTCTCTGCCCCACCAAGTCCTGCACCAATGCGTAGTCATGGTTGCAGCAAAAAGAGCCATGACGCAGTTCGAGACGTCAGGGCGCGTAAGTGGAAAAGGTGGGAGGTAGAGGGGTGAACGAGCGGATGATGTAGCTTTATAGAGCTGAAGTGTTCACACATCGAGCAGTTCCGAAATATAACGAAACGCAAACACAGCAACAATGGACGCAGCAAGAGCAGCAGTTAGCAAGATCACGAGCCACGGTGGTGAGAGGACCGACGTTGACGAGGTCGTCCGACCTGTCGTCACCGAGGAAGTTGTCAAGCCTCATCGTCATGAAGAGACAACCGAAGCGGTCGACAAGGAGATCCATCAACACCACTACCACACCACAGTCCACCCTCTGTAAGTTGACTCATATGGGTTCTAGTGAACCGTTCGACACTATTTCAGAATCAGGCTAATGCTCTCACAGTGCCGACAAACAAGTCCTCCCTGAACAACACGTTCACAATGTAGCTCCTCAAATCGAACGATCGTTTGAGCATGGAAACCTCGAGCAAGATCGTGCCCGGGCCGCTGCCGAAATGGGTCAGTTCCAGAACACCTCAACCACCCTCGGCACTACACAGTCCACCCAAGCAGCACCTGCAGTTGTCGGCCAGCATGTTCACCATCACGTTCACGAGGTAGTACAGCCAGTTATCCACCAGGAAACAATTCAAAACGAAGTTGTTCACACCACTATACCCATTCATGAGACACATGTCGCACCTTCCGAGCACCATGGCATTTCCATGCTGCCACTGAAATCAATGGACGAATTTTCCAGGACAGGAACCGACCTCAAGAGTGGTCAACACGCCCATGAGGAATATGAAGGACATCCCAAGCCTTACAATGAGTCGTTGCAGCTGGAACGTGCTCCCGTCGATGTCCACCCGGAACAACACGAGGGCAGACATGACCCTGACAAGACCGGTCATCGTGAATGGCTTCGAAGTCATGATGATGGTTCTGGATTCGCTGGCGAATCTTACGGCAACTTTGCTGGCACAGCACCGGGCGCATTCGATCACTCAAGCACTACGAGCACTACAGGTGGTACTGGCTCTGGTATTGGCAGTGGCATTGGCAGTGGCACTCATATGTCTAGTAGCACAAGTGGTGCCAATCCTCTTCATCAGGGAGCCGATGTACGACATGGGTCTGGTGCTTTGGTCGGCGGAACCACTACGGGTGCGGCTTCTGGCCTAGGCAACGAGCTGTCTCAGAACACAAGCTCAAACCCAACTGGCATAACCGGTTCTTCGCTGCCTGGCACGACCGGTACGACAGGTACAACTGGTGGTATGATGGACAGAAGCCACCCGCTGTCTGGAGATACTGTTACAAGTGGTACATCCACTATTTCTTCACACAACACTTCGCGCGGTACGGAAGGTCTCGCAGCAGGCACTGCTGCTGGTCTAGGATCATCCTCACGCGACTCACCAGCTGTTCAACAAGGCTCCGAGAGACAAGGCACACGAGAGCCTTCTAACCTCGAGGGCGGAAGAGCTGGCGCCGAGTCATCGCAACGCGACTTCAGTGATAGCGACAAAGTCCAACACGCATCCAGAATTGGCAAGGATCCCTCACTCACAGAGACCAACGAAGGCAGAGGCAGCAAACTAACAGGCACTGGTGTCGACGGCAGCCACTCCGCTGTCTTTGGACTAACTCCAGGTAAGTGATACTACAACATGAACTACAATTTCATGAACTAACTATCGCAGATGGTCACGTTAACAAGGATACTTCAAGCCAAACAACTAAGTTGAGCGAGCACAACCCATCATCAGCTGATACCGGCGTTGGACCTAGTCCCAGCGACAAGAACAGAGGCGTGGAAGGCGTTGCTGGACAGATGAACGACATGCGCGTTGCTGAACCAGAGCATTCTGGCAAGGCCGAATACCAGCCAGGATCTGACAACAAGCCAGGTATGGGTGCATAGGCTACGAGATGGTTCATACAGGTACCTGGAATGGTTGCTCCTCTTAGTGGTAATATCAGGCTGCGACTACGTATAAACACTTACATCTCAAACGTACAGAGAAATACTACCATACGTCTTTGCGGTCATCTGTATAAACCTACCAAAACGTAGTTGTTGATTATTACGGGGTTCAAAACATCTATTTGCACATAGCACGTTGAGGGAATCGATCAGTGAACTCATTGTTCGCAGCTATGTAACCACGCCGCGCCAGCTCACTGCTGAGTAATCACGAGATACGATGATTTACTTTCTACGGTCCAACTGAATTGGTTAGAAGGGTTCGTACATACTTTTAGAGCGAACACAGTATCATCGCGACAACCGATGATTTGCTAGATGGCTTCTGTCTAACCACATCTGGAGTGAGGAGTGTACTGTACGAGCGACAAACTGTGTGCCAGTGAGCCATTTTCAATCACGAGCAGTTATACTGTACGGCGCTTCGGGATCTACTACAACTAGTGTGGTATGGTCAGCGTGCATGGACGTAAGCAGACATGGAGATATCCGTGGAAGATGCGCCGAAAGGAGTAGTGGTAGCAATGCTCTGGTCCAGCCCTCGAGAGACAAGTTGAAGGAGAGAAGACCTTCTCTGGCAGGCAGCTTCGTGGCCTGTAGAGGGGAAAAGAGCCTAGATTCCTAGCTTAAAAAGGAACTTTGAGTTTCTATTTGAAATGTAGCGTGCTGAATTGCAGGCACTGTTTGGTGTCGGCATTGCAGAGTTCGAGAGGAGAAAATGCTTGATTGATGGATGCATGAGGCCAGCCGTCGGTTAGATATTCTGGCATTTGCTTTGCGACCGTCGGCGCAGGTAAAACATCTGCAGGAGAGGAATTGTCGCTGATCGCGGCGGGCACCCTCTTATTTCGTTCTTGGCACGACTATCGGAATACCCTGGCCCTTCCAGACTTCAATGGAACCGGAAATACTCCGTAGCACAACATGCATGTATGTGTGCTCCTTTGGCTTGGACTTTGATGCAGACAAGCCATGAGCCATCTCTCAGCGGTATTTGCTTGAGAACATGCCAAGACACAAACCGACCACTCCCGTTCGAATCGGCGTCTGACTCTCTGCATGCGCAATTGACCAATCTCAACCCAGGTAGAGGTGGGCTCTTTTGATGACGTTGCCCATAATTACAAACTATCTCCTCACCCCTGGTCACGTTCCGCTGGGAAGAAGAATTAACTCTAAATGCGACTCAAAGGCTTGTCCTTCTTCGCTGCCGTCACGCCGGTGTCGTGAAAATGGGTTCATGTTTGATATCATTTTTCTTAGACTGGCCTGCTTGGCTGGGTTCTAGGTACTATATTATGTCCGTGGTACAAACCCTTCTCGTCTTTTTGCTTGGCCTTTTGGTTTTTTCTTGTCTTGGGTGAAGTGAAAAGTCAAATTCGGTTCGACGGATTGTTTGTTTCTGCAATTCTGGATTATACATTGTGATTGCTACTCATTTTCGATCGTGATAAAAGAGATATCTTCGAATCTTTGTCGAGATTCTAGCCAGTTTCTGTACGGCAGGACACTGTGATTGAGAGCAGGAGAAATAGCAGCTGTCTGCGTGATTGATATTCAGCGGCGACTACGACGGTTTCAATTGTGACGACGAGCAACAACGGCTATTGAGTAGTCGCATTTCGCCTTTTTGATCGACTCAGAATGTGTCTATACCATACATACCACTGGTCATGCTGTCCAGGAACAGCTGCACCCGCACCTTATTACATGAATTCCAAGTGCGATATCGCTTCATTATCACGAAGAACAAAGGTTCGCAAACACCGAAAGTGCAAGATCGAGCATAGGATTCTAGATGGAGCAGATCATGACCAACCTTGTCCGAAATGCGGGTAAGTGAGCTGCGTGAATATTGAGGGATCATGTACTAAAACAATGCAGTCAGGTAGCTTGGGATGCAGTCGAAGAAGTGCCTGCGCTACCCTTTCAGCACACGACCGACCAGACGAACGAGCAGCTGCCTTGGTTAGTGGGCAAATTGGCTCAGCAAGAGGAGGTTTAGGTCGTGCCTGGTGCAGCGCAGTCACAGTAATGATGAGATGACATACTCTTGCATGGAAAGAAGGGTGTACAATTTGCAGCGTTTGAGCATGGCGTTCAGGATGAAATTGTATTATGGTGAATTTATAATATGGCGGCTGCCATGGGCGGATTCAAGTCTTGCTCGGACAAGATGTTTTGCTGCCTGAGTAGTGGTTCTTGCGAGGCAACAGTTGACTCTTCAAGCAATTTCTTAATACCAGCATTCAAGCTTTCGACTTCTCCTTTCCAGGCGTGACCACTCCCTGCCCATCTGATCTTGCAATCTTGGTCTAGTAGGTAAACGTAACCGACTCGAGTGTTCAGGAAACCCATGGCATCCCGCACATCGTCGCTGAGACCAAGCCGAATGTCTCGCGGAAGTTTGACCATGAAATATCGATCCCATCTGTCCTCTGGGATAGTACTTCGTAAGCGATACGAGAACAATTTGACCAGAAAAGCGCCGGCAATGTCCGACTGTACGTTGATATGTACTCGTTGCAACTGCGGAGCATCCTTCTCAAGCAAGACCTGTAATTCAGGATTTGCTTTGGGACTTAAAAAAGTGTCAACCATCTCTTCCGCCCAGTTGTTGCCCTGAATTCCGATGACTGAGATCTTGCCTCTAAGCGCTGGAGTTGTATCCTTTCCGCCGTCGGGACCTTGACCGTCCTTTGATAGAGTCTGACCCCACATGTTTGGGAAATAAAGTGCTTTTTCTTTTTTGAAAAGCCGCTCGTTTGACACGAAACTCTTTCCTTTGTATTCCTTGTCCATACGTTTCCATTCCTGAAAGTAAGGACGCAGGAAAGTTCGAAGGTAGATCTTTCGTCTCTCCAGTGCTCGTTCATAATCAGCGAAGTCTTGCCTCTTCTGAGCAAACGAGCGCTTGTCAATGGGGCTGTTTTGACCTGGCTGAGGAGGAGAATGTAGACCTAGTGGTCTCGATAGAGGTGAAGGTACGAAATTCTCTCCTGCTACACCTTTCGGTATAGGGATTTTTGAGATCGCAGACACATTAAGAGGATTCCTGTCGATTCCTACAGCAAGGGGAATTTTAGCTGGACTTCTCGACCGTAGCAATGGGTCTGGTTCTCGCGGTGTCGAGGATTGACTCTTTCGTGGTCGAGCGAGCGCATAGTGTCGGTGTTGCGTTATTGAAGCATGCACTCTGCGTATACATCTTGTATGCGGACGGGCCACTGCTGCCAACAAAAGATCTACCAGTGTGGTCTTTGCCATGACTTTGTGATGCAGAGCTCAAGATGCTATGGTTCGGAAAGTGAATGAAGGCTGTCACATGAAGACGCGATTTAGTCGCAGTAACTAACGATCCATAAGTCGCGAACTGTGGTTCTAAGCACGGAATTATGCGTTCCTGGCTCCGACGCGTGAACCACTTCCCTCTCTGGTTGTTCTTTGTTCCTGCTTGGTTCACCCCACTAACATTGAGGTCATCTGTTTCTCATCCCTTCCGTGACACAAAGTGAGATTTGACATTATGGGTGTCAACGATTCTCTTCAGGATGGTGTATACCATCGTGCTTCGCTATGGCCCCCTCCTTGACCTCGAAGGACAAGTTCTTCGCTTCTTTAGATACACTAGATGATGAAAGCACTGTAAGCGAGGACGAACCTTTACGCGAAGAGCGCAAGAAAAGACTGAAGACTGAAGATGCTCGCCCGAAGACCTTAAAGACACCCTCTTTGGGTCGATCAGTGACTGTCCAAGAGACATGGCCAACTCGTAGTATTGCAAGGCAACCTCCTCGAAGATCGAACTCCGAGCCGGAAGGCCATCGCACCAAGGCTGGCCTGTTCCAGCATCTCATCTTCTGTGCGTACCTAGATCTGATAAAGTGTCTACCACTAATACTGCTCAGACTTTGTGCCAAACGACAATGTCGCTCCAGTACGCAGAAGGCGTATACAGAGTGCCATCCAGCAAGGTGCAATTTGGAAACGAGATTTAAAGGAGGATATTACTCACGTCATTGTTGATTCCCATTTGGCTGCTGGGGCGGTAGCACGACTGTTCAAAGGACGTATAAACTTCAGCGACGTGCATATTGTGAAGGACAATTGGCTTGTTGAATGTTTGACACACAAGTCTCTAAGAGACCCTAGCGCACACCGCTTTCAGGTCAAGGATGCAGACAAGATCTTTGGCAAAGCGAACGAACCAGAATGTCCAGTAACAGGTCAGGCATCAGCGACAGAATGCAATAGAGAAGATGTGAAAGTAACTCCCCTTCAAAAAGTCACGGCAGTCGCAGCCACGGATGCTTTACACCAGATCATACAGGACCTACAGCAAGCAGATCGTTTGCCCTTCGATGCGGAAGTCGACCTCAAAGAATTCATCTCCGACGATGACGGTCGACAAGGCGGTAGTGGTTATGAGCCATCGTTTTCGAACGAAGCCGGTGTGCTACGGGAAGATAGAGGCTTCAGTTGTATGGAGCCGAACAATGGCAGAAGCTCTGATGGTCTAAACAAGAGAACGATTGAAATTCTTCAGCAAATGGCCACATACTACGATCGAGTTGGTGACAACTGGCGTACGTTGGCCTATCGCAAGGCCGTCAATGCGCTCGACAAGCAGAAAGAATTGGTTGCCACAAAAAACCAGGCATGTAAGATCTATGGCATTGGGTCCCGCCTGGCTGATAAGATCGAGGAGATTGTGTCGACGGATCGCCTCCAACGGCTCGAATCGGTCTCCTCAGATCCGAACGACAAAGCGCTTCAGATCTTCATGGGCATCTATGGCGCAGGTCTTACCCAAGCGAAGTTGTGGATGGACCAAGGCTATCGTACTTTGGAAGACCTCAGAGACAAAGCAACGCTGACTCCGAATCAGCAAATTGGCCTCGACCACTATGACGATCTGCAGCAGCGGATTCCTCGTGCAGAGGTGAAAATGCATGGAGACGTTGTTCAAAAGGCCCTTCTGCGCGTCAATAAAGACTTGGAAGCGGTTGTGGGAGGCTCGTACCGTCGTGGTATGCCAGACTCAGGAGACATTGATGTTATGATAATGCATCCCACAGCCGAGCTTGCCCAGCTCCAAGCATGGGTATTCGACGTTGTCATTCCATATCTGTTCGAGATCGGCTTTCTGAAATGTGCGCTCGCAACATCCCACACGTCAAAAAAGCAAGCACGAACGACGCCCGCAAAGTCTCAGAGGCAGGAAGAAACCACGCCTGGTGAAAACAGCATCGAGCCCATTTCATCATTGGCCACCGGCTCAGATGGCGGCTCGAAGTTTCACGGTGCGTCGTGTTTACCAGATTCCACAGTCTGGCGACGAATCGATTTGCTTCTTGTGCCGGCTTGCTCTCGTGGAGCTGCTATGATCTATTTCACGGGCAATGACATTTTCAACAGATCTATTCGGCTCCTCGCCTCTCGCAAGGGCATGAGATTGAACCAGCATGGACTGTATAGGAATGTGTTGCGAGGGCCTGGAAGGGTCAAACAAACTGAAGGCGAGCTGGTCGAGGGTCGAGATGAGAAGAAGATCTTTGAGATCTTGGGTGTACCTTGGCGAGAACCAGAAGAGCGGAGGTGCTAGGGCTCTGTTGCTGTGATGCCTCGTACTGGGCAGTCGTGCGGTTACTATAGTCTTTGGTCACGTGCCCACTCAGATGCTGTCTGCAGATGCTAGGGCCAGATGCACTATGGTTGGGCCCGTGCTTGGACGTGGTCGATCATACCTTCGGTTTGATTCCACTCTTCCTGATGTCTTCTTCGTCACGATAAAGCCTTTCGCTCATCACATATTCAGCAACCTCCTTTCCAAGCAATTCTTCTAGGGTGTCAGTCCGCTGTTCCACACCTGCCCTTCTACTCTCAGTGCTGCTTATGCCTTTTACGTGCTCAGCATCATCTACCAACTCTATCATCTTCCTCCACTCCTGCTTCATACCTTCCTTTTCTCTGCTCCCATCCCCTATGCCCTCTATATACGCCTCTTGCTCTTGTCTTGAAGTCTCACCATCTTCCCTGTAACATACGCGCAATCTATGCTTGCTCAAAAACGGCTCAAGAACTCGCAATTGCTGGTCGTCAGGGTAGTACTTCGCATTGAATATCCTGACGATGGTGTCAAAACCTGTCAAATGCACTTGCTGCGCATCTCCATAGATTTCAGCTTCGTCGATACAAGCCGCTTTGTCCATGAAAAAGGGCTTCTTCGTCACCGCCACATCAACCACGACCTTGTCATCTGCGAATTCACTCGTGATCTCATTCGCCATGAGACTCATCATGACTAACCTGTCCTCAAAAGCAGCAGGCTTTGGTTTCTTATCCGCGTTCACCGTTGCAAGAAGGAACATCATACGTGCTGGATGTGCACCTTTGTCTTTCAGCAGTGCATTTCGGGCTAACGTAAGATGAGCTTTTGTAGGTGGGTTGAATGACGAGTCGAGGACGTAGAGTGTCTTGATATCCTTGATTTTATGTTGCGGAGATGGAACTGTCTGTGATGAGGCTGAATTGGCGGCAGCATATAGGACCTGAAACTCATCGGAGGACGAGGCAAAATTATGCAGCGTTTCAGCGTAGAGCTCGCGTTGGCGTTTTGCCCATGCTAGGCTATCTTGCCTTGCCTCCATGGTGGCAGATATGCTTCTTGTATGCAGCAACGATTGAGGTCTCAGGAGGTTGATGTGGGCTACTTTACTTTTACTGCGTAGGAGGAAATGCAATGTTCTCATCAGTCACGTATGTGCGTCCGACTGGATAGAGATGCAGCTGTTATTCGGTGTGGTGCTCTTCGGGGAGAAACGGCTTATTAGACAATTCTGCTATTTGGTCCGCATAAGTCGCTCGACAGTCATCCTGTTGCTCAGTCAAGAATCAAGACGTCTCTGCGAGTAGCAAACAGTCTTAAACACACTATGGCCGTGTTTTGGCTTTCGTATGTTTGTTAGGTCCGGCCTGAAATCCAGACATGACGTGGTTGATTGTCAATAATGTCTTCTTTATTTTCCCTCTTCTCTCAGATATACCTCCTTAGTGCTCACTGAACGAGCAACACATGCAGGGCATTCTTGGACAACGCCGCATGGAGAACTTGACGACTTCGCTGGAATGAAGATGCTGAAGTTATATCAGGGTATACGATTCACAGACTGATGTAGCATGAAACGTTCTCATCCTCAACGTGATCGAACTCGTCACAAAAACTGTGATCTCGACCGACTCGACTCGACTCGTATTGCCCTAGTCCCTACGACAAACCCCTTGTGGCCTTAGTGTGAACAGACACCTGAATCATGCGTGGAACATACAGCAGATTGTGTGATAGATGACGAGCTAGAGCACGCTGATGCCGCCTATGTGCTGATCCCAGATACATACTCAGCTCCGAATAGTCGAATTTCTCTTATTTGCTGGTGCCGTTGCTCTACAATGCTGACGAAAATACTGATATAAAGCTAGGTTGAGCCGGGATGTTAACATCATGATGGTATGGTCCGTGATAAATACACAACAAGCTTCGAAGATCTGTTACGGCGACAGCCACGCAACTTCGTGATATCACCCAACGGTGTTCAGCCAATTTGTTGTGCACATGCATGGCGTCAATTCCATACGCATGACTTGGGTTAATTACACAACCAGAAATAAATCTCAGACGCTTTACTGCTTCAATCCTTATCTACCTTTCAGGTTTACTATCAAAGTTACAATACAACCACGACAGATCGCCCAACATGTGCTTGATACCGAGAAACCTACTACCGAGCACCATCACGACGAAAAGTCATGCAAACATGAGCATGTAGGATGTTGCAGACATGCTTCATCTCATAAGAAGGGGAAGTCCTCCCAGCATAACAAAGATCATCGCTATACCACGTCCAACAGTCGTAACGATTGCCACAAAGATAGTCATCACAGAGCGAGGAAGTCTCCGCACAGTGATCAGTCACATCATTCTAAGCACTGCCGTCAGCCAGGCGTGATCAACAACACAGAATCTGAACACCCATCGAGTCCCGGTGTCCATCGCCATCGAGCCTCAATATCGCCTAAGAAGCAGCGCAAGTCTTCAGCTAACACCATCAGTCAATCGAAATCCTGCGGTGACGAAGGTGGATGAACCCATTCAATATCAACGCTACCATGGCAACTACTGGTATGGAAACGTTGACAGACCGGCACAACATCGATACTGGGAATTTCCTGGATGTCAAACGCCTGGCAGTTACCTGACTAACCCGTATGGTTCGGGCTTCCCATCTCAGGGATATCGCGATCACATTGGTAATGCTGGCTATGGCAATCGCTCCTATTGGGATTGGTAGTCCCTACGTTCGCGGCAACTCAGGGCCATTCAATAAGTCCTTGCTTGTGGACAGCGAATGGTCGAAAATAACAGACCTTGGCTGGAGGAGCTGATTGGGCCTGCATCATTTATAGAATCCTCTCTTGGATTGGAGCAGAGCCTCAGTCAACACTGATATTCCTGCAATCCATGGCTTTATGGTGACCTGTACTTACTGCTGCCAGTAAAAATGTGATTTCGACTTTCGAACCTGCATTCATTTAGTATTTGTAGCCAGCTTCATCTGCCCAACCATACTCAGCAATACTTTCATGCAATATTCGGGATGAGCCGAGAGCAGGTAGCACGTAAACACTTTCCGGAGCGTTCGGAGCGGCTATTTCTGAGCTGGAGAGTGATGCTTTCCTTTATATTTCCCCGTCACTTTCAAAGTTCTGTACACTGTCCTCCCCTCTTCCTCCCCTAGCCACCTTCACCTACGTGACATGCCAACCCCCCTCTTCCCCCTCTCCCTCCTCCCCGCGGCAACCACCACCACCTCGCCACCCCTCCTACCTCCGGGCTACACCTTCCGTCCCCTCCAAAACATCGACTTCCACAACGGCCATCTCGAGCCCCTCCAGGACCTCGCGTTCATAGGCACCATCACCGAAGAAGCATGGAGGCAGCGCTTCGAGTACATGGCATCATGCCCCGAGACTTACTTTGTTGTTGTTATTGTGGCGGAGGAGACAGGTAGGATTGTGGGGACGGGAATGTTGGTTGTTGAGAGGAAGTTGTGAGTTTCGTTTGTTGTTCTTGCTTTGTCTTGTTGATGTGGTAGCTGTGGTGGATGTCACATCAGGAGGTTTAGGGGATGGTGTTTGGTTTACGGGGACGATGGTGTTGCTGTGTATTGATGCTTGCTTTTCTACAAGTGAAGATCTGGTATCTATATGTAGCTGACAGCTATCTCTCATTCAGCCTCTTCGAGCTCGGCATACAAGGACACATCGAACACATTGCGATCTCGAAACAGCATCAGGGGAAACACCTCGGATTGTCATTATTGACTGCTTTGAGTCATATTGCGAAGCAAGTGGGTTGCTACAAGGTGTGTCCGAAACAGTGTCTATTGTGCTTCTTGGGTCTTTCGTGGATGCTTACCCAGTGTATAGACGATTCTTGATTGCTCGGCGAAGAATGTCGGATTCTACGAGAAATGTGGCTACGAACAGGGAGGATGTGAGATGCAGCATTATCTTGATGAAAGAGCTAGGGAGCACAGAGTGTAGAAGCAATGTGAGGTAAAGCAAGGGATGGTACGAGAAGTCAGGCAGCGCAGTGCTTCTGCAATGGCTTGTGACTCGAAGCGGGTATTAGATTGCCAGAGGTCCACTCTTGATAGACCATCATTCTTGCACGCTGTCCAGTTCCCGGAACGACAAGCAGATCAGCTACAACTAGTTGTTACTGCTTGCGACTTTCTCGGTATTTGCTACCTTTGTCAAGCTGAGGAAACAAGCGGCCTGGTCGATTCTTGTCTGCCCTTTCGGCTTCTATTTCTGCTTGTGTTTTGCGTCGTGGTTGATTGTTGTTGGAAGGTCTGCGGTTATTACCGACCTCCTCCATTTGTGGTCTTGTCGGTTGCGATGCACTGCCGCTGCTATTTTGACGGCCGACTTTTGTTTCCTCACTTGCTGTGGAATTGTCGAATAAGTCTTGCAGTTTGGTTGCCTTTTGCGCCTCGTTGAGGTCACGAATACTTAGGCCATCACCAGCGACGAAGCCTTGAAATCTATCAAGCAGCTTTTCCAAGTTTGACTTTAGGGCTTTAAATATCGCATCTACTTCTCCCAACTCGTTATCACCTTCAATGCCTAAGGTGGTACCATTTGTGTGCTTGTGAACAAAACCTGCTATTGCCAGGATGCTGTTCATGAATGTCTGCACAGTCGACGGCACACTGTGAATAGCCCTGCCATACTCGTCCTCGTGTAGGCTTTCGACAAGAAGGGTGGTGATGGAATTAATAGCATGCAATGTAAGTGTAGGAGTGGCAGTGGGTGTACCCAGAATAGCAGACAGAATCAAGCGTCTGGGAGAGGTAAGAAGGTAGCGGCCGATTGGAGATTGCTGCGCCTGGTCGATACGAGAATGCAAGGTCTCCCTGGCAGGAGAAGAGTATTCTATAGCAAGTTGCTTGCCTTTCTCCACTGGAGGCTGCCAAGCATCAGGAGAGGAGCCAATCTGCTTGGCTTCGTATGAGATGAAGTTTCCTGCACGTTGAGGCAGCGTAGTGGCAGAAGCTGGCTGTTGATAGATAGACACCTTGGCAGGAGTAGGGTTTGGCAATATACGTGGCAGGTGCTGCAAATTCTCATCAGGAAGAGGACCACCTTGAGCATTGGTGGAGGGTAGTGGAGGTGAAGAGACCAGCTCCTTCATGCGAGATTCCATTGCCTTCACGACGTCAAGACCAGCAGTCAGCATTTGTAAGAACATGGGTGGTTGCGAAGGTCGCTCGATATCAGCGAAGATAGCTTTACGACGCTCAGGATACTTAGTAGCGATAAGGTGAAGTTCCCAGAAAGCGAACGTCTTGACTGTCTGATTCGTGGTCTTGAGTCCTTGCAAGAGAGTGCCATTCGGATCTTTGCTCAAGGTACTGAGAGGAACGCCGTTCCTTATTGGTTGTTGCATCATGAAGCGCTTGAATAGAGCGAGGTCGATCTGCCAGGTCAATGACAGTGCAAAGCCCCACAAGAAGACGTACAACATGATTCCGCCGACATAAAAGGAATCGGGAGGGTTGGCCTCGGACCTGGCAATGCTCGCTATTAATCTTGCAACGACGATATGCGATTTCCACAGGGAGTTTCTCAAGAAACCATTGTAGAAAAATGGGCCAAGGATCGAAGCAATTCCTGAGGAAAGGACAGCAGTTCTGAACATGACACTGACTTGTGGCATCAACCAAGCTCCAAGAGAAGCGACCTTTGTATCTGAAGATTCTTCCTTCGTATATCGGGGTGCGGAAGAGGCATCCTGATAGAGGTGTAGGAAGGACTGGATGACAGCGATGATAATGAAGAAGATGCGGAAATAGATGGGTCGTTCGTTCAGTTTGTCTGGAGCGCCATAACCACCATTGATGATCCAGCCCAGCTCTTGTGATGGAGGAGATGTGAACACGAAGGCTTCACAGAACCAGAATGCGGAGATTGTGTACCAGAACAGCACGGCGTAGGTCGAGTAGCTCGAGAAGAGGATCTTGATGGTGATCCAGTTTGAAGGGGTACATCGATGTCCGAATTTGAGATTTGAGATTTGTAGTAAGAAGACAAATAGGCTGCTTATGGTGAAAAGTAGTGCTTTGATACCAGATGGGCCAATGGGGAAAAAGGCCCAGAAAAAGGCTGGAACACCTGTATACCAATCACTTGCAAGGCCAGCAAGGACTTGGTGCCATATCAGCGCAAGGCTCGCAGCGTGTACGAATCGAGTGTGTAGAGCAGAGGTGAGGAAGCGGCGATATGGCCGTGGTTTGGCAGGGCCTGGCATTGGCGACGCCATCGTGGTCAGACTCAGGTCGGGGAGGAGTAGATTATAACCGCATTTCGACGCAGATGGGCTGTATAGAAGAAATGCAGCACGAGACAATTTCTCTTTGCGTCAAACACACCACGAAAGTAAACACGAGCTTGTGACGCGCGAGCACGTGCAGGCGTCGATCCTGCGGTTAAGCCCTAGCAGCCGCCAGACGCTCTTTCCAGGCTTCACTATTCTTACCACTTCCACTTAGCCACTCCAAGGAGCAGCGCATTGCTACTACTATATCGTGAAAGCCCGACTTCTGAAGTCTGACGAAAGCCATGTCGTTCGACCGCTTGTCCAGCCTAGAATCGCAGCCGACGACGACACGGCGACAGGACGATGCTGTCTATCGAGATGATCCGGAATTCCAGCGCTTCACAGAGAACCTTTCTACGAGACTGTTCGAGCTCGTGTCCAATGTATCACGGCTTTCCAATGAGATTGCCAAGTTAGGGACTTCACGCGACACAGAGCGAGTGCGTGAGAGAGTACACAATTTACTCGAGGAAACTCGCGATGGCTTCAAGGACGTTGGAGAGGGTATCAAGAAAGCGCAAAGCTGGGAAGATCTGAACGTGAGTGGTACAACATATTTCGCATTCGAAACGTGAGAATTGACGGAGTTAGGCCGCCCAAAAGTACACAAACCAGAAACTATCCAGAGAATTCTCAACCGCCCTTACTGAGTTTCAGGTGGTGCAGAGGAGAGCCCTAGAAAAAGAAAGACAGTCCAAAGCTGCTTTAGAAGATGCTTCAGGCACAGTACAATCTCCTTCTGGAGAAGGTCAGCAACAATTGCAACAGATGGACCAGCCACAGTTGGCAGAACAGAGTGAAGTCGACTTCCAAGAAAACCTGATAATAGAACGAGAAGGCGAAATTCGACAAATCGAGCAATCCGTTGGAGAGCTAAACGAGTTGTTCCGAGACGTTGCGCATATTGTACGAGAGCAAGGTGATATGCTGGACACGATTGACGTGAACGTCGAGAATACTTTGCAGGATACCAGAGGAGCCGACGTCGAGCTGAGGAGTGCCAGCCGCTATCAAAAACAGGCACGAAATAAGGCGTGCTGTCTGTTGTTGATTCTGGCTATAGTGCTCGTTATTGTTGTTCTAGCCGTTGTATTGGGCTAGATGTCGTGCGTTCCATTGCACAACTGTCCTCTGACGATTAAATACTGTAGGTAGACTATATAATGGGACACGGAGTTGGTCTTTCATCACCACTCGATCTTTGATGTAGTAGCTGTTTCTCTTCTAGATGTTCAAGGCCGTGAACACGCGTAAGGATCCATGACATCATATAGACCAACTGACCATTTTCTCTACGCGGCGCGTCAAAGTGCTACGCGTACCAACGCACATACTTGGTAGCTCGGTGACGTTTACTTACTCCTCCGTTTGAGCTGACAGCTTTGAATCTGTATAGTAGTTCACATCTTATACAGCATATCATATGGCAATATGCTGCCAAGCCCGCCTGCCGAGATGGCATGTCAATCTTCGGTGAAACGAAAGCGAAGCGATATTGAGGCCGAAGAGAAACGCGACTGCTCCTTCCAACTCGAGAATCTGAATACCAGCTCCTTCCACACGTTCGAGTCACTCTCGAAACTTCTTCGAGCTCATATCCCTCTATCATGGTTGTCTACAAATCCTGCAAATTCCTCCATACCTTCGGGGAGCATTCTACAGGGCGCCATCAAGCATGTCACCTCATGGGAGTACTCTGTGCTTGCGGTTCGAAACATACCTAACGGAGGCTTGTTCGTCCTCGAGAAAGTCGATAGTGACGTCTTCGTGACTCATCCACTCCAACCATTCGTAACAGAAAAATGGCTCCAAGACGCCAGCGTTGGCGCCGTACCACCAGTTTCGCTGCAGATGGTGCTTCACTATGTTCCAGAGCCAGAACTTCCTATGCAGAATACTTCAAGACGGACGCCAAGTCTCTCCTCACTTTCAGACCTGAAAGTTCCAAAGAATCGCCGTGGTGCAGCTGCAAGGTTGTCAATCTTGAGCCATACCAGCAAACAAGAAGAAACCACTCCGTCCCCAATGCTAGAACAGGTACCGGCTCATGTCATACAACCCGAGGTGCCAGAACAGCAACGAGATCAATTCCAGTCTGCGGCTGGGCGCTACGGATATGCGGAAGATATACCTGAACCCGCCCCCTCGGTTCAACATATAGCAGAAGATCAGTCTCTTCCTGATATTGTCCAGCGGGACATGCTAACCCCCGACTACCTCCGTCAACGATATCTGGACAATCTGTACAGAAGCAAAGAGTCGTTGGCCTACTACACCAAAGGTCCCTTGAGTCGTGCTAGGGTTAGAGCTAGGGCCCCCGATGCTTCCATGACTCTTTCTGAGCTAGCAGCCTTCTATAGAGAAAGTTTACTGCCTGTTAAGAAGGAAGAGCTGAAATACAAACAAAGCATTAAGCAGCTCATCGTGCAGAGTGTTTCGACTCAACGTCCTGATTCTGGTGAACAGCTTCCAGAAAAGAGATCAGCAAGAAAGAGGACAAAGTTAGGGAAAGACGGTCTTTGGCCTGCGGAACACGAATACATTCTTCGTTGGTGGCAGGCTAGGAATCTTGCGCCCCTTTCCAAAGAGCACCAGGAAGCCGAACTAGATCGTGGTATCGCTTCGTTGCGCATGCGTGACGCACAAATGCAGATTATCCACATCCTTGAAATCTTATCCATCGAGGCCAAGCAACCCAAGTTGTCGTTGCCCGAGGAAGAGACCACCACGACTGCTGGAGCTGAACACCTGGATACTAAGATGGTTTCAATCGAGTCCGATCCTCCTGCTCAAAAATCAACCAAGCCAGTTAAAAAGCGAAACCTCGAGACCGACCTCGGCTTGCTTGCAGACAAGCTGTGTATATGGCATGTCCTTGGGATGGAGAGCCTACTTCCATCGGTGGATGATCCGGAACAGAGTAAGATTGACGATGCAACCTCTCGAGATAGACTGCGCAGTTTCTGCACCGATGTTCTCATTCCCTTCTACAATTCAAAGCTCCCTCTGCTCTGCAAGTCCCTCTGCAAAACTCTTGCCGGGCCTGAAGTCTACGAGCAAGTCCAAAAGGCGGCGAGAATCAAGGACAACCTCGCTCAGCCATTCCCCTCAGCCACTACTGTGAGGAGTCGACCTTCATCAAGAGCTGGGACGCTGCAACGTGTTCTTAGTGAAGAAGGCATACAACTTCCTTCACCACCTCCATTAGCCCGTTCCTCTACCCTGCCGCCAGTACCGCATTTCAAATCAGAAACCTCTGATCTTTCACGAAGAACTCCTGACAGACAAGCTTCTCTTAGCTTTTCTAACCGCTTGGTCGACCTCGAAGCCGACTCACAAGCCACTGCTCACAAGAAAAGGAAATTGGAACGTGTCGCCAGCCAGAAACAAGAATTGGCAGCAGCTATCCAGGCCTTAAAGAAGCCAAATCGTACCCGTGCAGGAAAGGCATATATGGACGAGCTTGAGCAGCGTAGCTTGGAATTAAAGACTCCCATACTCATCACAGCCACTCCTCGAGCAGAACGTCGGAAAACAATCGACGATATTCCGGCTTTGCCTCCGCCCCCCTTGCAAGACCTGGCGATACCATCCTCTACCATAAAACCAAGGGCTGGGGGAGCTTCCTCACACGTTTTGCTACCATCATCAAGTAGGAAGAAGGCGGTCTTGGCTGCTATCAACAGTACTCCAACGAGGGGCACATCAAGGTTATCGGATCCTCTGCAGATATCCAACAAGTCAAGCACGGTCCAGCATTCAGATCTGGTCAGCAAGCAAGCAATGGAAACTATCTTCAGTACGCCGAAAAAGCAGGTCAAGACTCCATCCGCCAGCAAAGAAAACGGATTTCACCTCCCTGATCTTGCTTTCAAGACAATGGATCGAGCTATGAAGATGCCGGTGGGAGATTCAATCTATGATGAGCTCGGTTGGAATGACGACGATGAGATGTGAAATCTCACATGGGCACCTCTATTCGAGATAGGATGAGTGACCATTTTGAGAGGATTTGCCATATAATCTGACACTTCATAATAATACCTGGTCAAGTTACCTGACACTTGGGTTCCACATACCTGTCCTTAGACATTGTAACGATCAACAGGATGATTGCCATATTTTTGACGTCATCCAGTACTAAAGTACGTTTCAAATAGACCATGAGATGTTGGCCATCATGCGACATGTGGTTGGCGAGCACGTGCTACCAACGTGGTAACAATCAAAGCATCAGTTGTCTGCTAGGACTGAAACGTGAATCTCGATACTTGTACTTGGCACAGCAACTTCTACTGATGTGAGAGACATTGTCTGACATAGAGCTTTCAAGCCACAGTTTGCGATTGACCTCTGACGACTTAATGTTTCACGGGTAACATCCTCGTGGTTCGCGAATCAGGTTTTGTGGTACAGTCTGCAACCGAGCATCCACCATCCCACATTGTGGTCAATGATTGGGGAAGTAACGGTTTTGCACAGCCACACGAGCCACGTTTGTGGCTTCTCGAACATCGGGATTCGGGTCCTAAGTATACACACTTTCCATGATTGGTCAAGATGCAAGATCGACGAGGCCCTGCATCAACGTGTGTCGAGTCCATCAAGCCATTGATATCATCAACCACTCACATCAAGTCCTCCATGTTCTGAACAGCTCTAGGCCAAGTAATTCGACAGCATAATCCTTGCTTCACAACGTCAAAGTTCCAGTCGCATCGCAATTCCATTCCCCATGTTGCAAGCTCCAAGTTTTTGTCTCTGAGGTTGACCTCTGCTTCGCCTACCCAGGTCGACCTTCAGATATTCTGCTGCCAATGCTCCGTGCAGGTGTTTAGCTTTTTTCTCCTACTCTCAAACGATTATTGCTATGTTGTTGAATGTTAGAACTGACTGATTCACCTTCAGCTGGTAGAAACTGACCGTCGCCATGAAGTTCCACAAGCTCGTGCCAGTATTATGCCTGGTGACTGTCTCATCAGCACAAGCCGATTTTTTCAGCTCCTTACTATCCGACGCACAATCCATATATACTGCCGTTACCTCGATATTGGCTCCTACAACAGCTTCCACGACAACATCTACAAGGGCGACATCAACTTCGAGTAGCAGCACTTCCACCTCCTCAACTTCCTCCACCTCATCGAGCAGCACCACCTCTGTTAGCAATGCTTCAATCACGCCTACACCAACCACAACTCCGTCTCTTACATCTGCGTCTACTTCGGTGGCAGCTGCGTCACAGTCAAGCTCTGCAAGCACTTCTGGGGGTGGCGGCGTAGATACGCTTCCTATCGTTCTGGGTTGCACGCTTGGAGCTCTTGCGCTTGCCGCTCTTTTGGCTCTGCTCTTCCTTTGCCATCGACGTAAGAGACGTTCTGCTAAATCGGCCAAGCACCGACCACTCTCACCAGACGATGATGAGATCAATTCATGGAGACATACGAGACCGTACGTCCGGTCAGAAAAGTCTCCTCTAGGACACACCGTGCCTATCGCAGGCACAGCTGCTACAGCTCCGTTGATGTCCGAGCGAAGCACTTTATATCCTGATCACCATCATCAGAATCCTTTTGTTCCAGTGCCACCACCAGCAAGAAGAACTCACTCTCGTGCCGGTCTACAAGACGTCACTGAATACTCTGCTCACCCATATTCTCCTGATCACTTCCCACCCCACAGCAGGCCGATGTTTGAACCAGCACAACACGATCGGGATAACCATCATGCCATGGCAGCTGGTCTGGGAGGGGCAACACTAGGAGGTCTAGCTGCTCACGCACGTGACAGACATGTGAGAAAACGATCAAGCAGCAGAGGACGACACACCGATGACAATCCGCGATATAGCGAGGCCGAACACAACACTCTACCCGAGGCTGCCACAGTGGACAGAAGGTCAGGAAGTGTTAGCAGAGCTAACGCGAAAGAGCCTTGGCCATTTATGGATGCATCACGAACGAGTATGGACGGTTCGACATCTCGCAGTCGGAGTCTCAGTGTCAACCACGAGCATTATATGACACCTGATCAACACCCTGTTGAGTCCATGCCTTCTTCATCTGGCTTTTTCAATGGCGCAGCCGCTGGGGGTTCTACGGGGCTGCTTGCTCCAAGAAGGACAGGAGGTCGAAGCCCACAACGAAAAGGTATATTGAAGAATACGACTTCACAATTTTCTACTTCGTCCTCCTCGTCTAACGATCGCACGTATTCGACACATTCAACGGTAAGCCCTGAAACTGAAATGGCAGATTCAGGTCCACATGAGCTGGAAAGTGCGATTATCCCACCATTGCCGGTACAACGTGAAAGACGAGACAGCGCTCTGGGTACTGCTGCTCCTATGGGTGCAGCTGCAGCTCACTCGAAGTTTTCAAAAAGTGGCAGTGAGAGTCCTAGATTATCCATGGTACCACCACCCATTCATACATCGGAGCCGAGCTATGACCCTCCTCATGTTCCAAGCCGAAGTCCTAAACGTCACAGTCTGGATCATCGTGCTCGCTATTCATCTGCAAATGAAGGTACTGTTGAACTTCCTGCACACTTCAACAGAGAAGCGACAGTTTCGCCTCCACTCGAACCATCAGCCGCCGAGCATGATCTGACTTCGCCAGTGTCTCCGATCAATACTTCACAGCCAGGATCATGGTCAAGAGCACAGGCCGAACAATTAGGCCTTGACCCTAACGGTGTAGCAGCCAAAACAGCAAGCCAGGAGAGCACGGCAGCTGGCTCAATATCGCCAGAAGATAAGTCGGACGATCCTAGTAATCAATCTTCGGGTCTCGTTTCAGCCATACAGAAGATCTTCAGCTCTTCGAACAGCGCCTGGAACGACCAGGAGGACACGACGAGTCAAATGCTGATCCGTCCCGACAACAACTACCACGATGATGTGGATCGTCGATATCGCAGTGTACCTCAGCGCAAGCCAGCACCAAGCAGATCATCCGTACAATCCCACAGCCAATATGGTGAAGTTAACCAGGCGAACGTGGATACGATACCAGGTGCATGGATGGAAGAAACAGCACCTCTGCAGCAAGCCCGACATCGTCCCAGTGGCGATTCCGCTCGTTCGCAACCGCCACAGTATCGATCACGAGACAATAGTCTAGGCCAAACCAGCATCAACGACTTTGCACCTACAGTCCCAACAAACATATCCTCAAACTCAACTCGCCCACGAGCACGATCCCGTCCCGGCTACGGCATAGGCTCCGGCGACCCATTCGACCTCGCTCGCGTCCGAACAGACTCATCCATGACCGGTCTCTCTCTCGCAAACTGCCACGAACCTGGCACCGACGCCTCTCCACGACCACACTCCTACCGTATCTCAACCGCCTCAAATCCGTATACCCACCAGGAACCAACACTTGCAGATCTCAGACGACAAGTCATGGCAGAAGACCGTGAGCGCGCACGACAATCTTGGAGGAAGTCGCAGTCTAGAGAGCGGAAGGATAGTGTTGGAAGATATGGTAACGATCAGGAGTTTTTTGATCTTGTGGATCAGACGACGGGGAGTGGGAGGTTTTATGCTGAGAGTGCTGGTGGCCAGAGAGGTGTTGCTCCTGTTGGGTGGGCTGTTTGAACAGCTATACAACTGTTGCATAGTAGCATTGCTTCGGCGCGGTCTAGTGGGTTAGGGCACAGCCTTGATCAGCTGTTGTTGTTGTTGTTGTTGTTGTTTTTTGATTCCCCACCTAGGCATTATGGATGATGGCACAAATTACGATCTACGTGAATATACGAACACGTGCAGATCATAGATGTCTATAATATGAGAGCATCTGAGACATAAAAGGACGTTTCTTTTCTTGACTATTAAATCACTACACCAAGCTGCAATCTTCACCTATTATCTTTCCTCTGCTTCTTCCTCGGCGGCTGTCCATTCACTTGAGCAGCGCTACCCTGCTGCTGAGCCTCTTTATATTTCTCCAGCATCGCCTCCGTCCAATCCAAAGCCTCTCGAAGCAATCTCTTCTCACCTACCCTTACATTCAACGCCATCCTAAGCCTCCGCCCAACACCACCGTCACTCGCCTCCCTCAACAACAGCCCGTCATCCACGTCCACACTAGTCTCATATTCCGCCATGCGCTTCCTTACAATCGCCTCTAACACAGTCAAAGTCCTATTCTTAACAAACCGCTTCTTATCTTCCTCCCCCGTCAGCCTCTTCTTCCTCATCTCGCCACTTTCTAGTCTTGTGACGAGCTCGCTAATTATGCTGACGAGTTCTTCTGGAAAGGCGGTGAATCTGGCTTCGGTGGTGCAAAGGCCGTATTCGTCTGGGTCGCCTGCTTCGCGGTCTAGGAGAAAGCCGTTTTCGAGGTCGAGTGTTTCGTAGTCTTCGGTTTCCGTGAGTTGTGATATGGTTTTGTTGAGGGTGTCTGCTGCTGTTGCTGCCGGGTCGTTAGGTATGTGCAGTGTCTCGCTAATTACAGTTTTGACTTGATCCCAGCTGATCTCGACGACATCGTACCTAGTGTGTTTTGGGCTCGTGTAGCCGTAGCGTCGTAATAGTTCTCCATTGGGGAGTGGTCCGTAGTAGTTTAAGACCTCTTCACCAGCTTTTATCTCTCGTATCGAGGTCATGGTTAGATTTTCCTCGCCGTGGGATAAGTGAGCGTTGAATTCTGCATCGGCGTTGAGCATATCGGCCATGGGTACCATGCCCATTGTCGAGGGTTTAGATCGGTCTTCTATCCATCCATCCTCGTTCTCTTGGTTGTCTTCGTCGTCATCGTCTGGTTGAAGGTCGAAGGCATAGGACATGATTAACGAGCCGATAACGTGACATTTTTCTAGTAGTTCGTCGTCAGTTAGGTGAGTAGTGTTGGCTGGGTAGAATATATCGGTATGCTTATTGACGAACGGTATCATTCGCTCCTGGAACATTCGATTTGCGGAGTCCTTGCCTATCTTCGATCGCATTGCGGACGCTTGCAGTTGGCTTAGTTCCTCTTCTCTCCAGAACATGAGCGTGTCGAAAGAAGATGGCTCTCGTGGCAGCACGTCGAAGTACGACGACCATTTCGAGGTCCTCTGGTGGAAAGACTCGTAGAGAAGAGTAAGGATGAGGTTTAACCAGGAGGTTGGTAATTCGGAACCAAGCTCATCTGAATCCTCGCCGTCTGCGCTGTTGCTGTTATCCAGCTGACTCGCGTCCTTCTGCACATCAAATAGTTCAGGAAGTTTCCTGGCAAGCTCTGAGGTGTCCTTACTGATGATACAGCTTCTAGGTATGGTGAAGAGATCTGTGTCTGGAGGAATGTCAGCCTTAGCTATTATGCCTCGGCCTGCTCCACGTTCTCTGAGGTCGACAATTTCTAGAGATGGATGAAAAGTCGTGCCTGGGTGTGAGTTGAACCAGTTTAGGAAAAGTTTGGTAGCGGTATCGAAGTCGGCTGAGGAACCCATGTTTTCAGCATGCCTGTTCTCGATTGACACGATCAGGCTATTCGCCCCAAGTATACGAAAGCCTCTTGAGCCACGGAGAGATATCTTCTAACCAGCAGTAACAGAGAAATATTCTCGAAGTAACCAGGAAACTTTTTACGGCGGGACATTCGAGCCAATACAGCATCTTCCTGCCGATGACCTGGCAACACGACAACGATAACCACTTCTACGAGGGACTTACGATAGAATACTACAGCATGTAGCGAGCGAAGAATTAGCGAAAGCAAGAGCTGTAGTGCATGATGGACAAATACCTGTTGATGAGGGTTCAGTAAGTGGGCAATCATGGAGACATGACTGAATAAGCGAAAATTGATATTCTCTTAAAATAGTCAAACAAAGACACTGACTCCGTGCGCACAATAAATAGCGAAGGCTCGGAAAAATGTTGTTCAACTCCTGCTCATTTGAAGGTTTTCATAACGCCGCAGTAGTTAAATATATGTATGCGAAAAGGCCCAAGTCGATACAGTCTCGCGAAATATCTCGTAGGGAATGTCGTGAATATGGTGGATAAGAATGTATTGCTGTTCTGATCAATTCCTCAGTAATGTTGTGTCGATGTCCATTGGGCGCTGGTAATCCTTCACCTAGCATCCAGCTGCAGTCCAAGTCGGATTGTCAGTCACAGTCCATATAGACTATGCCTTGGTTGCATTGCTGTAGGTTGGCAATTCCGAAGACTCGTTCTTAGAACTTGCCTTGCGGGCCCTGCGTCTCTCAATCCTTAGGTATTCCCGCACTGCTTCTCGGGCTATCTTTCGTCTCTCATCTTGCTCCCGCAGCTCACGCTCCTTGGTGAGCTGATCCTTGTTGCCAGTCTTCCAGCACTTCTTCCACTCTTTGAAGAACTTGGCACGAGGGCTCAAATTCCAGTCGCTTTCCTTCTCTTCCCTCTCCTTTGCTTTTTGGTCTCGCTTGGCTGTGTAGTACTCCTCATCCTCCGAATCAAGGAAGTCCTCCTCTTGGTCAGAGTCAGATTCTTCGACTAGTGGATTGGCTTCGGAACTTGCGATGCCGCCCTTTGCACGACGAGTCTTTTCCTTCGACCAATGCCGGGTGGCAGCAGCGGCAATGCATGCTGTAATCCAGAGAGGTGACGTGACAAAGAACAGGAAGAATCCGCACACGAAGATGCCGAAAACAGTATCCTCGTCCATTTTGTTTGCGGTTTCGATTGAAAAAAGTGTGAACTTGTGGTTGTTTTCCGGAAGAGGTAGGAGAAGAGCGAGGTAGTTGAATGTGGTGTTCATATGAGAGGAGAAATACGTAACGCTTGCCACGAAGATGTGGCTGTGCTTCGTGTCACGGGATCCGTCAATTGCTGCCTAGCTCGTGATTCTGCCTGCCTATTAATGACGCACGTTAATTTGAGATTGCGCTCGAACTTGCTTGCGTATTCGATACCAGCTCGATTGCTATGAAATATTCAATGCAAGTTTACATACCATTATCACACATCTTTCACATTAGTGAAGGGCACTTATTCGCTGAATACAACAGCTGTACAAAATCTTTGCTTGCCATATCTATAAATCGCACACGAACAATGACTGTTCGTCAAGCTTCGTGCTCGTCACTTCTATGTATCCTTTACATCTTTGTACACCCTAAACGTTCAGGTCACCATTCTTTAGAAGGAAGGTGTATTGAGGGTAAGTCCCATGAGACCACCACCGATGAGACCAGCGATAGGGATCGTCACCAACCAAGAGAGGAACAATAGACCAACTCGCTGCCAGTTCACTGCCTTGAACGTACCGTTGCAGAGACCGACACCGACGGTAGCACCAGTGATACACATAGATGTAGACACTGGAAGTTTGAATTGCGAGAAGAGAAGGATAGTGATGGCGGCACCCAATTCCATGGAAGAACCACGAGAAGGAGAGTGGTAAGTAATCTTGTTACCCATAACTAGAGCAGGTTAGCATGTGATTCTCGTGCACAGACGGAGTAAACTCACCCTTCATGATATTGTAACCATAGGTGATGAAACCAATGCAAATGGTCAAAGCAACAACGGCAATTTGCCAAAGTGGTACTGGTTCCTTAGCCTTTGCAGCATTACCAGTCGACCAGGCGGCGTACATGGCAGCCCAGACACCGACAGCGTTTCCGACATCGTTGGCACCGTGAGCGAACGAGGCTGTGCAAGCTGTAATGATCTGGACAAAGGAGTAGAGGAACTCAACCTCGTTTTCGTACTTTGGTGCATGAGCGTAGACACGATCCATACGACGACCTTCTGGAGTGCCCAAAACACCGACCTGAGCCTTGTGAATGTCATAGTAGAGACCATAGGTACAAGCAACGACAGGGTAGGCTGGCAGTCGACAAAGGAGAGCCTTCAAGTTGTGCTTCTCATAGATGGATCCAGCACCGAATGGGTGGCTGTGCAGCTGTCGCATAGCCCATCCTAATGGTCCTCGGTTCCTTCGGAGCTCAGCGTGATGACGTTCAGTTGCTCTCTTCAATTGTAGTTTGTAGTCAGCTTGGGAGTGACCAGGAGCAGCAGGGCCGTGCTCGACGTAGGCAAGTGAAACTCGGCGACCATCGGTAGGAGGAGTGCTAGCATCGATCTCGCTACCGCTGCCGGTATCCTTGACGGTTGTGGTAGTTTGTGGATTCTTGAGATCGGTCATTTGCTCAGAGTTGGCATCAGTCTCTTCGTCACCATCACCATGTTGCATGACAGCGTAGTTGGGAACCTTGGCCCGCTCAGCTCCGACAGGGACAGGTCGTCGGAACAGTAGAGGACCCTGCCAGATATCCCAGATTCTGAGGCTGTGGTCCTTGTTGATAACCTTGCAGTAGACATAAGGCATGAAGAAGAGCGCAGCCAGAGTGGCAAGTCCAACACCAGTACCAACTGAAACCGATGCAATGAAGTAAGCTGGCTTCTTGTCAAGGCCAAGCTTTGGCGAACCCTTGTATACGATCGACAAAGCACAGATCGTGCCTGCGATGAGGAAGAAGAAAGGCGAGCTGTAGACGGCCCATGGCACTGGGTTGCTACGCATGTGAACGACCAACTTAACCAGCATGAAGATAACAGATGCAAAGCCTGCTGAGATCAAAGGAGCCATGATCAGACCGCCGAAGATGGCACCAAGACCTGATCCCTTGTTCCAGCCCCACTGGACACCTTGGACACCAACAGTGGCAACACCAACACCTGCGATGGAGGAGACGAGGGAGTAGGTCGAGGAGACGTGAGCGTTGTGTCGAGTACACCACATAACCCAGATGGCGGCACCAGCAGATGCACATGTAAATGCCAAGAGTTGGACTGGTGCGTTGCCCTGGAAGGCTGAGATGGGGATGATTCCGTTCTTGATGGTGGAAGCTGTTCGAGCTCCTACAGCCAGTGCGCCTGTCATCTCAAAGATGAGACATAGAACCATGGCTTGTCTGTAGGTGACTGAGCGCGATGAGACACTGGTAGCCCAGGCGTTGGCAACATCGTTAGCACCATTGTTGTAGGCCTCAAGGAGCGCAAAGAACGTGCCAATGGCAAAGATGTAGGTGTATTCTTCGAGCACCATTTTGAAAGAAGTAGCTTGACGTCTGCTCGGGGCTTCTCAGAAGTTGTGTATCAAAGTAGTGGTCTCTCAACTCAATTTTCGAGAAAAGCGACCTATATACATCGCTTCCCATGTTGGCCATTCTCTTTTGGCGTAAAAGTGTTGCATCGAGCAAGATCCTCTTGTAAAACTGTGGATTTGCTTTTCGAAGAGGTTTTGGTCCTCTGAGGATTGAGTATTCACCCACGTGGGCTTCGGAAAAGCTGCTGTTTGGCAGACAACATCGTGTTGAGGAAGAGCCCGAAGCTGAGATGCTGGTAGCTTGGCAGCCAAGAGAGCCAAGAAAGACGGAGGATCCGAAAAAGCTTTATTCGCTCGGCGCCAGCAAATGTCCACCAATGATCGTTCAGTGAGAAACCCAACAGCCATTGACAAACTTTTTCTGCGAACATGATTGATTGCTTGGGCGCAGGCCAGACCTTGTGACGTTGGATCTTCTACCTCAGATAGGACAAGTGCTGTAGCTTGATAGCGACTCGAAATTCTGGAATGACAAAAACGTGAACCATGTCGAGCCCTAGAGCTCCATGGTGGCTTTCGCAAGTCAAGCACTATGATGCCAGCTTGCAGTGATCGAAGGTCGATCTAGGAACGATTTAATCCCAGTCTGACGATCTAGGTCCCTACCAGAAGCGCAGGTACCTTACTACAGTACTATTGACATCAGAGCAGGTTCTTCAGGTTGATTGCGCCATACAGTATCATGCTCTCGGTCAAGTCCATCCAGATCAGAAGAGAGATGCGTCTCTATATCACGACTGCAAGCTTTCGGCAGCAGAGGCCGCAGGTATCGGGATAAACGTGCAAGTCCTGCTTTGCGAGATAACTCCGCCGGACATCGTAGGCGAGCATTGATTAGCTGGGAGTTCACAGCTGGAGTTCAGTTCGGCTTCGCCTGCGATGGCTAATTTTGGATAGCAAAAATCCTTCCACCAAGACAAGAAGAAAGAGCCTGGAAGGTTGCAATGGTATCAAGTGCGTGTTAATAGGCGCATCAGAAGCAAGCAATCATCCAGATGGTGTGACCTTCGCAACGCATGCGGAAAGCGACCGATGGGGTAGACTTTGAACCATCAGCAATCGTGCCAGATGGGACAAGCCCTTGACCACAGATCTGATTTGGCTAACGAACTCAATCTCTTGCTTGGAGATTGGATGTTTGCAGGTACTCAACTGGACAAACATCGCAGGCAAACCGACCACTTTCCGAGTATTTGTACTGCTGTGACAGGACCAGCGTTGTGGCGAGCGCGTTCCTTGACGACTGCGATGAATGATCGGTTGAGTGCTGGGGCGCTGAACACAATCTCATCAATGGTAATTGCGGTCACCGGGTCACCTGCCACCCTATGCCAAGGGTTAGGGCACGACTGACGCTATTTACGTTGAGACTGCTTTGTCCTTTAGCCTGTGTTCGCTTTGTCTGCAAGCCTTTCAACCCCGAGTGTACGCTAACCTCATTGACGCCATTGTCAACCATATCAAGAACCAGTATAACGAAACGAAGCTCTCAAAGTCACACCAACCGCGTTAAAGTATGTATGCGCTCGAGCGTGATTACCACGCCATGAAGGGGCTAGGAGATGTGGCCGTACTGCACCAAAATCGGCAGACCCTCATTGAGGCTTGTATCAAATGTATATTCATCGGGTCTATACACATTGCTTGTGCAACTGGCAACCACTGTCCGTTACTTCGGTCCTGATTTATGTCGGCAAGTTACGAATCCCCGTCATAATGCTGCCATCTACGACAAGCAGTTTGCCGAGTCTCTCTTTACGGGCAAGACGATGCGCTCCTACGGGAAGCTGGTAAATTGTTCTGCAAAAGACCACGGATGTGTTCAAGGGAAGGTCTAAAGTAAGTTTCGGTTCTTGTCGGCCCTCATGTTGGTTGATAGCACATCACTGCCACAGTGACCATTCAGCACAAAATGAATATTGGACCTCGTGGTACACACGACAAACGCGACGTGGATGTAAGGATGAGATGAAGTGTAAGTTAAATTTTGGTTTAGTGAAGGTTTCACCTCTTTGTGTATGTTCACTGCAGACAAATGCCGGTCGAGTGACAACGGAAGCGCGTATCGTTGCGACTTCACAACACTTCACTGACCCGCGTGCCACTTAACATCGCTTTCGAGTTCGTCTTCAGTACGCATCTTTCAGAATCTTCCTGACATATCTTGTTTCGTCATCATCCAGTATTTTGTCGTGGCACAGTCGTCTCGCGAGCAATTACAACATTGAGAAACACGATCTTCTCGAACCTAGCAGTACACAAAATCCACCCGTCTCAACAGATTCGAGATGTCATACACTCAGAACTCTAGTTCTACTACAAACTTCTACGTTTCCACGTTCCAGGATGAGAACGACCAAAGCAACGTTTTTCACCACGAGGCAAGGCTACCACCAAATCAAGAGAACGAACATCTCCATGAGCCTAAGGAATCCTTGTACAGTAATGTCTCTCTCTTCCTAGACCATTTACTCTATCCACCACGAACTTTGCCAGAGCCACAACCCTTTTCAGCACAACGATTGTTGTCGAGATTACCAGCAGTGGCATCAACGCTTCCCAATGTATTCTCCTCTGGCCCAGCGACCTTCGGAGGCTCTTCTACACATACACCGTCCGAGGCGAGCTTATACGCTCCAAGTCTGAGTCAGCCGCCATTGCAGCACAAAGAAGCGCACTATCTTTCACAGGACGCTCACAGTCTTGCCTTAAGTCAGAAGGAGAACGGAACCCGAGACACTGTCAGCCCATGCTTAGAGGCATCACTCTATTTCGCCATTATCAATATGCATGAAGACGAAGTCTGTCAGGTCCAAAACCTACCGGCACGATTCAATGGTTTCCCAATTATACTGGAGGAAATGACAGACTTCGCAACGATGAGGATTTTTCAAGAAAAGCATTTCGGCAACACCTACCGTTCATTGGGACTCTCGATAGAGGATATCCACGGCTATGGCATAGGTTACTACGACCCAGTGTTAGGATCCTCATCGCAAGTCTTTACGAGCACTGAACGCGCTTGGAGGAAATGCCTGAATGACATCAACAGCCTCTACCACACTTTTAGAAGTTGTTTACAGCCTACGAGCTGTCTCTTCTGCAAACATCAGCCACGAGTGTACACCTTTTTCGAAGCTGAACGTATCAGGGACGTCCTCTTGAACAATGTTCGCCCAAGCGCCGAGCTACAGTATCACGATGCTTATGACCCAGAGCACGCGCAGGGACTGGGCACCCACCATTGGTCTCACTATATGCGGTACAATAATATTTGCCAGGAAATAGACGTGACCAATGGTGCTACTCAACCTGAGTTGCAGAACTTTGGTCTGCCGGGGACTACACAGCTATACGCGCCGCTGGCAATCACACCTCCAAGCAATTACAACCAAGTCCTAACGTATGTCGAACCTTCCCAGAACAACCTCATCGCGCTGCCGTTCCAGCCATCACTCGGCGCGAACGGGATCGCACCGCCCCTCCAAGACCTGCCGCAAGGAGTAGATGAGGTACGCGGGCCTTTGGGCAGACGCCTTGTCAATCCAGACACCTACAACAAGCCGCCTACCCAGAAAGATTACTCGAAGGCTGCAGAGCAACCCAAGGGTTCCACGAAGCGCGATGAAGATATGTGCTTAACTTGTATCTATCACGGCCGCGGCTGCAAGGGTACGGAATTGGTCATGGTCAAGGGCAAATATCGTTGCCCATGCTGTGCCACCAAACGCGCCGACAACACGGGCATGCGAAGGTGTTACTGGCGGAACGAAGCGGCGGGCATCAGAACTTATGAGGATGCCAAGGCCGCGGATCCTCACAAGTTCGTCAACGAAGAGAATACTAGGGGAGGCAAACTGGCTCGCGCGCAGAAGCGGCTGAAGCAGAAGGCCGAAAGGGCAATCAAATCTGCTACCAATGACGCTTTGATGACGGACCAGTAAGGGAAAATAGTTCACCAACAGCAAGGAATGTGAGGTTCAGATGATCGGGCATGCGACAACCTCACAACAAGAGGCGCATTATGCAGGAACTACGTGTGTAGGCTTGAGACGTATATATTGGACAGCATAAGGTGACAATTCTCTGCGTGCTATAATTCGCAACGGAGAGCTAAGTGACCACGATCGTGTTACCGGGAGGTCTACTGGCAGATGATATATGAAAACGCCATGGGATGTCTTGTCAGCAAGGGACAGGTATTCAGTTGGCAACAAGAGTACTTTGATGAACTTCTTCCTAATGTCGATCTCGTTGCTCTTTGCTTTTTCTTTTCGCTTTTATCGAACCACGTTCTTATCTAAGTTGATCCAGACGATTGAAGATATTGAAGAAGTCCACCCTCCTTGAAACTTTGTTATAACGCTGAGGAACAGCTCGACCTTCGTGCAAACATAATGGCCGAAGTCTGCAAACTCCGGACGATCCTGCCCGATCGTGTACAGAAGAGGACTTGCCTAATTAGCCATCATAATTGTCCCAGCTGAACCGAGTGGATGATTCCTGCGTCCCAGACTAGCCCGTCTACTACAACATCAGGGTTGTGGCACCCAGCGTTACATCCATATCAGGTGAGGCAACCCATCTTCGAGAGCGGCGACCAACAAGTGGGAGCTAGAGAGCAAAGAACAGAGCTTTCTTAAAGCGCCATTGTAGGCCGCAGGACAACTGCAGGACTAGAGCGATCTAACTTTGCAAGACGAGACCGAGCGCAAGCGTGAGTCGAAGCATAATGGTTGAGCTTGTTTTCGCGTCAATCCACGGTTGACGACTTCAAATACACAATCGAAATAAATGCCGTTATGCCTGTAGAGTAATATCATGAACACACCTTTAAGGCGGCCATAAGGTGGTGCAGCTGCTGGACCGAGATTCAAGAGCTGGTCTTCTTGCTGATAGCAAAAAATCCTCAGGCGGGCTTCAAGAAGTACAGATGACTGTTGCAAGTTCATGCAAGATCAATTCGGGTGGAAGCAACTCACGTGTTCATGGTTTGCTGCATTTGCTGTGACGAGAATCTATTTTCAAGCACAAATTACCAAGCTGTGCAAGATTGAGACTCATTTCGGCAGGAAATTTACTGACACAAGGCGTCCTGGGTATGTACTGTACCAAGCAATCAAATTAGGCCGTATTTGGCAAGACCGACAGAAGATGTGAACGAAGAAGCGGCATCATGCAGTCTAACGAAGCCAGCAGAGGCTGGGACTGCCACCTTCGGTCGAAAGCGCACAAAAGGACGCTGTTGAGATATCCTCACCGCAACGTGTCTTCTGCTACCAAACTTCGTTGCGTTGCATCGATCTTCGGCCCTACCGCACGATGAAACTCGTATCCATTACTTGGCGTGCGAATGTTCTTTTGTTTGGTGCCTGTGGAGTGATGACCAAGGCTGTTATGAACGTGTCATAGGACATCAGCGAACGTGCTATTCACGACAGGCTAGCTGTTCGTACCCAGCGTGCTATAGTTAACAATTTTTTAATCCACGATTGCACTGTACCTGATTCTTACAAGCTTCCTGCGCATCCAGTTGGTGGTGGCAGAGACGACCTGCACTCCAGGCTGAGGCTCCTAGATAAACAAGACTTTACTGGCCGTGAGTAAGTAATCTTGCAGTAATAATGCGGTCGGTGGTGCAAGATCTTAGTCTCCATACGAGTTTCAGCTGTCGTGCAGGAATACGGGTCAGAACACAATAGTCATTGTATCTGGCCCCCTCCCAGCTGTCACTGTGATGATGATGGAATCCTCGAGCTCAGTCAGTACTAGACTTGCTAATCGAAAACGAATCTTCTTTCAACGCCCTTTAATTCCGCCGTTTACCGAAGCCTTGTCAGTACATATTCATTGTCTAGAGCCTTTGGAGACCTAAGGATGAGATCGGTTGACGATAGGCACGTCTCATAGTAATGCGCAAGGTGGACGATAGACTTTACTTACATACCCAACCATACTTCATGCAACCTCCTCCTGAATCTGTCCAAGCGATGCAGCTGTCCGTATAGATCCAACCTTGTGGTGCCTGAAACACCGCATCGTGTATGGTGGTTGAACGAGTCAGTCGACACGACTCCTACCTCTTTGACGAACGTGTTCCGTTTCATGCGCACGGTTTCGAGCCCGAAGCACGACGTCTAGACACTAAATAGCGGGTTGTGTCAGGGTAAATCCGTCGGACGTAGAAGCCTGGTTCGCATTGAATCCAAGCACAGGTACCACGGTGTCAAGGTTGATAAAGTAACGATGAATACAGAGGTTGTATAATTTTGGGAACAATTTAGTCATCCACTAAGCAGTCTCCACGCTAATTTTGTCTGCAACTTGAGTGGTCTAGTTGTGATTGAAACCGAAGCGCCCCTTGTACTGAGCTGCGTTTGCTGATTTAGTGCGTGTTCTAGTTGTCTCTGCCTGGGTCCAAGTGAAACCGATCAGCGAGTAACTCTGGCGGCTCTGTGAGAAGCCGTCATCAGCAGTAGCTGAGGGAGTGCTCAGCGAGGAACACGACCGATGTCGTGCAGAGACAGGGAGTTGACGTGGATCAGTGCGCTTCTAGACAACTGCTGGCGTTAAGTGATCCATTGTGCCGGGTTGAGAGAGTGATGCAGGGATAGGGAAGAGCTAGTGTTCTGGCGGTGGAACCTGTAAGAGCAGCGAACGCTAGAGTCAAATTCGCGATTAAGCGACAGTGGTTACGAGGTGAGGAAGGAGGCTTGTGAGGCAGACCGTGTTATTTTTGCTTTTGAGTAGCCACTTCCTGCTCGTCCTTCAAGTTGTCGGTCACTGCGGAGCTTGGAGACACACCATGTATCCGTCTTCCACCCAGCATGCTCCATAATCGTCGGTACAGCTTCAGCTGCGCAATGGCGCATTCACAGTATGCCTTTTATGTCTCCGAGTTGTTGCCAACAATCGCCTGCACGATCAAGATGGGGTTGGCATCGCCTTTCCTTCCTGGGACCTAATTCTGCTCTTGGAACATTACAAGCATCCACCTACACATCCTGGTTCGCCATGCTCTGCATCAACCATGACCAAAGCTCAAGGAGGCTTCTACCCTTGTCCGCCCTATGGTGTTACTAAGGTGTTGTTACCGGTTGAGCCGATTTCGAAAACGGAGAGATCCTGTTATGGCCATCGACAATGGTAGGCTGGATATAAGTTCTGTGAGGCCACCCTACCTTGCCCTGGGAAGGATCGACATCTGGTGCCTCAATATACAGATATTTAGCCCTTGACTTTCGGTATCGCCAGGCTTGCTACCTGTCCGCCCTGTTCTACCTGATCATTGCCCTTATACGTGTTGACAACCACTCGGACACGGTATATTCTTCCAAAATCTCGTCATGCAGCGCTCAAACTCCCACTCTTCTACGCAACAGCAGTATACCCCGCAAACGAGTATATCAAGGTATTCTGCCGCACACAGCACGAGCTCTGCCTTTAGTGCTTCTGCCAATCCGAACGAAGACTGGACCAAGATATCAGATTTAGCAGAACGACGAAGAATACAGAATCGAATTGCTCAGGTAAGGTGAACCACGACGTAACTTTACGATGTAGACTGACAAATCTAGCGTAACTACCGCAAGAAGCTCAAGCGCAGATTGGAAGATCTGGAACGGAAAGCAGTTTCAACTTCGCCAGAACTCTGTCATGCGGACTTGTCAACGTCTTCACAGAAAGAGAGCACAAAAAACCTAGCCGCTGCAGCATCCAGAAAGCATAATTCTCGAACTTCCAGGGCGTCAAGTACAACCTCACAGGACCAAGAGTTATCACCCAAGCTATTACCTCTTGAGGACCCATTCGCCAGCATGACTATGACAGAGCAACAATATCATTTCCTCGCACCAGGTCCATATACGTTTTCTGGATATCCTTCAGGTACTGATTACTTTGACCAAAATCTCTCGTTTTGTGACGTGTCGCCAATACCTCAGGTGTACAGTGAACCACAGATAACCAACGATTACACACATCTGTTACCACCATCGTTACCTTTGATGCATGAGGGCAGTCTCTTGAAGCGAGATCCGTACTCAATGGATGAAAATTTCTTGAGCCCTTTCGGCATGAGTTATGCTACGTTGGTTGGGGCGGAGGCCATGTCACAACAAGCCAACTATGAGCTCTCATCAAGGGTAAATACAATCAGTTCTTTTTTACGTCAATACCCTCATAGTCGATAAATCAATGATTTTGTCACCAACCAAAGCTCTCTTTGTTTAGCAGAATACTGACATGCTGCATGTAGGCGTCTTCCTCTTCTGATGGCTGGTCAACAAACCAATCCCGAGAAAATTCGCCTCCTCATTTCATACAACCGATGACACCTGTATCACGGTCAACATCGCCAAATGTACAGCTTTTCGACCAGATTTGGCAGTTGTGACAGAGTCTGAGCGGGATTTGAGTTAAGACTGGTTGGTACAGACTGGCATGCCACGTCATTGTATGAGATGCTCAACTTCGCAGCGCAATCATCACTAGAAAGGGCATGCAGAGCAGAACCGCACACGCCCCCCAGCGAGAGTATGAAGCAAAGGTCACCAGTTTTGTGCTCTTTGTTGAGACTTATCAATGTATATCTCACAGCTCATCATTAGTAGAACGGCAAGCCAGTCCAGAATCATACAACCTGTTTAGGTCTCAATAAATCAGGTTCAGAAGGCGCTGGAAGCCGGACGTAGATTCATATCGTGGTACAAAGCGTGACCTCCTGTCACACTATACAATATTCACAGGTTGTTACCTTGTGGTGACTTCTTGAGGTTGACAAACGCTTCCCAAGACCAACGCGTTACGTGTGGTAGATTTTGTGCTCCACATGCGCGCTCAATGCTCCACCACCTTCTACTCATCTTGGCAGGAGGTGATCTTCAAACGTAAATGAAGTAAGTACCACTGCACGTTCGAACGTTCTAATGTCGCAAGGCTTTGTCCAGCAAACAGTGCCGACGAATTCGTTGTAATGCATCCTAGTCAACTTCCATCGAAGTCGTGAATCAAGAAGGAAAATTGTCTGCCTCAAGAGACACATAGCCTCATTTATACTTGTGGCGCACATTGCGACAACGATGACCTCTTCTCGACTTCAATCCTCTCACCGGTTGTTTGGTGGCAAAGAGTACGCTTCTCGCATTTCGCAAGGGAACAGCTAATGACGACTGTCATCAAGAGGTTGGAATTCAGACGACTGGACGTCCAGTGATGATAGAGTCCGAGGAGGCAGTTCCCAGGTCAGTTGTACAGCCAACTAAACTTTGCCCAAAATCTATCCAGCACGAGGATGCTTCATCAGGTAGCACTTGGAATATATACGTCGTTCCGAGGCGTTCACGAATTCTTTCTCATCAGGATTTGTGTTTAGTCATACCTTACGATCACGAACGACTATGCGATCTTTCACGGAACTCTTGATATCGAAACTCTAGGTGGTGCAGGTTTTGCCTCCCAAAGAACCACAGGTGACGATCGACATTGGGATCTTTCCCACTCTGCAGGTCTCGAGCTTCTTGTGAATCTATTCGAAAGTGATGAGAAGAGCTACACCCTGATCCTGAAGGATACCTTGCTGCCGCCATCAGATGGAAGAGAACAATCTACTACATCGTGGGAGTACGACTTTAGCAAGGAAGATGCACATGTCTCTAGCGATGATGCGAAGCTAGGGTCGTTTTATGTGTCTTGGGACATGCTGAAGCCAACGTATCGTGGTCGTCCCTGCGACGACGCTTCTGCATTACGGAAAGACGACATTAGACGATTCAGCATTATGTCAAGAAGGTATTTACTCACAACTGGAGAAATTAAATCACTGCTGACAATGATCTCAGCTTTTTCGGCACTCAAGCTGGGGACTTCCGCTTGGCCATTGTTGCCATCAACCAGGTAGCTCAATGAATGGATGCACAACTTCTCACTAGTCTACCAAGATTCGTCGACCCAGGACATGCCGTTCTAATGCATACAGAAAGTTTGGTTCATTGAAGGCGTTCAGCAGAAGCAGGAGGCCTAATGCAAACATCATGGTAGAAGCGTAAGTCTCACACGAGCATTTACTTCGAACAGTCTGTGACGCAAGATGCGCAAAAGCCAATGCCATCACACTAAGAGGATTCAGTGCAGGCCCGGTTCAATGCAATACTGCCAGTCAAGGCTGAGGTGTCCCTATCGAAGCCTTTGATTTGAACGAGCGCTGGGGATATTCAGGAATACTCGAGCTACGAAGATGACCTTCCAGACACCTGTTAGGTCATGACCTTGTCAGGAACTCAGAACAGCAGACCATTTGAATTCACTTCCAAGGTATCTGAGTACTCAGCACGATTGGTAAGTCCTCGAACCGTACTGCGTGACGCTGCATCCGCGAAGAAGCCAACAGCGAGTCTAGACCTTGCAGTTATGTAACCAAACACGAGATTAAGCGATTCTTTTGGCTGGGTGTGATTGGCAGCTGTCGGTCGCAAACGGCATTTCCGCCCCACGGACTTTGGACGCGGGCACTTTGTGTCGTCCTCGAGACCCATGCGGGCTGTTTTCAACGCAGCTCGACAAACTCTGTTGACATCAGTATCAGTACATCCTCATGTCCTATGTCTGATACCTCCATATCGCCGCAGCAGAAGAATGCCAACCGAGACGCCAAGCCAAGTCGGTGGTGATGCATCTCTTCTGCAGCAAATGGTCAGTACTCGAAACTCGAACTTACACAAACGTCTGAACTTTGCGATGCATGCAGCAAAGCATCAACAACTCAGCCGTTCTATCGTGTTTACAAGCGAGTGGCTTGCAGTAGACATTGCTCCCAGCACATGTTTAACGTCTTGTCGCTCAAAAGCAAGGAAGTTATGCAAACCTCTCGGTTAATGTTTTCAGCTCTTTTTCAGCTCGGCTAGCCAGCGAACCACGCATCTGGGCTATTTTCTGCACCTCGCATTTTTCTTGTTTCCCTAGGAAGAAGCGGTCAACCCGACCTCTTGTTCGACAAATGTCATACGACCCTTCCAGCCATTACCACAATAAGACATACAGCTGTTACTTTCCGTCGGCTGCGAGCGCTGCGAGCAGTTAGACAATGTTCGTGCGTCGCTCATGCAGCCTGTGATGAAGTGACCTATAGGAACATTTTACATTCGGTTTAGCTTCTTGGCACTGCATGTGTGCTCGCTTGTTGGGTCGGCTCCTGCATGTGGTAAAGCAGCAAGAAGAAGTGTTCGTTTTCGAGAGACCTTTTGCTTCCATTGCTTGGTGGAAAGCAAGATGGTCTATTCTACTCGAGTATCGTGGCAGGTACGGAGGACGAGGCAAGAAACTCATGCGCCAAATTGGACAACTTTTTAGCTCGCTAGTGCTAAAACTACAAGCACTAAGTGACTGCTCAAGATGGGCACACAAGATACAATACCATTGAACACGTATGGAAATAAAATGTATTGGCTGTGCTTGACGATGCAGGGCTCTGCGAAGTATGGTCATAATGCACTCCTCACTGAGCATTTCTTGGACCACACAGCGATACAACGAGTAGGGCTCCTAGTCCTCACCGTTGACATTCATGTCACCAAAAACTGACAGTGTATCGAAAAGAGAGAATCTAAGGCTGCGCCTAAATTCAGAGGAGAGTTGAGCGACGAGTTGAAGAAGGTTCACTTCAGTAAAAAGTCTTCATTAATTGGTGACGTGCTTCAGCAATAGGCAAAACAATTCTGGGGAGGTGTGAGAGCTCATATCTTGATGCCTTCAATGTTGTCGTGACCATCTGGGAGGGGCATTATCGGGTGTTGGTATCGTCGACCTCACCATGAACAAATTGGACATGAACGAGCTGTAATTTCTGCCAAACCGCTCCATAAATACTTCGAGGCATGGAACTCTTCTTTGCAAACAGCAGCTGAGTCATCTTGAAATAGATGTCAGCTTCTGATGGCGTTCGAATGTAGTTGGACTTCTTTCGTGCTTCTGATTCGATTTCTCGAAATATCTGGTCGACCACGAGCTCGGACGTCGTTTCTGGTCGTTGCATTGTACTGCTATCGTCATCTTCATCGTCGTCCTCGTCGTTGTCGTCGTCCTCGTCTGTGGTGGTTCGATCATCTCTTTCTTGTGCTTCCTCACATGCCAACCCAGGCTTGCCCTTCAAGTCGTGACATTCAGGCTGAGGTACAGCTTGCGGTCCACGATCGGTGGGTACTGGCAGGGCGATCGCGTAAGTTAGTTGGGGTGACGACCGGTGACCCTTTTTGGCGAGAGCACGAGCTTGCCGACCAAGTCGCGAATTCTTCGGGTTTCGTATACCTTTATGGAAGACCTGGGCATCTTCGTAGGTGAAGACGTTATTCTTGGCGTCTTTCCAGTAGCAAGCCCTACCGCAGTGTGCACTTCCCTGCGGCATGCAGGTCTCACAACGATACGTGGTTTTGTTTCTAGCCACACGTTTCTTGAGCACAGTGCCGGTACAAGCTCTGTTGTTCTTGATGCAAGTCAGACACTTATCGCCAAGTTCCTTTATACCATTCTGCGGCTGCTCTACAGCGTCTCGATAGTCGTGCAGAGCCTTCCGCTTTAGAGGTCGACTGCCCTCCACGAAAAGGCGGTGGTGCTCGGCTTTCTGTCGTATCGTCAATCGTCCAGTTGAGGACAAGTGCTGGGAATCGAGAGCATAGAGAGGATCTGCAGGGCTGAATAAAGGTCCGGACGAAGCTGGAAGTTCTGAAGCGGGCCGTACACTCAATCCAGCATGCTTGATAGAATCGTGAGGCTCGGTCTCGCCTGTAGCTTCTTCTCGATCTGTAGACGGATTGGCTTGTGAAGTCGGAGAATGTACTGCATATTACCATCGTTGTCAGTGGGTGCATCTAATGTTTGGTGGCTGGGACCAGAGAAGGAGTATGCATCTGTCTCAGTAGAGTGACCAAAGCAATCACTATTGAAACGGACGTGCTGCATATTGCTCGAAGCAATACAGTGCAGGATGCAGCAAGTCTTTGCTCGCGAACAAGAACAAACATACTGACCTTCAATAGCAAAATTTCGTTCCTGCTCGACTGCGTCAGGCTTTATCGCCATTCCGCGTACCTTGTTTTCAATGTCAGACATCTTGATCTGAAGCTGAGGACTGACTACAACTCGAGTACAAATTGAATTCACAAACTCGCTCTGGAAAGGGAATGTAGTTGGGGAAAGGTCTTGCAAGAAATGTAGGGCTTTTATAGCTGTCCATGGTAGTGCTTGTCACCGGCAGCGGCACGCCGAGTAGGTCAAACGGGGCAGCCCAGTCGCAGTTGCGAGACAGCGATTGTACTGTATCTACGTGGGCACACTGCCAACACTTTCAGGGGCCATGGCCCTATGAAGCCATCATCGTACCGTATGTTAGTGACAGTGGTTTTGAGAATTAGCTGTCGAATAAGGGGCGCAGTAGCGGCGAAGACAAACTGAAGACGCCTTCTGACAGTAAATCTTATGTGGGTTGGTCAAGCGAGCCATACGACGAGCGTGTCGCAAGCTGTGGCTATGGTCAAGGTTCTGTTTGCAAGAGGAAGTGTTTGGTTTCAGATCAACGATGCCGCAGACTTCTTGATCGTGTCCAGGTTATATCCCAGGAAGAGAATTGGCTTGCGCACTCAACTGGTAAGAGTTCAAATTTTTTAAAGAAAGAGAGCTGTTCAGAGCCCTCTCTATACTCAGAACAATACAGCTAGTTGTGGTGAACCTGCTTTTTATTGAAACAACATATTTGATATTTAGCTTTGTGAAATTTGAACACAGGACGCAATAGGACGCGGTCTTGTTTTATCAGGCTTCCTGAGTTATGCAGCAGGTAAGAAATTTCAGTGTCAGATATAAAGACTTAGGCGAAGAGCAGGACATAGTTGTTGGCATGAATCGTCGGCGACAATCAATGTTGCGATGTTGGCAGACATATTTGCTCTCTTTGGACACTAGGACGACAAGAACGAAGGATGAAATCGATTTTGCGATATCAAAAGAACAGCTTATTGCCAATAGTTCTCATTTATGCCTGACCGTATTGAGTGCCCGAGGCTCGATCTTCAAGCATGCCTAGAATGACTGAATGGGCACAGCATTACGGAGTGCCGTTGGGAGGACCGGGTGTATCACCGTACGGAATTAGCGAGAGCGGCAGCTAAGCTCGAAATGGTAAACTGCAATCTTCGAGTATAGACATTGCATTTTTTCGTAAAATGCATGCCACTTTGACCATGATGACATCTCAAAGTTCCCTGCTTCCGATTTCCTATGGTTATCTAGGCACAATTCCATGCGTACGAAGACACAGCATTGCCAAACTTCAAAGATGAACAAGGATGCACTGAGCCGGGTCCATAAAGATGTGTTACCTATGCATATATAGCTTGACCTCTCTGGCAATTGCAAAAGCATAAATTACAGCACGATTCAGTACTATCCTTCTGTCTTTCGACGGCGATCAGAATCGAACAAGACTCGAGACTGCCAGAATTCGTGGGTTCTGTTTGATCATTCGATCATCGAGAGCTCGGTGCGTCCGCCTGCAATTTATTCAAGCTTCTTCTGAGGCCGGCGGTGACCGCTCTTGCCACTTTTGCCAAGATACCAAGACACACCAGCTGCAAAGCTCTACGCTGTTGTATCTTGCAATGACTTGCTTGTCCTTGTGTTAAGCTATATCCACAGCCGAATACTTGCTTGGCCGAAACAGTTTCGGCCAATGACCATAACAGACCACTGTCGATCTGTACAGGGCAAACATACCCCGTATCCGTTCATGCTACCCAAGGATCTATCACCAGCCTATCTAGGTTAGCTCAACGATCATGGTCGCAAGAGCATTCTTCATAATGTCGAACGCCATTGGGCCACCTGATACGCAAGGCGATATTACGTTGTTGCAGTTGCTATCAGAATCAAGATTCCATATTGAGCTTCATGAGGAAGGTGCGGGAGGCAAGAGCCCTCGTGCTTGCGTACTTAATGGAGCTCATATCTTGATCTCGTCCGGGATGGTAACTCGTCATCCGCAATACTGTGGACAGTGGTTGTCCCTCTCATTCTTTTCTCATCGAAATCAGCTCTGCCCTTGACGTCCATATTCTTTATAAGAAGCGTCACGCGTTGACATATCGTTATATCACACACAGATATGAAGCAAACATATTTTGCTGCAGCGCTGAGCTGTGCTGCGTGTGTCAAAGCCCAAGGGTTACCACTCGTAAGTTCTGAGGAGCTACAAGCACTTATCAATCTGGATGAACTCAGATCTGGAGCACAGCAGTAAGTTTCCTTGGAATGCCTGTCCAACAGCTCACTACCTTTGGAGCATCTGACGAGAAACCTGAGATTAACATTATGATCAGATTACAAGACTTTGCTTATGCATATCCCGACCGAAATCGAGTCTTCGGTGGGCAAGGACACAACGATACCGTCAACTTCCTGGCCGAAGTGTTGGAGTCGACCGGCTATTACGATGTTGAGATTCAACCATTCGTCGAGCTTTACTCGGGTGGATCCAGTTCTTTGTCCGTCAATGGTGTCGAGACAAACAACACCCTCCTTACTTATACGCCAAACGGCAGCGTCAATGCATCCCTGGTAGCCATCAACAATCTAGGATGCGATGCGGCAGACTTCCCTCCCGAGGTTGCAGACAACATTGCTCTAATCTCGCGTGGAACATGTACTTTTGCTCAGAAGTCAACGAATGCGGCCGCGGCAGGCGCACTCGCGGCTATCGTCTACAACAACGTTGAAGGGTCAATTGCTGGTACGCTAGGTGGTGTTGGCGACTACGTTCCAACTGTTGGTACAGATCTTGGAACTGGAGAGATGCTCCTTGCGGCTCTACAGAATGGCACTATCCTCACAGCTAATTTGAATGTTGATGCTGTTCTCGAGAATCGCACCACTTACAATGTCATAGCTGAAACGAAAGGTGGGGACCACAACAACGTGCTCGCCTTAGGAGCTCATACCGACTCTGTTGAAGCTGGTCCAGGCATCAACGACGATGGTTCAGGTACAATCGGCATTCTGAATGTCGCGATCGGACTGACGAACTTCACGATCAACAACGCCGTTCGATTCTGCTTCTGGTCAGCTGAGGAGTTTGGCCTTCTAGGCTCAACCTACTACGTCTCTCAATTGAACCAGTCTGCTGAGGAACTCGCTCGTGTTCGAGCCTACCTCAATTTCGACATGATTGCTTCCCCTAACTATGCTTATCTGATCTATGACGGAGACGGAAGTGCATTCAACCTTACTGGACCAGCGGGATCTGCAGAAATCGAGGCACTTTTCGAAGACTACTACACTCAGGAAGGAAAACCATACAACGCCACTGCTTTTGACGGCAGATCTGACTATGGCCCATTCCTCGATGTCGGAATCCCCGCTGGAGGTATCTTCACTGGTGCCGAGGTACCGAAGACAGCAGAGGGACAAGATATCTGGGGCGGAGAGGAGGATGTTGCATTTGATGAAAACTACCATGAAGCTGGAGACAACATCTTCAACCTAGCACTTGATGCTTTCTGGTTGAACACAAAGCTCATTGCTCATGGTGTCGCTACATATGCGCAGAGCTTCGATAGCCTGCCGCAACCCACCAGCATGACAAAGCGAAGTGCGCATATGTCCAAGGTGAGGCGGGCGGCTTATAACGGTTATGGTAGCCATGGCGCTCATCATTGCAACTCCAAACATGAGGATGTTTCGAGGTAAATTGCTTTGCTTCAGATAGCCTCGATAAGTACCAACCCTAGCAATTTCTCTCACGCACATCTTCCGTGTATGTACTTCTCCGCCTGCTTCTGGAGATTGGTAGATTGTTGAAAGCGTTTGGTAGGTACCGGACGTCAATCTCGAAGCACTCACATCGTCTGACTGTGAGCCCTTCTACGACACTACTGGCACGCTGAAGCTGAAGAGCAACGATGAAGCAGACCTTGCCACCGGTCGCATTCCATGATGGTCAATCATCTTCATTGGTCATATCGTGTCTGCTACAGGCATAACCAGCATATAGTGTGATCTATCTCTGCCACTAGTATACAATGCCATCAACGACTTTTAATCTTAGCTCTCTCCTTCATCTGCTTCTCCCTCTGGCTCAACACCCCTTCCGCAACAACCCCAGTAAACACCATAACGACACCCCACCACTGCATACTCGTCAACCTCTTCCCATACCACACCACACTCAGAACCATAGTCAACATTTTCCTCGTCACTGTCACCGTGACAAGCACAAGACTACTGAACCGCTCAAGCGTCGCGTAAATGAAGATCTGACCGATCGCACCAGCGGCGCAGAAGCCTAGTATATCGTTGAGGACGGCTGGATGGCGCTGAAGGAATGATATCGCAGAGGAGAATTCTGTTGTCGCGGTGGAGGGGACGAAGCTGGGGAGGAAGGTGGTTGGGATGAAAGGGGTGAGGAGGAGGTAGGATACTTGGAAGACGAAGCCTAGGAGATTGGTGGAGACCATCATTTGGGGACCTTTGATGGAGCCGTAGCGCTGTGGGCTTCTGAAGAGGTGGTCTTGAATTGTGTTGGTTAGGCCGTCGAAGAGGAGGTTTATGCCTAGCAGACTTAGGCCGTAGTATGAAAGTTTTGTTGCGTTGCTGTGTCCTTTGCCCGATTTGGGAGGGTGGTAGAGGGTGAAGACTGCCACTCCAGCTGTTACAGCTAAGACGATGAGGTATTTATTGAGTGGATAGCGCTTGTTGAATAAAGTAATGTGTAGAGCCATTACAGGTAACAACTTGCAGGATTTGGCAAGGACAAATGTCAAATAGTCGACATGTGCTAGACTTGCGTAGCCAAATGGGCTCGCCAAGGTAGCTGTTAGGCTCACTAGTAATAGTGGCGGCAGGGCGGCACGAGAAGGTAGGAGGCTGTATGTTCCTGTTGAGCCATAGAGGTAGACACTTCCGGAAAGGAAAGCAAAGAGTGCTTGAATAGTGTTAACGAAAACAGGGTAACGAAAGTATTCGACGGCCGCTCCATCTCCGGTTCCCTTTGCGTGGGCGGGAAATAAGGAAGATGGTTCTGGGGTGTAAGGTGTAGTGTTTATGCGCTCTTGCAGAAGACCCCAGGTCAGGAAGGAGGCATAGATCCCTCCAACACAGACTATCAGGGAGAGTATGCTTGGTTGGGCTTGTGATTGTTTCGAAGGTACACGAGGTGCATTTCTCTTCGAGGTGAGGGTAGGTGCTTTTGCGCCGCCATTGATATGGCCATTGCTGTATACGCTGGTGGACTGTGGGTTGCCAGCCGGTAGTCGCATGACCTCTCCTGAGTCGATGCGCTGCATCGGTGACAACTGTTTTCGACGTGGCATCTGGCTAGGAGATCGAAAGAATGACTAGGGGTGGGGCTAGAGTTGCGCAAGGAGTCCTGGAAGTGGATGAGGCATTCGTGCACAGATGCCAGACTGGCATCATCGCAGGCATGTCCGGTAGAGTGGCTGATGATCCTAGTCTAGCTGCCGATCTCCCGTTGAGCCTCAATTCTGAAACCTTGTTGCGCTAAGCCCACCGGTACTGGAAGAGACTTTCACTAGACAAACTGATCCATACCCAGTGGAAGTCCTCCTCTTCAAGGATCAAATATCTACAAAGCTTCTCGCTTTATGCGCTTATCACAGTCTGTAACCGGGAATGTGAAAATATCCACAATGACCAACCTCCAACCAAGCGCCATCACCACGCTTCTCGAAAATGCTTCTACAAAGTCACCACGCGAAGCACTAGCCATCGAGGCCCTACACAACCTCCAATACCAACACCGTTGGACAGATCTCAAACTCTTCACAGTGTTATCACCGACATCAAGCTCCAACACATCCACACCTACCAGCTCACCATCACGTACGCGTCCACGTGGCCGCTCACAGTCTCCAGCACAAAGTGCCGTCTACTTAATCTCCGGCTTACCACCACGTCATCTGTACATACATCCCGACATGCAAAAATGGTTGATCAGGAACAACGTCACCGATGAAGACGTAGATGTACAGCGTGAATGGGTACTGCCGCTGAGCCTGGGTGAGAGATGGAGTCTACGACAATTCTGCTGGGTCTTTGACGGTCTGCCTGAGAGAGAGGTTTTGCGCCTGAGTAAGGACGGAAGTGTTGATACGGAAGACGAGGCTGACTTTGAGTGGAAGGACAGCAAGAGGGCGTTGCTGGGCATGTTGGCGCATAATGGTATGGGTGGGGATGGCACGATTGCTTACTATATTATGCAGGAGGGTGAGGTGAAGCCCAGGCAAAATGGATGAGTAGCGATATGCAGTGTTCGTTGGAGGGTCCATTAAAAACATTATTATGCAAGAGTAGATCAGTGGTTGTGGAATAGGCAAGCTGCGGTGTGTGGATCGACTACAATTTGATGGTTCACGCGTTTGTCAACAGACTAGAAAGGACAGAACAGGGAGGTCGAACTGTGCTCTCACGAATGCACGATTACATCCATCGTGGGCCATGCCTATCCGAGATAAACATCACTCACAACAGGTTCGGGAAACAACGACGAGCTGGTCGACAGGCTACAAAGCGCCCGGTGGGGCATGACTGAATTTGATTAAAATCTCGCAAACCAAACCACATTGAAAGTGATGAACAACAAACTATGGTTGACCTATAGAATCTTGTGATCTCGGCTCCCAATCGCCAACTCAAACTCTTCTTTTACGAGTTTGAGCTCGATTTACAGGCCAACTATTGACTGCTAGGCACTATTTTGCCACTATAATGCATCAACACCCCTTCCGCTGAAGTTTAAGGCTCAGCTAGCAGCTCCTCGCCCGGCAGCAGTCACCTAGCTTGACCCAAATCCTGAGGCCCAGGCGATCAACTCGCGTCTGTATAGTGAGAATTCAGGAGGTAGACTGCTGCCCTATCGTTAGTCATCTTCTTCGTCGCTCTCTTCCGCATCAGCGCTCTCTTCAATTACAATCTCGGCTCGGCGCTTCTTTGCACCTTTACCAGTGCTTTTCAGATTCGTGTTGCTCGTATCGACATGATAGACGTTGCTCGTGGTATCGTGATTGTCTGGAGTATTCCTATTTTTGCCCTCCTTGTTGCCCTCTTCAACTCTCTTCTTCTAGGAAGAAGTAATTGCCTGCCAGTTTCTGGTGTTGATCGTTCTGAGACTGGTACTTGTTGATTCGAGGTCGGAAAGTGTTTGGATCTCGGCGGAAGGTAATATCAAGGTTCTGTAGGAAAGTGTTGCAACCGGTCAATAGAGATTCAGGCTTGTTGGCTCGCGACTTGATACCTGGTTGACCGTCAAAAACAATGACCCTGTCTGCTAAATATGTCGCCATAATGAAATCGTGCTCAACAATAAAAGCAGTCTTCTTGTTGTGCATAATGAAGCGCTTGATAACACGAGCAGCAATAATACGCTGCTCAGAGTCGAGATAAGCAGAAGGCTCGTCGATGAGGTATATATCAGCCGGCAGGCCAAGCGCCAACACAATGGCGACTCTTTGTAATTCACCACCTGACAAGTTTTGAACTTCCTGGTCAATAAAATCGTCAAGCTTAAGTGGTTTATAGACGTCAGTCTGAAATTGAGGGTTGAGGAAGGCAGCCTTGATTCGCTTGAAAAAAAGCTGTCGTACTGTGCCCTGGAACTTGGGCGTGATTTTCTGGGGCTTCATTGAGATGTTCATGGCAGGAACCTTTTGGGTACCATCTGGCTTCTCGGCTCCAGCAAGCATGCGGCAGAAAGTGGTTTTGCCTGTACCGTTCTCGCCCATCATAACAACGATTTCGGAATCCGTAAAGTCGCCACTCTTGACGGTAAGCTCGAAATTTCCCAGTGTCTTCTTCATGGAAGGATAGGAGAATGCACGAGCCTTGTCAGTCATGTACTCCTCGCCAGCCTCTGTGAGACGGAAGGTCAATGCTTCCTCCCGGAAACGCAGGTTCTCAGAAGGGATGTTACCATCCAAAAAGATATTGATACCTTCGCGGACTGAAGATGGAAGAGTGACGACACCATAAACAGCAGGTCGACCATAGAGCACACAAATGAAGTCGGATAGATAGTCGAGGATGGACAGATCGTGCTCAACCACGATAACATAGTCATCGTCTCGGAGGAGTGAACGCACAGTTCGTGCAGCGGTCAGACGTTGCTTGACATCGAGATATGAAGAAGGCTCATCGAACATGTAGACGTCGGCTTTCTGAACGGCAACGAGAGCAATGGCGAAACGTTGCAGCTCGCCACCAGACAGAACAGCAATCTCTCTGTCCGCGACATGGTTCAACTCAAGGGCATCCATGATCTCATCAAGGTTACCCAGCTCGCTCCTTGCGGCTATCAATGGTCTGACAGTCTTGACGTCTCCTTTGATCGCTCTTGGCAACTGGTCGACGTATTGAGGCTTGACGATTGCCTTGAGGTCATCTTCAAGCACCTTGGTGAAGTAATTTTGTAGTTCCGAACCTCTGAAATATTTTAAAATCTCTTCCCAATCAGGTGGGTTTTCGTATCGTCCTAGGTTTGGCTTGAGCTTTCCACTGAGAATTTTCAAGGCTGTACTCTTTCCAATACCGTTGGTACCGACCAGACCCAAAACTTGACCAGGACGTGGCATAGGCAGTCGATGCAGTTTGAAAGAGTTGGCTGAATATCTGTGTGTGACCTGGGTTTCGAGATTGGTAGGTAAGTTGATGATGTGAATGGCTCCGAAGGGGCACTTCTTGGGACAGATACCACATCCTATGCATAGTCGTTCGGAGATGTAGGCAATCTTTGACTCGGGAGTAACCTCGATACACAACTTTCCAGTTCGCACGACAGGACAGGACTTTTTGCATTCTTGTCGACATTTCTTCGGCTTGCACTTGTCGCTATTGACAATAGCGATTCTGAAGTAATGTCAGTCATGACCAAACATGTTGAGGCATTACGCCTTACCTCGTCAATTTGTCCGCCATGTTTGCGGTCGATAAAAGTAAAGGCTACTCTCAGGCACAGAATACTTCTGGCAAATGGACCGAAGGAAGGCTACAGCACAGGAGACTTCCAATGCAGAGACGGGCGTGTCGAAGATGGTCCGCAATGGATGACACCGATTCACAGTCACTTACCGTCACCTACGGCACCGTTTGCTGTATCGTAATATGGTGAGTGTAGACACTACCCAACCTAGAAATTTGGGCCGCACAGTTTGGCTGCGGAATTGCCCCTCATGTCATTGGCAGGTGCGGCGGGCAAACGCTAACCTAAAGTGGTGTGGTAACAGAACCAGCTACCAGGTCCTCCAGCCACGATATCAAGATAGCCGTGACTAAGACCTAGATTCGCCCTGCAAAGAGGCCTACCGTTGTGACGAACGGCGTGAAATGCTTGGCGTTGATCGATCGCCTTTGGCGCCTTGCAGCTTGCAGTTGCCGGTCGTATCTTCTACAGTTGCACCACTCTGCTTTCGACTCTACATGTCAACCACCGCGTCGACAACGTCGTGAGTTGTTCCACCTAGCACCCTGACAGTGCTTCTGCCGGGTGCTAGACCATCATGGAAGGTACGTGTCCCTTGCCCAGAACTGTTCTACTACCATACAATATCACTATCGAGACCTGATCGGCTGCCCGTCTGTGAATGGTCTATACACGTCCCACCGGACTCGATAATGTGTTTGCTCTGGCTCTCAGACGTCGAGAGTGAGGTCTCGGAGTTGCATCGACCTATTGACAGAGATATGGCGATCTTCTTCGCGTTTTCCACACCTCATTCCGATCTTTGGCTGGCCAACCCGACATCACTATCAACCTTTCCATTGACCCATCATGCTTTCATCACTTCAATTTTCAAATCGATGTCATTCCCTCCAAGAATGGTTGTAAAGAATGTCCATAGTGTTGTCTGAGTCGCGTTAATTCGATTTACTGGCACTTCATCTGCATTCTCTACTCGTCGTTTCTCTTCCTAGCTTACCTTGCTGACGTCCTACCAGTAGTGGGCATAGAACCTGCCTCTTCGGCCGACTCAAACATGCTCTCCTCGAACGGAGATGCTTCCCCTGTTGCCAATCAACATATTCCTAATGGTGCACACCACCACCACGTCGAGCTCGATTCCTCCGAAATAGAAGACCATGACGCTGCTCTAGCCTCATCGACACCAGCTAACGACATGGTCGGGTCAACATTGATAGAACGTTTAAACAGCAATGAGGACGGCGAAGCAGATGATGACGCTGATGCCGACGCTGACGGTGACTACGAGATGGAAATTGAGCACAAGCAAGAGCCTACCGACGAAGAAGCAGCCTCGTCCTCAGATGAGTCGATCAGACCTGCTAAGAGGAAGCTTCCCCCTACCGAAGAGGATGATTACATGCGTAACAATCCAGATCTCTACGGCCTGCGTCGAAGTGGTCGTGCGAGACCTACGCAGACGCTCGCCGAGTCCTCAGATGAGGAAGATTCTGATGCTATCTCTCGTCCTCGAAAGCGTCTCCGACAGTCATCACGTCCCGTCTCGAAACAGCATACGCCGAACGTCGAGAGCCTCAGCGATCTAAGCGACAACTCTGATGAATATGGTGGTCGTCATAAAAAACTGACCAAGAAACAAAAAAAGCGCTTCCTTGATTCTTCCACTGGCCTCAGCCCTGCTCATGCCGAAGTTCGTTTCTCAACCCGTCGTGCTCACAAAGTCTCTAACTACAACGAGGATGACGAGGATCCTTTTGTAGAAGATGAATCAGAAATGATGACACCCAACCATTGGGCTACTGCCCAAGAGGAAACCGGTCCAGCAATTGACATCGTCCTCAACCATAGACTGAAACCAGACATTACGACACCACAGCACACTAAGGAAGAGTATGAGTTCTTGATAAAGTGGCAGCAGCAGGCCTACTTCCACGCCACCTGGGAGACAATTGAGAGCTTAGCTGGTGTTCGGTCAGCACGTCGGCTTGACAACTACATCAGGAAGACCCTTGCTGAAGATATTCGGGTCATGACAGATCCGGAGATCTCTCCTGAAGAGAAGGAGAAGTGGATTCTCGATAGAGAACAAGTTCTTGACGCAATCGAGGACTACAAAAAGGTCGAACGAGTCATCGGTGGTCGTCCTGGCGAGGAAGACAACGAATATTATGTCAAGTGGAAAGGCCTTTTCTACGATAGTGCAACTTGGGAAGCGGCCGGTCTCGTCAGTGAGATAGCACAAGATAAGGTCGACGCTCATCTGAATCGACAGACAGAGAATTTCAAATCTGATTCGACAGAGCAAAGCCCTGCTACCCGCTCAAAATTCACTAGACTTCACGAACAGCCAGACTACATCAAATTCGGCCAGCTAAGAGACTTCCAAATCGTTGGCCTCAATTTTCTGGCTTTCAACTGGACCAAAGGCATGAACGTTGTCCTTGCTGATGAAATGGGTCTCGGAAAGACGGTTCAGACTGTCGCCTTCCTCAACTGGCTTCGTCATGATAGAGGCCAACAAGGTCCCTTCCTTGTCGTCGTTCCGCTATCTACGATGCCAGCCTGGGCTGACACCTTCGACCTGTGGGCTCCTGACATTCACTATGTCGTCTACAATGGCAACACCAACGCCCGGAACATTATTCGTGACTATGAGCTCTTCCCTGACGGCAATGTCCGCCATCCTCGATTTCACGTTTTGCTTACTACCTATGAGTACGTTCTGACAGATGCCACCTTCCTCAGTCAAGTCAAATGGCAGTTTCTTGCCGTTGACGAAGCTCATCGACTGAAGAATCGGGAGTCACAGCTATACGATCGTCTTCGTGAATTCAAAGCTCCTGCTCGACTATTGATCACTGGCACACCTGTCCAGAACAACCTCGGCGAGCTGTCAGCACTTTTCGATTTCATAAATCCTGGTGTCGTGAACATCGATGAGAACATGGATCTTACAGCCGAGGAAGCCAGTGCCAAGATTGCTAAACTTACAGAGGACATCAAGCCATATATGCTGCGTCGTACAAAGCAAAAGGTTGAGAAGGATCTTCCTCCGAAAACTGAGAAAATCATTCGAGTGGAACTTTCTGACATCCAGCTCGAATATTACAAGAATATCCTGACGAAGAACTACGCTGCTCTCAACCAGGGTGCAAAGGGCCAGAAACAATCCTTATTAAACATAATGATGGAACTGAAGAAAGCTAGCAATCATCCGTTCATGTTCCCGGCCTGTGAGGAAAGGATGGTACCACAAGGTGCTCGCAAGGAAGAGGTTCTCCGAGCCCTCGTTACCAGCAGTGGCAAGATGATGCTTCTCGATCAACTTCTGACAAAGCTCAAGCGTGATGGACATCGTGTGCTGATTTTCAGTCAAATGGTCAGGATGTTGGACATACTCGGTGATTATATGGATTTCCGTAACCATTCTTACCAACGTCTAGATGGCACTATTTCTGCTACAGCACGACGAGTTTCCATCGAGCACTTCAACGCTCCTGACAGCACCGACTTCTGCTTCTTGCTGTCGACACGCGCTGGTGGTCTCGGCATCAATCTTATGACAGCGGACACTGTCATCATCTTCGACTCTGACTGGAACCCTCAGGCTGATCTTCAAGCCATGGCTCGAGCTCACAGAATTGGCCAAACAAGGCCTGTCAGCGTGTATCGCCTCGTGTCAAAAGAAACCATCGAGGAGGAAATTCTCGAGCGAGCTCGCAACAAACTCATGCTAGAATTTTTGACAATTCAAAGAGGCGTAACGGACAAAGAAACGCAGGCTCGCAGAAGCGCTTTGGTTGGAGAGCCTGGCAGCTCTAATGAAATATCGAGGATATTGAAGAAGAGAGGCCAGCGCATGTTCGAACAAACTGACAATCAAAAGAAATTGGAAGAATTGGATCTCGATGCTGTTCTCGAGAAAGCAGAAGACTACAAGGTCGAGCAACCTGACGGCACAGAGGCAGATGGTGGCGAAGACTTCCTACGAAGTTTCGATTTCGTTGATGTCAAAGTCGACGATATGTCCTGGGACGACATTATCCCGAAAGAGCATTTGGAAGAGATCAAGGCTGAAGAACAGAAAAAAGCTGACGAAAAATACCTTGCTGAGGTTATTGAGCAGAACAAGCCAAGAAACGTTCGTAATCGTGATGCAGATGATCGTGAGGCACGCCAGGCCAGAAGAATTCAGCACCGCGAGGAAGCTCCATCTGACAGCGAATCCGAGGAGAACCCAAATGCCGACCCGTCTCGTCCGCTCAATGAGCGAGAGTATCGCTACTTAATCAAGGGTCACCTCAAGTTTGGTGCTCTCGACGATCGAACTGAAGAGTTCCTGGGCGAGGCTCGTCTGCGCAATAGGAACTTCGACATTGTCAAGACTGCTATGCAAGAGGTTCTTGATCGTGCAACCTTTTTGTGGAAGGAAGAGCAGGACCGAATGACGAATCTCGAGCGATCAGGCAAACAAATTACCAAGAAAGACAAGAAGGCAGTACTGTTCGAGCACAAGGGTGTCAAACGTATCAATGCCGAAACTTTGCTCGATCGTCCAGGTGAGATGCGGTTGCTGCGAGAGGTGACTTCTCTTCCAGATCCCAAAAGCTTCCGCGTTCTGGAAGCGACCAAGGCTGCAGGTTATTCTTGTCCATGGGGTGCTCGCGAGGACGGCATGCTCTGCGTCGGTGTTGCTAGGCATGGTTATGGTTCATGGGAGAAGATTCGAGACGATCCTGATCTCGGTCTACAGGACAAGTTCTTCCTTGAGGAGCATCGTGTCGACAAAAAGGCGGAACGTGAAGGTCAAGAAGGCCGCCATGCCAAGTCCCCTGGTGCCGTCCATCTTGTAAGAAGAGCTGATTATCTGCTATCGGTCCTGAAGGCCAAGTACGGTGACGATGCTCAAGCTAAGAAAGCGGTCGAAAATCACCATCGAAACAACAAGAAGCAGCGTGAACACAACGAGCTCAAAGCTTCTACTCCAGGCGGTAAAAAGAGAGAGTCTGACAAGCATCGGCATCGAACAGGCAGCGCTAGCCATCGAGACAGCATGGAGAGATACCCCACTCCACGACTGGACTCGCGGCACAGCAGAGATGATCGCGACCGTGAAAGAGAGCGCGATCGAGACCGAGACCGGGAGAAGGATCGACCTAGGGATGATCGCGATCGTGATCGTGAACGAAAGCACAAGGTCGAGCGTGAGCACTCCACCAACCATCGACATGGCAGTGAGCACAGACGAGCAGATAGTCATGCGAATGGGACTTCGACTGCCGAGGAGGACCAGATGATGAAGATCATGTTCAAGCCCGTCCGAGAAAGCTTAAAGAACATGAAACTGGCTACCAAAGGCAATATTCCTGATAGTCAGGCTCGAGCTAACGCGCTGCGGGGGTTTCTCAAAGAAGTCGGCGCATTCATCTCCGATTCTATGGGTGATGTCGAGGAGGCTCATGATTCTATGGAAAAAAGATTCTGGTAAGTGATTCAGAATCCAAGTTGCATAGACTTAGCTAATTTTCGTGAAGGGAGTATGCTGTCACATATTGGCCCAACAAGGGTATCAAAGGTGATGAGTTAGCCACCATTCACCGCAAGATTATCGCCTCCGAGAAAGACCTCGCTGGCGATGCCTCTCCACAAACACAAAACGAGACGAATGATCACAGACCAAATGGTCACTACCATACATCACCGCCACGATAGCATCACGAGGCACCCGAGAAGACTGCGACGCCCTTTCAACCTGTCTTAGCACCTTCCAGCTATTCACTAATCGTTCCACAGGTCCATCCTGACTACTCACGACGAGTACGGAGATTGACCACCCAATCTGAATTTTAATACTTGCTATATTCTTTACAAGGTCATTTAAACGTTCGTGGTTGCACAGAGCAAGAGCTTAGGTCGTTATCGGCGGTCAATTTGTTACGACGCGAAAAGCATGATGTTCTTACGGAGTTCCGGTAAATGTTGAAGTTGAGAAAACGAACGTCGTGACGACGATGACTTTGTATTAGATACCCCCTGATGTCGAAATGACTAGACGGCATTCATTGATGGCGAGGCGTTTGCGTTTTACAGTACGAGTTAATGTATGAGTAATCACTTGCGATGATATCATTGCTGATGGGCAGTAGGAGAGCCATCAAGCACGTTGCTGCCGCTTAGATGCGGTTAGATTATGGTCAGCGTTGGCGTCGGGTACATAGCTGGGGACGAATGAATAGGCCAAGTTGGAGGTAAAGACCCCACTGCCGACATGCATGATGCTGTGGATAGCGGCGCGGATGTCGGTGCTTGACGCCGATGAAGCATGTATCGTTGACACAAATGTCAAATTGAGACTTGCCAGAAAGGCACACTTCAGCTTGAGTACCTCTGCGATGGTTTTGATGTATTTGACAATGGTGCAGCTCTAGTATTGCTCTGCATAGCGATATTTCGACAGTGGCGCCAGGGTTGCTTCCGGCTCACCTTCCTTGCCCAGATATCATGGCTGGTTCAAGTTTCCTTACTCAGATTGGCTGGCCGTTCTCATTCCTACCATAGTAACACGACTTCTGCTCACCAACATGGCCTTTGTAAAGCAATATTCGTTCAAACTATACTTACTGGCTTTAACATTCAAGGATCGTTGTTCGGCTGTTCCTTCCCAATAGTGGTGCTGTTCGTGGAATAGAAAGACTTGTGTTTTACTGGCACACACCTGCCGCGTTATCATGCTATTTTATTCACGTCATTCCTGCTACGATACCCCCCTCCGTCCGTACTCTTCCATCATGTTTGGATGATATACTGTCCACCAGATGACATCCAGACAGGCTGACGTTTCACTACAGCATCTTTCTCTCAACAACAACTGACTGATAAGAGCATCAAACAGCTCATGCCTGTTGAACCACTTATAGGTAAATCATTAACCCAACACCATACGAAGTGTAACGTTGTTTCCACTACTCTCGTCCAGTCACAACTGCCAATATGCCACCGGAAGCACGCTATTATCAGAACCCTGGCAGTCCACTCTCACACCTAGATTACCACACCGAGCTCCTTGCTTCGCTAGGTCGCATCAATATCTACAACCCACCCGTGGCGACCTGCTCAACAGGTTGGAGATTCAGCGGCTTGTACAGCGGCCCTACAGGCATAGCATACTTGTTCTATCGCCTATCCGAGCTCCACCCTGATCTCGAGTTCAAGCAACAATCTTTGTTGGAGTGGGCTGAAGCTTACTTAGCACTAGGGAACCATGTCAAGAAACACAACCCAGATGCCAGCCATTGCGGAATTGCAAACGAGACACTTGCTCACACGGCGGTAAGCAGCCTGATCTTGAACGACACCAGTCTCGCGGAGAAACTGTGTGCGTACGAGAATATCATCAACGACGCCAGCAATGACGGGAGCAACGAGTGGCTCTACGGACGAGCAGGATATCTCTTCTTCCTTCGAGCCTGCAGGAGACACTTTGCAAAATCCAACCACACCAGTACAGTCGATAGACTCACCAGCACAATGAAGAAAACCACCAAGCGGATCGCAGAAGTGCCTTTGCCATGGACGTGGCATGGGAAGGAATATCTCGGCGCAGCGCACGGCACCATAGGCATCATTTCGCAATGCATCCTATCCGACCCTAGCACATCAGAATTACTGACAGACGCCCTCGAACAAACCCTCGCAACACAATACCCAAGTGGAAACTTCCCATCCTCAAATCCACCATATCACGATGAACTAGTACAGTTCTGTCACGGTGCACCAGGTTTCGTCATCGCTCTACAGCCTATCTTAGGGCATTTCAGCGATAGGACGAAAGTGCACAAGCACATCACACACGCAATGCAAATTGCACAAGACACAATCTGGGAAAGGGGATTGTTGACTAAGGATCCCTGTCTTTGCCACGGTATCGCAGGTAACGCCCTGGCTCTAGATGACCAGGAACGATTCGAGACTTTTCTGAGCCTGATGACAGCGGACTCCTTGGAGCAGAATGGATGGCTCCAGGAAGCCGGACATACGGATAGATTTGCTAGCTTGTATGATGGAGAGGCTGGACGAGCTTGGGTTTGGGCTGTTGCTGACAAGGGACTGGGCGTGAAAGGAGGGTGTATTGGGTTTAGTGATGTTTGAGCCTGCTTGCGGAGCGCCAAAGCCATCAAGAGTTGAGAGAGATGCACGAAGCTGATTTCAGTCGAGTCTAGGGCACGCTCGTGAACACAGCCAACGTCCGAGTCAAACATTGAGAAGACTCCAGAGTATACCAGGTTAGTTTCTTGGTATGTCTGAAACATTGCTAGAACGCTGAAGTCTTGTGAGTGTAGGTATATCCTAATTAAAATATATGTCTATCGCTATCACCATTGCCGCCCTCCTCACCAATCCGGAGGTCAGCTGGTGAAGCTCAAAGAAAGGGAGCTCGGCCTAAATTCCTGATTCAACTCAATGTCAAAGGGTATCATCAAAATCATACATAATGCCAAAGATGAAATGCCATCAAATTCGTATCGCGTCGTCAAAACATACCCACTCACTCCACACCTCCAATCCACCTCGTCGCCCCCCATCCAAACTTACAGACTCTCACTCCTAATTCTCTCAGCTTCCCTCCCACAACTCCCACAATACTCCGCATACCACTCCAACAACCTCGCCTGCTCCTTCTTACTCCCACCAGTCCCCGCAACAAGCGCTTTACCACCGCCACTACTACTAGTCCCGTTCGCATCAAAAATGGGTTCAATAGCCTTACAGCGCCTATGCTCCGCGATGGCGAATTTCTCGTATTCGCCGACGATGACCTCTCGCTCGATGGAGTTGACGACGCGCATTGCGACGATGAGATCGTGTCTTTTTAGTGCTAGGTTCTCGCGCGTTAGGTGGAGGCGGTGAGCGATCGCGGTTTGTGGTGAGGAGGGAGATGGTTCGCTGAGGTGTAGATGGGAGTGGAGGAAGGGGTCGGAGGTGGAAGGGTTGAGGTAATCGTCGTGGAAGACGCTGTAGCAGACGTTTGTGTCGATGGAGGGGAGGGATCCTGTGCTTGCCATGGCGACGTCGAGGTCGGAGAGGTAGATGGCTCGACCCATTACGTTATCTGGGGTAACGCCGAGACGGCGCATGAAGTTGGCGGTGTTCCGCTCGTTGTACCATGCCCAGCTGTCGCGGAGGGTGAAGAATGAGCTGTATAGCACGGTGATGGCGAGGAGGGCGAGTATGAGACTGTTTGCTGACATGGTCTTGTTTAGCCAGGCGGCGAAATCGAGGATGGCCTGCATGATACTGCCGATCCAGCGTTGAGCTGCACTCGTCAGGTCTTCTATGAAGAGGCGGACTAGCGTACGACGCTGGGGTGATCGCCGCATTTCGATGTTGTAGGCACTCTTCTCGATGTGCAATTGTGTTATCTCACTGCTGTGTCCGACTTGTCCGAATATCTGGATTGCTTTCTTGGTGCGTGAATGAAAGCCTAGGCGCCGAACTTGATCAGTTACCAGGTCGGTGAGGTCCTGAGCATCGAGGTCTAAATCGTCAAGAGCGTGTTGTTCAATGATTCTGTTGATGCCAGGTACCCATGGATCGGCTGACCAGTCGACGCGGATGTAGATCGCGAGCTTACATTTCGTCTTTGCAACGTGTGTAATCACTATCTTGGAGATCAAGCGATAGGCGGACTGGAAGGGCAGATGCCAAGGGGTTCGTCGGTCTGTGACCACGTAGCAGAGGTGTTCGTTCATCACATCTATTGTCTGATAGTCTCTGACCCCGCGCATCCGTTCACGACCGAACGTTCCTGCAAGAGGAATACTGAAGCTGAACTCTCGACCCAGACGACCAGGACTGTCCTCTGAGATGGGAGACCAAGGTCCTTGTTTCAGATCCCGTGCTCGCCGCTCGTGCTGTAAGAGCTGCCACAAGGCTGATCGATCGCCAAACATAACATGGAAGAGTGCTTTAGGAGAGATGTCGTATTCGCGCTCGACAGCGAGACGGTTGTAGCCTGGTGGCACATATTTGACAGGCTGTGCAGGTAGTTTGAATGCTGATCTTTCGTCGAGCGATCCATAAAGCCCATGGTCTATACGAGTCGGGGCTCGGTATTCACTGACCGCTCTAGGTCGGTTGCCGCCGTGAGCATCAACAGGAGTATCTCCCGAGATATTCTCCCAGCTATCTGAACTGGGTGTACGCTTCACGACTTCAGTCTCCAGTCTCATGAGTTGCTTGATGACTTCTTCTAGCGACTGTGGTTCTTCAGCTTGGCTGTTCTTCACCAGATAGTTCAATCGTCTTTGCAAAAGCTTTAGTGGCTCAAGGAACGTCTTGATGGTGATACGAGTGGTACCACTTGACGATTGCTCTTTGAAGTGCACAAACAGGAAGTCACAATCTTTGCCAGGAGCAGCCGTAACTTCGTCTACTGATGATAGAGAGATGCCGGATGTTAGGACAAGACCGAAATGATTGCTATAGAAGTACAACTCTTTCGTCGTGACATAGGCGCGACCAGGAAAATCCTGTTGACCACTCGGGTTCCATGTCGCTCTAAAGACCATGGTTAACCTCTCATCGCGTCGCACGTTCGGAAAGAGTAGCCTGAATTGTGCATCTTGTGTCTTTAGTTGGAGGGGATAGTAGTTGGGGAAATCAGGTAAAGCAGAATCCTTGCTGAGACGAGATATGTTCTTGTCAAAGCTGATTGTATTTCTGTGGCGCTTTGTTGGCGACGGAGTACGACCCCTCGGTATACTTGGGAGTGGAAGTGCTAGGTCTGCAGATTGTGTGTCAGTACTTCGGACAGTAGCTCTGATCGGTGAGTTGGATTTTGGAGGTGACCCGGACGGCAGCAGAAGAGGACTAGCTTGCAAGGTTGGCTTGTGGTCCGAGACGACCCTGAGCTCACTACGATCAAAGCGATTAACAAAGCTCGAGTTTGAGCTGCCCCAAGTATTGGCAAGGACTGCATTCGGAATACCGTATCTGCCTGTGACACTTCCCCGGATGCCAAGTTCTCCTGAGACAGCCACAGCAGCTTTGCTCAAGCTCGTTGGTGCTGGAGCATTGGCAAGCGTTGAAGGGGCGAGAGTGCTAGGTGGCATGTCCCTCAAAGCAAGGGTGAAGGCAGATTTAGCGTGCTTGGGCGTCAAAGGATCATCAGACCGTACGAGAGGTATGCTCGGGCCGACAGGCATAGAACCATGGCTTGCTGCTATCAAACTGGCAATGCCGCCGGCAGGGTTAGATGTGCTCGGGGAGGCAGAAAGCTGGGGAGTAGTCGGCGCACGTCTGCTGAGGTCGAGCTTGGACATAATACGGCTTGCATGATCTCGTTGAGTTTCGTCAACGCCAGTCCCTCTTCTCGAGACATCAAAACTTCCTCTTCGATCGTCAGAACCGGGGAGAGGGAGCGTGCTCGAATGCTGTAGAGCCATGTCGTCTGTTGCTCCAGGTTCGGTGGAAGCCAAAACGGACGTACCAAATTCAGGCACCGGAGGAGCAGAAATAGAGAAAGCAGGGTCGCTGGTTGAGGTGCCAGAAGTCAGACTGTCACTTGAAGCAGGATCATGGACAGCTTTAGCCTTGGCAGCTTCGAAAGCAGCAATCCAAGCAGTGAGATCTGCCTGAGTCTCGGCCTGAAGGAGTATAGTGTTTCTGTTTGTTTTGAGCTCGAAGCAGAAGCGGCGCTCTTCCTGAGGAGCAGATCTTACAGCGCACAGAAGCACACCCAACCTCTCACTCTCTTCGACACCACCGAGTCTTGGGTCGTGAACAAGCCAGCCAAAGACACCGTTGCGGACAAAAGCCCAGCGCTTGAGCCAAACAGTACGGGTAGGCTTGCCAGAATAGGTCCTCAGAAAGAGCCAGCCAGCTCGTTCACCATTCTTAAAGGTTGCCTTTGCTGGCGATCTGGTCAGAGCAGCACCGGCGGTGCTGGCTGTGTGAGAATGGCCAGTGGTATGTTGCAAGGAATAAGCCGAATAGTCATCCAGCTCACGAGAAGGCCTGGTAGTGATTTCAGCCTCTTCTTCAAGCTGCTTCCGGGCAGCGGCCAACTCCCTCTGAAAGCTACTTTCACTGTTCTCCATCTCTCGAATCCAGCCTCTGACTCTGTCCATATCTGCAGCGCTCTTTTGGAAAGTGGTAGCGGTATTATCTCTCGCCTGGCGCATCTCCCTCCACTGATCGCTGAATATCCGGACGAGCAGTTTATCCAGTTTGAATCTGAATTGAGGAGTCGTCTGGAACAGATCCATAACAGCTCTCAAATATTGCTTTCTCGTTTCGTGCAGCTGAAAGGCCTCTTCTCTGATTGAGGATGGTTCTTTGTATCTGCCCAGAGCCATGTACTTGGAGTGTAAAGTATCATATTGCTTCTGCCAATGGTCAATGCTCTTTCTTGTCTCTCTGAAGACCTTGAGCTCGTTGGACTGAAACAGACGGATTGGTTCGCACACTAGTGAGGGCAGCCTTTTGATAACAGTGACCATGCTCATCCAGTAGTCCTTGGCTCCCTCAGCATACTTTCTCATAGCCAGTACGCTGTAGTCGTGGTCGAGCATGGTCTCGGAGACGGCGGTAGGGATAACGGCGCATTGTGTGAAGTTGTTGATGATGTTCTCGAGGGCAACATGTTCGGCAACGAGCCTGTTGGTGGCCTTTAGGTAATCGTCGAGCCATTTCTCGAGCAAGTCGATCTGCTCAGTATAATGCTGGATAGTTGCTCGGCTTGTAGGAGAATCAATAGCAGCCTCTTTCAAGCCAACGGGGATCAGATTGATCAACCTGCCCACCTCGATGAGATCTTCTGTAGGAGCCAGCTTGCGAGACGGCTCTTTTGGGACCGCTGCTGGCAACGGTAACGACTTTGCCACCTCCATTTTAAGGTCGTCCTCTGTAGCTTGCAACCATACTGCGTTGTCGCGAACAGTACACGACAGCCTGAGAGATCGAGTACCGTTACAATGGCCTCGCTCGTCGATCTGAACGTGCCGTTCCAACGTCGCGTGTTTAGGCGCGATGAGCCCTGCAGAAATAGGCCCAAGCCTGACCAATAACACGTCCTACGGGGTGGCGCTGAGGCCATCTTGACCCCGTAATCATCTGTTCCGAGCCGCCGCTGTGTAGTATCCACCAGCCGCATCTGCAAAAAAGTTCGTCACATTAGCAAAATTGGAGATTCTCGTAAAGTACTACTCGAGTTTGGCGAAAGCACACTTCTTACTGTCAATACTGCTCGAGTCATGGCGAGGGCACTGCTGAGTGACAGTGAACCCGACAGCTCTGACAGCGAGGCTGGTGGTGCCGAGGTCAGTAACGATTTGAAGGTCAACCAGGACTTCGCAAAAAGATTTGAGCACAACAAGAAGAGAGAAGAACTACAGAAATTGGAAGAAAAGCTGGGCAAGTCGTCGCGGAAGCGCAAGCGAGGTGATGAGGACAACAATGGCTCTGACAGTGAGTCTTCAAGTTCATCCGAAGACGAGGATGACGAAGGCGAGTTTGCAACCGCTGCACTGGATAACGAGATTATGGCTACCTTGGAGGCGATCAAGTCCAAAGATCCTCGAGTATACGATACGTCAGTAAAATTTTATGCAGATGCCGATCAGGAACTGGAGGTGGAGAAGCAAAAGAAAGAGAAGCCGGTGTATTTAAGAGACTACCATCGTGAGAATCTGTTGAACGGTGTCAAACATGAGGAGCAGGAGGACCAACCTCTGTCCTACAATCAACAACAGGACCAACTCAAGAAATCCATAGTTAGCGAAATGCACGCTGCGGCAAATGCCAGCTCTGATGAGGACTCGGACGAAGAGGGTGGCCTTCTAGTTCGCAAGAGCAAACCCGAGGTGCCTACGCAATCCGCCGTCATCCCGGACGTAGAGACTGCTGACAGAGATCCTGAAACCTTTCTTTCCAACTTCATGGCTGCGCGAGCATGGGTACCCACAGACAGAGCCGAGTTACATCCTTTCGAGTCCGACGATGAGGAAGAGGAAAAAAGAGCAGAAGAATTCGAAGAAGCCTACAACATGCGCTTTGAGAACCCAGAAAAATCGAATGAGGCACTCAGAAGTTATGCCCGAGATACAGCAGCCAAGTTCTCCGTCCGACGAGAGGACAAGAACAGCAGGAAGAAGATGCGAGACGCTGAAAAGGCTGCGAAAGAAGCAGCCAAGCAGGAGATACGAGACGAGAAAGCACGGCTAAAGAAGCTGCGCATGGACGAGGTCGAGCAGAAAGTGAAGCGAATCAAGCAAGCTGCAGGCCTTCGCTCAACTGATTTGAAACCTGAAGACTGGTCTCGCTTCATCGACGACGAATGGGACGACGCGAAGTGGGAGGACGAAATGCAAAAGCGCTTCGGAGACCAATACTATGCCGAACAGGACGACGAGCTCAGCGACGCCAGCCTCGACGGCGAACAAGACAACAACCCCACAACAAAGAAACACAAGAAACCACACAAACCAAAATTCGACGACGACATCGATATCAAAGACATCATCCCTGACTTCCAAGAGGAAGACGAAGAAGCTGCTAACTTCAGTCTCTCCGATGACGACGACAACGACAACAACAATCAAACCCCAGCAACAAAACAGAAACCCAAATCAAAATCCAAAAAACAAGAACGCATCGCCACCCAGAAAGAAACCCGCCGCGAACGCCGCATAATCGAAGCCCTCGTCACCGACCAAATGCAACTCGACCTCGACCACGCCCTCCCCGCCTCGTCGCGTCAAAAATCCGCTGGGTTCAGATACCGCGAGACGAGTCCACAGTCCTTCGGTCTGACGTCTCGTGATATCCTGCTTGCTGACGATAGTGCACTCAATCAATTTGCTGGGTTGAAGAAGCTGGCGAGTTGGAGGGAGGAGGAGAAGAAACAGAAGGATTGGAAGAGATTGGGGAAGAAGGCTAGGTTGAGGAAGTGGAGGATGGATACGTTTGGGGATGAGGAGGGTCCGAGGGATGTGGATAACGATGGTCAGGATAGGGAGGATGGTGAGGCTCGAGCTGCAGAGAGTGATGATGAGGTGGGAGGTGTGGATATTAGGGAAGGTGGGAAGAAGAAGAAAGGTAGACGGAGGAAGAAAACAAAGACTGATGGAGTTGTGCTGACTGCCTGAGCAGTTTGAAGCAGTATATACACAGATCCTGAGAAGTTGATAATTAAGTTCAAGATGTGGATAACATCCTTGCTATACGATCTTGGGTTTGATCATTCTCCTAAACAAGTCTCTCGGTTTCCAGCCTTGCTTCCTCGCACTAGCGATGGAAATGACCTGCGTCAATGGTACGTCCAAAGGCTCGTCGTCCTCCAACCGCGGACCCTTCTCGTCACCACCTGCGGAAGCGGTGTGCTGCATCCTCTGTTCGTTTAGCCCCTTCAATCTTTCCAGCTCCTCTATTTCCCCAATCTTCCAGCCCCGCAGAACCCATACAACAAGCCCGCCAGCAATATATGAAAGCGCACAGAAGATTTGTGCGTAGATATACACAAAATCCATTCCAGGGGCACGTCGGATTTCCAATGCGATAGGCTCTGCACAAGTCACAGGCAGTACCATTATCAACCAAGTCCACGATAGAGCACTACCGAGATCCGCAAGACCAACGACCTCAGCAGCCACAGCAGCAATCGTGGTCCAGAACGTGCCAGCGAGCGCACCGCCAACGATAGAGAAGAACAGCAAAAGTCCGAAGGAGGACGGCACGACTTCTGTGGGAATCCAAAATACCAAGCAAAAGACACCGCACAAAGCTGTCGAAATTGACGCAAGATTTATACGGCCCCATCTATCAGATGCGAGCCCGATACATGGGCGGCCCAGCATCTGGCCCAAGTTGAAAATGGCGCCCACAATTGAACCTTGTTGGGCTGATAGGCCGATTTGACGGGCATAAGCTGGCAGAGAGAACAAAACTGTAACGTAGCCAAACATAGAGAACCAGGACCATAGCTGTACTAGCCAGAACTCGGGCCGCTTGAGTAGATCCCAGTCGAAAGACTTGTTCTTAGCACCAACTTGTGCGTTGCGATCCTTGATGATGTTGCTGCAAATAAGATTGATCGTACAGGAGAGGATTCCAAGGATGCGAAACGCCCATGGTAGACCTAGCTTGTCGATCATAGCTTGTGTCGAGAGTGACCATATCAGCCCTCCACAGCCGCTTCCGGCGGCAGAGACCGCATTGGCGATAGAACGTCGCTTGGTGAACCATTGAGGAATGATACCAACACTTCCCACGAAGAGGAAGCCCATGCCCAGGCCGAAGCATATCCCTTGCGCAAGGACCAGCTGATACTTTTTGGTGGCAAACGAGGCGCCGATCAGAGACAATGTCTCCAAGAAGATACCGATGTGCAGAGTGACCTTGGTACCATAGGTTTTGGTAACCTTCGTGGCGACCGGGGCGACAAACATAGCTAGTGAGATCGACAGACCACCGATGAAGGCATATGCGAGGGCGGATGTATTTGGGAAATAGTCGTGAGATAGGTAATAGGCCAGGAAGACGGCATATGTGGAATTGATACCCTTCGTTGTGTCAGCTGTGAAGAACGGTATAGGATATTGGAGTTCCTTACCCATGTGCAAGCGTTGATCCAAAAGCTGCAAGCCACACAGACCCAGCCGAAGCCGCCGTCAGGGGGTACATCTAACGGCTTGGGCGATGAGCTTTCCACATCATCATCGGCGCTTGTTGAAGGGTGTGCCGTTGGAGTTTCATTTGAATTGACTTTGTTCGAGAGTGAATTGCGCATGGCACTTGCCTTCTTCACTGCCATGCTGTGTGCTGGTGCTGCATATGTCGGGTCACAGTAGATGACTGAAAGGTACTGTACTCCTGCGAGGTAGTTCGACACTCATAACATCTTTCGTGTTGTCTGCCTTCGTTGTTCGTTGTGGGGATTTTGAGACTTCCGGCACGCTAGATCGATCCTCAGTATACGTCTAGTATATTAGTAAGACCAGCTGCCGACATCAGCTTGACGCGGAACAAGATGTTGATGGATCAGTCATCAAGCGCAAGTGTAAATCCTGGGATCGTCTCTTGTTGGCTTCATTTTCGCTTCAAACGAGCAGCAAAAGAACGGGCGGTCACCCATGGTTAGTGGAGTATGTCAAGCATGAACCGAGGGCGTCGGGCATGTCCATTGTATCCTCCACAGTAAAGGATAGCTCGCGCACCCAATCAGGAAAATATGTGTCCTTGAAATTCTGGGGCAGGTTCTGTCCGTGTTTCAACAGAGGAAGTCGATGCGCGAAGACGTGCAATCCGCAAAAGTCGCCGTGCCAGAGCTCACCGAAGTTGTGTCCCCAATATGAGTACTGGCCGGATCATCGTACATTCGGGTGCAAGAAATTGGGCAATAAAACCCCAACAAATGTGGAGGCTTGCTGTGCCGCATTTCCGGGTCTATGGATGTCTGTGGACAGTTGCTTGATCGACAGAACGAGAAGTCGCGTTCCTGGACGCTGCTTCTATACAAGGCGCTGCCAATAATAACGCGCCATGAGTTGAACGTCCTAGATGCTCGAGAGAAGCACGCACATCCGTCTCAGAACGCCTGTGAAGAATGCCCAAGAGAGATGAATGTCTGTTCAAATTATACGCGCAAAGATAAGCGAGTGAACTTGACCCACTTTAATCCTCGTTGTCCTGTGCAACCAGCTGTCCACACGAAAAGTCTCGATGAAGCAAGGCATTATGGAAATGTACGAGCGCAGTCATACTGGCTTTGTGGCTGACTACATTCACTCTCAATGCCTTACCATCAGAGCGAACCGTATTGATGTTCTTACCATTCCTAGATCTAATGCCAGTCCGTGCCATGTTTACCGAAGACCTTGTTCAGCCGACATCGTAACAACCTCCAACCAGCTCAGATGACAATGTTACACAGCAAAAGCAGCAGTCTAGGAGGCAGAAAAGTTTCTCCACCACAGCCGACTTGTATGAGTCTTGATAAAAAAGGTATGAGCCTGACATGATTGAAGAGTCATGGCACCACGAAGTCCTCCTTGGGAGTCTGTATACTCACATTTGGCTTCAGCCTCTTACCTTGCCGATCTTCGAACCAATCGTCCATCTCGACCGAGCGGTTCACGTCCTCTTCCAGCCAGGCCACTTCCCGTACCTGCCCAAGATGGTCCACCACGACCCGAATCCTCTCTGTCACTTCATTCAGCTGTCGAACATCCAGAAGATAGAAGTGTGGGAACGAGGGAGAGGAAGCTAGCACACCGTGCTTCAATGCCCATGTCCAGCTCCTTCGGCTCCTTGAACAGCCAGAAAGGCACACCTTTGGTCAACTCAGCTAATTCGACAATGCTACATGCTCGTATCATGACAAAGTCTCCATCGGCGACAGTCTCGGAAGAGACCTATGAAGAGTCCGATGCGAGGAAAAAAGAGCGCATGGAAGCACATCAATTACGTCGCACCTTGGAGAAGATCGATCAGAAGGACGATGAGCAAAGAATACATAATGCTGCGAAGAGCGAAGCTGCGGATCTTGTATGGAAGCACCAGAACCCATCTCTTGCCGAGGTTGAGAAAACAGCTGCGTATAGGAACCCTGATCTGGATCAACTAAAGCAAGGTGAGTTCGCTCATGCTATGAAACCTACAAGGATGGTCGTGGCTGCCATGCCAGATTCCCGATCAGCCTCTGGAGGCCCGATGGCACCGACAAACAGCCAGAGGCAACGGCTCCCCTGGTTAAGAGGAGGACAAAAGACCGAGACACCTACATCCTTGCCGCAGATGAATAGGGCCGGTCCTGCCCGCGAAACAATTCTGCAAAGGGGTATGCGGAAGGTCAGTGGTAAACGCCAGGTCAGTAGCGGTTCAAGCAAAGGAGTGTTCAGAAATCCAGAAGACGAGATCTACGAAGAGCCCGAAGAGTCAAAACCAGTAGTCGAACCGCCTCTCAAGCAAGAGCTTCCTTTACGGTCTTGTCAGACCAACTCGATACCTCGAGGGACCAGGCCTCTGCCCGAGAAGTCTTTTACCGACCCCCTCCTGAGCAGCGCAAGACTTAACAGAACCGAAATGCACAAGAGTGACCCAAGTCAAACACAAAACGCAGGATATATCTTTACCCGTGCTCTTCCTAAAACACCCATCAAGGAGCCAGAGGTCGAACTCGACGACAGTCCGAGATACAAGGACGGAATAGAAATCCGAAGTGACGATATCAGAGCTGCAACGAGTATGAGGAAGAGTGATCGAAGCCCAAATCTGCCTACACCTACTGCTGTAAGTGATAGGTTAGGTCGACCTATTGTCAGCTTTGATCCAAAGTGGAAACCAGGATCGGATTCTCCACGGAACAGCCAGGACACGGAAAGACCACGAGCACGCAAAGAGGATGGCAGTAGGTCGTATCCTATACAGCCTGAACCCGACGTCCCTGAGATCACGATCATGGAAGATCCAAGAAGTCCAGCACTTCAGCGCGAGACCGGAGCTGTTCCTGCTGTATGTGTGCAACCTCCACCTCTAATAGTCGAGCCATCAGTTGACGTCCCAGACACCACAGCGCAGAGGCCGGCACAAATGTCTATACCTCAGATCAATCTACCGGAAGAAGATTCGCCTCAGTCGTCAATTCCTGCGATCACTATTGAGCCAGAAATATTACCAAGTCGACCTCTACCTACAATCAATATACCAAACAGCAGCAGCTCCAGCAGACCTCTTCCACCTATGCATACACAATCTTCACCCTCTAAGCTACCAGCTTCGAGGCCAACAAAGTCCGAGGCGGCCTCACGCGTTCCCTGGCTCTCCAGAACACCAACATCTGTCACAGGCTTAGGTGTAACATGTACTGCTTGCTCTCTCCCAATATCTGGTCGCATTGTGACTGCCTCGGGATCTGTTGCTAAAGACCAAAGAGCACGATTCCATCCCGAATGCTTCACGTGTTATCACTGTTCTACAGGCTTGGAGTGTGTTTCGTTCTATCCCGAACCAGAAAATGCTCGTTTCGAGCGATATCAAGCTGCCTTTCCCCAACTCGACCCGGCCGATAAGGAGATCCAGGTACATGTCAAAGGCAACGAAGACCTACGCTTCTTCTGTCACCTTGACTACCACGAACTCTTCTCCCCACGATGTCACAACTGCAAAACCCCTATCGAAGGCGCTGTGGTTCTAGCTCTAGGACGACACTACCATCAGGACCATTTCTTCTGCGCAGAGTGCGGTGACCCCTTCACCTCAGAGAGTCCCTTTGTTGAGCACAACAATTATCCTTACTGCGTGTCGTGTCACACGAAGCGAACATCGTCAAGGTGTAGATCATGCCGGCAACCTATTCTGAATGAGATGACCATAGAGGCATTGGGCGGTAAGTGGCACGATGCCTGCTTCGTGTGCTGCGATTGCGGAGGCGACTTCGGTGATGAAGGCCGCTTCTTTGTCAGAGAGTTCGAGGTTGAGCTGACTGAGAAGGAGAAGAGGAAGGGTTTCGGACCGAAGATAGAAGAGAGAGCTGCTTGTCAGGCGTGTGAGGAGAGGCGTGTAAAGAACGTCAATATCTTCCTGTAGGGTCACTGACATGTACTATCATCTGCTCGGCGGTCTGAGTTGAAGGAATCAATTTTGCTGGCGTTAAATTTATTGATGTGGCACTTGTATCAAGAATTTTCGAAGAGCTTGTAGTATGACCAGGGCATACCAGTAAGCTCCGTCATTCGAACTCGCATTCAGACTTCCTCCTGTTACCATGTCTGATATGATAACTGGCTCTCGCCTTGTAGAGCTTGTCTTCAAATGTTGGCGCCATGTCAAAACAATGTTTTAACGTCGGCAAGGTGCCCGCAGGTGACAGTAGCATTCTTTGTAGCAACAGAGTGCTGGTGGACAAAACGCATCTATCACTCCGCTGAAGCAGTATTACCACGAAGCTTGTAGAAAGTTCTGTTGTTTGCTTCTTTTCAATACTGATTTTGCTGTCGGGTTGTTGTTCCAAGTTGATCAAGACTTACCACGACATTTGGCTCGACCATGGGGCATGTAGTTCCGGGTCCGCGCAAGATCCATAGCATATCCTCTGCTGAAATTCCAAGCATTGTCGAAAATGGCAAGCCTTCAGTTATCGCTGGTGTCGAGGTTTTGACCTCCTTCAACTGGTTGAACGCAGAAAGTCCTACCATCCTGATACCAGGTAAGTTGTTCGGGCTGAAACGCAACCATTGAAATAGAACTGAACAATCCTTGCAGGTTGTCCACCAAAGTATACAGAACCGAGCCGGGACACGAAACTGAGGAGAGACGAAGGAAGCAAGGTCAACGACGCAAGTTCCGAGCACTATTCTGCCTACCCGCCAGAGCCAGCAGTTCGAGCACTGCTCCATACAAGACCATCGTATTCAGACGTTGAAGTCGACGTCTTTGGCTGTGGTAATACCTTTACTAGCCTCCTCTATTTCGTCAGTGATATCGAGCGAGACTTTAGGTTCTCTGTCCAACGTATTGGAAAGACTCTGTTCCTTGTTCGTCAGACTTTTGTAACAGATATCGACTTCGGTGTCTCAAGAGGCTACAACCGAGCTTTTGCGAAGGCTTATACCATCTGGGAAGGCGACGCCAAGAATTCGAACTCACATCAGCGTGTTCTTAGATATGATCTTGCTGGCTTCAAATGTGTTGTGAGGGGAGAATGTGACGCATACTTGCCAGACAAGCTGCATGAATTCCAGAGTCGACAACCCGCATGTGAAGCGAGTGAAAAGCATGAGGAAAAAACAGAAGCAGGCTGCTCAAGTACAGCTGCGCAAGAAAAGGTGCCCACCTCAACAGCTTCACTTACGCTTTTGAGCGGAGGATGCGATATTCCACACGATGCCTTGGTTAGCATCGAAACTCGCGCATCCTATAACCAACGCGATCCGGCTCGAGGATATCAGCTCCCACGATTGTGGCTCAGACGAACTCCTAACCTGATGACTGCCATTCATGTATTTGGTACATTCGAGAAGCACAATCGTTCCATCAGAAACGTCAAAGCTGGGGTCAAGGCATGGGAGACAGAGAACACAGAGACAATAAGCAAGCTGCGGAATATCCTTCAGAAGCTGGTCGAAATCTCAAGCATAGACGATCAGGATAGGATTGAGGTACGTCGACGCAGTAGCGGTCCTCTGGAGATCTGGAGTGCGAGGCCTGGATGGTCTGCATTACCAGAAGAGCTGCGAGCTCGTTGGACAGATGCCATGAGTGAGGATACTGTTCGACCTAGCATGAACGACGGTGCAATGTGAGTGTGCAGATGTACCTGCAGGGTGGTTTGATGGTTGTTGAATTCAGATGACGAGTCAGAAGTGAAATTGATCAAGCAAGGCATGTTGTAATACGTGGCAGGAGGAGAGACGAAGGTGACAACTGTGTGCCAGAGTTTCGATCGAGGTTGTAAGAAGAACTTAGGAAGGCACGACTCTGTGAGAACACCTCCGGCATTTTCGGATGGTTAGTACACAAGTAGAACATGAATTCGCCTGTAACATCGGTCAAGCAGGTGGAATCCTCACTCATGTTTTCCAAGCTAGCTCATCCGCTGGTGTCGGCTTCAAGCACCACTTGGACTGATGAGATTGTGAGAGATTTAGTGGTTTTTAAGCCGAGAGCTTTGAGTGAAAGCCAATAAGCCTATCCCGCAAGATGGATCGCCGTGATTGGGCCGTCGCTTTCAGTCACGAGCGGATTGGCCATTTAATGTGCAAGGAGGATGCCGATCGACGCGGCAAGTACGACCTGCGACACCCTAGACGCATGAGCGCAGCTACAAAACTACCAATATCCATTCCATTTCATTTCCCCTCCTTCACTTCCGTATCACATCTGCAGCTTATCAGTCGCGTCTGCAGTCTGTCGGTCACGAACACTATAATCCACTGCATTATCCAAACTTCACCTCTTCCAAAATCGCCAATATGCAGCTCACAACCTTCTCGGTCTTCATCGCCGCCATGGCTTTGATCGCACCATCTCTCGCACAAGAAGTCACCTCTACAAGCGCAACAGAAACCTCGATGTGCAACTACCCAGGTTGCGGCACTGCTCAGAGAGCTACCGAAACTACGACCACAGAAACGGGCACCAATCTGTGCAACTCTCCCGGCTGCGGTACCGCTCAAAGAGCCACTGAAACTTCAACAACCTCGACTGGCACTCAGCCATGCAACACCCCTGGCTGCGGTACTGCTCAGGCAGCTGCCTTCGCTCCTGCTACAGCTGTGCCCATCGCGCAAGCTGCCTTTATCGGATTTGGTGCTATCGGCGCTGCTGCTTTCTTATAGATGGATGAGTGAGAACATACGATAGGAGGCAGGAGGTCGTGGTGCGGTTTACCAATACAAAATCAATATCAGGTGGAAGAAGGGACATTGTCGGTCGTTGTTACCAACCAGGCGGACGATAAGGCTTGCGTACGGAATGGTTCGGAGGCTCTCGTGGCACGATAAGGATACAAAACACATGAGTCGAGCTTGTGGTGAGAAGAAGCGCAAAGTTTTGTATCTTGCAAACAACCGGTTCAAGCATGGAGTTAGATATCACATTGCAATGGTCAGCCATAAGGTTTTGTTTCCGGTCCCTCTTCTCTACTGTGATTATACTGCTTGTACTAACCGGAAATCAGTCCATATCGGGCAAGCCAACAGCTGCAGGTAAGGCATTAGCAACAATGAAAAATACACTGTGAGGACTGGACGTTTCAGATGCATATCGTTCTATGTCCGTTCATGTTTAGAGCGATACCGAAAGCGAATTGTTGGACAACAGGACCGACGAAATGATGCAGAGTAGAGCGTGAATACAAACATTTCTCTTGTAGTGGCAAGCCCGACCACCATATTCTGTTGATTGCAGGCGAACATTCTGGTAAGGCGCGAGAAACCGAACACAGAGTGGCATGAATAGATTAGTACCTGGGAAACTGATTAATATCTCGACCTTTGGCAGTTTGCGGGAAGAAATTGTGCTAGGTCATCTGATAGAAAGTACTCAGTGAGTACTGACCGTACGCAGTTAGGATTTGCTAAGTCGTCCATTGCCATCTATCCAAGCCATTTCATCCACGCCAGAACCATAAAAATGCTTGAATGCGCTTCGCTATGCAGTTTCTTTATCATTCAAATGCAAGACCTATTCGTTCTATCCTTGAGCCCTCCTCACATCACAAGGCTTCATCCTCCGCCGAGTTCGAGATACTCAAGTAGGCTGTCCAAGCAATACCAATCGTGCTCACAAAAGGAATTTGGAATCGAAGTGGCACGACTCGAAAGTTCAGGAGTTGTACAGCGGGCCAAATCAGCCAGTTCGCCTTTAGTGTAGGAATGTAAATGTCCTGAAACTTCTTGATAACTTGTCTCTTTCCACCTCCTTCTGCAACTGTCATGAAGGTAAAGAAGCAACATAATCCGGCGGGTGCAAAGATGAACTGGTCGCATGCCACACGCTTCAGGACAGGGATTGTGGTAGAAGTTGCGGTCATAGGGAAGAAACGTGTAAGGAGGCCGAACCACTGGAACTGTACGGGTGTCATGATGAAGCCGTAGGACATGAAGCGTATCGTGCGCTCGAAATCGAAGGGTTGTGGTCCGGATGACGCTGGGTGTAGGTCTGGCGACAAGCGAGCAGGTTTCTCGTTAACGTCGCCGAGTTCTATGCCGTCTGAGATCAAGGATGGACGATTATGTGTCGGTAACATCGCTGCGCGAGTCCTGTAGGATGTTATCAATTGTGCGCTTGTATCTGCTATGCCTCCCAAGATCTGTCTGTTGTCAGTCGGTGTCATGCAATCATATGGCTATGCTTCGAACGTACGGCGTTGGTGACCATCGTGGTAAGGAGTGGTCGCTTGTCATAGTAGCTGTTGAATTTGGCTATGAGACGTCCGACCAGAACCATTTCGATAAGGAATACTATTGTATGTAATAATGGCTGCAACGCAGTAAGTAGGAAGGCCTCAGACTGGGGGAATCTAGACAAACAAGACGCCCATAAATCCACGTTTGGTTCGCTTTCTGTAACAGGCCTCGCCGACGTCCTTCAAGCATGTCGCAGGGAGGATACGAGACGGCAGTAGTAAGGTGCGCAATAAAATGAGGTCGATTACGGCTGATTGATGTCGTCAAGGGTCTCGACTAGTGACGCCAAAGGGGCTTCGGGCAGATAGGCTGGCGCGGAGGTGGAGCGACGGCAATATCTAAACTCGCCCTGAGGTTAAGTGTGCTCGCACGGTCGTGTATGGCTGTCACGGTGTACCAAGAAGTGGATTTGAGGCTCTGATAATGTCTGCAACGTAGTACAAGCTGTTGTTGATCCACATGATCATCGAGTTCAGGCTGGCTCTGGTTCGTTGTCCTCCAGCCATTCAGAATGCGGCATTGCGAAAGTCAATCTAGCCACAAGTTCGGTGGATAAGGCCTTGAATCCCGCCTAGAAAGCTGGCGGCGTCGCAGGCCTAAGCGAGGAGTTTTGGGGCACGAGCTTCTTGCTCACCGCCGAGTACTATCAAAGTCCCTTCTCAGGTTTATTCAATTTGAACTTCTCAATTTGGACTGCCATCACAGAACGATGTCGGCAGCTCTTAAAGTCTCGAAAGTTGATTTGTCCTACGAGATTGCATGGACATGACACCAATTCATGCACAGTCGGCGACCCTCTACCGCGAATTTCGTGCACAGGATACAGTACAGGATACAGCTCGAATCTTTTCCGTGCCATATGATCCAAACGATCAATGCACTATCCGAAGCATGGCTGTATCCGAATCGCAGCTCCTGATGGTCACGTCTGCGAAAATGTACTGCGAGCACTGAAAGTCACGTTTTCAGCCTGAGCCTACTCAACCCGAAGATGCAAATTGACGTACTTCAGTCGCAGCTGCTGCAAACCCCACCAAAGCCATAACTGCCCGTACCAAATTCTTATGAGCCTGATCAAGCCCTCTTCCCTCCACTTACACAAGTTTTAAATACCTACAATCTCTGTTTGGACACGTGAAGTTCGCTACACAAACATGTCTTTGTCTAACAAGCTCTCTATAGAGGACGTTGACCTCAAGGACAAACGAGTACTTATCAGAGTATGAAACCTCGAGCAACCACTTTGACAGCTCACTAACCAGACAGGTCGACTTCAATGTACCCCTAGACTCAGATAAGAACGTAACAAACCCTCAACGAATCGAGGGTGCTCTGCCTACCATCAAATATGCAATCGACAATGGTGCAAAAGCAGTTATCCTCATGTCCCACCTAGGCCGACCTGACGGCAAGCGTAATGCGAAATACAGTCTCAAGCCAGTGGTATCAGTCTTGGAAGAGAAACTAGGAAAGAAAGTGACCTTCACAGATGACTGCGTTGGACCAGACGTGGAAAAGGTCGTCAGTGAAGCTAGTGGTGGTCAGGTCATCCTCCTTGAGAACCTGCGATTCCACGTCGAAGAAGAGGGCAGTAGCAAGGACGCAGATGGCAAGAAGGTTAAGGCCGACAAGGCTGATGTCGAGAAATTCCGAAAGGGCCTGACTGCTCTTGGGGATGTCTACATCAACGATGCTTTTGGCACCGCTCATCGTGCTCACAGCTCCATGGTCGGTGTTGACTTACCACAAAAGGCTTCTGGCTACCTCATGAAGAAAGAGCTTGACTACTTCGCCCAAGCGCTGGAAAATCCCAAGCGACCATTCCTGGCTATACTTGGTGGTGCCAAGGTCTCGGACAAGATTCAGCTCATTGACAATCTGCTGGACAAGGTCAATACGTTGATCATCTGCGGTGGTATGGCTTTTACCTTTAAGAAGACCCTGGAGAACGTCAAGATTGGCAACAGTCTGTTTGACCAAGCCGGAAGCGAGAAGTGCGCTGAACTCGTCGAAAAGGCAAAGAAGAACAACGTGAAAATTGTATTGCCTGTAGACTATATCACAGCCGACAAGTTCGACAAGGACGCACAAACCGGCAAGGCCACTGACAGTGAGGGTGTCCCTGATGGCTGGATGGGTCTCGATTGTGGTGAAGAGAGCATTAAACTGTTCAAACAGGCTATCGATGAATCAGCTACCGTCTTGTGGAATGGCCCACCAGGCGTGTTCGAATTCGACAAGTTCGCCAATGGCACAAAAGCTACGATGGACGCCGCTGTGCAGGCTGCAAGCAACGGTAAGATTGTGATCATTGGCGGTGGTGACACAGCTACTGTTGCTGCCAAGTATGGTGTTGAGGAGAAGCTCAGCCATGTTTCTACTGGTGGCGGCGCCAGTCTGGAACTGCTCGAGGGCAAAGAGCTTCCAGGAGTCTCAGCACTTTCCAGTAAGTAATCAAGGAGGTCTTGTGCGGCTAGAGGAATTGATTAAGCAAGCAACCAGCAAATCGAAGTTGTAGTTCCAGTCGATGGTCCATTGTTAGAAAATGCATATCTTTTGAATTGCTCCTCTCTGATAACCTGCTGCGCGCTGCACTTCGCAATGAAATCTTCCGTCAACACTAGTCATGCTTCTAGAACGTAGAAATCCAAGAGTTTCACTTGTTTCCCTCACTTGTCTTCTTGAGCTCTTCCCTGCCCAACGGTCAATAAAACAGTGCTGAAATATAGTAGATGTCTCGTACCTTAATGCTTTGCTGAAATCATCGTTCTCGTCGTCATCGTCCCAGCTCTCCTCCCAGAGATGTGTCGTTCCGCTAGGCATTGCGGCGTCTTCTTGTTCCCAATCTGCAATAGAACAGTGTCAGTCCCTGCGCCCCTTCTGCTAACTATGTTTGTTTCCGTGCATACCGTCTACAGGAAAATCCTCAAACTCATCGTCATCTTCAAGCAGGGCTGGCGCTTTTTCTACAGGTTTCGACGCGGCTGCTGGATCTGGCTCGTTCGCTTTCTTGTCCTGTAGTTTCTCTGTCGGCACTGAAGAGCCACCTGAGGCCATATTGCTGGTTGGGGATATCGGTAGTTCGCGCAGGTGTTGTACTCGTTTCTTGACCTTTCACGTTATTGTACGCGCAGTCTGGTAGTGCGCCGATTTGCCTTTTGCAATCAGAGTCCCGTGTGGAGTGTGTATTGATGGATGTACAACAATTCGGTCAGGCTACGGGCGACCACGTCTACAAACATCGCCTACGAGCTAGCGGGGTCGTCCTTAATTCTGTAAGCTTAGGTACTCTGACCTTTGATCCGCCAGCAACGAAGTTGATAGTCCGGCTACTATGTCCACGAATTTCACCCATCCCATGCAGGGGCAATCGAGACGACCTTCTCGGACCACAGTTCCCGCCAGCAGATCTGCATGTGCTCTCCACAAGTGTGCCGTGTTCTCACTGTTGTCATCCCCAAGGAGTTAAGCCTACTCGATGACGATGCCGTGCCTCACAAACCCGTTACAGCTCCTGGGCACTCTTGAGCCCCTCTGTGGCACGTGTGTTCCGTAACAATTACTCAATACCGCTCAATATACTTTGGTTCTATAGCGCCCTGAACTCTGACATGATTTTCAAGATAGTGGAAGTGTTTAACCATGCCAACACCGCTCTAAAGATCGTATTCCAACTTGACGTTTGCCAACTTTGAGCTTGTGTTCATTACAATCTGCGTTCTGTGTTCATCACCTTATCTGCGGAAAAGGTCTAAGGCGTCCGAGGCTTCTTTTTTTAAGGCTACAACGTTTTGTAACTTCTTAGACTTCTCATCAACTTTTGTCTCACAATGTCGGTCTTTGGAAAATGGCTAAGCCGTGGCAAGGCGACTGTCTCTCACGAGAGGCTAGACTTGCAAGCAGAAGCTCAGAACATGGACTTGGCTCTCCGTGCAGCAGAGAAGATCATGAACGACGATATCGTGGGTGCTGAGGAAGCTCTTAAAGGGGGCGATTCAGCATTTCACAAACTTTCCAAAGGCACATTGGGCTTTATGAAATCCACGTTAGGTTTCGAGCAGGAGGTCATGAAGGAAGCCACACAGCTGTTAGCAGAGGCTGAAAACAGTGCCTATACTTACTATTACAAAGCACAACACGATACGAGTGCCTTCCAGTCCAACATCTACGACAAGGGTGCCGAGTTTCTTCTGTGCCAAGCTGAGGCGCAGATCATGAGTGCCGTGGTGGGTGTATTGAACGAGAGCCTGACAGAATCACTCAAGGGATTTTACAAGATGAGAAAGGCATACATGATTTTGGAGAGCTTGATGGCCCAGGAGCAGAAGTACATGCAAGCTAGAGCTGTACAGAGCTTGCAAGGCTCGCATATGGCATCCAAAGAGAGTTTGACATCTCTGCATTCTGCACACTCAAATACTAATCCTATCATCGTGGAGCCTCCAGTACAATCACAGCCTGCAAAGCCATCTGGACTTAGAAACGCCATGACCTCGAACAGGACAGAGTCTCCAGATTCTGACGAGTTCGTCGAGGCGGATGAGAATCACTCTCAACATCCAGTAACGCAGAAGTACGAAGGTCATCTCGGAAAATCTGGCCCTCGGCAGGACTTTGGAGATGACCTGGACCAGAAACTTCAGCGTCTAGACGTGAACTCAAACCTGCTTGGCACTTCACCCACACCATCGGAAATGGGCTCCCGTCCTCCTCTATCACGAACAACAACTGGTGGCAGTAAATTTGGGCTGATAGAGATCGAAGCCGACGACCAAGTATTCAAGAACTCATTGGACGTCTTCATACACTCTGGGACCAATCTCATGTTCGGCATCATATCACTCATGATTTCTGTAATACCGCCTACCTTTGCAAAGGTGCTTGCTGTGATCGGCTTTCGTGGAAACCGCGAGAAAGGCATGCGTATGTTGTGGCAGGCAAGCAGATTCTCCAATGTCAACGGTGGCATGGCGGCATTGGTTCTTTTCGGCTGGTATAACGGACTTATTGGATTCTGCGATATCTATTCAGATCCTGATCCTAGCGTACCACTCATGGACCAAGTTGAAGGTTATCCTTCCGACAGGCTCAAAGGCCTGTTAGCGGAAATGAGGAACAGATACCCAGATAGTCATCTCTGGATGATCGAAGAGGCAAGGATGGCTGCCGCTGGTCGAGATATCGACAGAGCACTAGAACTGCTAGGACGCGCTGGCAAAAGCGACATGAAGCAGTTGCAAGCACTACAGGTTTTTGAGAAGAGCTTGAATGCTCAGAATTCGCACCACTACGAATTGTGCGCAGAATCCTTCCTGGAATGCGTTGAGCTGAATGCATGGTCGCAAGCACTATACTATTTCGTGGCCGGAGCTGCACTTTTGCAAAGATCGCGGGATTTGGCTGCGGAAGGCAATGCTGCCGAAGCACAGAAACTTGCGACATTGGCGGAAGAGCACATCAAGAAGGCGCCCTCCTTTGTGGGCAAGAAGAAAATGTAAGTAATTTTGATGTGCAAAGCAAGCATGTGACTAACTTCCCAACTAGGATGGGCCGACAGTTGCCTTTTGACCTATTTGTGCAAAGAAAGGTCAACAAGTGGACAGCAAACTCTGCCGCTTGGGGCTGCTCCTTCCTCGATGCAGTTGGTGTACCACCTATTGAAGAATCGATCTTCCTCTGGAACGGATACAAGAAGATGAACGAGTCCCAACTACAAAAGAGTCTGCAGAACCTCGAGCGAGCAGAGCAGAGCCCACACTGGGACAAGCAGGGTATCGATGCGCAAACTGTGGCTACACTGCTCCGTGCCACTATTTATCGCAATCTACGACAGCATAAAAAAGCACAGGCAATACTGGAAGAAAATGTCTTCGTCCACGACAAGAGTGCCTTCTCAGCTCCTGGTATGGACACGTGGGCAGCACCAGCCTCGTATTACGAGCATGCAGTAAACTCGTGGCAGCAACGCAACGAGTACATTGTGAGGTTTGGCACCAGCCTCGCTGGACCATCTGCGAACCAGCAGAGTGCATCTAACGCAGAGATTGTGGCCGATCGTGTGCATGTCGCCAGCGCTAGGAAGCACGTCGAGACAGCAAAGAACTGGGGCTCCTACGAGCTTGATGCCAGGATAGGAATGAAGATTACTGCCGCCCTGGGCGCGATTGGAAAGTGGGAGGCACGGAACGGTGTAGCATAGATCTACAAATTTTTGAAGGTCGTCAAATCTGCGTCCGATGGCCACGTTTTCATTGTTATCTGCTGGAAGGAACTAAGCGTCGGTGCTTCCAACCGAACATCGAGTAAGATCAAGCTCTAGGAAATGTGTGTTTGGGAGTGGTGTCTGGTAGTACGGCTCAATTTCGACGAATCCGAAGGATTGATATAAGCCTAGTGCAGCAGCCATCTTGGAAAGAGTATCGAGCCGAATCTTCTGGTAGCCCAGTTGCTTGCCAACTTTGATAGCAGCTGCCACCAACGCCTTGCCAACACCAAGCCCTTTGGCAGCATTACGGACCCAGAGTCGCTTCACCTCACAGATCTGAGGGCCCAGAGGCCGCAATGCCACACAACCTATTGCATTTCCATCGTCTCCTCTAGCAAGAAACAGTGCTCCGGTTGGTGGTTTGTATTTACCAGGCATTTCAGCTATCTCGGCATCGAAGTTCTGAAACGAAATGTCAAGGTCAAGCCACTTCACGTATTCGTATATCAGCTCAACCGTAGCTTGAAGATCATGGTCTGAGTGGGCAGGTTCAATAGTGAAAGTGCGTGACATTTTCGATGATCGGAACCAGTTGTCAAATATTCGTTTACTGGCGAGTTTGGCTTCGTCGAGCCATACGTTCACCTTTTCCTTTCACTACCGAGCTTGGAAGGCGCATGTCATGCCTTGTACATGTCTACTAGTAGGCACGCGACATATTGACTCACATCTCAGGGCGTGGCGAGCGACGACATCGGACACCTCGGATCCACTATTGACATCGTGCATCGCTAGCTGATTCAGGCAGCACTCTACTCACACCGTTGGGCGGTAAGGCGAAATCTTATTCGACCTGATAGGTTTGCTATTTCCAAGGCGACAGAAGAGGATGCTCATGAGAGCACGACGTGGTATTGAGTGCTCATATGCTTCACTGCGAGACATCGCGATACCAGCTTGTGGTTAGAAGATATTCGTGCCTTAAGTGTCGGATTTCTAAAGACAAAACGAGCCAGCAATAAATCCCTTATCCACCAATCAGAGCAACAGACCGCCTTATCGCTATCTAGCTTTTCGGCTAGAAACCTTACGGGAAAAGATGCGCGGAGGAAAGTGAAAGTGTTTGTTTTGCGTCAGAGAATCTGGTCCTTTGTTGAACGACCACGCCTATCAACAGGTATGACATGATCTCAACTGACCTGTGCCTCTCACTCGTCGCGATATGCTGTCCGTCATGGCTGTGATGTGCGACTGAAAGCCGAATTGTCTATGAATGAGATGTCATGGTCGTCATTGCTTCGAATCATGTGCATCCCACCCTGTTCTCTACCCAGATTGAGTATAAGCTAGCATCTATCCAGGACCTTAGTAGCTGTGGTAGAGCTCCGAATCGGTACCGTTTTTGTATTGTCGCTGTTCTTTCTTCTGCAGAGTATTTCAAAATCATTCCTTCCTCATTCTTACCTTGAGAAAACCAACTCCAGTTTCTTTATACTAGACTCTTCACTCTTACCGCAACAACCACAGTCAATCGACAAAATGACTAACCTACCTTCCGAGCCCGAGTTCGAGCAAGCCTACAAGGAGCTCTCCTCGACCCTCGAGAACTCTTCCCTCTTCGAGAAGAATCCAGAGTACAAGACTGCTCTCGCCGTATCTGCCATTCCCGAGCGAATCATCCAGTTCAGAGTTGTCTGGGAAGATGACAAGGGTCAATTGCAAGTCAACAGAGGTTACAGAGTGCAGTTCAACTCCGCTCTAGGCCCATACAAAGGTGGACTCAGATTTCACCCAACAGTGAATCTATCCGTGCTCAAGTTCTTGGGTTTCGAGCAGATTTTCAAGAATGCCTTGACTGGCTTGAACATGGGTGGTGGAAAAGGTGGCGCAGACTTTGACCCCAAGGGCAAGTCGGACAATGAGATCAGAAGGTTCTGCCAGTCTTTCATGAGTGAGCTCGGCAAGCATATCGGAGGCAACATTGATGTACCCGGTAAGTTTGACTTCAGGAAGGTCAGGATAACTTTTGGCTGACAGAAATAGCTGGTGATATTGGTGTCGGAGGTCGAGAAATTGGCTACCTCTTTGGACAGTACAAGAAGCAAACCAAAACCTGGGAAGGTGTCTTGACTGGCAAGGGTGGTGCCTGGGGTGGTTCTCTGATCAGACCAGAGGCTACTGGTTACGGCTGCGTCTATGTAAGTAAAGCGACTGACATATCAGGACCGTTGACTAATTCGTACAGTACGTCGACCACATGATCAAGTACGCCAGTGGTGGCAAGGACTCTTTCGCAGGAAAGAAAGTCACGATCTCAGGATCTGGCAACGTCGCGCAATTCGCAGCTCTAAAGGTTATTGAGCTCGGTGGCACCGTCGTATCCCTATCCGATAGCAAAGGCTCAATAATCGCAACAGAAGGAAAAGGCATTACACCAGACATGATCAACATCATCGCAGACCTCAAGCTCAAGAGAAAGGCGCTCGCCGATATTGTCAGCACCAAGGACTTCAGCGAAGTCAAGTACGTCGAGGGCGCCAGGCCATGGACTCACGTCGGCAACGTCGACGTCGCACTCCCATCTGCCACGCAAAACGAAGTCTCCGGCGAAGAAGCCGAAGCCCTGATCAAGGCAGGCTGCAGATTCATCGCCGAAGGCAGCAACATGGGCTGCACCCAGGAAGCCATCGACGCCTTCGAGAAGACAAGGTCAGAGAAGGGAGCCGACGCCCTCTGGTATGCACCAGGCAAGGCTGCGAACGCTGGTGGTGTCGCTGTATCAGGTCTCGAGATGGCACAGAACTCCGCACGCATAAAGTGGACCTCTGAGGAGGTGGACGCTAAGCTCAAGGACATCATGAAGAACTGCTTCGAGAACTGCCTAAACACTGCAAAGGAGTACATAACGCCAAAAGAGGGTGAACATCCTTCCCTGGTTGCTGGTGCAAATATCGCGGGAGCAGTCAAGGTATTCAGAGCCATGCACGATCAGGGTGATTGGTGGCACTAAATCAGGTCTATCCTCCTATAGAGTACTAGAGCAATGAATTGTGTTTAGAAGGACCTAAATCAGAAACACAGTATAAGTGCTGCAGCATACTACATCTGCTCCTGCCTGGCTTTGATCTAGGCCGCTGTTGAGCTTCGAGATTGAATTTCAGTGCACGCGCTCATACAATTCTAATGGTCCAATAGCGTTCTAGTGTAAATCTACTCGTAACACTACGACACTCCTACTCATCTCCCATGACTACCCTACCACTGACCAGCATTTCCATTCAACACCATCCCACCTACTACAACAATTCTCGCCTCACTTCCTTTCCTTCACTTCACAACTCAATCACCCTCATGCTTCAACCCATCAATCCAACTGACCAACCTCTTCTTAATAATCACTCCATTCACCTTCCCACTCCCTTCCTCCGTAACAATCAAATACCTCAATCCAAGTTTCCCAAACATCTCGACCGCATATTCCATCGGCGACGCGGCACAGATCGCGAGAGGTGTGCGGTCCACAAAGGGGGAGAGATCTAGTTCTTCGTCGTCGTGGGATACACGAGGAGTGTACGAGGAAATCTCTTCGGGGTTTTCGGCACCAGGATGTGAGGAGCTGAGAAGACGCACGTTGGTAGAAGTATCGACGTCTGCGCCGATGACGTTGAGGCCGTATTCTAGTTCTCCTTCGGCGAGGTAGCCGACTAGCATGCCGCCGTGCTGGACGAGGACGAGACCTGCGTCCATAAGACCTCGGCCTTTGAGCTGCTCGAGCTTCTTGGCGAGAATGCCGTATTGGACTGTTCCGCTGGCACCGACGTCGACTGTGATTTGTCGCATGGTTTGTTCTGGTGGGATTAATTCGCTGACTAGGTATTGCCGTCGTGCTACGAGTTTCATGCTCGCGTCGAGGTCTAGGAAGGGGTGGCCAAGGACAGTTTGAGCGAGATCGTAGACACTTTCTGATTCTAGGGCATCGGCGACCCATTTCGCGACCATGATGCCTATCATGTTGGGAACGATAAATTCGAGTTCGCCGGTGAGTTCGAACATGATTACGGCGAGAGAGATGGTCATGCGCGAGACACCTGCTAGGAAAGCTCCGGCTCCGACCATGGCGAAGATGCCGGGAGAGATCGTGCTGCTTAGGAGTGGGAGTTGACCGACGAGTCGACCGAAGAAGGCGCCGGCATCGAGGGCAGGGATGATGATGCCGCTGGGTACTTTGATGCCGAATGTGATAATCGTGAGGAACAATTTGATCAATGTGCCGTAGACTAAGTAGCCTAGGTACTTCGCGTCTGGACCTTCAGTGGCAGACTCGTGCAGACACACATAGGCTGTGTCTCCTTTGCTGTCACAATCCACCAACAGGTTTTTGATGATCACATCGCCTGGTTCTCTCGTCAAAGGATTAGGGTACTGAGTAAGTGCGGTGACAGCAACGACAAGGAACACCTCAAAGACTGGGTGATTCTTGATGACGCTGAACTTTCTGAAAGTCCTGGACCAAGCAAAATTGGCTTTGCAGAAAGTACCGCCAAAGATGCCACCTGCAACACCCAGCAGAACAAAGACCAGGTAGTGGTAGGGCTTGTAGGACGTGCCATAGTTGGTCTCAAACAGGACGAGCTTGCCAGTACCGGTCGGGTTCAAGGCTCTTAATGTCATCGCGGCAAAGAGGGAGCAGATGAAAGCACGCCATAGGACTTTGCGAGGGAAGTAGGTCGAGATCTCTTCGTAGGCAAAGAGTACGCCTCCAATGGGAGCACCAAAGGCGACGGATAGACCACTTGCACAACCGGCAGCCAGTATTTCCCTCAACTTCCGACTGTTTTCTCTGTACTTTCTGAATCGAATGCCAACCAGATAGGCAACGCATGTAGATATATGTACGAATGGTCCTTCTTTTCCTAAACACATTCCTGTGCTGACTGCGAAAGTTGAGCCAACAGCTTTGACGACCAGGACTTTGAGATCGAGGAAATGAGGTATAACGAAGCCGGAGAGGATAGTCTTGATCTCGGGAATGCCAGAACCGGCGGCCATGTACATCGTCTTTCCGCCTGTCGTGGTTTGCGAGAGACTTGAACCTGAAGCACCATTGAGATAGCTGTCAGTCTTTTTCTGCTGCTCAGAGGAGAATTTGTCACCTCTACCAGGAGATGCAGCTGGGAGATTGGCTCGCGTAGTCATTGTTACAGAGCCAGCGAGTATACCGAAGAGTAGTGCCCATGCTACGTAGATGGCAAAGGATACAACATAGTTATCTGACCAGGGGTGCCATGCCTTGCAATTTTCACCTGCATCAGCGAGAGCGAGGAATTGAGGACTGCCGCTTTGTAAAGGATGTTTCGGCGTACAACACATCTCCTTCGATCTGAAAGGGTTAGATGTACAGTAGCCTGTCTTCCAGTCGCTCACAATAGCAACTGCCATATCGACCAAGAAGGCAACGCATGCAGTTAAAGTGCCGATCAGGGCAGAAGCTACCCATCCTTCAGCACTGTCCCACAGAACGAGTAGCCTATATCGTAGTCCGGGCTTCGAGCGAATGGTTCGGTAACGGAAGGAGTCTTTGACCTAGACAGAAATTTGAGTGGTGTGAGTGTGGAGGATAAAGGTGTTCTTACCAGGTCATGAAGCCAGTCGATAGTCGTGTAATCATTGTATGGGAGTCGCTCGCCCACAGCAGTCTCACCTAAAGCCAACTCTTCCTTGCTGACATGGGAGGAAGCGATAGACGCGCCGTCGACCTCAGCAGCTACTGAAAGCAACCTCGAGCGCCGACGATCAAACGATGTAGGGAGAAGATGAGTTCGCTCGTCATCCTGGTGTTGTTGTGCCATTTTCGCGTCTCCTGGTGAGCAGCCACTGTAATCTGAGCTCTTCTGCTCCCCAGGTCGAGCCTGCAAGGCTCAACAACGAGTATAACCGTAGAAACGGCAGGACAAGGTGATACGTCAATCATCGCCGCGGACCAAATAAGATATGGCAGCAGTAAGCGCAGGCAATGATAAGCTTGCATCTGGAAGTGTCCATGGTGTTTCGACAGATAAGAGATAAAGCAAGCTTGCAGGGAGGTGCCAAGATGAGAGATCTAGAGAGGAGATAAGGATGCAGAGCGCATTCGTTACTATTGGCGAATCAAAGCACCCGAATTAGTTAGTGGATGAAGGCTCAAAGTTCGTTTGGACTGCACTGCTTTCTATATTGTAATTAAACACAGAGTAGTATTCGCTGCTCGCTCTCTTTAGGGCCATCGCAGCTAGGGCCGAGGGAACGTGAAATGGCACAACACCACCACGTCCTGGCCTGACTAAATGAAACAGACGACACCCGCAAGTCCGATCAACAATAGCATGAGATGCCCGCCAAAGTTCTGGACAGCCGCTTCACTGCTTTGCTGAATTCCACTCCCTCCTGACGATGTCGCACCTGTCGTTCTGGTTGTCGAACCCGGTACAACGGCTGTGGAAGTACTATCTGCTGCGCCCGTCCCTGACCCTGTAACGGTCATTGTAGCCACCACATCAGTAGACGTGGTATTGGGATAGGTAGGAGATGTGCCTGTGCCTGCTGCACGATCAGCAAGGGGAGCGAAGTTGCCACAGTTCAATCTGAATTTGTTATTCTTCTTGTGAACAACAATGCTCAAATTGCCAAAGAATGCCGTGTCGTTGGGATCGGTCGAAAGGTATTCTTCCAGATATTCCAGACTGCGTGAAGGGTTTGTGTCGTTCATGAACGTTATTGCTCCGTGCTTGCCAGACAGATCGCCGAGCTGGCATGTTTCAGGCCTGCTGACCTCGCAGACATCTTCGGGTCCTTCACCAACGCCATAGGGGTCGAAGTGTGCACCGGTACTGTTGCAGTTTCCAGTTTCGGGGACTTTGAATTGATGGATGTGATATACTAGAGAACATTAACCAGCATCCAGAGAGATTTGAAGTGTACTGACTGTATTCTGTGGAATCTGCTAGGTCAAAGCCATTCCAGCTAATCTTCACATTCATGCCGGTACCATCTGTGGCAGCCTCAAGTACGATATCGCCCTTGATAGAACCTGGTCCTGAGGTAAGAGAGGCATAGTAACCAGTTGCTGGGAGATTGTTTGTTATTATTGGTGCAGGTTGCTGAGCGAATATGCCAGCGCAGAGAGTGAAGATGGTAAGAGTCGTGGAAAACATCTTGTTAGCTTGACGAGAAAAAGGCTAAAGACGAGAGTTGTAGAGAATGGGTACGACAGTGTTATAAGGGACAGGTATTCGGGCACTGCCCCTCGAACGGACGAAATTTGTTGTTTGCGCACGGTCGCTGCAGTGACTTGTCTGTGAGATGCCGAAACGTGGCCCTGCAGCTTGCCGTTTGTGATGCAAAGCTCATTCCTCGACTGTGCATCCCCGAATTTTCTGTCACGTCGATACTTCGCAGTGGTGTCGATCAGGCAAGTCTCCAGATGTAGAAGCAGGTCTCAGGCTCATTACATGCGTACCAATAGTTGCGGAATCTGCGTCATATTTCTTCTCTATCCGCAACAATCTAGTCTATCCAAGCTAATCCTCGAACAGAGCGTCCACATCTGCGTCCTCCTCCACTGTACCTGTCTCTGCGGTAGCAACCTCTTCCGTTCCTTTAGGCCCATCGACAACCATGGCCTCCGAATTTACTGTTTCCTCCACAGCAATATCTTCCATTTCATAACACTGAGCCATGAACTCGTCCTCAAGCTCCTGATCCAGCTCCGCTTGCGACTTCCTCTCTAAAGCAACCCCTTCCATTGTATCAGGCTCATCAACGATGATGTCGCTATTTCCTGCATCTTCCTCCGCTGTAGCTGTGTTGTGCTTGGGTGCCTCCTCCATAGCAACCTCATTTGTCACCCTAGGCTCATCAACGAGCATATCCTCCGACTGACCTCTTGCCTCCGTAGTGACCCCTTCGTCCCTGTCAAGCGCATCAACGAGCATGTCCGCGAGTTCGTTTAGCTGCTCCTCGTTGGCTGCATCGCACATGGGATTATCCTCCACAGTGACCTCTTGATCCTTTTCAAGCGCTTCGACAAGCATGTCCCCGAGTTGATCGAGATCCTCCTCGTTGCCCGCATCGTACCCGATATCCTCCTCTGTAGTAACCCCGGTCATCTCAGTTGGCTCCGTGACCGCCTGCTGTGTTTTACTTCGCTTCAACTCATTCCTCTTTGCTTTCCTTGGCTTCTTGGCCGCCTCGGTCGCTTGACGATTCGATCCCTCCCCCTTTGCTTTGTGAACCGCGTTGATAGCCCGTATCTGCTTACCAAGGTTCTCGCGATACTGTCGATCATGCCAGTCTTTGTCCTTGGCTACATCCTGTTCAGTCATGTTGTTGGCCCAATCGGGCCTGAAATGCGTCCTTTCCAACTCAGTCGTGGGATACCACTCTGGTTTCGTCTTTCGACGACAAGATTTCTTTGGTGGTAGTGTAGTAGAGGTACCTTCTTCCTCTGTAAGGTCGGTGGAAGTAGGAGGTGTTGACTCTGGTGTGTCGGTAAGGTCGATAGGTGTACCAGGTGTTGTTCCGGAATCGTCTGTAAGATCAATAGGAATTTGAGGCGATGACTCAGTGCTGTTTGGTGGTTGGCGGTTGATCAGATTCCAATTGTACTGAGCCTGCATGTTGTCCATTGGTATTGCGAGTGCGCCCATGTTGGGCGATTGCTGGAAGACTGGAAGATTCCGTGTGTTACGCATTGGGACACCGCCATATGCAACATGGTTGAACGAGTTTGGGCCGATACCTGCATATTGTAGAGGCTGTGGTGCTTGTACTGTGTTAAACCCCTGATGATAGTGAGGTTGTGTTGCTTGCACAGTGTTGTGTCTTGGATGATAGTAAGGTATTAATGGCTGTGGTGCATATTGATGATCTGTAAAGTTAAAACAAAGTCTGTTTTTGGGGTGTTGCATGGACATACTATTGATATAATTGAATGCGTTATTAGCTGGACTCCATGGACCATAAGAACCAGCTTGTCCACCAAGGTTCATCTGATTGACGCCATTGTCGATGTAGTTGAAGTGGTCAATAAATTGGCCAGGCTGGTTGAATCGGTTGAAGTTGTTACACTGGCTAGTATTAACGGAAGGATTGAAGCCATTCATCTGAGGGTTGGACTGGGCATTGAATTGCCTGTTGTTCGTGTTGAGAAAGCTAAACTGGTTGTTGTTCAGAAAGTTGTTATTCAAATAGTTGTTGTTAAGGTTATTATTGAACAGATTGTTGTTGGACCGGCTGTTATTGAATTGACTGTTGTAGAGCTGGCTGTCGCTGAGCTGGACAGTATTAAATTGGCTGCTGTTGTTCAAGTAATCATTAGTGCCGAGACCAAGTCCGCCTCCCAGGTGATCACACTGGAACATAGTTGCGTTTGGTACAGCTGGGATAGTGTTGCCCTGGGTATATGGTGTGTTTGAGGCTATAGTATGCATCGGTCGTGCCGAATTGATACGAGCTTGTGAGCCTTGGTTATATTGTGCCATATTTGCGTTGTGCAGCAAGATATTGCTTGACTAGTGTTGCTTGCAAAGTAGTAGTATAGTAGTTCTGAGAGTTCTTGAAACCTTCGAATCTGTACGACTGTATAGCTTGAAGATGGTATGCGGTATAAAACGAGAAAGACAGCACTGGAAGAGGGCAGCAAAACTTATAGGAAAAGGCAACATGAATTACATGCTCTAAGCTACCTGAAGCAGAACGTTGAGGAAGCCCGAGAGCGCATTGCTTTCGCCTGGAAACATGCGCATCGAAAGGATAACGAGCTCTCGACGAGTAAGACATCGTGAATCGTCCAACGGGCAATGAAGGCGAACATCAAACCATGAGTCTGGTGTGAGTCGAAAAGCTTGCCATTCCACACAGATGCGGTGAAACTCGCTCAGTGATGGGAAACAGGAAAGAGTACTGGTATCTGCGGGTCTATCAGAGAAGGCAGCAACATCTTGATGCTTCGTACCATGAGGGAGTTTGTGGCAGTGACTTTGATGACAGCAGAATCTGCTATCGAGCTCGTGCTGCTTCGGTGGTGGACCAGTGTCATTGCGGAGTCGAAAGGTACGTTTAGGGTCTGTGACAAGTCGCCATTCGTGGAAGCTGTCACGATGGGGCCAGATCTGCTTTCAGTCAGGTAATGGAATAGTTTTTCCATCCGTGATGTAGGTAAGCAGCCATCCTTGCTGCGCCATGAACTGCATTGACTCACCATGAAAAGAACATGCTCAAATGTCATGGCAGTTTCCGACATTGTGTGAAAGTTACACCCAGATATATCGGAATAGGTGTGTCGGGACCACGAGTATGGCTTCGCTGGTTAACCTAGCATGTGCGGTTCTGCCAATTGTGTAATCACAATTGCAAGGACTTCACCAATCCGTGAGACACTTCCTCAAGCAGTAGCAAGAGCGAGCCGTTAGAGCTAATCTGTACATGTCCTCCTTTCAGAGCTTCGTGGGGATTCATCATGCCGAGATGACAAGTAACTTCCATTACGGCTCGGAAAAGTGGCATGTCTGGTCTCGTAGACCGACATGACTGCGTTTGTTCTCGCTGCTCTGTGCTCTAGCGTCTGTGTTTTCGAGCTTTCGATCGTGAATAGATTCAGGAAAATAAGCCCAACTCTGCGACGAGGTGTGCTGCGTCCTCATCAGCAGTGCTTTCGTCCAGAGCATAGTGCTCGGCCGAGATACGAGACAGTAAAAGGTCCTCAAAGCTTTTGTATTAAAGTGAAAGCGCATTATTGAACGACTCGATCCTCGACTCTGTGTCAAGAGCGATTTAACAGTCTTGGCTCAGCACAGACCTCCTGAAGTGATTTTAAGCTTTCGGCGCAGTTCACGTCGGATATGATTTCCATGTCCAACGTCCGAACCCATGTGCAGCTGTGCATGTGATCGATCTTCTATAGTTCATCTCATGGAGTAATAGCTAATTGTTGTATCCCAAACAACATGCGCAGCTCATAAGATTCCAAACCTGTTTGCGCGTTCTCTTGTGCGACAAATGACTAAGAAAACACCTTCAACGAACACACCGACTCGCGTTGAGATATCGATAACGGTAGCGATTGACGCATGTGAAGAAACACCTTTTAGTGTACTGTCCAAAGGCACATGGAATCTGTTCCTATAGATGAGCTGGAAATTCAGCGAAGATGAGTGTCATTCTGTGTACTGGTACGTATTGCGAATACCAATCTTGTGACTGCGGCTTTGTTCTGAACCAAGGTCTATTCATCGCATTGCTCGAGATACAATTCTTGTGGTCGCAATGCCTGTAGGAAAGCCTAGCCTTGCTAATTAGCCATTTTGTACAGCTGGTTATGACCATACCATTCGATTTTGGGAGGCACTCTCGGGTATCTGCTCTCGAACCATTCAACACCCTGAGTCGCAAGTCAACCGTCTCTGCATAACGCCAGACAAGAAATACCTCGCAGCAGCTGGCCGTCATGTCGTCCGCCTATACGATATCAAGAGCTCCAACCCAAGTCCTATCATGGTCTTTGAAGGCCACAATAACAATATTACAGCTGTGGCGTTCCACGTGGACACAAAGTGGATGGTTACAAGTTCAGAGGACTCGACAGTAAAAGTTTGGGATACAAGAACCGGCACGATTCAGAGGAATTATGCTCACACTCATCCTGTGAATGATGTGGTCATCCATCCAAACCAAGGAGAAATTGTCTCGGCTGATCGTGGAGGAAACGTTCGAGTCTATGACCTTGGCTCAGACAAATGCACCCATCAATTGATACCAGCTGAGGACGTCTCCGTCTCAAGCGTAAGCATTGCTAACGACGGTTCACTTCTAGCAGCTGGCAACAACCACGTAAGCATATCCCTTTCTATCCACAGTGCATAATCACTAACCACAACCACTACAGGGCGACGTCTATATCTGGCGCATGTTTCAAGAAAACAACGAAACATCCCTCAGTCCCTGCCGCGTCTTCAAAGCTCACAAAGAATACCTCACCCGACTCCTTCTCTCCCCAGACATCAAACTCCTCGCAACATGCTCAGCCGACCACACCGTCAAGATCTGGCGCATCGACCCCAACGAAGATCACCTCGAAAACCTCGAAGGAGAAGACTTCTCCGAACCACAAACACCAAGCCAATCAAGCCAAAGTCTGCCCACCACATTCGGCAGCACAATCAGTGTCCGACCAAACACTGCGTCCAGAGAATCGACCGCCTCACCACACTCACAAGGCTCAGCCTCAACAGGAAACCTGGCCAATAGCCAAGTACCCCAACCCGTCATCACACACCGTCGACCGCTTCCAATAGAGACCACTCTCGAGAACCATCAGCGCTGGGTCTGGGATTGTGCCTTTTCTGCGGATTCGGCTTATCTGGTTACTGTGTCGTCGGACCATTACGCTCGGCTTTGGGAGTTGAGTTCAAGCAGCATTATTAGACAGTATTCTGGTCATCATAGAGGTGCGGTATGTGTCGCATTGAATGACTACAGTGGCACGGGAAGCTAGTGGCCATCGAGCACGTTGACTAGAATTGAGCTGCGACGAGCTGAAACAGCTTAATCCCGTCAGTTGAAACAACGTTGACCACCTCTCGAGCTTACCCACTGTGAGAAACGGGCTTGTCAGGGCTCGATAATGTGCGACACACGAAGTTCTGAAACAACATGAGATGAGTGCTTCAAAATGATACGATAACAATATCAAGATACAACTTTCCCACTACACAGACACTGTGCAAGGAAAGGATTCAACACCTGCTCGAAGTACCAGCCATAACTACTAGATATCCTTTTTCAACCCATGCTCCGGTTTATGACTAGTCTCGTAATCAATATGTACGAACGCCCTCTCCACATTCGGCAACGTCTCCAGTTTAAACTGCAACTCCTCCGCCACATCATGCGCCAGCCTGACCGACTCCTCAGGATCAACGACAATATCGACCTCGATAATCAGTCTCGGTCCCGAATGGTAAGCACGAACAGTGTCTACGGCACGAATAACTCTATCATTGTGCGTCATGGAAATATAAGTGATCGAGTTGAGGATCTGGGGTTCGGCGGTGTAGCCGATCAGGAGCTTGAACTCGCCGATGGCGGTGTGTAGCCAGAGGCAGAAGATGAGGAAGGAGAGGATGATGGCGCCCATGGGGTCGATCCACCATACTATTTTGGAACCGCCGACGGATGTGAGGATACCGAAGCCGTTGATGAAGAGGTCGTTTCTGTGGTCTTCCCAGAGGATGCGGACTTGCGAGTATTTGTTGCGTAGTGCCCAGCAGTATAGGAAGAGGGTGAGCTTGATGGTGAATGCCACGCAAACTGCGATGACGGAGGGTAGATGGAAGGATGCGGCGTCTTGACGGACGAATTCCTGGCAGGAGAATGCGATCAGGATGAGAGATACAGACATCATCAGAAATGAGAAGAATATGTTTCCCACAGTCTCAATCCTCGACTTCCCAGCTGGATACTTCCGTGCGTCCACTTTCTTTGCAGCCCGATGACACAAAAGCAACGTCAAATTCGACAGCGGATCAAAGATAGAATCTGCCATGGTCGTAAACAGCGAAAGCGACCCAGATGATATCGCGCCATAAAGCTGTAATCCTGATAGAAACACATTCGCCGCGAAAGAGCCATACACCGCAATTTTGAATTTCAGCTGCTCTGATTCCGCGGCTTCCCTTGCGTCCGCGACATGTTGATGGACTGGCTTCAAGTAGTGTTCAATCTGCTCGTTTTGGCTGCTGTAGAATTCGACCAGTTTTGAGGTTTGCGATTTGTGAGGGAAGAGGCTACGCTTGCCGACTCGTTTGCGCTTTGAGTTTGCTTTGATCTCGCGAATGTCGTCGTCGGATTTTAGTTTGGATGATAGATTGTAGGGGTCTGCTGAGGCGGCGTAGCCGAGTGTACGGCTTTCTTGATCGAAATCTGAAAGTTCGGTGGTCATGCCCGGGGGTAGTGGCTGGCCGTGCGAGATTCGTGAAGTCATGATGTTTTTTGGCTGTTATTGGGATGGATGCAAGCGAGCAATACCTATTACACCATGTTACAGTGAATTGTACAATTCATCTATAGGTATATATGAGTCGTGTAAGGCGATCATAAGCTCGCTTTAACAGACCAGAAAACAGCATTTCCATATGGAAAGTCAACCTTATTGGTGGTTCAATCCTGCCAATTTTATCCCTGACCATATCCGGTCCACTCGATCGTTGGTCAAAGCAAAGTGCTTTCTGAATCTAATTAGATATTTTACACACGGCTCAACGAGAAGGCAGTGATACCTAGACTTCTATCAACTATACATCTCTATATCTTACAATATCTATACATGGACGCTATTTGAATAAGCCAGCAAGATTCCTAAGACATTCTATATGGCATAAATCGTATCTTTGAAACGCCTGTCGACAGGCAAGGATTGTAGTCGAGGTGTCAGCCCATCAGCCCACCGAGCACAACCTTTTGTATACCGTTCAGCTCTTTTTTGGCAGTCTCCCTGGCCGCGCCTTCGTAGTCTCTAACAATTCCACTCACCATAACTTTCCTGATTCTAGCATCAGCCTTTGTGAAGAGTTCAGACACTGTACCTGAGCAGACTCCGGGTCCATTGATAATTTGCAATATCCGCTGATATGTATCTATTAGGACGTCACAAAGTGTTGCAAAAACGGTGTAGAAATCAGGCGCAAATGGTAATGGTGGTGTAAGTAGATATGTATACAATGCTTCGTTAGGCAGTAGAGTCGAGTTAGGTGCGTCTGTTGGACCAGCTGAAGGGAATGTTGCTGTAGCGCTAAAATCGTTCATCGATGGTGCCATTGCTGAGCCGAAAGACGCCTGGCTATTGAGAGTGGGCGCAGTCGAGGTAGTGGAATTGAAGCTGGTATTGATAGAGGTCGTGGCGGTTGTGTCGAGGCTAGGATGCGAAGAATGCTGCACTGGATGGTAGGGAGTATCCGGTACGGCGGGTGGTGAAATCTGAGCACCAATCTCGATCGATGGCGCAGATGAGGACTTCCTTGGTCTGCTCGTTGTCCCTGACCTCTTGAACATGCTCGGCAGTCTGGCTCGACTCAGGGAGCCAGCTTGAGTGCCATCCGTAGGGTGTCTTTCCTGGTAACTCTCAAACTCCGCAAGCAGATTGTTCAAACTCTTGAGATATTCCGTTGCTGCAGCAAGGTTCGTGTGAGGCGAGCTGCTCGGATGGGGCATCTGGTGTATGTCGAGTACCGCAGGTATCGAGATTCCAAGCAAGAAGCAATTCATGGCCCTTTTAGCCAGTCGACTGGGCGTATACGAGGGCAACCTTGAGACATCGCTTTTCGAAAAATGTACGGTATTGAACCAGAAAGTTGAGCCTTCGTGTCTGCAGAATGATCAGCCATAGCCCTCAAGAAAGACACAGCGAACTGACGCTCTGCGCATGTACTGTAACGTTGCTATTCTTTTCTGCGACATCTCGTATAACTGCTGGTACATGTAATTGACCGTGACCTGAGAGTTTTGCGCAGCACTCTGGCCGGCAGGGACGTAGTACTCGCTCACAGGAGGTGCTGAGAACATGCTTGCCTGCGCCAACCCTTTTGCTGAGACAGTAGTTGTGGTATGGATAGGAGCATTGTTGGTTGGTTGTCTCTGCAACATGGCTTTGGCCTGCAAAGCTATTTCTGCCGAAGCATCACTGTGATGTTTGGGCTCGACACTCTTGCCAGGCAATAGGCGTAGTACCGACGTGTCAGGAGCCGAGATCTGACGTTGAAACCCTGGTCGGGGTTGGTTTCTCCTCGAGTTTATCGCTCCTTGCGTGTAACCGGAAGCGGGTGACAGCGTATCGGGCAAATAATCGGACCCTTGACTCGGTACTGGTCTGTGTCTGTGGGCAGTGGTGGGCGATCTTGCGATCTTGGAGAGGAGGCGGCTGCCCGTGCTGGCCAGATTCGAATCTTTTGGAGGCAGCTGAATCTCTGTCAGCGTGGGCCCAGTAGTCATCTTGCCGACCTGGAATGGTAACGCCAGCAAATGAGACGCTGTAGACGATTGCGACAAGATTGGTGCTACTGCAATGCTAAATTGACTGGCCGATCCAGTCAGGAGAAGCAGCGATTTACAAGAATTTCCTCCAGCATCTGGAGCCCCTGTTCGCTAACTTGCAGATCCCGAGGACCCCTCGAAAGCTTATTTAGGCCCTGTAACGGCAGCCACCGAACTATGGAGTCTGGAGTGTAATTACGTACAGGAGTAGACCTCACTGTTGCAAGGTTTTGCAATTCAACTCTCACAGATCAAGATTCAGCAGTCTTGCATGCTCGACAGTATAACACCAAGACTGCATTGACACCCTCGTGTCGACGAGTAGTGGCTATGGACTCAGATCCTCCGCAACCTGGACAATGGCCTGTTGATCCACAGGACGATGAGCCACAAATTTTGAAGGAAAGAATGTGGGTTGATGGCTGCTTCGATTTCGCACATCACGGTAAGTCGTACAACAGGTAAGTGAGTGACCGCGTTCTGATTCTAGCACCTGCAGGTCATGCCGGTGCGATGCTGCAGGCGCGGCAATTGGGCGATGAGCTCTACGTTGGTGTGCATTCGGATGAGGCTATTCTCGCCAACAAGGGCCCAACCGTCATGACCTTGGATGAACGGATAGCTGCGGTCGAAGCGTGCAGGTGGGCCACCAAAGCAGTTCCCCATGCACCGTACAACACACAGTTACCCTGGATTTCCCATTATGGCTGTTTCTATGTTGTGCATGGCGATGATATTACCTCTGACGCGAATGGTGAGGATACGTATCGATTCGTGAAGGAGGCCGGTCGATTCCTGGAGGTGAAGAGGACTCCAGGAATCTCCACGACGGATCTAGTTGGCAGAATGCTGCTTTGCACTAAAGGACATTTTATTCCAGCGCTAGACACCGGGCTGCAGCATCCGCAACACGGCGCTCAGATGCTGGAACGTATTCAGCAATATGCAACTGACCAGACTGGATTGCATCCTGGTGCCGAGGTATACATCTGGAAAGCTGATGTAGAAGCTCAACTACATCTAACGAAGGAGACAGGCAGATTCACAAAGTTTGTGACTGGCAATCGGCCACAGCCTGGTCAAAGAGTCGTGTATGTTGACGGTGGCTTTGATCTGTTCTCCTCGGGGCATATCGAGTTTTTGAAGAGAGTGAATCAAGCAGAGAGTGGCAAGGCACATATAGTGGCGGGTATACACAACGACGAAGTCATCAATCGCTACAAGGGTATGAACTACCCCATCATGAATATCTTCGAAAGAGGGCTGTGTGTTTTACAATGCAAATATGTCAACGCGGTCGTCTTCGGAGCACCACTTGCGCCCTCCAAAGAGTACCTGGGTAGTATGCCTGTAGGCACGATATCCGCAGTTTATCACGGACCCACAGAATTCCTTCCCATGGACTACGACCCATATGCCGATGCGAAAGCGCTTGGTATCATGAAGCAGATTCCAGACCATCCCTACAAACATGTCAACGCGTCGGAAATCCTAGGTCGTATTGAGAAAGGTCGTGCAGCTTTCGAAGAGCGACAACGACGGAAAGGACAAAAGGCTGTGGTTGAGGGGGCAATAAAAGCTGAAGAATTGATAGCTCGAGGCCAATAGACTAGAACATGCTTGCATTCAATAAAAGGACGCCCGTAACACCCTCAACCATAGAGTTTATATAAGTCTAGAAGTCCTGTCTATACAAAGACTCTGCAAGGATAATCCGCCGAATAGGCTTGCTCCTTGAGTAAATTGTACTTTGTCGCATCTGGATTCTTACCCGCAGCCGGTGGCATAGGAGGCATACCGCCTTCACCAAGAATAGCCGCAGCCTTTTCTTTCTCGAAGTATACTGCGAGTCCCTGCTCGCCCTCTTGCTGTACTGCTACCAGCTGTTTTGTACCCTCCTCACCCGCCAGCAGCTTCGGGCTAGGCTTATCTGCGCTTCCCATGGTCAGAAGTCCCACGACATCTCCTTGAGTAAGAGTGCTCGATTTTGGGTAGCTTCTCCGCATGTCTCGTCGCCAGTATGGGTTGTCTGCGATGTCTGAGGCAGGTGTGGTGGTGGCATCGTCGTATTCTTTCGGATCGAGGCTGCCTGGGGCTGGAGTGCGGTAGTGCTTCACGGGGATACCGTTGCTTCGGTTGGGTTCGATGGCGAAAAAGGCTCGTATTCTTTCGTACAGACCTTTGCTCTGTTGTGTATATTTCTGTATGGTGTTGTTAGTCCTGCCAGTCGTGGTCTTTGTGAGGTGTGAATACCTTTCCTACAGGGACGACATTGCTGCCGATCGTGTAAACTACTTTGCTTGCCATGTTTCCCTGCAAGTGTGCCTGTAGCGACGGGAAGAATGCGCGGTCGAAGAAGAGACTTATCGTCGATGGGCGGGCACTTGGTCGTACTCCCAGGTGTCGAAAGTCACTTTACCTAATTCCTGGCTTCTGATTGGTCGAAGGTGGAGCTTAGGTCAATCCTATACCTACGAGCTAGAAGCAGCTTCTCTATCAAAATATCTTAATCACTCTACTACTTTAGAAGACCTGATGAACCTTTCGAATCAATGAAACTTCACGTTCTTGACTTTACAGAAGATTTGCGATTGTCGTTGAGCTTTACTGTCTGAAGTGTTCTTATACCCTCTCTCCGCAACATGCCGATCTAGAGCGTCGATGTGCGCATCTCAGTACATAGAACAGATTAGCATGTGTTTACTCGCTCACTGACGCTCGATACTTCTTTAACTGACTGATGCACCGCCCTCAGGATGTGATGACTCTTCAATTCCTGATACGTGATTGGGGTCCACCGGGACGAAGACCGAAGGCATTCTTCGATAAGAGGCTTGACCATGAACTCTTTCGTTTAAGTATACATGTTAGATTAAGTCTTGCAGATTGAATACTGCCCACTACTAATCTGCAAACAAAAGAAGCCTGCCAACCAAAAGTAAGTCTAGAGATCCGCAAGATACCCCTAGCATACTTTTCATACAGGACAGCCACAGGCTATTCCTCAATAGCATTGCAACAACCACTGCTGGGACTATTTCTGCTCAGACAGCTAATGTATTTAGTGGCTGCAAAGCCCAAAATCTTGCTACTCGGCGAGATAGATCAGTAGGTGGAAACGCCAATAGTTATGCCTTACACATTAACACATATAGTGCTCAGGAGCAATGGCAAGGTCTCAGCGGCTTAGGCGAACTGATCAAACCACAAGCGACAAACAGAGAAGAGTTTATTGCAGAATGCAATAATGGAAGATTTGACGACGTGGTCGCCGCATACCGAACCTTCACATCTGCCGCCATCACTGGACGATTCGACCAGGAACTCGTTGACGTCCTCCCCAAATCGTGGCGATACCTCTGTCACAATGGTGCTGGATATGACCAGATCGACCCAGACGCGTGCTCTCAGCGAGATCCACCTCTATATGTCTCGAACGTGCCATCCGCTCCTGATGATGCCACAGCAGATACCGCAATTTTTCTCATGCTCGGCGCGCTGCGAAACTTCAACGTCTCTATGGATGCATTGAGGCGAGAAGAGTGGAAAGGCAAGCCAGCTCCAGCGCTAGGACACGACCCACAAGGTAAAATATTGGGAATTCTCGGCATGGGCGGAATCGGAAGGAACATGTCGAAAAAGGCCGCTGCGTTCGGTATGACCACCATCTATCACAATCGACGAAAACTGGACGACGAAAAGGCCGGTGGCGCAGAATATGTTTCCCTGGAGGATCTCCTGAAGCGAAGTGACGTATTGAGCCTCAACCTTCCCCTCAACCCGAAGACTCGACACATCATCTCAACAGAACAACTCAAGTTGATGAAATCAAGCTCGATCATTGTGAATACAGCTAGAGGTGCTGTTATCGACGAGGCTGCGCTTGTAAAAGCGTTGGACGAAGGAACGATTGCTGGAGCAGGTCTGGATGTGTTTGAGGAAGAGCCCAAGATACACCCTGGTTTGGTCAAGAACGAGCGCGTGATTCTGCTGCCACACATGGGAACTTGGACGAAGGAAACTCAGAGGAAGATGGAGGTGTGGGTTATCGACAATATTCGGAAGGCACTTTCTGAAGGCAAGCTGCTATCCATTATTCCAGAGCAGGAGAGCTTGTAATGAGTGCTTCACAGGAGCGACGGCGTCGTCGGGCGCTCTACTCTGATACTCGATCGACTGGGGATTGACTGTACTGTTGCCCAGCATTTCGTGATTTGAAGCATTTTCAGGGAGAGTATGGTTTGCGAGGAGATATGAGTAGACATACTCACCATCCTCCATTGCATGAAAATTATAGATCATTCAGGTTGCCTCGTCAGGAGGAGAGCAGTCCCCTTTTTCCTCAAAAGGGCACGAAGTAGTTCATTCTCCTCTCGTAGCATTGTGATCTCTGCGGTCTTCTCGATATCCTTTTCTTGTAGGTCACGAACCTGCTCCCGGAGCTCGATTACCTCGTCGTGAAGGGTCAACTTTTGACGAGAGCTCTCGTCAAGGTTCCTTACATCGTCTGCGGCCTTCATGTTGGTACTGGTTGTTGGCTCCTGCTTGCCTAGCGTCAAGATTTGTGGATGTCGTTCACCTGGTAGCTCAACTGGAGATATGCATTGAAGCTGTTCGCGAGGATGCTGCACCGGTACTGCACCTACAGATAGCGTTGCAGCTCTTGAGAGGAGATAGGACTGTAGATGCTCCGCAGTAGTGATAAGGAACGCAATATGATGAGCCTGGGAAAGATGTACACGGCAAACCTTGTCAAAAGAATCTGTATCCGCCACAAAGCACAAGGCATCGTGCGGATGAACCTCAGAAGAATCAACGTCGTGATAGTGGTAGAGCAAAGGACGCTGACCAAATCCCAGACGTCGAACCCACGACCTGACACATCCCCATCCATTCTCCTAAAATCTTATGCCTGATCGCTCAGTGGACTCATGATAGCTGCTCATATCTCGAAAGTTCTCAGTACTTACCAAAGGCTTCTGACCAGTAGCATCATAGAGGTGAATGGTCTTTCGCTCCCACTGCACATCAGACAGCTGCACCTTGGGAATGTCGAGCTCTCCACCAGAAGTTACCTGAGCCACAATCTCGTCCACCGAGAGTACCTGGTGAGTTTGTCTCACCTTCCTCAACGACAGGCGTCTAAGCTTCTCCTCTCGAATCAAGCTCTTGACAACCCATTCCCAGTAGTCGCAATGCACTGATGCGTCTCTCTTTGAAGAGACGCATATGTCTGGAAATGTTCCCTTGATTTTCTTGAAGTGAATGTGCACCAGGGACTGGAAACCAGCGGATGAGATGTCATGACCTTCCTGCAGTGCTGTTGAGGCGTGCACGCAATTGACGATGTAGAGCTTGAACTCGTCAAGTCGTGATTCCGTGATTCTGAATACACGCTTCAATTGAGTATCGCTGTAACCCAGGCTTTTGAGCTCTGCCGACTGCAGCTTTTCTTCTTCGCCTAATAAATCTGTCAGAGGCATTGTGATATCACAATACGTTGAAGCTCCGAGGTAGACTGACTGCCGTGAAGGAATTTACAACGATACACGAACTATAAGCCAAATAAGTTTACACTAGTTCGACACATCATCGCGACACAGATGTCGAAAATTAGAACTTATGAACGAATCGGACGAAGGTCGACCAAGATGAAACAAAGACTGAACAGACATCGAATAGAAGTCGAATTACCAGCCCTTTTCGCCAGCTATCTGACCCCATACATCACCACCCAGCCCGAAGCTCTCTGACTCAACGAGCTTTCTTGCATAGGACATCTCGGGAAAATACGTACCAGCACTTCGAGCCTCATTATAGTCGACACGACCTAGGCTATCGTACTGGAAACTATCTAAGCCACCGTAGGCATCGCGATAGGTCTGTTCCTCACTAACTGTACGCTGGATTATTGGATCGTTTTCTATAGCGTCACACCATGCTTGCCATCGTGTGCCTACTTCTGGACGGGGGAAGCCACGATAGTAAGCAAGAACTCGGCTAAGACGGATGATAAATGGGGCGAAGATAATGTCCACATATGACAGTGTCGCGCCGAGGAAGAAGGGGCCCGTTCGATGGGATGCATTGACAAGCGTCGTGATTGAGGCATGTAACGTGGTGATGAGCGTCTGGAGTTTGAGGTTATATTGGGGCGAACGATTCGACGGCTGGGTCATTGCTCTTGCCGACAGAGCTGTAGAATCACACTGGCGACGAGTCATCAGGTACGAGTGTCGTGGTATCGGCATACCGTAGGATTCGTCGTTGTAGCTCCCGTTGCGAGAGGCGTTGGGGTTCGTGTGGGCATGCTGACCAGCTAGATTAACAATCGGCGTTCCTGGAGTTTCTTTCTCAGTACGGCTTGGCCGTCCATCTGTATCGGGCAGAAGAAGCAGTGCATAAAATATTGGAAGTATCCTACGGTTGATGAAATCCGCCCACAATCGAGAATGGGCTTTGAGTTGTGGATCTCCCATTGCAGGTTGAAAGAGTGATTGGCCCGTGGCAAGGTCTTCGAGGTATTCCAGTACGACCAGACTCTCCCATACTGCAAAATTGTTGTGCTTCAGGCATGGTATCTTGCCCTCCGGATTGCAGGTTTGAAGCTCAGGAATATCCAATCTAGGGGGTGTACCAGGAGGTGCATTCGGGTCTTGAGACCAGTGGCGTTCTGTCACTTCCACGTACTGGTATGGCACTCCTATCAGCTCAAGAGCTATCCATATTCGTTGCGCAAAAGGGCAGAACGACGAACCATAGAATGTAAGCTCATTGTTAGTGGGTGCTGTGTGGTTGTAAAGAGTTTGTAGGGCACAGCCTGTGGCATGGAATCTTGAGGTAGGCACCGAAGTCGATGCTATGGCTGTCTCGTCCTCTTCGAGGTGGACACCTGTCTTACCAGCTTTCGCAGCCTTTTTGTTCTCCTTCTTCTTTGACAGAAGCCAACGTTGCACACTGTTCTTCTTAATCCTATCGCTCTCTTCAAGTGAGTGTTTATGATCTAGGTCTCTTTCCTCACCATCCTCACCATCACCTCCATTAACGCGTTGGACCATGTACCATTTCTTACCACTATATCCAGGATGGTTTGGCGGATGGTCCCGAGCGGGCTCCAGGATGCCGAATGTGCTATCGTTGCTGCCTTCATTCTGGTTGCCATCGAGGATAAAGGTCAAATTACCAGTACCGGCTTCTTGGTTGTTCGAGCTCGTGTCTGGTTCGAGGCCTAATTTGCGTAATGCCTCCAATTCCTCGGTCCCAAAGAACTCGGTGACTTTGATCTTTACATCGCAGAGGTCGCGTTCTCTTACTTTTCGTTTCCGCTTCTTCTTCTCCTGCTCTTTGCCGTCTCCATCCACTTTCTTTGACTTGTTAATGGGGGTGCCCGTGGGACGGCCTTTCAGTCGACAATCCCAATAGTGGCTGACAAAGGGTTTACGCTTGTACTTTTGTGTGCTTCGATGTGAGTAAACGTTATCGACGTGTGGAAAATAGGTAAGGTATTGCTCAGCCGTTAGAAGTAGTGGTTCTTCAATATTGAAGAGTTTATTGCGCCATTCCCTGAGACTTGGTGGATCTGATACTGGCGGCGCCTGGACATGTGGAGGTACGAACACTGTTGGGTCCTTAATATATACTTTCTCCGATTCTGACCTTGGGGTCGGATATGATCTACCAGTATTCATGAGACTTCGGATTGGTGGAGAAGCTGTGCCCGAGTATCCAGCAGTGTTCGACTTTGTATTTGGTGCTACTGCTGCTCTCGAATCGGGCGAGTGATAGTGAGTCGATCCGGTCCGACCAAATCCGCTTGCTTGCTGGCGGGAAGGCTCTCGAGAGGACGCCCGTTGACTTGTTCCTATCAATCCTCGTTCACCATTATTCGTAGTGTAAGGACTGTACTGCGCCAACGAAGACTGGAAACGATAGTCTGCAAGACCTGAAATCTGCAATCGAGGATCCACCTCCATTCCCGGTTAGGTGAAACAGAACCTCTCTCAACCGCTTCTGTTTCACAATGAGGCGTTTTCCAACTGTACCGGTAAGGGCAGCAAATGCAAGAACCAATAGGAGCACGCGACCGGTTAAAGAGACCAAGCAGAACCACCCCAAAGGTATGATGAGTAGGTAGTCAAGAGCTGAAGACGGGGTGTGATATCACGCCAAAAGAATATCGAGAGAGAAGAAATTGTATTGTTAAAGCGGCGACCGAGTGCATTTCAACATGTCCAGCTTCATCTGTCGCAAGGACGTTGTGATGACATCCTGCGCATACTGTGATGTTCGTATCGTGTTCGATGCCGAATACTCTGTACGATGAACACTTGTGCTAATGAACACAAATTGCGAATAACTTGAATATAGACCACGACCGGCGTCGTCGCTCGAAGTTCTGGTTAGTAAGGAGGTGGTCTCACTAATGCAAGTCAGGCCAAGAACCACCCAGGCGATGGGGATCCCTACGGATGTTCAGTAAGCCCATAAGAGCACCAACTCCAGAGCTGACCAGAGCGGTGACAAGAATAACGTGAACATCGTCACACCTTCCCAATAAGACGATAGGCATTACCCTGGACTTTATCAACTGTAACTATTGCTAGAACTCTATAACTTTAGAGCGCTTTGAAGGCATGAGCGCCTATCGTCTAACAGAGAAGGTGTGACGATGTTCGCGTTATTCTTATCACCACCCTGCTGATATACACATTAAGAGATTGCTCGTGGTCTGAGCCTATTTCTGCCGTTTCAGATGGCATCCAATCGCTTCATGAAAGATTACTCGCTACGTATATCGGGCTTGGTCGTAGTCTCTTTTTTCAGCTAGCATCCTCCCGAAAATGCCGATCGACTCCTAATCAAGCCTCTATTGTCTAACAACCCAACAGCGAGCTCGAATCACTTGAGTTTTCGATCCGCTTTCTTGTCATATGCGGCCGTGTTCGGAAACAGGAAACCAGATGTTCTCTTGTCTTCTCCGGTTCTGGCGCTGACACGTGAAGTAAATCCAAACAACACCGACCATGCCCCAGCACAGGCGAGCCCGCCATATCCGATCAGTCCGAGAATGTACCCGGTTTGGCCAGAGTTCAAGTATCTAGTATAGCAGTATATCGTACTCAGAAGGTGGAATAGCGTCGTCGCCTGTATGACAGGCATGGCGTAAGGCGCTCTTGAATCATTTTCTTCGAGAGAGATAGGTTGAGAGACTGAAGTCGAGATGGGCACGGTGCCAGTGAAGAATAACACAATGATAGCGAGGATAGTCAGAGCGAATCCTAAGGAACGGGCAAAATAGACCTCAATATCTGACATTTGTTAGTCGTGCCCTGTAGTCTCTTGGGGCTGTCCTTGCTCATACCTGAAGTATGATGACTCTCATCCACGGCAAGGAGGTTGACGACCAATTTTGGGGTGAGGATTAGAGTAGCAGACTGAAGTCCAAGCCATGCTGCAGTACCGTAAGTATAAGCAAAGAAACCCTATCATGATTAGCGACTTTCACAGCAGCGGGCATGTAGTGATTTACACTCAGGTCTTTGTTCTCGATCCGCATGTTGAGTATATTGCCAGTGTTTGGTTTATTTCATGCTACACTAGCTATGTTCAACACGAAACTTGAATCGAAAGGAACAAATAATATTGGGAGGCTGACGTCACTAGCTTACGACACACACGAGCCTACAGGCGTCCATCAGAGTACTGCAGTCATCCTCTCGAGCAAGGACGTGTGCAAGAAATGGTTATCGTTCGGCGTCTCTTCTCATCTAGTGTCACGTCAGGTCGACACGACATCCGCATCCTCAGTCACAGCATGCTCACAGCAACTGCTTTTTCAACAGAATGAACGACGAGGGGAGTGTCTATACTGGTTGTTTGGGTACGTCAAAGACGACTGAAATGAAATTCACCCACAGGACAGGCTAGAAGAAAGAAGCCGTAACTCGTAAATCACTCATCGTTCTGTTGCAATCACTTCTGCAATCTCAGCAAGACTTCTAGGGGTATCTATATCACATTTCTGTCCTCTCGCTTCCACGCCTTTTTGAAGATGGAGGCTCAACTTCGTGACCATGGTCCACGTACTGACTTTGCAGCTACCGTTTGTGAAAGGTTCGGTTCAGCCCAATTCATTGTCGAATATAGCTCATGTACCGATTTAGCCGACGACCTCAACTCGCCAGTAACTCTTCGACCTCTGCCTCAGTGAATCCCAGTAGATAGACCAGATCCAACATCGAACAGCCAACATTCAATCGCGCCGGGGCTTCCATCTGTACTTTCGGCTTCGCCTTCCATGCAACGCCCAGACCAGCAGTTTGGAGCATGGGCAGATCATTGGCTCCATCTCCAACTGCCATCGTCTGAGCAAGTGGTATGCCTCTTCCACTTGCTAAGCTCATCAGCAGATTTCGTTTGTGCTCAGCATTCACTATCGGATGGTTTGGGTCGAGCTCGCCAGTCAAAGTTTTTGTTTCAGGGTCGGAGACCAGATGGTTCGCGAAAGCATAATCGAGTCCTAGCTCTCCGGCAAGCCAGTTTGCCAATGGTTGGAAGCCGCCTGAAAGTACTGCAAGCGTGAAGCCAAGTCTCTTCAGACATTTGCACAGCTCGCGTGCGCCAGGTGTAATTGTGATCTTTGGCCTTAGTCGCTCAAAGACGTCGCTAGGCACACCCTTCAGTAGCGCAACTCGTGCTCTAAGGGAGGCACTGAAATCGAGTTCTCCGTTCATAGCTCGTGCGGTTATGGCCGAGACCTCATCTTGAACCCCGACGAAAGCGGCTATCTCGTCAATGACCTCTTGCTGTATGAGAGTGCTATCCATATCGAACACGCAGAGTCGCTTGTGCCGTCTGTAGATAGAGTTTGGCTGCAGCACGACCTCACAATTCCATTCCCGTTCAAACTTGTAAATGCTCTCGTGTTTCGAGAGGAGATTGAAAGGAAGGTATTCGGGATTTGGTGGTGGGGAGAAGGTTACCTCCATGATACGTGGCTTCGTACTATCGGGTGCAAGACAACGATGTGTTGAGAACAGACGGCGCTGTTCGGGTGCATTGTGAATGAGGAGACTATCGAGAGTGGCTAGGAAGTGGGTGAGACAAAGTTGTGAAATGTAGGGACCGTAGAGGTGGTCTAATGGCTCCGGTTCAGGACCCGGAGGTTCCAGTGGGTAGTCTAATATATTGCTCGTTGGCGCGAGGCCTTCTGCTATGGACGGTGGTGGGATGGTATCACTCGGTTTAGCATGAGGAGAGTGATCAGGATGTGGGTTCGCATGTCGCGGGTTGTTTATGTTGTAGTACACCGTAGCGACCAGCCTAGGTGCGGTGTTCTTTTCCTGTATACAATTGGTGTGGGAAATGGTGTGCACAGTGTCGAAGTCCTGGTGCGGCACATGTGAGGGTGCAATTGCGCCAACGATCGACTTGCGAGGTGAGGCTAGCGATGTCGAAGAGACAGCACCACCAGCCGGCGCTATCGGCTGCTCAAGAATACCATCGATGCTGGTTGTGGGACCACTTTGATGAGAGCGATACTCCAGGTGATCGTCAAGGTATGAAGGTCGACGAAGCAGCGACCCTTTTGCGAAGCTAGGCCTTTGTGATTTTGGCGACGAGGAGCTCTCCATACTGGTGCCAGAGAGGTAAGATGCCCTCAGGACATGCTCAACTGCTGTTTTCTGCTTTGTATACAGCATCCCAGCTCGGGCTGATCGGCAAATGCAGGAACAAACTGTACCCGCTAGTGTACCCCACCACACCAGATGTCAGTGTGGACCAAGTTGATTCGTCTGTGTCAAGCAGACGGAGCCGATAGCACTGTTAAAGGTAGACAAGTCAGAAGTAAAGCGAACGACTAGAGTGAGTTTGATATCTAAACAATTCTACATCGTATATCGTGTCAAGATCAACCAGAAAACACCAACGCTATGCTAGACGGCACACTTTGTTAACCAGAGATGACCGCCATGAGACCATATTTGCTCTATCGCCCAACACGACAGTTCAATGCTTCTCAGCATCAATAACAATAACCACAGATTCCACATCGTCCATTCGTGAATCCTCGCCCAAAGTGTCTTGTCCCTTTGCAAATCGTGCTCGTCGTCGGAAGCTTGAAACCCTACTTCCAGCTCCACTGATGGGTATTTTGTTGAACACACCTACTCTTCTGACGAGATAGACGCAGTAGTACGCATACCCAAGCATGATAGCGAACCCCAACACTATTTTGCCGACACTGAGCTCAGATATACCTCCCATTCTGTGTCCTCGGATCTGGATTGGACAGACAGCCTCGGCGTTATGTGCGCTGAAAGGTATAATCTCACAGTTCATCCAGAAGAACTCCATTGTGGTCCAGCCTAGGAGAAGTAAAGCGGATACTGTGAAAGATATCAAGGTTCCCACACGTCGTCGACTTAGGATCTGATCTGTGTCTGGGCCTGCTTGTCTGAAGCGAAGCACATCCCTCAGACGACTGGACTGAGATGTTTCTGCTCGAACCAAGGAAGTAAGAAGTTCAACACTAGTGTGAATGAGGGTCAGAAGTGGTAGGAGAGCAGTATAGAAAGTCAAAGAAGCTTTAGCTGATGGCTGACTGAATCTAACGGCGTTTTGCTGGTCTTCTGCCAATGCTTCCTCAACAGATTTTGTCTGAGTGTCATCGCTGGACAAGGTGTACTTGGGTTCATCGCGGCGGAGTTTCCGTGAGTGAGTTGCTGGATTAACGCTGTCCAGGCTGTGAACTGTCCTAGTGGTCGCAGTTTGAGAAGTAGTAGAATTTGCCGCCGCTTGTGCAGCTCGAATATTGTCCGAATGTGGCAGTGCTGCGCAGTAGGCAAAGATCACAGACAAAATGAGGATGGTGAAAGATGTGACCAGCAATGCAAGCAAAACCCATTGTCGTTGCCTCTTCGTTGAAGTAAGCCTGCGTTTCAGTATTGGCTTGGGCGGTTTCTGCAAGGTTTTTGGAGATGGCGATGTACTTCGTGAAGTTTCTTTAACACTGACTTTGACGCCTTTCTTCTTGGATTCGGCCTGTGCTGTTGCTGATGTGGGAGGTGGTGGGAAATATAGAGGCGGTGATACATGTCTTGGTGAGAGTCCTGCTCGTAGTGTCGGGCCCATAGCCATGGATGTTGTAGTACTTAGTGCAGAGTGAATGAGCAGACGAAAACGAATGCGTCCAGCGCGTGAATATGGCAGAATCAGCAAAAATTACCTTGGATGAACCGAAGACACCGAACTGTGCTCAAAATGAGAAAAGCAATACTGGCACATCAAATGGTATGGTGGCAAGAGCACAAAGCAGTATAGACTTGTATGTGGGAAGTGTTTATCAGCACAGCATGACCAAATGAGAGGCCGGACAATGTTGTCATTGCCCAGACCAAAGGCATTTCATGAGCCGCGGGCAGTGTAGATTTCTGCTAGAATTAGCTCCTTCTAAGACATGTGCAATCTTCAAACAGGTGCGATATACCACTGGGATTGCCTCGTGATGCTTGGATGACTTGGAAATAGTACAACATTGTGGCCTATGTCGAGACCAGGCGCTATCATGAAACTCATTAGCCGCCGACAAGTAGCGTGTGTTGGATGAGGTGCAAACAACACCAACCAAGAACATGCCAAGAGCGACTGAAGAGACTGGATGATTCATTGGTTGTAGCGGTTGTCGCTGGTGTACTCAGCGCGTCTACACTCGAAACATGAAACTCACGTGACACACTTGTCCACATCTGTACTAGTGCACTGATAGGAGGCGCTGTGAAGAGCCAGCGAATCTTGGATTGGATCCCCATCCTTCGTGCTTCGAAGCACGGCTGGATACAGATAGACACCTTGATGACTAAGTGGATGAGGCAGAATCTCGTGCCGCACAGCTTGCGCTATCTTGCTGGAAAGCTCGAGGCATTACCGAATGAGCAGAGACCATGGTCGTGCTTGCCACTGAGTGCATGCCATGTTGCACGGCCTCTAAAGCTCATGCTGGGTGCTGCAGCCGCTTTGTTCAGATGCTGGAGCAGACACGATTCTGCCTTCCGTGGGACACTACTCAGTCGGTATTGCGGAGCCATGTTCAGCATGTGTGTTTGTTTTGCTTATCCGGATCAAGCCTTTGATTTGCCGGCCTCCTTCTTCTCACTAGGCTGTATCCGAGCCATCATTTCTTCTCGTTGCATCAAATGACCGACTCGCTCGAGCAGCTGCAATAAGCCTCTCATGCTGCTAGACCATTCATCAAGGACTTCATCAGGACCTCGCTTGACCTCAAAGCTCACCACTCTTGCAGGTCTGTCAATCCTTGCATAAACTGTCTTCTTGGTGACCAAATCACTGATGTACTTCTCCGTCTCCTCCTCTGACAGGTCAAGTAGTTCGCACAGTCGGCCGAAGGTGATTCTCGTGTAGTATTTCGCTACAACTCGAACATTGTGTTCGATAACTCGTTGTCTGAGAGCCTCATATCTGGTATTTGCTTTTGGGTCTTTCGTATCTGGCGTCTGCGAGAAGACGTCTGTGCTGCACAAGTGCTTGCCAAATCGTTCTTCAACCATTGGCCATCGCATCAATTCCGAGATTGTGAATTGCTTTAGCAAAGCCTGATCTTTAGGTACCTCAGAATTTCGAGCATCGAGATTGATTTTGTGCAGCAGATCTGATTGTTCGTTGTCGTATGGGGCAAGAAGGATGAAGTAGATGACTCGTTGTAATACTGCTTGCAGCTGTTCTGGGTTGTTCTCGACCGATTCTGTGTCCAGGACTTGTCTGTAGTGTTTGCAAGCATCCAAGTATTTGTCATCGTGCTTTGCAAGAGTGATCTGCTGCTCATAGTAGCGCAGTTTGAGATCGGTAACATCGTCTTCTGGTTCTGGAGGAGCTTCGTCAGGCCCACGCTTCTTCTCTGCCTCTTCTCGTTCCTTCTTCTCTTTCTCCAGTTGCTCGGGGGTCTTCTTTGGCTTTCGTGCAAAATATCTTGTGCTGATCTTTCTGCTGAGTATACCAGCTTGTGTCCAGTCGTCACTTTCTATACACAGAGAAACTTGCTCCAGGATAAACTCTGTCTTCTCTCTTCTTGTCATAGAGCCAAAAGTCTCAACTTGCAGTTCACATAGAACGTCTCGTGCAGCATTGATGTCCCCTTGTGATTTCTTGATGTCGGACAAAGCTCGCGTTACTCGTGCTCGTTCAACTTCTACAAAGATCTGACAGGTGTTAGCCATGAGTCCATGAAGTACCGCATGCGTCGTACTCTGCCTTCTGTTACTGTCCGTAACGTCTCAATAATTGAGAGCTTGGTCTCTGTATTCGGTACATCGTCCAAGAAACTCATCACCACTTGGACCATCTTGGTTATAGCTTGCTTGAGTTGGCCATGTTTCTTCGACAAAAGAATGACCTGTTCGTTTAGAAAGCTCCAGTCTCCAGCATTCTTGCAAATTGTCACAATGGTTGTCAAAACTCTGGATGTTGTCGCGAGATCGGACGATTGTCGAGATTGTTTTTCCAGTGCCGTGAGTTTGTCTACACCTTGCTGGAGGTTCTTCTTCGCTAACGATTCGGCTTCTGGTATTATTTTATCTGCCTCTTTAGAGAAGTCCTTCTCGGGCTTTGTAAATGCGTCGCCTGACATATTGGTTTGAGCAACTGACGAACTCGTGAGGATGTTTCTGAAAGTCCGTGTATCGGATTTGAAGCGGTTGAAGTCTATAAGGCGTTGTCGATGTGGAAGACAAATGACAAGCCGATGGAAGGCAGGGTACAGACTACGCGGCGACGAAGCCTGTAGACATCATTGCGGCAGGAGCCATTGCTGCCTCAGGTATTCACTCCCTCAATTAAACGCAACAATAAACGCAATGCAACTTGAAAATGCCAGTAATGCGCCTGCCAAACTCATCCGATGGTCATTCACTTTAACTGGGAGTGAGCTCCTGCATCTTCAGGACAGCTGGTCTTATACGAAAATATGGAAACACTCATTTCTAGCTCACAGTCATACGTGCCACCTATCTGCCGTCATTATGTGCAATTTGTGGTAATCTTTCTCCTCCAGAAGCTGGGCAATGTTCAAAAGCATGTCCAGCATCAAGTGTACATCTTTCTAGGTAGCTGCCTCAAGATAACCACCAGCTTCCAACATCAGAATAATTTGATGTACAATTGATCTGACTGTCTGCTTCTCGACATCAACGGTGAGCTCAGCATCAGTTGGCTTCTCATATGGATCATCAACTCCTGTGAAGTGCTTGATGTTGCCCTCTTTAGCCTTCTTGTAGATACCTCGCTTGTCCGTTCGCTCACAGTATTCTAATGGTGTTGCGACATGCACGAGGAAGAAACTGCCATAACGCTCCACGATAGTTCGAGCCTCTTTTCTGGCTGCGTCAAATGGTGCAATTGGTGCTGCAATCACTGCCGCACCCGCTCTGGTGAGCTCAGCTGCCACGAATGCAATTCTTGCAATATTCGTGTCTCGATCTTCCCGTGTGAAGCCAAGCTCAGCTGAAAGCTCTGAGCGAACAGTCTCACCTAGAAGCAACGACACTGATCGACCACCTTGTTGATTTAACGTCACTTGCAGAGCTCGACCGACCGCATCCTTGCCAGAATTCCATAGACCTGTGAGGAAGATGGTGAAGCCTTGGGTGTGCCGAGGAGGATTCGATTCTCGCAGAACCTTTACGACCTCGGGATACGAGAACCATTCTGGAATGGGGGCGCCAACTCGAAGCCTTCTTCTGAGCTCCGTGCCTGAGATGTCGAGGGTCTTAACACCCTCAGCAACTGTATTTTTAGGTTGGTACTCATCAGCATCTGGTAGGTATGTCATCTGCTGGAACTCCACTACCTCAATACCAAGCTCTTCTCTGTACTTCTCGATGGCAGTCTGAGCGTCGTACGGACCATAAAAGTCAACGCCTTTGCTGTTCTTTCCGGGGCCTGCATGGTCACGTCCTACAATGAAATGTGTGGCACCGTGGTTCTTTCGGATGATTGCATGCCAGATAGCTTCTCTTGGACCACCCATGCGCATGGCAAGGCCGAGAAGACCAAGGACGGCCATACCATTAGGGTATCGCGGCATCAAAGCCTGGTAAACTCTTACTCTAGTAAAGTGGTCGATGTCGCCTGGCTTTGTGAGACCAACCACAGGGTGAATGAGTACGTTCGCCTGTCGATCTCTTGCAGCTCGAACAGTCAGCTCTCTGTGTGCCCTGTGCATAGGATTTCGAGTCTGGAAGGCAACCACTCTGGTCCAGCCGAGCTTGTCGAAATGAGTTCTGAGCTCTGCCGGGGTATATCGAAGAGCAACGTAGTCGTAGTGGTTCAATCTGTTCACGGCCTCGAGCTTGCCACCAATGTATAGCTCTTGTGTCTGTTTGAAAAGATATTTGATCGCGGGGTGCTCTGGGTCACCACCAAAGACCTTGTCTGCCTCCTTCTGCTTGTCAGGCTTATAGATGTCGTCGATTGTGAGGATTGCAAGGTTGAGGTCGTCTCTGAAGTCTCGAAGGGTGACTCGATCGCCAGCTTTCAGCCCGAGTGCTTCTACTTGCTTGGGAGAGATATCGAGGCAGATGGGCATAGAGAAGAGAGCACCATCCTTGAGTCGCAAGTCTTCAACGACACCATTGTAATCCGCCTCATTCATGAAACCCTCAAGTGGTGAGAAGCCTCCATTGAGAATAAGCTCAAGATCACACAACTGTCGTTCCGTCAACACGATCGCAGGCAGAGTTTCCGACTCCTTCTCAAGCTCAGCGTGTCGAGGAGCATCGCGAGCCAAGAGGTCCTTGAGCACACCTCCGTGTGGTGGGTTAGCCATGGTGAGTATAGAAGGGTATATCAACGAAGGTGCGAATGCCTAGAAAGAGGGAGTAGAAGAAGCGAGCACGATTGACCATTACCAGTATCCAAACTTATGCTGGACACGACCGGGAAAAAATCTCGGACATCGCAAATGGCGTAATTGCCTTGATCGTCTGAAGAGCCAGTGAGAAGGAGAAGAAGAGAAAGAGTTCCATTTCTACGACCCCACCCCTGCCATCATATTTGATAGCATCAGTACCTTGCAGTAAGACTTCGTGAGTAGTGAACAAATCAGCAGGAAAGGATCGTCTAAGTTGCAGAATGACGGACGTGGTACGGGTTGTCTATAGCGAAGAACCTTCGTTGACATGCAAGGACGGGGCCGCTTAGTGGGTTGAAGCTCATCCGCCATCCAGCTTGGCATGCGTCTGACGAACATGTTGAGGCACCCCGTCAGTATGTGTCGCAGTCACAAAGTATCACACGGAACCGCATCAGGAAGAAGTGATCAAACAAAGAGTTGCTGTCCGGTTGTTCAGACAGACTGATCTTATACTCGTGCTACTTCTTGTGTCACACACGTACCCGTGTCGACCGCTCCTCGGATATCTATGCAAGAGTCCATGCACCTGTAGTGATAGACTAACCTGTTATAAACAGACCCCATGTCGACGCGTCGACGACGATCGGACCTTCAAACGCCGCCGCTGTGATAGCTAAGATGGAAAAGAAAAACAAAACATGCTTCTGGTTATACCGAAAGAGGGGTTGTCGCAGGTTCGAGAGACGCCTTGCTGAATGCTGCTTCCAGAGCTTCCTTTTCTCGCTTCCTCTCTTGCTCCAGTAAGAACTGTGCATACTTGGACCGAGGGTTGTGGATACCACATTCTGTCTTGGTCTGACCTTTCCATCGACCTGATCGCTCGTCCTCACCATCAGCTACAGGTTGCGTTGAGTGCCAGTCGCCGACGCTCTTGTAGCCGCGATCCAGTAACACGTTGTATGGTACATCGTTCTCGGTAATGTATCGCTTGACTTGTTGGAAGCTCCAGTTTGCCAAAGGATTGATCTTGATCAAACCGGCCTCGTCGACTTCAATGATGGGCAGATCCCCTCTCTTTCCTCCTTGACTTCTCCTTCGACCTGTCAGGACGGCATGAATATCGAGTTCTCGATAGATTCGTTGGGCAGGCTCAACCTTGACAAGGTAATCATATTGATCTCCATCGGTTTCCCACAATCTGTCGCCGTACTTGGTTGCGAACTCCTGCGAATTTTCCGCACCAGCTGGTTTGACCACGTGAACATTGACAAGTGGGTACCGTTCTCGTACTTTGTCAACTAGATCGAGAGTCTCCTTAAAGTGGTGCAGGGTATCGATGAAGATGAGGTCTACCATCTGAGGTCGTGGGATCTTGAGCTTGGAAAGCATATCCAGAGTGACCAGACCTGTTAGCCCAAAAGCCGTGGTTTGGAACAGTTGAGGTAGAGAAGTTATGCACCATCTTAGGATGTCCTGCGGCTCGAGGAATTGCAGTTGTCTGTTCAAAAATTGCAAGTGTGGTTTGCTAAACATAATGGTAGGTCCTTGCGCTTGTCCTTCATCGTCACTGCCGCTCACTGAAGCATATCCAGAATCTGGTAAACTTCGAAATGCAGCACTACCCGGGGAAGATGCTCGAGACATGATGTGTGATCTGTGGTGTCCGTTCGATTGAGCAGATGTCATAGACTGGCCAAGGATGGTTTGGTTTGAATATATGAAGGAGAGACAACGATCACAAGAAGTTCGAAGAAAGAGACACTCACCTCACCGAGTTTACAAATCAACATCATGACCATCAGCTATTGCGTGCTCGTCCGCTGCAAAACAAAATAGCCAGTCACGTTCTCCTGGTCGAGACCAGCTGGAGCAGGCTGTCTTCCAGAACGCAGAATTGTTTCTCCATCATCTTTCTCTTCGCACACAATCACGCCATTTGCGCTAGTAATTTGACGCTAGTTGGGAAAGAAAGAAAAGCGATCAAAGAAGCACACCCGAGCAATCACGGTTGAGTCGGGCATTTGCATGCAAGGCACAACATGTGGTGCATCATTGATCGCCCGATACCATGCTCTTTTGTGACGCAGCACAAAACGTCGATGTTGGAAGACATGGAAGTCCTGCTATATTCGGCAGATCTTGGGGCCGATATGTAATCTGCCAAGCGAAATTTCATCTGCTTCCCAATGACGATGTTGTTTTTTCCACTTGTTCCACCCATAGCACTGATGCTTACGTATTCATAGCGGTGGTTGCGATACTGTGCCATAACAGTCATTAGACATAGAAGGGTGTAATTGCATTAATTTGCGTACGCGTCGGCTCGAGAATCAGTCCTCTCTTGTGACAAAGCATCAAATCGGTCACAGGTATGGGGATGTGAGGCACTGACAAAGAAAAGACGTGGTTCATAAAGGTGTATGAGTAGCTGTCCATGGGAAGTGCTGACTAAATAAATGTAGAGAGTTTCTTCCCTCTCACCTCGTCTGTCACAGTACAATACTGTATTTGGCGGGTGGTTGTGCTGTGCAGTCAGATACATGAACACAGTAGAAATCAACGTATAATTGCATCTGCTTTACCGGAGAAGCTGGGAGCTACTCTGGTTAAGGCCGAAATGCACGAACACGAACACGAACACGAAGTGAAGAGGACGTCGCAGTAACTTGTAGTTCCGGTCCATGAGCAACTCTCGAGTTCCTAAGATGAAATCTGGTTTCTCAATTGACGACAATTTTATTACCAAATTCTCGGCAGCACTTCGGTTCATGGTCGCGAAGTGTCACACCTGAGAGCCTCATCTTTGAGAAAGTAGTTTAGACCACGATTCATCCCACCGTCCTCAACTCAGCTATACCAATACATAACACCAGTCTTCTCGACGGCAATATGGACTACCAAAACCGTGCAGGCTCTAAATTCGGCGGTGGAGGCGTCGCCAGCACCAGCGCAACGAACGCCGACCGACGAGAACGTCTACGCAAACTCGCTCTCGAGACAATCGACCTCGATAAAGATCCTTACTTCTTCCGCAACCATGTCGGCTCCTTCGAATGCCGTCTATGTCTCACAGTCCACCAAAACGACGGCTCGTACCTCGCACACACACAAGGGCGCAAGCACCAGACCAATCTCGCGAGACGAGCAGCCAAGGAACAGAAAGAAGCCGCGAACAAGGATGCCTTACTTAACGGCGGTTTAATGCCAGGCGTGCAGGTGCGCAAGAATATTGTGAAGATTGGACGGCCGGGTTACAAGATCACAAAGGTCAGGGATCCATTGACGCGACAGGTTGGGCTGCTGTTCCAGCTGTTGTATCCTGAGATTGGGCAGAATATAGAGCCACGGGTGAGGTTTATGAGTGCGTATGAACAGAAGATTGAGGATCCGGACAAGAATTATCAGTTTCTTTTGGTTGCGGCTGAGCCGTATGAAACTTGTGGGTTCAAATTACAAGCAAGAGAGATCGATAGGAGGGAAGGACGGTATTGGACTTGGTGGGATGCTGATGCAAAGGAGTTCTGGTGTCAGGTCCTGTTCAAGACTGAACGTGATGAGAGGTATAGCAATGTGCCTGGTCTGGCGCCTAGTGGGAGAAGATGAGCTTGGGAAAGGCTATTCAGGTCTGTGAGTTAGAATATAATTCTATGCATAGCGAAGGAGTTTACGAGTCTCCCACAGAGGACTGTTCTGCGAAGAAGATGCTGTGGTGCTGTCGATAACGTAATTTCTGCTCACAGCGTGGTGCGGACCACGTCTATTGTTTTGGACTTGTGTCTTATTCCCCATGATGTGTGCAGAGGAGACCTGTCCTTCTAAGAGTCATGCACTTTTTGCAATGCTCGCTCAACTTTCATGTGTTTCTTCGCCGTGATTATAGACTTTTATTTTCAACTTCTTCACGCCTCACTCCGTTTCTCCTGTCATCTCTGTCTTCCAGCTAGAGGATCACCGAACTGTTTGATATCGAAATCTTTATCGACAATGTACTCCCAACTCCGCTGCATGTCCTCTTGTGCCTTCTTATTCTTCCAACCTGCTCCTGGTTTACTCTTCTCATCCTGTTCGAAGCCCGAAGGGTCGCCTTTCATATCGATTGCCTCGTCGTCCTCCGTCATTTCCGCTTCGTCGACGGCAATAGGTGCACCAAAACCGTTGGTCCGAGTGGTTGTGTTTGTTATCGATTGTGATCGTGGTGGGGAGAGTTCACCAGGTGCTGCTGCGTTCAGGTGGTCGTTCTGTGGAGTTTCGGCAGCCACGTATGTAGTGTTTGCGGTTGTATTGGTCGTGGTGCTGGGAAAGACGTTCTCTTCGTCGTAGGTGTCGTCGTTGGCATTAGATGATGGCGTGGAGAGCATGCTGTCGTCTTGATCCATGCCAGCAAGTATCAGCCTCTTAGTGGGCTGTAACTTTCGAAAGATAAAGTCGATCGGTTCACGCGTTGTACAGGAGTGGTAAAAGATAGTACACCACAATGTAAAGGTCTGTCTGTAGTGAGGCTAATGAAAGTGTACAACGAAACGACGACGATGAGTGAAGTCAACCCGCATCATTAGTATCTGCGGAGCCACGATATAAGCATTGTGGAGTTGCACAACTCCTCAGCCCTCCACTTTCCTACTATGGTACTTTAGATCATTGGCACATAGTGAATGCGATATAGGTCAAATATGGGACAGCAGCATTGTAGCACTGACAGCATTGATGTGGCGATCATGTACTACCCGAGTAAACAGGTTGTACCTCAATTGCGCCTGCAGCCCATTCATTTTCGTGAACATACTATACTGTAAGGCCATCGAGCTGGTCGTGAAATACTTGATAGTTGTCATCCCTGCCTCCACCTAGCACAGCAAACAACACATCCGTCCAATATCCACCTGCAAACTCAGCTTCTTTCAGTACGTCTTCCCACATCTTAGCTACGACATGATTAGGATTCGCAAAAGCGCCACAGCCGAATGCACCAAGGACAACCCGTCGATGTCGGTTTCTGATCGCGGTTCGTAGAACCACTCGCATTTTCTCCTTCATGCTTCTCATATCACTCAGATTTTGGTAGCATATTTTACCATTCACCCTGTTCAAGGACGGCTGACAGATTGCAGCGCAGCTGATTACACTGATGACGTTTAGCTGCCTAGGTTCCCTGAAGTCAAGAAGATTGTGGCCGTCTTTGAGATTTTCCCTAATGATCATCACAGTCGGCGAATAGATAGCAGCATCGTCTGGAATAGGATAGTGCTCGCGATGTAGAGTTTTGCTTAGAGACGACCTGTAACAGATAGCTTCTTCCTGTGCCATCGCGCCATGTTGCCAGCCTCCACCAGCATGCTGAGCGTTCGCCATGTTGAGAATCGCAACGGGTTTGCTGGTGTTGTTGCCATTCTGTAGAATAAGAGCTGCATCAATTGTGTCCACGTCGACTACTCTTACTTTGACGATTGGGAGGTGGGGACACTTAGCAGGATCCAATGTCTCTTTCCGACAAAGAAAGCTATTCGTGGTCACGTCTGGTCTTGTCGCCAGAAGACCGGGTAGCAGTGTCCGTGTCTCTTGAGCCACACCTGCTAAGGTCGTCCTACCTTTATCATCTCTGGGTATAGGGTTAATTAGTGGCTTTTTGATGGTAAGATGGCCATTAGCAATCGCGAGCACGCCCTGCTTCTGCCTTTTGGTTTCGAGTAAAGCTGTCTGTTCCTGTGTTTCATAGTCCTCCTGATTTGCCGTCTTTAGGGAACGCGTGAAGAATGGGGATGTATCTGTCTGGCCCTCTCTGAGCCGTCTCTTCTCCGGAAACAGATTCACTGGCTGGATGTCTTCCATTAAATCGTCCATTATAATCTGAATCTTTGGGACGCCATCCAGGGCCTAGAAAAGCTATGGGCAGTATAATTAGACCGCTGAGAACAGCGGCGTCAGCGAGGATCTCTTTCATGAATGGTTTCATTTTGTTTTAGTGTCAACTCACAACAAGTACCAGGCTTCTGCCTGTACACAGAAGAGATGAATTGTGTGGGGTCGGACGATCGGTGACTTCATGGATGTTCGGTAATCGAATAGAAGGACGAGTTTGTCGCGATACGAACCGCCCGAGTGTACTCCACATCCGAGTCACTGGTAACGTGCTAGCCAGCCCTATTACCAAACGATGTCTTGTGGGCAATTTGTTTGTCGAACTATAGATCGTGACTAGCAAGCTGCTGGCGGCTTCAAAAGCACGCGATGTCCGATATACACTTTGCAGCAAGCGCAGCCAACTCAAGCGGACCTGCACCTCTACCACCACCCAAGCCGTACCCGCAAGGCCAAAGCAGAAGTAATACCCCGATTGCTCTTTCTTCACAGTCGAATCGCAATTCCCAACAACCGCCAGTACCACCTCACCCGTTGCACCAACAGTCTTCGAATCAGCCTCAGCATTTGCCTGCTGCTCAGCACTATGCCCAAGACTCCTCATTCCAGCATCAACCACATCCAAACACTACCTTTCAGACAGACTTGTCTCTGCCTACAACGTTCGAGCTTCCACAAAATGTCACGAAGCAAAGTGTTGCCGATCTGTTCAAACTCTTGTCCGACCCTGTCTTGCTAAGCTCCCTCGCGCAGCTGCACCCCTCCTATTCCGCTTCCTTGCAACCACTTCAACATCAGATCAATGCCAATACAGCCCTTGCTACTCAGGTTTCTCATCTTGAAAGACAGGTCAAAGATCTCAGGGAGAAGACTGGGCAGCTGATGCTGCAACACACTAGCCTACAAACACAATGGCGGCGGAAACAGACCGAAATGGACGAAGCACTCGCTCCTTGGGGCCCGAGAGCCATGTATCAGCGCCTCTTAGCGAGTATCAGCGAGCAAGAAGCTATGTTGGTAGCTGTTCAAGAGAGCTTCATGGAAAGCCCTGGTCACGACCATGACTATTACGGTGGCTCGGGAAGCAAGGCCAGTGAAAAAGAGGTTACAGATTGGGTTAGAAAGATACGCGAGGGCGCGGCAGCCCTCGAGAAGAGAAGAGAAATGAGAGCTCGTTGGGATGAAGGTAGAGTTGGTGGGTGGAGATAATACTAGACCATTGGCATGAAGCATTCACCTGCTGTTTGCTTACCACCATTCACCACCGACACCCTGCTGATGACTCATCACATCCGGGCAAGTCGTCTTGGTGGCATACATGTGTCGTCTACAATCGGCTTTGGGGGTTTACCCACAAGCACTGCTCTGATCGCCGTCCGCTAGCTTGCCAGCGTTGTACGTGGTAACAGGTCTGGCTTCAATGGGAAACCGCAGCAATCGACGTGACAATCAGCCAATGCCACTTCTGCGCATGCTCCCCTACATGGTGAAGTCCACTCGCCGAATTTGCCAACAGTGTGCTCAAAACTCTATTGATGCTTTACCGCTTCCATTACATCGACTTCATGGGCATCAAATACGAAAGCAATCTACTAAGAGGACAAGGCTTGACCAAGCTTGTCAATTCTGTGATCTGCTTAGGACTCCGAATCCACTCACATCCTTAGACGACCACAGGTATCTCTGCCGTACGACTTAATTTCGCACAGATTGTGCCTCTATCAAGGGCGACGAGTAGTCTTGTGGAGAGAGTCTTCATCTGTCCTCATCGTTGTGCTGAGTCTGATGTCGGGTATGTCCCGTATGGTCTATGCCTCGTACTCCACAGCTGATGTCGTCCCAACTTGTCGCCCCAGCAAGCGTGCATTTCACCTTAGCCTTTGACGTTCGTGGTTGACGTTCGTGTTCAGGACGAGCCTTACTTGTGGACAGCTGTACCGCCTCGTTGACCGGCACTCTCAGCCACACATGTACAGCAGACAGCTTTTCAGAAGCACCTGCGGTTCATATTCTTCTGACTGTTCGCGGTACTGTGTAGGAGAATTGTCGGAATTACTATTTGACTCCCACGGATATCCTGTCTACAAAGTGTCACAACCTGGACATTCGATTAGTACTTTTCTCAAGTTAAAACGCCGATACTGGAATTTTTGCAAACTCATTATTGTCTGCGCATTGTTGAGCACTGTCCCAACTTTCAACCTTGAGTATGGAGAATTGCATACTCGAGCGCTTGTCATTCGTTGACCATCAGGCTGAATTTGTGGAGCGCTGTGAAGATTTCACAACATCCGCAGCACTGGGACCACACTCTTGCCGAGGCAACAGTAAGCGGTACTTTATGGAACCTCTTTGAAGCTTATCAGTGCCACATGGTGGCTCCGGGTGGCCGTCTTGGCGAACTTCCATCTTTCTCGACTTTCAAGCGTCGCAGTACAGGATCTACGCCCACTGCGAAACTGCTTTTCAGCGTCATAGATTTCGTTAGCGAAAGTTCTTACAGCTGCTGGCCCGATTTCCTCGGCTGTTTCTGCTCAGAAAATCCGTTTCCGAAGGACCATCTTCCGATGGAGTGTTCAATTCCAGAAATCGCGTCGGCGAGAACAGGCGTGTTGCGTGTTCAGTGCTTGCAGATTGTCGTTGGGCTCCGACACAGAGCAACTCCGGCGGTTTACGGTCTCTGTCTCCTGGGTGACAGAAAGAGTAATCGTGGGCATGATATGGATCAATCATCGCACACTCCGGTATGGTTGCTATACTGACTGACTCCAACGTATTTTCCCGAAGCACATCTGATTCTGCCTACTCATCGAAATACTGGTGTACTCGCCACAATATACATGGCAGGTCCACTCGAGTTCTTTGGTCAGACCTTTGGTTCCGAGGTTCATTACAGAACTCTTCGAGTACTGGTCGTAGAGGAAATCGCAGCAATGACGCTATGATGCACGAAGACAATGCTCGAGGACCAGTGTTTAGATCAATAACGGTGGTGCTCGAGTACTCAGTACTGATTACACCCAGCAGCTCTACTCTCTGTCACAACGAAGAACAAAGACTATGTCGAACTTATCGCGCTGACTTGCAAGTCGTCATCCCATACTCAATGAGAACATCAGAGACGAATCATGGTTTTGGTACGATATAGCCTACATTACCACTCGAGTCTGGAGTCCAAGCCTGAGTCCGGGCCTAGACATGATGTGCACCGTGATATGAGAGGTCGCGGAAGTGAGCGAAGTTCCCTACGATGAATATCCTGTGCCCTTGTCTCCGGTCTATGAAATCGCCAGGCTGCTCCCAGTACCTGGGCATGACAGAGCCTACGCAGATTGGGACTGCTCAGCATACGACATCTTGCTTGACGGCGCGGCACTACTGCAACATAAACTGCTTTGCTATACTAGTCGGTGTAGAATATCTGCACAGTCTGTCGCGCGTTGCAGTAACCTGCAGAACATGGAGCGCTACCAACGTCGTTGGAGAACAATCCCGCACTGAGCAGAAGATTTGGCGACTGTCGCAAAGAAGCAAAGATTTTCAGTCGAGATAGCAGGTTCCGCGAAAGCGTTTGTTAGCTGCAGTTTGCAAGGTACAGTAGTGATGTCCCAGCATACTGTACTGGTAGCAAGCAAGACGCAGTATTTTACAGACCAGTCGAAAATTTCGCATAGTCTACGGAAGTGGATGTATGCCCTGACGTGACTGGCTGATCCGGTATTTCAGCGTAAGGAAACGCACAAAGTATGGCTGCACCACCAAGACTAACCTTCGAGCAATAATCGTGATGGACTACCGCACCGAATGTGCTGACAGATACTGTCCCAGCGTCTGCAATAAACGTAAGGTTGAGTATAGGCCGTGGCTTCGTGCTCACACTCTCTGTAGTACGCTACCAAGCTTGGGCATAGTGCCGCTCGACACGTGGTAAAACGGGACAAGACAAGCGAGCGTCGGCAAACTGGTAAAAGGAATCAACGGCAGAATTCTGTTCCTGGCGCCAGTCCAACTTGCGCCTAGATTCGACGCCTCGACCACGGCATCCGTCCAGCCACTGAATTCTTCTACCAATGATTGAACACCGGTACCTGAGTCTTCCAGCTCCACTTACCTTCGCCGGGGATCAACACAGGCTGGAGCCGAAGACGCTTTTTAGCGCAGTTTCACCTGCATTAGCCTCTGTCGTTCAATTCTCGTTGTTGTTCAACGTTTGCGCTCTCAATTTGATTCGACCTCACCTCGAGCGTTTGCGCTATCGATACCAGGACCTGATCCCCTGTGCGCTTCCACTGACGATGGAGGCTTCGAAGGATGAAGTCCACCTGCATGCCGTTTCTCCACGAGACAGAAACTCATTTCTGCAAGCACATTGTCTGTCGTACTCACATCCACGCATGGGAATTGCTTGTCCAGGCTCATGGACAGGACCCGCTCGAGAGAACAACGGAGTTGGTGGGTTCTCAGCAAGCCGTGGCAGCGATACCAGGATTTGTGGAACCTCTCCAGAGAGATTGTATGTGCCTCTTATTGTAACGAGAACATATATCTGTTGATCTCTCCTCCCTTCTTTTGTGGTTTTGAATCAGATCACAGATCAACAGTCAATCCTTCAGACAATCTTTGAGCCGGCCTCTACATAGCAGCATCAATCCTTTGCTGTACGAAGCCACAACACATCACACTCTCTCCCATACATCAGAAGACCAACAACACTATCCCTTACAGGATCTACTATCCTTATACGTGCAAAAATGTTCACCTCAACCATTGTAACAGCCGCCGCTGTGCTCAGCATCATGCCATCTGTTATGGCAGCGGGTACTGCTCGCGTTGTCAACAATTGCGGAATGCCAGTCTACTATGCATCCGTTGCGCAAAGTGTTCATGCTGAGATGAAGCTACTCCCATCTGGTGGATATTCAGAGGCTTACAGCAAGCCCAACGTTGGTGTCTCTATCAAGCTTGCCCCAAATGCAACCGGACCTGTTACTCAGTTCGAGTTCACCTGGGCAGATGGAGACATTCACTATGACATCTCGAACATTGACGGCAATCCTTTCGCTGCTCGAGGCATGGCACTAACACCTTCCATGGCTGGCGCTTCGGGCTATCCTACTTGCCAGACCGTGAGCTGCCCAGCAGGCCAAGCTGTTTGCGATGCTGCATATAACCTGCCTGATGATGTCCGCACCATGGTTTGCCCAGAAAAAAGCGACTTGGTATTCACCCTCTGCCCAGGTGGCTCGGGCAAGCGAGATCTTGCACAACACGGACACGCCTACAGGGTCCACTCTCGTCAATTCAAGTAAAGTGCATCAGACACATGCAAAGTTTGTTTCATGTGCGCAGCAAGACTGCCGCCACAACCACGACAAGTATTCAAAGTCATTCCTTACAGGACCTCAGTTAGCGCTCCAACTCGCAATGACTGGTTCAAACTGTTACACCCTTGGATACCACGTCTGACGTGTCATGATCTAGACGATTACGACTTTCCGAGCTTCTTGATTCGAAGCCGATTGATGCTCACGGACAGACTAAACTGAGCAATGCTCAGTCATGAAATGATGCCTACAAAACGACGATAACGATAGACATAGCCCTGGCGATGGATGGCGCAAGCACACCGGGCAGGTTGGAGGATGGCGTTGGCGGAAATGGACTTCATTTCAAAGGTCTCACCACTTCATTGGCTCTAGTAGCCATTGCAATCGACATGGCCTTGCACAGCATTACCAGACTCTCACATTTGTGGACTGTCTGACATGTTGATGCCAGCATGTGCAGATTAGGTGTGGATCATTGCGAGATTCAGTTTCGCCCTTTTTTTACCTTTACTCTCGTGGCTTTGACAAGGTACTTCCTCTTTAGAATGCCTGATCACTGCCTACATGAACATACGCATTATAGACAGTCTTTAGAGCATGAATTCATTTGTTCAAAAATAACTTGACACATCGTATCCAACGTGTTATACTACCTGTCGTAAAACCTACATTGGGCAGGTGCACTGTTTTGGAGTCACGGTAGTGGTGAATTGGGATTGCGACGTGGTCGTGGCCCCCAGTTTTTGAGTCGCACAACAACTCCGAAACGCCTAGCGGACTCAGCACATTGAGTATCGGACTCCGCCAGCTACCTGCCGAGAGCGAGGCCCTTTAAGGTTGACTTCAAGTTCGTCTAACTTGACAGCTCAATGGATGATCTCAGCGGCTTCTTCGTCCGGATATGGCATGCGCAAGAGTTGAAACAGTTGCCCTAACAACGCAGCCAGATCGACACGCACTCATTCACATCTGCTTTTGCTTTGTTACATATGCTTTTCCGGCTCCCCTCCATCCTCTTAGCGCGCGTCCTAGATGGTCACAACTCGACACGATATACTTCACATGAACAGCGATGATGCCTGGAAAGCCAACAGCATTGTTCCTGGGCCATGGCTTCAGGCTAATGCAGGTACAACGGCCATCCGAAAGGTCTTGATTTCCGGATGTAGCGCTCCGCTTTGCTGTCTATCTTCATCTTGCTTCTGTTCTCGTTCGCGTGCTCACGAGAACGCGTTGGTCTATTGTACTTCCATCTGTCGGACATTGTGTCGATATAATGATGCTGACAAGTTTACTACCTTTTCAAGTCGTTAATCAAATACTGAGCTGGGACGTTTGAGCAGTGCGCGGAGACTCCATGCCGGCTATTCTATCCGCCAAGTTTGTATGTATGCTTACCCTGACCGAGTCGCAGCAGAAGCGCTAGATGAAACCTCAACGTTTGCTGAAATCCTTCGTGCATCAACCAGGGCCGTTGCGACTCAGATCACTTGCCAAGAATCTGCAGCGAGCGAAGGAAGCTGGCCAAGAACTGCAATCCTACCTACACAAGTACTGTGGTACTGGTATGCATGCCTATTCTGGCAGAACAGACTTTTTCCGGTCTCATCCGACACACAAGGCGCTACGGACTCGACTTTGATGATCGACACTGACTAGTCTCCGTTCAGGGCAATCGAGACTCAGGCTCTTTCCGTTCCGCCTAACAGGAGACTGCCAGGAAGGCGCTCGTTGACCACTGTGCGTTAACCTCATCACTGCTTCGAATCAATGCAATGCTTGTGCTGATGTGCTGTCTTTTGCGGCCATACGCCAAGTGTATGTATTTATGCCTGGGCGTGCTGTACACAGTAACACAATAGCTTTGGCCCCAAATTCCAGCACATGAAAACAGTATATCGCCAGATTCAACCAGGTAGCAGGCTGTTTGATGCAGTCGTAGCCTCGTGGCGTCGGGGCAATTTCCAACACGACGTGCACAAGATGCCCAATTCGTGCTGCGGATATTGCCGAGTCGGGATACAGCTGCAAAGTGCTATATCGCATTTGGTATCTGACAGGTAAGTAGGCTTGAGGACCTCTAGGAGCTCATCCGGTAGGTCGTTGCGCTTTGCCCGCTTCTTCGATGTTCGGACACGTAAGCACGCAAGTACTGATTGAAGAGGAACACTATGTAAGTGTATGAATCAAGTATTCGGACATTGCTCTCGCCTATCCACGTATCGCAGCCATTACGTTCGAAGCAACAACGCCACTGCTATGCAATCCGTCTATTCTGCCTAGTAATGCTGCAAATCACTCGCTAGATGTCCAGGACACCCACAAGGATTACCATCCGCCACCACTCAAACCTGCAATCGCCGCAATCCTCGTGCTGTCGTTCATTCTGCTGACCTCTTTCTTCGACTTGCCCACATCGCTGTCAACGCGCCTGTAAGTTGTGTAGCAGAGCTTGCTGAGTGGTACATCGACCAGCTGTGACCAGTGTGCCAGGATATTATGTACTTCGTTTATGTCGATGTCGTTAATCACGTTGGCTGGTGTTCCACGTGTATGGCCGTTGATTCCATTTGTGCCATTGTGCTGTGAACTCTCGGTTTTTTCGTCCTCCTCCTCCTTCTCAGAAACCTCGCTCTCCATTGAGAAATATGCTTCGTCTATCCTGGCCAGCCACTCTTTCTGGTTCTTTGGAGTCTTCTTCTCTGCTTGTAGAATCTCGCCGTTCGTGGCAGGCACACTTTCCACAACATCCTCGACCTTAATCTGTCCACCACCATTCGTGCAACCGCCTGGACAAGCCATGACTTCCACGTATGCGTACTCTCCAACGCTGTCTCCTGCACTCTTGCCGCCTGGCTTACGGACTGCAGCTCCAGGCAAGCGTGACTGCCTTGCTGGTTTTAGCTTTCTTACTAAGTTCTGAATGTTCCTGAAGCCATAATAGCGCGCACACCTGAGAATAGCCCGCCCATTGGGAGATGTAAGTGTGTAATCCGTTACATCGTTGTTTCTTCCCCTCACGGTCTTTATGCTACTTCCAGGATGTCGCGCTTGTTCAGTGAGGAGAATGTGGTGAAGATAGCCCCCTGACGTGCTCGAATCGGGTCTTTGAGCGGATGGGGAATTTCGAAGGAGGAAGCGCGAAAGTAGCGGGTCAGGGAATGGTTGGCGTTCGGCTCGAGGAATTGAGGTAGTAGGAAGGGAGGATAAGGTAATACCGCGGGCAGATGCCAGGGAGAGGAGTTCTCGGGAGGTTATTACACAGTCAACGTCGCGGATAGGAGTATCAGTAAAGTCCTCGGACTGTGAATCTCGCCACCACTTATCAGTAAGTTCTTCTCTACTCGCTTCGAGCTTCTTGTCGAAGCAAGGCATAAGCGCTAGATGCCATATCTGTGATGGGTGAATGTTCAGCGTCTTGCTCAAGACTGATTTCAAAAGAGTGCCCGATAGAGCCTGCGGTGATTTGAGAGCTGAGAGATGTGGAAGGACGTGAGGGTGGGTTTTCTCAGCGTAACAGACCCAGCCTGGACAAGCTGAAGTTATGACTGGTTTAGGACTGGTTTCCTTCGTGAGCGATGCTGCCACTTCATCCGCACCCAGCACTAGGCAGGCCTCGCGCATACGGTTGGTATCGAAAACATAGCAGAAGCTGGAATTGTGCCTTCCTCCTAACCGTAAGCCTTGTGACCCGCTGAGAAAGTGTTCTATTAGATGTCCTGCTCTTCTTTCCGATATGTCAAAAGTGGCTGCGACACTGGCTCGCACTTGAGGGCTGACGCTTGCCACAAACAGTTTCGCGTCGGGAGGAAGAGAGTAGCCTGGTTGTGAAAGCAGAGATTCAACATTGATTGAGGAATGAGTATCGAGCGTATTCAGAACCTCGGTATGCGACTGCAACGACACAAGAACAGCCTCAGCAGATGTAACACATCCTGAGCACGCCAGACAGTCTGTTAACGATATCGATGCTGGCGCTGGGTTTTGCGTCTGGGCTTTGTCTTCGGTCGTTACTTCATAAGGATTGGAGTCGTCGGCCTTCGGTAGTGTCTCAACAGGCTTAATACAGGCGACGCCAGGAGAAATAAAGTCGTTCAGGTCGTCGGCGGACAAAATCGCTGAACTCATGGTTGGATCGCCACTGGCACTTTCTGAAGGTCAGCTACCTGCTGTACAAATCAATCTCGTTGCTTAAGTCAAACAAAAAGGACGATAGAAGAGAACAGGAAATTCAGGTCAACGGGTTTTCATTCATCGCCAAGTTTGTTTTGCTAGATAGTACTATTGTCCCAAATTTCGAAGGGTTGAAAGAAGTATTACAAACCGACCAATCTCTACAGGCCGAGATCGGTTAGGTGCCGCAAACACGTCACACTTCGGTGTTTTATTCCTGTCAGCCCTTTGCTGTTCTTATCTGCTTGATCCATCATAAAAACCTGTGCAGATTTCAAAGAAGAAAAATCAGTGTCGATTCAAGGTGTAGATGCAGTAGCAACTCCGTGTCTGTTTTCAAAGAGGCACTTGGAGAGAATTGATTTTGTGTTACTCAATGACTGGTATGTTCAGTACGATGCTCGAGATACCTCCTCGCAAGTCACCCAGGCGCCCGAACAATGCTGCTAAGTATCCTGTTCTTCCAAACTGCAGTGTTCAAGTTCGAGACTGAGCACATTCGCCCACCTTCGAAATGTGTATGAATAGGCAGAACTTATGAAAACCTTATCCGGTAGACTGAGCCTTCCTTCGAATCAGCTTACAGCCCAAGGCTCTCGTCTCTCCCTCGCCCTTCCTACTACATTCTAGTATATGAGGATGGAACGGAGTTTTGCCCATGGAAGTCACTTCACAGTCTCCTTCAATCTCTTCGCCACTGTGTCTGATATTAGCAGCCAAGCTCAAGACACGAGTCCCGAAGTGAGATGCACAACTTACATTGCTAGTTGTCTGAGTTCATCAGTCGGCGAGAGGCTTACACAATCGATGGTGGCTGGGCTGTATGGCAGACTGTCTGAAGTGCACTCGAACCGGTGATGGTGCTTGTGTTTCTTGTGTTGCTTGACGACAACGCAAGAGGCGTGGTATTCTTGGTCGCTATAACAGAAGTCAGCTGTTTAAACTTCTTCAAAGTATTGAGAGCAGAAAGAATGTTGGTTCTACTTACGGCTCTTGTCGTTTTTGGAGAGGATCTTCAAAAGGGGGTATGACAAGTGAGGATGGTATAACAAGCCTCATTGAGGGAGGACTAGGAGCAGCTTGAGTGACATTTTGGTTGGCTGAAGCATTGAAGTTCCGTGGTCGGCGTATGCCAGCCATAGCGCTAGCTGTCAGGAACGCAGCAGCTGAGAAGAGTGTGAGACGCATGATGGCAGACGGATTATGAGATGTGCTGGAAGCTAATTTCTTGTTCTTGTCAAGTGAGGTATTCTCGGTGACATGCGATGTGGAAGTCGATATTTGCAAGCTGAATAGGCACGTATTTATAGATGTAATACCATAGCTTGCAGGTCCTCTGAAGCACCAATATTTGAACTCTACGCTTAGTGCAAGGCTACCTGTCTCGAGCACGTTTTGAGGACCTGTTATTGGTCGGCACACTACGCTCACTCAAGTGGCAAAGGCTGTAGAAAAGATGCTCGTTATTGGGCGTAGCTGTTCAGACGACTTTGGCCAGCATCCAGTCTTGGATCAGCTTTAGGCTCTACAGAATGCCCTGAAATACCAAGACAGATATACACTTCAATCAAATTCTGATCTTGCATGTGGCCAGTCTTTCAATCTTGGCCTCTTACTTTCGTCCACTAACTGCTACTGCACGGAATAATAACCCTACCTACGCCTCTCGACAGTTGGAAGCTCCGTCGCCGCGTCTTCGATGTGTTCCTCCTTCAATTCCTTCCTATGCTTGACCTTTTGCAGGAGAAAGTTGTACCGTGCTGATTCACTCAGGTTGAAGATGCCGTTGTTTTGAAATCTGCCAGACACCCATTCGTGGTGGTGCGACATTGAGGTTGACAAGGTGTACTTGTGCTCGAGCTCTAGCGGCAGTCGAGAGATCGACATTCTGGGTCAGAGGCAATAGCTCGTGTCTTGCAACAATAGGACACAGTAGTTGCAAGCGGTTGGTCGGACAGAAGGTCAAGGGAATATGAGCTATAACACCTTTCGTCACAAAAGATGTCAGGACGTCTGTTTTTATGGCGATCGCCCACAGACTTGCTTTGTTGAACCGGCTGCCTTGACTAGTATCGCCTTGGTATACCACGAACACTTGCTGTGTGGGATCGTGGAGAACGTGTTTTTCTGAAGCTCGCTGCAGTGGGAGATCCCGGAAGTCGAGTTGCAAGTCAAAGAACTGAACAGATATCAACCGGGATGTGGGTGGTGAGAAGCACTCATATACCCTCTCCTACATGCAATTGAGTTTCGTACTTCCTTGCGAGGCATTTGATTATGCTCGTAGAGGCTGGTATACGAACAAATAATGCTGAGCATAAGGGTCCCCGGCGTTAAGTTGATCAACAGTTCCTGAACATCGCGGTTTCACTCGGATCGACACTGACGTCAATTTGAATGGTGACTAAGACAACGAAAAAGGTAGCCACGATCGCCGCTGCACTAATCTTTAGAGGTATTGACCTTGCTATATCGAACTCGGTCCCGAGCTTCGTGAGGCTGCTGCATCGCCGTCGCGAGGAAACTACCCCCTATGACTCGAACCTCGATCTGAATAGACCGCCCAAAGTTGAGCAGTAACAACCATGATCCGGAAGCTGCGGAAAGGGTTGTCATCCATTTGACTTTACACAAGGATATCAATGGTGTGCTGACACAGTTCTTCATACCGTTCCTTCGACTTGTTCAAGTGGCTCAGACATCATTTTAGCCTGCTTGCGTCTGCAAGGCCACGTGTTGACACGTATTTAGTGCTCGTTTGCTTACTGAGGTGGTTTCGTTCCTGTTTGTAGCACAACATGTGAGCCTCACCGTTTTCGTCCTTGCTATTCTTGTCGTGCATTTTAGCAAGTTCGTGCTTTTCTAACATCTGCCACGGAAGTTGCCAACCATTAGTAGCACGTCAATCAAGACGTGCGAAGCCTTGAACAGGCAATGTGACGGTCATAGAAATATTGGACCAACGTTGTCTTTCTACATTTCCTGGTTCAAGAAGACCTCTAGTACTCTCACTTTGCGAGCTAATTGCGCCTTACTGGCTTTCTCCTTCGTTTTGTGGTCCTGATCCGATCGAATCACCAGTGGTGCAAAGACCTCTGCATACTTGTGCGCAAGTTGTGCCTTTGATGCGGATGTAGAATGAGCTCCGTCTATAGTAGATGAAGTGGATGTCGCTGTCATGTCTAAGTTTGAACTTCGCCCAGTGAGTGATGACAAGAGTGATCTCTTCGTTTTTGTAGAACCACCAGACTTGATGCTTGAAAGTGAGACGTCTGACATGGCGCTTGCTGAGGTGGACGACCTTGACCGACCCACCGGATCGACTGATCTGTCCTGCTGTGCTGAATTAGCACAGATCTCGTTGGCGAGACGATTGAGCATAAAAGTTATGAATGTAAGCGAGACACTGTGTATTGGTGTTGTTGACATTGCTTCCATCACTATGTCTTGCAACGTTTCGTGCGACAGAGGTTGCTTGGATTTTTCGTGGATTTGCAACCTCGATTCAATCTCCTTCCAAACATTATTCGTGATAATGCCGTCGGTCAGTGATTGCAGAAAATGGACAAGGGTTTCTGCAAGCAAGACTAGCTGATTTAGTGGATCTGTGGTCGGACTTAGGAGATCGTCTATGGATGAGGCTGTATCAAGGGCTTCTCGAATGTCCGCGAGCTGCTCTGTTCTCAAGGAACTCTCGGTTGTGTCAGTCATTACCAGGAATGGCCATGTTGTGCCAAAATTCCAAGGAGGCTCGTCTTGGTTATGCAACATATCCCAGTCAGCAACCACACGCTCGACCATTTGAGGAATCTTGTCGGTCAATACAAAGAGCTCCTGAGGCGCGGAGTGCAGTATATTTTTCGATGGCTGACGTTGTGCCTCAGCGTCTTCCTTGTGCAAAGTCAAACTTCGCACACCAGAAGGGATGCGTACAAGCTCGTCAATACTGCGGTAGAAACAGGTCTGTAGCCATTTGCCTTTCACTGGGATGAAGTAATCTCTGCCATTTGATATGCGGAGAACTAAGATGTTGTCTAACACCATGTCTCCGGAGTTCAGATGCTTGACCATTCCCGGCTGGGTGATTTCCACAAGTAACGCGATATCCGTTGTCTCACCGGGTAATAATCTATACCGTTTTACAGGGCCCAAATCAGGTGGTCCGGCTTTCCCCGTATTCATGTCGTGGTGAATCTGGACATCTAACCAAGCAGGAATCGGACTGAGCTTGTCACCATTATCACTTGGACCACTCACAAAAGCAAAAAGTACTTCAATTTGGCCTGTGTTGGCTATGGTCAGGTGGCGTTCATATTGGACGTGATATCGTATATCGCCAAAGTCAACGAGCTTTAACTCGGGAGTGTCTGCCGATCTGTCAGTGACGGAAGCGGCAAATGGATGGTGATCAAGTACCAGTGTGACGGTTGGACGAGACTCGTTCTCAACTTTGTCAAATTCTTTCGTGACTTGTCTCATGACTTTAGCCTTTAGCTCTTGATCAACTGAGTCGTAGGTCAAAGTGAAGACTGCTGATAAAGGCTTGTGGTCGGAGGACAAGACTCGCTGATGCGAGACATATTCCTCCAATGCGATAGTGTCTTCAGATCCAGACTTGGTACGAACTAGTTCTGCGTCGCGATTATTATCTTGGAATTCGGCATCGTCATCGTAACTGTCGCCATCCGCATCTGGGTCGTAGTCGAATAGAACATCCTCGTGCGAGCTGGCGTCCCCTAAGCCCTTTCTTTGCATCTCCTCATCTCTTCTGGCAGATTCTGCTTCCATCTGAAGTCTTTGTTGGTATTGTTCGTAATCACGACGTGAGCGATAGAGGATGCGGTCACACCAGCTAGGACTTCTCTTCTTCTCGCTGGAATCGAACATAGCGACAGAGCCGACATCGTACTTGTAGGTCGGGAGGAAATTGATGTCACCTTCACGCCATCCTTCGTGGAAGGCTTTTCGCGCTTTCTGCTGGGCTCGAAGCTGATCGTGTGTAAAGAGTGACTTGAGTGTGGTTTGCAGCGAAGCAGGGTCATTGGTAGGATCGAGATCTGGGGCTGCTTTACTCTGAGTAGCAGCTCGCTCGATTCCTTCACCATCATAATGGTTGTCAGGCCGATGGTCTGAGGGCAATTGTGGCTGGTAACCTAATTCGCTGTCGATCCTACGCTTCGACGCGTTAAGCACGTCGTATTCGTTTCTAGCGTGGAGTAACAACAGGCGTCTCACATCTTCGCCAGGAATATCGTCTAGGCGGTAATTAAGATCACCGAACCAAAATGCGAAGTCTTCGTCACCGATAATCTCTGGTCGACCAGTACTGCCAACCCATTCATCACCAACAGGCTCGAACTTGGTACGCGACACGATTTGTTGAGTGTCCCATATCCTTCTAGCCAGAGCAGTCGAATCGGCTCCAGCAGCAAGATGACAGTTTACAAACAACATGCGAGTGCTCTCGCCCAAAAGAACGCGAGCAGAGACAGCCCCTTTGTTGCCAAGGTAGCCCATCAAACCAGTGCCGACACTTGTAGAGTCAACAGAGGAAATCTGAGGCGCCAGCTCCGGAGAAGCAAAGACTACCAATAGCAGGCCAATCAGTTGATGCTCGACCACCTTCTTGTAACCAGCTGGAAGGTGTTTCTTGAGTGCCCGCTTCCACTTCTTTCCAGGATTTGGATCGGTATAGGGTTTCATGGCTTCAGTGACAGAAGATACATCTATTACCTCCTGCAACCCAAGCACGTATAAATCCACCTCTTTCCCGCTCGGCACAGCCGGAGAGTCGTGCAGTGGTACAGTAGTATCCTTCTTTGTATATCTTGCCTCCTGCTCTTCCACCGATTCGATCTCAGAATCGTAGAGGTCGTCATCGGATTCTCCATTCGTGCTCGCTCTTAGACCAGCCAAATCCTGAGTCAAGCCTTTGACACCGAGACCTTCAGCAAACCATGCACCGAGGTCCTTGTAACACTTGTCAAAGGCTGCAACGTTCCATGTCCCCACCTTAATTTTGATTGTTTTCTTTCGCACATACTCATCCCGGCGAGATTTAAGAACTTCATTCACGCTTCTTAGGTTGGAATGCTGTGGTCTGTCTCCGTTTGGCGACGGAGGATAGGCTCCGGGAGGATGCACGCCTGGGGACCAGGGATCTCTGGACGACCACCGCCGACGATCCGTATCGGTGGGCTTTAGAGACATTGAGTGAAGGTTGACGATGGTCTCGACATTTGCTTCAATGTCTGTATCTCGGACACAGCGGACTCAGAAGACTGAAGGATCCAGTTGCTACTTCCTCAAAGAAGGTAAAAACAAGCCTGGCGACTTCCTCCTCTGCAGCATGTCAGGAGCATCGTGCTGGAAGCTCACCAGAAGATCTAGCACAATCGAATGATTGCACAACTCGAGCGACGCTTAGTCCACACTCAGCTTGGTCACAAGCCGGAGTGCTCATGTCACAACTCGCATCGATGTCATTTGTGCAGCACCGCCTCAGACATTTGGCAAACAAAAGCTCGACCCTTGGCCCATTAAGGGTCTTGCTCCGTAGATTGTGGCAACTCGAATCGGTTGATGCCTGATGTGCGCCCATACCTTTGGGACTTGCCGACGAGAGTCATCTAGTACTTGAGTAACACATTTTGATAAGAGGCTCTTCTGTTGGCCAAGCAGTTCGAACAGCTTCTACGCCGTTTTCGAATCAGGCGTGTAGACGACAACGTGCTATTCACAATGAACGTTGAGCTCATCAACACCAACTATGAACACCCGTCCCGTCATCGATGAACTGCACGGTCCCGTTGCTCTCTCAGCATCCTTCAACAGTGATGTCTCCTGCTTCAGCGTCGGTACTGAAACGGGCTTTTGCGTCTTCAATAGCGAACCATGTCAACTTCAAGTTTCCCGACTACTGAATGCGGGCATCGGTATTGTCGAAATGGCCCGCAACCCTCATCGCACGACTGACCAGATGTCAGGCATGGCCGAAATGCTGGGTAACTACAACTATCTCGCTCTTGTCGGAGGAGGAAGGGACCCACGCTGGCCACAAACGAAAGTCATTCTCTGGGACGACGCGAAGAAGAAGGATGCTGCTACGTTCGAACACAAGACGGCCGTCCTCCGAGTACGTCTCACACGGACCCATATTGTAGTTGCTTTACAGAACAGCGTCCACCTCTACATGTTCAGTGACCCTCCGAGACGGGTTGGTCTCTTTGAAACAGCAGACAATCATCTCGGTTTGTGCTGTCTTGGTCACAAACTCCTTGCCTTCCCTGGTCGGTCTCCTGGTCAAGTGCAACTCGTCGAGCTTCAAACCATGAACGTGGGCATCATTCCGGCACACGCCTCTGCGCTTCGCGCACTCGACATATCACAGGACGAAACATTGCTTGCCACGGCTAGCGAAACAGGGACGCTCATCCGAGTGTTCAGTAGTGCCAATTGTGCGAAGTTAGCAGAACTAAGAAGAGGTGTAGATCCCGCATTCGTCTTTAGTATTGCAATCTCACCAGACAGCAACACGCTTGCTATGACTTCCGACAAATCCACCCTGCACGTTTTTGATCTCACTCAGCTTCCAGGTCGACCTCTGCCCAGTCTCAGTCCAGCAAAATCCGCCAACAGTAGTCACAGTCGCAGACCACGTTCGCAATCTCCTCAAGTGAACTCCCCGGCTGCCGACGACGAACCAGCTCCGAAAAAATGGGGATTCTTCTCAAAAGTCCCCTTTCTCCCACGCATCTTTAGCGACACCTACTCGTTCTCGTCCGCTCATTTTGACATGGGTGATGAAGGCACACCTGCTGGCTCATCACTGCCCTACTTACCAGCACTAGGTTCATTACCAACGCGACCGATGAAGGGCATTCTAGGTTGGAAGGACAACAACACAATACTTCTGCTCGGCACAGGCAAAGACGCACGATGGGAACGCTTCCGTATTGGTGAGAGGTTGGTCATGCAGGGACAAGAGGAAGTTATGAAGCGACAAATCTGGAAGGACGGCTGGAAGAGGTACCTTGACAGCTGAACATTTTGTGCCAGTAGGTAATGATCTTACCTACACAATATGTGGTAATGTACAGGTTTGCGAGCCTGCCGAGGACGACCTCTGCCAATTCAGACGATTGCATATCCATTGTTCCACCGAACTGTTTAGCCCTGGATACGGACCCGATTTTGCTCAAGCACACTGCGACGGTCAGAACGGTATCTGTCACATTTTCGGCACAGACATCAAAGCGTCAGCAAGAAGCAAGCAAACTTGCTACCGGCTAGAAGAGAAGTTGACGAAATCAAAGCTTTCATTCAGAGTCGACTGTCTATCAGGAAGACATGGAAGTAAGCATTACTTGTCGCGTGTATCAGCAGAGATCGCGACTAGGACAACGCGAGGGTTTGCGTCTCTGAATTGCAGGAGCGCGACATCGAAGAGGAAATACAGTACAATTGAGTAGACTGCTGGGCTATATTCTGCTCAAACAGAGAAGGACGAACGTGAAAGACGCTCCGAGTAAGAAAATTAATGGTGAATGAGGCCATTTTGAGGGAGAGTGTGGAAGGAAATAGTATTTTCGACCGAAATGGTCAGGCATGTTTGCAGGACGACATATCAAGGCGTTCGGGTCGTACAATTTCTGATCAAAATGATTCAAGAAAATTCAATGAAAGAAGGTCATCAAGAATTTGGTATTGAGGGTCACAGCTCAACCGAGTAGAACGATGTTCACCGCTACCCTTCTGCGAGACAGTGCCAGTCTTTTTTAGTCCGTGACAGCCATTCATCAGGCACACACCCTTTTCTTACTGCTCTTCACCCTTCTCTGTTCAACGTCGATCCCACTTCTTAGGCTGCCACGCAACCTCTGGTACTCGTCCGAATCATGAGCGTACGAGGACCAGCTGTGAGGGTAGTCGAGAACACTGCTGTCAATTTAATCCAGCTGCCGGGCTGAGAAGTGACGAGGTCAGCAGACTATCAGCAAGGGTCTGTCAGTTGTGGTAGCTGTTCAAGGTCCAGCATGGCTGCCAGTCGCAATATTTTGTAGGATCTTCTGCATTAGCACATCATGTCTGGTGCGTTGAGGCGGCTAGCCTCTTGCTTGGTTGCCGCCGTACTGGAAGTTACCGAATGCGCCAGGTGTACCGAATGTATTCTGGATGTGACTAGCACCTGGTGTTTGTGCTAAGCCAATATTTCCTGTCTGCGGCGTGCTGGGAGCATGACTAGACCCTGCACCGTAGAAGGGAGTGCCGTTCACATTTGGCGTTGTGCCTAGATCTCGTCCTGTCATCATAGACTGCGGCATTTGGCCGTTCAAGCCCCAGACCTGTCCCTTGTACTTTTCTTCGTCAATAGTGCCGCCGAATATTTTCTCCTTCATCTTGAAATAGACTTGCCCCGTGAGTAGAGAATCGGATCCTGCCTGGTGTTGAATGCCCACTCTTTGAATATTCAACTCGTTGGCCAGGTCCTGAAGTCCGGACTTTTGCGTTATTATCTGAATAATTCTGTTTGCCTCGGGTGTGAGGTCTTGGTTGTTGTTAACAGTATTGCGATTACCAACGTGCTTCACAATGTACTTAATATCGAACAACGATGGGAAATGCTTGTCAAGGAGCTGATGAAATTCGGCCTCATTGTCGGGAAGCATTCTGTTGAGCATGATTCGCATGAGATAGCCAAAGTCGTAGCCTGAATGAAAACTAATCCATTTGACTTCCGGATCGAGCACGAGTCCTGATGTTATCAGAAACGCGCCGAACTTCAGAGGGTCTATGCCATGCAGTCTGTGTTTGTCAAAGTCGAGACCAGCTTGCTTGAGCATGGTGGTGGAGTTTTGTGCATACATGTCTGCTTCGAGGTCGAATTGAAAGTTGAATTGCCAGGTGCAAACAGGACTCAGGTTCGGTGCATACGGTTTCTGACCAGTCTGCGCATCTGTTGGTAGAGATCCATCTGGCTTGAAAAGGGTGATTCCGAGCTGAATCATCTTCAGCAGGTCCACATTGCAACGAAGAGTTTGATAGTGGTAATCCGCCTTTGTGGTGAAAGCACCAACAGGTCTGGCCACGATTCCTGGAAACTCAGTATCCATAGCAATGTAAGGATAGTCATCAACTAGATCTCGCAGAACTGCCATTTCTTCTGCTAAGTTGTGTTTCCATACTTCTTTTATCCTAGGATCCTGTTGTGCCTGTTGCGCACCCGTGAAGTCTTGATGTGCTTGTACAGGGCCTCCTCTGCCATAGCCGAACTGGCCTGATTGATTCGGAATCATGGATGCCTCACCAAGACCCCTATCGAACGTGCTACCGGAGTTTCCAGGAATCGAGAACGGACTCGTCACCACTGATGCGCCTTGACCGAAGGTAGCAGGGGCAGCCAATTGTGGTGGAGGAAGACCATGAATCTGTGACGAATGATGCGACTGGCCTGCATTTTGCGGAAACTGCGCGTAGGGACCATTGAGGGCTTGCTGGTTGTACCTCAATGGAGGCATCTCGCATGTACTGCTCTGCACAAACGTTCACGGCGGCATTGAAGTGGTATGGAAGCGAATAAGTAGACCAAACTGTTGACAAAGTGATAGAAGATTCAGTATGGCTGACCACTGAGGATGTGATCGTATTAGCGCATTATCAACTTTCAAACCATGCTCTTAAAGGAGTTTGCTTTAACGAAAGATATTGTTACTTTATCGATTGTGTCGCACCAAATGTAGAGTGCAATTCGTAGTAATTACGTGGTGCAAACAGCAGGCGCGTGAGTTCGCCAGGTCCTAAATTCAGCTGACCGCCTGCTGTGCATCACAAAAATGTCTCGGACGGCAGCTCTGAGGCATCAAGCGCGTTTTGGAGTGAGGTACTGGAGTACCGCGGGCTCAAGCGCGATTGACGATCTTGGCAAAGATCCAGAGCTTAAGTCAAGCTGCGCATCGTCATGAGTCCAGCATATACACGGCCAAGCAGCACGAACGTATCCTCCTGCCAGCTCTAAGTGCGATATCAGCGTAGACAGGCCACCTTCGTACCCCGAGCACTACGACCCCGCAATTGGCCAGGCAGGATGGCACCACCAAATCCGACCGGCTTCGATATCAAGGTTTTTGCAAGAGCAGCCACAAGCCCAGAATGGCGAGCACGAGATCCGTGGAAGAGAGCGTAAGACCATAAGACGCGGACCTTGAAGTTGGCTAACGAGGTAACAGTGAAGCATGGAGATATACAGGCCCCTTCACGAGGTTTAACAGGTTTAAAGGAGCCTTCCCTGGCTTTGGTATAGGTTTGGGAGCTTTCATCGTGTACTCTGCATACGAGGCAGTCACTGGAAAAGGTGGTCACGGTCATGGCGAGAGCATAGCTGCCCACTGAACATTCAAAATTCGCATCCTATCCTATTTACCCATCTTGAGCAGCGGAATCGAGGAGGTCTCTTACAACATCAGCGAAAGAGGTCGTGTCTTGTATATAAAGGCATTTTACAGGAGTTACGGTCTGGTTAGGCGAAGACTTGCAAGCTCAAGATCTTTCCGGTGGGCGGATCAAGCGAAAAGACTGTTTCGACAAAACATTCAGGACTTGGCTCAGTGAAGTGCAGAGGTCCTACGACGAAACAATCATGACACACTTTTGTCTCTTTCAGATCACGAAAAGCCTTGAGCTCGTCGCGATACGGCTATGCAGCTAGAGCCACTGATCTATCTGGAGTGTGGCCCACTGAAATTCGGTAATGAGTCGGCCTCAACCTTCAGATACACAGCCAATCTCACATTAACAAGCGGAATGCACAATGCTAAAGAACTTGGTCTGCCTCGTTGGATGCCATTCCGCTATCATATTGCGACTCCTCTTGAACAGAGCAATAGTAGACAGCCCACACCTTTACCCGCAAACTAAACTGTTTCAGGCACTGTTAACCACCGAAGCCCCCGCCGAGTAATGTGCACCAATCGCAAAATCGCACCTATCCTATCAATTCTTATCTGCACATCGTTTCACCAAATGTCTTGCTTCTCTATAACAGCTTCACTGTCTCGCCATGGATCGTAATCGCTTGTGAACGCTTCGCCAAGCTTGTAATGATCTTGTTCACCTTCGCACGCTAGGACTTCAGCTATCTTTATAGACTCGATTGTTTTCGCCCTTCTCTACCACCTACAATCTCGTGAATCGAGTACTGACCTCTGTTTAGCTGAAATCTTTTGCGATACCAACTTGTGTAGCCGTCATGGTTCTCGAACGGTTGAAGCAGCTCGCTGGCCAAGTGACCAACGTCGTGTCTCCGCCACATCCTTTGGACCCGCTCTCTTCACTTGAGATCGAGAATGCCACATCGTTGTTGCGGAAGGAAAAGGGACAGCTCTATTACAATGCTGTCTCCTTACTCGAGCCTCCCAAGGCTCAAATGTTGCCGTGGCTGACTGATCCAGAGCACAATCAGCGACCTGCAAGAATAGCTGATATTGTAGCAATTACACCTGATGGCAACGTTATGGATGGTCATATATCCTTGAGTGAGAACAAGATCCTGAAGTGGGAGCATACGCCAAATGTGCAACCTCTTATCACGATGGAGGATCTCCAGATAGTCGAGCACGTCGTTCGAAAGGATCCCAAGGTCATTGAACAATGTGGCATACTTGGAATTCCTCCTGAGGATATGAACAAAGTTTACTGTGACCCGTGGACGATCGGATTTGATGAGCGCTTTGGCAACTCAGTCCGGCTTCAGCAAGCGCTGATGTACTATCGACCACATGTCGACAATTCTCAATACACATATCCACTAGATTTTTGTCCGATCTACGACTCCAACAAGCAGGCGATTGTTCATATCGATGTGCCAAAAGTCAGGAGGCCACTCAGCAAAGCACCGCCGAATGATTACACGGTGAAGTCTATCGAGGAGACGATCGGCTATCGTACAGATCTCAAACCAATCAATATTACTCAGCCAGAAGGTGTTTCGTTCACTGTCAAGGGAAGGACGATTGAGTGGCAGAATTGGTCGGTTCATATTGGCTTCAATTATCGAGAGGGTATTGTGCTGAACAATATCACGTACTTCGACAAAGCAGAAAATGCCGTACGACCTATCTTCTACAGACTTTCCCTTGCCGAGATGGTGGTACCATATGGCAACCCCGAACGTCCTCATCATCGTAAGCACGCATTTGATCTAGGCGAATACGGCGGTGGATATATGACAAATTCGCTTAGTGTTGGTTGTGATTGCAAAGGCAGCATTCACTATATGGACGCCGAATTCGTCAACAGGGCAGGTGCAGCCCAGGTTATCAAGAATGCAATTTGTGTTCACGAAGAAGACGCTGGTATCTTGTTCAAGCACACCGATTTCCGAGATGATTCAGTCGTCGTTACTCGAGGGCGAAAGTTGATAATCAGCCACATCTTCACGGCTGCCAACTACGAATATTGTGTCTACTGGATCTTCCATCAAGATGGTACTGTTCAACTAGAGATCAAACTTACTGGTATCCTGAACACGTACTCGATGAATCCTGGCGAGGACACCAACGGCTGGGGAACAGAAGTTTATCCTGGTGTGAATGCACATAATCATCAGCATCTTTTCTGCTTACGGATCGACCCCAATATCGACGGGCCCAACAACACTATCATCCAGGTTGACGCAGCACAAGGTCCTGGCGAAGTGGGATCAGAAGAAAACTATTACGGCAATGCCTTTTACGCCAAGAAGACAAGATTCACAAATCCAGTCGAAGCTATGTCGGATTATGATGGCAGTACAAGCAGGACGTGGGAAATGTGTAACGAGAATAAGTTGAACCCTTACTCGAGGAAACCAGTCAGCTACAAGCTCGTTAGCAGAGAAGTACCGGCCCTGCTACCTAAGAAGGGCTCCCTTGTCTGGAAGCGAGCAGGTTTCGCTCGGCACGCTGTCCATGTTACAAAATGTAAGTCTACCTCCCTTGCATCTCGTGACCAGTACTGACCATTTGTTTCCAGACTCCGATGACCAGCTCTATCCAGCAGGACGTCATGTGCCACAAACCTCTGGAGAGCCTTCGCAAGGTCTACCGCAATGGATCGAGGCCAACACGACTGAAAACATTGCGAACACCGACGTCGTCCTCTGGCACACCTTTGGCATTACCCACTTTCCTTCTCCGGAAGACTTCCCAGTCATGCCAGCTGAGCCAATGACGCTGTTGCTTAGACCGAGAAACTTCTTTGTCAGAAATCCATGCTTGGATGTACCACCAAGCTATGCTCGCACACCGGCAGAAGTAGCGGCTGGTAGCAGCGGTTGTGCTCACGGCAAGGACAACACTTCCAAGACGGTGTGATCCACATCGGAGCTGGCCACCAAAGTCCCTAAATTTGGCGATATTTCACTGGAGCTTGACAGGAAAGAGCAGGACATGGTCTCACACACAATTCAACGGTGTTGGAGTGGTAGCCCACAAGGTCATATCAGTGACATGATGGCTCTTCTAGTCCCGACCTTATTTCACAGGACTTATTGATGAGGGTAGTCTTTTTGAGGCGCTGAATAACTCAAAGAGAATACTATATTCTCTTAATAGGTTTTCAAGCGAACACAGCTATTTACTAACCGCCCATCTATCTCAAGACCTAGTGTTCTTCCTTCATCCCACTGCTTGTTCTGACGTTTACATCCATACCTCCCACTTCCACAACCAAAAACTCCTCAAACCAAATCCCATCCCTCAAAACCAGCCTATCATCTCCATCAAACTCCACACCTTCCCTCCTCAGCAACTCCCGCTTCCTCTCCCTGTTAATACCACTCGGCGCATCCTGCCACTCTCCCATATACCCTCCTATATGTCCCGTCGCGCTGACTACCCTATGACACGGTACTTCTGGTGCGAATGGGTTTTTGCGGAGTGCACCGCCAATGGCTCGCGGCGATGTGTGGAGGGCGGTTGCTAGGATGGCGTAGGAGGAGACTTTACCGGGTGGAATTTGGGTGAGGAGGCCGTAGACTTGAGACTGGAATGTGGTGACAGTCATGCTGTGGATGGATGGATGGATGGACGAAGGGTTGGTACTGTGAGGGCTGGCTTGTGATTCAGGGGTTTATATAGGGTGTGTATTTGATTTGGGGAATTTGTGCTCTAATGATTTATGGCGATACCGAGCTCCTTTGAGAGCAGTGCAATGTATATATGAACTTCTAGAGCCAGAGAATGTAAGGCAAACACATGTACGAGTCAACTCGCAAGAATGAAATGGAAGTCGAAATGACCAATCGTGGTCCTTTCAGCAAATGGAAGTCAAATTGACGAATGAGCATGCTGAGAATCCTGCCAAGTGTGGAGTTTCTGGTATACTTAGTCAATTAGGATTGGCAGGCCCTGCTTTCGTCCGTTCGTTCTTAACCACAATACGGTCGCTTGTATTGTATTGAAGTTGTCGAACGGCGACTCTTCTGATGCTCTTGCTCAACACAGACTCGGCTCGATGGCAAGCACTTCAACGTCGTGACAAGGCAGCACACTCAGCCTTTGTCTATGGGGTCACTTCGACCTACATCTTCTGCCGTCCCACATGTGCTTCACGTCTGGCTAGACGCACGAATATACGCTTCTTCAATAATGCTGCAGAGGCAACCGTCGCTGGCTTTCGAGCTTGCAAGCGTTGCAGACCCGAAATCGTGGAAACCTCGAACCATGCGACAGTGTTAGTAAGCCAAGCATGCAAGGTCATAGACGATGCTGGTGGTAATATCTTGGTTGCGGGTGCTGCTAGAGCGGTTGGTGTCAGTGCAAGGCATCTGCACAATCTTTTCAGAGACACTATGGGCTGTACACCTGCAGGATATGCACGAATGATTAGAGGTCAAGGACATTGTAGGATACAAGATGTTCGACGAGGTGACGAAGGTGCGGTGCAGTATAGCGAAGCAACCAACGTCCGAGCCATCGCACAATGGTCGGACTCTTCAGGTAGGAGCGATGGCGGTTTCGCAAGCTTCTTTTACATGCAAGATACTGAGTTGCAGAAGAGTAACCTGGCAGACGAGGAGCTTTTCATGTTGTTCGGTAACAATGATTTTGACCTGGAGCTTGCATGAAATATTCTAGTAGCGACATTGGGTGAGCGGATTCACACGTTAGTCGTACTTGATCGACCAGCGAACTGCAGTATTGCTGTCAGGACTGGGCACGGTCGCAATTCACTACCGCTTGTTTGCTGTTCGTTCCTGCCGCTCTTCCTGCCCACATAATCAAAAATCGGTGCTGCTCTTTGATGCAACGCTCTTTCCTTCGATGAGCGATGAAACTGTCGGCGATCCAGAATTTTGTTGCACCAGATAACGCTTTGATTTTGTGATGGTGAGTATAGCAGTCTGATCACAGAGAGCTGCACAGAAGCTGTCCCAGCAGCGCTGAAAGGAAACCAAACTGGCACTGGTTCATTGCTGGGTTTCGTTGGCTTTTCGCGAAACCCTTCTTTTGCCCACCATGACTCTTATACGGTCGAGCATACGGTGCATCATGGGGACATCGGCGATACTCCAGGTTTACCGATGTGAGTGCTCGGTCTATCCGCTGGCAGGATCCGACTGTCTGAGGCAGTCGGTGTGTACAAAAGTACAGGATGCAAATGCAAAGACTGTCTACCTTCTGTATTTGTGTTCACATATGCTAGAACACCACGGCGATGTCAGCTCTTTTGCGATCGTTGCAGTGGTTCTACCATGAGTTTGGGGTCGCATCCGTCCACCACACTGGACGCAATGCCTACCTGATGATCATGGCCAGAACCAGTCGAATGGTGGCTTTCGGCTGTAATTCTCTCATCTTAGGTCAGTTAGTGATGCTGCTGTCAACCTACAGCAGTGGCGTGCATCGCGCAACAACTGGCTGATTTCAATATTAAGCCATTTTCCTGTCTGCTCTCGGCTTCGATGACCATCGCATCGGAATCTTCATGACAATGACACTCTTTGGCGACTTGATCCTTGGCACAATCCTTACCTTAATCGCCGATAAAGTCGGCCGACGTAAAGTCTTGCTGGGTGGCTCAGTCATGATGATCATCAGCGGCACTACTTTTGCCTTGTTCGAAAGCTTTTGGCTGCTACTACCTGCGGCTGTAGTCGGCGTTATATCCATTACTGGCGGAGACTTCGGACCTTTCAGGAGCATTGAGGAATCAATACTATCGCAACTGACTACGCCGTCCACTCGAAGCGATGTTTTGGCATGGTATGTGACGATATCAACGTTAGGTTCTGCCATCGGAAGTGAAATGGCTGGACGAGCGGTACAGTCCCTCAGAGCGAAGGATGGCTGGACTGAGGTTGATGCATATCACACGCTCTTCTGGATATATGCTGCTACCGGATGTGTCAATCTAAGCTTGACACTACTTCTGAGCGACGCTTGTGAGATGTCTGTGGAGAATGACCAGTATGCACAAGTACCACAAGACGAGAACGACCAGGTAGAAGTGCCCTCAAGCAACCGAAATCCCATGCAGCACTCCAAATCCCAGGATGTCCCTTTTACACGGCTGGTGCGCGCTCGTATGTGGTTCACTGGCAGATTGACGCAAATATCAGCTTCTACACGTTCGGTCATGTATAAGTTATGGTTTCTGCTCATTGTTGACTCACTGGCTGATGGCATGGTCCCTTTCAGCTTGACCAACTATTACATGGATCAAAAATTCCATCCTTCGAAGGCGACTCTCGGTGACATAACATCAGCCAGCTATTTTCTTGGTGCCTTCGGAGCAACCTTTGCAGGTCCTCTAGCTCGTCGCATTGGTCTCATCAACACCATGGTCTTCACACACGTTCCTTCGTCAACGGCTGTGCTATTGTTTCCGTTTCCAAGTGTCTTGTGGCTTACTGCAGGACTGGTACTGCTTCGGACTGCCCTCAATCCTATGGATCAGGCACCTCGAACCGCTTTCATTGCTGCTGTTGTCAAGCCGGAGGAACGCACAGCAGTGATGGGCATTACGAGCATGCTACGAACACTTGCCAGCATGGCGGGCCCTAGTGTCACAGGCTTTCTGGCTGCTAACAATCAATTTTGGGTGGCTTTTGTGGCTGCTGGCATTTTTAGACTCGCCTACGATTTTGGCCTGTATGCAATGTTTGTGAACATGAAAGTCGACCAAGGCACAGTCAAGGCAACGATAGCACACAACGACGGAGCTTCTGGTCGGGAGCGCGATGAAGAATACGAGCTTGAGTCACCCAAGTTCTCCCTGGACAGCACAAGCAGTACAGATTCGAGCATAGGGGAAGTGAGGAGCGGGAAGGTGGCCGAACGTTCGTCCACTGGTTGATCGAAAAACAACTCGGCTGAGCTAGGAGTCAAGATGCTGATCAGACGATACGGTCTCCGCCCTCTCTCTGCAAGATCAGGTATCTGTATACATATGATGCGAGAACCATCGCTTGTCATCTTCAGCCTCATCTGTTCCAGCATTCTGCATCCCTCCCTGCTCAAGCCATGTATCTGTCATCATGGTCAGTATCAGCGAAAAGTCGAGCCAAAAGCTCACTCTGGGGCTGAAGCAGGGCTCCGAAGACCGTGCGGCTTACTGTATCTGACTGCTAACATCTTTCGTCGATGTTCGCAGCTACAGGTTTTGATCAAAATTTTACTCCATTGACAGTGCCCGATTGTCTGAGCCGACTGCTACTCATGTCACTGTCCCGTATCGTTTACCACTCTGATTTCCGAATTGACAAAGTTAGTTGCCACGACCATACCTGAGAAGTTGACGATCGTTGTCGGCCTTGATAGAGCCCAAAACCGGCACGAAATGCTTGGGGTTTGCACGAGCTTGGTCTCGCAATATTGCAAGCGACTGTCACTGTACGCCCGTTTCGACCAGCAAATCGTCTTGAGATATCTCCTCCTGACCTCAACAGCTTTTGGGTAAAAATTCTTAAATCAGCGACTGCCACCTATGATCGAAAACTTATATATATCATAGACGGCGAAGACCTGGACGATGAAACCTTGGCTTGCATTCGTGCTATCAATGCTGGGTCTGATATTCCCACTTTAATCCTCCTGATAACGACCTTTGTCCGTGAGGAGTCGAACCTCCCATTCTCCAACGAAGCAGGAGTAGATACAAAAATTCACCGGGACTGGATGGACCTATTACGCGAAGCTCAGGGTCAGTAAGGCACACACGACAGTTGCTCAGTCGCTCGAGGTCGGCAATTCAAAAGGGGCATTACAGCATCGCGAGGAATTTCTTATTTCTGACGCTCTTGGACGACAGGTCTACGTTGCTATCTTTCGAATTGAGAGTGCTGTTCGCATCTCTTCAGCAGAGTCGTCTTCTAGAGTGATCGGATTACCAGCTGTTCCTCCGACTTCAGGCTCATCGGTCTGTCGCGTCTCGTCAGAAGAGTCTTCTTCCAGGGTGATCGGATCGTCAGCAGTCTCTCCGATACCAGGTTCAAATATGTTCTTCGCTCTTCGAAAGCTCTTCGAGGGCTTTGAGGAACTCTGCGTCATTGGCTAAACCAAGCACCTCCGCATTGACCGCATCCATCAGGTCATTAACAGCTCCAGCCTCAATAACTTGTTCAAGCGCGAAAGGAGACTCTAGATATTGGTCAGTCAACTCTCCTGTCTTTGTTCGCAGGGGCACTCTGAAAGTGAAGTGGAACTTCGTCGGTTCTGGAGTCATGTTGTGGTTGTCACTCATCTTGATCTTTGTGTACTGTACTCTCTGGCAGCGGAGTACATTGGTTGGGATGTCCTTATGAGTTCGTATGATCCTCATGCGGTTCAGTCTCTTCTGCACAAGCATTAACTTCACTCGTCGTTCAGGCAAACAAAAATTATTGTCTCGGATTCAGACACGAACAATCGTGTCATTCATGCTTCAGTAGCGTTGTGCTGCAGGACAAGGATACGCGACAAAGCAATAGGCAGTCTTTCCTGACATCAACGATGAATGCCCGAGTGCCACGGGAGATGTCTAGGTAACCATATATGTACAAGCAGAATGGTCCACACAAGTAACTCCAGACAACCCAAGATGACAGGAAAATCAGCTCTAGGGTCGTTACTTGCACGCAAGCGCAAGTCCAACAAGGTTTCACCAGAAAGCATGTCGGCGACCGACAAAGCCGTAGAAACGATTTACACAAAAGAAGAGTTGGACTCGGCCTCGCACCACAAGGCTGATGAGCCAGAAGCACCATTCGCTGTCGAAGAGGTGCATCCCTCCCCTGAACAATGGCTGCGTTGTCTGCAACAACAGGCGGCAGTAGACTACCAGTCACGAATTGATGAGTGGGTCGCTGCTCAGCAGGCCATCATTGGACCAGCGGGATCCGAGGAAGGGTATATGAGGATACCACAGTGGCAACCTGATGGCAGGTTGAAGCGCGCCGACGCCAAATTCCGCGGCACATACGGATGGCAGACAGGTAAGTGAAATGGAGATTCTGTCTCAAACAATTGTTCAAGTGACTGACTCTGACAGTAGGATCGTTTTCGCAACCTGCGTGATCGCCGTTCTTGAATAGCTGAGTCGAGGAGTATGCGCTTCGTTGTTTCCGATTCGCGAAGTCTGCTGATGGCAGTGATGGTTCTCAATGCATGCCTAATCGAAAGATGTCACTGGGAAGTCATTACACAATGGAAGGTTCGCCATTGAGCCTAACCAAGATCTCCTCGAAGACGACATTGACTATAGAGAAGATATTACTTCATACCAGGCCCCACGTGTCTTGCCATAAGATAAAGTCGCAGCCTCATGTACTTCCAAACGGACATCTTCGAAATTGACCCAGACAACTCGACCTACCGTTCTCTCAGCTTCACAGATCATGACCCAGTACTACACCCGGAACGTCCAAACAAGCTTTCCAAGCCTCATTGTGTCGTAAAGCTGATGCTATTTTGGCTTCTGGATAGCTGTACCGATCTTTGACAAAGAAGTGATGGACCGTAAGGACAATGAGAAAATAGCCTTGGGGTTGCACGTGGGTCGAGAACACAAAGCACAGCAGTACCTAGCTTTTAGATACAATATATCTAAGCAGCAGCCGCATCGTTTCATGCTTCACCTTGTGAGACACATCACTTTCGATCAACCTCGACCAAAGTCTTTGACACGAAAAACCACAACAAAAGACACTCCTACTGATCAACTAAATATGCGCGTCCTCTTTCTCATCACTGCTGTTGCAGCAATTGTGACCGCTACACCAGTTCCGATCAACAACGTTGTTGTGCCTCTGATCTCATGTGCCGGAAAGAAACCCGGTGAACTCGTTTGTGGAACTATGAGAAGTTTTGGAATTTGTCCATCGGGTGGTGGGATGGCGATTTCCCAGCCGTTAGCGGAGGGCGACCTTCGATGCACTTGGTGAACATGGCTTGAGGAGGGAAAGCAGGTAGGTTGTACTTTTGCACGTGACTAGGTCACATTTTAGTTGTTTCTGGTGATGGTTATTGCATAATTGAGTTGTCTGAGTTCGGTGTATATGTATGCATAGGATTTCTGCTTGTTTTTGGGTCAGTTCTTTTTTAAAGCGCGTACTTACTGTATTGCGTCACGTGGTTTGTGACGATAGTTAGGTGAAGTAGAGCATTTAGGACACGTCAATGCAGTCACTCGTGAACTTGTGTAGTCACAACGAAGACAGGTATTAGCAACAGGATTGCATTGAAGTACAGCCACTACGTCTGGCAGCTGATGAGCACTAGTGGCTAATGGAAGGAGGCTCTGATTTCAAGGAAACCACGATAGTAATGCTTCTGGTTCCAGTCCAACGTGTCGACGGCACGTGACGCGTTAGTGTTCCAAGCAATCTCGAAGCTTTGGAAGAGATCAGTTTTTCCTGGGGAATTTCTGGATGCTTGACCCATATGTACCGGAAACGGGCTGGCTGAAACACGCTCAATTCTTGCCAAGATTGATCTTCTTCACCTGATTTTGTGCGTCATTCATGGTGCTGGCCTCGATCAATCAGCAATCATTGCAAAGTTAGACATGAGTCTAAGACGAGCGTCTGCTACTTTACTGTCGATCTCTCGTTGTTCATATAGTATTGCGATTCTAAACGTATAGTCTCGGAGAAGTAGACAAAGCCAAAGTACTTCTGAAGGTCGACGCGGCCTGTATCGTAAATTGGGTTCCAATTTACGCTAGTCTGATTCTGATCGCTCAGCCAATTACAGAGCACTCAAGAATCCTTGAGGCTCCATCAAATTTGCTAATTCTCCTATTCTCGAGCTTGATGGTCACTGTCTACCTTTCAACCATCCTCGCTGCGGCGTGCCGTTGCTTCACGCCATGCAACTCATGCCAGCCATTGGTGCTCTTTCAAGCAGGTAAGCGTCCGCCCCTCGATGTCACTCTAGCTAGGCTAGAGCAAGGGTGCTCGCAATCTTGTGAGAGATGAAAACCTCTTCCTGTTCGCCTCGATCATTCATGCTCTGTTCTTTTCTTCCAGCTCTTACTCTGCATCAAAGTACCACGACCTTTGTGTCACCACGTTCTTTACCTAAAGCAACTCACTACAGTCACTCTTTCGAGTTCTCACGCTCTTTTCAAATTCCAAAACCGTAGTCATGGTTCGATATACCTCCACTATCCTGGCCGCGGCCAGCTTCTCGCTTGCGATCGCCGCTCCTGCCGTCCAGCAGCCAGTCTGCAAGGTTGTGACTGAGGTCGTCACTGGAAGCCCAATCTGGGTCACCAAGACCGCTGATCCAACCACTGCTGTCAGCAGCAGTGGCAGCTGGAGTGCCTGGGATCCAACAACCAGCAGCAAGGTCACTACCTCAACCAAAACCACTACGACCACCAAGACCCCCACCGCCACCTCAAGCACCTCCAGTGACTGGGCAGTCTGGACTTCGAGCGCAAATTCTACCTCCAGCACTTCCTCCAAGACGACCACGACCATCATCTGGAACACTTCCACCTCCAGCGCCACCACCACCAGCAGCAAGTCCTCTACCTCGGACGCCACCACCACTACCACCACCGCCGCCACCACGACGACTACTACCACTACCACCACTGCCACGCCAACCCCAACCTGCCCAGCTGACAACGGCGCCAAATTCGGCGGCTCCTGCAACTGTGGTTTCTCTGTCTACTCCAACAGCAGAATCACCGCCGACCTAAGCTCCGCCAGCTTCTTCGAGAAGACTCCCGGCGAGCTCGTCGACTCCCTCGATACCTGCCTGAACTACTGCGACGAGAACGAGAACTGCAAGGCCGTCGTCTACGTCAACGACCCAGCCTACAGCTCCAGCACCCAGGACTACCTCCACTGCTGGCAGATCAGCGGCGTCAAGGGTAACACTGTCACTGACGGCCATGCCAACATTGCTTACAAGAACTGCTGTGACGGTACTTGCGCCAGCAGCTATGGTGCATAAATAGGTCATAGAGATATGTGACTGGGAGGTTTCTGGATGCTCATAGTAGGGGCATATGTTCTGTGTTACTAGATAAGAACAAAGAGATGTGACATCGCTTCGGGCTTGTCGTTTGGTTGGATAATGTTGGATATCAATCATAACTACTACTTGTTTCTAATTTCGTGCATGCGCCTATGCTACTGATTAGGTCGTAGCTTGTTGATCAAGTAGTCTTACTAAGTAGTCTTACTACCATTGCACACGAATACAACTAGACGCTTTGAGGTAGAAGTTATACAAACGACTGAGTGTAGTCTACACACGACAGTATGTCGGACTTGTGCTATACGCTATAGTTGACGTGGAACTAACGTGTTCCTGTCATAGGAACAAATCGTATCACTTCACCCCAGCTGACCTTGCTCAGCACGACAAGCTACTTGAATAATGGCTATCACTTCCTACGTGACACTTCAAGTTCCGGAAGGAGCAATTAGGTTCTTTGGCTGTTGCAAGTGACGAGAAGATTGTAATCACTTTCTGTGAGACGACCGAAGAACAGATGAGTTTGTCTGCGGCTTCGGCCTGTCGATGATATTTTAATTACAATAAATGGTATAATTTCTGCTCTAATCAGTGATCCAGCAAGCAGGATACCACTAATCCTATCCAATATTACACCAGCAACAGCGACAACAAAGGCATCATTACCAAAGCCTTAGTATTGTCATCGTTGAGTGATCCGTCTCCTTCTCTCGTTCTTTCCTTCCTTGCTTCATGATCGAGGGAGCGCTGTTGAATATAGCCCGCTCAACGAGCATTTCGTTACCAGCCGAGGTGCTTTCCTCCTTCTTTCGTGTGCGCTTTCTGTCCTCCTTGCGGATCTACCAAACTTTTTTCATACTCGCCAAGCATCTTTCGCGACCGCTGACACAAATCTCATTGAAACAGCTTCGGAATGCAGCTAACTCCACACCCCCGATGTGCCTAAACGTGGTTCGTAGGTATGTTTCAGTGCTTATACTTGTCTTAAGGTGTGTGCTAATTATGAGGTTCAAGACAACGGTGTCTTGCTTCCTAGCGGTTACCTGTCCGTTGGAAAGTCGTAGGCATGATAAATGTCCCTATGCAACGAGCCTAGGACGCGGCTACGATGATTCCTGAGGATGAATATCGTCTCCAGTACTGGTCAATCTATGGTTCAGAAGGCCTGCTGGAGTGTCCATAGGTACTATCCTATAGAAAGGTAGCTGTACTGGTGGTACGTTACTGGCTTCTAACCGAACTGTTGTAGTGTGGAGCAGAAGTCCTCCAATCTTCTTGTTGCACCCGCAGTCTCCCTGGATCCTATCTTTGAAGATGATACGGATGTCCAGCACCATTCCTGACGTCCCTGTCATGGTAGTATGGCCGGTCTCTTTCTCGAGCAGGTATTCTGTCTCGCGTAGGGCTCCTAGATCTTCGTCGTTCATACGAGCCGACCGAGGATGGACCCCTTGACCGTGCATACATATCGCCATTCGCATCATCGTAAGGAAGCATCTCGTCGTATTCCACAGAATGACCACGTCCGCCGTGCATCGTCGGACGATCAGAGCCATCACGTGGTGGAGGCGGAGGTCTTCTGGCACCGACAGGTACTGGATTTGCCTCGCGCAACACACCTCGTGGCGGTCTCTGGGAAGGATCAGCTGAGGAATATGGAGGAATGTACGTGTCTACCTCGGGTTGCCGTATGGGCGCTCTTGGATCCTCGACACTCGTGCCTGGAGGAATACGTCGAGGTGGTGGTCGCTCATCTCTATCCCTGTAGGGTGGTGGCACGCTATTGAAACGATCGATGTCGGCTGGCATTGGTGGCCTAGGAGGCAGGCTCGTATCAGGTGGCGGAACAGGTCTTCTCAAATAGGAATCATCGTAACCCTGAGGAGGGGGAAGAGGACGTCGCCGATCTCGTTCATATGGATCATCGTAATCACGAGGTGGGCGATAGCCATGGTCGTAATTGTCGTTGCGTGGAGGGCGAGGCGCACGATGGTCGTAATCTCCATTGGGCGGATAGTGGGGAGGTCTTCGATCAGGTCCATTGTGTCGTGGTCGGCCACCTCGTGCTCCGTGTCGGTCATGAGGTCTTGACCGATCCTGGAAGCCATATTCGTTCTGCGGACCGACGCCAACCTGACCGCCAGCAGGTGCAGGTGGAGGTCTGCGCTCTTCACGCTGCTTCTGTTTATCGTACTCGTGAGATGACTCCATGATGGGCAAGTCTCCCGGCCGAGCAGGCAGAGGATCCGTCTTGAAGTAGGGGTGCTCCAGAGCATCAATCGCGTTGATCCTCGTTCTCCAGTCGAGCTTCAGCAGTTCTTCCAGTAAGCTGAAGCCTACAGGACCTAGATCTGCAGCAAAGTTGTGGCGCAGAGTGCTTCGCTTATTGCCCCAGTCTTTGATACCCTCACAACCTGGAAGTTCTTCCCAGCCAGGCATAGTCTCATTGGTAGGGGCACCAAGTAGAGAGAAAATCATCTGTGTTTGTGCCAGGTCAGAGTCTCCCTGAAGAATGGGCCTCTTCTTGAACATTTCGCCGAAGACGCAACCAACACCCCACATATCAACTGCTGTAGTGTAGTTCTTCAATTGTAGTAGCAGCTCTGGTGGACGGTACCACCTTGTCACCACTATAGCAGTATAGCCTCTTGTCGCTTCGCCACCACCTTTGCCTGGTTGAGGAGGAGGATCATCGTATGGGCGAGCCAAACCAAAATCGGCGATCTGTAAGATTCCAGCGTTGCTTATCAGCAAGTTAGCGGCTTTCATGTCCCGGTGCAGGACGCGGCTTTCGTGGAGATATTTGCAGCCTTCGAGCAACTGCTTCATGTAGCATTTGATTTGCGGTACGGTCAAGTGTATGTTTGGGTTCTTCAGAATGCCCGAAAGATCGTGATCCATGTAAGGCGTCACCATGAACATATGGGACTTTTTTGTAACATCCCTCGGCCTTTCCACAGCCATCTCGATCAAGCGCAGAACATTAGGGTGATTGAATGCTTTGAGGAGCCTGATCTCGCGCAGCGAAGTGATAGGAAAGCCATCTTTCTCGTTGTGAACCAGGATCTTCTTCAGTGCAACAACCTGACCCGTCTTTTTTGACCTTGCTTTTGATACTTCGCCGAAGGTACCCTCTCCCAATTTGCACATCCATTCGTACTCCTGAACCTTGGAACATCCGGAAAAGCGTGGCTTTCCATCCGACAAGGTGTCAAGAGGATATCGCGAGACGGGTTTGTTAGCCATATTGAAAGCGATGGGCAATCACCACATGCAGGACTCCCTTCGTAGTCAGGCTGGATCAATGTGCTTGAAGAATATTGGCGCAGCACTGTAGTTGCGCATCATGTCAGAAGTGAACGAGATCGAATGTCAATGTACGATGGCTATTTAATGTAAGAGATCTGGAAGTTTAGATGGAAGCGCAACCAAAAGAACGATTGCGTTGCTTGCCGTCACGATGGAGCGGACCACAGGGATCTTGATGCCTGGGAGAAACCACCTCTTGGCAGCATGTTTGACTAAGTTGCAAGAGAAGAGGCTTTGCAATTCAATTGGTTTTACTTTTCTATCAATCAATGGGTTCTTTTTGTGCTGCTGAGATCCCTCACCCTGTCGCTGCAAACTCAACAAGATGTGCTACTAACTTTTGCACACTCGGCATGGTGACAGCATTGTAATTGCTCGCCCTGATGCCGCCCACGCTGCGATGTCCTTTCAATCCCATCAAGTTTTTCTTTTCTGCGCTTGCCAGGAAGGCTTTCTCTCTTGCCTCATCCCATGTGCCAGGGTCACCCTCACCTCGAGATTTAATTCTAAAGCATATGTTCATACGCGATCTCGCACTTTTGTCGGGCACCACATGGTAGGCGTCCGCGTACTTGTCCAGGGTATCGTAAATGAGTTCGGCTTTGCGGTTGGCGAGCTCTTCTTGTCCGGATACCTTCTTCTCTTCGAACGTCTTGACCAGGGACTGAAGGACAAGTGTTGCAATATAGAGGTTGAAGATTGGTAGTGTGTTGTACAACGAGTTGTTCTTTGCTATCGTTGCAAATTCAAACACCACAGGTGGAATCGCTGATGGCAACACGTCCGACAGCCGCTGTAGAAAGTCTGCTTTCGGCGTCAATGCGAGCAAGGACCTCCTCACGATGATGACAGTGATTCCGGCAATGCCCAAGTTCTTCTGTGCACCACCAAAGATGATTCCATAGTCTTTCACGTTGAGCTTGCGACTGACAAAATTCGAGCTCATATCTGCTACCACAACGCCGTCGTCCTCGCCTCGACCCTTCAAACTCTCAGGGAAAGATGGCATCTCAACTCCATCCACTGTCTCATTATCACACCAGTACACCATTGCACTCTTCTTGCTGTCAGTAAGTTGCCATTCCTTCTCTTGCGGAATCTTGCCAAACTTTCCGTTGTTTGCTTTTCGTGCATCTGTGGCGACGTTGATGTATTTGCTTCCAATCAGTCGTGCTGCCTCCTGGCTCGCTTTCAGGCTCCAACTGCCCGTGACGAGGTAATCCACTTTCAGCTCCTCCTTGATCTCTTTCCTCACCCTCTCTATTACCTCATCTTCCTTGCCCTCACCTAAATCAGCAACAGCTCGCCTCCGTCTTCTCTCAACCCACCATCCTACACAAGCCTGTACACTAGCCGAGAACTCGCCTGTGCCACCTCCTTGCATGAATAGAACATCGTAAGCATTTTCTCCTTCAAGTGGGAAGTCGTAGAGTATGGAAAGCGCCGATTTGGCGTCTGCTAGTATTTTGTTGGCGGTTGGAGAACGATGCGAGATTTCACTGAGACCGAGACCTGTATCTTCGAAGTTCACGAGAGCCTTGGCTGATTCCTCGATGACTGGTGTTGGTAGTGGTGCTGGTCCAGCACCAAAATAGGATATTTGGTCGCGTGTTGGCATGTTGTCCGTTGGTCTATCGAGTGTGTGGGACTTTGGACAAACAGGTGATGAAATTTTGTGTGCTAAAATGTCCTCAATGAGTCAAGTTTTATGTATACAGTAAAGAATTGAAACAACGGCTATTGGTGGCAGGAGCTACGGCTAGTCCTTGCCAATTTTGTTGAATGAAGAGCAAGAGCTTCAATTGCCTGTCTCACAGGCGTGAAATTAACGATACTAACGAACTGATTATATGAAAGGGTCCAGTATAGTACTGTACAAAATTCTTTGTGAGATGAGGTGATGCTCAATTGCATGTGATAGAAGGCGGGTACGATATCGGAGCACATTTATTTCGAACTCTCTCTATCGCATCATCATAGTACGGGCAACGTGAAAACCATACTAAATTCAACCGTGCTTCTACTGCCGAGGAAGATCCTGATCTGTTCTATACTGTAAATTATATTGCATGATAAGACGTGAGAAAGATGTCAATGGGAAAGCACCGGAAAATTGTCCGTAATTCCTAACGTCGAAAAACACTTTCGGAGAGAACGCGCTATTTTACTCAATCGCTTCCCGCAGGTACCTGAATACAACATTGACGATGTGAGCGCGTCAGACCAGCATACAACACCGAACACTTTGGGTAGAGTGAATCATTTCATAACTCCTCAGGAAGTGCTGGGCTGAGGCACCTTGCCTGTCATTGAGTCATCATGCAGATGACGAGATGCACTGTCGCCTGGAAACAGGGCAACAGGTTTCGTAGCCAGTGAGATTCGTCCATGGACAGCGGACGTCGCAACTTCCAACAGCTCGGATCAAAATTATGCACTTCAGCATATCCGGCTTTCTGGATTTGTACCTGTAATTGATTGTGGCAGTTCCCATAAGACGCCTGTACTTACCATTGTTGCAATTTCTATTCAAGCATTGACATTAATCCATACAGAAGGGCCCCCTTCCAGATTCTCAACCTCAGACACGACGATGCTCCCAAGACTCGTCATTATCGGCTCGGGCTGGGCTGGGTTCTACATCGCTGAAAAGATCGACTCGTCTAAGTATGATGTTACAACTTTGTCACCACGTCGGACGTCAGCATACACGCCTCTCTTAGCGTCAGCAGCGTGCGGCGTGTTCAACTTCTACCTTGCCGAAGACTCTGTGAGATCCAAAGCTCGGGTAAAGCAGCACTTCATCAAATCTAACGTGATCGATATCGACTTCGCAAAGAAGGTCTGCCGATGTGCTCCAGCCTTCGAAGACGACGACGAGCAGTTACCTGAATTCGATGTCGAATATGACATCCTCATCATTGCTCCGGGCTGCATACCAAACACCTTTGGAACTCCTGGAGTAGAAGAGAATGCTGTATTCATGAAGAACGTCAGTGATGCGATGAAGGTGCGCAAAATTCTGTTCGACCTGCTAGAGAAGGCGAACCTCCCGAACATCAGCCCAGAGCGAGTGAAAGAGCTTCTGCACATTGCAGTCGTAGGTGGCGGGCCTACAGGCATCGAAATGACTGCTGAACTTGACGATTTGGCTCATAAAGAGCTGAAGGGTCTTTACCCCGGAGTGGCTGACAAGCTTTCGATTGCTATACACGACGTGGCTCCGAACATTTTGAGTGCCTACGACCAGAAGCTGTATGAGTATGCGAATCAACAACTTGTAAACAGGAATATCAAAGTCCACACAAATTCCCACATAGAAAAGGTTAAGAAGGACTGTTTTTATACGAAGGAGGACGGACGTATTGGATGTGGCATGCTCATCTGGGCAACGGGTAACAAGAACGTCCCTCTTCTGGAAAAGATCGAAGTTCGCAAAACGCCAAAGGGTCTGAAGAGAGTCATCACCGATTCTCGCCTTCGGGTCTACCAAGCCGGGGATGGCGACGTACTCCACGATGGTGTATTTGCGCTTGGAGATGCCGGAGATATTCAGAACGAATCACTCCCTACTACTGCAGAGGTGGCAGTCCAAAAAGCGAAGTACCTTGTGCAGATCTTGAATTTGGGTGGCGGAAACTTTCAACAACATGAACCATTCAAATATGAGCAAAAACGGTTGGTGTCTTATATCGGTCAAAGAGATGGCGTAATTGCTGGAGACAACGAGCATGAAGGTTGGACTGGTCACAGAGCTTGGCTGGCATGGAGAGGATCGAACATTACCTGGAACCGTAACTGGCGAAGCAGGATCATGATAGTCTTCACGTGGATTCTCAACTCCATCTTTGGCAAGGAGATCGCAAAAATCTGAAATCACCTAGCCTTGTGGATGCAGGATCAGCCATATTCGCGACTGCTGGCCAATGTATCCGAGTATGTGGCTATGGCTTAGTTCGTGGCCAGCAGCCTTCCAAAGCTCGATGGTATTCGCCAACTACGGCCACAGCTCATCTGTTTGCAGCGCATGCTCCCGACTGTCTGTGTTCAGTGCATATGTCAAGGTTTCGGTTTCGGAAAGCATAGAGCCTCAATCACATTCTCGTTCCGACCGCTTCTATCGAGATCTCGTGCGACACAGACGCGACTGCTTTGGGACACATCGAATGACTCAATTATCATGAGTCGTTACCAAACATGGTGAACGCAGCTCGTCGGGTTCGTTTGGTGGCAAGAGTAGGTCCAAAGCGACTTCCTGCGGACTCCGATCGGTGACATGTGTCAAACTGTCAGCCTATCCGAGTTTCTGACGCTGCAAGGCTTGTCCTACAAAAGTGATGTTCGCGGTACCAAGCACACGCAGTCGTGTGTGTGCGTGTAAGGAAGAAATTCAGAATTTTACGGGCGACAGTTCACCTATAAAATACCCACGTGTCAAGCTAGAGTGCTTGGTTCATATAGAATCTGAGATTTCTTGAAGCTGTGGGAGGGAAGGACAACCTCTTGGAGTTCTTGTAATATTGATTGCTGGCGTGGCAAGTCCAGGATTGCGACCAGCGAGGGCACTCATTGGTAAAGTTGAGGAGCGACCAAGCTGGAGCCAAGCCTGGGCGGGATTGGCTGTGGAACCGGAGGTGCTGAGTCTGCTTGGCAGATATCAACGAGGGACTTCCGCTGCACGTGTCGAGAGAACACAACTTGACTATTACCTCAGGGTCATCATATGCCATGTCGATTTGGTATAATAAGACCAGGGGTAGCTGCTTGTCCGAAAGGTCATTCCTCCTGCCTGCAGAGAAATAAAGAGCCATAGTCAATATGGCAGCCCTACCACAATACGACTACATCCTCGCCTTTGGCGTCCTCTTCGCTTTCCTCGACGCTTGGAACATCGGCGCAAATGATGTCGCCAACTCGTTTGCGACTTCGGTGTCCTCCAGATCGTTGACCATGTTGCAAGCCATGTGCATTGCTACAGTTTGCGAATTTGGAGGTGCCGTACTAGCTGGATCTCGAGTTTCTGGAACCATTAAGAACGATGTCATCCCTGCTGAAGCATTCACGGATCAGCCCTCCATGTTGATGTTAGCCATGTGCTGTGCCCTTGTCGGAAGTTCTCTTTGGCTTACCCTTGCTACTAAAATTGGTCTCCCTGTGTCGACAACTCACTCTATCGTGGGAGGTAAGGCTACCAATGTTGAACCAATGAACCCTGCTGATTGTTCAAGGAATTATCGGCGTCGGCTTTGCGTCTCTTTCACCAGGTCAGGTTGACTGGTCGTGGGGTGGCGTTTCCCAAGTCTTTGCAGCCTGGGTCATTGCACCCGGCATAGCTGGCATCTTCGGCGCGATTGTATTCTTAATCACGAAGTATGGTGTCCTGGAACGCAAGCGACCACTACACAATGGTCTCATGATGATTCCACTATATTTTGGAGTGACTGCTGGTGTCTTGACCATGTCGATCGTGTGGAAAGGAGGTGTGTTGACCCAAAGAAGACATGACCCTGGCTGACCTTCTACTAGCTGCATCCCTCGATCTTGACGATTGGGGCGTTGCACCTACTGTTGGCACAATTTTCGGTGTTGTTGGTGGTGTCATTCTCCTGTATGCGGTATTCCTTCTTCCCTATCTATACCGACGTCTGGTCCTCGAGGATTGGACTCTGAAATCTTGGGAAGTTATCAAGGGACCACTGCTTTGGAGGAGAGGTGCAGTGCCCCCTATGCCTGAAGGACAACAGAAACAAATCATTCAGGACTATTATCGTGGCCATGTTACCTCCAACACAAACCCTGTCGTCGCGAATCAAATTGCAGTTCAGCCTGGTGAGAGACGATCCAGTGCAAAGATAGACGTCCCTGGGTCAGAGAAATTAAGATCAGCAGACAGCTCCGATAACAGCGACATTGAAGCTTCCGAGCAGAGTCTGCCAGCGCTCACCATAGAAGAGCAAGCCAAGCTTGTTGCCCGAGAGAACCCATGGACAACACCAGCAGGCTTCTTCGCACGAGCCAAGTATTACTTCTTCCGAGGTGTGAACCGGGACGTTGTCGCGGAACAAGGCGGCGCTGGCATCAAACCTAAAGGATTCGCTGCTTCCTTCCTGGCCAAGGACCTCACCAAGTATCACCAGCATGTCCCTGCGTATGACAACAAGACCGAGCACTTGTACTCCTTCCTCCAAGTCATGACAGCTGCAGTGGCCTCTTTCGGTCACGGAGCTAACGACGTCTCAAATGCCATGTAAGTGTATTGTACCAAACCAGTATCCTCTTACTAACTTCTGCAGGGGTCCTTTCGCCGCAATCTACCAGATTTGGCGGACCAACGAGACATTGGACGACAGTGAGGTTCCCATCTGGATCCTTGCCTTTGGTGGTGCAGCTATTTCGATCGGTCTCTGGACATATGGTTACAACATGATGCGAAATCTGGGCAACCGTTTGACCCTACACTCGCCATCGCGAGGATTTTCCATGGAACTCGGTGCAGCCCTGACCGTGGTGATTGCCACAAGGCTCGCTCTGCCAATCTCCACGACTCAATGCATCACAGGAGCTACAGTCGGTGTGGCACTGTGCAGTGGCACATGGAGAGCTGTGAACTGGAGGATGATTGCATGGATCTATATGGGCTGGATCATCACTCTTCCAGTCGCAGGAACCATTTCAGGATGTTTGTTGGGCATCATCATTAATGCACCAAGATGGGGAGTTGTGGATTAGATGTTCACACACGAGATTGACGTGGATGGTGATGGTGTGTGTATATAGCTCATACACTATAGTTTGGTACATTCTTTACACCACACCCAACGTAGCTGACCGAAGATCTGTGTCCATATTCGAACAGTTATATAGTCAAAAATAATCTTTCGTTCTTCCACTCTGTGAAACGATACCAAACAGACGACCCTCTGCCGCATTCTCGATTGTTTGCTGGCCATGGGCTTTCCGAAGCTGAGTGGGTTGTCAGCAGTATCGTTTTTACCAAACAGAATCTATGGCAGCAGAGTAATGATATTGGTGGAGCTTGGCCCAATACGGATCAGGCACGAAGGCAGTTACTGCCAGCGGCGTTGCCACTGATTCCACCGATTCCCCGAAATTCTAATTTCGGCAAGCTTGCGCCTTGTGCGGACCTAAAGCGATTCCTTTGCTTATTTTCAGCCCGGTCGTAAAGATCGCGTTTCAGCTTATCACTCATGTAGGAGTCTCGAAGCAACTTCGACGCGACGCAATGATTTACGAAACCCATCTATGGGGATCTGTATGGGATGTAGAAACTGTTCGGTCATGAAGGTGGCCAGCATGAAAAGTCGGAAACGCGAGGATGATTACGCGTTGAACAGCGAGCTCGCCTTTCTGGGATGACGCAGCCACCGTCAAATGTTAACGTCAATGGGGTACTGAATGACAAAAGTTGAGCATCTGCGCCTCACCGAGCGTGCCTACTTAGCCGTGTCGACCTGCTTATAATCAAGTTGCTGGTGACGAACCATTCAGATTGTGTTTTTGCATTTACATATCCTGAACTGTGTCTTCCTTCCTGTCTTCGACGTTCTTTCACCAGATTCAGTCTTTCGTTTGCTGCCACCGTTGTCGTTTACGCAATAGACCTACGCTATATCAATACCTAACGAGCCGATCCTGTACAGTCCCAGCTGGATACCTGTGACGATGAAGACGTCTTTGGTTGCTCTGGCCGCTACTGCAGCCTCCGTCACATCCGCGATCAAGCTCGCACCACGTTCAGAGAACCCACGAGTTGTTGGCCTAGATATCAACAGGAGACACATTGTCGATCCTATTGAGCACGACCGGAGGCGGTTTATGAAGAGGCAGAATGTTGTACAAGAGACATTAGACAACGAGCTTACACTGTATTATGCCGACATTACTTTGGGAACTCCAGGACAAGCAATACAGGTTTCAGTCGACACTGGAAGCTCCGACCTATGGGTCAATTCTGGCAGCTCGAGCATATGTTCCACGCGACAATGTCAAGGTGGCACCTACGACCGATCCGCCTCTTCAAGCTCAAGAATAATCAACAATGACTTTAATATCTCTTATGTTGATGGTTCTGGTGCTATTGGGCCATACGTTGGCGACACCATGCAATTTGCAGGTGTGACTCTGGACGACTTCCAGTTCGGTGTGGGCGACACATCTTCGTCACAGATGGGTGTCTTGGGTATTGGTTATGCAATCATCGAGGTGCAAGTCAACAGGGCTGGTGGTGACCCATATCCGAATCTTCCTCTTGCGCTCCGAAACGATGGCCACATAAATACAGCTGCCTATTCTTTGTGGTTGAACGATCTCGATGCTTCGCAGGGTCAGATCCTGTTTGGTGGTGTCAACACTGAGAAGTTTGAGGGTGATCTGACCACTCTACCTGTTCTCGGTACCCAGGGCGGCATATATTACGAGCTTGCAGTTGCGTTGTCAGGTGTCCAGCTCGGCGGACAAGATATGGCGGGTTCAGACACACTTCCTATTGCAGTTGTGCTCGACTCAGGTACTTCGCTCATGTACCTACCTGATGCTATCGTTGAGAATATTTACAAGCAAGTCAACGTTGTCCTTAACCAGGGAACAGCCTATGCCTACTGCGACGATGCAAATTCTGATCGACAACTATCCTTCACCTTCTCGGGCAAGACTATCAACGTCCCAATGAACGAGCTCTACATCTCCGTCGGCACCAACAGCCAAGGTCAACCTCTTACTTTCCAGAACGGCAGAGAAGCCTGCATTTTCGGTATCGCTCCCAGCGGCAGCAGCACTCCTTTGCTCGGCGATACCTTCCTACGGTCCGCCTACGTCGTCTACGATCTACAGAACAACGAGATCTCAATCGCACAGACCCGCTTCAACTCGACCACCGATAATATTCAGGAGATTGTCAACGGCACTACTCCTGTACCCGGTGCTGTTGCCGCCTCAACCACGATCACCTCTGTCCGCAACATCGCAACCACAGGAGCACGACTGGGCGCTGGTACCGCCACCGGTGGTCCAGGTTCTCTACCAACAGGTGCCGCGTCGTCATTTGAGTTTCCTACCGTGCTTGGTGCCGCCGCTGCAGGTCTCGCTGCTATGATGCTGTAAACAAGCACGCTTTACGAATTACGAGACAATGATCGCATTCTGGGAATTGGCATAACAAAAAGCTTTGGACAAAGGGTACATGAAGTTGTATAGTAAGAAGTGTATTTCTATGATATCCTAGTAAGCTTCAATATAGATAACTCACACCTAATTCTGTTCATACAACTCGTGGTCTTGGTACTAGATGTGTAAATGTGTAGATCTGCTCCAGTTCATATGTGCTTGTCTTTTTCATTACAAGTGACTGCGAACCTGTCAAAGTTTCGCCTTTTCCACACCTCCAAGCCGTTCAATCAATATCTTCTCCTCTTTGTCCCTCATGACTCTGTCAAGCATCCTCCGCTCCACTATCTGCGTCTCCTCCAGCTCACTCATCTCCAGTTGCGTCAGAACATCCTTGTACATCTCCTCCTTCAACTTCCCGTATACTGTCCCTCTCCCACGCACACTCACTACCATTCCAGCCCTGCCATGTCCACCCTCGACGTCAGTCATGACATTCACGGCCTCCTCTAACCCGCCAAGGCCATCGACAAGCCCATACTCTAGCGCTTGGAGACTCGTAAATCGTCGCGCCTCAAGGAGCAAGGACCTAAACGTGCTGTTCGTGAGCTTGGCTTTGAATATCGAAGCCATAGCCGGCGCCAGCTCAGCGTCGAATTCCAGCTCGTTAAGGCAGAGCCAGCCGCGGTGCGGGTTCATGATCCGAAAGTCATGGAACATGCTTAGCATTAGGCCGCCAGCGAAACCGTGGCCATTGATCACGGCGCATGTTGGCATGGGGTAGGTCAGAAGCTTGCGCCATAAGGGGTAGAGGTACCTTGGTTTGTCGCTGGGTTGGAAGGTCGCTAGGTCGAGGCCGTTGCTGAAGAATTTGGTGATTGAGGAGGTGGTTAGGAGGATGCCGTGGGGGTAGTCGCCATGTTGGAGACGGAGGAGGGCGTGGAGATAGGTTTGTAGGAAGGGTGGTGTTAGCCTGTTGTCGGGTGGAGAATGGTGCGTGAGTAGGTATATTGGTGGTGGTGGTGGTTGGTCTCCGTGACGGGGGCGCGCGCGGCCGTGTGCTGGGTTTGATGACATGGACTGGGATGCTGTTGCGTCACGTGGAAGGGATGGTGTGAGACTGAGGCGCGACACTGTGATTGTTCCGCCTGGAGATGGAGCAGCTGGCGATTTATGGGCGGGAATTTGAAGGCTGAACAGCACTTCTTGCGATGGAGGTGCCATGACGGACAATGATGGTCGCGGAGCCTAGTAAAGCAGGGTATAAACTCCTACAGATAGGTAGCTCCTAGATGTGGTCCTGTATGTTGCGAACACTAACGACAATGTAGCGAATCAAAAGCACTAAGAGACTGATACAATAGCGTGCAACCGACTGCGTGGCAGGCAGTGAGGTGTAGCAAGAATTTTAGCTAGCGTACAAGACGGTGATCGCGAGCAGGAATACAAGCCAGTCGAGAGATGTATAATCATTGATAGTAGTTGTCGCTGCTTCACTTTGATAACAAAGCTCATGCGATAGTGCTTCCCAAGTACAGGCCTCGGCAACCTCGGTGATACTTGCCAGCAAATTAAGATATCGAGCAAGGTCGTAGCAGTCACGTGAAGACCTGGAGACGCGTTGACTTCCAGGTCTCTCCTTACGTGTCACATCCCCTTACCGTCATTCCAGTGAAAGATAGAAGCTATACCTTTGTCACAGGGAATAGCTACCACGTTCCAATACGTTGACGTGGGCATAGTCATTATGCCGAAAGACTTGTACAGTAGGCACTTGTCCGCTGCGATCACCAGCGGTATTCTCCCTTGTAATTTCACAGTCCGCCAGACGACTACGCAATGTGTCAGGCACAGTCACGCTGTGGTATTGAACCAGGGTTGAATATGACGGACACACTACATGGTGAAAGTCCTCGTGCGTAAGTCCTAGATGCTAAATTTCACAAGATTAGGAACGAGCAGGTTTGGCTATGGAGGTCCTCGAAAGCACAATGGTCAATAGCATTCCTTCACAGCACGATATCTAGCTTTTCAAGATAACTTGTGTAAGCCTCTTTATACTCAAAGAGTGGCACTTTCATGTCATGCAGGACCAAGTCGATAGTGGCGTAAAGTGCCATCACTATCACTACAGAACAACACTTCACTCTGTCGAGTGTTTGTCAGGTGACTTATTGTTTCAATCCCAGCCCCGCCTGATTGCACAAATGTCTCTCCGTCCGAAAATTAACCAGTGATTTCTTTGTTGCAACTTCATCCTCTGTGTCCAGCAAAGTCCGGTCATGGATAGTCTAGCTCCTCGATTTACTCGAGGATCTAGCTCCTGGCTAGTTTCAGAGATACACAAATGGTTCCAAGAAATACCAAAGCAAACCTCGACTCCTTGTATACCTGGCGCTGAAAGTTGGTTACCCTCAACCTCGACTGTCTCCGAACCCTTACCAGCAACGATCGAGCACTATGCAGCTCGACTGTACAACGGATATGCAACGCCAACACCAGTCATTACCATCTCACCGTCTCGCACTTCGCCTTCTCCTATACCTTCACACGTACCAGTTGACACCAACACAATTCCGACAGGTAATGCCTCTGCTTACCTACTCATTCCTGCCTTAATACTATTCCTATTTTACCTTATTCTTTTCGTCACTTTTCTCTTTCGAATGTACCGGCAATGGGGAATCAACGTCAAGACCCTGGAGAGCCAGCTGGGTACACGACCCTTAGAAGTCGATGCATTGGGCGCCAACCTTAACGGCCTGCAAGATGTTTTCAAGCAGTCGAATGATGACTTGAATGCAGCGAAGTAGAGGTTGGAAGCCACCGAAGCACAGTTGGATCTTAGTGAGCAAGCTGCAAAAGAACTTGACCGTGTAATTAAACGCGGAGAGGTGGCTGTGACCAGCTGCGAAGACCAGCTAGCAGAGCTCAAAGCGGAGTCGGACGAAGGGCGGAAAGTGCTTCAACGTCAGCAGAAAGAGATGAAAGCTGCTCAGATCGACGCCGAGCGCAAGTTGTCGTCGAAGGGCAACGAGCTCAAGCAAATGCGTCAAGCTCTGATTGCAGCACAAGAAGCAAGTAAAAGAGACAAGCTGGCTCTGGAACCGTCAAAGAAGAAGATCGATTCCCTGGAGAAGGCAAAGCGCGATTCCGAGCAAGTTCTCACCAGTCTGCAGAAGCGACAAAGTGAGAAGGAAGCTCAAATCATCCTGAAGCAGGATGCGCTCGAGAGAGCAAACGCGACTCTGAAAGAGGAGTCAAGCCGAGCGATCCAGCAGGTGAGGCAGGTACAACAGGATCTGAAGACAAAGGTTCAACAGAACCAGACCTTGCAAGAACGATTGGAAGACCATGGCAAAGCCAGAGCAGGTCTGCAGAAAGAGCTTGATCAGACTTGGAAGCAACTCGAATATGAACGCACATCGAACCAGTGTCTGACAGAAGAAGTTGGACGTCTGAGAAATATTTTGAGTTCTCAAGTACAGACAAACAATGACCTAGAACTCAAATACAGTACACTCGAAGAACAGTACAATGAAAAGGTTGCAGCGCTTGCTAACCTCCACCAAGACCACTATGTCATGTTGCATGAATACGACAAGATCAAAGAGCAGATGTCGCTGATGGAGAAGAACCAGCTACCTGAGCTGCAAGCTCATTACGATGCTAACGAGCCTGAGTTCATCGAGCTGCACCTCGTCAGACAAGCAATCTCCAAAGCTCATCATGACGGCATGGAAAACGTTAAACTCAAGTTCAGAAAAGAGATTCTGAGCTACTTCAAGCAATTCAGGAATATGGAAGAGAAACTGCTGGTCGAGCCCGTCAAACCTGATAGGTGTTAAAAAGTTGCCACGCAATTAGGACATATCAAGGACAATTTGCAGAACCTGCTTTCAAAGACCCACAAGCTAAGAGCCTTTGAGAACGCACATACAACCTCACACAACTATGGCAGTAATTGGCCGATCATGCTCCCTGTTACCGAAGCAGATGCTGAGAGACTGAAAATCGAGGCTAAAGAAGGTGGAGAGACCACAATCAAGAAACCTAGTCGCCCAAGACGACGAAGAGGCGGAGGTAGCAGAGGAGCAGCGCAAGCGGATGCGGAGGAGGCAGATGAGGAGATCGATGGTATTGCAGACTAGCATAAGACCAGGAGGTCGGTGATATCGAAGACTAGCCAATGGAAGAGAAGGAGTACATCGAAAGGCGTTATGTGGCGAGACTGGTTGTCGAAGTCTGGCATCCTCGTGTATCCCTTGATACATGACGGTGACCAAATGGAGCCCCGTTTCTTCGCCACAGTGAACAGCAGAGCAAGCAAATATACCTGGAGATTGTGGTTCGCCTATCGCTGGTCTGTTCGGGTGCTGTTGAGCACTTGAGGAGCCAGTGTGTGGCTTGAATCTGCTTCGGAATACGTTGCTCTGTTTTGGTCACGGCTAAGACTGCGAAAGTCAAGCCAAGCTGCCAGGGTGTATTTTATTTGGTTTGTGTGTTTTTGGAGGTTTGTGGGAAGCGGGTTGCAGATGTGCCCTCAGCTTGTGTCTTTGATTTTGATAATTGGTTGCTTCGGATTGTTTGTAGTTTTCTTTACGCTCATGCAGGACGGACGCGTCAAATACAAAAGTGGTTGAATTTGACATTGTGGATTGTGGATTTTAGATGTCTTCGTCTCTCAGCATTTCGCCTCATCCTAATTTTGTCTATGTGAATGACTTCCAACGCCTCGCTTTAGTAAATACTTCTCACATTAATTGTAGCACGTCCGCACAGTAGAGGGCGTTGTGAGGCATGCCGTGGTAATCAGACTACAGAATACGCGGCCGCACACTTAACAGCACTCCAGCCTCACCAAGAACGACTGCTATCAAGCGCTGACCTATTCCATCACGACCCTTTACATACTTTTCACAATATGCCCAAGAACTCCTTTATGCCCGCAATCTTTCGCTCCTCGACTATCATCCCAATACTTGCTGTCTCCGGCACATACAGATTCCCAATATACTCATCATGTCTATGAAACGGGCAGACATCTTGACCTCCACCACGAGTACTATCCACAAGATAATAGCAGAGATGCGTAGACAGACGATGCGCAAACTTGACGTGGCCAGACCGAGAGAAAGAGTAGTCCAATGGGCGATCGTGTTCGGATGCGTTCGAGTCAAAGGTGAAATCAGCATCATTGAGCCATCCGGCTGTATCGATGACGAAAGTTTTCTTGTCTCCGATGTGCCATTTGAGTTCGTCGAGGACTTTGGATGTTGCTTGAGAGAGTAAGACCTGAATTTGCTTGGCTCTTGGATGTGGTAGGTTGGGAGGTATAGGAGGTAGAACGAGGAAGATTGGGATGGTCGATGAGGAGGAACTGTAGAGATAGCTTTCGTCGATGGTGTGTTGTAGTTCACTTTGCGATATGGACCTCCTTACTGAGCTTGTGGGTTTTGAGTAGGCAGTACGACGAATAGTCTGGATGAACGTGGAATACGCATGAGAGAAACTGTTCAAGAATTGTCTGGCTTGTGACTTGTTCAGGGATTCTCCGTCCAAGAATGCTACCACATCCGCCAGACCGAGAACTAGTACGAGAGCTGAAGGGACGCTGTCGTATGAGCTGAATGGCCAAAGACGTGCATAGAGGTCGGTCCCTGGAGTTCCAGCACGAAAGAACAACTCTTGGACAGCGGCTGTGGTCGAGTTGTGTGTGGTTTTTCTTTGACAAGGTTGCGTGAGACAGCTATGGCTAGGAATTGCTAATCGAGCGACAGTCGTATCGGGAAATTCGTGTTCCAAAAGGCTGGGCCAGGATTGCGACCATATGTCCCGTTCGGCAGTCTTCTTATGGTCTAGGCCTAGCATAGTAGTGGGTCCAAGAACTTCGATCAGTCTTCGCTGTGGAATATCGGACAAAGATCGTGAGCCAAGCTCTGCGAGAGTGATCGCGTTTACTCCCTCCTGACTGACCATACTCTTCAACTGTTTTGCTCGGGAGGGATGAACCAAATGGCCGCCACGACTCAACCACAAGCTTTTGAATTGCATAGTGTTGTGCTCATGAATTCCAGACAGGACGATCTTGAGATCGTGTACGACATCTTGCTCGAGGTTAATTGCGAGTGGAACAACCCCGTAGACCGCTTTATGATAAGCAATGGTCAGATTCCTGCTACTGCTTGTAACCACAATATCGATCGGCCCGCTCGGTGTAGATTTCGCTCTTGCGGGAGTAAGGACCATGTAGGTCTTGCTTCGGCTGTCATCTTGAGATTGTCTTACACTTTTCGCATTTGTGTTGGCCAATTCGAGAATGATCGAGGACGTGTTGAAGACACTGAACTCGATGCTGGCACCTTGGTCACAATAAGTATACTTTAAAAACAGGTAGCGAGTGGAAGAAGAGTACCTAGAGAGCTCGTATGTTTCTCGAGTCGATTCGTACTTGATAGCCATCTGCCGTTAAACTGTTTGTGGTCAGTAAGTTCCTAAGGTGAGGAGGGAGGATTGTGGCTCACTTGTAAGCTAGGGTCATTCACTGCTGTATAGCGTAAAGTTGTTGACAGTAGACCATGACTGAATCGCGTGTAGCGGTGGATCGAGAACACCTGCACAAGAAGCAAAACAATGCTAGAGACTGTTAGGATTGCTAGTAACACGGCAAAACGACTGCTGATAGATGTGCTGATATGCATCATTAAAATTCCAAGCAGCACAGTGGCACCTCATCCCAGCATATTCAAATGAACAAGAGATTTCGTATTTGCCTAAAAGCATCAGCTTGTGTTGATGGACATTCCTTGGCGCTATCACGCATCAGGAACAAGCAGCACACGCCGTGCACAGTGTCATCAGCCCTTCCTTCACTTCACTTTGTTCTCACATTTTCGTCTCGGTATGCACTTCTTCGACGTGATGTATACCACCCTTTGCGTCCTCCTCATACACTCCTGGCTTCGAAAAGATATAATCAATCTGCTCCAGAGTTTTCCCACCAGTTTCGGGGCACAAGAAATAGACAAATACCACCGCAAGAACGTTACCACTGAGAACAAAAATCCAAAACCTCCACTTGATATTCTCCAAGCCGACAGGAAGGATCATCACAAACAGGAATGTGCTTAACCACTCCCCAAAGGCGGTAATAGAACCGCCTACATGCCTATAGCTCAGCGGCGGTATTTCAGAGCAGTATAGCCAGACACAGCCCTGCCATCCCCAGCTCATAAAGAACAAGAAGACCCAGATGATCGCGATACTGGCCCACTGCATGGACTGTGATGGATTGGCACCTTGCAACACGACAAAGATGAGCATGAGGATAGACATCAAGATCGCGCACCAAAGCAATATTGTTCTTCTTCCAAGCTTTTCCACAGTAAAGTATAGTGGAACACATCCGGCCGCAAAGATCATATTCTGTACTCCAGCGAGCAGACTCACTAGCTTCGGCGAAGCTCCAGCCTGAGATAATGTAACCGTAGAGTAGTAAGCGAGCATAGAACTGTGTTGAAAAGAGGAGTCAGTGCAAGTCGATGCAGTGTATAGCTGAAAGAAGCTCTGTTGGAAGTTTTTGACCACTTACCTGCCTGTCCACTCTCTAATAAAGGGAAGCCAGAAACAGATCACAAGCCGTCGCACGATACGGAGAGGTGTTTTGTCGGTAATGCCCATTGTTACGAACTGTGTCCAGCGCAGACTAGACTTTGCTTCTTCTTCAGCTTCCATAGCCAGAAAGATCTCTCGCTTCGTCTCTTGGACCTTGGGATCCTCGATAGTGAGGCCCGTCAATCTGCATAGGGCGTCTTCCCCAAGTTCATTTCTGTTCCGAGCAAAGTACCATCGAGGAGTATCAGGTAAGAAGAACATACAGCCACCGGATGTGATGGCGAAGACACACTGGAATATGATGGGTACCCGCCAGGAGAACTGGCCATCGTATTGGACGAAGCCATAGTCGATCCAATAGGCAAGTGGTACGCCACTGATGAGAAGAATTGCGTTGATAGCATTAGCTGGACCTCGATCACCGATTTCCATGCCAGTCTCGGACAGGTATGTAGGGACAGCGGAGGAGATACAGCCTATCGCAAAGCCCTAAGAAAGATTAGCTTTCGATGCCTACTATGATGGAGCATTTCCAGGTCTCACTGTCACCACACGACCGATGATTAATTGTGCGACGCTATAGCTGCTTGCTTGGATGACTGATCCGATGATGGCTGCAAAGTTACCCAGCAGGATTGTACCACGACGACCTAGGCGGAAAGTAAAAGGTGCAACAACTAGAGTTGTCACGCAAGCTGCTAAGCTGTACGAGCTCGAAATAAGAGCAATTGTCCATTCTCCAGTTGGGTTGCCGATAGCATCGAGGAAAGGCCTATGAAGAAGGAGGCCTCCAAGAACACCGGCATCGTAGCCATACATCATAAAAGCAACACCACACACGAACTTCATGAGCCGGTAGAGGTTACGGCCTCGAAGCTGAATGAGGCCAGCCATGGTGTGGTCAATTTGCCACCCAACTTAAGGACAATCCAAGAATCGTTCGGGCTGTGGTAAAGAACTGAGGCTGCACGGAGTACGAGGAGAAAAGGGTTCGGACATATAGATTAGTGGCATGGTTGAAGGATTTATTATAGCCATAGTTCCTGTACCCTCGAGCCTTCCTTGGAGCTGAACAGAACTTGCAACATAAACATGCGAACGTTATTGGTCTACATCCCAGCGTGTCTGTTGCCCGAGGTACCGAGCCATGACCGATATATCACCACTAGGGTAGATGGTAGAGAGAAGCTGTTGCGATCCTGGTATAAGCGGAACGAGACAGGTAGGACTGATCCTGACACCAAAAGCTCGAGTCAGTACCAGGAGTACTCCCGTGCGGAGCTTCCCCAAACCCCAACCATTACCAAGCTTGGCACGTACAGTGTACGCCTTCCTCGTCTCAAAGCTATCGCGTTGTTGGCCTTGAGGTTGGGAATGCCGTGTGCAAGCATAAATAGACAAAATTAATGTGTCTGCAAGGGACCAATCGAATTTTAACCGTTCGATTCGTCTCGAATGGTGCACATTGAGGCATAACGAAGACCTCGTGCTGGTCTTGATGCAACTGGACAGATATATAATGGAAGACACGAAGAAACAGCGACTAATGTGTAATTCTTTTTTGTGGAGAGCTCACATATGCTTATGTGCATTGATAAAAGAGGCTACTAACTGCCAAGAATCATCCTGGATGGAGTCGCCATATGCTATCTTCTTTGCCTGTCACAGGCCAGAAACGTAAAGATCGTCTATGTTACAGGGCATGATATGTCATCAGTCATTACAGACTCAAATAGATCAATTGGAGATCGTCGCTCATAGTTCCCAACCAGATTTTCCTTCCTCAATCTGGTCGACAAATGGTGCAAGGGCTGCCTTGAGCTCTTCGACGGTCAGAGTATCGTCGGCCTCAAGCGAGACCATACCAGGCTCCTTTGGTGGGATGAGAACACTGTTCACTACATGGATGACACCATCAGCAGCAATGCCGTCACTGACAGCCACACGGTTGAAGCCGTTAATCTTGATCTCGATCAAGCGTCCATAGCGAGCAATATCAACACTCAAGCTCTTACCCTTTAGACCGGTTTCCAGGTCAATATGGTAGATTCCCTTTGGAATACGATGGTCTGGGAAGCTCTCAGAGTCTTCCTTGTGCTTGTAGATGGCATCGGAGTAAAGAGTGACGTCAGGTGCACCATGATACTCAATAAGTGCCTTAAGGTACTTGAGACCATGTTCGCTAAAGAGGAAGGCATTGATTCGTGGACCAAGCTTCTGGAAAGCAAAGTTGGAAGGAGCGAAGAGTGTGCCCCCATGGTGTGTCTTAGTATCGTTGAATGCTGGGAATAGACCAGTCTTGTATAGAGCAAGCTCAAGGGTGCTAAATTCACCAGGGAAGGAGGTGATGATGTCAGCGACCTTGGGAGGTGGTAGAAGGATAGAGTCGATTCCATGAATCACACCATTGGTGCCGAAAATGTTGACAGCGATGATGCGGGCGTAGAAGTTGACGGTGAGGCCTCTGAAGCTGACCTGAGTAGACAGTCTCTGTGGAGCATGAATGAACTCTGCACCTAGGGCAGTAGGGATAGTGCGGGTGACCAATACTCGCCCAGCAGGGTAGAACTCAGGTGAGACATGGTATGACAGAATATGCTTTAGCTGCTCCTTTGACGGCTTAGGTGCGTGCTTGGGGATCTTCTCGAAAGCTTGGTCAGTTGGAGCAAAGACGGTGAAGTTGGCCTTGGTGCCGTTGAGCATTTCAACCAAGTCAGGGTATTCGTTGATCAGCTTGGCGAGCCTGGTAGTGTATTTGCTCTCTGCAATCAATTGGTATACTGTCTGATTTGGTGGTCCATGGTGGGGGTGATGAGGGCCGTGATGATCGGGAGGACCGTGATGTGGGGGGCCATCGTGAGGAGGACCGTGATGAGGTGGATGGTCTTCAGGACTCTTCTTATCTTGCTTGCTAGCCAGCCATTCATCACCAGCAAAGGCGGTTCGGAACTGATTGTCGTACTTGACCGTCGTCTCGTACACAGTATCAACAACGTTTTCCACCTTATGCTTGGCACATCCTACAACCTGCTCTACACGCTCTTCAGCATCTGCCCAGATCTGGTCTGCACTAGGCAGACTATCCCATATCGATTGGGGCTTAGAATCTTGAAGCTGCAATCGTAGCGATTGAGCAGTTTCGGCATCGGGAATGACAAGGGCCGCAGCAATTGCTGCTAGAGGAAGCAGCGAAAAGGACTTCATGACTGTCGTGGTATGGACGATAACAGCTGCGAAGGAGAAGGATTCAAGTAAATAGAGAACAAGCAGGCAGCATCATTTCATTAAGAGGAGTAATCCACGTATTACTGTAGCATAACGGCAGCCGCGTATGCGGGATGGCCTTGCAAGTGATGATGCTGTTGATCCTGCTGATGACGCTTGGGAAAACCAATCAAGGCGAAGCATGAGCCACTCAGAAGAGTATGCTGCAAAGCGATCGGGGCGCCAGCGTACTCCGAGCTGGGGTCGGGAGAAAGAGCTTCCGGAATCGCTTGACCTGTTCTGGAGCTGCCAGAAACACACGGACGCGATGGAGAAGCTCGTGGTTGCACACCTCTGCTCCTCGATACTCGCTGGTGCAACTCGCAAACAAACAGCCGGGCATGCCATACACGGACGATTCTTCGTATATATAAGATTTCGCATCTCATGTCGTTGATTTTTTCGGGCACTACGTATCTATGCAGGCTCGGATCTGCAGGACCATTTGCAGGATCCGAAATTGGGCAAAGTGTCATGTCCATCAACAGCAGTTTACTGCAGCCCCGTTGTGCTATAGCTGCAGAACGTACGAATCGAGCGATGTGGGTGCAGGAAAGAGATTGAGAGTCCATCAATGCAGATGTGGTAGGCTGGAAAAACATTTGGCTTGAGCTGAGCTCGAGAAAAGCAGGACTTGGTAGTGAAAGTGTAGCTATCACGATGAGTTCGTGGAAGCGACGATGTGGTACATGTAGGCGACGCTGAGGATTGGTAATCGACGCGAAAGATACTACTTGCAAGCACACAGCACCTGCATCAGACCTGTGTCGCGCCTGCCCTTGTTATTTGCATCGTTTTTCAGTCATTAGCACAGGTACTCGCCGCATCGTTCAGACTTGCGATCCAACACCACACTACAAGCACATCTCTCCCACCGACTCTGCAATCGACGAGATCCTTTTTGGTTTATCTGTTTGGTTTTTTTTGGAACAAAGTCGGCATTAAGTACCCAAGGGTAGAGGCCGCACAGTCCAGCACTTGATTGAGGAATGCTCGAGACGACAAGAATAATCAGAGGCACGGACTCGTCCCATTGAAGATTGAAAAGTACACGCTTAGAGCTTCCTAGCCTATTGACTTGCACTGACGAGCACAGCAGTATTTGTTTACCTTTGCACTGTACCCACCACCACTGTAAACACTACCTGCCAACGCTTCTTTCCTCGCAAAATCAAACCACAACAAGTTATTGGCTCTGTTTGTCACATGTCGATATCACACGCAGCAGTCAAAGGCTTGTCACTGAGGTAGTTGCCTGACCGCCATGGAGCAGACGAGAACACCACCAGACATTTCCTCGTTGACCAAACGAGCTCCATTGACCGAGCGACAACCCCGAGCTCGACGTTCATCCAATGTCTCGAAAGCTTCAGGATCCTCCAAGTTGGGCACACCATCACGTATACCTCACCACGAGTCGATTCATCCCGAAGGCAACCTGTCCGTTGTGACTAGACCACACGTGCCATCACCTCGACCTCGCAATGACAGAATAGTTGCGATCGCCGAGGATGAGCCTAAGGCAAGCAAAAGAGATTCTCAAATCTCCACTACCTCGACTGTTTCGAGCAGTAAAGCAAAGAGAAAGACACATATTGGACCATGGCAATTAGGCCGTACTCTTGGCAAGGGTGCCACAGGTCGCGTCAGACTGGCAAAGCATGCCTTCACGGGTCAGACCGCCGCTATCAAGATTGTATCCAAGAAGTCAGCCGCTCTGGTTCAAAGTGCGAGCATGCGCAAGATGGACGATGACCTGACAAGCAATATTTCGGGTGCCAGAACAATGCCCTTTGGTATCGAGCGCGAGATCGTCATCATGAAGCTTATCGAGCATCCCAATATCACCAGCTTGTACGATATCTGGGAGAACCGTGGTGAGCTCTATCTTGTTCTTGAGTATGTCGAAGGTGGTGAGCTCTTTGACTATGTCATGCGCAATGGAGCCCTTCCCGAGGGTGAAGCTGTCCGTCTCCTGCGCCAAATGATTGCTGGCCTGGCCTATTGTCATCGCTTCAACATCTGTCATAGAGATCTCAAGCCTGAAAACATCCTTCTTGACCAGGACCACAATATCAAGATAGCCGACTTTGGAATGGCTGCGCTCCAGCCGCAAGGTCAATACCTCACTACTTCATGTGGAAGTCCTCATTATGCTGCTCCCGAGATCATCACAGGACGTCAATATCGAGGTGACCAGGCTGATATATGGAGTGTTGGCATCATCCTGTATGCCATGCTAAATGGCTTCCTACCTTTCGATGGAGGCGATTTGCATAGCACTTTAGCCTTGGTCAAGAGAGGAGAGTACTACTTGTCGCCAAATCTGAGCATCGAAGCCGCAGATTTGATTCAGCGTATCCTGCAGAAACGACCCGAAAGACGTATGACCATGAATGAGATTTGGCGGCATCCACTCCTTAAGAAGTACGAAAAGATACACGCTAGTCTGGCTGCGCCGGGCAAGTTGGCTGGTCCGCCACCACCATTGACCTCGGCCGAATGTGGTCCTCGTCGCATCAAGCCATCAGAAGTAGACCGAGAACTGCTCCGGAACTTGCAGGTACTTTGGCATGGTCTCGGGGAGGACGAGGTTGTCAGACGTCTGACCAGCGAAGAGCCAAACCACGAGAAACTCTTCTACTGGGCTTTAATCAGATTTCGTGAAGAGCAACTGGAGCATTACCTTGGTGATCCCTTACAGCATTCTGCAAGTGATTACCACCACCTGCAACAGCCTGCTCTTCCACTACCCAGGGGCGCTACAAGATCGGCCATACACCAGCGGAAGAACTCACAATTCTCCATCGTGAGCGAAGACAGTATAGTACGTGCAGCATACTACAAGGCTCCAGGAACGGCTGCCAGCAAGACAACTCAGGTCAGCTACGACCCTTACAGATCATCCAGGACACACATCGGTCACGGTCAAAAAGCAGGTACCACGATCGTTGTTCGACGACCGGGCAGCCGTGCATCAATTCAGAGAGCCACGACTTCAAGCCTGCGCAATGCTCTTCTGGATCGAGCTTCTCAGCCAGCAATGGTTCCTGACACATCGTCACTCGATGTACAAGAGTTGCAAAGACTGATTCAGCAGAAGAAGGCTACCTATGGGACGATCTCCTCGTTGAGCTCGATGGCAAGCTCTCAACGTCATCGGGTCTTCCGAAAGTCAACTAGCTATAGAAGGAGCGTGTCCTTTCGTCATCTGCACCAGCGTCAGCGGTCTAGTCACACTCCAACCACGTCCAAGCGCCATAGTCCTCAGACATCCTTTTCCAGACCTGGGACGAGAGAGTCGAATCAAACGTTCTCGGACAGTCGCAGTACACCAAGTCTACCAACTCCTAACCATGTCACTCAACCTAGGAGACCTGCCTCCGATCTTGATCTGCATAGTACGCGTGGTGTGCATATGACCTGGAGGGAAGATGCACGGCACGTCAGTGCTGAGCTGTCCAAGATTTGTGAGGAAGCATTCAATAGATCGTCTACATCATATACCAGCGACCTCAGTCACTCACAACTGGCTGTGGATTCTCCAGCTACGACTGTATCGATCCCAGAGTCTTTACTACCACAATTCAGAAAAGGTCACGCGATCATGCTGACTCCAGCACTGCGAAATTTGCTTGAACGTCGTGCTAGAATTATTGAAACTTGGGGTGCTGGCGACCCGAAGACATTAGCCGACGTTGTCGAGACATTGGACCGTCGCATAGTTGATGAGCAGCCAAGAATCGAGGCGAACGCGGAGCGACGATTTGCTTCAGATCCAAGCAATGACAAGTTCAAGGCCGGCAAAGACACGTTCTCTGCCACCAACATGGCAGGCAACTTGAAAAACGACCGCAGTGTCGGATCAAGAGCAGTATCGGATCCTGTACGGTCCCATGGAAACACGATCCGTATGGTAACGCCAGCATCGACGTCGCCCTTGGCAATGATAGCAGCACGACCTAGTAAAGCTGCACCCATAAATTCTCTGAAAGGCGGTCCGTCAGATGCCGTTCGGAATAGCTATGACAGAAGACTTCTTGCTGCTCAGTCTCTTGAGCCAATATTGGAGGATTCTGCCAAATCTCCGAAGAAACCGTCAACGATTGAGACGAAGAAGTGGTCGTGGCTTAGCAAGAAAGCATCAGCTTCCAACGAAGAGTTACCACCAACGCCACCACAAAAGGATACCCCGAAGGACAAGCAGGCACGTCCGGCCTCAAACTTGTCCACTATTTCAGCGGATGAAAGAACACAAACGACTACAATAGAAGAAACGGAAGCTAGAAAACGTACGTGGTTTCAGAAAATGTTTAAGCCTCGACGAGACCAAAAATTGTCTTTCGACAGTGATCACCAGGTCATTTCTGGCGACACAGAAGAAGGTGACGACGTCGAAGGTCTACTTACGCCTGCTCCTCAGGGAGCATATCGAAGAGGCCATCGGCATGTACCAAGCATGGAGGGTGTAGCAGTTTCTTCTGCATCGAATCGAGTCGAAGCAAGCAGTAACTGGTTCGCCAAATTCCTGTATGTCAAGCCTGCTACAAGTGTGGTCATCATGCGAACTAGCAAGGCACACGCTCGCAAGGAGATTGTCAAGATCCTGAGGGAATGGCGCAAGTTCGGGATTCGTGATGTTGCAGTTGAAAAGCGACCCAGTGGTGATATCGTTCGTGCACGTGTGGACGCTGTGAATTGTGAGTACTCGAAATTCCTGTTAGGTATAGGATCTGCTAACACCACTAGATTTGCATATTAGACCTGTACAATTTTTCGCCAGCGTATATACAGTTTTAGAGCGCGGAAAGTTGGCCAATCTTTCTATCGTGAAATTCACTCAGGAAAAGGGTGCGGCAAGCAGTTTTCGACGCGTGGTAGACACAATGGAATCAGTCCTCAAAGAGGGTGACTTGGTTCTTGCAGACACGAACAAGAAGAAGAAAATTCTGAGGAGCATGAAGCAAGCAGGACTGTAAATCTTTTGGGTATCAGATATCCTTTGATCGAATGCATCGGGAACTGATTGTGATGTACACATAGGCGGCATCTTTGTGTTTGGCATGAACATCTTGGCGGGAGCTTTTTGGGTGCAGAACGTGTTGCCTAAATATGATTTCAACTTCAGCTGGCAGCAGCATGCATATAGCGACAAAAACAATTCGTAACCATAGACGACAATGATAATGTAATGTTCGCAGATCCAGTCAACTTGAGTAGTGAAGACAAATAGCGCAGGACCTGATAATGTGGGTAACGTCATCCGACCGGCAAGACATGGCCCGATGTGTCCTTCGCCAAATAATCCCACTATAGTGTATACCGCCGTATTGCCAGCTGGGCCCCGCTCAAAATGCCATTACGTGTGAAGACATGGCCCGAGCAAGTCTTCCAGAGAGGTATATAGGTCGAGGAGTTCTCGCAGTACTGACCATGCTACCGACACATCTCTCATGCCAATTAGCCTCACTCTAACTGCTTACCCCGGACCAGAAAACGAACAACGGCACAAGTACCACAATCTCGCACCAACGTACCTTCTGACAGTGCATAACAATCACTCCCAAATCAAACCATCCGCTTCACACCTCTTCCCCTGCCTACCACCTCTCCTCCATCACCAAAAACAACAACAACATCCTCCACCTCGTCATTACAATGCCCATCTCCGGCTTCTCAACCGAACAAGACCAAGAAGTTCAAGTCTACCGTCAAATGCGAGCAAAATACCTCGCTGAGAAACACAGTCTCGAAGCCGCTGAACGTGCTGCCAAGGGATTACCGCCTAAGCAGTCGGCTGGTGAAAAGTTGAGGTGTATGTTCGCCGGGGGGCGAAAGCGGGTCAGTGTAGGTGGCCGGGTTGTGAGTGGGCGGAAGCTGGCGGAGGATAGTGATTATGAGGGGGAGGATGACATTGAGGAGAGGAAGATGAGGCTGAGGGTGGGGATGAAAGAGAGGGAGAGGGAGGGTCAGTGGTGAGGAAGTGTAGGATTATTGAGTTTGTTGGTGTTGAAGTGAGAGAGAAGTCGTAGAGCTGTCTGAGGCGGGATATTTGTCTGGTTTTCTGTGGTTCTGGGTCAGCTTGGGCTTGTTGATGATAATACTTTGAAGTGTATATACCAATTCAATTTGGCGGATCTTGCTGTTCAACGTAGCAGTTGGCCGTCAGCAAGTGCTTTGCTAGTTATTGTGTGGTTTAGAGTGTGGTGAGTAATCCCAGTGACGATAGGTCTCAGCTTTCAAGCGACCACAGCTTCTCGTCCGCAACATTGTTGGTCAAGTGTCCAAGCCAGTGACTTCTATTTCGAATGCGCACTGATACGCCCTGAGCACCAGTCCATTGACTCAGAGCAGCAATCACTGCGCTTTCATCGTCACTGGGAACTCTGACCCAAGCATCGCTGTCCTGAATCTTGAGTATATCGATCGAGATGGCTGTTCCAACAAGACCCAAATATTGGCTCAGCGCCGAGTTCAGGTAGGCTCGCAGTGTAATATCATCATAGTCCTGCACAGTGATTGATCTCACAGGATTGCGTAGATCGGTCCTTGTCACAAAGAGCTGCAGGTACGCGTAAGGTGAGTTGCGGATGGTAGATGTGACCTCCATACGTACTTGGTGATCCTTGCACAGCTGGAGGAAGTGGATATTGACGTTAGTGTCTCGCCAGAAACAGGTGCATGCAGCAACGTTCATATGCTTAGGGTAACGGACTCCAGTCACTCTGAGGGTGGCACAAAGCTTGCTCTGGAGACAAAGTAAAATGTTCAAGATGCAATGTGATATTGTGAAGCAAGCAAGCTGATCATGGAGTAGCAGAGGAAGCCAACCACGGCAATCTGTATGAGCGGAAGGAGTCCGTTTCCCGCATTTTCCGTTGCTTTTCTAAGCGGTTGCTGCCTCGCTAGATTCACCCGCCTCTACAGCACATGCCTAGACTGGACCCTACGTATGCATGGCATTCTCGTCAAATTCTTTATGCGGGCCACTTTCTCTTGGCTGTGAGATCTGTGAAGATTGCCAGATAAGGACGTTAGAAGTCGATCCAACTGATTCACCCACCACAAGAGGTGGTATGAGCACTATCGTAGTCATACTATTAATTCACGATGATTAGGAAGGAACGAAGGTTCTTGTAGGAAGCTCATTCCGAGCGATGACCCGATGCTTCCCCGTAAGTGATGATAGTGATTGAGTTTGGCTTAATGCAAAGCCCGCACCTTGAAGCTCTTCGCTGACTACTAGCGCATGCCAAGTCGACCATTTGCGCTTGAGTGCCTGAGTTCAACAGGCAAGAATTGTGTGCAATGTAGCCAAGTACTACGACGTCGAATCTAGATGATATAAGTGCCTCCGAAGGCACAGCCGATAGAGTCAATCTACGTTGTGCACAGTCCGTACACATTGCTCCATGTGCGGCGGAGTCGGATCTCCTTGGTCTCAAAGCGTCACGGCTCATTCGGCCACCACAATATAGCGCGTTGGATACCAACGGCACAGGCCCAATCGGCCTCACAACCTCCACAGGTAGAGTTTGTACTCGTCGATGGTGCCAGCTGTAGTCGGCTCGCTAGGGACTTACCGCTCTGCCGTTGCAGAGAATTCACAATAATAAACCTTCCTGGAGGGGTTGGCATTGCTTGTTTCAGTGAGCTACTGCGCGAGTCGCACGTCTGCTACCTCACTAAGATAATGCAAGATTCGACAGAGCTGCAGCGGAAGTACTCGAAGCGGAGTGTAGCCGAGCTTGCGCATGCATGATGCTTTACAGACGTGTTCACGAGCTTGACAACTTTACCTTGCAGATTACTAGTAGGTCTATAAGTCAGTAATATTCCAGGGTCTTTCACGTCATCTGCTATTTCCAACGTCAGCTGTCCACAGGTCACAAGATGGCCACTGCAGATGAGACTATTACACCTGAGTTCGTTGACGACAACGGGTCAGTGGCGGGAGACTCTGCGCTAGGCGATGATGAGATCGGATCAGACACCACATCCATCAAATCGTGGATCAAAGACTATCGAACAGAGAATGGCCGCAGATACAACGCGTTCGGTGATCAGGACTACTGGGCTCCCAACGACGACACAGCGCAAGAACACTACGATCTCGGTCACGAGTTGTTCAACAGAACTTTCAATGGCAAGCTCTGTACAGCACCAATCGAAAATCCCATGAACGTGCTCGATATCGGCACCGGGACAGGAATATGGGCTATGGACTTCGCCGAGCAACATCCCGACGCTCATGTCGTCGGCACAGATATAAGTCCCATCCAGCCAGCCTGGGTTCCACCAAACTGTGAGTTTCAAATCGACGATGCTGAACAAGACTGGACTTTTCCCGAAAATCATTTTGACTACATCCACGTCCGCACGCTCTACGGTGGCATATCTCACTGGCCTGCTTTTTACGCGCGATGTCTGAAACATCTAAAGCCAGGCGGTTACATCGAACAAGCCGAGTATGCCGCAAAGTGGACGTGTGACGACGGAACCGTATCCAAGGAATCACCGATAGGCAGGTGTGAATCTCTTTCTCACGATAGTTATGCAAAACTCAACAGACCGGAAGGAGACCTAAACATTTACGAGACCATGGCGCGGCGACTGCGCGAGGCAGGATTTGTTGATATTGTAGAGACGAAATACAAATGGCCTGTTGGAACGTGGCCAAAAGACAAAGGGATGAAGGAGTTAGGTGCATGGGTGAGAGCGTATATGGATATCGGTCTCGAAGGGTATATGATGCGCCTGCTTACAACAATGTTGGGTTGGACAGCCCAGGAAGTCTACGTATTTTGCTCGGACATGAGGGCTCAGATGAGGGATAAGAGATCTCATGCACTTTGGCCTATGCATGTTTGTGTGGCGAGGAAGCCTACTGCATGAGCCGGCAGGGGCATAACTCATTCCTGAAATAGACATAGAATGCTATCTCGTCCAGTTCAAAGAGCGTTACAGCACAGGTGCATACAATTATTGCCCTTGAATTCGATAAAAATCACATATGTAAGCCATGCACGAGATACATCATCTCGAGCCAAATTCCCTCAACTCCCAGCTTGAGTCAATTCCCTAGCAAGCTCCGCCTGCATAGCAGCATCCGGCTGGGTCTCAGACACCATATAATGCCCCTCCCACATACTCCTCGGCACAATCGCCCTACTCGTCCACAAGTTCGCCGTCTCCTTCCTCTCCAACACCTCCTTCAAATCCACCCCCACAAGCCTTCCAGCAGAGCAGATCGTAAACGTCTTCCTGTCATCAGCCGAAGTGTGGATCAATCTGTTCCCGCAGCCCCTGCAGAAATAGCCCAAGGACTTGCTACCAGAGTCTGCAGATAGAGTGACAATGCTTAGGTTGTCGAGAGTGGTCTGAGGAAGATCAAAGTGGGGAAAGATTGCACTGACGTGGAAGGCTGAGCCGGTTGTCATTTTGCATTTGTCGCAGTGGCAAACGACGTAGCTGAGGGGGAAGTCGTGGGGGGTTGGGAGGGTGATGAGGGTGCATTGGCAGCGGAGTTCCATGTTGCTTGTGGAGGGTGTTGGAGGAGATACGTAGTTTTTTTTGGTGGTAGATGAGCCTGTGTTTATGCTTCGAGTAGTGACAATATGGAAGGAAAGGCCGTCAAGGTCTCTCAATCCTCACCTCTTGAAAATACTACCTTGAGAAACGTTCGAGCATGTTCTCGTATCTTCCAAATGCCAATGCCAGTAGCCGCTAATGAAACGTGGTTAGTGGAACCTTCAGGCCTGCGTGTTTTGCAAGGATTGACCGACGTAAGAGTACAATGCACTTGCTGCTGTTTTTAGGGAAGTCTGCTGCATTTGTCTTTGTATCCTTAATGAGTAGCCCGGCTCGTGGCGATTGAGGATATGATCACTCGTAAGAAGGAGGATCAGTAGTGTGACTCAATGTCTTGGCATGATCGACCGTACCATTCAGCTCTAGGTCTGACAACCCCTTCCTTCGATGTCGACAGAGCCAGTGATAGGAGATGGCTGTAAAAGGAAAGTTGGACGTGTTGATCGATTCATAAGGCTTGCGGTCGTGACGCCTTCTCCGGCACCCCTGACAGAAACATATAGTGACATTCACATCATCCTCTAAGCTCGTGCTCTGTCAGGACGATTGCCCACATTGAGTTGATATTTTATAGAGTATTATTGTTGAGTGGTCCAAGAAGTGTTAGACTGATCATCCGTTCTATTGTAAGTGTAACATGACCACGATCATTCACGGTCATTAACTCCTCAGCTCCGCCCATATGTACGGGAATAATACCACACAAGCTTTATAAAAGATAAGAAACCCTTGCAAAGCGCTCCAACCAGTTAATGCACTCAAAACACCTTTCTCGCACATCATAACCCAAATGCTCAAGAATGCCACAGCAAAAAAGTGGTAGAATAAGACGAGAGGCTGTCGAATGATACCTGCGAGTAAGCCTACTGGTCCATCGATGCAGTTACCGCCTAGCTGGAAATACCTGAAGCAGCCCTTTTGTAGATACCTCAGCTGTGGATCGTTGGCCGCGAACAAAGAGTACAGTGCTTGCGCGAGGATGTTAATGACTGCCGTGAGGTTTTTGCGCTGCCAGTGGAAGCGACGCAGTTGGCCAAGGACAAGAGGTGTGTTATCGAGATCAGGCACAATCTGTGGATCGAGCAACGATTTGATAAGGACAACGTCATTCAACGCGACTGTCATACCACCGCCTGTTAGTGGATGTCGCATATTGAGTGCATCGCCGAGCAGTGCTAGCCCTGGTGTGCGGTTTGTGGCTGGTGGAAGGAAAGAATTGGGCATTGACCTCAGCTGGCCTTTTTCGATGGCGCTCTCGAATGCGGGTCTTACTGACGCAGGTAGTGTTGGGAGTACCATGCTGGATAGGTGTGCTTTTACACCACCTTGAGCTATCGAAGTCGTGGGCGTGTTTTCAGGGATGTCAACAAGAGCTCGTGTCTCATGGGAGCCGATTTGGTACAGCAGAAGGGGAGCATTGTCAGATAATATGACGTGACCATGATTTGGCATCGGTAGAGGGCAATCCTCGTGCTGAAGCTCGAGACCCCAAAACTTCGACTTGGACACTGGGGTGTTGCTTGAGTATAGTTTCCTGAACTTGCTATTATATCCATCGGCGACGATAGTCAAGGAGGCGAAGAAATAGTCCTTCTGGATCTTTTTCGTCAGGCTTTGGACACCTATTATTGTCGTGCTAATTTCGGATTGTGATGTGATCATGTCGGTGACTTCGGTCTCGAAGACCGTGATGTTAGGATGTGATAGCGCAGCAGCTCTTAACTTGGAGATAAATCTGCCATGGTGGAAAGATCTTCCTTCAGCTCGCATGGGTTCCTGCTGGGTTCCAGTCCGGTCGACTGCATTATTTGGGTATGGTATCTCGACCGGTTGGTTGTGATAGAAAACGCCATAGCCCTTGACGGGTATAGCATCGATGTCTTCCAGGCAATCTTGAAGGCCCAGCTTTCCGAGTGCTTCCACACCGCCAGGCTGGAGAAGTTCTCCGACGATTCTGTCTGGCTCTTTCAGCGACTTTTCGAGTAGTATCACACTCCTTCCTTGATCTGCTAGTGCTACCGAGATTGCTGATCCAAGCACACCGGCACCCACGACGACGACATCGGCGTCATGGTGTAACCTCCTTCTTTCTTCCTTTATATCGTGCGCAGATGCTATCGAGGATTCAGAAGGAGTATCAGCAATATAGGGCATGCCGTCGATTGACGTCAGAAATTAAACTGGACGAGTGGTAGTGTGGCTAACGGTTCGCGATTGTGGTATAACGACTCTCAAGAACATGAACAGCTTTATGACAACTCGATAAGTCTTGTACACTTGAGAGGAAACACGGAGAGTTGACGTTATCGCGTGGTGCGATTGAATTTACAAGCGACAACATCTGCTGTGCTCTTCGATCTCGAATGTATGGTGGAGGAAATGGCATGATCTTTTTAGTGCCGATTTATTTTGTTAGTTCAAATTGCAGAGATCACGCCTATCGGCAAGCTAAGTTCCCTCCAGGGGTCCTTGCACTAATGGGTTGGTTCGTATGCATAACCGTACGCCTTCCTTCACTCAAGGACGCCATCTGGACACTGCAGGGACACGCCAGTGAGGCGCCGAAATTTGCCTCTTCATTCATAAGCACACTTGCACGAGTATTTTGTGCAGGGAAGCCTTGTGATGGTTGCATGAACGACACCGATGTGCGTGACAGCTCATCATTTCCACATTTTGACAGTTCTATCTAACCTTATCCCCCAACTCAATCGCTGGCTCAAACCTATGTTGCCCTCTGCTGTTTTGACAGTCTCTAATGGAGACATCACTATTTATTCGTACAGTAAGAACAGCCCGCCAATAGCAGACCCACCCAACCTCCGAAGGATGCTTGGTTGACCCTTCTCAGTCTCCTTCGCTTTTCGAACTTAATTGACCTTCGTGTAAAAAAACGTAGATGCCATGTTCCGCAACGCCATGCCATGGTCTGTTCTTACAAACACCCGCTTCAAGATAGAGCTTTCTCTGAACTCTTGTAGTCTTGGACAAAAAGCCAAGCATGATCATCTGACCGATACGTTATGCGGTTGTCAACGCTTCGCAACATATTCAGGCCTGGATGTCGCTCCCAACAATGCCCTCGTCACTGAAAGCCTGCTTGTTGATTGGGTTGCTTGCGTGCCTTCATGTACACTGTGACCTGGGGTAACCATAGATAGCAAGACTGCTACTCGTCATCGCCACATGGTCATTTGCACTTCAACCACCTTTACGAAGCGACTCGTCTGCTGGAGGAATTTCTGCACCGGCTTGAACGGCCAGTCTGTCATGCTCCTCGATTCTCTGGCCCTTCTTTTTGTTGTGCTTCCTCTTCGTCTTCTGAGTTTGCCACTCCCGAGACAGACTTGACGGTGATACCATCAATGGCTGACTCCCGTTGGCAAAGGGTGTGAGCGGGTGGTCGGAGGTTCCAGCAGGTGCTGCATGCTGATGACGTTTAATGCCGTTGGAGAGTACGCCATTGTTTATAGTAGCAGCCGTTAATGCATTTGTCAGCTGTCGAATATTGCGTTCTTCCACCACTGTGCCCAACACAGCTGCAGGGTCCGAATCGTCGTATGTAAGTGGATCTTGGAATCTTGTGCTTGTACCATTTAGAGAGAGGAAATCTTGCTCATGCAAGAGTTCTCCGTTGAGATGCTTCGCTCGTCCGTCGTTAGCAACTGTAGACCTCCTGCTTCCATTGTTTGATGCGTCATCCGAAGATGACGGCGTATCAAGAGCAGCATCTTCGGACGTGGTTACACTGATATCAAACTCTTCAGAAGAGCTTCGAGCTGGTCGTGCCATATTCTGCCGTCGCGGCGGAGAGTTGATGGAGCCATCCACGACTAAGGGACCGCGTTGAGAAGGTGATGCATTGACCTCAACGCTGTGAAGAGAAGAGATGTTCTCTGTTACTGGCGTCAAGACCTTCGCCCCGCTCGCTAGGGAAGCATAATGTGAGGTAGGTGACGTGGAAACACTTGGTAACCGCGAAGAACGTGTAGATATACGAGGTGACAACCCGCCGTGGTGTATGGCAAGTCCCGCGGCCGAGGGGAGAGGGGACACTGTGGCGCTGCTCAGGTGCGCGGAGAGAGAGGGTGACTGACCAACGTAGTACCCAACGTACTCTACTGCTGGTCTACCTGCATCATAGCGTGTACCAAGGGACATCAGCTGTTGCGGCAGTAAACCAGTCATGGGATCCTGCATCATGGAAGCTGCAGATGATCGGCGAGATGCTGCCAGGTCCACTTGACGAACAGGGACCTCGAACCGCTGCGTCATGTAAGGTAGGCCTGTCGAAGACAGTCCTCGAGCAGGTTGTGATTGAGCACGTAAACTGCTTGCCGCAGCGTTGTTGATGGACGCCCTCCGTGCATATCTCCGCGAGTCAGGTATCGCCGTCGCCAGTAAAGGCGAGGCTGGGTTCGTGACGATGCCGGAAGTCATGACACCATTGTTCATACTGGCTGGAACAGGGTTGAAGCGGGCTTGGTATAGTGGGGCTGTGAGAGGCATTCGAGAGCTCACGTTCGTCCTAGCAGAGAGTAATCCGGTGTCTCCTTCCTCTCCAGCATCACTGCTTGCCAAACCTGAATTTGAGAGTCCACCTGTCGCCACCAAACCACGATGTCTGTGTAGTTGCAAACGTAGTTCTTGCTCTTGCATTTGGAGATACTGATATTGTTGAAAAAGTTGATCATGCAAAAGATGCTGCTGGTGCTGTTGCTGCGCGTGCAGCTCTTGCGGCGTCATCGGGAACGGAAGATCGCGAAGGTGTGTATTTGTTCGGTTCGGAGGATTAGACGCTCTCCTGCCAGCATTGGCTTGTCGATCGCCACGCTTGCTCTTTACATGATTGCTCCTGCTCTGCCTTGGCAAGTGTTGTTGTGGTTGGGGTGGAGGCTGTGGAATGATCGCTTTGGTGGTAGGCTGGACAAATGTTTCCGCACGACGAGGCGGTATCTCAGTTTGAGGTTGCTCGTATTGCTCACAACATTTCTCCAGATTGCCAGACGCTATCATGTCGCATGCTCTTCGTAATTCCAGATGTATACCACGAACAGATGTGTCATCTGCGGTATTGCCAAGATTGCGACTGATGTTGAAAGGTTCTTCTACGCACAACCTGTTATCCTGTAGAAGGTGCCACGCTTTCTGTGATTTGGGAATAACTTTGCCCAGCCTGACAGATACTACGCTCTTTTCCAAGTCAAGCTCGTGGCTGTAATAGTGGAAAAATTGAAATAGTAGGTCGCCAAGGCTGGAAGTGTTGGCCTTCCCGAAGTCATGGTATTTGGACAAATCCTTGTCGAAAGCGACATTGATACCGTTCAGCAAACATGGCTCAAGGTTTGGACTTGCTTGTAGGGACGGCAGAATTGGAGGTTGACGAGTTTGGAGGAAGTTCAAAACCAGACATATCCATGTGTATGAGCTTAGTGTTCCACCAAGTGCTTTGAAATGGTTAGTAAAGACAAGAAACTTGGTATCATAGGTTACTAACCTGCATCATTCAAGATTCGACGCTTTGCCCAGTACTTGACGATCATTGCCAGCGGGCGGAATCTGTCATCAATGGCAACATAGGAGCGAATCAGTGCAGTGTTCTCCAGAGCGATGGGGTTGTTGACGTTCATGTCGCAGGCGACTTGTAATTCTGGATCCCACACCTTTACAATGGGCACTTTTGCACTTGATACACACACGACTCTTTCCATACCATTCCTTGCCAACAAATCAGCTATCGAGCAGACGTGCTCGATATCTTTGCAATCTGTAGAAATGCATATGTCAACATCAGAGCCGGCTGTACCCAGGAGGTTACCAGTTGATCCAAAGACGTTGACTGTGATCTGTTGTCCAGGCCAACGAGCTCCGAACAAGGCCTCTAATTTCTGCACAAGTGCTTGGCGTCTGCTTTCGCTCTCTTGCATGGGCAGTAGTCTTTCGTAGAGACGAGTCATATCTTGCCTTAACCGAAACTCTTCTTTAGGGCTCAGTCTTTTCGCTGCTCCTATCGGATCGGCCTCGAGTTTTTCGGGTCCCAGGGTGTAGGGAACTCTTCGTCGCGCCTGTTTCATGCCTGTCTCGTACTTACATACCATGCCACGCTTGTGAACAGGGGATTTTCGGCCGACAGTACTTCTCAATGAATGTGGTGATCCTGCTCTTTCTGTTCTCAATGCATGAGGGGATACTCGCCGCCCAGGAGGAGAGCCGGGCCGTTGCGAAGGTGTTGACGGAAGTGATCGAGATTTTATTGAGGCAGGCGAAAGTTTTGGGACTTGGGTCTCGGCCATGTTGACTTCGGGTTGTCCGCCTACTAACGTCTCCTTCTGCACGAATTTCGAAGTTCCTGCTTCTATAACGAATGCCACATCTTTTGTTTGAACCTCACCAGACATGTGGTGGCCACGTATAATGGTTGAGAAGGCTCAACCGTTCCAAATTAACACAGATAGTCACAGATCAATCTGTCCAGGGGCTGTCAAAGGGAGATCTGCTTGTGAAGTTTCTATGACACGAATACCGAGACACCTGTGAACGCTATCACGGGATGAGTTGCTGCTCAGAAGCGAGATCAGGGCGAAGCAGCAAACAAGCGTCGAACGTTATACTGTTGGCAATCGAGCAACTCCGGTACAATTCGGTTTTGACGGCGACCCGGTGTCTTCAGCACACGTGGCACTGACGGATGTGTCTTCAGCAAAAGCCCAGCTTTCGTTGTAGGTTTCCCCAGACTTCGTGATGGATGTGTCCAGTATCTGCTTGTCGTACTCGATGCCTGGAGAGAGCGCTCAACCAGCTGACTCTACTCAAGGTGACGTCAAACAAGGGTCGCAGGCTGGATGTTGACTTGTTCTCAGTGTAGGTATGCAAAATATGGTGACTTGACTTTGAGTACCTTGATCGCAGATTCTAAGGGTTCGCGTAGGGGAGGCGAATCTGATGTTGCTTCGGAAGGCCGAACTTGTGTCCTTTGGAAGCAAAAGGCTTATGAACTGGACATTGTGCTAACAAAGAAGGTCAACGGAGCAGAGAACAAGAGTGAGATCCGAAGAACTGACAACGATCCCAAAAACTGCGGGTTAGTGAGGGTTTCCTGATTCAAGGGCTGTAAAAGCCCTACGGCAGCCACGGGCACCTGCACCTGCGGAGGCTGATTAGCGTTAACCGCTGCCAGTGTTAGTCACGTTTTGAGCAGCCAAGCACTCCGTAATCCAGGGCACGTTGAGCCCGCGTTGGTTGATCGGAGTCATGCACGCTCTTTAATTACGTCGGCTGCACAACTCAGATTCCTCTGCGCGGTTTGCAACCATTGGGAGGACGCCTTTGCTGTCCACCACGTGCGTGTGTGTACATTTTGACTCTGTGAACACAGCAGCCTACAAATATGCATTACAAGTACAGGTCTTGAGTCCATTTATCTTCACGACCATCGCAGTCACTCAAAAAGACCATCTCTAACCAGCAACCACTTTCAGGTGATACGGAGTGTAAGCAAGCTGATGGAATTGATTCAAGGGATGCTTAATCAGTATCGTTATCTGCTTGAAAATGATCACAGCCTGAGTCCGGAGTGGACAGACCACCGAATTCCTGCAACGAGCAACTTGAAGCTCGTTCGAGTTATTCGCAAGATGGAAGACTTTCTAGCCGCAACAGCTGATGTACTCCTCGGACGGTCTGTGGCAGATCGATTCCATGCTGATACTAACTCTCAGGTTCTCAATTGTTGAGACTGTGGGTCTGTGTTCCAGATATCTGTGCTACGCCGCCTATGATTCTCAGAGCTTTGTTCACAGTCGGCTCAGGTCAGTTTGGCTTTATAGAAGAAGCGTTACAGCTCAACATCGAGCCTTGGAATGGACGATGAACCACGAGTGCTTACCTCAGTCTGCTACCCTCAAATGTCTGGACCATGGCTGCAATGGTATGCCAACTAGCATACACAAGTGAAGGCGTGGTGATTGCTGTACGAACGCTTTTATAGTGACTCTCTCATCCCGATGCAATGGCCTACCTGTAACATCGTCCTGTGACGTTGCAGAGGTATTGACCCTGGCTCTTTGCTCATCCGGCTGGTGCGCACAACGACCCAGATGACATCTTCAAGAGCTGAGCCAAGCTGAGGTTTTGAGGTCGACCACAACCCGAGTCGTCATACTGAATCAGTCTGCAGTAGTAGTAGTAGTAGTAGTAGCGTATTCGTGCTCACTTCACATTCGGGATGCTGATGGAAAGCTTCGAGGGTTTACATCCACGGGTATTGTAGACAGGATCCACACAGCCCACTCCTACGATTTACTTACCTCGATACAACTCAGGGTGTTCTATGAGGTTAGTCAACAACAACAGCAGCAACAATGCGTCTATGGAAATTGAAAGGTTACATCTGGGTGGTGCCTTGACGTTGCTCAGTCCTGGCTTCCGTGCCTCAGGCGACAAGAGTGCTGCCTCGACGCGCTACTGCTACTCCGTAGCATAATTTGATTTCTTGCGGCTTGTTGCGATTGAATCTTCTTCTCCATTGGCCCTGACAAGCCTGTGCAAGTGTATGGTTGACTGGAGCCCAATTTGTGGCCGTGGCTCATTCAATCAATGCACGTTGGACGACTCGAATTCGCGACAACTGTATCTTCGGTTCCCAGACTGGAAGCTCTCTTTGCAATCCGACTTGACTTGCAGTCTAAAGAGTTAGACACAATATGCACCTACCGAATCATGGACATGCGCTTCAGAAGCTGCGATGGAGGTTCTGAAGATCTTCATTTCCCGGGGCCACTGCACGCGCCTTGACAGTGTTTCTAACCATAACGACACTAGCAATCTCAAGCAATTCCTTTCTTCATACGCTTTGGCGACTCACGGTCTCTTTCCTAACTCCTTGTACTAACATGAGGTTAGCGTGACGCCAAGTTTGTTCTCTCGTGCTCGCTACCGTCAGGCAGTACCGTCTGCGTTCTCTCTGGTGGCAGTGATTCTGTCGTTCCTTTCCATCTCGGCTTCCTTCTTTGATTCACATCGTTGTCACCAGCTTGGCAACTACTGCCAACGGGGTGTTGTAGTACCTCTTTCAGACCAATTTACTGGCACCCATCGCATATTTCGACATTCCTTCTCCGGTGAGTCCTGAAACATGGCAACGGATCGTCTCGAAGCCTCCGAAGTTGACACGCAAAATGCGTCGGAGAAATTGCCACGAACTGATCCCCTCAAACGATCTGTTGGAAATTTTGCCTCGACCTCCCCACTACTACTGCATACCCGTCCCTCTCCGCTTTGGCACACAAGAAATGCCATCTCGCACGCTTCTTTCATCCAGTGACCACTCTCCTGCGACCGCTCTACCGGCTCAAGACTAACACTTCTTCCGCAGGCATCTGCGTCGCGTCTTCAGCCCATCATTGAAGATTCCTTTGACTCGGAAGGCGATAAATCACAGCAAGAGATATGTCTTTCTACGAGCCACAGAGCTGGCAGGCACCTGTCCGGCAAGCATCATGGGAACAGCCACCTCCACCATCCCGTTCTGGCACTAGTTCGACATCGCAACGAGACGACATGAATGCATTCGCTATTCAATTCGAAGGTATAAGCCGCACTCTTTATATGCTACAATAGTTTTTGACAGTGGACAGAGGTTGACAGAGCTGTGGACAATCTAGTCAAAAGTGGGAAATTCTTCGCTGGTGGACCCCGTCCGGGACAACCAGCAATGTATAGTCCGCGTGGTGTGTACCTACGGCTGGCTGCGAAGGCACAAGCTAATGTATGCGACAGGACGTATGGGTTCAGGACGTCAAGGCCCAGGCGCGCATTCGTCTCCTTCACGTTCCGGCTCTAATCCGCAAAACTTTTATGCCTCGCAACGCTACGGAGGTCGACCGAACGATGCTGACCAGATGCTACAAGCTAAACGGCGAATGGCTGCTCAGAGGGAAAGAGAACTTCGTAATTACCATCAAGAGCAGCAATACAACAGAAGTGCGTCTACAACGGCCGCAACAGTGGAGCAATAGCTAATATCCCCAGGCCTTCTCGCGGAGATGGCATCCAATAAATCCGACAGATCGATGAGTCCCAGCACTTTGAGCGAAGAAGGACGAAGAGAACTGATTGCGCGACAACATCGTGCTTTGTATGGATCTGAAGGGTCTGGCTTCGTCCCTCAAGGTGCTTACGGCCAAGAAGCAGGAGCAATTGAGCAGAGCAACCAATCTCATGCAGCAGCGCAAGGCATGCGAGGCCCTTCACCACGTGGCTTGGATGCATTCGGAATACCTGGACAGCACGAGAGTACTCAACATGGTCAACAACACGCAGCTGATGCCAAGACAACTTCGCCTACTTCTCACCAACAAGGAAAAGCACCAACGCCACCTAGCGAAGAGTCTGCACATCAACGAGCTATCTCAAAATCGAGTACTGCGCCTATTCAAGGCAACATGGGGCCTATCGGCAGCAGCAGGCCTAACATGCAGCAAGCCCCTGCACAGAATCTGAACAAGAGAACGACTTCACCTTTACCTTCGGGTTTGAGCTACGGCAACTTTGGAGTCCACGAAGCCACACATGAAAGGTCAACGTCGCAGGCGAATCCTGGTCAGAAAGAATCCACAACTCCTGCAATGGGTGCTTGGGGGACAGGAAGTGGCGTTTGGGGCAACAAAATTGGCGCCTCAGTCTGGAACTAAACGACCTATTGTCTAAATTGTTGCTGTGCCTTCAGAAGGCTCACACTCGGCATTCGTGTGTACGCCTGTTCTCATGATCGTGTGGATCAGCATTAATGTTCACCACGGTGTCTAGGCTGATGCGAGAGCGGAGTGTTATAAGGGGTTTCGGTGCTCAACAGAAAGAGGTGGCTTTCAGGGTGATCTCTGGTTTTGTGTATATAATGAGGTCGGACACGTGTCGGAGTTTCAGCAAGAGCATGTGGGAGGTCCGGTTCGTATGTCGACGCATTTGGACGTGCATGCGTTTCTCCCGGTTGGCTTGGGATTTTGGTCGTGTTTGTACGGTGGTCGTTTGCCACAGCTTGGAACGTCATTGTGTTTTGCTTGTTGTCAGGTTCATGGTGCGGTGGGTTCTGAAGTCTTGCATAGCGTGCGAGGAATGGTTTGCTCTCTTGGAAGGCAGAAGTGGCTGGTCTTTTGAGGTTTGTTTTCTTGTTGAATTCCGGGTCGAGGTTATCTACTGGGGGAGGTCGTTCTAGAAGAGTCATGCTTATAGCGAATAAATACGCGTCTCATCATCATTGCAGTTTCACATGTTCGCAGCATATTGTACATACACACAGCAGCTTTGTGATCTCCGCTGAAGCATCAAACACTTTAAAGCGCCTCCGGTCTGAAACTAACACAACACGAGTGAACTTCAGTTTCACGAAATCGACTCGAATGGCATAATGATAAAACTAAATTGTCTTTAGGTATCTGGAGCATTTAACTCGTCAAATAGGGGGGTGTCTGCGCCTCGAGCAGTCTTTTAACAAAACACAGGCCATCATCGAGCCTCGTATTGGCCCCCCGATATCCAAATCGTAACGGTCGTTAGAATTCGTACCTTACTGTATCCCGGCATCTAGTGGATGTTCGTTCTGACAAAATGCTCCGGTCCATACAACGCAATGCTATGCTTTCATCGTAGGAAAGACGCTCATCAGTCAGTATCCTTCCTCGCCGGCTCGACAGACTTTGATTTCTCTGCCCCATTCGGACTTGAGGATTTGAGAGGCTGTGATACGGCGTTCTGGTTTAGGGTCGAGGATCGAGTAGATGACGTTTCTGCAGCGTGACTGTTTTGCGTCAGTATTTGTTCTGGTAAGGGAGATGAAGCGGTAACATACCCTGTGAAGCGACTCTATCGGCGCGTATCCGTTCTCATCTCTGCGTCCTTCTAGATATCGCTCGTAGAATTCGTCCTCGTCCCGTTTGGCGACACGCCAGAGATGTCGACCGGTTCTCATGGCCATGTAGATGACACCACAAGCCCAGACGTCGACGGCACGAGGATCAAATTCGCCGCCTTCGTATTCCTCTGGTGCGATGTACGGAGCACTTCCGCACAAGCCGGCGGTCATGTGGGCTTCGGTCTCCCAGGCCATTCGGAAGCATTCTCCGTTGCCAAAATCTGTGATCTTGAGACAGCCATGGGTGGTGAGAAGCAAGTTTTCCGGCTTCAGGTCGCGGTGAGCAACACCCATTTCGTGCATGTACTCTACGCCTCGCATCAGTTGCTTGAAGTAACAGTCTGCTTCAGCGACTTGCAATTGGCCTGCCGCTAGAACTAGAGTGTACAGATCGCCTCCAGCACAGTACTCCATGACTTCGCAGTAGTCTCCTTTGGCGTCCTGAAGAAGGTCGAGGGTGTGGATTACGTTGGGATGTCGAAGAGAGGACGATATGCAGAATTCGGAGGTCAATCTCTTCTGATAGATTTTTGACGTCTCCTGAGGTCTTTTCCTAAATTCCTTGACAGCATATAGTAGTTCTCTGTCCGGCTTCTCTGGGTCTTGCTTGTGTGAGATTCTGACAATGCCGAAAGCACCACGACCAACGATCTCTTGACATTTGCCATATTTCTCGACCAGATTGGCAGTATTGTTTGGACCACCTCGTTGATCCTTGGCTAGAAAATCTTTCTCTGAGCGCAGTTGATCAACCCAGTTGGACATTAGCGACAACTGTTCACCTTCTTCGTTCTTCTTCCTGCCGACGAGCATGTCTTTCAACATGCCCGAGAGTTTCTCTTGTCTCTTGACGGATTTCAGGAAATGTGCATGGGTACCATCGTCATATGGTTCGAAACGCGTGGATTTGCCATGGTTCGGATCCGACATGGTGTCAATTCTCGTCTTCTCTTTCGCTGCCCCCATGATGGTCAACTTGCGCTCCGGGGTCTTGCGAGAACCTGAGCGTTGTACAGTAGCCGCATCAGAGACTGCTGGTTCCGGAGAAGCACTACGGGTGTTCTCGCCAGGAGTCTTCTTTTCCACCTCTGCCTTTGCGAGATCGATGTGGCCCTGGTCGGTCCTCGAGAACATGCGAGTCAGTCGGGACGTCATAGTTGGCTTTTTCGGGTGTATAGAGGGCCTGTCCGTGGTGACACCAGGTGGCGCCTGGGCTGTAGTACCGTTGACTGACAGGGCCGCAGTGCCCGGCACCACAGATGCTATGGGGTCTTCATTGGTACGATGTAACGGGGTTTTAGGCACGGATGTGTAAGAAGACGCATGAGAAGCAGAGGGTCTGGGTGAATTCATGTGAGTGGCCGCAGGTGGATGCGGGAATCGTGGTTGTAGAGTGCCTCAGATAAGCAGGGCCAGGATATGTGGTATAAGATAAGGAGGCTTCGGATTCGTTTCAGAACGTCGGGATGATGGGATGACGTCGGCGGTGCAGGAAGCCTCTTTAATTGTCCCTCCTAAGAAAAATCGAAGTCGACCGTGGTGTAAATCGCCAGAACGAAGTTGTGCGTAAATTTCGGGAAATGTGTTGGTGATAAAGGATGGCTGAGTGCGACCGACACACTGCTGGTCGATCCGACGTGGCTGTGACGAAGACAAGACACAGAATTCAAAGTCGAAACTTGACCTGCACTTTAATCAGAACACGCAATGTGCCAAGAGCAGGAAATTTAGAGGCTGCAGGTGACAGGGCGATTGTTTTTAGTCGAAGATGACCCTGAAGTGCAGCGGTGATTTGCAACAGCCCGCGAAACTAATGTGGCTGGCCTGTCGGTGGGCTTTGCCTGTTGTCTGCTGACCAATGCACAATAACGCGCTGATGCGTTTGACCAATTGATCGATGGATGAAAGTTGATCCGAGTTCACTTCACCTCTTAAGAGCCACGAGGAGACCTTTGTGTACAATTAAAGATGGCCGAATTCGAGAGAAAAGGATGGCTGTGCTCTTTGTCCCACGTCTGTCCACTGCTCAACGTCGACAAAATTAGTGAATGCTTGTAAGAAAGAAGATTTTTGCAGCTTATCCTTGAGAGCTTGCTTTTACTGTGTGGTCACGACCCCCAGAAGCTTCAATTTCCCTGGGGTAGAGCCTTGTTTTGGTGTAGCGTAAGCGGGCATACCTTTGATCTCCAAATTTACTGTTCTGACTTATATCCTTCCACCCCTGGTGACCTACGTTGTCGCTATACTCTATTCTGCTGGCAGACACACGAAACCTCGGACGTTATGCGGAACCTTTGTGACAGACAACAAGGCGAGAATCGGGTGCTGACTACCGTGATGGACAACCGGTTAGTACGGTCGGATATCCTCAATTTCGGCAAATTTGCTGCACCATGCACTCAGATGCTATCGTTGAAGAACGCTGGGTCGGGAAACTCGTGCTAAAAACGATTGCAATTGCGTGGCACCATAACCCTCTGTCAAGCTTGATCGAAGATCTGATTTTCGAGATTTCGCGACTACTGAACAGGTTTTCTGTATCTCAAGAAGTGACCCCCTTTCCCTCACCGCCAGAAGACCAATTTTACATCTTCAACACACTACTTCAAATCACTGCCAGTCGTTCAGTAACGTGCTGCTTCTGACCAGGCTCGATCAGTATGTATAGCATATAAATTGCAGATGAATGCATGTGAAATGCTCGTTGCATCCTGGTTTTCTTGCTGTTCGCAACATGCACTTTGGTTTAGACAGCAGTTGTGTTTGTCCACCCATCATGCATGTTTCTGGCTTGCTTTGAGGGGAGGCCCCGCGTCGTACTCTGCTGTACCGCCATTATAGGCATGCTAAGATATAGTACAGCACACTGCATGGTCTTTGACCGCCAATACCGAGGCTGTATGGTTTCAAGATCAACACAGTTTCGCGAGAGCTGTTGGAGTACATCAGTAGCTCACTTTGCGACTGCATCAACATGGCACTCTGTCTTCCAACCTGCAGTACAATGCGGCCCCAAGTTCTGCGTGCTTTCACAGCACTATATGCTGTGATTGCCAAGTGGCTCGATATGTTAATGCTGGCAATGTGCAGCGACCTCTATTTTTATACTGTCGCTTACTAAAGTAGCCAATTCTCCTCATCCCCATCAAGATCGCGAGATCACGACTACCTCACCATTGGTGCCAACAAGGTTGCTGCATGCGTGACCACTGAAGCGTCCGAATTACCTCATTGCAGGATAGAATCACGATGCATGAGCAACAGATAATGGACTGCAGCGAGGGGCAGCTTTGAGCGATCGAGATCCGCCCCGCCGCAACTCATGGTCGGAGCATCAATCAGAAAGTTTATTGCAATGACCTGTTCGCCAGGTGTTGCACGTGCCGCTGCAAGCACGCAATGTGTCGGGATATAGAAGTACTAACGAGCTGCAGCTGCTTGCGAAGCGACCTTGTGTTACTCAGGCAGAATCTGCACTTCATGTCTGAACTCGACTGCCATCTGAGCTGAGATTATGTTCAACACTTACTGGATAAGAGCTCAGCGACACATGTGAAAATTCTTGGTATCAAATGCATGGCCACCGTTGATGTTTCAGTGTGGTGTACTACTCCAGTCCTCTCTGTCAGGTGTCGGCCACAAAATAAGGTGAGGTATGGAAGCCATAATATAGTATCTTTGGATGATAGACTAGACGTAGCAATAACACGTTGTTCGAAGAGACTGTACTTCACCGTTGTGCAATTTGGTGGTACAGTGTAACAAACTCTCTTCCTAACGGGCTAACCTCGCTTGAAACAGGATACAAGCAGAGTTGGAGCAGATTGAAAAGATTCGAGGTCACGGTACAGTCTCACGAGAATCTATATCACACGATTTATGATGAATGAAAGGTGTGCTTCTATATTTGACAACCACGAGCAGACTGATGCTCTCGGAGTTAGAATATTCCGTCGCGACGTCATATGTGGTTAACGTGGCTTAGCCCGCTGATCGCCGATGTACTTAGTAGAGGCAGCCTTAAACGATTGTATGGCGCGTTGGAGGTACACACCAAGTGACCATTACTGCCAAACGATCTGGCATATTCAGCGACACTGTCAACATCCAAGTCTCGTCCAGTAGACCTATCCTCACAACTGGTCGACGTATCACGAACTAGACCCGAGCGCGACCCTTTCCAACAGCCGCCATAATGTCGTGGGCAGGCTTTAAAAAGAATGTCAACCGGGCGACGACCCAGGTGATGATGAAGACAGGTGGGTCGAGGCCAGCAGGTGTTGCTACACGGCTGCTTACTTCGGCTAGGGCATGTCGAAAGGACAAATGATCGTGATTACGAGGTAGAAGAGAGGTACGCGAAGCACTGGCAAGACCGCAAGTCCCGATGCTAACGACTTCGCGTAGACGGTACCGCACAATGGAGGCTGCGGCAACGAGGTTGCAAAAAGAAGCAAAGGGATATCTCGACAGTCTTAGAGGTGTGCCTGGTCATAACATCCACCTGGATTGAACTAACAATCGCAGCCATGACCGCCTCACAGATGCGCATAGCCGAAACCATCGACGCATTCTATGGAGATGCTGGAACACGCGACGGTGTATCTAGGTCATACAAACAAGCAGTAGAGGATCTTGATGCGGAAACAATAAAAGCCCTAGATGGCCCATATCGAACGACGGTCCTCGACCCTATCTCCCGATTCTGCGCTTACTTCCCTGATATCAATGAATGCATAAAAAAGCGCAACAACAAACTGCTGGATTACGATGCGATGCGCGCCAAAGTCAAGCGACTGGTCGAGAAGCCCGACAAGGACGTCACAAAACTGCCCAGAGCCGAGAAAGAGGCAGAAATGGCCAAGCAGGCTTATGAGCAGTTGAACGAGCAGCTCTTTACCGAATTACCACAATTAATCGACTTGAGGGTACCATATCTGGACCCATCATTTGAAGCGCTTGTAAAGATTCAGCTGAGGTTTTGCGCGGAAGCATATAGCAGGATGGCTCAGGTGCAGCAGTATTTGGACGCCGACACGAGAGACCAGTATGCTAGGGGAGACTTGGACAACAGAGTCGAGCAAGTGTTGGCCGAAATTCGAGACTTGACAATCGCTGGCACCGTTTAGAGGGCGAAGGATCAGCAAGCATGATATTCTTAGAGCTAGACTCGATGCCCATGGCGGTGTTGCTTGACGACTTTCACCTCATGAACTAGAAACGTTGACATGTTGCATGACGATGGTGTAGGGGATCACAGGATCGCATGAGCAGACACTGATGAGTGAGCTTCACAGATTTGACGAAGCAAGATATGTATAGATGTTTATGCCAGCTTTCGAATCAAGCAATTGTAACTCCAAGACAAAAAGCTACTTTTGTGAACAGAGTCAAGAGTTTAGTCAAAGTTCTGCATTGACTGACAACTATTCTAACCATTGTACCCCTGCCATGCAAACAATCAATGTAAAGGTTCTGTTTATAGCGCAACCAGCGCTCTAGATATTCTAACATCTTCCTCCTTATGGTCACAAATACCTTCACATAACACCTTTCCCAGATTGATTGTCCTCAACTTCCATTTCGTGTGGTCCGCCCTGACCCACCAATCCCAGTGTCCAGTCCCTTCCATCACACCAAGCACTGCATAGCCGAACACATTCAGTCCAAGCTTATAGTCCTTCTTGCGAACTTCTGCGTATTGGTAGGTTGCTCAGAACACGCTGTGCTCCTGTCATCAAACATTTCCTCCTCCTCCTCTTCCGTACTTCTCTCGTCAAACAATTCTTCCTCCCCTGGCACGTAAGCCAAATCTTCTGCGCTGATCTCATCTGGATAGTATCCAGGTTCGCAATCGAGTCCTTTACGGCGTGAGTATGTCCATCGCTTTCCTCGAAACAATGGGTCGGAAGCCCGAGAGTAACTGAATTTGCGAACGCGTTGAGAGTATGACTGCGTTTTAGGTGGTGCTGAGGTTGCACTCAGTTGCGTGTTGGTGTCCTCCTCGGCATCCCTCGCTTTCGCATATATCTTATTGTCTTTGTCAGAGCGTGGTCGACGTGGTGCAGCCTTCGACATTTCCTCTATACTTTGCTCATTGTCACTTTCAATAGTCGGCTCAGTTTCAAAAGGTTCGCCCAAGCTCCACTCCCAGTCCCGAAGTCCGATGTTTCTCTTGAGCCTCCATGCTATGACCTGGCTTCGCCATTCACGTTTTGATTCCTTCATATCTTGTTTGTACTTTTCACTCGCCTCCAGATGTTTGACCATAGCATTACTGGGAAGCAGCATCTGGTATGTTGAGAAATAGAACCGTGGCCTTCCGTTTTCCAGTATTGGGTTTTCTGGCTGATTGTCTTCCACTCGAGCATGCGCTCGTCTCGCTTCTTCAATTTCAACGCTCCATTTTTGAAGCTCGGGATGCGTGGCTGATGTGCTTATTTCTTGATGGTGGATGACTTTGACTGACATTTCCGGACTTGCTCTCAATTTTGCTGGCCGTCGCAGTTGGGATGCTCCTTGGTATTTTGGTGATTGTTGGATACCGTTTGTGAGGCGCTTCCGCTTGTGGTTGTCAGGATTGGCTGTAATAATTGGCTGCATATCTTTGCTCAGAACGTAGGTCTGATTTTGTAAGTCAGGCTTGCCTAGAGGCAATTGAGGTATCATATTGCGAGGAGATATCATCCTTTCGAATAGCAGTGTTGGAGTAGTTGTAGTGGAAGCCATCTCGATTATACCGGAAATGAAAGGCATCTTAGTATCACTTCTCGATCTCGAAGATGTTGTGCTCGGGTCACGATCGTTACAATCACTTAGTGAATTCGATTGTGTTTGGCTTTATCTCGGTCACTGATAGTCGAATCACAGTTTTGTTCGCTTTGCATGCACAGAGAAAGAAGGGACAATGCAGAAGTTCGAGCAGAGCTTTATGGCATAATCAATGAGCATGTTGTTAGCTTTTGCTTCCGTGAATAATGTTGCCTGGTACCCAGACATCCTCCTCGTCCGCCATTACTCGATTGTCTGCTGTGCTAAACAGACCGGACTCTCGTCGAGCATGTTTAGCGAACCATGTGCGCTCTTTGCTAGTTATTTCTGAGATCGAATTGTGCTCACCGTAAGGTCCTCCAGGAGAACTATGGCTGTCTGTATGCTCGCCAGTCTATGCACGTTGTGACACCGTTGCCATCGTACCACCGACGATGCCTACCGCTGTGAGGCACTGGGGGAACGTATCTAGCCATGGTCGATGCTTCTGACGCTTAAGATTGACAACGAGCAAGATATTGGATCAGTGGTGTAGTTGAATGAGTAGAGATAAATAAGACATGGTCCGTGCGTAGATCAACTAGATTATTGCCGATTGATCGCCCACATCCACAGGGATCTGCGGCAAGTAGATTGGCTCCACGTCCTTGCATGCTAGCGAGAACAAGGCACGTGTGGTCGAAGGGTTATGAGTGGTCTGAGCACATGCTCTCATTTCCTTCTAACCCTCGATGCGGCTCAACAAGTTCGAGAATGTCAAAACTCTATCATACTGTCAGTGACATTCCGATCGTGCGACCAAGCCTTCAGGTTGCAGGTAGTCGCGGATTTCGGAAGCATGGACGACGTGTACCTGTCTGGGCATTTTAAGCTTCGACAGCCCATGACGTTGTTGACCATCAAATTTAGACGGCGTGGATACGATGACCACCCTGATCAGGTTTACTGGGCAGGCAGCACGCGACTTGGAAGCTTCACCTAGTCATCGACCTCTTTCACTGCTCTAGATAAAGGTCGGCCTGGTTGACCATCTTCTCGCTCAACGGTTGTGATCTACTCACAGAAGCACACAACCGAAGACTTACGCTAGCTAGAGCGACAGCCAAACCAAAGGAAAATGCCTCCAGGATTTGACGCGGCGGACATTGAGGATGACCCTTCATCCAAGTATCGAGGCGTCTCAGGGCCTCACGCCAGCCTTAAGGAGAGACTTTCGCATTTTACATGGTAAGGAGGACAGATATTCGGCTTAGAGACTATATTAACAGCAGCCAGGTCGAACTTTGCCTGCACGATGTCTACAGGAGCGATTGCTGTTGTGATAGCTGGGCAGCCTTTCCAGTTTAGGGGCTTGAGAACCATTGGCAAGATCTTCTTCATCCTCGACATAGTGTTGCTAGTATGCTTTAGCATGGCAATTTCTTACCGTTTCTGGATGAACCCGTAAGTAACCACGAAATCTATACAGCAGTCCACTCGGTATCTGAGAATCGAGAAAAGGCCAAGGGACCTGTAGCTGATAAGCCTTAGGCGGAAAATCACAAAGTCGTTACACCATCCACCAGAAGCACTATTTTTTGGAAGGTGAGTATTCTGAACGCCTTCCATGACTTCTGATCTGACAGATAACAGTTTCTGGGTGTCTATCGCTCTTGTTTTGAACTGCATGCAGCAGTATGGCGTGCCGAGTTCTGGGCCATGGCTAGTATCGACACTCGAGGTTCTATTTTGGCTGTACGCTGGTTGTGCACTACTCGTGGCTATCTTCCAATATCTGACCCTTTTCGTTGCGGAAAAGATGCCAGTGTCCTCGGCGTTGCCAGCCTGGGTGTTCCCCGTGTACCCTTTCCTAGTTATCGGACCACTTGCAGCGGTTATAATTCCTAATCAACCACTGGAATCTGCGCTTCCTATATTCGTTGGCGGTATCGTCTTTCAAGGCTTGGGCTGGACGGTTGCCATGTTTATGTACAGCATTTACCTTGCAAGACTCATGTCAAATACACTACCAGCACCTTCGACACGACCTGGCATGTTCATCTCTGTTGGGCCTGCTGGATATACGTCTGCAGCACTTGTCGCCTTAGGAAACCAAGCAACGTCAGTGATTCCTTCGAGCTTCTTGAGCTTACCCGACTTTGATGTCGGTGCTGCTATCAAGGTCATGGGTGCAATGGCCGGCATGTTCCTCTGGCTAGTGGCGTTCTGGTTCTTTGCTCTGTCGCTCGTGGGCGTTTTGGCAGGAGCGAGACAAATGACATTCACACTAAACTGGTGGGCTTTCATCTTCCCTAACGCTGGCTTGACCTTAGCTGCAATCCAGATTGGGAATGCATTGGACAGTGATAGTATCAGAGGAGTTTGTTCGGCAATGACTATATTGCTTGTCATGGCCTGGATCTTTGTCGCCATATCTCACATCAGAGCCTTATTCCGCAAACAGATACTGTTCGAAGGGAAAGACGAAGACGATGGCATGGTATTGTGATCTGTCCCATGTGCGATCAGATATTAGCATTTCCACGATCTTCTTACTATAGTGACTTGTTAGATCATAATAATACCAGTTAACTGTGTTTCCGAATTCTTTGACCTCTGCACACATGTCTTTGAAATCCAATTCCTAGCATTCAGCACAACCAGGCGCCAAACCTATTCGACCAGAAACCAACAAACCTCCTTCATCTTCCAGACCTTGCTCGCCGGAAAAAATGTACCAAAACATCACCGAAACGCCAGCCGCGGCAAATTGTGCTCAATGTCCAAACCCCATCAGATGTAGTTGTCCCATGCCCAAGTGGATCCTCCCTCGACGCTCCCATATGCCATTGCTCCACATCAGGGTCCCCTACCCTCGAACCCTGAGAATAGTCCCTGATTATACTTCCAAAATGCTTCATGCCTGCTAAGCTTCCACCAAATTGTCCCACGTGCCATGTGCTGCAATAGACATGCAGAAATCATACATGTATCTTCGGCCCATATCTTCTCTGAAGGTCTTGCTCCGCAAGACGTAGTCGTTCCCTATATCCCGCCACAAACTGTACTGTTTCCTTCGTGGGTTTGACAGCATTCTCGTACTTTTCCATGATTTTCTCGATCCTATACCATAATAGCCTAATTTTTAGGAGTCTGATTCTGGTATCAAGGCTGACTTTTCGAGCCGGCCATGCTGTGCGCCGGTTGTTGTGCATATGGACTAGTACTGTGGGTTTGACCTGTCCTTTGCGTAGTCGCTTGCATGGACAGGATGGATGACAGTCTGAGGTAACGGTATTAGCAATTGGATCTTAAGCCAGAGAGAGCTGAAGGACGATCTGCTTACCTCGTTTTTTATATTCCTCGATTTGGGTTGCTGTTAGTCTTGAAGCAGCTCGGCTAGTTTGAGATCGTGTAGTAACAGCCATTGTGTAAATCGTTTGATTTTAGTAGTTGTGTTGTGAATCGAAGTGCAAGATTGTTGATAATTGTGTCTTGATTCAAGGTATTTTGTATAGCTGGTGTGTAAGCTGTAAGAGATACGAGGAGAGCAAGAGCATGACTTATAGCTGTTGGAAGTATAGCTGTTCCCAAATCAAAGATCAAGGTCCTCAGAGCAAGTTCTTGTCATTGTGCATTTTTCTGGGGCAGTCCATCAGATAAGACCTGAGCAATATCTATCGTCAATCGATAATTGAGTACCGTACCGTACCTTGAACGTTCGAGGTTCAATGATGGTCGAAGGCAGCTGTGAAAGCAGGTCATGCCATTGAGCGCCCTTACCGCATCGTGAACAATCGGGCTGATTTGAAATCTCAATGTACTCATGGAAAGCCGACAACAACGAAGGTCTTGTGGATAATTTCATTGGTCTTCCTCACTGGTTAATGGTCTTGATGTAAGTATTCCAACAGTGTGACATGCCGAGTCATAGCATTAGTCCGTCGACATGAAAAGATGTGCATACGCATAAAACAGGCGGGGTTTCCGAGGCATGTTGATCGTAAGCTGTACAATATCTATCTGTGAGTAACCTACCGTTTGATTATAGCACACCCAACTCCTTGAACTTGGAAATCATGCCATCAACATCTTCTACCTTACCACCGCCCTGCCGCGCAGGTGGTTCTTCAACTTTGATGGTCTTCAGTCTAAATGCCTCTTCCAGCCCGTAGTCTTTTAAACTCTTCTTTTCCATCTTCTTCTTTTTGGCCTTCATGATGTTCGGCAGGCTAGCGTATCTTGGCTCGTTGAGCCGCAGATCTGTGGTGATAATCATGGGGAGTTTGGCTTTGAGCGTTTCAACGCCCCCATCTACTTCTCTTGTCACAGTGACTTCGTCGCCATTGACCTCTACTTTTGCTGCCTGTGTAGCTTGTGGCCAGCCGAGCAGAGCCGCGAGCATCTGCCCTGTCTGGCCACTATCGTCGTCGATTGCTTGCTTTCCTAGAAATATCAAGTTGACATTCTCCTTTTCCGCAGCGGCCTTCAACAGCTTCGCTACCTGCAATGGCTCTAATGGCTTGTCCTCTGCAACATCAACATGTATCGAACGGTCGGCACCCATGGCCATAGCTGTGCGTAGGGTGTCCGCGCATTTCGCTGGACCTGCAGAGATAGCAATAATCTCGTCTACCGGTAGCTTCTTTTCGCGCATACGTGCTGCTTCTTCAATCGAGAGCTCGTCAAAAGGGTTCATCGAGTGCTTGACGCCTTGAGTTTCCACGCCGCTTTTGTCAGACTTTACTCGTGGTTTCACCTAGCACTTGTCGTCAGCAAAGCCCAACTACCTCGCCATACGACGATCGATGCGGAGTGTATCCAGACATCCTCTCGTGCTTCGCTGGACAACGTACTGCATAGTCGATGACACGTTTTACAGGTACTAATATCCGCAGCTTCTGCGACATCCTTACTGCTGTTGGCTGCATGTTGGAGGATAGGTACGGCGATTGAAGTCGACGAGGTTGAGTGTAGCACTATAGCACAAGCTGGTAGAGTAAACAGCGAGAAAAGACCGAATTCAATATGCTGAACATTCCAAGCTCAAACCAGAAAGGCGTATTCGACCTCGGCGATCGCAAACCAAACGCCCTTGCAGATCGTCCGGCGTGAGGCATGTCATCACCGCACCGGTTTGCAGCGGACCATAAATTCATGCCTGAAAATCCAGGTAGCTTCCGGCGCACCTACTTTGTTAGGACGAGCCAAGACCGCAATGTGCGGAAAATTGGGTCTAAGTCGGGATCAACTTCGCAGCAGGACCTCTACGATTGCACTTTGTATAGTCACAGAAAGATCTTCTCGATATCGACGACAAGCCGTCAAGATGCCGGTATGCTCGACGCCTTACCCTTACACGTCATGGCTTCACTGGAAAGCCGAACACAATCACGTAATTAAAGGACGACTGCTAACACGATGTTCCTCAGAGCCACAAGACTTTCCGAACGAAGCAGAAGCTGGCTAAGGCCCAGAAACAAAACAGACCAATCCCTCAATGGATCCGATTGAGAACCGGTAACACCATCAGGTACGATATATCTTCTTCAGGCATATTCGAGCATGGGTAGTGGCAGACTTGGGTCCAAAGGGAGGAAGACACGAGGACATGCAGAAAAGATTGCCGGGCAAATGCTAATGCTCTATGCAACAGATACAATGCCAAGCGGAGGCACTGGCGAAAGACTAGAATCGGAATCTAGACGACTCCTCGAAGACCTTCCGTTTCTCTCGCCATTACGAAGCAGATTATGTCAGTCAGATAGGACGACCAATAGTATTCCACGAAGTGAGCGACGAGGTTGTCAACGGCACGGGAGGGTGCACATGATGCGACATGGAGGCGACGTAGCAAGGCATACTTTTCACCGAGAGATTAAGGTTGTGGGACAAATGAGAGGTTTCTGATCGCTGCATGCTCATGATGCTCGGGGATACAAGCACTCAGATCTTAGCAACGGCTGACCAAAGCATACGAGTCTGAACTGCAGGGACGTGTCTTCATCCTTGTACTCTTTCTGCTTCATTCCCACATTGTCAGCCTATCTCTTCGCACTATCAATCTACGACTAGTCTTGCCTACAGTGACGTGAGGACGAGTTGCCAGGACACACATCCAGCCGCCGGCGAATGTAATTCGCACCTGAACACAGTAGGGTTTCCCCAGTATATCTCTCTCACACAGGTTTGGTAATCGCACATTCGTCGTGTATTGTACGGAGTGCCCCGATGATTGGATCTGGAATTGAGGCAATGCATTGTCTAAGAGATAATTCAGTCAAGTACTGTACATAAGCTGAAATCGCGGTGAGCAGCAAGACCAATTCAAGTACAGCGTTTCTAAGAGTACGTGAGGAAAAGGGTTTGTAGAAGTTGCTTTTTCTGGCATACTCCGTCTGCAGTGTCAGTACGATGCAGTACTGGTGATGTTTAGCTCGGCCATGCATAAAACCGCGTCGCCATTGTCTAACTCTTTGGTAGATAGAGCTAAAGCTCTTTGAAAACATGCTATGCTCTCTCGCATCGCCTTCTCGGCAAGTCCATAATTGACAAGCAGCCCATTTGAACGCCCTTCGCGTTAATCATTCATTTTAACACCTTCGTCATGCGTCGACCATCCGGAGAACCTAGATAATTGGGACATCTATCGACTGGAAAGCAGTTAGTGAATGAGTTTCGACGTTGACGTTTATCACTTACTCCTCCGCCCATTCGTTCTCCCTTCGGATCTGATCCTCCTCTTCTGGAGTAAAGTCGTTCTGGATGTTGAACGTCTTTCGGATCTCCTCGGGTGATTTGCCTTTGATCATGTTGGCGACTGTTTTGCAGCCTACATCTAGCAATTGCTTGATATCGAGATAGTTCGCAGCTAGAATGATCTCAAATAACATCTCTTGGTCAACCTGCATAAACTTCTGATCCCACTCGTCGATGTCTGTAGACTTCTTTCGTGAGTCCGAGTCGTCGTCAGTCGTTGGAGCAGGATCAGCCCGGTGGTGGGTGCACCATTCGATGACTTTCTTGAGGACTGCGGCATTGACGTTGGGGATGGGGATAGCTTCTGTCATAGCCTCCTCACCAAGATCGCCGACCATATTCTTGATCAGGACTGAGCGCTCGGCGACATCCTTGTCTACTGTAATTTGCTCGCCATCGCCGGACTCAAGCTTGAGCTGACTTTGCTCGCTCTTTTCTCCTGACATGTTGATTGTTGTATGTAGAGGGAATCTCGGTGACTTGTCGAGGTGAGAGTTCTTTGAAGAAGTTAGTCAATCTGAAGATCGAGAGGCGGTTGTGTGTAGTCGAATGGTGACTGTGGATGGAGAAAGAAATTATTGAGGAATGCAGTCTGTAAGAGTAGGGTATTCATGCACGTTGCAAGCGACGCGGGTCAGATTGGTGTTTGTTGGCAGAGTAAGTTACAAGCCTTGGTGACAGCCAGATGTTTGTGACAATCGTGACAGGAAAGTGCCGTTTGCGGGTCCTTGCCTGTTCACAATAGGCACACCACTGCAGTGCGGAGCTCCAGCACAAAGCCCGGGGAACTGCTTGATCGTGATACGTACCGGACGCTTGGGGGACAGGTTTACTGAATTTATGCTCTAGTGTATGTATTGAAGTAGGAGCGTCGTGAACTTCGAAGATGTTCTGTAAGAAGGATGAATGGAAGTGATGGGGACAATATTCCGGCCAGGAATCGAGTAAGTCCTGGAAACAGATGACGAGGCTTGCTTCACCAAATGATCATCAGGCAGCCACTTCCAAATTCACTACAGTATGACCCTCACTTCAATATCACAATTCTGCGATGAGCGGCGATTGCCAATTTATACATAGCTCACACTGTAAGTTACAAGCAAGGCGTAGTGTTCGCAGGCAACCGAGCAGATTACTGGTAAGCCTTGAAGGCATCCTTGCTGGATTGAATTTAAGCTCAATTCTTGCCTGACTCAGTGACCGGTATCGTGGCTAAACCCTGGTAAGTTAGTGTTCAGGACCCTGCAGAAATAGGCTGTTGGCAGCAGCCTGCAAGTGCTTGCATGCAAATGAGTTGCAGCATATCTGTGAAGACTTTTCGTTCAATCACTTCTACTACTCGGGAAGGCTCTGCTTAGATACATTCCTCAGCCTATTGTCAGATACACGGGATTTACAAGACGAGCTGACCAGAGAGTGTTCAGTCGCAACATTTTATATTGCCAAAGCAAGATACAACCAGAATCGTCAACAGTGCCAACGCGTGTTCGGAAGTGCAACGTGGTCATCTGCATCACTTCCAACTTCTATGTCTTCGCAAATGCTCGTTGCTCAAGATTGTACCACCATTCCTTTTGACAACATGCATTCGTCCTCACCTCCTTTCATTGACGATTGGTAGCAATGTGGAGGCGCACTTACTTGCTCCTGCTGTTCCTTCGTGTCTATTTCGCGTTCTCCTCGAGCTATCTACATCCTGATGAGATCTTCCAAGGACCAGAAGTCGTCGCAGGTCGGTCGCGAACAATATTCGAGTCCGATACTAATACTGATCTATTCGTAGGGGAACTATTCGCATTCCACAATGTGCGAACCTGGGAATGGACCGTCGCGAAGCCCATTCGGAGTGTGTTTCCATTATGGCCAGTATATGGGTTGCCAATGGCCTTGTTGAAGGCATTGTGGTCAAGAGAAGGTGATGGTGTGGTATCTCCATCTGTCATATACTACACTCTCCGATTTGTCATGTTCGTTCTTTGTTTCGTGCTGGAAGACTGGGCCATCTATGAACTTGTGCACTCTCCAAGAAAGCGAAAGGATGCTGTCACACTGGTCGCATCATCATATGTGACCTGGACCTTTCAAACGCATACTTTCTCCAACTCGGTCGAGACACTGCTCGTGCTCTGGTGCCTGGTGTTGATGCAGAGAATAGCAGGCAACGGCTCACAAACCCGACCATCAAGTCCTTCCGACGAGAAACCAGGACTCAGCTCCGATGCTGTACCTCGAAGACTGTACATTGCTTCTGGGTTGATTCTGGGGTTCTTGGTTGTGTTTGGCTTTTTCAACAGGATCACTTTTCCAGCTTTTCTATTGATACCCGGCATACAACTGCTGCCACATCTTTTGAATAGGTAGTGGCATTCTCCCCGCTACAAACCAGACTAACGCTCAGCAGACCTCTAGCTTTGATAGCTTTGCTAGTTTCAGGCGCCTTCTGGCTCTTTGTCGCAATCGCAACAGATACTGCTTTCTACACCGGACCAGCCGCGACCACATCCTTTTCAGCACTATTCGGTTACATCCATACCATGCCTATCATTACACCTATCAATAATCTCATGTACAACACCAAAGCCTCGAACTTAAAGCAGCACGGCCTGCATCCTCACTACCAGCATATTCTAGTCAACCTTCCTCAACTACTCGGGCCGGCGCTTTTATTGCTAGTGCCTCGCCCCTTTCACTTCTCGAGCTTCAATGTGGAACATATGCTTCGCAATACACGACTCACAGCCGCCATTACAGGCACGGTCATCCTCAGCATAATTCCACATCAAGAACCTCGTTTCCTGCTTCCATGCATTCCTCTCATTCTCACCTGTGTTTGTCTGCCAGACTCCAAGCTCTGGCGCAGGCGCTTCTGGACCGCCTGGCTGATCTTCAACGGTATCATGGGCGTTTTGATGGGTATCTACCACCAGGGCGGCATTGTCTCCGCACAGCTGGCAATGCCCGACCTCATCCAGAACTCTCTCACGAATACGCAGAGCACAGCGAAGCAAGTCGAAGTCTACTGGTGGAAGACATACCCTCCCAGCTTGTACATGCTAGGAGCACCAATACGGAACCCGTTTACAAACGAGGTCATCGACGTCACGACAGACCCCTTACTCGGTGCAAACAGAACAACCCTTCTAAACAGCCTGACAGCCAATCTAGATTCCTGCGAAAGTCGTGGCTCTATGCTTCACAAGTTCACCAGCGCAATCTCGTCCGACAATCCACACCAAGTCATCCTCGTAGCACCCTTCTCCGCCTTTCGCTTCGACTCAGAAGCCACAATACCGCCAATCTCAAACTTCACATTCGTCCTGCCAGACAGTCATAGCCCTAACGATAGAACAGGCAACGGCCTACGTCTGACACACCTAACGACGTTCAGAAAGCACATCAACCTGGACGACATGGATTTCGGAGACGACGGAATTCTAGCTACGCTGAAAAGAGTCGTGGGACTGAGAGGATTAGGTGTTTGGAGGATTACGGCAGAGTGTGTCGGGCTAGAGGTGGAAATATAAAACGCTTCCTACAACTTGGTGAAGCCGAGGAATGAGGAAAGGAAATGCTTTTGCGAAGCTTGTACTTCATGATACCCAATAGACTATCTTTGGATTTGGCTCACACTCCATTCTCGCTATATCTTGTTCGCATGAACGCAGTAATCAGAGCCTGACATTTTTCCATACGATTGTCATCAATGCGTATCATTGCTTATGTCGAGACTACCTTGAAGTCTTTTGCTCAGCGTCAGAGCTATCTGGTCTGTTATAGTAGCAAGGCAAAAATACTGCTTCTTTCCATCATCGCGGGGAATGAATTCAGTGGTCAAACGACTCTGAATACGGGTGAAGCTACCTGGTCTGGCTGGATTGCAAGAAAGCCTTCTCCATGCTGTCACCTCTCAATCGTCGTCCTCTGGCTGCTCGAATAAAAAGTTCGCCGCAAGCTCCTCATTCTTGTCGCAAGCGAAGTAGGCTTGTATCACTCGTTGTCTTGGAAATCCTAAGCCGCACAACCTATCAATGGCATCCGATTCCTCTTGTGTGACGTTGATGATGCCTTGGCCAGGACCCCCTTCACCACCTTCTCCTAGATTGATATCTTCTGAGAGTAATTGCAGGAAAGCCTCAGAGTTCTGGCTGATTATCTGCGCAAGTTGCGGGTTGCCCTCGGCTACCTGTTGCAATATCGGTTCAAGCATGGCAGGCTGCTGCTGAACAAGTTGTCTCAGTTGTTGGAAATGTTCTGAGTTGCGCAGGAAGTCCATGTTGACTTGGTTACCCTGACCAGCTCCTGCAGCCGCACCAGCACCAGCTCCGGCGCCTAGACCTGCACCCAGGCCGGCACCAGCTCCAGCACCGGCTCTAGCACCACCTCTTGCTCCTTGACCTTGCGCCGCTTGTGCAGCAGCGTCAAAAAGATTGACTTCCTCAGAGGGTTGAGCCTCAGCAGCAGGCGCTTGCGTTGCAGCAGCTCCTGTACTTGTGGCTGGGGGTGAGGTAGTTCCTTGTTGTGCAGCCTGGGTCTGGGCTTGCGCTTGCTGCTGCCGTTGTTCTTGCTCTCTTTGGATATGCTCCGGGATGCCGTTCAAAAGGTATTCAATCGCACGATCGGGGTTGTAGTAGGCTGCCCTCAGTGCTGCCTCAGCGTCTGCTCTGGCAAAGCCCATTGCCTCCATCTCAGAGATTGCAGACTCGCCTCTATTGCCTACGAGCATGACTGATTCACCACCAAGGCCGGTGCCACCTGAAGCAGGCACTTGTGCAGGAGATGGCGTCGCTGGAGGGTTGTTGGTGACTGGAGCTGTACTCTGTTGTTGGGGAGTGGCAGGCTGTGCTGGGGTCGATGCAGCAGCTTGTGGTGTAGCAGGCGGCGCTGGCTTGGCCGCAGGCGCTGCTTTCGGCTGAAAACAATCAGTATGGTACTAGTACCAACGAAGTACGCTCTCACCTTGGAGATCATGCATACTATAAAGCCCTTCTCTTCGATCTTGTAGGACTCGACGGTGTTAGTGTCTGTAAGGATTTTGCCTGCACCTATTTAGTCCTGCCATCTTCTACCTCAAAGATAGTACATACCTGAATATATGAGCTTCTGTGAAGATGCTTCCCATCCCTTCTCTGTTGCAATCTTCTCTTTCACCTGAAGTACCTGTGGCAATAGATTAGTGCCGAGTTCAGGGTTGTCAAGGTTCGATGGATACGTACAGTGTCGGTGGGTTCAGCATCGATCGTGAACTTCTGTTGCTTGAGATCCTGGTGCTGTGTTAGCATCCTCGTTGAGTTGCTGCTTGCCACGATCGCCTTACTCTAAAGTTGAGCTTCATATTGACCCCACCTTCCTTGCGATTCTTTGATGCAGATGGTAGTGGTGTAGTTTAGTTGAGAATACGATGTTGTTCTGATCCGAATTGCAGAGATTGATTGAGGTTGACCGAGTTTTAGTCTCTAAACGATGTCGCAGAGTCTGTCTAGAACAAGAAATTAGACAATTGTCTTAAAAAGAGCAGCGGAGTTGTATACTCAGGCCGCGTTGCAGGCAGTGACGCATGACGCAGGCTCCACTCTACAGCATGTGTTCGCTCGAGTGTTTGTCCTTATTAGAAACAGTAGCAAATCTTGCATTTTATTCAGCTTGTATGAATTTCTGATATTGTCTGTCTATCCATAAAACTCCGCTACTGTGTGTCACCCATCGGACATGTCTACCCTTCCACCTTTCTTGCCTCGTTGCGCCAGCAGAATCGTTGAGACAGGTAGCAAGAGATTGGGTGCCGCTACAAGTGTAGTGCTTCAACCAGACACATTCCACTGAGCCCTTACACAACCTGCAACCATGGTCCTCTGCTAGCCCCCTTCAACAGAACTCCCAGCAAGAGCTTCAGCTGTATCCCTTCCACGACTGTGTTTGTCCAAGATGGATGTCAAAGCCTATGCGAAAGGAACGGTGTGTTTCGCTTGTGCTTGTTTCTAAGTGTCCCATATAGTCGTGTGCAGCATTGTGCTCGTTGTGGCTATTCACATGTACAGAAATATCGAACGCATGCTGGGACGGCCAAGAAGACTGCTCTCAGACAAGATCATGCCGGCCGCAACATGACCACTTCTCAAGCCCAACGACATGTATTTGCTTCAGACAAAGTCATTAGGTATCGTGCTCCTCTTTCGCTTTGGCTTTGGCTTTACAGCTTCCTCCCCGTCGTTCGTCAAGGCTCGAGTATCGGGAGAAGCAGGTATCGAAGATGGTTTGACCGATTGAGCGGGAGGCACTGGACTGTTCGCAACGGATGGAGCTCTTGACTTATTGTCTGCAACCTTGAGACTAGCGACAGGATCTTTCGTTCTTCCATGTCGAAAAGAGCCAGGCTCTCCGATTAGCGGCGCGTCGTCGTAGAACTGTCCTGCAAATTGTCTGGTCAAATTCAAGGCATTGACTAGAGTTCGTTCGTTAGAGGTTTGCTTAGCTGAATGGCCGGCTAGATCAAGGTCGCGAAGACTAGTTGTCCCATCCCGGTCTGGCATTGGTGTTCCCGCTGCACTTTGTCGTACATCATTTGGAGCTGTTGTTGTGGTCTTTTGGCCGGAAGGAAAATAAGTGTAGCCATAGGATGCAGAGAACGTCGGCAGTTCTGCTGCCGTCTTCAGAAGCTTATTCATTGTCAGCAGAGAGTTTAGCATGCGATGGTCGAAGATACTCTCAAGCCGAGGAGCTGGAAAGATGACTTCGTTCAGAATGTAGTAGTAGCCTAGCACTTTGTAGTCGTTTTTCCCAGTTCCATAACGATCCTGAGCCCTGATTGACCAGAAGTGTGAAAACTCCTCGCCATTAGGGCCCTTGAAGTGGCTTGGATTCTCCAATGCATCGATCTCTACAACATATTGAATACCTGTGTGTTTCTGTAGCTCAGCTTCGAACTTTTGTTTAGTGGCTAGGTATTTCTGCTCAAGCGCTGGGTCACCAGAATACTGTGCGGCAATTGCTTGGTTGCCTGAAATAGGAGCACAAAAAGGTGACTGCAGGAAATAGAAGAGTACTGTAATAATCAGCTTGCGAAGTACACCCAGTCATCTGGGACTGCTTCACCGTTATGTGAATGTAGATGGCCAAGGGTGCCACTGTAATTCACGATCCAGTCGTGGTCGAAGAAATATAGCGGCAGTCCATCTTCATCCTTTGCAGCCATGACAGATTTTATTGCATTAGGGTATGAATGACGATCACAGTCTACTATATCATGTCAGAACCTTCAATAAGATTTCTGCATGGCCAGAAGTTGTAATTTCGCCCTCAGGTTTGTCACATTTCGATCTTCAGAACACGACTCACCATTCCAACACGGAATCACGTGTCAGATTCTTCTTTCGTGTCAAGCGACGAAACTCCAATCTTTATTCATCGCGTTGTAACACTCTTCCACTCGTATTGATTCATGGACGTTTCGTATCGTCAATTTGTGTACAACGTGGGTTCGCCATGATATAGCGTGGAGTGTGAATGCAATTGGTGTTGAGTCGCCTTACGATTTTCAATGGTGATTGTCCTGATGGAGTCATCAGCAGAGAATTTTTACCGGCCGAAGAGTCAATATCTTCTCCTGTTGCAGTAAGAGCAGCTCACAGCTGCACAGAATGCTGACACCTACCTCATTGTTTTAGATTGATGTTCGTGCTTTTCGAGGGGTTGCGATTCTGACAATCTACAAATCCAGTGCTGTTTGAGGAGGCAGTTTCGATGTCAGACACAACACCAGTACTCTTCGTCGATGCATATGACTCTTTTACTAACAATATCGTCGCTCTATGTTACAGCTGTATCCCGTCGGCTAACATCAAAATCGTTTCCATAGACACGGATATCCAAGTACGATTCGGGATCAGCCTAGAGACCTATGTGTGCGGCTTCAGCGCGATCATACTCGGTCCTGGTCCTGGCGACCCGAGAGAGATATCCGATATTGGTCTCTTTAAGGATATTTTGAATATCGCCTCGGAATGCGAGATTCCAGTTTTGGGGATCTGCTTGGGGTTTCAGGCTCTTTGTCTAAAGTATGGCTGTAATATTGTCCGAATGAAATTGCCTTCCCATGGTCAGCCCAAGGTCATCAGGACAACAGGAGTTGATATATTCCAGGGTATACCTGGTAGTTCACAATTCAGCGCTATCAACTATAACAGCTTAGCCATTCGTACGTGCGATTTCGTGGGCAGGCACGAACTCCTTAGGCTCGATCAGTCATCCCCTGACTGCTCCTCAGTCTCGGAGGCATCGCTGGCCACCAAGGAAGAGAATTTTCAACGACTGGAACTACTGGCTTGCGATTATGATGGGTTCGCGATGGCTGTGCGGCATCACACATTGCCGCTATGGGGACTACAGTTTCATCCCGAGTCCTGTAGGTCTACAAGTGGTGAACACATCCTCAGGAACTGGTGGCAGCAAGTCAGAAAACACAATGCAAGTCGCGGGCGGATTCAAAACATGTGTCCAGCAAACTCGACACCTTCGTCGAATGTAGAAGAAGTGCCAACCAAAACCACCGTCAACGACCAGATACCTTTGTCGCCTTTGACCTTGGGGAGGGTTGCGTGGACTGTGGTCGATGCTTCTGCAATCACTTCTCAACAATTGTCCTCTCTATGCTTCGAAATGACCAAGGGTGCACCAGTCGCCATGCTGGAATCCACAGCCAAGGGACGCTACTGCATCTATGGCTTTACTGAAACAGATTCTGAGGTCCTCGAATACTCGACAGGAATTCTGAGATCAAGACGTGGAGATATCTTGCAAAGTGAAGAACCAGTGCCGCCTCATCAAGCATTGAATATTATCGAAAATAGGACAAAGATGAGCAGCTCTACAGATGGTTGTTCAGACATTCCCTTCTGGGGAGGTTGGATCGGTTTCTTATCTTACGAGATGGGTTTAGATCTGTTGAAGGTATCCTCAAACAGATCGCGGAATGTACCGGATTTCTCGTTCGTCTTCGTCGAGCGAAGCATGGTACTCGACCAGAGGACAGGAAATATTTACATACAATCGATTCGTCCCAAGGATCGTGATTGGATTCTACAGATCCAGGACCAAGTCTCAAAGCTCAGCACAATGAATCAATCATTTAGGTCGGACAAAAATATTTCATACCTGCAGCACATCCTAGCCGACGCGAAGTTCGCGATCCCGCATGAAGACGAGTACAAAACTCTGTTCACACATTGCGATGACCACTTGCATGCTGGGAATTCATATGAATTGTGCTTGACATGCGAGGCACGTATTGACATCGGCTGTCCCAAAGTCGAGACTTCATTTGATCTCTATCGCAATCTCAACAAACACAATCCAGTGCCATTCGCATCCTACCTCCACTTTCCGGCTGATGCAGCAAATTGCAGTGGCACAACCATACTCTCTACGTCTCCCGAGCAGTTTCTTTCTTGCTCGCGCAACGGCACACTCGACATGATCCCGATGAAGGGGACGGTTCAGCGTACACCGACGACAACACTTCAGGACGCCTACAGGATACTCGCTTCACCCAAAGAAGCAGCCGAGAATCTTATGATCGCCGACTTGATACGACACGACCTCTACTCTATTGTTGGCTGTAGAGCCTACCCGCTACATACTCAAACGTCGCATCCGAACAAGATCGTTGCTTGTCATTACCGTGGAGACCTTACACCTCCAAGTCTAGAGAACGACATCCATGATCCTCATGCACCTGAAGATCTTGCTCCTCACACAATACGAAGTCCATTGTCAATCTTGGCACTAAATTCTGTCGGAACCTTCGAGACAGTATATCAGCTGGTATCGCATATTCGAGCGCATCCACCACCTACACTTGATGTTAGTAATCCTCACGCAGTCATTGAACACAATCACTCCGCACTCCATCACGTGCTCCCGCCAGGTAGTATGACCGGCGCGCCGAAGAAGCGTTCCTGCGAAATACTCCAGCAGCTTGAGAATAGAAATCGGGGTGTGTATAGCGGAATTATTGGCTATATGGATGTTGGAGGCAGCAGCTGCTGGAGCGTGGCCATCAGGACAGCTTGGAGCAGTGCATCTGAGGACTATATAGCCGACACGAGCTTGCCCACTGGGAAGGACGGTGTCAAGTCCGATGATGTCGATACATTGGGGAGCCGAAGGCGAAAGATATGGCACGTTGGTGCTGGTGGTGCCATTACTGTTTTGAGCGAACTTGACGGCGAGTGGCAGGAAATGATAGGGAAAATGCGAAACGTGCTGAACGGCTTTCGGAAGGTGAAGGAGGAGCACCCTATCTGGCGTTCAGCTTGATTCTTGCCGCACCTAGGAGATATGTCGCGGACTTCGATGTTGATATTAGACTGGAATTTTAGGCATCGATCGTATTGTATTGCGATGCTGTGACTGCGAATCTATGGCCGTGTCTTGCCTATCACAATATCCAACTCTGTGAGAATGTGAATCGAATCAAGTGCAGTAGTGCCATGAAATGTCCTTGGCGAAAAGAGTTATGGATCAGCAGAATTGGTCTCGCGCGACGCGTCACAAGCCAACACGATCGTCACTTCTATATCCTGATTCGTGCAGACAAGAATAGTACTTTGATCTGTGCTGCCTAATAAGTTGAGGCGTCCAGTGGACTTGTTTTCGTCCCTAGCAGCAATATGTAATCAAGGCACTATCTGCTTGCGTGTAACCCGATCAATACCCAGCATCATGGGGACGATATTCACGAACGTCTACAGAGAAATTGGCCTCAAAGCATACGTTGAGTCTGCTCGCGATGTCAAGATTCTCTGCCTCCAGCGATTTGTACGTCTGACAGCTTATGGCGCGTCGACGTTGATACTCGTGCTTTATCTGGTTGACTTGGGCAATTCTGTATCACGCACAGGATTGTTCATGACCTTGACGTTGGTAGGAGATGTGGTCGTTTCCCTCATACTCACTCTGGTTGCAGACAAGCTTGGACGAAGACGACTTCTTGCATTTGGCTCACTATTGATGACTGCAAGTGGTATCGTATTTGCCCTGAGTGGTAATTTCTGGGTGCTGTTGCTTGCAAGTGTTATTGGGGTTATATCGCCTAGTGGCAATGAGATCGGACCTTTCAAGGCTATTGAGGAATCAACTATCTCGCAGCTTACACCCTCTTCGGAGCGCAGCAGTGTGCTTGCATGGTACACGTTGTCTGGAACAGCAGGTGTGGCTCTAGGTACAATCGTGTGTGGATGGGTCGTGCGAGTTCTGCAAAGCCAACACGGGTGGCAGCCTGTATCAACTTACAGGTTGGTCTACGCAGCCTATGCGGCTCTTGGCATAGTGAAGTTTCTATTGTGTCTACTATTGAGTCGCTCGTGCGAGCTTCAGCAGGTCGAACAAACACCAAAACCAACGAGTAGCCACGAGCGTCAACCCCTGCTCGCGAATGAGCAACGTCAGCCAGGTCCCGAACTTAACTCGACCAAATCCACGTCTGATACCCGGTTGCTACCTTCACTGTCCTCAGAGACCAAATCACTCGTGCTGAAATTGGGCCTCTTGTTTGCAATGGACAGTCTGGCTTCAGGTTTGTCACCATCGTCTTGGATGATATACTACTTCTCTAGAAAGTTTGGCCTTGACGAGAGCAAACTTGGAAGCTTGTTCTTCGTCACCAACATAATCTCTTCAGCCTCGAACTTAGCAGCATCGTCTCTTGCTCGACGAATTGGACTAGTCAAGACGATGGTATTTACTCACGCACCTGCATCCATTGCTCTTGCTCTCATACCTGTACCAAGCAATCTCTTCGTGGCAACGGGACTGCTCATTTTCAGAGCAAGCACGAACAGCATGGATCAGGCTCCACGACAAGCTTTTCTTGCTGCTGCTGTACTTCCTGCGGAGAGAACAAGTGTGATGGGTATTATGAACGTGGTAAAAACAATGAGTCAATCACTGGGTCCAGTAATAACCGGAAAGCTTGCTGGAACAGGCAGGTTTTGGGTAGCTTTTGTGGTTGCTGGTAGTTTGAAGTTGCTATATGATGTGTTTCTGCTCGCGCTTTTCTTGGGCTACCGTACAGCCGAAGACAAGGCTGAAGAAAATGTCGTACGAGAAGCAGAGCGTCGGCAGGATGCCGGTGAAGCGAGGCACGCGCCTTGAGAGAGAAACACCTTCAGCAAGACTAACGTCGGAGTTCTAGCACAGTATTAACGTTGATGAGTTTGCAGCAGTCTACATCTATAGCCCAGATAAGGTGTAGAGCATGCTCAACCTTGGGCAGCAAAAATGTGTCATCTTTATACCCAAAGCGCTCAGACGAAAATCTTGAAGATGCACAATGCGATACGTATGCCATGAATCAGACATATCTGTATCTCGTTGTTGGATCGTCTCACTTTGCCAGCAGGCGCGGAAAATTGCGATGACGTTCATGCTTGCCAGAACCACTTGGGGGGCTTTTACGGAAGGTAAGCATTGTACCACCTTCGCGGTTGCCTTGTGATTGCTTACTTCGCAATTCAGGATTTCGTCAACATGTTGTCGTTGCCGATCATTGATTCGACATATCCCAACCATCTTTGATGGCAATGGGACGGCTTGCCGTCGCCTAATTCCTTACACTTCTTGGACAACCCCAACTATTTAGTCAATATGCTTTCCCAGTTTGACAACGAACACAATAATCGTATTCGACGGTCGAAGTCAGCAACATCGGTAAAGGAACGCCGAAAGCACCCTCTCATTTCTGAACCTGTCAATCCTGAAAGCTCTCGTGTACAAGCTTTGATAGCGGCTCACCGTGCTATGGATCGTTCCAGAGATCTGAGCTCTGATGAACTACGCAGAACAGACAGCTCGGCAAGCAAGCAGTCGGCACGACTCGCTGCTTCACGTAATCCAGAGGTATCGCCCGCAGAACAGCTTCGAAGGCAACGGTCAATCCTTCAAGCAACGACGTCAAACATGGCTGGAAGCCTACCACTACCAGATAGCAGGAACTTAGGAAGAGCAGGCCATACAAGCTATACACGAACCCATCTGTCTGAGTTTGGAGCAGGTTATGATGGTAGCCCCGATGGAGAGCCTTCCTCGTTCCGTCGATTACGAAAAGTTAGATCCGTGCTCAATACGAGTCGTGGATAGCATCAGACTCGATCTACAGTTTCTAATTCTCCGTTAAGTCGTTCCAAAACTCTACGACATGCTCCAAGTTCTTCCACACTTGAGGCACCTAGTCTTCGGCTTCGTCTCAAGAAATCTCTGGAAATGCTGAAACTTACGGGTAGGAGGGCAACGTCTCCCGAGAAGACCTCCCATCACCCGTGCAATCATCCTGAGTCGGTCGAGCTTGCTCGTGCTCAGTTTTTGGAGGAGCAAGCCTCCCCGAACTTGATCCAAAGATCACCCGAGATCAGAGTACAGCGTGTCAGGGAACAGAAAGAGTTTCGCACCAGTGTCAGGAGTTCGGAGTCTGACGATTTTCGAGACCAAGACAAATCCAAACACAGTGCCGTCAAGACAGTTCGATCTATTTCTTCCTCCCTCCGTAGTCGGTTCAAGAGAGCTTTCAGTAAACCACAAGCTGGATTGCCAGCTCAACAGCTTGATGCATCCAGATTCCATTTTGGCGACGGCACTAGTGCGTTCAGTGAGGCTGGTAATGGTGGGTTTGATAGCTACCTTGGTGAACAAGCGGTTGACCTACGACGTGCCAGCCTTTATGACGATCCATGGCATGAAAAGATAGATGACGACGATCTAGGTCGGCTCCTGACCATTGCACCTGTTAATAGAAGCGAGAGTAGCTTGAGTGGCAGCTCGAAGTCGCGTGTGACCAGTTGGACAAATACAAATACCACTGGTTCTATGCGAGAGACGCCACTCGAGCGAAAGAGACTGTCTGTCATTCAGGAGGATGGTGGTCCTCATCAGCCTTCCTCTTCCGCGGGTATGCATTTGGGGGGCGTGGATATCTTCCGCAAGCCGCTGCCTGCGCCTCCTGGCCAGCATCCTGACCCCCAACGCCTGTACTCTGCCCTGGTGAAAAGGATGAACCAACAATCAGAAGAACGGGAAGCAGAACTGGAGAGAAGGCTGGATCAACACAGGGAGGAAGGACAGCCACTACAGACAACTCCTACTGATCAGTCTTATCAGACGATTTGTGCCGTCAGAGCTTCGATTAGCGCTGAGCCATCTGATCTGGAGCGACTAACTGTACTTTCTGCTGGTTCAGGCGTTGTAGACCACGAGCGGACAAAGAGGACAGATCTGCTTGCGTGGAATCCTAGCGAGGAAAGTGTTTACTCCCGAAAAACAGGTAGCGACCCAGACCTACTTTATCGAAAATGCAATACTAGCGAGCAGACCATAGACAGCAAAGTTGAGACCACCACGGCTGATTATGCTAGAGCTTACCAGTTGACCATCAAGACAAATCCTTACCTTGACTCAAAAGTCGACCTTGACTCAGCAGAAGTGCAGGAGAAATGTGAGCCTCGAGAGAAGCAGTCTGCTAGCAATGCTTTTTCGGCGCACACACGACAGAGGTCCATTCGTGATGTAGAGTATCATGTGATACCAGAGAAGGATTGTATGAAAGATCAGACAGCCGCCGCAACGGAGGGAAAATCTTTAAAGGCTGCAACACATGTCCGGGAAAACGCATGTCATGGAGACACACCACCGAGAAAAGCTTCCGAGCAGCTTGAAGATATTGCCAGAGATGACATTGAAGGGGACGGCAGACGCAAGGAGAATAGTGGTACAAGGATGCTTACACCATCTTCGAAGGTACCTGAACAGCTTTGTGTAGCGAAGAAGCGGTTCCCACTGCTGAACGTCAAGCATGTGTCGAAAAACAACACTCCGGTGCCGAGTCAAAACAGCAGCCTCACACGCAGCCAGAGTGGGCTACTCCAGCAGGTAGGCGCTGAGCAGGGACAACAATCAGGTGTGAGCAAACATGAGAAAGAAAGTAAAATTGCTGCTTCACTGCGCAAGATTTCACCTGAGAACGTTGCGAATGTGCTCCGCAGCACGAAGAGCCTGGCTAATCTCAATCACAAGAAGTCTAACAAGGAAAACAGACATAGTCCACACCCTGCAATCATGGAGTCTGATGAGGAAGAACAGCATGCCGCCAGTACTCCTGGTCCCGCATACCTTGCGATGAGGTCAGGCAATAGCGGTAGTGGTGACCGGAAAGGTCGAAGGTATGCCAGCAAAAATGCTCACAATGACAGTCCAACAGACTTGGTTAAAGCCACACTGTCAGCCAGACTCAGCAGACCGTTCAACATGGATACACCAGAACTCAACCGTCCCTTCGACAGTATGTATCTAGGAAAGCGCGAGACCGGCTTCCCTGATTCTAGTGGACGACTCAGCACTACTCAAGCAAACACACAGACTCAAAGCCATGGCTACAATAAACGTCGCAGCTTTGAACGAGGACCAGGAGGGTACGGTGGCCTCGGACCCTCGCCATTTGACGGGCAGACTGCTGCTCGGCCAGAAGGAGAAGAAGAAACGGCTCTGCCACATGTGCCGACACCCGAAAACCAAGGAAGGGACAATACGAAGAGGCTGGGAAAGTCAATGAGCACAAAACGCATGGTAAGTAACTTCTTGAGAAGTAGACGAAAAGCTGGCAACAGTGGGGAAGACGATTGTGACGCTAACAAGGAGGAAGACATAAGCAACAAAGCAGTTTTGGAAACACCACCCAAGAGCAGCCCTCTTTTTATCTAATGACTATCCTTTGGACTACTGGACGTGGGGAATGCTGCAGAGAATATGATGTATGACATATCAAGAGTCGTCCGCAAGTCAGGTGGCTCAACCACTCGTTTGACTTGGGATCGTCCAGCGTCCTTTTATGGATATAGGTGTATGGACACTAGATGAAAAAGGTATTGGGTAGTGTCAAACGTTGGATAGTGGATAGCCTTGCTCAGAGCATGCAAGTGCAGGAGTACTGAATAAACGATTTTCAAAACAGCCTTGCACCCAGAAATATAACCTGGTACATCACCTTCGTCGTGTAGGTCATAAATTTGGATTTCTACGTAAAACTCGTCAGTGTATTCTACCAAAAGTCTTTTATGAAGTTGAGCTGTGGTCATGTAGCCACAGCGCAGATCTATCTGGTTTCCCTCTCGACCTGCTGAGTACCAGAAGGGCTCGTAGTGCTTTTATACGTGCCGATGGGCATACGTTGTCGATACGTCGACTGCCCTGACCGCTGAGGGTCTTTGACTCGGTCGGGCTGCGACAGGCTGCTTACTCCCTCCACAGTTTCGGCCCTGCTTCGTAGTCATCGTGTAGCACATAGTAGCAGGTGTGTTCATTCGTTGTTTCCGGCTTGGGCTTGTTCGTATCGGTCGTCGCTGGACTCATGATTTTAGGGATGGCACAATGTGGGTCCGAGTCAGTAGTCAACAGCTTTGTGGACAGAAAGTGAAGTGAAAATGTCGATGTTGTAGAAATGTAATGTCTTCCTCCTTCAAACCGCCACATAGTTTGCCGGGAACATCCCTTTCACACCTTTAAGTTCGCCCTGCCACCAATCGTCGGTGCTGTCAGTCTTCTTGAGCACTTTGATCTTGTCTCCTTCCTTGAAGGCCAAATCTCCGTCGCCCTGTCCTCCAAAGTCGTATAGTGCAGTAACGAACTGATAGTGGTGGGATGGTATGCGGGGCGGTGGTGGAGGAGGTTTCTTTTTATTTGCGAGACCTGATAGAAGAGTGGCGGAGCCACCAGGTGTCGTAGGCTGCGAGCCTGAGTTGCTAGTGTGCCGATCTCTACTAAAGTAGTCGGCATTAGGTCCAGCTGGAGCATAGCCTGAGGCAGGAGTCTGGTAGGCACTGGTTGAAGGCGAGGGAGATGTTACGGCAGTCTCGTTGGAAGGAGTAAGTAAAGAAGCCGAGGAGGGCGAATGAGAAAGCCTCGGCATTGACGGCTGTGATGAAGGAGCCATATTTGGTCGTGCAGGAGAGACGGAAGTGGCTCGACTGTATGAAGTAGGATGGGACGGTCTACGATGGCCGTTCGTGCCCGGCTTCTGGTTGTGAACATCATCAGTGCTGAAGGACTTTCGGACAGCCTTACCCGACGCTATCATAGGCATCGCTTCCATCTCTTTCTGTCGAGGTTTCCATGCAGTCTCCCATATGCGTATTACTTCATCCATAGGAGGACTCGGTGAAGGAAAGCCTTCTTCTTGACAATAAGAATGCAGCATAGTGTAATAGTGTGCCAGAAGATTGTTTTGAATACGAATCTGTGCAGCAAGGAGGTGCGGCTGTAACGACCACACCGCAGTGAGTAGTGGAGGAAGGTAGCCACGCAGATGGTCGTCTGCAGCTGTATAGGCTTCGGTGGCTAGAGTCAGATCAGATTGAGCCTTAGTAAGTTGTGCCCGCTCGCGATCTGAGAGTCTTGTCTTCTTCATGCTACTGTCGACCCTGCTCTGGTACCTCTCGTAGTCCAATTTCTTGTCTTCTCTCCTCTTCATGACTTTCCTAGCGATGGCCAAATTATCCCTGGTTTGTTGAGCTGGATCGATCATTTTGGCCTGTACATCGTTCAAGTCTTCGGCCAAATCTCGCTTCAGGTCGTCGTATTCGGTCTTGAGTCTGCTTGTCCTGGCAACCAAGTTCGCGAGAGTTTCGACAGGAACGTGGCCGGAGTAGTCCTCACCAGCTCCAACGATGGGAGCATACAGCAGATCTATTTCGGAAAGGAAGCGACACTGAACGGTCAAGATGGACGTCCAAGCGTCCCGCCATGCCTTTGCGGCTTCAATGATCTGTTGGACGAGTCAGTCAGAGGTGTCGTTTGTTGAGTTGCACAACGCACTCTTCCTAACAGCTGGTCTGCATCTTCAAAGTCCTTGAGCAGTAGAGAAATCTGCTGCTCGTCTGCACTTCTCTTCTGGTACTTCTGAAATTGCCTTTGCACAAACATGGTGTATAGCCAGTGGTAGGAGGAAAGTCGAGCCGCCTGTCACGAGTGACATGCGGCAAAGCCCGCTGGTATTCACCTCTCAAGCCAGGTGGTACCGACTTCTAGTGGTGTGTTCCCCTCCTAGAAAACCGTTGTTGAGTTGCACAAACAGGTCCGTGGAGTCCTGAGTAGAGAGCGTGTTCGACGTGTGGAAGTAATAGGTTTCGTTGATTGCCAGTCTAAGGTGTGATTCAAGTGAACACTGCAACAGGTTGAAACTGCAGCCTCTCAGCGAAGGATATTGGAAAGTCGCAACAACGATCCTGCCAAAATGCTGGGGCCAGCCGCAGCTGAAGGGCACTAGTAAAGTGCAGCCCTGTGTGCCAGAAATTATGCCACCGGCACTGATTACGGAGCTCGTGGCTATTCCCCTACAAATCTCCCCAGGCCTGGAGGTGTGCTGAAACCCCCTGGTGGAATTTGTGCCAATGGGCGCAATTTCTGCGGGGCATGCCTCGCGTCTGATTGACTTGTAACAACGTGCACGCTCAAAGCATGTCCTTTGCGCATGTGAAAGCTTGCAGTCTGCGTTTCACGAGACCCGCGATCTCGCTTTATCGTAAGCGAGAAGAACGTCGAACCGTTAATACATGTGCGCTGCAAAAGGTCTTGCTTTGCCTGCATGACATGTATTTAAAGTGATCTGCTAGCAGTGCGGCCTGAGGCAAGCACACCACGCGTTGTTCACGCTCGCACGCGTGACTTCCGCCTTGTCGTCACCAACCAGTTTCACTGCTCGCTACTTACCATACTCGACCTTTGAGCACCAATCTTACAACACCATAACTTACCGTGGCCTCTTCTCAAGTGCGTATTCACTATGGGTCTTGTTAGCACACTCCCGATCCTCACACCACATGATTCACGATGGCTACTCCGACATCCAGCTTGAACCCGCCACAGTCCCAGGTCTCCGCGCCTGTCCACGAATTCCGGTGTATGTTCACACACGATATCTTCAAGAAACAGAAAAAATGGCACGATGGCTCGGTCAAGTTTCATACATTCAACAAGCGTGTCATGGTGTACGACGAGTCAAGAAATTTCGTGGGTGACCTTCACTACAGAGGACCAGAAGAGTTTGAGGAAGGCTTGGAGTTCAAACTCGATAGACCCGTCTTGGTCGAGGTTGGAGATCGGCTAGGTCAAACAGACACTGACCTCACACAACTGCTTGGTAGGCAGAAGCAAGATGGTGCGGTCACCCAAGCCAATAGCCAGCTAAACAGATCCACGTTATCTCGCATAAACACTTCCAAGCCGCTTGTAAAGCCCAAATCAATCAGAGAGCTACTAGGTGCCTCCCAAGGACGATTTGGCCGCTCCAGATTACCACTTCAATCGCCCTATGAGCAGAGGCAAATATCGGGAGGTCTCCAGCCTGATCCTGAGCCAATACCAAAGAGAAGGAAAGTTGGAGAAGAGACATTGACAAAGCAAAGACATCATCACGAAGAGATTCCTCTACAGATTGTGAGCCGTTCTGTTTCGAAACCACTGTCACGTACAGAACACGAACGACCCAAAGAGGTTGTCGAGTTGTTTTCTGACGATGAGCCGAGCCTCAACCACGAACCTCGCACGTTGGCAGGCACGAAACCTAAAGACATCACAACAGCCGCACACAAGCAGACGAACAAACTCAAGCAAGGTACACGGGCAAATATATCGAAGGATGCCACCACCTTTGAGCGACTCAGCAGACCTTTCTCTCGTGAACATGAAAATGCTTCAATGCGACCTAGTTCTGACTCCTCTGACTCTCGGCCTCCTACTGCCACTTCGCGTCGCAGTCAGCGCTTTACATCCTCTGGACCAAGGAGCAGCCTGAAGTTACCCTCGCAGAAGCCTCGTCTCAAGTTGATGTACAAGGCTTTGCTCTCTGCAATACCTGTCGGTACAGACAATATCGGTTTACCTGCGTCCGCCAGGGTTCCTGAGCAGGCTCAACAGGCTGAAACCCAAGCTCCACAATTCAGACGTCCGAGAAATGATTTGCTTGACACTGACAGATTCTTTGCATTGTCCCAAATGCAGCCACTTGAGTCTGGGATACCCTTGCCGAGGTCTCAGGATAGAGTGTCGCCGCAAAGAGATGACGTGCAAGACCATACTCTGCCTCTGAGCCCGCGGACGCTGCCTGGGCAGGTCGAGCCTGGACCTGCAAAAGTACAAGAAGCTGAGATTTGTGTACCTACGAGTCCTCTCTTTATGACGCAAACAGCTTCTCAATCTTCCGCTCTCCCGATGCAAGGGCCCATGCTCGACGCCCTCGACCTCGACTTAGATGCTATGTCTATGCATCGTGACAGTGTTGGTGTCTCGAGCTCTCAGCCTGTCGCAGATGAACCCGAGCCTGACGAAATGCATTCTCCTGAGCTTCAGGTGAGGCTCGACCTGTCTTCGTCATCTCCGTCATACACCCCAACACATCGAACAAGATCAGGGACCGTCACACCGAAAGTCGATGTGCACTTACAACCGTCTATTGAGGACGGTCCATCAGATGCTAGAAAAATTCAAGACCCACAACCAGAGCCTCCGATTCAAGCGGATGTCCGGAGGCTCAAACGCCCCTTCCGCAGGGTCGTTTCGCTTGACCAGCCAGCACTAGAGCACAACAAAGTTAACCACCACGATGGTTTTCAAATAGATCTCTCATCAACGGACACATCAATGCGTGCATCGAACCTGTTGAGTCCTGACCCATACCCTGCTCAAGGTCCACCAGCATTGCTCAGGACCTCCACTTCCGATCCATCCGCGTTTTTGAATATACCTACCATATTTGAGCCGACCGAATGCATTTCGAATGGTGCCGATCCGCTTGAGCAGCAGAAGAAGGAGCAAACCACTGTTGATACTCCAAATCAAGCTCCTGAGGCTGTCTCTGAACCTCTCATACCAGCGTCCATGCCGTCCGAGAGTGGCGCGTGGACCTCGACCGAGGCTTTCTTGCTCTTTGATCGATGGCCGTTGGGCAGACAGAAGCCAGACTACGGACAGATGGCTGACGAGCCGCAAAGCCGCGGGTTGTCTGGTGGGCTGCCAGAGGACGAGCGTCGTGTGCATACCAAGTCTGGAATCACTGCAATGACAAAGAAGTACGGCACTTTTGGAAGCGCCAAACTTGTCTCGCAGCAATGATTTCAATTATTGCATATTGGAAAAGTACCTGTCGCGCTTCGGCCTCGTTTATGCTTCGAGCGGTCCTTTTGAATAGACTGCTTGGTGGTTCTGGTTACTCGGTTTTCGCAGAATCTTGGTTTTTATGCTTCCACCCTCTACTGCTCTTTGCTTACGAGCGTGCAGCCAGAGCTCACATTGTCTACCTTGATACATTTTTTAACCTATTCTGTTGCAACAAATGATGAGTTTAGCTCAATCTTGCTGCGTCGTCACTCGTGATTCGTGTATATTCAGCAATTATCAGTAGAGGTCATCACTGGTCCAAGCTTTGTGACAGACTGTACGTGCGTGGAGTAGTTAGTCAGCAAGGTCATCAGCAAGGTCGGGAGAACACGAAGCAGGAGCAGGTCCTTTCCTTGCGGGCAATGCTGTAGGGTTGACCGTGTGGTAATTCCATGCCGTGCTATTCCCCCTCTCAACCCCTGAGCCATGATATCACAGCTGTGATAGCTCTCGTCAAACCAGGGAGATGCCTCAACAGATTAAGCTGCAAACACGTTCACGAACTCCGACCATCATGTCAAAAATGTGCTCGTTTCTTTACATATGTCTCGGCTCTTGGCTCTGACTTGCACCACCACTCCGCTGCAGATACTCCACATCCTCCGCATTGATGATCGTCATGCATATCGCGATTGAGCTTGATACAATTTCGCAAACAATTATTGGCTTGCCCCTCGTTCACTACTGTAAGGTACTGCTGGAGTAGACTGCAAGATCCACCCGGATCGAACCCTCTGTTCGTTGAGGTGCAGTAGTGCGTGGTTTGTGAAGTTATCTAGCTTGAATTCAATGGAGAGTCCTCCCATTTCATCGAGGCAGCACGATCGACACGGCACTTAACACGATACTCATTGGCTGTCCAATTCTTTGCAAGATGATATTTGTGCGTGTTTATCATGCATGAATTTGGTACAGCTGCATCCTCATGAAGATGAGCTCAATACTGCTCGTTTGTGCAAGGATGATATAACATACGCTGCCCACCTGAGGAGGCCCTGGTCATTCATCCTTTCTCTTTGCCACAGACTCGATATAGTAATCTCAAAATTCTCAGAGCATTTCCTTCTCTACACCGAGATTTATAGATCCTCCAAGACATGCAGCTTTCAAAATCGTTCATCACCTTTGCGATCGTCGCTGCTTCAAGTGTCGTTGCTCACCCTGTCTTCGAACGCAAAGGACCAGCGCACTTCCAGCTGCAGGCTGTCAAAAGTGATATTGCTATCTTGAAGACTGCTGTGGACAAAGCAGTGCCTCAAATTCGTATGAACAACACGAACACCTTTCGAGAAGCTGTATCATATTGACATACAGCTCGCAGGAACCGCTGTCGAAGAATCCTCCAGCGGCGCCGCATTCGTTGATGTCAACGCCAAAGTCAACGCGAACTTACGGACTATCTTCAAAGCGTCGTCGACAGCTGGTTCAGCCGTTGCGCTCGAGCTCGCTGAGGCAGCCACAGAGATCACTGCCCCTGAAGCAAGAGCTCTCAAGGCCAATGTACAGACTCTTGCTTCGGCGGGATCCAAACTCGCTGCTGTCTTTGAGAAGACCGCTGCTGCTGAGGCTAGTGGTGAGTACTCGAGACTTGATGTTTTGTGAAGTTCAAGTACCTGACTGATCGTCTCCTAGCCACAAATTCTGAGCTTACCGCGGAGAAGAATGCTATCTTTTTCGCTCTGGGCGCTATCGTCAAGCCGCTGAAGAACTATGCTGACGCCTCGAAGGCGATTGGTGGAGAAGGTGCTGCAGATGCCGTTGTCGAGTTGCGCAGTAGCGCTGCTGAGGCTTACGCCAATATGAAAGCGGTTGTTGGTGCTTCCACAAATTGAGATTGTGATAAAACTGCGATAGCAGCACGTGTAAAGTAGCTACTATCGCTTCATCGTACCAGGTAGTTTTGGGAACAAGATTAGAATTCGTGACGCTGGCAGATTCAAGGCAGTCCGGTATCTTCTCCGACGTCGATTGAAGCTCTTGCGAAACAAAACTTAGCACGTCGTACTGAACAAGGAACGGCTGTATTGGAATTCTGATCCGTGGTCGTAGCAGACGACAGCTTCTTTTCGCTCTGCACTCCTTGGCCTGAGTACATCCTCTGGGGAAGTCTGTCAGCGCTTTGTTCGGTATTGCTGTGTCACGACCTCGATGCCGTGCCCCAACCTGGAGATGCCAATTTTTGCCATACTTCCTCCTGACCATCACCCCTGCTGCTTACAGTCATACCAGGAACTTTTGGTGGTCCAGGATCATTGACATTTTCAACAAGTCTTGCGTGTCCCTTCGCGACCTCAAGCACTGTTCCACCCACATACTCCTTCTTCAGGATGAGATCAAGCATTCTCTCTGCGACCTCCTCCGGAGCTACCCAATCATCCACTGCCTCATCTATCCATTTCAGCTTCTCGGGATTTGCTGTCCATAAGGGTGTTTTCACGACTCCTGGTGCAACAGCAGTCACTCGTATAGTAGGTATATCCGACTTAGGTTGCTCGAGACCAGCAAGTGACCGTACGAAGCCTGAGATGGCGTATTTGGAGGCAGTATAAAGTGGGTATAGGATCCCAGGATTCTGTGCTGCGATGCTGGAAATGTGAACTATATTGCCTGGTCGTTTGTGCTTGAGGAAGTGGCTAATTGCCAATTGTGTTACACGGATTGGATGCGTGACATTAATGTCCATTGCAGCATAGCGATCGTCTGTAGGTGAGTCAAGACATGGGTGTGTACCCGGCGGTATCCAGAAATTAGAAAAGAGCTAAAGATCAATCAGACAAACATCCATGCAAGGCGATATAGCTCACCTACCGGCTCATACACACCTGCACCCGGACAAACGATGTCTGCAGCGCCAAATTCTTTCTCGCAAGTCACAAACATACGATCAAGCTGCGTCCAGATCCGCACATCTGTCTGCTGAAATACTGCTCGAGGGCTGCCCGTGGCATATGCGTCCACAACTTGCTGAGCTTCAGGCCTGAGTGCTAGATCCGCAAAGACGACGTTACAGCCATGTGACAGCAGGAGTTTAGCGAAGCATAAGTTGATGCCGGCACCTGCTCCTGAAACGATAGCTGTCTTACCATTGACACTTGCAAATGCCATAGTAGTGCTTCACAGTGATGACAGATCTACCTGTGCTTCTCTGTATTTGTTGTGCACAATAAATTGAGAGACACGAGCGAGCTTAGCGACACACCGAAGCTGGCATGGTTGGGTATCCAGTAAACATCGTGCTCAATTAGTATGGGCATGGGTCGTCGGGTGCTTGGCCGGCTTGCTACACCGGTACGCCGACCGGGGATCTGAATGTTCTCCGGACTGCAGTGGTCCGGTAGCTTTCATCACATTTCCTACCTGGCATGATACGCCATAGTAGATTTATCTGGATGAAGCTCTGATCTCGCTCGTGTAGTGTCTGTTTCTCCGCAGCTTGATTGAGATCGAGGACAAACTTGAAGGAAGCGTTGAAGGAGAGCACCTCGGTCGTGCTTGCCTTTCTGGCGGACGTGAAGGATTCAAATCTGCACGTGATATGTCTACCTCCTCAACATGTCAGTGGTGCCGCATTCTTTTCCTGTAACAATATACCAAGTATTTGATGGTCAGACATGAACTTCGAACAAGGGTCTTACCGTTGTTGCGGCGTCCTCGCCAACTCCGCTCCGTGCCCCTTGTTCGTGTCACCAGTCATATGATACTGATCTTCAGCATTACTTCCTCTTACTGTCATTTAGGCTTAGAACTTGCATGGCGCCAAGGCCGGTGGGAACATGCTACTGAGGCTCTTGGCCTGCTTCACTTCGACCAGTTCTTGATAGTGCGCATATAGTACGATCATGCGGTCGTGTTGGCAGACTAGCAGCCTGAACCTTGCCTCTTCAAGCAGACTTCCAGCAGGAAAAGCTTTCCCAGACCGAGATTTGTCCTCATATCGATCTAGCGGGAGAACACCGACGAGGCTGTCTTGGCAGCTGCACGAACATCCACCAGAAGACACAGGGATGAGAACTGTGTTACTACGAACCTCCGCATGGGGTACCCCGGAGTTTCTTCGCAGTGGGGAGTGCCGACCGGAGACAGTGCTTATGAAAGTTGTGCTCCAGGGCCAAAGCCTGCCGCCCGATCCCACAGGCTCGAGTATATATGTTTTCGCATCACCTTCGCTCAGTCAGCTCGATATAGCTGTGTCTGAATCTGCTGAGATTACGATCGACAGCAATGCCACGCAAATATCTTGGAGGTTCTGGTGAAGGACTGACCGTATGGATTTCTATAGCAGCAAGTACCGTGTTGATTTTCTACGGATACGATCAGGGTGTCTTCGGAAATATACTGGTTAAGGAAGACTTCCTCCATACTGTTGGGAACCCTTCGGCAACCGCTCAAGGTACCATGACCTCTGTGTACAATCTTGGCTGCTTTGCTGGCGCACTCTCGACTTTATACCTCGGAGATAAGCTCGGAAGACCCAGAACACTCATGTTGGGTTCGTCGATAATAGCTCTCGGTGCCATCGTTCAAGCTGCTTGCTACAATGCTCCAATGATGTACGCATCCCGCGTAGTTGCTGGCTTGGGGACAGGGATGAATACTTCCACCGCTGGTGTCTGGCAATCTGAAACTTCCAAGATGCGCAGTCGTGGCAAGCTCATCATCATACAGATGGCGAATTGCATCACCGGATTCGCTATCTCGAACTGGCTCACCCTCGGCTTTAGCTTCGCGCCTGGAAGTGTGTCATGGCGGTTTCCATTGGCATTCCAGATCTTCTTTTCTGCACTCATTTGGATGATGTGTCCTTTTCTGCCGGATAGCCCAAGGCTACTGATTCGCAAAGGCAAGTTCGACGAAGCATACGAAGTTCTGGCAGCCCTCGAAGGCCATGGTGCTACGGTCGATTCACTATCTGTTAGAACGCAGTTCTCGATCATCAAAGATGTGCTTGATAAGGAATATGCGCAGACCTACACATGGTGGCAGCTTATTACAAGCAGGGGGCCTGCAGGAGTGGTCAGGAGAATGATCCTCGGGGCTTGGATGCAAGCAATGAACCAAATCTCGGGAATTAGTAGGCTTCACATTCCTGCTCTCCTTATAGGCACATCAAAGCTCACCATGTTACAGATGTCACATCATACTATATGACTTACGTCTTTATAAATGCCCTGGGTATCTCGGAGCTGCTCTCTCGTATCCTGGCAGCGGCGGGGTCAATGGACTATCTGTTCTTCTCCTTCATGGCATACTTCGTCATCGAACGCTTCGGGCGCCGGAAGGTCATGATGACCTCCGCTACTGCCTGTGGTATCTGCTGGATGGTTATCGCAATTGCTCTTGGCCTCAGTGAGAACGGGAGAGGTGATCCCTACAAGCTAGGCATCATTGCGGTCTCCTTTTTCTTCGTGTTTTTCGCCTCTTTCGCCTTGGGGGTATTAGGGGTTCCGTGGCTCTACCCTACCGAGGTGAACGCCCTTGCGTACAGGGCAAAGGGTGCAAGTCTCGCTATGTCCTCTAACTGGTTGATGAACTATTTGGTAGCTCAAGTAACCCCTCCTGGCATTGCAAATCTTGGTTGTAAGTATCTCATGGCGGCCAGCCCTGTTCACAGACTGCCACGTATGTTAGTGTAAATTATTGAGCTGACACAACACATAGGGAAGTTCTGGCTTATTTGGATGGTTCTTTGCTTCTCCTTTGTCCCCATCACCTATCTTTTCTACCCTGAGACAGCAAATCGTTCGCTCGAGGATATCGATCGCTTCTTTGGCGACAATCACGACATCTTTGTGTTCAACAACAAAATAGCCACACAACTACACAGGCCAGCTATTTACGAAGAGGCAGATCAGGAGATTGCAGCAAGGAACAGAAAGCTTCATGACGAACAAGAACCAAGCACGAAGGGCATTGAAGTGACGATGGTGGAAGAGAAGTGATCTCGCAATTCCGGTGTTGCGAGAAGTATGGTAGGCTCGACCAGATGTCATGATCTGCACGTCTATCTTGAATTCCTTTGGTAGACATCTGGCCCCCGTCACAGAAACCCCATCTTCGAATACCACTCTAACAATAACCTCCCCATCAGTTCTATCAATCTATACTTCCATTGCTGGCAACACCTTCTTCCTCCTCAACCTCAACCTCCTCTTCGTCACCGCATCTCATTGCCTCGATCTTGCTGCAGAAGAGCTTATCTTTCCGGTCCGCTTTCATCCTTGCAAGCTCCTCGAATGTTCGGCTTGCGAGCATTGCTGGGCGGTAAGGCGTCGATTTTACATCTTTCGAGTCATCGAACCTTCCCGGCTTGTCGTCTTTGCTTTCTTTGTCCGAATAGATCTCGAAGACATTCTTATCCAGATCGATGACATATGCCCGCTCACAAAACAGGTAGTCCGTGACGAACTCGACTTCTCTGACAATCGAAACCTGGTTCTTGGCGTATGCAATCGAACTCAGGACCCCTGAACTAATAGTTCTGGAGAATGATGGCTCTGCAGCATCCGACTGCTCGTCATCTGGGCACTTGACCATGTTGTTGTCCAGTGCTAGCCTCAGGGCAGCTATGTTGTCCTTTGGTGGAGTTTCGCTGGCGCTAGCTTTGGTTACCTCAGCCTGGTCGCTGTTCGGATCACCCCTGCGCGGTCCAAAATCATTGTTGGTGATGAAGTCGATGATGTCCCGTCCTTGACATGTTGGATAGCCATCATATTGTCCGTATTGAGCTATGGCCCATTTGCCTTTGTACCAGACTAGAATCAGGTGTCGAGTGCCCATAATTGCTTGTTGGTGGTTATTGAATTGGTTTCTGCCAGATGAAATCAGATGAATTAGGTTTTGCTCTCAGTCTATATAGCAAGACATAGCAGATGCCAAGCACAACGCCAAGTGCGTTGGTCGTCGCTCCCTTGCAACTGAATCAGGCCACAGCAGGCAGCGCTTGCTTATTATTGGCTGCTGTCGGCTGCTGAGAGTGCATTGACAACGTAGCAAGGTAGGTATCACGATGATTTTGTTAGAAGCAACACAGTTTTGTGAGATACCTGCCATAACTGTCACGATTCATGAGTCTGTCGAAGATCTATCACGAAGACCGGGCCAAATCAGGTCTCGTGTGGTGGTACGAAGATGGGAGAAGAATCGTGGACAAGAACACAACTGAAATGATGGGAGATGTAAGTCGACATGATCAGAAAGTGATTTCTGTACTTTGCAAGCGTTGACAACTGTCTCCATCGTGGTAAGATCGGGCCCGTTGCTGTCGTATATGCCGTCGTATCATACAGAGCTCTGTGGATGCTATTTTGCGTTTCATCTCCTCCCACCACCCGCTGCAATTGAGCCATGCTTTCCCTCATGGTCGCTACTCAGTACGGTGTGACTGGCGCGACGTATGCTCTGGGCATCGGTGGTGGCAAGTGTTGCTTCTCCCCCACAGGTCCTGTATTGGCCGCACCTGCCTCGAGATCTCGCTGTCTTTCTGAATTTGTCGTGCTTATCGACGGATGTCGAGCAAGATATGCTTCTCTCGCCCTGCGATCCTCCTCGATTTCCTGCATATCCATTCGCATGCCCTTTCTGTAGTGGCGAGGAAACCACCACCAGATGAATGCGAACATTAGAACACATATAGCACCAAGGATACCTGCTGGTATAGCGGCAGCGGAGTTACCCATGGTGTTGCGATTGCTCTGCGATGCTGACTTTTGAAGCACTCGATTGATGAATGTGCTGGCCTGCACTCAAGAAGCGGATTATGGAGGTGTGGAGGACTTTATGCGGAGTTATACTCGTATCTCAAATCTCGGACTATTGAGTTACACCAAGCTTTTTCAGAAGTACCAACAGGGATTTGTGGCTCTTTAAGGAAGCAAATTTTGCCATATGGAGGAAAGCAGAGATTATATCTGCCAGAACTATATCGCCGCAAAGTCAAATAGCAGTTAGTGAGTCCTGCTAATCCATGACGACCACTATTCGAGTAGCAGTATCACGGCATCTCCTAGCCGAACCACGCGGGGTACCTCCACGATACGACGCTGCCTGTCAAAGATAGCGCGAGCGTCTCTTCCAGATGTGGGTTTCCTCCGAGCTTAGATCTGATAGATCCTAGTGAGAGACAGAATAGGAACCAATGGAAGTGAACAGGCACGTTGCTCAGTCAGTAGAGCACAAGAATACGACGCAAATGGAATGACTTCCGTGGCTCTCTTTACGTTCAGGAAACGAGGACGAACCACGTTCTATGAACAAAACAAATACTGGTTTACCAGTACTATGTGCGGTATCTCCGAGCTCGACAGGCCGGACGAATCACGCCTTCAATGGCTGGTATACAATCTGCTAATCGTAGTGGTCTGAACCTATAATTTAAGTGATCGTAGCGAAGTGCAGCGGAAGCAAGCTATCACATCGATGACAATGAGGATATACCAGTGTTCGAACGTGTTATAGCGTTCGTAAGGCAACACCACCGTGACCGCCTTGAACACCCTGAGGTGTATTCGAGGCAGAGCGGTGATAAGAATAACGCGAACCTCGCCATACATCCCTGATGAGACGATAGCTGGTGAACCCCTGGGAACCCTGTAATTCTAGTACTAGTTATAGTTGCTCGAGCCCTAAGACGGCGCCTATAACCTTATCGGGAAAGTGCAACGAGGTTCACGTTATTATTATCACCGCTCCGCGAGGATCCGGAGCGAACCAGTGCGAGCCTCACGTTGCCGACATCCTCCCCTTAAGGTCCATGTGATACAGCAATATGGTCGAAAAGTGACACAAACATTGTACCTTCCTAATAGAGAATGTCAACAACTACGTACTGAATACGCACTGGAGTCGTGCCATTTTCTCTAAACGATCAGTCCGTATCGTTGTAATAACCTAGAATCATGGATTGAGGAAGGTTTAATATACAATATGGACGAGACACGTATAGATGCAGCGCCAACTCCAGCACATATCTTTGCATATCGTGCCTTTCGCGGAGTTTTCTACCAGTCGCCAGATTCGTCCCCAGTCAGGCGTACAGAAGACCGCATTAACCTGGAGAGCAAGAAAGAGAATGGTCCGATCCCACCTACTCGAACGTCTCGATTTGCGACTTCTCCTGTGAACACTAAGCGCAAAGGAGTTGAGACAGATTTAGCATCTCTCAATATCAGTCTCACACCCAAGAAACAGAAGACCATTCCAGTGTCTCCTAGCAAGAGCATATTGAAAAAAGCGAATGTGCCTACACCACGGAAATTGGGACTCAGGGACGTCACTGTGACCTTTAAGGATGCAAGAGCGAGCATTAGTCCCGAACTCGCCAGACGAGGTTCACCACAAAGAGTGCGTTCGCAGCCACAAAACAATAGTGATGTGTTTCGAAGCCTAGTATCGAAGAATGCCTACCCTACAGGTGCCTCCATAGAAGCCGCAATAACCACGATGCCACGCAAATCGGTCCCCGACTTTGACCTTGGCGCATACAAGGCACAGACTGAGAAGGAAATTAGGAGGTTGATGAAGTATGGGCAAAAATGGAAAGAGCAAGCTAAGCGGTACGAAACTGAGAACTTGAATCTACAAACCTTGCTGGCAGATGCTCGCAAGCAGAATGAGAGGCTCAATAATAGACTATTGCAATCTCAGCAGCTTGGGGCTGTTCGGTCCCCATCCTTGCGTGATCAGGTCAAGCGCAAAGCCTCGCTACAAGAGAAAACGAAGGAGCTGTATACCATTGAGCCACATTTATGGCGCTCCTTCGAGTCCGAGACTACGCAAGCCTTGGAGAAGAGAACTGCTCGAGCTTATGCAACAAATGGTTACAAAGTAGATAGCAATGTACAAAAGACCAGCGACCCGACGTCACGAACTGCAGAGCAAGATGTATATGGAAGACCTCACCAACAGCATCACAATTCTCAACCGTCATACACGACCACTGCTGGAGCTCCACGGTCGGAAGCACTCAAGCATAGGACAAGTACTCCCTCAGAGAACAGGTCGGCGTCAAGATCAGATTCTGACCTTTCGGCTATGGAAAGAGCTCAATCAACATCAAGGGCCAAAGATGTGGATGTCCAGACGCCAAGAACGAATTCCAGAGCATTGATGTCGTTGACCGCAAACACCCACCACCGGGACGAACTCTGGAAAACTCACGAACTTTCGCAAACCCGAGCAGTGAGCAATCCCGATCCTGGCAAGGCAGAAAGACTGGCGGCCGCTCGTTTGCGACTACAACATAGGCGGCAGGCGCGAGGCACAAGTATCAGCCTTAGTCCTACAGGGACGGGTGGTTCAATCAGTACTCAGGCTGCTCTGGCAACAAAGGACTTGTCCAGCATTACTGAAAGAGACAATACTCAGGTGGATTGGGTGGGTGTGTAAGAGACTATCATTGCGACATATTGCACTGAGATATTCTATTGCTGTGCGAACGATTTCTATCACGCGTGGTTACGAGTAAACTATCTTCTCGGGAAAGCGCTCTGCAAGGTCACCCAGATAGTCAATATGTGCCAGCACGCCAAGGAACCTGGTTAAACTCCGAAGCGTCGCAATCTACAAGGTTTAAGTTGGAAACGAAGACATCAGAAGTGGATGGTACAGTATCGCTCTCGATAAACTCTATCCTAGACTCTCCTCGTAATTGCCACCAGCTGTTCCTCCCAGCACAATTCCATCCGTCTGAGTACCTGCACTCCTACCCATTGCCACAGTACTCGTACCAAAACGATCCTGTTCTCTTTTCAACCTCTCCTCTTGCTCTCGCTGAGCCGCCTTCCTCTTCTTCTCAATCTCCGCCTGCTCCCTACTCTTCACACTGTAATACTGCAGGAACGCCAGTGTCATGCTCGCCGCAGCACCTATGGCTAGCGCTGCTCTCCTAGTCAGGACCCATCGGAGTCCTTCAACCTCGGACCTCGAATCTGAGTTGAGGTCTACCGAGATGCGATATGACAGACTCTGTATTTTCCCATCCACTTTCCGCTTCTCATCAGCTAGACCTAGCTTACGGTCATTGAACATGCCCTTGAGTTCTTCGCGCATGGAAGCGACGTCGTTTCCCACCTTCTGATTAAGTATATCGTATTCATGCTGTAACTGTGCTCTCTGACTCCGCTGCTTTTGCGCCTCCATGAACCGCGACGTCTGCATCGTTGTCTTAAGCTCGCTGCACGCTGCGCGGAATAGATATGTCTCGTTCTCGGTGTCGCTCTTGCTTACCAGGCCTTCTTTTGCTAGGTCGAGGTTCTGCGCAAGCATCAGGCGGATGGACTTCATGAGTATTATCGCTTGTTTTGAGGAGAAGGTTTGGTCGGGTGACGCATTGGGGTCGTGGGGGTTGGGCGCTGCCTCTTTGCAGAGTTCTTGGACGAGGCTGTAGGTGTCGAAGTGGTGCTCGTATGGAGAGGCTTCGAGGTGGGGGTGGTGCGAGGAGGCGCCATCTGCTTTTACTTCGCTTGGGGAGGGGATGGAGAGGACTATATCTAGCTCTCGATTGGGTAATGGACCGTCGTCAATACTTTGCGGAGGTTTTTGAGGTGGTGGTTGTTGTTGTTGATGCTGCTTCGGTGCTGGCTCCTCAGGCTTGACATCGGTAGCTTGCAGGGTATCTTCTGGCTGAGGGCTGGAGTCTTCCTTCTGCTCGGCCTTCTTCTCGACGTCGTTCTGTTTCTGTACATCGCGTTGTTCCTCCTCCTTGTCTTTCTCCCTATTCTTCTTGTGCTCTGTCCTTTTCACCTCAATATCTGACGCATCTTTCTTCGCTTGCTCTGTGCTAGGTAGATATGGATCACTGGGCTTGGGTGGTGGTGGCATTGCCGGTGTCGCAGCTGGTCCATATCGCTGATAGCCCTGCTCCTGTTGTAGCCTTTGACTGGAAGTATGCAGTTCGTTTATCCATGATAACGCAGTCGGTCGATTGCAAATACTGTGATATGTCTGTGGTCGGCAGCTTCTAACAGCGCGAAAGAAATTGACTGTCAATATAGGTGGCTTCGCTGTCGCCATGCTTCTCAAGCGTCGAAAGCTTCGTGGAATCTCGTGGTCTGAGGACTCGCTTCTCTATAGGTTTAGATTCTTGGGTTAACGAGAAGATATCGCTCGCCAATGCGGGATCGGCTCGAAGGACAAAACAAGCGCCAAGACTGCTGAGGATGGATCAACGTTGAGGCACGCGGGCATCATCAGGAGGAAGCTTCCGCGACACGTCCCGGCCAGCAAAAGCGTCAGGGGCAGACCCGCAAATTTGCTGTGACAACCCAACAAGTCCAAGGTTTTGCTGGCCAGGAGATACCAGACTTGTCGTCAAATAGGAGTGCTGCTTTTGCTATGGACGTTTGAGAGTAGCGAGTGACGTGGGACTAACAATGAGGTCGCTCTTGTTGCTCATCGTTGCCTCGTGCAGCCAACATGATGATGAGACAAGTAGCTTGGACTTATCTTGCGACAATCCAGCCTGCCAAACAGGGCCAATGGCAACACCCATCACCATATGGTAAACAATGCACGACTTTGATGGAAAGTCACGGAAAATTCAGTCTTTACAAGGTGATATAGCCGTCTTGTGTGAGTGAAGGTGCAGGACAGGCCTGCACGGCAGTGAAAGCACAACACAAAGCTTCACTGCCGCGGTGGACTACAGTGTCCATGACATGTCGCTCGGCGAAGGTTCTGTAAGGTGGCTTCTATGCATTGTGCAGCATGCAAACTTCAAAACGTTTGTTGTTAGGTTTTCTATATCTTTTGAGCGTTCTAACTTTGGTTCTCAAACCCTACTAAAACCTCTTACAATCTAAGTATCCAGCATGGCCAGATTGAGGGGCATACAAGTGCTAATCCAACAAGCATGCCCACAGAACACGTGGTCCAGCCTTGAAGAAACAGATTTGGAAGACAGTGTGAAGGATATGGCCAATTCTGCTGCACGCTGGTCAACTGGTGTGGAGGCCTCCTCAGGACTTTTTCGATTTCTTGTTGTCGTGGAGAAGGGCTTCGAATGGAAGGGAGCTACTGGTCTTGAGATTATCCTTACCTTTGATGATGGCTACTTGCTCAACGACTACCGCACGCTCGCGATTAGACCTGAAAATGCATCCCACGACATGGATGTGAATCCAGGTATCCACCCTATGAGCGAGCGTCCTCCCGATGGCTGCTTACAGCTGGAGCTCAGTAATGTTGTCCTTCCATGGCCAGAGGATCTGTCAAGATCGGAGTATAGACAGGCAAGTTTCAGCTTTGAGACACTGAATAGAACACAGAGAGTCACAGGTAACAACTCGAAGAGACGCGAGTCCTTTTCTGACATAGGCATGTTGAAAGTGCAGATCACTCCAGTGTTCATACGTCCAGCTTCCAAAGACACGCACATCGCACATAACTCTAACTCGGATTACCAGGCGCATGAGACTTCGCTGATGAAAGCGAAGCCAGGGGTGAGCTTGAAGGCTGGGCTGCAATGGGGGATCAACCCTGTGCAAGGTGTCTGCGCATACTCAGGCGGGAGTTTTGGCGTTAAGAAACGCACCTTCATGTTTTTCTATAGGGAAGATGGGAGGTATGTTAAAGTGCCTGAGTCTGAAATTGAAGTTCAGGACGAAGACGACAGAACCGCTGGTCGATTCAGGGCGTCCTCCCGAGCGACCTATATTCCTGAAGAACCGTCAGATCAGGCACAAATGTCCAGTGTTGGGGTTGAACCCATTCCTTTCGACCCCACCTCTCACGAGAATGCCAGTGTGACTCCTGAGAACGGTTCGTACTCACAGATACATGAGATATTACGCGCCTTCGAAATCGAGAGTGCTCGGAAGAACACAGAGAAAGAGCAGCTTATTGTAGAAACGCTTGAGGACAGGAATGCAGAGATTCGGTCTGAACAGCAAAAGTTACAGGAGCAGAAAGATGAACTAGTTCGCACAGAGGATGCATTGAAGGCAGAGCTAGAGCAGAACAATAACCGGATTGATACAGCGAGAGCACGTCTTCAAGATGTTCAGGGAGGACGCCCGTCAATATCAGTTGACGAAGTCGAACACGTGTTCCAAATCCTCAGAAATGATAGGCAGAGAGAGGCGGAGGAGGAGCTGCGGGAAGTGGAGGACAGTGTTGAGAAAGCCAGGAAGCGACGACGAAGTGCACTGTCGGCAGGAGACCGTCCCTCCAGTCATCGAGATAGTGGGAGGTTCGAGGGAAGGTCTCATAAACCTGGCAATCGATGTGACGAGAAGAAGTACAGCAGCATGGTGTGTCGGATTATGATTTACATGCTGGTAAACAGTGAGAGATGTGAAAAGCTCGGGAAAGGACAAGAGGGTAGTAGTGAGAGGTCATCATGTGTGGTCTAGTCGTTCTTGTTTGGATGCGTATCAAGCTGTTGGCTTTCTTGGAAGGCACGTTCGTGTTCCTAGCATACAGATAGGTTCAGTAACAGATCTACCAATACATCTCCGGCATCGGCTTCTACATGTGATTGAGATTTTGTATTTGTGCACAGCCAAACCTGCGGCAGATCCAATACTCATAGTGTCCAGGGTACTGCTTGGATTCAGCATACTATCACGGATAGAAAGTCCTCAATGAGCTCGCTGAACTTTTACCCTTTCAAGCATTGAAGGAGCTCTGGCGAGTCACCACCGAGAAATCACCGAGTCCAGGTACGAACACCAGCACCTGCCACAAGGCTCAATTACAGGGGAATATTTCAGTGTTTTGAAAGCTTACCGCCAGGAAAGAAGACCGCAAAGTTCTTTTTTCAGTACTGAGATCTAGGTCAACGTGAAGCTGCTGGTCGAAGCATAATTTAAAGCATTTGTTGACTGTCTCCGACCGTTGCCGCGTGTCGCAAGCTCTCCCCGCGTCAAACGAGTCAACATTGCTTTTCTCCGGATTTTGAGCACTACGCAACGCGTGTTGACTCTACTGGTGTAGTTGCCTTCCACTTGCTGGGTTTTTGATAATCTGAAGATTTGAAGTGCCGATTCTCGCGTCTCGCCCTGCAGAAAGTTTACCCGGTACCGTTCGTGCCTTTGAAAACGGTTGTTGCTTCGTGGACGAAAGCAAAGTGGAGATACGTGGAGAGCAGAGAGGGGAACATCACGTAGGCGATGTCAGAGGTGTCGCGATTTGCATTTCTCGAAAAGCTATGTATCACGGCATGGTTTGGATGCCACTTGCGTTGCATGGACATGATACCTGATGCTGGTGGTGGGGAACGAGGAAAAGTTCGAGGTATATAGAGGAGGGGAGCTCATGTAGTAATGAATGAATCTTCTGTTATTTATCCTGCATCGCACCTTCAGTTTGTTTACGATCCGAGAAGGTTTTTGGGTATATCGACAGCGTAAACGATCAGCAAGATCTTACTGCTGCCGCACAGGTAAGCAACCCTTCACCGAGTCCACGTATGCTTTTGTCTATCATCCGGGGTCAAACTTCATCAGACTCAGGCCTGGATTCGCAGTTTAGGCGTCATTAAGTCCAGCTCCTATCTGTGCCTCACCTCTGCATCCACCTTCGAACCTTCCGAATCAGGCATGACGCAACGATACTAAGTTCAAGCTGCAGATCAACCTTGAAGCTCGGTGAATACAATACAAGCTATATTTCCACCTCACGAGTCCTTGAGCTTGAGCTTGAGCTTGCGAGTCTCTTTTTCTCGAAGATCGTTGAAGGTCACAAGTCAATAAAATGGTATTTGCACGATCTTTGGCACGCCCAGCCAGCAGCTTGTTGTCTGCTTCCCCGCATTTGGGTCGCCGGGCTCTTCCCAAAGCTTTCGGCACACAATTCAGCAGATCACTAACAGCATCTGCTTCTCGACAGGGCAAAGTCCTGCTCGTCCTATACGACGTAAGCTTCCGAGGTATATAAATGCGAAAGAGACCATACTGAAAGACCTGCAGGGCTTTGAGCACGCCAAACAGCAACCTAGATTGCTCGGTACCACAGAGAACGAGCTCGGTATCCGAAAATGGATTGAAGAACAAGGCCATGAACTCGTCACCACCTCCGATAAGGAGGGAGAGAACTCAGAATTCGACAAGCACATCCCAGATGCCGAGGTCATCATCACCACTCCGTAAGTGAGGAAGTCGTAGCACGCTACTCTGTCTGACGTGTGCAGCTTCCACCCAGGTTATCTGACCGCAGAACGATTGGCTAAGGCTAAGAAGCTGAAGATCGCCATTACTGCCGGTATCGGTTCGGACCATGTCGATTTGAACGCTGCCAACAAGACCAACGGTGGTATCACAGTCGCCGAGGTTACTGGCTCCAACGTCGTTTCCGTCGCCGAACACGTCGTCATGACCATCCTCACCCTTGTCCGAAACTTCGTCCCAGCCCACGAGCAGATCGAGAAGGGTGACTGGAATGTTGCCGCAGTCGCAAAGAACGAGTTTGATCTCGAGAACAAGGTCGTCGGTACAGTCGCTGTTGGCAGAATTGGCGAGCGTGTCTTGCGAAGATTGAAGCCATTCGAGTGCAAGGAACTCCTGTACTTCGACTACCAGCCACTTAAGCCTGAGATTGAGAAAGAGATTGGCTGCAGACGAGTTGAGGACTTGGAAGAGATGTTGGGACAATGTGATGTTGTCACTATCAACTGCCCTCTCCACGAGAAGACTCGAGGTTTGTTCAACAAGGACCTGATTTCCAAGATGAAGAAGGGTATGTCATCATTTTCCTGTCTCATCGCATACATACTGACATGTTGCCAGGTGCTTGGCTCATCAACACCGCTCGTGGTGCGATCGTAGTCAAGGAGGATGTTGCTGCCGCTCTCGAGAGTGGTCAATTGAACGGTTATGGTGGTGATGTATGGTTCCCACAACCAGCACCCAAGGACCATCCACTGCGATATGCAAAGAACCAATGGGGTGGTGGTAACGCTATGGTTCCTCACATGTCTGGTACATCGATCGACGCTCAAGAGCGATATGCTGCTGGTACCAAGGCTATCTTGGAGAGCTACTTCTCCGGTAAACACGACTACAGACCTGAAGATCTCATTGTCATCAACGGTGACTATGCCACAAAGGCTTACGGTCAGCGAGAGAAGAAGCAATAGACGTCGCAGTGATTTGCGATGAGTAGATATGCAATACGAGCTGTGGAACAGCGCACGCGACCCATTGCGATCTAAATGAATTTAGCCTCTTTTGCATAATGGCCCCACGATCCTGCCAAGAATATAGAAAATATGAGGCATGCTCTGAAGTGACAAACCTTCCCTCTTGCTTTGAACTGCCAATGCCTCGTATTGCGCTCCAGAAGTGTGGCACATCCTGATAGGAAGATGCGCAGTTCATGCTGCATTTGTTGTTCATGCAAGAAGCCTAGCCTCACCACGGTTCTGGTCAAGCGATGCGGAATCACTGTAAAGCTCAGGGCAAGCGCAGAATGATTGGTCAACCAACACATACTAGGCAACAACTGAAGTTCTGCATTAGTATCAGCAGTTGCGTACTAACCATGAAAATGAGCAGGACTTGTGACAATGTCCACCGTGTGTCTGCTTGACTGACATTCATGTTATCTGTATCTACCTTTGACAATATTGTGCTACACTGCATACTACTTACTGATGACAATCTAGAATCGTCATAACTTATCGCAACGTAATGAATGAAGCTGGAACAATGGCTGCTACCCTGGGGTTGAGATGGGCTCTGACGGTCTATGGCATGATAGATCTTGTTGTGCCATACTTGCTTGGACGAGAACTCAATGCGCGACGGCTATCTTTCAACCGTCGTGTCGGCGATATGTTGCTTCGAACACGATTTACGAGATCACGAGGTCGGTTCCTTCTGAGACGACTAAAGCATGGCATTATCAATACGGTACGGCCGCCAAAGTCTCCGCTACTGAGTCTACCTTACGAAATACGCGAGCAGATCTACCGAGCTATGTGCACATCAGAGTCTGATGGCAGAGTCATTGGACTTATGAACCTTCTATTGATCGACAAACAAATCTACCTGGAAACCCTACCAATCATCGACCAAATAGAACACGTTATACGAATGGGCGACCTCCAAGGATATGAGGTGAGCGACGTCGAATTCATGGGCCTGCCGAAAATCCTGAAGCTGGAGAAGAGTTTCGATTGGCACATGGCGAGCTTGAAGCACTTAGTCCTGGAGGTCGCAATATGTGGTATTGGCAGCATGACTCCCGACTGCTTCGACGTGAACATATCACACAATGCTAAGGATCAGTGGCGTAACCTCAAACGCCTGATAGGTATCTGGCCAGAGATTCGAGAAGAACCACTGACTTCCATACGGATTGACCTAAGAATGTCTGAATGCAGCTCCAAATGCAAGACATACCGAGCAGATTTCATAAGAGTCATACGCAACTTCAAGAGAACAAAAGTGTGGGCAGAGACAGGCGACTGTGCAGTACACCGTGGCAATAGGAGTTTGTTGCTTCCTCTGGCGAGAGCGTTCAATCAGGGTCGGAGAAACTGGGTGAAGCAGAGCAATGTGGGCAACAACCTTATTGTCAATTATGATTCGCAGGTCCTCAAGAACCACGCTGCAGAGGCAGGTAGCGAAGGAGATCAAGCAGAAAAATTCAAGAAGCAGCGAGCGAAGTGGAGCGTCATGCCTACAGCCGATACCAGTAGAAGTAATTCTGCAGTGTGGCCCGAGTGGACTGGCAAGGAAGAAAAGTACATCGAGGATAAGATGCTGCAGAGGACGAGGGATTGTGACGATGAGTATGAATGTCGAGAGTGTCTGGCCGTTTTCGACAAGCCCAGAGATCTGAGGCAACACATCGCACGTGGCCGGCAGAGGGTTGAGAGCAAGCAGTCCCCAAGCACTGAGGTGAAATGGTCGTGACGCAGGGTTGCTCTTGTTCAGCTGCGGATCGGCATGCGTATCTCTACTTGGAGGAACAGCGCCGGTATACCATGTATCTTTGAAGTGGAAACGCGACTTTTGGCTTCATACGTTTAAGACGTTTGTAATATATATTACGTGTGAGAAGATCCAACAGATCGTTTCGATTTTATTCACTGTTTTGAGGAGACCAGTTTCTTCGGCGATCACCCAATTGCCTGTGAAACCATATGCGCGCCACATATTATCGGCAATTGACGTTGCAGATCACATGCTGAACGACTGGTCACAGGGGTGAGTCGATCCTCGTTAACTAATCGACGTCACTGTCAGCACGATGGGAGATTTGGACAACTTTCAATATGAGCGTGCCTGATTCTGGTAAATACCTGTGCCATGCAAATGCTGCGTGAGTTTCTCAGTTTCTAGAGATACAGATCATCGAGCAAGATGACTGCTCAATTCTTCTCAAATCTCCTGTTCACGAAACCGGATATTCACACCGCGAAAAGACAGCTCGATTACCCTCTCTATGCCGCCGATTTCGACCCACTAAATCACCATTTCCTCCTTGTAGGAGGTGGAGGGGGCTCTTCCTCCACCGGCGTGCCGAATAAGATCACACTACTCGACACATCAAATCGGTCGGAGATCAAGGAAGTTTCTGAGGTTATTATCCCAGCAGAAGAGGACTCGGTGGCTTCTCTGAGGGTAGCAGACTCAGATCCGCAGTCGCTGCTTGCGTATGCGGGTATAAACAGCTCGCAGAAAGATCAGAGGACTGGAAAGAATGAGCACTTTAGATCCTTTCGCGTGCCACTGCCTGCGCGGAGAAAAGTGGATGGAGGGGAGGTTACTGTCAAGAATTTGATGGTTGAGCCTGTGCAGTCACTTGCGCGGACGAGTCTCTTCAAATCAGCGACTGGGCTCAAGAATGAATGCTACCAGCGTGTATTGAAGTTGTCACCGCCCATCGTTGATGAGTTTGTACCGGCTGGGAGGGACGGACTAGAGAAGCCCACCAAGACGCTGAAGAGGAGGCTCGTCACAATTGCTTCTGGACTGGCTGAGCAGAATGAAGTGATCACATTTCCAGCTGAGGAGTCACCTTCGAGGGGAAACGTGATCTCAAGGCTCGGTTTGGAGAAAGAGGAAGCCAACGATGTCGACTTGACGAGTGTCGACGACACAGGATCAGCTTATGTACTAGGCTACTGTACAGATCACATACTGTATCTACAGCAATTGGCTGGTGCAAAAGGTACCAGAAACTCGGATGGCATACCCGTGTTTGAAACGGCCACTGGCCCTCAAGGACGCTCCAAGATCAGAGCACTGCGGTTTCTCAATTCTCGATATTTGCTATTGCTCCAGAATAGAGTCAACCGTAGTGGAGCCGAGCTGATTGTGTTCAAGATCTCCAAGGATTATGCCCAGGTACAACAAGTCTTGGTCAAGTACATCAACAACATGAAACAGGCAGTTGGGCTCGACACATGCACATTGTCGAAGGATGAAGGCGGTTCACAACAATTCGTCGTTTCCGTAGCTGGCCAGGACAGCTCACTTCAAACCTACACTCTAGATTATGTGGGTGGAAGAGGTATGACACCCTTTAAGCAGTACGCAGACTTTGTCGACGTGCACAGTGGTCCAATCACGAAGATAAGCTTCTCGAATTTTATCTCTCCGAGTTTACCTATTACTGGAGACACACCCCCACAATATATTCGCCTAGCGACAGTCGGAGTAGACAAGCAGGTCATAGTGCAGACGCTACCGTTGAGACCTAGTCCGGCAACAGGTAGTGGGAAAACACGTCCTCGCTATGTGTTGGTGGCGGCCAGTCAATTCGGCTCGACACTTTACAGCTTGTTCGTGGGCTTTGCGATATTGATACTCGGTCTCAGCGTGGTTCTAGCATTCTTGGAATTGCGAGGAGCAATACCACCTATTATCGGAACGACCAGGTTCTTACCACAGAGGTGGCAGGAGCAGTACGGACGCAGCTATCCATACGCTCACGATAATCCAGGTCCAGTGATACCCGAGTCTATGCCAGCAGCAGCGCAATCTGTGATAGATCGAATCAAGTTGTCAGAAGCGACGCCGATCATCGAGAAGCTGGAGGAGATACAAGATCGTGCCAAGCTTGCGGCAGCTACTCCAATCATTGAGCAAATGCAAGAAATGCAGTCGTCTATACCTTCACTGGAGACAGTGCAGGACACACTTGTTGGTCTTGTATCTCAGAAGTCGTCGAACGATGAGCACACCGATAAAGCCGTCATTGTTCGTGACGCCGCAAATCTTGGTGGTGAACTATCTGCTGAGATGAGACACGAAGCTGAGATCGTCAAGGAAGGTACGTTGAAGAGGTGGGAGCATTTGACACAAGAAGACCAACGAACTTGGAAGCAGAAGCTAAAAGATGCTGGACACTGGACAGAACAGCAGGGTGAGACGGTGTTGAAAGGGGTATTTTTTGGACAGCTTGCTGGGATAGTAGGCAACATGGTGGGTGGTTGAGAAAGGTGCAGAGTAGCGAGCGTGACTTAGCATATCAACTACAGCATAACAATTAATTCAACCAGGGAAGAACACCTCAATGCTGCGGCGACCTATCACGTGCAGAACGTGTTTTCGCCTGCAAACACATCAGTGAAGTGAAGCGCAAGTCATTGATTGAGACTTAGGGTAAACGTCGGCTGTAATATACACGGATTGCCCTGTGTCACTGAGAGATGTTCAATTGCTACTATGTCTACATGCACTCTTAATTTACCCACCACGCGCGTTCTACTCTATCTTCTCCTAACAAAAGGTCTCTACTTGACGTTTTTGCGAACAGTATTCCTCCCGAGTCACTTCTATTCACGTTCGAGACGATGCGATACGACTAGTTCACATTAAAGGAATATAAATTGAGTGGACGGAAGCAAGGATGGCAGGAGTTAATGGAGCAGTCGACGAGGCTCTCAATAGAGACTACGACTCTTTGTTGAAGCACGCAAGATGGTACAATGCCCCTCAAGCCATAGATATACCTATTGGCGAAGAAGGAGAAGAAGTCGAAATCCCCCTGCAAGATCTGGAAGAGCCAACAGAGTTGTGCCAGTTACTAGAGACCGAGAAAGCAGAGCGCAAGCACTGGATCACGGTAGCACTTTCTTATGCGAAAGCAAACAAGCTCGACTATGCTCTCGAAGTTCTGCAGCAGGCACAAAACATCTTTGCAAGGGGACTGCCAAAGGACAGACTACCCGTCTTAGGCTGCATATCATGGATCTATCTTCTCAAGAGCAGGAGAGCGCCACGTGTCGTCAGTGAGGCACAAGATCCCGACACCAAGACGAAAGAACACTACCTACGCGAAGCCACCAATGTCATGAACGAAGCGATGCGAATTAACCCTGCTCATCCTCCGCTCTACCTTACCCGTGGTGTTGTCAATCTCCTGCGAGCTGCTCTTGCTACATCCACTAAGACTGGCCAGGCGGCCGAGAACGAAAGAGCAGATGCAATCAACCAGGCTCTCAAGTGTTTCGACGAGGCAGTCAGGTTGTCCGACGAACGAAATTTGTTGGCTCTTATGGGTCGCGCACGATCACTATATCTGTTAAGAAAATACTCACAGGCTCTAAACACGTATCAAGAAGTACTGAGAAAGCAGCCTAAGATGAAGGACCCTGATCCACGGATAGGCATTGGTGCTTGCATGTGGCAGATGGGATATCACGATCATGCGAAGACAGCTTGGGAAAGAGCTCGACAACTTAATCCAAACTCGAACATTGCCCATACACTACTCGGCATCTATACCTTGCGAGAGAGTGAGAAATATGGCACAGACGATAGACGTTTCGAGACCCTATATAGTCAGGCAATGGCAGATTACCTCAAGAAAGCCTACAGTCTCGACAAGCAGAGTTCGCTCACTAGCGCCGCTTTTTCGACTTATTTCCTGAACACGAAGCGATGGGATCAGTTGGAGGCCCTGGCGAAGAAAGCCATTGAACAGACAGACATAAACGCAACTGCAAGTGACGGCTGGTTCGTTCGCGCCAGGAAAGAGCACGAATTGGGCAATACTCAGCAAGCTAACGATGCCTACGGTCGGGCTGATCAGGCAAGAGGTGGCCAAAATGCTGGCTTCTTTCCTGCCAAGTTCGGCCTCATTCAGCTCACGATTGAGTCGGGTGATATTACAAGTGCTAAGTTCAGACTTGAAAAGTTGTTCGAACGCCACAAAGCACTTGAGATCATGACCTTGCTTGGATGCATCTATGCCGAGGACATCTTTGCTGCGCAAAAGGCCAATCCAAAGGAAGATAAGAGTGCCGAGTACCGCAAAGCTATTCGGATGCTGGAGACTGTACGCAAGAATTGGAAAGACGACAAAGCAAAAATCAAGACGAAGCCTGATTCTGCTGTGCTATTGTACCTAGCTCGACTGTATGAGATGGAGGCACCGCTCGAGAGTGAGAAATGCTTGGCAGAGGTCGAGAGCCTGCAAAGACAGGCTATCACTGACGAGCAGCATTTCGACCCAAATGCCGAAGACTTCAACGAGTTGATCCAGGAACACATGCCACCACAGTTACACAACAACGTTGGTTGCTTTCTATATCGAGATGAGGCATATGAGCAGGCCTTACAGCGATTCGAGATTGCTCTCAATGCCACTCTCAAATTACACGAGAAGCAAATCGAGGAGAAGCAGAAGGCCGAAGATGCTGGCGAGAATACAGCTGATCTGGATGTGACTGATACCGATGCTTTGGTCACGACAATTTCCTACAACCTTGCTAGGACTCAAGAAGCACTGGGCCAGAGACAGCACGCCATTCGAACCTACGAAGGTCTGCTCAGCAGGCGGCATCCAGATTATACTGATGCTGCCGCACGGCTTGCTTATCTCGCTCTCATTGAGTCGCCACAGGACGCTGGACCCAAGAAGCTGAAAGCGATGTTTGATGCTGATCATGGTCATCCTGAGGTTCGTGCTCTGATGGGCTGGTATTTCCACAGCTCAAAGAAGAAGACGGCCAATATTGCAGAAGATCAAGAGTTCAGACACCACAAGCACACGCTGCAGCAGTACGACAAACACGATGTTTACTCTCTTATTGGTATGGGAAACATCCACCTTGCCATTGCTCGTGACATGCCTCGAAACACTGAGCCCGAGAAAGAAAAGCGGACCAAGATGTACCAGAAAGCATACGAGTTTTTCGACAAGGCTCTGCAACTCGATCCAAGAAACGCCTTCGCTGCTCAAGGTATAGCAGTCGCTCTTTGTGATGACAAGAAGAACTTCTCGGAAGCGCTTCAGATTCTGGTTAAAGTCAAAGATACGATTCGGGATATTTCGGTGTTCCAGAATTTAGGTCATGTTTACTGCGAACTGAAGCAATATTCTCGCAGTATTGATAGCTACGAGACAGCTCTGCAGAAACAAATACAGCAACGACAGAAGAGGCACGACTCTTTGCAGCCTTCTGTAAATGGTGATGCTGGTGAAACCACGAATGGTCTCAACGGCCATGCTAAGGCCGATCACAAAGAAGATGCCCAAATCCTGGCCTGCTTGTCTCGAGTCTGGCTTCTGAAAGGCAAGAACGATAAATCAATTCTTAGCCACACGACTGCGCTGGATCTGATGCAGCGAGCTCTTGCTACCGCACCTGATTCGCCACATTTGAGATTCAACGTGGCCTTCATACAATTTCAGATTGTGCTGCTCGTCAACAGCCTTTCGGATGCAGAACGCACCCTTGATGACCTTGTCACTGCCAAAACCGGGCTCGAGGAGGCCATTGCCACTTTCGAAGAGGTAGCAACCGTTCCAAATCCACCATATCCCAAAGCCATGCTTGAACAGCGAGCTGCGATGAGTAAGGGTACGATGATGAAGCAGGTCGATCGTGCGATGCAGCAACAAAGTGACTACGAGCGAGCGAACACCGAGAAGTTGGCAGAAGCGAAGCGGAGACGTGAAGAGGAACTTCGAGCTCGAGATGCAGCTGCGCAACGTCGAAAAGAGGAGGAGGAAGCACGTGAGGCCGAGGTGCGCAGAAAGAGAGAGGAATACCAGGAGGAGGCTGCTCGGAAGGCCGAAGAATTCCGTCAAGCTGCGCTAATAAGAGAGGCAGCAGAGTACACGACCGATGAGGAGACAGGCGATAGGGTCAAGAGACAGAAGAAGAAGAAAGGAGAGGGCAGGAGCAAAAAGAGGAAGGCAAGAGATGACGAGGACGGATTTATCGAGCACGACGAAGACAGCGATAGTCAAGCAGGCCATACTGGTGGTCGCGAAAGAACACCGATCAGTGGCACCGATGATGACAAGGAGCAAGACAAACAGCCTAAGAAGAAGAGGAAACTCGAAAGAAAGGCACGGCCAGTCAAAGAGAAGCCTTCGCGGAAACCAAAAGAAAAGGAAGGCAAGTTCAAGAGTCAAGCTGTCGTGGTTGACAGCGACGACAGTGAGGAGGAGGCTGCAGAGACACCACAAGGCAGTGGCTCAGAGGCAGTCAACGACGCACCGACCCCGAAGACTGGTGGCGAGGATGGGGATGTCGATATGCAGGAAGACGACGCGCAGTCCGGGGCAAAAACAAGGCCTGCACCACGGCAGAGGAAGCAATTGAGGACAATTGCGGATGATGACGAGGATGAGGAGGGTGAGGACGTGCCAGTAGTGCCTTCCTCTGTACCAAAATCTACGTCGCGGGTTGTGGAGGACGACGACGATGAATAACAATCTCTCAGTCTTCTGCAGAACCTTGAGGACAAGATGTAATAGAATTTTAATGGTCTGTCTCAAAAACTTACTTGTATTTCTATACCTTTGTAATAGTTCAGGCAAGCTAGTCGAGCGATTGCAAGATAGTGGCAGTGAGGCTCGAGCAATACTAGTAGTACACACTTCTCAGACGCGTACTTTCTCACGTGGCTTCGCGTCATGGAGATATTTTTTTATACCCATGCGGAAGAACAAATTTGCCGCGTCATACATGCCCTGAAGCGTTCCCACAAGCAAGGCTATTGCTTAGGTCGTACTTGCCTCAATATCTCGGTACTCCAAGCTGATCAAACAGCAGACATTCATTCACTTGATTGAGATGCGCAAATAGGCCATCATGCCTTCGTCATGTAGAGAGTTGAGTAAGTGGCTCCCTTTATCAGTCCCTACAACCAATTTGCCTCAATGATACATACATACTCGGAATCACTAACAACGACCAGGAGCCGCACTCGCGGCATGCCTCCAGAACTCCGACTGCATCATGGTCCAACACCACACCCCCCTCGAATGTCTCTCCCCACCTCTCAAGGACGAACTACCCATACAATGCCAACAGATCCAGCGAGGCTTCCGCGACTGCAAACGTGGAATGGTCGATATGCGTAAAAGGTTCCGTGGCAACCAACCTGTTGGAGCTTCGCTCGAGCTCGAAGCAGGGACTGATGGTAATGTTCTTCCGCCTGGTCAGATGGTTGAGGGAGTTGCGGCGAAGAAGTCGGGACAGCTGTATGGTGGGAAGCCTGCGTTTGAGTCGGTTAAGGAACGGAGTGGTGATGAGGTGAAGATTGATTTAAGTGAGTCGAGAGGATTGTGATTGGCGATACCAGAGCTCTGCAATTATAAGGACTCATGTCTTCATGAAAGCCAAAGAGGCTGGTTCGTCAAGTGGAAGCTCAAATCACAGAGTCTCGCAATCGGTGCTGATACGTATATGGGCATCTCGCTGGAGGCACCAGCCCGAAGAGTGATGGTGTGGCAGGTCTATACACCATGTGTTCGTGCCATATACACAGCCTCGCGCAAAGCGTTCCACCTGATTCGGACGAGTCGGGCTGTCCTCTACATCAACGAAAGTGCTAGGCTCACCTGCATCGATCTTGGAACCCAAATCTGGTATAGGATCTCGGCTTCAAGATCGCTGTTTTGCAGTGCCGAGGTCATAACACAATTTGTCCAGAGAAGCCGCTTCATACTTGAGACACATATACTGTTGGACCGGGATTTGACGTCTCGAGTTTGTCTCAATATCGACGGAATTGATCGGCATTCCGTGTCATGTGGCAAGGGAAAAAGCAATAACCATGAGTACGATCGTACTCCTTGCGGCTGACAACAAGACCTGGTACCTGTTAGTGGAGGGACCGCTGCTATTTTGACTAAGGAACATGGAACATTAGTGGTACGCTTTCAAGAACTCGAAACCATGTTCAGTATGCCTTCGCTTCTGAGCAATACGAGTCCGGTCGTTGTGTGAGATTGCATCGACCTTTCTCACTACGATCGCTCGCCGCTTTCGAGCAGCGACTCAAGCCTGTGATCGGTGGAAGTTTGTGCTTGGAAAAAAAGAGTTCTGAGGTCTTGCGCATGCTTGGAGATTGTGAAAGACATTGCAGAAATGGGGAAACTTAGTGTTTCGAACAAAGCTACGTTATGCAAGTTCGAGGCCTGTCGACTCAGGAAGATGGAAAGACAGTCTTCTTCGTCTATCCATATTCACGAACAAAATAGTTCAAGTCAGTTCTCGAGATACGTACTCTACCAAACAGGGAAATCATACCTGCCGTGCCATCACGTGTAACAAGAGCTGCTCTCCATCTTTCTTCATTCACATTACTTGCCAGAGCTAATCACTGCAGAACCTCACCACTGACCCAAACAATGTACTCCGTATCCTGATCCTCCCAGAACACCAACGCTGTGATCCCAATACTCTCTTTCGCCCGAAGCGCTATTCACACGGGCCTGGTGCTGGAATATGTGTGGTAGGCACTCATCTCGTCCGTTCGTGCCCAGTTGACAGATAGGCAGCTAATGGGTTTCAGGTCGGCCGGCTGCGATGAGTAGGAGCCGATGGCTTGGAGTTGTCGAGATAGGTAGTATTGTAAAACAGTCTGGACGTCGTGGAACGTCTTCTGCTCGCTCTTGCTCTGTGGCGGGGTGGTTAGGAGTGAAGGAAGGCGCATGGCTCTATCTTGCTTTTGAATGGTGTCTAATACCATTATGGAAGGCGTGTTGACGATGTAAGTAATCCAGGTGTCTGTGGGGGATTTGGCTATGGGGATCCTGCAAAAGGATGTTCATGAAGAGAAGCAAACAGAGTATTTCTGCACTTTGGGAGGCCTGGCTAGCGCTATCGAATTCAAGGTTTGGTATACTATAACCTTGAGCACTTCAATGCTTTGCGAACCGGGATTTTGATTGCTGCCAGGATGTGGCCGTTGCTGGTTCCTTGTCTTTCCACAGCGCAGCAAAGGGTACTGGCATTACACAAGACGAGTAGAGTTACCATTTCGCTACTGTACGGCATATGTGCTCAGCGTCCACGGCTCGGGCTATGGCCTATCATGTGCCTGACTGCTGCTTCAATCATGCTGTTTTAACACATGTAGCCCGACCGCTCGCTGTCTTTAATAGCTAAACATGGTTCCGATGAGTGACCACGAAAACCTTGAAGCAACATGTCTCAACACGTTGTCCTAACCTGTCCAAGAGAAATTGGAGTAGGCCATCCATAGGACCCAACCGTCTCTGAAGCTTCGCGAACTCATCACGCTCTTCCCGGGTAAGTATTCTGGGCGCATGAGGTGACACGCACCAGGGCCTGTGCCGACATCGTTCGATGTCAATTTCTCTGAGATTAGGGAATTGATGTATGAATTTGGTTTCGAGGCATAATTGGTCGTCTCGAACGGTGATACGACGTAATCTAAGAAACATGTCGGGGTGTAGTTGAAGCTGCAGCTGAGTCGACAGAGAGTGTGCAGCAAGACCGGGAATGCAAAAGTTCCCAGTCCATCGTTCATGTCGCTTCAGGAAACCACATAAGCAAAAAGCGTGTGCCCGGTGCACTTTTATGCGTTCGTCAAATGCATGAGTAATCAAACGCCTACCCCAGCGGTAGAACACTCTGGAAACAAGAAGCAGTTCCACAAGTCCTCGTTTCTGCACTTGCCATCCACGGCAATAGGAGAATTCGATGTGTGTTGGCGTAGGTTTGAAAAGTTCTTCGACAATCAGAAGCTGGATCTCGCTTGGCAGGGGTGTAAAGTAATCGACCTTTTTGACCTCATCTTGACTGCTAGTGAACGGCAAAAAACGTCGTAGTCGAGATGCCATGATCGTAGGTCTGCGTTTGGATATTGAGTGGTTGACCGAGACATGCAACAAGTGAAGATAAGTGCTAGAACTGTTACTGAAGCGATCCAAGGATCATCGTGCTTGCTGCAATACTAATATGCTGCGAACGAGGTTGAATTGTTGTCCTTTTATCGTGGGCTGCGAGAGAGCAAATTTTCCGTGCGAGCCAAAATGTGGGTGTGCTGAGGACCTGTATCGCATGTGGTCGCAGTACCAAAATCAGGCAGATCGTTTCATGCTTCGTGCGCGCTAGATATCTTCGTACCTGGTTCGCAACCATTGAATCAGGACGTTAGGACCCTGTTCGGGAGCTGCAAGACTTTCGTCTTCAACCAAATTTACTCGCTCTTCGGCCAGACCCTTCTCCCTGCCCCAGAAACATGCACGTCGCAGTAGTTGCAAGAGTTCGAGGCCTTGCAGACGAATAACAGGCGATGTATTGGTGTTACTGGAAATATCTCTGTCCATTTCAACAGGTGCAGGAGGCGCATTGAGATAGATGTTAATGAAAGGTAGAATTGTATCTTCTGGCTGACTGTTAGGTGGCCATCTTTTCAGAACCTTGTAACGGCGCGGACTGGCTGAGGTTGGGATCGACGATAATTCTGCTCGCTCCTTCCCTGGACCGTCGGAATAGTCAAGAGTAGTGCTCGTAGATTCTCCATCCGAGGACGTTCTGTAAAAAGACTCCCTAATCTTCGTAGTTTCAACTGTATGCCAATCATCATCGTAGGGACCGAAATCATCACGGCCATACTCGACTATGCCAACCTCATCTTCTTCGTCCCCGTATCTGATTGGTGCCCCGTCGAGGTAAGCGTCCTCAGACTCGACAAGTGCAGCTGCCTGAGTCAGAGGAGTATCTCGACCAGGTGCTCTCAGAAACAACGTCGGGCTAGCGAAAGGGTCGAAGTAGCCCGAAGGTGATCTAAACAGGCTCGACCGCAGATTCACCAACACTCTTGCTGCTTCAGCTTGTGCCTCTCGTTCTTCGTTCCTGCGAGTATTTATCTTTCTCTTCATAGGGACATGGGAGGCAATCTCATCCAGAGAGACCCAGTCCACCAGTGGATCTTCAATTGCGACAGCATGAATTTGGTCCGGATTTGTCAAGGCCAAGGTCAACGCGAGTGCACCACCAATATTGGAGCCATACAGACATATCTTTGGTCTCTCATGATTAACCTCTTTCGTTCCGTAGGTACTCTCGTTGGATCCAATACGTTCGAGGATGTAGTCCCACGCGACAAAGACATCATGAATAGGAGTCGGAAATCGATGATCGTAGTCGGCTTGGAGATTCCGAGGCGCAAGTCTGTAACAGAGCTCAATCACAGTGGCGGCTGGGAACTGGTTGGCGAGCGTTTGGCTATCGATCGTCGTCGAGCGCTGTACTGATCCTCTAGGTTGGGGTCCCGGGAGAAAGTGTATCAATACGTTGTTTTTTGAAGTAGCGGCTGTTGCTCGAAAGATCTTTAGGTCAACGGAGCCATTCCCGCCAACCTTTAGCGATATGGCTTCATCCTGTTGATAACGACGCGTTACGCAAAAGCGCCGACGCGAGACGCGAAGGAGACATCTTGGAAATCGTGATCGGAAGACAAGATTGAACAGCATAGGTGGAAGAAATGATCGTTGTGCCAAGGTTGGGGATTACAGCATTTTGCGTTGCCATACCGCAGCCCCCGGGCAATATCTAGCAAGTAAATCTATAGATGTACATTTGCAAAAATTCGTTACTTCATTCTATATTGAAACTCATTCGGACAGCGTATAGATAGCCATCCCGATAACCTTAAACCCCTGATATAGTCACATTGTCTTAACTAGACTAACTCGACAATTTAGGCTGCACCAGCGGCATATTGCAGTTCCTGCTTGCCGCCCTGTTGTGCGAGCATACTCTTGATACCGTCGGGCATCTCAACACCCACACGCTCCTTGGAGAGCAAGTCTACCAGGAGAGGGTTAGGTAAACTCTGTCGCTCAGGCGAGACAGCACTTTGCCCATCCTTGTACTTCTGTACGTTCTCGAGGAACATGTCAAACAAGTATGCAGAGTCGAGAGGACCTCCTTTTGCTTCAGGATGAAACTGCGTTGAAAAGATTGGACGAGACTTGTGGATCAAACCTGTACCTTGTTAGTCGAATTCAACATGATAGATGCACGAACTTACCTTCGTTTGAGTTGTCGTTGAGGTTCGTGAAATAGGGCTTCCAGTCACTTGGCAAGGTCGTGGTATCCACAGCGTATCCATGGTTCTGAGAGGTGATATGGCAACGACCAGTAGTCAGATCTAAAGCTGGAATGTTGTGTGCTCGGTTTCCATATTTGAGCTTGATCGTCTTAGCTCCGGCGGCCAGAGCGATCAGTTGATGTCCCAGACAGATGCCGAAGACGGGCAGTTGCGAGGTCTCCATGACCTTTCGAAGGTTGTACACAGTTGACTGGCAATGAGTTGGGTCACCTGGGCCATTTGAGATGAAGACACCGTCAAAGTGATGAGCGACTTTGTGGATAGGATAGTCGTGCGGGAAGACAGTGGCACTTGCTCCCCTGCTCACGAGACTTCGAAGAATGTTCTCCTTTACACCGCAATCAATAACCGCAACGTGGGCGACAGGACTGGGAGCAGAAACGTGGAAGGGTGCCTTTGTGCTAACTCGACGGACAAGATTGATTTGTTCTGGATCAACATAGGCTTCGTCTTCGTCCTGGTCGTATTCCTCACCAATTGCAAGTCTGGCCAAGCTGGAACCCTGTTCTCGCAGGTAGGTCACAATGGCTCGTGTGTCGACACCCGAGATGGCAGGCACTCCTTCCCGTGCACACCACTCTCCAAGACTTTCGACAGCAGTCCAATGCGAATATTTCTCTGCCACATCGGCAACCACGACACCAACTGGTTGAATGTGAGGGCTCTCGAAATACTTGAGTAGCCCGTATTCGTCTCGAACGTTTGAGGGCACACCATAGTTTCCGATTAGTGGCTGTGTAAAAACCAAGATCTGACCTCGGTAGGAAGGATCAGTCATCGATTCCGGGTAGCCAACAAGGGAAGTGGTGAAAACAGCCTCGCCAGAAACATTGCTTCGAGCACCAAAGGATGTGCCGTGGAATATAGGGCCGTTACGGATAGTGAAAGTAGCTCGTTCGTGAGTCACAGGGGTTGCTTGTGTCTTCACCCTGCCTGGCATAGGCATAGCTCTTTCCGTGTTTTCATGGACAGTCGCCAGTCCTCGTCGAAATGCAGGGGTTGCCAGCTTGGAGGCAAATGTTGGCCTCCATAATCGAGCGAACATCTTGTCGATAAGTGCACTTGGTCAAATAACAAGTAGACAGAATTAGACCTTCCCTACGGCTGTAGGTAGTAACTTTGTGGGGTACAGGCGGTGAAGTAGGAGGTATTCAATGGCCTTGGGCTTTCCAAAGATGATCTGCTAGCTGTTAGCGGAGCAATATTGATCAGATTCCTCCTCGTACCAGAGATGTAGTCCTATTAGTCACACGTTAGCATTCAGCAATCAAGCCAAAGAGGGAGCTTTCGGAATGACCCATGGTGGGCTTATCTACAAGCTGGTAGTCACGTACCTGGGAAGTAAAGATGGTTGGTAGTGTCATGCGCGCGGTGAACTGCTTTACCGGAAGCAAAGGTGTTTATTGAAGGCACATGAGGGCCCAGGTAGAATGGTGGAAGTTATGCACGTTATCGAAAACTTTTTGCTGCTTGCGTAGATCTGAGGAAGCTGCGTTGGTGGGTCATGCATATGCGGTGGGAGAAATTCGTGCAAAAAAGCTTCATGACGCGTTGGTTTGACCAATCATAATCATTGCAAATAGTACCCATTTTCTCGATATCTAGGTTGCTACTTCAGTTCATGTCTGTAGACAAGAGATATGATCAAAGTCCTGAAGAGCCTTTATCTTGTGTTGGTTACGTATCCTGCTCGGAGCATTGCCAAATCATGGTTACTAATGCTAGAATGAGGAAGTTGTGATGATGTTCCTAACCGCTAGCCCTTCAAGAAGCCCTATTTCTGCTCGAGAATTGGCCGAAAGAGGTCTTGCTATGCTCGCTACATCCAACTTGCTACAACTTCCACTTGAGAACCATGCCGAGTCTCTGTAGGTAGGCGAAGAGGGAGCCTTTTGGCACATAGCCTGCATATCGTGCTTGCCAGAGTGCAGCCCAAGATCCTACAAAAAGGTTAGTCAGTGTCCTTGAGCAATGTCATACCATCATACTGCTTACCTTCGACGATGCCAATCTCTGCAAACCCAAGAGCTTGCAGCACCCACGGTGCAGCCAGATAAAGAACACCAAGAACAATGATTGTCGTATAGACAGGATGGTTCTTCGCAAAACCAGTAGCCGCCTCAGTGGCTTTGAGGAGTGCCTCGCTCACTGTACCACCGATTGCGGCTCCGCTTCGTATAGCAAGTTCCAGTCTTTCGAGAATGGTCTTTGCAAGATTCTCTGACCAGCTATTGGCACTGACTGCGTTCTTCAGCTCTGCGCGGAGGTTTAGATCTTTGCTATCGCGATAATTTGCCCTGATTAGAGTCGTGACGAATCTGTCGGCTGCCTCAAAGGTGTCGTAGGCTGGCTTCTCGTCACCAAATTTGGATTTCTGCTCGTAGGTGGCCGGCTTGAGTGATGACTGCTTGCGAGGCTTGAGACAGGCTCCCAGTCCTAGACGAGTCAGAATGGGCTTGATAAACTTCGAAGACATGGTAAATTGTCGAGGACTGAAAATCGAAAAAGAGACATGTGATTGATTTTTAAATTGTTGATGCATATATCTTCCATTGTGCACTTTCGAAATCTGCCTTGTGCGGCCACAAGGTGGTCACCACAGCCTCACCGGGTCTTTTGACTGGCCGGTCAGATAACCGATGTCTAAACGACTTTCACTTTGCTTTTAGCCTTGCTTTGGAAACGAAATAACGCGTTTTAAGACGCGTTTCTGTTGTGGCGTATCGTGCGCGGGTTCAGGAAGAAAGCGATATGAAGTGGCTCTGTCTTTCATGCTGGCTCCCGATGGAGCATAAGCGAAAACATACGTCTGAAGTATACTATGTCATCGACCTTGAAGCTCAGAATCATTCTAGAGGGTATCCGAATATCGAAAGCATGGTGTCTTTTATCGTCCCGCTTCCTATTGTATTGACACCTTACCATACATTCCATACGTTGTGTGCTCAACACGATTCTGCTGATGTGCTTCTTACGACGTCAAGCTCACCATCTCACCAATCCAACGTCCTTTGCCTTGAGTTCTGATAACATTCTCGAAAACCCACGAACCAACATCTGCCCTACTGATGGTGTATCCCGTCTCCGGCTTGCATTCAGTACCAGCTCGCACAGTTTCCAGACCCTTTCCTTCAGCAATAATTCCTGCTCCCGAAAGCAAAGTCGGACGAATACCCGTCACACTCTTGAAAACTGGTGCATCTTCCAGCATATTATCTCGAAATGTGTCCTCCATCTTTCGCTTATCAGCATGCGGAACGGCTAATAGCTGGTGGTATAGGAAGCGCATAGCCAAAGGTACGTCTTCAGCACCGCGTGACACTCCAGTTGTAGACACAAATGTCACTGCTGGCTTGTTCTGGGCGAGACCGGGTTGCTCAGCATAGAGTTCTGACAACCCACAGACAAGAGTCTTGGCCGCTGATTCGCAAAGAATAGGGTTATTGAGCGTGATGATATGAAGCGGGTGATATATGTCGAACTGTAACGCGGGAGCTCCTCCCAGGCCAGACTTCAGCATGAACGGCAGACGATCGTCCTTGCCAGCTACGATGTTCGCCAATAGTGCTCGTTTGACATCTTCAACATCTAGTGCATTTCCTTGCACGATAGTAAGCTTCTTGTCGATCAGTGACTCGTCCACTTTTTGCTGTGAAATGAGCTGTTGTCTGAGCTTGTCTGGATTGCGCACTAACGCAATCGCTCCGTGTGATTGAGATGTAAGTGTCAAAGTCAGGGAAGCATTAGTAGTTCCGCCTGTCGCGCCGAAGAAACAGATAGTGTCGCTCATCTTGTACTGGGCAGCAAGCTCCAATTGCTTGATTCAGGTGTTGGTTGTTTCCTGCCACTGCTGGTCTTGCTGTGGTCGATGGCTTCTGCCGGGAGGCATGCATTCTTGAAATCCTAGACGTTTATACCCTCCATTGGGACAGCGCGCATAAGGTGGCATTTTGCTGAATATCGAACTAGTGTTCAATGGTTTTGAAGGACGCCTTCGTGGTTTAGTGTACACGGTGCAATAGTGGAAGCAAGATGTTCGAAGGCCGTGACACCCGGGAATAATGTTGCGCACTAGTGCCTCCAATGCAGTAGTTGGCACCCGTTTTCAAGCCACGCTTGTTGAAAATTTCAGGTTGACGGCAAGATTCAACAGCCTAAGCGGCGCAATAATTCGTCCTTCTCGCCGAAATCACGAGTCTGTTACATTCCTAATTCTGTCATGTGCCTTTTTCTATCCAGATCTCTCGTGTCCACTCAGGTGTTCTTGACCACAGATTTTATCCACGGAGTGAACATATACGTGAAGCGCAAGCAGCTCAGTACAGGAATGCTGCTTGACAGATTCGAACGTTAGTCAACAGGACGCCTGAACTTGAATCTACATGCGATTGGTGACAGAGCGTCACTGCTGGGGTGGCTGCAAATCTTGAAACACCCCCTCGTCTCTATAGCTTGACGTAGTCCTAATCATGCATTCAATCCGACAAAAACAATTTCGTGGACCACATCGCGGTAAACAGAACACAGCAAGAAGGAGAGACAAAGAGTGGACAATCTAAGCGCCAAAGGATTTGAAGTAGTATTGGATTGTGAACAATACTGGTGGTTCAAGCTGATGGGAGCTCAAATACTTTACATCACATTCTGCCTTCATCCCCAAACAGCTCGCCTGGAGCCACTTCAACTGCTTCAGAACAGTTCACGCATAAAGCAGCTGGAAGGCACGCTACTCTGTGTTTCTCTTCGCGTCTTCCACACCCTCTGCCTCGGATACATTGTGTCCTCGACGTCGCCCTCCTGTGCCGAGGCTGCTTGACATGAAATCATCCGCGGCATTGACATCGTCTCGCTTTCCTAGCCTGTCCCGGTTATGGGAAAGCGCTGTCAGCAAGCTTGTTGCTACGAGAGACTGCTGTTGAACATTTGATTAATCAACAAATCCAAGAGCCACGCTGTCAGTAATACCGCGTCATAGCCGTTCTGGACAGGGCGAGGCGTTTCGAATCCGGTAAACGTATGGCAGCTTGACCGTACAACCTAGCGTCAATTTTGTAACCAGAAGCTCTTGGGTGAGCATCAGTGTTCAAGACGTCGGCTTTTGGCTTGCCAAAAAGACGAGCTAGTCGGCGGTGAACCTGGACATTTCTTGGTAGGAACGGCCGTCTAAGCCACCTGAGCTGGTTGCAAGACTCGCTTCGTTGTTGTTGTCTTCATCTGGTGGCGCAAACGTCTCCTGTGGAAGTGCTGCACTCTACGCTTGCTGTGCCTTACTCCAGAAGTCTAGACTAGCAATGACGTCTTCGCCATTCTCGTCCTCGTATGCATACAGTATCTATGGTCTTCGTTAGCATAAAGACACCCCTTGGATGAAGGATTGTGGCATACCTCTCTAGTGCTGCTGTGAAGCATTCTAACATTCTTCCCTGTCATCACGTGAATCAACTCCGCTGTTTCGAGATGTCTAATCTCAATGAAGCTTGGCTCAAATGCCAAAATATAGGGATAATTCAATGCAAAGGCCTGTGGGGTGCCCTCCCATTGTATCTTCCAGTCCTGCCTTGCTCTCCAACCGTTTCTGTTGACAAAGAAAGAGAAGTCGGAATAATTCAGCAGGAACTCTCCGTTGAGGCGCTCAATGTGGATAGGCTTGACGTTTTCCTTTCGCGTCACAAAATCTAACGAGGTATCGGCTTGATCCAGAAGTGATTGACGCTCTGTAGTCTCCAAGGACACGACTTCGAAGCCTCGCGCACATCCAACGCACAACGTGCTTCGTAGATAGTGGACAGAGGATGATTCGGCGGGAATGTAGAATTCTTTGAATGGTTTCAACGCGTCTTGACCACCGGCAAACATTCTACCAATGCCGCTTCTATTATTTCTCTTGGTAACATCATCGGAAGGCTCATATACTTTGATGGTCGTTGAAAGTGCTGAGGTCTTAACAGAGCATACCAGGTGACGTCCGAGGCCTATTCCAGCTTTGAAGAAGTTTGCATGACCTTGAATTTTCCTCGGCCGGATGGCGAGAGGATTCTGATTTTGTGCGTCAAGGGCGTCGAATGGATATGAGAGGAGAGACTTGTTCGCCAGGACCAGTAGCAATCTATACTCCTCAAGAGTATCTATCTGCGAGACTTGTGTGGCGTCCAATATTCTTCTCGGCTTGATAGTCTTGTCCTTGGGCCAGCGGTCTGCAAGGTAGATACCATTATCAGTACCATAGATGAGCTTGCGACCACCGTCAGTTGGTACAAGGCAATTGACACGGTTCTGCGCATTGAAAAATGCTTCACATAAAATCGTCTTTGTGTAGAAATTGCTACTCCTCTCGCGAAGCTTGCTCTGCTGTGCTTCGACGATTTCGATGAACTTCTTGCGCTGCGTATGCGATGACGCATATAATTGAAGTTCATAAGCACCTTTGCCGAGATGTCTAAAGGTGATTGAGAAGACCTCCTTTTGACCAGCAGGCGTATTGGTTCGTGTTCCTGGTAAGAGATTGGAGGATGTTCGCTTGCCAATTCCAAGCCTAGGTATCACCTGGTCCATTTCGGCAATAACAAGTAATTCAAGAGGTATGGGTTTACGGTACACTCGAAGCTCTTCTCGCTTGTTGATGGTCTTCATTCTACACATCAATACTGCATGATCGAAGAGATAGACTTGCACTTCAGCGTTGTCCGTCGGTGATTTCTTGAAGCTCATCTTCGTCAGGATTGCACGATTCTCCTCTGTCAATTTCAAGTCGGTATATTCTCCAGGGTTCCACTTTAGTTGTTGGTTGAGTTGAATCAGGTTAAAATGGTTCTCGGCCTTTCCAGTTTCTGCGTTCACTCGAGCCAAGAAGTCTCTTATCATTGAGATGGCTTTCGGTATGTCCTTTTTGTCAGGGTCGCCGTCTTTCGTGTACCTGAATACACCATCCAGCAGAAGAGGGTATCTTGCTAGACGTGTCGTTGGTTTTGTCAGATATCCATTAAGTTCGAGCTTCCGAGATTCTTTCAATCTTTCAGTCTCGTCCACAAACCTCGAAAACGTCGGGTTCGAGCCCTTCTCTTTTTCGAACTCAAATTTACCATACATTTGGTTTGCACCATATTTGATGAACGGGTCAAACTGGGGAATCCATCTCAAGAAGATATCACCGATGCTGTGGACCACGTACGCCTCTTTCTGTCGCTTAGACAGTTCTTCAGCGAAACGAGAATTGACAGCCAAGACATCCATACAATTGCCGAAGACTGTGCGCACGAATTTTTCGCGCTTCTCCTCCTTGATGGGTGATATCATGCCAGGTATTGACCCGCGTAGTGGTCGAATCCAGAAATCACGCAGATATTCCAGATCTTTAACAAAATCTCTCTCGGTGTACATGATCTCAAAGATGATTTCCTGCCGTTTCTTTTCCTTGTCGTCAAGCTTCTCAGAAATGTCTTTTGGTACATTGGTGATCCACAACTTGATGTCTTCGTCATCGCCATCGTGCAAACTTCCCTTCGAAGATTGGTGCTTGAGCCCAGGTTCCGGTTTCATGTTGAGCCTCGCCTGTTGTTCCAACCTCCGCGGACAAGCTATCGAGTAGCATAGATTATCTTTTGTACATGTTGGGGAGTAACATTCAGTAAGTAGAGTAAATACGCCATTCACATCAGCAGAGGTAGCCGTCTCTCCCATAGTCTCTCGGAACTGATACACTTCTCCAGGAGCGTCCCGAAGTCGATGCTCATAGGTAACATCATGGAAGAATTTCTGAGCGTCCAGGGCTCGTCCGAGAAGAAGGGCAAGATTGCGATCAGTGGTCTTGATGATATAGGCAATCAAATCAACAGCCTCGGCACCAGTGAAGGCGTTTTTGTAAGAGATATCATCTTTGCTGCGTTCGCCCAGACCTATTCTTTCTTGAAATGCCTGGGCCACTCGCGAGAGTAATGCGGGATAGACCAGAGGTGAGCGCCTCTGCACGACTGTCTGTGTGGTCGATCCACTCGAAGAATGCTGTGGGTGTTGAGGGCGATCTTTCAGGCTTCCGGTCCTGCTGTCGACGGCCGTCGACGCATTGGATTCGATGCTGTGACCGCTAGCTGCGGAGACTGTGCGAGCAGGAATACTACCTTCGCTCGGACGCCTCGTTTTTGCCGGGATGTGGTGCGGTAAATTCGCAATAGTTGAGGAAGTGAATGTAGCGCTTCGTTCCATGAAAGGATCGCTTTCGGACTCGCGCCTTCTACCAGGTACAATTCTCCCACTGGTCAATTGTGTGTGGTCTCTGTCGCCCATGTAGTTGCCCATTGTCATGGCTCTTTCATCACCCATGCGCTGGGGAATCTGCCTTCCTTGGGCTGTCATAGCAGATGGACCTTGCGCACCTGCGTAGGGTTGTTGTCGATTGTAACCAGCAGTTCCTGGTTGAAAGCCTGGTGGTGGTGGCCTGTACATGGAGAGGGGCGTCTCGCCAGGGCGGACCATGGAACGAGAACGGTATGGATCATTATTCAGGGCTGGTGGCGGCACCCTATTTGGACCTGGCTTCTGCTGATAGGGTGGCATAGAGCCCATGTTGTTAGGGTCCATCATCTGGCCAGGTGGATAACCTCTTCTGTCGTTAAATACTGTTGGCATGTTCGGTTGAGGCGGACGCGGCGGGCCAAACCCATTGGGCTGAACTGCGCCAGGCTGTATCCGGTAGCCGTTCGGCCCAGGTCTATCATACTGTCTTTGTGGAGGACGTTCTCGCTGAGGTGAGATGCCGTTCGGTGACATGGTTGTTGAAGAGTGAGAGGTCAGGCTTGGGGCTCGTTCTGCTAAGTAGTCTTGAGTCTGAGAGGTCATGGTTTGAGATCTCGGAGGAGGAGGACCACCGAACACGTTTGCAAAGGCAGCATCTCGCCCGCTCACACCATAATTCGGTGCTCTTTGAGGTGCGCCATAAGGTCGGTTGTTCTGCGTACCGAAATCCGCCATACTCAATCAAGAGGTGGCCAGACCGGGTGGTAGGAGGAGAGGTCAACAATGTTAGGTATGGGATGCTCTTGGACAATTTTTTAGTACGCCGAGGGTTGTCATCGAGCCTTCACGGATTGAGCCAGTGACCGCATTCGAGGTCCTTAGGATGTGCGAGGATCAGGCAGATGCGCAGTTGGTGTTTCCCCTCTTCGGCTAGGCTCTTGCGATTAGGGATTTAATCCTGCACGATGCAGTGTACGTAGTAGCTGGCGAAGTGGTACAAAGGTTTATTGTTGCGGTTGTATGTCGAGGCCTGCAGTTTGAGAAGTCGAGGAACGAAGGATGTGGGTGGGCGGGAAATGGCTTTGTCGTCGTCAGCTGTTCATGGCAAAAATCTACACAATCATGGCGGCGTGATATTGACGGGCTGAGTATATGCACACATTCAAGTAAGATAGATCAAGACAAGGATGAGGTGTAGATGCGCGCTGAACTGCAAGCTTAAGAAAGATATCTGAGGTGCATGTAGGCTCGATTAGTACGATGATCCAATTGGAGCCTTCGGCCCTGCTGCAAGCCACCTTCCTGAGCCTGGACAAACCCAGAGTGTCGCACCTGAGCCGCTTAACTTTCCTTGTCCTTAGCGAGTCGGATAGGCTTGAAGCTGCGCTGCATGATATCAGGATCCATATTGAATTGCTTCAAGTTTGGCCATCTGCCTCTATCACCACTTGTCGGACACATCACACCCGCCTGATTGTGGCCATACACAATAGTCTACGAGCCTCATATATACACGAACGTCGCTGTACTACTCTTCACACCACGAATCGAACCTCTACCTGAACGATGGCAAGTACGATGGCGGATGTGGGCAGTGAGCTGTCCCCCAAATTTGCTCCTTTCTTTGGCATGGTGGGTTGAAGAGCTGTTATACGTGAGAGTGTCTGACCAAATCTCAGATGGGCATTGCATCAGCCATGATCTTCGGGTGTGAGTAAAAAAAGTGCTCTAAGTTCGTGAAGATACTAAGTCAGGAACAGGCCTTGGTGCAGCTTACGGTACCGCGAAATCAGGCATCGGTATTGCTGGAGTTGGTACTTACAGACCTGATCTTATTATGAAGGTCCGTATACTGAAGACAGAAGATATGGACGTCAGGGAGCTAATCTTGCGCAGTCTCTCATCCCCGTCGTCATGTCTGGTATCATTGCTGTCTACGCTCTCGTTATCGCCGTTCTTATTGCTGGAGACATGGCGCCACCTCCCGAATCTTACAGCTTGTTCACTGGTTTCATGCATCTTGCTGCTGGTCTAAGCGTGGGCCTTTCTGGTTTAGCCGCCGGATACGCTATTGGCATAGTGGGAGATATGGGTGTAAGATGTTACATGCAGCAGTCAAGGATATTTGTTGGCATGGTACTGATATTGATTTTCGGAGAAGTACTAGGTCTTTACGGCCTGATTGTGGCTCTCATTCTAAATTCGAAGAGCCAGGCATAGCGATGTCTTTGCTTGCAAACACATATATCGCTAGTGGTTTAGCTGGCCACTGAAGCAGAAATAGATTGACTTTCTTCCTCACCAAGCCTCCACCCGCTGTTGGTATTGATGACTACTTTTGCCTAGATAATACTCACTTGACTAGGTTATTAGGGACAGCTCATCAAATTCTTTACTTCTAAAAGTCCCTAGTGAACCCGGTAACAGCGAGGCGCCCGTTATGGACACGCGTTGTCTGCCGGGAACACCATTCAAGCAAGGCTTGCGGAGATGTTCGAGAAAGAATCGTTACATATGCAGGAACCAGAAGCGGACGAAAAGACTTGCACCTTCCTTCACTTCAGCAACCATGAATGCACACAAGCCACGAAAAGAAGTGCACCAGAAGGAACATATGCAATACAACCTTCAAGTGGCGAAAGCTATTCAGCCAGCCCATCTCATGTGGCTTGAGTTGGGGCAACGTGGTTCACGACACAAGCAAGTTGAAGAGGTGAGTCAGGATCAGTCTTTAATATACTCATTGCTTCTTGCCCCTGTTATCATTCATCTCATGAACGAGCAAACCCTTGATCACGGATCTCATCGCATTGTACCTCTTCAGAAATCAATTGGTAGACTTTGTCTGATACGGTTATCGCCTGAGATAGAAATAGCCCGAATGCGAACATCCGCAGTCATAGTAGTAAAGAGTATTGCGCCTAGAAGCCCCACTTACGCCACGTCGCCAGATCACTTCGCATTTCTGATTCTGATATGTCCCGTTTAATCGATTGCAAAGTGATCTAACAGCCTCGGTCCACACCAAACTATTAATCGCCGCCTACCCCTTAAGCTCGCTGATGCTGAGGCATCTGCGGCATGCCAGCATACTGAGCAGGCATCTGTTGTTGCTGTAACTGTTGATAATATTGTTGTTGCTGTTCAGGTGTCATATAACCGCCCGGAGGAGCACCTCGCTGCATGTTGTGTTGTGGTTGTGGCATTTGAGGGACATCGTCTGGAGACTGAGCATCGACACCATCGTCGACTCCATTCTCGTTGCCAGCTGGGTCTTGGGCATTGAGGCAATGTTGGATAAGGTTCTTGCCCTCAGCTTTGGTTACTAGTGGTTGGAGCTTTGGAGTAGTGAATGTGTAAACCAAACCAGTCTCAGAAACAACCAGAAGGAGGACTTGGGTGCCAGTGAGGACCGAAAGTTCGTACGCTTTCTTCATGATACCAGCCTTACGTTTCGAGAAAGTAATGTGTCGTCGAGACTTGTCTTGAATGAACTTGATCTCGATCTTGCGTCGCTCTCGGCCACCCTTCTCATCATCGTCATCGTCATCATCTCCAGCCATGGATGTGCGCTGTCGCTTGGTTCCACGAGAATCGACACCATTACCCTGAAGGTCATCACCTGGGGAAGGTTGATCGAGACCGGATTGGTCAATTTGGTCAGCCATCTGAATGGGTTAGTTGGTGAGGCCGTATTAAGTAAGTGCGTCAGTGATGACTTACCCTGATCGTACTAGCTTGGATCTCTCGGGATTGTCTCAAAAGAGAAACTTTTCAGGGGATTGATATGATCGATGGACACTAATCTTCTATGTCAGTTATTGACTCGAACACAAGCCACGAGATCAAGAAGAATTCTTTGCGTCGATAATAAGAAAGATCAGATAACCGAAATGGTTTTGGAAAGAGCGACGCGTTGAGTAAGGCAGACACACGTGACCTCTCGCTTGGCGTCCAGTCACTCGTAGAACGAACGTGTTTTGCATACTGCACTTCTGCGAATTGGTGCTGCTTGTTGTTTGTGTTGATATGACGTGCATCGAGACATAAAGTGATGCTTTGATTCCTGCAGATCCTCATAGAGGCAGTGCTGCTGGGGTAGGCGGCATAAGGAAAAACTCCACCAACACACGCTTGATCGAAAAGGGCCACGACCGACGATGCAGAGTATAAAGAATCACGAACTTACCCGAAGTTGAAGAGTGAACAAGCAGCGAAAGCCGATGGCAACCCGAGATTTCGGTTGTGCTAGATTGGCAGTGCTTTGCGAAAAGCAAGGGCAATGAACGACCTTCCGATATGCTGTTGTGTTCAAAAAGCACACGTCGAGGCCACACGCAGAGAGAAAAGAGTAAGGTGAGGAAGACTGAAAGAGGAAAGAGAAAGAGGGCGACCCCAAACTTCTTAAGGACATGAGAGGAGGATCTTGTCCCCATCTCAGGTTTCGTGATTGGTGATCACACGCATCGAGTGGATCAGCGCTGGCCAGTCCTACCTGTCAGCTTGTGGCTCTACGTCCACTTGGTGTCCTGACCGACAAGCCAGCAGTTTTGACTTGATTGCCTTTAAACTTCTGATCGTCTCAACTCACTCAACGTTCAACGTGATTATTGGAGATGTATAAAGCTATCCTCTCTGCCGTACCAGCCTCATGTCCTAACAACGAAACATACATGATCACAGCTCTCAGTGAACTCTGTGGAAGAGGCTCAAGCTAGTTGACACTAATGCACTAGCTCTCTTTTTGCCCTTCGCGACACGTTCTTTTCAGCTCTCTGAGTTGCTGCAGCTGCTGGGCCGGCTGATTCATCGACCATCGATCACTCCACCTGCCGTTGCTTTCCTGGCAAGTTCCTTTGGTAGTTCGTACTGACACTAAACTCATCTAGGCTTAGATACCTCAGACTTCCACCACACTATTTTTGTGGCCTGCGTAGTACTGTTCTTTTGCGATTTCAGCTATAACATGCAAAGCACAATCAGGAAGAGCGAAAAGGTAGTGATCCCGTATTCTCAGCTGCCGCTCTTTTTAGAAAGCAAATGTAGTGAAAACCTTACTTCGACCTTTTCCTTCAGAATATTAGGTCATATTCAGTACTTTACTCGGCTCTGCGCTTTCTGCGGGTCGCCGCAACTCAGTCGTTACGCCTTGCAAAGCACTACCGGAATGCATACACTTGAGAATGCAATTCCCATTGGGAGTTCGAATGATCCGGCTGAGGTTCAAGTAGATATATGTTGTTGCAAGTCCTTGGTCGCAGACGTGTCGCGTCATGTCCCGAGGACTTCGAGTTCCTGCTCGAGCCTTGCGGCGCCTTGTGTTCCAGGCAGCCCTCATTTTCAAACACTTAGTATGTCAAATACGATATACGTAGATTGGTCTTGAGATAGACACGTTGCACCAGAACACGTCCAAGAGAACACATGTTTCTGTCGATTACACGTAGTTCTATGCCCTCAGCAATGACTTAATGCCACCAAAACATCAAAGAAGATCGCACACGAAGTCTAAGAAAGGCTGCAGCCAGTGCAAATTTCGGAGAATCAAAGTACGATATACGAATAAGCATGCTCCAATTCCTCTGACATGAAATAGTGCAATGAGGCTGGACCCAAGTGTAGCAATTGCGACAGACGCCAGATCACATGCGATTTCGAGCTCTCTCTAGACGAACGTCGAGCAGTGGAAGCGACGAACAGATCAGTCTCACCAAACGATCGCGCCTCGAATACACCGCCAGCGTCACTGCACAGGAATGGGACTGGGTCGATTCGGCACTCCAACCCTTTTGATGTGCCAAATCTCGTCACCACGAAGAAGACCACGGATCTGGATATAGACGATCTTCAATTGATGCACCACTTTTCTACCGTACTAGCATACGATCTCGCAAATCAACAGACAGGTGAAGCCCTGGCTCTATGGCAAAAGCATGCGGTTGAGCTCGGCTTCAAACATGACTTTCTCTTACGAGGACTACTGGCGGTGTCAGCTTTACATCAGAGCTACCTCAACCCTCACCTTAAAACAGAGTTTGACCTAAAAGCATCTACTCATCAGAGCATTGCCATTCATTCTTTCCAAGATACCCTGGGCAATGTCAACGAAACAAACTGTCACGCTCTTTTTGCGTTTTCGTGTATCATCATTGTTCTCTCTTTCGCATCGAGCTCGAAGGACAAGGCTAGTGATTTCCAGACAGATGTGCTACATTGGATCTACCTCCTTCGAGGTTGCAATGAGGTGCTAAAGTTGTATAGAGAGACTTTACGGTCCAGCTTCTTGAAACCTTTGCTTGACGAACTACACTATGCTGAGAATCATACAGCTCACAACATCGACGACGTGGATCGTATCACAGAGCTATTCTCATCCTGCAGTGGGACCAGGCTTGGCGACAAAGAGAGGTCTCAGGCGTGTACGCTAGCCATCCATGCCCTCCTCAGCACTTTCGTCCAGGCATCTATTCTACGAAAACGCGGCGAAGGAACAGTCCTTGCCTCCTTTGTGTGGTCCGTCAATCTGCCTCCGGCATTTCTCGAGATGTTGAGCGAGAAGCAGCCAGAAGCATTGATAATCCTGGCGCATTATTGTGTACTAATATATTGGGGGGAGACACAAGACACGTGGTTTCTGACAGGATGGGCACGGTACATGTTGGACACGATCAAAGAACTCACCCCTAGGAACTGGCACGAGCATTTGAGCTGGCCGGATTCTACCATCAAATAGGACTAGCCTTACCAGAAGGGGGTACCACTGTCCTAAAGTTTATCCTCGATATACACGATTACAACAACGAGTAGACGTAGATAGGGTTGGTAATCTGGTGGCATTGGAAGCGAACAGTGGGTTGATCAGTCATACATTTTTTGTTATAGGCTTCTCAGAGTGCCAGACATGGCTTCAGCAAGTGTTTTGCGCTCTGCATGCTGTGATACCTCTTTGTCCAAACTTGCATCATCTTTTGTCTTTCCTATTCGTGAGATAACCTCATGAGATGCCTCAGGTGATTGAATCGATTTTCGTACGTACTGCTTGGACCAGGAGGCATTTGTTTGAGAAGAAGTTTCGCAAGTTGAGGCTGAGACGAGTTACTAGGCTCTGTTTTAAGCTGTTTCGAGCTTAGTCTGACCATTACCGATGCCTATTCGCAGCCAAGAAGTCACTGAAGTATCCTCCTGACGCCCGGGATCCGCGACAGAAGCCCCGACATGCTTGGCTGCAGTGCGCGCTTCCACCTGCGACAACGAGCTCCTCACCATCACGACATCCCTCTTGATCGTACAGCTACCCAACATATTCTCTCTACAACTCTCCTTCAAGCGCCTCCATGCTGGATCATGGCTTTTAATATGAGCTGGTCTCATTAACACTCTTTACCAGCAATTTCGAGAACAACACAACCCTCATTACTACGAATACAACCTGAAAGCACTGGCAAGCAATCCTCTATGGCACGAAAAACACTCTTCGTGTTTATTGGGTTCAATTTGATATTCCTGATATGTGCTGGACTACATCTCTTCATCCCTCTATATGCACGTGCACAGCTCGGCAAAGATCCAACGCTCTACAATGTCGCGAATACCCTACTCCTCGATGAATGTCCTCTCACCGCCAGCATGGTCAATTCAGGCCTCATGTTCCTCTCCTTCATCATCTCAGTACCTGCCTTGTTCCGAAAACAAAACATCGTTCTTCTTCAGATTCATGCCTGGATGATTGTGGCTGCTGCGCTGTTCACTCTCAGTATTGGTCTCGAAATATGGTTCTCGACTCTGCAGACACGGCGCAATCTGACACCTATATGGAATAGACAGAGCACTTTCGTGCAAAGCATGCTACAATTCAAGTTCAAATGCTGCGGCTACGACGATACGAATGTGTTCATACAAGACGGAACGTGTCCGAATGTGGCTGATGCTACGAGGCATGGCGGCTGTATTGGCCCTTTCTCGGTGTTTGCAAACAAGTTCTTGGATGTGGTGTTTACGACTTTCTTTGGATTCGTGGCTGTGGATATGCTGGTCTTGTTGAGTGTACTATGTGTCATCAAGGAGCGCAAGGAGCAAATACGATATCAACTCATTGATGAGAAATCAAGAGTCTCGATATAGAAAAAAAATATAATTCATTGATCTACTGAATTTAGGTATGGGAATGTGGAAATTGTATAGTAGAAATCATTGATGAGATACGATAGCATTCAGCGCTGGATTTATGATAGATGAATTGATCGGATAGATAGTATAGATGGTATAGAGGTTAGGTAGGTCGATCCCATAAGGATTAACCAGAATGTCGCCTACTAGTCTGAAACTTGTGAAGCCGATATTAAAGACTTCTGCCCTCCAGCTCGACTTCACCACCCTAACATGAAACGCGCTTTGGGCAGCCTGAGGCTATCGGATGCTTGGCACTGGGTGCTTTCCGCTTCAATCCAGAAATTGTACTGTCTCAAGCTCAAGGTCAAGGAGCGAGTAGTACGTATTCACGTTACAAAACCTGACGAGATGCAAGAAATTAGACCCGGAAGTCCTGTGAGATGAAATTTCATTTAGGTTGCCGAACGTGGTCTTCAACACGTCTTTGCAGATAAGCCGTCGGATTTGAACACAGCTTTATCTACAAACCCATGCTACCGTTACCTTCGAGCTCTTGGCAGATCTGATAGCATCCTCGTCCCCTGCTCTGACTGGATGTCATGCCTGGTCGTTGCCACATGGCTGCCACGTTGAGGACATGCCCGCTGGCTTGCCACTGATTTGGCTCCGTCTGCGAAGAGCCTGGTCCAGAATATAGAGCAAGATGTCGCAGGTTAAGCGTGAATATAAGGTAAGTCGCGCTTTGCAAGCACTCCTCGTTCCATCTACCTAGGTACGAATCTGGTCTGCCGAGACAATGGCCAGCATAGAGGGTAAGACCACGTTTGCTAACGAGAGAGTGATCGTCCCTTCTATGGGAGAAACTGACTCTCGTAATGGCACCGTTCACGAACGACGTCTGAGCGCAGCGCAATGGGAGAAGTTTGGCGAAACGAAACGAGGTCTATCACCGCGACACGTCCAGTTGATGGCCATTGGAGGATCTATTGGGACAGGTCTTTTCGTTGGTATTGGTGGTGTCCTGAGCAATGCTGGACCATTGTCGCTACTACTGGGTTATTGCTTCTGGGGTATCCTCTTCATCTGGCCGTGTAATCTCTGCACTGGAGAGATGTGTGCCTATCTGCCGATCAAAGGTACTGTCTTCGAGCTTGCTTCTCGTTTCGTCGATCCAGCACTGGGTTTCGCGATGGGCTGGACCTATTTCTTTGCAGGCGCTATGTTAGTCTGTGTCGAATACTCGGCAGTGGCTACTGTCATGGGGTACTGGTCTGATATCAATCCTGCTGTATGGGTTGCGATGGCATTGGTTGTCTGTACGCTTCTTAACGTCGTGGCAGTCAAGTACTATGGGGAGAGCGAGTTCATTATGGCTTCGACTAAGATCTTGCTGATCATTGGCCTGATCCTGCTCACATTCATCACTATGCTCGGTGGAAACCCTAGAAATGATCGTTATGGCTTTCGGTACTGGACGAATGGGAATGCCATGCATCCTTACTACACGGACGGGACTACGGGGAGATTTCTCGGTTTCTGGTCAGTGGTGATATATGCTGCATTCACCGTTGGAGGGCCTGATTTTATTGCACTTGCTGGTATGTCTCACATCCGCCTGCCAGAACGACTTGACTAACCATGTACTTCAGCTGGCGAGATCGTCAATCCACGTAAAACAATTCCCAAGGTCGCACGTTTAATATTCTGGCGTCTAGTTGGATTCTATATTCTTGGTGTGGTAAGTTCAGCAATCATCCTTCTAATGTCATTTCGAGAGTCGCAATCTTGCACATATCGATCTAGCAATATCCATGGTATCTAAACAAATACAATCGTACTGACGTCTTACAGTTCGCCGTTGGCATCATTTGTTCTTCACGAGATACTCGTCTACTCGGTGCACTTGAAGACGGTGCTGTCGGTTCTGCAGCCTCTCCATGGGTCATCGGCATCCAGAATCTAGGAATCTCCGGTCTACCCGACCTCATCAATGCACTCATCCTTCTCTCCGGCTGGAGCTGCGGCAACGCATATCTTTACAGTTCATCCCGTACACTCTACGGCCTGGCACGGGATGGACAAGCGCCAAAGTTCCTGATGAAGTGCACGAAGTCAGGTGTTCCTCTGTATGCCGTCCTTGTGGTACAGCTCATCTCCTGCGTCACATTCCTCGTCTCCTCCAACAGTGCCGTCGAGGTATTCTATTGGTTCGTTGGTCTCACGACCTGCGCCCTCATTGCCACCTATACCGGTATGCTATGGACCTATATTGGCTGGCACAAAGCGAAACGGGCACAAGGTCTGATGGACTCCACATTACCGTACATCGCACCCCTCAACCCTTACGCAGCATACTTTGCGATCGTGATTGGTTGTCTGACGATGCTGTTCATCGGCTTCGATACATTTGTTCCATGGTCGACTCAAGGATTCGTTACAAGCTATTTTGGGCTCGGCTTCGCCGTCGCGATGTTCTTGTTGTGGAAGATCGTCAAGAAAACGAAGTTTGTCAGGCCTGAACATGCAGATTTAATCAGTGGTAAGAAGGAGATCGATGAAGAGTGTAAGCACTGGGAAGATGGTGGGTATGAGGAGAACTACAGGAGGAGCCTGGCGCAGATGAACTTCTTTAAAAGGTGCTGGGTGAGGATGTGGTAGAAATGCTTTCCTGAGGAGTAATTACAGATATTAAATTGCGTAAATAGTTGCGTGGCCTCTGTCTCTTTCGGTGCAGACTCAGGCAGATCGGGAAGCTTTTGTAGCTCCTCGGTGAATAAAATTGACTTTCCACCACGACCCTACGTCCATAACAAAGAAATTCCTCTATCTTGTTGTTGTTGCCTCATCGAGTGCCTCAAGTCCTTGTACCGTTGTTGTGAGTTATTACATGTGTATGTTCCGCAATCAAGTCGATTGTTGGCCCTGTCGTCGTCTTTGACTGCATGCAAGTGATCAACCAGCGCGTTCCTGAATGATCGACAACCGCCCAGATAGAGTTTCTGCAATCCGTTTCGGGCAATGTCATCATTGACCCAAGCTTGGTATCACTCAACTTCCTCAAATCCAGCTCTTGTAGGACGAATAGATGTACGGACTTGTCGGTGCGGTCGATGTTGTTTTCCGTGGACTGAAATGAGTGTATCAGCCCGGGTGTAGTCTCTCAGGGAGAACACAACAGTGTGTCTGGCACGCCATATCGATTTTTGGAGTCTGACGATCTTGTATTGATGTGATGCCTCGAACACATCAGGGGTAGCCTCCGAGACCTTGAGCGCAGGAATACATCAAAGAAATCGCAGCATCTCAGAGAGCGGACCATCATGGCTTGGATACTGGTGACCCCATCCTCACGAGGCATTGGCTACGCCATGACCAGACACCTCCTCAGCAAAACACCCGACTCAATACCGATCGTCGCAACAACACGCGCCAAAGATCCCAAGGAAACCAAAGACAAGCTTCTGTGCGACCTCAAGCTCTCAAACGCCAGCTCCGACCGCTTAGACGTGCAACAATGCGACCTCCTTTCCGAATCTTCAATCACCGATCTAGCCTCCTACTGCCGCGATCGTTACCAACCCAAAGACAACAAGGAAGCCCATCTTCGTCTCGGCGTGTTCCTGTCTGGCCAACTATTTCCAGAACGATCACCTAGTCAAATCAACTACGACAATGCCCTGTCAACGCTCAAACTCAATCTTCTCACTCCGATGATGTTACTGAAGCACTTCCACGGCTTTCTTCCCAAAAAGTCTGCGAAGCTGGATACGATCGATGGCTTGCCTAGGTCAAGTGTTCTCGCTTTTCTTTCAGCTCGCGTAGGTAGCATTTCGGACAACAGTCTTGGTGGGTGGTATAGCTATCGCGCTTCGAAAGCTGGCGTTAACCAGCTTGTTAAGACCGGTGATTTATTTCAAAAGATACAGTCGAAAGAGAACGCGTGTGTAGTTGGTCTGCATCCAGGAACGGTAAAGACGGACTTGAGTAAGGAGTTTTGGAACAACGTGAAGAAGGAAAAGCTGTTTACTCCTGAGTACAGTGCTGAAATGCTATGTAAAGTACTACAGCAGGGTGGTAGTGGTGAGAAGGATGGAGGTATCGAAGCGTTCCGAGGACGGTGTTGGGATTGGAATGGCAAGGAAGTCCCACCCTAGAATCATGATGGGCGACAGACGTGTCGCACTCCCCGTGTCTTGCACAGTGTCGATGGTTGTCGAGGGTAGAGATTCTGAGAGGCAGATGCAGTACCTGCCCACAGCAGGATCACCACTGTTCTAGCACCAACACCCTGGGTGTGCAGTCTTACAAACAGTAGAGGATGAAGGTCACTTCACTGGAGTACTTACAAATAGCATGGCATCTTGACGAGTCAGAACGAAGAAGAGGTACAAACTGGATCCAAGAATTGTTGTTATTGACGACTATGGATAGTAAGGATAGACTATCGACGTGTTTTCCACCTCACCCACAACCACTTTCACTTGGTCGTCAAGAAGACTTCTTGTACCAAGCAGTAAGCAACAGTGTTGCTCAATACGTACCAAAGACTTGACGCCATAACGACATTGCCACTGTCCATGGTGACAACGGCATAGCCACTCTGCTTGCACCCGAGATCATACGATCATGCGACGGCGTCAATTCGGACAGGATCTCTGGGTGAGGATCTTTGTGAACGATATTCCTCGAATCACAAGTCTTTGCCTTGCCTTTGCCGTTACCACAGTCTTTGCAGAAGCGTTCCAAGTGATTGACCATCTTTTCAGCGAAAAGGCAGTGAGCTCTTGGCTGTGTGGTGAGCTTGTCAGCAGCCCTGTGACAGTCGGCAATAGCACCACGATGAGCAGATACAGCTTTGTGGCAGCCGTCTCTGTCAGCGAACCGTATAGGACCAAGACATGTACCTGGACCAGAGACGAGGCAGCCGCCGTGACTGATAACGTTGCTAGCTTCATATTTGACCAAACCTGGGAACTGGAAAGCGTTGTCTAGAGAGTATCCGAGACATTCAACAAGAGGTACTGCTTTCCAGCCTGGCTTGAGGTTTCGAAGAATGGCACGAGTCACGGCCACACTGTTTGAAGTTGTGTCGTGTTGGATGATGAACATGTTGCCATCTGCAGTCTTGCTGTTCATGGCACCGACAAGGTTGTGAGCTTGCTCTTCAGCTGACGGAGGAGGGTTCATCCAGTCGTTGCTGTCGTATTCCTAGTTGACAACGTGGTATCCGAGCTTGTTCATGTCTTCTCGGCAACCTCTGTTGCAAGCAACCATGGGAGCTCGCATGAAGGTAGGCATTTTGCCGACGACGTTGAGGATGGCTCGTTCGGTCTTTTGCATCTGCACTTTGCGTTCATGGGATGAGATGGCTGACATGTTTGGATGTGACCAGGTATGAGAGCCAATTTGATGACCTTCCATGATCATGCGTTTGACAACTGGAGTCCAGCCTTCATCGATTGAGCCACGGCCATTGAAGTTGCCGCCGAGAAAGAAAGTGCCACGAGCGTCGTACTCAGCCAAAACGTCGAGAATTTCGTGGGTTCGTGCTGCAGGACCGTCGTCAAAAGTTAAGGCGAGAGTCCTTGGCTTCTTGCATTGCTTGATAACAGCCGGGATCCTGTTGTCGTAGATGCGTTTGAAGTCAGCTGGAGAAGGACCCTTAGGTGTTTTGTTGCTATCACACATGCCAAACTTTTCTTGGCAGTTTCCAGGCACAGAACAGTAGGCCTCAGTTGTGCCACAGTAGCCTGCAACAGAGCAGCACATTTGTGCAGGACATTTGTGGTTCTTGTGCTCCTTGCCACAACGAAGATTCTGATTGGAAGTGAGGGGCAGGTGAGCAGATGTGAGTTGCAAAAGAGCAGTAAAAACTGCTAGGATGACCTTTGGGTGCATGTCTTCTATGGACAAGCAACTGGTGTCAACGACAGGCTGGAAGCAGTGAAGCTGATCCGGTATGGTATGGTAGTGCAATGTATGGGTAATTGAAAGAGAGCAATAGCCAAGATGAACGATAAGAATTATGCTGTAATTGGTGCTTGTGGAAGTGTGTGAGGAGTAGAAAGAAAGGATGGAAGTTTTCCGGAGCAGAAGAAGTTGAAAAAGCTCTTCTGAAGTGGGAGGCACCTGCCTTCAACTATCTCTTGCCATGCTCGGCCCAGTTGCAACCCTGATGACGACAATTGTATCGTTGCAAGGAGTATCAACGTGGCAGTCGCGACTAGATCTCTTCCGAAAGAAGTCGAGTGCAGAACGTCCTCAGCTCGTCAAAGATTCAAGTCGACTTGACTAGTTCTTGGCATCCCTCTATCAGCACTCAGGTGAATGTCAGACCACAACAATGTGAGTGTCTAACCTGAGGTGATGAGCTATCGATTAACTTCACTTCTTCTCGTGCATTTTACGCTTGCTGGCATGTCGTTAGTGTGCTCTTAGATAAGAATCTTCGAAAACCTCTGGAACAACGATCATCATCACGTATGCCTTGGTATGGTACCACAACCCGCGTTGACTTGTTTTGGGCAGCGTTCCTTCTTTCAAGAGAACACTTTGCAGTGGTTGTCCATCGGACTGATGATCGATGGTAGCGCTCCCGCTATGGTTACCAGAAAATGAGTGGATCTGTCAAAACGATCACAACGCCTTCTGAGCGAAGGGCTTGCAGGGGCTTCACCATTGTACGCCTACCACCTGATTAATATTGGTTCAGGAGCAGTTGAGCACGAAATACTTCGTCCAACCACATCCAGCGAAAGACTTCTCACGCTTCTCCTGCCATTTTCGGAATGCAACTTCAGGAAGAACAAGCAAACAATATAGCCAACTCAGACATGAATTCGTTCCATACGCCGTTTGAGAGCACCAGAAACCTGCCAGACCTTCTATGCCCCGTTCAATTTCTCGAAAGACTTTTCATGTTCCGTTGGGGTTGGTGGCACAGAGACAAAAGCATCCTCGTCGGCGTCCGATCGAACACTGCCCGTGGGCTTTTGCTCATTCAGCGAGATTGTCTGCATAGCCTCCAAAGGAATATTGTCCTCCTCAGTGGGTGGGTCGAAAACGACTCTGCTGTCAGTGAAAGTAATATCTTCGTTGGGCGCCGGACTAGTGACTACCAGATTTGGATCATGCATCCAACGATTTGGCAGAAGCACAAACTTGCATTCAAAGGTGTCTGTGAACTCTTTGCTATCGAGCTTGAAAAAGAAAGTTCCATCCTTCATTTCACCCCTCCTATCAACTTCCCAGTTGTCCATAGACGTTCGGAGTACGAGCTTACCTTCCGGCAGATTCTGAGCTGTCCTGAACTTCACAGTGAAAAAGGAGGGTTGTGGTGCTGACCTGCCAGGATTTCGCGGTGGCAAAGCTGGTGGTAAGGGTTTCGCAACCTGTACTACCCGAGGTCGAGCGATCGTTGAAACAGCTGTAGCAATTTCTGCATCGGAGTCTATGTCTGAGAAGTCTTCTTTATCGCTCTCGTGCTTTTCTTCTTGCTCTTTCAAATCTTCTGATATTGCAGCCTGGTGGATAGGATCATCTTCGTGTAATGCTTCTTTCAATGGGGGCTCTGTTCTAGGTCGAGGAGGAAGCTGTGGGCTGTCCTTTCCCATCGAGTCAGATCTCGAATCGAATTTGCTATCGGTCTTAATATCTTCGTCGCTAGCGGTTTGAGTAGCTCGGGTCACACTGTTCACACTTGTTGTGCTGTTCCTCCAACTGTCGGTCTTTCGTCTGATGCTGGAACCATCCAAACTCTGTCTGTAATTCTTGTAGATTGGACTGGTAGGAGCAGGATTGAACTCAAAGAGTTCGGCACTTGGTCGTAGATGCGTACCTGCTTCACGAATGGGTAGACCTTCGGCCTCGAGGGCTTTCACACCATAAGGGTCATCGTCGTCGGGTGCTGGAATGCCAAAGGTGGATCCAGTAAAGTCAACGTCGAGGTCGGCAGGAGATTCTCCAGAGGGTAATAAGCTTTCGTCGACGTTGTCGCCTTGAGCCGCTGCCAGAGTGTCCCATAGAATCTTGAAGTCTCGTACAGGTGGATGACGAACTTTTCCCGACAATATGTCTGCGCCACTGACCTGGTAGCCGTAGAACACCGCATTTTCGTCGGTTCTCTCAATAATGGCATTTCCCGCCAAAGCAATACCTGCATACAGTCCTCTGCTCTTCACATATGACCATACTGGTGCAGGCTTTTTGTGTATCTCCATATCCAATTCTCCGCCTGCGCCAACTGGACCAGCCACAACTCCTAGTTCTGCGCCCAGTGTAACTCTAGCATTTCTGGAGAAAGCATCCAACGCTTTGTAGCTGTTGATGACAAGGACACTATCGAATATATCCACTCCTATCAAGAAGCCAATACTCATATTTTGTATGTGTATACCACTCGGCGGGCTCCATTCTCTGGTCTCTGGGTGTCTTGCAACCACAACACCCGCTCCACCACTTCCACCGAGCACCCATCCTGTGCGCATTGTTGTGAATATAGCAAGTCCAACGGCATTTTGTATAACTTTTGCGGGTATCTTAACCAGGTTCCTTTGCCTTCCTTTCGGCGTGAAGCGCTCCTGACGGTCTTCCGACGCTTTCTGTGCAGCATCCTCCTCGATCTGATCGTAGAATCCGTCCCTGCAGAACGTCCGTAGGATTCGTGCGCACTTCTCACATTCTTTGTCGAGAGTCGTTGGCCAAAATGCTTCGCTGCCTACCTTGTTTGACAGTCGATTAACGGGAGCACCTAACTTGTCCACGACTGCGTAAGCTTTATTGAACCCTGGAAGTAAAGCTTTGTTGTAGGCAGTGTTGCCATATCCTTTCGTCTTCTCCCAAAATGTAGGCTGGGGCGCTTGCCAGGTCGAGGACGAGCCTGGCTGCGCCATTCTGACAGGCAAGAGAGCTCTAGCCCTGCAGCCTTCGGTAGGCAAACGATATCTGGTCAAATCACTTATTAGGGTGTAAGCAGCACAAACCCGGCAACGAAATTAGGACAGTGCACGCAGTTGCGTGATCCGCAATCCTACAGCTTGCGGAGAGAAATCATACAAGCTCCATCCGAAATATATATCAACTCAAGTCGTCCGATGCGAGGATGAGATGGCCCATGCGAGCAAGCCGCACCATATCTGGTACAACAAAATATTATCTTTCCGCTGTGAGCCGACTGCAAGGCACACCACTGCCTATACAGTCAGCAGGTCTGAACGAGTGCCAGATATTCAGGTGTCATTATTGCTCCGAGATTGTAAGCCTAAGCTCCACCAAACTAATGCAAGGAATTACGACTCTCCCGTATCAACACAGATGAGGACGTAGACATTGCCTTCAAAGAATCTGAACTGCATCAGGTATATAACAATTCTACTTAGCTTGTCGAATATGTCTGAGGAATCAAGGATCAAAAGCTTGGTATATGTGTAACGTCTGTGTCCGAATTTACAGACTGGTGAACGAAATCATACAACAAAGACTATGTACTGAACCGCTTTTTACGCTTGCACAAAAATCATGCTAGACATCGCCGCAGATATGAGACTGGTTCTCATCCTTGAGCGAGAGCACCCACCCGACACGTTGATTCGCGTATCTTCATCTCCGTCCTGAAGTAGTCTCCCCACTTCTTGCGATAGCTCAAATGACTGAACAAAGTATTAAAACAATAGATCCAAACAGCAGCAGCAAGCCAGCGCACCCAAGAGCGCGGCACAGCACCCTTCTCCAGCACCTGGCCCTTTCCTGTTGTCCACATAGCCCTGAGGTGGCATGCCTGGCTGTTGCTGATATTGCATGCCTTGCATACCTTGTGGTGGACCGTAATAGCTATTCGGAGGACCATAACCCGGACCACCTTGATATTGTTGCCATTGACCTTGTCCTTGCGGTTGCTGCCACTGCTGCGGGAATGGGCCAGCGTCGTAGTGTTGCTGTGCTGGAGCCGGATAACTAGGGGGCAAGCCAGCAGGAGGGTTGTATTTGTTCTGACTTGGATCCATTGCGAGCAAGTCGATCTAGGTAGTTGGTTGTCGCGATGCGACGAGGGTTGTACTTCCGATACGTGTATGTGGTGGTACGAATTCCTCTGTCAGCGGCAAAGTTGTTCTTCTTGACTTCCGATCGCTCGATATGGTGAAACGATGACTACGTGCGGTATTGCTAGTATTTTGCAGTGTTATTGAGGGTGATGAGAATTGCGAGATGCGATGTGAATGGAAAGGAAGAAAGACAAGGAGGCGTGGGCTCAAGGCGCAGGTGACCGAGGCCAGTAAAGTGTCATTTGAGCTCGTATTGCGCGTCGCAGTCATTCAGCTCACCAGAAGAGAACACCAAGCTTTCGCATTCGTAATGCCGAGCCACACTCCTTTCGTAATTCTCTCCAATAGTCAATTGCCAACACCGGCAAACGAGAACTTTCCTGTGGGTTCATGATCAAGTACTATAAATCTGTCACGGCTATTTGGCGGTGCGACTCCATACCAAATGTTCAATGGCGGCACGGCCAAAAGCTGTTGTTAGGTGTCGGGCAATATTTCTTCAGCCTTTGCACGTATTGACCAATTCCCTGTTTGCAGGAGGCAGATCTACTGATATACTGGTTGTGCATGTTTCTGGGAAGTGCTTTTTGCAGCTGATTCTGACGCCCTGTAAACCACCACTTCGGCTACCACATAAGAAATCAATTCGGAGTGTACGGACACATGTTTCACACGAATTCAGAACACCCAATTTTATGTATTGTATACACCGGAGCACGGCTCATCTTTACCTTTTGAAACCGAACCGTCCTCACCTATAACCCGGATGTGGCAAAAGGTCCAGGAATGCAGTGTACACATATGCAACAGCTGGAGAATTGCAGCCTGTCTTTTGTAGACGCCTACCGAGTCCTCAAAAATGTCCACACTCCCATGTACGCGTACCATTTCTATCATCTGCTTCTCCAACAAGCCGGTCAACTCATTGATGTTCCGCCAGAGAGACTGTGCAGAATGCCATAAGGACCACATTCGTCGTTGCAGGTCGAGATAAAAGATGTGATATGCAGCTCAATCCGGACGACAGAGTATAGCCCATTGACAGAATTCAACGCAGCTGGATATTCCCGAAAAGGTGAGATTGCGTTGCACTATTTAATTGTCTGTGTTCCTGCAAGAGAACTCGTCATTACGTTGGGGGATCTGTATGTGTTTAGGTAGGAACCCCTCGACCATACACGCCTCGTTATGTTCTTGGATACGTGCTGTCTCAACCAGCTACACAGCCTCGGGGAATGGTCGAGAGCCACAAGTTCATCGCCAGAAGTGAACATTAATTTTGTGTTGGATCGTCAATATGCAAATTATGCAGCGTCACAACAAGGTCGCTTCTGATGATGCTTGTGCAGACGGAGGCACTCGTGTGGGTTTCTGGCTATTCATTGCTATGGCAGTCCCTCGCTTACACTAGGATGTCGCCCATCACAGCATCGTCAGACGCTACCTCATCTCGGCCATCTTCCTGGATGCAGTGATCGACCATCACAACACCGACAATACCGACAATACCGAACAGGAGCATATCGACCATGTACACGATTGCACGGTCACTGTGCATTTGGACCGATACTCATGCCAGCTATGGTGCTGCTTCAGTTAAATACCAAACCTTTGTGAAGAGTACGATGTACCACCACCTTCCCGCAGGGCCGATCCACACTTGTGACACGTAATGTCGCGAAATAAGCTGTACAACACCGCAAAAATCCTGGCGTAGATGATGGTCTTTGATTTGTGAACGCAGATCTTGTCGCACGCCACGTTGGCTCGGGTATTTCCTGAAGTCAGTTGGGACTCGTCTTCCACACTGTAGCACGCCAACTTGACCATACTCGTTGCAGCTGGTAGGACGCGCTTCAGGGTGATATTTGAACCAATTGAGCTTAACACGGCCCCACGTTGTTTACCACGGTACTAGCCGATGTACTGATGCAGTATGCTTGTTTAATCGGCATGTTGTCTCGAGAGAGAAAAGACATGAGACCCATAAATCAGGTCGATTAATATCGGCAGAAGGAATAACCCATGGACGAGCCATTTATCTCTACTCTATGCAGATTTACATTATCGCACTAGCATCCTTGCTAGAGCATTCCTTTACAGCACATCGGCCTGAGGGATGATATACGCGAAGCTGACCAGAGTGTATGCGAGAATGCTTACGAGAGACCAACAAAAGCTCTTGCTTCAACACATACTCGTACAACAAACGTAACAGACTGACGACAAGAACAACATGTATATCACAACCCAAACCTTCTCTCCCACATCCCACGTCTACAAAAGTGTAACGGCCATGACTACGGAAGTATCGCCCACAATTCAAGGTGTGAGATCCGATGCCGCGCGTGAATAAGCTCCAGGACCTAAGCAGGGATAGGCTCACAAAGAATCTGGATGGAGGTGGGTGCGATCACCGGGCTTCTCAACTTGTGCTGGCATCGTATGCTAGGCAAACATGCCTCTATCTCATCCCATGTCCGTCTTCTACTTTCCTGGGTTGAAAGTCGATGTCGTTATCTCATGTCGCGGCTGACAACTTTTAGTGCTATGAACTATTCCTGCCTAGCACCATCCTTGTACGCACATCATTAACACGTGCTTCGACTTGTGCTGAGAAGTACCGAGTTCTTCTCGTCTTTAGGTACCTTTTCCCGGTGTCTAGCTCGAGGCAAGCAGGAAAGTATCCTTTATCTAGTAGTCCACCACTACAGCTCAGGTCTCCACGTTCTGAGGAATCACCCTCTCACACCACGGTATTTGCGAGAGCAAGAACGGAGCCCATTCACCTGAACTTAATTCACCTGCGCTTCGACGGACTGCTTTATCATCGTCGTCCATCTGCATACGCTCTCACCTCTCTTTTGCTTCTTTCGTTCTCAGCAGGCACCTACGAAATGAGCGTTTTCATTTGGCACGTCTTCAGCTGGGCCGGTAAGATCAAGGGTGCTCACCCTCTGTGAGAGAGCTAGGTGGGCTCTTGTCGGGTAAGTACTGCACGTCAATCTGATAAGCAGTATTGCTAACCAAGCAAAAAGTGCCATATCGACAGCACCTCGGCCCGGTCTGCTGTACAGTATACACCGACGAAATTGACTGTCAAAAGAAGAGATAGATCATACCAACATCAAACAATCTCCGCGAGAGTAGTCTTTAGCGATACTGTCCCAAACAAGATTGAGCGAGAAACCCCAACAGCAGTCTGGGATGTTTGCTTCACATGCTCTCCCTCCTCCCTCTACCTTCGGCCATGAACATCCCCCACTCCGCATCACATCCGACTCAGCTCGCCCTCAGCCACAAGGGGGATGCCATTATCAAAATTCAGCTGGACAAGGCGTAAGATGCCGCTGTCAAACTTACCAGCACAATCGCAGTCTGCCAGGAAACACGTGTGACTGCGGACACTCTGCGTGCTACCACTCACAGGTGAATGACGAGAGAAGACTATCGCCTGACCGTATTGTCAGCGCACTGGCAGAGAAAGTCAGAAAACTCGAAGATATCGTGGTCAAAGAAAGGGAGACACGAAACAACATGGCGTTACAAGAACGACAGAGTTGGGAGAGAGAAGTCCGATTGTTGCGCGAAGCACTGGCACCGTTTTACCATAGCGAGTCCGAGATGAGAAGAAGACTTGCGCAACTTGAACATAGATCCCTCAATAACGATGAAGACCATTTCCAACTCAAAGAAAGAATATCGGCTATTGAAGAGGTTAACACAAGCCTTGAACGTCGTATGCAACAGTCCGGATCGTCGCAGCCCAGAAAGCGGAAAGCGAGTCTCGACCATGAGACGGTCATAGTAATGTCACCAGAATCAAATTATACATACTCGTCGTCCTCGATTGCGAGCGACACTACATCCATTTCTACGCAAAGATCTCCACAACCACCATCGCCTATCAGCTTGCCTGTTCCTATTGCAATGACGGTGGCATCGCCGAGATCAAGCGGAGTGTTGAACTTGAAGCCGAAACTACCACCAGAGCTTGTTTATCCTGGCCAGCTTACACAGCAGCTGGATTCTGATATCGAACCCAGGTCGAGCGGTTTTTTGTCACTGGATCTTACGGAACGTCTCAGGAGGCATAAAATAAGCCCAAATCCAGCCGTGGTACTGCCTGGAATTGTTTCTGGGCTGAATCACATCTACCATAAGAGTCCTAGCACGATTTCAAGTGGACTTCCATCACCTCCGCATAGTAAGATACCCTCAAGAGCGCTTCCAGTATCCGGTTTGTTGTCCACTGGCACTAGGAACGACAAGGAAGCTCGCTCACCTAAGCGGCACAAGCAACAAAGTGATGGAATGCTTGCGCTAGAAATACTTGCCAACGCTACAGTTCAGCAACCCACCGTCCATTGATGTCAAAGTCAATATCTCGTCGCTCAGTCAGTCGATTCCTGTTCTTATTTTCGACCTTCAACCATTATGATGTGGTACCTTACAGCGTCAGCGTGCGGTGTTCTAGCACAGAGCATAGCGAAGGAGTCGTTCGTTTTACATACCCAAAATTTGTTTTGACTTCTCCTATCTTGGGGTTGTTGACGGTGCTTGGCTCAAGATCATATGCCACCTTCTCAAAATCCCCATGTAGAGCTCCTCGAGTCTTCCAGCCCAAAGACCCACCTACTCCGGTAGTTAGACCATTTCGACTATAGATTGAACACCATATAGGTATTTCTTCGTGGTGGCAATCACTCACCTTGTCGTGCCTTGTCCTCAGAAAACTCACGTGCTACATCGTCGAATTTAGTGCCGTCCCTGATTTTGGCAAGAGCCTCTTCCTTCTTCGCATGTTTCTCGCACTATCGCAGCATGAGCATACGAAGTGGTGCAACAGACTGTACTTGGAGTAGTATGCTCACCAGGATATGCCGAACGTTGATAGATTGTGCACCTTTCTGTTTGCTGCTACTTCCACTGTCGTCATCGCCAGCGTCCTTCGACTTCTTGCTGCCACTCTTGTTCTTTGAAGGTGGCATTCTGGCAAGTAGTCGTGGATCACTCGAGCGCTGCTGTATCAGAGTGGGATGAAAGTACTATTTTTAGGCAACTCAATCGACACATACACAAGCTACAATAGTTAACACACTACCTCTGCGTAGTCATGCTCTGGAAGTGTCTTGCAGTACGTGAACTTGCTTATCGTCAGGTTGCCTCTTAACCCCTGCAAAAATCCTGCGTTATGCGGAATGGCCTTGACTCAGCTGATGGATGACCTGGACTGCAGGTGCAGGTGCGGCACCAAAGGCATCGCGCTCGATGGAGCACCTCATCGGTCCCGTGCAGCTAGTGGCTTGGCTACTGCAGTGTGAGAGCAGTCGATCCACTTCTTAGCCTTCAGTGAACAGGACTCGCATCCTTGATGTGAGTGGCAGATCTGGCACACGGCGCACATAACCGATCGAGGGCTCAAAGGGGCTTTTCTAAATGACAAAAAAAGGTTGGATAGAAGCATTGCGCGGGTATGAGAACTCCTAAGAGCATTGCCTCAGCTACGGACATGGTTATAGCGACAACAATGGGCCTCAATCGTCAAAGAAGCCACGCGCTAATCAAACACTGGCTTGATCTCGAATCATATTTCGATGGTTGTGACGAGCAGTAGATGGAGTAGGCCGACTTGTAGAACAGGCTGCGTAGATCATCAACCGACCGCAATAATCGCTCTCTTTCTCTTCATGCCATCGCCATCCAACCTGTATCAACACCGTGGTCGTAAAATAGCCTTAACACGCTCAATCCGTGGGTGTCGCGTCGCATTCACTGTCACAACCCGATTAGAATTGCGGATCGGATTGCCGGGAGCAAGATACTTTGTTGCTGAGAGGTTATCGTTACGAATCGACAACACTGCGCACGAGTTGTGAAAGAGTACCAGTTGTGATAGTGCCATCCGAAGAGCAACGAAGTCAAATCGAAACGAACTAGTTCAAAGCATAGCGATCATTTGAATAGGTCCGAAAAGAGTAGAAAGGAGCACATAATTGAAGGAGTATGGTTGGCGGGGTCGATAACGGACTGCATCTATAGAGACTGACATAAACCCCGTGGTCGAGCTGTTCAGGTTCAAGTTGTGGACGCCAGACGACCCGTCAACTTAAGATGGAACGACCCCATGATTCACCACTAATTCGCCAACGGCCAACGTATGATTACTATCGCTCGCCAAGTCAACTTCAACGCGAACCTCACCCAATTCATCCTCAAACGTTCCTCCCGAGCCCCAATTTAAGGTCACCAGTACAACCACCTCTATCGACACTCCATGGAAGACAAGCTGGCGTGCCTGGCTACCACCAGCCCATGAGCCCAATTTATCAGAGACCCTTTTCGTCGCCTGAACATCATCGCAGCACGATGGCAAGTCCATATGAGATACACGCCCATCCAGGGAGTCGGCAAGGCTCCTTGCATCAGTCGCCCATCTTAGCAAACGGGTCGACGCGGGAACCTCCAGCTGCAGAGACGCGTCCACTATCCCAAGGAGTAAGTGACAGACTTGTCCACAAACAAAGACTGGCCAGGCAGACGCTGACACTCCCTACAGAAGCCCGATCGCATAAGCAACCCAATGTCCTTTGCAAGTATCCTCTCCTCTAATAACCACGAACCATCTCCTCCCAAACAATCCCCTGCACAAATACCACGACCGCTACCACCGCCCCAAAGTCCTATCAAGTTGGAACATCCAATGGAAACCAACTCGGCGATGCCTACCATGGCATCGCCAACCTATAGAACCAATGGATTCGTGCCCAACATAGGACCTGAACCAGCGCAGCTGCGCGTGGAACCAACAATACCAGACAAGCCTAGATACGTGATGACTAAAGCTGAGAAAGAGAAATTTGCGGCTGCCATCTCTAGCATCGACGAAGCAGAATTCAGTGACGAGGACGCACCAGGTTTCTACGAATACAAACTGAGGTACATCGAGCGTACCAAGAAGCGTGCTCGTGACGTCGATATCCACGAGGGCTCCAAGAAGAGGAAGAGACGCGTCTACCTGGTTGATGAGCTCATAATCCCTGTTGCTGCACACGTTGCTGAGTCCAAGGCGCGCTTCGCAGAACAATATGGTGCTGAGTGTGCTAAGGAAATCAACGATCGTGATGTTGAAGATGAGAAAGAACGCAAGAAAGACATGCAACGCAAGCGACGACGTGAGCAACAGATCAAGAACGAAGAGCAAAGACTGGCTGATCTGCAGCGTCAGCAACAGGACACTGACGATCCAGAGGAAGCCCTCAAATTCAGCAAGCAGATTCAGAGGTCGAAAGATAAGCTATTGCGTACCGCAGAACTACTCGGAGGAGGTGGTCAAGATGAACTTGAAGTACCTCCTATGGCACTGAATTTGGAGGGTGGTACTACATCGTCCTTCCATCTGGACTCGGAAGAGCCTACAGAGCCTCCAAGGAAGAAAGTCAAGGGCATGAATGGCGCAGGGAACAGACCAAAGAAATCAAAGGAAAAGAAACAGGCTGAAAAGGACGCTGCTGAGGCTGCTTGGGCTGCTGGCTGGCTCGAGAGTCAACAGTTTGAGTCGTCTGAAATCCCGATTACACCGAGGGAGGAGCCCAGGCCTCTTGTCTCAAAACCATCGAGGAAGCCAAGGTCCGATATCATCGCCGTTGTCAATTACGACTCCAAAGGCTACCAACAACTTGTCGAGCAGATCACAAGAGATATGGCTAGAAAGGATGTGCCGAAAGTCTTCAAGATCAAGCAACAATCGATGACTGTCAAAATTGATAATGCTCGCAAAACTGCCATTCTAGCAAGCAAACAAGCCCGAAAGTGGCAGGAACGAACCAACAAGAGCATGAAGGATACACAGGCTCGTGCCAAGCGAGTGATGCGAGAGATGATGTCCTTCTGGAAGCGGAACGAACGAGAAGAGCGCGACCAGCGACGATTAGCTGAAAGAAAGGAGATCGAGGATGCCAAGAAGGCTGAAGCTGACCGAGAAGCTAACAGACAACGCCGAAAGCTCAACTTCTTGATCTCGCAGACCGAGTTGTATTCGCACTTCATAGGCAAGCGGATTAAGACTGACGAAATCGAACGAGCTACGGACGATCCAGATGTGGCCTCATCTGCAGAGAAGATTCAAGACACCGATAAGAAGCACGAGATCAATCTGCCCCCGTCTGTGGCCGACATGACTGGCAAGACAAAAGTTACCAACTTTGAGGATCTCGATTTCGACGCTGAAGATGAAACTGCTCTACAGGAAGCTGCTATGGCCAATGCTCACAATGCGATGGAAGAAGCTCGAGCTCGAGCTAAGGCCTTCGATGGAGACGATGATGACGATCAGATGGCTGCCATGGACAATAGTGACATGAACTTCATGAATCCAACGATGGCTGGTGATGTCGAGGTTACCCAGCCCAAGATGCTCACAGCACAGCTCAAGGAATACCAACTCAAAGGTTTGAACTGGTTGGTCAACTTGTACGAGCAGGGCATCAACGGTATCCTTGCAGATGAGATGGGTCTCGGCAAAACCATACAGTCTATATCTGTCATGGGTTATCTAGCAGAACAACACAATGTGTGGGGTCCTTTCCTGGTGATCGCGCCGGCCTCCACTTTACACAACTGGCAGCAAGAGATCACTAGATTCGTTCCCGACCTCAAAGTCTTGCCATACTGGGGTAATGCCAAGGACCGTAAGATTTTGCGAAAGTTCTGGGATCGAAAGCACATCAGCTATAACAAGGAGTCAGAGTTCCACGTTCTGGTCACATCATATCAACTCGTTGTTCAAGACGCTCAATACTTCCAGAAAGTCAAGTGGCAATACATGATCCTTGACGAAGCTCAGGCTATTAAGTCCTCTCAGAGCTCGAGATGGAAAGTCTTGCTCAGCTTCAACTGTCGAAACCGACTCCTCCTCACGGGCACACCTATCCAGAACAATATGCAGGAACTATGGGCCTTGTTGCACTTCATCATGCCAACTCTCTTCGATTCTCACGATGAGTTCAGTGAATGGTTCTCCAAAGATATCGAAAGTCATGCACAGAGTAACACGAAGCTCAATCAAGATCAACTACGACGTCTGCACATGATACTGAAACCTTTCATGCTTCGACGTGTCAAGGCTCATGTGCAGAAAGAGCTCGGAGATAAGCTCGAGAAGGACATCTTCTGTGATCTCTCCTATAGACAACGTGCGTACTATGCCAATTTGAGGAGCAAAATCAGTATCATGGATCTGATCGAAAAGGCCAGTATGGGTGATGACCAGGACGCTGCAACCTTGATGAACTTGGTGATGCAGTTCCGAAAAGTCTGTAATCACCCTGATCTGTTCGAGCGAGCAGACACTGTCTCGCCGTTCTCAATGTCGTCGTTTGCCGAGACTGCCTCTTTCATGCGCGAAGGGTCCTTCGTACAGGTGGGCTACTCAATCAAGAACCAGATTGAATACGATCTACCTCGAATATTATCCAATGACGAGCGACTCGACATCGCAGGACCCCACAATCAGCGAGCAGGATTCCTCAAGTATGCGACACAAAACATGTTCAACATATTTGATAGCGATCACGTTGCGAAATCAAGCTGCGAGGATGGTGCCTTTTCGTTCCTGCGCTTTGTGGACATGTCAGCTGGTGATGTGAGCAAAGTCGCAAAGATGGGTCTTTTCGACCGTGCTATCAAGCTCAAGTCTGAAACCCGACGAGCCCTAGATCTTTTCGTCGACGAGGGTTACGAATCTGAGGAGAAGCATCTCCCAGCCCACAGCTTGTTCAACATTGTCAACACTTCTTCAGGAGGATCGTTGAAAGACTTGGAGACCAATTCAAACCTGGCCCAGCTGTGCAATATCAGTACGCGAGCATTAGTTGATGAAGGCTTCACGACATTTGAATCCGCAGCACGATCGCTTGTTTGTGCCCCTCCTATCGAGGTGAGTGCGCTTGACCAGTTCTCCAACATCGAAAGACAGAATGTCATGTTCAATACCAAGATACGGAATGCGCTCTTTACGATGGAGGAGTCTGTTGAGCAGAAGCTGCTGGAAAACGACGTTGATCCGCGAAACTACCCTCCTTCGAACATGTATCCAGCACCAGCGTCGGAAAAAGCGCGCTTCACATCCATCTCAGTTCCTTCAATGCGTCGCTTCGTTACTGATTCAGGAAAACTTGCCAAGCTGGACGAGCTGCTTCGACAACTCAAGGTTGAGGGTCATCGTGTCCTCTTGTACTTCCAGATGACTCGCATGATTGATCTGATGGAAGAATACCTGACCTACCGCAATTACAAGTACTGCCGTTTGGACGGTTCTACCAAACTAGAGGATCGTCGAGACACTGTGCACGATTTCCAGACTCGACCCGAAATCTTCATCTTCTTGCTCTCTACTCGAGCTGGTGGTCTCGGAATCAACTTGACAAGTGCTGACACAGTCATCTTCTACGACAGCGACTGGAATCCTACCATCGACTCTCAAGCTATGGATCGTGCTCATCGACTTGGCCAGACCAAACAAGTAACGGTCTACCGACTCATCACGCGTGGCACTATCGAAGAGCGTATCAGAAAGCGCGCCATGCAGAAGGAAGAAGTGCAACGTGTGGTTATCACAGGTGGCGACGGATCAGGAGTCGATTTCAATACTCGATCTCGTGGCGAGAACAGAACAAAGGATATCGCCATGTGGCTGGCTGACGACGATCAAGCAGCAATCATCGAAGCAAAGGAGAAAGAACGTGACGCCAAGCAAGAGGAGAAGGGCGAGAAAAAGATGTCCAAGAAGGCGCTTGCTGCCGCAGGTGCTGCTGAGAGACGCCGAGCGAAGCTAGACATGGAGAGTCTGTACCATGAAGGTGAAGGGAATTTTGATGATCAGTCTGCGAAGGCATCTGGTGATGCGACGCCTGTTCCCTCGGTAGCTGAGTCTCCCGCGCCCAAGAAGAAAGGTGGTCGTACTGGTGTTGGAAAGAGCAAGAAGGCGAAGACTGCAGCGCAGCGACTTGCTATCGTTGATGCAGCTGGTGATCTGGGCATGGGTGGTGGGAACTAGGGAGGATGGCTGTGTTGCTACAGCTTTCTACCATGACCACCAGGAAGTTGCAGCTAAGCAGAAGGCCTGTTTCAAGTGGATTTTCATGATGATTAAAGCGTTGTGAGAACAGGCAAGGCGTTCTATACACACAGGATGGCAGTACAGGCAGAAGGTACGGATCACCCACGGACGTGTACATCAGCCCCCTTTGAGCGCGTATTTGATATTCATGTACTAGATAGACATCGCGTTTTAGAGCCCGTGATGGACCTCGACTCAATGTATTGTATTTGTCATTCTTCGTTGTGCGAGATTGAAAGACTTGCTGACACCGCTGATGGCTGGGAAGGTCGAAAAACACGTATCGTTACTCCGTACTGGTCTCTTACTCGACGCGATCGAATTCGTTGTTCGGCAACCAGAGGAGGATACCTGAACATTTCGAGGACCATCCCCGCATGCTACAAAAGTCAGAACCAGAGGACTCGTATTTCTCCTCTTTCCATCTCGAGGAGAGTACGTGTCTGTTCCCATACACGAACGCTGCCCCTCTCACATTCATCTTTGGCTTTCTCCAGATCTCCGAATGAGATCGAGGTACTCGTACATGTAGAGTTCAGAAGGGATAGCCGCAGCGAGGTCTGGTCGTTACTCCTCACGATCTGGGAGTCTGCGACCAATTCCATGTAGAAGATTAACACGATATCTCACCTTTCTTCTACCCCTTCCCTGCAAACCAGCTTGATATTCCCAGCTTGAAGAACCGAGCATAGAGTGAAATACTAACACTCACTGACCACCGTGCTCCTAACTTGCTAACAACAGAGCCATTTACAAATCAAACAGCCACCATGGCTAAGATCAAGACCACTGCGGTCCAGGACCTCAAGACCCAGATCGATGCCGCGACCGCTGAGCCTGCCGAGAACATCCCCGGCGTCGTCTATGTCGCGGTCAACAAAAAGGGTGAAATGATACTCGAGCACGCTGCAGGAAAAGCAGGCCTGAGAGTGGACGAAGATATGACCCTCGACCACTCCTTCTGGATCGCAAGTTGCACCAAGATGATCACGGGTATTGCTTGTATGCAACTTGTCGAGCAAGGAAAATTGGCACTTGACGATGGAGACTTGGTTGAGAAGCTGGCACCTGTAGGTTGCCTCCAACAAGAGCCGAGGGCACTACCCAGAACGAATTGCTAACAGTAGCGAAACAGGAACTCAAAGAGGTTCAGGTCTTCGACGGCAAGAACCTCCACCCAAAGAAGAGACAAATCACCCTGCGAATGCTGCTCTCCCATACGGGCAAGTACTCCCCAAAAGGCACATCAAGCTAGCTACCCAACTAACACCCTCCCAGCCGGCTTCGCATACAGCTTCTTCGACCAACGCGTCCAAGACTACTACGGCGCCGGTGGCATCAACGAGTTCTCCGGCCTCCCCTACGACTACCTCTCCCAACCTCTCGTCAACCAACCCGGCGAAGTCTGGGAATACGGCATCAACATCGACTGGGCCGGCATCCTCGTCGAGCGCGCCTCAGGCAAGAAACTCAACGACTACTTCCAAGAACACATCTTCCAGCCCATGGGCATCACCCACATCAACATGTTCCCCACCAAGGACATGCTTTCAAAATTCGCGTACATGCACGACCGCGATGCAAAGGGGAACGTCCACCGCCGCAATGACGGACATCTAGCGCGGGCACCCCTGATCGCTCAAACTCAAGCTGACCGAGACGCTATCTTCCAGCAAGGTGGGGCGGGATGCTACGCACGACCGAACCAGTACGCTCAGATCATCGCCATGCTCCTCAACGACGGCACACATGCCCCAAGCGGCGCACAGATCCTCAAAAAGGAGACCGTGGACGCCATGTTCACGAACCAGATCCCCGACATGCCGAATTTCGGCCGTCAGGCCATCAACCCGCCTAAACCAGAATACTCAAACGCCTTGCCCGAGCTCTACCCGGAACCACATGAGATCCCTCAGGGATGGGGACTGACCTTCTTCTTGCATTTGAAGGATTCTGCGGTCCATAGCCAGGGAACAGGTTGGTGGGCGGGATTGTCGAATTTGTTCTGGTGGGCGGATCGACAGAGGGGTGTGGGTGGGATGATTGCGACGCAGATTTTGCCGTTTGGTGATCTGAAGGTTATGGGGCTTTGGGGACAGGTTCAGGCTGGAATTAACGCGGCGCTGGAGGATTGACTGGATGAAGGGGATGGTCGTGCGAAACTGTAGTATAGTTGTGATAGCTGCCACGAGTTATTTGCATTAAAGAACCATAAGGAAGAATGTCGTGTTATCGACGCTTCAAGACACTGGAGCAGCAAATGTAATACTTCGTGACCTTTAGAAAGCGTCAATTTTTCTTATGTTAGCTCATGATAAGTAGCTCAATCGCTTCTGTTCGGTGGGATACCATGTCTTTGGCATGTCTCATAATCACGTATATTGTAAGCTCAATACTCAAGCTCATCTCTCATAGCAACATTGAAAGAGCCTGACACAGACACGCCATTAGCGGCCGTGCGTTCATCACCGAACATCCAGGCTTCTTCATCAGCCTCTTGAACTCGCTTGCTCAAGCTTGTCATTATCAAGCCCAGCAGCTCATCCTTGTCGGCTGAATTCAACGTTGCTCCTACCCCACCCATCCTGGGTAGACTTCCTGCTTTGTTGTGCCTCTGCTCAGCCTGACCTTTCGTGGTGATTCGTGCCTTACCACGTGTTCTAGCCGAAACTCCATTTTCAGGGGGCGTCTCTAGCGACAGCGACGATGATGAATCAGGCAGTACAGCTGTTCGAGCCTTAGCTCTCTGCTGGGATTGCATTTCGCTGAGTATGCTTTCAATCTTTTCATAATCTCTGTAGTCATTGCCGTCGGCAGATGTATCTATTAACTCATGTAGTCGGGTTTGACGAGAAGACAGGCCACCAATTAGTGAGGACGAATGCAGGTCTAGATCGTGTTGACTTGCATTTGCTCGTTCGAGAGACTTCATCCTTCGCCAGCCAACAGCGTGTTCATCTGGGTCATCTTCGTCGTCTGTATCCTCTTCGTCTTCACCCTCCTCCTCTTCGTCACCTTCAGGCAGTCGTGAGGGCAATTTTGGTATTGCTGGCAGCTGTGGTCGACCCGTTGTAGGATCTAGCGTTATGATTGAGGCGTTCGTGTTGGAATATAGTTGTGACTTGGTAGGCGATAGCGATCTCGTTGGCGGTAATCGAGGCGCATAAACATTGCTCAGAGGCCGTTGTTGGTCTGGCAGCTGATAGAATTCCGCTGGAACATTATGACTCGTTGAGCCCATCGCCTGGAACGGATCAGGCATTCGGTCTGTGGATGCATTTGGGATTGTACCAGCGGGACGTCGTGACAGATGTGAACTGAACAAGTTTCTTCTCAAGGTTGGTGGTACTTCTGGATTGGGTGCAGATCTCGAAAGAGCAAAAGTGGGTGAAGCCGAGGGTTCTTGAAGCTGTATGTTTCCATTCTGACGCATGCTGAGAGCAATACCAACAAGCAGGAACGCGACTCGATATTAGGCAGTCGCGTACCTCTCCAGGTCGATGTTTCTGCACCTAATTACACGCGACGAAATAGGTATCCAAGGTCTTCCGGGCACATCGGCAGCTCTCTCCGTTTCGCATCCAATCCCTGTGACATTCCTCGTCCTAGAAGCGCCCTAGTACGGCACTCTTGAGCTATATCGTAATCCCAAACAAATGACTGAGTGCTGGGCTGTACCACAGAATATACAGTAATCACCCAAGACCCACGTGTGCTTTCGAGCGGATCCTTGCTATATTCACGAGTGGGGAACCCTCTGCGAGGCAAAGCTTATCGACGCTTGTGGGTATTTAGACTGGCAAGGCAGAAGGACGACATCCCCGGGTAGACCTGGCACGATCCCATATTCCGAGACGTCAACAGATGTCATTCCAGGTTTCAGACTTATTCTTTGAACGAGCTTCGTTGTTGTACGTAAACTGCTGAACGACATGCTGCTACTTCATAAACTCTAGTTATTCTTGTCTCATTGCACCCCAAGAATCTCGTGGCGTGTACAAGAGCATTATGTCTATTCGCACAACTCATATTATTCCAGCAGCAATTTTCACACTCCTATTAATATGGTTCACATTCAATTGGACCGGTCTGTCGACGCAATCGTCAACACCCCCAGAAGTAAACATCAAACCAGCTGAAGAAGAGCCTTTCTATGATATCCCTACCAAAGGTCGTCTGTTCGGCCACAATGGCATCGCCAACCTTACAAACCCTCACATTCAATTCGCAAAGGTCAACATCGCGGTATCACAATCTGATATGGCTGAATTTCCGCTTCTTCAAACATTGGACATCAAACTTCCAGCTTCAGCAAATATTAACATAGATGAGATTTCAGAACACAACAGTTTAGAACTCGAATCAACAGTTTCAACCACCATACGCATTCCTCGTCTGCCTCATACTCAGCCAGATGCTCACGAGTACATCTTCGGCGTAGCAACAACCTACGACCGTCTCCTCAACAGCCTCGACACATTCTCACACTGGCTATCCAACTCCAATACTCGTCTCATAGCAGCAATGGAGCCCTCCCTCGACCTAGATCTCCCTGACAAAGTCCTAGCAAAAGCACAATCTCTGAAAATCCCCCTCGGCACCATCGACAGTCCCTACCAATTCCTCGACCGCTACTTCTCTCTCATCCGCGTGCTCCACGACAATCGCAGTCCCGACACGAAATGGTACGCCCTCATCGACGACGACACCTTCTTCCTCGACCTTGCCAACGTCGTCAACACCTTCAAGGCCAAGTACAACCCCGATCTGCCCTACTATATCGGAGCTCTAACCGAGGATTTTCAACAAATGTCCACATGGGGTTACATGGCCTACGGCGGCGGAGGCGTCTTCCTCTCCGCCCCTCTCGTCGAGCAACTCCTCCCGCACTGGGAAGCATGCTACGCTAAACGCAACACGGGCGACCAAAGGCTCGCCGAGTGTATCTATCAGCACACAAATACCAAATTCACGTGGGAACATAACCTGCACCAGCTCGACTTACACGGCGACCAGTCCGGGTTCTACGAAGCATTAAGACCACAGCCACTAAGTGTACACCATTGGAAAAGTGACGAGTTTCGCTTCCATGCAGATATGTATAATCTTAGTCTTGTCAGCACGATTTGCGGGAAGAGTTGTCTGTTGCAAAAATTCAAGTTTGGCAATGGTTGGATTTTGACGAATGGGTTTAGTCTTGTGAAGCATAGTGATGTTGATGTGAGGCATAGGGATGTAGATAAGGATATTAGTATGGAGAGGACTTGGGATTTTTATTGGGGAGGGGCGAGTAATATACATTTTGAGCATTCTGTTGGACCAATACGGAATCCTGATGAGGGGGAGAAGATCAGTTTCAGGATGGAGAGTGCGTTGAAGGAGACCGATGGGCGAGTCAGGCAGTTATACGTCAAGAGGAAAAAGAAAGAGGAAGGGGATGAAAGACCAGGTCCAGGTGAAGTCGAAGGGGTAGTTGAGATAGAATGGAGTATGGCATGATTTTCAAATTTCGCGTCAAAGAACTATCTGGTAGTAACGTGTGTCTAGAAACGTTCTACTCAAACAAAAAACCGCCTCGTCTCCTTCACCTGTTTTCTGCACACCACACACGTCCACAGAGGGGCCTGCCATTTACCAAACTCATCACGACAGCCTTGCTTCCAGATTTGAGCGCACCAGTGGCACATTGCTGCATGCATGCAAGGCATTGTAATGGTATCAATTCTCTGTTCTTTGCACACTTTACAACCCAAGTCCACCTTAAGGTCTTCAGATTTGCATGCGTTCGGTCGTCCATGTTGCAAATCGATTGTGCTCGGAGCATCAGAGAACGTACTTGCGTCGTCGAATGGATTTGCATAAGGATTTCCTATCGCCTCCGCATATGTATCAGAGTGGTAGACCCGTCGATGCGTGTTATGTTGAGGTTGGTAGTCTTGTGAGTAAAGAGGATTGACTAGTGGACGAGATGCTGGGCCATTTCTGAAGGATGCATCGTGCTCATTGAAGTTAGTTCCATGTGTGGTGTCCTGTGGCGGGCCATTGCTGATGGTATATCGAGCTTCAGGCTGTTGCATCGAAATCAAGTCAAGCCCATCTCCTAAAGTCCTCCCGGACGTTGTCTGTCGAGCTTCTTCCGCATTTCTAAAGCGTGTCCAGGCTCTGGTGTACATTGCAGCTATAGGGCTCACATAGTCTTCCTGCTGCACATCTTCACGAGAGCCTAGTGCAAAACGTTGTTCATGCGAGCTGGAGGACAATGCCGGATGGCCATGGTCAGTGTGGTTGCGACGTCGACGATTGAACACAGCTCTAGAATCGCTGGGTGGTGGTGTGAATGGGTTGAGATTATTCATCTCAGAGGTGATGCTACGAGCGGATCTGTGAGAGTGAGTGTTAGTTAGCCTTAAAGAGGCGTCAACACATGACAACTTACAGCGCAGACATATTCGCCCGTGATGTCGTGTTTGGTAAATCAAGTGATGGGGTTTCAGGCGGAGATAGTGATGTTGACTCTGCAGCGAGTGACTCCCAATGATCTTTGAAATTGTCAAAATGTGTAATATATGCTTCATAGGCTAAGGTAATAGATGAATACTGTACGAAAGGGAAGAGGAGACAGCATCACAATTTGAGATGGAGAGGTAAACCTACCACAACACTTACGGCAGTAGCGTTGCCAGCGCCTTCCTTTCAACCTCATACCTTGGCCGTCAATATATGTAGGATAGGCAGTCGCTTGGGGACGTTTGTCTGCGCAAGAACAGCAGCACGGCAACGCTGTGAGCATACAGCCAATTTCTGCTTTGTGCTGACATGGCTGTGGCAGACCGACAGCAAAAGACGTGTGTGGTGGTGCTGTGGTGGCCATATTGTCGTCGCTGCACGTGTATAGACCGAGCTAATTGGCAGCCCTCTAGATGTTGGTCCAACAAATGTCTTCGAGCACTGGTAGAATTGTCTGGTGAATTGCTCTTCGAGTCCGAGATATTGGCATCCAGGACGAGGCCTACCAAATGCTTCACAGCTCTCACGCTTGGACAAGTGTTGTACTTGAATGGTCGTATACAGCAAGAGACAGTGAATGCAGACTCATCAAAGATGAAGAAGACATGATATCAAGCACTCATCTTGAAATCGCGTTTGCCACTCTACATTAGCTTTGCAGATCTTTTCGCGGTTGTCGTCAGGTATGAGTACTATGCTGCTAGCACAATTCACAGCAGCATAGCCATATATCTGACCACCAAAGCGTAGTCTCGTAGCCCAAGTACATACATGCTGTGGTCTGACTTGTTTTCGGAGGTGATGTGTTGAGTCCTTCGTAGATATTTGAGCTTTAAGGACCTATTGCATACAAACTGCTTGCCCAATGAAATGAATACGAAACCCCTGAAGCGGAGCGACGGGATCCAAGTTTAAGCTTACTTCTGGGGATCGACGAGACTGGACACAGCCATGTGCCCCGGGCCAGTGGTACAAGGATCCGCGAGCAGTTTGGCGTTTCACGAACCTTAGATTTCAAGTTCTGTACAGCCACTCTGCGAAGACGTCGAAATCTTCGCCGGTTCGCAAGCATCCATGCTCCCTTGCGTGGTGTAGCAAACGCATCAATATGGTTGCATCTCAGTCGCAATGCAATTCCCAAAGTTGAGCCAACTTCAATCTCGCTTTGCAGTCTCACTGGGTGGGACGATACTTCTACTCTTGATATACTTGTCCCTCAGCAAACCGAGCTTTGCGTATGCGGCCGAGTTAGAAGTAAGAACACAGTCTGGTTACGACTATCCGATCCTTCTCGACGATCTCTGGACCAACGAAGAATATTCCGAACCGGGTGAAGGTGACGAGCAAGATGTTGAGATATGGATCAAGAGAGCACCGGAAGGTGTTAGTTCCTTGCCGAACAATGCACCGCAAAATATGAACATTGAATCTGGTGTAACGCAGAACTGGGTGTTTGCAAAGGAAGACATAGAAGGACCTCATGGTGTCAAAGGTGTAGGATTACCCTCTGATGTTACGGTGACTGGCAACATGAGTGATGATGGAGTGCGAATGGAGTTAAAGAGACAGTCCTCGACCTCAATATGGATTACAGTCAATACATGTCTTCAGCCTGCATTGGAGGACACCAATGCTATTCCGCAGCAACTCCAGCTCTATTACTCAACCTCGCCTGACATTGACAAGCCAGGTACAGGGACTGGTGGCATTCAGGTAGAGTTCGAAGGTGGGTATGGTATTATTGAGCTTGAAGTTGACAACGATGTGTACGTGGGGATATCTGCACCCAATACCTCAGACTTTTCAGGACTCTGGAACTACGAGATTGCGGCCAGCAATGACGCGCCTTACCATTACTGGTCGAATGAAACAGACCTGCTCTTCGTGGATGGGGACAATCATGCTGCGCTTCTTGTGACACCAGACTTGGACAATGCATCGTCTAATGTGTTCCAGGATTGGATGTCTCTGAGCCCTGCTCCATACGGCATGTTCGCCCACGACCAGAAAAATCTCTCCATCAAAGGCGTGTCGCGATCTTATTGCGGCCTTCTACATAATGCTAAGCTTACGGCCAATATTCCGGAAATTTTAAACAACAATGTTGGCACAATGACGAGCCGCGGTATAGGTGGTGCGCCGAAAGAGCAGTTCTATATCTCTGCCCTGAACGCAAGCAGCAGTTACTACGGCTGGCTTGCAATGTCAGGCAATTCCACGGCGCATGGTGCAGGGGTTATAGGTGGTGGTGGTAGAGTATGGTCGAATGTGACCTTTCGCACCAAAGCCTCTGATAATTGTGCCTTGATGTACAACCTCACTTTCTGCTCCGAAGTGGCTTACGCTGTACCATCCAATCCGGAACGATATAGTCCTCTCGATGGCTTGCCAGATCTTGCAGCAGTATATGACAGCTATGCTTCGCAGATGTATCAGTACTTTAACTACAGTCTCCAGCAAATACCTTGCAATACCACTGCCTCGGCACAATACTCTTTAGCTCGAAACTGCGACCATTGTGCTAGTGCGTATAAGCAGTGGCTTTGCGCTGTGACTATCCCTCGCTGTGAGGATTGGGACAACAACGAAGATTATCTCCAGCCACGAAACGTTGCAGCTAATTTCACGAATGGCACAATACCAGCATGGGTTCTGAATCCAAGTTCGCAGGACCAAATTCTCCTAAATTCTGTTCAGTCAAACAGCAGCCGCAATGCCCAGATTATCGACAGTGTCATCGAGCCTGGACCATACAAAGAAGTCCTTCCATGTATTGATCTGTGTTACGACCTTGTACAATCTTGTCCCGCTGCACTTGGCTTCGGATGTCCACAAGGTAAATACCAGAACCAGTCCTACCAGGTCCGCGATCCAGACTCTGGAGTACTCAGATGCAGCTACCTGGGCGCTGCATATTATCTCAACGACGGACATAAAGCTAAAGACTCCATGATGGGCAATAGGATGGGTTGGATGAGTTTACTTATCACAGTGTTGGTCTTAGTGTTCTAGTGGTGGCTCAAGGACTTTGACAATAACATGAAAATGGTGTTTGGCTCTCGGATGTCTGTAGGTGCTGGTACTAGAGGCGACAAGAAGGGAAAAGCGAGAATGAGAGGGAGAGGCTAGGTGTTAAGGTGTTGTGCTTTATTATGTAGGGACTTTTATAGAGTAGGCCTAGATGTGCATCGGACGCTGCAAGGCTGGGCATGATGTTATGACTGGCACGATAGAACAGGATTCGTGGGCGTAAAGATAGACGTTTGAATTTAGAAAGCATTGACCGCGTCCAATCTGGAGTTGGCCAATCACTTCACGGCTGTTCTAGTCCTTCTAGGTGTGCTTGCGGGTGTCCAGTCCTCCCTTCTGCTTTCACTCTTATTGTTCGTAACAGGAGTTCTTCCACCCAGTCTTTCCATCATCTTCCTCGCAGCAGGTGTCATGTTGCCGATGTCTTTCCCGCCCCTGCTAGGCATGATCTCTTTCTGTCTAGCACGATGTTTTTCTGCGTCTTTATTAACAAGCATATGGTGAAGATCTTCTCGAGCTCGGTTCTCTTTTAGTTTGAACGGATTCGGTGTGCTATCTCCTGTCTGTCCAGCTAACAGGTCACGATAGGTCGGATGTTCCTGCGCAGAAGGGAGAGGTTCTTCGTCATCCACGAAAGAGTATCCATTTACTCTTGGTGTTTCTGCTCCTGTAACAGTACCGACGTCTGTGCCTGCTGCATTGCGTCGAGCTATGAAGGAGGTATGAATACTGGTTGTATCGTCGGTGTCTTCTCTGTCCCATCTAGGTCCGGATGGTGGGAAGCGAGTATTTTCGTGAATGATTTGCTTTGGTCCAGTTTTTGACATGGATTCCTTGAGCTCAGCTACTGTGACTAGGCCTTGTTCGTCTACTGATGTGGAAGGGCCGAACATGAAGTTGTTAGCTGGATTCGAGATCTTCCATGAATTGGGTTTGGAGGAGCGAGAATCAGTAGCGCCTGTGGTCAGTGAGATTAGGGCTTTCTTGTTGGTAGATTCGTAGATCTCTTTATCTTGGATGAGTTGCTGGGTTTGTGCTCGATGAGCGATGAGACGTTGACTGGGAATACGTTGATCTTGGGTCCATAAATGAGCGTGCTTCTGACGGCGCTTTTGATTCTGCTTGTCGAGGATGGTGTTGAAAGACGAATTGTCTTCGGAAGTGTACTTTGCTTGATAGGATGATAGGGACAATGTCGAGGTGTCGAGGTTCTGGTCTTCTTCCTCCAGTTCAATCTCTGTACCATTTGTCGAAAGTGGTGTTTCTGACCCAGAGAGTCCCTTTGGTGTATCTCCTGCTTGTTTGTACGAGCGTGGCGTATCGAATCTGCCATCTCTTGTCTCTCTTCTAACCTTTTTCATCGCGCTCTCTCCATCTCTTGCTGCTCGCAATTCCCTTTCTGCTTGTCTGATCCATTGCGGATTCTTGCTTTCGAGCGCTTGTAGGTATTCTTCTTGGGCCTCTGTTTCGCGCAATCCGGGATAGTAGTCTCTCGCTATGATGTCGGATAAGGCTTCGGTGTATGTGTCTTCATCAAGGACTTCGGTTGGTCTTTTGATACGCTTGATTAGTGGCGGTGGCATCAAAGCTAGCTCTTCATCTCTGAGCTTGATTATGGCGGTAGTACTGCCTTCGCTAGCACCGCTTGCCATGGTGAATCGGCTTTACGCTCAAAGAAGTCACTGTGAACAGTGGTCAGAGCAGGCAGATGTGGTAAAGTACAGAAAACTAATGTCGCGGTCAGCTTCAACCTCTACCTTTGGGAAGACAAAGCAACGGGTCGCGTAGTCATATAACTCCATACACTTTACACACTGTCATCAGCTGAGAGCCTGGGTATAGACGGGAAACAACTTTGAAGAAAGCTTGAGTATTGACTTCGTCCACAACGCGCTCTGCCTTACGCAAAGAAGCAGTGTAGTCAGCTTATCTACTCTCTGCTACATTATCGAGAATGCATCTGCTGTCCTTATTTCTCTTCCTCAGGTCATCGCTCAAGGCGAAAACATTGATGAAAAGATGATGAGAAGGCCAAAAAATCCAGCGGTCAAACCCACGAATGAGTTTGAGCAAAGCCTGCTACCCCGATGTGCAATGGAGAGCATTCCTTACAAAGAAGTACCTGCTTGATCGTACTCTTTCCACTAAGGTAAGTATGAAAGGAAAGAAGGAAGTCAAGACGGGCAGGAGCGAGAAGACAGGTCCATATACCCTGTGAGAGTGGAGTATTGGCGAGCATTGGCAAAATAGATCAACATCGTTTCAGGATCAGGCAACACTTTTTCATCACGAGAGTGATAGATCAAAATCGTGTGAACAACACATGGTCCACCACGCGGATCAGAAAAGCACGGTTACTAGTGGAAGAGCTGCCTGAGGCACAATGTAAAATTCCGTCACGTTACTTTTTCCTTACCAGCACAGCAACCGTCCCTCGAGTAATTTGATCGCTCATTGAACATCTGTCTCTCAAATGTCTGCGATAGACTCTCCTCGCCATGGAATCCCTCACTGAACAAATATGGGATGTGATAATTGCTGGCACGAGTCTATCACAATCTTTACTAGCACTGTGCGTTCTGCGGATGCCAGTGTTGCCTAGGTCGTCATGACTGACCTTTGGTCGTCCGGAACAGAGCGCTATCAAAATGCGACCTGAAAGTGTTGCACGTTGACCAAAATGACTACTACGGTGGCGTGGATGCTGGTCTGAGTTTGGACGAGGCACAAAGATGGGTTGAACGTCAAACGACTCGAACAGGTATGGCATTTAATGAGTACATCATATCTACATACTGATGGGCCCCAGATCAGACGCAGGCTTTATCATTCAGCATCGTCAAAGCTGAGGACTCCTCCGCACTTCAACAATCCCGGGCATACACGATCAGTCTGGAACCCCAGATCATCTATGCCAAATCTAGGATCCTTCCAACACTTGTCTCATCCCAACTACACACGCAACTCGAGTTTCAAGCTGTTGGCTCATTCTTCGTGTATGCAAACGACGAGCTGCAGAAGATACCGAGCAACAGAGAAGATGTTTTTGCAGATGATGTGTTATCAGTCAGAGACAAGAGAAGGTTGATGGGTCTACTGCGTTATGTCGTCGAAGAACAAGATCAGGATGAGGGTGTGAGCATGCAAGATCAGCCGAGCACTCTCCAAGCCAGGTTGCAAAGTCAATTCAAGCTACCTGATCACCTCATTGCACCAGTCCAAGCATTGAGTCTGAGCACTAGGGCATCAAACGATACTGCTTTTGATGTCGCTATGGCTAGACTGAAGCGACACTTGACGTCGATGGGCTACTTTGGTCCAGGTCTTGCAGCAGTCATGGCCAAGTATGGCGGTAACTCAGAGATCGCTCAGGTCGCTTGCAGAGCCGGTGCTGTAGGCGGCTTTGTCTATCTGCTTGGTCATGGCATCAAGTCAGTCGTACCCCTCCACGAAGATTCGTCGTTTGAGGTTGAGCTTTCCGATGGTACGAAAGTCAGATCCAAGCACCTTGTCGGCATGACGGATGACCTACCTGTCGAGATTCTCTCAAACCCAAATTCAGGGCAACCACGACGCGACGATCAGACAGTGGCACACAGTATCAGCGTTGTTTCGTCACCACTAAAACCCCTCTTCGCCTTAGCTTCAGACAGCAGCAACGTGCCAGCTGTAGCCATCATACTCGTCGATGATGGCGACCTAACCCAATCACCAATCTATTTACAAGCACATTCAGAGGAAACAGGCGAATGCCCGTTCGATCAAAGTAAGTTTTCCCCATTGTACTCCTACCCTTTCCTCTGATGAACAACCTTATTGAATACTTATCTACATTGCCTGAGTGCACGCACGGTGTTGATAACCATCCTCTGACAACCTGATCTGGAAATCTTCTCTCCTATTTGACACACATGCTCTGTCAGTCACAACGCTAACCAAGCCGCAAACAGGTATCATTCACGCTTCGACCTTGCACCAAGGCGGATCAAGTCAACCGCGCCTAGAGACGGCTGTCAAGAAGATCATTAGCACCGCCAACAGCAATGAAAACGCAACGATTTTATGGCAGATGAACTACGTTCGACAGGAAGCCAAAAGCCGTGACGTCTCCAATTCCACAACATTAGGCGACAGTGACTCCAACATTATCATCTTCCCAGAAAGACCTCACGATCTCACGCTCGAAGACACCATTCTAGACGACGTCAAGTCAGCTTGGGAGAAAATCCTTGGGAGTCGCAGCACCGAGTATGATTTTCTGCGCTTCGAGGAGCGGAGAGATACGGAAGAGGAAGATTAGGGTACCTACAAGGTGCGAGTATAGATTTGTATCTCTGCCAATCAGGATTGCTGGTTGTTCAAAACACAGGTCAGTTCGTAGTCTTGATGTCGAGCTCGAGATTTGTATCATTTCTTCCTCAGTATGGCATACGCTATGTAGAAGTCGACTTATTCTCATGACTTGCCCTTCAGGCACTTCTCGCTCGGGGTTAGGTGAATATCCCTTACTTAATTTAGTAAAGGTATTTGTGCCAATCGGTCTGACCGTGACACATTCGCACAGGCTCCACAAATGATAGTGGACGTTCTCTTTTCTTCTTGAGCTTCAATCAGCCTGATCCCGTTATGTGGATTGCCTTTGAATTGCTCCTGACGCAATTCACTTCCACGCGCGCGGGAATGCGTCCGACGCTGGATGTGCGCGGAATTCATTGTAGTATCTGCATTCCATTCACTCGCACTGCGTGCCAGATCTCAAGCTGGGCAGGGTTCTTTTTGAAACCCCCTGCTTGCCTCGGATTTTTGTTTTCGCTTTGCTTTTGAGCCTGTCAGGCTTTGTCCGTCCCGAGTCAAGCCTCCTAATCCGTGCTGACTCAATCTTTCTATAACTTAGCTCCTTATTCACAGGCCTGGTGGGGAGACCCAGCTGGGGACGCCGATGATGAACATGAGCCTTGACTGGTTTTGAATAACATATCCGGACAGGTCCCTTAGATAAAGGCGTCTTGATAGATTGCGACTGAGGAACCTTTCCTCCATTTCCACGACAAAGACGCCAAAGTGGAGGGATCGATCCCGTCTTGAAATGAGCGCGGATTTTGATTATCCGTGTCCTCCTGCCTCCAATAGGTGCATATCGATCTGGACGCAAATCATTCAGCTGCTTCCATGTGCGGAGATGAGGTTCCGTTATTTGTTCTGCTGTGGGACAACCCTTCTGGTACCATTTGCGACGGTAGATACGTCCTTGTAGATATTCCAGTTCTGCACGTTCAGCGAGAGACGTTCCACGCCTTGACTGTCGTCTCCTGTGGGAGCCCAAACTGTTAACAGTCAAGCGCAGAAGCAGCAAAAAGCGGTCAGACAACACTAGAGATGGTGGTGATCGTACTAGTGCCCAGAGTGCATCAGCCAGGACTTCTTCACCTTCTCCCTGTATTCCCCTAGCCGCCACCAGCCAATATGTGAAGATCTCCTCATCAAACGTCTCTGCAGCGCTGCGCAGCCTGGAGTATTTCAAGAGCAGGCCAGCGATATCGCTATATCGCCATTCACTCTGCAAGACTTCCAAGACTTGCTTAAGAATGATTGCACGCGTAGCGCTACTACCGTCTATTTCCTTACATTCACGCTTAATAGCAGCATGGAACGCAGGGAACGTATCAATGGAGGACCACTTCCTAGCCTGATTTTGTTTCATCTGTCTCTTTCGCCTTGTAGCCGAAGATAAATTTTCGTTGATTTGAAATTCCACCTCAAATCTTGGTCCGTAGGTTGCAACATACGTGTCGAAATCATCCAACAGGAGTACTGTTTGACGGGCTGCCACGAAGTGTTTGATCAGCTCTGTCTTCGAAAGAGTACGCACTAGCCTTCCTCTTTGACCAAGATCACGATGGAGCAAGGCCTCAACATGCTCGAAAAAGGCTTGTGGAGTATGAAATTTGTCAGGGTTCCAAGAATCTTGGTCAGTGACCTGTATGTCGTAAGTATCCTGATAGCGTTGGCCACGTCGAGCCAGGTCATGCATGAGGGCTTCTTTGGCCAAATTTTTGAAGTCGTCCGAGAATGGACTTCGAACAGAACCGTAAGCAAAGGCTATACATGTATTGAGGATATCGACGCACGAGGCAGTTGTTGCAGCCCAGGCGACGGCTATATCGTGAGCAGTTTGAGGAATTCTGGCAGTGCTCAACATGGTTGGCCAGGCGGTGAGCAGATCTTTAGTCCACTTCTGAGCAAGATCCGGACGTTGTGCACGAACGCAACTGACGTAGATCAGCCTTGCTAGCTCAGGAGTCGGTACCAAGCCATGCTCTTGGATACAGTAGATTAAGTAGTCGTAAAAACGGCTGTCGCCGTGGTGAGGGATAAAGAGAGTCAGAGTACCCTCGACTAGACTAGCAAAAGCAAATGGTTTCGACCTTGGGTAGCCTTGACGATGCAAATCCTCGAGAAGATTGTCCACGGCTGACCAGTCGTGGGTCCTCGCATAACCTCTGGTAAGCTCAAGTATAGATGGAAAGACGTCATGGAAGCCATAGTCGTGCTGGACAGCACTGAAGAATCTGTGAGCCCTCGCATTTAGGCCAGCGGCAACAGCACTCTGAATGACAGGGAAAGTGATATCAGCAGATATAGGGAAGCCACATAATTGCACACTTTGCAAGAGCTTCAATGTATGATCTAGGAGAAATATGGGGCTCTCGCGATTATGTTTACAAAGTTGTTTAAGGTAAGATGCGGTACGTCGAATATGATGTCGATAGTGACGCACGTGAGTGGTTGATAGATCCCAAAAAAGTAGGCTTGCAGCCCTAGTAGCTGACCTGTATTTCTCCAACAGAGCCGTGAGAGCGACGTATTGAACAGAGCCTAGATCGATGCCAGTAGAATGCTGACGAACTGTTAGAAATAGGGTCTCGGCGATCTGAGCATGCTTCGGTTCGTTGGTGCTCATATAAGAGATCAACATTTCCTCAAGCAACGACTTTGCAGCAAAATCGCCGTCGGTATGGCGCACAGCAAGGATACGTTCAAGAAGTATTTCATGGTCGTCTATCAGTATCTGACCAAGCTGAGGATTTTCGAAGTCCTGATGGGTTGGGGCAAAGCTATGATCTGCCTCACTTTCTTCCTCTTGCACGTTGAGTAGGGCTTCGGCGGCAGTAACGTATAGCCTGACATGTCTATGCCGGTTGTAGAGTTGGTTGTTGTGATATTCCCGAGGCTGAATAATCCTCGCCAGAGAGTATTGATGTCGACAAATGCCAATTGGGCGCGATGGCCTTGCAGCATAACGTTCTTTAGCAGCGCATTGTCTGGACTGAGGTTTCTTCGAGCTTACAGCGTCGTCGTACTGTAGAGGATGGTAGGGCGCCGAGGCGAGCTGGCGCAGAAGACGTAGAGCGTCTTTGCTTGGGACTAGATGCTTTGTGGCCATACAAGTGGAGATAGGACCGAAGTGCAACACAGTGCTCACGGTTCTATGATCTCGTCCAGTTGTTCGTTTTTTCTGGCTTTTGTGGCATAAGGATGGCACTGTCTGAACACGCTGCGATCCAGTTGTACCATTTGGAGAGTGAAGATGCGGAGTGCGCTTGCGTCGCTTGTACACAACCGTAGTCGCTCTCTAGAACAGCATTAGTATGCGACGACATTGGACAACCTACCCCTACATATGCTCGTCTAGCACATTGCCTACAGTCAACTCCTCGAGCCGCAAAGATGTCTACTATACTCCGAACCCTGCGAAACTTACGGAAGATCGGTTTCAAGGAGTATGGTCACCAGCTACAGTACATGGGTGAGTGGTCTGGATCTACAGAGCTCTGTGAAGCTCCACAAGTGCTGATGTCTTTGCTCAGGCGATACGAAGTCTGGTGTCTTGGTTGGCACAGATCGACTGGGCAACAAATACTATGAGAACTTGCAAGAAGACTTGCCATTGCGAACACGATGGGTTGACTATAAAGAGAAAGAGTTTGATGCTTCACAGATCGACCCAGGCTGGCATGCTTGGATGAGTTACATGGTTGATAAGCCACCGTCAGAGGATGCCCTGTTACAGATCAAACAGAGACCGTGGGAGAGTCAGAAAGGCCAAGGCAACTACACGCTTAGCCGCAGCATGTACAAACCATATTCGACGTATGTTGTCCACAAGAGGCCATGAGGCTATTGCTAACCATACTCAGAGTGAAGCCCAAGCTCAGTGCGTGGACACCTGTGGCGAAACCACGAGATGGTAAAACTCCCTTTGAGTTGCCACAACCAGTGGAAGGGGCTACCGCATACGCACAGGATCCCGATCCAAAGTCATAGAACGAACCAAGTAAAGACAGAAGCGCATTATAGATGCTGGCGTTCAATGGGGTTACGAACCAAACATTTTGTTACGACATCTAGGGTATCTCAAAGTCATTCCTTTCTCGACCTTAAAACTCCAGCCAAGCATATTGCGGATCATACCTTTTGCGCCTTCCGACTTATTCTTGCAGGGCCGAGTTCTTTCCTAACCTCGCCTAGTTGCTGCAGACCATACACTTCGTTACCATTTTTGCCACGCTTCCCCTTTGCGCCTTTCCGCTTGCCGCCAGGATTAGCTTTGTTCCAGTCTCCTAGGAAATCATCCACCATCCCATCGAAATCAGATCGAACCGCCTCTGGGTCAGCAAAACTGCTGGTTGATAATGTCGACATCTTGGACATCTTGGAAGCGCCGGTCATGCCCGAGATTATGGAGGCAGCACCATCCGTATCGTCAAACTCGTCAGCTTCGTCTAGGCTATACATCTTCTCCACTTGATCGAAACGTCTGTCTAGAAATTGAAGACCTTCTCCACGATTTAAAGAAGAGGATGTCATGGAATACGTGCTAGGGTTGGTCAGAGCGCCTTTCCGCTTCTTCTGCCTTAGTGGTGTGCCGTTGAGAGTGTATAGTGAAGGCGCGTGATCGTGTACAGCGGAAGCAGCAACGACTGAACCCGACTGAGGTTGAGCAGGCACTTTTTTCGTGTCTCGCTTGTACTTTGCGAAATCTTTCAGCCAGTCACCATCTTCGGCTACAGCGTTAGCCGTCACATCGCTGTCAAGCGGCAGGCCTTGGTTGTCGTTTACATGATTCAATTCAGGGTGCTCTTGCAACGGCATCTTCAGTTCTTTGGGCTGTTCTGAAGCTTTTTCGGTGGCGTCGGATTCCCAGCCATCATCGTCTTCGTACCTGCCTTCAAACTCGCTCAAATCTAGCTCACCGTTGTTCTGACCATCGAACCCAAGTGCACCAAAGACGTCTTCCTCATCCTGGTCCTCAACATAAGCATCATCCTCTAAGGCTTCGAGAACCTCTCGTAACCTCGGATCCATATCTGGCTGGAAACCGGCGATCTCATCGGGCACATCTTGCTGACTCTCCAACACTCTCTTGCCTTTGGTTGTTCTGGAAACAGTACTCAGGCCGCCATCGACCAGGCTTGGTGCAGAAGACTCCTCGTCGTCCAGGTTTACCTGTCGTAATGCATCCTCCAAGCGCATTGTATCCTTCTTCGTCTTCCCCTTCATTTTGGTAGGTAGTGCATCGACAAAGTGGCTATCGCCTCCACCCTCGCCCAAGTCTTTCATGTGTTGCATGTAGTCATACTTTGTGTCGTCAAAGTAGATACCATACTCGGCAGCCTCGCCCTCATTGTCTCGCATATCCTCGAAATCCAGTTCGTCGCCATCTTCTAGATCGGCCAGGTGCAGCGCTCGGTCCTGCCGCTGGGTAGAAGAAGAGGACGCTGCAGACTGAGGCTGATTCTTCCGATTTGAGACTGAGAAAAGAGCGCGATCGCCGGCGGTGTCATCGTTGAGCAATGGGTCATCCTGAGACCGATAGAGGAGAGCATAGGTCTGAGTAGTTGGATTGTTCTTGTCGATCCACTTCTTACGAGGCATGTTGTGCGATTAATTGTGTTGAACCTAGCTTTTAATATTCAATCAATCGTCCTGAGCACTAATCCAAGTACTTAGCAAGGGTGGTGCTTCGTCAAGACTCGCGCATGCAATTTAGTCACGATGCCCTGATTGTGGGGAAGTGATTCAAAATGTTCGGATTTCAAAATAATTCTTTCGGCAGAAATTCTGAATGACGCATGCTCAGTTCGCATCGAGTGAATTGCCTGCTCTCCTGATGTAAAGGGCCTAATCACCGGCATCCATGTTCGACATGCCCGAGACACAACTAATTCGCCCGCCATCATGCATCGTTGATCAACGTCCATACTAGTGTGGGTTTCCTCAGACACTCTGTACGTCTGTAATTCTGCGACTCACAAGACGAGAAGTATACCTGGACTCGATACTCTGGGAGTGAAAGACTGACCTGTCACTTTTCAATCCGGTTACCGCTGGACGTTGACCACATCTTACCAGACATCTTTGGGCCACCTACATCTGCAATCGTACCTGAAAATCTCCTTGCTTGACTTCCACGAACACTGCCATCATGCCTCTCGCGAAGTCCAAGAACACTGTCGGCTTGGGCAACAGCCTGATGAACGACCGCTTCGGCAGAGGCAAAGGTTCTGATCGCAAGAAAGTCTCCTCACAACCTGGCTCTGTAGTTCGGATCAACCATGCCACGGGCGAATCTTATGTTACCAATAGCGCGAAAGAGGCTGACTGGGTCAAAATGCGCAGCATCACCGAGCAGAATCCCATGGATGAGTTCCTGTCCACTGCTGAGTTAGCCGGCACCGATTTCACGGCTGAGAAAATGAACAATGTGAAGATCATACACACCGATCAAAGGAATCCTTATCTGCTGTCCGCTACTGAAGAAAGAGGAGTGAGGAGAAAGCATGCGCAGAATCGAGGTAAATTGACCGTGCCACGAAGACCGAAATGGGACGAGAATACTACGCCAAGAGAACTAGATGAGTTAGAGAGAGCGAGTCTGCTGGAGTGGCGGCGAGGCCTGGCAGAGGTGCAAGAGAATAACGATCTACTCATGACTCCCTTTGAACGCAACATTGAGGTTTGGAGGCAGCTTTGGAGAGTGATCGAGCGTTCCGACCTTGTCGTGCAGATTGTCGATGCCAGAAATCCTCTAATGTTCAGATCTGAAGACCTGGAAAAGTATGTGAAGGAGGTTGATTCCAAGAAGAACAACCTCTTGCTCGTCAACAAAGCCGATATGATGACCGAAGACCAGCGGAGTGCTTGGGCTGACTATTTTGAGGAAAAGGACATCAATTACAAGTTCTTTTCCGCTCACTTGGCAAAAGAGCTGAACGAGGGTCGAGAAGTTGATGAAGAGACAGAGGAGGAACAGCTTGATTCGGACGATGATGTTTCACACGACTCTATGGTGCAAGATGTCCAGCAGCTCAATCTTGAGGAACAAGAGGACTACGACGAGGACGAGGATGAGGCGGATGATGATTCATCAGGTTCGGAGGAGATTGGAGTCAGCGCAGAAGAGAGTGGTTCAGATGCTTCACCTGTCTACAATGAGACCGAGCCCTTACCATCTACAAATCCATCACACGACGAAAGAACCCGAATCTTGACTGTTGATGAGCTGGAATCATTGTTCCTTGAGAATATTCCCTCACAACCAGATCAAGGCGAGTCCGCAAGGAAAACTACCATTGGACTCGTAGGCTATCCCAATGTCGGAAAGTCGAGCACGATCAACGCTCTTATCGGCGCTAAAAAGGTCTCTGTATCGGCAACTCCTGGTAAGACGAAGCACTTCCAGACCATACATTTATCGGACCGTGTTATTTTGTGCGATTGTCCTGGTCTGGTCTTCCCCAACTTCGCAACCACAAAGGCCGAGCTCGTCTGCAATGGCGTCTTGCCTATTGATCAACTCAGAGAGTTTTCAGGCCCTGCCGGTCTCGTCGCCCTAAGAGTACCGCAACCATTCTTGGAAAATGTATATGGCATGAAGATTGCCATAAGACCAGTTGAGGAAGGTGGCACGGGTCAACCTACTGCTAGTGAGCTGCTCAGAGCGTATGCCAAGGCCCGAGGCTTTGCAGGCACAGGACGACATGGTCAACCAGATGAATCTCGAGCCGCACGCTACGTTCTCAAGGACTACATCAACGGCAAGCTATTATACTGCCATCCACCTCCTCACGATCCGGAAATTGATGGAAAGGAATTCAATAAGGCACTTTATGATTTTGCGCACCTACCGGCTAAACGACAAGCCTGGCTAATAGCACATACTAATGAAGCAGAGGGTGATGCCGGTTCCCAGACCACTTCTGCCCTTCCCACACTACGGGCCAAAGTTGGAAACAAATCCAGAAAGCTGGATGAGACTTTCTTTGCGCCAAATCCGCGGAACGCAGGACACATCAAAAATAGGGCATTTAACCACCAGTATACGCAGCAAGGTCAGGTTGACATGCAGCAGAAAAGTCTCACAGGAAGGAAAGAGAAAATGCTGCGAGCACTAGAACTAGGTATTGATCCCAAGGAGGTTACGAAGGACAAGCAACACTTCAAGGGTAAACGAATCAAGACAAAGAAGGCTAAAGCCGCAGACGATGAATGAATGAATGTATCAGCATCGTAGACGTTGACAGGATTTCCTTGGAAGCAATTGCACACAACACTTGAGAGTTCACCTGTGCAGACTTGACTTTTTCACTATGACTTCAATCTAATTCACCAAGCCTTCACTTTGATGCCCCACTCTTGCACCGTCACCAAGACGTTGTTTTTGTAAGTGACCCCTCCTCACCTTACTCAAGGTCGTGGCTTCCCTGACTAACTCGCATCCGTCCCTTCCTTTAATATCCTGCTTTTACTACCCTTCTTTACCACAAACGGTTTGACTCTCGATCAACTTTAGAACCTCGAAAACAGTCTCTAGTTGCCTCAATCATGAAGACAATTGCTATATTGCTCGGTGCAGTGAGCATTACTAACGTCCTTGCGTCTCCGTTCGACAAGCACAGCGCGAGAGTCGTCACTGTCGAGTCTAAAGATGGTTTAGAGATATGCTGCTACGACGATATTCATGATGGCAAGTCCTGTCACCCATGTGTACAAGGAGAAATCCCTTCCTCGAGTATCACAATCACCTCTACCTTTACCAATCCCCTTTCTACGACGACTTCATCATCGATGACCCCTACCTCACCAGTTCAATCTCCAGCACCTATCTGCTGCTTATTGCATGGCAAACTGCCAATTGCGAGCTGCGATAAGTGCAAGACCTGCCTCGAGGATCAGACTTGCGTCCACCTCCAGCACAGGATGGCATAACAACTGTACCTGAACCGGCATCTACATTGTCTCTCTCTGGACTCTGCTGCATAACTAAGGACTCAAATGTCATCAACTGCGATGCCTGCCCCCCTGAAGACGAAGAATTCACCATGCCTACTGGCACAGAGCTATGGCTGCCTAAGAAGATCTCCGGAGATAACGTTCAGTTCATGAAGGCTCGTACTGCCAGCAATCAGGTCAAGGACACTATCGACTTGAAATGCTGTATGCATGGTCTCATCCCCATCTGCGTCAGCGACGATAGCAGTGCCTGTGGTCTTGCCGAGAAAGCTCTCGAAGTTCGTCAAGAAGAAAACCTCTGCTGCTATCGCGTTTTGGAGACCTTTGACTGCTATGTCTGCGAGAAAGCGACTGCCGTTGACGGTGCTATACAGGCACGAGCACAAAACGAAGACGGCGACTGCTGTATCTTATGGCCTGGACGGTACTTTTCTTGTGCTGCCGGGATCTGCCCGAAAGGATTCACATCAACCACGATCACTCTCCCGCATCCTGCCGCCGCAACTGCTGCTGTGGGAGCACGAACTTTGTCGAATATCAACTTGGAAGCTGAGAAAGCAGTCGCAGCTGCTACCTTCGAGACGGTTGTTGAAGAATGTCACTGCATCTGGTTCGGTGTTTTTGTTTGCACAGGATGTGGCAAGGTTGATGTGACCAACACTGCGTAAGTTGAATGTGCTCCCTGCTCAATTATCAGCTTGAAGCTGCATACAGTACTAGACGATCCCTCTTTCAATATTCTGACCGAAGACCCTAAGTCTCCTCAATATTGCCACTTCTCCTTGTTCGCTTTGACATGCTAACGATTTCTTTTCCAGATTGAAGCTCCAACACCCGTGGGCGTTGCTCGTCGCCAGCAGACGTACGACTTCCACCTGACATGCAACGGCAGATACGACGTTGTGGCCGGCAAGCATCAATGCAAATCCTCTCTCATTGCTGGAGACGCATGCCTCAGCAGCTGCTCGTGTGATGGTGTAAGCGGTATGCACTGCAAGCCCGTAGGTGACTGTACCGTCGACGAGACGACCAAGTACTGTGGCAAAGGAAATCCTTACTTTGGTTGTGCTTGCACACGCCTGTAGGTCTTCTCACCACCAGACTGTGCCTTTTGCTAACAACGTTCACAGGCCGGATAGGGTGCCACCACAGATCTAGGTCGAAAGGCCTTGTCTTATAAGCTTGTATTCAGCAGCAGCATTGCGCAACAGGATTGCGGCATTGCTTGCAGCATGAACACGAATACCACACAAACACCAATGAGCTACCAAGATCAGTGACATTAGAAAACGTGACGGCTGTCTATCAGCTCCGTCTTTGGGATGGAGGGATCGAATCATAGCATCCAGTCCCTCGTACAAGTTTCGCACAATACAATCCAAGTTAACGTGAAAATGCTTCTCCCCTAGCAACGTGCTCAAAGCCGTTAATTTTTGTTCTCTCTGCTCTACTGCAGCGTCTCTCATATCATCCGGGTTGAACTTTGAAGAGTATTCGCTCGTACAACAATTGTGTGATGGCTCAAAACCCCATTGTCTGAATCATCACCAAGAGCTCCTTGTTCACTGACTGCAAACTGCCTGTATCAATCCCCTGCACGTACAGTGGATAACTCCAATGTACAATCTCAAGACCTTTGTGTTTTTAGAGTAAAACCCCAGAATCTTCACTGTAGCAGGCTCTCAATCTTTCCTCGCAGCCTGTAGTAAGTCATGATTGCCATGTTTCTAAACACAGCTGTATCATTCCACTTTTTGAGCCGTTTTGCAAACCCCTTCACTGTTGGCGTCCCTCTCATCGCGCAGAAAACAAAACCCCGACCCATTCGAGGATTTCAGATGGAAGATGTGCCTCATTCGAAGGTTATGTACACAGCGGTCGCACCGATTGTTTGAATCTAGCGGACTCGTACGAAAATTCGAAACTGCGGCAAGCACCGATCGTGGGCAGTAGTCCAAATACCCGATGGTTTGGTGCCGGAGCGGAAGTATGGACATGTATGGCAACGAGAGGCTGATGAGGAGAAATATTGCCCTTTTCCTAGACCTGCTGGATGAGAGACGGGTCGGGAGTATGCCTTCACAGCCTCACTGCAACATATTCAAGAGGCAAGATTGTGGCTTTAAGAACACCTCTCCGCAACGCATGCGAGGTAGCCCGTAGTATTACTAGCTCACTCTATCCCGTCTTCATCCATATCACCACCTCTCGATGCGCCCCTTTGCTCTTCTGAATTTCCATTTGCTTTACTTGCTGGTGCATCATCCATCTTCACCTCCGTGCTCTTCGTAGTCGGTTCCGGTTCGGCGGGCAAAGCAGGAAGTGGCTTCGCCATTTCCTCTTTCACCCAGTTTTGTTCAACTGCGGACCGTCGGCGAAACACCCTGAGCCACTTAGCACCCCACTCTCGTAGTATCTGCTCTTCTTCCGCTCTCAGTGCATCACTGCTCTCGATCATGCCATCTTCGCTTGCTGATGCTATACTACCAACAGCATCCTCGATTGCAGCAAACAGGTCTTTCATATCATTTAGCTCTTTGTCTAATGCAGCCTGTAACGTGCTTCTCTCCTCGTCACTCAATCGTGGGTCCCTCACTTTGGCAACGACTTGTCGTACGCGAGACACGACTTTGCTGGTGGTCTTCATGATCACTTCATAGCACCAATCTTTCGTGAGAACTGTTCCTCGCTCAATGCGATCTATCAAGGCCCATTCTACCACCGACATTGGGGTAATGATGCCGTAATTGAGAAGTTTGTCAACCAAGACCACACCCGTGCCAATTTGGAATTTCCAGAAATCGAGTACCGAACCGACAATTTGCTTGCGGCACTCGGCGTCTTGGTTGGCAATAGCAGAAAGACGTTCGCGCGATCGTTCAATGATGGCTAGCACATGTGATAAGGACTTGCTGCCAACGAAAAGGATCGACGTCATGTACACATCTGTCGAAGTGACCTTCGGATTTGCTAGACCTGCTTTTGATGCTTCTTGTTCAATGTCTGACAGAATCCCAGCGATGTCATCGTCAGATGCTTTTTGTCGTATCTTCTTGACAAGCTCCATAGCTTGGTCAGCGAAAGGGGTCGATGGGTCTTGGTAAACAAAGTCAGGCGTGTCTTTCTCCTTCTCGGGCGGAACCAGGGCTTGGTACGGCTCAGGGAGAACACCTTTGATTCTCTGTGCGAAGCTCAATCTGATCTCCTTGTCGAGAGCGTCAAGGATGAAGGCTTTCTTTGGACTGATGTCAGGCAGCTCCACATCATTGACCCATTCGGACCACTTCCATGTAAAGCCGAAATTACTCAAATGGTGGGAGAACCAGTCGAGAAAGCGTCGGCTGAGTTCGAGATCCATTCTATCGACGTTACGGTAGAGATATCGAATAGCTCGACCAAGACTCGGAGCGACCGCAGCTGGAGCGACTTTGCAAGATTCGGTCAAGACAGAGTGGTAGAAGACCGCTTTGTGCTCGGGCAAAGGTAACTGTAGTAGTTGAGAGAATGTCGCGTCAACAATAACGTCCTCGGGTTTCCACGCACTCTTGTCACCTGCAACTTCCCTGATCTTGTCAAATGCTGTGGCTCGCTTGACGAATGTGTCCGGAGCGAAGTACTGGTCCATGTCGATGAGGACTTTTCCTGCTACAAATCTATTAATGTGCATAACGTTGATGGCGTCGGATAAGGCATCTCTGATGAGTAGTGCGCTTGGGTCCGACGCCGGAGGGACGGTATCAATGTCTTGATCTGCGTATACCGAGAAGTAGACTTCTGGGAAAAGCTGTTTGTGGCCGGTCGAAAGAGTTTCGGGCAGGTTTATGGAGGGAAAAGGGTGTTTCTGAGCAGATGCAAGCAAATCTTCCTCCCCGGCAGGACGTGAGCCTTTCCATGGACGAGGCAAGCAGGGCAACATCCACCCATTCTTGGCCTCTACTTGCATGTGTTTTTGCAGTAGTGAGAGAACGCTCTCGAGGCTTGGAGGAGCACCCAACTCGGAAGAAGGATATGGATCGACTAGATTCTCGAGTATGTGGGGTGGCCCGGAGGCGATGATGGAGGTCTGATCGAGCAAAGAGGCAGCCTGAGCTTCGCATTCAGTGGCGGATGAGGCCATAGTATACGCGATGGTCAATAGAATGGTTTTCACGAGTTCAAGACCGAGAGTCTGTTGGGTAATTAGCTTGGGTCCCAACCATGTCTTAGAGACCACTCACATCTTCGCTGGAGGCTGTCTGCAGGTCTGCGGCACGACCGAAAAGCTCCTCAAGGAGCGGGAAGATTCCATCGCCCATGAACAGACCTTGCAGACAGGCTAAGAAGCGCAGGAGCAATTTAGCATCTCTCCAATGACCTTCATTGATCTTTTTCTGCAACTCCTCGCCGAACTTCTTCAGTATTTCTTCTGTGAACTCTGGCTTCTGCGTGTTCGTCTGAAGGACGATCGCTGCGACGAATGGAATCTTCAGAGGTTGCTCCAGGGACAGGGAGACAGCTATATCGAGGAACCCATTTGTCAAGTCGGTGTCAAAGTAGTTGTCTGCAATAGTTTTGGCGCTGTTCATGATGTCCTCTTCCACTCTTCGATGTGGTAATTCTGCGATACCAATGACTTGCTTCCTGAGCTTAATGGCTGGGGGCTCCTCGTATCTTCGTCGCTGGTACCTACCACCGCCATCGTAGTTATCGTCGTCGTCTGCGCTGGTCAGTCCCGAAGTCTGGGATGTAGAAGCGCAGACTCACCTCTGTTTCTCCGCTTTCTATTGTTGAAACCACCTCCTCCACCTCCTCGTCGTGGTCGATAATCACCCATTTCGAGGGCTCGCCAACCAGCAGCCTTTGTCACTAGGCGCAAATATCCAGTCCGATTAGACAGTGAGACCGATCAGAGTGTACGATTACGTCCCAGACAAATACGAAAATAATTGGCGTGTTATTTGTAGCAATAAGATCTTTCGCAAGGGAACTAGTACTTGACGCGCTGACGCAGTTTACGCGTGCTTTGCGACTCAGGGAAACCACTGCCAAGACGTCTTATGTCCGACTGCAACCCCTTTTCATTTCGCTCAGCGACAACTTGAGAATGTCCTCACTTACTATATACTACAAGTCACCTTTGACTATCATATTCGATCCTGGACGACATGACGTGCCGCAGTGTCCTAAACATCAAGTCCAAGACGCAGACGGTCTGCTCAGTTCAGTTTGCGGTTAGAGCCCCGTTCACGGCTTGTGCAACTTGAAACCAGATATTCAATTTCTTGACTTTGTCACACCTGTTGTAGATGTCGACTACCCTCTAGTACCAAGACATCATCATTCTTTTCAGACCCAGCATTGTCTATTCTCCCTAAACGGCTTGTTTGCGGATGCCATGTGGTATCTGGCTAACCCGATCACGTCCTGGTCGGCAAAAGTGTCGGAGTTCCCATAACAAAACTGCGGGCGTGCCCCCGACAGTTTTGCTGACCGAGACGTGCCGACCTTCTTTACTTCTGTGTCTGCCCAGTCGTACTTATGCGTACTACCGGCTTCGCACTAGTATCTGCACCTAACCACAACATATCTGGCCGGCTGTCTATGTATGTGTTAGCACGAGTCATAATTGAATGGTATGAAACACTCACAATGCCCTCCAGCGTCGGCAAATGTCTTGGCCTTCACCACTTGCTCCAAATCGAGGTCAGCTATAATCAGGTTCTCTTTCGTTGTCCCTGCTTCACTGAGTACTCGGCCATCGGGACCGATAACTGCTGAACTGCCCTGGATGGGATGACCCATAAGTGGACTTCCCGCGGTACTCATCAGCTTGATGCCTGCTTCACCAATCACTCCAGTACAATGCAGCACATATGCTTGCGCCTCGACTGCATAGGTCTGTGAAAGATTCCTACAGCCTGGAAACTTGTTAGCCTTGTCGCATGGTAATGTGGTAGTACCACCTTCCACACTCATGCTCCAAAAGCCTGGGCTTCCATTGACAAAATCATCCAACGGAGGCCAAGCAGCGACATGAATCTCCTCGTTCTGTGCGAGCGTGTAATATTTCAGCAATGGCTGGATGTGCTCCCAGCATGATAGACCTCCTACTCGGCCAGCATCAGGAAGAGCCACAACAGAAGCTAAACAGTCCCCAGAAGCGTCGCCGAAAATTGTCCTTTCCATGTGTGTAGGCTTCATCTTGCGTCTTCTCATGACGATCTTACCGTTCTCGTCGATCAGTGCCTGTGCAATGTATACAGAATTGCCTTCCCTCTCAGAGAAACCTAGAGACACGTTGATCTGGTTCGTTGCAGCAGCTTCACATATCCGTCGCATTTGCGCGCTATCTATGACCAGGGAGTTCTTGACATATTTCACTCCAAGTTCGAAGTCGACGTTCCTTGTCCAAATCCAGGCTGGATACCCGGGGATCCAGCACTCTGAAAAAGCAACTAGTTTTGCTCCGGCTTGAGCTGCTTCCTCAATTATCTTGCATGTCTTTTGAACCCCAGCCTCGAGGTCGAGCCAAGCAGCTTCGTGCTGGGTCACACTTCGTATCTTGTGTCAGCTTCGGAAACTGTCTTGATCGTACACCACCATGAGGACTTGGGAGGACGCTGATATAAATAGCTGAGTCACTTACGCCACACGAATATGGGACTCCTTCGTGGTCTTCGCTGCCGCTACCGCTTCTGCCATCTTGCCAAGCTTGCTTCTCCGGAATACCAGGCGAATTGAAGCACCGACAACGAGGAAGAATGAAGCCGTGAACGCTGTCAATGACTCGTCTCATATACAGCGCGCCATAATTCCGCGTGGCCCGAGTGGCTGGTACTCGCTGAAGCTCAAGCTCAAACTCTAGTGTCATTATACGTGATTAGATAAAGGTTATGCCAACCATGCCGCGAGCGATTGGAGGGAGACGCGGGGTGATCTTCAAGTGCGGTCTTCGTCTATAACTTTACAGATCCTGCTGTTACGAAGCAGGAGGGAATGATACGCCCACTTTTGAACTGGAGTATCTCTGAGTAGCCTTACAAGTCGCGGGTGGAGATGGTACGGAATTCACAAATGCTTATAACCACCAACATGTTCCGCACAAAACACATAGATCAAGCATGCCAGATGCGCAGGGATGGCGAGGAACGACCTTGTGTTTCAATTAGGCAAATAAGTGCTGTGCAGGATGTACCCACTGTATCGCAATCTCGTTCAGAATTGCTAGGCAAGTAGGAGTCAAGTGTACACCAGGTATCTTTGCCGGCTCCAGTAATTTTAGCATGCACGATGCAAGCAACTTGGGCTTGACTGACACTGACCGAGCGACCACATTGCAACTGTGATGGTTTGTCCCTGCCTTGCGAGAAGTATCAAGGTAGGTTGATCTATTGATGTAACGCCAATGAAATCTAATGTGTAGGCTTCGTTGCCCCAAACCTACAGTTTCTGCAAAGTTGCACATTCTCAAGCATCGTGCAGTAATGAAGGGGCGAGACAGCAGCTCATTTTAGTCGTGCCCTCATCCTTAGGTCTTGCGTAGAGGTCGTACACAACGTGGTTGTTAGCACAGTAAATCCTCTCTAGCTGTTCGAATTCCGCCTCCAACCAACATCACGTTGTTTTAAGCACATGCGCAGTCGAGTCCTCCTCCTATTCCTCAATTCTTCGTGATTCCATTCCGTAGGCATGATTCTTGCAGGTGCGCCACGGAAACAAGGCGGTTCAGACGCAGGTCGCCTTTGCCGCGCCATTGGATATGAAGGAAAGGAAACCCATTCTGAGCCCTAACACGCATCAGAGCTAGTGTACCATATGCAAGCTCGAAATCGATATTTCAAGCCCCATACTGTAACTCCCGTCGAGCCAAACGTGGTGTACGCACTGCAAATCTTAACAAGGAGTCTGCCAATATTCGAACATCGTTCCATCGTGAACAGCCGTGATCATGATTGAACTATTGTCAATCCAGCCGGGCAATCATCTCGTCCTTCGTTAGTGGGGTGAGGTTGTCAATGTCCAATCCTTGAGCCTTGAGGGTAGGTCGAACATGTGGTGGCACCAGTTTCTCGTTTAGTTGCGTAGCAATAGACAATTCTATTAGAAATGAAAGTTAGCCCACAAAAGACCTTAAAGTCACCGCAGGGTTGATGAACTTACCATGGTGATTGAAGTTGAATAAAGCCGGAAGTTCACGTGATTGGCCTCCGGCATGGCGAGAGTCAGGAAGTCGAGTGTTCGGATCCCTCAATTCGTCGAAAAATGGTTGGCACATCGCTTCAATCGCTGACAATCTTTGGGTGGGTGTGTACTCCAGCAGTGCCGAGATGAGGTCAATAGCCTCCGGAGACGCTTTTCGGAATACTTTGTTGAAAGGATGTGGCTTGATCTGAGGGAACTTGTGCTCCATGTAGTTGGGGTTCATGGTGCGTATCTGATCTCGAGTAGGTGTTCCCAAAACTTTGATAATCTCGACCAACTGATCGATACCAGATTCTCCTGGGAAGAGTGGTTGGCCGAGCATGAGTTCAGCCATAACACAACCCGTAGACCAGACGTCTGAGAATGATTAGTGCGGTGTAGCAATGACGTGACTGGATTCCACTTACCGATCTTTGTGGTATAATTCGTGGCCCCAAAAATCAGTTCGGGAGCACGATAGTACCTCGAGCAAATGTAGGACACATTGGGCTCGGATTCCACCAGGATCTTAGCACTTCCAAAGTCACACAGCTTGAGCACACCAGTCGTAGGATCGAGCAACAAATTCTGTGGTTTAATGTCTCTGTGACAAATCCCTTGCGAATGTATGTATGCCAGAGATCTGAAGAGTTGATAAATATACAATTTGACTTCGAGGATGGGCATTGTTGTCTTCATCTTGTTGAAATATCGTGATGCTCGATAGACTGTTTCGGGAACGAACTCGAGGACGAGGTTTAGATAGACTTCGTCTTTCTGCGACCCGAGTTAGTTCGCATGCTCTCACGTTTTGCATCTGCGCAAGACTGGCTTACCCTTTCCCCATTCGAATAGTAGAAGGCCTTCAGTTCGACGATATTTGGATGACGGACAATGCGCATGATCTGCAACTCCCGATTCTGCCCAAATCAGTACCGAAGCTATTCAGAGATGGCGAACAGCTGACCTTGAATCTTTTGTCCTGTAACACTCTCTTGATCGCGGCGTCCTCTCCACTTGGTGAAAGTTTCGTCTGAAAGACCACACCAAAGGAGCCATTTCCAACTATCTTGCATTGCGTGTATTGAATCTCCCGCTGCTCTCCGGTGAGGCCATCTTGGACCTTTTCACGAACGACCTCTGGATGGAAGGTTAGTGCACGCAATGACGAGAGATACCAGACCGCTTTCGCAGGCATTAGACGAACGTACCACCCATTCGTAGACCGGAAAATGGACCACCGGGTCTATTCTGCGACATTTCTCGCCTTCAGGAAACTAGGTATTCTCCTTTTTTGACAGCCACGGTGGTGGACTGTGACCGGACTCGAGGAAGGGCTGACGCCAGGTTGTGTTGCTTGGGCGAAGAGTGAGGGAGAGATTGTAGAGGTTGTGGGTAACACGGCTTGCATCCAATACCACGTAGAATTCGTGGTAGACGATGCACAGCACGATTTGGATAAGACCAAGTTATGGCGCGGACGACAGTAAGGTGAGAGACGTAGAGTGCAGAGTATGCGGACGACCAAGCGCTATTTCCCCACCCGGTGAGTAGAGCAGGAACAGTCAAAGAGGGGTGCGCGATCGTAGGTAATGGATTCTAGGTTGAACAATGAAAGGAGATGATAGTGGTTTTGAATGTGATTTGGGAACCGAGTCAATAACACCGACTGTGAGACTTGGTACAGTTAAAGATGATCAGTTTGGGCATGTAAAGATAGAGAGAGCGGGAATCACAAGTAGGATCATTGGCGTTTGAGACTTGAAGGGGACCCAAATTATTGATCGTTGTGTCCGCATCCACCTGAAGCTGGAGGGTCATCAAGCACTGCAGGGCAGGCTCCGCACCTTTGCCTGGGGACGCACATGTAATTAGCTATGGACCACGCGCTTCTTTACATCTATACTTGAAGCTGTGAGCTTGTGCACACGCATATGGACGAGCACGACCTCCTGTCGCCCATCTTAAAGATACAACTAGACATTGGGGCAGGTTCCAAGCAGCATTCGCCGTCACAAGAGCAAACGCTCGTCTCTGAGTGCGCACTCTGGCTCACGCCCAACCAACCCACATTAGGCGATCGACTACCCAGACTTTATGACACCACTAAATAAGGCCAGTTCGTCATAAAGTCATGGTGAGTCTCTCCCGTTCACACGACATCCAGCGCCATCATCAGCTATGATATTCGAGGCGTGACAGCAAGAACAGATCAGTCGCTGACTGACCTGAGAATGTAAGACAGACATGTCCACGTTGGCATGCTGGTGATAACCTCGTCGCCATCCGGCATGACCTGCACGTCTAGACGGATCGACTGCAGGTTGGCTCAGAGCATGAACCCATGCAGTGCAAAATGTTACCCGTCGCTGTTCTGCCGCTGCACTGCTGCAGCGAGACCCAGGGGCAAAGTCATCTGACAGTGCAAAATGAGATCCACCACACACGAATCAGCGCTTCCCAAGTTCGAGCCGTATGCCAGATTGCTCGACCTTGGATACCCAATCGCACATTTGCTTCAATTTGCAGAGCCCCAGCGCCTGACATCAGTAATATTCAACGAACCTCCAACGGCCAGGATCATGCCGTACCCCATGCACTATTCAACGCACTCCTCATTCTGCAGAATTAAGTACAGCTCCAGGCTAATAAAAAGATTGGAAATGGACCTCGAAGGAAGCGAGAACTGGTCGCTTTGTGCCTGCCGTTGCTTCGGTACGTCATTAGCACGATCTTTCTCTGGCTAATTACATTGTAGTCTCTACGGAGTACATGCAGCTAACTTGGCAGCGTTTTTCCTGCTGTAATGCGAGCTCGAGGCATTGATCTTTTCGTAGTATTGTATCGCACGTGTGTCAGAGGATTTCGTGTGCCTGAAATAGATCATCAGCATTACTCAGGCACGCCGCGCAGTCCAGGCTGTCTCATTCACCACTGGCATTCTTAGAACGACTTGTAACAACCGCTGTTGCCGCGTCTCGTGCTTGCCCACCTGACCACGCTGGAAATTGGCTCCAACTAGTATGATGTGCATGGCCGGCAAGACCTTACCATTTCCGATTCGCAGAGTGTCCTTTAGCTTCAAATCGTGTCACTGGACCAATCTGCAGCTTCCTCTCACATGTGGTTCATGCAGAATTGCCTCCGATTGTGGCCCATGCCATCTTCCTCGTCCGGGTAAGCTCAGCGTAGCCTGGAACCCGTCCGATACAACCATCAATACCGTCTGTTCGGTATGAAATGTGCAGCTGCGGATATCGAAGACTGCTGACACCGCAAAATGTTTGAGACAATATCGCGGCGGCCCGCTCTCAGTTTCCGATAAGTGGATTGCTGGAGGCTTTTAGCACCGTTGAGCTGCATCACCAGGAACCTTAGGAAATCTGATTCCTGGCGTCTTTGCTCTCGACACAGATCGTGACGAGGAAGACGTGACAGACACGTTTCTGTACTCGTCGGATCTTCCTGCTATCGTAGTAGTAAGCGGGCTCCACTATCTTCTGAACGTCAACATATAGTCCATATGCCTGGCGTCGATGTCAGAAAGCCATGGCTTCTTCAATCACCTTGGCTTCACCACTTGCAAACACCTGGAACACTGAGGGCAACCAGCGCTACGTTACATGACAGCGACTAGCAAGTCGACCACACTGCCAGTGCTGTCATATACGTGACATGCGAGGAGAGATCTGGATCAAGGACTAGGAGACCACAGCATCACTTCTGCAAGGCTAAGGCAATCGCTTATGCCGTCTTCTGCATCAACCTGCACGTGAGGGATATTATCTAAATACACGTTCGCTCTCGTTGGCCGTTTGTGTATTCGGATCAAGATCGTTCTGCTCCTCAACAGGTACTAATTCGATGCACGGTACACTCCTGCTTTGGCTGGCTGCAGGAGTCCGCCTGCGATACTACAGACTCCGCCGTGGACGGCCGTCAAACGACTGTGCCCGTTGGCATGAGCAAAGGTACCTAATATTTTTGGAACATTCTGCACAAACACCGGATATATTATCCTAGGCACGGATGTGCCTGTGCTCCTGAGTGTTGTTATGCGAGATTAAATAATAACTATCGCCTACTGCCACATGCAATGATCAAGGTTTCTATCTGGCGGTCCAGTCCTTTGAAGCGTGACGTGACAGGCACTGTGTAAGGCTTGACTGCTGATATCTCATTGACACGAGTCAGCGGCAGATCACGACCAGCATTCAGTGACAATATTTACGAGTATGAGCAGGTTTTATGTCAAGCATAGCTAAGCTCAGCACAAGATCTTGTAGGATATCCACTGGAACTTACGCGTTGTGCTGGAGCACAACATCATGCCGGCAGGATACTGGCACTCTCAGACTTCAGCGCAGCACTGACATTTCAGACTGGTCACATAAGGAGAGCAGATGTTGTCAAGCAATGTATGAATGGTTCACCCTTCGTCCAGATCCTTGCCGCTAATCAGCTGTGCAGAGAGCTCATTCGAGAGACGTCGTAATAGTACATAGGCTCGGCCAGCGGCAATATTATTTATTCGCAAGTCCATAGCAAGGACAAGACGCCAACGCCTGTGCTAGCCTTGCATTTTCGTCAAATACACAACACGCCTGCTCTTCATGTACGATGCGACTTGATACAGAAGTTCCGACCTTGTGCTAACCAGCCACATTCATGCTTGCAATCCTTGCTATTATAAGATTTTTGAAGATCCAGTTCGCATCAGATCATATCTGCAGGGGATTGATATCATATGCTTCGGGAGTCAAGAATTGATAAAACATTGTGGTCGAGTCGAAGTTGGTCGAAGTGGTTATAGATTGGAAGATCGACAAGGTTTTCATGGTAGGTACAAAGGTCTAGTATGGAGGTGGGATATCGTTCTGGATTTCTCCGCTCTGCATTTTCGCTTCGAGTTCTTCTGGGCTGGTTTCTATTGAGACACCAAGACCGAGCTTATGGGTTCCCTGAGACAATGTTAGCATTCGGACAAGGTGATTACGCAGACGTGACGACGTACCTTCCACTGATCGATCTCAGCGGCAAAGTTGAGGGTGATAGCTGGACCGACTCGCTTTTCCAGTACACATCCAACCTTTCCAGCGCTGTCGACCTGTGCACGATAGACAGCTGTAGCAAAGTTGTATTTAACGCCCACGGTCGTTTGACCCTCTTTTCGCATACCACTGAACATGCCTGCACCTCCCATACCAGGAGCAAACTGTAGCTGACAATCGACTCCGGCGTCGACCTTTTCTGATAGTCGTTTCCAATACGAGGCTCCTAGCTGACCTGAAGCGTGCACCTGCGCGCTAGCTATCCAGTCTGCATTCTTGTATCGTGCGGCATATGATACCGCAGTCTCGGGTTTTGCGCCCATTGAAGCTCTTTGCCAGACACCTTCCAGACCCAGGGCAAGTTTTGGAGTGATAGACTGCATGTAGTCTCCGATCACAATGGCAGTCAACCCGCCTTCCAATAGTGATGGGTTGAGAACTTTTACTGATGCAGAAAAGTCATTGCCCGTATATTCATTCTCAATCTGCAACATCGACTGCGGTGACCGGGGGTCGATCTGAGTTTGGGTACGAGTGACCCATTGCGGCGTCCATCTAAGGTTTCCCATTGCTTGCACTGATTGATCGCTCGAGAACGTGCCTTGTAACATCATCTATATGACCTTGTTAGTATGCAGTCCGAGAACGATAATGCTAGCTATACTCTTGAGTTTCCGTACATGGCGAGCATCTGCCATGGAGGAAGAACATTGGAGCCCATCGCGAAGCCATGTTGCATTCGAAATAAAGGAGATATACTGAAGAATTTCTGTAGATCGCATCGCAGACCAGAAAACATATGGTTCGTTAACAATACATCTCGCTGCACTTCTCTTGCTATGCCTTCCACTGTGCCAGGATTGAGCAGACCAAGCGCTATCCTTCGCTCAGCTAGGTTGCTATATGTATCGTTGATGGCTGCTGATATCGCATTATTGGTAAGGAAGGATAAAGGCCCTGAGCTAGGCTCATCGATGGTCACTGTAGCCATCTTCAGGAGAGAGTGAAGCTTCGTTGGTCGGGTTTATCGTAGCGTATGTTGTACCACCATACACAAGCAAGATCAAGGAATCGGGAAGAAAGGTAATCGAGATGAAACACAAAAGCGCTGCACCAGAAGAAATTGGTTGCGCTGTGCTTGATGCTCACAAGCTGCTGAGCCAAAAATCCGCGTTTCTCTATCGCTACTGATGCATCATTAACGGTCGGATCAAGTGCTTGGCCGACTCAGGCAGTCACACAGCCAGAAAGTCGGCAATATTCTTCGAAGTCTGTTGCTTATCCTGTCACGTGCATACAACTCTTCCGTGAGACGATAATAATGACACAGAGCGAGCTTGTATTCTGTCGCGATAGGCGTGGGTCAAAGGCTTCGGAACACCACCGATAGATTGTCTATCTTCGCCCTTGTATTATCCATATCCACTTCATGCTCGTCGTATTGATATGGACGATTCTGCTAGGTGTCTGATTCTGTCGTTCTCTATAGACAACTCGGCCGTTCTCCATGGGACACTAACTTGAGCTGATTGAGCAGGATAACTCAACTGAGTTGTGTGCACCAGGACCGTGCGGACAAAAGGACTGTCAACTGTCAACTTGCTACTGACTTTATCGTTCCAGCAGCTACCACACATTCATCCCAGAAGGCATATTTGATACACATGATATGGACACCTTATTGACGGCGGATGCCGCTCTCAATTCACCTAGATACCGACGAAAATCCAGTACATTCATCGATGCCATTCATGATCTCCCCGAGAAGGCCGAGCTGGCACCAGCACAACTCTATAGCACAGAGTCTGGCCGTTTGTTCCATGCCGGTCGTATTGTCATTGCAACTGTCGGGCTACCAGCTCGAGGCAAGACACATATCTCCGTAGCCCTTGCGCGATACTTACGATGGTTGGGAGTCAAGACGAGGATCTTTCATCTGGGTGATTACCGAAGGGCTCTTGTAGGACAGGGCCAAGACGTCCCAGATGATTACTTCTTCGTGAATGCATCAGCGAGCTCAGTCTTGCTCAGACAGAAGATACTCAAGAAGTGCCGAGAGGACATCTATGACTTTCTCAACCATGAGAATGGTCAGATTGCCATATATGATGCTGTCAACCCCTTGTCTGCCGGGCGGAAGTCGTTGGCCAAAGAGTTTGCCAAGCACGATGTGAAATGCTTATTCATCGAATCCAGCTGCGATGATCAGAGGATTATCGAAGAAAATGTTCGAAGTGTCAAGATTTCCTCGCCTGATTATCAGAACTGGAGTGAAGATGACGCTGTGAAGCACTATCTAAATAGGATAGCTGCCAAAATCCCGCACTTCGAGACAATGGAGGAGCTGGATCTAGACTGGATCAAAATGATCAATGCTGGAGAACGTCTGATCATTAACAACAAGAGCTTCGGCTACTTGTCTCATCGGATAGTGTTCTACTTGCTCAATTTACACATCAAATCCAGACATACGTATTTCGCAAGAGCTGGTGTTACCCTTGAGGAGGAGTCCTTCAAGGCTGACGCAAGTCTTTCACCTGCAGGTGTAGACTATGCCAAAAAGATGACAGAAACGTTGCTAAAGCATAGAGAAGAAGAGATGGGGATGTTGCGTGAGAAAGGTGGCACTGAAGCACAACTGAAACCCCTGATAGTCTGGACTTCGACGCGACGACGGACGGTGGAGACGTCCACATTCCTGGCTGCTCGTGGGTACCAAGTCAGACAGCGGTCACAAATGAGTCAGCTCAACCCTGGCGTATGTGAGAAAAAGACGGAGCGCAGGATTCAGAACGAATACCCCGATGAGGTAGAGAAACACGATCTAGATCCATATCACCATCGCTTCCCTAGAGCTGAGGTAAGATGATCCACTCCTGAATGTACACATCCTGACCGCTAACTAGTCATACCACGACGTTGCTGTTCGACTAGAGCCAATCATCCTCGAACTCGAACGCGAACAGAATGACCTTCTGATCGTCGCCCACGAGAGCGTTTTGCGAGTGTTATACGGATACCTGATGGCCTGTAATGCAGCTGACATCCCTTTGCTTTCCTTTCCTCGAGACGAGATCATAGAGGTATTCATCCACCACTTTTGATATTCCATCACACTGACAACAGATAGATCATCCCAGCGAGCTACAACAACCAAGCCAAGCGCATAAAAATACCCGATCTGCCACCAGAAATCATACCTGCGTCGCCTGAAGGACCGAAAGCTGCGGCCCCACCCAGTGGCTGGGCAACTCCCCAACCAGGGCTAGGAAGTGGTATAGCGAGCCCTGGTTTCAAGGCAGGGACATCAAATGGTGGCAATACCCCGACTGGTGCCAAGACGCCGCCTGCAGAGGGAGAGCACGATATTGCGATCAGGATCCATGATGTCGTTTAATGTCGAACCGAGGAACCTTGTAGAGCACTCATGAAAGTACGAAATTTTGGTGTTTATGGTTGTCGCTTCTGAATAGCTTTAGACCTTAGATATTGTTAGACACCTTTTGTGAAGACTCGGCGAGATCGACTTTGTGGTTGTGAAGCTGGCAATTCGCAAACGTCTCAGCACCGAAGGTTGTTTCTGAAAAGAGTATCTTCATCCTCCATGTAGGGTTGACACAAACAACACGTTGTCGCCCTCTCTCAGCTCGTAATGATCTTCGCCTTCCAGCTCCCAATCTGCTTCGTTGATCAACACCAGAATGCCGGGACGACTGTTCCAGGTTAATACGTCTTGCAACATCGAAGAAGACCGATCGAAGCCTGACATGACCCTGAAACCATAGCTCAAGCTCAACGAGAGACTCACATGTTTCCCTCGAGTACAAATAAGTCCTTCCTCGAGTCCTTCATGAGATGCTCACACAGCCAAGGTATTAGATCTCCGACCGTCGTAGAACTACCCTTGTTGTTTCTAGCAGGCACATTTACTTTGTGGACGTTGACGTTGTCGAAGAGCATTTCTAGCCCGCCACTATGAGTTTGTCAATCAGTACAACTCCATGATTTTTGCTTTCTGTTTTAAGTAAGTCATACGTGAATTCGACGGTTATGCTGATTTGTTTGTCATTTGAGGTCGTAGCCATAATGCCGTCTCGAAATTGCGCGACCTTGCCAGAGAATATGATGGCGACGAAAAAGTAGTAGGCAGAACAAGGCCTTTTAGTACCGTAGAAGGGAGATACGACCAGGGACTTCAAACCGGCAAACCGAAACGTATTCGTGGGAAACGTGTATTTACGACGTATTGTTACGGAGTATGTCTCAGCGCCTATGAAGTGCCTAATCGTCTCGGTGTCCAAAGACCAAGTTGTTCCGGGTTTGGCGGGAACATGACGATTAGTATCAAAAATACATGTATTGTATCAGCCTTGGAAGTTCCACTATCCATCGTCTTCAAGGCAATCAAGCATTCTACACGCCTCCGCCCTTCCTAATTCGAACTAGAAACTACGTCTCTCGCAACACTGACCTTACTTTCACTCAAATATATCGCCCAGTGTTCGTGCATCGCAGCCTCACTGATTTTCGTCGGTATCGGATGTCGACCGCTTGAGATCATTCATAAAAAGGACTTCTTTCTGTCCGTTTTGGTGAGCCACATAGCACCAACCATGACGCTGTATCCTTCATGCTTGGCTCTAGCTATTGAACAGGTAAGGAGGGCGGAGCAGCACACTCTCAAACGCAGGCCCAATACTGGAGTAGGTAAAGGCCTGAAAGCCAGCACTCCTTCGAGGTCAGCGCAACTCGAAGGCATAGGTTAGGTTCTGGATCCCGGGATATCATTACTGCGAAGATAACATGCACAATCGTTTGCAGCAGGGGATGCAGGAAAGAGAAGATGTGAAAAATCTCATAAAAAAGAAGCAGGATCAGATCGTTCTCTATCCAAAGCCGCTCGTTATTTGGGACTCACAGCAGCATATCGTTGAGGAAGTTGAGGGCAAATGGACTTTTGCCAACTCTGGTTTTGTCCTAGGCGTTACTGAATGTCAAGGCTGACGGCTTGAACGTGTTAGAAGCCGAGCCGAGTTGTGCTGCCAGGTGTCAGAGGAAGTTCTTTCTACGATGCTTCGAGTTGGACCTACCTACGCCAACAACAAGACCCCATGTTCGAACACTTTTTAGACTGCATCAAGTGCCGTGTCCTCACCAATTCTTTACCCACCACCATCATCTGTCTTCGATCGTTGTCGTTATGAGCTCCTACTGCAACCGTTTCCGAGGACGCTTTGTCACTGATCGAGAACCATTCCTCTTCAGGCGTGCCCTGATAGGACGTCTGCTGCAACAGCGAGAACGACCATCGAAAGAGTCCACATAAATCCGATCCAGCCGACGGCTAAACAATGAGCGACAACGCAAAGAGAGCAGAACATCAGACCAATCAGCGTGGCCAACATGACAAGGAGGGCAATCGGCACTTTGACCACGAAAGCAACTGCTACTTTTTCAGCAATACTCTTGCTTCCTGTACCACCATCTCGCCATTTGCGGTACCCGTCAGGACCTCTATCGAACGCATCGACAATATGATGTCTCTGATATGACAGTATTGCCTGAGCCTGAGTTCTTGTTAGAGTGCACATATGAGTTTACTATACGCAAGTCCGACTTACCACACAGCTTAGTGTCAAAGCGACCAGGAAGGAAAGCCATGCTAGTGAGACAAATATCTCGAACGAGTGCCAGAAGCGTCGTGCGGGCCCATATGCGCCGACAGAGATTAGTAATGTGAAGAAATTCGCGAAGGTGTTGACGACAATGCTGGCTGGGAGTAGGCTGTGAAGAAGTCTGAACTGCGGCGGCTCAGTCGAGGAAATCGTTTCGAGGGTCTGCATCGTGCAGTCGAGTTGTCTGGGTGTATCGCTCTGCAACAAATGATTTGTCGAGCCGAAGTGATTGTTAGTTCTGTATTAGCTTGACTGCGAGTTATTGTGAGTAATGAGGACGAGACGCCTGCTCAAAATCAGTGAGAAGGTGCGACGGTAGTACTAATTGACGTCAGGCTTCACTCATGGCAGCAACGATGCTGGTATGCGCATTGCACCTGCGTAAGCCAGCATCTCACAATCCGTGAATCTCGCCTTAACCTCCATTCTACTAGTGCATTAGCCTGCTACCAGTGCTCGTGGAGAATCAGATCTTTTGAGGCATAATGGTCTACTACGTTTACCTTCATGCATTCAGGGAAGTATACAAATTTGCATGGAAGTTGACATGCAAAATTCTGTGCAAGGTCGTCGACGAAAAGAACGAGAACGTAGAGGCCTCCGATTTATGGAGCATAAGTCGCGAAAATGACGCGCTAGCTGGTAGGTTGAGGAACCGCGTTCGTGATGCTGCGTTCGTATGCCGGAAAGAAGTGAAGTAATGTACTGCTTACAAGACTATGCATCATTCAGGCTAGGTATTCAACTAATCAACCAATACGTATGGAATGTGTAGCAACCTGTGCTGGTTAAGGAGATAAGTCTTTGAAGGAGATAATTAAGCTCAAATGTCCGTCGTTTGGTTCCCAGCTCGAGTACGCACAGGACTTGTCTAAAGAACCGTGGCTCGACCTCACGGGAGCATTGGCACAGCCAGTCACACCAAAGGCAACGGAGAAGCACAGCTTGCGATTCGCACTATAAGCGTGCCGGAAAGGTCTGTTTTGGTTTTGTCTCTCAACACGTCCAGCTGCAATACTGTATTTACGAATCAGGACCACAAGCCTTCTCCAAGTCTGATAGTCAAAGAACCAGACGTATCGGCCGTCCCTGCATCAGCTGAGTTTGACAAATGTCTAGGAACCAAGCTACAGTATCGCAGTTGTGCCAGATGATATACGGTACATGTTTCTTCTGGTGGCTAGGACCTCCACCAAGATAAGAACGACGATCGCCATTGCAGCAATACTGATGGTGGCAGTCTCACTGCTGTCGTTTCAAATGTACTGTACTCACAGCTACTAGCTTCCCTGCACGACCTTGCTACTTACAACAGCCATGACCCGCTAGGGTTTCAGCACTCGAGAACAATAAAGACTCTGCATCAACTACATTGGATTAGGAAACCGTGACAAGCTCGCCAATGAGCCACGAACGAACAAGTACCTGCGAAGTTGAGTCTAGCTTCGCTTTGCTTGCGCCACATTGTAGTTCTGCCTCACACGATTTACTGCAGTCTGAAGTCCTGGAGTACCAGTAATGTGTAATAGTCTAGTCCGTTTAGGATATAGCCTTTGGGGTCAAAGACAGCCGACAGCCACCTTGCTTGAAGTTCGATACCAGGATGAGTTATCAAGCGAGTCGCATCGAGTGTCCAAAAGAGGTACCCACATGCGGGATATTCAGCGTCTGGTTGGCTAGACCAACAAGTTCTGAGTGATTGGAATGAAGAGACAGAAGCCAGGCAATTTGGGCGTTTTGTGGTGTCAAAAGCAGTACTGTAATGGTATCGAGTGTCCCTATTTGAATGTGGTGATCAATAGACGTCTCAAACTGTAAATCGAGGTGCTACAATTCGCGTTTCCAGAATTCCAAAACGAAATGCGTACGGGAATAGTTCAGTCGAGGTGGATGCAGACCGCATGTTAGATCCTCGAGCTCTGAATGGTCAGCCACAAAGCAGACGGCGCACTGTGTCTTTGCACGATCTATCTCGATCGTTCTTGCAGGCTTCACACCAAGTCCTTCTGAATGGCAGTGTTGAGCTTAGTTCGAGGCACGAGGCGGGTACGCTTTCTTTCGAAAGTCAAGCGTGGTAATGCTCACTGGGCAGCCAAGGGTAATACAGTAGTCTCTTCGTTGTCCTGGATGCACGTCCTGCCTCGTCACGCCTCTTTCTTGTCGTCTTTGTGAGGATCGAAACTGCAGCTGTATCATGAGGGTCGGAGGGTTGAGTTCCGCAGACACATAGCACTGTAGGCTACGGAGTAATCTGAACCACGGAGCTGAAAGGCGCCCAAAGAAAGAGTGCTTTCCTAGATCGAAGCATTCCGCCAAGCTGTGTGTCAACCTCGAGAAACCCAGGAGTTCGTGGTCACGGACACTTCAGATTCCGTTCGAAGGGCCACAGCAGAATCTGGACGAATAGCAATAGCTGTTGATGGCGACATCCCAGCTCGTCCGAGTGACCCGTGGTCGCCTCGACCACAACAAGAGAAGCTCAACTAGGCTGCAGGAACAAGGCGACTATCGCTGTGTGATACTGCGGCGAGCACGGGTCGTGACAAGTGAGGATGCTTGCTCTTACAGCACTAGGCTAGCAAGGACCTATTGACACACGCCAGTGTCATGCCATTGTAAGCTAGAGGTACGGGGGGCACCCCACTACTCCACCAGAAAGCGATTAAGTTCACCTCTCGGTCCGGAGCGTGCACGAACTCTTTCGTAAGACCGTCCCGAACACTATTCTATGACAACATAAATGATGAACGATGATGAGATGTTTGCTGCAGCCTATATACTATGATTACGAACGCTTCATACATCGTCACACATGTTCCTCGCTTAGTGTGCTCGTCTCGAGCACAAAGATAGGCGACTCCGTGGAATTGGTCGAGCGAATATCCACCACACCTCCTCTCGACGTCTCCGCTGGTTTACACAGGAGAACTACTGGCGAATTAAGAAGTCGTATGAGCTCAACGTCATGTGTCCTAAACATTGACATTTCGGAATTCCTCAGACTCGGAGTTCACGTCACAAGTGATCGAAAAGGATCGAAGCTAATAAGGACACCACCGTTGATACGGATGCCTCGTACTGAGGGCAAGCGTAAACGGGATGTAGTGCTCGGTGCCTGCCGCTATTGCTAGAGGAGGCGCTTATTGTCATAATTTTGAGTATACGCATTTGTGTACATGACCACCTGTTCATGATCTCTCTTTTGTCCAAGCCGGCCGACAACCACATCCTGAAGTATTGCCCCCACGCTAAATTGAATCCTTATTGATACAGTAAGAGATACATGTAATTTCGGTCCACGTAGAGACCAGCGAGCGTACTTGAGCGCGGACCCGTCGATGGCGTTGTTCTGTCGAGTCAGTCGTAATGCAGCTTGAAGCTCAGCACATAGTCCGAGCTTCAGCTAGGTCAAAACGCTGCATCGGCAGTCACCATGGTTTGCATTGTCTAACAAAGTACTGCTACTCTCCTACCCTTCCCACGACCTTTGATGCCCTTGTTACAATTCTTATACAGCGACCTGAAATACTCTTTGAGTTGCAACTCTTCTTGAGAGAGGTTACTCTCGTCGTCGTAATTTTGGTTCGTGAACTGTGTACATAATCGTGCTAGCGTGTCCTTATGAAACTTGTTCATGTGTGCTTTAAGGTTGCCAAGTTGGCTGAAGATTTTACCATTGCAGCCATCCAGTTTGCACTGATACCGCTTCTGCGTCGATGTACTCGTAGGATCGGAGCGTGAACGTGTTCTTCTCCTTGGTTTCTCGCCTCGATGTCGTCGTTCATGCGTACGTAGATTGCCCAATTGTGAAAAGGCCGCATTGCAACCTAGAACAGGACAACGGTAAGGCTTCTCCCCAGTATGAGATCGAAGGTGGATTTTGAGGTGTGTTGGCTGAGAAAAGGATTTCTGGCAGTCTGAGAATGGACATTGGTGCTTTCTGATTTTGCCAGTACAAGAGAATTGAGGAACTTCGTCGTCAGTCGGACTGCTAGGAGGCTCCTCTAAAGCTTGCATCAGAGCGTCGACTTCTGTGGGCTGATTTTGAGCGGGTGATTCCACTTCCAGCTTGTCCATCGTGTCTTGTTCATTTCCATCGGACTGCTGTGCAGAGACATGAGAACCATCGCCCCACATCGGCTGGATCCTAGACTCATCATAATCCATGTAGCCATTTGGATAATCGGTTATCAAGCTTGATGGCGTTCCTGAACAGTCCGAGTTGATGTCTTCGTATCTGTCGCAGTTGTCTTGATAGCAGCTGATTGGTGTGCTCGGTGAGTGGCTATAGAACGGCGTATTGAGATCGGGAAACTCTGTAAAGCTTCGCGGCATTTGTGTATGAGTCAGAGCGCTGAAGTTGAGAGTGCTCGAAGCCGCTACGACCGAGAAGTCGTAACCCGCTGATGTTGAAGCAGGTGACAGGGGAACTTGAGGAGGGTGATAGCTAATTGGGAAGGCGGTTGTCATGATATTTAGGCCTCCACGATATGGCGCCGATGTTGGTGCTGCCCATCGCTGGAGTTCTTGCATGTGCATGTCGATTTGATCAGGGCTCGGCGACATCCTGCTGTTTAGATATGTGCCAGTATAGTAGCTAGGGTTCTGGACTCGACGTCCAGGCAAATGGCTGTTCAACATAGGAACAACCTCGGACTGTATAAGTAATCAAACCTCAAGCGCCAACAATAGCTCAACGCAGAAATGTATGATTAGAGCGTGGGGAGCAATAACTTCTTCTTGACGGATATGTTGATAACGGAGGATAACTTGCGTACAAGCTCAGAGTGGACTGTTATGGTGGGCGCAACAACAGGAGCATTGAGCTCTCCAATAAAAGACAATAACACGGAAATACAGCAAATTTTGGTGGTCGCAGAGGTTCAATCATATCAGCAGAGAGTGGGATAGAGTGTGCGTGCTGACAGATGGGTTGGTTTCATAGTTATTAGTTAATGTATCGCATTGCTCGCCAACATCAGGCTAATCAAGCGTGGGATGGACTCGCCTTGAGGACAGTACAGTATACTCCGCTATCAAGCGTGCATTGGCGACATGTGTAGTATGTAACTGTATGACATCCTGGTCATGCTAACAGAGCTGAAATGGTAATATTCTGGAAAAATAGAAGAACTGATAGAAGATTGTCGAACACGAGACAACAACATCCACCCACGTGGATCTTGAACACAGGATACGACAATCATGTTCTCCATGCATGGTTTTGCGAGGCTAAAGCTTTGAAGAGCCACTTGGGCTTGACATCAGTCGTCCATCAATGGTGAAAATTTGTAACGACTACACAAGGGTCAAGGCGAAGCAGGAGGGAAATGCAACCACGGAGATTGATGTGCTCTCGGAAAGGACTAAGGTTTGTCCGCCCATCCCTTCCGTGCCGCGCCCGGTGCTTTTGTCTGCCACTGTTCCTTGTTTGGCAGTTTCAAGCATAAAAAAGTCCACCTTAATTCTCTCATACGACGATCATGGACAGAACGTGCAGCCCCTACCCCTACCATCAACGCTTGACTCGTTCTAGGAAACTTCACCCTCGTGGAAGCCCAGCATTGTGGACCCACACTTCTCCTAGATGATAGCATAGGGCCCACAACCGATGCCTTGTGGTGCGGTAGGTGCGCCATGAGACTGTCTCGAAGACTGGCTTTGGAGAGAAGGAATTTCGCACAGTAGCAGGTCGGTTGAAAGTAAAGGAGACAATGGCAGCTCAACGTTCACCTCAATCTGCACCGTGATGATAGAGATAGCAGTCCAGGTAGACTTGCGCCTCGCCCTAGCACCAAGTAAATTGGTTGCAACATTACTGTCCGGTCTCCAGCTTCCTGGATCATTAGCGTGGTGTCGGGACCTACCGACAACACTCTTTACTGGTTACTCATTAAGTCATCTCGATTCAAGATTGTGGTGTTGATAGCTCGACCTTCGAGTCATTGACGAACAACGAGATGGCGTCAGTGGCCGCTCATAGTCAAAGCAACGAATGTAACGTAAACGCTTTACTGATCAACTTGCGCGATATCCTGCCTGATCAATCGCAGGGATCATTGAAATATTACTGATCAGCCTTTGAACTTGGTGGATGTACAACGCTCCGGTCGTACTTCTCCACGTGCTTCAAGGGAAGGACCTGTTACCATGCCTTGTACCGCGTTTAACCGCGCAGTTCAATTCTAAAATGCGACGATCATACATCAGATATGGACGCCAAAGGCCTATTGCCAACAAAGCCCCAAACTCTTTATTTGTCCAATACACCAGCCCTTCGCTTTCTGTCTTGAACCAAACTAATCCTAGCTGATCATCTGTAAGGACCGTACTGCCAAATGCGAGCTTTCATATCACCTGAACCTGTGGCGAACAGATGGCCAGTTGGACAAGGTGCCACGGAAATCACAGAATTCTTATGACCTTGCAGCATCATCTGCGCATTGCCAGTGTTCGGGTCCCAAAATTGTACTCCTCGGTCCTTTGAGCCGGACATGACCCACTGGCCATCAGGGGTCAAGCACACAGAGAGCACATAGTCCTGTCACATGTTAGTATCAACGAGGGAATACAACACAAAATAAGCAAGACATACCTTGTGACCGTCAAAGGTCCTGATACACTTTCCGCTGCTGGCGTTGCTTGGTAACAACCCACGCTGTGGAGAAAGTTCCCACATCTTGATGGTTTTGTCCAAGCTGCCACTGACCAATTCGCGCCCAGTTGGCGAGAACGCAACACTGTACACACTATCTTTGTGGCCGGCAGCGCCCTCCAGTCGCTCGATAAGATAGCCACTTGTGCAATCCCAAACACGAACACTTTTGTCAAGAGAACCAGCTGCAACATACTGTCCGTTAGGCGACATGGCGACAGTGGTCACTCCATCCTCAATAGAGAGCATCATGATCTGCGTTCGTGTTTCGATGTCCCACAAGCGTACGGTCTTGTCTCCTGACCCTGATGCAATGAGTCTTCCGTTTCGGGCAAAATCCAAGCTGTAGATGTCTTGCTCGTGGCCATCGAATTGGCATTTGATCTTTCGAGTTTCGATATCCCATACTCGGATCCTGCGATCTTCCGCACCAGTGGCGAGTAGTTTGCCGTCTGGTGAAAAGCAGACTGAGCGGATATAGAGGTCACCGTCCTTGTCGACCACACTGTCATCCAATAGTTCACAAACCTTCTTGCCGTCCCTGGCGTCGAAGATTTGAGCACTACGATTACAGCCTGTAGCAACATATTTGCCATCACCGGAGAAACGAACACAGCAGACTACAGACTCGTGAACAAGGTTGTGTACAAGATTCACATCAAGTATGCGAGGGAGGGCTGGATTGAAAACAGCGTGCCAGTCCTGGCCAATACGCTTCATCGTGTCAGGTAGCTCCTCGAGCGGAAGATCTGCGAGGTTGTTGGTAACGTTGCTTATTTGGTGCTGATATTGTGGTTGCAGCTGATGACCACGGCTCGGTTGAAGCTCATTTCCCGGTGGTGTGGGGCGTGGAATCTGTGGCGAGGCTCGTGGGTCTGCCTGGTAAGGCATCTGCTGTGGCTGTCCTGGATGTTGTTGAGGAGTAGCAGGTCCTGGCCCTCGATTGGCAATATTGCGCTTGCTAGGTCCAGGGGAATTGGTTGGTGGCTGGGGCTGAGACGCATACCCATTCAGCGTCGGGCCTGGCTGATAACCAGCGAAAGAGCTAGGAGGAGCTGGCCCTTGAGGCTGACCACCAGAAGGTGGAGGAGCCAGAGGGTGTTGCTGAGGAGGTGGCTGTTGATCAGGAGGTGGTGCCAAACCAGGACCGCCTTGTCCTTGGTTTGCCATAATACCGCTGAAGAGGGTGCCCTGACCATGACCAAGAGCCGGCGGCTGTGGTTGCGATGGGCCGCCATGCTGTGGGGGGCCACCCAGATGTGTCTGAACAGGAGCACCACCACGAAGCTCGAGCTCGTGTCTAAGCATGCGGATTTCAGCCTCATAATCTTGCTTCATCTTCAACTGGTTCTGTTCCAATTGGTAGACCTTGTTCCTGATCAATTCCATCTCTTGAATCTGTTGGCTGACTTGTGTTTCCATTTGTTCTGAGCCCCTGCTTTGGTTCTCGAACTCGGCTCGTAGCTGGTCGAAGATTTCATTCAATCGTCCATTGTGGGCAGCGGGCTGACCAGGCCCGAGATTGCCACGATGCTGCGTAGCATTGAACATGGCGCGTGAGTTTGCTGTAAGTGCTGACAACCAGGAGACCTATGAAGAATGGAAAATGATGTTAAGCAAATGGTGGTTTTGTGTCGTAGCCTGAAAACGAAGCTAGTGGTAGGGTTGGTGCGACAAAGTTGCAACCGTGGTTGGCGCAAGAGATTGTGACTAAGCGGCGTGTATACCCGCTATGAGATACATGCGGTGCGCACTTTCGAGTAATAAACCACAGCGAAAGCACAGCACGTTGGAGAGGTCGCAGGTAGTGGCGGTGGTGGGTAGAAGGAGGAAAAAGACTTTCCCAGAGCGAAATGCGCATCGATACGGGAGGTTGTGCCTATTGCCCTAACCGTGATCTGAGCAGGTGGAGCTCCAGAGAGCCACAGTGGGGCAATCCCCAGCGGCTTGTGCATACACCACCTGCGGTGGATGCGGTACACAGCTGTTAGCATGTCCAGCGATTGGAGCTACACGCAACAATGCGTCTGAGTGCAGCAGTGTGATCTCCCTCATATGTGCGAAAAGGGTTTACTGTAGGACTTCAGACTATCCCAGACAGCTCTCTACCACATACCAAGTCCGGCTTTAGAACTGCATATGCCACGCCCGAAGCAGTTCCAGTACAGCGGAAAATTCGTCCGGAACAATTCTGCCTATCGGAACCCAACTGCCAATTGTGCCACCGTCCCACTAGGCAAGATAATAGGTCAGAATGATCATGGCTGGTTGAGTTGCCAGAATGGCTGGATGCTCTCTCAGTTTAGGTTACACAGCTTTCTCATAGACACTATTTAAATCTGTCATGGTTCGTGTCGATATATGAGATTGATGGACAGTGCCAAGGAGTCCAACAGCTGCTACATTCCGAGATTGCTAGCTCGTGTGACGCATTACATCAATAGAAAAGCTGGTAACTTGGATGCGATTCTTGCCATGACCACCCTTCATGGCTAGCATCACTCGAACACGTGGAAGACCGACTCGCTATTCTGGAGAAAGTCGTGAGGCCACAGGATGTTCATTCCAACTTCGACACGAATGAGGTAAGGATATACTTGACGAAAGTTTAAGCCGCTAGCTTCGTCAGCCCCATATATTTTTATATATGTGTTTTCGCCAAGCGCAGTGACCTAGAGCAACGGTGGATGTAGAGCATAATAGGCTCTTAGTAACGACTCTCGGATCAGTATCTGTACAATCCAAATACACCGTACACATAAGGAGTTCGCCTCATGAACAGCGAGAATGACAGATATCGCCGTCAGTGATTAGTCGAGGCCATTAACTGGCAAGACGATCAGTTGTTCCAGAAAAGTGTCGGATTCTGTCAAAGAGCAAGCTTGGAAGTCAAAAAGATGCTCGTAATTATGCATAGATTTTAGATGTATGCCTGCGAGCATTGAGAAGGACAGTGCTTCGCAATCTGATTTACAAATCTTCCAGCCTCCTGTTATACAAAGCTTTTATGCCGCGGTTATGTATGCAGATTCTTGCTAGACTTCCATCGAGTATGCTTTCAGGGCAGGAGGCATGAGTCTAGATGACAGAATAAGTTGCTCATAATCGCAGCGAGCTTGTCGTCCATCGTTGAAGCAGTCCCGGTTCATCGTCTGGCTGGTCCGCTCATTAAATTTCCATGTCATGCATAGCCAAGGCGCTCATCCAGCGAAAGGAGATATTAAGCTGCAAAGACAGTCAGCAATGATTTCAATCACAGCACTTTGAATGCATACCTCATAAGGCCAGGCTTGGGATCGCTTCGGGAGTAACCTAAGTCATTCATGAACAAATAGTGCTGGATCAATTCAGAGTTTTCATACCGAGATACAGTATCAATGGCAAATATCCATAGTGAACCACCTCTTTTGTGATGTCCAGGATTCTCGAAATACGCTCCTGTCAACGATGTCAGTGGTGAAGACTATCGAGGGAAAGTGCGCATACCTTCGTTTCCTCGGAGAGTTGAACCATGATATCGAAGACGCGGTTTCTGTCTTCCGCAAAGTAGATGTAAGTACACTGTCGAATTGAATATAGAGATAATGATGTACTTTGCAGCCGCGGAATCTGCGCATTCATCTTCTGAAATGGTCGATCGATGGTAAAGGTAGGCAAGTTTGCCGAACGAGTATTGTCTGCGATACCCGCCATAATTTTCTCCAATTGTATCAGTTCCCAAGAGGTCGTCGTTTGACCAATACACACACCATGTCTGGCGCAAAGCATTGGGAGCAGGACAAAGACAGCACGATCTATGTTGGAAACTTGGATGAGAGAGTGACGGATGCTCTGGTATGGGAGCTTTTCCTACAAGCTGGTCGCATAGTTAACGTTCACCTGCCTAAAGACCGAGTCACTCAAACACACCAAGGTTATGGCTTCGTCGAGTTCATATCCGAAGAAGATGCTGAATACGCCGCTCGTATCATGTCAGGCATTCGTATATACGGAAAACAGATCAGAGTGAACAAAGCCAGCGCAGACAAGCAGCGATCCGTCGAGGTCGGAGCCGAGCTGTTCGTCGGGAATCTCGACCCAATGGTTGACGAACGCATGTTATACGATACCTTCAGTCGCTTCGGAACCCTCGTTTCACCGCCTAAAGTTGCTCGAGACGAATCGAACTTGTCCAAGGGTTATGGCTTCATCTCTTTCTCGAATTTCGAGGCCTCTGATGATGCCATTGCCAATATGAATGGCCAATATTTGATGAATAAAGAGGTCTCTGTTCAGTATGCCTACAAGAAAGATGGTAAAGGTGAACGACATGGTGATCAAGCAGAGCGCATGCTGGCAGCTCAAGCTAAGGCACACGGCGTAGAACCTGCACCTGCCACCATTCCCACTGGCATTGCACCTCCTGCAGGCTTTCCTGCTCTGGGAGGCCCTCAAGCAATGTCGCAGATGCCAGCTGGGTTTGCGCCACCAAACGGCAATTACCAGAATGTACCTCCTCCTGTTCATGCACGACCTCCACCTCCACCAACTGCTCCTCTGGTTGCTCCTCCTAGTGGCTTGCCTGCTCGACCTCCGCCACAGAACGCAGGCTATGGTGGTCCACCACAAGGCTATATGCCGCCAGGCTTTGGCCCTCCCGCAGGCTTTCAACAAGCTCCGCCACAATATGCTCAACCTCCCATGTTCGCAGCACCACCACCTCCTATGCCGCAAGGTGTTGGTGGCCCTCCTACTGTGCCTCCCGGGTTCAACTTTGGCGTGAGGAGGTGATCCCGTGTCGTGCTAATGTTCTTCAAGTGCTACTGGAATGTCTGTGTGGCAGATTGTTCCTTGAACATGATCATAACATCGGCTGCTAAGTTGCTCGGATACAAGAGTCAATTTAGAGCTCAGAGCTACTTTCGAGATCCATGCTGCACACGTACTTTGCCTGGTGTGGAGTACAGATATTGCCCTGTATCTTCGGCATGTTTCAATATAGTGATCAGAGCAATTCTGCTGGCCATTTGGACTAATCTTCCTAAACTTATTTCAGTTTAGCTTATTAGTAGGAAACAACAGAGGTTGGTGGCCATTATAGCGAATTTGGGCGAAACCTATCGACAAGACGTCCCTTGTTGCTCTTTGCTCAGAACCCTCGCGCAGGCAACTAAACGAGCAATCTATACGGTTTCGATCGATCTGGATTCAGATGTCTTGTGGCCGGCTCAAGGAGAACCAACGTGCTGTGATGATAGTCGAAACTGTTCGGCAGCATACGAGAGTGAGACTTACACGGGGTTGCCAAGCACACATGTATCACGACTCTCTACGACACAATCATGTCAAAGTTCGTCTCGATGGGTTGAAGGTTTGTGCCCAAACCAACAGCCACATGCCACCATGATTGCGAGGTTCGAATTGTTTAAAGCCTTGCCCTCTTATTGACATCATCTACCAAGACTCTTTCTCACAACGATAAAGGGGAAACGATGGAGTAGGCGACTATCTTTGCAGGAAGGGCCGAAGAAAGTCTACTCGTATCTGCTGCTTCGTGCACCACTATCTGGGTGTAGAGTCCGTCAAAATACATACAAACACGGGCTGCTGCTCGTCTTGTAAGGATATCTTGCTGCCAGACAGCCATGCGAGAAAGTCCCTCTAGTGTTGATTCAGAAGTTCTCTCCGTGCTATGATGCGTGTGAGACTCACATGCAGTTGGCAGCAAATTAACATGCAATTTATCCAACATGTCTTCAAGCCCTGCAGATGATCCTGCTAACCGCCTCTCCAGCCTATAACTCCTTTCCGAAATGTGACCATTGCATTGATAGTCTATGGAACACATGGTCTCGGCCAAAGCTCTCTCACTTCGTGTGGCTTCTTCGCTCTGCTTCATGATGCACAATTCAGCCAGGATCAATCAAGCCTGGAGAAGCGGTGCTTGTATTTTAGACTACCGAAGATGTTGGAGACGAACACAAATACGGCCAATCAGGCGTACTAGTGGCGCTCCAACCGTTTTCCAATTGGAGTCATCAACCTCGAGCTCGTATCGCAGTCAGGAGCTAGCCCTATTTTCATAGCGAGCTGAAATAAAGCCGCATGTCTAGAGCTTTGTAGACCCGTGCACAATGGTGCACTTCTCGATCACCAGCCAATCTGCTCTGGTGGTGTCAGTCTTCAGGGTAGAATCAAAATGATCATGCTAATTGGTCCTGGTCGCAGTTTAGGACCCGACCTGCTGTATTCATGTCCAGGACTCTCGGTGGCTGAAGTTCTCTTCTCTCCTCGGCATGTCGACAGGATTCAACCCGTCTGCTAACTCCCAGTATTGAGCTGCTACAAGCCACCGCTTGCTACCAGAACTCTAAGGATGGAGAAACGTACAGCAACCACAACCGTATCGGTGGTCGATGGCGAGAAAGAAGACCACGAGATTGATACTCTCTCGAACTGGCTGCCCGGATACTGGCATCGCTTTCCTTTCATAGGTGCCACGGCTCTGCTGTGTATTGCTGTCTTAGCATGCATTGCTCTGGGGGTCCTCGTCGGTTCTGATGGCGCGTCAACCACACATTGGCCGCAACGCGTAGCACCAAGTATTGTACTAGCTGCCATCAACGCGATCAGCAGTCTTTGCCTCACGGTGGCTATTGGAGATGGCGTCGCAATCGCCTGGTGGCGGCGTGCCATGAAAGGTTCAACCATTGCAGATCTCCATTACCAGTGGCAGCTGAGCCATGGCATATTTGCCAATCTTTTCACGAGGCCAAGATCAGTTTTGTCTAGCAAGATTGCCCTCGCTGTATTAGCCATGCAGGTCACCTTGCTCAACAGCATCCTCTACCAGAGGGCTACGTCCACGGTCCTAGCTCCCGACCTTCCAAGGAATCTGTCGGCCATAGGTATTGGTGCTGAAGAGTTTCCTTTCACTGGTTATGTCGTCTCAGATACCTCGTCCGCCGCTCAGACCTCGTTCATGATTGGGGACAGCTTTATTCCCGTAGTGAACACCTTTGGCACAAGCAATGGATTCTTTCGTGGGTACAACGAGCTCTTCCGCTTCTCTACAGACTCCGTCCAAGAGCGAATGGACAAATACGGATATTGTAGTGGCGTCTGCTACTTCGACTTTGAGGCTATCGGGTTCGAGATTGACTGCATTGACGCGACCAACCACACCGACATCGCGCTCCCAGCCATTGCTGCTTATGAAGCTGATGGCGACCCTGCAGCATGGACAAATATTCCAATCTTCAACAGCTCTTTCGCACTAAAATATGCTTCCGACGCCACTAATTATTCTCGAATTGTCTTGAATCTGCAATACTTCCAATCCGACGATCCATACAACCCGAAGAGTACTACCTGTCCTGGACTTGTAACCAACAAGCAATGTTCACTCAGACCCGCAATGGTGTCATACCCAGTCAAAGTCACCAACTTTACGAATGAACATGTTATCAATGGTGTTTCCTTAAGCGTCCGAAGGACAGATGCCGACGACGATCAGAGTATAAACGCGGACGTGGCACCACCAAGATACAACAAAGGTCTGAAACAGGTAGAAGGGTTCAAGGTTGTGGAATATCTATATCCTCAAGACGGAAAGGAAATGCGTTCTCTAACTGCTCTCGGTGGTATCGCAAATGCATATGCCCAATTTTTGTCATCCTCCGCCGCGATTACATACACTGGTAAGTGCGCGGAACTATTCTGTCCTCTGCTCAAGTCATCGCCAACAATTATTGGAGATTTTTGTATACTTCAGCGTCTTCCTTTTGGCCTGGGAACCCATGTTCCCAGGCCACACCTATACGAAAACTGGCTAACGGGCGGTGCAGGCGACGAAGAATGGTCCTTAGACCAGAAAGGCACCCTGGCGCAGACGATGATGTACGGGCCACCCGTAAGTCTTGATACATCCTAAAGACGTGGATAGGGCTGAACAGCGCCACCACCATGCCAGACCGATACACTCCCGCTAACCTTTGCAGAACATGGGATCATGCGACTGCTCCTTCCGGAACGAATCGCTTGATACCATACTCCAATCCGTTAATCAGCTCAGTTTCCTAGTCGCAACCGGCATGGTCGATACCACAACCTTCAAGAGTCTACCACACAAAAAGGAGACCTTTCCTGCAGCATCACCATCCGCCCTGATCGTCGCAGTAGACTCAAACACAACCACATCCTTCCGGGCCTCTGCAGGTGGTGCGGTTCAGCTTCAAGATGTGACACATTACCAGACCCACTACGTCTACGCAGGCGTAGCCTTCGCTATTACCATTGTGTGTATTGCACTAGTCATTCCCTCGTACTGGCACTACGGCGAACTAGGCAGACGAGTGACCCTGGGTCCCGTAGAAATAGCCTCTGCGTTCGGTGCGCCTATCCTCATAGACAACTCGCAGATTAGAAGTTCCGAGGCACGAAACGAGACTATCGACACTCTGATTAAGCATATTGGTGACAGGAAGATCGTCTATGGTTTCGTTGACGTAAACAAACACGGCGAGACCTCACATCAAGAGATGCAGTTGCAGGAATCCGCTTCTACATCGCCACACCTTGAGGCACTAGATGGACTTGCTTCTCTGAGGCAGACGACTACCACAGGTGCTGAATCACCGACACGGAGTCCTGCTCTCAACCAGGACGATGGGCCAGCGCAGAGCAAAATGCAGAAGAGGAGGAGTGTTCGACTCGCGATGGGTGCACCAGAGTATGTCAGGCCTACGAGTCAAGTATTCCCCAAAAGTCCAAGAGTGGCTTGAGCAGGAGGTATTCGTGTTTAGTGTTTTGAAATTATCGGCTATTTAGCATTATGACTTGACACTTCAGCGATATGTGAATGAAATTCTTTTGAGGTCCTACTGTCTAGCTGGGGTTTGGCTTGGGAAGTGAATATTTATCCCTTTCTCCTGCTTTACTTTCAATCGAACAAATATCGCGCCTCCCTGAAACCTGGCGCTACCAACAGACCGCAAGATGAGAGACCATTTCTAATACCGTTCTGCTGACAGATTGTCTTGACAAATATTCTTGACGAAAGCAAGCCCTTTCATTCAGAGGATAGCAATTATTTCTGGAATCATATATTGTACACATTGCTCGACGAAAAACGTACAGATCACCAAAGCGAGCTCGAGGATAGTAACATTACCTATTAACGATAGGAGCTTATATACCAGACTGCGAGAGACGATCGAGCGGCCTTGGCTAGTAGTAATCGTCCTGTCGCTCGCTAGCTCTTCAGGCTGATCCGACAAAGACTCAACTGGCGTGCATCCGATGGCTCATGACGTATAGGAAAATACCAGTAATGCCGAATAGCTGTCCTGCTATGCTGCTGACCGTAATACGGCTTGTCTCGTGTTATATAGAACTCCTGAAAGTTGGAGTGAGCCTTGCCCCGGCTGTGAAAGAAGAATGGAGCCCAGCTGTATCGCACGTATGTAGTCTATTTTTTGTACAAATCTTTCTTCGTAAATGCACAATCCTCATGTCTATACCTTGCGCGTCTAGCGAACAAAGTTCAAACTTCACTGCACCTTTTTAACCTCATCCTCACCCAGATATCGTCTATCATCGTCACCCTCAACCTCTTTCTGTATTCTCTCCATCTCTTTAGCTTGTCTGTTCCACTCGGCGGCGGCCATCTTTGTCTCTCTCTTGAAGAGCTCCTCGTTCGGTTTTCGGTAGCTGCCACCCAGTCTGTCCCAGAGTGTGGTGAATTGGCCGTAATTGTAGCTAATAAATCTTAGTATTCTGGATTTCGACTTCCTGCGCGGTACTCACTTGAAGTAGAGATGGTGCATGGTATGGCAAGCAGCGCCATTGATCACAGGCGAGTTTGCAACGTACTCTCCGTCGTGGATGAAAATAGTCCAGATGTTTATGAAGCCAAAGAGCGCAATATATGCGAACTTCTGTAGAGGAAAGAGAAAGGGGAAGACATGGTAAGGTACTGACTGCGCGAAGCCGTCTAGAGGATGGAAAGCATGGCTGGCATATGGAGTGGGCATGATCCACTTGTGGTGGGGTTTGTGTAGAGTCTTGTAGACCATAGGATGGTGGAGGCCCCTGTGAATCCAGTAGATGCAGAAATCGGTAAAGAGGATGAATATCGGGAACTGCAGGTAATTGTAGAGCGGGAATGGAGCGTCATCAAGCCTGTCGTAGAATTTGGCATAGCCCTTTACTTCCAGGGTGAAGAAGCAAGCTGTTAGCAGAGCCATACCAGGCATGGAAGACACAGCTTGCTTGATCTCCATAGACATCTGATTCTTGAGGTATTTCGGGTGGTGGAAGGTGGTCTTATCGAACACGAAGACGTAGGAGAGGGTTGCGCAGACGAAGTAGAGGACGACACCGAAGAACCTAGACCATTAGCTTCGAGGCTGCTATTGAGCAATGGCATGCTCACCATGTGATGAAGAATAATTCGATGAACTGTCGCTCCAGCTTGTCTCTTGGCCAAGCACTCTGCCACGCATTTTCCGAGGGTGGAAATGAGAAATAGGACGTCGCTGGCTCCCAGACCCATGACTTTTGTGGCAGCAATGTTGCACCTTCCCGCATGCTGGAAAATGTTGTGGTAGCATTATATTTGGCGACCGACGCCTGTGCGGGCAGCACCGTTGCCCAAAATCTGTCGAAAGCGAAGGTGTCACATAACTCGAGTACGACGTCCATCTTGTAGTAACAGCTGAAAGATTGGACTCAACAGATGCAAGATGAGCCAAAGTCCAGGTGAATTGTGTGAGGAGACAGCTCTCGTCGAGCAAAAGTTAGTATGCAGCATCCGGCCGGGCTGGGCACGCAGTCTGTCAGGGTCTTGTGGCGTGACTGATAGGCCCCACCACGACCTGGCATGCCCGATTCCCGAACACCAGTAAGCTTTTTCTCGAACGATGAAGCTCCAACGCTTCTCGGAGCTATATGTTAATGCCTCAGGAATCACAGACCTTCACACCTCAGGCTGTCAAGCTCGACCGATGCCGCAGAAATGCGCAGTTATTCACCAAATTATAGCTCTCGTATGAAGACACCCGTTTGACCTGACTGTACGACGCCGTGCGTGGACAGAATCTGCTATTGACTGGCTCTTCCAATCCTTGAGCAAAAAGACAAGTCGAGCCACAACACATGTCATCGTTTCTGTCGAGATGATTCTCGATCTCGGAGCCTCGACCTATTCTCGCTTCTGTGTATATTGAGCTCGGCCGCGGTCCTTCACATCTCGAAATGCCTCAAGACGGAAGAAGGATCAGTCCTGCGACTGTCGAGACTATCGCGGGTCTTACTGCAGGGTTAGCATCGACTATCATTGTGCATCCTCTTGATATCATCAAGACACGAATGCAGTTGGATACTTCGCCGAACCCACTACTCAATTCGTCACGTTCCGTTGCACACGATATTTTGCGAAACGAGGGACCGACACGAATCCGAGCTTTGTACCGTGGATTGTCTCCGAACCTGCTAGGAAATGCATCAGGATGGGCATTGTACTTCTTATGGTACAAGCAGGGACAAGATTTAGTGAGGAGTTTAAGAGCTTATCCCCAGAACAAGGCCTTGACGAACGTCGACTATCTTCTCGCGAGTGCTGGTGCTGGTGCGTTATCCGCAGTCCTCACAAATCCGATATGGGTTGTTAAAACGCGAATGATATCAACTTCGTCCGCTACAGAAGGAGCATATCCAAGCATGATAGCTGGCATCAGAAGTATATGGAGAACAGAGGGTATTAGGGGCTTCTTTCATGGGCTGATTCCGGCTCTCTTCGGGGTCTCCCATGGTGCTCTCTATTTTCTTGCCTATGAAAATCTGAAGATATGGCAAAGGGCAAAGCGTCAAGACCAACAACTATCCAATATGGATACCGCAATCGCATCGGCTTTGTCCAAAGTTTTTGCTGGCACAATCACCTATCCCAGCCAGGTCGTAAGATCGCGCTTGCAACGCTACGATCCCGGTGCAAAGATCATTACAGCAAATCCTGGCTTCATCCGCGTAACGACCGATTTGTGGCGGAACGAGAGCATTCTTGGCTTCTACAAAGGATTGGGCCCTAACTTGGCTCGAGTTGTGCCAAGCACATGCGTGACCTTCCTGGTCTACGAAAACACGAGGTGGGCATTACCACGACTTTTCAACGAGGACTCGACAGACACGAAGACAGTGTTGTAAAGTTGTCAATCTGAAAAAGGACTGTAGCGTCATTAGCGAGGCGTTGGTTGGATTTAGCAAGCAAGTTATTCTCTCTGCTTAAATTTCACATCCATGCTCTTCCGTCTGTGCCCAAAGTACACTTCCGCGACTCTTCTCCGGCACCATCATCTGAAGAATAACGCTGCACGGGCACGTTCACCTGGTCTTTCTGTTCTCTTGTAATCCATCCTGTCGACATCGGGCGTGTGTTGCGTTCAGCAAAACCTGGCGAATTGTGATAGATGATGCCAGCTCCCACCCGCCAAATAGCTTTGCGCTCCATTAAGTATACTAGCTTACTACCCCTTTTCCTAGTTATATGCATCTTCAAGTTCCTATCTGTTTCAGTCTTCATCCCACGTAATCATTGAGAATACGAAAATGCTAGATTACCGCTTCGTCAGTCTCACGCCAGAGCAGGTCGAAGCTCGCCGCAAAATCCTTGATCGAGCCGGTCTGGAAGCCTATTCTTTTCCCGTTGTTTTACTTCTCAGCATCTGGCTGTACCGTAAGCTCACGAGCGTACAGACAAAACCAATAACCCCCCAATCTGCACCTGCCTCGACCGAGTCATTCTCGAGGCGCGTATTATATATACTGAACACGACTTACATCCGCGAGTTTGGTCCCGCAAAAGTCCAGCTGGTTGGCCTTCTCTATACGACGTATCTTCTCTGGCGCATCTTTCACGATACTGGCGAAGACTACATGCATGTAACAAAATCTTTCGGGCATGTTGCAGTATCGCAATTGCCGTTACACTACCTACTATCGACAAAATGGTCAAACTCGCCAATCACGCTGGCAACAGGTCTTACCCACAACCGCCTCAACGCGTACCATCGCCTGTTCGGGCGGATTCTGCATAGTCTGCTGGCAATACATGCTATTCTCTATCTCCGTTTCTTCGCATTGATGAGCTTGTTACCGAAGCGTATCAAAGAGTGGGATGTCAGGCTGGGAATCATAGCATTTTGGTCTCTGAACTTTCTCGGCATACTGGCAATTCCTCCTATCCGAAGAAAGGTCTACCACAAAGTGTTCTACAGAAGCCATGTTTTATTGAGTGGTCTACTACTGATTGTGTTGTGGTTTCACGTGCCGTATACCAGGATCTACGTTGCGCAGGCTGCTGTGTTCTGGGTGCTCAATGGTGTTCTTCGGGGGAAGGTGCTACCCAATCAGCAAAAGTGACCTGTCTCGCGTTGGGGGGTCAACTAATTCGAGTCAAGACAAGAGTGTCGGAGGAGCACCTCTGTTACTAATATGTGCCAATCGTATATGGTAAGCCATCTGTATGGTTCCAGGTTAATGTAGGAGCTGTTCAACAGCAACAATGAAGCTGACAGGACACAGTATACCTGAATCAATCTGGTCTTGGTCAACGCACGCCTTTCACGGTGATTAGCGCCCGAGCCTCAAATCACGATGAGACTGGCGTAGAACTGGTTGTTGTCTGCGATTTGGATGGTGCTGGAGTTGAATTCAGCTGTGTGTTGGCATCCGTCTCGACATCCCTCACGTCTGCGATCTTGTTGTGGCCTACGCAGGTCGACGTGATGAGGTCTATAACATGTCCTCCACAATTTGCTCGTCTTCTCCTAGGGCCAATCCCATGGTGGAGGGTACACCCAGGCTCCACTCCCGCTGTTGTGCTTCCTGCAGGTCCACAAAAAATTAGGTATATTACTCTGCCTCCACCTGCTCAAAAAGTACCACCGCGATCGCAGTATCATAATGAGCTATCCAGAAACTTTCGCAACCCTCTCAGAAGAGACAGTTGCGTCTCTTCAAGCTCATCAGATTGATGGCGGAGTCAAAACAGGCTATCGAAGTCTTCGAGAAGGGTTGTCACGAAACTCTAGTGACAATGAATCATGGTCCCAAGAGTTAGATATTCCTGTATACCTCAACAGTATCGAAAGCCTACGATTCATAGGCCTCGAAGAGGATGCAGCCCAGATAGTCCTGTCACAATTCAATGCAGCCATGACAGCCAACACTCATGCCCACCCCTTCTCGATTCAACCAGTCACAATTGCTGACCTGATCAATTTCGCGATCGCGTACCTTCAAGAAAAGCCGAATGCATATCTTCCTGAACATGACTGGAGTCAGTCCTGAGAGTGATGGGTGTTAACTTGTCGCTTTGAAATGGCATCTACGACTCACGATTCGATGAGATCAAATATATGAAGACAGCTCGAGACTGGGCTTCAGAATCCTTGATGGACAACTGGACATTCATCTATGGACTGGACAAGCAGCTCAAGCAGCAACGAATCCAGATACACAAAAATGTGGATATCAGACGTGGTAGAAACACGAATCAGACTTCAATACCCGCACAACTGGTCGCGGCATCTACTAGCACCAGAGAAATTCCCACAGTTGCTTTGAGCACAGAACTCCCGAAATCCAGACAGACAAACAATACGCTCTAGCATGCCAAGGACAAGGAATGAGTCTAGTCACGTCCTGGTCAGCAAAAGTGTCGGGGTGCACGCCCACAGTTCTGTTATGAGAACCACGACGCTTTTGACGTCTTATATATAGATTAGCCCTTGATTTCCAGGCTCTCAGGCAGGTATGCTGTGATCAGCTCAGCCCGCTATTGCATCATCACAACTGATTTAGCCAGGAACCAAACTCTGCTTGCTGCTAAAATTTCTTGCCCCACGACGCGGTTCCGACATGTGAGAACTGAGCAAGCCCGAGCCTGAGTCACATAAATTTCTCAAAAGCCCGTGCTCTTAGTACTCATCTACTTTCGTTGATATAAAACGGCTCGCTTACACAACAGTGAGACAACATGCCTGTCTCAGCGCTCACCGAGAACCTCAAGAACAGCAATGGCACCAACAATACCAGCAGCCCTAATGTCGACTTCTCAGAGCCACAACCTGAATCTCTGACTCGAACAGTTTCGCGAAGCGTCACCAAGAGCAACCTTTCTTTCTCATTTGGTACCTCGCCTGAGCATGCGCGCAATAGCAGACCCTCATTCCATGGCTCGGATTCCTCTCCCTTTCTCACTCGCACCATGACTGGAGCGCCAGCCAAGAAACTCCAACCCTTTCGAGAATCCGATATCAAGATCCTGCTCCTCGAGAATGTGAACAAGACGGGTCAGGACAGCTTAAGAGAGCAGGGCTACCAAGTCGAGGCGATCAAGAGCTCGTTACCTGAAGATCAATTGATTGAGAAGATCCGTGACGTTCATGTCCTAGGCATACGGAGTAAGACTAAGCTGAACGCGAGAGTACTCGCAGCAGCCAAGAACTTAATTGTAGTCGGGTGCTTCTGCATTGGCACAAATCAGGTCGATCTCAAGTATGCTGCGGACCACGGAATCTGTGTCTTCAACTCTCCTTTCTCGAATTCACGGTCTGTTGCGGAACTGGTCATCGGAGAGATCATAAGTCTGGCACGGCAGCTAGGCGACAGGAGCAACGAGATGCACCGTGGAACATGGAACAAGGTCTCTTCGAGGTGCTGGGAAGTAAGAGGCAAGACATTGGGTATAGTTGGGTATGGTCACATTGGTTCTCAGCTTTCCGTACTAGCGGAAGCTATGGGAATGAAGGTCATCTACTACGACGTAACGAACCTAATGTCTATGGGCACAGCTCACCAAGTCAGTTCGTTGAACGAGTTGCTCAAGGGCGCCGATTTTGTTACTTTGCATGTTCCTGAGCTGCCTGAGACGAAGAACATGATCAGTACCGCGCAATTTGAACAGATGAAACAGGGAAGCTACTTGATAAATGCCTCAAGAGGAAGCGTCGTCGACATTCCAGCTTTGATAGATGCTTCGCGCTCGGGTAAGGTCGCTGGTGCCGCGCTCGATGTGTACCCAGCCGAACCTGCTGGCAACGGAGACTACTTCACCAACGACCTCAACTCTTGGGCTGAAGATCTGCGAAGCCTGAAAAACATTATCCTCACACCACATATCGGAGGATCGACTGAAGAAGCACAGTCCGCCATCGGCATCGAGGTCGCCGAATCACTGGTCCGCTACGTCAATGAAGGCGTCACAGTTGGTGCAGTGAACATGCCAGAAGTGACGCTGCGAAGTCTGACTATCAATGACTCAGATCATGCAAGAGTTATCTTCATCCACCAGAATGTGCCCGGTGTGCTAGGACGTGTGAACAAAGTCTTGTCTGATCACAACGTCGACAAGCAAATGTCCGACTCGAGGGGAGATATGGCCTATATGATGGCTGACGTTAGTAACGTCAGGCAGGCCGAGATTGAGACCTTGTACAAAGATCTGGAAGGTCTCAAAGAGAGGATTGTCACAAGGATATTATACTGATCAATTGAATCTGTGAGGTTAGGAGTTCCGGTGCTTTACTCCTCAGGTCAAAGCCTTGTACCTACATTTCTAGGCCGAAAGTGGTTTAATCGTGCTTAACCGTTTTTTCTGTGCGGTTCTCTTTTGAGTCGATACATCTTTCCTAGCACGTGGTGGTCAGCGGAAGCGGCCGCTCCCCCTCATCGAAGAATCTGGACGACAGCATCGTGGATATTGTTGATGTCAGAATGATCAGTGACGGCTTGAGTACGTGCTGCCATATTCTCGCGACGCGTCTGCACTACTAGTAGTTATCCAGACCACTAGCGTCTGTCACTTCATGCAGGAATATGCAGCTTGATTGTTTGCTGCTAGAGTAGTCACAACGGTTGAGATTGTTCGATTCTACCCATGCAATGACTACTACAACTCTGCGAACCCTTTTCCTAAGGCGCCATGGAAGTCTGTAAATTTGAGCAACGACAACGTGGAAGTTGCAACCGCGGTCACACTTGTCGTTATAGGCACGATTTGACTTCGACCAACCCCGGACTTTCCCCACTACCGAAGACTCTAAAAGCCACTTCCATCTCAAACACAGAATGGCCAGCTTGTGCTCGGTGATCAACAGGTGGACAGAGAAGGAGAGTCTGCATCCTCAACACATATCAAGAGAAGTTACAATGGTCTGGAAGTGATCTTTGGGAGCGGAGCCGAGGTCAAGACTGTCACCCTGATCCAGGACTTTTCTTCAGTCAGCATAAGCGGTCTTGAGGCCAATACTACAAAAGCAGCCGTTCAGGATCTGCTTGAAAAGTACGGTCAGAATGTTCAGGATGCCGTCATCAAGATTACGCCCACTAATGGAGGAGTTGTGGCTCGCATCACTGTTCGAGACCCAGCATTCTCGTCAAATATTCTGCAGAAATTTGGTAATGATCTAGACCTGATTCCGAGCAACCATGAGATCCGCATTCAAAAGGTGCAGCCAGAACTTAAGTCCGGTACATCAGCTCAGAGGGTGAATTGTCGCTCGGTATCGTGTTCCTGGCATAAGCCAACACGTACAGTAAGCTTGGACTTTGGTGGAACGGAACAGCAGCTGGCCAGACATGTAATGAACAAGTTCAACAACGGCTTCTACGAGTTCTCGGGTCAGCGAGTCAAGACTGTGGCCAACCTTACGGGCCGGACTGGCTTTGTAAGACCATTTACCAGGCCCCCACTCTGGCGTGTCGTGCTCTCAAACGTTCCAGGTGAAGTACTGGAGGCAGATATTAGACGCATGTTAGGTGACAAGGAAAAACCTGAATCATGTCGCCTAGGAGAGCCAAGCTACACTTTGAGTCCTCACGCTGCAGCCGAGAAGATACGCAAGAGACTCCTCGAGTGGGGACCATTGGAAGAGTTTCAAATGAAGCATGACCCATCCAGCAAGAGATACAAGGCAACAGCAACGTTCACTGAAGACAGCGACGCCACGACGGCGTGCGCTGCTCTCAATGATCAACCCTTGCCCTTCGGCAATGGCAAATTGAGCATTGAGCTGAATGTTACAGCCAAGTTGAAGGTTTTAACTAAAGTGTATGATGCGGTGAAGATAGAGATAGGGAGCCTCTACGACGAATGCACCAACAACAGCAATGTTCGCTTCAAATTCTATCGACCCACACAGCCCACACAACGTCTAACAACGATCAAGGTCTCTGGCGCGGATGCATCTGATGTGGCTACGGTCAAGAACAAGCTGGACACTATATTAAGTGGTCGTCTTGTGCGCGACAACGAAGGCTGTAACGTTTGGCATACTGCCCTGATAGGCGAGACTGGTTCACAGCTAATCAGCGAATTGGAGACACGGTTTAAAGTTGTTATTCTGCGCGAGATAACTACCTCGACTGTGAGGCTTTATGGGACAATGGACGACTGTGAGGCTTGCTCACATGCTCTTCGGAAATTAGCTGCGGTTAGCGAAGACGATTTACACGAAATACCTCTAGATTCTGATGCATTCTCAAATATCATGAAAGGCTCATATAGCATGCTGCGAGCAAGACTAGGCATGCAAAATGTCTCTCTGAAGGTGAGCTCTGCTTCGAAGAAGATCGTGATCAAAGGCAGCGAGCGTGAGGTGAAACTCGCTCACCAAATATTACGGCAAGCCCCTGATGCACAGCCTCGACATCAGGACGATGATTGCTCTATCTGCTGGACGACTGCTGAAAAGCCAGTCGTCACTCATTGCAGTCATGTCTATTGTGCGGATTGCTTCGAACTAATGTGTTCTGCCGCAGCTTCAGGGCCGGAAGACTGTAAGATCAATTGCCAGGGCAAATCAGGCAAGTGTCAGCAGACCTTGACCTTAAACGAACTGCACGAAAACATGACAAGTTCCGCTATCGAAGCCATTTTGAAATCTTCTGTGCACACATATCTCGATAGGCGACCGGATGTCTTTCGGGCGTGCCCCACGACAGATTGTTCACAGGTCTATCGAGTCCGTGACAATCAAATCAACGAAGATTGTGGTCCTAAGACTCTGTTACGTCCTCGATGTCTACACCACATTTGCCTTTCTTGCCGTGCCTGCCATGGCCGTATAAGTTGTGAGGAGTGGAAGTACATCTCTTCCGGACAGCAAGCCGAGGTCGATAGACTCATGAAAGAGCTAGGCGTAAAGAAATGTCCAAAGTGTGGCGTTGCAATTGAAAAGACGGACGGCTGCAACCACATGCAGTGCACAAAGTGTAGTACTCATATCTGCTGGGTATGTCTGAAGACTTTCAGTGAAAGTAAACCCACCTATGACCACATGATAGCAGCTCATGGTCATATCGGTCTGGGCGTTTGAAGGACTTATGGCAATCAGCACAAAATGTGCAAAACCGGCATACATGGTGTCTAGATGGTACCTCATGCATGTCATGTAATAAGGGCAGCATGGCCCGTACTTGAGAGCAAGCCTTTGCAACACATACAATCGTGTGATGATTCCACTCTCCGAATCGTTTCAGAAGTCGTATGTCAGGGTGATAAGATCTGTCTGTAGTGTAATTAGGCCATTGCTACTTGAACCATGAAGCTGCACTCCTGACAGCTGATCGGGTCCTGGTGGACGCCTGTATGCTTCGAGGTTGTTCACCAGCTGCTCTGTTTCTTTTGTATAGTTGTAATACAACGAGCCTTCTTCTTTGCATTGTGGTTGTGAATCCAATTTCTCCTATAAGCAGCTCGTTGATTTCTGCCTGGATGAGTCGCCACCTCGTGATTAGAGGGTGCCAATAGTAGCCATCTCAATCGGATACGTTGAAGGACGAAGCATTCCTCTTCGTGCCTGCTCACTCTGTGACATTACTACCAGCATTAATTGCTTGCAGTTGCTCTCGACCGTCAGCATCCAAAGCAGCTTCTAGCCTCTTCGCCCGACGTCGACCCTGAACCCACATCATGAACTCTGAATATGTCTGAGGCAGAACCTTGACGTCTGCGTCGGTATGAAAGGTATAGAAGAAAGTGCCAGTACTTCTACGATCTGCATGCTCGACTGTACGCACATGTGTGGTCACCATGACCTGTATCCTTGTGCCGCCATTCTTGTCCTCCTCCGTATATGTCACACGAGAGGCTAGGTAGAGGACACTGCCGACTGGTACAGGCTCTTCAAATGTAGAAGGATCGAGGTTCACAAATTGTACGCGACTATGGGAGAAGGCACTGGCGCATGTGAAAGCCAACTCGAACGTCTGCTTCAGTAGGTATCCGCCGAACACCATAAAATGATGTCTGTTGCGGTACTGGGGCTGGGATATAGACGTTGAGTGTATTGTAGACTTAGCCATGGAGATGACATTCGCGGGTTGTACTGCTGGGTTATTGCTGTCAGCGAATGCCAGTGAGTCTGTCCACATTTTATGAATCTCTGCACTCTCTTCAAGATCAGGTGGCTTTGAGGTGATGTGTAAGGACTTTAACTTCTTCTTGTTCTGGTAGTTCTTTTCTCCTTGCGCAAACAAGGCTCTGTCGGCTTGTGTCTCGAGTTTAAGGGGCGCAATATTGACTGGCTTCTTTGTTAGCGGGTCCAGAGCAACCATTGTGATCTGGCATGTCATAAAAATGTCTTGTGAAGCCACGCTTTGACCTTGTTGTGGAGCTTTGGCGACTTGTAAAGTGACCTCCATACTGCTACGGCCAGTTGCAAAGGTGACCTGCCCGCTGAGCTCAAGGTCGCAAATCTCATGCAATGGATTCTGGATCGAAATGCGGTCGAAAGCGGCTGTGACAGTCGAAACACCTAGTCCGAAGTTAGAAACATTAGCAATCGTTGGAAGAGGTAGTTATATAGGATACCTTCGCCAGTGTGTCTGTATGCCACAACGCCAGCAAGAGCATCTAGATCCATAAGCAAGGCACCGGTTCGAAGCTGTCCACTTGCGTTGGCATAAGTGTCTAGCATCCATGGATCCTGGGCTAATGGTAGAATTACCCGAACATAGCTGTCTCTCATGCTCTTTGGCGTGGTGTCAGGCCTTGGATGTTCTTTCTGTGTGCTATCTTTCTCGAGCTTCTGACTTTCCCGAAAGGCCTCGATCCAAGGCTTCCGTACGCGCATAGCGGTGAGCTCTTTGTAGACTCCATCCGTGCATCGTGGAGGTAACGACGAGAAAGCGCGCAAGCCCTCAAGATGGTACGGCCCAGTCCATAGTCTGTGCTGTTTGATGTTCTGCTGAAGTAAGTGCGCGCACCTACGAGCAGCCATTCTTGCACCACAGCAAGCAAACTTGTGATCTGCCAAAATGCTGGGGTGTCGTTTTCATGGAACCAGCAGAGTGGTTCTGCGGGTTGCGCCTGCTCTCCAATTTTCTGGGACCTGCAGGGTGATTGCCCCACAAGCGCGATGTCGTCGTTAAGCTCTGCCACTTACCATACTATCGAACTATTTTCGAGCGATGGCCTCGACGACCCTTCTCATTCGACGCGCACTTCCTGAGATCACAAGAATGATGATAGCTCATCTGCAGCCTGTGTACTGAACAAAGACTCATCCTATATCCATCTAAAGTATCGACATGCCGGCGGCGAAAGTTTGCCGTGCGCCGAATGCTTTATCCCGAGAACACCCGCCAGTGAGGCTTGTAACTCAAGGTAGCCTCACATGGCACGATGCGGCGTACGACGATAGTCAACAGACAATCTTTGCTGAAAGAGATTGCCGCTAGAAGCCGATCTTCCTTTCCAGATGCACGAATGTCGAGGTGACAATAAGATTGAGTTGCGCATACCTCGATGCCGATACCGTGCGGATCCTGGTTGACAGACTCAAGGACTGGCTCTTGACACACGAGGCAAGTACTTCCTGCACATTTGATGTATGCCAGCTAACTTCAGACAGGACAGATGGACTTTGATCGGTCTGCGAGCTGGATCAATCACACAGGGAATTGGCAAGAACCCCCTTCCAGTACTTCACTTTTGTCTACAGGCCACCGATGGCATATCAAGCACACACCCAGATGTTACTGGCGACTGTGGCTTACGAGATCTGGGACCACCTGCCACGATCCAGACTTTCTTCGTCTCTGCAATTGATGTGGAGCTTCAGGTCAGCTATGTGGATAGATTTCGACAGAACACAGTTGTACACGAGCAGGTAAACAATAATCTGACAGATGACACTCGTGATGAACGGCACGATGGAGAAGATAGGAATTACCAACTCACTGACTCGACTAGCCATTTATACAGCTCAAGATATGCACGTATTGCTAAACATCGGACGAGCATTGACGAGATAACGACACAAGCAACAGCAGCATTGGAGTACTTCTTCTTCAGCAAGCCAAAGGCTAGATCGACCATCTGGCAGCCAAGAATTTTTCTGTCTTCCAGTCTTTCAGAATTAGCCCCTGGTGTGTTTTTACCCGAATATCCTAAGCTTGTTCAGCAAAGACAGAGACTACTGTCACCAGTTGCAAAGGTCCTTGCTCAGTATAGCTCTAGACAAAAACCTCTTGAGAACGAGACAAGCAAATCCGAAATCGGGAGCAGTCGTGTTGTGTCTACTAAAGCATGGTTTGAAGGACTGCTCTGGTCATGCATGATTTGCAAGTTGAGGATGCCGCGCAGAGTGAAGCGAAGGGCTTCCCTGATAGATCCACCTGCTGTACGTGAACAGTTCAGTGGTGTCATGGAAAGCACCTCCACCGATGGTATGCCTAAGGACAAAACTCAAGACTTCACTCCTCAGCTATGTGACTGGATGACGTTAGATAGTATCCAAACAAGGGACTTTGATTCGCTGCTGCTTCTTAGCAGCGACGAGGAGACAGAAGCTCAATTGCTTCAGAGTAACACTGCCGATAGCTCAGAAGGGGAGCTATATCCGGGGTTTGCAGAAGGCACTGTAACCAGAGACATACCTACGACGACGAAAAGCTTGCATGAAAATGGCATGACGAAAGCTAGTCATGTCCACGAATTCCTTGATCGAAGTTGCGCCCACGGCAGAGGCTTACCCTTTGTCCATAAGGACGCAATTGGTGATCACGCGTTTGGTTCGAGCCTGCTTACTCACCATGTAGACGCCACATACCCTGGTTCAGACAGAGAAGCAGACTGGGCAATAGAGGAACATGCTACTGCTTGTGATCGGTCAGATCTCGGGGAAAGCGAATTCTTACTTAGCGCTGAGCACGATTGGGGAACACCGAAACTAAAGCAACTTCCACTACCTTTTGACTTATTAGATACCACGGACCACGATTCCAGCCCATTCACAATGGCAGAAACACAGTTTGAGCCGCCACAGAGAGGTAGTATTGGGTTAGATCATTCTCATTCGAACATACGGAGGTGGCGAAGGAGCCAGGCACCTTCTAATTTCGCAGGTCTATATGAGATGCACGATATGTTGAAGAACGACATAGGGTCCGCCCTAAAGCGGAGCAATGAGCAGAACGACGAGATGCTAGACATTGACTCGAGGATCTTCGAGACCTTCGATTGCTCGAGACAGCCATCCCAGCCTACATACTCTTCTAGTCCGAGCATCACTCTATTTAGCGACGACACTGAAGAATTCGATGATGCTAGGCTTCTTTGCTCACAGTCGACCCAAGCAACAACACCGTCATATACCTCAACAGGGTCTAGCCAGGGACCCAAAAAGCACATTAATCGACCATCGATTCTCACGACTTTCACTCCAAGCTCGACCATTTCCAATGTTGGAATTTACTCAAATAGTCAAGTCCTACAAGAAGCATTGATATGAAAGGGCGAAGAATCCTAAAAGCACAAAACAGAACGAGGACGATAGTAACCTGGAAGGGTTGTGGTTGATGGGAACGTTTACAGCGGCACGTGGTGGTCGACAAAAGTGAGCGTAAGCCTTGGTGTGACTTGCAGCTGTCTGGTGGAGGACACTCACGACTATCACATTAGGGAACGATCTTGATCATATATTCCTACCAACTTGCGTTGAGAAATTTGACCAGTAGGGATATTGCAATGACAAGACCAGGTATTCTGAAATCTATATCAGGTGCAAGGACGACGGTCAGTCCGTCAGGCAGGAAATAAACAGGCAATCTATTGTACTGAATATCAGACATTGTTCTCTGAAATTCGAAGTTGAGACTACTTGACTGCTCGCTACGCACCACGACGATATAACTGATCCTGCAAGATTCGGGAATATGAGGATACACATCGAGACGCATGGAGTGGAAGGAGGACACGAACTCATTGTGGAATGCTGGCCAGCGCTTTCGTGTTTCTTGTCGCTAAAAGGAAGTTGCATGCGACGGCTCTACAATTTGACTTCTATGGAGAGATTGCGGGGTGATCTGCCTCCAGCGCCATCGCACTGATACAGATCGTGATGTAATTTACAGTAAATATGAATGTTCCATGTCCACGTACAGACTGCTCATGCTTTCATCCAGAAGAGAGTGGTGTAAGCCTAGGCTTGTATTCTGGACCAGGACTCGGAGCCTTCGGTCTCCATGACTGAACCATACATGCGTCATCACAGTTTTACGTTGTTGGTATCAGTCCTTCTATGCAACCCTCTGTGGCCCCTCACTTAACACACGATTCGCTCGCATTCTGCCCCTCTCCAACCACAAGGAAAGCTGGCTGTCTCAAAGCAGGAGGACAAGCTGCTCGGCGCAAGCAAAAGGGATCGCTTGGGCAGCTCGAATATCGTTAACGTCTCGTCTTCCCTGCCTCATTTCCCTCTGCTCAGCATACTCTCCGCCGTTGTTCTATGTGCATGCTTTCTCGTTCCGTTTCTTTTGCGAATCGAGACCCGTGCGCCAGGTCCGAAGTATATCATCAGGAACAACAACCTTGATCCTTTTGGCGACAGTGTTTACAGACAGGAAGCATACTACGAACAGTTAGAACCGGGCACTCAGTGCAAGCCAAAATCAGTCTTCTCCTCCGAACTTGTTCAAACCCCTGCTCTCACCAACATGGCTCTCGAGAAGGAGGCAAAGCGCATGGCTGCAGAGTTCGAGTACTCTAAAGATGATCTCAATAGAGGGGTACAGCATTTCATGACAGAGATGAGAGAGGGACTCGGGAAAACAGGAGGTCATATCAGTCAAATTCCTACATATGTGACCGCGGTTCCCAATGGCACTGAAAAAGTAAGAGCACAAATCCCCTTGAGAAAGAGGCTGACAATCGTAGGGAACATTCTTAGCAGTCGATCTTGGTGGCACAAACTTTCGCGTTTGCTCGATTACCTTACACGGCAATCACACCTTCTCCTTAACTCAGTCAAAGGTAGCAGTTCCTCGAACATTGATGGAAACGCAGGTTGCTGCTGAGCTTTTCAGCTTTCTGGCGAAGCAGATTGAGAATTTTCTAAAAACTCATCACAACGACCACTTCGAAACACATAAAGCCAAACCTGGACAAGTCGCATATTTCGACCTAGGCTTCACGTTCAGCTTCCCTGTTGAGCAAGTTGGAATCAACAAAGGAGCACTGGTTCGATGGACGAAAGGATTCTCCATTCAAGAGGCTATTGGTAAAGACGTTTGCGAGCTTTTGCAGAAGGAAATCGATGCGCTGAATCTGCCAGTCAAAGTATCCGCACTGGTCAACGATACCGTGGGAACTCTGATGGCCCGCTCGTATACCTCACCTGGAAAAGAATCGACACTTATCGGCGCCATTTTCGGAACGGGCACCAACGGCGCTTACGTGGAACGACTTTCGAACATCAAGAAGATGAAAGATATTGACGAGAAACAAGGGGGCGCGAACTATGACACAACTACAGGTCTTATGGTCATCAATACAGAGTGGGGTAGCTTCGACAATGCTCTGAAGATCTTGCCAGACACACCATATGATCGAGCGTTAGACAAGGAGTCCAACAATCCCGGTATACAAATGTTCGAGAAACGAGTGTCTGGCATGTTCCTTGGTGAGATCCTTCGAAGGGCCATGCTAGCTTTACACAACTCCGACAACTCAAATGCATCGTTTCTGAAAGATAAGACTTCCGCTGACAACGATTTGACCACTACAACCGTGATCGAGCCAGATAGTGCGCTGTTTAAACAGTGGGGAATAGACACGTCTTTCCTGTCGATAGTGGAGGAGGATCAGTCTGACCACTTGCGAATCACAAAGCAAGTGTTGGAGAAGGACTTGGGTATACAAGCCGCTGCTACTGAAGACGCGATTGCAATCAAGATGCTAGTACATGCAGTCGGTAAGCGGGCTGCGCGATTGGCGGCGGTAGCACTGGGTGCGGTCATTCTCGAGACCAAGAGGCTCGAAACGGATGGGTTTGTCGACATAGGAGTCGATGGAAGTTTGGTCGAGTATTATCCTGGATTCGAAGATTACATTAGGGAAGCCTTCAGGGAGACACAAGGTATTGGTGAGGAAGGTGAAAAGAAGATCCGTATTGGCTTGGCCAAGGATGGCAGTGGTTTGGGCGCTGCGCTGATTGCATTGACGGCCCACGATGCTGAAAAGCCATAGAACATTCTTCTTGTCTTGCATATATAGGTCATTTGTTCCAAGCCGTCTTCTCATGATGGTCCCATCTATATTGGTATTCGAATGGTAGTGCTCCCAGGGATAAATCCTGCCTCGAACTTCAGGCAACACATTGTCGGAATAATTTCGTCATCAAACAGAGTCATAAGTCATTCCAACCCGAAACATAGAACAGACCACTCATTGAGGGTGTCGATTAAGACAGCGAGGAAACAACACGCTCTTCGTATCAGATCGAAGTTCTGTGCTCTAGCAGACTGATTTTTGCGACAACCCAAAGATTGGGATCACAGCACCTTCACCTCCAGGACGTTAAGCGGGCGGAACCGACTGTGCAAGGATCTGAAATCACATCTCACGGTAGCATCGTCAAGCAAAGTAAACAGCTGGATACCTTGAAAAGATGTCGACAGACCTCTTGAATTGGGCGTTACCACGCCTACAGAGACTTTTGCCTATAGACGATGAATCACTTAGGGAAGTCATTACCTACACAACCACTCTGTCCAAAGAACAAGGGGTAGAGCACCTTCGAAACATGCTGGGCGACTCAGCTCAAAGCCTAGAGTTTATCTCAGGTTTCAACTCACGGCGTCCTGATGTGATGCCTACAGGAACGAAAATAGACACGTCCTCCAGGCCAGGAAGTCGAGATGGTGTACCCAGGCACAATAAGAGACCAGCCAAGCAGAAAGCACCTCTGCATAACGCAGGTCCAGTGCGACGGCCGGAAGGTTACGGTGATGTGGCAGGTGGTTACAACAAGCAGAGTGATAGTGAAGAGCTACGATCTCGAGGCTACAAGAAAGACAACTTGGCCCCGTCGCTGGCTCATGGTCTTCCTATGTCTCAGCAGCCTGACGCTCTGCAACTACCGAAAGTAAGTCAGGGTGGTCTGCAAACTCCCACCGTGGGCCGGTCCAGAGACCCATCGCTAGGGACACCCAGTCTCCTACCACCATCAGCCTCAGGGAAGATGATATCAGATCTCCCAAATGTTCGGACGAAGCAATCAAAGAAACCGGCACACTACATCCCGTCATCTCAGCCTCATTCTGGCACATCTACGCCAAGTGGCAAGCCCGTAACCACTACGACTTCGAGCGTGGCTGACTTAACATCAGCTATTGCGGCACTCGAGCTGTCTACCAATCCTACTCTATCAAGCGAACGAAGAAGGTGTGACTGCAACGCGTCAATTCACCCACTATTTACAACTGCACCAAATTGCCTGAACTGTGGCAAAATTATATGTGCATTAGAAGGTTTGCAACCGTGTTCATTCTGTGATGCTCCTATTCTCTCAAAAGATCAGGTTAACGGCATGATCCGTGCCTTGAAGGATGAACGAGGTGTCGAGAAGATGGCCACACACAATGCGTCTATTTCGGCGTCAAGATCAGGAGGTGGAACACCGATGTTCAGCTCGCCCGATGTCTCCGGAGACGAATCTTCTTCGGCAGCAGCACGAGCCCGAGCTCACAGAGACAGGCTATTAGCCTTTCAGCGTGAGAATGCTCAGCGCACAAAGGTACACGATGAGGCGTCGGACTACGATATGACGCTCACACACGGCGCAACGCAATGGATGACGCCAATGCAAAGAGCTGCGGCATTGAAGAAACAGCAACAATATTTGAGAGAGATGGAGGAGGCGAACAGACCGGAATGGGAGAAGAAAAGAACAGTAATGAGCATGAGTGTAAAGAACGGAAAACTCGTCAAAACATTTGAGAAAGTGCAAGCGCCCAGCGCAATGAAACCACAAGAGGAGGAGGCCGTCCTTGATGAGGGACAGGATAGAAACGACGAAAGACAGCATCTGGGCGGCAGTGGCGCGTTCAGCAAGAATCCATTGCTCGCTAGTGGCAGTCTTATCCGGCCACTATGGAAGCCAAAGGAAGGCGAAGACGTCAATGGCAAAGCTCCGAGAGAGCGGAAGAATGTCTGGCGAAGAGTGCAAGATGACAACGAAGACAACGAAAGCTGGATCCTCGATGGCGGACTCCGTGGTTATGGTGTTGTTACGAGGTCGATGGAGGACGGAGAACAAGAAGGTGGCTAGTGAAATTTTGACTCCCCATTACCACTTCACATCGTCATTCGTACCATTACATCACTCCCAGTCAGGCGACACGATCGTCGTTAGTGTATTGTAAACTGATAGAATTCGTCACTTGCGGTGCTGGCAGCAAAAGGTGCGACCTATGAATTCTGGCATCACTCGTGAGGAAAGTTGCCATTGATCGGCGCTTGGGAAGGCACGCTCAAGGATTGGCGGGGCTATAAGTTAGTGCCCGCGTTTGGCGTGCTAACCCGGATTTACCTAGACCCCTGTGAAGTTCGTTCCTGCATGAAATCTACCAACGGCGCGACGTTCGATCAATGCACCTCCCAGAAACAGCTTTCCAAAAGTGAAACTTTGTGTTCCTTCCTTCTGCTGCTCAAGACAGTAACACCTGACACTCTTCCTTCGTTACGCGAGTCTATCCCAGATCGATACACACCCTTACTCATTGTATGCTGTCCCGCGAAGCATTGACCACCAACCTTCTCCATTTACGCCCACTCCTCACTAGATAGTCATCTGTACACAAAATGTCGACTGAGTTTGTGCACCTGCAACACTACAGTTCTGAGCAAGTGTGAGGGAAAGCATCGACGTGTATGATAATGCCTGTTGCATTGTTCGTGAAGGAACACGATTCTTTTCTTGTCTATTCTTCGAGAGCCAATAATGGACGATCTCACCTTTCGAGAGGCAGCCCCATCGGAGGATCGATCACGCATACCTCAACCCTCGCGCAGAGATCTACAAGACAGCGCACGCTACCATTATGACACCACTTACTCATCCGACCACGGCCCAGGCCCTGCTACCGTGGAAGTTACTCCTCCAAGGACTATTACAATGCCCCGAGCGAGATTTACGCCTCATGTGCCCAGCAAGAGCAACCAGGAAAAGGCTGATTGTTTGAGTGCCGAACAGACTATTGAACTGTTCAAGAGAAAGATCGATGAGGCTAGGAACGAGACGCAGCATGTCTTTTCGAGCTCAGAGACTGTCTCTGATGCTCTGAAGCCGACTCTTACCATTGATCTCGGTCGAGCCAGGATAGAAAGACTGCCAGATGCGATTGTAGACTTGATTATTGCCGATGTCGAACGGCTATCTTTGTCACACAATTTTCTTCGCTATATCCCCGCTCGGATTGCTGAGTGCAATCAGCTACGATACCTCAATATTCGATCCAACGACTTTCGAGAACTTCCGCCCTCAATCTACCGTATGCCTTTGCTCGAGATCTTGGATGTGAGCAAAAACAAGATCACAAATATTCCACCCGAGATCAAGAACCTCGAAGCACTGAGAGTCTTTTCTATCGTCCACAATCGACTAACTGATCTACCTGTCGAGTTAGTAGAGCTTCCACGTTTGAAGGTCCTGAAAGTGGCTGAAAACCCTTTCCGAAAGAGCATTAGGAAAGTGATACATGAGAAAGAGATTGAAGTCGCCTATTCCGAGATGGTCGAGAATGAAAGGGATACTGCTCTTACCACAGAGATCATAAGCTATCTGCGGAAGCTCATGCCTTCGTCTGCGAATACCCCTGTATTGGACAGTGGGGAAACAAAAGAACCACAAAGTGCTACCGAGCCACCTAGAGCGGCAAGACGTGCCTTGAGTGGCAGATTCCCAGTCGTGCCCGCCGCACTTTCTGCAGACTCGCCTTCTGATACGACAGATCCTACGGGCCAGCAATCAAGACCATCTCTGCCTGCCAAATCGCACTTACGTGGCTTTTCAGGTCAGTTAATTACCAATGGGATCCAGAAGCGGCCTGGTATAGCTCCACTTGTCAATGGCGATCGTATGCGAACTCATAGCGAGAGTGTGATACAAGCGTCCGCAGCCGCTCGGCAAAAACGTATGGGCATGGTAAGGAGAGAGAGGACCGAGCTTGACAGTATTGACGAGACTAAAGTCGCCAACAAAAGCCATTTCCGAGGACTCAGCTATGGTTCTGTATTGAGAAGAAATGGCAGCATTTCATCTCCGGGTGCCGCTAGCTCAAGCCCAAGTAGTCCGAAAGATGTGAGAAAGCATCCTACACAATTTGTAAGACGCCTTTCGAGTTTGCCTGAACACAAGACGGGTCAGGTACGAAGACCACTGATTGAAGGAGCCAAAGGAATACTTTATGCTCTCTACCAGGTACACCCGCAAATATCTGGCTTGATCTCTACAAGTAAAGGAAGGGACCCAAGAAGAAGTGGCCTCGAGATGTCCTTCTACAATGCCTCAGTTCATGTGGACAAACTGAACAAATCCCTTGAGTATGCGGACAACCTCGATCCGGAAGAGGATGAATTGTGGGAACGAGCCGAAGAGACAATCAACAACGACTGCGCAGTTTGCATAAGAAGCTTTGTTCATGTCACAACTCAAATGCAAGAATCAGCACATAGGATAGTCGCAGGCGCTGATCCACGATATGTTCGCTCTCTGATGTTGCTGCTGTATGGCAGTATTGTTGAGATCAAAAATGCCATCAAGAGCTTGGGAGTCGAAGTCAAACATCATCGTAGGCAGATGTCCAGTGGCAATACGCATCCCATTGCAACGATCCCAGAAGAATCAATACCCGAGACGCCCAAACCGCAGAGGATGGACAAGGAGGTTGATGCACTGACACTTAGACAGCCAGCACGGTTGCGAGGTGACACCGTGCTCAAACATCCTTCGATGGCTAACGCGCCATCGTTACAACCAGTTCAGCCGCCTGCCTTGCAGATACCAAGCAACACCAGCTTGACTGGTACTACAGTTCAAGGCGCTCACAGTCGTGCACCTTCCGCATTGGGAAGTCTCTCGCATAGAAGCTTTGCAACTCGATCGAGGTCGAATTCTCGGAGCACAACAATGACGGCGAATAGCGATGGAGCCGTATCGGCCGTTGCAAGTACGCCTCGCTCAATAGACGGGTACAATCTGTCTCCTACGGCTTCTCTGAACAGCCATGTCAATGCTGATACGGGGTTGACAGATACTCAAGAGGAACAACGCTTCGAGCTTATCTTCATGGCTTTGACCAAGGCTTACGAAGCGGCTCTACAAGCGGTACCGATCACAATGCAGCAGCTCCAGAAGTGTCTTGATTCTGCAACCGAGCAACGGCAAGCAAAGGACCTCGTCGAAACTTGGAATGCACTAGTTGCAAAGTCGAGAACGTGTCTCGATCTAACACAAGCATTACAACTCCGTCTTACCAGCATGAAGCTCAAAGATTCGGGTGTTGGCCTGAGCAGTGCAGACAGTGGAAGACATGATCCTTCTTTCTGGACCTTAGCGAAATCCTTCTTATCTAGCTTCGTAGGTCTCGTGACAGAGATGAAAGAGGTCAGAAAGTCACGACTTTTGATATTGCCACAGGAGATTGTTGGAGTCCTGCGACCTGTGCAAAAAGCATGCCAAGAAGCAGGTCATGCTATTACCACAAGTCCTTGGAACTTCATGCTTCAGGGTATGACAGTTATGCCGGCGCCTACACCTCTGGCACCTAGAGGTGGAGGAGAGATGTCTCGTCCTCAGCTGATGAACAGACAAGCAAGCAGCTTAAATGGCAATCTGAACGCATATTCGGTGGCCATGGCACACCAGCATAGTCAAGCACAGCTCGGCCAAGTTTCACCTCCCAGTAAGGGCCAATTGCAGCAACTGCCCAGCCTCAATTCCATGCCGACGCCAACAAGTGGTGGAAGCGTCACGCCTATGTCAGCCACATCGCCGATACCTGCGACACCATTATCTGCAGCTCTAGGCCCAGCCGCACAAGCAACTGTACCCAGCACACCTGCAGCTCTTTATAAAGATTCGTTCTTCAAAGGTGATGTGTTCCAACGAGCAGACAGTCTCTTGAGCATGCCTCAAGCTGCTGGTGTGAATTTCCTCAATCGAAGATGACGAAAACCAAATACACATGTCCGAGGACAATCAAGTATCAATTCGTACCATATCTCAAGCACTAAGTGCTAAGAAGGACAGAGTAGGCAAGTGTTATGCGGCACTTGAATGTACGATTCGAAAGTCGAAACGTTAACGAAGTGAATGAAGATAGACATGCCATCCTTGGAATAGAGACACTCCTTCGATGAAAATCTTGGATCGCGTCGAACAAAGCTCTACGAAGCTTATGAGGGTCTTAGCATGTCTGCCAAGAATGTTATAATAAATTACGACTGTACTTCTACGATGGAGAGCGAGTACTGATAACGCTCGTGTATCAAACATAGTATTGCAAAAGGAGTTAAGCCAGCCAGCTAGCCAGATGGATGGACTTGTGAAGCGACAGCAAGGATGCATGAGATAGCTAGACTTCTAGTTTATGTACTATAACGTATATTCTAGCATACAATCATGCTGTAGTTAGCAAATGCCAATTTGCAAGACTAGAAGTCAAGTATTGTACCTTGATCGAAGCTCATATTTCTCAGTCGATTTGCGCAATCTTGCTTCTCCCTCCATTTCTGCTCATGAGCTCCACATCTTAAGGCATACAAGTGGAGACTTGCATCATGCCTACGTCAAGCACTCGATGCTCGTTGCTCCTTCCTTAGCCAGATACTGTGAGCGAAAGTGGTAACTTGAATCTACCTTCTCGAACAGAAAGGAACCCCTCAACGTAACCTTCACAGCTTGCACTCCTAACAACCAGAATCCGTCTAGCCTTGTACCCTACGAAGAAGCATAGAACACAAGCAACTGGTCCACTAACCCAACCCACGCCACACCCATCACTTACCCAGCCAGCTACTTACAAGCAAAAAACAAACATTTCCACGCCAACCCACAATACAATATCTCTCTAAAGAGCTCAACACAAACAAATCAACCAACCAGCCACACAATGTCTACACACTCCGCCCAAGAAACCCATGATTCCTCCCATGGCCAAGACCAACACGCCTCCCGCGTCACAGGCCTCTCCGACACCAGCTCCTCAAACATCGCCGACACGACTCTGGCAGAGCAGTCACAGAACCCTGCTGGGGCTGGGAAGGCGTCGACGTCGATCAGTAAGGATTATGGGGGAAATGTGGAGGGGGATCTTGGGGAGAGACTCGCTGGTGGGGATGGGGATGGAGAGAAAGGGAGTGGGATGGTTGTTGGGGCGGAGGGGGACGAGCATGAGAGGGCGGCAGGGAAGCAGCCTTAGATTGAGGAGGGAGAAGGTTGGGTCTATGTATGATGCCTTGGTTGAGAAGTGGCTGAGAATTAGGATCTTGCTCTTCTATCTGCTGTAAGTATGAAGGTGGGAGTGGGTTAGAGCTTACTTTTGCTGCATGTCGATGCTTGGTGGTTGCAACGCAGGAAACGGGAAATAAATATGAAAAGACTCATAGTGCTAGAACTTGAAAGATCTATGTTCGAACTTCTTCAAAAGGTCCAGTGCCATGTCTATGATGATGCACTATAATCCAAACTTTTCCCAATTACCATTTCAATGACGCTGAACACAATTCCATTCCACAACCCTTCCGTCCTCATCGCCTGTATAGACAACTTGAGGCAGAGGTAAAATGCAACTTATCCCTGCAAGACTGTTGCTACCATCTTCCCTTGATGAATCAACGTGATTGAGGATACGGACTAATTCCAATTCAAAAACACCGTCGTTTATGGTCAGCGACCACACCTTGACAACACCTCGCTTGTGGCCCGTAAACGTTATGTCTCGTTCCAGCCACTCATTGCTCGCGCCCTCATAGCAAGCGATCGATATTATATTATCTTCTGGAAAAGATCTGTCTGAAGTGTCTTGCTTGACCAACAGCTCGCCATTGAGATTATATATGCTGATCCAGGTACCGTGGCAAACGATGATATTACCAGTGACATCGTTTATTGCAGCACATTCAACGTTGGCGCGCCGTGGGGTTTCTATACTTCGGACGAACTCACACCTATTGAGGTCCCAAAGCAATAATTCACCACCAGAGGAACACGAGAGTAATGCATTGAACGACCGTGACAACACCAAAGTCGTGACTATTGATCTGTGGCCGAACAAAGTCGCCCTGGGCTGGAGATCAACGCTCTTATGGTTGGGACTAGTGACTGTCCACACTGCGATGGTGCAGTCAGTACCGGCAGTAACTAGTGTCTTTGAGTCGGCAAACAAGGCGCAAGACAATTGGCCGATATGAAGATGTTCAAAAATTCCTATCAGTTTTCGGGTCTCAGACACATAAAAACGAATCGAGTTATCCGAGAAACCCCATTCCATGTATTTATCATAGGTTGGTGGTATGTTGAGCCTGAAAGCGCCCGAGCACAGCAACCTATCAGCCTTGACGGCATACGTCAAAGATGCCACTCGCTCTTCGCTGTCGAGCAACATGCCAGGTATTCTAGTCAGGGATTCTGCTGCACTGTCTAGACGTTTGTATTTGTGCTTGACGTTTTCTCTCTGAGGGTGAGCTCTCTGGAAGACCTGGAATGGTGTTTGTCCGAAGTTGTGGATAATGCCGATAGTTGCAAGCCGCTCAACAGGATCAACAATAGCATCAAGATCCCTTGCGCCTTGATACGAGAGGTGATGGAACACATTGACAGCATCGACAGCTGCATCACCTTTCTGCTTACAACCGAAGATAAGGTCGATCCATTTGTGTAAATGCTTGCTCACGTAAGGACTCTCAAGCGCTTGCCTGTTTTTTGCGATGAAGATCTTTGGATCGCCCTTAGCCCATGGTGGCAACGTAACGTTGCCGATAGACTTAGTACTGTTCTGCCGCGTACCAAAATCGTAGTCGTTTGGGTTTGTCAAGAACTCCGGAAGGTAGAAGAACTCTGGCGTCAATTCGCGTACGTCAGTCATGTTGGTCTGCGAAGCAGAATTCCAGGCTCCTTGGATAGTGAAGAACATCCTGTCTGGGTGGTCAAAAGTTCCTCCTTGAAGCAGGAGGTATGACTTCACAAATGGTTGCAATCTTATCAGATAGGATGTGACGATCATTGCAGAAGAATAATGGGTACCGTAGTGGAAAGGAGGCGCATTACTATCACCCATTTCTGCAAATTGTTTATATCTTTCACGAAATTCAGCTTCTCGGTCTGGATGCTGACAACCCATGGGCTTTGATAGATCTCGATAAGTTCGTGGATTGTCAAGGTCAAGCTCCTCACTTGTGTAATCCGCGATGACCCAGGGAAAGACAGGGTACTGAGTCAGGTCGTTATACGTTCTTCCAGCCAGGGTGTTGATAAGCATTAGATAGTGGAAGTTGGACATCTCACCTTTCTGCCATTTCTTAGTTGCGGTTAAGGTCGGCGACTGTGCGAACACACTGGTGAAACGTGCGCCGAATGTTTGCGGTTCTTCCTCAGCGCTCTTGAGAGAGTCATATCTCCAGGCTACCTCAGACTGGGGCGAGTCAGCGTTACCGTACTGTGGTGCTTTGCTGCTAATCAAAGAGAACAGATCGTTTCGAATCTTGAGACTGAGAAGAGTAAACAGGTAGCTGCGACCGTCGCCAAAGAAGATTTCGATGGCCACGTCGCGGAAAAGAAACCTGCGTTTTGATATGCTGATGACGTCCGACCATTTCCAGCTTCGAACCTCGTGGTTATTATCCTTAGATGTATCCTTTTGCACGGATACAGCTCGGCCTGAGATCATGCTGACATAGGGGTCACGCTCCTCAGCTGGAGCCTGCCACACATGAACGATCTCGCCATCCGCACGTTGAAAGAAGCCATCTACTAAGTAGATGTATTCTTTCCCGAGTATCAAGAGTCCTTCAATCGCTTCAAGACCAGCTACTCGTGATATGTTAACAACGTGCTTAACCTGGTCGCCACGATGCAGACTTCGCATGACTTTGCGGTTTTTGTCTTCGAATTCTTCTTGTCCGGCATTAGGATCCTCTACTAGCTCGAAACTTTCTTCTGCCTCCATGTTGTCCAGCGTTTCTGATCTTTCGATGCTAGGGAAGGGTTCGCTGGTAGAAGCCTGTTCATTAGGGATCGGTGAGTCGACAACAGGCAACTCAGCGCCACCTGGTGTAAGACCGCTTGATTCCGTACTAGAGGATCGCGTTCCTCTTGTGTCAAGGCGTAGAGCTGGTAAGTCGGAGCCCTTTCGTCTTGGCTGTTGCGCATCATCTGGAAGCGTGAAATCCTCGACCAGACGCATGCGCATTCGATTGCGTCCCTCTGTCTGGTCGACGCGCCACTTTCGAGATTTGCCCTCCGCGAACAGATCTGTGGAGCGTGCAAGCTCTTTCTGCATGCGCGAAAACATAGCATTGGTAAAGACGAGATCATCTGTAGAGTCCTGAACAAGCCTCTGGTGCTTCAAGGTCTCGGACGAATGAATATTGGTTGTCCAATGGTCAAACGCTACATCATGACGATGAAGCAGCTGCTCTCGGTCTGTTTCTGTCTTAGCCCATCCTTTGAGCTTCTCTCTGCGACGATTGACACGAGCCCTAATAGACTCTTCCGTCTTCTCGTTCTCCTCGCTCACAAAGGCATCCCATGACTTTGACAAGGTGTTGAAGAACAGTGAATCAAGCTCAGTCCTATGATCATCAACCCAGGACAGAAAAGTCTCGTTATCCAATTCTGCTAGCTTTTTGAAGCTGCCAGCCAACTGTTTTTGGTCCGTTGTTCCAGCTTGTCCAAGTATGGCGGCAGTCTCCGATGGCTTTTGTACCAGGATGGTGCGCCACAGATCAGCAGCAATCACGCGAACAGCAGGATCATCCGATATTAGGCTTCCATACAAAAGATAACACAGCAATTGCAAATACATTGACTGCGCCTCTTCAGATGCCAGCAGCACGGTTTGCCAATATGCAAGCTTCTTCAGGCAGGCTAAAGTCTCATTGACACTCACGTGCGACAAGCTCAGAAGCTCGACTCTGAAGACCACAGCACGTATGACAGAGATTGGCTGGGCGCAAAGTCTCACGCTCTTGAGCTGCGACACGTCATTGCGTTGCAAATATTCGAGTATGGTAGATGCAAGATCGATCACAGGTTCGGCTCCTCCTATAAACCATCCCTCGAATATTGCGTCACCGAGATGTGTTAAGAAGCGCGCCAAATTGGTGAGCACCTTTGGTTCACAAAGAAGTGATTGATCCAGGGCGATTGTGTTCGATAGTTGTGAGATTGTATTGCGTAATACCCAGGACTCGAAGAAGGTCTGATGCTCGATGAAGCCAGGTGGAGTTTTGAGGAAGAGTCCCAGACCAGCAAAGTCCTTACGGGCCAGGATTTGGTCAACGTATAAGGAGATGACAACCTCTAGGACACCTTGCACAATGGCATGCTTGACGTTATTCTCAGCAGCTTGCGTCGACTCGAGTAGCTTTCCATCCACTACTGCAACATCCGAAGTGGTATCGCCACTATTGGCGTCGCGAGAGACAATGACGAAGGACGAACCGCGGCGAAGAGCTTTACCACGACCTGGTCTTTCAGGAACTTCCTTGCGTGCTGCTCGGATGATAGGAGGTCGTGCAGAGAGAGGGTGGACTACAACGTCGGTGCCGTCAAAGGACAACATTGAATCTCTTGCATCAAGCTCAACCGATGCATCGACGATGTCTGCACCAACGACCACAGGGAAAAGGACGAACAACAGCTCTTGCACATAAGACGAGGAAGCAGCATATCCACGAAATTTTGCAGATCTTGTTTGTAGATCTGAGAGAAACCTGATGATGGTATTAAATGTCTCGGCGTTCTGTGGTGTAGCCAAGGTCAACAGTGGGTTCGGAGGTGCCATGGTCGACATAGACAGTCTTTCTGGGGAGCTAGAGACTGGCGTTGTGGTCTGTACCTGCAACCCAGTCTGGTGCTGCTTAGACGAGACAATTGTTTTGAGACCCGATTGCAACATGCCAGAGATGACTTCGAACATCTCAGGATAGACAATACCGTATTCTTTCTTCGAATTGAACAAATCGACAAATGAGAATAAATCGAAGGATCGATCCAAATCGAGTTCTGCCACATCAACGTCAAAAAGTATCGCGAAACAGGTCGGCCAAAGTGCTGGTAAGTGCCACCATCTTTTCAGGCGATGTCCCATAATTTCGAAGCCACCAGTTTTGTCCTTGAACTTCTTAACGTATGATTGGCCATGCACCACTAGCAGTCGCGCGAGGATGCGCATTGACAGCACGACAACCTCCGGGGAAGTTTCGGACAATAAATACAACAGCCATTTGTTTGTGACTGTTCGTGCAAATTTCTTGATCAACACCAAGTCATCCTTTCTACATAGCATCTCTGAGTATAGACGAAGGACTTCGACACCGATCTCAAACTGAGAAAGATTTGTACTCTCTCCTGACGAAGGCGTCATTGAGCCAGCGCCAGAAGATGCTCTTGAACGTGCTGCTTTTCGCGGTCTGGCTGTGTTGTTGTATTTGTGTACCGAAAACGTGATGAAAAGGGCCATCGACCGCAGCATCTCTGCATTGGTAGCAGTAGGAAGAAGTGCTGACAGGGCCGCGCTATAGGATGGCATAGTCATTCTCGACACGTTCTCTGACTTCAGTGCTTCGAGCAATCGTCTCAATGCTCGCATCCTAGTTAAGCGCTTGAGGTTGAACTTTACGTGTACACTGTCCTTGGCAAAGGCGAGAAACTGCTTGAAGTAGAGCTCTTGTGTTTCGAAATGGTGCAGCCGCCACACGCTGTTGTCTATCAGCAAGATTTTGTAGGCCAGAGGATTGTTGATCATGGACCTTGAAGGGTCATTACTATCGTATCCGAGGAACGAGAGTATTGATCTGAGCAACCTAAGAGCAAGGCCACTTCGATCAAGCGTCGGAGTGGCGATTGCCAAACCAGCCTTCTGATTATTCACACTCGAAGGTATGGTCAGCTTGTCCTTGATCAAGCTGCTAAGAACATTGTAGCCACTGTTGCGTTCCATGACCTCGCTGTTCCGCCAGCTGTACTTGATCGTGTCCAGTAGAATATCAACCGCAATGGCGACTTCTTCGGTGGTACGAGCTTTACTAACCAAGGCTAGTCCGATTGCTGCGCAGCCTCCTAGTCTCCATGAGACTTCGTCCAAGGACTGAGGCACAGTGACGACTGGCTCACCCATCAGCATGGCCACGCCATTAGCCTGGACCAGTGCATCGTTGATAGCTGGGACAGCTCCGTTGATCGCGATGGCGTTTGCTCCAGATCGTGTATATGAAAAGAGGTTTTTGGCAGCGACTTTTGACAGAGATTTTATCAACTGGCTTTCATCGATATTGTTGCGGTCATCACTATCAAGTACCGCCGCAGGAGAGATGTTCAGCAAGATCGAATCCTCCTGAATGACGCCACTGCCCTTGGATCGAATTGCAATATACAACTGGGACGAGTTTTCGTTGCCCGCGTTGAGCGTTTCGTTCCTGAAGTTCAATGCAGCTGAGGCAGAGTAAGTCTGAAACGAGCCAAGGCAGTCCTGTAAATTGCCGTGGTAGTGCGGAGTAAGGTGGTACATGACTGCGATGATATCTTCATTTAGCGTGACGTCGAAGAGGATTGCAGATGCTAGCGACCACAAAGTTGTACAGGTACCATCAGTGTTTGGTGCGAGATCTTGTGGCGTTCCTAAGAAGGCCTGCACTTTCGGACCAACCGCACGATCTAATGGTGGTGTCGCAGGAAAGTTGGCCTTGGTTTGTTCGACGAATAAACCATCCACAAATAGAGATGCTTTTGAAGAGCTGGTCGTGCGTGGCTTTTTGTGCACGATGCATATGTGGTACCACCTCTCTTTCTCAAACTTGACAGATCTGAACCTCACGCTCGGACGAGAACCTTTGACGGCAGTTTGCAGGATTAGATGATGCGAGTCCTTTTCAAGATAGGCAAGGACGAAGCAAGTCTGAGTCTTATCGCAGGCTCCAAAAAGAGTGGTGTGAGCAGCCGAATCGAAGTTGTCGAAACGAACCCATAAGGCCAGGGAGTAGCCGTCCGAGTGAAGAGGTGGAAAGGTCTTTCGCAGGTTCGGTAGCTCGACGGACGAGGACCCATATCGGGAGAGGTCGAACTGAATGCTAGCAGGCTGGCGGGAAGCGCGAATGGCATCGAGCAAGAAGGAAGCGGCGGCCACCGATGTAGCAGCCTTTGAGAAGAGATAGTGAGCATCGTCAAGGTTGGCAACGCCTTGCTGAAAGAGCAGGAGGGCTACTTCACGATAGACAGATTTCTCGACGAGTGTATGCTGACCATCGAACAGTAGAGGCATGATAGCGCTGAGCAGGCCAGCAGTATGCGCTTCAACAACGTTTTGTCTCGAACTCTCCATCACAACCTTGACACTGATAGGCAAGGCTAGATTGATGGTCTGTATGGATTGCCCTGCCTTTTGCATATATTCAGTCCAGGTCTTGGTCATGATGGAGAGCATGTCTGGCAACGCGACATCAGTAATTTCACTCAGGTACTTCGTTACGTGTGTCTCGATTGTGGCTGCGTTCTTGAGGTCCCAGCTGCGTTCGGGTGGAGGGCAGGCTTTAGCAACGTGGGTGTAAATCGATGCTACTGCCTCGTCGTTCATTGCGGTTGCAAAGAGCACGCCGTACAACTGTTCCAAAACGTTGTTGTCTGCCTCACTCTTTATGAATACATTCAGCAAGGTGGAAAGGATCCGCTCAAGTACCATCCAGCCATTGCCTTCAATTCTTGTTCGAAAGTATCTGTTATTCCCGGAATGGTGAACCAAGGCTGATTCGAGAACCAGAAGAAGTTGAGCCAAAACCTGAATCAGCTCTCTGGATTCTGACAACCGCGATGACTGCTGCCATGTTTCTACCAAATTCTGAATAGCCTGAAGAATGGTCTGAAAGCCCTGTGCTCTGCGGAACAGATCTTGAGGGTTGACAGCTACATCAATTTCCTTAAGCTGAAAGCGTAGAAGCTGGAGTACGCCGGCCTGAACAAGTTCGTCCTTGTACGCTTGCCATGTCGTAGGCTTGATACTCTTCAAGGCATTTACCGCGGTGGTAATGTCATTTTCGGAAGAAGGAGCGATGCTCGACGTACTTGAGGCAGCTGCTTCATGAGGGACGTCAAGGGACATTTTCTCGACGAGGAAGGCGCGGCATGGGGCCGACTGCACCTGCAAGCCAGTTTATAGTGTTCAGCAGAGGACTGGAAAGTAGTAGCATTTCATCGAAGTCGTCGAGGCACGCGTTATCTGAAGCTGACAGCGACGATCTCACACATCTGTACCACTACCAGGTACGATCACCTCGATGAACAGCTATTTTCATCTCTGCACATCTGCTTCGAGTATGAAACTACGTCTGATGCAACAAGTGCTGGCATTCAACCGCAGCTTGCCTGGAGTCGAACTGCATCTCTCGCTCACACTGAATCGACCCGTTCTGGGTAAGCGCCTGACTGCCTTAATCAATGCTTAGGTCGTCCCCACAAGATAACCAGGGTGGGGAGCTGGTGAGGCTTGGGCGAATCGGTATCGGAGTTTCGGTGGGTGCCTGCTTCCAGCTGTGCTCTGGCTCCATAGCAACACCCACGCCCCGTCGGCACATGATCTGCGTCACCAGCCAGCCTACTTCGGTGTCTTATCACGCGCCTGCTTGGTATCAGTTGCATCTCAACAACTTGACTACCCTTCCATCCCTCTGCATTCTATCTATCTTCTTTATTGTATTCCATCTCTGCCCATACATATCTTGGGCGTCGTGTACACCATGAAGTCTTTTATCAGTCTGGCCCTCGCGGCCGTAGCTGTCAGCTCTCCAGTCATTGTCGACACCATCCACAATGAAGCTGCTCCCATACACTCATCTTCTAACTCCGAGACCATTCCAAACTCATACATCGTTGTCTTCAAGAAGCACGTCGATGCAGCAAAGGCCAATGACCACCATTCGTGGGTACAGGATGCCCACTTCGGCAGCCAGTCATACAAGGCAGAGCTCAAGAAGAGAGACCAGATAAGCTTCCAAGAGGAGGTCCTCGGTGGTCTGAAGCACACATACAATATCCCAGGTCTAATGGGATATTCCGGTCACTTCTACGAAGATGTGATCGAGAAGGTCCGCAGGCATCCCGATGTCGAGTACATCGAGCTTGACTCTGAGGTCCACACAATGTCCGAGTCTCCAGAGGTCGAGAAGAACTCCCCGTGGGGTCTTGCTCGTGTCTCCCACCGTCAGGGTCTTACCTTCTCGACATTCAACAAGGTTAGTATCTGCGTGCTGCATGAGTGTGACGCAAGCTAATTCGTACGCAGTACCTCTATTCTGCCGATGGTGGTGAGGGTGTGACTGCATACGTGGTCGACACCGGTACCAACGTTGGCCATGTTGACTTTGAGGGACGAGCCAGCTGGGGGAAGACCATCCCAAGCGGCGATGCCGATGAAGACGGTAATGGACACGGAACACATTGCTCTGGAACCATTGCAGGCAAGAAGTTTGGTGTTGCTAAGAAGGCTCATGTCAAGGCTGTCAAGGTTCTTCGAAGCAACGGCAGTGGTAGCATGTCTGATGTCGTCAAGGGTGTCGAGTGGGCCGCTACCGATCATATCGAAGTTATGCGTGCTGTCAAGGCCGGCAAGAAGAAGGGTCACAAGGGCTCCGTCGCCAACATGAGCTTGGGCGGTGGCAAATCCCCAACTCTCGATCTTGCTGTCAACGCTGCTGTTGATGCCGGTATTCACTTCGCTGTCGCTGCTGGAAACGACAACGCAGATGCCTGCAACTACTCTCCCGCTGCTGCTGTAAAGGCCGTCACTGTCGGTGCTTCCACACTTGGCGATGAGCGTGCCTACTTCTCCAACTATGGAAAGTGCACCGACATCTTCGCCCCCGGTCTCAACATTCAATCTACCTGGATCGGCAGCAAATACGCCACCAACACCATCTCTGGCACCTCGATGGCTTCTCCTCACATTTGTGGTCTCCTCGCTTACTTCCTGTCTCTCCAGCCAGCATCCGACTCTGCTTATGCTGTCGCTGATATCACACCCAAGCAATTGAAGGCACACATGATTGGCATTGCCACCAAGGGTGTTCTCTCTTCAATTCCTTCTGATACCGTCAACTGTAAGTCGTTCGTGCTTCTGATCTTTGATGAGATGCTGACATATTATTCTAGTGCTCGCCTGGAATGGTGGTGGAAAGTCAAACTTCTCCGAGATCATCAACGAGGGTGGATATACCAAGCCATCTTTCGATCTTTTCGACACTGCTGCAGATATCAAGGGCGAGCTCAAGGACTTGGTCGCCGAGCTCGAGGCTTTGATTGAGAAGGCATAGATACTGCTCTTGATGCTGTGGAATAGTACATCATTTCGCTATAAAGAAAGAGGGCCGATATAAGTTTTCAATCAACCTTGTTGTGCTTAATTTTGGACATTCGCCAGGTGTGGAAACTATCGTGGTATCGTAGATTTATGTTGGAAGTCCAGCACCAAAGAAGCATGATCATCGTGGTCAGCAGGTGGCTAAACACTTTCTGCTTCACGAGTCGCCGACCCGTCCGTACAGCTACTATATGACTGAATCCAGTACTAGCATTGACAACAACGAGTAGCATTACAATGCATTATATGCGTATGCTTGCATCCACACTTTGCTGGTCACCTGGACACACGTAGTGGTTGGTTCCAGTGTGGTCTCATCTCACGAACTCGGCACCCTCGGACAAGCACGTCCCAATGCCGCACTCCCACTCCTAATATAACACACCTTCCTCCTCGCACACTCCCCCGTATCACACGCCGGCGTGACAACACTACTCTTCGTCTCATACGTGCTATACATCTGCGCGACACTAGTGTTCTCCAACATAGCCTCTGTAACCTTATGCCAGAACGTCGCGTTGAGCGGCGCAGTCGCAGGCCATCCACCACTTATCACAGGTGTGTACGCCGTTCGAGTGTCGTATTCAAAATTCCATTCTGGTGTGGTCCAAGTAAGTGAGTTGGAGATATTCGCGAAGTAGACTTGTGAGCCCATGATTTCGAACGTCAAGTCGTCGACTTGGTACATTGTGTAGCCTGCGTTGAGATTTGTTAGAGGTACGACGGAGGGGCCGATGTACGCTACTGCGATTGGTTTGTTGTAGTCGACCATGGTCGTGTTGCGGTATGTTCGGCCGTCGATGATATATGTGCTGTTCGGGAGGAAGTCGTAGTAGATCTGCTTCTGGTCTTCGTGGGTGTGGCCGAAGGCGATGAGAGCGATAGTTTTGGGAGCAAAGCGTGCGACTATGCTGTAGAAGAGGGCCGTGGGGTTGGGAAGGGGGTTTGAGCCGTCGTAGCCTGAGAGGACGTGGCCGATGATCCAGGCGCGTTGGTTGCGGGCTTCGCAGGCTAGGAGCTCGGCGGCGAGGAAGCTGAGAATGCCACTTTGGTCAGGGTTGGTGGTGTTGTAGTGGTTGAAGATGTTGGCTTTGTACCAGAAGTCTGTGTTTAGGGAGATGACTCGGAGACCTTGTGGAGTGGTTACGGCGAAGGCTCCGTAGTGAGTTGCGGCGTATTGTGCCTCGCTTGCGTTTAGCCAGGAAGCGTTTTGCCAGAGGGAGGCGAGGAGCTCATAGTTCCACGAGAGTGCGTTTGTTGGGGCAAGGCTGTTGGGCGTGTTGAGAGCTTGTGGGAAGGAGTCGTGGTTGCCTAGTGTTGCGTAGATTGGTGCGTTGTCTAATGCAGCTTTGAAGGTGTCGTAAGCTATTGTTTCCTCGTATTCGATGTAAGCTTGGGAGAGCTGGTCGTCTTTATCGTGAGACACGATGTCACCGGTGTAGATTGAGAAAGAAATGTTGCTGATGTCGAAAAATTGAGGCATGCTCTGAAATGCTGACAAGGCCAAATCCGGTGGTGAATCACATTGCAAAGCCCCAAATCTTGACGCTGGGAGACTTGGAGATTGTGCATTGGTATGGAGAACGTTGTTGACTGCGTCTGGCCTGCAGCATAGATGACTCGTACAATTCGCTTCGCTTCCGATATCGTATCTTGGGTCAATGTGGTAGTCGGACAGATGCAGCACATTGAGATTCTTGCCTGATGGTGGTAAAGCTGCATCGGCTGAGGCTGGTTTGGGGGTGAAGTACATGCTTTCCTCAATGCCAATAAGGGGAGGCTCAGAACACACAGACCTAGTCATATCAGTCGTTTCGCCTTTAGATCGACATAAGTCAATACTATACCAGACATTGTGGCAGTAAGCAGCAAAGTCATTTGTGTTGATACTCATCTTCGAAAAGAGTTGAGCATAGTAGGCTCCTATTCCGGCAGCCCCGTTCGAGTATGGCAGTGTTCCATTTGGTGTGCTGCCATACTGTGCTTCACAGCTCACTGAGGTGATGCTGCTTTTGACTGCTGGAACGGCATTGCAGCTATTCTCGTTAGCAGAACACGACACGGTACAGACTGACCTACATCTTGATCAGTAGCTGAGTGAAAGACGACACCGATTGAGTCAGAGCAGCAAAATGCAGTACTTCAGCAGCCGCGATACATTGAGAGCAATTATTGCCAAAAGCGCTGCTGCTGGCTACTCCAGTGATCTCCGAATAGAAGGCATCGAGCAGTGACGAAGAACTTCATCGTTCATTAGCAGCAGTCACTCACTCACTCACTAGGCTCACCTGTTGATAGGCGTAATGGGAACAGGATCTGGCGAGGTCGCATGATAAGATGGCGTGTCTCCAGACCCATTGTAGTATATGGTTCTTCCAGCAGGATTAGGAACAAGATTCGTATTAGTCGTATTCAACGCTTGTGGTGATGCGTTCACTGCAGCATATGAAACAGGTGTAGCGAGAAGTACAGCTGCACAGGAGAGGCAGTCAACTTTCATTGTCGAAGTAGTAGAGCTCAGGTACAGAACAACAGTCCCAAACGCAAGGAATGATAGGATGAGCGTGATCCATCTCGAGCTCGACAGCGATAGCATGTCTCTTTACACTGATTGTACGGCAGAAGATCGAGCATCAACAATCCACAAATTCTCAGCCATGCTTGGACAACAGTAGGAATACCGTCGCGTTGTTCACGAACCAATCATTCCAGCCACCAAGTGCACATGGGACAAGCTTTTGCTGCTCGAAGCGAAGAAAGCTTTGAAAAGCTTGATAACCAAGATGATTAGTGGAGTTTGCCAGTAACAACCTGAGCGTGAGAACGAACTAGCAATGCGCCGACCGATGCTCTTGTGAGGGCGAGTCAGCTAACGTGAATTGACGGGTTCAACTCCTGATGTCCAAAGCGTGTACGGACACTCAATTATTGCATCCTGAACATACGTGCTGTGATTTACTACACTACGGCAAATGCTATTAGAATAGTGTTACTCAGTATTGGTGTTGTCGCTCGTCAAACGGTGAGCTACGATAGCGTCTCTTTGATAACAGGGCTGCCATGATAACAAGCTTGTAATTTTTGGCACATCACGACTATAGTAACCAGACCGGTGGACATTGTCAAGCGACAGAATTAGGGACATTATGATCTTCGCTGTCGCTTCCGAGATGCTTCTCTGGTCTTTCCTACGAGCAAGACAATGGTCCATGATCGTCGGCATTTGTGATTTGTAGACATTGATGAAGCCTCTTTCGCAGGACTGGAAGAGTGCACCTTTTCTTTGAAAGTCTGCGGTGCCCGTAGAGCAGTGCTTACACCGATACGCAATCAGACGTGCTCCATGCCCGTACAGCAAAAGAGCGATACGCCACTCACTATACATCAAGGCAACGTTGAGTAGTGTACCATGGAGGCCCCCGATCTGGTGCAGTTGTGACCATGTTGCGGAGTAGTAGATGAAGGACATGGCTTCGGATACAAGGGGTAAGCAAAGCAGAAACAATCGTGACGTTCGGATAGGTCTTTATTGAAGAGGATTCTATAGTTTCTTTTCCGACCGGGCATAGAGGCATCGCTCTTTCGCACCAATTCCGCAGCCATCCACCTGCAAAGCCTACTGGAACATTCACCTATTAGTTCGACTTCTTGGTCTCCTCAGCTGTGACTGCTTTACCCTTTCGTGCATCTGTCCTCGACCACCAATTCCACTCCCAAGAGATCTCACGAGAAACCTTCCATGTAACCCACAAGAACCCACTAGTGACCAGCAGTAAGGTCAAGAGCTCAGCCATGCTTGAGGTCATCACATTCGTGTCCAGCACAGGCACGTCAATAGCTTCAAGCATCTTCTGGTTTGCCACAGGCTGTGGCTCAAGATGGTAGAACATCGTCCGAGGACCAAACAGACCATCGTAAGCCAAGTTGATACGATCGAATGGGTTGACTGTGAACTTTGTGCCCTCGTCTGCCGTACATGCCCAGAAGATAACTGGCCAAGGTATTTCGATATGCTGCTTTCCACCGGAAGTCGGCTTCAGATATCGCAGATGTAATGGGATTGTCACATCCCAAGATGTGTCTATTTGTTGTGCTGACGTTGGTGTAGCAAGTTCGAGAAGCATAGCTGAACCCCATTTGTGGATGACATAGTCTGGAGCTTCAAGATCACGCTCGCCTGATAAGGAGCGAAGGGATACGATGTTGTGGGCTTCAGTGAAGGGTGGGTCGATATCAGTGGTAGGAAAGGCATACTCGTCTGCAAATATCGTGGAAGGCAATGTCAGATATGCGTGTAGTGCACAGGTGCTATCTGCTGCTTTGCTCGCTGGTTCTTGTAAAACAGTGGCAGCAGGAAAGCGGATGCGCATCGTAGGGTGAAGGCCTGTAGGCTCGTCAAACGATATTGTATAGCTTTGGTCATGATCCTGCTTGGTGCTAAGGGCATGATGCCTTGATGGAAAGAAGAATCTTGTGGGCTTTGGACTGTTGTCTTCGCCCACGACTGTCAGTATTCCCTCCATCTCTATCTGTGCGGCCTCAGAACCAGGAGAAGCCTTCAATATCCCGACCTCATTTCTGTCACTCGGTGAAGGGTCCACCAATATGTTCCAGTTGTTGTAGGTTTGCCATCCCTCAACCATGCCCATCGTTGTAGTCGGAGGCTCAGACCAAAAAGCAGCGAACGTCAACGCATGAGATATGCTGTCATAATCAATATCAACATACGATGCGGAATTGAGCAGAGCTGCATTGTGCCTGCACCCAACACCTGAAGGCGGACAGACATGTTCTTGAATCCATGTCACTAATTTCTCTAGCGACGGTAGCAGCGAATAATACTGCAACGCGGCGGCAGACGCGAACCGTTCGGACAAGATGTCAGGCCTCGAGAAGCTGATTTCTGGCGAAACACATCTCAATGACTCGGAAAAGATTCGGTGTAACAAGGGGCATAACTTGTCGTTGTTTCGGTCTGATAAGGGTGTGTACGAGACATGTAGACCTGGTGATATAGACGATAGGTATGGACTTGATTTGTCGTATGCCCTTTCTGTAGCCCAACGAACATGAAGCTCATGCGACCTCTGCAGTACGTCTACAATCTCAGCTGGGAGCTCGTTGAGGCCAAACGTCAGTCGCTCTTCTCGTGCTGCTTGTAATCCGGCAAAGGAGAGAGAACCCTCTGTGATTCTGATTTCTGACGGGTCGTAATCAACTTCTTTCGGCGGTATGAAAGTTGACCGCCGCCTCATGATCGCGGGCACTTGTTCTGTCAATACAGTTGTGCGTTGTAAGCCTGCTGACGCGTCTGTTCGATACGCCGCTACACGTGAGTCTATAAAGCAGGAGACGGCGAGATAATCGCTGTTCCTTACCAGTGATGAGTAAATCGGCGTGGAGGTTGAGACATGATTAGGTCGAGCGTTTCAGGTTTCGATTTCGGCAATTTTATTGAGCAGCCCTTATCTCATTGCAACAATGAGAATATCATGCGACAACCCAGACTCTACAGCAATTCGTTCATGCTAATAAATAAGATATGAATCCTTCGATTTATTGATTGTCAGGCCACGTGAAACGTATGTTGTTCCTCGTGATGCCTTCAGCTACTACAGACAGGCCACCTGATTTGATCATCCACTCTAGACGCTGAGACCTATACTCTCTTCTCCTCTCTCCTGCCTGAATGTGTTTCACGATGACTTGCATCCCTGGTAAGCCTTCTTCGTACTCTTTGAAAGTTTGTGCCACAGATGGCCTCTGCTTAAGTCTCACGTGCCATGCAGCCAACGGAGTGTTCAAAGCTGGCCCAAGCCCTAGTGTTGTCGATCGATTGACGATGGGAGCAACAGCAGCGTCGGCCCAATCAAAGCTGTCGCCACCGAACCAAGGACTTGCTCCTAGCTTTTCAGTCAACCATTGCTGAATAACCTCTACATGGTGTTTGCCGTTACGTTCCAGTTCTTCCGCCAACACACCCTCAGCGCGTTTGAACCATCGCACTTCTGCAACACCCCAATTGATTGCCTCGTACTCAGTGTCACAGATCTCCTCGATCATCCTTGCTCTGGCTCTTGATGCTGGATCTTTGGGCAGTAAAGCCGGACTGGGCCATTTGTCCTCCAGGTATTCGAGTATTATGGTTGAGTCGAAGATCTCCAGGTCACCATCTATAAGTACAGGTACCTCTACTCGAGGATTGGCGGCTCTCAAAGGCCCAGAAATCACGTTGTTGGATAGGTCTTCGGGCACTTTCGTTGTGAATGGAATACCCTTCTCTCTTAGGACAATCTTGACCTTCTGAACATAGCTTGATACTGGTGACTCAAGAAGCACGATGCCTGATGGTGTCTCTGTAGCCATTTTATGCCGAAAGGCCGGAGTTGTTACACTGTAGAGCACTGAAGTACGCAGGTTATCGTGGTGCAGGAGCTTGATTTTGTTTACCCCACACGAGGTTGCTCTCGAAGAGAATGCATCTCCAATCACTCGGACAAACTCATCCGGCGTCGAGAAAGTTGAAGATGGGCTTCTGGTGACGGAGTACCGAATTCGCGCTTCAGACACAGACTAGAAGATGTGCACAGCAACATTGTAAGTAGGCTCACTAGCAGCAAATCATTCAGGCTTCGGCTTTTGCGCCGTACCGTTGCCTATAGACTTGGGCAAGCTTTCCTCGGCTGAATTACGAACTTCTGAAGAGAGTCAGCTTGAGATCTGAAATGAAAAGACAGAGGCCTTTCTCGAAGACCGATATCAGGAGAACAAGGAAGAACACTCACCTGGCACTTCTTCCTTGTTGAACCACTTGATGAGATAGTATGCACCAACCCCGAACAACCATACACCAACCGCGGCGAACGTGGTAAAGAAGAGAACAGGAAAGAGGAATAACAGTGCAAAGCCGACTGCACCTAAGATAAACAGGACAGCTCCCAATAGACCGACCAACAGACCAACGACCAGAGCCACTAGAGTAACAGTGATTATCAGAGCGACGAACAAAAACACCGGTATACCACTAATGGCAACATGGGAGAGCAAAAAGCTTGCCAATAGTGGTTGATCGTGTGCGAATTTTGTGAGCTTTTCCATTATGGCAGCTCTTGTCTCAGGTGGTAGCACTCGGTCTAGCAAGCCCTTTCCCATGTTGACGACTGACGAGACGCCGCCCTGTAGTGTGCCCATTACCGAGCCCAAGCCGGAACCTGTAGCACCGCTCACAGTCGAGTGAACTTGTGTAGTCGACATCGTTGGAAAGGTAGAATCGCGCTTCGTATCGTAAGAGAGAAGTCGGACACTGTGAGAGTTATGCAGGTAAGTTCTTTAGCACCGTGAAAAAGACGAGCAGATGGCAACAAAGTAGATAATACGACAGCGTATTCTCTCTTGCAAAATGAACAGGAAGGCACGATCGCTCTCGAAGTTGCTCAAATCATGATTCTTTTCTTCAGGCACATGTTCGTCGGAAACTTTGATTCAGGACAGTCGTTCCACCGCACTCGCCAAAACATCCGTAAGGGAAAATGCTGTGAATATCTTGGACATTTGCAGGGATGAAGCTGGCCGAAACGCATCTTGAGATGTCATCGAAGACTTGCGCGATACGCGACGATCGACACGTTCCTTGAGCTCGTCACTCATTCTCCACAAGAAGCCGGCGATAATCCAGCCTTGGCGAGCCGAATTGGCAGCTTTTCCCTGTAAAAGCTGCCTACTACCCAGTTTCGTGGCTGTCCTCCAAGCTTTCGAGTTCGTGAAAGACGCGTGGGTTGCACAAATAATTCGAGGGAAAGCAATGTCGCATTATAGGAACACGATATAACTTGCCTTCACGGCTACGTTCAGTCTGCTCTGGCTCACCGCATGGACGAGCTTGAAAGATGTTCAAGTTTGATACATCTGTCCAATGTTTAGGCAAGACAGGCGCCTGTTCTTCACCTTGATTCTACGGTGACGAAGCATTTGGAGGTCTCGACCAACACGCAATGCCACCAACCTTCGCTCTGTCACAAATCAAGCATCAACACCAATGATCTTGATCCTTCCCTCTATCCTGGGCGCAATGGCTCTTGTCCAATCGACCTCAAATTCTTCCACTGCAATATTGTCACAGCTTTGAGGTGTAGGCACCCTAGCTAGTCTCCTCCACTTTTGCATTACCTGCCGCATAATTCTTAGCTTTCTTTCCTGACGTCTTACTTCTTCAACGTCAGCGCCTGGCTCGACGGTGTACTCTTCGTCGTCAGAATAGTCCAGAAACTTCGCTTCTTCTTCCGATTGTTTGACAGGTCGTGTTTTCTTAATCACAGGTCTGGTTGGAATTGAATGATTTGATGGGCTATCAGTCACTGATGGTGTCTTGAGCATCGGTTCAACGACAGGGTGAGACTTGTGCAACTCTTTGTGGACACGCTCGAAATAACGAGACGTATTCTTCCCAAGTTTGCTCCATTTGCCTAACGTCTTCAAAGACATGAAGTACTGCCTCAGTAGCATGGAGATCAGTATGCCATTTTCTTCGGACACAATCTCTTTAAGCTCACCACCTGCAGACTTGACTAGCAAAGCATCAAACCCATCCTTTCCTCGAGTCATATAGTCTCTCGTCACGAGCTTGTACTTTCTGTCCAGAATTAGTGGCTGTCCACCAATGCGGATGTTCGAAGTAGGGTTCGGTATGCGATGGTCTGGTGGTAGGTTGGGGTCAAATGTAAACGTTATGTTTGAGACCTGTGGAAATCGTCCTTCGAGTGCCGGATAGGTAGATACGCTGTTCTCCAATGCGTCAAGAATAGCCTGACCTGGTGCTTCGATCACGACGCAAGGGTCCTCAAAGGGGAAACAATTCAGGATGTCTTTGATCCGAAGAACACCTGGAGGATAGATTTGATCCCCACGGATTGTCCCAGCTGCGATGATACAGCAATCACCTGCATAATAAGTGCGCATGAGGTCACAGACGAAGTTACCCATATTCGATTCTTGTCGTCTGACGACCACGAAGCGAGCGTCAAGAGGTGCAAGAGAATGACCAATGGGCTTGTCGAGTTTCGCTTTCAGTGCATTGGTCATCTTCTCCGTCATCTCTTTTGCCTTGGTGTCCTCAGGAATACTCGAAACGATATCACGTCGAACAATGTGTAAATCCCATCCCCCAGTCTTCTCTTTGGAGCGGCGAGCCTCTATATAGCTCAGCTGCTTAAAGTCTGTTCCACTACGAAGCACATGGCAGCCATTCACGATACTGTGCGCATAATTATGATCGTGGCCACCCAGAATTATGTCCACAAGACCTTTGGGTACCATTCGGGCAACTTTGTTGTCGTTCGGCTCTCGTTGATGGGCAACCACTATCACAATCTCAGCACCCTGTTTCCGTAGACCAGGAACCAGTTCTTCTGTTGTTTTGTGAGCTGATTTGTAGATTAGATTTGGCGGTAAGGAGTTAATGGTGTCCAGCCACTCTCGCTCCACAAGGCCAATGACTCCAATCTTGATGCCATTAGAGCTTTCGAGCAACAGTGACTGTTTGGCGTTTCCAAGAGGTACATTTTCTCCTAGAGCAGGATCCAGTACGTTGGACAACAGCCATGGGAATTTACACTGTTCTGAGAGGTGTCGAAATTGGGTGACGCCAAAGTCGAGATCGTGATTGCCGACACAGGCAACGTCGGTGCCTATATCATTGAGTACAGGTACCATGTGACTGCCTTTCGTAACGCTACTCTCCAGACTTGGATTGAAGGCATCTCCAGAGAAGCAGATTAGTAGTTCAGCTTGGTTTTTGTACTTCTCGTCGTTTCGATAGTGGTTAACCACTGTCTGAAAACGGGCGATACCACCGACAGGCTCGGCCGAAGAAGCGTCGACATGATAGACATCGTTGTAATGCAGTATTCGCAACTCTGGTGGCGATGAAAGATCGCCTGCTGAATGAATTATTTCTGGTTCGCCAGAAGGATTGTAATTGTCGAACGGCTTGGCCATATCGAGGTATTATGGCCACAGATCTCAGTTAATTATCTTCCTCTCCGCCTAGTAGTAATACAACTGTGCACCCTGTCAATTTTCCATGTCACTTGTTCTTCGAAACAGATTCATTCTTAGATCATGCAGAACGGCCAATCAGCTGCCCGACTCGTGGCATTATTAATGCAGGCTCCTGCAAGGGTCGTACTGAGTCGTCGTCTGGAGTCGTCCTAATACACTCAGAATGATAAAATTTCGGAGTGATCGATCGGTCCAAATTTTACAGCTAGGCTGGCGGCCTGACAGCATGGTGTGTGAACACATCCAACAATTGTAGTAATGATGCTGAGGTCCAAGCTCATAGGGCTGCAACATCTCGGTCCCGGGACAGTCCGTTGGGCAAACGGGGCAAGCAACCAGTACCAGAACTGGATGCATCCTTCAGGTCAGCACTGGTCAATTTCCGCAAGATAATCCGCCTCGAGATCTCCGACGTTCGACCGCGAGGGCAATGTTGATGCTGTCTGCTGCAGCGTACAATGTCGTAGCTCAGCCCAGTTTTGGCCGTATATTTGCCCACAGGTTGTGTCTTACACGAACTGCCCTTTACTCAGGTGTGCTGACCAGCGTTTCCGTCGGCCAGCGACACAATCTCCCGAGGTTCACATCGTGTACTCGACATCATGCTGGCTCTACTGAAAAAGAGCTCTCGCAGCCTGTTGTGCCCGCTACGGCCACTTTCGATCTAATGAGCAGCAACGGCAGTAAGACTAGAATTCATGTCCGGCCCAGCTATGCTCACAAACCCAAGGCTGTGGAGAACCTCCTCAAACAGCTTCCTGGTCTGCTCACCGAAGCAGGTATGCCAGCTGGCACGATCGCCAGCTTCAGTACGCAAGGATGGGATCTCGACGAATCCGGCGATACAATCCATCGCTATGTGTCCCTTCGATCTGTACGAGACCTTGAACGAGTCTTAAGCGACATCAATATAGCAGCAAAACAGCTGAACCATGACCCACACACCTACGTCGATAGGACCTTCTGCACAATCTCCTGCACGACTCACGTTCCTCCTGGACTTAGCATGAAAGATGTAAAGCTGGCAAAACAAATCGACGAGATTCTTGAAAGTTGGGCGGTTGATTACACTGGTTCTAAAGAGATAGACGAGGCAGAAATACTCTTCCTAAGGCAAAGAGGCAGAGAGCGCAATATGGAGGCGATCAGAGCAGCGAAATTAGATTGTAGTTGTGGTTGATATTCAGCAACTATTTTCTGCCTTCTCCTGCATTCGGCTTCCAACACTTGCCTAGCTGTGAACATCCTCGTGGTCCGAGCTACAGGCCCTGTCATCTTTGGTCGTGCTCACCATGTTGAGTGAAGCTGGTATACCAACACTCCACGTTTTCGTTTTGCTGGAGCACGACAATCGACTATCAAGATGGTTGTGACCTCAGTCCTTCTGTTCCATGACGAAGTCTTAGCTTTATTGAGACAGGTGCTGATCCTCTCAACCTCCTCAAAGGTGAAAGAGTATCCTCCTCGAAAGCAGCAGCTAAGAGCCACTGCTTCTGGCAGATTGAACATTGACGATCTTAGGCACGTGTTGCACTCTGTTCAGCCGACGGTTCTGAGCGAAGATGCCTGCCTGAAGTGACGCTGCAAGATGTTCTGAGTAGATGACGAATGTATCATCATCAGTCTCATCGTTATTCCTGTGATCCTTCGAATTGGGGTGAGCCCGTGGTCGCGCATTCTGGAAATAACCTTGTTCGTTGGCTGACAAGGGTGATATTGAGAAAATTCTGGGAGGTCGTGACGCTGCAAGTGGTCGTGAGTTGGGTCGTGGAGGTTCCTGATCAGAGTCTCGAATGTCCTGTTACCCGATTGTTAGCTTGAGGCATACAGCAGAACCCTTAGCTACTCACACTGTCAAAACGATCAGTTCTCCTAGTTCTCCTGCCTGAATCAGCGTGGTCAGAATTGTTTCGTGGCTGTCTGCGTGGCATGGGAATGGTTGTTGAAGTCATGTTTGCTGCCATACACGAATGTACAGCTTCAAACCCTTTGCAAAAAGTTTGGTGCAGCTATATGTATGATACTCCATATGCCAGTGGAAGGCTCGGAGTGAATAGGCTGCCTCTCTTGGTTTCCGTCATTCTAACGACAAAGAAATACGTCCAGAGAAGTTGTCCTTTCCACAAACAGGCAAATCATGGATAACTATACCAAGCTAGGACGTCTGGGAAGTCTGTGGGGACATTCTGCATGTCGCAATCCTTCGGGAGGGTTGTGTGAATCGTTGAGGTTGGAATAGCCTCATGGCCACCATGTCCAGCGCCGCGTCATCTGACCAGCGACACAGATGGCGAGTAGTGGAGACTGAGCATTGTAAGGTCAAAGCTTCTGGACAATTTCAGGATATGAGAGGCATGTCTGAAACAGAGTCAATCTGAAGAACAATGGATGCGGGAGGGTGGATGGCTAAATACCTGTCCAAGGACAGGATTTCCTCCTTTGGCAGCGTTTGTAAATCCAATCTCTTGCCTTCATTAAGCACGAAGTTCAGGCATGAGCAGGCTTAGCGAATACCTAGGTAGGGAATCCTCTACCCCAATGATTTCATAGTCGTTTTAACTGTCGGTTCATGGTTCATAATTGTCGTTGCTTGACCTTGCCCAAATGCTTGCCTGTTCAGAGAAGGATTGTGGAGACTCGTGAGCGTGATTCATGCAGGGTGGGGAAGATCTTATCTGATAGAGCTCCGATCAGGATCTCCAGACTGCTTCCATCTCATCTGCTGTTCAGCAATTGCTAAAGCCCTGAAAGCTGATTCCCCAGCCACCACTGATCAAAGAGCCAAATTCCGAAGAAGATGCATCTTCCACTACCTCTTCTATCCCTGTTCCTCGCCATAATTCCTCCTCTCCAAGCATCGCCAGCGCCTGCTAACCCTCAGATACCCTCGCCACAGCACATACTAGTAGACTCCGATGCTTTACCCACCGAATTCGAAAGCACAGGCTTCCGCATCCCAACTCGCAACGAATCAACCGTCCTCGCCCGCCGTCTCCTAGCCAAATCGCGCGCAGGCGTCCTCTCAACCATTTTCCCCAAGAACATCACTTCACCATACGTCCCTGCCGCGGTAGCAAACACACCCATCGGTCTACCCGACTACATCGCCTCCTGCGAAGAACCAACCGGAAACCCCACACTTCTGGCCCTGACAATATCCACGAGTACACGTAATGCCGTTGCGGGCAGCAACGTCAGCTTGGCGATTAGCTGGTGGGATGAGTACGTCAAGCTCACGCATGCTGAGCCCTGGAGTGCTGCGAATTTGCCTCGAGCGAGTTTGATCGGCTATCTGGAAGAGATGACCAAGGAGGAAGTCGAGAAGGCGGGTGTGGTCAAGTGCTTTACTGGGCTGCATGGGGATTCTAGGTGGTGGTTGCCTGGAGATAAAAGTGCTGCGCATGCGGGAGTGTGGATGAGGATGGTGGTTGAGCAGGTGTATTGGATTGGTGGGTTTGGAGATCGGGCGTTTATTGGGTGGTTTGACCCGGAGGTATGGAGGGGAGTGAGGACTGAGGAGTGGAAGGCTGTGAGATTGCCTGGAGAGAAGGATTGAGGCTCAAGGCCATGGATGCAATTTGTAGCCTAGCAAATTTACGCGTACGAGCGGGTGCACGATTTAAATAACACTACAGCACTCCGTTCTGAAGCGATATAGCAGCCCAACCATGGACTAAAGAGCCTGAATTTGCATATTGAACTCACGAAACCCAGTGAGAAGATATATACAGCACTCTACTTCTTCTTTCCTCCCTTCTTCGCACCCTTTCCCTCTTCCTTCTTATCCTCCTTCTTGTCCTCTTTCTTGTCTTCACCCTGCTCAGCCTCCTTCGATTCACGCTCCTGCTTCTCCCGCTTGTTCTTCTCCGCAGCGTTCTCCTTCTTGTCCTTTGGGTCTTTGGGGTCAGGTGCTCCTTTCTGAGCTTTATTCTTGTGCTCGCCTTTATCGAGATACCCACCTCCTTGGGCTTCGTAGCGACGTGCTAGTTCTCCTGCCTTCCATGCTGACCATGAGCCTGCGCCGCCGCCCTTCTGCATGGCTTTGACTTCTTCTTTGACCTTTTCGCGGAGCTCTGGCTTGTCAGGCTCGCCTTTTGAGGAGGGCATGATGGTGGTGGGAGTTGTGTTGGAGTGACAAAATACAAGGTATGTCCTGATGCGTGAGGTGCGTTGAGTTTGAGTCTTGCGCTCTAGGGGCTGCTCAAATATGTAGCGGTAGCGGCAGTCGTGGTGACGAGGACGCTCGCTGCACTTTGAATGTTTCGCTAGATGTTGTTGAGTGTAGATTGCATTGAGATAGTTCCAAAGAGCCACCTCGCAAGCTCAATTCTATACTGCGCGTTTCTTGTTGTTCGCTTCCTTGCTTCTGGACGAGGCCGAACTTGCTGAGCTCCTAGTAGAGCCGACCGTACTCGACGGCGACGTTTCCCTCTTAGATTGTGCAGGGAACTTGGTGAGGATTTGGCGCAAAGAGTCCTTCGCGGTCGCTGGACGGTCCTGAGAAGAAGGCGTTTCTTGGAAGGTTGGAAACCGAATCATGGTGGCTGGTAAGTGCAAGCAGGGACGATGTGGTTATCTGTAGATGTGGAGATCTGGGGAACTTAAGCAGCGCCCTGGAAGACCTCTTCCTCGCCTAGCAGAAGCCTGACGTTTGCTGATCGCAGAAACGGCGATCTTTAATTCGGTATAGACTTGGAAATGTGCTAGTGAGTGATAGGTCGGGCACTAAGTCGTGACGTACGAGGCCTCAGATGTGTCGAGGTCAAGGACAAACAGTTTCCGTGCGCAGAAATGAAAGCGGATTCGAGGACTTTAAGAACAAAGAGCGAAGTGAAAGCAGTGTGGCAACAGTCAGCAGGGTATTTTAGTCAAGTGCATGTGGCTGATGGCAGAATGATAAACAATTGACCTGAGAAGCAGGCTGTTGAGGGTTTGTAAATCGCGCTCGTTTGAGGCGAAAGAAGCTGGTGGATTGGACCAGATAAAAACAGTACAAGAACAAATGCTTCTGCCCCGGTTCTCTAGCGAACGAGCCGGCTGTTCATGCGAGTCATCGTAACCTCCACCATTCCAAGCTTTGAGTTGAATGGTAATCACTACGCTAGAAGACGAACAGGTAATCTCTTCATCGTTGTTCGTGTTGGTTCTGAGATTATCGTGATGCATTGGTGGACGAGGGAAGTCCGCGATATCTCGAATCCGCATCGAGGTTAGTCAGTGGCGTTCAGCCAACCATAAGCCATTATCGTCTCTCCACGCTAATTCAACAAGCCGCAGCCACTGTTCCTCGAACATGACCGCAATCGTCATTCCACATCACATCCAAAGAACAGTGCTCGGAGTGTATCGCTTCAGAAGTTTATTTGTACTTACCTGAACACCTGGCTGTACCTCATGACCTGTGTAGAGAAGACTAATGTCACAAAGCCATGTTCCAAGTAGTGCGAGAACATGCAGTGCCGTTCACCTGTTGCTTGGAATCTCGAAACCGCTGGCCAGATCTCGATCTAACCCAGCCACTACTTGTGTGTTCCCACGCCATGCGCGATCTGGGGGATTGCATTGTCTACCGTCGTACGGTATGTGTCATCTTGCTAACCTCGAGAGAAGATTGAAGTGCGTGTTCATGCAGGTACCGTCGTAATTTATAGCAACATTGTAGACTGACAACACAGTATGAACTCGATGCACCTTCGCTCACACACTCGAAAGTCGTTCTCTGCCGGATCGAAGGACAACCTCGTTACGTGAAGAGTCAACTCTTGGCTCTCGCTTGCAGACGGTTCTTGCTTTGGCACGTGGTCGACCTAAACTCTGAACGTGCGTCATAGCTCCGTCAGACGACATAATACGGAGCACGCCGTCCTCAACGTTCATCAGGCAGGTCTGTGGTAACATATCTCAACACCATGCCCAGAAACATTTGCCGCGTCAACAGGCGCGCTCTCCACGGGAGTCATGCAAGTTCGCGTCGACACCACGACGTCTCACAAATACGACGATAAGTCATCTTGAGAATGCGGCCCTAGTACTATAGTTGAGCGGGTACCGCTTGACATACTTGCAACGCTTTCCAGAAAAGATTTGTGTAATGTAACTCATGTAAGTTCAAGGTAAGACCGATACGTACCAGTTGTCCATGCGTGGAAAATTGAGTCTTCTTCTGCATCACAACAGTAACCTTGAAGATGAGCGCGTTGGTGTCTGCTGCTGTTCACGAAACAAGGACTGATATTCACCAAGGTCATAAGAACTGCATGAGGAATGTAACCAGCCACCAAGACTTGAGTAAACTTGAACTGTTCACCTAGGCTAGGCCGTCATTACCCTCCTCGCTTCTCGTCGTGTAGTCCAGAGAATACTGCTGGATTCCGCGGGTGGCATAGAATGTTCTTTGGTCAGGTTGGCGATGTTCTGATTGAGCTTTCATTATAGTCTGTGCTGTTGAGAGAGACACGGTCTCTTAAGACTGCTTCTAATCGTAGATGCAGGACGTCTCCTCATCGTTGTACCTGGACTCGCGTTAGAGTCTCACATTGTTAAGAAAAAAAAACTGGCGCAAGGTCAACCACTCCGGTTAGTAAAGCTGTGGAACTGGCAGATGATCACCCAATCTTATTAGGTCTTCTTTTGTTCAGATGCAAGATATACAGCGCTGTACCAGAACAAAAGAAATGCAACCGAGGTGAAAGACTCTCCTCGACACTCGACCAGCCAAAGTCTGCTTCCTTTTGCAAACTCGGCTAGCAAGACCTCGCCAGTCGTTGGAAACCGCGTCATAAACAACGACAACTTCTCTTAGCCCACCAATCAAGTCCTTGCCTTGATTTCCTTCTCTACCTTGTGTTCCAGGGAAGTTGCGTCCCCTTTCAAATCCCTGCCCATTTCTTTCGCTGCGGCTTCGACCGATCCAGTCTGCGAGGACTGGTATGCAAGGATTCTCGAACATTGGATTGCACCAACAACAGCGAGACAAGCGTTCACAGCGGCCAAACTATACACAGTATTAGTGGCACAATCTCGATTCTTCAACCCAGCTGAGCCTGTGACATAGCCGGATTTGTAGTGTAGACTCACAGCATATTCTTGGGTCGAATGACGAAGCACCACCTCGTCCAGATTGTACCAGTAGCCACAAGAGCAGCGTTTTGCGACAAGGAGAGCTTCTCAGCTGGACGAAGGAAGTCGGCAGCGCCAGACAGAACAACACCCCATTTCATGACAGGCGCCCTTGAACGACAGATATTAGCATAGTTCTTCCAGCAACTTGAGTGTTCCATTCCCATGTATTTCCTCTATTGATGCTCGCGTGCTTGGGTGCTCATCCTCGGGTGTCGTATAGCAAGACGTACCAGAAATGGACGGTCTTAATTCCAACCTCACTCGTCCATAATCGCTGAAACAGGCTCTGTGGCTGCGCTGGAGTCTCGACAGCAGGATTCGCAGCGGTTGTCTGTGCTCTTCGTTGAACGGTTTGTCGGATCTGCGACCGGGTCTGGAACTGTGCTTGTCGGCTTGTCTGCTGTACCAAATACCGTAGACCAACACGGGAAGACATGGCTGCTGGTAGAAGAATACGTAAAAAGAGTGGAGAGTATACTGTGTTGTCTACGAGGATCGCGGTAAGAATGAGCTGCTCGTTGATTTACTTCGCGGAGTCACTGTCTGGGGAGGCCGATCGCACCGGAGTCAAATTTAGCTGTCCGTGATTGGCTCTCCGAACTGCAACTGCGTGAAGTAGTAGCTACGATCGAAGTATATACCATAATTCACACACGCGCACCTTTGTCAATAGGAAAGAGCTGTTCTATTCCAACTACAAACTGCGGCTCCGTCGTCTGTCTACCTACAAACCGAGTGCGATCACGTCCCAGGCCAGCCATGGCCACCAAGTACGCCTTCACCCAGGGACTGCGAGAGATCAGATTTCATCTATGTCCAAGCAGTTCAGCAAGTGATGCTGCGAGGTATATCATGATTACGCAGCATATTTTCGAGCTAACAAATAACTCAGAGCTTTTCTAAAACGCGCATATCCTACTATGAAACACCACAACCCAGAGACACCGATATTGATCAGGGAAGCAACTGGTATTGAGCCGAAGCTGTGGGCAAGATATGGTACGAACCTGGACAAGATGCAAGGGCTTGTGCTAACGCTGGCTGTAGCTTTTGGAAAGGAGAAATCAGTGTCATTATCGGGTACGTCAAGCACGTTCAGGAAGGCAAGGCCTCAGCTTATTGCGATACAGGTCAATCAGATAAAGAGATCGAAGATACAGTCACTGGCATTGTAAAATCTGAATACTCATAGCGCGAGCTGGAGCGCCACAGATTAAATCAATTACGGCTCGAAGCTATGTTGGACATGGAGTATGCAGACTGAGCACCTGCAAAGGCTTGTGTATATATGCTCACAATACAGTGGTCATCGCTCAACTACGCCTCGACTTGGGTGGAATGCGCAAAATCATGCTTCAACCTCTCCGAACCTATATTGAGCCCAACTCATGCTTCCTTCAGGTAGTGTCCAAAGCTGTTTGCCAGTGTCTGCACCGGCAGCACCTACACCAACGTGTATCGGCAACAGATGCTCGAAGGTTGGATGAGCTTTTCTTGCATCCGGTCTTTTTAGAAGGTTCTCCACAGCTTGATCACGACCTGCGTCAGGCGAAGTCTCGACCGCATCCTTCATAGCCTTGTCGAAGCTGATTGAGTATGGCATTGTCTGACCACTTGCTCGGGTCGCCCACAGATCCCTTAGGTTGTGCACCGCCATTCCACTCACTATGATCTGGACGTTCTCCTCTCTGAGCTTCTCTACTGCTCGGCCCAACCTAATATGAGCTGCTGCGTCTGTCTCGTTGTCGAACAAGCTGACTTGCACGATAGGTATTTGGAGTGGATTCTTGTCTGGCGCAAACATGATCTTGAATGGAACGAAGACTCCATGGTCGAGACCTCTCTCCTCAGGAACAGCCTTGATTCCGGCTTCCGTCAATAACTGGATCACCCTCTGCCCGAGCTCGCTGGACCCTCTATTCGGAAATTTCTCCAGGTAGTAATGCTTCGGAAAGCCATAAAAGTCGTAGAGAAGCGGCTCTTGCTCTGAAACATTGACTTCGATCGTGTTTGGCCTTTCTGCTTGCCAGTGTGCCGAAAAGACAACAATAGCTTTCGGTTTCACCTTCTGGGTAATCTCTTGTCCTATCGCTTCGAGTTTTGAGTAGACCTTATGGTCCTTGTCGTACATCGTGGTTGGTCCTCCATGGGAGACGAAGTATACTGGTGTGCGAGGCATGGTTCTGCTATTTTGTTCGAGCCCTACAACTGAAGCTGTCTGTACACCTCTTATGGAAAGATTGGAAAAAAGTAGAGGCAGCACCTCTAGTCGTGTCGCAAAAAACGTTGCAATGATCAGCCCTACTAGTACAGGAAGCAGATAATGAGACTTATAGGTCATTTAAGTGTCCTTGACCTGACTTCCTCCATGTCCAATTAGCTTTACAGCCACAGAGGATATACAAAACTCGTTGAACGTAGAGTGGTGCTGTCTGTGTAAGCAACTGCCTCACAATCATTCGAGTCGATATTAATCTCACGGAATGGTTTCCGCATCACGTGATCGTTGACAAACACCTGTTGCTCTACTCGCACGAGTACCTCTGTCGTTTCTCAGCGAACCCTTGTGCTCATAGAGAAGACCATGCCTTACGCTACTAGCAACTGTTCGCGTATTTCATTGACTTTGTCCATGTCTCCATGTTGTAGTAGTGCTGTCCAGGAGATAGCCACGTTTGCTGATGCCTACCACTATTCTCATTGTGATGAATGCAGCTTAGGCCACAACACTTACTGTCTGTCCACTTGAGACAGATGCTGACAAGAAGCGCTTTGCCTTGACGCGCATTGCCAGATAGGCATAGAGCGGTGTTTGCGATGGTGGTCTCAGTAGTCTTCTTTGCTGAACAGGCAGCTACACCCTTTGACTGGCACGCTATACATTGACTCACCGTCTGAGATGCTTTTCCTGTTTGATCGAAGCCATTTGTCGTTGACTTTGTGTTAGAGCGTCTTTTTGGTGAGACCACAAACATTTGCGTCTATTGAACAACGAGGAACATGTCGGATGCCCATGGGGAGCAAAGAGGATGCGCGAGTACAGAGTTATGTCCAAATGGATGAAAGAGAAGACAGATGGTTCGGAAGATACGAAGCTTTGTTGCACACTAGGCACCACCACGACGACTTCGAGATATAAGCATCTCACGATTCCGGTCTACTCTGCTCCCTCAACTCAACCAGAACTCAAAGCACAGTCCAGAACCGAAAATATCATACACCGGAAACCCATTCACCATGAGTTCAACTGAGACCGTGCGAACACCGACTTCTCAAGGCAAGCGCAGGACCAGTGAGCTCGGTTCTGCAGCTTCAGGTCGATCCAGTGTTGCAATTTCACTTCGTCAAGGCAACTCTCCTGGTGCCAAAGGCACCAGCTCTCTCAGCGACCAGCCATTCGACTCACAATTCAACCACGTCATGTTTGAGGAGAACAATCGTGGCGAACTTGCGAAATCTATCTTTGCGCTACCTTCGTTTCGTACCGACATAGGCTCTGTGGTTCAGCAGCAAGTGAGCAAGGAACTTCGTGACCACCTGGAACTAGTACGAGAAGCTCTGTCGCTGATATCGAAAGAAATGACAGCTATCAAGACTGGCTTGGAATTGCCACAGACGCTGCAGGATGAACAAAAAGCCCAGGGCGCTTCGCTCTTGACTCGTACCACCATTTCAGAAAAGCAGACGAAGGAGGTAAGTGCCCATTTCACCCACCGGGTCAAACGCTAATCGTTATAGGCCAAAGATGTTGCTGAGGAGACCACGAAACTTCTCGAGCAGTACCTACCAGCATATGTCTTTGGTAATGCTCCTAACCTACCCAAGCACACCGATGAGGAGAAGAAAAACCGCCTACCAACAATCATCCAGCAGCAAGTCAGCCGAGCCATTGCCAATGCTGAGGTCAACACCTATCTCTCCTATATCCGCAAGGTCGAAAACAAGGCCACTTTCCTGAAGCAGTACTCTAGCATTCGCAAACCGAATGAAACCGATTCAACTCATAGCGCAAACCTGACGAAGCAATATGGTCTTGATCAATGGAGCAAGGGCCAGCAACTCACACATGATCTGAAGGAATGGAAGGACCCCAGAACTAATGAGGTACACACCATCCACAAGCAAGGTGCCCCCAAATTCGAACGTCTTAACAGTATCAAGAAAGAGCAGGAAAATAAGATCAAAGCCTTGGAGGAGGAACTCAGCGCTCTGAAGGAAAAGGCCAATGCATCCCGAATAGCTATGGAGGAGGATGACCACACTGACTAGAGGCATCGATCAGCCTCCAGTGTGACCATGGCAGGTTCACAACAGGCGTAGAAAGAGTTGAGAATAGACCAAGGGCCTAGAGAGAGCTTCAGCTCGTCCACCGTTGATGAGCTGATGAGACAAAAGCTCCATACCGCGTGCGGAAAATATTGAGGCCTGACCATAGAATGTGGTCAAAAATGAAGACATCATTGGAAATCCTGTTATCTGCTTCTCTTCTCCTTTCCTGCCTTGGGATATGTTTCTTCTGCTCCTGTCTGCTAAGTCTACCGGTTCACACATATTGTGTTTGGTGGGAACGATAATCTCTTATTGATATCCGATCGTCCCACCTCTTCTTACATGCAAGGATATAGCCTCATTGACACGGGAACGACTTGTAATTCATTGAGTGTCAATAAGGGTCTTTACAGGTTTTCAGAGTACGATCCGTCAGTTGGCAGGTTATCAACAGGACGACCGCGCTACTGCTAGCAAGACTGCTAGAAAGTTCGATGAAGACTCCGAACTAGTTGAGACGCCAACAAGGTTCTCAAACGAATTTTGTGTGCAAAAACAGTCTCATACATCCATATACACAGATACACTAATTTGCGCCGTTGACATGCTTGGACATGTGCTGAGGTATCATGCTTTGTATTCTCTGCGGAGAAGTCTCCTACCCTAACCAAAGTGTGCCATAGTACCCTTGTTTTCCCTCCTTGTTTTCCTTCCGAGACGCCAGCGCTAAATGTGGTATGATTACAACACATCGATTTAATCAAATCATGAAATCTTCGAACTCGACCCTTGTGAGCTTGAGCTCGGACCTTCGTCTTCCTCTTCATCAAGTTCATTGAGTTCGTCCCATGAATCTCGACGGAGATTCTGTCTCCTTTGCTGCCGTAGCCTGTCCGCAGAGTGGGGACTGGTGGCACTCATCCTCGTCGCAGAGTTTTCTTGCCGCTGTTTCAACTCTTCGATTGTGCGAGCTTGTTCTTCTTTTGCTCGTTGCAGCGAATCGTCTTCCCACACAATCTCGTCTGACCCCGCAGTGATAGTCTTTGCCTTACTTTTTGACTTGGATTCTTGCATTTCTGGCTGAAGGTCTTCCGTATCTGAGGTCCCGATACTGTCGTTCCTCGCTGGTTCGGTTGTGGATTTCTTGGCTTTTCTACCAGGCTTGATGGCTGCAAACAATCTGGGAAGCTTCGTGGCAGGGGTCCCTCCTTGTCCGATTTGGGCGCGTTGCATGCTCGGACGTCTGCTTTCCCGATCACTACTTAGCTGACTCGGAAACGTGTGCAAAGCTGACATGAATTCGACCTGCTCAGAATCCCCTACGTCGCTGTTCTTCTTTCGATTGTGCGGGCTGCTCGAAGGATGCAAGGCGAAGCTGTTTGTGCGCACATCAGTTGTGTCGATGGTGCCGTTGGAATAATGCATCGCAGCTTCTTCGTCGCTGTCGTGAGTATGATCATCACTGAGAGTAAGTGCAAAACTGGCCCTCCTTTTCTCGTCTTTCTTAATTCTTTTCACGCCTAGTCTCTTCAGTTCTGTCTTAAAATCGTCCAGTAAGATGGCGTCAGTCAAGCATTTGAAGACCAAGCTTAGCTTCCAGAATGGATTTATGCCATCCGTATCCCCAATGAAAGGGTGGATGCTTGCAGCAACGTCAAACCCTGTGAAAATCAACGCCAAGATAAGCGAGGCGAACAGGATACCGAATCTAGGCGATCGCTTGATGATCATGGTTATCTTCATGCCGTAGGATCTGGCAAGAACGAAGCAGAATATCGCACTGCAAAAAACCCACCAGGGGTCTCTGCATCGAATTAGCAACTGATCGAAATATACGTCTGTGGAGGCTTACCTCATCAATGGCTCGTATGGCCGCACCGCAACATACCAACCTCCATAGCCATTGAAGTATCGGAAATTGTCAGTGATCTGAAAGAGTATAACAGGCACCGTAAGACATAATGTCGAGATGTATATCGGTGTGGTCCACCTAACAAACTTGGCACTGAAGATAGTTGACTTTCCTTCGAAGAACGGCTTGATTTTCATCCATGCAACCACGTTGTGAAGAATGTAGCTCAAGTACAACAACGCGGCAGTACTGGACAAATACCAGCCATATCCATCAAAGTTCATAAAGCAGAAAGACCCGTGAGATAAGGCGAAGAGTTGCTCAACAAGAATGAGCTTGTGGAGCAGTACTCTCCTCCTCATGTTTGCAATTGTAATGCAGGCCATCAGCCCAAGAGCCCCGACGACAAAACCCTGTGACCAGGACTCGAGGATGAGGTCTTCGTCTTTAGCATGTTTTCTCCAATTCCAGAAGTCTTGTGAATCATTGTCGGGCTCGAGGACAGGCCCAGCTTGCCGTGGGTGTATGAAGAATGCCGGTGGCATGACGAAGATCAATACAAGACATAAAACGATGTTATAGTGTGCACATGGCCGACTGCGCTTTTCCTAACTGCACACAACAGGTATAGTTTGACACCACTGTTGCTCAACAACGGCCCGTGGAACGTAAATGAAGGCGTAGCGGAGGAGTAATAGAGGTGCTTAAGTCGTACACATCTGCAGCATGTCGCAGAGACGCTCTTCGAACCAGCAAATCGACACAGCAGTGAGATCTGCCTGATCTGACAGGGACGCGACTCAATCAAAGGTGGTCAAGGACGAATTAAGATGTGAGGAGTCCTGCAAAGTCAAAGTGAGAAGAGCTGTGGTTCCTGTGATTCCAGCACCTGTTTTGCGACGACCTTCACTATCCGGGGAATAAGCACGGTCTGGGGAAAGTCTGGAGAGCACTGGTAACGACAAAAGCAAGAGCATCATCTGCACAAACTGCGCAAGGCGTACAATCAAACGTACGTTGACTAAGAGAGTTTAGTTTGAGGGATATGCTCAAGGTTCGCCGCGAGAGCCACTTGTGTAAGCCAAACCAGTAAATTTCCCAGATTCGCGGTACCCATGTGGCATTGGGAAGGCGCCGCCTCGAAGATGACCATCATCGTGGAGCGAGGTGTCCCCGCATAAGCGGAAATGAGGTAAATGTGGTGTGGCCAAGGATTTTATTGAACTCTACCCTCGGTGAACTGAACCGCGACACACCATGCCAGGCTCACTCACAATCGCCCTAGCACTGTATATTGAGCTCATGATATTACAGCACATGTTGGTTGTGAGAATCCTCAGACAGTGGTCGAGAACCTGGACTCGAAGCAGTCAGCTGCACAAGACCACAGAGCCGGCCAAGATGGGAGGCTGGGCGTGAAGCGCCAATTCGAACAAGGCTCATATCCGCGAATTTGGGGCAGTCTCTCTTGTTAGCCCGTTGGCAAGGCAGACAATTGGTGGACAGAGATGTTACATCAGGTCTTGCCAAATTGCCACTCGTAGAGCTGTTCAGGCTACAAGTATCTTGGCGTGTCTGTGGTGTACAACGTCGGTGATTCCGTATATTTGAAAATTCAGCAGTCTCTTGTTCAGTCAAGGCCTGGGCGGCGCGCATGATGAGCACGACAAGCCGGGGCAGGAGCAATTTGCGGTCTGCCCAAAAGCTCATGCATGTAATCAGGTGGAGAATGGGCAAGATCGTCATGCCACCAGCATTGGGAAGGCGCCGCTTTGACACTTGACTAATGACATTAGGGCAAGTATAGCGAGTCCCTGGAGCCTCTCTTACTGTGGTACTGCAGTACCCGTACTCGTATCAATTATTCACTATATTGACCATCACAGCATCAGCCTTGACGGTCTTTTCGTGTGGCACTAAAGCCACACCGACAGCTGAAGTCCTCGACAAATACGCAGGGAATACGGTGCAGCATGGCTTGGCGCACTTTCAAATTCGAGACACCACGAAGACTGCTCAAATCACTTATGGCCATTCACCTGTGCTGCCTTGCCTGACTTATCTTGTTGATTTTGCCCTTGGTTCTTCTTGTTGCGGTGCGCCACACTGTAAGACTCGTTCTTCTTACGACCTCTGCCACCCCCACGACTGCTTCCTCCATACCTGCCTCCCGAGCCTGAGCTGTTCTGCTTATTTACTCGAAAGTCAATTTTCTTCAAGGGCTTCTCAAGCATTATGTTCCCTTCAAGACCAAGTTCTTTCCTTCTTTCGGGGTCTATCTTCCATGGCTGGAAGATCTCTTGTGGTTCGGTCACATCTTTGAGTTCTTCAACCCAAGTTTTGACATAATCGCCTTGATGATCGTAATCGAAAGCTTGTTTCACTGGGTTGAAGATGCGAGCTTCTCCACGAGGGTCGTTGCCCACTCCAGACACATACTGCCAGTTACCCCAATTGTTGCTCAAATCATAATCCATGAGCTGGCTTTCGTACCACTCTGCACCGAATTTCCAGGCGATGCCTAGGTGTTTGGCAAGGTAACTTGCCACATTTTGCCTGGCACGATTACTGGTATAGCCTGTATGGAAAAGCTCACGTTGACTTGCGTCAATAAAGCCTGCCCCAGTCGTGCCTCGGAGAAAGCGGTCAAGCATCTCTTTAACTTCTGGATTGTTCTTGGGATATTTCCATGGATAGGATGGATCATCTCTAAAACCTTCTATCCTGAAGAGTCGAGGTCCAAATTTACGTGTGCACAACCTCATGTAGTCACGCCACAACAACTCGAACCGCACGGCAGCTGTACCCTTGTTCTCACCCTTGCCATAACCTTCTGTGCCTTTGTACTGGTCATTTCGACCATCCTCAAAGTCGAGTAACTGGAAATGCACCTGACGAGCGGTAATACAGCCGAGTGCAAGCCAAGCTGATAGTTTTGTGGAAAAGTCAAGACCCAGCAGCCCGTTTCTGGTATCCTTGTATTTTGTCATGGACCCTGATCCTATAAGGTGCTGAATTCTCTTCTGGCCCTCCTTCGAACCACCTTTGAATGGGGACGCTGATTTAGCTCCCTGTGGAAATGGACACATGTTCTCAAGGTCTGGCTTCTCTTTTAGAGGTTTTAGTAATGCTGTTTCGACTTCATCATACGTGTCGGACATGACGAACGGCTCTTTCTGAGGAGGCACAAAACTTGGCAAAGCCGGTAACGACTTTGGCGTTGGATGTGTCCTCCTGGGTGCGTCTCGTAGAGGCTCTACTGACTTGCGGTAGGCTGTAAACACGTCCGGATAGTTGCGAGGATTGTCGAAAGGGACGTCTTTGTCATGAATGTAGTACTTTTCGTCAGTCCATAATTGAAAGTCAATGCCCTGCTTCTCTGCAGCTCTACGAGCCGTGTTCTCCTCGTCCTTCTCCTCGACTCCTTCCTCCTCTGTCATCCAAACTGCTACCACTTGTGCCTCTTTCTCCTTGGCTTTGTATTCAGTCAGTAGATCTTCAAGCACATCTACCACTGTGCCAGCTCGAAGAATAAGGCCAGAGCCTTTTTCTTCCAAGTCTGTCTTCAAGTCCCAGACACTCTGAGCTACAAAGCTTGCCCGATGAGGTCCGCATCTCCAGAATTTGCCTACCTCCGATCTCGCCTCGCGATATGGCGACTTCTTACTTGAATCGCGGATGAAACCTGATACTTCCACCTGCTGTGCAGCAAATACATACACAGGCAGTATGTGGGTAAAGGGAGATTGTGACTGACTTGCTAGTTTGGAGATTTCATGAAATATAGGGTTATCGGCTACTCGAAGATCTCGACGGAGAAGGTACACCAGGACTTTTTGTGCCATCCTTGGATAGAACCAATAGACGGTGAATCCCCGGCTCGCTTAAGAGAAAGAAGTCCTGTGGGCAAGTACGTCGTAGATAGTGTAGAAATATGCAGTCCAGCCTTCCTCAATGCAGAGAGCACGATATATCACTAGCCTTGTGACGCTGGGCTTCTCAGGATACGATGTTGATACTTGAGTTAGGGTCGGTAGTTTTTGTCGTAAGTCAAGGATTAAAGTCAGCAAGTTCAATCTCAAGAAGTCAGGACAACATTCTTCTGCAGTGGACGTCCGAGCAGCCATGTGGTAGCAGGGATTCCTGCGGCTACGAGCGCCACAAGTCGGCCCATCAATCTTGAGTAATCATGACAGCATTGAGCATTCGAATCGACGAGAAACTCGACCTTCGCATCACATGCGCACGTCCATGAGTAACCAAACTGACACGGTTCAGAAAAGAGTGGCGTCCAACTGTGTTTGTCAATTCCATGACGAAATAACGGACCTGATCGTGTGCTAGCATCAAAGTATCTCAATCGATCTGATGCCAGCGTGCATGTGGATGCAGACTAACGAACGTAATGGAGTTGCATGTCCTATCAATCGATCTTGATGAGGAGCTTTGTTCAAGAACGTTCTACGAGCCGCGTTCTCAATGACTCTCTGCAGATAGAGTTACATCTGGTCTGAGCATCTTGGAAGAGGTCAGTAGCTTGCAGTAGTGCATGATATTGTCCAGCATCATGTAAGATCAGCTTCGGGAGCCTATCGTCGACCGTTGAACAAGGTTTTGGAGGAAAGAAGGGACTGGAGTGGGGCTTCAAACGAAGTAAAAGAGGGCGAGCGCTTGGAGCTGTGGTAGAAGCGATTATCGTTGTCCTGTTGGGCTGCCGCTATCAGTAAAACATTCGTTGAGTATACCCTAGTCTGCGTTTTGTCTGCCATCCATAGGATCGGCTAAAGACATCTAAAGCACGAAAGCAATGCTATTCCGTGGCTTTGTGCATGAAGTACGAGTAGTAACACCTTAACCATGGAGAACTCGTATCACTAGCGGGCTACCAGATCAACCCGATCTCGAGGAACAGGGTTTGAAGATCGATCTTGATCGGTCCAATCGCCAATGTCGCATGAGATCTGACATCTCAAGTTGCAGAAATAGTGTCTCTAGCAGCCAACATCTTGAGTCAAAGCCTGAACACTAACCGTAAAAGAGCTTCCACAGATGTACCTGACTCGTACCTGCTTTGTGCACAAATCTGTAGTGGAAGCACAGTACAATCGAAGGCTGATCTATGACGGAAGGTGCCGACCATTCTTTCCCTTTGCTGACAATACCGATCTTCAAATGCCCTACAAGCACTAACAGATCACATTCATGGTCAAGATCACGCCACTACACTGTGAGCTCATTTATCAAGACCCGAGATTGGCGTAGAGGGATCAATATGGTACAGCACGTGGTGAGCCGTTGTTTGTTACACAAACTTGCAGTACCATCCACCTATTGTTTCAAAATCGGGCAATAAACGAAAGCAGGGTTTCCCAGTACGTCACTCATGCATTCACCTATCGTCCAATTCACCTCCGTACGATCGACACTACTCAGAGTACAATCCAACATGAACACCATTTCTGACAGCCATGGTCAAAGTCATGAATTCTGCCCAAGGTGCATGATCGCGAGGCTCGATCCTTCTGAAATTCTGCAGCAGTCGGATCGTTACATATGCAGCTTCGGTGAGGGCGAAGTTTTGACCTGCACGATAGTTTTAGCGAAACGTCTTGGTGAACCACCTACCAGCTTACCAATGCATATTCGAGGTCCGCCATTGAACGGCAGATATTCCCAACCAGTCCGCAGTTGCTCCCATCGCTCAGGTTGGAACTCGTCTGCATCTTCTCCGAAGAAATCTTTGCGCCTATGCATCGTCCAGACACTGTAACTTACTGGTGTGCCTTTGGGGACAAACAATGGCGACTTCTCATCAGGTCCACCACCAAGGGGGAGAACGGTATCGTGCACAGCGACACGTGTATTGTTAGGTACGACAGGCCACAAACGAAGTGCCTCGTTCAGAATCCATTTGACATACTTCATTCCTTTCATTGTCTCATAATCAGGCGGGTGTCCTCCTAGCTCGTCGATCTCAGCTTGCAACTTGGCCCATATCTCTGGCCTTCTGGCTAGTTCGTGGAAAGTGTGCGATAGCAAGCTCGCGGTCGTATCACGACCAGCGAGCAGGACATTCAATATTTCAGATCTGATGGTTTCAAAGTCGTTGGTCACCTTGAGAAGTTCGTACAGGAAAGTGTAACTCCTTTTCTTCTCACCGATACCTCTTTCAAGATCTCTTTGACTGGCTATCGCATCTTTGATCAGGTCGGCAGCAAACTCGCGAACGAACTCGCTGTCCGTCTTGCGCTTCTCGTCCGGCAGGAAACGGCTCAATCTTGCTGTGCGGAAATCTCGCGCCATGCGCTCGGTAACACTATATCTTGTCAGCTCAAGTACTGAGTCTCGCGGTAAAGAAGGCTAGGCTTGATCGACTTCAGCAACCCAAGCTGTAAGAGGTACGTACTATGTGAAAGCGTCGATGAATCGCTCAGAGGCAGGGTTCTCTTGGCCTTTGACGAGGGTATTAGTTGATTTGCCAAACAAGAATTCTGTGGCAGAATCCATTGTGAGTCTAAAGAACAGCTCTTGCAGATCGACAGTACTTCCGTCCTTGGGCATATGTTCGAGCAGATGCTGGACGTGATGCTCGTACGAGGACAGGTCAGCAACTTGCTGTCGAGTGAAGCTAGGCCGAATCAAAGCTCTCGAGTGCTCCCATTTCTCCCCATCCGAAGTGAAGATACCATTTCCGAACACAGGGCTCATAGTTTCACCTCTGAGTTTACCCAGGCTAAAGTCGCCGAACTTCGTGCTGAGCACTGTCTTCACATTCTCAGGCTCAATCGTGGTGATGAACGCGCGTTTAAAGTTCCTGATCTCGATTGTATTGTGGTTTTTGAAGTTGCGGTGCCGAACAGTTTCGTTGAAGTTTCCATCCTTGAAGGCTTGGTAGTTCTCCTTGATGGTATCATATCCGAAAAAGTATCCTAGAACACCTTTGTGAGGATATTTGTAGACTGGTCGGCATCCATTTTCCTTGATCAGTCGCCGCCTACTGGCCCCGATAGTGGCTTCCCTGTAGAGTCGTCGTACGAGGAAGAAAACTACGGCTGCAGCAAGAAACAGTGGCCAGGATGCGAGTAGAGACCGCTGCTCTGTCTTGAGCATTATTCCTGTATCGGTATGCTTTGAATCTTGAAGTATATTCAATTCACCACAATGTGCCGTGGAACCAACGACGAACTACATTACCTTTATATAAAAGGGAGTCTGACACTTCCTAAACGAGAACGTAAGCGAACAGGAGGCATGAGCAGGGTACCGTTCGCCAGGACAAACCCAGGAAGTCGTTGGTCATCTCGGTCTCGTGTCCATAAACAGCTCGCCTGAACCTCGTATTCCTGGACATGTGAGGACGCCTTCCCCCGCACGAGCCAACCACGTTCTGTACAGTATAGCAGGAGTGGATCACAACACACGTCGGCCGAGGTCACCAATGAACATCGTTGTTCGTTCTCTGGCAGACAGCACTACCGCACGAGCTACTAGCACGGGGCACTTGAAGGATTTGCGATATCAGAATGGTTCCTTCGCGCTCATGAGCTGATTCTTGGCCTATGAGAGATTCGACCGAGACAGGGTTGCACATCGAGCGAGCGATCTGTCAATAACAATAGCCAGGAGAGGCAACCAAATTGTAATGAGCTTCTTTCTATATGACCAATCACGCTGGTATACTTCATTGAGAAATGTGTAATGCGCGGACTGTCTTGCCTGACGAATGAACCTAGCTTCGACCAAGAATGAAGACACCTGCAACACCGAACGATAGACTCGGAGGCGGACGAACAATTTCGCCGATAATGTTGTCGAGATTTGACACTGGCGTGGCATTACCCATTGGGCGGTGAGTCCCAGCTTTTCAATGGAAACCTCGAAAGCATCAGTCGACAAACTTGACTGTGCTTGATAAATTGTTCGTGCAAGAAAGGCTAGGCACAGACGGAAGGAGAGGTTTGATGAAGGGTAGACAAAACGCAGCTCAGTCAACCCTGCCTGGCTGAGCAGATAGTTTGGAGTATTGGCAACGCAAATATTGAACCAAAGGATGCGGCATTCTCAATAGCAGTATTCGCCACACCACTAACTCCTGGTCAAGTCATTCCAGCCGTGTCCTTCGAGAGGTCGGCATTAAGATCTAGGTCCGGTTTAGAACACCACTTGGACACGCCATTGACAGCTGACATCGGCTGAGTTTGGATTGATCGGGCTTCCTCTAGTCCAGGGAGTACCCATGCTTGTAGCAGACAGTCTCTTCCATCGTCACCAGCTGTAGACGAATGATATCGTCTTACTGAGGGGCAGGCACCTCGCTGTAATCGACAGTCAGCACTGGACACACGCAAGACCATCCAAGCAAAGTACGTACCGAAGCAACTTCTGTATCGCGGAGGTATCATCACCAATCACTAGAACATTATCAGTAACTGCGTTCTCTCTACCACGTTCCTGAACTCACCAGCCCTGCCCTGGTTCCAATCCACTGTCACCGGCCTCTTGAAAGCTCCTTCATTCGCAGCCAGCTTCTTCACAGCGTCACTGACGCTTGTGGCTCCTTCAACTAGGTCGGAGATCTTGTGCTCTCCAACATATTCCAGTATGCTCCTAAGCTGGTCTTGTGTAGGAGCGGCTTCTGTGACGTCGAGTTCGAATGGTTCGCGTTTGACCGCTTGATTTTGTGGACTGTGGTCGGCAGCCTGGTCCTCGGTGGCAGCCTCTTGTGCGTGAGCACTGCCTTGTTTCAAGAGCGTATAGACACGGGCTGAAGCCGATATGGAGGGCTTATGGAAGAGGGTGATCACATCGAGAGACTTTGTTCTAACTCAAAGTTTAGTCACCGATCTTTTAGTGGACAGGACTGCTTGGTTCGAGTGCGCCAGAAAGCTCTCATCAGTGAAGGTAAGAGGGAGAGACTCGTGGTCAGGTCGTGGTGAATATGCATGAATAGCAGAGACTTTGAGCGACGAACAAGATTATTCGGAAACGACATACCTGAACATTTTCGAGAAGAACGGTTGCATAGGCTTCACATTCCACATAATAGTTGAAGAATGATAGCGATAGCTATATCTTGCAACCCAAGAAAGCTATGGACCTGGTCTACCCCAATAGCTGGAGCGTGCAGCGAGAAGATCAGCGATTCTACGTCACAGCATGGTGTCGCTAATACGGTGAACTTTATGTGCCCCAGACGTACTAGCTACACAAACATTATACATGCATTGCTCACACACTCGCCGGCTCACAGTCACCACATAGCAACGGTATTTGCAATGTCTCAAATTATAGCTTCTATAAACTCTTACAAGTAATGTCTTGAGATGCATCGCGTTGGTTATGCGAAGCACGAGTGTGTCGAGTCTAGAGCTCTATCTGGCCTAAATAAGTCCTGAAATACGCATGTGTATGAGTGAAATGTTAGCAAGTATCGATCGACCCTGTAAGCACGCAAGCCACGATGGTCAGCTCAGCGGTACAAGATAGTCAAGAGCGACGAGATATCTTTTGCAAGATGATGAGAACAAGCATCACGTTTTCAACCAGGATGAACGGTGTGCCCAGTTCCCAGGAACAGCCATCGTCGTTGGCGGGGATGACCATCAGCCAAGCGAACAGTTGAGAAAAAGCTTGGTGAAGGCTCCCAAGCCACTGGCGTTTGAGGCGTTGACGATCCTGGCACGGACCACGTTTAGGATACCCAGCACATATCTTGAGGTACTTGTCGTTCCACTGCAGAAAGAGATGTTTAGGAGACAAGACCATTGAAGCCAACAGATATGCGTGGACAGATCACACTTCGAAAGGACCTCTCTTATAAAATGCAGCGAGACTCCATTGAATGCTCATTAACCATATAAATGGTGTATATACCACGCTTTTGTACAAAAGTATCCATCGTATCCTCGCATATGTCCAGACAAAACCAGACATCTCAACCTGCGCCACGCTATAACATGGACAAAACGCTCTGGGGGTATAATCTTTCTCGTAAACGCCAATCACGGGCAAGTCCTGCTGTTTCAGGTTCTTTTTTTGCCAACCATAATTTTAATAACACATAATCACTCATCAACCACGCATCAGGACCATATCGGATTGAGCGTTCTCGAAATCCAAAAATCCTATCTCAAATGAGTAGTATTCGTTGAATCAAGCTGCAACACCAAGAGATGAGGTTTCTTGCGTGTCGCTGCCTGATTCAGATTTGACGCCGTCGGCGCTCGTCGACTCGGACTCGCTGGCTTTTCCGCAGCCTTTGACCAAAATATGTCTCTGCAAGATAGGTTAGCTCGGTTTCGGAAGTGTGAGATGTTCAAAGTGGCTTACCTTTAAAGCGTCCTTCCTGGAGAAACTCTTGTCACAATGTGCGCAAGGGTAGGGTTTGACAGCAAGATGTATTCGCTTGTGACGCTTGAGGTCGTGATTGCGATTAAAGCTCTGAGGGCACTCATCGCACTTAAAGGGGCGGTCTTGATTTTGTGCCTGTTGGGGCGAATTTGCTCGCGCCTGTGCATACGCAAATTGCGGATTGGCAGCATATCCAGAGTTGAAGTGCATAGGCAGCATCTGGGCCTGCATGTTTCCGACCAACGACATTTGACCTCCAGGAGCGTTGATGTTTGTCAATACAGGGCCTGGCATAGCAGGCAACGAGTAAGACGGATAAGGTGGTTTGATAAATGAGCTTGAATGCAAATGAGATGTATTGCCATGTTGCAAAGGGGGCGACATTGTCGATGCAGGAGCGTTGGCCGAGTGTGGGCTCTGAGATACTGGAGTCGAGCTCTGAAACCCATAAGGTGGCTGCGGTGTTGCAGTCGCGGTCATGGCTGCATATAGACCAGGCGTGGACGTAGCTCTCGATACAGAGTCAGCAGGACTAACCGGGGACGCCTGACTCGATGGACGTATCTGACTGGATAGCATGTGGTTGTTCATAGCCGCGGAATGTTGTGTATTGTGTCCAGCAGATGAGCCTTGCGAGGCGTGAGCATAAGGAGGAAGGTGGGCAAGGTGATACGGAGGTGGTGGAAGAGCAATACCAGCCCCTGAAGATTGGGACTGAAGATCGTGTCGACTGAGACCATTTGATACTGGCGAGAACATTGGCTTCTCGAGCATGCCTTGCGTGGTTTGCCACTGAGGCGCGAGACCCGTATAGCCTGGCGTCGCACCAGCTCCCTGCCAGAACGTTGGTGTGTATGGCAACACAGGAATGCCTTGTGGGGGTAGGTTGGCAGAGTTCGTCCCACTGTCCGATCCTGAGTTAGGTGGCGGAGTTAAAAGATTGCCCACGCTGACAGATGCTGACAGTGGTTGTATATTGATACCAGATAGTGGTGGAAACTTGTGGGCTAATTGTGGTGCTGAAAAATGTGATGGTGGTGGCAGCTCAAAAAGAGGTAGATGAGAGGCTGCTGGCCTTCGTTGTGTCAAGCTCGAAGGTATGCCTGCTGAATCAAGAGGAGTCCCCATTGGGAGAGGGATGGCGACTGAAGCCAGGATGACTGAAGCGCGACGACTCGCCGGTGTTTTGGAGTATTGGTTGGTAACTCGTTCTTAGCACTTTACAGCTCCACGAATATTGAGCTCGTGAACAGTCTGCTCGTGTGAACGAAGGATCTGGTGTGTCGTTGTTACGAAGACGATGCGGTCGTGGTAGTCGGTGCTATTCTTTTTCCTCCGCTGTTAACTCTCTTTGTTCGAGTAGTCAATTTCGACGAGCTCACTCGTAACCCAATATTCGACGTCGCTGCAAAGGTGCTTGAACCAGAAACAAAGTTATTCCTAAAGTGATAAACGAGCTCTCAATAGCAAGCAAGATATTCAATCTTCGTCGAAATTTGATATGGACGAATTAACGATGTTCTCCCGTATGTCTTTGACTTCTTAAAGCGTTTGCAGAATATGGCTGTTCAGAGGCTTGCTAGTGAGGAGTGTGGTAAAGATCGTCGTAAAGATCGTCCCGCAGCAGGTTCCACAGCGCAACTCGATCCAGGTACCTGGATCGAAATCTGGTTGGTGATATGTGCTGTTCAAGGAAGTATCTGTGATTGATGTTTCAAGGCCTCTGCTGTTGAGAGTGCCGATACGAATGGAAGCTGGGATAATTTTTGAAGGTCAGCTCTCAGGCTGGTGGAGGGTCATGGTTGAAGAATGCGAAGCAAGACTCTTTTGCTAGAGAATTAGCACATGGCGTTCAAAGTGGGGAGCTGGCACACGGCTGGCTGGATTGGCCGCTCGCCAACTGTTCGTCTAAAAGAGGAGGAACGCTTGAAGTGGGAGACTGAGGAGCGCAGAGTGCTAAGCAGAAAAGGGACTGGTGTCGATGGAAACGCACGGTTCTCAACCAAAGCGGAACTTCGAGTCTCAGTCATCGAACTGTCCAGACTCGATTTAAGCAGGCCGAAAAGGGAGCACCTGAGATTACTCCGGCAATGGAGAGTTTTGAACTAGTTCTCCAATAGCGACATAGTTCACACGAATGGAGTCGCGCAAGTCACAACGCTCATCGGCCGGGCAAGGATGAAGTATGGAGTGCATCTTGATGGAAGTGGTAAAACATCACATTTACCATGATCCGGGAGCATGGACACCAGAAGCCGAAGTCAGTAATCGTGAGGTCGGAACCAGGGAAGTCAATTTAGCTCATGAAACCGAGTGACGACTTGAAGCTGATGCAATCTCTTTTAAGTGTTTGAAGAGACTGACCCGTATTGGGAGCACTTTGATGTTGATGGTGTGTTTGTTGACCGAATGGAAGGTCTGCGTTATAGAGATGCCAAGGAAAAGAAGGGACGTCCGTCCAGCTCGTTGTCGTTCACTTGCTCACTGCATTAGCTACACTATCGCGCCAGTAGGCTGAAGTCCAAGAGCATGTCAAGTACAAAGCTTCTATCGCAGTGCAGACCAAGAATTTGGCGTCTTTCCGAACTTGTGCCTGCTAGGGAGCCTTTCATCGCATAACCAGGAGAACCTCATCCCACGCGATTGGCTCTCCAGGCAGGAGGTGTGTCGGAAGCTACCTAGCTGGTCACTAGCTCTTCTTGGCTGTACAGCACGCTAAATCTGGTCACGCTCTGGGACGCTTTCGGGCGAGAGCATGGATGCTGCCACAACAGTGGTAAAAGGACTCCACTGGTACGGGTCAGGTTCTTGAAAGTCATGCAAGTCCTTCCGGCGCTGAAAAAACATGTCCGTCGACCAGTTCCCATATCTGAGTTTGTAGATAAGAGATGTAATCTATTCGAGGAGCTCACGATACGAGACTGATGTCAATATCTGAAACATTTGCATTAGCTGGTACCGACGTGCACGTTTACTCACGACAGTGAGACCCGTCGTCTGGAGCTTAAATCCTACAAATCGTGCTTCGAAACGATAGGAGCTATTGGGTCAATAACAGCAATCATAGGATGTTACCAACAGTACCGTAGGCTGCCCTATTGTCATTCGCAGCAGCAAGTACTAGTGAGCACTGTGTTCTTGCTGTTAACGGCGACTAAGTGCATCACGCCGTTCCTTACGTCAAATTTTAGCTGCATTCAGCTCTCAAAGGTCAAATATCCTGGGTCTAATGCCGCTGCCGCGGCGTTCACGACTGCGCGACTTTTACTTCTCGGGCGCCATGTGGTCGCCTCCTGGACGCACGACTGGCAGGAACTCGTATCGACTTGCCCCATACCTGCTGGTCCTGACACTTCAACGTCTATGCCCGTTTGAGAGTAGAGTCTTTCTCAAAGCGAGTATTGAGTACTGCATAACAAGGGGCTCTGCAATCTGTAGGGCCGTGATAGAGCATCAACATCTGACCCTCGATTACGGGTTGATGAAGAACCATATCTTCAACTCCAGATATGCTAGTTTGCATCATGGTCTTTGTAAATCTGTGCCGTGAATCTTAGACAAGGATATGTCCAACGATGGACCAGGATATCGAATCTATCACAAAAGCACGGCATGAGCAGCAGTCACCATGGTCTCTCCATTTTTCTGGTCCAAATTGGCAAGCACCAGCTGGATGGGAGATTGGCATATTCAACTGTAATCGGCGCTAGTGCTTAAGTCCCGAGACTTGCCAAAATCTGAACCTTTCCACATCTGCTTCCAGCGACCCCCTGATCCAAGCATGATCAAGGCAGAGTCATGCCTGCGGCTCTTGCTCGACAGGCTCACCCCTGAGGCATCATGTCAGATACACATCGGGCAGTACTTTCGCTAGCGTGTGCTCTCTGGTCTCCAGTCGCCTTTAACCGAACGAGCCCGAGCGAGGCGCTTCGCAACACGACAGCACGTTGTTGACATCTCTACTGTGGATTCGAGCCTCCTGATCTAATGTGCAACTATGTACAACTACACCTTTGAGGGTGTCAATCTGTGCTCACAAAGAGTTCGACGCTGATGGTGGTTTAGCGATGCTTTTGCACACCCTAAATCTCATCTCCTCCACACTTCCAAGATCCACTTTTACTGCTGGAAGATGCTTACGCTTGCCCATCTCGATGATGAACAAGCGAGCATCCGCTTGCGTGCCACTTTCTCCCACGACCTGACGCCGCTCACCATGCACTTATTTTGCTAGTTTAAACTTTCCGGTATCGTTCGGCTTAACAACATGCAATTGTTGATGCAATGTTGCACGTCGCTTCACCAGTGAAGGAAAACGAGCAATTTACTCCTGCATTCGCGTGGCCAAAGCATCCATTGACAGCTACACATCTTTGTTCGTCGGTCAGCTTCTGTTGAGATACTCTTACTTGACAATAGAGCCATGCTGGCATTTCCGGTAAGATATTCTGCCACGGACGGCGTCCGGAGAGTGGGACAGGTCGAAAGATCCGCATATCTATGGTTACTCAATGCTGTGCCTCTATCCGTCACACATCTCGCCAACACGATTCAGGTCACGATATGGCTCGTGTCACAATGTTTTTGACACGATATCGTGAGCTGCTTTGTATTTCTTCCGCTTATGTAAATGGCAGACGGGTGGCGTGCAAATCTGAAAGCCACTTGCCAGACGTTCGGACCTGCGTCAAGCCCAAAAGCCAGCCCTCTCGTCTCCACGTGTTGCCTTCGGATATCGTCTCCGATGCTCGAAGAGACTGGCACGACTGGCTATTCAAGGGTTGCACTTTGTGCTGTTTGATGTTGAGCGGTGTCGCTAAGAACGACTCTCTGACACGTTTATTCAAGTGTGTTTCTGTGATAAAGCTGTAAACATCCATTGCGGATACTGGCAAGCCCGAATGAAATGCTCAGAGGTAGTACAGTAGCCTCTTGACGCTGGATTAGCCCTCTTTATATGCTGTATATACCCCATTCGTTCTTCCAGACGGGTTCACCTGCTTCATGATGGTCACTCCCGCTGCACACGGCTTCCGAGGAATGGGAGAATAGTGCCCTAGCTAAACAAGACTTCCTCATTTTCACGATCTGCCTTTTTGCCCTTGGCCTGACCAGAAATCGTTCGATTCATTACCAAGTTCGAGCTCATTATGCTCTTCATCGGTCATCCACTGCTCCTACCTAGGGTTCATCAGCGGTCGAAACTGAATATTTCAGACTTGCTCGTCAGCTCAGTAAATGCTCGCTAGAGGGCTCCTCAGCGACCTCACCGAACAAGTTTTGTCTCAATACCTTCTTCATCCAACACTTCTCACGTCTCTCCTTCAAGTCGCTTGAGATCGCACGATACGGCCCAATTAGGCATTCGTCCGTCAACACCACCCGATCTGACAGGGAAACATGAAATTGAAGGTAAGAGAAAATAGAGTAGCTGATAAAATGTTCCAGCTCGTCGGACGCTTACTGAAGTAATGCTCGTATCAACTCGATTACTGACTCTGAAGACGTCCAAGAAACGAAACAGACTATACTTCGTCATTCGAGCCTGCCTCTATGCTCCCTTGGACCTCTCATTATTACAATTTGCACAGTTGCTCAATCTCGATGCTAAGAATGTCAGCTGCGTCTTCCTAGTACACGGTCAGTCAACTCATGATCGTTAACTCTCGACACAACATACTGAAGGGCTGGCCTTGTGCATTCTAAGCTTGCAAGTAGCTACCTACTTAACCAGACCAGATTGCGTGCTTTTTGCTCGTTGCAAAGCCTTTTTCCCTCTTTCTCAAACAGCACGACCACTCACAGATGCCGACTTGTTCGTGCTTGGTACTCATGCTTCTCGCAGCTGATTTGGGCGCAATCTTGCTGATGTCAGTTTTGACGGAAGTGGAGCGAGGGTGTTGCTACCACCTAGTCTGCTGTGTCAGTCTCAAGTCGTCCTCTGTTCACCTGCAGTACTTCTGTGTCATGGTGTAACATGCGACATTGTTTTTCTGCAGCGACGTCCACCACTTTCAAATCCATTGTCCTCTGCCTGCGCATGTGGGAGGATGAGTGCGGTCATGCTGCAGGTCGTCCATCCACGACCTCAACGAGGAATCTTTATTTTTCTTTCCACACTTGGATTTAGATTATGCTGCCGACTCTTTCTCTCGTTTCGTAAACCTCTTGGTTTTTCACGTGGTGTTCCACAGTCTTCCTCAAATGAACGTTAAAAGTCGTTCCCACTGTCTGCGAGCTCTCATTTCATTCTTTCAGCCAGACTGTTCGGCCAGAGATTTTCTGAAACCCTGGCGACTTCGATGTTGAGCAATGAACATGCAGGCGGCAGTAATTTATCCTCTTGCTGGCGATCGATATCGCAGATTCACCTCTTTGTGTTCGTTCAGTGCAGCTGCGAGCAGTATTCGAACTTCCACTAAACCTTGACGGTGCTTCTTTCTTGTGTGTTTATCCTGCTCTTTTCCTGTCCTGCTATAGTCATCTTGTCTAGGCTCTGAGTGACAGTAGACTGCGCCACTAGGATCTCTTCAGCCATTCATTCAACCCCATGTACTTTTGTTCCAGCTCTTGCTATTTCTGGTCCTGCTGCGTCTAGGGTCGAGATCGCCGAAGGTCGTTAGCCATCCTTGTGTGGGATGTCGGGAGAAGAGGTGAGGATTGTAGGAGGATGTCGTCGGGACAAGCTCATGCCCAGGAATCTTTGCTGGACGCAATGGCTTTGTTGCAATCTGTGCATCGCAGCCGCAGGCAGTGCGCCAGTGAGGCTGTGAGTTCCAGCTTTGCAATGTCAGTACCTTAGCAAGATCGCAACACGAATTGACTTACCTTGCAAAACATGAACACAGCTGCGCCTGTTGAGAGCTAGCATCAGTATCTGCGGATTTGTGTCAGCAATTCGCGGCATAAGTTTTTCGCATAACATTTCAAAGAACAGAGCATTTCTGGTTGAAAGAATTGAGTTTCATATCTGTACTAGCAATCGACTTGGCCCACGAGATGGCTCTCGAGCACATCTCAAAGTAAAGCTAGCAAGTTTTGAATCAGCACTCCCGAACCAGTGATGACTGTCTGTTGACAATTTGCTTGACCGTAACTTCTGAAGACCCATCGCTTGCTAGTAATCATAAACTGTGTCGTTGGAACTTCGTTGTAAGCTCATCGTCATTAAGATAGAGAATATCGACCATTCGAAGACCTCAAACCACCTCGCTCATGGGCAAGCGCAGGAAGCAACGTCGATCAGATACCTCTGTAGCAATCTTGACGAAAGAAAGAATGTTGAGCATATCATATTGTTTGTGGAGTCTTACCGCGGATGTAGAGGTAAGTACTCGAACCGATTAAGAACGGTCTCGCCTTTTGTATTCGAGCAGAAGGCTTCAACTGCTTGTGAAGGAAGGAATGACTGAAGTTGGATTTGTGCTTTGTAGGCATATAGCTAGATGTACCACATGCTGAATTGAATTCCAGAGCCATTGGCAGTCTGGAAAGGAAGCAAGGCTGGAACCTCCGAAGATCTCGGCGTGTCGCTACTTGCCGGGCCAGTTGCTTTAAAACCGGCACCACCCTGCGGACCAGCTGCAGCAGTGATGTTTTCGTGAGCCTTGGCTCGGTTTGAGGCAAGATGTGCGTAATATGCGGCTGGATGGAGTGAGACGGACGTCGTTGAACGCATATACTGGTAGCAGTGTTCATAGATCATGTTTTGGATTGCACTTGGCTTGTGGGCTGCTTCGTCTTGAATGACAGTATAGTGGACTGGCCTGGACGTGCCTTGCAACGCAGTATGTGAATACAGGTAGAAGTCAAAGTCCATAGGAGAAGTCACATCCCGCTCGATGAGAGTGCCCGGCAATGGGTTGCCCTTCTGGTCGCCATCACCAGATTTGGGGAAAGCACGAATGTGGTGCCGCTTGGCAGCTATGATGGAGGTTATTTTACCATTCCATTTACGACCGGAGAGATCGTCAAGGATCGCTCGGATCTCGGGGACTTCCTGTTCCATAACGTGCTGGAATTGTCGCTCGGAGACGCCATCTCGTATATAGTAGACCTGAGCAGGTGCCTGACCGCCCCCAACGTCTGACATCCAAGTTTGAAGTAAAGGCTTGAGAACATTGCGCCAATTAGCTGGAGTGACCATCTCGACACGTCGGCCATTAGTTTGACAACCAGCTGCATAACGACGAGCAAATCGGTCGAATGAGACTGTGATAGCGGCCATTGAGGGCTGATCGCTGCCAGGCGATGCGTGAGACACGTCGCAACCAATAAAGACAGTCGGGGCAGTAAAGTTGACCGTGCCGGAGCCCTTGCCTGGGAGAGCCTGTGCAGTCGAGCCACCGAGTTTAGCATTGAACTTCATCAGGACATTAGAATAGTATTGAGCATTGCCTTTAGCGACTTGCGCGGCCTGCATCACCTGAGACACCACACCGAATCGACAGTCGCAGGACTTCTTGATTCGGAGGTAGTGTTGAGAGTTTCGATTCTGGACGAGGAACACAAGAATCTGGGGTCTTTGCTTAAACGCATTGCCAGTGGCTTGATACAGGTCGTTGACTGCAACGCCTGGGTCGTTGTTCAGCTTCATCATATGGGGCTTGGTGTTGGCGACGTCGCCACCATGACCACGATAGGCTGCCATGAAATCCATAGCAAACTTCTCTAGACTTTGCTGAGTGAAACCAGTTCGGCCCTCGAAAAAACCGATACCCCAGGACACAAGCTTGGTGGAATTATTTGTCATGAACTGCTTCGCTCGGAGATCCCATCGGCCCTTGGTGCCTGGCTGCTCGACTTTGTTCTTGAACTTGACACCAGGTGCAGGTAGAACACGAGCTTGAGTAATGAGTTGCTGGTTGCTGATTTTAAGGCCGTAATTTCTCATCATCAGATCAGTGTCCCAGCCCAGCCACGACTTGCCTTGGTTGATTGCCTCGAGTCGCTTCGCGGGTGGAGAGACAGCAAACTTGATCATATTGGCTGTTTGGTTCTCGTCGAGCTTAGCACCATATCGCTGGTGCTTCTCAAGAACCAGTAATTCGGCAGGAAACAAGACTGGCGAGCCTCGCATCTTTTTAGTCATCTGGACCAGGGGTATGTTAGGGTATCGAAGTTGGACATTGTATCGACGATTGAAGTAAACAGCAATGCTGACCATCTCATTGGATTCCTGGCCAGTTTGTGGGTTGCGCCATTTAATTCGATGAGTATTGGCATTCACATTGGCGATTTTCTCAATCTTGTAAACCTTCTCTGGCTGTATGTTTCCCTTGTAAACTGCTTTGACCATGAGTCTCTTCAAGTACTTTTCAGTTGCAGAGACTTGATTGCGGTCCTGAAACTGCTGAACTATCTGATTGGGATCTCTCCAACTGTTCTTCGCGATGATGGTTTCGAGTAAACCTTGAGGCTTCCAGAAAGTAGTGTTGGCCACATCGAGGTTGATAACCATCCTACCACCTTGAGCAGGTCGGATCGATTGGAAGATGCCACGGAACACTTCAACAGAGCTCCCGAGATCCATAAAATCACCACCGCGTTTGAAGAAAGATGCTTTCAGTGGGACTAAAGTCTGATTGTTTGACGGACCTTCTCGCATCAGGTGGTCGAGGAAGTTGATTGCCTCCAGAGCTTCATTACTGAATTGCATTTGACCACCGATATATGCTGATAACACGGCGAGATTAAGGGTTTTGGTCTGATTGATATGAATTCGGAAGCTATTCTTGCCATCCTTATCTGCTGGTCGACCGTTCTCGACATCGAGGTCAACCATCATGCGGACCGTGCCGTAAGGCCTCATGGACCAGGCCAGCTTGTTGCCGTCCCAGATGACATCTGGGCCGAGCTTGTCGTTCTTCTTTCGTACTTGAGACTGCCAGACTCTTCGCTGGACAGCACGAGTTTCAGCACCATTACCTATAATGACGTCGTACTGATAGATATTAATGCGAGGGATTTGAGTGACTTCGTAAGAATTAAGAGGCAGTTGGATAACTTTTCCCGTATCGTTGTATGAGGGTCGCTTTGCGAACTCGGTGGCATGATCGAACATGTTGTCAATGTTGTAGAAAGAGGCAGGCATGTCGACAAATCTTATAGCATCTGTGGCACGTGCTGGAGGTCCTTCTCGAGCTGGATCAAGACCTGCTGTAGCCATGGCTGGCCGCGAACTGACAGGGGCAGAAGGTGCTTGAGAACCACCTTGGGAACCGGCTTGAGATCCTGCATTTGAGCCTCTTCGAGAGCTGGGAGCAGGACCGGAAATTTGTGACTGGGCACCGGCACCGGATGCTGAACCTCGAGATGCAGGGCCATCGAAGGGTGCGACCCGGCCTCTAGCCGGGTTCATCCCTCGTCTCGCAGGATTATTGGCCTCAGGGGCCTGACCTCGAGCTTGACCGCGTCTGCGGGCAGAAGACATCTTGACTGTAAGGTATTAGCTTTGCTTCAAGATATCGGAATATTGTAGCAGGTGGTAAGATGTAGAGGTTCGTAGGGGTATTACAGTTGAAAAGAGAAGGAAGGTCAAGTGGAAAACGAAAAGTTTTCTGGTTGGCTGCAGGTGAGGTATTTATGGTTGAGTTACGGGCATCTGTGGGTGAAGATCAGTGGTGAAGGTGCTTTGATTGTGAGAGTTCGTGTGCCGGTAGAGGTTGTTTGAAACCAAATTTTGTGTGAAGAAAACAGCAGGACAGACTGGAGTCAGACCTGCTCTGTTAGATCGAAACAACTTACCAAGATGTTTGGCTGATTGACGAAGGATTTATCAAGAGATGAATTTTGACTCTTTGCAGAGTGTTGTGGTATGAGGTGGGTGCTTCAAAGAACAAGTAGAGGTTGTGAGTGGATCAAGTGACTTGGTCAAGAGACCAAGCAGGTGCGAGTGTGATGTGTGGTAATGGAAGGTGCTGAGAAGTTGGCGAGGAGGAAGGTGCTTAAGTATCCTCAAGCTGATGAAGGCTGATCGGAACACCTGCGATCTTAGGAACTTGAAACGCCAAATCTCTCTTTAGGATGACAAACGCGAGCTTGAGTGAAGGTCCATCGAGGACTGAACCTCGTAAAATGAGGTCGCTTACGATTTGAAAGTGAAGACAGATGAATAAACACGCGAAGGCTCGAGTAAGTTGAGAATGTTCCCCACTACCCATGATCACGGTTGTTCATAAACACATTCAATGCATTCTCGCACTCGAACTTCGGAAGATGTAGAACTTCGTATCAAGATAGAACTTTGAGAAAGGTTGTTCCGATAAGAATGCGAACATGTCAGAGAGGGAGACAGACGTGCAGACTCAGTAGCCAGCAGATGATGCATGGTTGCATGGATAAGGTTTCTCAGGTTGAACCGAGCACAGAAGTGGATGATTGTATTAAAGTCGCCTTTGCGCATAGCGATGCTCATCTTGAGAGCCGCATGCTGGGCTGGTGCTGACTATTGATGTGCCAAATCTCCGCTATGCTTTCCCTTGACAGATTTGGCTATTGTGATGTACATTCATTTCCGGAACCTCGTAGACCTCGCTTTCACAAAGCTCACGACTATATAGCCACAACACCTAAAATAGTGTACCGGGAGCAGGAGACACATCAGAGTACTGTCTCATGTTGATAGCGGCTAAGGATAGCGATATGGAGCTATATATTAAATTAGCCAGAGCCGTTGAATGCGTAGTCCTGCAACGTACCTGCACCAAACTGTGGTGGCGGAGCAGCTGGAGACATATATCCTTGAGGCGGCGGCACCATGAGTGGAGGATGTTGTGTGAATTGTGGAGGCCAGGCAGGAGGTGTTCCTTGTTGTGGTGTAAGAGGAGGTCGAGTAGCACCTATGGTCCCAGGAGCAGGTAAATGCTTTTCCTTTATCAACTTGTGCATTGCAACAGGATCGAACCTGACATCGGTGTACGTCGCAGCCCTTGGCAAGATGCTGAGCAGATGTACAATAGCGCCAGGTAATGGTGGTGGAGCTCGGTTCTGTACTGGCGGTAACGGTGCAGGCACTTTACGAATCTGAGTGGTCTTGAAGGGCGACTCGCCTCTAGCGATTTTTTGCGGCCGGTAGTCATCGTCGTCATCATCTGCTGGCAATGCGCGTTTCGGAGAATTGATATTGGTCATATGATTGACGACTGTCTGCATGGGTGAATCAACAACAGGGCCAGCCTCAATGGAAGGTTGCAGCACCAGCTTGGGCACTAATTGGGTAGCGGAGATAACAGGCTGAGCGTTCAGAGGATTGAATCCAGGCGTTTGGTATCGTGCAGAGAATTGTAAGAGTGCTGGATCTTCTGGGAACAGCTCTCTCATTCTGGCCTCCAACCGAATGACTTGTGACAATTCCCCGTATTTGGACTCATAGTCATGGAAGAAGAGGAACAGTGGCTTAGTCTTTGCCACTGACTCGGGCTTGTCCCTATTGTCGCCAGTAGTGAAACGACTGACAGTAGTCTCGAATACTGCTCTGGCATTAGTGACATCTTCCTTCTGGATAAGATGCTTGATATATTCTAGAGGTAGATAGGCATCATCCGGATAGAGCTTGGCACCTCGTTCCAGAATTTTCGAACCAGTTGGATCGCGATAGCAAATCCATTCGATGAGAGCTGCCTCAACATAGAATTCCGGGGTAACATGGCCACGCTTCCTTGCCTCATTGAAAATGGCTCTGAACCCAGCTACCTTCTCATTCGGCAGACCTTTGCCTTGTATACGGCGCGATGCTCGCATCAGTGCGACCCAAACATGGGAAATGATCTTGCTGAGCATATCAGACTGATTTTTCGCTTGATCTTTGACTGTCTGAACCTGCTGCTCGAGTGCAGACTTGGTTTGGTCGATATTAGGTGCAATGGGTTGATCCTGACCATTAGATTCATTGTGCTGACTTGATGCAGTTTTCTCGATTCTTTGCACTTCTGCCTCCATACGTGTCTCCGTTTTCTTAATGGTGGCATACAGGGCGTCAAGTACCTTGTCGTAAGGATCACGGACAGTCTTCATGCGATTCTTCGCACCAGAATCGTTGGTGTTGTCGTTAGTCGTGGTTGTTTCAAGCCGGTCAGCTAATTTGAAGGCGAGAAGAGCAGACTCAGGATTGGAAGCGAAGCCTTGGTTAAGAAAGAGAAGACCTTGCTCGTCACGATTATTGGCCAAGCTGAATTCAGCAGCATCATACCACATCTCTGGCCAGAACTGCAAGGCCATTAGCGCCTGCTTGTAGGTGAAAATGATGCGATCGAGATAAGCATCATTGTTCTCCGGTCTTAGCTGCAATGGATCTTCTTTCTCCCATTCAATCCATTCCTTCCACAATTTGACCTGGTTTTGGTACTCCATGTCACCAGCATAGCCCAAAGCAGGCGGCAGCCTTGGCTGAGTTGTTCTGTCAATACCGCGTGTAATGTTCTGTAATTGGGTATGGGCACCTCTAGCAGTCATGTAGTCAGGAGATCGCTCAGCCAACAACTTTCTACCATTGACCTTATTGATGCCCATCTCAAAAGCTTCATACTCTTTCCACAGCGGCAGTATCGCTGAAGTGGGCACACTGAGTGCCCTGGCATATGCCTCCCTGAGCGTGTCCATTTTCTGACTGTCTTGCCAGGTAGTTCCGCCCACTGTGCCAGCTCCAGTCTTCAGGAAGCTGATGTACTCCTGCCATAGGTTGCCAGAATCTTTATCAGTACCGACAAACTTCAGCGCGAAATCGAAGGTCTGGTTGATATTCCTATATGCAGCAGTATCGCCGGTCTGCACGTTATTCCGACGCCGAACATAATTGACATAAACTGTGAAGACTTCGACGCTGGGAACCGAGACGAGCACCTTCTTAAAGATTTGCTCCATGTGCCATTTACGATCAGCAGCTTCCTCCCAACGGAGAAATGCACACCACTGCTCAGCCTATACGTGTGTTAGCATTATCGCATTTACTAAACATCACGAGCTCACATACCGCCTGGGGAAAGACTTCAAAGTAACGTTCATAAGTCCGGCGGACTTCGTCTTCTTTGCTGCGATTCTTGTATTCTTCGATCAATTCTAGCCAAGCAGCTGTATCACCACGAGGATCATCCTTGACACGATCTTCGAGCAAGCCTACCACATCATGGGCTAAGCGCGATTTGGGCAAGACTGATGGTGTATCAGCAGGAAAAGTCTGATCTGAGGGAGCCACGCCATTGGATACAAGAAGATTCTGTGGCCGTAAAGTGTTGGAGACAACAGAAGAAGGAAGATCAGCAGGACTATCAATGGCCTGAACAGGAACAGGGGTCATGCCATTTTCTTGTGCTGGGGATTTTGAGGATCTATCAAAAGTACCCTGGTCAGTTGCAGCGGAAGTGCCACTGATTTCCTGCGGAATCGGGGTACCATAGACATCATCGTCTTGGACATCTCCGAGTGGAACATCCTGCTCATCACCATCGTCATCAAACTCGAAGCCTCCTCTTGTTCTTGGAGCGGATTGTGCAGGTGTTGATGGTTGCGACATGATCGGAGTTGCTATCGTGCTGGTCAGAGGCGCACTGCTGTAAAATCTAGGAGGAAGTGAATGTAGAGAAGACTGTGATGGGGACAAAAGAGGGTCAGACATCTTTAGTTGATATGGCTGCAACGCTGCGACCAAGACTAGAGCGCGGAAAGATGTTCAGACCTCAAGGGCCTAGTGCCCGTTGTTTAGGAAACTGGTCCACCTCACGTTGTGAGCAGCTCGTTCCAGTTATAGCCGTCCTTTGTTAGATATACTTATGGCACAAGACCTCCTCAGCTGTAATATCTCGTGCGCACACGCTTCGAGACCTAGCCTGTCAATTTGTTCTCGTTATGCACGAGCACGAAAAACGGTGCGATCCTGGAATGGCACGACGAAGTAGGATCGTGGAAGGAGATGAAGATGAACGCGATCGTGAACTGTTGAAAATTGGTTTGGAAAGAGAATGGATTGCAGTCTCGATTGCGAACGGTAGCGAAGAACGAGCCGCAACGTCTCCACATACACTAGCCGTGGTAAAGCCGAGTATTTATCAGGTCACCTGATTAAACGCGACGCGAGCACTTCCAGGTCAGGCGCGACCGTGATGGTAACCAAGGGTTCTGGTACGTAGCGCGGACTGCGCTTCTGCTTGACAAACAACACTTCCTACAAATCCCTAACACTTTCAAGGATTGCACGCAGTGCCAAAAGAGGTAGTATACATCCACTTCAAGTATATCCTAAGTATACCTTGAAAGAACTATCACCTTCTTTACAGCTACACGTCTTCACGACTTCAAATTGTAGGAGGCTAGTCTTCTCATCATGTCGGTCGTATCGTTGCTTGGAGTGAAAATTCTCAACAATCCCGCAAAGTTTTCGGACAACTACCATTTCGAGATCACATTCGAGTGTCTCGATCAGCTACAAAATGGTAGGCAATGAAGTTGTCTTTTCTACGTAAACGTTCGCTAATTGCTGCCAGATCTGGAATGGAAGCTCATATACGTAGGCTCAGCGACCTCCTCTGAGCACGATCAGGAACTGGACTCGTTACTCGTTGGTCCAGTACCCACAGGCATCAACAAGTTCATGTTCGAGGCAGATGCACCAGATCTGAAAAGATTGCCTTCTTCTGAGCTTCTTGGTGTGACTGTGATCCTTCTAACATGTTCGTACGATGGGAGAGAGTTTGTAAGAGTTGGATACTATGTCAACAATGAGTACGACAGCGAAGAGCTTCAAAACGAGCCTCCAGCAAAGCCGGTTGTTGAACGCATTAGACGAAACATTCTAGCTGAGAAGCCTCGTGTTACCAGGTTCGCTATCAAGTGGTAAGTGCATGTTCCCGTTTCACTTGTGGCAGCAATCTGACCATGTGTAGGGACTCTGAAGACTCTGCGCCTGCTGAATATCCTCCCGAGCAACCTGAAGCGGACACTCTCGATGATGACGGTACAGGTTATGGTGCTGAAGAGTCGGAGATGCAGGCGGCACTCGAACGCGAGCTAGCTGAAGAAGAAGCAAAGGCGAACACTGAAGACGTCGAAGAAGACAACAAGATGGAGGATACAGATGACAAGGACGATGCCGTAAGCGAGACTGGCAGCGAAGACCTCGAAGCCGAGAGTAGTGATGAGGACGAAGACGATGAGGAAGAAGAGGTCGGCGAAGGTGACGAAGACGTCGAGATGGGCGAGGGTGATGAGAAACCAGCCACTACCGGAACAAATGGTCAAGCCCATGCTGTGCCCGCCAAGCAGGAGGTCATGGCTCACTGATGAGCTCAAGAGCGTGCTTGCTGAAGCCATTGCTAGGTGTGACGACTACGATAGATGAAGCGACGACTTGTGGGAAGCGACCGCATGGACATGGTTGTTTTGGCATACTGGTATATTGAATAGTGGCTTTTTGTGCTGGATTGTGCTGTTGGAGCCATTGGAGGAAGTCATTAATTGTTTAGCATTTCCAGCTGGTAAATAGGTAGCTGCTCGTGACAGGAATTGTGCAAGCAGAATACTGCAGAAGCTGGACTTCGTCATGCTTTTCTCGATCACAGTCCCCACTACACCCTGGTTGCACACGATATATTCACCACGCGATTCGCTCCAACAAGACATACTGTACACGGGATTTGATCTTCTCAACGCCTCCAGATTCACCTGGGATACCTATACTCCCGAATACACTGCGGTAACGTTTCTGCCGCACTCGATCCTCTGCTCCATGCTCACGGTCCTCCCATCCTTGACCTTAACATTATGTCTCGGCGTAATATGAAACCTATGCTCCTCTTTCCGTCCCGCTTCAATCTCGGCAGCCATGTCCAACGGCCGAATATACAACGGGGTGCTCACGTTATTCCTCTTGCCCGTGCCTAACTGATAGAACTCATTTCCACCCCACCAGACCACATCGGCACCCCAATTCGTGGTATCTTCGCTAGACTTCTCATTCGTGTCGAGAAAGGTAATGTTGCTGAGTATGGCGCCGGCATGTGTGCTGCCTACGCTAATGCTGTGGATGCGGATGGGAACTACTTGGTTGGTATTCTCGTCGTATTCGTTGAGGTTAGAGAGAGAAGGTATTTTGGTTGGAACGCCCTGAATGTGCGTCCAGCGACCGTTGCCGAGCGCGCCTTTGATGCCTTGCCCGCAGGACCAGGTGTCAGCTGTTACTCGACCGAGTTGTCTGACTTCGTTTGGACTCTCGTTTGGTCCTGCAATACGGGTGGCGTCGATGGTGAAGAAACTATTTAGACCACCTGCTGAGATACGTGTGACTTTGTACGTCTGGTTCGTGCCCTGGTAAAGGCGATTGATGGCGACTAGTGAAGGGGTATCCACAAAGGGTGCTTCAGAGCTTGGATCGAAGCCCAGCTGACCGGAAGAGTTGTCGCCGAAACTAAAGACTCGGCCCTCCTTATCAACGACGACAGAGTGGTAGTCTCCAGCTGCAATCTTGTCAATTTCAAACCCCTTGAGAGTTGTGACTTCGTGGCACTGGTCGTAGGCACCTGGCGGACGAGTAGACCAGTTCAGACCTGGGACGCCTAGCTGACCACGAGCAGGGAAGTCCTGGCTTCCTGACGCAGCGGAGAAGAGGCGACCGGAGTTTGTGAGCATCAGGACATGTTCGAGGCCGCCAGAAATAGCAGTCACTTTCTCGCGGCCACCAAGGGTCGAGGGTTTGATGGTGCGATAGCTGATAGGTGAGGTACTGCTCCAGCCTGGAATCCACGAAGATTCGGTGGGTTTGCTGCCAGAGCTTTGCTCGGCTTTCGAGGCTGAGATAGAGTAGACAGTGCCATCCTTCGACAGAGCGATAACACGATCTCGTGATATGGAAATCTGCTGGATGTCCTTCCCCTTCAAAGTGACCTGCGGCTGAGTTGAATCCTCCGAGAAGTCTTTGCCCCATTGCACCAAATCTCCATTTTCGAGAACCGCTGCCCCAAACTGTCTATCGAGCTTGATGTCCCTAAGCAGGACATCATCAAAGAAAGGTATGCGTCTTGGAGTTTTGATATAAGCCTCGTCTGAATCAGGAGCAACCACTCTGCCAGTATTGGAACCCCAAGCATATACGCCAGGGTTCTCCCAGCTCCTTTTGACTTGCAGATGCTGCGAGCTGATTGCATCTCTGTTCTGTTCCTTACTCACTCCCTTCTTTTTCTTGAGCTTCTCGACAACAGGTGCAGGTGGTTTGTCGTCTTGCGCTTCAGCTTCCACCGGCCTCGAACTTGCGGAATAAACTAAAGCGACTGTCGCTGCCGCTGCTAGCACAGCTGCTGATTGCGTCGTCCAAGGCGTATGCGATCGAGACCTTCCAGCACTTTCATGATATGCTCGCTTCGCTGATCTTGGCCTAAGTGGTCTAGCTGCAATTATCGTAGTCCTGGTAGTGCGTGGTACAGATCGCAGAGCATTTGAACAAGCAAAGTGCGATGCCATCCTGGTGGTATTGTCGTTACCCACATGCAGAGATGATGCTCAAACTTTGAAGTCAGGTCTTGGAACCTGCTAGACAATGTGAAAGAGCAAAGGTTGACCTTGTGCTGGTGCAGACGAAAGAGCCAGTCCAAAAAGCCCTACCCACGAGTCGTGGACGTCATATTTTGTTGTTCGGCGTAACTGTTCCCATATTCACGATCGGCCAAGTTGAGTCGGATTGGGATGGAAAACTAATTGGCCGTCCCCAACTTTTTCACTTCGCCAGATTCGGGGGGCGGCCAGTGTTCCAGGAGACTGCCTATTACCAAGTTCTGGGCATACCTAACCTGCAATGCAGACTCTCCGACAAGCGGCCAATTGTCATTTCCCTGCCCGCACACCATCTTTCAGTAGAAACCACACTGGTTGCAGACCAATCGTTCAGATTGGCAGCTTATGCTGCACTTTATGCAGATTAACGGTTGGTACATGCTGCCACTAATATGCTAAGAACATATAGCGACGAGATACAGTAGTGACAAGTGCAGAAGATGCGCCGTATACTTAGACTTGAGGACGACCGCAATGGCCTTACAGGAAGGAGGGACAGATATTCAGGATACACTGGACCTTGAAGATGAGTTGAGACTACTACAGATAGACGAAGATGCGATCCTCGAAGCCAGCCTCAATGAGTACCAGCAATATCTCAACCAGCTTGACGCTGCCCGCGCTCACCTGGATGAACTCCTTACATCCACAACCGCAACCCTAGACCAACTAGCAGATATATCGAATGCCTTCAAAACGGTTGACCAGCAAACAGCTGTCTTCCAGAAACAGTCTGCAAGTATATTGGAGGAACAGCGGCGCACTGAAAAGCTGGCAACAGATTTAGCTGAGAACCTCAAATACTATGAGCCGCTGGAAAGAATTACCAGGCGAATGAATGCTCCTGGCGCTGGGAATTTTGTCAGAACTCAGGATTTTCGGGATATGCTGCTTACGCTGGATGAATGCATTGACTATATGCAAACGCATCAAAAACAAAAGGAAGCCGAAACATATAGGTCAAAATACAAACAGTTACTTACACGAGCCATGACATTGGTGAGAAACACTTTCATGGCAGGAGCAAAAAATGTTACGGACGAGGTTGCTAAAAGGATCAACGACAAACAAAACCATGTCAACGATACTCTTCTGTCTTCTCTGCTATACGCGAAGTTCAGAGTCGATGCTCCTCTCATGAAGGACTTGGGACTCGAGATCCAGAAGCGTGCCGTACCACCAGCCGATGCTGAGGTTGGCACAGAGGGTGAATACCAAAGTCTTATGAATGAACTGCATCAAGCCTTCGCTGCATGTCGTACGCGCCTTGTCCTGCCCATCGTTCAGCAGAAGATTACTGAGATCGCCACGATACCAACCTCGAAAGACCTGGTTGCTTTTGCTAAATCTAGTATCACATACGTGCGAGGTGTCTGCCTGGACGAGTTCGAGTTATGGGAGGAATGGTTTCATGGTCAACGAGGTGTCTATGATTTCCTTGAGGCACTTTGTGAACCGCTGTTTGATCAGCTGCGACCCAGGATCATCCACGAAACCAAACTATCTAAATTATGTTCGCTAGTGACGTTGATACAGACAAGATACATCGATAATGACGATGAAGACGAGCCTCCTGACCCTAGGCAGCTGGACTTCGCAAGTCTTGTTCAACCAGCCCTGGAGGATGCTCAAACACGACTGGTTTTCAGAACATTAGCACTTCTCAGAGATGAGATAGAGTACTACAAGCCCACGTCAGAAGATCTTGATTATCCCAGGCGTGTATCGGAGCCACCAACACCAAAGTCAGCAGCCCCGCTCTCAGGTCGGAAGACTTCAAATATAGCGGCTGCAGAAGAAGACGATTCAGGAGACGAGAACACGCCAACGATGTGGTCACGCAACCGTATGCTTGAATTTTCCTATCCTACATTACCTAGAGCTATCCGTCTGCTCTCTAGAATATATCGTCTGGTCAATTCCTCTGTCTTCGACGACCTCGCTCACCAAATCGTGCACTCAACCACACAGTCATTGGTCAATGCATCGAAACAGATAGAGAGCAAATCATCTCTCGCTGATGCTCAACTCTTCCTGCTGCGTCACCTCCTTCTGTTGAAGTCCCAGATAGTGGCGTTCGATATTGAGTACGTTGCACCAGATGTCCAATTCGACTTCTCAGGCATGACAAGCACATTCTACGAGATCAGAGATCGTGGCGGGCTCTTTAACCCACGCTCCTGGATGCGCTTGTTCAGTACTGGTGGTCTCTTGCCACGAGTAGTCGAAAATATGCTCGATGCTAAAGTCGAGCTCGATGGGCAGTTGCGACTAGTTATCAACGACTTTACAGCCAATTTCACCAACGCCATGACATCAGACCTGAAGTCCAACCGCAAAGCCGAAGAAACTACAGCTGCTGTACGTGAGAAAATTCAAAAGGAAGTGCCAATCCTTCGAGCAAAATTAGTACATTACCTCGACGATCTACGCACGAGAGAAACGCTGGTCGCAGCAGTCGAAGACCAGGTCGTACAAACATATGAAGCCTATTTCGAAGAATATGCTGGTAAAGCTCAGGGCCAAAGTGGGAAGGGAAAACCTAACGGCGTTGTGCCTGGGAAAGCGAAGATATCTAGGAAGGGCAAGGGAGCAGCCGATGATGTTTGGGACGCAGATACATTTGCGGATTGGAGTGAAAGCGTATTTAATGTTTTGCTTCCGCAGCAGCACGAGGAAGACGCCAGTCCTGATACCAGGAGTTTGTCGAGAAGTGGGAGCTCGTGATAACTCTAGGGGAGCTATAGGCTCCTACCAATTTATGATCTTTATTTAAACTTCTTCCTTCCACTCCTCCTTTTTATCCGTCAGCTGTTTACTGACTTGTGACCACGAAGCAGGCGAGTGTTTTGTCACCTCAGTCATTGAGTGCGGTGCACAAAGGAAATCTAAATGGTTGAGAATGAGTGGCAATGAAAGGTTCTTAGGGTCTAGGGTTTGCAGGACAATGGACAGCCTGATCCGCGATAGGTAAGGGCAACGACCTACCAATGCTGGGGGTGGTGAAGGTGAGGCTCCAGTTCCCCGAAGAACATTCATATCAAGGATGGAACAGTGTTGGACGAACATAGCAAGTCACTGAGCACTAGAGACCAAGAAGAGTCGTTATCGCATAAAAGTGGTTAGATCAAGGTGCATGCAAGAGGACGCAACGTGATAATGTAGTTATGATACACAATCAAAGTATTCGAGTGAGAACAATATGACGAGTCACTCTACTGACTTCGAATTCTACCATTGTTTAGCTGGCAAGCTCATCCCATATCATTACAGTCCCAGAAGGCCATGTAGATGCTCCCAAGCCTTAGCTGACAATCCGTCATATTCACCCTTGATCTTCTTTTCTCTTCTTGCAACACGTTGCGACTCTTTAGACGTGTCATCAGCAGGACGTCTCACAAGCTTTTGCTTACCCGCTACCGCCTCGAGAAGACAGTCTCGACCGCCCAGATAGCGCCACAACTGCCAAAGCTCTTGCGCGACGAAAAGGCTGTTTGGTGCAGTGGACTTGACGATTATCATGTAGTCAGTCTCATGCAAACCGAACTTCATATCTGCTCCTTCTTGATAAACTACCGGGTGTGATTGAATGCAATTTCGTGACAAGATGGGTCGGTGGCTTTGCAACAGCTTTTTGAGAACAGGATGGAAGCTTTTACCAAGCATTGCTTGTAAGTTGAAAACAGGAAGACGAAGATCTCCAATGGTCAACATTGGTGGTAGGTATTCTCCACCTATGGGTTCTTCGTCTATTTTGACAGCTTCACCTGGTTTAGCCTGTGACAGACCTTGTAGCGCTGAGGATGGTGGACCCAAGTGTATGACAATACTGCCAGGAAGCCAAATGCGAGGATCACTCTTGTTGAAGTGATTCGGCGGAGGCTTAATACTGATCTCACCAGGTTGAACAGCGATTGGAGGTCGAGGATCTCCCTGGTTACCTTGCCGCAATCCACCACCAGAGATAGCATCTGGAGATTCGATATCGCCCATGTCGTTCCAGAAATCTTGCCTCTCCGTGATAGCTACCTGGAAGATGGTAGGATCAAGGGTCAGCTTGTCAGGCCATTCGAGACACGTAAAAAAGCTTCTTCCACTGTCGATCACCCTCTGCTGTCTCCAGAACAGCGACTCCAATACTATCAATACTCTCTGTCTCATAATATCAGACAATCGCTCCGCGATATCTGGCTGCCATTGGACCCTTTCAGGCTCGAACTCTCTCGGGGGCTTCTTGAATAAATCGTCATCCAGCTCGCCCTGTTTCTCCTTGAGTTCCCAGTATTCTTTAGAAGCGACTCGATAACTCGTCATCTTTGAGGACTTTTCGAACCATCCGACGGGATGCAGTCTCTTCATCACCGCTCCCTTCTGTGTCCTGGTTGATTTTGTCTGTGTGTCACTGACCACAAATGAATCGGAAAGTACTTCGATCCCAAGCTTGTAAGGTATCAGTCGCATCACCTGTCCCATGTCTTCCTGCGCACGAAGCTGCATGGCGTGCCTTCTAAGACCGCGACCAGCTCTCAATTTGAGATTTTCTAGATCCGCCAATGCGTTCGGCATGGCGTAGATTTGTCCGTCTTTGGGATGCTTGACATGAGCAAAGTCCACAAGAAGTGGTGTAGGCAGACGAGTTCTAGATGCTCCTTCTAACCTCATGGGACGTGCTAGCATAACAGCCCAAGGATTGTTGGCTAACCGTTGCTTTTCATCTGTTTTTGGTTGGCGTTTTGGTTGACGGCGCTGTACTTTCATAGCTCGTTCAAGGGGAGAGACAGGTAGCTCATCCCGTGATATCCACGGCTGTCTCTCTTGTTCGTCCCGTTGCTGCGTCCTCAGCTTGTCAGCCATATCCTTGAATTTTGCTGCCAACCCAGTCAAATCAGGCCTGCTCTTCCTCTTCGTCCTCGGAGCTGTAGAGCTGTCATTTTGTCTCGGTGTATCCGCAGCTGTTCCGACAGTGTCCTCAGTCGATGCCTTTACTTTCCGTATCATGCGACCTCGTGCTTTTGGTGATCTTTCTGGCGTAGCATTTTGAGCTTTACTCTCACCAGCGGGTTCTTCTTGGCTTATCTCTCGGTCGTCCTCGGGTTCATTGCAGAGTTGGCTCGATGTATGAATTTCGCGTCGTGACTTCCGGTCCTGATCATGAAAGCTTTTCGGATGAAGGAATGGTAGTGGCTCTGCAGGGTGACTCGTCCCTGCCAATAGTTGGCGAAATACTCGGTATCTCCATGTTGAATATGTCTGTGAGCATGTCACACTGCTGCGCATGCCTCAATTGCGATATTCAACTGGAAGCAACCGTCGATATGCAGAGCCAGAAGATTGGCATGCATCGGCTCATTCACGTCCGAACGAGAGTTGGAGGCATGCGATTAGCGTGTTTTTTCGTGGTCTATTAATTGCAGGCAAATTCCATTAACGCTTGATTCCACCTTCGAAAACTTTTTACGATACCGAAATCTATGCGTCACTGATTTGCTCATCCCTAACTTTTGGCAAGTGAGATCTTGCCATGGAATGAGTCATGGCATTCATATTACTGATAGCCAAAATTACTCTCTAAATTACGCACACACATCTGCCGTAAGTACCTCGATCCATTTCCAATGGACTTAATGCTGATTCTATTCAGCGCGTGGCACAATTGGTCAGCGCGTGAGACTTTTAGAGACCTCTAATAGTTATCTCAAGGTTGAGAGTTCGAGCCTCTCCGCGGGCGTTTCTGGTCGACAGAATCGTGATTCTTTTTGCTTTTTTTTTTTCTTCCTGTCCTTCCTTCGTGTGAAGCAATGCGGTGACACTGATTTCTTTCATCCGAGACGACCGGACCAGCACTCTTGCTCGTAGGGTTTGCAACACTAACGATAATGGCTAGAGAATTGACACTTCTTGAGAAGATACAATCGCCGTCAAACACAGACGTTACTTTGCCGTTGTGAATCGCCACTGAAATGTTTACTTCGTTTGGTTTGCTACTGATGTACTTCCAGCAAGAACGACTGGGACAATGGATATACCAAAGCTTCGAGCTTCGGAGGGTGAGCCGTGGATGCTCTGTTGTAGCAGCTCAGGGGTTCAGGCAACACTTAAGCAGTTTCTAGAAGTAACAGACCTACTACTGGAACGAGTTCAGCTCAACTCAACCCATCTCTTTCGTGCCGATATCATTCACGACAGTACTGGTCAGCTCGAGACTCTAGCTCAAAAAGAGGCAAAGTGTGACTTCAGTTCTTCCAGCCAAACGAGTGTGGGTGTGCAAGACCATCACTGTCTCAGCCTTACACCACCACCACTTCAGGATTATCAGCATCAAAGGACTGTGGTGCGACGACTTATACCAAGGAAGCCTCAGCTTGACAACCCGCTCGAACAGTCATGTTTTGTGTACAAAGGTGGTGGAGATACTGATGAAGCTTTGGTTGTTTACGTTCCACATTGCAGCGAGACAGACATGCCATGGTATCATCCCAAGGTCAAGGCTCTGTGCTACCGTTTCATTCAAGGAGACACCGATCAAGCCACTCTTGAAGTCTACTGCCAGCCGTTGCCCAACACTGATAGCCCCCTCCCAGACAGACTCCAAAGGACATTTCAATCCCTCCTTAGCACAATGGTTCGTCTCCTAAAGCTGCCGTCAAAGTCAGACACTGCAAAGCATGCTCAACAGCCTAATGGCAAGCTCGACCCCGTCAACATGCCACTTACAGCCTCGACACTCAAAGACACAATCCTTCCACAGCACATAGTACAAAACACCTACACCAGCCTCAAGGAGACATACGCATCTGACCTGATCAGCCGCTGGGTTGAAAAGACCGAACCATCAAAACACGTCTTCGAAGACCTCTCCATCGCCGCTTTCCTGGTAGAACTATGGACCACGACATACGGCTCCAAATCCTCATTTCCTGGCTTCGTAGACCTAGCTTGCGGCAACGGAGTACTTACGTATATCCTCGTTAGCGAAGGCTGGCAAGGACGTGGTTTTGACGCCAGAAGACGTAAGACGTGGGAAGTATTAGGGATTGATGGCACACACCTCGAGGAGAAGATATGCATACCACGCCCGTTTCTCGATTGTGCTCATCCAGCTGATTTGGAGGACATGGATGTGCTTGATGGTATATTCTCAGCCGGCACTTTCATCATCTCAAACCACGCTGATGAATTGACGTGCTGGACACCTCTGCTTGCCGCATTGTCCTCGCCGACTTCACCGTTGCCGTATTTAGCCATACCCTGTTGTTCGCACGCACTGGACGGTTCGAGACATAGATACACACTCAAGGAAGTCGCAGCAGGTCTGGGAACCAACCATCAACGAATTGACGAGAAAACTGACTCACAGAATGATGGAAATCCAGCCACAGGTGACCTGAAAAAACTGCGCGCAGCCAAGACCAACACCGATACCTCCACGTACGCCTGCTTAACGCGCAAAACAGCAGCACTAGCTCAAGAGCTCGGTCACGGTGTCGATATCACTCTCATGCGCATACCGAGCACACGAAATATCGGCATAGTCGGAAATTGTAAACGAATAGCACGAAGTCGATCGCAGGACAAGCCACGTGTTGGGAATGGAGAACAAGATGTCGTGGATGAGTTGCAGAGTTTAAACCTGCAAGACAACAACGACACTGGCTCGAGCACTCCCAGAACGTCACAGGAGACGATCAATGCCATTCTACAACGAGAGTGCTCTCTAACAGGCGGTCTTCAGACCTCTGCACGCATTTGGATCGAGAAGGCGAAGAGGTTGCAAGGCGGACAGGGGAGAGGCAAGGTCAATTGGAATGGAGCTCAGCCTCCTCATGCATAGGGAGAGATTTGGCAGTCTGCCATGCTCGAGGAAAACTTGGTCCGGGACAAGTAGCCGCAAGGTTGGCTTTTTTTTTTTTTTAAATCGTGTTTCAATTCTTGATAATAGTATTTGTTTCTTAATTTTCTACATGTCCAGTATAATAGATAGTGGATTAGCTCGGTGTCGTTGTTCGCACAGTATGACATGAAATCTCGCAATCGAGTGTTAATCTTGACAGTTCTTGTTTGTGGCAGGGTGCTGTGAATCAACCAGATCCCAACCTAGCCAACGCGATATGCGTCAATGACAATCTCTTGTGCCCTTCGACTCCCGCTTCCCAGCCACATACCATTGGTCAAGAATGCATATCTTTCGTCGCCAGTCTCTAGCTCAATGTTCACACGAAACTTGTACTGGTTCGCCGGCACGGTGTCTGCCTCTTCAGGATCAGTGTGCACTTTCTCCAGCACATCTCTCGGCCCAGCCAGCCATCCTTTGTATTTGACCAAGATGAATGCAGGTGGGTCGTCGCTAGTCTGGATTAGGTATTGAGCGTTCAAACTGGTAGTGAAGTCCTTGTAGGTGATCTGCGCATCTTGACCGCCAGGAATAACAATGCCTTTACCCCATCGACCAGCCCACTGGCCTCCAATGAAGGATATCCAGTTTCTCTGACCACTGTTCGTGCCTGTGCTTGACCCAATCGCTACTTTTGGATTCAGCTTGACACTCATGCGGAAATCTAGGTCGAGAGCGGGCTGTGGGAGAGAAAGAGAGCGTGCAACCTCTCCTTCGTCAAAGCGATGAAGAAGATTGTTCGCTGGTATCGAGTCTTTCATGACATTGAGGTAGGTTGGACACTCGAGAAGGTGCTGGCGTTGGCGAGAAGTGTTCTTAGCCCTAATCTGGTTGCAGTATATACATTGTACCGAGAGGCATTTGTCGGACTCGTTAGCTCGGAACTGGTCGGATGTTAGATGAGTACCGTATAGCACGTCTCGGTCTTACCTCAACAAATGCACTATGAACGTCCTCAAGTGGAGGTGCAGGTATATTACTACCTCCTGGTGTCAGCTTGGGCGTTGGCTTTGGCTTAGCTGATTGTCCACGAATTGGTGTTTCAGAGCCATTCAGTGTAGGCGGCAAGGACTGTCTACCCTGCATCGGTGTGCCATTCAGGGCAGCAGTAGCCCCGTCGAGCGCATTTGCAGCGCCATTGATAGAGAAAGCCGGGCCATATCCAGCAACGTCAGAGGACGATGATTCAGGTCGAGGCGGCGGTGGTTGGGACGGACTCTGGTTCACCTGAGAAGAGGGATGGTTGCGCAGTCCGAGACATTCTAGCAGATGTTGTTTCTGTCTTGATGTGTTCTTTGCGCGGATCTGATGACAGTAGATGCACTGCACTGACAAGCACTTGTCATCGGGCTGTGGAGAAGTATGGTATTAGCTGTTCATTTCGTATCATACTGTATGGTATTGTGCTTACACTCGCTCTATACTCCACAAAGGCACTATGCACGTCCTGGTCGGTAGCCCGGCCCATCATTGGAACACTTTAAGAAGAGCTGAACAAGAAAACTAACGTCACGAAGGAAATCAGAGCTTTGCAAACACGAGAAGAAGAATGAAGAGACTGATATCATTGAACGATGGCAAGAACGAGCTGAAAGCCCTGGCAGTCCGGGCTAGGGTACTCGTCGCGAGAGTGTTACGCGTTGTAGCCAGTTGAGACTCGTGGAGGTTCTTCTAGGCGGGGTTGGGCGCTCAGAAGACTCAAATGACGGGTCTGACAACCTGTTTCGCACCTGGGCAAGAAAGAAAGCTAGATGCCTGAACGCCTTACCTTGTTTTAATACCAGCTCCGCCGAATGATTGACCAAATGTGTCCCACCTACTAGTAACCTTTTATGCATCCAACACCAAAAAAATTGACGGTGATCACATTTGTTACGCGGTCGTGATATCTTCTATTGGAGGGAAGGCTGAAGTGTCTCATATGCTTTATATATACTATCTTACACAGCCTCGATGTAGCGTTTAATCTCCCAGTCTGTGACCGCCTCATCCCATAACCTCAATTCGTGTTCCCTCGTTCCGCCATAATGCTCGACAAAGTCATCACCAAAGACCTCTCTTGCGACACTATGCTTGGCCATGAATTTGGCCGTGCTTTCCCTCAAACTCTTCGGCAACCGTTCGCCCTTGTCGCCCGAGCCACCAACCTCTTCTCCTTTACCAAGTGGAGGTAGCTTTATTTCAAGCTTTTTCTCGATGCCTCTCCATCCTAGTGCAACTATAGCCGCAAGTACTAGAGATGGGTTGGCATCTGCACCGCATGTCCTTATCTCGAACCTTACCGCTTTTGCTGACGCGGTAGGAGGTGCTATCAGCCTAATTGAGGCTGCTCTGTGCTCTAAGCCCCAAGACACAGTGACTGGAGCCCAGAAATTCTCGACTAGGCGTTTGTACGAATTGACTGTCGGCGCAATAATTGGCATTATGTCAGGTAGGCCATCGAGTAGGCCTGCGAGAAACTGTCTGCCCATGTCGGAGAGATACTCGACATCTTTGAAGGGCGGATTCGGGTCTTTCTCACCTCTGTAGAAAAGGTTCTTGCCCGACTTATCAACAATAGAACAATGCATGTGTCCGCTGTTTCCCGGTAAACCTTGCCTCGGCTTCGCCATGAAACAAGGTGTTATACCGTGCTTACTACCAATCGCCTTGACCACATACTTATACAGGCTCGCTCTGTCAGCCATCTCGGTGATCTCACCGAACTGCAGGGCTGCCTCGAATACACCAGGGCCAGACTCGGTATGCCATCCCTCAATATCGCATCTAAATCGTTCGCACGCCTCGAAAACGTTGTAGAACCAATCTTGATTGTGCACGGGGTCGATCAGTGAGTAGCCGAACATGCCCTGAGTCAGGTGTGGTAGAGATTGGGTGTCGTTATTCTGCAGATATGGCATAGTCGTCGCAGACGTGAGCCCAGTTGTTTGTAAGGAAGGATCTTTGGGTGCTCTGAATGTATAGAATTCGAACTCTGCTCCTGCCATGGCACCATAGCCAGCCTTCTGTAGCTTCCCTACGGCATTCCTCAATAAGCTTCGTGGACAGGCGCATATCGGCTCTTGTGTATCTGGATCGTAGAAGGAGACGAGGAAGAACGGTACGTTATATTCCCAAGGTATCCTCCTGTAGCTCTGGAGATCGATTTTGGCGATGAGATCTCTGTACCCATTCTCGGCATTACTAATCTTGAGCTCGCGGAAGTAGGTCATATCGTGCATGTCCCAGCCAAAGACAACACTGCAGAAACCGAAGCCATCTTTAGCTACGGAGAGGAACTTCTTCTTGGAAACAAGCTTGCCACGGAGGATACCTGGATCAGTCAATCACTGTGCATCGACATAAAGGGTGCGCACTCACCATCGACGTCAAGTCCTGCAAGCTTCACCTTGGTATCGTTCGCAAGCGCGGTTTCGATGTTTTCGAGTGTTAGGTCTTGTGACTGAACGTCTTCACTCTCATCTGGTTTTGGACTTAGTATATTCTGCATGGTTCCAGTGAGTCAACAAGATATGCGCGTGCAGTCTCGTTATCAAAGCATAGCAGAAAGCAATGGGCACAAGATAGGTATACAACACTGCAGTGATCAGCTAGTAACATCGTGTGGAGTCAAGGCGTCCTGTCAAACTCGAAGCAACAGCTCCATCGCCCCGCCAACGAGACTCTGGAAAAGCTCTGGACTTGTGCCTAGACATTCAGTTCTTTGGCACGCGTAGGCGAGCTTTCAAGCATTCGGACATGAGACAAGAAGCTCGATTGGAGAACGAATGCAGGTATTGGTTCCGAGACTACCAGAAACAGTGGTTAGTGCTGTGGAAGAGCTTCTTTAGTTGCATGGTCGAACTTGCTTGAAGGGGAATCTGACGTATCCCGGGGAAAAGGCACGACGAAGCAGGACATCGTGAATGTGTTTTGTATCACATTGACTTTGAATTTCTTCCTGTGCTCTCTGTGTCCGATTCCCTCTTCAGGTAGTATCTGAGCATATCGTAAAGATGAAGGCAAAGCGGTCCTCTTTTTGTCATCACAATGGCAAACGCTCGATAATTGCAGCGTCATCAGTGCCCCACCTATGGCGATAAGATCTGAAACGCACGATAACACACGAAATGTGACTCTCGACATACCACCGTCGAGGCAGATATTCGGATTGCAACATTGCAGCAAGCTGGTCGCACTGAATTGATCAAGGAACACGCCTCGACTCTCCTGGTGATCCCGGCTGGGTAACGTAACCATAAACGGATATCCAGCTCACCGCCCTTGGCAGGCACCCAAAGCACTACACAGCGTCGGCTGAGGACAAGTCTTCACTTCCGCCTCATCAATCACCACACCAGAACATCATCAACATGGTCAATCGACTCCAAGACAAAGTCGCCATCATAACCGGTGCAGCTGGCGGTATCGGGCTCGAGACTACCATCCTCTTCGTCCGTGAAGGCGCTAGTGTGCTCATGCTCGACATCTCAGAAGCAGCCCTAGAACGTGCTCTCGCAAAAGTCAACGAACTCTGCCCTGATCTCAAGTCCTCCAACAATTTCGTCAAAACCAAGAAATGCGATGTCTCCAAGGAAGCAGATGTACAAGCCGCAGTGGAAAGCATGGACGAACACGGTGGCATCGATGTGATGTTCAACAACGCTGGAATAATGCATGCCGAAGACGATGATGCCATCAACACCGCCGAAAAGATCTGGGATCTGACTCAGGCCATCAACGTCAAGGGCGTCTGGTTCGGATGCAAGCACGCTGTATTGTCGATGCGACGGCACAAGAAGGCACGAGGTAGCATCATCAATACTGCATCTATGGTTGCTCTGGTTGGAGCTGCGGCGCCACAACTCGCATACACAGCTTCAAAGGGCGCTGTACTCGCGCTTACAAGAGAGTTGGCAATGGTACATGCTCGCGAGAACATTAGGTTCAACTCTTTGTGTCCGGGACCGCTCAATACACCACTGCTACAGGATTGGCTCGGCGATGATCTTCAGAAGAGATATCGACGTGAGGTGCATTTCCCAATGGGCCGGTTTGGAGAGGCTATCGAGCAGGCAAATGCTGTAGTGTTCTTGGCTAGTGACGAGAGCAGTTTCATCCTCGGTCAGGACTTTGTGGTTGACGGGGGCATGACCAAGGCTTATGTTACTGGAGAGGGACCACCCACTGCATCGCCGAAGAACAATGCTACCTAACAAGAGGTTGTTCTGACTGCTCGGGACTACCAAAGAGGTTCAGCATACTCTTCCTTTCGGCAGGATCTTCAAGATCAGAGGTTGTACAGGCAGGGTTCAGCAACCACGATTGCGATTGACTAGCATTTTACAGCATGCGAGCACGGATGACAGGGACAGCGGGAATAGATTGAGCATACTAAACAGAGACGCAGAGTAAAACATTTTTATGACAAGGTATGCAGGTTTTTCACCGTAGCAATACAACTCAATGATACTAGTCGGGAGCTGACTACGAAGGAGCAGCAGCTTGCGAAGGCAGGCGATGTGCTTGCCATCCACGCTCTTGCTTCTTTCCCGGAATAGTCGCTACATCGACTTTTGCACTCGTGCTTTCATTTTCAATCTCTCGAGTAGCCATGATAGCATCTCGTATTCTTGTTTCTGATATTTTTCTTCCGAGTATGGCCATCGCCTGTGGAATATGCGGTCCATTCGCACCACCTAGTAAAGCCCAGCGCAAGAACTGATACAGCCTCTGCTTCAAGAGAGCTGTGTTGTGCTGCGCTTCTTCAGGGCCCCTTCCTAGATTGACTGCAAGCTCCTTGAAATGATGACTAATCTGCGCCTCATTCCAGTATTCCTCTGGAATGAAGAAAAGCGTGCTGACGGCGACACGAAGATCTGGATACAGTACCACTTCAGGAACCACGTCTTGCAGCGGCTTCCTACTCCTCAGGCTGTCATCTGTGAAAAAGAGTTGCAAATCTGAAACGAACTGAGAAGCATCTCGATAAGGTATTGAATCGACGTGAAGCAAAACAGCCACCACATCCTGCAACTTGCGTCCACCGAGGAAGTTCATAATACTTCCAGCACCGTGGACATTCAATAGCTCGACTGAAACATCTCGGATCATCTGGTTTTGCTTCTCTTCGCCCTGTAGACCTCGTCTTCGAGCAAGAGCGTGCTTTTCTTGGAGGTAATGAAGTTTCTCGAAAGCAACAATCGTGTTTCCTCTAGTGAACTTCAAACTAAATATCTCTTCTAGTTGAACGAGATCCATGACATCCGATTTTTGCTGATGAGACCAGCCTAGCAGAGCAGCAAAGTTGGTCAAAGCCTCTGCGAAAACGCCCTTTTCACGGAAGCTCGCAACGTCGGAATCCATATTGCGCTTGCTCAACTTATGTCCATTCTGATCGACCAGGAGCGGAACATGGCCGTAACGAGGTGGAGTCCATTGGAAAGCTCTGTAGAGCGCAACATGGAGAGGAGTAGACGACATCCATTCTGTACCTCGAATAACGTGGGTAATTTGCATGAGCTTATCGTCAACCACATTGGCAAAATGGTATGTTGGGAAGGCATCTGACTTGATGAGCACCGGGTCGTCAAATACAGGTTCATCCATCAGATGCTTCTTCAGATTCCTGCCTGTTCCATGGCCTGAGTTTCCATATACGAGGTCATCATACATGGGATACTGATCAGGCACTCGAAAACGAACGACGTGGCCTTCTCCATGAGATGCTCGATCTTCAGCCTCTTCGACAGGTATGTCTATGCATTTTCGATCGTAGCCTAAAGGGAGACCTCTATCGTGGCGAAGTCGATTCAATTGGTCTATACGTTCAGACGAGCAGAAACAGTGGTATGCTGATTTATTTTGTAGTAGCGTTTGAACGTGCGAGGTGTAGATAGGAAGTCGTTCAGACTGACGATAAGGACCGTAGGAACCACCAACCTCTGGACCTTCATCCCATTGCAAACCAGCCCATCGCAGATCTTGATATAGACGCTGTTCAGCACCAGGAATCGTACGTTTCTTGCTCCGAGTCAGCCCAAGCTCATATGATCCGACATTCTTCCCACCTGATCTGTATCCTCTATTCGAAGTAAGAACTGACCCTTGGTACGTCTTGCTAGCAAGTAGTTGAATAGTGCAGTCCTGATCGAACCTAGGTGAAGGTTTCCGGTTGGAGAGGGTGCGAATCGAGTTCGTACAGGCGTGCTAGGCAGTTTGGCCTTTGCATTCTGCCTGCTTGATGTCGCAAAGCCTTTGCGAGCTTCGAAAGATTGGCCAAGTCTGGATCTACATGAGGCGCATATCCAACGTTGTACACGCCTGCCGACCTGATGCGACGGCTGCATGGTGATGAAGAAGTAGTCGCAGTTGGAATCTGCGAGAATCGACAAGCACGTTCGGCAAAGTTTAGGCCGGCAGGTGCTGCTTAAAAAGCTTATGTAAGGAGCCCATTATGCAAGGTTAGGCTTTAAACTCATGACCCATGCAGGCGCAGATCGTTTTGATGCCCGCTCAACTTTTCTCATTGAAATAGACTGACTCTTTCTCTTGCTTCACAACGACCAGAATTGTTCCCAATCACAAACCTACCATTCAAAAAAGATGAACGGCATGAACGGCGGTGCCGGGCAGGACATCGACCTATACGAAATCCTGAAAATTGACAAGAATGCTAGCAAGAGCGAGATTAAGAAGGCCTACCACAAGGCCGCTCTAGCGAATCACCCCGACAAAGTCCCAGAAGACCAGAGAGAAGAAGCCGAAGCACGCTTTAAGGCCGCAAGTCAGGCCTACGAAATCCTTTACGATGAGCAGAAGCGAGAAATGTACGATACCCATGGCATGGCTGCTTTCGAAGGTGGTGGTGGGCCAGGTGGGATGGGCGTCAACATGGAAGATATCCTCGGTGGCCTCTTTGGTATGAACATGGGAGGTATGGGCGGCATGGGACGAGGCTCACAACGACCGAAACGAAGTCCCGACGAGAACCAGAAATATGAAGTTACCTTAGAAGACTTATACAAAGGCAAAACCGTCCGCTTCACGAGCACGAAGAACGTCATCTGCTCAAAGTGTACTGGATCCGGAGCGAAAGAGGGCGTCACCCCAAGAGAATGTTCGACATGTAAAGGTAATGGTGTACGGCAAGTCGTACAGCAGGTCGGACCTGGCATGCTGACTCAAAGATTGGTTGAGTGCTCAGCTTGCGAGGGTTCTGGCAAGGTTGTCAATCCCAAGGACAAATGCAAGAAATGCAAGGGCAAAAGGACGACAGAAGAGAAGAAGCAACTTGAGCTGTACATACCACGTGGTGCTAAAGAGGGCGACAAAATCGTACTGGAGGGAGAAGCAGACCAAATACCAGGTGCTGACCAGACAGGAGACATCATCTTCCATCTTGTCGAGCAACCTCACGACATTTTTAACCGAGCCGGTCCTGATCTACAAGCCACCCTCGAGGTAACACTTGCAGAGGCATTAACTGGCTTCAACCGAGTAGTCGTCACGCATCTTGACGGCAGAGGAATATCCTTGTCCCATCCTCAGGTCGAAGGCGAGATCATGAGACCGGGACAAGTCATCAAGGTCAGAGGCGAAGGAATGCCATACAAGAAGAGCGATGCCAAAGGCGACCTGTATTTGATAGTGGATATACAGTTCCCTGAGGATGGCTTCTTCACTCCTGAGGCCGCAGACGCACTAAGAAAATTACTTCCTCCACCAGAACCACCCATCAAGACTGAAGTTGTCGACGATGCTTCGTGGGAGGACGCCGATCCAGAAGAATTCGGCAAGGGTGATCCTCGAGGTGGTGGACAATGGGTCGATGCGGACGAGGAGGGCGCTGAAGGACCTCAGTGCGCGACACAATAGGTGGAGCTCCAATGGAACAGATACGAAGAGATGCGTAACGACCGGCACGAAGTTTGCAGAGGATGCAGCATGATATGACTTGATAGGTCGGCCCATAGATGTGCAGTCAGGACTGAAGCCAGGCATAAAACTGCGAAACTTTTGGCATTTTCCAAACCATACTCAGTCATGGCTGGTAGCAGTTCTGGTGGCTGTTACGCATGAAGAGGATAAGGCATCATGATAGAGCGGAGCACGGCGTAATCGAGGAACATGTTTGTATTGTGGTGAGGTATTTAGTATTCTCTGCAAAAGAAGTACATTAAAACATATCTGTGATAATGCCTTGAACAATAACGTTTACCAATTACCATCCATACCTCAGTTGATCACCCCACTCTGCCCGTTGACACTCTCAGCCTCACTAATTTCTCTTCCCACAATCCTCCCATCAAATTTCTTCCTCAGCCTCTCTTCAGTAACCCTAAAGCTCCTCGGAAACCATTCATCCAGCTTATCGTCATCTTGATCAAGTATCATCTGAGTGACTGCCTTCGCACACAAAAAGCACAATACCATCCCATGACCTTGAAACGACGCATCAAGCCACAATCCAGGTTCGCCGGGATAAGCACCTACCAGCGGGTGGCCATCTGCAGAATACCCCATGATTCCCGACCAAAGATGGCGGATGCGTTGTGGATGATCAGCACCCCAATTGCTGCCGAAGAAGTCTGCTGTGCAGTCGTGCAGATAGGACGATATTGAACCTGGTATGTTGGCAAAGGTGTCGTCTGTTGTGTGGAATTCTGAACGGCCTAGGTCTGGTGTTTTGGTTAGGCCTCCGCCGATCACGATGTCGTATGCTGAGTCTGTGTCTGCGCCTGGACCGTCCGAGACGTGACCGTTTGGTGGTGGGAGGGAGCTTTGAATGGCCGGACGAGTGATCATGTACTCGTAGCCTTCCTTGTATACGAAAGAGTAGGTAGTAGGGAGGTTGCCTGCATGCGGCATCGACTTGCCCGGTCGTTGGGCTGTGACGACACCGCGGAAGGGGACGATAATTTCTTTCACTTGAGGCAGTAGATGCGCGGTATAGCCGTTTGTGGCGAGGATGAGAGTTGGTGTTTTTATTGTGCCACGGGGTGTGTCGATCGTCCATATTGTTTTTCCGTCCGTGTTTGACTTTGATATGAATGTTGCGACTGTGTTGGTCTGCAGATTCAAGGTCAGTGCCAGGGCAAGCTTCAGTACGCCTATCGTGAATTTGTAGGCACTTAGACTTCCTGCTTCGTATTTAATGCATCCAAGACTGTTTTCTGCGTAGAATTGCTTTGCGGTATCCTCGGATGAGTAGAAGGTGTGTTTTGAGCATGGATGAGAATCTCCTATCAGTTTCTCCATCAATGTCACAGATTGTCTGGCCTCGACAAGGTGATCTTTATCGTAGAATATGTCAACAGTATCACATCGTTTAGCATCGCACTGGATATTCTTCTCCTTAGCGAAGGCATGCACAGCTGCCATACAGTCATACTCGAGCTGGGATATTCTGATGGCCTCGTCCTCGCCTACAGCGGCCACATTCTCCGAGAAGGACCTGTATGTGGCAGTCTTCGTGTGGCCACCATTTCTACCAGAGGCACCACTTGCTGCTTGTCGAGCTTCTAGCATAACAATCCTCAGTTTGCGATTAGCGCTCAGAAGATTATAGGCAATACTCGAGCCGCTGACTCCAGAGCCAACGATGACAATATCGGCATCTTGGGGAAGTTCTGGTGTTGATCGTAGGTCTGCTATTTCATCTGGTGGTTGCTGCCAATATGACACGCATGGTTCGGGATATGGGAGATCAGCCTCTACCTTTCTGGTTGAAGACATGGCCACCCTGATTCCTCAGCTGATGGCGCCGTCGGTAGTACAGTAATCTTGATGGCGAAGACATGATGCTCGTCGAGTTCCTGTACAAAGCATTCTCATGCTTGTGTGCAACGATGAAGTCCGTTGATTGTCGGAATAGGAAAGCCGACCCAGATGGAGAAGCGGTCGCCAATCGCGGAGGCGATAGGCGCTCGCCTAAGCGCTAGTCACAGTGCTACTCGAGTCAGGCACGGCTTCCAGTTCTTCTTTGATTAGCACGTGACGCAGATGCAAGGAAACCATCAATCTAAACTAGCCGCTTAAATCCACTTTCTGAGTATGCAGATAGGCCAGCATCTTCCGCTGAGGTTCTCCAGCGCTGACTTCATGCACCAGAGCAGCCTTTGTATCGAGGTTCTTTGTGTTTGCACAAGCGTCCATCTGTTTCACGACTGACTGCAATATCACCAACAATAGAAATAACTCTCCGCTCACGGAATCAATTGACCAAGACCATCCGTCAAAACGAAACGCGACACGATCCAGAGTGAAGCCAGATCAGTCCTGCCCAAACCCCTCGCACCTTCGAAAGCTCAATCAATCTATAACAAGCAATTCAACCTGGCGCAAACGTTGACAGCGTCGTAGCAGACAGGCGCTGCGCCTCTGGCGTCCTCTCCGTTTTTCTACGATCCTCTCATGTCATATCACTCGACTGCACCACGTCTACCGCTATCGCCTGCATCGCCTCCGGAATCGGGCGTGAAACAACAGCCGATACTCAAAGGCCCTGTTGTCACGCCTCAGACACCACCTTATCCTGATCATATGTCAGTCGCCACAAAACGCTATGTATCGCCCTATCAAGATAGCCGACACACGAACGAAATGGCGGATTTACCTTCTGAGAACTATATAAACCAACCGCCGCGCGCGTCGATAAGTTCAGCAACTCCTCAGCAGCAGACTACTTTGAAAAGATCACTGTCGCAAGACGAAGACGAAAGACCAATGAGTAAGCGACAGAAAAGGGAGGGCACAGAAGAAGGGATGCGGACGGAACTGTCCTCCACCTCGACAAACCATGACAGACAAAGAGAATCACAACAGGAACAAGACTCTCGCCCAAACGTGAGTTCTGAAGTGCAATCGCCATTGGAAGAGGTATCCGGGAAGGACAAAGCTGAACTGGATTCGATATTCAAAGACGTCGGGCCTGCTCTACGTCTAAGGAATACCTGTAAGGCGCTTCCTTTCCCTAACACTGAGTTGACATCGTTGAAGTTTATGCTTATGATCTTTTGCAGCTCGTAAAGGACCTCTTGTCGATACGAGTAAGCACATTTTAGGTACGTACGGCCTGCACGACCTACTGAGCGGAATGGCGCGAACCGATCCGAGCACGGGCGAAAAGATCAATAAACTACGTAAGTCATATGAAGGACAGATCAAGACGGCTGGACTTTCTGGGAGGAACAGACCTTGGAAAGAGCCGAGGGCCGAAGACTCTGAGCATAGCAATATGTATGGGTGGTCGCGATTACCTCCAGAAAGGTTTGCCGAAGATCAGGTAGAAAGCAAAGTCGGCGATATTGACAGCTTGCGAAGAGGCATGGGCAGTGCTTTGCAACTCAATTCTGGTACGATGCCGCCTAAGATGATAGCTGAATGGGACGATGTTCTCGGCCACGAAGCCAAAAGGCCCGCGGCGCCGCAGCACACGCCATCACAACAGCAGTCACGAATACCGAATGGCGTACGGCCAGCTCAACACCTCACAGTGCCAAGTGACAAGATCAAGACACGAGGGAAGAAGAGGAGCTACGGCGATCACACTTTTGACGGCTATACAGGTTATGCTGATGGCTATTCGGAACCTGACCACTCCGACGGAGACCGTGACTATGCTGACAGAGGAAAGAAGCGACGAAAAGACTAGCGGTCATCAAAGACGCGAAGAACGCGTAGTGTTCCTGGCCGATTCGTTTGAGCACGTTTGCACGAGCAAGAGAGACTGGGTTCTCTCTAAGCACGAAATATTTACACATCATTCACGTTGGAAATTTTTTCAAAGATACCCAAGTGGCACTATTGTTATTAGAGCAGGAAGAAGCTCTGAAAAGGAGCATTGATAAAAGCACCTGCTATGTCCAGGCTGCGGCGTTCATGGATGGTTACGGTTTACTCAGCATGCGCAAGTCGGTTTCGATGCATCAAATGCTGCGACAGGCGCTATTAGTTTGGGTATGTCTTGCTTGCTCTCGAGTTGTCAGCCCGACTATGATGGCAGCCTTACTTAGCATGGATAGTCCGCCGTGTGACGATATTGGCAAGAACATGAAGTTTAGACTGGCGCCTCACGCGCCTATGAACATAACGAATGACAAACCTGTATGGCTACTCCTACTTCTGCTTCTACCTCTACATCTACCTCTACTTCGTGGCGAAGATATTCTCGTTCTAAACGACTTGAAGGTATATAGACCGTCATTGAGGTTCGACGAAGTAGGGCAAGGTACCAATCCTTACCTTTCATTACCTCTTTCCCAGGCTACAGGTTAGCCGACACGCTGTCTGACTCCTATCAGCCGTTGAGGGAGTATAGGAATACGTGACAAGAATCCAGCATGATGTCTAAGGGCAACTGACGGGAGGACTTGATGGTGAGAGAGAAGACAGGAAACGGATATCGTCACGTCGTGTAAATTCGGGTAATTTCAAAATCCCCAGGGGTTCTCCCTTCTGCTTCATGCGGTTCTGTATCCTTAGCACTCCAAGTTCCAAAGAATGTAACCTGATGCATGACCGTCCAATTCTGATCTCTTCTACATGTGTCTGTACATAAGCCTGTACCTTCCTAATGCTGCAGACGCATCATCCCCGCCGTCCGAGAAGTCGTTGGCTCTGATGTTGTATTTATAGTCGTGCACGCAGCCACCGTGATCCGTTTACGCCTGACCATAGTCTTGCTCGTGATGGTCGCTGATCATAATACGAGCTCGTCAAAATGCCACCCAAATGGTGTATGCTACAAAAGGCTATGCAAATCGATCCATATCTTAAGAGACTGTTTTACCGCCACAGTCCGGTATCACGAGGCCAGACTTCAACTTTCGTGCTGTATCCATAAGACCCCATTTATCTTCCCATTCTTTACCAGGCTGCAATATGTTAGTTGAGCTTTCACTTGACTAGGGGGCAAGACTTACCTCGTTGTATGCCACCTTCCATGCCTCGTCGAAAGCGGAGAACCAGAAATAATTCGTGCCATTGTCGAGCGCTTGACATACCCAGTCGTCCATGAACTTGTTCAGGTTGTCGATGCTTGCAACTGAGCCAGTCTGATCCGCAGCGCAGACATTTGCTGCGTTGCCACAATCGGTACCTCCTCCGGAAGGCCAACCCGTCTCAGCAATGATTTGGCGCGACTTGTCGTCTGGTGTGAGGACCACGTTGTGCTCCGTCCAAAAGTTCCAAGTCCAGCCCGCAGCCTCATCCACCGAGACACCTGCGAAGAAAGGATGCACGTTCGACATCACGTAGTGAGATGCCTGAGCCAGAGTGCCATCCCAGTTATCTCCTAGGTCGGAAGTTGAAACGGTAAGATCGTAGCCAAGAGAAGTGAAGTTGGACCTTGCTTGATTTAGGAACGTAGCAAGTTCGGCCTTAGCTTCGGCCTTGCCTTCATCGGCACGAAATAGAGCTTCGTTTCCGATGATCACACCTTTGAAGATGGAGTGGTCTTTGGTGTCTGCAAGTACGTCGTACATTTTGCTGAGTTGCCGTTCGTTCGTAGTAGTATTCGTATCGATCCATACTCCCATCCAGACCTTCATGTCCTTCAATTGTAACCTATCAATTGCATGAAGAACCATTTCTGTCTGGTTACAGTCCGTACCGTAGAGTCGTACGGCATTCGTCAATTGCGAGAGGACAGCCATATCTCGAGTCACGTTGTTCTGCGATGGAGGATAGGTAAGGCATAGAGGGTATTGAACTCCCCATGGTGTATAATCCATGCCTGGAAAGACCTTCTTCAACGCCTTATTGTTCATCAAGCTCTTGATTTCTGCTGAGTTGATGTCGAGGTCGCCGTTAGCTGCGGTGTCGTCAGCTGCATTGTTGATGCTTCCACTACCACTTCTCCCGCTCCCACCTGCGCTTCCACTCTTGTTAGTGCTCAGTACACCTCCGACTATGCCGCCTATGACGGCGAGGACAACAACGACGATGATTGCACCTCCCACAACCCAGCGCATTTTGTTGTTGCCTTTTGTTTGTCTGGATAACCACTCGCTCTTGTGTGCTGGTGGACCGTCAGAAGCTGATACAGGATCGTAGGAACCACTAGAAGTGATGTTCTTCTCTTTCTTTCCGAACATGCCGCCTAGAGCACCTCCAGCAGCTGCGCCACCTGCCACAGCCCCTCTGTCGCTCAATCCTTCTCTTCCCCGGCCACGAGTCAACGATAGCATTGATTTCCGCTTAGGCTCGGGCATGAAACCATCATCACCATCATCAATGATGTCGTTGGGGAGAATATCGGCTTCTTGTACAGCAGGCTGGTAATGAGCATGTCTCTGATAGGGAGAACCATCGTAGGATTCATTGGCACCCATTGCGTAGTAGGAGTGTCTAGAGTGTGGAACGCTGTGCAGACTCTGACGAGAAGATCTTGCATCGGGGGTGTATTCACCTGGAGTAGCTACACCAGGAGTGGCAGCGCCTGCAGCGAGGGGAAGGCCAGATGTGGAAGAACTTGCAGGGTAGGCTCTCGACATTGGTCTTCGTGGTGCAGGATATGGTGCAGGTTGCGGCAATTGGTTGTTGTGACGGCCATGCCTTTGATCCCGATCCGTGACTTCGTGTGTTACCCCATCTAACTCTCTTCCATGCGAGTAAGGACCGTGATTGTCCATACTTGTCATAAGATGTTGTTCGGGTTGGTGGGACGATCTCGTCGGACTCGTGCGATGGACGGGAGGTATAGGAGGCACGTCGTCAGTATTTGAGATCACAATAGTTCGTCGAGGAACATCCAGCGAGGGTTCATAGCGTGCTGAGTGTCTGCTGTGTGTCGACAAAGGTCGACGTGCAGAAACTGGGCTAGTTGGTTCGGAGGGAGTGGCTGCTGGTGAAAAGTACTGTGGTGGTGGTGAGCGTATAGTCTGTCTTTCAGGACTGTCTTCGTATCTCTCTTGACCGTGAGCTATCTGACCATCCTCAGCGTCGAAGGAGAAGCGACTGCGCGACATCGATGTGGTTGTGCAGGGGAGAACGGTGCAGTCGTTGCACTGGCACCGAAACGTGGCCTGCCCTGTGCAACGGCTCGTGCTTGCTCTCTATCTTCAAGACCAATACGTTATGAATTCTCGATTACAAAGTTGTCGATGTAATTTCCAATTCAAGTCGTCGATGTGCTTGTCGCAATGCACCAGTTTCCGTCGAGTCACTCGCCGCTGAGGCTGTGTCTGAATCTGAGTCTATCGGATCTGGGCCGTTTGAGGCGCTGTTGTGCAGGAACAGAGCAGTGGTCTCAAGGAAAAACGAAGAAGTCTTTGGATTCAACGTACTTTCGGCAGTAAACCAGCTGGCAACGAACGATGTCTTCCCTGCAACATAGCCCAGCGAATTTCTTGCTTCTGCACATCGCTGATACTACGCATGCACAAACTAGCGCTGTCTCATGGGCAACCAGTCCGAACCCTTGTCCAGGATTCCACCTCCTCCACACTCTGTTTCGCCTGCCACCAGAAATCTGGCTCAAGATTCCCTCATCCTAGCCGGCTGTAAATAGTAGAAACGCACGGTCAGCCGGACAGATGCTGGAACTGGCCGCACTTTCCAGCTATGATGTTATCATGACCTCCACCCACCTCAGTTTTCCATTTGTAGAGAAACCAATAAGATATATCCATCACTATGGGACAGACACAATAGATGCTTTGACACTCCACTCTTTTCGCATACCAAGTCAAGCGTCTAAGAGAGCTATCCCAATGCAATCGTAGCAATTACCAAATGAAATCTAACCTTCAGACCATAGACCCAATACCAATACCTTACACCACCAATACAGGACCCCAGATATACCTTCTTGGCTCGAGCGACGCTCTACTCTATGACAATAATTTCAAACACGTGAGCGTCTCTATGCTGACTTGGGAACGCTGATTTCATATCCAAGCAAAACTTCTGTGGGTGACCCTTCCCAACCTCGATTACCACCCGTCGACATCATGTACTTGCAATCAGCACTCAGGTACAGATTCGAGATCGTACCAGTTCGGTGACCCGGCACGATCAGAAATGGTACGCTCGACCTGTTGTTCTGAACATGTTTCAAGTCGTATAATCGTAGGATATCGTACGAAGCACAGACAAGATGTCGTCCATTAGGCATGGCTTTGACAGAAGTGACCGCACCACTTCCTTGTGGAAACCGAAATATCCGCTCTGGCTTCTTGAGCCCTTTTCGCAAATCGTATTCTTCTACTGTGTTATTTCTTCGACCAGCGTAGATGTTGTTTCCATCTGGCGACCAGCATGCACTAAGACACCACGGCGGCGTGTCGTAGGGTGTTATTCGGGCTACTGGCAGTGCTTGTCGTCGATCCCATATGCGTATTGATCCGTCGATAGATGTTGCCATGAAGGTTGTATCTGACGTCGTGGGGCGCTCGTCGGATTCTTGCTTCGGCTGGCTCGTGACCTCCATGTCCTCCGCATGAGGCAAACCGTTTGCTAAAGCTTGAGGTTCCGTATTTGGCACTCCATTAGTGTCGATCGAAGGAGGCGCTGCTGTATCAAGTTTGGGAGATGAGAGGAGTGGTTGCACAGCTGGTGCTGTTGATGTGAGCTCAATATCTGTATCTATCCCATGCTCGGGTGCTGCAGATTCTTCCGCCGTCTGATTGATCTCTATATCATCGAAGCTAAAAGTATTGCCGTTGGCCAGGTTCCCGTCTGCATTGTCACCAAAAAGATCGTCGTCGCCGTCATCCCCACCGAATAACGAATCCGGTGTTGTAGCCCGAACTTGATTGGCACCGTCAAACGCCGCCCCATTCGTAAAGTCATTGAGCCCATCCGTAGCATTGTTGCTGCTGAGAGTAGCATCTACTTTCACAACTTCTCCAGACTCATAAGGTACAGCCACTGCTGAGATGGGTCGGGACTCAATACATGATATTTGGCCACCACTAGCGGCGTACGATGTCCTGACCTTGCCAGCATTCAGATCCCAGTCCACCACAGTCTTGTCCCAACTGCCGCTAAGCAAGCTTCGTTCGTCCGAGGAAATATGTAACACTGATGCAGCCGATGTATGCTTCTCCAATAGAGCAATTTGGTGACCTTCATCGTGGCGTACTGTCTGCAATCTGATAGCGCCTGATGCTGTGCCTGCCACCATCCAGAGACCTTGACTTTGACATGCAAGTGCATACACTGGCGAGAGCGTCTGCGTTGTGGTTAGGCTGGTCGACTCCGGAGTCTGTTTTCGAGCATCCCAGTTTTCCCAGTACGTGACAAGCACACCTGCCTTGACAACGCTGTCGACAAACGGATGTCTTTGCGCAACGGTCAATTGAGTCTTGCCATTGACAGACTCGACCCAACTGTATTGTCTGATATAGCCATCAGCACCGCCTGTAAATATCCAGCGAGAATCAGCTGTTCCACAAATCGCATTTATCGAGGTGCTTTGTGGTGCTGCTATCGTAGGCACAATGTCGTACGTTGAAGCAGTCAGAACCTCTGGGCGTGGGTGAGAATTATCCGCTATTTTACTGCCATCGATTTCTTGAGTTTGGGTCTGATCCGTAGCCCCTATAGTTGAAGATCGCGGTTGCTGATTGCTGGGCTGATCATTTTCCTCGCCTTCGTTTTCATTCTCATCGTTTTCGCCTTCCCCATCACCTTCTTCTTCAGCGCCAGCGTCCTCGTCTGCTTCATCATCAATATCCTCCATATCCTCGTCCTGCCTCTCATCGTCATCCCGTATTGTCTCGTCCAACTCGTTGTCTGAGCCGCCATCCTGAGACCCTACATCGGACCTTTCGAAGTCATCATCCATGCCGGCAAAGGTCTGACTCTGTCGCGCAATTTGTTTGACCTCTTATGTGGCTTATGACCCGTGGCAGTGGTTGTCTGGCGGTTCTCAAATTATCTGGCTGAAAAAATCGGGTGAACCAGCTCACGTAGCGGCAACGTGGTTTGGGTTTTGCATGGGATGGTCCCTTGGGTGGGTTGCACCAATGGCTTTAAGATCTCAGCGTAGCCAAGCCTGGTCGACGTGATTGTATAACGTTGAAAAGACTTATTGACAGTCCTTGTAGTTCAAGCCGCTCTAATTGAGCGATATGGTGTTTCTGGTCGAGCTCGCTATCAAGCAGTGAGTTGACTGTAAATGTGATCAGCTCTTGCCAATCTGGCACTCGATGCCTCTCTATGCCAAGGCCTGAATGCACCCATATTGGCAACCATCGTGAGCGTACTACCTGCCTTTTCGTTAGCTTGTACTGAGCTCCTTAAATACCTTAAATGAAGTGCAAATGATACTCAGCTCGAATCTTTGCCAGTGATAGGTAAGAGCTCTGGCTGTCTTGGGCTGCCTGTGGGGATCGCTGTTTTATTCACTTCACTCTCCAAGATAAATATTCCTCACTTGAAAGGTCCGACTTCACTCAAAGATCTGAACCTGCCACCTTCGTGTTGTACCACTACGATCTGGTATAGTCTTATACTCATCTCTATCTCACATTGTCTGCGGACACTGTGCTACTTGCGCAAGCAATTCCAGACAGACATAACTAGCTCCACTCCCTTGGCTCGATCATCAATGTCTGAACGTGCACGAGGTAGAGGCCGTGGCCGTGGCCAAGGTCGAGGACGGCTGAGCAATCGAGGCTCCTATGGAGGTTAGTTTTTATCAAACTTGTGCGAGTAAAGGGTGGTTGCTAACAGAATGTTGAAGACCGTCGAAACGGAGTATCCAACCCACAAACACTCCAGTCGAATGGTGATGTGGACGGGGAATACAACGCTCACCTGACTGAGCGCTTCAAAGGTCGATCTGCACGTAACGGTGATTCCAATAGACGGTTCAACAGAGAGACAAAGCTCCAGCTTGCCCTCAACCCAGACTTGTCAAAATATGTGACGAACCAGGAGGCAATCTCTCGCGGAGCTGATCCTGACGATTGGTTGGCTATACCCGAGATCCCTCCAGCAGGTGAGATATTGATACCCGAGGGTGAAGCAGTCAGTCTTCCTAGGAACAAAATTGATCAACCTTGGTCGAAAAAGGAGAAATACCTAAAGGCACACTACAAGTTTCTTCGGGAGGATGCCATAGCCCCATTACGAGAAGCTGTTGCTAAATTCCGGAGAGATCCTCAGCGCATGGACGATAACGACACACGCATCTACGAGCAGGTCCGAATCGTTGGCCTGACATTCACCTACAAAGGCATTTGCTCACGAATACGGTTCTCTCTAGCACGAGCAACACGGAGGATTTCTTGGCAAGCGAGCAAGCGCCTCACATCTGGTACACTCGTTGCTCTGACACCTACGAAAGACGCCTTCCAGAATCGGTGTATACTGGCTGTCGTTGCCGCTAGACCACTCGACCACCTCGAACAAGAAGTGCCAGAAATTGATATCTTGTTTGGCGACCACAACTCGCATGAAGTAGATCCGCAACAGACATACATCATGATCGAAGCTTCACAAGGATATTTCGAGGCATATCGACATACTATGAGAGCTTTGCAGAAGCAGAGTGCAGAACCGTAAGTCAGATCTTCTCCTAGAATTGTCTGCGTTGTCACTAAGTGGATTCAGTTTTCCACTTGCAGAGCACATATGTCATCTCGAATGGGATGTGGGCCCGCCACAATATCTTATTGAAGAGCCTGATCGGGACATTACCCCAGCTGCTGACCAAGGCACGCTTGAAGCTTTCCAGAATGTCAACCTGCTTAGACAATGGCCCTCTTCACCTACTCGGACTCTCGACTCGACACAATGGGCGGCTATGAAAGATATCCTGACGAGAAAATTGGCAATTATACAAGGACCTCCAGGAACTGGCAAGACTCATGTATCAAAGATAGCGATCGAGATCATGCTAAGGAATCGCAAACCAGGCGACCCGCCAATAATCGTTGCATGTCAAACGAACCATGCTCTTGATCAACTGCTCGGTTTTGTGAACAAATTTGAGCCCAACTTCATTCGACTTGGCGGTCGGTCAACGAATGTACTGACTAAAGCCAGAGCGTTACACGAAGTACGCAAGGCCCAAGTGTATGACGACCCTCTAGGCTCTTGCTTCGCTAAAGCTCGACGCGACATCAATACACAAACTTTGAAGCTCAAGAGTCTTCTATCGCCAGTCCGAGCCGATGGTCCAAGTCTAATGACCAGCGAGGTTCTCTTCAATCTTGGTGTCATCAATGCCCAGCAGCGAAAGTCACTGGAGAAGGGTGCAGCAGACTGGCTTCAATCGGACGCTGTTCCAGATGAGCCGTTGCAGATGTGGCTTGGAGATTCTGTCAAGCCGTTCGTTCCGATCTACTCAAACGACAATTTCGGCTTTCAGGAGGCCGAAGAAGATCTGGAGCTTGAGCAGCGTCGTGAGCTAGATGCAGAAATGGGTGTCGCCGACGAGGAGGATTACGAAATGCTGAGGGGCGATTACCTTTCTCTTGCAATAGGTCAAACGATGTCACAACCTACAGCGCAGACCATTGGACAAGCTAAACGCCTGCTCGACACCGCGAAAGACCTCTATCAGGTCCCGAAATACCTGAAGGGTCCCATGTATATGATCATGCAAGAAAAAGCTATTGCAATAGTACGACGGCGATTGCGAGAAGGTGCCAACGACTACGCAGGAATGTGTTCTCAGATACAAATTGGCAGGTGGGAGAAAGATGCGGCCTATCTCGCAGAGGCCCCAATCATCGGTATGACAACTACGGGTTTGAGCAAATATCGAGCTCTAGTCTCCTCTCTTAAACCCAAGATTATACTCATTGAAGAAGCTGCTGAAGTGCTTGAGGCCCCGGTCAGTGTAGCTTGTGTTGCCTCGTTGCAGCATCTTATCCTCGTCGGCGACCACCAGCAACTTCAAGCAAATTGCAGCGTCAAGGAACTAGCAGGCGACCCTTACTACCTGAATATTTCGATGTTTGAACGACTGGTCAGGAACAAGCTACCACACAGAACGTTGCTCAAACAGCGACGTATGGAGCCCGAATTCAGAGAGCTTATACAGCCCATTTATCCGGGCCTGACAGACGATGACTCGGTTGCAACACGAGATAGGACTGAATGGGGTACTGGATCGATCTTCAGCTGGTTTCTCAACCACGATTTTCAGGAGCATCAGGATGAAAGCATGTCAACATACAATGCGCATGAAGCTGCACTGATAGCGAGGTTTTATCGACATCTGATTAGGAATAGAGTTCCTCCAGCTGCGATAACTGTTCTCACCTTCTACAACGGCCAACGCAAGAAGATCCTTCGAGCTCTGAAGGACGATCCTGAAACTGCCTCAGTATACAACAAAGTCAAGACGGTAGATTCGTATCAAGGAGAAGAGAACCACATTATTCTTCTGTCGCTAGTTCGTAACAACGCTTCAGGCAAAATCGGATTCTTGGATATTAACAACCGAATCGTGGTGGCACTTTCGAGAGCCAAGTATGGTTTCTATCTCTTTGGGAATGGAAACTTCCTTGCAGAGCACAACGAAGTGTGGTCTTACGTGGAAGATCGTCTGTGGAAACAAGGCCGCAGCAAGGACAGTATGCCACTCACATGCAGAAACCACGGCAGGACAGTCTGGGTAAAGTATCCCTCAGACTTTGACGTCCTTGATGGTGGTTGCGATCTACCATGTGGCGGAATATTGAATTGTGGTCACAGATGCACCATGCGATGCCACGTTTTCACCCATGACTGGATCACTTGTTCAATACCATGCAACAAAGAGCTTGTCTGCAGTCACTTCTGCGTGAAGACCTGCAGCCAAAAGTGCGAATGTGACTGTGATGTGTTCAAGCGATTTGAAGAAGAGGAGTCTGAATCCAAACTTGACACCACACCACAATGGAAAGCTCTTGCAAGTCAAGGTTTGACAGAAGCAAACATCACCCGGCTTGAGAACGAGGCTGCACAACCTTCACTGTGCAATTTACTGAACCTGCACAGGATAGAATCCGTGTAGCAGCTCAGCGAACACCAGTAGAATACACTACAAAAGAAACGAGATTGCGGAACGGCAGGACTCGATTCGAGCAATCTTGGCAGCCAAATACCTTGATGTCTCTTTCTGCAGGCATGAATAGATTAGTGATGAATGATGACGAGGAGGAGGAGGAGGAGAAAGAGTCACGCCGAGTAATTCGAGAAGGCAAGAAACCTGAGCCACCAGTTCAGCAGCCTCGAGGACCGCCAGCATGGGGCTACGATGGCACGAACGAGACCTCCGGCTTCAATCCTGAAGGCCAGCGAGTCAGACCAGAAGAAGCATTTGTGGCAATTATTACACAGTCAGCTGAGATTGAGAATGAGTCTTTCTTGGGGTGGAAAAGCCCGAAGGAGGTCGAATGGGAGGAAGAGCAAGCCGCACTGAACGGAAATGGGTTCTGGTGAGAATTTTGGAATATTGTCATGCTGTAAGGAGGTCTCTTGGTCGGATCGAAGACGGCTTTGTGGTCGTGAAAACGAAACAGGGCCATGAATAACGGCTCGAGAGAAGACCTCTAAAATCCAAGAGTAGGTGTCTGGCCTTAGCACTCAGGCATCAATAGAGTGGCGGAATATGCCTGAGGTCGATCCGTTTCCGACAAAGCACGAAGGTAGAAGGTTCGGCAAACCACTTCATACTGTGAAATTCAGCGTCAACTTTGAATCAAAGTTTGCAATGTTATACTACTGCCCGTGAGCTTATCGAGTCACATCTTGTAAGTGAGATTGTGTACACCAGGAACAGTTTGTATTTCTTTCTCACCTTGCCCAAAGCTGCTAGCCTGAACAGCTTGGGCGCTTACCGAAGTCTGGTGTGCTCTGTGTTGACCAATCACAACGCCAAAGTGCAAGATGGTCACATCTGACTGCGTTTACTGCTCTCGCTGCTGACTGGTCGCTCTTGTCTTACTGCCAGCGGTTGGACAGTTCGCTCTTTCAGGCCCGTCCATCACATCCACCTCTGCCACAGCACCAACGCACGCAAATCATGTCGAGTATGGAAGAGCTATCCTTTGATAGGCGCTTCCCCTTGTCCCTCCGGCATGCGCACTCTTCAAAATATCTTATCCTGGAGGATCTGTACGAACATCCGATTATTTAGGCCCTCACCTCGCCAATACTCCTCAGCTCCGAGTGTCCTTGCTAAGCACGGTCAGCACCTGGCCGTATTGCCATCGATCGGTCAAATGCTTGGTATAGGTCCAGGCCACCATCTACGTAGGCTTTAAAACAACTGCGACGACATCCATCTTTGTCTGGGCGAGAGAACCGGACTATCTGTCGTGGCCACGTTCGCGACATCTCAAAAACAACCATAATGCCTCCAAGGCTTTCGGTATCGATATGCTTGTTAGCATTGACGACCTTCTTCAGAGCAATTCAAGCACATACAGTCATAACGTATCCTGGTTGGAGAGGAGATAATTTACATTCCAACGGTACAGTCCACGACACCAATGGGCTGGCGACATTCGATACAGGCAATGGAACGCTGCATCCATTTGGCATGCAGTGGGAATATCCATGTAGGTTGCGCCGATACATACCAACAACGATTCACATACTGACGACTCGCAGGTGGAGGAATGCCCATGTCACACAATCGAACGAGATGGCCAGTAAGAGGAGGCGCGATAGCATTTCAGCCAGGCTGGTTCGCAGGCCATTCTTCAGCCTTTATGTATTTCAACCTCGGACTGGGTAACAACCCAGAGAACTACTCCTTCGTCATGCAAAATGGGTTGAACATTGTCGGACCATCAAGAGAACCATGGCCAGGCACATTTTGTCTCCCACAAGTACCGCTACCAGCCGGATTGACTGTCCATGTTGGGGACAATGCGACAATACAGATCATTGAGACTGCTCTGCACGGTGCAGCGCTCTACAACTGTGTCGACATTACCTTTGTCGAACCTGAAGATGCAGAAGAAGTAAATGAGAACAATTGCTTCAACTCAAGTCAGATTACAGCGAACCTAATATTTACAACCGCTGCATTGGAAAGCAGCTCCGCGACACTACACGTACCAATACTTGCCACAGTAATGGCATTGTTTACGGCAGCTTTCGCTTTCATTTAAAAAATTTGGAAACAATTTCATGACTGCATTTCCCTTATGAAGGAGGACGCTATGTACTTTGCAAAGATTCACGCTACAGAGTCCACTGGCAATCCATACCCCGGAATGGAGTATGGACGCAAAAGGGCATTCTGCTGGCCTGAGCAGATAGCAGTCATACCACGAGGACAAATAAAAAGAAATACCATAATTGCAGTCTCAACCTTTCCTGTTCGCGTGTCTGCATATTCACTCGCACTTACTAGCTTGAAGTGACTGGCATGTACGTTCCAAGAAAGAGCACTGGCTCGCTCTCGGACCATATACTGATGCCTGCTACTTAATTGCATCCTTCAGGTCTGCTCGCTCCTTCCCGGGAGGAGACTTGGCTTTCTACAGAGCAGCTACTCTGTCCTAGGCTCCTGCACAGCTCTCAAAGCCTTCTAGTCACTCCCCCTGATGATCAGATCAGCCCTAGACACCTACAGCATCCTACGCGACGTGCAACGAACGCTCGATCGTGCAACAAGTCCACCTTCAGGTCATCAACAAGTATTTCAGTCGATATGGAAACACCTTCTGCCACGAAAGACTCAGCTTGGCAATGGACGAACGTGTAGGTCAATTTGTTCCAAGCGATGAAGTTGGCAGATGGCCGTGCACTTGAGTCATTGCCCTTCATTGTCTTCTGATCTTCTCGATCACTTTGTCGACAAAGCAGACTTTGCAGGTTCTGGTTCGATTACATCTTCGATCTTTGTCACATCTGTTTGGTCCCCTCCCAAGCGATTCTGGCTCATCTGTCACTCTAGCGTTTACCCTGCAGAATCATTCGCCTGCTTGCAGCTCGGACAATGACTCGATATTCTGTCAACACCTATGGACATACTACGCACATCTCAAACAAAGCACTCTTGCTTCAATGACTGGGATCGATCCACTTCAAGCTTGTTAGCTTGCTTAACTAACTTCTTGATGTTGCTCTGATCAAGATCAGGTTTTCTTTCGACTGATTTTCTCATCAGTGCACTTCAAGCACAATTTGACATTTCAATAGAGGAACCCAAACACTCGTTAGCACAACATGCGCTACCACGATGCGCTGCTCTTTTCATGTGCGAGCTTAGCGCTCCTTGCTGCAGCTAAGCCACAGGGCGGCACTACCACCAAGGTGGTGACTGCAACACTTCCTGGAGTTGGTACGGCTACTATGCCTGCTTCAGACGCCGAAGCCAGTGGCAGCACAGGAGTCGCTGGTGTGGGCTCGGGTACAGTTTCCGCAAGCGACGCTGGTGCCGCAGATATAGTAGCAGCTGGTGCAGGTAGTTCCGCCCCTGGCAGTGGTACTGGCTCCGCTGCAAGCCCAGCCTCAGGAGCAGCAGGTGCAGGTGCAGGTACAGGATCAGCCGCTGGAACCGGCCCACCAAGTGGTATGGATGCAGGGGGATGGTCCGAAGAAGATTTCCCAGGCAAGGGTGAATGGTCTGGCAAGGTCGATTGGAGCGAATATGCCAAGCACTGGATAGAAGGCCATCCTGATGGCTGGAAGTCTCGTGCAGGTGGTCAAGGCCAAGGCGATAGTGGTGTCGATGCTGGCACTCGAAAAGCCAGTGGTCCACCCGCAGGCGCAGGTGCAGGCTCAGCAAAACCTTCCGGCACAGGCGCCCTTCCCCCAGTAGGCACAGGATCCATGCAAGACAAACGCAACCTACGCCGCCACCCCCGATCATTCCGCGGCGGTTCCCGACCAGACTCAAGCACGAAACCAGGCCAAGGCCAAGGTCAAGGCCCAGACCAAAGCCACGACGAACACGACGACAACCACCACCCCCTTGACATCGACATGAGCGACTTCCACCACCAAAAGCGCGACTTCGCCCGCAGTGGCCCAAGCTGGAGCAGCATCCTCTCCGACATCCACGGTGATTCGCTCAAGAAACGACACATGGAGTACTCTGGCTCAAACCTCGATCAACAACACGAAGGAGATAGAGCTGGTCCAGGAATGGGATATAGCTATGGTGGTAGAGGTGATGGTGGCCATTATAAGCGGGACTTGCCGGCTGGTCATGTTGCGGGTGGTCCTGGTTGGTGGGCGAGGGAGAAGGGGCATAAAGCAGTTGCATGATTGAGGTTCAGTAGAGGGGAGGTGTTAGTTATTTGAGATTGATCGATTGATTGAGGCTAGGGTATAATAGACATATAGCAAGCAAAAAAGTTGTATCATGTTTCCCTCTCATGTTCCCAAAAATCATCATCATTGGCTTGCATGCTGCTGTTAGCGCCGCTGCTATCTGATCATCATAGCTTGTAGCTCGTACCTCATAGCTTGTATCCCATCGAAATCGTCACATATACATAAATGCTCCCATCATTCCCCCAACTCGCCATATAGCCATCCAGACGCACGCTCAAATGCCATCAATCACGCAAGTATGCACGACTTCATATTCATATTTGTATTCACGCAGGATACGGAAGCCCCTAGCTAGGCATATACTGCGGTTTCCTCAACTTATTCACCGGCGGCGGCCCCTCATCGTCGACTGGGTAAGGTAACCTATGTCCGGCCATCGGTCTGTTCATCGGACTTGTACGTACACCGCTTGGACTCGTTGGACCAAGGGTTTGTATTTGTGGTGGTGGTGGTGGCTGCTGTTGCTGATGCTGATGATGTGGAAGTTCATTAATTGGTGTCTTTGGTGGTCGAGGTGGCGCGTCACTGATCGGTGGAGATGGGTTATGTGTGTTCGGTGTAGTCTGGTAATCTGATGCGGTGACGCCAAATTTCTCGTTTGTGTTCTGGTAACGTGCCGAGTCGGTTGAGAGGCGTTGGGTGATGTTGTGTGTTCCTGGGTCGAGGACTGCGAACTTGTCGTTTGAGTCACGGCGGGAGGAGTAAGATTTATCGTCTGGGTAGGGTGCGGTGGATGGTGTACGGAATTGGATTTGTGGTTGTGTTATGCGGGGTGGTGTGGTGTGGCCGACGGGGAGATCTGCTGGAAGTTCTACGGCGGCTGGCCAGCCTTGGTTTTGTGGCTCGTTAATCACTTGGTCGAGGCTCTGTTGTGGTGCCTGCCAACTGTTGGGCCGGAAGTGTTGTGTCATCCTCCTGTGCATAAGGTGAATCTTTGCAAGCCTGTATGCAGCATTTTGTATGATTTCTTGAGTATCTTCCTTCTTAAGGTATCGGCGAGTGCCGATAGTCATGTCTGATAAGCGGTCCCATTCGTTCATACCAAATTCACCAACACCCACTTCCACGTTTAGCCTTGCATAGTTCTCCCGTGGTATATTGTGCTTTGGTAGTTCTGTATTCAACATTTGCATGTGCGTGTCCTCACAGGCTTCGATTTTGGCGATTAGACGTCTTCGAGCTTCTGCGAAACTGCCCACACTACCACCTATAAAGCCTTCCCACCATTCGTGCTGGTTTGAATTTGTGCCTGATGGTCGTTTACCTGTGCCTACACTTACAAAGATACCCAAATCCCGACCAGGCCATTCATTAGAAATGGCTTCCTCCAGGATTTGTGGAGAAGGGTTGTATCTGCCGGCGCCTTCGTCGATGAACACGCTTTGACCTATTTGGATGGGTTTGAAGGCCAGGCCGGTTGCTGAGGTTGCGCGACCGGCTTGCCAGATCTTGCAGTTAAACTCTGGAGGAGGCTCCTTTCTCGAGTCGTAGGATCGAAGTAGTATCGCTGCACCATTCCTAGGGTTTGTGCCTCTGAAGACGGCAGTTACTGCAGTCTTTGTTCTATTCTCTCTGTCGTCATACAAACTGGCTTCGGGATTACCCCAGATTGTGGCGGCTCCACCAAATCCTGGACCAGGACTATACATTGAGGTTCGGTTGCTTGCAGGACTGGTGAGGCTTGCCGACTCATTGCTTCTTACACTTATCGATCGTGCGACTGGGCTGGAGGGAGCATACATAGAACTCGTAAAGGGCTTTCCACCGCGTTGTGTACCATCGTTTCCTTCGTCCTCATACACAGTGTGTTCTGCGACACATTGTTTGATCGCTTCCTCGAGTTTGGAAGCTTTGAACAGTGTCTGCTTGTAGGGTATGCCAGCGATCGTCTTGTCAGTCTCGAAGACTTTCTTGGTCATGCGCACGTAGACGTCCATACAGGTTTCAATGTCCAGGCGTAAGCGCCCTAGCATAATGGCGATGAGGCCGCCTGTGCCTGTGCCTGCTATCAGGTCAAAGTATTCGCAGGGTTTTGGTATTTCGTCTCGTTTCGGCGGCTTCCCTTCCGTCTCGACATAAGCTCTATACATGAGTTCTTGGAGAATGATAAGCATCGAGTAACCACGAACCCCTCCTCCATCTGCGCATACCGTTAGTGAAGCACGAGTAGCAAAGAAATCGACTGACCTAATGATAGGATTCGCAGCGGAGGCCCTTTCGTAGTATCCTTCCTTCTCACGTTGTGTGCGTCCATGTTTGAATAGCGACAACGCTAGATGTTGCGATCAAATTCCACAAGTCGCCAAAGCGCCTGAAGCGCAGACTGGATGGTTGGTAAATCGTGATAGATGTGAAGACCAGCAGATGTCGGAGGGGAACAGAACGATCGACGGACAGGTGTTTCGTATTAGTCTAATGGTGGTGTTCGTAGTACTATCTTAACGAACGTGACAATGTCAGATTGCGAGAGTGGTTGAAATATGGTGTTCTTGTCGCCCAAGGTCAGCTTCAGAACCAGGTTGCGACCGCGGGCGGTTACACATTTCAGTGGCCGAGGAACCACTACAGCGATTAGGGCTTAGGCAGGTACTACGTCAGCCGTACTCGTAACTAGCGCCTACCCAGCCAAGAATGCCTGTCCCGGCACAAATGTGGTTTGCAGAAGAGTTCAACGTTGTCAATTGATCTACCGCTAACATGAGATCTACAGCTGGTGAAACGACAGGAAGCATTCGCTGGGCCATAGAATGGTATCGACTGTTGTTTCTATGAGGGCCAGCCACCCGCTACTCGAGTAGGTTTCTTTGCAGAAACACAACCCTATCAAGAGCACAGCTTTTTTGCCAAGTCCATGTCTTTGCCCACTCCGCCTCCTTTGCGTTACCGCCAGTCTCACTCGGCCTCATCGTGTCCGTTTGGAGGCACGTCTGCGGCATACCTATCTAAGTAATGCGCTGATGCATATTGTCTAACTGCAGTAACAGCATAGTAGATCAATAACTCGGAAGGGTTTGCCACGATGCCGGAACACGAGTTTCCGCTGTCTATTTCAGCTGTCCCCTTCAGCTGGTTCGGTAAAAGATCGACAGGTAACCAGCTTCGTCACGTCCCAAAGAAGGTTGGCAGCCACAGGATCATCCGATCGACACAAGTGTAGACTTGGTTAGCATTTGGCTGATCGTGCCTACTGAATAAGCTTACTGCTATGCCCTGCCTACCTAAACCGCCATGCCCTTCTGACTGGCACTGTGCACGAGCAAATGACCTTCAACAGTGATGGAACGTGAGAAAAAAAGCACATCCATATCTATAGGTTACAAGTTGTATCACAAGTTGAAGGCTTATATTTACACACTTCTAATATCAGGTAGTAATGTACACGTTGCAAGCCGCCCACGAAACCTACGACCAGCTTGTGGGTGAACTTGATTCAACCATCAGCCTGCTTGCCGCCCTTTCTACTGCTAACGATCCGCCATCGAATGAGCCAAACTGTACAACTTCCGCATCAAGACCAGCTTGGCTTTCGTTTGCTCATCCAAGCCAGGCACGTCTGTAGTCAGGTACTGCAATTTCCCAAACTCCCTCCTCCGTGCACTGACCGGCTCTCCATCACCAAGATAGCCTATAAAAACACTTCGAATTAGGTATATGAATGGTCGAGCAAGATCTGTATGCATGACTTGCTCGTCCTCAATGCTGTATTTTCACGGCCGTTTCAATCGTCAAATAATGCTTCTGATAGAGCTCTGGGGTATAGTGTGTTGAACGCTCAGATAGCCTGTCCCGTGCACGGTGCATAAATGTTAAAAATGTCACATGAAATTTGGTTGCTTCGTGGTGCAACCTGCATCCCAAATGTCCTGAAGAAATTTTCTTTAGGCCTCGATTGAGATCACTTGAGTCGGCCCTGAATAGCCTATAAATTGTCCATCAACGATTGGAGGAGAAACTTGAGTTCGCGCTGCTGATATGTGGTTGAGAAGTTGTGCCTGTGCGTAGTGGGAACAACTTGCCCTGTACAAACCGTAAGATTCGAGCATCTTCTTCGAGCGCGGGAGATATAGGTGCTTTGTCATCCAAAAACCTAATCGTTCGTGTCAGCAAGAAGCGTAGGATCTCCTCTGGTACGAGCGACTTCAGGAAAGGGCTGGTCGAATTGAACGTCCCGGCAAGTACAAGCACGTTGCCAAATTGCCTAAAACGACGCGTTAGTTGACTTTCGACACGGGTCAGATTGCACCACTTACGCGTGTGCTGTGCTCAGAATGCTGGTGACGACAAGACGTGGAGGCACACGATCGAACGCCGTGGTGCTCTTGATTGCAGCGTGAATGCATCTCTCACATGCGTCGCGAATCCATGGTTCCAAATTCTCCACGCTCCGCGATAGAGGTGGCCGCATTTCATTCACTCGACGATATGTTGCGAGCGAGCTGACATGGTGGGATACAGCTGGTGATGTGTTTTCGGAATGAGAACTGCCTCCAAGTGGTGATTCAGACGGTCGACTCATAGGTGTTGCGGGATGAGCAAGAGACAATGCATAGTGCAACGCTGGACGGTTGATAATGTACTTGGCACCGTAGTATTTGCCTCGCATGCGAGCGTGGTTGATATCTTGGCTTTCGTGCTCTTCGTCTTCCCAGTTCCAGCCATGCTCAAGCAAACTTCGCCAATTTTCAAGGTTCTCGTCGAGTGTCGTGATGAGTTGTGGAGGTTTTCCATCGCTCGGCTCTCTAGTGTTGCTGTAAACGTTATGGACCGCGTCGTTGATAGTTCTTCTAAGCTGTATCTGGTTCGAGTAATGTCGATGAATAATGTTCTGCTCTCGTCGGTACGCTTCTCTCGGGTTCGACGAAACTTCTTCTTTCTCTCTTTCCACATCTGCTGTTCCGATCGTCAAAGCACTAGGGACCTCAAGCAGCATATCTGCCTCTCTTGCGACGATTCCACTTGGAGGAATGTCCATCTCAGCCAATATGTCACTCTCTAGCTGCAAACAGCTCCAAAAGGCAAAATTAATGAGATTTCGCCGCTCCTCTGACATTCTCTTCTCCCTATACTCTGCCGACCTGATCAATATCTGCACTGCTCTGCATGCGTTGTTGATATACCAATGACTAGGGATGATCCGAGCTATCTGTCCCATATAAAGCCCTGCGAGTAGATTGGCCTGAATGTGCGAAACGTCGACCCCACCAGGAAGCTCGCCCAATATGTCCGCTGCTTTCGCAAAATATGCCAATCCAGGTATGACATCCATGTTCTTGCCCTGCAACCCAGATACAGTAGATCCAGAAGGCACACCATTGATGTGAGATCCAGTATACGGCGAGGTTGGTGCGGAAGATGAGGGTGGAAAGTCGCCGTACCCAAGCAACGGTTGCTGTTGAGGCACCCGACTGTTTGATGTGACTGAAGAGCTTTTTGGTGGGCCTGGCAACGGCTTCTCATAGGCACAGATCTTGCCCAAAGCAATAACAAGCAATACAATAGCGTTGGACACTGAGTGTTCAATTTGAGACTGCGGCAGTCCAGACCGAACTCCGTTGTGAGGTGGTACGGCATGTAGAACATCCGCCGTCGAGTTAGGTGACTCACTTGTGTCCCTCTTCCTCTTTGTCCCAGTGATGACGTTGTGTGCCAGACGAGGAACACTAGGAAAGTCCCAACTGTACTTGAGCTTGAATGTATGAACCATCTTTCGAAGCACACGTGCATCAAGGAAAGGGTGAAGAATATGCATGTGTTCGAGGTAACTTTTCACATGCCCGTCGACCGCTGTGCGATCCAGTAGCAATTGTCCTCCTGGAGTTACACCTCCTGGGTGGTCGTATACGGGCTGGTGGTTGCCCTCTCGATGAGGTAATTGCCCTGTTCCCCACACCCCACTAGGTGATGAGTTCGTTCCATCCTCGTCCATGCGACCTGACGAGTTGTTGCTTGCAGCAGGACTCGGCGCACCATCGTGCCCATCGCCTTTGTCTTCTCCTTCACCGCATCCGTAGAGTCTCAACAAACCTCTCTGCGCCTCACCATCCATGACGTACGTCGAAGCTATGTCCTTGGGTGCCAAGTCTTGAATTGAAGGCCACATGAGTAGATCTGACGCGCCCATGGGACCCCTCTGTTTCGGTGTCGAAGCAGTATATACATGTACCGCAGCGTTGGCATCGACCATGCCACCCTGCATGAAAGGTGCGTTGATGAAATCATGCCGGTGTAATTGAGCCGAGGAGTTTGAGCGAGGTTCCTCCTTCGTCTGAGGTCGAGATCTAGTCTTAGTCATTGGTATGCTCGCCTCGGGTCGTGAGTCGGATACTGATCTTTGAGAAGCAATGAGTTGGACACTGGCAATAAGGTTATCCAGTTTCTCATCCACCGCATTTAGTTTGTCGTCAGTCGACCTAATATAGCTCTCAAGCTGACTAGCTAGCCCATCCACTTTTTCAGTCATGTGCAACATCTGCTTCTCAGATTTCTGAGGCGGAACATCTCTATAAGTACACCTGAGAGAGTTCTCCTTACAATGTGTGCATTCCGGGCGACCTTCATCGCATTTGGCCTTTCGCTGACGGCAGGAGTCACATGCTTGCGCTGCTCGCACAGGTTTTCGTCTCTGCTGCTGGTACCAATCCGCATGAGGCGGAGGAGGCCAATATCCTGGTGTAGGAGGAGGTCCTGACGAAGGAGGTGGTGGGTAACCCGGCGGTGGTCCCTGGTGTTGTGGTTGGGTGGGCATTATTTCATGATTAGTGGTCTGTACATGGAGGACAGGCTGAGGCTGAGCACTTGCAGGACTCTCAGGGGGTGGATATGACTGGCGACTTCGGTAGTCAGCAGGAGGAGGAGGGTAATACGCCTCAGAAGGATGAGGAGCACCATTCACCGTTGTTGAGTAATGCGATGGTTGTGCACTTGGCGGCGAACGTGTTGGACCAGAAACACTATTCTGGCGGCTATACCCAGGATCAGGTGGGTAGGTAGGTGTCTGACTGTGAGGTGGAGGACCATAGTTCTGCGGTGGTGGATATGAATGAGGGACGTGATGAGGTGGGGGCCCATCTGGAATTGGTCTATGATCATGGCCATCATGGTAAGGTGAAGGAGCTGGGTTCCAATGAGGGTGCATTGGAGCACCTTGTGGAGCAGGATGAGGGTAGGTATGCAAGTGTGGTGCTTCGGTTGGCGGCATGGGTAGCGATGGAGGCTGCCCGTATGATGCAGGTCTTTCACGTTTGAAATGTGGGTCGCCTATCTCCTCCATACTCGGCTGTATAAGTGCTATCTTGAACCATTCCTATCCGATCGCAATTGTGAGAATTGAGTGACCGTTGATTGGGCCAAGTCTTGCATATCCGTTGACCTGTACAGAGTTGAAATGCCGGACTCGAAGATTGTCTATGGGGGATGCCGCTTGAATGTGATTGCCAACGTCGACAAAGTTGCGAAGGAGACTGGATCAGCTCATGCGGGCTGATTGGCAACAGTGCAGCACACTCTTCACCGACAACAGCAAACGTGGGATGATGCGCAGGTTGAATGGTGTTGGCAAACCAGCTTGCAATGACAGCTCACAGAGTAGATTGTGCGAAATGCTGTGCGCGTCAAAAGTGGTAATGTATGGCCTGAAGCTCCAATACTGTTCGATTCGTTGGTGCAGCAAACAAAAGGATGAGATCAGCTCTGCTCTATGTGCATTCGCCTCTGCAGTAGTGTCTGTGTGGTATTGAACCGATCCGGGCCACTTGCAACAATTTTTATCCTGCTTGACTGTGCTGTACGGTCTCGACTACCGTAGTGGTACATCAGTAGTTGTGTACTTTCTATAAAGATCCAATTTAATTCGAGGGTGGGCAGCTCATGTTGCGTGGGATTGTGATCGTAGGTGGCTAACTAACAATGTCTGATGGTCTGCTGTGTCTCATTCACAAATTCGGGTACAGACAGAGAGCCGGGCCAATGCGCATCAATATTGAAGAACAAACAGCGATCGGGCTCGGTTGTGTACTCGCAGCACGACGTAGTGACGATCCCAGCGAGGATCACAACGAGAAGTTGGTGAGCGCAGGCACAGAGGGACAATACACATCGAGGAAGCACCCGTCAGAATGGCTCGGGACAGCGGTACGGCGAATTTCAGCTTGGGTGCAAAGTCGCGAATACACCATTGCCAGCTAGAGCTCGAATCGAAGGTCGTCAGATGATGAGAGTGGCTCCATAGCTCTACACAAGCGCGAGGTGTAGTCTCATTAAATGGATAATCAGTGGAGCTGAGGACGTGGAGGCTGTCCTAACTTTATCCCACTACTTGGGCAAGGATTAATTAGAATGTATCGATCAAGTTCCACGGTTGCAGGTGCGCCCGCTGCAGCACGAGTAAGGAAACTGGATGTCCTGAACCATGCATAGAGATTCCCGACTTCAACTACGTCGTGGCAGCATGCAATGTGGCGTCTGTTGCGCCTGCCCAGATAGTACCTAGTTTCCGGAGCACCTATTGAGGCACCTACTGCTTTTATGACGTCCTCGTCGGCTCAGCAGCTCTTGGACGTGTTTCAAGTTGAGAGACTTTAGTATGCGGACACGCTTGTTAGACAATACCCTAACCACCTGTGAAAGCAAAAACCCAGGCTCGCCCCTCTTCCGTGCTTGACCCGCCTAGGTACTGTACGTGCAAACCCGATGACAACCTTCAATTCTTCTGCAACAGCTGCTGGTCGTTTGGCTTACAGAGCACATCGTGCAAGGGTAGCATTGTGAGTAGCCGATGCCTAACTTTCTGGACCAAGAAAACATAACTATCAGTGAATGTCACGGCTCATTAACTTCCAAAAGTATCCACCTAGCCAATCTTCGGTAGGTGCGGTATACGAACAGCGATCCTGACTCGTCAAAACTATGTCAGACAGTATCTACCACATGAAGAGCAAAGATGTAGAAAGCCATACGCAGTGCCTGTTTCATCTGACTTTGACGGTAGTTCGGTCAGATGTGGGCTCATTGTCGGATTAAGCAGTGCGAGCGTTAATACTAATCACAAAGAGCACCATCGTAATGTGGCCAACCACACTCGACATTCATTAATTCCAAGTACCCTTCTGCTTGTAGCCAAGCTTCTCGCAGGCGCTGTCGCTACTAGAGCCTTAGCAATGATAACCTAGTCTCGAGTCTTATCTCATGTCAGGAACATTAGCTGTTAGCAGAGACATTCGTAGCTATGGCTAGGGATGTGGTAGGTGGGGGAAAAGTTACCAAGCCTTGAAGCGGTGTGCTAGAGTACATAGAAATCCTCTTGTCTGACGGCAGAATTTGTATCAGGCACCGTCGATCTTTCAGAATATATTCGGTCACGTAAACTCGAGAGCTCTTGGTTCAAAGTACGTTGTAGTCGGAGACTCAGAGACCAGGCGTATTACTCGATTTTCCGAGCAGGTTCTCTCTGCATTTCTGCTAGGTATCGTAGTGTTTCTTGTTAGTGAACCTCACAGCAGGCTCGCTTCGACATACTCTGCAGGTAGTGCGGCTGGACAGTGCATTGGCATCTCCTGAACATGAAGCTTTATTCATCTAGTTCAATATCACCTTGATCGAGCTGAGCTTGAAATCCAAACGAGTCATAGCCTTTTAATCTCCGTCGTTACTCGATACATGTCATTGATTGGTGTTCGTAAGTAAGCCTCCCGCACCACGTGGAAGCTCGTGGAGGCACAATCGCGCGTACGTTTCTGCTACTAGCTGAGGCTTCCTAGGCTCCTCCGGATTCACTACGTCCACTGCTACTAGTGGCTTTCAGCTCTACTCACAATGTCGGTTCTGCACAACTCTATGTGAAGTGCTTTTGAATACTGTATCATTGGACAAAATGCCTGTCTATCGGAGGGCTTTTCCAGAAGGACTTGCGAGAATTTCCGTAAGCGACTGAGCCTGCACGGCTGAATAGCCCCATCGATGCAAAAGCGGCTAACATGTATGCATTATGCAGCAGCGGCTCGACATCGTATCCATGCAGGATTTGCCTTTTGAGTCGTTTTCCTCGTGTTCGGAAGGATAATGCCTAAGCAAAGTCGGACTTAGTACTATAGCCACTGAAAGTTTGAGCCACGCGATAAGTACTCTACAGTTTTGACATAATGCTTGTCGCTTTAGAAGAATCGAGCATTTGATCGTTCTGGAAGATGACATCGTAGGCAATCATCTGCGCCATCGCTTTTCAGTCCAAGCTGGAATGGGAAGGCACCCAAGAACATGGTGCCACATTGCAACACTGGTAATTGAAACATTTCGCAAGCTCCGGCAATTGAGGTGGTAGTCAATCAACCAATCAAAGAAGATTAATCTTACATTGTATTGTCGGACCCCCGAAGGATCCCTGTTTCCACGTGCAAACAATCAATAGTCGACCCAGAGTGCTGGTAGGCCAAGATTTAATTACTCCGCGGTATTGTAGCATTCACAGATCCTGCCGAAGCTAATGCTGATAGATCTGGCAAGCACGTCAATGGCGTTGCGTGCTGTCCTGCTGTTGACGGCGCTGATCACATCTGTCGTCGTGATAGTCCGAGGCAGGTACGATCAGGGACCTGTAACCAGAAGACGTCTACGAATTTCTCGGTGTTTGCTATAGAAGACATTTTATTGGTAACAATGTAGTAGGATACTACTACGAGTCATCTTCGAATGTGGTTCGACATATGAGGTTCTTGGCTCGCTCCCTTGCTCGCAAAATATTTCCATTGAGCAAACAATACGTATACCACACAATTCTCGCGCACGGCTTCTGTCTCGAATAGGCAATCGCAAGGGGCGTTGCTCTCATCGCATTGACTTCGAGCATAACCCGTTGTGGAGAGAAACTCTCTTTTTGTCACACAGGAAGCGGCCGACGCTTGTGCTGGTGTCTTCAGGATTCCTTTCAAACTGAAGCATGACGCAGTACCAGCACAATAATTGTGCAAGTTCTACCTCTAGTGCACAGGAATCTCGTTTGCGATGGCCAAAAATCCACGGCAGAGTCGACTTATCTCATCCACCATTGAACTCAAAGATAACACTAAATCTCCCACGCAACTATCGTTCGCCAGTCTTTTTTATGAGATGGTGGACAACTTGTTTGAAAGCCTTCAAGCAATTACGTATATGACGATGTATGATTTCCGAGGCTGCTCACATCTTCAAGCGGACTTGAAGCGCAACGGTAGTACTCCGCGGATGAGCTGGCTCCCTACTGACCAGACTCGATGTACTAGTATCTGTTGAACTTACAGCTTCGGAATCCTATTCAGAGCCCAGTCGGAAATGGCTGGTGTTGAAAGAATGCGGTTTTGGAAAGACTATTCACAACCCCAGGTCAGGCAGATCATTGTCGTGCTCATGACTGGAAGGACCTATCAGATTTTCACGCGAATGCGGCAATCTGATCTGCCTCGGATATTGAGTCCTTGAAGCCGTTACGTTTGAAAAGCAATCCTGGAAGACGATATCTGTCGCGCAATGCATTGCAGATCATCACTCCTCCAACTAACAGAGATAAGCTGGAGAAAGTCCGTGGCTTTTTAGTTGGCTCAACTGCGACTTCAGAAATCGCTCTCAATAGCTAGTACCTACTTACTAACACATCGATCTAAGGAGGATGCTGATAAGCTTCAGTCTATTAATAATGTCATGAACTGCCTACCACGTGGCGGTTCCTCAATTGCATGAGCGACAACTCTTTTTCCCACGTGTTCCCTTGGATTTGGACGTAATACGTCATGTATCGCATACAGCACAGGACGAGAGTCGTCGTTGCCATTACAATCATACAGCGACATCATGGATAGTATTCATATCCTTTTTACCGTAGCCACGGCTTCCTTGGGCGACACGGTCAAGGCACAAGATAGCTGGGCTCAATGACAACCAAGATCTCGCTTACGGCAACGCGACTTGTGTAGCAGACCTTGTATCCGGAAATATTCTGCTATGGTGTGGTGTTTTCTCGGTCCTGCACCTTCTACAATCGCTCGTGTCTAACGTCACATCTTTGCTTCTCCTCTGATTACCTCTTTCACGAGATTCATAGCTCCGATTGCAAATGCAAGCATGTTTTGCTCGCGGTCGGTACCTTTGCCAGTGTCAATTTCTAAGGTTTTCGTACCTGCTGGACCGGCCACTGCCAGCGCGACATAACCACTGCCCCGATTCTGTCAGCATAGCTCATGGACGTTTTTTTCCCATAGTGGTTACGTACGGCGTTCTGTTACGAGTCGTGCCGCCCGTTGGGCCGGCAGTGCCGCTCTGAGGTCGATCGTCAGCTACTCTCGCATGCCTTCGTGGCCACATGACACGCTGCAGGCATGTGCAGGACTAGCAACTCACTTCTGAAACACAGTAAGTGGATTCAAGCTTCACTCTCACATTCTCCGCCAATCCAGCAACGATCTCTGGTGTTGGCCCTTTGTAGCTTGCTATATTTTCCTGGTTCCAACCTGCAAACTGTATTCTACTCTGTAGAGTGTAGAGCTGTTGAATCACAGAAGAATTAGCACAGGAACTGTTGCAGACCCACCTCGTGCGAATCTCGGCGTTCTCATTCAGCTTACTGTCAAGCCACCTTTGTAGATTGCGCTCGCACCTGGTGTGGCCAGCAGTGCCGCTGAAATCAATCCTCCGGCTGCTGTTTCTGCAACAGAGATGGTTTCTTGTCTGTCCTTCAAGAGCTGCGCGACCTCTGCCGCAACTGCTTTCAGAGTAGCAGGAATGACCTCGGTAGACATCTTGTCTGCGTTTGCAGCGTAGCTGACTAGGAAAGAGATTTTTCGGAAACGGAATACGGGGTCCAAACTATTGTGTATTGTAGTATTTCAAAGCACTACTAGTACTATTTGTTGTCGAGCAAATGTTCGTGGGGAAGGTAATGGTGCCGCGGCAGGAACGGCCATGCTCTCAGGCCTGAAGGTTGAGAGGATAAATTACAGAAACACACCCTGCTTGATGTTCATCCTTGCCCGCTGTCCTACAGTGCAGGTTTGTGGATGTGCTTCCGTTCAATTACCTTTACCGATTTTGCCGCGCACTCTGCACTTAAGACCCAGACATTATCGCCATAAATGTGCAGCCGGTTTCTGCTGAATAAAGATGTATGATTTCGCTACACTACGAATGTCTGCAGTATCAAGATCGTCACTTCAGTCAACGTGGACAGAGAGGTCGACAATCAATTCCACTACGTACATAGAGGCTGTACTGAGCGTTCAGAGTTGGCTAGACAATGCTCGACGACGACACCATACGGATCTGACCTTGATGTGAATATCTTACCACTACCTTTCTGTCTTATCATGTGCTCTTATCCTGTGCTCTGGCAATACTGATGCAACGGAACCATAATGAAATACTTATTGTGACAGAACTGCCACGGACCAGAAGCAGAATGCGGCAAATTTTGGTATAGTAGTGAGAGTGGACGTCTGTCTGTCTTGCTTGCTTGCTTGCTTGCTTGCTTGCTTGCTTGATCACCGCCGCGACAAACCATCAAACAGATCAGACATACAAGGCTGGTTTCGTCTTCGTCATTGCGCCACTGAGTGTCTTTGACCACTACATACCTTCTTTGTCCACATTGAAGCATGCACTGGAAGCGTAGTGTCGACATCGAGCGTCGTGTATTTGTACGGAGTAAACAACAATCAGCTAAAGCTTCATCACCACGATCTGCTCCTGTGTCTGTAGCGACAAAAACCATGGACCACACACCGATTGCCCGCTTGAGTATGGAGCCTCTAAACAGAGGGCATCGCTATGGTCCATCGAACGACCGAATCCTGCCAAAAGAAGATGATTACTGGTTTCCCATGCATTGCAAGTGCTGTCCGCTGTGGCAAGATCATCGACACTCACATACAGGAAACCAGCGCAGGAATCGTTATCCTCCGTCTCGACAGTCCAGTTGGGTGATGGCTGGAGATGGCTCGTCCACCCCATACCGTACTTCCTCTCAACAAAGTACTCGTTCCCCGTACCATAATTCTCCCACATATCGCAGCAACGGACATGCCAGTTATGTTGACCAGATTGGAGACCGACTGAGGAGTCTATCGCCTTCTCGCCATCACGATGAGATCGAAGAAAGAACACCTCCAGGACACAATGCCCAACTACTGGTGCCACCCAACTTGGACGTTCTGCATCAAGCACGGGCAAGCAGCAATACTATGGACTTCAAGGCCGCAGCTGGAAGGCTGTACTCTACACTCTGTAGAGCTGAGAAGTTCTTCGACGTCTTCTTACGATCCTTCAAGGATGAGATTTCTCAGCAATACATAAGTTACAGCAAGGAGAGACTCTGGCGAGATAAGGTGATACAATATAACCAAGACTTGCTATTACCTAATATCACAGGTTCCGAAGGTAAGTAATGTCATCGAATTATTGCCAAGCTATCCTAATCTATTCCCAGACACCAATAACGACTGTACCCATGACGATCCAACAAAGCGTCCACAGGAGAATGAGAGCTTCAAAGAGCTACAACTTCAGCTAAGTCAGCAGATTGTTGCCTTATGTATGTCGAGGATTGTGCCTCCGAAGCAAATGCCAGAACACCAGACGGCAGAAGCCAACCAACAATCCTCCACGACCGACTTAGACTTGCAGTTCTCGAGTGATGAGGCTGTAAGGCTGCAGGTGGCCTACGACATGGCAAAACCGTTATTGCAACACGTTCAGACGGTACATTCAAAGCTGGTAGCAAATCTCTCGCGAATGCACACCGACTGGCGCGCTGCATGCGAGACATTGGTCATGATAAAACGACTGAGAGGTCTCATGCAAGAGTATCGAAGAGCTTGGAAACCTTTGAGCAATCGGGAATCTGACGAGCGGTATTGAGGCTGCCAGGCAATTGAGCTGGAACGAGGGTCAAGAAGTGGTGGCGGTTCTACACAAAATTGTTCGTGCTTCTAGCTTATCCCTTTACAATTTTGGCATTCATGGTCGTTTCCAGGTCCTCGATACTCCCAGTCGGACTCCACAATCCCGAGACTTTGGAAACACGCTACGTTGAGCCGCAAACTCTCCCTATCCTGACTATTGGTAACGGGGACCGTCGCGAATCTAAGTGTCCGTGGATCCAGCAAACAAAACCTGTGGGTACCCCTAGGTGTGAGTGCCGTTCCATTGGGATCGTTTATTAGGTTTTTGTGCTTTATCACCAGCTTTACGAAGCACAACTTCCCACATCGAGAGCCGTCTCTCGAGCCAAGACAGTAACCCTCAGATCAGGCTCAACGGCAATACACAAGTGGATGTAAAACGAACGGCTCTACTCGTACTAAAGTTTCGTCGAGAACGGCACGTTATATTGTCCAAACCCCCAACATAGCAATCGCATAGACTATCGCCAGCAGACGTCCGGCGAGATCGAAATACTGCGAACACGTTCGATTTTTGTCGGCCAGCTGGTGCGTAGTGCAAAGCATACAGTTGAGCTCTTTGCAAGTCAACACTTGTAGCGCGAAAACAGAAATAGAAGAACAATGATCACATATGTTCGTCGTGAGCCTTCACATACACGACTCGTGTGATTCGAGACGAAGCAGCTACCAGAGTAGGAATGCACTCTCACCTTCCCGTATCCCCCCTTAGTTAAACGATAGCTCCAATCTGATAGTCCTCGTCGACGTTCTCGAGCAAAGTTGTGCTTCCGTAGATACGCTCAGGGCTACTCGAGTAGCTTACATCCCCCGTTTCGTTTAGCGACGCGACCAAGCGAACACTCGTTAATCGACGGCTCGAAACGTAAATGGCGTCAGGTACGCCTCGCGAACTAAGCAGTCGTCCAGCTGATCATCCCGTATACGTATCTAAGTGCTGAACTCAGTCTCTCGCAAAGACGAAGGATTATTCACAAGGCCTCCTCGTTCAACGTATAGTTATCTCAAGAGTACTACTGCGTAGCTAGCTCTTGTTTGTAGCAGGATCATCGCTCGTCGATCAGCGAAACCTCCGTGTTTTTTATTAGCGCGTAATTTGATTACCTGCGTGGTTACTCAGCAGCCCAGAAGTTTGGGAACAGGACGCAAGCCTTCCCCGAAATAAAAGTGATGAACCAAATTTCGGCTTCGTTTGCCCCGAACGTTTCTTATGAGGTGCGTGTTACTGTATTTCGCAATACCAACGCTGCAGACGTAATTTTACCTGTTCTGTAAGAGGACGGGTCGGCGACTGGTTCTCGGCATTTGGTACAGTCGCTGAGGCTATTAGCAACACATCTTTCGAATCATGTGCCGTGATGATCACAACGTATTTACCTAGGGTAGTATTCGCGGCGTGGTGGACGCGGTTTCGAGGCCACCCCAGAGATTTGCTTTGGTGTTGTGAATCGTTGCTGGGGGTAATTACGTAGTGGGTATGAAGGTTCAATATTGTATGTGGGGATAGTGAGATTACGATCGATCAAGGTTGTGAGTTATTCGGGTCGTGAAGCGACTCAGATCAGGGAGACGGACCGCCAGCTGTTGCAGATGTAAAGGAATGAACAGGCGCGGATCTGGAATGTCCAATGTGCTTGGGGTTACCAAGATCAGAAGGAGAGGAGGACAAGCGACAATTCAGTGAAGATTGTACTTCTGCTTCGATATGGTAAAAAGGGTTTTCAATAGAAGCTGTAAAGCCTAATGCCGCACAGTGCCTACACATTGGTATACTATACAAGAAGTCTTCCTGGAACTCCTCTGCTTGCTCGTTGCCATTTCATAATCTAGACATTCACCATAACCATCAATCTCAATCGTCAGAATACATTCCTCCTTATCGTGTCTCGTCAAGCGCGACATTAGGGTGAAGGACATATTTCACCTTGATCGCTTGTCGTCGAGGTTCATCCTCATCCTCCTCCTGGTCTGGCAGCCGCTGATCTGCAGAATTATCATCCGTTCTAACGGCCATAATCTCCATCTCCTTCTCCATTCGTTTCAGAACCTTTCTTGCAAGCCTCTGCTCCTGTGCCATATCTTCTGGTCCAGCCAGTTCATTCTCAACCTGCTCGAGGTAATACAAGATCAACGCCTCCTGCTCAATGCCGCCTATAGCTTCTTCTGGATCAGCATCATCTTGTTGTTCGCGCTGATTTTCTTCGTCCTCAGTCTCAACATCTTGGGCTAGTGCACGGTCTCCACGTTCTTCATCGTCTGATAGTTTCTTGATGAAGATATTCCGCATCTTTGTATATTTGTCAGCAGTGATTTTCGTGCGAGGCTTCGTGATTGCGGGTGCAGCTGAGGTCTGTCGAGCTGTACCATCCATGGCGAGGTCCGTGTCGTGGTCGTCGTCCCCGTTTACAGCATCTTCAGCAAGCGCGCCGTCTGGCTGATCACCACCTTCGTCGTCCGATTCATCGAAGCCAACATCATCACGTTCGACTGATATGATGGACTGCCTCAACAGATTATAGGCCTCAATGACCATATGTTCTGTGACTTCCTCCACGCAATTTGCCTTGGCAATAGCTTCGCTCAATCTGATCAAACTCTCAAGTTGTCGAACTGTAATACGGTAGCTGTTCCTGCCTATACCGCCAGAGTCGTTGGCTCTCAGGTCTTTGTATTTCTGCACAAGCAACTTCTTTGCAGCAGGATTGAAGACCGGCTTGAACGTCCTTGCAAATCTGATGTATCGCTGTAATTGTTCAGTATTGAATTCTGGTTGCACAAAGTCGTCCTTGAGCATATGTAGGTTAACAATATGGCTTGCTAAGTGGCGGTCGATATTCTCATTGCACTCATCAAGGACAACAAAGAACAGATCAAATCTAGACATGATGGGGGCAGACATATTTATATTGGCGCGTAGAGTTGCTTTGCGGTTGTAACGGCCACCAACTGGATTAGCGGCTGCTAAAATGGACGTTCGAGCGTTGAGTGTAGCGTGTATCCCTGCTTTGGCAATGCTGATCGTTTGTTGTTCCATGGCTTCGTGAATAGCAACTTGGTCAGCAATATCCATCTTATCAAACTCGTCGATGCAGCATGTGGCACTATCTGCAAGCATGAGTGCACCAGCTTCGATAGTGTGCTCGCCCGTTTCCTCGTCCTTCACGACCGCTGCAGTCAGACCAGCCGCAGATGAAGCTTTGCCAGAGGTATAGACTGCTCGTGGCAGAAAGCTGGCGATGTACTTGAGAAATTGTGACTTCGAGGTTGATGGATCACCCACGATGCAAATATTGATATCACCCCTTAAGGGCATACCTTCAGGCGTGACTTTTGATACACCACCGAGTAATTGTAGTAGAAGACCCTTCTTAACTATTTCGTGCCCGTATACCATGGGTGCCAAGCTGTTTACGAGGCGCGAGTAGACGCGCTCTGAATGCACCATAGAACGAAGCTCCTCGATTTCGGGTGGCGTGAGTGTCTCGAGGAAAGCTTCTTGTGCACGTTGGGAAGCCTCAAATGTTTCGAATACATCGACCTGGTGGAGCGAATTGAGTATGTTCGTCGACTGACCAGTCAATTGAGAGGCAGTCTGGCCAGCAGTAGTAGTATCGGGTTGTGAGAAGCAAGCCATAAAGGCCATTCGATATGTCAGATCTCTGACACCAAGAGCCTTGAGACCACTGACACCAGCGCCTCCTTCTTCTGCCCCACGGAAGGAGCGGTTGTCCTTTGATGCTTCGGGCCGAACACCAGGTACGCCCAATTGTGCCACATCAGGTACCACAATCAGAGTACCAGTGAATATACACTTCTCGCCGGGTTTTGTACGTTCAACTTGCTCGCCTCGTAATATGACGTCCATCGTGCGAGGCATACTACCTGTTGGAATTTCAGAGCTGTTTTCTTGGATTCGACACTTCTGCCAGTCGACGAAGGTACTATTTGTAAGATCGAGCCTCCAGCCCACTTTGTTGTTACAGGTCATATTTGGGCATATGGTCGGCTCTGTGTATCTGAATGTCTGCTCGACATTGGGTACTGTAGTGTTGCAAGCCAAGCAGACGAATGTGCCAGACGATAGTTCAGGACGTACTTCCGAAGTCCTCGTAACAGTTCCAGAAATCGAGACTAGCTTGCCAATAGCGTCTGTCCTCAGCTGACGTATACGGGTGACAAGTGGCAGATTGTAGAACGCCAGGGTGAAAACCTTGTCGGTCTGAGTGTTCAATATGGAGTCGTTCTGAGTGCCATCAGCACTTGACATGTTCGCGCCCATAGACGTGCCTCCTGCTTGCGAAGTAGTGCTTTCCATTTGTCTGTGCTCTCGAAAGTATACGGGCTCATACTTCGTAAGTAGAGTGTGCATTGCCTTGGTCAAGAATGGTAAGAAACGATAATATTGTACAGCGATGGCATTGGCCAAGAAGCCTTCAACATAACTTTGTAGATGCTTGTAGTCCACATATAGAGTTGACAACGAGAACTCTTTCAATCCATGTATCTGATTGACATAGTACTTGTCTGTTCTTAGCTCGCTCGAAGGAGGTAGACTCGATGATGCAGGCTCTTCCGAATGTGATTCTAGGAAATCCTCGAAGGCTGCCTGTATCCTCAACCCTCCTTCATCTTCGAGTTTGGGAACGTTTCGATCTTTTGGATTTCGTGGTCGACCTTGCGCAGCGGCCACGACCTCATCTTCGGGAAACAGATCTGCCTCGGAGTGAAATCCATTGCTTAGGGATGGAGGAGGCCCTGGTGTCCGTCGTGGTGAGGTAGGGACGTCTCTGGGTGTGCGTGCTGGTTGTGAGGAAGGAGTCGCACCACCAGCAACATCTGAATTCAACACAGAGTCGAGGAGTGTCGACATTCTGAGTACGTGAGAACCTGCTGCATATGTCAATTACGAGAATGTGCTCGCTGAGTAGGAAGTTGCTTGCGATTCTCCTTGTGAAGGTAGCACTTTACGCGTCCAGAAATCGCGTCTTGTTCGTGTTTGCATAAGATGGTTTCTATGCATGAGCCAAGTGTTCAGATAGGGTTAACTTTACGATCATCTAGCGCAGAGTTCTCCGAGAAACTCTTGTTGGAATTTCTCTAAGCATGAACACTTTCCTCCTCTGCATTCCCGCAATCAAAATGTTCGATTGAACTGATCATTACAGAACTATCGAGCTATGTTAGTAGCTCTACCTGGAGGCACAGACTCAGTGCACTCTTAGGCTACTACACAAAACTTGCTAAAGACAGGCTGAGGGATCCAGCTACCAGAACAAAAATGGACACAACGACCAGTTTGGGAAAGACACTCAAAGCATTATACCAAGCCATAATTGCTCGTTCGCTGTCGAATACTCTGTAGATGGGTAGTCCAGATACACCATACCCACGGCGACCCTACGGATGGAGAGAAACTCGAGCTGCGACTTTAAGTGTATCAAAACGGCTGCAGTAAGCGCACCACGAACGAACGCGCCAAGACCACGATAAAGTTCATGCAGGGGCATGAACATATCTGAGATAAACAGTGTTCAGAGGTTCCCTGGCACGGCTGTTTGAGACCATATTGCTGCTGCAGAAGTCGTGCCTTTTGGTCGGAGAAGCATTGAGATTCATCGACGGGAGGAATATAGTAGAGTTTAAGACATATAAGTCAAGCGAAGCCAAAAAAAAACAAGAGGTTCTGAGCGCATCCGTGCACTCAGCCACACTCTCCACGAGTTAAGACTACCAAAGTGAAAATCGCTTCTAGAACTGTGGCTGATCTTCAAGCTCGACGTACGGCTTGTGGACGTGCTGGACGCACGTACCATGCTGAGGCTTATCATGGGTTACTGACAGCATCAGAATACATGCTCTTGTGACTGACCATTGTCATCGTGCCTGGCAACTCATACTGTACTTATTCGTAGAGACAGAGAGTCGACTCGCCTATCGATTGGTTCACGTCGTCCTGGGCAACTCGCGTGGTGGAGCGTCCAGACGTCTCGCTGGAGTGAGTGGCTGCAGTGCTCATGCTTATTAGTTTCGAAAGTGCATACACTTGTTCCAGGCTAGAGTGTGAACCAAAGGAACGAAATCGCAGTGTAGTATACAACACTGTCAACGTATAGTTACGATACAAAGATACTAAGCCAGGAAAGCACTACCGCGAAGTTTCTACTTGTGGTTGCAAAGACTCGTAGCTGCTGTGCTGGCTATTGCGACTACAACACGACTGCTGCATAAACCGCCCCAATTTTGCATCTGCGCCATCGGAAAGGTTTCGATCTAGCCTGGATCCTTTTCAGCTGAAGGGCGAACACAGTCATACTATTAGAGGTTGGCACAGATTGTCCCAACGCCTTATGAGTCTGCCCACAGAATAGCAACGATCAGGAAACGCTTCGCAGCCAATACGATGATGTCGCAAAGGTAATACAGATTGGGCGCGACAGGAACACTTCAGGCTGTTCCTTTGGCAGACGTCGTTACTTGTCCTTAACAATGTCACTCGCTGGCGAAATCGACGCTTCCTCCCTCCATCTCCTCTATGCCGCCCACACCCTCATCGCTCGCAACGAGACCTCGAACTCTACCACGTCTGCCACCAATGAAGGTCGTCCAGCTGTCTACAAGATCATCGGTCTGTCTTTGGCTGTGGCTTCTGGTCTGTTCATTGGTATTTCCTTTGTGCTGAAGAAGGTCGGCCTGCTGAAGGCCAATGTCAAATACAATGAGGAAGCAGGTGAGGGCTATGGTTATTTGAAAAATGTATACTGGTGGGGAGGCATGATCCTGATGATAGTGGGAGAAGTCTGCAATTTTGTCGCCTACGCTTTTACCGATGCTATTCTGGTCACCCCATTAGGCGCTTTATCCGTGGTGGTTACCACCATTTTGAGTGCCATCTTCCTCAAAGAACGTCTGAGTTTCGTCGGCAAGGTTGGCTGCTTCTTGTGCATAGTTGGTTCAGTTGTTATTGTCCTCAACGCTCCCGAGCAGAGTGCTGTCGCAGATATCCAACAGATGAAGCACTTTGTCATTGCCCCAGGCTTTCTCACTTACGCTGGTATTATCATTGTTGGCAGCACATTTATCGCCTTGTGGGTCGGACCACGCTATGGCAAGAAGAGCATGTTCGTCTATCTGAGCGTATGCAGTTTCATTGGTGGCTTAAGTGTCGTTGCTACACAAGGCCTGGGTGCTGCTGTCGTCGCGCAAGCTAGCAAAGGTAACCAGTTCAATCAGTGGTTCTTGTATGTCCTGCTGGTCTTCGTTGTTGCAACACTGCTGACCGAAATCGTTTATCTTAATGTAAGCACAGAGCGTCGCACTCGACAGACCTTGGCTAACTCATCACAGAAAGCTCTCAACATATTCAACGCTGCGCTCGTCACGCCAACCTATTATGTATTCTTCACTAGCACCACCATCATCACTTCTGCCATTTTGTTCAGAGGATTCCATGGAACAGCTGTAACCATCGCAACTGTCGTGATGGGTTTCTTGGTTATTTGTTCTGGCGTCGTCCTATTGCAGCTCTCCAAGTCCGCTAAAGACGTTCCAGATGCAGCTATCTTCAAAGGCGACCTCGATCAAGTACGAGAAGTGGCCGAGCAGGAGGCAGCAGAAAGCGAGCCAAAGGCTGATGCAATTCGTGGTGCAGCCTCAATCATCAGACGACTGTCAACACCGCGACGCCAAATGGAGCAAATGGAAGCAAAACGTATACGTGAAGAAAAGTTGTCGGAACACCTCGAGCCCCTCAAAGAGAACGAGATCGCCGAGTGGGATGGCATTCGAAGAAGGAAAACTGTAGTTGGATCTGGACTTGCTCCATCACCCATTGTACGGCGAAAAACACTTCACCCGCCCTTGGGTATGACACAATTTCCAGAAGACAGTCCCGATCGGAACGACGGCAGCAACAAAGCCTTCCTAGACAATGTCCGAGAGCGTGCTCACGGCATGTTTGGCGGTCGTCATAAACACGACGACGATGACACAGTCGCAGCAGAACATGCAGACCCCAGAAGCCCGGAACATCCAGTGGCTCTGACCAACATTCGATTTCCGAAATCTGGAGATGGAACTTCTCCCGCACTACCGTATGGACCGGGCAGTCTAGAAGAGGCCCAGGAGCACATATACGGCCACCCTGGTTTTACTAAGAAAAAGCCCATGCCTTCGCCGAGATCGAAGCCATTACCAGCATCGCCAGCTCCGACAGACTCTGGATTGCGACCACCTGCAGAAGCTAAACGTCAATTCTCTTTCTCCAATTTTCTCAGACACTCGAAGCAGTCAGGCCATAGCACAGACACAGCTTATGCACGCCCTTCGACTGCTACGAGCCATCTAGAACGTAAAGCAGCTAAGACTGCTACCGAAGAGGAAAGAATGGGTTTGACCAAAGGTGATTCATCCCGTCCACTCATGGGCGAGACTTCCCCTGAACGCAAACAAGGAACACTACAGCCCATACCAAGCCGAGAATCCCACGAACCATCCGACACAGCATCTTTATATGAAGCATATCCTTACACCCAATCCCAAAGACATCACAGATCCGCCTCGCCAGATGCTATGTTGGACGAAGGTATGGAATCTGACAGTAGCTATCAGGGTCGACAACAGACTTATCACGAACCATTCAGTTTTTCCTCCAAAGGGCCCACGACCGGCCAGCAAACTCCACAACAGAGAACCCCAAGTCGGAGAAGGCCGAGCCCACCAGCGATATATACACCTCCACCACCAATACTATCATCCCACCTTAGAGACCTCACCCAGTCCTCAGAACGAGCAACTCAACTACCCCCAATAGAACCCCCAGCCTCGACAACTACCAGAAGAATAACGATAGGCGACCCTCCACCAGCGAGCCGACCAGCGCCTTCCCTCGACCCACCGGTTCAGTTCGCTCCCTCAAGCAGGCAAGCACCATCGACGCAGCTGAATCCCATCTACAGCAGCCAGAGCCCAGACGACGCCGGACCAAGTGAGTACACATCGATCATTTCGCGAGGTAGACCGATCGCCACCGCTATGCAGCAGAATCCGTCGATTTATGCCGACTCAGCCTCCTCAACTCGAAGTGACAACAGCAATAACGGTAGCAAGGATCGTTTCGCTGAGCAAAGCGCGCGAGAAAGAGCCGAGAGACGTGAGAGGGCTCAAAGACGACAAAGTCAAGGTCCTGATAGCGCGACACAAGGTACAGACTTTTCTTAGTGCGACTCGTACCTAAATCTCGCGCAATCATCTCAGCACCGAAGGTCCGTAACGGTGTAATTCTCAATCTCAATCCCGGATATTGTTCATTGTTAGTAAATCTTTCCAAGCTATCTGACGCCGGAGTCTTCTAGGATAGTTTGTCGTTACATATAGACGAAGACTACTCTTGACTGTTGTGCATTATTAGCAAGCGACTTCAATATTACATAGTGTTGTATATACATGTCACGACGGCACGAACAAATGAGATTCGATTCGACTACTCATTGGAATCGAGAAGGCGCGACCCTCACGTGAAGAGGTCGGTCGCAGTAAAACGCACATGACAAATTATTAGATAAGAACGTACATACACGGACGAATAGCAACCGCGATGAAGAAAGCTCGTAATACCTTTTTTCTTAGGATGATAACGTTGAATACGAGACTGTGTATCTCGTGGCATGATGCGGGACAGGGAATAAAAACGAGGTAAGATAGCAATGGTCTCAGGTCAAGAATCATCTTGACTTTCTGCGCTCACTTAGGACTTGGGCTGGATACACGACTTTAACACTTGAAGTGTTCTGGCTGCGACATTGACAGAATACAGGGCATTCCTATTTGAGACATCTGAGGAAAACGTCTGGGTACGTACTACTTGTTGTCCTTGTCCTGATCTTGCACTTCCGGTATCTCAAGCCTTTGTGGTTCCAACATCTTATACATTGTGGCTGTATGAGCTCCCGTCGTACTGTGACTGCTGCTGAGCTGGCTGCTGTTGACTTGGTAGTGGCTGTCCTGGTGCAGTTGCAGCAATAGCTTCAGCAGAGGTCCGTGGAGTCTGCCATTGTCCAGGAACGAATTGTTGTTGTTGCGTTGGTTGTTGTGCAGCAGGTGGCGGTGCGTGCTGTGGGGGATATCCTTGCTGTTGAGGTGCGACATAGGGCTGCTGCTGTGCTAGGTGCGCTGGATAGCCTTGGGCCTGCCAGGCTTGCTGTTGAGCAGGATATGCAGATTGCTGAGGAGCATAGGCTGGTTGAGGTTGTGATTGTTGTTGTGGTTGAAACTGTTGGGCCGCGTTTCCTGCTGCGAGCTGTCTTAGATCGACTGGTGGTGCTGAAGGTGGAGGCTCAAGGGCTAGTTGTTCTCTTGGAGAGTCATCGTAACCATCTTCGTCTTCGGTATCTCGTTCACCTCGCTCAGCTCTACGACGTCGTCGTTCCTCAACCTGTTTCTGCCACTCCCTTTCTCGTTGTTCTGCGAGCCAACGTCAGTACTGTGTGTCCTGTATATACGGTAGCATAACATTACCTCTGATCTCACGTGTCTTTTCTGCTAACTTCTCAATCTCCTCTCTACTTAAGACTCTTAAAACAATAACGTAATCATCACGCTCCTCAAATCGCTCATGGGCACGTTCTAGCGCTTCTGGATTGACAAGGATTCGGCTGACCTTGGTCCACCTTGCACCTGGTGGTATGCCTTCGGAGCCAGCCTGCTTTAGCGGTGCTACACCCTCTCGCGTCGGATTCGGATCCTCTGGGAACGGTACTTCTCGAGCTTTCTTCAGAATGCCCTTGGGCTTGACGTCGTCTTTCTTGTCTTTGACAGGCTCAACAATGGAGACTCTACGAGGTCGACCATCTTCGCCTTCGCCTGGAGACAATGGCCGAGCTTCGTTATTGGTGGGCGACTCTTGCTGACCTCGGTCCAGTATTGGTGCACGAGCAGGATCAGTGTAAGCAGCACTTGGATCAGGCTCACGAGAGGGCCTGCGCTCCGGTGCAGGTAGGGCTAACTGCGACACCTCACGATCTGAGCCATGTCCTTCGTTGGTATCGCGTCTTCGTCGAGTGCGAGACTGTGGTCGCTGACGAGTGGCTTCCACTGGAGTGTCGCTGCCTGAACTGTCACCACGACCTTCCTGTTGTACTCGCCTTTCTTTTCGTCTTCTACGTCCTTCGGGATCTTCAGCACGACGATCGTCGTCTGTTCGTTCTCTCGACCTGTGACGTCGATGTCTCCGCTCACGTTTGCTGTCAGAATCCGAACCTTCCTCGTCTTTAGGTTTCCTGTTGACGATACCTGCAGCAGCCAGACCTCCCACAGCAGCGGTACCTAGAGTCTTCAGCAAAGAGTGTTCAGGACTAGCATCTCGATCGTCTCTTCGGCGAGGGCGACGAGGAGGATCCTTGTCCTCGATAACTTCATAGTCTCTTGCTTTTCTTTCTCGGTCTCGGTCCCGGTCCTGATCATATTCCTTCATCCTTTCGGGCCGTCTCTCACGTCTCTCCAAGTCCCTGTCGCGATCAGGAGGGCGCTCGTTCTCTTTGCGACTTCTCTCGCGCTCGCGACCAGTATCTAGATCACTATCGCGATAGCGACTCTTGCTTGAAGCAACGGAGTCGTCGTCGTAGGGACGAAGTCTGGAAGACCTTCGAGGATCATATTCATCTCTTGCAGAAGAATAGCCTTCATCACGTTGATGAACAACAGGGCCTCTACTGTTCCTCCTTGTACGCCGATGATCTTTGGAACGATCGGGATCGCTTTCGAAGCCAGATTTGCGGTCGTCCCGTTCGAGGCGTTGCAGTTGTCGGTTAGCCGATGGAGGGGCTGGCGCAGTATCACGACGCGGAGGGGCTTGCTCGTACTTGGTATCCATAACACTCACGGGCCTTTCTCTGCGGGTCAAGCTTTGCCGTCTCGGTCGGGGATAATCTCGATCAAATTGTTCACGAGGGCCAGTGTATTCGACAACAGGCTCGTCCACGTAGCGCACAGGACGCGAGTCAGCGACTTTTTCGACATGGGGACCTCTGTTGTGATAAGATCGGTCAGAACGCGGTGCGGCAACTCCAAAATAGCGACTCGTCTCAGCCTTTGTAGCACTGTTGTGACGCTGGTGGTGGGCCGAGCCTCTGGGTTGGGTAGGCTGCAACAACCTGGCATTAGGGTCTTCTCGAGATTGCTTGCTATAGGTCATTTCCCGAGGTGTATCAGTAAATTCCGGCCTTGTGGGCGAAACATTCTTGGTGACGAGACTCAGAGGTCGGCGAGAGTCGCCCGACGCAGAATCTCTTCTCGCACGAACAGCATATTCGGTTCTCGATATAGTGCCGCCAGAATGTGTAGGGTCGACGTATGTCTTCTTGCTGACGGGTTGTGTCTCGTAGACGCTATTCACCCGACTCGAGGACGAGACTGAGGGTACAGTACTGAAGCTTGCACGAATGGGTCGCTGGTCGTAACGGGTATCGTAGGATGAGGCCAAGACGGTGCCAGTTGATGCCCTGGGTGTATCCAGGTAGATTCTGGGCCCCGTAGGGCTCACTGCCTTTGTCCGATGTGTTGTCATACTGCTTGTCTGACAGCAATGTTTCTGCTAGTCGACGACTGAGAGGATCCAACCCTTAACGATTCAACAACTTTGACAGTGAATTCTAAACTTTCAAAATGTATGGCATGCTTTGGCTTTTTCCTCATGCAGGACCAGAACGTAGAAAGTCCGCAGTCAAGGGCAGATCGTCGGGCTAAAAGTATGACTCGCCTCGCCCAGAAATGTAAGGCAGACAGCTTGCTGACTGGCTTCTGCTTGGTCCTTTGGTTGCTCGGTGCGAGTATAGGCAGCCTAGAAAGCGTGGATCGTTCCTCAACGGCAGGTGCGATCACCCTGTTTTGCTAAAGGAAAAGTATAGCAGTTTCGGCCACTGAATAGAGTGATTTCGAGCCAAATCAAGGGGTCTCTTGGGTCTGTCTGCAGAGGAGCATTAAGGCTAAAAGTGCAAATGACGTCGACGTGGTGGGCAGGTGGGCTCACGGAAGGGACGAGTAAGTATCGAAGCTTGGTTTGGATGGGTTCCACCACGACACAAGAGCTCTGGTTGTATGTTACGAGCGAAGTAAGTTGTAGAACTATGCTTCCGGCTCTGCCTTGATGAGGATGTAGAGACAGAGAATTTGTATTGTCATGAAGAGGTACTATCTCCCAGCTACGCTGATCCCTTTCCGCGACACAAGCTCCAATCTGGTCTACCTGTTGCTCCTAGGTGCCCAATATGGACGATCACCAGCCAGCTAAGGGTATGCTGCCCGACACTACGCCCAGCAGTTAACTATATTATTGTCACCTTGACAGCACTCTCGGAACCAACAAAGTCCGCCCCTTGCTGTAGCGAGGGTGGACTCGAGATTACACAAACGTTGTCTCTTCGCACAACAATCGCCCTGGCTGTCTCCACCATGAATACGTATTCACGATCTCAAATGTCGTGAGCAGTATAAAGTGCGGGTAGCTCGCTGTATTTCCAGAGAGACTTCTCCCTGTGCTTAGTTTATGTGAAAACAATTGCCTGTTTCCAAGTTACAAAGAACTCCGAGCATGACAAAATCCTCGAGCAACGTCTGCAGCCACGTGATATTGTGCAAGACATCAGCTCTGCAGTACGTGAGGTCTTGCTGCCCAATGAGGAGGGGTCGTACAGAACACCGTTAGGTTTGGTTCTGTATGCAAGACATCCCATGGAGCTTCCATGCCACTAAACCTAGCTATTCAAGCAATACTTCGGATGATAGTGCCCAATCACCTGTTATCCTCTAGCGTCAAACCATATGTCTGTTTTGTATGAAGGTTGGTGGCAAGTGTACTCCCACAGAGCAAGAGTGTGTAACCACCGGATTCGTGTATTCGTACCTCTCCACCATCGCCGAAAAAATTAGTACCGTATCCAACTCAATTGACCTGCCCAACGCCGTCGCTGAATATCTTAAATCAATGATTCGTATGAAACAAGTCCACATTTACCGCTATACAGAGCGATCTTCATGTGCTGTACTTTCGCTCCTGAGTCTAGATCGCCGTCGCCGCTTCCGTTTTGATGGTAGTGTCCAAGCTGCCAGCCCAACCTTGGCTTTCATATCGTCAACCACCTGGCCTAGCTTGTAGAGCGATACCGGACTGTTATGCTTGAGGCATGGTGACGGCTTTACTGGTGAGAGCCACTCCCAAATCGTGTATCCCATGATATCTTGGAAGTTGCTCAACGGCCCAAGATCAAAAGGATTAGCTCCTGGAGGACTCTCCAAGATAGCAAACGTCCTGTGATGCATTGTACTTGCCGTGCCTGGAGATGAAGACTGGCTGTGTGACTCGGTGGCTTCGGCGCCATGTTGTTGCAATTCCTGTAGGTTTTCTTCTGGTGGTCGTGGGTAAGATATTAAGCTGAGCGGAACTCCTCGCTCATAGGCTTCTTCAAGGACTGCAGGAGGAGTATACACTGCCAAGTACCACACCTTGGTCTTTCGATTGAGGTTCTCGATCGTCGTCGAGTTGATGATTGCAAATTGAACGGTCGACATGCACATTCCTGCACTGAAAAGCAGAAACAGCCCTGATATGGCCAGCAACACGATCCAATGAGCATTCAGAAAGCTCGAATGCCGCCTCCGCTCTGCGAAGAAATATGCCGTGACCGTCAAGATCTGTAAAGTGTACAAGGCGCCATAAAATGTAAATTGAATAAAGAATTTGAATGAGGTTTCGCTGACAACTCCGCCTACCCAAGGGCAGAAATGATCTAGCTTCAACACACAACGGTTGAGCTCGGAGCAATGATGGCTACGGTCCGGTTTCCAGTTGTAACAGGTCGAGCAGAACGGTGGCCGACCATCGGGATTACACACAAAGACATCCCTCACCCAGAAATCCTCGACTCTAAATGGTAGTGATTCACTGGCCATCAGTCTGTGTTCTTTTGGCATTTTTGGATCGACTATGTCCGAGGTAGTCGAGGATTTCTCATCTCCAGATCTGGGGCTGCTAGGGTCCGCGCGCCATGTAGTCTTGCCTTTATTCTTCCTTGCTCTTTCTACAAACCACTGCGGACCACGCGGTATCAAGCCGGGATGTCTTATTACTATGTCCAACAATCGCCCGTAAGAAACCAACACCACTAATAACAGTAGATAGTATGTCGTAAGCACAGCAACTGCGCTGCCACGACGTGGTCGCGCAGCCAAAGATATTGGAGGATCGATCAGATAGTCCACACAGATGAGCTTAGTGACAACCCAAGATACATAGCCGATGATTGCAAGTAGGATTACAGGAACGGCTCGCGCGACACCAATGTTGGCTTTGCGATTTGCTTCTGTTCGAGGTGGCATCGTGGCATTCGTCGTGGAAGGAAATGTCGCAAGACAAAAGCGGTAAGCTCAACTGCTATACATTTTAGTCAAAATCACATCGTGGTACTGAGCATGAGCACGCACCCGCTGGAGGACAAGCTATCACTGCATGTAGCACGATCCATACTGTTGATAGAAAAACAATGGTAGTGCTTGTCTGATAGTTGATCGTGCCGTCACTATGTTTTCGCCGTAAAGCTTGCCGTAGTGCATGGTCCAGGGCACCTAGAATCCCGTAGCATCTATCAGCTTTCCGCCAATGTGAACGACTATCAGCATGCATTGCAAAGCCTGCTTGGTGTGACTGGGCGATTGAGTCGCAGAGTGTTCTTGCTATCCATTGTGTTCTGCAAGGCAGACATTGGTCGAGACACTATTCGACGTGGTCCGAGGTGAAGGGCAGCGAGCCACTCAGCTGTTGTGGTCGTGGGAAAACGTGAATAAATTTACATGTCCGAGCACCCTTAAAGATGCTCTTCCACAACGAGAATAACACAGTCACTGATACCTCGGATTACGATACCACCATGAGATTGTCTCGGGTGCAGGAGTATTCGGTACACATCTACGCCGAATAACACAAACCAGAGAGTGTCTCAACGCAAACCCGAGCTGACGGATAAGGTGCGTGCAGGTTTCTACTACACAGATCGTTCAAACATCAAGGCTGGTCAACAACGGTTGAAATTTGTCCAGACGAGCAATCGGGCAAAGGATTCGAATACTGCAGCCACAAGCTGGGCTACCGCTCGTGCTTCACTTTGACTTTCGTTGAGCCGTAACTGCTCGTCGGGTTTGTTTGCAAGCTGGACATATACATCATCGGGGTAGGAGAGAAGAGCAGGCAGCATTTGCTGCTCATGCATAGACTTACCTGAACATTGCTCGATCAAAAGGTTCGACTTGGAGGCTGGCAGGTGAATAACACTGATGGTTCAGGCATGTTCTGCCAAAAAGACCAATGTCATCGCTCTGTACTCCTGAGACTTGTTCAAACGGCGTTGCCGACGAGATAATCATACATTTGCATGACAGCTTCAGTTGGCAAAGAGTGACAAGACCAAAACGCGTACTGCATGTCGCGACCAGTGCTTGGGGGTTGGATTCAAGCAAGTCGTGATTTTTCCAACTTGACAATACACCCACTCAATTGATTCTTCTCGACCAGAGCTTGAGATCTGCGTTGCCAACGCGCGATGTCACTTTCTACAATCGTTCCAACGAACGAGCAGGTATTGCAACCTCAGCCAGCACCAGCTCACGAGCAGCGACAACGTTCCTACAAGTCATCTACTGGAAGATCTGGACGTGTCGCGTTTGATCTGGCCACGTCACTGCTTGCCAATAAGCCGAGACATGAAGATCTTACTGTATATGTCATGCGTAGAATGCGGTGGCCTGACCGGCTTTACCGTCCAGCTAGAGCGAATAGACGCATTGCTGCGACATAGCACTTTCAATGACGATCGTTTGCAGCATTACTGTACTCCAACGTGGTCGTCCAGTTATGCAGCTGCTCTCCAACTCCAAGCACGATCCAATCACCAGCCGTCGCTACACGTATTAAGCAGGTTCTATGATCGACAAAGTGATCAGCAAAAGCAAAACCAGGATGTGGTCGGCGCTTACAGGGCTTCGCAGCCACGCGTGACGATCGAGTTCGCTGGTCCCCAGCAAACGTTCTTGACATCCAATGAAGAGCCCTGTTGGCCGTGGTGCAAGTCCTTCGTATGGCGCCATGCTTCAACATGGATCTTCACGTGGCCCCCTTGCGGACTTGAGTGAGAAGTGGCCGGGCGCGCATAGTTGCAACAGAGCCACTAAACTCAAATTCACCATCGTGACTCCCGTTTCGCAGGTCTCAAAAGCTGGTGTGGTGTTGCTGTCACGTCACCAGTAACACAACTTGGCTGTCTTGCGACGAGCTCTGGTGATTGCCAAAAATAACAGGTATATTTGGTTGTGTTTGGTTTACAGATAACGATGCAAACTCGAACTGTATCGAGGAGGCGTAGATTTACCGATGTAGTACATCGTAGATGCTGTGCAACACGAACTGTCCGCCCCGGAAGCGACTAGACATGAGTCTTCTGCCTGACAGCTACGCTAATTAGATCATCAAAAGCATTGTTGTGCAAAGGTGCTTGCTCTGTGCATGCATGTCGCAAGGAAAAGACATCCTTAAATCACAGATACGCGGCACCCGGAATTTGATGGTAAGCATACACGCCCCACAACTCGGTGGTCGGACATTCACGGACGGGCATCATTGTTTGTCCCTGAATGAGCAGGTGCTATTATCCTGGTCACAGAGGAATAGAGTTTGTACGATCTCGAGGAGAGAGGTTCCTGGTCGAGCGAGAAGACAATGGATGGTCTGGCAAAGGTATCAGAGTCGTGATATCTTGGTGAAGTATCGAGAATGGTTGCAAGTGTACCAGAATGAGCTTGTCCCTAAGCAGTAATTGCTGCTTCCTGCTCCGTATCGAGACCTGATGAACGTTATCCACGGGCAGTGTCCAAACCCACAACGATGATGCATATGGAAAGTGCCGTAACAACATGATTGCTGGCCGGACCATGAAAGGAGGACATGATTCAGACAACCTTCATCAAGCTACCAGCCACATTTGCACGACTTCTCATGGTTGTTGTGATCATGCAAGTCACTGTCGGATTCGTGGGAAAAAAGGCGGGCAAGTCGACTGGTGTACACGACGACTTGATTGGAGCGCTCGAGATGGATCAGCAGCACGTTTCAGCCACTTACTAGGTTGCAAAGTCTTTCCATGTGGACCTCTTGCTTGGCAACGACTCATGCACCAAGGCACTTCAAGGTCAAAAGCCGAGTTCGGGTGATACACATTCTGGAGCACGGGCGAACCGTCCAGATTCGGATTCAGCAACATAACCTATAACCGCATCGCATCTCGGTGGTACATAAGAACAGTAACACAATATGAGTCGAAAGCATTAACTTTTTCTGCCAGTGACATTTAGGTACAGATGAAGGTTTTAGACACCACCTGTGGAGCGAATACGAAGTCAGCCGGTCGATGGACCAGTGCAAATGACGCCAGATAATCATGCATGCACAGTAATATAGCATGTGGTGGCCGCGTTATTGCTTTAAATTTGTGGCCGGAAGACAGTTCGAGGGAGCCGAAGCGGACTTGCACCAAGGAGGGGAAAGCTTCTGTTTGCTGAGACGACTAGAAAGCAGGTATTCTTGTAGAGAGTGGATTTGTGGCAGTAAGCAAAGCGTTTAAGCAGCTTAGTGGCGTTTCAAAACACAAACTCTAAGAGTGGTTGACAACCCTGATGATTCGTGAACACTGAGGAGAGTACTGAGGTCGCTGATCTTTGCTACTTCACACTGCGAAGAGAGTGGTGGATAAGCGAAAGTAACGGGCCAAGTTCAAAGTGGACGCCACAAGTGCACTGGCCACCAAATAAGTTGGATCACATCTTCTGCATGTGTCAGGACAATCGGCTTTGTCGGCCGCCATGTTGTACTGTAGCAATCAGAACATGCATAGAAATCAAGCGGCTCGTATTGAGTATAGACTGCTGGATTGTCAAGAGAAGGCTTAATTTACCTCAACGGATGGCGTCAACAGTAGTGGCTGTTCTTTGATCATGCTGGAAGGAAGAATCCGAAATTGGACGACAGTGGGCTTGATGATGTGTTTCCGGTCGAATCTCAATGCTCCAGGCGAGTTTGTGAAACGTGCATTGGAGAACCTTCAACCTCTTTCTCAGTACGCCCAGTGGCTAGTAGATAGTGGCTATCTGATCCTTTCCAAATTTAGCTCAGCACACAAGTCCACTCCGCTCCTCCCAATTTTGCCCGGAACCAGGACGAGCGAGTCGGGAACTTCAGGAATGGTACAGCAAAACGCAATGCACAGTGTTCCCAGACTAGACCGTTCGAGGTACCCAATACCTTTGGCAAACCAGAGAGGAAAGAACTACTCAGGAGTAGCTCACAGCAATGAAGCTGGGCACAGCAGCGTCGCGTGGTCGGAGATGCACACTAGTCCTTAAGTTCGATGATCAACGTTGGAGTGGAGGCATTGCATCCAAGCTAAAATTCGGTCTTTTTGTGCTAGCAACGGCACACTCTCCTGCAATCATACACTCTGATTTGGTGGTTTACCACATCTGAATAAGGATCATCCTTGTTTGGCGGGTCCCCTTGCGGTTACTCGCCACGTTCAAGCGACATGAGCCCACCTGTCCTGTCATGCTCTTGGATCATGGCCGCGGCAGATGGACTTTAAACATCCCATTCTCGCCGCTATCCTAAGCGAAGTTCGAGTTCAGAGCAAGTCTCGCCTCCATTGCAACAATGACTAAATCAAGACTCAAGTCGGAGACAAAGAGCAGGAAATCGACAGCAAAACCAACGGCAACATTATCGTCCGTTATCCTCGCGGATGCCTCCACCTTTCATACTCCTACTCAAGCTCACCTGGTCCCAGCCTTAGCGGCTGACGAAGTTGCTGTATGTCATGTCTTTTCCTTCACGACCGTTGAAGCTTTTCCCACCTGCCTCAAACCCTGTCCTTGTTTTGAATCTGCCACTGTACGGAGACCTACCCGGCTAGAAGTCTGCTCGAACCTCTTACCACTACTGCAAGTCTTACCTTGGTTGTTGTTGGCTGCCTCATCGCCAAAACTTGTTCCTTCTTGTCATCTGTCGGCAGTACTGGCCCTTTTACGAACAGAGACAGTATAGAGTGCACCGCCACGTCTGCTCAGGAAACTTCCGCCCCGTCGACATCTTGACCAGGACTGCCCTCGTTCAACGCTCAATCTCGCTTTTGCGTAATCACTGTATCGCATGGTGAGCCACCCACTCCTACATCCTTGCTTGGGCTCCATACCTGCTCAGCGGCTTGATCCTGGTCGTGCGGGCATATCTTTCGACTTGATCCATCAAAGCCCCGCGACACGTTATTGTTCTTATACATATGCTTGTCCACAATATCCCGGCAAATCTTGTCTTCGACCAAACAATCATCCTCTGTCTCAGCCTAAGTAGCCTAGACCTTCTTGTACTCGAGAATTCGTTCTTTTGACCAGGGTGGAAATCCTGGCCGTTAAGTTGCAAGCCTTCTTACTGAACGTCTCGGTCCCAACCAGAGTTTCGCTACTACCGGAGGATAAACCCTCGTGCCTCGACTGTCAGGAACCCAGTCTCGACCTCAAGGATCACGCATCTTTTCCTCGAGCGCTTTCGAGCTTAGGGAGCAGCCGCACCTCTTCGCCTTGCCGCTCGAGAACCTGGCCTTACGGCACTGTTCGAGCTATCGGATCTTTTCAACTGGTTGATCTCGTTCGTCTGCCATCATCCTAGCACGTTTGACGTCCTATTTTCCGAATGGCAGTTGTGCCTTACAGTTCATCGTGTTGTTTGCAAGTGTCCAGCAACTGACATCTATCCTCCATGCAGCATCATTCGACCCAGCCTTACCAAGGACAGGCACAGTCGCGTCAACTTCAACGGTCACCAAACACCAGTAACTCACATTCGAACTCTCAGGGCTTTGCAGTGCAGAGCGGGTATCCGCAAAACCAGAGTCTTCAATCGCCATACCTGGGCAATCCGAGTCAATTCACGCAGCAACAGTCTCAACAAGCAACGCAAGATCATCCTTACTACACCTCCAATCCCAGTCCTAGAAGCTCGAACGGCACGACATATTATCCTACTGGTGAGTATCGTGTCTGCCACGTTTTTGCGATGTCATGCTAAGCCTCTCTAGAAAAGCAGGAACAAATGGCAGCCGCTGCGACCATGCAACGGCCTCCTTATCCGCCTATGTATCATACGCCTCAATCTAATTCACCAGCTTCTGTCACATCTCCCCAGGCGCACGAACACGGGCGGCCTATGTTTTCGCAGCAAACTAGTCAAATGACGCCCTCTATCTATCCATACGCATACTCACCTTTGAATCAGATGCAGACACCATATGGCTCACAACATGCGTCTTCAATGACCCCAAACCAAATGATTCCAGGGTCGTACAACCAGTCACAACTGCCACATTCACAAGTACCATCTCACACTCCAAATTTGAACACGAGCCCCAGAATCAAGTCGGACCCAAGTCAGTCATTTTCGCAAACTCCTCAACAGCGACCGAGTCTACTCACACAGCATCCCACTCCAGGCGCAACTCCAGGGACCGCAAATGTCACACCTTCGCAAGGTGCTGGTGCTAGTGCAGGCTCGAATGCTGCGCCGGGGCCTATTCCTGCAACTACACCACTGGTTGTACGACAGGATAACAATGGAGTGCAATGGATTGCGTTTGAATATTCGCGCGATCGGGTAAAGATGGAATACACCATCCGCTGCGACGTTGAATCTGTGGACACAAACTCGTTAGCGACTGAGTTCAAATCCGACAATTGTGTCTATCCCAGAGCTTGTGTTCCACGAGATCAGTACAAGGGAAATCGCTTGACGTATGAGTCAGATTGTAATCAAGTCGGGTGGGCTCTTGCCGAGCTTAATCCGTGTCTTCGCGGAAAGCGAGGATTGATTCAACGAGCTGTGGACAGCTGGAGGAATAGCAATCAAGATCCTCGTCTGAGAAGCAGACGGGTACGAAGACAGGCAAAGATAAACAATAAACCTAAGGCCAGCAGCGCAGGATTGACGCAGCCAACTGGTGCTGTTCCAACAGGGCTTCCTGGTCCGTCTTCGATGCCTGTTCCTGGTGTACGAGGGCCCAATTCACTCTCGTCAGCTGGCTCGCAGGTTCACCATCACCATGGACAGCACGATATCACTTCTCCCACAGTGCAAGATCCGTCATCGGGTAGGTTTCTTCCATCCCGTGCCAGCATGATGCCATTTCCAATTCACGCCTATCAGCACTACATCAGTGCGTGAATCATCAACACGATCGAACTTGGCACATCACAATATGCACGTCCAGCCTCAGGTACGCTGTGCTAACTGCTAAGTAGCTTCAAGCTACTCCAATCCTCAATCGATGCATCGACCCGCCTCAACGAACCAACACTTGTCGAGCCCGAACGATATGAGGCATGCACAGACGTTCCCTGGCTACCAACCATATCCACAAGGGCCTTCTGCATTAACACCTTCCATGGCTCCCCCCATGCCAGGTAGCATCCACCAGTATGCTAGACCTCCTGGAAATACAGTAATGGTATCTTCCGAGAGAAGGAAAAGGGAGGACGACGATACTGAACTTTTTGGAGATTTACCTGAAGGCAAGAAAAGGAAGTTCATCCTTGTTGACGACACGCAAAAGAGCGCACGAGTGCGAGTCAAAGTCACCTTGGACACCGTAAATGTTCAAGATATTCCTGACTCCTACCGACGACAGAATTCTGTCTATCCGCGATCGTACTATCCAATACAGATGCAAGCTGAACCTGCTGCTGGCCGTTTTGCAGCGGAAGATGCTGAATCTGAAGGTGCGCCTACTGTTGGAAAAATGACTGTTCCTTGCACGACGACTGGAGGCGAGTCTCAAGTCGAGGTATCGCAGCTTACCAGGAGTAAGCGAGAACGAGAAGGCAAGATCAACGAACTTGGTTATCGCATGGCTTGGGGCCAAGGACGTGTCTTCTCCAATCGCCCAATATTTCTCGCGAGAGCCCGTAAGTGATAGCAGAAGTTGATGAGCTATGAAGCTGACATTATCTAGTTGATGCCTATCGGACGAAGCAACGCTCAGCACTTGTTGGTGCTGGTCAAGACACTTCAACTATACCTTCTCACCTAGAGGTCCGGCCTGGAAAGCGCCGCTGGTTCGAACGCACCCGGCCTGGCTCAAATCCGTCCTCTCCACAACCAAAACTTGTCGAGGAAGCTCCTTGATTCTTCTTGCCCTGAAAAACATCACATTTTCGACACGAACGAATACTTTCACTGTACAAATATCGGTATGACCTTGAGCGAGTGTTATTAGACACAAAAAGTACTGTTTACAGGCACTATTTTTTCCGACCTGGCAGGAATTTCCAGGCTATCACGCTTGACGTTCAAGCTTCGACTACTTGGTCGATCTTATCTTTTTCGGTTCACATGTTTCCGCTTTTCACGAAGGACGACTTTACGATGGGTTTTTAATGGATTTCAAAAACACTATTCTTGGGGGCGACTCTCACGATAAGAGGCACATACAATTTTACGTCATTTGGGCTTCTTGGTATGTTTATGGATGAAAAAGGATGGCTAGAATTGTTTTCCCTTGTGGATTTCGACGTGATATATCTGGCATTTGGAGGTACCCTTCTATTCTTCTGTTCTTTGGCTCCTGGCCGAAGTGAAACAATTCAACCGTACATGATTCAGGAACAGAATACTGGTGGTCACGAACCACTCAGTAACAACAATCACTCATTTACAAATATGCCTTTCAAATCTCCTTGTTTCGTTTGATGATCTGCATGTCTTCAATTTCTGAATGTCATTCGACTCCAGGTCAACGGAGTGTGGGAAGGTTACTCCAAACTCAGAGTCGAAGCTCTTTAGCTCGGTTGGGCTTGCTTGTGGCGGTTTTCCTCTAAAGTTTGAGCAGGTGCTATCCACCAGCCGCGTTCAATTTCCGTGATTGCTGTGACGCGCGCATTGGGCGCGAAACATACACCGTACTACGGTCGATTACGCTGACCTTTGGCGTGTTGTTGCTTCAGGCTGTACCCTCGTATAAGGCAGATACACAACCACATAGTAAGGTTTTGGTAGGTTGCTCCGCTTTTACCTGGCTCGAGTTCCGTGACTTTCCAATATGCTTGCATTCTGAACAGACGTCTCGCCTCCATCTCTGTCCTGTTGATATCGCATGCTTCAACTTGTCAAGATAATGTATAACTTGCACAGTGAGGACATGAGGGTCAATACGGACGGTTGCCAGACACTTCGTGTCAGAGGAGCCAGGAAGAAACCTCTACATGCAATGCAACGGTCTTTCCTACGTCTTGACCTGCTTCTCAACCTGACCTGCACCCGTCGGAATCATTGCTTCATCCTCTCGTTGACGGGTAATGTGACATGAGGAGTCCAGCGTGCTGTTTGCTTGGCCTTACAGACTTTGATCAGCATACTCCTTGTTGAAGGCACGACCAATGACCATTCTCCTGACCTCGCTAGTGCCAGCACCAATCTCGTACAGCTTAGCGTCTCTCATCAGTCGACCAGCCGAAACTTCATTCACATATCCTGTACCGCCCATGAGCTGAATTGCATCAAGGCCGCACTCAGTGGCCCGTTCGGCTGCATACAAGATTGCACCTGCACAATCCTGAGTCTTGATGATACCTTCCTCGTCGACTTTCTTTGCAGTCGCATACGTGTATGCTCGGGAAACCTGAAGCTTGGTGTACATGTCAGCCAGCTTACCTTGTACAAGCTGATTATGGGCTATAGGCATGCCGAACTGCTTTCTTTGATGTGTATACGGAAGAACGATATCCATGCAAGCTTGCATAATACCTAATGGTCCGGAGCTCAATACCAGTCTTTCAATATCGAGACCCTCCATCAGTACTCTGACGCCTTTGTTGACTTGTCCGAGCACATTCTCCTCAGGTATGAAGACATCTTCAAACACTAGTTCTCCAGTATTTGAACCTCTCATACCTAGTTTGTCCAACTTCTTGGTAACCGAGAAGCCTTTTGCCCCCGTGTCCATTAGGAACGCAGTGATACCCTTGGACCCTGCATCAGGTTCAGTCTTAGCATAGACGACGATGCAATGAGCATCTGGACCATTGGTGATCCACATCTTGGTGCCATTTATGAGATAACCACCATCCACCTTCTTCGCAGTAGTCTTCATGCTGACCACATCGCTGCCAGCAGAATGTTCACTCATAGCCAAAGCACCAATCTTCTCACCCGAAAGCAGGCCCGGTAGAAACCTGCCTTTCTGGTCCTCGTTGCCGTTCAAACATATCTGGTTCACACACAATTGACTATGCGCCGCATAGCTCAGACCTATACTCCCACTTGCGCGCGAGATCTCCTCCATAATTACGCAGTGTGCTTGATAGCCCATTCCTAACCCGCCATATTCTTCCGGTGCAGTAGGACCTAAAAAGCCAGCTTCGCCGAATGTTTGCCACATCTCGTTTGGAAACTCATTCTCGTGGTCTGTCCTTTGAGCCACTTCTTCAGGTATGTTGCGTCGGGTAAATTCTTGCACTCTGTCGCGCAGCTCGTAGAGATCTTCTGCTGTGGGCGGCGTAAAACCTGGAGGATGTTTGCCCTTCGCTGAGGACGTGGTAGAGGCTGCTCGAATAGCTGTCCAACATATACTGTGGTTGCTTAGCCGTGGTTGTAAGCATGATCGGATAGAGGTTGGGAGAGTTCCTCGAAGAATTGGGATCCTGGAGCGGGACATTGTATCTCGTGCTTCGCTGGAAATCTGAGAGGAGGATCTACAGATAGTGATCAGAGGCCGACTGTAAAATTCTTGATCGCCTGCGAAAAAGCACGTTCCAAGTATTTGGATAGTGAAGGGTGTATAGTAAGAACCCCATACTTCGGTTAGTCGAGGCTATTCTCGCAGTACCGAGGTCAAGCAAGTACCGGCCGGGCAAATACTTGTATCGTAGCAAGGTACCATCCCACGAAAGCAGACAGCATGAGCGCCAGACCCTGAGCATGTAGCACTGGCACATCCGCTCATTCTCTTGCGTCAAGATGGCTGCTCTTCGATCAGCGCCATGGGCAACTCTACCTCGCAGCTTACGGTCAGGACTACGCCAACAACGAACCTCCCTTAATCCCATACATATCAGCTCCAGACAGCAGTCACGATGCATAGCGAGCTTCACAGACCCTCGCCATGCCAAAGCAATATCAGTCCTGCCGACCTTGGTCGACAAGTCCAGCCAGGAATACAAGGACAATACAGCGAATTTTGAGTCCATCATGCAGAAATACGCAGATCTACATAGCAAGATCGCGCAAGGAGGTTCTGAGAAAGCTCGACAGAAGCACACGGCACGAGGGAAGATGCTGGCTCGCGATCGAGTGACCGCTCTGATCGATCCGGGTGCGCCGTTCCTCGAGCTATCGCCTTTAGCGGGACACGAGGTTTACGGAGAAGATGTACCTGCGGCAGGTATCATAACTGGGATTGGCACAGTCGAGGGCGTGACATGCATGATCGTCGCCAACGATGCGACTGTAAAAGGTGGAACATATTATCCTCATACAGTCAAGAAGCACCTCAGGGCTCAAGAGATTGCACAGCAAAACAGGTTACCATGTATATACATGGTCGACTCTGGTGGTGCCAATCTGCCCAACCAGGCCGACGTGTTTCCAGATCGTGACCATTTTGGGCGCATTTTCTACAACCAGGCGCGTATGAGCTCGCTGGGAATACCGCAAATCTCAGTTGTTATGGGACCATGTACAGCTGGTGGTGCATATGTGCCTGCAATGAGCGATGAGAGCATAATTGTTCAAAACCAGGGCACTATCTTCTTGGCAGGACCACCTCTCGTCAAGGCTGCTACGGGAGAGGTGATATCTGCTGAAGATCTGGGCGGTGGTCAGCTTCACAGCTCTGTCTCAGGTGTGACAGACTACCTTGCTGTCAATGACGAGCATGCCATAGTGTTAGCAAGGAGGTCCATAGCTAACCTGAACTTCCCAAAGGAGCAGCCAGCACCCAACGAGGTCGTAGAGCCACTACACGACTCCAACGAGCTGGCGGGCGTCGTCGGCACGAACCTCAAGAAACAGATTCCAATGCACGAAGTAATTGCCAGAATAGTCGATGGAAGCGAATTCTCCGAATTCAAAAAAGACTACGGCACGACCCTGATCACAGGGTTCGCTCGCATCCATGGTTACCCTGTTGGGATCATCGCAAACAACGGCATCCTCTTCTCGGAGTCTTCACTCAAAGGCTCCCATTTCATCGAATTGTGTTGCCAGCGCAACATACCTCTAATCTTCCTCCAAAACATCACCGGATTCATGGTTGGCTCCGACGCTGAAAAGGGCGGAATTGCCAAAAACGGTGCGAAACTGGTCACAGCAGTCGCATGTGCAGACGTACCCAAGTTCACCGTCGTAGTTGGCTCGAGTGCAGGTGCAGGCAACTACGGTATGTGCGGTCGGGCATACTCGCCTCGATTCCTGTGGATGTGGCCCAACGCCAAGATCGGCGTCATGGGTCCTGACCAGCTCACGGCCGTGATGGAAACGGTTGGCAAATCTGTTGATCCTGAGCTCAGAAACCGTATAGAGCGTGAAAGTGACGCTGCGTTTTCATCAGCGAGACTGTGGGATGATGGGGTCATTCCTCCTGCACAGACACGACATATGTTGGGCATGGGGTTGAAGGCTGCGCTGGGTGGTAGTACAGAGAGGCAAGCAACCAAGTTCGGCGTTTTTAGAATGTGATCAATCAATGTCGGAGATGTGAAATACAACGTCTCAGCGAATTTGTGAGAGATGTGTCACTAGATCACAAACCCTTTGCGAAAGGAGGCTGCGCCTGTATTGTCCCATTTACAACAGTCTCAGAGGTATCTGGTCTGCCTCTAGCGTGAGCTCTCGACGTCTATATCCATTCTATGGAGTTTGTGCCTGAACACCTTTCGACCCTAAAATTTTCGAGCCAGTCATACTTCAGAGAATTACACATCTGTCACGATTGCGGCGCCTGCGCCTATCATGTCGATTAGTTCTGGTCGACCTTCTCTGGTTGTGGACTTGTTCGTACAGCTGAGTACGAGCGTTGTCCTTTTGCAGAATCTGTCGACAAAGGTTGAGAAAAACTTCGTCCACGTTCGTCCGTCTTCGAGCTGAGGTCTCGAAATATGGTTTTTGGCCCCATGACTGCGCCAGTTGAAAGGCTCTGGCGCGAGGCACAGCCCGGTCATCCTCCATGTCAGATTTGTTCCCTACCACGACGAGAGGGATGTCCTCGTCTTCTTTGATTCGGATGATCTGCTCCCTCAGTTCGGCGAGCTCATAGAAGGAGTTCATGTTTGTGATAGAAAAGACAAGTAGGAAGCCTTGACCCTGTTTCATGTAAAGTTCTCGCATAGCAGTGAATTGTTCTGTGCCTGCCGTGTCAAGACTGTGAAGATCAGTTTGTGTTCGTTGTGCTGACCAAGAAATTGAGCCGTGCGATCTTACATCTCTAAAACCACTTGTCTGCCGTCCACATTTACCACTTTCCGATACGAGTCTTCTATGGTCGGGTCGTAGCTCTCTATCCAAACGTTTCTGTCTTTGTCAATTTTCTGACCACACTCGATCCTTCTTGGTAATTTTACTCACTGTACGAATTGAGCGGTGAGACATGATTTGCCTACACCACCAGCACCGAGCTACAAAACCAGTCAGTCCGTAACCCGACACCACAATACCTGTACCATTGTACCAATAATCGACTTGAATTCTAGACGAAGAGATAGATAGCTAGGGGATACTCACGACTACAATGTTGTGCTCCCTCCTGGATTTCGTCAATTCTGATCCATATGTCCGATGCTAAGTGCATGAACTCACCTCGTCTGATAACTCATCGTCAGCTGACGGTTGCGACTGCTAGTCTTGTTGTGCCATTCAAGACGTCCTCGCCGTTGCCTTCAAGCCGTTCTGTTACAGTTTGAACAGATTTTCTCGCGGGCAGCTGTGCTGTTTTGGTATCCCTTAAAAATTGCTTGTGTATCGAATGTGTAGAACAACCTTGCTGTTGTATACCCACAGTTTGTACCGAGTCTGAAGATTGTCCGACTTGCTCTAGGTGTTGCCCAACTCGACAAGCAATTGAAGTACAATGATTACGGTTGAACCAGCAGCCCAAGGTAAGAGATGAATGAGAGCACGGAGTATTCGCTATCCAGAAGCTGGAAATCTTTTGCGCTTGCTTTTTTTAATATCTATATACACTCGTTTCTGCTCATACTTCTTTCCCCTGCTCTCATTTGTCCAGCAGCTCAGTAGGTTCTATGTTTGCTTCACCCGCATCGTACTAGTAATGTTACCCACAGACTTTTTTTTGTGAGGATTCATCGGCCGAGGATCCATACCGATTCATTCTACTCCACATATAGTGCTTCTACTCATCTCAGCACCGTGGCTTCTTATTTTAACTTTTGGCCGGCGTGCAGAACCCCCTGGCTTCCCCGGTAGCCTTGCATTTCTCTTTCAAGTGGTTGCATCACTAAACTTCCGTGTTTGGAAGCCTCCCATGAATTCGGTCATAGCTTTCCAGAACGTCGGGCGACAATTACCTCAGACATGTCCTCCACTGAGATCATACGTAGTGGCTTTTCATACCCCAGCACGACCAAGAGATCGGGCATCGACCGTTGAGTTACAGAGCGGAATTAGAGTCTTGCTGTATTGGAACACATCCCCGGCAAGTCGTTTCAGCTACAGTAGCCGATTCCATGATGTCAAGTATGCAAGCTAAGTCGAGTGCGCATCGCACTTCAGCACTTCGAGCTGGAATCTCGTAAATTTGGACCAATCAATAAATTCACTATCTGACCAATGAGATGTTCATGGCCAAGCTCGTAAAGGCGTCTTGATTTTAAACACAGACACAAGATATCTCCTCGTATATCATGATCGATGTTTCCGCTCGTGCTCTGGCACTCAGCCAAGATACGTATGCAAAGCTCAATACGTACATCTTCTCGAAGCCTTTCAAGCCAACCACGAGGTTAAGCGATACTGGCTAGGTACTCGGGTTGTTCTTGCCTTTGCCCATGATGACGAAAGAGGCGTACATGCCCTAGCATCTCTACTGCAAGGTACAGACCATCAGGCCAAGAGCATCAGGCATTACACGGCCGACCATCACCGAAATCAACCTCGAAAAGAAGGGGTTTGAGCAATTACTCGAGTATGATTGACGTCTTTTCGACAGCATCTAAAGCTTCCTTGATTACTCCTTGAGGTCCTTTGTGTATGTGTGTAACCCCAGCTTTCGCCACGTTATCGCCGGGTCTTGCGACGACGATATGCGAGTCTGTCTGCGCTGATCACAATGCCTGTCGCGCAGATCAACAGAAACATCGACACCATGTTGCTTTTTCCAGCCATATCTCGAAACCATCACGGGCGACTGATAGGACTGCCAAGTATAAGGATTTGAGGATTTGGTAGACGCCGTCTCGCTGATCCCATATCAGCAGTCTTCACACTGATAAGATCGAAGGTATTTGCAACCTCCGATCGAAGCATTACGTTATGATTCTCGCACGTCTCATGCTATATTCACACATTGAGGTCGATTTCACTCATAGGTCTAGGCCTAGGATTACTCGTACCGACGTTTCCTGCGGCTTTAACGCGGCCAACACTACATGGATAACCGTCACTCCATTTACCCGAACCTCTGTTGGTATTAGAACGTTTCACAACTTCCACAGCATGGACATTTAACTCAGCAAACAGAGGCAAGTGTCTTTGACCACTTACAACCCCGAGTTTATGCCACTACTAATTAGCCAAAAGCCAGGCGACTCTGACCTTTTTCAGGTTTGCCCCCTCGACCTCGTGGCTTCAAACCACTACCGCGCTTCGATTGTCCAGGAGGCCTGCTGTTGCTAGATCCGGCAGCAATTGAACGGTCTTCAGCTTGTAGATCTCTAGCAAAGTGCCAATCCTGGTGTTCAGTTTGTTCAGATTGAGGCACAGACTTGTTGCAGTCTTTGCAGAAATACGTCTCGATATCTCGACGGTACGATCCTGATCGTTCGAGGCCAGTATTCTGCTCAGGTAGGTGCCGTTCAGGTGAACCTTCTGGAACTTCTATATCGCTTGAATTGATCATGTCATCTCCAGTGCTCTCGGACTTGAAGAAGCGACTTATGCCTGAATTATAGTCGGTTCTTCTTCTCTTCTCAGGTCGACCCTCCTCGAGTGGTGTGTCACTCCTGGAAGTTGCTTCAATAGCTCTTGCTTCTTCACCACGAATCAGAAATCCGTTGATGTTCATGTTTCCGCTTTCACCCTCTTCAAAGCCGCCCACACTGAGTGACAAGTTAGCACAAGGCCATGCCTGTCCGTCAGCAATGACTTGTTGGAGGAGAGTCTTAGCGAGGTCGAAGAGCATATCCCAGTCTATTTTCCTTCTGCTTGATATTGGCAGCTGCTTCGACCTCATTTGCCCACCTTGACGATGATGCAAATTGATTGATCTCGGCCTTCGCTTGTTCTCAGTTACCCCTTCTTCAACAAGACGAGCATATATGTCTGAAACGAATATGCGAAGCCATCTTACAGCTTGCTCGAAGCTATTAATGGTAGGTCGGAATGATTTTGCGGACAGCATGCTCTGGATTTGTGTTCGATAGCTCACCTCACTTGTGTCGTTGCCTCGAATAATGTTATAGATCCACGTCCCTGTATCATCGCCGAATTTTGACTTCAAGTTGTCAATAGAGATTTCCAGCAGATCTTTAATAGCCTCTGTATTGTATATCTGCGATACCTGCTCACCAAGCTTTCCGCCTAGATTGCGTATTTTGGTATATTTGAATTGTGATAGGAAATGCTGCACAGCACGATTCCTGACGATAGTCTGCTGGTTGGGTTTCTTGTATCCAGCCCCAAGCTTAGCCATCATTTTGTTGCGGGCTAGACCTGCCGAGCATGTGTAGAATAGTTTATCCTTAATCTGCTGTCGAACTCCACGAACAATCTCACTCCCTATATTCATGCAGATATCGTCCCAGTCCGGGTTATCTTCTTCGTTCTGATCGACATCCACATCAACTAGGCCGTCTGCTTCCCAGTTGAGTGCCGTTGTGGCAGGCAGGGGCAGATATTCGCTCAGGTCATCGTACGGAGCATGCCGCAGCTCTGGGTAGCGCTCGAGGAGCGTAGCATGAACCTGAGCTGAAAGATCGAGGAATACTTCGTCGATCGATGCCTTTTCTACTCGTTGTATAGGTGGTGCAGGAAGGATCTCCTTGATTAGTGCTAATGACTTGCGACTTTCCAGCCTATAGGGGTCCAGTGATACTTTGTCTGTATGGATGTGTTGGAATGAGTCGTCGCGGTAAGCCCACTTGTCATCGCCTTCTCCTACAGCGCAAGTCAATAGCTGCTCTGGACGACAATTTATCGGCGACAAACTGACTCCATGTTGCAACATGCTGCAAGACTATACCTGGGCATTTGCGTTTAGCATCTTGGATTGTGACATGGCGATTGAGTCCATAGTCCCTAGCTGGGTAGGATATTGCCTGAGCACTTCCACATTAGCACAGCACATGAAACCGTTCTGCATTGTTGCTCAACTGGACGTACAATCAATCCTTGCCATTGCTGTACACCTAGGGGCGTGGTGTGCGGCAGTCCGAGTCGTACCGTCTCGCATCTGAATCTCTTTAGTTATTCGAGAACATAGGTAAGTGGACAATGTCGCATTACTGGGCATAGAAAGCATCATAGTCAATCAGAGCTATGACACGCAGAGGACACGACACGGCAGATTGTGCCAGCAACTGGAGATGCTTGAATGTGAACTGCGACTTCCTTCTTCGGCCTTCGCTTACAGGAGATGAGAGAAGGTATCGTTGCGACGAAGGCATGAGTATTGCTGCTCATGATAGACAATCCATAAATTAGAATCAGCACAATCCGACGCGACCACAACGCGCTGTGACGCGTGCGAGGTTCAAGTTGTGGTGAATGCCAGTGTTGAGTTAAAGTTTCCCGATTGCTTTTGGATTCATCAACCTTCTCCCTTCGCTGCTGCGACAAAACTGCTGCTTGTTCTTGCTCGTGCACGATGTGATCTTGTGAGTATTTCTTGCACTTCAGCTGCTTCAGTGCAGATCTCGTTTATTAGCGTGAGAAAAGAGTAGCCAAGTATTCTGCACCTTGTTGGATCCTGCTGAGCATTTTATCATTGGCATCCACCAACTTTGTCGTCTGCCGAAATGGTGCCATTCCATAACGCGCAGTGTCTGGCCTTGTACATGCTTGCCGATTTGTGGCAGCATTTGTGATGCTAGCATGTGAGGTGAATTATGAAATCTGCTACATTGTTTCTGCATGCCTTATTATGATTCCCACAACTTCACTACAGATCTGTTGAGCACGTTGCTATTCCAAGGCATGGTGCCCATACTCTTACTCTCAGCTTGGTCTCTAGCTGGCCTAGCAAATGCTCGCAAGCCGAATCTTCCACTACAAGGGTTGGAGATATCTGGCTTCGACTGGTCTAAGATAGAGCCATCAGCAAACCTACAATGGACGTCCTGTTATGAGTCCTACGAGTGTGCTCGACTGCTGGTTCCGCTCGACTGGACTAACTCATCCAACCCCAACTTTGCTGCTGTGGCACTGACGAGAGTTCCAGCGGTCGTACCACGCAACGATTCCACTTTTGCCGGATCGATCTTGATCAACCCTGGAGGCCCTGGTGGCTCAGGTGTTGATGAAGTGATCTGGTCAGGATATGGTGTTCGCGATGAGATTGTTGACAATCCTGGCAAGCAGCACTGGGAGATTGTAGGATGGGATCCGAGAGGAGTTCACCACACGACACCAGGATTGACGTGTTTTGGAAGCGATTGGGATCGCCAAATATGGCAATATCGCGACTGGGCAGTTGGCCAGCTGAGTTCCAACGATCACGCACTCGACATTAAATGGGCAACGCATGAAAGCTTGGCCAACCTCTGTGCTGAATCGAAAATAGGCAAATTTGAGGATGGCGCAAATATGCATCAGTTCGTAAGTACAGCCCTGACAGCCCGAGATATGGTGGCTATTGTCGATGCTCTTCAAGCAGAACAAAAACCTCTGTCCTCGAGTATTCAAAGCGCAAACCACGTTCTACAACAACTTGTAAGACCAGGAAAACCGGCTCTGCTTAATTACTGGGGCTGGTCATATGGAACTTACCTTGGGAACACCTTCGCCTCAATGTTCCCTAATCGAGTAGGCCGTATGATACTCGACGGAAACGTCGATCCAATTGACTACACAGCGACTGGCTGGCTTTCCAATCTCTATGATAACAACAAGAATTTGCACTGGTTTTACTACAGCTGTTTTCATGCTGGGAAGAAATGTGCATTCTTTGACTCCAATACAACAACTTTATCAGATTTGGAAAAGAAGATGCACACTTTGCTAAATAGGCTTAGAAACAATCCTCTAGCTGTGGCTCATAATGGTTCTGCCGACCTCGTTACCTACGACGACATGGCAAATCTCATACATGGCGCAGCATATGCTCCTCGATACTTCTGGCCTGACGTTGCTCAGGTGGCGCAGGACCTCCTCAACAACAACGGGACATCGATTATCAAATACCTGAAAAGCCTACAAATTTCCCAGAGTCCTAACACAAACACTCCTACTTCTCCAGATGACCACAAGTCCTTGGTGCTCAACAACGAGACCCTACCCTACCCTCCTGACTATTCCGGTGGGCTCGAGGGTGCCATTTCTATCCTATGCGGAGATGGACAGTCCCTCAACGGCTTGACCAAGCACGATTGGAAACAACGATTCTCACAGCTCAACAATCAATCTGCTATAGCAGGTCCCTTCTGGGCAGCGATCCCCTTCATGTGTCAGCACTGGCCGTCGAGCCTTCGCCCTGCAGATCACAACCGCTTCAAGGGTCCTTTCCAGTCGAGGCTGGCAGACTACGATGAACGAGCATCGCCACTACTCTTCATTGGCAATACTGCTGACCCTGTGACTCCGTTACGAAACGCGATTGGAAACTCTAGGCATCATGAAGGTAGCAGAGTTCTTACACAGGATTCTCCAGGCCACTGTGCGGGACCGGTAAACCCAAGCACATGTACCTTCGAGGTTATACGAAGCTTCTTCGCCAACGGGACATTACCGGAGATAGGTAAAGTTTGCACAATTGACGGAAGCCCATGGGATTAAGCAGGCAACTGCTTTGACAGATAGATTCGTTGCAGTGAACAGTGCTTTGTATTCAAATGATGATACAGCAAGTGGTTGAAATGATTTAGGACGACAGCATCACGAACATAGACGCAGACAGAATGATGGACTAGTATGACTCAGTCTATTGTACGACAAGCGATTAGGTTGGTAGTATGCAGGCTATTCTCCTTGATCAATGTTCCTCATATTGTGTATATCTGCCGACAGCAAGCTCTCCAACAAAAACGCCAGCCAGCACCGAGAAGAAGTATCCTATGTTCATCGTCATGACCGCCAGCATTCTGCATGATTCGTCAGTAGATAGACAGCTTTCAAGAGGAAGGCACTCACAGCAGGTAGCCAACTCCAGCAATAATGAATGTCAGTACAGCCCTCGGTACATCGACAGACAACCTGAAAGGGATAGTAGGCTGTTTCGCAGTCTTGACTACTTTGACTCTCTCCTCAACACCCTGCGCTGTAACCAGGCTCCCTTCCTTCGCATCAGGGTCGTTCTCGATCCTGCCGCTTTCAGAAGTGCGACCACGAACAAGGACGTATCTCCGGTTTCGAGCCCTAGCTGACCAGTGAATCTCTATCACATGCTTTGCGGCTAACAGTCCCCTGAAGGCGAGGCCTAGGAAAATCAGGAATATGCATGTGGCGGCGTATTGGCCTGTAGTTCGTGGCGTCCATGAGCTGGAATACAAGGGCGTATCATGTGCGTTGGTAAAGACCATCTGCATGGTCATTGACATCGAGTCGGAGGAGGACGATGATGACATGTCCATGGTAGCGTATTAATCGTGTAGTCCGATTTTGCTTGCAAGAGTGTTTCGCCCGCGGCTTATATCTCTGTTCGTTGTGCTGGGTCTTTCAGGAGCGAGAACGTGTTAAAGAACTGGGGCTTTTGTCGTAGTATGACCCGTTCTTTGTTTGAAACGAATGAATGTCACCGAACCAGTAGTCAGAGAGTGCAATGAGTATGACTATATCGTGCTAATTGAAAAGTGAGGTGAAGGTACTAGATATTCTGCTCAATTATCATGGGACCAGATCTGTGGCTCGAAATATATTGGTTGTGACGGAGCTTTCGAGGATCACTATGCCGAATCTGGAATCGGCAGCGAAAGAAAATGTGCTCAGCACCTAGTACTGTAAAGTGTTCAGGCACGATCGAAAAGCAGCCGCAACTTGATCGTTTGACCAGCCGGTTTTACGAGCCATATTGTATACATCACACAGTAGTTTGCCTTGGTAGAGCAGGTACGACAGTCAATCGTCGCTTCCTTCCGAGGTAACCACTAATTACACATGGACTAGCGACGCGTTTGAACGTCGCGCCTACTCAATCACGTCTCTACCCCACAAAAAGCAGTGTGCTCGAACGCTTTCTGGGCCGACGTGTGGTCGATATACCAGACCACAGTAGAGAAAACTGATGTGAAGTCGAGAGTGCTAACATTTTGACTTTGTCCAGCTTCCACTACCGTCATGTCGGCGTTGCAAGACCTCCTAGACTTGCCAAAGATTCTTTTACCTTATATTTTCCATCCCCTGACTGCCGCAGAAGTATTTCTTCCTCACTTTCGGCCAGTATCTTGGCTCACCAAGCCCGATGTCTTCAGCCCGGAACAGGATATCCCTTCTCTGCAGGAGAAGGTTATTATAGTGACTGGAGGCAACGCTGGCTTAGGTGAAGAAACCATCTTCCAATTGCTGCAGCATGAACCAGCGAAAGTATACCTAGCTGCACGTTCGCAGGAGAAGGCACGGACCGCGATTAATAGAATTCAGCAACGACTCGTCGAACAGAAAGCCGCATCTCCTGCTACCCTACAATGGCTGCAGCTCGACCTTTCAAACTTGAAATCAGTTCAAGCCGCAGCAGAAGAGGTACTGCGAAACGAGCAGCGGCTAGACATTATCATTCTCAATGCTGGCATCATGGCCTCGCCTCCCTCGAAAACTCCTTCAGGACACGATCTTCAATTAGGTACCAACCATATTGGACACTTCCTCTTGGTCAAATTACTCGTACCCTTGTTGGAGCACACGGCTTCCAGCGTCATAGATTCAGACGTTCGTGTCATTACAGTGTCCTCCGAAGCACATCACCTTGCACCCACGAATATGTTGGACCTAATAGTGAACCACGAAAGACTGTGCTCCTCCAGCAACTATACGAGATATGGTGTAAGTAAGGCTGCCAACATCGTTTTTGCCGCGGAGTTCGCTAGACGTTATGAATCGAGTCGTATCCTCTCAGTCTCCCTGCACCCCGGAATTATACTCACTAATTTATACTCATACACGAAAGATTCTAACTTGCTAGTACGTTGTGGCCTACCACCTGTAGCGCACTTCTTGTTTGACGACGTCAGACATGGATCATTGAATGCTCTGTGGTGTGCCTCTGCACGCCGCGATAGCTTGTCCAACGGCAAATATCATACGCCTGTAGGACGAGCTAGGCCATCTTACTGGGCTGAAGACAGAGAACTCGCTCGAAAGTTATGGTCATGGACCGAAGAACAAGTCAAAGCATACAGCTAAGAGGATATCAGTAAGTCTGGTCAAAGCTTTTGCTTTAAAAATTACTTGCCTGTTTCAATCGGGGCTGATCGGATAGCTTTGTTCCACAAGCATCATGCACAGCTATTTCAAATTTTGTGGTCACACAAAGCCAGCCCATTTTCGTGTGTCGGGGTCTAATTTTCGTCAAATCAGTTCCGGTTCATATGTTTTAAGCCGCCTTGAAGTATTGAGGTGGCAATTCTGTCAGTGTGACCTTATCACGCCAGAACTGAATGGAAGACTCATCGGATCAGACATTCAATTTGTGCTACCAGTACACGAAACATACAATTCACTTCTGGATCAGCAACGGTCACATAGGCCTGGGAAGTTGGAACCAATTTGCAGTCTTATGCTCAGCTTTGATACGCTGCTTGACTGCACGTTCCGCGAGGATTCTTTCTGTAGCTTTCCAGTCAAGGTCGAACAGTCTACAGAGAAAAGCGAAGTCGGGGTGTGGAATTTTGTAGCCCAAGATGAAGACTTTGAGGTAGCGGCTGACATCAGGCCCACCCGTTGCCTTATGATGGACTTTGAGCGTGAGCCTACAGTGAACGCTGGCTGAGTGAAAGACTTCCCTAAACGCCTCATCGAATCATGCAGAAGCCTGCAGGGAAGAAACAGCAGCATCACGAACCGCCATTCACGAGACAGCCATCCAATTGATCATGGGAAAGTCTTAGCGCATCCCCAAACTAGGTCCACCGCTGGAAGACGCCCGCATTTCCAGGGATCCGCCCTAGTTCATGGGCCGTTTAGCTAGCTCACTTAGGCTACCGCTATGCCTTTCCCGGTCTTAAAGCCCAAGATAAGAGACCTATGGTTTGCCAGTGATGTTGGACATCTGCGACTGGATTCGCACGTTCCTATCTTTCCCTGCATCCTTCGTCTCGATATCTGTATACCACTGCAGTGAAATTGCTTTCTCAATGCCGAGTAGTGCTCGTCGTCGACGAAACTTTCCAGGTTGTGTTGACACATGGAGATAGAGATTCCCTCGCCAAGTGTCTTCCTCAGGTCACCAGCGCTGGCTGCTAACGTATCCACACCATCGGTAAAGAAGTCCACGACCTTGAAATCGCGGGGCACCATATCCAACAAGCAGTCAGCGAAGTCGTCAGCAACCACAAACAGCACTCAAAAAGGAGCCATCACGAAACAGAAGCAGAGCAAAAGCAGAAATGGTCAGTGGTCATCTTTCCCACCTATGCGCACCTGCAGATTCTTAGGCAATGGCACGCTTACGATAGTCGATGGAGATGCGAATGCTCGCTGTTGAGTCAGTCGAGATAGGTCGCATGCTTGCTCACTCGTGCTTCTAGGGTTGCAGGACGAGCGTCTTGATTATCAGGATTGCTGCTTCCCGTGTTGGGTGACGTCTAGCGCCATCCTGCAGCCCAGCAATGAAGAACTACAACTAACAATCTACACCTAGGATGTCTAACCTGCAAAAAGAAACGACTAAAATGTGACGAAACGAAGCCGAAGTGCAACCAATGCGAGAGGAGGAATGTAGACTGTGAAGGCTATAAAAGAGATTACAAATGGAGATCTTTTGAGGAGACGAGTAAGCATCCAAAAGTCGGGAAAACGAAGAAGGCTGGCAACGTTGGTGTGCAACATGTTATACCACAGAAGCCTCCATCAATACCGGAGGTGAAACCCACCCAACAACTATATCGCTCAATATCGTCACCCACCCTACAGCATGCCTTTCATACTGCAACCCATGCACTTACTGGTGCGTCTCCAGCATATACGGCTGCTGTTGTGAGTCCTCCTAGACGATTTAGTCCTTCACAGTTCGAGCCACTACCGATCCTCAATGCAGGATTCAGCCCATCTGAGGTGGACCTGCCTTCACCATTGCCTGCTCCATCACGACCTCTGCCAATATCAAGACAAGATAGCAACAGCAGTTCCTCCTATTCTGGCGGTTCGCCGAACCTTGTGGACTTATTACTGCCAGGGACCGACATGCGGCAGCCACCTGATCTATCGGAGCCGCGACCTCCTATGTCACCTCTGCCATATCAACCAGGTCTGGCTCCGATAGGTGACGGGGAAGACCTGCTTGAAGGTATTGTGATACAGGAGGAAGAGGAAGAAGACTTTGACGAGGAAGTAACACGAGAATATATGGCGACTACGTCAGAAGCACAATGGAATTATCGAGCATCATCACCTGCTCTTTCGGATGCGTCCACCACTTCCTCGAGGTCAACTGCGATGTCGATACTAAGAGCACCACCACTAGATCCGAGCTCACCAGAGATGTTGATGCTAAGATTTGACAGAGAGACTTGCACAATACTTTCAATTAAAGACGATCCCTCGGACAATCCTTGGAGGACATTAATTTGGCCACTGGCAAAAGACTCGCATGCGCTTTACCATGCTATCTCCTCGATGGCAGCACTTCATGGAGCAACCGTCAATCCTCAGCTCAGACTAGCTGGTATGGCTCATATGACCAAAAGTATAAGCAAGCTTTCCGCTGAATTGCATCAAATGCGATTGGACCAGGCGCTCGCCACGTCGCTTGCGCTTGCACTAGGTGAGGGCTGGGATGATAAAATCTCAACCGGCATCCAGCATCTCAGGGGTGCATCAACACTATTGAATAATGTTCTAGTCCAAAGAAACATCAATCTGCAGTTAGGGCAGCTGACTGAGGAGGATGCAAAGAGATTAAAGTTCTTGGTCAATACCTATGTGTATCTGGATGTAATAGCTCGCTTGGCAGCAATTGAAGAGCAGGACCACGTCGACCTGGATCTCGTCCTTCAAGCCGTTAATGAACCACTAGGAGGCAGCATCATGGTGGAGATAGATCCTCTAATGGGTTGTGCAACGACGTTGTTCCCATTAATTGGCAAGGTTGCTGGCTTGATTCAGAGAATTCGCAAAACGAGCACGAACAGTCTTAATATTGTCAGTGAAGCTAACGAGCTTCGAGATCAACTTCTCAGTTGGCAAGTTCCCAAAGAGATCGCTGACCCTCGAAGCACTTTCCGACATGCCGTAGATACGGCACAAGCGTATCGTCAAGCAATTCTATTGCATCTACATCAAGCAGTCCCAGAATTGGATTCAGACTCGTCCTATACACAAGCCAAAGAAATACTCACACTCCTGGCTAAGACACCGACCTCCAGCCATACTCTAATTATCCAAATATTCCCCCTTCTGGTTGGTTCTTGCGAAGTAGTTTCTTCTGAAGATCGAGACTGGGTATGCCGACGTTGGGAAGCCATGATGCAGCGTCTGTCCATTGTCAATGTCGTGTCTTGTTGGAAGATTGTGCAAGAGGTTTGGCGCAGGCGCGACTTGCATGCTTGTCAGCAGGCCCAACGGTTGTCGTCCAAGAAGTTCAGCAGGAAGTTATCGCCCGGGCTGTTCATTCCCCCTGATCTGAAACGAAAGATGGTTTCCGCAGACACTGTCTTGGACGAAGACTTCTTTGATGCAAGTGGACAGAGTGATTTGTTGATCCAGAGCCACGATAAGCGAAATCCCAAAAGGCGTATGACATCTGATGTTGCAGCTGGGTTCAATATGGGTGTGGCTTCGGGTCATCCTATGCCAAGCCTCACTCGACGATACACAGACGTGACGATGTTGAGCTTGGACCCGGAATACACTGTACGTGGGCCGTTGCATTGGCTAGGCGTGATGACTGAGTGGAACTGGGAAGGTAAGTCGATCCTAATGAGCGGTATTGTGGTAGTCGCATTTGGAAATCTGCTAACGGATCATTGTGAATAGTGTTTCTTGGATGAAGAGATTGACGACAGCTTCACATTGCTGTATTGTTGGCTATTGGCTGCTAAGTCCTTCCAGCGAAATTCAGGAGAGCTAGGCTGGGTGTTTCCGGCTTTGTCGAGATATGCTCGCATGCTCTGAACATACTCGTCTAGTCCGGCGTTTTGTGCTTTGGCAACTTTGCTCTCCGGCATGGCGTTCGGGTTTCACAAACCAATTGTGGCTGGCGATAACAGGTTGAGTTGCACAGGGATGAATCAGCGACGGTGTCTGGCGTTGTTCACTTAGCAGCGGCGAGTAAGTTGCTTTGGAAGATAGTTGCTTAGGATGCTGCTGGCCGCTTGTCGTGTAGAGCAGATTTAACGAAAACAATCTTCAATTGGCGAATCTTTATGATCAATCTTTGGGAGACGGTGTTCCACAAAATTATCTTTGTTCACCTGATTAGGAGTTTATGCAACGTATCTGCAGAAACAGGCAAAAATCTTCGTGTTACCTTTGTGAAGCGAAGTCGTCGTGTCTGTACCTGTTGCGAGGTTGGCAGAAAAACGATGAAGAAAAGGAAAGGCGAACCACAAGTGAATTGTACTCCATCCTGATATTGCAACATGTCATGGAGAACACACAATGGCGTTATACTTGTTTTAGATTAGCGAGGAGTCCTTCGATCGCCTGATTGTGTGTTGTTTCGACATATGACCATCCAGCAGAATCCCAGGGTGGACTGGGCGAATTACTTTTTCAAATGAGTTTTCCCATTCCAGTTACGAGATAGAATGTCTACCTACAAGGTATGCAACCGGAGCAGAATCTGCCTCTAGCGAGTGGACCGAACAACATTGAGCAAGGAACTACATACGATTCGAGAGAACCTAGCATGAAGATGGGTGAAAGGTCCACGGCAAAGACCTGACGCCAAAGCTTTTACGACACACAACGAGTGATATTCATCCTCAGGAAAATTAGCCTCGCACCAATGCTTGTACCATGGTTGCGGCCACACCCAAAAGACCTCTATACACTCCTTCTAGTGGTCGCAGAAACCACCTCAAAACTCGTCCTGAGATCTATATCCCACTAGAGCAAAGCCGAGGACCCGAGCAGGATCGGACGGGATGACATTTGTACAATAAAGTATTCACGTAACGGCGATCTTGCGCAGAGGGTTACGGCATACATGTCCCGTGTGCAGCTTGCTGAACTCGAGAGTCGGCGACGAGCTTATTGGCTTCATCTAGACCCCGTCGGGACCTATACTCCGTGCTTTGCAGTTTGTGGGGCCAGAGCCTGTAGATGAGCATTCAAGCTCGACAAGGCTCTAATCACAGTATACGCAACGTTCCTTTTCCAGTGATCTTGTACTACGGCCATCGTGCCGTGCATGTGGCAGAAGTAAGAAAAGTCCACTTATCCAACGTGGTTGCCGAGTACATCCGCCCAACCGGTTTCTATGTTGGAACATTACTTCACGGAGTGGATGAATACAAGCTGTCCCTCAATACGTAGGTCGGGAAAATTTTGCAGTTAAATGCAAGAGAAAGCATGCTCGAACGGTGTAGGGCCCGCCCGAAGGGAAACTCTCACAATTCCGAGTGAGTTCCTTCACTTGTTACCACATCCTCGTTGGGGTAGTGTGTTGCTTGAAAGCAATTCGGCAACTACTGCGTATTCCAAACCAGCTGGTGAGGCTCAATGTTCGGTAAGCCTGTTCTCGTGGTCTTACTCGAGATATCCGAAGTGACACAAGTGAGCTTCTAGAACGACCAGCCGACAATTTGCTGCAATTGTCGGACAACAATGCAGGTCATAAGATATGAGCGGCCGAAAGCGACATTACACAGGTCATATGGTGAGTGGCTATACATAGAGATATTGGGCTGACTATGCTTCGTTATGTTGTTCACGAGCAGTTTTACGGTCATTCCCTCGTGGTGTTCGCGACAGGCCGAACCAAGCTAAGCGACACAGGTACTGGAGGACGAAACTGCGTCACCTCCTCTTCACCGCGTAGAAAGCATAGCCTCACGGCACATTCAACGACCCCGTAGAAATGCCATTCAGGACGATGGCATGTCGAAGGGCAACAGAGTTGAGGCCGAGGAGATTCTATGTCAAAACCAGTTCACCTGCCAAATTCGACATCAATCCCGCAGTAAAGCATGTGCTGACAAGCAATACTATACCGTCATCGCACTCGATCTGTCCAACAAGGCAGCACACGGCAGATAAATTGTACAAACATGTTCGTGTCACGAACAATGTGGAAGTTGAAAGGAAGCAGATGCAAGGGCAGGACAGGACAGGGACAAGATTTCCTAAACAGTTTTAGCTCTTTATCTCATCCACATTTTCGTGATTCGTCACTGCCTCGTGTGATCTTCTCATCCGTCATGCTGAACATCCTGCAGCAGTCTCGTTCAACCCCACGGACCCGCAGCAACATCACAATAGCACACATGGCATGCTGCTCATCAAGGAACAAACAATCAGCGAGTCAGTGGACTGAACGTGTTGTGCTGCCGTAATAAAAGGACGAAATGCAGAGAGACAAAATGAAAAATTACCTGTGAAAGGAAAACTGAACAGGGCCCAACCACGATCATTCTGAACTTGGAAACCTCAGCTAACCACAAGCAACAACATTTTCAACGATCGTGGGACATCGAGTCCAATGAGAACAGCACATTGTGGGTTTCTTTCTAAGCTTACTCGAGTTAGCAAGCTTGCAGTATGGATTCCATGCTGCTGCTTCTGTGCTCGCGGCGGTCTCCATTGACCTTGGTTTGTTCTTTTGGCTAGAGAGATTCTGCTGATCGAGTGCAATGCTTCAATGTCAGTCTGAGGAGCCATTACTGCTTTGATCTGGCGCCCTGCTTGTATAAGGCCTTCAAGAGGTTCTTAGATAACGACTCACCAATCAGGCGTCACTCTCTAGACTGAAAGAAGCAACGTGGTCCCTGATCAGCAAAAATCGTCCTTGCGAGACTGACCTTTTTGGCGGAGACTGGATGTTTCTCGGCGCTCGAGGAGTCCGGCTGGACCTGAGTGCTTTGAGTTACAAGGATATATCTGTCCAATACTACTGAACAGAGCAATCTGAACAAAGCGAACTGTCGTGTTAGCACAGCACAACATGATATGTCGTACGAGTTCCACGCTCTATTGCTGTGCTGAGCGTGGTAACCTCCTTATCGTCAATGTGGAAGAAATGAATAGTATATAAGTTGAGTCCAACGGCAGGACCTCGAGTCGGTGAGTTTCGTTTGTACAAGGTGCTTTGCAACGTGTCAAATTTTTGTGAACCAAGATTCCGGTAAGTTTACTCATTCGAGACATAGACTGGACAACACCTGCCAAGCCCTCGCTGACGAATCGACCCTACCAAGATCTATGCACGAGGAAGAGGCTTGAGCTTACGGGAACAGTCTGAGCGGTGAATCCAAGCAGTCCTCCATTACCTCCCTGCCTCTGAGGGACATATTAACAAGATGGGTGACACAACGAGCAGCACACCATTGAAATTTTCACACTACCCGAACGCTCAGAACGACTTCAGCCCACCCTTAATAGCTCATAATAACCATTTTTTGGGCGACGTTTTCGATTCCGCCGATAAGACGGCGCCGATATCGTGCGGTTTCTACCACTTCAAGCCTGGCACGCCACTCGAGTATACGTATACCTACCACGAGATGAAGATCATATTGGAAGGTGTTGCGACTATCAAGGACGCGAGTGGACAGGAAGTGACAGCCACAAAAGGCGATGTGTTTTTCTTTCCTAAGGGTTCGGTCATTACCTTCTCTACCGAAACACCCGAGGGCGTGAAAGCTTTCTATTGTGGTCAACGAGCCCGAGACGCTGCTTAGGTTGCACTAAGTCGAGATGTTCGAGGCAAACAGTATTGGTATTGACACTTTTGAGCTGACCTTGTCTATGGCCATGTCTCTACAACGTTCCATTCCTGTTCCTTCTTCTCCTCGTTCCCACCTGGACCACCAAACTCCTTGGCGAGTGTGTAAGTCCACCTCTTCGAGTTCTCCGGGTCACTGAGGTCGGTCCTTTCAACCACTTCTGGTGTGATGACTACGACTCTGAAATTCTTTCTAGCCAGGTCTTCATCGCTCAAATGTCCTGCTTTTTGCCCTAATGCTTCACCCTCTTCCGTCTTGCCCTCAGAGATGGGGTGACCTGGTGGAGGATTCTTGAAGCTACCTCGCATACCAGGGCTAAGGTTCTCGAACTGGTTTTCGACCTCTCGTCTCCAGCTCCATTCGCTATTCTTTGACTCGTGGTCGCCAACAGGACGCATGTATCTTCCTAGCTGAGCCTTGACAGTCATAGTGCCTGAGTTCTGAGCCGCTTCAGTACCACCTTCGATGTCATTAGCTGCTATCAGCCAGCCCTTGCCGCGAATCCTCCATTGTGTAGAAGTGTCCTTGACCCAGTAAATCGCCTCGACTGGTCCACCACCACCAGTACCGGACTTGCTCTGCTCCCGATCGCCATGTCCTTTGCCTGTAGCGAACATATGGTAGGTCTTCTCCATTCGTGCATCAGTGGTGAAGACAGGACAATCGGACTCGTATATAGCTGGGTTCTTCGGGAGCTCATTGTGCTTGTTCTCTGGCAGTTGAGTCCAGAAACCACGATGGATACATGATCGAACTCTTGGTTCTCCCTCTGGTGTCACAGTAGCGAAGTAGAACTCAGCGGAGGGACCACCCAACTTTTGAACATGCTCCTCGAAAGTCTGCCTCCATGGGGCTTTGGAAATTACGGTTGGGTGTTGACCTGACATGGTGAGGGTCGAGGAGAAGCGAGCGAGACGCTGGAGGGTTTGAGCAGCCAGAGTGGTGGAATACAAAGACTAGCTTGATACAAGCAGTATAGCAGTGTTCTCTCAGCTACTCAGGGTAATAAGAATGAGATGAACTCTGCCAGAACTGCTACTCCTCCATAAATTCTCGTGTCTTTCTCAAAGCTCATGACGGTTTGAATCTCGAAGTATGACATCACTATTTCGACCCTGGCTAAGTTTGCACCCCGATTTGATCAAGCTCCAGGCGCTTATCGGGCTGGATGGAGCTTATCTATGCCCCGCATCCTGAGTGGTTGCCCCTAACAACTGTGTCTGTTGAGGCTCATTCCGCTTGTTGCTTGCTTGGGGGTGTTCAACGGTGCATTCTCACAAAAGGACAACGTTCAGTTCCTGCTAGTGCAACATCCCCTTAGTCGTGCCCTCCTCAGAAGTCGTCGCTGCTTGTTCACTGTTCATTCACTGCAGAGCAGGAATTGCAATCTCATCTAGGACCAGTGAGCGACGGTAGCCACACCGCTTAATCATCCTCATTCAGTATGGCTATCACGAATCCCTTCGCATCACCAACACAGAACGAAAAGATGTCGTTGCCCATGCCACCACCTCTTCTGCATACTAGGTCGGGAAATGAACTCTATGATCGGCCTTCAACACCCGGCAGCAATCACATTGTCAGCCCTCAACAAACCCCTCAAGGCAGTCCAAGCAAGCACCACTTTCCTCCAGGTGCTCATGACTTACCAAATGTCTTTGACAATGCTATGAAACTTCAGCCTCTGACACAGACTCAACCCAAGTCTCCTTCCAAGAATGATACCAACCAAGACCCATTTGCAGTCACTGAGAAATTCACTCGACCTGCAAGCCCAACACGACAATCCAATAAAGAGAATGCTCCAGGCAGTCCTACCAGATTTGGCTACAATCCAAACTCGGCTGCCCAGGCAAGAGATGCTCCATACCAGAAAACAGAAACTAGGAGAGGCCCACAGACACGTAATTTGACTGCAGAAGAGCTCGAGAAGTTGCAATCGCCCAAGGTTAAGCGTCTCGCCAATGTCACTCAGCTATGTAAGTTGCATACTCACACACGTGAATGTTACTAATAGAATCAGACTTTCTTGACTACTACTTTGACCTCCTCTCTTATGTGCACCAGCGCCAGACAAGACATAATGCTTTCAAAGAGGCTGTGCCAACACCACCAACCACGTCTCAAGTTGAGTACGATGCTGCATTGCACAAATATCTGGGCCGAGAACGAGCGAACCTAAGAAAGCGACGAACTCGATTGAGACATGGTGACTTTCAGATACTTACACAAGTCGGTCAAGGTGGTTACGGCCAGGTATATTTGGCTCAGAAGAAGGACACGAGAGAAGTCTGCGCTCTGAAGGTCATGCGCAAGAAACTGTTGTTCAAGCTTGATGAGGTTCGACACATTCTGACAGAACGAGATATTCTCACGGCTGCAAAATCAGAATGGTTGGTCAGACTTCTATATTCATTCCAGGACGACGAACAGATATACTTGGCTATGGAGTACGTTCCAGGTGGTGACTTCCGGACCCTACTCAACAATACTGGTGTTCTACACAACCGACATGCTCGATTCTACATTGCTGAGATGTTCTCTTGTGTGGACGCGCTTCATAATCTGGGCTATATCCACAGAGATTTGAAACCCGAGAACTTCCTGATCGATGCCACTGGTCACGTCAAGCTCACAGATTTCGGTCTGGCAGCTGGTATGCTGAGCCCGATCAAAATTGAAAGCATGAGAGTCAGACTTGAAGAGGTTGGCGAAACAAGAGTGCCATTCGGTCTGCCCGCCGTGGAAGATCGATCAGTAGATCAACGCCGAGACGGTTACAAATCACTTCGAAAGAGGGACGTCAACTATGCCAAATCTATTGTCGGCTCGCCCGACTATATGGCTCCCGAAGTTCTCCGAGGCGAGCAATACGACTTCACTGTCGATTACTGGTCCCTGGGCTGCATGCTTTTCGAAGCACTAGCAGGCTACCCACCCTTCGCTGGTGCAACCGTAGACGAAACATGGCAGAACCTCAAGCGCTGGCAGCGAGTTCTTCGCAAGCCTCAGTACGACGATCCAAACTATTTCCTCAGCAAGCGAACTTGGGATCTCATCACCACACTTGTGGCTGCCAAGGAGAACAGATTCAAGAATATCACCGAGATTCACCAGCATGAATATTTCGCCGAGGTTGATTTCAATGCTTTGAGGGAGCAGAAAGCACCATTCGTTCCAGAGTTGGACTCTGAAACCGACGCTGGCTATTTCGATGACTTCAGCAACGAGGCCGACATGGCTAAGTATAAGGAAGTTCATGACAAGCAGCGAGCTCTCGAAGACATGGCTGAGCGTGATGAGAAGATGGCCAAAGCCTTGTTCGTGGGATTCACATTTAGGTATGTTACTCGTGGCCCATCTATAGACATCGTACTAATAAACATGATAGGCACCGACAACCAGCTGTGGAAGGCGGCGCTAAGCCTGCGAGTCCAAGAAAGCAGATGGACGAGAACACTTTTGGCACCATCTTTTAGGTGTTCAAGCTACCATGAAAGGTGGCGAATGGTGCATGTTCGTTTTGTGGCTATGGGTCGAAACATGGCATTTGTGTTAGTAATTGTTAAGCGAGTGTCGCGAACATGTCTGGCATGATGGTCTGCTGGAATGTCGTTGGACGAAAATGTAGTGCATTGGCGTTTGGCGAATTTCGATACAAACGGTGTATTACTATGATTGATGCCAGGAGAATAGATACGAAAAGCTATCGCACACCGAGCTCAGGCTGCAGCTCTTTGACAAAAACTTCTATTCGGTTCTCAGAATGGTATACGATTACTTCCCTTCTCGTGGACAGTATTGTCTTTTACTGACATGTCCTGATAAACGACTACTGCCAACCCAAACCTAGCGCAATATTCCCCTGCATTTATCCCTCGTCCATCTCCTCTAGCCAGAACCTAATAAAATCGACTGCAGTGCTTGTGTTATTCGTAGGCGACCTTAATTCGAAGGGTTCAAGGCATTCATAGTGCTGGCCTTATCTCGACTTCGCCTGGACTTCGGTGCGTGTGTGTGCGTGAAACCCGTGAGCTTGTGCATGGCTGTAATGAGCTCTCTTTCAGCGTCACTATCGAGGGCTGTCACTGTCGACAGGCGTTTCGTACTATACAAGATGGTACAGCGTTCTGCTTGTAGGCTGGTAGGTACTGCCTCGTCCGGGCTCTCCGTATCAAGTATACACATCTGACTTTGACGGCCGCAAATACGTACTTGGTAGTAGTAGGTCCAGCATCGTGTATCGGACACTATTGAGCTAGTCTGCTGCATGTAGCTTATGGCTTGAACCTTCTGTTAATGGAGGTGGCTTGTTCATGCGGTAGATGTTTCGACGTCTTTTTGCGTCGAGGTTTAATTGGCACGGCGATGTTTGTTAGTTCGTGACAAGTCATGACCTCGTGGTACTGTCATCTGAAAGAGGTTTTTGGCTGTGAGATTGGTGTTGTGATGTTCTTGGCATCCGGGTGATCCATCAGCTCTTACACAGCTTGTTGAGGATGTTTCGTACGACTATTGGCTGGCGAGAGACAGCGACGGCCTCTCACTGCTGCAATCGGACAGCCTCTGACATCTTCAAGCTGTATCTGGCCATCTTTCACGAAATGCCCCAGTAGTGTCTCTCAGTATTTCCTCTAGACCCTTGAATCTTTCCACTCCAAGTGCTTGGTACGCTTTCGTAGCCTTCACAGTCGGTTCACTCGCAGGCCATCCATAGTCAAACTCAGCTCCATCCTTCTCCTTCATCACATACCCTTTCCCAGGTTCACCTACTATGATCCTTCCGCGGATCTTCTCCTCGTCCTTGAATATTGTCTCCCTCATACAATCCGCAAAAGCCTGTGGTGGAGCTTTACCATTCGTCGCCAAATACCTCTCCCCTCCAGCCTTGTCAGGATTCTCAAGTGCCCAGACATGCAAAGCAGCCACGTCACGCACATCGCAATACGTCGCTCCACCAATCTGCATCGGCAGTTTCCCGTCCTCTTTGCACTTCCCACTATAGATATTCCACACAGGCAACAACGTCTCGTTCAGCTTTTCCGGCCTCTCAGGCCAATTTACAGGCGGTCCCATAACCACACCCGGATTAATCGACGTGCACGCTGGGCCAAGCCACTTCCCACCATCCTCTTTCGCGCACTGCTCGATAAAATCCCACATCCACTTCTCTGCCACGGCTTTACTAGCTCCATACGCGACCATGGGCAGGAACTTCCCCGTCCCTTCATGCTGAGCCTTCTCACTTGCCCTGGCCACACTTTCCCCAGTCTCATTCCAGTCCTTCTCAGTGAAATCTCTGTTCTCCAGCCCACCATCCGCTATCGACAGGTATTTCCACTTATCCACGATGGCCAAAATACTGCTCAACTGCACGAAACTCGATACCTTGCCGTTCTTCTCGCGATTATGCTTATATGCAGACGTGAGAATGGACTTGACTCCCCCAACAGCTGGAGTGAAGAACGCATCTACAGACGTCAATGTCCAATCGACTGGACTAGCGGTGTGAATCACGCCGTGTACGCCCTGCATCGCTTCATCGAATGCTCCTTTGACAGTAATATCGCTGACCACGACATGCTTTAAACGACCGGTATTTGCGAATGGTGCAAAAGCTGGATTTGAGAGGAGTTTCGAGGGTGTTGAGGCGGAGCGTGATGTTCCGAGGACGGTGTATCCGCGAGAGAGGAGGAGGAGAGCGATGTGGCTTGCTATGTAGCCGTTTATACCGGTTAGGAGGATTGTTTTGTTGGCGTTGGATTGTTCCTGGCCGGGTGATATGGACGGAATGGGATATGTGAATGGTGGAGATGTTGAGGGGGTGTATGAGGACATAATGGTCTAGCCAATATATAGAACACTGTGTTCGATGTCTGGGCTTGCCCGGTGGCACGATTGATGTTGTAGGACTGATGAAAAGTTGTCTCTCAGACCCAGAATAGAACGTAAATATCTTACCGGATGTCGAGATCTATTCAACGTTTTCAGGTCTGTTCTTGCAACAAGCACATCAGACCACTCTTTGTCGTGCCCTCAATGATATGACACTGCTCCTAAGTTATCAACAACGCTTTTAGTGTATATCAACGTGGCACGCTATGTTACAACCCAGAAAGTCGACGACTCTTGGCACTTCTGGGCACTCGGTCCGAATAAAAATGTAGATACGGAGGTAAGAGGCGATGTGGAAATCAACAATCCTGGTATATTCGATCTATGCTACAAAAGTTGTACCCCTAGGAGAACGCGCATACCTACGCAACACAAGTTTGACTTCACCAATACGTCGATAACACTTGATGAGTTATTCCATGTCATTTTTTACCAGAAGCTAACAGAAAGAGTTGGGTATCAAAATCGTCTCAGAACACATAGCAACGCCTTCCAACATCGCCATGCCGTTTCGCATCAAACATGCCGCTCACAAAGAGCTTGCCTTTGTGTTTCCTCATAGCTGTTCCTCTGTTCCTCTGTCCCTGTTGTACCATATCATCACCGTCTTGAGTATCATCTCACATCTGCCGCTTAGCCACCATGTACAAGCTTTTATGCTGATCTAAGTCGTAATTCCCAATCCGACCAACTCCTTACTCATATGCTCAGACGTCGATCTTCGTCGAGGTCTCAATTTGACCATCTCCTCACACTCCTAGCGTGAGTAGACACCATAATGACTCTGCCAACCAACAAGTTCACCCATCAACGTTTCCATCATTTGTCCGCTTGCCAATTTAGCGAAGTCCATATCCGGGATGAGTTTGACCTTGCATGCTTCATCAGGGTCCTGGAGGCCCGCAGTGATAGCCTCAATCAATTTGCTGGCTGGCATACCTGTAGCATGACCGTTGGTTTTGGGCGTGCTGTCACCCTTTGCACTGTTGCTCGAACGAGAATCACTACCACTATGAGAGGTCGGGTTTGAGCCGTTCGACTTGTTATGTTGGGTCTGCATCTGGCTTACAAACTCAAGTATTGCAGCTACACGCTTCTTCATCTCATTGAGAGAAGTTCGTGAAGGGTGCACTTTGGCTCTTGAGCGATTGCCTTCATGTGCACCATAAGGAGAGTTGTGTCCAATTCTGTCGTTCGAGTTCGATCGATTGGGGGTATCGCTTGGATCGTATAGATCTCTCGTATACTGATTCCTACCCACTCTTTTACCACGCACACCTGGACGTGCGCCCCCTTTGCCCTTTGACTTCCCTGGCTGGGGAGTGTCCGCTTTGATTTTGGTAGCTCTAGGTTCGGCCATTTTGGAGGGAGACAGAGTAGGAGTGGGTGGGGGAGAGTCTGAGACTAAAGTCAGTGGTTGTCAAAAGTGGACATAATCAGGCAACTTGCCATCCACCCTGCGCCGTTCAGATCTAGCATTCCGTTTGCTAGCAGCTTCAGCCCTTTGTGCGGCAGTCTCTTGCTTCATCTTTTCTCGGATCTCCTTCTCCCTGTTGTTCCTGGCGGCAGCTCCGCGCAATTTGGAGCTGTTCTTTCCTGTAGCCATCTTTTCTAGCTCAGGACTTTGGCTCTTTTTAGATGAGACCTCGGAAATACTTGAGCCGGTTCTCTGTCTCTTATTGGCAGGTCGTTGACTGTATAGCTATTAGCTCAAGTAATCACAGAGTGTAGTAGAACTCACTCTTCGCTTTCGTCTCGACTTCTCTTGCCTAACGTGCCTTCCACTTTACTTTGTTCGATGGCCTGTCTTAGCATTTCGTCTTCGTCATAAGCACCTCGACTATTCATGGTCGCTCTCCTTTTGGTGTTCTGTAGTGCCTTATTCTTGAGTTCTTTCATTCGGGCCTGGTCGGCTGCGGAGAGAGGTGTGGAACGGATTGAGCCTTCGAGGACTGGCAGGTAGCGTGAAGATTTTGCGTTGCTGAAGATAAGATCAGTAACGGTTCGACAACGGATGCAAGCCCCGTGCGATGAAACAAGAGTCGTCTGGGTGTAGGCAGCCTCAGAATTACATGTTGGGAATGCAGGGGTGCGAACTTACAGATTCGAAGCTTTCATGACCTTGTGGAAGTCTGGTTTGCATCTTTCGCAGTAATATTCATCTGGTATGATAGACTCATCGTGGATACCCAGACAGCCACCGTGCTGCCAAACATGACAATTGTCACACTGCACGAAGAAGTTACCCATATCTTCTGTAAGCGCTATCGAAGTTTCAATGTCAGTCTCTAAGCTCGTCTCGCGATTTGTTGGTCAATCGTACCTGCTGGGCCGAATTGGTCTTTAATGCTCACACTGGGTCCTGGATAGTCGGCATGGCCACAGATGCAGCGAGTGACGTCGTCTTCTAATACTTCCTGATCTTCTTCGTCGGCGGATGGCTGTTTGAGTAGAGGATCTTTGTCGGTCTCAGCACCTCGCCGACTCCTGCGGGGAGCAGAAGAGTCACCACGAGCCATGTTGTCGGCGTCGTCTATGGATTCAGATCTCCTGACAGACCCTCCGCCCTCGGAGGCTACCGTGTGCGCAAGAGTAGGTAGAGAGGTGCGAGTGTCTTTCGGGTTGAGGTTTGAGGAGGAAGAACTCGTATGCGAAGGCGCAGTCGGTTGCTGGGATGAACGTGCTCGTGAAGACCTTCTAGGAGACATCTCCAAAGCGATTCAAGATGTGGTCGGTGCTCGAGATGAGCGTATTGGCTACCCTCGCAATGCCTGACAGAGATTCAGGAGATCCGTAGGTATGTACGGGTGAGGGTACCGCTCAGCGCACTGTGGGACTTGCCAATCGAGCAAAAAGATCGAGGCAAAGGGAAAAGCCAGGAGAAAGATGATAGATCTATTTCAAAAATGACATCCACAATATTGTTGGATGTTACATTGCAAACATTGTCGTTGGTATGTAACTGTGGAAAGAGCGAGTGGCAGCAGAAAAGAACTCATCGACGCCAACCTCAGCAGGTGCGCAACCTGCGACTGCACAATCCTGAGAGCACCGACCCGTGGACTGTGCCGATCCTGCCTCAGAAAAGTCAAGCTACACCGACTGGCCGACTATTGGGGTACAAGGCTCCACCGTCCCCTCTCAGGCGCGACTCGACCGAGCACGTTTGGCTTTTCAGACATAATGCAGAAGCTATACGTAGAGTTTCGAGCGACGGACTCATCGAAAAGCAATGATGGCACACACTAATCGCGGATCTCTGTCGAGGAAGATAGTTGCTATAGTCGTCGTCGAGGTTCGTAGAGTATGTCAGAGGAAAAGAATAAGAATCACGGCAAGAACACAGAAAAGGTACAAAAGTGATGTCATCGTGCAGACGCGTTTCTTTCTGACGCGTCGCGCTTCTTGATCAATACGGACTCTTCAATCAACAATTGAGTTGTTCCTGCATTTATGTCTAGCGCTTTTCGGCTGATCTTCTTCACGATATTGAAATCTGCTCGACATGCTTCTCGGTATCCCCTTCAGTAGCCATCTTGCCCTCCCACTCCTTCTTCACCCGGGCAACTTTGCTCTCAAGCACCTTGTCCATATCCATGTTCATAGCCCTCATCCATTTCGGGTCGATGTTGTCCACACTCAGGTAAGGGCTGACATCTCCCTTCTCAACCAGCTCTCTGACCGTACCCATACCCAGGTATGCCCATCTGTTCTTCTTCGCTGGTCCAAGGTATGTAATTTCAAAGTCCTCGTATCGAGGAACCCTGATAGCTTCAATGTAGTGCAGGGAGCTGCCGGGCCAGATAGCATTGACGCGGCCAGTCTCGTTGTCCTTGTACCAACTTCTGCACGATTCGTTCCATACTGTGTGGCGGATCCATTCCTGTGTGTGTGCATTAAACTCATCGGTAATGTCCTGCTTCGGGGCAATGCTGCAGATGTATTCCGTTTGAATCTTCTTGATCATTTGGAGAGCATATCGCGATACTTCATGAAGTGGACCCATCACGCTTCCATTCTCTACAGGCCTGGTCAGGTGTTAGTAATCCAAATCATATATGTTTCCCTCTTAGCACTTACCAGCTTGGCCCAATGAAGGTCAGGAAATTCGGAAATCCTGGTATGCCGAGTCCTAGATATCCTTCTGGACATACCTTCCATTTGTCGGCAAGATCGATACCATCCTGGCCCACTATCGGGAATCTGGGTCGATAGCTGACATCGAAGCCAGTGGCACAAACAATAGTATCGCACTCGCATCGTGTACCGTCTTCGCCAATCACACCACTTTCGTCGATCTTTACAACTGGTGTAAAATGGACATCCACATTTTCTTTCTGTATTGCCATCATGTATGGATCACCCGGCGTGATTCTGCGACACCCAAAGCCAAACTCTGGTGTGTATCCTTTGAGCAACCTCTCGTCCTTGATAAACTCAGCCATTCGAGCCTTGAGCATCTTCTGACCTTCAAACTGAGCTGTGGCGTTCTTGTAGAATCCACCCCACAAGCCGTTGACTTGGTCCTCGATGCTCTTAGCATGCTCGACCATCTTTTGTGGATCTCTGAACTCCTTCTTTTGTTCATCTGTGTATTCGTGGTTGTGACCATGATTATCGGCAATTTGCACGAACCAGACTCCTGTCCTGACGAAGACATCCAGGTGTTTGGCGTGCGGCTGCATAGTAGGTACAGTCTGGATCGAGCTGGCGCCGGATCCGATCACAGCGACACGATCGTTCTTCCATTGCTCAGCTTGGTATTCCTTGGGCCAGCGTGCAGTGTGAACTATACGACCTTTGAATTTGTCCATGCCCTCAATGTTTGGCCATTTGTAGTTGTTCAGAATGCCAGTACCGTGAAGCAGAAAGTGGCATCGATCATCGAACAGTCTCGTGCTGCCATCAGCCTTTGTCTCTTTGATCTTGACGAGCCACTCTCCAGTCTCTTGCTGCCAGTAACATCCCACAACCTCGTGATTGAAACGCATATATTTGCGCAGCCCCCACACTTCGCATACCTTGTCGAGGTACTTCCAGATGTCTGGACTGTAAGAGAAGAATCTAGGCCAGTCCGGATTGAGAGCGAAGGGCAATGTGTAGGCGTGAGACGGGATATCGCATGCACAGCCAGGATATCTATTCAAAGTCAGTATTGATTCGTGACGGCACAGCGAAATTTCATGTCACAAACCTGTTCTCCAGCCATGTGCCTCCTATGTCGGCATTTCTATCGTAGACAACATGCTCAACGTTCTCTAACTCCTTTTGAATGAAGTAGGAGTTCATGATACCTGTCACACCAGCGCCAATGCTGAGCACACGGATCTTGCGGACCATGGGAGCATGCATAATGATATCCGGTATCTCATATTTTGGATCTCTGGGTACGCCATTTGTGGCGTAGCCATCAGTCTCGAAGTTGGCTAGGGCATTAATATCCGGTGCCATGTTTGATACTGCCCAATAATGTGTGTCGAGGAAGAAATGTCTTCGGGAAGGCTACGCCGGCCCTTTTGTACAAATGCTGTAAGGAGGAAGAGTGACTGATTCGCTGTAGAAAGGTACAACAGCTGATCGACTGGTGCAGATCAATGCTCCAAATGCCCTCACTACCACCAATCTTGGAGAGTCGAGCTGGCCTGACACCTCTGCATCTGAACTGCCTACGGAGCAGCCACTATGCCTCGAAACACAAGTAGCCGAGGCTAGCGAGTTCGTAGCATATTGTAGGCATACTCACGTATCCAAGCATTGTATGTTTCCCTGTCTTCGAATCATTGTGGAGTGCGGAATATTGAAACTCCAACCATAGTAGCCCAGCTTCGTCCACAGACGGTATTGTGTTGGGTAATTTTCTGAGAAAGATCCCCGCACGAATTGATGTGCTTGACACTGCCTCGGCTATGCCAATCAGGCGTACAGCGTGGTACATGGTTACGATCTTGAGTGCATGATAAGCTTTGCGGGCCTTAATGCGACCTTTCGTGCATACGGGAACGTATACTCGAAGCCAAGTAGAGACATGGGTACTGAATTCAGTAGGTGCCGTCGTAGCGGAGGTCTCGAGAACTTCTGCCAATGTGTATCGTGATCTCATCGTCCGGCATGATCCAGTTCTGTTGCGCGACAGACCAATAGCTCAAGTCTTTACGAGTCAGAAACATCTCAACGGTCTTGGTTTCGCCAGTCCTGAGGTCAATCTTCTCGAAATTGCGAAGTACTCTGACTGGCATGTCGATGTGCTCCCCACTGACAGGGTCTGTCACATTTTCTGGAAAGCTCACATAGACTTGCACTACTTCCTGTCCCTTACGAGCTCCCTTGTTTGTCACTCGAACAGTAATTTTGACATGATTCTCAAACAATGAAGGATTCCCGCCTTCGCCGCCACCTGCCTGGCTCGGTTCTCGCTTTGTGTCATAGCCGAGAGGGTATGGATACGGCACCTTGCGTATCCGTTCTGCGCTTGTGATCCAGGGATATATGTATTTTCGGAGTCTGCGGAAGCCATCTGGGAACATTGCGGTCTCTGGATCCAACGGTGCATTTTTGTAGTCGGGCGGTGTGAGCTCTGGAAGTCGAGGAGCTGGCAGTGGTGATTTTGCTTTCAGTGACTCGATTGTCGAGTTCGAATACTCGAAGGTCGTGTATGACAGACCATAGCCGAATTCGTACCGAGGATCTAGGCCTTGCTTGTCAAAGTGACGGTAATCGATATACAGTCCCTCTTTGAAGTCAACTTGAGGTACAATATGGTTGGGGTAGTATAGGACAGGTGCGGTCTGGCCATAGTCTGCTAGACTGCGCCCGATAGTGTATGGTAACCTTCCACTGGCATCAACCCTGCCGAATAACACATCTGCAAGTGCATTACCGCTCTCTTGGCCAGGTAAATTAGCAAGCACGATCGACTTGATGTTTGGCAGGTCGGCAAACTCCTCCATGATCACCGGGCCCACAGAATGAACGATAGCAATGACGGGTCCGCCACAGAGCGCTGCAACGTCCTTGATCAGGTTCGCACCCCCCTTCTGAAGCTCGAGATCGTTCCGGTCACCATAAACGCCATTCCAAGCGAGATACCCCTCCCCTGCATCAGCGTTTGCAAGTACAAGGCATAGGTCCTGTTCTTTAATCATCTGCTTCTCTGCGGCACTCAACTTGTTCTTCAGAATTCTTGATAGCTCAACGGCCCCGGCATCGAAAGATTTGTGCAACGCGACAAACGGATCCACTAGATACGGAAACTCTGATGCTCCACTTCCCCAGCCTGAAGCCAGAGTGCCGTCGTTGCATGCGCGATCGGCACAGTGATTCGGCCCGCCTTCTGCTGGGCCTCCGTCCTCTCCAACCACTATCACTTTGGCCTTGCGTTCAAGATTGAGCTCTCGCATATGATAATTCAAGGGCAGTAAGGCATCTTCGTTCTTCAAGAGCACAGTGCCTTCATGTGCAACTTGCCGTGCGACCTTCCTGGTTTCAGCTGTTGAGGTCTCAACATACTGATTGACTACTCCAGTATCATCACTGTCATCGGCGCCATCGTGCCATTTCCCGACAGTCTCATTGGTCCAAGAAGAGAAATTCGGCTCATTCTGCTCGCGGGAATCTTGCCCAACTTGGTACCATGCAGCAACAATACGCGTCGCCATGTCGTTAAGTCTTTGAACAGGCACCGATCCGTTGAGGACAGCGAGAGTCAATTGTGAACCGAACAAGGGTTTTCCATCCTGCCAGAACAGGCCGTCTCCTGGCATTGACATGTCCAGGCCAGCTAGTGCACTGGCCACGCCTGATCGCTGTGCTAGCCAGTCAGATTGCACATACCCCTGGAACCCGAGCTCATCCTTTAGCATACCATTAAGCAGCCATGAATTTTGACAGGCATAAGAATTGTTGACCATTTGATATGAACACATGATAGAGGCAACACCAGCTCTGATACTCTCCGCGAATGGCCAAGCGTATATCTCGTGCAAAGCTCGATCACCAATATTCGATGACAATGCTTCGGGAAGACCCCATTCGAAGGACTTTCGAAAATGTTCTTGTTCGTTACCAACAAAGTGCTTAGCAGTGGCTTGAACACCTTGTGACTGTATACCCTTGATGGTTTCAGCAGCTGCTACAGCCTGAAGGACAGGATCAGACCCAAAGCCTTCCCAGTTTCTTCCACCAGCTGGGTTTCGGCCTATAGGTCCCATCGCTGGCCCGAGCAACACATGAACCCCTTTCAGCCTGGCTGCTCGACCATGAGCCTCACCACGTTTCCGCATGAGCTCACGGTTCCATGTCGAGCCGACAGTAATTCCAGCAGGGAAAGAGTCAGCATGATCAGCAAAACGAATACCAAGTGGGCCATCTTGCAAGCAGAGAGCAGGAAACCCTGTGTTGCCAGCTCGACCGGTGGTTCCGACACATAGATCCATAGCCCAGCCTGTGCCTGTCGTAACGTTGACTTTCTCCACCAGAGTCATCTGTTCCACCAACTTTTGTGCTTTAGCATAACTGTCAGCCCACGTTGACACGGTTCCACCATTCGGCGAAGGATACCAGGGGGGAGACTGTCCATCAATGAGGCCTTGCTTGTAGGCGAAGTAGCCACCACTTCCTATTAGCAGTAAAGTGACGAGGGCGACTGCTGCGCAAGCTGCTATGCACGCTTTTGATAAGCTGCTACAAGCACACCATGCTTTTGCTTTACGTTGCCTAGCAGAGTTTTCAGGGGCTTCGAGAAGCCTAAGCTTCCCGTCGTCCTCTTCATCATCGGAGAAATCATTATAAGTATACTTGACATTAGGTGACTCGCCAGCGACTTCGGCGTCGTCGACTTCCAGCGGCTGGTAAACAGTCTGTGCTGCCATAACAGCAGTAGGTAAATTTAGCGACAGAGACGTTAGTGAGCTGCAAGGCACGGACAGACTAGTCCAACCCGCGTCTTATTAGACATGTTCGGCAAGTTAAGCGAGAACCGCGTCAAATTCTACAGGCTACTATTGCGAGTACAAGCTCAACGATTTTAACGCGTTGGGTGAGTGACACAGGCTGTTAAAAACCATTCCGTGCTGTACGCGTTCTGAGCAAGCTTTAAGTGATCATGTTTGTGAACGATTAAAGCATGAACTCATGTTCAATCCTGACTCGGAAGTATCCGGGTTGTTGACCCGAGGTACAACCACGATAGATTGTGGGGCTTCTCGTTGACGAACGTTGCTGCTGGCTACCAACCGGAAGCTTTCGAGCTGTAAATTTACAATATTTTGTGTTGTCGAGTAGATTCTTGAGCGTCGACCGGTTCAGCCAAGTGAGATCGGGAGCCTATTCAGCACACGCTTGTGTTTCCATCTTTCTGTCCTTAACTCCTCGAATATTCAACTTCGTCAACGCTCGAGAGCTTGGAGAGTTGTAGAAACAAGCGATGTTGACATCTGTAGCCCTGAAAAGAGCTCCATTAGGACGACTAGCTACCAGCACGGCTAGTTTTGTGTCACGACCTTCACTCACCCTTCGACCACAAACACAACTTAGACAAACCTCAAAGCTACCACGACCAACTATGGCGGCTAGCTTTACAACTTCAAGCCTGAAACAATCTTCGCATCCTTCGAAAGCCCCTCCCGCCGAGTACGACCCCGAGATCAAGGATATTGCAAACTATGTACACAACTACAAGATTGATTCGGAAGTAGCTTTGGACACTTCAAGATATATTTTGTTGGACACAATTGGCTGCGGTCTCGAAGCCCTCAGATTCCCACAATGTACTGCTGTGCTTGGCCCAATAGTACCAGGTACGACTGTGCCTAATGGAACAAAAGTACCGGGTACACCATACCAGCTAGATCCCGTCAATGGTGCCTTCAATATTGGTGCAATGATCAGATGGCTCGATTACAATGACTGTTGGCTTGCAGCTGAGTGGGGACATCCATCAGACAACTTGGGTGCAATTCTGGCAGTCGCAGACTGGATCTCGCGCACGAACAGAGCTGGTGGTAGCTTGGGCAACGGCAAGATCCTGACCATACGGGACGTTCTCGAGGCCATGATCAAAGCCCACGAAATTCAGGGATGCCTAGCCTTGGAAAATTCCTACAATAAGGTTGGTCTCGATCATGTTGTACTGGTTAAAGTCGCTTCGGCCGCTGTCGTGAGCAAGATGCTTGGTCTCAACGAAATGCAAACTCGAGATGTGGTCACGCAAGCCTGGGTCGACGGTCAGTCCCTCCGCACCTACAGACACTCTCCAAACACCATGTCTCGAAAGTCATGGGCTGCGGGTGACGCTTGCCAACGCGCCGTCAACCTTGCCCTCAAGGTAAGCCAGGGACAGTCGGGTGTTCCTACCGTGCTCTCTGCTCCGACATGGGGTTTCTACGACGTCCTCTTCAAGGGCAAGAAGTTTGAGTTCCAGCGTTCATATGGCAGCTATGTTATGGAGAACGTGCTTTTCAAGGTATCGTATCCAGCTGAGTTCCACTCACAAACCGCTATTGAGGCTGCTCAAAAGATCAACAAGACCCTCAAGGACATGGGCAAGACTGCAGCAGACATCAAGGAGGTCACCAACAGAACACACGAAGCCTGCATCCGAATCATCGACAAGCAATTCAAGCCCATGGACAACTTCGCCGATCGAGATCATTGCGTACAGTATATGGTTGCCAATATGTTGGTCTTCAATCGTCTCGAGGCTACAGACTACCTTGACGAGAGTGAGGCAGCTCAATCACCATTGCTTGAGGATCTCCGAAAGAAGATCAAGTGCGTTGAAGACCCACAATTTACAGCAGATTATCATGATCCTGAGAAGAGAACAATCTCAAACGCTTTGACAGTCACACTGAACGACGGCACTGTTCTTGATGAGGTCGTTGTCGAAGCACCTCTTGGTCACAGATTGAGAAGAGATGAGGCCAAGCCTGAGATCCTGGCCAAGTACAAGAGACACTTGGGTCACCATTTCCCGGAGTCACACATCAAGGAACTGATCGAGCTTGGTACCGACGCAAACAAGCTTGACTCGATGGAAGTTGATAAATATATGGATTTGTACGTTAAGGACAAGATGGACTGGTAATGCTACATTCAAATCTAGACCTGCTTTCGTACGTACACTCGGCGTCTACCTCTTCGGACCGCGAAGGACAACTGAGTTTGCTGAGTATTTTGCGACTTGTTCCGTTGCCCTTGACCTTGCCTTCGTATTTTTGGTAGACTGATATGCCGTCTCGGTGATTACGTGGAGGCGGAGGCGGTAGCTTCGCTGGACAACGATGACGGAGATAGAAGTTCATAAGCCGAAGAGAACGTGCAGTGGTATCGGAAGACCAAAGATATGATGGTATTCTTGGCTCGTAGCTGCCAAGTGAATAGCTTCCACCTTTTTCCCAAACCAGCACTTCGTCCTCCGGCTGACTTGTCATTTTCCCAAACTCGACCGAACCTCCTCTATCTAGCTTGACCAGGGAGTGTATCGTGCTCTCTCATAGCGCTTTTCTAATAGCGACGAACTTAGCTGTTCGCTCCGAGTCCTCCTACCGAACTTGCGACTATAGTAATGATGACTTGCCCGCTCATCATGTGCGCGAAGGCTGATGTCGCGGATATACGGCCTAATATCCACACCGAGCTCTATGGTAACCTCGTTGGACAGATTACGTGATGGAAAGCCTACCCAGAAGCACACTCGAACTTGTTTCTGCAACTGGGACTAGTTGCATCCGGGGTCGCAGCAGAATGAGCAGAGACAGCCATTCAAGCCGAGAAAGGCACGAGTTCAGCAAATCAAGGCCTGCCATAACCTCATTGCAGACGAATTCGCTCGTTGGAGGCAATGTTGATCAAGGATCTAAACCACAAGTCGCATATGGTCCAGGCACCCGAACCGATTGCATTCCTGTTGCCTCTCCTAGAGGACACTTTCCATGTAGCTGCTGCCTTGGTCCACGAATGCCTTGAGGCCCTACTCGGCTAGGTACGTCTACGGAGCTAAGTAGCTCGACTATGTGGGCGTATAAATCCATGCAGTACGGCTCGAACCTGCTAGGAATGCGCTCGCTATTATTTGGTCCCGAGTTGCTAAGCGGTCGCTGCCACTCCTTATGACCCTTAGCAAGCCCTAGCGGTCCCACGCATGTCGAGCGGGTATTGATATGTCGCCTTCACGCTTCATTGTCCTAGAGGTCCAGATCCTTCACTAAGGATGAGTTGAGTCGTTTCGAATCCCTCATTCACCCAACGCCCTTCCACTATATTCGCCAAGGGTGATGCCTCACGAATCACGTTTTGATACTTCATATCACGTGACTATACACGAAATACGACAGCAGGGGACGAAGATGATCATATCTCGGACCTGGCGATACCTGCGCAGTTGGTTCGAGACTTCAGAGATGGAGATACATGATGTCGACGGCTGATTGCATATATAGGGCGAGGTCTGACGCTTTGCCTTCCGCCGTTAGCTATGATAGGAAGAGACTGCAAATTTGGTCCAGTCAGCCTCGAAGTATGTCACCGAAGGAAAGTCCCCAGAGACCACAAGTTCATGCCAACTACTGGCGATGCTGTCAATGCAAAGCTGAGAACCTTTGGTCATTGCACAAGTTCTGTCCAAATTGCCAACATCGTCGAGATCTCAAGTGTTGCAAGCCCTTTTTCAGACCAGGCTGAAATAACATCAAACATGTCTACTTGCGTATGATTTAGTGCCTCTCTTGTAATGCATCTCTGACACAGAACAGCAAAGAGAATGGATAGATAGTGCAAGCAGGGAGAGATTCAGCATCACCAGTCAAGGTTTGACTCGAATGTTTGAAATTATGTACAAATGCATTCAAATCGCCGGGACAGAAATCTGGTCATGTGCTTTTACGATCCGTGAGATAGGAATCTCTGGTGCACAATGTTGTCTGGTTCGTGTTAGTGTCGCTATGACAAGTCTTCAAAGTTTTGTAGGACATAATTTTGTTCCGAAAGACGGACGAGTAGCCCCTATGTCTAGGGAGAGAAGGTATCCAAATTCAGAATAACCTGGCCGCGTGATTCCCACTGACATGCTCGGCTGCTGTTTTGGGGCCTCTGAATGGCAAAGTTTGACCAGCTGGCTCGATTTCAGGCATCATTACATCTGCTATGCAGCTTCACACGACGTTGCAAGTGTGTGGGCACCCAGAGCAGAAGGTTACCTACCTCTGAGGCAGACCAGAAAACAACTTGTCCATCGACAACGAGCTCGAGCTCCTTACTCGGTTATAATATGAAGCATAAACCATAAAATCAGTGGCAGGACAAGGCAGCACATGGCGGCGACTCAGACTTCGATGATTCAGTTGCAAGGGAATTGACTCGGCACTACTCTAGAATGCAGGTTGCGATGACAGCCAGCAACCGATCCACGTTCCAACACTTATCCGTTTGCAAGGATGCCAATATAACGGTGGAAGAAGCCCTGATTGAGGCCTCCTATGGTAGTCAACTAGCAGACAAACAGGAAGTGGCTTCCTCGAGAGGTCGACACATCTAGCAAACCGGCGACAAGTAGCACTCGCAGTAGCTAACATGTCCAAGGGTTCGCATCCAACAGTCTGGATCTCTGAAGCCGTAAGTGCAGGACTTGTGCCTTGGCAGAAGCAAAAGTCCATTGTATGTCAGCGAATGGCAAGCACGTATCAGCAGTACCTGCATTAACGCCTTGGTTTCGACCCGAGTACACGTCTGGCCGGAAGATTGTGCACACAGCCATGCCGATCACAACATTCATCGTGCATGAGGAGAAAGGTAAAAAGTCGAAGATTGGTTCGGTTCGTTGAATCGGCTAAATTTCTCTGTTTGGAGGCATTTGAGCCTCATCCCATCGTTCGGCGACCCCCTTTGCCACTGTCAATTTTCCAATCTCGAAAGGTCCTATTGGCATGATCGTCTGGACGAGCTCTAGTTGCCAAGTACTCCTACATCTCGCACAACCTCGTTGCTGCAGGATGATGCTCGCAAAAAGCATATGTAGCGAATAGCCGTGTTTACCTTGGTTCGCTATTCCAGCTTTTGCGCCCAAGTCCAAGTCTCCACTGAGCATCTTGACGTATGTTCCTCGAGTACTGCAGTCGCGCCTCCACCATTCTTGACTCGAGTTGCTCGTCCCTCGTAAGGGATAGTGCAGTATCTTTCTTGTCGAAAAAGTTCTCAGAAGTCCGTTCCTCGACCCTATGCGCTTGAGCCGGAAGCTGCTCAGCTGGACTCTCTTTCAGCAGCTCCTTGAAACCAGGACTGCCAGGTCGGCTGCCTGCTGGTGTAGACAAATCTGACAAGACCACAATCTACAGCTAGATCAGCATGTTTGAGGGATACCAGAAGAGATTAGGCACACCTGGCTCTCAATATCTGCCTTGACTTGCGCGACATCCTCCTTTGCAGCGTCGATCAGAGGATCGTGAGAAGGCACTCCAGGTTGGCATTTGAAGATACATGTCCACCTATCTCCCTTGACGGTTGAGTCGGTATACCAGTAAGCTTCAATCGGGCTAAAAAATGGTCAGTACTGACTCCTTGCATACATTGTCATGCGGTTGATGAGCTCACATCAAGTTTCGCTTCCACCCTCTCGGGCACTCGACCATATCGTAGGCGCATACTTCGTTTATCTTACGAGTATGCCCACAGTCGAAAAGAACAATGTTTCTGATACACATGTTAGTGATAATGGTGAGACAGGGTTCAAGTCTGTGCAATAGCTATGCTTTTCGCAATTGAGGTACTTGCCGAGTGACATGCAAAGGCCTCTTAAAGTAAACTTTTTGCAACTGAAAGGTTTTGTTGTGAACAGACGCAATGCCGATGCGATTGATGAGCACAATACCAACACGACTCACTAAGCCCCTTTTGTTCAGGTAGCGGCAGGTATCCGCGTTGTTCTGTGAACTGAACCAAGATCGAGCAACATTTTTTTTGAGCGGGTTGTTAGGAGGAAAGAAATGGGAGGGGGAGGGTTGTTGAGCCAGCATAGCAAGTGCTTTGCGCTTAATTGTCTATTAATCCACGAATGTCTGCTTAGTGCAGGCACAAATGCGGTGTGTGAGAGGAGAGGAACGAAATTTAACATTTCAGGATTTGAAGATCGATTGACATGAACGCTGCGATCGGCTCATCGAGGTTTTGTGTCCAGCACGCACTGTTACAAGCCTGGTAAACCGCAATTGCAGACTGCAAGCTATTTACTGCTTGGTCGTAATCGGAAACGGAGTATCCTGATGCCATGTTGTGTATCTTTGCATTGCCTGACCTCTATATAATCGGGTGACCAAGGAAACATGTTGCTCGAAGCGGTGTGTCCATCGAAGTCTTGAGCAATTTTTTCGTTGTGTTGGCGGTAAATGGCAAAGCAACTCGACATCGAAAGACATCTTGACGCGCTCGTGGTATTGTGACGCGTCAAATATTCATGAATGCCTCAGGCATGACTCTTGCTGCTCCGAACTTCGAGTTTCTGCTGATGCATGTAAACAATACCGGCCTGACATCAAAACATAAGTACTACACATTCACCCCCAAAAACATTGACCTTAATTGTGCTCCATCTGCTAGGGTAGCGTGCTTCCAACTGTCCGACCTGAGTTGCAAGAGATTCCTTCACGATAAAGACTCTAGGAATAACCAGAATGGAGATTCATTCAGTACTGCCAGAGGAAAGAGCGAGAACAGAAAAAGGTGAAACCTTACCATGGGGCTATAGATATGCAGAGTCAGTTCTTTGAGCTCACCTTCCTTCAACTAAGTCTAATGTCTTTCACTAGCACAGCAAAAAATGCCCGTCAACTCGAAGAATCAGGTCCATTTGGTCGCAACCGTAGCGTACGATACACCTCCTCCACTGGCCGTCGTGCAAGTACCAGACAAGGCACGACCCCATCCCGAACGAAAGAGAACAACGCAGTATCCGATTTCTCGCGGCTCTTTGCGAAGGAACAGGCAGCCTATCCACAAACTGTTCTACCTACAGACGTAGATGCTGTTCCGATAGAATCAGTGCCCACCGAATGCTTACTCTACGGCTATGCTGGGAAGATGTCAGAATGGAAGGTCCTGTCCAAATTCGAACGAGCAGTTGCACCAGGCATAATATGCGAAGACTATGCGAGAGAAGATCCGAACTTGTTTCAGAACTCCAACTCGCCCATGGGATTCAATCGCTCTTCGATAGTGGTACACAAGAACTTATCGAGAGAGGCGTTGGAAAAAGCAAGAGTGTACAGGGGTGGCAACCACTGGATAAAAGTCACGTTCGATAGCTACGAGGCAGCGGAACGAGCCTGCTTCTATAGTCCACTTGAGATTGATGGATGCGCAGTACACTGTGAGATGTGGAACAATAGAGGCCCCTCAAACGACGTCGCGATACCCAAAGGCATGGATGGCGCAGGAGAACTTATCTCGACACAAAGGGCCCGAACGATCGGCGTGATGGGCGGAAGAGCATCAGCTGTAGCAGGCTTCGAACAAGCCATGGGCGGCACATTACCACGATCGCACGTCGTGCCAGCTACACAATACGGTCAACCACGAACAACAGACGACATGGACGCCTCATCCACCACAGCATCTTCAGCGACCGCAACCGAAGCTCAATCAACCTCACTAACCTCCCCAATACCAAAGTCCACAGCAAGTCTCCGATCCCGCTCACAACCCAACCTCCCATCTCAAATCGAACTCGCAAACTCTCCCACATCCCTAACCCAATCTCAATCACAACCCCAATCACAATTCATGTCCCGCGCCCCCAAAGTCCGCAAAGTAGCTCTCCGACCCATCTCCGAAGCTCTTCCACCCCGACAATCCCTAGTCGAACGTGTACTAAGGAGTCTACCCGTCGTCAACTGGGTGTTAGGGCTGACAGTCCCATCACCAGCTGAGCAGAAAGGAGAAAAGACTGGCGGAGGAGGATTGATTGGTGAAGGTCCTGTGATACAAGAGGATGGAAGTTGGGATAGTAGGTCGAATGGGTGGTATTGGAAGTTGTGGTATACGATTGATAAGTGGACAGGGAGTGATTTTTGTGGGTTGAAGGAGGATTGAGTATACTTAGAGACAGTGCACGGCGAGGGAGCCGATAATATATTGGGGTTTATTTATTCTGTTAGCAGGGTGTTTGATGAGAGCTTCGGATGTATGGTATGGGAGGTCGATCTGTATAGTAGGCTCACTAAGCAAGTTTCCAAAAGCTTTAATCGTCCATGAGACATACGCAGCATACTACTAGCAGGTTGCATCGACCTGACGAGCATGATTGGAAGGCCTTGTGCAGCAGGGTAGCCATGTTCTTGAATCTGAAACATTCTGCCTTGTTCCAATATGTTCAAGGCTGTAAGTTTTTTGTACTTTGCTGTACTATTCAGTCCTATAGCTGGAGATCAAGCATGAGAGTATGCTAGATACAGGCAAGATATCTCCGCCCCCTTCAGCAAATTGTCATACATGAAACTTAAGTCCTGAAGTGCCAGGAATGCCTAGGCATACACATAAAGTCGTATGAGAGATCTTCCACTGGAGCATTGCGGCTCAGCTAGGTTCACCCATGCTCTTCATATACCGACAGATGCTCTACTCGACCTTGCCCTCGAAGTTCTCACCTTCGACTAGATCTGGTATCTCATCGTCGTCCTCGTCATCCTTCTTGTCACCGCCTTCCTTCTTCTGCAGATTCTGGTATGATTCGGCGAGACGTCGTAGGGATGCGAGAGAGTCGGGTCCTAGCTGGTTGAGGATTCCGGGAACAAGCTCGGTAAGCTCTTTGTCTTCGCCGTTACCGTAGATGGCGAAGGTGTTCGAGGGGACGGAAGCGTGGACTAGAGAAGAAGAGCATTAGTATTGCTGCGTTGTGAGAGGACTCCTGCTGTTGTCGCGAAGTTGGAACGCAGCTACAATCTGGAAAGACCTACCTTTTGGTGCAGCAAAGTGTATGACGTTGCCGTCTTCTTTGAACATGTTGACCTCCTCAATCGCTTGGATCGGCTGAGTGTTGAGCTTCTTCAGCGTCGATTGCAGTTTCTTGTCATCTCCAGCTGATCTCTGTGGTGTCTTCTTGACCTTCCTTCTTGGGGTACCCTTGCCGCTAGAATTTCATAGTTAGCATTAACACATATCAGTCCATCGAGCTCTGAGTCGACTTTCGGTATTATAGCACATACCCTGCAAAGTATTAGCTGTGGTTCCCTACAGATCATTGCGCAAACAGAGCGTATTTCATACGTACCAATTCGGACAGACTGCTGCATGCGCTTGAGCTTCTCTTGATCCATGATGAAGGTTGGCGGACTCCTGGCTATCTCTGAACTGTTCACAAGCTGAGATGCAGTGATGCGAAGAGAAACACAAAGTTTCGAGGTCGTGTGATTGGTGGTGGAAGGTACAGCGGGGAATTTGTCACACCTGCAAACTTATGGCCAGCAAACTACTACAGACAGTGCAAGAGAGGAGGTACACGGTGTCAGGAATTATTCTCTCATAAACAAAAGTGCTTGATAGCTCTGCTACCTCGTTGTCACTACCCAGAGCTGTCGTCGCGGTCGCTGTGCGCCTTCTCCATTACGGTCTTGGCAATCTCTATGGCGTGCCTCGGAGGAAACACGATCACCATGAGCATTCAGTCTGGCATCCACTTTGCTCCTGTAACTTTCTCTTGCCTGTGTCGTGTTTGACAGACCTGAACAAATTGGTCTTTGCCGTATCGAACAGCCAAAATGTCTCTAAGACCGCTTATCGTGAATGCGCTTTCGAAGCACACTGCTACCGTGATTATGCTCCACGGACTGGGTGATAGGTCAGCCCGGATCATCATTGAGTCGTGAGATAAGAGGCTGACCAGGCATGCAGCGGTGCTGGCTGGTAGGTGATGCTACACCGTGTCTTTTGGCTCCCCTGACCATCAAGGGTGTCTCTAGCAGAGAATTGGAGACGACGAGGAAAGTTTGAAGGAGTCAAATTCATCTTTCCAAACGCACCAAACATACCTATCACAATCAACGGAGGTTTCCAAATGCCAGGATGGTACGATATTGTAGGTTCTCGAGTGAGCCCTCCTTATACCCTTCGAGAAACTGATCCTTAGCCTTGAGCGCAACTTACCCACGACTGTCTACTGACATGGCAAATTCTAGACTTCTTTCTCAGATCTCAACGCTGTCCACGATGAAACCGGCATCTTGAAGTCCCGAACATACTTGACTGGCCTCGTCGAATCAGAAATCAAAGACCACAAGATCCCATCAGACAAGATCATCATCGGAGGTTTCTCCCAAGGCGGAGCAATCTCAATATTTACAGGTCTTACAATCAAACAGAAACTGGCAGGTGTCTATGGCTTATCGTGCTACCTAACACTACACGACAAGATCCCTGAGTACGTCAAGGAAGCAAACAAGGTCAACCAAGAAACTCCATTCTTCATTGGTCACGGCGATGCTGATCAGGTCGTTCGGTATGAGTGGGGCGTTGAGACGGCGAGAATCATCGAAAAGGACCTGGGACATAAGGTCGAATTTCACACTTATCCGAACTTGCCGCACAGTGCTGCTTTGGAGGAAATAGATGACTTGGAGAACTGGATTACGAAGTGCTTGAGTACAGGATCTGCAGTCTCAGGAGAGTCGAGTGATGGTAAGGCGAGTATGTGACTGGAAGGAAAGACAAATCAGGAGTCTGGGACTATCCACGATTCAGGAGTTGTATCTTTTGGCACACTCTCCCTACTAGCATGCATATTCTGTGCCGCTCTGGTGTGGTGGCTGCTGAAGGGCAAGGAGGCCAGGAAGCAAGATTAGATATATGTTTGAACCTGAGAAGCAACGATGCACTTCCGCACGAGTGATTATGCTCATAGTTTAGCGAAGCAGCAGCAACAAATTCCCAGTTGCGACAGCAAGCTGGTGTCACGATAGACGTATCGTTGGAAGATAATAACATTGAAAATTCCAGTAGTAATACAGATTGGTAGGAGCAAGAGCGCCTCTGCCAGCAGCGTAATATACATTCTTTGTACGGTCGTGCCTCATTTCTCATCACTCATAATATGATTGCTCTCATGTTTGCAGCCGCCGCGAAACATGTATCGTACCTCCATTGTTCGTGTCGGATGTAGTATTCCTGCCAGATTGCAGACTTTCTCAGTTCGAACTGAGAGATATGCTGCTCACTTACTCCGTATCCCTTTTTGGCTTTCTGCTCAGACCGCTTTCTGGTGTGGCTGGACTCTGAAGAGAGTTTATAATCAAGGTCTTAGGGACTCGTGACTAGCAATGTCACGATCTTTTTCCTCAGCTCTTCCATGTTGGTCTCTTTATACTTTGGACCGTAGGCCCGTGCTCAAGTGTCTTTCGAAGAATCGTAGCCTGGAAGATCCCACACGGACCCGTGGTCACCGTGACGAAATACATCGTAGCCTGAGAAGTGGTGCAGCAAGGTTAGCCGACGAACGATGTGGAGACCAGAGAAGTCGAACTCTGGGTATGCGTCAGTCAACAACTTCGCCGCCGCGTAAATAGTCCAAGATTCTGCGTTTAACAAAGCGTTCTCGTCACCCGCGAGACCACGGCAGCCGAGGATAGTCTGTGTGTGGTCTAGTGCTAGCAGGATATCAGTACTTTGGCTAGAGGTTGCATAGTGATGCGATGAACGTACCACCACAGATTCCGGGCACGTGAGCCAGCTCGTGTATGAATGTAGCGGATCGCACATTAACTAGAGCTTCTAGGGTCGTGAGATCAGGTACGATTTTGATTTCAGCAATAGACGTTCTTTGATTGTCGTGATAGAATAATGGGTGAAGCTCGATGACATTTTCGGTAGTCTCGGCTATAACGCTTGTTATCTTCCCTTGAACGGCTTGGACAATGATGTTTGAGCTGCGGTCGAGACTTCTGACACGGTCAAAATCTCCACTGGGCATGCCAGTGAGGAATTGTAGAGCAGTACCATTTTCCCGAAGATATCTGAGCTCTATCAGTATTACCAACATGCAAAACTTTGTCTTCTCACAACGAATGTGGACGTAAGCAATGTTTGGACCAAAGTAGTTGTTGACAATTGCCTGCAGGGCATTAATATAGATTGGGTCTTCCGAGACAATGCTATGTATTCCCGCAACAGCTGCCATGAACTAGGCTTCGAATAATGCGTTGCCGATCATTCGCCGTGTTGCAGAGTATTGAGGACTGGACTCTGCCCATGGTTGTCCTGCTTGTAGTTGCGCATCCTGGAGTGCAGAATCTTCAATATGAGACGGCGTATAGAAGCTCGATTCGCGAACGTGTATAGGCATGATGAATCTCTTGTAATTGGGCGTTGCATTCAGGTATTTAAAGAGCTTCTACTGCATCGATGTGTTGTTTCGCCTCTTATATTTTCTGGCAAGCAAAGCTGTAAACACCGTGCGTCCATCGCGTTACTAACCCGGAGAGGATTAGGCTGCAACAGCAGTCAGGGTTGTAGGAGTGCTCGCGGCAAATGCTTAGGCATAGAATAGCACTTTTGGCGTTCCGAGATGCTGGAGCCTTCTGCCGCACGCAGCCACAGCATGCTGTCGTTTGTCTGATCGTCTGGGGGTAGCGAATCTTGCCAAGATATGTTTGTAGGAGACTCATCTGTATAGTAACACAAGAAGTTGCTCGTATGGGGCGTCAGCTGGAGACGAGAAGGGATACTTCGACGAGGTCATGATCGCCGTTGAGCGGCTACTGTCAACGGAAAGGAACAACGTCAACCGCAAACGAAACGATTCGAAGCCAACATGGTCACAGACAACATGAGACTGGCCAGCACCTTGTTGCAGCACTTCCGATCTTCGATAGCCGTGCCTCACGAAGTACCAGCTCCATCTCGAAAACCACAATTGCGAGGAACCAGCGAACTCGTTTCTGAAAGACCTCATCTTTTGCAAGGCCGCGAGCAAGGCGGAATGCGAACATATGCGTGCCTACTAAGAGTCATCCTGGAGCTGGAGGAGAGCAGGCTGATAACGACACGTGCCTAGCCAGGACATGTTAAGAGCAAAGAGATGTCAAAGAACCAAGAAGGAAGAGAGATATCCCTTGTCTTTTGACCGAGCTCAACAAGAATGCTGTCCTTACCACGGTCAGGAGGCAAGCAGAGACATACCTTTTCAGACAATGCTTCCTGTACCGGGACAGAGCTAAAGTTTTGCACCATCGACGATGCTCAAAGCTAGTATCCCGGATATATATGTATAAAGGCATAGCCGCAGGGAGACCTCGGTGGTCTTCAAGGTCTGACCAACGCGAACGACATGTCAGGCTTTTCGAAATGTCCATGGTATCAGGTACTTAGTGCCCCAGGACCACAGCTCAGGACGTCCTCTGACCGGGATGATGCAGCCTTGGCAATGGCACAGGCCAGAGAACTTCTCATTGTGGTGATGCAGAATCAGGACATCAGGTGATTCTCAAGCTTGAATGAGATTCCTTGGAAGATTCCTTTCTCTAAGGCTCGATGTTACTGAGAACACATTCAGTGAGATGTGTGTACTGACACGGAGGGATAGGTACAGACCCCAAACGTAGCAAGTGGCTGATCTGTTGAACAAGTAACGGTGAACTGCGCGGATACTGATGTCAAACCGGGACCTAAAGGTGCTGGCCTGTGAACTCAGATCTGTCTAAGCGCTCGTATAATTGAGCATCAGAGGTCAGTCAGCCATCCTGCTCGATGCCATGGCATCTTGCTAGAGCACTGAACCGGTGCTCCAGAGGTGTGCCGATGGTTGATTGTCAAAGTCTGTGCTTGATCCGCAGAAGCCATATTAGCAGAACAGATGATCATTCCAGCTTATACCTGGAAGTGAACGTGCACGAGTATACTGAGTCAGCGATGTACATTTGATACATCATGGAGCGACAACGCCAGTCTAATTGACGAAAATGACCCAGCAATGAAAGAAGATGACTTCGAATTCGAAGTTGGCTCGCGACACTGAAGTCAAAAACCAGAATCTATGCCGACGCCAAAAAGACACGCTACAGCATTTTAGGACAAGCGGCGGCCAAGGGGGGAATCGGCCATGTCGTATAGGTGACACCTCAGACTGCCGTTGGCCTTTGTCAGGAGTGACAAGTGCAGGATGTCCAGCGTCGGCGCTACTACAATGCTCATCGTGAATGGAAACTGCTCAGTCGAGGGTGTGAGCAGCCCTCGATGAAAAACAGCTGGCATCATGAACTACTCGTGTTGACAGCAGCACAACCCGAAGATATTGGAGATGGCGGGTCCCACGCGATTTGCTTTGTACCTCCGCATGGCATCTCGAAAGATGTTTCGCGGGGCGCTGCCATCGATGCGAAGAATATGCGCATGGGGAGCATACCAGATTTTACTCATGAGCGACAGCAGATCCAGTATCCTAACTTGCAGCTGAGCCAGACCTACTCTATCGAGACTTGACATTACAGCAGTGTCGCAATGGCCTTAGCGCAGCCACCAAGCCTCGAACCCAAGCTCGAGCAATTGAACATCTCAGACTCTACACAACATGACCTGCGTTCGAAGCTAAAAGGCGTTGTTGACACTCGGTACAACGGCCAAGTCGTCCATTTCAGAGGCATACCATACGCAACCATCCCTCAGCGGTTCTGCAAGCCAGAGATAATAAAAGACTTCCCGGGTAAAAATGTCGACTACACAAAATTGGGACCTCGTTGTCCGCAGATACCCTTTGATACTCGAGACTTTATGCAGATACCAAAGACAATCGCCGAGGATCAGAAGCCAGATGAGGATGAGCTCAAGTGCACGAACTTGAACGTGACTTGCCCGACCGCTAGCACCGCGAACAAGCTACCTGTTTTCATGTGGATATATGGTGGAAGCATGACAAGTGCCTATGGAAACGCGCAGCAGAGGCTCGGCGACCCAGGACCATTTGTTGCTCAATCAGTAGAGCTCGGAAAACCAATCATCCTCGTCACGATACACTACAGGTTAAATATCTTCTCGTTTGGTAATGGTGAGGGAGAGGTCAATCTAGCTCTACAGGATCAGAAAACTGCTCTGAAGTGGGTTAAGAAGAACATAAGTAAATTTGGAGGTGATTCCAACAACATTACTGTTGGTGGGGAATCTGCAGGTGCTATCTATACACATGCGCTTCTTGCATCTGGAGCTGAGTTCGAGCGAGCTATCCTACAGTCTGGCTCATTATTCACCTCACCACCACAACCAGATAGAGCGGGATTTGGCCTGGTAGGTCTAATAGACGGCAATCTCCAGCTTATGGAATTTGACAAGGGCAATACAAGTGGTTCATTTGGACCTGAGTCGAGTGTCACAGGTGCACCAGTCAAGGACCTTATAAAGTCGCTGCAAGACCTTCAGATAACGAGGTTCTGGCTTTGGGATGAGCCAGAACTAAAGGGCTGGCACGACGATGCTCGTACATTCGGCAAGCTAAAAGGACTGGTGGTTGGTGACACAGCTCATGAGTGGGTGTTATGGCATGTAAGTAAATCTACAGCCACTTCTTGTATCTGGTCATTCACAGATATGGCAAAAGTATATGACGCACATGCTAATCATCACAGGGCGCTTTCCGTAAATTGAGTGCTAAGAAAATTCGTCAATGCTTCGAGACCAAGATCAGTGGCCCTGAGGTCGGAGCACGACTAGCCAAAGCATATGGAATTGACAAGCTAGAAGAAGACCACGACACGGCCAGGCGTGAGGCACTTCATTTCCTTGGGGACTGCAGGTTCTGTGCCTGGCCATTTTCGATCACGAAGAACGTCAATTCTGCAGGTGGTAAGGTCTATCAGTACCATTACGACGAACCAAACCCGTTCCAGCCAAAAAATAAAGCGAAGGCCGGCCATGCTGTCGATCTCTTTGCCTTGTTTGGAGGCTATGATGACGAGGACCAGTTGAACGACGAGACGAGACGTGTTGGTCGCATGTTACGGACCAAATGGATTGACTTTGTTAACGGCGAGGAGCCCTGGGGTACAAACGAGACTTACGTCTTTGGACCAGGAGGCATGACTGGAGCTATCGATAGAGATTCGGGAGCTGCCGTACATGATCTAAATCCACGAAGAAGACAAGCTGAGCTGGCCGTGATACGAGAGGTGGGGTGGAAGGCGTGTATGGAGGTCTGGCAGCGACTTTCTGCAGCGGCAGCAGAGAGTAACGCTGAATAGCGTCCTGTCCTTTCTAGTGGCAGTGGCGTTCAGAAGCTCATTGTGAGTCCAGACGTGGCAATTCTTAGCTCTTCTATAACCAAGACCACTCAGCGTTTTTCTGGTGAGGTCGAGCTTACCGAGGACTTCTCAAGTAGTCGATTCAGGGCTGTGCAGCGGCTAGATCCCCATCTCCACGATGGCAAGCCTTCATAAAATCGATTATCTGAGCTTGATCCTTTTCGTGCTTCGGAATATTATGCCCGCCATCGTGTTTCAAAAATCTAGGTTGTGAGCATACCTTGATTAACGTCTCACTTCTCTCGCTATTGACCAGAGGATCATCCTGACCCATCACATGAAGCATCGGCACATCGATACCAGGCTCATATATGCTGTCGTACTGAGGAAATCGTGCTCGAAAGCCCGAGAACACCACACTAGCGATTGGAGTGGGTAGTGCTGGAGGCAAATGCTTTCGAAGCGGGTGATTGGAAAGCTTCCCTTGCAACAGAGCACAAAGCATGCCAGCAAAGCAAGCACCTTGACTGAACCCCCATATTGCGTGAATGGGTCCCTTTTCTTTCATGTAGGATCCAACGAAGTCCAAGCTCTCCTCGAGTCCAACATAGCCGCCATCTACGTTCTGCCAGTTTCCGTCGCGAGCGAACCACCACGCCTTATGCCCAGAAGTCGAGAGTTCATTGACGAGTTTTGTCCAGTCCTGATTTTCCGGTTTGGTCATATCCATGATGGAAGCGACATCGGCGTTGTGAGGTCCGTCTGGGAAGAGGAAGTCATATTCTGGCATGGCCTGGGTGATGCGCCGAAGCTGGTGGGCGTGGACTTGCCCGTTCGACGTGAAGCCATGCAGGCATAGTACTCGTAACCTCCTCATTTCAAGTAGTAGACTTGGAACGATAAGAAGATACCTGGTGTGCTGGTATACGACATGTTTATACGAAATGTGGTCCGCAAATTTGAAGCGTTGATTCGTCTGACTCGATTGACCCTGTTTCCACAATGATGTTTTGCCGGGTTTACGCACAAACTTTGCTTCTTCACCGGCCATAGTTGTCGCTGCCTCGACGAGCCGAGGCAATGATGTTTTCGATTTTTTGGTCGATGCTAGCGAAGCAGCAGCGACACCCACCAACGACTCACAACCACCTAAGCTTGGTCTTTCAGCTATACAACAATTCCGAATCTTTGTTGCATCGACAGAAACTTTTCTCTTTGAGTACAAAGTAACAGCAGGAATCAATCACCAACCATGCCTTCCGCCACAGTAGACAGGCACCAAAACAACCAGATCGCGCTTCTGTGTACATTACATGCATCATCGACTTCTGCCAAGCAAAAAGTAACAGACCTACTCTCAACTGGTCGCGAGTACTATACTACCGGAAAGGCACAATGCACAACATGGTGCTACTTCACTCCATCAACCCGGCCAAAAGCTCCCAGCCAGCTGATCTCAAAGGATGAAAAGGAGACCGTGGTCGCGGGCTTCGAAATCTACTCTGACAAGCAAGCTCTGAGTACACAGCAGAACGAAGATTGGTTCAAGAACTTCCAGAAGACAGTCAAGGAGGAGAAGTTGTTTAATGAGAGAGGTGAGGAGCAGGTGGCATGGTATCCGACTGCTGGGTTCGTGGCGAGAGAGGATGCTGCGCCTCCTTATGGTGGTATAGTCATGCTTGCGGTATTTACGTGCAAGGAGGGAAAGAGGGATGAGGTTGTTAAAGTTGTCGGGTAAGCTAGACCTTCCTGTTTACTGACGTGCTCTGGATCGCGACATTGCAGGCTGTTCTTCCAGCCCAGGACAGCTGAGCAGTACTAACAAAATCTCCTCGACAGCTCATATACAGAATTCGTCCGTGAGAACGAGCCAGGTGTCCTAACATACTGCACAATGGTTCGACCCAAGGCGCCCAACCAGATCCTACTATTCGAGAGATACCAGAACTCGAAAGCACTAGGAGCACACGGGACTACCAAAGAGTTCAAGGCAATGTTGTGAGTTTTCGTACCGACTTGCACAGTCAGCAGAGTGGTTTCCTGCTTGAAAGCTAACGTATGGGTGTTTAGTAAAGGAATTGCGCCACATATCGAGGTCAAGCAGACCAAGCTGCAACAGTTTGAGGAGTTTGATAATGCTTTTGTAAGTAATGTTATTGGTGGGGGACGGCATGAAGTTGCAGTGGCTGCGAAGTTGTGAGAGACTGAGGGCCTGCTCTATATGAAAAGGCTGCAGTCAAACCAAGGAGAGGGGTCTTGACGCTCTGCTCCGGCGTCTAGGTACCATCGTACACAATAGTGAAGACTCGTGCGATACAAACCTTGATCGCCACGTGCATAGTAAAAAGTAATTCTCTGTGTACCATGTCACTGATAATGTAAGCTGAAAATGCTTTTAACAAGGACAGACTTGTACAGCATTCGTGGCACAATCTGGTTGCTGGCAGTAAACTCAGGCCTTGCAGCAGAGGAACGAGACCCACGTTACATGAAGCACGCTCGTTCTAGTCGTGGTCTTTACAGAGTAAAGACGACCTTGCTCCTTCAAAGGCTTCTGCTCCATGCAGCTTCTGCGATGGCCTAGAACGATCAACCGAGTTCGTCAATATATCATTTTCATTAATATGTAGTGTCAGTACTTCCAGGTCAGGGAGGCCGCCCTTCCCATATACAAAGACCAGTGCTCTCCTTTGCTTGTTCAAGTTTCCCTTATCGAAAGTGCCTCGTAACGCAGAATCGCAGAGACATGATCGTTCCAGATAATCGACCGCTTCGTTATGATTTACAAATTAGCTCAGAATATATCTTCTTCGAGTGTCCTTTCTGGAACTTATACACCAGTTCCAGAGTTTCCAGAGCTTTCGTCTCTGGGTACAGGTCGCTTCAGCACATCCACTTTCGTCTGTACAATGCTCAGATCAACACGCTTGTTTCCTTCTCTGTCTTCGTATGGACGCATCGACGCGTCACCTTCGAGGTAGACTAATGTCCTAAAACGCGCAGAATCAGTCACTGGTCGCTCCCTGCACATCACGACGTCTCTTCGAGCAGAAATTACTCGCGGCTTGAACTCACCCCTTCGTCAACCCCATTGTCTTCTCTCTGACCGGACTATCAGCAGGCGCAAAGCTAGAGACCTTGAACCAACTCGTTATGCGATTGTCTCGTGGACCCGAGTCGCTGCCAACAGCGTATCTGATGATTTGGTTCCCATTCGCGGTGTCTATGATTTCTGGATCGTTTCCTAAGCGGCCTACTATTGTCATACGTGCTAGCTGTGAGGCCCGGGTTGTTGAGAATTTGCGCGCTGATGATGAGGAGAGAGAAGACGCGCTGCGGCGCATAGGCGAGAAGAGGAAGGACATAGCTGCTGGCCCTGTGTTGGTGGGAGGAATGTATTGTTCAGAATGACTGCGCTCGGGCCAGTGTTGAATATCAATCAAGTCGCAGAAGTCGGATGAGGTGGTTCGATATATTGGAATCGTGGAAAGGCAATTTGACAGAGTGCTAGAACTAGAATGAATTGACAGTCTTCGAGTGTTCGTGCTATGGATTGCTCGAGCATAGGCGGAAGGCACGTCGCGCTACAAAAGTCGCACTATATCTCAGGGGCGCAGCGGAATCGTTATCCGACAGTATAGTTTGTGCCTCAGGCCTAAGGTAGAAGGCTGGTTACAGTAGTACTTGTACACATACTATTTACAATCTTTGGACAGTATATTGCACGTCGATGTTTAAGTGCTCTCTCAACCAGATATCCGGCTCGACCTCGAGCTTCGTCCAAACTGGTTGGTCATGTCGGTTTCGAGCCAGTGTAAATCTTGAATATTTTGACTCGTAGGCCACTGAAGCACCAATGCCTGCCTTTCCCCGAGGTTGTGATAATATACACTGTGGCTCAACCATAGGATATAGATATATCAGTAATAAGGTCACTTCAGTACTCGGATACCTTTCGAGTTAGACTTTGCCGGTCGATGCACCTCCGGCCTAACCATCCGTGCAGGTGGTTGGATTATGCCCATTATATCTTCCTCCTCTGCATGTCGTCCGTCACATGCTTGAACAGATCAACGTTCTTCACACCTGCGATTTTGTCTCGGACCAACGACATGGTCGCACCAGGAATTCTTGCGCCTTGCCTTCGCAACATCTCCTCGACTGATTGTTTACCAGCAGCATATTGTCTCCAACCAAAATTGGCCAACTTGGCATCCAGATCCTTCTGTACTTCCTCAAGCTGTCTGTCCATGTTCGATGCAACATCTGAATCGCAAACGTTAGTGTAATGCTCAAACATGAAATCCGCAGTGAATTCAACGTACCGACTCCCTCGAAGGCCCAGACATTAGCCTTCATACCTACGCCATAAAACTGCCACTTCCTCAAACAGGCGAGCCATATCTCAACAACATCTGGATGACCGTCGTAGACAGTAATCAGTCTCTTCAGTGTTATCCTTTCAAAGTTCTCCTGGCTCTTTTTGTGCACGAAATTTGACCGCGGCATTGTCCATCGCTCTATCCTTTTCGGTAACGGCGCTGGTCCGGTCGCGGGTAGCTTGAGATAATATGCAACCCGCATTACGAAATCGGCAAAGAATTCGAGGTTGCGCACAGAGTAGGAGCGAAGCTGGAGTTGTGCTACTGGCACACCATGTTCGGCAATGTGTTTGTAAGGTGTTCTATATGCGGCTGCCACGTTTGGTGGTATTGGTTTTTCGGGCCCATCGTCACCGAGGTCGGCTTCGTCTATTGATGATAGTTCACCATTTTGTTGGGGTGCGATGGGAGGTGATGGTCGTCTTGATCGGTGCCGTATTTGTTCTAGAGATTCTGGATTCGCTGTTTCTTTTTTGCCGACAGTCTTGAGCTCGGAGCCGATAGGGGCATGACCGTGGTGTTTTGGTTCGTCTGGTAAGCTTGCATAGAATCTGGTTTGTAGAAGTGGTCTTGTCTGTAGATTGAGTTTCTGCAATGGTCAATATGCGGCTTGGATGTATCAATTTGCTCGACCAACCGTGACTGGTTGCACAGCATCAGCAGCGCATCTGAAACATCTCGAGACAGACATGTTTATACAACTCACGACAAACTTTGACAAGAAAGAGACTGTGCCAAACGGATGGTCTCTGTTACACGATCCGCAGCTTTGAGCCTCGACACGAATGTCGTATCACGTGACTCGATCCATCATTCCTAAACCTTTGAATATTGATGGGATTCTAACAGTACATAGTTCCCAGGATGATAGAAAACGCCGTCATCTATACATGCGCGACGATCTGATATTTGAATCGTAGAGGAACAACGATAATGGAAGCGGTAGATTGTACGACATAAGAGATGGTGCATAGAACAGCAAGCAGTAACAAAAAGGTTGTAAATGCTGATTGCAAGGTCTCGAGGAATCTGAATCACCACCCTCTGGCGATACAACCACGACTAGGCCGTGGGAACTGTGCTATACTTTGAAGCATTTGCCACCAAGGATCTGACCGCTGCCCAGCATTAAGAATGTTGAAACCCATGTCCTCACTTCAGAAACTGAACCTTTTTGTCCTCGTGAACTCGTCCAGGATCCTTCAAGATAACCGCCTATGTCTGCACATGCTTCCCGATCTGAATCTCATGGTATGGTCCATAACATGTCCACATATTGCGAGCCAACACATCTACCTCGTTGTGGCCTGAACCTTGGAAGGAGCACCTCGAGCCTGCTGTTTCGAGACCTTTGGAGCCTGACCACCACCTGACTTGGAAGCAGACTTTGCCTTCTCGGCCTTCTTCTTGCTTTCAGCCTCAGCCTTCTTCTCCTTGCCCTCCTTGATTGCTTGTTGTCGTGCAGCAGTTCGTGCTTCTGGTCGCATCGATCGTCGCTCCTTGATGACGTCTAGAGACGCACCGACAATGGCTCGTTGGTGCTTAACTGTTCTGCGGGTTCTCTTCTTTGCGGCTTCCTGTTCTGCGTGTTAGTCATTTGTTTCACCTCTTGGTCCACCTCGTCAGTCCGTAGGTTTTTATCGGCAAGATCGTACCTCTGTGATACCCTTCTTGTGTTGTCTTCGGAAAAGGACTGTCCAGGCTATTCTTCGAGGGTTCTTTCGCTGGAGGAAGAGAGATTCGGTCTTTCCATTTTGGAATCGGAAGATCTTGCTGTCACCTCGGACATAGAGCTTGCCCTGCAACACGATCACACGTCAGCGCTCCTTCGCTCTCAACAAAATCCTATCTTTCTGCATCATTGGCTGCGCCGTGCGTAATGTGGTGACCAACCTTGCCCGGGTAGATTTTGGTGCCAGAGAATGTATCGTCCTGTCGTATAATCAGCAAAATGGTCGCATGGTCGGATATCGAGGTCTGCTTACGTAGGTACGCATGTTGGCGGTCTGTAATTGCGTTACCTGGTCAAATTGTCGTCGTCGAGGTTGATCACCTTGCAGAGTGATGCGAGTTGTGCGGTTTAGGATCCACTGGCCAAGACATTACTTTGAGCCTGAATGCCTTATTAATGCATGAGGATAGTGCCTGAGGCTGCTTACCTCCAAGATTGTAGCTCCACATCGAGAATAAATACACCTCCAGCACGCCGCAAACCTGACTCTTTTTTCTTTCCAGTTGAGTACGAAATTCCCACGCCACCCCTACCTTTGGGTCTATAATGCTAACAAACGTTCCAGCCTTACTTCATAGAATCATTTCTATAGTAAACGTCTCCTTCTGAGCTCTTTACACGAGCCACAGAATCCTCAACCTGGCTGATGATCGAATGTCCTCAACGCCCTAGAGTGAAAAATTTGTATCTTCGATACTGCGACCGACAAAAGATGCTTCGGTGTCGTTTTAGGTCGCGAGAAGATGGTGATGATCTTTGACCTGCATCGAGGTCTGGCTTCGGTCGCTCGATGTGGGAGGTGTTGATGGACCGACTCTGACAGGTTCATATCTATTTTCATGAATGTCTAGTCCAATGGGCTGGATGTTTGGGAAGAGAAAGAGACAGGCGATGAATTACTTGTCTCGACAGGACTCTGGACTTGTGATTCTGTGGCGTGAGGGTGCAGAAACATTGCCATCGAATCACTTTATCATGAACAACACCAGTAGAGGGACAGATGTCGTGGAAACACAACCTCGATTGGAGAACAAGAACTACTTGTATGATGTATGCCTTCGCAGAAGCAGATTTCACTTTGCACCGATGGTTATGGCGTGCTCATTAGAATTGACGACCTCGTTTTCCTGGCTACCAAACCACAAACTCGGACAACTTCTGAGACGTTATTGTTGACGCCATTAAGACAATAAACGGAGATCATACACGAGTAGCTGTTGTCTTGATGGACGCAGAAGATTTACATGAGGATTGAGGAGGTTCCATTGATATGTTCTGCGCAGCTTGTCGCCCTCTGCCGTTCATGTTCGACGGGTCTGCTGCAAGGGACAAAACGTTGCAGTTCGTCTACACACTCGCTTGTGCACACAGCTTGCCTAGACTGTTTTGCCTTTCTTACCCTTTCCTACTTCGCAAATCTAATGTGGACACATTTTATTTCCTTTGAACACTGGATCAGTGCTGTTATTTACTTCCGACCATAATGGTATCTCCTTTGTGCCAATCACATTCCTCCCACATGGCTGGTTTACACTTTCTGCACAAGGTATCGCCACACATCTCATCTGGACAAATACTACAGCAATCCGGGCAAATCGTTTTGCCGCAACCAGCCTCCGTTTCACCAGACCCAGCTGTACATTGCAGAAATGTTGGTGCTTCTCGACCATACGGGAAGAGTCGAGTGATCTCCTGAATCTGCTGGTTGGCTCTCGTTCGAGCCGGGGAACCGTCTTTGTGTACTTCATCAGCCAGCACGGCGGCTCGATAGGCACAGCAGACTCGGTGACAAACTGCACAGCTCTCATGAGCGCAGGTAGTACATTTGAGATTCCGTGATTTCCAGCCTCGGGCAGTATTTGGGTGTCGAGGATATGGTGAATATGGATCATAGTCATAGGTCGGAGTGTAGGTTGTTCGACGTAAATATTTTTCCTGGGCTGGGTTAGCAGTGACGACATAGCTGATCCTTGTGACACTCACTAGGTCATATCTCTCCAAGTTGGGACTCTCTAGGGAGTTTCGAGGTGACCATACTGGAGGGCCAAGACTTCTCTCCATGCTATCCTTCTTCTTGAACAGATCTGAGAACTTTCTTACTGAACCGCTAGTGCTGTTTGAACTAGCAGTTTCCTTGGGTACGATAAACTCCATCAGAGGAGAGGAACCTCTCAGTGACCCGTAGTTGTTGCTTGTTCGTGGTGCAGGAATGCTGCTCGGCGTCGGAATCATCGCCGATAGTGGTGAGTCGTCAGCTGCACTGAATGCATTCTTGCTCTTGACTGATGCAGGTGTTCTAAGCTCCAAACCAAAGAAGCTCCGCTTCCGCTCAATACTTTCTCTTCCAGATTTCGGATTGCTCTCACGTTGCTGACTGGTTTTGTAGTTGAAAAGGCGGATGTTGTCAATGCTCGTGGCAGTGAAGAGTAACGGTGCATCGGAGTTCATGGCGAAAGGATTCGTGGAAAAGGAAGGGTGCTGAGAGGCTTCGGGAATAGGCAGCTCGCATAATGTGTCGAAATCAGCTGTGATCTTCCTTGCCGAGTCTTTATCTGGCGAGGTCATCTTGAGTGCTGTGATCAGATCCATGCCTGAATCTCGCCCTGCTGTTACTGGCTCCATACCTTCGACTAGTGTGGCAGTTTGTGACGAGGAGGACTCCGTGCCTGTAGAACACGATCCCTGTTCTGCTTCTTCGTCGTCGATGTCCAAAGCATGCTTAGCTTCCTCAACACGATCGGGGCTGTCACCCTTTAGAACGTCAAGGGCCTTGTCAGTATCTAGGTCGAAAGGTAGCAAGAGACTCTTGGTGAAAACTGATAATGGTCGAAAGGATCCGTTGGTGAAATTCGGCCTTCGCCCACGTCTCTCCCTGAGGCTTGGACTTGGAGTTGTGTCAAGGCTCTTCGTTGGAACATTCTGTTTGGTCGGGTTCTCATTTCTGATGGGAGTCGCTGGGGAGGAGCCGGATTCTGGTCGAGGAAGGAGCGACTCGGTTGGCGTTGGACTCGAAGGTAGCGACATATTGATCAACGGCGACAATCATACAAGAATGTTAAAACAGCAGTAAAAATAAAGATGATAGGAAGCAAGAAGCGTACAGGAAGAAGGCTGTAGAATGATTCTCGGAGATGCGCAAAGCCACTACTTGCACAACTGCCGAGTGAAAGGTGTTTCCAATATATCACTTCCTGGTACTGTACAGCTGTTATGGTCCCAGTGTTCATGGCAGCATCCGTGTTCGTCAAGACGCTCGATGTCACCACAATGCACTAACTGACCTTAGATACCTTGTGTCGTTTGTGCTTCATGCCTGAGCGCAAGCATGCTACAGCACGTCTCTCATCGTTCCACCAAGGTCTACTTGTCTCGTCGTATACTCATCAATTCGTACTCATAAACTCCTGAATGCTTTCTGCACGCATGTGCTGAAAGTGACGAAGCTCTATAAGCCAGGTACGGTTAGCTGCACAGTATCTGCCTACGCCATAGCATGCGTTTTTGTCCATTCTCTTGCGGTTCGTATCGCTGCAGCCTCGTCCTCCTTCCACCTTTGAGCAACATCATTGGCCAGTGGATCATCTGGATTGGGGGCACCTAGTAATGCCTGTATGGAAAGCAGGATCGTCCTTATCTGTAGTGCTGGTGACCAATTGCCTGCATCTGCGTCAGTTTGTTTGGGGTTTGTTGGTGGCTAAACGAACTCTTGAGGACATCTAGACAAATTCTGCCAAGCTTGTCAATATTGGGATGATATATTCTAGTCAGGAACCTGATCTTCGGAGGCGTCATGGGGTAATCGTCTGGTAGGAACAGTTCGGCTCTGAAGATTCCTCCTGTAAGACTTCAGTATCTGTCCGACCATCTCGCAGCGGGTTATTACCCTCATACGGTGATTGCGCTGGTCCGTGTATCGTCACATCGAAATACCTGAGGTTGTCTTCATGGGGTACTGCATTGATTCCAGGTACACTACCAGCCCTATCAGTCGTGTGCGCCTCGCCATGTAGCAGACTTGACATACGGCTCAGACATGAGACGCTCCGTCTCCTTAATGATACGCTTCGGCAAAGCCATGATGATCTATCCTAGGAAAACAACACAACGGAGGTCGTTCAATCGATCACCACGCCTGTGCCCCGCGACTGATGTACTTTCAATCTCGTGATGAGTTTGGAGGATGGAAAGTGGTTCGAAACGTAGAATTCAGTATTTCTGGTATACACTTATAACATTAGGGAGTATATGGCAAGAAGTACCAGCTACCAGGAAGCATTTAACTTGAGAGCTTGTGTTTGTCTACCTGTCACATTATGCCTCAAGTTGACGTCTTTGTCGGCCAGCCAGGCCAGGAAATATGCAAACCGAGCAAACAATGGATACACGCAACCAGGTTCATGCAGGAGCGACACGCTCTTATTTCGCGATGTCCCGCGTCGCGAGCTCGTCCTAGTAGGCTTGGTTCTCATCATTTCCAGCTACGACCTGTATCAAAATTGCTCTGTCGTCAGTAGTGTCGGAGCCAGCATTGATGGACAGCATCAACCTCACCGTTGTTGTCAAGAGTCAAAGATGAACACCCAGCACTACTTGGACACACGTGCTTGTGTAAACCACGATTCCCCTTGGCCACCATGAGCTTCACAAGCCAGGATTCGACGGCGTCGAACGAAACTTTTGGTAAAGATGCTTCTTTCAAACTCCCGCAGCTCATTGGAGCTATGTCCATCTCACCTGCCGGTCGAGACGTAGTTCTAGCTTCCAAGGAGGGCTTGCATATCATCGACTTAGATTCACCATACTTCCCACCACGATTCCTTCCTCACAGAACCCCTTGGGAGGTGGCCGATGTTCAATGGTCGCCATTTGCCGATCGTGATTACTGGGTAGTCAGCACCTCCAATCAGAAAGCCTTGGTATGGAATTTGAATGCTTATGGGTGGCGCAACTCTATCGAGCACGTCCTGCATGGTCATACGAGAGCCATTACCGATATTAATTTCTCGGCATTTCATCCCGACAAACTGGCTACATGTGCTGTCGATAGCTTCATCCATTGCTGGGACCTGAGATACCCTGGACGGCCTGCATATTCATTTTCAGACTGGTTTGCTGGTGCTACTCAGGTAAAATGGAGCCGGCAGGATGAGCATGTTGTTGCAAGTTCCCATGATAAATTTTTGCACATCTGGGATGATCGAAATGGTGCCCGTCCTCTGAGAACAATCAAGGCACACGATACGAAAATCTATGGCATAGATTGGAATCGTTTTGAGCCCAGCGAAATTGTTACCTGTTCTTTAGATAGGACAATAAAGCTATGGAACACCAACAAGAACGACGATGTGCCTGAACGAGTCATAGAAACCTCATTTCCAGTATGGAGAGCCCGTCATACCCCCTTCGGATGGGGTCTCATGGTGATGCCCCAACGAGGCAATGGAAATCTCCATCTCTACGACCGACGAGCTGTCCACGGTGTCCTTGAAAGTGGTCCAGTCAAGCCCGTGCACATCTTCCAAGGGCACAAGGGCCAGGTCAAGGAATTTCTTTGGCGTGGAATGGGCGACGTGAAAAATGGCACTGATTTCCGTGATTTCCAGCTGGTGTCCTGGGGCACTGATCAGGAATTGCGCCTTCATGCTGTTTCAAAGGATATTTTCGAGGACATTGGATATGAGCGAGGTGTATCAAGACCCCAGCGTCTACGATTCACGAGAAGAGGCGCAAGATACAAGACTTTCCGTGATGAGCCAACAGAGCATGATTCTACATCCGTGCCTCCTGCACGTGCTGACTCATTCCCCGCCAGCAACCAGTTCCTACGAGTGAGAGGCCGACCTAGCACTAATATGGGAATGAGCAGAGTCCCTATAGCACATTTCAAGGGCTGGCTGCACGCTGGCAAGGCATCACGGAGAACTGATATGCACGGTAGAGGTGCAGGCAGACCCAATACTGACCCCATTGCCTGGATGAAGAGTGTGAAGATCACCTCTTGGGATCCTGATGCTCTGGCAGATGAAATCACTATGGTAGGGGAGAAGTTTGAGAAAGTCAACTTCGAGACAGTAGACGTTTCCCAAAGGAGAGCTACAATGGCGCTGCAGAGTCCTTGGGGTGAGTCTGACAATGTTCCTGTGTACACACGGCTGCAATTGCGCTTTCCTAAAGGCTATCCGAAGGATGTGCAGGCAATAGTCCATGTTCAGAAGACCAATTCGATCACCTCGGATGTGCAGAAGCGTCTCTCTCAGGACATACACCAGATCACTGCGGCTTATAAACTCCGTGGACGAGGCTGCATTGAGGCAATAGTCCGCTTTCTTCTACGCGACCAGTCGCTGGACCAAATCCTGACGTGGATCAATCGAGACTCATTGACGGACTCAAAACTCATTGAGGCTGCAGAAGCACAACTTGATGGATTGGACGACTCGGACGATGATCCGATCGAGCCCGCGTCTAACGTGCCGCGCTCGGATGCACAGATTAATGTGCCGTTAGCGAAACGTTGTGCTGCGCTATGGGCCGAGAATGGGAAGCTCGTATGTTTCTTCAAGCTTACAGACAAGGAGCCAGCATCCTTGCTTAGTGCAATGGGCACTGGCCATCTTGACGAGCCAGAGACAAGCAAGCTGTTTGGTGGGTTTGGGAAATTTCAGGTCGATTCCCCTTCTCGAAAGTCGAGGGCCGCTACACAATCTATCAATGATGAAAGCGATTCGGACACGAGTGATCAAGCCTCCGTATTGTCTTCGGATACGTCGTCCTCTGAATCTTCAGGAGATTTCAGGGATCGAGACAAGTTCGTGCCCTGGCAAAGAAATGGCACAAATTCGTTACGTCGAGAGAAGTCAACGGAGGGCTCCCAAAAATCCGGATTCTTGGACACTACCAGAGAGGGAGACCTGCTCGACAAAACAGTTGTCTCAATTCATGACTTGGAGGAATTAATACCAGCAAGCAAGAAAGTAGCAGAGGGGTATATAGTGTCAAGTGACATGGCAAAGGCATCTCAACACAATTGCGGAATTGCAACGCGTCATGGTCGTCATGACACTTCGATGATGTGGCGTCTATCGAATAGAGTTGTGACCAAAATGGTTGCCCACGAAGCTGACCTAGCGATAAACGGTGATACTAGGTCGACTGTACCGAACCACCTCTCACAAAACTTCCGGGAAAGCGAGCTATACAAACAATATCCTCACACTCCACTGCCTACTGGGTCAGCACGTGCTTTCGGAGAGAACCAGTTGCTGCCTACCTTGTTTCAATTCTGCGAAAAAACACATGATATACAGATGTTGGCGACATTTTCTGCGATCTGGCTCAGCTCACAACTGGAGGTAATTAAGTTGATGCCAAAGTTCAGCTCGGACATGAGACATTGGATGGCAGCAGGTTCATCTCCCAGCAAGACGGATGACCACGGCGTGGATAGCAAGAGTCATGGACCACTTCTCTCTGGTGCCAATACATCTGTAGACAGGGCAGTTGACTCAGGCCTAAATATCCTTGTTCCTGCCCTCTCGGTCAACGATGGACAACTTACGGGCCCATCTTCTGGTGCAACAAGCATCGTTGCTCAAGATCGAAGTGGTCCAGTTTCAGCAGTACATTCCAATATTGTGTCTTTAGCCGGATCGCCAGAAAACAGTCGATTTAGTAGACGTTCCGAGTCTTCAGTTCTTTTCTCGGCTGCGACGGCTACCTTCAATGCTTTAACAAGGTCTCGTCCGCCATCACCACCGGCCCGTCTTATTCGACAAGGCAGTGCACAAGGAACCTCAAAGTCTTTACAAGCTTCACCCGATGACAGCTACTTCAACGAATCCAAGTCGAAATTAAGATCCTTGGGACCTGCCAGTATTTCTACACACGGCGATGGGGGCTTAAGGGCACAACATATTCGAAGCAGGTTGCACCCAATTCTCAAGAACAACAGACCAGAGACCTCAATTTCAAGGCCCACGAAAAAGCGACTAAAGACTAAACTCGCGAAGCCGACAGCTTCTTACCAGCAACAGATTCCGTTGCTTGTTTCGCAAGATCTCGAGATCTATGAAAACTGTTTGAGTTACATAGAGCAGTATATACCACTGCTTGAGGTATGGCAACTTTGGGTACAGCGAGCCGAAATGGTCAAAATACGTGCTCAAGTGTCTGCTCTCCTTGACAAGCCGTACCAGAAACGTGGTACACAACCATCACAGGTACGCCATTCAGGCTTGGAGATGAGGCGATGCTGTCCTCGATGTGGACACACTCTGGCACCTATTGAGAAAAATGGTATGGCCATTGGTTGGCATTGTATATCACAGCAATGCAGTAATCAGCAAACCACCAAGCCGCCAAAAAGGCAACGATGTGCTATTTGTGAAGTTGTGACCACTGGGCTCACCGTGCCCTGCTTACAGTGTGGTCATCTTACCTGCTACGATTGTGCCTCAGAATGGTTTATGGAGCACACAAGCAGGAGTAGGATACGAATCAGTAGCATATCGATTGCACGAAGTGATACTACAGAGGCAGGCGATCGCGACTTCCTCACCTGTCCTACCGGTTGTGGCTGTGATTGCCAAGCGCTTTCAGCCATCGATGTGCCTGTACCAAAACCTGTTCTTACTGATCCCGAAAGCGAAGTAGCGACAGCTCCAACAACACCACGCAGCGAAGGGTATCAGGACAGCGCGAGTCGGTTCATACCTACAGCGGAGCGCCGCAAAACCCGCGGACAGTCTATCGGGGCCATGACCAGTGCGAGAGGGAATAGTGCCATGGACGCGCTACTTGCACTCAATAAGCAAGCTGGTGGTCCACGACATCGTGCAACTTCTTCAACCTCAACGGCTCAGCAACACACGCAAGATGACAGTCCATCGGATGTACCACATATGAGGACCAGGGATAACAGCGTCAGCATTGTGGATGAATTGTTGCCATGGGCAAGTGATGTCAACGCCACGCTTGGAAGAGGCTTTGGTGCTGGTCTGAGTAGAGGGCTGAGCAATAGAAGTAGCAATGCGACTATTCGAAAAGTGTCGAGGAGAGACTCAGAATTACTTTGAGCAGATGCGGAAAGCTCTACCGGTGGATCGGTCATGGATTAATCTAGGTGTGGGTTGCTTGGGTAGAACAACAATTGGTAGAATTCTCACATGGCTACCGGCCATAGCCTCCGTAGGGTCTTCATGATAACAAATCAACAATAGGATGACTGCAAGGTTATCGAAGTAACAGCAGCAAGCGACGCTGTGCATCGCGGCTATCAAATTCTTCCCTTGACTGTCCTCAAGCTCAACAAATAGTGTATGGTATCACCTCGAAAATCACAAAACTTTTTCATCCCATCTCAACACCCTTGTTCCACATCCTTCGTGTCTCATCAATCATTCATCCATTCATCGTCAATCAAGCCTTCCCGAAATCGTAGAAAATGCACGTCTTGGTCTTGTAGTTACATACAAAAGCACCGTCCTGACCAGCCTTATTCCAGTCCTGTAATTGCTCTTGAATTTCCTGGATGTACTCCCTGTCAGTCAACGCAACAGAATGTCTCAGTGTTCGCCAGGTCTCGCTGTCAGCTAGTCTCGTGTTGCGCAGTCGCTGGAGTGTATCGTCGTCAGTATCGATGGCGAGGACTCTGCAGTTTTTGCTTATTGACTCCGCGAGATCTTGTGCTGCGGATCGTGCAGAGTCGACGATCATGGCTCGGTTGACTTTCTTGGATTTATGTTGAGGTGTCAAGATCGTAACGTTTTCTCTTTCTCCTGCTCCGTGTGAGCTTCTTGTTCTTCGGAGTACTGGTTCTGATATGCTGGCTGGCTGTCTCTCTTCCATTTCGTCGCGCAGCCACTTAGTCAGATCTGAGCTCACAACTTCGTTCTCGTCTTTGTTGGGAGAGCGAACTTTGATTTTGGTGCCGCCAGGTCGAACGATGACCACCCAGAAACGACTGACATTGGAGTAAGCTTGGTCAAGCTCATCCATGTTTGAGAAGGGATCGGAAAGCTCGGCACTCATTCCAGCATCCAACAAATTACGTAGGATCTCGACACAGGTGCCATAAAGAGTTGCTTCGTCAAAGCTGGTAACCACAATATCAATGCGTGGCTCTATGGTTGCAGGTATGACGCCTTTCGTCCTTGCCGACTTGCCGATAGTCGACTGTGCATCACTTCGCGCGTGCGCGACCAGATCCATAATGTTGATCCTAAAGCCTGCTGCTCGAGCAAAGGTTTTGTGCGTAGGTGTTTGGTAGCTCCTGATGAGGGCATCGTACCGGCCACCAACCGCTATAGCCTTAGATGATTTGCTCTCCGTACACTTGAACATCAGGCTACCTCGGTAGAGCATCTCTGAGGTATTGCTCAAAGGTGAAAACAAAACGGGTGTGCGTACTCGAAAGCTGTTGATGTAATCATTCACCTCTTGGAGACGAGTCAGCGTCCTTGTGGCTTTCGTTGCCAAGTCAGCTTTTTTCAGCTTGTTGAGACTTCTGAGCACGCGGTCACGGACTTCCTCCAGACCAGAAGATATATTAAACCCACTCAAGTCTGACACCATCGTGCTAGTCAAGCCAGCCTCAGGGGACTGCAGTTCTTGTTGAAGTTGTTTCCAAGTCGTTTTACCAATATTGAGGTTGGATAACAATCTCTTGACCACTTCGATTCGCTGTTCTGGGACCCCGCATGCGTCCAGTATCAGGTCGAGTAGGTCCCCGTGAGAAACGATGATCGAGAAAGAACGACTGAAGAGCGAGCTAAGCTTGAGGAGACAATCATCCAGGACCGAGATGACTTGTGCATCTCGTAGCGACAAATCCTGAGCGCTGTAAGACACAAGGTCGAAGTCGACTTCCGGGATGCACAAGGGTTCAAGACCTAGCTCTTTTCTTTGCCGGAAAACTATTCCAAATGTGAAGCTTTTTGTATACTGAGGCTTCCGCACAGCTATGGCTCGAGCGAAAGGCACTGTAAGATCGTATGGAAGCTGGACCGTGAAGCCTGCAGCGTCCAGAAATTTGGCTGTATTTGGATAAAGTCCCTCCACAGGGAAGATTGTTTCGCGATTGCTTTCTACTCCACCATGAGCTTTGAAGACGTCTCTCAGCTTTTGTTGAAGCACGCTGAGCAGATACTCGTCGGGTATTCTAAAATCCTCCTTGTCAACATGTGCGTACGAAAGCATTTGTGGTCTGCTCGCAGTTCTTCCCATGAAATTCTGCATCACAAGTTGAAATTGCTGTGGGTCACCCTGCACAAGTCTCTGGAAGTATCGTTGTTCCTTGTCTTCTTCGAGAGGCTCTGGGATTTCTGGATCGAGAAGCAAGGCTCTGGCAGATGGCCGCCTGTCCGGATTGTGATCGAGTAATGAAACGATAATCCGACCCTGCGTTTTGTATTCGGGGTTTTCAAATCGACTTGGTAATTGCGATCCATCTTTGTTGATACTACGCATCCAGCTGACCCTTTCTGTTGCGGTCCTGAAGGGGAAGCACATCTCAAAGAAGATAACACCTAAAGCGAACATATCGGCTTTGGTAGAATATTGACCAGTAGATTTAGAGTCTCCAAGCTCTGGAGCAATATAAAATAGAGTGCCTACACCTTTCGACAGTGGACCAGCAACATGGGTTGCCAGCTTCGAGCCATTTACAGTCGCTTGTGAGGCAGCTGCTAGGCCAAAATCGCCAATTTTAGGCATGTTGTGTGAATCAATGAAGATATTCGTTGGCTTGAGGTCCCGATGCACAACTCCTTGTTCGTGAATGTATTCGAGACCATCTACCACGAGTCGGAATATGCGCCAAGCCTCATTGACTTGATCAGGTAGACCATTTCTGATAAGTTCAAGTAGGGTTCCAGTATCGCAGAGTTCCATCTGAATGAATAAAGTCAGGCTCTTGTTGTAGTATTGTGGTGGTCGCCGAAGGACGCTCGGAGTTCCTTTTGCAGCTATGAAAGGTTGAGGTCGCGAGGGTATGTTGGTTCTTTCTCTGGCTTTGTCTGCGCTATCTGATTCAAAGAGGTTCGGAGCTTCATCCAGGTTGTTAGCCACGGCTTGAAGTCCAAAAGGATCGCTTTCTGGATCTACCTCAGCTTCCGATTCGAGTGCTTGGCTATCAGCGTCGGACGCTGACGGTGCAGATTGGTAGCCGAACATATTACCGTCATCACTGCTTTCAGTGCTCTGCGTAACATCTTCGGCCTCGTTCTCGTCATCCTCAACATCAGACAGCTGAGCCAAGGAAGGATCCATAAAATCATGGCCGGTGGAAGGCACTGCGAACAAACTATTCCTCAAGGCAACGCTGCCTGTTGGAGGTGCAAAACTCCTTGGATCAGTCAACGCAGTCGACGTTTCTGAGTCTGCCGTTATTTGAGGATCTTCTTCGCTCCATGCGACGAAGTATCGGACGATACCGGGATGATTGAGCTGAGCCAACATTCTGACCTCGCCCCAAATATCTTCCAGGTCCCGGATGGATTTGCATTTTAGTTGTTTGATAGCGTAGAAATGCCCGTCTAGTCGATGACGGGCCTTGACCACAGTACCAAATCCACCTTTTCCGAGCTTCTCGACTGGTTCCCACTCCGAAATCCACCTTGACTCGGAAACGCGTCCAGACTTTGGTACCAGTGCGGCTTTAGTCATTCGTCTGCTCTCGTTCTCCGATTGGAAAACGGACAGATCGTGGTTCTTGAAGAATTGGAACGACTGAGCCTGAAATGCACTTGGTCTCTTTCGAGCAGATATGGAGCACATTTTCGAGATCATATAATCGAAGTCCTGGTCAAGTCCGGCCTGAGATAGCGCATCCTCTGGCGAAGTATATTTTTTTGTCATGTCGTTACCAAGCACCATTTGCAGCAGCACGACCCCAAGCTCCCATATACAGGTTTTGTTACTCCTCGCTGATCGACCTCCGATCAATTCAGGAGCAGCCCAGTTGCCCTGATTCAGCTCTGGCGGTTGGCTAGCCTGCGCACGCTCGACAAGCTCTCTCAGTGTAGTTCCATAGCCATCAGAGAGTTTCGCTTGGTACGTTTTATGTTGGGAGCCGAACAGGAGTATGTTGTATGCATGGATGGCAGGGTGAACATGACCTTTTCTATCGTAGAATTCGAGGGCGTCAAGTATCGACCGTGCATAAGTTCTGACCTTCACAGCACCAAGTCCGTCAACCATATCTAGCAAGCCATCTAACGACTGTTGAGCATGCTCAGTCAGGATATACAGCTCCCAATAAGCCATGGCATTGTCGTTTAGGATCTGCACAAGTTTGTAATCGTGTATTTTGACGATAGATGAATGTTCAAATGTCTTGACTTCCTGTAGTGCCAATTCTATTTGGGACATTGTCTGCCGATATTGCGCCTCGCTATCTTCCGCTGAAGCGAGCCGAACTTCCTTTAGTACCAGCTGCATTTTGATGATTTCGCCACCACGAAAGGGGCAGGCGATAGTCACAAGCTTGCCATTCCTGTGATACAGGGTGCCCATGGGCTGTACCGCTCGAAAAGTCAAGGCGGACTCGTACGAGGCATCACTGATAGTAACGTCGTGGTCAAAGACAATGCAGTCAGCAGGATAATCCTCACCAGCAGTCGTCGATTGATCAGGCGCTGACTCATTCGAGCTCAGAAGCTGCCGTCGACGTCTCTGTGCATCGAATTCTTGCGCCAATTTTGCCTCCGAGGCAGCTGTCTCCGCTTCCTTCTGACGACTCAATAATTGTTGTCGAATAGTGGCATTGACTTGCGCAGCAGACTCTACAGTGGCCCGTTCTTGCTCGAGACTAGTGCCTTGCGCACGTTTCTGTATCTCCGCGTGTGCATCTCCGAGCTTGTCTTGTATGCCTTGAAGCATACTAGAAACCATGCTGTCGTCGCCGAGTTCTGTCTTCTCGAAATGGGCGATGACATCCCTCAAGTTCTTCCTCAACGTAGCATCATCCGGCTCGAGCTCATCCAAGCGAATAACGGGAGGAACCTTCGGGTAGTTGTCGGGCAGCTCAACATCGAGACGAACAAACACTGAAGCATCGTCAAGAGCGGTCACAGCGATCTCAAAAGCCAGTACAGGCAGGCCCCAGACTGTTTTTCGAGCTCTTAGTCTGATCTCATTAGCGTATATGGACTTCAGAATACCCACAATCTGCTTTCGTTTGGGAAATGCTTCAAGCACGGCCTTATCGTGATCACTAAAGATATCATCAAACATATTCACCATCTCCATTGTATTACCTTTGCTCAAGCCATGAGCATGGCTATCGACGACTGAGGGTTGCACATCTTGAGTAGTCTCTTTAGGGACCACTTGTGCAGTTTGTGAAGGTTGCGCTGTTGCACCACGGTTTTTATTCTTCTTCGCCATTTGGCGGCATTGACTAGCAGTCAATGCAATTGCTTTTGTTTTATTGTTATGGCGACACAAGTCATACAGAATGACTTGAGTCTAGGCAGAACAGCCGCAGCTGTATCTACCTTACGACGATGTTTGCACGTTCATGTTGACACAGACAAAGAAAGTGAGTGTGAAAGGAAGAGGAAGTCGTGTTTATTCAGGAAGGACGAACCAGCATATTTGATCCGTGACAACAGCCCATTTGGTTCGGGGGACGTGCGCAAGTTAGCGGCCACGTCTAGCGTCTGCAATTCTTCCTGAAAGAACCTGAGGCATGTCAATATTCCTTGAGGACAGTGCTTATATTTGAAAAACAGTGAATTATCACTTCGTAGTGAATCTTTGCTCTCTTCGGAACAAGACTACCGAAGTGGCAGCAGTCTCCATTCATCGCAAGTGCTCGATACCTGAGTGGTTGTGGCTCTTGAAAAGCCAGGACGTGACCTACCTCTTTATTTTCATACAGCAAAACCGCCAAGATGGTCAACATAACAGAGAGGATCAAGGAGATAGAGGCGGAGATGGCACGAACACAGAAGAACAAAGCGACTGAATATCACTTGGGTCTATTGAAAGGTAAACTTGCACGCTTGAGAGCACAATTACTGGAACCAGGCCCAGGAGCAGGATCTGGTGGCGGTGCCGGCTTTGACGTCTCAAAATCAGGCGATGCACGCATAGCACTTGTCGGATTTCCATCAGTTGGCAAGAGTACTTTCCTATCCAAAATCACAAAAACGAAATCCGAAGTGGCAGCATACTCATTCACAACACTCACAGCTATACCTGGAGTGTTGGAATATGGAGGTGCCGAGATACAGATTCTTGATCTTCCAGGTATCATCGAAGGGGCCTCCGAGGGCAAAGGACGCGGCAGACAAGTCATCAGTGCAGCGAAGACGTCCGATTTGATACTGATGATCCTTGACGCGACCAAGCGAGCCGAACAGAGATCACTACTCGAGGCAGAATTGGAAGCGGTAGGTATCAGACTGAATCGCGAACCCCCAAACATCTACCTAAAAGCAAAGAAAGCAGGAGGAATGAAGATTACGTTTCAGACACCTCCGAAATACCTAGACGAGAAAATGCTTTACAACATCTTACGAGACTACAAGATCCTAAACTGTGAAGTACTGGTTCGGGACGAGAATGCCACAGTTGACGACTTCATCGACGTTATCATGAAAGATCACAGGAAGTATATCCAGTGTTTATATGTCTATAACAAGGTCGATGCCATCAGCTTAGACTTCCTGAGCGAGCTGGCAAGAGAACCGAATACTGTCGTTATGAGTTGCGAGATGGACCTAGGAATTGACGATGTTGTGGCAAGATGCTGGCAGGAACTGAGACTGATAAGATTGTACACGAAGCGACAAGGAATAGAACCAGACTTTAGTGAAGCCTTGATCGTGAGGAGGAACAGCACGATCGAAGACGTTTGCGATTCGATACATCGCACTATGAAAGAAACGTTCAAGTATGCCCTCGTTTGGGGGGCCAGTGCAAAACATATCCCACAGAGGGTCGGTCTCGGTCACCCTGTCGCAGACGAAGATGTGGTGCAAATAGTCAGTGCTTGGAAGGCATAGAATCAAATATACTGTTCCAAGTACTTCGCTGTTGAATTATGACTGACCCGTGGCGCGTGTGGCTAGACCTTCCTAATGAACGCGTTTAGTGTAGCCACTTCGCGTCCTGCATCGCCAAGGCAGTGCCGATCGGGTTTCGTATCTTACCCGAAAATAACCTCATATTGCCTTGATCTATACCCATGGGGTCCACGCTTCGCAATCAGAGTCATTGCCCACAGACCTCTGACTCAACGCTGCTCTTTCACTTCCTCACGCGTCTGTGCAGTTTTGACGCAGGCAGCCGTAGAAAGCCGACAATCAGAGTGAAGCTAGCGACCTCAAAGCTCAACACTGTCCATATTTGGCCCGTCATGGGCCCACCCATGAATCGAAGCAAGCTGAAAGTCCACGCTTGTTTGGTTATCGCTTGGCAATGATTTGCTGCCTGACAAACCGGTCAATGATTCACTTTCATTCCCTGAAAGCCATGTCGTCAATGCAATGCGTGTATTTATCCTTCTTCACTCGTGTGTTTCCCTCCTCACTCTTTACTGCGAAAGACATCAAGCGAATTGATGGACTTTCTCGAAGGAGGTAGCTCCGAGAGAGAGGAGAAAGATCCATCCACGTCCACGACGACAAATATAGCGCAGAAAGTCATTGGACTTCTTGGTGTTCCTGGCTTCATAATCAACACATTTGGACCGCAAATCTTGACCCAAGCAAGACGAAATCCTCGCCTCTTCAGGATCATCACACCACTTATCATAGCTTTCTCAGCAGCTGCAGCACTTACACATCTGATATGGCCATTATTCAATTCCATCATTGGAGAATGGCTTCCTTTTGCGCAACTCAAGTCAGACGATCCATTATATGATTATCTCTGTCGATGGGTTCATTTTCGCAAGGATCCTCTGCGTCACCTTCAAGTCGATGCACAATCCGCCGCCTATAGACGGCAGCAAGTCAATGATAAACTATGGTGGCCGGAAGACCATGCAGGTGCAAAAGACATCTGCTTTGAGAAGAGCGGAAAAAGATTTTTCTGGTTCGAGCGTACCCTGTTCATCTTGGAGGCTATCTCCTGGTCAGGTCGACGTTCGTACTACAACGACTCCAAGGACGTTAAACTAAAAGCGTTTTCATTCTCGCATAGACCTATCAAGGCCGTGCTGCAAGAAGCTTGGAACACGTACCAAAACGAAGAGGGCTCTCGTACGACCAGGATTTGGCATTGTCCTGAGGATGATTGGGATGTGTTGGCGCACAAGCAGACCAGACCGCTGGACACTGTTGACGTTGACGACATGGAGAAGACTAAGCTGGTCAAGGATCTGAAAAAGTATTTGTCAGACGAAACAAAAGAATGGTATGCTCGTCGCGGTATCCCGTATCGGAGAGGCTACCTGTTTCATGGTCCACCAGGCACTGGAAAGACCTCTCTAAGCATGGCTATTGCTGGACATTTCAATATCGATCTTTACGTACTCAGCCTGGCAAATCCACGATTGAGCGATGGCATGTTGACAAACCTAATGACCTCAGTCGATGAGCCTTGTGTAGTCCTCCTAGAAGATATTGATAGCGCCGGTCTTTCGAGAGAGGTGTCCTCCACAATGATCGACAAACCAAAACCACCACCGCCACCACGGAATGACGACGATGACAAGGATTACGACAAGATGGGCCGAATCGGTGAACGCGTTGACGTTAGATACAATATCACACTCTCTGGCGTCCTCAACGCTCTTGATGGCGCTGCTTCGCCTGAAGGCCACGTGCTCATCATGTCTACAAATCATCCAGAAGCTCTTGACCCTGCGTTGGCTCGAGCTGGTCGAGTCGACTATAAAGTCGAATTCAAAAACGCTACCTTTGAGACTGCGAAGAACATCTTTAAGCGAATGGTTGGTGACGAAACACAGGACCTTGAAGAGCTCGCGACAATTTTTGCGAAGCAGATCCCAAACGGCAAATTCTCTCCAGCAGAACTGCAAGGCTATCTACTGAACTACATCGGAGATGTAGACGGTGCAATGACGGACTTAGACAGCTGGCTCAAGAAGTCTTTGGAGGAGAAGGCCAACAGAGAAAAGCTCGAGGCTGAGAAAAAGGGAATCGCACCAAAGCCAGCTGAACCGGAACAGAAAACAGAACCTTCCGAAAGAGAGAAGACGTGATCTACTTCAGATTGAAGGACTAAATCCTTCTCAAAAGTATTACACGTCCCGGTGGATATCATAGCTACCAACCTGTTCCTTCCGGAAGACTGAAAAAGCTGACACCTTTCGATGCGGAAACAGCTCAATGCCTTTGTGGTACACTTCTGAATTCAAAGAGTGGTCGGAACTGCTCGCACCGACAGTAGAATTGCTGGGCACAGATCGAACCAGCATAATACTCGTGCTTGAACCACGAGATGACAAATCACATCCTGTCGACTCTTGATCCGTGGGGTTTGCAAAGTGCGGAAGAAGGGCGTTCTCAGATGGTGTAGTTCGATGGAGAATCGCAGAATCGCAAAATCGCAATTACGATCGACGTCGAATTTTTGGTTGTCAGAGGAGCTTCGATTGTGGCTCATTCTAAGAGCTGTAGTATGACCTCGGCTATGGCCGGCCTCGTGAGACGGACATCTTGATGCGATAGTTGAGGGAAACAGCACTCATACATACTGTGTAGATAGACGTGAAGATAGCACTACTTGAGACCGGTGTAGACCTGTTCATGATTCAAGTCAGATTCGTAATCTACATCCCTTTGATCTCCTTCTATATCCTTTTCATTTCAGAAAAGGTTGGCACTTAATGGTTAGCTAAGCTAAGCTAAGCTTACAAAAGCAGTCGTCCAGCTTTCAAGGTTTATATAGAACCCTAGATTTATCCAGATCCCGAGAAACAGAATACGTAGCCATTAACTCATCATACGCGAGCCAAAGAGAAAAACTTACCGAGCGAACAGTCCTTGCATTTCACCATGACACAAGAACCAGAAGATCAAGTCGGCCACTGCCTCTGCGGAGCTATTCAATTCAAAGTCACAGGAGACCCTATATACAACGTTATTTGTCACTGTATCAACTGCAAGTACGTGTCCTCAACCCACAACGCTTCTGCCCAATATCGTCGGAAGAAAGAGCTCCAGCTGACAATCGTTTCCAATCCAACAGGCGCACTTCAGGAAGCACCTTCCACACAGCCTCCATCTTCCATAAATCAGTAAGTAGTGTCAAGCCTGCCATCTTCTCCTATTCCTCACTTTCTCATTGCCACAATCCCCTATACTCTCACCTTGCCGTTGGTATCTCACATCACCACCCAGCAATACACCCTCCTCTCCTCTCAAACAACCAACATAACAACCTACACCGACCACGCAACCCAATCCGGCCAACCCCTCTACCGCCGCTTCTGCGCCATTTGCGGCAGCAAAATCAGTGCCTCAACGCCCCTAAACGACGATATCATTTCTGTGCCGGCGGGTGTGTTGCCACGGGCCGGAAAGGAGTGGACGCCGCAAAGGGAGCAGTTTTTGGATGATAAGGTTGAGTGGGTGAGGGAGCTTCTGGGAGGAGGAGGGGAGGAGTTGGTGAAGATGAGGAGGGGGCCAGGAGGGGTGGATGTGGATGGGGTGGGGAGGGGAAGGAAGGAGGAGGAGAGGTAGGAGGTTGAGGTTGGCTTGGATTTGGTAGTTCAAGGCGTGTGTTGGTGTTGTTGTTGTTTGAGCTCGAAGATTTCGTGGCTATGCTAGTCGACCGAAGTATATAGCTCCTACTCATACAACCCACTTCCGCTCCTTAGGCCTGACTCTCTGCGTGCGCAGAGCATTCCTGTACCTATACAGATCACTCCGTTCAGGCAAGTGATAGTTAAAATGAACATGCACCTCCGACCACTAGTCAGAAACTGCCTGCTCTGCCCCAACAAAAGGCCGTCCATTGTTCACTTCCTCCTGGTCGTTATCCTTCTTATACAAGAAAAACTGCACAAAAATCGCCCCATCAAGTACCAACGTCCCCAAACTCCCAGCAATCCAGCTCGCATTCACCGCAATATACCTTAGATAAATCTCGCGCGCCTCACCCGTCTGACAATGCCTAGGTCCAAACTCACAACTATTTCTGGGATTATACGCGAATATCGACATGTCGTACGTCAAGTTGCCGATACACGCAAACAGGAAGAAGAGCAGGGAGACGCCCTCGGTCGATTTTCGTCGGTAGTTTAGCAGGAGTTGTGGGATGCGAGAACCGAGATAGAAGACTGCGCAGAGGTAGCCGAAGACTTGTCCTAGGGTGTCGAACTCGAGAGGTTCGGAGGATGGGAGTTCGGCGTCGTGTTTGTGGTAGTGCCTGTGCTTGTGGGTGTGGCCGCTGTGGTTGTGGCTGTGGCGGACAGAGATGTACCAGCCTAGAATGCCGGCGGCGCAGACTAGGAGGATTGCACCGGTGTTGAGGAAGACTGCTTGGAGGGTTGAAGTTGGTTTTTGGGACCTGATTGCGGGTGGGTCTTTTGCTGCGTCACTGATGAAGGGGGTAGCTGGGGAGAGATGCTGGCCGTGATTTCGGAAGTCTTCTGAGAATGAGCCGCGAGATCGCTCTTCGGGTCTTGGAGACGTTGAGGAGAGAAGAGGTCGTCGCTCGCCATCTTGTTGCTCTGTATCGATGGGCTTAGACGGCTTGACTTCGTCTTTGAGTGTGAATCCGCGGTAGTAGAAGAGCTGGATTAGAAGAACTATATCTGCAAGTGTATAGTAAATTGCGAGAATGATCATAGTCGGCAGTACGCCCTGTAACACAGATCCAATGATATTGAAGATGTCTCCGAGAAGCCATACCACAATGAAGACTATCGATAGCCCTTCTGCTGATCCGCGTCGGAAATTTTCCTAATGTATTGGTTAGTAGAGATTGGTCCTAGGTGATGAGGATTTCACACAATAATTTGAGGCGAGAAAACAACCACCCAGCAAGCTATCGATATCGATCCACAGATTCCTGACAGCGCTTCGAGGTCAATATTGACACTCGTCGACGGAGGATACATTCTGTTGGAAGGTAAAGACCGTCGTTACACAAGCATATGTTGTGGAAGGCTTGTGCAGTGTTGTCAGTACGTGATTCGGTGCCTAGACTTTGGTGCCACGTCGTTGAGATATGCTATATTGCCTGAGATGTGAGGGACGTTGATGTTTGAGTCTTTGATGGCTGTACGCACAAACGAATGAGCTGGAGATGAACGGTAAGCTCACCGTCGGTTCCATGACACATCAAAATCAATATTGCAAAGTCATCGCGCCCTGCCGAGCACGCGAAATTTCAAGCGCGCTAGTACGTCACGTTCAGGTACAGAACCTGGGGTGCATGATACCATTTCTGAGTTAGTTGTAGCTCTACACGTGCGGCGAATAAGCGAGGATATGTAGTGTTCCTCAGTACAAACCCTATACGACAATGCCTAAGCATGTACATTGATTGTCTACGGTGTGCTTCGTCACCTGCTGTTCAATTTGCTGGGTATTTCAACTACATAGCCAGTTGATCTAGCTGGAAGACCTGGATCTTAGTCATAAACCATTAGCTTGACCCCAGCATGAATGTCCCAGAAGATGGCAGCCAAGCGATTTGTTTTATTTCCTCTTGCTGGTACAACTGAACATAGCCAGGAAACTAGCACCATTCCTGCCATTCTCCTTATCTATCTTGTTCTCTTCTTTTGTGCTGACTTTGCTGAAGCTCGAGACCTCTGGTAGCTTTTTTTCGGGGTCCAGCGAAACAGCACTTAAATCCTTCGAATCTTTTAACCAGACCAAATCGGCCTGCGCAGTTTTTGAGGTACTACCTTCGGGATCTGGAGCTTGCAGCCATTTAGCGAGCTGTTCTTTCAGTTCATCGCTAGCTTTATTCGCTTGCATCGAACTCCAATTAGCGAAGAGATGATCTGTACATATTAGAGATGGTGGAGAGACAATATGTACACCACTCACCATATTCTGCCAACGTCTTTCGCAATTCGCGCATAACAGTGGGCTTCCTGACCAGATGATCTGGTCTGCCGGGGCCAGATTGCTCAATGTCTAGTAGTTCCTTTTCCAGTGCTGAAATCTCATCCTGTAGATGCAATAACAGCCGTACATGAACGTCGTCAAATCTTCGAAAAATTGTCGTTCTGCGTGTATGCATGAAATTGGCCATCTCGACATGTTCGTTTTGTGCTGGAGGTAGCACGGGAGATGGTGTGGACGAGGGTGCAGGCGAGGGAAACGACGGCGAGGATTTCACTGTTGGTGAAGTCTTTTCAATTACAGGCGGGACCTTCTCACGTTCTCGAGTCGGTGGTCGTTTCACAGGAGCCCCTCGAGGCAGTTCTGGCAACGGAGTAGTTGGCGCAGGCGTCGGTTGAGAAGTACATATCGACTGTGATCTTGAGCGGGTGGAGGAAGCTCGAGACGCAGGTCCTGCTATTTGGTGTATTAGTGGCACTTCTTCCAGCTCCTCCGTCAGAGAATTCGACCTTGACAGAGGCTGTGGTCCAAGGGAAACATTTGAGGGATTTGAGTGCAGCGCTCTTGCACGCCTTTCTGAAGCCGTTGACTTGTGTTTCTGTGTTTTGGAAATGCTTGAAGAGATGTGTCTCGACGGCTCAGGTGTCGGTGGTAGAGGTGGAGTTGGTCTAGTGGTGATTTGGGACAACTGTCGCTGTGGCTCTGGACTCACTACTCGTGACGGTAAAGGACTCTGCGCATGACTCTGCTGAGCAACTGACGATATAGTAGCCATGCTAGATGCTTTCTGATTGAAGCGTGATGTTGGCACGTGAGACTTCTTCACCGAAGATATGGAGGAGCGTGTCGAAGTAGCATGGGGAAGAGAAGTTGCAATTGTCTCAGTCTGCGGCACTATGTTTCCAGGAATCATAACCAAGTTTTCCTCCTGTGTTGGGATGGATCCAGGTATAACAGGTATCTCGTTGGAGGCGGTTGGAAAGTTCGCATTGTTCGACAGATCATGGCCTCCGATTGGGGAATGCGCGGTCGACAATTCTTGCGGTGCAACACTCTTTGACTTGATCTGTAACTGTGATGGATAGCGAACGATATGCTTTTGAACCACTGCTTCCGGCGCTGAACTGCTTTTCGATCGCTTCAAGGATATTTCGGCAACGCTTGCATGAGGGTTCGGTATGCTAGGTATAGCGGAGAAGGAGGGCTGTGGGAAATCGACTTTGAGCTGAGCTCCGTTCAGTACTGGGATCCAATTCGGATCGTGGACGTCAAGCGCTGTTGGATCGTAGTATCTCGATTGACGATCAGTGGGTAGCTCGAACAAGATACCAGAAACGGCCATGACTGTTCACGCGACGCGAGGAAAGAGTCGTATACACTGAAGAAGTGGTATTTGCACGGCAGGATGTATACCAAAGACGAATACTGATTGTATAGCAGCACACCAGCAGAAACTCATGCTGCACTTACTCTGATTGCCCGACATTGCTAAGGCCTCCATAAAAACGTTGATCATCTCAAACTGGCTTGGTGCTGCCACCACAGATGAGGTGCAGTACCTGCATGAAGGAAGATGAGTTCGTGCTGCACATGTGGTTAGCTTGTCTGGACATCTCAGCCATGAAGAAGATCGAAAAGCTTAATAGTCAACGGTGTTAACCTTGTGAAGAAGCGACACTGCTTTGGAATGAACGCCAGCTTCATTGAGGAAGGTGCAATGAGTTACTCAGGGAAGTGAGGACAAGCTTGTCTTTCTGGTTGCTGGAGTTGAACAGAGAAGTGCCGAAAAGCCGGTGGGTTCTCCTGAAGAAGGATGGCCAGGCAATCTCGTCATGCAACAACAAGCCTCTAACCGATGGTGAAACAAGGCAAACGTGATCTCGCGATTCTGAGCGATGTTACCCGTTGAATCCTAGCGAGGAGCGATGTAGTCTTCAGCGCACCACTGGCTGGCCGTTGGTCTGTCTTCAGGAACACATGAAGTAAGTCCTAGCAATGGGCGATATTTGCACGTTTCAAGCAGCAGCAGAAGCCTTTTTCAACATGCACGAGTAAGCTGACACATGTCTGACTCCCTTGAAAGTTATTCTGAAACTTGCTATATATTATAGTGGACGACTTAATCTAAAATTGTCCTGTCGATGCGCTAATAATTCCTGTGGTCACCTTCCCGAAAATACGCCTTCGATGAGAAGATGAAAACATCAGAGAACGAGTTCAGTTGCCATATTGAGTTCATCCTCTTACCAACTCAAAAATAGCATACTCCTCCCGACTAAGTGTATGCATCGAATTGTTGCTGAAGTCTGAAATTATGCGAAGGCCTGTACATGAAGTGCTCGAAGTAGCCTCATCGTCGTGCAATACTCGTTCGAGGTTGTGTAGGTGCGCTGTGAATTCCGTCTTCAAGTCTTTGCCTGCCCAGTCGATGTCGAGCCTCCCGGATCGTGTTCTCAAATGCGGTCACTTGCTTTCCTGTACTGACTCGACGTAGCTGTAGCAGGTATTGCTCCATCTCCTCGATCAACGAGGCAAGCGTGTGTCCTTGTAGATGAGCGCCGCTTTTCTCTGCTCCTTCTTTAGCACACCAAAAGACTTTATGTTGGAGGCACTTACGAATTACATAGTTGCCGTATTGGTGGCTCAGTAACTTGCTGCTCTGGCTTTGACCAGTCTCGTCTCGTACCGTTAGCTTCCGTAGCATGGTTCGTCGCTGTTCGTCGTCGGCATAGTCGAGAGCTTTCTCCACCACGTTGCTGGCGAACTTGTGCGTGGCATTCTCAAGGAGCCTGCTCATCACCTTATCAATGACTGGCTTTCGATCCTGTGCTTCGCCATTTGCGATCACATGCTGTACAACATAGTTGCCAAAGGCGTCCTGAATGAGGTCGGAGATGTTCATATGGAGTTCAGCCAATATTTGTCGTTTCGCACGTGGTGTACAATGCTCAAGCATTCGCTGAATGACGCGACAGCCATAAGAGTGCTTGGAAAGGTAGTGGACGTGTCCTCTATGTGCGTCGACGATGAATTGAATATGCTCGCCTGGTATTCTTTCGATGGCCTTTTGAATCACGTGGTTTCCATTCTGGTCCTCAACCACTTTCAAAACGCAGCCATCCAATTCCTTGATCAGACTTGCCTGCTGGTCAGTAAGGATATATTCCAGAGCCTTTTGTACCACCCGACACCCGTATACTTGAGTTGATAGGGCATAGACGTGGCCCTTCATATGACTAGCGAGAAGCTTCTTCTGAGGCTGGTTGCCATGTTCGAACATCTTTTGGATCACATAGTTACCAAACACATCCGTCATCAGCTGTCTAGAATCCTGTGCAATCTCGTTGAATACGCGGTCTTTTTCGTCACTGGTTGCGACTTCAAGCTTTTGCTGGATAAATCGCGAGCCTAATTGATCGCCACTGAATTCCACAATGTGACCGTATATATCCTTCAACTCATATTTCTTGGCCTTGTTGATGCGGAAATCCTCCAAAAGCGGGCTTCGGTAAATGTGGTTGGTGTCATTCTGGCCGTCGTTGGCAAGCTCGAGGGTCATGCCTGGAGCATCTATTGCTCCACTGTAGTCATAATGACTGTGTTGAGCTTCAACGGGAATGCTGATGTTGGACGGGTAGTACGTCTGCGTATATGGTTGCTGCTGGTAGTGCTGCATCTTCTGCACTTGATATCCATCGAACCCATTTTCCAGGTCGCGTGGCTGTCTGCCATACGACGATGACACATTGCTCACAGACTGCTGATGTTGAACAGGCATATAGTTGAATGTGTTGTTTGCAGCCACACTCTTTCTGTTAATTACCTGACCACCTGCGTAAGGACCGCCAACGTGAGGACGTGAACCTTTCCCATACTGGTTGGCGCTCCATGTATCCGCATAGGTATGGTCAACTTGTTTCTGATCCCTAGGCATACTCTGTGTCGCTAGCGGTACATGATAACTGGCGTATTGTTGTGACATGGGTAAGTGACCATGCTGTGGTTGACTCACTCTTAGGCCCTCAAATCCCCGCAGCATATCTGGTTGAGTCGTACTAGACCTGCCATCCTTCTTCGAGGACTCATGGTTGGCTTGAATATAGCTTGTAGCTTTTGGTGGCGCAACTGGTTGGAACCCACCTGGAGCCACAACAGGATCGAACGTATTCCGATATTGGGGTTGGGTCCAGATTGACTCGATACGGTTCGAATTGCTCTGGAACGGTCTCTGCAGAGGTTCAAGGATTCCAGGATCTATAGACTGTTGCTGATTCAGCGAAAACGTGGGGCGAAACTCCTTTGCAGCACTCCATGCATTGACTGATTCTCGATAAGCCCGAGGGTTGACGGGAGGGTTCTGTTGTGCTCTCCCACCATGGTTGCCTTTGGTTGGTGGAGGAAAATGATCGGAATTGCTGCTTGTTGAATTCGGGGTCAACGTACTTGAATCGTTGTTGCTTCTACTATGTGCTGACAATGGTTCTGCGACAAAAGCAGAACTACCTTCGATACTAGTAGGTGATCTTTTATCGTGTGTCGCTCCGAACGGTTGATTGCTTTTGGTTGGAGGAAGTACGGACAGAGGCTTTGTGCTGTAGGATGAACCTGAATGCTTTAGTCGGGTATCATGGAGTAAAGATCTTGTAGAGGAATACCTTGGCCCACCACGTGACTTTTGCTGATTCTTGGATCGTCACGAGCGTTGGACTGCCAAATGCTATTGCCGAACGTTGAAGCAGAGAGGGTCGAGTCTGTTGCATATACTTTATTGTTCATCGACTTGTGGAAGGCAGAAGAGGAAAAGAAGCTCTCAAAAACTGTTAGTCGCAAGCTGATCCCAGGACCATTTAAACTCACATTTTCGAACGAATGATTGGGTTGAAGGGTAGAAGTCATATTTCAGCGATGCGGTTCCGACTTAGCTATTGAAGCTGGAGAGGTCGAGATGTTTTGTGCTTGAGGTCCAGGGTGTCCAGTCTTTGTACTTTTACCAATTGCTCGTGACCCAGAAATGCTTAGCCACTGTACAGTGATATATTCAACACATTAATTGTACAAATTTATCGTGCAAATCTGTGGGATTGTATCGAGGGAGAGAGAGATCAGGAATAAGATGACAGTGAAACTCTCGTGGAAGGGTAGGTCTGGATGAAGCAAGGCGTGGTAGAGTCATGTATCCCTTCGACCACTAGCTCGCCAACAAACCAGCGTTCGTTTGTCGATAAGCAGCGACGAGATACACATAGGGCAAGAGTTAGCAAGACTATGCCACTTTGCGCAGGTTGAGTGGGCCGGGGTCGCGCAGAAGACAATGAGGCGGTAGATAGATTGCAGAAGCACGGGTTCGTCACGACTGTGCATGAAGTAAGGGATAAAGTGGGAGCAAGTGGAATGCAGCTTGACCGGCTCTGTATGACTTGTCTGAGCAACGGTCGATGGATAGAAGATGCAGGAAGTTGTGGAGTCAGCAAAGAAATTCCTCAGGTGTTCTGAAGTGTTACACAGGACGAGTTGCAGAATAGACGGGCGGTTGGAGGGACAGACCGAGATTATTTAATGAGGCATGATGTTGTGATAGAGTCCAGGCAAGATCCTGGCAGGAGGATAGATCAGAATTGAACAAACATCCCACATTCAAGCTGGGAGACAGGAAAGCCATGTGAATGGTATTTTGACCTTTTTTTTGGTCAGCAAGACAGCGCACATGTGCGATGACATGGCCAGTATGACAGAAACGATACAATCTCACAGGCACGGAGGGTTAGTGGTGTTTGTGCTGTATTGATGCGTCAAAGGTGGGGCTGCAGATGGCGCCTAATAGCAATGGCCGCCCCAGATTTGCCAGTTTTAGCGTATCGTCTTTGGACGTTTGGGCTGATTCAGGGTTCGGTCAAGGCTCCTACAGTGGGTGCTCAAATGACCTGGCAGGAGGCTTTTTAAGGGTCAGACGATCTTCGGTGAGAAGTCTCGTATAGATGACTGGCTTTGACAATGTCATGCAACTGAGCTGCATGTTGCCGCGTCGGAAAGAATACATGGTTGGGTTGACGTTTGTCGGGTGATTCAGTAACGCACGTGTTCAAGCTGAGTGCCTCCAACACAATGCAATTCCTGTCTATAGCAGTATTGTCCTGTGGCGTATGAGAGATAGTGGTCATAGCAACCTGTATAAGTTTCCGAACTGCTCGCTAGCCAGTACGAATGGAGGCCGCAGATACCAGTAGTGTTTATACCCGAATTTGCATGGATTGTGGTGTAGAGTATCGGTAAGGCAAGCCATACCCGACTTGGCATGTCTGCGTTGACAGCTGAGAGCTGCAAGCCCGGGTCTGAAACTTATCTTCTGTAAAGGTACTGTTTGACGAGAAATTATTCGGGGAGAATTCCATTTGTAGCAGCATAGTCCTTCGCAAAGAGCCGTGGAGGAGGTTAGTCAGTCAAGATCAACCAAGCCCATACTTGCAAAACTGGAATTGAGGTGTCTTTCAGTAGCAAGAGGGTGCCTTTGCCGGACTTCGTTAGCAGCACAGATCCCACCTTGAGGTCATGAAAGCTATACATATAATCGAGCTCACAAAAAGATTAGGACACACTCTCGATACACTCCTGGTGACATCACGACGTTGCAAGTCCCCAGGAGGAACGAGCAATGAACAGCAAAGCCTGCGGGACAGCTCATGTTATTGATAATTCCACCACAGTTTCGAACGACAGGCAATCTCGGAGTCTCTGGCGATGCATGCCTACAAGCACCACCTAACTACCTTTACAATAACTAGCTTTCAGAGACAGTCGGGAGGAGAGCTTCGGAGTTCCATGACGATGGAGTTTATGATTGGGTGAGGCATGATACGCGAGATTGCGCAAAGGAATATTGGGAGTGGAGTATCCACCTGCGTGGATGAAAATGATGATGAGCCACGAAATTCGACGCGCTTTTGATTTGAGGCGCTGTTAGGCGTGGCTAGGCATTCACTAGCCGCTTGGGTTGTAGTGCCGGAAGACTGCTTTGGGCTTTCTACTTCGGTATACTTCCTACACTCCTGTACACATCTATACGATCACTGCCGTGAAGAGCTGACCTTTCGAGCTCTATCGACACAACGCCTGGCGGGTTCAGCTTCACTCTTTTGCTGAACTCAAGCCGTCCATTCTTTGAAACAGAAAAAACCACATTCGGAAGCTGGGATCAGCCAGACCTTGCGGAAAGAAACAACCCGGACGAAACAGTGAGCTGTACATGATCACTACCAACATACGAGGTTGCACATAAAGTCATCGAGTCTAGCAGGGCAAAGTCTAAGATGGCTTCATTCGGGTTGCAGCAGCGGGATTTTGATGATGAAGACGACAGCATGGATGGTCTGCTCTTTGCCTTCTTTGTGCTGTTCCTGTTTGCATGTTTAACGTCAATCACAATGTTGTACATCCGAAGAAGACGAGCAGCACAGCAGGCAGCAATACTCCCTACACATCAGCGTCGAGGACACGAACGATCTTTGACCATCAGTACCACACCCTGTGTCGGGCAAGATAAGATATACGTCTATGACGAGAAGATGAACCTGATTGCCAACTCACATGGTCCACCGGATGGGCCTGTTCCAGAAATTCGAGTGACGTTCCCTGACGAGATGGACCAACAATCGGGACAAAAGATGGCAGGTCGAGTGGTGGTTGTTCGCATTGCAGATTCGGGTAGTATTGGGATGGAACCTTTGCAGCAAGAGCAGCTGCCTCCATATCAGCGCAGCGACGCCAATCAATTTCAGTCGTTGGAGCTCGAGAGACTCGGGGGACTGCGTGAGGGAGGACAGCCAGTTGGAAAACCACGATGGTCCTGACAAAAGTAATTAATTATGGAGTGGAGAGGCGTTGAGGATATATCTTGCTTCGCTGGACTGGTTGGGTACTCGGAAAAAAGATGTATAAACATGAAGTGCGGAATGGCCATGTGTATCTGCAACGTGCTTCACCTATGCTGCACATCAAAAAGTGACCATGTTTAAAAAGTTAGTGTCTCAGGAACGGGGCACTGGAACGGTTGGCTGCGTTGCTTCTGGGGTTTTGACAATCGGACAGTTAGCAGCTCTTTACGCCATTACGTTCAATAGACCAATAATAATCATGAAGCGCCAGTCTGCAGTAAGGATGTATCTCGAGCAAGGTTACAAGGTCCGATAGTGAGGCCGCAACGCGTACACGCGATTGGAAGGCTGACAATCTCCACTTTCGTGGTTGCGGTAAACAAGACCTAAACGAAGGCAAGTCCGGCTAGTGATTATGGCTGGACCTGCACCACTAACATCGAGCAGGTGTGATGCGTGTCTGGCACTTCTCAAACATCAGCGACCATACCAGAGTCGCAAATTCCTAAGACCTCTGCATTCTTATGTATCCCTTTCTTTGCTTGCGCAACACCTCCCTACACCTGTACCTTCCACTTCGATAATGTTAGTTCAATTTGAGATAAACAAAACAAGACGGCAGGATTGATGCGGCCCACACACGCCCACCCATCTGCTGTCTAACCAGGTCACGCGTCAAATTCTTTCGATATGGCAGCTCCAATACTGAATCACACGCCAGCTACGCCGAGTCGGTCTAATGGCACCAACGGCCACGGTGAAGACGATATCTTTTCCGACGTTGATACTGCTTCAAGTCAGCCCTACCACCACCGTTTCTCTTCGCGGTTTGACCCGGAACCTCTAGAGCTATCGAGCGCCGCCTCTCCCTCACAGCTGAAGAGAACCATAGAGGCACACCTACAGGAAACCGATCGCCGTTTACAAGACACTCAGCAGCTCGGCACTGCCCTGCTCAAGCAAAGGGACGACCTGACTAGCAGATTAGAAGAGGTTGACCAACTTCAAGATGAAGCTACGATCCCAACAGACCTACGCAGGAGGCTGGTCGATATCGAGAGGGAGCATGCAGACGTGAACAGGGAAGTCGCAAGAGCCCTGATAGGCCCCAAACCAAAGCAAGACGAGGCCTACTCCAGCGACTCCGGTGTCTTTTCCAGCCAAGCTACTGCTTCGCCTACTAAAGTCAGTGCTCCCAGCCGACGACACAGGAACCAGCCTTCCACCCGCGCTGGCGATCTCCAGTTCGCTGCCGACATCAGCACCTCCCTTCTCGCCCAGGTTCGCCAGTTACAATCAGTCGTAGTCGACCGAGACGATGCCCTCAAGCGTCTACAAGCCGAAAGAGAAGCTCTTGAGCAGGATATGTTAGGCTATACTCAGAAAATCCGAGCTTTGGATGAGAGTGAACAAAAGTACAAGGATGAAAATTGGAACTTGGAAACGGAGCGACATCATCTGCAGACTGCTGCAAGAGACGCTAATGACAAAGAAAAGCGTCTCAATGCTGGCCTCAACTCAGCTCTGGCCGAGAAATCGAAGCTGCAGAACGACCTTGACGAGCTCAGACTGGCCCACTCCAAGCTCTCCGAGGAGCATATCGCCACTCGAAAAGCTCATGACACTGAAATACACGGTCTTAAAAGGAGCGCCGATGCTACTGCAACCGACCGTCAGTCCTTACAAGACAAAGTCGATGAGCTTGTCGCCCAAAATCAAGAGCTGGCCAAGGCTGTTGCAACCCGTGCCCGCACCAGACACATCAGTCCCAACCAGGCTTTTCTTGACCTTCCAGAAGAGGCCCCTGAGAGCATGGACTCTCCCGATGACTCTCCGCCTCCATCTCCCACCAAGGCTACACCTCGCCATGGTGGTCTGGAATCCGAAACTCTCAAAAGTTCTCTGACCCACGCCCACAGGATGATCCAGAACCTGAAGAACAATATCCACCGTGAGAAAACCGAGAAAATTGAACTCAAGCGTATGCTTCAGGATGCTCGTGATGAGTTAGAGCATCGTAGAGGAGGAGATGCTGGTAGCGCCGCCAAGCGTCAGAAGACGAAGAGTGAGGTCTTTAAGAAGCCTTTGCGTCCAGACATGCTTGGAGGCACCCGGAGACCACGAACAGACATAGAGTTGACCGATGATGATTGGGAGGATCATGGCTATGACAGCCCCAGTCATGCACGACCTACCATGTTACGTGGTAACAACCAACCCCTGACAGATCTTAGTGATGCCTATCAGACCGCCAATGATACCGAGGGTACTTTTGATACCGCCGACGAGCGTAATACGACCGAGAGCGAAGCGTTCATGACTGGTGTTGAAAGCTTGGCGGGCGACAGCACTGACGAGCTCACCGAGACAGAAGAAACAGCCTCAGCGACTGGCAGACAAGCCCCAGGTAGGGTAGCTCGTTCTTCAAGGCAGCTTGCCCACTCAAGTAACCTCTCGACGCCTGAAGACGAACTCGAAGATATGCAGACTCCTGTACAGCCCTCATTCACCAAGTTCAAGCTCCGGAGTACCAGAACATCGTTCGGCAAACAGTCTGCACAGGACACGCCGGGCAGCACTCCCCGTTCCGTTAGTCTCTCAGAGGACTCGCCGGCCACCATCACCACAAGCCAAAGTCCTCCTACAGGTGAGCAGAGCTTGTTTGCCGAGCTTGGTGGCCTGGATGAGATCGATAGTCAGAACAGTACTCCAGCTCGCTCTTCGACCATGTCCTCCACGCATTCAACCCCTGGACACCCATACACTCCTTCTAAATCTGCTACTACGACCCAACATTCGACTGCCAAACCTATCATGGTCAACTCGTCAACCATGACAGACAATTGGGAAGGTCAGACCTCCAATCAACCAATTGCATCATCTTCGGACAAGGCTTTAATTGCGTCCGCATTTCCGCTTCCACCGAGCGTGCCTACGTCGCCAGTCAAGAAGTCCGACAACGGCACTCAGTACACACCTCAACGCAGCACACTGGAGTCACCAATTCGTCCGATGAGCAGTCATATCACACCTCCAAAGACAATGTGGGATGCTGCTCACGAAACACCCGAGTCTGCTACAACCAACGTGGAAGATGGAGGCGTCTCTCCGAGTCATCTCGGCTTCAGTGGTGTGCTCTCACAGGATAGTATTCCAATGCAGTCACCGTCACGAAATACCACCGAAACTCAAAGAAAGCTCACGAGCCTGCAAGCAGACATCTCAAGCCGAGAGGCCGAGCTCGAAGCAATGAAAATAAATCATGCTACCACTTTGACCTCTATGCAACAACAACTTAGCGAGCTGAGGTCTTTGCACAATACAGAGCTGGCAGATTCGAGGAGTCGCAATTTGAAAGACCGTGATGAGATCGATCGTCTGACAGCCGAGCTCGAGCATGTGCGAGAGGAGCAAGCTTCCATGATTGCCACCATGCAATATGAGACTGACCGACTGAAGATGTCGCACACTACAAAGGTCGATGACCTGGAAAGACGCGTGTCGGCACACGAGGGTAAATTGAGAAGCAAGGAGGCAGAGATGGAAGATATGCGTCTACATCATGCTTCACAGATTGAGGTTCATCAGAACGACCTTGACCAGTTACGTGGCATCCAGGCATCGGAAGTGAAGAGGCTCAATGATGAGATCTTCAGCCACCAACGCAACCTAGCTGATAGACAGACTGAACTCGACACACATCGTGCAGACCACGTGACAGCTCTGGCAGCTAGTGCTGCTCAACTCGAAGCTCTCAAAAGTGCTCATGCGGCACAGCTCCAATTTGTCAACAGTCAGCTTACGGACCATCGCGAAGAGCTTACTTCGAAGCAAAGCGAGATTGAGACACTGCGTAATGAACATAGTGCAGCCATGGCCACTAGCAGTAATGAGCTCGAGGCTCTCCGCGATTCACATGCTTCCCAAACAAGAGAACTAAATGAACAACTAGGTAGCCATCGTGAGTTGCTCGATGCCAAAGTTGCCGAATTGGAGAAGCTACGCACTGGCCACGCCACAGCTTTCAGCCTGAAACAGGCAGAATTGGACACTGTTCAAGCCAGCCATGCAGCAGAAGTCGAGAAGCTTAAGATGCTGATTGCTGGTCACGATGAAGATGCTGGACGAAAGCGAATAGAAATCGAACAACTTCGAAACACACATAGTCAAGAGCTTGAAAAGCTGAAGACCCAACTATCTGGACGTGGCTTGGAGATTGGCAGTAAACAGACTGAACTGGAAACACTACGGTCCATCCACGATGTCGAACTACAAAACCTGCACAGGCAGGCAACAAGCCAGACCGACGAACTGGCAAATGAGAAATCTAAGCTTGACGCATTGCAAAACTCTCATGCACAAGAAGTTGAGAGGCTAAGGGCACAAATGACGGACCAGAACCATCAGCTTGAACGTGAAAAATCCGAACTCGAGACTGTTAATGTAGCCCACAATCAGGAACTGGGGAGACTCGACCGGCAGCGTTCTATTCAAACGAAAGACTTGGATAGCAAAGAGCGCGAGATTGCCAGGCTGAACAACCAGATCTTGACTGACACAGAAACCAGTGCAACTTTGCAGGCCAAGCTAGTTACCCTGGACAAGCAGGCTACCACGTATCGTGAAGATCTCGAGAAGCAGCAAGCAGAAACCACCTTGTTGAAGACACAAGTCGCTGACCTCAACAACGATTTAGCCGGTAGACTGGCGGACATCGAAACCATTCAAAGGGCTCATTCGGTAGAGACTCAAGCTCTCGAGAAACAGATTGTGTCGGGCCAAGAAGCTCTGCTCGCCAAGCAATATGAATATAGCTCGACACAAGCAGATCAAGCCAGAGAACTCGAGCAACTCCGAGCTCAGGTAGATGCAAACAATGAGGTGCTCATCAGCCTACAAAACAAGCACGCGGACGAGCTGCGCTCGCTGCAAGATCGGCTTGTTGGCAAGAACGAGGAAATTGAACGATTGCGAGGTGAATTAGCAACCCTGCAAGCTCGCTTTGCGCAATTGCCAGGCTATTCTGGCATTCTTTCGCAGGAAACACAGCCAGTATCTCCAGATAGAGCTTTCAGACCACTCCCTTCTACAAACAATCGATCAATATCGCCCGAGAGACCTAGGACTGCCGAGAGAGTGGTCAATGTGGAAACAGGGAAAGCTCAGCCGGTCCACGTGTACGAAGATGCTACGAGTGCTCCTGTCCACTACCAGATCACGACACGACCTCTTGCCGATGCCTCAGCAAGCCGGACAAACCAGCAAGACGATGTGTTTGGTGGTCCATTGGTTCGACCAATAAGTGGTCGTGACCAGACTGCACAGAACTCGTTGACAGCAGATCGTCTCGACGATACTCAAAAGAACAAAAGAGATTTGATAGCGCCTGTTGCTATTCCACAACAACCCCGTAGCCCAGTAGTCAGGGAGTCAAGCTCGCCAACACGCTATCCTGGCAGACCAAGTTCACGCAATCGATTCGTGTCAACCATTGTCGAAGATTCTGTTGCTGGTGAGCCCTCTTCCCCACCCCCGGCACCACGATCGGGGAGCGCTAGCAGTCTGCGAAGCTCCAGTTTCGTAACACAGCAGCATCCACCTCTTCCATCTGATCATAGGGATATTATTGCGAAAGCAAGCTCCGAGGCCAGTTCGCCGACAAGAAAGGATAGTCCAATCAAGCAGGGTGGTGTTATGGGCCCACCTGTCATGCCAGCCTCAGCCATGCGCCGGTCTAGAACACCTACCGGATCGGTACGAACGGCAGAAAAGGTCGCTGGCAAGCGTCCTATGAATGGCGGTCGGGTTTCGCGTCGATCATCTGTGTCGTCATTTGCTTCTGAGCTTGATGAGAGATTCAACATTCGCACACAGCAACAAGCTAGCGCTTTCGAGCCTGGACCAGGGACAGATCCACGCATGATACAGGCCATCACGCAAACGATGATTGGTGAGTATCTCTGGAAGTACACACGCAAGGCTGGAAGCAAAGAAATGTCTGCTACACGACATCGTCGGTATTTCTGGGTACATCCTTACACGAAGACGCTTTACTGGTCTGACCAGGATCCTCAGACTGCTGGAGGAAGCCAACTCAAGGCGAAGAGTGTGCAAATCGAAAGTGTTCGTGTCATTACTGACGACAATCCCATGCCACCTGGGCTGCATAGAAAGAGTCTAGAGGTGACAACGCCTGGAAGAAAGATTAAATTCACTGCTTCGACGGGACAACGGCACGAGACATGGTTCAATGCATTGAGCTATCTGCTACATCGCAATGAGGACCATGTCCGAACAGGCGAAGAGGCGGTGAACGGCAACGACATCACACAGGAAGATATTGCCGAGTTCAGCGTGAACGGTTATGGCGCCCGACTTGTGCCCAATGACAGCAGAATGAGTATGTCAAGCTACAATTCAAGGACGACGAATGGGACCCAACGACGACTCAGACAATCACTGCCAGCTGGAATGGCGGCAACATCTCCTACTCGTCAGATACCTCCAGGACAGTCGTTGAGCGGTCAGACGAACAACGACACCCTTCGTGCAAGCCATCTCGATGCTCCCACTGACAAAGATCGCACGCTTCGAGCAAGTAGTAGATCTAGGATATCGAAAATGATCGGCTCGGTTGCAGGCAGATCTCGACCTGACGCGTCAGGTGTAGCTGGGTCATCTTCGCAGCCACGCGAAAACAGTAGTATCTACAACGCCAGTATAGTCAGTGATGGTAGAAAGGCGGAGGAGGAAGAAGCCAGACGAAGGCGTGAGCATATAGAGCAGCCTGGAATCGAGGATGTTCGGGCTTGCTGTGATGGTAAGTGATCCAAATTGTGTCCGTTTTGGAGTGTTAAGCTAACATGTAACAGGTCAGCACCACGTCGGAGATCTGAACCACCACCAATCCACAACCGCATCCGTGCAACACCGCGTTAGTAACGCGATCAACCGAAGCATGAATCGGCGGACCTAGTATCAATCCGCTTCGACCATAAGCTTGCCCTCCAGCCAGAGCCTCTCTCATCTATACACAAAAGCCAGACACGGTTGTTCTTGTACCTCTCTTGATGGGACGGCGGAACGATTAGGTATTGGCTATGATTCTGATTCTGACAGTATATCGGCTTTCACTTCGAATTCAGCTCTCGACCCTGGATCTTAGAGCCTCTTTGACAACAACGAAAAAATCGTAAACCCTCGTTCTATCACACATTCCCTTGATACAAGGTTTCCTTTCGACTATCTATCCAGTCAGACTATTCAAGAAAGAGCATGAAACCATAATGCGCGTTCAGCAGTGAGGCAGGGAGGGGAGGAGAGGAGACATAGCAGGCAGGATGGCTGGCCTGATCAAAAAAGTAGCAATGATGCTACATGGTTCTTTCAGCATGGGCGTTACGTTACCCTACAGTACATCCGGTGGATCGCATCTATTGCTGCCGGTAATATGTAGTTATCTCTTTTATTGTTCTAAGTATGCGTGATATGAATGCGATGACGTGATGCCATAAAAAGAGAAGTAGATGGACTTAATTTGTCATCTACTTTCCTACCGTCAATACCTCGTTTCATGATAAGGACGTACTTTTGTGTTTTCTTTTGTTGTTCGTCGTTACATTGAACATTCGTAGGGAGCATATATTTGGATAACGAGTTGGACGAAAATGGCTAGACCACCCTACTCGAGTACTAAACCGATTAGAGATACCGTAAAAGCTTATCTCCCCAATCATTGGTGCTTGGTCATTCCCTCGTGTCAATCAGCTCTGCGGAGGTATCTATGACCGCAATCTCCTGCCAGATCAGGGCTAAGAATCAGCAATTTCGACCTTGGATCACTTTGCGCTCCCCCAACGTATTGTACCCATCCTCGGGAAGAGCTGCTTGAAAAGGAAAATGCTCAAGCGATATCTCTCGCCAAGTGGTTCTTCGCTTTTGCTTCTTCGTTTCTCAGCTTGTGACTTTGTTCACGTTGTTGTCGTGCTATACTTTTTGCTTACTTGCCTTTCTTGTCGCGAAATCCAACACCATACCATCAGAACGCGTGCGCGCAAGGACAACAACGTAATCTTTTCGCTGATCGCGTTGTCGGCGCGTTGGAAATCACATCACCACACTTCTCTCCTCGACCACGCGAAAACAAGACCTCAACAATGAAGCGCCCATCAATCGCCAGCGCAGGCTCAGCCCGCCGCTCCTCCGCCAACGACACAAACGCAGACGCCGCCCTCGCCAAAATGGGCTACAAAGCCGAACTCCCGCGCTCACTCTCCATGCTCAGCGTCCTCGGCCTCTCCTTCGCCATCATGGCCGTCCCCTACGGCCTCTCAACAACCTTTTACATCACCCTTGTCAACGGCCAGAGCGTAACGATCATCTGGGGATGGGTGTTACTTAGTTTACTCTCGACCGCGATCGCTGCGTCTCTGGCGGAGATTTGCTCGGTTTATCCGACGGCGGGCGGTGTGTATTACTGGGCGGCGCTGCTGAGTACGCCTCGGTGGGCGCCGATTGCAAGTTGGGTGACGGGGTGGTTGACGCTGGTGGGGAACTGGACTGTGACGCTGAGTATTAATTTTGGGGGTGCGCAGTTGATTTTGTCGGCGATTAGTTTGTGGAACGAGGAGTTTGTGGCGAATGCGTGGCAGACCGTGTTGATGTTTTGGTGTGTTACGCTTGTGTGTTTTTTGGTCAATGTGTTTGGGGCCAAGTATTTGGATTTTATTAATAAGCTTTGTATTTATTGGACGGGGGCGAGTATTTTTATACTGCTTATTACGCTGCTTACTATGGCGAGGGCGGGGAGGAGAAGTGGTGAGTTTGTCTTTGCGAATTATGATGCTAGCGCGAGTGGTTGGCCTACGGGATGGAGCTTCTTTGTTGGATTGTTGCAGCCGGCGTATGTGCTGACGGGCTATGGCATGGTGGCTGCGATGTGTGAAGAGGTTCAGACGCCTGAAAGAGAAGTCCCAAAAGCGATCGTGCTCAGTGTGGTCGCGGCTGGCATTACTGGTCTAATCTACCTGATTCCAGTCCTCTTCACCCTGCCGGACATCGAAACATTATTGAGCGTGGCCAGCGGACAGCCAATCGGTTTACTCTTCAAGACCGTCACAGGAAGCGCAGCTGGCGGCTTCGGACTTTTGTTCTTGATCCTAGGAATCTGGTTGTTCGCTGGAATCGGTGCCTTAACAGCTGCAAGCCGATGCACATACGCCTTCGCCCGAGATGGTGCCATCCCTTTCTCACAGCTATGGAGCCGAATTGACAAGAGATTCGACGTACCCCTCTGGGGTCTAGTCTTATCCTCGGTGGTCGATGCCCTCCTCGCACTCATCTATTTTGGCTCAACGGCAGCATTCAACAGTTTCACAGGTGTAGCGACCATCTGCTTATCTACTTCCTACGGCTTGCCTATCCTTGTCTCAGTCATGCGAGGGCGTAAACACGTCGAGAACGCGTCTTTCTCCCTTGGAAAATTTGGCTTCATTATCAACATCACAACACTTGTGTGGATCGCTTTGGCTATCTTCCTGTTCTGCATGCCAGTCTCGGTTGCTGGACTGACTCCAACGAACATGAATTATGCGAGCGTGGTGTTTGCGGCTTTTGCTTCGATAAGTGTTGCTTGGTATTTCATCTGGGGACGCAAGAACTTTTCTGGACCAGCGGTGCTCAAGACTTTAATGACAGATGGTGATGTCGGAGTGATAAAGGGCGAGGCGTTGAACGATGCGATCGCGAGGCAGGAGGCAGCAATGGCAGGAGGACCCGATGAGGAGAAGAAATCAGCGCAAGTCACTGGTGCTTGAATGGTTTACGTGCTTGAAAGTGTGTTGTACAGAAGCTCAAGTAGAAGCAATTATTGAAGCTTGGCAGCTTGATTCCTTGTGGCACTTACAGGATTAACTGATCATTACTATCACTCTCACCATGGACATCTAGAAAGCAGTCCTGCCGGTCTTGACCGTCTGGAGTACGCCCAGCTCAGCCAGCCTGCTGATCAAATTGAAAAGCACAAAGTCGCAACCTCTTTTTGCAACCAGACTTATGGTAACAGGCACCATTTCTTGGTATCGTGTGATATTGCTGAAGTACGATACTTGTCCAATCGGCAGTGTGTAGTCGGCACAGCCTGCGAAGGAGCAGAAATTGACACCACTAGTTAGCACGCCTGGAGGTGTATAATTCAATCTTGCCGTTACTGCTGGATTGCCCAAGAGTGTTTGCTCGCGGTAGCTAGGAAGGCCACCAGTCCCGATGTCATAGATCCATAGACTGGAATCACTGCACGAACCCATGGTGGGATTGCCATTGCCAAGAAAGTCATGATTCATCCACTCACTGAAGTTACGCTTGATGGCAAGTGCATTGTCGTATTGTGCCTGGGTGAAGTTTGCAGGGGTGCGAGCAACCCAGCCTGGTCGGCGTGCTGGATCTATAGGTGGAAAGCGTCCATCGTACCGCTCCGCCCATGCAGTGAGTAGAGGCTCGGCAACCTCCACCCACTGAGTTCGGGTGTTCAGTAGAGTGGAGGCGTTGTTGCGATAGGTGGTGTTGTGTACGGCTCGAATAGGACTGTCCATCAACGTCCTAGTCAGATTCGTGGTCACTGTATCAATGCCCATTGCAGTGCTGAGATTGGCATAGAATTGCTGTACGAGCTGGTTAGCCGCAGGATTGCGGACAGGCAAGTAGTCAGGATCGTAGTAGATGGTGCTTGGAAAATCGTTGGAGTCCGGAACCACTAGTGGCTCAAGGCCATTAATGCTAGAATCCTGATGCAGATCTGGTATATACCAGTTTCGCCCAAATTGTGCCCAAGTGGAAGGGTCGCGACCGAAAACACCAGCAGTATCCTGTGCAGCGCCAAGTGGATTGACACCTTGAAGAGAGATCATGCCCTGACTGGGCCGATTACCATATGTCCCGGAGACGGCCGCTGGTCTGCGTACAGAAGAGCCAGTATCGGAGCCAATAGCGTAATCAAGCCAGTCATATGCAGCGATCGAGCAGCCACCACCCGAAGAAGAGGCCGAGCATGTAAGCCACTCGTCTCCTCGTGGGTTGAATGGATATTGTACATCGTACCAATCCCATGGATCTGCGCCAGACGCAAATTGAGCTGTCTTTTGCTTGCCCACGACAATACCTCCTAGGTCAATGAGGCGTTGTATAGAAGGCGCAGTCGTGCTTGCGATAGGAGTAATCTCAGCCCAGGCTCTGCTGCCTGCTGATGTTTGCAGGCCTGCTACGTCGTAGAGGTCCTTGACACCGATTCGAAGTCCTGCTAGTGGTCGGGTGTCGGATAAGCTGTATATTCTGGAAGGTACTGGTATGAGAGGGTCCTGAAACTCGGCTAGAACGTCGGGGAAAGCCTGATATACACCAAATTCTGGCGCAGCATATGTGCCATACAGAAAGTCACGGTACCGGTCCTGGTAGAGTCGATTGACCAGAGATAAGCTGGCTGTACCTGAGCTATCAAGGGCCGCAAGGTATGGTCCAGGTTCAATTGCAACGCCGGACAAGATTCCTACTAGGCTGGTATTGAAGCTGCTCAGGAATGACGATGGGCCCCAGTCCAGTCCAGCCGTGCTTTCGCAGTCTGAAGCAAGCACAATGCCAGACAGGAAGTGCTCATTGAAAACGTCATCTATCGTGAGGTAGCTGTTGACAGTACTGCTCAGGCTGTCCGAGTCAATCGAGCAGCCGCTGGTCTTCAACACTGTGACAGGTGCATAGCCAGGCTCGCCAACAAGACCTGAGATGGTTGCCACTGGGCTTGTCGTTTCAGCCAAGTACGAAATTTCACCAAGCTGAAAGACGAGATCACCATTACGGATGGAGGCCAAGGTTTGAACACTGTTTGATCGTTTGAACGGTGCCGCAAGTACTGACGGCAATCCTGCAAGGACAGCCACCGAAAGCTGCTTCTTCATCGTGCTTGTGATCTAGGCAATCCACAGTTGCAGCCACACGCATCTGAATAGCTTTTATACTCTCACCTCTTCAGTATCATCGTGTATTCCACAGCTCTTATCAGCAGTCCTAGCTATCCGAACTGTCCACTTCTCTTACGGTGCATTGCCTAGCTGCAGCAATACCAAGCCCAACGTCCATGATATCCAGGTTCACCATACTCGGCAACGTCTGCTAGAAGTAACACGAAAAGCTTGTTTGTTAAGCACGAACCAAGAGAGGAAGGAAGTAAGGAACGACGAATGAGAAGAAGAGATAAGGTCAAGCTTGGCGAAGGAGAAGGGCGTCGCAACACTGTACCTGGATCTTATATCAACATATTGACACGTGAATAGTGGGTTAAAGCTATCTGGCCATGCTCGATCACGGTGTATCTTTTCTGCGAGCAGAGATGTATTCGCGAAAAGCATGGACGGTGAGCAGTCTTTGGAGCCCCATGAGACGCGTCGATAGCCACCAGAAATCCCAAAGGATTAAAAGAGCGTACCAGGAGTAATATGCAAAACTTGAACGACAGGTTATGGCAAGAAGCAAACAATCGCGCGCACATTGACACAAATCCAGATCTCACAGTGTAGCGAGCACAGCAATTGCCAGTTCCAAAAATGAAGTCGATTGGAAGGTGGATTGGAAGGTGGGGCTATTGCTGGATGACGATCACGTGCGCAATCAGCTTCGAACCAGAAGCGTGTTGTTCAAGATAGCAGGAAGAGGAACACCACACATTGCTTTGCTCAATTGCATACACATTATGCATATTAATATAACACCATGGCCACCGATGTTTGCTAGTATGCTAGAAAGTAAAAGCTGAAAGGTAGAACAGGTGGCCTTCTCTGACACCAAATTGACCCTCAAAAGCCAAGGTCAATATCACTCCAAATAGGAGGAGTATAAGGATCTCAATCCAAGCGAATAATATCTCAACACAGCTCCTCGACTAAGCAAGAGCTGTTCTCCTTAGAGGGCTGGATGCTCCAACCTTCCTTCTTAGTCTCCACGTTCCCAAATGATTAGGATAAATATTACCCGCGCCCTACTCAGGTATCTCTACTGGCCTTTCTTTGCTGCCTTCCTCTGCCTCATTGTCTCTAAGTCGTCTGTCGGCGTCGTCATCCGGCGTCGGACTGACAACTATGCTAGGCGTTGGCAGGCCTGCACTTCCTGGCTCTGGACTCAAAGAACCATCGCTTCGGCTGATCCTCTTCGTATTGATGGGACCATCGAGGCCGTTCATTTTCGAGGCAAGTGAGCCATGAGTGTCGTCGTCGAAATCCTGATCGGGTGACATTGCTCGTATATCTCCAGCATCTGAACTACCCTTAGTCTGTTGTGTGCGTCGACGGGCTCTGCGTGCCTGTCTCTCTTCCGCTCCTGCGCGGCGCCGACCTACACTGATTTCATCACCTGTATCATCTGGTGCTCTTGAACGAAGACCTGCCAGCAAGCTTGCAGCTCGGTCAGCAACGTCATCTCCTTCGCTCGTGGCACCCTTGTTGATATTTGGTGTATCGTCACCAGGTGTGTCGACATCCACTTCGGCGATGGGTGTGATACCTCTGCTCTCCTCAAGTCCATCCCTGACGCGCAACTCAGGCATCTGCTGGCCACTAGCAACGCGTTCATTATGCCGGTCCTTGAGTCGTGCTCGCCGTCTTCTGTCTCTTTGATCTTTAGGTGCGCCAGCAGCCTTCAGTTTCTCGAGCAAGCTGTCCATCGCTCCGGATTGAGTAGCCATTGGAGAGCTCGTGCCATCGGCAGAAGCCGCTCTCTCAGCCGCATTATTAACCGCAGCTCGCTTCCTTGCCATGCTCGCTTCCATTTTGCGCCTGTTCTCTTCGTATGCAATATTCTTTTCTCGAGATTTCTTCCATTCTGTAACAAAGCCGGCGAGTTTGGCGAAGTAGTCGCGACGAGCGTTCTCGTCAGTATTGTCTTCGCCAAAGTATAACATAATGTCATCAAAGACACGTGACGTCTCCTCCAAGTACATGGTGAGCTGTTCTGCTTTTCTTCGCGCATCTTTCATGCATCTTTGCACAACCTGGGCCACTCGGTCCTGAGGATGGAACTTCTTTGGATCGCTCAGGTTGCCCATGTCGAGAGACTGCTGAACATTTCTGATATTGTCGATGTATTTTTTCGCATCTTGTCGCAGCATGTCAACATTCAGCTTAGCAGCAGGCACAACCCCAGCGATGTCGTCGACAAACCGTTCCCATTCCGAATATTGGTTTCGTACAATTCTTTCGATAAGGTCCGCAAACGTAGTCTCGTTTTTGTCGTCCTTGATCATACCAAGTCGGGCCAGTGATCCCAGCTTGAAGCCAGCTGCTTGCTTATTGGCATCATTCATATAGTTACCAATATCTAGGATCAATGACAGCACACTCATCAATGAAGTAGAATCACGAAGCGACTCTGACACATCTACCACTTCTTTCAGCTTTTTCGAAATCTCATCATACTCTGTCTCGTAGGTCTTGGTGAGCGCCAAGGCTCGCATCCTGGCCTTCCAGTAATGGTGCAGCTCGTAAGCTGTTTGCAGGTATATCTGGTCTTCTCGAGTGAGCTCATTCAGATCTTGTTCTCTCTGCGTTGTCGCCGCATCCGGTCCAGTCCAGTCCTTGCTGTATGGGGCCATCAGCTTAGCGATGTTCTCCGGAATATTTGCGAGATCTTCTCTTTGTAGGAAGTCCATGACCACAGCACTTTCTAGGATCTCTCTGTCGCAATGGATGATCTTCTTAACGAGCTCATCAGCACTATCCTGCTTGAATTTGGCGAGCGCAACGTGGAAGTTCTTTCGCATGTCGCTTGAAATGATGCTTTTCTTGTCTTCCCTAGCTTCTTTTCCTTTGCCGAGAATCTTGATCTCCTTGGCTGAGAACAGCTTCTCGACTTCCGCCAGGACACCTTTCCTTTCCAGTTCTTGGTATTTTTCTTCTTTTGCAGATGTGTCCACTGCCTGATTAGACCATACAGTAACCTCAGGTGTATCGACTTTGTCCCAGTGGAAAGCCTTGAGCTTCTTCTTCGGTCTGAGATACGGGCTACTAATTTGTGGCAGGCCGGGAGAAATAGGTCGCGCTAAGAAGTGACCATGTTGAGTACCAGGAAGTGGTGGCGCACCAGGTGGCGGTGGAGGCGGTGGAAAAGCTCCAAATCCAGAAGATCCCAGACCGGGAGTCCCAGGAGGAGGAGGCGGGGGCGGTGGTGGTGGTGGTGGGCCAGCCGAAGGAAAACCAGGAAGTGGTGGTGTGCTGGATGTACTAGAAAACCCTGGCGGTGGGGGTGGTGGGGGAGGAGGTCCAGCTTCAAAGCCAGGCAAAAGAGGTGCTCCAACTCCTAATGGCATGGGCGGAGGTGGTGGAGGTGGCGGCCCAGTGAACTGCAGTTTCGGGATGTCCTGCATTGTGGTGTCCTGAGGGGTCTTTGGCGAATCTGCCTCGAGGCTTGGATGTGAGGTACCAGTAGTGATGCCATCGCCTTCTGTGCCATCTTCGCTTGTGCCATCTGTAGGAGTCTCCTTACGGAATTTGTTCTGAAGCTCTGACAACATTCCGGCTCGCTCATCACGCTGCTGAGAGGTGACCTTTGGTCGAATGAGCTCAATGACTCTTGGCTTCTCGATGATGGCCTCATCCTGATCGTCTTCGTCCTCAGTATCTTCTTCAGGTACAGATAGACCATCGGCACGTGTTCTCCTCGGTCTGTGTACAGAGTTGCGTTTCGCATTACTTCTGTGAACGCTTCCGATGACACTATGTGTGAGATGTTCCCGTGTCTTCTCCTGGAAATCAGCATCCATACCGTCGTCCATCTCTTCACGTAGCTGTCTCAGACGTTCGGATGGTCCATGATCTCCCCAAACCCTACCTTCTAGCTTAAATTGAGTCTTTGTTCTCTCGAGCTGCTTCTCAAGTCGCTCCATAAGGCGCTCGCGATCGAGGATGCCTTGAACCTTGACGGGTTCTTCACCTTGTCTTGGCACCTTGTTAGCGTTCGAGGCTGCAATGTCCTGAGCGTCTCTGAGCATCAGATAGAGCTCACGTGTTTCAAGTTCATTCCTTTGCAACTCTTGACCTCTCAGACGCTGCACTTCGGCGAGTTCAGCTTTCAACTTGTCAGCTTGGCGCGACTGCATGTCAATGACTTCTTGCTGCTCCTCGATTTGTTTCTGCAATTTCTGAACTAGACCGTCAGCACCCAGTTCGATTTGAGCTCTCATCTCATCTCGCTCTGCCATTGCCGCATCAGCAATCTGGCGAGCTTCTGTGGCTTCATCCACAGCAAGCCTGGCTTCAGCATCTGTGTGTAACTTGTCCAACAGACTTTGAACTGTGAAATTGAGACTCTGCTTCAGGTCCATGTCCGGAAGCCTCCTGTCCATGGCCACATAGCTGAGCATGGAGTCAACAAGCTGGAACATCCTGAGCCGGTCCTCGTAGGGATTTTCGCGCATCAACAGCATATGCTGCATGGCCGACACAAAATGGTCTTGAGTCCTCGTCCCCTCGATCTTGCTCATGATTGCATCCGCAATCTCCTTGGGATCAGTCAAGTCCTTGTACTCAGGCTCAATACCGTCGACCTGGCTTTGACCTTCTCGTTGCAGCATATCCTCATAATCAACAATTTCGTTCTCCCGGAACTGCTCAATTTGCCTGTCGATCAGCTCATATTGAAAAGCCTCCATCTTGGTCATGATCCGCTTGATGCCAGTCGAATGCAACTGGGCTCGAAGATGGCATCGTAAATGCAGGTCGTGCTCGGGCGCGCCGACCATAGCATTGACCAAGATCAAGGTAGCCAGAGAGTATTCCATTAGCAGATTTTCCATGCCAATACCACCGCTCCTAACTTCATCGCTGGCACCAACAAGACTACCCATCTTACCACGGCCATCGACGGTGACTTCGCAGACTCGCATCCATGCATCAAAGCGACCATTCTCGCTCATCATGCTCTTCACATAGTCCATTGCCTGTAAAACTTTGGTATGACCCCTTGGCTGATCACGGTGACACAGGAAGCTCAAGGTTTCACTGACAAGCTTCCTTGTGGAAAGCCGTGGGGAGTTCAAGCACGTTACCAATGCTATGGGAACCGATGAATGTGCGAGCGCATCGTCCTCGCCATATTTGTTGTTCATGAGAACCTTGATGCACTTCACTATATCGTACTCCTTTTCGATATCTTTCTCTGTCGATGCGGCCGTGTGCGCAGGAGCGGGACCAGCTTGCTGCTTTCTGTTGATTTTCATTAATACGTTCGTCAAGGCAACCTGACCCTGAGCTTCGAGGAACGTGCGAACCCATGATATCGGTTGGGTTCGTAAGCTCACCGCCAAACTCTGGAGCTGTTTAGGTGTAATAGTATCGTCGACGATTTTCTTCACATACCACTCCGGGCTGAACTCTTCATCAGGGCGTGCTAAGGGACTTTCGGCTTGCCTGTTTTGTTGGCGTCTTTTCTGTTCACCTTGCCATTCGGTTAGCTTGTCCTGATGTACCAAGGTCCACTTCTTTGCAGGAGCATACGCGAGCATCTGGCGCTTGGCCGCGTCAGGTAAGTTCTGCCATCCTCTCTTATGCATGAGCTCCGTAAACATTCTCTCCACTTCCTTGTCATCTTTAGGTCGTGGAAGATTGAAGCCAGCTGGGGCAAAGGATGTGGTTGAACTGAAAGGTGAGGCTTGCTGGGCAGGCCACCCAGCGTGACTTGCAATCTTTCCTAAGCGAGAAGTGGTCGGTGTTAAAGATGAGAGGGACTCTCTGGCTATAGAAGGCACTGCTGTACGTGAGGAAGTATCTGAGGAGAGTAGAGAATTGGCGGTCTGTGAAGAGGCTGTAGATCGTATGCTCATTTGATCGAACGACTTGCGTGGGCCGTTCGATGAGTCCGTTGTAGAAAAGGAATCGTAATTACTATGGTTTGTGTTGCTGCTCCCTGGCCTCTGAGTGCCCCATTGTTGTAATTTTGTGCCCCTATCACCTGGCTGACTCGTGGCCATGGTGAAATTACTCGCGTGGGGAGGAGGTCGTGGAGGCGCAACGGCTGAACCAGTATTTGGTACAGTAACAGGCGTAAATGCAGGATATTGGTGAAAATCAGTACCTCTTGATAACTGATGTGGCTGCGGTTCTCTCCGCGTATCTTCTTTAGTGATATATTCGTTCGAAGGCTGTCTCGCGTCGGCGACTGTGTCGTAGGGAATCGAAGTCATTACCCCAGCATTCATATTCAGACCAACAGTACTCTGTGTACCATCTCCGTTCATGGATGCTACCGAGTCGTTGCGACTATGTCTTGAGTTCCACGAACCATTCGCTCCCGTTTCCTGATCGCCCGGTTCGTAGCGACTGCTTGTGTCTGCATCTTTGCGTCCACCTTTGACTCGACTGAATAGGGATCTGGTACCTGACGACTGTCGACTGTTCTTGTCACCACCGCTAGATAATGGCATGGTCGAGCATCAACTGTAACCCAACCATGTAACTTGATCGATAAACTCCTTCCCAACTCGAGAATGCTGGTTGTGAGGATCCACCTCTGCTAACAATAAGTGTTTAGTACCATGCAATGTATTCTGTTGTGCAACATCCAGGACTAGTGCTCAGTCTGCTGTGGTGAACGTCGTGTACACAGATTCTAATGAGTGGCGCAGATATTGCGAAGGACAAGTAAGGGCGTATGGCCACGGTAATCAGACGATTCACGACCTCGTTGTCGCTGTTCTGTGACTCCTCCTCTTTGCGGTTGCTAGAGATCTACAGGGCCGATTGAGTTGCAAGTCAGATAACGAACGGCCTGAGAGACTGCTGGATCGTCAATTGGCAAGTGCGACCAGAAAGAAATGGTATGTTGATGTCGATTGGGTTGGCCATGGAGTGATGAACAGCGCAGGCGGGTACGCGCAGTCACTGGAGAGGAGCCAGAGGAGTCCGCTGTTCAAGGGCTCGAACTTTCTTTGAGCGACGGAGAGAGATAACTAGGCTGCGCTGAGTTTAGGCCTCATTTTTAGTGCCAGGGGCTGCCAACAGCGTCTGAATCGGTCATTATGGTTGGTCAGCCGCCTAGTCGTTCCCTTCGCTTGTTCTGCGCTTTACCATAAACAAAGAGTTCAATATGCCAGTGCAACAACAACTTGCACTCTATCTCAAGAACTCCTACTATCTGATTTAGACATCTGCACGGCGAGTGTGAGGACTTTCATACGTGCTACGATAGAGCAACATACCATTTCATGTGAATCGGTTGGCCATCTTCATTATACTAACAAAAAAATTAGGAATTTTGCCAGAGTGGTGGTGTTGCTCCGTCATATTTATTCGAAAACACCCTGATTAAGGCGACTATGTGCTCAAGTTTTCACATTCGACTAGTATGCAGCAGCTTTAATCAAATCAGCCGCCTTCTCGCCAATACCATACGCGGGCATCTGTGTATGACCGCCGTGCAATGTTGGCATTACAGAACAATCCGCGATTCTCAGTCCCTTCACACCACGTACCCTCAAGTCAGCATCGAGCACTGCCATTGGATCATTGTCCTTGCCCATCTTGCACGTCCCAGCTGCATGATAGCACGTGGTCGCTTCGTTTTTGACATGTGGGATCCAGTCCTCCCTCTTCGTGAAAGCATGGTGCGTCAAATCCGCCGGCCAGGATCCTTTCACAATGTCCTTTGTTCCTGATCCTTGCATCACGATCTCATTCCCGAAACGGACACCCTCACTCATGACCAGCAAATCTAGCGGATCATGCAGGTAATTGCAGTCGACGATGGGATTCTCAAAAGGATCTGTAGACTTCACGGTGACAGTGCCCTTGGATCGAGGTGAAAATAGTTCTGTGATCATGGCAAACGCGCTTTTCTTGTTGATCGGAAATTTGTCGTACTGCTTCGGTCCACCGTACAATTCCGTCGTGAAGAACTCGATATGCGGTTGACTCTCGGTCAAGTCCATGGGATCTCTACCAGCTGCAGCTTTCTTCTGAGCCTCTTGCCACAATGGCTCGTCCTTCAGTCTGTCGTCGAGTCGAGCAAACGCAAAGGCACCGAAAGGAAAGGTTGAAAGCACTCCCGTCTTCTTCTCCTTGTACAGCATGTAGCTTTCCATAGCTGCATTATCGTGGTAAACAAGATGGTCATTTGTCAAACCGTCTTTGGTCACTTCGTAAAAAGTGAAGACAATAATATGGTCCAGAAGATTCTTACCTACGCCAGGAGAATCTACCAGGCACTCAACTCCTAGTTTTTGCAACTCCTCTTTTGGACCGATACCTGATCGCAGCAATATTGGAGGAGAACAGTACGCGCCACTGGAGATGATGATTTCATTTCTGGCTTTGACAGCGAATTTGTTACCAGACTTGTCAATCAGATCAACACTAACAGCTCGCTTGCTTTCGTCGAAATTGACCTTGTCGACCAGTGTATCAACGACAATCTCAATATTAGCTCGGTGATAGTCATCGGTTACAAAATCGGCTCCTGTTGACCTTAGACCCTTGTGGACTGTTCGCGGGGCATGACCACATCCGTGTGGACGAGAACCAGTAGTGAACATATCGTGATCTAGTGGTAAACCTTGACTCTCCATCGACTTCAACAATAACTCTGAGATGGGAGCCAAGTCATGAGGCTCAATATGCAAGGGACCATCATAACCATGAGCTTTTGCGTCTGCTTGAAACCAGTCCTTGGTGTGAAAGTTCTCAGACTACGTAATGTCAGGTACGAGGTCTTCTGTCGGGATCGAAACACTAACCTTTCGCATGTATGCAAACATTTCCTTCCCGCTCCAACCGTCAAGACCCCAGTCATCGAAATCGGCTTCCGTGCCTCGAATGCAGAGAGTGCCATTGACACCAGAGCTGCCGCCAAGGAACTTGCCACGACTCAACTTGACCTGGCGGCCATCGACACCCGGCATGGGAGGTGTTACCAAATTCCAGTCGGTCTCGGAGTCGAAGTTCTTGCTCCAGCCACCAGTCATCTTGATGTTCTCATTGTCCTTGCAATCGGGCCCTGCTTCAACGAGCAGGATCTTAGTATTGGCATTCTCAGCAAGTCGAGCAGCCACCACACATCCACTAGTGCCTCCACCACTGGTAGGTATCAGCTTAAATTCTGCTTGGAATCTGACCAAGCATACCAGATTATGTAGTCGTATTCATCTCGTGCCACACCAGCCGCCTGGAGAGAGCCCATATTGGTAGCTGAAGTGCAAATCACAAATGCACAATGAAGAACAAGATACAGTTTGTGTGAACCAGGCGTTCGAGAACAGGACTCACTTGAGCACAATAAGGAGGGATGGAAGTGTTCCGTTACTGCTTCTACCTTCCTGCCGGTGCTCCAGGTCTCCAGTACGGTTGCTGAGTGAGGTGGAGCTGCGAATTGCGGGTGAACGAAGGCTAAATATTGGGGTGCATCCCCCACGATCAACCACTTGAAAATGCTCACAAACTCGTTCGGTCGGCCAGATCACAACCTTGGTTGCAACCATTCACAACAGGCGGAACCTTTCCGTCGACTCTTGTCTTGAAATGGTATGCAATCTCAAACACACGTGCTCGCTCAACTTGCGTCGAAGTCTGAGGAGTAAATACACCAGTAAATATTGTGGACACAACAGTACTGTGCAATGAAGTGACACATCATTCATCCATACCATAACTGCATTTTTGCAAGTTTTGCTTGGTTGTCTTCTCTATATCTATGCGAGCATGCCTCAAGTGCTTGCTTTTGGGAGAACGTTGGCGCCAATACCGTCCTCTCTGCTCAGTGCCCACATGAACACGAGCTGAAAGATGTAGGCATATGTAAAGAGGAAGTAAGTGCGCATGTTTTTCTGAGAACGAGCCACGGTATAATTCGCACCACCTCTTAACGAAGGATCATTCGATGAATCGGGTAAAAGGACGTACTTGAGAGACCGCAGCTGTACAGTGTTAGTGGACTTATCGTGAGGGAAACTTTTGGACAGCTTACCAAGAAGAAAGAATTGGCCATCCAGGTGTACAGAAACACAGACCATCCGACCCAGTTGTTCGTTCCTCTTCCAGCTGTCACGATCTCAGATACAAACAAAGTCACGATAACCCCGACAAATTTGTAGCCAGCATATGCAGCAAGGTCGAGTAGTTGGGACTCATTCGTGATGTTGAGCAGGTAGATAGCTACCCGCAGCACAATAATCTCGACCACAATGACCACGAGACAAGTGGTGGATATACTTCCTAGCAACTCAGGTGAAAAGGTCCCTCGGATACCAGCTAAAACAGTAGACAAGAGAATGTATGTTATCAAGGACATGATAGGAATATACATGTCTGGAGAATTGATGTCATCTCGTGGTGGAAGGTACATGTTCGAGACTTGCTGAGAGCCACCTTCAGCTGCAGAACCGCGTGCATGTTGCCGTGTCCAGGGTCTGTGTCTCCAGGGAAGCAGGACGAGCATCAGTTTACGGACAACGTATGAGTTAGAGACATTAAAATAGTGCTTGAGGGCGGAAACGGAGACATATCGTTGCACCTAGCCCACGGTCAGCTTCGGCCATACTTCCGGTACGCACTCTATCCCTACATTCTGCTCAATATATTGCGATCCTTGCATCACTGCACTCTTGCCGAATTGTGAAGCCATTTGTGCTGTAGGATCATTCATGTATCCGCTGAAGAAGTTGGCACCGTAAGCAGGATCTGCCCCAGGTTGCTGAAGTGGAGGAGATCCATATGGATTGCCATAGCTGTTAATCTGTGGCTGTGTCTGAGGTTGGTTTGGCAATGGGGGTGACCTTAAGTGAGGTACCTGGGATATGTGTTGAGGTCGAGGGTGAAACAGCTCGGGGCTCTTTGCGGTTGGCTGAGGAAAGGTTTGACGCTGCATGTTGCCTTTCAAGTCTATTTTACGGGCAGACCTGAACAGGTGACATGCGAGAATGGAAGTCTATGTCGGATTGCAAACACAGAGCGTCTTGACATGAAGAGCCCATATCTGGCATAAACACAAAAAGCCACGTTTAGAGCCTGCGCCAGCCGTTCGGCAATCATGCCAAGCTTGCCCTTACCAACGGCTCAGGCACAAACGCCAGGCAAGATACTCACTCTAGCGCCTGAGAGCAGCATGACGCAGTACTCCGAAAAGTGACCATGTGCCGCACTCGGAGTATAGACAATTGTCCCGCTCACGAGCGCTTCTACAGTCGTGTCCTCCTCGTAGTTACAGTATTTGACCCGATTCCTCAGATACCAGCGACTATCCCCCTCCGACTACTCAAAGCAGAACTCCTTTCCCAAAAAAGTGTTGGCTAAGATGCTCGAAGCATTCGAAATATTCTCGACCTCAGGCGTCGTCCTATGGTCTCGAGGAGGGACCAGCAGCGCGGCTGTGAATTCGCTAATCAACGATGTCTTCATCGAGGAGAAGACAAGAGCAAGCAACTCCTACCAATTCGAGAAATACACGCTGCGATGGACTCTGGTGAAAGACCTCGGCCTGATCTTTGTTGCCGTCTACCAATCGTTACTCCATCTTTCGTGGGTTGACCAATTTCTGGAGGATGTCAAGGCCGTCTTCGTGCGCCGCTACAAGGATCAGATCAAGTCACGAACCACGACCACCAAGTACGATTTTGACCACTACTACGATGAGCTTCTCCGTCGCCAGGATCAGCTTACAGGCGGCGAGGCCACACGTAATCCTCCTCAAGCCACTGTCCAGGCTAAGAAAGAGAGTCCAGAAGCAAGAGACGACGGAGGGCCACCCCCACCACAACCCCCTCACTTACTGCGGATGCAGTCGCAGACTGCTTCCACAAATGGTGACTCTCTAGAACCTACGCCGTTACAGTCTCCCGATGTCTCAAGACCTACTACGCCTCTGCCTGGCGTTGCTCCTCACCTACTATCTGATGCCCGTCCCGGGAGCAGAGGCTCACGCCGTGCTCGGAAAGCTGCTGGTAATGTGACAAGTGGTGTCTCGAGTTACGCTTCCTCTGGCGATGAGTCGCGTCGACCGAAAACGCCGAAGGGAAGTGCAAAGAAAGGAAGAGTTTGGGATGTGGATGGCCTTGCGGGCGAAGATGACGGAACTGTACTTGACTACTCAGCTACAAAAGACGGAGCTGCCTCGGTCGACACTTCGGATGCTGGACAGGATTCCATCGCCCAGGAATCTTGGGGAACTAAGAACAAGCAGGGCCAGTTTGTGCTCAAAGACCTTGACGACGAGCTTGACAGCATTTTGAAGGATTCGGGCTCGAAACAGCAGAAAAGTGAGACACAAGCTGCTACTGGTGCTTTTGGCATGATTTCTGGCTATTTTAGGAACGTTATTGGCGGAAAGACGTTGACCGAAGAAGATTTGGACAAACCGCTGAAGGCTATGGAAGAACATCTGATCAAGAAGAATGTAGCACGAGAAGCTGCAATCCGACTTTGTGAAGGAGTGAAAGTCGAGATGTTGGGCAAGAAGACTACTGCATTTGAGAGCACAGATAAAGCACTCCAGCCGGCTCTAGAGAACTCGCTTAGGAAACTTCTGACACCCAAGACGTCTCTTGATCTACTACAAGAGATCGAATCTGTCGTCAATCCATCCAAAGCTGGTCGAGAAGGACGCCCTTACGTGATTAGTGTTGTTGGCGTGAATGGTGTTGGAAAATCCACCAATTTGTCAAAGATCTGCTATTTCTTGCTACAGAATAATTACCGGGTTCTGGTCGTCGCGGGTGATACCTTCAGGTCCGGTGCGGTCGAACAGCTTGGTGTCCACGTTCGCAATCTAAAAGAGTTGAGTGCACGAGAAAACGTTGGGCGTGTCGACCTATACGAGAAAGGATATGGTAAGGACGCTGCCAATGTCGCACGAGATGCCGTCGCATTCGCTACCGCCAACGAGTTCAACGTCGTCCTCATCGATACTGCTGGTCGAGCTCACAACAACGCCCAACTCATGTCCGCACTTGAGAAATTCGGAGACTTTGCCAAGCCAGACAAGATCCTTCAAGTCGCTGAAGCACTTGTCGGAAACGACTCGGTCAATCAGGCGCGCAATTTCAACAAAGCATTTGGAAGGAATAGGTCGCTGGACGGCTTTATTATCAGCAAATGCGATACTGTGGGTGATCAGATTGGTACGATTGTGAGCATGGTTGCCTCGACGGGCATTCCGGTCGTTTTCCTGGGCGTTGGCCAGCATTATGGCGATCTTAGACAGCTCTCCATACCGTGGGCTGTGAAGTTACTGATGAACTAGTTACGGCAGCACGTACCTGTCAAGAAACAGCCGCAATGCTTGGTATGAAGGGTAGTAGGTCAATCTCATGAGTATGAGGCTGGCTACGGGTGATCAGTGCACTCTCAAATTGGGTCTATGCTTCTGCACATTGCGTTCCCACCCCAACTGATTCGTGCATTCCGCCCCAGCCACCGACCCAAGAATCGTTGTATATAACAGATTGATGACGTGCATCGTGATGAGTATTCGACCAGAGGCTCCCAAACTCTCACGGCTCCAGCATCATGAAGAACGCAGGTTACCTCGCGCTCAGCGCCATCTTCAGCTCGGCCCTCGCCGTACCCATCACCAACGGCACTGTTCGCTTCAATGTCGCCAAGTTGGATGGCTCCAGAGTGGGGAGGAGTGATGTCAATATCCTCACATTCGCGCTCGCTCTTGAATATCTCGAGACAGCCTTTTACACTGAGGCAGTCGAGAAGTTCTCCGCTGCAGATTTTGAGGATCCCAGTCTCTATGATGACCTCGTACGCCTAGCCAGGGACGAGCAAGTTCATGTCGACGTATTGTCGCAGACCCTGCAGCAGCTCAGACAAGACGTTCCAGCGCCATGCCAATACTCATTCCCTTATGACAGTCCCGCGGGGTTCATTACCTTGGCTAGTATCATCGAAGGTGTTGGTGTCAGTGCCTATGCTGGCGCATCGACCTCGATCCGCAATCCGAACGTTTTGAGCATGGCCGCTGCAATTCTTCCAGTCGAAGCTCGCCACGATGCCATACTCCGACTTGCTGCAGGTATCGCACCATATGCCAGCCCCTTTGACGTTCCTCTGGACTTCAATCAAGCCTGGTCGCTTGCCTCCCAGTTCATCGTCCCAGGTAGCTGTCCAGCTGGCTATGCAGGACTTCGGTTGACAGCTTTCCCACCACTAGCGCTAGTTGCAACAGACAACACCACTGCAGGTGCAGTACAAGCAGGTGATACCATTACACTGAAAGCGGATATGTCTTTACAAGAAGAAGGCGCCTCCCTCTCACTGAAAGCGGACTTGTCACTCTCACACTCAGAGAAAGCTCGTCACCTTGAGCATCGCCGTCATGTACCTCTCCACCAAAGAAGCCACGAACGACGTGCCAGGCGTGATCGAACTGTGTATGCAGCCTTTTTGACCGCCATGGGTGCTACCATGATGGAAGTGGAAGTGAAGGGTAACACAGTGACTACAACGGTGCCTGAGGGTATTGCTGGTCAAGTCTATGTGATTCTCACCACTAACAGTAGAAACTTCCACGATCGATACACCATCGCTGGACCGGCGATTATCGAGGTGGAGGATCAGCTAACTGCTGAGGGAAGCACCGCTGAGGAGGAACAATGAAGTGAAGGGTATTGAGCATCACTCGTTAGGCAGCAACGAGGAAATGTGTAACGATCAGATTTTCAACGGTTCTGGTTCGAAGGAGGAAGACTACGAAAAGATGGAAAGGATTGTTTACGTTTGGAGGTTATGAGAAAAGCACAGCAGTAATTGTTGAACTATTACGAGGCAAGGCGCGTTGGACGACACGTTATATTTTCAGTACGTGTGACGCAAGCACGACAATTTCTGATGTCTCATGATGGAACGCGTTATGATTACTAATTAGCAATACCATATTAATCAATAATCGTTTTCAACATTGGCCATTCCGTTACCAGCTATTGAACTAACCTATTGACACAGACGTTGGGAGATGCTGCTTCAAGGCTGACTTAAGATATAGGAACCTCCACTCGACTATCAGGTCGCAAGAAAGAGTCGCCAATGCTCTTCGTTGACTTGAGACTGCTGGCACGTCTGATCATTGAAAGGGAGGCAACGGCTAAGCGCGAGGGCATAGAACCGATGCCTGTTCTTCCCCCTCTCGTCGCTATGGCTCAGCCAGCCTAACCCTATCAGCAGTCAATTTGACGTGAATTTCTCAACGCACCAAGCATCGATGCAAGTTTGACTGCACGATATCAAGCGCGAATCAATGCTTCCGACGAAGGCGGAAGTGCTCGTGCTGGGTATGGAGGTCATTGCTGCCATCGACCATCGATACTCATCACTGAGGTTTGTTCATGCCAACAGACTCAACACGTATGAAACGCCCTTGATCAGTCACTATCATCTGGCATGCCCAACATGGTGCATAGGCCTGACGAGCCGTGCCTCACCCAGACGTCACTCGTAGATCACCAACGACACAACACCACTCTCAATCAGAACCAAACACAAAACAATACAAGCCTAGTGACACGATTGCTTTGTTCACCAACCAGACATCAGACGTATTCAAAGACAAAAAAGAAATGGTTCACGAAGTCGTTCACAGACTTGGCTGATAGTATGCATCAGCCGGGAGTCGAACCCGGGCCAATTGCTTGGAAGGCAATTATCCTACCGTTGGACCACTGAAGCTGGAGGCAGGAATCTGTGTGAAACTCAGACAGTGATTTGAGAAACGTTTTTGGCAACATGATACATATACCTATATAATCACCAGCCAAGTACGCCCCGTACGAATGGATGGCTCGTCTGTTATCAACAGTACGATCTTCCGAGGGTCTTTCTTCGTTGTCACGCAAGCACATTCCAGGGTTCCTGTACACGATGTGGTTCAAATCTAAGATACCACAGCGTGAGTCTAGCTCTTCAAGACGACCGGTCAAGTATCGTTCGATGTTGATTTGCAGATATTGTACGGTTTCTTCCACTCAGTACCTCCATTACGCAAAAACTTGGCCAGCGGGCCAAATTTGAAGAAAAGCAGGCTGATTCGTCAGCACATCGTGGGTGGGATCTATTCTATCGATCTAGCAGGACGGCATTTTCGTGCGTACGGGAGCACGGCCACAGCATATAATCGCGACCATGAACATGCTACCTAGACAAATACTTTCCACCAAGCTCAAACATCCATGGTAGTTATGGGCCCGACCGAAGCAGTATAGCATTCTACAACACCCGTTCAGCACCACAAGCTTGAGTCTCGAACCCTGTACGTACACATTTACTGTCGATCGTGCTGCCAGCTTCAAAACAAGTAATCAACGTGTTGCAAATGATTAGCCACATCCTTTGCTGAATCAAACCCGAAGCGAATTAATCATGATTCCCTGTCCCTACAACAAAACATAAAGCGGACATGACAGCTTCTCTCACTTCTCACCAGCCTGTTGATAACGAGTTTGCACCCACGGTTCCGTCTAGGTCTTGCTACGACCGCGATGTTAATGGGAAGCTCACGAGATCAACAGCTTTCAATCCTTGGAAAAGTTTCCGACCTGCCTCAGACGATGAATTCACTGTGAGCTGATCTATTGCGGACCGGACCATTCATCCTAGGCCTTAATCTTACGTCCTACTTCCAGGAAGAGACTACAGTCTACAGAGGTAAGGGCAGATAAATGACTTTTCTGATGCTGTATCTGGAGCCGTGTTCATGCTGTGTATGTGGGTAGTACGTGATCGAGGTATGAAGAATAAATCAATTACACGCGCGCACGTCGTGATTTCTCAACATCTGCGCACAGTATTCGACAAGTCCAGCTTTACACGATTCTGCATGGATGCAAGTAGATAAAGCTATCACACCACAGAATCTCGCAACATGCGATCAGTGTACGAAATAATGAGGTGACCTGCGATTTCGGGAAAACGAGCTTCCGGAGGACATCGGCGCGGAAGATCTTTTTTTCGAGGCAAGTTCTCATGCCATCTTGCTGGCTGTCTCTGCATGATTGACCAAATCTGCTATGCCGGTCCATAGCCGCTGCTGCAAGTGTTACATGTCAGTGTTTCGGGGGTGTTAGTTTACTAACTTAAGTTTCATGTTGCCTTGTGAAGGTTACATCAAAATTCAAATATCGCGCTCGGATGTTTGCGGATCTCTTCTACAAGCAAGGCCTACCATCTAACTTACTGAGCCTCTTTACCACGTCAACGCACATCACATACGACAGGATCATCCTTTCAGGCCTGACTGCACATGTAGTAGAAGCAGGCTCTGCGATCGTCAGATGCCGTCTGAGCTTGCCGCTTCGTCCGTGAACCTGTAAGAAGCCTCATGCCATATCACGAGCGCGTTACCAGACAGGATTCTCACGAAAGTTGGCATGTTTCGATCACCTTGTCAAGAACTCCGAGATCATGTGTGCCCTTCAGAGGGAGCTTGGTATCGCGTGGCCAGCTGTGATGGGCCCACGAGTTGCGTGAGGCGAATGGATTCTACAGGACATTAGAAATCTTCGCTTCACCTCGGTTCAAGATTGGAGGTATGGAAGTGCCGTGCCATGAAGGTGAATCGCACAGGGATTTTGTGGAGTTTTTTTATAAGCAAAGAAGGTGTTGTTACCCGAACTTGATAGGCACTTTACCTGACCCGACCAGTTTCGCGAGGCGTACCCCTGTTAGCAGTAATAGCAGAGCTAGGTGTTGGTCCCACACAAAGTACGATAGCACCTTTGGAACGAATCACTGCTATCGTGTAACCATGCCTCGTCCACGCACAGGTTTTTGGAGCAGTGTTTTTGCCCATTGCTCAAGCCCACAAGGCGGCCTTAGCACGAGATCCTCCGGGACTTGAGTTGCAAATTTTCCTTGACGGACTGCTGCCTGACAAGGTCCATATTTACAATGTCTGACATACTGTGTTGCTCGTCACGGTTCCACGACGCGTCGTCGTCAACACTCCGGGGGTAAGGCAATTCCGTTCTCGCCCAGTCGGAAATGGAACTGAAATTGTCAGCTGGCACCTTCCAGGCCAAACACCTGGCATTTCATGATGTTATTAACTCATAGATATGAGCCATGTGCTGATCGATGCTGGCAATATGCATATTTGATTAGGTAGACATATATAACATCCGTGGCATAAGAATGTGCCTCCGCCATAGGCAGCAGCCAAGTCTCAATTTTTCCAATCTGGTGAGAAGCCGCTGACTTTCAGGAAAAATTGAGATCGTGACTGCTTGCACAGTTCGCGGGTGTACAGCATATGCGACAGTAGTACGACCCAGGCTCAGTTCTCGCAAGCAAAGTACGATGCTGTGCAGCGCCTTCGGAGGGAAATGTCGCACCAAGACTAAAGAGAACACCGACCAGATTGGATTGTGTCAAAGCTGCCTCCTGCTTTGTTTCGAAGCTCCTCGTGGACCACATGGTGTTAGGCTCCCAAAACACAAAGCCAACGTAAAACAGGACCTCTCGATCAATCGTAGTTCATCGTTCCGTTCCAGAGCAAGAGCCCTGTTCACGTTGGTGCTGAAAACGTTCTGGTAGTCCTGGATCGACCAGTCGTGGTTCCCTTTTTGTCGCGTACGACAGCTGGCCTCCTTTGAGAACAGCTCGCCATATCAGTCAAGTATTTCTTCATGGTTTCAATGTGGTGTGTAACATGACACTACTTGTGCCATGATATAAAACCTCCTTAGAGAAATTGAAGATCACTGCTCAGATGTGACCACCAACTCTCGTCTCGAACCCTCAAGAAAAATGCCTGTGATGCCAGGGTCAACTCCCGCTGCAGTGCAACACAAGGTTGACGTTCTGATGAGCATAAACCAGCATGGACTGTGAGTTTGGTCCTTGTTGAAACATGACACGTCGCATCAAGCTGGTTCTCTATCCGTGAAGTGCTCCAGTGATCGACCCCACTTTATGCTCTGCTTCACTCAGCAAAAACATTTGTATGATTGTATCCTACAATCGACATCCACGGAAATTGTTTGCACTTTCGGACACGAAGCCGTACCGTAGCACATGGTCTTCATCTCGGTCAGAGTAGCTGTGATACCACATGACGACTGCCGCGACGCGAATATCTCGGTATTGAGCATGGGTAATAGCATGCACTAACCCTGAGCATGTTCAAATGCTGGGGTTCTCTGCTCCCAGTTTGCCTTCTGCCAACCTCCCACATATGAATCTCATGATCGACCGCGGGAGCTCGATCAGATCGCTGCGACAACCCATCGTCCTCTGTGCTTGAGGCAACTGTCAAACGACTCTTGATGTGGACAACAATATTGACGCTCGGCAAACAAAGACGAGGAATCACTGAGATTGGGCAAGGAGACAAGCAAAAGGTGGCTCAAACAATCTACATTTGCGAAGGCGCTGACATTGCATTGCAGATTATTTAAATGCACGAGACGACTCGCAACAGATCTTAATATATTCCTCGCAGGTCAACCATCAGCCCTCGACCACCGATTCGGGTCCCTATCCTTCAGAAATGTGTAAGTGAAAGCGGGTGGCAGGGTTCTCGCTTACAATGTTGCAAGAGTCTGGTTTCCCCTGTCCAATTGCGGATTTGTCTGATAGGTGTATACTCTAACGGCCGTCGTTGCAAGGCCCAGGGGAACACATTCGATGGCAACGCAAACGCACAGCGGCTGTGTATGCTTCGATACGGTTATCCGCTTTGCATCTGACTTCATGCCTTGAGACACAAGCCATAGCTGTCAAGGCCTCGCTCAGGCGGCCTTCCACAGCACCTAGGCATCAGGGCTACAACATCAACATGCGCTCGTGACTCTACCAGTCTTGTGCCAGAGGTATGGAACTAACGCGTTGGTGGACGTATTCTCATTCGAATACCTCTGTACAAAATCCAGTATCTATGCTTCCGCACACCATCATGCAGAAATAAGGCAAAATGCACGTCATTGAATCTCCTCGTCATCTAGTCACCCTCAGATCGAACCCTGAGACAATCAGGCTCAGCACTGCATTCCTTAGCTAGATGTGGTTCTCAACCATGATTCTGTGGTTACAAGCAGGGCATTCAAGAACGCTTCCGGCCGCACTATAGATAGTACATGTATCGCTGACATCCATTCCTTTTGAGGCAGCTCAGCTGATTGATCAGTTCAATTATGTTATTTGCTGCTATCAGACGAAGAGGTTCATGTGCGCCACGCTACAAGAAGACACGTCCCATAAGAGGCAAGATGCATTGTTGTATGCAAGCCATCTGTACAATGCACAGACAAAGGCTTTGGCTGCTCACTTCCGTATGCATACTAGAGCAAGCCACGGTGTCAGATACAGGTGATGGTGGAGCTCGGCAAAAGCGCTGTTGGTCCATGCGGATCTTCTCAATTGGATTGCGTCGTGTATTTGAGTTGACCTTTACCAAGCCTACGACGAGCGGGTCACCGAGGTCCTGCCTCGTGAGTACATTAAGAGTAGACTTCGTCTTCCTCGAATGCGTTCAGGAAATCTTCGATTTCTAGAGCTTAGGCTGAAATGACACAAGCACGGACCGAGGAGGGTGCTTAGGCCAGCATCATCGGCACGGCAGAAGTGTATCATCTGCACTATTGAAACCTTAGGGACAGGGGTTTGAGTACACACGTTTGTGTCCCGCGTAAGGCAAAATATGCTAGTTAAATTGGCTAGATCCTGTAAGGCATGTAATTAGGCGTAACCTTCTAGGGCCACAGCAGTTTGACAGGCAAGAATCGAGCTCTTATATCACACGACGGTCTTGCACAGTATTTCGATGTTTTGAGAACATTAGTCTGACACAAATGATTGTCCGTGGATTTGACCAAGGTTGTTTGTATGAAATCTTCAAAAGACACTTAGGTCGCGCATAATCTAGAGCTGAGCTCGATATTCGTTAACACACTTGCGTATGTTCCTAAGCTGTCGCAGATTTTCCGAGAGTAACAGTAACTTATTCCGTCAGGGCAGCAATCACGCACGCATTCCCAGCGCATACATACGTTTGCTTCTGAGTGACCATGCTATTGCCAATCAAGCCCGCCAGCTCTCTGACAATTACAGGCCAGCATGACTCGGTGGTTTCCCTGGGGGAATACAAGTAACGACGAAAAGCCCTCGCAGCAGGATAATGAGGTTGCCCCGAAAGACACACCGGGTATACAGTCAGACCCACTCACGTAAGTACTCCACTATCAAAGTCGGAACACGTGTCGTCCAGAGTGAAGCAGGACTGACTGATGACTTTGTGCATCAGTGGTCAGCACGATGATGCTATGCTTGTTGATGCCCGAGTCGAATCTATCGCCAACAGTACACAAGAACAAAAGCACGACGACAACCTTGGTGACAACACTGAGTCTTCCCTCCACAACCATGCAGAGGAAACTGTTCGCGTCGTCAAACGTCCAAAGGCTGAATCAGATATGGACGAGGACAACATCGAATATGTCAGCCCTTCCAAGAAACCACGTTCTCCTGCACCTCAATCTGATGCCGAGAGTCTTCCACCTCAAGCTCACGAGACAGAGCGTGTTGATTCACCCAACAATTCTGACCACTCCACCGCTTTGAACGATACTGGCTTCGAGGACCATCCGGAACCTAACACCAACCTTCTCAGGAATCTTGAGACACGACCAATCACTGTGCCTCAACTCATCCAAGAGGTCAAAGGGATATATGCCGGGCTAGGTGAGACTCATCATTATGTCGGCTTGGAGTAGCTAATTAGCTGCAGTCATGGTTGAAAAGAAATGTACTGAGATTGTCACCCAACAAACAACAAATCCAACCAAGCTCAGTAAAGAACAGTGGCAGGCTTTGATTGCCCTCCACAGGACTTTGTTAAACGAGCATCACGATTTCTTCAGCGCGTCTCATCACCCTATTACTAAGGGCCATGAGCTTCGTGAACTTGCCGCACGCTATGCTATGCCCGCGAGGATGTGGCGTCATGGGATTCACGCGTTTCTAGAGCTACTGCGCCATAGGCTGCCAGATTCACTGGAGCACATGTTGTCGTTTGTTTATCTAGCTTACTCTATGATGGCTCTACTTAAAGAAACAGTGCCTGACTTTGAGGAGACTTGGATCGAGTGTCTTGGTGATCTAGCCCGGTACCGAATGGCCATTGAGGAAGTCGATCTCCGTGATAGAGAGGTGTGGTCTAATACAGCCCGGACCTGGTATAATGAAGCTGCTGATCTGTCTCCAAATACTGGCCGTATCCAACATCATTTAGCTGTTCTTGCCCGACCGAACATAGTGCAACAGCTGTTCCTTTACAGCAAAGCATTGGTAGCTGCCATCCCTTTCAAGAATGCTGGTGAGTCTATCCTGCTACTGTTCAATCCTCTATTGGATCAGCCTTCTGCATCCACTTCGCGATATCAACCAGCGGAGCTCAGCTTTGTATGTGCCGCGGCCGTTCTTTTCAAAAGACGTTCTGCCACTGAATTCGAGAAACACCGAGCCCAATTTGCATCCCATCTGGAAGGACATATGACCAGGTCTGGGTCTCGCTTCAAGGTGCAAGGACCAGAATTCGCTGGAGCTCTCTTTGCGATGCTGATGGATTTTGGAAATGCCGAGAACCACCTTTGGTCTCTACTGTTCAAGCATCAACAAGATATGAAACAACAATACTGTGACAAGCATGCCAAAGAGGTGGACAAGCTTCCCAAGGACTTCGTTGTTCAAGAGCCGGAGTTAATCAACCCTAAGCGAGCAGAATATTGGGCCAGGCCGGACATCCACCATGTTCAGGTGGAGGTACCTGATTCTCGTCTTGAGAAGGAAGTCATGCTAAGTGACGATGTCACATCATACGTTGGACCCATGCTGTACAAGACAATTGCAGATGTTGCTGGTCAGATCGGAAACAAGAACGTGGTCCCGTTCATGCACCAGATCTTGGCCCACCTACATGCCCTTACATGGATTCCTGGTGCATCCATCTACGTTGAGCGATACATCCCGTGGGACAGCCTTGTGCAATTTCTAAACACCGTCGGTCGATCTGGAGTCTCGTACGAAAACGTTGAGCATGATGAATTTCCAAGATCGTTCGGCGGTAATAAACGACAACTGCCCGAGGACTTTGTGATGCGTGGTCTGATGTCAATGACAACATATTACGGAGCAAATTTCTTTAAACCAGAAGATCTAGTCGATGAAGATGAACGCCTTCTCGAACAACCCTCCCACCAAGCACCACGAGTTGAACGATGTCTTTACTGCGCAATACAGCTTACAAAGCTCACGAATCGCTGGATGAGCTACGACTACAAGGACAAGAAATTCAGCACGACAGAATTCATTCGTGAAATCCGACAGCCGTGACATGGGCCGGTCGTCACGACGCTTTCGTGATGGCCGGCCCCTGATCATAATTGGCTCTTGTCAATGAGGCTCAGGACAGAGATGACGCTTCTTCTGTCCAAGTCATTGTTCCAATGCGCCGGTAAGTTCTGGGCATAGGTCTGAACGCTTAGTGGTGTTCTATACGTTACTGCTTCATCCTTATGTATGTTGCAGATATATTGTGTGTTCGAGTATGCTTTTTCATGATAGCAGAACACAAAAATAGCCTAGGTTTTGTTTGTTATTATTAGTTGTCAATGCAATTGAGACGCGATAGACCTCTTCGATCTACATATCATGCCATTATGTCTTCCGTTTCGAATGTAGCCCTACAACGTTGCACTGGAAGCTTAGTAACATGGCTTCTAGCAATACTAGTCATAGGGCTTTGGACGTGCTCGTGCCTCGCAATCCACTATAGCTCTTAAATCACGGCAGCTTTCCTATTGCAAGCTTTCTTCTTTTGTCTCGTTTATATGTGTGACCGGCTCAGAACCCTGCTGGCTGGACTTTCCAATAGCAACAGGTCTCCCCTGACCTCGAGATCTACGAGACTATGATTGGAATCGTGGTTTAGAAAATCTTGCAACCAGGTATGCAGTAGATTGTGTCAAAGAAGGCGTGTCTCCAATTGTGACTAATCTGCGAGTGCAGTAATAGAGTTGCCTGCTCCTTAAACGACGACAAATACGAGGTACGAACATGGCTTGAGCGACATTCTTCTTGCTCCGTCGAGCAGGCAAAAGTCAGCGTCTGGCACTCGGAACCTAGCACGACATCAACATAATTCGCTGCCAGTAAGCCGACAGCAAGGAGAGTGGCTTCGACAAGGCAGACCTTAAACAGTTAAGGTCATTACCCATAGAGCTTTACAACATCTCCGCATGCGGGCCCAACCAGTGAGGCTATCACTGACACATGCCGTGGAATCCCAAGCTCGAGGCGCGGGCTCTGGTTGGGGACTGGACCATAGACAGTGCATTGGTGATGGACACTGGATTTTTGAGAAGGCTTAGAGGACGCCAGAGAGATTGCCTGCTCTTAGTGCTGAGTTCTGGACTACTAGGGACGGGTACTATCACTGTGTTGGCGTTGGGCAGCCTCTGCGGACTCGGAACTTGGAGCATGACTTTCTGATGCGAGTGGAGGAAGGCAAAACACTTTTCCAATGAGCCATCCCTCAATCACGAAGCACCTAGTCTCAAAAGTGCTTCGCATAATGCATAACTCCTAGCATCTCCTTCCACAGCCCAGATACCATGCACTGAGCTTGTGAGGATGTTTTCGAAACTCTGGAGACCAATTGAAACAGGCAGACAACTTGAATCGCGGACTGTGGTTGCCTTCCGCGAAATCAGAGACTGGTTCGCTCCTCCAAAGTTGGATGAGATACGCAGTCAATACGTGGCTACGAGATCAATTACGCGCTGTAATCGATCTCCACGAGCCCGCATCCGGCCCTCAGCTTCATGACTCTCATACATCTCCTGGCCTATTGGCTGCTGAAGCCATAGGCTGACCCAGACGTGTTGTTCGGGAAGCTGCGTGATTCGGTTGCCACAAGATGTGATGGGTTGCCTTGGACTTGCGAACAGCAGCTCCTGGTCCCAGGTTGACTTGGTCCGTCATGTCACTAGACCAATCCACGCACATTTCACGTCAATCCCACATCTCCTGCAAAGACAATAGGATGAGAAAGAGGAGGCTAGCTGGAAACACCGATATTGCATTTGTGTCGGAAGGGCAGGCAACGTCAAGCAGCGTACCGCAGGCAGCAGCACAACTATCGCAAAATTTGAAGATGAAGGTCGTTATTGGCCGAGAACTTTGGAGCGCGACAGGTCATGACTCTTTGACAATATGGCAGACCCATATTGTCGCCATTGCCACTCTAGCACAGCCTGTTATGCCATGGGCATGTTGAGTCATGTCATGAACACTACCAAGATGCAGAGTTGTTGCCTCTCCTATTGAATGCAGCAATCGAATAATGGACTGGCTTTGTGGTTGGACAACATCCTCGAACTATCTGACAGTGTTGCAACGATCTCGCCGCCTCCTTCTGTATTTATTGGAGTCGCCGCTATTGTGTACTGCTTATTGCAAAACCTTGGTCCCAATCAGTTTGCCTGGAAAAGCACTGTAACGTTGCGTAATCAGTGGCGAGCCAAGCAGAAGTACAGCTCAGCTTTGCCATCGTTGATGTTTGCAAACTGCATGACCACGTACGCCGAAGCCTTAGGAACATGAGTTGAGCTTTTGTGCAGGAGAAAACACGGAGTGAAGTGGTTCAAGACATGTAGTTGCTATCTACATGCTGCTACAAGCGCTTGCAAAGCTCCCGAAGCGACTTCACAATGGCCACCACCACAGGCAACTCAACCCTTTCTGCACTTGTCCAAGGCTTGCATATACTATGGTCAAATACAGTAAGAGGTGAAGTACCAGGCCCTATTTGTCTCAACCTGTGCAATTGTCGCGCATGCTAAAATGCAGTTTCTGCCAATCAATAACACCCTTTGCGGGCTAACCTCGACTATGGCGCAACCAAGAACGATCTGGCGGCCTAGGCCGCCACTCCGAACGCCACCTGACGAGATTTACCTTGCTCCCTGGCGAATCACAGTCCTCTCTTCCGCAGAGGCGTATCGATCTCAGCTGGCGGGTTCGTTGCAGTTAGCCAATAAGAACCCGTTCGCAAAGATGAAAAAACAACGAGTTGCAGAAGTACAAATTGATGTCGCCACCTTGTCTGATGTTTTCCTGTACTTTCTGGAGGTCATCATCTCACGAATTGACCACGTGCTGGCAGAGGCTAAGTGACCTGCACTGCCGCTTTCTCCACGTGTCCAGACAACCTCCCTAAAGTTACGCTGCGTGGCTCAACGTTTCATGATTGCCACTTACATTGTGGCTTCACGAGCCAGAAGAATCAGGTTACTGATGATACAGCCACCAACATTAAGAGACTCGCAGCTGAGCTCTTGAATACGCTACTGCGAAGGCCATGACTTCGTGGTAGGAGCAAAGTTAATTCAAGCTGCCACAGTCCAGATCTCTTTTTCAGCAGCTGACAAATCCAAACATGCCACACCTCTTTCAACATACTGTCCAATCATCACTGAGTGTTCTAGTAAGTCTATACAATCATGTAAGTTTGCTCCTCAATCTGCCTGGTATTAGGCAAATGATTCATGCGTGTGACGCTTTTGGAAGAAGGTACGCCTTTCCAGCCTGTTAGGCTGAACATTTGCTCAAATGAGCTATGACTCGCATTGCCAACGTGACTGTTGTGCCAGTCTGTGGAAAGGTTGTCCTGTCTAATGGTGTGCATTCTGCGGCGCTGGCGAAGTCTTCCTTGACGTCACAAGGTCAGCTGCTGGGCCGGCAGGTGATCAAGATTCCCAGCGACAAGGCAAAACTCTGTTCTTATGACTTAAGCGAAAGTATGACAGTTTCTGGTAGCGAATACGGAACACGTCTGTGAGAATGAGTCGCATTCAGCTGGTCCCGCTGCTGGCCCCTATCTCGTCAGCATTGGTCGCAGAGCTCGTCAATAGGTTTTCAGTCTGGCTTGTTCAACCAAGACACGCGAATCGTGGTGTACTCATGTAGCAAACAAGGCTGGTCTGGATGTTCGTAGCACTTCGGAAGTTACGAGGAGGAACATACTACCATTTTTCACCTCAAACTGCCAGAGTTGCCCTCGTACCACGACACGTCAACCCGATGGACGCCCGCTGCCTCTCTTCTTCTTCGTGGTCTGTGTACGCTTCTTGCACCTCACCCGCTACGTCAGCATTGATTGTCCGTTGTCTCAATCACATAGCTGAATTCGGAATAGACTGTCGCAAAGATGTGGATCTTCTCATCGCACCTGCAGTAGAGATCGCGACTTTGTTTCAACGTCAATCCTGCGGTTCAGCAGAAGCACGAGCATGTCCTTGGTACAGGTGGAGTCTCTTTGAAGCACGAGGCTGGGGATTCCTAGACATTTTGTTCCATCACGTGACATTCGGTGCAGTCGAAGTGAGTGAAAGGGCTTTGCAAATCTGCGAGAGGAATTACGGCACCAGTAACAAAGACCTTACGACCATACGAGTAACGTATAGTTGATGAATAGTAGGTACAATCACTGGGGAGACCAGACTCGTGTCGTAACTCGTGATGGAAGATGGTGAATGTATCGCAGTAGTTTCGACTTCTGTTCTAGAACTGCTTGAGACACAGAACAAAGAGATTAGACAGGAAAAGAGCGTTGCTTGGACCGAAATCACAAGTCAAGCTACCTGAACAGCGAGTGGTTCACCATAAACAGCAGTGAAAATAAATGTTACCTTGATGTTCTACTTAACTTTTCCTGACTTAAACTATGTGCTGTCACTCTATGGTACTTGAGCCCTCATGCTTTCTCTACATCCATGTGTCTCCATCAACCAGTAAAACGAGCAAAGTGGGGAGGTCTCCGTCCATAATCGATGCTGGATTAAGCTTGTCCATGGAAGAGCCAGAAGTTCAGCAGAAGGTCCGCACGAGTGTACCTGAGGGTTTGCTGCCGGCTTCGGGTACGGCAGCCAACAAAAGCAACAGCAAGTCGATTAGCATGAAAAAATCCAACTGCGGGAAGATCAAATGAAATTGGAAGTCAGGAGGGAAGCGCAGATCACCCGCGGAGTTGGGCAAAAAGATAGTCTCACAGGGAGCATGGTCTTCTACCTACCATATTCCATTAAGAAGTGGTTGTGTTGTGGTATGAGAACGGTGCCAGATGACAATCTCAAAGTTGGTCTCTCGGGAGGACATCCGTACACTATTGCTTTTTTCTTCTTTTTCGATCACCACACATGCTAACTCCTCGATTAATGAGCTTCCCACAATAAGACTACGGGCGTGCCACCAACACTCTTGCTGACCGGGACGCGCCTCCCTATGCTCCTGCGACACTAACCACTATGATCCACCGTATCAGGTAGAACTTAACCGTAGAAGTCTTTGCATCGTCTAATTGGAAAGGTGTGACGACGTTCATGTTGTTCTTATCACTGCCCGGCCAGGGTTCATGTCTGAGGAGGATACTACAATACGACACAAACTCGAGCATACCGCTACGTGGATTAAGATCTTGAAGAGGCATTAATATTAGCAAGTACGACTATGTACCAGCCAGGACATTGAAGCCACTGTAGCATAGTCTGTACAACTCAACAACTTTTGATGTGGTTACAGTATTGTACACAACAAGCAATCATCACGCTTGTATGAGCCATTAGGCCATGTTCGTTGCACACACCACATCGGAGAACAACATAGTTGCGAAAAAGTGTATCGACTAGAAAGTGTCGTAGCATATTGTAGAAGTAAAAGGACCAGTGTGCAAATGCATCTCATGCAGCAAATCTGCTCTGGGACTGCATCCACTGCCTACGATACCGGGAAAGGGCATTGGCAACCTCGGCGAAGTCTTTCACACCTTTTTCTCGAAGATCGGCAATTACCTTCTTGAGACCAATCAAATAGGCGTCTTTCTGTTCTTTGTCTCCGATGTCATTTGCGGAACTCATCTGGACAAGTATTTTGTCATCTGGCGCGAGGTCAGTAGGCTGTAACATCGTTGTTAGTCAGACAGAAGATATCGTACCTGACAGTGGCAGCGAGCCGAAGTGCTGGTAGTCTTTTCCACAATCAATATCGGTACACATCTTGCCTTCAAGCTCAGTTGAGCATAGAGGCCTCTTGTCATCGATATTGTTGCTATATGTCAGTGAACGATAGCCGTTTTTCACAACCTCATTGAATTGTGGATGAAAACGAAAAGATTTGAGAGACGACAGAGGGCTCTGATATGGGGCAAAACGCGGCACAGCTGGTTTTTGGTGTTCAGAGAGGGGCTCAAGGAGAGGTAGCGAGATGGAGGTAACAGACGCCGGCTCCTGTGTTAGTACATCGTTTAGTGGGCCTGCGGATACAAGAGGTGAACCGACTGGCGTTAGTTGTGGGTCGATCTGCACAGGGGACCATGTCTTGTTGTTGGGTGAGACGAGTGCAGACGAGTCTATCGCAGCACCGCTGGCCAGTGGGCTGAGTGCTGTTTCGACATCCATCTTCTGGCCTTCTTGGTTTGCATTCACCGTGGCGACGTTGATTGCCTCTACCTGTTCAGCTGGCTCGTAATCGTCGTTTTCAGTCTCTTGATAGGGTGTCGCTTCGGCAGGCTCGTAGTCGTCGACTTCCTCAATGGCAACTTGCTGCGGAGCAATTTCAGGCTCATAGTCCTCAGAACCACTATCGGACATACTAGCACTACCGTCGCTGTCGGCGTTGCTGGCTTCGTCAATAGACATATGGTCGTCCTCACTGTCGTCCACATTCGGTCTCTCGGAAGATGCGGCGGTTGTACTGGTTTGCATATCTGTTGCACTCGCATCGTGTATGGGAGCTTGCACTAAGCCCTCACCAAGGTCGGGCTGCAGGGAAGTTCTGTTCGACGCTTCGTCCTGCTTCTGTGCTACCGTTGTCGCAACTTCTGAATTCAGTTGACGATCCAAGTCTTCTTGATCAGGGCTGTATTCTATATCAGAGCGTCGTTGTTCTTCTGGCGTACCATGCATAGACATGTCCAAATGTACCTCGACGCCGTTCAAGTCTTGCTGTAGGTTATGACCATCTGTCTGCTCTTGCCCACTTGGCTGCTTATTGTCCACCATAATATCAGGAATTGATTTGTCGTTAAATGGTGCGACATGGTTTAGAGCGTGTGCTAGTCGAGGTTCGTGCGATTCTTTCTCGTCGGCCACGATCTGATCGTTTAGCTGGTTGAGTTCATTCGAGAACTGTTGTTGGCCATTTTCGCCATCAGCGAGCTGCCGCTGTAATCTTTCTGTTTCTGCGACTAGGCTTGTCTCCTCTTGTCTAGCTTGGTCCAGCTGTAGAGTCAATGATTCGATCTGTTTTCGTGTCTTCGACAATCTTGTCTGCTGCATCTGCAATCGTTCTCGAGTCTTCTCGACCTCTGCATCTAGGACAGGCATGCCATCTTGCAACGTCTGTTTCCTTGAATTTTTACGCAATAAATCAGCCTTTAGAGCTGCCATGCGGTCCTTGAGCTTATTTTGATTGATTTTCGGTTTCGAAGGGGTTGTAGATAGTTCACTGGGCTTGTTGGTGATATCTGAGACTGCAGTAGCTCTGACGTCCGTGTCTGATTGGCTCACCGATGTGGCTGGGGGAGTACCGACTTGACTCGAGGGGGGCAAGATACCGGTATCTTCTGCCACAGGCATAGGTATGGCTTGAGATGCCTGTCGCTTTGCCTGTGGCATACTCTCAAGAGGAAGAGGATCGGCTCCTCTCTTCAACGATTTGAGCTCTTGAGGCTTCTCAGCGAGTATAGGCATATCAGCCTTACTATCTTGCAATACAGGCTCGGGAGAAGGTCCTTGAAATGCAGGATCAGGATAATCCATGAACAAACCCGGGATAGCGAAGGCACTGTGATTTGTATCCTTTCTGACGAGCGAAGGAAGGACTGTGTTTGTAGCAGGTTCACTTGAGGCTATAACTAGATTGACCTTGTCCTGAGCAGGCTGCTTAGCAGGAAGAGAGTTTTTCGCGTCGATCTCAGGCAAAGGCTGCTTACTGCTGTCATTGTTCGGCCTGGAATTGGGTTCGCTGGGAGCTGGAGAGGCAGGCTGGGATGATTTAGCACTAGATATTGGTTGACCCTTCCTGGCAGCCAACAGTCTGGCGATACGATCTTTGCGCTCCATAGCCGGATCCAAAACATCAGGTTGAGGTGTACTAGCTTGTGACGGAGAAGGAACGACATTTCTTGATTTTTCACCAGCCGTGTCTGGTAATTGTTGAGGTGGCAGCGGTTGTGGCACTTCGAGATTGAGTTCAGCAAAGAGTCGGTCAAGGACTGGTTGCTTGACACCGTTGTCGAGCCAAAACTTGTAGGTTGCGCCAAATGGATGGCATTCTGAGATGGCAAGTTTGGCCTGCGCGTGTAAATCGTCGTAGGTCGGTATGCTCTGCTTTTCCTTTCCATTTTGAATTGTTCTTTCTTGCGCAACAAAAGCAAGGGGCACTTCTCTCGGGATCGGATTTTCAGATGGTTCGGCACCTGTTTCATGGGTGGACTGGATTAGAATAGTGCTATCCAATATCTGAGGCGTCGGCTGGAAATCGTGCTGGTTATTTATAGCCGTATTATGTTGTGATACAGGTAGTTGTTGGGTATTACTCTGAGGTGCTTGCGCCGCTTTCATATCTTGTATACTGGCATTTTTTCCATACTCGGTGGCTGAATTGGGAGTCGGCGGCGGAAAAGGAGGACGTGCTTGCTGGAAGCCTAGAAAAGGCTGTAACTGAGCAGCCGCATTGGCCGGTTGAGTGTGAGCATTCGGCGCAAAAGAGGCAGAGAAGAAGGGCGGAGGTGGAGGCGGTGGAGGAGGAGGAGGGAATGGGAGCTGAATATTGCTGGAGGCTGCTAGTTGTCTCAAAACCTCAGGATTCCAGTTCGGAGGTAACTGAAAAGGTGGGGGTGGACTTGGTACATGGTTGTTCGTTTCGAATCTTTTCGCGTTTGGGTTTACAGCTGGAAAAGCTGGAGGATGCTGGATTCCTTGTGGGTAAGGAACCCCTTTGCTTCCATTTGGTGGTTGAGTATTGGTATGATATGGTGAGTAGAAGGGCTGAGGCGGCAGTTGCCCATTGAACATAGCTGGGTTTGAGTATTGATTGGCCATGCTAGACCAGGATGATAACGCGTTTCAGTAGAAGATTTGAGATGTAGTAAGAATGGAGCGTATCAACGACAAAACACGCACGATTGTCAGGACATATTACCAGCGCAGAACAGGTCCACAGCCTATTGGCATGCAGAAGTCATTGATGATACTTGTGGAAAACATGAAACTGATGCGGCTTTGTTCAAGCGCATGTATCGCAAGGCAGAAGAGTGATACTGATGGTGGAACATGAATTTCACAAGCGCTGGTAGCTTCTGAACTTGGATTCCGAATGAATGACTAAGGAAGTCACGCTTCTGCTTGCCTCAGGCAGCCACACGCGTGGTTGCTGTTGCAACCACTTTATGGAGTCAGTGCGGAAGTGCTAGGGAGGCTCACAACAGTGACCAGCGGCAAGCTATTACTCTATCACTAGCCGGCTGCGTCAGTGCATTCCAGGATTGAGGATTACAACACTTCCGTCAGTATCGACTACCATGTATACGAATGATTGCAGCACATAATACGCAACACTCATACGAGCAGCCATGATTCTACATGAAGTTAGTCCAGCAAGCACACCATTTGGCAACAACCACAGCCATGGACAGCGCAACCACAGCTACAGCAGGCACAATTCACCGACGCCAGTAACTGTAGATATGTCGGCCGCCATGCCACTTTCTCCTTCGAGTCAACAGAAGCAGACTCGGTTTGCGACTCCGAATGGCATCTCTCACCCACGCCAACACTCACAGTCCCCAGCTAGCAATTTCAGTCCGATTCCGAGTCATATCCGCTCTAATTCTATGCAAAGAACAAGCTCCTCCAGCACTTTCGCCCCTCAATTTGTAAAGTCCGAGGAGTTCAGAAGAAGTGAGGACAAGGTTTCTGCAATAGAAGGCGAGAATGACTTCTCAGGCAAGAGATATGTCTGGGTTAAAGATCCAGAGAAGGCCTTCGTGCGCGGATGGATTGTCGAAGAAGTTTCGCAACAGAGAGTAGTTGTTCAATTCGAAAGTGGCTCACAGATCGAGCTCGATTTGGGCGATGTCGATAAGGTCAATCCTGCCAAATTCGACAAGGCCGATGATATGGCAGAGCTGACCCATCTCAACGAAGCATCCGTCATACACAACCTCCAAACAAGATATCAGTCCGATTTAATATACACTTACTCCGGCCTCTTTCTGGTAGCGATAAACCCTTATTGTCCTTTACCAATTTATGGCAACGATTATGTGCGCATGTACAAGGGCCAAACAAGAGAAGATACCAGACCTCACATCTTTGCCGTTTCAGATGCTGCCTTTCGAAGGCTCGTTGAAGAGGGAGAGAACCAGAGCATCCTGGTCACTGGTGAATCCGGCGCGGGTAAGACTGAGAATACGAAGAAAGTCATTCAGTATCTGGCTTCAGTCGCTACCTCTGACTCAGACACTCCGCTTGCAGGCCGGTCTCCTGCGAAACAACTATCCAACCTTTCTCAGCAGATATTACGAGCCAACCCTATCCTTGAATCTTTCGGTAACGCTCAAACTGTCCGCAATAACAATTCCTCAAGATTTGGAAAATTTATCAGAATTCAGTTCACACGGTCCGGACAGATAGCCGGTGCTTTCATTGATTGGTACCTGCTCGAAAAGTCAAGAGTCGTGAAAGTAAGCCAACATGAACGAAGCTACCATATCTTCTACCAAATGCTGGCTGGTGCCGACAAGCGCTTACGGGATGCCCTTTACCTTGCAAACATGGATATAGAAGACTTTGCCTACTTGCGAGGCGGTAATGACACTATTGCTGGTATTTCCGATCGAGATGAATGGAATTACCTCATCGAGGCTTTCCATGTCATGGGCTTCTCAGAGCAGGAACAAAATGCCATCTTCCGAACGATCGCTGCTGTGTTGCACATTGGCAACGTTGCAGCAAAGCAGGAAAGCCGAGCAACTGATCAAGCGATGTTGACTCAGGAAGCCAAGGCTTCGCTTGATAAAGCATGCCGCCTACTAGGGGTCCAAACAGAACCTTTCGTCAAAGGACTGCTACACCCCAAGGTGAAAGCTGGCAGAGAATGGGTCGAGAAGGTCCAGACTGCCGAGCAAGTTCGATTTGCCCTCGATGCCTTAGCCAAAGGCATTTACGAAAGGGGATTCGGCGATCTAGTTAGCAGAATCAATCGTCGTCTTGACCGCGGTGGATTGACCAGTGATGACAACCACTTTATCGGCGTACTGGACATCGCTGGGTTCGAAATTTTCGAAAACAATAGCTTTGAACAGCTTTGCATCAATTACACCAACGAGAAGCTCCAACAATTCTTCAATCACTACATGTTTGTGCTTGAACAGGAGGAGTATGCAAGAGAACAGATTGAGTGGCAGTTCATCGACTTCGGCAAAGACCTACAACCTACCATCGACCTCATCGAGCTACCCAACCCCATTGGTATTTTCTCCTGCTTGGACGAAGACTCTGTTATGCCTAAGGCGACTGACAAGTCATTCACGGACAAGCTACACTCCTTGTGGGAGAAGAAGACACCCAAATATGCAGCAGCTCGTCCTCGCCAAGGTTTCATTCTCACCCATTATGCTGCTGAGGTTGAATACAACACTGAGGGCTGGCTGGAGAAGAATAAAGACCCATTGAACGATAACCTTACGAGGTTGCTAGCCTCTTCTAAGGACGACTACGTCTCGACTCTCTTTTCTGATTGCGTCGACGAAAGTGATGAGCTCTATAGTCCTCGAAGTAGAGTCAAGAAAGGTTTGTTCCGTACAGTCGCACAGAGGCATAAGGAGCAGCTGACAAGCTTGATGAGACAACTGCATTCTACACAACCCCATTTCGTGCGCTGCATACTGCCGAACCACAAGAAGAAACCAAAGCAGTTCATGGCTCCTCTTGTCCTGGATCAGCTCCGATGTAATGGTGTGCTGGAGGGCATTCGAATTGCAAGAACCGGCTTCCCTAACCGGCTGACCTTTGCTGAGTTCAGATCGAGATATGAAGTGCTCTGCAAGGACATGCCCAAAGGTTATCTGGGAGGCCAAGAAGCTGCTAAAATCATTCTTGATAGACTCAAGCTCAACCCTGTGGTGTTCCGAATTGGTATCACCAAGGTCTTCTTTCGAGCAGGCGTCCTGGCAGACCTCGAAGAGCAAAGGGATACACTTATTCGAGAAATCATGTCTCGTTTTCAGTCTGTGGCTCGCGGGTTCATGCAACGAAGAATTGCTTACAAACAGCTCTACAGACACGAAGCCACTCGTGTCATACAACGGAATTTGAATGTCTATCTCGATCTGCAATCCAACCCATGGTGGAGGCTCTTTGTTCGCATGCGACCACTACTTGGTGCAACAAGAACAGCAAGCGAGGTCAAGAAAAGAGACGAGCGCATCGAACAGCTGCACGACAAGATGAGGCAGGACCAAATGGAGCGTCAGAGAATAGAAGAAGAGCGAAGACGAGCAGAGCTAGACAATCAGAGAATACAGCAAACTCTAGAGGCCGAACGAGCTCTTGCTCTAGACAAGGAAGAAATCTTCAAGCGGCTTCAGCTTAGAGAGAACGAGCTGAGTGAGAAACTCGCCGAAGCCATCGCAGAACAAGAACAGCTGGAAGATCAGCTTGACGCTTCCATCAACTCGAGACGTGAATCAGACGAAGAGCTGATAACGCGTCGTGAGCAGGTCATTCAAGCTGGTCAAATTATCACACGTCTCGAAGCTGAGAAGAAGGATCTACAAAAGCAAGTCGAGAACCTGAATGAGGATCTCATTCATGCAGAGCGAGATACATCCAGATACGATGGTCTCGATCAGGAGATACGATCACTACGCTCTCAGCTTGGAGTCAAAGATCGCAAAATCCATGAACTCGAGTCTTCACACTCTCAATCAGAACGTGAGAAAGACCTCAAAATATCCACACTCGAGACAGAACTTCGGAGCTTGAAATCATCACTAATGCACAAAGACAGACGGACCGACGATCTCGAGCAGAAACTCAACAACGTCCAGCGCATCGCAACAGAAGAGAAGGAACGAAGTACCAACTCTTACGAATCACAAATCCGCAGTTTAAACTCCCAGCTCGGCACAAAAGACCACAAGCTAGGCGACCTAGAAGATCTCATCGTAAAGAAAGACCGACGCGTCCAGGACGTCGAAGCGCGCCTCCTCGCATCCAACAAAGAGCTGGCCGAACTACGCTCCCGCATCCAAGACCTCGAAGCAGACAACCAAGACCTCCAAGCGAACCTCGATGAAGTAGCATCCTCACGATCACACCACGAAACTATTCTGCGTCAGAAAGACACTGAACTCAACAGTATTCGTCAGAGATTACAGACGAGCGATGATGTTATGAGTAAGTTGCAGAAGGAAAACCAGGGTCTCAAGACACAGCACGAAGATGTCAGTAGGCGGCATGGCGATGTGGAAAGGGAGATGGAGGATGTAAGGAGGAAGAGGGCGGCCATAAACCGTGAGGCGGCGGAGGTCAGGAAGAAGTTGGAGGGGATCATGCCGTTCTTCAACAGCCATTTTGGGAGTGTTGTTTGAGTTGAAGAAACATGTCAAAGCGCCTTTGAGAGCTGTGTTCTGAAGAGTTATGGTAATTATTGGTTGATATCCCTGCATTTATAGTGTTCGTGATCGAGCGAGTGCTCTTTGGAGCATAAGCAGAGACAGAGTGGACTTCGTGGTCTGGTACATGTAAGATCTGATTCTGAGGGCGTCCAGGTAGGAGCATAGCATTAAATAGTCGGTTAGCGGTGTACAGCATGAGAAGATGAGCAGTTTTGACGTTTTGAACAACAGGATTAGTGTAGATGGCGTGACCTTGAACAAATGACTGTCCTTTTCTGGCATTGAAGTCGGACCTGAACTTCTCGTTCTATTTAGCCAGCTGGAGCTATCGTACGCATTTGCGCTAACGCTCCTAATAAGTCGTTCATCGTCCCTCTCCGCACTAGTGCCGAGTAAGCCCCAGTATATCCAATGCCAGTGCCAGGTGATCGAATGTCCGAACTTTGACAGAGTTGAAATACACACATGTCGTAATATGGTCACAGACCTGATATTTTCTATCATGATCTTAGGAATCGAAAGCAAATTATGCTTGCCCTGGGCGCCCCTTCCACTTCAACAACCTCTCCGCATTTCCTGTCCCTACCGACTCCTCCTCACCTGGGAAGAACTCACCAACATATTTATCGTGATCTTCACTTAACGTCTTCACGGCACCGAACGGCGTCCACGGAATATCACTACCATAGACCATCCTCTTACCTTTCGTCTTCTCCTCCAAGTACGCCAAAAGCCCCTTAATCTGATCCGGAAAGACCCAGCCAGCAGTATCGAAGAAGAATTGCTCGCTGTTGAGCCGTTCCTTGACGAAAGTGGGATTTACTGCTGAGTCTAGGCCGGGGAGTTTGAGAATAGCTGGGACGCTGGATACGCGGGTGATTAAGGGTGGGAGACAGCCTCCGCCATGGGTGACGACGAATGTAATTTCTGGACAGCGGGATACAGTGCCCTTTAGGAAGAGGTTGGTGTATACTCGTGCTGTGTCGAAGAAGAACTCAAAGGTTGAGCGTGGGTAGGTGTGTGCTAGGGGCGCGGCTTGGACACAGCCTTCTCCAGGGACGGCGGTACAGGGTGTGGTTGGGTGGATGAAGACGATGGCTTTGCGACGGTTGAGCTCGTCGAAGACGGGGTCGAAGATGCTATCGCCAGGATAGTGGCCGTGGTGATTGCTCATTAGTGTAAAGCCATCGGCGTTGAGGGTGTCGATGGCGTGGGCGATCTCTTCCAAGCTGCCTTTCACGTCTGGGAGTGGTAGAGAAGCGAAAAAGCCAAACTTATCGGGCCTGCGTCTTTTGAGATCTGCAGCGTATTCGTTGACGCGACGAGTCAGGTGTCGGGCGTTTTCGTCGTTGCCCGGAATGAGATGGGTTCCTGGTGATGTGATACTAAGAATGGATTTTCTGACATTCAGTTGACTGTGAAAGTCTAGGTGCGATTGCTCCGTCCATTCTGGTATTCTAGGCATACCATCAGGTTTATCAATACCAGCTTCGAGAAGTGCATCCCTGTAGAAGTCTGGGACGAAATGTGAATGTAGGTCGATCTTGGCAAGAGGCATGTTGTGATACCGACTGCTTGTCGTCGAGTTTCGGTTTCGCCAGGTTTCAAGGCAACGGTCCGGGTGCAGGACTTCGCTAGAATGACTACAGCGCAAGACAATGAATATTACGACCAGGTACAGGATCAGATGGCTGTCCTTCGAGTTGACCATAGTTGTGGGCCTGATATGTCTTCCGCCGGACTCACGAGGCGAGATCGGCCGCGGGGTTTCTTGTTCCGCTATCCCAACAGACCTGCCCGCTCGTTGTTCGAGTACGAGAAGCTATATTGTCGAATGTTACTATATCAGGGTCAATCAACTCTACCAGTCGATGTTGGCTGGAGAAGTCAAGATTGTGTCTGCTGGAAAGACTGACTGACATCAAGGCCCAGAAACAGCCCTTAGCATCGCAGTTCGTCGGATAGGTCTGACGTGAGCCCGTGGTACTACATTGTGCGACCATCAACCAAGACTGTAGTCGAATCGCTTCCTTGCTGACCGTTTTTATACTCGGCAACAAGAGAAATTTGCTCAGACTGGGATGACTACTTAGGCGCGTTAAGGACTTGAACACAGATAGCTATCGATCCTCGAGGGTTGTGTGCAGGCTTCACATGCTAGGCTTTTGTGCAAGCGACTCGAGCTAGTGACAGAGAGAGAGCATCGTATGTGGATTCTGCGGCTGAGCTGTCTCAATCCGTTGTGAGAATAGCTTCCGTCAATGGATGGGCCACGACGGTGGCGTTCATTTGAGCATTTGTGAGAAGCATTGTCCGAGACCAGGTCTGAAGACCTTGCACCATAGCTATCCTTCGTCAGACATTCTCCTGAGCCGTAGGACTAGGCTGCTGAGCAAGTGCCTGACCAACAAGCTCCTTTGCCTTCTCACTCAGATCAAGCTGCAAAGCAAGCTCCTGGCCCCTCTTTCCCATCTTGACCCACGTCTTCTGCAAAATAGCAACCATTTTCTTATCAGCGTCCTCTTCGCTATCATGCTCTACCTTCCACTTTGTCTCGTAGTGGTCAAACTGGTCATCGAGAAAGACCAGACAGGCACAGTCCTCCAGTACCTGAGCCTCAGCATCTCCCCTACCCTCGCCCTTCTTCAGCTCTTCTTTCGCGATCAAGGCCGCGACTTTACTGGCTTCATCTTCGGTAAAGTCACATTGTAGGCATATCTCCTTGACCTGTTGTGCCTGTCTTTTCTTCAGGAAGGTGCGCCAGGCGAAGTAGCCAGGCTTGGTCTTGGGGTATGTGTCGCGAGGGACTTCCCAGCGGCGGAAATGCTGAGCTCGGACGGCGGTACGTAAGAGAGGAGATGCGTCGGGTGTGTGCAAGTCGAGGTAGTGTGTCATGCGCTGCGCGTAGTGTAGCTCGTATGGTTCGTTTGACTCTGTCTTTCTGGGGTCTTGAGCATGGGCCTCGTCGATTAGTTCGAGGGCACGATCAATGTTGGGTGTCATTCTGAACACGAATGTTTACGTATGTGCAGGCTCTGGTAGAGAAGTGAAGATTGCAAGAGCAGATCCGCAACACGAGTACATGGTCCACTTTAACATTCGGAATTGCTTATCACAAGCTCAAGTTCTTATCAGGACATTTACAAAGGCGGAGGGTTTTCGATGTAAGAAAGTATGAGAGTTCAATTCATGCAGTATGAACCATTCGCTTGCCGCGCCCTCACTCCATCTATACAAGTATTCATTCTAGATTGCTATCATCCCTTGACACTCACTCGTTGCCTTTCTAAGCACCACCCTCCCGCTTTGCATACTCATCCGCCATACGTTCCTCGTACGCCTGATCAGTCTCCGCCTTGCTCATCTTCTGTCCACCAGCACTCGACGTAGTCGTCTTCTTGTTATATGTGCCCGCGTTTGCATTGAGTCCACCCGAGAAATTAAATGCCCCTCCAAGACTCGCGGTCGCTGACGATACAGTCTCCTTGGTTGTCTGCCATGCGCCTGACTGGGAATTGTCCACTTCCTGAGATTGTTTTTTGGATACTTCTTGGGAGCTCATGTTGATCAAATGCTGGGACGGGATGCAGTAGATTGTAGGAGGTGAAAATTACAGGTGGGTTTTGACAACTGAGTACCAGGAGGATTGGAAATTGTGTCAATATTTTTTATGGATTCATAGAGATCTCTTTACATTGCCATATCTTACCTTTCTCTCATACTATATACATTTCGATAGGCTGCTCCGAAAACAGGTTTCGAGCTCGTGCTTGCGAGGACACGAAGATCTGTTACCACCCGAGAGACTTGCTCCTTAAGCTACGTCATATGGAATGGTTACTAAATTGGGAGCATTCACCTGCATCTGTTTTCATGTGTAGTAGTGGACGATGAATATTAAACTCAACGATTTTCACCTTCTATTGTGTTCTTTGCGTTGAGCACACGCTTCCCGCTGCTTTACCTCCTTGAGACTACCAAAAATCTATTTTGTAGCCGTGCGTGAAGGCCCTGTTTGAGCGCTTTGACGTAGTCTCTGTCTGACGAACCTGAAACAGGCGCCTCGCCCCGAACTCCTGCTTCGACCTTTCACTGCCTCTCTTCCATTGCCTCGACTTTGACCTCGCAAAATTCGATAGGAACGGGTACCAGTGACTGAGCGATGAGATGCATCTCTTTCAAAGGAAGGTTCACCCAGAAGTCGTAAACTTGGACACGAACACTGTTCTCTGATCTCCTTAATTTCCCTCATCAGGACACGCAGACTCACCTCGGACCCCCTAAATGTATTGCCGGGGACATCATAAGCGGCTGGACGATGCACAACCAAAACAGCACCCTGACATGGCTTAGTGGAGACAATTTCGAGGTTGCCACATTCAATGTCTCATCACTCGTCCAAGAACTCACAGTACATGTTGCTAGCTTGTCAAGAAGGGCATAATGACTGTAGCTCTCCATTGAGGGCGCTTGCATTCGTGCTGGAGGAGTATCAGGAAGGTATCCCTGTTGTGTCCGACAGGTTTGCCCTGTGGACTTTGATTGATCACGACACTCCTTGGTGCCATCGGCTGGTGTTGGCGGGGTATTGACAGGCTGAGACAGCTCTCCTGTGTTCGCTAGAGTCCAACAATCCAGCACCTTCATGCCCTATCATGTGGAGTATATTATAGCTCATTTCGTAGCACCGACCTCGCTCGATTGTACCAGAGCCTCCCTGGCACTCTCCTTTTCAATCCGCTCTCTTAATTCTCTCTCTTCACTCCACGCTCGCGCGCTCCTCTCCAATGCCCTGTTCCTCCTTCTGACATTATCGTTGTATTCGCTCACTCTCTTCTCCGCAAATATACAGCCGCCCAATGTCATAGCAGATAGTTGTATAAAGACCTTGAACTGCGGTGTGAGGCCACGATAGACAGGATGGAGATTGCTGAGCGCGATATGGGACAGAATCGAGATGCTGCCAAAACGAAAAGCTCCTGAAGCAAAACCCTGGGCCGCGATGGGGGTCAAAGCTTCGGGAGGCGCTATATTCTGGACAGTGGACGGAGGAGGCATATTGGCTGTATTTCGTGGTAAAAGAATAGGTCCGCGAGCTCATCAGTCACACGAACAACTCAAGCTTTGCTCTCGTGCATGACCGTTCCTGAACGGATCCCCACATTTTTTGGCTTCATGCGCGTCATCAAGCGCGACGGCACGATGGGGCATGTGCTCCGAGCCGACTCCTGCCTGAATGTGAGTGCCTGAAGATAAATATTCTGGTCGCGACTGCCGTCAATTCTCTTGCCATGACTCGAGATCTTACTGCTCGTCTACGATACTAACCATCACATTCAAGTTATTGTAGTGGTCGAGGATTAGTGTAGCGACCATAATGGCACCAGTTAAACCTGCCCGCAGGCTGGCGCGCAAATCAGCGACAGCAGGTCCATCCAAATCAAAAAAGCCCGGCAAACTACCACCGAAAATGAGCAAGCAAGTCAAGACCAAACCAGGCGCACAGGCACAGAAACCCAAAAAGAAGAAACCTGAATATTCCGAAAAACAACTAAATTTGCCTGTACTGAACAGCATTGTTCCTGCGAATGCCAAAACTGTTCAAAAGGCTGGTGGAACAGGCAAGAAGAAGAACAAGGTCTTTGTTGACGACACCGAAAGCATGATGACCATTCTTGCCATGGTTAATGCTGAGAAGGAGGGTCAGATTGAAGGCAAGGTCCAGAAAGAACGACAGATGGAGGAGATTAGAGAGGCCAGACGTAAAGAGGCGGAGAAGAAAGAGCAGAAACGGCAAGGGAAAATCGAAAAGGTCAAGCAAGACATAAAGAACGATCAGAGAGGCAAGAGGAGAAGAAGCGAAGCTGACAAGGAGAGCCCATTGAAAGAGCAGCAGAATCAAGATAAGAAACCGAAGAGGAAGAGTGTGTCTTTTGTGACGTGAAGAAAGATCTATGCTATGGTTACATCTATTCAGCACAACTCTACACGATCACGATACGTCCTCTATATGCATCTTTCTGCGCATCGGATCAAACCAAGGTCTTAATGGCTCCCGCTTGAATCTCCTGATTTCGCCTTCTGGCAAAGGATGAGATCTCGAATAATGGTCGAAATCGACCTCTCTGGCTATCTTCTGGAAAAAGGCTTCGGTCGCTCTAGCCATCCATCTACCACCACCCAGTTCGAACCAGCTTAGGTGACCACCCAGACTTGTCGTGCAGAGCACACCGTATGGTGTTTGCATAAATTCCCCACGAGGAATTGCTCCGTTTGCCACGATAGGATCGTCCTCAGCGCTGATTGCTAGAAACGGGATTCGAATTGCAAGTATCGAGTCTGTGGAGGATGCATCTCGGTAATACGCCTGTTCTGTTGGATAACCCCAGCTTGGGCATTGGATAGCACGATCAAACTCGAACAGGTATCGGACCCTTTCGACTTCTGCTGGGTCGATAGCAGAGTTCTTCAAGATGGAGTCCTTGTGGATACGATACAGCCTCTTGAGGTTGGTACCCATCGCCCGGGAATATACCTCTCTGCCTAACCACGTGCTCTGCAGGGCTAGGTTGCTAACGTCCAAAGACCATGGACAGGACAGTGCTACGGCTGCTGTCAGCTGACAATCTGCGCCTTCCTCTCCGAGATAGTTCGTCAGGATATTTGCTCCTAACGAGAAGCCAACGCCGTACAGTGGACGGTTTGGGAATGTTTCTCGCAGCCATTTGACGGCCTGTCGAACGTCCCACGTTGCTCGAGCATTGAAGAGCACGGGGGTTGTAATCTTGGAGTTAGCACATCCTCTAGCGTTGACGACACAAGCCTCCCAGCCGCCTTTCTCAGTCACTAGTGGGGCGAGGACATGACGGAGGTACAGTTCATATGACCCACCACTTAGGCCATGTAGAGCAACGAGCATAGGTCTGCTGTCGGTTGAAGCTATTCCTTTAAACTCCTCTTCACTAAAATAAGTTGTTCTCGGAAGGCCGATCTCGTCACTCCCTTCGTAAGGCTTGACCACAAAATCGAGAGCAAAGGTTCCAGGATAACATGGATCTTGCTGCTCAAAGAGTCGTCTCTTGTAGTAGATAGGTACGGCTTGCGACTTCAACACGGTCCACATGGTCTGCAGGTCACCATTAAATAAAAACGGGTTCAATCGACAGGGTGGTAACACGTCTTTGCAAAGTGCTGCTAATGTGGTGTCCTTGCCATCATTGGTCCGTATGCTTATAGAATTCTTGCCGTGGTAGAAGGTCATACGTGCTTTGCCTAGCAGGCGTGACATGTTTCTTATCAGTAGAGAACCAGCGAGACCAGCAATGATAGTGCTCAGTATTGTTGTCGTACTATAGCCTGAAAAGTGTAAGCTCATTGTTGCTGCTTAGCTGGTTGTCTGGGGAATGGCATGGTGGTGAACATTTCGGTCAGAAAAGCTCAAGTGGACCACAGTGTCTCAGTGCGTTTCCACATGAACCTGAAGCAATCAACCTTTTCCCACGGTCGAGTCTGTTCTCTAACGATGGTTTTTCGTGAAGAAATGGCCGTATCTAAACCATGTCGCATATCGAACAAGGCAATTTTCCGTACAATCGTCCTTGGAGTGAGTTCTTCTGCAATGCCGCTCCATTAACCTCACCCATCGCGCTAAGACCGTGGTTTCAAGATGACATGCGATCGTTCTTGTAGATCTTGAGCACCCTCCCTGACTCGGTGCCCGTTTATCTATCATGATGAGATCGAGTGAAGACAAGTATGATGGTCAACGGCGATGAGCAATAAATCTAGAAGCAGTCGAGAAGGCCAACGCCCCGTGAGGGATCACCAATGGCGAACGTTCGCACTGTGCCACACAAGACACAGGATACAGCAAACTTTTGAGAGGTTCCCCCATTTCTTACCACAAATTTGACGCGTCAGTGAATTGCTTGAAGACGCGTCGACGGGTAGGCACTGAGGGACGTGACTGCCTGCCGAGATGCCTTACCAGTATGGGCACTTTCCGCCCAACGAGCTATATGGCTACGACTATACGCAACAATATGTGCAACCTTACACTGGAAATGTCCATCCTCAGAACCAGGTGCAGGTCGTCGTGCCACAACGGCAGTCATTCAATCCACATCTCCTCAATCAATCTCCGTCGCAACCAGCGAACAACTACCCTTCACAACTGCCACAACCGCAGTTTGCTAACAATCCTGGCTTTGACCAGGGACCGTACTACAACCAGGCGTCTCTCTTGCAGAATAATCAACTGTATCCACAAGAGAATTCGGGTTATACTGCCTCCAACCAATATTACCACCAGCCACAACAGTACCAAAGTCAACGGCAGCCTCAAGTGGTCGTTCCACCTTCACCAGTCCGACAAATCCAACAGCAACAAGTAGCCGCTCCAGCCATTGCGACTCCTGTTGTATATCACCACAATCGCATGCCTTCCAATCCTGCTCAACCACATCCAAGACCTTCACCAGTTCATTCAATTCCTGTTGTCCGTGTGCCTCCGAGGCAAGCCATGCCCGAATCTTCTATTCTTCAGCAGACCAAAACGAACACACCTCGTCAATCCAGTGCACAAAAACCATGGACAGAATCAGCTCCTGAAATCCCTTCAGCGCAGTATCCATCAGTACTGCTATCGCTTGCAGATGAGTATCTTGAAGCGTCGCGATGTATGGATGAAAGGACGGAAGATTACTACAGCATTGTGGCAACCGCGCTTGCGTGCATGGAGACCACACTAAAGAATTTCAAACTCTCTCCTTTGAGAGAGGCACAAGTGTCTCTAAAATATGCACAAGCTCTTTACGACGAGACTGATAACCTCGATGTGGCTGAAACCACTTTAAGTAGATCAATCGATCTATGTGGTAGAATGAATCTTGTTGACCTGAAGTATGCCATGCAGCTCCTCCTTGCCAAGGTGTTGTTTCGTTCGAAACCAAAAGCTGCAATGAGAGATCTGCAGGCTATGATTCAGGACATCGAAACATATCGTCACAGCGCTTGGGAATACTCCTTCAGATTTCAAGCTGCTTTCTTTGATCTCGAATTATCAGCTGCTTCGAATTTGCACGACGCGGTACATCAACTGGAAAGGATTCAGCACATCGCCAGGCAGAACAACGACCATACAGTTTATGCTTTCGCGGCCCTACTTGAGTCTTTAGTACACCTGAATGATACAGCACAAGAAAGTGTTACCCACGCTCAAAGTGCACTTGCGAAGGCACGAAGTCTGCAGCTGAATCCAGAGATTGCGACTCACCCTCAAGTTTCCAGCATGATGGATCTACTAGATGTTGTCTGCTCGCTACAAAACGGAAAGACCACTACTGAGGACTTGTTGCAGAGAAGAAAGAACATGGCGAAAACCATCTCGGATGCTGTTCAGAGGAACCCACATTGGGCTAAAGACGAACTGCTCTGGTTACGCATCAACCCCACCTCGCTACGAGGTGTCGCTACCCAAGACTGTGGTTTAGTACAGGAAGTTGATGGCAAGTATTACATCGCTCTCACATGGATGGGTAAACTCGAGCTTGAAGGTGTGGGCTATCTTGTCAATTCTATTTGTTGGACATTAGCAAGTCAGGCTTTCCATGATAAGGCCAGAGCTTACATGCGAGAAGGCTACAGAATTCCAAACGATGAAATACCCAACCCCCCAAACAGTGAAAACGGCACGAAGCCTCCCAAACCTATCACTATCAAGGACAACGAATTCAGGAATCGTAGCCACCTCTTAGCAGCCCATTTCCAGTCCGAGGTGGCGCTACTATCTTATGCACAAGGACCGCTCGACGATTGCCCAAAAGCACTGAAAGCATTGGAAGGACATTTAGCACGGACCAAACAGGTGCCCCAAGAATACAAAGCGCTTATCGACTACCTGAAGGGATGCATATATCAGGCAAATGGCAATCTCGGCGCAGCCGTCAAGCACTTCCAATCTCCTGACCTGGCTCTACAACCCAAACAACGATCAGATCAGACACCTAACCAGAAACATCAGCAGGCAAATAGAAAAGACACTATCCTCCTCCAATTACAGCTATTAGCGGCGATGAATGTAGCCAACATCATACGCAGCCTTTCACATCCTCAGCATCATCATCTGCAGACTTTGTTCGCCACAATATCCTCTCATATGACGCCCAATTCTCCGGCTAACATTCGGTCAGCTTACAACGTCCTTCTTGCTGCCATGCCAGCTGATTCCACAACTCTACAAGTAAAGTCTGTACTTTCTACAGCAATGTATCTCGGGCGTGACACGAAGAACCACCAGATCTCTAGTATTGCTCTGGCTTTGATTCAAGACCGATTCTTCCGTGGTGGAGTACAGGACAAACAGGCTGCGAAAAGCGCCAGGACAGCTGCTTACATGGTCAGAGATAAGTGGCAGAACGCCCTTTGGTGGGCCATATGCGGGAATATGGAAGTTGAGAGTCTGTTATTACAAGTCCAGAGCCAAGGTCTCCCGAAAGGCACACCAGAACACGCGAAGGCATGGGACGAGATTCGTGCAAAGAGAGAGGAAGTACAACGTGCTTGGCAACGTGTGCCACCAAGAGTGCAACAAGAGATGCAAAGGTGATTAACGCTCTTCCAGTGTCGAATTTTTGCTCCGAGTTTGAACTTTTCTTAACCATCTTAGCGAGGCGTTCGAATGGTTGGTTTATTTTTTGTTCGAACAGGATATCAGGCTCAACACAGTCAAGCGTGATTAAGCATTGTCGCGTCCTATACGCGTTTTCTTGGCGAGTGGTGCAAGCCTCGGTTGAGTCTCAGTGAATGCTTTGCCGAATCGTTCTTCGTCCATAAGTCATGCTTGTCTGAGGTATTGGGCTAAACAATGTTGAAACTCAGTATTTTATAGAAGCTGGGTTAGGCTGTTGAGAATGTCGAAATTAGTTCCTGTCGTAATAGGTGTCGGCGATGTGGTCAATCATTCTACTAAAATTGAGGATGCTAAAGAACCATTAGACCTGATACTCCAGGCCATTGATAAGGCTCTAGACGACACTGGGTCAGCATCCAAGTCGAGTATACAGGCGGCCATCGACAGCATCAGCATCGTCCGAACATGGACATGGCCCTACCCCGATCTTCCTGGTCTTCTAGCCTCCAAGCTCGACGTTAACCCGTCTCATAAGGAATACACAGACCACGGCGGTAACCAGCCCGGGAGAATCTTTGACGAAGCCGCCAAACGAATATCACTAGGTCAATCCAAGATCGCAGTACTAGCTGGAGGGGAAGCACTTGCATCCCGTACGACCTTCTCCCCCATCATACACAAACCACTGATACTTACTCCCAGTAACCTCCTTCGCCAAAGCCAACAAACTCCCCCCGCCATCCTGGACCAAACTCTCCACAAACATCAACGACGTCTTCTCCCCCACAGACCGTCAACTCCCCGAAGGTAGGACCACCACCACCTCTCTCAACGCCCTAATCGGCGCAAGCTGGGCCGCTGACAACACTCGAGGCCTCGGCCGAATTTATCAGATCGGCGCCCCGATCCACATCTACCCGCTCTTCGAGAACGGGTTTCGCGCATATCGTGGACAGAGTATTGCTGAGAACAACGCCGAGTCAGCAAGGTTGTACGGGGAATTTGCGAGGGTCGCGAGTGGGTGTGAGTATGCGTGGAGTTACGGGAAGATGGCGGAGACGGAGGAGGGGATTGGGAGGGTGACGGGGAGGAATCGGATGATTTGTTTTCCTTGTGAGTGGTGTCATTTACTACACTAGTGCTTTGAGATGTGTGTGGATGGCTAATGGGTGGCTAGATCCGCTGCTGATGAATGCGTTCAACACGATCAATCTTGCGGGAGCTGTGATACTGACGTCTACAGAGACTGCGAGGGAGTTGGGGGTGCCTGAGAGTAAATGGGTTTATCCTCTTGGTGGAGCAGGGACGAGGGACAGTTACGATTGTGAGTATGATGCGTGTCGCAATTCTGGTACTGATATCGGTATAGTTTGGGAACGACCAGACTACCATTCCAGCCCGTCAATATCTCGTTCCATCGACGCTGCTTTACAGGTCTCAGGTCTAAGCAAGGATGATATCGACTGCTACGATTTCTACAGCTGCTTTCCTATCGTGCCGAAACTTGCTTGCAACCATCTAGGTCTATCGATCACAAACCCAGAAAAGCCCATCACACTACTTGGAGGACTAACGTCTTTCGGGGGAGCAGGCAACAATTACTCCATGCACGCTCTGACAGCCATGACGAGGGAGCTGCGTAAGGGCGAGAGGAGGACCGGCCTTGTTCTTGCTAATGGAGGTGTCGCGACTTATCAATACGCGGTTATTTTGTCGAGGTCACCACGAGAGTCAGCTTATCCTATTAGAGAGCCACTTCCAGCTGTGATTACTGATATTGCTGTACCAAAAGTCGATGCTACTGTGGAAGGTGAAGCTGTGGTTGAGACATATACTGTTGAGTTCGATCGAACGAACAACCCGCTACGAGGACATGTCGTTGGACGGCTGAAGAGTAATGGTCACCGATTCCTTGCCAATCACGGCAATGAAGCCACATTGCAGCAGTTGGCAAGCTTCTCGAAAGAGCCTATCGGTAGGGGCGGTATTGTGAAGCAAGACTCGGAACAGAAGGGTAGGAACCTCTTCTCGTTCTCAGATGAGCCTCGGCTGTAACAACCCAAAACTGCAGCACACAAACATGTATGTGATCGATTACTCCTGACGTTGGCTCGTGGCAGTTCTGACAATACTGGCAGTAAATTCGCTCATGGTCTTGGCCTTTTGCTTGACAAGAAGCTCCAGCCTCTCAACATCCTCGTCCGCTATCGTTCCGATATCCATTACTTGAGAGCGCCAATCCACGACGTACAGCCTCGCAAGATAAAGCCTGCTGGCCTTGTGAAGTGTCTGCCCTTGAGCAAGATTGACCTGTATTGGAGCCTCTGCAGGAACTGATTCCCCACGATACAGCCTCGCGACATCGCCAGCATACAAGACGACGTGATTGTTGATGTCTTCAGCTGTCATTCCTGACATTCTTAGGCCACGCCCCAAGTACGTTGAGAAAGATGTGCAGTAACACTTGCCATCACTGTTTGCGACGGAGATCATTCGATGTACTTGTCCATATGCACGTTCGTCATCGAAAGCACGCAAAGCAAGACCACCCGCGGCGTTCGCACTCTGCAATAGTGACGACCACACAACAGCAAAGACTCGACCGGGTCTGAAGAATTGATCATGTAACGCTGCATGTTTCTCTGTTGTGTTAAGATGGCAGGAATGGTCGTAGAAACTCCTCCATAGAGGCAATGACGAGCCTGAACGGTAATCGCTCATAGTACTGTGGCGATGCCGAACGGTGACAAGAAAATGCTCAGAGCCAGAACAGTACTGAGGAGCGAACACAATCGGCTGCCTCAGCATATTGAGCGACTTCGGGCCTTATCATTCGTCAAAACAGAGACAAATCTGCCCGTATTTACGTTTTGAGTTTAGGGACAGGTTTATTGACTGGGCAAGAACAATTCACCGTAAGTAATGCGCAGACATGAGCTCTGCAGGAGGAGACGAAGACAACCGTATCGCGAACATGATCGATGCTAAGGGCAGATATTCTGTATCAGGTAGCATCCATACTTTGTCTCATTTGATCACGGAAGTTCTCAACTTGTATCGGTTTCCACCCCTGTCCGCTGAAGTACCATCCTCGGAACCGGTCTCGCTTGTGGTTCGCACATCACTCGCCAACGTAGTCATCCATAGCCTCGACCGAGGCCTAGGTAGTCTTTGCCAATATTCTCTTTTAGAATGTTCGCTCCCCTCCACTTGGCCTTCGCTTCGACGTGGTCGAACCAGCTTACCGATTCGCATCGTAGACTGCTGTGTCCACGCTTTATATCGACGACATGTACGTTCATACAATTTTCGGCACCGCGTCATGGCTTCTGACATGCTTTCCAGTTTATGGTGTCTATGTCTGTCATTAGAATGTCTCATGATTGCAATGCGAACAAGTGAGTTGGAGATGACTTCCAGAGTGCCAACAGTGGTCTGGCGAACCGGAATTGCGTGCTACGCATACAAATAATGCGTTTTGACGTGTCGGATTGGAAAGGCACCTTTCAAAAGGTGGAGCAGATCACGTCTTTTGGCACAAAGGATAACTTGAGCTGTATAGCGAGTCAAATCGGATGATGTGGACGTGAAACCTGTCCAGTTCAAGGTGCTGGATCGGTCAGCGGGGAACAGATCAGCAAATGCGAATAACTCTGCTCTTTGCCTTCGTATCTGGTCGTCAATTTCAGCATTAACAGGCGTCAATGCTCTGAAAGATTGAGGCCTACTGTGGTGTGAGTACGAATGTGACATTCTGGTGTTTATGCGTAATGCTTGTCAAAGAATATATGCAATATAAGTCGCAGGGTCAGCAGAAGCACTCAAAGTGACGGGCAATGATGCGCATCTGTCTCGTACAGGATTCTGAGCGACCAGCCTCGACGTTCTATTTCGAGGTATGTTGTTGCTAGCATTGTTAATAGGTCGGCTATTCACAAAACAAAGGTTTTCTAGCAGCATAGACAGCGAGGCTGCTATGAAAAGTATGCAGAGTATAGTGCTTTGTCTGCTGTTGCTTGGACACGATCGAGTCTTTCGTGACATAGATGCGTAGACATGATTGACGTCTGGTTCAATACTGCTCTCGCAGCGATCGCTGAGTTCCTCACGGCCATTGCCAAGTCCAGCAGCAGGAAAGTAGATTCATGCTGGCACAAGGCCGAGACGGATGTTTCTTGCAGTTCGCAGGACAAAGGGATTCGAAAGCTGGCTGAGTGGTCGGCGACTTTCCTTAGAAGTCATCAGGGGGTGCTAGCCAGATACTTGGCCAGGACCCTGCCAGCATTTGATACCCAGCACAGCCGATACAGTATGAAGAACGATGAGCTTTTGGTTACCAAGGACTTATCTGATTGTGGTATGTTCACCTGCTTTGCTTTGAGGTCAGTAGCTCCATGGCTCAGTCGTTCTGCACGTATACTGACAGACTCAGCCAGCGAGCTGGAATGCTAGAGGCATGCCCATGCTCTGTCGCATGGTCTGATGTGCTGACAGTGAAGTAGAGGAAGCAACTTCATAATTCGGTGGCAGGAAATCGAAGGACAACGGACACCTTGAGAGTTGCCGAAGATGATCCTAAAAAACTGCAGCCAGGCAGCATTATATCCAGATGAAAATGATGATAGAGAAGTGCTTCGTTTGAGATGCAGCGTCGACAATGTCCCGCTGCTGCTGCTGCTTGTGCACCAGTTCTCTCTCACCGTTGCGTGACTATGGAGGCCACTACCTCATAGCAAGAAGTAATGTGGCAGACCAAAGTAAGGGCGAGGCAGCGGCAGTTGTCTAGGATGCGCTGCCAAACAAGAACGACTAGGAAACCATCGCTTCAAGCACAACATTCAGGAAATCTGATTCACGAATGCTTCAGTCGTAGACTGTCGGCGACAGCAAGCAGGATGGGTATGTTTACAGACCTGTTCGATTGCTTGAAGCTCTTCAATAATCTTATTTGTTTTCAATCGCACCATGTCCAGCCACCTCGAACAGAGAAATGGGTGGCTGGGTTACCACGACCGGGACGAGCCTGCCCATGTCCTTGGATCTTCACTTCTGCGATCTGCTTTGGATACTGACTCGAACAGACTCATCTTACCTCTTAATCAATTCAAGCTATCATCATGCCTATTGTCGTCTCGAACGAAGGATGGGTCAAACTTCCACCAAAGCCACGAAAAGCATCACCAAGAAAGCCTGCAGACCCTGTCGGCATTCTTCGAGGACCATTGGCCTATATTACTGGCAGACCAGATTTCAAAGAGCCTGTTAAGAAGCAACCTATTGATCAATTAGTGCTCGCATCCTCATATATCTCTCCACCTCCACCTCCTGTCTTCGAAGAAAAGCCAAGACGGACCCGAAGTCGAGTCCCTTCAGCACCAGTCTCAAGCAAGAGCAAGCACAGATCCCAGACAGATACTTTCGAAGAGGCGGACGAGGAGATACCACGTCCGGGACTCTTGCCGGAAGATGTACAATCACAGCGAAGTGCCTCCCCAGTAGGCTCAAGGCATACAAGAGCAGCTCCTTCCGTGAGGTCAAGGCGGTACGAGACCTCAAGACCCGATAAGCCGCAGTATGAGGTCGAAGACGAACTAAAAACTCGTCGGTCGAGGCGTCCCCAATCTGTATATGACGACGAGATCAGCTATTACAAGTCCAATCGTAGCGAGCGCAGCCATAGAGAGCGAGAACGCGAAAGAGACAGAGACAGGTATCACTCCCGCGCCTACAGTGACCATTATGCAGCACCGCCAATGCCGCACATTCAGCCCATTGTCATCTACTCAACTCCACCACCAACAACAGGCTGCGGAGGACATCATTCATGTCAAAATCATGGCACTGTGCAACATCAACATTCTATGCCTTACTACAGGCCCATGATTGAAGCAAATTCTGCATTCGCACCTAGGCCGATGCCGTTCGCTGAACCTGCAGGATTGCCTGCACCAAAACCAGCACCAAGTGAGGTCGGTTCAACTACGAAATCGAGCAGGAGCGATATGAGTTATAAGTGGTATACCGCTACTCAGCCTTTGAAGATGTGAACACTGGATGGCCAAAAGCAACTTTCAGACTGCAAATTATCGAGAACGAGGAGCGAGCCGCAGCAGGCTGTTGGATAAGTGCAAAAATTTCACATACTGTACCTATATTGTATTTGGCTTTCTCACGAAAACGAAATCCCAGAAATATTCACGCGGCATACATAGGTGTACGGCGTGGGGCCATTGAATGGACAGGAAGAGGGAAAGAATTCAATTCAAATAATTATTCGATTTGTGAACACCACTTCCAGCTACTTGTATTCCACTCACTGAACAAATTTCACCCCAAGAACGACCAGTTTTCAGGTGAATACCAACACAATATACGTGCATACACGTTGTGCCACTACCTCTAAAATTGCACCTCCGGATCCCATGCATTCGGACAGTTACTGCAACGTCAGAAGGTAGCTGGTTCAATGGTAATTAGTATACACGTAGTAAATTATCTCTAATATCTATCTGTATCTTCAGCACATATACATAGATGCTTACAGCAAGTAATACATAGTACTAGTAGGGGTATACGATCTATGAACTCCTCCCAAGCGCCTTCGCTAACATGAAATTGTAATCTTTTCAAAACATAATCCAAAAAAAGGAAAAAGAGAGACTTGGTTTTGTCGTCCCACAGGTATTCAGCGATGCCCGAACAGCAGTCGGCGCCGCTTAGGTAACTTACGTGCTCCCACTCAATTTGGCAGCACCTGGCTTCTCCAGATCTAGTTTTGTGCCAAATCTCTCGCTCCATTCACCTTCAAGACTGTCCTCATCCGTCCTTTCGCAATGTCCTCCGAGATGCGGATCGTCGTAATCAACAGTATATCTCTCTTTGCCATCGTCGCCTCGGGCCTTGCTGAATTTGTAGCGCATGCCCTTGCTGATGATGATTTCATCTCGCTCTTCTTGGGTGAGACTCTCTAGCGCCATGTTGCTGAAATCGTGGGCCATGCGACTGCCAGCGAGATAACTGAGTACGGTGCCGACTGTCTCGGGTTGACGAGGGAGATTGGCGACGCCAGGCTGCTGGCGCCACCAGAAGACGACGATGAGGATTACGAGACTCATTCCTGAAGTGATCACTAGGGCGGTCATGCTGGAGAACTCGTATGCTTCCTTGGTTTGTGAGAAGGTCATGAGAACACCGCTTACGGCGATGATGTTGATATCGCTGAGAACTGCGACCATGCCAATTAGGAATTCGAACCACATGTTGGGATAGCTGATTAAGCCTCGCATGCACCTGGGCGCGTTTGACCAGCAGGTTCCATTGAGGGCACACAAAATCGTGTTCTCGGGTCGTGCGTTGCCGTTCCAGAGACGTCGGTATGGTTCTATGATTCTGACTTTGCGTTCCAGGTCTTTCCACTGCATGTCTAGAACAGTAGCCAAGCCGACTATGATGAACTTTGGCCACATTGAGTTTGAATTGGTAAAGAAACGGTTAAATGCATCGTCGTTCATGTCTGCTCTGTAAGTGATAAGAAGAGCAAGGAGTACCAGGATAGTAATCATGTGAATCGCGTCGTGTACTTTGATCATCTTGTGGTGAGATATTTCAGGTTTAATCGCTCTATATCGCATATCAGCATTGGCGAAGACTTTGTCGAGCGGACCAACGTCAGGCACTGTAGATGCGGGAGCATGATAGAAACCGTATCTATACGACGTTGGTGTTTGGGAGTGAGGCACCAGCCAGAAGTGATAGTCGGACAGGGACTTCGCGAGCTCATCTTCATCGGCGTCCCCATCAACAGCCAGAAGATCTTGTCGTAAAGGCTCGTAGTTGAGATGCACGGCGATAGCAGCGATGGAGCTTGGATTTGACGCAACACCAGCGTGATATCTCCAGCTTGACCAGACGATCGCTAACGTAAGCGCTATGCATACAGCAAGCAGTGCCTCTAATACACGGATAAACCGAATATCCACGATCCATGCTGGATCACAATTGTACCAGCCTTCATTCAAGTAGCATCTGTCCATCGGTTGAACAGACATTGAGGCGGAGGAGAGTGGTGCTCCAACAGTAATCAGGAAGTAGATCAATATCGACCAAAGTGGAAGCCAGCGTCCAGCCACGACAGAGCGGACGACATCGCCAGAGAACGCACTTGACAAGTATTGTGAGAACATTGAGCCCTCTGCAGTGGATCCTTGGATGCGGTGCAATCGCTCAAATGGTTCCATCATTTTGATAGACGCGACCATTGTTTCGAACAAGATTTTGATGACAACCGCCGCGATCGTCGGTATGTAAAGAGCGGTGACATAACTGGCTTGTGTAAAGGGCACGTTGATTACTCGTTGGTGCTTTGTAAGAGCCTCCACACCGTTCTTGTCGTCAGTTGAGCCGCCGCCCCCGCCGCCCCCGCCGCCTCCACCTCCACCATTGCCGGATTCATTGTCGTCACTGTCATTGCTGTCACCACCCGCTCCAGAATATGTGTTGCCGTTAGTGCCTGGTATATTGCTTGCAGATAGTCCTATAGCTGCACCCGCCGTTGTAGGACTGATCACGACCACAGACTGACTTCCCCGGACACCACCTGCTCCAATTGACTCAATACTCATAGTCTGGGTGACCATTGCTAACGGGGCAGTCCCGCCAGGAGTTTGGAGGAGTGCAGCTTGTTGAGTAATCGTGGGCATATTACTAGTCATCGCAAGATAATTGTCTCTCAAGCGAACCACGACAGTCGTGCTTTGTCGCTCTACGAAAGGCTTGACACCGGGTGTGCCGGACACAACATCGCGCTTGGCAAGCGATGGAACAGGTGAGATGAAAGTAGCTGGGATACACGCTGGTTCAGTAGCCACGGTTGCGAGGACTGGAGTGGATGTTAGCGATGGCCATGAAGTTGAGCCTCCCTGAAAGACGTCCAAGGTGAAAGTTGCTGCGACTGTTGTAGATACGACCCCACTTGAAGTCCGTCGAACTGTCAAAGGTGATGTCCAGAGGAGATAGTTCCAAGCGTCTACCAATGGGTCGACAAGATCTTGCCTTTGCATCATACCAATTGCGTCTCTTCTCCGGGCAGAACGCCTGCCAAAGTCGCGCCGGGCACGATCATCGTCAACAAAGTGGCGGTGAGAATCGAGATCTCTTGCAAAAGCTTGAGTACCGTTCTCATGGTAGGATTTGCTGCCTGCTCGACTGACCGTGAGTGGTTCGGAAGAACCCGCATGCGGACGATGTGGCAGGATGGAGAGAGTGCTTTCGTTCACTGCAATCACATCACTAAGACCTTGTCTTTTCTCAACAACGACCGGAGAACTAGTTCCACAATCCGCAGGACATACCATAGCGGTTCCATCGTCGTTGAAGGTGCAGTCTGGGCAAGGTGTCTCGCGGCAAACACCATCAGTGCTGCAGTAACAAGAGCCTCCGGTGCCACAGCTATCACATCGTACTTCAACGAGAGGATTGCACGAGTCTGTAGGCACATCGAGGGCAAATCCCCAGATCTCTAACACCTCAGGATCAGGATAGAAGGAACTCGGATTGCCGGGCAGATCGTTGACCGAGATGCAGTACCAATTAAGATCGGTGCCGTAGTAGAACTCAAACATAGTCGAGCCCATATCTGCTGACCCTTGTGCACACCTAGCGACCGCTTCATCAAAGGTCCACCCAGCATAGTCTGGAGCGGGCCAGTTGACTGACATCTGCCGTGGAAGCCATCCTAAACCGCCTGGAGTGTTTCCTTGCAATGATGTACCGCAACTGGCGTAAAAGTTATTGTACACAGTCCCGTTCGATAGAACCTGATGCTGTAATGGGCTTGGCGTCGCGGTACAAGTTGGTGTTGCAGTACTGCTGGTACTTGTGGTACTTGTAGCTGTTTCTGTAGACGTCAGGGCATCAGTCATGGAGCTGCCAGTATATCCCTCAATAGCAAAGCCCCAGACGTTCTTCACAGTCGGATCACAGACGAAAACGCTAGAATCAGGTATAATCCCGTTGACTCCTGCACACCACCAGTAAGAGTCTACGTCTTCCCAGAATTCGACAATAGTAGCAGGGTTATCCACGGCAAACTGAGCACATCTAGCCACAGCTTGGTCAAAGGTCCAGCCAGCATAATCTGGAGCTGGCCAGTTAACTACAAAAACCGCGGGGAGCGCTTGGAAACCACCAGCAATTGAATTGCCACAGCCAGTATAGAAATTGGTAAACTTGTTGCTGTCGTACAATGACAAGATGTCGCCAAGAGGTGAGTTTGAGCAAGCTGTAGGGGTGGCACAGCTGTCAGTGCTTGTTGTGCCTGTAGCAGATGTCGTGGTTGTAGCCATGCTGATAGAATTGTACATATAAAATTGACCGAGGTCACTATTGTACGTGTACTCGGTGGAGTCGTAGTTGGAGTATCCCACGTCGCAATGCCATGGATTGTCGCTATAGTCGGGATTCGTGATGTAGAATACACGGAATGCTTGGTAGCCGTTGCCAGTGGTATAATCAGCACATTGCTGAATTGCTACACAGTCAGTAACTTCAGGGCCGTAAGCCACTGCAGAAACCCAGTTCCAATCAGCATTGTATTCAGAATATCCCGCTCGAGCTTGTAAGAAAGTCATTGGTCCAGAGACAGCAGTCGTCATAGCACAGAGATTCGAAGCTGTTGTTGAACTTGAGCTGGCGCTGGTGGTTGTAGTGGTTCCGTTATCGATAGCGGATGTGGTCGTTGGACTTTGTCTTAGGTTGTACGCGAACACTTCAAGGACATTTGGATCATAGTAGTCATACCATTGAGCACCAAGAATGTCTTGATGGCCGAATTGCCCACACATATACGTGTTCGTCTCAACATAGAAATAGATTTCGAATGACCAGGCATTCCAGTTGAGCGTGACTTGTGCACAATCAGCAATAGCATCTTCTAGAGTCGATGTTGAAACGTCGTAGCTCGAGCCTGGCCCCCAGGCAAGATTGTTCTGGGAGTAACCGCAGCTGGTGTAGACTTTGTCAAATATTGCACCACTTGAACTTTGCACTATGTCACCAATATTGGGCATTAGGTATTCAGCACATGTATTTGTGGTTGGAGTCTCACTTGCTGATACCGACGTGGTAGTCTCTGACGCAGTTTTCGTAATCGACGATGAAATTTGGCCTTGAACAGGGACTTGCTCTCTTGCATTTGGACCTGATATTTGAATAGCTGTGTCGCATCCAGCAGGATCCGGTCCCACAATCTCAAGCTGCAAATCCGTGGTTATGTACCAACAAGCACCCAAAAACGTGTCTGTAGGATGCTGGAGAGACACCCCATTGCAGTTCGGTGTTTCATTGCAGAGTGTTATGCAGTCTGTCATCGTGCCGCCAGCCTCCACCAAGTAATCACCACCGTTGCCACCATATCGGTTGCCCTGATTGCAGAAAATTTGCCACTGCTTGCCTTCTTCATCGTTCACTATTGCCTGATTGACGCAGGTAGCAATAGCGGGTGTAGATAAGGTGGTTGATATCGATGTTGTCTCAGTCGCTGTAGTAGAGCTTGTACTTGTTGTTTCTACACACCTGTTGACAGTGCCACAAACCCAACCCTTCTCAAATTGCGGCTCAAAATCGCAGTAACATGAGTCTGGTGTACAACCTCCATCGTAACAAACACAGTGATCAAAACCATCACAATCGAAGCAGGGGATGCTGCCTGAGAAAATGTTGTCACATTGAGTAGTCATGCATGTGCCATTTTTGCAAGCGCAGTCACCAGTACTGCAGCTTGAACATGTGTCGCCGTCGATAGAGCACTCACTGATGGCGGAGCAGGTACCATCCTTGCAGGTGCAGCCAGCCGGATCATCACAAGAAGAGCAGTACTGTCCGTTAGAGAGAGGTCCCGAGCAGGGATCAACGCAGATATTGAAATCACCACAAACATAGTCCTGGTTACCAGAATCCCATACGCAGTGGCAACCATCAACCACGCAAGAAAGCTCATCTTGACGGCTGTGGAGGGAGAAGATTCCGAGGCTGCGCTTGGCAGGCGGCTCGCTGCATACACATGTCGCAGCTTCGCAACCGTAGCAGGTCTGTCCTGCAGCAGTACAAGTCGCACTGCTCGTTGGAGTACTCATAGAGCTTTCAGAAGTGGGCGAAGTTGTGCTAACGTCGGATGTGGTCGTTACGATTGTTGACGTGGTTGGAACATCTATAGAAGAGGAGCTGCTAGAAGTAGTAGGTATATCTTCCACCTGGCTGGATGTTGCGTTTGCCGATGGTAGACTGCTGATAGACAGAACGAGTCTAGTGCTGCATTCTCCCCAAAAGGAATCATACGTCTTGATCCGACTATCAACTTGAGTGCAAAAACCTGACGATATTTGAATACGAAGCGTGGTATCAGTATTAAACACCCACAAAGCTGGAGTCGCAGTGTCTGATAAAGTCAAAAAGCCGAAAAAATCAGTTGATACGATTGCTGAATTGTAGGATAAAGTATCATCAGACATGACTGTTACGAGGGATGCCTCCGCCTCGCTCACAGCGTACGCGTAGGCATCTTTAAATCCAACGTATTGGACATCACGGCGCTGTCTTGATCTGACTGCCTGTGGTTCAGACGTGGGTTGTACAACGATATAATAGCTACTAACGCTCGTCGGGCCGGCTGAAGTTGTTCCGGTTGTGGTCTCCGAGGTAGTGGTGGTAAGGGATGTGTTAAGAGCTGCAGGAGTCGTAGTTGTGCTTATATATTCAACAGATGATGTAGACGTGGTACCATTGCTGTTACTGTCAGTAACCGTGGTCGCATAGTCAGAAGTCGACGTAGACACAGTGCCATTGCCGTTGCTGTCATCACTCGTGGTGAGGTAGGCGGAACTCGTCGAAGGCGTACCCGTACCGTTGCTTGGTGCATCGAAGGTTGTGGTCAAATACTCAGAAGTGGTTGCCGATAGAGTGCTGGTACTTGTCGTCTGAACTGGAGTTGTGGCATTTGTGTACTCTGAGGTCGTTAAAGGCGTGCTCGCATCGTTACTCGTTGTATCAATGGTCGTATTTGAATATGGAGTCGTTGATAAGCCACTGCTAGTACTCGTTGCACTGAAAGTTGTAGTCAGATCTCCAATTTGCGAAGTCGTCGTGGCTGGAAGTGTACTATTACTTGTTGCATTGACATATGTGGAAGTAGGCGGAGGCTGCGATATGGTGATTACTTCGACCGCAGAAGTAGTTGTGATGGGCACACTGGATGAGTCAGTTATCAATACAGGGTTTGTAGTTGAAATCGCTGTGACATCCGTTGTCGTAGCGATGGCCGTTGTCAGCGCAATGGATGTCGTCGTCGCCCCTATGGCAGCGGGACTGGTGGCATTGCTGGTATCGATGGTGCTGGTCGTTCCTAGAGTGCTTGTCGATTCGACACCAGTCGTCTCTAATAAGACGCTCGTGCTCGTCGTTTCTGTGGTGCTTATTGACAATATCGTGCTGAGAGTACTGCTCGTTGCCTCTGTTGTACTACTGCTTATCGCCTCCATGGTACTGCTGCTCGTTATCTCTATAATACTGCTGGTCTCCGTTGTACTAGACACATCTTCAGGTGTAGACACTTCGACACTAGAAGAAGTCGTTGGCGGTTCATTGTCAGTCACGCCGGTGGTTGACGACGTAGAGTCTGGAGTAGTGCTTGCAGAGGGCGGTTCTGTTATGGGAATCACAACCGCTGTGGAAGTGGTCGATAGTTCCGTGGTCTCGGATAAGGTAATGATTGTCTGCGAATCCGATGTGGATGTCGTGACGTCTGGAGTGGACGGAATAATAGAACTCGTGAGCAGCGTCGTTGAAGTAGACGTTTGCTGCAATGAAGTGTCCGATGTTTCTTCTGATACTGAAGTTGTCGTAGTTGTGACTGGGTCTGTCGTGGTTGTTGGTGTCACAGGGTCAAGTGTTGTAGAGGAGCTGTCAAGACTGGATTGTACTGTCGTACTAGAACTTAGTCCGTTCGTTCCACCGATCACGTCGCTTGATTGGCTTGTAGATCCAGAAGTTGTCGCGTCTGTGGTAGATAGAACAGTAGTGCTTACAACAACGGAAGTTTGAACGCTAGAGGTTTCGACGGAGGTCTCACTGGAGGTCTCAGTGGAGGTCGCACCACTGGAGGTCGCACCGCTGGAGGTGTCGACAGTAGAAGCTGCTGCTGATGAGGCAGTTGAATCTGTAGTCGTCGGAGTCGCTGACCCTGTACTACTAGCGGTTGATACTGAGGCCACGCTCGAAGGCTCTGCCGAAGCACTGCTACTAATGCTCGATGTTACTGGTTGGGAAGAAGTTTGAGTACTGCTGGTTTGCGCATTGTCAGAGGTTGTTGATATTACACTCGTGTCGGCGCTTGTGCTTAGATCAGAGCTCTGGCTGGCGTTCGTGGATTGGGATAGAGTGCTAGATTCACTGTCTGTGGTCGATGCAGACGCTAGCGAACTTGAATCGCTAACCTGAGGATCGCTCAAGGTAGAGCCTGTCGATATCGTACCCGTCGAGGCAGAAGCACTTGCTGACTCAGTTGACCCGGTATTTGCTGATCCTGAACTGGCTGAACTGGCTGAACTGGCTGAGGTCTCAGCAGAAGAATTTACAGTATCAGAAAGTGAGCTAGCCGAAGTCACAGTATTAGACACAGAACTTCCAGACGTAGATGCAGCGCTTTCATCTGTGGTGGCAGCTGTGTTCGATTGCGCGTCACTGCTGGAGTCTGTTGCGCTCGCCGAGGGTGTTGCCGATACGCTGTTGGTGGCTGACGCGGCAGAACTTGAGGCTGCAGTGTCTGACGCTGATGCTGACGCTGACGCTGAGGCAATATTTGAGGCGGCTGCCGATGCACTATTGGTAGCTGAGCTAGCACTGTTAGACGACGTCAAGGAATTCAACAACGAGGACAGAGACGAAGTCGCGGAGGCTTGCTCTACACAAGCTTTAGCAGCGTCAGACAAGGCCTCCATTGAGCTATACACTGCAATCCATGAGTCAAAGTTCGACTGTAGTGCTGGGGGCAGATTGGTCGTTGCAGGCTTGTAGACGGCCGTATACGTCGAGCATAGGTCGGCATGCTGACTCTGTAAACTGGATAGACTGCTAGAGGCCTCGATTGGGTTCGCCGGGCACTGTCCTGCTGCTTGTCTCTCCACCAGCTCGTGTCTTTTCTCATTCGGGTTCTGTATATCACTAGTGTCGTAGTATTGAGTCGATGTAACGCTCTTTCCCAATAAGATTTCTAGCCAGGTAACGCATATTGTGAAGAGAAAGAATAGTGCCAACAAGGAAGGTATTCGAATTGCCTTAGGTTTGAAGCCTTGCTGAGCACCGATCGGGACTGCTATGTTTCGTTCGCTGTTTTTCTGGGCGAGTGGTAAGTACCGCTGGAGGTCATTGAAGATCTGCATGATGTCGAGCCAGCTAAGGCGTACACCACGACAGAACCACCTTCACAGTGTCGCAGATATCTAGATGGTTAGAATGGAATGCATTGGTTAGTTCTGATCAAGAAGCGCGACAAGAAGGCATCACGAAAGACATCTGCTGACTCAAAACATACCGCACGCTATCCTCCCACCATGAGGGTGGATTGTTAGGCGTGGACGAAAACATGCTGAACCGAGAGGGTGGACATCATCCAGGCGCTCATAGAACCCGTGTTGCAGCTCATGGCATCCACGCCCAAGACCGTCTTTTCGGATGAGTTAAACAAAAATACAAGAAACAGGGGATATCAAAGGTGTAGCGAAGCCGGATGTAGACGACGATGCCACATGAAATGGGCGCTTTTGGAAGCCATAGCAGGCGAGGCGTTGCCAAGAGTATCGGATATGAGATCTCAGCTGGCCACGGAAGCCAGATTAATCTCCTTTTGCAGTCAGGGGTTCGGCGACCACGACATCCGAAAGACCAAGCACATCCACATGGACAGGATTGCCTCGACAAAAGTTGGCGTGAAGCAGGAAGTGGCAACTGACTGAGAGCACGCGACAAAATTACTTGGTGTTGCTGTTGTAGAAGATAACAATCGAAGATGGCAAGAGCTGGGGAGAGGTGAAGCTTGGCTTGCAAACGTCTACAAGACATGACTATTGCTGCCTGACCTGCTTAGAGAGCCCTATACACCGGCTACTTCTTCACGACGCGCCTCAAGATCAGTGAAATTAGATACTGACCACATTGAACTTGGTTACCAAGAACACATCACTCGAATATTTTCCATTACTGGAAGTGCGGCATCGGTGTAGCCGATGTCAAGCACCAGATTTATTTGGTTGGTAAATAATAGATAGTAAGCGAATTTTTCACGACCTTGGTGTCTAAGCCATGGTCACATGATTGAAACCAGCTCTGGTCAGCAAAGTGCTTATTTTGAAACACGTTAAGAGCCGCAGGAGACATAATCCGAGATCTAATACTGGTGATATTGCCAACGGCTGAAATCGCGGATTCATCTCTTGGTCGATGGGTAAGCGTAAATCGGTTGAGCATGAGCTCACAAGATGCTAACAGCTACACGTTTCTACGCCATTGTCACAATTGAGTATCTCGATAAAGACGCTGGTCATTACCGGCCCCCTCAAACCTTACATACTCATTGTCGCGTTGCTTGCTCCAGGCGCACTCTGAGTTACTTTTGTGCCGCCGTTTGGTAATCTAGCACGGAACAGAACATATGGTTTCTGTCGTCTATCAACACCGCCCTGGAAGTTTGAGCCAAGCCATAGCTGGTTTTCCGTGAAGTAAATGTATCCATCAAATCCAACACTCAGTGTGTCGGTCCAGCTAAAGCGTGGATCGCGAACAAACGTCGACATGATGCCTGTGCTGGGATTGAACATCATAATACTGTTGTCCTCAATATTACCACCATAGATCATGTTGTTCGTGTCAGTTTCTAATCCATCACTGAGGCCAGTCTCGCCCAGGTTGCCGACGCTGCCTCGGGCCAGAAGCTCGGCATTCAGACTGCGGTCTCGCAATCGTGCAGTTGGGACACTGTAAGTATATCGACCGCCAGTTGTCTTGAAGAACAAAGTGGTTCCATCGACGGATAGTGCGATGCCGTCCGCGCCAAAGTTGACATTGAGTATAGGCATTCCTGTGGTTCCATTCATGTACACAGGTTGCCCCCACACAGTAGGGACAAACCCTTCGTCAGCTTGCACTGCTGGGATGTTTATAAGACGACGCCAAGCTTCGCCGGAACCTAGGTCGACAACGACGATGGCATTGCGACCTTCGGAGGAGGAGTCGGTGATGTAGGCCACACCTTGACCAGACGAGGTGAGGGAGGGGTTGAGGTCAAAGCGGATATCGTTGAGGTACTGTCTCAGTTAGGGATTAATCCATCAGTAAGAAGTGTGGCTCACTGAGTCTGCTGGTGCTGCAGTCGGGCTAAACACAATGGTCCTGAACACTGAGTTTGTGTTCAAATCTATGCCAACCAATTTCGGTCCACCATAAGCTGCAGTAAGCTGTGTTCCGTTCTGCGTTGCGACCCTGCCAGTATCAAGAACCCACAAGCGGTCTGCAGGGTCGATAACCACGCTCTGTACACCAACAAAGTGGTTGGCATCACCAGCACCTGTAGGTGGATAGACGGAGTTATTGATCCTTCCTCCTGGAGGGGTGTTGATTGCAAGATTCGGGTACGGTTGCTCGGTGTTGTTGGCGAATAGTTCAGCGACCGTGTAAGCTTGGTTCATCGGGTCCAGAGCTGGTGGGTAGTTCGAAAACATGCGCCCGGAGCGCGAGACTGCAATGCCTGCGACGAGTCAGTCTAAGAGACACAGCATGTAGTAGAGCTCTATCGCACCTGTCGGCCATTGGTCGTAGTAGAGATGGACAACCTCTACTTGTGGTCCATATGTACCCGGGTCACGAATGACACCAGGATCCTGTTGCACAGTCTGAGCAGCGGTTGCTGCAGTCAGTGCTGCAACAACAGTACCAAATCGCCTCATGTTGTCGTCGTCTCGATGAGTGCGCAGAAGACGAACTCCATCGAGCTTGGTAACGGACAGGTATATGTCCAAGCTTAAGCTGATTCTAGCTTTCTGCAGTACTGGTAGGTATTAGTACCTTGCATCATGTCATCGCTGGTTCTCGGAATACGGACAACGCTTGCTTGGCTCTTTGGTCACATCCACGATCGAGAATGTAATCGCGACACAAGGACGTCATGATTGAGATCACCACGAACGCGAAGCTGATCATCGCAAGCCAGGTACATCCGGCGATCCTGAATGTCCGCAAGAGTGATCAAATCAGGCATGGACGTGTTGCAAGGCAAGAGCTTGTGCTCGTAAAGACCCCGCTATGAGCTCGCAAGCTCCATCGCTCGAGACACGTGTTTTCGTTCCTATTGCTCAAGTAGAAACTTGGCCATAGGAGTAGAAATATCCCCGCACCGGTGCAGGGAGCAGTGTTGAAGGCAAAAGCGATAGGCTGAAAGAGCGAAGGGAATGCTTGCAACCAAGCGTGAACATACAGGAAGCAGAGTACAATCACACCCAACTCGGAGTCATTTGTCGATGGAATTGGTCATCTCTTCAAGAATAAAGGAGTCAAGGAAGACAGGTACCTAGGCGTGATCAAGAACTGAAAAGTAACGTTGTACAGATAGCACGGCTCGGGTTTTATGCAACGCCAGACTATCGATTGGGACACGCCTTACTTCGTAATTTCTTGCTCAAGACCTCACTGTCTCTTCTTAACCCAGCTGTAGCACCTGCTGCCAACGCATCCGTCAAACAATTGATCTCTGAAGTTCAGGTAATAAGAAAAAATGCATCCAAAACTGTATTAGACCCCGTCCACATCGAATCATCAGTTTCTGTTCTGGCTGTTGAGGATTCTGAGAATAGCCAAAAACAGGTTGAGAATGTCCAGGTAAAGTGAAATGCTGGCTGCAATCTCCTCCTCTGGATGGAAATGGCTCATCACCATCTGCGTATCAACCAGAATGTATCCGCTAAAAATCAGTGCTGCCACCACACCATATACCAGCTCGATCGTGCGTCCACCTGGGAAGAAAGCTGCCATGAAACCAAAGATGATCAGCACCCAGAGTGCACCGAACAGGTATGGCTGCCATGCGGTAAAGTCGTACTTGGTCTGGCACGCAAACAGGCTGAGGAAAACGAAGATTGCGGCCGTGATGACCAAGGCTTGTAGGACAATTCGGCTCTCATAGAAACTGGTTATGACCGAAATACTGTATGCTTCGAGTGCAGTGAAGCCTGTAAGGAACACTAGGTTCGTAGGATAACTCTTTCTCTTCCAGTAGGTCAAGAGCATAAAACCGATGGCGCCAAACAGCGAAATCCACATCATCCAGCTGTTGGACTGGATCCAATTGCGGTAGCTATCGGAGAAGAAAGAGACGGATGAAAGTGCGGTGGTGAGGACAATCTGACACGTAAGGATCGTGTAGACCTTGCGAACGAATTGCTGACGAATGGTAATATCGCATTCTGAGACTGAGGTGCCAAACTATCACTATTGTCAGCATATCCAGATCGTGTCTCGGCTCGCAGAAGTCAAATGCTTACCTTGAAGTCGTCAGGAATGTTGTCATCCTCAGATCGCCGTGTAGCACCATAACCGCCCTCTGCGCTACTGGGTCCTGCAGCCTGGTATGTAGGTGGTGCCTGCGAGTAGGATGGCTCGTCGAGTGAGTCGCGCTGAGGCGCTGGCTGGTACTTAGTGGTTGAGGTCATGATTCTGGTCCGAGGTATCGTGCGGAACGGATGGCGAGCACCGAACTGTTGTGGGATGAAGACGAGAAAGATATAGTTGGCAGAGTAGAACCTGAAGTCAATGATGTCGGTTTGAGGAAGGCGGATCTGTGGCCCATTGCGCAGGAAGACTACATGCCGCAGCAGGTCAGTAGGACAATCGCGATACCGGTCACAATGTTTTTGCAAGTATGTGGCGCAGTTCCAGCCCACATGACTTTGGTGGATGACCAGCACATTCTACAGCAAATTTATACCAAAGCATTGGAACAAAGAGTAATCAGAATCTTTTGTTGTGGCTACCATTAATCGTATACGTTTACACGCCTTCCCAGGCCACAAGTGGTATCGAAATAAGGCTGCCAATCAAGACACCACCCAATTGTACATGTTCTCCAAGTATACATGCTTGTAACACAATTTACAATATGTCTATACATCGATCAGACGCTTTGAATCCCACGCTTTCTTTGCCAAATCTCGAAGGAGCTCTAGATCGCCGCTCGTCTCGCACATACCTCGAAAGATACCCTCTTCCTTCTGAACCAGTTCCCAAGGATGTGCATATTCTACCACTTCACCCTTATCAAGGACAAGCACTTTGTCGTAGTCAATAATGGTTTGTAGTCTATGAGCGATAGTAACGATCGTGTTTTCCTTCAGCTCCCGGAGCGTGTCCTGAATCTTCGAGTCGGTTGCATAATCGATTGATGCAGTTGCTTCGTCCATCACCAGCACTTTCGGTGATTTCAGCAAGGCGCGAGCCAAGCATAGTAGCTGCCTTTGACCCTGTGATAGATTAGAGCCTGATTCTGCAATCGCCGTGCTCAAATCGTAAAATATGTTCTGGTTTTCCTTGGTGTTGCTGGCAAATTTGACAAGTGTAGGTGTTTCTGACGACAATGTACCGTTGGCGGAACGATTAGTCCCTTCGTTTTCGTGGAGGCTCTCGGTACCATTAAGCGTCGAAGCATTGCTCGGCAACGATGGCGAGCTCTCAGACACATTACGAGAGGCACTGGTGATAAGTTGGACACGTCTCAATGCCGTGAATATCTCTTCATCGGTGAAGAGACCAAATGGATCCAGATTGCTCCTCAACGTGCCCGTGAAGAGCGTAGGGTCTTGTGGCACTATGGTAATTGCCTCGCGAAGGTCTTGTAGACCAATCAGTCCAATGTCAACATCGTCAATCAAGATTTTACCCCCTTGTGCCTCGAGACCTCTGAAGAGTGCCAATGCTAGCGAACTCTTGCCAGCTCCCGTTCTACCCACTATACCGACTTTTTCGGCTGCAGCAATCTTGAATGTGACACCACGCAAGACTGGTTCCAGGTCCTTTCGATATCTTGTCGAATAGTCGATGAAATGCACTGCCCCCTGACTTGGCCAATTGGCCGCTGGTTTTGTCTCCGGTATTTGTGCACTGGCTTCTTGTTCAACGACAATATATTCTTGCACTCGTTCCACAGCGTTCATGTTCTGTTCGTTGGCTGCGTATAGCCGTACCAGCCATAAGACATTCTGTGTGAAAGTGATGGCATATGAGAGCGACAGGCCAGCAGCACCAGCATCGATACTGCCTACGTTCTGTACCACGAACATAGCAGAGAAGAACGCTACCAGAGCTCCTGCACAGTCTACCCTGAATGCAAGCCATCTGTTGGTTGCCCACAAATAGATAAATGGTCGATTGTGAGTATTGACCTTGTGATGACTGTCATTGACGAATCGTGCTTCATCGCCGTAAGCTCTAATGGTTACCACACCCGATAATGTTTCTCCAAAGTGCTGGAACAGAGGACTTCGTTGGACAGATTCAAGTCGTTTGAGATCTCTGGAAGCCTTAATGTAGAACATCCCAGTCAGGATATATATTAGCGCGATAAAAACACCAGGAATGAGGAAGCCTGGTGTGATGGTCGTTATCAAAACAACAATCGTCACAACGGATGCGGCACTGTGCAACAGTCCGATCGCGACTGGCGCCACTTCTTGGTCGATTGACTGTAAATCCTTGGAAAACCGGTTCGTGAGCTGGCCCAGCGGTGTCGAGTCGAAAAATCGAAACGTTGCCCGGAGTATTTTCCCGAGCAATTGTTGATGAAGCACTCGAGAGGCTTGCAATGAGCCCTTGAAGAGCAACAATTCGCGTGAAAGGCAGATAATAATGTAAGCTGTTCCAATTAGAGCATATACACCAAGATAATATGTCGAATCCACGTTTTCATGTGCTTGGAGATCCGTCCGGCTGGTAATGTATGTTGCAGGCAAGCCTTGCAAGACCAGACTACCAGCAGGCACAGCTGAATGAGCATATCGACTTTGCAATACACTCAAGGCCACATGATTGCTCTGACTTGAGGTATGATATGCATTAGCCCATTGACGGATCCAGACATTGGTAGCGACCGAACCAACCTGGACGGCAACAAAGCCAGAAGCGGCGAAGACCCAATAGTACCATGGCCCCATGGCTTGCAGGTACATCTTGATCGTGCGCCACCCAACACTTCCGGTAGCCTTCGCTTCGATTCTTGTGTCCACGAACTTGCGGTCGGCTTTGAATCCACTCTCTTCTGCTACATCCAGCTCTCCTGTAGCAGTGGGTCCATCTGAAACGTCATTAACGATGCCATGCTCTTGAACTCCAGGAGACGGCGTTCTAGATGGCACTGCAGAGGCAATGCGTGATGCTGGAACCGACCTGGCCAGTTCATCACCAAGATGACCACTTTCTGCGACACTTGCTGGGGACCCTTGACAGAGAATCTTTCCGTTGTTCAGAACCACAACGTGACTTGCCTGTGGTACTGCCAAGGCAACGTTATGTGAAACCAATATGCAGGTCCGGTGAGTCATCATCTTGCCCATCAGTGCTTCATCGAAGATGTGCTTAGCAGTGTGCGAATCAACAGCACTCAGACAATCGTCAAGCAGAATGTGCTTGGAATTGCTGTAAAGTGCTCGAGCCAGGGAGATCCGTTGCTTTTGCCCTCCAGATAACGTAATTCCCTTTTCGCCAACCAGAGTTTGGTCGCCAGCATCAAGAATCTCCAGATCGCGCTTAAGTGCGCACGCATCAATAACAGCTTTGTAGCGACGAGCATCGAATGGAGATGCGAACAGAATATTCTCTTTAATGGTTGCATTAACTAGCCAAGCTTGCTGAGCGCAGTATGCCACACTTTCTGTCAGACCGGTTGTTGAATCTGGTCGCAGGTGTTGTCTACTACATCCTCCGGGGATATGTACAAGACCATCAAGGAGTTGCATTTCGCCGAGCAACGCCATCAGCAGAGAAGTTTTGCCTGAGCCAGTAGGGCCCGCAATGACATTCAATTTGCCAACGATGAAATCGATGTCCATGTCGATCAACCGAAAAGGAGTGCCTGTGCTCTTGGACGTTTCGGCCGAGGAACCCCAGGTCAACGTGGCGTGCTTCAAAGCAATCCTAGTTTCATGGGGCGATGCCTGCCTACTGTGCTTGAGCTGTAGGTATTTCTCCGTCTCCTCTTCACGTAAGAACTCTTCAACACGGTCGACGGAAACTTTTGACTCTTGCACATGCGCGACCATGTCGGCAAGCTGGTCGAGAGGAATTCGCAACAGCGAGAACATTGAGAGTGCTGGGAAAGCAATGGACGGCACAAGTGGACGCTTCTCAACCTTTGTAAAGATCAAGAAGGAGGTGAAAGTTATCAAAATGGGAATACCACCCCATATGGTATATGCGGCAGCCCACAAGATGTACTTTCGCCACAAGGCTGTCAATTCTGTCTGACGTTTCTCATTGACGTTCTCTTCGAATCTCTTCTCCCAGGCAAAGTACTTGATAATACGAATGTTTTGCAGAACTTCATTAGTGGCATGAATCCTGGCGTCAGTAGCGGCCATGATTGCCTTTTGTGCTTTAGTGAAGGATTTTGCAATCCACATGTTCCATGGCAAGACTAGTACCATCAGAACGATACCAGCGAAGGAGCTGTAACCAAGGACTTTGTAGAGCAATGCGATCGCCATAACAAGCTGAACAGGAGTAGCAGCCCACAGAAAATGCAAATAAGCGCAAATTTCGGCGACCTTGAACGAATCAATGGACATCAGATTGATAACTGTACCATTGCTCGCTGCAACGGACACTGACTTCTGGGAGTCCACGTGGCCATCCATACTTGGTTTAGACTCCTTCGTCTTCCAAAACTGTAGCTTCTGCCACAATGACGACGGCTTGCCCAGATCTTCCTTTGCGGGCTCAGATTCAGCAGTAGCTGCTGCTTTTCTTCGTAGAACTTTTGAATAAACCTCGCCAATGATGACACCTCTGATCTGAATGCAAATTTTGCGGCCAATCCATAAGGACTGGCCATCGCCCAGAGCTTGAACCAGTCCAGTAACGAAAAGTAGAACGGCGTAAAGCCAAGCAGCGTTGGTAGAAGTACCTACAGGATCTTCCACATACTCCAAGATGGCTTTCAGTAACAGCGTTGGCATGAACATGGCAATGCTGGAGATGGCACACCAAAGACCTTGTAAAAGAAGCTGTTTCTTGAAGAACAAAAGCAGTCGCACGGCAAGCATATGAGTCTTTTTGATCTGCCTAAAGCGTTCGAGAACATGCTCAGCTTTATCCTTGGGAGAGACGTTCCATACATCGGTCATTTCCAAAGGTCGTTTGAAGCCGCGCCAAATGATACTATCAATCCAGGCAAAGGTCAAAGTACCTAACAAACTAGCAAGAGGTTCTCTGGAAGGCTCAATGTCAGCCTCATACTCGACCTTGACAGCTCGATTGCCGCGCCGTGAAATGAGGACAATGAACGACAATACACATGTCAAAGCAAAGCGAGTGGCGATGATGTTCCGTGATAGTGACGACTTTGGACGTATGATGGCGGACCTGAAAAGCATGACTTCACATAGCCATTCAAACCCGTAGATAACAGCACAATGGTTCCATAACTTGAGGAAGCGGTAGACATTGCCGGTCGTTGTAGAGTAGAGCCGAAGAATGGCCAAGAGGATCAAGTACGACCACAAGACAATGTATGTGATTGAATTCAGAGCAGTCGAGGTGTGGTCGTAAAGAAAAGCAGCAATGTTGACAGCAAGCTGAGAACCCAGAATGACTAGCTCGAAAGTGACCACACCAGCCTCGCCCTTTGGTTTGTCAACATCGAAGGTGGAGGTGTCTGTAGTGGTCTTTTGTAAAGTAAGATCTTCATCTTCCTCGATGTCCACCAGGGGTTGATGCTGTTGCTTGGTTTTGGTTTGGACAAAGGTCGTGGTCGATTTGACAAGAAGAACAAGTAGGCTTAGAGCACAAACAGTAAGAGGAAACACGGCTTGCAGGTATAGCCGTTGAAAGTGAGGGTCGATATCGTCGTAAAACCAGATTGGTCGCATCGCGAAAGTAATTCACCACCCGTATTAATTATGTTCTCTTTCCCAGCCAGCAACGTGAATGAAATAGTCACTCCTCAGATCGATCATCGACTCTTGTGTTGTTGACCCATTTTATTTGTTGTATCTCGAGCAGGAGTCGTACCGAACAATCGATGCGTCGTGTCGAAGGTCGCGATCGAAGCTCTTAGAGCAGTCTAATAGTCGTACACGTCGTGGTGCGTCGGCTCTGGAGAAAAGTGAAAGTGTAATTCGAGGAATGATACGCGGATTCAGTCCTGGTCATTTGAGAATATACTGCTACGCTGCAGATTAGGACAAAGCAAACAGAAAGCACTGCATAGTAACCAAATACAGTACTGTGGTAACATGAACCTACAAACTGCAACGAACTCGGGCACGCCATCCACTCAACACCCGATTTCATTGACGTCTTCAAGTTTTGACGCGGGCATTTGCGCACCCAGTTCCGATCTCTATAATGGCCAAAGAAACTGTAAGCCTCAGGCATGAATTTCAAGAAACACACTGTTGTTCAGATGCTCTGCTGCTTTCCATGATGCAAGCATGAGCTTTCCAAGCTGTCAAATTGTACACTGAGCATGACCTCTGCTGTACGGAATAGGGCAGTATGCAAGCATGATACGAGAAGGAGCTATAAGACGAAGACTAATCTAGGAGGCAAAATGCCCGGTGAATGAGGCGATAAGGACAGCACTTCCAATGCACTTATCAATCTACTTACACGCCCATATCTCGGTGGTAGGATGAGGTTGCAGTATTGTGTTCTCTGTGCTCCTGAGCAGGTGCATATTACCTTCCATCTCCTCCCAAAAAGATCACTGCCGTCGAATTATTTGCTTTGACTCGGATAAAACCTGGTAATCAGCTTGTTCTGGAAATCGGCTGACGCTGTGGAGAGTCATCGTGCCTGAAGTTATTACTTCATCTCCGCCACACGTCAATCTTCCGCGTCTCGAGCAGCCAGTGTGCCGATACAGGAAACCTGAAGTCACTTCAGCTTCCTTGCACATCACAACGCTTTGACTTCCGCTCAACACTCTGATTCGGTTCTCGTTGTTCAGAACAACGCCGCACTTGAGACTTGTTGTTCGTAACTTGACAATGGCTTGGTGACAATTCATCCAGACTGCACTCTCGAACCGCATACACATGACTCGGGACAAGTGCACAGCAGAATCACTCACGCTTGCACTACTTGTTCCACCCAAAAGCTGTTTGACATTGTTCTGTTCCCTATCTAACTACAACTTTCAACATATTCAACTAGATCCGTTTCGAAACCCCACCACTTCCCTCGACTTGACTAGTTCAGCTCCACGATTCGACTTACTACCTCAAATTCCCGCAACATGCCTCCTTTACCATCGCAAGCAGTCCTACTCAAGGAGTACAAGGAATTGAGCAAAGAGAAATGGGTTAATATAGACCTCGACGAAGAAAATATCTACCAATGGAACCTGGCTCTCATGGTTCTTAACCCGGATTCCGCGTACGCAGGAGGCTATTTCAAGTGCCAGTTAAAGTTCCCAGAGAAGTACCCTTATGTGCCACCGGATTTCCGCTTCACCCACCCTTTGTGGCATCCAAACATCTATCCGGATGGTCGAATCTGCATCTCGATTCTACACGCTCCTGGCGAAGATGTCATGTCTGGCGAATCTGCTGGTGAACGATGGTCTCCTGCACAACGTGTAGAGTCAGTCCTCATTTCAATCTTGTCCCTGCTCGACGACCCTGAGATCAACTCTCCCGCCAATGTTGATGCTAGCGTCATGTATCGAGATGACAAGACTACTTTCACGAAACGAGTCGCCGACGATGTTGAGAAATCCAAGAAAGACATTCCAGAAGGCTTCGTTATGCCTGTTCATGAATTCACGCGAGCTGCGACTCCAAAGGCGGCTAACGATGACGACTTCTGGCAAGACTCGGACCAAGAATCATTTGACTTTGACGATGATGACGACATGGGCTCTGCGACTGACGATGAGCAGCTTGCGGATTCTGAAGTAGACGAAAACGCAGATGAGTCTGAGGATGAAACTACTCAACCTTGAGAAGAAACGGAACTTAGCCCAACGACGAGTGACCTGGCGCTCGATCGTCAATAGTGTTTTGAAAGAGGATTTTATATTGGAAACACTACAATGCAACACAGGAATATGATTAGCAAGGCGCCGGAGGCTGTCCAATTCAATCCTTGTCTCATGCATACGGGAGGATAAGATCTGGTTCGCAGAAGTTGGACACAGAATGGGAGGCACATCGTATTGCATATGGAGTTTAATGGAAGGCTATTTTAGGAAGCGTTGCGTTCGTGGACTTGAAGCAAGGAGTAGGTGAATTCATGTCTATGTGCAGCAGAATAACTTGACAAAACAAGACAATGATGATTGCACAGTTACGCTTCTAGTACCTTTTTTCTTTTTTGTGTTTCTGTCTTGTCTCGTGCTCTATAGGTAATGATAAATTCTGAATGACATGTTGCCAAAATACGTATCCGACCTTAATTTCAACCTTCGAGTGCCGTGCACCCCTGTTCGACGCATCCATCGAAAATACAGGACAAACCCAGGGTTGTAAAATTATCCGACAATGCCCAAGCACCACCACACTCATTATGACACGAGCAAGATACACGTCTCGACCTCAATCGCTGAATAAACATCCCCGTCAGCCCCCATGATTAACGTCCTTGCGACACAATTCCAATGTTCATGCTCATCTTCTACCTCATCACAAGCATCGCAACATGCGTCATCGTCATTGGCCTATTTGGATCACTTATGAAGATCACAAACAGTGACAGACAGTTGCGAGGGACGATAATGGAGTTTCAGCGCGTTGAGGAGGATCTTGTTCAGCTGAGGAAGCAGAAGGGAGGGTTGGAAAGGGGTAGGGATGATGATAGGGGACGATCAGGTGTTTGGGCACGGCATTGGGAGAGTGAGGCTACGAGTAGGGATAATTATGAGAGTGCTGCAGATGGTGCCAGGAATGTACGACTTCGGCAAAGTATTGTGTTGAATGAGAAAGTGAAGCAGACTGAAGCACGACATAGAGCTCGAAATATAGGACCACAGTAACAATCAAGGGATGGCTTTTTGAACAAAGTTTCACTGCAACCAGAACAAAACAGCCAGCCGATTTCTGTTCTACGCGTACGTGCTCGCTTGATTGCTACAGTTTTCCTGCCTGAGTGTTCTGTCCTTGATTGTCTCCTCCCTTACCATTTTCACTCGTAACGTGTCTCGCTACATCAACAATCTCCTCAACACATCTCTCCCACTTTTCCTGGTTGACCCAATGTCCAGCACCATCCACCAGGACCGTCCCGAGGTAAGATCCCTGCTCAACACTCCGACCTGTTTCCATAGCCTCGACCGCTCCAGGCTCCTGATACGTGCCCCAGTCCTGTTTACCGGCGACAAATTTCATAGGCACGGAGATCTTCCGATTTACGAACAGCTGGCTATCGCTCGCAGCTTCCGGAGATGTCTGTATGCGATACCAGTTCATGGGTGGACCGAATGTCGTACGCGTGTATTCCGACACATAGACTGCTAGATCTTCGTCTGGGAGCCAATTCGTGCCAAATGTCGAGGGAGGTTGGTCGGCCATGTCCCGCTCTACAGCTTGTCTCATGGTTGCATCTCGTGGCATGATGTAGTAATGAGGCATCTTTGCTAGTTCTGGTGCTGTCCACGAGGCGAGAGGATGTGGTGCAGGGTTGTGGTTGCCAGACCAATCTGCGGATTTCAGGTGGAAGTAACCTCTGTAGAAGGTATGTAGGGGCCCGCCAGCTGGGTAGGTCATTTCGGAGGCGGAGGGTCGGGTACAATAGTACCATTTGTAGTGTTTCCGTGGACGATCTTCTATACTAGCTAAGGAATCATGGACTTTTGGGTCGCGAGTCTTGGCGTAGGGGTCGCTCGAGCTTTCTTGGTCTGCTGGTGCTGGCAAGTTGGGATTTGGTGAGGTGTTGAAGAGTATAGGAGGAACTCCTTTGAATGGATGGGACATAAGGACTAGACTACGAACGAAGTCCGGAGGTGCTGCTGAGCCGCGAGCCAGCGTCATATATGTTGCGGTGACGGCTCCGAAGTCATGGCCGACGATGGTGTGGATGTAAGAGTAACCGAGAGCCTGGACGAGGCTGATTGTGTCTTTGATCAGAGATAATGGGCGAAAAGAGTGTCCCGGTATGGATTTCAGGTCAGGCGAATGAGTTCTTCCATAGCCACGTTGGTCGAATGCTACAGCGTAGTAGCCTTGCTCTGCTAGGCGAGGGAGGATGTAGCGCCATGAATAGGCCAATTCAGGGAAACCGTGTATGCAAAGAATTAGGGGTGGGCGGGTAGTGCCTACGTTCTTGGGTACAGATTCGAGGACGTGGAAGTTGAGAGCATTTGTATCCATAAAGCGTGAGGTCACCCCTTCTGGAAGTCTGAGTGGTGGGAGGGTTTTAGGATCGACGTCGAAGTCAGGAGTGTCCTGTGCTGGGACTATATCCATGTTAGCTGCCATGTTATTGTCTATCAATAGACGCTGTCGAATTTTATTGTTGTATTATCTCAAGTCCCTGGGTAACGTAACCTTTATGCTGCAGTAAGCATAGCAAGTTTCACGGTTTGTTGGTTACAAACACTATCTTTTCGGCATCTAAATCTTGGAGCAGAAGACGAAGCGAGTTTCAGAGTCCGTGAGGGGGACTTTGGAACATTCGCACCTTCGTGCATCCGAACAGCTTTGCCTCTGAAGCAATCACCTCAGCACCCACCATGTCAGAGGTCGGCTCCCTCGTTCGGACCATGTATGTGATGGTGCGACCTCTGCTCTTGCCATGTCAAACAGCAGTATACTGTGATGCTAACGTTCTCACTGTAGGCTTGAGGGTTGTGGCGCATTCCAGAGGAGCGGAAGCAGTAATTGCATACTAGTAGTATTGGAGATTGGTTGTTGATGGGTGTGGCTCAGTTAGCTGGAGTACTAACATTCGGCGAGAACGGACCGGGAAATGACGAGAGCTCCCAGCAAATGAGTGACGTACTTAGGGACACCGTTCACGATTAGCGCAACCAGACCAGATTGAAGCTAGGAAAGTTCGAGCATTGAACAGACCAAACACACGGCACCTCATGGCTTGCTGTCATCACGTTGCTCCAGATTTTCCGTTTATCAACGACCTGAGCCTGCTTTGTCCATATTTCTTTCCATTGGTGATACCTGGACTATATCAACTCGAAAAGACTTTCCCGTGAATGCCGAACTTGCAGGCAGATCCAATCAATTCCGCTCCTTTCTTCCAACATATTTCTCCTTCTCTTGTGGTACAGCACATGTCATCCTAGCCGTGATGGAAAAGCAAGTCGTCTTCGCGCAGTACACCCTCTCGCATCCTTTCTGATCCTGTGCGACACGCGACTATATCGATATCATCGTGGGAAGCAACCTGGGAGCTTTGTCTACGTCAGATAGCTCGACTTTGCCAACATGCCTCTCTTTGGGCGCCGATCGAGGTCGGTGTCGGTCTCGGTGAGCTCTTCACTCTTCGTGCTATTGCTTTGGGAACAATGTTTGCTGATTCGATGATCTACAGAGACCGATGGCCCCCTCAACCAGTTCTCCTGCTATGCTGGCTGCTTCTCAAGCATTCGGCGTTAGCAAACCGCCTCAATCCAGACTTGCCGCCGGTGCTGCTGCCGCAGCACTACGATCAATGTCCCCAGCTACTACACCCGTGAACAATGTACAGACGAAGCGCATGGTGGACCGACAGTCTTCTATCGGCTCCAACGCTCCAAGAGGAAGATCCCGCAGCGACAAGATGGTAAGACGAAGTAGTTCAGCCTCTATGACAGAGCGTACCTTCCGCGAGCCATCTCCAGGTAGACCCTCGACAGCCACTGGTGCGCCCATATCCTCACGTCAGCAGGAACCTCCTGTTCCAAAGTTACCTGAAAATTACAACAATATTCCTCCAGTCCCTGTGAAATCTTCGCGCAGGTCGGCCAGTATCGACGAGTTTCAGATGCGCAAGGATAACGTTACGAGGCAAGCAGCCAATCGCAACTCCACGACTGGTCTTCCTAACTCGAAGGCGGCTGCAAACCCAGGTCTTGCTGCTGCAAGAAGAGTATCAAGTGGCTCAGAAGCTCCACAACTCACTAGGACAGATAGCAATAACTCTCACAATTTTTCCTATCCAAATCGTGCCAGACCGACCTCACCGCCACCCCAGCAATACACACCAAGACAAACAAGTGCATCGACCCCGAAGGGCATTTCGCCGGCCGAGGTTCGTAACATACAACATGGAGTGGCGCAAGCTGCACAGCAGCCAGTCAAGAAAAAGAAAAAACGAGAGGGGCCACTGAATGAAGGAAGCCACCTGCAGACTGGAACTATGGGCCAAAAGCCGATCGTCACTCCGCTTGCGCCGGGTCCTCCAGCTCAGGATCAAACCTCGTTGAGAGACGTTCAGAGCGACCAGAACATGGCGAGAATCGCAGGCGAAGGATCGCACTTTCCGCCTGCACCGCCATCGCCTGTGGACAGCAACATTCCCGACTTCTCAGACTCAGAAATTTCCAAGTCTCGTCGAGCCCAAAGAGCGTCAGGTGCCCTCCAGAAGCAACCTTCTGTTGTTAGAGAGGATTGGGAAGGTGAACAAGATGAAGGCAGTTCATCTGTTGAACCTAGCCCAGCGACAACGAGATTCATGTCCAACGAGCGCCAAACCACAGAAGCAAACGTGTCACGAAAGATTGGAGGCAACAATTCTAAGTTGGAGCAACAAGCAGCTGATCCTCCTGTATCAGCTGCTGTTGCTACGCTAAGAACTCCCGAAGGTCGGAAGTCCTCACTTAGTCCGTCGAGGTCAGCCAGGTTCTCTAGTCGATTGTCAGCCGACATGACCGAGGGTGAGAAGCATGTACCACCACCCAGGTCTGTTTCTCCTCGAAAGCCTGCTCTGAAGCATGCTTCTTCTCCTCGATTACTAGCAGCAGATGCTCATAGAGCAAGAGACTCAAGTCTCTCTCCAAGTGAGGCGACTGACCTATCCATCGAAACTCCCTACAAGGCTAAGAAATCTGCGCATGTCAAATTCGATACTCACCCATCTGTGGTTGGTATTGCAGCCGAGCCAGCAACCTCCGAATCGCCTATTGTGGCGAGTCCACAACACCAGAAGGACAAAAAGTGGTTCGGTATGAGGAAATCACCTAATCGTGTCTATCTTGCTGAAGACAGCGACGAGGAGGAAGATACTATGAAGCCTCGTCCCCTGCTGCCGACTTTTGGTAGTGTACGCAACGGACGCAAGAGTGAGCCTGAATCTACAACTAGCCAACGAGGCATGCCTTCACCATCCTCTTCATCTACCTCATCGATCTCCTCTGGCACAGCTCCGACTACTATGGATGCATCCATCTCGAGCGATCATGCAATTGGTCGCTTGCTCTCTCAAGAAACGTACAAGCAGGATTCTGATCAGCAGGGCCCACAAGCTTCAGAAGTATCGTCAGTCGGAACAGGAAGGTACAACGCCACAGAAAGTATATATGCGCAAGCTGGAGACCAAAATCCCTCCGTCACCACAACAAATACATCCTACCAGATCACGTCTTCACGTCCGCGTACAGGGTCTGAAGAGGACACCCAGAACGCAGATAGACTACCAAGGATCGCTGTACAACCTGCTACTCCTGGCGTAGAGGAAAACGATACCAAACCTCAGGATTCATGGTTAGTAGAAGTTCCTGGAAGCTTTCCATCAAACCCTTCAATATATGCAGCTGTTACTGCCCAGCAACCTGAAAACTCAGAACCTCTGGCGCATGACAGCGCTGCTCGCGGTCACGAAGAACAACGCGAAAGAATGCCTTCTATCCAGGAGGAGGACTCAGACAGAGACAGTGTCTACAGTGACGCAGCCGAGGAGATCGACGGCGATGGGTTCGGCTCTATCAATGCGATTGTGCGCAGTCCTGTTACCCCTACTCCAACAACCCGGCAGTCAGTTGTCGAAAGTCCAATGATACCTGCCCAACCTCATGACATTCACTATGAATCTGAACGTTCCCAGGCTGACTGGGAACGAACGGAAGCGCGATGGAAGGAGCGTGTTGAGAATGCTAAACGAGCTTCGTTGCAGCCTGCAGCGCCAATCACCGAAGCACGTTCATACCCTTCAGAGAATGCTAGCCAACCGCATCCTCTGCCGCAGCCTGTGCCGGCAAAGTCACCAGTCTCGCTGCCAAGGTCCGAGCACGAATACTCGGTTACTCCAGCTCGGCAGTCTCCTACGCAAACCAAGCCACGATCGACTTTGAAGAAGTCGGCGCGCAAAGAAGCAGAGAGTGCACAGGGCCCACCATCACAAAGTCTCAATCCTTATGCAATTACTGCTGAGCCTCCCAAGCCTATGCGATCTTCTATGCGCGGCCCTGCTGCTGCTGCTCTCGCAGCGTCTACGGGTTCTACACCTGCCACCAATTCCTCAATTCAAGCACAAGGAGCATTGCAGAAGAAAAGTCTTCGAGGATCTTCACAAGCTTCACAGAAACCACTACCACCTGTAGACAACGATAGTGACTCAGAAAGCTCTTTTCGAAGGCAGCGCCGTATGAAGGGTGCAGATTCAGGCAAGTACGCTATGCGTCGAAGCATGCGTGCTGAACCAGCTACTGCTACTAATACTATTGACCGTCGAGCAGTAAGGTCTGTATCACCTGTGCAACGGCGGCCATTTTCCCCCGTGGGCGGACAGCCTTCCATGCGCACAACAATGCGTGGTTCGATAGACAAGACGCCAACACTTCGTGGCAATCAAGGCAGCGAGAAGCGATCATCCTCTTTGTTCGGTCGCAAAGCCCCATCAACCAGCTCAGCTCCACCATTGCCCATAGCGAATGCTAACAAGCCACGCCGTGGTATTGATTCAGACGACGAACGTGACACCGCACGCGTGCCGTTCAAGTCCAGGTTCCGGGATTCAAGTGACGAAGAGGATGACTTGCGTCCTGTGCGTGGTATTCCCAGAGGCAACAGGGACGACGATTCGACAGATCTGGAGGACAGCTCTGACGACGAAGGCAAGAAAAGTCGCAAATCTGGCAGAAACAATAATCTCTCTATGGCAGTGCCAAGCTCTCCACAGCCAATAGAGAGGCCTATGTCACCGTCATCACCTGATGGAAAGAAGAAGCGTGGTTTCTTCGGTCGACGTAAGAAGGACAAGGAAGAGCCGTTGGATGCTAAACCGCAGAACACGGCAGCAGTAGTCAACATTGTGAGTACTAAATCTAACGGTACGAAGAGAGGTGCCGAGACTGCAGCGCTTGGCTTCAGGTCGGATGCGGAGAAGGAGGCCCTCATTGAGCAGACACGTCAAAAGCTCGAAGCTGCCAAAGAGACACCTACATCGCCTAGACCAATGTCGCCTACACGTGGCAAGCTACAACGACGGATGACACCTCAAAGAATCATGAGTGATTCGTGGCCATTACCACCAAAGATACCAGACGATGTCGAATCACCAAATGCCAATCGACCTGCCACATCTGATGGGTCAGCCGCAGGCAAACCACCACCTCTGGATCGCCAACCGTCATCGGCAGCTACGTCGCCGACGAACAGTGCTGATATTGGTGGGAAGAGTGGGAAGAAGAAGAGATTTCCAATGTTACGCAAAGCCTTCGGTTTGAAGGACTAGTTGTCTTTCGACTTGCCTTCTGATAGAAGCCCATATAGTTTCTGTTTTGGACTTGCGTAGTGCAGGCAGTCTCGCTAGCGATGCATGTCTGTCGGATTTGCAGGAACAAATTTGCAGTCACGATCAATACCCCAAGCACTTTGTACTGACAAAATCAACCATACAAATTACCTTAATCATAATAATACTATACATACACCACAGCTTAGGATTCGTTCGATTTGTCCATTTTGAAACTGACCTTGGACAGTAACGCGATCACGAGAAGACTGTCCTTAGCTGGCCGAGATAATGCTATCCAGATTACTCATGAGCGATAACCCCAGATGCTGATTTTGACTGGCAGGTCCTAGATGCTGGCAATCCACATTGGCCCACGGAAATACCTTTTCATCACAACATAATTCCACGGGGCAAACCGTGTTCCGACGGTAGGGTTTCCTAGTCTTTCGATCCTGCCGATTGATCACACAAGATCTCGCAGGGGCCGACTGTGAAGCACACTTTGTTTGATTTAAAGAAGCATCGCGATGAGCGACATTCAAACTGTGGTGCAAACGGCTGGCGGATATTGTGACAGCTGGGATTGGCGAAGCAAGACGATCCATAAATGCCTGATGAGGTAAGGGCCAACCTTATGACACAACCCGCCAGGTCCCGCTATCGATTGCCGTTGGGCAGGTTGGGAAAAAGCGAGGGCAGTAGCGAGTTTGCGCTCATAAAGATATACTCTTGACTGCAGAGCTTTTACTTCTCTGAAGCATCACAGTCTTTTGTTGTCACGAATTTGTGTATAACAGGAAGCAAATCTGAAACACCCTGCATCGCAACTTATCGACCACAACTCCAACCATGTCGAACTCATTGGATCAGCTGAAGGCCACAGGCACCGTAAGTCGCGGATGATAGACTTAATGAATGCTTCTTGACACATTCTCAGACTGTTGTTTGTGACTCTGGTGATTTCGCTAGTGAGTAGACTTTGATCTAAGAACTCTTGCCCAGAATCTAACAATTCGGCAGCCATCGACAAATACAAGCCACAAGATGCCACAACCAACCCATCCCTCATTCTGGCAGCCTCGAAAAAAGAGGAATATGCTAAGCTAATGGATGTGGCTATTGAATACGGCAAGAAGCAGGTATGCGCAATTTGGCAGAGTTAAGGACCAACAAGCTGACAGCCACCAGGGCAAGGACCTTGACGATCAAGTTGACCATACTCTCGATCGCTTGCTGGTTGAGTTCGGCAAGGAAATCCTTCAAATAGTTCCTGGAAAGGTCTCTACCGAAGTGGACGCCAGATTCTCATTTGACAAGGATGCCTCAATCAGAAAGGCTCGCCATATCATCGAGGTAAGCTATTGAACATGAAGCGTGATGCTCCTACTAACACAGGACAGCTCTACGAGTCGATCGGCATCTCGAAAGACAGAATCCTGATCAAGATCGCTTCCACATACGAAGGCATCAAGGCCGCGGAAGTGCTCCAGAAGGAAGGCATCAACTGCAACTTGACACTCATGTTCTCGCTGGTTCAAGCTATTGCGGCTGCTGAGGCGGATGCATACCTGATTTCTCCCTTCGTCGGCCGAATTCTTGACTGGTACAAGGCGGCCATGAAGAAGGATTTCCAGAAATGGGAAGACCCAGGCGTCAAGAGCGTACAAGCCATCTACAACTACTACAAGAAGCACGGATACAGCACCATCGTCATGGGTGCGTCGTTCCGAAACGTTGGTGAGATCACCGAGCTTGCTGGCTGTGACTACTTGACCATCTCGCCCAACCTGCTTGAGGAGCTTTACAACAGCAAAGACGACGTGCCGGCGAAGCTGCACGCCGACGAAGCCAGCAAGCTTGACATCCCGAAGAAGAGCTATTTGAATGACGAGGCTACATTCAGATTTGATTTTAACGAAGACCAGATGGCAGTCGAGAAACTGAGGGAAGGTATCAGCAAGTTCGCCGCCGATGCTGTGACTCTCAAGGGCATTCTCCGCGAGAAGATTCAGAAGGCATAGATGCATATGGGGCCTGCAAAATTGTATTTTCTGGTTAGGTCGTTATTAGGTAGCAGACAATGAGGTACGGATTGCACGTTGATTTTGGAAGTGATTGATAGAACGGTATGAATGACGGATTCGTTGATCTCTTCAACGCTTTTCCTTCGGGTCACTATTACGGAGTAAAAGTCGTGGATCGGTCTCAATTTTTACCCATACCCGAGTATTGACGCTGCCCGCACATGGAGTAAGAGCGGTGATGCAATCGCACAGCAGGGATGCCCCTCACCATTCAGTGCGTTTGATGCTGACAACTGAAGTACATGCCGGATATTTATGTACATAACTCAACTGAACCATTGTAAACTTCTTTAGCTATTAACTACGCCAGGACCAAATCTATAAAATCGACAATAAGAAACCAATCTTTTCAATACAAACACAACCGTTAAAATGGTCAAAGCCGGTACGTATATCTACCTTGCAGCACCTGACAGTACCTATCCGACAAGTATCTTGCCACAACGCACCACGTCAATGTTGTTGCTACCGCCTTAGCATGTCTACCTCGGAACTACTGCCTTCTCACGGCCGCTGTCGCTAGCATTGGAAAGCACTTGAAAACTGATACTTCGCTTAGTCGCTGTTCTACGAGGTGACTCCAACATCAAGGGCACCGTCACCTTCGAGCAATCCTCCGAGTCCTCCCCCACGAACATCTCATGGGACATTACCGGCCACGATTCTGATGCCGAACGAGGCATGCACATCCATCAGTTTGGCGATAACACAAACGGCTGCACTAGTGCCGGACCACACTGTACGTTTAGTCCCTACGTAATATATCCCTCAGTAATAATAGCTAATCTGTTTTCCAGTCAATCCATTCGGCAAGCAACACGGTGCACCTGAAGATAGTGAACGTCACGTCGGTGACCTAGGCAACTTCAAGACCGACGGTTCGGGTAATGCCAAGGGGAGCGTGACCGACAGCCACATCAAGCTCATCGGCGAACACAGCGTCTTAGGTCGCACCATCGTCGTCCACGCGGGTACTGACGACCTTGGCAAGGGCGGGCATGAAGAGTCCAAGAAGACGGGCAATGCAGGTGGTCGACCAGCCTGCGGTGTGATCGGTATTTCCAACTAGAGCCCAGCACAAAGTCATGCCGAAGCTTAGTTGCGACTTGTCGATAGACTACATGATCCAGCACCTGGCATTTTACGGCACGCCAGGCCATATGGTCGGAACACGCCTGGAAAATTCCGCTGCGGAAATGTCAATTGGTAGGAAGATCTGGTCATTAAACTGTGTATGATTACGGTCTCTAAGCAGTAAATACTATCTGGAATGTTACAAGCTGAAGTCTGTGTTCGGCTGTCAGTTATCTGTTATTGCAGCCAGCAACGTCTTCGTCCTTGCGAACGTGCCTTATCGTCATTCTTTTTGTATCATGACCAGAACAGAAGCCCAAGGTCATTGCATCTGGATAGTGGATCATGTGCAGTTTTAAACACTGCGAGTTGTGCAGCTGGTTGACAGTATCTCCAGGGTTGTTTGATCATGCAATACTCGGACACTGATCGTAGTTGCGATACGAGTATTGAAAGAACTTACTACACGTGTTCATATGGTAGTGCATATGCAATGCAAAGAACCAAAGTGTAGCCGAACAATTTTCAGGTGCGGTGGTGTTTACCACTCCCCGAATAATAGCACCGAATTAAGAGGACAACTGTTCAACCACAAAACGAACACTTTGCATAGACTTTTCAGATGTACACTCTTTGCTAATTAGCTAGTACATTGATCAATCACTTCAAGCCAGTTTTCATAGCCACCGATGTCTTCCTTGCGGTAACCTCAACTCATTGAGTGACTCACACCATGGCCGACCAATATGCTGGACAGTATGCTGGTGGACAGCAATACTACCAGCAAGGTCAGGACCCGAGACAGCAGTACAACAACGCCTCTCCATACCCGCAGCAGCCTCAGAATCCTGTAGGTGCAACCTACGGTCAACCAGGCATAGCACCAGCGAATTCGCAACAGTTCCCAGGTCAAGATGGAGGAGTTAATGGTCTTGCGGGCCAGATGGCGAACATGGGTGTCGGACAGCCTCATGCGAGGAGGAAGAAGGAACGGCATGCCTACCATGATATCAGCTCGTCAGCGAATGCACCTCCTCCGGCGGCAGCGAACTTTCAGGCCAATGCTCAATTCCTACAACCAGGCCAGTCACAGCAGCAGGGACAACCCGGTCCAAGCCCAGGACTTTCAACAGCACCTATGCTGAACGCCGGAGACAGACTGCGCATGGGAGAAGAAGCAGTGACCACACAAGGCAAAGTTGATCCAGAGCAGCTTCCGAGTGTGGCAAGATCAAGAGACCTCCAGACACTACAGTATCAGAAGGAGGTATACCCTACAATGGAGAAGCACTTACCTCCTGCTGCCGCTACACCTTTCGTCGCCTACGATCAGGGCAACTCCGCTCCTAAATTCGCCCGATTGACCGTCAATAATATTCCTGCATCAGCAGAAGCCATGAACTCAACGGCTCTACCATTAGGCCTAATATTACAGCCGCTGGCTCCTCTGCAGGAGGGCGAACACCCGATACCTGTGCTCGACTTCGGCGAGGCTGGACCTCCAAGATGTCGAAGGTGTAGAACATATATAAATCCTTTTATGACTTTCAAATCTGGTGGAAACAAGCTGGTCTGCAACATGTGTAGCTTCGCGAACGATGTACCGCCGGAATATTATGCGCCAACGGATGTCTCTGGTATTCGGGTCGACAGAATGCAGCGGCCCGAGCTCATGCTTGGAACGGTCGAATTTACAGTACCTAAGGAGTACTGGTCTAAAGAACCTGTTGGACTTCGATACTTGTTCTTGATTGACACATCACAGGAAGCTATCAATCGCGGTCTACTGGCTGCTACCTGCCAAGGCATACTAAATGCGTTATACGGTCCAGACCCCGACGAGGAGGAAGAAGAAGAAGAGTCGGACGAGCCGCGACCAACTCGAATACCTGTCGGCTCCAAGGTTGGTATCGTCACTTTTGACAAGGACATACACTTCTACAATCTAAGCCCAGGCTTGACCACCGCTCAGATGATGGTGATGCCGGATCTGGAAGATCCTTTTGTCGCTCTGGCAACTGGTTTGTTCGTTGATCCCATAGAGTCAAAGTCAGTCATTGTGTCTATACTGAGAGCACTTCCGAACATGTTTACACTCATCAGAAATCCGGAACCAGCATTGCTACCAGCACTCAATGCTGCTTTGGCCGCACTGACCGCTACCGGTGGAAAGATCATATGTTCGTTATCCTCCTTACCTACCTGGGGTCCTGGGCGACTTCATCTCCGAGACGATGGAAAGGGTAGAGATACTGATCATGAAAAGAAATTGTTCACGACCGAGCACCCTGGCTTCAAAAAGACTGCTAGTGCTATGGTAACGGCTGGAATTGGTGTCGACTTTTTCATCGCTGCTCCAGGTGGTGGCTACATGGATATCGCTACGATAGGACACCTTGCTAGGCTAACTGGAGGTGAGATCTTCTTCTATCCAAATTTCATGGCGCCACGAGATTCCTTCAAGTACACATCCGAACTAGAGCATGCTATAACGCGAGAAATCGGCTTTCAAGCATTAATGAAAGTACGTTGCTCAAATGGCCTCCAAGTTGCCGCTTACCACGGTGGCTTCCTACAACATTCTTTTGGTGCTGATCTGGAGATTGGTTCTATTGACGCAGACAAGGCTCTAGCCGTAATATTCTCCTACGACGGCAAGCTCGATTCGAAACTAGACGCACATTTCCAGACCGCGCTACTGTACACATCAGCCTCAGGTCAGCGGAGAGTACGTTGCATCAACATTGTTGCTGGTGTCAACGACAGCGCAACGGACACAATGCAAACAGTGGACCAGGACGCCGTTGTCAGCATACTGGCGAAAGAAGCTGCGTCGAAAATATCGGAGAAGTCCTTGAAAGACATTCGAGCCAATCTTACAGAGAAGACCATTGACATTCTTGCTGCGTACAGGAAAAACTTCTCAGGTTCGCATCCACCAGGTCAACTCGTACTGCCAGAGCATCTGAAGGAGTTCTCTATGTACATGCTCGGCTTGATCAAGTCTCGAGCCTTCAAGGGTAAGTCTCATGACCTGAATCTCAGTGTTCTGAAAACTAATGAAAATTCAATAGGTGGTATGGAGCCAACTGATCGTCGTGTTCACTCTGCTCGTCTTCTTCGTTCAGCAGGCGTGAACGAAACGAGTCTTTACCTCTATCCTCGAATCTACCCAATCCACAACCTGAATCCCGAAGATTGCTTCGCCGACGCCACTACTGGCCAACTAGTCGTACCACAAACTCTCCGCGCCAGCTATGCTCGCATCGAAGAGGGTGGCGCCTACCTTGTTGATAACGGTCAATTCGTCCTTCTTTGGCTGCATGCTCAAGTCTCTCCGAATCTCCTAGAAGACCTATTTGGCCCTGGCTTTGACAGTCTGCAAGCTTTTGATCCACAAATCAACCAAATTCCGGTTCTGGAAACTCATCTTAATGCTCAGGTACGGAATCTCCTCGCATACGTGTCTACCCCCTCCTGCCGAGGCTCAAAATCCGGTCTCTCAATTCAACTTGCACGTCAAGGCCTCGATGGAAGCGAATTTGAATTCGCCAGACTGCTCGTCGAAGACCGCAACAACGAGGCCCAAAGCTACGTCGACTGGCTCGTCCACGTTCACAGAGCGATACAAATGGAACTCAGCGGCCAACGAAAGAAAGAGGTGGCAGCAGCAGAAGGTGAAAGCGTAGTACAGCAGCTCACAGGCCTGCGAGCACCCTACTGGAACTAGCAAAACATGGTGCACAAATTCAGCGAACAGATCGACGGCGCTACTGATGATATCGAGCGCTTCGCCAATCAGGTCATCGGAGCCCTAAGCAGCAACAGCGCAAACTTCAACAAACCCGAATTGCCAACAGCCAATAATCACAGTCAACACACTAGCGTGCCACATTCTAAACAGGCCCGCGAAGACAAGAAGAAACTCAGACGAAGCCTAGGAGACAGAGAAAGAACTATCCCAGGACTCATCGCGAAGCAGCGAGTATACGGTGACAATCACTGGGCAGCGCAGATGCTGAGTGAATTGTATGAGAAGGGACTCATCGCGAGTGGAGAGTTTGGTTGGACTCCTACTCCACCTGACCAGGGTCATGCAGAGTGGAAGTATGACTTAGTGGGTGTCGATGGTTCTGTGAGATTCGTCACAGTACCTGATTTGAGTGTTGAGGAGGGGGAGATGGTGTGAAAGAACAATCGTGTGAGGATGACTGAGGGGGAAGATGTGTGTACACGGGAGAGAAGCGGACGTAATGAGAGACGAGGATAAGACGTTGAGACGGAGGCTGGCCAGCATGAAAGACTAACTTATTAGTAGTGGTCATGGATGGCATTAGTAGAAATGTCATAGATACGAAGGCACATCCTACTAGTACAAAGTATCGGAGTTCTGAAAAGGTAAAGCTTTGTGTATTCGGCTTGGTGCATGCTTCATCAGACAGACACATTTTTTTGTTTGAAAAGGAGTGCATTTAGTCAGTCCGCGCGAGTCTCTTTCTCGACAGTCTCCGAATAAGTCGGTAGTGCTCCGCGCAATCTTTGTATACTCTTCTCGCGGTCGTTGAGAATCTTCGACGAGCTCTGTATCTTCTTGACGAGTAAGGTGTTTGCGTGTTTGCTGGCTTGAGACGAGGATTTATGCTCTCCTCTAGCTCGGAATTTCGTCTTGCTCTCCTGCTTATAGAGCCGTGGGCACATAATGCTCCGGCAGGTCTTTGCTCTAGCGAAGAGCCTGCCACCGCAGGACCTATTCGCGCGAAAACATTGACCTCTTGACCGCGACTCGTTTTATACCACTAGATACCGGTCGAGGCATCACTCTAATCTACCTCTTGACTTGTAAATTCCGGCAGCCGCTTGCTGACCTGTTCCCATGTTTCCCTACCTCTTACTAGCGATTCAATGGCAGCGCAGATATCCTCCTGACTCGCACGTACTTGCTTTGTGCTGTCTCGTTCTCGAAGGGTGATGGTCTTGTCCTTCACGGTCTGGAAATCTACAGTGATTCCGAAAGGAGTGCCTAGCTCGTCGTTCCGGCTGTATCGCTTGCCAATACTTGCGCTGGAGTCATCGATACTGTTGGCGACGTCCATTTCGTCGAGAAGAGACGTCAAGTGACGCAGGAAAGGTTTGAAATCAAGGTGATTTGAGAGCGGGACAATAAGGACTTTGATGGGCGCGATGAGAGGTGGGATGCTTAACACGTTTCTTGCTGATGGTTCGTCTTGAGATTCGGAAGAACGAGTCCAGAAGACGTGTTCGAGGAGATGGTACAATATTCTGCCGATACCGAAGGATGGCTCAATGACGTTCGGAGTATATTCTCGGATATGCTGTGTGACTTCTCTTTGCTCGATTGTGATTAGGTCTTTGTCCAGTTCCGTCTTGCCATTGCCAATGTTTGGGGTGTCGATGGTAATTTTTCCACTATCTTTCAATTCCAACGAGAGCTTTTCTCTGAGATCTTGGGACAAGTCTTCAACAGCGTTCTCGACCGCTTTCGCATCTTTCCGAAATTTAGGACCTAGTTTCTTCTTGTTCATATCGACTTGATACTCCTTGAACTTCTTTGGTTCGGGAAGGTTCTCACGTACTACCAATGGGGCACCGGTCTTCTTCATGTGAACAGTCAAATCGTAGGCGGAGCGATCAGCGCATCCAACGCATTCGATCCAACCGAAAGAGCCAAAAAGTTCAGCGTCCCAGCAGTCAGCGGCATAATGAGCCATCTCGTTGGCCATGTGTTGGCGGAAACGGAGTTTGCTAGGATCTATGCCGAGCTTGAGGAGGAAGTCTTGGATGCGAACGATGAAATAGCCAAGAGTCTCGTTATCAATGACTTTGTTCGAGACAGCATCGCCTACCGTCATCACTTCAGTCTTTTCACTTCCAGCCAGTTGTGTATGTCTGTTGAGTAGGGTAAGCTTGACGTCCTTCACATCTTCGAACTTCTCGTGCTTCTTGCCACTTTCAGGGTCGACATAGTGTTCGATTTCAGCCATCAGGAATTCTCTTACCCTCAATAAACCTTGACGTGGAGAGATTTCGTTTCGGAAGGACTTGCCGATGGAGGCAGAAGCGAAGGGCATTTTCTGTTTGTTGAACTCGAGCAGTTTCTGGAAATTGAGAAACTGACCCTGGGCAGTCTCGGGACGTAGATAACCATTGGGTTTGTCAGCACTAGGACCAATGTACGTTTGGAACATCAGATTGAAAGGCTTCGGCGGGTCTAGGTCGACACCACTGGTTGGACCCTTGATGTCGAACTTCTTGATGAGCTCGTTGAAGCCTTCTCCATCGTAGTTGTCTAGTTTTGCAAGTGTTTCATTGTATTCTTGAGCTACTGCGTCGTCTAACTTCTCAATCTTAACGTCCTTAATTTTCTTCTTTTTCTGTGGCTCGTCTGGTTTCTCAACCTCTATCGTTTGACCACGAGCGTCCTGGTCGGCTTTCAGTCTTGCACCAAGTACTTGCTTGATCAGATGGTCTGTTCTGAAGATCTCGCCAGTCTTAGGGTCTTTAGACATAAAGTCAGCGAACTTGGCGACGTGGCCAGACGTTATGAATACAGGTTCGGGGGTAATGATAGTGGTATCGACCTCGAGCATTTTCTCTCTGAGCACAAAATGCTTGCGCCATAGATCAACGAAGTTGGATTGTAGAGCAGTAAGAGGCGGACCATAATCGTACAGGCCCTTTTCTCCTCCATAAATCTCGAACGAAGGCATATAGAAGCCAGTTCGCCGTAAGAGTGAGTCCAGCACATCTCGATCGAAGGGTTGTCCAGTCTTCGTAGTGTTTGTAGCAGCCATGGTGTCTGTCAGAGGCTGAACCCTCTTGATCTTGCAGAGCGCAGTAGTAGTCGAGAATGCTCGGACAGGAGATGTCGAGATCAGACGAGGAAAGAGCGACCGCATTCAAAAATGATACACCCTCCCACGACAAAATAAATAATGTTTGTATATGACTCCAAAGTGGTACCTGCATCCGCGAGAGCACGACTCATCACTGGCCAAGGGGCGCCCCGCATAGACCCGGAGGCTAGCGTAGGTTCAAGTGCTAAAATTCATGCCTGGGAAAAAAAGTTCAGGCTCTTACAGGCGTCGCATTCATTCTACTACTCGTATCATCTGAGGTGTGGTTGTACATATGGACTGATGCTTATCGACTTGCGACTTACCCAAACATGCCTTCGAAAGAGCTGCGACTATCAGACAAGGCAGCCCTTCCTTTCAAGACAACCAACAAGGCCAGACGGCAACAATTACACATCAAGCAAAAACAGGCGAGAGATGTGCTGAGGCGAGCAGACAGATTTGCCAGGAAGAAGGAAGAGGCCAAGAACCCCAAGTTAAGAGAGCAGCGCCTGCGTGAGAATGTCCCACAGACGTTAGAGTCCAAGAGAAAATGGGACGACGTTCAGGATGAGCCCGAAGATGGAGGTCTCGGCGTCGCTTTCAACGTTGAGAGACTGAAGAGGCGGAAGCTCGCGGAGGAACAAGACCTGGCTGGAGATGACGAAGACCTCTCGTCGCATGGCGATGCCGAAGAGAGTGACCGTGACAGCATGCTGGACGAGGATGAAGACATGGGTACTCATAGCGAAGCAGACGACGAGGTCGACGATCTAGAACCACCCGAGGATCCTGACGCTGAGAATGCTCTACCAACCAAGTCTCAATTACGTTCAGCGACTGCAAAGATCCGGCAAAGAGCTTCATCCCCTCCAGCGCGGTCGACTACCTCCACGAATTTATCTTTAGCGCCTGCTGCCCTCAGTAAAAAGTTCCCTACTCTATTCCTTCCTCCAGACGAAAAGCCTCCGATGCCGAAAATACTGGTTACCACCTCAATAAACTCTACCCTCCACCACGAAGCAGAAGTCCTCGTCAACCTGTTACCAAATTCCAAGTACGTCCGTCGATCATCTCACAGATACGGCCATAAATTCAGTGTAAGGGAAATTGCTGCCTTCGCGGCCAAGAGAGAATACACTACTCTTGCTGTATTGGAAGAGGACATGAAGAAGCCTTCTGGTCTTGTCGTTGTGCATTTACCCGTAGGCCCAACCTTTCACTTCACGATTACAAATTGGTACGAGGGAAAAGCAATTCCAGGTCATGGTAGACCTACAAGTCATATACCTGAGCTCATCTTGAACAATTTTACAACTCCTCTTGGCTTGCTCACTGCCCATCTGTTCAGGTCTATGTATCCATCGACCCCGGAACTACAAGGTCGGCAAGTAGTTACTTTGCACAACCAGCGCGATTTCATCTTTCTGAGGAAGCACAGATACGTTTTTCGCGAGAAAAGAGAGATGGAGAAGTCTGTTGTTGGTGCAGACGGTAAAGAGATGAAGGGCGCAGAAGGCATTCGAGCTGGTCTTCAAGAATTGGGTCCTCGACTCACACTCAAACTCAGACGTGTTGATAAAGGTATTCAACGTGCCAGTGGGCAAGAATGGGAATGGAGAGGCAAGACGGATCGTGTACGAACTAAATTCCAGCTCTAGATTCAAGCACGATACTGGTCCCGCCTTGATCTCATTCTTCCTGCGCATGCAGGGATCATCAACGAGCTTTTCCTCTTCCTGTCGTGTTTGTCTCGAGAATTGTCATCACAGAGGCATCCTCTCCAGTGCTTTTGGGAGGCCTTACTCCAACTTTGCATTTTTGGTCCTCCACTCAATTTGCTGTGCCAATGGCTTGACACTAGAGTTGTGACTTGGATACTGAAACTACGCTAGGGAAGCTTATATTGCTGAAGGCAGTGCTTGGTCTTTCTTTGCTTGAGCTGTGCACATCTCCAGCTTCGTCCAGCTCATGTCGGTGGTCAGCATTTTCTGCGGCTTCAACTTGTGCTTGGTATCTGCACGAAACCTACAAAGACCAGCTGCTTTCTTGAAGTACCTTTAGTTCTACGAACCTCGCTTTTGTTGCAGCACGGATTTCTACTTTCAAAACGGCCGCAAGCCGGGCCCGTCTGGCTAACGTCATTTCCGCCCACAAGTACAACTGTGGCTGCGCTCCATCAAGTTCCTGTTGTCAAACCTTCATTGTGCTCTCAACCAACCACATCACGATCCACGTGGTTGCACGCTCTCGAAATAGAGTAGAGGGTCAGTGTTGGGATGAGAAGTTGTTGCTGTGATATGGCACAGCCATAGCTCCATGCTTCTGCACATCTGATTGACCATCATCACGGTTTGTCGTTTGCATTGTTCTTTTTCCCGGTTTTTCGTTGCTTTTCCCTCGACACTTATCGCTGCTGTTGGGTAGTACAAGCCATGAGCCTGGTGTTCTAGCAGTAGCATCAACATCAACTACCAAGCTTCTGCGCTCATTTCATAATATACACCAAGCCTGTTGTTTCCAGCCCAACGAGCGACAATGCTGCCTCTTACACTGCTGCTCACTAGTCTTAGCTTCGCTTCGACAGTGCTGGCTACAGGTTACTTTCTCAATCCTGCAGGCAATGACGGATCTTTGTCAGTCACACCGGGCAACACAATCGACATTTCCTGGACAAATGTCTCAGACTACAACATCCTCTCACTCGGTTACTACTCAACCTCCAACCAGACCATAACATGGCTCATTGTAAATTCGCAATCACATCCCACGAGCTACAGATGGACAGTCGACGCCGTCGCAAAGGGCTTCAACCTTGCTGACAGTAAATTATTCGCGTTCTACATATGCAAAGGTCTCAATTTCGGCGACCCTTTTATCAGTTCCTACTTCGTTATCAACGATGCGGCTTCATCTAGCAGCACCAGCAGCGTCTCCAGTACCGCATCAACAACCGTGGTAGCACAACCAGCCACAACGTTCACTAGCACGTTGAGCTCGAGCTCGACCTCGGCCACAAGCCTGCCAAGCTCAGTCACTCCAAGCAATAATCCAACATCCACAGGAACCGCTGCCGCCGCCGCCGCATCCGCAACAAACAACACCCTACCACCAGTAACGGCCAGCGACTCCTCTGGCCTCGGCACAGGTGCTAAAGCAGGTATCTCAGTCGGCGTCGTCATCGCGGCCCTTGCCATCGCAGTAATCGCCTTCTTACTCCTGCGCAGAAAGAGGAGGACGAAGCAGAATGCTGGCGGTGCTGCGTTGGTTGCTGAGAAAAGTAGTCACGAATCCACCCCCACAAGCGCATATGAAAAGGCACAGATGCGTGGGCAGGGAGGCACGCTAGGGCCACGAGGTGAAGCGCTTTCCACGCATACAGGTGTTCATGAGATGCCGTCGGGACAGCAAGCTGGTGGACCTGTTGAATTAGGACCAGGGACTGCCGCGGAAAGTGGAAGAGTAGAGCTGCCTGCGACTTCACAGCGGTAAAGTGAGGGGCTCTGTGCGTCAATTCTGCTTTCCTTCTATTACATACCATTTTACTCATGTACTATATTGTGAGTCCCAGGGAAACAGTCCCAGATTAGTTGGTCTTGGCACCCACTACGGTGTTCCGCACGGTCGCACACTCCTTTATTATTCCTGTGCGACCTCCCTCACCAGTTTAGTATCCATCATAGTTGTATACGATCAGCATTCCTAGTAGATTGAGTGTAAAAACATACACTCATCGATTCCGGTAGAGGGAACACACAAAGTATCAGCAACTTTTACTTACGGGTCTCTCCATCCATTGTTGAAACTTTCTTCAAGCGCTTTGATTCGACAATTGAGAGCCATCGCTTTATCTAAGAACACATGCTACACAAGATGAGAACAACTGTGACAGGAAACATGTACTAATCATTATCGTGACTCTAACTTGAAGTATATATCTTTCTCTATCTTCGTCTTACATTTTCGACTTCCCAAAACTCCTTCCGTGCTTTTTGACCGCGCTTCATTACCGACGTCCGAGCGCGAGATAATTCGACAGCGAGGCACGGCTGATCAAAGCTTGGCCTTCATTTCAGGAACAATCCTGCTGCCATCCTCTGCAAACTCGATCCTCTTTCCAGAGATCAAACTCTCTTGCAGAGCCTGGCCGATCCGCACAGCAGTAACAGCACCTTCCAACTTCATCGGTGGCTCAGTGTTGTCCAAGCAGCATGCAGTGAATTCATTGGCCTCGGTTATGAATGCGTCTCTGAAACGACCATAGTAGTGTGGTGGGATCTCGCGCCTGATACCGGTCGACTCGGTGATGTTGACCAGGTTCAGCTGCGGCTGAGTGTTTATGGCAAGTTTTCCCTTGGTCCCAATGACCTCGGTGGTATCTTCCTGGCCAGCAGCCATCATCCTCGAGCAGTATAGTTGTGCAATCTTGCCATCATAGAATTCCACAACCGCAGCTGCGTTATCTCTATCGTTGTATTTTCTTAGATCCGGCTCGACAGCTGTGATGCCTACCGCAGAGACGCTCTTGATCTTACTGTCCTCTCCGAAGAACCACAGTGCTAAATCGATATCGTGGATGGAGCAATCGACGAAGATACCGCCGCTGAACTTGGCGTATTCGACGAAGAAACCCGAAGGATCCAGTTTGTCACATGTTTGAGATCGGAAGACAGCGGGTCGTCCAATTACACCCTCCTGCATCTTGGCGAATGCATCGCGGTATGAGGCGTCGAAACGTCTTGAGAAGCCGCAAATGACTTTCTGGTTTGGGTATTTCTTCTGAGATTCTCGGTAGGCGTCTACAACAGACTGGGAGATTTCGACGTTCGTGGAAAGAGGTTTCTCGCAGAGGACGTGGAGGCCGAGTTTGATGGCTTTGATGGCTTGTTCTGCATGGACAGCTGTCGCGGACGACACTATGACGGCTTGGAGACCATTCTTGACTTCTTTTTCGAGCAGCTCGTCGTAGGAGAGGTACGTCCTAACGCCAGGCAGGTTCTGTTGTGTCCAGTCCAGCTCTTTCTGTTCCGGGGAAGTGGCTGCAATCAATTCTGCTCGTGGTGTCAAGTTCGCAAAGTGGCTGGCATGGCGAGCTCCCATTCCTAGATAGCAGTCAGCTAGGTAATCAGGTTCATTTGTGTACAACCTACGCCCAAGACCTGCGATGGCCACTTTGAGCTTTGATGCACTCATCTTTGGCTGCAAACACGGATGGGAAGGAGAGAGTAACGAGGTGGCGCTGTAAGTAAGTCTTCGAGCACCAAGCAACAGGAAAGGGTAACGGCAGGATTTTTTGAATGATGTCTCAAGTATACGATGGAGAGTATTGTTGTAATTTATATGGTTTACTGACCTTCACTTACCTTGATAGCGACTGACCGCTTTTTATCCATTGAGCGGAACATCATTGACGAGGCTTTCTGGTGGTCCATCTGACTGTTGTAGCCCCGTGGTTGAACTGGGAAACAAATCGATCATCTTCAGACCATGAGACTCGCCGACTATCTACTCTATACAGCTTACGCTCTTTCCGCTGTCTCCATTGATTGTCATGAGTACTTGTCGGGAACGGGGTTTGAAGCCTAGTCTCGGCAATGGATTCTCAGGCACGGCGACGCGGTAGGTGGAACATGGTCACGATATTACGTTTGTCGAGTGTGCACAGCGTTTCACTTTGGGTCGTAACGAGCAATTCACCACATTTTGTTTTTGCTGCACATAACAATGTATTCGTTCTCGACGTCAATTAACCAGCTTGGCGGAAAGTGCGACAACGCGGACCGGATCGGTTGCCACATCGAGACAAGCGCAAACACGCCCCTGCCACCTTCGAGTTTCTGCAGATCAAAACATTGAAGTGAAAAGTCAGCCAGCGCTATCAGTAACCATAAATGCACAGACCTCGTTGTTGCACTTTCATGGCCATCCTAGAGGTGATTAGAGTGATGTGAAAATTGTCGGCAAAGCCTCCGCCATTCGCTGAAATGCGAATGTGAATGTAAATGTAAGTGGAATACAGCTAGCATGCCACGGAAAAGGTACGAGGGTGGGAGTTGGAGACATTCAACGTTCAAAAGATAGTGAAGAAGGAGCGAACACCGACGTAATCCCCCACAGCTTTTGGAAACTGCCTGTGATAGTATTTAGGAACTCATTCAAATCCTGCTGTAAATTTGATGTACAGCTGAAATATACACTACCAACCATTTCACCACTATTCACGAAGATGGGATCTACTCAAAGAGAAAACCTGGCTGACACGGTTTTCACCTTGAACACAGGCGCAAAGATTCCCGCGCTTGGTTTGGGAACATGGCAATCTGCTCCAGGGGAAGTCAGTGCAGCAGTTGCACACGCGATCAAGACGGGTTACAGACATATTGATTGTGCATGGTGCTATGGAAACGAGGACGAAGTCGGCCAGGGAATCAAAGAGGGCCTTGAAGCCACAGGGCTTAAGAGGAGCGACCTCTTTATTACGACCAAGCTGTGGTGCACATACCACACTCGGGTAGAAGAGAATCTGGATTTAAGCCTGAAGTCTCTCGGTCTCGAGTATGTCGATTTGTACCTCATGCATTGGCCAGTTGCCATGAATCCAAACGGCAACGACCCAAAATTCCCAAAGAAGCCTGATGGATCAAGAGACCTGGACCTGGAGCGGAAGCCAGCTGCCACTTACAAAGAGATGGAGAAACTGCTGCAAACTGGCAAAGTCAAGGCTATCGGTGTTTCGAATTTCAGCAAAAAATTCCTCGAGCAGCTCTTGTCGGTAGTCGACGTGGTTCCCGCCGCGAATCAAATCGAGAACCACCCCCTACTTCCACAACAAGAAATTGTCGATTTCTGCACGGAAAAAGGCATCATTGTGGAGGCATACTCACCACTTGGCAGCACAGGTAGTCCACTGTTGAAAAACGAGAGTGTAACTAAGGTAGCCGAGGAGACAGGTGTCAGCCCGGGGACTGCTCTGCTCAGCTACCACGTCGCAAGAGGCGTGCTTGCTCTACCGAAATCTGTCACACCAGCAAGAATTGAGCAAAACTTCAACGTTGTCAAACTGACTTCTGAGCAGCTATCAGCACTTGAGAGCGTCTCCAAGGCTGGCACGCAGCGCATTGTATATCCGCAGTTCGGCATCAATTTTGGCTTCCCTGACAAGGACTACGGTGCTCCTCACTCTGCTGCTTGAGCGACAATTATTTGACGGACATTCTCAAGGACAGAATGCGATGTATGTATTCTAGGCGTTAGTAGTAGCCGAGATTGGACTGAGAACCTAGCGGACGAAAAGCTTGTAGAACCATCTTTCGCGCACAAATTCAGACATACTGCTGTTTGCTCTATCTGGTAGTCTCGGCCTGCATCTTCTGGTTGGTTTGGCTTGGCTGTAAATCGTGGTTCTAGACAGTCACTCCTTCTCGAACGATACCCTGAGGCTGATAGTGGGATAAAACATCCCTTGTCTGGCAACACGTCCACCTGCTGTTCGTTATATCACCTGACATACGGCTTCTGGTGGTACTTGATCCAGGTATTTTTCACTAACCATCGACACGAACGGCTCTATTCCCGTTGATCGGCATTGAAGCTCCACGATGCCGAACTTGGGACTTTCTCTTCCTTCCTCGTCTTCTGAAAGCGGCAATTGTCACCGACTCCATTGACCTGTATTATGGTTCTCCTCTCAAGGTTGCTTTCGAATCATTCTTCTTTGCAACATACATGCGTTCGTAAGAAGAAAATCACCCCGATGATTGGCTCGAGGTGCCGCGTTTGTCGGAGCCGGCTTCCCTGATTACTGACAGGAACAACTCCAGGATGGTCATCGAATCGCGTTCTTTGTCCTCTGTTACACGGCATTCTACTGAAATCACGCGAGATCATGCACGCGCACTTGCTCATTCCGCATAAAGTACAGAGCCTGCCTCATTGCCGAAATGTGATCTATCACATTCTGTAATGCTTCTTTGCATATACACGAACCTGAACACTGCAGTTGCGCTCTGTGCCCGGCATGAAACTTAATGGCTCTATGCAGTAGGTCGCCGCGACACCGGTGCTCGGCTCAAAGTCTGTCTTATGGATTCGAAGTTCTCCATCAGAGTCGCAAAACAAGGTTCTTCCAGAAACGTGGCCAATCGATCTGAGAGATATCGAATCACGAGTGGCTATACCTGGCCAAGAGCGGGCCGACTACTGAAGTTACGCCTTCGAGTGTCGAGATATGGTGCTGTAAATGGCAGTTATCCAGCGAGAAGAAAAGTTCAGCAGCGGAGCGGGCATAGAAGGAACTGGATGTCTTGCATGTAAACTTACCTTCTATGTACAGGTGAGAGCAGCAAGTCAGCATGTGCGATGATGTGTCCTGGGTCCAAAAGACGTGCGCAATGGAGTCTCGAGGAAAATCGACACTCGCACCAAGAGCTTCGGATGCAGTGGTCTGGATTCAGTATGAGCGACAACTGGTAAGTGCCTTTCGAGGTATATCAAGCTGCTATTGTACTCTTTCGAGAAGTGTATTTTTCCATCATTGCACTTTGAAACCTGTAATATCTTGTCATCATACGAGTATTAACCAATCTGATATCCTCGGTATTCAACTTACTTTCGATTCTAAAACACAGACGCAGATTCGTTCCACGTTCACCAGATTATCATATTACTATGGCACCTGCGGCTATTGCTGTTCAGGAACCAGTCCAGACTTTCCGCACAGACCGAGATGGACTCGCACTGGAGGAGATGGTTGATGAAATCGAGCACATCAATGTCTTGAAAGACCAAGCGAAAAGGGACCTCGAGAGATCTATGGGAGAGGCCTCTGTCTTCGACCAAGAAAAGGACAAGACCAAATTCAGACAATACGAGGAAGCCAACGACCGAGTCAAGAACTTCTACAAGGAGCAACATACAAAGCACACCGTCGCCTATAACCTCCGAGCTCGCAACAACTTCTACAGCAAGACTCGAGCTGAGATGACCATCTGGGAAGCCATTGAAAAGCTCAACACTCTTATCGACGAGTCAGACCCCGACACAGAACTTAGCCAGATAGAACATCTACTTCAGTCGGCCGAGGCCATCCGTCGTGACGGCAAACCAAGATGGATGCAGCTCACCGGCCTCATCCATGACCTTGGCAAACTCCTCTTCTTCTTCGACGCTGACGGTCAGTGGGACGTGGTAGGAGATACCTTCCCGGTCGGCTGTGCCTTCGACGACCGCATCATCTATGGCAACAAATCTTTCGCCGAGAACCGCGACTACGATGACCCAATCTACAGCACAGAGTACGGCATCTACACTCCTGGTTGCGGCCTCGACAAGGTCATGCTCAGCTGGGGTCACGACGAGTACCTCTACCACGTCGCAAAAGAGCAGAGCACTCTGCCCAAGGAGGCTCTGGCCATGATCAGGTTCCACTCTTTCTACCCGTGGCATAGCGCTGGTGCTTACAAGTGGATGATGGGTCCCGGTGACGAGGAACAGCTCGCTGCAGTGAAGGCTTTCAATCCATATGATCTGTACAGCAAGTCGGATGAGAAGCCAAAGGTTGAGGACCTGAAGGACTACTACCTTGAGTTGATTGATGAGTACTTCCCAAAGAAGGTCATTCGATGGTAGACCTTTACAGATCAGGGAAGTGTTGATGTGCATGAGTGGCGTTTCGGTTGAGCAACTGCATCTTTTTAGTTAGTTGACGTGATTTTCTGGTGCCGATTCGTTCCACGAAGAGCTCGAGTACGAGTCGGCGATGAATATTTGAAATTTTAGTAGCATATTACGGAAGCCATAATCTTCATCGACATCTTGTTTGCTGTCTTAAGTTTTACCTCATACTATTCACTCCCGGCGTCTTCATACATTATTGCTAGACCCTGAGATCTTAATTTACTTTCACGGTACCTATCGTCCAACCACGGCAAACTCGTCTTTCAGCTATTCCCCGACAATGGTTACACAACATATGTGGCCAGCTCGAAGCGAGCGCCTGACGTGTCCATCCTCGGACATCCCTCGTACGCTACCCTCGGACATTTTACTGTATATCTGCTGCACTTCGATGTCGCGTTTGCATAATGGTAATTTCGGTTAGTATTTAGTAATGCATTGTACTTGTGTCACTGCTAGGGGACATTTTTTGTCGTAGCGAACTCGTCTCGAGGTGTGATTGTTGTAGGTATAGGGTCTCTGCACCGAATGATCGTACCTTCGCTACGAATTGGCTGTTGGCTTCGACAATTGGTGTAATATGTTATGGCTATGATTAGACAGATGAGCTTTGTGTATTCTCACCGTCACTCATTCAGAAGGACAAGATACTAGTAGTATGGGCTTCGGAGCGGGTCATTTGTGCCCGAACCAATTCGGTGCATTTATTCCGAAAGAGGGAATGTTACGGCGAACATTGTGAGACTCTATTCTGAGAAGGCAAAGTACTGAGGCTCGAACAGGAGACAATGCAGCGTTTGTTGTTGGCCATTTTGCACATATGCACGTCGAGGCGTGTGTGATTTTTGTGCAAACTCTTGTACTCGACTCTCTCCGAGATGTGATCACCTCATATCGAGCAATCAACAGCTGATTCAGGGAGGCAGCACTCGCCTCATGCTACAGTCATTTAGACCGAGTATCATGCGTGTCTCGGCTCATGGGCAGGCAAGCCACTGATACAATCCTACCTCATTCCATATTCGGCGTCATCTAGTGTCCAGGGAGGTGCTCAAGCGCGTGTTATATCCCAAGGCCAGTCTCTTACTCAAGACGATGGGAGGCTTTGAGGATAGATCGAACGTGGTTATCTAGCAAGCCTTAGTATGAGATCTGGCAATGCATGGAAAAGCTTACCACCTCGTCATTCAGGCCTGAGATGTCAAATGTCTGTCGGAGTATAACTTGCACACCCCTACGAGTTCGTATGAATTCGTTGAAGTGTAACCCTGTGACTAAGTTAATCCTATACTCGACACCGGAATATATCACCAGCAAGACGGTAGGCAGGAATCGTCCTTTGCAACTCAATGTCACAGATTGTGTACAGTAATCTGCCACTCAAGGCAGCAATATCTCCAGCAAGGAATAAAAATCGCAGCTTGCTTACAGTAATGCCAGAAGGCGACCATGGAATTTACCATGGCCTCATCATGACTCGTTGTGTGAAGAATATGGTTCAAAAGGATTGACTGTAAGTCCACTGATAAAGCAAGAAAGATCTTCTCCTTGGGAATGATTTCGATAATGTCCAAGCTAGGCAATCGCTGACAATAGATTGTACCCATCGTGGCAAGTGATCCTAAGCTTCCAAGAACAAGAGTGGAGATTTTGTGCAGAAATGGTTTGTACTTAGGCATAATCGAATGCTGCTCGTCGTGTCTCGTGGTCGATGCATCCAGGAGACCAGTAAACTTCTCCTCGAGCAGGTGCACTGCCACATCATGCATAGAACGACATGCCAATATCGGGCCTGAATCAATGCGTACTGATGCCGCAAACGTATATATGGGAACACGATTGAAGGCCGGCACGTTTTTGGTCTCGAGATGCCATGGCTGGTATAAATGGCTCAGAATCTCTCTCTGGATCTCTAACGGCAGATTGTTGAATGAGACAGGCATATTGTCGTGTCCCATCCGTATAAAGCCTGTGTGGACTGTGGTTACTACCAATCAAGCTTTCAGATATTTACCTTGAAGCACCAGGTGCCAGACATGTACATGAGATTAAGATCAGAACTTCTTGCACCAGCATTTCCAGTTCAGGCTTCCTCAATAGGGTATATTACGTTCAAGGAAAGAGATTGGTGTCGTATATTCGCGTCTCGTCCCTACTTAACGGACCAGGACACTCGTCATCGTTGTTCATTAGCGATATGTATTGTCTCCTACCACTCGTAAGCTAGTACGATTAGGAATAGTAGCAGATGGTAGACAACCTTTAAGTCAGCACCTTCCCAGTGATACCAGTTCCCGAAACGGCTAGCGGAGACCTAAAATGCTTATTGCATTACTGGTCTTCCTGACGCCCCCTAAATTCTTGATAAACATGCAATTGAAGACTGCTTGAATGGTAGAAGGTGCGAATGCTCCGACCCGAACACTTCTCTTGTCGTAACGTAGCAGTACAGCGACAGCATGCGGTGGCATGGCATCTTCTCAGTTGCGCTCTCCGTGATTCCAGTACAGTCATTGTTTGTCGACGAAGCGTACAACATCGATTTCCACCATGCACTTCTGGGCATTCCTCAACCCCACTCTACCTTCTTCCACAAGCCTGATGCTTCATCCAACGCAGCTCTTCTTTACTCCTTGTCGGACAAGGCAGTCTTAGGTGCTCTCAACCCAAGAGATGGGTCTCTAGTCTGGCGTCAATCTCTTGCAAGCCAGCCAACAGTTAATGCCACGACTTCCTTCCTGGTTGCTGGGGAGGGAGACGGAAAAGTGACAACTGCGGTGGGTAAAGAGGTTGCTACTTGGGATGCGTCCGATGGAAAACTCGTGTGGAAGTACACTGCGAGGGGAGAGGTCAAAGCCGTCGATCTTCAAGCCGTTCCTGTCCTTGGAAGCAGTACGGATGGTGCGGTTCAAGACGTGATCCTGTTGACTCAGCCGTTGCAAGAAGGAGGGAGCTATGTCGTCTCTCGTATTGGCGGTGATGGGTCGGGTGAAAGATGGCGTCATGAAGATGTTGACACAAAGCTCGACGCTCAAGTTGGTATTGCAACCTCTCTGAAGCATCTTTTCTACATTACAAAATCCGCAGGGTTACTATCTGGTCAAAGAACCAAAGTTGTGGTCTTCGACATTATTACTGGAAAACAACTCAAGGAGTATTCACCTGCCCTTGATTCTGAAACTGTAGCTGTCGATGGTCGGCTTGCGTCTGCTTCGGGATCTGAAGCTCCATTGTTGATCACTTCCGAGACGCCATACAAGACCATAAAGTTCAACTTGCTTGGAAACAACAAAGTCTCGACAATAACGCTTGACGACAAAGGTGAGGATATTGTCTCTGTTAGTGCGCACAGCGCACTAGGCACAACTGCAGAGTCACATTTTCTTCTGCACGTGAGGACTGCAACCAAAAATTGGGCAGAAGTATACCATATGAACACCGCAACTGGAGATTTCAAACGGGCTTATTCTCTACCTGCTATCAAAGATGCAAGCGCTTTCGCCGCAAGCAACAATGGAAAGAATGTCTTCTTTAGTCGAGCTACGAGCACCGAAGTCTCTGTCTATTCTTCCCAGTCCCACGGACATCTTGGAAGATGGCCTAGAAATGTCCTGGCCGGATCTCGCACCTCATCTACCGACCCCATATATGCGATAGCGGAAGTAGCAATACGCGACAACACAAATACAGCAGTCAGAACTGCAATTATCTCACCCGAGGGTAGTCTCTATCTTGTGAGGAATGGCGACACACAATGGGTACGCGCAGAGATGTTGGCATATGCTGAGCTGGCTGCTTGGTTTGACTATGCGCAAGTCACTCCTTTGGCTCAAGAATTGAGTGCTGAGGTATCAGTCGATCCTGCTACTGCTTATATCAATCGGGTGTATCGACATGCGAAAGAGCTTATGCACCTGCCCAATTATCTTGTCAAGCTTGCTCAAGGAGCTTTCGGTCCGGCCGAAGACAAGCCGTCAGTGCGAGAAGATTTGCTTGGTTCTCGATCGCTCATCCTTGCAACGAGCCGCAAACAGATTGTGTCGCTGAGCGGGATATCAGGCGCAATCCAATGGTATGCGGATCTACCTAGTGCCATATCTGATGGTGCTGCTGTACGTTCCCTAGCAATATCAGAAGGCCGTGTCACTATATACACGTCAGATGGCTCTGTTTCTGTCCTTAATGCCACTACTGGCGGAGTCATCGAGACGAAGACAGGTACAATTCCGGCAGCTCGAATCATTGAACTGCCTGGAACACCGGCCTCAACGCTTCTCAAAGTCAACGAAGAAGGTATACCTCAAGTTGCGGTCGATTTAGCCCCATCTGTGCCTCTTGAAGGGAACGTAGTTATGACCCAAGATCAGACTGGAAATATGGTGGGCTGGACTGTCGGTACTACAGTCAGGAAGACCTGGACCTTCACACCCACGCCAGGGAAGATCGTCGCGGTAACAACCCGACCTGAACAAGATCCAATTGCTTCTATCGGAAAGGTACTAGGCGACCGCTCAGTCCTCTACAAATATTTCACACCGAACATGGCTGTTTTGACCACTATGTCTAACGAAATACTTACCATGTATCTCATCGACGCAGTAACAGGAGCGGTTCTTCACACCTCCTCCCATGCCGGCGTCCTCGACTCATTCCCTATCTCAGCAGTCCTCTCTGAGAATTGGTATGCATACACCTTCACTTCTTCTAACCCCGAAACCAATGCGTTATCCACGCAGCTTATCATATCTGAGCTGTACGAATCAGATGTGCCGAATGATCGCGGTCAACTTTCTGCTCAAACGAACTATTCCTCTTTCGGTCCTGACGGGAACGTCAAGCCACACGTCGTCAGTGCTGCCTTCACACTTGCTGAGCCCATGTCTCACCTCACCGTCACTCAAACAGCTCAAGGTATAACCAGTCGGTCGCTGCTAGCATACCTGCCTGGTTCACACGCTATGATAGCAATCCCTCGTCACGTTCTGGATGCTCGTCGACCAATAGATCGAGATCCCACCTCTTCGGAAGCAGAAGAAGGACTCTTCCGCTATACTCCAGAATTGAGTCTCGACCCAAAGACATTCCTCTCTCATGCTCGTGATGTCGTTGGCATCAGCCATATTTCCGCTGTGCCAACATTGCTTGAGAGCACATCAACCGTCTTCGGTTTCGGACATGATATCTTCGGCACTCAAGTGGCGCCAAGTCAAACTTTTGATGTGCTGGGCAAGAACTTCAGCAAATTCCAGCTCTTGGCCACGGTCGTGGCTCTATATCTGGGCGTGCTAGCCTTGAGACCTCTTGTTCGAAGGAACGTCGTCAAACGTGGCTGGCTATGAAAGAGCCACATGCTGATCGCTCAAAGAAGAGTCTTAACAGTTGGCAGGAGTTACGCCGCGCACGCCTATCTAAAAGAAGTACTCTTGGACTTCCAAGGAATGCGACAGTTCTTGTCGGCGCAGGATAGGCTGCAGGTCAATGATTCGCAAGAATCATCAAGGCTGAAGCATTGGTGAAAGCTCGTACTGACCCTGACATCCACGGCAAGCTCGAATCTGGCGCGATGGTGACTCCTCGGACTTGACGGACCTAACATCCGTACTTCACTCAATCCTGTCGTGCGAGCCCAAGAGCTCGTTCTTCGATGACAATCCACTACGTCACATAGCGGCACGAACCACGTTCCCACCTGAGATCAGTAGGTCTCGCTTCACTGAGAACGTATCGTCGAACGACCATCATGATGAGACCTGTTTCCGCAATAGATTGGCCCGAAACAGTTACCTTGCTATGGCGGTATGAGTATATCTTTCAGGCCACCACAAACACAGGACGACCCTGATGTCTGAGTTGTTCGAGTAGTTGGCCATCAGCTGTTCACGGACAAGCACAGCGGGGAAAGAAAAACAAAAACAGAAGACTGTACGGCTTAGCAAGAGTTGTGTCATGTATATTTGACCTCGAATACTAATACATAACATTCGGAAGTTTCTTCGCCTTCTAGGTTCGTCTAGACCTTCGCAGCATATTGCTTGCTCAAATAATTATAACTAATTCCACCTGTCCTGCCTGTATTAGCATTAGGTCCAAGCCCCAACCATTCCTTCATCTCCTCACTAAGGTCCTTCTGTATGTCCTGCGGAAGCTTTGCCGTCCAATTTACCTGCTGCCGGAGGAAAGGCGCAGTATAATACCCAAAGAGCAACGCACGATCCTCATCCGCCGTAATATTTGAACCACTCGTATGCCACACCCTCCCATCCATCAAAATCACATCGCCAGCTTTAGCTTCAAACGGCACCAGCAACTCATTCGCGTTCCTCGGGACCTCTGACTGATAGACATACTTATTCGAGCCAGGAATATACAGCGTCGCACCGTTATCTCTATGAACATCCGTAAGACACCAAATCGCATTGATAGCCCACACTTCCTTCCACGGATCCGGAACCACAATACTCTGATCAGAGTGTAGAGCCATAGACTGTGAGCCTGGCCTCGCGATGTTCGCGGTGAAATTGCTGATCAGGAAATTTTCGCCGAGGACGAATTTGATGTATTCTATGATTGTTGGGTGGGCGATTAGGTCGCGGAAGATCTTTTCGTGCTCGAGGAGGTAGAAGACGCGGACGTTGGAGGGGTTTGGGTCGAGGTGTGGGAGGTGGACTTTGTCGCCTCGGGCTTCGGATTGGGTTTTTGCGGCCCAGAGGTGGGTGAGGACGGTCGCGGATTGTTCTTTGGTTAGGACGGATGGGATAAGTGCCCAGCCTTGTTGGGCTAGGTGGTGTTTGATTGAGGTTGTGGATGGTGTAGATGCATCGCTCATAGTGAGTAGTGACTGTGATAGCGTGAGTGGAGTTTTGATTAGACTTATCGGAGGTATGGTCCTGCTGGCAATGTTAGTTGTATCTGCCTTTTGGAAGTTTGTCAATTAACAGAGTTAAGAAACTATATCGTTAAATATTGCATTACCGAGGTACGCTATTCCCACGTGTGGAAGCTCGGGATGTCTCACCAACAGGGATACTGATGAGGAGTAAGTAAGTAATGTGCCTGACAAGAATGGGTTGAGCTATTTGATCACCAACGTGAATCTTCATGTCAGAGGACTAGCTAACTCGGTAGACTCCTGCACGAAGTCTGGCTCACTTCTTCGGCAGCGTCACCTCCCTATCTTTCGATCAATCGATTCGACGTCAATCACGATCCTGCAGATTCGATCCTTTGACCTGCCCCTTTCTTCGTGCTCGGCGCACAAATAAAACGGTCCTTTTTGATCATATGCATTCGTACTCTCGCCGCGCAGGAATCGTGAGGGCTGCCTCGACCATTCGCGCTACGTACCTCAACGGCTTGTGGCCCCTATCATACAGAGTGGTATAGTCAGAAACGTCCTGGAGGGTGTGCAGCTGTTGATGGGAATGAGTTTATTGGATAGCCATATCTTTCTCAATGTTGCATGCACATTACCCTTGTCGTAGCCTTGCTCGACACGGTATCGACATCCACAGCTCACTCTTTGTCCCTATGCTGATGCTGACCAGACGATAACTCCTCGAAGCTAGGCCCATAGTGAGCAAGAGCTTGCCTACTTATTCCACGAAGAGGCAATTCACTCAGGACTTGTCACAACTCTGTGGCCTGATCTGTAACTTTTCATCGACAAACTACCTCCCAGCAGCAAAGTCAGCCTTCATCTCTCTTGCTCTTTGATCCTTTTCAATACGTTCTTGCCTCTCTCTATGTAAGATGTCGTCACGCAGCTTCTGACGGGCATCGGCCTCCGCCTCCCAGATCGGCTTATCACTCTTCGAGTACTCGATCATCTTTTGCGCAAAGTCCTTGTAATTCTTCTCTCGCTCTCCACGTAGTTCGAGGTTGCGTTTTTGCAGCTCAGGATTGAAGCGCTTGAAGAGCTCGCCTTCAGAAGGAGTGACATAGTACATTATTGCTGGGCCGCCGATCGAAAATCCGAGGAAGACGGCAGCCATTTTGGTATACATGCCACCACGAGACATGATGGGCGCGTTGTGTCTATTGGGCTTGGAGGATTGTGGTGGTGGCCGGATCGAGGACGGACTGGTTTTATGACTCGCGGACTCTCGTTGCGGTTGTTCTAATCCTGGTTACCACGTACTGCTTGGATTTGTTGATGTTCAGTGCTGGAATAGGTAATTTCGACTTCTCGAGGTGTTTGTCGCAACGATGAGTGGTTGCCAGCTGTGCTCGTACTTCTCAAGAATGATTGTATCATCGACGCTTCCGTAAAAGGGCAAGTTCATATTTTGCCGAAATACACTAGTGACGAAGTGGTTTAGCGATCCAGATTGTTAACGCTCTCCAATACCACGCGTAATGGAGAGATCGTACGCGTATACAGTAGGATGTGAATGTAGCTACCTTCATCATAGTCTGTCCTGTAACCTTATCAGATATTAGCACATAGTATCGACGCGGCCACAAAGCGCTGTACCATGTTGTCAAGTCCCACGCTTATAGGCTCAAGGTTGCAAGACTAGCAAGCACGTACTCATGAATCTCCACATTTTGTGCGTGGAGAGGACGCACCATGCCCTTCTCGACATGTAAAGCATGGCTCATTCGAAGTGACCTCAATTTACGAGTCACACGCTACTTGTTATAACGCGCCTTTTGACAATGTGGATTACTACTTATACGAACTTGCGGCTCAGGTCGAGCTTGAATTCGGGAGGAGGTGCGAGTAACACGATTTGCTGCTTATGAGACCAGGGAAGAGACATAAGGCCAGTCTTTAGAGCTCTATTACCCTCTTAATAAAATTCAGAGGTTGCATCTGCCGCTGTGTCGAACATCTACGGTATCGCAATTGAGGTCAGCTGACATTAAAACACTGGAAGCATAGTCCACTCCAACATGTCCTCACGAAATCTCAACAGCCTCGCAGTCAAGCTCAAAGAGCTCCACGTATCAGGGAATCCCCTTCTGCTCGCTAACGTCTGGGATGCATCCTCTGCTCAAGCTATAGCTTCGCATACAGCTACCATGGCGGTTGCGACCGCCTCATATGCAATCGCATCGACACAAGGGATCGAGGACAATGACATGACGGCTAAGCAGAATTTGACAGGAGTTCGAAACGTGGTCGCCGGTCTTCGAAAAGCTGGCAAAGCTGATTCAATACCACTCAGTGCTGACTTGCAAGATGGGTATGATGGTCCAGGTGAAACAATCAAGCAGGCGATTGCTCTCGGCGTGGTGGGCTGCAATCTCGAGGATGTAGACAACACGAATCATACTCTGCGGAGCATAGACGATGCCTCAAACAGAATCTCGACAGTTCTACGGGCTGCGGAAGATGCTGGTGTCCCTGATTTTGTAGTTAATGCGAGGACTGATGTGCTTGGATATGGTGGTAACATCAAAGACGTGATTGAGAGAGGAAAGGCATATCTCGAAAGAGGCGCCACGACGGTGTTTGTATGGGGCGTGGGCAAGTGGGATATAAAGGAGGAGGAAGTGGAGGAGATGGTTGCAGCCTTTCATGGTAACCTAGCTGTGCAACCTGGAAGCATTGGCATTAAGAGATTGACTGAGCTGGGTGTGAGTAGGATCAGTGTAGGGCCTGCACTCTGGCGAAAGAGCAACAGTGTCCTGGTGGAAGAGGCGCAGACGATGGGGCTTTTCTAAGAGATGTTGAGCTAAACGCAGTGGTTAGAGCTCAGCTAGTATTGCCTCCAATGTGACTATCGTTGTAAAGCCAACAACATAGTCGAAACGTTTTGTGATGCACGGTCAGCTTCCAAACTCAAAACTATATATGAGACTTATTATTGAAATCCATGATTGATGAAGTGAATGCGTGCATCTCCCGAAAAGGGGCAGTGATACAGAAAGGACATCTGTTGCAAGGCTGAAAGTGCATCTACAAGGCTATTGCGGAGTTGCGAGTCGATATTGCAGCACAGTACGGGAGATGTCTTTTCTCGTGCGCTGGGTGATCAAGTAAACTACACCACTCCAAACACCTCCCACTCTTCGCATGCAGCACCCAGGTCTCTCTCGTGAGACTCTGGCACCAATGCATCCCCACCACTCTGGAAGATATCATCGCTGAACGTCCAACTCGTCCTCGAACATGTCCCAATTCTACGCCGGAGCCTTCGAGATCCTACGTCGAGCAGTTGACGATGATGGAGATTCCGACGACCCTGCAGACGCAGGCGACAAGGAGTTCTTTACATCATGGGCGCTCTTCATTGTGATCATGCTGCTGATCTCAGCCTTGTTCACGAGTTACCTCCTGCAACAGAAGAAGATCCAGGCAGTACACGAAACAGTCGTCTCCATATTTGCTGGCATGGTAGTGGGCTTGATCATACGGGTGTCTCCTGGTCGATCGATACAAGACAGTGTCAGTTTCGACTACCAGTTCTTCTTCAACTTGCTCCTTCCTCCTATCATCTTAGCTTCTGGCTATGAACTGCACCAGGGCAACTTCTTCAGGAACATAGGCACAATCCTGACCTTCGCCTTCTTCGGAACATTCATATCAGCCGTGTCATTGGCCATTATACTGTGGCTTTGGACTAGAATACCGCTCGATGGCTTGAGCATTACCTTCGTCGAGGCCCTGTCCGTAGGCGCGACTCTCTCTGCGACCGATCCTGTCACAATTCTGGCCATATTCAACCTCTACAAAGTCGAGCCTAAGTTGTACACCGTCATCTTCGGCGAGTCGATCCTCAACGATGCTATTGCCATTGTTCTCTTCGAGACGGCACAGAGATACAAAGAAGGAGCTGCTGCAGGCAATTTGACTATACTGAGCTTGTTCGAGGCTGTGGGCTTCTTCTTGCTGGTCTTCTCTATCAGTGTCCTCGTTGGTATCTGTATAGGAGTCGGAACAGCCATCATTCTGAAGTATACACTGGTCAGGAGATATCCCAAGCTCGAGGCCTGCATAGTGCTTTTGATTGCCTATGCCAGCTACTTCTTCTCCAACGGTGTCAAAATGTCCGGCATTGTCTCTTTGCTTTTCTGCGGCATCACTTTGAAGCACTACGCTTACTACAATATGTCTAGGAGGACACAACTTACCACAAAATTCATCTTTCAAATCACAGCACAACTGTCCGAAAACTTCATCTTCATTTACCTTGGTCTGACTCTATTTACTGAGACTGACCTTGTCTACAAGCCGCTGTTCATCCTCGTAACAGTTGTTGGTATCTGCGCTGCTCGGTGGCTGTCCGTCTTTCCACTTTCAAAAGTGATCAACTACATCATACGTGTTCGAGCCCGCAGGCGTGGCGTCGAGGTTGCCGAAGAACTTCCCTGGCGTTATCAGGCTATGCTTTTCTGGGCTGGTCTTCGAGGTGCTGTAGGTGTGGCTCTAGCAGCTGGCCTGTCAGGCGAGAATGGCGCCGCACTACGAGCCACAGTCCTTGTCGTGGTCGTGCTAACAGTCATCATCTTCGGCGGCACAACAGCACGAATGCTAGAAATCCTCGGCATCAAGACCGGCGTCATCGAAGAAATAGATTCAGACGACGAATTCGACATCGAAACCACAAACCAAGGAACATACTACAAACGAGGCGGCCAAGCATTCGGCCACACCCCCAAAGGCTCAGCCAACATCGGCCTAGACTACTTCGGCGAAACAGACAACAAGCCAGCGAATGGCCACACTCGCCCCTCTCGTCCACGCCAACAAGACCGCGGTTACAGCAGCAGCAACCGCCACTCACCCTCCTCCCGTGAACGCGCCAAGATGGCCCGTAAGAACAGCCAAAAACTCCAACGCGACCGCGATGACCTAGAACAGCGAAACCTTCTATCCGGGCCCCTCATCCGCTCAACCACAGGCTCCGACGACGAAGACGACTACGACCCCGGCGCAGATCTCGACCTCCCTCCCGCCGCCCCACGACGCCAACAACAACCATCCCCCCTCTACTCATCACGAACCAACCAATCCCACTCCAACCTCGCCGTCTCAGCCCCGGAAATAATGGTCAACGACGAGGACATCACCGCACAGAGTTCTCCAGCCAGTAACATGAACCGCCTCGTCGCACCCATACATCAAAGTGTACCGACCTCGTCAGCAGCGGGTATCGGAGGTGGCGTATCTGGGATTAAGGATCTTCTCAGGGGGGCCGCGAGGGGAGATGTTGATAGTGTGGCGTGGTTGAGGCAGCTGGATGAGAATTTCATTAAGCCGACGCTTCTGCTGGATCAGGGACAGGGACAGGCGCACGGGCATGGACATGGACATAAAGGTGGGGGAGGGTCACCGGTTTGATTAGGAGTGGAACCAGCGGGAAGCGGCGTATATGGGGTGGGGCGATTATCTGTGGAATCTAGATATGTACTCGGACGTTTTTGTCCTTGAGGCGAAATACTACCACTTTCCGGTTCTACTTTCTTTTATCCAAGGTATAAACTGCTGTTTGGGCTTACTTGTACAGAAACACAATATAATCTACTACGTCGATGCAAGAACGTTATCTGATAAAATATTTTTGAATTGAATCAATCACCACGTTACTGATTGTTTCAGCTATAGTTCCGACAATTGGTCTTTGAGCTGTACCTCAAGACAATTATGATCTACCTCAACAAAACAGCTTATCCGACAACTCAACACATATCGTAGACATATAACAACAACACGGTCCCCCCTGAACTAAGCTCATCCTTCTTCTTGTTCTTCGTCTTCCTCCTCTTCCACTGGAGCTGGTGATGCAGGTGTAGATATGACACTAAGGTAAATCTCGCCAAAATATCCCTCTTGGCGTACATCGATTAGTCCCTGTGTGGTCAGGGAGAGTACATGGAGAAAACCTTGAGCAGCAACAATCTTGTTGTTGTTCATTGGAGGCAATAACTCTTGGAATGTCATCTCCGCCTCTTCCTCGTCATCTTCCACTGTACCAGCTTGTCTGGTCTCCAGAGTGGTCTGCAAGAAGACGAGGAAATTGTAAGCTTCTTGTTCCAGAGTGGCTGCTGCCAATTGCGAGCTAGGAACGTCGTGTATGTTGGTCGGCGTGTCCGGGCCTTGCAGCTCAAAATTGGTTATGTCCTTTAGGGTTGCAGCAAGCTGGCGATGGACTTCGTGGTCATCGAGGTCAAAACTGTTGTCATCCGCAGTCATGCCACCCAGATCGTCATCATCTTGACTATCTAGATCTCCACTGCCCACAAGAGAAGGTCGTCGGAGTAATCTGCGCCGTTGTTCTAGTGGGCTTTCTTGAATCAGCTGTGAGACACGTTTCGAAGCAACACTGGATGGCATGTAATCAAAAGCAATTGGTCCTCTTGCACTAGAGCCAAACCCAGCCACGCTCAACGCCGGACGAGCAGAGCCATACCGAGAATCTTGCCTTGACGAAGCATAGGTATTCCACGGCATAATATCAGGATTATCTGACATGGGTGCTTGTGCTTGTCGACCTACTTGAGGCTCGAAGTCATCCTCGTCGAGGTTTGCATCAGTGTTTGCGTCGGCCATGCCTTGATCCCCCACGTCAGGAGTCTCCTGTAGCTGTCCTGACACTTGTCTAGCACGAACTCTTCGCTCACTAACATCGCCCTCTTCGCTGGACAAAGCGCTCGATGACCTCTTACGACTCGTTCGCTCCGACTGTGGCTGGACCAGCATATCAAGTAAAGTTTGACCACTGAATATAGCGAGAGGGTGGTCCTGAACGTCTTCTCCGAAGGTAGAGTCGACGCGACCAATACCTTGATCGAGGACCCAGTATTCAGCGTTGCGTTTGGCCTGAGGAAGTTTCAACCTCTCCGCCTTCTCCAGCTGCGCAAGGTCCATTATGCCCAAGTAATCGTTGTTCCAATCGACAATTGTCCGATTTGGCACTTCCGCGGGATAGTCAATTGTAACGGTTTTGACTGCTCGTGTTCTTCGTTGTGGTGCGGTCTCTGTGACTGTATCAATATTATCATCAGCCTGGTTACCTACTAGCACGTCGACAGAAGGTGGGTCGTTCTCAGAGCGATCGACTGTGGTTTGGTCAGCCGATTCTTCGTCGTGGTGTGGAATGGCCTGGTCTCGGAACGATGCAGCTCTCGGTATGACTGCTGCTTGGTCTGCGTCCTCGTCATTGTCAGCAAGTATATCGTGCCCATCCTCGGGGTCTAGCTGTGGAAGCTGCCACTACAATTAGCTCGAGGCCACACTCCCGGCCATCTCGCAAGCCACGTACCTGTCCATCCTGCTCAGTGGTTCCCTGGTGAAGATCGAGCTCGAAGTCTTCTACCTGCTCCTGCACGACATCTTGCTCGATGACATCTGACTGACCCAGATCTGCATGTACAGAAGGATCGCGAATGATCAAGCTTCCATCTTCTTGAATGTGCAGCGACTGCTCTTCGATTATTGCTGGACCTGGATACAGCATCACCTCATTCACAGAACCGCTGCACGACTGCTGTATTTCTTCATCGACTAGACCTTCAGCAACAAAATTAAGGCCAGCTGCCCCATCACCAGACGAAGACGACTCTAAAGGCAGAGGCTCTTGCAAGAATAGTTCATCACCTTCAAGAAAGCTGCTTTGGCTCGAGGCAAGTGTTCGTGGTGACATAAGGCTCGAGGGGTCACTGCTCACCGAAAAGCTCGTATCGAAGCTCGACAGGTCAAAGCCTAGGTCGAGCTCGATGTTGAAACCGGGGTCTTCCTGCAAGTTGAGCTGGTGTGGTCTGTACAAGGTCAGAGAGGTCCTAGCATAGCATCTGTGTATCCTGCACTACCTTGTGGTGACCACATCAGGATCAACCTGCAGCTCCCTCAGCAACGCATTAATACCTTGCATCTTCTCTTTCAAGCCCTGCGTGTCGGCGAGCATGTAACTGCATTGCTGTGCAAAGACTCTCGACACGCCGAAGCTTTTTTGTTGTCAGCCCAAGCTGTTGCACAGTCGCCGAGTATCTGTTTTTGCAACTCACAGTAGGTTGCCTTGTAGTCGGAGAGCAAGTGGTGCTGAAGGGTCAACAATCGTGTCGCAAGCATTTGGCACATTGACGTCCATGATCGCCTTTCTGCTGATTTTCTTGAGCAACGATTTCGAGCCAAGGGTAGCCACAAGCCTGGTTCCTGTGAGTAATGTTCCTTGAGGAGAGGTAAACTTACCATATAGTGGCCACTCCATGCTTGCGATCAGTAAGGACTAGTTTTCGACCTCAGTCAGCCAAGTTTCACTTCGTAAATTCATGCAAGACTCACTTTCGTGGCTATAGAACATTGCACATGTGGATATGATTAAGAACGAGAGCGCGATAAACACAAGAAAGGAAGAACGAGTGTACGTGTTGAGATGGGAAGTAGCAGTGCAGCGAAGAATAGAAGGATGTGCATCAGAAATGAAAATTTTGCCTTTACAGCTCAAAGTCAAGAATGAAACCTTCCTTTGAAATCCGTGTTCAAACGAACCTTCACCTGAGAATGCTGCTATACGTAGGTCCTACGCCAATACAAGTCAAGCGCTTAATCGTTGTTCACGTATGTGCATCTTCCAGACCGTGCCATGTTGTCGTGACCAGGCGGACGTTGACTTAATCCAGGGGAATGCCCTCAAACTCGTTGTAACCTAAAGCGAGGTTCATGTTTTCTGGGAGCGTTAGTGAAGACTCAGCGTCATGAAATTCGATGTACTTACGTAGACATTGAGTAGCTGCACCCTTGAGCAGGTTATCAATCGTGGCACATATCACGACTCTTTTACCACTTGAGTGTACTGCAAATCCACCAATCTCAACGCCGTGTCGTCCGCTAATATTCTTGACTACTGGTGCTTCGCCGATGACCTTCAATAGCTTCTCGCCTGCATATCTTTCTTGATAAATATTTCTAATATCCCGAGACGACATTTCCTCCTTCAATGGGATATTGATTGTATGGTGAATACCCTGGAACCACACAGCGACGTGTGGAACAAAGCCGACGGGAGTCTTTAATTGGCTCGAAATTTCTCTTTCGTGAATGTGATCCGTCATGCTGTAAGGCACGATATTGTCGGTCAGGTTGTTGACGTCGTTCTTAGGGCTCGGTTTTGTGCCAGCTCCTGAATAACCTGACACACCAAACACCGTAGGCTCACCACCAAGATATGGGACAATTGGAGCGATTCCGAGTTGAGCTGCAGTTGCATAACAACCAGGGTTAGATATTCTGGTGGCTTTGGCGATGGCGGATCGATCTACTAGCTCTGGCAGGCCATAAGTCCATTTGTCGTCGAATCTATAGTCTGCACTCAGGTCTATCACCACACTGTTTCCGCCAACTTGGTCGATAGCGTCCACGAACGGCTTGCAAACGCCGTTTGGTAATGCCATGACCCAGCAATCTATCTTGCCATCCTCCTCTATTTGTCGAACGTCTTCTACACTCAGATTGTCGTATATAATGTCTCTTTTGTTGTAGCCTTCCAGTTTCTTACCCGCTAATTCTCGTGAAGAGACGTGTCGGAGGTCCATGTTGGGGTGTCGGTTCAGAAGGTCAATCAATGCCTTGCCCGTATAGCCGCGGGCACCGATAAGAGCCACTCTAGAAGGACCATCGTTCGATTTGTTCTTTGAGCCTAGAGGAGGATTTGGGTTAGTGGTTGTCGCATAAGTCCTGATCTTGAGCGCTGGTTGAGCTGAGCCGAATGTCCTTCGTGCCACTCGTAAGGGACTTGCGTTTGTCGAGAAGGCACGGGCTTGTTGTTGTTGAAAGCCAGCAGATGTTGCGACATTTTTGACCGCGGTGGCAGCTGCTCGGGCAGCCTTCTGCAGCTTAGACTCGAGGTTGATATCACCATACATGGATCTGCCATGCTGGGAGAACTGTTGCATAAGTTCCTGTACCTCTTCACCCGTACCTAGACCGTACCAGAATAGCACTTCTCCGTCTTTCGAAAGACTGCCATCCGCCTTGTCAAAGAACCATGTCAAATTCTCGTCATCCTCCTTGACGGTCCACATCAATTTTGGATAGTCTTTCTTGATGGCGGCAAAGATATTGTCAGCCACGTTCGTCAACCAAGCGGACCTGGAGATGGTCAAGGTTGCAAGATGAGCCATGGAAGCACCTTGTCGTGGTGGTAAGACAATGCCGAGAGCTTCCATCGGCTCGTCGAAGTAGGCTTTGAATTCTTGACTCTGCAGATCTCTGATATACCGGTCAACCACGGCCTTTGCATCAAGCCCTTCGCGATCGCGAACTAGGACTTCCTTCAGCTTTTCAGGATCGGCGAAATCGGAAATTTGAGTGGCATTGTGAACCTTGTTGCCTCTTCTGATCAGAGTACCTGCACCCGAATCGGTGAACAGCTCTTTCTGGAGGTCGGCAGGGTGGATGATAGCAACGCTTGAGGTTTTGGGAAGATCCATGAGCAATTCTTTCATCTCTTTGATCTTGAGACGTGTGCCGTGGCGTACCCACCATTGTGTCATGAGGTGATCATACTCTTCGTCTAGGTTGATAGCAGAGATCTTCTGCTTGGTATCACCATTGAACAGTCCACCTTTTTCGGACAGATAGACTATCTTCAGTGGTTGTAGAGCTCTTGCCAATTCACCGGCTGCGACGTCAGCGTTGACGTTAAGTACTTGGCCAGATCTGGATTCTGCCATGGAGGTGAGAATAGGTAAGCATCCTGCTTGAATTGCAGCCTCAATCGGCTTCTTATCAACATGGGTGATCTTGCCGACCAGGTCATATTTCTCCTTGTTCAGGTAGTCAGCAGTAAAGACGCCCGAAGTGATGGGCCGTGCCCGTATTCCGAGTCTCTCCAGCTCTTCTACAAGACGTAGGTTCTCTTCGAGGAACAAAGCTCGTGCAATGCCCAAGGTCTTAGGATCTGTAACTCGAATGCCTTCCTCGAACTGCGGCTCGACACCTGAATCCTCGAGGATTTTGTTCAATTGAGGACCAGCACCGTGCACTACAACAGGGTAAAGACCAACGTGGTTGAGGAATGCTAGAGCGGAGGACAGAGTCTGCAGGTGTTCAGTCAAAATAGCTCCTCCAACCTTGATGACCGCAAATTGCTGGGACGACACAGAGCTGAAATGGGACAGGTATTGTTGCACCTCTCTCTTGGACCCAATATTACTCAGAAGCTGGACCACAGTCGACCTGGTAGAAGATCGAATGTCTGAAGTGGTCGCATAATTTCGCGTCGAGAGCAGCTGCGAGCAAGCTGGGAGTGCCGGTCGAACACGTCGGATAGTTGCGAGTGTACGTGGCCGAGCGTGAGCTATAGTGCGCGTGGCTGCTCGGACAGCAGTAGAACCAAGGGTCGACATTGTGTATCTCATGCGGCAGCTGAGGGCAGGAACATTAGTCACAGTCCAAGGTATAAAAAAGTGGTCGCGATAGCTACTCCGAGGCTCGGACGACGAGAAGAGAAGTTGCGAAACTTCGTTTGCGAGACGAACAAACACAAAGGCACGACAAAAGACAAGTGAGCAGATGCAGAGTACTACCTGGAGGAATCTGTAGCTATATCATGGTGGTTATCTAGAAAAATTCTCGTCCTGCTCGCAGAACTTTTTCTGCGAAGCGATGCACGACCTTGCAGGAGCGGGGAGCTGAGTCGCTCAAGGCAGATCCACCAGGCATTCACTTGAACGGGAATGAGCGAGCCTGGCACGCCCACTACTGACTCGCAGTTTGCGGCAGAACTTTCCAGGCAGGAATTGCTACTCGTAGGCAAGCAGTGCAGATACGAAGCTGGTTATTATGCAGCTGCCATTGATGGTCTCCCGTGGACCGAGAGCTGGCTCGATATCTCCCATCTGTTGCTGAAGAATTTTCCTCTCTTCCTCAGAGTGTCGTCTCCCCAGTATTGAGCCACATAAGGCCAAAGATGCACAGTCACGACCGTATCTAAAGTCTGGAGAGCCAGGCGAAGGTGAAAGTCTCTGGTAATCCCTGTAATGTAGATTTTTAGGAACTGATACTATTATTATCACAGCTGATTCCTCAGTACTATTAACCACACTCGAACGCCTTGAGTCATAGCACCACGCAGGCGTGCTCTCCACAGCTCAACGTTCTGTGCTTTGTTGGTCGTAGGGATCGCGCTCGAAAGACATCCGATCTTGCATGGACAATGTACAACTCGCTTCTGTCAAAATTGTGCTAGGTAAAGTTCGTGATCGGTCGTTTCTCAGTTTCTCGTAGCAACAACTATCGCAGTGTTAGTTGTGATCGATCCATGCATCTAAGCCTGAGAAACATACCAGAAGGCACAATGATGACAATGAGTAGAATGATGATACCGACTATTATGCAGATGCGCATCTTCATATCCTTCCACCACATCTGCTTCCTTACTCGATTCGCTCCTCGGCGGAACCCTTGTGCTGATACTGCCAAGTTGTCGGTTTTGTCCTGCAGGGAATCTAGTCGTTCTCCTCTTTGTGAGACTTTGTTAATGTTCTCTCGCATTACTCCGACGGTATCGTCGATTTGCTGTTGCAAACACGTCAGCTGGTTCACTCTACGCAAATTTGAAGCCCATGTTCTCTTTCGCTTGTACAGATCGACCCTTGTCCTGCGCAAAGATGCGAACCGGCATCGAGGCTCGTCGAAAGACATTGGCTCCTGGTATTCTTCTTGTCCTTCTCGCCTGTGTCGCTGTGCTGTTCGCCATGCGAAACTCCTGAGCGACCTTCATTGCGGATGCTCGGAAACAGGCCTGTGCAAAGAAGTGCAGGATTCACGTACCGCTTGAAGCGCCGCAGTTCGCGCATTGCCGCCTTGAGCATTGCCCGTCGATGGCATGTAAGGGTCGTATGGTTCTTGTCGACCGTCGGCCATGGTGGAGGGTTTCAACTACGTTCGTGAGGACAGATAAAATGGATCGTAGTGTTCGAGATTGGTGGCGATCGCGGTGTAAAGGTTTCGTGAAGTCGTGGGTGTGAGTAGTGGGTGAAGCGCAAAACGTCAGGAGAGTTGAGGATGAAGAACGTCGGAAGACAGATGGTTGGTCAGTTTCGGAACCTGCGCAATGTCCAGCCTCTCACTGCACCTGAAACGCGGAGCTTGGCTATTCTAAGAAGCCTGTGGCCTCCGCGACGGTTTCACAAAAATAATAACAACACAGATCTGCCTCCTACTTTCACGTAGTTGTCTGCTGGTTAGAATGATATTTATCTACCTACTGGTAATCTTCAAAGGCGACAGCGATCAATTTGCGCACATCAGCCGTGGCGATATACGCAATATTTCGTGGCTGTACGGCTGTGCTGACGAGACGTCGCTCAACTAAGCCTTAGCATTTATTACTGGTCGAAAAAGAACATACAGTAGGTGAGCAAGTCTCCGTCTTGTGCTCTTCTAGTTTCCAGGCAGGCTGCGGACGGACATCGAACAAGTATTGTTTTTCAACGCTCAATGTTCTCAAGAGGCTTGTGACTACAATACAGTGTACGTTTGAAGAAGCGTCCTTAAAAGACCCTGTCTACTACAAACCGTTAGGATTCGTTTGCAGGAGATGTGCAATCGAATGGGTCCAAGCTCACGGAAAATGGAAAGAGTCCTACCACGGACTATGCTTGACTCAAATCAAGTTACGGAGCGACTTTGCTCTGTCGAGACAATGTGCAAATTGAGCCGAGCATTCCAAGAGTGCTTGTCGCTCAATCCATAGAAACAGGTACGTACTCAGCTATCACGCGCCCTAGCAGGAGCCGTCTTGAAAAGGCGCGTTTAGGACAGGCTTTCACATCTGTTGTTCGGTCAACGAGCAGGTAAGTGACTTTTGACTTATAGCTACCTGCATCATCATACTGGAGAGGACTACGCAAACAGATCTCGTCATCGAGCTACCCTGTTTGTCCTTCTGCTTTCAGGCTGGCCGTTGCCACCACCGCCCCTGCGCGACAGCCAATCAACGTACCTGGTCCGTTCGCACCAAGCCTAAAACAGTCCTTAGCTCTTTCCAGCCATGTTTCGATATCTTGAAGCAGGTCAAACCAAGGACTTGGCTACCTGAAGTACAGAATACTTACACATCCTTCTCCTCCGATTCTTCAAGTTGAGCATTGTCACCCACAATTTGTACGATCGATCAGCATTTATGCAAAATTAGACCAGGCATAATCACTGAAACATTCATACCACGTCTTCATTCCTCGTTGCTCTTTGTCTTTGGTTCTCCCTTGCGAGACAACATCTTTCACCCTTTATACAAGCATACAGTTACTGGAGCGTTCATTGTGTGGTGCCGGGATCTTGTCAGAGTGAGGGTGCTACGCCCACCTGAGCTTCTGAATAAGGCTGCTCTTAATTTATCACAGTGAAAATCAGAATGAAACCACGGTTGGCGTTCGTAATACCGCTTCTTTCAACCCTCCACAATGCATGGGCAGCGATCACATTGGATTTGTCCAGCCAAACCTCAATAGAACAAGCAGCATCACAAGCAGCAGCGGGAATGGTACAATACTACACAGGCGATAGACCAGGAGATGTGCCGGGCAACTTGCCACAGCCGTATTACTGGTGGGAGACAGGTGCCATGTTCGGTGCCTTGATAGATTATTGGTATTTCACAGGCGATGAAAAATACAATGACATAACAATGCAAGCAATGCTTCACCAAGTTGCACCTCCGGACAACGTCTTTCAACCAGCCAACCAGACGAGAACTTTGGGTAACGACGATCAGGCCTTCTGGGCCATGGCAGCTCTCTCAGCTGCAGAGAACCGCTTTCCGAACCCTCCACCCGAATCGAAGGTCTCCTGGCTTAGCGCCGTACAAGGTGTTTTCAATCTACAGGCTGCTCGATGGAACACCGAAACTTGTGGAGGTGGTTTGAAGTGGCAGATTTTCGCCTTCAATGCTGGATATAACTATAAGAACACAATCTCAAATGGCTGCTTTTTCAACATCGGCTCGCGACTTGCCGTCTATACAGGAAACCAGACTTATGCCGATTGGGCAGAAAGGACCTGGAATTGGGCTGGCTCGATCGGACTGTTTGATGCAGAGTACACTTTTTACGACGGTAGTGACGACAATATAAATTGTACTGAGCTTGATCATACCGTCTGGAGTTACAATGCCGGCACTTTCCTAGTAGGTGCAGCAAATATGTATAATTACACTGGTGGATCGCCAATCTGGAAGCAAAGGATCGAAGGCATAATTTCCAGACTACACATCTTCCTGGACAACAACGTCATGTTTGAGTATGCTTGCGAAGACAGCGGCAACTGCAATGTCGACCAGCGCTCATTCAAGGCCTATTTCGCAAGGTGGATGGCCGCCACCATCGTTCGTGCCCCATTTACTCGGGAAGCTCTCAAACCAATACTAGAAGCATCAGCACAAGCAGCCGCAGCTACATGTACCGGCGGAAACGACGGCAATCAATGTGGACTGAATTGGAGAACACGCACTTTCGACGGAGAGATGGGTGTAGGTGAACAGATGGCAGTGCTAGAAGTCATTCAAAGCAACCTCATCGATTATGTCGAAGGTCCAGTGACAGCAGATAATGGCATCAGTGAAGGCGACCCTTACGCAGGAACACACAGCCCTGTCGGACCAGCCGACCTGCACAAAAATCCAGTAACGACAGCAGAAAGAGTCGGAGCCTGGGTCATGACGATTTGTTTTGCTGTCGTGGTAATAGGAGGAGCCATTTGGTTGGTCGTATGAGTAACATGAACTGGTCCAACAGCGAATGCATGAATGGCGAAATGTAAGCGAGGCGTTAGGGTTGCAACATCATGAATAATAGATAGATAGATATATGGACATAAGACAACAGAATATCACGATTCATTCTGTTTTTAAACGTATCGTCCCAATAGTCTGCAGTGGAACATCTCACTAACAACACTATCATTAGAGATCGGATGCAGGGTATCTGCGCCGTAATCGGCTACCATGCTCGACTTGGCTTACCGCCAGCCTCGTCATCGTAACCTCCAGACTAAACTTCTCCCTATTCAACTCTAAACACTGAGAGGCCTCAACTCGTTGTCAAGAACATGATATCCAATAACAGAAACCACCTTGGCTGTTCAGGACCTGGCGTGCTAATGTTGGTAGTCCGGTCATATTGAATAGCTGTCGGTGCCGTATATTGCTTCCCGTCGAGAGACTGTTTTGGTCCAGCACGACCGAGGGACAGGAAAGGCTCGATTCTACTCAGATCATTCCCCTGGCGTGTCGGATGTTTTCTCTCAATCTGCTCTTCAATATTGCACAAAAATGCGCACGTGGTGTTGTGAAAGACCTCGTCAGCTTCTTTCAGGTCCACCACGCAATGTCGATTGTTCTCGGATTGCTTTCGTGATTCTAAGTGGCGGTGGCCGATAACAACGGAGGTGGGATCCAGCGTTGGTCGTTCAGTCTTGTAAACGAATCAGGCACCCGAGATATGTGGTTGTGTTCTTTAAGAAAGCCATAGTTCTGTGGTCTGTAGTGATGTTGTGAAGGCGAGTGCAGTATTCGATCCGGTAGCATAGCATTGTGGCTATGCCAAAACCTCTGTAATATGTGTGTTGGTGTCTACTCCGGGTCCCCAGGAGGAGCATCTTCTTGTGAAGTGGTCGATCATGTAATATAGACCTTCTTCAAATCGTTCCAGCTGTAATGGTTGCCAGTCACAGGATCGATCACCGGCCCTTCCGTCACCTTGTCAATACTTCCAGTAGTCTTCAGTGTTCCTGCATTTGCTCTCAAATTCTTCTTGACCAGTTCCAAAAGCCTGTCGCGACCGTAGACTCGACCATTAGGCAACATCATCGCATCGTTCTCAACACTGCTCTTGGTGTGGTGAGCATATGGTACGCTTCTGGCGAGTTCATTGAGTTCGATACTGCAGATCGGACAGAGCGAGGCACCGATACTAGACAGAGCACCACGATGTTGCGCTGGCGCGAACTTAGCGTGTTCCTCGGGTACTGCAGCGCTGGCTGGGTTGAGAGAACTGTGACAAGCAGGCGTCTTCAGTGCTGAAAGACCTGCGCTGAGCGCCACGTGCAGAAGTGGTCTTGCTGGTAGGTTGAAGAGTAGGTGATGTGTATCGACGAACAGTTGTGACAGCACTATCCATCTTGAGGGGGAAAAGTATTCTGCGTATGGTTCTGTCGGATTTGATGGGTCTTGGGCAAGCAGGCCAGCGACTGCTCTGTTCTGTGCAGCATGGCTTAGAGCGTGGGGAGTGAGATGCTTCTTCGCATGTTCGGCAGCCTCGAACCGAGCAATGGGGCGAGTGGGAACCTGTTTGAGAAGCCCAATGTACTCCTGGAAGCGCAGTTCGAATTCCAAGGTCGATATCATTTGTGGTGATGACGAGGATGGTGCAGTCTTTTCTAGAAGCTTTTTCAAGGCATCTCGATTGTCCTTGACCCATACAAGCGCGTCCTTGGTCTCGCCTTTCTGTATTGAATCAGCTATATGATGGCATGCCACGAAGGTGTTCAGGTCAATCAGATCTTCGACATTTTTCGCCTTGGCCAGGACAGCGGCAGTATCCAGATAGCCTGCTCTTAGCAAATAGTCCACCAACAGTCTGTCTAGCCGTGTCCTTGACCAGTTTTCGTACTTGACGTCTAGCAGGCTCGGGATCTCGTATAGCTCTTGTAGGTGTCGAATGCGTTTGGCTGACTGATCATGTAGAGTGTCCTCCTCGGTGTGTAAAGTCTCTAGATTTCTCTTTAGCTTCTCCATCCGAGCTATCTTCACATCCATGGATTTGAGCGTCTCTTCCGTGGAAGCTGTACTGGCGCTCTTTGCAGCCTTCTGCAACAGGCTCGTGGTCTGCTTCTGTTCATGGTCGATTACTATCTGGGATTTCTTGAAATTGCGACGTTGTAATTCCAGCGGGAGACGGAGTAGTGGTTGGTCCTAATGCAACAATGTCAGTATTGGCAATGCTATGCACTTTGGAACTGGTCGCATACCAGTAAGAGGTGGTTGTCTGCATTGAGCTTGGTCGCACTTAGTTCAGCCATGGCAAGTATGGTGGCTCATAATCAGGCTCTGCTCAACACAGATCCGAGCCTACAGAGTTACGAACTGTAAATAATGTAATCCGTGTAGAGTGAGCCTTCTTGCAGCATGTCAATGCTTTACATCCAACGCGCGTGATCGACGAGGCAATCAGGCAGAATGACGAATCGTCGGCATTTGCATACGACCGCGACAGGCAGATCTACGCCCTAACAGACAAGCATTAGGGCTTACAACCATTGGAACCCTGATCGCGTTTTCGTTCAGGCGGCCTGTTTGTTGCAAACTTCGAGAATGTGATCGCATCCCTCATGGATGAGTAAGAACGATGTCACTCAATGCCAAATCAGTATACCAAGTTTCGAACTGCCACAGAGAGTTCACAACCACGAGAGTTCAAGTTCCGTCAGTGGAACAACGAACGTGGAATACGACGACGATCGCGACAGAAGAGTGCCAGCCAAGCTGAAGGCCATACCTCGAGCCACGATGGCAATGAGGCTGTACGAGTTAGCGTATACGGTGCTCCTGTAACATCGTTACTGCTCCAGTATTTACCATCAGGAGGCTTGAGGATAGATCCATTTAGGTCGTATCCTGTGGCTCCAGACCACGCTGAGCTTGAAGTCCTTGACTACTGTCAGTGCTTAACGTGTACTCTACCGATATCGACTAATATTTATAGTTCTTCATATATTGGCACCTGGATCAAAGCACAATGATGGGCGCCCTCGTACTGGGAGGACCACACATATCGATCCTCATATTAACCTGTTGTTACCCTTTGTGATGCAAGAACCACCACTATTCGATGCAATGCTGGCCTGTTGTCAAGCCTCCATATCGCTGTCTAGTGGACTCTCTGCCTACAGCAACGAGTTCTTCATACTTCATCGAGGCAGAGCCATGTCAGGACTACGCAAACAGCTTGAGAACAGTGCGGATGTCAGTGCAATGCTAGCTGTGACTATGCTCATTACATGTGACTATTTGACTGGAGACATCAAGGCCGTCGCCGGACACTCAAAAGCACTACAGAGAATGGTCGCTCTCCGAGGCCAATTGCCCGAAGATACTGCTTGGAATAAGTTCGTTAAAGACGGTGTTCAAGGGTATTCAATGATCGCGAACCTAGCAACTGGAAAAAGTATTGATGGCAAGACCGGTGACACGGAGCTCGAACGTGTCGTGGACCCCTTCCATACTCTCGAGTATCCTCAGCCTCCATTCTCAGCCACCAAATGTGATGAGTGGACAGACTTGCCCCCAGGACTTCTAGACCTCATCCTGACATCACAGCTATCAACCCAGCTTATCGCCATCATTGAGGCCGTTAACGCGCTCGATGCGAAATGCGAAGATACCTTTGTCGTGTCCGTCAAGGAGGCTCAGCCTTTGCAAGCAGCACTACAACGATTCTCTCAACATACTGACGTAACGTACCTAGAAAGATGTATTGCAGCTGGTCTGTTAGCGTACAGCTTTCAATTCCCGCGGCTGATGATCCCAAATTTATTCCACGATCCCCCAATGCAAGGCATGATTCGCTTGTTATCCGTTTCCTACCGAGCTCGATCAACACACGAGAAACATGTCCTAGCATGGGTGCATATGGTTGTCGAAGCATTTCTAGCGGCTCGTCCAACACGTTTATCCGGGAGCAGGGACGTATTCACGAAAGCGATGAATCGATATGACATCATGAAGGATTGGTCTCGCCTCGTCCCAGTACTACAGCGCTTCTTTTGGACGCCTGAACTTCTCGAGCGTTGGCGGTCGTGTCACGCGGCCGAAATGGGACTACCCGTCGATTCCACACATGGCTCTAGCAGGCCGGCACGCTCTCTCACCTTCTTCGACGTCTCGGATGCGACGGCGTCTCAGCCAGCAGTCTGCCCCTTCTCAGGAGAAACAATGCTGAAACCTGGCGACTCTGCCAGTCCATGTCCGTTCGGCGTGTCTACTTAGAATAACACTTATACCTCCTGGAGGCAGCATTGCCCGCATAGTAATTGGGAGTTCGACACTAGACTTCTGAGGTCCGATGCAGCACTTCGCGTTGCTGCCGCAGATACACCATCTTACACCAAACAAAGTTCACAACCACGTCCCCAAACCATCGCCACGGGCCGATACATTGATTTTTCAGCATCCTCAACCTTAAGATCCACTTAGAGAGAGCAACGGAAAGTCACTCATTTCGTTTCTCGGGCAACGATCTTCTGCTTCACGAACAGCATTGCAAATGTTCTAATCATTCGTGTAGAGCAGCTATGTCTTCCAGCATCCTGCTTGTCATTTGATACAGGAGGCTATGGGAATCAAACGACGACACGCCAGGTTGGGAGAACTCAAGACGGTATCTCACCACTACTTAGTACACAATAGGCATCTCGGGCAGAAGACCGGGTATATACTTCCATAATATCTCTTGATGTCGCAATGGTTATGGTTATACACGGTGCACGTTAATTCACAAGTAATGCTGAGCACCAGGTCATGAAGAAGCAGGTAATACTAGAGAGATCATTATGTCTGTATGAATGATAATTTGTTCTATAAGAGTTGTGTGCTCCGTAATGGCTGTACACCGACCAACACTTATTAACTATGACAACGACCGCTTACTCATCAATACAGCGTCAGGATCATAATGGGTATCTCATAATGGTTGTCCCTCAATGACAAAGTCGAACATAAGTTTTTGTGAATGAGAAACTCCTCCAACCATCACAACAGCAACAGTTGTGGTAGAACACTACTCCAGAAGTGGGCAGAGACTGTATATTTTACTTGGTCTCTGAGCTGGAGATATTGTTGGCAAGATCTTGAGCAGTCTTGCTAGCAGTCTCCAATCCTGAGGCGACAATATCTTGAGCCTGTTGGAGATATGTCTTGGCTTGCTCTTGTGTGGCGCCAGCGACTTCAGAGGTCTTCTGAGCAGCGACATTGTAGGTGTCTTGTGCTTGCTTGCTAGCTTCGTTGGCAGTTTCGGAAGTTTTCTGGGCGGCAGCATCGTAGGTGTCCTGTGCTTGCTTACCGGCCTCGTTAGCGGTCTCGGAAGTCTTCTGAGCTGCAGCATCGTAGGTGTCCTGTGCTTGTTTGCTGGCATCGCTTGCAAGATCTTGAGCCTGCGTGGCAGTAGAATCGTATGTCTGCTGAGCACGGTTGCTGAGATCATCAGCGGTCTCGGAAGTCTTCTGGGCTGCGCTATTGTAGGTGTCCTTTGCCTGCTTGCTAGCCTCGTTGGCGGACTCAGAAGTCTTTTGTGCAGCACTGTCATAGGTATCCTGTGCTTGCTTGCTGGCGTTGCTTGCAGTATCCTGAGCGCTCTTGCTCACATCACTGGCAGTCTCTTGTGTGCTACCGGCAGCGTTCGAGCCTGCATTCTGAGCATAATCTTTCAAGCCCAAAGCGTTTGACTTGGCTTGCTCAGAGGTGTTAGAGAGGGTGTTCTGTGTAGATCCGAGAATGCCTTGAGCCTGGTTGGAAGCAGAGTTCGCAGTGGATGAGGTCTCGTCAGAAAGCTTCTGAGATGTCGACTTGCTATCACCTAATATCTAGTGTCAGTTGAGGAAGGATTTGAACCATGAATGTACTGACCTGGCTGAGTGGAGGCAGCGAAGCTGTCCATGCTATCAGTCACTGATTCTGAGGTCTTCTCAAGGCCAGACTTCTGAGAGTCGGGCTTGAGAGACTCTGCAGCCTCTGTTTGATATTAGCAGTGGTTCGAGACAATTCCTGACCTGCTACGTACGAGATGTAAGATCTTTTCGACCAGTATCAGCCATTTTGACGAATTTGTTTTTGTTCTTGAAGTTGTATGAATGATATCGAAGGTTTCTAGTGTGGTTTAATGTGATAGTCTTGAGTAGAGTAGCGGTGGTTGAGATTGTAAGAAACAAAAGAGTTATACAAGAATCTCTGCAACATATGTTGCAACTGGAGGGGCAACAATGGCAGTCACGAGCTGGTTGTAAGTGTGACGTCAACCGCGGTGGCAGTTTCTGTTTGCACGACAAGGATGGCAATTGCGTGATGTCAGAATCAACACTGGACTGACATGTGAACATGCAAAAATACAAGTGAGCGAAGAGGTTTGGTTTACTAGCGCAACGCAGACTCACCCGCCAATAAACACTCTGACTTGAGGGAGCAGCCTGACGAATGCGTCAGGTGCATGAAACGTTTTTCTGTTTCGAGTACGGCATTGGTCGCTGCAGAGGGTATCTAAGTGAATTGCTGTATCCTGAAAAACTCCTTGCCATCTGTTGCACAGCCTCCGCGACTGGTTATTGTCGTCTTACGATCAAGTCGATGGAGTGAATCTGATCAACGTTTGCGATCCTTTGCATAGACATGTGCACCTGTAAGCGACACTGCATTGTTGAGCTGGACTTGCGTGGCCTCGTTTCACTCAAACTGAAGCTCTCTTCCAGATCGGGTCAGCTCCTCACCTTTACCACCATATTCCCTCGGCAATTTTTCGCCAAGACCTTCAATATTGCTGCCACTGAATTCAAGATGGAGTGCACTACCATCACTCATGGGGTGAAACTTCTTGATCGTTTTGGGAGCTACAAATAGCTTCATGACTCCATACATAAAACCCATAATAGCTTTGAGTATTAGTGTCGATATATATTTAACTTCTTTACGTCTGGAGCTTACCTGGAACGTTGATGAAAAACTTCTCCTTCAACGTCTCTGGATAGGCCGTGGAAAGTACCTCAACTGTCTTGCGGGCGGCATTTCTGACGGCTGGTGGACTTCTCAAGAAGCTGGTGCCTTTGTAGTCGTGTACTTGGTAGATCTTCCACGGGTCGTTATCGGCGCTAATAGGTTCAGTTGCACTTGCGATGTCAAGCTCGTGCATGGCCGTCTCCATAAGGGCAACCCGCCAGTCGATGAAAGCATCCAGATCGCCAAAACTTTTCTGAATATCCTTCACTCCACCATATATGTTCCAGGTGAAAACAGCCTTGGGTTTCGATGTGCCAGTATAACTAGTTATATATCCAAGACCAGCAAACTTATCCTTAGAGTAGAGTTTCTCAATCAAGCCAGCTGGATTAGTTTTGGCTCGGAAGTCGAGTGTACTCTTCAGCTGTTCTTTGGCTTTGTCGAGGTCACCGTCATTGGCGTTCAGATATTTCTGAAAAATGATTTGACTAGGGATATGTGTAGAAGGGTCAGCCAATGTCACGCCCCAGATCTCTTTGTGAGAGTGGAGAGCGGCATCGCTCCAAAGCGACTGTAAAGGAGATGGATTTTTCTCGTTGCTAGAAGCTTGTGTCGGTGTTGTTGTTGTCACGACATCATTCGCGGCTGTATCCGTGGATGTTTGCATGATGTACCTTCCGAGTTCTCCAGCTATTGTACGTACACCAGTGAAGATTAGTCACAACAGGCTCAAAGCATATAACTCAGATCAGGTGCAGCAACAGCAAGATATCGGGGCCCCTTGCCTATCGTCGTGTGCTTCCGTAAGATCGAGGCACCCGACTTGGGACGTCCTGTCACGAGACCCACTGCACCACGGAAGACGTGGCTGTAAGGACTGAGAACGTATCAGCAAAATTCTCGACACGTTCTATTTCTCGACGCAAAGAGTGTCCAGAGATCAACTTAGAGTGGGCGGGTAGAGTTTGGGGCATGCAAGGGAGTTTCCGTGAGCCATTTGCGATGCACTAGCGGAAGGTGAACACCACTGTATGTGAACAGATGGACAATGGCTACCAGGGTCTTTCATATACAGCTCGAACGCTTGCTGGAAAAAAACGCGCTCGTGATTGTATGAGCTGACAAGACTCAACCGGATCCTGTCCTCCGAGAATAACAGACGCTGGTAGGGCAGACTTTGACACGCGTCAAGTCGCACTGTCTCGTACAATGGCTGTGTCATCGTTGGAAGACTTTTGGTATCTCAAAGCATTGGTGCGAAGAATGAAGAACACAGTCGAGTACGTACTCACTAACTAAAAGTCGAAACACCTCTCAATGCTTTAGCAATGCGATACCATTCCCACATCATACAGTCCGAAAATGCAAGCTCAGTATTCTCAGCAGCAGAGGGACTTCCACGGACGGTGAATAGAATTGCACCGAAACCTTGTTACACGTTTTCATCACGTGAAAATCGTTCTAGAAGCTCATGCGGGAAGCCGTCCAGCTTGTTGGGACCAGCAAAGTGTGGATCTGCTGGAAAGTTCCCATAAGCACATGCCGACAACGAGCATGGTGAAATTTACATTTTAAGCATGTGATCGATGAAGTATAAGCGAGATTACTCTACATGTAGTACTAAAGTGTAGAGGAAATCTCACATTGACAAAATGCAAATACCGTTCTCAGTCGCCTAGAGATTCTGTATCGTTCTATCTAAACCTTATTGCAGGTCTCTTCGTGTATGTTCATATTGTTCGGTCATTACATACCATCTCTTCATCAAGTCCCAGTGCAAGCGATTACGAGGAAACTCGTGAGGGCTCATAATATCTCTTCCAAACCAGCCGCCATTCTATGTCTCGTAGCTTCATCCATACCAAAGCAAATGCGCACTTCCGCAGGTTTAAACCCGTACAGACGCGGTTGTATCAAAAATCGACCAAAAAAATAGCAAAGCAAAAATCAAAGATTTGTCGCAGGCAACTTCCCATAGATAGGGGCGCGGAGAAATTGCTGCAAAAGTGCTGTGCATCAGAGCCCAACGGATTCTAGACTCTAGATCCACATAATAAAGATGAAATCCGAATCGTAGCTTGTCCTCGAGCCAATGTAATCACAAGCTCATTGTAAGCCATTCCCATTCTTGGGTACTATTCGAAGACATGTTCGTAGGCTTTTGTTGCAGACCTGATCCACTTTGCATGAGGGAGGTCATGGTAGTCGCGCCATTCAATGAGCTATTAGTTCTTGCTCGAGTGACGGGTTGGTTACTGTTTCGAGGGGTGGCGTCAGCATCCCGCATTTCCTGGTCGCCTTGCACTTGATTTGCAAACAGAGTAGGCAGGTGTGTTGTTGATGCTCGTGATTGTCTCCTTTGGCGTTTGGGAGTGATCTGAACTGTTCTCCCAGAAGCAGGGGCAGGTTGTATTGGTTGTTTAGGTGGTGCTGCTGCAATTGGTACCACTCCCGGTTTGCCACCAGTCGTATTGCCAGCGGTTATACTGGTCGGTGTGGTAACCACCGAGCCAGAACCTGCAGAACCGTGAACGGATCCAGGTGAATTTGTAAGGTTTTCCGTCAAGGAATTACCAGAATTGGGTGTCGAAGCTGGTGTCGGCTGTATAGAGTTCTTCCTTGAACTTTTCTTTGAGCCACGAGTAGATGTGCCACCGATATTGACAGCGCTCCCGCTACCTCGGTTGCGTTTCTTGATCACATCCGTCTTCAGCGATAGTGGCCTCACGACACCATGTAGTTTCAAGAATAGACCACAAGCATTGCAGAGTGGATGACCTTCCGGATTTCGTCTCCAGAGTGGTGTTGTCTGTGTAAAACAGTTTGTGCAGGTGGTAGGTACACCATTGGCATCTTGACCCTTTGGCCCAGGGCTGCCAGGCCTCGAGGGCGCTCTACTAGAGAACCCTGACGCAATGGGAGAGGTCGCGGCAGATGCACCTATATTTTGGGTCGCCAATGCAGGTGTTGAGGTAGTCCTAGGCACCTTTCCGCGGCGCAGGTCTTCGCCTCGATGTTGCATGTCACTGACCGACACTGAAGATCCATGGCCATGCAGGCTACTTGACGTCCAGTCATTCGGACCCAACATCTCAGCACCTCCTATCCTCACTGACTTCTGCTGGTGTGGCAGTTTTTGCAGGTTTTGCAAATCAGTCATGCTTGGATCCCATTGCAGACTGGAATTCAGATCCAATGTTGGGTCACTGATCGTGTCGTTATAGTTCTGGATAAGAATATTGTTGTCGTCGTCTTCATTGTCTGAATCAGCACCGAAGTGGAACATGTTGTCCTGAGGACCCATCGAGAAGCCAGGAGAGACACGTCTGCCATAAGTAGGGTCTAGTACACGATGCGGTTCGACATGTTGGTTTTGCATATGGTAACTATTCATAGGTTGGGCTGTAAGTGAACCATAGAGGTGTTCGTTGCTATGTTGATTGCTACCAAAACTAAAGGCATTCATTCCAGGCATGAGTGCTTCTGGTCCTCTTTGCATCACAGGTATGCCTCGCTGATGGCGGAGATCGAGTCCTAAGTCTCCGAAATAATAAGGCTGTTGATCGTTCGCCTGCATGGGTTGTGGAGTCGATACAGCTGAGGGATAACCTGAATGAGGTGGAGAGTAGTACTCGGTACCTGAGTTCAAAGATGATGCTAGAGACTGCTGATTGAAGTGAGCGGAGAAAGGTCCATGGGCTACTAGTGGTGAAGCACCAGGAGAGAAGGTAAATTGTGTGCTGTATGGGCCTGCCGACGTAAGAATAGGGTCTTCGTGCATATCGTATGTATCCAATGTTAACGACATAGGTCCATGAATCTGTCCAGGATGCTGAAAGTTGTTGCTTGGCATGTGATCGAGAGAGTAGTCGGGCACTTTGATGGCAGAATCGTCGTTGATCTGATGTGTTGGAGGAACTTGAGGAGAGAATTCTGCTCGTCGTTTTCGATTCTGTCAATCTTGTTAGACTCGATGCCGGCATACGACATGTCACTCACACTTCGTTCATCTATACTCGTCTTTCGTACCCTCCGTTGCACGTAGTCAAACTCCCCTGAACGGGCCTTGATGGGCAGGTTCTTAGGAACAGAAGCAGCGGGTAAGCCCCCGTTTGCTTGGGATTGTGTTTTGCTTTTGCTCGCGATAGAAATCTGATTAGATTGTGCAATACTCGGGAACTCCTCAAGAGGAGCTTCGGACATAAGTCCAGCTGGTGAAGCAACAGAGCTCGGGACAATAAAATCGTCGAGGTTCATGGTATCGCCCTGCATCTCGGCGTTCTGGTCAACTGATTTGCGAAGCTGCTGTGCGATTCCACTCGGTCCGGAAGGCACTTTCGCAGGCGTAATCTTCATAGCAGCTCTACCATGTGTTAGCGGGATCGGATTTGGCATGGGATGTCATACAATGCTGCTTGTTCTCTTTCACGCCGCTTGAGGTTCATAGCCATCATCCGCCACGTTAGATTCTCCATTCGTTCCTGGTTCGGCAGTCGAGTCTTTGTTTTACTGTATAATTTCCATATCTGTGTTCCCAAAGGATCCTTCTTCTGCATGTCTTCTGCCGAATCCAAGATCTCGGGACCCGCATCATCTTTCCAGGTTGGAAATACAGAATCTTGTAGGAGCTCATTGGGAGCGACTGCGGCCGGCGAAAGAAACTGCATATTGGACGGAGAATCTGTGGATAACGAGTTGTTGCCGCTATCCCCGCGAGCGCTCGAAGACGTTACAGACGAGTTTGTAGTACTTCCAATATGTTGTTGCTGCACATTATCGTGCCGCTGTGAATCGTTTGAGCTCTTAGCTTGCGATAATGGTGACGAGCCATGGGTTGAGCGCAATTTCGATGTCGTGCGCAACGTTGTAACGGCCCCTCGTTCGCCATGATATGCACTGGACATGGCCACAAGCGTTACTACTCATGAAGATACCTGACTGCTCAATGAATTCTTGGGAACATGATTTAGTTACAGGTGAAGGACTGGCGGAAGCTAGATGTCATCACCGTTTCGCGTAGCAGGGTAGTCTGGGACAGCGAATAGCCATGAAAGAAACGAGCAACGAGAAGCAGAAGCAGAAGCCGAGTCCAGTTGCAGACGACTGCACATCCGACAGAGTGGGCGCAGAAGTGGAATTGCCGCAGAAGAATTTCAAGCGGCAGCGGTTGAACCGTTCACGAAGCTCAAGCCCGATGGCATTAGGTGGGACAGGGACCAGAACGCACCAAAAGCCGCGCAATAATGGTTCCTAGCACGTTAGGTGGTGCGGTGGTGCGGATTTCGAGTGGGAATGGTGGAATCCCGACAATATCCTGGACGAATGAGAGATTGTTCGGCGTGGGATTAAATTGTCTGCTCAGGTATGCCCGCTGCTTCGAGACGGAGTACAACAAGGTTCAAGTTCGACCATCAAGATGCACGCCATTGTTGACGAGATGTGAGGGTTGGCACAAGACCCATGCAAATTGCGCCTGAAAGAATACCACTAAGCGACTATGAAAAGACCCACAGCTTTGACTCGACTGGGACGAGGCATGCGAGCACAAGAGTGGCTCATCAGCGTGGGCCAAATGTGGGTTGAATTCGGCTTCGGGCGACGCACCATTAGCAGAAACCAAATCGTCATTCTTCTGCACAGTCTCGTTCGCGCGGACTCTAGTTCCTTCATCCACTAGCACTATAGACTTATTCATCGCGCGTGCTTTCAACAAACTTGTGCAGATTATGGCGGGCTTGTATATCATGTTATGAAGATCAAGGATGCCAACCAGAATGTACAAGAGCATTGCTTACAGTAGAGAGCTGTTTTTATGTGCTCGGTGCTGGTTAGAGCTCATAACAGCGGTGGTACACAGTGAGCTGTTTTGAGCAAATATCCACTAATATTCGGTATGGTCAGCAGCCTCTTGAATCTTGATGTCTAGCTTCCATTGTTGCGGTTCGCGCACATGCTGTTGTAGTCTAGTCTGGGCCACACCACATTCACTTCGGAGAAATCGGTCTTTAGATCAGCTAATTTGTGAGTATACTGTTTGGAGGTTCCCATTCACTCACCTCAACAGCTTCGACAGTTCAGCATTATAAGTATTCTATTACTAGATGTGACAGCCAGACAATCAAAGACTTTACGTAGAATACTGCTATTTACGTAGGAACATGGAACCGTGGTCTAGATTGCTCATTGAAGACAGACTTCGGAACACTAGCATTTGGAAAAGGCGCATCCATTTCCACAATAGTCTCCCTTTCACCGTGTGCTATGCTGCCAACACCATGTTCAGGCATTGTGGGATGTTGTGACTGCTTGTCGATGGGTCACAATGATCGCCTCTATTAGAGAAGACAATTCGTTTGTGTAATTCGATGACTGACTCGCACAAGGCGTTCAGTCTGAACAGGCTGGGGTAGTCGGTTTAGTGCGTCTTTTCAACCTGTTAGAGTAGTCGTGGCATCGAAGTGAATCTGACCTGAATCGGCACCAGCAAGGGCAACGCTGCAAAAGTGAGCGACCGTTGCCAAATAAGAAACACTCAAGTACAGGGCCTCCAACTTGCAGGGCGATCCTTTACAGATTTGGGTTTCAGAGTGATCGCTTCTGGAAACCAACACAGGCGCCAGATCACAAAGAGTTCCGAACAAATCCCATACACAAGAAGCAAAACTTGCAGTCGAACACGAACAACTCAACCGATCCTTCTGGCTTTCTTACAATACTAACCGATCGATACCTGTTTTCGCTTGTTGCGAGAAAGAATATAACATTTCAACACAATCATGTGCAGCATGCATTGTAACGTCGTCCCCCAACTTGCTTCTACACTCCAGAATTTAGGCGGAAAGAAACTTTCGTGAAATCCCGGAAGCTGTATTCTCGAAGAGAAGGAGACGTTCCGTGTCAACACGCGATCTGGAGCAGTAACGTACTAGAACTAGGTTTTGGCAAACCCACGCCACACCATGCAAGAGCCGCTTACGGTAACGTCACTTGTGGTGCTAGTGGTAGCGCTGCATCCTGACTCTCATCTTCAGCATGTTACCAAGTATGGTAGGTCTTAATCGGATATTTTGCGATCGTGTGCCAACGTACTGTTCTTCGCCAACGAAGGGGCCGACAACCATATTGGATCTACATCTCAGATGATCCAATGGAGCCTGCCATCGATGTTTTTCTGCGCGACTTTGAGCCTGATCCCTGCGATAAGATGTAAGACGCCGTAGGCCAAGGACGACAAAGGCATGTGGACGACCGGCGATCCACATGATCCCAGCCTTGGGCTACCTGTGCATGGACTTGACTGCAGCACAAGCGATATGTGTTTCGGCCTAGTATAGCCAGCAGAAGGCGTGAGCACGATCTAGATCAAGGGTTAGCATTGAGCCTTGATTTCGACCAACGACGGATTTCAGATTACTCTAGTCTCGTAAAATACAGCAACGATCAGAACCTCGAAAAGGCAAGCGCTCGTTCTATATGCGGTAAGTTTGCGCATGCCGATAACCGTAGACTTGCAGATCTCACATACTACTGGCCAATGACGACGTACTGATCGGTGCTCGCACATCTGATCAAGTACGACTTGCAGACAACGGATGTAACTCGGGGCAGTCCAAGACTGCGCTTGTTTGGTCTCTCTGGGCTTCTCTGGGCCAATGGCAATCTGTTTATACATGGTACCTGGAATCAGTGCTGTAGACCAACGAAGCTGTAGGCAAAGTTTGACAGGATCGTCGCTTGAACAGAATATCTGGTGAAGGCCAGTTCCCAAAGACACTCATCGAGCTGAAACTCTTTCCAGTGCACATTCACTGTGCCTCGAACGACGGGGACTGCATCAACGTCCGCCTTGTGGCGTGTGGCGGCCTTGCATCCACCGAGGCGCTGCACCTAGTGGTGGCAGATCGTCTGTAAAGTATGTGTACCAACCATCTTAGAATGCATTTAATTGGAGCACGGCTGCTGAACCATAGTTCAACTAGTGTGCATGTGTTCGGACACTAAAAGTGTACCTTCGCAGGTGAGGGTTCTCATCAAGAGTGAGCCGGTACTGTACTCCGAATTTAGGCCGTATTGTAGAACCAAACACCCAGTACAAAGTCCAACACTGAACTCGACCTCCTTTTTTCCAACAACACCGAACTTCAAGTTTCAAGGTGCAATGCGACGAAATTGATGTGGAAGTTGCATTGCTTGAGCTAGTGCATTTCCCCCCACACTAGCAGCAGAAGCATGTGCAGCGTTCTTGCAACCTTCGAGCAGGAGCACAGGTTCCTCGAGTCGAGCTGCACTTGCTCAATGTTCGATGTTGTTGTCGTCGGCGGTTATGCCCTTCGTACCGTCTTCGCATTGATACTCTCTCTTCCTCTTTCCCTTTCTGCTGGCACCCAGTAAGCCATTAACTTCAGTCTCCAGCCAGTAAATCGACGAGTCCTGGAGTATTCGGAAAACCTTCCATACTGGAGTGACAGGATTGTTGACGTTCGTTCGTCTGTGTATGTCTCATGGCTTGATTTGTTTCGGTTGGCACGTTCGCCTGTTGTAGAGATTGCGGACCAAAATAGTCTGTAATCTTTTGGAATTGAACACCTCTTCTATGGGGCGTGAGACAATCATTTATATGCGAGGTTGGGCGCAAAAGGAAATGTCAAGCTAGATAGGGACGATAAGATTTGCTTGCACCTTGATTCGAGGCCTTGCCTATCTATAAGAATGTTCCTTGTTAGCTATTCTGGACAGGGAGACTGCAACGTAGCGTAGAGACTTCTGCGTCTCCTGATTGGCGATACGTCTTTAGAGTTACAATGCATCACGTTCTGCAAATGAGCTTCATTGTCTCTATCGTTGAAGGTGACCATGTGCGACAACATTGGCGGCAACCTGATATCCTATAGGCCGTCGCGATGTCTTGTTCGAGAGCGGTCAAGGAAACCACTGCAAAGCCCCCAAGCTTGAGCGGACAAGTTCGTTGATGGAACCCTACTGCTTATCACCCAACACGCAGTACTAGCAAGTCAGACAATATCGTTGTTCAACGGAATTCCTCCGAATTTGGACCCTGTAAACCGCTGGGTTCTGTCGCCATGGTCGTGACTTTGCGATTCCCGTCAACATATAAAACGATATCCATCTCTGTCTCTTTTATGCCTGAAAGCCGGAATTCAACTTGGGCTCTTCATCTGTTCATGTCCAGGTCTTGAACCACGCAGCACAGGTAACTAGGATCAGGAAATATGATGACTTCCTGCTTTTTCAGACGAAGCCTCAAGAGCTGAACATCGTTCTCCGATTGTGACACTATTTCACCTTGATCATGCTTCTCTCTTGTGATATCGTCCTTGCCGAGCGTTGGAGTGTCTCTCAGCTCCACTTTCCGCAAGCTTTCTGCTAGATTTGTCGCAGACGATACGAAAGAGTAAATACTGACGGCCAGAATTTGTGCACGAGACAGTCTGTCTTCTTTGACTGCGGGGACTATACCTTCGACAGCTTCCTCATTATTGCCATCTAGTACCTGGTCGTTTCTTGCAGGACTTACGGTCCTATATGATACGTCCTGAAATGCCGACTTTGAATCATCGTCTGCGATCGCGCCGGAGGCTTTGATAATCGACCCATCTTTACGCGATAGGATAAGAGTCGATCGAACATTTGGACGCTTCGTGAGGTTTCGTAGAATCAAGTCCACAGACGCTGTTTTCTCGTTGTGTGGCCTGCCTGTTCTTTAATCGCGACTCGTCGAACTGAACCGAAATGTCTACCTTGCCATATTTATTCGTGTTGAGGCAGAGCCACTGTATCCCGGTTGGACCACGTCTTCTCGTGCGCATCAAGTCAACATCAGTATTGCGATATCTCACCGAGAGACTTCAGCAGAGCTCAACTCAACCTCTATGGGTATCGAAAGAGGTTACCAAAATATTCTACGGGTTTCAGTCATGGGCTGAAAGACGAAAGACAACAAGCACATTTGTTCCAAGCAAGATTGCTGCTTTACCTGATGGGTTAAATGCTACATACGGCAAGTATTACCATGAGCATGCAGAACTTTCCGTCGACTGAACCACACACTGCGGAATCCCCTTCGGCAGCTAGAGGCCCGGGCCGCTGTATTATACCGTGTCACAGGACATTAGTTTCATGCTTGGAAATTTTGTCGTTGCTCATCAGTACCTTTCGATACTCCCGACAAAGCCAGTAGCGGCAGCGCAAGATTGCGTCGCCGACGTAGCTGTGGAGATACTGCGATAGCGGTCTAGTATGAACTCCTAAGAGCATATTTCATAGCATGGGCTCAAGTGCAAAAAAAAAGAAAGAGAAAAAGAAGGATTTCCAGAAACCCAAGCTCAGAGTCGGAAAAGCTGCGCCAAAAGCTGCAAATACAACAAGCACGAGCTTCACTGCCAAGAAATTACTTGTGAACCAGCAAATTAATGCCAACGCCCCATCGCTGCGAGATCAATTTCTACATCATGTCTCACTGCTTTCGTCCCGTACGGACAGTCAACGGAAGGAGTCACTAGCATATCTGGCGTCATCTTTACAGAGTGACTATCGTGGCAAACCACTACCACTATCATTGAAAGCCCTTCTAGATAAGGTGCTTCCTCTTCTGCTTGACTCCAGTTCAGGTGTTCGTTCTGAAACAACAAAGACTCTGCAAGCACTGCCGAAGCAGGATATTGGCGACTATGCAGAGCAGACACTACCCTATATTCGAGCTGGAATGACCCATCTATCCCAGGAGATCAGACGAAACACTCTTGACGTGTTATCCTATCTCACTGAGACATGTGCCAAAGAACTAGTGTCCGCACCAGGCGGATGGACAAAAACAATTCACTGCTTCGCCACTAATCTAGGCTTCAAAGACTTTGCAGATAACGAGGGTTGGTCGATGCACAAGACCGGTTTCCGCGAAGACGTCAGGTCCGTCACACGTACACTTCAAGTAGCCGAGCAATTCTTGGCAGCAGGGCTTGTGAAGGACTTTGCGCACGACAAAGAGAACCGGTATAGTGAGGCTAGCGCATTTCCGCTGTGGGACTTTGCGCATCACAAGCTTCCAGTCAAGTCAAATCCTTATGGGTATCTGAACCTTTTTGGACGGCCAATGGACGACGAAAGCAGGCAGCTTGAGGATCGGGACGAAAGGGTGCTCGAATTTCAGGATCACTATTACGCCAGGTTCGCGAAAAGCTTGAGCAAGGCGAAACACGAGGGTGGTGATGTTGGAAGATCTGCAGGACAGTTGCTGAAAGTGATAGATTCTGCTTGCAAGGCTGAGTGAGGTATTAGATCAGTATCTGTTCGTCGTCCAGAACTCAGAGGTGGGCATCTCCTTCGAGGTCAAGTCACTGAATCTGACGACCACAATGAGAAGGTCTGTATAGCATTACAAGGTCAAGATCGCAGATCCGTATCGTACATCCAGAACAATCTGCTAGATCTGGCGCGGCTATGTACAAAGATTGCCTTGACCCATACACCCAAAACACCTTGCTGACTTCCGTGTATTGATTCATATATAGACATGGCCAATTCTCCTGAACCCAAATGCATCTTCCACCCAGCCATGAGACCATCACCAGCCAATGACATGACCAAACCTATCCACAAATTTCCCACTATCATCTCGTGTTAACCTCTTTATCAAGCCAAGCATCTCGTTAACACTCTCATGAACCTCGATAGCTCCCTCCTCCCTACACTTCGTCAATCGCGTTTCAACTCTTCCTGGATGTACGAGAGAAAACACTACGTAGGGTAAATCGATGCTCATGCTCTGCACAATTGCATTTAGCGCCGCTTTACTCGCACGATATGCATATGCGCCGCCCTGCCTCATAGTTGCGTTATGCCCGATACTCCCCATCCGACTAGTCATAACCACAACTTTAGTCTCCTTGCTGCTCACAGATTCAGGTTCGTGAAAGAGACCAGAAGAAGCCAGTTTCTGAAGCAGCGTAAATGTGCCAAGCGTGTTAATCTGATAAGTCCGCATCATGGTCTCGTAATCCATAACGTGTAACGTCTCCGCGACAGCTACATCGTCCGGATAAGCCTCTTCGATCTCTGGTACAAGACCTCTGATGCCAGCTGAGTGAATGACGAGATCTAGCTTTGGGTTTGTCATCGCACCGAATGCCCCGAATTTTGTTTGCATAAAGTTGATGGCGTTTGTGATGGAGAGTTCCGATTCGAAGTCGACGTGTTGCTTACGAAGTCGTCGGGACTGGCCGTCCTCGCCCGGTGTACCTGGGGGTACTGGGATGTCGATTGGGTGAAGGTCCCATGCTATTACTGTGGTGTTGTGCTGGTTGAGGTAGTGCTCCACGAAGCCACGGCCAAGACCAGAGGCTGCGCCTGTTACCAGGACTGTGAGAGGCTCGAAATTTGAAGTGGTCGATATCATGGTAACTTTGGTGAGACTTGAGATTTTGCGATCGAAAGCCTTACCGTTCGGCGTTTGTTTATATTTGGTTGACTTGCTTCCTGTATATTAGGACTGCTCAAGCTGTGATTAGAATGTGGTCGGTCTATGCAAGACGTGATCCATTGTTGTGGCAGATGATCTGCAAAGATTGTGACAAAGTGTCCACAGTGGGTTGTCTTAAAGGCTAGAACTTGGGTAAACGTGTTTGATACTTGCACGGTGTTATCGTGTGTTGTGATTAGAAAGTCTATTTTTTCACAATCACAATCTCGGTGATAAGGGTCCGAAGCGGTGATCGATCTCAACTGGCAGTTCTGCCGCCATGTTACTACTAAACTTACAGAAAAGGAATTGACAATCGTTTCTCGCATGTGATGATTGACTATATTCAAGTTATCTATACATTCCTTGCTCTGAACCGCCAGGCAGCAAATGAAGCGTGCCAGCACCATTTGAAGAGCTTGAACAATTCCCTCAAACAAGACGAAGGACCAATCTAGCATTTCTAATTCCTGCAACGCCTCATCTCCTCGCTAATAACCATGAATCCGATAGGCCACCTCATCCTGCGCTTACGTTGGTGTCAGCCATGAGCAATGGCTGTAAGTTGTAGAGTTTCCTTGCATATCCCGCATACTGGTTGCCATTCCTTGACCTTCCGGGACCGATGTTGGTCGAAGAATGGTACTCGTCTCGACGTGACCATTTGACAGCCTATGACCAGGGTCGCGGGCCGCTGCTGGGATTGATTTGACCGTGAGCTTCGGCTTGGCTTGTGAGTCGCTCACTATTCATGTATTGCATCTCATGTCTAGAAGATGGGTTCTTTGTGATCTTAGGGTTGTACCACATAACGCAGACAATCAGAACCAAAACCATAAGGAACGCATCGAGCACATATATTGGCCACTCCTGTGCAAGAAGGTAATTGTCCCATCCCATGCCATACTCGATAACTCGGAAAAGATTTCGAATAGTGATAAGAATGCTTGTGACATAGAGGCCGAGCATCAATTTCTTCCAAGTTAGGCGATTGAACACATTTCCCTTTCCAGTATTGTGCTCGCCTAATGGTCCTTCCAGTGCTGCGGAGGTGGGTCGTTTCTGCATTCTGAATTGGAAGACAAGAGCTGCTGCGATAAAAACCAGAAAGATCAGGATCTGCAGGATGAGCCCACCAAGAATGATGTTGTTATAGATGTTGATCTGGGAAGCCGTCGTTGCTGTAGCCAAGAGACCGCCGCCCGCACCTTGTATCATAAAGCATAGGACATCACCTCCAACGAAGATCTTAGTCAACCAATTGACTCGAACGAAGCTGTAGTTCTCGCCGTAAACGACTCTGATGATACGTCCCAGGATCATGTAGATTGAGGCGGCGAAGAGAATAGGTGCAAGTAGGAGGCATAGACTTTGTATGCTGTAGATTCCGACAGAGATCGTGTCGGAGTGCGCCAGTGCTCGAGCAATGTAACCGATAACTTCGAGGAGACCGCCCACAACGAACGGGACACAGAACCATGTTCGTCTCCGGACTAGTAAGATGCTGTGGTAGACCATGAGGATGATGAAGAGGACAGTAAAGATCGCTGCGGCGGCTAGAGACGGTGTGTAATGCCAGAGTTTGAAGTTTGACCAACCATCATCAGTTGACGTATCCTGTCGAGCAAATATTGTTGCCATGTTGAAGGTTCTTGACAGGAAAGCGTTTTGACGTCAAGAGTGTGACTCAGGTGTGGTTGTGAGTTAGAAGTGCTGTAAAACAAATTCATCTGAGTCTGTCTAATCTGGTTCCTTGACAGTGGAAAGACAAGGTAGGTTGGACAAGTATGTATACATACTTCCCTTTGAATAACAAAGTGCTTTAGTCGTCAAGCCGTAGTACTGCCGGTTCAGGAAGGGCTGTGTTGGGATACTCGTATCGTCTTGGTGAAACGACAGAGCAGAGAGGGAGGAAACACGGTATAAATGGAGTTGTGGAGCAATAATAGACAACCGAAGGGCTTACATTCGTGTCCTAATCTACAGCACGTGGCAAGTTTCCACGTTCGAGATGAGCTAAGGGGGATCAACCAATGGGAACTCTTATAGATGCTCGCTACTGTCGCTGAAAGTGCCAACAACGCAACTGCGGCGAGTCGTGTTCTGGTGGGAAGATCGGTTATTTGTCCATAATCAAGATAGCGCAGTCGGAGCGGAAAACGAGTATGGGTACTCGTTTACGACTTTCCGCGTATTCGCGTAGCTTGCTATGTTAGTACCTGTGCACTGCCTTCGGTACTCTTAGTGAAGACGTGTTTGCGTCTTTGGAAATTGAGCTTCCACAGATCTGTGCGATCTTTTGTTTCTACTGACCCTGCAGACAAATCGCATATTGACTTTGTCTGGTAGAAACTTTGGAGGTCCTTTTGTCTGGTGCCGAATACTGCCACTCATTTATCGAACAGATGGCTGTCATTTACTGGGCATCGAACACGCGGCATGCATCAGATGTGCTCACCGCTAACGGACCAGATTGTGAAATACTGTCCAGAGCAAAAATGACCTTGCTTCAGATGGATGACCTTATCTTCCAAGCCACGCGTGCTTATATGCCACTCTATCTTATCATGGGCACCGACAAAAGGCTATCCAAGCAAAAGTGTCGGGGTCCCCACAACAAAACTGTGGGCGTGTCCCCGACGCTTTTGCTGACCGGGACGTGCTGAGATATAGGAAGGTTGTTTTTATCCATGATGCTGGACTGCGAGCTGGAGATGTTGGTCCTGCGAGAAGAGCCAAGAACCAGAGACGATACGCTCAACGTGGCATGCACCTTCTGTGTTGGGGATCGGGTTTGAGATGTCGTTTCTTTTGTTACTTGCACCTTCAGTACTATCGAGTACGATGGAGCTCGGCATCGATAGGTCACCTTGGGTTTGATCTGAGAGAACATACGTTTGTGCACGTGAATCGAACAGCAAAGTCTCAGCATTGGTGCCAACTTGTACTCCGATACCAACTTGGAAGTGGCGTACGTATTGGCTGAGCCACATACCGGAGTAGTTACAATATGTCGGACATTTGATGTTTCAACTGCATGTTGTAACAAGGTACTGGGGCCAATCAATGAAACCGCCGAGCAATGAAAGACTCATGTCGACGGCATATGCCTGCGACTTCTATGTCTGAAACATGTTGGCCATGATAAATTCACCGTTCAGTTTATGCCCAGCGAACGTTTCCAGACATTTCCATAGGTCGAAGCTGTAGATAATGTTTCGACGCTCCATTACACGACTTCGGATGCGGAGGAAGGGTTCGAGGCGCTTACTGTTAGCCAATCGCAATTTCCGCGTGCCTGAATCGTTCCTGGTTTGTGGTTGGTTGTCTCGCCTAGAACTAACAAGCAGAAGCGCACTAGCCACAATGCCAATCGCGTTGCCTCTTCATACCAGTAACCGAGATACTGTTTGCGCTAGATTCGACAATGACTACGTGGGCTACCCACGGCCTTGATTTTGTACGAACAGGGTTCATTCAGGTTGACATCCTTACCACCTGATGCCTTGAAACTGACAACTTCGAGAATCCACCAGCGACAATTTGTGAATGGCAGGCCTTCAACAAAGAATCGTATCCGGCGCACGATGTAGCGTTTGAAGCCTTGCTACTGACCTTCTCTCCATATCTCCGAGCAAGCATTGCGTCGACGCGTAGCCCACGAAGCACTCACACGGGCCTGTACCACTACCTCCCACCCCTACGCCGAGCCAACTCTGACATCGATCGAAGCAGTGCCGACAGGTCAATCGAACCCGTGTGCCAATCAAGTGATATTCAGACATCCTATCGCGAAGAACCAGAACTAGCAGAGGAGGGCAATCTAGCTATATCATGGCATACAATGGTCGCCCGCAAGGCTATGGGGAATCGCAGTATCGGTCACGACCTGCGAACTATGGCACTCAATACAATGATCATGATCAGGCTCAATACTATGACAACCAAGTTCAATACCAGCAACATCACGATCAAGACTATGCCAGGTATCAACAAGATGCCTATGACCACAACCAGCGAGAGCCCCGGTACCAGCAGCAACCACAAGATCAGTATACTGCTGAACGTCAATATGCTGCTCAAATGAACCCTTCCGACCGTTACCCTGTAGATTATGATCAGCCACAGCAGCGTCAGTATCACTACGATGAACGTTTTCGATCAGACAGTCGCAACGTTCAACAGCCAGGCCGTGGTGACCGTCCTTTTAGAGCTAACAGACAATCTCCTGAAACGTCACGACCCAGCACTTCAGCTTCTAACCATAGGATCAAGCGTAAGTTTTCCAGTGACTGCAAACATGCCACGGCTGACTCTTTATAGAAGAACGTATTCTGGATCGCAGCAAGCGCGAGTCAACAAAGGCTATGGCTTGGGGTGAGTTCTTTCTTCGGTTCAGATACGGCGCTATGTCCTATCTTATGAGTCTTCGATACTGGATCAGAAGCTGACTTTTGTTCGTAAAGATAATCCTTTTGGTGTTTTTCCAGGCACAAAGAAAGATCTGGAGAAAAAGAAGAAGGATGCAGAAGATGTCAGGTCACAAAGTAGGGCCGACGTCCCTCTGGATAGACCTCCAACAGCCCCTTCTTCGAGTCGCCAAAATACGGCCATCCATCATTCACCACCAAGCACAAACCCGGCTGTGGATCGACCTCATACCTCAAATAGTCGTCGGTCCAGCCCGCCCACCCAACCGATATCTTCCTTTAACACGCCGCTAGGTCCGTTCAACGACATGCCTTTTCGCAAACCACTCCCGTCTTTCGGCCACGATAGCCACTCGCAGCCTTTGACGATGTCTGACCGCGACCGAACCCTACCTGTACACCATAGGTCCAATGCGAATTCCTCTTCAGACAATTTACCTCCACGTGTCGACACTGCCACTACCCGTTCACATAATCGAGCTCATTCTCTGCAGGGTCAAGAGCAAATTTCCAATGACTATCAGCAGAGTGCGCTGGACTACGGCCACGACGAACGATATACTACATCTCACCTCGTGGAGAGCCGCAATTCACCACATGACTACGCCAACTCTGTCGAGCAGAATCAATATGCCAGCATTGAAGCAGGACAGATGGGAACTCGGCAGACACAAGGCCAAGCTAGAAAGAATATGTCACCTCAGGCTCAGAACATGGGTTTACCCTATAGAGGCATGGTGTCACCGCAGCGTATCGAGAATCCACGCGAATCGGTAGTGCCCAACTTCGCTGCAATCACGCCTGGCGCAACAGAAAACGTAGAAAGAACCATTACAATGCAAAGCAGCGGGACTGCTCATTCTCTACGTTCAGAACCAAATCGCAGACCAACATATGGCGACATCTCGTCGAAATCCCTACTGATCAGACCAGGCTTGTTGCAATCACAGGACCGCGCGAGCCCAGATGAACGCAGCCTTCGTTCTCCTGTGGACGGATTTGATTTTGGTCTTCCTGCCTCCAGATCAGAGCCTGCTATCACCCCACAAAACAGCCGACCTATATTGCCTGGTGATGGATATGGCAGCCGCGGTGATTCAGATCAAACATCGCAGACTCCTAATCAGTACGCTACACATGACCGCTCAAATTTTCCTCCTCGGCAGGAAAGTCGAGCAGCTGTTAGAGACCACTCCGCATCAAATGGCTTTGTACACAGCTACAATCAGCCTGTCCTAGCTGGTCAGCGAAGTCAGACGCGACTCCATGGACAAGTAGCTCCTGCTGCATCAGGACTGGAGTACAACCAGACAAGAGATGCTCTTAGGCAGGAGCATAGTCTAGATGAGCAGCGTCGTCCTCAGAATTATAACTACGAAAGAGTTTACCGCCCAGGAGCAGCTCATACACAAGACACGTACCAGCAAGACTCCTTCCGACCTGTGCAGAGGACATACACCGAACCAGTCGGTCATTATGATCATGAGCGTCGAGACTATGGACCTGATGCACAATTCCGGCCTAGTACTTCTCACGGGTATTCACAGCGGCATTATCCTACAGATCAGCTGCAATCCCGACCACCTGCAGCGACCACCGGTCAATATCAGGAATACGATCAGTATGGTGATGCCATGATACCTCGTCCAAGAACAGCAAACTCGGCTCGAGCACCGGTTCGTCAATATCCAGAACAGTATATGTCAGCTCTAAAACCAACAGAGTCAACGCTTCCAATCGCGGACCGTAATCATCCACCACCAATTCGTCCTGGTCTGCTCGAACCTGTTGCTGCTCCAAGTCCGACTCATGTGCCAGCTGCGGCACCAGTGCCATACCCTCAAACATCACCTCCACGGACCGCGCAGAACTCGGCTCCACAACAACGCATGTCGTCAACTACGGCCAGTAAGACACCAGTGACATTACAAGAGCTCAATGACCTGCGCCTAGCTTTCAAAGACCGCCCAAATGACGATAAACTCGGCCTCAAGTTTGCTAAGCGTCTTGTCGAAGCTGCCAGCGTGCTTGCCTCGGAGGGAGGTAAAGCAGATGCCAAGACTACCGCCAAAAATCGAGAACGCTATATCAACGATGCATACAAAATTGTCAGGAAGCTGGTCGCTGGCGGTTCAGCTGATGCTATGTTCTACCTAGCCGATGCTTACGGTCAAGGTCTCCTGGGTCTCGAAGCAAACGCCAAGGAAGCCTTCCAACTCTATACTTCAGCAGCGAAGTTACAACACGCCCCAAGCGCATATAGAGTAGCAGTCTGCTGCGAACTCGGTCAAGACGCAGGAGGCGGCACCAGGCGCGACCACGTCAAAGCCGTCCAATTCTACAAAAAGGCCGCAGCTCTCGGCGACGGCCCCGCGATGTTCAAGATAGGCATGATCCTCCTCAAGGGCTTACTCGGACAACAACCAAATCGCCGAGAAGGCATATCCTGGCTCAAACGCGCCGCAGAAAAGGCCGACTCAGACAACCCACACGCACTGCACGAGCTCGCCTTGCTCTACGAAAACGCCCAGTCCACAGACGTGATCGTCCGGGACGAGAGATACGCCATGCAACTCTTCACCCAGGCCGCAAACCTTGGCTACAAGTACTCGCAGCACCGCCTCGGAACCGCCTACGAATACGGCACGCTCGGTGCGCAGATCGATCCGCGCATGAGTATCGCGTGGTACTCCAAGGCGGCCGCTCAGAACGAACATCAATCTGAATTCGCGCTGAGTGGCTGGTACTTGACGGGCAGTGATCCGCTCCTTGCGCAGAGCGATACGGAAGCATACCTTTGGGCTCGCAAGGCTGCACAGAGTGGTCTGGCGAAGGCTGAGTATGCTATGGGGTATTATTCTGAAGTTGGTATTGGGTGTAAACCTGATATTGAGGAGGCGAAGAAGTGGTATTTTAGGGCGGCTGGTAAGTTCCTTGTTTTTTCTTCTTTCCTTTTGTCGGTTCTCAGTTTCAGACATACTAACTTTGGGTATAGCACAACTGGATCAGCGTGCTAAGGAGCGATTGGAAGAGATCAAGAGGGGTGGCGTGGCGAAGAGGAAGGAGAGGATTAGTCGAAGTAACATTGAGAAACAGAAGGGAGATTGCGTGGTGATGTGAGTGAGTCAGCACTGGCTGGTAGATATTTGAGATTATAGGACGAGTCACGTTGTGCAAGAGGACAAACGAGTCACGATGGGGGTGTACTTTAGTGTAAATTACCATTAAATTATCAAAGATGTGATGAAGGTGGAAAGAAGAAAGTATAAACATGCTTGCATGCGATAGGAAGTCATGAAGCTTTGACCACAGTGCTTGTCCATTCAGGCAGGCGTGGCGGCCGTCGACCTCGTGTCCGGATATGAGATTGTACCGACTATACCTATGTGTGACATAATAGAAAATAAGGCCACAGCTGATGATGCTCTGAACAAGTCCCGTTTGCGATGCGGTATGGCTGTGCTTAGGCTCCAGTCACCTATTTGTACCTCTCCTCGGCCACTGGACTGGTCGTCATCCTTGCGTGTAGGTGAAGGACTAGCTGATCGGGTGGAAGCTAGAGAAGGGGTGTCTTCCGGTACTTGGCTGAGCTCAATTAGTTTGTTGTTGCTAGCAAGATCTGATTCAATACTGATTAATGCTTGTGGGAGTGGTGCGATGTCCGGTTCAGGGTGATCGGCGGACGATGCCGCTGGTATCTCGGGAATAGACTCATTGCTGTAACTCCCAATCAATCCTGGCCTCGAATTATGCCTCCTTGGTGGTAGTGAAGGTGCCTTGCCTTCCGGACGTGTAGCGGGCCGACTCCTTCTGAGCTTATTCTGGAAAGATGGGGATCTGTGAACCTCTGCGATGAGTTGAGTTTGCTGTCCATCTTTTAGATCTTGAACGCTCTTCGTTGGCCTCAGAAGTGATGATTTGCCTGCGAGACTCGATGCTCGAAGGTATATGTTGAAAGTAGGGTTACCGGTGCCGTCGTAGTGGATGACAACACCAGCATCAGTGTTGAAGTATTGACTGCCGGACCCGAGGTTGTTTCCACCAACTCCATCGTAGACATTGAAGTGGTTGCCGCTGATGGCATCCTTAGGCAAGGACAGCTGCACGGCTTGCATTTCGATCTCTCTTGAAATGATACGTAGAAGGCGATAGGCTGTCAGTCGTTCCGTGCTAAGCTAAGGGATTGTATGCTTGTCAGGTCGATCTCGTAGGATTCACCCGAGCTCGACGCTATGCGACACGGAACGGTCTTATAATTTGCCTACCTTGATAGTATGTAAGGCGCAGTCATCGCAGTTTGCTGCTGTACTAGCTGCCTCTGCACTCACAATAGAACATTGGCGCAGCTCCACGCACATACGTTTTGTGGTAGAATGAGCTGTCGCAAGTATTTAGGCTGGAATCGGTCAGAAACTCGCAATGCTTGAAGGCTCAGATTAGCAGCAGGACGAAAGCACATAACCTACAGGGACGACAAGAATAGGGCTTCGCTTGTCCCAGCGGTTATCAGCCTCGGGGTGGACTTTGAAATGTCTTGCAAATCACTGTGAGGTACAGACTAATTTTAGCACCAGCTAGTAGCGGACCAATAGCATATGCATGGGAAAGAGCTAATGGGAGAGAGAAGCTTGGGTTCGGCAGGTGCTGCCGGGTGCTGGTGTGCGAGTCGAAGCGAACTTCGGCACCTGCCAATGCCACAGGAAGGGCTGAGCCGCTGAATTATTGATCAAGTAGTTATTGCTACGAGTAGGAACTTTGTCCAGGTCGACCATGGTCCTGCATGTATCGTATGTGCTGCAGTAGCTCCGACCAATAAATGGACACTGAGACTGAGACAGAAGATGGGTCAGTAATAGTGGCTAGGTGCTGATCAGGTAGGCAGTTCGAGAACAAAGAGATAAATATTGGTCTGAAGTCGAAAGGCTGAAAGCAATTGATATATTCTCACTTGTTTGTGAAGCAATGCTTAATGGCCTGAATAATGGAAATCGCAGTTTTGTTTGCCAAACTTTCCGTCTCACAGCTTCTCGACCTTAACATCGACAGGCACCTCCACGATCTGATCCAGACCCTTGTACTCAGGTATATTGAGGTTATACTTCTTCGCCACATCTTCTCCCAGAAACCGACCTCCGATGAAATGCTTCTTACCCTTAAAGTGTCCTACATTAGGCTTTGCAGCAGTCAAGCTGATCAAATAATCGGGCATGTATTTGCTCCCCAGTCCTTCATTTTGTGGCCCATCTTCAACATGCCAAGAGCTTGGAGTATCAACGGCAAGAACTGGTTTCACACCCTTCTCCATGACGGCGATTGCTTGGTCGAATGGCTCTCGAACCGGCGGCTGAAAGCTAAATCCGAAAAGAGCGTCAACAATAAGATCAGATTCTCCTGCCAGCTTGTCGAATGGAGTCTCATTGTCAAATCTGATGTGCAGGTTGTTCAGTTGTTTGACTAAGCCATCGTATATGGGCTTCTTTGTGGGCTTAGGGTAGTACACTACTGGAGTGTAACCATAAAAGTACAGATGCCGTGCTGCTACTAATCCATCACCACCATTGTTGCCTGGTCCACAAGCAATCAGTACCTTCTTACCTGCGGAAGGTGGATGAACGTTGTAGACAGCTTGCGATACAGACAGACCAGCCAGCTCCATGAGCTGGTCAATGCTGAAGCCACCAGCGTCAGACATCAGATCGCCATCTAGATCGGCTGCGGCCTTGGGGCCTAGAGTCTTCAAAGTTTGAGGCATCCTGGCCGTACTTGTGGAATGGAGGTTGTCGTTGGAGAGACCTGAGGAGTACCTTAAAGCAGTACTTGAGAAAATCGGTCTAATACCTGCTTGAGATCTGACTGAGAGTTGTCGAGTGAGGGAGAATGCTCGTGGTCGAATGGTCCTAAGCATGCAGACTTGGCAAAGAGGACAATGAGTCCGTTACTGCTTGTTCCGGGATTGTGTTTGACAGAGTCAATGTTGTAGAATTAGAAAAAGTGGGAGCTCAAATTTGAAGTGTCAAAGTATTGACCAAGTCAGCGACAATGATGCTCTGCTTGCTTCAGTAATGCATTTCATTCACTTACCACTGTCGTCATACTGGCAACCACGATGCAGGGACGCGTTCTAGCCAACTACGTTTCTCAAGGTGGATCTTCGTGTTCGAGCCAGCCTTATGCATTTTGGGAATCTTGTCGCATCAGGATTGTGTAGTTTAGAGCGTACATGCAACTCAAGCATTCAAACACTCGTTCATAGCACTCTTTCTTGACCAGTGGCAAGTGCTCTCTGTCCATTCTGCCATCCAGGCACTCAGAGTGTAAGCTTAAAACCGACGCACCATACAACATACCAAGCAGTCTTCGAATCCAACCATCAAAGTATCTCAAGTGACATCTACGACACCAATACCCGCCCATACACGTTACCTAACACCCCCTTCCAAATCATGGTCGTCAAACTCCGCCTCGCCCGCCTGTCCAAAAGGCACCAACCCTTCTACAACATCGTCGTCGCCAAAGACCGCTCCGCCCGCGACTCCAAACCCATGGAAGTTCTCGGCACTTTCAACCCCGTCCCCCAAACTCCCCTCGCCTCACAATTCCAACCCACCCAAGACAAGAAATTCAAAGACATACAGCTGGACATCACGCGGACAAAGTACTGGTTGGGGGTGGGGGCGCAGCCGAGTGAAGGTGTGCAGGGGATATTGGGGATGTTGGGGCTGTGGGAGGCGAAGCCGGGGACGATGGCGGCGAGGGGGAGGGTCGGGGGAGCGGCGAGGATGGGTGGGGAGAAGGAGGCGCAGATTGAGGGATGGGAGAGGGAGAGAGAGAGGGAGAGGGAACAGGAGAAGGAGATGGAGAGGGATGCTGTGGTGTAGATTTGGGGTGTACGTGGTTATGAGATGGGTGTAATATGTTCTGAGAAGCGAGTCAGGGAAAGATCGCGTGCTGGCTATACGCGCCTGTCAGTATTCATGTGCTATGTGCTCGCTTGGTTGAGCTGAATAAGAACAGACGGGAAGATGTACGGATACTCGTGCTTGTGCACGCTCTATACACAACTGGACCTACGTCTGGGTCTGGCGAAAGCCCATGCCACTCTCGAGGGCCTATTTCCTAGGACCACCCGCCGTTCAGCTCAAGCCGGCTGCAATATCTGAGCTCGACGACAGCACGATGCGTAGCTCACATTCTGGAGGATTGTCTGATTCAGTTGCAGGCTGTCCTGCTTCAGGAGCGATGAGTGGAAAGGGGAGAAAGTGTGTATAACACATTGGGCACTGTACAAAAGCAGGAAAGATATGATGATTCTCCCTCCCCATATTCTGTATAGAACGTTTCCCTTGAGAATTCAATCCGATTCTATGTACAACAGAATGCACGCTTGCTTGCTTGATATGCTAAAGTGATTCTAAGCACAGTCTAGGTAGGAGACAGTGCAATTGCCTGCCTCAAATTGCCATGCTAATAATTCCCATTACCGGGCATTAGTGCCATCTAATGCTCATTTGAGAACCCGCCCAACTTCACCGACTACCCTCTTAAATCGTGGCTCGTCGGTGTATTTCTTTTTCCTCAGCCCTTCGATTAATTGATCAACCTCGTACATGCTCTTGCATGCCTTCTTAACATCGTCATTGTTCTTAAAGCCAAAGACAATCGTGCCTAGGGCCATCAGCGCTCGGTAAGCAGGCTCGGTAGTCTGTGCTAATGGATTCGCGTTCTCGCTATGATTAACTGCAGGCAGAATGTTCAGGACTTGGCTTAGCACTTCCACAAGCTCTAATGCCTGCCGCTGGGACTGGTCCGTCTTCTCGCTGATGATGAGGACAGCAAGATTCAGTGCGAGTGTGGCATGAGCGACAGCGAAAGAGACGTCAACCGTAGAGACCATGCTTTGTGCGCCAGTTTTGAGGTGGCGGAGAACATCGTCCATGTACACCTGAGTTACCACTCTGCCTGTATCAGAGCCGTAGATCAAATTTGCAAAACAGCGATAGCCAACCATTGCGAGCTTGTTATTTTCTTGCACTATATCAGCATTGAAGATTGGTGACTGAAACAGCAACGTAAGCGATTCGTCCTCTGGAACTGGGAAGTCGGCCGTGGCAGCTGCAATGAAGCGAAAGAGATCGAGGGCCGCAAGTCTGGTCTTGAGCGGTTCCCAAGTCGCTATTATTTGGAGAAGAGGACCCAGTGCTGGTGCGATTGCTGACGACTGTAACGAGGGCTTCGCCTGAAAATTGTGCTTGTCCAGTATAGCAACCAATTTCGATATGGACTCGATATCTTGCTGCGACAGAGGCTGCGTGGATGTCGAGTTTAGCTTTGAGATCTGACTCAATGCTGCACTGGGCTTGCCGAGCACAATCGGCAGGTACTCCTTCTGCGGGAGAGTTGACCTAGCGGCTGATTCTTGCGGGGCTGGAGGCTTATAGGTGGATTGAGGGACTTCTCCTGGTCGATATCGATTTTCTGTGCCCCATGGATCTGCTCCTGTGGGGGCTTGTTGGCCTAGCTGGGCACCTTGGGAGTTCTTGATGATAAAGTTTGCCGTCTCCTCCAGGTATGACATGGGTAGCTCATTGTCCTGCAGAAATTTTGTCGCAGCTTCGTAGGGATTCTGCGTAGCATTGAAAGGGAGCTTCAAGGCAGGTTTACCATCCTCAATGTCGACGTCGAAGACGTAATCGTATTCTTTACCATTATACATGATCTTGTTGCTTGAGGCGGCCGAGTCCACTAATTGTCCAACCTTGACCCAAGTTCGCTGAGCTACCGACCATTGGTAGACTGTAGGTTGACCACTCTCATCCTTGACAATAGCGGTTTGGCCTTCTTTTGTACCAGACTTTTGTGTCAGAAATTCAGGGCCAGGCAAATCTGTGGTGTTGATGTCGCCGACCTGTTGTTTTGGCAATGCGGAAGATTGTACTAAATTGTCGAACTCGGCGATCGTGGCAGGATCAGCTTGTCGCTCCGCTTCTCTTGTAAGTATTCTTGCAATTTTGTCGCTCGATCCTGCTATCAAGTCGCCATTGGTACATGCTGACACCGACCACACAGATATTGCTGGGAGAGTGATGACTTGTACACATTCGGTGTTCTTCCAAACTCGTATCGACCTATCTTCGCCTGAGCTCACAATCTCGCCGGTAGGTAGGACAGTGAGGGAGTAGATGAAAGATTCGTGGCCGTGCAGTTCTCCTCTCAACTTCCCGTCCAAAGTCCACAACCGTATAATACCATCGTTGCTTGCAGAAGCTATCTGAGCGCCAGTGGGATGGCCATCGATTTTGACAAGCGCACGCACCACATCCCGACCATCGAAGCTCACTAATTGCTTACCGCTTGTGGTGAACACTCTTATCGCACGGTCCGCACAGCCTGTGACAATGGTCTCTCGGTCGTATGCAATAGCAGACCAAACTGTTGCAGTATGATCTGGCAGATCCAATGCTACCTCCCAGTTCCCAATACTCCAGACTTTTGCCGTGCTATCCCAGCTACCACTGACTATGAAGTCACCTCTTTCAGACACATCCAAAGAGCATACCTGGTTCGAATGGCCAACCATCATCACGTCAGCATTCGCCTCGGCTGTAGTACCTGGTTGCCGTGCTTCGATGAGGGTATCCTGACCAGCAGAAACCACCAGACCCTCAGGGTATTCTTTCGAAGGAGGCATATATGATAGACATGTCTTAAATTGGCTTCCATGTGATAATTCGTCGGGCTCGAAGTTAGGTGGGCTTTCATTGGTCTTTTTCCATAGTTTGGTCGACCCGTCTCGAGAGGCTGTCAACGCGAACGAGGGATCTGGATGTAACACGGCGCGGACGTCGCTATTATGCCCTTTTAGCACTGCAGAGAGTTTAAATTGCGACATTGAGAAAGGTAGAATAATGGTCTAAGAAAGGAATGGACGTAAATCTGTGATGGCAATTGTAGATTTGCGCAAATACCAATGTCTAGACAGGCACGCCAACTTGCGACTGCAGCACAAAAGAATTTCAGGCATCGAATGACGCAACAAAGTGAGCGGCGCAAGGCACAAGGCATCTACCCCACATCATAACTGGGGTTGTCACTCTGTAAGGCACGATTAATGTCTTGGTGAGCTTAAGATGAAACACAAAACTACGTGGAATGTAAGCAAGTCAAAGTGTTTACCCTCTCTGTCGCGCCCTGCACGAGGCCTTATGAAACCAAACCACAGTCCTTTTCATCAATCATGTGGGTGTGGTAAAAAGTGCTCATGTCATTGTCTTCATGCCAGTGAACAACAGCATTAGTCGTCCTATTCAACGACCATCAGGTCTAGATAAGAAGATCATTCAACGTGTTTCCGGACAACACTCGTTCCACATATAGCATGTTTATCCAACGCTGAGTGTGGCAATTCACACCTACCAGCTCTGACCAATCCGTCCTGCAGTGTCATCTGGCTCTATCGTCGTGCTTCTCATAAATTCCTATCATAGAGACCGTTCATTGTCTTCCTTTCTCCCGCCACCTCAAAAGCTCACTGAGACTAGCCAGGCTGCATCGCTCCTTGAAGAAGTCGTTTTTGAGCAACTCATCTGCACTTGCTCGACTTCTGACATCTACGCACAAACAAACGCTCAGGAATGCCTTTAATTCCCGGCTCAACTTGTTGGGATTCTTCAGCCTTGGTGTGCCATTGGTAGCGATCAGGAACAAAGCCTTCAGTGGCTCCTCGTTTAGGTAAGGGGGTTCTGACTCAATCATTTCGATTGCCATGATCCCGAGCGACCATATATCGACCTTTGGCCCGTACTCTTTCTGTTTTACCACTTCTGGTGCCATCCAGTAAGGTGTGCCTACCATGGTTGCCCGCTTGGATTTGGATTCTGTGAGCTTGGCACAGAACCCGAAATCAGTAATCTTGACGTTTCCCATCCGATCGAGCAGAACATTATCAGATTTGATGTCTCGATGAATAATGTCCTGTGAATGTAGATGTGCTAGTCCTTTACAGGTTTCGTAGGAGATGGTAGAAATTTGGTCTTCCGTAATGACCGGATTGTTGTCAATGATGTCCGTCAAAGCACCACCCTCCATGAATTCCATGACCACCCACAGCTCGTTAGTCTGCTCTTGGAGGAACGAGTCCAGGAAGTTGACAATGTTGGGATGCTTGGAGTCTTTCATCACGATAATCTCGTTCACGATGAGCTCCTTTCGGGGCTGGTTACGGAGGTCCATCTGCTTGATGGCAACCTGTCCCTTCGGCCCGTGTGTCCTGTATATTTCCCTTGCAATACCCGACGTTGCACTCTCTTTGACTCGTGCAACATATACAGATCCAGAAGCTCCCTGGCCAATCTTTTTCTGCTTGCTGTACGAGTCCATGGGGTTGTCTTTAGATACGACTTGCTTCAATTTGGCCATGACCTCACTCTCAGTCATGCTAGACATTCGCACTTCTTTCGTCCTTTCCTCGGCTTTCGGCTTGCTCGTCAATGCTTCTTCTGCTTGTTTCCGAGGATCTGCTGCCGGTTTTGCTGGCGGCTGTTTATTGGCTACATTGAGAGGCTTTGGCTGCTGCACAGAGCTGGGTTGCTGAGGTGGTCTCTGAGATGTTCCATTAGGTTGCTGGCGCTGGGCAGCTGAGTCTTTTCGAGCGTCATCTGGCAATCTGCTGTTTGGCGAAGGTTGTCGAGGAACGCTCGAATCGGGTTGTCGGAGTGATATCGAGGAAGCAGATATGGACTGAGGAATCTTCGAGGTCGAGCTTGGTGGAGAGGGAGCCGGTCTTTGAGCTATAGGTTGACGCATTGGTTGAGGTGCAGCTGGAGCCGCACGAGCTGGAGCATATTTTGGATCTGGACGGCCTTGAGTGGCACTTGAATAGCCACCCCCGCCAATTTCTTGCTGTGCCAATGGTGTCTTCGTCTTCGGAATGGATGCATTGTAAGCGTCCTGGTCTCTTCGGTTCTGCTCTGCTTCTTGACTCCTCTCCCGTTGTCTTTCGGCTTCTCTTTGGCGCTTGACCTCGACCTCCTTTCTTACACGCTCAGCTTCTCGATTGGCAATTTCCTTGATCCTTAGCGCATCTGCTTCCATATCATAAGTGCCTTTGTCGGTTTGCGATCTGCTTGGAACGGGTCGTGATTGAGAGGACAAGCTTGTCGAAGACGCGCTGCCGTCGTTGTACTTGTTTACGAATTGGCTAGTGTTGTACCGTTGTTGCTCAGTAGGAGGAGCAGGTCTTGGAGGAGCGACTGAACTCCCGGTCGGAAAGCCCAGCTGCTTGTTCTGTGACGAAGCACTAGGAGTAGGAATGCTGTGGGGATACATTTCTGGATGCTGCTCGCGCATCTTGTGCTCGGAATAAAATTCCAACACCTCGATCACAGCCTGAGGATTCTTCTTGTAATCCTCCTTGGTAATGGCGGAAGTAGTCAGCAGCTTTTCCCACTCCTGTGGCAGACCAACAAATCCACCAGTCTGAGGATCGAAGCCAACATGTATCCTATGGCTAAAATTGGTTGGATTGCTGACGCCACCCATTCCAGGACATCGTTCGTAAATTTTGTCTATCCAATCATATATCTCATCATCGTTTCTGACTTCGCAGGTAATGGTCCTCTGGGGTAGGTCTCGACTTAGTACAGCCTTGTTCAGTCCGTCTTTGGCATTTGCGACTCTGTTGATCTCAAAAGCCGATCGCACTTCTTCCGAGCGAGATACGCCAGTCACGGTGTTGAGTGGTATGGACTGTACCAGTTTGCCGTTCTCATCCTTCATAAAATCCAGGCGGAATTCTCTCAGGATCAAATATCTCCTGTTCCATCCTGCTAAGAACTTGTCTTCTTTGCACCGAACATAGCCCTCCTTGATTACGTTGGGTCCACTCATCTTGCCGCTGTTCAGGGATAGAGAGCTCGTGTTCGGAAAGAAAGACTGAGCTGGAGTAGAAACAGCTGGTGAGGCAGGACCCAATGTCATGGCATCGAAGGAGGTAGCAGGCAGTTGGGTCTGGGATCGGCTCAGCTCGAGGTGTCGTGGTCGGTCGGACATAGCACCATTGACAGGCGGTCGTGGTGCAGGTCCAGGATTCAAGAATTGATTAGAATAGTAGTTCCTACCATACAATCTCGTGTTAGTTTGAAACGACATCTCGCAAGGAGGAGAAAGCGCTGAGTAGACTGGCTACTGCAGGGCGCATTAGTAGAGTCCAGACGTACCCATTCTGCTGCGAAGACATATTGAAGGATCAGACGTATTTCACTCGCAGTTGTGGCAGGCTATGCGTGCGAACGAGGTAGGTGCTGGTGTATTCTCTGGTTTGTTGCGCTTGCACGGCACACTGAGGCACACTGGAGCGGACTCGATGCCAGCGCCGCGGATTGGGCTTGAGAGTGTTGTCAGTGCACAGAGAAGTCGATGAACCTTACACTCGACCAGCAAGTAAAGTCAATCGAGCCAAACGTTCATCAATTGTGCAGCGTGGTACAGAACATTCGTGGATTATTTTAGAAAGGACTACCAGGAATTGTAGGTGTGGTTGGCGCACCTACACAGAGGGGTCCGTTTCAAGATGTCCGGGATCGTGCAAGCTTCTCTCGTGCCGTTGAAGTTGGCGAGATTCGCAATGGATCGAGGAGAGCGGGAGGCGGTGGAGATCTGGAGTGCAGACGAGGTGCAATGACCTTTGACAAAGAGAGTGTCGTCTATTTGACTATTATGTCACGAGTATCTTCGACAACAAGAGATCCACAAGCATATGTGAAGCTTTTCTTTGACGTGCAACTCAATGAAGCGAGAGCATCTTTGCGCTGCGCTTATGGGCTGCCCTTTCTCCTAACCTACCCTAACACACTCGATGAGCGGCTACGAGTATACAGGACGCTAACTACTAATCGCGCATCCAATCGCGACTTCTATCCTGTTTTTTTTTTATTGCGCAAGACATTCTAGTTTCACCACAAATGAAATGACTACAGTAGGTTCGAAGTTCTCGTTCTGTAGAGCTAGGTCTGTCGATCAGTTCCTGCTAGATATTCGCCAAGACGGACACCGCAGGAAATAGAACCGTGGAAACGACCAACATTCCAGGATGACAATCCGCTTACTATACACAACAAGGTTGTATTACTTTCATAAGCTTGACAGTAGTAGGTCTTCTCGAACGTGGTCGAAGACATTGGAGTTTCGAATCAATAATAGATCTAGACAGGCATTTCAGGCATTTGCAAGATGTGCTAATGGAAGACTTTGTGGTTTCATTGGCAGGCAAGCACAAACATAGCACCGCTACTGTCGATAGACAGCGCAGTGGATTGTTACACCAATAATGAACGAGCAAGAGAAGTAGAATAATGTAGCTGTGAATTGGCTTCAAAGGGGAGCTGGTGCACGGCAGTAGTATGTAGCTATGTAAATACATCCAACTTTTCGATGAAGTTCCAACCTCACTGCTTCAACTGTCTGGTTGCTCGACGGTCTTCTCATGTTCGTTACTTCATAATCCATCAATCCATTAGTGGCAGTCATACAAAAGATGACCGCAGTATTTTGGAATCATTCGTGTACCGTGGTCTTTGCAAGTAACTAGCATATTCCTCGACGTACAAGAGTTGGTAAATTTTGATAATTGTGCTATGCACAGCTGGCGTGAGCTCGGTTGGTATATGTTTTCGTGGTTGGCAAGTATATTGGTTACAGTATTGGCACAGAAATTCTAAGAGGTTCGGTCTATGAGGCAACGCCTTGGGGACAAGGAAATAACGAGTAAGACATTCGTGAGCTTTGACGGGGCCGGGTACCAGTCGTATTTGATCGTTTGCGAGTCGATGTGCCCAGCTCGGAGGCCACAATCGATGATCGTCGCTCTGGCAAGACGAGCTTCGAGCTCGATTTGCCGTGCTTGTGGTTCGGGACTGGTGGGATAGGAAAGACTATAACAGCATTGTCGATGCTGGACTGCATTACGTAGTCAAGTACGCCAGATGGAAGACAACCTGATTCCGGTCGTGGTTTGGTAGCAAGATCAGGATATGGTTTGTCCCTGTCGTTTTCCTCCTCGGGTGTTTCGCTGATGGTGTGCTCACGAACTCGGTTCATATGCATCAGGTCCTCAGCAAGCACGCTAGAACTCGACGAACGCTGCGTTCCAACGACAGAAGATGCAACTGAGAGGATAATGCTTTCTTGTGAGCTCGACCTTGTGAGGCTCTCCTGAGGAACGCAACTCGTTGAGCTGCTTCGTTGTCGAAGATGTAGGCTTAAAGATCTAGAAAAATTGATAGTTGGTGAATTAGGTCCAGCACGGGGACATGGCGAAATTCCTAGCCCATTTTTACAAGATTGTGGCTGATCCTCTTGTACACATTCTAGCTTGCGGAAATCCTGTGTACAGAAGGGCGATACACTGCCAGCTGGCAAGTGTTGAACTTGTTTGGACTCTGTCACCGTTGGTGAAACCATAGCAGCTTCATTAGACTTCGGCTGCAGAGGACCTGCCAGACTGGGGGATGCATTACTTGACAGAGGAGTTCGAATACCAGGGGACGTTGGGTCATTATCTCCGTCGGCGCCAGACACATCCCACGCTTCGTCGATTGCATCCTCCCAATTCATAGTGTTAATGACACTAAAATTCGTCGATACGCATGACTCACGTAATGGGAAGACGTCTCTGTTCTGTCGTGAAAGTGCCATATCGGAACGGTGTCGAGGAAGGGCTCTGATGGCGGAGTCTCGATGGTTCGGCGCCAGTAGGTCCGGCATCGACGCCTTGCTCGAGGGATAGGGTGTCAGTTGTCGGGACGTTGCAATTGAGGACTTTTGTCGATGATGTGGAGTGCCCTTTCCAGAAAAGTAATCAAAAGCTGGCGAAACTGCGCTGGGGGGTGTAGGAAGGGGAACAGCAATCATGGCTCGAGCTGAATCGTCCATTGTAGTGACAGCATGTATGATTGGGAGTTGAGGAAGGGGCTTGCTGTTAAGATTTGACTGCATAATGGTATGGCTGTCTTCCGGAACCTTGCAGCTTGGTCGCAGTGCCGCCATATCATTGACATCACTCAAGGGCTCAACGACACATGGATGTGACCTACGTGGAGACGCAGGTGACGATGGTCGTGAACGAATCGGACTCTGGAGAACTCTCAGCGACAATTTCTTCGTGTTCATATCTTTGGGTGGCGGGTTTGGACGTGGTGGCGTCGCAGGTAATAACGGCACAGCAGCCTGCACAGGCGTCGCACATTGTATGTTGATCATGGCCTTGACCAATCCATTCGTGGAATGAATATCAGAAGCTTCGATACCTCTTAACTCGGTCACTGGCGATTGCTCGGTTGCGATATTGTCGAACCTTTGTGCAAGCTCCGCTTCTTCGATCCGGCTTAGACCAGCAAACTGAACCTGCTCCGTATGTGTTACGTGCTGGAAATCAAAAGGTATCGAAATTCTGCCACGAATGTCATCCCGTGAGCATATGTTGGAGTTGGTCGTACTCGGACGTGGTGGGCTATTTAAGCCTATCGTAGACGACGATCCTGTGGAGGAAAGGCTCAACTTACTGCCAGTCCGTTTCAGCATCAGACTACCCTTGGCTAGAAAGCTCTTGGGTGACCCTTCTTTTAACTCGTATGTTGAGTAAATAGAGCCTTCCCTTGTTGGTGGCAGTTCAAAGGTTGTGCGATGATCTTCAGACGCAGACCCTCGCCGTGATCGAGCCTTTCGCCAATCTGGTGAGGTAACAGTGGTGCTGCGTGAGCAAGACCTGCTAGATTTGCTGTCATCACTTGTCTCTCGCTTGTGTGCTCTTACAAGGTCTGACAAAGCTTGTCGAGAAGGCTCTGATGTAGTTCGCGAGAACCACTCTTGGGGATTGCTAAGATGAGACTTATCACTTCCACTCTTTACCCTAGACTGAGTGTGCTGCCAAGGTAATCGAGTCATTCTCCGCTGCTCTAAATGCAATCTTGACGACGGATGATTGTATGCCCTTGCGTGGCCGTCCCTCCCAAGAGATGCTTTCTACACGATACTCACTCATGCATTCTTCCCCGAGGCTGAGATGTCATCTGCACAATGGCACCAAAGAGGGTCAACGACCGTTACTGGTAAGAGCTGGTGAGTCAGCTTCGTGTGTAACGTAAAGGTCCTGCTGGTGGCGGAGATTGCGACTCAAGAGACGTGTTTTCAAACGACGCACCCACGATCGAGAAAGGTTCGTACGTTGAGACGGAGGGAGGTAATTTGACGCAGGACAGGTACTGCTATGCCAAGAGAAAGCTGTTGTCGTAATGAGTGAAGATATTGGTTTCGAAACGAACAACGACTGTCAAGCCTATAGCGGTCGTCTAAGAACAATGACATCGAGCACCATTTTCGAGGATGAGGACATGCTACCAATAAAGGTCGTCGAGCATTTCTGACCCACTGAACTTTTTCGCCTGTCCACAATCTATACTTCTGTAAAAAGGTCCAGGTGTTCAGAGTTGTCGGTCGTACAATTGCCGGAGCTATACCATGCATGAAAACGCGTCTTGTGTTTTAGCCTTGCCCTGGCTCGAGATCGCTCAAGCACTTTTCGCCGCTAGACAACGGGGAAATACTCCTTAGAGGCATGAAAGCAACAGTCGGCGTGCAGTAGTCGTGGAGATCCAGGAGTCGCGGTCGCGAGCGTTAGCTGTCGCGGATAAACTTCCGGTCGCCGCTTCGAAGCATTGAGTGATTGAGATACATCCCAGTTGAGCAAGGATAAGCGCGTTGCATGTCTTGTTCACTACTTAAGTTGTGCTGACTTAACGAACTAGTCTTCATTTGGTTCTGCTCAGAGTCGCTTTGCAGATTCGCGTTATTTCCCTCGTCCCGAACTGGGCTCATCCCTGCTGCGTTCTCTACGCCGTCTTCTGCAAGGTACGAGCGTCTCCGCGCTGACTTGCCCCGAAGCACACAGTAAAGAGCTTGTGTGAATGCAACTATGCGTCACAGTGATTATGCTTTGAACGACAAAGTATTCTCCTGAAGAAAATCATTGCGTTAACGTTTCCCCTCAACGTTCCTACCACGTGATTGGTAGGAGCCCATAACTCAACATCTTGGGGTCAAATAGTAGACTAAGAGGGAGCTACCTCATCACGTCTTCAGTCGGATCGTCACCAGTCTCCTGGGATGCACCAGGTTGCTGGAAAGAAGACCTCCGCAAAGACTTCTGGGACATTAGCTCTTTCCTCGTAGTTTCTGATTGGGTGCGATCGTCTATTCGAGCCTACAGTATATGCCTCAGGAATCTTTGTCTAATCCCTAGCGATTGTGATTGTCAGGGTATTGCTTGGTGCTCTAGGCCGATTCTGTTCAAGCTTGCAGCCAAGGTTGATCGGTACCCATTAGCTGGCTTTTCGCTAGACTAGTAATCAAGGAGCAACTTTCGGTCTTCGAGTGGTCGGCACTTGAGCATTACGGTACGATACACCACCGGTGCATCGTCTCGTGAGCGTGCTGCCAGCATCCAACTCTTCAGACAGGATCAGTGCATGGTGCGTTACTTTCACAAATCAATTGTAACAGGTAGTGAACTGCCAGTGTGTCTCCCGAGCCTCTTGCGGTTCACACATCTCAACCGGAGCTGAGTTACCAGGAGCACATGTAGATGTGCCCAACCCCAATATTGAAACATTCGCCAGCCGATGTCTTGCCCTCTCCATATAGTAGCATAAAACCTATGTGTGAGTACTGGTGTTCTAGCCAGGTATGCTTGTGCTAAGCACTTATCGACGAAAGACTTGTTTTGGCCCATTAGAAGCGGTGGAGTTACAGATTGGCTTGCCTCACCATCACTCTTTACGCAGATAACGTGTCCACCGAACCACGAAAATGTCCGTTGCTGAGGTGGAACCTAGGGCAAAAATACTCTGTTTCACCCCACGTGTCTGTGAGGGTAGGGCAACCTCAGATATTGCAGAGATGCTCTGTACCTTTTCTGGTGCAAGGTAATACAAATAATAAACTGTCACCAAACTGCTACAAAGAAACGTTTTGCACCTTCGTTGGGGCAAAGACTCCCTGTCATCTGCAACTGAATGGCAACTGACATTAACTGACCACTGCGTGTGGTAGTTGTGCTCGAAGGGGAAAACACAGTGGAGAACCTTTTCGGCACCCAAGCCTGGAAGATTCGTGTTGTGATTAAAGGAGCTTGATAGGTCCTACTACTGCTACCTCAACATTGAGCGAAGGATTCTGGTTGTAAAGCCTGACAAGCACCATTTTAACCCTGTACTGCAAGCCATGGTTGGTTTGTGTAGACGAATGCAGCTCCTTGTGGCTAAATCTCCCTTTCTCGATCCTCGAGACTCAGCGTGTTCAATGCTCATCAGTAAACCAGTCCGACTTCCAGCCGACATTTGTTCCGCTGAGTGCTAATGGCTTTGGTCTAAGATTGGAGTTTGTATTCCTGTGCGGAATGTGAAGGTGAGGAAGGTTAAGATGAAGACAAAACGATCTTTTGGCAACTTGGTCATTGAGGTCTTTATGGGTACTGGTATATTAGAGCTATCAACACGTCTTTTTTTTCCAGCTGCGCATCCGGATTATGGTCAATAGCCTTGGGGAATACCAACCTTGACCCTTGACCCACATACTACCTGCGTGTTGCCTGACTGGCAGTGTTGATGGCTGATTTCGGCTTGACATTCACTCTGAGTACGTATCGACATGCCAGTCATGCAAACAAACGCCAGACCAGGCTGTGAGACCATGAGATCACCGTAATCGCTTGCCCTTGAGACCATATGCGTGTCTCAGCGTTCGCTGCGCGACACGAACATACGTCCGCGCCTTACTTTGTCCATAAGCTACGTAGCAAGCTCAATTATCGTTGTTCCAGGGGAACAGTTAGCTCAAAAAAACGCGTGATAGAGGCTACCAAGAGGTGGGGACAGGTCAACACGTATGTGAGGTTCGGGTCTCACACATTCTTCAGATGTGCCCGATTAGTACACACGATTCAAACCTGCTCAAGATTAGCGAAGTGGATTTTCCTATCATAATGACTCAAATCGAGTCATTTCGAGTGGCAGTGAGCCCTGCTGTCGGGCTCTTGTGATACGGAAAAAATCCGATATGGTGCATTCGAGACGACTTGCCACGTGATACCGGCGGCAGTCGAAATGAAGCAAGCAGGTGCACGTGGCGGCCGTCAAAGGCGATATACGTAAATCACACCAAACTTGAAGTGAGCGGTCGCTTCTGCTAACCACCACTACAGGTGAAGTACTCTCAGAAGCGAGGAGAAAATTATTGGCCAATTCCTGAGAGTGACGGGGGGCGCACTCGCCTCGAATCCGACTTCGGGTATTTTCACGTATATCATTTTCTGATTGGCCGTTATCTGCCCCCTGTTATACAATCATTTTACGAACTTGAAAAGTCAGCAGGAGAGTCGACGCTTCGTGCCTTTTGTGACTCGCATCTGCATGAGAGTCGATACTCATACATTCATCTAAACCATTACCCACAACGTGGTGTGCGCTACACCGCAAGAAACAGATGAGAGACCTGTCGTTTAACAGCGTTAGGATAAAAGCTATTTCATAGCCATGAAGATGGCGTCTATAGTGCTTTCGTCTATTGACATGACAGCATGTGCGATTTTGTGGCCAAGACTTTTGATGATGCAGGGTACACGACGGATACAGTGATTGGTAGACTACCAGGTTGCTGATACGGATATGTGGTGCAAGCATGCTTGTATACCCAGGATTTACCATATAGGCAGGGGACAATGTTGGGGTTCACGTTCTCACAACCTCGAACTCTTCAACCCGTTCCGCAAAGCTCCGCAACACTGGAGAAGACAAAGAACAAAACCGCGCCAGTACTTGCATGTTCGGATCTCACGGGCGCCCTAACACTGCAGCCACAATCCAACGGGTAAACAGTCTCGTTGATACCTACCAGACACAGCTATATCACTTCAAGCTCGTCACTGTGATTGTTCCCTCCAATCGAACTGCCTCAAGAGCTTATCTCTCGTCGTGATCTTTACACCAGATGAAGCACGACACGTATCCTGCCATAAGGTGTGATGCAATTGTTCGATTAGCGCTGTTCGTGCCGTATCTCGCCTGACACATTCCGCATGCCCCCAATGCACATAGTGTCGAGGTATATACTTGTACGTGTCGAGGCACGATACATTGGGACTACATTGACGCAACTTTGTTTCGAGACACACCATCCTTGACAGCAAGGTTGACCCCTAAACGCGTCTTGTTGCTTTTTCTGCTTCAATTCGACGACCAAGACTTATTGCCGATTTACGCGGGATACATAGTGATATACCGGCCAAGTCTTCGTCGCCGAACGCGTGTTCGTTCGATATCCGCTCAGCCCAAGCCCTAAAAACTTATTGTTACGCAATTGAAGCTTCTCATGTCCGTTTCAACTCCAAAGCGGGTTTTCATGACTGAAACCATAGTGGATATACCCCTGCCTATCTATCTGGCTGATGATATATCCTTGACCCGAGAAGCTGCCCTTGTTCAAATCGGACAATAAATCTTGCACCTCGGGGTTGTCACCCGTTACGTTCCTGCATGTTGGCCGGAATATTTAACCCAATGATCCTGGACTATTGCTTTCAAGGTTCTGCTCTGTAACAATGTCAACAACCCTGGAGCTCGAACAAACGAGCTTAAGCGGACATGTACCCCTGGGGACGAACTGCCCTGCTCTTAACACAGCCTCTTCACCGACCAATGCCAGGATTGAGGACAACATCTGTTGAATGTCTTGGTTGCCACAATCAAGCAGACCTTTATGGAGCTGATCTACCAGGAAGGACGATGTCTTCTTCACAATGCTCCTGTGCGGGTAAACGAGTCGAGAGAATGACAGCCAGTTTAACCAGGCACGATCCGTATTGCAGTCTAGACTCTAAGAGACTCGTGGCTAAAGGGGTCATAGCTACGATGGGTGTGTTGTCATACGAGCAGCTAGTAGGAGCTGGCCAAATCACTCACATCACGAGCTCGAAGCAGCTATCTCTTCGTAAGTGTTTGCGTACACAAACTTGACTGTGGCCTGGGTTTTTCGTCCCCTCATCTAAAGAAGACAGTGGAGAATTGTGTCAAGCAAGTCATTTGCTGATGCATGGGTCTTTCCTTCTCATTCGCCATGCATATGGTGTCTTAGAACAGTCACCTTGAGTATTAGCTAACAAAGTGACTATGCTTGTTTCCGAATGAACGTCCGACCCTGACACGAGCTCGTGTTGAGTGCTACGTACTGATAAGCTTACCACTAACAGCAGGAGCTCGAAACTGAATGCGAAGAAACTCGTACGGGATGTGGAATGCAAATTTTCCTTTGCAGATCGGGTTGCTGGACTGGTCGGTAGACTCGGGCCAATCTAGCAGGAATAAGGTCGTGACACACAGCTGCTTCTCAGAATACCAGCGATTCCAAGTACATCAGGATTCACGAGTAGATGAAGTGCCTCCTAAAGGCTAGCATAAGTGCAATTCGGGTTAGCTGATCTTGCTAAGTAATGATGCATCTGTGAAGTTCGAAGACTCTGGCAGTAAAATGGAAGAAGTGCGGCGGTACCTATCGCTGTCGAGCAAAGAAGATAACGATATGGACAAAAGGGTCTTAGGATTGCGCTACATCCATGCATCTTGTCTCATCCGCAGAAGCACCAGGTCAATTATCGTCGTCACTGCCATATCCTACCAGAAGTCCAGACGTTGACGGTTTTGATGGAGCTGTAGTAGTAGTAGTAGTAATCGCACCGCCCGTTCGACCCTGCAGGGCAGCCAGTGTTGAACTCGTGAAAATGCCATTTGTAGGTTGCTGCTCAGCTGTCAGTTGTTGTGGTGTTACTTCCGCAGCTGTTTCAATCGCTGGTTCCAGCAATTTCCTGTCCTGTGGTCCTTCTAGCTGAGCTTGCTGCTGCATTGCTTCCAGCTCTTTTTGTTTGTTGAACCAAACAGTCTCGGGAGCCTCGTAGCCTTCCAACCCGAATCCGGCTTCTAGCCTTCTCTGAGCCTTCTCCTCAGCGGTCTCCCTGCCCTCAATCTGCCTTACTGCCTTTTCGCCCAAAGCTCGCCTCACGGCCTCCGCAGCCTGCTCATCTATCCTAGCAAGCTCTCTCTTTGCAGACAACGGGTTTGGATCAACTGTTGCCCATCTCACATTCAGTATTTCGTTGTTGTCGAGCGCTTGGTGCGCCATAGCCTCCTTCGCAAACTGACTGTTCGCTTCATTGACGTATGTGACGAAAGCAACACCTCTCGCAGTCAGCACTCGGATCCGTTCAATCTCTCCCCATTCCTGAAAATGACGTGCTACTATTTCCTCTATATCATCCGTGACATGTATTCTGCCGATATAGAGGGTCCTGTTCTGGCGCATGAAAGACCCTACACCACCCATGTCATCTCTGTAATCCGCGTGTCTATCTCTACCGAAACAATCGATATTTGGGTTAAAGATATCGTATATGCCCGGTAGTCGATGCAAGTATTGGCATTCGTGGCCCTTTGGGCATATTCCACGTGCGAAAAAGAGGCAGAAGAATGAACCCGGCGTTTTGTCTGCTTGTGTCCACCCCGAATGCTCTTTTATTTTACATCGACTGATCGCAGCAGTCTTAGACAAGTAGGCATCCTCACGATCACCACCAGCCCATTTGTTGTACCAAATATTGAACGTCGTACCCGTCTGTGGCGGAGGCTGTCCCGTCTTCAACAACGTAGGATCTATTTGTGGAGGTGCTGGCCTCTTCTTGCGCCTAATCAGTTTGGTCTTCTTCGCTGGTGGTCCTTCTATGGCGGTTTCTCCATTGACTTTCGTCAGAGTAGAAGTTGACACTTCTTCGGGTTCGGCGGACCGTTTGCGAGAAGGAGAGGGAGGCGATACAAGAGGTGTATCTTGTAAAGTTTCAGCCATATTGGATTGTCGGGTTTGCTCATGAAGTACGAGGCTATTTACTCTACAGTACAAAAAGTCCTAAGCACGCTGGATTTAGGCCTCAGGCATCCTAGAGCGAGATGCAAGGCAGCACATTACTGTCTTAAGGCATACATATGCTGCCAACCAATAGAATGTTCTCGAAGGTTCGGTATGACGTCGATGCTCACCACTTTGAAGGTGCGGTCCTTGAGCATGCCAGTACAGTGGTGACCACAATGCGACTATTTGGTTGTGCAGGAGTACCGTGCGTGGGTTTGTGAAAACGGAAATAGCTAGCTACCTCACACCACACACAAGTACGCGCAACCCTTAGCTCGATCTATGATATCCCGCAAACGAGTATCTCGAGCATTCTAGAGCAATACATTTGGCCCACAAGAGGTACTTTTGTTCTTCTTACAAGTAATCAAACAAAACGAACTTCTTCTCTCACTTGCTTGACCCGACCAAATATATCGCAACTTAAAACCACCATCATGGTAGCAGAAACCAAATTATACGATGCATTGAGCATTCAGCCTTCCGCAACCCAAGAGGAAATTAAGAAGGCATACAGAAAAGCAGCGCTTAAGTGGCATCCAGACAAGAATAAAGACAATCCAAAGGCTGGAGAGAAGTTTAAAGAGATATCACAAGCATATGAAGTCCTAAGCGATCCAGAGAAGAGGAAGGTGTACGATGACTATGGCTTGGAGTTCTTACTGAAAGGTGGAAGTGCTCCTCCTCCTGGTGCCGAGGGAAATGTGCCCGGTGGATTTGGCGGGTTCCCTGGCGGCTTTCAGAACTTCAGCAGTGGAGGCCCAGGTGGAGGACGTACCTTCCACTTCAGTACTGGAGGCGGTCCCGGTGGTTTCAATTTCAGCGATCCGAATGATATCTTTGCTCAGTTCGCTAAAAGCGGTGCTTCTGGTGGAGGTGGAGCAGGGTTTGGTGGCGATGATGACCTATTCGACCTGCTTGGAGGTATAGGCGGTGGTCGATCACGAAGGGCTGCGGGTGGTTTTGGAGGTGCGGGCTTCGGCAGCTCACCACGAGGTCCTCCAAGAACACAGACACCTGAAGTTAGCATTGTCGAGAGGAATTTGCCAGTATCACTTGAAGATCTATATAACGGCACGAAGAAGAAGATGAAGATCAACAGGAAGAAGTACGATGCCAAAGGCCAACAGATTAAGGAAGAAAAAGTCCTCGAGATGGACATTAAGCCTGGGTTAAAAGCTGGTTCAAAGATCAAGTTTGCCGGAGTTGGTGATGAAACTGACGGCGGTTCACAAGATCTGCATTTCATTGTGGTGGAGAAGCCTCATCCAACGTTGAAACGAGAGGGTGACAACCTCAAAACTGTCGTCGAGCTCGACTTGAAGGAAGCATTAACAGGTTGGGAAAGAAGAGTCACTACTATTGACGGCAAGCAATTACCTGTCAGTGGTGCCGGCCCTACTCAGCCAGGCACTGTGCAGTCCTTCCCAGGTCAAGGAATGCCTATCAGCAAGAAGCCTGGCCAACGCGGTGATTTCCTTGTTGAGACAAAAGTCAAGTTTCCCACCAGCTTGACCACAGCACAAAAGCAAAAGATCAAGGAAGCCTTGTCATAGGATGATTTCACCATCTGCAAAGTGGCCACTTTCGGCAGCATGAACATCAGCGAAGACTCACAGAATGAAAGTGGCTACCGATATGCAACTAATGATATGTTCAGGAACTACAAAACCTGGCAGCTCACAAAGTCTTGGGATAGTGATGAGCACGAGACCAAGATATTTAACGGCGTACCACACAAGAGTCATGATATCGGAGGCTTGCCCAAGGTTATCAACGAGCAACTCGAGGCCACCGAAGAAAGCCGTAAGGATCTTTTGAACGATTATCTTGCTATCAAGAAGACGATTGAGCTCCAACGATTGAACACGATATACTTTGAAAACCGGGTGCAGGCCATCAGCAGGCAAGAGCATACTGCTTCGACGCCGAAGACCACCGAAGAGATGCCAACACAAGGCGCGAATGCTTCTACCAGGCGGGCAGGCGCAGTGACGATTCACCTCTCGAAGCGGCCGTTACCAAGAGGTGATTACGATGACGCTTTTGAGTTCCCAGAGCGAGTTTGAGGGATGTTTGTATGCATGGTGTTTAGGAGTATGGATAATGTGGGGTTGGGCTTTGGGGGCTATGATCCAAGCATTGAGTATCTTTTATCTGTATGCCGATCGTGACCAAAAAGCTTAGACAGGGTAACAATGACAACTTGTTGGATATGAGCCAGCAATGAACTATTAATTGCTTTCTCCCATTTCTTCCAAACTACTCTTGGCAAGTCGCGATATCGCTGATTGTTGTAGGCAGGGCGTCCTCCACTGTGCACAACGTGGGAACCTGAATCCGAGTTTCGAACACAATGATGGCAAGAAGATGACGATGTACGTTGTTGCTTAGAGACTATATCTCGGTAAATGTGAATTTAGAAAAGACGAGTAACGCCAGCTAACCCCTCAGCGGCAGCACCTTGTTACCAGGAATAGCCGTACGACATAGCGGACACTCGGGTTTCTCCCTCACCCAATCCTGAACACATGTCCAGCAAAAGACATGACCACAAGTAGTCACACTTGGGTCTTTGAACGGCTCCAGACACAAGGTACATTTCCTCTGTTGACCTTCAGGAATCCAGGCCATGACCTCTGGGTCATCGAGTTGAAAGTGTGGATTTTCGTTAGAATCCACCATCGGTGTATTTGTGTTTCTCTCAAATGTGGTAGGATTGGGACGGTGGGTGGCTGAGTGTAGATCGAGGTCTGACAGGAGGAGATGATCTCCGCCCATGCCGAGCTCGACACCACCACCTACTTGGACGGCTTGTGAGGATTTGGCGTGTATGGACTTGTCTGCCTCGTCTGGCGAAGTGGAAAAGAGAGTTTCTCGAATGTGCAGTGTGGCTTGGACGGCCATTTGGAGAACGAGTAAGAGACCGAGAACTTCGTAACCGACGCGTTGCTCGTTCGGAGCGATTTTCTTTGTGAAGATGTACTTGAGCTGGAAAATGCGCTTTGATATGTGGTAGTAGGATGAAGTGAAATAGAAGGCTGCTAGGGACACAGCATAAATGGGTGATAGTGAGGTCAGAGCGTCAATGTGCTCGAGTATATACTCTTGAAAACGTAAAGATAAAGGTGATGGTATCGTCTTGTCTGAGTAAGCCTGCCGTTGCTCTAGTTTGTGTCGTTCCCTAGTTGTGTTTCTTTCTAGCTTCGCTCTCAACTTTCGTCTTAATGCTGGTAGCGACTTCGACAGGATCCAGGGAGAGAAGACAACACTTGCGATATAGCCGACTCTCCTGACCAGACCCGCCAAACGCAGAGTATCGGCTTCGACCTGTATTACATCGCAATACTCCTCACCCAACGTCCGGTTTCCGAGCAGGGTCGTCATGCAGAGGTAGAGCAATTCTGAAAGATGTGTTGTTGTGGTGCTGTATTTGTGAGCGAAACGTGCACCCAGCAGTTCGCGTAGGACAGTGCTCAATTGTGTAGAGATTGTGCCTGTCATGTAGGCATCTTTCTGGTGCGCTCGAATAATGTCTGGGGACGTAGCCCATGGATAGTTGTATCGTTCTGGTTCGGGCGCTGGCGCTGGTGTCGCCATTTTGCTGAATATGAGCTATCTCGCTAAGGTAGCTGTTCGGCGCTGCAGCAATGCTTCTTGTCCTGTGGGATTTGATTGAGTCGTCGAAGTGATCTGATCGCGAAGTAAATAGGTGCATGAAAGCAGCATGTCCCAGCACGATACCGAGGAATCGGAGTTGCGCAAGATGCCGCTCGATATACCGTAGGTCTATGCAAATATAGCTTCGTGGATGTCCGTATACAATGCCCGTGAACCCTGAAGCGAGCATGCGACACATCCATTTCGCAACTGACTTCAACGCTTTTCTCCTTATACTGGTTTGGTGATGTCTGTAACGCCAGATGGATGGCGATCCGAGTGTCGAGCCTGGTCTTGATGGCTTCAGTCGTATTCTTCCCCTCCCCTATCGAGTCGCAATAATCCTTGTCTGCGGTCAGTAAGTCGACTCAGGCTACGATAACATGGTACTGATTGAGGTACAGGAATATGGGCATGGGGCTTGAACTTGCACTACCTCTACTTCGTCAAGATTGACGTCCCTGCGCTCATACGATATTCTACCAGGACGACACAACGGCATATTCCGCATCATCACTCTACCTATCGACTGGCTACCTTTCTCACAATTCCACTCGCCGTATCATTCTTTTTCTTCTGGACCATTACTGGTGGAGAGAAGGAGATTGTGAGGCAATGGCAGATCCTTCCTCAGTCGTATCTGGTGTTTTTCGCTCTTTGCTTCATCGTGCCGATTCAACGCATGTCGCATAATGGACGGTCGAGGTTCGTACAAACGCTCAAAAGAGTTAGTATTGGTGGTCTTGCACAGATACAGGATGGAAAATTCGGCGACATTTTGCTTGCTGATGTCCTTACGAGTTATGCCAAAGTTTTAGGAGATTTGTTCGTGTCAACCTGTATGCTTTTGTCCAGCAAGACCACCTCCACATCGAAGCCTGACCGTGGTTGTGGTGGACAATACCTCGTTCCACTCGTCATCAGCATACCGTCCATCATCCGTCTACGGCAGTGTCTAATCGAGTTTGTACGTGTTCGAAAGAATAGGACCGCAGACTCTGGATGGGGTGGTCAACACCTTGCAAACGCCTTGAAATATGCGACCGCCTTTCCTGTTATCATCCTGAGCGCGATCCAGAGGGGCTACGATCCAAAGAGGATCAACATGTCTGAAACGGGTCTTTTTCGCCTATGGTACGTGCTAGGCGAAGAAGTTGAGGCATTCCACTAACATCATCAGGCTTTTCTTTGTTTTTATAAATTCATTCTACTCTTTCTACTGGGATGTCGCCAAAGATTGGGATCTGAGTCTCTTCTCGTCTGCACGCGAACGGAACAACCCCGAGCATCCTTGGGGCTTGCGACGCAATCGCTATTTTCACGCCAGGCAAATGTACTATACTGCCATCGTTATTGATTTCTTCCTACGGTGCACCTGGAGCATCAAGCTATCACCACATCTGGATCACTTCAACGATCTAGAAGGAGGGATCTTCCTCATGGAGCTGCTGGAGGTTGTCCGTAGATGGATGTGGATTTTCTTGCGCGTTGAGACAGAATGGGTTAGGAATAATAAAGGGCCAGCGCCAGACGATATCTTGCTTGGTGAATTTGGGGCAAAGATAGACGAGGACTAGAAATGAGAATCTTTTGAACAGTCGCGTGCCTTGTCCTTCGCTAACAGACCTCTTCAAGTTCCAGGCGGCATGCTTAGCGAACCGCCAAGGCTAAGGCACGCTTATGCAGGTACTTGCCAATGGTGGAGAACCATGCCCTAACAAAATATGTTTGGCTTCTAAAATGTCACCAGTATTGCCTGAGTATGTCGCTGTAGCACGACAGCAGTCATGTCCAAGGCACACTCCGAGTCCAGTGAGGACTTTGAGTTTATCGAGACACCAGCAGCACCTTCCCCACAGCTACCAACGGACAATTATGGGGTCCGAACAACATCTGTAGGTCCTGCGTGCAGCGGTGAAGTAACCATTCTGACCATAGACAGTACGCTACCATCAAGAATGCTCCTCTACCAGCCGACGCTGCAGGCAGTGAGAGCTTCAACAATTATGTACTATTCGCCGTTCTGCTCTTTGTACCGTGGTATATAGCTCGTCAAGTCGGTGGAGGATTATGGCTCACTCTTTTCTTCGCCCTTTTTACCTCAATCCCTATCCTTATGGGATTCTGGACTATAGCCTCGACAATCTCTCCTCGCAAAAATGAAAAAGCCCATTTTCCAGGACGACCGATCGAGCACTACCTGTCCTTCCGCAATGAAGAAGACCGTTCCAGGTATTTTGGTAGAAACAAAATTCCAATGGAGACATTTCACGAAATGTACTTTGATGAGAAGGTCGATATTAAAGGAGACTGCCTCGAGGTAATGGAGTACCGTCACGACTGGGCAAATTTCCGCTTCACCTTGAGCTTGTTCAAGTTCTTCTTCACGGGCATGATACCCGAAGTCATTCTACACACTCGCAGTCAAGACGAGGAGCAGGTACGGGATCACTACGACCGTGGTGACGATTTCTACGGCTGGTTCCTCGGCCCACGTATGATTTACACATCTGGCATCATCGGCGATATTCACAAAGAAGAATCCTTGGAGGAACTGCAGGACAACAAGCTCAGCGTTGTCTGTGAGAAGATTAACATCAAGCCTGGCGAGACACTCTTGGACATTGGCTGCGGCTGGGGCACCCTTGCCAAATTTGCATCTGTCAACTATGGCGCTCAAGCTACTGGCGTGACTCTGGGTCGCAATCAGACTGCCTGGGGAAACAACGGATTACGCAAGGCAGGCATCCCAGAGGACCAGTCTCGCATCCTGTGCATGGACTACCGAGACATCCCACGTCCAGCCACAAACAATGGCACATTCGACAAGATTACCTGTCTCGAAATGGCCGAGCACGTTGGTGTTCGGCACTTCAGTTCCTTCTTGCGCCAGGTATATGACATGCTCGACGATGATGGAGTGTTCTTCTTACAGATCGCTGGTCTGCGTAAACCATGGCAATACGAAGATCTCATCTGGGGTCTCTTCATGAACAAGTATATCTTTCCCGGAGCTGATGCATCTACACCTCTAGACTTTTTCGTCTCAAGTCTCGAAGGTGCCGGTTTCGAGATCAAGGCCATCGACACAATCGGCGTACATTATTCAGCTACACTATGGCGATGGTACAGAAACTGGATCGCCAATGCCGACAAGGTAAAAGCCAAGTATGGTACAAGATGGTATAGGATCTGGGAGTATTTCCTTGCCTACTCAACCATTGTTTCCCGACAGGGATCAGCCACTTGTTATCAGATTGTGCTTGTCAAGAACATCAATTCGACTCACAGAATAGAAGGTGTTCCAAGCCAATTCGGTCTGAGTGGTGCATTGGCAGCTAGTAAGGCGCGGATGCTGGCAAACAAGGCTGGACAAGGGATGAAAAATCTGGGAGATGCTGTGAAAAGCGCTCTGAGAGAATAGAATATGGTCGTCAAGTGGTATGGCGGCATGCCACATTTCAACAAAAAGAGGCAGATGGCGGAGATTTTGTTCAAAATAAGGCGTCTGACTAATTACGTATGCACGAGCGCACTGCAGGAGTGAAGAAGAATGAAAGAGTACGATGTGAACGAGCAACGATGTAGCAAGCCTGATGACTGAATTCTGAACAATTGGAGCAATTCCCCGAACTCAACTAAAAGAAAGAACAATATATGGATCTGACACGTTAGAGCTGAGGAGTAGGTGCGAACCTTGCTTTCCGTCCTCGTATCTGACTCGCCATCGGGCTTCAATATTCTTATGCACACGTACCTACCTGAACCAAGATACCTACTGCACTAAAGCTTCAGCCTCCTCCACCTTGGCCAGATACCGACCAAGAGCCATCATCGGAAAATAGTGCTTGTAATACTCATACCGCAACATCATCCAGCCAGGTAGTGAAGTGCCAGTGTGAATGACTTCCTCTGGCCAGGTCTTGCCCTGAACCTCCGCGGTAGTACCATTGACTCCTGTACCTTGATCCGTCAAGTCCTGACCAGTTATAGTCTGAGTATCAATCAGGTGCTTGATACCTCGCTGGACGCTGGAATTTCCAGCTGGGAGGTATGCCAGAAGACCCATTAGCGCCCATGCTGTCTGAGATGGTGTCGAACCACAGGTTGGAATGTCGTTGTCTTTGCCCTCAATATATTCGCAGGGCTTCCAGGAGTACGAACGACTGGATTCACCCCAACCGCCGTCTGTATTTTGCCAGCTCGATAGGAAACGGAGACCTCGTTCGACGTTTTCATTGAGATGATGGAACTCTGTGAGACCGGTAAAGTACTGCAACCCACAGAGGACGGTACTGGTTCCGAAGATGTAGTCAACGGCCCATCGACCATACCAAGCTCCGTTGACCTCTTGATGTGTGATCAGGTACTGAATTGCTCGGTCGCAAGCTTGATGGACTCGCTTCAAGCGGTCGTGTAACTCCATAGCTCCTTCTTTCTTTGCGCCACTCAATTGAGCAAGAAACATACCTAGTGCTTCGAGTGCTCTACCGGTGACATCGGGCATTGACGCGTCACACAAAAGACCACTGGTATCACAGAATGGTAATTTCTCAAGGTAGAAGTTGGTGTTCTCTGCCTCAAACGTCCCCCAACCAGCGTCTGAGTTCTGCATCCTGAGAATCCACTCCACAGCAGAAACAATAATGTCGGATTCTACCAGACTTGGGTCGTGCTTGAGCAATACAATAACTGCTGCGGCAGTGTCATCAAGATCTGGATTCCATGTGTCGAAGTATTGAATGCTCCAGCAGCCAGGATTGATGAGAGGTCTGTAGGTACGCCAATCTCCAGAAGAGCCGTACTTGATCTGGCGGTCTTTGACCCATTGAAGAGCATCCCTGATATGAGCTTTTCTGACTTCGACCCGTTCCCCAAGGCCAGATTCGAGGTCAAGCAGAGCTGTTGACATCAAGATCGTGTCCCATACAGGCGAATCGGTTGTCTGAACCCACGCTTCACCCTTCTCACGTATAACGAATGTGTCAAGTGCTTGCAAAGCACGGACGAAGCATGGGTCGTTCATGCCAATGTTCGCAACGTGCATTGCAACCACTGCGATAAAGCCCGGCGGATTGCCAGGCGGGTAGTGTCCCGAGGGTTCGATATGAGCAAAGATCCATTCCAGACATTTACGCAACGCCATCTTCCGTGTCCAACTGCTAGGAAAGAGACCAGTTGACGTTAGGTGATACAAAAACTTATCACTAAGCTTCATTGCCAATGCTGTCCACTCACGATCTGAAGCCAAGGAAGTATAGGATTTCCCGTATGCGATGTCTTTCTTGAGCGGATCAAGCCAGAGCTCGTCGAGGTATCTGTCGCTCGAAGTCTCAGTATCGGGCAAATCGAAAGCCGGTTTGTGATGGTCAAGGATAAGAAGTGGTACGATGAGGGCTCGGGCCCAGGAAGCAAACTTGTACACACTGAATGGCGTGTTCGACGGGAAGAGAATCAGTTCGGCCGGCATTTGAGGCAAAGCACTCCAAGGAAGTATTCCAAATAGAGCAAGCCAGATTCGGGTAATATTGCGTATTGATGCCATTCCTCCTTGTGACAATATGAAAGCTCGGGCTCGCCGCATTAGAGGTAGCTCTGGGTCGACCCCAAGCAACTTTAGAGCAAGATATGCTTCTGTAGACCGAGAAGCATGACCGGGCGCGTCTGGCACGAGTCCCCAAGAACCGTCTGCTCTTTGTGCTCTCTGGATATGATGAACGAAAGCTCCCTGGTCTTTGCTTATATCGAGCTTGAGCCAGAACATCAGGAAGACGTATTCACAAGTGATTGAGACATCGCAGAATAATTTACCACACCAATGACCGTCCGCATGAGCCTGCTGGAAGGCGTAGACTTCAGCAGATCCTGCCGCTCTGCTGGTCAGCTGCCGTAGGTCTTCATGGATTGATGAATCCTTCACCAGTAACATCTGAATGGTGGACGTATTCTGGTTTCGCATAGCATTCAGTAAACGACCCTCGTAGTTCAGAGACATCTCCTGAATGAAACAGACAATTGTTTCGCTCATGGAAAGGTTCCGGTATATGTCAGCGCAAGCAATTCCGCATGCTGGTGTTGTGGAAACAAATATAGCTGATCGTTATTTTCGTCCATCAGACAGCCAGATCTCAGGGCAATCCACAACGCTTGCACAAGGTACCGCTTCAACATTGCTGACAGTCCAAGACATACGCATTGCAGACAGATTTCGTTGCGAGGTCAGCATTGATGATCGGAGTTGCTGCAGCAGTGTCAGTAGGGACAAATTCGGTTGTACTGATATTGGTAACCGAAATCGTTTACAGGGCGTCCTAATATCGGGATGCTTGACCTTGTCGGGACATCTCGCTAAATTGCGAGCACTACCTTCGGCGCACTACCTGGTTGACGTTACAGATGTTAAGAACAGCGACGATCCTGACCTTGCATAAAGCATTAGATAAGACCGTTCTCAACACGTGGCAGCTATTGAAAGGACTTGAAGTTCGTCGTGCATCAAACCTTGTCCTTCCGTAGTCAAGCAGCGACGACTGAGGTCCATATTGAGGTCAGGAAGGAGTGGAGCGGTAGGTGTCCTCAGAGAAGGAACGCTGTAACGGCAGGAAGTCACCTCAGTAGTAGCGTTGGCACATATGTACATCACGTAAATAAACTCACGTAAACAGTACATGAAGTTCTCGTGACTTGTGTAGCAACCCATTGACCGAGAGGGTGTCTTTTGCCTCCGGTTGGATACTGACATCGTCTTCCGACGCGTCAAGTAGAGTGTATCTGTTTTCTCGCCTCTGTTGACGTCCTGTTTTCGTACTTCAAGAACTGAGGTAATGCTAATGCACTACAAATGAGCAGTCGATGCGGAACGAATATCTTTCACAAGCTCGCTAGTAAAGCTTATTTGTTGTTCAACACGGCTCCCCTCTCGTGGTCGTTAACTGCGAGTAGCTCTTGTTTTCGTTCACGACTTTATTATCTGTGCATCACTTTCCAGTCTACCATGCACTACGATATGAATCGGATGCTTAAGAACACAGCCATTGGACTGCTGTCACGTAATGTACGTAAAGCTGATCCACCGGGTAGTGAGTCCAAGTAAGTTCGTACGGATGGGAAACCCACAGAGGATATCTCGTTATGCAACACATCCATCTCACCATCGACGGGCTTGTCCTTGTCCTGGATCCTTGCATTCACATAAGTTGCAGAAGAAAGTGGCATTCCTTGGAGTGTTTGTGTCAGCGAGGTCACAGGCTTAGCTATCCCCAGAGTCGCGAGCACAGCTAGGACTCAGCATCGGCATGGCATTCACAAAAGAACATGCATGTCGATTGTGGGATAATGCCACTCCAGCTTTCCTCTGTCCCTACTAATGGTTAAAATTCAGTGCATGGCCACTTCTATCGCATCTTCTACAACCTGCAACCTCACCCACAGCACTTTCTGCTAAAGAGCCTTTCTCCTTCCTCATTCAGAATGTCACCCACTCCCTTCCTCGTGGGCTTTGGCATAATGGGATTCCTCATGCATGTTTTTCGAAGTTTGCTAAGCAGTGGTGAAGTTCCTGTTGGCACTTACTGGCCAGCATTTTCGCAAGACAGTCTCTTATCGTGGATCAAGGCGATTAGAGATCAGGTATTTGACCTGCCTAGTGTTCTTTACAAAGGACATACAAAGGTATACAGGAATCTTTCTGATCTCTGCTCACGATTATATGATAACCTTTCGTGCCTGTGCGGAATGTCTCAAAAGCATATGCTATCAACACCGCACTAGATGGCCCTACGTTGCTGCTCCCATCAACATAGCTTCTCGCTTGGGACAAACATCTCAGCAGCTGGCGAACTTCATAGAGCGCGCTAACGAGCAGGTCGGATTGGATCACGTTATGTTCGACCCTTCCGTGGCTAGAAGTACACTAGCTTTCCGTGCCACCCTGAGGGTTCTGAGGATACATAGTCATTCTCTCGTCAAGGGCCTTGTCAAGGACGTACATCTGAGTTGCGACCAGGCTTTCGGTACGAATCAATCAGAGTGGACCAAGGTCAATCTGGTACAGAATGTATTCCGGGTACTGCACCAATGCTTCAACTGCATGCTAGTCGGAAGCTCGATCGGTACGTCCACGGTATCTGTTCACCATCACTGTGTGTTCTCTTCCTGTCGATCAAAACTGACTCAAGCATGTAGGCAATAACAGCGAATACCTGCGCAACACCTCCATCTATTCAACCCGCATATTCGCCGCTGGTTGTGCAGTGCAAGCCTGCCCTTCATTCACACGACCCTTTCTAGGAAGGCTCCTGCGAATCTTCACCAACCGATATGGCTCGAAGCTCAAATGCAATATAATCCCAGCTTACCAGGCTATTACGCAAAACATAGCTGATAAATCGTCGTCATTGGATGCAGAGCTCGAGACCACATATTTACGTTATTTCTTAGAAGGTTACAGTAGCTCCTCTCGGAGCAACCAAGCGTCGCTGGATACAGTTGTGACTTCGATCCTCGGCCTCAACGGTGCAGCGCAAGAGCAACTGAAGGTGGCCATCCCCGCATTGATTCTCAATCTGCTCTCAGCAGATGCCAGTGCCAACATAGTACAACTACTGCTAGACGAGGTACGAACCGCTGTATCCAGTTCCAAAAACACCGACATTGCATCCGCAGTCTTTACAGCAGACCGCCTACCCGTACTCGACAGCTGCCTCCGCGAAACACTCCGATTACACGGTCTGGACCTCCTCACCATGAAAAGAAGACTAATGGCAGACATCAAATTCGACGACACACTAACACTACCAAAAGGATGTCCCATCGCAATCGCATCCTACACCGTCCACCGCGATGAAACGCACTATCCCAACGCAGAAATATTCGACCCCTTTCGATTCTGCGAGAAGATACCGAACTCAAATTCCTACAAGAGCACACGCCCATCCTACGAGCCAGACGAGCACTACCTCGTCTTCGGAATCGGCCACCACGTAAGTCATCTTTATGTCGTCCTAACGCCCGGTATAGTCTGCTAACCCAAATTCTTTCAATCACCAGGCACGTCCAGGCAGAAAGTTTGCCTGCGCAATGATCAAGCTCACCTGCATACACCTGCTCATGAATTACGATGTAAAGCGACTCGATCACAGGCCGTCACAGCGGACTTTCGGACCTTTCAGGCAGGAAAGGACTGATACTGTTATTGAAGTGCGTAGGAAGACGGCACCAATGGGAAGGGAAGTAGATTGAATACGCAATCTCCTCTTCAATCAAGCTGCACAACATGTCGTGAGGTTTGAACCTGGTCGAAGACGCCTTTTTGCTTATACTAACTGTACAACGTACCTGTTCTTCTTCGTGGGTTCGTGCGATCGAATGAGTGGGTGGTTCGAGACCGTCATTTCAGTAGTTCGTTCTTACGTGACAATTCGATGGGTTCTTCCCATGATGAATGCAACATTACGGAAAATTGAGCTAAATATCGCAGAGAGAAAGACTGATATGATCTCCGTAATCATCTCGTTGTACAGTATAGCATGGTTGTTGGCTTCTTGTGTTTGATGTCAATCTTACATCCTTCAATCCCCACAATCTGACTACTCTTGCGCCAAAAGCTAAAGGACGTGTCCAACAAGCCTCTCTTTCGTCCTTTTTCCATAAAGGATCCCTACCTGGATGCCGCGTAAATTCTGTCAGCTCGTCCGAAAATGATCCACCGTAGACAGATTGCAACGCCGAGCCAACCCCTGCCATATACAAAACAAAGACCTAGAGTTCAGACGCCGAAACACCTTCGCATGATCAAGTGGTCTTCAAATTTGAAGTCGTCGTAAATAGTGCCAGTAATTATCGAAAGGATAGGCTGACAGGTGGATGAAATAAAACTAGTGTCGTAGCATGCGCTGCATCTCGATCCGTAATATACTGGGTTTTGTGCAATTCAAACAAGGCCAGAGCATGGACCATGGATTTTTGCAGGTCGCGTATGATTATAACAAGATCAAGTAGTTGCTTGGTGCAATACCTGTCTCGCCAGTGGACTTCTTTGCCTGCCACCACCTGCCACTCACGTCGGAAACCTCGAGTATTTCATGTTTGGAAAAGGATATTTCGTTCACGTCTTCCGGGTTTGCCTCGTAGCTGTAAATGGCCTTGGCGCGATAAGGATATTCTGTCGGTGGTTGAACCTCTTGTGTGGGTTGTGGAGTAGCAGCGATACCAGGCTGCGCAGATTGTGTGTTGATGGGACCGCCCGGATACCCGGATACAGGAGTGGAAGTCTCGAAACCGCTTAGCTGGGCGGAGGTATACATTTGTGGTGGTTGCGAAGCAGTAGTCTCGGGACGTTTGTAGGTATCCATGTTGCTCATGGTAGGGTAGTCGTGGCGGTCTTTGTGGAGGGCAAAGCCATCGACGAATTGTCTATGAGTGGCCTGAGGAGCGGATCCAAAGTAGAAGATCCAGATGATCTAGGGCGCTATCAGTGACGAGAGGAGCAAAGAGACAAGGGAAACGTACGGAAATCATGGATAGGAGAATGAAGCCAGCTGCAGCCGCTTGCATGGTCCCCGAGTTCTGGTAGATGAGAGTGCTGACGGCAGAGGTTGTCATGACCAGACCAGCCGCAAGGTATCCGACGATCTATCGACGGTTAGTCTTGTTACTGAGAGATATTGTATCAGACATACTGCGATGGCATAATGGTGAGAAGAGTCGGCCGCAAAAGTGATTGTTATTCCGACGATGCAGCATAACATATATGCGATGGTCCACCAAGCATATTTAGGATATTGGCCTTGGACGTCTGCTATGATTGAGGCGACGAATGTAATGAGCCATGCTAGCTAAGGGATATGTCAGAGTTTGTCCTCGGCGCAGTCAAGAGTTTGATCTTACTATGCCAATAGAGATTGTTGCCAACGCGAAAGGGTCTCCAATGATGTTGCTCGTGCTAGTCCTGCTACGCCTGGGAGCATTCATGTTGCGGTTGTTGTACGGCTTCTTCAGAGATGGAGAGTACAGCGATCTCTGACCACGCATGAAGAGATGCCGAGCCTGAAACAGTGACCTTTGGGCTCGATTTGGGCTTCAGTCGACGCGTTGGCCTAGTGTAGCATGTAGATGAAGAGGAACAGCGACGTCAAGACAAGGCTCGAGGGTTGTTTGAGGCTTGAAATGAGCAAGGAAGAGTCGAGCTTGCGTTTTGAGGCTCTCTCGATCGCGACACGCTATACCTGGGTCTTTATTTTGAGGGGTTTCGAGTCGTCGGGCGCTTCGGAAAGAGAGTGTCGAGAAGGTGTACAAAATAAATGTTGCAGTAGAATTGTTTCAGAAATAATCGCCGGTTGGTGAGCGGCTCTGGGGGAGAGTGAACAATAACGAAGGAGAGGCGTGACGAGTGGATGAGTTGCAACAGGACAGCAGTGCAGCAGCGCGCGGCGAGAGGAGTGCAGAAGGGAGGCTTGTTAGGCTCAGGAGCGTCGGCTGCTGCAAGTGGATTGGCAGCTTGGTGGAGCTCTTCCCTGTTGGTTGTGAATCGACTGGTTCCTGACCAAACTAGCTATTTAGAGACTGCAGGCTGGAGCCACCGTTTGACCATCCCTGCAAGTTCGACCTCCAGGACCATACATTTTGAATCCGTCCCAAAGTCTCGACTTCTTCCATGCCTGCTGCCGTTGCGAGCCATGAGGAGATCTACACACTCCAAGCTTGTGCTTACACACTACATATGCATGTCTTGAGATGCTCATCGCGGGGAAGATGTGCATCGGTCAATATGCCACACCTGAGGTTGCCACGTTTAACGAGAACACGAGGTACATGCATGCATCCAAGAAACATGTCTCTTGTGTACAAAGTCATTGTGTCAAGCGTTCAAAACGGTGCCAGTGTCAGTCTGTGATCTGGGCTACGATTCAGCAGAATGCTGGTCCATTTAATGATTAGCACAGATTTGTTGAAGAATTGTCCGACCGCGTGCTTAACGTTTGTCGATCGTTATTGGGCTCCGAGCGAGATCAGTTGATCTGCATTTGATTGAGGCCTCGTGAGCATCTTCAGAACCATTCTCTTGTCCTGATTCAGCGAATTCAGCAATTACTCCTGTAGAATATCTGTAGCGACTGTTCCGGCTAGAGTTATCGCACATGTGGGAGGAAGGAGTCTCCTGCATATCTCTGTTCCGTTGTGTTGAGTCCGTTCGTGCACAGCGATATTGACCCGGTTGTGAATTCAGTAATTATATCGACTTCTGAGCCCTAGACAGTAGTGGGGCCCCAAACGCGTCATGCAAGCAGTTTAGTTTGGCGCCGTAGCGCCTTGTTTGGCCGTATTTGCTGGATCTTTTGTGCTATGATTGTCCTGCGTTGGCTCGTCACTACAAGGCTTGCATTGTTTTTCTCATGGTGTTTGCTGTTGTTCAGCTAGCTTCTGCGGATGACCAAGATGTGAGAATGCGGGAAGAATTGATCTCGCTCATGCAAAGATGAATGTGACGCCAGACCAGCTGAAGTAATACAGGTGTCTCGTGGCTCATCAAATATTGATATCGCTAACTGTGAGCTAGCAAGTATACCACTGGCATGGCGAACTCGGGCATTCAGCCGAAGGCTGAAGACATTGACCTTGTCTGTTCCTTTGCTGGTATCGGTCGCGCTTCTGCCATTGTCCTGCTGAAGGTATGAAGGAGAGATGCAGCATGAGAAATTGTACTGAAGCATGCTATAGAAATGGCCAAACGCTGAGGATGCAGTGGCTCACTATTTTGACGACCCGAACGGGTCGGTACAAGAGGATGTGTGTATATACTGTTGCTCACTTCGCGCATGGACTGACTTTGCCTAGCTCGTCAGTCGACAATGGCAACCCCAGGACAATATACCGTGTGAGCATTTTCTCCTGCATCCTGTTCCCTACCTGCTGATGTTGACTTGAGCTTTTCGCATAGATGCCGACGATGTAGGCATGTCGCGTCCCCCCTCGCCGAAGAACTTTGTAGATCTGTCCGATTCTCATGCTCGAGGTACGATCTCAGCCGCTCTTCGATCTAGCTAACCCGAGAAAGCTATGCGCAATCCAACCGAAGACGACGAGTTGAGACAGGCTATGGCTGCCTCGATGAAAGACTTATCGGCGCAAGAGAATGGGACTACAACTGGTCAGCACTTTGGCCCCGCTCAACGTTCACATTACCCTCCCGAGCAGTGGGCTTTAGCACCTATGGCCTCAGCTCGAGAAGTCGTTGATCATCCACCACCTGCAGAAAGACAGAGGACACCTCCACAACCTGCCTTTTTGCGCGGCTCTCCACAGACTGGCTATATTGCACCTCTTCTTACCATCTACCACAGCATTTCTTTGGCACGCGAGGCTTTGTTACTGCCACCCTTACACGTTTTCGAGTATGGCTGCAATCCTGACTGGTGGTCCGGCACTTCGGACGAGAACTTCAAGTCCATGTCCATTCAGGAATCATCTGCAGAAGACGAGGACAGAAGGAAGTTCTCCGCAGAGATACAATGCCTGATGGCCTTCCTTGATGGGACTTCAAGGTCCTATGGCTCCGTCGACGCATTGTGTGATATGAACTACTACCGATACTTCCAAGCTGAGTCTCCCTATACAAAGCTATGTGAGGCCTGGCGCCGAGCAGCTGTCGATGAAGCGCCCAACGAGCCTCTCACGCAAATCTTCACTTCAGTCGCGGCTAGAGGCCCTGACGTTCAGGGCGCACTACCTGAAGAGAAGGATATGTTCCAGATCGAAGGTGCTCTGAGGGAAGCACGCTCCTTGACCGAAGTACTTGATAAGATCTTCTGGACTGACACCTGGCAACTGCCTATGGAGGATATTTGGATGGAGCGCTTCGGCCATATCGTGACCTTGCGCCTATTCAACGACGATCAGGGCGCAACAAAGCTAGGCATATCTCCTGTCGAAGAACTCTACCTAGATCGCTACACACCAGAATTACGCAGCGACCTCTTCCGGATGCGAACCCAGCGATATACTCTTCTGCGTGACATGGACAAGTTGAAAGTCAATCAGCAGAAAATCGTCCAAGTCCCTGGCTCAAGAGCAAATCAGCCACATATTGACGTCCGAAAAGCTCTCGAGGCAGCAAGAGACTTGGTCCCAGTAGCCGCAGACGATGCCATGCGCAAAGACAGTCAGCTAGTCGAAGTGGATGGCACGGCGGATGTCACTGAGCTCGACTCACAAATAAATGGTCTTCTTGCAGGTATTGATAAGAAACTGAACAGTCTGGAGCAGAAGAAGAGTGATCTCGAGGCTGAGATAAGGCGCGTCATGTCTGATCTCACTGATCCTCAGCATTCCTCGCTGGATTTAAAGCATAAATATGTCCTTCATGGTGCTTCCACCAAGCCAAACATCACGTACTTTCGCAAGCCCAACCACGACCTTTTGGGAATAGAGGGTGACCACAATCCCAGCGACACATGGCAGTGGTGGAGGACTGCTTGGGGTGAAAGTGCTCATTCACGAGCGAATGTCTCTAGAGAAGATGCGGGAGATGGACCTTTCTCGGTGACCAAGGTGACTATTCAAGAAGTCCTGGAATCTATCAAGAATGAGAACGACACAGCAGTTCTAGTATATGTTGACGAGACTGCAATCAACCACAAACCGGTCTCCTTGCCAGATTCACTGCGTCAATTCGTCGAGCAAGATAATCGAGCCTTTGAAGATGAACTGTCCCAGCAACATGGGCAGTCGACAGGTCGTGAACGGAGCTGGAGCAACGAAACGAACTCAACGGTCATGGAGGACAACAATCCTTTTGATGATCCAATCGCTTCGCTACGCGCACGAGATGCAACTCCTATGTCAACTAGTACAATCCGAAGTTTGAGTGGCCAACCGTCACCCAAGCGTCCACGCAGTTCCAACGATTCTATGGAAAACATTAACCTTATGGACGATGAGCCTCCAGCCTACGAAAGCGTGCCAGCAATGGAAATGTCCGAGAAAAAGAGTAACAAGATAGGCTACTTCGCCGAGCAGATGCTTCAGACCGCTGAGCAACACGAAGAAAAAGGTGGCTAGGCTGATAAGTAGTCCGTGGTGAAGGACATACTTGAGACAACCTACCAAAAAGCCAGTATCATTGACCTCGAGACAGCCTTGACAGGTATGCTTTGAGCTTGCGGTCTTCACTTTGCTGGCTTGCAGGTCTGGCACCTATGTGTCTGCCAGCTGTCTGCTGACAAGGTCTTCCCCGTACGATAGTTACAAAGAGGGCTACACAAGACTGTGTGTAACAGAGCGCAAATCTGCATACAAAAGTAGGATGCCAAGAAGCACAAGGCTATACAAAGAATTCCAGTCAACCTAGTACACGTGGAAGAACAGAACAGCCGATGAATCAGCCACATGTATAGGCAGGCGTGGTTGACATGCTTGACCAACCACAGATCCATCCTGACTCTGCATCACCACAATGTCAGTACGGGCTCTGGGTTGGAGGACAATTCTGTTGTGACACGCTTTGTCGCAAATTCAAAAGCTAGTGCCATGTCAAACACAGCAAATACATGCTCGCTTATAACCATGGTTCTTCAGTTGCTGAGAAGGTGAAGACTCGAGTGCTGAAGGAGATCCAGATTGTTTCCAGTCTCATGTCTCCAGGCACGGCATAACCTATACTTGGTCAATAATTAAAGTACAAAAATGGCGCCGAGCTATAGTCATCTTAAGCGAAGACAAGCTGATCTGACAGCGTCGCGAGGTGTACATGCACGTGCCAAGTATTCCAGCGGCGATCTTTTCCAGCATCGATTATCGGTTGTTGTCGCACGGCTTGCCGAAAAACTGGCAACAACCGGCAGACGCGCTAGTTAGAAACTAAATTCTATAGTGGAACCGTCGTCAACCATCCATGCTCGTTGCACGCTTGTGGAGGTGGTCTCTTCAGGCCCCGTCGTTCGCGCGGCTTGCCAGTGCTTTGCCCCGGAAAGCGCCTCGTCTGACGCTTGATTGCCTTGCCCATTCACAATGGTCTGTGACCCTTGTGCATCTTGTGATTCCCTACGACGGCAATATAGTGTCCATATAGTTTGACGACTTGGCAGGCATCCTAATCGACAACTGCTGCGGAAGCGAACAACAATCGGATGGCATAATACTCCTGAGCATGTGAGGTCTCTTTGGCCCCGCTATCAGGTAAGCCACCACTTTCGACCTTTCTGGCTCGAGGTTTTGCATGTTCGATCCGACGAAATAAAGCGCACCAGCTGCTACCCGGACTGCAAAGAGCCTGAAGCGCCTCAACCCTTGGATCGGTGCATCGACTGTACACATCGCTCTTGGAAGCGTGGTTAGCTATCTGTTCAGGCTACCCATCCGCTACTAGGCCCAGCAAGTTCATCAGTCCTTCTGCCTTATGCTGGGCCAAGCGCGAGCAACTGGCGGGTTGGTGGGGGTCCATGGCTGAACTTTAATGACTCTTGCGGCTGTTAGTCGTCCACAGGTCACGGCATGTTGGCTCCATATGCAAGCCACATTGAACCATGAGCACAATCGTACGAGCATCGGATTGGTTTGATTGAACGACTTGAAGGGACATCGCAAGTTAAATCGCTAGCTTTGCTTAGTCGCAAGCTTCGTTACTTATCGCTGCTATCGACTGGCCAGTTGGCGCCATCAGAATATCTCGCTTTCCTGCCAGACATGCTGGTCGCTTTCTCACTCCATCTCTGCTCGATCGCTGTTAGCAAGCCATCTTGTGTAACCCATCCTCCAACACTTCTCCGTGCTTCACTTCCAGATAGTCATGTTCTTATCGCTCGGATCCATGACATGATCGGTGGCTTCCTTGTGTTGTACAACAAACCTATCCATAATCTACAAAGAGCACGATATAATAGGTCGGCTGAGTGTCATTCATGAATCGAAGTTCTGCGCAGTTGTCACCCTCACGGCCAGAAACCTGAAGTCAACCCCGTCTGCCCTTGTAAACACTTAGCCAATCGAGGCTGTTGCGAAGAGACCAGCCAACACTCCCCCAAGGACTGGTCGCCTTTGCAGTTAACAACCAGCTCTCGAAATCGTCACAGATCACGCAACCTGGACTCAGTGTGCACAGCTTTTTCTGTCGCACTGGAGCTGGCGACGAAGACAGAGGGGACTGGGAACTACTTGCAGCTTTCAACGTAAGAGGATTCAGGACAAGTCGAAATACGTTTGCGCTGGATCATCTATGCCCTTCGCAGCACAGGTTAATGCTTACCTAGGTCGGCAACCTTGGGTTGATTCTTAGGTCGGAATGCTTGCGATGGGATCACGAGCACAATCTATCTTGCCGAGAACGACGTTAAACTCGGCGTCGTGTTTCTCAGAACATATGTCTTACGACGGTACAGATCGGCGTATGTCAAGCGCCAATGAAAGCCTCTATCTACCAACGTCCTTACTCCTTCGAAAGCTGCCGCTCAACACAACTCCTGAGGCTGTGAGGACGATGCTATTGTTTGCGAAAGATCTGCAAGAGGCAGATATTGTGTCCAATGATCGTGGTGATGACCAAAACTTTGCTACTGCTGTGGCTCGCTTCTCAACTATGATAGGTGCTACTGAGGCGCAAGCTATGCTCGATGGGAAACCAAATACTGAGGGCAATGCGACCATGATAGTCGAGATTACCTCGTCGCATGCATTAAGTGGTGGGCTACGGCGAAATACCATGGATCCAGCATTGTCCAGGCAGAATTCACTCGCGATTTCGTCACCAGGGAGATCTTCTAGGTACCATTTCGACTCAATGAACAGATTGCCCCAGTCTCCTGCTGTGCCCTCACCTGAGATACCACTTGCTGATGGTGGTGGCATGTTCCCAGCAAGGTTGCAACAACCATCACCCCGGAACGCACAGCTTCAGGACAGGACACGCGTCAGTGGAAAATCAGTCATCAGCGACGAGGGTGGTGATGAAGAGACTGATGGACTGCTGAGAGACCCAGTCGGCTACATGAGGAAAGGCAGCACACTCTCAGGTAGCCGACGCGGCAGTGGATATCGGCCATTGGTTCGAGAGTTTGACAACTTGTCCTTGAACACAAACATGGCAAGGACAGGGCCTGGCTCATTCGGTGGCCCTCGATCAGCAGTAACACATGGGCAGTCACCACGAACGCCGTTCTCTCCTGGTGGAACGCCATTCATGCAATCCAATCCATACATACGGCATAACTATCCACCTGTCAACCCTGCCGATCAAAATCCGCCGTGCAACACGTTGTATGTTGGCAATCTGCCGATGGACACGTCGGAAGATGAACTCAAGGCTATGTTCTCGAAGCAACGAGGATTCAAGAGATTATGTTTCCGTACCAAGCAGAACGGGCCGATGTGTTTTGTCGAATTCGAAGACGTATCATTTGCGACCAAAGCACTGAGCGAGCTCTATGGCGCACAATTACATAACAGTGTGAAGGGAGGCATCCGATTGAGCTTTTCCAAAAACCCTCTTGGGGTTAGATCTGGACAACTTGGGGGCGGTACTGGGCCTGCAACACCTTTGCATCCTTCTAGCTCAGCCTATGCCAACGGTATGCCAAAGATGTCGCCGGTAGGACTGTCGATAGCAAATGGACCACCTCCTGGTCTTTCTTCGCCAGGTGGGTACCCTGGCAATAGCAACAACCTGAATAATGGCTATGTAGGCCTGGGTATGCGCAATGCACCGTCCGCCTCCGGCTCTGAGGGAGGAACTGGTGTGTACCCTGACTACATGATGGGTCGATGATCCCTACGAAAGGATACCGCAGCTTTGTGTCTGGTTCTCTTGAACGGCATACACAAACAAGTGGATGTATGCTGTCGACATATCACAAATGGTCGATTGCACTTCATGAAGTTACGGATGGATGTTTTTCTGCATTTGGTGGCTGTCACGCGCGCTCCATAGCACAGGATTGTTTGGAAGGCATGATGACACGTTTGGTGCAGTAAGTAAGGTGGTGTTGGATGGGACCATCGTGGAATTTACATGGAGGAAGCGCTGGCATAGCATGATCTGTTTTATTAGATACCCTTTTCTTTCTCTTGACAAACGACAAACGTTCTGTAGCACATATAGTGATCCCGTAGTCTCTTCGATGATAATCTAATTTTGTTGGCTGTGCCAGATTTTGTTAAACCAGGGGATTGAGCTGTCGCAAGCAGTGTACTATTTGGCTATGGGTCACTTACAGTCTACTCTTTACAGGAGCACGCTCAGTCCGAGCGCACTACTACTTGCGACTTGCTATATTTTTCTTGCTCAAGAACCATTTGGTCAAAATCAGAGTTGCCCTGCACTAGGTGCTCTCAACGCCAGACAGCGATCGGCAAGCGTACAACATCTGTCCAGTCTTGCACTTTAACGTTCCTGCCATGCTTGAGCGAGCACAGAGCCGCCTCGGAAACAACAAATCAGGAAGTTCAGGTTCCGCAATCGGGCTTGCAACCAGGAATGGTCAACGTTTTTAGCAGGGATAGGCCTAACGAAAAACAGGACGGGGAAATTGAGCAGCCAGCAAAGCAGAGAGCTAAGAGACAAGCCACAGAAAGCGTTTTTTAGTGGTGTCTGCTGCTTTTTGCAGGATGCACAGCGCAATAGAATTCAACTGTCTCTCTTATCACTTCCTCGCTGAATATACGTAGAGTATCTCAAGCGTAGCATCAGCTGCTTGTGGTCATCAATTACAAGTTTATTATTCAGAAACAGTTCAATGGTTAAACAAAGCTTGGGCCCGCCGATGCGATGCCATTGAGAAAGTGGCTTAGCAGAACATCGTCCTGGTCCAGAAGAGAACAGCCTCAAGTCGCACCTGAGGCTGAAGATTTCCAAAGATCGCCAGCTTTTACGCCTATTACAGCTTCGATAGATCGACAGTACAGGACTGCTGTTCCAACTACTCCCACCACTCCCTCAACTGTTCCTTTCGACTTTCATACGACAGATACTGGTAGCAACTTCGGTCCGCAAACACCTTACAGCGAGACGGTGCCTGATCGAGAGCCTGTGACACCTGCAGCTGACTCGAGCCCCATCTCCGAAGCCATCCAAAGCTACGAGAAACCCAACACGTTCACCACTCCCAATCTTGGGCTCATTCCTCCCACACCAGATCAGCCGTCGCGACCACAGTCGCCATCTAACCAACCTGTTGCGGCTGAAGTTGACCGTCTTACCTCCCTGGCAGTGTCGCCAGCACTGACACCTGCCGCTTCTGTCTTTCCCGAGGATGTGCAGGATATAATGCAAAGAAAGATATGGGTCAAGCGGCAGGGTGCTTCGGCTACTCTTGTCAAAGTCAGCGATGATGACCTCGTCGACACTGTGCGAGATGTAATATTACAGAAGTATGCGAATTCGTTAGGTCGATCCATCGATTCGCCTGATATCAATCTCAAGATCGTATCAAGAGAGCAGTCCAACAAGAATGTACCACCAGAACGGATGCTAGGTCCCGAGGAGTATATTGGTCGTACGCTCGACTCATATTACCCCGGCGGACAAAGTATCGATGAGGCTCTCATCATAGAGGTACCACAGAGGAGGACCCCGAAACCGAGTCCAAGAGTTGGAAACCATCATCCGCTCGGTTATGTCTACTACGATGACCACAGACCAAGCGAGGGAGCCAGAGAATATTTTCCCCCTATGGCCGTCCACAGCCCACACTTGGCCAATCATGCTGTTCACTCAGTACCAATAAATGGTCCGCATATGGGACCACACAGCATGGCTGTCCTGACCACTGGCCAGCTCCCACCTCTGCCTAGCCCTGGCGGCCATAATCGCAGGGAACGAAAACCAAAGCGACCAGAGTACGTTAGGCAGCATACTAGTAGTCCTACCATCTTGCATTCTACTCAACCACATTCTAACGGTAAGGCAGGAACCACCTCCGCACAACTTCGAGCTCTACTAACACAAGTCTGATAGACCTCCCCAAACAAACGCTGCCTAATGGTATCTCCTCTCAACTACCCATGCCGACTCCTCCTGCCCAGGCTGGGGACCACAGACCAACCATCACACCTCCAAGAACCACAAGTCCACATCCCTCGAAATCCTCCAAAAGAAAGAACAAGGGTGGTCCCACAAGATCGATTAATGGTGAACCTCCACCACCCTCGAAGCCACAACAACCTGGAACACTAGATGGGAATGTTCCTCCCATCAATGTCCTCATTGTTGAGGACAATCCTATCAACCTAAGGCTGCTCGAGCAGTTCATGAGACGTCTGAAGGTGCGCTGGTCAACAGCAATGAACGGTCGTGAGGCTGTCGATACTTGGCGTAAAGGAGGATTTCACTTGGTGCTCATGGATATCCAGCTTCCAGTAATGAATGGGCTGGAAGCTACTAAAGAGATTCGACGGCTCGAGGGCGTGAATGGAATTGGTCTGGGTCTACTTGGGGGTCAGACAGCGAATGGTGGTAACAGGGTTGGGCAAAACGTTGACTCAGCGGACAGATTGGCCGACATGAGCCTTTTTAAATCGCCTGTTATCATCGTCGCTCTAACTGCAAGCTCCCTTCAGAGTGATCGGCACGAAGCTCTGGCCGTGGGCTGCAACGACTTCCTCACCAAGCCCGTCACTTTACCCTGGATGTTGAGAAAGGTCACCGAATGGGGTTGCATGCAAGCACTGATCGACTTCGAAGGCTGGCGACAGTGGAAAGCAAATGCCGAGAACAAAGATAATGGCCTGACTGAGGAGCAGAAGAAGCTCAAAGAGAAAGAGGAAAAGGCCAAGCAAAAAGCCGCCCTAAAGGCTATGTTCGCAGCCCCACCCCCAAGCAGGAAGGAGAAAGAACCCGCCAAGGAAAGTGAGAAAGATGAGAAGAAGGAGGTGGCGGAACGAGAGCCTCTTGATTCTCAATCAGGTCTATCAAGCAGAAAGACTTCGACCAGTAACGCGACTACGTCTACGGGTGCTTTGCCGCCTCGAGGAGGGAGAAGTGTGCGAGGTAGTAGTGGGAGCGGTACCGTACTGGAAACACACCAGGAAGAACTCGAGGAGTGAACAAGCAAGAGGTTGAACTAACAGCTATACGTCGACCCACCTTCCCTGGACATCAGACTCGACAGCACTTTTCCTTCGTATTTCAGACCCCATTGAAAGCGCTATACACGAAACTCGGAGTTGTGAGAGGATTCATTGTGAGCGTTGAATGTTGAATCTGCCCCTAAAATCGATCCTGGGGCAAACGGATCGTGCACGATCACTTGTGGTCAGCATCTTCCGTATGACTATCAACAGGCAGAAATCGGTGGTTGTGATTGAGCTGATATATATATCCTTATATTATAGTAGTAAATAATGAATATTGAGCGTATGCACTTCTGCATCGCGATGCGATGCCTGGTCTCTTGCTATTTTATTCACCGTGTCTCGCATAACGCCGATCAGCGGTTTGAGTGGAGTACTGACAATCTTCCAAACGCGTCCACCTCTCGCGTCTCTCTTTTGTACCTCAAACAGCGAACGATATGCTCGGCCAGTGTTTGCAACGCTCACTACATTCGAAGAACACTTTGTCTACCTGGTGTCCAACGGCTTCCAGATCAGGTAAGACAGCTTATATTCCGTGATATGTCTACCAACGCTTCTGAACGATTGCGAGGTACATGTGCCCAGAGTCAAGGAGTAGTAGACACCGAGGGAGCAAACGCGTGGAGGCAAAGCTAAGTGAAGCTTACGAACGTCATCCTTGACGTTAGTGATCTTAAGGGCGTGGTCGTGCCTGTCAGACTGAGAAGTTTCACCATGCACCAGTCTCAGAGGTAGGCACGATGCGACGGACTACCACTATAAAAGTTCTCAAACGTTTGTTTCTGTGCGCCTAAACCTACGCATTGCTCACTTCCCTCACCTCGACAAACTATGGTTTTCCTACGAAGATAATTCTTGAACCTACTAGGTGACACAATGCAAATGAAATGTGACTGCACTGACAGAGAGCATACAGCCTAGATCAAATCGTATCAACCATTCACGCTTTGTTTGACGTATCCGAGGAACTATTGCTGACATGATCAGTGGTGGGAGTGAAGAATAGAAGCTCAATCTAGGCCGGTTGCTCGCCTTCGTCTTCACTTCATTCATTTTTGCTTACCAACAGTACAGAGTCAATCTAGAGTCCATATACCTTATGTACCTCCTCATATTTTTACCAACTACGTGTCTTGACACACAAACTGAGCCTCTTTCACGATGGCTTCATTCGGTCCTCATCCTCTCCCAGCTAGCAATGCCACGCTCAATACTGAGCCGTATTACATAAATACCTATCGGTCACTTCTACTCTCCGTTCATACCATAGCCATGTTAGTGCAAGCAGTGGCTGTCACTTGCTCAGTTTTGGCTCTCTGGCCCGCATCCTGTATTTGAAGAGGCATATGTACCGGCGTTCATGCTCTCCCGGACTATCTTGAGACCACCATCTGGTGTACATCGTACAATACTTGTCTCAAACATAGATCTACCACGATGAGTCCCGCCACAGCCGACATGACGCCGACCTCAATAACACAAAAGTGGAAGAAGATGTGGGACAGAAAGCAAGCTCTGAAAGACTATCTCGATCTACCTGACAAAGACATCAAGCAGATCTATCGAACCCGCAAATACCAACTCTGGCTCGAGAAATATTCCAAGGCTTGCGAGCAGTATCCTCTCCTGATAGATAGGCTGTTTCGAAATAGTGTTGAGTTCACTAAGCTGGCGGGTATGATTGATCAACAGGACGATGCTGCTTTGAATAACGAGATTGAACGGCAATCCCCGACCTATGAAGCTGAACAGATTCGGAACACTGTGCGTATTCTGTTTAGGCTATACCAAATCGAGAAGCGGGAAGGATTTCTCAAGAAGAATGATCTCACAGCACGTCAAAGAGCATGCCTCATCTTGGCTCTGATGGAAGATTTTTCTAACGACCAAGAAGAAAAGCTGACTGCTAAGAAGCTGAAAGATGCGCAAGAGAACGACAACGCTAACAGTATATGAACCATACTGGGCGAGGTGGTCAACGATATTCCCAGACAGGTGCTGCCGAAATGCAAGAGTGTCTTTGACTTCTCACATTGCGACTCTCCATACAAGAAAAGCCGAACTACCATACAAGATCGAAACGAAGTCGTTGCCACAGCGCAACTTGCCCAGCATGCATCTAGTGTAAACTCCAGCCAGGATTTACGAAGGAAGACACCACACACCAATCTTCCTCCAGCTGTGCTCGCACGGAAAGTCGACGCCGCCTATCAGAGCCAGGCACAAACAGATCGGACAGAAGAGGAGGAACAGTCGGCACCAGAAGTATCACCAGACGCCGACTCGGAAACGGAGAAGCCGTCTTACACCTATGCTCAGCTCATCAAAATGGCGATCCAGGAGTCTTCAGAGAAACGTCTTCCATCTAGCGAAATAATTGACTGGATCAAAAACAAATTTCCCTACTACGAAAAGCATGCTACCGGGAACTGGCAACGTACCATTCGCAATACACTGTCATCCCACAAGGATTTTATGCAGCAAGGAAAACTTGAAGATGGCAAGAGAGGCAACTACTGGATCATCGGGTCTACGGCAGGCATCACACCCTCCGCACCTAGTCATACAAGTGCAGACGAACGTAGCGGTGCTGCCAAGGAGTCAACAGGAGAAGAAACATTTGAAGAGGCCCAAACCCCATCCGCTACTCGGAACCGACGCAGCATGACAGAGGATACCGTTGTGAGCGATGGCGACCCCAAGGAACAAACCCTACCTCGAGCTGCGGTAAATGTTGCAGAAGATGCCGAGACTGTTGTTGGAGGCGAGCACGTGTCAGACGACGCATCTAGCCAAATACGACCCAGTGTACGAGCGCCAGTCAACAAAGAAGTTTCTCAAGCTTCGAGAGATGTTGTAAGAGCTCAAGCGCATAGCAAATTCGCGAAGAAGGAGCATGAAGAAGCAAAACAAAAAGTGGCAGTTGCCAAGGCAGAGCTCGGCGAACTCGAGCAATGCGAAGGTGAGATTGCGGACGCAGTAGATGAATTCAGATTGTCCATAGGCAAACTCAAAGCTGGTCTTGTGCCATCTCGAACTCCAAGAGAACAGGGGCGTATCTATCCACGATTCATACAGATCTGCGATGAGGCTTTGGCTGCTGCTGAGGAGGAAGTTCCCAAAGTTGGACGGGATAGAGACGATGTGGTCACGAAAAAGAAACAGGCTGAAAAGGCTGAGGGAGAGGCACACGTCAAGATGCTAAAGGCCATTGAGAGGGAAAAGCAGGCAGTCAAATTATTCGAGGCCACTGAACGTTTCGAAGCGGCTAAGCGGAGCCTGGAGATTGCACAGAATGAATTCGAGGAATCCAGCCCTGTGCGCAGACCTCGCAAATCCTAGGTCTGGTTTCCAAGATGTCAATCACAAACAACCACAGAGTTCTCCTGCTCTTGCTGTAAATGACCTCTCCAACCATTCCAGTATTTCAAAATATTCCGTTTTCAAAAAGTGAATCTCAGCTTCCTTGCATGCATTCTCGTACTAATCGCCTAATGCACCATCACTCCCTACTCCTCATAACCTTCTCGCACAACTCGTGTACTTTCTTATTCGCGGCATCTCTCCTGCTTGCAGCCTCATCACAACATCGCTGAGCTCTTGTAAGCGCAGCCTCAGCACGGTCATGTTCCTCCCTCGCAGCAGCGGCATTAGCCAAGGCATGTGAGAGCTCAGTCTGCGCTATGTCCTTGCTGATGGTGGCTCGTTGTTGTTGTTGTTGTCGTGATGCTGCGCTGGTATGCGACTGGGATGTATTATTCATGCCGCTTGCCAGCAGTTTCCCACTTGTGAAACGCAGTGTGAGGATAGCTCGTGGTCTTTGTTGGGGTTTGGTTGGGTTATTGCTTGGTGTAGTTGTAGCATGCTCTTCATCGTCTAAAACAATGATTGGTGGTGGTGGTGGCTTCTGCTTTTCGGGGAATTGGTCGTGCTGGGGGGTGTTGATTTGGCCCCTGTGGTTATTGCTGGGTTGATCGTAGCAGTTTTCCTCGTCGTCGTCATCGCCGTCCTCTTCTTCTTCCTCCTCTAATATCTCTGAATCCTCTGAACTCTCGCTCTGTTGCTGTTCGTCCTCGTCATCCTCCTCATATTCTTCATCCGATTCAAGCCAGAAGGAGTAGTAATCCGGTTCGCAATAGTTGGGTGATCCTCGCGTCGTCCTGCGAGGTAGTGCTTGGTTCGACCTTTTGTTGATGCGTGTAGATCGACGTCTGACTTTTGAATCTGGGTCAAGAGATACTCCATCACAATACTGTGACCAATTTCGCTTTGTAGCCATGACTGTTCAGTCTCGCAAGGAGGTCAAGATCTAGACAGTTGGACGAAGTATGTGATCCTGGTGGAGCGTGCATATGAGATATCTCGAGTGCCAGGCTTGCATTAGAAGAGTTATGGGGCGAAGACCTGTTTATGGGTAATCTTTACTGCCAATCGGTAGCAGGACCATCGAAGAAGGTGAAAGAAGCCAGGTATACGTGACACTGTGTAGGTATCGAGTAAAGGTATAAAGTGAAAAGGCACGCTCTGACCTGAACTTCAACAACAGTAGCAGGGAAGTAGGGCCTGAACGAACTCCTCTGGGAGCTTAGGACTTCAACGAATCTGATTAGTCTATCTCGCCCAACGAACGTCAGTAAAATGCACATACATAAACTCAAATCTACCAATTTCATCAACACCAGATCTCATCCAACTCCATGCTCGCTTACTGACTCATCTGAAATCGACAAATTCGTATTGGCCACAAAGTAGGTTTGCTGTAAATGTTCACCTCCTGCTCATACACAGTCACGTATGTCCTTTTCTCGTTATGTCTCCTCGCCTCTCAACTATGTGGGGTGAGATGGTATACTTCGACAGATAGTCTCCTTGGTTTCATCGTGGTAATGATCATCTTCAAGTCGCGGCTTCTTCATGGTCGATTCTTTCCAGTATCATCTCTTGTCATGTAGAGTAACCAAGAATTTGTCGTCAATCTATAGGCTCACTCTGTGATCGTGTCTCAGTGCATCGTTGTATATTCTCAGAAATCCTGGAAAGCGATATCCCAGTCCTTTCTCATCTCGTCGGTATACTTACCGCGTCCGCCCTCGCTTTCTTCGACATCCTCAGGTGGATCGGGATACTCGTCAAAATTACCAGCATCTCCTGCCCACTCCACCCTAGGAACGATGGGACCTCTTCTCCGTCTGTAGTAGATCTCATCCCAATTGACACCATCAAAAAAATGGTGCTGCATGACTCTCTTACTGCCACCAGCTATGTGGCCGAGTCGTTCGGAAGGATCCGTTTTGCAAAGGGCTAAGATGAAATCTCGTGCTACTCGTGGGATATGCAGACTATGCCGTCCGTGAGCAGGATTAGCGACCGGGAAACGGATATGGCCCTGTACGATCTGCTCGTAGATACGCATTGGGTTCTGATCCCAGAATGGAGGCTGTCCTATAAGCATTTCGTAGACGAGGATACCAAGAGCCCACCAGTCCACTGCAGTGCCATGACCGGTATTACGGATGACTTCTGGGGCTAGATATTCAGGTGTGCCGCAGAGAGTATACGTGACTCCATACCCATGTTTGTCATGTGTTTGTTGAGACTGTGAGTTCTGACCACCAGCACCAGCAGAGCCATTAGATTGACTTGGTAAGGAAGACGTCGACTGCAATTCGAGCGAAGAATCTTGCGGCGGGTTTGGATTCGGAGGCAGGTATTTTGCAAAGCCAAAATCGACTAGCTTGAGATGTCCATCTCCATCAAGGAGGATATTTTCGGGCTTTAGATCGCGGTAGGCAACATTTTGTACGTCGTGTAAATATGCCAAAATCAATGTGATCTCGGCAGCATAGAACTGCACTGTGGGGAAAGGAAACCTCCTTGCTCTTCGCAGATAAGAGAATATCTCACCTCCTGGAGTGTATTCCAGCAGCATGTATAGCGAGTGTGAGTCAGAGAAGGACGCCAGCATCTCTGTTATGAAAGGATGCCCCGCGACAGCTGCAAGGACATTGCGCTCGTTGCGCACATGTTCGACCTGCTTTAGCTTGACCACGTCTACCTTCTTGAGCACCTTCAGCGCAAAGACCTTGTTGCGATCTTCTGGCTTCTGGGTATGTTTGAACCTGCATAGCCAAACTCTTGCAAACGTGCCGGTGCCCAACGTTTGAAGCAATTCGAAATCCGAGAATTTCAGGGTACTGGAGGAGAAGCCTGCACCCTTAGCATTGGGATCATTAGAAATTTGCTCAGCTGGTGGTGGATCTTCTTTGGCTCTTTTCTCGACGGTTTTTATGATTGCATCCTTGCTGTATTGTCTGCTGGGGTGTGGATGGCTCGCACTGCGGGTATTGTGTTGAGGTGTAGCTGAGCGCAAGATCTGTCTGTGGCCTTGGGCGGAAAGAGCTCGTTGCGACTGCTGGCGCGGCGGCTGCAGGTTCGCTGAGGTATTGCTCATCGGAGGAAAGCTCAACAATGTGGTCGGACGTTGTGTTATTGTGCTGGCGCTGCAGGCAGTTGTCAAAGGTCAGGCATCACTAACGCAAATCTCAATGCGATCAAGAATATAAAGCTGATTAGATTGGGCTACTCGTATATGTCATGCATGATCAAGCCACACGAGCAATAGAAAATGTAAACGTATAGTCGCTGACTGGCAGGAAGTTACAGGTAGCTCATGTCTTGGTTCGGGTCTTGGATCTGGACAGAATTGTCGAAGAGAACATGCACAACGCTCCCAATGATTTTCAGCAGTGCTCTGGCGTAATGGCTGTGGAGTTTGCTGTCCACTCTAAATTGGGACTCGATTTGGATCGAATAGCCCGGGTGGGCTGTTTGAGCTCTGGTTCCATGTTTTATAAGCCTTCAGTAGTTAGGTGGAGCTCCTGTCGATTCAGACTGTTGGAAGTGAAAGACTTCGAGAACGAGCACTGTTGAAGCTACAACTAGCATTCGAACGATTTTGAGCAGTCGCGACGCGATTGTTTCATTTTGGTCGCCAGCCCGCAGTGTCGTATTCTGCTCGTTTCATGATGCACAATATCTGTGTGTAACAAGAGGCAGCCATAGCCTCCCTACGGGGCATGCATCTGCACCTAATTTGCAAATTTTGTGGATCCAAGGCATTTCGAATTGAGGTGACCAGCCAGCTGAAAAGTTTTCAGTGCTCCATCAATATACGATCCGTGTGGGATGAGAATTGAACACGTTAGGTTTTCCGTCGGAGCGTCGATAACGATTGGGACCAGCCGTGCTCGGTTGAAGAATGAAATATCGTGTGAAGCGGCAAAGAGGATGTTGAGGATATACATTCTATATCTAGTTCTTCCTGATCGCACCAAGTACCCATATCTGATACCTACACCTCATTCTCTAAATTCGTGACTGAAATCATAACCATCATACCGGAACTCCACGCTATGCTTTTCTGGCACAAAGACCAACACACCACGACATTGAGGATCCTGATCAAGCATCAACATTCTCTTTTTTGCTGGGAATCTCGTCGATGGGCTTCCACGACCCTTCGAACTCATGCTTGACGAATGCCATTGGATGGTCTGGCTCTTCAGCGCCCATCTGTCCCACACCAGGGCTGAAGCTAGTGATTGGAAGGACCACGACGTCGCCTATTTTCTTGTGTGCCACAATATTGAAGAAGTCCTGGGCGGTAATATTTTGAGATTCTGAGTCAAACTCAAAGTAGTCGTGGTTGTTGAAATAGTCGAAAATGGTATCTGTCCAGATCGCGGGTCCTGTGAACTCCACGATGCTGATGTTCTTCGGCTCTTTACCGTGCCGCAGATCTCCTCGTGCTTTCAGCTCTAGTGCCGTTTCTGTGATTCTGGTCACAATATCTCGTAGTACAGGATGTCCTGGTTTGGCTTGCATGGTCCACTGGCAGAACTGGATCCTTCTGGAGTACCAGATAGCCCAGTCATCTCTATCAGGGTCTGCCTCAATGCCTACCACGAGTCCGACAGTGGCTTGATCAAGATGGGGAGGTAGCCACTCTATAGCTGGTTTGAGAGCTTGAGTATCGATGTCCGAGTATATGCCTCCTCTTGCCAGCAGAATCAGATACCTGAAGAAATCAGCTTTCAATACAGGCACAGGCATGGCTGCATATGCCTCGGCGACTTCTGGCACAGAGGCATAGAGATATCTGATCAAGTGTTCAGCCGCTAGGTCCGAGATGACCTCGTGGACAAAACCTGGGTGTTTCTCAGTCCAGGATGCTTCGAGAGGACGGAGATGTTCTTCGAATGCGCCAGATGCAGGACCGACTTTCCACGTCTGCCATATATACATAGGAAATTTCCCTTCGATGTCATAGGGGAAGAAGTGTTCCAATCTCTTTCTTAGAGGTTGGGAGGTAATGTCGAATAGAACTTGTTGCTCCTTGTTCGCAGTCGATGCAGAAGACGAAAATCCGGAATTTTTTTGTTTTTGTGTCGACTGTATGGATCCAATAACTGCGCTCTGCGAGGTAGTGACATGGTAGATTAGGAAGAGAACCATAAGCACTAGGGCCGAAAGTAGGGCTCTTCGTGAAGACCACATCGCTCGAAAGTTCAGTGTCGTACGGAAAAGCAGCAGGCGCCTTGAAAAATGGTAGTTGCTAGAGTAATCAAAGCTTATGATTGCGTGTGTGTTTTCTTTGTTACGGATGCCATCAGTGACAGCATTCTCTATTCGTTTTCATCACTAAAGGCCTGGGAATCTGGTGAATGGCTTTTGTACTGCTGATATACAGAATCGAGGAAGTGGTAGATGGGATTTGAGGTTTTGGCAGGAGTTGCGACCGAGGAAATGGAGTGACAATTCTACATCCAGTCTGGCTAATGTTCAGGAAAGGTTCAGGAAAGCACATATTGTACATATATCCATGCCCATGCGTCAAAGACAAAATGAGCTAAAAATGCACCAGGCGTCGACGAAATCCACGCTTCGTTTAATGCTAGTGGACCTCCACTTTATCCAAGCCCTTCTGCAGGAGGCCAGGGTTGGTTTGGAGAATATTTTCCGGGCAGCAGCAGCAACAGCTCGCAAACACTGTGAATCGACACGTGCTTGTCGACCCCTAGTTCTAACGGCCCGGCTTGCTTTTCTATTTTCGTGGTTTCGGAGATATCGAAGGGTGCAGAAGTCTGTCTCCTTTCTGCAGGTCCACGAACAGACGCGAATACAGTGGTGTGGCTCCAGAAGCTGGATTAACGACTACGCTTAAACCCCATAATGCAGTTTACAGGATGATTAGACTCTGATTGTCTCCCGATACTGAGTGCCACTTCAGATCTCCCTTAGAACATAGAGTTCTCATGCACGACACATGCTCAAGCTGCACCGCAGTCCGATCTTCTTCACTTGCGGTTCATCTGGCAAAATAAGCATTGTTGGGTCAGACCGTCAGCGAGTCGCTTCCTACCGGATAAGGATCCTCAGCTCGCCCTCTTGGCTAGTTTACGGCATTCAGAGGCGGACATTGCTGGTCACCCCCTGGCCCGTGCTTGATTAGATAAGACGGAAAGAGTTTACACTGCAGTCGATGTTTTCTGAATAGCCTCGACAGAACGATGTCGAGTCAGTCTCAGACAAGAAGCTGCTTGACTAGCTTGCGCGTGTCTCAAGCATACTTCTGAGTGGAAAGAATCGCTCTTTATAAGAATGCGAAAAGGGATTTCGCGACAAGGTATACTACGTACTCCGTACTCATCCTTCAGTACACGACTGAAAAGTGCGTTCCAGTGTACCAGAGTGTGTCGTCTTGAAGTTGCAATGGCTCTCACTCGCTAAAGTTCATGCATGTTAGTTCTGTAGATGACAATTAACCTGCCTGTACGTGGTGCTCTCTTGTTGCAATGGCTTTGTGATGTAGGTGCGCAACTAGAACCTGTCAGCCAGGCTCAAGGCTCATCTTTCTCATCACTTCGTTCGTATAATGATAAGACACGACGGGTAATCTTATTGTTCTGGCTGAAATGTTTGGCGAGGCTTTCGGTGTTTTCCTCCCATTGATCACTAATAGACATGCTGCAGTAATTCTGAAAGTCTGAATATCTCTCAGTAGAACATCAGAAGTTCAACAAGCACACATGGCTCGAAGATTGGGAAGATAAGGCTCAGCTTTGTGGACGAGGAAGATGGACGAAGATGCCTGGGGCTCGTGCGGCGGTCCGGAAGGCGAATTTCAGGCATCCAACTGACGCAAGCATGGCACCATGGCATTTCCAAAATTTCGGATGCCAGGTTAAACTTTGTACACCCGAGAAGCACTTCCCGTAACCTCGTCCCTCCAACTGCGTGTACCAGAGCTGGGTGTATATGAGGACGTAACTCAGAATGGCAATATCGACCTCACGAGGAGTAGAGATTGCAACACGCTTGCTAGGACGAGGTCGTCTCAATGTCAACATTCACAGCTGCACACCCAGAGAGCAACGGCTGCTCTGGCACAATCGCACTTTACAGCTTCCACGCTCAAGTAACGTCCGGAAGTTCTCAATACAAATATACAGGAAACAGCAAGCTCAAGCGCATGCAACAGAAATAGTTGAAGAAGGTTCCCAGCCGACATGGCAGCAGACACAATCGTCCAACCCCGCGATGTCCTTCCCCTGCCTCGACGCTCAAGAAGAGAAGACCCAGAAGCTACAGCAAAAGTCTATGGAGTCTGGCCCTGAACCATCCTATACGACCGGTGCTCACCAAGAATTTGTTTCACACGAGCCTTTTCTTACTGATTGGGGTGGCAGTCTGTCGTCGTTCACTATTGCTTACGAAACTTGGGGCGAGCTGAATAAAGACGCTTCAAATGCGATATTGCTGCATACTGGGCTATCAGCCTCGTCGCACGCGCACAGTACAGAGAGTAACACAAAACCTGGCTGGTGGGAGAAGTTCATTGGACCGGGAGAGCATTTCCCGATAAATACTTCAAAATACTTCGTGATATGTACCAATGTAATAGGAGGGTGTTATGGCAGCACGGGGCCATCAAGTCTTGATCCAGTGGATGGACAACGTTATGCGACACGCTTTCCGATACTGACTCTTGACGATATGGTTCGTGCTCAAGCTCGCTTGCTCGACCACCTCAGTATAGACAAGCTATACGCCAGCGTTGGTGCAAGCATGGGTGGCATGCAGTCACTTGCCTTTGGTGTGCAATTTCCCGATCGTGTTGGCCGGATAGCTTCGATATCGGGGTGCGCGAGATCACACCCTTACAGCATTGCAATGCGACACACACAGCGACAAGCACTGATGATGGATCCACGATGGAACAGAGGCTTCTATTACGACTCCGTACCGCCTCACATGGGCATGAAGTTGGCAAGAGAAATAGCCACTGTAACATACAGATCCGGTCCAGAGTGGGAGAACCGCTTCGGTCGACGCAGGGCAGATCCCAGCAAAGCACCAGCTCTATGTCCTGACTTTTTAATCGAGACGTATCTAGACCATGCAGGTGAGAAATTCAGCCTCGAATATGATCCCAACTCTCTACTGTACATCAGTAAAGCTATGGATATGTTCGATTTAGGTCACGAACACCAAATTACCACCAAACAGAGACGAAAACAAAACGAGGATCGACTGTCCCAGGCAAGAGCAGAATCCAGGCAAGAAGAGGAATTGAGCTGCAGTCTCACCCTCCCTACCAAGAATTACGAGGAGAAGAACTCTGTAGCTCCCATGGACCAGGACCTTTCAGCCCAAACGTCCCGTGCTCCACCAGCAGATCTTGTCAAAGGTCTTCAGCCACTCGCTGCTCATCCGACCTTAGTGATGGGTGTTGCAAGCGATATTCTCTTTCCAGCATGGCAACAGCGCGAGATCGCGGACACCTTGAGGGCAACGGGTAATCAGAAAGTTACCCACGTCGAGCTCGGCGAGGATGTGAGCCATTTTGGGCACGATACGTTCTTGCTGGACCTGAAGAATATCGGTGGAAATTTGGGAAGGTTTCTGAACACGAACGAAGCAGCGCTGGGTGGTTCGAGTAGTCTTCTGTTCCGTGCATGAGACTGCAACTGATTCTATCCATGCTATTCTCCCGTAGCTCAGAAAGTGGGCACTCGTCTGAACAGTTTACCAAACGCCTAGTCCTGCTTACGCAGTGTGAGTCGGTTGTCCGTCTCTTGTTGTGACCGGCCTTGTAGCTCCCTGCTCTCTGGGCAGAATTGACCTTGTTAGCTGGTCAACGGACCTGCAGTGGATATTGTGCAAGTTCATCAGACTCTTAACTATCTCAACCCTCTTCATCTTTCCTCCTCCTTTCCTCTCTCCGTACTTGTCTCTCGCAGATATTCAGTCGATCTTCCCAATCCTCCCATAGCTCACCCATCCCCACAACCCCGTGCTTCACCCACCATTCCAAAGTCATAGCACTACGACCTCGCAGCTCAGCAATCTCAATGTCGAGCTTCTCTTGTCTCTCCTTGAGCTTTCGCAATCGTGGTCCCGCATCAACCAGATTCGAAGAGTGTCTAGCGGAGGGGATCTTGAGGGCCTGTAACGTTTGTAGATGTGCGGATGTCGTTGTGTATAGTGTGCTATTGCTTAGAACTTCCCCGGCACGGAGAGACAATTCGTTCACGGACAAGGGAGGAGAATCTGAGCTTCGTGTTTGGTTTGGGAATAGCTCTGGGTATTCACGGCGTAGGCCATCTACCATGCGGACGAGGTTTCCGGGAGGTCCATCCAGGCGTTTGAGGTTGTTCAAACGCATTTCGAGGGTTCGTAGTTGTGCTGGGATCTTAGGGTGATCTTTTGATGCGATAGCTGCTACTTGCTGGCCCTCGCTTTCTTGCGACGTGGCTGAGTGGCCTATAAGAAGGAACTCTAGACGGGATAGGCGGAGGTTTAGCAGGGATAACGTCGAAAGAGCGGCAAGTGTGGGATTGAGAGGTTCGTCTAGTGAGAGTGATCGTTCTTCGGAAGCCATATTGGAGTATCTATTTTAGCAATGCTACTGTAGGTCCTAGTTTTGGGGTGAGCACTTGCAGGAACCTCGCTTCAAATCAGGGCCAGAAATCGTTGTCCTTGCGCAGGAGCTATCCTCGATAGAACAAAATTGGAATCAAACTTGCTAGTACGAGCAAACGAGCATAAAGGAGCTTGTCCCGGTTCAGAGCATGATTTCAGTGCAAGATTCGTCTTTTGTTCGTCCCATGGAGAGACGGCGTAGACCACGGGGGACACGGCACACGCAGGCACGTCGAAGAAGATCGTAGTCAGTGAAGTGGACGGATAGCGAGTTCAAAGGGCAAGCCAAGTACTCTTGATCTCCTGTGCTGACAGTGTGGTTGTCTGTAAAACAACTGCTACAGTAATTCATCAGGACGCGAGCAAGGCATTTCTAGGGCCGAACTTTTAATGTGACCGCGTAATCTTTAGTGCATATCCGCGTTTCCATCTTTTACGTGGGCAATATCGGACAGCGGAACCTTGACACAGGACAGCAACGTGTTCGAGCGAACTACCAGTTGTTTGAAGATTGGTATGGAACATAAGGTTCGACTAGGTTTTGAATCATCTGCCGAGCTTCGCTACGAGGCCGGACCATTGAAAAGCCAAGAGCGGATCACAACAGATCCTCGTGCTGCGTTGGCAAGGTGGAAAGCTACGATAGCTCGCATGCCCCACGTACTTGTTCGAGCTCCGTCCTGTTTTCTTTTGTCCATCTAGACATACTGATTGCAGGCCTTTGTGTATAGCAGAGAAGTCGATTATAACATCGCCAGGTGTCCAGATCCAAGGCAACTTCCTGAAGAACGAAGCTCATACCGTATTGAGGGAGCCTGGTTGTCAAGGTAGAGTCATCAGATCTATTCCTTCAAATACGTGGACATCATGGGCGGGAACACCTATCCAAAGAAGTGCATCCTCCTTGGCCTCAAACAAAGCGTTATCGACGATGCCATATCCGACCTTCGACGTGACCTACCGGAGACAGAGTTTGACTTCATCTCAGCTCTCAGCATTGACGCCATGAAAGCAGAGCTTGAGAAGCAAGATATAGACCAGGTCTTTATTGGGGCAGGTCTACCAACTGACATCCGCGTCGAAGCGACCAAGACTGTCCTTGAGACTAGTCTGGTAACCGAAGTGCATTTAAAGAATTTCAGTGCTGGCCCTCAAGGTTATACTCCCTTTATTCGAGCAATGTGCTACGGCATCAGAGAGGCCCAGAAGCTGCAAGCAGCTCAGCCTTCGTGAGACAGGTGCGAAGGATTTCCTGGAATGGCCGTGGTGATCGGGAAGCATCATGACGAGTTTGGTATTGTAGGATACAGGAGAAGAAGTACATTTTGTACGAGGATTAACAATTGCGACAAGAGAAGGACCAACGACTTCCATTCGAGGCGTATGAGTAGTCCAGCGACCTGCAATAGCTGATTAACCGACATCTGTGCTGCGGGTTATCCAATACACAAGAAAGAATCTTCTCCAAAAACGATTGGCTAGCACAAGCAGCGTAGTTCTTACCTCTAGTAACCTGCTGTGAGGCATACTTGATGGTAGATTTGCAATGCTGGCTATGGTTGTAAGACGGAGAGCTTGCAAACTTCGCCTGCTTGAACAGACAGGCACGACCCAACGAGTCTGTAACAAGCTCCCAACAGACTGTACTCCTTCCAGTATAGCTTGTAGAGTATCTGCACGACCAATCGTTCAACTCTTCACGCTGGAAGATTAGTCTAGTCCCTAGATGGCACTATACTTTCTTATGGTGGTGGCCGATGCATTACAATCGGAACATGTCCTCATGTTCTTAACAAGTCGGTCGACTGCCTAGGGTGGCAACAACGATGCGGTATAAGGCTGCATTGTAGTTCAAAATGGATGCTCACACCGAGAATCCTTGCAGCAACGAGGTCCTGAGATCTTTGCTCCGAGCTTCGACCGAAACATAACAGTTTCACTATGCAAGTTCCCATAAAGTGCTGGTTGGCACGGGACAGCAAGTCAGAGAAAGCCGGCCACTCCACGTGCCCAGGCTGGCAACTTCCATCCAATATCTAGAACTTTAACGAGAAAGTTCAGGGTAGTGCTGTCACGGAAGTAGAGCGTCATGCAATTTCGACACCGTAATCAGCAGACTAGAGACACGAGAGTTCAAATTTTCTCAATTGCACTTGGTGGGGACCCCAGTCTCTCCATGTGGAAAGGATCCATTTGCTCACGCAGATTGGTTGTTCCTTCGGAGGAAGCACCATACACATACATTAGTGTTTGTGGGAAGCCCGCTTACGATTTCTTGTTCATGCCAGGCGTTCGTCGCGATGATGACTGCTCTTGTTCCCGGACAGTGCAGTGTCCGTACCAGACATATAGTTCTAACATTTCGATCGTTGCTGCGCGGATTCGTGAAAGACACGTCCGCTCTATCATTCACACGAGGCGGTAAGCACAATCAGCCACATTGTATCACCACATAAGGACAAATTTCTTACTCGAATCTGACACAACTGAACACAAAGAAAGAAGAGCTCCGACGAAGCTCCAATAAGACTTCAACAGATTTGACGTTGTCGACCCGTGATCCTGGGTAGGAGTACCGCACCAAGCTCTTATATAGCAGTCTCTCGACATGTTGTTGACAGAGGCTGCACAACCATTCTTTTTCACAGCCAATTCTAGCGGTGAAGAGTCCTGGGCTCAAGCGGGAGTGGCAAGTCAACGTCGACAGAAGTATACTCGATCAAGGTCTTCTGCTTCGTCCGGATCGTTCAGCAGAGCACTTCGTTTAGCTGATATCGCTAAGCAGCATGGATTTGGAATGCACGTTGAGAACTGGCGGGAGGACTTGCTGCCTGTAAGGCAATATCTGCCAATGCAACACATTATTGGCAGTTTGAAGCGCGACCGTGATCAAGCCGTGAACTACGTCGAATCTCCGAGTATCTATCCTGCTAGGGACGACATAGTCCAGCGTCAGAGAGAACTGGCAGCACTGTCCCCAGGCAGCGAAGACTCATTTCTTGACGAACTTAGAAGCCCTAAACGTCGACGGACCTCGGACTGCTCGCGAACAGAGTCACAATGCACAACAGATTCTGACCCTGATAGACGTTTCAGCTACCAGACAGCTGAACATGTTGCAAAGGACATTCCGCAAGCGGCTCTGCCAGGCTTAAATCATGTTCTGAACCTGTCTACGATCACAGCAGACGAAAGGGATATATTCACTGAATATGCACCCAAGCATCTTGACGATTCGCAATTGCTGATGACAGAACTGCTGCAGATGAGGGAAAACATGATTAACGGCATAGACGAGGAAGATACACAAGACAGTGCCGATGCTGGGGTCGAGGAGTTCTGTTCACCTGTTCTACCGCCCGAACGCGAAGCCGAAGTTGAGAAAGCCTTTGAGGACTTTCTAGATCTTCAGGACAACCACTTTCTTGCGAAAATTGTGACTACTCTACCTGACACTGTTACAGACATCGACAGATCTCGAGATTGATGACGCGACATGAATGGAGCACGCTCTAGACTCGATACAAAATGTCTCTAAGGATGAGCGCTTGTCACTTATAGTTCCTTTCCAGTAACAGATCGGAGTTTTAACTTATCGAAGTTCTTAGTCAGTACATATAGTTCGAGCCAACTATTCCTTCAATTTCAACTGATCCCGTGAACGAACCTCATCGAATCGTAGAGCGAAGGACGGCTTCGAATGAGGCCTCAGGCACAAAATATCGAAGCTTGGCAGACATTCAAGCTCGATCACATGACCTTCAATTGATCTTTTCGTGTCTTGACCAGCAACAGAAGGTGGACTTTTCCAAATATATCAAGGTGAAAGTTGCGATCATCCTTTCCACGTTGGAGGGTATTTCAATGGTATCAGAAGCCTAGAAGACTCTTCATATGGCTCACTTGCTCGACGCGAATTACGGGTGGTGACAACAAAACCTTCTGCAAGCTCAACTTGAGCTTGCTGTAGAAAATGCGATAAAGATTCCCGCTCGTGAACCTAGCTTTGATGACAGCTAAATTCCTACACACATAGCTAATTCTACAACAGGCCGTGGTTGCAAGCGAGGTAAGAAAGCAATTTGGGTACGTTGACCTCGAAGCTATTGAGGTCGAAGCCTACTAACTGGCGACTAGTACGGAAATAGTCTACGTTTAGTTGGTTATGGGACACTTGGATTTCTTGTTCAATGTACATTAGCTATCGTGTTGGATGTCGATGGGGAGAAAACCTCCGAGCAAGAATAACCTTTACTGGTCTATGATGAAAAACGTCAAAAAGAGAAACGCGAGTTCAAGCTCAAGTCCACCAGACTGATGCTGGATGTGCGATATCTCTGGTTCGATTACCTGAGACCACTTGTTTTGAAGTATTGGTTGTATGCCTGGGCGGATGTTTTTCAGCACTGGTACGACCGACAAGGATATCTAATTCCTCAAACTGCTTCCATGTTCCAAGACTCCTACTGCAAAGGGATCACGTCCTCGTTGCTGAGCGTCCTCTCCGCCTTTGTCTCTCCGTCTTGTTGTATATCTTCGTCCTTGCGTGTATCAGGAACACTCTTTCCGATGTGCGCCAACTTCGTTTCCACGCTCGCACCCTGCTTGATTGTTTGCAGTACCACGCAGTATTTCTCACTCATGCTGATCAACTTGTCCACGCTCTCTTTATGTTCCTCGCCCACATCGAGCCGCAGAACGAGCTTTATAGACTTGAACCCTACAGGGACTGACCCACCATTTTCATCTTTGATACCCAGTGTTCCACGGAAATCCAGATCTCCCTGAACAGTGATACTGCCACCTTCTAACGGAATGGACATCGCCGTCGCGACTGCGCGCACCGTAACACCGAAGCATGCGACAAGACTCTCGAGCAGCATATCTCCAGAACATAGCTCTCCACTAGCGTCGAAGCCTGGGCCACCAGCTGCGGGATGTAGGCCTGCGACTTTCTTCGCAGCCGAGGCAGCTCCAAGACTGCAAGTCAGGTTCGTGGCATCGAGGGAACCGGTGCTCGTGAGGGTGACGACCGCGCTGGAAGGATCGGATCGATACTTGTCCTTCAAAGGTTTCTGCTTTGCACGGAGTGCTGAGGCTGCGTCGCTCATCCTGCTGTCGTTGCTTACTGTATCTTTTTAGTGTCGAGTCTGAGTATGCCCTTCTTCACGAGTGATCAAATGTAATACAGATTACAACAAGGAGGACGGAAGAAGAGGTGTCGAGGAAGCTTGGTACGAGTAGCGCACCCATGACCGTCATGGCTGCAAAGAATACTGTTGTCAGCAGCGGAGTGCTCCTACCTCGGATGGCTGGAGAAGAACTGCAGGAGCTGCTTTCACGAGCAGCAATTGGGACGTCGTTGAATCTTCTTGGGCAATGTTTACATCATGTGGTGCTTTCCCCTCGTGTGGAGGGTGCCTTTCACCCATTCTGAACCTTGTGGGAGAGGGCGATGATACAAGAACAAACCTCTAAAGCACAAACGAATTAGATGCATACTTTTCGATGTTTGCTATCGACTGAAGGCTTTGCAAGGATGGTTTAAGAAGCTATCTGAATCGACGGCAAGGATGGTTTCGTACAGTAGTGCAACTATTAGCACGACATGTGGAGCACGGATGTGGTGTCCAATACTAATATATGTAATAAGTTATATACGATCACATTTGCGCCTCGCAACCAGACACAATAACATCATGGCAGCTCTATCGAGTCTATTGCCTGTAACAAAACGTACAGGCCTTCTGATAATCCTAGTCCGGGCGACGTAACTCTCGGCCACAATAACTCAGTTCATCCACGACCGAGCTGTTCGAAACTATCGAAACAGAGTGTATGACCACTCAAATCTGACGGCTTGACGATGGCCGAGGACTGGACAATAGCTCAACGGGCTTGAGGACGGATCGAGGCCATTCTGCTTCAACTCGAGGGGTATTGCGTCTGCTGTAGAAATCTGGTAAGCTCGTATTTGGGAAGGCTAACGACCTGTCCTTCCATGTCGACTTGCTACAGCTTAGCTCTCAATGGCTCATTCAACAGATCTTTCATCTCGTGTCTGGGATAGTCGGGATTCAAAGCTGGATCTGGACGGTCTCTGTCCCATGCCCACTTCTCCTGCAGTTCGCTCGAGAGCTCTTTCTCAAGCATTTGTATCACGTATTTGCCGAGTACTGGGAAGAATTTCCAGCCGTGAAAATTTCCACAAGTAGCAACGTATAGACCTTTGGCGGCTGCATGGGGTGAGATTATGAAATCTGCGCTGGTTGTGAATGCATCCCTGGCACGTGTTAGTGGACGTCAATATATTGGGACAGGACGAGATCTTACCAGCATATACGGTGCTTCTCCATCTTCCAACTTGCGCCATTCTTACCATAAAAAACGTGGTTGGCATAATCAATGTCCTCTTTAAGTTTTCCAGATACCTTCCACTGAGCATAATCGGGCTCTGGAGGTGGTGCTGAGACGTGCCGGCCGGGCAAAACTTCTTGAGTGTTGCTGAAGATTGTTTGACCCCACCACTTTAACTCCTTGTCCTTTGTCGGTGGGAGACTACCAATGAACGGTCCTGTTTATCATATTAGCTGGTTTTTTTAACAAGCAATGTGAATTGAATATTTACCGGTCTGTGCGGTGTAGCCTTGCACGCCCACAGGCATGCTAGCAAATCTCTCATACGAGCTTTCGTCCAGCTTGGTCATACCAGTCGTGATGCCGCCAGCCACGATTCTTGAGCCAGCACGAAGATCTGTCTTGCCACTCTCTTGTGCACATATCTCCAGCAGTTTTGGTGTATACGCTCCAGTCGAGAGGACAACGTTTGAGGCTGTTAGAATGTCGCCTTTCGCTGTCTTCAAACCTGTACACCGACCACTTTGGTCAAACTGTAATGCAGCAACCTCAGCCGTCACATACTTGACCCCAAGATCTAAGCATTCACGTGTGACAGCACGCAGACAGTCTCCAGCAGCAGCCCAACCACTAGTCTTGTTGACAAGCACTTCCTTGACATCCGAGTAATCAGCATCCTCGAAAAGTCCGCCATACAGTTTTCGGGCCTCATCAACCGGCACAGCTTTCAGATCAGCGTCTCGGCCAAGTTTCTTGTAGTTGTCTATTACTTCCTGCGCGTAATCGCTTCGACACATCCAGTATATGCCGGTTTCGTGAAAGTAGGGCTTCCATAGTGGATCGGTCTTGAAAACGTCCTGTGATTCCAAGCCCATCTGGCAATATACTATATCGTCGTAGTCGGCGCGTACCACCTTGTTCCAATCCCAAGAGGCGGCTACACGACTTTCAGCATCGTACGCATCTCGGTCAACCAGAGTGATGGACCGATCCGGGTATTTCTTGACAAGATGATATGCTGTTGACACACCAAAAACCCCTGCTCCGACAATGAGGTAAGAGGGTTTATCTGAAGACATCTTGAACACAACAAACTCCTCCGAAGGGATCCTTCTTGCCTTTAGACATGATCACCATCTTATCGTTTCTCTCATATAGTAGCAACGATGTGAGTGTATGGAGGAGATGGCCGTTCTCGGCAAATGCGCTTGCGTGTCCATATTGAGATCTGTGGGGAAGAACGTGGTCTTTATGTCTCTTTTCAGAAAAGCTTTCCCTTGGAACGTCGATTTTGAGCAAGTCTACCGGACTGGTCAATAAAGAACAAAAGTATCGAGTTTGCTTTAGATATAGAATAGCTACGTATGTATTCGCTGCAGATACTTCTGCCAGCACCGTGCTCCATGGAATACAACACGTCGAAAGTTTTCAGGCAATTCCGACGTAAGAGAACTATGTTCCCAAGCACTGAGGTCTTGATCGTAGCTGAGCTCGAATAAAAAGGTAATTCAACACCGCGGTTTCCGATAAAGAACTCCGAGTTCAATGTATAGGAGCGATGCCTCCATCGTCCGTTGTTATCGATCCAATATCGATACTGCCGAATACTGGTTCGACGAACTCATCAAATTCGCAACAGAACAGAAAATGTTGTACATTGAAGTGAACTCCGACCTGTCGCAAAAATTGTCCCGGACGATTTTCAAACTGTTGAAGTGCCATCGCTGGTGGTGTCGCATGTACCTCGTTCGCGAAAATACGTGATTAAATCGCGGTTTCAATTGACGAGCCAGAAACACAGTCCCTTTCTGAAGTCCCGCTGGCATGCAACATCTAGAAGGAGGACCCAATGCGACTTCTGTCAATGAGCTACGTGCTCTAGCCTGTAGTTTCCGAAGACCGTAAAAGACATACCATAGTATGTCTGTGTATCAATGCATTTGCTCAAGACCCCGGTAGTAAATACGTATTTGTATTTTGTATAGCTTCTGCTTTCCGTTCTGTTCGGCAGGCCAGACATATTCAAACAGCTCTTTCAACGTCTCCCTCTTTGATTGCCTTTTTGATGCCATGCTTGCTTGGATGTACCATAGACTTGATACCCAGCCACTCCGTGTTGATGGGCGATTTGCCTGTGTAGATTAACAGATCATATAAAAATCCGCCAAACGCAGCGCCGATGAATGGACAAATCATCGGCACCCAGAAGTAGTAGTCTCCCGCTCTCCAGACTTCAGGACCATAGCCTACCATATAAGTGAACAATCTAGGTCCAAAATCTCGAGCTCTGTATTCTGTGTCAGCCTTGTGCGAACGAGTGAGTGCGTGTAACTCACAGATTGATCGCATAACCTGTCTCCCAGCCTAACGTGGCACCGATACCGAAGATCAAGAAAAACAGCATAAGAGGCATAAGGTTTCCTGCTCCCAGATTCCTTTCGTCCTTGAGCGCGAATATTACAAAAACGAGAACTGCGGAAGATATGATTTCTGAAAAGACCTGACCTGTCTTGGTAAGGAATGGTTGCGGATATGTGTTGAAGACTCCTGCTGTGGCCGTGTCGCTGTAACCAGGTACGGTCCGGACACCGTAGCCCTCATAGGCGTCTATTGCGGATTTGTAGTTGCCATAGATAATCGCAGCACCACAAAAGCAGCCGAATACCTGTGCGCACGCGTAGATTGGCCACTTCCACCAAGGAAACCCACGATACAGACAATTTACCATCGTTATCGCAGGATTTCTGCTTAGCATTAGCAAGATTTTGATGACCGAGTAGGTTGACTCACAAATGACCACCAGAACATCCACACACATAAACGCCTAGCATGACTCCGATGCCCCATCCCCAAGATATTGATTGATAATCACCTTTATTCTGACTCGCTTGCGGTAGATTGGGATTGGCTGACAGGGTCACTTGTGCAACGCTTCCGTCGCCGAAAACTATCATTATCATCGTGCCACAGAATTCAGCAAAAGCATCACGGCAAGTATACCGCACACGATACCACCAGAGGTGTTTGTGATGCTCATAATCACGACGTGCAGCCTCATTTTGCCCGCTGTTGTCTATTGGTGCACCATGTTCTTCATACGTTTGATAAGTATCCACGGGGTTCAAAGTATGGCCATCATTGTCCGGGTCCGGTGATCGTTGTTTGTGTCGATGCTCCTTGTGTGCATAACCGACGGCTGTGTCTGCATCGCTACTTGAAGGATCTGAATAACCAGTCGCAGGTGATCGACCTAGATCTGGTTTGGGAGAACCATAATCAAGAGCGTCCATCGCTATCGAGCTCTGCTACGATTCAGAGAATGCTCAGGCTGAAAGAAATACGATGCAAGTATATTCATACACGAGGGAGAGCTAAAGTGAGAGCTTTGCGAGATTCTGTTGCATCGATTGCATGCGCAAAGAGATTCCAGAAGACTCAGATTGAAAGGCTGGCGAAAATGGGTTCTTACATAGTGGGCCTTGCGGCATAAAGAGCAACGTCGTATTTCAAGCTACTAGAGTAGCTTGTAGTCCTTCGCGTGCTGCCGAGCAAGCCGCTCAGGTCATGCGTGCGAAGTGAATTCTGAATGGACTTATCATGTGGGGTCAAAGAGAGCTGAATGGTCGCTCGAGCCGTTATTGATATGTATGAGCCGCATGCGCTCGGCTCTTAAGTTCGCGCTTGGAGGTTGAAGTGAGGGACACCATGTTCGTTTCGTTTACCCCCTCCTCTTCTTGCCAATGGACACAGAATGAGAGCCACGGTTGCAGGCGGACGGCGGCAGCTACGCTGGACATCCGTCGATGACGATTTGCGTCTTCAAAATTTGAACAATTATCCATCCACAGATGCACGAATGATAGTGGTTCTTTCCTGGTACGTCAGCGGCTGTGCACGCGAAAAGCGGAGTTCGTGCCAAGAGATAGTGGCTTCAGATACATTCGCTTACCAATGTCATACATCGTCGAGGTGGTAAGTGATCAGCATACAAATACCGAGTATACCGAAACAAGGGTCATGCATCGACGTTATACTCGAGTACACAAGGCTGCCTGTTCTCAGGTATGAGCCTTTGTGCTGGCTCGAAACAAGTAGCAGATGGCAGATATATGAATTTTTGTCTCGTATTCATACTCTTGCGGCTCTGTGCCTTGAGAAAGTCGAAATAAACCTTCAACAGCATGTGCCGCCACCATTTCGGATCCAGTTTGTCGGACCCAAAACATCTGGTAGCAGTGGTTCTCAAGTATGTCAACCCAGCTGAAGACCTCTCCGAGAGATCGGATTCGAGTCTCCGGCTTTTTTTGGGCGCACACCCAGGCAGTCAAGAGTCTCTAGCACAATACGACAGCAAACAGTGGTGCAAGCCTCTCATTCGCGATCCAGCATGCACAGTGAGTCCAATGGTTGTAAAATAGACGTGGTGCAAGGCTGCGCTCAGTTTCTTATCATGTCTTCCGCTTCTTTCTCACACCTCCGTCTTCATCATCGCTGATCGACTGGTAAACTGTTTTCGGTTGTGTTTTGCTCCAAGCTTTGGTGAACATTGGATCCTGAACGGCCTTGTCCGCATACCTAAGCAGCGCCTCTCTAGGATCCTCATTCCTCATATCGCTGAACGCCACACGTCGATTGATGTGATCCTCGCTCGGTTGCGATTTCGAGAACGGAGTTTGGAGAGGTACATGTGGTCTGCGAGGATCTCGTGACTTCCCTGAGGCGGTAAGACCTATCGTAGGATGACGAGATGCATATGTAGATGCCTGAATCGCTTCCGAAGATGTCCCTGGATTCAAAATGGCATCGCCAGAGACGCCAAGTGAGTCGTGATCTGTAGTTAGTGTCGCGTCGTCGTCGATGTGGCGACGTTTTGGCAGACGTGATAAGATCGACACAGCACCTTTGGAAGAGTTGTTTGGGCTGAACAGTAGATGAGTCTCTGCATTAGCGGAACCTGTAATAATCTGATTGAGCTTGGGATGCCATTGAACAACGGTAAGTGGCGAGGACGGTGTGACCGGCGTGACAAGTGCAGGTCTCAGCGTAGCAGGGTTCAAGATGTACAGTGATCCTTCTTGTGATCCAGCCAAGATGGCAGAAGTGTTCGGCGCGAATATGACGTTGCTTGTTGGGTACTGCTGCGACGTTGACAGATGAACAACTGTGTTGATCGGTGCCTTGAACTTGCGAGTATCCCAGGTCTTGATAGTGTCATCCCCACCACGCGTCACGATGAGCCTGCCATCAGAACTTATGTCAATGCCGCTCGTCCAAGTATCAGGTTTGTGAGCGTCTTTCACCTCGGCAATAGGCCGGTGGTATGGACCTTGTCCTGGCCATATCAGTAGTGCGCCATCTAATGCGGCTGCAACGAGTAAGCTGCTACTGCCTTCTGGGCTGTTTCCCCATGCGACAGCGGTCATCCGGCTTCGTCCAGCAGCTCCGGCTTGTCTAGATTTGTGAACAATGATTTCTTTCTGTTTGCTTCGCAAATTAAGATCCCAGATACGTAGCGTACTGTCGGTTCCTGCTGTGACGAATTGATCTGAAATGAGCGGACTCCATGCTCCAGACGTGATCTCGCTTACATGTCCTTTTGTCATGTTCATGTCTCGCAGGTACATGTCGCCTTTGACTGTTTCGTATTCCGTCTCGCCATCTCGTGAGATAACTCTAGCTTGGGGTGTTGCGGTGACGACCAAAACCTGATTGCCTGAAAATGGATTGAACGAGACCTGGTGAATCGGATGGGTTTCTGAAGTGGCTGAATTCTTCGTGGCTGTAGAATCTATCGATTTGAAGGCTCGAATAGTGTTTGGTGCCATGGATGCAAAGTCATGAAACTTAAGAGTGCAGTCAGTAGAGCCTGTGATCATTCTTGCGCCTGCTGTATCTAGAGCAATTGATGTTACAGCTCGGTCGTGTGTCTTGAAGACAACATCGTGAGAGACTGGATATCCAGAGTCGTCCATATCATCTGAGCCACCAGAGCTTGAGTCACTGTCATCATCACCATCGTCGTCATCGTCGTCGTCCTCTTGATCAGGCGCGGCAGCTTTGAACTTTTTCTCGAATCCTGGTCGTCGCGCCTTTTCCATTTGTGCTTCAAGAACATCGTCAGGATTTGAACTCCCAAATGCCGTTGGCATAAAATCACGTAACGCCTCTTCGTCCATGTTGACTGTAGGACTTCGTGAACATTAAAAGAAAAGATTCAGCCACAGCAGTGGGCACCTTTGTGCCTAATCATGCAAAGACGGTATAGTGAGGATATCGAAAATTCATGCGTGATCTTGGAATAAATTGTGTCGAGCTATGTATGGGTATGGTTTCGAGTAATCATGGAGTCGAAGTCGATGCGATAAATGTGAGTAATTACAACTCGTGATAGTTACGATACTGTCCACCATTTGGGTTCCGGCAGCCTACTGGAGCCTATGACAGTGGCCCCGGGTTACCTCAACCACCCATCGACCCTGTAATACTCGCAGCCGCTAGTTGAGCCGTGACAGAGTGTTCCACACATTATAAGAACCACTTAGATCAATACCGTGTGCAGCGAACAGCACTAAGAGGGCAACTACAACAAGCATCTACAACCAGCAAATTGCTAGTCGTCTGCGGCCAGAGGATGTCATAACGAAGTGGGTCTGCTATTTGAAAACCTGCATGAGGTGCAGAGAATATCTGGAATATTAGACTCTACGGGGGAGACCTTTGACGAATAAAAAGAAAAGGTATACAGCTTGCTTTATCTTCCGAAACACAATTACGTAGGCTCTTCTCAACCATTCACCTTGCTACCTAGCACACCTTTCGTGCTGATGATGTCCCCGCCTCCGACGGTCCCCTCAGGTCGTCTCTCACAAGCAATTCTGCATGCGACCGCCAAGCTCTTGAAGGCACTCTCTGCTCGATGATGGTTGTTGTATCCATACTCACATTTTACATGTAGCGTCACGCTTGCTGCCTGTGCAAAGCTCTCAAGACCATGCACTATCATCTCAGTACTCAGATCGCCAACCTTCTCTCTCGTGAAACCAAGATTGATAACAGCGTAGGGCCGATTCGATAGGTCGATGACAGTCCATGATACTGCCTCGTCCAGTGGTGCATCACCACGACCAAACCTCACGAGAGACTTGCGATCGCCAAGACATCGGTTGAATGCAGTACCAATGGCTAGGAAAACATCTTCGGTGGTATGATGATCATCGATAACGAGGTCGCCTCTGGCTCGAACAGCCAAAGACCAACCAGCATGTTTCGAGAGCGCATGTAGCATATGATCCAGGAAGCCGACACCAGTGTCAATGGCTATCTGCTGAGTTAGAGTAATTTGTGTTGCATGATGTGATGAAGGTAGTGGAACAGCTAGATCTGGATACTGTGTCGATTTCTCGAAATTCCTGTCAAAATGCTCCGAAGTTTCAAAAGCTGCCAGTGCTCCTCCATCCAACGACATTGACACCTGTATTTTGGTTTCATTGGTTATACGGTTCAGCGAGCAGGTCCGCCGTGGCAGTGCCTTAAAGGTAGGCGAAACTGAGCCCATGACAACTCACAGACGCTGACCCTACAGAACCAATAGTATTCTCGGTGACTGTGTCTCAAAAGCGAGTTCAAGTATATACCAATACCCGCTGGGTGAGTAGAATCAGAGACGTGGGTTTACACAGTATGCCTGGTGATATAGGCGAAGCTCAACTTCGAGCTAGTAGATATCAATACCGACGTCAATTGTAACTAGTCGTCTGGTGTTGAGCTTGACAGAAAGCTGGCAGTACAACTTTTGTGGTGCTGATTGGCAATAATCGGTCTGTTAGTTTTTGTGATGAAGCATTTGAAGCTACCAAGCTTTGCTACAAAGAAATATTGTGTAGATTAGGGTTAAGCACAAGATGTAGTCGTACCACTACACAACCGTAACCTTTGAGCTCCACCGTGACTGCACCTCGATACCACCCGCAATCATAGCTCCGTGGAATGCTGCTGTGGCTCTTGAGGCTTCTGTGTAGTACTGAGTAGTCGCTATGCCTATCAATCCTACGTATCTGGCGCAAACAACGCGGACTTGTAAGCAAAATCACCCATCAATTTCTGAGAGCCAGATGCTGACTCGACAAAAGCCACGAGTTGGAATGAAGCGAAGCGACGGGTGCTTAAGTCCTACCGAGACTGGCTGCGAGCGGTGTGTAAAGACGTCGAATGAGGAAGAAGCCAGGTGCTAATCGTTGACCCTATAGACACCTGAAATTCAGCAAATGTACTCGTTAAATATGCCTGTATCCAAGATCCGGACGAAGGTACGGCAAGAGTTCGAGAAGCACAGATACGTGAACCAATTACGAGCGGTGGATGTGTTGATCATGCAGAGTAACATGGAATTTCAGGTCAGCCACAGCTTGGTCAAGCAGCATTCAAGTGCTCAGACTGATTTGGCACAGGAAACATTGAACTATTGGAAACAGCTGTCGCACGTCATGAAGTACTTCAGACAAGAGGAAGACCCTACTGCAAGATTACCGAACAACTTCATATCGGGATTCTTGGAGGTATGGATGAGGTCTCAAGCAGACAATGGCCAGGCACTAACGTAATATAGGGACGGAATTGAGCAGTATGTCATGCCTCCATATCGTACTATGCATGGATTGCAGGAACACCTGTTCCTAGAACCACCAGACGCCTACGCTATGCCACGAAACGCAACACTTCAAACAAGGACGAGAGCAATAGTCTTCTCAGATACCACTTGTTCCTTCTTGTTGCGCATTGAAATTGTCCCTCGCTACGGTGAACTTATGTGTAACCACATCACAGGCCTCTATCATGTCTTCCAAGCCTTTTCTCAGAACATCATATACCAAAACGTTCGTATCTTCTGCCCGAAATCAGCGGCATATTCCTAGGAGGAGACGATGCAGAACGGAGTGTTGTGCCAGCAAGGCAGGAGAATTGTCACTTACCCCATACCTGGATTCTAAGGTGCATTTTGGTTTCGCTAGGATGAGGAATGGTATATCCACAAAATTCAACATCCGGGTTCTTGTTGATGAAGTATCGCAATGCGTTGCCGAGTGTGTGGTCTTCTTTTTCTATCTGGAAAGACGCGGCTTGGCCTGTGGCTCCGGGTAGCTGTAGCGCTGGTTAGAGTCTGATGTAAGATCACTCCTCAATCATACCACCACTAATTTCTTGAGACCACCTAGTAGTGCATCGTCTTGGAATAATTGGTCTTCTGCTTCTGTGTCTGTGGTACGTGTATCCATCTTCGAAGCTTTTGAGATGACTATGTCGAGATAGTTGTTGGTGAGTTAAACGTTCACGACTGCCATCGAATCTCTGACAAACTTTTGATATCACGTGATCGAGAGGAATGTGCTAAGACACGCTAGCTCTAGCATTGCACCCGGCTCGAACTTGTATACACGTCTTTTGTCTTTCTCATGACTTGAATATGATCCCATACGCATCCTGCCAGCCGAAGCAGCCGAGCTTAAGGTAACTACGAGCCACAATATTCAACTTCATACATGGGAACAATCACTTAATTCTTCCTCCTTCTTTCAATGTGGAGTCCAGTCTACATTCTGCATAAACCCAAGCAAATTACCTTGGCCAGCACTTTTTCCTTGATCGGTGTAGGTACAGTACAAGCACATCGCCATGCGACCACCACGTATATAAACCTACAACACACATGTGCAGGGGCACAATGCATTTCTGTTGCCTGAAGCATTAAAACTCGAAAGGGAGAGGATACTGGATCATTCAAAGTCCCCAAATTGATGCTTGATGCCTCAGGCGACAAGAACGAATTGTGTCCACCAATAGCGAAATCTGTAATATTCCAGTTCCAAACATCCAGGCCTATTGTGGAGATTGGCTGTTCGGTGATCGGACAACGATAGATTTTCTCCAGCTCGTCCCTGTCGAGATTACTGGCCGACTCGTTGGCTGTTCTTTCCATGAACAACGTGGCAAATTGTCCTACGATCAGTTTTCCGGAACTTCCAAACTCCACACCGATGCCTCTAATTATACTCGAATAAGCACCGTCATTAACCCTTAAGACTTTGTCGTGATGACCAACGGGAAGTCAATTGACCGAGCTCTCGCCCCCGAGTCCCATGGCCATGATGCTCGGGGCCGTACTCGAGTAGCATGGATACCTGCTCGTATTCTTTCTTCGATCAGCGGTTCATCCTGCGTTGCTGCGCGTTTGTCTAACTGCACATTTCTTGTCGGATGGATCTCTTCCGTTACGAGTACGCTCATTCTTCGATACCTTTTCAAGTCTGCCTGTTGCAGCATTCGTGTTCATCATTGCCTTCCTTCTTCTCGTCCTTCACTGATCAGTCATTGATTGAACGCTACTTTCCTGCTGCCGTGACAATTAACATGTGTAGATAATATGCACGAGTAACAGCCTATACCAACATTCCAAACGCATTATATACATACGGACAGCTGAGCAAATCAGTCAACATGGATCCCAATGGTCCAGGTTTTGTAGCTGCAGACATTAGGGAGACGGAGAAGCAGAATGAGGACCTACAGAGAAGAGAAGTGGGCATAACAACAGAAAGTCAGGTACATACGGGAGAAATCGAGAACGAGAAGCTCAATGCCACTCATAGCACGCCTGTACCAAGATCGCCTACTTCGCCCGTCTCGCCAAAGTCGCTAGAATATAATTCAGAAAAGTCGACAGGGAGTTCAGAGGACTTTAGAAAGATTGACTCAAAGATACATGTTAGAGAGGATGCGCCAGAGGGAGATGCAGTCTTTGCGCATCTGCCTAAGGAAGAGCAGGATATCTTGAAGCAGCAGGTTGACACCCTGCCTGTACCTGTGAAGTACTTCACCCTCTATCGGTATGCCACAAAATGGGACAAGATCTTTTTAGTTATCGCAACACTATGTGCAATCGGAGGAGGTGCTGCACTACCTCTTATGACCGTTGTTTTTGGCAACCTCTCTGGCAGCTTTTCGGGCTACTTCCTAGGCACGTTGTCAGAAAGTTTCTCGACCATCCTGAACAGATACGTGCTATACTTTGTTTATCTGGCCATTGGTGAATTTGTTCTGGTCTACGTGTCAACTGTACTGTTCATCTATGTCGGCGAACACATCACGTCTAAAGTGCGAGATCGTTACCTCAAGGCTATCTTACGACAAAACATCGGATTTTTTGACAAACTCGGTGCTGGTGAAGTTACCACACGCATCACAGCAGACACCAATCTCATACAGGAAGCCATTTCAGAAAAAGTTGCCTTGACATTGAACGGTGTAGCCTCGTTCTTCGCCGCTTTCGTCATTGGGTTCATACGCTTCTGGAAATTGACATTGATCTGCATGTCTACTGTATTCGCCATTGTTTTGGTCATGGGGACTGGAGGTCGCTTCATGAGTATGTGGAACAAGAAGTCCCTGGCAGCCTATGCTACAGGAGGTTCAGTCGCCGAGGAGGTATTTTCGTCTATCAGAAATGCCGTTGCGTTTGGAACTCAGGACAAGCTTGCCAAGTCTTATGATAAGCATCTGATCGAGGCAATGCGCTGGGGGGTCAGGAGCAAGAGTATGATGGCCGTCATGATCGGTTCTTTGTTGTGTTTGATCTTTCTGAATTATGGACTGGCTTTTTGGATGGGCGGCAGATTTCTGACAAGTGGGGAAACCGATCTTGCTCATATCCTGACTATCATTATGGCTGTAATGATCGGCGCTTTCTCCTTCGGCAACATCGGTCCTAACGTTCAGCACTTCGTTGCTGGCATAGCAGCTGGCAACAAAATCTTCGCTACGATCGATCGAAAATCGCCCTTGGACCCTGAATCTGACGAGGGTGCGAGGCTCGACCATGTACAGGGAAATCTTGAGCTCCGGAACATCAAGCACATCTATCCCTCAAGACCAGAAGTTACAGTCATGGAGGATGTCAACCTTTACGTTCCGGCTGGCAAGACAACCGCTCTGGTTGGTGCCTCAGGCTCTGGCAAGAGTACAATCGTTGGCCTGGTTGAGCGCTTCTACGACCCTGTCGGAGGCCAGGTATTTCTAGATGGACACGACGTTAGCACTTTGAATCTGCGATGGTTACGCCAACAGGTCGCCCTTGTGCAGCAAGAACCTGTACTTTTCAGTAAATCTATCCGCGAGAATATCCGTAATGGACTCATCGGGTCCAAATTTGAGCATGAGAGTGAGGAAGAACAGACAAAGCGAATTGAGGAGGCTGCAAGGAAAGCAAACGCGCACGACTTCATAATGGCATTGCCAAATGGGTATGAAACTCAGGTTGGAGAACGTGGGTTCCTAATATCGGGTGGCCAAAAGCAACGTGTAGCGATTGCTCGAGCCATTGTCAGTGACCCCAAGATTCTTTTACTCGATGAAGCTACCTCAGCACTCGACACGAAGAGTGAGGGAGTTGTGCAGAAAGCCTTGGATGTAGCAGCAATCGGCCGTACTACCATCGTCATCGCTCATCGCCTTTCAACCATCCGTGACGCTGACAACATTGTGGTTATGAAGGATGGTCGTATCGTTGAGCAGGGCACACATTCTGACCTTCTCGAGAGTAATGGCGCATATGCCGCACTTGTCTCTGCACAACGCATACAGAAGAACCAGGACCAACAAGATGTACCTGCGTTGGATGAGAAAGCAGCATTGACAACCGAGTCAGAACTAGACAAGGCTGTATCCCGAAAATCCTCTTCTGCTGGCAGCGCAAGTGCTGATCCAGCGGACAAGAGACCAGGTCTTAGCAGGAACGAAAGCACCAAAGGGTCAATATCTGCCAAGGTTCTGGCAGGCAAGAGCAACGACGATGATGTCAAATATTCTTTATGGACACTAATCAAATTCATCGGCAGCTTCAACAAGAAGGAATGGCATTTTATGCTGCTAGGACTCTTCTTCAACATTATTGCCGGATCTACACAGCCAGTTCAGGGAATCTTTTTCGCTAAGGCAATCGTCGCTCTTTCACAACCATTAAGCCAAGCGGCTCAAATTCGACGCGATGTCAACTTCTGGGCGCTCATGTACTTGATGATTGCGTTTGTTCAGCTGTGCGCTATGTGGACTCAAGGTATATCCCTAGCTATTTGCAGTGAACGTCTTGTCCATCGAGCACGAGACATGGCCTTCCGACATTTTCTCCGTCAGGACATTGCTTTCTTTGACAAGGAGGAAAACTCAACTGGCGCCTTGACATCTTTCTTGTCTACAGAGGCTACTCACCTTTCAGCATTGTCAGGTGCCACTCTTGGTGTGTTGCTTTCTTGCACATCTACGCTAGTGGTCGCTATTTGCGTGTCGTTGGCAATCGGTTGGAAACTCGCTTTGGTATGCATGTGTGCCTTGCCAGTTATCTTGGGCACTGGGTATCTCCGTTTCAAGATCCTTGCGAAATTTACAGCAACAGCTCAACGTGCCTACAAGAAGTCTGCTGGCTATGCCTGCGAGCATACTAATGCCATTCGCACTGTTGCCTCCCTGACTATTGAGGACGAAATCTACCAGGACTATCGTTCACAACTCGATGCTCAAATCAAAGAGTCTCTGAAATCTAACCTGAAGAACAGTGTTTGGTACGCCGCTTCTCAATCCTTCATGTTCCTTGCTATTGCTCTTGGTTTCTGGTATGGTGGTACCCTCATTAGCAGTGGTGAGTACACCTTGTTCCAATTCTTCCTCGTCTATTCGGAAATCATCTTTGGTACACAATCGGCAGGAACAGTCTTCTCCTTCGCTGGTGACATGTCCAAAGCACGCAATGCGGCGAATGAGCTGCGTAAACTCTGGGATCGACAGCCAACGATCGACCCGTGGAGCACTGATGGTGAGAAAGTGGCGGACATCGAAGGTCACGTCGAGTTCAGAGACGTCCATTTCAGATACCCGACACGCCCTGATGTTCCAGTTCTCCGTGGACTCAATATCACTATCAAGCCAGGACAATATGTAGCCCTCGTCGGCGCTTCAGGATGCGGCAAGTCAACCACGATCGCGCTCATGGAACGCTTCTATGATCCTCTGGCTGGTGGTGTCTTTGTCGATGGAAATGAGGTTTCGCGTCTCGAGCTTAATGAGTACAGACATCATATTGCTCTTGTATCACAAGAGCCAACACTATATCAAGGTACCATCAAAGAGAACATTTTACTAGGTCTCGGTGGAATGAGCGACGACAAAGTGAGCGACGAGCGTATAATACAAGCATGCAAAGACGCCAACATATACGACTTCATCATCTCACTACCCGACGGCTTCGCTACTCACGTTGGACAAAAAGCTACATTGCTCTCGGGCGGCCAAAAGCAACGTATCGCTATCGCACGCGCACTCCTACGAAACCCGAAGGTCTTACTGCTTGACGAGGCGACAAGTGCTTTAGACTCTGAAAGTGAGAAAGTTGTACAGGCTGCGCTGGACAAGGCTGCTAAAGGACGAACAACCATTGCAGTAGCACATCGGTTGAGCACGATTCAAGGTGCTGACTGTATATTTGTGATTGACAGAGGTGTCGTCATTGAAAGTGGAACGCATCAGGAGCTGATGAAGATCAAGGGTGGACGATATGGTGAGCTCGTCAGTTTACAGAGTTTGGAGAGAAGGTAGTGTACACGACCGAATTGTTTTTACGGTACAAAATCAGTGGGGGCATCTTTTGAAGCTTGCAAGCGAGAGAATCTGAGCAGTTTGTGTTGTTTAGACTGGAGGCGTTTTGTGATCAATGTTGGAAGCACAATAGCGATGATAGATGGGCCAATATAGATAGCCACATCACAACTCAATCTAATTTCATTACGAGTACTCCTTTGCAGCAGGATCAAGAACATTCGCCCAGAATTCCCTGCTTCGCGAAGGTAGTGCCTTCACCCCACTACCTGTCCATCGTAATTCTCCTTGATCACCTTCTCCAGCTCCTGCGGCTTCAGCCCCGTCACACCATCCTGTATAAATCCATCCTTGAAGACACTACAAAACTCTGGTCAACCTAATCCAAACTTATCCAGTCTCTACATACCTGAAATTAGGCACATTTCTCGCGCCCAGCTCCTGCGCAATGTCCTCCGCCTCATCAACGTCGTACTTGTAGAACCTGGCATCAGGATACTTCTTGATGAGGTTGTCGACAGCGGGACGCATGCCCTTGCAGATTGGACAGTTCTTTGTGACGCCTTCCATTACCACGACGCCGTCTGGCATTAGAGCCTGGGTGTATTCTTTGCGGTTTTTGAGAATCTGCATTTGAGACATGGTGGATGCACAGAGCGTTGTTGTTAGAGGGCGTTCTAGAATGTGGAAGTAGCTTGCTGAGTGTAAAGAAACCGAGATTCATAGCGAGACACCAGGGTTTTGATCAATGCGCATATTTATTGCTTCGATTGGAGAACGGTCGAGCGGCATAGTCGACCGACAAAAAGACTGACCGCATATCGGAGCCAGGTAATCCAAGTACAGGCAACTCGCTGACAAGGACTACTACATTTACAACCTCATTATCGTGTGTAATTACAACCACACCGGTGATTGCCAGCCAACATAGGCTTGACCATGAGAAACGAGCACAATACCCATTGTGCTGTGTCTCGCAGGAACAAAGACTGTGGAAATGCCGGACCTCATTCAGAAGGGGGTAATTGGCCTAGATACATAGAGTTGAAGCAGCGACACCTTGAATACATGCTCCAAGTAGCATCGACAGTGAAACCCAGCCTATCAGCAGGCTAAGACAGAGAGCCTGAAACGTCTGCAATTGCTCCTGACTGTGACCTCTTGCCTTGTATTCGTAGTGATAGCTCGCGACCGTTTCCTTACAACCAGACATCTTCGTGACGGCCACTTCCACCAGTTTCCAGTAGCGTAAAGTCGTTCAGAGAAGGAAGTGACAACGACATGTCTTGGATGGCGCATTCAGTGAGGTTCAGCTGTCAACTCCCACCACTGTCTGCTTTCAGTTTTCAAAGAGACGAATCATCCAGTGGATTTCTGCTCTCTGCCTGATGGTGTAGAGTAGGAGCATAAATGCCCACCTTCTCCCCAATATCCGGAGCTCTCATACTTACATTCGCCAACCATACTTTCGTTCGTTCAAAAAAGATCGATCCAACCAAGCGAGTAAGCAGCGGTGGGAACGATGCTCTTTTTTTGTGGAAGTTGAAGAACTTACTGACCAAACAACAGAGATCCTTATTACGAAGATCGGCAGGTCCAACCTACCAGCAAGAAATAGCATCACATTCTCTCAGACTCATTCTTTCCCTAGCGAGGCAGGACCTCAGCCAGCATGAACCGCGATCAGTCAAATCATACATCCAGGAAGGAGTCACACAATCAGTCCACCACAAACCAGATACAGGCACAGCACAAAGATGAGGAGCCACCAGCAGCTGTTGAGGTACAGCGGCATACAGCCAACCCCACTGCTTGCAGCTGCCGCTGGACGACATACACCAAGAAGAATGGAGCGAAAGGTCGTCGATTAAAAACCCCGTGCTATAAGTCTGCTTGCAAGTACAAGTCAGCGTATCCAGTGTTCAACCACAAGCCGGCATCCTGAAATCATAGCAACGAGAGATCAAGCTTGAGGCTCAGCTGCCAGAAGAAACGGACCAGGATACTGTGATCGAAGGTGCAAGGTTCGCGTGAATGGCCATGGGCTGTGGAAAGGAAGTCAAGTTCTGACTGTGGGTGCTTGGGTGAACAATATTTATGCCTGGATGTTCGTAACACTCATTTGACTTCCATATGTCTTACAAAGTATAGACAGTGGTACTAAAATTGTTATTCTCTTGACACTCCACTGCGAGTCTTCTTGATGCTAATCGGCCCGATTGATTCGTGCCTTTGATTTCGAAGATTCTTGTCATTGTGAGGCTGACCCCGTTGAGAACATGCGACCCGCAACTTCTCCTCGAGTCAGAGTATAGAGGATGCTACCTGCAATGACGACAGAGGAAGACGTTGAAAGTGTCACTGATGAACCACATCTTCAGCTGTAGCATTTTGAAGTACTTACCTGTCTTCGGCATAGTTGCCTTGCTCACGACTAGTAGCGCTTCCAGAGATGGATCGCAACCACAAGGCTGTCGAGCCTTGTCGCATGCCTTTTTGACCTTTAAGAAATAACTTCTGCTCACTCTCCTACTTTTGACCAAGGACCTTTCTTAAAGGGATCTGTCCTTCGGCATCATTGTCTCTCCTTATTTTACGATTATCGCATCCTGGTTCATCATCGATCACGCCACGACTTTTACGAATAACGATTTAACGACCTAAGATACCCTGTTTTTGTAGAGGAAACCACATTTTCACGATATTCCGGCGTCGGGTAGTACTTACATATTTGCATACGTTTACTTGTGAAGGCAGGTGTTTGCAAAGTGCAATCGATGAAAAGACGCCTTAAAAGTTGAAACGCTACCTTGATCACTCAGGAACTCACGATCAGCTCGCAGCAAACCAATATGGCATCAGGTAAGGGACCTGGCCGTCCTCTCGCACAACGAGCTGACCAAGCAGATATCGCCCGTGCTATGCCCTTGACTGCTCATGGCCACTCACGACCTGTTACGCATCTTCACTTTTCTCATCTGGTTGACGAGACAGACTCTTACCTAATCTCGGCATGCAAGGACAACAACCCTATGCTACGTGATGGAGTGACTGGAGATTGGATTGGCACGTTCCTTGGACACAAAGGTGCCGTTTGGTCATCGCGACTCTCCACCGATGGTACATTGGCTGCTACTGGCAGCGCCGACTTCACAGCACGAGTGTGGGATCCTCAGACTGGCGAGTGCCTCCACGTCCTCAATCATAACCACATTGTCAAAACTGTTGCGTTTCCAATCCAAAACAAACCTCAATTTCTTGCGACAGGCGGTGTAGAGAAGAAACTTCGCATTTTTGACTTGTCTCATGGCAGTGTGGGGCCATCGCTTGGAGACGGTGAACCTAGAATTCCTTCCAGCAACCTTCAAGGAATGGAAGTTGGTGTTGGCGTACACACAGCTCCAATCAAGTCAGTCGTCTGGAACGTCGACTACAACATCCTTACGACTGCTGCTGAAGACAAGACAATACGTTGGTGGGACCTTCGAGCTCAGCGAATGATATACAGCTTTACGACAGATCGCGACATCATGTCCTGCGAGCTCAGTACCAACCAGGCAGGTGATAATGGCGGTGTAGTACTCAGTGCAGCTACTGGCAGTACTTGCTACTTCTTCGATGCGTATCGACCTGGCGAGCTGATGAAGAGTGTGAAGTTCGATTATGAGGTTGCCAGTGTTGCCATCAATCCAGTCGCTGGTCGTTTCGTGACTGGAGGTCACAAAGATTTCTGGTTGCGAGTGTACGACTACGAGACTGAGCGGGAGTTGGACATACAGAAGGGCCATCATGGTCCGGTGTGGACAATGGCATTTGCACCTGATGGCAAAGTGCTTGCGACAGGAAGTGAGGATGGTACCGTGAAGCTGTGGAAGCACTGTCAAGGACCACACGGATTGTGGCCTTGAGCTGTGTCCACATGCTGATCACGGTCGAAGGGTTTGATCTCAGACACGATGCATACTAAGACATGGTTTCGAGATGCCATGCTACATATAGTGCTTCATATCGGCCTACCGGTAGACCAATCTTTCTCCTGCCGCTTCGCAATAACCTCTTTTTTGTTGCGTGTTCACTGCTATCCAAGCATTATGCAGGTCCCAGGGTCTAGTGCGAACTTTGCCCGGGACCCTTGGACCCCGTCCGAGTCTGGGGCACGCCAATTCCAGATCAGGATTAGTTTCTGAAACCGAGCCACGGGCCTGTAAAGTAGCGGTGGGCTGAGGTCCAAAAATTATGGGAGGAAATGCTGATTGAGTGAACAGCTTAGCACATACAATATGACCTAAAGAAGAGAGCAACAGGGAACATATCATCCTTTGAGCCGGCGACAACGTACAACACGTCCACTCGTTATATCTACACAGCATCAACAAGCTGCGCTGCTGTCAACCAAGCCAACGACAAACCCACTTTCTCCTAGTCTGGCATCGAACAGTCTACGCATGTCCTGAACAACCCACCCAGGAAAATGGCTACACACTCCGAGAGCCGGTCAACCGATCGGGAGAACCTGTCGGTTGCACAAGTCATACCACATCGGCAACATAATGAGTCCCCCTCGCAGAAGACGGCTATGCCTAGATGGCCCAGATGGCGACCCAAAGGCTCAGAAACAAGCAGTGTCGCTCGCGCCTGCAGGTGGGTGGTGGACCGCCAGATCAGTACGTTGCCCAAACATAGCCTGAATTTCTGCTGACCATATCAGGTATCTCCTTGAATTTCGTCGGCTTACTCTGCTTCGCACACATGTTCTTTCCTCAAACACAGCATCACACTCAAAAGTTCTTCCGAATTTCCTATTTGAACGAGTCGACGGGAAAATATGCTCTGGGCTGGGATGACATATTTTTCGTCTTCTACTGGATCATTGTCTTCACGGGGCTGAGGTGCATAAGCATGGACTATATACTGAGCCCGCTTGCTGAAGCATGTGGGATACGAAAGAAGAAGGCCAAGGTGCGCTTTGCAGAGCAAGCCTGGATCTTGATATACCCTGCCTTTACCTGGACCACAGGGATGTACATCTACTATCATTCGGATTACTGGTTGAATCTCAGAGCTTTATGGCGTGACTGGCCAGTCCGTGAGATGGATGGCTTGACCAAGTGGTACTATCTTGTTCAATTCGCATTTTGGTTGCAACAGATCGTGGTCGTGAATATTGAAGAGCGCAGGAAGGATCATTGGCAGATGTTCTCACACCACGTTGTGACCTGCGCCCTCATATTCTGCTCTTATGGGTACCACCAGAGCAAGGTCGGCAACCTCATACTGTGCCTGATGGATCTGGTTGACATCATCCTCCCTGCAGCCAAGCTTTTGAAGTATCTACGTTTTCAAACGACGTGCGACATCATGTTTGGTATCTTCATGGTATCCTGGTTCATCACCAGGCACATTCTGTACGTGTGGGTCTGCTGGTCGATATACGCTCACATCCCTGAAGAGATTCAATATGGATGCTATAAAGGCAGCACACAAGACCTACAAGGCCCGTTTCCAACACCTAATAACTGGGTGCATCTCACCTGGCCGTTTAGAGACCCAGTGGGCTTAGTATGCTGGAACAACAACATCAAATGGGGATTTCTGGGCATGCTACTAGCTCTGCAGGTGATCCTATGTATGTGGTTCATCATGATTGTCAGGGTCGCTTACAAGGTGGTCACTGGACAGGGAGCCGATGATTCGCGTTCGGATGTTGAAGATGAGGACGACGAGGAAGAAGAAGAGGAGGAAGGCCTTGTCTCGAAGCGCAATCTGATGGACAAAGTGAACACTTGCATTGACCCAAAGCCATTTGTGGACACAGCTGCTCTTCAACGCAGTGGGCGTCCCCATACACCTTTACACAAGTCCTCAAGGCGAAAAGATGGCAGTGGACACTCGAGTGGTATCAACGTGTTAGGTAGCAGTTCGGACAGGAAAGAGTTGCTCGGGAGAATTGGTTGCGAAAAGCCTACGAATTGATTGTGCACAAGTCAATAAGATTGTTGATACTCATCATTAGCGGAGCCTGAATGAAATTTGGTAGTAAACGTCCTTGCTGCTGGCAGACTAGGAGATTGACGATTTAAATAACTAGAACGTGGCATGTTGAGACTCTATTCTGACAGCGGTCGATTAACACCGATCTGTCTCAATCGACTGGGATCATTGCTGCAGCCGGAATGTGAGCGCGTCTGGACAGAATTTTGGCGTGTTTGCGCGTACTGGTATGACGGAATTGTTCGTCGCTGCGCTCGCTCCCTTTGTACTTCAGACAATCAGGCAGGTCCATACCACTCCTTCTTAAGCTCTTCGCATTTGAGGTATACCACAGGACCTGCTTGTAACCTCTTTTCCCGATTTCTGTCGCCCAATCAACAAGTAGAAGACCGTCCAAAATGAGTACAGACTGGGACAAGTTCAAGGTCACGGAACTGAAGGAGGAATGTAAAAGTCGCAAGATTTCGATCACAGGCCTCAAACTTAAGCAACAATTCGTTGAAAAATTAGTCGAACACGAGGAGGAGAACTCGGAAGCTCAACCGAACGAGCACGACCAGCCACAAGACGGCGACGTAGACCCTAACACAACAACACAAACTCAACCTGAACAACCTACAAATGGAGAGGGCGACACTGTCGAAGAGAGGACGAATGGAGCAATTGGGGAGCTGAGTAGGAATGGGTCTAGGTCCGCGACGCCAGCTACGGAAGTCCAGGATGAACAAGACAATGTCCAGGTGCAGCGATCGATATCGACAGGTGAACAGACCGATCAGGCAGAGCAAGCAGGGAACGATGTGCCTGCTACAGAAGACGTTGTGATGACAGCCGAAGTGGACGAGAACTTGCCGCGAGACCGACCCGCCGCGTTGCAGGCTGAGGATGCTCAAGCTATCGAAGCCGAATCCGAGGCCCAGCCCGACGATAATTTGCCCGTCGCAGAGACGGAGAAGGAGGCAGAAGAAATCAAAAAGCATAGTGTCTTTGTGCCACAGAATGAGCAGCTGCAGACAGCAGAAGAAGATGACACGAACAATGTCCAGCCGCTGAAGAAATCACAACACAGTGCAGACCACAAAGACGAGCAATCAATATTACAACCCTCATCAGAGGCCAAGACCACAGAGATTGTTGACAGCAAGATGTTGGAGAACGAGCCTTCCCTGTCAAGCTCTTCCCAGGCAGAAGAGTCTCGAAAGCGTAAGAGAAGGAGTCTGACACCACCACCCAATCCTGAAGAGGTTGCGAAGAAAGTGAAGCTAAGTGATGGAGAAGCTGTTCCAACAAGACGAGCCTCAAGATCCCCCTCCTCTACACCACAATCCTCAAAGATCAGGTCTTCCGATACTCGAAACGAAATGGGGAAAACTTCTTCGGCGGATGCGCAAGAGGCAGAAACAGAGGTACACTCGCGAGGTCGAGAGGGATCACCATTAATTGATGAGGATAGCACAGTCCAGCCAGCAATGCATCTTGCTACCCGATCACTATACATGAAGAACTTCAAACGCCCCTACCCAATTGCTGATTTGAAACCACATATCGAGGAGATTGCTCGTGGCTCGCCAAACTCCACGTCGACTGAGAGTCCAATTCAGCTCTTCCACCTTAATAATCTCAGATCTCAAACCTTTGTTAGATTCTCCAGCATCTCCGTAGCCAGTCGAGTCAGATCAGTGATGCACGGAAAGAAATTTCCCGATGATGACCATCCTAGGGAGCCCATCTGGGTCGACTTTGTGCCAGACGAGAAAGTCGAGCAGTGGATTGAGATGGAAACGGGTGGAAGTCGCGAACGAGGAAGGAACAGCAGTATTAAAATGGAAGTTGTGTACAATCGAAATGAAGATGGCAGTGTCGAGGCTGTGTTTGAGGGAACAAACTCACACACGAGCTTTAGCCAGAATAGTGGTAAGAAGGAGTCGATCAACCAAAGACAAGCATCGTATTCGACTGCTTCGCCACGTTCGTCAGCTGTTGCATCTGGCATACATCCTGACCGAGCCGCAATGGTACCTCGATCACCTGACGACCATCGACGGGCCTCAATGCGAGAACCTCTATCACCGCATGGAGCACGAAAACCCTCAGATAGGGGAATCGGATTTGCTGGATTGGACGACATCTTTAGCTCTACGACTACAAAACCTAAGCTATACTACAAGCTTCCTTCTCCGAAGGTTGTTGACGCGCGACTCGACAGGTTTGCAGACTTATATAGCGACAGAGGTGTCTCAGGAGCTCCAGGTATGAAGCGATATACTTTCGAGAAAGCTGGCGAGAAGGAAATATGGGTAGACAATGGGCCAGAATTTGGGCACGGTAAACGTGGTCAGGATCGGCTGCTAGGTGTTAGTGGACGTGGTAGAGGTGGATATAGAGGTGGTAGGGGTGCTCCCAGAGGCGGTTTCGCTGGAAGGGAGAGAGACGTGTATAGAGGTGAAGGAAGAAGGTAGCTTGCCAGTACGTAGAACTGGGACGTATGGCCTTTAGTAGGCAGGCTTCCGAAATTCTACCAAAATGAAGCAATTACTACCACAATGGCGACTACGGCTAAGTTTCCTTGTGTGCCTTGACATAGATAGGACGCGTTGAGACATGCCGCGTCGTTCTTACTCCTCTTCCGTCGAGTTCGAGTGAAGAAGGTGTTGCTGACATTGGTTGCTGAGACAGCCATCTTCGTCATTTAATTGAAAGCACAGATCGTCATCCTAAAAGAAGGTAGTCAGATGCAAATCATTACAGAGCGAGGAATTTGGTTAAGCCCATGACTTTAAGCTCTAAACTATTCGGCGAGAATGTCTCGTTAGCAACGACATATTAATCTATGTAAGTTCTGAGATTTTGTTGAGCTTCTCCTTTGAGCTCATGCCTAAGAATTCTCCGACCCCGAACGTATCTCTTTGCCTTCGTTGGTGCTGCCGCTCTTGTGCTCGGCATGTGCCTTGTCGATATCCTCCTTGAACGAGGGCACAATATTCCATAAGAGTGCATACGAGAATACGACTCCAAATGCTGCTGTTGCCAAACTCCAGCTCTTGGCTACCCCGAAATGGTCAACGAGGACCCCGTTGATGAAGGGCAGAAGTCCACCACCAGCGATTGAGCCGATCATCAGAGATTCTCCAGAGGCAGTCCATGTACCCATGCCAGCAGTAGCACCTTCAAAGATCATCGGAAAGGAGGGTGCCTCGAAGAACATGACCAGGCAAATGCAGGCGATTGCCACGATTCCTCGAGCGCCAATACCTGCACCTGTGAATGCAACTGCACCAGCTAGGAACACATTCAGAACAATTCGAGGCCTGAACATATTTTGAACCAGCTTCGAAGCCTTCAGTCCAGGTAGGCTTGGCAGTTCGATTGCTGCAGCGGCAACCAGTCGTCCGAAAAGAAAGAGAATTTGTGCATACATCATACCATTCGCGGCTGTCCTATCGCTGGCACAAGCGTCAACACGCAGGTGCTCCATCAGGAACTGAGCAACGACAACTTGACAACCCAGGTTGAGAAAGTTTGCACCAACACCGAGCCAAAGTCTGAGCTGTCGTCGGCTGCACAGCGGATGCTTCCAGAACATCAGCCGGTTGTGCTCGAGCTGAGGACTTCTCAGAACCTCAGGCTCAACAACCCATTTTGTTCTATAGAACAAGACGGCAAGCAAAACCGCAAAGACGTAAACCGACAGGCCGAGGAACCTGTAGAAGCTGACTACTGAGCTCAGGTCACCAGCCTCTCCCTTGGCTGCCGGTGGGGGCATCAAGCAAGTGCCTGGAACCTCGGGGTCTGGCAGCGGCCGGACTGTGCTCTTGCTCGGGTCGAAGATGACACTGTTGGCGAGCAGAGGCGCTATCACAGTGCCTAGTGCAGCAGCACTCTGCGCCACCAGAATCCGCAAGGTAGAACGTGGTCGTGGTCCGCAGTTGACCACGTAGGCATTTGCACATCTTTCCAGCGTGCTGACTCCCATCCCAACCACAAAGTGCGCGCCACACATGCCACCGAAATTGAGTCGAGCAGCGCCCAGACTCATCAGCTGGTCACCCGTCGCCAGCAGAACCAAACCCACGAATGCCGCGGCACGGTAGCCGAAACGCTTGACAATGGTACCACCAACCAGAAGAGGAACGATCAGGTAAGCAAAGTAATAGCTCATTGCGAGCAGCGCAGCAGAGCCCCTGGAGATGCCGAGAGCTATCTTTACATGGTAGTTCATGATGTCCAGGAGTCCGTACGCCAAACCCCAGGAAAAGAAGAGCAGCGAAAAGAGACCGACGCCCCATACTTCTTGAGTGGGTGTGATCATGGATGGTGGTACGGTCTCATCACCCTGTGCATCAAGGCCTTTTACCCTTGCACTGAGGCTCTTGAGCAGGCTCTTTGCCCGCGGAATGATCCACATTGTGGTTGTCGATGAGGTTGGTGCGATATGAGATTAAGCGAATGTTGAGGTAAGGTGAGGTCAATTGTCTTCACAATGTTCTTGGATATCATACAAAAGTCACATGAAGGTAACCCAGGAAGAAGGCCAAACTGTGTCAAGGCAGAATTGCGAAAGAGAAAAGCTACAACAACAGGTGATCTATAGAGATTAATATACCCTTCTCCTGCCCAACTTCGACGATCTGGTAGACCACCATCAAGCAGTACAAAAGCTAAATACAAGGACCTGCGCGCGATGTGCTCACAACTTACAAGTCGCGGTCCTGATAAATTTATGGTTGACCTATCAGCGGCAGAGAACAGATGGACGTATCATTCTTGGCAGTGCTTGGCACAAAGGCTTATTATGAGCGATACTTGCTCGAAAAAAGAGTTGTAACCGTTGGCACGTGCGTGATAGCAGTGCGGAGGTTTTCAGGTTGTTGGGGAATGCTTGCGTATTTGTGTCAGGAAGAAGAGTTCGTTGGTTCTTCGTCACATGTGCTTTTGATCTGCTATTATTTTGACGGTCATCTTGGCTGGACACCCACAATGAGCCAGAAATCGTCGCTTTAAAGATTGCATGCAGATGATTCCTCAGGTTTGTACATACTGTACAAGCCGTGAGATCAGGTGTACCGTCTGTAGTCGAAAGAGGTAAGGGCCATACTTGTGATGACGAGATTCTGCTCTGCTGGTGTTGTACTTATACTACCATTCCACTCATTATTTCCCACCTAACGCATCAATCACCTTACTTGCTTCCCTCTCGCCTGATCGCACGGCACCCTCCATAAATCCTCTCCAGGCATCACTGGTCTCCGTGCCCGCGAAATGTATATCCACAACAGCATTAGTAAGCTGGTCTCCGTACCTACTCAACACTCCAGGCGGCAATGAAGAAGTCGGACATCCATAACCGCTTTACTCATCATCACTCCACTGATAGCCCACCACATCCAGCAGTTCCCCTTCGACTTTCTCGCCAAAGACCGTCTTGAGCTGTTCAACGATGGCCGCTCGTCTCTCCTGCTCCGATAGCAGTTCTGACCATTCCCTGCCACTTTTCCCAGCTAAGAAGCATGTTATGACGTGGAAATCGTCTTGTGGTACTGAGGTATCGCGCATCACGCAAGCTGGACCTTTGAAAGATGATACGAGGCCGCAGAAGTCAGCTTGAACCCAGAAGGGGGTCTCGAAGATTGCCATGACTTTTTGATAGTAGCCGTAGCCGTATGAGTTGAGGAGTGTGCGTTTTTCGATTGATAGGTCTGGGGTGAATCTGATTTTCTGGACGACTGGTGGTGGAATTGCGCAGATGACCTTGTGACAGGTTATGCTGTCGTTGATTTTGAGTAGCAAAGGGCCGATCTGCTCGATCGATGTGACGGCATTGTTTAATGTGATAATACCTGTAGGTAACAATTCTGCCATTTTGGTACAAAATGTTTGTGTACCTTGACGTGTGCGAAGGTATTGGCCTCCGTGCTTGCCGTCCTGACGCATCTGGACCAAGCCTCCGCCAGCTTTGAGGTAGCGGAGGAAGAAAAGTGCTGAGACATCTGAAGGTTCGCGCCCGAGCATGGCACGAGTCCAGACTGTGGCAGTCGTTATTGCTTCGGGACTTGCATTGAGCTTGTTCAAGTAGGCGAGGATAGTGATATCGTCGAGTCGCTTTGAAGATTCATCGAATTGTCCACGATCAATAGCATCGATGTCTAAGCCGTGGCAATCAGCTTAAAAGGCATCCCTAACGTCCGCGAGGTTCTGTTTCACCTCATCTGAGAACTAGATCAGATATCAGCACATCTCCCGTCAAGAAACCTAGGCACGTACATCAGGTGCACCTCCATAAGGAACAATAATCACTTCGCCATTTTGCTGCTGTAGTACAACCTTTCCAGTCACATTCTGCTTTACCGTTTCAACAGCGCCACCAAATTCTTCTGTCAGTGCAGCCATGCATCGCTGGTTCGAGTCGTTCAGCCAAGAAGCACCAAAGTCTATCACTCCAGGACGACCCGATGGTGATGGCTCGCTCCATGTCCTGCCACCGACACGACTTCTAGCTTCCAGAACACGGACCTTATAGCCTGCTTTGCTTATCTGACGAGTCGCAGTCAAACCAGATAGACCGGCACCGATGACAACGACGTCGACGTCTGCACTTGTCGTGGCCATTGCCATAGCGGTGGTGAGAACTTTGTGGTGCCAAGGCTGATTTTCGCTAGGATATTAGAGAGAGAACTGATATCTAGGATTCGGCACGTTTAGTCAACAATTGATTCTCCATACAGAAATGGTAAGAGTGAACATAGGGGCATATCAACAGCAAGGGACCTGATACGGCGTGAATGGACGGTATTTGTCCAGATGGCACCAGGTCAAATCGCCAGAAGTCATTTGGTGAGGGCATTTTATCTATTTGCAAAGCACATCATATCTGGAAAGCTCAGAGAAAAGTCTTCGGAGCTCTCACGAGGGAAGACATTCCCAACGACACGCTCTATCGCGGAGACTTTTCGCTCATCGGAAAGAGCATAAAAAGATGAAATATTTCTTAAGGAGGAAGGCTAGACTTGTCGGATCGGAGTTGAAACAGGCCTGCTGTCAAGTTTGTACGGTAGGTATTTTAAGCATGCTACGCATACGCGTAAATTGAAAGAAAGTATCACCGCGTTGGAGCGTGATCAAGTAGGACCTGCCACAACTAATGCTCTAAAGGTGGACATTCGTCCTCCTGTGCTCGCGTATAATGAGCTGTGGTTGAACCAATTATAACATTGCCACATATGTAACGCCACCAGACCATGGAGTAGGTCTACCAAGCAGTCAGATCCCCTACCTCAGCCTCGCCAAAGGTACTGCTCTTTGTCATCTGACCCACACCATCCTTCGCAAGCTCACCATTCTCACCTCCTATGCCCGGCTTGTTCATGATATCCGGCAACACTTCTCTGAAGAAATCAAGTAAATACTTGTTTACTTGCTCAAACTGTAGCAAGAACGCATCGTGACCTTCTGGCGAGTCGATTTTGCCAAGCCTTGCATTTGGTATACCGTCTGCGATCTCTTTCTGCTCCTGGATGGTGAAGAGGCCGTCAGACTCGATGCCAAGGACTAGAGCCGGTTGCTGAATTTGCGAAAGAGCTTCTTTCACGGTCGAGGTTCGGTTTCGTGAAACGTCGTGAGTGTCCAATTTGCGTGTGATGGCTATGTAGCAATTGGCGTCGAACCTGCTGACGAATTTTGTGCCTTGGTAGCGAAGATAAGACTGGGCTGAGAAATAGTGGGTTGTTGTTGGTCTGCGGCTGTTTATATTCTCGACTACGTTCACGGGGACTTCGAACTCTGTGGTGCCGGAGAACTGCGGATCTGTAACGACAGGTGTTGGTGTTGTTGAACCCGCGTCTGGTGGTTGTTCTGAAGATGGTGTTTGTGGTCGACTGTGCACCCTGCTGCCCTTGGCCCTGCTGTGTCCGTGGTTGTGAATCTGCCAATGCTCGTTCTCGTCCACATTACCATTCCTTTGTGGGGAGTTTATGCTCTGCTTCTTGTTCAAATCTGGTATATTTCTTCCAAATCTTGTTTCAAAGCTGTCTCTGCTCCGGTACGTGAGAAGTGCTGACATGCGAGCTGCACCTAGACCAGCGGCTGGTGGATCGTCGAGAGGATAGTAGCCATCATCGTATTTAGGATCTGAGTAGATTGACTGTCTTTGCGCCTCGCCCCAGGAGATGCCCCAGGCAGAATGAGTCGCCGAGGTCGCGATCGGTGCTATTGCCCGTACGTAGTCTTCGCCGAAGTAAGCATACTCGAGAACGAGCATACCACCCATGGAACCTCCAACTACTGCCGCAAGCTGCTTGACACCGAGGTGGTCGAGTACCATTCTGTGGATCCTGTAACATGTATTAGCTAGCGCCAATTACGCCAATTTGTCTCGCAGAACTCACCTCACATCGTCCCTTATAGTGGTGAGTGGAAACTCTGGCCCATATCTTTCCTGACTTGAATCTCCATCCTTGTAAGTCAGGGGGCTTGCGCTGCCATATGGACTTCCCAAGCTATTCAGACAGACGATATAGAAGCGCGTCATATCGAATGCCTGACCCGGACCTCCCAAGAGAGGACCCCACCAGTCTGCAGCATCTGCACTGCCGGACAAGGCATGGCATATCACCAGTGCGTTGTCTCCATTCTCGTTCAGCTGGCCGCGGGTTGTGTATGCCACAGGCACATTCCTCAGAACAACTCCAGATTCGAGCGTAAAGGATGGAACGATCGCATAAAGTTGATCGGTCACGAGCTTTGCGAATGGGTTCTCAGGTTGCTCGGAGACAGTCTCTACGGGATTTAGTAGCTGTTCGTTTATGGTAAGGTCTAGGTGTAGAGTAAATAGTACTGACGGAGGGACTGGGCATGGCCGTTGACAATCGTCGCCATTGCGAGCCGTGATGTCGTGGTATCTGTTGGATTAATACCTATAGCAAGGCAGAATCAAGTTGAGTCTATGCTGCATATTGCAGAGTCATCTTTACTATCCACGTCGCACGAACAGTTACTCGTTGTGGAGCAGCGGCATTGAGTTTATCGAATGCTGCTTTTCGCGACTACTGTGGTACAAAACTTTTGGAGCACGCCATCCGAAATGCGGAGAATAGCCGCGACTAGCGGTACTCGAGTACTACTGGACGACCGTGAGCAACAACCCTGGCATGTCAGCATCGTGCTGCGTCCAGTGCTTGAGTCACGAAGCGTTTTCAGTCCTTCCAGTCGCCTTCCCGGACGTGAATTACCACTCTATCACCCAATAAGTCGGATACAGGGTATCCGGAACCTTCGAAGACAATTAGTCCAGAAGGTAACCTGTTGTCTTTCTGTGTCGTGAAATGACCTTCCGACAGTATCCTGCATGCGAGGGTTGACCCGCAACAACACAGGTTGAGGCAGTTCTGAAAATCTCGGTTCATCGAGCATGGATTTCCTAAGGTCGACCGAAGCTGAAATTATTCGAACAAGCTCAAAGAGTAAGCTGCCAACACAAGCCACAGCTTATTCTATTCAACGGCAAGAGGTTGCTGGCATAAGTTTGCTTTGTGAGGTCGGGAGGCTGACGTTGTGCAGAATTTCTGGCCAAGCCACAAGGGGGGGAGGTAATTGGATGATTTGCAGCGTCTTGTCTGTGAACTATTCAGGCCGTGATCACAGCTCCTCATGAACCTTAGCACTCCCTGGCAGATCATCCATGGCCATTATCGATACAACTAAACTGGTCCAGCCTGTGAAATGCTGGGTTCTTTGCCCAGCTCCGGTTTCAGGACTATACTGTTCCCAGGCAAACCCAGTCTCTTTCCATTGCTTCATAACATTATTGACAAGGTTCTTCCTCAGCTCCGAGTACGTTTTTGCCGCTCGCTCTCGTGTCTTTTTTGATGCTGCGTTGGGAGAAGTTTCATCGCTAGCAAGTGTGTGGAGAGATTTTACTATGAGGTAGTTCATGTTCATCCAGACAGGAGACCTCCAGTAGTTCTCGTCAGTGCCGTAAAGCTCGTCCTTTTTCGACAAGCTGCGAATACCGAAAGGCGACCATAGCTGATCAGGATCAGCCAAAAGGTCGATAATGGCTGGTATGTTCTTATGATCGTGAGGCAGGAGGTCGAGCATGAGTGGAAAAAGTGAGATATATCCTTTGTGACATACGAGCATGTGCTCGTCATAGTCGTCAATTGTGGCATCGCAGTATGCTTTCTGGTGGGAGGACCAATGCAGATCGTCCAGATTGCGGATTATGGCGGTGAGATGCTTGGTATATGTCTGGACGTCGTCCTTGTTGTCAAGCATGGTAGAGATGGTGACAAGAGACCTTGACATGAGACCGATCCATGACAGAAGATCGAGATGAAGTTCACCTGGATGAGGTGGTTGTGCTCGCGGGTAATCGTCGAGGCCTGACGGCAGAATATGTCGTGGTGTTCGACCCCTCCACCGGTAGCCCTCTTTCGTTGAGAAGGCTTCTCGATCGTAGGACTTAATGTCCCCTGCTTGCGTACGCCGATACCACTCGTAGTGCTTCTGCAGGCGAGGATACAGCGTCTCTAGCCGAGTCTTGATATTCGATCTTTCACTTGACGAGACGGATTTGTCTAAAACTTTGTTTGAAAGTGCTTCGACGATCAGGAATAGTGTGGTTGGATTAGCGTAGTGAGGGTATTGAACTTGAAACTCAGCAGGCACCTTGCTTCGAGCCTCTGGTCCTAGTATTTGTTCTCTGGCTATCCAGCCATCCTCGTCCATAAGCTTAAACCAAGACTCTATAATCTGCAAAGCAAGATCTGTGTCCCACTCGACGATGGGAATAAGATGAAACCCCTCATCCCACAAGAACCCGCGCGGAAAGAAAGGTCGTGAAGGGATGGCTGTGTAGAGCTCAGCCGCAGGATCTTGTCTTGGTTCGTTGCGAGAGCGAGCCTCAGCTGCTGCTTCCCAGAACCCTTCGTCTTCCTCGTCATATTCGGATGCGTAAGACCTGTCCACAAGCGAGTCGCCATAGAAGTAGCCTATACCACCCGCAAGATTCGACAACATGGACTCTGAGCAAGCTCTATAGTCATCGTCGTCGAAGGGCTTCGCTGGTTGGAACACTTCGCCGAACTTCTTCTTGAAGCTTTCAGATACGGACGTGACCGCCTCACTAAGTGTTTCTTGTGAAACTTCAGGTCCAGATGCGGATTTGAACAAGACGTCAAACTCGAAATTGCCGACGAAAACCTTCTGTACAATGTGCATGTTGCCTGGCCTAACATCGTTCTGGATAGTGAATGCTTGCCAGGGAGGAGCCATATTGTCCTGGGAATATTCTTTCACCAACTCATCGATCGTTTGTTTGAAGCCAGACCAGGCAATCTCTTTGCTTCGCCACATCTGATCAGGAGGGACCATGAAGCTCTGAGTCAAGGTCACATCAAGTGGCTTGTCGTCCCAAGAAGGATGTACCTTGTATGGTAACCTGTTGTCTGGACCGTCAATGAACTCGATATCAAAATCTCCTAGCTCGGTAGTGCTGCCATGAATGGTGACTGGACCTGAGACGCCATTCGTGTCCGAGCCATGTGTAAATCCTAGCTCGCCAATACCCTCCATGCCAGCATAGAAAAGCACAGTTGTGACCAGGTTAGGGGGAGCATCTGCTTGACGTGAACCTTTAACTCTTGCAGCCCAACTGCCTCCATTAGAACCACCAGGCATTTTGACAAAGTCGATTGTCAGGTCGATCTTGTTCCCAGCATCATGAATGACTTCTCGTCCGCCGTGCCTTGTGTCGTACTCTTCCCACCCATAACCAGCCATGCCAGCATGCTGCTCACAAGTATGACGAAAGTTTTCCTGCGCCTTAGCAAAGTCGTCCACATTTGTCCACATCAGTCCCGTCAACAGGCTCTTAGGTATTCGCGGTCGGACCCCAAAGTAGAGGTTAGGTCTGTATGGGCCCCATAGTAGCGAGTCGTTCGAAGGCACAGAGCCCAGTATGGACTGGGCTTCCTGGGCTGCGACGAGGACCGTACTCTGCAGGAAGCTAAGTACAACACCTTGAACTCGCATGGTTGCACGCAAGAATTCAAGGGCGTACGGCAGCGCTTCGAAATTTGGGTGTGAGCAGCACTCTCAGCCTGCCTGAGGCTACTGTAGCTCTGAGGACACCTAAACCCCGAACTTTGGGCTTAAAAACGCCTGCCTGTGGTGCCCACCAACATGCAGGAACAACCACGTTCCTGTCCGAAGTCGCAAACGTGTCGAGGTACAAGGGTCCACCTCGCACTGAACCTCAGAAGAGCTACTACATCGACCGATTCTGAAGGATCGCACTCGATCTTTCACTCTCGCCTACTATTGACCTCGTGCAAATTACCCTAGCCGTTGGCTAGACGATGCACAGGTACGCTGATGACACTCGCGCGTCTCGATCTGGCTCGATAACGGACAGACATTCAAAAAACATACACAATTAGGTGCTCTCAGTCTGATCTAAACTTGTATTATGGTACTATATGTGGCAGAAGTGTCTTCCACTAGACAACTATCCTTCCTAATGTTGTTCCTGGGCTATGAAGGGGTGATGTCCCCTGATTCAAGTGGGCGAATCAGGCCACTTAAGTGAAGGTGAGGTCCACCGTACCAACGCTGTGGGCAACATCAAAAACCTCTTGTTTCGATCCGAGGTTACCAGACTGGTGGCCATGAGGATGACTGATCAACAATGAAGAGATGGCAATGGCAAGAACGAAGGATATGTGTCAGACTTGTTGCGCCTCTGATATGTATATAGAGTTGGAAACGTCCTGGCGTATTCGAGGTAGTACCGTCGGTGGGTGTGGCTTCAGTCGAATTATGGACGATACGGGTTCGTGACTCATCAAAAGCAGGAGCGACCATGGTCCATCGTGTATCATGGTTCAAGCAAACTCACTTCCCTTGGGTAGAGAGCTCCAAGGACCGATTATCTGAGATCATCTCCCCTAGCCATACTTATGCTTGCGCAAGAACCAACGCATTCTCGCCTAGGTCGTTTGTGATACAAAATTCACAGTCAGCAAGGCGCATCTCTTTTCGGCTTCGGTTCTGGTAAAACTCAATGATGGTATCTCTCAGAACTTTGATGCCAGTGTCGATATGAGCACCAAATTCATTTACAACACTGAATCCCATATGTCCGAATCGTACATATTTGGATCCGAATTGCGAGTGCATCCCTCCAGCAAAGATGATGCCTCTTTCAAGAGCTTTAGCTCGTAGGAGTTCGGACGTCAAGCCCTCCGGCAGCCAGAATGCAGTCACTCCATTCGCTTGTGTACCAGGTTCGAGCGCTACTAGATTCAGACCTAGGCCTTCTATTGCTGCCCTCACTTCTGCACTCTTCCTTTTGTGCTGTGCAAATCTGTCACTCAATGGCCTTGACAATATATCTGCTAAAGAAGCATGAAGTGCACGAACGACCTGTGTAGGTGGTGTGGCAAAATAGCTTGCCTCTTTCTTTTCGTATTTCCGCATGATTGGTAGCCATCGTGGGAGGCTAGCATACCAGGCAGTCAGGGGCGTCTTCCTGGTCTCGGCTACGTGTAGGGCACGAGCAGATACCATTATGATACCAACTCCAGGAGGGCAGCTAAGGGCCTTTTGCGATCCAGTCACCGCGACGTCGACTTTCCAGGAGTCGAATTGGAGATCCTCACAGCCGACACTGGCGACTCCATCGACGATGAACAGTGTTTCTGGAGAGGAGCGAGCGAGTAAGTCAGAAAGAGGCTTGAGTTGAGTGAGGACGCTTGTTGAGGTGTCAACATGAGTGACAACTAGTGCTTTATATTGATGTACTTTTAGCTCCTCCTCCACGATGCTCAAATCTGGAGCTGACCCGAAGTCCACAGTCAACTTCGTTGTTCGAGCTCCATATGTAGAGAGGCACATTTCGAAGGCGTCATCAAAGAACCCTGGACTTAGGTAAAGAACCGACTCCCCTGGCTCGATGAAGTTGGTTGCGGTGAAGTCCCACCCCAGGCTCCCACTGCCTCCAAGGACAAATGGTTGTGCACGAGGGTCATAGCACTGAAAGAGTTTACGGAGCATAGTCAGCACTTCTCCGAAAGTGTCACAAAATGGTTGAGAGAAATGAGACTCGGCGAAATGAGACATTTCTCTAAGGACGACAGGGTCAACTTCTGTTGGTCCTGGCGTTAGCAGGATCGGTTTCCGGCCTTCAAGCTGCGTGTTGAACTGTGCCATGACTGGTGGTGTGGTAGATGATACTCTCTGATGAGCCCACAGACGTTGCCAAACGAATCAAGAATACCTTTAGCAGAACAACATCAACACCATTGTCAAAGATGGCTATATGGATACAGGAATTTGCAAGCATATGAATCTGTCTATATCGTGATAGAGAGACGGTTGCAAGGGCGGACGGTCTTCCTCCAACATGCCCAAAAGAGGAACTCGCGTCCATTTCCCAATCTATACTCATCACCTCTTGACACAAGGGCGTATCACTCTATTGCTGTTATGTCATATCACTGAACCAGAGTCAGCCAGCGAAGCTTGTCCGTATTCTATTTAATGGTCATCCGGGTATATGAAGACGATCAACGAGCCGTTTCAGAATGTGACAACCAGATTGGACACTCTGGAGAAATGTACATGTCGCTACTGGATCGAGCCACAGCACTGTCCACAACCCAATTCTGAGCAAGTGCATGATTTCCTATCACGTCTCTTCCTCATTAAAAACAGCGGAAATCAACGTGAATACGGTACAGGGAAGTGTGTCAGGTTTATGCTCTTCTCGTATCGCTTAGCAGCGGACGTCGCTTTTCTGGCATGGGCGGACGGAAGGGCGACGGACTTCTTGCTTCGCCTTCCTCCCTACCTCTTGAGGACCTCGAATACGTTGCGATATCAGTACAAAATGCATTCGAAGAGTAACCTCGAAGCATAGCTGCTAGACGACCATGACTGTGGAAATCCTGAACCAATCTAGGATGCAATTACAGTAGACGTGAAGGCAGTATCATCTCCAGGAAATTTTAACCCAGATAGGTCGCCTCCAGTCACGTGCACGCGAGATTAGCTTCCCGCGTTGAGTTGGCAGTCACGTCCACAGCCTCTTCTTCCTGCTTATGGTATGCTCTATCTTGGTAGTTGCGATCCATGCATAAGCTGTAAGCTTTATCGCCAGCAGGGCCACGAGCGTCTCTGACAATCAGTCTCTGAGCCCGTACAAATATGGCCACTCCCACCATCATAGCTGGTTTCCTCGATGCTCATCTGAATAGATGGTAACGAGAAGTTTTCCTTGAGGACAGTAAGCTGGGCTACAGAAACCTTGTCGATTGCCTTATGACCATATTCGAGCTATGACCGCCCTGGACTCGAAGTGATCACAACCTCAATCTGAAGGCCTCCAACGGTATTACTCGAGAAGGTTGTCAAGGAAGCGATCGGAGGCATATGCAGATTCTTGCCGGTGCCGTCACATATGATGACATGCACTCTTGAGGTGTCAATAACCATAGTATGTCTACGTTGAAATACAGACAGGTTTCGTGATAAGAGATGGTGATGTGGCCTCACTCGAGACAGGTCAAACAACTGCCTGAAAAACGATGTCTGAATGTTGCTTCTGGAAAGAAGCCACCTTGTAGCTAGATGGATTGCGCTTTCCCACTCGACAGCGATTGACAAACGTCGAGCTTGCCGTGATACAGACTCAACAAGCAGGATCACGCGCTTAGCTACTGCAAGACCACCGGTTCATGGCTTTTGAAAGTGCTCATCGCGGACAGGTATTGTTGAAATCTTCCGCGAAAGCAGAAAGTACCAACCTTGAAGTAGTCTTAGGCGCATATGGATAGAGACATCAACCAAGTATAACGAGCACCATTCCTGCACGAAGATGCTACTCGAGCACTGTATAGTATCTGCGCATGTGTACTACCTAGCAGCAAGTTCTCGTTGGAACGTTCTGCGAATACCTCGAACGTCCGGTGCAATTTAGTCATTTCATTAGCAAAATGAGTATGCCTTCGTCCGGTCGATCATTCAATCCAACCCCGTATTTCGATCTGGAAGTGCTTGTGAGCAAACATAACAAAAATATCGCTACCAGCTCTGGGTCACCTACGTAATCATTGGTGGTCGGTTGAGAAAGAAGAGAAAGAGGGTTGGGAAGGATCCATAAGATCGACAAAAGCGGCACAAAAGTCCAACACACCAAGGTTTCAGCACGATTACAACACCTAAAGCCACGTTTTTGACGCCGAAAGGTCACACCAGAAATTTGGAAAGTATTCTATCACACAACGTGCAAAAACGGATGCAGAAAGTACTGAAACTGTATCGCACACTCAGCCCTTTCTGTTTTCGAGGTCGTAATCAGTGTGCATGATCGGAGGGCATCATGGTTGCTGCACGAGAAACTGGGCACCAGCGCGGCATCATTTCCACGGTCGTCTGCCGATAAATGAATGAAACTCTTTAAGCGAACCACTCCCCAAATCAACCTGAACCAGACCGACCTCTCCCGAACTTCGGCGCAGTTGGGGAACGGCTTGCTGCTAGCTTCACTTAGTGCTGTTTTGTGCCTATCAGAAGCTTTTCCACCTGCTGACTCCGTCATCCGCGAGGTTAATATCCGACTAATATTGCTCCCAAGAACTTGGTGATCCAAGCGAGGCCAATGGTCCAGCCCATCCAGGCGTGTGCATCGCCCCAGATTTTGCTTCCCTCACAACATGGTCACTCTTTCCATAGTACAGCATCATCTTCTCCTTCGCACCACATCCTCCAAGTTAACAAGAGTTTGGGCAACGACGATGTAGACAGCAGTATCTCAAGGTGACACAGATGATGTTCACCGCTGCTCAGGCCAAACAGGCCAACTATACCTGCGCGGCTATATCTCTGGTAATCTTACTCACTCGAGCTGCTGTTTCACGACGAGGACAAAGAGCGGTCGATCTTGCTTTCTGGCTGGTTGCGCTATCCATCATTGTAGTGATCACGCGCATCGTCGTGGTCTTTTACTACCTCCTCTACGGTACAGCGAGCGACGTTATTCGCGATGCAGACTACTTCAACAGTCACGATTCAAGTCGGGTGGTGGCTGGCAGCAAATTATCTCTGGCAGCTCGAGTGCTCATCACAGCTTCATGTTGGCTTCAAATATGCCTTCTACTCCTCTTCTACTCGCAGCTCTACACCATGAAAGGTATTCGATGGGTCGCTCACATGATTCGATTTACATGGTTTGGGGCTGGTCTGACATTCCTTGCCGTTGTACTGGCGACTTTCCTCGAGTGTCGCCCTCTCCATCTATATTGGCAGGTGCAACCAAGTCCTGGAAGCTGCATCAAGGGCTACGTTCAGCTTCTGGTCCAATGCATCAGCAACATTGTCCTCGACCTCATGTTATTGGTGATCTCTTATCCAATTCTCTTCTGCAAAGGCCGAAGCTTGGGCCAACATTTCCGCGTCGCAGCACTATTCATCCTCGGCACTTTCTGCATCATTGTCACCACTCTCCGACTCGTATCAGTATTTGACAGTGGTTCGGCCCAACCTACGCGAAGTCTCTGGGCTTCGATCCAAATGGTCGTTTCAACCTTTGTCGCAAACGCACCAACCATCTACGGCGATTTGAAAGTGCAGAGACGGAAGAAAAGCAACGCCATCGCTAGAAGATTGAGTCGACCAGAACTCTGGGGACCAGACTCGAATGGTTCTGTCCGAGGACTTGTTACACCACAGAGAGCCGTCACCGTCGAGTCGCAGAGATCTGGCACATCTGGATCTGTTTCGAGTGGGACAGGCAGGAAAGATTGGTTTGATCATCTGGAAGATATTGAGGCCATGGGATGGAAAACGCCAAATTGGGGTAAAAGTCGTTACGAACCGGGGTAAAGCTTCACGTACGAAATGGACCTCGACTTCATTTCTTGCTACGCGTCAAACCCTTATCCGACACTACGGACCGAGAACGAGCTAGCGCCGCCTCAAACGACAGACGTTCTCAACCCCCGAAACACACTGTGCTATGATCAAGCCACAACCAAGCACATAGGAGCTCCGATGTGAAGACAAATAGGACGTCGCACGACGTGTGAATCCTCTCTCACGGATTATATGGACACGGTCAGTGGCTGGATGTCTTGACTGGACCCAAGGGCACTACGCCCTCATCGGTAGAAACGCGGCGGCCCCAGTGCTCAACGGAATGATATACGAACACAAATGCTTGGCATGTTTTCTGCCTGCTGTATATATAGGCGATGCGCTTCGAAATGGGCCTCAGTCTATCAGTGGTGGAAGAGGACAAAGAACCAAGCACCAGGCCCCAACTCGAGACCTTGAAGGTGTAACTATTAGCTGTATAGAGGGGGAGATATGAATATCCAAAACAAACGCCTCTACAATCGGGAGCGCGTAAGTCCTGCTGGCAGCCCAGCAGGACTAGTCTTCGGACTTGAAAAGAATGCAATTAATTGCTGTACTAGCCCACTTGCTTTCTACGTGTACACATTCGCTGAAAAATCATCTCTCGTATCATCGTGCATAACTCCAGTACAGTGTTTCGTGCCTCATTGTGGCACCTGTACATCAGGCACCCTCTGCCCAATTGCCTGCGCATCTCTCTCGACACCTCTTTCTGTCACGGCCCCTGTCCGACCACGCTCCCATATCCTCACCCACCACTGTGGCGGGTCCATCGGCCTCGATCCAGGATAAATACCAGGCCATACATCGTTGAAGAAGTAGTACACGTGTCCAACCACCACGCCTAATATTTCGTCCTTAGGGACAGTGCCGTGCATGAATAAACTAAATCCCATGAGGACCCAAGGTAGATACGGAGCATTGAATACTAGTAATCCTAGGAATGCAAGACGTGTATCTGGATTGCGCCGCGACCAAATGTATACCAGGACTTGGGAGAGGGAGTGGCCGAGGAATGGTACTGATGGTGTAAAACTGCTCAGGGCGAGGAGGGTCGTCGTTGCGTAGAGTAGAAGCCACGAGAATTGAGCTGGGCTGTTTGCGGCAGATTCGAGCAGGCGACTGTAGCGCGACATGAAAAAGAGGTGGAAGAGAAGGTCGAGGGAAGGAGGGCCGAAGTAGATGAAGGTAGTCAGTATTCTCCAGTACTGTAGACGTGGTTAGTACTAGCCTTCTTGACCCTATGGACAGCAGAGGGCGTATCTGAAGATGCTCACCTGGCTCTTGAAATAGACAGCCCGAAAAGTGTAGAAGAGCTGTAGCGGGCTTATGACTTTACACTGTAACAGAATGCTTGTGATGACTGTGGCTGTGGTCCAGTACCTCGTACAAGGTGGCATCTCGAAGAACCATTGTTCTAAAGGAAAATTGCCCAGACCAACGCCGCCACCACCAGCATTGTCGCCCTGCAGGAACTGGTCCATGGCAATGTCCAACCAGAAGTCTCAGGGCTAAAGTGTTTCACACTCTGTCAGGAGGTGCAGTAGCGATCTTGCAGTGTAACTGCGCGCTAATATAGCGGATATTTTCCTAGATTGAGCAAGGGCAAGGCAGTATATTCGTGAGGGAAGAAGGTCTGTCGCTGTACGCGAACTAGAGGTTCGGACGCTCAGTTAAGAGGTCAAGAGGTTTCGATAATGTTTCGTATCGACATACAAACGATCGGAGGCTGGAGCTCAGCGCAGAGAACACATATACATCATATCAGCAAACAAAGAAAGCTGAAATCCTGCAAAGGTCAAAGAGGCAGTTCAGTTTAGACAGGAAGCGCAGTCGCGGGTGGCTATGAGGTCAGCTTGTCCTCTATAGCTGATGCCTTGCGGCCTCGGTGAGAGATGGTCTCAATGCGATCGTGCCTTTCACAAGTTGTGCCCGTCAACGATATCTAAAAGCGCAGTCAGTATATGAATTGCGATTGCATCACTCCATGTTCAGAAGACTCAGTTGGTTAAAAGGTGTGCTCTTTTGGGAACACCCGTACAATTTGCTTAGCGACAGCATATCTCGATTTGTATCATTTTGGCTGAATGTGACGCACTATCCGTTCGACACATACATGCAATCCGTCCTTCACAACACATGATATGGGATTCCCTTAGATATCCAACTTCTGCAATTTGGCACTGACACTCGGTACACCGTCGCCTCCCACCTTTGCTTCCACATCTCCAGCCTGATGATGGCAAGCAGCACTTGTGCTCTGATTGAATGCCTGCTCGCTAGGTGGCACATCTAGACCAGGATTTTTATCAAAGAAATTAACTGGTTTCAAATGGACACTGATCTTCTCACAGGGCATGACAGGGAAATCCTCGATTCTTGGAACATGGTTGATACCGAACTGAACGAAGACAACCAAATCGTCACCTTCCTTGCCAGTTGGGCCAGAAATAGGGTCGTTCCGTTCAGCCCAACTGCGGACTCCTGATCCGCCTCGAGACTGGTTGGTATACCAGCCTCCTGCGTAGAGTTCTTGGTCTTGATACTTGGTGACATAGATGTTTCGATTGGAAAATTCCGCACGCTTGTAGTTGTAGCTCTCAGGCCTGGAGAGGATCTTCTGGAAAGGCGGCGCCATGATCTTGTAGCTGATAGGCTTTCCATTTATCTTGTTCTTCTGATTAGGGTTGACGATCTTAAACAGACGATTGGCGTCGAAATCCAGGTCTAATCCTGCCGAATGTGTCACTAGAGTATCTTGCGTATAATAACCTGTTGCGTGAGGGTTGAAGTCGTCAACAGGCATAGGATGAGCTTCTGAGTAGACAAGCTGGTTGCCTTGCTCGAGCGATCCGATGTTAGGGTCGATCCTGAGGGAGAAAATGTGTTGGTGGTGTGTCGCAAGGACTCCTGGGTGCACTACTGTACCCCAAGGTACACCTTCGCCATCTTCACCACAGAGGTCGTGGTCGATCGGTTGTGTCGACAGAATACCAGTTGCCCGAACTTCATAAGTGAGTTCTCCAACTTGATTAAAGATATAGGCCATGATGTACTCGTAGTTACTGACGGTGATAATGGTTTGGAGGACCAATTCCCGATTTCGTGTGACAGCTGCCCTGCCTGTGCGGTAGTTGGTGTGCTTCCAGCCAATGCCGCCATCCTGTTCATGGATACATACACAATTTGGGAGAGGGACTGGCTGGCCTTTGTCGTCAGCTATTGTAGAAGAAACGTACTGAATATGGCCGAGACAGTCACAGCCAAGTTGTAAATCATTGCACATTGCACCTGCACCGGCGTCGCCCAGATCAAACGCTGACTTCTTGTGGAAAGGATAACGTGGGTCAGCATATGGAATGTTCATCTCGGACAACGACACTCGGTAGAAGAGAGGACGGCCATCGTACTGTACGTTGAACAGAACAGGTCCCTCTCGAGCGTTGTAATGCAAGTTGAAACGCCACTTCTGCCAAGCGATGGTTTGCAATGTGTCGCTGCCGAGCGCCTCGACGGAAAAGGAGGCGCCTTCTGGCTGTACTACATGCAATGGTTTGAGGTCCTTGCGAAGTTGCTGGTGCTCCATGATGTACTCATTTGGTGGCACTGGAACCCAATTTGAGACTGGCTTGATGGTGTTATCCTTACCAGTAGGGAGCATGTCGACTCGTGTGACCTCATAGGTAATCCCGTCCACAACTGGAGATATCGGCAAGGGAAACGCGTAATGACAGGAGTCGACTTCCGACGCATTGGCAGGGTCACGCATGTAGAGGAAGACGTGAAACTGGCGTTTGTCACATTCTTCGCCATCCTGACCTGCCCTACATTAGATCGAGGTGAGACATAGCGAGAATGGCAGGAACTTACCGAAGATCCAAGGATCAGCACACACGACTGTCCCTTCAGGCAAATTCAATTTGGCAATTTCTGCTTTAACACGCTCATCCTCGAGGGCATTCTTCTCAATGGCAAGGATCTCATCGTAATCTCCGTTGCCATGGACATTTGTCCCAAGGCGCGCGTTCCGCTCTACCTGACCAATAGACAAATTCACCACAGCTTCATGATACCGGTCCTGTTCCTGTCAGTTTGCGTCACCATAGCATGGAATTCTTCGTACTGTGTTTCGAATGTAGTAGGAACTGAATGCCCTTCTGTCAATATGTGGCAGAGCACTACCTGCATGTTCTGCTTGAAAGTATGGTATAAGCTCTGCTTTGGCTGGCTCATGAAAAGTGATTGTCTTGAATCGTAGATCGGTTTGTGCCGGCCACTGCGAACGGATGAGGTCGGCAGTGTATGTTATCTCTTCTGGCCCAAGAGCACAGAGCGGGTGTGCAGAGTTGTACTTGATGCTGGCTGGTGCAGGAACGAAGTCCTGCTGATGTACTTGGGTAGCCATGGTACAGGAGCGCTTTTGCTTTACATCAAAATGGAGGAAGCTGGAAGAAGAAAGGCAACAAGAGCAAGGTAGGAACAAAGATAGCGATATCAAGAGGAGTATCACGTGAAATTGGAGTGAGATACCTAATTGAAGCAGAATGTTGTAGATCTTCGTCTTTGGAGATCATGCAACTGCACGGCTGTACCTTCCGAACTCATACAGCTCCTTGATGCCAAGATTGTGATTGGGCCTTGTTCAAACGGAATTCCGCGTCCATGCGAATCCTTTTCATGACTGCTGTAAGCAGGCCGTGAAATCCATGAACAACGGCAGTTGCCGATACTGGTCAACCACCTTACTCTTTGAGCAGCAATTTGTTTCGACTTCCGCTGGTGGCACGTATGTTGAGCATCATTTTTGGATCCGACACATACAGAAAACCTCACCGCTGTGTGGCTCCTGGGAGTTTTGTGTCCTAGAAGATCGATCAGCGGAAGTAGAGCTCAAAGCAGACCAGGGCGTACCTATATCGCACTGACTCTTATCAGACCCTTAAACTGGCAATCGCACAACATATCTCGGCTTTCCCTGTCCGGCATTTCCTGCAGAGTCAGGCCAGATGTCGCCAATTCTCATCTTTGCTTGTGCATCGGTCAACATGATCTTGCTCCCTAACATGAATCGTCCTCCACCACCCATTTCCAGTAATTCCTGAATGCCAATCAAGTGTCTGGGGTAACCATTGCCAGGCTGGTTGTAAGGAGGATGGTGGTTGGCCCGCTTCTCACAGTTGATCTGTTCGATCAACTCTTCGAAAGTCATATCGCATGGTGCATGCTGGACGTTGAATTTGTCATTTTGAATATTGACCACGTTATTGACTGGAGGATATTTTGAGATCACATTCTGGCCAAAGAGGTGCAGAGTAACGTTTCGTTTAGGGAAGATATAGCCGCTGGAACTGTCAGGAAAGGTGGCAAGCTGACCCTTCACTCTGTTGCCCTCAAGTGGCTCCTCACGATCTTCATTTGAAGCACCAAACGCATGGGAGACTGGTGGTGGAGGGGGCGGTGGTGACCAAGATGGCGTAGATGGTGCAGCTGGAGGAGCTGGAGGAGCCACGCAGTAGGGTGGAGGAGGGGGAGCTGCCCACCACGGCTGAGGTGCGGCAGGTGCAAACAGACACGGTGGTGGTCCGAATGGGTTGGGAGGGCCACCGAACGGGTGCATTGCGCCCGGAATGCATGTGCCTGCAAATGGGTTCGGAGGTGCGTCAGGTGCTGAAGGAACTGCTCCATCCATAGGTACGCTTCCATCGGGAGTCACGTATTTGTATTGGACCTTACCAAAGGCATCAGTGGCTGGTGCCATCGGTGACGGCATCATACCCATAGGGCCTGGAAATGCACCTGGAAACGGAAACATCGTTGCTGCGGTAGTGGGAGTATGAGGATGAGTCGAAGTAGTCGTAAATAATTCAATGATTGGAAAACGATGTGGGCATAGTCATCAGCTGTGGAAGATCTTGAAGGTTTATATGACATTCCTACTGTCGCTGTTTGCATCTTGAGCTGGGCAGTGCTTTCTAAATGATGAGTCGAAGCTGGTGACATGATACATTCGTCCCATGCTCTTTGTCTTGAGGTGTAAACGTAGCTAGAGTCGTTCGCTACTATCGTATCAGCAAAGCCGCAGCATACTCAGCTCTGTGGCCATGACCGTAACCAACAGCTTTGACACGCATTAAGTCGTTGACTACGACATGTAAACGTGTCTTGTTTGCTGGGATGACTGATTCATTGCCATGAATTGTAGCGGCAGAACAATCGAGATAATGGCTCAGATGTTGAAACACAGGTCGGTTGCAGCTGGAGCTTCGTGAGGGTTGACGCAACGCGGGTTGTTTGTATCTCTGCAACACGATCAAGTCCTTCTTGTTTGGTGCGATGACTCGATATGCCCAACGGACAGAAAAGGTGCTTCATCAAGACAACAGGTCTTTCAACATGAGATAAGTTCTGCCATATAAACCTGCACTTACAAGTTGAGGAAGAGACACATTATGCCTAGCTCAGCCTGCTACCACTGCCAGTCCGTCATAGATCATACGCTTAACAGCCGAGAAGCTGTCTGCACCTGCGCCTCCAGTCGCTCTCACTGGAGGCCCTTCGACGACGACCTGACCATTTGGCAGTTTGCGTACTGCAACGGTACCATCGACAATCAGTGTCCCTCCCATCATGAGCACAGCAGAATGACCAGACTGGTTGAAGAGATTTAATAGCTGTCGAATTTTTAGGTCACCAACATGTATTGGTTGGTTCACTGCTCTTATTGAGGCAGCAATATTTGCAGAAAGGGCATCGAGTACAGGTTGTGTCTCAATGCTGACGTCCTCAGTACCTTCTTTTTGGTTTGCAGGGTTGGTGACATGCGTCAATTTCATCTTCTTTGCATTATTCTCGTCGGCGACGACGTTCTGCTTAATGTCGTTACGTAGCTGGCCAGTCACTGTGACAATCGAGAGCTGCTTCACATTCTGCCATTGTAATCGCTTGACGAGATCTCTGGTTAGCTTGACGGTCCATGCATTTGTATCGACGCTAGCGTCAATCACATCGCCAATCTGAGGAGAGTATATCTCAGCCCCAGATTGTCCTTCCGGGCCAACCACCTTCATACCTAGCAGATCCTTACAGTCTTTGGCAAGGGCAGCAGTTTCCGATGCAGAGCCGCCAATAAGAATGAGCTTCTTCGGATTGATCAGAGGGATCAACATCTGCAAACTGCGTTGGTCGTGCAACCCTGCAAAATCGACGAACGCAAGCTTGGCCTGAAAGTCGATACGGGTTTCTTCGTATACGACCTTAGCTGGTCCTTGTTGGTTTTCAGTCTGTAGATTCGCTGCCTCTTCCTCATGATCGGACTCAGAATCGTCGGAAGAGTCGCCATCGGCTACAGAAGTGTTTTCTTGCTTTTGCTTCTTTCCTGCTCTGGTGGGCTGCTTCTTCTCCTCGGCCCACTTCCTTTTTTGGCCGAGGGTGAAATTGTTCTTTTCGTCCAGCATAGCCTCTTGCGCTTCACGTTCTTCCTCTCGTAGGAACTCCTCTGGCTTGATGAAATCACCAAATTCGTCGCCGCGACGCCTCGAGTGAGTGTAGGGAAAGACTGCGTTCCGTCCTTTCTTATGTCTGACGTCGAAGTCGAAGACATCTTTCTTACGCAATAGAATGCTTACACCAAGGTCCTCATCACTGATCGCAACCTTGTTCTTGTTACCCTGGGTCAAAGCAGCGGATATGTTTAGCACCCGGCCTTGCTGCTGATATTCATCGTCTTCGGACTCATCGGAGCTCTCATCCTCGCCCTCCATAGCTTCTTCGACCTCTGCTAATTGTCGACCATCAGCACTAATAAGAGAATTCTTCATTTGCTGCCGCGTAGCGATATACTGCTGATACCGTATCAGCTCGTTCTCGTCGAGAGGTTTCCTGCTCGGTTGTCGCATGATAAGCTCTCTGCCAGTATGCACTTGTTCGAATTGATGGCCATCGGCGGACTTTTCGATAGCTACACCATTCAAGCGTTCCATATGCCATCGCCACAACATAGAAGCCGTCGAGCTATGCTTTGTGCTTCCAGGACTGCTGTTCTCGGTAAGGATGACTAGATTATCAGGTTTCGGAGCTATGCTCTCCAATGCTGTTCTGGAATGACCCCAGTCCAATGATAGATCGCTAGCAATGATGACCTTTGGGACATCAGTACTGAGAATCTTGTCCAAACGCTTTTGCGTCTCGATGATCTTGATATGTCTGAAATCAAAAGGTCTCGATGTCTTTGAAGTGCCATTGGCTTGCTTGCTTCTCGATCTTTTGTGACTCTTCGCAGTGGCTTCCTTGCTGTTCCCTTCGTCGTCGGCTTCGAACCGCTCTACGCTGTCGTCCATCCATTCCAGCAGGCTCTTAGCATGCTTGAGAGTTGCATGTCCCGACTTGGTTGCCATATAGATTTTGGCGTTCTTCAGAACTTCGTCTCCAGTGCTTTCTTGCCAGACTTTTTCGAGAAAGTACGAGAGTTCGAGAACGCGAGCGCTAGAATCGACGGGGATAAGCACCGATCCTCGATGGCTGAGACCACTTCGAATGTGTCTGATCAGTGCCTCGTCTCTTGCTTTCCTGCTATCAGACATAGCGACCTTGTCACCATTCACACTGCTGCAGATGAGGGCCGTCGGGTTTCTAAAGACCTCGCTCACTTCTGCTCCACCACCTCCTGCAAACCAGCTTGCGCCAGCTATGACGTTCTCTCTTGCTTGGTGCCAGTCCACCGCGTAAACTATGGACTCCATGCCTTGTTGGATGTGCCATATCGTCCCTCCCAATGTATGTCCAGCATTATACGCTGTGAGTATGAGTCCTTCGAGGGGTGCAGAGAAATACGAGGGTTTCGGTTGAGTGGGTTGAGAATATTTGAGAGGGGTAATGGCCGCGAAGTACTCGTGTATCTCCTGCGCTGTTGGCGCGTCTATGAGGATGTTCGAACGCGTGGTATCATCCGTGGCAGTCTGATCTTCAGGCGAAGCAGTCGCAGGTATGAACGTCGCGGCAGCAGGTGTGGAAGAATACAAGTCCTGCAATGTAGTTCTGCCAAGGTCGACTACTGGCACCGTAGCATAGACGGGTACTTGAGAAAAGAATGGAATGTGCTTGCAGCAATGCGCATAAGCACCAAGATGCGAAATCGTGGCATGAGTAAGAAGGATAAAAGACAGGGTTGAAACGTGCTTTTCTAAGTCTGCCAGCTGTCGAGTATCGAATCTTGAATCCCATCCAACGTCAACCAGAATCTTGACTCCTCCGTCTAGTTCAAGGAGTGACTGCGATGCTCGAGATGTACTCTGCGCGCCAGATAGCGCTGTGAACTGAAACATATTACCTGCAGTCGACCATTTTTGTTGTACAAGTTTGTTAAGGATAAGAATACAAGGTGTAGAATCAAAGGAGGGAACGACAGCGACTCGACTGGAAATAAGTGAAAGGCAGTCACGACTTCGTCTACAATTGACGTCGGAAGGAGCGAGTTTGGGATGCAAACAATGCAAATATACCACATGAGATTCTCACCTGTCAACCTGGCACCTCGAGCGACCCACTTGATGGTTTGCGCTCGCACCCGCGTGTCCTGAGATCGGACTAGGCGCCTGCGTCTAGCATAGCAACCCTGCGACAAGGACGCCTGCAACAGAGGGACCTGGGATAGAAGGATTCGCTGCGCACAGCTCCTACAGGTGTCTCGACCTGAGCAAGGCGACCATGGCGCGCCACATGCACCATGGGATCGCAATTCCACCGCCACGAGTTTTCAGGCCATTTTCGGAGTGGAAACAGTCAATTGATCGGGAACAGGTTTGAGACTGGTGCGGAAACATTCACTTCAACTCATCCGGTAAGCACCTTCAGAGTGCGGGCAGACGTCAACACAAGCGCACGAGAACTTGAGCACCATGCTCCTGCCCACCCGCATCGGCAAAACCACTAACATTGTTGCACAGGTCCCAGCAACGACGAGATCGATCGCTCGCGCCTGCACGCTTTACGATGTCCGAATCCCTTCGTTGTCAAGAACCGACTGAAAGAGAACAGTGTCCATTAGTATACGTGGTGGTGGACGCGCTGGATGAATGTCGGGGTGAGAGGCATATTCCGCAGAAAGCACCGTGGCTGGCAATAGATTTGATCTCTGACATAGGACAAAAAAAAGCACGACGATGGATCTTTGATGAAAACGCTTGTACCATATTTCAAGGACGGAACTGCTTCGAATCTCGATCTTCTGAGCTTGATTGCTAATCCGAAATAGAGGCAACACCTCCCTATTCTTTGGACGCTGCTTCAGACTGCTTTTGATATTGAACACATCTTTTTACGATATCTTCCAGACCTCTTCAGCAAATTGTACCATATTTCGCGGCCCGTATCCTTGAGAACTGCTGATCTCTACAAATGTGTGCAGCCATTGGCCAATTCTCAGATCCCATCTTCGACATCAGTATGGGATGATTTCATCGAGCAGCTCATACATACTGGACAGTACAGGCTACACTACGGCTCCGCTACAGGGCATGCGGTAAGACAACATGACTGGTCTGTCAGCTGCCGCACAAAAGCCGGTCGCCTTGTTTTCATGTCAGTCTACGTGTTCGTACGGAGTTACAGCTGTCGTTGTTTAACCTGTTGGTCACAACTAATAAGAAAAAAGACTTTGCTGGTTCGTTTCACTGGTAAGCTTGTTTTTGACGAGGTCCTTGTCGGAGCTGATGTGTCATTCTAGCGACCATTGTAGCAGATCCTACCCTGACCAAGACAAAACACACTATCAGTATAGACTTCCAGACGTTGACTCTCCCTCAAAGGCTCAGCCAGTAGTACGTATGTGAAAGCGGATATTTGCGAAGGAAGTCAGGAAGTCGCCAGAGCTAAGGGCACAATCCCCTCAGCTGGTCAATATCAGGCAGTCTGATCGAACCACACCTGACAGGAAGGTGTTCGAGAATTCGACACCAGACGAAGTGCTGACTCTTTACCAAAAAAAATTGCAAAGTTCGGTGGCGGAAGTTACATGCGACCAAATCTACAGGAAGTAAATCCGATGACTTTGATACGTCAAAAAACTACGAGGAGCACCCATCAGAAGCGCACCATCTGCGCGATTCGTCTTATCGCAAGGTACCTGGTCAAACAGCAGTCACACCAGTTGCTCGAGCTATGCAATCCACTGATCAGTTGTGCAAACGCAAGCATCATGCAGGAAACCTGGAAGAAATTGGAATAGCTCATATCCCGGCGAAGTCGAAAGATATGATTTACCAGACAGCTAATGGGCAATGAGGCCTGCTTCGGCCAGTCAAAATGAAGAAAGCGATGACTCAGCGAACGAATAACTCTGAGGACATCATTTTCGATGCATCAGCTAGAAGATTGATCGACGCAGTAGCTAAGTCCAACCATCTGCCGATCAACCGCCAAGGCGTGGACGAAACAGCTGCAATTACGTTGCGACCGGAATCAAAGCATCTCAGAGCTTTGAGAAGTTCCAGATCATGTTCGTTGGAAAAGCAGCTCAGATCGTTTCGAAACTTCCGTCGGATGCTGCAAAACAATGAAACGTATAGTTCAGGAGTAAATAGTACGTCTTTAATACCGTCCACGAATTTTATGAAAATTTTCAACCATCTCAAAAGTCTGCTTATTGGACTATCTATAACAACGTACAGTGTATGAATCGGGGAGACGAATTGCTTGTAGTACAAAAATGATATATAGGCACGGCAGTGCTGTTTTTGACAGATAGTGTCAAAGCCGCCGGATGGAACGGCGAAGACTTTCATACTACTTGCAGGTACCGCTGACCCGAGAGCGATTTCTGCTTCTGAAACTACCTCGAATAGCTTGGGAGTGTTTCAACCACCATGTCTTGCTGGAAATTTTGTTGTCGAGTATCTTCCGTGGCCCGTTCCATGTTTGTCTCACACACAGGTTCCAAGCTGCAGATAAAGGTCGCAGAGTAGTCCCCATCTAATGCAAAAGGTGAACTGTCGTAGACGATCTGAACTGGGACATCGAGATGGGCCTCGGTCATCCAACGATCACCTGAGCCAGTACTCGAGAGACGTCTATGCCATTTGCGTTTCGGGGATCCCGAAGCTGGAGACACTCTCCCATTGTTGGCATGGCTTCCTTTAGATGGGTACAGGGACATAACCACATGAATCTGCAAGCTATACCGTACAGCCATGTAAGGCGTGAACGATGTAGGCGCGGGTAACAGGTCTCTAGAAATATGGATAGGTACCGGAATACTCGTAGACAAAGTTGGAATGTGAATCGTAGTCCCATTGATGGCGAATTGTTCTGAAGGAATAGGGTCGGGTGCTGTCTCAGTGTATGGTGGAGAGGGAGACCTACAGCCTTGTGCATTATGCTGAACAAATTCGTTCCCAGAATTGTCATTGTCTAGATGTACTTTTTCCGGAAATGGTACTAAGGTAAGATCAGAGGTGGCTTGTTCAGGAGAGCTGGCTCTCAAATTGAGCAGATTTTCATGTGCTGAATCACTTTCCGGCTGCGTGAGTTGGCCCACATCCACATCATGTTGCCATTCGCAGACGGCTAGATCATGTTTGTATGTATGCCTGTCGCTAAGTGTTACCTTGCGCTGTACCGTAGTCGGCTTGACAACGCTGGATACTTGTCGTAAAGTGGGGACTTTCTTTAGTCCTTTGAAGGCGCAGAAAGTAGATTTCTGTAAACGCCAGCTGATGTCGATCGTTCCGCGTGTTAGGTCGATCCCGTTATCTGGTGCACTCTGGTCCGTCTGGAAACCTAGTTTTAACGGAGCGTTAGTCGTAGCATACTGACTTGTCTTGCGTAGAAACAGAGGCCGAGGCTCAGAAGCTCGAACGAAGATTGCAGGCGAGCTATCTTGTTGGGGACGAACAATTTGTTTCAGTACTGCTATCTTGCTTGCACATAAGGTTGCTCTCTGGTGCGAATGGTATTCCCATCCGAAGTCTGCTATGCAAGTTGGCGGTTGGACATCGAGGCTATCATCCAGAATCCAGATCTCAGTACACGTCTCAGCAACTGTCTTGTTGATTCCCTCCTGGTTCCGAGAGATTACGGCGCGAATCTTGTATGTAATTGCAACATCCAATACCTCATGATCCTGGGTGGCACCTGGACGACGTGGACAGGGGATCCTGATGTTTGCTGACGATGGTAAGGTGTTCACTCGGGTATAGATAGGGGTTTGTGCAGTGCCGTGAGTTTGGTCCCGAGCATTATTAACTGAACCAAAGCTGACTGTAGAGTTCGAATTTTCGCAGGGTTGGAATGAGAAACCGAACAGTCGCATTTCCGATGGTCTGAGAGCTTCCACCTCACCACGTAAATCAGGATCAATTCGGAGGGTTCTGCTCAAGTTCAAAATCTAAAATGATTGGCTAAGATTGATTTAGCAGTATATGGCTATTTACCTCTTCAGTCCTATTTTTGAGATCCCACATCTCACCACAAGGATGGTTTGACGTCCAAGTCTTCGCAGCGTAACAACCTGCCGGACATAAATATCGTGACCAGGTGGTGAAACAACAAACTCACATACCTATTAGAGTGATGTGCAGATGATCGTTCAGGTGTGCAGATGAGTCTTTGCGATATCTGACTTCAACGACGCCAGCTACCTTCTGACTCGCAAGGAACACGGGTGATTTGTAAAATGTGTTGGAAATGCGCCAATCTTGCGATTCGGGAAAGCTCAGTTGTATCTTGGCTTCAGGGCGAAGAGCAGAGAGGCTTGATCTTGTCATATTGCTGGTCGTGCACTTCAGTATGTATCTGGTCGCAGCAGATTAGAGGGCGATGCCTGCAGTAATGAACCATGCCGGCGCAATCGCCGACTTTTAAGTCATTTCTCAGTGTTGATGAGTGAGAATATGCACTCGGGCAAGCCTCGTTCGGTAGACAGCCTTCTAGTGGTTGTGCCGAGCGGAAACGCACAGAGAGGTATAAACACCATGTGATGTATGGCAATCAATCCTGGACTCGCATCGGGACTCACGGAGTAAGCACTGAGCATCAATCTCTTGGTCGATATGACTAAAGCTGAATTTGGCCATACGACAAAGATCATGGTTCCGGCAACAACGCCCCGTTAACCGAGGATTATGCTCGACCCGGTTTCAGAGCCATTTTCCAGCGCATGAGGCTGAGTGGAACCGTTGGGTGTATGTGCGGGCTGGAAGACCGGAACTGGCTGTGAGTGGTTCAGAGACAAGAAGCTTTTGCTCCCAATGCTTCTAATGCTTACGTAGCAAGTAGCAAGGGTAAGGTGAGATTCTGCACGAATACTTGAAGCTGCTTATAATGTAGTCGAGCAGTCTCTCACACCAGCTTTTGCTCGGATGTTCTTGAAGCAGGAGAAAGACGCAGAACCAGAACATAGTAACATAATTTCGCCGAACCGCATTTCAGCTCCACCTAGGTTGAGTTACGTAAATGAGTACTGGCGTTGTCACATGATGGCTCGTAAAGAGGTGTGGACAGTTCAACAAAATGCTGTCATCCTGAGAAGGAGCTTCACCCTTAGGACCAAATACAGAACCGCAGCCATATTTTGATCTTCAAGCCAGTCTCAGTTCTTTCCAGCTTGCGGGTAAACTGTCAATTCTAGGTCTGAATGGCTCCATGACCGTCAGCTCTCGCCATCGAGAGTCAAAAGTACTGGATAGAGTTTATACACTCTGACTTTCCATGAATTTCGCTTCGTTCTTCCTTCTTGACCGCACAGTGCTGATTCCTATAAAATTGTGGTATTTAGCACTCGTAGTTCACAATCAGCATCTAAACATCGGATCAGTGGAGTTGGAAGGCGATTGGTACGTGCATGAAAATATTCAGCTACAGAATATAGATATAGACTAGATCATCGAGAGAACCGCAGAGCTACGATAGCACTCATAGTCCTTCAAACTTAGATCTATCTTCACCTATACGCGTATCTGAAGTTTGCGCCAGCAAAACTATGCTCAAGGTTCCGGCGCTTAATATCATCCTCAATGTCCATGAGACGATTGTACTTCGCAACTCTCTCCCCTCTACATGGACTTCCACTCTTCAGATGACCTGTTCCCAGAGCCACGGTCAAATCTGCGATGAAGTCATCGGTTGTCTCTCCACTTCGATGACTAACAAAGACAGCCCAACCAAGCTCGTATGCTCTCTGTGCAGCATCGATAGACTCGGATATGGTTCCAATTTGATTGATCTTTAGCAACAATGCGTTGCAAGCTTCTCGCTCATTTGCCATGTTGATTCGATTGATGTTCGTCGCAAGCAGATCATCGCCTACCAGTTCCACTGCACAATTCTTATTGAAGATCGTCCACGAGCTCCAATCGTCTTGTGCGAACGGATCTTCCAAAAGCACGACTGGATATTCCGCTAGTATCTTGTGATACAATGCCGCTATTTGCTCCCCACTCTGAGGACTTGAATGATCCCATTTCATCCCGATATCGTATTCGCGGGTGTCGGTGTTATAGAATTCGCTGCTAGCTGGATCAATCCCAATTTTGACACCACCCTCGTGACCAGCAGCCTTTATGGCGGCAATGAGAAGATCCAGTGCTTCATGAGGCTCAGAGATCGGGGGTGCGAAGCCACCCTCGTCACCAATACCGACTGCAGACTTGCCGAACTTAGAGGTTATCAGAGTCTTCAATTCGCTGTATATTTCACTACCCCAGCGGACAGCTTCAGCCATTGACGAGGCACCAACGGGAGCGATCATCATTTCTTGGAAGGCCATGGGATTTCCAGAATGAACGCCACCGTTGAGCACATTGAAAAACGGAGTTGGTAATACGTAAGGTTTCGATGCTCGGTAGGCCAAAGAAGACAAATGCGCATATAGTGGAAGATCCTGTCAGTCGATGTCAGTCACAAGCAAAAATCGAAATCAACGAATTGAAACGACTTGGACCTTTTTAGGCGAAGACGTACCCTTGCCGTAGCACCTGCTCTTGCAACCGCCATACTGATGCCTAGTATCGCATTTGCTCCGAATTGCTCTTTATCTGGTGAGCCGTCTAATTCACACATGAACGCGTCGATCTCTCGCTGCTGAGTAGACACATCAAATTTTTTTGCGATGAGCTCCGGGCCGATGGCATCCTGAACATTCTTGACAGCTCTTAGCATGCCGTTTCCCTGATACCGCGCAGCATCCGCATCCCTCAATTCGATAGCTTCGTAGTCGCCTTTAGAAGCACCAGAAGGGACAAGTGATCTGAAAGCGCCTCTATCCGTGGTAATTGTTACTTGGACTGTAGGCTTTCCACGCGAATCTAGACGTTCAGCAGCGTCAATATGTGTAATATATGACATGACTTGAGCGGTCTGGAGTCGTGGGTCGCAGAAATGTATTCGCTTACAGGAGCTGCGTCGCTGATATCAATGCCGTGGCATTTATCAGTACAATTCAGCATTGAGACCACATGTTTAAATAAGAGCAATATAACGCAGAGGTTCGGACAAGGGGGCTCCCAGCTCAATAGGACATGGATTCGGTATCCAGTGACATGATGCGCGCCAGAAGATCACGTTAGATCGATTTGCACGACTTTACTCTCAAGAGAAAGAATCGTGGAAACAGGCAGGGCAGGAGGAACTGCTTCCGGTGGCACGTCCTATTAGTCGAACGGCTGTTCGGCCCCGCTTTCGTCATGGAGCACTACTCCCGGAAAATCGGGTCGGTGTTGGTAACTAGAAGAGTGGGTATGGTATTGTGTATGTACTAGCTAAGGTGACGCAGCAGTGTAATAACTAGAGGTAGGGACTGTGAGGAAGGTAGGCTTAGCGTACTTGCCTAACATCGGCCATCGCTGGCAAAAGAGTGGTTGATCAGAGTTTTCCGAGTATGCTAGCGAGACGAGGACTTTTGTCCGTTACCGGTGTGGAGCAAGTGGTTTGCGGTCAACACTGGCTCCCCATCACGTTAAACAGACACAACAGTTGCATTGAGGGTTTTTCTTTGTACCAGCTCAGAACCATGACCAAAGGCGTTCGCAAAGAAATAGATTGATTCTGGTCAGTCGTCTTCGACCAAAATTCTTCTATACAGGACTCTGAGTTTTGTGTAATTCTGCTTCTTGCACAGCTCTTTCCGCTTCGTACTTTTCCACACACGGCGCGAAGAACAGCTCCCCCTTAAGCGCCCGTTTGCCAGTTTTAATGCTCACAATGACCCACAGTAATACCACGACCAAGGAAAATATCGTACCCAGGATCTTGAAGAACAAGCTTGGCAGGTCTTTGGCCAGCATTGTCGTCGATAGTGCGTAGACGCCAAGTGGAAAAGTAAATCCCCACCAGCCCATATTGAAAGGGAACTTGCTGCGTGTAATGCTGGCAAGCGCAAAGAAAAGCCATATTAGACCATAGCCCCAGATTATCAAGGCAATTGCATTTCCAAGATTGTAGAAAGTCGTTCCTGCGGATGGATCTAATGTTCCTGTAAGAGGAAAGACGTCTCTAGCGACCTTTCCAAGTTGCATAATTGCATAACTGCCTTGACCAAGCGGTCCTAGGGGGAGAAAGACTGAGACAATCACTTCTCGTGCTGGCAAATGGTGGATGGTTAAGCGATGGAAGTACATGACTAATACAACCATAGCTAGGGGAAATCCAGTACCCCAGAGAACATAGCTAGTTATGACCGTCCATAGAGCGTGCTGAGGATTTGGAAGAATTTGTGCGACGATACCTCCGGATGCTGAAGCGACGATAGTTGAGACTATCGGTAAGAGCCAGACTGCAGTCATCTTTGATAGCTCGCTGTCATGTTTGTGCATGATTATAAAAGGAAGGTAGAAACATGTAGCCACAGAACATACAACATCAATCCACCATAAGCTCCAAGCCAAAGTCGTCGCCCATGGTCCAAAAGCAGGCACACAGACGAAAACCACCATATTTCCTATCGTCGCAAGTCCCATGGGAAAGGTTCCTGTGAAAAGTGACTGAACAGGGTGGTTGATCATGTATACAAACAGACCCCGGAACATTAGATATCGGAGGACCGAGATACCCAAGAACAGGGTGAAAAGGAGGACGTTGAGACAGAATATAGCAACAGAAATCCAGTATAACCATATACCGTTGTAAGGGAGGTTATGCAGTAGGATCGAAACGATACCTGTGCCCATGATCACAGAAAACCAGGAAGGTGTGAAGTTGAGGACGACCTTTCGCCAGCCATGATCGTTGCTCGCATGAACCTGTTTCTCAAGTTGTTGCACTGCTGTTTCGTTGTTGCTGTTGCGGCCACCTGTCACTGTCAAGCTGTCACTAGATGGCAGATGACAATCGGTAAAGGCACCCGAGGGGTCCATGTCTGGCTCGTTGAAGGTGAAGAGGATTTTTTTGTTATTTGCTCACGTGCTGAAGTGAGCATTGACAATTGTGCGACGTGGTTTAGGGGTGCCTTGCAATATGTGGTAGTGAGAGCTCGTTTGTACAGGTTCTCCATGCGCGGAAGAACTTGTATATACAGTGGGTTACACGAATTGGCCGAATCGACGCGTTAGAACGCGTATTTATTAAAATCGTAATTCTAATGTAGAAGTGAAGCCGCTAAATTTCACGAATCATGCGTTGAGGAAACATGAGCGACATCTCGAAAGGGTAAGCGATCAGCGAAAAAGCAAGGGTGACGTCACTCCCGGACTGCCGTTCAACAGCCTATGAGTGCTTTACCCAAAGCATCCTTCATCAACGACGATCTCCTAGATTCGACAGGACCAGGAGTCATGATTGTAAGCCATTTCTCGGCAAGCTTCGAGGCCAATGTCAAGATGCCTTATCAAAGTCACTTGCCTCTTCTTTTTGTGCATGTGACCACGCTCGTGATCTCGATTTCAGGTGACGTTTGGTGCGAGAAGATTCGGAACGCTGAGTGTTGCAAATTTGTACAATGCTTTCCTCAAGCGATGCATGGCAGACGAATGATCGCAGTACTGTTGATCGCGATAGTCTGGAGAGAGAACAATCACCAGCATGCGAGGAGCGGAGAAGCTTCAACGAAGGGACTGAAGCTCGACTGACAGAATTGGCAGCTCCCCAAGTCACACCCGAGCAGGAGACAGGAGATGATCTTGAAGACGAAGAGTCCCTCGCTAAGACAGACACAAATGAGTCCAATGCGCTCGCTGAAGTAGCAGCTCCGGAACCAGTCGCCCATACGCAGCATCAACCAGCCAAGGATAACTCGGAAGAAGAGAAGCATGGGGTCAGTCATGCCAACCACGAGAAGAAATCGAAGCCATGGATAGAAATGGCAACGATAGGGTGGCTTATATTCTTCTCATTTCTTGGGACACTTGCACGACTAGGAGTCGAAGCCATCGCCACATATCCGTATGCTTTTGTACCTTCCACAGTGCTCTGGGCGAATATGGGTGGGTCTTTCTTGATGGGCTTTCTCCTGGAAGATCGCCGACTGTGGCATTACTCTGCCGATCCAGGTGTCCTCGGAGAGGATCAAGACGAGAATCGTCGTCACATAGACAAGAGTAAAAAGACACTGCCGCTATATATTGGTCTGACAACAGGGTTTTGCGGGAGTTTTACCTCTTTCAGCACGTTCATTACTGATGCCTTCCTGGCTCTGAGTAATGACTTAGCTCCAGCGAGTCCTATCTCGCCATACCATTCGATAAGCGCCAATTCCATACAGTCCCGCAACGGCGGGTACTCGCTTATGGCTTTGCTGGCTGTCCTCATTGTTCATACAGCAGTATCGATTGCCGCATTAAAGACAGGGGCACACGTCGCAGTTGGCACAGAACAGGTCACACCATCTCTACCATCGCGATTCATTCAGAAGATTTTGGATCCCCTTGGGATAGTTTTGGGTATCGGTTGCTGGGTCGGTGCCGTCCTGCTAACAGTCTGGCCTATTGAGCTGTATTGGCGCCGAAGCGTAACGATGGCCCTGGTATTCGCTCCGTTAGGCGCTCTGTCACGTTTCTACATCTCAAGGCATTTGAACGCCCGCGTGCCACAATTCCCGCTTGGTACCTTCGCGATCAATGTCTTCGGTGCTTGTGTGGAGGGAATGTGCTTTGACTTACAGCACACTTCCCATATCATCGGAAATGTCACATCTGGATTTGCTGTGCCGTGTGCCGTACTTGAAGGAGTAATGCAGGGGTATTGCGGCTGCGCCACAACAGTAAGCACTTGGGTTGTTGAATTGAACGCGCTTCGGCGAAGACATGCATGGCTCTATGGGATGGCCAGCGTCGGCGTGTCCTTGGGATTCCAGATCGCTATCATGGGATCTGTAGCATGGACAGCAGGATTCGATCAAAGCTGCAGCGCATGAACTGAGCACTCGTGTAAGAGGGAAAACAAGATTTAGATGTCTTCTTCGAGATCGATTTCTGCCATGAATGAATTTTTGAGGATGATTTTGTTCACTCACTCACTGTCGACGTGGTGAGCAAAGCAGGTGTTTCCAGCGGGCTTGTGTCCAGACAAGTGGCTGGAATGATTCACGAGCTCGTCGTGCGTGTACAAAGACATATTATCGTCACTATGATCGTAAGAAGGGTTCGAAAGCCACTGCGCTGCCTCGTCGTTTGAGTTGTATACAGTGATAGAAGCGATTTGTGAGCTGTCTCGTGTAGAGTTGAAATTGCTGTCGACATAAGGATTATTGTTGCCCTGAGTCGGCTCACTGTATTCACTGAGTAGTTCCTGGTTTTGTGGATGAGCTACGCAGGAAAACTCAATTGCTTCAAGCTGCGACACATCTAAGTTATCAAAGATCTCGTCCCATGTCAGAGGACTCAGCTCATCAGTGCTGCTAGCTGGTGGATCCGATCTGGGATTCACAGATTGTCGCAGATTATCGGTCGATATACCCATATCAGCTAAGAGCACTTTCACACGTGCTAGATCTGTGGAAGTATTGCTCTGAAGCACTTTATGTAGAGCTTGAACCATTTGATCTCTCTGTGATTCTACTAGTTGAACATATTCAGAGCTTTTGCCATGGTCGTGTTTCCTTGGGTTCGATGTGGTCACACAGACCACTCCATCCTGTTTGCATCTCTCGCAGATTTTGCCCCCACTGCATCGCGTCTTCTTCAGTCGACAACGATCACAGGCTCTAGAAGTGCGTTTCGGGTAGTAACTGTGTACCTGCTCCAGATCTTGATGGTCCCCTTCTGCGATTATTCGTTTCCGTTTCGACGTAGGATCTTTTGGAGCAGGCTCGAGTGCTGTAGCTGCAGAAGTCGATTGTTCGGACCGTTGTGGTGTTATGAAAAACATGGCGGCTCGGATTCACAATCTTACTCGCATTGCACGATCTTATAAAAGCACTGTGCAAAGTGTAAGCAGTCACAACATCGTTGTGTTCTTTCGACGTTACTGAGGGGCGGCAGGTGAACAGTTTACGGGTCTGTGTCTTGGTAGCATCGGGTAAACCAATAGGTGTCACACGCCGATGACGTTTCGCACAAGCCTAACCATGTTCGTGCCTGCCTATCTCAAGGAGAGTTTATACCAACCCACATCTTACCGTGAGTGATTAACACCATGAGATTCCCTCACGGTGGCACGTCCGAGTCTGCGCTGTTACATTCGATAAGTGCAGTATGTACGTGGGGTAGTTCGAATTGTGAACGTCGCCCGAGATATATGAAAAGCAGGAATGGTCTTCGAGTCATGGGATAAGCTTGCTCGCGCCAAACGTGCAGCATTGTCATCCTCAATTCCACGGGTTTGGCGTGTACCTGATATCCCTACCCCTGAACAATGTCCCAATGTAACTAATTGGCCTCGACTTGTCCTGTCTAGTGATGAGATACTTATTACTGAGACACCACCACTGATCATCCTCGCCAATATACACGCCTTAGTATGGTCTGCTGAGGATGTTACTCGAGCCTTCTGTCATCGCGCAGCAGTAGCGCATCAGTTGACTAATTGTCTGACAGAAGTACTGTTCGACGCAGCTATCACGACAGCTCAGGAGCTTGATGAGTATCAGCGGACTGTCGGTAGCCTGAAAGGTCCGTTACATGGCTTACCTGTGAGCTTTATGGACCGGTTCAGGGTAGCTGGCGCTGAGACATCCTCTGGTTTCGTTGCATGGCTAGGGCATAAGGAGATCCTAGAAGCTGAAGGCCCTCTCGTCAAGCACATGCGAAGTTTGGGAGCCATACCATTCTGTAAGACAAATGTGCCCCAAAGCATGATGTTAGGAAATACTACCAACAACATCTTTGGTAGTACATTGAATCCATACAACCGGAAATTCTCGGCAGGCGGCGCTGCAGGAGGTAATAACGTCGGATTCCATGCTGTTAGGCATACACTGAAGCTGATATGCTACAGGTGAGGGAGCTCTTCTCGCGATGAAAGGATCTCCTTTTGGCTGGGCGACAGAAATTGCCGGATCAACCCGTATACCAGCAATATTTAACAACCTCTTCGCCATACGAGTGTCTACGGGACGTTTGTCCGCTTTGGGCATTGCTTCTAGCAATCAGAATTTACCGCTTTGCAATACGACCGTTGGCATGATCTCGTACGACCTATCTTTTCTTCAACATATGTGTCGACTGACACTTGGCGCAACGGCGTATCAAGAAGACCCGGCATGGCTCGATATGCCATGGCGTGAGGCGCGATTCCAAGAAGTCGAATCTCGTAAACCAACATTCGCGGTCCTACTCGAAGATCAACATGTTCGGCCTCAACCACCACTTCAACGTGCACTCAGACATCTCACTCAGAGCCTCAGAGCACAGGGTTACGAAGTGGTCGCTTGGCAACCTCCATCCCACAAGGAAGCAGTAGAGACTCTATTTCGGATGATTGGCGCCGATGGCGCCAAAGATATTCGTGCGAACATTGCGAGTAGTGGTGAGCCACCGGTACCACAATTGAAAAAATGGTTCTTCGAGCACCATGATCCACCGAACCTCTCAGTCTCTGAATACTGGGCACTCTGCAAATCGAGGATGGATTACATAGCTGCTTACCATTCTTATTGGTTGTCTTCAAAGCAGATCAACATTACGCAACGCCCCATTGACGGCGTTATTATGCCTGTCGTGGCGCAAGTTGCATGTTACGAGAACGAATTGAACTACTTTGGTATATGCTATGCCGTTGCTATAGAGACTCGGCTAACAAGACGTGATAGGGTACAGCGCCATTGTGAATCTCCTCGATTTCACATCTGTTGCTCTTCCTGTCACTTTTGTGGACCGAGATCGAGATCTTCCTGACACAAGACGTGTCATGCTCAATGCGGAAGACGCTCAGATACAAACAAGTTGTAAGCTGGATGTTTTTGCGCGGCACTATATACACACTCTGACAACAATAGATGATCCCAGCACTTTCCATGGCATGCCAGTTGGCATTCAGATTATGTGTCGTCGAGCTGAGGAAGAGGTTGCTTTGGCTCTCGCAAACATTGTGTCTGAGGTTTATCGACGAAATGGAGAGCTGCTCCAACTTAATACTACGTAGTGAGCTTATAAGCGAAGCTATACGTCGTACTTATAAGTAAGAGTAATAGTAGACGTTTACGTTTACGATCTGTTTTACACTCCCTTTGCGGAGCTGACCTTTTTAGTTCAGTTGTATCTTTTAAATTTCTATGTGAATTATATAAAAGTTGTTTTGCTCGAGCTATAGTCGACGCTCCGTCTATTTATGACCTAATTTTATTCCTTTGACACAGTACTTTGATAGAATTAGGACTGCATTACTCTGCTAATGTCGGACACCTCAAAAGTCGAAGGAGGGTGACTCCATTAGATTGTCAGGCATTCGACCGAGCAGCTGTGAAAGAACATTTACGAAATCGTGGGTTTCATACGTGTAGCGACACGCTCTATGCTTACATATTGACACTAATGATAGCCAGCTATACCAGCAGCACCTGAATTTTTGGCTCTTTTTATGTAGACATGTAGACTGCCGCATCTCGCCGTGTTTCGGTCAAGTCAATCATCTTTCTCTGGCTTTTTGGAGACAAAGAAGCTCGATACGAAGTCGCGCATTCTTGAGCCAGTGGTCGGAGCAGGTTTGCTATCTGGTGGTGCCATGTCTTCCATCGTCAAACGGCGTGGTTGTTCTCGCAGTCTCAAGTTCAGGAGTCTTGCGTTTTCAGCAGAAAAGATACCGTCCACCTTCCTGACCCGGCGCGAGACCTGCTTCCCTGACTTGATGCTCGTGGACACAGCTTGTTTCCGACGCGGCGTAGAGCTTTCTACACCTGGACCTTGAATTCGGCCTTTAATCTTGGCCGCACTAGTACCAGTCTTTCGTTTGAGCGATCTTGAAGGAGCTTGGACTTCGAATGGGGTGTATGCTGCGTTACTGGTCGCTGGTGGTTCAACACTAACGGAGGGAAGTCCATGCCAGTTGGTTTCGCTGTGCGAAGGTTGTCCTGTGGATTGTTGCTCAATGAAGCTCAGTAGAGGAGGTCGAACGGGCAGGCAAGTATCGGGTCTTGTGGTCTGTGTAAGTGATGTTATTGCTTCCTCAAGGATTTCCTTTTCGACCGTCCGGCGCCGCCTAGGTTTCGTTGAGTTTGACTCATCTCCAGACACTCTATGTGAGGTAAGGAGACAAGGCCCAGTGATTCGCTCGAGTTCTGTACGGTGCTCGGCATTGAGTCGTAAACTCAATTTGCTGACAACCTCCAGTATTTTCTCTGCTACATCAACGATACCTGTCAAATTTGACACGACAGGTAACTGCTGCCCGAAAGAGGTGAAGAGGTAGTAAGCAACGAGGTGGGCTTGAGTCTTGCTCGAAATAGACCGACGTCGGGTTTCGTAGATGACCATGCCTTGAACGAAGTCCAGCAGGGTAACCTTGCGGAGCTTTCCCGAACCATGTACATTCCTAGTGAAGGAAGCAAGATATTCCTCGCTTTCGACAGACGCATCTGAATCCCAGCGTAGTGGGCCGAAAGTCGGTGGCTCGGATGAGCGGCCTAAATTGTGCTTCATGGTATCACATGTAGCCAGGATCGAAGAACGGTCTTCTGATGACAGCTGCGCCAACAACTCAGGTCTGCTTGCAACAGCATTGAAGAAGGTGATCAAATTATAGGTGGGTTGCAACGCAAGATCTGCGATGCGTTAGTTGAGAGGAGCGGCGAGATGCAAGGTCACATTACTTACTGCATATTGCGGCACGAATTCCTTCCTTTTCAGCCTCTCGAAGGAAAGTTTTGTCAGTCAGTAGGCACCAGCCTCGTCGGTCAGGCTTCTCAAAGTAAGCATCCTTCACGGCTGAGCTGGGTTCGACATCAACGATGCCTTGTGCGAAGATGTTGTTTCGAGGTAACAAAGACTCCCAGGTTTTCCATCCGTGGAAAATCTTAAGGATGTCTCGGGTCTCCATCAACGACTTCAGAGCAAGAAACGGAACCCTTGATGGACCTAAGACAAACTTTTCAACTATAAAGACGCGGTCGGGTGTTGCGAAGAGCCAGTGCATGAACGTCCTGTCGACCGTGGCTTTGAGGGAGGAAGATTTGTATGTCCAGTGGGGGACTGCAACTATTTCCACTCCAATAACTTTTGTTCGGGCTAAATCCGCCAGTAGAGTGAGCGCTCTCTGTTCACTAAAAACATACTCAGCTTCAATAGTCTTCGTTCTCGGGTATAGTGAGCAGTCTTCCAGGAGTTTGAGAGGATCTATAATGGCATTCGAGCTCAAGTGAACGTCTCTGTACAGGTCACTTCTGCTGGTCAACGACGATATGGCTCTGGACTGTGCAATTTGAAGGGAAGCCTCGAAGTTTCGCTTTCGGAGCCAAGTTTTTGGTATGTAGACATCGTCACGAACCTGGAGACGTGTGTTCATAGAAACGGTCAATCTATCCAAGGCGGATAGAAAATCTCGCTGATGTAGCCGAAGCTTTGCTATAGCGCTGTCGTACCTGGAGCATTCCTCACGACCTGGCTTCTTCCACGATCGCAAAGCCTGCACTGTTTGACTCATGATGGTGGCGTATTCTTCGAAGGGCCTAAAACAGGCATAGTACTTAGGCAAATAGGTGCACCAGTCGAGTTGATTTCGAGACATGATTTCGCCACGGCACAACACCGTGCCTTTAGCAAGAAAGACCTGAAGCTCTTCTTGCAGGCCGAAGAACAAATCACGCCCACGGAATGATCGTTGAGCGACCTCCCACTTCTTATACCGGGCTGGATTCTTTTTTAGCAAGCCCAAACACGTCTGAATTTCAAATTGCATCTGGTCGTAGGCATGCAGCCAGCCGTAGGAAGCAAGAGAGACAGAAAGAACAACTAACTCTGGATCGACAGAACCTGGGAGGCGCATGTCAGTCTGAGAGAGACGATTACACCATCTGAAGACGTGACCCTTCATTCCAATAGCACTTATATCAGGGAGAAAATTTCGGCGATTCTCTCTCAAGCTAACGGCTGCTTTTGACACTGGAGGAGGATCTCTGGTATTGTAGTAAGCCTCTTCAAGCCGCAGCAAGAGTCCATCTTCCAGTAGATTGGAAATGTGCACGTTGGTGTCTAGGATGTCATGTAAACTGTAAGTGAGTGAAGCTTGCGGACTGTGAGCGAGTGGAGCTTGCGGAATCTCAATTGCTTTGAGCTGTGTCACGAAGTCGGCTGTAATCTGTGCTCGGACATCAAGCTCATCAACTTTCCAACGCCACCATTCCACAGCGTAGCGAAGTCTATTCACTTGGAGGTTAAGCTGACTGAGTGTCGTGGTGAAAGTGCTGTAGCTGCGATCGAGAAGAGCGAAGCGATGCTTGCAATACAAGATCCAGGCCTGTGAGTATTGCATATGCGCTTCTAGATCTTTCAAGTGGTTTACAGCGAGTATCCATATGCTGCGACATAGCTCGAATTTCTCATCATACTGCTTCTGACCCTTCCTGCGCTGCTCTGCAAGAGCTTGAGCGATAACACTTCGATCCAGACGACCAGAGGACCATGTGTCGAGTTGCACCTGGAGCAGAGATATTGCACGAGAAAGTTCTTGCCCTTTGATCTCGGCTTCTCTGGCCTGACGTTCTTCAACTATTCTCCTGTTACGGTCTTCGGAATACGACAGTATTGTAAAACCAGAGTCCTCGTCCTGCTGCGCAGTTGGCCTTGGTCTTCTGATACCGAGCGAAGGAGGGCCTGGTCTGATAGGTCTGGATTGAGAGGCTTGTTGTGAAGCATGCACCGTGAAGGATCGACGGAACGATGAAACGTATAGCGTGTCACTCGAGACATTCAGCTGTGCTCGAGCACGTAGTTGAAAGCTGCATCCGCCATGATCGCGATTGTGGGGATATTCGAATCCACGATATCTCTCAATCTGTAGCAGGCGACTCACTGGTAATTCGTGCCATTTGTCGATACAGAACGATGCGTCCCTGACAGCACGAGTCGATGAGCATATAGTCTCGCCCACACGGGCACTGTGCATGGACGGTGGAATAATGCAGTCACGAAATGATTTCGTTGGAGACGAACAACGTATGTGCCAGGAAAAGATATGGGTTCAATAGTCGGGCAAATGTGGCTCCACCTTTGCGACCAGCGGAGAATAGATGGTGCACTGCAACCACGTCCTATCTACCATTACGAGTGATCTGTCAAGCTCAGACCAATGCCAGAACCTCAAGCGGATGATGAGTTCTACTACACTATGCGTCTACCTAGCATATGCTCTAGAGGTATAGCCCTTCTGGCTCGCCTTCAGTCTTTGTCTTCATTACTGATTCGCGTGCACTCCTGAAATCGGTCATGTTCACCCTCATTCTTCGTTCTCTCAGAGCCCTGAGTCCTGCTTCAGAGCAGATGGCTTTGATATCGGCTCCAGACAGCTCATCTTTCTGTGCAATGAACTCATCTAGATCCACATCTTCGGCCAAGGACATTTTGGAAGTATGAAGAGTAAAGATCTTCTTCTTCGTATCTTGATCAGGGTTCTCAAACAAAATCTTTCGATCGATTCGTCCAGGTCTGATGAGCGCAGGATCTAGTGTTTCGATTTTGTTCGTTGCCATGATTACCTTGACATCCCCACGATCGTCGAAGCCGTCAAGTTGGTTGAGAAGTTCCAACATAGTTCTCTGGATCTCTCGCTCACCACCCGATGTGCTTTCGTAACGCTTGGTACCGATTGCATCGATCTCGTCGATGAAGACAATGCTAGGGGCGTTCTCGGCTGCCACCTGGAAAAGTTGACGGACAAGCCGAGGACCGTCTCCCAGGTACTTTTGTATCAACTCGGAACCGACTATGCGTAGGAAAGTGGCAGATGTTTGATTGGCAACCGCCTTAGCGAGAAGCGTCTTGCCTGTACCAGGAGCCCCATAAAGTATGACACCCTTAGGCGGTTTGATACCCATCTCTTCGTATAGTTCAGGGTGTAATAGTGGCAGTTCCACGGCTTCTCTCACTTCCTGAATCTGTGTCTCGAGACCTCCAATGTCGGCGTAAGACTCTGTTGGTGCCTTGTCCAGCTTCATAACTGACACCAACGGATCTGCATCGTCGGTCAAAACGCCTACCACGGAGACGGACTTGTGGTGGAGCAGAATGCTGGAGCCGGGCTCAAGTAAATCCTTATCCACAAAGGACATGATTGAGACATAGTATTCCGGGCCCGTTGCACTGCTCACAATGGCGTGGTCGTCGTCAATCAGCTCTTCGAGATTACCAACTCCCATCGGACTGCCTCGCATATCGTCGACTCGACCTCTTTCATCAGCGTTCCTATCAACGCCTTCGCTTTCTTGCGTACTTGAAGGTGCTTGCGTCGTTGTTGCTTTTGCCTTGCGAATGGCCTCCTGGTTTTCAACATACTCTTCCTCCAGTAGCAGATGGTCGTGGACTCGTTGCATTCGAAGATATCTCAGTTTACATCGCGAGGTAGGATAGATAGCGGGAAGTTTGCCAGCAGCACTAGGACCTGCTTGCTTACGCTTCTTGCGACCAATGCGTGTGGTTGGCTGTGGCGGTGGCTCGTACTTAGGCTTGTCTTTCTGGAGTTTTGTAAGCTGAATGTGACTATATGGAGACATCAAAGGTATCTACCTTTTTGTCCTTCTCATCTTTGCCAGGCCCTGGAGGACCACCTCCTAACCCCGACTGTTGATTGCCCTGTGCTGGTTAGCAGTCAGTAGTGGCTACCTGGGTACGGTGCGTACCATATTGCAATCTTGTGAAGACTTCGAGGCAAAAACAGTCGTCTGACGTTATGGGAGTATTTGACCTTGATGGACAAACGGAGAGGGTTGAGGTGTAGTACGGTACAGGGTATAATGGTGATGCTCAAGAAGGCACGTAATTTGGACTCTCGCCTGGCGGTACTGACGCGCCATGCTAGTATCTGTGTTAGGTAATCAGCTCAAGCCCTAGCGCCACAACGCTAATGCGCAGCCGCCTTTAGTACTAGGCACTATAAGGCAGCTTCTATATTACCGACGTTCAAGTTGTCGAGTACAATCCAAGCAGACAGTCCATTTTCTCTTGCGCTCACACTCGTGGATTTATGTTACCAATTTACTCGGCACCGCAACATTCGTGATAATTATCTCTCTGTGAACTCAAACTCCTAGTTATCTTTCGCTCACATCGTCGTCGCAAAACTGTACGCCGAAGGTTCACTGTCAATACCACTGGCCGTCTTCGCTTCCCTTCTCCTCTTCTCGTTTCTTCCACGTCAATAGCTTGTGAAATGGCTGGCCATAAGGCGAGGCGAATAGCAAAGGAGCTGGCAGATATCAAGGCCGACTCGCTTTCTAAGATTCATGCCGAGACAGTAGGAGACAGCCTGACGAAACTGAAAGGCTCGTTTTCTGGTCCGCCAGGCACTCCATACGAAGGCGGCACATACGATGTCGACATCACGATACCTAACGAGTATCCTTTCAAGCCGCCTGTCATGAAGTTCACCACCAAGATATGGCATCCCAACGTGAGCAGTCAGACGGTGAGTAGTATCACAATCTAAAAGGCGGCACGGCTCATGAACAACAGGGTGCTATCTGTCTCGATACTTTAACGACAGGTTGGTCTCCAGTTCTTACCATAAAATCCGCCATGATATCCTTACAATCTCTACTATCCTCCCCTGAACCAAAAGATCCGCAGGACGCCGTCGTCGCTCGTGAACTGATCAAGAATCCGGAACAATTCAATCGCACTGCCAAGGAATGGGCTGTTCGCTTTGCAGGTGCACCCAAATCGCTGATAGGTGAAGGCAGTGGTGGAGCCACGGAGAAGTCTATAGAAGAGGCTGAGAGAGAAGAAAGAGAGCGCGAGGAAAGAGCCAACTTGGCGGTTTATGACGGATACAACAAAGAACTTGTTGATCAATTTGGAAACATGGGCTTTGACGTCCCAAGAGTCGTCGAGGCCTTCCATTTCGTTGGTATTGACCGGAATGGAGGGCAGTTTTACGAGCTGGAGGAAGCCTACATCGGCGACATAACCGCACGTTTGTTTGGGGAGCCCTAGGAGGACGCTAGTGCAAGTACCAGGGCCAGGGTTATGAGGCGTACCCAGGAACAGGTGGACATTGATCAGAGAATGGAGTACTTCGAGATCCTACAGCGGGCTGATAATACGCTCTACTCTACGGCGTTTTGAGGGTTGTCGGGCAGTCTTACAGACTAATAGATTGCACGGGGTAGTGTTACTCAAGGACAATCTTTTCTTCTACTACAATCGTAACAAAAATCTGTAGTTTCCTAAAATTGCCGCTCTAACCCTACCTCTTCGTTAACAAGACTTGATCGTTTCTCACCTCGCCTTTATGCTTACACTCTGGTAAATGGAAGAAGCTTGTGAGTACTAACAAGGTAGAGTCACTGCGCAATGCTGGAAGATGATACGTATCGGGCATCTTCGCAATACCGCTTGTGGTCATTTACCACCGAGCAACTACAAGACAAGCGTCTAGAGACAAACAGGCTAGCATGCGAGAAAGTACAGGCTTCTTTCAAGAGGTCACGTCTTGCTGGCAACCTGTCGCTTGTTGCGACCGCGGCCGATGATGGTCATGGCATATCAGGACCTTCAAGTACCACTGGCACACCAGAACCCTCGAGCAAACGTGCGGACGAGTTCGATGGTGAGGTGAATCCATTGACAGCAGACGAGGAACAACGCATGGTACAATGGGGTTGTGAGAAAATCCTTGAGCTACAGGACACGATATTCCCGAGGCCAGGAGCAATTGTTGTGGTGAGTCAGGCTCGTTGATTTATCCTAAGTTGGTTATGCTGTTCAAAGTCCTCAATCATCATAAGCAGATATGCAATACTGACCGTCGCTGCGAACACCGTGTCAGAATCTGACCTTCTATGTTTACCTACTCACTCGTTGTCTAGTGTACAGCCATTCAGTTCCTGCGCCGTTTTTACCTGTCTAATAGTCCTATGACATATCATCCACGCCATCTTCTAACAAGCGCTCTGTGGCTCGCCTTCAAAGCAGAGCATTACACCTTTCTCACACTCACAAAGTTCACTGCTCAGCTACACAATGTTACAGATGATGATGTGAAGGCGCCAGAGTTCTTGCTTATGCAGAGTCTGCGATTCACATTAGACGTGAAGCATCCTATGCGTGGTCTCGAAGGTTGCGTGAGTGATATGCAGCGGATGACAGACCTTGGCGATTTGGTGGTGGAGAGCAAGAAAGGTGCAGCTATGAAGGATCGTATCGACAGAGCCTTCGCGAAAGGAAGAGCACTTTGTGTTCGTGACGTTCAGATGACAGATGCATACTTCCTCTTCACACCACCACAGATACATCTTGCCTGCCTTCTGATCGTCGACAAGTCACTAACGCTTTCCTACTTGGAGGCCCTCTTCGACCGCCTGACCACACGAGTTGGACCAATCAAGCAGAAGCTCATCGACACAATAGCAGCCTGTGCAAAAGTTATCGGCTCATACAAATCACAGACGGAAGACAAAAGCAAGAAGAAAGAATTGGCAAGGATAGGGAAGAAGCTGGCCAAGTGTCAGGATCCCGAGAAGAAGGATATCGTTGGCAACGAAAAGGCCAAGCTAGAGAAGAGTTTCAAGGGAGGTCAAGACAGTGATGATGAGGACCGGCGGCAGAAGAAGAGATTCAAGAAAGAAGACGACGGTGAAGTATTTGGACCAGGTTTGACAGACGTCAAGCTGGGTAAAGCACAATGAATGTGCTGTCTTATCAAAATCTGAGGAATATATCACTGTTCTGGCGCGTGTACTAAAGTCGTTCTTTCTTCTTTTCAAATTAGCGAGGAGCATGGCATTCAGGGCCAGAAAGGAACAGCACATCCCGTGTCAGGATCGGCAGCCCTAGTATCTGAAACCAGTTAGCTGTCTTCGTGAGAACTGAAGAGCCTAACTGCCTGCTATGTAAAGGCCAGCTTTTTGTTGGAGAGACGGGTGACTTTCACTGGTGAGCATCGCCCATTTTGTCCTAGCACTAATACTTACCTTCTTAGTCTTCGTTGCAAGATCTTCTTCCTTGACTACGACACTCTGACGCCCATACTATTTCCTGCCACGAAATACACAACTCTCGAAACTCTGACACACGCGACAGAAGGTAAGACCACAAGGCCTACGTCGTATCGACCAGAGTACGTTGAGTATCTGGATGACCGTGGGATTGAGCTCGAAGGTCTGAGACATATTGATGTCTGCATCGTACCAAAGTACGACTGCATCGCAGAGGCAGCTCGAGCTACTTCGTGTGCCCCACCGTATCTTGAGACATTGGCGGGTGGTGAAGAAGAACCGCCACGAACAAAAGGGCTCGAGGACGAGGACATTATATCCAGTAGGATCCAAGATGACAGCACTGGCGGTGGTGTGCTGAGAGAGCATCTCGACACACCTTCGGTCGACAAGCAACTAGAAGTACAGCTATCAGACGATGTGGCATGGTCCGAGCCGAGTTCCAGATCCCACGATGCCAAAGCGGTGCCGCGCAAAAGAGTGACTATCGTTGAGCCAACTGTGGAGAGAGCACTGACATCTTCTCAGCTCAAGGGTAGTCTGAAACCTCCATGCACAGTTCATTTTCCGGAGGACCCCTATCCGACGCGGGAGGGCGTTGCGCCTTTTAAGCAAGTCTCGGATGAAGATATTCCTATCGGTGCTAGATGGACAAAAATTAGCCGCGAATGGGTAAACCCGAGGCACTGGAACGTGCTCGTGGGCGTTTTGAGGAGACAGAGGACTATGTGATAGTATACAGAGTGCTTCGTAGGCATGAAATTGACAGATTGGCCGATGTGACCCGGGAGATTCGGCGTCGGAGGGAACGCGGATGGGAAAGGCGGTGGAAATCGCGACGGAAAGAACTGCAGCGCTCTGATTCGAGGTAAATTTGTGAGACAATAGGATCATAAATGCACCTTCGACGTCTCCAGCAATTCAGAGCTTCCCATTGTGTACGCGATCGCACTAGAGATCCAGGGTCCTGCCCTGCTGACTGCTCTGCCTCATCAACTCACACAACCGTATCACGTCCGCAGACACACCTGGGTCAACTGGCAACAATTTCGCATCATTTGCATCCAGAGCTTTTGCGAATTGATCATAGAACGTAGTGTATCCTTTACTCTCCACAGGTTTCACCTTGCTAGTGGTCATCCCACCCTCACTAGTGGTTGTAAGAATGCCATGTTTACTTTCACCTTCCTCCCCATAATTTTCCTGCCCTGGTCGAAGGCCGTTCTTGAGCTGATCCTCCTGCGGGTCAAGGTGAAACTTCTTGAAACTGCCCTTTGTCCCTCGTATCCAGAATCTGAGCTGGTCGGTCTCAGGACTAACCACACCAGCCTTCGCCGTGACCATCAGTCCGTCCTCGTAGTGCAGTAGAGCCGTAAAGGAGTCTTCCAGACCAATCGTGTTACCCTCCCTCTGACTCCCAACAAATCCAGTAATTCGTTTCGGTAAGCCGTATAGGTACACAGCCTGATCCAGTAAATGCGTGCCTAAATCAAATACAGCAGAGTAATTCGCCGGATCCGTCTTCCAAGACTGTGCTGTAGGCATATCAGGCCTATGTCGATCGAAATGCGTTTCGAACTCCGCAACACGTCCTAAAGACCCCTCACTAACGAGTCTCCTGACAGTCAGAAAATCCCTGTCATATCGCCTATTCTGATATACTGTAAGTAGCACATTATTCTGCTCTGCAACCTTGACCAGCTCACGAGCTTCATCCGAAGTTGGCGTGAACGGCTTCTCGACTAAGACATGTTTCCCTGCCCTCATAGCTTTACTCGCGAGCTCAAAATGGCTGTTTGGTGCTGTGCTGATGACCACGACGTCGATGTCCGCATCGTTGAAGAGTTCTTCTGTGCTGCGGTATATTTTAGTTCTGGGGTAGTCGTTGCTTGCGTCGTCTTGGGGTTTGGGCGTGCGCTGTACGATGGCGTCGAGCTTGAATTGTGCGGTATCTGTGATGAAGGGGATGTGGAAGATTTTGGCGGAGAGACCGTAGCCTATTATGCCGACGCTGTAGATTTTGGACATTGTATGCTAAACGATCAGTTGATACCAAGAAAGAAATGATGGATTTGGAATAGGAACAGTCCTCGGTGGTATTGTCCTTGAGCTTTTCTTTAACGATGGTACTTAGATGAGCAAGGCAGTTTATATCTAGAGCACTAATTTTCTATGACTCTAGAATGAGATGCTCATGCTGCTTGGCAAAATTTCTCTATTACTTTTCATGTTGGGGAACGATCAGCTCGATTCGGTTTAAGAGCAGCGACTGGAAACTGCTGTGAATATGCGTGGGAAAGACTCCAAAGTTTGATCGAACTCTGCATGATATGTGTCTACGCTTAGACGTACGACGCGCTTCGAACGCGTCGAGCTGAAACTGGTGAAATTTGAAAGAATCTCTACAGCCTGCCAATGTTACTTCTATGCTCCGTATCTGACGCAAGCTGCATCTAACGCCGCTATGAAGGACGGCTTGCTCTTGTACGCCATGAGTAATGCCCAGCCCAGCCTATAGGCCAAACAAAACGCGGTTCCCTTCACGGATCACATCCTGCTCACCCTCACTCATATTAGGCAGAATCTGAAAGGACTGGCCAGGGAATCCCATCGCTCTCTTCGCCGCTGGCTCGATGAAGTTGCTTGACCAGTCAACCTTCCCTGCATAGTTCTTCTCGCCCTCACTACCAGCACCTGGAAAGTCTGGTGGTGGAGAAAGAACGCTAGCAGATTCTCTTTGCCTCTTCAAGGCATTCAGGTTCGACCTCGTCAAGGCACATGCTGGTATATACAGCACAGAACTGTCGCCCTTGCCTTTGTGCTCGGCATCGACTGCATGAATAGTGTCACAGTGCCATGCAACATAATCACCAGGCTCAACCTTTGGGATCGAAAGCATTGTATCTTGCAGCTCAAGCTGTGGATGTGTTTCTGTGTTGTACTCCTGTGCTGCAGCTTGTACGGAGCCAGGAAATTCCGATGAGTCGAGGTTAAGCTCATTTGTTTCAGGGTTGAAGAATGGTCGCAGAATATGATAAGCTGATGCATGGCGCAGCAGAGGACATACTTTCAGAGTACCTTCACCAGGTCCAGTTGAGCTCATCGCCAACCAGCCTTGGAAGAGCCGAAACATTGAGCAAGCTCCACCACCATTGTACATATCCATGTTGGCGTCGAGTCGATACCGAGCGTCATATGGATCGTATTTCTCCCACTGGCCATCGAGAATCTTCTGGTAAACCTTAGAATATGTCGGGTCTTCCCATCGCTCAACACTCCCTCCATCTGTGTGTGGTCCGAGTGCGAACTTCGCATCGCCTGGCTGTCGGATCCGCAGTCGATCTGCATAGGACAAAGGATAAGTCGTTGAAATCTCTGACTTCGGATCAGAGCTGTGCCACAACGTCGTGAGGAATGATTGCGTTCGTAACATGTTTGGATGTCCTCGTGCTAATGTCTGTGATGGTGACCAGTATAGCTCATAAACTGCAGGACTATCTGGTGGAAATGCTTTGACTCGAGATTTGTTGGCGTCGATGTATTCAATTGCCTTCTGCTTCAGCTCCAAGGCATACGACCGTGGCAATACACCTCGTACGATACCCACATCTCTATGTCTGATCGAGTCCAGGAAAGATTGAGGTACAGATCCATTTTGAATGTCGGAATATTCAACCTCAGCCACGACTTTGTTGCCTTTCCGTCTCACTTCAGCGATTTCACCCCTCAGGCTCGACAGGAGACGATGCCACGATGCTGTCACTGCCTCCTCGTTGCCTTGGATAAGGGTCTTCTTGAGCTGACTGTATCTAGGTGGAAGTGGTGGAGCCTTCCTTCCTGATAGGGATGGGAACACGCTGCTAATGTCGCCAGCCTCTTTGGTTAGCGTTGAGGCTGCTCGAGATATGTTCTTCATTGACATGGTGGTATCAGACTTGACGGACAGTCCTGTGTGATGATGCTGGTGTAGTTGAGGGAGAATCTCATCCTACTGAGGCGGGATGCCTCTCTTTTATGTTCTGTATTGAAGCCGACGGACGACACAAAGTCGAGTATCTCAAGCGGTTGGCATGCTAGATTGGGTTTAGGGTGCTATTAAGGCAAAACCTCGGACGTTCATTCAGCTTCCATGCATGAATCTTGTGGGGAAGGGTCCAGTGGAGGAATACGTTCGCTTAAGGATCGTATACCCGAGGCTTCCACTCAGATGAGTTTCACGTTGGCAGGCTCTACATCAGATGCAAACCCGGTTGCTCGGTCTAGAGGCTACATGTACTCGTCAAGTAGCAGCCAGTGGACTTTCAGGCAGATACAAATCGTGATCGTGTGAGGGGTATCTGGATCATTCACTTTGTTATGTTGTGATTGCGCTGTCCTGAGTTCTCAACGTTGTACCACGCTTGACATACTGTAGAGAACTTGTATACGACCATCAGTAAGCCCTGAATATTAAGTCTTATACGCTCAGTCTTCCACACACCAAGAGCTAGCTCGACATCATGGGTTCGCTTGCTGTCAATCGACCTGTCAAAGGCAAATCTGCAATTGTTACCGGAGCTGGAAGTGGTATGAATCACTAAATACAGGTCACGGCCGAGCTCATAGGAAACAGGCATCAACTTCGAGTTCGCAAAAATCCTGCTCAACAACGGCTGTAACGTCTTGATCGGTGACGTTACTCTACGACCAGAAGCGCAGAAGCTCGTCGATTCGTACAGCAATACCACGGATGGTCCGAAAGCCATTTACCAGAAAACAGATGTGTCATCCTGGAAAGATTTGCACGCTCTTTTCAGAACGGCAGAAGACCAATTCGGCACATACGATATCGTCTGTCCTGGCGCTGGAATATTCGAGCCACCTTCTTCCGGATTTTGGCACCCACCTGGGAGTGAGAAGTCGAAGGATGATCCTTTTGGCGACCGATACAAATCCATCGATATCGATTTGGTGCATCCGATCCGAGCAACTCAACTAGCCATGTCGCATTTCATGTCTTCGGATCCACCTGCAGGTCCAGACAACATGAAGATTGTGGTCCATATTTCGAGTATTGCTAGTGAAATGGTATTCGCGCCTGTACCCTTGTATGTTTCCAGCAAATGGGGTCTGCGAGGGTTCATTTACACCATGGGAGAGCTAGAAGAGACACGACATATTCGAGTGGCTGGTGTCGCACCTGCGATTGTTAGGACTCCCCTCTGGTTGGAAAGCGAGAAACGAAATATGATCTTGATGGAGGACGGAACTGTGCAAAGCGAGTGGGTGACACCAGTGGAAGTCGCCGAAGTGGTAAGTTATGCCATTCTTTTACCTGTATGTGCTCGGTCAATTGACGACAGATAGATGTACAACATTTGCGTAGCCGACGAGATGACCAATTCTAGAGGAGAGGCAGTATCTCTCAAGGGTGGAAGTCTGGTAGAGGTCGTCCAGAGTGATGTGAGGGATGTGCCGGTATATGGCAATCAGCCGCCGGGAACGGGCGGTGATACCAGAGGTCTGATGATGGCAAACGTCACGCAGGCCTGGAAAGACATGAACGATGCAGTTGGACCGAACTGGGGTAGAGTGTAAGCATCACCTGGTCTGGGCTCCTGCCATAGTGCAAAGCGATGGTGTGCTGTCGAAATGCGCATGAATTTTGTTGAACTCGCAATCAGGTGAGTGTTCTGCCATGAAATATAGTCCACTGGTACTCTACTGCGAGCGAGTCCAAGTAGAGACGTCACCTGAAAATTGTTCGCTGAACTGCAACGTGTCCAGCTGAGGTGTGTGCTTCGGGATAGGATCGAGTAGAATCCGACATGCAGAACTTGGATAGAGGCGACATCTTTGAAGCAGTCGAACCGAGTGTTCTGCAATGCCTGGACGAAGCAAGTCGAACACAATACCAAGCTTCATTGATGCCAGAGAAAGTCGTCTCTACGGCTGAACCTAAGAGCCATTTGCGTCGTGATGGCCTCCAAGGTCACTCTGGAGCATGTCTTTGTCTTCTTACCTGTCACGACATCGATCAAGATCTTATTGCAGGGATTATCACGATACTGAGATTAAAAAAAAAATTACAAACACCAGCATGCATTCCCGGTAGAACTTGAATACACAAATGCGCAAAGTCTTCACAGCCGTATCGCCTTTCCTCAATATGGAGAACGAACCAGTCAGACCTTCCTCTGCCACACGTCGGCGTCCTCGAACACCAACCAAAGGAAAAGAGATAGGAGTCATTGGGCAGGCGTCATGGACCAGCAGCGTGATCAACCTGGTCAACACCATTGTGGGAGCCGGTGTGCTTGCAATGCCACTAGCTATGTCGCACATGGGCATGCTACTCGGGAGTATTGTTATCTTATGGGCAGGCTTGACTGCAGGCTTTGGTCTCTATTTGCAAACGAGATGCGCAGCATATCTTGAAAGAGGATCGGCAAGCTTCTTTGCGCTCAGCCAAATCACATACCCAAATGCTGCTGTCGTGTTTGACGCTGCGATCGCAATCAAGTGCTTCGGAGTGGGCGTGAGCTACCTTATCATCATTGGAGATCTTATGCCAGGCGTTGTTCTTGGTTTTGTCGAAGTGAACCAGGTGGTACCTTTCTTGATCGACAGGCGTTTCTGGGTTACGGCATTCATGCTTATTGTCATTCCTTTGTCCTTTCTGCGCAGACTCGATTCACTGAAATATACCTCCATTATCGCGTTAATCTCAATTGGATACTTGGTTATACTGGTGGTCTACCACTTTGGAGCCAATGACACACTACCGACAGGACACTACCAGACACCACTTCGGAGGTTTACGTGGGCTGGTCCTGTCCCAACTTTGGCCAGCTTTCCTGTTATAGTATTCGCATACACCTGTCACCAGAACATGTTCAGTATCTTGAACGAAATTGCAGACAACTCACACCGACGTACTACTTCCGTAATAATCGCCTCGATCGGTTCCGCGGCAGCCATTTACGTGCTTGTGGCTTGCACTGGCTACCTCTCCTTCGGTAATGAGGTGGGTGGAAACATTGTGGCACAATACGCACCATCTACAAGCACGACCATTGGCCGGGCAGCTATTGTTGTGTTGGTCATGTTTTCCTACCCACTGCAGGTTCACCCATGCCGAGCCAGTGTCGATGCAGTCATAAAATGGAGGCCGAAAGGAAAGCTCTTTAATGTTCTTGCACGACATAATATTACTCGTCCCGATGCAAGTCCTCTACGCTATGAGCCACTTCTCACGCCGACATCCATTCAACCACGAAAGACCGAGATGTCTGACACACGATTCGCGCTTATCACTACAGTCATTATAGTAAGTTATCTTTAAAGTGGTGTAGACCATCCACCTCTTCAACTTTCCCACGATGTCCGTGCACTAACCTCCTTCAGATCCTCTCCTACATCGTCGCCATGACAGTCTCCAGCCTCGAGGCCGTGCTCGCCTACGTCGGCAGCACAGGAAGCACAGCCATCAGCGTGAGTTCCCTAACATCCAACCTGACAAAAACCTCCACTCACACTCCCCCACAGTTCATCCTCCCAGGTCTCTTCTACTACAAAATTTCCAGTCCGGACTCCCCCCTCCACCAACGCCTAATGAAAGAACAAGACGACTGGGACAGCGACTCCGACAACGACAACGAAGACGACCCAACCCTCCCACACCGTCGACCCTCAGTCGAGCCACAACATAACACCGGAAACGACGACAACGACGGTCTCCTCGCGCACTCGATGCTAAGTACCGTCAACACTTCCACCGCAAACATTCTGCGCCGTTCGAAGAAGTGGCGGAGGAAACTTCTGCGTCGCCTTGCGCTTGCGCTGAGTATTTATGGGTTTGTTGTGATGATTACTTGTTTGATCACGAATACGTATTTTGTTGCTGCTCATTAGTCGCAGTCGTCGGGAGAGTATAAATTGTAAAGAGCAAATTTGGAAGTCCCTAGTATAGCATGGCGTCTGGTTTGGCTATACATGCACCAATGGGATACGTGTTGGTTTGGTTATTAGACACGAGGACTGGCTGCATAAACACGTATTTCTATATAGACAATAAATTCTGTGAACGTGATCAAGCATACGTTAATGATCCTTTAATAAACTCAGCAGTATTGCTTGGATCATTCCAATCACAGCAGACGCATGGGTGGTATGGGCCGACCTTTGACTATTGGTGAAATGTTCGGGGAATAAAAACGTCCGTGTGCAAGTCATTGACATCTGCACTCGCGAAGTCCGACACGTGGTCGACAAAGCCACTCGATTAGATACATGCGTATTTAGCCACACAATTGCGACTATCTACCTAAACCTGTGAACATATGCTACTAGTATGCCAATATTCACGCATGGGTATTGTTCAGATTATTTCCACCCCCAGACGCCACAGTAGATAGACCTAGGAACGAGACAAAAACTTTTACAGAGTATATATGAATGCGTATGTGCAGCTTGTATCATGGTCAGCTCGACTAATGTCATCTCAATCCGATGACGCTCTGTGGACCATGTCAGCATTGTGGTGTTCCGATAAGGATGTTGCAGAAAGACTTACCATTTCCAAAGTCCATACACGCCTTATCCATACTTTGAGTATTCCGGGTACACCATCGACGTTCTGTAACTCGACGCCTTCCCACCAACACCTGCGAGCGGGTTTGCGCCAGAACAGAAGCAATTTTTGAGCCATGCCGACGGCATTACCGCCGGCCAGATCGCCTTTGATGTCTGTCCTTAACCTGGCCAACGCCAGACTGCAGATAACTGCTTTGTGAGGCTCGCCTGCCCTGTGGCCCCAAGTATCGTCGTGATCAAAACCACTAGGACTAATTAGCTTGCGTACCGTAGATACGAGGGGATCGCACTTACCCAGCAGTGAGCATTTCTATCAAATGCTGTTCAGTCGTGCCAGTCTCCTGGCTACGTCGAAGGCCTGAGAAGATGCCATTCTGCTGTAGGAGAGCTCTTGCAGCGGCTCGTTTGACCTCGATCATCTCTACCTGTTCGATATCTTTACGTGGTGGAATAACGTAAAAATCCAGATCTTCTCTCAAAACAATGATGCCAGCGCGATCCTGGAGCATGTCCTTGGCAGCACCAGAAAGTGGCTCCATGGCCACAGGATCGTTCTCATGTGATGCTGATGGCGAAGACGATGAAGAAGGGATCGACTGGGCGACTCCTCTGAAAAAGTCGAGCATGTACTGTAGACTTGCCGGGTCATACTATGACTCAAACGTTACATCTCCGATATAGATATTGGGGTTCCCTAGCACCAACAAAGGGTGCAGAGGAGGAGGAGGAGAAGCACGTACGTCTACTGGATACACATCGCCATCGTGGAATGTGCCCATCTGGCCATCGGGAAGTAGGCCATTCGGAAATAGAGAGAGCAGAACAAACTCAGGCAAAGTGAGCAGCTCGTCACGCGACAAAGTAAATTTAGTGCCTCTGTGCCAGTTAGCAAAGGCGTCATTTCGTGCTCCTAGAAGGTCTTACCTCAGATCGAGGGTAATGTGTTCGTCACTCCCAACATCGCCTGGTCGACGTTAGCCTCATCTCGACACTAACTTCTTGCGTGCATACCTCCTAATGTATTTATTGGTGGCCCTGCCGTCTGTTGTACCTGTGTGATTATGCTCGAAGCACCGCCAGCAGCAGCCATCACGTATGTAAATGTTTCGAGTGGACTAGAACCTTCGGTATAAGGTGGTGGGGGCTCTCCGTCGTCAAGATTGCGGCTCGAGGACTCTCCTTTGGTATCTCTAGGTAGCGCAGCCTTAGTCTCGGCTTCACGCTGTTGCTCCTCGTCCTCTGCAAGTGCCTCCGCAAAGGAGGGAGCCGCAGCAGTGGCTAGGATATGTTCGTTGACAGCCTCAGTGACAGCGACCTTGAGACGATCGACCTCGTGTGCAGAAGGAAAGTACAGTGAAGAGAAAGGTGGTGGTTTCGAAGAAGGTGAGCCCGACGATGGTGATTCGGCGCCAAACGAATGTAGAGGAGGTGCTGGGAGAATTTGATCGTCTTGGGAATTACGACGAGGCTGTGACAACTCCGTGATGGGCAGCGTGAGAAGGTAGTCGATCGAAGGAATCGAATGAAGCTTTCTTGGAGGTGAGACCAGTCCAAGGATCGATGCGTCAGCTGTACGCACTGCGCTCGCCTACGAGCGTGGCCTGTGGAAGAGACAGACTAGTCGCGACAAATCGAACGTGAACCCAAAGTCGTAGACGAAAGGAAGCCAGATTGCGAAGGTGGTATGGTGAATGTGACGCGCTTGCTGCTTCTCAGGAAATTAGACCTGACCAAGAGTCTCTGGTCGGCGGATAATAGTCCACGATTGAGTTCCGTCCGAGTTAGCGCTGGAGACTTTGCAAATGAACTTAACGCGTCCAACGCGAACACCTGACGACCTCAAGATCATCGTAGTCAGTAAATGTAGTAATACAACATGCGAGAGTTGAGGATCGACCAAGTCTCTGTCTGGAGCGTCGCGAGTTCGCACGATCGAGGGCTACAAGAAACGGATGCTTGAGTAGCACTTTACCAGCTATACGAGTTCCTGCATGGAAGCTGAACTACGCGGCAAAGCTCAACACTCCTCATTACGTGTCCTGACGGCGGCATGGCAACGTACTGCTTGAGACTAAGAAACACAATACTGTATACATGAAGGATCCTCAGCTTGACACTTCCTGGCTGAACCGTCTAGTTCTTGAAGCCAGCATATTCCGTCTCAGGATACCACGTCTCGTGGAACTATGACTTGTGACGCCCTAACTTCTTGACTTCCGAAAAAGGCAAATAGGGACACTTGAGTTCGGGCTCTCCTGAGGTCTAGTCTTAGCACCCGGCTATATCAAATGGTAAGGTTGAAAGGAAATGGAAAGAAGTACCAGACATGCATTTCCTTGTATGAGTTTGGTTTGCTCTGTTTGCTCCGTAAATGCTCCACCACATCTTGTGCATGGCTCTTAGTTCGCGTTTCGGGTCGCGTACAATTCGTATGCAAGGTCGCAACTTTCTGTACCGAAGCAACGGCTCACTTGTGCCCACACCCTGCAACCCTGATCAGACCTCTCAAAACCACACCAACTCTTTCGCATACTTCGAGTTTCTGAATGGACCCAGATAGGCTGGATATTTGAGCGCAGAAGAGATTGTCCTGGTCAAAGAAATGGCTCGACAGAGTGCTCAGGCATTCCAGTCGTCTTATGCTCCTCGCCTGCGCCAGTATGCGAACTCGCTCGCGGCTCCCGTCCTAGTGACGCAAGCTATACCTACTGCTGGCCGTACCACGAAGAGGGGCACTACTGTCATCAATTATGCAGACGATGCATACGACGAAGAGGATTTTGAGGACAGTGAAGGTACTGGTCGACGACCTACTGGCTTGCGGTCAATTAGGCGCGAAGATTTAGAGAAGAAGGAGCCCCGAGTCGAGAAGTTAGGCAAGGAAATCACGGAGCCGATCGAGGTTCAACCCATTTTTCGCTCTTGGATTGCTGATGGCTTGCGCCAAAGAAGACCACCGTACGAGGTGCCCTATCTTTCTACCACCCCCATAACCCGTTGGTGGGACAAGCTAACAAAGGATGCTGATAGGACTCTTCAGGGTACCCACGCCCAAGCACAATTCCCCCTGACTTTAATCCCCGTCCGCATCGAGTACGAGATACAGCCTAGTCAGCAGGATACGCCCTTCCCAATACCTTCCAAACAGAATGAGCCGGGAAATATATTACTCAACCCGGCATTTCGACGACCAGAACCTTCACCAGGATACAAAATTAGAGACATTTTCATGTGGAATCTGCACGAGACTCTGTTTACACCAGAAGACTTCGCCATTGCCTTTGTGCAAGATCTCGACCTTCCCAATCCATCGATGTTAGTTGCTGAATTTTCGAAACAGATACGGACACAGTTAGAGGAGTACGCAGGAGTTGCCTTACATCCCTTATTCCACACTTCATCCAGACCACAACAGATCGCGGCAAGGGCATCAGGAAACTTGTTAGCACAAAAAGTGGTTCAGAATGCTCAAACTGCGACTGGAACATCACGACCACGGTCAGGATATGGCACGCCAGCATGGGAAAGTGCCACGCCTAGACCAAGTACTCCTGGTCCGGACACACCACAACCTTTCCAGCTGCCGAGTGGAGCACAAGTCACTGCTGAAGCCACACCAATTCCCATCGAAGACCTGACGGAAGAGCCTCCTCAGCAGGAAGACATGTTTCTCAATCTAGACGACACATATCGCTGTATTATCACGCTTTCCATATACCATGCCTCTCGCCTCTTCCAAGACAAGTTCGAATGGTCGCTTCTGCATCCGCCAGGTGCAGCTGAGATATTCGCCAAACAGACATGTGCAGACTTGGGCTTGAACGGCGAATGGGTTCTGGCCATCACACATGCCATCTACGAAGCGGTATTGAAGCTCAAGAAGGAGACCTGTGAGGGCGGAAATACCTTGACCGTAGGCGGCACGTGGGGTCAAGGTGACATCGACAATCAAGCTGTTCGTGCCGAGGCAGGTGCAGGTTGGCGTTATGACGACGCGGACTTTGGTGCTGAGTGGGAGCCTAGGCTCGAAATCCTGTCGAAGTATGAGATTGAGAAACGTGAATTCGACCGTGAGAGACAACTGCGACGACAAAGAAGAGAAATGGCACGCTTCACAAGCACCGCCGGGATGACACCAACAGCACGTGAACAGGAAGCTCAGCAGCGAGGCAGCTATTTCGATTATTTGGGTACTGGCATGGGCGACGAAACACCTCTGATGGGCCGGGGCGAAAGAAACAGGAAGAAAAGGAAACTACGGAGCCCAAGTCCCAGCGCAAAAGCAACACCTGAGCCTCAAGATGGTGGATGGGGTGGTGACGTGAAGGCCTTTGTCAGCGAACAGGACCGCATGAATTGGAGGTGTAGCCACTGTATGGTCTGGGGTACAGCGGTTTGGGCAGTGAGGGGTGGGCCCAAAGGGCCGAGAGTAAGTGACACGTCTATTGATTTCACGTTCGGGCAAGAAGCTAACACAACACAGACACTATGTAATAATTGTGCTATGCTTTATGAGAGGGATAAGGAGTTACCTGCATGGAACAAGGATCTGCACAAAAATCGGCCGAAGATGCCAATGCCTCGTTAGGATTGCAGAAACTGAATGTGAGCGGTTCGATGTACAACAGGGCTTCAAAGAGCTTGGTTTCAATAGCAAGGTGTTTATGGTTGGGCACGAATCGTAACGAGCTATCTTAAGGGATATGTGCAGGATTTATGGTAGGCATGGCCTTCACAAGTCACTGCTCAAGGCGTCAGTTAGAAGAGAGCAATCACTATACTGCTCACAATCTACCTTCGCGTTTTTTGCGCAAGCTCATTGACCATAGCTGAAGCCCAAACTGAGTCAGCCTCATGAGGGATATCGACCCCTTGATAAGATAAGATCTTGCTTCCGGATCTCTTGGCTGCGCTCATCTCAACGGCAAGCGCAACCGCGTTTCTGGCAGCATCACAACAGATGCCAGATTGCCAGACCACTTTGCGCCAACTTCTTGCTTGACCCAAATAATCCTCTCTCCACCGTACTACCCTTGACGTTGGGTTGCGAGTGCTAAGAACTAAGTAAAGATGGTACGCTTTGAGCCCCTACACCTTCTACGAGGGCCGTGAAAGGAAGAAATAGACTGACCCTTGCTTCCAACAGGCTCAAGTCATCTCAAGTTCTGGTCACGATGATATGATAGTGAGTATGTCCTGGCTCAAGCTTCTGAGTGTTTGATGTTGACAGGCGTCTAGCATGATGCTGTGCTCGACTACTACGGACGTCGACTTGCGACATGTTCCTCAGACAAGACGATCAAGATATTCGAGGTAGATGGCGATCAGCACAGGTTACAGGAAACTCTAAAAGGTCACGAAGGGGCAGTCTGGTGTGTGTCGTGGGTACGGCTCTCTTCTACCGATTACAGTGCCGATAGTATGCAGACAAGCTAATACAGACGGTCAGGCTCATCCTAAATTTGGCACCCTCCTAGCATCCTCTTCCTACGATGGCCGAGTACATATTTACCGAGAAATGCCTTCGACGAACCCTTCTCAACCCGCGACCTGGTCCCTAGTATACGCCTCGACAATTCACACAGCCAGCGTAAACATGGTCGCCTGGGCTCCTCCCGATCTAGGCTGCTTACTAGCCTGTGCCTCCTCAGACGGTCAAGTCAGCGTCCTTGACTTCGCAAACAATACATGGAGTCACACTCTAATCTCCGCACACGGCATGGGCGTCAACGCCGTCTCCTGGTCTCCATCAGGCGGCCTCCCAGGCGCAATCGCACGCAAAGCAGACCCATCACAACAAACGACCAACAGACGCTTCGTAACAGGCGGCTCAGACAATGAGGTTAAGATTTGGGAATGGAACCAACAACAAAACACATACACTCAAATGCTATCATTACCAGAAGGCCACTCCGACTGGGTCCGCGATGTAGCCTGGTCACCTACACTGCTTTCGAAAACATATATCGCTTCAGCGTCACAGGACAAAACCGTTAAGATATGGACAAGCACAAATCCAACTGATATCAATTCATGGCAGTTAGCCACCACACTGAAAGACTTCGGAGATGCGGTCCTGTGGAGAGTGAGCTGGAGTTTGAGCGGGAATGTGCTTGCTGTCTCGGGGTCGGACGGCAAGGTGACTTTGTGGAAGGAGAATTTGAAGGGTGTGTGGGAGTGTGTTAGAGAGATTACAGAATAATCCAGTAAATCGTCTTCAAAAAAGATCATAGACAGCTCTCCAATTCAGCACTTTTGCCCAAGAGCCTCGAAATTACAGAATCCCTACAAGCAAAAACAGGCTGTATTCTGTATGTGATGGAATTATAAACGTAGACACTACTGACCAGAAACCGTGACAATCACGCCCGGCCACTAGTCCTATCACAATCCTTCAAGCACCTCAACAACACCTTGAGAACTATCTCCGATTCACGCTCGTCCTTAGGCACCCATATCTTCCTGATACTGCCATATATCTCTTCCAGCACTGCACGAGAACGTGTAACTCTCGCGTATGCGCGCAACAGCCAACAGACCATGGGCTTTGATGCACGGACACGATGGTGGGCTCGAGGTCCGTCAGCGCCTGGTGTGGATGCGAAGGATGAGAAGGAGGCATGGGTCAGGCCTTCTTCGGGTGCACTGGGTGGTCGGTCCCAGTCTTCGTCGTGGTGGCCTTCGTGGAGTGCAGTGTTGATTTCAGTTTCGGGATCGCCTCTGGTGTATGGGTCGAAGTTTTGGTGTTTCGGGCTTGCGAGCGTTGATCCCACAGGGTCGGGTAATGAGTATTCTCCTTCTTCGTCGTCCAATTCAGGCTGTGGAGCTGAGTAATGCGCGTTCTGGAAAAAGGGTGATTCGAAAGTTTCATTCGACACGGACTCGTCGAACTGAGAGTTGTGATAACGCTCAAGCCGCTTCAGTCGTTCTCGTGGAAAAGCTGCCAGGTCAATGACAAGCTCTTCCCACATTGACAGTGTTCGCTGCTTGGTTTGACCACTCTTCGCTGCTTCATTGACGGTTGACATGCCTATCTTCACATCCGTGACAGATGGGAGAGACTGCTCTGACTCAAGTGCGGCAAGTGATGCTCCGTGGTAGATCTTGTTACTTTCTTTGATAGCATTGCGGCAGGCCGTCCACGTCATATCTAGCCGTTGTCTGGTCCATCTTGAACTGGGCCCTTGAGCCGGATGGTGAATGGCGAAGCCTTTGAATAGCAATTGAAAGACGACTGGGAATAGTGGTATGTCAAAATTGTCAAGCATCTCCTTGAGCAAAACTGTCATGCGATCCAAGTCTCCTGAGACCGAAGCATGGTAGGCAAGCATGATTCGGAACGTGGTAAAATCAGGCGTGAGGGGCATGGTATCCTGTAACTCCTGGTGCTTTCCAGGAAGGACCTTCTTCAGGCGATCGCTCCGAGAAAGTATGCGTCCCAGCTGGTTCGACGCCATCTCAGTGCCTAGCTTATCGGAACCGGGTTCTGGATGACGGCGGAAAAGAGTTTCCTCACCATCCTCCGACCAGCCTCTGTACAAGGTGGACTGCATGTCTTTCATTCTCTGGTATATCTGTTCGGCAGCAGTTGGCTCACGTGCATTGATAAGAGAGGCGATAACACAATTGAGAACAAGAGTGTCGACTATTTCTCCAGCTTCAACGAAGTCATGATAAGCCTTTCGCACACCGTCACCATCGCCTCGGAGGCCATGATAGTACATCAAGCTGACTCGGCCGAGACGGTTGAGACGAAGGTTCCTCTTGTGCATCTCAGTCAAGATAGTTTCTCCCAAGGCAAACTTACCTCTTCTCACTGCTATATCAAACAAGATATTAAAAGTGACATTGCCTGAGCGGATCCCAGCTTCGTTCTCCATTCGATGCCAAGCTTCGAAGGCTCGGTTCACCTCACCTTGGTCGATGCGACCGAAAGACCTGCCAGCAAGATAGATAGCTGACGACCATTCTGCTACAGTGATTGGCAGGTTCGCTTGCTGCATCTCGTCAATTAAAGACAGATAGCGAAGCTTCGAGGCCTCGGTCTTGACCCATGGAGTCGACATGCGTTGCAAGAAGAGTCTGATGACACCCTTTGGCAGGTATGCCACGCCTGGCTGTGGTAGCTGCTGATATGCCTCATGGAGAGCACGATTAGATGAGGTATCGTCTATGAGTAGGTCGACAAAGACTTGCATGGCAGCAATCTCCTGTAGCTGATTGTTCTTCAACCGCCGTTGGATCTCCTCAAAAGGTGAAGTGTAATCTTCTTCATCTTCCTCTTCTTGTATTTCGTCCTCATCTTCATTGTTCGGCCGTGTGAAGTCGGCGGAAAGAGTGAAGCTGTAATCATCGAGGATGACAGGCGTAGGAGACTTGTCAGGGGCTTCGGGAGAGAACCGGCTATTGTGAGAGTAGAAGTAGAGGTCAACGAGATTAAGATAGTCTTTCTTGGTCAAGACTGTTCTTTTCGTGGGGCCAGATGTTGCAACAGCCGGCCTGTCCGCAGATTGTGCCAGCTCTTGTTTTGCTTTGGCCAATTTGTCTTCCAAATCTCGTACACTCTTCAGAAGCTTTAGCTGTTTGTCCACATTTGCGGGTCCTTGCTGCACAGCTGATCTTGTCCCATCGTTCGTCTCAGCCGTTCTAGTTTGGCGTCTTCGTTCCGCAGAAAGCTGCTTGGGCACTGCTAAATCGCGTATGTAGCTGACATCGTTGAAGAAGCTGGGTGGCAACCTGGAAGATGCTGCGAAATGTCTTTCGTTGTTGTCGAAGAAATGGTGTAGCCGATGTTCATCGAGGGAATATGCTGGTTGTCGTGGGGGAGTGGTCTCAATTATGAGACGACCTTTACTGTCATAACGCTGATGGTTCAATGAATTCGCTCGAAGGCGAGCAAAAGAGGCACCTCTCTTTTGTTCGCGGTATATGGTACATGGTGGGACATATGATTTCTTGTGCCTCTGACATAGTGTAGCTTGACTCAGCGCACTGTAGAATAGATGTTCGACGGAACGGTTGCTGTTCTCTGTATGTAGAGCTCGGCGTTGACTGCTGAATCTGCTTGGCTCAAGGCTCTGGTGGGTGGGTAGAAGAAAGTCGAGCAGCGGCGCCGATGTTATGGAAAACGAGTCACGCAGGACTCCGGACTGCGACAACTTGCAATGTCGAGGCATAGAACTGCAGACATGGCGGCCTAAGTCATGAGACGAGCCGCTGTTGGTGTCCTGGTTCTTGCTGCAGTATGCTGGAGATGACTTATTATACAGCTGGACTGCCAGTGTCTGAGATTCGGAAAGAAAGCACGCGTCCTATTTCGGACTAGTGTAAATGTGCCGCAGCTGCACCTTCCTCGATATTGTTGTATCGTTCATCGGTATCATCGTAAAACAGGTCATACACACGAAGGCTATCGCGACTGACCACTTTTTGGGTCTAGCCTAGTCCTGGCATCTATAGACCTCGCACTCTTCTCGAACAGCTATTGCAACGATGGGCAAGATCAACCTTACAGCGCTTCAAGTACGAAAGCGTGCTCTCGCTGAACTTCAGTCCCAGCGACTCAAGGTAGCACCTGTCTGGCTCGATGTGATGAATGAGGTACCTCCAGCACAAATTTTGACCAGAAATCAACCACAACAACACTCGGAAGTTCAAGTAAGGACAAAATCTCTACCTAATGGGAGAACGGAGCAAGTTGCGATACCTGCGCCGAAGAGGAAAACAAAATCCGGAAAGTCATCGCGCCTGTTCGCACCCGTCAAGATAAGATATGAAGAAGACAAGCTACGGAAGCAGTTTTTTCAAGATCACCCTTGGGAGCTTGCTCGACCACGAATTGTGGTAGAAACCACTGGCAACCAACACAAGGACTCGGACTATGGGAAGGGCTTAGAACAACCTCTACTACCTCTGTCCGGCGAGTCCGTGGTACAGCGGCAGTTACATCTGCTACATACCGTACCCGACATTACCACTGAGCAAGCCTACGATATCGCCCGACGGGAATTCTACTCCCTGAGGAGGCAAGAAGCTACCAGATTGCGCATTGCAAAAGAAGAAATGCTGCACATGGGGGCCACGCCCGAGAAAGGTGTGTTACAATGGAGCATGCAGATTGAGAACAAGCACTACAACGACTGGGAGGCGTGGGCGAGGGGACAGGTCAGTGAACAGATTCAAAGGAGTGCTGCTTTTAGTGGTGAATTAGCTCCTGCTCCTGAACAACAAATACTTGGTGCGGGCAATCCAGGATCGACCAGAGGTCCGTTCGGCACCCAGCAGCAGCTTTCAGCACGGGTCAACCGAGGCGAAATATAGATAGTGTGGCATATGATCGACCGTCAGGCATGCAGTCCTACTTGGGCCTTTTTCATACTGAATCCTTGACTTGGGATGATATAGCACCCCAGAAATACCTCCAGCGTAGTGAACAACCTGTCCATTGACAAAAGCGGGACGTCCCTTCTCTACGTGCTGGATTGCGAAGGCGCTTGGATGAATTCGGTCCCATCGCTGAGACTAGCAGCTCGGAGTCCGACCAACTTCAGGAAGAGGTCAATTTCCAGCAACTCATACAGAATCTTCGAGACGTGAGCAAGCTAAGCAAAGGCCAGGAGAGTGACTCGTAAGGGGGCAGCACATTTCTCGTCTTCACAGTGTGATCAGTGGGATTCGTGTACTTGCTGTGACATCTTCTTAAATTAATCGCTACGGTGGATTGAAATTGATGCAATTCAGCCGAGATGTCGAAGACCAATGGCAGAGATCGAAGAAGAGAAACGGACAGGGGGGAGAAAGCCATGTATTCACGAAGATATACACTCAGGCTTGCAGGCTGGTAATTCTGTACTACTGACTGAGGAGTGAGGAGCGAAGCGAGCGCCCATGTACGTAGATAACCAGGAAGAGGTCTGCGGCCACTACAAAATTGTAATTCGAACAACCACGTGAGCTCATGTAAAGACATTGAGGCATACTTCTTGACGTTTACGCGAATTGTTGCTTTTTAACATTCCTGTCTGTAGTCTACTTTTACGATCGTATCCGACATCATGCACAACAACTACTGCAACATACTTTCCAGAATCTGAATTTGCTGCAAAACCGACTGCTCACTCGTTCCACCGATCACAGTGCGCTTGTTGATCGACTCTTCGTAGGAGAAACACTGCATCACATCCTTGCCAAACCTGGCGTCAACTTCCTGCAACTGCTGCAATGACAGCTTGTCCATCGGCACTCCTTCGCTCTCAGCCAAAGCCACGACCCGACCAGAGATATGGTGAGTTTCTCGGAAAGGCACTCCTTTGCGGACAAGGTAATCTGCCAGGTCTGTCGCAAGCATGTCAGGTGATAGTGCGGAGCGCATCTTTTCTGGGACGATCGTAAGTGTTGACAACACGCCTGTTGCTATTTGTATTGAGTCAGAGGTAGTCTTAACGCCGTCGAGCATTGTCTCCCATGATTCCTGTAAGTCCTTGTTGTATGTACTTGGTAGTCCTTTGACACTCATCATAAGACCACACATGGTGCCGAAAACTCGACCGGATTTCCCACGGAGTAGTTCAAGAGAGTCTGGATTTTTCTTCTGCGGCATGAGACTTGAGCCTGTGCTGTACGCATCTGCTAGACGAACGAAGCCAAATTCTGCTGTGCTGTAGATGATAAGATCTTCTGCCCATCTTGAAATATGCGTCATGAGCATGCTGGCCCATTGTAGTGTCTCTACCACAAAGTCTCGATCTGCTACTGCGGCCATCGAGTTGTTGATAAGACCGTCGAAGCCCAGCTCCTTCGCGATTGCGGCTCGGTCGATGCCGAAGGGGTTGCCTACCAATGCACCAGCACCGAGAGGTGACTTGTTCACGCGTGGTATCAGCTGTCGTAAGCGCTCGAGGTCGTTCGCGAAAGCAGTCCCGTAGCTGAGTAGCCAGTGTGACCAACGAATGGGTTGAGCACGCTGGAGGTGAGTGTATCCTGGCATCAGGGCACTAATCTCGGCTTTGGCTCGTGCACTTAGTGTCCGAAGCAGAGCTGTGAGATGTTCGTCGAGCAGTCGGAGCTGGTCTCGGAGCCACAGTCGCATGCCGGTCGCAACTTGATCGTTCCTCGAACGGCCAGTGTGTAGCTTTCCTGCTACGCCAGTGCCTATGATCTCACCCAGCCGTCTCTCGTTTGCTGTGTGAATGTCCTCGTCGACTCCAGGTTTGATTTCAAACGTGTTGGATTCCCATTCCTTCAGAACCTGCTGGAAGCCTTTCTCAATGGCAGCGAATTCGTCAGCTGTAAGAATGCCGATCTTCGAGTTGGCTCTAGCGTAGGCAATGCTACCCTTGATATCCTGTGCATATATCGTGCGGTCGAAATGAATAGACTCGTTGTAAGTCACCATCAGCGGATCCAATCCGCCAGTGAATCGCCCTCCCCAAAGCATATTCTCCTGAGGCTTAGAGGTAGCCATGATTGCACTTCGAAGAATAATCGAAACTGTTTGAGCGGGAAGAGGTATGCTATAGCTCGGGTTATTTTCTACTCTCTTACACGTCGTAAATACTGCATATGTTGCGCTCAATTCGACATGATCAACGTTTTATCCAGCTAGGAAAAAAAGACGATTAATTGCGGAATTGAAGAACCATGTCGACTGGATATCGATAAGAAGCTTTGCGTTTACGTAAGCACGGTTTTGTATCGACGTGCTTCCCTCGAAATACAGCCTGCAAAAACCTGCAGCAACTTAATGGACCTCATTGCGAACGAGAGCCAAGCACGAAACATATCACCCAAGATCTACTGCCAACGTTAGGTTTCTCGAGCTAGATGTACAGCTGGAGGTGAGACATCATCGGGTACGATATCCGGACCTTATCCCAATTCGAATTTACGCGTCTTTGACGTGTCGCGCTAACAACAAGAGCTCTTCCTTCAACCTCATATCGGACACTGTCTCGCTTCAAACCCACATCAGACATGGCTCCCGTTTGATTTTACAGCCTGTGTTGTCACTACTTTCACTCCTGCGCTCACTATGCAAGCCGTGTTTGTGCAAACGAAAAAACTTCGGTGTTTGTGCTGCAGGAGGCACAGCAATGCACGCAACTATACGGGAGCCATTCTGAGCACTTCGATTTCTGCCACCATGACAGCTCACAAGATGTCTCGATCAGAGATCTGAGAGGCGCGGCCCCTACAAGCGGGTATAAATAAATATAGGTGTGTCTTGCAAGGCATGCTCAGCATCCTAACTCTGTAAAGGAGAACTAGGCAGGCAGACAGCAGGAGCCTCATGTTGAGCGTTTGACTAGATATGAACTTTGTCGAGAACCCATCATGATCAGCAGCACTCTGGTGCATGCTGGCAACGTTCAATCAGCGAGGTAAGGTGGGTGTTGTTCTAGCACTAAGTAAGTGACAGAGAATTATCCTCTTCCAACGTCACTTGTCTTCGTGACAAGCAAACACTTCACTTATGTTGCTTGCATTTGCTAGCGCAAAAACCATGTGATCCTGTCACTTCCGTTCAACGCTTAAACCCGTCAACTCTTTCTGCCTCGCAGACTTTTTACAATTCCACAAACTACCAAGTTCAAGAGACTCGATAGTACCCTTCCTTCCACAATCGTTTCTGCGCACTGTTGCCTTGTTCGAGGAATTGATAAACCCTCGCTGTCTTTGCTAGACATTCCTTTAACTGCAAGATGGCGATCTCAATGGAGTCCCTCTGCATGCTAACGCTAGCAATCTCCTTTGGTACCTTCCCATTCCTCTGTATCCTCTTCACAACCATTCTCGTCCGACCACGGCTCGCCGATCTTCAGGAGAAGGTCCTTGCTTCACCTGAGATACAGCAACTCAAGAACGAGGTCTGTGTCTCGAGGAAGGCCGAGACCCATTCACAGCGTATCGTCGATCGACTGGTCGGAAAACTTATTGTCAACTCAGCTCGCACCAGGAAAGAGCAGCGAAAGGTGAGAGCTGCTGCCAAGGAAGCTCGTCGGCTTCGAAAGCAATTCAAGCCGCTACAAAAGATGGTCGTCTCAATGATTGAGCACTACAATACCCATCACTGGAAGCCAAATAGCTTTCGCCGTGCGCATGTGCTTGAGAGGCGGATCCAGGCCCTCGAAAAAGAGATAGCTGAAGGACGATCACGAAAAAGTCAATCTTCTCTGAACTCGGCTAAAGAGAAATCCGAGATCGATCAGAGAGTGGCAGCGACAGTCTCAGAACTAGTCGCTCAGCTATCCTTTAACCTCGCTCCGTCGTCCTCTGACACTCCTCAACCATCCTCAAACTTCCTCCAACCATTATCTAGTCAAACTCCTCCTCCACCAAACGAGGACTGTCAATCGAATGCTTGGGAGTCTGATGCGACCACAGTCCAGAAAGACATTGTGTCGGCTACACTCGTGCAAGATGTCAAAATCACTGATGATAGGACTCAAGACGAAGAGACTGCTTCGCTGGATGCTGTGAATGCCAAGACGACAGAACGTGAGCCAGTTGCTGCGAGTCTTGAGCATACAATCGAGGAACAGTCCGAAGACTCAAAATCACCTGATAGCAACAAAGTCCCTGCTCACAATGCTTTGCTACCTTCAGGTAGCGACAAGAGAGTCAGTATAGCCACGAGCCGCAGCTTGTCGGCTGATCGCGAAGGCTTCCACAGCACAAATTTTGACACAATCGCTGCCTCTATTGCCAGAATACCACTCGAGAACGAGGACAACGAAGCTAGCACGGTAATTCCTCAAACACAAGATTCACTTGTCGGCTACGAACCAGCCTCACGACAGCCAAAAGCTGTGTCTGAGGACCGGGAGGAGAGCTCGGTGGTCGATTTTCAACCAAAACACGCATTAGGCCTGGCTGATTCTAACCTCGACCATCAATCTGCTATCACGGCGAAGAAGCCTAGAGTTACGTGGGCAATTCCTCTAGAGCAGGAAGCGCCGCAGGACAATGCTGAAGGAAATGCCGTCACACTCGAGGCTCTCCCTACATCACTGCCCTCTAGCGCACAGCAAGACGCTGATGGGCTCGTTATCCCGCAAACTTCGCCGGCAAACATGATGCCTGAAGCACAATCGACGATACTCACATCAGTCTCGACTGACAATTACTCCAGCGAGGCAAATCAGGGGCAACCAGATGAATGTAATAAAGCAACTCATGAGGAAGTTGCTGATACACCTGGATCCATGACTCCTTCAATTACAGTTTACTCCACAACATCGACGTTCGCAGCAGAAGTACCTCCTGTCCAGCCAGACAGTGTCATTGACATTTCGAACTCTTCCGATGCTGCTCCGCCTACCAACCATCCTCCATCATTCTCTCCATGGAAGGACTTCAATCAAGTTTCGGTTCCAGGAGAATCGACGCTTCCCAACGTCGAGCTCTCGAAAGGTAAATACCAGGAGTCAGTCTCCGATTTCAAGACCGCCCCCCTTGAAGAGAGGGATGTCGACGACGAGACGCCACAGTCACCAAGCACCTCGTCCTCTGACATTGCCTCAAACTCAACGTCACATACTCCTGTCGTCCAACCTGAAATTCAAGAGGCATTTGATGCATATGTGGCCGACACCGCGATGGCCGAGACTGATAACGGCTACAGAGATAATGAGGAACAGCAAGACGATCACACCATGGACGTCGACGATGTAGAAAACGACGACGTGGACATGGTGGATCAGCCAGTCTCATCAATGTCGTCCCAGCACGTCGATAATATCAACCCACGGAGTACAGAAGACGCGAAAGGAGTAGACACGCAAGGAAACGGTTCTGGCGCAAGTGGGAACACGCAAGGCCATGCTACTCCTACGCCACAACAAGGTCCTGTCACATCAACACTCTCCACAAATTTCAGCACGCCCTACCCTTCAGGAATATCAGCCGTGAACGTTGATGTGCCACCGGCTGCACCAGCCGCACCGGCTCTCCAGGTCATCATAGAGCCCTCACCTGCTGCAGGTTACCAGAGTCCTGGAAATGGTGTATTGCCTCTGCCCCAAGCACAATCTCCGTATCAAAATCCAGCTACCCTTCCCAGCCCACATCCAGCTGTCATTCAAGCTACACCTGTACCCGAGTCAGGCGATTCACATCTGCTCGTAAGCGATGAAGACGTGCCGGCCGCAGTGGATGAAACTCCTGCGATGCAAGCAGCGGCAGAGCGTCGGGAAGATTATGACCGGCTTGCCATAGACATCGGAGTTTGCAAGGATATGCTGAAGGATCTTCTGTCACTTCGTCTGCCTGATGCAGACAGCGAACTACGAAAGTTTCAAACGGATGTGATTGAAGAAAAGCTTGGAGAAATTGAAAAGGAGCAGCAAGACGTCGTGACTAACCAGGAACTTAACAACGATGCCAGATTCAAAGACGACCAGGTACGACAATTCATGTCAACGCCGCCAAGATATTCTTTGGAGCAAGCTCAAGAAATGGCAAAGACTTATTTTCCAGAAGAGCCCGCAGACAGACTGCAGAAGCACAAGGTCAAGGAATTGCATGCTGTGAGTCAAAGAGCGGCAGATGCAGCTGCGGCGGCGGCGGCGGCTGCGGGATGGGATGCCGTGCGTGATATAAGCACATACATTGATCCTCAACCTGATCAAGGTCGAGCTCAAGCTTCAGCGTCCCCTACACCTCGAACTCCAGCTCGCGTACCTGGTCGTGTTCCTGCACAGAGTTCGACATCTAAACCCAAGGAGAACCCAGCAGCTGGTCCAACCACGCCAAGTTCTAAGGCTCGCACTGCAGATCACAAGCCTGACACGGCCTCAACACCGACAGCAACCCAGCCAACCCCAACTAGTGCATCCAAACGAAAACCCGGAGACGACTCAAACTTTGTGGAGGCGAAAAACCTACTGGATTCGTACGGTACACTCATCCACCACTGCCACATCCTCATGCACTTGATGCGATACTGCGACCAGATCGAAGCCAATCCATCCGTTGCTCCTTCGTTGAAGCAACATGCGAAGGACATCAAGGTCCTCGCAAAGAAAGAGCAAGAAGAATGTGAGACAGATGCGAAGGAGAAGAAGCTCAAAGTCAACGAGCTAGCGCGGCCGATGAGTGAAGGCGCGAGGGTCAAGTTTAAGACCAAGATACTCGAGATCAAGAAGACGGAGGTGCAGCTGCCTAGCGGTCATTTCTTGAATGTGGCGAAATGCGTTCTCCAGTCGTCTCCGGCGAAGGCGTACTTTAGGAGTATCCAGCATGCTAAGGGGTCTTGATGCTTTGAAGAGGAGGAGATGAGGAAGAACGGTACTTGACACAAGCATTAGTCCACGGTAATGCCGCCAAAGGCAAGGTACGAGTGGCTGATGACGGAACTGGGATGGCGATTCGGGATGAGGAGAGAAAGATGGTGATTGGTATAGGAGGAGCTGGTCGTGATCGCGGACAGTGTTGTCGAAAGGAATATCAGTCATACTACTGACCAAAAGTTCAACAACAACGTTGACGAGCTACTTTAGAAAAGAGAAAAACCTTGGCAGGAGGTAGGTTTGGAAGGACACCGCGGCAGGTCTAGAGTCTCTCCATGGCTACTTGTGGGTCAACATCATTGTCATCACATTTAGCTAAGAGCGTCGACTACTAGATCTATGCGGTAGAGGTACGAACTCATCTTCTGCCGAATGAAAAATTACTTTAGTCAAATCTTTTTGTTTTCTGTATTAAATGCCAGAATGCAATGCTTCTACTCCTCGCCACGTTCCGCGTCAGACTCCTCAGAATGTATCCACGTCTGTCTCTTCATCGTGAAGCACCTCTTGCCTCAATGGGCTAGGACCTGGCCGTCGATAAGTGTTCTGACTCCGAGATAGTGGCCACTCGACCCACTCTCCACGAAGCTGATGAACTCGCTTGTGCTTGTGTCCGTGCCATGAAAAGTTGCAATTCCATGCGAGATCTCGAACGCCCTCCACGGTAAGACAATTTGCAGGTGAGCACTTGGCTGAATGCTGATGGGCTTCAAAAGGCTCAGGTGCAGAAGGTATTGATTCTGTTAAATCTGATAGTGTAGATGCCGACGAGTCACCATGTTGATCGTTGTCGTCCTCTTCCTCTTCTTCGTAGAGGTCCGCCCATGACTTTGTGCTTGGATGAAGACAGTCGTAGAACCGTTGATTGGAGCTTGCGTATATGCTGGTGGTTGGCGACGACGGTGGGGATGTATTGATCTCCTTGGTCGATACTGTGATTTCCCTAGTTGATGACGATATTTCGGTAGAAGCATGGACATCCACCGATGGTTCTTGAGCACGAGACTGCCTCGTACGATCTTTCGATTTTTCCAACTGCTCAAATTCTCTGGGTATCATTGCTCTTAGAGCATCTGACAGTGGTGTTTCGGATTGTTCGTTTTTCATCTCGCGGTTTCTGATCCTGATTCTGACTGATCTGATCTGGAATGACTCGATAGTAGGCTGTAACGTGGCACAACCGCTTTTTACATGGGAGATGTGCCAAGCTCTTTCCTGCATTGTTCCTTGTAAGTTTCTTGGTGAGGATAATGTAAAATGAGAGACAACAAAGACAATCAATGAGACAGCATTTGTACAGGTTCCGAGACACCTTGGGACACAAAGGATGTTCATGCCTGAGTACAAGGTGATCGCTAAGCCAACGAACAATGGCGAAGGCAAGAGACGGCTGAGGCTGGAAAAGTGCTGTATAGCTTTGGTCTGTAGACTAGGTCCAGTCTGGTTCGACGAGCAAAAACATTGGTGATATGCAAGATCATGTTCAGAAGCCTTGATGTTTTGCATTGACCCTGTAGGATTCCGATCTTGCCATCAGCTCCTCATGCGTTCCACGATCCGCAACTCTTCCTTCCTCTATCACGAAGATGATATCAGCACTAAGAATGGTATTAAGACGATGTGCGATTGCAACTATAGTCATGCCTGTCTTCTGTCGTGCTTCTCTGAGTCCGTCCTTGAAACTCTGCTCACTCTCCGCATCGAGCGCACTCGTTGATTCGTCTAATAGCAAGAGGCGTGGTCGACGAACGAGAGCACGTGCAATAGCTAGCCTTTGTTTCTGGCCACCACTGAGTTGAGTGCCAGAGGTACCACATTGTGTTTCGTATCCGTCAGGAAGATTGACGATAGTCTCGTGGATGTTCGCAATCTTGCATGCATCTTGAATTACTGCATCACTGACTGTTTGATCTGAGCGTGCTCCCAAGGAGACGTTGAATCGAATCGAGCCTTCGAACATGACACTGTCTTGGGGGACAAAGGCAATACTGTCGCGAAACGATACTGGGGCAGGACCGATATCCATATTATCGAGGCAGATTGTGCCAGAGTCTGGCTTGTACATACGTTCAAGGAGTGCAACCACTGTAGACTTGCCAGCCCCAGATGGACCGACTAGTGCAGCGAACTGGCCTGGTTTAATGGTGAGATTAAAGTCTCTCAAAACCTGTATATCGGGACGTGCCGGGTAGGAGAAGTTCACACGGGAGAAAGAGATGTGAGCACCGCCAGACTTCTGGACAGTAGACTCGTTGTTTGGAATCGAAGCTTTTTCTTCGTCGACAGTACTCGGCTCTTCGATACTGTTCTGAGTGAGGGAGATCAGGTTGACTACTCTCTTGACAGCTGCAAAGGCTCTTGTGACATCAGGTGCGATTGTGAAGAGCTGACCCCAGAGTTGTGCACTGACAAGCAACGCGATAAGAACGATAAAGAATTGTACTTGAGAGTATTCTCCAGCGATGATCAGCTTCGTGCCCCACCAGTAGGCTAAGGCATATATAAATGTTGGCAGTCCGTAGGCAAGCGCCAACCACATATTAGCGTATAAACTCCTTGCTGTGACTTCCTTTGTCGGCTTCTTCAACGACCGACGATAGGTTTGGAGGACTTCTTCCTCAAGCGAATAAGCTGATACTGTTCTGATTGAGTCGAGGCCCTCGACAGCAATACCTACAGATCGCGTGAAAGCTGCTTTGTGTTTAGCAGCGAATCTGGTTAGGACAATCAACTGCATAGATCCGGCACCAAGGATAAGTGGTACAGTTGCAAGACAGACCAAAGCAATTTTCCAAGCAAGGACGTGTGTAAGAACGATCGCAGCAACCAAATTGACCATAATCGATATGATGGTGGCAATGGTTGAACCAGTGAGGCTGCCAACCGCATTACCATCTGAGGTAATCAGTGCCAGTAGTGAGCTGGGTGTTCGGTTGGCCGACTCGTGCCAATGTAGATCCTGCTCCATCAGAGAACGAAAGGACAGAATTCTTACCTGATGCAGAACTTTCTCAGCTAAAAAGCCAAAACCCGACCAGCTCACGACATTGGCAAAGAACTCAACAACAGCCAAGACGAAGAACATAAGTGCGAAGAACGCTCCAGCCGACGTGATGCTCGATGCAGATCTGCATGGGCTGAGAGCACCAATGGTGTGGCCAAAGATCGTAGCTGAAGCTGAATAGGTGCCACCAACGACAATCACAGCACCAAACGCGATCAGTATGACGAGTAGAGCTCGTCGGAAAAGAGGTGCCAGAGTTCTTAGGATGTATACAGTGGACCTCTGCCGATCGATATCCGGATCTTCAGTATGGTCGGAAGACTCTGCAACTTCAGCAGCTGGATCCATTTCCGTTGCTAGAGAGTTTGTGTGTTTCTCATCTTCATTTTTGCCTTCCGACGAAAACGAGGAATCGATTGAGTCCACTTCAGACCCAATTTGCTCTGCCCTTGGTTGCTGCATCTGCAGGTGTACAAGATCGGCATAGATACCTTCTTGTGCAATGAGCTCGACATGTTTGCCTTGTTGAACCACATTACCCTCGCTCATGACAACTATATTGTCTGCGTCCTTGATGGTCGACAAACGATGAGCGATCGTGATTGTGGTCCGTCCCTGACTAGCTTTCGTCAGCGCTGCTTGAATCCGCATTTCGCTTGTGGAGTCCAAGGACGCGGTCGCTTCATCCAGAACGAGAATGTCGGGGTCTTTGACGAGAGCCCGTGCCAACGATATTCTTTGCTTTTGTCCACCACTGATGAGTGTACCTTTTGTGCCGACTAGTGTACCGTACCCATGCTTGAGCTTGCGAATGAAAGGGTCGGCATCTGCTGCTACAGCGGCTGCCTCTACAAGCTCAAATATCTCAGCAATAGCGTTTCCTGATGCAACAGAACCTAGACTGGACCCGTTTCTCATGCTGGCTGCAACCTCAGCAAGTTGACCTGAGTGCAGAATAGCCCCAAACGCGGTGTACTTGCGAGAATTGACTAGACCGAGTGCAATATTCTCGAGGATCGATCTGTCGAAGAGACAAGGCTCTTGTTGCACGAGACTGATACAGCTGCGCAAAGACTTGAGATCCAGTTGACGCAGTGAGTGTCCACCAACCGAAAGCTGTCCTTGTGTAGGATCGTAGAGACGTAAGACCAGATTTGCAATAGTTGATTTGCCACTACCGGACATTCCTACAATGGCGGTATGCTTGGTAGCAGGAAAATCAAGCGATACGTTGCGCAAAACCTGGACCTCAGGTCTAGAGGGGTAAGCAAAAGAGACGTTCCGTAGTTCAACAGTGGGATGGAAGTGATCGAGAATACGTTCTGCATTATCAGAGGTACTGACAGAAGTGGTGTGTTGAACATTCTGCTCTAGTTTGCTAGAAGCAGCTTGTGCAGCTCCAAAAACTTGTAGAAATGGCGCCACGGTGCTGAGAATGATTGTTGCATCGACAAGGATGAAGATGACAGTATAGATTGTCCCTACCGTTATACCAGAACCGCCAGATGCAACTGTTGCTGCAATTTGGCGTGAACCTTGCCAATAAGCAAGCGCATTAGAGGAGTACGCAATGAAATAGAGCAAGCCAGCTTGAATGGAAGCTGCGACTGCCTTTCGAATACCAGCAGCTCTAGCGCCGCTGATTGCTTCTGTAAACCTTGTCTCTAGCTTCGAATTTGCACCGAAAGCATGCACAACCACTAAATTCGAAAGAGATTCTAGTGCGAGAGATGAGGCCGTGGAGACATTCGCTGACATTGCTCCAACATACTTGCCAACAAAATGACCACCAACCAAGGCCATCAGCAGGAAGGCTGGAGTCAGAGAAACCAGCATGCCACCGAGAGGAGCATCCTTGATGAAAGCAATTGTGTATGCAGTGACGAAGAACGAGATTGCGTTGAGCACAATCCCTACTTTCTCTGACGTGCCTTGTTGAATGGTAGTGATATCGGCGTTGAGATGATTGGAGACCTCGCCAGGGGACATTTTGCTGTCAAAGAAAGAGACATCTTTGTTTAACAAGCTGCGCAGGTATCGTTCTCGAATGCGCAGGCTCAGTCTTTCACCGAACAGGTTCCACGACACAATGTATACATATATGAGGACCAGATTTGCTAGGGCGATATAGACAACCGTGAGAACCTTGCTGTCGACACTGGACTGATAGGTGGATGCATTGCTGTTGGTATTCGTGCAGGTGGCACCATTGATATCGTCGATAAGCTCACCGAAGAGTATACCAAGCACTGGAAATGGTACACCGGATGCAATAGCCGCGAAGAAGCCGATCACCAGAAGGGCGATATCCTGTATAGAAGGCTCAGCACTGAGCAATAGCTTCGTAAAGCTTATTGGTGAGCGAAGGAACTGTCCTCGTCAGTCATATGGTTTAGTCGTCTGGAGCATCAGCGAACCTTCCCTACAGAGTCCATCGAAACCGCGAGGTAAATGCTTGCGAGCTGTAAAGGAGAATTGACAGCTGCTTGCTGGCCAGTACATTTGACGGACCGACAAATTGTTTAAGGAGAGCGTGTTGTTGCTGTAAGGCACTCCGTTGCGGCTACGGGTGGTCAGTACGTGGATCGCCGCCAGCACACTTGCGCTGAGGCATGGTTGTAGCAAGTGCTAAGATGAAGAAATTCACCCTAGGCTCTTACCGGAGCCGATCGTGGCTCAGATGAACTTGAACAGAAAAGCTGCCGCCTGTGCCCTCTCAGAGGTCAGGCAAAGGCTCGGAATCATATCGGAAGACAAAAATTGGCGATCAAACGCGGGACCACCAGTACGACATGAATCGTGCTCAACCAAGAGCGGTGGAAGCTGGGGAGGGAAGGTGTGATCGGAGGCTTGAGCTAGGAAGCTCCTGCCAAGGAACCGATGTCGCGTTTCATCCTGCAAGATGATGCAAGCCAATCTGATAAGATGAAATTCTGCATCGCGCCTTCTCCACGCGCAATGCACGTTAAGCGAAACTTGATCAGCACATGCGAGGCAGGAGCCAGTCATTACAGTAACCTGAATTACAATACCAAACGACAATTGCGAACGTGACGGACCCTCACACACCACGGAGGTTCCACCAGATGCCACATTTCTGCACAATCTGATCAACTTTATTCCAAAACATCACGCCATGATGGGACCGATCGTCATAGCTTTCCCTCAGTAGCACTTCGCAGCCGACGAATGCCTGACGAGATGAGCAGCCAGCTTTCGTGGCCATTGCTGCCATGGCTGGGCCGTCACTCAAGGCATATACTGCTACAAGATATCCTCAGTTGCAACCACGGTCACATGATGGTTAATAGAGATCTCAACGAAGTTATTAAGTCCGGCTAGAGTAAGAGCTCACAAGTCAAGCATGGCACAAACGCAACCACAAGCTCAACAAGAGGGTCACGATGTTATCTGCATTGGCTTTACGCCCGCAGCAATCTCTTTAGGCATTACCTTACGAGAAAGCAGCCCTAGTACTCGCATCCTCTTCCTAGAGCCACGATCGAAAGCAACATGGAAGCCACTTCCTGACTTGCCTGGTCACGCTCATACTAGTCACAACCTCCTCAGCGATCTAGTCACTCTCGAAAACCCGAGATCAAGGTTTACGTTCATACAATTTCTTCACCAAAGAAAGCTACTCATTGATTACACAAACCTGGGGTCTATACAACCTCCCCGCAACCTCTTCGAGGACTACTTGCAGTGGTGTGCAAAGCACTTCCAGGACAATGTGCATTTTGGTGCTCGAGTCCTGGCTGTCGAGCCTGTGTATTCCAGTCGGAGAAAGATTGATGGCTGGAGCATATTTACTGAGAATGGAAGCAGGAAGCTTTACACGGCGAAGCAAGTTGTTTTCTGCATGAGCCAGCAGCCTTATATGCCTTCTGTCCTCGCGAAGCCTGCTCTACTACCAGGTGTCGTGCATTCTTCTCAGTGCATGAAACAGCTGTCGGAACTCACTAAACCTGAACGGAAGATGGTCCGCATTGCTATCGTTGGTCAAACGCAAGCTGCAGCAGAGCTGTTCAATACCCTTTATGACATTAGAGCGGATCGAGAGGTGGTCTGGCTGGTCGAACAGTCTTCTTTACTTCCATACACCCAATCCTCGTTGGATGCCAATGATGGATTCTCCCAAGCGAACCCGGACTTGCCACCAGAATTACGCCGGGCAAAAGCCAACAACGCAAAAGCTACCACTACAATAGTCAAATCGTCCCTACTCGACCACATCTACGAGAACCAATACGCGCAATCCATCAAGGAGCCCGACAGCTCAAAGTGGAAATATCGCATCAAGTTCAACCAAGTCATAACAAATGCAGAAACGGCGTCGTCCGGCCTCGTAAATCTCAGACATCAAGACAAGACCAGCAATCAACAAGTTATAGATGACTTCAACATGGTCATAGCGGCAACAGGATTTACACGAGCTTCACTGGACAACCTACTGCCCTCGCTCAGTAGTAAGCGGCTACTCGACGGAAGCTCAATAACGACAAATGCAGAGTACGCCATAAATCTAAGACGTGGTGTATTGGAGCCTGGTGCTGGCCTGTGGTGTGTAGGTTCCATTGGCGACGAGGATGTTGCAACTGGCGAAGGTGCCTTCAGCATAATGGCTGAAAGGAGTGTGAGGGTCGCCAGAAGTCTCAAAGCTTGTAGAGTGGTCGATGAGGCACAGAATAGCGAGCGGGTGCAAGCACAGCTTTAAACGCAGTCTGCCGAGTTTTCAACTTGTGTTTGAGCTGTAGCACTGCAAAATAAATTCTTCATGTGAATCAAGCGAGTTTCCCTTTGCTCATGTGTTATATTGTTCTTATCGTATACACTTCAAGCTTTGTTCTAATTGCCGGCATAGTCATCTGGAACATGTGATACAGCGGCATCTTTTATGTCACACTGTTTCTGACTCTAACAATCTTGAATAAATCTCTTGTTAATGGCCACGCACAACACTGAAACTCTCACTTGATCATGTATACAGACTAGCTAAAAAGAAAAAAAAAAAAACCGACCCAGACTCACAGTCTGAACACCTGAAAACTTTGGCGCCGCCTAAATACAGATTATGCTAACTGGATAAATACATTTCCCTTTACTAGGAGTATACTTTCTCACATTTTAGCACCTTCCCTCCTGGCAATAACCTTCTCCGCCAGCTTCTTCATCTCATACTTTTTCACCTTGCCACTTCCTGTCAATGGCACGTCTGCAGGCACGTTACCTTCACCCAGCCAGAATACATACGCGGGAGCTTTATGTCTTCCGAGCGTCTGTCGGACCCAGTCACGGACCTGCTCGTCATCTAGGCTGTTTTGTCTCGGCGATGATAAGGATGACGCTTTGAGGATCGACTGTGTAGCGGCCTCGGGCTCGCCACGCTCTATAGCTTCGCTGACAGCGGATGCGGGCGTTGTCGAATCAATTTGAATTGACATTGGAGATCGTAGTAGGAAACAGGCTACTACTTCTCCGTATCGGTTGTGATTGACGCCAACGACAATCGCACGCTCTATGTCGGGGTGCTGTACCAGTCTTTCTTCGATTTCCAGAGGGTAGATGTTTTCTCCGCCTCGGATGATGATGTCTTTGAATCGGCCTGTTATTGTTACGCTACCGTCTTCGTGCATCACCGCTTCGTCACCAGTGTGTAGCCAGAGCACACCGTTCTCATCCCGAATCATTACTTCGTCGGTCTTGCTTTGGTTGTTCCAGTATCCTTTCTGCAGTTGGTATCCTGCTATGCAGAGCTCACCACGTGTTTCAATCAGTACAACTCGACCGAAACGGTCTACGATCTTGGCGTGCAAATATGGCATCGGGCTGCCCACAGTGGTCAACTTTTTGCGGATACCGTCGGTATGATATGCATTGAAACAGGTCGGGGAAGCTTCAGTTAGTCCATAACTGGAGGTAAATTCAATCATGCCAAATTCGTGGACGAGCAGTTCCATTAAGTGTCGAGGAACAGGTGCGCCTGCTATTATGCCTGTTCGGAGCCGATGAGACTCAAAATTAGAGGGTCGAGGTAGAGAGAAAATTGAGTCGAACATAGCTGGCACGCCGTGTATTGCTGTGCACTGCTCATTCGCAATAGATTGTATGCATGCTGCTGCATCGAAAGTTTCGCTCGGATAGACAATCTTACCACCATGGGTAATTGTTGCCAGTAGACCGAGGACCAGGCCAAAGCAGTGGAAGAGGGGCGGCGGACAACAAAGTACATCTTCGTCAGTGAGATTCAGACGATCGCCAATAAACCGACTGTTGTTGAGGATGGAATGATGGGTCAGCATTGCTGCTTTTGGATGGCCGGTCGTACCACTTGTGAACTGTAAGTTGCACACATCGTGGTTGCTAAAGCGTGTGTTGAGATCGTTGAGGAGGAGATCGTCCATAGAGGCTCCTTTCTCAATCAAGCTGATGTAGGGCACGAAATCTCCTGAGAAGCCTCGAAGGATAACCACATCTTCGGTCCTGCCCTTTTGTGCCAGGGCACTGAGCAGTCGGTGATTGTCATGGCGACCAATCGTGGGTGTGGTGAAGAACATGCGGCATTCAGTAAATTCGAGGGCATAGGTATCTTCCGACATGGTGTAAGTGTTGTTAAGAATGACCAGAATGGCTCCTACTCTCATGCACGCGAAGAAGACCGCGACATACTGCTCACAATTGCCTGCCATGATACCGACTCGGTCACCAGGTCGAATCCCATGAGCTGCCATAGCTTTTGCGAGCATGACGCTCTCCTGCTTCAGGAAGTCGTAGGTCCATCTTGCACCGGTCCACGGTATCACCAAGCACTCCTGGAGACCGAACTCATGACACTGAAAGTCGAGGAAATCAGCAAGCTTAAAATCAAGAAGTGGCTTGTCAGCAGGGCCGTGGGTGATGGAAAGACGTAGGTCGTCGTATGCTGGTAAGATATGGTCTTCTGGTATAATGGCAGCCATCAGTCTTTGGGTAGTTCAAAGGACTTGAAATTGCGAATGGGTGACTGTCTGCTGTTTGAGAGCAACGAGCAACTTGTTGTCACTGATGGCTATGGTGCACGTCCATGCCTGTTGCCATCAACCTGATCTTGGTCTGGCGAATGTGCGTCTGTATCGTTGGACGTGCTTGATGGACCATGACGCATGTGGCAGGTGTGTGCAGACCAAGTTTTCTTCACTTGTGTGAGGCTGCGAGATGCAACGCAAATAGCAGAGATCGACGTCAGTGTATGACTAGCGAGATATTGTGACCAAGTCCTAGATAAGTGGATCGTGTTTGGGTTGGCTCGTCAAAGTTTGTGCCAGGACGTATTGACAGCCACCACTGCAGGGTGTCGATCCGTGGGGCCTGGTGACAATACGGATCCGACAATCGGACCTTGGCTTAAATTCACTGATACCTAGCATACGGAACTTGAACCAGGACTGACGGGCAAATCACATCTAGTTCTGTAGCCATTGTTCGAAGCTGTGGACTCCGGTAGGCATCTTCACCATGATGGGAGCCTCGATAGACTGGTCAGTGGCGGCTACTTGGGGACTGAGAACTACACCAGGGTTCAACTTCTCGAAGCCGAGTTTGCTGTAAAGCTTGGTTGCATTATCGGTGGCCTCAAGATACAGCGGGACTTCAAGCTGCTGTGCGACGTCGATTCCAGGCTGGGTCAGAAGAGCGCCGATTCCTCGTCGTTGATATTGAGGATGAACAGCGACGACGTGACAATCTGTGGGTTGATTAGTCAGGATAAAGTAGCTCGTGATGGAACCACTCACAAACGTGTCTCTTGCCGCCAATGAGTTCTTCCTTCCTCTGCCAGAAGGCGCGAATAAACTCTTCAGCACGATCTTTTTGTTCGCCTTGCAACCAGTCGACAGCGGGCAATTTTCGCTCCTCATCAGATCGTTCTTTCCAATGGTAATCCCAGAGGCTCATGCCGACGATCTTATCAGTCTCTGTGTCGACACATTTATAGGTATACTGAAGTTTGTCCTTCTGCCAATAATCCAGAGTATGTGCTGCGTGACCTTTTCGAAAGTCTTCATTGTGAATATCCCATGGAAACAGTATCTGGGTCACGAGCTCGCCGTCGAAGGCGGCAAAATAGACATCGTAAACTAGACGGATATCTGGTATGCTTGCTGGCAACACGATGAAGCCCATGGTAGCCGCTGAACGACAGCAAGGTGTTGGCTGTCACTGACAATCACGTGTCGAGGAAAGGGTAGGTTGGTAGTTCCAGGGACAGAAGCAGGCCGAAGCCGGAAGCACATAAGAAAGTTGCGATGTCTTGACATATTGCACTTAACTTGGTTAGATCTTCGCGTAGCTGTTACAATGCAATAGACGTGATTCTGTTATGCAGGTGGACGAGGTTCGGGGAGGGCACGTTCGTCATGCTTGAACTTCGCGTGCAGTCTCCATAACACGCTAGTAAATAGCGCGAAAGAGTTGGTATAGACTCCACATGTATTCGGTTCGTTTCTGTATTTTGGAACCATCACCGTCCAGTACTGTGGAGTTGAGTTTTGCTTCTGCGATCGTCGAATTTGCTGCCAGCTATCTCTCCATACTCCTACTGAGCTACCAAAGTGTTACACGTTTGTCTTACGTTTTGACGAGACGTGCCCGGCCTGCGGCCAGGAACGGCGATGTTTCCCACAGCACCGTCAGGACCTCGCAATGTATTGGCCATGGCTGAGTGAAGTTCCGCTGAGCGTTGCCAATGCAATTGATATCTTGTGAAGACTTTCTGTGTGATTCTCAGCCTGCCCCGAGTTTCTTGGGTCTATACTGCTTACCATATTGTGCCATAGTAATTCTACAACGCGATGAAAACCGTTGAGAGTGACCCTTCTACCACGTCCGCTGTCGCAAAGCTGCGGCTCCCACACCCATATTTGACGACATATTACGCAGTCCCTGCTAAGCAGAACGACCAGACTCTAAAAATACAGATCAGTGGTACCTACAATGGACCACACAAAGAACTACACAGGGACGATCTAAGCTATCTTTCGTTGCAAGAGCCGGCCAGTACTGCAGAAGATTCCAACAACTCTATATGGGCAAGAGCAAGGAGGTCATATACTACCACAGTCTCCTGGAAGGGTACGCCGCCGACACTTTCGCAGCTATGGCTCATTGTATACATGATCTTTACCCAGTCGCCCGACCATGAGTATTTCCGACTGAGCCTAAACGGTGATTCGAAAGACGAAGTTACGAAGCACCTAAAACAGTCAACACTTGCAATAGATCACCCACGACCCTCCAGAGAAGCAGACAAGCACTCGAAAGAGGGACATGATGAACTGTTGGTCCTACGGAGCACCTTTTGGCAAGGTGCTGCTTCTCCATTCGGTCAACGATCAGTCTGGATTCCTGAAGGAGGTGGTTCAGCCAATGTCACCACCGTCGACTACACAATGACCACGAAGATGCCCGAATTCAACCAAGTACACGCCTGGCATCCTCGTCGCGCTACGAAGCCGGCTCCAGGCGCTGTAATCTACAGTCGGTACATCCCGACTCTGGATGAGCACTTCTCTATGCAGGCACTTGACTATGAGAATCCAGAACACCTGAACCTCTTTCACACCTGGCAAAATGACCCAAGAGTAGCAGCAGGCTGGAACGAGACAGGCGATCTGACTCATCACAAAAATTACCTGCGCAATCTACACGAAGACCCTCATGTGCTCACTGTACTAGCATATTGGGACGACACACCATTCGCATACTTCGAAATCTACTGGGCCGCCGAAGACCACCTAGGAGCTCACTACCAAGCAGATGGCTTCGATCGAGGTCGACACGCCCTCGTCGGTAACCCCAATTTCCGTGGTCGACATCGTGTCACCGCATGGTGGTCTGCAACCATGCACTACATCTTCCTTGACGACCCACGCACCATGAGAGTCGTCGGTGAACCAAAGTATGTCAACACGAGCGTCCTTGCGTACGACCTGATGCATGGGTTCGGAGTGCAAAAGTTTGTAGACCTGGGACACAAGAGAAGCGCTTTGATGATCTGTCCTAGAGAAAGGTATTTTCAATTGGGTATGGACGGTACGCAGGAAGGAGTGGTGGGAGGGACGAGAGTTGCAGTTGGCATTCCGAAATTGTAAGCATAGACACACAGAGTAATTAGTCAATCTGTATACCCCAATCAATATTTTTCGTCTTCTGACGAGCCAATCCTCCCCGTCATTGCTAGCACTGTAATCGTCGCAGGCCCGTGACCTTTGAGCACGGTCTTGCATTGACACATTTCACGATTCAACTCCAGAGCTTACAACTTGGAGCCAGTCTTCCAACATTCACTATTACACTTCCCAGAAGCCTCATTTCACCTCGTGTTCGCTTGACACAAGTGACGTTCATGCACAGCTTGCTCCTTGTTCCGACATCGGACGCAATAAGTCGCGTAACGAGAAATACGAAGCTGGCCGAATCTACCCTCACACCACACCGCACCACATTGCACAACCCACCCACCATCACGAGTAAGGACGTCACAAGCATGCCGTCGCCCTGCCCCGAAAAAAACACCCACTGCACCTCACCTATCACCGTGAATCGTGACGTCGCTTGCATTTCTTCACGGACACACGGCACATGCACGACCAACAAGCTTGGAAGATTTTGTCAAATGTAGCGGAGATCTCAGATTCTTTTGAGTACTTGGCAGGTTTTCATTGGCAGGAGATGTGACAGAGCGGATCTGATAGTCACTGATCATGCATGGCAGCGGATCAGATAAGATGCAGATTACGGCGATCGACATAGCTAGTTCTTTCAGTCATTACAATGATTGTAGATCGCTGGTGGATGACTGTGATCAGCGTTCGTGGTTGAAGGTGGGCACTTGGGCCGAATTGAAAAACGAAGAGGACTTTGTGAACTCGAAGCGAGCTACACATGCTAGCAAAATTTCAGAACAGAGCGTCAGCGGCTTTTGAGAGAGGGAGGAAGGAAACAGGCAAGCTGGAAACGGTCTGTGCACGTGACTTCCAGCTCGACGGCAGTAACTCAATGACTTACCTGAAACGCCGCGAGCCAGCGCACTCGACCGACGACGCGTGCAACCTTGGGACGCGAGTATGCTTACCACGAAGTACCATCGCAACGACACTTACATATGACTGAATTGATTGCCAGTTCCTATGTCAACATTCTTCTCCTTTTGCTGCTTGTCTTCTTCAAGATGGGTTCAATAATGCCTATTGTTCAGTCCTGCGAGGACGGCCCGTATCTCGACGGAAGCCAAGAGCGCAAGGTTTCGTTCAGCGAAGAAGTCGAGCTGATTCCGCCAAAAGAACAGCAGGGTGTGAAGGCTGATGATGATATTGTCTCGATTGTGGAGGTGGCACACGAGAGCGGCATCAAGGCCACCTTTCACAAGTTGCTACTTGCTTGGGCCTTGTTCGTGAAACGTGGAAGCCTTGGACATCTCGATGAGGATTTTGTACTGACCTGGAGGTCAAAAGATGTGCCGGAATCAATGGAATGCCTGCTGTCGAAATTGATTCCATATATCAAGGATGAGATATCTGAGTACACGCCACGTTTTCAGCAAGCAATGGGGACTCCTCTAGACCTTGACTCAGCCATAGTCTTAGAAGCGAAGCCTGCACCAAGTACGATCAGCAACTCGTTGATGTCGATAGAGGCTCGAATAAGAGGCGAAGCTGTTGAGCTGAAAGTGGTCCAGAAGCAAGTTGAGCTCTCTCAGAATCTGACCAGAACAGCTGTAGATACACTTGCCTCAATCCTCAGAAATGTGGCTGGTAAGAACAATGTAACTCTTTCACAATGCTTCGAAATACAACCTCCAGAGCTGAACAAGCTCTGGGAATGGGGATCGATTGTACCAGACCCGATTGCTCGAACTATACATTCGTACTTCTGTGAAAATGCTGAGAAATATCGAGACAAAGCAGCAGTTGTATCCTGGGATGGCGAGCTGACATATGCTGAGCTCGACCACCTCTCAACACAACTCGCGCACAAGCTCAAGGCCATGGGATTACAAACTGGTTCACGTGTCCCGGTGTGTTTCGAAAAGTCAATGTGGACTGTCGTCGCTGTTGTCGCGGTTCTGAAGGTCGGCAGTGCATTCGTGCTGATGGATCCATCTCAACCAGAACGACGCCTCACTACCATTATTGATGAGGTCGAAGCCGGTGTCGTGTTGACGAGCGAGAAGTACATCGAACTTGGACGGAGACTTGCACCAGAGGCAGAAGTATTTCCTGTGGGACCAGCTCTACGGGCTGAGCTTGCGAAGCAGGACATAGACTCATTGCCAGAGGTGCTGTCTCACACGCTGATGTATATCATCTTCACTTCTGGCAGCACTGGCAAGCCCAAGGGTGTAATGATCACTCACGATAACTACACGAGTGGCGCGATACCAAGAGCGTCCATCGTGGGCTACGAGCCAGATACGAGAGTCCTTGACTTTGCATCGTACGCCTTCGACGTGAGCATTGATTGCATGCTGCTGACACTCGCCACAGGTGGTTGCATCTGCGTGCCATCTGATGAAGATCGAATCAACAACCTGAGTCATGCGATACGCAGAATGGATGTCAATATGGTGCACACTACGCCAAGTATAGCACGAGTTTTCGACGCAGATGTCATTCCTTCTTTGAAAGTGCTAGGCCTTGGTGGCGAAGCTGTCCCAGCACACGATGCTGCAAGGTGGAATGAGCAGACAAGAGTACTAGTCGCATATGGTCCAAGTGAATGCACAGTCGGTTGTGCATTCGCTAGATGGGATGCGAACAAGGCATACACAAGCCTTGGCAAAGGTTGTGGTGCTGTCCTCTGGCTTGTAGACCCAGATGACCATGATAGGTTGAGTCCGATTGGTGCCCCAGGAGAACTGCTTGTCGAAGGTGCCATTGTGGGTGAAGGTTATCTCAAAGATCCCGCAAAAACTGCTGCAGCTTTCATAGAGGATCCAACATGGCTAATCCAAGGTGTTCCAGCACGGGCTGGACGGAAAGGTAGATTGTACAAGACAGGCGATCTGGTCAGGTACGATCCGGATGGCAGTGGTGCTGTCGTCTTTGTGGGCCGCAAAGACCAACAAGTCAAGATAAGAGGACAACGTGTCGAGTTAGAAGAAGTCGAGCACCATTTGAGGACGAGATTGCCCTGCAGAACTGCGGTTGCGGCGGATATCATAAGACCTGGTGGCACAGGCGACCCTATGCTTGCGGCATTCGTGGTCGAGCATGATGTGAAGCAGGAACAGATAGTAGATGGTGCTGGTGAATTCAGCCGAGAATTCAGTGATGTGTTAACGAATTTAGAACGTGACCTGAAGAAGGATGTGCCTGTTTACATGGTACCTGGCACATTCATCGCCATATCACAAATTCCCACGACAGTTTCTGGCAAGACGGACCGGAAACAGCTTCAAGCAATTGCTGCATCCCTTTCGAGACGTCAACTGGCCGGATGGAGAACACAGACCAAGGCCGTCACAAAGTCACGGTCACTGTCGGAAAGAGAAGACAAAATTCTTGGGCTTTGGAGTCGGATCCTGGGCAACTTGACAGATGTCAGTCCGGAGGACAACTTTTTCGCCTTGGGAGGTGATTCCTTGAAGGCTATGCGATTGGTCGCACTTGCCAGAGAACAACGGCTTTCTTTAACCATGGCCACAATATTTGCTCATCCTACACTTGAGGCGCTTGCTGACAATGCTAGCATTGTACAGCTGACACAGGAGGTCGAGATATCACCATTCTCGATGCTGCAATCTGCACAAGACATCAATCATATCGTCCAGACAGTTGCTGAAATTTGCAAGATCAACGTGAATGCCGTTGAGGACATTTATCCATGTACCCCTTTGCAAGAAGCATTGATGGCACTCTCAGCCAAAGTCCCAGAAGCGTATACCGCGCAGAGGACTGTGACAATACAGAACAAAGCTGAAGCAGACCGGTTTTCAAGAGCATTCGACGTTGTTACTAAACAATGTCCTATCCTCCGTACTCGCATAGTACATCTCCCTTCTCATGGGCTCGTCCAAGTGGTGTTGAAGACTGGGTCAAAATGCAGGCTGGCTGGTGACTTGCACACATATCTCCTTGAGGACCGCAACCTGGCGATGGAGCTAGGATCGCCACTTTGCAGGACTGCCCTGGTACAGAATTCCGATGAAAGCACCAACTTCGTGCTTACCATGCACCACTCGCTGTACGACGGCTGGTCAATGCCTCTAATTGTTGATCGAATCAATCGGGCGTATAAAGAACTCGAGCAACCCTCTCGAGCTTCCTTCAAGAGCTTTCTCAAGCACTTCATCAACCAGGATCGGCGGCAATCAGAATCTTTCTGGCGAGTGTTAGTGCAAGGCACGATGGACCGACAATTTCCTGTCTTACCACATCCACAGTACGAAACACGTGCAGATTCACTGCTCGAAAGATACGTACAGGTACCAAGCGAATCGGGATCAAGGAACACCTTGGCCACAATCATTCGCGGCGCATGGGCGCTGACTGTGAACCAATGCACGAAGACATCAGACATCGTATTTGGTGAAACCTTGACAGGACGCAATGCAGATGTGCCAGGCATCGACCAAATTGAAGCACCACTTATCACCACAGTGCCGACACGGATACAGCTCAGGAACATGGCAGTATCAGAATATCTTGACGCAATCCACCAACAAACCATTAATCGGATGCCGCACGAACATCTCGGCCTTCAGAACATCAGATTACTGAGTCGTGATGCACGTGTGGCATGTGATCTTAGAACGGGGTTTGTCATGCACCCCAGCACCGAGGGTGATTCAGGTGCGTTGACAGATGGACCAGCGAGTGGGCTTGTGCCAGCTGGCGACAACGAGGCTGCTCAAGAGGCTCTAAAATTCAATTCGTACGCGTTGATGATGGTGTGTACGCTCGACAAGCGGGGCTTCCTAACAATGGCGAGCTTCGACTCGAACACAATATCTGTGAACGGGATGAAAAACCTGCTTGAGGTATTTGACCAAATGATACAAGCACTGAGTACTGGCGGCGACAAGACGCTGAGCGATATATGTGATTTGACAGAGAATGTGACTCCTGAACCAGTGGCATCTCAGTCACAGACCACGAAACAGCCAATAGAGAACAGCGGAGTGGCGACAACTCGCGAAACGCCATTACTTCAAACTCAGCTTGCTGAGCTTTGGAGCCGCATCTTGCACATCGACAAAGCTGAAATTGGCAACGACGATGACTTCTTCGATCTCGGAGGTGACTCTATTGCGGCGATGAAGCTGGTATCAGAGTTGAGACGGTCAAATTTTATGCTTACTGTGGCACAAATTTTTGCAAGCAGACAGCTAAGTAAGATGGCTGACCTGTTGCAAAGCGGAAGCAAACGGACCGTCGAGAAGGTTGATGAGTCGGACTTGGAATCTCATCCTTTAGAAGTCGGTGATATCGATCAGCGAGTATACTCGGCTCTTTCAGAACATGTTGGGCCAGTGCAAAGAGTATATCTAGCTCGACCGCTACAGGCCATAGCAGTGAAAGGTACAACGCATTTGCCGAGATATTCGATCAGATATGAGATGTGCTTTATGGAAAGCCAGGTCGATAAAGCACAACTATTGAGTGCCTGCCGTGAACTCGTCCGAGTCAATGAAATCCTGCGTACAGTCTTCGTGACGGTCAACGGGAAATGCTTTGGTGGTGTCGTGGACGAGTTTGAGGTGCCAATCGATGAGTTCGAGGTTGACACGGACATAGAGAAGTTCAGCCGTGACTTATGCGACCTCGACGTGAGCACGAGAATGCCAGAAGGCTCGAGTTTCGTCAAGTTCTTTTACGTACAGAGTGAGGGACGCAGCTGTCTCATATTCCGCCTTTCCCATGCGCAGTATGACGAAATGTGTCTGCCAAACATGTTGCAGCAATTGAGTCAGTTATATGAAGAGGCAGACGTGGAGCAAAGTTTGCCATTCTCCTCTTATGTCCGCCATGCGGAGATGAATCTGCCTAGCTGCGCCGGATATTGGTCGAGTTTATTGAGAGGCAGCAAGATGTCTAGGTTGCGAGGTCCTGGCGAGGTCGTCGACCGCAAGCAGTTGACATCTATCACCAAAGCGATAGATATTGAGAAGCGGCCAAGAGATGTGACTCTTGCAACCTTCCCAACTGCAGCATGGGCACTTTGTCTCGCTCGTAGGTTGAGGACCAATGACGTGGTATTCGGCGAAGTCGTAGGTGGCAGAAACACCGGATTTGATCACGCACATCGTGTGGCAGGGCCATGCTGGCAATATGTTCCCATCCGAGTGCAGCTTGAAGGCAATGGCCATGATCTGCTCAGGCAGGTTCAAACCCAGCATGTAGAAAGCAGCCAATTTGAAACCATGGGCTTGACGGAAATTGTGGAGCAATGCACAGATTGGAAAGATGTTGACTGGTTTGACTCGGTAGTCCACCAAGCTGTGAAGCCTGTTGAGAGTGTCAACGGCCTAGCGAGTCGTCTGGAGACCTATTATCCTCATGCCGAACCATTGCGAGAGTGGAAGATTCAGGCATTTGTGGAGGGAAACGCGATGGAACTCGAGGTAGTGACCTTCAGGGAGTGGAGTGGCTTTGGAGAGGATTTGCTAAATGACCTTGTCGAGGCTTTCGAGCAACTCGTTTTCGAGCCGGAACGAGTACTGGCCATAGGAGATGTCTTCTGATGCAGGGGTACACCGATCTATCGAGTACCGCAAAAGCGACTAGGACCGGAAGGAAACGTAGTCGGATAGACAGCTGTCTGCTAACAATCCCTGCTTCTCTTCATCCTTAAGAGGCCCCTCTCATTGTGTCTGTACTCTTTCTGAGATTGACGCTCAGTATCCTCTTGATGTCTTTGGTGTACGTTGTCTGGCGTCGGTAGAGTCTGAACATGTCACTGACTCCTCGATATTGCTATCTCATAGTCACATTTTCCTTCTTTCAGCTCATATTGAGTTGGCTTCGCAGGTATGCTCGTATTCGTGGGTCTCAGCAAAAGCTCTAGTCTGGATCACAGTGTCGTATCGGAAGTAAAGGTACGTAGACATGGTCTCTTATTGGAATATGTATTCCATTGTTTCGAGCATTTAAGTTTCAGGTAATGAGCTGGCGGAGAACATCTCTGCTGGGACATATTAATCCGATCCCGACTGGAGAGCCAGTCTGTAGTATGTGTATATACGTATCGCTACCAATTCTAGGGATAGCTACTGGTAGGTAGAGCAAGGCACGCAGCTAGTGAGCGCGTCGAAAGGAAGGAATGACACGCGTGGCTGAGCCACCGGCACAAGACTGATGGACCCACCTTCGAGACGTGATGCTGCTGTGTCGCTGAATTTCTTGTTGCTCTTTCCGATGTATGTCTCCCGCAGAGTCTGGGAAACCTATGCTGTGTTGCTCAAAGATTTGCTTTGATCATAATTCTCTGAATCGAGCAGGATGTCATGAAAAATGAGTTCTGCACTGCGTGTGACTTCCGATTAATTTCAGACCGACTTCTCGACCGAGCCTGCTCTTAACGATGCTGAAATAAGGATCGGACGAGGGCTTATCAATTCTGAACTTGTATCCACTATATCAAAGACAATCAACGAGGCTTCTCTCTCAGTCGGATATAGAGACCCTTCACTTCTGTGGTCCGTCTCTCGCTGACCTAGGTATCGCCACGACATTAGCGCACGAAGATGTCAGCCGCCGAGTATTACCTCGCATCAGAGGCAGAAGCAGTGCCGGCTGAGGTCGTTCAATCAAAACGACAGAAATTCGGCTCATTCATGTATGCTCTCCTTTCAACAACTTGCTCGAAACCCTTCTCACGTAGTTTTTAGCAAGACCGGCTGGGAGAAAGGTCTTGTGCTAGGCAAGGAGGAAGCTTTGAAAGGCAGGATCCTGGTAGAAAACTCGCTTGGTCTTGGGCCAAGGCCAAATGTTATACCGTCTGGTGAGGCTAACGTCAATGGACCATTGCGCACGGTCGAGCTAGGCTGGCATCCTGTTGCCGGATTCGGTGGGAAATGGTTCGCTGAAAAGACGAGACTCGGCCAGAAGATCACGAAGGAGATCGGACATCATCCTGATCCAACTCAGGTAAGGCCTTTGTGTCATGCATGTAATTGGTACTGACCATCTTACAGCATTGGGCAGTGCTTGTTGGTGGCTATTGCCATCAGCTATGGATGGTATGTTGACACACAGCTTGGTACTATCAGATTCTGACGGGCTCTCAGGACGAACGTCTGCACGTCATCTACATCAACGAAGTCATCAATCGCGACGAGTGGCACACCTTCGAAGTTGGACAGACAAGATTCACTGACGAGGCACTGAGACAGACTGGTAGGTCCTCCCATTCCCACAGCGGTACGGTACTCACACGTACAGGCGAAATGGTGATTCACAACATGCGACAATCGAGGCCTGCTTACAATCTCATCAGCAACAACTGTCAGAACTTTGCCGTCAACATGCTGGACCAAGTCCAGATAGGCTCCAGGCGAGAATTCGCCACGACCTTTGCAATCTACCAGCGAGCCACAGGTCGTGGTTCAATCAAAGACCTTTTCAATGACTCTCTAAACGAACAAGCCGAGCAGGAGGCTTCCGGACGATCACATCAAGCTACTGTCAAGTTTGCACAAAAAGTCATGCATCAAAATACAACACAGTTGGATAATCACCACTACTAAGCGTCCCGATCCATAAAGACATCATGAAGCGTCAATTGAACTACGGAATTTCTTTCTCAACAACGAAGGTGTTCGGTCCACTGTCATGCAATTCAGCTGGTTAGCACATGCCTCTTTCTGCTACTCGCAAGTCCTAAGGATTACATGTCAGTGTCTTTTTGCTGGCCGTAAGACTTCTTTAGGGACTGTGCCAGATCCTGCTGACTCCTGGCGCTGCTCCTCATCCTTTGCTCCACCATCTGTCGATAGAGGCGAAGCTGGTATTTCTGGAAGAATATCAATTTGCCTTGACCTGCGCATATCTTCGTCTAGTTCGGGAGCCAACAGACTTGGTATTTCACTGCTTAAGCTCAATATATTGCGGCGATGGCCTGGACGTCCGGGAGAGCCTGGTGTCTGAGACGGCGAAGAGGTGCTGAGCTCCGAGGACGGCAAGCCTTGCTCGCTGGTTACCGAGGACACGGCCATAGTGTTTCTCTCGTCATGTGAACCTCGACTAGAACCTGTAACATCATTCTGGCAGTTTGACAGATCTTCTTCACTTCTCTGGTTTGGCAGCTCATATGCTATCCTCGTTGGCTCTTGTTGTGGAGATGCGAAACCCTCGGAGAATCGTGAAGGAGCAGTGGCTGGTACGACGTGATCCTGGGAGACAGACCGTGGAGAGAATGGTGGACTACGCGCCGTCGCCGTCGCCGTCGATATGGATTGGCGTTGATCAGGTCGGTCTTGATCCATGATCTCATATCGCTCGTGGGATCCTGCTGCAGTACCAGCGTTGTTCCACCCAGGAGACGTGACAGCACTCGGTGCTTCGTGGACCGTGGCATTCGCAGCTTTTTGAGCGAAGTAGTCCGGGTTGCTCTCAATAGCAGTATCGCCAGAAGAGTTGGACTTCTCGGCCTCAGGATCAATATGAGCCGACTTGCTAAGCCACGAGAAGACATTCTTTCGACTGCACTGTGTCCTTTCGACGCCTTGCCGATCCTTGCGGTGCTTTCGGAAACAGAAGAACAGGACGGTAGCAAGGATCGCAATTGGGATGACTGTACATAGAGTGGCAATGACCGGCGTTTTCCAACCGTCGTCTGGGCCTGACTGGACCTGAGCTCCACCAGTGTTATTAGACGAGGTACTGCTGGTGAACGGGTAGTATGTTTTGACTTCACCTTGGTAAGGTGTCGAGAATAGGTCATTGAGGGTGCTGTTGAGCCCGGTCACCTGCACGTTCTCACCGGGTCCAGCTGCGCTGGGGTACTTAAGCTGCGTCACAATAGCAGCTGGCAAAAGGAACGGTACATCTGAGGACGCATCGAATTTGCCAGTCCACTCCAACGTACTCAAGTCAAGCACGTCGATGATAGTGTCTGAGGCAAGCCTACCTCCGCTTTCACCTGTCCCACCAATGGTGATCAGCGTCGATGGATTCGGCGCAAAGCAAACACTTCCCTGGCGACCGTGAGTGTTGCTGTTGACTGCTGATTTGACCTTGGTCCACTGGAAAGCAGGAATTGAAAGCACCCAGACATCATCTCGAACGTTGGGGTTAGTGCTGGTGTATGTTCCATCATAGCCACCATAAACGAAGATCTCATGCGATCGCCTATCCTGCGTTGGTACCACAGCAGTACAGAAGCTTGCAAGCTGAGCCGGCTCCTCGCCTGTACCAAGTGTTTGTTGGATATGCCAGGTATCAGCATCGATGTCATAGATCGCCAATTCGGTCATGAATGGACCACCTTCTGTGATCTTTGGGGGTGTAAGGAAAAGATTACCAGGAACTTCGACACCGCCAATCGTAACAAGAACACCCTTGCTACCGTAAGGAAGCCAAACCAATGCTCCTTCTGCTCGTGGAGTCAAACCAGTGGGCCAGTTCAAATACTCGAATTTTGCATCGTTCGGGATAGTCATGTCGACCTTGATAAAAGTCGGAGACGTGATTGTAGGGTGATTGTCGTCCTCGTCACCACTGTTGTATTCCAGTGCGCCACGACCTGCACCAACCATACCGCTGAAATAGAATCCTAAGCCTTGATCTGGTGCACTCGCATATGCGCCACTAGTAACATTGTCGGATACACCCTCGGTTTGCTGATTTGGACTGACGCCTTGATCGAATCGCGAGACCGACGGATTGGAAGGGAAGACGTTGAAGAGTGTGACTGTCGATAGACCGATTGGTAGTCGATCCGCCAACCCACTATATCCGGTTAGCATGAGTGCAAACTTGTCGACGCCAAACGTACCCGAAAGTATAGAATTGATAGTCATTCTGAAATAAACCACCAGCGATGTAGTTTGGTGCTTGCGTGTTCGATGATTGCGAGAGTCCAGGAATCATGTATTCGTCCGTGTGTTGATTAGTGGCATCAAAAGATTTGGTAAGATCAATCTGGTAATATACGCCATAGGAATGCTGTGCTATGGCATTACCAGACCATACACCGTTACTGAAGGTGCCGTTCGTCATGATACCGCCCTCCAGCACGATCTTTGACTGAATTTGGCTACCTCTGAGTCCGTGCCAACTTGCGATATCAGTGCGGGCCATTGCAGACCCAGTACCTAGAGTGACGGTCAGTAGGCAAGTGCCCCATTTGCACAAGTTGTAGCCGGTCGCCATTGTTGCTATGACTTGAAGATTTGTGTATGCGAGCGAGTGCGAAGCAGTTCTGCCTAGGAGTGCCACAATCACAATGGACGGAAGATGGTGAAGATCTTGTCACAAATCTGAGACTAGTCCCACGTGCACAACAGTAAGATGTCTCACGGAAAGGCCTGCAGAAGGACAAACGAGCAGTAGTTATCGTTCTTGGGGAACATCGTAGGGTTGATATTGGTGACAGCCCATCATGTTTGCCCATAGCATAGGGCCGACAATGAGGAAAAGACCTCACTAGCATGCAACCTGTATGATAGGTCCAGATATGTTGCTCGGGATGTGCACATTGCCAATATGCTTGCCGTACCATGCAGAGCATGTGGAAAGCCCTAGCAGGACAACCTGAACCAGGCAGTGTATGCTGCTTATTTTTGGCAGTCGTAGCGTTGATCAACTATGCTGTGCGTCTGAAACACTAGCAGCGAGCAGTATCGACACTTCTGGAGTCTAGCGTTGGTCAGAGCAGCTAATGCCTGACCACAACATGGTAGGCATTTAGTCAAGATCCATGAATACCAGTCTTTCAGGACCCATAATCTGTCGCAGATAACTGTTGCACTGCAGATCAGATAACTCCGAAACACGAGCAAGTTGACTCAATGCTCTGGTTGAACAAGTGCTCGAGCAAAGTGTGCCCTTTCCACCGCCGGCATGATCTCCGTTGGCTAGTCTGCACAACGGTAGGGTTGAGGCTCGATGCGAAGGCCATGTAGAAGCAGCATAGAAGATGCGAGAGACGCACGAAGTAACCTTGCTAGACTCTCGTTTGATATCTGCGAGCAGGGAGGATCGAGGAGGGAGTGGACGCAGGAACCCATGACTCAGGCCCTCCACTCGGTAAGATCTACTTGGCCAAGCACGCTATACTCAATCAGGAAAGGATCCCGCAGGTCGGAGATCTAGCTTCGAAGCTAGCTCAGCATGGTTAAGTGCGCTTCTGGTCGAAGGTGTGCCGAGTTGACATGCTTCCTGACAACCTCAATCGTCCAGACCAACATACCACGCATTCTACCCGAAGAGGCGCCATGAATACTTACTCGACTTCAGGAGAGTATCATGCGAACGATGTGGAAATCAGCTGCAAACCACAAATGCAAAACTGGGCACTCGGTGCAAATCATGGCTTTGAGTGTTACGAAGCATACTCGCACAGCTGTTGTGTACGCTTTTCAAGACGCAGCAATATCATTGTTTGACTTGTGACACAAGCTCACCAGTATCTGGCCAGAACAATGCTTGGTACCACTGACGATTGCCTCTCGAGAACATAGCCGTTTCTCATTTCTAACCTCGTCCTTTGTTGTTAGGTCGGAACAGACAGGGACTCCAAAGAAGCTCTTTACTAATCCGCGATCCTGGTCGCCTTGCAAGGATGACAACCATGCTATTAGTGTTGCTTTCCAAACTGCCACCAACTGGGGCGAATGATGCTGGACGATCCAAGCCATCAAGAGCCTATGCTATGAAAGCTCGCAATGCCTTCTGGTGCATTTCTGCCAGATGTTTGGGTTCTGGCTGATCGTCTTACCTCGTTCAATCAACTTCGACACTCGTTACTGACTGTTTGCACACACTCGTTTGAGACAGATGCGATTCGCTATGAAGATCTCGGATGTCTCAATACTGTTCGTTATCGCAGGTGTGCGTGTTGCAGCCGCAACAAATTCTACATATGATACCCCTTCACTCACTGTCTCGACACCATCTTCTGAGCCTGTGACTTTTGTATGGTCCGACTGGAAGACTTGTGTAGCATGTGTACCAACCACAATCACTGTCCCAACGACTGTCATGGAGAGTAGCACTGTCGCAATTACAACGACGATCAAGGAGATAGAAACAATTGCCGCTCCCCCAATAACCACCACAGAGGTAATCACAACTTTTGGAGTTTCTACCTCAACGGTTACTAAGCTGACAATCTCCACAACCACTGTAATTGATGTTTCCACAACCACCAAGCCAAAAGTCTCTACAAGCACTGTGACCGAAACTTCCACCATCACTCAACTGGACGCGTCCACTACTCTATCGACGACGATATCGATTTCTACGGATACCGAGGTGGTTCTATCAACCATCACAGAAACTAAAGCAGCCACCACAGTGATTGATACAGTCACTTCGACTCAAAGCTTCACCACCACCATTACTTACACGGAGACTCAGGCTATAAGCACCACTACAGCAACTATCATCAGCACTGAAACTCCAGCTGTATCGACATCGATCTCGACGCTGAGCCTGATTGATACGATCACCTTCACGGAAGCTCAAGCAACAACAGCTTCGACCGTGACACTGACCACGACGGGACCCACAATCACAATTACGTCAGAGTTGCTTGGGACTACAAGTGTGACGATTAGCATGATCATGTCGACTGCTGTCGGTCCGATCATTACGATAACCACTACTTCAATTGACGAAGTACTGTTACCTACCACAATCACAAACACAATTGAAATTCCAGCGGCTACGAGTACGACTGTATCGACCTCGACTTTAGCTGCAACCACAGTTATCAGCACAGTAGAACTTTCGGGCCCCACAACCACAGTGACTTTAGAGACTCCTGGACCGGCAAGTACCACGACTCTTACCACTAGCATTGCGGCCACGACGACAACCGAGACCGAATTCGAGACAAGAACCGAGAGCTTCACCATAACGGCACCTGAGCCAGCGATCGTCGTTACAGTCTCGGTAACAGAGACTGTTCTCAACACGATTCCGACAACGTTGACCATTACCAGTATCAGCGCAACTACCCAGACTGTATCGGCCTCTATCTCCGGCATCGTCACATGTCCTAGCAGGATCATCAATCCAACATACACTCCTCCTACTCCACTTCCCTCAAACTACCTGTGGGGATGTCCTCCAGGCAAGCTCTGCCACCCCAAACGAGAGAACTGCAACTTCGAACAGAACCCACCTGCCGAGAGCTACGTTTGTGCTCCAGAAGAGTGCCTACCAGTAGCCGATCTCCCACCACTAGAAACATGGCTTGACTACGAAAACATCAACGATACCTGTGCCTGGCTCACCCCAATAGACGACTACTTCAATATCAACCCAACCTTCTTCGATCTCGATTTCGACATCTTCAACATCTACGGTCAGCCATGTTGCGAGACTCAGACCACAGCCTCGACGACAACGACCACGATCACCATCTATCCATCAAGCACTACATGGGCAGCCTGGACCAGGCCCGCAGCCACATCGCCCTCACCACCGCACATCACCAAGCGCACAGAACTATCCGATGGCAACATCAACAGGAGAGCCATCCTAGTTGCAAGCCAGTGCTATGCAGTCTGCGACTATGCCGCCGCAGTCTACCAGAGTGTCGGCAAAGATCCTGCACTTTGCGCAGCAGATGGGCAATGGAGCACTGCGTTGGCGAGGGTGACTTCGTGTACCAACAAGTACGCTGCTACTGGCGTGGCCAGCGTGGCGTCGATTCTGAACGAGCCGGTCTTGTACTGCAATACACAGCCTCAGAGGAGATTTGACCTCTTTGGTAGAGCGGCATTTGCGTAGTGGATGCATGAGCGAGATTGAGTAAGAGATTATGTGGATTGTGACGTTCTATTTAGCAAGCTATTATTTGCTGCATATTCGTCCAACTCTAGCGCTGTTGTGGACAGCACGCTGCATATATCGTATATGATGACTGAAAGATCCCAGGCCTTGCAGTGTTATCTGCTTCGCAGATAATGACATCGCTCAGTAGATAGCGACGACACTCAAGCTATTTCCCCTTCTTCCTCGGATCCAGCTGTATTGTTCTCCGTTTGCGATTTGTTCATGAATACTGTCGCAAACCGGTCGCTATAGCCTCGCTAATTTCTAGTGAAATACATACCACCTCCAAGTTCGGCGGCATAAATAGGATCACCCAGCAACTCAGCACTCTGTAAGCTTGTAAGTGAACATCACGTGTGAACGACGGGAATGAGCCATGTAACAATTCACAGCGTGCGGGTGAGACTTGTATGACAACGTGTAATTACAGTGTCTTGGACTTTTGCCTCTCGGGTGCTGCTAGCACCAGTCGATGCTGTCGTCAACTCTCAACGATGTTCGCGTTGACGACTCGATAAGATGCCCCAGGAACGAACACAGGAATCTCTGTGTCCTGGATGACGGCGCGTGTGTGTTTGTGGTTGTCGTCTTTTGCACAAGTGCACGACCCGCAGCATTATTGAGGTCGTCCTGGAAATTATACCCTACACCCGAGGAGGTACGGTCGAACCACAAGACAAGAGTAGGCAATCAAGTCGAGAAGAAGAAACACAACGATTGATAGCAATCGCGCCAGAATTTGGCTCATCCGATCTTTTGTACACTCAGCTCTCCTTGTCTTCGATCCTCCATATGCAACAAATCACCCTTTTCGAGCTTCTTTTTCCATTTATTGGACTCGCCTCTTGCTAGTATGAAGGTCAACTTCGCGCTCGAACCGTCAAGAGCGGATAGCGTGGAACTTGGCATGGCTGTATATGTCCACCTGCTAAAGGCCCAATTGAGTATATATATCCCAATACCAGTTGTTGCATTCGACTTGCGCTCGCCAGTAGAGTCTGGAGGTGGGGTTGTGGAAGCGATGATGCCTTTTATCCTGTAGATTTCGTCCTTAGGCGCACTCAGTAGAAGGTCTTCGAAGTCGTCAAGGTGTATACCGGCGCCCTCGCTACCCTTCAGAATCACACTTAGTACCTCAACTTCATCCTGATGATTCTCATAATGTGCATGACCATGACCATTGTGATCATGCTCGTGCCCAGTCTTGCTGTTTTCTCCATCAGGGTCCTCGTTCAATGCATCTTGTTTCTGACTGATCAAAGCACCGTCAATGCCGATAATGACCCCAAGATCAACCACGCCTTTCCTGGACTTGACCCACGCAGTCTGCACATCGATATCTCCCACACGATCAAGACATCTCTCAAACGACATTTCATCAACCAATTCCCATTTATTGAATACAATCAGGTCAGTAAACTTGGCCTGCATCTTCGCCGTCACACTCGTGTCTTCATAACCCTTCCAGTTTTCCACATCGATCACACTAACCACACCATCTAGCACAAAAGTGCCAGGGTTCTCCCGAGCGACTCGATTGATCTCCATCGCCAGTGTTGCCGGGAATGCAGAGCCCGACGTCTCGATGATGATACGGTCAGGCGCGACCTCATTTCGGAGTTCGAAGAGGGCATCTCCCAGCTGACCTACCAGGTTGCAGCAGATACAACCATTGAGCAGTTCTCTGACCCCAGATATGCTGGCCTCGGATGCGAGCTGAGAATCAATTGCCACGTCGCCATATTCATTCTTCAACAATGCAAGCTTGTATGATTTAGGAAGCTGTGGTATAAGGTTCAGGATGAGTGTTGTCTTGCCACTGCCGAGAAAGCCGGTTATGATTGTGACTGGGATTGGCGCCATTGTGATTGTCCTCACCTACTGTCTAGGACGGTTCAATGCCTTGCCGATGATGTGAGGTGACAACAGCCCCCTTACAGACCAGGGAATGTGTTTCAAAAGTTGTAAATTGTCTTTGTTGTGAGTAGAACGTAGTCACACAGTTTCGTTATCAAAAACAATCGTTAGAGGCTTCCATCGACATGGATCTTCACAATGTGAGCATGACAACCACGATCTGCATCTGGAAATCTGCATGTATCAAGCTCAGATACTCTGAAGACGTAATGATAGAGATCAGGGTTGCTATAATGAAGCTATCTAGAGGGCTATTGTCTTGTTGAATGTCGCGTCGCGTCAATATAGTATTGTGGGGCTCTTTAGGAGATCTGACTTGGTCTACGTATAGTTGCCGCCACCATTCGTTGTCGGGCACAGGGTATGGCGGCTTTCGAGCGAAGCGGCGCAGGCTCGTAGAGAACCATGGAGGTTATCGCAGGTTTCTGCAGAAACCCGAATAAGCCTAAATCTCTACGGCATGCTGATAATTTAGACACTGTTCCCAGCTTTTGCAACCAGAATCGCAATCTCAGATCAAAAGAACCACGTCCTCTGCTCAACCCAAGATAATCTTAGATGTCCATTAAAATCACCGCACCCGAATCCATGATCCGGAGCTGGTCCACACCCTATCTGCCATTCAACTCGCGTACTCATTACAGTCAGGCCCCATAGACATCAGGGCTTCGTTGAAGAAGCTACCATCACAATCAATGTGATCACAGCACGAGGAAAATTCCCTGAACAACCAAAACAGTCTGGACCCTCGTCCATCGCCAGATCGAACGCAACTCGAATGCCAGGCTCCATCCTCGCCTGGAAACTTTCCCAGAGTCCCCGAAAAAGCCGAGAAACACCGTCGTCGACGCCACTTTGTGGCGCAGCAGATACCAAAAAGGGGGTGAACGCCGAAGTCGACTCCTCCCACGATACTTACAGTAGTGCAGTTTTAGGAGGGAAAAATCGCGAGGTTTGTTCCATGTCGAGAAAAACCAATCTCGTACGAGGTACAGTACGCCACGCTGAAGTAGGTAAGGGTAAACGCGCATATGAAAGGAGATTGTCTTGTCTTGTCTCTATCCGTGGAATCGTGGTCACCTGCCTGATGCAGACTCTAAAACTACTTATGATATTATGTGCTATGAAGAAGAAGAGCAAGCTCGACCAGCAAGCACATAATTAGAAAAATTCAGTGCGAAGTTCCAGCCGTCCTTCTGTTTCTAGATCAGAGAGGTCAGTCAGATAGCCTCCTGTACATTTCGTTGTCTTCCGGTAAAACGTGACCGCTATCAGTAGCGACATGTGAGTTGTGGTTGTCCTAAGACTCGTCAATAGGGTCGACCGTAAGCCGGTCCTCCACCATGACCACCGTAGCCATAGGGACTTTGAGACACCATCGTAGGGTATTGAGGTATTTGCTGAGAGTAGCCATACTGTTGAGGAGGAGCTCCTGTTCGTGCAGCGGCATTGATCTGCGCTTGTTGTTCGAACATGCCGACCAGTTTTCGCCCGACTGTGGGCTCAAGTTCTGTACCATCTCTTGCTATCTTGACCTCACGATTGGCATTCCAAGGGTTCCTCAAGCCTCTGGTTCTGTAAAATGGTAACCTTTCAGTAGACTGCCATGTGATCTTAAAAGGTTTGCCAAAGGTGGTCTGCTGAGTAAGTGATCCTTGTTGGGCACTCTCTTCGCCAGACGTCTCACCAGAATCGCCAGCGTCGATAGCACTGTCCGGCATGAGAGAAGTATTTTCCGCTTCCCAGAAGATGGTGCCTCGAGCAGAATCGTCGATGATATATCCCCTTGGTGCTGTGGCCGTGGCACTTGTGGGGATAGTCAATGGTGCTTCGGCAGGTGTGGGAATCGCCAAAGGTACTTTTGGTGTTTCCTCCTTTTGTATGGGCACGACATCAGCACTGATCTCGCTGTCCATTCGTGCGTACCCAAAGTATTCCCCGGATTTGTTCGCAGAAAAGATGAGGTAGACGTTCTCAGCAGTCTGTAATGATGTTAGTTGGCTTCAAAATGTGACCTTGGTCCCTTACCCTGAAAGCAAGGTTTAGATTCTGCTCGTTGTGGCCCTGAGTAGCCCATATTCCGCTGTTCACCGATCGTTCAAGGTCTTCGAGCGTCAAGCTTTTGATAATGAAAAATTTCTCTTTCGCAATCTTCTCCATAGGTAAAGTAGATACTATAGCTGAAGCTACAGTGCTTGGCTCTTGTTGATCATGGGATGCGACAGGTATATCGCCGTCGGTTGATCCATCTTGTATAGCCTTTTGTTCTGGCTGTGTAGTAGTAGCAGATGCTGGTGAAACACCACTATTACTACCTCGTCGCAATCGGCAAACAAGCCTAGCGCCTCTGAACCTCGAGTCGTGGAATCGTGCCATGGCTGCGACGCAGCTCTCTTCCGTCTTGTAATTGACAAAGGCACAATTGGACTTTGATATCAAAAACACGGACTCGATGTCTTCTGTGGCTTCGCGAGCGAAATGGTCTTTGAGATCCATTATTTGTGTTCCTGGTGGAAGATTGCCTACCCACAAGGCATGTCCAGATTGCCTGGGCTTTCGTGGCGGGCCTCGGAGTGTGGACGAGGAGGTCTGCAAAGATGAATTCGAACTGTTCCGCCGCAATACTTGTTCACTGTTAGATCGTCGAAATGTGAATTATTTAGCGAACTTCTTACCTTGAGGACTTTGTGAGTACATTTGCATACCGTATGTGCCTTGAGCGCTTTCGACCTGCAGACGTGGCATCTGATAGTGTGCGCCTACACGATGCTGATAGCTAGAAGCAGGCATCAGACTATATGGTGAAGGTTGGTGACCTTGAAAGTTGGTATATTGTGGCTGCTGAGGCATGCTGTTGTTGTACGAAAAATGCTGCTGAGGGGCGTACATCTGACCCCGAGTCTGCAGGTCAGCTGTGGTGCCTCCCATTGATGTGTTGTAGCCCGAGAATGATCTCGATTGTGAAGACATGTTCTGTGGAAATTGTTGCATGTATTGACCTGCAATTTGACTCGCAAATTGATGGTTCGGTGGTGATGAATATGCGTAGCTGGGATCAAGCGTGGGTGCTTGTGTGAACCGATGCATCTGTTGCGGTTGATTGTAACGCGGCTGTGAATAATCTGGCAGAGTATTGGCCATGTGGCGCATGTCAAACGGTGTGATGGGAGGTGGACCGAAGTATTGAGACGGCATCGGCGCAAACTCCATGTTGTGTTGTTCTGCCTGCGAGGTCTGGTCTGAACTTGAGGTGTCGAGATGGGTGCCTGCTGATGGTCAACTGAGGTGTGTCGAGACGAAAGGCTTGCCACTTACCTGATATATCGTCTGAGTGACCTTGACTTTGACCTTGGTAACCAGGGCGAGTTGGGTTCTGGGTATCTTCACTCATGGCTGTATCCTCAAATATAACCGGTAGTGCGAAGTAATGGTGTACCCAGTAGACTGCCATAATTGGTCAATGCATGTCTCATCAGAGAGCAGGAGGTGAAGGTCGAGACGATGCGACGTACCCGAGTAATAGGCGGCTCTTGATGCACAAGAGCAAACCTTGATAGCAAAATGAGGTATCGAGATCAAACTTAGAACGGGAGCTCTGAGTTCCGCAATGTCTTGCTCGAACTCTTGAGCAAATGAGCGGCTAGTATGTCGGTATACAGAAGCGGGAGAGTGGTCTCACTGTCCAGATGAGCAACAATGCTGATCGAATGCGAGCCTGATGGGGAAATGAGGATCGTTGAAAACTGCCGAGACTTGTTTCAGATGATCGAAAAGAGAAAGGGTCTAACTCTTCTCAAGGTCGTCCTGCCTACAATGGAAGGACAGTCTGGCGCTAAAGCGAGTGACTAGCAGTATGAGGAATGTCCTAATGCTGCATGATTTCGAAACACGGCCTGGTAAGGCGAGGAAGCACAATGGCAGAGAGCCCAGGCGGGTAGGGCAAAGTAACGGTCGATGTGTGGCTCAACAAATGAGGGAGTGATTCAGCATATAAACATCATCAAAGGCTCGAAACCTCATCCACATTCTGAAGGTGATTGGTAAACGGCCCATGTGAGGAGTGGTACCTTTTAATCCCTACTTGGAGATTGATTAAAGGTACATTGAGTGCTCGTGCCAATGAAGAGTCAGGATTGATCAATGGCTAGCGAGGAGCCAGGGTCGTCATGCAGAGCGATAGAGTGGCAATTCAGGTATCCATGCTGTGAGGACATCTCGGAAGTGCTATCATTAAGCAAGACTGCAGCAGCACGAAGTTTGTGCTCATTAGATTGAGCTAGGCTATAGCCAGAATAGACAAGTCTCGAGCTCTATGGAAGCCACGAACCGAACTCCACTTCACAACGTTCAGATCCTGAGTGAGGGCAGTTTTTGAGCTAGTCTCATATCTGGTGCTTTAGTAGAGACAGGATACGGGGCGCAGGCGCGCTCGAGGGGTCCATCCCGAACCTCGTGGTGGTATCCACTTTACTCGCGGAATGGGGTACTGATAGATGAGCAATGACATGGTGTTGGTGAATTTTCCCGTTATCCTCCATTCAGACAAAGCAAATGCTGGTCTCAATTGGTTCGTGTCAACGATGTGTGCATATCAATCCTTGGGCGTCTGTCTGAGACCTTCGTAATTGACTTTTGCACATCGTCTACAGGACGAAGACATCGTGTGAACGAATTGAGATCGGGACTACACGAAAATGGGTCCCAAGGAACGACTTCAACGACATATGGCAGATGCCTGAGCCAGTTCATTTGCTGCCTATTGAGAAGCTTACCTAGCCACGTCTCCAGAAGCGAGAAACAAGAACTTGTCGATCACGGTGGCGTACCCAACTTGGCGGGCTATCACACCCCTGTACACTGTGGCAAATTGTATAGAAATAGCTAGAGATATGTATCTCCATTCGTCAGATGATAGTGAGCTAGGTACTCACGCGATACTGTGTATATGCTCGATGATGCAAGGCGACCAAACATGCTTGGCCAAGGTTGGCGCGAAGGGAAGCCGTCATGAGAAGCATTTTGACCAGGTTGCTCCCGTGACTGGAAATAGCAACTTCAACAATCGCATACACGTCAGGATAGTAGTGAATGAGCATGACTTACCTCGTTTTAGGTCTTTCGCCACCACAAGCAGAGCTCTAAGGTGTCGTGCCTTGGCATAGTCGACAACCCCTTACAGAGCTTCAGGAGGCCGAAGATGTGGTTCAATCTCGCAGACAGACTCGCTATGCTGTGTCGTTGAGATAGTGATAGTGCGTAGGTTGTGGCTTCGAAGAAGACCTGACTAACCTGCTCGAGTAGTCTCACGGTTGGAGTCAAGCCACAGCGTGGCCGGTGGAGGCTGGAGCTGTATAAGTGGATCCTAGCCTCTACTAGGACATGCTATCAACCAATGAACGGGCAAGCTGCCAGTGCCAACCGAGGCCGAAAATCTAGTCCAAGTTCTCGAACACATCGCCCGCAGATGAGTTTGGTAGAGACAGGGATTCTTTGGTGCTATTTGCTCTTCGTTGAAGTGTCCAGCAGCTAAAAATATGCACAACAGAAGGCTTGTTGATGTCGTCGTGTTCTTGGAAATACAATGTACGTTCTTGGTTAACGTGTGAGGTTAGTCAAGAGAGCAGGGTGGCATGCGAGAACATGTTGAAAACGCTATAGCGTCATCGACTTCGCAGCACTAAAACGTGGCTGCTGGACAAAATGGCAAGGGAATGTAGTCCCGTCCTGCAACCAGCATATCATGCGCCTTCGCAGCACAATCAGTCATCTGTGATCTCAGTCAGTACTTAGTAAATCATGAAACACCAAGACAGACAACGTGTGCAGCCTGAAATAGTATCTCTAGCAGGCAAGCCACATCTCTCTGATCTCAGACATGCGTTAAACCCATCGCTAAAGGAACGTTAGGTACTTTTGTGTTTTAGACCCTGAACTTGGCGGTCAGTACCACAATCGCGGAAGTGGGCGTGCTCAAGCACAATTCTAGTCTCTGACAGAATCGTGGCTGTGCACACAGTATTCAAAGTAGCTCCAAGATCATACAGTGATATCTCATGCATTATCTGCGAAATATTTCGGGGTAAATACTTTCGAAGGATGAAACATTTGACTTTGACAATGGTCTGATGACAGGTCATCAGGTATCCAGTAGACTCCGCCGCTTGAGGAAGCAGCTTTCTGCAAGACAGGTTTCTGCTTGGCTGAAATGTTCTGTTCGAGGTTTGATGCCTCAGGCATTAAAACTAACGAGTTCTTGCAAATGGAGTAGTACCTGGGGAGTACGGAATTTCGTTCTTGCCATTATCAGGAGAAAGTTTGTCTACATTTGGCAATCGCACAAATTCTCTTCCTGGTGTCGAAAAGGACAGCGAAGAGGTTGTTAGAGCGGAACAGGTAATCTACATTTTCACTGTACCAGCCTGCTCTCATAATAAGGGTCCAGGAAGCTTTCTCCCAGCTAGACAAAAAAGGTGGTTCGATTTTTTCAGTGACTCGAGCTTTCCGTTCTTGAAGCTAGGGACATCTCCTCGAAGCCGCGAACAAGTTAGTAATGGCGCTGCCCGATTCGACCTTGTAGCGACTCGAGCTTGTAGTAAGCGAGAAACAAACCTTCGGCTTCAACGAAAGCCGGGGTCGTGTGGCGAGTATGAGCACTGTCTGTCTCTTGTCCAAAACGGTGAATCGTAGTCGCCGAATTCGATAATGATGCCACACCGCGCATGCCGGAAGGAGAAAAGATCGAGCTTGGAGACCCATAACGCTTCGGCTCTTTAGGAAACCGTCCCTGTCCTTGGCGTAGGATCGGCATCAATAACGCTCCTCATAGAATTCTGCTCGTAACAATTGAAAAGTAAAGATTATGGATTACTATTATTGTACTCTTCTAGTCAGTATCGATACCTGGTTTTCCAACGAGGAAAAATTATGGTACCAAAAAAAGGTGCTATCCTTGCTTGAGACATGCATCGTGATCATCGTATATCATCATTGTCCTGAAACTCGCCACAAACCAACCATGGCCACGTGCTCCGGGTTACGTTTCCAAGGCCAAAGTTAACCCCAGAATACGATTCCTCTGTCTCGCCAGAATGTTGTCTTTCGTTCAGAAAAAGGCCAATGAGACTCGTGCGCGGAATGGGTTCACTTGTGATTGACCAGACCTCACACAACCACTGGCGTGTCTCCTCAAGACACCAGAGTCGATCGGAAGTCAATTAGCGAGGTTTCCAATACCTCTAGGTAATTGGACTTCGGTGGCATCACTGAAAGTTCAGGTATGGACATGCTGGCGGAGTGTTCGCTGATCCATGATGCGGCCAGGCACGAGGCCGTTGAAGCTCAGATTTGTAGAGCTTGTGTTCTGGCATCTGGTTCGTGCACCCGCCCAGCAGGACGGATGTGGTCCGACGACGATGCGCTCACCGTATACCGTCGATGACCAATCAGACTTTCATTCTATGGAGGCAGAAGCCCCTACGGCTGCGCCGAGGACTAATTGACCCCTCCTCTGAGAGTGATGGATCGAGATACGTGTAGCCCGTCCGACCAATGTGCTTAAAGTAAATGCAACGACAACTTGAAACAGCACGATTGAGTTCGTCGACAGCTTCTTTCTGAGCAATTAATCGATACTATCGCTCGCCAAGTCCTGCAACCTTGCCAGCAAATCTGCTTCCAGCACTACCACGCTTATGCAATTTTACTTGCTCGACAGACTTGCTGCCGGCAACAGCTGGCAATGGTCCCAGAGTGTCCGTGACGGGCATGCTTCTGGACCGACGTTGATCGATGTATGATTGGGCTGTCAACGACAAGGGTATCGCAGGCAGCTCTGTAGGAATCTCCGCACCGTTTTGGATGAGGAGCTCTGCTACAGGAAACACTTTCGTGCCTGCTTGCATCGTGGTTGGTCCGCCAGGCGAAGCTGCTGGAGATGTAGATGCTGGTCTAGCGGGATCGGCGGCGGCAAGAGCAAGAAATACAGCGTGCGTGTTCCTCGACCGATCATGTACGTTGACATTCGCGCGCTGTGCTATTGCATGCAAAACGCCCTGAATGTCGTTCTTCTTGATTGACATCACAAGATTGTCGTCCGGCGACAGAGCATGCAGGTTGCTTGCGTGTGGTTCGACAAACGCTCGCTCGACGTATTTCATGGTGATGAATTTCAGTCGCTGCTCTCTGTTGGCCCACGGCTCTGGCTTCGCACTTCTCTCCAATGTGGCCTCCCATATCATGTTGCTCACTCGATTTCCTATCTGCATCAATATCTCGACAATATCGTCTGTGAAAGAGTGAACGTCAAGGGTTAGAGAACGAATTTTCGAAACATGCGTGCCGAGTGATCGGTGGATTCCACCACATTCAATGCAAAGGACAATTCCAAGGTTGAGAGAAACCCACTCTACTTTACTGTTGCTGCCGCAATCAGCGCAGCATGCATTGCCTTGATCGTTGGCTCTGATCTGGTCGAGCAACCTAGTGGGGCTCTCCTCCTGCTGAGTTTGTGTAGGGGCTGGACGAGACCCTACAGTCACTCGGCGGCTCACACCGACAGTATCTGGACGGCCTAATGCACCATGCGGCCCTGATTGTGACAGACTCTTCCCTGTCAGGACAGCTCCATAGTCGTTTCCTGCACGATCTTTAGGCGAATTTGCGATAGCAGATTGGCTTGTCCTCCCCTCAAAGGCGCTCTGTAGGGCATTGTTGATGGAATTTATCCAATTGTTCATGTCGTCCTCAGCAGTGGCTTGATACACGCGCTTGTATTGTGGGGTAATGACTTCAAAGCAAAATCGTCGTTCAGCATCCCTGGCCATTCGTACAGAAGCCATACGTAGATCGATCGGTTCCCTGTGGAGCTCCATTCGATCCTTCCAGTTGCTGTACTCTGAGAGCTTGCCCTGATCGAGAACGACCCAGAATTTGTGCCAGGCTTGCTTGTTGATACCTTTCGGGTCAATGTGAGACCCGGGTTTGCTCAAGGCCCACAACAAGCCTTCCTTGCGAGGGGCACATGTAGACTGCTTGTCATTTCCAGCAAAGGAAGAGTCTCTCTCCTCAAGGTCTCTAATGCCTCTAAATTTGTTTGCACTTGGTGTCGCAGAAGAGGCGGCTGGCGACGTTGACAATGCTGTGGAGGTTTGCTGCAAGTGTTTCGAATTGCTCGGCGAGAGATTGTTCCGTCCGAATTGAGAACTTGTGCTATCGGCCCGGCTCAAATCTGTATCGGACACATAGCCAGCAGTTCCGTTGGAAGCACTCGTCTGTGGTTGCACGGCACCAGCGTAGGGAGTACCGTCTGCCTCCGATGTTGTCGAAGTAGGATTGTTCATCTCCAAATTCCTACGCTTTTCTTCACGCTCTGTACGCTGAATTTTGTACTCTTTGTCTGCCTCGTTGACTTCGCGCACGAGAGCATCGAGATTAGGTTGTAAGGCCTCGATTTTCCTTGCAGCAGACATGTATGCCTTTGCTTGATGGTCAGCGTAATTTGTTAGATGAGAGAGGAGTTCCTGCTCCTTCTTTCCACCATGCAAATCTTGCATGAAGTTGGAATAGTCGAAGCGTTTCAACTCAAAGGTCCTCTTTTTGGTCTGATACTTTGAGTCACTTTCAGCCTTTTTCTTTTCCTTCATAGAATCTTGTCGTTGACCGAGATAGCGGCCAACGTACGCATAGTATTCTCTGCTCTCCTCCTCAAAATCTTTCTTCTTCGACTCGACCTGCTTGATATCGTTTGTGTAAAGTTTGGATAAAGGCTCGATAATCTGTCGTCGAAGCAGGACCGTGTTTTCCTCCTCGTACCTTTGAATTCTTGGCGCAATATTTGAGTAATAATGCTCCAGAGCAGGCTTGAAAGCTGTCGAATGAGATGCAGCAGCCTCCTGTAATGCGCTCAAGAAAGAACGTACTGCTTCGTTGGAAAGCTGCTGTGCCTGTTGAGCAGCTTCAGCCCTTTTCAGAACTTTCTTGACTTGTGCTCTCAGATTTCCAGTCTTCTGCTCTAACTGTTTCATGTTGGCACGAAAGACTGGACCATCCTCAACGTTACTCATGTCCTCTGCTGGCCTGCCAACATCAACGGCGGGCAAAGTTGGAGCAGTAGCAACGCTTAAGCTGAGTTCGGAAGCGTGTCCAGAAGGGGATACAGGCGGACCAGTATCAGGAGGGCCTTCTGAGTCACTCACAGCTGATTGATAAGACTGGGAAGACGGCATTCTATGTCTGCCTGAGGGAATAGCCAGTTCATTCAGGTTTGGCACTGGAGGAGGCATAATCGAGGGAGCAGGAGGCAGTGAAGGTTTTTGTACCCAAAACACGAAAGATGCCAATGTGTTCAGCCGATGTGCTCTCGAGTCGTATTCGAGAAAGCTGCAATTATTGCGCCAACCACCACCTCTATCTTCGTTTGGTTTCGGTGGTCGCCATGTCCAAGTCCAGCTCATCTCCACGCTCGGTAAACCAGTGGTGGACATGGCACCAATTAACTGAACATTCGAATTCTTGTGTAGATTAGGATCTGAGTGAAACTCTCTAGTAATCAAGGTGTCTAGTTCGCGAGCGTTTGAAGCATAAGCGAAGGTCAGACCGGTTATGTTCGTGTCGGTCGTTGAAGGGGCAGCAGAGGGCGTGGTGGCAGGCTGGGTCGAGGTTTGTTGTCTACTAACGAATGTATACTCAAAATGAAGTTCGTCCTCGAGGTCTAATCGAAGGAGGAAGTTGTTGCCCTGAGATTCTGGGTCTTGTATGTAGAAGATGGGAGTATCGTCGCCAGGTTCCCTTCGAGCGACCATTCTGGTGGTAGGCACAGCATTTGGACCGACTCGAAGCAGGACTTTCTTCCTCCCATTGCTGATTGTAACAGATTTGACAGAGACTATTCGAATCTTGTCAGCATGACCTGCTCAACTGCGAGGACGCTTTCCACTGTACGATATGCGTGATGTCAACTTACACCGAGTTGGGTCCTTCAGGTAAAGCATACTACCGGATAGGTCATCCTGTCGACTGCTGATGTTGCCCATGGTGATAGTAACGGCGGCGCATTTGCGCCTCGAAAACCTACGTCTTCACAGGAAATGCGCGCCCTTAGAATACTGACTGTCTGATCGTGAAATTTACTATGCTGGTACACGATTCAAGACTGACCAGAAACGGTGGCAGGCATCATCAAAGTTGTGGGGTACGCTGGCGCACCTGCAAGTACTGAACGCGTCCGCGCATGGCTGGCCCTCATAGGCTGTGCTAAACAGCGAGACTTTTGCGCTTGTGTTGCGTCAATGCCCTGCGCCATGTTCGCTATATTCATGGCGCTACCTCAATTGTGGCAATAGTACAGCTGATGACTACTGGCGTTGCGTGAGATGAAAGTGTTGATTTGCCTACTGTATCACAAGGACACCAGAAGGACTCACGAATCTCGACGCTGCAACGCCTTTACATCATCAACCCCGGCGGCCAACCCAACGGTGTGATAACTTATAAGCTTGACCGTACGACTGAGTAAGTTTCATTAATTGTATCCTAATTACCTGAGCAAAATATGACCTGTTCTCAAGAAACATTGCGACACCTTACAGTACCTCCGTAAATCGACTGCCATCACGAGACCCCTTTGGCGTCACTACCTTTTCTTTGCTGTTCTCGCCAGCAGAGCTTGATAGAGGCGGTGGTGGTGCCATAGTTTCCTCATCAAACGTGTCTCTGGCCTCTTCAAACTCGTCGTCACTCGTGTTGGAAAGAACAGGTGTCACAGCCTTGCCCTCTTCTTTCGGCTTGTCCTTAGAGGGTTTGATCTTCTTCATCAGTTTGTTTCTGAAGCCGGATCGACCTCTTGTCTCGGATTCATTACTGGTCGTACCGAGATTGAAATTGTTGTCCGGGCCCAGGTTCTTGTCATGCGAGGAGTCGCTGGACAGCGAGCTAATAGACGGGCTTCTCTCACGCGTCACATGCGACGATTGATTAACTGCAGTTGGCTCAGGCGATACACCCGTTCCGTACATGTCCTGTGTTTCGCTCGTGCTGCTTCTTCCGGCCATCGCGACATCCCGCATCGAATCTGTCCTGGGGACCTCGGCACCTTTCGCTGTTTTGTCCTTGTCGGTTTGTGCTAGAACTGACCTTGGTGCTGTGTTCTCCTGTGCGTCACTTCTGCGACCAAACTTTACCTTCATCCATGATCTTACACCTGATCGATTAGGCGAGGTGGGGTCAGCCTCTTGTTCTGTCGATATCCTGTTCTCTGCTGTCCCTGGGCCTTCGAGCGACGAGCTCAGTGCTGGCTGAGCTACTTCAGCTTCGTCTTTGTTGGCAATCGATGTTGTTGGTGCTTCTTGAGATGCTGTAATGACAGGTGAAGAAGATTCGGCAGTCGGATAGGTGACTTGATCGTGTACTGTTTCACCTTCACCAGTGTCTTCAGCCCTGGGTAAGTCGTTGGGAAGACCGTTGCTGGCAGGTACGGCATCAGCAGCTGTAGCATCAGCTCCTGCGGTCTCGCCGCCAGTCGTGCCTGATGCGGCATTACCACGACCGCGGAACGACGACAAAAGCCCGGACTTAGGTTCCTTAGACCTTCGCTTCTCCTCCTTCTCTTGACGCGCACGTTCCTTTTCTTGTTCCTTAAGCGTTCTGGCCGCTGCCTTCTCTCGTTCTATACACAAAATTAGTTCTGCTTTCACCGAAGGCGACGTTAACTGACCGTGTTCTGCCTTGACTTGAGCAGCAGTTTCGGCAGATCGAATTTTCTCACGCTCTGCTTGTTGCCTTTGGCGCTCAAGGTCCATCCGCCTCTCCTCGTCTAGAGCTCTCTGCTTTTCAGCCTTCTCAGTAATATCATCCAATGTTGGTTGCAGTCGAGCTCTGGCAATGGCATCCAATTCGGACTGATCCAAATACTTGCCACCACCAATATGGACCTTACCAACGTGCTGCATGCGTTCGTCACTGTCACGTTGCGCCTTCTCGCGTGCGGACTTCTCCCACTTCTCCATTTGTGCAGGGCTAGCTTTACCAGTACTTTCGAATACCTTTTCGTCCATCTTCTGGATCTGTGAGTCGACGTTGCGATGCGCAATCTGGAGAAGTGCATCTCGATCTTGCTGTCGCTTTTTGGTGTCTACCTCGGCCAATTTGCTTTGAAAAATCGACATTTGTGATTTGATTCTCCTTGATTGTTCTTCGTCCGAGTCGTCGTCTGCCACGTTTGAAGGTCGTCGATCACGTCGCATCGATAATCTGGACCTCCTTTGTGGCGATGTTGCGCCATAGTAATTCCTGTATTCGGCATTTTCATCGTGAATCTTGGCCAATCTTTCCTGAGCTAATTTACGTGCGGCCTCTTCAAGATTTTCGTAGCCTCCACTGCGCGCCGCTTGGGCGTCGCTTACTGTTGCCGATTCAGCGCCCGTAATGGTTGAGCTACGAGCTCTGCTCGCTGCGAGAGCATGTCCGTCTGACTTGCCAGCAGCCTCGTCGAGATGCTGTTGCTGAATTGCATACATCTTCTGCGCCATTGCCACAGCAGAAGCGCGTAACGTGTCTTGTCGGTTCTTTTCTTGCACCTCTATCGAAACTGGTGGCGATGCAGTATACATTTGTCGATTCACGTTGTTCTTGGCGATGTTCTGTATCCTTGCTGCCTCAAAGCCCGGGTCACCACTTGCAAAAGCTTGCGATGGCTGGGCCGGAGTATCTGCATGAGCTTTCACAGAAGCTTGCGATTTCGTGGCAGCCTTCAACGCCCATGCAGCATTGTCTGCGGGTTTCACTACTGGCTGGGTGGGCAGAGAGCCAGATCTCCGTCTGTTGTGCACAGCAGTGGCTGCCATCATAGCCTTCCTATGACTATCCTCCTGTGTATCGTAGGCAGCACTCGGGGTAGCGGATTTAGTAGGAGCTCGTTTCTGTATTGGCTCGACTTCGGTTGGATTTGCGTGTGCCTTGAGTGCTGCTCCCGCACCAGCCGCGCTCGCCTCGGGCTGCCACAACGGATCCATTTTGTGGTCTTTCGCCAGCATTGCGGCCTTGTTCGCTGCAGGTATAGGTCCTGGTGTCCAGTGCTCGAAGGATTTGCGGTTGCTGTTAGCTAAACTAGCTGCAGCGCCTGCAGACGATAGTTGAACTCCGCCGGTAGAGGGATAAGAGGGTAGATCCTGGGCTTTGGCATATTTCAGAGATTGTGCAGCACCTATGTCGCAAGTCAGCTCCAACCCCGCCACGAACCCTGAACCTATAAGTGTATACATTTCCGCTCGACTTACTTGCGCTGGAGAGCTTTCCATCCTTTCCGAGAATTGATGCTGAGCTGGGCTTGACACCCACTGATATGGTCAGTATTTTGCAGGCCGAATATGAGTTCTGAGGTTCTCACCATTGTCGGTCATTCTTCCAAGGTGATTGAGCGCACGCCTATGTAGAATATGAGGTCAATATACAACAAAGAATTCTGACGTGCGTACAGACAATAATAGTGACTGCGGATCAATAAAGTACTTGCTCTGATCTGCCCACGAGGCTCAACATACGTTTGCTGTCGCAAAAGCTCATGCGGCAGACGTGGGTGGGAACCTCTCATACTTCTGGCTGGCGTGTACAACCATTACATCATGGTGGCTGATCAGCGATGGAATTACTTTGAGCTAATCTGAACTTGGCCATCATAAACTTCTGTTGCTACGCAATATCATGGTCGTCGATGCCAACATCACATTGATTCGTAAAGCTTACCATCTTAATCTCCTGAACGAGACCAATGATCGTCGCTCACGATGCAAGATTTCCCCGATTGTGGACAGATAGCCTGGCTTCGAACTGTTGCTGGTAATGAACAAAACTAGATCCCATTTAATGCGATAGAGACCTAAATTTTAGTGGCTGCAAGTAGTGGCAGACAACGCAATCGCTCTTACTGATGCCCACCTCCTTTACAGCCTGTACATATAAGTCATGTCTGAGAAAACACCCGAAACAGCAGCGGCACCATTTGACAGTCTTCTGAACTTCCGCGATGTCGCCCCGCTGGTCAATAAAGCCAGTAAGAACCCAATCTTGAGACGTGGCCAGCTATATCGCAGTGCGCGTCCAGATGGAGCTTCGGACGGTGACAAAGGGAGGCTACAGGACATTTGCCGTATCAAGACGATAATAGACCTTCGAAGCAAGACTGAGCATATCGAGGCTGCACAAAAATATTCTAAAGCCGTCAAGGTCGCGAACTCGAGCGTGGTGCCTTTGTCTAATGATCAAGTTGCCATACCCCTCGAAATCCCTAGGATCAACTATGCTTACATTAACCTGAACGGACGTGGTTTCGAGAGGCATCTGGTATGGCAACTGAGTTACAAAAACCTAGCATACCTTGCTGGTTACATGTTGCTTGGTTATCGATTGGAAGGTATCAGTATCATTGGAAAGAATGTGCTACAGCCCCGAGGCTTAATTGGGCTCGCAAAGGATACCTTACAACACAGTGGACCTGAGATTAAGGAAGTGTTCAAAGTGTTGTCCAATGTTGAATCATATCCAGTACTGGTACACTGTACGCAAGGTAAAGACAGGACCGGTCTTATTGTGTTACTCGTCCTACTTTTGTGCGGAATCGACCCTGCCCTGATCAGTGACGATTATACAAAGTCCGAACAGGAGCTCGCGCCAGAATTCGAAGATAGGATGAAGGAAATTTCGAGCATTGGCCTGGACGAGACGTTCGCCAAGTGTCCTTCCGATTTCGTACCTAAGATCGTGGGTTTCATTGACACCGAATACGAAGGAGTTGAAAATTACCTGAGAAAGATTGGCGTGGAGGAGGAACAGATACATACCATTTGCAAACAAATGCTACTGTAGCCAAACGCGACCGACGTCAAGAAGACAGCCACAAAACGAGACACCTAGTCTGAAACATCAAGATTAGCCTAGCTGAGGATAGCGAGAGCTATCCATGGAATTTTGTATGGGGTCCTTAAAGACGTCCTTCTAAACCATCGCGAGCGAAGACGTGGTTCGTCCTCGAATCGTGCCAGTGGTGCAAGAGGGCCGCTCATGAGGATGATTGCGTTTGTGCAACACTTTCGCGAGACGCATCAGCTTATACAGGCCACCAACATTGCACTGCCAGAACGCATGAGCCCTGCTCTAGATCGGTAAGTGAATGTAACGTGTCAGTTAACGGCCACCTGCTCCGTGGACTTAACCATCTATATCCAGCAGATGCTTGACACAACAAGTAGACCAGTGTTGTCACTTCTCTGTTCGAGTATTACTCATCTTCGTGCAAACCTCTACGTGTTGCTGATTCGATACTCCCTCCCAACAGCATTTTGCATCTCGGGTTTAGGCTTGATTTTGAGCCAGTATTGACCAATTACAACGCACGCGAGTCAAGACCGTTCCTTCCGCTGCATCCGAAATGCATAAAATTAAAGATGACGTAGGAACCATTTTCTTCTGCCTCAAAGCCACAGCGTCACCACTGTCTATTCGCACACGGCAACACATTACCGCTGAGCACGACACATTCGCACTGTGCTGGGATGTGCTTCTTTCATGGTTAATACCGGCGGCTTTATTGCTCAGCACTTGATCTGTAAAACTCGTCGCATGCATGGTCGATCTGTGCCTGCACCTCTGTTGAAGGCTCGGATGATGTCGTTGTCGCATTCGTTTCAACCGGCTCACGGCTGCGGATTTGAGGATAAGCTTTTCCTGCTAAACGCATTTTATAGACATGGGTATGACATAGTACTGTGTATACCACGCAATAACCACATTTTCTCCTTCCTCTGCAGTATACCTCATTCGCTTTCCCATTCAACCTGTCTTCGTCACTACAAACACCATCCACCGCTACCTGCTGCCATCTTCAAACAAACATTCATCGGCACGCGATAGTGCTCGTGCTTCACCTTTGAGATACCTCCTCCTCATCTACCACATCGCATCAATAATCCACAGTCAACATGGCGATACTAATATCGTGGTGGATATTTCCCTTCATATCCTCCCTGATGTGGCTCAGTATGCTGCTTGGCCTTCTCCTCGAATGGGTCACCAATGGCGAAGCACATCTCCCATCGATGGAGCCAAGTCAAACGATAGCCTACATCTCTGATACGGGTGCTTTCAATTTGAAGCCACTCTTCATCGCCGGCTCCTTCGTAACCGTCATCTTCCTCGACATCGGCTTTTTCGCAGAGCGTTGGCTGAGGCACACGGGTCGGTTGGCAAAGAACACCAGCCGTACACAGAAGGCTTTGAGCGTTCTGTCGCTCTTCTTTGCGCTGATTGGTGCAGCTGGATTATGCCTGCTGAGCATCATGGACACCTACCGCCATTCGCGCATCCACAATCTCGGTCTGGGATTGTTCATCATCGGATATGTCATTTCTGCCATCTTCCTCTGCGCAGAGTATCAAAGGCTCGGCATTCACTACCGCCACCACAGGGTCCTAGCAGCTTCTTTCTGGGTCAAGCTTGCCTTCATCGTCATTGAGGTTGCCCTGGCGATCGCTTTCATTGTACACTCTTCAGTAACTCACGACTGGAATACTGCAGCTATTCTCGAATGGGCGGTCTCTTTCGTCTTTACCTTCTACATCATGTCCTTTGTTATCGATCTACTTCCTTCCGTAAGAACGAAGAGCCACATCCCTCAGGGTCACAAGGACATGATCATGGCTGAGAGTGGTATGCCACTTGGGGATCGACAACGATTCAGCCAGTCAAGTACCACATATGAGTCGAATCTGGTCAACGACAGCGCAGGGCCAAACCAGCCAGGTGCCAAGTATGAAGTTCCTGCTGGAGCACCAGCGCCCAGGCGTGGGTTGCCAAGGTTGTTCTCGAATTTGGCTTAAAACTATTTCCTGTTTCAAAATCGAAGGAGTGTTGTGAAATGGTTGTATAGCGCCAATACCAGCAATGAGCTACGAAGGAGTTCTTGGCGGACAGGCTTGGATTCAGCATTTTTAGGTGTTAGCATTCTTGCATTGGGAAAGACTACATGGAAGATTCAGTCGCGAATTTATAGACAATTTAATACTTCTTCAACATATTGAGCGTATCATTAGAGCTGAAGCTGCTTTGCAGTATCACGACTATCGCACATTCAAGCTCCTATGTGTTGCCGCCCTATCACCATGAAGACCAGATTTGAAATTTTGCCCACTGCCACTATTTGCCTTCAAGCCTTTTCCCATTACTATACAGAAAGACTTGCGAAAGCGCCGTGGCCATGAACATCTCAGCCTCATGACCCAACCCTCCCCATCACCTTCCACCTCGCCTCCCTTCCCTCCTCCGCCAGCACTCCCGCCCCACTCAACGCCCTTCTCATGACCCTATCCTCCCCAATCGCCCTCCCAAACCACCCCAACGCCGCCACAGTCCTCTCCTCCCCATTCACCCCCCTTAACTCCGGCGGTAACATCAACACCATCCCCCTCGGCACCTCCGCCCCCACCATTTCCAGCACTATACTTCTCCACCGCCTACACACGTGCATGCAGCGGATGATCGAAAAATCCATGATGCGACTACTGGCTTTTAGGAAGAGTTGGGCGTGGGGTTCGAAGAGGAAGGTTTGGAGGTAGGATTTGAGGGGGAGGATGCCGAAGGCGTGGTAGAGGTGGGTGAAGATTAGGTGGAGGATGTCGTAGGGGAGGGTGGTGATTGGGGTCATGGTGGGGCAGGTATGTGTTGATTGATGATTGGTGACGGATAGTAGAGCTTTGTGGATTTTGAGAGGATAGTGGTATGTATGTATGTATGTATAGTGGTGGAGTCGCCTTGTGTTTGGAGAGAATAAAATCGCGTATTTTTTAGACGATCGAAAAAGACCTGGAGCCACGGATCAGGAATAGGAGCAATTGAGCATCAATGTGTATCGTATGTGTATAGGTAAATTCTTTCTATGATTTGCAGCTACTTGTGTCACTACGAGGATGTCCACACACTATGTCGTAGCTTTGTGATGGGGCAAAACACCTGACTGCGCGATCTTGCCTGCTCACCACTCGCCCATCTACAAACACTCTATGTATACAATGACTTCTGCCAGAACGTACATCGTTCATTGACTGTTTCATCCCTCGCCAGCCCAATTGCTGGTACGACACTCGTCGGACTGGTGACAGTGTAGTTCAACATCATCAGTGTCGCATTGTTACCCTGCACTGGAAAGTAAGGCACAGATCCACCGGCACTATTCAGGCTCGGTCTATTGGGGTCTGCGGTCATCGCGAAGTTGGTAATGTATGTCTGCAGCGCATTTGCAACAGGTGCATATATTCCTTGCGACAGATTCGTTCCCTGGCCTTGGTAAAAGGTACTGTAGATATCTTGCCCATGTAGGGCTGGCGGAACAGCGAACTGGTAGTTGTGCGTCTGGTTGTTGTATGCACGAGCGAGATAGTTTGTGTTGCATGAGAAGACTGACTCTGTGACGAGCTTGAGAGTGCGGTCTATTGGGCTTCTCCAGGGATATGTACCATTGTAGACTGCTGGGTAAAGTGTATTGACGATGTAATTGACGATCTGAGGAGTGGCTGTATGATAGGTGCTTGTAATGTAGGCAGTCAGCTGGTCGTCAGTCTGTACATAAGGAGGCGCAAAGAGAGGACTTTCATTCGTATTGTGGCCTGGCATGACAGAGATGTTCTTGGCATACGAGATATTGGTAAGCAGACTTAGACCCGGCTGAGCAGGCACGAAGACGCCGTCAACGGTAGGACCAAAGATGTATGAACCATAGTTTGCATTGTAGACAGTGAGAAGGTTGGCACGCACGACAGCCGCCGAGGAGGCTGCACGAGCTTCCGCCAAAGAGGAGACGTTGAGGTTGCGGAAGAATATATTCGTGTGGTTCTCTTGCGTGTACTGGTCCGAGACTGGTAGCCAACCCGGTGACTGTGGGATGGCACGCTGGAAAGAAACCGGTCTTAATCCGCCGTAAGCTGTTATTTGGTGCATGATACTGCCGCCACCAGCAGATTCGCCTATCAATGTAATTTGATTTGGATCACCACCGAAAAGGTGGATGTTTTGCTTGACCCACTCAATGCCCAGCCTTTGGTCATATAGAGCTGCATTTGAAATGCCACCTTGTCCTTGGAAAGATGGTCCTGACAACCAGCCTAAGGCTCCAAGGCGGTAGTTGAGAGCGACGTAGACAATACCTTGTCCACCGTTGGCGAGGGAAGCATTGATCAAGCCAGAGGGATTGTAAATTCCACCTTGCTGCTTAGAACCAGCTACATAACCACCACCATATATCCTGCCATTTGTTAGAACGAACGTGGAGCACACCAGAGAATACGTACCAGATTAGAACAGGAGCACCTGGTCCACTAGCTCGTTTGCGACGCATACTGTTTGAGTTTGCGTTGTCAAAAATAGGTCTGGGTACTACCACGTCGAGGAACAAACAATCCTCTGTTTCTTGGGGACTGGGTTGATATGGGGCAGCTGTAGCTGCGGCTGCTTGTGCAGCTGCCACGGCTGCTGTGTAGTTAAAAGTGGACGCGTTGCCTGCTGCGAAAGCCGCTGCAAAGGCATTGCCTACTGGTGACCATCCGGGCAGAGCTTGGGGACAGATAGGACTGAAACTGCCATTCTGAACCACAGGATTGCGACCAGTCGGGGCGACAGGTGCTGCGAATCTAAGATCACCAACCGGTGGTTGCGCGAAACGAATGTTGTTGAAATTGTATGTATTGGATCGGTTCTGTAGTCTTAGTCTCTGCTCCAGGCTTAGCTCTTTCGAGACTTACATTAAATGAAATTGCTTGATGTATCTCATAGCCTAGATCAACCTGAGGAAGCGATTGCGACACAGCTTGTGCTGCGAAGAGAACGGCACTCGCCGTAGCGATGAAGCTCTTCATAGTGGCAGATTAGGTTGTCGAACCAAGGGAGAACACACCTTGCAGCGACCAGGACTCACCGGCAGGGAACTTCCAATCCATATTAAATACTTCTTATGCTGGAACTACTCGTAGCTCTCCGGGTCGGACACAACAGCTTCTGTGGAGCATATGGAGGCCTTGAGGTTTAGTAATCCGTGATTCGCTGCAACACGCAGTTCGTCATTAGGCTTCTCGTATTACACTCGAGTATGGAGGCCAATGTTGTCCACTTCCAAGTCTATTCGCAAGCGTTGAGCTTAGCCAAAACTTGCATCTACACGCACACTGCCCAATGTCAGCCATGGCCGTTGATGCAATTGTACTTCAATATCTTTGCGAAACCGGGTGTTGATTCTTCAGCCTTGAAGACCTTTTGAAATGGCAACAAACACTGCAAGAGATAATTCAGTCGAGGTACAAGCGACCAAGTACTCCCTGCTAGAAAGTGCATGCATGAGGTCATGAACAAGCTCGATTGAGTGACATCCGCTCTGGGGAAGGAATCGTGGGGAGGTCGCAACCTGACAGTACTAGCCACTTTTGGCACAAGATCCGAGAAATGCGACAAGCAGAAGATATCCTCAGCATGCATGTTTATTTCAGGTAATGGCGGCATCCTTACAGAGAATGCACTATTCTCGAGACACGGCTATTGACACGGGGAAAGATGTACCCTGCCGATATTCATAATGTTACTGTATATCTTTGTGAATGCACTGACATGCACTGGCAGAGTGCAGCTGGAAGAGAACCAACGTCCATCTCTCTGATCAATGGTGCCTCACTCGCGCGATAGACATGTCCATGATCACAGAAAACAACCTGTTCGTTCGGCCTTGAGAAGTACGTACCTTCCGAACCATGTGGTAGTGGATAGTCGAATTAGCATCGAGCCGAGGTCTACACAGTGATACAAGACTTGGATGACGAGACGAGCTCACAGGAGTCAGCTATCCACATCATGAGCATCAGTGGCAATCAGAGATGTGCGCAGCCTAGTAATGCAAACCAGATATGTAACTGCTGACATGCATCAATTGTCAATAGGCCACACATGTTTTGATATCAGCACTTCTTCGGCACAACAGCAGACAGTGAGGAGGTCTGAGTTGCAATTTGACATCCGTGCTAGGTTCGCCTTTTCCAAGACGTATATGTTCAAACAGGGTATCATTGCTATACATGAAGAGTATATGTACCGTAAGGAAGCCTTGCAAGGACCACGAAAATGTCAAAGCTCTTGATGGGCCACTGGACTCGAAGTAATCCTTGGTCCGTCGTGGGAAACGAAGTCCTGTTTAAGCTGACCCCAATTCGACGGCATCAAGTCCTTGAAGATGAGATCGAATCGAGCACCAAGAGCCCACGCGGTGAGTGTCTAAAAGGGTTAGCTAAGACCTTGATAGCGAGCCGAAGACAGCTTACCATGCTTCCGAAAACAACAACTATCAGACCCATCACCATTAAAAACAAGTAGAGTGAGTCCCACCACTGCGCATCGTCTTTCTTGTCATCTTTCTTTGGAGTAACAGCACCAAGACCGAGCTTGCGCTGTAACTCACCCTTTGCGACTATTTCCTTGACATTTGCTGAAGGGAAAATAGATTCAATGAATTGTTCGATTTTCCCACAAGCGATGCTAATTTTGAGGAAGTTGGGATCCTGTGGCACATTTTTGCGTCGTATGATACGTGTATATTTCTTGAATACATCGCATACAACTTGAAGGTTCTGTGTTGATTCCAACATCAATTGACAGGCCTCTCCTTTGGTGATCTTGACATTTCTCTCAAACATTTTTGGATTCCTGAAACAAAGTGCTAATGTTGCGATTGCCATCGATTGTGGTATGGCGCAGAAATTGAACACACTCTGCTCGCGCAGGCCAGCGAGGTAAAAAAGGCATTCGTCAGCGTGGTCGAGAGCATTGAGAACCATTTCAGAGCTGCAATTGAGAGCAATCTCTCGATTTTCGGGCTTCAGAAGGTCACTAAAGTTGTCCACGTGGTTCGACCAGATTTCTCTCGGCCAAAACCGTCTATTATCCTCGAAATCCTCCTTGATGTCTCGAATGATATTGGTCTTTTGCAGAAATAAACCCATGGACACCTGCAAGTGAGGTCGATCGAGCAAGGCCGGGTTGCCAAACTTGCTTTCAACGAACATGCTTGTTAAGCCCTCGCCAACAAGACCCGCGACATAGTAGCAATACATGTCGTAGTCCCTGATCGTGTCCACACCCTTCTCATTAAATTCAGCATTCAAGCAATAGTCGGCCATACCATTTCCCATTCTCTTCGTGATGTCAGCAATAATATCTCTGTACTCTTGCTTCTGCTGCTTGAACTCTCGTACGACGCAGTCGAAGTGGACGAGTAAATCTCTATCCTTCTCCTCTGGCCTGTTCTCTGTATAGTTCCAACCATCAAGCTCTAGGTAGGTATAAAAATTCCTCAAGGTTGGCTCTTTCTTTTTGGCTGATATTGAAGTATCGTCTTCGATAGTGTCGAGACCACGGAGGATGAGGTAGAAGAGACATACTGGCATTAGAAGTTCAGGATGGAGCTCTTGTATCACAGCAGCGAAGCTTCTGCTCGTCTTATTGAGGTAGTGGAAGCACTTCTTTTGGTTTTCTGTCTCTTTGGTCTCGTCTCGTTCGTGCACAGCATTGTGCCATGTCTTCCACTGTATTATCGATCGCAACTCCCCAGGATGTGTCAGGTAATACACGACGCTGGATGCCGAGGGCATTTTTGCACGGGGAGGATATACTGGGTCAGATGGGTGGGCTATGCTATCGCATGAGGTGTGCACAAATTTTGATTACACCTTCATAGCCTTTAAAGCTTGAAAGAGTAGAAGTGAGCTGAATGAAAATATGTATGACAACCTATGTACACACAGACTCTCACTCCGATCCCAATCTCCGTTGCGACTGCTGCCTCTGTAGCCCACAGAATTGGCACAAACGGTTGGAGCAGGAGCGGTCGCGACGCGGCGGCCAGACTCGTCCGAGTGGCACGATCCAATTTGATTCGTGGATGCATTATTGCCTCAGGCAGGACAAGTTCTATTTGAAAGCCTTAAGATGATGTCGGTGGTAAGGCCGCCAAATTTGCTACTAGGGTAAGAAGCCACAAGCTGCGGCGTGTGCGTACGTCAACCGCCGCTTGTTTAGTTGTGTCACATTTTTATCAGGCGGTCGCAGGCTGAAGATTGTCATATGCTCATCTCAGAGCCACATGTATTGCTTTGATCTGCATACATTTCTAGCAAACAGTCTGCTTTAACCTCAACTCGTATCGACTATAGCATCAGCCTTCTCTCTTATGCGCCGTTTCTCATAGAAGCCACTCATCCATCGTTGCCCGACAGAAGATCGTCTATTGCTTGAAGTGGGCAACATGGTGGTAGACACGGAATACTACGATGCTCTAGGCGTCAAGCCGGACGCATCTGAGCTGGATATCAAGAAAGCCTATCGCAAGCTTGCTATCACTACCCATCCAGACAAGAACCCTGGCGATGAATCTGCACATGAGAGGTTTCAAGCTATTGGCGAGGCCTACCAGGTACTATCAAACAAAGATGCCAGAGCGCTGTACGACAAGTACGGAAAGGAGAAAGCTATGCCTAATGAGGGCTTTGAAGACCCATCAGAGTTCTTCAGCATGATCTTCGGAGGGGATGCATTCGTTGACTTGATCGGCGAACTCACGCTATTGAAGGACTTAACACATCAGATGGATCTCGCGACAGAAATGGAAGAGCAGGAAAATTTAGCCGCTCAGGCTGATGCCAAACTCAATATCAACGAGAAGCAGGAACAGGCAGCCGCTCAACACTCTACTGGACAAACGACTAACACTACGCCTGCTTCAACGGGAGCTACACCAATGCCGGCTTCTGTATCTACAGAACATCCAGTAACGAACGCAGCTGCTCCTCAATCCTCCACCTCGGGAACATCCACACCTAGGCAGAAACCAAGATATCCCACTCAAGCCGCGCTTATGGATAAATCTGAGGAAGAAGCCCGCATGGATGCAGCAGGCCTGTCTCCTGAAGAGAAGGAACTCAAGAAGAAGCAGAAAAAGGGTGGTCTGACACCGGAGCAGCGAGAAAAGCTTGCGGCATATGAGCGTGAACGTCAACAGAAGCGACAGGAGCGAGTTGACACTCTGGCTCGAAAACTCATCGATCGTATCTCAGTATGGACAGAAACTGATAAAGGCCCTGAGGTGACCAAGGCTTTCCAGGAGAAGATTCGACTTGAATCGGAAAACCTTAAGATGGAGTCGTTCGGTATCGAGATTCTCCACGCTGTGGGCTACACCTATATCGCAAAGGCCACATCCTTCTTGAAATCACAGAAATTCCTTGGCATCTCAGGTTTCTTCAGCAGATTGAAGGACAAGGGTAATCTAGCGAAAGAGACCTGGAATACAATCTCCACAGCCATCGACGCTCAGCTGACCATGGAAGAAATGGCTAAACTCGAAGAAGCCGGTGGCGCAGACTGGACCGACGAGAAGAAAGCAGAGTACGAGCGGAAAGTGACTGGCAAAATCCTGGCTGCAGCATGGAGAGGTTCTAAATTCGAGATCCAGGGTGTTCTACGGGATGTCTGCGACAAAGTGCTGAACGACAAATCCGTGAAGATGGAGAAGAGAGTAGAACGAGCACATGCAATGGTATTATGCGGCACAGTATATCAGAAAGCAGCCAGAGATCCAGATGAGGAGGGTGACTACATGGCCTTCGAGCAGTTAATGGCGGAAAGCATGAAGAAGAATGAAGACAAGAAAGACACTAAGAAGAAGAAGGACGAGAAGCACTCTCATGGTGTATTCGGTGGGCACGGCAAACAGTCAAGTACCGCTGAGGCTGGAAAGACGAGTACATAGGATGACTCGTATGTCCATGTTGAAGCTGAGCAGGATGTAGATTCTGCAAAACACCCTACTGCTGCTCTCGGCGATCAGAAGAACAACCCACCACGAAACAATGATGCATCAACCGAAGGAGAGACTTCAGTTCAAGCCTCAACCACAGCCGTCAAAGACTTCGAGGTAGTATGAAGGGCAACCCTATTACCAGTGACAAGTCCTCCTTCAAGGTTGAATAGCTTTACCACCATAAACCCATTCACGGCGCCACTAGCGACGCATTCACACTCCGATCGTGATGCTCTTGTATACCTCCTGAAATACCTAAACAAAGGCGTCAGCCATGATATGCAGGCGCACTGAATTATACAGTAAATGGCATTCGTGGCTCGACACTTCGATAGACATGGGGTTCCTGGAGCGTCCAAGGCAAGGGTGATGTGGTTAGTACAATCTACACAGCAGTGGTCTCGTTGTCAACTACAATTTGTCGTTCAGCACGTTCTGCCTTCCAGAATAGTGAGTCGGTCCGTGCTGGAGATGCACGACCTACTTCGGCTGGGTCTATGCGCGGTGGTTGCACATGCTATCTGGTTCGTAGCATTATCTTTCTAAAGGACTGCCATGGGACGGTTGATGGATGAGTCGAGAGATCGGAGTTTCAGGTAGTAACGGTTACTAAAGTGTATAGTGTTACAAGAGCGCAAAGTATTCAGTGTTGTTATTCGTATATCACATGCCGGGGTATCATTTGTCTCGCCTACTATTGCATATAGTCGAGGTTGTCTCATCGCTGCTCGTGGACGTACTCAGGCATTCTCACTTCTCATCTGCATCGGTGGAAACAGTGTCCTTCTCGATCAGCTGTGGAATGTTCTCGTACTTCTCCTCTCCCTTCAATATCTTGTACACAGCAGTAAACAATGGGAAGTCCTGCTCCAATCCCTGACTGCGTAGAAAGGTATACACTTCCTCCGCGGTGCTTACGCCTTGTAGCTTTTGTCCATTCAATTCCCGATCCTCTATCTCTGAGATTGACTTCCCCTCCACCACACTCATCTTCGCACATCGATGGTTGCGTCCGCCCGAGCATGTAGTAATCAGATCTGCAACACCAGCGGATTCCTCCGTGAAAGTCTTGGTCTGGATAGTCTTGCCGAAGAAGCGTTTTCCGAACTCAACCATTTCGAGCAGCCCTACTCGCATGATGGCTGCTTTGGCATTATCGCCCCAACCTAGTCCATCGACCCATCCAGCAGCCAGAGCAACAATGTTCTTTAGAGCACCGCTCAAAGAAACACCTGCGACGTCTGATACCACACGGACGTGGAAGTATGGTCTATGGAAGAGTATCTTCATTGTGACATGATCTATCGCAGCATACTCTGAGGCCAGAGGTGTGAGTTTAACTTTCGAGGGCTTTCCGCTAACGTCTTTGTGCTGGTCGAGCTTCGTGAGGTCTAGCTGACTAGCAGCAGGTGACCGATTGGGTGGTGTTCGAGCTGGCGTTGGTGCCTGCGAGTCGACAGGAGGAGGGTCATATGCTATTGTCGTCTCGCACCACTTCTCCTGTGCCACCTCGTTTGCAATATTGGCGCCGGACAGTGCACCACAGTATATTCCTAGTTGTTCTCCTATGACTTCTGAGAAGAGCCTAATCTCGGATTCTCTGACGTCCACGCCTTTGATGCATGATATTCCTCGAGCGAAGGGTAAAATAACACCTTGTATCTGCTTACAGAGTCCCTTGATGAATTGATGAGGAAGGTTGAATATCAGAATGGTCGAGCCTTTGACCGCGTCTTCGATCGAGGGATTTGCAACGACATGATGAGGTAATTTAATGCCAGGGAGGTACTTGACGTTCTCGTGTTTCTCGTTGATCAACTCTGTAAGCTTCTTGCCCTCTACTTGCTCTTCATATACCCACATCTGGACCTCCTTCTCGAAGAGGTCCGGGTTAGCGGCAGTGTTCTCGCCAACGACTTTGGCAATCGTCGAACCCCTATCTCTGATCAGTGAGAGTCCGGAGCGTAGATGCTTGCACTGACCAATTTCCCGAACCTACAATCGTGACTTTGTGCTTCTTATGAGCTCCTAAGGTAGCCATGGTCGCTGATCTGGGTTGTGAGAAGGTAATTCTACCTTTATTCAACTGTTGCTGAGCAAGCTGTGACAGTCGAAAAGCAGTGCGTAGGGACAACGAAGTGGGCACACGTGTGATACAGAGCAACATCAACTGGACGGAAATTCAATGGTAGCAAGGAAAGTGTTGTCCTCTAGCACAAAGAAGGAAAATTGTTGATTGTTGAATCTGCAGGCGCGACCGAGTGCACCAACGTCATCTTGGGTACGGCTAACCTATCTCCTACAGCGCTTTTCTGCAAGGAACAGCCTAGCTCGAAGAACAGTCTTGCCGCCATATAAGGAATTTCTGATTTCAGTGTTGTCGACGTACTGTCCTTGATAGTAATGTCGCAAAAGCATCTTGATATGACACCGATATTACCACAATGCAAAAGTACCTTGGAACTGGTCATGAAGCATGTGGGACATCGGCGCTACCGAGGCCCGGAGCGAGAGGAACCCTGCAGGAAACATTCACTTGCGCTAGTGGGAGAAAGTAGTACATGGCATAATTTACAGCGTCAGAATCGCAAGATCTCCTTTCTCACAAAAGTTGGTCTGCAAGCTAGGACATTTGGACAAGAAAGGACACTACTTCAACTGTCCACGCGCGACATACGTGGAATAGCCCCCAGAATCAAGTGAAACTACGACGCGTTCAATGTATCGGCTGGTGTGAAGGAGCAGGCAAAGCTATATATCTTGAATCAAGATGATATGACCGTATTTTCTGCTTTGACGTTTTGTATAATCGACGACATGTATCATGTGCGAGAGGTGTGCACAGTTGCTTGCTATTACCGATTGGACAGTGCAACGGTGCAAGCAGATTGGCACAAGTGACCAACACAATCAGCAGCGAAAGCTGTGTTCTTTATACGGAAAAGCTGTTACTAACCTTAACCATACCACTGACTGATTCTAGGATACTTTTACACCTTGCTTGACACACTTGAAAACCTGAGCCAAAATATGCACAAAACTATTCTTCCAGGCTGTATTGCCTGTCCGCTACTCTACTTCGACACAAACGCCAAAGCAGAGACTGCAGCAGCAAGTGGAACGAGCCTTGAAGATCATCAGCGAACACATAGAAGTCACGGATTGGAAACCGATGTGGTATAAGTGGGGAGACAGGTTGACACAACCAGGCGGGACATTCATGGACATACCTGAGTCCGATCACAACATCAATAACTGGCTTTCATCTACACAGCGGGGCAATGGCACGACGACCGACCCACGCACTGCATCCCAAGATACTGCGGTCTCACTTCCGTTACCTCAACCTGCACAGGTCAATTTTACACCTGTAGTACAGGATGTCATTCAATCGCAGTTCGACCCATCTCTCTTCGAGGGGGCTCATACTATCCCGCGACGGCAATATACTACTGTCTTAGCCTTCGCAAGGAGGAAGATACATACAACCCACTTGCTCTTTCAACTGGCATCACCGTATCCCACTGGACGATGCAGCAGTTGACGGCCATTACGGCACACATGTGCAGCAATCAGCAGTGCGAACCTGCCGCACCGATGGGCCGGATCCTCGCGACGTGTTGGATCATCTACATGAGCGCAGTGTGCTGCTGACAGCGGAAAATTCTAGACTACTATCACTCCTGCAGCAGAACGGTTTGAGGCACTCCTAATGGTACATCACACCTCGTTGGTGGCATAAACGCGACTGCTTTTTACGATCGTTGGTATGAGGGTCGCGTATCAGAGTCAAGACTATAAGGAGTAGGCACGGTGAAGGAACATGAAGGACAGCATTAGTATTCATACACTCTAACAAGAACATATAAGGAGAAGATAAGCTATCAAACCTTTACACTAACACTGCAGCGTCTTCGTGCTACTATACATGTTGATTAGGATGTTCGCCATCGTCACCACCAACGGGCTTTCGGATCCAAAGTTTTTCCAGTGGTTGTGTGAGGTTCGGATTTATGTACCTTAGCCCAGTATCTGGGTCAGTGTCGACAGTTCGACCGCCATCCGTAGCTCTGTCCCAAGCTGATTCAGAAGGCTCGGGCAACGGTGGCTGCCATCTTCGGTCAATGCTTCGCAATGCGATGAAATACATTAGAGGAAAATATGTTCGCTGGAAATAGATGGTGAACCACATAGTCGCCAGAATCAGCGGCACAATCAGAAGTGCTTGCGAGAAAGCTTGTGACGCGGCCAGGTAACCCGCCATAGCTATGTGGAAAATAATCAGTCCCAGGAAAATTCTGTTGCAAATCATAGGCCAGATCTGTCCCGTAGAGTGCTTACTATGCTCCATGGCATACAGGAGCTGGTATTTATAGATGAAGGAAGCAATGATGAAGTAGATCAGGCCAAAGAGAGTAACTAGCCATGCCGTCGGTAGAATACTGTACAGAATGCAGACCACGAAGATCAGCATGGATTGAGGTAGGTAGTAGCCGTATTGAAACATCGGCGCCTTCATCAGCTCAGCGTGGTCACGTGGTGTTTTTGCTGAGAGTAGATAGAAGGGGTAAAGCGCGACCGAACCGAATTCGAGTAAGCGGAATGGAAGCAGTCCTAGACCTTGAAGAATGATCAAGTTTGCATAGAATCTCCAGAGTTTGGTCATCGATGCCGCAACTAGAAAGGCGACGACTGAAGTGTCTTTCAGGACCTCCTGAACCTTTTTGTAAAAATCGTAGAACTGGCTGACAGAACTGAATATAGTGAAGACGACGAATAAGTTGAAGAAGACAAAGAAAAAGTTCTTGGATACCAGTGACAGCTCGACCTCCCCCTGAGAAGTCATGCCCTGCTGGTTGGACATCCAGTCATACAGGTAAGGCACTCCGACCGAAAGCAATGTGAAGTAGAGTGTTGGTAAGGTTGTCTTGACAAGTGGATTGGCGATAGGATGTTTGGCTTGAGCATCATCGTCTTTGAGACCTGGAAATAATCTGTTGGTTATGGTGTCGCTGATGAGCGTCGCTGGTGGCACTAAAAGCACTGCCCAGAACACAGTCAAGAACCCGACAACGAGCATAATGGTCCACGCTCTTGCCATACGGTGGTTGCGTGACAGGTAAGTGTTCTTCCAGACAACATCGGCAGGTGCTGGAGCTGGGGCGGCGAGCAGCTGACGCGGTACAGGGTCTAGCTTGGCTTGTATGGCCATCTGGCAGGCAGCTGTGGATTCCATGGTAACGAAAGCTAGAGGCGTTGGTGAAAACTCCTGCTTCCGTAGCTCGACAATCTGTTTATCATAGCGTCGAAGCTTCTCTTCAAAGTAATCGATAGCGTCGGTGTTCTTGCGCTGTAGTCTTAGGAAACCGTACCAGATGGTGTGCTGGGGCCTCTTTCGTGTCGAGAGGTGAGATCGATGCTGCTCAATCTCGTGATGGCTCAAGAGAGCAGTGGTGTCTTGGTCATCCTCTAAGGAGGTGTGCCGATGCTGCCTGCGATCTGAGCCTCTCAAATGACTGAGACCTAGATAGGTGGCATAACTGCTCTCTAGCTTTCGAAGACATTGCGTACGCTCTTCTACCAACCTATCAAGCCTTTGCCAATTCCTGCATAGGATGACGCTGTCAACCTTGCCAATACCTAATTCCTCTACGAAAGCCTTCAGCTTCTCTTCAGATCTTAAATTAGGTGGAATGCCGGAAAGTCGAATGGTTCGATCAGTCACGGTATTTTGTGTTCCTAAGAACGCTTGTCTTGTATGGATTATAAATTTTGTCTCGTCGACCAGCAAATATAGAGCAATCCCAGTGAAAAACCATGCGAAGACAAGATACATCCAAAGGTAACTGCCATATGGTTGGAATCGTACACCACCAATGATCGGTGTGTCGGAGTCTTCGACGGAAGTAAAATCGTACGGCACTTCCCACGCCGCGGACGAAGTATCATTAAAGGTCTGGTTCGTACCATTTGGACAGAGGCCAGGAATAAAGCAGACGCCAGTATATTGGTAATTCACGGGCAGGATGACTGTAAGAGCAAAGAACAGAGTTACTGAAAGGTATCTTGTAGCGTATCGAAAAAAGGTGAGGAAAGCCAAAGCATCAAGACCAGCCGATGCCAGTACTTCTTCTCTTGAAATGTTGTATAGCACAGGTATCCAACCCAGGAACGACTTAGGTAATTCGGGCAGGCGCGCGGCGGATTGAGATTGCTTCTTCCTTGCGTTGTAGAGTTGTGTCCATTTCGGTCTAAGAATACAGAAGGCAATGAAAGCACTCAGGCCAAACGCAGCTGAAATGACCAGTTGCACACCGAGGAATCGTTGGTTCTTGGTCTGGTCTGACCAGAGAGGCGGACGGGACGGCACTGTCGCGTTACCAGAGCCATTACTTCCATTACTAAAAGCAGAGAAGCTCAGCGACATGGCTGCCTGTATTGGAGGTGTTGCTGCATACATCTCGTTCGCGGCATGTTAGATCTCGATGGCCGATATAGTAACAGACGAGGCGACGGTCGATTGACGTTTCTTAGGAAGTTGACGTGATTGATATTGCACTGGGTCTCTCGTACGATAATGGGGCACACTATACGCCCAGGTCAACAGAGCCACCTAGGTAGTAGTGAAAAGCACGAACGTCGAGACATACTGCCTATTGTGTCCGTCATAGAATTGGTTACAAAAGCGTATATGTTAGGCATGCAGGCATTAGCTACGGACATGCACAACCCGTCCGCAGGCTCTACGGTCAACCAGCAAGCTGGAAGCTGTAGTGGAGTGGGTGAAGCTGCCGGTTATCAGGCATAATAGCATAGGAAGTCACGGGCAAAACATGACCACTCCCACTTCACCAATCAAAGTGCTCGGAATCCTGGTTGAACTTGCCAAAGCTCGAATTCAGAGCACTTCTGGACTCAATACAGACATCGACGACTCTCTTCTCCCATCCTGGACATCCGGTATCCCTAGCATCCTCTCAGCGCATCCGAGAGTGCTTCAGCTGTCTACATCGTGTGATTGCCATCTCATCACGATGTGGGCGACTTCGGCAGCACGTACTGCCTCCCTGAGAGCTGCGCGACAATTTGTACAGAGGACCACAACTGTCAGTCAAACCTTCTATCCCTGCGAAACGTCTCGGGAAGCACCGATGTGAAATTCAGAGTCCGGGACACTTTGCTAACTAGCAACAACAGCGCCATGCCTCGACAAAGCCTTCAGAGGCTGCTTCACCCTTCTATCTCACAGCAACTGCATCAGGTGCAACGGCGGCAACGGTAGCTTTGGCAGCGTACTACTACCAATTTGTCGCCCAAGATACATTTGCTATGACACCAGCTGAAGAGGGGTACGGCAAAGCCCAAATATTAAACGAAGAGGCAAAATTAACACTTCCTTAGTCTACATGCTACCCACTATCCTTGGGAACATCAGAAATGGACAAAGACCTTCGATCATGCAGCGTATGTATCACTTAGTGAAACTAGAAGAGCTCGCGATTGACCCTCTCACAGACTCCGAAGAGGATTTTTGGTATACCGAGAAGTTTGCGCCTCATGCCACTCCATCAAGAGGATACCATACAGAAAATTGGTCGGTACCTTCATGACCGTCGACGAAGCCAAGGCACTTGCAGAAGAGAACGAGTATGATACTGAACCAAACGACGAGGGTGAAATTGAGAAGCGACCTGGCAAGCTCTCAGATTACATGGTAGCACCATACAAGAACGACGAAGCCGCACGAGCTGCCAACAATGGTGCTTTGCCACCTGATCTATCGCTGATCGTCAAGGCCCGACACGGAGGTTGTGATTACATCTTCAACTTGCTTACTGGCTATCCAGAAGAACCACCTGCTGGTGCAACCGTCCAATCCGGCCTAAACTTTAACCCTTTCTTCCCTGGTACTGGTATTGCTATGGCCAAGCAACTTTACGATGGCTTGGTCGAGTACGAGGACGGCACACCTGCAACTGCATCGCAGATGGCCAAAGACGTCACCGAATTCCTGAACTGGACTGCCGAGCCGGAGATGGATGACAGAAAGAAGATGGGTTGGAAGACACTAATCATCACATCTGCTCTGTTCGCGCTATCCGTGTGGGTCAAGAGATATAAATGGTCACCAATCAAGACAAGGAAGATCAAGTATCAGCCACCACCAGAGACAAGAATGCGCCAAGGCGTCTCGTCAGGTAACGACTTCGGCCGTGGTATCTAAAGCGACCTTCGTTGTGCATGGCGGTCTTGGTTGTGTTGTTGTTAGTCATGATAGAGGTCATGCAAGCGTGGTGTACACGACTTTGTCCCAAGAGACCACTGCCACTTTTGTGTCTTGCGTGTGGTGGTGTCTACGGACGACTTTCTTATGTCCTGTATCATGTGCACATATACTTTGGGAGGAGAGTCAAAATTTCAAACAGTTCGACGTTATCCCAGTTACTTGTGTCCATTCGATGTTTGTACCAGCACTTTACTGATCTGACTCAGCCAACAGGGCAATGCTGAACAGCTATTTTGTAACCAGTGACTACAGCTGTCTTGCACACAGGGACTAGCGCCACATACCATTTCCGCCCTTCCACGTCCACAGATCCTGATCAACTACCATCTCATTATTGCTTTCCTCACTTCGCCATGTGGCGTTTGAAGAGCTCGACAAACCCATTGTGACATCGATCGTTTCACTGTCACCCTGCCCCTCCGCACTCTTCTCATCCCCAACCGACCCTTCTCGAGGTGACTCGTCACACATCAAATCACGACTCGAACTGCGCGCCAACAGCTTCTCACTCTCCCTCTGCCCCTCCTCCTCCCCCTTCTCCTGAATCGTGCTCAACCGCCCATACCCCGGATGTCCCATCCCAGCACTAGGACTTCTATCATCCTTCCTCTGTCGTTTCGAGTCTGAGCTTTGTTCCCTCTGCTGCTGCCCCGTTAAAGCGAGGAACTCAGCCATAGTTTGTTCCCTGTCGTCGTTGTGCGTGATGTTGTCGAGGTAATCGTTATGTTCGGCGATTACTTGTCTTAAATCCTCGATTTCTGATGTTGTTAGACGTTGCTGGCATTCTGCTTCGAAGGAGGCCTTGCGTTTGCGTTTGCGGGCTGCGTGGTCGGAGGTGAGGATGCGGTGGATGAAGGAGAGCATGGTTGAGCTTGTCATGTGAGATGCTGGAGGTGGGTGTTGTGTTGTTGGTTTCTGTCACTGAGAGGGCTAGTCGCGGATTGGTTTTGAAGCTGGTATCCGAATTGTGAGTGATTCGACATGGTGGGCGCACGTAGGTGTCGAGTCTTGGTGACAGTTCTTTGTCTTGGATCACAAACAAAACGTACAGCTCGACTTTGTAGGATCTGCATTGGGTTTCATGTTCTTTGTCTCCCGGCTGAGGCTTAGTTTGTGCTGAGCTGCTGTGGGTGTTAAGAAGCCGGGTTTGGTGGCGGTAAGTTGCGCTTCAGCGACCAAAATTTTCGCTGACTCAGTAATGCAGGCTATGTGTGGGCTAATCGTGCTCGACAGCTCATCTTGAAGCACATTATGCCTATGAAAATGGGTTTGGTGAAGGCTGGCACTCGCGGAACATCGGCGCAGGATCAAGGCGGCTTCTCGTCGGTAATTCTGCGAATGTGAGGTAATAGGTCAAACAATGTGCTGAGTGTTTCATGACATGTACTTGAGTCTGAGTGAAGTCTTACGTTTGCCTCGCGGCAAACTGATAAAGATGGCCGTCCAGAAGAGTATGCTCCGTCGAGGCAGTATCTTCCAAGAAGAGTATTCTGAGAAGTCGCCAATAGTGCAGGTCAAATTGAGTTCAGAAAATGTGCACGACCCTTCAGTTCATTTACAGTTGTCGTCATTCGGCAACTGAGCCTTTCAGAGACGCGCTGTGCCCAAGATTAGATCCTCCGAAGTGCTATACCAACCACAAAAAGCATGGCCTTCCTCAAATTTGTCCGATGTGCGTTCGAGCAGCTGAGGTAGAGATCCGAAGGCAGAAGAGACAGCAGAAAGCTGCAGGCGATTCTTCATCCAACTCGTTCAGTGGCACCTCCACATACACGAAGAATAGTGATCAGACCCTAGACACCAAAGCAACATCACAGGCATCTTCAGTGGCACATACAAGTAACCACTTCCAAAACGACCCGTCGGATGTGAACAACTGGAGCTGGCATGTCCCTCGCCGCTGTTTTACCGATCCTGGTTTTCAGCGTATTGACCCATTTGCGGCAGACCGCTTCAAGCAATTGATCGAAGCTACTGAGCAGAGACGAAGAGAAGCATATGGGCCTGGAGTATGTGATCCAACGAGACAAGGAAGGCATGGTTGGTGGAACGGACAGCAGTGGACGACATCAACAGTACGTTATTCCTTGCCGATCGGACCATGCTGTGCACAGGCGCAGCTAACGAAGTGGTTGAAAGAGCAATCGTCCAAGAAGGACAGAGATCTCGGTCCGCACGATGAGGACCCTTGTTTTTCAGTGCTTTGAAGTTTTGGCCAGAGCTTTATCCTGTGTCTCGTAGGTTGTCCCGTACTGATCGACTTCTGTTTCAACGAGAGGTGAAATGGCTCGGGCGTCGATTTGTTGTTTCCTGAGCTTCATTTATGGCTTCTAAACTCTGCTGCACATGTGCTGCGGAACATGTTGGGCTCAACTTCTATGAATCTCTGCTTTCAACCACCATTCATCAATCCTTCTCTTTCAATCTCTACCTTCAGGTCTTCGTGGTCTTTCAAAGTATCCTTCTTGTCGTCTTCTCCTTCTTCTGCGCAGCCACAATTGTACCAGTCACCAATATCCTTGCAGTCAAATATCTCCTTTCCCTTGCTTACATTGACTTCGTTGTGCACGAAACACGCCCATTGTGCCGCAGCGTTTCTCGATCCCACTTGAGGTGGGTATTTCTTCAAGATTTGCTGGAAATGGCTTGCGCACTCGCCACAAGGGTACAATCGCGCGAAAAGGTGAATATAATCCTTCAGGGCGGCAGACTCTTCGGTTGTAGGGTTTTCTGGAAAGCGAGCCATAGTTGTATGAAACAGTTTCCAGGCTGCTCGACCCAATTCCGCCTTAGCAGTCTCGTTGCCTAACTTGGGGGCGATGGCAGCGCCATGCACATCTGCTGAGGTCGGTGAGGTTGATGAGGCCGTCTCGATCAGAGGTTCAGCAGCCACTACTGTGGAATCAGGCCTTTGATTGTTAAGCTTGAGAGGGTCACTGATTGAGTTCAATCCTCTCATGGGTTGGTTAGTTGCATGATCGCGTGTCCATATGATGAACCAGATGAAGAGGGCGATTGCGGAGAGGACGTAGAAGCCTGGCGGGGGTGCGCGAGGCATGGTTCCAATTTGCACGACTCGACAGTGTTTGCTACTGATGTACCATCGTACTTGTTGCACGAGCTGAGAATACGACCATAGTTGAAATCAGGCAAAGTAGCACGAACGGATCATTCAGAGCCTTATTCTGATTCGTCAGTGCCTGTGGTTATGCTTATTTGCGGTTGTGGCGCCTGTATCCCCCCTGAGCATAAGCGACTCACGCGCTTACTACTCGGCACTATCCCGCATAAAGCAGTTATGCGCATGCTTGCCGAATATCGGCACTTTTGAGGAGGTATGACTACCCATATTCAAATTATATCATCTCATACTCGTTAACACAACAACAGCTTTGTGCAAAAACTTGTACGCGGAATCGAGTTCTAACCTGAATTGTAGATTTGGTGAGTCTTGCATTATTACATACGTAACACATCCAACGTCTGGTCTTTATGGCTTCAATCCTAGCAAAGCAATAAATTCTCACATTCCACATCCACAAGCCAAATCTTCCAGTTGTTGTGTAGCGGTGGGTAAAATTCAAGCTGACAAGGTATTGACATAGCATGTCATACTCGCCCCAGCAACAGCACCCCTGGACGCTGTTACTTTGTACTACCACAAGTCAGACACGACAAACCGCCTAAGGTCCGGTGATACCTTCACTTTTCGACCTGCCAAGACTCTTCTCAGCCAGATCGGGTACCAATTTTACAGAAGACCTATATTCTATCTCAGAGGCAAAAAGCTCAATTCCAAACATGGCTGCCTTTCCACCACCGCCAGTTGATATGGGTAAGCTTACGATGCCATCCTGGCCTTCCATTCTTGCTCATATATTACAGACTGGCCGAATATCGGTTTCAAGGTGTGGCCTGTGAATGGCCATATCCAGTCTACATTTGATGCCACCGCTTCCGAGCCCGCTTGGTCAAAACCAAAGTTTGTTGCTTCACCTCACCTCACCATACATGGAATGGCGCCTGGCCTCAACTATGGCGTACAATGTTACGAGGGCATCAAGGCATTCAGAGCGCCTTCTGGTGATATCACAATCTTCCGGCCAGACCAAAATGCTGTTCGAATGCAGCGCTCCGCCGATTTCATCTGTATCCCACCTGTACCTACAGATATGTTTCTCGACGCGGTGAACCTAGCAGTCGCTGTCAATGCTGAGTTCGTTCCACCAGCCAATTCTGGCCAGGCAATGTATATCCGTCCTCTCCTCTTCTGTAGTTCCGCTCAGCTCGGTCTCAACCCTGGTTCAGAGTATACCTTTGTGGTCTTCGTGATGCCAACAGGTGTCTACCACGGCACCAACGCTGTCGATGCTCTTATTCTCGAAGACTTCGACCGTGCAGCTCCAGAGGGCACAGGAAGTGCCAAGATTGGCGGAAATTATGCCCCAGTACTGCGTCATTCGCAAAAGGCTTACAAAGAAGGCTTTGGTATCACATTACATCTTGACTCAAAGACACGGTCAGAAATAGACGAGTTCTCGACTTCTGGCTTCATCGGCGTTAAGCAGGGAACGGACGGTAAGACGACAGTCGTGGTTCCCGACTCCAAGAACGTGATCAAGTCCGTAACATCCGAGTCAGCATGTCAAATCGCTCAGGACGTCTACGGTTATACTGTCGAGAGACGCAGAATTGCCTACGAAGAATTACCAGAGTTCAGTGAGATAATGGCTGCAGGTACAGCTGCTTCTCTTGTACCAATCAAGAGCATCACCATGAGAAGCAGGAATGACAAGTTTACGTTTGAAAAAGCCTTGCCAAGCGATGGTGGCCCAGGCCCTGTCTGCAAGGAGCTGCTCAAGGTTTTAAAGGGCATTCAGCAGGGTGTAGAGAAGGATCAGTTTGGCTGGAATAAAGTCGTCAAGCAGCCACCAAAAGGCTTTGTCGGCGATACGGAGGTGAATGGCGGCACGCATAATGTTAATGCCATGAATGCATGATGTAGCGATGATAGGAATTGTTAGCAGTATGTCTTGCATATTACATAAGCTTGTCTGAAGTTACGCCCCAGTCTGAGGGAGGAAGTAGGCATCATCCACTGTTGGGAGTGCCTATTGCCGGATGAAGAAGGTGCGACGATGTTCACGTTGTCCAGAACACCGCTCTGGACGCGAAGGCAGCACATACGAGTACTGTAGATCCCTATGCTACAACGCTGAGGGAAGCAGGTTTGGCGTGAGCTTCTCGCCGATACCCCCGAATGAGTCCATCGAAGAAGTGACCAATCTCAGCAAAATGTTACTACAGGCATTCTGCGATGAGCGAATGGTCACTGTCCATCACCCCGCAGTGCCAATGAAAAGGCTGGTGGTAAGAGAGTTCGAGCAATGCCATGTTTCAACAGACGTACAGTCCTTTTGATAGGGTTTTCTGAGCAACTGTTCCAGGTACGAATAACAACTCCAAAGCTATCTTGACGCGGGATATCTGTCGATTGGCCACCTAGTCACAATCAGCTCTGACAATGGTTGTATACGATGTGCGCTAGATTTGTGGGACAAGACTGTCGCTTTTCCGAGAGACGGCGACGGCAAAGACAAGTACGATGACCTCAGAAAGCCACACGTACTACCACAACACAGGTAGTGGTTCCCAGTACCTCAACTCTAGTTCCGGCAATCAGGTAAACTTCAATGGTAGCAACAATCCCACATTTCATTTGGGAGCACAGAGCATTTCTGGAAGCCAATATATCAACATTATCAATCAAGATAAGCCGATTGATAGTCCCTCTAAGCAAGTGCTTAATCGACGCGATATTTCACAACGAGCACAGTGTCGATGTCGAGGAGCTAGCAGCACAGTTAGGAACATGATGGATGCAGCGGAAAGAATCATGTTAGAAGACACCGCGGTAATGGAGGAGTACACGAGATCGCCAGTACATACCAGAAAAGATCTAGGGTTCCATCGTTTCAGTGCCGATAAGACTGAGACATGTACGCTACCATACCTTGGTAAAGCTGCAAGCAACAACAATGTCAAGAACAAAGTAGACAGGATTGAAAGGTTTACGTACAACTACATGGAAGACAAGCACGTCGCCGCGGAACTACAGCAGGTTGCGGTGAAGATTGCAGAGATATATGTTTCTCGATTCGAAGAAAGTGGAAATTGACGACGACGTTCGCTGGAGACCAACAGCTAGTGGACCACCGCTCATTCACGACGACAAAACATGTGCAGGCCGAGAGATCCGCCTCGAGTCCCTTTGAGATTCGCAACCAGATCGCACGCCTCACAACCGTGATCTCGAACCACAAGCAAACCCTGACAAGACAAAACGCAATGCAACAGAGACCAGTTGCAAAAGGTCAAGTCTCTATCTACAACCACTCCGTCGACCGAGATGTTCGAAGATGTTAACACTCCTCTACCTGATCAATAAGTGCTCCTCACTGAAAGACTCAATGTCATCGGTATTGCGTCACGTGGTCACAGATTGGGCAGGAATTCGCATAATGCCGAAGGTATTGGTCACACTAATCACGAATGGGCTCGAAAACCAACAAGGGGCTTTCTGCAGCGATATGAAGCTTAAGTGACGCTTTCCTATAGCTCGGACTGAATTTGAAGCACTGGCTGGTTGCCTTCACTCCGTTGCAAGCGAAGTACTCAAATTTTGCACTTGGTTGCGGAAGTAAAATGATGACCAAGCACAATGGGAAACACCACCTTTGCTAGCATTACCGTTCTGGTTTCTAGGAAGTGATGATCATGGTCTCAGTTGCTAGTAGGGGAAGCAAAACCACGATAAAGATAATCCTTCAGTCTGTCTCATCTTGATGCAACTCGTGAACCTTGCATGCCTTTGAGACTCCGTTTCCAAGTCCTAACTCACTATTAAAACACCACAAATTTGACGTGGCCTTCCTGCTCTTCTTCAATACTTGGTTCATCATCGCTAGGCAGCTCCATGTGAACTTTCCCCTTCCCTTTGCCTTTGATCTTTGCTACCGGACAGTCATCCTCCTTCTGTATTGCGTGGTACTGACCAAGGTCATGCACCAAGCCATCCACGTTGACGTACTTGTGAACCGGTTGGAAATTGCGCAGTGTATAGATACTCAACCTGACAGCTGTGGAATCGCGCATGAAGATCCAGACTCTGACACCACCACCAGCACAATCGACCTGGAGATCATTAACGCCAGATTTAGCGTGGAAGATCACAGTGCCGTCCATCTGTAGTGATCGGAAAGACCTCGAAGATGATGACGAGTCAGAAGATTGTCGTGTGAGAGCTAGGCCTTCTCCCTTGGAGTCAGGCTCGCTCACATCATGTTGTTCGGCCATGAAAATATCCATCAACAAATCACTTTGTCCAACGACTCCCGCCAGCTCGTCCCAAACATCTGGTGTTGATCGGATGTGGCGAATGCGGTTGAAGCAGTCAAGTGGGATGTTGTACAAGATTACTCGACCATCATCGTATGCAGCAACGATGCGTACGCCCCATCGAAGATCGTGACCTGCCCTATAACAGGTCAAAGCACTTGCCTTTTCAGGCGTGTCGCTTGCTGGAGGTACCATGCAGACTTTGCGCATCAGTTTGGTTGGCCCACCAAGAGGAGCATCTGAGCCGAGACATAGGAGACCGCTGGCAGGACATGTAAAGAGTACGTTGACTCCATCAGAGAGTGGAACAGCAAGATAATGATCACAATCAACTGTTCTCAAGATACCTTGTCTCTCGTTGTCTTCCTGTAGTGTTGAGTTGCTTCTGCTTAGAGCACTGGGGAACGGTAAGCTGCCAAAAAACAACCTTGTCATACTTTGCAATCGACCATGACCGGGATATGAAGACCTGAGTTTCCACTTAGTAGGTGCACTCGCACGACGCGCGGGACGACTCTGTAGTGGGTCTGCAGCACTTGAGATCAGGCGAAGTTTCTTTGTGGAGTCAGAACCAGGTCGTTGAGGTAGGAAATACAGATGATCACTTGGAGCTGCAAGTGGAAACCATCTGTTAAGGCTAGTCCCAGTGGTTTTGTCGACCCAATGCAGTTCAATCCCGCCTCGACAGCCAAAAGCAACACATTTTCGCTGCGGACAGATTGCCACACTCCGAGGACTATCGCTGCCAGTGCCGAGGTTAGCATAAACACTAGTGGGACGAGCAATGATCTTAATAGGTCCTAGTGAAGGTTCTGAGACATTGAGCAGTGCCTGAAGGTCTGAGTTGCGTCGATACTCTTGACTGAGCCATGGGGAAGCTGCTTCAGGACTCTCAGTCTGACAAGGAACGAGGCCATATGTGCTCTCCACCACTTCCTCATCGCTGATGATAGAGTGGAACGCAGGTCCATCGGCCCCTCGAGCGGTATCTGATAAGCCTTCCATTGGAACAGGCTTTGCAACGCCAAGAGGTGCAAGACCTTGGATGTGAGTTCTCATACCTAGGTCAAGCGGCTCTCCGACCTGAGTCGATATAGCGTCACCCACCGGTAGGTTGTTAAGATCCCATGACGCTCCGACACGACCATCGAGAAGTGTCGCTATTGAGTTGCGACCAGAGCTCACGTCCATGCTGATAGCAAGAACTCTGCGGCCTGCCACAATACGAACAACGGGACATATGGACGCTTCCGGTGTGCGCAGATTGTAAACGAATATTTCCTCGTCCACAATCACCATCAAATATGATCCACAGGCAGAGATAGTGAATCGTCGTAGTACCAGATCTGTGGACGTGGATGAACATGCTTGGTGTAATAGTCTTGAAAAGTCGACTTCCTCTGTTATGCTGAAACTAGATAGAGTGTGACCACTATCCCGACGTATACTCGACCCTCGCCAATATCCACTGAGTCTACTCTCGGTCGCAAGCCGTTTTGACATGAGCCATTCCTGATCGATGTGCTCCGGGACGGTGTTTCCGAGTTCCAAGTTCGAAGTCTCTAGCTGTGAGCTGCTCTGACGTCGTCTCTGTCGCGCACACTGTAGATCGTGCAGATGAGCAGATTGGTTTCCGGATGCCTTCAGGACTGAAGTAGCAATCTTATGATCCAAGCTCGGCAGGAACCAGACTCTGCAAGTGTGCCTTGCCGAATCAAAATCTACGAGCGCCAAGTAGTTGAGGATCTGGACAACAATCTCTGGCGGCAGGCGCTGTGCCGAGCTAAGAACAGGACGTGGTAGATTGTCGGACCACTGCCGACAGACCAGCCGCATATTCTTGTAGGAGTCAGGATCCAGGAGTTTGGCAATCTGGCACAACACATGATCAGGCAGAGCTGAACCGCTATTCTGTTTGAAATGCAGTCGAGCGAGCGTGTCTCGATGATTAAAGAGCTGAGGTCTATGAAAGAATAGTTCTTGGCACAGTATCTCTTCGTTGTCTTGCTCTTCTTCGTCAGCGGATGTCCACAAGCGATCTAGCGTGTCTCGATGGTGTAGAAAAGCATTCGGTCGTGCCAGCTCTGACATATCGGACCAGCCCGAGTTTCGTCGCTCCTAGTCGTCATCGCTTGGGAATGGATTGGAAAATGAGGTGCTCGCGCGTTGCAGGACAAACTTTGCTGGCGTTACGAACATGGGCGTTGATAAGAAATGCACTTTCGGGTTGCCGTTATTGATCCCTTGTATCGTCTCGGTACTTGGGACCTCATGGATTGAGATCGACGGAGTTACTTCTTCCTCATCTTTATCAGCAGCACCATCGTACCAGGCCCGAGGCTGTTGTATCTGAGCAGGCCTTGGTGGTTGAGGTCTATCGCTGCGAGGTATGTGACTACTCCAGCTTTGACTGAAGCGACTTGGAGTTAAGGTATAGTTGGAACGAGGTTCAGGATCTAGGGAATAGGCAATTGAATTGATCGTGATGTATTCAGGGTCGAAGAAAACGGTCAGAGACATAATGATGCTGACAGTTGTGCTATTGTATGAGTAAGGAACGAACAATTAGCAATGATGTGACTGAAGACCAGTATTAGGACAAACAAAGAAGGGGATAGTGCTAAGCTGAGGAACTCAAGTTGCTGAAGTCTGGGACCTGATACAGGCAAGGACGATGTTCTTCTCTTAAGGCGTCGCTGCCATTTTCAGTCACTTGAAGAACGCAGGTTAGTGAACCTGCAATAGGGTCTCGTTGTAATTGTTTCATCAGCAATTGCATGGTCGCAGCCGTCGTCGAAGTGCTTGATATGTCTGAAATTTTATAGGAGCACTCTACCGTCCACGCTTCATGAAAGGTGCTTTATGCAAAGGTAAAAAAGATGACCCCTCCCCGTTATATAGAGATTGAGTATATCTCAGCAGGCACTCACCAACTTTCCTAAGCACAGGCTATCATTGCTGTACCGTGTCAACAGCAGACCAACGATATCGGCGGTCAGGGACATGTTTCGCATCAATAAGACTTTGGGTCATACCGTAGCATCGGCAACGGATGACAATCAGCTGACACAGCCTATTCTGGTTGCCGACGACACAACTCATCTTGATTGACTCAATGCCGTTCTCAATTCTTTAGTATGACAGCATCGCCTGAGGCTCGACGATAGCGACGTTGTAGCTCCGAAAGCAAGACGACCTGAGACCTGAACGCGATTGCCAGACGCGAGTTCCATACGCGCTATCTTGGACGCCAGGCAAAATTTGATGCCTGAAGTGCTTCAAGCTCGTCCATGAACCTTCGTGGGCGCACGCTGGTGCACAATTAACAGCATTGTTCTTTAACATTGCTGAAGTCGTGTCTACTTGATAGGAGCTGGTCAACTTGTCAACACAAATTCATTCATCCACGGCGTTCCGCCATACAGTCGTTTGGAAAAGAATGGTGTCTCATGGCATTGTACTAACGAAGTGACCAGCGGTCGGGCCAGCCAAGACCGATGCAGGAAAACAAAACAGCCATATACTCTGCAAGGTAGCTTGTGATTTTGTGACGCTGGAAACAATCCAGTATGAATTGTTCGTTTCTGGCTATTGACCACTTGGCTGCGTAGAAGTCTTGCCCAAGTTTTTATCTGGCCAATTCCTGATAAGAGTATTTCTCCTATCCCTCAAGCTCCTAGACTAGCCTTTTGAGCTTCCCTGACCTGTCTTGATTCCTGATGGGTTATCTCTGTCTGCAATATCACTATCGCCCTTGCCCAACGCCTCTCGCTGTTCTTGGTCGCCAGGTAAAGCACCAATACCCTTCTTCTCATCACGGCCCTTGACCTCGTGACCACCACCTCCGTCGTTGTGTCCCGGCGCTGCACCACCACTCAATACTCGGTCGTTCATCTCGTCCATACCTTCCGGCAGAGGAGCGGTCTTGTTTGCACGGTCGACAGGCACTTGGTCAGTGGTCTGCAAGACGGTCGTTAATAGGTGTATAAGGTGCAGCTTGTGGTGCTTTGCTAGATCGCGTGAATCTTCATACCTTGCCTACACCGTGGATGACATCGTGGGTGCTTTGCTCGTTATTGTCTGACATGATTGCTGTGATTCTGATGTCTATTTTTAATTATTCGTACCAGACTGTCTTGCAAGATGTAACAGCTATGTGAACAGCTATTATGGTGGCATCCAGGTGTCCCACCATGGATCCTCTTACCTCATGACAACACGCAAGTCTGCATTACATCATTCCTGCCTGAAATTAGCTTTCGTACCTGGCAATTGCTGCGGGTCGTGCCAGGGGCCCGTTTCAAGAGCCATGAAAGATGCTTATGAGCATAGGAAGAGCACAGTTGTGTGCTCACACGACCTCAACACATTAAAAATGGTGCTTTATAATACTTCTCGTCGTCGACTAATCGAGTGACAGCATTGCGAGGCATAGATTCGAAAGGTAGTGCATTACCACAAGCACAAAACTGTCGCAAGCACATATGCCAAGCACAGCTTGAGAAGACGTTCGTAGCCAGCAAAATCGTGAACATGTTCCCCGGTCGTAGCTGACAGTCTCCTCCAAGCTCAACTTTGACGCTGAATGTGACGGCATCGGAAGCGAGCTAGAAGACTGGCTGTATCTCATCAACTCCTGGTTGCTCCTTTTCAACTCGTATACATCACAGGTTGAGCTCGCCAGCGTACGCCGTCTAAATTGCCCGTGCGATCGTGCTTGATCAACACGCGCAGACACTATGTTTCTAGAGTCGAAGCCACTGCAAAGCAAACCAAACAAACACTTCAACAATAAGGCTACAACGCCAAGATTGTCCGTCCGCACAAGGCTGTCCGCAAAAAGCCCTCCGTCAATTTTCGAAGAAGTGGAGCCAGATCGCACTGAATCGCAGTCCACCTCACTCAGACGTCTTATCTTCTGCGAATCTTGGTTGCGAACGTCGTCGACAACCACAGACATAACTCGAGATGGCAGTCCAGGCAAAAGAGGCTAAGCCTCAGAAGAGCGGCTATATTCGAGGCCCAAATGCTGGTCATGTAAGTCAAACCTAGGATCTGAACCACGAGCACAAACCCGAGGACGAAGATTATGTCGGTCAAAGAATATCACAAGATGGGAAAGAGATAGATGAGATGCGCTCAGAAAATTTCGAACTCTGCCATGGGAGCAATACCGAGAAAGGCTTTTTACACTCGTAACAACAAGAGAACGAAAACATCCACATCCAGCACTTCCCACACCATCCCACAAACCACCACATCTTCCCACCACAATATACTAATCTTCCCCCTCACAGAAAGTAACCCCCCTCGCCCCCCGACCACGCATCTCCCGAACAAAAGGCCACCTATCCAAGCGCACCGCATTCGTCCGCGACATCGTCAAGGAAGTCGCCGGTCTCGCACCATACGAGCGACGAGTCATTGAATTGTTGAGAAACAGCAAGGACAAGAGAGCCAGAAAGTTGGCGAAGAAGCGAGTAAGTCACAAAGTCCATTGAAGCATCAAGCGTTATAAAAGAGATGGGACATTGGCATGATGACAGGGTGATAGAAATGGTGGTTGAGCATAGACTTGTTGGAAAATGATTACTAACTTGCGTCTTTCTAGCTCGGTACCCTTGGCCGTGCTAAGAGGAAGGTCGATGAGCTTCAGGATGTGATTGCCAAGTCACGAACTGCTGCTGCTCATTAAGGATTGTTCGTGGTATTCTCGGATATGGTAAATGTCGCATGCGAACGAGACCATCGAATTTCGAAGGCCGAAAGGATGCAACACAGACGTTCGTGTGCTCCAGAAGGGGTGCGATGGTCCTGAGATAAAGGCGAGATCGAAGTCATGGCTCACAAGCAAGCACCCGACACAAAGAGAAATGTCCTAGCTACTCCAGACAATGTCAATAAGGTTATTGCATATTATGCTCGGAGAGGTGGAAAGGGCATGGAATGCAGTATTGGCGTGCCACACCGTCAAATGATATTATCATATTCACGAACCATAATCAGCCATCGAGCTTCGTTGATCGCCGTCAAGCCCGACTCCATGCCTCACTGACATTAAATTGCAACAAATTGCCTGGAAGTCTATTGTGCCACTCGTATGTGAAGCCTGGTATCCTGAGTAGAGCTTCGGTTCTCCATCCTTTCTTCTGTTCATGTGCTTCCACTTATAGCAAATGCTTCTCTTCCTCCAAAAGTCGTCCTTCTAGCTTGTTATACACACCTGGATTTACAGCATTAAAAACAAACCAGTAACCTCTTTCGTAAGTCATGTCGTTGATAAAGTTGTCATGACTGAATACCATATCGCCTACCGCCCACGGCCAGAATGCATCTGTCAAAGTGAGGTTGAGCAAGGCGATCCGTCCTTGTTTGGTGCCATCGTTCAACAAGCCGAAGAGGACGATCAGGACGTCGAAGGGGAGATCGTAGATGGTTGTTCTTGACCTTTGAGGCTCTGAATCGACCTCGTCCCGATCCAGTCGTCCTCTGTCCTCGTCAGTATTGCTTTGATATTGAACTACTCCGTTATCGTAGTCGTCATTTCTGTTCTCAATCCTGAGGGGTTTGGTACCATCTGTTATTGCTGTCATTATCATGAGCTCGTCCTGCACGTCTTGGTCAAAGCCACGGTCAGGTGTATTACACTACTTCTTGCCCATTCTGAGCCATTTAGGCACTTTGCTCTTCGAACCTGTCTCCTCCTTCTCTTGCTTTTTCGATCCAAGATCGATCTTGGTCCCTGAATCTTCGGATTCAGCAGCCAGTTGGGGTAACTGAGGTGGAACGTACTCCTGAGCTTGCTGACGAACTTCTGGTTTTAGTACCTGCTTGATGCCTCGGGCCTCAACGGACGCCTTCGCTTCATCCCATGCAAAGACTACTAGGACACGACCTTTGAACTGATGATGCATGATTAACTTCTGATCATTCTCAGAGAGTATACCACCACTTTTGTCTCTGACACCAGGTTGACTCAACACAAATGGCTCGGATTTCAGCTTCTCGTTCAGGTGATCTCGCACAACTCTGTAAAGTGTCGCAGCCGTGTCGTCCTGGCCGAATTTGCAGCTGATAGCACTTTGATCAGGAAATCGAACTTTAATCTCGATTGATTCTATCTTCTGCAGTTGTTCGCGCTGCTCTTTCTGCTTAGCTAGAATTTCGGCATCTGTTGGTAGTCTTTTATTCCTCGACTCTTGCAGCAATCGTTCTTGGTGCTTTTGAGCATGCTCCACAGTAGGGACATAGTCGGCTTCATTGTACGAGGTGGTGACTGGTGCGGAGTCTGTTGGAGGGCGATATATGGACACAGGCCGATCAGAGACGGTAGTCGTTGGAGGCACACTTTCCGATGTACTCTCCGTTGCTTGAAGCTGTGGCTCGCCTCCAGTAGTAGGTTGTACGTCCTGCATTTGGTGATCGTCCAACCACTCAGGCTTTACTGGCTCTTTCTTCGCCGCCTCTTCATCCACCTTCATTTGTGCTAAGGCTTCGGCTTGAGTTGGCTGTGGATCCACTTCTTTGAAGTATGCTTGTATCTGTGTCATAGCATCTTCAAGTGGTTCTTCACTGATCTTGTAGCTCAACTTTATTAACACGCTTCCGTTGTTCAGGCCTAGTTGCGCGAGCGTCTTCTGTAGGTCTGTGAATGAAGCCAAATCTCTACCAATAACATGTAATACTGGCTGCTCATAATATAGTCTTCCTGCGCCAGATCCAGTGCTGGGTGCACCTCTTGCAGTCAGGTTTCTCTTTGACCCCGAACCAGCAGCACCAGCTTCGAACTGGCGCAGTACTTGCCATAGTGTGGTCGTGCTAGGAAACTTATCGGTAAGGCGTGCCTGTCCTGCTGTTGCTTCTGATTGTGGTAGCTGCAGCGCAACAGAGACCACACCAGCTGATTTCGATAGTTGAACGGCTTCTAGTTTTGCTCCTGATGTAAGTCCGGACAATCGTATCGACCTCGACAAGTCTAACTGCTTGTTGTTGTGTCTGTCAACCATCAATGCCAGACCACCAGATGAGACGAGGTGAACGTACTTACCTCAGACCATATTGGCTAGCATCTGGTATACCGAGTTTCTGTGATGCCTGCTGTAGGACATCACTAAGGTACATGCCAGGATTCGTCTTGATAATCGCTCGGCGAGCAGTGGAATCTATCACTACCACGTTGGTAGCCATGATGAGGGGGTGAACGATTGTGCGCAGATTCAAGGAAGTAGGAAAGTACAGATCGTTCGGTTTAACGATTTCGGATATTAGAACTTGACTAAATGCAATTAAACAAGATGTATCGCTTGACAAGCATGCCCCTTAGCAAATATGGTTTCGAGAAGACTCTCTCTCGAGAAGGCGTCCGGGGAATGAGTCGATGTCATAGGCGGGCAGTTGCCTCATCCTAACCAGGCAGTTGCGGCGAACGAAACGCGTTCCTACCAGCAGCCTTGCACCTGCTCAGTCAAGCATCAACTTGAGAACGTGTAGCCAGTATATTCACGACAACTCAATTACAGACTGAAGCGCAGTGCTTCTTACTTGGTACCGAGCGTCAGGCCCTCAATTGTCCGTTGCCAGCATAACATCTATTAACTACGCAAAATGGTAAGCTTATGCTTCACCGAGCATATCTACACTTTCTATGAATGAACCTGCTAACGAGATATGAAGGGCTCTCCTTTCGATATCAGTATGTCTCAGCACCTCCACCCAGACTCTTGAAGGAAACAGGACACCTTCGCCCAGACCAACATTGAGCCATGCTAACAACCCACCCCCAGACGGCGGCGCCTGCGTAGCCATGGTAGGCAAAGACTGCGTCGCAATAGCCTGCGACCTACGCCTCGGCCTCCAATCCCTCACCATCTCAAACAATTTTCCCAAGATCTTCAACTTCGCTCCCTCACTATTCCTCGGTCTGACCGGCCTAGCCACAGACGTACAAACAGTCAGTGACACCATGCGATACAAAGTAAACATGTACAGGTTAAGAGAAGAGAGAAATATCAGTCCACAGACGCTGGCGAATTTGGTCAGCTCTTCACTCTACGAACGACGATTTGGTCCTTGGTTTGTGAGTCCGGTGTTGGCAGGGATCAATGAGACGACAGGGAAACCGTATATTTGCGGCTTTGACAGTATTGGCTGCATTGACTTTGCGAAGGATTTCATAGTGGCGGGAACTGCTTCGGATCAGCTGTTTGGAACTTGTGAAGGGCTGTGGGAACCTGATTTGGTAAGTGCAGGGAAACGGGATGTGGTTGGGAGGAATTATACTGACACGTACTTTTAGGGTCCTGATGAGCTGTTCGAGACGATCTCACAGGCATTACTCAATGCTGTTGATCGTGATGCTTTGTCCGGATGGGGTGCGCACGTCTATATTGTAGAAAAGGATAAGGTGACCAAGAGGTTACTGAAGGGCAGGCAAGATTAGAACATGCCAGACATCAAATTACAAGCACTTCAGGAATCTATCAAGCATGCATGCAGCGGCGTCTGGCGTATTAAAATCTGGGTTGAAGACGGCGATGCTCGGGGCCTTCAGCTTATGCCTGCCTACAAAATGGTAGTGGTTATGCCCCAGAGTCGAATGTAATCATTCAATGAATCTCCTGCAGTGATGAAGATTTAGTCGATCCTATCCAAGATCAGGTGAGCTTGATCTTCACAGCCAAAATGCCATCCAAAGCATCTTCCCAGCTATCTCTCATCATTCCACAGTACTCTTCCACAGCAGCCTCATCCTGCAGCTCTGCCATTCGCTCAGCAAACACTTTACTGGCCTCATCAGTCTCGTCCGTACGGCAAAGAGTAACGTCCACTAGCCTCCCTAGCACTCCCGAAGCACTAAGTTCTTGCTTAAGATCCTTAGCTCGCTGCTGTGTGGCTTCAACTAGCTCCTTCAGCACCGGCTTCAACTCATCCAGGTTCTTCTTCAGCTCCGTGTATCTAGTCTTGTCCTTGTCTGCTTTGAGCTTCTTAGCCACGATGTTTGTGAATTGTGCCGTCGTCCGCAAGAGCTCTAGGTTCACGAAGTGATGGTGTAGATAGTGCCAATCTGGATACTCAACCCCGTTCACAGTAGTGGGATGAATTGACCACTGGTCGTCCTTCAGCTTCGCAAGGAGGTTTTGTAGGTTGGGGCTTCCGCTGTTCTCCTTGCTCGAGAATTGGAGGAGAATGTTACTTAGATCCTTGTACAACTCGAGAGCTGCTCTCTCATCTTTTGTGAGACAGTCGGTCGTGTTTGATGTTCTTGTCATGACCTTGGCCAGGTGCTTTTGAGCAGCCTCAATGTCTGACCGTGAATCCATGGCTTCCGCGCTCAAAAAATCCGTGAGGTACTCGTGCAATGCCATTGCGTCGATCCACTCTCTAAATGGTTGAGGACCACATTGTAGGTATGTTTGCAGTTGCGTATCCTCCACGCCATATCCTGGCATGAAGGATGTGTCTCTTAAGTCGACCAGCTCGCCTTCATGCAGTTCCAAATCAGATGCGACAGGCACACTCAGCATTCTCTGACATTTGCGTTCTTCGATCTCATAGCATTGTTTGACAACACTGTTTTGTAGGCTGTTCCGTAAGTCAACCGTATTGATCACGTTCGAGTAGGACTCGTGTTTGAGGCCGTCCCGGATAGCTCGGTCAAGACTTCGTTGCGAATTACTGAAGACTGTCAGAGCCGTGTCTAAGGCTCCCAATGGGTTAAGGCTGTCTGCGCCATGTCCATACTGCCGAGGGTGCAGAGTAGAGATTCGCGTTAGGATGAAGTGACCAAGAGTCTCCCACTGCAGGTTCTTGATGCTGAGATGAATAAAATTTCCCATGGCGAGATGTATCTGACCCGAAAACATCTGCACCTGTACTAGCAGCATGCGTAGTGGATAATAGTCCTTGTAGTGTTGGCAAGCGGATTGCAGGATTATGCTAGCTTGCATAACATAGTCCCTGCGATTCGAGCCCGATGCAAGCCTCAGCAAAACAAGTGCAGCAAGGAGGGCTGACTCCGCGCTGACCAAAGGATTGTCGTCTCCCGAAGATTTGTACAGATTCAAGGCCTTTGACCCAAAATCGAGAGCTCTCGACTCCGACAGGTCTTCTTGACACAGAAGATTGAACCTCAACTTTAGTGAAAACAATTTCTGTACGAAGTTGATCTCAGTCGAAAAGCTGTCGTCGATCATCGTGCTGAATGTGCGAACCACCTCAATGCCTGGTCTCATCAATTTCGAGATTAGGTCATCGAAGCAAAAAGCTTTGGCACCGAACAGTTCATAATATCTCCGGCTCGCTTCTAGGAGTTCTGACGCCTTGGCTTTGTCCTCCAGTGTGATGGAAGCTAAAAGGTCGATGGACGCTAGAAGCGCTTGCCTGTGGTTAGGTTCTCTAGATAGGATGGTCTCTAACAAGGTGAGTTGCGAGTTCATGAGTCGAGGTGTTTTGGCTGCCCTGACGACGATTGACCAGAATCTATCGTCCTCAGTCACGTTTTTGTTGCCTACTGAGACACGGGGACCAATGAAGGTCCGATAGAGTTGATCACTATCTGCCTGACTCACGGCCGGCAGGAGCAGGCTTTCCGTCGCGAGCCTATCCTGACTCGTAACCAGACGCAACTGCTCCGAATTGAGGAGGTCTACCAGTTCTGCGGCACTGCCTTCTGTCATCATAATGGCAGCGAGAAGGCTGAGCTCCTCGATGCTAGAGATCCCCTGATCATATCAGTACACATGTTGAGAGCTTTGCCGAAAGTACTTACCTTGTCAGATTTATCTTGCGCAGCTTTGGTAACCATACGACTAGCGAGAGTTCCGAACAGTTTCCTGTCTTTCTCCTGCGACGTACCATCCTGGCTGATCAAGTAGCACATCAAAATATTCCAGTAGTCATATTTTCGTTCCTTCGGAAAGGCTTTTCTTAGAGCCATGGTGGCCTGTAAAGAGAAGACCCCATGTCAGCCCATCTCTTTCAGCGTTGGGTGTAATCTTCACACCTTTTGAGCATTTTGCCAGTTACTGGCTGTAATCGAACTGTTGAGCCATGTCGTTACCAACTCGTGGTCATTTGGTCGCGCCGCAACAGCCCGCTCCCACAATTTCGGACTCTCTTCACCATCCAGGTGCATAAGCTTCAGCGAGTCTTGCAACTGATGGATAGCCTCGAAGTTGAGGACTGGTTCTGTTCGGCGGCATAGCTGCAAAGTCTCTTTCGAGCCACTTTCTTTTTGCTTCTTGTCGGGCGAACGTAGGAGAACAGCAGCTTTCAGCGCCTAGCACGATGGTCAGTCTGATATCCAACAGGACCAGACTAGTGCACTGACCAAGAATCTGTCGGATGCTTCACCTTTCTTCTGCCATTTTTCGCAATCTTTTAATGCTTGCTTGACGTTACCTGCCGACAAGGCGTCGATGATGGGTCTTATGCGCCTTTCAGTTACGGCTGAATCTGCCATGTTGTGCTGCAGCAGGATGATCTCAATCCACAACGCCGATCTATGGCTGGCACGGTGGGGATGCTCTGAACATTACCACCACGAGGTACCTGGACAAAGTCTCGAACTCATAAGGACAACGAAGGCTGTGACACTTCGGAAGTAGGTGTTACACGAAAACAACTTGGTTTGTTGGGCAGGAAAGACGTAGGCTTTCACCACCGAGAATCTTAGTGTTCATAGTAACGTTGTAACAGAGCATGTCGCACCGCAACTACCAACCCACCATGACATTTGGAAGTCGTTACTACTATTACATTATACGGGAGTGTCTTCGTTTTTCGCTATACAGAGCCCTCTCATCACAAGGGAACACCACCAGTACTTCTGGTTCACATTCCCAACGCCATCGCTATGCCAGAACAAATATGTACCAATCTCTTGCTTGCGATGCTTTTTTCGTTCATACGAGCCTCGATCAATGTACAGCCATCGACGGCCTTCTTATTCCTCCATCAGCGCTTGTACTTTGCCTCGCGCATTTGTTGCATCTAAGATTTGTCAGTATCTAGCAAGACCGGCAACCAGAGTACCATACCCATTCTTTCTTGCAGTCTCTATATGCTCTGATAAACTGTTGTCAGTGTTGTCCAATTCAAGCTCGTCCTTCAACAATCCTCATCTTGTTCATGCGACTCACTGAAAATAGTCCTGGCACATATCTCGATCGCCATTATTCCTGTTCATACATCGTATACTCCGACTTGCGGCCTCCTGACAAGGATCGTGGTATTTCGAGGCGCTCTTCCTACACACAATAAAGATCAGCTGGCTGAGTAGAGATCTCTGCCTGGCATCCTCACTGCGTGAACTTGTCCTTTGACTTATCCCAAACAGTCTCTGTGCCGGACTCTGCAGCTTTGTCTCCTACGGTGGTCGGCATGTTGCTCAGTTATCAATTACTATATCTGTCATAAACACATTGTGTTGATGAGTGTTGCGATAGTCCGCTTGCTTTCTGAATACAAGAAGCAGGCGAGCATGCGCTGTAGAGTGGCACTACGGCATAAAGTGCTTGCCGCAGATCATGATGCACGACTGGGCCATTTTCATTACAAAGGGCTCCACAAGCATATGCCTGAAGCTCCTGTACATAGTATTTAGGTCAATTAACATATTCAGTTATCAGTATCAATTACGAGAATAAGGACTTTGATATTCTTCGTAGCGCTATCTGGTCACTGTCTTGCCCTTACTCGACCCATTCGCCTCTTTGATCCTGGGCCTCGTCTTTCTTTCCCAAACCATAAGATACCCTTCTCGAGTAAACAACGTTTCTGCCTCAGCTCTTTCAACATATAGATCTTGTATCTCCCTCCACTCTGGGAGCCTCCTTCCCTGCTCCGTTCCTGCCACGTCCGCGGCTGCTTTGTCTCGAACCTGCACTTTCCACATTACCTTCTCGCCTTCCCCACCAACTGCACGATTCGCTGCATCAGCAGCATTACTGTCTTCACCGCCTCCTTTGCCTGTGGCAGCATCCAAAATAATGTTGCTGACCATTTCGTATATGATAGGCTCGCTGGGTGACGCAAACTCAGGGTTCGGCTCAACATATGGCGACATGTCCAGCCCTCGTGGAGAGGGAAATGTGACAATTGTAGGATTGCGCTCACTTACAAACTTGTTGACACTGAAACGTTTTATATGGAAGATGATATATGGTGGTAACGGATGAAGTAATCTATGTCGCACTCGAGTGTTGGCCTTTTCCGACGTTTGTAGGCCACCGTATTTCTGCAACAACGTTGTCAAAGCGACCTGAGGAATAATATTCTTGCTTTCCACGCTGTCGCGAAAAAGTGGAATAGGTGGAAGGTCGAGTGTGAGGATCATGTACGGAGAGACTTTTGTGTCGATCTGCGAGGACTCCTCGAACCGTAGACGATCGTCGCCTGTTTCGACGGCACGAATGGCTTGGGTTTCGATACGTATTTTGCCCTGGAACGTCCGCTGTATTATGCTTGACAATGGCTTTGTTTTCGAGCCGCCAAGAGCAACGTGAAGACTGTTCAAGAACCAGGATATGAAATCGACTGGGTCTGATTGTTGTGTGAGGGTAAACTTCTTCGACGATCGGATCGCAATCTCTTGGATGAGTTCATGCGGCGATACATGATTTCGAAAAGCTTTTGTATTCCAAATCTTGCGAACGAGGGTGCTCAATCTTATGGCTAGCTGCGAAGAGTTTTGAGGAAAGTCATGCAGAAGGAGGAAGTTTCTTATGGGCGCGACGTGGGACAGCGTCTGTACAACAACATTTAGGTAGTCATTCGCCTTGATGTTGTTCATGCCTATAAAGCCAGGTCTGTACCTTTTGTTGGAGAGATCCACAGACTCGAACGGCACTTTGTCCAGCTTCTTAACATCTTCTTCTGTAAACTTTGGATCTATCACGTATTTGATGTCGTCCAGACTCCTGTTCAGAACCTCGTAACCTTCTGGCAACACATACACTTTTTTCGTTTCCATATTGATGTAGACATGATGGTCCTCGTCCAGAGCGTGAAAATAGGCATATGACTTCATCCCTCGTCCTTGGAAGTACTTTCCGCATACCAGGCAGGCATAGACATTGATGTTTGATAGTGTTACTGAGCATAGTTTCTCGAAGTCGAAATCCAGGACCGACCTGTTGATCGTGTCAAGATAGAGATCGCCATAACCCTGCAACGGCGCTTTGTCTTGTGTCGGCGCAGCAATACTGTACTCTTCATCGCTGTCAAAGTCATCGTCGGCGTCCGGCGCAGTCTTGCCAGTATGATTGGTTTCTTTCAGCCCATTTTGTCGAGGGTGCGGTGCTGATACATCTTCAAGATCGTCCTCAACCCTAGCACGCTTGCTCGCGGGCGAACCTGCTACTTCGTGCGGTTCTACTGATTTGCGCTTGGACATCATGGTCGTAGGATGTCAAACTAGTCCTATGGAGGCAGGCTGGAGAAGGAAATAAAAATATGCAAACAGCACAAACAGCTTGTCGATCAAGGTCGCAACGCGGAGTTCGGGGAACGCGTTCATTACGGCAGAGTCAGCATCAGCCGAACTTGCAGACCCAAACACATTGGCTTCTCAATCGATTACTGATTAGGTCTATGTAGGCACAGCGATATTACAGACATCAGAATTTGCCCCACATGTAACGGGGACCATAATACAACGCAAGCTGACTCATGCCTTGCCAGATCGCTCCACGCAAAAGGAACTCTATCCCGAAGGACAACCAAATCATCTTAACGCGCTGCCACTTCACAGGACTGATTTGAAGGAGTCCAGTCGATGTCAGTCCAGTTTTTGCCAGTAACGGTAAGCTGCCCATAGCAGCTCCTGTCCTTGACATATACCAGCCTGCCAGAGATTGTAGGTACCTTTTCTCGAGAGGCAGCAATAGATAGCTCGTTAAAATCGAGCTTGCGTGCCACGCAAGAGAATCCACCGCAAAAGTCGTCAGTCTTGTCATCCTGGATTGGACATTGTCCTTCTTTTTGTGCCTTGACCGCTTCTTACGTCGAGCTTCGGCAAGCATAGCTTCAATTTCTTGATCCGGATACAGCCCGTTTGTTTCTGTCAGTCTTCGAGTCGGTCGCGGAGTTGTTTGTGACAATGAGATTGCTCTTCTAATTCCTACTTCTGGAGTAGGCGGCGGAGAAGGATCCCCATCGATGGGCGGCGGTGGCGGTGGTGGTAAGGAAGGACTTTCGATATCGACAGGCACAAGACTTTCAGAGTCGCCATGCGTAGGGCGTGAGATGGATACCGGAGGTACTGGTATTAGAGCCTGCCCGTCAACGTAAATGACTGTCTCGTCGCCCTCACCCGGAAAGGAAGTTTCAGATATACTGTCGTCCAAAAAATCAATGTCTCGAGTCCATTGATCTACATCGACGAAGAAGTCTTCTTCGACATCAACGCCTAGACTCTCAAGGTTGCTGATAATATTGCGTGCTCGAACGACTGAGCGATGACCTTGAAAGCCTTCCTCATTGTTTTCTATCATCGCACATCGCGTCAAAGTCTCCTTCTTCAGTTCTTGCTTATCGTGTCTTTGTGTAAATAGCATCGAGAGCCATGGAAATGCAATGGGTAGCGCTGACCAGAAGTTATCTGGCCCATAAAAGCGTCGATCGGTATGTGTTCCGATCCTGCGCCCGACGCCCACGATCGAAACGTCGTCCACCGAGTCGTCATGCTCAGCAGCTTGAGCTGAAATTCTTGTTGGCCGATGAGGACGAGTCACAACTTGCCGTAACAAGCCGAATATTCTCCAACCAATTTCATATCTAAGGTAGCAATGGATTAGATAAAGGCTAATTGCAAGGTTCCAACGCGAAGATATCAATATTTCCAGCACTAATGGTAACATTAATTGCTTCCGCTGTACAGCATCTTTGGTGAACCGCCAAAGTTGTGGCAGAACAGGGAGTCCTAGTGATTGCAAAGTTGACAGAAATTCCAAAGGTATCTCGACTGCAAGGAACACAAAACTTTCACTGTACTCATTTAGTCCGGGAAAACAGCACGGAGGTGTCCTCAGATACTTACAGCCATGATTCAGCACGCTCCTTTATTGGTAACCGTGCCTGCTCAACATGGAACTCAAGGTAGTTCATACACTCGACGGGCTCGCTGACCTCGACTTGACGAGCCAGTCTCGCGATCTGAGCTACACTCCAAGCAGGAAAGCCACCAAATAAGAAGCCGAGCGGTCTAGCACTGAATTCGCGATGAATCGTGTCGACTGCGTTCAGGGACGGTGATCCAAAGGCCTGCCACATACTGGTCAGTAACGTCACAATGCGCGGTGCTGAACAGACATGCCAGCCATCTTCTTCTTAAAGACCCTATCCACCAGGTCAAACAGTATCCCAGGAACCGATCGCCACATTTGAACAGAAAACCTATATTGTTCTCTTCGTTGATGAGTTCCAGCTGGTCCTCTTCAGGGAGCTCTCTAGCTGAACGTCGTTGCCTCTTGGCTGCATCCTTACGAATAATCACCCCACATGCCTCCAGCACTTCGTTCTGTGCTTTCTGGAATTGCTTGGCACGTTGTGTTGAATCGACGTTCTGTGGATGTCCTCGCTCATCCCAATGCTGTGTGTAGCTTCTATCGTCGTGCGCACGAGCTTGTGGACCAAGCACAAAGTCTCCATTTTCATCGCGAAGAGGAGGACCAAAAGCTGATCTGCCCAAAGCAAGCCTGGCCAGGTAAGCCTCACGACCCATCGTGCCGGGGGAGTAGGAAGACAAATTTCAGGAGACTAGCCCACACACCAAACATCTTTCTCCGCGCCTCAGCTGTTGTGATTGAAAGGATGTAGACGAGAAGAAACACCTTGTGAACAAACTTAAAGGAAGGAAAGCCCTACCATGTGTTTGCTGACCTGTTGGAAACTGCTTCTCTTAGTTGACGGCAACAGCCGAGACTAACGCAGCACTATTTTTGCTCCACCTAAATTTTTGTCCATCACTGTAGATACTTCATCGCTTGCACCCGGTCTTTCAAAGACAACCTTCAGACTTCTCGAGTAAAGGCGGAGGTGGTCGGGACTGGTATCATGGCTTCTAAATTATCTACGAGAACTACATTCAAGGAGTTTCGCGCTATAGAGCCCTTCTATACCGGCGGCGAGATCACAACAGATGAGACTGGGACATTCTTGGCTTCGACCTTAGACGACGAAGACTGTTTGATCGTCGATCAGAGATCAGCGAAACCTCTTTGTCGAATTGAGGGTGATGGCGAAGCCATTACCAGCTTGGCGCTTACTCGTGGTGCTCAACACGTCGTTGTCTGCTCGAGGTCACTTTCGATGAGAATATTTCAGCTTGCTCATAGTGATGGCGCTGTTACAGCTGAACTACTGCGAACACTCAAGCCTCATGCAACGCCAGTCGTCGCATCTACTGTTGATTCGACGGGAACGTTGCTGGCCACAGGTGGTGCCGATGGTATCGTCAAAATCTGGGATATACGCGGTGGCTACTGTTCTCACACTTTCCATGGTCATGGCGGGGTTATCACCGCGCTTGAGATCTTCGACTCAAAGTCCGCCCGACAGGATACTTCAGCGAAGAAGCGTAAGTCTGGTCAAGTGAATGGTTCATCTCAAACAAACTCGATCTTTTTGGCTTCGAGCGCTGAGGACGGTCGAATTAAGGTTCATAACCTCGGTACACGCCAGCAGGTTGCAGCTTTGGACTCGCACGTCAGTGTCGTTCGAGCTTGCAAGTTCTCCCCTGACCAAGATCTGCTGGTCTCCGCAAGCAGAGATCGGACGATAGTCTTATGGGACGTAAAGACATGGACTGCCAAGCGAGTCTTGACTGCCACAGAAGAAATAGAAGCTGCGGGCTTCATGTCAGGAGGCGGATACCTCTATGCTGGTGGAGAGCAAGGACGTGTCCGATTATGGTCTACTTCCAGCGGGCAAGAGCTTCAAACAGCTCCTGGCCGTGGCCTGGAGAATGAGAGCATAACTACTATCCTGTCGATACCTGGACAATACTCGCTCCTCGCTGTGCGTAATAACCAAGTATTAGAGCTTCTCTCTTATCAATCCCTCGAGCAGAGGATACACGATGGTGAAGCAGCACTCGTTTCTACTAGGACGTTCTCTGGAAACCACGACGAAGTGATTGATATCGCTTGCATCGATGCGTCGCTATTAGCAATTGCAGACAACACTGAGACTGTTAAGATACTCTCGACTGCTGCGGACAGGGAATCGAATGATAGTCCTGACTTTGGAAGTAACGTTTCAAGCCTGGAAGGACATACAGACGTGGTCATTTGTATGGACGTTGATGCGCAAGGACAATGGTTCGCAACTGGTTCCAAGGACAACACAGCACGCATCTGGCATAGAGAAGCCAAACAGACAAAGTTCAGCTGTTTTGCAACACTTGCCGGTCACACAGCGTCGATTGGAGCCATCGGCTTTCCCAAGATTGCTAGCAAGTATCACATACCACCATTTCTCGTCACAGGATCTGAGGATAAGACAGTCAAAAAATGGGATTTATCGAAGCTTCAACCCAAGCTTCCTACCACTCCACATGCTATTGCTAAGGCAGTCTTTACAAGAGTTGCACATGAAAAAGACATCAACGCAATTGATCTTTCGCCAACAGAACCGCTGTTCGCATCAGCATCGCAAGATCGTACAATCAAGATATGGTCTACCGACGACGGTTCGACTACGGCAATACTCAAAGGCCACAAGCGAGGCGTCTGGTCAGTACGATTCTCACCAGCAGGAACACCCGCACTCAGTCTATCTGAAGGAGGATCGTCAGGTAATCGTGGCCTGCTCGTGAGTGGGTCGGGAGACAACACCGTCAAAGTATGGTCGCTAAATACCTATACCTGCCTTCTTACCTTCGAGGGACATCAAAACTCTGTGCTGAAAGTGCTGTGGCTACCACCACCTTCAACGGGAGACTCGGATGATTCTCGACAATCGCACCAGAACAAGCCGATGATTGCTTCAGCATCCTCGGATACGCTCATCAAGTTGTGGTCACCTTATGCCTCAGCAGACGCCGACCATCTCCTGACAACTCTAGATGGTCATACAGATAGAGTTTGGTCGCTTGCCGCACCTCTATCTGTCACCAATCGAACTCCAGAGTCCGAAAAGGCTAGGAAAGCAGCTCCTTACAGCCTTATCTCTGGTGCGGCAGATGCAAAAATCGCTTTTTGGACAGACACAACTGCCACAACAGCAATTGAAACTACGAAAGCTTTAACGGAACGTGTTGAGCAAGACCAAATGCTGCAGAACCATATCCTTGCTCGACACTACAAAGAAGGAATTACGTTATCTCTTGCACTAAATCATCCAGGTCGACTGCTTCGAATTTTCGAGGACGTGGTCAATTTGCCTGAAACGGAGCGTGAGCCAGGCACGTACATGGGAGTACAAGTCGTAGACGATGTTATTGGTGGCTTGAATCAAGAACAGCTCTACAAGTTATTGGAGCGAATCAGAGACTGGAACACGAATGCACGAACGGCGACAGTGGCACAGAAAGTGCTCAACTGCTTGCTGAGGAAGTATCCGCAGGGTCTGTGGACCGACATGGCACGAGACAGAGAGGTCCTAAAACTGGCAAGGAGTTCAAGGGCAAAGGGCACTGCTGGTGGTAATGCCATGAAAGACTTATTCAGAGCGCTCGAAGCGTATACGGAACGACACTACAAGAGGATCGAGGAGCTGATAGATGAGAGTTATCTGTTGGAGTATACATTGAGGGAGATGGACGAAATTGGAGGCACGACTGTCACTCAGAACGGCACGTCTAGCACGAGTAAAGATATGATCATGATTTGAGAGGATCTAGCTCGAAGAAGAGAGTTCCATCTCAGCATGCGCGATTGCGCACTTCAGGATTCGCTACTGGCGTAAAGTCTAGCAGAAGTTCAAGCAAAGCAGGCACTAAGCCAACTGATCGACCGATTAAGCTCGAAGTGAGCGAAAGAAGCATCGCAGCGAGCAGATCAAGTGGATTTTATCACTTGCAACCTCAATTCGTGCCACAGACCGCCTCTCCTCTTCTACTTAAAGACTTCACCTTCGCACCTTTGTGCATCTGGTCGTCTTTCTTCTTTCGATCACTAACCCAGGCAAGATCTGATCTGATTTTCCTCAGACATATTCAATCGATCAACAGACCACATACTCGAACCTTACTCAAAGCAACATCTGAATTCCCATACTCCTCCAGCATCATGGCAAATCTCTCAGAACAGGACAAACTCGTATACGTCCTCAGAGTACTGAAACATACCGAACTTCCACAACCGAACTACCATGCCGTCGCCGCCGATACAGGCCAGGCAAATCCGAACAATGCGTGAGTTTTACCCCTTTCTGCTTCGTCCTGCTCTATCTACCTATACTGTGTTCCACGTCGAAGGATCCGTCATTGACTTCTGGTCAGGCAAAAGAAATTCAAAGCTATAGTCGAATCCGTCGGCTTCAAGCTCGTCAACAAGCAGATCGTCGGTGCGGATGGCAGCACTGGCACGAAGGGCATCGAACCACCCAAAACACCTCAAGCTCCGAAGAAGGCTAGTAATGCTAGTGCTGCTCCTGCTGCGCCTAAGAAGACACCTGCCACTGGTAATACCAAGAAGCGGACAGCGAGTACGACCTCGAAGACTTCTGGTGCGGGCAAGAAGAGGAAGATTAGGGAGGAAGTTGTTATTGATGATGTCTCTGAGCAGGATGGAGCAGAGGGTGTAGAGATTGAGGACGAGGATAAGGGTGGTGATACGGATGACGATGTCAAGGTGGTGATGGAGAAGGGAACGAGTCGAGCAAGAAGTCCAACTGTGAAGGCTGAGGCTGAGGTTGATGAGGGGAGTGACGGTTCTGAGAAGTGAGGTAGAGAAGGCACAAGGCAAGAATACTTTGAGGCAGGAAATATAGCTGAGGAATGAGCAAGTGCTGAAGCAGTAGGAGCTAAGCTGGGACAACGACGACATGAACGTGTATTCGGTCGTGAAAGACCATAGCAAGAACGAACAATTGGAATGCTTCATATGCCGCTGGTCGCTGGTACGGCAGACCTCATGAGAGACAAACACAATCAGAATTGCTATCTTCTGTCTCTGCCGCTCTCTCTACCTCGATGGTGTCGATCGTATTCCCGATCCCGATCCCGATCACGTTCTTTGTGCCGGTCTCGATGTTTGTCCCGGTTGTAATCTCGATCTCGATCTCTTCTAGAAGACGTCGAGCCGTGTTTGTTACTGTCTCTATGCCTCTTGTCCCTCTCACTGGACCGGCTTCTGCTCCTCTGGCGAGATCTTGAGCTGCTCTCATAGCTTTCTTCATCCCTGGCCTCATGCCTATCACGGTCCTTTCTCGACCTAGAAGATTCATGACCATTGTTATCATCCCTATCTCTTCTCGAAAAGCCGTTCATGGCATCTCGGTAGTTGCTGTCCCCATTGCGACCGTGTTTCTCCAAGTTCTTGTCCCTGCGATCTCTCCACTCGTCCTTGTCATCCGCCTGATTCTTGCCCTCCTTCTTACGTTTCTCGAGCTCCTCTTCCGAGATCGTCTCACCTGTCTTTGCGTCCCTGACCATCAAAGGTGTGAAGAAACCAGCACCTTTATTGTTCTTTCGCATGTCTGCCTTGCCCCATGCACCGAGCTCAATACCATCAACGCCAGCCGCAGGTTTGGCGCCAATGCCCAAGAACTCTTGCCTCTTTACTCGTTTCTCGTCTTTGTTCCTGTCAGGCTCAAGTTGTATGACCTCGCCATTGGCGCGTCTTTTCTTGCCCATACCTCGTAGCATGGCCAGACCAAATTCCTCGACTGGCATGGCTGCATACTCGTCAAGAGTGCTTGGGTCTGGGTGAGATTCGACGAAGGCCTGGAAATTGTTCTTGTTATCTAGATTACCGAAGCGAGCGTCGTCGTTGGCTTCAATCACCGCTGTGCCTCGCGGCTTATTGTCATCGTCTGCTATGAGCGCTTGCAGAGCTTCTTCGTCAACGGTCGGTGGCCTCGTTGTAGTAGCTTCGTTCGCGCTTGTTGCAACATCTCTTTCCGCAGTAGTACTGCCATTCTCTGTAGTCGCTAATTGCAACCCAGAGGCTTTACTGACTTCATCCTTCTCGACCACTACCACTTGTCTACCTTCCCTCGCTGCGCGCACTTCCTCCGGTAGTCCGTTCTTCTGACGAGAGAACTTCCGCCAATTGTTCCCTGAATTTTCGATCACTAATTCCTTGCTCTCTTCTACCGGTTTAGTCAATATTGCGCCGGCACTACTGAACCCTGTCAAAGCCTCGTGTTTGGGCTCTGCCTCCTCGCGAATGTCCTCGTCATCGTCTGCAAGCGCTGACTTTCCTGCTAGACCGTTCCTTTGCACAGGCTTCAGAGTATGCGTTTTTGTGGATATAGAAATCGGAGTTTTTGAGGGAGTCTGCGCTGATACTGTAGTGTTCGTGGGCTTCTGCTTGCCGAAACCGAATGATATGGGCTTCGACATCTTAAGTCGATGAAGCCAAAGAAACTATATCCAAGGCCTGCCAGCAGGCATTGCGAAGTAGAAGAAGAACAAGGAAAAGAATAAACAGTTACCAAATTTCGTACAGGCAGTCTTCCTCAAGAATGTATCACGTCCAGACAGAAGAAAATTTGCCCAAAAAGGGAAGCCTTATGCGCCTCATACAGGCAACTATTGTTTACTCACTAAAATAAATTTGTAGAAACCTGATAATTTGCAAAGCATGAACGCTGGTTCCTCGTCACCCATTGCTAGCAACGGCGAACTGGAAAGAGCCTCCAAGCTTCCAGAAGATGAATTACTGTCCAGGCTCGTGACACACCAACACCAGACTATTCGTATACTCAGGAAGTACGGACGAAACAACGACGTTCGAGTATGTTGTTCTGCAAGCGCATAATGGAGAACCTCAACTCAGCAATCGAAGAGATGAGTACTACTTTGGAAGATTACGGAAGAGCGTGTCTATCAAATCAGCAATGGTATTCGATCCGATCAGCTTAATCTACTCAATGACCCTCCACAACTTTGCCAAGCCCTTTCGTGGAACCTCTGGAAGCTCTGCGTCGTCAACCTCCTGCAGTCCAGTGATCATATCAATCTCAGCTGGATCCCATGCCCACTTATCATTCCGGGCCCACAATCTGTGACCTGCATACATCGCTAGGAAGATCGGGATACCAATGTAAGCAGTCAAGAAGTTTGCGGCGGACCAGTTCTCTGGAAAGAACACTGTAAACCCGTTGATGAGGCACAGAAACGTGAACGACACGAACGCCAGCCACGCCCCGTATGGCTGGATGAAGTTCGACCAGGGGCTAGAGACTCCGTGGTATGCACAGGCCCTCTTAAAGCGGAAGTAGACTACCATGCAACACACCCAACTTATCATGCCCCACGTGTTGGTCAAGTTGACGAACCAGTTGAACACCACACCACCAGCGCTGCTCACGTTGAGGTAGGACAGGATCGTGAAGAGGGACGAGACGCCGACGGCGTAGATTGGAACACCGGACTTGGTGCATTTCTTGAAGATGTGTGGTGCGTTGCCGCTGACCGCAAGACTGTACAGGGATCGACTGCTCATGTAGAGAAAGGAGTTGCCGGATGACCATGCAGATATCAGGATGACGGCATTGATGATACCGGGAAGGGTATCGATGCCCGCGTTCGAGATAGCGACAACAAAGGCACTAGAGCCCGCACCTGCATGACCATCGGTGAGACGTGGGTCGTTCGAAGGGCAAGTGACGCCGATTGAGAGGACGGACTATAGGTTCGTCAGATTCAGAATACATGAGGGCTTCAGGGGGGCAGACTCACGAAGACATAGAAGAACACAAGTCTGTAAAAGTACCTGCGTGCAGCTTTTGGGAGGTTGCGCCGAGGTGACTCCATCTCACCACCAGTGACAATGATAAGCTCTGGTGCGAACGTAAATGGAAACACGCAGGAGACCAGAGTGGACCAGAAAGATATGAAGAGACCAATACTACCCTCGAGGATGAAGGGATTTGCTGCGCCAGGATTCTTCCAGTATCGGAAGCCCAGTCGATCACGCGATGGACCGCCACCCCAGAAGAGAATGAAACTGAGCATGATCAAGCCAAGCATCATGATGACCTTAGTGCCAGCAAACCAGAACTCGGTCTCTCCATAGTAGCGCACCGGCAGGAAGTTCAGAGCAACAATGACGATAAGCATGATGGTCATCCAAACTGCAATATGCACCGGGTTCGGCCAATAGTCGATGACGAGTCCAGCAGCAGTGATTTCGTATGGAACGAGGATGCCCAAAGCGTACCAGTAGAGGTATCCTAGTGAGAAGCCGAGTGACCTGGACACGTATCTGTTCGCGTAATACGCCATCGAAGCTCCATGTACTGGCATATAGCTGGCGACCTCGACGATTGCGGTAACGACGCAGAAGACGAGGACTGTCATAATGCAGTAGCCCGCAAGGATAAAAGCAGGGCCTCCCTTTGCCAGTACACTTCCACTGCCGACGAAGAGACTGTCGATCGATCAGTATGTTATAGAGATGTAACAATTTGCTACACTTACCCCGTCCCGATCGTTCCGCCCAATGCTATCATCTGCGCATGTCTGCTCTTCAGACCACGCTGAGTTTTCTGATATCTCACATCGTTAAGTTGTGCTTCCATCATGACCTCGTGGACCGAGCCACGCTGCACCATGGTAGCATCTTTCGAGCCATCATCGCTGCCAGACCCCTCATGCTTCTCAGGATCTGAGCTCACAGCGGTTGTCCTGGACTGGCCCATTTTCGCTGATTCAACGTCTTCAAAGACTTGCGTGTCGTTCTGAGAGCTGAGAAGGCTGGTAGTGGGAACAATGGACGGACCGGGCTCTTATACGAATTTTGAATATCATGTACCAGGCGAAGCGAGTTCGGTAATGCTATCAGCATAGGACCGGGACATCCCCGATTGTGATGGGCTAGAGGCTTCCATCCCGTGGTTAAAAGAAGGAAAGGCTTATTAGGATCACGCCTGCGACAGCGCTAGCACAGCTTGCTGGAGCATTTCCTACTATACTGATGCTCGTGGAGACTGATGCATCCTTTCACCTCGATCTCGTGGTAGTACCGCAAGTGAATGTCAGGGGAAACAGTGGACCATGATAAGTGAAGACAACGGAGTTGTGCGAGGGTGGTAGACATGTGCCACACATGGATATGACCTGTATCGCGGCTATTGCAGGCAAATGGACCAAGCATGATAAGAGGGTGTTGAGGTGTTGGCTTATCTTCAGATGTTGCTCCACTACCTTATCTTGGCAGGCTGTGCCTGGTCACGATTAATGTAACAGGAACGCCTGATACTGCATACTTTTCCCATGTTGAACTCTTGTGTGATAGCGCATGAAGTGAGAGATTAATCCAGGCCTTGTTTGACTTGTTGTAGCTCTCGAGGACTGTGTCCAGCATGATCGGATTCGAGACCACGGCGGCCATGTCCACCCGAATTCAACAACGTACTCGATTCGTGACGGATATCATGCAGAACTCTTTTTCAACAATCCAAGAACATCTGCGCGTCGCTTCGTGGCAAGTTTCGAGAGATGCAGAAAGGGTTGAACGACCTGAAGAGCTGTGAACGCGAAAGACACGTTAATGCCCAATGTGGCTAGCGTACCGATCGAACGTTACCATTCCTACGATTCGTACCATTCGTATGCCTGCAGTTGCTACCAACATGTCAGAAGGTTCCTACCATCTAACATATATGCCAGTTGGCAGTGAAGCAGGTGTTGACGGAGCAGGAAGCGGCGAAAGAAGCAATGACAGCGTGGATGAAGCGTGTGAAGGTCTTCAGGGAACCGAACCGCGATCGACGTCGGTAACACATCCACAACACCATCACAGATGGACTTTACTTTCCCTCAAGTATCATGCAGCAAGTGATATTGACCTCAACCTGATGCTTACACTCGTCCTGACCCTCGATCCTCGAATCCATATTTCTTGAAGTCACTGCAAGCACGACGGAAATGTCCGCTACATGAGTGGGCTGAACAGCAAGGAAGTAAAATGAAATTGAGAGATGCGGTTTCAGACTTCATTTCTTCCTCTTGAACGTGACGCAGAACCACGAGTCTCAGTCTGAAAGAGCTGGCGTCTCTACATCTCTAGAATGGGTTATACCTTGACAGCTTATGCTGTGGTCTGCCTGGCTTTCTTCCTCTCCTTCAGTATTTATGCATCGCTTCAGTCGTTTACTCGTCTGAAACATGTGCCTGGACCCCTAGCATATGCGTTAACACGATATAGGCTGGCGTATGACGCTTGGAAAGCACGGTCTATTCACAAAATACGGGCGTTGCACCAGAAACATGGAGCAGTCGTACGTGTTGGTCCGAACCAGGTATCATTCAATAGTCTCTCAGCTTTGCGGACAATCTATGGCGCAGGGAGTGGCTTTGAGAGAACTTCATTCTACAGAATGTTCGATGGTAAGAAGACAGCGTTGTCAAGCAATTGTGCACAATCTGTGAGCTGACAGTGTGAACAGCCTACGGTACGCAAAACTTGTTCACCTTCACTTCTGGCGTCGATCATCGGAACAGGAAGAAATTGATCAGTCATATGTATTCTAATCAGCGAGTGATGCAGGATCAATGTGTGGAGATGGTGGCCAGGAAGGTGGAGAATTTTCTTGCATTGCTGCAAAGGGAGCCTGGACTTGCAAGTGAGATCTTCACCAGTCTTCACTATTTCTCCTTGGATGCTATCAGCGAGTTCGTCTATGGTCCAAAGCATGGAGGAACACAAGCGCTGCTAGGCAAACAAGTTGATCGCAGGTTGATCGGCGATATCCTTGACCCTGCTAGGAGGAGGCTCGCCTGGTTCATTGTGCACTTCCCTACATACACAAAATGGATTGTCACCAGGACTGGCTGGCTAGGCAAGCTTGTGCAGAATGTGGGCGCTCTACCAATGAACAGACCTTTCACTTACTCAGGCATCAGAGCTCATGCTCTCCAAGCTTTCGATACTTACAAAGCTGCAATCGAGTCAGGTGAGGAGGTTGCCGATGATAGCACTGTGATGGGACGACTTTTCCAGGTTCGAGAGAAGCACGCGCTTTCAGACATGGATGTTGCCTCAGAGTGTGCCGATCACCTACTCGCTGGCATTGATACCACAGCAGACTCCTTGATGTTTATGATATGGGCGCTTTCTCTGCCTAAGCATGAGCACTATCAGCATCGTCTTAGGAATGAGCTTAGCCTCGTGACAACCAATGACCAAGCTTATCCAACCCCGAAGCAGTTGAACGAGCTCCCGTGGCTGAACGCTTTGCTCAAAGAGTCCTTGAGGCTATATACTCCTTTACCAGCTTTCGAACCCCGACAAGCACTTACGGACACTATCATCGACGGCCATGTCATTCCTGCTCAGACGGTTGTGGGCATGTCGCCATACTGCATGCATAGAGAGCCGTCAGTCTTTCCAGACCCTAAAGTGTTCAGACCAGAACGTTGGCTTGACGAAAATGGAAAGCTTCTACCTGAATCCGCGAATGAGAACAAATGGTTCTGGGCATTCTCATCAGGTGCTCGGATGTGCATCGGGATCCATCTAGCAAATGCAGAGATGCAGATGTTGATTGCTGCGATATATCGCCACTACGTCACCTCTACCCGTCACCATGAATGCACACCTGCTATCACTAGCAGATACGAAATATTCGCAGACGAAAGGATGAGCCAGGCGAAAGAGCACGAATGCTGGATCGAGTTTCAAAAGATCTAAAAACAATCCTAGCTGCAATTCTCCACTACAAGAATTGCTTGTTTTGACAAAAGCGCCGCTAGTGATCGAATATTGAACCTTGTTCCAGTCAAGACTTAAATCTTCATGCAGCTGCCCGTTGTGTTGTCCACCGATCTTCACGGAACGCGAGAACAATAGCGGATATAGTGAGGTCGATGCAGGCGTCATGTCAAGTTTGCGAGATCCAGGCTCGCATAAGTTGCGTTTCGTGACGTTCAACCATCACTTGGACTGCAAGTGACACAACACCAAAACGAAAACAAAACAAGACCACACGAGAAATGGCACAACATTTACCCTCGACTCTTTCTGCAGACGTGTCCTGACAAGCAAATCGAGTTCTGCTATGTGTATCACGGTAAGCCCGCTGTTCTTCTCATTCACCTTCCCTTGATTGTCTATGTGTATGCACTTTAATCAATCCCTTTGACTACGGACTGTAAGATCACTTTCTCATATCAGCGCAGGAGATCTGGACATACAAGGATTGTGGCTGCCAGATTGACCACCACATCTCTTGCAACAGTTCTCCTTGCACGGACAGCCCGATATCTCCTTCCAGCATTCGACTAGAAGGACCTACAGGATCGCCGTCTTTGTTCGTACTGAATCGCAAGAACAAACTCTCAAATCTTCATCTTCGTCACTTAACGTCACAAATTCGAACAAACTATTCTTTGCCCCTCCTTGAGGAGACTTTGCTGTCTGACTCTGACGCCGATTCTGATTCCGACTTGGACTCGAATTCTGGATCGTCGTCTTTATCGTCTATAACCCAATGCCTGAATCAAGATTTCATACCAAGAACCTTTCTCGAACCGATCTGTGATTCATGTGTTGTGAAGGAGCAAAAAAGCATGGCAGCGTTGTATACAGAAGATGGGTCTGCTGGCGAGGACCTTATCTGGGGCAGTGAGGTCAAAATTGAGATTGATTTTGGCGAAACCTCGAAGCGTAGTTCTGTTCACGAGGCTCGTAGGTCCAATAGCACAGACCAGAAATGGAGTTGCTCAACCTGGAAAACACACACCGATAGGCCCTTCAGTGCAGGTGCCGAGGCCGACGATGAGGGTTCCATACGCATCTCGTCACCGCTGTCCTCGTTCAACAGCTCTTCTTGCGTGGACGTCCGAGGAAGGCCACGAAGTCGCACCAAGCAGCTACGAAGACGAGGTATCGACTTGTCTCGCGATGAGCTACGGATATCATCCAGATGGAGTAATAGTGAAAGAGAAAGTATGGAACTATTTCGTGAGGCGATCAGAGAAAAGGCTCGGGACAGGGAAAAGAACGAAAAGCTACTTTTAAGGTGGATGCCTCAAGATAGGACGAAGACACAGATGATCAAAGACGTGTGGAACATCAAGGAGAAACTTGCGAAGACTTTGCAAGGCAGTGTCAGCAGAGGTAGGCGCTCGAATCGGGAAGCACCAAACCAGACACCTGATCTTGCGGCTCAACCACCAGCAGACAAAGTAGCACCTGAACCTCGAATACCTGATCCGGTCCGTGCAGAACCACAATTGAGCATTCAGCAGGTACAGATGTCGAATCCTACTCCATCCTCAGTTTCATCTTTACAGCTTGAAGGACAAGAAACGCTATCACATGAGCTACACTCCTATGCCGCAGATGACCGACGGCAGCACGTAACCCGACAGATGTCTTGGCAACAGCATCTGCGACATGACCTACAACCCTATTCTGTGCAAGCACTTCGAAGGAAGAAGGCAAACTGTGGTCTGCGAGAAGATCTCAAAGCTCGTTGGATTTCGAACCGTCGCGATGCACAACACGCTACGTTACCGTCCGAGAATTTCTTGGGCTATACTCAGAATAGAGCCATTCGAAAGAGCTCCTCGGCACGACCTCTGCTGGTTCAATCGTCGTCAGACATGTCTCAGATCTCACAACGTGACGTTGAGTCCTACTGGAGACTTCCATCTGTCCCGGATCCAGCCGTGTGGCCCCCAACACGTTCTTTTTCTCGTGTATCGTCACCGTTGGTCGACCAGCCACAACACCTGAACGAGGCACCCATCTCGCAAAGCTTCCAGAGTGCCCGGTGGCGAACATCGGGTGGCACTCAAGGGAGGTCACCTTCCTCTTCGCTGCTGGTGACTTCCCTCGAGAGCAGGACTGCAAGTATTTCGGACAACCAATCCAGTGATCTTGACCATCAGCCTCCAAGCACAGAGCTAGTTGCAGCACTCAAGGGACGACTCGCGAAAGTCAGCGATGAGGACACGCTATTTACGATGAGACCATTACTACAGACATCAACCAGCACTGTATATGGCCGAGCAATAAGAGAATCTCAGAACACACCTCCATCGACGAAAGGTGACTATAGCGAGACTTCAAATTCGACTGATCATCACGCTATGTCACCTCATTCACATCATCATGATCTTCCTGTCAGATCAAAGGTCGTCTCGCAAGGTTTCGCCTCGAGCATGTCGCTGCCTGAGATGCCGTGTTGGGACGAGGCAAATCTCGACACGGGTTTGCAACACGGAAGTCCTTGCGAGCATTTTAGACGGCACTTCTACTGAGCTGGTGGTCGTATGAACAATGTGATGGTACAGCCGTTAGCTACCCGAGATTCAGGGGAGAGTTTGGCAAGAGATGGTCATGGTGGTGGATTCTTATGAACTTGACGACTTGGATGAATAATTGGGTAGGGGTGTAGATCTGCCGCGACGGCCTTTGTGTTCAGTTGGCAAAAGAACAGCATAGATTTGGAACCCTTAAAGGCTTGTTTAGAATTTCGTCTATAAGGACTTTCAAAAGTACGTGTCAAAATACACATTCCAAACTCAACCAGATGAGAAATGTTTTGCAATCTAAACCTCGCCGTCCGACTCGTCACATTGCTACCAGACTTGATCCCTGCATCTCAGCCTTGGACATCTGCACGCACTTTGCTTTTGGGTGTATAATCGGGCTTACAAAACACTGGGCTGGCCCCTTGGCTGGATTCGAATTCGTCGCGTTCAATGCATTACCATCTGCAATGTTCGTTCCATTGCCCCAGATACAGAGCGTGTTGAACGTTGCTGGCTCCGAGTAGAAAGGATCACAACAGAACATCTGATCTGTAGAGTTATTGACTGTAGCAGAAGTCGTAGTTTGATGTCTGGCTAGTAGTGCACGGTGATGCCGAGCCTGTAGTGACCGTGGTTCTGCGCTGAGACCAGTTGGAACAGAAAGAAGAGGAGATGTTGTTGTGCTGGTTGGATCCTTTTCAGAGAAGTCGTAAGGTGTACATTGGTCGTAGTAGAGACCCAAGATGGGGTAGTCGGTCTTCATAGTGCATGAGTAAAGTCGTGTGTAGTTCGTATAGGTTGGAAGAGAGCTGAAAGATTGGCAGACATCTTTGATTCTCGTTTGAGGATGGAGAAGATGGCTGGTTGTGAATTTAGTCAACAATGCTGGGAGATCGAGCTGCGCGAGGTCAGCTTCGAGAACTGAAGCTGAGGCAGAATCAAGTCGTGATGAGGCATCAGACGCTGGAATGTTCCTGGCCTCTATTCTGGTAAAGAGTTGTAGAGCTAGGAGCCAAGAAAATAACCTCATCTTGCTGCTTGTAACAACATATGGAAAACAACATGGGAAAGAGGGCTTGTGGAAAAGGAGGATTTTATGGACTTGTTTGTGTTCAGGCGCAACACACCACTTCGTCATTCTTATCGTGCTGAATGTTCCTGCTCAAAGTATTGATAGGAGACCTGATTCTCAAACTATAGGATGTCCAGACCTTTACCTTGCAGTCCACCAATGATATCTGCTGTCAAAATCCTGTGTCATGCAACATATCCAACTCTTATGCAAAGCCGCTGTCAAATTCAAGTTTACATTGCAGTATTTGAGATGTGTATGTGCTCTACCTTTCAGGCTCGCCCATAGGGAAAGGAGAATCATTTTCGAACAGCTCTGGTATGGGTGGTTTCGGTGTCCCCTACGTCCTCATCGTGGCACGAAGCTGCACGTTAGCGACCATGATATCAAACGACTCAAGCACCATAGTGTCTCTCAAATTCTTCGAAGGCATCAGGATACAACCATGTCGATGAAGGGTATCGGATAGACGAGATGCCTGCTGTTGGGACATCGGTGCTAGCTGGACAACGTTCGAGTGATGATCACTGTGAGTCAGCATGATTGCTCCTGAATATGAGTCAGCTATTGTGTAGCAAAGAACGACGTGATCTACAACAACATTCGAGATCTTTATCGTTGAGTAGACCACGAGTGTGTACGTCGCGTTGCTGCAGGCCTCGATCACGCTACTGCAAGGGCACAACGTTGTGGAGCCTGAGGCAACAAGGAATCGAGGTACTATTCTCGATCAAGTCATTCGCGTAGATTCAGACATGAAGACAATTGAATTCGATTCTACGTTCGGCACTGCTGTCCTTTGTACACCACGAATATACTACGCTGCTACAGATTTATCGTTATTTGACGAACTCACTGTGCAGAGCTGCACATTGTCGAGTCGTCCAGCCGTCTTTTTTTGACAGGAGTAGCGGTAGAGGACTGTCTGATTGAGACGAACCATATCAAGACGAGATGGAGGTCAATGGCGCAGCCTGGAAGCCATCGAGCTGGAGATCGAAGCCCGCGAAGCAAGAAGTGGTCTACGACGACGATGCGAAACTAACTAGGACTGTTACAAAATTAAACACATTACCTCCACTTGTTACTCCTTATGAGATACAGAAGCTCAAAAGCTCTTTACGGGAGTGCGCCCTAGGTAATGCGTTCCTGCTCCAGGGTGGTGACTGTGCTGAACTCTTTGACTACTGCAATCAGGACATGATCGAGGCCAAGATTAAGCTCCTCCTGCAAATGAGTTTAGTCTTGATCTACGGCGCAAGGAAAAAGGTCGTTCGTGTTGCAAGGATGGCTGGGCAGTACGCAAAGCCGAGATCGAGTCCTATGGAAAATGTCAATGGTGTTACAATGCCATCGTTCAGAGGAGATATTCTAAACAGCTACGAGCCAGATCTTAAAGCAAGAACGCCTGATCCTAGTCGTCTATTAGAGGCTTACTACCACTCAGCTGCAACACTGAATTATCTTAGAGGCGCTCTCTCTTCGGGTCTAGCAGATTTACATGCACCACTCGATTGGAGTTTGGGTCACGTTATCGATTCTTCGGTCAGGAGCAAGTACCAGCAAATAGTCACTCGGATCATGGACACCTTGGAAATGATGCGTACGATCGGTCTGGACACCGGAAGTGGATTGGAAACAGTCGACTTGTTTACTTCGCACGAAGGTTTGCTCTTAGAGTACGAGGAAGCACTTACACGACGACTTCGCCAACCCCAAAACACACCACTACAAACTTCAGACACAACAACCTCAAAATCCTCACAAACCAACGGCACATCCACCTCTTCCTCTCACTATATCCGCAAATCCTCCGTGTCAGCCTCAAACCCCCTAATGTCCTACTACAACACCTCCAGCCATTTCATCTGGATCGGCGACCGCACCCGTCAACTTACCCACGCCCACGTCGAATACTTCCGCGGCATCGCCAACCCCATCGGCGTCAAAGTCGGTCCCACCATGCCCGCCGAAGACATTGTACCACTCCTCGACATCCTCAACCCAACCCACGAAGTCGGCAAAATCGTCCTAATAACCCGCTACGGCCACGATAAGATCAAACACCACCTCCCCGCACACATCAAAGCCGTTCAGGCCTCCGCGCACAACGGCACAGTCGTCTGGCAATGTGATCCCATGCACGGCAATGGACGTAACGCAACAGTAGACCTGCCAGGAACAGGCGGAACACAAACAATCAAAACGAGACGATTCTCCGATATCCTCTCTGAGCTGCAACAGGCCCTGCTGATACATCAAGAGCATAAGTCGTATCTTGGTGGTATGCACTTGGAATTAACGGGCGAAGCGGTCACGGAGTGTGTTGGAGGCGCTGAGGGCTTGACGGAGCAGGATCTGAGCTTGAATTACACTACCTTTTGTGATCCGCGGTTGAATGAGAAGCAGGCGCTTGAGTTGGCTTTCTTGGTCGCTGGGTTTTATAGGGAGGCTGCGGAGAATGAGATATAGTCAGTCTTTGGCATTCTGAATTGCTTGTAACAGGTCACATTACGGACAAATTTCTGATGTCGTTTCATGTGAAGTGTCTACGTCGAGCTCCGATATTACTAACAAAGGCGTTTTTGCTAACCTGGGTATCAATAGGATACGATGCTTGTCAAGAGTGTTACCTCTCCTCTGAACACATAATGAAAACGACCTTTTAATGTTTGCACGGGATCGGTATCACTATTGCATGCTGTCAGTGCAATTCCAGTCACACCGCAGGCATCTGGATAACAGAACACCTGTTCCAATGGGTGATGAAGAACAAGATTCTCATATGAAACGCGGGCAGAACAAGAAATTGAGCATGCCATGGCGCGAGCTCTGCTTTTCGTCACGCCTCTTCTGTCTTATTTGAGTGGTAGCTGTTTCACCAACGCTTGATCAACAATGAACCTATTCGGGGCCTATGCATGAGGTAGTCTCACTATGCACGAGCCAAGACGATGTTCATGGTATCAGAGAGCGATTCTTAGGCTGTACGTTGCTAAGCGTGTTGTTTTGATGATATTGATTTGGCCGATAGAGGCTCGGAACAAGCCTATGAGCTAATTCTTCGCGGCTGACTCTTCATCAAGAGCTCTCAGAATCGTTCCCTCAAGAGCACGTACTTCACCCTCATTCGTTTCTAGACTAGTCATGAAGTAGATCACATCTCCAAGTACCCTGCTATGTACACCCCGATCTTGCTCATCCAATGTCGTCAGTAGTCGAGCCTGCAGACTTGCTGCTGCAGTCGAGTTGTAGCCTGAAGTAGACGAATGGAGGGTTAATGCCAGGACAGTGCCTAGCGCAAAACACGAATCAACGAGAGGATGCTTCGAGATTTTGTTGAGTGTTTCTGGCGAGAAGAATGAGAAGATATCTCTGTCTTGCGGAGACAACCAGGATGAGCGGTAATCGTCCCACGCACCACCAGCAGAAGCGTTCGAGGACTTGGGCTCTGACAATGCCAGAACTGATCCCGAGGTACTGGCAAGGTCGCGGAGTGTACTTAAACTCTTATTTGCGACCGAACAGCCAATTGCATGAGCAGTATAGCTGTGGCCATGCAGCAGAGCATCAGCTTTGCTGTCGCTGACGAATGTCCTAAAGATACTGTCGGAAGCAGTTGTAAGTGCAAGCGGTAGTAGACCACCAGTTAGAAGCTTAGCATGAGCCGATATATCCGGCGCAACATCAATTTCGGTACCCAGGCTTGACCCTGAATTCCAGAATGAAGATGAGCCGGGTCGTCCAAGTCTATAAAGACCCGTGAACACCTCATCGGCAATGATGGGAAGGCCTGACCAGTCCGCTGAGTTCGACGACTCCAGCGCCGCAGCTTGAGGGCTGATGATGGATGGGTTCTCGCGTATCGTCTTGATCAGCATCCGCTGAAATAGAGGGTCAACCACAATCATACCACCTGCACCCATGATCATGGGCTCAAGGATAAGTGCGCCGAACCTGCGTTTCTGATGCTGTGTCAGATGCTGCAAAGTCCGTGTGATGTAATCAGCATAGAATTCGGCATCGTCGTGCCTGCTGTCGAAATTGAAGATAGCTTTGAGTGATGGAAACAAGGTCACCGGGCCTGTTTCTCTAGGCATACTGTCATCAACAGGAAGCTGCACTTGCCACTGACCCTTGACGAGTTTGATCTCTGGAGGAGACAACCAATACCCCCAGGGCTTGTACCAATCCACTTTCTCGTTGAAGGGAGATGATTCTGAGCAGTTCATAACCCCGATTGTGTCACCGTGATAGCTGCCTTTTAGACCTAGAATGCCAATTTCTGCGTCCTTGTTGCTCCAGCCATACCGTTGTGCAGTTGCTCGAAGTGCCATCTTGACGGCGACCTCCATGCCTGTACTGCCGTTGTCGGTGAAAAATACTTTCGAGAGTCGTGGGTTCTTCAGTGTCTCTAGAAGGTTGTAGCATAAATCTATAGCTGGCTCATGCACAGCATTGGCAAACATGACATGACCATATCGGCCTGCCGCATGTGCTGCGGTAAGGGCAAGAGCCGGGTTTCCATGACCAAGTCCTTGCGTCCACCATGACGCCGAGGCATCGAAAAGCGTGTTCAGGAGTGGTTTAGCAGGACTCGCCGGCTTCAATGGCTGGAGATTGGTCGACATCTCTTCTGAAGTGTTCAGCAGCGAATCAGTCTCCTGATTATACGCCTCGAAGTAGTCACCGTAGGCAGAATCGATAGCAATCACATTCTGAGGTAGCCCATACTGTCGGAAAGGGTGCCAAACAATGGATTCTGCATGAGCTGGCATCGATGTCACTTTGTTTACGTGCTGTAGATGCTTATGATGAAGTAGCTGAACAGCTGAGCTGATAGATGTACTTGAGGAGACTTCATCATAGTAAGCTGCAAGTTGGTCCCGATCTTGGCGTTCATGTTGGTGCTTCTCTGGTGGCTCAGGAACACCAAAAGTGGGAACGTCATGCTGCAGAAAGAAGTCGTTGAGATATTGAGCATTTCCCCATCTCGGAATGTCGAATAGCATCACAGCCTGGACATCATATCCGCGCAGATGCAGAGACTCGAAGGCCGAAATCGTTGTAGCAATACCGCCGAGCTTTGAATCTCCTACGAGTACAACTGGCAGTCGCAGTGGTCTATAAGTATCAGCTTGTACAGAACCAGAAGGAGCAGGCGACAAGACACCGCCAGCCGTCTCCACTACAGCATAACGACCGCCCTTGTTGTGATGAAGGTTCAGAGCTTCCTTGACTTGCTGCACAAGTAATCTGTCATTGTTACTCAGTTTACCAAGACGTGTCGTGATAACGTGATTGGGATCGTCAATCTTGGCAGCAAGATGAGGACTGAGTGGCTGCGAGTACTGCTTCAAGCATTTGGCAACAACCCCAGATGCATGTCTTGCGATATGCTTGTTGTCAGCCTCACTATCTGGACCAGTTGACACTGGCTTCAGATAAAGCAAGCCATTTTTCGGAGCTCTCCTGGCTAGTGCTTTGCAAAGAATGGTCGAGATGATGGTCTTGCCCACATCAGTGTTCGCCCCATAGATTTGCCATGCCCTCAGATCCCGCCACAACATCTCTTCCCTCTGCTAAGACCAAGCCGAAGGCCATGCGACCAGATTTGGTACACCAATTTGTCTTTAAAGGAAAGAGCGAAAATCGGTTGAGCTTACTGGCTCCACAGACATGGAGCCAGACGCCAAGGCGTCGAAATATAGCAGGTGCGAGCATGAGGGCACCTTCCCCTAATTGCCTTGTCAGCTTCCGTAAGTCCTTCCTTCCTGCCGAGACTATTCGAACGACAAATCAGAATATTCAGTACCTTTGAGAACGCGATACAGCGGCTGTGTTCTTGTTTCGACATCACGTCAATAGCACATCTTCATCAGCTGAAGAGTCTCAACATTAGCGCCATTCTCACGCCGAAAACCTAGGGCTATACATTCAGCATAACTTGCCGCTAACAGGACATATCTTCCACTAGACTTAGGCATAACCTCGCCATCGAAGGGAAAAAGACGTCTACCAATCAAAACGTTTACAGTACGGCGCGTCGGCTGATCAAGATCCAGCTTGCGACGCGTTGACCATGCCTCGAAACAGCCTGGAGCAATCCTTGGCTGCGACACTTGAGCGACGACGACGAAGTTCGAAGTTGAGAACTCTCAAGTCGAGTTCCCCCGACGCGATTGACTTTTCATCGAACGACTTTCTTTCACTTTCGACAACACAAGAGTTCCGTAAAGACTATCTGAAAGAGCTCGAAAGTCATGCCTTGCCAGTTGGATCGACAGGTTCGCGTTTGCTAGATGGCAATTCTCAATATGCGGAAGATCTCGAGAGACGGATTGCTGACTTTCATAGAGCTGAGACCGCTCTTCTGGTAGGATCTGGCTTTGATGCTAATGTTAGCATATTCACATGCCTTCCTCAACCTGGTGACATTGTGGTCTACGATGAGCTCATACATGCATCCGTGCACGATGGCATGAAAGTTTCGCGAGCTGTCTCGTTCCTGCCCTTTAAGCATAACTGTTTAGTTGATTTCCGGAGCAGACTATCAAGTTGCAGATCTGGCATACTGGGCAAGAATATCTTCGTTGCGGTTGAGACAGTGTATAGCATGGATGGCGATCTCGCTCCTCTAGTCGAAATGCTAGCCATAATGAAAGAGCTCTTTCCACAAGGCAATTGCCATCTTATCGTGGATGAGGCACATTCAACAGGGATATATGGCCCGAAGGGTAAAGGTAGAGTGAGTGAGCTGGGTCTAGAAGGGGACGTCCTCGTGAGGCTACACACCTTCGGCAAAGGTCTAGCTTGCAACGGAGCGGTTATCTTGTCTTCACACGTCATCAGGTCATACCTTATCAATTATGCTCGACCTATTATCTTCACAACCTTCATGTCCTATCCAATGCTGGTGGCCGTCAAAGTTGCCTATGACTGGCTTAGCGACGGCAAGACGGAATCACTATCTATGAGACTATTCCACTTGATTCGATATATGTACAGCGGATTGAAGAGACTGGAACCACTTACACAAAACCTCGAACCAGGATCTATGCTCCTACCCGGAAGATGTCCCGAATCGGCGATATTTGCTCTGATGATGCGTGAGCCTCGGGAGTTAGCAGGATTTTGTCAGGCAAATGGGTTTATCGTCCGTCCAGTCGTGCACCCCACAGTACCACAAGGCACAGAGCGTGTTCGCATATGTCTTCATGCAGGCAACACAGAGGCAGAGATCGACGCATTCGTGGACAAGGTTCAGACTTGGCTAAAATACAAGATATCGTTGTTGTCAGAACTATCGTCGCAAGAGGGAGTACGGAATACCACCAGCCTGACGGAGGTATACTCAGCGGACATTCAACAAGATCCGGCAGCTATCTTAGCCAAGCTGTGATATATCGTTCGAGATTTACAGCAGTAGTAGCTCGTAACGTCAATTCAAGGCGGGCGAACGCGAGAAATGACGAATTCAGGGACAGGTGGCCACATGAAGCATGTGCTGGCACTCGTGAACCAATATGATGAGGTAGCGACATACTCACCCGAACAGCACCAAGAAGATATACATCTAGACAATGCACATAAATTACACATCCGTGAACAAGTGGAGAAGCATTGAATTCTAGAACTTGCCATGCTGCCAGTGGCTTGTAAAATCATTCAACTTCATCTAACATACTTCTGCGACTGGGTATCATGCTAACATTAAAGATCACAATAATTCGACTTCTGTCTCGCTCTGCAACGCTGATTCATACATCTAACAATAACGAAGCTGGGCTTTGACAGCCAGTATAAGATATTCGCTTATTTCTTAGAAGTCGTCAAGGTTCAGCTCAAAGTCTTCCTCTACATGAGATCGCATCCTAAGTTTGTCGTCCAAGTCCTGATCCATATCAAGTTGGAAGATGTTATCCTCTTCTTGACGATCGACATCGTCTCTGTGTCTGTCTTTGATCTCAAGCGCCATGAGTCTGAACCACATCTCACTCTCGACTGGCGGTTCACCGTAAAGCTCGACGAACTTTCTTGGCGAGATCTGAGATTGGGCCAGCTCGTGCTCAGATGGTCGTTGGACCTTAGAGGACATGCCTGTTCGGTCTGTCAGTGGCTGTTTCTGAGTGGCGGTTGGTAGGATAGAGGCTGGTTTCTTGGCTTTGGGGAAGCCGATTGTGGTTCTGGAGATTGGTCCAGGCACGGATCGAGGTGGCGCAATGTCTGTAGCGACGGCAAAGGTAGGCTTTCGTTTTGACTTGGTGGATGCCGTATCTTTTGTTGCTGTAGATGGGAGTCTTTGATGTTTTCTCACAGTGGTGGGACGAGATAGGGCCGAGGCGGCACTACGAGCCCTGATGGTATCGACTTGTGATTGTTGAGCTTGCGACTTCGTTCTGGAGTGAGATTTCGAGGATCTTGGTCCAGCAGCAATCATTGCCTTCACTTGGTCATCTGGGTCTGAGTTTTTAATGACAGGCACTTGTAGTATGCTTTCTAGATCTTGTTGTAATGAGTTTTTGTCCTCTTCTTCCTGCTTCTTCTGACTGATCGAAAAACCATTCTCATCCTTAGGTGACTGGAAGTAGATTTGCTCTATACCACGATTGATGTTCTCCGGTTTAAGGACCGAGTATGTTTGATCGATTTCGCTGAAGTCTATCGGTGAATCTGGCAGGGGTTGGGCTTCCGGAGGAGCATAGCCAAAGTCTGGCTCATTGTCTGTGTCCTCATCCAGCTGCGCATCAGCAGAGTCAGCCGCTGGTTGTGGGTCAACGAAGACCTGCTTCTTGACGGAACGACGAGTGGTTGAGGGACGCTTCAGGGTCTGCTCAAGCTTAGAGGGTGCTGGCTTCAAGCCTGGAGCTGGAGTCTGAAATGCTTGAGCCTTGGCATTTGTGGTTTTGGCACCTAGAGGCGCTCGAGCTGCTATTCTGGGAGCTGGCGTCACGAAGACATTCTTTGCGGCTTTGACTGTGTTCAACGGTGCGTTCTCATCGTTGCGGGCTCTGAACGGTGTTCTATGAGGACCTGGGGTCTTTGCCTGGTAAGCTCGAATGCCTTGATTTAAGGGCTTGTTCGCAGCGGTCGTATGGTGTGCTGCCGTGAGATTTTCCTGGTCTATTGTCGAAAACATACTGACAGTGTCTATGCTGTACAAGACAGGATAATGAGAGATGATTCCTCCTGTTTTCGATTCCAACACTTAGATAATCGCGACAAGTCAAGCTTGCGCGTCTGAAAGACCATCTAGCGTCAATGTTGACGCCGTTGCTCCTCACAACCAGCAGGAGCCAGAAAGTCACCTACGATTGGGTAGTCACCACGAAAGCCGGTCGTGGCCGCCATACCAATTACAAACAGGATCGGCAACCTTTGTTTGATGAACCCTGATTTTAGTGCCAGGGAGGTGCCCCTCAGCCCATGCCTTCGAGCAGCGTAACACTTGAGACGCGAGCAGTGGGGACCGGACGCTCTGGATCAGTGCGCTATTACAACAAGGCTTCAAGGTGCAGGAGAAACCACTTTCTTACTTCACACTACCATTCCCACCGTTATATTCAATTGTTCTCGAGCGACTCCAAATTGCGGTATAGCACATCCCTCTGTATCTGTCACCGTCAGACCATATTCACTTCCAACCGCTTCTACCACCCACAATATAAATTGACCGCGCAACATGGACAGAATTAAAGAAGTAAGTGATAGAATGAATTTGCCTGCACTCGAATGCGACTGCCACAACACTGCGCTGTCACTACACTCGGCAAGCACAACAGCCTCTACCTGCACCTTCTCGAAACAGGCCCCAACATAACTCACCTAATTTACGACAATTCATGTATCATTCTTACTACCAATACCCTCAACCCTGTCACACATAATCTAAGAAGAAGAGGAAACGTTGCCTATCATGCCTGCAGTCATTAACACATTTGCGCAGAAAATGCAGACGCTCCGCCTCGAGGCGGACGACAACGCGGCCAAAGCCGAAGAACTCAAGACAAAAGTCAAGACCCTCGAACAGGAGAACCTGGCCAAAGAACAAGAGATCACATCTTTGACCCACCGCAACCAGGTGCTTGAAGGTGAGGTTGAGAAGCTCGAAGGGCAACTCAAAGATGCCAAAACCACTGTGGCCGAGAGTGCTCAAGCTGGGCAACAATCCGAATCTCTGCAACGACGCTTACAAGTTCTTGAAGAGGAGGCTGAGGCATCTGACAAAACTCTGAAAGAAACCATTGAGAAGTACGAACCTATAGTTTGTTCAGGTACAAAATTTGCTAACTGCTGCAGACTTCGACAGACAGACGTCAAGGCCGGTCACTACGAACGAAAAGTCCAAGCTCTGGAGCAAGCACGAGACGAGTGGGAGTCGAAGTACGAGGAGATGTCCAAGAAGCATGCGGAGCTACAAAAGGAATTGCAAGAATTGGAGCAAGTCATGGGCAATATCTAGGTTCAAACTGCATGGTTTTGTGATATGGGAGCAAGCACCGATTTGAGACGAGCATGATTATACCACCACAGTCGAAGCGATGAATAGAGACGAATTGTTGCCAAATTCGTGCAGCATCAAACAAGAATAGCTGAAGTTCTTTCAATCACCTCTACGCATTTGAGCCTGCTTGCTCTTTTTGGCCTTCTCCTTGAGTCGATTGGCCTTGCGCTCCGCCGGACTCTCATATCGGAAGGCCTTCTTTTTCCTCTTAGGCCGTTTGTCCTTGTCTTTTATCCTCGTTGTTGACGGCTTCTGTCTCGATGTTGACGCAGATCCGGAAGTCGACGTCTTGTCTCCCTCTTCGACTTCTTCGCCAGTACCGTCTTTCAGCTTAGAGATCCCATCTCTGGAGATATCGACCTCTTCTACAGTGACAGTGGTGTATTTGCCCTCGTCTATGTATTCTGCCTCATGGTCTACTGGCTCTGGAATGGCATCCTGTATGCCACTCCAGACCTCGCATGCCTCCTCCACCTCTTCCTGGTCTGATACTGCATTGGTCGCTATGTTTGCTGAAGGCAGCATGGCATTGACCTCTCTGACATGGCGTTCCAAATCTGCTTTTCGTTCTTCACGTAACTGCCATTCTTTAGCAAGCTACATTCTTTTAGCTCAGCTAAATGGTTTCACACCTTCTTGCGATCGTCGATTCGTTCTTGCCGAGCACGCTGAGCAGCAGCTTCCTGAGCAGCTTTCGTCCTCTGGACCTTACGTTTGTGAAAGCCGGTCAAGTAGTCAAAGCGAGAGGTCTGGTCAAAAACAACCTCCTCAACGGCGGACACATTCAACTTCCTTCGCTTGGTCGGTGGGCCCGTCTTGCTCTTCATGACTTTGTACTCAAGTTAGTGAGAGGAACCATTTGAAAAAGTAGACGATCGCAAAGTTGATGCTCGACTCGGAGTACCAAAAATCTCGTGCAAACCTGGCAAACATCGCGGTTCACATGCGGCGAACGAGACGACATCATCTGCTCAACTCAAGAAAGCCTTGCTATCAGCCAGGATTCCAGCTTCGACAACGAGGTCCTTACCGTAGTGATGCTCTCTCATGCTATAGGCGCTCTGGCGCTCTTGTCGACGGGAGTCTGGGCCTATGAGAACTCATCGCCATTATTCCTCTATTCCACAGCCAAGCAAGTCTCGATAACCGCCTGCCTGCTTCACCTCAACTAACAGGACACGCAGATTAGACATTCCACACATACAAGACCTGGCCTCCGCCTCTTCGATACAATCTATCCTCGATGATGTGCTATCTCAATGCCCGACAACGAACTATCTCCTTGTTTCGCAGCCTGGTGTAACCTCGGACGACTATGTTTGCCCCAAGAACACCCCATTCCTCAGCCAGCGCATTGGATCTCCAGGAGAGGAACGTACGAGTCTGATGGTACGGGATGTTATTGGCAACATCAACGTCAACCATGTCACAAACTTCTTATCGCGTACCTGTAACAAGCGTGTTGAGCGTCTACCATTTGATTCCATTCCCGAGCTCTCTCAGTCGAAGCTTCAGAGTGCGGTACTCACCCTTGAGCTACCTTCGATAGATTCATCACTTTCTACTGAAGGGAAGAAGGCCATCCTAGAGCAACACGACAACTTTATCTCGAGTCTGGCAGAGAATTACTTTACGAGCAACGACTACACTCTAATTTACCTTACTCAGAGCATGTACTCTGCTAAAACAGCTGAGTCTTCCTCGGAAGCACATGAGTACAACGCAGAGATACCTTTCATGCACAGTGGGGAGCTCGTGCGCAGAAATCTTGCAGGCAGAAAGAATGGATCGGCGAACGGCAACCAGACTATCGTCGATGGACCACTGTTTGACAAGTACCAATTCTTCACCCCAGGTATACACAATGACCTTTCTGTCTAGGTTCCCTTGCTCACATTCCTTGCAGGCATTTTCATGGGTCTTTTTGTGGGCCTCATTCTCCTCGCCATCCTTTACGTCGGCATCTCTGCCCTATCGAGTCTTCAAGTCACGTATGGAGCTTTCGATAAAGAGCAAGGACAGCTGGCTGCTAAGAAGCAGCAGTGATCATGTTACAAATTCTGAAATACGTAACAGTATCATATGGTTTGTCGGCAGTATAGAATTATTTGACTCTTGCACTTTTCGAGATCGATGACTGTGGTGTCACACTGTTCCAATGACCATCGTGTCGTTCTACTCATCACAGCAGCCAGGATGATCTCAGGTCTACACCATGCGAGTGGCGGGCATTTGTCACGATATTGATGCATGCTGTGCCACAAGTACCTCTTCCCATCATCTTCGGAGGAAAGTCCATTTGAGAACAAGTCGGACGTTTTGTTGTTTATATCCAAACAGAGTTGTGCTCTCCGCCATCAAGTCATTGTTCCTCTTGACTTCCACTCCGATCCCGCCGCAGAAACGTACCATCCCCACGATAAACTCTGTTAAGGCTTAACATTCACATATTCAAAACAGTACAGTCCTTGTCCATAGGCCCGGGTCCTCGTTACGCGCCGACAAAAATGCAGCTCCTATGCCTGCCGAAGATAATTTCGCTCGGCATGACCTGTTCTGCTCCATTTCCGCATCAACGAGGCATCAAGATATTTTGTGTCCAACCGTATCTTTCCATACACCACGAACTGCCTTGACCTATGCTACTGATCGATACACAGCCAAGTATGCAGATACATATGCTCGCAAATCTGCTGTGGTTGAAAATTGTGATCGCCATCGAAAAAAGGCATGCGCCTCGAAGTGGAGCCAATGGTCCTCGCAACCAATTTTGATATACCAGCTTGGGGACGAACTACAGGTTGGATTGGTGTCTGCCTGGTACCAGATGTTATGGTTTTATAACTGAGCAAGTTTTATGATAGCGAGGCTCATGGTTCTATGGCAAAAATGATGGAAAATCCGTCCGTGCGCACTCGTTACTGGTCTTCCTCTGTGGTGTTATGGACAAGCCACCATCATCTGCCCAGTCACAAGAAGTCATGGTAGCTGATCGAACATCTGGAGCGCTCCCCTGTCTGCGATGGATGAGCACGACCGGGTTGGCAATTGCTGGTTCAGCCCACTGAGCAGAGATCTTGCTCAAAGAGTATCTGGGTAGAGCGAGCACATTATGGCTCTTCAGAACAGCTTGTATGTGAGTACCTTAGAGCTCGAAGGTATATCAAGATGCTTCTGATGCCCATCAACATTTTCTTCTTCCTCATCTCTCCCCCTCACACATTCTCAAGACAAACCAGATACTACTACCAGATATTACTACCAGATATTACTACTGCCACTTCTAAAGCAAAATACTACTACTCTACACAAAATCTCATCACATTCATACCATGGCTTCAACCATGACAAACTATATCAGTCCTAAAGACAACATGAACATCAGTCCCAAAGACACTATAAACCATATCAGTCCAAAAGACACTATGAGCAGCACTAGCTCCTGCGACTATACAGAAATCTCTATCTCCTCGATAACAACTCAAGTATGGTGGACCGCGGTCCCATGCTGCAACACCAACTGCCTACGATGCAAGCGATCAAATCCACTTCAGAGCCCAAAAGGCGAAGAAGTCAGCAATGGCAGCGTCATCAATAACAACCACGAAGTTAAGCTACCAAACCCACTACTACAAAGCCCAAAAGGCGAAACAGCCAACAACAGCAGCATCAACTACACAGCATTCTCCACCCCCTCATCAAAGCCAAATCCACTGCTACAACCTCCAAACCAATCTGCCAGCAATGGCAACACTATCGCTATCACCACCAATAACAACCACAACCACCCTCACAACCATACTCACACTCACAATCGCGCAAACACTCACACCCACACAAACACCACCACCACAATTCACTTACAAACACCAAATCCCTTCCTCAGCAACCCCCTCGTCTTCGATCCTGCCACCAAATCCGACACAGACCAAGAAGAAGACTTCGGCTACACCAGCGAAGATTCTGATACCTCAACCATCAAAGCACCCATCCAAATCACAAAAACACCACTATACCACTATCACGCCGCCATCAACGCCATAAAGCAAAAGAAGATCAAGTCGGTGAAGAAGCAGAAGGCACAGGTTGTGCAGATGATGACGATGATGAAGGAGGTATTGGAGAGGGAAGAAGTCACACAAATGAACGGGAGGATGAATTTGAAGAAGAGGTTTTTGGAGATGGCGAGGAGGGAGTTAGGATTGAAGACGGGGACGGAGAGGACGGTGAAGGAGAAGAAGCAGCAGCATCATCGTTGGGGTAGGCGTCTTGGGTTGGGAGAGAAGTTGAGAAGTGTTTTTGATTAAGGGATAAATTGGTATACTGGTGGAGTTGGATTACGATATTGGGATTAGTTTGTGGAAATGGAGTTTGGGATAGGCATCTATCAATTCAGGAATTCAGACTGGAGGAACAGGATACATTAGCATGGGAATCTGGATATCGTGGGAGAGAACTTTTTAGAGGTATCAGCCAAGCAGGCTGTGGGAGGATTATTAGTCTTAGGAATCAATGTGTTTAGGTATTCATCTCTTGTCTTCAAAGTGCTTCCCATCTGGATGTGTAGTGCCTCAGGCATAAGGATGTCAGCTCTAGCATTTTGCAAGAAGCTTGCTCGTCTTCCTTGTGGCAGCAGTCTATACTGATCTACTTGGCAAGTTCGATTGCATCCATTATTGGTATGAGCAGTCCTGATCTTTCGAGTCGTGACTGTCGGCAGGACGTAGCTCTCTGCCTTCGCTACGAGTTGTAACATCAGGTAGAATGGTATTCAGACCCATGAGACGAAAGGACTCGTATAGCATATAACCCAATGTGTTCGAGTTGTTGCAGCAACTCCTGCCATACTCACGTTTCGTCCAGGCGTGGCAGCAACTTACCTCATATGATCTTGTAGTTGGCAACGAGCTTTTCGTCTATTTTCAGCCTCATTCCTTATGCTTGGCTCATTCTCTTGCATACAGTTTCTGTAACGAGCAATGTTCACTGCAGATCTTCATATGCATTCAGAGCTAACTGTCCGCCGAGATGCGCATACAATACCTTACTTCCACTCTCGATATCTCCATTTCTCACCATGTCCATCATACCGGCCAAGCTTTTCCCTTCGTACACTGGATCAGTAATGAAGCCTTCAGTCCTTGCACCCCATCGAATCGCTTCGTTGGTACGTTCGTCGCCAACACCGTAGATACCACCATGGTAGCGCTCGTCCAAGTTGATGTCATCATCTGTGATATCTTTCTCGGACAATCCGACCTTTGCACCAGTAAACTTCGCTATCCGCAAAACTTGTGCTCGGGTTTCTGCCGGTTTCGCTGAAGCATCAATACCAATAACCTTTCGCTTTGGGCTTAGACCTTGCTCTTCCATGAGTTTAAAGCCTGCGACCATTCCAGCGAAAGTACTGCCTGTAACTGCACAGACAATAATCTTATCGAAGAATATACCTAGAGCCTGTTCCTGTTGTCTGACCTCGAAAGCCCACTTTGCAAATCCCAGACCACCGAGAGGATGATCAGACGCTCCAGCAGGGATATAGTACGGCTTTCCGCCTGATTCGGTCACTTCCTGTTGCGCTCTGGCCAAGGTATCTTTATGTCCAATTCCAAAAGTCGTGTCTTTGTCGATTCTTACGTCTGCACCCATCAAACGGCTTAGCTGAATATTGCCAACCTTTTCGTAAAGACCCTCGTCCACACTACTATGATCAGGCACCCAGTTCTCCTGTACGAGTCGGCACTTTAGTCCACAGGCAGCGGCAACACCAGCAACCTGCCGAGTGTGGTTAGATTGGTAGCCACCAATACTAATCAGTGTATCACAACCTTGTTCCAGCGCATCTGGGACGAGGTACTCCAGCTTTCGGGTCTTGTTGCCACCATATGCAATGCCAGAGTTGGCGTCGTCTCGTTTCGCGTATATTTGAACATTACCACCAAGCTCCTTGGTTATTCTTGGAAGATATTGAATTGGAGATGGTCCGAATGTCAGAGCATGTCGTGGAATGGAGGCAAAGGGTTCCGGTAGCTGTATGTCAGACATTGTGCAGATTTCAGGTGAAGTGTATCAACCACAGTTCCGGGACAGAGTCTACTTGTGCTGAGGATCAATTCTAGGTTATAAAATCGTAACTGTTATTTCGATTTCTATCTTTGATGCATGAGGATTCGGACTTGAGCGCTGGTGCGAGGCCGAAAGTCGGCTATATAGACTCGACATGCATATTCAACAACACCAACTCTCGGTACGGCACTTTTATGGCATCGTTGTTTTGTGGTAAGCAGGTTATTTGCAGTGGCCCTGGCCTAACAAACTTCTTCGTCGTTGGGTTGCCCCAATGTATAGAGGCCAAAGTATTTCATGTACGCGTAAAATGGGTTTCAATGATCTGATCTTTCGTAGGCCCTCGAACCTCGTGTAGCATTTTCCACGACTTTAGATCATGTTGCTCGATTTTGCTTTGTCCTTCCAGACGGAAATTGTAGAAGCTGCTGTAATAATCTTCGACACAGAGATGACCACCACTGCATTCGACGTGTACCACGTTGTTGTCAGCGTTAGACTCTTCTTCAATGCTCTGTACGCAGAATTTGTGAAAGAGGTAGTCGACTGTCTCACTGCCAGGTTTGACAAACCAGACGCTGATCTCATCTTCTTGCATTCGCCAAATATACTTTTTCGAGAAAGTAAATCCTGTCGTCTTTCCAGCGCTTCCTACAGCATTTAACATCTCGAATTGTCCACTTTCCGAGTATAGCATCTGCTCTGATGCATTTTGAAGCTTACCCTGCTCATCTACGAAGATTGATGGCTTTTGTGGAGTGAAGGTCGCGGTACCGATGCAATTTCCCGATGGTTCCGCAGCATTCGCGCTGTGTAATGTACGTTTCAAACGCCATGTGCCTTGCACGCTGTTCCACAACCGTTTGATTGCCGCTGTCTTGTTGACCATGTCGGCTACCGACATGGTCAATGTAGCAGTTCTGGAAGTATAGAGAGAAGAGAGACTGACGAGAGTGGCTGCGAGAGTCTCAAGTAGGTGGCCAAGGAGCCAGTCACGATTCACTGCCTCAACAGCCCCAGCCATTTAGAACAAGAACCAACGAGCAGAAATAATAGCGAAACAAAATGTGCTGGCCATTGCTACACTGTGAACTCTAGCGTCATCTGATATTGTTGCTATGGTCCTGCTGCCACTCTGCCGATGCAGCTTGCACCCTTCGAACAGTGCTGATGATTTAGTCCTAGGCTTCTGGTATTGCTAATTGTTCGCTCAAAATGCAGTACATTCGGGAATAGTAGAACTTTGGCACGGCCCAGCAAAGAAAACCTGTCACCCACACATAACCAACAATACGCACGGCTATAGCTCTAAAATTACCTACGTCCAGCCTTGGTGGATGTGAAGACACTGCCCGACACTGTCCACGCGATTCCAGCAGCTGAACAACTAGACCTTCTACGATCGTTGCTACCGCGTTCACAACATAGAACTTTAGATCGGCGGTAACATCACAAGTCCGTCCGAGTTGCAAATTGGTCAGCAGATGGAAAAGACCCGAGAAAGAGAAAATCAGACTGATGGTGAGTGCTTTGTTGACAGTGGGAAAACGTTTCAACCACCACGGTAGTGTGTCGATAAGCACGGTTGCAAAAGTTGAATAAGGAGGTAGATGAAGCCTGTGCCAGAATCTGCAGATCAGATTAGCTAAGACTTGTAGACTTGGTGGCATGCATACCTCGTCCAAAATTTCGCTAGTGTATAGGCTTCCAGAGGATGCCCAAAGAGCTCCGGCCAGTCCATCGGAGTGTCGATACGAAGCACGTATATGGAGGTAACCGCTAAGATGAGATGGGTGCCGTCAAGTAACAGCAGTGGTGTCCAAAGCGAGTTTGTGGTGAACCATACACGTAGCAAGGTCTCCCTCTTCGTGATACTCAGACCTGATCCCGCCCGTTCGAATGAGAACATTCGACGAAGGTAGGTCGTTTTGCTTGTGGCGAAATCATCGCTCTGCAAAGGCACAAACATGATTGGCACGAGGACGCCAAGAACAAGAATGTACAGCAGCGTATTGAGGGCAAGCCATTTCGCCTTGACAATCGAGAAATTCTTATGTGTGGCTGCTGATCTAGCTCTGCTGTTCTCCTCAGGAATCACAAGATACTTCCTAGGTAGGTTAACCAGACGTGGATTGTTCGTGACTTTGTACGCTATTTTCCAACATTGTGGCTGAAGCCAGGAAATGCCGCGGTCGCCTCTTCTGTCATTGTGCTCGTCAATGCGAATCGTCCACTTCTTGACATAAAGCAAAGAGCCGCAATGAAGTAGGCCGATCAAAGTGAAGAGGCCACATAGTTCGGCTAGACCCGGAAAGAAGTCCAGAAGATGTAGTGTCTGGAAGGACACAAAAGCTGGGGTCAAGATGACGGGTAGAGCTAACCAACGACGTTGAAGGGATACTGTCAGTAATACGCCAGTTCCGGCTTGCAGCAAAATCCAGGATGTAATAGGTATCAACGAACCAAAAGAGATGCTCGAAGCCATGCATGCAACAACGATATTAGCCCGACTGACCGCACAACGCTGTCAATGTGGCTGCCGAGTGATGAGCGACGTCTGGCGGCATATTGGAAGCTGTTTTGGTCACGGAATGTTCTTGCAAATTGAGCTGTCTCTGGAATGCCGTTTGGCCATACATTTCAAAGAGCTCATGATTGTCCTCATAAGGTGTGCTCAAGCAGAATTGCCTCTACCTGTACCTCGACAAGCTGGTATAGATGAATGCCAAAAACCTTTTCCCAAAGCTTGGAGTCGCGATTCCGAACATGATAGCCCTGCCAAGAACTGGTGGGGTTGTTTTTCTGATCTCGCATTTTTAGCGTGACAGATTGTCTGCTGTACCACTGTGTCTCTGCTGGTAGAGTACCACGATCGTTGGCTGTGGACGATCAAGCAATCTACTTAGCATGCATACTATTTCGGTTTGCGTCAGTAAGCCTGACGTTGACAGTGCCAGCCGTTGTACGTCAGCATTTCGCGATTACTGTTTTCAATACAGGACGCGATTCGATGAGATTACTTTTACCCCGGAATTGATGGTCAGGTCCCGAAATGCGATCTCCATTACGCTACGGGATCAAAGTCAGAGCAAACACGGCCAGAACCAAATGGGCATGGCTAGAGACAGGGCATAGGAAGCTAATCTTCTTCCATCCAGTCACATTGCAAGCATGACCGTCTCGTAACTTTTTCCACATCGGTTCCTCGCCATAACCTTCTGTTACACCCGCAGAAGTGGTTCCTCCTTCCCCAAAAGACGCACACTGTCCCTCTAGCGAGAATTGAGGAACCTTGTCAATTTGCTCGGATTTGCCTTTGCTGCAACCACTTCAAAATGTTTCGCTTGCCGCGCTGTGTGCATGCGAGCAGATTTGCTCTGCTGCTTTTGCGTCCCTACCACTCCTCGTGATGGATTGACATCCATTCACACTACCACGTTCCTTATTCTATATCGACCCTCCTTTAAACTGACTCTGGCAGAGCTGCACCAACTCCAATTTTCGAACGACAGTCTGCGCCAGGAGCGTGCTCTGATTCAAAAGTCCTTCTTTGAGAAAAACAGTAGAATATGCCGATTGTGCCTACGTCAGCATCTGCCAGCTTTCCGGGTTGCGCGTTGAGCTGTACGACATTGCTACAAGCCGAGCAGATATGTATGCCACCGAATCAACCTCAGGCCGGTCAACTTGTCTACGACCAGTGCTTCTGTAACTCGGCTTTTCTTACGCCTTTTGCGACCACAGCCGATGGAGTATGCGTGACTGAATGTGCGATCCCATCAGACAGGCTAAGATTGCAATCATGGTTCAATAATTTCTGCGCACAAGTCAGTAGTGGTGTAGATCCCACCACCTTGACGGCAACCTCTTCACAAGCGGCCGCGACTACCGTTACCGCTACTTCGACAGCGACATCTGGCACCGTAACAGTGACCCCTACAAGCACATCTGCTAGCTCTTCATCGTCGTCTCCCGATCAAAACCAATCGTGGATAGAAGGTCACTGGAAATGGATTCTTATGCTCGTGATACTGGCCATTGGACTAGCCTTACTAGCCTGGCTAGCTGTCTGGCTGAAGCGCCGCCACAGACGCAAGCTCGAAAACCTCAGAGCTACTGCTTCAGGTTTTAGCTATGTTCCTGAGAAACGTCCTGCCAATGGTATCAGACGATCTGCAACGCCCGATTTGTGGGGTCCTCATCAAATGATGCAGGCGACCCAAGGCTACGGCTATGCTAGCGATGAAATCGTGCAAGCACCGAAGGAGGACAGACACAATCGAAGTCATCGCGGCACCGAGGCCGTGAGTAGACCTGAGAAGGACGCGATCGAGATCGCCGACATCGAGAAGAATGCTGCTAGCCTCAGACCATCAAACAAGCGCGCTCGACCTTCAGAGCTTGAGGTCAATGCTCGAATGATAGGCGCGGCTGATCGTAGGAGCAAGAGCCGTACAAAAATACGTCGAGAAAGTCAGAAACATATGGTTAAAGAGGTAGAAGCTTGATTCGAGCAGCATCTATCCGGAACAAGATCAGAAACATCCCCTGTCATTCCTCACAAGACTTGATGCAAAAACAAGGTACGGATCCTACAGAACTTCCTTGCCTGACTATACTGGCAGTCCTGTCGTCCGAAGGCTTCGACTACCTGGCGACAGTGCAGTCACATCATCATGTTATCAGTCAACTTTTCAGAAGCTCTTTCTTTGACCTCATTCCAGTCTTGCATGCCTGACGACGTCTTCACTGCAGGACAGGGATAGACCTATGTTATGACGCCTGTCCAGTCTTGTTCTTTCCGTATGAGAAGATACCGACTCATTACCTACCAAGCTCTTCCCCAGCAGGCAGCTATCACAAGAGCATACTAGAGTACACTCACCAAAAAGCTACACCTGGAACGATGACGAGCGCCATTATCTCCTCCAATGCTCACGGTGACCCCGAAATAGGTGATGAGATTCCCACGGTCCTGAAGCAAGTGACCACGTACAAACGCCGTGCGGTCGTGGGTTGGAATCACCAGAATGATACACCAAACGGTCTCCAAAGCGGCAAGGTCTGGGGCTGGGTTTCCGAGCACGATCATTTCTGTGTATACGACGAATCGTTCAATAGGTCACTCGAGGCAGGTGACGTGAGATTCTGTGGAGTGGCCAACTTCACCATGGTTAGAATGTTCCACCCATACTGGGCACACTTTGGAAGGGTTCCCCGCGACATGCACCCACGCGACAAAGAGAGATGTCGCTAAAAGTACAGACAATTGATCAGAAAATGGCGAATTAGCCAAGATCTTCCCGTCGATGATGACCTCCAAAATCCAATCCAACCACGACAGACTGGCAACAGACGAGGCCGACCTGCTCGGCGATCACGAGGCGGGAGAGCTCTAAGAGGAGGACGAGGACGTGGACGAGGCAGACCAAGGGCATCACGATCCAGAATTCGTGAAGGTGAAGACAAGGCTAGCCGCGATCAAAACCGAGACGACGTTATAGCTATATCCGATGACGATGACGACGACGGGGGATCTGATACGGAGCTCCTAAATTCCATGCGACGGGATAGGGCTGCAGCTGGTAATGTACAGAACAACGACGGGCTATTCACTAGTCCTTCTGCGGAAGAAGTCAAGACAGAGGCTAGATCAGCAAGCGTCCGCTTTGATAGAGGCTCTAGTGCTCGAGATCGAAGTGTCGAAACGCCAACTCTCAATTCCAATCGACCCGATCTCACTGACAACCAGGACGAAGGCGAGGAAATCACGCCTACTACTGGCACGACAGATTCGCTGGTCGGCAATGATGCTATGGATTACCCATTAGTCGAGGACGATACTCGACCCGTGGACACAAACGAAGTCACGCAGCAAGGTATGACGCCACTTCCTTCGTCGATGGCCACGACCGTTGTAGGTTCAGCTGCCTCTACTGTCGAGGACGCCTCTTTCCCTCCTTTGCCGGGATTGACTGGAGAAGAGAAGTCCATGCGGGAGGTCATTGATCTGACAAGATTTCTGGTCGGTGAACGAATGGAGCCGATTGTCATTGACGACGATTGAGCGAGCAGAATATGGATGAACTGTGGCGAAGCGAGGAATCAGATGGCTAAAGTGCGCACAGCGAGGGAGTCCTCCTGGAATGTGCACTTGCAAAAGTCATGTGTTGTGATGAGCTTTGACCATCAGCGAAACTTGAACCTTCGCACTCACTCGAAATTTTTGAAGAGTGATGCCCTTATAAATGCTCCATACTGAGAGGATGAGTTTGTAAGGCAGTATGCCATCAAATCCATCGAGTGATAGCTTAGCACTGACTCACGTGAGAATGGCTCACATCGATGAGTCCTATGCTAATGCTCTTTGTCCCTTACCACGATTCCTTTGTTCATAATCGCAGTCTGCATTCGTTTGTGACAATCCAAGATCGTTTGGGTGACATCATGCGCATCACAGATATTGTACTGCCATCGCTGTTTGCGTGTTCTTGAACTTTTACCATCCTCCATAACCTAGCAGATCGAGAAAGACTCCAGGGAAACCCTTGTCTGCGAAGTGTGATCTGTCTGGTACTAAACACATCTACTCAGCGCGCACAGGTTTCGAACACAACCAACAAAAATGTTTCGTCGCAACCCCTTCACAAAACTCACATCGTCTCCCTCTTCATCCTCCAGGGGAAGCCGCACCCCAGTCTCACCATTTGCCAATGACCTTCCAATACCCGAGAACGAGGTTGCGGCAAGTACACCGATCCCCGAACGTCCGCCGCTATATACATCCGATTCGTGGAACGATCCACCAATGTCGTGGACTAGCCAGGCTGCCGCGTATGATGTGAATCCGAGGTATACAACGGCCAACCAGTCGTATACTCACAGGAGGAGAAAGAGTAGTGTGATTAAACACTTGGTGATGGGTGGTGATGAGGGCGCGCGGTATCAGCCGGCGTATCAGGATTGGCGTGATGGTGTTAGAACGCCGGAGAGTGATAGTGAGAAGTGGGATATGAGACATGCCGGATTATCGACGGAGCGAAGTAGAGGCGCAGTTGTAAAGGTGTTGGCTAGTTTCCTGCTTGTTATCAGCATTGTTCTAGGTGGACTGTGGGTATACGGTGGTGAGATGCCACTCGTCGCGACACCAGATACGAGAGTGGTGTCTGAGTCGATATCAAAGATGAGGATGAATGCAGCAGATGCATGGAAGAGTGCCACGAGCAATATCAATATTACAATGGTTGGGGACAATGTGGCTTGGCACACCTCAAAGATTCAGGAAAAGATCAAGGGAGCTTGGAGTCTGAACCAGGACGTACACAGTGGATTGGAAAGAGTGAAAAGATGGATCACTGTGTCGACCGCTCTCCGACCAAGCAACGATCCAAGAGGAGACGAACGCTCGAGTCCAGTCACGGTCACAGTGACCAGTACATCTGGAGGTAGTGTTAATCCTGATTTGACAAAGTTCATGCCTGAGACGCTTGCGACCATGATCAAAAGCGCTAGAGCTACTCAAACGAAGGCAAGCAATTCAGGGCCTGCAGTGAGCCTGATAACGCCAACCAGCACCCAGGAGAAAGAGAGTTCCGCAACCGTCCTTGGAACGCCGGTCCAAGTCAAGGAAGTACCGAGCGATGGAATCGACAATGTGATCCCTGAGCCGCTGAACATTGTCGAGGAAAAGGACGATGAGAACGAAAAGAGACCAGCTCAACACGGTCGAACTGGTGAGATGTGGCGGAAGCATGCTGATCCGGGTACTGGAGATAGCGAGATTGACGAGCAATTGCAGTCGTTTGCAGGGACATTAGCTGACGGAGTTTCACCCGCTACTGAGACTTGAGTCTTTGAGGGAGTATAGATATTGGAACAGATAGTGACAACCCATGTATAACATGAACTCAGCCTTTCCCACGAAGTACTGTATGTTTTTATAGTAGGACTCAATCGTTCTTCAGAAAGATCACAAACCTCGCAGTAATGGACGTGTCGTGCGTTCGTAAATCGTGGAGACTGTACTGTAGTGAAAAAGCAAGTAGGTAAGAAGGTAAGAAGGTGCGATCCCCATAGTTACTACTTCCGGATCGGCGCCTCAGGCGCGTCTTGTCACGATTATGACGCGCCCGAACCGACAAAGTTACTGGCTCGCTAGCACACTATTTGCTCAGCTTCAATGTTGACATGTACAAACATTGTCAGTCCCTTACATGCTTCACATCGTTCTGAACCAACCCCTACAATGGTCCTCTCCTCAATCAACTTATAGATTTATTTACTATCCTCAGAATGGCATCTCGTGAGGGTTCCATAGCAGCATCGAGCGAAATAGACCCGGTCGATGATTCTCGCTTTGCATTAGGAGAGGCCGACGACAATGCAAGCGCATCCGATCTTCCTCCTCGAACAGCGACACCAAGCTCTACTAAGGGTACGAAACGACCTCGTCCTGTAGCAAAGAGAGCACGACCAAAGAAGGGAGCATCAGCTCTACTCGTAACTGAAGGGGCTGATGGTACAGAAGATGAGACACCCGCCAAAAAGATTAAGCGATCCGGTAGTGAAGAGCCAGATGTCGAAGGTACAGCTGTAGGCACTAGGAGAAAAGCAAATGGGACAGTCGGCTCCGTATATTCTGGAAGCAAGATCAGACACATCAAGAAGGCTGATGGAATACCCCTTTGGCGCAAAGACATACAATATGCCTTCCTACACGAAGTCGTCCATGACGAGACCAAGTGCTTCACGAGGATTAGCGATGGCAAGAAAGATTGTACCTTTGCCGAGATTTATATCGACTCTATGGCCCGAAGTTCCAAGACATCTAGAATTCTTAAAGATAGGCTGCAGGTCGACAAGCCTGCTGCTCAGAACATGGCCATGATCTGCCTACTGGTCAATGTGGGTAGGATGAACACCACGCTCAACTTCTTCCCAGAAATGCGAGCGCAACTTCGAACCTACCATCCTATCCCAGCATTACAAGCATATCCGACACAGAAAGACTACAAGTCCCTCCAAGATGCCCCAAGGTTGAAGTCCATACTCAAAGGTGCCAGTGAGGACGAAGAGCAGCCAAGGACATTGCCACAACTACGAGAGAAGCCTGTCCCGAGAACAAACCCTGTCAACCTAATCTTCGTCCTCTCCCAAGCTGCGAATGAGGTGTCTCAGATGCACTTCCTCGACAAGATCGACTTCTTTGACTTGGCGATCCGGCCAAGTATATCGAGTCATTCAAGAGCTGTGGCCTTTCTGTGGTTGATGTGGTGGTATCTGGAGTCTGACTTTACAAAAGAGGCTGCTCTGAACAATCCATTCGGTCCAGGCGAGTGCCGGGAAGGCCAAGATCCCGAGAATCCAGATGATATACCTCTTCTCGTACCTAAACTCGAACCTATCACTGAGCAACAGGGCGACGACGAAAACGTTGATCCACAAGAAGAGATTGATTTCGGCGCCAAGATGACTCAAGAGCGCGAACGCTTTAATGCTAAGGCTGAGGAGGACGCCGCCCTTGAAGGCAATGGTCGAGAATTTGAACACAAGGGTATCAAGAAGCTCAAACGCACTGCTCGCGATATGGGCGATGACATTGATAGTAGTGACATTGATTCAGTCAGAGCAAGTCCTGGCGTGTCTGCTAGAAGTCCTGCTCCGCTCGACCTTCCAGGTCAGCCTTCCTCAATATTACAAGCAGACAGTATTGAAGATGACTGGGAAGCTATGGAATCACACCCAGGACGAGGTCGTTACAAGCGCGTTAAGGGCAAGAATACACCTTCAAGAAGCAGGCAGCGTCAAAGTGAGCCTGGCTTTGGTTCTATGCGGGTGGCTGCTGGTCGCTCTCGGTTGGGTCTCAACAGTGACCGTGACACTCCAGATACCGGAAGAGGCACTCCACAGCCGCCTGGTATCAACCATCCTGTGTTGACACAGTACCCCGACCCTCGCCAGCCAATATTCGACGCCAGCCATATGAGCACTGCTGGGATGCCATCGTCCATGAAATCTCGTGCTCGCACTGGTTATCAGAAAGAGCTCGAAGAACACAAGCAGAAGCGCATAGGTTGGCTTGTAAGCAAGAAAAGACGACAAGCTCTGAAGGAGCAGAAGCGCAAGCGAGAGCAGGCAGAGCCGACCTGGTTGCTTAGGGACATATACAGGATTTCGCAACTGCCTGACCTTTATGATAGTGAGGAGGATGATTCGGCCGCCGCTGGCCTGACTATGCTCCCTTACCCTGTACCGTACCATCGCGGCACAGGCATCGGAGGTATCATTCCCTTGAAGCGAAACAACAATACACCACAACTAAGTAAACAGAGATCAAATGACAATCAGTCTCCAGTCAAGGATGAAAGAGGCGAAGACACTCTCGACTCAAACTTTACTGCAGACAATGACCTCGAGGACTACCTAGGCGAAGAAGTAGAAGACTGGAACAAAGTCTTCCTGCGTACCCATAGAAGACTCGACGCATGGAGCGGTGACAAGGACTATCAGAGGTTTCTTCGAAATAGGCAGCAAGAAGAGCATAGACTCGTCCTGCCTCCCGTCACCACATTACCAGGACTCGTTCCGAGCCTACCACCTTCTAGTGTTAATAATGAAACCCCGCGGAAACCCAGACATGAATCGAAGAAAAGCCTTGAGGAAGAGATTAACGAAGATCTACTCGCCGAACGTAGTGCCGACGAAGGTGAGGATGATGAAAAGATCGATGCAATGGTAATGGTTTAGTGTTGGCAGGACGGAGTGGGTAGTCAGTGGTTACTGGATAGCTTGTGATGTCGAAGAGATATATCGGCTACACAGAGTGACTTGAGCAGGGACTTGGATTGACGCTGACAGATAGCAGCAAGAAACTCGACTTGTGGTGCTACATCTATGCAGTTGAGCCAGCAGCTCATCAATGTCAGGCTCAATGGACGATAGCCTCCACCTTGTTTCACGGCGGCAAAGCGCACCAAGGCTAAAAGGCACGACGTAGCCTGCGCAAGTGGTAATTTGACTCTCCGTAGTCGGCATAACAAAGATCATGTTGCTGCAAAGGGAGCTGAATAGAGTGCCTGTCTATGCACCTCGTTGTAGCTATGAAGCTGAATAGCGAATACATGTTCTGCCACGCTGCAGCCGGCATTTATGAGTTGTCAATGAAGACAATGCTCATTATCGTGGCCAAAGCCTTAGATATGGAATTATTTGGTGTGAACCAGTCTTAGCACTGAATACAATCGTCCTACACACTTCAAATTTGTCGCCCCAAACAAAATGAAAGTCCAATCCTTCCAGGTCAGCGCTCTTCTGGCAGTGACCCTTCTCACACCATATACCGCAGCTGGGCCGCTCGTCGCCTTTATCTTGCCCTTCATACCCTCGTTGGGACCTATTTGTGAGTCGATGACTCTTCCCAAGTTCTTTAACTATTATACTGGTTGAGGAGAAGCTTCTGGATCTATCGCGACAAGCCTGCTGACTTGTACAGTCGGCGCTGTCCCTGCTGCAACAGCACTGGGATGGGTGGTCGTGAATAGAGGGCTGTACATAGCTTCGAGTGTGGTTGTGGGCGAAATGATTGCCGGAACCATCATTGGAGGTGCTGTGGGGGGAGTCAGTGCCTCGAATGCTAAGGAATCCAAGGCACTAGCTGCTGCTATATCGGAGGCTTCAGTATCGTCAGTATCTCACGAGTCGCTTTCGAGGGCTACTGTGTCGTCGTTGCAGGCGGAGTGGACGCAGAACTCGATCGCGTTGCAATCTAGCTCGGCCGCCGCGGTCGCTAGTGTGAATGAGCTATTCAAAGCTCCCGGGACAGCACCTGTTGATACTGCGCTCGATCCGTTCACGTTCAAGAAGCGGTGGATGACTGAAACTACGATTCCGACTGTGACGTCTGCGCCTTCAGCAGCGTTGCTGGATAGGCGAGGCGACGAGCTTCCAATTCCACCTGTTGCACCTGTCTCGGCAGTTCCAGCTGATTTTGTACCGCCGACGTACGCTGGTGTGCCAGAGTACAATATCCATATGTGCAAGGTTGATATTGTGGCTATGGGGACGGCCGGTCAAAGTCTTGTTATGAACAATCCAGCGGATCGAGGTGAGTGTTGGGGTGGGTGTGGAAGTTGTAGACTTGCTGACGGTATGCAGTTCTTCGAGTCGACAACGTCCCGTCTACTTGGTAAGTTCTGCCCCAGCGCATTCCATACCGAATCGCGTTTACTGATGTCCGCAGCATGGTGCTCGCAAATTTCGTCATGGGCAATCCAACTCTGGCACCTTTCGCAATCCCGATGGGCGCGGCGAGTTTACAATGGAACGATGTAGATCCTGCTGCTATAGGGAAAGTGCGAGAGTTTTTTGGTGTTCAATAGGTATTATACATGATGCAGAGATGAGCATTGTGGAATGGTCCATTAAGCGTGGAATTGGTATGGTTTCTGGAGCAAAAATGAAAGGTCAAGATCGACTCAATCATGGAGGAGGTTCGCGCATCTTTCTTGCGGTAGGAACTGTACCTACCTCTTTTCTCTAAATCTTGTCTAGCAGCAGTAGCAGGAAGGAAAGAAGCAAGGAATGATCAGGCACGACTTGTACCAAGACTCATGCGTGCTTGGTCTCCTTGGTCACCGTACCCTCCCATGACGTGTTTTCCTCATTCGTCGTGCTGGAGCTTGGCTTCATCGTGGAGTATATAGTGTAGCGGGTGATGACCAGCTACAACTAGACAATAGAGATATTGCTCATGCGTGTGGTATATCAATACATCCGTCCTTGAAGAGATTCCCAATATGTACATTTTCAGCTCGTTTTTGCCGAGCTTACTCCTCTTGAACTCTGCAGCATCAGCACACCTAGCAGGAACCGAAGAATTTATACGTAGTCAGCAAGCTATTGCTGAGATACCTGCTTCAAGAAGTTCTCGAAATGATCTTTCTTCAGTAATCTCGGAATCACCACTGCTGTCACTCCATCGAGCATTGGTAGAAGTTCCATCGATTTCTGGTGATGAATTAGCAGTAGGCAAGCTTGTCGTCTCAACCCTAAAGGCTCACGATTTTATCATTACTACACAAGAAGTTCCGGACCCAGATAACAGCACAGCGAAAAGATGGAACATATATGCTACACCAGACCCGAAGAAGTACTCAAAGCGCTCAATAGGCTCTGAGTCACGAGTCAAGCCATCCAGCCCAAAGGTTCTTCTGAGCTCACATATCGATACCGTACCACCATTTATACCATACAAACTATCACGAACCAAGAACTCTAGCTCACGAGACGACGTCTTGATCTCCGGCCGAGGCACAGTCGACGACAAAGCTTGCGTAGCAGCTCAGATCATAGCAACCCTCAACCTGCTCTCATCTTCATCCACAGACTTTCATGCCAGTGACATCGCTCTCCTCTTCGTAGTCAGCGAAGAGACAAACGGCTACGGTATGAAACACTTCTCGAACTCAACTCTTTACGATTCCATCAAAGACTCACTTTCTGCAATCATTTTTGGCGAACCCACTGAAGGAAAATTAGCAAGCGGTCACAAAGGCATCTCGATGGCTCATCTCGTCGCTCGCGGCAAGGCAGCACACAGTGGTTACCCGTGGCTTGGTCGAAGCGCCAATAGCATGATCATCCCAGCGCTTATGATATTGGATAAATTAGGAGACTTACTACCTGAAGAAGGCGGCTTACCAAGAAGTAAGAAATACGGCAATAGCACAGTCAACGTGGGCTATATCAGTGGTGGCGTGGCGGCGAACGTCGTTCCTGCACATGCTGAAGCGAAAGTTGCGTTTCGCCTTGCTGGAGGGACGCCAGAGAGTGTCAAGAAGACTATTTTGAACGCTATCAAAGGAGCAGATCCAAAGGGTGAATTGGAGGTTGACATTTTCCAGGGATATGGACCTGTGCCGTTGGATACTGATGTGGATGGGTTTGAGAGTATAGTCGTGAATTATGGTACGGATGTGCCAAATCTTGAGGCGAAGGATGGGGTGAAAAGGTATCTGTATGGTCCAGGAAGTATATTGGTAGCACATGGGGATGATGAAGGGTTGACTGTGGGTGATATGGAAGCAGCGGTCAAGGACTACGAAAAGCTGGTCAAGCATGCGTTGACATTATGAAGAGGTAGTTGTGAACCAATGCTTGAATTCAACTGCTAGCCAGGCGAAGGTATAAACTCGCCAGCTGGCACTTCCACGTTAATCCTGCTCTTAGCCTTCGAATCCAGCTTCAACGGCGTAGGCTTATCCTCGTCAAGCGATTTCACTTGCAAAGTGCTGGCCTCAGACTCCAGCAGGACATTACCCTCAGCCCTAGCAAGCTTCATCAGCTCTTCACTAGCCTTCGTCTTTTCTCCCGTGATCTTGTCCCACACAAACCCTTCCTTGCACCACATCCACGTCATCCATGCACGCAGTTCTTTATCCATAGGCAGCACCCGTTTCCACTCGGGCTCAAACGGTACATTACCATGCATCTCAGCTCCTTCACCATCATAGGCAGTAGCCAGACCACGCAGTTCATCTCTACAGAACATACGCCAGCTATCGTGGCTATAAGGTCCCAGTCCAGGCAGATGACTGATTTCCCAAGCCACTCGGGGATCCGTATCGTCGATCGCTTCATCAGCTTTCACATCCTTTCCGTCACCCTTGGCGGGATACCCAAGCTTCCTCCATCTCCGTCCTTTCACAGGCGGATCCTCGACCCACTTCGCTGACATAGCTATACACTTTGCTGCCCTCTGATTCTGAAATCCAAGCTCGCGAATGATCTCCGTAACGTCTGCTTGCCTCGCTTGCGCGAGCTTCTCAGGCGTAGGATACTTCTCCATTAGCTTGTAGAAGATGGGCATGGCTCGGGCTCCGGGCGTTTTGTTCAGGAAGATTGTGGCGAGCAGGAGACGGAAGGGGTCGTGGCAGAGTCGTTCTTGCATGAGGCCGAAGCGTTCGAGGTGGAGGGGTGGAAATGGTAATGTGCTTAGGAAGTGATCTCTTTGTTTGTGAGGGTGAGGGAAGTAAGGTGACTTCGTTAGTCCTGATCTTGGTTTTGCTTTCGCTGGAGGTGTACGCTTCTCTTCCTTGATAGCGACAAGCTCGGGCTTAGTTTTTACCTTTTTTGCTTTGGACTTCTTGGATTTCCTTTCCGTTTCTGCTAGTGCGAATGGGTCAGGGCCAATGTCTTCGGGAACATCGGTCAGGTCTGAGTCCTCGAATTCTATACCGCATAGTATGTTCTGGAAAGCGGACTGGCGTTCTTCGGGCAATGCAGCGAGAACCTGCTGCCACGGGACCAGTTTGGCAGCATCCACGGTGCTCATCGAATCGTGTACTGTAGCTGGCTCATTTGGCAGTTGCTCTTCCTCCTCAATATGTTGTGCCTTCACCTGCGTTTTCGTCTTCTTTCGAGGTTTAGCTTTCGATTCATTGTATTTACGAGGCGTGACTGAGTCGCGTCGAGCTGCTGTGGTATCAATGTGATCGTCATCCTCTGACTTGTGCACTGCAGGCACGCTCTCTTCTCTCTTCAAGTCGGCTTTGCTTTTTCGCACCACGGGAGCGACCTGGTTTTCCTGGCCGTCACTTTTGTCGTTCTCTTTGTCGTCCTCGAGTTTGCGCCTCTTGGTGCTGCGCCTTTCACTCTTCACTCCAGCTTGCGGCTGGACGAAATGTCTCGAAACATATTGCAGAGTCCTTCGCTTTCTCTTCTTGCTTGGAGCTTTGTCACTGTCCTGGCTCGGTAATGGGGGGTGGACTGTATCAGTAGTCATATGTTGATGTTTGCAAGGTGAAAGGATCTCGAAGATAGACTGGGGAAGTTGGGGGGAATCAGGGGTTACGGAATTGCCAAGAGAGCGGAGAAGGAATCCGAATAGGCATTACATGCTACTCACGAGTAATATACTTCTTGTGTTCTTGAATCGTGTTATCTCGAGATACTAGCTATCAGACTTTGAAGGACGGGGAGTCCAAGATGGTCCAAGTTGTGGAAGGCGGTGCGCCTGTCGCTCAAGCATTCTGAGTGACAGTACAGTCAGGGCTTATGTATACATAGCTATGCATGTCTGGGCACCATTCCAGGCAGCTGTCCTACTATGACTCACCTCAGCAGCGATATAGCCAGATACAGGTACTTTTCTTTAGCATGGATCGCTAATGTGGGAGGATAACATGCGAAAAGACTAACAATGCTGTACTCATACCACTTCAGCAATGACCTTGAACACACAGAAAAGCAACAAACCTGCTCAACATTGCCAGATCCGTGCAGTTTACGACGACGATACGATCACAGTCTATCAAGCCTACAACTCTGGGATAGCTACTGCTGCAGTCGAGGCTCAAAGATTAGACGCAAGTCCGCTTTTCAAGCCAGCACGTATGACGTGGATCAAGCCCAGCTGGAACTGGATGATGTATAGGTGTGGGTATAGTTACAAGGATAGCAACCAGAACAACGTGCTTGCTTTGAAGGTCAAGCGGGAGTTCTTCGAGGAGTTATGAGGAGGAGTGTAGAAAGTGAGAGTGATGAGACACGCAGAGATGGGGAACAGGTACGGGTGCAGTGGGATCCGGAAAGGAATGTGAGATGTGGGAAGCTGGATGTCAGTAGGAGGGTGAGGAGCATACAGATCGGTATCCCACGTGGCTTGAAGGAGAGGTGGGTGGAGGATTCAATTACGCAAATCGAGGATGTCACGGAAAGGGCTAGGCAACTGAAGAAAGTCCTAGACGAAAACACGGTAATTGACGTTGAGGAACTTGTCAGAGCAGGTCTGTTACCAGTTGAGAGAGTATATACATTGCCAGAAGACATAGAGCGAATTCTTGGGATAACACATAGTTGACTGAACCAGAGGAAAAGCTGGCGTTTATCGATTTGCTACACAAGTGCCAATGACATAGGCCTCTTTAGTCTGCTGATGTTGAGACCTGGTTAAGTCGCTAATGCACATTTTCAAGGCACAAGAGTGGTGAGCGCAGTGGCAGGCCGGGGCTGTTTAAATATTGTTACAGACTGAGTACGCCGTAGAGCTGAGATATTCTCCACTCATTTACATGTTTGTGACATGCTGAAATGTTGCCCATCATTTATACATAACCCCACAACTTAGGGAAATTTTCAGGAATTTGTAGTCTCGAAACAGAACCAGTTCTCCTTTTCGCAAGTGCTCGAAAAGGCATTTGCGACTGTGTTGGGCATACTCTTGATGGCGGGAGCTGGTATGGTTGGGTCAGTTCTTGACGGGTGTCGAAGCCGACTTTGAAAATGAACCTTCTGCAATGCCTTATGCTGTTTGGTAGGTCGTTTTCCTTCCAACTCTTCGCGATTTGGGAATCATATTCCAGCAGGATAGCTACCCTCTCTTTTGCGGTTAAAGGCGCGCTGTGAAGAAATTAGTTGAGCTGCCACACATAACATGTGGTTATATTCAAATACCTGATCTTTCAGCCACCTGCGATACCCACTCACGCTCCCTATCTTCTCGCCATAATAGTCCGGTACTGGATTATTGGTGCTAGCTCCCATAGGATTTACACGATGTCTCTTTATTCTCTCAAAGAAGGCGCGCTCTTTGACCGTGAATTCTGGTAGACGACTTCGATGGAACAACTTCCAAATGGTGTTTCCAAAAATTGGACCGATCAACCACCCAAGAAAAGTTGCAGCAAAGGTAAGCAAGCCCATAGAAATAACTGGATCAAGCGGTAGCAGTCGGGTGATCTCGTCAGTCATCTCTGGCTGAGTGCTAAGAAAGACGAAAGCGCCACCAGTGACGACGATAGAACAGAGTATGCTAGACGCGAGAGAGTAGCGACGACGAGAGGTTCGTAATCCAAAGAAGGTGTTCCAATCTAGCACTGTGTTTCTAGGTGGTTGATTTGGGTTTGCTCTTATTGCTTCAGCTGCAGCACTCGAAGCTTGCCTTGTCGGCGACCATCTCGACGACCGTATGCTTGAAGTGTAGCAAGACGATCGTCCTGACAGTGCGGTTTGTGTCGCAAGCCTCGAAGCTATCGAAGAGAAATGTCTGGTTGCGGGTAGGGTCGATATCGAGGATTGTGAGGCTAACGTGGAGGTCAATGTCGTCGCCCGCACAGGACAGTATCGTAGGCCAAGCCTGAAAGCCACCAGCGACATGTTGAGTGCGTGTGTCGCTGTGAAAGGATAATCTACGATGAGCTGGGTGCAGTTGGTAGAGAATCTGTGACGAGGCTGCCCTCTGGATGTGGCTAGCTTTGGGCAAGTGCGCTAGCACGCTTAGGCGGTCCAGGGTTCTGGTTTAACCAAAAGATAGACACTCCTAACCCAAAGAGCACTAATCCTAAGCCCGAGCAAGAGGTGGGTCTGCTCTTAGCGGAACACATAGACTTTCGGTGCACACGAAACACCTTCATGCATCCACTTTCTCTGTCAATCGTTCTTATTGTGCTTCTCAGTCGTGATTGCCATGTGGTTCTCACAAGACTAAATCTGTAGGGCTCTGCAGACTACCAAACGTTTAGCGAGTGTAGAGCTGGCACCAACACCAAGTACGGATTGGTGTAGCAGTTGATCTTGCAGGACTCCGGTCCCTCGCATTTCTGCTGCCTCTTTTCATCTACACGATTGGCCGAAGCATCCCTAGCTCTACACTATTTCTCTGCCCTTCCTTGTCCCGCATCCAGAAGTGCCCGACTCCTCTCAGCTGAGCACGCGTTCGAGACATGCAGTGCTCTCACCTAGCGGTCGAGAAGTCGAGTTGTGTTGCTATCGTTGCCATGGTCTGCCGTCGACTTTAGAGCTGATCTTGCTCATCCCCCGCAGCACATACTGAGATCGGTTCGTCGCTTCCTCTTGATAGCGACAACTACAGGCCGAGGAGCAACAATCGACGACCTACACTCCTGGAAATGCACTGTGGTGTCTATCTTGACTTCGCTCATACGTAGTGCTGGTTTGTTTCTCGTGCGGTGATCAGCCGTCACAGGGCAAATGCCACGACCGAAAAAAGCGGGTGATGATGGAAAAGAAGTGAAGAAGCGATCGAGGAATGGCTGCTGGTAAGCAGGATGGCTGTCATCTCAAACGAGTGTCTGTCTAATCGACCTCTAGGCCGTGCAAGTCGAGAAAAGTAAAATGGTGAGTCTGCACGAAAGGAAATGGGTGCCGGGACTGACTTGATGCAGCGGCGAGGAGAAGCCAGTATGCGCAAACTGCCAACGACAAGGCGAAGCATGCGATTATAGTATTCGCCTAAACTGGGATGGACGGAGTAAGAAGAAAGAGAATGGCACAAACGGCTTCCACACCATTTCCTTCAATTCACAACCACTACCATTGCCTGCCCTCTCGCAGTCACTCCAAGTCAATGCTCCTCACAATAGCGACAGTGCACTTCCAGCACTTGCGCCAGCTCCTGTACTTACCACGATTGAACAAATGCCAATCCTCCCTGGCATCGACTCAAGAAATTCGAGCGGCTCTTCCGATCAATCACTTCCTCCAGTATCGAAATTGGGACATCCAGTTCGTCCCCTGCCTATACCTCATGTCACCACTCCGGCACCTTTCTTACGAAATCCGACGTGGGACGCACCTATTGGCGCTGGCTTCAATACCGCGCGCAATAACCTTCGAGGCTCGATATCCTATCCATCTCCAATTGATTCCTCTTTCGGCAGTCCAAGCTATACCTCCACCACGTTCAGTATGAACGGAAGCTCTTCATACCATATGCCACCTCCCATGACATCAAATCCTTCTCTGCTGCCAGATGCCGTACCGTCACCATACAATAGCGCAAAGAGGATGCGTATGAGTCCTCGTGCCGATAACTTTAGTAGACAACCCGCCTTGAGTCGGTCATTGTCGTCTAACTATGGTCATATTGACGATGTGCAGCGCCATTACTTCAACCCGGGCACCTCAACCTATTTTCCGCCGCACCTTCGTGATCCGCTGACCCCAGCCACTTCTTCAACAAGCCATCTCAACGATGGTGATGATAGACGCATCTCGGTTAGCTCCTTATTGTCAGAAGACCCCGACGAACTGCCTTCTCGCAAAAATTCTTCAACCTCATACCCTCTAGCTTGGAACCACGAACCAATGCCGGAGCCACCAAGAAGAGGGTCGCTACATCAGAGGATGATATCATATTCAGAGACTGAAACCTATGGTCATGACCGTGGTCTGCCTGACTGGGATCTTGGTCGCAACAACGATACCGTGGCACTCAGTGGTGGAAATACTCCCTCGGAGCACAGTGACTTTGAGTCCTGGCTCAATGATGCCGATCTTGGCATACCAGAGTTTGGCTTTCGGCTTGAATCAAAGGATCAAGCTTTCAATCCTGGCGGGTATTATTCGTCTCCAGTACCCATCAAGATACCAAGGAAGCTTGAGCCGCTACCATCAACTTTGACCACCAATCCTATGAACCTGTTGTACTTCCATCATTTCCTGAACCATACTGCACGAATCTTAGTCATTCATGATTGTCCAGAGAATCCTTTCAAAACAATCTTACCGAAGATGGCTGTGGAAAGTGCGAACCTCCTCAACCTGATGCTCACGTATTCGGCATGTCACCGAGCAAGGCTTCTGGGACACAAAGAACCTGTCAACAGAATCGCTCATTGGGTAAGAGATGTCTTTCCGAGCTTACGGCAAACGCTTGACGAGACGCAAAACACAGAAATCTCTAACGCAAACCTTGCAACAGCAATCATGCTTGCATCTCTCGAGATCATCTCTCCCTCGAGTTTTGGTATTGCTATTCCTTGGCAAGCTCATCTCGGCTTAGCCCGGGGCATTATACGCGCTCGAGGAGGACCACATTCCATCTCTAGAAAAGACCCCGTTATGTTCTTCCTCAGCAGATGGCTTGCGTACCTCGATGTCCTTGGTTCGCTCAGCAGCAGGAACACGGAAGAGCCACTCTACGAAGCAAACTTTTGGCAAAGTTCATATGAGAGCACTTCGGCAAAAGAACTATCTTTGACCGATGATGATGATGGAGATGATGACGACGACTATACCATTGACTGCTTGCTTGGCTTCACAACACGTTGCATTACCATACTTGCGCAAGTGGCGTCTCTGGCGCGACAAGTCGCCCCGTATAGAATGCGTGGGCACATCGGCATAGTGGACGAGTCGTGGACACCAAGCCCCGATATCATAAAGAAAGCTGACAGATTGAAGGCAGATCTTGAAAGAGCTAGGAACCATGAACAGTGACAGTGTCATCATCATAGTCCAGTTCTGCTGAAAGTGACATTGACATATGCGCCACCACCTACTCACGACCTCAACGCAAAGGAGGCGGACGAAGCACTTGCGACCAACGATGCTTTCCATTGGGCCGGCAAAGTGCACCTGTTGCGCCGAGTATATAATCTTCCGCGATCGCATCCGGAGGTTGTGGAAGCTGTGCAGCAAATCATGAACAAGATGTATGCTTTACGGCAGTTGGGGAGTGCCGAAGCCTGCAGTCTGTTCCCAATCTTTACCGCTGGTGTCGAAACTGAAGATAAGCTTCATCGGGCCGAGATCCTTTCCCGCCTTAAGGGCGCTGAAGGACTCGGAATGTGTCAGGTCAACCGTGCTAGGAAGATCATGGAGGAGTCGTGGAAAACGGGCGCAAACTGGGAAACACTTGTAAAGGGCGACTTCTTTGGCTAACTTTGTTTGACGTGGTCACTAGAAGCCTAGTATCTGACTATCAATTGTTCTGCAGTCGAGGATCAGAATGGCTAGGGCTCCTGACGTGACTTTCTATCTTATATACAGCTTTGAAAGCAAACAAAATACTTTGATACCCCTAGTCGTATTCGCAATCCTGGGATGCAATCGGATATACATTTCCATCCACAAATTCTAGCAAGTGTTTAAATTCGACTACATTTCCTTATGCGCTGTCATCACACGACCGAGCATCAATGGCGGGTCGGGTGAGCATCTTCCTGATGACGTTAATCGCAAGGCCGTCGTTCCACGGGTGCCCACGAACAATTCTATTATTGATACTCAACTTCCTTCTGCAGCACGTGGGACATCAGTCGAGGCCTATACATATTCGCTCTCTATACTTCCTTGTTGTATAAAATTTTGTTGATATTATTATTGGTGTTTCTTTGAGATATACTATCCGAACATCTGCGGCAATCTCACAATACTGCTCGTGCGACGAGCCAGCAAGACCCTCAACGCAACATGGCGAAGAATGAGCGTTCCCCAGCTGCCGACCGACTGCTGCACAGGCATCCGCTGCAAAGACTTGAATCACCATCTAGAACTGTTTCTGCTGTAGTACATGTAAGCTCACGGCAGGGTTCGGAGTTGGCCCAGACTGATATAAAGCAGATAATCGGACTGGCTAGTTTTGCATACTCTTTTGATTAGTGAGTCTGGTGCGCAGCAAGGGACCTCGCTTCTTGCTCTTTTTCAACTATAGCTATAGACAGTGGTTAACAAAGAGCAGTCTGTTAAGTCATCCGAACCACATGTAAGTACAAGTTCGTCTTCAACAACAGCAGCACTACTAGTCTCCAAACGCCCAGTGCAAAAGATCACGATTCTGACATCGTCCTTTCCAGCAACCAATCCTACGGCTGGCACTTCCAATACCTCACCATCATCGGCCTCAGTCTCGCAACCATAACCTTCACCCTAGGTCTCCTCGCCGACATAACCCTCAACCGCCAACTATTCCTCTTCAAAAATATCCTCTCCTGCTGCTCAGCTCCCATGGAGACCCTGATCACCACACTTTACTGGGGACTTCGCGCCATCGACCCGGAACTCGTTGTCCCCAAAGAACTCGAGCTACCACTTCCGCCAGATCTATCGTTCCACCTCATCCCGACGGCAATGTTACTCATCGACCTGTTATTCCTGTCGCCACCGTGGGCGATCAGTGCTTTGCCGGCGCTGTGTCTTAGTCTGGGTATTGCGTTTACTTACTGGTTTTGGATTGAGCTGTGCTATACGAGGAATGGGTTCTATCCGTACCCTCTGTTTGCGTTGATGGATACGAAGCAGCGGGTTGGGTTGTTTGTGGGGAGTGCGTTGACTATGACCTTGAGTACAATTGTTTTGAAGTGGTTGTATGGGAAGGTGAATGGTGTGGAAGACGAGAGCAGACCGGGTTCGCTGAAAAAGGTAAATTGATTTGTGTCGCAGGCATCGTTGCGCAGGTTAAAGCATGTCGAGCCCGAACTTCATCTCGGTCACGATGGGAAAATTTGAATGCGAGTTGAGGATCAAGTCATCTAGCATGTTCGCATGTTGTTCAGTATCTATGGCGATACATTGAGTAACCTGTTTATCAGACGCGAGTACGTGACTTTGGGATGGTTGGGAACATTACGGCCTGATCCGATAGCAGCTGCACACGACAAAGAGACGGTCCGTGTATGGTGTTCTCTGACGTTAATGTACTTCAGAGTATCATAAGGATTGAGTCTGAAACCGAGCAGGTGAATGCTGTAATTGTCTTTCTCGTCAAGGCATAGGGCTGGCTCACAACCAAGCAGTAATTGACGTGGTTGCCGAGCAGCGACATGTAAACCTACCTAGGTATATTTGATGAACATGCTTCGAGCTCAAGGTAAATATGTACACACAAAGTTGAATTGAATTGCTAGATAATCCTGATCGGAACTAGCCGACGCGCCAGCTTCGTAACGCGTCGCGACGTCCTTCTCATCTCGAAGGTGTTCTAATCTTTTCGGCCCAGAGCCATTGACGCAAAAGACGTAACTATGGTTGACAACGGTCAATGCAGTAGCGTGACTGCAGTAGTCAGTCGCAACAAAGATCTTCGAGACGTTTGCAATCTCGTGAATGATACCCCAAGGGCAAGGATCGTCGACTTAATCTTCTACCTGAAACACCAATGAAAGGCAGTTGCGATCAAGAGCCTTCATGAACCGCAACATACATACGGTGTCCGCGAAATTTGCGTGAGGGCATCGTTGCAATCCTGGGATTCTTTGATGCGACCGTCTCATTCAGTCGGGACATAACGCGTGTACTCGAGTCGTTCAGGAATTCTCAGAAAATTGAAGAAGTAACCACTTTAACCATATCGTCGGTCCACCATGATGCTCAGAAGAACCAAAAATCCTACGAATCAGGATTTTCTCATGTTAAGTGAGTAAGGGGAGGTGCCAGTAGCCAACGCTTATTCTCCCCACGTACCCAGATTGCTACTGCCCAGGGTTCGTTAGCTATGCTGTTGACAAATATCTGCTGTCTCTCCCTTCTACCCTGTTTGATTCAAGCGGTGAGTTATGGCTATGAAAGAGAACGGCGTCACAATCATGAACGGAAAAACTATTATTCATCGAACACTACTGCTGCAAGAGCCGATGCGACCACGTCATCGTCCGACAACAGCATGATGTTACAAGGTTTCGAGTGGTATGTCAAGAAGGACGAACAACACTGGAGGAGGCTCAATGGACAGCTCGAGAAGCTATCAGCAATTGGTGTAATCAGCATATTTAATACACCACTCCAGACCAAATTTCATCAATTCGCTGTAGGTGAGCAGACCGACCTCAGGACAGTCTTGGACAATACATGGCTATCGATTCAGCCGGATCAGGCAGTAACCTACGTGATGAACCACGATACTCAAGAAGGTCAGGTCCTGAGCATGTTGATTGTGGAAGGCTGGTTTATACCTCTTGCATATGCTTTGATCCTCCTCAGAGAAGCTGGCTATCCGTGCATCTTCTACGCTGATCTCTATGGACAGCACAACGGGTTTGGCGATCTCACAGCACCATCTTATGCTAAGCAGATTGCGGATTTGGCTATGGCCCGGAAATACTTTGCGTACGGCACGCAGACCGACTACTTCAACGATGCAAACGCGATTGGGTGGGCAAGACAAGGCAGCAGCGACCACCCAGAAGGCTTGGCAGTGGTTATGAGCAATGCTCAAGGTGGCATATCGACTTTGACAATGAATGTTGGGGTGCACCACGCAGGGGAAACGTGGTCCGGCTTGTTCGGAGGTGAAGGTGCAGGCACTATTGCTGAGGACGGATCTGCCGACTTCGTGGCTGGCGCAGCAAAAGCAGACGCTGGTCAGAGAGCTGCATTTGATAGCTGGGACGTCGATATCTGACGAATCCCAAGAAAGGAGTGCTCGTAGGAACGTTTGGTTAGAAATGGGACCACCCGGTTGGATTTTGGAAAACATGGGCACTACCTGCTGAACCAATGAGTGATGATTCGCGTGTCTGTTCCTGCTTTAGCCGAGCTGAATCGACCCACTCTGCCCCAATTTATTTTCCCAAGCAAAAGATTGAGATTGAATCATCAGGTCAACTGGCGCAGGTGTGCATTGCAACACTCGTGACTGGTCGTCTCCCTACCAACTACGTACACTCTTTTTGAAGTCTGGTCCTTTTCTCTTCGATGACCATCCGTCGCAACAGCAGTATGAACGGCACTCGAACACTTCCCACACGACCCAGCGATCATGGACGAAAGTACTCGACACCAATGGCACCACCGTTCATGGTGTCTGCACCTGGAAAAGTCATAGTCTTTGGCGAACATGCTGTCGTACATGGCAAGGCGGCTATGGCAGCAGCCATCTCCTTGCGCTCCTATCTACACGTCACTACCTTGTCAAAATCACATCGGACGATCAGATTGTGTTTTCCAGATATAGGCCTGGATCATACCTGGAACATCGATGAATTGCCATGGGATGTGTTCGGCAAGGTTTTGAAGAAGCCAAAGTACTACGACATGGTTACCAGTTTGGACGAGAAACTGGTGGAAGCTATGCGCCCAGCAATCGAAGAGGTCGCGCCAGAAGAGCAAGGAGACAAGAGAAGAATATTACAATCTGCGGCTTCAGCTTTCCTATATCTTTATCTGTCATTACAGCAAGCCACTACACCAGCAGCTATATGGGTACTGCGATCGACCTTACCGACTAGTGCAGGTTTGGGTTCAAGCGCCAGCGTTTGTGTGTGCATTGCTGCTGCACTGCTCAAGCAGATACACGTTCTTTCCGGTCCGCACCCCGATCAACCGGATGAAGAGGTTGAAACTCAGCTTGAGAGGATAAATAGATGGGCTTTTGTGGGCGAGCTCTGTATACACGGCAATCCTTCTGGGGTCGATAACACCGTTTCAACTCGAGGGAAAGCCGTGCTTTTCAAGCGTACCGATTACACAAGACCTCCCCAAGCAACGCCGATAAACACATTCCCTGAGCTTCCATTGCTGTTAGTCAACACAAAACAACCACGATCAACCTCGACCGAAGTTGCAAAAGTCGGTGCTTTGAAGAAGAAATACCCAGATGTGACGGAAAAGACACTAGACAGCATTGACCAGGTTACAATGTCAGCATATAAACTCATAACCTCAGACTCTTTCGATCCTAAGTCCGAACACAACATTGAGCATCTTGGTGATCTCTTTCGAATGAACCACGGTCTGCTCGTAAGTCTCGGCGTGTCGCATCCGAAGCTCGAGCGTGTCAGGGAACTAGTCGACTACGCAGATATCGGCTGGACAAAGTTGACTGGTGCTGGTGGTGGTGGCTGCGCAATCACTCTGCTGAAGGATAACGTTGACAAGCAGCGCATCGAGAAACTACAAGAGGACTTTGAGGACGCCGGGTACGAAGAATACAAGACCACATTGGGTGGTGATGGTGTCGGTATCCTCTACCCCGCCGTGCTCAAGAACGGCTCAGAAGAGAAAGGCGGTGAAGAGATTAATCTACAAAAATTCTTGAATGCTCAAGGTGCCGACGATATCGAGCGTCTAGCTGGAGTGGGCATTCGGGAAAAGAGGCCTGAGTGGAAATTTTGGAGGCTTTCTGACGCAAATTAGCGCGTTTTGATTTCAATTGCGAGCGTTGGCGCTGGTTAGGCATATTGAAGTACTTGTGGTATGTACTGTATGTTTTTTGTTCTTGCTCTTCTACCCAACAAACCAAAAAATCATGTGGTGTATGTATCAATAGCCATTGGCTCTTTCTCGGGCCACAGGATGAAGTAATGTTCGAATAAGGAAGCACTTTCCGAGTTTGCCTGATTCTGACTTCCACTGACATACTGCTCCGGTCAGCCGTCACTACTAACTTTACTATGTTTTGTTCGAGATCTCAACGACTTCACGGTTCTTTCTCTATTATTACCGTTTGCATGGGTGTTTGGTGAAATCGTTTCGGAAATGGAAGGTCAATACAGACAAAGACACTCGGATCATCTCCAAGGTTTGTTCGTTGAGCTTTCCTAAGGACTATCACATCACACCACGCTCGCTACAGCATATTCATCCAGCGACGGCGTTGTACCTCGTTGTGTGTCTCAGTCGTATATACTTAGCCCTTGTTCTCTACCGAACCTGCAGAAAGCACTTAATCACGGTGCGCTCTCGACTATCCACATCAATACTCAACAACCCTTACGCCATCGTCGAACCACAAACCCCCCCGCCCTCCACAAATACTTCGCTCCCTCAACAATGTGCATCTCATTCATATGCACATCCTGCTCCCACCCCCTAATCGACCGCTGCACCATCGCCGACCACCACCGACAACTCTCATGCAACAATACCACTCTGCTCCACGACGCCACGCGATGTAGTGCGTGCACGACAGTCGAAGGGGCAATCAGTAGATTGTCGCTGTTGGTGTTGGTGTCGCAGGTTGCGTTGCAGCCGTGGGAGTGGCGGTTGAAGAGGGTCGAGATTGTGCCGACGCCTGAGGAAGGGGGAATGGTGGAGGGTGCCGGTGGGAGGTCTTGAGTGTGGGTAGATAGATGGATTGGGATAAGGTTTCGACGACATAACGGTATTTTCAGATGGGTTCTTGGATGCCTTGTGTCGCAGCTGATGTGTTGCTTGGGGTTTTGTTTAGTCCTGGATTCGATTACCACCTGCCAGTGAGCCATTCACACCTCAGTCTATGACATAAGTCTGAATCGTCAATCCCACGTTCTCGTGTGAGGAACCAATCAAAGTTGGCAGGCATAAGCTGCTGAATCGACAGACGGAATGAAGAAAAGACCTGTGGCTATTCCTACCTGATCCATATATAGCCCAAAAGCCTTCCAACAAACCCACTCAAAGGTTAGTAGTAACCGTCATACTATTACTATGCACCATCAGCACAGGACCCAACCCCTGCGTCAACACCTCCAAATCACTAATATAACTCAAACTGTCACTCTCACTCTTATAAGTACCCTCAATAGGCGCCGGCAGCGTCGTAAAAATAACCGCCGCATCCTGACTATTCTGAGCCATCAATTCATTCAAGATCAGATGCTGCGCTCGACACGGCAGGTCGTTAAATGAGAGAGGGAGGGAAGCGCCTGCTGGATATCCTGACGCTATCGAGGATGAGGTTATTGTTGCGCAGGATGGAGATTCTCTCCGGTCGGAAATTGGAGGTGGATCGCTCGATGTGCCTCTAACATAGATCGAGCGAGAGTTGGTAGGACCGGCAGCGACATCTGCGTCGAACTTGAGGCGAGTAGAGCTGTCTACGTGGCGAGGATGGGTCTGTTTAGCGAACATGATTGATGGACCTGCGCCTTCTTCGTGACTGGTCTCTCGAGTTTCGGGGATTGGGTCGGCTGAGAAGGTTGGTGAGGTGTTGCGGGTTCTTTGGGAGCTTGTTGTCCCGGGGTCGAGTTGGGCTGTTGTTGGTGAATCGCTCGCGTTGGCGTCGACACTGCGATTTGAGCGGAGTTGAGTGCGGCCTCGGTCTCGTGGTGATTCTTCTTCTTCTTCTGGTCTGTTGTAATTTGGATGGGTGAATATGTTATCGTCTTCTAGGCTGTCGTTGGGAGCAGCTTGTAAGCTTGAGGCACGACTGTTGCGGCCGCTGCTCTTCTTTGAGGATTTCTTGCTACTTTTGCGGGAGGTCGGCCGGCTGTGAGGTGATTTTGAGGTTCTTTGTCCATCGCTGCTACGGAGATCTTCGGACTGTTCGGCGTCGTCCTCGTATCTTCCTTCGTATTCGTCGTCGGCATCCTCATCGTCTAGGTAGTCGCCATCGGAACCGTCGCTATCTTCGAATGATGAGTGGTCGCTTGCGTGCGATGCATGTCTGCTAAGCATATCGTCGTCCAGTCTGTGCGTACGCATACTAGGCACGACGCCCATGTTGGAAACATTACCGATGGAGGACCGACGATTTGGTCCTTGCAGTATTTTCCGTAGGCCACCATAGCGAACAAGAGAGGCGTCTCTTCCGTCGCCTAGAGACGGTGGAGGCCAGACGACCTCATCAGCAAGACTCAGAGCGTCCATTGCGCTCATTTCGCCTTGTCTTACCTTGCCACGAACTCGTTGCAATTCTGCCCACCACTCTTCGTCTTCCAAGACTTGTGACACTTGCTTCTCTGTGTCTTCGTCAACCTGTTGGCCATTGACGATGTGATTGTACGACTTGATAGCGCCACATGCAAGGTAGAAGACGATTACCTCTGCCTTGATACGAAGATTTTCAAGCAATGCGATAACTCTTTCTTTTTCCTCTTGAACATCACTCTCATACTCCACGAATACTGCCACACGAAGTTTGTAGGTCTTCTTCCATGATGGAACAGTGTTCAAGATGCAACCAAGCTGAAGAATGAGTGTATAAGTATCAAAGTTCGTGGTTGTAAGATTCGATTGTTTGCCTGTGTCTTCCCCTGCAGGAACTTCTGCTGACATCTGAATTGGCCACAAATCGATGTACTTCTTCGTGATCTCACCGTTTTTCTGTTCAGGAAGCTCGAGGTCCGAGAAGCCCGTGGCCAAAGCAACATTGATTTTGAGCTTGAGTACCAGATCTTCTAAAGTCAAGACATAGGCTTGTAGGTCCGTTCTTTTCTCCACAAAACAGATGTCAGTGGGTAGGGCGCCCTTGACTTGTCCTTGACTCTTCCGGCGCAGTCGACCTGTATTCTTTCTCTCTGGTGGCGGAGAGGGTATGTCAACTAGTGGCTGCTCGCTACGGAACTGTTCAAGATTGAAGAAACCCATCATCACAATGTTGGGCCTCATACCTCCAAGTCCAGCCGACAGCACAAGATTGCGTGAGCCCCACTCCATTGAAGGAGATGACAAAACGTTGATGAATGCCTTGATCTTGATGAGGTCGATAAACTGCGTCCACGCAGCTCGCTGGCGTTTAACCTCCGGGATCGAGTCACCAAAGTTCTCTGTTACTATGACGTGTCCAAGTATGAAGAGACCTCCCTTCTTCAGGCTGTTTGCAAACTTGATAAGTTTAAAGCCACGTCTAGGGTCGTTAACGAATAGCAGAATTTGAGGTCTCCAGTATTTAACGGATTCAGTTCTGAGGCGTAGAAGATACTTTCGTACCTGATGATAGACGAGTCCCGATGTGACATCTGACCCCCATGGTTTTGGGGGTGTGGTGTAGTGGATGACTAGGAATAAGATCACAAGTATCGCAATAGATACTGCTGCGGCATCCGCATCAACAAAGAACATGGTGGCAATACTCAATACTGCACCAACAGTAGCAGTCCAGATGTTGAAGAATTTGAAAGATGGACGGAAGTTGGGAGCTGAGCTCACTTTGAGTAGAATGCATGCCAGGTGTAGAGCAAAGTTCATCATGAGGTAGCTCATGGTGACCAGAGACGCGATGCTGTTGATGTCGAATAGAATAGTAACTTGTGCCACAAGCCAGGTGAAGAGTATAGCGTAGATAGGGTCGTCTGAGCCTTTCGTGCCTTTACCGAATATGCCTAACCCCGGGAATATACCGTCTCTGGCAATTGCTTGAAGTTGTTTTGCCGGCCCTATGATGCCCATCAAGACCGAGAACGAAGTAGTTGCGATCTCTCCTAGCAGAACAAGCACTTCCGATATATTGACATCCTGGATGACGTTGACGTTCCTGTAGAACGTTTCTCGTGATATGCTGGCAGCCATGGCCAGGATCACGAGCGCATATGAAACAAATGTAAGAAAAATGCCATAAAGTGTACCCGAAGGTATGGATTTGCTTGCGTTCCTGAGATCACCAGACATACTTGCTCCAGCATATATACCACCTGTTGCAGGGTATAAGATGCCGAACATATCAGCCCAATTCTCCCTGCCTTTGATCTGACTGCCGGCTGCACCTTTTGTAAATCTGGGCAGAAGATTTTGTCTTAGCGTATGCAACGTTATGCCAGTGAAATGTGTGTACTGTCTCAAGTGACCAGCTCTCGTGAACGGAGTGACGAGCATAGCCGAAAGAGGAATGCTAAAAGTTGCAAGGAGTAGAATAAGCAGGAGACCATTACTTGCCCTCGCAAACAGCGAACTGCCTGCGAGACAGATTGTAACGCAGAAGATGACAACAACCGTCGACCAAAGATAGGGCCACCAAGCTGAATCTGGAAGCCATTCCGACCAGATACCGGACTCTTTTCCAAAGTTGTAAATAAGACAATCGACGAGACCCACAGCATTCATACCAGTATTGAGAACAAACCCAATGTAAGAGACAATGCCTATTGAGCCACCAAATTCAGGACCCAGCGACCTCGAAATCAGATAGTATGCGCCGCCACCACGAACCGTGCCATTTGATGCCACAGCAGAAATGGAGAAGGTTGTGACGAGATTGATTATGTAGGCGGCAACAAGGAGACCAAGCATACCAAGAAGTCCAGCTTGTCCAAGGATGAAGCCGAAACGTATGAACATCAGGATAGAGAGGACATTGAGACTTGTTGGCACGAAGACTCCCGAGAATGTGTCGAGTTTGGTAGCAACGTTGATAGCTGGCTTTGGCTTGCGACTGGCTTTACTCCCGGTATTCGATGTGATATCATGATCAATCTCCGTGAGACCATTCCGAGATGTCCGTCGGGGTGGTGGTGAAGAGCTAGACTCTTGCGGTAGTGCATGACCGACAGCTTGTGCTACTGCCAATGGAGTTTGACGCTGCTCGGGGGGTGATTGTTTGATCGTGCCATAATCGCTCAGGTCTCGAACATCCGGTGGCAAAGAAGAACGTCGAAGGAGTTCGCCTGCATCGTCTGTAGCTGTTCTTGTCAGGAAGCTTGGTCTGCCTCTGGACAAAGTGCCTCTGAAGCTCGGCCACTTTGAGCCATGCTCTTGAGCCATTGCAATTTAGGATACCGAAACATGCTTCATCAATACGATTACCTGTGTGTCATGCTGACAGGAGTGGGCTTGGTACACTGACACCTTTGTATCTTCAGTGCGTTCTCACTAATTGTTGGCTTCCAGCACAACGACCTCCACTAACACAATGAAGTCACGAACCTTGGCTCGCAATTAGTGAATTGAGTGAATGCCGAACGCCTCTTCAGCTATGTGTATATCGCGAATCTTGATGGTGGACTTTCTAACGTCAAGTTACACAGACCGAGCCTCACCCTAAGATGTAATCAAGTGTGGAATTATCGAACCTAGGGAACGAGACGAAGCACATATGTTTTTTATATGCTCGGAAAAACTGATCCCCACGTAGATCTTTCGGCGATCACAGCCACCAGTGATTGTCAGGGACCTGCGGGAGTTTAGCCACACCTAACGAGGCTGTGCTGGAGGGTGGGGTTCCCAGAATAGGCTTGCAACCCTTGCAACCCTTGCCGAATGTGTAGCCCGTGCTCCAGGCATGTCAGGCCGAGTTTCTTTTTGCAGACGACACCCACAGCTGATATACTCGAATCTCGTGCTTTTGTTGACCAGCAGACAATATGATGTGATCCTGCGAGCTCTTATACAGTCTTTCTTACTCCGTGTTTGCTTCTGTCCTCCTCTCCCTAATAAAGCCTGCTACTAGGTAGCACTACCTACACGCACTCACTATTTACCGAGCTGGAAATATACCTTGATGTTTCCTAGCGACCTGCCGTGAAACCCAAATATCCCGCAGCCTATCATGTCTTCGCGACCTCTAGATATTCGATCAAGAGATGATAGAAGTTCGATCGGAGCTGACTCAATCTCTGAGTCAGCACCAAGATCATTCCGGCAGGCATCAACCATGAGACTCTCATCACCCATTCCCGGTCATACGCGAACACCCTCGACGGGTACGAGCACACCTAGCTCGAGACCGATGCTCATAGATAGGACAAGTGATAACATAATACGAAGCGAACATTCTTCTCTACCAGGCCCCGGCCCCTCTGCCCTATCCAGTGCTTTGGCGGGCAGTTCTCAGCCAGCTCCTCTGATGGCTGCTGGCACTCCTCCAAGAGCAGTGGATGCAGTTCTCAACGAACGCGCACCACGAAGTAATTACGGATCATTCGATACAAGACAGATAGCAGGAAGTCCAGCACCTAAAGAAGATCCAGAGATCGTCAAAAGGCATTTGGTACAGCCTGAAGAAGGCAGAGGTCGCTTCAGCAGTCCCCTAAGATTACAACAATTTGACGGTGCGAACTCGGACGAATTTTCCAGTCTACAACTTCAAGGAGGAGATATCACCCGTCAAGTATATCGCTGGGCTGAGGACGCAGATGGCAGTATGAGAAGTCGCTACAAACGCAGCCAAAGTTTTCATGTAAAGAGACCGGAGCCCCAAGACGAAACACTGGACATCAACAACATCAGGCAACCTGGGGGGTTCAGACGCAATTATTTGAGGAGAAATGCTGGCAGTCCTGCCCCTACTGGTCGCGCACCCGGCCGTGGCAATGTTGAAACAGACAGACCACAGCCAAAATTGTTCACAAACAGCTTCTTCGAATTCCTAACTCTGTACGGTCATTTCGCAGGTGAAGATCTGGAAGAGGACGACGAGGTGCTAGAGGAAGATGAGTATTTCTCTTCCGATGCTGAGCACACCTGGGGAGCGGACGACTCGGAGGAACGAGATTATGCAGAAGACAGCGCGCTGCTGACTCCCGGCGCCAAAAAGAGGCGCAAGCATCGCACAAGAGCTCCTGCTGGTGAGGGCAGTAGTTTTAACGCAGCTTTACTACTCCTCAAGTCTTTCGTAGGCACTGGCGTACTCTTCTTGCCAAGAGCCTTTCTCAACGGAGGCATGCTCTTTTCCTCCTTGGTCCTTGTGGGAGTGGCCGCCCTCAGCTTTTACTGTTTCGTCCTCCTGATCAATACTCGATCCGTGGTCGAGGCCTCTTTCGGTGATATGGGCGGTATACTGTATGGCAAGTGGATGCGATTTGCCATCCTCTCCTCCATTGTCCTCAGCCAGGTAGGCTTCGTCTCGGCATACACAGTCTTCACGGCGGAAAATCTTCAAGCATTCGTCTTGGCTGTAACCAAATGCAAATCGTTCATCGACATCAAATTTATGGTCATGTTACAGGTCGTCATCTTCCTACCTTTGAGCTTAATTCGGGACATTGGCAAGCTCGGTTTCACAGCCCTTGTCGCAGATGCTTTCATTCTTCTTGGCTTGATTTATCTGTATTACTACGACATCTTCACCATTGTTTCGAATAGAGGCATTGCCGACATCACGCTCTTCAACTCATCAAGCTGGACACTGTTCATCGGCACTGCTATCTTCACTTTCGAAGGAGTGGGTTTAATCATACCCATTCAAGAGTCGATGAAGCACCCACAAAAGTTCCCTGGCGTGCTTGCAACAGTCATGGTGGTCATCACAGTTGTAATGGTATCTATCGGTGCAATCTCATATGCTGCGTATGGCTCCTCTACGAAGACAGTCGTTCTTTTGAACCTTCCTCAAGATAGCCACATGGTCAATGCGGTACAATTTCTATACTCACTGGCTATTTTACTATCGACACCATTGCAGCTATTCCCGGCCATCCGTATTTTGGAGACTGAGCTGTTCACGCGAAGCGGCAAATACAATCCCTACATCAAGTGGCAGAAGAATGTTTTCAGATTCGTCCTTGTCGTTCTATGTTCACTGATTGCTTGGGGCGGAGCTGGGGATCTGGACAAGTTTGTTTCTCTGGTTGGAAGCTTCGCATGTGTTCCTTTGGTTTATGTGTACCCACCACTGTTACACTTGAAGGCGGTCTCGAGGACTCGATGGCAAAGGATGGCAGACTATGCTCTTTGCCTGCTGGGAGTTGTAGGGTGTGCATACACTACCGCCTTGACTATTCAACAGTGGGCGGGAGGTACGCAAGGGAAAGCCCCAGGATACTGTGATCCTCAATAAGGGATGTCTTGCTGTAGCCGTAGGACGTGATATAGAAGCAGATACTGCAACCAGGTCCTCAGCTTCAATCTATACCACAATGAGCATGGCTTTCCAGCTCGTATAGTCTTGTGTATCCTTCGCTTACATATCGATTTATGACACCCATTGGTCCTGTCAATACATGCATCTCGAATGCAGGGAGCTCAAGGCTCTTGCCTGTGAGGATGACTAAGGTACGAACTCCACCTTTCGGATGCTGTCGCTTATGCAAATCGAACTTAGGGCACGGCACGGATATCCAATCCAAGCCCCCTGCGTCAGTAGCGAGACAAAACGATTTATCGCGAATTGGTTATATGGGAATGGTTGTTGCGCATGACTAGCATATTTGACAGCATCTATTGCTATTTTTGTTCAATTGACTTGCTTGAAATCTGATCCTTGTGCTTGCTCTTGCCGACTCCTGTCCTATACCGAACCACGATCAGCTAATCTACACAATCTAGCTTGTGCCATGGATTATATTTGTGAATCTTAGAGTTGGAATAGAAGGCATAGAGCTGGCTCAATGTGTGCTTGTCACTTTCCTCGACGAATACGATCCTCCTAACACTTCGCATTCCTTCCGAATATGTCGAAAAAGTCGTTCCGGCCGTCCTTGCCCACCATCAAAAGTTCGTACTACGGTAACGCCGACCACGTGAACTTCAAAGAACGAATTGAAGACTATCTCGCTCCCAATAGTCGGAATCTACCCATGTATAAAGACAAACCGAACCACATACCCGGCAGACAGAAAGGAAATTATGGCAATAAAATAGGAGCAGTGATATTGCTCTTGGTGGGCGTGCTATGGCTCACAGGTATCGTGCGCATACCTGGTGAATCTACCTCGACCCACTGGGCATCAGGACCTCATAGGTGGAAGACGCGTAAAGAGGCAGTCAGAGAAGCCTTCATTCAATCGTGGGATTACTATGCCGAGCACGCATGGGGCATGGACACCTTTCATCCTGTGTCTCAGACAAGCAAGAACATGGGATGCGCGCCCGGAGACAAGACAAGTGTCTGTTCACCGACTGGTTGGATAATAGTGGACGCGCTGGATACTGCCATGGTAATGAATTTGACCTCGAGGGTGGCTAAAGCAAGAGAGTGGATATCTACCAGTCTGGATTTTGGCAAGGTGGAAAGTGAGATGAACACCTTTGAGACAACCATACGTGTGTTGGGCGGTCTGCTGAGCGCACATTATTTGAGTACGACCTTTCCCAGTCTCGCACCCTTGAGCGAGGATGACGTGGGCGAAAAGGGTGAAGACTTATACATTGAGAAGGCTGTGGATCTGTCTGAACGACTTCTCGGTGCCTTCGATACGCCGACTGGCATCCCTTACTCGTCGTGTATTCTCAATACCTCGATAGGCGTGCGTAGTCGTGGTGATGGTGGAGCGGCTTCGACTGCTGAAGCCACCACCTTGCAGTTGGAGCTAAAATATCTGTCCAAATTGACAGGCGAGCCGTTATATTGGGAAAAGGCTGAACAGGTCATGGCAGCGATTGACGCTCCACGAAGAGAAGGAAATCTGTTGCCAATTTTTGTGGATCCTGAAAGTGGTAATTTTCGTGGCAGCAATATTCGACTCGGTAGTCGTGGTGATTCTTACTACGAGTACCTAATCAAACAATATCTGCAGACTGGGTCGCGTGAAACGATCTACCTCGACATGTGGGACGAGTTTCTGGAAGGGCTGAAGAAATACCTGATAACTTGGTCGGAACATGCTAATCTCACTGTCCTGGTTGAGCGACAATCAGGTCTGCACCATGAAATAACTGCTAAGATGGACCATCTAGTTTGCTTTCTCCCAGGAACAATAGTATTAGGGTTGACAAATGGTAAGACCGTTGAACAGGCGAAGGCAGAAATGGGGAGTACCTGGGGAAAGAAACAAGAGGAGGACCTCGTGCTTGCTGAGGAATTGATGAAAACATGCTGGGGTATGAATCTGGTAACACCAACTGGTTTGGCACCAGAGATTGCATATTTTCGTATTGGTAAGCCTGCACCGACGTGGAACTTTACGGATCCTGAGTGGACGATGCCACGTTCACTGCCGTTTGAAGACACACAATCTTGGCGCGAGGACTATGACATTCACTCAAACGATGTGCACAATCTGCAGAGACCCGAGACGGTCGAATCGTTGTTCTATATGTGGCGTTTGACAGGCGACATAAAGTACCGAGAATGGGGTTGGAAAATATTTGAATCCTTCATGAAGCACACTGCAGTCTACGATGAGGATGGAATGGTTGTGGGCTACACGAGCATAGGCAGCATAAAAGTTTTGCATGACAAAGCGGCGTCTGGGTTTGGCGGAAAAACGAATAGACTCATGATTGGACAACGTGTGCCACGAGATAATATGGAGGGTTTTTGGTTATCAGAGACATTGAAATATCTATTTCTGCTGTTTGAGGATGACATCTCTCCTTGGAACGATCTGGAAAATATTGTATTCAATACGGAGGCGCACATCTTTCCCCGATTTGATATTGGCACTGAAGGAAAAGTTTGGAAGACAGGATGGGAGAGGAAGGAAAGAGTAGTATTGGAAGAGCAGAAGCTGCCATGATGACGAATAGAGAGCAACAGAGTAATTTCAAGGCAAAAACAATGTTGGTTGACGAAGAAGCTCGAGCACTGACCCGTACTTTATTCCGCACGATTCGGCCTAGCTGCAACATTCAAGCAGGGACAACACTAGAGGCAGTTGCGAACATCAGCCTTTGACAAAAGGGCACAACACGACCCTCGACGCTGCAATTTCATTCCATGTTTTGCACACTATCGTCCATTGACGCCTCAGCGACATCTACAATTCCTGGTCCTCCCCACTGACGAAAGGTTCAAATCGATCAAGCTCGTCCGGCTCCTTGTTCTGAGTAGACATCATGTTCGAGCAAGTCGTGTATATTCACTTGCCCTCCAGAATCGACGACGACTTCTGTAGGCATTATGCACTGTACATTACCTCGACGAAGTCAAGACCATGTGCGTGCAGAAGTTTGGCGTCCTCTATAGCTTGCGTGGTGGAAAGGTACACCTCGATCACAAGGGGTGTTCTCCCTGGTCTGAGAGATGCAAAACAGGTAAGGGATTTCTTACGCTCCTATCACTTCTGTTGAGAGAACTGTTTTCGTGCCAGATCAACATAACACTTGCTCCTGCCAGGGTTGCTTATTTGCAATTCGACGTACTTATGCTAATCTTCCTTCGTACTCTCTCTGTAACTCGAAGATACATAACCTCACGTCCTGCGACTCTTTTCTATTTTCCCTTTCTCCCTGAGGCCCTTCAGATATTATTGAGTGTCACTCCACACCTGTACTCGAATTGTTTTGTCTCAAATCATTGTCACCAATCCTGCGCCACGACCAATCACCAAACGCGAATTGACGAATTCGAAACCCTCCCCAACGCTCGACGAATATTAGCCTTCCTTCACACTTGCAAACACCAGTGACGCCTGAACATAGGCACTTAGTCCTCGGGCGGTGGTGACATGCTTCACCTGAAAGTGCCGCTTCACGGCCACAAACACGTCGCTTCAGCTAGTGTACGTCCATGTGTTGGTGCGAAAGTGCTGGCCACGTACTACTGCACTGGCAGGATCCTCGCGTAACATTAATCCAGGTACTCAAATACCAGCACCAGCCGTAATCTGACACGTTCAAACACACGTGCGAACCTCTGCTTAATGAAAGCTGGCTGTGGATTTTCGTTCCGACTCGTTTACAGACCTTTGCTTTTTCTTGTCCCCATACATCTCCCATCTCTACAAGAAAAGCAAAGTATGACAGGTGTAGTCTTGCAAACAGGCGAACTTGTATTGTCATAAATCCCCAACCAAGAGGCAGCCTTTGACCCATGGGAACGCATTTCGTTCTGCCTTTTGGGGTCGAGCATGCGTGACCATGTCGACGAGGTGTGTAAACAAAGGTTTCGTACCTTTATGCGCAGACTGCGGGTTCGGATCTCGAAGCTCTCCATTGTTGATGAAGTCGTTGTTCTCCCTTTTTTATTGCTGGAAGGGAGAATGACGATTTCGTCCCTCGTGCATATGGACCTTAACGGGATGTGGTTGGGGTGGTCGCTGACGTGTTTAATATCCCTGAGTTCTTCAATTAGGATGGTGAATGATCTGGAAGAGTGTTAAAGGATAGACGAAGTGATCAGTTTGTGTCGAGCACATGCCCGATTTCTTTCTATGCAAACGACTTCAAGAGACAGAATTGAAACAAACAACACAGTGAGCTGCTAGTAAGGCAGGTATACCAAAACATCAGTGAGTTAAGGTTATGGTCAGCAAAGGAGATCCGTACACGAGAAGCTGACTTTGTCAACACAGACGAAATCGCACAAAACAGAACAAAACTAACCTTTCCGTCGATCGTGATCGCTGACGCTGGCAGTCAATATTTCACTGTCTTCTGACAGCATACCACGCTCTCGTCCTTTGAGACGCTAGACTTCTACTTTTTTTTTCAATGCTTCTTGTGCCTTGAGCATAGAGGTGAGGAAGACACCACCTTTGCAACTGTCGCATATCTCGTCTTCGCCTATCTTGGCAGCAGACAACATATCACTGAGATCACCATTTCCACAGACCAGAGATTTCTACTCGTAGAGTAGGAAAATCAAGGACTTGGGACTGAAACTCGATTGAATTGCAAATTTGGTGATTGTGAGTAGGTAGGTACTTAATTAAAGAAAACATGCGGACAAAGTGGTTCATAGCAAGCAAGCTACATACGTAATACACGACAGGTAACGACTCCCAGCTGCCTCTGTGAAATCCGAACCAATATTGGGATGACCTTCCACTTCCACGATAAAGCACGAATGGATCAACAAGCTTTACGCTGGAAAGGTGCATTTGTTACTCCCATTCGATCAATCCTGTATTCGAATAAAATCCAGTTTTCACCACCGTTCTTGGTTGTAATCGGCTCAGGATTTCTGCATTACTGTCTTCGTTTCTAACTAACAGTCAGTAAGTGCCTCCTCAAGAATTGGCAGCTCGTCTTACCTGTCCATTCACAAGTCCAAGCCCTTGACCTACGGGCTGCTGCTCGCTAGAAGATCTACCTTTCAGTACCTTTTGTCCCGACACAGGACCATTGATCTCCCTGTCGAGATCCATGTATTCCTTAGCAGCGTCTTTGGTTCCTCGTTCCAACAAATACTGCATATATGTAGTTACCAAGGCTTGAAGCACAGGTATGGAGAGCTTCGTCTTTTGCAGTACATCGTCGACCACACGTTTTATGTGAGTGTGATGCTCTTTCTCCGAATCAGGCGATGCAGGTTGATCAATCTCGAACTTGAGGAAGCTCGTCCAGAATGCGGCACTGTCGAGGTAATGCTGTTGATTCTTCCTGTATATTTGACGGGCTTCTTCGGCTGAGCCTTTTGTTCTGTAGACTAGTCGAGCCCATTCAGCAACGACAGCAGCTTTGGCTGTAGTGTCACAAGCTGGATTGTCAAGTTGAGCTTTGTAGACAGCGACTGCGGGGTCTAGACCATCGTGCCTCCTGCATGTGTTGGCCCACGAGATGATGGTTTCGACATGACTTGGCAATTGGAATAATATTGCTTCATGGATGGCCTTCGCAACATCGACCCGACCCTGCATCTCTTCGAAGTAGGCATATTGAAGCCGTATGGCTGGAACTGCGATAGGAACGAAGATACAAGACGCTCGCTGGTAGATATTCCTGACCTCTTCTTGCTTGTTGGACTGAGCTATCATCCATCGAGCATATCTCATCCAGAACTCATCATGTAGAGCGCACGTGATGAGACATCGTTCGTAAAGGAATTGGATGCGGGTGAAGTCGCCTTCTGCTTCTTCAAAGTCGAGGTATTTTCGCCAATTGACAATCTGACCCTCATCGAGATCGGTAACATGGAAGTAAGGCCGTTTGATTTCGGATTCGTACGTCCATCGTTTCGTGGTCTCGGCTTGTGTTTGCTGAAAAGCGTTCAGGTGGTATTGGTCGATTCGTGTACGTAAATCTCGTTCGACCTCGACTTGACTACGACCAGCCTTGTAGCCAGCACCCTCGTTCTCGAGCTCGATCTGTAGTTTGGTGAGCACACCAGGTGGGACGATCGCAGTCAGAGGACGATTCTGTGCCATAGTGCGGTATTTCTCGAAGTATCTAGCATATTGGTGCATCGGAATAGCACTAATCCGATTAAGAATAGCGAAGATCCTGTCATGCTGTTCCATTCGCTCTTCGAACTCGATATATTTATCCCAGAAAATATGGGCCAGGAAGTCAAGGCCCACACATGTCGCGGCTCTTTCGAATAACCTAGATAGCGTGTGTCAGCTGAATGTATGAACAAATTAGGATAAGGGACGGAAGAGGGTTGGCAAACATGAGTCGGTCATTCTGCATAGGCAGGAAATTCCACCACAATGTAAAGGGCATATTGACTCGAGGATATCTCCAAGCATAACAGACGTGCAAGTGCTCATTGCAATGATGTACGAATACGCCTGAGGACAATTGTGAGATAACAGCAACGACAGGGTATGGACCATCTCACCATCAGCCTTGACTGATTATATCGGCTGTTGTAAATGCGAGATGCATGCGCTCTATGCATAAGTTGTGTTTCTTCTTAGGGCCATACTTACTCTCTAATGATCTCCGGTTCGTGACTGGTTTCGGTCTTGAAAGAGCAGTAGTTCGTCCAGAGGTCGACCGAGTTTGTGATGCTGGACACGCCGCGCTCGTAGATGAGTTCGGCAGCCTCAGTGCCTGCTATAGAGAATTCGAGGTCGGCGTACTTCTTCCAATAACCGAAGAACAGAGGGAATTTGGCGAGGAATCGATCGTAGACATTGCGCACCGAGGTGATGGCTTGCGAACTCGAGTTTCGGTTGATGCCACCTTCGAGGCTCTCACCAGCCTTGACCAATTTCTCCCATACTTCGTAATTGTCTGGATCGTCCTCCTGGAGAACTTTTAGCAAGTAGATTCTAGAGTGTAGAAGAAAAACTCACGACTTCAGCAAGGACTTTCCTCAGCTCTATGTATTCCTCATCACCACCACCAAAAGCATCCATCAAGACGCGTCTTTCTCGGGAGTTCCAACTTGAAGGCAGGTGTTTAGAAGCGGCAGAGACACAGGAGGGGACGCGAAGAGACGGTTCTGCTGTGCAACGAGAGGCGACGGATAGGATGCGCTTGGGAATAGATAGAGATATGTTCGAGGTTGGTTGGGCGAATACTGGAGTGATATACAGTCAAAGGCACGCGTTAAACAAATGCGCAAACTTATTGGAAAGTTGCCGCTGCAGCGGTATAGTGCATGCCATTTGCGCGGCCTCGGCTAGCTGGATAGAAATAGTTTGGTGCAGCTCGATCACTTTCAGCCTTATTTACGACTTACAGAATTCGTTTCACCATCAAGCATACCCTTCTTCTTGAGAGTCACTCATTTCATCATTGCAGCTTTGATAGACACTTCGTTGAGAAGACGGCAATAGGAGCATTGGAGCTGCTGGAAACTTCAACTGACAATGGCTGCCATTGCTGCACAATCCCCTGCGGGAAAAGCCCTACCCGAACGATTACTCAGTTTCTTTGCTCGATTTCCACCACGATTATATGGATCGCACTTTACGAATGAGAAAATTCCGACCATAAGAGAAAAGATAGCGAAAGAGGGCAATAAAAGGACAGGTACACCTCCAACCGCATCGAAGATTGCAAGCAGATCAGCATCAAAATCACAAACCCAGACATCAAGTTTACAAAGCCAGCAACTACAGGTCGAAGGGTCTGCTACAGCAACTGCAGAGGTAGATCCTATAGAATCCTCGGATACACTCTTCGAGTTGCCAGCACAAGTCCAAGCAGAAACAGAAACAGAAGCTCGACCACAACCAAGACTCCTTCTCGACCCTGACACCAACAAACCCATCTTCGATCCTGCCGATCAGCCTCCAAATCCCTTTCTGCCCTACAAGAACCCAGCTACTGGTCGCTGGCGCGGTCCTACCATCTCCCTGCGCCGTCAAGCTGAACTCTTCAAGCTCGCGCGTGTCTACGGTGTCGAGCCGCTACTCCCCGCAAGTCGCAAGAGCTCAGAATTCAAGCAGACAAGGATACTCGAAAGAGGTTTGGCTGTGCAGGGTACGGGTGAAGGCAAGCATGTCAAGGGTCATAAGTGGGAGAGGCAGATGGGAGTTACATTGGAGAGAAGGATAACGGCCATGGAGAAAATGCCCGCACTGATCAGGGAATGGAGAATGAGAGGTAATGGACGGAGATGGAAGAAATATCCCGCCAAAACTGGTGCGTAAGAGGAGATTGTGGTACACAACTTTTGGTCGTTGTTCAAATGTCAACGATATCCTTGTGTTAGCACTCATATCAAGCTGTTTTGACTACAAGAAGCTAGCGATAGAGAGAAAGAGAGGACTCTGTCAAAAGACGAGCATTGTACACTACCATTTCGAGCGTGAGGTCATGTTGTTCCTGCAGAAGAGGCCGTGTTCTGTCGACCAACTGGATCATCCAGGTGATACAGTGCAACAGCACAAGAAATGTTTCCAAATTGTTAACACCTTCATCAAACAAAAGAAACTTCAACACAGCACATCTTGGTATTTACCTACCCTAACGATCCCCGGGTCATCCCGGGGTATTTCCTGAACCCGGAAAAGCACACCCACATCTGCATACATCTACTCGCATCCACGTGCAACACATCGCATACGCCCACCCTGCCACTGAGAATGTTCTAGGGTGTCACACTACGAATAAAGAGTCCACCACAAATGAGGCGATTATTACTATATGCAACGACGCGGGTGCGTGTGTATACCTATTTGGGCGAGGTGCAGCTTGTGGTGGCTGTGTTTCGTTTCGCGAATACGTTGAGTGTGTTTACGGGTAGCACAACAGAAAAGTGCGAAAAGAGATAGAGGGTTGTGGTTAAGGTGATGCTCGCAGCTGTGCCAGCGTGTGTACATGGACATGTAGATTGCGCTACGTGTTAACAAATATGTGTATATATACATTAGAAAAGTTCATGGTCTCGTGAAGTTGAGCGTATGTTTTCAAGCCCTTCTTCGTGATGGGAAGGAGGGTTATCTTCCTGGTGAGTCTCAGAGTGCTGTAAATACGTAGGTATATGTACAATAAAGTAGAAACCGAAAAGGTCGAGTCGGGTGGATTGACAACGTTCTGTGTAGAAGACGTGAAATATCTGTGATGGTAGACCATACATGTTCTTGGTGCTGAGCAAATGATTGACAGCTTTCGAGGAAGCTTCTTATACTGATGAATGATGAGCGATTTATATGTGCCATGTGCATTCATTCGGAGATATTGACAACACCCTGTTTGCGACGCTGATGATGTCGGCTCTTCGGTGGACTGCAAACGACCAGACTGTTTCGACTATTAGGTGTAGTCGAGTCTTTGATCGTCGTCCCCGGTGGACTATGGGCAGCCCTGCGCGTCAAAGGACTCCTACTATTCCTGTCGCTTCGAAAGCTGTCTGCGGGACTAGCAGGTTCTGACACCGGAGAGGTCAGATTAGATGCATCGCTGTTGCTTCGTTGCCTTGTGAAACAGTCGGCGCAATCGCATGCTCTGCTGAGTCGTCGTTCAACCATGTCTTTGGCAACTTCGAAATCTCGTTCAACTTCTTCCTTGTAAAGAGAATGTTCGACCATTCTATCGTAGTGGCGACATTGATACATGTTGAACTGAGTGTGAGATGTACGGCGTCGTTCAGCTTGCTGAGCTTGCCATGCTAGATAGTTCTGATAGTTTGCATCGTTATGATCCCGACTCGTGTTTGTGCCAGGAAAGTCGAGCTTGTGGGAAACGGTCATGTTGGGTGATCTTGTTCACGATGGATTCTGAAGAAATAATTCATGCGTTCGAGTCGGAGCCCTTCAGCTCTATTAATTCTTGAGTTGAGGTTGTGTGTAATAAATATAATGATCACGGAATGTTCATGAAATCAGATGGTGAGACGTAGTAGTAATAAGGATACTAGTAGTTAGAGAGTAGAACAACAGGCTGCACAGACTTAGGGGCTATAAAAGCTTGATAAAGAAACGTCCAGCTGGGAATGCAAGGGGTTATACCTTACTTTGAGTTGTTGCATCACGCATTGTTGCTGTCCGTCGGCGGAAGAGGTTACCGTAGGTTTGGTTTGAACCCCAGCAAGATTCTGCGACAACAAAGAATAAACCGCAGCAATCGAGAATCGCGATGATAAGCCATCACGGATCGATGTCTGGAGTTTACCAGCCAATCACCGTGGCCTTTGTCTTGGGAGTAGCTCCACACAGCAGGACTCTCAGGTACGAAAGCCGCGTAGCCCCCCGTCAATTTGAAAGGTTATTCGATCATACCTTGGTAGGAAAGAGCATCCGGTGAAGCACAACCTCGTTTGAGCGACTAAACATCCGGTTTTCATGGCCAATAGCTACTTTTGCTAAACTTGGCCTTCGCGTAATCTATCTCTTTCGCCACAAGTACTAAATTGCCTTGTTCCGTGGTCGGAAGTGCGTACCCACGCCTCCTTTTGCATGGCAGGACGTGTGGATTTCAACACGTGTAGGTCGACGTCAATTCAATAATCGTGGATCGAACGATGTAAGTGATCGAGTGCGAACGATACAAATTATGTCACCGCGAGTGGTGTGAGTAGAAATCAGACTGGTTGAGTATGAAGGTTGTCATCTGCATATGGTCAATCTGCAAGTCTTGGAGGAAAATGTTTGTGGCCTGGAATTTAGTCCTCACACCATGATGAGAACCAGTGACCGTTGTTATGTGCTTCCTGAAGGTTGCAGGTCTGCATTACCCCACATGTCTGCCCCGGACTCTGTTTTAGCCCTGCATTTTTGAGGTAAGCAGAGAGTGGCTCTTGGCCCTCAACAGAACCTATTCTGGCCTAATTAGATGCCTGACGCCACTGACGCGGAATCCTACTGAAAGCACACGAAAATGGAGTGTGCTTTGGTGTGGTTGTACAACATCATCCAACGATTTATTAAAGCGGGCACGTTTATGTTGACGACGTTCGCATTGACATGTGAAAGGTACCAAGTTTCGTCTTACATGCTGTGCTGGCGATGCTGTAGGACCGACGTCTTCGCAACATTGTTTTTAATACTGTCTCATATCCAGAACTTGGTGCCTCGTTTTGTATGTAAGAGGCGCCAGAGAAACATCAGCTGAATGCTTCCTAAAGCCATAAGAAGTCCTGTGAACAACTGGACTCCGACAAAGTGTTTTCCGTCTGGGTTCGAGGCTCTAAGGACTGCGCCAGCTATCGGAGGGCCAATCAGGTTAGCTATACTCGATATCTGTGGTTGTGTCAGCCGCGGTCTTATGCTGCCGTTGTTGGTGTTGCTACTCACGCTCTGCGCCATGCCTAATCTGGTACCAAGCACTTTAGGATCCGGGCAGACAACTGGAAAAATACTCGGTGGTAGTGGGACCAGAGGACCGGAAAACGCGCCTAGTCACATATGAGCCAACCATATCATTTACAAAAGAGGTAATAGGCTTACCATAGAATGCACAAAAGGCCACGAAGCCTGCGTAGCTGTTAACGCCCATCCATGCAAAGCAAACTATAGCAGAAATGGCTGCACATCCTGTCCATGCAACCATGACGCCAAAGTAGTTGGCCGCGACAGCGGCAAGCATTCGTCCAGGCACTGAAGCTGCTTGCGATGCAATCAATGTATATGAGGCTCTCGCCTGTGTCTGTCCGAGAACTGATTGTGCATATGAGGGCATGTAGAAATACGGTACCAGGTAAGCCATGAATGTCGTGAAGGTTACACCAGAGTAAGACCAGAATGGCGCGTCCTTCAGAGCTGCTTTATCGAACAATTTTCTCTTCTTCCCAGTCGATAACGATTTTGTGTTTGTTGCACCTAGCAGCAGGAGTGGGAGTGCAACACAGTACGTTCCCAGCATGAAGAAGCCTAGGACTCGAGCCGTCCAGGCGAAGCCTAGTTTGGGTAGGCATGCCTCGAATAGCACAGTATACAGGATACCTCCGATAGGAGCGCCACACGTGCAAAGACCAACAGCAATAGACCTGTTCTTCACGAACGACCGACTGATTAGGGCCATGGTCGGAATGAAAAGCGCACCGCAACCGAAGCCAATACACAACCCCTGAGTGAGGAAAATCTGCCAGTACTGATCTGACAACGACAACATGAAGGCGCCAAGTGTGCTCAAACACGCACCGAAGTAGATCAGGTACATGTAGTAACCCCAATCGAAGATCGGACCCGTCCATAGTCCCGAGATAATCAACAGGAAGGATTGTATGCTCCCAATCCAGGCTATGGCAGACGAGCTAGTGGTCGGAAGGTATTGCTGCTCGTAGTAGTTTTGAAACGTGCCAAAAGCAAAGGTATAGCCCCACAGATTGAACCACAGGAAGAAGCAGCCGAGGACTTGGAGCCACGCACGCGCTCCGCCGTCTGGTACCTCGACGGGGGTTGTGTTGGCAGGTATCTCTGAGGGAACATTTCCTAGTGGTGCGGAAGTGATGTCTTTCACATTTGCTTCGGCAACGATGTCTGAGTGGCGGTCATATTCGTCGAGCCTGACAACAGCTTTTTCGCTTGCTTCTGTCATCTGGGCGTACTTTGGTCTGTGTCTCCAAGTCAATCGTGCTGTTTGCACCGCTATAGCATTCACTTAATGTGAGAATTTCATGGCCAGTTGTTCGTCTTCGGGGACTCGTAGAAGGACCGTCATGCTGTTTAGGCCGGCAGTACGGCAATAATATGGGTGTTGAGGACTCTCGACATTTCTAAGCCGTTCAGAAACAGGTTAGCCGAACAGTGGTCCTGCCTCTCTAGCGTTGGTTTGTCGGAGTCGATGTCGATATTCTCATTTCTAACAGGTTGGGACGATGTACGTGCCGAGGTCGGTGAAAAGGTGTCCGGGGAAGTGGGCATGTCCGTTACGGTCTCGAGCTATAGTATGCCGGACATGCTTTGGTAGATGGACAGACAAATGCATGTTGAGGAACAGTGATATGAGACGGTAGTTGCAATTGATAGTAGCTTGACGGTAGTAAGGTGGAACGCACGAAACGATGCTGAGAAGGCAGTCTGTCCAAATCGCGGGTTGGCCTGGTGAGGAAGAGTTGTGACCCACGCGTCACTGGAGTACCTCTACATGTTTATTCAATAGTGCCAAGAGAAAGTCGCCGTACCTGATCTCTAACAACGACCGCTGCCAGGAGCTTGTACATGATTAACAGGTTGATGAGCTCGGAGACAATACAGGCAAGCATTGTGTTGTGATGTACCATGCTTTAATCAAAACACACCACATCACATCGCGAAAAAAGGTAGCCACCTTGAAAGCGACAGCTAAACAGCTCAAATGTTATGCTCTACTTCGATCTGGCGCAGTGCCAGGGCTCATGTACGTTGAGAGCAGAACAGCTGAAGACACGCAAAGCTGGGTCAATACTGTCCATGGCTTGAGATACAAAGACTACCAATTGATCGCTGCAACTTCACGGGCAAACGAGAAAGCCTTGATAGCCTCTGAATACGGTGTGTTGAGAGAGGTAGATACCGTCAAAGACTTTGCTGCGGAAATGGAAAGTAAAGGCTTGCTGCCGTGGTGGCGCAACGCGATGGGCTTCTCATAAAGGTTGACGATAGGGGTTGTGTTGGGGCACCAGCATGCACACAAGTCAGCTTTATCACAACGATCGTTGACAAGGCTATACTGGTCATAGAGCTCGAATATAAGCTAGATATGAAGACAATCTGGAAGCAGGAGACAAGCCATACTGGGGAAAAGCTTCAGCTTGCTGGAAATCATACACTAATTGAGGTGCTCCCAGAAGGACTCCTGTAACACCTCTACAACTGCAACCAAACTACAATTTAGTATATTCTAGTTTGCCCTCCAGCTTCTTCGACTCGGCCACCTTCCGTACGGCTTTGTTGAAATCATCCTGGTTTACAGCATCTCTGTAGTCCTTGATTGCGAATAGACCAGCCTCAGTAACCACGTTTCTCAGATCAGCACCATTGAGCTGGTCACTCATCTTGACTATGCTCTCGTAGTCGATTTCTCCTTCGGTTACCACACCCGCAGCATGAATCTTCATAATTTCAAGTCTACCAACCTCGTTCGGTAGGGGAATCTCTATCTTTCGATCGAGACGACCAGCTCGCAGCAGTGCCGGATCTAGAGTATCAGGTCGATTCGTGGCCATGATGATCTTTGTCTTGCCCAGATAGTCGAAGCCGTCCAGCTGGTTTAGGAGTTCCATCAATGTTCTTTGGATCTCCCTGTCGGCCGAAGTGCCTTCGCTGAATCGTCTTCCACCGATAGCGTCGATTTCGTCCATGAAGATGATACATGGTTCGTGCTCTTTAGCGTATCCGAACATTTCTCTGATCAAGCGAGCAGATTCGCCAATGTATTTGTCTACAATAGCAGAACTCACGACCTTCAGAAAGTTTGTGTCGAGACTGCTAGCCACGGCTCTTGCCAGCAGTGTCTTTCCTGTTCCTGGTGGGCCGTACAACAACACTCCTTTGGGTGGTTTGATACCTACTCTCAAGAAGAGCTCAGGGTTCTTGAGGGGTAACTCAATGACTTCTCTTAGTTCTCTGATTTGATCGTTCAGCCCGCCGATACCTGCGAACGATACCTGACCAGGATCTTCTAATGACATGTTGTATACTAGGGGATCGACTTCTCGTGGTAGCATGCGCATGATGGTAAGGGTCGTCATATCAAGGGCAACTCTCGTTCCTTGCTTCAATTTGGCCTTGTCGACTTTGGATCGACATCCAACCACATATCGAGGACCAGAAGAGGCTTTGACAATAAACCTCTCCTCGTCTAACTGCTTGAGCACTTCACCGATAATTTGACCAACACTCTGGAGAGCCTTGATGTTATCTTCTGTGGTTTCAAAATCTTTCTGCAAGCCTTTGATGTCCATCCGTAATGCCCTTAGTTTAGCTTCCCATTCTCTGGTTTCCAGCATCTTGTCCTTGAATTGTTGTAGAGCCTGCGCTCTTTCTGGATCGCCGCCGCCGTCCATCTTGATAATTGTCGAGTCTGAGGTCGGGGAATTACTCGTAAAGTGAGGGAGGTTATGGATTATCAGCTTCGTATATCGGTGAGACTCAACTATATGGGCAGGAGAATTGAAGGGTGTAGCAGTTGCCTGAGACTGTCGACTCTCGTTGGTAGGTACACTTAATTGCTACTATAAACCTCCGGCGCGCATTTACAGGTAGCAAATGGCACGCGTCATGGGCTTCGCGAGGCTGACTCAGCCTCGTCTCGATTTTCTACCTCCACCTCGGAAACACGAGATTCAAGTCGTTCTTATGCGCCGCCTGTGAGCAGCTCGTCAACATATTCCATACCGACTTGAAGAAGGATTCACGTCAATTGCTGTCGCTTCCGGTCAGCGACTGTACTCGTGTAACTGCTAAATACTGCAAAAATGGCAAGTACAATGATGGTAAACGGACATGTTGCAATACCTGGACCACCCGTTGACACTGATCTAAGTCCCCCACCTCCTCCCTCAGACCTGGCTCCTCCGCCGCCGCCGACAGAAGATGTCGCGCCCCCTCCACCATCAGATCTGCCGCCTCCACCCCCAGTTGAAACTACGGAGGAAGACACAAGCCTCAATCTAGGCCCACCAAAGAAAGTCAAGAAAGGATGGGGCTCGAAGCCCAAGTCGCAACCATTAAGCGTTGAGGAACTGGTAAAAGCAAAGCGCGAGGCTGATGCTGCTGCCGCGAAGCCGAAATTCCTGTCGAAAGCTCAACGTGAAAAGCTGGCTCTCGAAAAGAGGCAGCAGGAGGTAGAGCAGCAAAAGTCTGTCACCAATGGCGTAACTAATGGCCATGCTCCTTCTGACTCGAGAATGGATATAGATGTCAAGGAGGATAGAGCACCGGTACCTTCCGGTCCGCGATCACAACGCAATGGTGGTCCACCCACTGGTCCAAGTTCTATGCGCTCAAGAGACGGTCCCAATAGAGGTTACGATATGTCTCCTCCTCCTGCACCCAAGCCTATAGCCTTCGGTACTTCAGATTCTAAAGAGTCCCGAGGACAAAAGCGTAAGGTCGACGACGAAGACTCACAAGCAGAATTACTGCGGAAAAGATATATGGGTCAGGCTACAAACGTATCCAAGTTCTCGGCACAGAAGAAACGAAACAGAACCACGGACAAGAAGTTTAACTTCGAGTGGAACACCGAGGAAGACACAACACCTGACTACGATCCTCTCTACCGAACTCGTGCTGATGTCGGGCTAGGCTTTGGACGAGGTCGTGTGGCGGGCTACGACGATACAAAAGCTGAGGAAGCAGCCAAGAAGTATGCCGCTGCAATTGCTGCTCGTGACAAGGAGGCTGGCAATACTCGCGCACAGGAGATTCTAGACATGGAGCGACGCCGCAGAGAAGAAGGAAGCCGCACAGCCATCGATAAGCACTGGTCTGAAAAACGACTGGACCAGATGCGCGAACGAGATTGGCGTATCTTCAAAGAGGACTTCAATATCGCAACCAAAGGTGGTGGTCTTCCGAACCCGATGCGTAACTGGGCAGAGTCCGGCCTGCCAAAGCGTCTCCTCGAGCTTGTCGACCAGGTCGGTTACACAGAGCCTAGCGCGGTACAAAGAGCTGCCATTCCTATTGCCCTCCAAGCTCGAGATCTCATTGGTGTGGCTGTGACCGGTTCTGGTAAAACAGCCTCCTTCCTCCTGCCCCTCCTAGTCTACATTGACGGTTTACCACGACTCGACGAGTTTGAATGGCGCCGCAACGACGGGCCCTACGCCCTCATCCTTGCCCCGACCCGTGAATTAGCCCAACAAATAGAGACCGAAGCCCGCAAATTCGCCGGTCCGCTCGGCTACAACGTTGTTTCCATTGTTGGTGGTCACTCAATTGAAGAGCAAGCTTACAACCTGCGTAACGGTGCTGAGATAGTGATAGCCACTCCTGGTCGGTTGGTCGACTGTATCGAGCGTCGCATACTGGTCCTGTCACAATGTTGCTATGTCGTCATGGATGAAGCCGACCGCATGATCGACCTGGGCTTTGAGGAGCCTGTCAACAAGATTCTCGATGCCTTACCAGTTTCCAATGAGAAGCCCGACACGGAAGAAGCAGAAGACGCTAAGACCATGACCATGCAGTTGGGTGGCTCTACCAGGTATAGACAAACGATGATGTACAGTGCCACTATGCCAGTCGCGGTCGAACGTATAGCAAGGAAATACCTCCGTCGCCCAGCTACAGTCACGATCGGTAACGTAGGTGAAGCAGTTGACACAGTCGAGCAGAGAGTTGAGTTCGTCGGGGGTGAAGACAAGCGCAAGAAGCGCCTTGCAGAAGTTCTACGCAGCGGTGAATTCAAGGCACCAATCATCGTCTTCGTCAACATCAAGAGGAATTGTGATGCTGTCGCACGAGATATCAAGCACATGGGCTTCAGCTCTGTTACGCTTCACGGTAGCAAGACGCAGGAACAGCGAGAAGCCGCACTGCTCTCTGTACGCAATGGTCAAACAGACGTCCTTGTCGCTACCGATCTTGCTGGTCGTGGTATCGATGTCGCCGACGTCAGTCTGGTCGTCAACTTCAACATGGCCAATAACATCGAAAGCTATACGCATCGTATCGGTCGTACAGGTCGTGCAGGCAAGAGTGGTGTCGCACTTACCTTCTTGGGGCCTGAAGATAACGACGTACTCTACGACCTGAAGCAGATGCTGATGAAGAGTCCATTGTCACGTGTACCCGAAGAGTTGAGAAAACACGAAGCTGCACAGCAGAAGAAGAGTACCTTGCCTGGTGGTTCAGCAGGGAAGAAGACCGCAAGCGATGAGAGTGGTGGCTTTAGCAGCAAGGGAGCTCAGACCTGGATGTCATAGAGTGAGTAGTTCATGAAATCCCAAGACGTGTGAAGTCCGTTTTGAGGCGCTGTCTGCGGCCTGCATAAAAGTCAAAAGATTTGTATAAGTTCAAGAAATATGCCTGTCTCGCACTAGCTCATAATTATGTGAGCCGCTAGTACCTGCATGTGCAACGCATTATTGACAAAGCAATTCTGACAATTTGTCACAACGTGGTTGAGGGGAAATGTATTATGGAGGAATTGCACCTACCTAATGTTAAAAGGGATTTCATCCTAGGGAAGGAGCTGTCTAGATGTTCGGTTGATTCCACATGACGTTATGGTGAACCAAGTCTTCAGAACTCTTTCGATATATTTATACCCGCAGTGTCCCACAGTTTCGAGTTTCCTGCACTGACAAGCAAAAGACTGTAGCATCAAGGAACCACACCATCAACCGTCACAATGAGCTCTCAAGGCAACTTCCCTCTCGGTGGCTCCGAGGTATCTGACAGCCGAGCGACGGCAACATGCTACTGCGGCACGGTACAGCTCGAATTCGTAAGCATTCTCCTACCACACTCGACGTGAAAACCCTTTAGTTTCCCACTAACTTTGAGTCCTAGCCTACCGAAGGTGAAGACTTCGTCGACTCCTTCATCTGCAACTGCACCGACTGCCGCAAAATCACAGCCTCAATGTTCGCCTCCAACTTCATCGTCAACGACAGCGCCGTCAAACACCTCAAGGGTCAAGACAAGCTCACCAAATTCAGCCAGAACAAGACAATCGCCACTGGAAACACAATGTCAAACTACTTTTGCAGTGTGTGTGGGACGCTGATGTATCGAGTGTCGACGGGCTTTCCGGGCAAGTTTGTTATGAGGATTGGTACTGTGGATGATTTTAGTTTGCATGCGACGAAGTTGAAGCCCAGGATTGAACAGTTTGGTAGGGATCGGGTAGATTGGTTGCATGGGGGTGAGGGTGTGAAGCAGGTGGAAGATAATTACTATACCGGATAGTCTTTGGCTGGGCTTTGACTACGACAGAGGTGAGAGGAATTACACCCCACATCTCTAGCACAGTCTCTTTGCTGAGGAGATACGTGCCACGAAAAGGACAAGCATACAAGCATGGAACGATAGTATTGCTCCAATTGATACCCAACCCACAACGCTTCTTCTGCCTCACCTCATTTTCTGTAAGCAAGATATCGGGATGACATAGGATTTGGACACACACAACCTCGAGACATAGGTCGCTAGCTAGTACAAAATGCTGAGCTCGAAAGGGCTCTTCCAAGCACGTGACTCGCGCACGAAGCTCGAGCATGAACGACAAGTTATTCGGAAGATGCCGTCGTGCTCATTCCAATGGTTGATGTGATAGCAGCTCTGCACACACTGCCGACGTGTTGCCTGGCAGGGAGTTCTGCCCCATGCTCAATGGCTGTCATCAACAACCAGGTTCAGCATATCCCTATCTCGCTTGTCACGCGATGATCATCTTCAATATCAATCTGGTGGCTTGAGTATTTCCGGCAGCAAGTGTGCATGCTGTTCATGGGAGATCTCAAATTGTGATTGCACCTTTTGCGAGCCGTTCAGAAGCGCGACCTACGGGTCTTCGCTCGATAACTGGGGTGACTACACCAATCGGATGTTGGTGATCTGACGACCAGGTTGCGACTAGTTAGGTGCAGGAAACGCGGCACGAAAACATGCTGCAAATGACACGAAAGCAAGTCGTGCATCGCGGAGAGGTTTCGTTATGAGCTGTAAGATACACATTAAGCTTTTTGGTGAAGGTCGAAGCAACGCGCTTGCTTTGGATAATCCACCTGCAATTGCTGATTCGCGAGATGGCCCACTGTGGTTGCCAATCACAATGTCGACCACACACACCAGCGCTTAATGGCCAGTGAATCATGCTTTCCCTTCGTCTTCTACGCGCCCTTTCGCCAGGAGTTTGTGTAAGAGACTATGCGGCGCTCAACAAACATCCAATCAATGTCTACTCTATGCCGCTACGACAAAAATACAATCCATCACTCCAGGTTTCACCAGCGGCCAAAGATGCCATGGCCGTTTTCTGCGGCTCAGGTCAAAGATAGCTCTGTCTATGGCGAATATGGCTAGTCGCTACCTCGATCTTCCTCTTCAAACCCAGCAAGCAAGCATACTGCTATCTTAAGTAGGTACGAAACTGTGCAACCTGATATTGACCTCGTTCATCCGTGTTTCATGGCCTCATTCATCTCCTTGACCAGTTCATGTTGAAGATTTCTTTTGTCCATCCGGCATTTGTGCTCCTAGTGTTTCAGGGGCTTTGATCAACTATTGACATACACGATACACTCACTCATTAACCGTGCTGCCTGGCCTTCGACAGTGAGGCTGGTTCCTTTTGTTCTAATCCTTGGCCGGGTCACCCACGAAGCACTGTCCCAATTTTAATCACGGCCATGGCTGCCATTTTGAATGGATTTCTACCAGTAAGAAGGAGGGACCAATTCGCTCAAGAGAAGATCTTAAATACGAGATGGGGTGATGCCACGATCAGTGCACCCATTCATGGAGGATGGAACGACAATCCCATTTCACAACAAGAGAGTCCAAATCCTGACCAGGACCTGCCACTAACACCCCCGCAAATTCAGAACGAACGAGAAGGCGTCTACATCATTCGTGACGGTGACGATGCTCATTCACAGCAAGACTGGGACGACGAGACCACCACCAAAGTCAGAGACAACTTCACCATAACTATTCCCTTGCCATGGAAGAAGAAGATGAAACAGAACCGAAGATCGATTGGCAGCAATGTTCTCAAGCCTCAAGGGACATTCATACAGAGGATAGAGCCTATGCCACTCCTAGCCACAGCCGAAGCTGCAGCCACCATCCCTCTACCCGACAGTCGTGTGTCCAGTCCTATCGGTCGATCAACGACCACTTCTCCAGTTCTCTCCTTCCGTAGTCGACTAGCAAGTCCTAGCATGGGCGACATTCTCAGCCCGGTTGCAGAAGGATTTGCAAAAGATGGACCAAGCACAAGTTCACGACCCACTCCTGTCCTCTCCACCCTTCAGTCTGCCGAGACTGTCCCAGTAGAACGACCATCAACAGCATCTTCCACACGATCAAACCCGCCGAGACGCTCTTCCTTGACCTCTCATCACTCCGATGGTATCGCCGCGGCAACAATGACCTCACAAGCAACGATGGAAGACTACTCATCGGACGTGCAGAGACCACCATCTCGTGGTATTGGTGCGACAGCACACATGCGAGCATCATCTCATGTATCGCGACCCAACTCTAGAGGCCCGAGGGCACCATCAGTAGAACGATTCACCCGCAGAGCACCTTCAGTAGAACCAGTGAGTGAACTCGCTGAACCTCCAGCTATCGACCCAACCCCAGTCTTTCAAGGTGTGCTGAACCTTGAGCCACTCCGTCGCCGAGCACCGTCAGTCGAGCCGCTACGCAGAAGAGCACCTTCACTGGAGCCTCACGCTCGACGAGCACCATCCATCGAACCAGTTCCTAGGAGAGCTCCCCCAGCAGATCCATTCACCAGACGAGCTCCATCAGTCGAGACTATTAGCACTAGGCGCGCACTGTCGCGAGAACCCCGTGGAAGAAGAGCTCTCTCCATCGAGCCCCGACCTCGAGTACGGTTTCATTCAGAGGCAGCACCTAAACCCGCTCGCCGTCATGATTCTTTCTCGAGCAATGACGGCTCAATCGATTCTGAGTCCGACAATGCTGGACTTCTGGAGACAGATAACGCCCTGCCCAATACTGTACGATTCGATCGTGACTACAAATCTGTACGCAAACCAATACGTCGCCGCAGTATCGCGTCTCCCATCTCTTCTCCCACGTCTGCGGCATTCGGCATCACGGAAGTTGTTGTTCCTTCTCCCTACAACTCTCTTTCGGCTCAAGTAGGTGTTGAGCCTGCCACACAATCCTCAATTCCGCAGCGTAACGCCCCTCGCAATAGGTCTAAATCACGAACTCGAGGACTTTATGCAGACATGCATGATGACTTTCGCCTCCTTGCTCGAGACGTAGCCATGAGCACGACCACGCCTGCTGCTGTCACGTCTCCATCCCTGACAGATGCCTCTGCCGCTATCTTGCCACAGTATGGCCACAATGTCCTCAATGCAGCAAACCTACGCACGCCATCTCCAGCACTAACATCAAATCCACCTACGTCACTCTCTTCCGGCATCGCAGTAGCAGCGGCCCTCCGCATTCAGCCTGAACCACAAGGCTACTCCTCTGACTCCTCTCTCACTGCCCTACCTTCCGTCTCGCATGCCGGTCACCCTTCAACGGTCCAGCAACAGGCCGACAATGCCAACGGCAAAGCAGTCCTCGCAGCCATGGCTAGGGAGCGCAAAGATCAGCTGAGACGAGAGGAACGCGAGCGAGCACGCGAGAAAGTAGCAAGGAAGCTGGAACACGAACGAGAAAGGGTCCTCGCGAACAGCGTCTTCAGTGACACAGAAAGCGTAGCGAGCGGCAGTATGAGTGGTAGTGAGAAAACAAGGCGAGTGTATGGCGGCAGCGTAGGGAGTGAAGCTGAGTGGCAGAGTCTGGCTATCAAGAACAAGACTTTGGTTCCCAATGCTGAAGACATTTGGGGGTGAGGTGTACTTTGCACTTGTCTTTTTGGTTTTAATGGTAACGAATCTCTTTGAGTATTCTGTACAGGGTAGACAGGTTCGTCTCAATTCACACAGGCTGGCAGGCTTTTAAGGACGGGAATGCATTCTGTAGCCTTTATAGAGTGGTGGAAATACGAACTCACTTTAGAATTCATCAAAAGTTCCTCCAATTTGTGCTTTTGCGGGTTTCTTGATTTGCCCAACTTTACCTTTTCCACTTCCTTTGAGCCTACTCGTGTGGGCGAAGACATTCACTGCAATACTCAGACCTCTGCGAAGCAGACTCACCATAATTGTGTTGCGACTTCACCTATGAATCTCCTGCATACATTGAGATAATCTGAAAGACAGGAAGAACAGTTTCGATTTTTCTTTGTATTAATCAAACAACCTCAAAGAAAGCTCAACAAACATTTCTAAACAACCCTTCAAACAATACAGCCATTACCATGTCTCTCATCTCCCAGTACTCGTTCGAAGAGAATCGTCAGTACACCACAAGAGGCAGTCGACTCAGAAGACGATCGTGGATGTTCAGCCGTCACATGCCACTCGAAGGAGATGAACTCCCAAATGGTCATGCAAGCGAACTACCCACGACCGTCCTTTGAGTCACTGCCTCTTGTGTGACGACGTGCTTTTCTCTCTCTTCAGCCATACCCAAACTCGACTTCCATGTCTCCTATTCATGTTTAGCCTTGCGCAACCGATAATAACTTTTTCAATCGTCCTTCGCTTCCCGATGGTTTCGCTTTAGGCACTACTCCCATCCACTTTTGAACCCTGTCCTCCTTCCTGATCATTCATATTCCCTTTTCAGGACTCTGCTCTTTCTTCGACATATGCTAATCCTCCCTCCGATCCTTTGTCTTCGATCGTGTATTTCCACCTCGAGTCCCCTTCGGCTCGCGAGCGATTAAGCCACACATAGATGTGATGTGTGTGTTCTCGCCACATTTAATGCATCGACTCTCGCTTTGCCATTTCTGTCGTTGTTCGAGCGATGGGATATTTGAAGGTGGTGGGCTTGCGCGGGAGGAGGTTGGGGAGGGTGTAGATGGTGTATGTTTTGGTGTAGAGACAGTGACCTCGGCCTTCGCATCGTTGGCATTTTCTTTGGCCTCAGTTGGGATATCGGCCTTGCCCTTCTCTTGCTCAGACTCTTTACTCAGAAGGAGGCCGGTCGCAATTTGAGATGGCTCTCTCGGTCGCTCTTCCGGCTTTGGAAACTTGAAGGGAGCCGTGGGACCGAAAGAAAATTGTAGTGGCTTAGCTGGAGCCAGGGAGCTGAATGGGTTAGCGGAGGGTAGCTCAGCCTGACTCAACGGGGTTGGTTGCGAAGCCTGTGGAGGGGGCTCAGCAAAATTGAAGACGTTGGCTGAAGCTTTGACAGCAGGAGCCCGTTTGTTGGAGGATGATATAGGCCGAGTCATCTGCACGCAAGCCGATCGTTTCTTCGTTATCGCCTTGGGTGTGCGATGTGTCAATTTGAACAACACGGCTTCCATCTGTCGATCGGCCGCTTCCTTCTGTTTGTCCACCGCTTCAGTGGAGACATTGGAGTCCAATGCTGGGTTGGCGTTGAAATTGAAAGAGCCAGTAGTAATAGCTGCGACCGGCTGGACTGGCATCACGGGTGCTGATTTTTGAACCTGGTCGCTCTCAACAGCAGTTGCATCCTCGTTGTTGGAGTCTTTTGCGTCTGCTGCCGTCGATGGCGACGATGCATCTTCAGATTGAAGGTTCTGGTCATCGCTCTGTGGCGTGCTAACTACACTGCTGGCGGACTCTGCTTGGGCGGGCTCTTCTGGACTCGCACCCTCGCATGATACAAGCTCTTCTGCTACTGCAGGCTCATCAGCAGACCGAGGTTCTGGGGGTGATGAAGTAGCTTCAGACTCATCTTCTGTGAAGTCTGGTAACGAAGTTGCTACTGCTGTTTCGTAGACAACCTCTTCAGATGGAGATTCTGTCGTCTCCTCTGCACCGAACTTTTCGTTCACAGCATCTTCCAACACTTTCTTGACGTATTGTGGATCGAGGATAGGGTAGACAGATAGATCGTCGTCAGAGATGGTGATGTGTGTATCTTTGATCAAAGACGAGATAGCCTCTGATACGAGTTCATCGCGGGGATCAATATTGGCGAGCACAGGAAGTAGCAAGTCACCATCTGGGACGCTGGCAGAGTCTTGTGTATCAGGATTGTCTGCAGGCAGAGGTGGTGTTGGTGTTGCTTGTTCATCATCCTCGTCACGTTTCGTGATGATGTTGATACCTTCATCGTCGTCATCCTCATCTGCCGCAAAGATTTCCGTATCCGGTTCTACGCCATAATCGTTGTCGCCTACAGCAGCCGGCCTAACAGCATTTGGAAGATGAGTGTTGTCAGTGTCGGAGGTGGCGGAAGGCTGATCGTCACCAAGTGATGTGAAAGGGGAACCCTCTGCAAATTGAACGTCTTCGTCATCGTCAGGATTGAATCAATCCCATACAGCAGCACGATGCTCGTCTCCTTCGGTCGCTGGGCCATTTGTAAGCTCTAACAGACGACGCATTCCTGGCCTTGGGTTTCTACTTAGAACTAAGGCTTGCGATGACGAATTTTGTTCCCTAAGTTGTCTCTCAGCCTCCTGAAGTTGAGCCGTGAGTGAGATGACATCCTCTCGTGCATCCTCGAGTTCGTCTTCGAGTTCATGTTCAGTTTGTCTATGCCACGCGTTCGACTGGTGAAGTCCGCGTAATCCTCGAAGGAGAGCCCAAGTTTTAACCTTGTTATCTTTCAAAAGATTACGGACTTGAGTCTGGCTGGCTTGCAATGCTTGGAGGTAAATACTTTTCTCTTCCTCGCTCCTCCAATATAACTTTAGCAGTGGTATGATGCCACAAAGGACGAGAAGAACGGGTACGCAGTACAAGGTGTATAGTAGGATGACACCGGTGAGTACTGATTGCGTGGACAGATTGCGTATGCGACTTAGAGCCTCCATGATCTCTTCCCATGATGGGCCGTTCATTGGAGGTTCGTAAACAACAAGGTCTTTCGTAATAGGCGCTGGACACTTTCCATTTGTCCCCACAAACACTGAAACAAGAACAGACCGGTTGTCTTCGGAGATGTGAGGAGGTGTGGGAGGTTGTTGGACCAGAGAGACGTTGACCGCAGGAGCCGGGAGAAGATTTGTCCAGGTTTCGGTTGCAAACACTGGTTGGATGTATGTATCATAGAGGATTTTGAAGGAAGATGGAGGTGTGTAGAGAACGAGGCCGGCTGACTCAGCCTGTTGACCTATGATGATGCCAGCGAGGAGAGTGCTGACCAGAGTGACCGCCTTGAGCGCGGTAGTTGTGAGGAAGTGCATTGTGATCCTGTAGGATGAGGTGAATGCGTGTGTGGGTTTGAAGGTTCTCGAGAAGTGAGTATTGGGACAAGTTCACAATCGGTAATCTTTGATTTGAATAATAGACAGAGAAGGGTTGTGGAAATTGAAAGAAGACAAGGAAGGAAGTACGCCAAAACTTCTTTGAAGGGGAGACGAAACCATTGCGGGGCAGACCAGGCTCAAGTGACAGCAGCATAGTGCCAGTGAAGTGACAACAAACGCCATGAGTGACACTTCATTCCTGGTGGCCTGGGGAGTACCTTCACTACTTCACTCCTGAGTTATCACAGCCGCTGTTTGCACTTTCACTTACCAGAGTAGCAAAGCACAAACGTGTTTCCTCTGAATTGCTAGCTCGGTATCACAAGCTCAGTGTCTGCACTCATAGTGAAAACTTGTCCGCAAGCTGTTTTCGTGTCGATCAGCTGTCAAGATCTTTGTACATGTACGTACCATGTTTGCTTGTCCGTAAAGAGTTCTGTTACAGGTCGCCTGTAACCTGCCTTCGCAGTCTGGCACCTTTGACCTGGAGTGTTTACACACCTGAATATGTAGAATGCAACCTATGTCATGCTACATACGCGCTGGCTGATACAGTACCAGCTTGATGTAACACCAGTCTTTCACAATCCGAAATGGGGTATCTGAAGATACAGGCTCAACCGCGTCAACATCCACAATTTGGTCGAACGCCCTCATCGCAGCAGCAACATCCCGAGTAGTCTGTCCATATGCAGGTACGGCCTCAATCATAAACCCGTCAACAGAAAACGTAGTAGGCTACACGTCTTCCGTATCTGGATCGTATTCTTCGTAGTTGTAGTTCGTGTTGTCATTCGTGAAGAAGCTCAACTAGATAAACCCACTGATAACAAACGCAGAGAGCTTAGGGCAGCAAGCAGCCCGACGATGCCAGACCAAGGAAACGATGAAGTGGCAACTAAGCCGAAAGCAAAGAAACCACGACAACCCAGACCACCTCGAAGAATTTAAGGCCTACGTGGTGAAGCAGTTCCGTCTGTTGTAGACCAAGTTAATAGCACAGAAGTCAACTTGACGTTGGCACGGTTCCTCAATTTGTACCCACAAGCACGAGGACAATTGATGTCAACCATGAGATTGGAACCATTGCCCGCTGAGTACGGATTCTTCGCGCGGCTCTTACAGCCTGAACAATGTACCATGATAGGTGAATCTCGTAGGCCTTCTCGAAGGAGGGGAACCTGGCGCCAGACGACACGAAGCGCAAGTACAGCATCGAAATCGTGAAAGCCTCATAACAAGGACGAAAACAAAGACTGCCTGGGAAATGAGATAGCTTCCACACCTCCTCGAAGAGAGGTTGGATCGGACCTCTGTGGTGTAGTGAAGGTAAGAGAGGCGCGTGCTAGCGCGTCTTTTCGCGTTGCTGGAAGGTCAAGCGAGCGCCAATCATTCTGTTACTGTAGGTCTACTTGACTAAATGCTTGGATAGGAAATTGTGCCAGTTGGGTTGCATGCACGTGGTACGTATACAACGAGAGTCAGGTTGCGGTTACAAGGTGAAAGCATGGCAAGCTGTTGCATGCGTGAGATTCATTGCAGTCTAAAGTCACACAGCCAGATGGTGCAGACAATTACTCGCCTCTATCTGATGGCTCAACATGTGGTATATCTTCAATCCGTATGTGAAATCAGGAAGTCTGGTCCAGGTCCGTCATCTTCGCTTTCAGAAAAACTAGTCTGGTGATGGTCGGACTCTTGACTTGGTTTCCCTTGGGTATCCAGTGCGGCTTTGCTTAGGGACGTTGATTCTCCTGGAATTGCAGGCGCAAGGTATTTCAACGTTGCCTTGAGACTTTCATTGCTGCTTGTGTCTGAGAGAGAACTTTTCGCAGGTGTTCGTAGAGTATCAAAGGCGTTCTTGTCTGGTCCCGCTGTCAGCAGGTCGGCATGGGGTAGATCGCCAATTTCTTCGTCAATGTGGTTGTGATCATTAGTGGTCTGACCATTAAAACTTGTAGGGTCTTGCTGAAATTGTTCGGGCATGAGCAAATCCTTTGCTTGCTGAAAAGCTTCAAGCTCAGTCCCAATAGCACATATGAGCAAATTCCAATTGCGAGATTTCGCCATTTCCAAGTTTGACTGGAGAAAGTGCATAGTTGTGTTCAACGAGCTAACGAGGTCGGATGATAGGCTTGCGTCTCCTGATCTCATCCTGTCTCGCAATCCCTGCTCGAAGTTGTTGACCTTCAGGATACTCTCCTTCCACAACTTGCTGCCTTGAAGCAAAGCATCACGCTCTCGTTCAACATCCATCTGGTGAGCCTTGAGAAGTTCGAGCTCACTAACCCACTGCTCTTTGGCAAGCTGTAACGTGCGTCTTTCTGGCCTCAATGCATACATATCCTGGCTAGGCTCAGCTGAATCAAGATTCTTGCGACCAAGACCTTGCTTGACCGGAGGTCGTCGTAGAAACAATCTGGTGTCCCTCTCAATCGCAGCAAGGGTCCCTTCGTATGAGCTTAACTCGCTCGCAGCAGCATTCTCTATTTGAGTGGCCCTACCAACTAGGTGTCTTTGTTGTGCCTTGAGCTCCATGATACGATTTTCTAGCTCGAGCACCTCTCGTTCAATGGCCGTGGCCTGCTCACGCAAGACACGCGATTCGCTGCCCTTGGCACGTTCGTTCAAGGTCCTGATTTCGTGTTCGATCGCCTCCTTTTGCACCTGAAACTCAGAGACCTTACTTAGTGCCATCTCACGATGAGCCAGCTCGCCTTTAGTGATTGTAAGCTCCTCATCTTTAACTCCTGCAAAGTCTTGCATACTCCTTGCTATGCCTCTCCTGGCACCTTGAAGCGTAATCCGCTGCTTTCGAGGCTGGCGGACCGGAGTCACTTGGAATTGCGGGTGTGCATCGATTGAGAGAAATGAGGAGTGCTCGGCTGTCGACTGTGCTGATGTTGAGCCGTCGTTATGGCGTCCGCTTAGCGCTTGGCTCTGGAAATCGAGTAAGGACTGAATTGTCCTTTGGAGAGTCGCAGCAGCTCTATCTACTGCCAGGTAAGGATCATCGTAGTGAATGATTGACGCGCTCGAAGGCACAGTCTGAACAACTGACTGACTCTGACTCTGATTGTGCTCATTACTACTCCTTCGTGACCTTCTCGACGTGACGCTGCCTGGTCCGTTGCCCGCATGTGTGCTTAATGAGGTTCTCGAATCTATTTCATCGTGGTAGTCGGTGCTTCGTTGCTCATATTGAGGAAAAGGAGTTCGTTTGGTTCCAGGAAATATCCTTTCAACGATAGACTTCTGCATCATACCAGTTCATGAAGTAGTTCGTGACGATCGATGCGTTGGTAGAGCCATCAATGACCTCCTGTACTGCTCTCCTTCCTTCTTTGGTCGTGTGTAAGCCAATATTATGGAAGGAACGATTGTCACATGGCTACTTTCCAACTCCGGTTTGGAATCCAGGCAGAGACTGCAATCTCTCGGCAAACACGACCCTTAGTATACGTCCACAACATTCTTCTTGAGCAGGAATTGGCATCAAAAGTCCTTTTCCCTTGTGGCAGTGTGTTTACTGATAATCGTTCGAGTCGCCGAAGATGTGTACTAAATGTGTACATCGCCAATAAGTTTGCCTTGCAAAAGCAGCACGACCGAATCATTTCATTTGCACAGGATCCCTGCACAACACAGCCCAACTGAAAAATGATGAAACCACAGTTGTTCTCTACTATCTGTGCAGTAGTCTCTCATGCTTTCAGCTAGAAGAAAGTGGGACCGTTAAGGACACTGTATAATCCCCAATCCAGAAGTGCTTGATTCCAGCAAAAGGCCGAGATGCTACCATCACCAAGTGCTTCTTTCACCCTGCCTAGTTCGCATGACAATCTGGAAATCGACTGCAGGCTGTACTTCCCTCGACCAAGGGCTCAGAACCGCGAGGCTGAAGGAGAAACATACGTCAAAGGTTGTGCTATCTTCGCCCATCCATACGCGCCTTTAGGAGGTTGTTATGACGATCCTGTCGTTCAATCTGTGGGCTCGTTACTTCTGAAGCAGGGCTTCTTGCTCACCACATTCAATTTTAGAGGTGCCGACAAATCCCCAGGTCGGACTTCTTGGACGGGAAGGGCTGAGGTTGGTGACTATGTGTCTCTGTACATATTTACATTAGCTTTCCTTAATGCGCCTCACATCGTGGAGCAGATGACTCATGGTTGTCCATTGTTGGTCTTGGGAGGCTACTCTTATGGAAGCATGGTCGCAGCTCATCTACCAGGAATTGACACGATGCTCAAGGCTTTACAGCATGCAGAACTCGGCTCCGCTACGCACGAGATCAAACAAAGAGCGAACGAGCTTGCCCAAACCTTTCTTGACTATTGTGAGGCACAGCGAGACGTGAGGCTTTCGAGCAATAAAGCTCATAACGAGCCTTCTCTGCAGGGCACAACTTTCGGCGGCTATGAATCACCTGCTGCAGCTCAGAAGATCACGAGAGACGCACAACGTGGTATGAGCCTTGATGTTGATAGAGTCCGACATAGTATTGACAAAATCCGACACAAGATTAGGAACGAATCGACCACTTCCCGAGCAAATGATCCCAAACAGCAATCCGATAGAACGAGGTCGGTTGTGCCTTCAGTGGCATATCTCTTGATCTCTCCCCTATTAGGTCCCATCTTGGGCTTCGCGTCTGGTTTTTCATCTCCCAGATTCGATCCACAGGACAAGAAATTGAGTGCCATAATTGGCAGTCATACCACAGACACTCGGCAGGCCTTGAGTAGTGTACCGAGCCTGGTTGTGTTTGGAAGTGCTGACCACTTCACATCTTCGAGGAAGGCTAGAAACTGGTGCCAGGCGATCAAAGAAAAACCCGGGTCGAAGCTACAGTTTCATGAGGTTGCGGAAGCTGGTCACTTTTGGCATGATGAAAACATCGGATCTATGATGAGGAAACTGGCAGCAGACTGGCTCCAGGCTATACTCGAACAGCAGCGAACAGCTCTTGGCTGAGCAATGAAATATTCAAATATACGACGCAGTATCATGTTAACGGATGTGTTTGGATATCCTTTGCCACAAGCGAATCTCGCATCAGCACGTACCTACTCCAACTTGAGCAAACATGTAGCCAATTGTCCTGTTGCTTCAGGACATTCGCCACAAGAAACAAATACACTGCAGCAGGACATCTGCAGCCTCAGAGTTGCAGCATTAGTCAATAGCCATCAGACATCAGACCACAGACAGTGGACACATGAGTATTCTGCAGGCGACATATCCTCCGCTACGGGACCTACGTCTCGCTGAGCCATCAGACATCATTCGAATGGGCACACTGATGTACGCCGCCTTTGCTTCAGAACCGATGTTCAACTACCTCCGTCCCAAACACGCGAGTGTGGTGCAATATGCTCTACAGTTTCACCGCGAATACAGCAGGGCCATGATAGAGAATCCCAACACCAAAATAGTCATGGTAGTAGAGGACAAGTACAACCCAAAGGAACAGAACTATCTCAAGACCGATATCTCTACGAAAGACACTTGGTCGAGCACTCAACCAACACCGAAGGAGGGTAACCCCGTCGTCGTGGGACTGGCATGCTGGTCCTTCACGCACGGCAGGGATGCTCCGCCCATTGGTCAGCACCAAATACGTGCAAAAGCTTTCAACGACGATACTTGGCCCGAATTCGGCTCACTTCAAGTTCCGGGAGATTACGATCACGAGGAGCACTGGAAGCTCTACGAGACTAGCAAGGATAGCATGCGCCGTGCGCGTATTGACGATTGCGGCATGACTCTTGAGATGTTGGCTGTACATCCAGCTTACCAAAGGACAGGACACGCTACGACACTACTGAATTGGGGAAAAGATTTGGCTCAGAAACTGAACGTTAACATGGTTGTTTAGGCTACAGAGGCAGGCAAAGGAGTTTACGAGAAGGTTGGCTGCCAATTGCTGGATGAGTTCCGCCTGATTGGTGATGAGGTATCTCCACGAGGTGCATCAGGATATTTGTTGAAGTATGTTAGCAAGAAGGGGCAGGGGAGTGATAGTGGCGGTACGTAAATTCACCCAGGTCGCATCTGCATACACTGGGACCTGAAACGGGTCCTTGAGATACTTGACCTATGGCAGTCGCGTCGCAAAACCAGAAGCAAATCATGTTTGCTACTCTCTCTCAAAGACTCCAATACAGATACTTCCTCAAAATCACATTCGCTGAATCCCATCCATACAAGCTATTCCTTACTACTCTCCGTAATATCCTCAACAATCTGATCCACCCTCACCTTCGCCTCCTGCACCAGCGTCCCCATCGGCTCAACCCGCTCCTCCTTCCGATTCAGAAAACTCAAATACGTCTGCCACACCACCGCAAAAACACCACTAAAAGCAAATCTCAAATGTGCCGGTATCACCGTGAAATTCAGCGCCGTCACGGCAGGCCAGAACTTTGCGGAACTGATCACGCTCTCGGGTACTGCGCCTTTTAGTCGTTCGATGATCTGTGGTAGTGTCGCACCAGCTAGGAATGCCTGCATCCCGAAGAAGTAGCTGTTGAAGAGCGGCGCGAAGAAGAATTGCTGAATTAGGACTTTAATGGTGATGGAAACAGCAGTCGAACCGTAGTTAAAATGGCTTCCGAGAAACAAAAACCATTTGTACCCTGGGATACTGGCTACAGCGCCGACAGTCAGCATACGTAGCGTCCGCTTGCCGTCGTAGGGTTCGCGGCCAATTTCCTGTGCTAGTAGATCGCCGCATAGATATGTCGTAAGCGAGGTTGCGAGAGTGGTGGTCAGCGGCCTACGACGCTGCATCCGGCTGAACCAGCCTAGGAAATTCTTCATGGGACCGAGGCGGTGGTACCATAGTGGTGAGGGGACGTCGAGGATGATTGAGGCATCTTTTGAGTGTGGGACTTCTGTTACGATCTGGTTGGGTGTGTGAGGTGTCTTTTGGAGTTCCGAGGTCTTGATTTGTTCTTTGGTCATTACTGTGCGATGGAATGGACGCCGTTCGAGGCGTGCACGAGGACGTGCTGCTGTTCTGTAGGGGACGCTCGCTCGGAGCGCAGAGCGTGGTGAAGACATGAGTCTGGTTTCCTAGGACATGGTACCTGGAGTTCCAGGAATTGACTGTTCAGCAAGTCTACGGAGCCGACAGTCGCGACAAGCAGCCAGCACAAAAGGCTTGTTCGTTAGCATCAAAAGTATCAATCTTTGAGTAAGAGTAATGGTGTCTTGGTAAGGTAGCAAACTGGAGCTGGAGATGATGTCAATCTGCTTGCCTGGTTCGAGACGAGTCCCTCGGCTCCAAGCCGATTGGCTGCTCCGCGTCCTTTTGTTCGATCGTAACTTTAGGCACCGAAAGCCTAGTCGAGAAGCCTAAAAGTCCAGCTTGCGAGCACATTGAGGGCTTGTTCCGAGGAGGTTAAAAGGCTTGCATCTGGTGTAGCATGACATACCGAAGCTTGAGGAATATGATGTATGTCTCGAGATGTGATCGAGATATTTTGGTAGATGGTCACTGGAGCAAAGTCGAGCTCATACAAAGTGGAGCTACAATAGATGTCCTTTCATCCCGCTGCTAAGAGGCCGCATATAAATGAGCTCATCAGAGACTCGGTGTCCTAAAGCCCACACGGCTTTCAAGATCTATTCGCTGGAGTGAACTTGATCATCAGCGGCTGTAACTCCCATAAGATGTAGAACCTCGCATTATCTACCCAGTCATCTTGTCCTCCTTCAAGCTTCATATCAAAGTGCCATAACAGCTTTGCTGTGACGAGTCGTGCCTCAGCGAGAGCAAGAAGTTTGCCTATACAATTCCTCGGACCAAGACTGAAGGGTCTGAGGACTTCGTCCGTGGATAGACCATATGGTCCTTCTTCTTTGACTTCTGGCCCTAACCATCTCTCGGGTCTGAACTCTTTTGCTCGGTGGAAGAATCGTTCAGATCGACCCATAAACCACTGTCCCATTGAGACATAAGTGCCGCCTGGTATCACTTCGCCATCGATGACGTGACCTGCCGGGGGTGTTACACGAGGTGTGATGAAGCTGGCGACTGGAAAGATGCGCAGGGACTCATCAATTGTGGCTTTCAGGTACGGCATGTTCGATACGGCCTTGATTGTGATGTCTTCTGGTGAAACAAAAGTATCTCGTATTTCACTCCTCAGTCTTGCCATGACTTGTGGTGTCTTGCACAAATGGTAAAGTGTTGCGCTGAGACAGGTACTGGTCGTTTCTGCACCACCTCCGACGATAAGGACTGAGTTAGCAGTAATCTCGGCGTCGGTCAATCTGTCCCATCCCTTCATCTCCCTCAACATCAAACCAATGATATCAGGCCGCTTCATACTTGCATTCTTCTTTGAGCCAGCCTCAGAGTTTGTACTCTCCTCCTTCTCTCGCGCCAGTCGTTGGTTCACAGCATCAGTAGCTGTGTTGAAGAAATTTTCCCTGTCCGCCATCTTGTCTTTAGGTATCAATGGCGCCAACCACTTCATACGAAAGCCAAATCGTACGAATTGATTCAACGTAGCTGTGGTCTTGAGCACGCTCAGAAGGAAGCTGGGCCAGGGATGCATACGCCTCTTCTCTAAGCACAAAAACTCCTGGTCGAGCGCCAACTGACCGATAACGTCGTTGAGCGTCCACAGTAACCAGTCGACCATGTTCTGAGGGCCTTCGGAACTGGCCTCGGTAAGTTGGCTGCACAGCAAGTCCGTGTAGTGCTGTAGGACAGGCTCGACTTCTGCAATACTAGAGTTGAGGAAAGCGGGGCCAGTGAGTCGTCGCAGTCGTGCATGTTCTGTATCGGGCGCTGTGATCATACTTCCTGGAAGTCTTGCTTCCTCATCTTGAGGTGGAAAGTGGAACTGTGTCTTCTGGAGCTGTGGTCGAGAATTGTAGATCTGGGGCCACGCTTCAGGAGATGTAAATGACAGTTCATCTGGCGCTATTCGGACTGTAGCACCGTAATCGGAGTGTATGGCGGTGATATACTTGTATAGGTCGCCACGAGCATGGTGCTGTTCTTCGTTAGCTAAAGATGTCGACCCAACTATATCTGTCGCTATGTTCTCGAAGTACAACAATCTCAAGATCAATCACTTACATATGAAGCTGGTAGACGAGATGCTCGCCATAGGAGCGGACCAGGATACTTGCAGAGTGGGTGTAAAGGAGATACGTTGTACAGTGTTTTCAACACTAACAAGCCAGTACACTAAAATCAGTCAGCACAAGCGTCTATGCTCGACACGCTGCATACTCACTACCGATATAAAACTGATCCAAATCACGAAAGAAAAGATTGCAAGGTCAATAGCATCGTCGACGCTGACTGCCATAGTGGAATACATGTGGCTCGAAGTGCTGCAACATCAAGCGATGTCAACCATGATCGAGTTCGAAAGACTATATCTGTCCTCCCGCTAGAACGCTGATGTCGTATTCAAGCTAATCAGCCTTCGAAATTGTATCCTTGTCGTGGTTCTGTGTTGGTCTGGACGCCTAAGAGCGGTCTCGCTTGTATTCAGCTGGGGGCAGGGCAGCTGACAGGATGATGACTGCATCTACAATACTGGATATATTGCAACGGCATAAGTTCGTGCCTCGTACACCAATAAGACTAAACTGAAGAACCATAGGTGGGTAAGGTCGTGCTCGCTACTCCTATGGGTTGAGGAGTCATGCCGAGCATGGCGAGAAGTGCCTCGGAGCCTGGCGAGCTCCATCTACGAAAGAGCTTTAAAAGAAGTACGAGACTGGGGATATGGCTGAACATTCTAAAGTTCTCTCGCTACTTGTTTGTTGAACGACACATTCTCGAGAGCATAAAACGACTCTACCAATATATGCTTGACAGCCAATCAAGATGGAAAGAAAGCGTGTCTGAGCAGGAACTGATGCTGAATGTACCATTGTTATCTAGACGCAATGAATCCGGAATCACTATGTACTATTCGTGACCGGAACATAACTCGAACGCGAAACATTATCCCTCCGTCCCAAGAGCCTTTTCCACCCACGTTGATACCACTTCTCCCTCTGACTGAACCCAAGCAATATTGCCCTTCCTCTGTCCACCCCGAATCGCATTCCATATTTGACCTGTGACTGGTACTCTTCTGCGAGATCCGCATCACCCTGTCCTGGTTGACCGCAAGCCCACCAACCAAGACTGAATGTATGCTGGTCAAATAGTGGTCTGAGCTCTTCCTCAGCCATCCATTCGGCCCCAAGAGGCATGAACTTCCTATCACACATGCTCGAACCAGCGAAAAAGCTCATTGTGCTTGCGATCGAGCAGGGATTCCGGGGAAGAACACCTCGTATCTCAACTAGGTAATATGCCATGGTGCCCAGGACCGTCATACATGCAAGTAGAGCTTGAAGTATAATCTTGGAGCTATCGTCGACTCTCAGGCGCAAGAGTTCGACTCTAGCGGTACCGCGTATCGTGCTGCTCTGGTTGGCCTGTTGGGCTCCTACTGACAGCTGGTCTTTGGGCTTGCGGAAGTTTCGATCTATTGCATTTGTCATGTATCGTCGATACAGAATTTGTACTGCGTCTATGAGCTTGGTCACGTTCTGGGGCCCTGTCAGCTCATCTACAGTTCGATAGCTACCGTTCAGGACACTGAAGAAGTGGTCACCGACAAGAGCAAACGCAGTTTGGTTTCCAAGACCACTGTAAAGCAGTGACAAATGTCGCTGCATGCGAAAGCCAAAGGATTCCGCTCCAGCAGTTCCATTGGTGAGGAACTTGGCTGTTTCGTTGTGAACTTTGCTTGGCGTGTTCATGCCGTAAGTGATTTGCACTTCCTCAACTTGCTGATCGCATAATAAGGTTGTAATCACGTTGGTTTCATTTGGCAGAATCGTAACCAGACCGAAGTGAATACCAATCGAAGGACATCCCGCTGGATTGTCTGGTTGATCAAGAGTGCCATCGCCCTCACCATAGTTCAGATACATCGCTTTCGACGCGTTCCATGGTCCCAGATGTAAGTCGTACATGTAACCAGATTTGTACGACCTGTTTGTGGAGGAGTATATGCTGTATTCGGAAGCCCATGTAATGGTATCAAGATCACCTCCTTGCCCGCCACGACATCCATCCTTTAGCGGCGCTGAAGTAGAAACATTCATGGTACTGAGAGTGTCATTCCAGACATAAGTCGTATACCGATCGGGTACAATATGACATTCGAGGTGTGGCCGCAAAGTCGGGAAAGTCAAAGTGTATTCCATCGTAGTATCATTGATCGCACCAATGGATTTGTTGAGAGACCTGTCGATGACCATCGGTTGCTGTATGTCGGGGAAGACATAATCACCCCAAACATACCTCGAAGGGCCGGATGTATTGAGCCGCATCCTTTCGTAAGATTCTCCAGCTTGCCTATCCGTATATGTACTGTTCTTCCAATCCCAATCCCATAGAGAGTTTCTCTCTGCTGCTATATCTGTTGTCCAGATGACAGACTCGGTGACTAGCAAACCAGACGCAACGATCGTCAGTGTGGCTCCTATGAGCGACGCAATATTTGACAAAGCAGATCCGTAATGCCTCCTCCGCAAAGATTGATGGAGTGCAATTGGTGGTGAGTGTCCAAGCAAGTCGGTGAAGAGTAGCCTGCTGGCAGACTTCGTGGCACGTTTGAGTGCCTGGAAGGGTGCTATAACGGCGATGACAAAGTCCAGTAAGTTGAACATAGTTGCAATTAAGGTCATGACTATCGGCGCCACAAAAGGAATGACATACTTCATGCTTGCACTGCTGATGGAGACTGTTGCAAGTCCATCATCTCTCACCGAGATCTGGTAGATTGCTTCAAGCCCAACGATCGCCGCAATTGGCATACACATGGTCAGTAGGATGGCAACTTTCCTCGCAGCAAAGGGCATCCATGCATCACCATGACCTGGGAGGGCTGTACTTTTGGTTCTGGCTGTAAACTCCGACATCGAGGTATCAACAGTGAAAGCATCCTGCGAAGTAACAGCCCGAAATGATGCTGTCGAGAGTCCCTGCTTGAATTCTGCTTTTGACAATTGTCCCGTGTTTGCTAATAAACTGGTTATCTTTGGGCTGGATGCAAGCACAGCTGCCATGGTTACTCTTGATGAGGGTCTCTGAGGCAGACCAGTGGGAGAGTCGTAGATTGCGAGTACGACTGAGAATAGAGATACCATGATCAACCCTACGATCATGCCCCACAACGGAGCTTCCTATAGAGCATTAGCTTAGGGACGTCCACGTGTCAACTCACGACAAGCGCCTTAGATTCTGGTCGCACGACTTGTGGGATTACTGACCTGCACATGAAGCCTATTCTCCCAGCGCGCAGCTGTTGCCTGGCCTCGGCTCCCCTCTGGTAGCATGTACATCTGCTGCACGTACTGAGCTGCCACTCCTGCCAGTGTGATGTTGGTAGCGTTTAGCAGGTTTTTCTTTTCAAAGAATTGACTGTAATCGAAAGTCACATTGTTGTTGATGGTACGTCGTATACCAGACACAAGCCCTGGACTTGGTGGATTGGTCCAGTCCGTAGTGCTCATGTAGGAAAGAGTCTCGGTCAGATTCTGTGAGTTCAGATCATCTAGACGCCTCTCAGACCGAGGACCTTGGAGCACGGCCAATGACAGGTCACCACTCCGCAGATCCCTTGTCACATTCCAAGACTCCAAGCTGTGATCTATCCTACAGAAGACAGCCGCACTACCAGCGATATTGGGTGTATAATCAGCCAGCGTTAGGCTTGAAATAGAAGATCGTGTTACGGTGAGATTAAGGGCAGATGCGACGTATCGGACATCAGTGTTGTTTTTGCTCGAGTTGTAGTAAGTGGTATCTGCACAGTCCAGCTTTGTCTGACTTAGGAATAGCCCTTGACACACCGTGTCTTTGCAGTCTTTGATCTGTATATACTTAGAGAAGTAATACGGGGCACTAGAAGAATTGACTATGGCAGGACAGGTCGAAGTCGACATACTTATGTTGAAGTAGTAAGCGCCGTCGGCGAGATCCTCAGATGTCTGGTTGTACGCAAGTAACTTGACATCAGCGGGCTCGCAATCGATGCGAGGAACGAACACATCGACAGCAGAGGTGATACTGTCTAAGCTTGTAGTGTTGTCGACCAGATCGAACGTGCGGAAAACCATGCCATTCTGCAAACCTTCGGCAGGTTTGATGCTGCCACCGAGCACACCGAGGTATGCATCGAGAGGGTCTAGCGTGATATTGCCGGCTGCTGTGGTAGACAAGGTATTGTCGAATCTAACCGTCACCTCCATCGGTAGTAAAGTATCGACAGCCACAATCAAAGCAGTAGATATTAGCGTCACGATTTTCAGTATCATGAAGCCTGCGGTTGACATCACGACTCTCCAGTGTTTATTTCGAACAGCCATCTGAAAGCTGTCCAGCTGTAGAGGCCATAGATAGTCCAGGAGTAGCGACTGCTTTGCCTCCACGACGCCTTTAGTAAGATTCTGCCATGGTTGCAACGACTTGCAATGGTAGTCAACCTGTCTCCACAGACTCACCACGATGACCAAGATGCCGGTAGGGCCATACTTCCACGACAGATGGTTCGAGGTGATGGTAAGCTTAAAGCCATGTTCTTGACGACTAAGTCTCCAAACCAAAAACAGAGATACCCATAGCGCACTAAGGATCAGGCATAGTAGGAGAAGGTACCACCTTCGCAAAGACAGTGGGCGCCATTGTCGATGGTGAACTACTTCTGTCTGGCTTACTGACAGCTTCTTGGCTTCCGAAATCAGGGGTACATGATCTGACGGGTTATAGGACGTTATCGACTGTAAGCTATTGTGGTTGCGAAGACGAGTGGCTTCGTTCCAGTCAGCTATATCGTCGAGTTCATAGTCGGGATTGCCGATTGAGGCTCGATCGCGTGGCCAAGTGGAGGGAACGCGCTCGTAAGCCATCGGAACAATTATGCGGTCAGAGCTCAATCAGCGGGTCATTCCGCCAAGAGCAGTATTTATGCCGTCTCGTGCAGCATGTAACAGATCAGCAACTTTCACTGTGTCCAAAAGCAAGTCTATGTTCTCGTCGCCTTATCTAAAAATTAGGTCGGAACCAAATTTTCGTGTTCTCGAGCTTGTCCATCGAAATCGCAGAATCTATGTTTCAGGCTGGGTAGGCTAGCTAATATTAGTACCCAGCAATTTGGCTCTACTTCGCTTGCAATTGGTTGCAATAACCGGTCACCGATGCGAGTCTTAATCTAGACCCCCAACAAGTACAGTTATGATGGTGGTGGTGAATTGGGGGCGGAAGTCGCTTGATGTGCACGATCGTCTTCACAAGACCGTGGCAGCTGCCCATTACTGATTGACATGAAGAAGACCGGTGTTTGCTTGAACGACTTATTTATCGAGTATGATGATGCTTTCCTGCCTGGACAACATCAAATCCCCAAACCTTTACATATAATGGTTTACCATTCCTGCCCACCCATAAACCTTGGCGACAATTCAACATCAAACATTGGTCTTTCTACGATTACCACCTCGGGAGCTGCATCGTTGTCCACAGCCTGACCTAGCACTGCCAATCCATATATTCCTCGATAAAGAAAGGTGTGCCAAGATGCTGGTTGTGACCGATATTGCGTCTCAGTCTCACTATCGGCTTCTTGGTCCTCCTTCTGGACTACAGCATCTTGCCGGCTCGAACCAGAAATTTTCTTGTCGACTTCGTCATCAATATCCATCATGTCGTCGTCGTCAAGGTCGTCTTCTTGCTTGATACTTTCAGGTGGACTAGGTATGTCTACCTTTATGCTGACATCGTCATCACCGTCGATCGAAGTATCAATGTCAGCCGAGTACTTCTGTCCATACCTCATTTCACCGCCAGCGCCAGCGTTTCTCTTCCTCTTCTTGCTCTTCTGTTGTTGTTCAATGTGCTCGTTCCTTGCAAGAGCATGGTTCGACGGCACTTCGATCACATGCTGGCCTAGGCGGCCGACCTTCACCAAGTTCTGCCCTGTCTGCTTTGCTAGATCTCTCTTCAAATCGAGCATGAACAAGAATGTACTGCCGTATAACCACAACCTCTCAATGTGCTCGCTTGGCCTCAAATCCACCCAAGCTCCCATCACGCGATCCTTGATCTTCCGGAACTGGTCTGGAAATGTAGTATTTGGATTCCTTCTCGACCAATCAGTCAATCTACAGTTGATCGTATCGAATTCGACAACCTGATGATTTGCAGTTACAGCGAAGAGGTAGCCGGCATCGACGGGGGGATGTTCTGGGGCAACAGGATGGTGGTTGTGCCTCGTTGGGTGAAGACCCTCGTTTCCATGCGTACGTGATGGATGGTCTGGCAGTGCTAGAGATGGTTTGAACGTGAGTGCTAGAACTGCTGACCCCAGAGAAGGCAGTTGCGAGCCTGCAGGTGTACGAATCCACTGCTGGCCATGTACAACACGAGAGTCTGTTTCATCATCGGAGTCGGAATCTGAGTCCTCTGATGCTGAACTATCCGCAGCGCCGTTCTCGATTGTTTCTGAAGTACCAACTGCTTCATGACCCTCAAGAACCCAAGTATCAATGGCACCTGAGAGGTCACCCACTGCAAGGATGCGACTATCGGGGGCGAATGACAAGGTCGAGATATTGTTTGCGTAGGTACCAAGTGCACTCTCCTGCTGCGCCTGAACTTTGCGTCTCTTGCGATCGAGCTTAATTACCCTAGGATGTAGAGAGGGTTTCTCCCTTGCAGCACCTGGCGGTGTCACCTTGACCATCAAAACCACGTTGTTCAGTCGAACGGCGGCTAACCATTTGCTGTCAGGTGAGAACCCAACTACAGTGGCTCCTTGTGCAGCAAGAACTGTAGGCAGGTCGACTGGTCGCGATCTGACTTCTGCTTGACCACTAGCTGACGTACTTCTCCTGATTTGGAACAATCTAACGCCTGAACTCGTGGCTGCTGCAACCATGGTGCCATTACTTGATATCTCTGCAGAAGTGATGTGCTCTTCCCCACTGAGACGAATCTGTGCTAGCAGCTTCTGATTCTGGAATTCGTCAGATACCGACTCAGAGTCTGTAGGTTCCTGATATTGTTGTGGAATATGCCAGATGAACAGGTCACTATCACACCAAGTGAGCATCAAGCGTGCTTCGGAAGAGGCAGACATTTGTGGTTTTTGTGGCAAGTGTGGCAGTGACCGATGGTATTCCTCGTTCCACCTCTTCAGAGGAAGCACGACAGGCACTGTATCTATCCCTCCTGACACGGCAATACTCATGCTCTTGCTCTCGAAAGCTGTGATAGCTTTGACGTCGTGCTCGTGAAATCTTCGATGCCGTATTTCGTACCATCGCTGTGTCTTTACGTTGCCTGTGCCAGATTGAGGTGCATATGCAACCGTTCGTCGATCAACACCACAAGTCAGAATCATTGTGCCAGATGTGTTGGTGGTGATGTCCAGTATATCAGCAATATGAGTCTTGAGCCGCTGTACAAGCGAGTAGTTCTGTGCATCCCATATCTTCAGTTCGCCTGACGAGTCGCCCGATAGTATTGTTCCATTAGGCAAGCACTTTAGTGTCCACACCAATGGCTGTGCAGTATCCGCCGTTTTGCCCAAAGTCATGGTTCTTATTGTCCTTCTGCTTCGCACGTCGATCACTCTGATTTGACTCTGCTCGAAGCCTGCGACCACAGTATTACGGTCGCGCCAGGTAATGCTGATACACCGACTCTTCTTAGTGCTCTGAGCACGTATCAGGAATTGCGTAAACCGTAACTCGTTGTCGATCGTAGAGAACAGAATGATAGAACCATCTGCGCATCCAGCTGCTAGAAGCTGCGACGGTGCGGTGCGTACTTGTTCAATACTGTTTCGCACCTGGCCTTCTGTCCATTGTGGCTGCGGCGCAAAGCACCATATATCATCTGAATTTCCTTCTGCATGTCTCTTCGGCGTGCCTTTCTGAACATCCCATTCAGTAATACTGGTCGAACCGCCACTACTGAATAATCTCAGGTGACCTCGCTCAATCTGCGAGTCCTTGATGTCCTCTTCATCTGGCACAATCAGATCTTGCGTCCACTGAACCTGTTCAACTGTTCGATCGAGACCACCACGTAATATTCTTTCTTGAACCCATTGGCCTTGGTTGGGATTCCACAATTCGATATCGCCGTTAGTACGGCCAACGGCAAGTCTAAGGTCTTTCGGCGTGTGCTGTTTGGGATTCGAGCTGTGTGAGAAGGCGAGCGCGTTAATCGCTTGAGGCTGGTACGGCACGAATCGACACCGATGAATATCCATAGCGTTAAGATCACCTTGTAGAGTCCTGCATGGCGTGATGGTCGTTTTGGGGCCAAGGTATCGTCAATTACTGCACTGAATGATATCTGCAAAGTGAAGCTTTACGCTCAAAAAGTTTCCTGGCCGATTATCACTTTTTAGCGTGCTTCAGTTGGCCGCATCGCACCTCGAACTTCAGGCACCAATTTCATCGCACTCACTGTTCTGAGAGCATAATCTGTGGACAACTCTATGGCCAAACGATGGTCTGTGTAAGCACCATATGCGCCGATGGTAGCATCTTTTCTTCGTCGCAAACCGTATCTACTGTTTCCGTCTCCGAGCCTGTGTCTAGGTATAGATTGGCGATAAACCATCCCCACGGACTACATAAAATGGTATCTAATTCTGTTCAAATTCTGGACGCGAAATTTATCCTTGCTCAAATTGACAATTACTAACCTAGGACCAAGTCCCTCGTCGATACAGAACTTAACGACTAGATTACTGAGCCTACTAGAATCGGGTCGTTATGCAGACTCTCCACAAAATTTCCGCCAATTTCTGCAAACGACGGCAGGCCAAAAGCTCTTGCTCTATCTTGCATTTTGCGGCAAAAGCTTTCAGCGTCCACAATTTTGGCCATGTCCTGCCTGATCCCGTAAACCATTTCATTGCTCTGACCAGCACTTTCGGCCTCGCTGAGGTCTGAGAAGAGCCTAGAGCGTTCAGCTGCGAGCATGATCACAACCGCATCCAGTGGAAATATTGCCAAGGCTTGACCTATGATGCCTTTGTCAGTCTGTAGGAAATAGTGTAAGCATTGGGTCAATTGTGTGCACACTGCCCTCTGAATCCTTCTCAGGTCGTGGAGCTTTTCCAATGTGATAGGGCCGTCAGCAAAACCTAAGTTCACTTCGTCTGCTTCCTCAGTCCCTAGTCTCTCGGGTGACAATGTCGCTGAGTCGGACCGTTTTCCGAGTTGCAGAAAGAGTTGCATAGCGTCGATGCTAGTTTCGAGACAATGAAGCTGCGTCATCAGGTTGTAGCACCAAGCAGCACCTATATCGAAGGTCTTGAACCTCATAGAGCCCGACTCGGGCCCCTCAGCACTTATATCCCTAAAGAGAAAGGTTCCGTATACAGTGATTAAACAGTCGTGCAGTCCCTCAAATCTATCCCATATAAGGTTAAGGTCTCTCAGCAGTCGCTGAATCTTGTCTGGAATGTTGGGTTTATGCATGAGAGGTCTGATGCTGTCAAGCTGAACCATGATGGCACTGATATCATCGGCCAAATCACTTATCTTCACAAGGAGATTTTGTGAACCGTGTCCATGTTCAGTAGTGGGTCGGTTTAGGCAACGGGCCTGTCCGAGGTTGTTGCTCTCGAATTGTTGTCGTTTCAGGCTTGAGAAAGAGGTATATCTATATTTCATACATAGCTGTCAGATGTTAGCGGAGGATGTAACCACGCTCAAAACTATAACCGCACTGTTCAAGGTCATGCTGATACAAGTTTCAAAACTACTTACACCCATCTCCGCGAAACGGTAATCTTGAAGGAGCAACCACGCGATCGATTGTCCTTCTTGGTCACTTCCATCACCAAGATGGCAGACCAGTTGGCTTACACCTCGTAAATGGCGCATGGTGGCACTAAAATCTGAACTAAGCATCAGCTCGAACATGGCCGCAGCATGACACGATAAGTAGAGGGATACAGCGTCTTTGGGTCTTTGCAGATTGTTTTTGAGCAGGGGTTCGAGCGACTTTCGAATGCCCTGCAAAGCACGTCGGTACATTTCCAATGCCAAAACCTTCAAGGATGTGTCCTGAAATTCCAAACTCTTCAGGAGAACGCCTATAGCTAGCAAGCATGTCTTGAGGACGCTGACTTCTTGTACCGACGCCCTCTTGAACGCGCTTCTCACCCAGTAAGCGCATGGTGTCCAAAGATATTGTTTGCTCTCCCAAGGCCTCACATTCGCGTTACCAATGGCTGGCGGAAGGTGAATCGAATCTGGTAGAAAACTTTGGCGCATGGTTGCAAGCAGAGCAAAAGCGTACGAGGCTTTCGTGTCTATACTGAAGGGGAGCAGGATCTTTGGGTAGGCGAACCGATTCGCCAAAGGTAGTGACCCTGCTGCTGCATCGAGTTCTTGCGCAGATGATACCTCCGAGCTCTCGACTGCATCAACATCTGTAATAGAGGCATCTATGTTGTTCGGTGAGCTCTGCAGCAAGGTAGAATCACTAAGCCATCGAACTCTAGAATGGTCAGCGCTGACAGCTTTGAGCGTTGCTGTCTCCTTCCTGCGACGTTCTCGTAATGCTCTCACATTATTTCGGACGCGCTCCCTACGCGCAGCGGCCCTTTCCTCGCCTGTTCCTGGTTTCGGCGGTCTCCCTCTACCCATCTCAAAGCGCCTCAGTTTCCACCAGCATTGCGTACATCGAGTTATCAGAACACCTGCCAACCGTTCGGTTGTCAATCAGATTTGACCAGGGATATCTTACGCGGAGACATAGCTTTGACAATCGGCGCATGCGCGTTTTCAGCGGCGCGTTGACTGATGGGACAGAATGAAACCCTGTGAAGGTCCAAGTCGAACTCCCCACACTCGCTGCTCGGGCTTCAGTCCTCCGATTGGCACAACCCATAGTAAATTAGGCACACCTGCTATATCAGTTAAGCACCACGGACAAGGCGCTTAGTAACAAGCCTCAAGTTGAATGATTCCGATCGACGCCAGGCTTATTAGCCCCTAATTAAACGTTGCAGTGCCTCCTGTAAGGAAAATCGTACCCTGCTTACCTCCGACTTTTGCAATATTGACCATCATAGTACTTGAAGTGGGACAACAAGAGAACCCAACTCCACGTACAGTCACCTGCATATCGAAGCGTGGGATGCAGTCAATAGCGTCCCTTGGAAAGATTACACGACTCCTTGCATTTGTTGGATCCTGAATGCGATTGACTCGACTGACCACTTCACGTGTCAGTGCGCACATCTGATCCACTCTCAGCAGCACGCCATACAACCACAAGACCCCTTTCTCGACATACCGCATGGATGACATCTCATACAGAACTTGGGTCAAGTCCAGGTAGCGACTCGTCGCAAGGAATTATCTTCACCCCAGCTGGTTCAGTGTCTCCCTTGCCCACGAATCCAGCATTCCACTCGCAACCTGGCATAGCACTACAGTCCCTGTCGAAGAAGAAGGAGGAAACCCACTGGCCTAGGCCGGGAGCGCAGCAGAACTACAGCGATACAAAGGACGAAGCAGGCTACGAGTCTGATGCAGGCGATATGTCTGGAGGGCCGCCTTTGCACCGCCCAACAGGCGGCTTCTCCAACACAAGCGCACCACTATTGAAGGAGGACAAGATGCCTCGAGGACGAAGGGACTCCTATGAACGGGAGCACGAACGATCGGTAGGCTCACGAAAACCAACTCGTAACACATTCCGCTCACGTTCACCTAAGCAAGCCCGTCCCGAAGACCAGGCTCGAAAGAAATACCTCTACGCCTCGTTCTTCCTTGTCCTGTCCCTTATCTCGTTCGTGATTCAGACCGAGACGGCAGTCTACATACAACACAAATTGCATTGGAACAAGGCGTATTGCATGCTATGGTTGACTCACGGGTCTTGGTCGCTATTGTGGCCGACACAGCTTCTGATATTACGGCTACAAAAGAGACGGCAATCATGGCATAGTTTCTGGCTGAGCCACAGATCGTTGCTGACAAGCACAGCTCAAATGGTACAAACGCAAGACCTACATCCTAGCAAACTCAGCGCACCGAGACCTTGGAAACATATGTTCCAAGTAACAGCATTCGTTACGACGTTTCTTACAGTGGCCGGCGGCAGCTGGTATGTCGCAGTCGACCTCACCACTCCTTCCGACCTAACAGCAATTTACAACTGCTCAGCCTTTTTCGCTTATGCATTCTCCATACTCCTACTGAAAGAGAAGGCACGACTAGACAAGATCATCTCCGTCGCATTAGCCATCCTGGGCGTCTTAATCGTTGCATACGGCGACAGCGGCCATCCCAAACATGGCTCACACTCTGGAGGCGCCACAAATCCGCAACCAGACGAGCCAGATAACCGAACCCTCGGTAATCTCATCATAGGAATCGGAAGCGTCATGTACGGCCTCTACGAAGTCCTTTACAAAAAATACGCGTGCCCACCAGAAGGCACCTCCCCAACTCAAGGCATGTTATTCGCCAACACCTTTGGCAGCATGATCGGCATATTCACCCTCTTCGTCCTCTGGATCCCTCTGCCAATCCTACACTATACAGGTATTGAGACATTCGCCCTCCCCACAGGCAAAGCGGCTGCACTCCTCGCTGTCTCGACCCTCTCAAACGCAATTTTCTCAGGCAGTTTCCTTGTCTTGATGTCCCTGACCTCACCAGTCCTGTCCTCCGTAGCCGCACTACTTACCATTTTCCTCGTCGCGATCACAGACTACTTGCTGACGGGCGAGCCTCTCTCGGGAGCTACCATCAGCGGTGGTATCCTTATCGTCGTGGCTTTTGGACTGTTGAGCTGGGCTACGTACAGGGAGATGATGCAAGAGGAAAAGAAGCGTGTTGAGGAGGAGGGGAAGAATTTTGACGAGGTAGAGGCTATGCTTGATGACGATGAAGCGTTGGATGAGGACTCGTTTGAAGAGGATAGTTTGGGGAGGAAGGGGAAACGGCGTGTTAGTGATTGATTTTTTCGCGCGATAGAATGATAGAGTATATCTGCTGAGTATAGCCAACAGAATTCTTGACACGCTACAGTGTACGTTCAGCAAGTGAATCTCTGTTTATTTTGGCAGATGTCAAGGTAGAATTGAAGGCGAAAGTAGCATTGCATACAGCTTGCGCGGGCAATAGTGCAGCGTGTCATGGTATTCCGCTATCGCCTGTTTCTTCGAGCTAACCAGAATCTACGACTCTATAGCTGCTTATTTCCTTCCCTTCTTCCTCTGCTTAGTGCCATTGCCGCTCATTTCATTTCTCACTAGGCTCGAATCGATCATCTCGAAGTCCTGGCTTGCACTCATGCTGCTTGGAAACGCTATCTCAGGTGTGTCCTCCTTTGTGAGTAGTGGTGTGGAGGAACCAGCCGTCAGAGGTGCATCAATCTTCTGCTTCACAGCCTCCGATGCAATCTCTGTCTCTGTCCGTGGCACTGTGTCGTCCAGAATTGGGACGCTGCTTTTGAGGAACGGGTCGAAGGCTTTTCGGAAGAGCCACGTCGGGAATCGAACGATAGCTGTATCTTTGAAGGTCGGTTCGTGAATCTCGTCCAGATCGAGCAGGAATTCTTCAGTCGTGACTTCACCAGTGTCCGGATCTTCGACTTCTTCGAGGAGGAAGACGTTGCCAACACTATCGACGAGCAGCTGCTTTCCATTTTCAGCTGTGACCTGCTTTCGTTGACCTTGAGGTGTTGTTGCCGCGATTGGCTCGCCTGTGCCTAGGACACGACCAGCGGACGGTTTGCTTGTACCACCTTTCTTACTATCTTTCTTGTTCTGCTTATCGAGCTCACGTTTCTGGCGTCGATTGAGGTTCGTGTAGGGATCTGCTTCGGGCTCAGGTGGTGGAGGGACATTTACAGGACCAGCTCCTAGATTGGCGAGCCCTGCAATGCCGGATTCGTTGCCCCATGCTGTCTTTCGGGCCTGCTTGATGTAGCGCTCCATGAACGCGCGTTGATTCTTGTAAGCGACACGCAAGGCAACATAATGAGCTGCACCACCTCCGACAATAAACAACCCAATCAAGACCGTGCCTAGACCTGGTCGGTAACGCGTGTAATAGTATCCTGTACCTTTCCACGCAGGAAATCCATGTGTAAGAAAGTGATCGTATCGTTCTCTTTCCACGCCTTTAAGTACATTTGCAACCACGCTTAGTCGGCTATATCTTGCTGTTGCCTCTTTCATGAATTTATCAATTTCTTTCTGCGTTGGCCCTTTCGACACATGAACTCCTGGCGTTCTCTTCTCACCCGCCTTCTTAGCTGGTCGAGTAGACTTGGCTGCCACGAATTGTTGACGAGCCTTGTCGGGGTGTATAGATCTCGATTTTTTCCGAAATGCCTTGTTGATGTCGTCCCATGTTGCTGACGGCGAGACGCCAACGAAATCGTAAAAAGAGATGCCAGGTCCTTCTGAAGCCTCTACCTCATCTCGTAACCTGAATATTTCGTGGTCCTCTTTCGTCCAGCATTTGACCAGCAAGATCAGACAGCAGAGAACCAATAGGTAACGGAAAGCCTCCGCTCGCATAGTGTAGACGGATAACTGACTGCAAGTGGAAGAAACGCGCCCGCTGAATGCAAGGATAGTACTTTATGAAACCCCTCTGAACGGGACGGAAATGACCAACTAAATGAGGCATGCAATGATAAACCATATGCAGGATTAGTGTGCGATTATCAGCACTTGGGCACAAACTGCCGCAGCGCCGATGCAAGGCAGGTCGGATGTGCGTTGTTCGATGCGGTAAAACGCCCTGAATTCACTTCCGACTTTCTGTCAATAAATGGATTATTTGGGGAACTAGAGATCAATTTATCAAGCGATTCCCCCACTACAGATCGATCTCTCTCTCTTCTTTCACTCTCGAGTCGAGGAGATATGGTCGAGAAGGATGTTACTCTCTGAGCCTGCAGCTGGCAGGTCGAGAGATACGTTCTGCTGAGCAACACCGTCTTCAACAGAAGTCAAATTCTGGCACTGTGCAGGCACCACGATATTCCTGCAACCGAAACCAGTAGGCACAGTCTACTACCAGTCTGGTTACTGTGGCTGAGGACACTAAAAGAATACAGAGCTGATTCAGCTGCTGTGGCTTGCGCACTTCTGAGCCTGCTGTACGGACCGAAACCAGGGGCAAAAGGGACTCCGAAAACTTTACCGGTTCAGAGCACAGGCTGCGGCTTCCCTCAACCTCGACAAACGGACACTCCTGCAAGACGATTTCTTAGGCCTTCTTTGTTTGCTGCTTACCTTACTGTTCACAGTCTTGACAACTTGTTGCTCGAATTATTCGGAACACTCTTTTCACTCATTCTTACGGTTGCTCTGCCATCGTCCTTGCTCATCCGCTTCGCTCGTCGACCTAGCCTAGGGATCTGTTCCAGCAGCCATAATGTCTCGACTCAATATCCCGATCGATGTGCTGACCTCTCGTCTCAACCTGTCTGAACGATTCGACAGCGTTCGAAGCCAGTCGATTACTCAACGATTCTCGAATCTCAAACCTATCTCCGAATTCCTCGACTTTAAGAGGCTGTCCAAGCCAAGGGACTTCGGAGATGTCCAAGCAAGAGTTAACTACAATTTGGGCTACTTCTCTAGCAACTATGCCGTCATCTTTGTGATGCTCTCAATCTACGCCCTGCTGACCAACACATGGCTATTGTTTGACATTGTTTTTGTTTCCGCGAGCATGTGGATTGTTGGCAGACTAGGAGGCAGAGATCTTGAGATTGGCAGTTTCAGAGCTACAACTTCACAACTGTACACCGGCATTGCCTGTATCAGTGTCCCTATTGCAATCTTCTCTGGACCAATTGGCACCTTCCTCTGGCTGGTTGGTGCTAGTGGTGTGACCATTCTTGGTCATGCCGCCCTGTTAGATAGACCTATCGAGAATGCTTTTTCCGAGGAGGCGGTTTAGGTGGTCGGCCGCGAACTCCTTACGATGTGCCCCGCTGGGGAAGACCACCAGGGGCACGACTGGGGAGGCAGAGGGGTGGTGTATATGGTGTACACCAGTCGTGGAACGAAGACGACCGTGTTCAAGAAGTGGGCACGGAGGATGAAGATAACTTTCTACGGCACGATCCACGTTATGCTTACGAGATGGACGACCGTTTCTATTCTGATGAACTTTTATTCGATGGTATAGACCCTAATCCGCAACAATACATGGGACACAGGCGTATGGATGGTTATTATTACGATGATTCTGAATTTGAGGGCGTTGACGAATACTATATGAGGGACAAGCATTATCCGCTGGAACGAACAGGCAGTCGTCAGAGCATGCTGGCAGAAAAGGAAGAAGAGCTAGTGGCACGAGCATTAGAGCGTATAGCGCGAGCACGAGCATTGGGTAAGACTGATGTAAAACTGAGTCAGGCAGAAATTGATGCTTTGGAACGATTAGAACGATCGAAACCTCAACAAAAAGTCTCACAAGCTCCAGCCATGAAAGCCTTACCTACAAGCAAAAAGACCCTTACTCGAAAGGCCGCTGAAGCAAGCACAAAGAACAGGGGAACGTCACCCAAAGCACGTCTGAGCGAGGGCAGGGTTAGAAACCACAGTAATGCATCATCCCGTTCTGCAAGAGAAGACGATCTGCCGACATATCCAATTCCTCAAGATAGTGGCCATACAGGACGTCCATTTCACCCTCCTGACATGAGAGCTGGCTATCAGGGTAGTCCTCTCAGGCCCGCAGGCTCTAGATCCAACTCGTACGGCAATATCAGACAAACGGTTGGTCCACCTCCGTTGTATGCGCCTTACTATCAAAATCAGCGGTTCGCTTCTATGCCTGAGGGTCCTTACCACAGGCGTGGCGAGTCAGCGGCTTCGACCAGGCTACGCGCTGACTCAGGTCGTAGCGATCAAAGCTCACGTTCAAGGTCGAACAGCCAACTGAGGAGCTATCCAGTCGATCAGCTCCCAAACCTGACACAAACGGCACGTGCTCCCAGGTTCGACCCCAACGATCCACGATTTGCTTCTCCTCGTCCCTCTCCTGGACGTCGACCACGAGGATCTGGGTCGCGTCGTCAGTCGGACGATCTATATCCAAGTCTCGCAGACGAGCCAGAAGTGATAAATTACATGGTGTCTGGCTCGTCGAGAAGCAGCTCAGATTCAGATGGAACAGGACCATACCATGAGCCCACTGTCACAGTCGAAGTCGCTGAGAAGCCAGGTGCCAAGGCGGGATACTCAATGAAGACTCGAAGCGCTGCAGCCGCTTCCGGAACCTCAAAGAGCAAGTCCGGTGCTAAGGCCTCAGTAAGACGTCGCTAGAGGCGGGTGCATAACGTGGTATGTTCGCAGCAAAGGAAAGGCAAAAGGTGTTATTGGTCGGAATCAGATGAGTAGCAATTGGCGTCAAAGGTCTACAGCACTAGTAATCTTTCAAGGAGCATTATTCGGTTAAGATTTGACTCTCTCGACGTGCGCAAGCCTGACAGTTGTCCTTTGTTCCATGCAAGATCGTCGTGCATAGAGCTGGCAGCTTTTGGGTACTAACTTGGTACAAGCCTATCCGATTCGTCTTTCTGTATAATTTCTCGCCTCATTCTTAGGGCGTGAAGCTGACCTAATCACCTTCGTTTAATGTTGTGCTTGTCGCTGTTGACATGAGTAGCTTTCAGTCTGCGTAATTGTCTTGCCTGCATAGTTCGTATTCGAGCCCGAGAGGACAGCAGCTCTTTCAAATCCGAGTACAGGAAGACATTTACTACGATCAAAAATTGTCCTATTGTGCTACGAATATTTCTACTTGATCCAAAGCCAGCGCCAGGTGCAGTTCCGGGTATCTTACCTTCGTTTCCTCCCTCTATCCCAAATCGTGTACTTGCATTACCTCGTCATCGAATAGCAATCAAGTGTCCTATCCAGCCAACGCACTGCTGAACAATTTACTCGCCAATTCAGTCAACAGCCTCGCCTTGTCATTCTGCGGCAATTCTTGGTACACGCTGTATACGCTCTTTCCCTTCTTATCTCGGATACCACCCAGTTTGGCACCCGCCGCAGCCCCAGCAATGCCACCAGTAATGTTGCCGATGATCACGCCGAGTCCGAACCCACTTGCTGCTCCGACAATAGTCCAGAACCGGGTATTTGGCCTTGTTGTGCGGTTGGGATCTTCTCCGTCTTCTTCAGCTAGATCCGCGTCGCGCATCATCTCCTCGAAGACGTTACCGAATTGGTCGTGGCTGAACTTGGCTTCCTCAGACTGTGCTGGCTTTGTGCCGAAGAAGGAAGACCATGGGAAGCCGCCTGCTGCTGGTTTCTGACCATCTCCTGCTCCTTGGTCTTCGTCGTCGTCGAAAGTGGTACCTGTTCCTGAGTGAAATTGTCGCGTTGCGTCGTAATCCCGCCGTCTTGTTGGGTCGCTGAGGGTATAGTATGCGTCGTTGATGCGTTGAAATTTCTTGGTTCGTGCTGGACGGGATTTGTCGTCTACTGGCACACGATCAGGGTGGTTCTTGAGGGCTGCCTTCTTGTAGGCTGTGCGGATTTGTTCTTGAGTTGCGGTCGGCGCTACATCAAGGATGGCATCTGAAGAATGGGTTAGCTTGAAATCACGAAGGGCAGAGGAACGCAACTAAAGAGGCTTACAGTAATCTATGAACGTATCAGACATTGCAAGATTCTCTCTCGAAGCGAATGTCTGCTTCGTTCAGCCTGGTCCTACCGATATCGATAGTGGTCGTCCTGGGGTAGTAATAGGATATTGTTCGGGATCGTGTAAACACAGGTAAAGATGCAGAGCCAAGGGTATACAGACAAGTACGTAGAGCTGCTGAGCGGTAACTTAATGGTCAAAGTACATGTATGCGCCTGGTAGTAGGAGCCTGCTGATGCTCATGACCGGGCTTTGGATACTTCAGCACACTAGGAAGGACGTCATCGCTAGGGACAAGAGAAGGCGCCACTGTGGCTTAAACTTGATGCTCCCCAAAGTCCCCAACTTGCACGTGTCAATTCACCAACTTTTCTCCACTTCAGAGCAAGTGAGAACCCGACTGCCAGCCACTGAGATTTGTTGCATGCACCTTCAGCCCCAGCAGGTCGCAGTTCACTTGTGCAACTTCTATACCGACTTTTCGACCGCCCCAATCGCTGCAGTATTCAAATTATCCTCTACACTGACTGGCTTTCGTGCTGTGTTAGATCTTTTTAGCAAGCTTTGTGCCTGCATCGATTGCGTCTCTTATTCGTTAGATCCAGCCAGGTTTCCAATCACTGACATTGGTTTGAACTGTTTGAGTGAACCGCTAGTCTAGCTCTGCAGTACCTTACATTGAGAAGTCTGGAGCGTCAAGCCTGAGCACCTTCGTTGAACTTGACAGACAAGATTTGCGCGTCTTGAAACGTGCTTCTCAACTTCGCCGTGCGCAGGGGCATCTCAACCTTCTTCTAAGAACGCAAGTTGTGGCATTTGAGCGATAACAGCCGAAGATTGGGACAGCTTTCTACCTACTGCAACAACTGTCGACAGTGTTTGCGCTCTCGTATTTTAACTGAAACGCAGCTGGGGTCTTTCGAAGATGGGCTTTTGGAACGATGGTGTGCGATCGCGATCAGCTTCAAGAAGTCCCTCCAGGAAACGCAGAGCCACATCTTCACATGGAGGCGTCTACTCGAGGCCCAGTGCAGCCAGAAGCGCTTCCTCCTTCCTAGAGTCCATTACTGGTTACTCGACTGCCTCCAAAGCACATACACCACGTCGCGCAGACTCCTACACGTCTAGAGATCGAGGTCTGTTTGGCTCTTCGAGTCACCACAATTACAGCAGCAGTAGTCGTGCAAGACCCAGGCATGGATTTGTCGCAAAGATAAGGAGATGGCTTAGAGACCTATATTACTACATGAAGCGTCATCCTGTGAAAGTCTTCTTCCTGGTTATTATGCCGTTGATCACTGGTGGTGCTCTCACCAAGATCTTGAGTACTGTTGGACTCAGACTGCCTCCTCAGCTGCAGAGGATGGTAGGCAGCAATATGAACAGAGGTTACACACAAACGGAAAGATTTTATGCACGTGGTGGTGCTAGGGACTTTGGTGGCGGCACAAACCTTCCAGGCATGGACAGTGGTGGCTTGGGAGGACTTGGTGACAGTGCTATGGGCATCATGAAAATGGCTAAGATGTTTATGTGAAGAATTCCCGACAATCGTGTTCAAGTTGATCACTAGGAGTACTCGAGCTTTGTGACGAGCTCTGTGGCTGTTTCACTTATGTCTAGTAAAGCAAGGCAATATGGGGGTTCGTGCGGGATGGCGACTAGATTATGTCAGGGTTTCGAGTCGCAACACTTGAAGAAGCAACGGCTCCGGCATGCGGACTGGCTACCAACAACTGAACATATCTTTCCAGCAACGAAATTGGCAACCAATTATACAGACACAGGTTCCTGCCCGATCTCCGATAATCAAACAACTCTCTTGCACGTCAGCGAGCTGATCTTTCTCGCAGGATCAAGCACAATCTCCTGCATCGCAGCAAGTTGTCGGGTCTCGACTCCTGCCAACTGCGTGGCTTCTAAGTCATCCACATCCCAAACGTCGACTTCTCCATCGTCGTCCCTTCTCATCTTCGGACTCGTCATGGCACACGGTGCCATCTCAGCTGGCAACCCCACCTTCATGACCATCAGGTCCTTGCAAGGCTCGCACTCTCGAGACAGCATGTTGAGGCATTGGGCGTTCCAGAGGTCGGTGAAGGAGCCATCTTGCTTGACGGCGGCCCAGTAGGAAGCACTGGCGCCCTTGACGATGAGGTTGACGTTCCAGTCGTTGTCGGCGAAGCAGTCTGCTGCGGCGATTGTGGCTAGGCTTAGCGCTGTGATGATGAAGGAGAAGACGTGCATGTCTATTGTGGTAGTGTTATTGGGAGTAGCGAATGCAATTGGAGATCTGACAGTATCGTCGTCTGTTGCGACAAAATTGGTTCGAGGCAGCACGAAATTTGTGTTTCTATATGTCATGCGCGAATGGGATCAGAGACATGACTGAGCACAATCCATTTTGAGACTCGGCCGCCTTTGTTGGATTCATACTCACGGCCAGACAGCCGCCATTGACTGCGAACATACAGTCGGCATTGTTGGTTGACTTCGTGGACGGGCACAAAGCACAATGACTAACAACCTGGGTTGAGGGTAGCCGTGCTATATTTGACGATGCACGAGGCTCCAAGCTTTGCCTTGCTGTAAGAGTGCGTCTCGATAACGTCGCAAGCTACCGCGAACGTAACATTCGCTCTCGAGGATTGTGAGACTGGAATCAACTGTATTAATTCATCCACTAACCAATCGTCTGGTATTGGCACTATTTACGCGTTCTCTGTCTCTTCTTTGTGATTGGCGGTGATTTCATTCTCGTCGTTATCAGCTTCGTTTTCGTCCTCGTCGTCGATTTGCTCATCATCCTCTTCAAGATTTATTCCTTCCTCGCTGTCGTCATCGTCTTCATCCAAATCTGACCGCAAGAGCTCTTCCTGAGCATCTTCATCGTCCGAAAATGTTTCGAGGTCGACACCAACGTCACTCGTCACTTCGCTTTTAGTCTCACTCTGTGCCGTGCTTGTGGCCTGACTAAGCACATCCGCTTTTCTTTTACTCTTGCCTGGCATCTCACCTAACCTGCCGTCTCTGCCTTCAACAACTTCTTGCTTCTCGTTAAGCACTACACCATCCACTTCGTCGTCCACTTTTCGAGGAGGGGGCGTAAACCATGGAATTTTGCCTCGTAGGAAGTCGTTGAGTACCATTTTTGCAACGCCGTCTACATCAGCCTCACCACCTTTCAGTAAACGACCACCTTTTCTGCCGAGTATACTGAGGAATTCGATAGGATCACCCTTGTACTCATCGTACTTCATCTCGTATGTTCGTTCAATGTGCTTTGTTTGTGTGCGCCGTAATACTGCCTCGACATATTGTGCGGGGTGCTCTACGTTCTCGACTCTTACGACACCCCGTAGGAGGATGTCCTCTTCAGTGTCAGACTTGGATGGTGGTACGATACCTGGACAGTCGATGAGGTATATTCTTTTCATGAGTGTGATGTACTGCCAGACTTTGGTCTCACCTGGAATAGGTGCAACAGTACATACTCTCTTCTTGCGGAGTGTATTGATGATGCTGGATTTGCCTGTATTGGGATAGCCAATGAGACCGACAGAGATCTGCTTGCGGTTGCTGTGGAGGGAAGAAAATTGTCGCAAGAGGGTAATCAGGGACCCCTTGCCAAATGAGTTGGTAAGGGACGCATGGAAAGCCAGGGTAGGGTATTCTTTGCTCAGTAGTCGGACCCATTGTGCCTAAACGAAAAATATTAGTTATGTGAAACATTACTAAGAGAGGTGCTATGATGTGGTTGCGAAAAAAGGCGAAGCAAATCTCAACTCAAATGGGACACCCGTCATGCTCAAATGACTAGAACAGCGCAGAATGCACCGTCATGTCGAGAAACTACCAGCCAAAATGACCAGTAGGTGAGCTTGGTTGGTCTACCACTGCTGTAACAGGCATCTTCCACGGAGCAGAGGAAAGGGGCCTTGACTTAGCTGTGGAGGCGAATATATAGGGAATTCAGAGATCACAACTTACGCAAACTTTAGTCGGCACCAGATCGCACTTGTTTAACACAAAGATCAAGTGCTTATGTGGTGCCTCTTCTTTCATATACTTTTCAACACTTCGACATCTCGTACCTTCCGGATCTCGTGCATCCAGAACGTGCAGGATAACATCGGAGGAGTCGATGACTTTGTAAAGTTCGTTCCATATTCTTTTGCTTTGGCCTTTCGAAAAAATAGGTTCTCGTGCAGTTGTAAGTTCTTTGTCTTCGCCAGTCTCGGCCATTTCTTCAGCGGTCTTTCCGCTTAACAACTTGTTCTCTTCCAGACGCTCGATGTAGTTGTCGTGCATCTTCACTGTGTCATCGGCAAGGTCGTTGATGCTACTGGCACTGAGTTTGACTCGTTTGCGTTGCGATTTTGGGCCGAAAGTGTCTTCGAAAGGTGCGGATTCGACAGCTATTTTGGCAGCATGTTGTTTGACACCATTCTTCGTGTTCTCGGCGTCTCGAATGAGGCTCATTGGCAGCTTGTTCGTCTTCAGCAGAACCTGATATGGATCCGCGGTACGTTCTGCAACGGCCTGTCTGAAGGAATCCAAGCTACCCTGCGAAATGACTCTGGTGTTCCCAAACCATTTTCGGTTCGGCTCTATACGTGCTTTTGGAATCTCTCGAGATTGATACGATGCAGCTTGGGTGACCTTTCCTTGAGCATTCCGTTGTGCCTTGCCGTCTTTGAGCATATTAAGGGTTTTGAGCTTCTTCGCATTGCTACGTAGTAGTTAGCTGACATTGTCCTGACTGCTTCGCATTCTTGCTTACCGATAGAAGTTCTCGCCTTTGACCTTGACATTTTGCATGCCATCGCCAGTCTTGCCTTGCCGCAATTTGCGGTTGGCCTCCTTCTTGCCTGTACCCATTCTGACAGAGGTGCTTGGCAACCAAATAGATGACTGATGAGCCTGGGACAATTGTGTCGCCGCGTATGTATAGACAAGTGCCTGTGAGCTTTTGGCCTCGAAAATTCCCAAGATTTCGCGGTCTGGAAGAATATATCTTGCCGAAGATTCACCGTGTGGGTGCAGAAATGAGCTACGGTTCTGTGAGCGGCAGCTTGCGCAGTAGTGCAGTTTGTTCCCGTGTCGAGCTGAGATCAACCTCCTTGTGGTATCGTGAAGCACTATTGCGACATCACGAGGGCGAGCACTACCTGGCCCTGGCATCGTGAAAACGACTGCTGTCACAACATGGAGGCGGTACGAGGCCACGTCTGTCGCTCATGTCGACAACGACTTGCTTCGCAAACAGGACCCCGGTCTTTTAGCACATCAACGGCCAAACGACAAGTACCGCCAGAATCACCACACTATGTCGATATTCCATCCTCGTATCAGCCTTATATGCCCTATGTCACCCCTCAGAAGGGCACCCTACCAGTACCTCGAGAGCTGTTCCCTCTCAATCGACCTGACAAAGGCAACCAGCGATACATCGAAAATGTTGCCAAAGAACGTTTGCCAGCCAATGTCAGGCCGCTCGAGAGTCTGACAGAGGTCGGAAGGTACAAGGCTAAGATGGCCGAGATCCGCAAAGCCCAATTCAAAGAAGGTGTAACAGGCTTACATAAACGAAAACAAGCAGAAATAGCTAGCATAAACGCCAAATCGACTGCCAAAATATTGCAGAGAGATACTCTTCTCAAACAATCAGAGCGAGAGGATGCGCGACTCATGAACGTGTCCATACCAGCGCTCTTGCAGCCAGAATCTCAACCCTCTATTGACGCCTTGAAAGAGCAGGTTGCCTTGGCCAGACAGATGCACGAGCGTAAGATGGCCAACGTTTCCAAGCACCAAGCTGCGAAGAAGAACAACAAGATGGATGCACTACACACTTTGTACATGAACGCTCGTCACTTCATCACATCAGAGGAACAGCTTCGCGAGAAAATTCATGAACAATTCGATGTTTCCGACGCTCAAAACAGCGACACTACTAGTCATGCACAATTCAGAACACTTGAGTCCTCCGGGTCCAGCTTATGGAACTTCGGTGCTCCGGATGGCATCAGAGACATGGTTGCGAGTGCTTCTGGCAGGAATCGCGATGCGTCTCTGGCAGCAGCCAATCCAGCCATGAGGTACATGGCGAACCTCAACGTCGGAGCTGCCACCATGATGAAGGACCAGGCAAGGATGAAGAAGATAGCCGAGAAGTTGAGTGGTGGAAAGATATAGAAGTATGAAATATGCACATTTATTTGTAAAGGTATCCGAAGACCAAGATAGAAATCCAGTGGTCGACACCGTTTCTATCCAAGGTTATGGGACGCAAGTCTATCAGAAGGAACAAGATGCCCAGCTACCGAAACTCAGCACGAGATACTGTAGTAGTGTTGAGACGAGACACTATCCAAGCCAACAACATTACACCTTGGTCAAGGTCAGTTCTTTCTTGTGCACCTTCGCATTATACTTCAACTTTATAAGACGCTGCTATTGCTCAGACTTTTGGCACGCGTTCCACCGCTTCGAGATCCTCTTGTCATCTTGGCGGAGGTATAGAACTGTCGACTACCGTCAAATCCGAGTCCTATCTCCACAAAACTGCCTATTTCAGCCAAGCATCAAGAGCATGCGCCGCGCGCTGACGTAGTCGTCGATCGCCATGCCTCTTCTACAGAAAAGTTAAGTGTGATCAACTTGCCTTGTCCTTGTTCATTTTGCATATAGACATCAATAGCTTTTTGTTTTGTTGAGCTGGTTCCGAGACTTCCTTGTGCCTTTTATCAACGTCGTTGCGCAACACCTAATAAGACAATACCTCATGGCAAGGATAAGGCTTCCTGGTAGCACAGACTCTCTACACACAAATTACAAATTCAACGTACCGCCTATATTACAACCACGATTGACGTGGAGGTATTGTCTTGCATCCACAGCACTAGCATATGTCCTATATTGCTTTCTTTTCAACAAGCCGTTTTTCTCGTCCAAACTGCCGCAGTACACGGGTCCTTACAATGTTGGGGCAATCGATATCGAGGTTCCGGTTAGGGAGCAACGGCTTGTTGACACAGCTGTCTTCAAAGACAGTGGTGAGCCAGCATTCGAGTTGAAGACTGTCCTCTTCACAATGTACTATCCTGCCGCCAAGGGCGTTCGCTCAGGGAAGCATCACTACTGGGTTCCCAAACCTCTGTGGTTGACCTCTTTTGGCTACGCGAAAGTAGCACGGATCAACAACTTCTTCACCAACAATCTGTTCACCAGTGCTATGGGCATACTGGTCGGCGGCACCAAGATCCCTGCTCACGTCGATGTTCCAGTCGTGTCGACTGAAGAGATCGCGAAGCAAGTTCGTTCCAGCAAGGAATCCTCAAGCTTCAAAAACTTCGAACCGACCTCCTTCCAATCCGACACAGAATCCAGCGGTCTTCCCGTTATAATATTCACTCACGGCATGGCCTCTTCACGAACTCAATACTCCCACTATCTCGGCGAGCTAGCATCACGAGGTTATATCTGCGCCGCAATCGAACACCGCGACGGTTCTGGTCCAGGAACACAGATCATCGATTCCTCAACCTCCTCAGCAACCGTCATCGACCGCCTTCACTTCAGCCTCAGCGACGTCAAAGCACCATCCGACACAGACACCAAAATCGAAGCCGACGACTTCAAACGTATGCAACTCGCCTTCCGCGAAGCTGAAATTCTTGAAACAGTCCACGTAGTCCACTCTCTCCACTCCGGATCCGGCGACACCATCATTGCCACAAATTCTCGCAAAGAAGGTTCGAAGGCTGATCTCCCCTCCTTCACCGGCCGCCTAAACATCAACACCACCATCCTAGCAGGCCACAGCTACGGCGCAACCGGCGCACTACAGGGTCTCAAGCCGCGGACCGATATGGCCCGAATCTTCGCTGGTGGCATCGCTCTCGATCCAGGAAAGAGTTCCGGCCGTCTGAACACTGACGTTGACGTTCCTATCCTGATCATACACAGTACATCCTGGTCTGCTAAACGCTCCATTTTCTACGGTCGACCACACTTTGAAGTCGTGCGGGAGATTGCCGATAATCTGAACGCGAAGGGGATTGGAAGTTGGTTCATGACGAGCTTGGGGACTTCGCATCCTTCGGTGACGGATGCGCCTTTGATTGAGCCAACGTTGTTGAAATGGACGACTGGGGCGGGGATTGATGCACATGAAGGGTTGAGGCAGTATGTTCATGTTTCGGATGATTTTGCCAAGTTCGTTCAGGACGGGAAGGAGAGGAATCTGTTGGCGTTGCCTGCGAATAGTAGGGAGTATGACAGGAAGAATGAAGGGATGGACAAAGAGTGGAGAGAGTACTGGCAAGTACATGCAAGTCCTGTCAAGACGAAGGGAGAAGGTATTGTAGATTCAAGGTAGTGCCAAAATCTACACAATGCTGTACTTTCTATACGTTTCGAATCTACGATGCTGTAGGTTGCTCCTGTTTTCGCTTGAATGTGTCAAAGCTCTGGGCTGTGAATTTTGGTTCCTCCACGACCTTGCTGGCTTCTGTCTGCATAGGTTGCAGACCCCACCGTTCGAACATAGCTTTGTCCTCGTCCCAGCCATTGCAGTCTGTGGTCAACATCTTCTCACCAGTAAAGACAGCATTTGCACCAGCCATGAAGCACAACATCTGCTCGCTTTCTGGCATGCTGATTCGTCCCGCAGCAAGTCGTATTATGGTGCTTGGCATTACCAAACGAGCAGTCGCTATGCAACGCACAATATCTTCAAGCTTGACAGGTTCTTGTCCGTACATTGGGGTTCCTTTGATAGGCACAAGTTTATTCACTGGGAACGATTCAGGGTGTTCCGGCAGGGTTGCGAGAGTGTGGATAAGTCCAACGTGATCTGTTTGTGGCACTTCTCCCAGACCAAGAATACCACCACTGCAGACGTGGATGCCAGCTTCTCTCACATTCTCGATGGTTTGTAGCCGCTCGTCATAACTCCTGGTTGTGATGACGCTGGGGTAGTGCTCTCGACTAGTGTCGACATTGTGGTTGTAAGCAGTCAATCCAGCTTCTTTCAGTTCTCGCGCTTGCTCTTTGTCCAGCATCCCAAGGGTAACGCAAGCCTCCATGCCAAGTGCTCTAACACCTTTGACCATTTCTACAATGTTCTTCATGCCTCGAGTTCGACCTTGCATATCTCTCCATGCTGCTCCCATGCAAAACCGGTTGCTGCCGTTTTGTTTTGCGGTTCGAGCAGCTTCCAACACTGAGTCAACTGTTGATAGCTTTGTGGCCGTAAGATTTGTCTTGTAACGAGACGATTGGGCACAGTAAGAGCAATCCTCTGTGCAGCCACCAGTCTTGATGTTCATGAGAGTACATAGCTGTACAGCACCTGGCTTATGGAATCGACGGTGGACCGTGCTCTGCATTTGGTATTAGCATGAGCATTCTACCTAGCAAGAATAGGAGTTCATACCGCAGCATAGGCCAAGTCCATGAGAGGAGTCTTGTAGATCTGAGATATCTCATCCTTGGTCCAACTAGTCCTGGGACTCGTAGCATTCACTGCATCATTGAAGACTGACTGCGGTGCTGGTGTGGGAGGGGCATGATGTGGTATTGAGGCTGCGGTCCTGGGAATATCGTGGACGATACTATACGGCCTCGCAGCAATAATGTGGTGCACTTTTCGAGCTGTCCGCTGACAGACACGACTCGTTTCCATGTTGTGCTACTGAAGCATTAGAGCAGGTTATAGGATGTCAAAGAAGAACAAGATAGCAGTTTGGCAAAGACAATTCAATGTTCGCTGGTTGGCTATCCGTGGTGGGGCACTGTGTGTTGATAATATGCAGGAACGATAGACAAGCCCGTGCTCGGCCGCTGCTGCAGCTCAACACCCCAGGAGCTCCACTTTCACGATACCGCCCATTGCTCCGACTCACGATATGGGTATTCTCTTCCTCTGGTTCTTTAACGTCACCTTACCGCCATTTCGTTCCCATGCTTGTCTTGCACACGACAGCAATGTAGGGCGTGTCCGGAAACCCACTCCCACGTGTTGTGCTTCCGAAAACGAGCTCTGGTCACTTCAGAATGTCTTAATACAGTTCTGTTCAAACTTGTATCAATCCGCTCTGCAGACAGAAAAAGTCTTCTTCACCGTTTACGTTGTGTTACTTGTATGGTTTTTTGAGTTTTGATATTGCCACATTCGTTACCAGCTATCGTTATGTACCTTCGTGAAGGCTCAATTTCCGATTTGCCTTACATTGCAGATATTGGCGCAGAAGCACTGTGGAACGACGAGATAATACAGTATATTGCGCCTCGTCGCGAGTACTACCCTTCGAGTCATCGAGCTAACTACCTCCACCGGACGAGAAAGCGTTACTTTGCTGGAGATAGACTGATTGTTGCCATTGAAGACGCAGCGGATGGTTCGTGGCCTGGGAGAGAGTTAATTGTGGGATTTGCATTCTGGTCTGATACTATGCATACATCAACATTACACAACCTGCCGAGCTCGATACTAGGCAATGGTAGACATCCACTTCTGAATCTCCTATCGTGTAACTGACACTGACAGGATTTGAGCAACTTGCATTGTACGTGGAGGGTCTATATAGACGATGTTTCAATATGAATCGTTCTTTCGATAAGTCCAGGCTTCTAAAGTTTTGGGATTTACTCGGTCAGAACCCCTTCTTCGAAGAACTGCCGCAATACTGGGAGCTAGAGGTGTTAGCAGTTAGACCTACCTTTCAACGACGAGGTATAGGTTCAATGTTGCTAGCTTGGGGTTTAGAGCAAGCAGCTTCTCATGATCTCCCTGTCGTCGTCGCGGCAACTTCTGTCGGCGAAGGGCTGTACCGAAAGCACGGCTTCACCGAGACAGGACGTTTGCACTTCCCTGCAACAAACTTCTCTTGGGCAGCTATGATCTGGCATCCATCTGCCCGATCAGGGCACGACCACATTCACCGTCGTCCAACGTTCACGAATGAGCGGACGTAAACTCCAGACGTCACAGTTCACCCGTGCCAGTCCATTACAGGCACGACTCCACATATCCTGGTCTTGAATCGACTCTTATACGATAATGGTTCTTGCCAGACAATCAAGTACAAAATTTCGCCAGGATTATTGATCTAGTCGTCGCTGAGTTCGAGCCGTAACGTCCTGGTCGGACTGGCACACAAACCACAGCATATACGACTAAGATCAGCTGCAGGCATCAAGGCCGAACCGGAAACTGAGCCGTACTCTAATGCTCGAGAAGTCGATACACACAGCCACGAGCAGATATCTGTCAGTGCTAGTTCGCGGTTTTGACGTTGTAGTGTGGTCCTCTGGTTCATGTCGCAAGATAGCAAAGTGCAAGATAGCTGTAGTGCGACGCGTCGCGGTCGCGACATGATATTTGGCTCGGGATAAGATGGACCGAGCGCTGGTTCTATGACCAGTCGAATCCATGCTCTACAAATCCCTGCAACGATTGCATATCATCTTGTGGTTGTCTATTATTATTCTAATTGTATTTTCTATTAATGAAGAGGATGGTTCTCGCTGTATGTTTGTCACCTGCCTGTAAACTCTGGAAATTTGTCTAATCTTGATACGATCATCGTAGGCCATAGGACAAATATGTTCCACTTCCTCCATGAGCCACAACCTGGCTCAATGTCAGAAACTGGTCAAGAAAGCAGCTGATGCGGGTGCAAAGGTAAACAGATCTTTTGGGACGCATGTATATCGAGACCAGAGCCAAGTCCCATTGGTTCGCGATGCTGTTAAATGGCATTTCGCCACGTGCATCTATACATTTCCTGCACTTCCGGCGAGCTTGGCATCCAGTCCCCTATCACGAATCAGCTATGCTTACTACTCGTGTCATTTATAGGCACTCTTCCTCCCCGAAGGATCAGATTACATCGGCAGTGGCCCCGAAGAATCAGTATCCCTCGCCAAGACAATACACGAGTCTGAATTTGTCCGTGGCCTCCAAGATGAAGCTCGACAGCACAAGATCTCGATCCAAGTTGGCCTGCACGAACCTACGAACCCACCTTCGTCTCGAATACTGAACACCTTACTATGGATATCTCCCAGTGGCAAGATCCTAGAGGAAACTCGCTACACCAAGCTCCACCTCTTCAACCTCGACCTTGGTGAGTCGGGTGGTCCTGTCATGAAAGAAAACAAGACCATCCAGGCTGGGAATACGATCGTGGAGCCGTATAGTACGGTCCTCGGCAAAGTTGGCTCGCAGATCTGCTTCGACCTACGCTTCCCGGAACCGGCGATACGGCTCCGTCGTCTTGGTGCTAATATTATCGTTTATCCATCGGCGTTTACTGTTCCCACAGGCGCGCTGGGTCACTGGGAGATACTCCTTAGAGCCCGTGCGATTGAGACTGAGTGTTATATCGTTGCTGCGGCGCAGTGTGGACGGCATAACGAGAAGAGGGTGAGTTATGGTGATAGTATCGTTATAGACCCGAAGGGGCGAGTCGTGACGAGGGCGAGCAAAGTGGAAGATGAGAAGAGCGAGAAGGAGGGTGCGAGAGAGCCGGAATTGTTGACGTTTGAAATCGACACAAAAGCTGTGGATGATGCGAGGAAGACGATTCCGTTGGAGAGGAGGACTGACGTATACCCTGAAATCTAAGCGATTGGTGATGAGAATCGAGTATGGGAAGACATGTAGGAAAGAGATGGAGGATATAGACCTGTAAATTAGCTAGATGAGCATATTGTGTAAGAATAGAATCGGCAACCGCAAAAAAGCTGGATGCAATAGTTACTGTGAGAGCCCATGAATTTGGAAAACATGCTTGCGCGCCACAAACGCCATCTGACCATGTCTTTGTCAACGTGCTTATATCGAAGTGCCTTTCCTGCGACAAGGGTGTAATAGCGTATGTACAGCCAATGATTGTTGCTCTAAAGCCACCACCTAATAACTTGTCTAATGTTTCTTTGCTTTCTCCAGAAGCCCGATTTATATTCCTGAGCTTGGCTTGTTGTCTGGGTCCTCCAGAATGCCCTCGGCCTCCAATCGTCTTCTGGCCTCTTCTAAAGCCCACGTTTGTATCCTGTGTACGTTGTTATTAATTTGTCCAAAGCGCGCCTCTAGACTCTGTGCGAAGCTGGTGGCCCTTCACTTACGAAGTATCTTCCTTCATACTATAAGCAATGACTGCAATCACATAACCAGCACATCCGAAATAGAGGGGTATCTCCCATCCTTCTCTCTCTGCCTTCTCTCCTGGTCTTAGCCCCCATAGCCAGCCTCCTGGTGGATCGTAGTGGGAGTCGTGGTGTGGATCGTGCTCGGCGTGTACCGCGTTGTGATCGCCCTTCGTCTGTGCTGTTGTGGCAAGGAGCCGTGGTGTGGTCGAGTACTGTTTGACAGAGGACGTCGGTCTAGAGACGATTCTTGTTGTGAAAGCTGGCCTTGTCGACCGCGTGGCGGCTTGTCTAAGGGGGTTCATGGTGGAGGTCGGGTATCGACAAGAGTGACGAGAGGTACAAGTGAATGCCAGAAGCGCTATGTTGAGCGCACCCTCAGTCGACGAATATGACGATTAGTGCCTTGTATGTCGTATATAGTGATACTTCAGAGCAGACACTTGGAGCTGCTGGTTTTGTGCAGGACTTAGAGAGTGTATAGACACGGCTTGAAGCTTGCCCTCATCGACTAGGGACAATACACTGACGACGTGAAGTTATTTGCCAAGGCCGTCGTTGGAGCCTCTTGCCCGAGCTTCACAAGCGCGACACTGCCGGTTGACCGTAACCAGTGTTTGTGTGGTTTGCTATTCATATTCCACAGTACGTCGGAATTCAAAGGCTTAAAACTTATAGCTGGGAAGTCTTCGCTGCTTGTTCGTTACAGCAACAATGAATTGACGTAGAGATCGTGTTACTACAGCCATCAGGTACTTTCTCGGACTCATCATAATGCATCATGTGTGTCAGTGCTTCACTACAGACACATTCTGAGGAAAGGCTGGCAGCAGATCAATATAGTCAGCAGTCGCCTGCTTTGGAAATAAGGAGATAGAAGCACAATTGGAGATGGGACGAGCAAGATTGGGTGATGGTGACCATATCGTGTTCTACAGTCCCCCAGCATTCTGGCATAGGAGCTACCCATTCAAGGATGTCAGACAGAAGACGCAAGATCCACGGCGACAACACCATTTATATCGGACATCAAAACCAGTAGATAGGATCGGCATGCTTGACATGGTTGTATTTGTGTTCACTTTCGACGTTCTGCCGTGCAAGTGTGTGCATCTTTTCTTGACGCTTGCGAATATGCCTCTGTGTTGCGTCTAGACCCATGCTTCCATTCTTGGACAGAGACTTGATATCTGATTCACCATGGCTCAATGCTCTTGGCGACGATCGCTCCTTGGTTCACATTATTCGCTATACTGCAACGTTGTGCAGAACTTGGTAGCCGTACCACATTGAATTCTCCATGCAACAGGTCAAACTTCCACACACTTAGGCGGTCTTAGCGGCTTGCTGTGGGTTGACCTTCTTGCCATCCTTGTTGTACCTAATCCTTGGTGGAGGTGCTCGGTTTCGTCGGCCTTCTCGTGATCGCACTCTGTGTCCAACATATCAGTACTTCATTCTTTGATCACCCTCGAGCAGATTCCTCAACATACCGCACGATCTTTCCGTGAATAGCGCAGGAGACACAATATTGCAACTTGAGGTACATCTTTGGAACGGCGTAGTCGGTGAAAACTGAGGCATCGGAGATATCACCTGTCCAGCTTTATTAATTTCTCTTTCCCACAAAATCCACCTTCAATTCGACATACGGATAGCAGCTGATTCGACCATGTTTCGGATAGTAAATCTCTTGATGGCCTTGTCCTTTGGCGTACATCTCGAGCAGTTACTGCATCTGACTGGCTTTACGTGACCTCTGCCTTTCTTGTTTCGTCCACTGCACCAAAATCAGTACTTGCGCATCCTCGTTCCCGCCTCGTGGTTGTGACTAACTTGGACGCTCGCTTCTTGACCATATTGTGTGGTTGGTGGACTTGCCTGACTTCTGTGCAAACTCGACAGAAGTCAATAGACAATTGTGTGGTTTTGACAAATGACAGCCAAGTCGCGATCGTCAACCCGAAATGCGTCAATTCAAACTGTGCGGCACCCGTCGCGCCAAGAATTACGGCATGAAGGCGCGACCTTTTCGTCAGGTTCACGTGACGTACTTGTCGGTCCGGTTGCCAATGCCTTTTGTTTACAGCGCTTGGTGGAGCTGAGTCGGAGAGCCAATTAGCCCAAGATTGATATCTTCTGGAAGGCCTACATGAAACAAGTCAGCCATCCTGCTCATTGCGAAGCAGACACCTTGTGCATTGAACAAGTCGTACACCATGTCTGCCCCGGCTGGTACTCTTCGTGGTACCCCCACAAGTAAGCGGGCGAACATACCTTTCGAGAACAGCCCGTCGTCAGGGATACCCAGGCCGAAACTAGAATCAGTACCCAGCGAAATGTCTGGTCACTCGACGATATCAGCAAGTCGGCAGAAGCAGAGCAAGAGAGACGAGGTACGTGTGTAGTCCTATCTTATTGGCAGGAGGCCATGGAACTCCTCCTTATGTTGGCAGGCAGCTAATCAATAGAGTAGGCCATTCGAGAGAAGATGGCTGCGAACCTCAACAGAAAGAAGGGTGCATCTTCAAAAGCTCGTCATTCACGAAAGGCACCACCAGGCACAGTATTGGCTCTCAAACCCAGTCCAGCTCTACAGATCAAGCCTAATACCACCGTTGCCGAGGCTGCTCAGCTAATGGCTGCGAAAAGAGAAGATTGTGTACTGGTTACAGACGACGACGAGAGAATCGCAGGCATATTTACAGCGAAAGATTTGGCATTCCGAGTGGTTGGCGCTGGTATTAAGGCAAGAGAAGTGACTATCGAACAAATCATGACCAAGAATCCCCTGTGTGCAAGAACAGATACAAGTGCTACAGATGCTCTAGACCTGATGGTCAGAAAAGGCTTCCGACACCTGCCCGTGATGGACGAAAACCAAGACATCTCCGGCATTTTAGACATCACAAAGTGTTTCTATGAGGCTATGGAGAAGTTGGAACGAGCATATAGCTCGTCACGAAAGCTTTACGATGCGCTTGAAGGTGTTCAGTCGGAACTTGGATCTAGCCAGCCGCAACAGATCATCGCCTATGTCGAAGCATTACGGCAGAAAATGTCGGGTCCTACTCTCGATTCAGTCCTTAATGGCACACCTCCGACCACAGTGTCGGTTCGAACATCGGTGAAGGAGGCGGCTCAATTGATGAAAGAGAATCATACTACCGCTGTCCTTGTGCAAGACCAGGGATCTATCACTGGCATCTTCACCAGCAAAGACGTGGTCCTGCGTGTTATCGCGCCTGGTTTGGACCCTTCTACCTGTAGTGTCGTTCGTGTCATGACACCTCATCCCGACTTTGCACCCTCCGACATGAGCATCCAAGCCGCCCTTCGGAAAATGCACGACGGACACTATCTCAACCTTCCAGTCATGAATGACGGCGGTGAAATCGTTGGCATGGTTGACGTCCTTAAGCTCACCTATGCCACCCTAGAGCAGATCAATACCATGGGATCTGGTGGAGAAGAAGGTCCAGCATGGAACAAATTTTGGATGTCCATGGGAGATGGTGACACAGAGTCGATGATGTCTGGTGAGGGCTCACACCGGCCCACGACACCGGGTATTAGGTCCATCATGGAATCAGATATCCGTCCAACTATTGAACGGGGAGATAGTGTCATGCCCCAGGACTCGGCTTCACATACAGGTGCCGATGATCAGTCTGAAATCATGCCTGAGTCTCCGCTTCCAGCTCAAGAGCCACAGACCCTACCTTTTCCATTCAAATTCAAAGCTCCGTCAGGACGAGTGCACCGGATGCAAATCATTGCCAATGAAGGCATTCAAAATTTACAGAACCACGTCCGAAGCAAGCTGGGTAACGAGCTCGAGGCGGTTGGCGGAGAGAGCTTCGCTATGTCTTACATGGATAACGATGGCGACGTCGTCTCAATAACTACTGATCAGGATCTCAAGGATGCCATAGAGATTGCCAGCAAGTCTCAAAGAGATAAAGTCGACCTTTTCGTACATGATCCGTCACAACCGGCTGTGCCTATCACACTGAATCCAGCACCACCACTAAGCCCGCCAGAATCAACAACGAAGGCAGTCATTGAAGGTGATGATGAAATACGCAGTCGACCTCGTTCTCCTCTCAGGGACTTTGCTCAGAAGCAGGAACGGCAACAAAAGCAAGAGGTTATTCCTGGTGTGCCGAACGAGCTTCTTCTGCCCGGAGCTATTGCAACACTGGCGGCCGTGATCGTGGTTGTGTTCGCCATCGGTCGAGCTTCAAAAAATTAGGTCGTTGTTTATGACCAATTTGTTTTTATACTCCGTCGTTCTAGCAGGCAGATAATGGTTGAGGTGGGCACGATACCCAAACACTTTTCTACTCCGCAAGCCCAGTCACGCTCTTGTATCTTGTACAGATTAAACACTTCGCAACGAGAATCTTTCTATTTCAAAATGACTACGTTGAATCTATCTCTTATACCAATACTGCTCATCGTAGCCAAGCTGGTGTAGAGCTTCGGTGCCGCTGGTTGTATCGAAAGGTAGCACAGCGACGGCAACGTTTGACCTTGGTGATATGAAAGTTGAACTTCTTATCGATAGTGCTGAAATAAATTTGGCAGTGGTAGTTGGATGCGATCTCGTACAGCAATTGACTGAAGATTGAAACGCAACATATTCTACAATGGCTACGATTGTGCCACCACCCAGCAAGCGGCAGAAGATTGCTGCGACAGAGAAAGCAGAAAGAGAAGCAGAAGAAGCCCGCATACCAGAAGGATTAGGCCCAATACGCATACAATTCATAGACCAGGGAACTGGCAAATCGGCAGGCCCAGCAGTCGCGATAGATGTACAACAAGCCACAGTCAAGAACCTCGAGAACCTCTTGAACACACTACAGGCCAAAGATGCCTCGGAACGAACCCCATATAGATTTTTCTTCAATCAGCGTCCACCAGATTCAGGAAGTGACGAAGCCTCCATACTTGACGTGGACAGAGACATCTATACATCGATCCTGAAGCCTGGACTCAAGACTACAGAAGATGCTATAGTCCTACAATATGCGCCGCAAGCAGTGTTTAGAGTAAGACCAGTATCTCGCTGCTCAGCATCTATATCTGGTCATGGCGAGTCTATCCTGGCTGCTACGTTTTCTCCCGCGACCTCTTCATTATTAGCTACTGGTGGTGGTGATAACACGGCAAGGATCTGGGATTGTGAGACAGGGACTCCGAAGAACACTCTAAAAGGCCATACAAGCTGGGTGCTGGTGGTGTCGTTCTCACCTGATGGCAAGATTTTAGCAACCGGCAGTATGGATAATACAGTACGCCTGTGGGATGTTAAGACTGGGGAAGCACTTGGAGGTCCGTTAAAAGGTCACACGAAGTGGATAACCAGCATAGCATGGGAGCCTTACCATTTACAGCAGCATGGTAAGCCAAGGTTAGCATCCGCCTCGAAAGACGCAACTGTTCGGATATGGGATGTGCCGTTACGAAGAGTTGAGGAAACGTTGTCTGGCCATAAGGGGAGCATAACGTGTGTGAGGTGGGGTGGCATACACAGAATATACACATCTTCTCAGGACAAGACCATCAAAGTGTGGAATACAAAGTCATGGAACTGTTTACACACATTGACAGCTCATGCTCACTGGGTTAACCACCTAGCGCTCTCTACGGATTTTGTGCTTCGTACTGGCTATCACGATCATACAAAAAAAGTCCCGGAGACCGCTAGCACAGAAGCCAAGGTCGTGGCTGCAAGGTCTCGATTCGAATCTGCGGCTCGTATTGACGGTGTAATAACAGAACGGCTTCTTTCAGCCTCTGACGACAACACCATCTTCCTTTGGCAGCCGTCATCTTTCGATCCAAATAGTAACAGCACACCTAAACCCCTCGCCAGGTTATTGGGTCATCAGAAACAGGTCAACCACGTCTCTTTCTCGCCGGACGGCCACTACATCGCATCTGCATCCTTCGATAATAGTGTCAAGCTCTGGAATGCTATTGACGGAAAGTTCATCACTACTTTGAGAGGCCACGTCGGAGCCGTCTATATGTGTTGTTGGAGTGCCGATAGCAGACTGCTTGTTAGTGCTAGCAAAGATACAACTCTCAAAGTTTGGGACATGAGAACACAGAAGCTAAAAGAGGACCTGCCTGGGCACAAAGATGAAGTCTTCGCTGTTGACTGGAGCGCCGATGGTGCTGCGGTAGGAAGTGGAGGCAAAGACAAAACTGTTAAGATTTGGAAGAATTGAGCTGAAAGGAAGGTCGAAAAGTGCTCGTATCTTTGTGTAGCAACAATATGCATACGCTGTGGTACTACTTTACTTAAGAAAGAGGTACTTGGCGCACGAGACCGTCTTCGTCGATCTGCCAACTATGCAGCCATGATGACAAGAGTAGCAAGTAGAGGAGCTAGTCCTGGTGAAGAGACCTTGGACCTTCAGTCAAACATCGTGGCAGAAGGATTTGTCGTTCACGACGCGTCGATCGCGGATCTTCAGGCATATCCTTCCCTGCCGCTTCACATGGAATGTTTAATGCGTGGTAAGTCTCCTCTTCATCTTTGTGACGAGTTGCCGCTTCCTACAATACATGACGAATGTCGGCAAAGCTCCCTTCTTAGTGCTCAAAGATCCACTCTTATCAAGCAGATCTTGACGCAACTGCACATACCTGAACATCGATAGATTCTGTCTGTGCTCCCTAGTGCATGCTCGAGCTGGCTCAGAAGTTCAAGTGTGACAAGTTGAAGTCCTCGTGCCGAAAGGGAAAATCGGGACAGCTCTAAGATGCCTTCCACCTGATATCGGCAGTATCGTGATGACTCTATGGAGTACTCGCCCTCGAGCGCTACACGAGCCTTCCTCCCAGCAGACAACAAAGCCGGCAGATTGATGGGAGACTACATGACCAACTGCATTGGTGCCTCCCTCCCACTCCTCTACTCCCTGGTCGGCGCCAATCACGCTGGACACACGAAGAAAGTGACAATGAACGCGACGCTGCTGATATCGTTCTGCTTAGGAAACATTGTCGGTCCGTTGACCTTCACTGCGGAATCTGCGCCGGATTATACCCCGGCTAAGATCTCGATCATTGTGACTTGTGCTGTGGCTATAGGGTTGACGCTGATGTTGCGATTTTACTACGTTTGGAAGAACAGGAGGAGAGATGTGCTGGCTGGGAAGGGTGGCCTTGGTCATATTGTAGATGTGGAGTTTAGTGATATGATTGACGGCAGAACTTGGAGTTTAGGTACTCGTTGTAAGCTATACGTATATGTGTATATATGTATGTACATATACGTAGATAGTGCTGAGGGCTTGGTGTGTAGTAGACTGTTTCTATATCCATCTGATTGCGATTGACGAGAAGCATAGCAATATAGGTGAACTCTGCGTATCAGCTGACCTCACTCCGTCTCGAATACGTGTTCCATTTGTCTTTATGATTTCTCGTACACAATCTCACCCTCAAACCACGTCGTAAGCACACTCGCGCCTTCAAAATCACCTTGACTTAAATCCTTATCAACAGCAATAAAGTTCGCCTTCTTCCCTACCTCAATACTGCCCAATTCCTTCTCCCGACCAACAGCCTCAGCACCCGCCAAAGTCAGCATACGACATAACTTTTCTCCGCCCAAGTTCCTGTCTCCACCTCCAACAATATCAACGACTTTCGCCACATCAGGTAGCAGGTCCGGACTTGCCCCTGCGCCCCAATCACTCCCGATACTTATCTGCGCATCCGCGGCTAGCATCTTCGGAAAATTCCAGTCCATTAGACCACCGCTCGCCTGGGTGATGGGATGTACGAAGAAGAAAGCGGGGCTCATCTCAGCTGTCACATTCAACGCCTTGAATCTGGGGTATTCGTCGTCGTGGACACCTGAGCAATGAGCGATTTCGTGTTTTGGGCCTTTGGGATTATGTTTCCTGGCTGCTTCAAAGGCGTCTAGGGCAAGTCTCGTGCTGCCGTGGCCGGTACAGTGGATTTTCATTGTCATGCCGCGCTCGTCGTATTTTCGTACTGCTTCGTGGACGTTGAGGGTGAGGAGCTTGGATTCGTCGACTTTGCCGTCTGAGTTTAGTGCTGCGTGGGTGTGATATGGTGCTAGGGGGACGCCGTCGAGGATTATCTTGACGAAGCGTGTGTCGACGTGTTTAGAGGCGTATGTTTTGGCTTCGTCAAGGGTTTTATGGAGGGTTTCTGCGCGTTCCTCGCCGATCCAGTCTGGTGCATAGACGATGTGAGTTTGGATATCTATGCTTAGCTTCCCTTCTCGCTCGAGCTCGCGCAGACCCTGTAGCATGATCGTATTTGCTGACGCTTCTTGACAGCTGGTTACACCCGCTTGGTGTAGTCTCTTGATGCCGGACATCAGTACTCTCTTGACGTGTGCAAGGTTGGGTTGCGGAAGGGTGGTCATCACTTTGCTCATAGCGTTCTCAGCCATCTCGCCTGTCAGCCGCCCCTGATCGTCTCGAAAATACGTCGCACCTTGTGCGTCAGGCTCTGACTCAATATTGTATCCTGATCGTCTCAAAGCCTCGCTATTGAGGTATGCACTGTGTCCAGCACCAGCACGGATCACAACTGGCGTGTCGGGAAAATCCTTATCGAGAGCTTCCAAACTGAAGTTTTCGACCATGTAGCTATGACCTACCAGCCAGTCCTGGTTGGCGTGGCCATATTTGCACAAACACTTGCCTTTCTTTAGCTCTTCAGCTACGTTTGAGGGTGTGAGCTCTGGTGGCATTCGAATCTGCGAGCTGTCTGCCAGAGCCGACATGAGAAGGTGGACATGGGCATCGTGGATGCCAGGCATCACAAAGTGACCCCGTAAATCATATACCGTCAGCTTTTGCTGCCGCGCCTGTGCTTCAATTTCCGCCGTACTGCCAATCGTGATAAAATAGCCATCTTGACTTGCGATGAAAGCTTCTGCCCATGGCTGCTTTTCGTTGACGGTATATACCTTGCCGTTGACATACGCTGTGCCATTGTTGGGTGTTGATGATGGTGGAGCCATCGCAGTAGTGAGTATACGTGCACAGTACTCAGAATCTGTTCAGAATGCCACCTTCGAGAGCGACGCCAGGTCGAGCTTCATATTCAATCTGGACCGGAATAGTTCCGCAGCTGCGTTGGACACCAAATACCACTTAGTACTGCTTCATCAGTCATGGCTGCAGTGTATGAGGTAATATCGTAGAGCCGAGGACCAGCTTCGGTGATGTGGTATGTAGACCTGCTTGAGGCACAGTGTCCGAAGAAGGAACGACTCGATTGCGGAAGTGAAGTTGCGCGAATACGTGTGTACAGCGAGAAAAAATGGAGAGGTAAAGAAGTGGCTGGCATTGATCTTGAGCGTCTCCTCTCAGGTGCTAGATGGGCATCGGCTACTTCTCTCGTGTACTTTCGTGAAGGAGTGATAGCTATTAATGAAAAACCATGATTGTCTGAATCAGGCATACAACGCTTGACTTCAAGCTATCTGCGTCTCCAATCAAGAGAATAGTTCGAAAGTATCGATCAGTACTGCTACAGCATGGACGTGGGTTGACTTGCAAGTCATGGAGCTGTAGAAGCCGAATCAGGAGCACCGTGATCTAGTTACGAGGAAGGAGCCTGAGCTACTCAACATCTGGACACGCTTTCCTGAACGCAAATATAAAGAGACCATTTCTATTTCACACTGACGAGTATCTCGTGTAGAATTACACAAACCCAGCAGAAGGTGTGGATCGTGCTGGTGACCATACCTGCTAGAAAACTTCCAAACTCCTCAAACGTCCATAAAGTTTGCATGGCCGACCTATTTAACTCATCATAGTGTCCATAAATTCTGCCTATCGCCGAAACGCCTCGCCGATGGTTCTGGTCGCTATTCAATCAGATAAAAGCTCATTTCAGCGGTCTTTGATGTGCCAGATCGCCATCCGTCACTGTTCTCATGGTCTGGTTTTGCTCGATTTGTGCTCGGAAAGGGTTGTTTCCTCCGATGTTCGTAGGGATGTTCTTTTGACTCCGCACTGGTCCTTCACCTGGAGCAGACAGAGTGTTTCCTGCCTTCATTCTCGCGTGATCATAGTCAGTGTCGTCCTCGCTTCCCGAGTGACTATGGCCTGGCCTTCCTGTCCGTTGTTGAAATTGTCGAAATGATGGTGCTTCCGCCTCAGAGAATCCTTGACTGCGTATTGGTTCCATGCCTACCAACGCCTGCCTATCTTCTTCATCATCTACTATCGTGTTCGCGGTTCGGTCAACCCTCGACGTGCTATGTGGATAGAATTCTCCATCCGTGCCAACGGTGCCATTTGGTCGGCGTAGTGGTACACCCCAGGTTCGTATAGGATATGCTCGTCCCTTTTCCCACGTATGAGAGACTGGAGGAAAGTACTGTCGATATGCGGCCCAACCACATAGTATGCCAAGGGCCGATCCGAACAAAACATCGAAGGGATGGTGCCGAGCGTCAATGATTCGCGAACCAGCGATCATTGAAGCCGCTAGCGTGGGTAGCAGCACTACAAACGTCCTCCATACCTCACCTCTCTGGTCAAGAACATGTAACTTGGCTGCAAGGTACAAGGAGAGATAGAACAATCCGGCAAAGGCGCTCGACGAGTGGCCAGAGGGGAAAGACCGAAAGCCTGCTCAAAGTTAGTATAGGCCGAACACGTAGAGCATACGTCGTGCGATCCTACCATCTTGTAGTATATACATATCGTCTTGCCTGCACGAGGTCCTATTCAGAAGTCCATATGCTGGTGGGCCAGGATCATCGGCAGTAGCAGGATCAAGATTACACCTGGCAAGCAAGTCCGGTCGCGGCTTGCCAATCAAATTCTTCAGGGAACCAGTAATCACGAATGCAGCCCCCTGAGCCAAAAACAATCCAAGAATACCACAATTCAACTCCCATACTCGATCACCCCACGTGTAACGTCGGGCTCGTGATAGATTCTGCTTGGACTTGCTGAAGATGCCATCGATGAAAAGTGTATAAACTGCAATGAGTATCCCTGGAAAGAAACACGAATATACCATGCACATCCATATTGGTATACGCTCGGGATCTGCTACCGGATATTGGAGTGAAATATTCTGACTCGAAAAGTGTTGTGCAAATGGTGTTAGAATTTTGTCGAGGATCGCATAAATAATGGCAAGTACCCTAGGGAATATGTTAGAAAAGCGCACAACCCTGGTTGCTGTACATACGCCACTACTGCATAGTCGAAGAAATATCTGAGATCATTAGCAGTGAGCATGCGGCGACAGCTGGAACCATACGAGAATGCGATCTTCAAGGTAATTTTTTGACCTGATGATGTCGTCGGCAGGTAATTTTGCAATTTGTCCATGGCGACCAGCGCCTGGTCTGTAATAGGAGACAAATATTACAGCTCTTTACAAACTCATTAATATCAATCATACATGTATCGCTGAAGCTGCAGGGATGTCGTCGAAGATGAAGTGATAGATTTCAAGATGTCGCGTGCCCGCGAAGTTGAAATGAGGGAATGTAAGAAGTCCAGCCCTTGTGAGTGGTGTTCTCAAACCTGGAGACGCTTGGGACTGCCTCTGCTCAGCACTATCCACAAAAGGTGGTTTGGGGGTGCACGGCTGAACGAGACACCAGCTTACTTGTTCCAAGATCTAGCCAGAAGAGGTCAATTACAAGCACGCTTGTGGGGCTGAGTCCTTGGCAGAGGCTTGGCCGTACTTGCTGGAGCGACAATTTGGCCCCGAAAATCATCAGCAGCCGCATCTCTACAGGCTAAACTCGATTTGTAACGTTTCAAGTTTAGCAACAACTATCCTGGTATAAATTCGCTATTCTCCATCGCCTCTGTCAGATATGCCTACCAGCAATGTCGAGAAGGGCGTTAGCAACACAAAACAATCCGCTTTGTCCAACAACGCCTGCGCTATCACTGTGTCCTCGCCAGTCTACTCATCGTCGTTCATGTCGTCGTCCGCCTCGATGAAAACCAACCTCGTGCCATTGTTCGCAATCTGCCACACATCTAGTAGGCCATACTCGTCGAGTGTCTTTTGTAGGTTCTCTTCTGTGAAGCCACGGCCTATCACCGTCTGCCTGATTCTTTCCATGTTCAGTTCACCACGAGCTCCGACAGTGGCAGCTCCCGAGTCTCGCATGCTCCGGATCAAATCGTAGATTTTGCTGCTCACAGTCTGATCACCGCCGCCACGTTGATCATTGTGCAGACTCGCCTTGCTGACCTCAACCAATCGTAGAGCCTCGTCTACATCCTCATTGACGACCTCCTGAGCAAACCTGAGTCGTGCCAGGGCCTGCGCAATTCTGAGAACGCCAAGTAGTGTTCGTGGTGATGTGTGCGTGAACTGCTTCTTGCCTCCTTCGTCGCGCTTCTGTTGTTGACGCATTCTCACATAAGCTCCAACCATGTAATCACTCACGGCCTTCGGCACGACTGGACGGTACGTTCTTGCTTGAGCGATATATTGTCTAACTTCGTGAGGTGCGAAGACTACACCTTCAGTTTGAGGATGCTCGTTGTTCATGTGCACATAAGTAACGTGAGCGGCCAGTTCTTCATCTGTTTCTCGAGAGGGTGTGTCAAGAATGAGGAAGAGGACGTCGAAACGTGATAGAAGTGCGGCGGGAAGGTTGATGTTTTCAACAGGCGAGATGCGAGGATTGTATCGACCGTATAGGGGATTGGCTGCAGCTAGGATTGAAGTTCTGGCGTTTAGCGTTGTTGTAATGCCAGCCTTGCTTATGGAAATAGTCTGCTGTTCCATGACTTCGTGAATAGCGGTTCGGTCACCGTCGTCCATTTTGTCGAACTCGTCTATGCAGCAGATACCGTTGTCTGCAAGCACAAGGGCACCTCCTTCGAGTACCATTTCGTCTGTGACGGGATCACGCATGACGGCTGCGGTGAGGCCGACACCACTTGAACCTCGACCGGTCGTGTAAACTCCTCGAGGGGCTACCTTGGAAATGTACTTTAATAGCTGGGATTTAGCTACACCAGGGTCGCCCATCAGACAGACGTTGATGTCACCACGAATCCGCATGCCATCTCCCATCTCTTTCGTGACGCCGCCAATCAGAAGCAAGAGCAAAGCCTTCTTGACATCTAGGTGACCATAGATTTCTGGAGCGATAGACTTGGCGAGGTATTCGTACATTTGTCCACTGGCTTTGTGTGATTCAATCTTTTTGATGACACGAGGGTCAGATCTCAAGTCTTGATATGCTTTTTTGTGTTGGGTGATATTTTGTGCCTCAAGATATGTATCAGTCAAAAGGCCAGCTCTGATGGCTCTGAATCCAGTGTATGGTGTTGGAAGAAAGATGCCGTCTATATCCACAACATCGCCTGGGTTGATCTGTCTAGCTAGGGATCCGTGACATTGTATTGTCAATGTTCTCGGAATGTGTCCCACAGGTACTTGATCTGCCATCTCCTGGATTTTGACCTCTTGAAACGGCACGAATTTGGAGGCTCGAGTGGAAGGAAACAGCTGGCCTTTGGTCGCATTCTCTGTGCAGGCTGGAGATGGACAAATGAACATAGGTGTAAATTGTTTTGTTGTTATAGGTTGGAACACCTCGCAACCACAAGTATCGCAGGTATAGGCTTGTATTTGAATGGATGGCTTCACATCCGAGACCCTGGTAGTGATGCCCCTGACAGTGATGAGCTTTCCGAGATGCTCACCGCGAACCTGTCGTACTGCTAGTGCCTTTGATTTGGATGTCGATTGTGAGACGGGTTTGAAATTCAATGTATATCTCCGCGTCAACTCTGGAGGAAAAGTGGAGGCATCGGCGAGTGACTCGCCATTGACCTCAGCACCCTCACGCATTGTCTCATTCCGCTTCTGCCGTTGCGACATGATGATATCCAATACATCGTCTTTGAATGTAATATCCTTGCTCTCTTTAGGCATAAGTTTATCGATAGCGTACGAGAAGAGGTCAACATAGTGCTTAGTGTTCTTCATGATGGAGTCGACGAGCTTTAGAGTCACGTCTGTTCCTAAAGACTCTTCGAAGCTTTTCAGGTCATCAAGCTCAATCAATATATTGCTGCGTTCCCGATCCGCGATTTTCTGTAACATATCCATGTACTTCTTACGTGGTTGCTGTCGCGGTCGCTCCCCATCCTCTACGCCTTCGACATCGTCCATAAAATCATATTCGTCGCTTGTTGCGTCGCCATCGAGGTGAAGGTCATTGATCGCATCTGCGGCTTGATCCGTTGCAGATTGTTTGAGCTCGAACTTGTCCAAGAACGACTCGAAGGCTGCAAGTTGTGCTTCATAATCAGCTGGCGCACGATATTGAAGTAGCGCCATTGCCTTGGTCAAGTACGGGGTTCAAGGTGGTTGCTTGGTAAAGCACGTCTATTTCGAGTTCAGCAAGGAGCAACACAACTCAAGAAGTGGGCGCGTTCGACGCGCACTTGACGCGTCAGGTCCACTAAACTCAACTCGGTAAGGACCTTCGAAAGTCGCATGCCGCGGAAGTAAAGGTTAAACACGGACGGTAGCTGCTGACAAGCCTCTCTATATGGAGATATGCGGCCATTCGCGGTGAGCTGAGAGATATACCTTCCTGCGCCGTAACAGAATTACGGTTGTGTCTAATGTACACGAATGCTGTCTCGATACCATACCGAGGCTTGCAAAGTCGAAAACTTGCTGTGCTCAAGTATTCACGATTGAGAATGTGGACCCTGATCGACTTTCAAGATGGCCATGGATACATTTTACATACTAACAGTACTGCTGTCTCGATATGATTTTTAGTAGTACGGGTACTGCGGTAAAAGACCAGTTAGTGGGCACCACAGAAAGATGTCGCGAACTGTGAGAGTAGATGTGGTATTTAGTTCTCTGAAGAACTGCTTGGTCAATTTACCACCTAGTTTGATAGCACTTATCTCCAACACGAATACACCTGTACAAGATGTCGTGGTTGAGATGCAATACCGATCGCAGATATCATCTTCAGGATCAGTTTCTAGCACCCAAGTTCAAAGAACAGCGTTCGCAGGATGGACAGGCATGCCCAGCAGGACAAGGCCGAGCTCAATCTTGAATCAAGAGAGGACACGAAGTGGCAGAGAGACTGAAGTTCAGACTGTCGAGGTTGATGCTACGTTTGCAAGGACACTGGGATTGGTAGAAGGTCAACAGATTGGATTGATGGTCCACCTGGACCCTCCTCTAGCACATACCGTCAACATCGAGCCTTCAACACCGGCTGACTGGGAAGTCATCGAACTACACGCAACCTTTCTCGAGCTCAACTTTCTGTCTCAAATTCGAGCACTACCCAATCCAACTTATACCGAGAAGGGGAAGAGTGAGCCAAATCACGCCCATCCACTGACGCTACATCTCTCTCCGACTTCGACTGCCAATATAGTTGTCACATCACTGGCGCCTACACTGTTTTCAACCTCCCCATTCGCAAAAATTGCTGGTGACGCCGAGGTAATTGTGGCACCGAAAGCGCAACAGAAGGCTCAAAGGCATATGCGTACAGATACAAGAAGCACCATCAGTAAGCGCAGCGTCAAAAGTGAGACCAGTGTCAAGACGGGCACATCGCGCAGACCAGCTCGTACTAAGGAAGCTGCTTTCGTGCGTGGACTGGATTACACGATAGCAACGGACTTTATACAACCTGCTGAGGTCGTGGAGGGATTGACTATATGGCTTAGCAAAGCCACTATCTCTTCTGATGCGCTGAAAAATTGTGCATTCGCAAGAGTTTCTGTCATTAAGCCAGCTGCGTTGCGAGTCACACCAGAACAAGACGTTCTTAATCGTCTGAAAGAAGAAGAAAGTAGTACTGTCGGTCGACCAGCATCTCGCTTAGTCGCACGTGTATTGCCATGGGTGTCTCCGGTGACCGACCAACACGCAGTGCTATCTCCCACTCTCAGCTTACTACTTGGTGTCGATTCACTAAGTGGATTGATACTCAGAATTGATGCTGCTCCGGATCCTCAACCGCGGTCTGCGATTAGAAAGTTTCTGTTCTTTCCCTTCCTAGCTGACAAGACCAAGAAGCCCGATGCCATCAAATTCGGAGGCGAGTCGCAAAGTGCTCGTCAAGCTGTCGTGGATCGTTTACGTATAACTCATGGTGGCGACGAAGGTCTACTAGCGGGTCCATTGACGGATGGTATGATTCTACCGCCTTCCAACAATGCACCAAATGTCTCGAGTTTCGACGGCGGCATCTTAAGATTTTCGGCGTCAGGTCAAAATGTGGACGAAGGACTCTGGGCTATTGGCGCCGAACAAAAGCAGGAATACGACGTAAAAGATTCAATACCCCGTCCTGTCGAGAACGCGAAGCTTTTCCCAACCTTTGCAAGAACTTTACCTAAGGACGCAAAAAAACTCATTGGTATTGACAAACCACTTAAACAGTGTATGTCAAATCTAACGCTCTGCTCCTCCGTTCTGCTCACTGGAGGCATTGGCTGTGGTAAGACTTCGGTCGCGGCACATATCGGTCATCAGTTGCAGGAGGGATACCTTTTCAACGTAAATTACCTCTCATGTCAGAAGCTTGTGAACGATGAAACTCGGATATCGAGCATCAAGGACGAGTTGACCAGGCTATTTGTGTCTGCAGCCTGGTGTGCGCGGCTTGGAGGACAGTCTCTAGTAATACTTGACGATGTCGACAAGATCTGCCCAGTCGAGACTGAACTTCAGGTTGGAAACGACAATGGTCGTAGTCGACAAGTCACCGAGATACTCTGCGCCCTCGTCCGGCAATACTGCAGCATGGAGAGTGGTGTCGCATTGCTTGCAACAGCACAAGGTAAAGATACATTGAACAACGTTATCATCGGTGGCCACGTCTTCTCTGAGATCATATCTATACCAGCACCGTCAAAGGATATCCGCAACAAAATTCTAGAACATCTAGTAGCAGAAAATACTGTTGCTCGACATCAGGCCAATGGGCACTCCAGACATATAAGCGACTCAAGTAGCATTGCAGACTCTTCTTGGATGAACCCCTCGAACCCGACTTCACGACCAGGCTCCTCATCTGATTCAGCACAGCAAATAGACGGGTTCCATGCCTCGACAAATCTGGACTTACTAGATATAGCCGGCAAAACAGATGGGTACATGCCAGCAGACCTTAATCTTTTGGTTGCACGTGCTCGCAACGAAGCTTTGATACGAAATGTGTCCAATCCAGAAGCTTCTCAACTTACCCTCAGCAAAGTCGACTTTGATGCAGCTATCAAGAACTTTACCCCCTCGTCTCTGCGGAACGTCACCCTGACACACAGCAGCACAACCTTTAGCTCAGTGGGAGGTCTTACCACAACCCGTAACATATTACTCGAAACACTTCTCTACCCAACCAAATATGCTCCTATCTTTGCTCGATCTCCTCTGCGCCTTCGATCAGGGTTGCTGCTCTATGGTTACCCCGGATGTGGCAAAACACTGCTCGCATCAGCTGTCGCTGGTGAATGTAACCTCAACTTCATCTCTGTGAAAGGTCCCGAAATCCTCAACAAATACATCGGGGCCTCTGAGAAGTCCGTCCGGGATCTCTTCGAGCGCGCACAAGCCGCAAAACCATGTGTCCTCTTCTTCGACGAGTTCGACAGCATCGCACCAAAACGTGGACACGACTCTACAGGTGTAACAGACCGAGTTGTGAATCAAATGCTGACACAGATGGACGGTGCTGAAGGCTTGGAAGGCGTCTACGTCCTAGCAGCCACCAGCAGACCAGACCTCATCGACCCAGCACTTCTTCGACCTGGACGCTTAGACAAGAGTCTGCTCTGCGACATGCCCAACCACTCCGACAGAGTCGACATCCTCCGCGCAGTGAGCACAAAACTCCACCTAACCCCCGATGTCGCATCACGCCTCTCAGACATCGCAGGCGGCACAGAGGGCTTCAGCGGCGCAGATCTACAGGCACTAATGTATAATGCTCACCTTGAAGCCATTCACGACCTGCTCGGCGACCTGAATAACAACAAGACCACAAAAGTCAATGGCACAAAACCTGACTCCGACAGACGTGGCTCACGAACTAAGAAAAATGATAAACACGACTTCATCCAATTCCTCTACGGTAAAGAAGAAGATACCACAGCCCGTCAATCCGTGACATCTACCGCTTTAGATCCTCGCGCCGTGATTGTCGCAAAACTCGACGAACTCAAATTAGCGCGGAGGAGGGAGAAGACAGCACTCAAGGGACAGGCTTTCGGCACTACGAAAGAGCAGAGTGATGAGATTGAAAAGGAAAAGCAGGAGCAAGAGAAAGTGGTTATTGAGTGGAAGCATATCGAGAAGAGTCTTGCAAGTACCAAGAGCAGTATTAGTGCGCAGGAACGAAGGCGGTTAGCGAATATCTATAGAGAATTCGTGCAGGGTAGAAATGGTGAGATGCCGAGTGGAGAGGCGAATCAGGAGATTGGTGGGCGGACGAGTTTGATGTGATGTTATGTGAAGATATACTGTGGACATGAGAGATACAAAGACTTCACTGTAGTATAGGAATACGATTGCACATTCTTATCATACGTACTATCTGTATCTAGAATATGGCAAGGGCGTTTGGTGGTGAGCCCACGCTACCAGGGACGTTCAAAGGACAACTCGTGAGGAGAAAGCTGTACTTCTTCTTCTCCTTGCAGACTTGTGAGAGAGCCTTTAGATCCCATAGTTCGCCGATGTTCATGCCGAAGAGGGACAGGAACCATTGATGGAGAACTGTTACGGGTTAGCTATCGTCCACTGTCACACTCTGTTGCGGGTTTCACTCACCGAGCTCACCGATCCCGCCTTGCGACCCATCCTCTCGAAGAGGTGGGATCGTCTCATAAGCAATCGCATCACCCGCCACAGCAGCAAAATGCTTATTCCAATGCCACTTAGCAGACTCCTTGTTACCAGCCACACCCACTGTCTGATGTGTTCCGAGCGCTTTCTCCTGAGCACTCGCGTCCATGGATCCAAGTTCCTCCGTGAATCCAGTACGGATAATCAAAACATCACCGTGTTTGAACTCTACGCCTTCCCACTGCGCGACTTGCTCTAGCTCGTCTGTTGTGATGCGGTGGTCGCTGAAGCAGTCGTATGATTTACCTTGGCTTTCGGACCAGGCTCGGTAGTCGAGCAGGACGCCTCGGGCGACGAGGCCGCCGCGCTGGTGCCAGTGGTTCAGAGTTGGGAGTGACTGGTCTACGTCAAGATTGCCAAAGTCTTGTTGGAGACCTTCGACGGTAGGTTTGACGCCGTTGTAGCTGAGTCCGGTGGGCTGATGGGCGAAGTGGACGAGGGAGTCCCATTGGGAAGAGGCCTGGGTGTTGAACTCGACTTCGTCGTCGAAGCCATGGAGGCTGTAGGGTCCTTCGCTGAATGAGAGGACTTTGTGGACTAGGCCTTTGCGGGAGAATCCGGGGGTGTTAATGGCGTTGAGGCGCCAGTTGAGCGATACGGAAGTACCTGGGTGGTATTAGACGGCCTGTCTGGTAGAAGGTGGGAAAAAGACATACCATCTTGAGCTTCTTTGAGAGCTGCTTGCACGACGTTGGGAGTGAGGAGATTGAGGCAACCGATGTGGTCTTTCTTGCCGTTCTTGTCGAAGATACCCCAGGAGCAACCTTGTGGCATGTCCTTCACGGGTGGCAGAGAGTCGAAGTCAGGGATATTGCTGTAGTCGTTGGCCATGGTGTCTGGATGGTGTTGACTGGTTCGGATAGTATTAATGGCTCAGGTCTTGAGCTATGGTCAGAAGTCGAGGGGAAGTCAATGTGTTACCTTTCACTGTTTACCAAGACAGAACGCGCTGAGAAACAGGTCCAGAGAGTAAGTAGGTCCTTTTGGCTATGGCTCTTATTATGTACAACATCCTTGGTCTTGCTCCTTCTTCTCTGCCTTTCCAATGGAAAGTTTCCCTTGTAGTGGGGGACAGGATCAAAGTTTAGAGACTCTGGAATTCGAGTTTGAATCCCCCTCACGGTCACCCATCGTCATTGGCTTCGAGGTTTTTTTCCCTATAGGAGCGGAACTGACTGCTGCTCGTGTACTTCACGTGTGACCATGGGGAAACCACTGGCTCGGTACCGAATGAGTCGCAAAACCGTGGAGAAGACACGATTCAGAGGCAACAATTCGACGTGAACTTTGGAGCAGAATGAACGCATCAGTTTGATTTGGTATAATGGCAGCCGAGGTTGTTGTCGCAGGAGAAGAAGAGAAGACAAAAATGTACGGGGTAGCATTGACTCTACCATAGCTGCATATTAGACACAAAAGTACGCCGTACATGGCATGATCTGAGCAGTCGTGCCAGTGCTCGCTAAACTGTATGCAAGCTCAACCTCTACAGCATGTTCAGATCAGGCTCTCATCCTGACACCCTCTCTTGGTCCAGTCGCAAACATGCTCGTCCTCGCCCTTGCACCAAGCTTACACATCTCGCCCACTACACCACCACCACTCAATGTCCATTTTTCGGCAACTGTATTATCAGTGACTGCCTCCCTCAGCATACCACTGAGTGCAAAGTATTCCAGCAGACCCTTTGATTCAGGCTTGCTCAAGCCCTTCAGCTCAACGAGTTGTGTATTCCGTGCTGTGTTCAGCAGGTCGTAGACTCGCTGGTCAGCTTCTTTGAGGTATGGATCCCATAGTGGAAAGCCTGGGTCTTGTCTTTGCGTGCCCTGATTGAGTGCTCTGATCTGATTGACCAACAAATCGAAGGATGGATAGCTTGGATGGTTGGACTTTGTGGTGCATGCTAGCACTATACCACCATTAGGTAGAGAGTTTGGCGTTGTGTTGAACACTTGAGTGAGAAGTTGTTTGATCAATTTGAATTGATGTGCATGAATAGGCTTATAATCTGCGCTGTGATATTTGGTCATGCCCATCCAAAAGTTGATCCCATCAATAGCAATGAGTATTGGTGGTCGCGCGGTCTTTCCATCTTGTGATTTTGTAGTAAGCTCTTTCCAGACGGCATCCCATATTCGTGTTGCCATAGATGACTCCTGAGCACCAATCATGGCCAGATCATGGAGGGTCTTCACGTTCCTGCCTTTAGGAAGGTCTGAGTGGTTGTGAATCGGGGTCAGCTTGGAGAGGAGATTGGAATTTGAATAGGCGAAGCGGGTAAGGAGATCGGAGGTTAGCTGTGGTTGCACATATACTTGCTCGTCTGCTTCATTCTTTTTCCGTAATGGTGCATATGCGGACTGGTTGAGTACGTACTCCTGGCCTGAGATATGTTAGTGATGTGCGTCCACGCTCGGAGTACACGTACAGTCTGGCACATTGATCACCATCCACTTGTTCAAATATGCCATGCTCATAGCCTGTAGCAGGTGAACACTCTTCCCGCTCATCTTTTCTCCAACTATGAGTCTTTTCAACGTAGTTTTCTGCTCGTTGACATCCTCAATATCGCAGCCAAGCTCAGCAGTCTCTTGTCGAAACAAAGTCGACGGCGTCCTGAATAGATTCCAGTTTTGAGTTGTCTTGAACGCTTTAGCTTCTCGAAGCTGATCAAGAAGTGGTCCATCTAAAGCAAGCACTTGACCTATCCTACCACTATCCGACATATTTTCCGTAGTGAGCTTGTCGTGGTCCTGCAGTGGGATGGCGTTGGTATTGCTGAGTACGATCCGCCTGCGTTCAGTTCTCCTTTGCCCTACAGGTGGAGGTTTCGGTCTCTCTTTGCTCTTTTTATTGATCCTCGCGGACCTGGATTCTCGCAGCCTAGGCGCATTTACACCCGCGACTTTGACTGTCTTCTTCTTTACCACATTCTGATTTATGGTAGAGCTGTGAAAGGAGGCTGCGAGTATCGACGATGCTGTTGGGATTATCGATAATGGTGCTTTCTCAAGTCGTAGCCGAGCCAGGCAGCTCGTACATATTGATAGCGACATACTGAGCAGGAAAGTGATGTGCTAGAAGGCCAGATGTGTTGCGCCGACGAGCTTGTGAACGCTATCGACCTCTCGAGAAATCGCGACCTCTACCCGAAATGGACGCGCTAGGTCACATGTAGATAGGCCGATAAGAATACAAAAAGTTCGGGCAAGAACGACCTTCCTCTGCAGAGACACGACCAACTACTGTGCAAACCTCATTTCCGAGTACAATAAGCAGCGTATCAATTGTTCCACTGCACCTTGAATCGATTGAGGGCTGTAAATATGGCGACTACCAGTCAAACAGAGCGACTACCTGTCGAAGTCGACAAACCTACGCCATACACCTACAGCCTAGGCCAACTATGCGCGACAGACCCAAATCCACTTCCACCAGCAAAGGACATTATGTCCCAATCGCCCTCTTCGAGAAATGAGACCCTGAAAGTCATAGCTAGAGACGGCGCACAGTCTCTGTTACGAACCCTCCTCACATCTTCCGAAACACAAATACAATCCACTCCAGACGGTCTCGTCATGAGCTTACCTCATGTCCAAGACGCAGACAGAACACCGCGGTGGAAACCACTCCCTAAACCCAAGGAGCCTACGAAGTGGGAAGCGTTTGCTCGGAAGAAGGGTATAGGCAAGTATGGCGGAAATCTCAAAGGTGGCGCTGCACTGGAGGACAGGCGGAAGAATGCTGTCTTTAATGAGGAAACCGGAAAATGGGAGAAGAAGTGGGGCTACAAGGGCAAGAAGGAAGAAGGAGCTGTTCAAGCCGACTGGTTGGTCGAGCTGGACGACAAGCAGATGCGCAAAGAGAAGGGTCTAGCTGAGGGTACCACTATCAGGAATGAGGGAAAGAGAGAGAAGATGGAGCGAATGAGACGGCAAGATAGAAGAGAGAGGTCGAATGCGAAGCGACAAAAATGAGATACAGGCTTGTCAAAAATTTACAACATGTGTGATTGACAGCTCGTTATCGTACAGCTGTAACACTATCGAAACCACAGAACGAGCAGCAGAATTCAAGACGACGAATCTTTGCGCGTGAGTCCTCGAGGTGCGATTGTCTACTACGTCCAAATGGCTGCAATTGTGGCTCGGCATAGTGATCAGGACTTACCAAGCGGAGCTGGCAACACGCTGCTCATATCTTCCACGACCTGGAAGACAGAGAAGCAAACCTCAGCTATGGTACAGCCAGCGCTGTGGAGTACATTAGCATGCGATGAACAAGGCCATTCTATGTTGCATGACATGACGCGTATCCTGCTGGTGTTTCATCCCCATGTGATGTGTCTATGAGGCAACTGATCAGGTTCTGTGGTTCCTTGCTTCTGCTGCTGTCCTGTTGCAGGCGAAAAGAATCTGGAATTGTTCGTATCTGGAGGGCTCGAAAAGCTTTCTGGCACAACTCACCTCTAAAACACAATCACTCGATTGAAGCCCAATCCAATTTATGGTTTCTGAGCTACAGCTCTCTGTGGGGACAGAAGAACTGTATGTTGACCAGATGGGCTTGTATGCGTACGTCTGCTCGCTGCCGACCTTTTTGAGCAAGTGCTCTCGTCAACGTGGTGCTGGTACCGGTGCTTGAGAGGACAAATTAGATGATATAAAGGTATCTGAGGCTGTGGCAGAGAATGCCTCGGGATACTCGCATTGACTAGATCATCTGACTCTGCACGATGCCGGCTCCATCGCGAATAGGTCGCTGATATTCGTATATCAGTGCTGTCGAGCAATGCATACGTGTAGGCGTAACGATGTTCAGAATAGGGAAGTTGAAGCGGGACAGTCGCCGTGCAAAATCACGTTCGATAATGCATCCGTGTACCTTAGGTCAATTCTAGCCAGTAGTCAAGACTGACTTTCGCTACGCAGGCGCTAATGGGAGTGTGCTGCACCTGGACGCGCGTGCCGTTTGGCCCGGTCGCTGGACGTGGGAGGGTTGAGACAGATCCAGTGATTGCGACCAGAGTTATGATATGGTAATACGTCGCCAGGCAGATCGTGATCTCTCCATGCAAATGGCGAGCAGCAAGATCCTCCACAGATGCACTAGCTTTCCCGCATTATCGTTCTGCGCCAGGCAAGAAAGTTGCACAGATGTACGCGCTTTAATCGTGTCGTCGAGCTGTTTGTTCACCGAGCTTCTCGAGGACTTTGTCAACCATCCCATCAAGCTCCTTCTGCAGCTGGGTGTCCCGGCTCAACTTGGCAAGCGACTTGTGCCAAGTGGTTCTGAGCATGAGTAGACGTTGTGCATACCGCCGAGCATTTGCTGCCTCGCCTCGATGGAGGCAGCTAATGATCAACGACTGTAGAGTATTAGGGTTTTCCTTGAGGATGTCGGGACTGTTGCCAATGAAAGAGGCCAGGCTATCATATTGGTCATATTCGAAGGCCAGAAATTTGTTCATTAGAGGTGAAAGAGCACGCCGTGCTTGGCTGATCTCTCGTTCGCTGCTTTGCGTTGAGTCAGCTGCCTGCCGACTTAGCGCCGCAGTCAAGGTCGAAGTGTTTGGGCTAGACCCATATATTTGCAAGCGACCACCTGCTTCATCCCCAACTTCGCCCGCTCCTGGCTTCCTGAGGTGCTTGCGACTTTCATGACTCGTAAGACCGCGAAAAGGTATCTCATCGTCGAGAACAGCACCACTGACTAACTGTGCCCTCTGGGATACTTGGTCTTTATCATGCGTGTTTGCTTCCTTCAGGGTCGTTGTATCCGCATGACGCCCGTGCCGAGTTCCCTGTTGCGTTGTACTTCCCGTTCTTGGTCGTTCGCGACCCGATTGTGGCTTCGGTAGTCGAGGTCGTGCAGTTGGGTTGGCACTAACGATATTGTCATCGTGTGAAGTCGTCGCGCTCACCTTTTGCTGTAAGCTTGTGCTGAAGTCAGATGCTTGTTGAGGCGAATGCTCAAGTGTGTATGCGTGCTGCTGAGTACTATCTTCCTGCTGTGTACGATCTGCCAATGAGGGTTGAAACCCTGCAAGCGATTCAGACGAACCACGACTTTCGTAATCGCCCCGGGATATCTCGAGTACTTCTGTAAAAGCGCGAAGCAGATTTCGTTCATCGAAGCCAGCATCTGGTTGGCCGGCATACATACGGCGTCGCAGGCCGCAACTGATACAGTGTAGCTCAAACTGCGCTCTAACATATGCTTCGAATTTCGCAGGATGTTGCTTGGCCTCGGACACAGTCTGCGGGGCTTTCTGCAGCCACCCTCTCTCCTTCACATCCTGTCGTCCCTCTCGTTCAAGGAAGCACTCTCGAAGTATGTCGGCAAAGGTATAACCGCAGGAGCATTTCAGCTGCTCCAACTTGACACCCTCGTCAAAGAGGACACCGCAGAACGCTAGCATACACATTCTTATTCTTTTGCGTCCTTGACGTCGAACGCGACTGATGCCGACGCTGGGATAGAAGATGGACGAGGATGCATCTAGCCTTAAAAGACGTTGGCATGTGCAAGGCTTTGACTGCGGCTGCTCTGTCTTGTTCCAATGGATATATGAACGATATTGTGATGCGGGGAGAGTCCATGCCAATCATGAGGTAAACGCAAGGATAGAAGCATAGATGCCCAAGGTTGCCGAACTGGCAATAAGTCGTCGGTGTAGTGGTTGAAAGAGCAACACGACGCCTTTGCGGTTTTCGGCGACTCTCGTGTAGACGAATAAGAAGCCTAACCAGAACGCCTCACAAGCTGCTTATCATCACCTCGTGACTGTAGCAATTGGTACATTGGGAGCACAAATTATTGGCCGTGCAGGGAGCAGGGGACAGTGTCCTCCAAGCGCATGCCTCCAATTCATACATGGCGACATGTGTTGTCACATTGGGCAGTAAGGCAAGAAGAAGCAGAAGAAGAAGTGAAGGCGCAGACTGGCACATAAGTCAGCGACACGAGACATCTGGCTTCGTGTGAAACATCAACAGTCTGCGGACCTAGTTAGTAGCAGTCGCTCAGACGTACGCGTAATTGCTCGAGACATGAATATCTCGGGTTTGTGGCAGGAAGCTTTACAGGCAAGTCGACCCTTCGTTGGTTTAAGACCTCCTCATATCTCCACAGTGCTCCGCTTAATAAGGTGTCGGGAGCTCTGACTCCGATCCGATCTGGTACTTTGTTCACTGGTACTTTGTTCAAGTTTTGTGGACCTTCAAAGGCACTGAGCATCAGCTCAAGCAACTTCGATTAAGAGAAATGGGCTAGCTAACCCCAACACCATCTAGGATGCCCTGCGGACCGACCCAGCAAAGACCACAGTACTAGCTGAGGAGTATTCTCTCATCGAACACGAGGCAACCAAAGATCAGGAATTCCTGGCCTTGATTCAACGACGAGATCTAGCATCGTTAGGGCTTCCAGACAACCCGAAGCACCGTGAAGTTTTGCAAACCCATTTTCGACGGATCTATCAGCGCGCATTGATGATCAGTGACAGTGCCCAGTCCCATTTTGTTACTACTCTCACGTGCCGATTATGTCGCCTGCTCGTTCAGGTAAGCCTCGCGTGCAAAGGTCACAGGACCCCAGCCTCGTTCTTTGAATCGAAGCTCTAGCCGTGACAACATATTGACCGACCGCAGATTTCTTGTGACCTTTGCACTGTGTCTGCGTCCATTGACACCATCAAAATTCTCGGCCTAATCCTTCAGTCTGTCGATCATTGGGGACGTAATGCCTCACCCTACGAGAATGATGTATCGTTGAGAGTCTCGATACGGCAGACTTTTCACCAAATCATTGTTCTACTATCGTTTACAAGGCTACATACGAGGCAAAACTGGTGGGAGAGGCTTCTGAAGGTGTTAGGAGTGGTAACATTGAAGTCTCATTTGCACAAATTGGAAGATTCAGCGATTAAATTAAAACGTGATCTGGATCGTATTGCCCAGCAATGTATGCAGTATATGTATCAGCTGAACTGGCTAACCGGTCTACAGTCTCGCAAGCGTCACATGACGGTGAAACTCAGGGCTTTTGTCCTCGTAACAACACAGGTGTTCTGGCAGCAAGGACACACGAGCACAGCATAGACAGCACTGGCTCTCGACGTCCAGCTCGTAGTGGTAATCAGCCGCCAAGCTGCTCTTCCCTGAATCTGCTGCCATCAACGCCTAAAACTCCACAATTTCATGTCGGTGGCCGAGCTCGTGCTCAATTCGGCGATAACCATTACCACAAAAGCTCCACCATGAATGCGACCTTTGTAGGTGAGACTCAAGCCTCAGGTAAGCCATTGTACGCATTTCTACATCAAACGATGTACTACCGAGATGCTAGCTCTAGTCTTCCATTTCGTTTTTCCCCTTTTCTCCTACTAAATCTTGTTTACTTTTTGAATGGTCCACTGCTAACTCAAGTATCAGTAGCAGATGAACTCCTGCTCACTACATGGATCGGCACTGATCCGAGGACAGATGGGATGCGAAAACCCGTCGTCTCGGGAACTTGCCAATGGTTGTGCAGGAAGCCTTTATGGGGTCTCTGGCTTAATGGGGGTCTTCCGGCACCTTTCCTCATTACTGGAGCTTCAGGGTCAGGTAAAAGCTCTCTTGTCAGCTTCGTGGTACAGGAATTAGCAACATCGTCTCCACAGCCTGTCCTGTACTACTCCTTTAGTGAGACGTGGGGTCCGGCCTACTGCTCATTAGAACAATGCCTGATCAGCATTCTTGTCCAGATTCGTCCTCACGATTGCGGTACGGCACGAAGCGCCGTTCGAGACTTGCTAGGGAAAAAAAAAGCTCACTACCCAGATATACATCATTGTCCGTACCCAGAATTGCTAGGGCTTGTCGAACAAGTTCTTAAACACTACCCTGCCTACTGCTTAATAATTGACGGACTGGACAGCTGCGTAACGGACCGACCATCATTCTACCAATTTCTGACGAATGTCAGTGCTAGGAACACGGTGGCTGTCATGGCAACATGCAGGAATGCTGAATCTTTAGGGTCTTGTGCTAAACCCACGCTAGACTTGGAAACTTGTGTTGAAGAAAGGCGCCAGGATCTCGAAATCTTTGTGAGGCACGCAGTCAGAAGACAGATGGATGTGGAACCCGAGCAGCATCCAACATGGTTACAGACAATCGTCCACAATACCCTAGCTCACAGCCAAGACAGCTTTCTGCATGCAAAGTTGCTCGTTGATCTCTTCCATGATCGGAGCACTCTTCGGGAGATCTTAGAAGTCATCAGCCGTGCAGGGCGCTGCTACAACGCGTACTACGAACAAATTCTGCAGTCCAGCGACGCAAAACTGAGAGATTCACTGAGCAGGATCGAGCGGCGACAGAACATCTTGCGTCTGTTGGCTGTCGCCCAAGAACCCTTGACCTTAAAGCAAATAAACGAGTTCCTGGCGGCGAAGGATGATGTATTGATGAGCAATGAGGATGACTTCGTTCTCAATATCGCCAAGGAGGTCGAAGAGCTTTGTGGGTCGTTCGTCACTATCGCGAGTTCGCATCGAGTTACGTTCTTTCACGCTACAGCCAAGGACTTCTTTGTCAAGCGCTTTTGGGCTGCGGGTGACGAAGCGAATTTATATCTTGCTAGAAAGTGCCTCTATGTGCTTAGCCAACCGTCATACCGGCACCCCGACACAGCAGCAAAACTTCTTCGTCAGCATTTGATGCCACGCGAGCTCAAGAGCGCTAATCTCGATGACGACTCGCCTTCACCAGCTTATCGATATGCCGCATTGTACTTCTACAGACACGTTACAACGCTATCATCTCCTCCTTCAGATCTTGTGTCGAGGTTAGGTCGATTCCTACAGGGCACTGAATTTGTGACCTGGTCTGAGTTTACATTCGAATTCAAGCCCCAAAATGGTTTCGGCACCCAGATAGATGCTCAGAGTTCGTTGTCCAAGTGGTCAGCGACCTTGCCTCCAGCTGATCAACGGGATATTCAAATGGACCAGTACTTTGTGACTGCTCATATATTGTTATCTTCGATTCTTGGAGACGACTCGAACAACGGAGTACTGCAATACCTCCCTCGTATGCGGCTCGGCGACTTTCTCAATGCTGCGGGACAATCGATGAAGGATTTGGAGGATGCCTACAAGCAGAAACAGATAGTCTTTAACGGTCTTTCTGCTCTCCTGCCAGAGAAGGACCCATTTTTGCTGCAGGCAAAGGCGTCCTTGCTGCAAGAGTACTTCTGGCAAAAGCGCTATTCAGAAGCGTTGCACAAGTTGCGGCGACTTTATGAACTCCAAAAGGAAGTTGACGGGATTTCTCCAGATGCCAGATTCGTGACAGCATGGATGATAGCCGCTGCCCTTATCGCACTTGGCCAGTATGCCGAGGCCGAGACAATCATATCAGAGACATTAGAACAGGTAAGAGAATTGTACACTGAGAAGTATAGATTCTTCAACACGTTGCTCCTGCTCGACGGCACACGACTCGAACGCGTCAACGATCTGGTCAAGGCGGCTGCTACGTACTCTGCTGCACTAGAGACAATGACAGAGATATCGGGTCCCGATAACACATTTGTATACATTCTAAGAACTGCCCTTGGGGCTGTGCAACGAAAACGGGGCGACTATGTCCTCGCGGAAGAGAACCTCCTCAAGGGTTGGGGTGGGCGACAAATTACCTCTAACATTAGCGTCAATGCCTGTCTCGATGCAGCGCTTCAACTAGCAGCGCTATATCGAGACAAGGGTGATACGGCGGAGTGTTTGAAACTTTTGGACTCGGTTCACAGGTCAACCGTTTTCGAAGATGATTTCGAGCGAAACTGCCAATTGGTCCATATCCGCAATTTAGCACGATTTGAAGAAGGCGAATATGCTACCGCAAAACATTCCCTCATTGAGCTGGTCAACTCAGCGACTGGCAAAGATCGGGAGAGAAACAACCGTGAACTGCTCTGGGTCCGTATCGACCTGGCTGACGTGATGCGCCAACACGGCGATGAGGCTGGCGAGGCCTTGATGCTATTCTCCGAACTTGTCATCCCAATCACCCCAACAGAAATACAGGACGAGCCGGAAATGCCAGCGCAGCTTGAGATTGCAGAGCGAGCTTTGCGACTAGTTCGAAATGCTCAATTTGCCGAAAGCGAAGATCTACTTCAACGGGAAGGACTTCGCTGGTTACGACCAGCTGACTTTTACTTTCTGATCCAGGGCGGTCCTGCCTTGGACACTTCTGTCATTGCACCTGTCAAAATAGGCGAAGCAAAACAGATAGCCTGAGCAATGGATCAGCCTTGACGGATTGCATTGCTGAACGTCGTACTTGAAAATGTTATGGGAGGCAGTGCTGTGTATACAAACACACACGGCTATCGAGCCGCTCGAATTTTAAGCAGTACACGCTCGCTGACATGTTTCGGCGATCATTGAGCGGAGACATAGCCAGCCAATCATTATTTTGGCTTCATCATAATGACGCCGAATTCGAGAAGCACCACTGATTGTTCAAGGAGGGAAGGAAGGTTACAATCTGCATTCGCGATTGCTCAAATCCAGAACAAGACTGACTACAAAATTTACAAACAAAGCAAGCACTCGCGTTATCTCCAGGCAAAACACACCATGGCACCTCGCGAATACCCACCAGCCGTCATGATGACAAAGCAGACACCAGAAGAACAAGCAAACATCGACCTATGTAAAGAATACATGGCAATCGCCTATTCCCCAACTGAAAACACAGGAGCCGACTCAGTAAAGCACCTCTGCCACCCCGACTCCTGGTTCTGGGCACCAGCAACCTTTCCAGGAGCCGAAACACCTCAGGACTACGCTCAATCCCACAGCGTCGTCATGCAATCCGTGTCAGATCTGCACATCATCCGCTTCGATCAGGCATGGGCCAAGGATACTCACGTCCTGCTTCGATACACAGCTGAAGGCAGCCATTGCGGAAAGCCGTATAAAGGTATCGAGAAAACTGGCCGACACGCGACTTGGGCTGCTGCTGCGATATTTGAGGTTAAAGATGGTAAGATCTATAGCTTCACCAAGGACTGGGATCAGAAGACTATGCAGATCCAGCTAGGTTGGGCGCCTGTGAACGATAGTGATGATCCGAGGTGGAATGCTGAGGCGTTGGGGGACTTTGAGGGATCGAGAAGGAAAAAGGAATAACTTTTGACGACGTGATGATGGTGGCGGCGTGTATGGTTGTCGGTTTCTTGCTCATGTTGGAAATTTTATTCTTTGCTTCACCCGAACTAAAAGGATGGTATGCCGCAACACAGTGTAATTTTTCCTAGTCAAGCCTCTCGGTATACGAAGTTTTGTCCTCATTGAGCAGCACCTTGCCCTTCGTCCTATGCTATTGTTTTGGAGTCAAGGAGGATGCCCAGTACGGTGGGTTAGCACAAGCTTCACAGCAAATTACGAAAGCACGGGTAAGCATAGACTGCTAGAAATCTCAATGAAGGCAACAAGGAACCAGAAAAGACACCGAAAACAACTCTTCCATTGACCCATTGCAGTCTTCAACTGCTCTACAAGAATCGAACTTGTGATAGCTGTGGCCTCTTAACCACAGAAAACTCTCCTTATCTTCCCATCTCAAAGTGACTGGTTTCCTCTCACATCCTTCTCATCGTGTCGTGCCCCTTTTCCTCTCTCCTCTTGTCCCACTGACAAAGATGTGATGCTGTTTAAAGCCACATCGTAAACTCTCGTCTTCTTGCTGTCTCCGCTGCCCCTGCTGCCCCTGCTGCCCCTGCTGAACCTGCTTCCCCAGCTGCCCCATCTGCCCCAGCTGACCCTGCTGCCCCTGCTGCCCCCGCTGCCCCTGCTGCCCCCGCTGCAGCTACTCCAGCGCCTTCTTCTTCCACGCGATCAACTCGTGGTCGGGTGACTCGTCGTCACCCATGTAGGCCTTCCAGGCCGAAAAGGGTTCGCCCTTGTACTTGGGCTCTGGCATCTCGGCCAGTTTGGGAGTTTCTTCTCCCGAATTTTTCGACTCAGATGAGTCGGAGGACGTCTTGGTGGCTTCTGAGGCCTTGGTAGTGGTGGTGGTGGTGGTGGTGGAGGAGGAGGAGGAGGAGGTGCCCATTGGGCTCTTGCTTGCCTTCTGGTTTGACGAAGGTTGCTCCATTGTAGAGACAACCCAGAAGGATATTCAGGAAAAGAAGACTTTTAGCACACCGGAGTGAAGGAATTTGTTTATCAACAACATGTGCAAAAACGCCAAGCAATTTGCGAACTGTCCTGCTGTACATTGACCAGCCTTGCGTGACGTTCGGCCTAGGGGACTGACGCCGCTGCCTTTAGGCAAGAACATTCGATGGGCACAACGATAGCAGTATCGAGAACGGTAGCCCTTGCCTGTACAGATTGGTTCGAGCTGGTTCTCACTGCTGTCGAAGTACATTCCTGTAAGATCACTTTCAGCGAGTCCCGTGTAATCGTATACGCAACCACAGCCGCACTCGATTGCAAAGCTCACAGCAACATCCTCCTAATATGCGTTCGGGACGTTCGACAACGCAACCTCAGGCAAACCTCATCGTGGCGCGGCCGAAGAAGAAGCTGGCACAAATGCATTCGCTTAGCCGAGCGTTAGCAACACTCTCAAAAGGGGCAAAACTAAGACCGTTCTCAGTATACAGCAGATCTTTGTCCGCCTTTCCCTTGAGTAGACCGGTCTGCTTCAATAAGCGGTGTTGGCGGAAGCGCAAAGAGATGGTATCACAATCTGAGGTCCTTGTCGCTAGTGGTGACTGGAAAGCATGGATAACACCACGAAGAAATCTCTCCTGATTGTCTAAATGTCCAGGCTGGTCTCTTGCAAAGATCAATACAAAGAAGGCCTGTCGTGAGGGCTGTCCCACAGTGCTGAAAGAGTTTGTTGTCCTAATATCCAAGATTTCCTGAACAGTCTCCCAGAGATCTAGTCCAGAACATATGGCAGTACCAACGACCATGGCTGGCTGACTTCGAAGACGTAATCTAGCTCGTTCTGCTCTCAAGGATCTGGCTCACAAGTTACGACACAAGCCTTCAGCATGGAGGAGAACAGTCGAAGGAGTCAACAAGCAGCACACGACATTAAGGTGCTCAACCACATCCTGTTGGCTTCGATACAGGAAAACTCGAGACATTTCACCTTGTGATAGATCACATATTCAGGCTCGGGCAAACTATATCAGGAGTCTGCCGGGTTGATACCTGCCATCTTTGGGCCTGACGGCCAAGATTTTCAGACACGTTGGTTGCGATTAATATGGCTTAAGACCTTGCTGTCAATGTGTCTGTCGCTCGTATGGCATATGCTCGTGTGATAGATAGTCGAGACAACGATGGGTGTCCTTGCTATAGGTTGTGTCGCCCATGGTAGTGAGCTTCATGTCCTGGATGAGGCACTTCCTCAAGACAAGCGCTGCTGGCAACTGGGACCCGTTGAGCACGAACCGACGTCGTCCTCTTGGGTGCTTACAGCCACTTGCCATTGCACATATTGGCCGAATCATACTCGAATCGGCAGCATGATTGCGGCTAATAGCTGAATGCATGCCGATCATTGAGCGCAGTCTTCATTCCGTATGAGTGATGGCATTGGGTAGACTGAACATCTGCCATGGATCAAGAGTGCATCATTCATCTACGTGCAGTATTGTGTCGCTGGGGAGCGTGAGACTTGATAGTTAGGTATTGTTTGCATATGCAATCCAGAACGACGACTCGGATGTGGTGGTGCTATTCTTTCTCGACACCAATTTGAAGGCAGATGAAGCTCTCACAGGAACAGCCTCTGGTGGAAAGATGACTTAACATCAGGCCAGCGTCGCTGACTCGGTCAAGGCTCCTTCGTGTACTGCTTCTGAGGCTCTTGAGCACATGGTAATTGTGCGTGATGTCTTTGCCATTCTTGTTCAGCAGGACATAGCTGCCGCATGCTTCTGCAGGTCTTGCAATTAGAAGTCAGGTTCAGGGAGAGGCCAATCGGGCATTCATGCCATGGTAGGTTGGTCGAATGTCGCGCTTGCTCTGAAGCTCGACCAATAAGTGTCGGACGGCTTGCAAGGCCTGTGATACACATGCACTGTAAGGCCAGGTAGGGGTCAATGAGTGTATTGTACTAAAGCTAGAGAGTCTTTCGGGTATTGGGAGGCACAATAGCTAAGTACTTCCTGTCATATGGATTGGCCAAGTGAAACAGGACAGTCCCGGCGTCTGAGACGACTGGATCTCGGACTTCGTTCATGTTATCGGAAGGTGCATAGGTCGCCCTTCGAGTCCAAAGACTGGCGTGTCGAAGAACATCAAGGCTAATCGGCTGTATGTAAGCAAGATAATTGGTGACATTACCATTTTGCTCGATACAAGAAAAGCAAGAAGTGGTGGAGGGGCATGTCGGAACGTCGCGACATGGGTGCGCTAGAGGCTTAGCTTTGGAGATGGCTGCGCCTATTATAAATGAAGTCGGTCATCATGCATCTTATGAGTACGAGTACAAACCTTTCACAACGGATGTTCAATGCTGTGATATCCAACGCGGCTCACTTGGTGCAGTCTGTTACACAACAATGTGAATGTGATGGCGCAGGAAGACGCGAACTACACTTGGACAAGCCGAACTCGTGTGCAGCTCTGCAACATTTGTGCTTCTGATTACTCGAGCTGTCTCCCAGGCCAAGCAGCCTACCTTGATGTCTACATTGCTATCTAACTGCCTACAATTGATATGACCTCGATAGAGGTATCTTCAACTCGCATGCTCACTATTAGTAGAGGGTGTATCGCTCTCGATCAGTTCAACAACAAACTGGCAGCTAGTGCGGGACATTCGGAAAACAGGAAACTACAAGCTGCATGGTTACTGATGATTCAGGCTGTCGTACCGCTGACCAAAGGAAAGAGATCGCTCATAGAGCAAAAGTAAGTAATGTTCGTTCCTTAGAGATTCTCTTACTATGCTTTAGTACATCTACGGAATGAGAACGCGAAGCTTTCAGAGCACTGTGGCTAGCCGCGTTGAGAAGTCGGCAAGAGGACTTAAGACCTGAAAGAGATGATACTACAGACAAGCCAGACACGGAATCGAGCAGACCTGCCCCAGAGATCTATCCTGGTTCAGTTACGCTCACAAAAGCAACGGAGAAGACATCCGAAAAGCGAATGGCATACTGCTACGGCACGAGTGGACACAGAAGTCAGAGATCAAGCACGAGATCAAGTCTGATCACAAGCCCAATTGGAGGCGATGATCGATCACATCTGACACATGTCCTGTGGCCATGGATGAATACAGCTTGCTTTATGTTCCCCTTCTACTTTGACTCGACTCATACCAGACTCAAATTACTGTCGCCAGAATTACGACTTGCTAACAATATCCGCTAGTCAAGTGAGGTAGATCTGCAGGAATTCCATAGTCGAGAACTCTACCACGAGTTTGTTGCTGCTACATTAGCTACTCGTCAACTACAGAACCAGAGAAAAATATTTTAGTGTCGTGCTGTGCAGCAGATACAATCCAATACTTTACAAGCTGACGTTCTACAGGATATTCCTTTCAAGGAACAATATGGTATTAGCACCTCCGCAGGTTTGAGCATTAGAAATGAGGAAAAGACTGAAAGGGGGTATACACGCATTATGAGAAGTGCTTTGAAAGGCAGGTGAAAACAGAATGCTTTCGTGGGCTTGCATAAGAAAGGACTGTGTAGGCTTTTATCAGTAGAACATGCTCTTACACAGTGCTACGCCCCTGTAGGCTAGTGCAATATGGTATTCTAATCAAGTTCTGAAGCTCCTGAATCACACAACAGACCAACCCGGTATTTGTGAGTTCGTCTTTGACCCAGCAACAAATCATCTTAACCCCTTTTCTGTATTGACCATCTAGACACCGATTTCCTTCTTGTTTGCAACAGTTATTCTGTGTCCTTGCGTTCTCATTATACCATAGAGCGTGACAGAGGCTAGGCAAGGGCGTGGAGATCTGCTACCGTAGCGCAGTCAGCAGCTTCTGTCCTGAGGACTAAGAGTTGGTCCTAAATCGTTGTGTGAAAGGTTGGGTCTTAAAATTTCAAAAACAGTAGTCTCGTTCAAGGGCTGATGCCTGTAGAAATCATGCGAGATAGCTCTGACTAGAATGAGCACCCAGTTGGCTGTGTATATCCGTTCGGAGCATACAGAGCTTATGGTCTTATCGTCAGCGCCAAAGACAGTCCTCAGAAGCCAGATTTACTTCCAGCCCCAATGTAAATCATCACAATTGCGCTGGAAAAGGACTGTCACATAGCACTTTCTCGAGCTCACTGGACCTCGTAGATAAGCGGTCAACTCTTGTCCTCCGTTGAGTCAAGAGGAGCCCGTCCGACTTACGGAAACAGTGGTTGCTGAGTGACAGCAGTTTCTGGCGTTCACAAACACTTCACTTTTAGCTTGCACACAAAACAAATCTTGAAATTGATCGATCAACCTTGCCCCACCCTGGACTATTTCTTTCGTTGCAAGATCTTCCCTTCTCTTCTTTTCTTCTTCTTCCTTCCAGCCTCAAGATGTCTCGTACATTGTACGAGTACATGTCGGATCGCTTCTGGTGGGCGATCCAGGACGCCTGCACCGAGGCGGACCTCAAAGAAGAGCACATCAACGAGTTGCTCACAGGTGAGTATTTCCACAAACCCGTATCGGTTCCCACGAAGAATCGTCTACGAGTTTGACCGATACATTTTTTCCGAGCTAACATTGGACAGCATACGAAGGCCAGCCCCTCGAAGCCGCCCAAGCTATCATCGACAGTGGCAGGCTGAACGCCGAGGAGATCGACTCCCTCGCTCGACCGGTCCTCGAATGCCTGCAGCGAGCAACGAGGACGCCGGTAGCCAACCAGGCTGCCGCAGAGATAGAGGGAGGAATCTACCTCATGGAACTAGAGACACTATGTGTCACACTTTTCGCCTCGTTGGAAGAACGAGAAATCTCTTGGGTCTGTTGGATCTTGCTTCACTTCGGCATTGTAAGTCTGAACCCAACCTGAACCCGAACCAACGCTGACATGCTTGATTTCACAGCCACTTGCTATTCAGACGTTCGAAGAAGTGGAGGATGCTCGGGCAACCATGAAGCTGGTGAGATGGTCGGATTCATTGTGAGCAGGTTATTCTGGGCTCGGCGCGTCGTTCAGAGCCATCTGGCGCCATAGCAGCTTTCTTTTGGGCATGGGATATGGACAGGGATAGTTCAAGCCAGGTAGCTTCATCGTACACCTGGCACAAGGGAGTCAGTTGGACTCGAATCAAGGAATGCTGTCCAATATCGATTTCGAATATTGCCCTTCTTTGTGTGTTGTTTACGCGTTTTTCGGCAAGCATGCAATGTGCTTCGTAGTAGTGACTTCACTTTCCAGATTGTGAGTACCTCGTTGGTATTAAGCAGTTGTCCATTGTTCCTTCCGATACAAATCGAAAGCGATAAGTCAGCATTCCGCCTCAGGACCTTCCGAGCCTGCTTTCGAGCTCAAGCGTAGTTAGCGTGCAGTGTGCAGATCTCCCGTGAATCCAGGAACAGTTCTCTCCAAACGCGCTGAGGAGATCCGGACGCCGGTTGCTTAGCTTCGTCCTTCGGTGTCCATGGTGTACTTCATCCGAGTCTAACAACAATACTCCTTGGCCAATCAAGATGCATCGATTCCATCCAAATGCAAACTCTTGCAACGCACCGATCGAGTCTATGTACGACTGTCCTTCCGCACCGCATCCCACGAAGATGGGGACACCAGTATAGAATTATGGCAACGCATACAAGAAGCATACACAACTAGCGTCTGTGGGCTCAAGAGGGCTTATGAGATACCCAGGAGTGATGGCCACATCAGCTGGGACCCCCTGTGGTGCGATTGTGTGAGAGGTCGGCAAACACCGAACTGACCATATCTTCCGAAATTGCGGTCAGCTGGACAAGCCATCCTGGTTCAACGCGAAAGCACCCCAGAGCAGCATGCGCAAAGACACCAGTCTGACCTGGCAGGATATATACTCTGATGGGAAGAAGAGAAAACAACCCGTCCCAAACACAGGCGGTAAAAGCGAGGAGTGTGCATCATGTACCCCAGTCCTTCACATAAGACAGCCAGCAAGCGAAATTACTCTTGAAGAGTATGAGTGTCAGATAACACGTCAAATATCTCCATGAGACCTGCCCACAAGGCTAGATGTGTTCAAAGCTGCTTGACAATCTTTGGTATCGGTATGGTTCGCTGGCCAGATCAGGCCAGCATCACGTAGAAGTGTTGCGTAACAAGCTTATGTGACCACAGTTCGGTACCGACAGAGCTCACCGATACTTCTGGCTTTTGAAAGAGCATTTGCTCATGTACATACGCCCTCGTAAGTAGAGGCCATACTTTCTCGGTCTAGGATACATCGTCTGTATTCCTGCTGACAGGAGATGTGGCTCTCTTTTCTCAACAGCACGCCTTTGGCATTCTACTCACCGAATATTGATGCCAGGGCGAGATGAGCCGTAACCTCAAAATTCAGGTCTTCTAGAGCTCGATTCTGAACCACATCCAATGGCCAACTTGAAATCGTCTTCACGAACTTACCAGTACCTGATCGTGAGTCAATATGGAAGCAACCATTGAGGCTCACCTGGCGCCGGGCGTTATGGTCGTGTCGGAAGCTGATGCAAATCAATCTCGTGCCATACTTACTCCTTTATCGTGCTTCAACCATGGTATCAGTTGACTGGTCAAGCACTACACGGTTTGATGACGTTCTTCCAGGAAGGAGGGCAACCCACTTTGCTAATACTCATTAAGACTGTAAGCATGGTCGTGGAAGCACTCTGGAGCCGCTCATGGCGGTCATTATGCACGTCCAGCTCTTCTTTAGCGCTGGAACACTAGAGGATCCTGGATTGCATCCACATGCGATGGCGAGTCCATGTCTAGTCGCCCGGACGTGCGTGATTTTTGTTGTCTACAACCCGCCGTGCTGGAGCCAGTGATGCTGCCCACTTCCAGTCTTCATGTCTGAATCTGCGGAAAAGTCTCCCCCATGACCAGTGCTCAGGCCTGAGTGGTGCCTCAACATGGAGTGGTCCATGACATCTCCCTCGCCCCCAACCGGCTTTTGTTTGTGTGCATGCTGGAAATATTATACGAAGAGGCCACCACTTCACACGAGCTTGAAGCTCCAAGTATGAATACAGTTTTTTATATGATCTGAGCCTCTCTTGACCCATCTTGGTGTCGGCAGCTTGCGGCTGCGGTGGTCTCGACGCTGGCCTTGCCTGCTAGACCCTTGGTTCCAGCATTTCTGAACAGTTTGGATATCGTATTGTCATACCGAGATCGATATAGCCACCATGCTAAGTCAGCTACTGCATGGCCTGGGCAACCCACGAGGAGGAAGCTGTGTAGAGAAACCATCATTGGCGATGTTCTTGTCTCTACCATGGGTATGTCGTCGCGAGGCTCAAGGCTCAAGGCGCAAGGCCTGGTCATGGTGTTCTCGTCAATCAACGAAACCTTCACTGCATAGGCTGGATATGTGCTGATGTGAGTTGGAGGGAATTGTTGTCCTGGGCCCTGCCTCTTCTCCGTACAATTGTGGTATTCCCATTCTTCAGTTGCGACGAAGTCCTTATCCTCGTGTGGTTACTCGGGTCTCTTTCTTGCGCTCGGAAGGGTTTGTGGTGTTGCTACTAGCTATGCACCAGATGAGCTAGAACAACGACCAATTCTGTCCAGACTGTGACGGTATTATGTTGATTCTAATCTCTGAATGTTCGTCAAGGCTGGGGCAGAGATGTTGAGAAAGCTACTTCACTCCGGAAGCGGTCGAGCCGTCCACTCCTATCTATTGTTTCCTAATATGGTGATAGTCCTCATGGCCCCCAGACTCTATCGACCAGGCAGAGTTGGAACGATGGGTCTAGTACACAGATGCAACACGCAAATACTCGGTCTTGTCTGCTGCTAAGGATCTAATCGCCTGGAAAGGACATAGCAGAGCGCCTGGTGGATCCCTGTCGAGGCTCTGAGCATGGTCGGCTTACACCCTAGATGTCTCAGCAATGTCCGAAGGAATCATTGACCTTCAGGCCGTGCACCGGCATTTCGAGAGAGTTGTCATACAATCTGCCTGCCGTCGAATCTTAGGTCTTGGCAAGGACTCAGCTGTTCGGATTAATCTTTCGCACTTCTACTCTGCACGATCCTCACTCTTGGCTACACTTTCTAAGCTACGATTTTGTCTCTCTCCTCCAGGCAGTTCAGACAGCATGGCTCCGTTGACGCGAAGCAGAAAGCGAGGTATGTATCATTGTCCAGTTCAAGGCAGACGTGTACTAAGCAGTGCAATAAAGCTCGACAACCTTGCTGCGCAAAACAAGCGAGCGAAGCACAATGGTGAGTCAACTCACAACGAGCTTAGAACATTACCTGATCTAGACAATAGACGACGAAGAGTCTGAATCCTCCGATTCAGCGCCACTGCACCCTCTCCATCCTGATCTGAATGGGTCACCGAGGACAGAACCACGAAGTATGTATCATCACAAAGTAATTGAGTTGGATCTGTACTAAGTAATCACAGAGCCCAGAGCCCCAACTGGTCGAAACGAGGGAGCAGAACAGAATGGTGAGTCAACTCATAACGAGCACGAAATGTTATCTAACCCAGATAGACGATGAGGAGTTTGAGTTGCCACTCGAGCCAGTCCATCCTGACCTAGGAGGGCCTATCCCGGAATGGCCGCCAGGACCAGGCTCGGAATATAACTCTTGCGCTACAAGTTACCAATGTCTGTGTGGCCAACATTGTCAGCTGCAGTAAGACGTGCCTTCATAATGCGTGATATAGCGCAATACCGCGAATTTAGGAGGAAGGATGTAGCCGCTTACCACACATACTGGATGGAGCGACTGGAGGAGGAGGAGGAGGAGGAGGAGCTCAGGCAGCACTACAAGAACTTGAGGCGGGAGCGTGAGAAGCAGCAGAAGGAGCGGGAGAAGCAGGAGACGGTGAGAGAGGAACAGAGTGAGGATGAGGGGAACAATGACGAGTAACGATCAAGAAATCGGGGATCTGCAGATTTCTGGTCAATGTTGTTCTCCTCTCATTCTTTGGTCACATTCGTCGTTCTCTACTTACCAGGATGTTGCGTGTGAATTGTGTACGCTCGGATCACCTTTGGCTTGTCTGGCTATTTATGTTCTGTCATACTGATGGCAGATTGAACAAATACAGGGAGGAAGCAGGAAGTGATCGAAAGCAACACCGGCGCAGGAAAAGAAGAGGCATTAGTTGTCCGAAAGCATATATAGCTGAGCGGCATGCACAGTGAAACTGCCACACAACTGGGCTCATCTTTCTATCGAGGCTCAACTGATGTAGCACTGGCATCCTACTTACTCCGTATGCGCCACAAACAAACGTCATACCACTTGCAAGAAGTGTAGCCGACCATGTCCGGTCTTGTACATATCAATCACCCATCTTCGGTTGACACGGCCTGGAGATGCGTTCGTTAGGAACATGGAAGATGTCTCTACGAACGGATCAGCATTGCATCCGGAGCATGGATGCTCGTGATTGGCCAGGGTTGTGCTGCAAGGGACGCGCCACTGCGTTAACTCATTTGTAATCTGCATTTGAGTTTCAAGCTTGTGCCTGAAAAGCAGGAGTCAGAGGGTGAGCCATGCTTCTTTCAGTATGGTCGTGGTTTCAATGGAGATTTGTTGCTGGCTGCCCAGGTGAATCTGGGGTTGTGGTAGATGATCTGAGCTTCTCGCCGCTCTTGAGCCTCTTCTCGTCTATGTCTCCATCCTCATCCTCCAGACTCGCCCTGTGCTGTCAATTGCGACAACATCCTACCATCGACGACATGCTGTAGCCTGCTAGCGGGCACGTATTGCCATCTTCTGATCTTCATCAATCACACTCATTTGACCATTCTTGTGGTGGTGCTGTGCACGACTGCTTTTCACTCTTTGACCTCGAGCGCAGTATACTAAGAGCTACTGCTACGAACCCTGTTCTTGAAGCCTCTCAAACATTGCGCGAAACATGAAGATCTTCCTGGCCCTTTTTGCGACCGTCCATTTCCTCTCCTTCCTGGTCACGGCACATCCGTTCGTTATCGTCAAACCACAGATCACGCAAGGCGCTGTGCGGTATCCTCAAACAACGAACCATCATTATAAGCGGCAAGGATTACTTGACAGTTTGGAAAGCGCAGCAAATAGCTTGCTTGGAGTTGGAGGCCAGACAACCACTTCGTCGAGCAAGAAAAACGAGAAGACGACTTCCTCAGCCTCCCTCAAGACCTTGGTTGCACCAGCCGTAGCCTCCACCACAATTTCCACGCAGTCTCCACGCACTACCTCTACAAAGGACAGCGATGACGACGACCACCACGATAATAACGAGCCTTCAACAAGCACAGAATCAAGTACCTCGACAACGGATGTGTCCGCAACCACTACTGAATCCAGCACAACAACTCAATCGGAATCCACGATCAGCTCAACGACAACCGCCCTGCCGGCGTCCACTACTTCAACATCTCAGCCTGCACCATCAACCTCAGTAACCGCGACACCAACAGCATCAGCAAGCATATCCAACGACTCGGGCGATCGCGTTCCACCCGCCGGCATAGCCGTTGCAGTCATAATGTCCTTGCTGATCCTCGCGCTCACAGCATGGCTCATCTTCAAATACCACCCGAAGTGTCAGGCCTGGTGGACAGCCCGACAAGAGCGCCAATACCGAGAAAGAAGTCATCGTGATGCCCTCGATAGACCTACCGCCAGATCGAACAATCCCCGAGAACAAGCACTCGACAGTGGCGTATCCCGAAGAGCAACCATGCTCAAAAGTTTCTTCGCCCCAGCCACCGTCCGCCTCGGCGGAGGTCAAGAAATCAGGCGCAAACCCGTGAACTGGGGCGCGACCAGTCCAACCATGACAGGAACAGAACGAGACATCGACGCTGACGGCGAAAAGATTCCCATGACGAGCTCAGCAGCACCAATGGGTCAAATCGAGAGGTTTTCAATGTTCCCAAAGTCGAAACAGGATCGGGATCAGAATCAGAATCAGAATCAGGTGCATGAATTACCTGCAGACATGGGTACTATTACTACCTCAACACCAGCACCAATCAGCCCAGTGAGTCTGAGACCGAAGCCGAGTCTAAGTAGTTTACCGCCCGTATCGCCGCTGTCGACTCATGCACGAGGGAGATCATCGGCGGCGGCAACAGAGGCGGAATTACCCTCTCTACCACCGATACCGACCTTGCCACCTTTGACGCATGCGAAGAGGGGAAGTGATGGGGTGTTTCGTCTGAATTGAATGATGGGGAGACAAGTATGTTGACGAGGAAGAGGTGTAGTAGTGCGACAAGGTTGAAGTAGTTGAGTAGGTGGACAGATAGATACCCCCCTTTTTCTTTTAGCGTGATGTGTTTGAATGTGATTTGTGTGTTCTGCTGTAGCTGTTCGCTCATACATTTCTATACTCGCTTTGTTTGCGTCCAGTAAGGATCAAGTAATGTGCTATCTTACGAGTTGACCTCGTCTGGCTTGCATCTGGTTCTGGTACGGCGAAGTTCAAAGTGAAAGATAGTCTAAAACATGTGGTTTGGAACACTTGAAATCCGAGCTGAGTCGTATACAATTTGTTTTACACAATGAACAAGACTTGATAAAAGCAGGCTATCTAACGGGTAAGTGTTACGCTTCTCGCTCAATTCAACGACACAAAAGGACGACAGAAGTACAGGCTGCTGTACTGCTGTTTCCAACACCAGGAACCCAACCTCACATAAGTAATCTCCAAGCACCGAGGATAAGAGCAGCTGTACCCGTGCAGACACCCATCAGCCACTGTAAAGTCGAGAACTTGACAGCCTCGACTCTTTCTCTTAGGCTAGCGACTTCCTGCTCAATTCTCGCTTCCGTCTCTTTGATCCGCATATCTTGGCTGTTCGCTTCGTCCCTTATCCTTCCCTTTTCCAGGTTCAGGTCTAGACGCACACTAGCCTGAGTACGACCAATCTCGTCTCTTAATCTTGCGCTGAGTTTGGCCAGATCCGAGGATAATCTTTCGTGACTGCTTCTTGTGAGTTGGATCTCTGAGCTGTCGGCGTTGGCGAGTTCGCTCCTTAATTTAGCGAAATCGACTTTTTGCGTATATGTGGATCGTTCGGCGTCTTCTTTCAGGACCATGGTTCTTGTGAGATTCTGGATGGACTCTTCGATAACACTGTTCAGGACACGCATCATAGCGACAGCCTGAGTCTCGTTGAAGCCCTCGTCTTTTAGTCTTTGGACAAACTTGAGAGTATCGAAATGGTGGGATTTCTGGTTTGCTCGTGTTGTCGCAAACGTCCGCTTGGCAATCTGGAACGTTGTCGCATAAGTGCCGTTGTGTCGAAGTGGTGCGCCAGAACTGGTTACAGGTCTGCGGGAAGTTGTGTGTTTGACCTGTACGTGTGAAGGAGGAGTAGATCTAGGAGAGGACGGAGCTTGAAGTGTCGAGAATCTGGAGATACCCCGAGCAGGTATTGTTACTTGTAACGAAGGCGTGACGTGCCATCTTGTGCGCACTGTAAGTGGTGAGGCACATAGTTTCCGAGTCGTTGTGTGAGCGAAAGCAGATGCAGGAGCTGGCACTTTCGCGTAGATAAATCGTGGAAGTTCTATTATTGCTTTGTGGGGAGCCATGCTTGCCGAGCTGTACTGTGTCAACGATGGTAGATATTGCGTGGTCGATGCATATGGGTGTTATTGCTGTTGCTAAAACATTCTATAGGCAACCAGGTGAGTGGCACCCACTTCAGATCGTTCCTGCTCGTTTTCGTGCTGCGCCGTACCAATCCAGATTCAGGTCGTTCCTTCCTCGTGACGACGCGAACGACTACGTCATCATGTACGGCTTGACTCGAGGCCTGAACAGGTGGACATTTCGGGGCTTCACAGGGCTCAATTGTGAGTACCAGACACTTGGGCGTTCACTTCGATCATAATCCTCATTTGCGCAGACGCCGTTTATGGGTGTTGTTGTGCGCAGCAATGAGGACGAACGATTGCTGGCTTCCGCACTTGGCGCATCAATGTTAGATCATCCCCCGTTCGCTCATTTCGATCTCAATCATGGGTGTTACAGGCTTGTGGACAGTGGTGGCACCTACAGCCCGTCCAACCAAGGTCGAAACGCTCAATCGTAAGAGACTAGCTATTGATGCTTCAATATGGATCTACCAGTTCTTGAAAGCTGTTCGTGACAAGGAGGGAAATGCCCTGCGAAACTCCCATGTCGTTGGTTTCTTCCGCCGTATATGCAAACTGCTATACTTTGGCATAAAGCCAGTCTTTGTCTTCGATGGCGGCGCTCCCATTCTGAAAAGGGAGACAATTCGCAAGCGTGCGGCAAGAAGAGAGGGTAGAAGAGATGATGCTGCGCGCACAGCTGGCAAGCTGCTCGCTGTACAAGTCGCACGAGCTGCCGAAGGAGAGGCTGCGCGTCAGAAAGATGCGCGAGCTAGACCTGACGAGGAGGAGATACCTGAGGACCAAGAACTTGTCTATGTGGATGAGATTGGCATGAACCAGCAGCAACGACAAACCGGAAGAGGCTTCAAGAAACAGGATCAATACCATTTGCCCGAGCTCAATATGAGCATTGAAGAGATGGGTGCACCGAACGATCCGCGTGTCATGTCGCAGGCTGAACTCGAAACATATGCGAAGCAGTTCCACGATGGCGAAGATATCAATCTATACGATTTTTCCAAAATTGATTTCGATAGTTCTTTCTTTCAGAGTTTGCCAGCTGGTGACAAGTACAATATTCTCAATGCTGCCAGGTTGAGAAGTAGAATGAGAATGGGCTACAGTAAAGAACAACTTGATGTCATGTTTCCTGATCGCGCGGCTTTCTCAAGATTTCAGATCGAACGTGTCAAGGAACGCAACGAGCTTACTCAGCGACTCATGCACGTCAGTGGTATGGCTGAAGGTGAATGGGACATGGGCAGCAGGATCGCTGGTGAGCGAGGAAAGGAGTATGTACTTGTACCACATGATGGTGTCGAAGGTGGTTGGGCGCTTGGTGTCGTGTCGAACCGGAAGGGCTCCAAGAAAGACACTGTGATCGACCTAGATGCGCCTGATGAGGCTGATGAAGCCGGATCTGAGGACGAAGACTTTGAAGATGTTGCTATCGAGGGTATCAATAGGATACCTCAATCTTGGAAGAGGAAGAGACAACAGGTCAAAGAAGTAGATTACGACATCTCTTACGAGGAGGCGGCTGAAAGGATCGCGAAGAAGCGCAAAGCAGTTTACGAGGGTCGAAAGAAGGCTGTCGCACAGCCATCAACTACACCATCAAAAGTGGTCCCAATGAAGCCCATGATGCCCAAGCAACAGTCTACGAGTGGAGCAGACGATGATGCCCTATTTGTAGATCAAGGAAATGTGAGCGCAGAAGACGAGGACGATGTATTCGAGGATGTGACCATGACAGTGCCATTGGATGATGACCAAGACGATCTACAACGAGCAATTGCCATGTCACTTGAAAAGCCCGACGATGAGGGCGGCTTCATCGCCACGAACGATGACAAAGCAATTCTGTCAGACAACGATGACAAAGATTTTGACCTTCAAGCTGCACTGGCGGAGTCACGATCTTCGAAATATCAGCCGAAAACAAATGTCAGAGCTAGTCCACCACACCGCCCTAAGAAAGCTCCTTTCGCGGGTCCTTTACCGTTCGAGTCACTCAACTTGGGGCAATCGTTGCTCGGCAAGAAGAAAGCAAAGAAAACTGAAGAGAAACTTGCTGGCGGATTCGATCGAGAGCTTGGGGACGATGCATTCAAGAAGCCAAAGAAGGCTCAACCTGAACCACACTGGTTCAGTAATTCTGCCGAGTCTCGTCCGTTATGGGCTCAGGCCATGGATGAGACAGCAGAGGGTCAAGGGTCGAACGGAGTGGAGGACGTAGGTGATACAGAAGTTCAGCAGCAGAAAAAGCCAACGCGAGAAGTCATCGATCTCGAAGCTGATAGCATGAACGACCAGCCCGAGCCTGAATCTGTAGAAGTCCTGGAAGCAAGTAAGGATGACTGGAATGCGCTAGAGGACGAAGAGCACCTTCGGCAGCAAGAAGAGGCAGACAAGAAGGCTTTAGAAGCAGAAGAAGTCGCAGAGGCACGTCGAAAAGCACTTCAAGAAGAGCGAGAAAAGAGATACGAACTAGCTAGGCAGATCGCCGCAGACAACGAAGACCCTAAGATGGACGAGGTGGCTGACTTGACTCGTGCAGATCCTCCACCTCCATCTGGAAAGCCTACAAATATACCCACAACAAATATCGTGACGACAAACGGTGACAATTCTGAAGATGAAGAAGTGGAGTGGAGTGAGTCTGACCATGAACAGCCAGAAAAACCATCAGAAGCTATACTACCACAATCCGAAGAGCCAGCTGGTGGCCGCATGCCTGATCAGCAGACAGTCGTAGAATCTGACGACGAGGACGACACGTTCGAAGATGTTGAGAAAGCGCCATCGCCACCGCCCTTCGCGAGACGTCCTACACCTCCTTCTATCCAAAAACAGCCTTCTGCAATCGATCAAAGCATGTTCGTTGATGACGACGAAGCACAGGCAGCCGACCAAGCCTTCAACAACAACGAAGCAGCTCCTGAGACTAGTGAACCTCAACAAGACTTTTTCGAGGATGACTCAGACGAAGAACTCATGCGTCAGCTTGCCAACGAGGCAGAAGAGCACTTTCGCTTCAGTAACGAGCTCAACAATACCAGGCCAAAATCTCCAACCCAGGCTATGCGAGATTATGAAAACGAACTCAAACAACTCCGGAACCAACAGAAGAAAGATCGTCGAGATGCAGATGAGGTTACGCAAACCATGATACAGGAGTGTCAAGCTCTTCTACGACTATTTGGCTTGCCGTACATCACTGCGCCAATGGAAGCGGAGGCTCAGTGTGCAAAATTGGTACACCTAGGCCTGGTAGATGGAATTGTGACTGACGATTCGGATATCTTTCTGTTTGGTGGGACAAGAATATACAAGAATATGTTCAATGCGCAGAAGTTTGTCGAATGTTATCTCTCCGGCGATCTAGAAAAGGAATATGCTCTCGATAGAAGGAAGCTGATCCGATTCGCACATCTTCTCGGAAGCGATTATACAGAAGGCATACCTGGCATAGGTCCTGTTACTGCACTTGAAATCATATCCGACTTTCCAGATCTAGTCGACTTTAAGGAATGGACATTAAAGGTGCAACTCGGCCTCCAAACACCGAGCGTAATGGAAGGACTCCTCACAACTGCCTTCCGGCGTAAATTCAAACGTACCGTTCAACGAAAACTATTCTTACCTACAAACTTCCCAGATCTCCGAGTCGACCAAGCCTACCTCGATCCAGAAGTCGATGCGAACCCCGAAGAGTTCCAATGGGGCGTACCTGACCTCGATAAGCTGCGCAATTTCCTCATGGCAACCATCGGCTGGTCACAGGACCGGACCGATGAGATCCTAGTCCCTGTGATCCGTGATATGAACAAGCGAGACGTTGAAGGTGTACAGAGCAATATTACGAGGTTCTTTGCTGGAGGTGTTGGTGCGGGCACTGTCGTGGGCCGTGGGATTAATGGATCTACTGGTACTGGTACTGGTACTGGAGGAGCAAGCGTGGAAGGAACTGCTCCAAGGAACAGGACTGGAAAGGAGAGTGGACGCATGAAGAATGCCTATACGAGATTGAGAAGTGAGGCCGAGAAGAAGAAACGCGGCGCATTGTTAGACGAGCTTCCTGATGATGGTGTTGATGGTGATAACGAAGGGGATGTAGATTTCAAAGTTCAGAACCACGATGATCATGACGAAGAGGAAGGCGAGTCATCGTCACCTGCTGCTACCGGTAAGAAACAGAAATCAAAACACAGGGCGGCTGCTGCTAAGCCGAAAAAGCCTGGACGACAAACTGCGAAGACACGGAAGACACGCTCAAAGACTTAGAGTGCTGTGCATCAGAGGACACTTAGTACTGTGCGCGTATGCATACCCATCATCTATAATAATTATCTTTCGAGTTGAAAATTCTCATTATTAATTGCATGCATGCAACTCTCTATCGTTTGTTCTTTAACATAGTGCATGTATGTATGTGCATTCGTTGCATACCACAATAAGAGTGGTATACTTTTCTTCTTTCGAACGCCAACAATCATAGACGGACGATCAGATTATCCTCGTCATAAAAACAATATTCTCGAAAAGAAAAACTCCTAACCAAAAGCCTTGAACTTTTCTTTGTTTCTCTCTCTCTCTCTCTCTCACTGTCGAAAGGTCATCACAGGCCATTAAACCCATTTCCTGTAGCTTTGTTCCCCAAAGCCCCCCAAAAAGGAGAAGAAAAAGGCGGTGCGTGCTTGTTCACCTTTGCACTGATGCCTTACCCTGACCTTGAATCCATAGTCCCAAATCGTGAGGAGGATATCAATACACGCTTTTTTTGCGCCAAAACGTCCTCAAAGTTCGACTGTTGCCGCCCATCATGCAAACATGAAAGATTCGTTAGTGAAAAATAATGCCTCTTTTCTCCGTGTCCTGCCGTAAAACCAATCACGGCTGTTTTTACAAATATGTCGCCATCTTGCTCTGTGCCTGTGGCAAAGTGTTTATACCACGGCAGCCAAAGTCATGGGTGAACTGAATGGAGCATGGTGTTGTTGTGGACCCGAATCGTCAAGATAGCTATGTGCACTTCTGCTCTTGGGTAAGCCAGCTCTTCGAAGTGGAGGACAAGGGGATGACGACGTTGCTTGAGGTTCGGGCACTCGAAACAGCTCATTGAGTGGATGCTGCTCCTGTTTCTTGCTCTGAGGTGTTTTTTGAGGACTTATCGAAACACCCTCCGCTTTTCTTACTTCTTCCTTCAGTGCCCTTGTAATGACACCAGAGCGTACAACAAGATCTTTGAGATCTTGCGTGTCAAACGGAAGTTTTCTCTGCTTCCGAATCTCAATCTCTCGTGGTGACGACCCGGTTCCATTGCGGTTCTCATGCATGGCCTGCAGGAAATGGCGAGCTTGAGCAAGACTTTCTCCTCTGGCTCTACCATGTACAGCAGGAGTCGTCATGGTGGACACGGATCTCCGACCTGTGTTCGTCTGACGTCGAGGCCGAGCTGTGTAGATCGGCTGCTTTGTGTCTGCAGCCATGTCAGTGAACGGGTCAGATGACGCAGGTGAAGCATTAATGATGCTGGTCTCGTCGTCGTTAATAGTGGCTAGATTGATGATAGTTTCAGCATCTTCCCACAAGTTCTTGGTTCGTCCGCCAAGTAGTTGCAATTCTGCAGCCTTTGACCTTAGTCGCTTCAGTTCTTCCACCAAGGCCATAAATTCCTGCACTTGACCAAATTGGAGATGTACGCTAGGCTGCCTATCGATGATTGCTTGTGGTATCTTCACACTTCTGACTGAATCTCGGCCATTAAATGCATGTGTATCAACCAGGGGGAAATCGGCATTGTCTTCGCAGACATCGTCAAAGACAAAGTCGTCACTCCATTCTTCACTGACAGGCTTGTGTCCCAAGCGCCAGGTCTGATATTTGGACGTGACAGGTAATTCTTCGGGTGGTCCTTCGCGGTTTACAGGAACACTCTGACTTCGGAAATGCAGTTGTGGAAGACCTTTCCTTCCTGACGAACGACATCGATCACCATTCAATTGCTTACCATGTACAGTCTTTGGCCGTGCTGACTCGCTCAATTGCTGATGCTCGGACCAGTCGAAGATCGAAGGTTTGGAGATACTTGTATGATCATCCTTGTCGTCCATGTCCATCTCTTGAAATCTGGCAATCAAAGGATGTGCCGCATTGCCAGGCGAGGACATTGTATTGTGAGCATGTGTCAACTGCAGTCTGGTATTGGGAAAAGCTTCGTTCCCGGAATGCCAATCTAGCTCATCATCGTCAAATGTCATGTCATCCAGCATATCACCCACACGATCATACTCTTTAGCTTCGTGGCCAAGGGGTAAGAGTGGAGGAGAGGAGTCGATATTCACGGGATGCACCTTGAGTGGCACCGGCGTCATGCTGAAGTCCTCCGTATGAGGTGAGGCCGTTCGAGGAGGAGTTGCGATTAAAGCATCGTCAGCCGTGGATGTGGTGGAGGCGGATTTGGATACGTCGAGGGTGATGCCAATACCATGCATCCTGACATCCTGGTTGTAGAATGGAGAATCGTGCATGTGAACGTCGTCCGCTTCTCTTTGGTTGAGTGTGTTCCACAACTCTGATCGACTTTCAGTTTCATCTGATGTTCGGGCTGCAAAGATTGTCTCAAGCTTCGAGTCTCTCGGGACGTTTGAGCTGGCCGTCGTGGCCCGAGTAGCTATGGAATCGTATGCGGTATCGCTTTTGAAGTCAATGGACTCGGTGTCGGAGAAAACACGGCCATCAGCATCTGAGCTGGTCGTTGGAGGATCAGAAGCTGATAGGGAGGTTCTGGGACGGAAGGAGTCGCCTCGATCGTACCGCAAAGGGGGCGGGCTTGATGTCAAGGATGTTGAGTCTACTGATGGAGGGACATCGAAAATTAGTGGGCTTTCATGACGTCGTGGCAACATTGATGTCGTCGTTAATGCTGTTGGGCCTGCACGTACAGGCGAAATTGTGCCGTGGGCAGCGGTTCGAGTGAGTTGGACTGAAGGGTCAGTGAAGTTACGCCGCCGTGACGTGACTCTCCGAAGAGAGGATAGCGAACGTCTAAGCCTACGATCCGGGGTAGGCAGGCCATTGTAGTCTATTTGCTGCTGAGGCTCTTCACGGGTAGTATCCAGTACCTCTGCTTCATCCAGGTCTGAGCCTCTTAGAACTACTGGTTCTGCGTGAGTAGGCAGAGAGATGACTCTTATCTGACCAGCTGCCGTTGCAGTCTCTGATTTCCTTCGTTTCCTGGGAAAGTGTGTCTCGAAGAACGGACGCCATGTTTCCCTACCAGATGGTCGAGATGGTCCAGTCGAGGGTAGAGTAGAATCCTGGATGCTCTGGCGTTGTGCAAGATCACTATAGGTCGGCCTCGAAAGAATGTCCCTGAATGTTTGAGAACGTTGGTGACTGGTTGCTGGACGGCGTAAGATCTGTCCTCGTGCTTCGTCCGTTGATAAGCCTCGCTGCGAGAAGGACCTTTTTACCAGTTTGTTGGGCATCGACGTCCCACTTGTCGCAGGTCGTTGGTGTAGTGTCGACGATGTGAGAGACTCGTCGTCGTCCTGACATTTGAGAGATGGGGCTGGGCTCGCGTTGTGGGATGAGAAGGACGACAGACGCTTCATCCATCCAGAACTAGAACCTGAATCCCGATGGCTTGTGGTACTCCTGCTTGCCGATATCCTTGGACGAAGGATGGACCGTCTAGATGTCGAACTAGCTCTTGAGGAGGCCTCATCTTGAACAGGCAGCTCTCTGGTTGTCGATAACAGTCTCGACGAGGAGGAGAGGCGCTTCCAGCCGACCAGCCTAGGCAGATGAGACGGTACATCCTCGTACAGAATTGGTGTTGTCGGCTGGGACACACTTCGTCGAGGAAGGGAGGGCGCTGAGGTTGGTAGTGGGGCGACATGGGGCGACGATCCAGGTCGTTTTCGCTTGCCAGGGTGCAATGAGGGTGCGTCAATGTAGTCGTCGGCCTGGCTGACACCAAAGGCCAGGCCAGCTGCAGCTGCTCCTAACGTCCCTAGAGCGCAAAGCTGCACACCTTGTCAGCACAACGAGTCACCTGAGTCATGTAGTCTGTCACATACCGTCGCAATGTGCTCCTTTTGTTCCATCATAAACCTCGTACAGATACAGCCTGGGCTGTACCGATTTCGTGTTCATTGACTTCGTTCATTTCGTCAAAGACATGGATAGGTAGTGGAAGGGCAGGTACAGATGAGTGAATTGTATGGTGCAAACGTTGCTGTATAGTTACACGTGGCAGCGGGGAACAGTCGGTGAGGTTCGTTCGAGTCTGTAAACACTGATAGTGAAGATGTGCAGGGCAACCTGAGAGTCACCGAGTGGGAGTGGTAAAGGAGCGTCAATGAGGAAGCCTCCTCTGCTTCATGCCGATCCGACAACACGCAAAAGCACAAACTAGAACAACAGACCCGTACACAGACAGCGAGAGGTTCGGAGAAAGAGCAGAATATCAGAAATGCTAAGGTATGCACAATTCAAAGTCGTGGCAGAGTCCATCTGAGGGTGGAGGATCCTACTGGCTGCCAGGGTCTCCTCAGTCGACTGCCATCGCTTGGCCTGCTGAAACGCTTGCTTCTGTCTAAATTGGCTACCCTCCGCTCACGCCAACACTGTTTTGGTGCTAATCTACGCTTCCTACGACTGCCTAGGACTGCCTCGACTGCTACGTTCTTGATGGTCGCTGTCTGTTGACTGTCCTTGCTGCTGGTTGCCGGTCTAGAAATCAAATTCAACCGGAACAGCACTGAGCAGGATGGTCATATTGTAAAACTGCTCATCTCCCTGCGGTCACCGCACTCAAGTCCTACTGCTATTGTGACACGATAGAGGATGATCCCCAGGTCATCTCAAGTACGAGGAATGGTTGTGCAGCACGAAGACGTGCAAGCGCGAGATATACCTTTCAAAGCAGGGTAAGAGCATCGTGTGTTTCCGCTTGTTGCGAAACACTATGTGCGACAATGGAGAGGCCATCAGATGTCTAACCTTAACGAGTACTACCAACCAAGGCACTTCGCATGTTGACAAGGGCTGGCTGCTCGACTGGTCCTCAACCCTGACTGGTCGTGAGCAGTCAGCGAATTAGGATTGGCATTTCCGTTCAGATACATGGGCAGCCATGTACACCACCATGATAACGAGGATATCCCAGACATTATATCTAGGCGGCTCGATATCGTTCCGTCACAAGTGACACCACTCTGCTCTTTTTTGCCTTGCCCCGCCGATAGAGCAACCTGCCACAGAAAGCCACAGACTTCGTCGTGCAAGATCGACTCTGCCTCTTCCACGTTGGGAACATATGAAGATGCGAGGATGGAAAAGTCACTCCCACTGGGCAGCTTATCGGCTACGCCGCACTGCACATAATAAGCAGCACCGTAAGCGAGTCATGGACGAACCTGAGTCAATTTTTGTCAGACAGTGCGTGTACATGGCCGACCAGGCGCAGGCTGGCGAAAGATATGCTTCCGTTTATGCTCGCTCGCTTTGATCATCCACGTCAATCCACAAAAGATGCAGCTGTACGTAAGATTGCACCAATGACAATTCCTCTGCCGCAATGTGAGCGTGTCCAAGCCACCGAGCTATTGTATTGACAGCATGGCGAAGGAAGGATCCACATGTGCTCGTCTTTGGATACAGTAAACAACACTACTCCTGATACGGCAAGGCCAGACATTCTTGGGAAATTCCCACGACTGCCACTTTCAAAAGCTTTAATGTCGCTCATTGTGCTTGCAGCCCGCTAAACTTTACTGCTCCATCGTATACCTGCGGCCAAGCAATTACTACTTCGCTGCTGGTTCCTTGTACATTATTCAGGCAAGAGATACAGTGGGGTCGTGTCATCTTGTGCCACATCACATCAGGCACGTTGCACGTGTGCAGTTTCAATCTGTGACACAGTCAAACGGCCTGCTTTACCATCCAAAGTCGACCAAGTACTATGAGTTGTTTGTCGTACACACAGAACTCTGTCAATTTTCTGGGAAACTGTCGACCTATCACTCCCTTCTCGCAGTTGTCTCTACAGTGTCAAATTGTATGCTGATGCTTGCTAGCTACCAAGCCGATTGGCGAACGCTCATGCGGCAGATGTTTAGGGTTAAGCCAGTATCATTGGCTGTCAGCATGCGCTGCAGCGGGGATGTCGTTCTGTGAGAAACCGCAGCAGTAGCTGCGGTTTCCCGAAAACTCGGACAAGGGCTATTGTGATCCACAATTGGTTGTTTTTCCACACGCAAACTGTTTCGACCAACCGTTGAACTCAGAGATCCATTGACTCCTCATGAGCTCAGGCACTGGTTTTTTACACACGTGCCGGGTTGTATGTTGTCCAGCATCCTTGTTTAGATGGTTAAATCACCGGCACAGAGAATTGCCGGTACCAAGCACAGTCGAACAGAACGTCAATGTACAATCTGATATCTCGTCAAATCAGCCAACCCTTATCAAAACGATTGCCTGCCTGAAACTTGCGTCAGAGCGCTAGTACAGAACAGCTGTTGCTCGTACTATAGTTGGCAACGGCCTGCAATTACGCCATCGTGCGCAATAGGAGTTCTTATCAGCAGCCTAACCTAGAGGGCTGGCTGACAAATGAGACAAGAAATCCGTGATCTGGCTCGGAATAGGTAAAGAACCTGTTTTGGCCTGGAACTTTACCAGTTAAGCGCGCCGCCTAGATCTCTGCGGAGAACTTTGGCACCATTCACGCGTCTTCAGGTCCCAACGCGGTCGAACGCTTCGTTCTTCGCTCACCTCAAGAATTCGGTAAACAACACTGTCACCAGACCGGAAACACGTCCGACGGTAGCGTTGCCTATCCATGGACTTCTGTGCCGACGATTCCGCGTACTAGGATCATGCTCCAAGAAGGTAAACAAGCTATTGAATGAGGAACACTTGGATTCATTCATAATTGTGCCAATGCCATGCCGAAGCAAATCGATATGTGAGCATGCTTGGCACCATTGCAAAGTATGTGTTCTTCTCAACAACGTGGAAAGCAGGTAGGACACAAAACAGAACACTTTGTTGAGTATACGCATCCCATCAGTGCGGTATAGATCTGGCGGGGTAGTATGCAAGTAACGACGTATGTAGATGCTCGACTATCTACTTTGTACAGGATTTGATGGAGTTACTTCTGCACCCATGCTAGCGCCATACTCCCACGGTACAGCGTCTCGAGCTGCAGCAATAATGCAAAGCTTCACCTTCGCTTGCTCGAACATCTCCTGCTATCAGCTGCACAACAATCCTGCTCGGCTCTAGCTGGGTTGCAATCGGAAAGTTGGTATCTAATTGTCTTGAGCACCGACTTCTAAGCGATCGAACGCTTCTCCTTCCAGGGTTGTGGGAACCTGGTTCCTTGAGTCGGCAGTGCCATTGGATGACATTATCGATCTCTTGCTAAGACCATCCACGAAGCAGATGTTGTGTACCTGAGGTTTTCAGCTTCACTGGTACTCCAAACTGTTGTGAGATGCTCTGTACCAGATGCCAGTGTTGAACGATCTGGCTTCGAGATGATGCATCACGGTGAGACAAACACAAGACATCGTTGATGTGGATCTATGTAAGAGAGATATTACACAACCACGCTGTTCGTCGGGTTTGTGGTGCAACAGCACGACGACGTGTCAGGGCTAACCAGCCTACAGCGATTGAGAATACAATTGCTGCGAGAACGTCGTTGCTACTGCCACAACCAGGTCGACTTGTTACCTGGGTCGAGCTGCAGCAGACCACGCGAAGCATCTCAAGGCGAACCTCGTGTTGTAGACCTGACTTTTCGTGACAGCACGACGACCTATTTGCGAGCACTATCAGAATCAACTTGGTTCACTGCAAGGTTGTTGTTGTTGCCCTCACAAGCCCCCTGTGCTGTGCGTCTTCAGTGTCATGGTCACAATGATGGTTGTGGAAGACTACGCTTTCTACCTTTCGCCGGGTTCTGACCTCGTAAACCTCGTTGCAATAAGGCAGCAAGTGTCGATCGTGACCGAACCAGGTGCAAGTTTCAAGTCAGAGACTCGATAGTGAGGAACGATTCGCTAGCTGGTTCGCCGCGCTGTGGCCTGTGGTGTGGTCCGATCGTCTCGAGTATGCCTGCTTGAAAAAGGACTTTCCACACAGGAATTGGCTGCAGTGAATCACCTTGGTGAGCAACAGTTCATACTGTCCTCGTCAGCATGAGCACGAGCGTCCCCGGCTTTCCTGTGTCTTGAATCCCGTTGGACTTCACCTCGTTCGATATTGCAAACATTGGCATGATCTGATATACTGGACAGTGTGTCTTTCCGAGACCCCTTCCTGAGTATAACAATTCTTCTTGATGTGGGCTGTACTCTCAGCCTCTGGGAGAGCTGGCTTCACAGTGTGTTCGAAGTGCTGTACATGATACATTGCACCAAATTGTTGAATGACGAGTCCTCATTTGGATTGTCTCCTTGTGACCAGTGACATTTTTATTCGAACCACGCCCCGCCTACACAGAAAAAAGGTAAAGCATGAGAACAGGCTTGTATTCATGATCGAGCTCGTGTATGAATTAGTCGAGAACGTTGACATCTCTGCCTCCATGAATTCCTACACATCAAGATATCTTGCCAATGTATTTCCATTCCTACTTGTTGAGGCCATGAACGACAAGAGAGAGGATGGTGGAAAGAAACAGGTAATGATGCCATTTCGTGGACCAGTTTCCACGTTCCCACCGGCTATTTTCGTGGATTCGAGAAGCTAATATTAGATCTCGCGTCCCATTAGCGGCTTCCTGCTTCAATTCCAGCTAGCTTCAGGCACGATGCATGCATCATGGACAAGGCAATCCCGACCTTCTGGATAGGAATGACCAAGCTTTCGACACAACGTTCAAGTCCTGTTACTGCCTCATTGCTCTTTTACTTTATTACTGAAGGCCAACGTCTTCTGTGCTTCTGTGAATGCAAAGCTCTTTGACCTCAAAAGTTTACACTCACCTTTGTTGTCGCGCCTTCGCGAACGAGCTTACGAGCGCGCCAGCCGGTAATTGGCTATTCTAAATTGTCGATGGGGCCATGGTCCATACTAATCTCGACTGTCGGCATTTCCAGACACGACGAATCCTTCGGCTACAGCGCAGTGATGATTGCGTGAGCATTGCAAGCTGCCATTGTCAGATTACAAGGCCTAAACCATTCTGAGATTCTGGGGTCGGGACTTTTGGGACTTTTGGGACTTGAGCGCTGACGAAGCCTGTCATTGGTTCCATCGATTTTCATGCAAGGAACCTGGGGTTCTGACCTTTAGCAAGCTAGTCCAGTACTCGCGCTCAGCCTTATCATCCAAAACACCACTCCACGAACATCCAGGGCGACAACTGGTCTCGTGGCTTGTATCAATGATCAAACGCATTCAGAAATGAGTGACGAAAGATCTCGAGTGACGAGGAGTCAAGGTCCAACTCAGAATGAATGGGAGGAGCTACGACCAATCATTGAGAGACACTACAAACACGAGAACAAGACTGAGAACCAGGTTCGAAGGATATTACTTGAAGAACATGGAGTTCCAATCACGTAAGCCTCTCATTTGAACACATCAGAGATCTGCTAACGAGCATAGGACTAAGATGTTCAAACAGCATGTACGGAAATGGCGGCTAGACAAGAAATTCAAACGGAGGGAGATGATATTCTCGCTTCGCAAAATTCAGCAACGTAAAACGGCAGGAAAGGCGACTAGGATAACTATTAGGGGAGAATTACTTACAGAGATGAGACTGAATTACTACTTCAAGCGGAGGCCCATGACTACAGCCGAGCAACTCGAGACAGAGGCTAATGCTTCAACACCATCAGACCTGGATTACGCAACTCCGAGAGACGATACTTCGACAGACGACGCAGCAACAGTCATTAATTCACCTGCAGCTTCTCCGTTCACGCCACAGTCGCCTGTGTCCCTGGGCATTAGCTCTATCATAAAGTCGCCGAGTGACCAAGACCTGGGAGCGACCATTACGGATGTCGTACCTTATCGAGCTCCCAGCAGAAATTCTCCTTCTGACCATTCAAATCCACAAAGGTGGTCTTTGCACTATACTCTCAGCCCACAGGAGACCTTCTTACGACAACTTTACGAACATGTTCGATTGACGACGGGTGGAGAGATTGTCAAGTCGCACAGAAGAACTAAGTTCGACACAAGCAGTATTCTCCGAGCCTCTGGTTGGTTTGATCCATTCCTCAACAACGCTGTGGAAGCCGAGAGGATGGGTGAAAGAGATGTTGCGAACGCTATAATGAAACGGTGCGCGGATGTTGTTGCAGCTGAAGTCGAGGGTTATTTTCCCGACATGTGTGTGCTGGAAATGGTGGAGATTGTACACTACCTACAACTACGCCGATGTCAACAGCTCCAGCTTCATTTCATGTATGCATTATACGACAGTGTCACGAACCGGCTAGGACAATTTCATCCATTAGTCGAATTGCTCTGCAGCGCGACCAAAGGATATACTTGCAGTATATCGTCAACTTTGATACCTACTATACTGGATTTTCTGGATGCACATACCAAGTCCGATGTTTCATTGAATACACTCTTGCCACTATTTGCTTTCCAGGAATTGAGGTCGATTGATACCATGCCGCGCGATCTGCTGATGCACGCTCAGCAAAGCAGCCACCGGCGATGCGAACACTGCACAGAAGCAATGGATCGAAGCCCGTTCGTCTCACAAGCATTTCGATCCTGGGCACATCGACAATTTATCAGCCTCCTCAATGACGTCTGGGTCGAGCCGGACGCACAACAGTCTGCGTTCCACGCCATAAGAAGATCTCGCGTCTGGCGATACATCTGGAAATTCCCAGACATGGCAACACGTCGCCAGGAACTCCAAAAGATGACGTTCAAGCAGCGATTCTGGGCTGTAGCAAAGATATGTTTCGAGCTCGTCACACGGAGTATCGAGAGGATCTTCCTCAACTGTCACGACGAGCTGTCCGCGTACGATTATGTGTCGAGTCTTGTTCGTCAAAGCAGGATAGGACTGGAAGAGGATGAGATAATGCCGCTGTGGACGGATAAAGGTGAGAGCTCCTTGTTCGATATGGAATTGCATACACCTGAGCAATGTGAGCACGCGACTTGTGGACGGGTCAAGCGATCGTTGCAGTACTGGGTAGGTGAGCAATTGTGCTGCGTCTGACCATTAACATTTTGTTTTGTCTTTGGGGCTTGGAGAATTTGGGACAGGCGTTGAATGGTAGATGTGCATAACACTTGCGATTCCGGACTTGAAGATTCAAGGTTATTGCATACGTCTCCAGTAGACGAGAATGGTTTGCATCGTGCTTAAAGGGGGGAATCTGGTCACATTTATACATAGACCTATGTAGTCAGGATAAACGAAGTCGCAAGACGAACAACCTACACTACAGTGGACAGGCAAGAGAGATAGTAATCGAAGAACAGCAAACTCGGAAAGAGCGTGCCAAAATCAGTTGATTATCACAGTACCCATCTCTCATTGCGATTCACGACTTTACGCAAATTTCCATCTAGTACATCTCACCTCACCTAATTTCCTTCCCTCCCCTCTCAAGCTTCAATACTGAAAGACTGAATTTCGCGCCACCATTCCCATTCGCTTGCTGATATATGCTTTCCCAGATGCTGAATCCTTCAACTCCGTACGTCCTTACTACCCAACCCAATGTCTGATTTTTCATTTCTCATTCCTTCGTTAAATGTCATTCCTAGCCACGTCTTACGGAACTTAGACAAGTGCTTTGAATGTCCCGCTCGGGTGTTTCGGTAGCAATCTGCCCATCACGTAGCTCTTCGGCTGGATCATGGTGCTGTCGCTCGCTGGAGAGTTGCTGTTATTCGATGCAGCTCGTTGTGGTGATCTGAGTTCCATGGTAGGCTTGTTTTGTTGTTGTAGGTTTGTGTCGGTTCGTCGTCGCGGTGCCACGATTGTGGCCGTGATGGTTCGCGGGTTTACAGTTCGATAAGAAGAACGATTCTACCGCTTCTCCGGACTACTTTCTCGAGTCATGTAGCCTTCGCTCTCGTCCTCTTCATCTATGGCGCCAACGACAGGAGTTCGTCGCTCATTACGTCGTTTATGTTTTCTTCTGCGATTACTGCTGATGTTGCTGGCGCTGTCGTCCGGCGCGAGTTCTGATACGTCGTCGGCGATGCCGTCATCAGTCTCTACCTCCCAATTCTCATTTGATGCGTAAGCACCGAAGGCGGATGCTGGTGTGCCTGCTCTGATTTCTATATCAGACTGTTTGCGACGTTGTTGAGCGGCGGCAAGACCAGCACTTCGTTCTCGGAGAGCTCGCCGGACTGCTTCTGCGCGGAGGTGTAGGTGCTCGAAGGCATCCTCGAGTGCTTCCATGCCTGTATATATATCGCGCTCGATCTCGGCTAGCGTTGCTATTTCAGTCTCTTCATCCAATGCAATTGGAGGGCCAGCCTTGCCGGCATCGATACCGCTCACAGATCGATACCCTGGTGCTGTAGCGGGCCGAGGGTACTGGTAACTTCCACCGCTATTTTGTCGCATGCGTGCTGAGTTGTATGCTGGTGTGGCACCCCTTGATGGCATTCTACTTATTTGCTGTGGCGTGTAGCGACCGTTTCCTGCTTGTGGCCACGGTCCGGGAAAGTCATCTTCTGCACCACTACGAAGGAAACCGTCGAAGCGTCCTGATATCAAGATCTCCCATTCATCGCTAGAGACTGCGGCCAGGGTGGCTAAGGGATGATGTAGTGTAGGATTGTGTAGCAGATATAGAGCTGTTTCTGGGTCACGAGGTGGTGCAGAAAGTCGATATAGACGCTGAATAGCAATACCAGCTGCAATGACGTATTCAGGCCGTACTTTGCGAGGCATAGGTGTAGGTACAGGTCGCGGAGGCTGACCAGACTCTCGTTCCGGGCTCGGTGCTCGTCGTGGTGGTTCTGGTGGGAGGTCTACAATACCAAGGAGTTCTTTGAATATTGGTCGTTGATCGCCCGGAATATGCGTCAATATTGCGAAGGTTAGAGTTTCGTCGTCCACTTCTTGAGGAGCTGGTTCTAAGTGTTGATTTCCCTGTTGACGATTCAGCCAACGATCGACGCTCTGTTTTGTCTTCTGCGATTGTCGAATGTAGTGGTCGCGGTACTCCTCGGGCACGTCTATGTCGAGTTTCTGCATAGGAGCTGCAAGATCGAAGTTCAAACCAAGACCTTGTGGTTTTGGCTCAAAAGCAAATGGTGGCCAGGATGGGAGATCTTTCCTGCCTGATACAAGTTCGAGGATCTCGCCCCAACTCACACCTCGAATATCGCCAGTTTCGTCGTCTTCGTATCCGCATATACTGCATGTACATATTTCGGCCGACAAATCGCGGGCAAAGACAGCTTCAAGCCGATCGAGAAGTCGTCTTGCGACAGAGCGATAACCAGTAGCTACGGCTAAGGAGCCATTCTTAGAAACGACCTTCTCGTAATCCTGCAGTAATTGGCTGTAAGGTTCAAAGAGGTTGGCAATAAAAATCGGCTGTTGAGATGGGGAAGATATTGCAGCTTGCTGTACTGCCATGGGCTTTCCAGCATACAGCAAGTTTTTCGGTACTGTGTGAGTGAGACCACCATGCTGTAGTAGATAGTCTACTCTTGGCACTACTATGGGCACATTAGGTGGAGGTGGTGGAGGTGGCGGACCGCCAGCAGAGGAAGGAGTATTGAATGCAGAGTCTGGCTCGATCACAATATCCACTGGAGTTTGCTGACGCGAGAACGATTCGACAGGTATGACCTGTGGTTGCAAGTAGTGAACAGGCTGTACAGGCGGAGGATGCTGAGGTTGCGGTATTTTCGAACCAGGTCTTTGTATCGAAGGTTGTTCAGGAGCGATGGAAGTAGCATCGGAACTGGTATTGGTGGCTTGTTCCGAGCCTGAGTCGTCTCTAGGAGGTGAAACAGTCCTAGTATTTTGACTTGTTGTTGTACTAGGCACTCTGCCATTCGTCTTATCCTTCAACGGTGTTGTGCTTCCAGTCTCTTTTCTCGACCTGACTTTACTGACGGGGGAGGTACTGTCTGGTGTTTTGTTTGACAGAGACTTGGACTTGGCAGGCCTCGTCCTTATGCGTCTCGAGGAGCCAGTATCGCTGCCACTGTTCTCTTTCCTGTCCTCCTCAATAATAGTGTCGACAGTCACTGGTCGCGCAGTAGACGATCGAGGCTGACCAGCAGTTCTATCTGTAAGTGGCGGGCTGGGAGGGCCATTGTTAATGATACGATTCAGGTTCGCCAACTTCTCTTTCGAGGCATTTATATCGGTAGAAGGAGGAGTGAATAGATTGAGCTCTGGCCGTGGTCCAAGGCTCTCTTTAGCATGTTCTCTCGACAAAGAAGGGTAGGAAGATTTGGCGCGTCCGTCAGCGTTGCTGAGCTCAGTCTGCTCTTCTAGAATTCCAGGCATCGAGGATTTCCTGCGCGAGCCACCCGAGGACAAAGACGTTTTTGAGATTGAATTGTCCTTGGTGGAAGTTGAGCGCTGTGATTGTGTAGAACGGTGCTTTCTCTCTCGCTCTCGGTCTTTCTCCTTGTCCTTGTCGTGGTCACGATCACGAACTTTCCTCCTCTCCTTTCTCCTTTCAGGACTGCTATCTTGGGGTATGGCAGGCATATTGACAGCGGGATAGCCGCATGGCGCAGACGGTCGCTATTCAAGCGGCGCGTAACTCAGTGTCACGATTTGTTCACGCAATTTCCTGCAGAATGCGGCGCTTGCAGAATCTTTACTATCTGCTGCGACGGTCAAGTCTATCAGAGTGACACAAACGGGCGTTCTGAGCAAGATGAATTGCATGTGCTGCCAGTGAATGCTCCAAGGTTTTATTCAGTGGACTGACGGCGGAACGGACCTTCAAAGGCTCAAACCACTGCATGATGTCGCCTGCTCGTGCAGTGGGCAGTGACTTCGCGGGGATGCCCATCGCACGCTTGCCAGTAATTCGTCAATGTACATATCAGCCGCTAAGTAGACCGTGGTAACACGTCATATCGGCAACTATATTTTACCCTTTCTGAGCCAGCGAGAGACTCCCAGCCTCACTTTCTGCTCTACGCCAATCACGATCCGTATTGCACCTGTGTATATGCCTGACTATGGACAGCAATTTGCTGATAACCACCAGTCGTTACGACAAGCGCATGTACAAAAAGCAGAGTGTTCGAGGTGACCTCAATCAACTCTGTTGAAAATGACCATCTCCAACCATATGGTTCCAGATTGAAAGACAACCATAGGCAGGTGGGAAAGGAGCTTCCGCTAGCAGTCAACTCGGATCAGTGGTATTCAGAAACTAGGAGTTGCAGCTGAATCAAACAAATTTACTGTTTCTTCGTTGTGATAACGATTTGTGAAGCCCATTCTGTTTGCGCAAATGCGAACCTTCACCATGTATCTACTACCTCAAGCTGTGGATATTCCACGTGACATCATTGCACTCTCCTCGACCTCCCGCCAACTTCCCACATGCATCCGTAACCTTTATTTCGTAACTGTCACGGCTGAGTTATGATAGACCCCTAGTCGATCAATCAAATGGTATCAGCAGCCTGTCACTTCGATTTAGATTCGGCACAAGCCCGTCTGCGACATGGTCTCACGACTGAAGCAAAGCCTAGCATTTCACGCCTCTCCCGAAGCATTCATCTCTGATCGCCAGCAATCCTTCCTCGACGAGGCCAGATCTGAACTCGGCGAATTACACTCTAACTCAATCGTTAAAGCGCAAATTCTCAATCGGCAGGTTCATATAGTGTCGTCATATGAGGCATGTTACAGAATACTAAACACTCCAGTGGCAGGTCAAGCAGACGATCGTGATAATGCGAACGCAAACACAGATGGTAGTGGTTCGAGCACTGGCCCGGGAGCGTTTGTCGCTGGTCCAGCTTACAACGAATTAATGGCGGATTTCTTTCCGTTACCTAACCTATTACTGCAAGATGGACGTGCGCATTCGATAGACAAAAAAGTGTGGATGGATCGTATAGGTGGCCTGCCTACTGAGACGGCGCAACTCGTTCGAAGACTTACTCAAGAGCGATTTATTGCGCCTTTGCTTCAGCAGACAGGTACCACATTTGATCTCTACGACTCTTTGAAAGCATTTTCCTGGGATCTACTCCTGAGAGTCTTTCTCGGTTTGTCCCGAGATAGTGACGCAAAAGCATTCAGACATGTGGAGGATTTACAGGAGCAACTGCTTCGGGGGCAATTCTCCTTGCTTCCTGTAAAAATATCCACACCACTATGGGCGTCCGCCAGATCGAAGGGGATCAAGGCTTCGAAGGCACTTGACCCTATACTGGAGAGGCGGTGGGACGAGATGACCACAACTGATGTTCCAGGTGGTGTCTGCCCATTTTTACAATCCAGCTCGAACCTTCGCCAGGATATTGACAAGTATAATGCAACATCGCACCTCCGTCTCTTCACAAGTTCGATCTCGAACAAAGCCATATCGTCACTGTTGACAGCTTTCTTCTGCAATCTATTCCTCTGGCGACCTGGAACGTCGACTCAAAAAGATCAATCTCTTGCAGGTATGATAGCTGGACATTCTGATGTGAATTTTCGTAGAGCGCTACTAAGGAGTATACTTCTGGAAACAGAGAGATTATCTCCACCGGTCGTTGGTGTGATGCGGCGAGTACAAAAAGATCTCTCAGTACCTGCAGGCTCCAGTCAGGGCAACTATCGCATACCAAAAGGTCATGATACCTGGCTCTATGTTGTTGGCGCAAACCGAGACGAGAAGGTCTTCCACCAAGCAAATGAGTTTCATTGGGATCGCTTTATGGCCGCAGATAGCTCAACCCAGCATCCGCTGACATTCGGAGGTGGCCAGAAGTCGTGTCTGGGTGTTGAGATTACACACGACATGTGCATTGAAGTCGCTGAAACGGCATTGTCCTCGAATCTTAGACTGTTGGGTGATATCGCCGACAAGGGTGTTCGACAATGGTTAGGCTGGGACGGTGATATTGACGTCAGTGCTGTTGCAAGAGACATGAAACAGCTACCTTGCCAAAGGCCTAGGAAGCCATTGCTCGTCGGGATAACAAGTTAACATATACCATTTCGCATACTTCTGGGTTGACGTGCAATGTGGCGTCCCATTCCTAGATCGTGTCGTGCTCTTCAAAAGTCAAATGTACAAGTCGTATATTTGTGCAGATCGTGCGCGAGTCTCAGTCGACCTTAGTATGCACCCGAACCCGCTTGACAAAATTCCTGATGCCATTAAACAACCACGCCGCATTGACCGAAAGAAATGCGCCCACCCCTAACTTGCACGGAAGGTACAACATACCAAGCGCCTGCCAGAAAGATTTATCCATCTGTCTTCCAAACAACCATATCATATAAGGAAATAGCGATATTCTAAAGACCGCAAAGCTCGTCAAGTACGCCGCAGTCACAGCCAGAATAAGGTTGCGTCTGTGTGGAGTATGATTAATTAAGAACCACCTGACGGTTCCAGGAATCGACGAAGCGTTCATGAGGTGCATTGCAGCTATGAGTAGCATACCCTTGACGCGGCTGGTGACCAGACGATACTGAAGAAAGAGTAGAGCCGCACATATGCCGATGTGATGGATTAGGAGGTGCAAGTAATTCACATTCTTGCCGCGTAGTGCTGGTGATCTGCTCTTGAGCCTGAGAGTGTAGAGGAGTGCGAGAGAGTCTGCTATCAGGTAGCCCGTCTCGAAGCCAGTGATTTGATTGCCGAAGAACGTCTTTGCAGTGATGATAGCGACATCTGTCTCGAGAGCAACGACTTTTCCAGCTGTAGGTGCCGCAATAAATATATCACGGTTGTGCCACATACATATTGCTGTCAGAGCAGTGACGACGCTGCAATGGCAAAGAGACAATGCTTCTCGAGCATTGGTCAGTGTTGACATAGATTTGGAGGATCTTAGGATGAGCAGCCATATGATCGAGTAGCCAGCTGTCGATCCTGCCGTTGACCAAATTGGCCAGTACTGGTCCTCTCGATCGGACAGCATAATACTCGTACCTCGAAGCACAGAAACTTTGTTTGCATCAGTCTGTCAAGCTCTGGTCGTGTTTTCGTTCACTGAACATCCGCAACTGCTGGTTGTTTCCACCAAGCACTCGCAAAACGATCATCGACGATCACTTCCAGCAGCATCCGAAAGGTGTCAATGCAGCGTTTTGCCACCGTGTGAATCCTGCAGATACGGTACTGAGACAGCGATGGACCTGGGCGTCGCTGCTTGAGAGGATAGGCCTGGCTTTGTGGCTATTTCAACGAGCGATGATGCAGTACCTTCACATTGTCAACATTTAGGTATGACTTTGATATACATATTGTTTTCAAAGCAGGGTCTTAACATATAGTCAACGTATCGTTCGAAGCGGAATGTCATGGTTCACTATATCTATAGTCTAAGCATTTCGACAACAAAACTGAAGTAGTACTATCCTATCGAGCAATTTCGATCCTATGACATTCAAGAAAAGAAAGTAATGAAAATATGCAGCTCAAGATCATCACTCAACGAACGCTACCGTCATTCTAGCCTCAGATCGCGTTTCTATAAATTTGTATGTGCATAACCATTACGCACCAATCAACTTGTTGTAGCCAGCATCCCACCAGCCGAAGAACGGGGCATATGTGCCACGCCCTGTACGGTGATGGTGAGCATGAGCTTTAGCACCAGAACCCCAGCCCGCTGGCAGCCACTTGTCATAGCCCCAAGGCAAATCCATTCCACAATGAACCTCTATAAAAAGGTAGACAAACACTGGTATGAAGCAAGTCCGTGTGAAAGCATGAGCTTTGATAATGTTCAAGGCAAAGTTGGCCAACATGATCAGCGTTAGCCTTTCGCCTACTGATAGCTTGTTCGTGACTTGCGGATGCATTTCGGTATGTTTATGATGCGGCTCATGCATCTGCGCCAGTGGCTTCACGCGATGGAAGGCAAGATGTGCGAAAAAGAAGAGCGTGTCGTAGATGAAAAAAGCTGCCGCAAGCTCACAGACAAGACGCCGTGATGTCGGTGGAACTGGTGGAAGTGCTCGTGTAAGTTGTAAAGGTGACTTCCATGAGAAATTGTGGAGGCTTGGCAGAAGGAATGTCGGACTGATGTTGGCGTGACTCGAGGTAGTGTTGCCAGAGTGTTGAACCATGTAGTCTATAGGGTAACCAGCAGAAAGAACGATGTGTTCCAGTGGCACATCTGCAAACTTCTTGACCATGACAAGATCCATGCAGAATAAGGGTGCGGCGTAAGTAAGAAACTCGCCTAGACGTTTCGTTGGACGTTTCATCTTTGGCAGAACCCAGCGGCCTTTCTCAGTCTTCTGCGAGCGGACATCAATACGTAGAGCTGGGTTGTGGATGAACTTGTACGTGTATAGCGGCTCAGCGAAGATGTAAGAGGCCATGGTGAACACTGTCTCGAAAAAGGATCGATTGTAGAACGGGGAGTGGTACAGGTAATGCCATAGTGAATTCAGTGAAGGCTGATATATCTGTGGGAAGATGACGGCCGTGAATACCAGAATACCAAGCAGGATTTGCGGCGGACCACTGGCCTTGTGCTGTGGTTGCTGTAGCATCTTATAGTGCCCAGTATCGGTATGAGGCATTGTGTACTCGACGCACAACAATGGTACTCTTTTGGTGTAGATGATGTGCAAAAACTGATGGTGTCTACAAAATAGTGCTGTGGACCCTATTACAGTCTAGACTGTGAAAGATTGTGAAAGATTGAGGACGACGTCGTCATAGATTCTATACTACTTTCTATATTACCCGACCTCGGCACTCCTCTATGAACAATACATGCTCATAACCCGTTCCATAATGTCATTACATTAAATACTTGCTAGAGGTATCTGCTGGGCGGGAAAAGAGCATGGAGTGATGAGCCCGTAACAGCTATGCGAGCCTAAATTCTTAGCCACTGCCACAGCTGAGCTAGTATTTTTACGGTATTCGTATTGTCATTCACCTACCTTGCAGATGTTTGTGTCAATGGTGTCTGAAGCTAGTGAGGTGGGCCTCCGAGGACAGTACGAGTTCAGCAGCAAAGTGGTACATCCTTTGTATGACACATAGCTTGCCTCGTTTGATTCGAAAAAGATTCGACAGTCTTCGTTTCAAACGCAAACATACCAAAACGGACGAGCGAATTGCTGAAAAGCAGTCCAGCATAGCTACTGCATTTCGGGATTGTCTTGAGGTCATGCTGACCTAGGTATTTCGCTTGCCTGTGGCGCCTTGAAGTATCGCAGCTGGAGGACGTCCATAATACCAGACGTAAATACGATTAGGCGACACGCCACACGTCCAGGCTATCATTAGCAATTGATTGAGGATTGTGTTCCATACCATGCCATTCTTGACCCATCGTCGAGGACTAGTTTGCACAGAATGTGTTAGGATGTCGATCCTACCCTGTTTCTTCTGCTTGATACGCCGCAGTAGGGAAACGTCTTCCATGATCGGCACGTCTGGGAATCTTCCAACCTCTTCAAAAGTTGCACGACGGAGGAAGTAAGCCTGGTCGCCATATGGTAGTTTCGCGAAACGTGCACGTATTGACGTTCCGAAGAGCATGATTCGTAGAGCCAGCGAAATAGGACCTGGCAAAGACAATAAGAAGGCGCCTAAGGCGGGAGGGTTGTCCTTTTCGAGAGTGGATATAACGATAACATCCCAATCTTGAGGTAGGAGAGTGTCAGCATGGAGGAAGAGTAATATTGGTGATGTTGCAGCTTGTGCACCGGAATTCTGTTGACCTCCTCGTGATGGCGGCCCTTCGTGAGGCAGGATTTCTAGCGTTGAGTGGCGTGTTGTCAGGGAGTTGAAAATAGTCCCATCATTAGAGGTTCGACCAGCATTCACGACTATGACCTTGGGCAATGAGCAGTGCGACTGGAGACGAACGTGACACCTAGCGAAGAGATTGTCGATCGTCTTGCTAAGGACAGCGTCTTCATCAAGTGATGGTATGATAACAGTGATCGGATGACTGTCGTCTCCGCCAAGTGCCGATAAAGCAGTCGCATATTGTTCCTCGCTGGTTGATACGTTACTATCATTTTTATAGCTGAAAAACAGCCTAAGACACACAAGGCAGAGCAAGGTCACGCATGCTGGCAAGACGATCGTGAGCGCACCAGGCATCTGTACGTGCGGTAACAACCCGACTCGATGCACATCGAAGCTTGGTGTTCTGGTTCAGTGACTTGGGGAAAGCTCTTGTTCACTATATTCGGCGAGTCTTCAAGTTCTCGGATGTGGTTTCCATTGACCGACTGCATATCTCCACTCCTCCGCATTTGAAATGCTAGCGTCTGTGGATATTGGATGTGTGATTTACAATCCGAGCACTTTGTGTGGTGAGGTTTGAATATAAAGATTGAATGGCTTGGTACTCCGCGAGCGATGCGAGTGCAATCATTAGCAGTTGGCGTCCTTTGTGCCATAGTCGACAGGAAGAGGTAGCTTCCAGCCAGCTCGATATGTATTGATGTCCGGTTGGAGTCTCGAGCTCGTCTATGGAAGTCAGGGTGGCAATGAGCAATACCCCAAAAAGCGCGTCTAAGATTTTCTTCTAGCAAGTCAAGCTCATACCGAAGCAGGGACATACAGACCTACCTGTACAGATAGGCTGAATCTGACTCTCAGGACACTAGCAACCATGTCGTTACATTTTCGAACAGTCCATTTCGGCCTTAGCCAACAGTCTACCAGACATGTCTCGAAGATGGGCTCATGCCTCTCGTCACGTACTAGTCTACGTACTCTAGCCTCACATACAGATCTCCCTAAATCTCGTCGACGCCTTAAATTCGACGCTACGGAACCAATGACTATCAAAGAAAGTCTCAAAATCGAACAGAAACGAGAGGCACGGAAGAGTATAGAAAGAGAGACTGCTTTGTACGAAGCCACACAGAACATCCCAACATTCACTGAGACGCTGAAGAACCATGGGAAATGGCCATTGAACAGAGTTACACCCAGCATTCTGCAGGTCAATATTGGCAAGCTTTGCAACCTTACCTGTCATCATTGCCATGTAGAATCAGGACCAACCAAAGTAAGGGAGAATATGGATGCTCAGACAGTACAACGCTGTATCGAGCTTGTTCAGAAAACCCCGTCGATCGAGACCGTGGACATTACTGGAGGTGCACCCGAGCTCAACCCGCACTTTCGAACACTTGTGGTGGAAGCACGAAAGCTCGGTAAAAGCGTCATTGACCGCTGTAACCTGGTTGTGCTCTTCGAGAAGGGCCAGGAAGATCTAGCGCCTTTCCTCGCCGAAAACGGAGTTCACGTTGTTGCATCGTTGCCCTGCTATACAGAGGACAATACCGACAAACAGCGCGGAAGGCGCGTGTTCGAAGACAGTATAGACGCGCTGAAGACCTTGAACCGACATGGTTATGGTCAGCAATCTAGCCCATTACGCTTGGACCTGGTCTACAACCCGCTTGGCCCGAACCTGCCTGGCCCACAGTCTTCACTCAATGCTGCGTACCATGATCAACTCTTCAGAGAACATGGTATCGTGTTCAACTCATTGCTGACTATCACCAATATGCCGATACGACGCTTCGCCGACTCACTACTACAGAGTGGACAATACCTGCCATATATGGAATTGTTGACTAACTCCTTCAACGTAAGCACTGTCGACCAGCTAATGTGTCGAAACACTATCAATGTGGCGTGGGACGGGAAAATCTACGATTGCGATTTCAACGCCGCCATGGGAATGGGCAGATCCAACGAGGCAGGACAGAGCGTTGATTTGTGGAATATAGGTAAGTTATGCTCCATACATGGTATGCATGTTGCTGATGTGTCATGTTCTAGATTCACTGGACGACCTAACCGGCAATCGTATCTATACCGGAAAGCACTGTCTAGGATGCACAGCTGGTGCCGGTTCTAGCTGTGGCGGTGCTCTGGAATAATTCCAAGTATACTCACGCAATTGAACAGCTATACCTTTTGATCCTTCGCGGCCCTGTTCACACCTATCGCACCTCGTCGCCAAAGATGCTTGCCAGGAATTTCATCGTTCTTGGGTACAACGTCGACTTCTGGTCCTGCGTACGCCAGAGGCGATCGAGGTCTTCTGGTTCGTCAACGTCGTCCAACGTATCTCCAACCTCACAAGAAATACCGTTCGCAGTCAACGCTTTAACTTGCGCGTCGCCTGTCTGATCAGAAGACCAAGGAATTCCATCAAATACATTGCCACTACATCTCAAAGGGATGCTGAGAAGTACATATCCTCCATCACGCGCTGGCAATATGTGTGCCTTGCTCGGCGTCACGAGAGCTATTGAGCCTCGAACTCGATCCGCAGTCAGATCGAAGCAGTCCATGCCGATAAATGTTACAGATGCTTGGTGATCGTCACTGAGCCGCTGTATATACTCTAAACCACCACTGAGACGGGCGCCAAGTTCAACGCCAGCTATCTGTGGATGAATGTTCCACGTTGACGATAAGCCTTCTTCCTGCAAAAACCTCATCAGAGCAGGACGCTCTTCATCCGGAGTAAAGAGAAGAGTTTTCCGCACAGGCAATCCCGCGAACAGATGAAGCAAGTCAGAAAGAGCTGCAAGCGCAAACACGCTGGCACCTTCTGCTCCCAGTCTTGGAATGAGACGTGTTTTGCACTTTCCAGGTGATGGAAACCGTGCTACAAGCAAAAGATGGCTGAATTGTAGAGGAGCCATAGAGCTGGATCGGAAAGTCCTACTTGGCGCAACACCAGCGATCAATTGCCACGTCCGTCTTGCAAATAATGTGTATGTTTGAGCTGCGCAAGGGGCGCCTTGTGGCTGAGTTTACACAAGCTTGCAGCGGCACAAATATTCTGTCCGGGTCTTGGCGTCCTGTTGTAATGTGTTATATCGCCTCAGGATAGAAGGGCTGTATTCGACTGAATTTGTCACGAAGCAGAGGGCCTGAGTATGTCAGTCTTGACAGCACTATGCAGTCTGATTATAAATGATGCATATTGGATCCCCAGCTACAAAGTATCTCGGTTCTGTAAATTCTGCTTAATTCAAAGTACAACTTACCATCATGTCGCTGTGAACCTCTTCTTTCACTCCTCGCAACCTAATACGTCATTACCTATTACACCACTAGCCGCAATTGAGGTGTGCCTACTATACAACATAACCTCGCCGACCACCAACCCAAAATGTCCAATCCATCCAAACCAAACCTCTACATCCTCTACAACGCCAAAGCCTCCCTAGCAGGAAAATGCGACTACGTCTACCGAAAACTCACATCCCCAGCCGACGCACCAGCATGCAGTGCCTGTGATCTGACGCACGGCGGTCTACGGCTGACGGAGACCGAGACATGGACGAAGACTAAGTCACGGATAAATGCGAATGTGGTTCAGTTGCATATTGATGAACTTACGCCTGAGGTAGGATTACCACAAACATGTAGTAGATTGGGATGAATTGACTGTCTTTGCTAGTTAAAAGAATTTTCGAAAAGTGCTTCGCTGGTGTTTCCGACTGTGTTGGAACAGGAACAGGGCGGAGAGTTGAAGGTGCTGCTTACGGCGCAGGAGTTGAATAAGGTCTCGAAGGACCATGAGGCGTTTCTGAGCAGGCTTGTTGAGAGTGGGCGGCGTGAGGGTGTGGCTGTTTCGGTTGCGGACTGAGGTAAGGGAATAGCAGTGTGAGGCATGCAGAGACGATGTTGTGCATCCCAAAATGCATGCTAGGGCACTTAGTCCATACCATCCGGACTCGGAGGGACGAGTCTGCTCAAATACGCTATTATGGTCGAGACTTCACTTCTCTTCTCACAGCTAGAGAAAGACTTCTCTTTTTGGTGGCGTTTGTGTTTGTGATCCATGTAATCCTAGGCTTCGAAACTGACAGCATGCGGAAGAAGACATACTGTATTGTATTACTTCTACCAAGTAAAAGAGTGTCTGCTAGTATCGAATGAATTACCACTTTTGCAAGTATTGGACGACCAATCCGCTGGCCACTAATGATGTACGATGTACTCAACTCTCCTTGTACAGACTGTACTTTGCTACTAGCCTCAGTGTTACCATAAGAACGGAATACATGCAACTTGTTAACAGCTCTTCTATGCTCAAGCCGCCAGAACGTGTTACCATCCCTATAAATGCGTCTATCTCGATGCTCCTCATAAAGATTAAAAATCGATGCCTTCCCTGAAAAGTGCTCATTATTTGATGCAGCATTGTATGTCCATACTAGAACATGACAGTAAATGCAAGATTGAAAATTACTGCAACGCCCAAACAGAGTATCACCTTCTCTTTCAAGGTTGGGGCAACTTGAGAAGAAGCAGTGGAAGGTGCACCGTTCGAATCAGCCGATGAGGCCGCAGTGGAGGATGTAGCAGAAGATGTTGGCTCGATTACGGTAGTACTGGTGGACGTGACGACTGGTGGTAGGGTATGCGTACTAGTTGAGCTGGTCGAGCTAGATGAGCTGGTGGGACTGGTCAGCTCCATCGAGCTATTTGAAGTGATCGACCCAGTTGGGAAAGTGGTTGTGCCATTAGCAACGACGGTGCTTTGGGTCGTGGTCAGTCCATTCGTCGAAGAGATGGATGGTGGAGGGCGTGTGCTGATGGTAGCTGTCTGCGAGCCTGTGCCTGGCACAATATTGAAGGTGGTAACACTTCCAGTGAAGGATGGTAGAGTGGCCGAGGGCGCTATCGAGACGGTCGAAATGGCAGAGTCTGATGGGCCAAGTACAGTCAACATGCCACCAGTGGGAGCTCGGACGCCAGTGAGGGTCTCGGAACCAACAGCGACAAGAAAGGTGCAAGCATCGTCGGTACAACGATACCCAATACTGGACAAAATGGTGACCTGATGTAATGTTAGTTAAGCGCACACCATGGACTAAGAGCAAGTTCGAGTGCAGATTCCTGGGTTTCTGGATGGGAACTGGCTTACTGAGGGTGATTCTGTAGCGCTAGAATCCGGCACGGGTGCTGGCTTGGTCTCGGAGGTAATAGTAGGAGCAGCAGGCGTCGAGGTAGTTGTCAGCAAGCCGAAGCCCATGGATCCAAACGTGAGGGTAGTGACTGTCGTAGCTTGTGGTGCCCGAGCTCTCAGATTTTGATTCAAGGTGTTGGGCAAAATGTGGGTCGTAGATGGTTTGTCGCAGGCATCTTCGCAGGGAGGGCTTGAGGTGTGAATCTGCCAAAAGGTATTAGAAAGATTCGTAGGTCTCACAGCAGCTACTGTGCATTTGACGGATCCTCGAAGGATAGTGAAAACGCTTACCAGAGTATCAGAGGCTAGCCCAGAGGACGAGATGGCTGAAGACACACCCGCAAGTGACAGTGCCGAGAGCAAGTTGTTGAGTAGATGCATTGTCGTGGCGTCAATCCAACTGGTTTTCTTAGACGTTGATCAGGATACTAGTACTGTCCAAAGCGAGGTAGTAGAACACGGAAGCGCTGGGCGAAAATTGTTTCGAGGAACGTGTTTGTTGTGGCCGGGTAAGTAGTGTGACGCGGCTGCAGGTGGAAGTGACCCTTCACCGGTCTTACTGTGGTTCGCCAAGCAATGGCGAAGAAAGCGCAAACAAACTGGTTCAAACGAAAATTTGACAATGCCGTCGCAAACCCACTGCTGACATGCTACCCCCAGCCAGATTTTCTTGTGATGGCAATATCGATGACTGTCCTTAGGCGTTTTCGCGGACTCATCATGCTTCAGACTCTCTCGATTGCAGTGAAGCCTCCTATAACGTCCCCAATAAAACACTTCCTCGTCATGGAGTTTTCCAGTCGCTCCTGCTCGTTTTCGATTGTCCTGACTTTATGTTTTTTCCTCCAGTCTGTCAATTTCTGCGCCGCTATTTGCGAATCATTTCCTCGTTGGCATAGGAAGACAACCGCGTTATGATTGTGATAATCAACCAAATCTGAGATTTCCTGCACTTTGCTGTCCTGCTGTAGAATCTTCGAAAAAGGGAAATTGACGCTTTGTTTCATTTGTGGTCCCATTTCAACCTCATGTCTTTCGCGGGTATCGACAATCAAAGTGTTCTGCCACATCTTCTGATCGGGCGCGTCGATGATGGCAGGTGTTCGTGAATTGCTCGCGACGGTGCGTAAAAATTCAGCAGCATCCAACCTGTTCTCCTTGCTCAGCAATTTAATATTTTCCACAATCCCACAGAATGTGACATAGTCCAGTTGTCCTTCAACAATGCCTTCCTTCGTGATCTTCTGAGCATTGTTACCTGCTAATACTTCTTCGTCCCCGCAGGATACACAATTCGTACGCCGAGGTCTCATACCTATGCTCCTAAACATACTCCTAGGATCTGTAGGCCATGCATTGTACAGCAACATGTTCGGCTTCCTTACCTCATCTTGTCCTTTCACAATTAGTCTAAGGGTCTCACTCGCCATTAATGTTCCGATCGTGCCAACAACAGACCCTAGGATGCCGATCTCACCACATCCCTTTACCATTTCTGGACTTGGTGGATTAGGAAACATGCATCTGTAGCACGGTCCTCTCTTAGCGTCATCAGGCAAAGGATAGTTCAACACCAATACCTGTCCTTCAAGTCTCTGTGCTGCTCCACTGACCAAGGTCTTCCCAAGCAAGACACAAAGATCACTGATTAAATACCTTGTAGCAGGATTGTCAGTACAGTCAAGTACAATATCGTACTCTGCCACAATATCGAATACTGCCTCCGCCCTAGCCTTACTGGTAACATCAAGCCTCACATCGTGGCCCACAACTTCAATCTCACTGTTCAGCTCTCTGCATCCTCGAATCGCGCTTTGCACTTTAGTCATGCCATTCACCACACTGCTTTCACGATGAACCACCTGACGATGTAGATTACTCGACTCTACCACATCGTTATCTAGTAGACCCAGCTTCCCTACACCAGCGCCAGCAAGATACAGCGCAGCAGGAGAGCCAAGTCCACCAAGTCCAATAATGAGGACTTTGGAGCTTGAAATCCGTTCTTGGCCAGGTACGGAAATACTCGGGATCAGCATCTGTCGGTTATATCGTGATGATGCTATTGCTGGCGCTGGTGTCAGAAAATCAGAAAAGTCGTGCTCTTTTGCACCATGGCCATTTCGATGATGGCGTTCAGGCTGTTCGTTAGCCGTAGAAGTTGCATGACTCAAGGTATCTGCGTGATTTGACCCATGAGGGACATCCTCTTGCTGCTGGGTCGTCGTTTCAGGCCGTACACTACCAGCGACTGGATGCGACTCATCGTTCAGACCATGATGATCAGCTGCTGACGTTGAAGCCTGCATAGTCGAAGGAAGGTCGGTGAGATGAAAAGATCGCGCGAGTGATCATGAAGAGCGCGCCAGTGGAGATCTGGCAAAGCTTATCCACTGGCTCAAATGAAGCGTGCCAGACAACGATTTTGTCGTTGCACAATGACCAGAAATTATGGTACATGCAGATTCGACGACATGGACACCGTAAAACGAAAGCAGAAGAGGTAGGCTGCAGCCGCAAATATCTAAGGCAGAAAATCAACAAAGTACGTACTAATGGTTTGTACATTTCGTAAAATTCTTCTGTGAGCAGAATGGGGTATCTCGAAAATCCCTATGGAATACGCCCGTTAAACAATTAAAATGAGGTTCTGAAGAGGTCCTTTCCCCATCCAACGCCATGTCTTGAAGACCGCTAAATCCAGACAACCCAGTCCCCAGCCCAACGTCGTCCCTCGTTAAGTCGTGCAAAGACAGGTCAATTATAGCGCTCGTTAGCTTTCAGGTAGCGAGACCGGGCTTAAATCGACTGTTGATGAAGGACTTTGTGTGATTGACTTGTCAAGCACGACATGGTCGGCGCTATTGTTCCCGTCGATCGTTTGCAACTCGTTAGCCCACATACTTGCTTCTTCAATAGCATCTTTCGTGACGGCTGGACTCAAAAGTCCTTGCCCTGGCATGATCATAGATTGTTGATATCCGTCGAAATCGACCTCAGATAATGCTTCGTCATTATCTTGACTTAACACACGTCCACCGAGTTGAACATCTTTCTCCTCGACCTGGTAAGCAAGTGCCTTCGTTCCATCTTTGATAAGTTCGTCGGTGAAATTTAGACACCTCTGTATGCTTTGCGTCAACTTCTGAGACTCTAATAGAAGTTGTTGATGTCTTTGCAGATCTAGCATGAGCTTTTTCTCGTCACGAGCTCGCCTCCGAATGACATCTGAGGACTCCGTAAAAGAGCTGTCATCATCGGACAAAAAGTCGTCTTCGCCAGCATGACTGCCGGGCTCGCTTGCAGTAGGAGAAAAGCTCAGGTGACAGGCGTCGTTGTTAACTTCATCCAATGTTGAGAGAGTTGACATTGATGCACCAGATATGACGCGATTTGTGGCAGTGGGAATCAGCGACAGCCTCCCGGAACGAGAAAGCCGTCGGAACCTTCTCAACTCGTTGTTCTGCTTCTTGAGTTCTTTTTCAAGAGTTTTATTGATTGCTAGCAAGGATGAATTTGAAATCTCAAGGTCGAGCACTTTTCGTTCTCGACGCGCATTAGCAGCTGCCTCCAATTGTTCTTTTGTGACTGGTTGCAGTACTATTGTCTCCGACGATCCACGAGCATGACGTGGTTGCACAAGCGGCTTTTTGATAGCATCTGTCGAGACCGGGTCGCTTGGCCTGGAAGTAGCATCAGGATGATTTGAGGCGATACTCCAGCTAGGGGCAGTAAATGGTGATATCGGGCTTGCATCTTCAGGTGGCACGGGTGGACCCGATGAGATGAGAAGCGACTTTTTGAGATCGTTTTGCAGAGCCTGTCGCAATTCAGGAGTGGCATTCGACTTAATTGTTGAACCTATGGTGGAACTGCCACTCAAAGATTTTCTGTGAGATTTCTCGTCCATTGTGGTGATGACCGGTTTGAAGTTAAGAGAGCTACTACGCCTCCTATCTGTAATTGAACCTGTAGTCACCTGAGTAATGGAAGAAGATCTTGACCTGGCGTTTTGAGCAGTGGCAGGTAGTTGCCCAAGTACCTCACGATTTGGATAAGATGTTTGCTTTGTGAGTGGCTCACGTTCATCTGATAACAAGGGCGACGGTGTTTGCCCCAGTAAAGAACGTGTAGACGTTGCGAGAGCTGGTGCAATGGTCGATTTAGTGTCGGAGAGAGAAGTCGCGGATCGAGCGACATGCTGCTGGGGTATATCATTTGCGTAGAAGAATTTATCATCCAACTTATTCTTGACATCATCGAGCTCTTTTTGTGGTGAAAGTCGAGGGCTTTGTGGTTGAGGTGAATATGTAGGCTTAGTCCTCGACGAGGCGACATAGGCAATAGAGGTAGGCTTGGAGTCATTTGCTCGAAAAGCCTTCGAGTTGTCTCTCACAGAGGAGATATTGCTGCATCCTGATCCGCGCCTGCCAGTAGCGGTAGGCAAGAACGACAGCTGTTCAGTCGCTTTTGGCCGTGGCTGTGAGGGTGTATATACTGGGCTATTTAACCCCAATCCCAGGATCGACTGCTCTTCTTGTGGTTGGTCTGCCACTATTCGTGCTTTGGCAGCGGTATCTGGTGTAGAAGGTGATTCAGTATCTATGCGGGAGATCCTAGCGCCTGATCGCGGTGTGATGTTGCTGTAGAAAGAGATTGATCGTTCGTCGTCGGGTCGTTCTGGCGACAAGGTTTGCTGACGCAAGGATCGTGTCTGCGGCTGAACTTGTGAGGCAGGTGATGTGGGAATAGCGCCAGCCAGTCGCGGTGTAAGTCCATGGTTAGGTCGAGTGCGCAGGTGGGAGCTCAATGTTGGTGTCAGTGGTTTAATAGTCGTCGTTCGTTGTCGCGACTCGATAGGCATGGCGAGTCCAGCTTGCCGTTGCCAATCTGGCGAAACAGATCTAGCTCTTTACCTGCCCCAAAGCAGGCGCATCGATGGCTATCGCTGTTGTCATATGGTGATGCAATCACTTTCGTTGCCGTCACTGGCTCATATCCTCCACTCTCGCATCGATATGCCATATGCTTGTGAACAGGGGTGGATAATCAAACAAAAGAATCAGTAAACACGGGCATTCTTTAGCGGCATCCGACTCGATCGCAGTCCTCCACAGGTGCAGATGCATGGGGCAGCTCAAAGCTTTGGCGTCGAAGCATTGGTTGGAAACAGTCAATGTCGACACCTAAGCTTAGCGCAATCGACCCCGTGATTACGGGCCGGATTTCAAAATTTCAGCCTGGCTGCCTTCACGCGTCGCCAGGGTTTGTTCCTGTGAACGCGCCACAGTGAAGTCCTTGCGAGTACAACCAGTAGTCAGTAATTTGAGGACCAGCAACGTTGGACCTATTGTTGGTTGCATAGTCTGCCTCTATGCTGGCGAGACGCTATATCATTCCAATGGGATGAGCAATAAAGATGATCACGATCAAGAGCCGAAAGGCTTATCGAATGCCCCTCCTTCCGCGCAGCCAGAACCTGTCTCTTCTAGTCCAGCAGTAACTGCTGACGGTCAAGATCTCGATGAAGCTATTGATATTGCAAAGAGTGTGGTCGCTGCCTCACAGCACCATTCGCTCAAGCACCATCTGCTCGGTCCTTCTCTCACCAAAGCCGGCCAAGGTGGCGTTGATCAGAAGAAAGTCGCGGATGTAATCTATGAAGCGTCGAAAGGCAGCAAGTTCTTCAACAACGAAGAGGTGAAGGATAAGAATTTGACAGTCAAGATCGAGCGCATCCTCAAGCAGAAGGCTCAGCTGGAAAAGTTGGATCTAAAGCACGACCTGCGACGAGCCGACGCCTATATTACCGAACTGGAGTTGTCAAGAGATTTAAGTCAATATGTCGTCCACATAGATTGCGACGCATTCTATGCTGCAGTTGAGGAGATAGACAGGCCAGAACTCAAGACCGTGCCTATGGCTGTGGGGCAAGGCGTGCTCACAACTTGCAACTACGAAGCTCGAAAGTATGGTTGCCGGAGTGCAATGGCTGGTTTTGTCGCGAAGAAGCTGTGCCCTCAGCTGATTTGCCTGCCTCTGAATTTCGACAAGTACACTGCTAAAGCGAAGGAAGTACGAGTCGTTCTGGCAGAGTACGATCCAGGTTTTGAGAGTTCGAGCATTGATGAGGCATATCTCAATGTAACACAGTACTGTGAGGATCACCATCTCGGCCCTGAGGATGCTGTCGCTCAACTTCGTAGGGAAGTCCATCAAAGATGCAAGATCACAATCTCCGCTGGCGTTGCGCCGAATGCTAAAATCGCAAAGATATGTTCCAACAAGAACAAACCTAGCGGACAATTTCGTATCCCCAATGACAGAAACGCGGTTATGTCTTTCGTAAGCAATTTACCTGTACGAAAGGTGAATGGTGTTGGACGAGTCCTTGAAAGGGAGCTTGATGCTATCGGGGTCAAGACATGCGGCGATATTTATGAGCATCGTGCTTACCTCAGTCGGCTGTTTGGGGAGAAAACAATGCAATTCCTGCTACAGACTTATCTAGGCTTGGGCCGGACCGACGTGCAACCAGCCGATGATCACCAAAGGAAGAGTGTTGGCACAGAAAGTACGTTCCGCGATATGTCAAACAAGGCCGAATTGAGGTCAAAATTACGGCATATTGCTGAAGAGCTCGAGAAGGACATGAAACGTGTGGAAGTGAAAGGCCGAACATTATGCTTGAAAATAAAATTGCATACCTACGAGGTATTTACGAGACAGGTTTGCACTCCTAAAGCAATATCGATGGCAGATGACCTCTACAATTATGCCCTGCCCATGCTCACGAAGTTGGAGAAGGAAATACCTAATATGACGCTACGCCTGATGGGTTTGAGAGCCACACACCTGCTCAGCACGAAGAAAGCAGATGTAGACGCCTTCTTCGCCAGAAAACAAGTCACGTCCAGACCAGTCAACAGTAATATTGAAGGAGAGTGGGAAGTCTGGCCTGACGAGGAGTTCGAGGAAGCGGCCAGACAGGAACGTGAGGCCGAGTTCCAGGAAATGGAGAGGTTGAGCCAAGGATACGACGATCTCCCTAAAACGACGAACAATTCTCTGCCATTTCCCGGCACAGATATCGCTGACTTACCAGAGCATGGCAGCCCTCACGTGGACTCGCTGCAGAACTTCTCGACAGCAGACTGGCATGAACCCTTTGGTCGGTACAAATACGGTTCGGCACCAAACACTCCGGACAAGGCACAATTGAATAAGCAAGTCTCCCAGGACGGCACATGGGATTGTCCCGTGTGTGGGGCTCCCCAAGCCGCGAACGACAAAGATTTCAACGAACATATCGATCTCTGTCTCAGCAGGGGCACAATTCGGGATGCAGTAGCGGAAGTTGCGAGTGCCCATGGGCCTGAAGATAAGACGCCCAACCGTCCAGTAAGCGCTATGGGCGTGAAACGGAAAGGTGGTACCACAACAGAGTTGGCGGGATCTAAGCAGAGAAAGTTGTTTTTTGCATAGACGAGGCAGCTGGAACCACAGTCTGACACGAAGCTATGATTTTATGAAATAGAATGTACAAATACTCTATGCTTTCCCTTGCCCAAACACCTTCGCTTCGTAATAACGTCGATGTTATTGGCTTTCGAGTTGCTGGGTATTCGTAGTACTCTTTAGTCGGGTCGACATTTAATCAGACGTGACTTCTGAATCACGAAAAAACACGCTAGCAACTGCGACAGACGCGCGTTCTGTTGAAAACCTCGCACTCAGCCGAGACTACCATCAATCTTCACCTCGTATTTGTATCGTCGCTGCTATCATACAAGTTCTGTGTGTACACCATGGACGCACCACGGCATCTATTTCCCCTCGTTGTATCATGCTCTTTGCGCGAGCCTCCTTGATGTCCTCCTGTTCTCTGTACGGTATAAACGATTAGGGCTTGGCCGACAGATAGATGCTCGGCAAAAGGCAGCTGCTTGTGATGCTTGAGATGGTGTCTAGAGCATGGGAGCTTGTGTGCATCGTGAAGTGACACGTGCTGGTACGCAATAGTAACGACCCGATGGTATAGGGCACCAAGCGAGCTACACAACCTTGGTTCTACAATAGCTTATGCTCCAACGATCGAGTTGATTGCGAAGCACACTTGCTGTCCACGATCGTATCTCAACAGCTATACTAATGCAAATGGACGAACGTCCATTTGCTTGGCACCCTCACGGAGAAGCCATCCCCAAGTGCTTATGCAACGTTGTGTAGAGCTGTCAACTGTCGCTATGAGAAGGATATCAAAATCTGCAGCGTCGGCGGCATTGAGACTCGGCATAAGATGGGAATACTTCAGCACATATTTTGTGCCAACCAAAGTTGGATAAGTACTAATTTCAAACGCAATGAATTGCTTCCAGTGCTGCCAATTTCACCTAACACAACAACTATATAAACTTGAACCGTAAGTACAACTCGCCATCTGCAAGGGGTATGGTGACAAGCACGACCTGGTTGAGACAAGCTATCGAGCTCGAGCATCAACCCGACGAAAGTCTTAGCTAGTTCCACAAATTATCGACCATTATCTGCAAGCTATATGTGCTCTCTGTAGACACTACCACGGTCCCGATATCATTGCCACACTGGCGCAAATCAATCGAGCAAATACCAGGTACTACAGCGAGGGAAATGTCTTAGGTAGTATATTCAGCCTTCAGGGTCCAGGTCCACCCAAATTGATTCGTGAGTAAGGGGCTTGTATCGAAGGAGATTTTGCGTGGATGGGAGCCCTCAAGCCAAAATAGTAGGCCAGACCTGTTTAACAACCAGGAAACTCCCCTGCATCACCAATCTGACGATACTAGTGATAGACTAACGTGAGTATTCTTTGTGTCAGTTACATTCCCTCACGAGATAGTCACCTTCGAGCCTCATCAACCCAGGGCCATAAACTACAACTTACTCATTCAGTCGTGCGAAAATTGCACCACCCACAAACGTCGTATACTCCACGACCAGACAACGACCCGGCGAGCTTCCGTCGTGCTCTTCAAGCTCTCAGAGATATTGTGGCACGATTATACAGATGAGTCAGGAAAAGTCATGCTCATCAAGGAGCACATACAGCTTGCTTTGGGAACGTATCCTGGCCGCGAAGAGGACAAAGACGCCCATCGAGAAGATACATACAGATTTTGATAGCAACAACCATGGTAGCGTTGTTACAGGCGACACGCCGCAGAACCAGACTGGACACATAAACACATATCTGCTCAGCAAGGACTCGAGCTCAACATTACCTCGACGTTGGCGGCGAGATAGGTCACATAGGCCAACTCCGTCTTTTGGCACACGCTCTATTCAAAGCACTGATAGACACACCATCACTCGTACAGCGTCAATGAGTTCATGGACCGAGGATGCAATTACGTTAGCAGCACATGAAAACTCTCTAGAGCTGCCTCCACCAAGTTGGTGTCTGAAGTTACCAGATGCAGTCACTACGACTCCGTCCCTACTGACGTTGACGCACGAAGAGTTGCGAACAAGAGGTATATGGACACCTCGGCCCACTTTCGAATCGACGAGGATTTGTCCATCGTTTAGCATCGCTAGGCCTACCACAGCCAGGACCATGTCCGTTCGGTCTGCCTTGTCCAACTTTGCTCCTCATCCAGGAGTGAGGCTATTGTTGTACAATGAGCGTGTTGTTGAGCCGCCTTCCAACACCAACCACGATACTGAAGTCTATCCTAGCTCACTGCCTCTAGCTCTCATCGTTCTTGGCATCTGTCTTTCTGTGTTCATCATATCCCTAGACAGAGGTATTATCACCACAGCAATCCCTTCGATTGTGATAGAGTTCCAATATTACTCTGACATTGGCTGGTATGGGAGCGCATACCTACTGACAGCCTCAGCATTTCAACCTCTTTATGGCCGCATATACACTTCATTCAACGTCAAGTGGTCGTTCTTGGTAGCGGTAGCCATATTTGAGGTAGGAAGTCTCGTTTGTGCTGTCTCACCACATTCCAGGGCTCTTGTTCTTGGTCGAGCTGTGCAAGGCTTGGGCAGTGCCGGTATCTTGACTGGGTCTTTCGTTGTTGGAACCCACAGTGTCCGGTTAGCAAGCCGTCCAATTCTCTTCGCCTTTGTCGGCGTGCTATACGGTACTGGCGCACTTGTCGGACCCATGCTCGGAGGAGTCTTTAGCCAGCTTACGACTTGGCGATGGTGCTTCTACATCAATTTGCCGATAGGTGCCATCACTTTCGTTAGTGTCTTTTGCTTTTTCGATCCAAGAGGATCGCAGAAAATGCCGGAATTAGGTCGTCAGACCTCGGATCTGACTAGCATTGGTAACAGCTTCTTTCGACGTATCAAAGCTTTAGACTGGATCGGCAACACTCTCTTCACCTCGGCCTGCACATTTCTATTCCTGGCTCTTCAGTGGTCTCAGGAGCGCTCCTCAGACTGGTCTTCTGCACGCTGTATCGCTATCATTGTGTTATCGGGCGCGATGTTCTTGAGCTTTGGAGTATGGCTATGGTGGCAAGGTGATGAAGCCCTAATCCCACTTCACATTCTGCGGCAGCGCACTGTGGCAGTCTCATGTATAGCCGCCTTCTTTATCTACGGCACATTACTTATACACACGTACTACTTGCCGATCTGGTTCCAAGCTATCAAAGACAAGACAGCCATCGAGAGCGGTATCGCTACGATACCGTATATGCTCATAAACGCTCTCTTCAGTCTGGCTGCAGGCGTATTCGTCTCAAAGAATGGACTATTTGCTCCGCCAGCGATCGCGGGTTGTTTCATCGCCACGATCGGTGCCGGTCTTTTGGCAACACTACAGCCAAACACTACAACTGCCACCTGGGCAGGTTTTGAAGCTCTCGTTTCGGCCGGTCTTGGAATGGCTATTCAGCAGGGCTTCTCAGCTGTGCAAGCCACGTTGCCAATTCATGAGGTACCTATCGGAACTGCCGCGGTGGTTGCTTGCCAGAGTGCCGGCGGTGCAATCTTCGTGAGTGTAGGCAACACTTTGTTACAAAATCATCTGTTCGATGCAAACACCGCGAACACGATACCAGGCGTGAATATCAGAGCTGTGATTGAGCTTGGAGCAACACGATTTCGCGAATTTGTACCAGCTGAGAGTTTGCCAGCCCTGCTCAACCTCTACAACGATGCTCTTCAGGCGGTGTTCATCGCTGCTGTGCCACTGTGTGGGTTGGCCTTATTCTGTACCTTATTCATGGAATGGAAAAGTGTACGTGAAGGAGAAAGTCCTCATTACGAAGCACAGACAGCATCCGAGCTTGAAATTGGCAGCATACCTGGCTTCTCGACACCAGAGCTCGGCTCCGATGCACCTACCCTTGCTCACCTAGCACCACGAGCGCGTGCGCGCTGGAATCAGAGGTGGAAGACGCCTCGAACCGCGTCCAAAACACCACTCTCGACATTGAATGTTGTTCCCGAGTTAAACATTTCGGAGAAGACGCTTGCACCCTTTCAGATCAAGCACGACGGATTTTTAGCTGGAGAGATGAAAGAGGTCGAAATTCAGGATGAAATTGGTAAAGCAATTACTGTTTGAGCGCATGCGAAAAGGGGCACGGTCACGTGAGATGTTGTTCTTGTGGGTATCATTGGCGTTTGGTATGCGTACTACTTCGCTTAGTAGAGGTCTGTTGTGCGATCGCGGGCCACTGACATCGACTATGACAAGTAGCACCAGCTTTTGATTTTCTCTGGATTCTGGTGATACAAGTCCTCATTCTTGTTGAGCCTTTATCTATGCGCTCTGCCACGTCCATTTTGTCCCATCTCTTTCGCAGTGATCGCCCATCTCAATCACAGCACAATCCTCTAATTATTGCTGCTAGAAATATCCCTTTCAACGCCACCATTGTTCTTTCTATTGGTCGATTCTGTAGTTCCCTCCTGGCCTCTTTCCTCCCCACTCCTCTTCTTCTTTATCCACGACCAAACCTCATATCAACTTTCCTAACATCAGCATCCCACTGCTCCATCAAATAATTCAACATCTCCCTCGCAGTCCGAAAACCACCCCGTCGATGATCCTCATCAAGTAAATCGTAAAACGCTTCGCTCGTAACACAACTGACGATGTAATTGACTTTTGTCTGCTCGTCCAGTGGTGCCATTGAGGCGAGTTTGCCGTTCATTTTGACGTACCATTCAGAGAAGCTGATGTTGTTTTTGGTGTGTCGGAAGTCGCTGCCGTAGAAGACGGGAGGGTCGGGAATGAGGTAGGTTAGAGCGAAGTGTGAGATGGTGGGACTGGGAGTGTGAGAGGGTTGCGCAGAGGTATTGGGAGTGGTTGAGAGGCTGAGGAATGAGGTTTCGTTGATGGGAGATTGGTCGTGCATGGTAGTTGGGCTGTCTTTGGTGGCCATCTGTGGTTAGATTAGTAATAATTGTTCTCGCAGCTTGTAGAAGATGGAATGGGTTACCGTATGAGAGTCTAGTCTGCCGGCAGACATTGACTCGTGAAGTTGCGCTTCGTGCGACTCAGCGAGCATTTGTGGATTTTGTGAGTTCGTGCAGTCGTCGATCAGAACCATTGTACAACTCGATAGACGACGTTGATAATTTGTGTGAGTTGAGAGTAGAACAGAAGTAGCAGTGAAGGAAACTAGTGAATCAAGTTGTAGGCAGCTCGCGAAATTTTAGTGCAGACCTTCACTCGTCAAAGGTTGACACGTAGAGTGCACTGTGTTTACTTACTTCCACCCAATTACGTTCTGATAATTACCAATACACCTCTTGCTATCACTACCGGTGCTCATGGCGTGAAAGCGCCTATGCCATTCCCTTCGATTTCTTCTTGAGTGCTTCCTTGTTTTCAGTGCTTCGGGATGAATCCTGGCAGCAAAAAGAGTATACGGAGGGCTCTTCATTCTGTCCTGGGCGAATTCATCGAGCTCATATCAAAGACCAGTATGGGCTTGTCGACTTCTTCACGCGTTGTAGATGTTGGGTTATGTTACGATATATCCCTTCTTCGACTATAATGTCAGACTTGCCCGAAGAATTTGATCGAGAAAGACCAGACTCGCTTGGAAGATACAAGCCATCTTTGGTAGCTCGTTAAGCTGATCAAATGTTTCGAATCGCACATATTCGGGCAGTCGACTGGATAGATGACGAGTTTCAGGAATTGTAAGTGAATCTGCATCTCGAGGGTGTATTCTTCCTGGTTAGCGAGCCAGGATAAAGTGCTAGTAGAATCAGCAACACTGCCTTGTGTAGATCATGTCATGCTTGACAGACAATGCGTCTCCAAGGCCAACAACTTGTACGATGCAATATCGTGGTGCTCGAATGAAACCTCTCACAAATTACCTCCTATGTTCGATCGAAGCCTCTCTCGGTTATCGACAGCAAGTTCGTTGCCACATCTTGAGAATACTGACCCGGTACAGAGACGAGGTATGGCCTGAACATCGTCTCGAGTGTAATTTCCTGATGGCTGTTTTATACCCATGGTTGAACGAGTATTTTATGAAGCCCTTCATTGACGCTAAGTATGTTAAGAATCTGGGCCACTAAACAGCAGTTACTTGTCGGGGTTCTACACGGCAGGAGCTAGATGACATTCTCAGACGTGTAATTGTGCTGCTTGTTGCCGCTGAGAACTGGAAGGAGCTTCTCAATCACTTGAATAAAAAGTGCACGTGATGGAGTGGAAACAGGGTTTATCGGGTTCTCTCACAACACTGACTTTCTCCATCATCCATCAATCGAAGCTTTCCTTGCTGACAGCTTCGCGGTCTGGCATGTACTTCGTGCTTCAACTATCTTCCGTCTGCATGCCTCCAAGCCATTGATGATCCTACATGCCTGTGTCCCTTCTCCTCCTTGTCCAGCTACTGATTATGCGGTCTCTGTATCGATGCTGTTTGCCATCATGGTCTTTGTCGTTGCTTACATGCGAGGGCAGACGTGTCGATCTTGCTATGGCATGTTGACATATTGCTGGTGCTTTCAACGAAAGTCTTTGATGGTTTGATATCTTCTCAAAGGTTTTTGAGTGCTGACATGGACTTTGGACATGAAGACAAGCTAGAAAGTGCGATGCTGTGCCCGCAACAAAGCTCACTGACTTTCTGCTCTGTAACTTCTGTCATTTTCCTGAGCTCCTTTGAGCTAACAATGTCTGTGGTAAGCTAGCTACCTGTTGAATCAGTGTATATATCCTTCCATCATCTTGCCTTTTGCTCTTGCCCTTTAGGACATCACCAAAAATATATTATATGCTCACAGTACTCTCTAGCCAACACACTTCCTGTGCCCTGCTAAATATATGATGCTCGGAAACTCGCGGCTGTCGTCGCGGCTCTGTCGCCAACGAAGATGACTTCGACTTCACAATCAGCTCAACAATAGCTACAATAGTAAGTCGATACTGACCTTGCAAGTCAGCACTTCCGTTTGACTTACTAGACTTTAGTGAAAGGAATACCCACACTTCAGCAGGCTGTGCTGTTTCAGATTGGAGGTGTTTGCTCGATGGATGAGTATTTAAACTCGTTGAGAGTGTTCTGTTACTCGACACGATTCCTACCAGACACAGTCGATCGGTTGTCCCTTGACTCAGCAGTCCCTCGTTCGATCAATAAACACTCTAGAGATCTAGAGACACAGTCATCATGGCTGGCTATGGTCAAGTTGCTCGCCGAGCTGAGTACGAGAGAGCGCAGCTGGGACTTCCGCTCGCTCTGCAACGTGCTTCGACCATGAGGCTCAATCACGCTCTGATAGACGCAAGAAGGGCGAGTGTTAACGTGACTATCCACAACGAATTGCGCGGTTATCCAGCTAGGTATGCAGTATACGACATCAACAACCTTGGCTATCCCTGTGGCACTCGAGAGGTATACTTGCCCGCAGCCAAAGCGAATCCTCCACCAGTCCACGAGCAATGGAGACATACATCAGCTCACCTTTATGAGCCTTTTTTCTGCGGCGTCGACCTCCCTCCCCTGATGTTCCGCCTCGAGCCACACCACGACAACTTCCGAGACGAGAATGGCAACGACCATCCCGTCCCAGACTTGTACGACCAAGAGACTCGTCGCCCAATCAAGAATGGCCGCGGTGCACACCTCCGTTACTTCTCCTTTCTTCCTCGATACATCGCCTATGGCGTCAACGGCTCCCTCCTTGACTTCTGGTTCAAGCTCGATCCTCGACTGGAAATGAACGACATCCTGATGCGCATGGAACCGAGCGTGCATTTTGTGCCCGGCAAAATTGCAACAAAAGGAAAAGTTCGCAACGCTCTGCGTATGAGAAGAGATCGCAACTTTCGAGATCGCATTGGCCTTGCTCGGTGGGGTGACAGCAGACTATATCCTGGTGAGGGCGATGTCAAAGCACTCGACAAGCTCGATAGTCTGCAAATCTGCCTCAACACTACCATGATTGTAGACATGCCCGGAAGACGGTTGCTCAAGCCTTCATTCCTCGACAAAGCTTGTCGGCATTTTCGAGGGTATATAGACTCAGGTCTGCCTCTCCATTACTTTCTGCAAGATGCACCAGACTCCGCGGTGCCGTCGAAAAAGATGCTAGCCACACTGGAGCTGAGAGCGAGAATGCAGCACCTGGCAGTACTCAAGGGCGTTGGTGGTACCCTTGAGGACAATTGGATTTACCTAAATAAAATCGAAGATTGGCCTCCATGGTGGAATGACAAGGCTAAGGGAACAAAACAAGCGGAGGGTAGGAAGATCCATGAGATTGACAATCTGACACATAAAGAGTGGGCCTTTTTAGGTTATGGCGACAATGCAAGAGGTGGCTGGAGGGAGAGGCAGCAGACACGAGGAGACGTGATCTAGACGGTACTGAGGGTGTTGAGACACGCCTGTGACGTGATTTGGTTTCATTCCAGCGGTTTGAATACTTTGAGCAGTTGACATCGTGGTCTACCGCATCTGACAGACGCATTGCCGTTGACTTTGATAGCGTTTGAAACAATACTCACTCATCATGCATGCGAGCCATTGCCAAGTGGTATTTGAGCCAGAACCTCTCTGTATGAGCTCTATTGGGCTATGCAGAGACCTGGAAATCTCATATTCCAGATAGATTCGACTCAGTATTATTCTTGCGTTAAATATTGTCGTATTTGCATGTGCATACCTATCTACGAAGAAGCCAACTCCAATCGTGTTACCCTCCACCAACACTTAAGTCATTTCAAGCATATAGCTCACCAGGAGAATTTGCATTGCATGTTGCTCAATATACTGGCTGTACCAGCACCCACGAGTCAAAACGAATAGTCCGTCAAGTTCAATCATTCAACCTCCAACTCCTCAACCCGCACCCACAAACCCCGCTGAATCCACAACCCATAATTATCCTCCTTCTGCAACGGTCTCAACGGATCCATAAAAGAAAAATCAAACCGCCTCATCATCTCAAACAAACACTTCAACAACTCGATCCTCGCAATCCGCTCGCCAAGACACTTGTACCTGCCCGTCAAGAAGACAAGTTCGTGTTCTCGCTCCATGCGCGCGAGCAAGTCAGGATCAGCTTCGATCCAGCGGTCTGGGCGGAAGTGGGCGCAGTCAGCGCCGTAGAGGGGGTTGTGGCGGTAGAGGGCCCAGGCGGAGTATCCAATCTCTGTGCCGGGAGGGATGTGTAGGCCGTTGTAGATGTCGCCTTCTGGACCGACGACTTTGGGGTTCAGGCCAGTGTTGACGGGGTAGTAGCGCAGGGTTTCTTTGATGACTGCGTTGAGGTAGGGGAGTTCCTGGGCGCGGGCGTGGGAAATGACTTGGTCGCTGGGGACGCCTGCTGAGGTGACTTCAGCTTGGAGACGGTGGTAGACGCGTGGGTTGGCGATTGTGAAGATTAGAGCTGAGCGCAAGATGGTGCCGGAAGTGTCGCTGCCTGCGAGGATCTGCAGTAGTGAGTCGTCAGCTATCTCACCTTCATTTAGGCCGTGATTTATCATGCTTTGCAGCATGTCGTTTCTGGGTTGTTTTTGTGTTTTGTTCTCTTCGAAGCGCTTTGCGATGATCTCGTGGGCCACAGCTTTGACTTTACCCATGCCGACTCGGTCTTTGACGGTGGGTAGCGTCATACGCTGGAATGCAGGTGCTCTCATCAGGCGTGAGAGGACGGGCACTGCTGACATGAAGTTCATGGCGGGAAAGTTCGCTTCCATCGTCGCGATATACTCGTACTTGTCCTCATCTTCGAGCCAGCCGAACGGTCTGCCTGAGGCGAGACATGTGATGATGTCCAGAGTCAAGAATTGGATCTTCTGTCCTATGTCAACAGGCTTCAGACTGCCAGTTTTCGAGACGTATTTCGACTTGATCAGATCAACAAAGGTCAGGATCACCTTGTCCATGTCCGGCTCAAGGTTTGGATTTTCTTTTCCAGAATAGCCTGGGGTCAATTTTGACTTCAGCCTGGCATGGTTGTCCTTGTTCGTCTCAGAGAAGGCATTCTCGCGATCAGCATCGAACCGAAACGCTTTGTACCAATCACTTTTTCTATATGGCGAGCGAACAGCATTGACCTTGCGAACCAGATCGGTGTCAGACGTGACAAGTATGTTTGGGGCGATGCGCACAAGAGGCCCTGTCAAATGTCAGCCTATCTGATTGGTTCCCACCGTTCTGGTTCGTGTCGTGGTACCGTATTTTTCCAGTGCTTCGTAGAGGTACAGATGTCCCTTGCGACTCGTGGCAGCCCTGACCCACCACAGATTCGTCCAAGCGGCGAGGGGAGGTCCGGGGATGTGACTCAGCCGCCTGTAACTGGAGACATAGCTGACGATCCTAAAGACTATGGTCAGCAGCACGAGAACCGCGACGGCAGTGCGTGGAGAAACATTCTCCAGAATGCTGGAAACCGGATTCGAAGTCATTGCAGCTTCGTAAGACTGACAGCAGTGCCGCAAGCTCGAGACGATGACAGGTGGCACAGCATTTTGATAATGATCTTCAGTTACCAGGACTGTACCATGTCTTGATTGCCAGCACACCTTGCACTAGTGTATGCAGCTCGCAGCCACTAGTTGGTGACGATGCACGCGATTCATGCAATATCACTGAGCTATAGAAGTCTGCACCAGTCCGTGATTGCGTGAAAGAAAGCTAGACGGGCGGATCATCACTATCGCAAACTCTGCCGGTCTTTGCCCAATTGGCGTGCGTGTGAAAACTCCGAAAACGAGTCGACCGAAAGCTCTTCGAATTGGATCCGAGCTGGCGAACCGAGGCTAGAATATATCTGGCTAGCCCTAGACGCGGTATCGATAGTTCACGAACATAACGCGACACTATGCCCAACGCGTTGAGCTATATCGATCTATAATTCGGATCATTACATCCAGGTAGAACTCAAAATACGACTAACGTTTCAACGGAACCGTTCACGCATGATTGAACTTGAATGAAAAGAAGGCGTCGTTTGATGATTTTGTTCACACGTTACGAAAGGCACGAGCTATAGACATGGCCGCACATTTGTTCTCCTCAAGTTCCAATGACAACGATTATGCCCTCTCGTGTGAACGTGTCCGAAAGTTGTGACCGCATGCTTCATACCGAACGCCTTGTGTCTCGTTTCTTATGAGAAGTGTTGGATTGCGCTTGACAATCTCCTCCTCAAATGCAGAAGTACACGACCAGATCAACGCTCTTCCGCATGTGTTCACCGCGATGGACCAGCCTCTGTCTTGAAACTTCATGCTAGTTCCACGGTGTTGCTCCCAGGACTTCTACTTCTTGCCATCACACTTTGACGTTCGACCCTCAATATGCTGCATCGTGCTTAATCGATCTCGATGTGAAGACCATAGCAGTCTTTGGTGACATAAGTGAGCAACTCTTTCACAGAATTGAAGGGCTGGTTTGAGGGATGAGCGCGTGTAGGCATCCCATTGATGCGGCAGTACCTCTCCTCGTCGATTCCAATATCTCCATCGCCATCATCGTCGTCATCATCATCCAAAGACTCCTCAATGGTTTCTCCGATATAGGTGATCTGATCCTGCACAGGGAAGACCTGGATCGCCTTTAAAAAGGGCTGAAGCTTGAGATACCAAGCCAAGCAATCTGCCTTGGACACAGAGTTGAGCAAGGGCACGTTTTCGACGACGAGTTGTGTCTGGCCATCTTTCTCGAATTTTACCGTCCCAGTAAGGACATCGCTGAGCTTAGCCTCCTTCTCTATGGCTTCTCTGTTAGCTGCTCTGATGGCCTCGGGCATCTTTGCTATGATGGTTTCCAATCTATTGGCGAGTGCCTCGAGCTGTTGGAGGACAGGGTCGCTCTCCTCCTGACCTGGGGAAGCTGGAGGCGTTGGTAGGTGCTGAGCATGGTTTGAGAGGGCTGATTGCATAGTGTCGTTGTGCTGATCCTGAGCCATCTTTGTGAGGTGTATCTCTGAGGTGTACTATTCCTTTGGAATGGGAGTAGGAGGAAAGACGGAGGAAAGGAGTTGCGAAAGAGAGATATGTTCGTTCCGAACAATGAGCCATTCGTACATTTACGCATCGCGTTTGTTGTTGGTCATGTCACTTACCGTGGGTGATATTTACCACTTCACTTTCCCTAGAGTTCCTAAGGATGAAAGCATCAAGATTCGACAGCATCATCTCGTCTGGGTGGCTAGTGCTCTCGAAACCTTTCAACAACATGGCTGTTCAAATTTTCCTACTCTACCAGTTATGCTTGCTAAACTCCCACAGAACGCTCAAAAGTCATCCGGCATCACAGCCTGAATGTCATGCACGAGCAACGTTGAGGGACTTCATAACGTTCTAGTGCACCCGAAGAAAATGAGGCTGTTTTGGAAATGAACAATTTGGTCTTTACACCATGGAAAGCGTCTACTATAGGACCCGTCGCACATCTATGTTCTTATTCCCAAGAAACAACGACCCAGTGGATCCTCCATGGTGAGATATCCAACGGACATGCTGCCTGCGGTGCTCCAGTTCCAGTGTGTCCAGATTCCCATCAAGTCGTGTTCGAGCAAATTAGTGCGTGAAATTGTCGTTGGAAATGGGTCTCCATCTGCATCTAGTGTCCTTGACCAGCTTCTCTCCTGACCTCCCTATGCAACGGTTGATCCCAGACTCTTAGAGACAAGAAGTCGGCCTCTTGCCGTCGGAACTCTTTGCCTTCGATATACTGAGCAGTGTTCAGTCAAGGTCAACGTCGAGACCGTAGCAGTTTTTGGTGATGTAAATGAGAAGCTCTTTCACAGAGGTGAAACCCCGGCGATATCCATAGCGGTACATGTGTTTGCCCTGAATGTGAGCCAACCTCGCTTCGTCAATACCACATTGTCCATCAATGGCGGATGAAGGTAGAGACTCTTCGACACAGCTACCAATATAGACGATCTGGTCCTTGATAGAGATGACCTCAAGTGCCTTCAGAAGGGGCTGCATCCGGAAATACCAAGTCACACAATCGATAGGCCGTACAGAGTTGAGAATCGGTCTTTCCGTGATCGTCAAGACTGACTGGTTCTTCTTCCCATACTCCTCGATTCTCGACTCAGCGACACTGAGCTTGATCTTCGTCTCATTGGCTTCTTTCCGAAGGTTGTTGACCATCTCTCTGAGGCTTTGGGACTCTGTTCTGAGTGTCTGGATTTGGCTCTTGAGCTCGGTATTGTCCTGTTGACCTAGAGAGATAGGAATCCATGATAGGTATTGAGCAGGTGGAGCACCCACGGGCTGGACGAAGCCTGTGATATCGTGGTTCTGTCCTTGAGACCTAGTTGTGGTGTATCCTCCCAAAGACAAAAATCTTCTGTTGGTGGGAAAGAGAAAGGGCGTGGAAAGAAAAAAGGCAGGCACAAAAATAACATCCAAGAGGTCATTGTAGATTTGTGGGATGTGTTTGCTGCTGATAACGTCAATTTTGGCATGTGAGGACTTACGAGTTTCACTCTGCTGAAATATGCGAGTGAAGGTCCTAATTGCCGCACTCCTCGGACACACTATTAGACTGGCGTAGATCACGGCCTCGATAGCAGTGATCAGAGAACTTACCAGTAGTGTATCAGCTCGTCCAGGAATCTCAATGTTCTTGAAATATTTCAGCAAAATAACCATGCAGACTTTGTACCATTTCAGGAAATGCTTGCTATACGCCCATAAAACGCTCAAAATCATCACATCACAACCTAGCTCTGGGCGTATCTTCCATGTAAGTCTGACCCTGTTTGAGTTGCGCTACAGCTTCTCGTACCATATCCTCAACAATGTCCTTAGCAGGTTTGATGTCCTTGATAATGGCACTAACTTGACCCATGAGAAAGGGTGGATCAACCTCGACATCATTCTCCATATCTTGCGCTAATGGCACGATACCTTTGTCACACAGCTCTCTGATTTTCTCTGGTTGAGCCTCCCATTTGGCCAGATAGTCGTTCATCTTGACTCTCAGAGGTCGGCCAGAAACGACTAGTGTTCTCAAGGTATCTGTGAAGGTAGCCGACACCACTGCCTCTTTATGTAACCTCGAAGCACCAGACTCTTCAGCAGCGACAAATCGAGTGCCTACCCAAACACCTACAGCACCCTGCATTAACGAGCTTGCCAGACCTCGACCGTCGTATATGCCACCAGCTGCGACTACCAATGCTGGTTCACCAGTCAAGGGCGATTTGTATTTCTTTGCAACATCGCATACTGAGGGAATCAGTACCGAGTTCGAAATGTCACCAGTATGTCCGCCTCCTTCACCACCCTGTGCGCACACGATGTCTACTCCTGCTTTCAAGGCCTTTTCAGCATGTTTAGGCGCACCAACCATGTTCATCACAAAAATACCTGCTTCGTGAAGCCTCTTGATTACACGCTCTGGTGGCACACCAACTGCTGAAATGAAGATCTTCGCGCCGGACTCGATCGTCACAGTAATGAGGTCGTCCAATTGGCCATGGGTGTAATCGTGGTTGGTCTTTCGAGCGGAGCCACCGACCTGCGGTAGAGCCAAGTCGACACCGAAAGGCAGAGACGGGTCAGCCAGATTGGCCTTTAATTCGTCTATGATCTGGTCATAGCACTTAGTAGCGAACGAATACTCGGCATGTGGCTCTCACCTCTTGCAGCTGCTTGGGCGAGTACCCAAGTCCTCCTATGCATCCTATACCACCAGCATTCGATACTGCTGCTGCTAATGGTCCACCTGAAGTTCTCGCCATGCCAGCGAGCATGATAGGGTACTTGATTCCCAGTAGCTTGCATAGCGGCGTTGTGAGAGTTGGTGTTGACGCCATCTTGATTGAATACAAAGCGATCAAAAAAGACTGCGAGACCGTATGTTAGAGAGCATTGACGAGGTTAGTAGCAGGAGGAAGTAGTATATGAAAACGTTAGCAGAAGCGTAACACGAGTCGCACTGCAGCACTCGTGTGGGGAGATTCGTCTCAAAGCCGGGAAGACCGAGGTTCGCTAGGCACTCAGGCAGAAAGCTTGCCGAAGGATACCAAAAGAAGTAGAGCCGGACTGGTTTGCCATCTATCTCCATCTTCAGGCAAATGGTCGTGTGATGGTCTGGAAGTCAGAGGTCAACATGCATAACTCAACGGAAAGGGAGGGACGAAAATGTTTCTCTGGTCAATGGCAGATAATGCTGTACAGTTGCGCTCTAGCCAAAAGCGATAGCACGAGACCACTTTCCTGAGATGGCCAAGAACCAGGTCGCACCTTCCCAGGCCACACCCACCTAATGCTTTAACCCGTTCACGGTCGCGGCCACCTTGCCATTTGGCTGTTGATATTCGACCATTTTCGCAGGTGGATTTGGCACGAAGGACTTCCCATTCAGATTTTCCAGTGGTGGCTGCACATCTGTGCCAAGGGTGTCGTCTTCTGGGTCACCTTCGATATAGCTTTCGTCCTCCTCTTCCTCGTCGTCGTATTCGTCGTACTCTGACTCGGTACCGTCGTCCACCATTTCTTGAACAGGGCCACCTCTCCCCTGCTCTTGCATAGACTTAATAATGTCGCGCATCTTCTTGTCGGCGTTCTTGTACTTGTCTATTTCTTTCAAATGCTTATCTCTCTCTTCTGCCATCTTCAGGATATTGTTCTTGAGAGCATCGTGTTTCTTGGTCAGTCGTTGGTTTTCTCGTTCAAGTACCTTCGTCTTCTTGCTCATCTCTTCCATCTCTTTCCTAAAGGTGAGGAAGAGCTCGTTCGAATTGTTGAGGGTATCTTCTACCTGCTATTTAGTAAGTCTCAGCTTCAGCTTCATACAATAAAAATAGGAGGAAGAAAGGCTTACCTGTTTGAACTTTTCGACATAGATGTTCAGCTGCGAGCGTAGTTCAGCTTCCGTGTGGGAGAAGGTGCTCACTTGGCCTGTAAGAGTGCGACATCTCGACGCCTCAGCATCAGCTCGTTTGCGTTCGACCTCATGCTTGGCTTGCAGATGAGCTATTTCTGCATCTTTGTGGCGTAGTATAGACTTGAAATGTAATTCACGTAGTTCCGCTTGGTCGAAGAGCACCTTGCAGCGAGTCTTGATTCTGAAGACAATGTTAGCATACGAGTTCTGACACTGGCAGTTCGAACATACACATCGTCGAGCTCCATGTTCAGGTTCTCACTGTGCGAAGGAGCCCTCGCGTTCATGACGTCCTGCACATCGTCGAGTAACTCGTCCAGACGTACGTTTACAGTCTCCCTCGCGACTCTTTCTGTGTCTTCCAGCTTCTTGTTGTCATCCTTGAGCTTCCGATTCTCCTGCTGGAAAGTCCTCGAAAGTTTCTCCATCTTGTCCTTCTGTGTATTGACCTTGTTGTGCTCAGAAGTGATCTTGTCTTTATCCTTCTGAAGTTGATCGGCCTTCTTCTTCTGCTTCGCCAATTCTCGTTCCAGCTTCTTCATGTCAGCATACAGCGCGTCGTATCTCCTCTTGATCAAATCAGCTCTCTCCTGGTCACTGGTGATCTTATTGAGTTCCTCGTCCACGCGACCTGCCTCTTTCTTGACCTCTTTATCAACTTCAGCCTGTTGCGTCTTTTCTCCAGCCTTCTCCTGTTCCAGCTGAGCCAGTCTGGCTTGGATCAATTTCGCATTTTCTTCACTGCTCGGCTTTTCCTTCTTCGCTTTGTTCTTTTTAGTCGCGATTGTGGGTGGTGGAAGATCTCCATTCGTGATCGATGCATTGATGGTGGTTGCTGTGCTCGCCATGACTTGCACTAATGTTCGAGTGAAGCTAGGATGATATCGACGACTTGAACCCGAACTCGATTTGCAGGCAGCGCATTATCCGCCACTCTGCACCACCCTTTCCAATAGACGACCCTTCCTCGAATTAGACTTGATGAGTGCAGTCTTGCCGCCCTCAAAGCTATGCTGAATACTTGTTTATACAAGCTTTGTGTCTATGACTGTGTCGATTCTTTTAGTCCGATCGGGAACGCTACCAGTTTAAGATGGTCGTACAGCGCGAAAAGTGTTGATGTGAATGCGCGGATTATACAAGAGACTGTTTAATCATCGATGAAAGTGTTACAGAGCAGACTATACAGGCGGTGGTTGAGGGGTGCTGCCACATCAGAGTTCGAGGCCGACGACTTCGAGATTGGCAGAGCCGCACGTGACATGGCTGCTCTGCAATTGCCTCTCATTCGATTATACAGTCGCGACTTAGACGACTGCCACAGCACACTTCATCTTATCGCCATCATCATTTACAACACACATCGTACCTTTCTATAACAGGTCTTTGATTATCGTATAGCCTGTGTACACTGTCCGAAACCTGCGCCAGCACCCTGTCACATCTCCCGCTAATTCTTCGAGTGGGACTGAGCGCCGTTACTTCCAGCTAAGCACGTTCAACAGGACCTGCTGAGCGGCTATATTACAAGAGCTGGAATGCTAAGGCATGTTGGCCAATATGGATCGCCACTTCACGGTGTACGTCCTAGATGTGTTGGCTTCTTGACACCTCGTAGCAGAGTGCAGAGATATGCTTCGGTGACGAACATAGAAAACTTTCCTGCATTGGGAGAGCAGTTACATGGCTTCACCCTCAAGCAGAAGAAACACGTTCCAGAACTCCATCTGACTGCTTTACAACTCGAGCACGACAAGACAGGCGCTGAGTATCTGCATGTGGCACGTGAAGACAAGAACAATGTGTTCGCTATCAATTTCAAGACCAACCCAATAGACCGTACTGGTCTTCCACATATACTTGAACATGTTACTCTCTGCGGAAGCGAGAAATTTCCTGTTCGCGACCCATTCTTCAAAATGATGCCTCGCTCTTTGGCCAATTTTATGAATGCTTTTACCTCTTCCGACTACACTTCCTATCCTTTTGCTACCACTAACGCTCAGGACTTCAGAAATCTGGCCTCTGTCTATCTCGATGCTACGCTTCATCCACTGTTGAAAAGGACTGATTTCCTGCAAGAAGGATGGCGCTTAGGGCCGGAGAACCCTAAAGAGCCAGCCACTGATGAAAATACCATTTTCAAAGGTGTTGTGTACAACGAGATGAAAGGTCAGATGTCCGACGCCAGCTACCTTTACTACATTCGCTTCAGAGAACATCTATTCCCGTCTCTTGAAAATTCTGGCGGAGATCCGGAGAAAATGACCAACTTGACTCATGAGCAGCTTGTGAAGTTCTCGAGGGAGCATTATCACCCCAGCAATGCAAAGATCTTCACCTACGGCAATCTGCCTTTGGCTGATCACCTTCAGCAGGTCGACCAGGCACTTTCACAGTTCAGTCGTGCTGCTAAAGATGCAGACCTGAAAGGACCAATCGACCTTGCTGATGGTCCGATCACCTATGAAGTATCGGGTCCTCTCGACACAATGCAACCCGCCGAACGACAAACCAAATCATCTATCTCCTGGTTAGGATGTCAATCCTCCGACATTGTCGAGAACTTCTCATTGAGCATAATGATTTCGTTACTGATGAGTGGCTACGGCTCACCTCTATATCAAGGCTTGATCGAGTCTGGGCTTGGCACGAATTTTAGCCCAAACTCGGGTTATGACTCTTCAGCTAAGCTGTCTGTGGTCTCGATCGGCTTAGATGGAATGAAGGCAGAAGATGCAAAGGGTCTTAGGACGACTATTCGACAAATACTTCGTGAGAAGGGCTCAGAGGCGTTCCAGCCTCACAAGGTCGAAGGCTATATGCACCAGCTTGAGATCGCACTCAAGCACAAGACTTCCAGATTTGGTATGGGTTTGTTGGACAAGACTATGCCAGGCTGGTTTAACGGCACAAGTCCAATGGATGGTCTGGCATGGAACGAGATCATTGATGCTTTCAAGGCGCGACTAGCAAAAGGGAACTTGCTTGAATCACTAATGGAGAAATATCTCCTGAACGACAAATCGTTACAGTTCACTATGAACCCTGCCGAGTCGTACAATGCTGAGCTTGAAGCACAAGAACAGCAGCGGAGAGCAAATATACTGGAAGCACAAACGAGAGCAGCAGGTAGTTCTGAGGCTGTCTTTGAGCAATTAGGCAAACAGGAGATGGAACTGTTGGCAGAGCAAGAAGACGCACAGCACAGTAACTTGGAAACTCTGCCAACTCTTCACGTCAAGGACATACCAAGAGAGAAAGAGAAAAAGTCGCTCCGCTGGGACACCATCGGTCAATCCAGGACGTTATGGAGAGAAACCGACACGAACGGCATCACTTATTTTCAGGCGAGATACCTCATCGATCAATTGCCGGGCGAGCTTCGCGCACTGATGCCCTTGTTTACTGAGAGCCTGATGCGCCTAGGCACTAAATCCATGTCTGTGGGCGATCTGGAGGCAGAGATATTGCTCAAGACTGGCGGTATCTCAGTTGCACCTTTGCTTGCACCTAGCCCTTTCAGCAACACTGAGTATAGCGAGGGACTTACATTCGACGGATACGCGCTCGACCGCAATATGCCTGCTATGCTTGACCTTATGAGAACCATCTTGCTTGAGGTCGACTTCGACGCACCTCACGCTACATCTGCCATTCTAGAATTGCTAGAATCGAAGACCTCGGGTGCACTGGACTCAGTGGCTGAGATGGGTCACCACTTCGCAGTATCTTCGGCTGCCGCTGCCCTGTCGGAGCGTGCTCAAAAGAGGGAACAACTTTCGGGCCTGTCCCAAATTGAATTCAGTGCAAAACTGCTCAGATCTGCTAGAGCAGATCCTCAATATTTACAAGAACTCATTGGGAAACTAAAACTCATTCAAAGGATAGCTGTAGCTAACTCGGCCGATTTGTCCATGCGTGTAGTCTGTGAACCCTCATCGGTTTCGACGAACCAGGGACTCATTCAGAAGTTCACCCAACGTCTCCCACAGGCACAGACAGCACCATTTGCGGAGTATTCCTCGCAACCCGTGCCAGGCTCAACCTTTTCGAGAAACACATTCTTCAACATGCCGTTTCAGGTATCATATACAGGAACTTGTATAAACACAGTACCGTTCGGATCACCAGACAAAGCTCCTCTCACCATACTAAGTCAGCTGCTTACACATAACTTCTTACTACGGGAGGTTCGAGAAAAGGGTGGTGCCTATGGTGCGTCTGCCAGCACTGGACCTAGCCGAAGTCTTTTCACCATGTCGTCTTATCGAGATCCCAATCCACGTAATGCGCTGAACATCTTCCGGAAAGCTGGCGAATTCGCACAAGATCGAGCTTGGAGCGACCGAGAACTGGAAGAAAGTAAGCTCAGTGTCTTCCAAGGTATCGATGCACCCACCAGCGTAAGCAGCGATGGTGCGAAAGAATTCATGTATGGCATTACAGAAGAGATGGATCAACAAATGCGAGAGCAACTCCTCAGTGTAAACAAAGACGATATACAACGCGTTGCACGAGATTATCTCGTCAATGCGAAAGAGGAGGATGTATCAACAGCAATACTTGGTGAGAAAAAGAGTTGGGTAGACGAAGATAAGAAGTATCATGTACGAGGTTTAAATGTTTCAGCATAGCGAGTGAGTAAGTCAGCGATTATTATAGACTAATGTACAGCATATCTCTACTTCACCAGATGCTGTTCGAGGTAGCTCTACTGATCGCTCTTCGCGACTTTCCCTTTCTACCCAGCATGCTAACAGTCAAGCGCGACTGAACAGAGCTATACGTCTGCGACTTCGAGTGCTTCCACAGTCGCAGATCACAAGTCTCAAAATGACAAGGCGCAAGAGCAATGGACACTACACTTCACAGCAAAACCTCCAGCCCCAAAAGCTGGATGGTCTTGTTTGTTAGCTGTATCTGACCAGCAGACTTCCAGAACTATCGTTCTAAGAGGACCAGGAATGGTGGACTAAGGAATGCGAACATCTCGTGCGTCTGGGATTTCATTATACCCAATTTTCAAAAGAACCGTTCACGATCGGCCGTGCCTGATTGGTAGTGTAAGTACTCGCTCCTTGTGTCTGGAAGCCTTGAGGTCGTTCTTTAACGATCTAGGCATAGTCAAGAAAAATTAGATTGCCTGCTCTCCTCTGGAGACAAGTAGCAAATAAGTGGCGAGTGCTAATTTGCAAAGACCCTCTACTCTTTCTTTCACTCATATGAGTACGGTTACACCTGCCCATTCTTCTTTAGTCCGACCTGCACTCCTGCACAACCATGTTTTGCCATTCTTGTCCACGTGCCATCCTGGTATTCTCTACCCTTTGTACTTACTTGCCTGCCTTCCACCTGCCTCACTCACAAGCCATGCCCGAATCTCATCAAGCCTGGAAAGTCAAACTAGTCACGGCATTTATCGTCGTCTGCGACTGGCACAACTACCGAGATGGGGCCTTTCGTGGACGAGTCACCGGAGATACAACCTTCGAAGGTGCTATTGAGATCTTCTTGCGTTCCAACGCGTTTAGCACGGAGGAGAAAAAGCAATACATTACACCTCTGTTACTGCACGTCCGCAGATGTGAGATCCTGGAAAGTCAGGGACCAGACGATGATGTTCTTGAGCAGCAGCGCGGAAGGATCAAGAAGTACTTCGAGATTTTCCCGCAGCAAGATAGCCACGAGCTAGAGATGGAAAACTTATCGTTATCGAAATCGGTCAGTGCACATATTGTTGAAGATGACGGAGAAGCTACAGATGACGGCAGCGAGAAGCGTATTGGCACACGGCATGGTGATGAGGATGTGAGTGATCATGAAATTAGCGAGGACGATGACGATGACGACTCTGCAGACGGCCACGCAGTCGAATTCGAAACCGAAGCTGGCTGGTATACAATGCTAGTATGTGCAGACGATGACGAGGTGGTGACTAGCAAGGTTTACAAATGCAGGAAGGAGGAGCTGACTGGACGATCTAAGCCTGTGTTTGAGAGCAATGACAAACATGAGGTCGCAACGTTCATCAAGATAGAGGAGAAAATAGCACTTCTTACAGCATCGAGGAAAGAAGCGAAGAGTGACGTTGAGGCGAAGAAGAAAGAACTTGAGACAGTACAAGCCGAAAGAGATGGATTCATGAGGATGATTGAGGGTCAAAGAGAAGGCCATTGAGAATGGTTGGAATCGAAGAGGTCGAGAAACCGATAGACGGTCATTGAGGTGATCTATGGTGGCACGTTGGCAAGCAGAGGTATTGCTGAAGCCATAAAAGCATTGGACGTACTTCATGCTGATCCCTGCACCAAGTACTGAGGATCTGGTGGAAGAGCTGCAAACCACTCCAGATCAGTGTATCACTAAACATAACAGAATGTGGCACCAAGCGACCTGGAATTCAGAATTGACGTGGGTCTGAATTTCCTTGAGATGAATCTTCACTCAGATATAGACAGTGAAGGACAACTTGTTCTGTGCACATATGCAAGCTTCAACTTTTCAAGTTATTGAGTACCTTGTCGATGAGTAAGACGACCAGTATGATCGGGCGAAGCGAGTTCAGATAATGCACCGGGAAGTGGTTGAGTGTCATGGTACTACGCGAAAGGGACTCGGAGTGACCATGAACGCCTGGAGAATCGGGGATGTCCCCCCAAGCCGTCTACTCTGGCCCAAATTAGATTTCACAGTCTTCATTGTTCTCGCTCCTCCATCCTTCTTCCTAATCACCATCTCACAATCCTATCAGCTCTATCTTGTTTCCTGTCCTATTCTCAGATTTACGCAGCACACCTTATTGGCCTGACAAATCCAAAGACCATCTCCCAGGATGAATACCCTCGAAGGCCTCGACGAAGTAATCGTCAACGCCCTCCGAAAAGGAATCAACCAATACCGCTACAAAAACGGTGCCTTCACCAGACAAATCAGGAAGAACACCTCCATCCACGACGCCCTCCGAGTCTTCATCAACTCACCTCTCGTCACCAACGCCGAGAAAGCCGAGCACTTCCTACCTACATTTGAATACCGTACCAAGCTCGAGCAAACTGCAAAGACGAAGACGAAGGAAGACCACGTGTTCTGGCTCAATGCGTTCACGAGATTGCTGGAGGTATGTGAAGTCTTTGAGAATGATATGAGAGCTCGTGGTGTGAATCTGGGACCTCCGCTGCCTGGGATGATTCAAGTTGCGGGTAGTGGGAGGGGAATCGACCAGACGTTGGTGTTTGAGAATGACGGCACTATCAGTAAGCATGAGGGCGGCGAGCTTGGGGTCATTCCCGGGGCACGTCCATCCTCGGAGTGTGCACGAGATGTAAATCGTCAACAGGGACATGCTGGAAGTGAGGCTGGAAGCAAGGCTGGAAGCAAACGTGGAAAGAAGAATAAGAAGTCACGGGCTAAAAACGGAGTGGGCGATGTCGAGCTGGCTGGATCGGAAATTGTGAAGGGCGAACACACCGGGCTCACAGACAAGACTGACTGTGATGATACTGGTAATTCTGCCAATGGCCAAGGTACGTTTGCATGATCCAAGAAACGTGATCGTCACTGACCTAAAGCAGGTACCATCAACAAACCGACCAGTATCGAAAATAATACGACAAAGCCCGACGACATCGGCGACTTCAGCGCTGCCTTTGGCAGAAATGCTCGGCGATTCTTCGATTGAGGCGTGTACCAAACACATAATGGCTTAGATTGACGTGCTCAATTGTGCGGACAGGCGTATGTCGTTTGAAGCAATGTGGATCGACAGCGTTGGCACAGGAAGATGTACCGACTTGCGTAGGCAGTGTCGTCGTCAACGGATCTGGTATAAATGATGGGAATACGCATGAGCAGGGAATTGCTGTCACCATTGAGGCTTGCCATCAACGTTGCTGAGGTAGATAAATGTCAAGATAAAGTTGTTGCATTGATCAGCTTTGTCGGATCTCTTTTTCTCATCCTGCTCAACATCAAATCATTCCGACCACTCTGTGACTCTACCTTAGTCATCACGTATCAAGCGTTCACCCATTTCATTGCCGTCGCCGATTCGTCCCTGTGTCAGAAATCGCAAAGCAGACCCCAGATAAAGCACCAAGGCTCTCTGAAAGTCGACCACCTGAACCAAGCCGTACACAACATGCCATACAAGCAACCACAACGCATAGATCAAAATCCATTGCTTCCCAGTGCGCATTGGGGCAAGCGCAGTCAACCACAGCGCGGGTCAGGTCATCATCAGGATCGTCAACCATTCCAGCAGGGTCCAGCTACTGAGCGTGACCGTAGCGAGCAGCAACGACAGCCTGGTGTGCAAGAAGAGGCAAGCACGCGGACACGCTCAACGCATGAGCCCGATGATCTGGATCTAGGACCCCCCATGCTGCCGATTGATATTGAAGAATCTGGTTCGATGATCTGGTCTGAGGAACGACATTGTTGGGAGCCCGTTCTAGAGCCTGAAGAAGTAGTCGACGATGAAAATACAGGCACCAGGATTGGACATTGTGGTCACGAGTGTCGAAGGTCAGCTGCTTGTCCGTACAACCAGCCACCTAGCAGCCTCGATCGGCAACGCATTCCGGAAGGTGCTGAGGTCGAATACACCAGCTTGCCAAGAAGGATCGCAGAAACCCGACCCTCTAGTTATGCTGAATGTCCAATTGACGCATCACGTGTCGAGGATAATGAAGATGCATATGATGGCGACTTTGAGGATTACAGACCATGTCGACATGAGTCACGGTCCCCCAACGCCAAAGAAGTCGACAAATGTGCATCACCACAGGTTGCACGTCTGGCGAGGATGGACGGAAAGGCTCAGGACAAGACGACCGCCGAACGCATGTTGAAACGCCACACAGAAGGAGTAGCAGAACGCGGAAGGCACCAAACTCCACGAGATCTGCTGTTCAATGGCGGTATAGCACGAACTTCAAGCGTCGAATCACCTAATTTTCCTCCACGGGCGTTGCGTGTACTCATGGACGATCCTGATTATGGCCATCTCATTGCTGGAAGGAACGCTGCTAGATATCTGCACCTCCGTACACGATCTGACAAGCTTCTGTATCCTTTGATCGAGCAGATGGTGGAGGAGATCGAAGGAGAGCTACTGGATCTAGTGGACACTTTTCAGGCTCGCTGGCACGGAGAGCTTGGCTTCAGTTATATGGAAAGTGACTTATACCCGAGAGCCAGTGGCGACGCGATGACGAGCGCCGAGCAAGCAATGGTCCTCCGTAGGGATGAGAATGCACGCAAAGAACTGGAGCAGAAGGTCAGAAGCAGCATGCAGAATGCAGGCCTGGACGTGTCGGCTGCCAGACAACCAGCCAGCGCAGCAAAAAGTTCCTCGTCCAGCATACCTCCGCAGGAACTGCCAGACACATTCCGGAGAAAGCCTGTGTCGATGAGCTCGTCTAGCCAGCCGGTATTCACTGCTCCCAATGTCCATTCAGAGGTACATGCTGATGAGGCTGGCGGAAATTGTTCCAGGAGTGGATGGCCGTCGCAACCTCAGCGCCTTATTACAAACATCGAGGAAATCAAGGTTCCCCAGGCCTCGCGGGTAAGATGGGCGGATGAGCTGGGATTGGAATCTCCATATATCTGCAGCGATCCAGCTCGCAAGCAAGCTTTCCTAGTGAGAAGAGTTCGGGATCGCGCTGATACACTGTCAAGCGGAACTATAAGGCAAGAATGTGAGAGCGAAGGAGTACAGAATGCTGGTCCAAGCACGCTCGAATCAAGAAGTCATGACAGTCCAGCTCGAGATGCATCTCCTAGGCCCGAAGTCAAGGGACGTATTGACTTAAGCAATTTTGTGACAAGCGCGCGAAAGCGGTGGTTCTGATAGTGAGCACAGCTTACTCATGATATCTTGAAGCCACGGGTTCTCGTTCAATGCTCTTTAGTGGGAAGTTTGAGTATATAGATGAGGTTTGACATCAAGCAAATGAGGATGAGCTTCACCACGAAATTCATTCCTCACGCAACCTCTCCACTTTCGAAAAGCTTGATGGCAACTTCGCCGAGAACACGAGCACGTCGCGCGTCTGCTTCTTTCACCTTACGCTGCTGGCTTCGAATCTAGCTATGCAACGAGAGTCTAGCATTAGAGAGTCACCATCGTGTAGATGTTCCCCAACAGAGCCTCACAGTGCAGTGTCCTTCCATTGAACTCGGATGACATACACAAACACGTATCAGAGCTGATCCGAGATGCGTCCTCCCGTGCAGACAGCATATGGCCTTCAGAAATTGGTCAGGCAGATACGAGCCGCAGGTACGTCAGAGCTTGCTAAAGTGCTTCCTAGGAATTCTTTGCGGCATCCAGGACTAATGCCTGCAACATCATACGGCTCACACACAGCCTGGTGTCCTCGTGTGCTGCATTCTCCCACTAATTCTCCCTGTTTGACGTGTCTGCACAGCTTATAGGACGCGTACATGAGAACGGCGGTTTTGTGCTTTCGAGTGTTTGTTCAGATGCCACCATTGACGATGGAGCGGCTTCCCTAAAGCCAGCTAACGACCTCACCACTGTCGAGTCGACGAGTCCAACCTGACATGTCCTTTGTCAAGCACAACAGATTCGACTTACAGTACACGTCAGTCTCCCAGCTACAGATTTTCGTCCATGCTCTTTTGTGAAGGCATATTGAGAATCTAGACGTGTTCATCAAATGCAGGAACGGATGTTCCAAACCTGCCTTTTACACTACTACCCCTGCGAAGTCATAGCACATATGAGCTTCCTATGCATAGATTGCTCCTTCCAGCAATCCCATCGATTGCAGTCAAGACAATCGGCCTAGATCTTAAGTTTGTGGATTCTCTGTTTGTTTCCCCAACAAAAGCACAATCTTTAGGAAGTCTCAAGCACAAGCTGCAACCAATCTGCGGATCGTTGAAGTTCTTTACCATCCAAGCTTCTCACGCATTTCGTTCGTCACATGGTAACAGCGACGCGAGTGGGCAATGCTGAGGAAACACGACCGTGCGGATCAGCTTCAGCATGAAAGTGCAGACTGTCCAACGCTATAAACACGTATATTGATTGGTAAATACGTTCGAGACACGCAACACATGTAAGTCTTAGTGATATTCGATGTGGAACAGCTTCACTAAATTCGCAGTGCGTGGGATGTACTTAGGAGAGCTCATTCTCTTTTCTTCTCTTCCGATTCTTCAAACCTTTGCACTTACAAAGTCTAAAATCTCACCAAAGTCGACATTTCCAAGGCACTTTTACAAGTCTCCGCAACTGTACAACACTCGAATCGAGATAGTTCCCAATCGCAATCACCACCAAAGGTAGTCAACATGGACATCCGATCAGAGTACTACAAGGCGGAGGGCGAGGCCATTGTCATGAATCGATTCTACGACGTCGTAAGGAAGCACGGCATTGCCTCCAGCTGGGTTGGTGGATATGTCTTAGCTGAAACGTGTCCTCGACGGACGTTGCAAGCACTGGCCGACGACGACTTGTTCACTATTGAAGAGCAGAGGAATTTTGTCTGGCCAGTGGTCAAGCACATGGCTGAGTTGCAAATCTTCGCAAAGAAAGCAGAGGACATCGAGCGGATCCATGTTCATCACACCTTCCACTACATCATCCAGACCATCAAAGAACGTTTTCCAGAATTACGAGCCTACCCCAGCCACGAATCGGTCGGACCAAAGAAGAAGCTGATCTGCTTTGTGGATGGATGGCGTCTTGAAGACGCTGAGGAAGAGATGACAGTAGAACAGCCAAACATCGGCAAGCAACCCAAAGCAAAGGCCTTGTTATCCAAGGGGTTTTCATCGACGGACCAGGCACGAGTTGAAGGCAAGTTGTTCACAAGCAAGAACAGCACTCCACCAGCTCGAACCAACGGCAGTGGTACCTTAGCTCAACCCAAAAAGGAGACCCTGCCTAAACCTGCTGCGCTGTCTAGCAAGCCCGAAACTATGACCGATGCTTTTCTTCCATCTGTCCTTGACCTTCCAACCTCTCCTCTCAAATGCGATACTGTCCTCACGACTGTGAATGCAGATGACGAGTCGATTGCGGAGCTTGTCGATGCCGAAACGGATAGCGCTACCGATCCCTTCACATTCGTAACAAAAGCTTTTGCCAAAATTGCCTCGAAGACGACTATGCCCACGAACGCCGCTGCAACAACTAACGATGATGACGAATACGATGATTGGGTTGAGGTGAAGAAGGATGATTGTCTGGAGATTTGACTGAAGGATTCAGGCTACGCTTGATCGTGTGTTGAGCAGTGCAAGCACACAAAATATTCAAACATTGACTATATGGGGTTAAGCGCCATACCGCCGCAATTGGTATGGTAGATGCTGGGAGAGTCTGATTTTGTTGACGAATTCTGGGTTTCATTGCGATGTGTGGTGGCTTTTTGAAAACGAAAAGCGTGACGAATGTTTGAGATCTTGAATTGAAGCTGGGGGTTACAATGGTAAACATTCATCGACCTGGGTATAGTCTTGCTAAGTCAGTGTTTAAGCTCTGTATTCAAGAGTTCTTGTGGACAACCACGATCTTCACTGGTCTACCAGTAACTGAAGTAGATAAGTCTTCTAGTGGCATGGCTTCCTCATCCTCCCATTCCCATTATGTAGAAGGGATGTTACTCCATCGCAGTGACACAGATCGTCGGCCAATCCACGACGGACTATTACTGTAGAGTATGCTGTGTTGTGAAAGCTCTACTACAAGACATCGCAGATTTTTTAACTTACCGCGTTCCTCTCAACATACAGCACCATCTTACACTCGATGTATCTGGACGTAGTCAGCTCGCATTCTCGAAGCCATTCCGATGGCAAGATGACAAGGACCCAAGGAGTGCATTCGTGCATCTATAGACTCCACCAGCCAACCAATTTGCTCTTAAATCAAACATGTAGAGGTGGGTGGGATGTAAATATAGACATGTGTAAAGGATACAAACGAGTAAGAACGTAATTTTGAAAGAAGAGAACATTGCTCATAAATTTCATATTGCTATCTTCTGCTTCTCGCTGAACTATACGCTCTGAAAGTCGCTAAAATGCTGGAATATACATAAAGGTCTTCTGTGGTCCATATACATACCACGATCATGTAAGTACTGTACTAGTAGTATGTGTGGAAGCAGTCGCGAAGTTAGGCAGGACCAGTAAAGGCTTAGGACTCTCCTACCACTTCGACAGCAGTCTGTGCTGTCGGAATGCCAATTACTGCAATACCTCGTGGAATTTGAAGCTCATTGATGGAGAAGCAAGCGAATACGGTCAACTTCTGTAAAGCGGGACAGCTCTTGAAGATGCCACTCATCACCACATCGTCCACATGAGTGACGAATGACAGGTCGATGTCTTGCAGAGCTGGGTAAATCTTGACGCCGTCAAAGACTTCGATTAGTGCTTCATGGCTGATGTGTCGATTTGAATGAAGATCAAGACGTTCCAGATTCGAGCCTGAGTGTTGGAAAAGACCTTTGAATGCATTCGAGCCGAATCCAACTGCATCTGGATTCCCGGCTTCTTCCTCTCCAGGACCGATATCAGGGTCAGTGTCTCGGTTGCAGCTAAGATCGACGAACGGTATTGGCGGGTTCGACCAATCTTCCCAGAAGAGGTTGGCGAACATTGCATCAGTGAAAGATGCACCACCGGTCAAGCGGAGTTTCTTCAATCGGGTACAGTGCTGCTTGATAGCCGCAAGTACAGTATCGTCGGCGTAGAAATAGTCTTCGAGAGATAGTGTTTTAAGATTCGGACCCAGGTTCGAAATTAGGTTGACCAGTACCTCAGATCCTGAGTCTTGAGCAACAGATAGTGACAAGTGCTCGATTGTGGTCATGGTTGATATGCTGTTAATAGAGGCTTCAGTCATATGAGGACAGGAACGCATCTTGAGCCGTCGAAGAGTAGTGCACTTTGCCGCCATAATCTCCACTGTTGAATCTTTCATGGCATCGTTCAGCTCTGACAACTTTAAGGTCTCTAGTTGAGAGCCCATCTGTTGGAAAAGATCTATCCATGCTGGGTCTGAGATGAGGTTTGTAGCACCTAGTTGCAGGTGTTTAATCTTGTGGTTCTTTTCGAGCATATAGTGGAGAGAGTCGTCCTTAAGTTGGCCAGCAAATCTCAGATTGACGGTCTCGAGATCAGGCATGAAGGCGAAGATCTTCTGGAAATCCTCACTCTCGAGCTTGGCACAGTCGTAGACATTGATGCGATCGATTCCTGGTTGGAGGAAAAGTTGTAAAGTTCGAGGGGTAAGGACTCGCTTCTTGGACAGAATCTGGCTTAGACGGTCGAGCAGTTTCTGTGGCAGCTCACCAAAGTCTTCGACGTCGTTCACTACGTCTGCTACCTTTCTCACACAATGCTCAACCAACGACTTGGCCCCAGGCTTGACGTCGCCCATCATACGATCGCTTTCTGTCTGTCTTTTCCGAGCCTTGGGGGTTGCTTTTTTCTTCTTTGCAGCATGATCAGCCTTCTTCTTCTCATCTTTAATCTCTTTCCCACACTTTGTACAAAGAAAGCCACCATCAGGACCGGCTACCGTGTAAGGTGTGACGGTAAATCTCTTCTCACAGACATCGCAGTTGGCAAACTGGCCTGGCTTGGGAGGTGCTTTTGGCTTGTTCATCATGTCTTGAACAAGAGCATCGTCGTTAGAGCTCTCGTCAGGGTTGTCCCTGTGATGTTCAAATTTCCTCTTCTTGAACTCTTTGCTTGCCTTGATCTTGGCTATGGCTTTCTCTTCTTTCCGCTTCCGCTTTTTACGTTCCGCAGCATCTTCCTCGTCGCTAGAGTCCGGCTTGTTCTCCTCGGCGGCAGCTGCAGCGGCGGCTTGAGCAGCTTGTTGTTCAGCATCTCTCACTCTCTGCTGGTAGTCGAGGTTAATCTGTTGAGCCGAGATGTTGTGTGATGCAAGGAAGTCGGTCAGGGCAGACTGTGGCCCTCTAATGGCATTGCCATTACTTCTGCGCCGACTCCTGTCCATTGTCAGCTACGTTCGGGTCTGTGACGGAAGCACGACTTACATATCGAAGGCTGTGAGTCGTAAGTACTGGTGCTAAAGCCCTGCTTGCCGTGCTGAACGCTGTTTGCACGACAGTGAAGGGTAGTGAGTAAGTGGGGGGTCTGCAGGCTGGAACAATTCTTGAAACAACAAACACAATGCGGCAGAAACTACTTTGTGTATTATTGAATTGTCTCCTGCTACCAGCCTAACAAATTCACCTTTTGGCTACAAACATATTGTGATCAGCAAACATCGATCTCGTACCAGATCTGGTGGCAAAAGACGTGCCCCTTGAACCACAAATTCAGGCAAGAACGACCTATCGATAAGGAGACGAGTGAGGGAGGCAATAGTGTTCATTGGTTGACACGCATCGTTCAAACGCGCCTGCAGCACTTTAGACCGCGTTTAGCGCGTGCCTGCCTGACCCACTTGTTCAAGAAGTTCCTCTTTCCTGCAAGGCACAAGAAGCATATTTCGAATTCCCTACCTTCTGCCTACTGCCTCTTCCTAATCGTGCCGTCCAATATGGCTTCTCGAGGCAGACGGTCGTTGAGGACTTTGTCCACACCCTCTAATGGCAAGTAACTCGCACTGCTCGTGCTATCAGCCGCTGATGACATTCCAGTTGCCACCTCTAACCCCTCCCCTGCACCCCGAAGTCGAGGACGACCACGAAAATCGATGGTCAAACTTGAGCCAGATATGCCGACCCCGGACTCGCCTGAGTTGGAAACTCTGACCTTCGAGCCACCTGGAATCAAAGCAACCTTTCAAGGAATCGTTGTTCCAAGTAGGACCGTGGTCAAGAATGAAATCAACACAAGTACATCGACCTCCTTAGTAGACTCGGCAGAAGTTAGTGACTACGAGACACCCGAGACAAGTGAGGCCGCCACACCTGCTGAGATCAAGCTTGATTACAAGGCCACCAGGATCAGTGCAACTGATAGAGTGAAGGAATTGCAGAGATCCAAGAAGCGAGGTCGACCCTCAAGACCAATAAACATCAGTGACTCGGAGGACTTGGACTTGCGTCTCGACGATGCAAAATTCGCTGCTCAGATACAGGCGGAAGAGTGGGATCTATCAGACGAAGCACCACCCACAAAGCGTCTCAAGCCTGGTCGCAGGTCAATGCAGGAGCTTGACGAATCTGACACGACTGAGAGCGAGTACGATTTCATGCCGTCGAAGCTCAAGTCACGCAAGCACAAGGGTAAGGCCAAGGCCAAGGCAATACAAATCGACAGCGACGATAACGTGCCCTTGCTCCATCACCGCTCAAAACCCAAAGCTCTTCCATCATCAGCTCCTCCACGTACGTTCCTTGTCGATAGCGACGGCTCTGAACTTAGTGATCCCGAGGATGTTTCTGATTTTGATGACGATGTCACCTCTACTATTGCTGATACTAGTGATAACAGCATTGAAGATGTCGCCGTTGTCCCTCAGTCTCAATCCTTCCGCGCAGGTGAGAGCTGGCAGGAACGAAGAGCCAGACTATACGACGAAAAGCGTCTGAAGCGAGCGAAAAGAGAGAGAACTCGACTCGAAACTCAGCATCCCGAAATCAAGACCATGTGGAAAGACCTCGAGAATGATCCTCCAATAACACCTGTTACAGCTGAGCAACCCATTCATATCAACAGAAAGCTGAAGCCTTTCCAATTGCAAGGGCTCGATTGGATGCAGAAACAGGAGCAGACTCATTACAAAGGTGGCCTGCTTGGTGACGAGATGGGTATGGGCAAGACCATTCAAGCCTGCTCTCTCATCATGTCAGACTTTCCTGCTAAGCAGCCTACACTGGTCGTTGTTCCACCTGTCGCCCTCATGCAGTGGCAATCAGAAATCACTGATTACACTAGTGGTGCTCTCAATGTTCTGGTTTACCATATCTCTGCTAATCCAAAGTGCAAGCTTCTGTCCAAGAAGGATTTGCAAAAGTACAATGTCATAATGATCTCTTACTCAGGCCTCGAGTCCATCTATCGAAAAGAAAACAAAGGCTGGGCGCGTGGTAGCGGCATCGTCAAAGAGGACAGCATCATTCATGCCATCAAGTATCATCGAGTCATCCTTGACGAGGCTCACAGCATTAAGCAGAGAACAGCCGGTGTTGCCAAAGCTTGTTTCGCTCTCAAAGCCAACTACAAATGGTGTCTGTCTGGCACGCCTGTCCAAAACAGAATCGGCGAATTCTTCTCACTGCTCCGCTTCTTGAACGTCCGACCGTTTGCATGCTACTTCTGCAAGCAATGTCCATGTGCTGAGTTGCATTGGGAACAAGATCAGCAGAAGGTCTGCGTCAAGTGCAAGCACAGCGGCTTTAACCATGTCTCTGTGTTCAACCAGGAAATCCTCAACCCTATCACTGGAGGTGCTGATGATGAGATTCGCCAGGCAGGATTTCACAAGCTACGCCTGATTACAGATCGCATCATGCTTCGACGACTCAAGCGTGATCATACTTCCTCCATGGAGCTACCACCCAAAGAAGTTATCATTCACAACGAGTTCTTTGGTGAAGTCGAACGAGACTTCTCCACGTCCATCATGTCCAACTCGGCCCGCAAATTCGATACCTATGTCGCACAAGGTGTTATGCTCAACAACTACGCCAACATCTTCGGCTTGATCATGCAAATGAGACAGGTCGCGGATCATCCTGACTTGCTTCTTCGACGACATGCTGAGGGAGGTCAGAACATTCTGGTATGCTGCATCTGTGATGAGCCAGCAGAAGAGGCTATCAGATCGAAATGTCGACATGAATTTTGTCGTCAATGTGCAAAGACATACATCCAGTCCTTCCAGGACGCCGACGCTGATTGTCCCACTTGTCACATTCCACTAGCCATTGATTGGGAGCAACCAGACATTGAACAGGACGAGGAGAACGTCAAGAAGAACAGTATTATCAACCGAATCAAGATGGAGAATTGGACCAGCAGTACCAAGATCGAGATGCTCGTCTATGATCTTTACAAACTCCGAAGCAAGAAACAAACCCACAAGAGTATCGTCTTCTCTCAGTTCACCTCTATGCTGCAGCTCGTCCAGTGGAGACTACAGAAGTCCGGCTTCTCTACTGTTCTTCTCGACGGCAGTATGACCCCAGCCCAACGACAAAAAAGCATCGAACACTTCATGACCAATGTCGACGTTGAAGTCTTCTTGGTGTCTCTCAAAGCTGGTGGTGTAGCTCTCAATCTCACTGAAGCCTCCCGGGTATTCATCATTGATCCTTGGTGGAATCCAGCTGCAGAGTGGCAGTCGGCTGACAGATGTCACAGAATTGGTCAACGACGACCTTGTGTGATTACGAGACTTTGCATCGAGGACTCGGTGGAGAGCCGTATCGTGCTTTTGCAGGAAAAGAAAGCCAACCTCATCAACGGCACCATTAATAACGACAAGGTCGCTATGGAGAAGTTGACACCTGAAGATATGCAATTCTTGTTCCGTGGTTCTTGAGCTAGTCAGAGGAACCCTGATCATTGGGCTTGCTCACAGTACGAATTCCCATGATGCAACAAAGATCAAACTCGAAACAATATGGCTAGGCATGTACCCTCAGCCTCGTGTTGCATGCTACCACTACTTGACAGCGGAACTATCAATAATGACAATACTGGCTTTCCTGATCATCTCTTAGTATGTGGTATCGTGGAGTATTACAATATCATGGAGTATTACAATATCATGGATTGTGATGACAGTTGTATGAATTTTCAATGGAGCAAACACGACCGTTATGGAGTTACGATAGAAGCGATTAAAGCAAGCGAATATGATAATTAAGCTGTACTACAACATGATAAACTGAACACTTGATTTGATATCTCCATTTGTCCACTTTTGCGCCGGAAACTAATAACGACGTGGGTAGGCTTCTTGCACGGTTTCTAGCGTGCAAAACGATATGAATATGCTTGTATTGTTCTATTGAGCTGCTGGTGCTGCACTTCCTTGGGATCCGGCACTCTGGTTTCTTCATGCGTCTCTCCGTCTGTTTTCTGGCCATGGCTCCAGATAGCTTTTTCCGGAACTCGAACATTGCACCGCCAGAGGTCAGTAGAAGTTCCCCCTACCAACTTGCATCAGCGAGAACCTTCCTACGATACTTGTAACTGCTCGCGAACCGCCTGGTCTCGCACAAAACCATCTCTTCGATCAACAGCCTTTTCATCACTCGCAACTCGCATCCTGCCCATCCGCAATATCCGAATCATAATCATGCATATCCTCAATCAACGTATCAATCTCCCCAATGAAAGCCCTAAATATCCTGGGTCGTGTGTTCATGAACGTCTCGACATCTCTGCTATGTCCGGCCTCAACCATCTGAGCATCGTTTTGATTCGGCCAGCGAAAGTCTGTGATGCGATTGTTGGTGCGTAGATGTGTAGAAGGGTGTTTCTGAGGAGTGTTAAGGAGAGGAGGGAGGCGAGGAGGAGAGTTTGGTTAACGGGTGGTGTTGTTGGTGGTGGTAGTGGGGAGAAGGATTGAGGTGTCATTGTTGTTGTTGCGGAGTGAGTGTCTTGGTGAGTGGTAAGGTTGGTTGATCTGGAGATTCTGGAGAGGTACGTACCGTGCAGTAGGAGCTGTGAACTTGGTTGGTTTAGGAGTAATTGAAAAGAGGAAGGGGTGTTTATAGAATGCTGGGACAGTAAACGTCAAGCCATTTTTAGAGATCGATCTGGTCGGCACCAATGCCTTCTGTGAATGAGCAATGCTCAAAGTGTGCAGTCAATACTATGGTTTAGCCAAAACGTTCTAGGTCCATCGTGTAGTGCGGAAGAAATTGAAGCCATCTCGTCTCTGTGAACTGCTATTGCAGCCTTCACCTACGGATTGCGAGGAATCGTAGTCAGTAGAAGATGGACGGGAAGGATCCGTGCCTGGGTCAATGACCTGTTTGTCAACGGATGTCGGCAGGGAGGTCAATAAGAGATACAATTTCAGTACGGCTTCACTCGCGTGCAATGTAGAGTCTGGCATCTTCTCCTGCATTGTGCAGTCACCGAAGACCGCGATAGAAGCCGCATTGTTGACAAGCTGTCAGCTTCGGAGTAGGCCTTTGTCCTGCAGCTGTTCCGGGCATGTTGTCATATAAAGGACAATAGTCTGGTAAATTGTGCATGTGTGAGAGATAGGTGCTCGAGACGATCACTGTGTCGCAGTTGAAAAGGCCAAATTCGTGCATAACTTGAGGTGGGCATGGTAGTATCATTCTTTGCCAGTGGGGGGGAAGATGCAATTCTCGTCAGTGCTTCATGATGGCGCTTAGCTCACAAAATCTCACAACAGCAGTAATGAGCACTACTACCAGGGCTCCGGCAAGACAAAACGGTATAAAATATGGGGTTGCGGAAATATTTATGCCAAGCATGCTCATAGAATCTCCCTGGCTGTCGTACAATGGGCTCCTTCAACCATTATTTGTGACGAGATGGGCACCTTATTCGAAGACCGTGTTCTTTATCCATGGAAAGAGCTGGTAATAATGTTTGTTGGTCACTCATACGTTTTCGCTCGCTATAGTCATATCAGACCTATACGATCCAATCGTGGATCAATTGGTGAAACTAATGATACAAACGGCATTCATGCCATGCAATAAACTCTCTCTTACAGAAATCTTACTCTGCTCTTCTTTTGTGCCAGCTTGTCTTCGCTCTTCCGAGTCCCATCTCTTGTGCTTCAGCATCAAATACATCAAAGTGTGAATCGTGCCTGCTGTACCGCATCATTCCATTCTGATTGGAGACATACTTCCAAGCTCGGGCAATTTTCGGGCCTGTTTCCTGTCATCCGACTCTTGTTCAGGTGTCTTGACAATTAACCTGGGCACTGCTGGAGCAGTTTGTGCATGGCCGTGACTCGGTATCCTTGTGCGCTCCTGACCGGACGCCGATAGACTCCTTTGTTTTGGTTTCAGAGGCACGGGCTGTGGTGGTGGCATCTGCGTTTGTGGAAGCTGATTCTGAGGCCGTTGGATCACGGATGGTGATGTCCCACGAGCATTTCCATACGCACTGTCAGGCTTCCGGATTGGTCCATCTCTTGTGGCTGGCAAATTTGTGCTGCTGCCACTCCTAGAACTCATAGCCCGGTCATCCACCATTCTCGGTTCATCATGCTGCTTTATAGAACCCTCGCGATCGTGTCTTAGTTCCTCGGCTAGATAATCCTTTTCGGTCCAGCATCCTTGCTGCCAACACTCCTTCCAATCAATGACCAAGAACTGAAAGCAGAATGCATCAATCTTTAAACAGGGTTGAAAGCATATGCATAAATTGCGATAATCCATCTTATTCTGGTCGGCATAGCTGTGCAATAAGCTCAAATGACATGTGATGGCGAAGAGTAAATAGTAATTAAATGGTGGTAGCTTAGAAAGTTCATCCTTCAACAATTGTGGTGTTTGCTGTGCGCCATGGCACTCTCTCGATATTCGTGCTTGAGTGGCCTTGGGGAACAGTTCGTCGGGCAAGTCACGTAACCAGGCCTTGAACATAGAGGCGATTGTGTTGACATCGTACAGCTCCGGCTCATCGAACAGATTTATATCACGTTCGGTATCGAAGCGGCGTTGCCAGAATTTGACGTCTCGACCACTGCCTGGAACACGATATAGACCTTCTTGCTCACACTGCATGTTGAGATAATCTATACATCTCCACGGCAACGCAGGCATCCAGTACTCAGTTTTATCGTTGGACTGATCGAGCCGTTTGGCTATCCTGGTCTTCCGTGTCTGCTTTACCAACGGCAGATTGATTGTAGTGCATGAATAGTGTTCGTCAGGCACAAGCTCTCTTTCGTTCGTACTGCCACTTCTTGTCATTTTGTTGAAGAGACCTCTTCCGGCTTTGCCTAGTCGATCACCAACCCCACGACCAGTATGCTGGAAAGTAGCAAACAAGCCTTCTCTCTGTTGTGGTGGAGGAGCGGCAGCAGAATGTCCGTTCGGTCTCGGGTCTTCGTTGCCGATTCGGTCGGCAGAGCGATTACGTATTGCAGCTCCTTCAGCTGGGTATACATGATCTCGGAAACCATTCTTGATTGGTGCAGTCTTGAGAGGAGTAGCGTAGTGGTCGCTTTGTTGTTCTGAGGGAGGAGATATCTCGAAATTGAGTTGTGTTGACGGCCTCTGTTTAAGCTTCTTTTCGTCTTCCGGCCTTCCTGACCTGGATCTTGTCAATATGCCACCGAGTTTCGACTTGCTCTTTTGCTTCGACATTGGGCCGTCTGCAGATGCAGGAGGTATTTGGTTGTTGCCGTCGTCTTGTTGCTCGTTAGCCGTCATCAGGCGAGGTAGATCAGGTGTAGATGTTTGTTTCCTCAAAGAGTAGGTTGACCTATCTTTCGAATTTCCTCGACTTCTGCCACTGGATTTTACCGATGTATCTGCTATGCTGCCCTGATCGGACTGCGCTAGCAATTTTTGAGTGGATTTGGAAGCCATGATATTAGAGAAAAAGGATTTCGAAGCGTCTCTAGAGTGCTGCTTTGGCGACACCCTGCCTGATGAAACTGGAGCATCTGGAGAGGTGCCCAGCCTAGGCGAAGCAGGGCCATTTTCTGCCCTTATCTGCATGTCCAGAGTCGTGGTGGTACCATTGAGAGCAGGCGATAGAGGAGGAGAGCGTGGAGATTTAGGAGAATCGGTGGACCGAGCACTGAGAGTGCCAATCTGAGGTGAAGCATTACGAGAGTTAGATAGATTCAGAGGAGGTACATTGATAGCCTTAGGCATATTGAGGCGTGTGCCTTGCCTTGTCGGCCGCTGCTGCAGGTATGCGTGCTGCCGGACTGCCGTGTTTCGATGTCAGATGCCGCCTTTCAGAATGCGGATATTGACTCGATCGACCGGCAGGAAGCCTGATAGTAGCCTCTGTACCACATGCAGTTATCCAGCTACCTCGCTCTTAATAGAAACGTCGACCAAGTCGTTTCAGAATGTTGTTTCCAGTGTTTGTTACGGTACTTCCTGCTCTTTAGATCCCGCGGCTGGTGACGAAGACTCAATTCTGGTTGGACGGCAGTATTGGCATAAGGCGGCAGTGGTAGCAAATCCAAGTTTGTCAAATCAAGCCGACGCTATTGTTTGTGTATATTTTGTAAATTTGAAGTTTGCGGCAAGAACCACGTGGTGGTTAGCCTGCAGCAACGATGCTCACGCTGCAGTGCGAGGCTTGCTACACAGCATGACCTTGTTTGTGGTGCCAACAGAAGACTCGTGGATCGCAAGCACAATTGGTCGTCGCAGGAGGATCTAACAGGAAGGCAGTATTATTCAGACGAAGTCAATTCACCAGAATGCGCACAAGGTGCAGACGGCGCAAGGTTCACTCTGGGGTTGCAGTAGCAGACGCAGGAAACACGCTGCACTTGACGCTGTTCCGATTGCCGAAATGACTTGCTGCAGCTGTGCTCGACCTTGTCGCAGTCGTACTAATGTCGTCAATATAGCCTGATAGTTCCGGTGTTGCGGTCTGAGCGGTGGAAATGTAGTCGCACCCTGAAACAGTTCATAGACAATGCTGATTATGCTGGTGAGTGGATGTTTAGGCTTTCGCCTATGCTTAGAAGTGGTGTCTGGGAAAGGTGGACACGCCACTGTTTCGTGCGGGCGGCCGCTAGCCAAAAACAAGCCTGGGGCTCCCAAGGCGTGAGCTGGACTCTGTTGTGAATGGTTGCTTTCTCAGCTGGTGCAGAATTCTTGAGCCGATAAAGCACCTGCAACCGTCGAAGCAGAAGATAACCTCCTACAAGGCATGTGCCAAATCACTTCGACCTAGACTTGATTGCAATTCGTCTTGCGTTTCCAGTACCGTCTGAAAATCCGTTCGTGCAGTTATCTCACGGGAAACGGCCTGCATGCACTGGCATCAATGATGATTACGTACATGAATTTTACAAGACCAGGGGTTACCAGGAACGAGGTAATTACACTAAAACGACCGCAATAGGCATAGCTCTTGGCAAATGCACAACATCGCCGTCCACGCTAAACCTGGATCTCGTCCTCAGGACAAAAGCATATCTTTACTTTTCCGCTGCACAATCTTCAGCGTACAGGCCGTTTGTGCCCTTCTGTTGACAACTGCCCTCTCTAGAACAAACTCACATCGTGGCTGGCAAACGGCACGCCTTATGTCTCTTGTCTCAGGTCCAGGTCGTGGAGGTCAAAAGCTAACTGACCTACCTGGTGAGCTTACACTGGCTATTGACCAACACGTAAAGTACATACAACAGCTTGATACTGTGCGTGATTCGAGGTAAGGATGCTTTATGGTCGTTGATTACTTGACAGCGCAAAGATGAGATTATGTACTGGATCACCGAACATCTGCGGCTCAATGGCGTGTATTGGGGCTTAACAGCGTTGCATCTTTTGGGTCATCCTGAAGCACTTCCACGTGACGAGACAATCAGGTTCGTGTTGGGTTGCCAGAATGTAGATGGCGCGTTTGGTGCTGCTCCTGGTCATGATTCTCACATGCTATACACATTGAGCGCCGTTCAGATATTAGCAACTATCGATGCACTGCCTGCTCTTGAGAAGTCGAAGCATGGCGGTAAAGAGAAGATAGCTGACTGTGAGTGAGCAACTGATGCTACGAGGAGCGATTAACACATCTCAGGGATTGCGGCACGTCAAGATCGTACATCTGGCACGTTTGCTGGTGATGAATGGGGTGAGCAGGATTCTCGCTTCCTATTTTGTGGGTTGATGGCATTGGCTATCCTCGATATGATGCACAAAGTTGATGTTGAGAAGGCAGTCTCTTTCGTAAAGTCATGTCAGAACCCAGACGGTTCCTACGGGCGAGTCCCTGGCGCGGAATCTCATGCTGGCCAAGTATATACGTGTGTCGGTGCTCTTGCACTTACCAAGAGACTTGATCTGGCTGATCTTGATCGGCTGGGAGCATGGTTAAGTGAGAGGCAGCTTCCGAATGGTGGTCTAAATGGCAGGCCGGAGAAGTTAGAGGATGTCTGCTATTCGTGGTGGGTGCTTAGTAGTCTCGCCATGATTGGGAAGCTACACTGGATCGATGAGGCAAAGCTGACCAACTTCATCTTGCGTTGTCAGGTTCGTTACAAGTCTGTATCTTGGATTAAGCTGATATGGTACACAGGATACTGAGCATGGCGGCATATCAGACAGACCTGGTGATATGGTCGATGTCTTCCATACAGTATTCGGTGTTGCAGGTTTGAGCTTGCTGGGGTATCCTGGACTCCAAGCAGTAAATCCCATATAGTAGGTCTACTTGCTGTGCTACCAAGGTCGAGCTAATACTTGCAGCTGCATGCCAGAAGAGGTGATTGAGAGATTGCCTTACAACAGAAAGTGACCTCTTGTCATCTAATAACCCTCTTGAGCTTACAATGACACTTGGGATACAAGACGAGAGAAGAGCAAAAGCATCATGTCTATGGTCCGCTTCAGTCACACCACATGGCCACAACCTCGTGGCCGTATAGGCATGTTGCAAAATACCTCGAGGGGTGCCAATCTGATGTTGAGCATGGTCAGACAGTGCCTAAGGCTCTCAAGTCGACGGTAGTGTGGAAGGCGCATCACGACCTCAAGTCAATTCGCTATGTCGTCAGCTCACCCGCGTACTTTCCACGACTTGATTTTGTTCTTTGAGACTTTTAGTACCACGACTTTTATTTCATCGTCCCTTCCTTGCTATGCAGCACGTCTACTCTGCAATTCCGAGTTCTGTTCTTCTTTCCACTGCGTCTTCCTTGCGACCTGTGCATTGGTGAGGAGGTGCTTCCAATGTTCCAACCTTTGCTTTCCATTCTGACAACAACCTGAGCTCCTCATAGCTGCTGCCTGTCCTTGTTGCTTCCCCCCCACCATGCCTTCTGATCTTCTCACATGCACCATCTGTGCCAAAAGTCAACGATTCAGCGATGTTTCTCACCTTTTAACCCATATCGGATCCAAAGGTCATCTGGCCAATTTGCACTCTTTGCAAGTTCTAAGCCACCAAGAACGAGATGCTGGTCTCAAGTTGTCAATCTACAATGCATGGTTCCAAGAGCATGGAATGGCAAGTCTGCTCTCTGAACGCATGCAACAGAAAGAGGAGAAAAAGGCTACAAAGAAGGCAGTCCAGCAAGCTCGGCTGAGCTCCACTCCAGGCTCGAATGCTATGAACCCACAGAAATCACGAAAGTCACGAAAGACGTTCAAGGCACCAATTGCTGTTGCAGCATACGAGCTTCAGCCACTGACGATCAAGCGGAGCGAGTCGGAAGTTGAACTCAACAGTGCTAGCTTCACTACCCCGAGGTATGCACTCAACTTCACTTTCACCCGTCACTTCAAGCTGACACTTGCAGGCAAAGCAGCTATCCCGCTCTTGAATCGAGCCCTCCTAAACGTGAATCTGATGCATTCGAGGTGAACGAGGATGCCTTGCCTACTCTCAGTGACGAGAACCTCTCTCCAAGCAAATACTCTCCTGGTGCGCCACAACTTAAGGGTGAAAAATATCCGGGCATGCACTTATTTGATGCAGCACCAGAGGCACAGCGGCGAAAGAGGAATCAGAAGAAGGATAGCTCCGTCTTGAGGCAGCTTGAACACAACGCTTCTCTCGTCGTGCCTACCGAAGTGGTGCACTCTTCTGCCGGCTTGGGATATGTCTTGAAGCGCCGCTCAATGGACGATCTGGAAAACGACAGTCCTGTAGAAGGTGAAGAGCCGTTGCCAACCCCTGCTGCTAGAAAGAAGAGAGTCACACGTGCTCCATGGATCAAGGAAGAAACCAAACAAGATGAGAAGAAGAAGAAGAAGCCAAAGAGACGAGGACGTCCTCGAAAACAGCTTGAAACGCCTACCCAAGATACAAGCTCTGCCGTTGAAGACGATGCTCAGCTAACGTCTCATTACTCACCTACTGTGGACGAAGATCGTGACTTCAAGCCAACTGTACGAAATGCTGGCAGAAAGAAGAGAAAGAATGCCTTCATTGTCTACCAGGACTTATCACCCTCCTTTGGTGTTGACGGCTCGTCAGAGATGATGCCCGCTTACGTCGACGCTGATATCGGTCAAACACAATTGATGTATCCTCCTCCGGCTTGGCAGAAACAGCAGATTGACCTATACGATAGCTTCAAGCTAGTCAGTGACCGATACACAACCTACGCCAATTCGGCTGATGCTAGTCGAGACAAAGAGAACATCAACCCATTACTGACCAACATCACTGGTTTTCACCAAGAGCAGAGCATCAACCCCCTAGCCGTTCACAGCGTCAACCACAAGGACGGACCGAACTCCTCAATTTTTGGTGGCCGGATAGATCATCACAGAACACATGGGTCAATGCTTAGCCACGATTACCCACCAGCACCTTTGGGTGTACAACATACATTTGAGGTGTCGGCTGGTCCATTTGCTGGCAACGATGCATTCATGTCAACAAGAAACCCTTTGATGGCAGCCCTTGAAAAGTTCAATACACCTACAAAGCACGAAGCCTACGGCTACGACGGTTTCCAGAACGATCTGACTCCACGTTATCGACAACCACTTTTTGCACCCTAGGTTGATAGGCTGTCAGTTTCAGCTGAGATGATATTTCTATACGATGAACGATGCAAGCATTTAGTGGTTAGGGTTAGCAATACTCACTCGTTTGTGTCTCCGGAAGATGATGAAAATACCACGATATGATTTGTGTACGAGTATATGTGGTGAAAGATGCAGCAGTGAAGCTGATGGTCAGAATAATAGATGTTCACTGTACTAATCAAGCATCAGTACAGATAGATAGATGTTTGAGATTGCAGCATGTACTTGTTCAGGTCTGCAGTATTTACAGAATACAACCTCTGAGGTCAGAGAAGATGGTTCCTGGATCTTACGTGAACAATATCTCTTACTGAAAGAATGAGAGTATCCAAGCGGTGTGTGTTCGTATCTAATCCCTTCGTTCCTGCCTATTACAAGGACTAGTGAATGTTAATCTGTGCCTTCTTCACGCGTAGCGTGTCGCGGGTCGAACAAGCGCGTCAGTTTCGCGATATTCAGTTCAAATCAGCAATTCTAGATTGTACACGATCCTCAAAGCCAGAAATGAGTTCTAAAAAGCAGCAGTCGATATCTGCGTTCTTCAATAAGCCCAAAACTCTGGTGGCAGAATCTGATACATTACGTAACGATGAAATTGAGGTGCCAGATGCAAAGAGACGAAAGACCAGTGCTGATACCAGGATTTCTGTATCAGCAGATGATACCCACGACTCGAATCGCGATGACTCTCACTTGAGACCACTATCAGCTAATGGACAAAATACCAGGGTCTTTCCAACTCGCTCTCCCGTGACAGACAGGACGTCGAGATACCTATTTTCACAAACACTTTTACCGGACGACGAGAATACACCTGGGCAACACGATCCGAAGAAAGCAGATCTCCATCGTCGTTTTGTAAAAAAGCTTGGGAATCCAGACAGCATCAATGATATCAAGCGAAGGAATAGAGCGTTGTTCGTGGAGGACAACGATGAGCTCGATGGGGAGGCTGACGAGGATGAAGAAGCAACGCCGGAACCTGCAAAGCCGACTGCTAAGAGGAAGGGAGCCAAGACTGGAAAGCTGACACCCATGGAAAAGCAAGTCATTGAGATCAAGCAGGCTCATCCAGACACGCTGCTAGTGGTGGAGGTTGGCTACAAGTTCCGCTTCTTCGGAGAGGATGCAAGAATGGCTGCTAAGGAGCTCGGGATTGTATGCATACCTGGTAAGATGCGATTTGACGATCACCCGTCTGAATCACACCTAGACAGGTTTGCTTCAGCCAGCATTCCTGTTCATAGGCTGCATGTCCATGTTAAGCGGCTTGTCCAGGCCGGCCACAAAGTCGGTGTGGTCAGACAGCTTGAGACTGCCGCACTGAAGGCTGTTGGTGACAACAGAAATACTCCATTCACAAGGAAGCTGACCAATCTGTATACCAAAGGCACATATATCGATGACATAGAAGTTCTCGAGGAGGAGAGTACCAATGCAGCAGCTAATCCGGCTCGCTCTACTGGCTTCTTACTATGCTTGACTGAAACCAATGCCAAAGGCTACGGCAATGATGAGAAGGTGCATCTTGGAATGGTTGCAGTTCAGCCGGCAACCGGTGATATCGTCTATGACGATTTCGAGGACGGCTTTATGCGAAGTGAGATTGAAACCCGACTTCTTCACCTAGCACCTTGCGAGTTCCTCATTGTGGGTGATCTGTCGAAAGCGAGTGATAAGCTTGTCATGCATCTATCTGGCAGCAGAGCAAACGTGTTTGGAGATAGGGCTAGAGTAGAACGGCTCAACAAGCACAAAACGATAGCTGCTGAAGCTCACAATCATGTTACGAATCACTATACCGAAAAGATGAGACAATCTTTGCAGGACGAAAAAGCCTCGAAAGTTCTGGATAAGATCCTTGGACTGCCGGAGCATGTCATGATCTGCCTATCGGCTTTGATAACCCAGCTGTCAGACTATGGACTGGCAAACGTGTTTGATCTCACCAAGTACTTCCAGCCATTTTCAGCTCGCTCGCACATGCTGCTGAATGGTAACACTCTCAATAGCCTCGAGATTTACCAGAACCAAACAGACTACACCGTCAAGGGAAGCCTGTTCTGGACGCTTGATCGGACACGAACAAAATTCGGTAGCCGGCTGTTGAGAAAGTGGGTTGGTCGACCTTTACTGGACAAGTTGCTCATTGAAGCACGTCAGAATGCGGTGGAGGAACTTCTTGATCCTGAAAAGGTTGTGCAGGTAGAGAAGTTGAGAAAAGTCCTTATCCGGCTGAAGAATGACCTCGAGAAGAGCCTGCTGAGAATATACTACGGAAAGTGCACTCGACCAGAGCTGTTAAACGTTCTGCAAGCATTTCAATTTCTGGCCAACGAATACTCGCATGCTACTGTTCCCAATGAAACTGGATTTTCTTCCACATTACTATCAGAATCTATTATGAGTCTGCCAACGATTCAGTCCGAGATAACAGCTTATCTCGACCAGATCAACCTTCATGCTGCTAAGTCTGATGACAAATATGCTTTCTTTCAGGAAGATCACGAGACAGAGACCATATCTGAGCACAAATTCGGGATAGCAAGCGTCGAAAACGACCTCGAAGCATTACGGACAGTCGCAGCGGAGAAGCTAGGTCGGAAGCGACCTGTAGACTATGTCACGGTGGCGGGCATTGACTTTCTGGTAGAGGTCGAAAATGCTTCCGCAGCTATCAAGAAAGTTCCAGCGTCGTGGATCAAAGTCAGTGGTACCAAAAAAGTCTCTCGCTTCCATCCACCAGAGGTCGTAAAGCTCGTTCGCGAACGTGATCAACACAAGGAATCTCTTGCAGCAGCATGTGATACAGCGTTCGAAGCTCTCCTAGCAGATATTAGCACGAAGTATTCACAATTCAGAGACGCTATTCTGAGCCTAGCAGCATTAGACTGCCTGATGTCCCTGGCAACCATCGCACAACAGCCAGGCTATACTCGTCCGATGTTCGTCGCTGACACGCAAATCGAGGTCAAAGGCGCCAGACATCCTATGATCGAGCAACTCCTTCTGGACTCGTATGTACCCAACGATGTCTCGCTACGTCAGGATAGCACTCGAGCACTCTTGGTGACTGGACCAAATATGGGCGGCAAATCGTCATATGTACGGTCGGTAGCTCTCATCACTATCATGGCACAAATAGGCTCCTTCGTTCCAGCCGACTCCGCCCAGATTGGTATTGTGGATGCAGTCTTCACTCGCATGGGCGCTTTCGACAACATGATGGCTGGCGAGAGCACGTTCATGGTCGAGCTTTCCGAAACGTCTGACATTCTGAAGTTATCGACCGAAAGAAGCCTGGTCGTACTTGATGAACTTGGTCGGGGCACTAGTACACACGATGGCGTGGCTATCGCTAGTGCTGTGCTGGACTGGCTGGTACGCGAGAAGAAGTGTCTGACGCTGTTCATCACGCACTATCAAGTCCTCGCGCGGATGGCCAATGGTTTTGACAATCAAGAGCTTAGGAACGTGCACATGAAATTCTCCGAAGATGAGGAAGGAGGCGATAACGTGACGTTCCTCTATGAGGTTGGTGAGGGAGTTGCTCACCGAAGCTACGGTCTCAACGTCGCTCGGCTTGCTGGACTAGACACTAGTGTAATTGAGCTTGCCAGAGACAAGAGCTCCGAGCTGGAGGAAGAGATGAGGAAAAAGAGACTGCAAGGACTGGCTAATGGACTAGTGAAGGACGACAGCATGTTCAACATGGAAACTCTGGTAGAGAGGATCGAGACGCTTTGAGAGCAGGACTCCAGTGATACTCTAAGAGAGAGGATCTACGCAGGCATTTGCGTTCTCTGAGCGGGATGAAGGTACTGGTGTGTATAACATAGGATCAGGTACTGTTCGTACTGTAGTGTATAACTTGATCCAGGCATGTTACCTTATCGTTTGTACAAAACCATACTAAATGAGTCTTTACATAGCACAGGTACTTGCTCCTGAGGACTTTCTCTGATCAGTATCTGCACTCTTTTCTGGGCTCGCGGTGCCATAGCATGAAAATCCATTAGAGATGGATAGCTTGATGTTTTAGACTCTAAAAACGTGCGCGATGGTTCAGGTAACCGAGTTGTCTCTCCCAATGGAGAGACCATACTCGTTCCTGTTTGAAAACAACTTTACTGCGGTGTCGGTCCAGACGAGATGTTGACCTGTCGATCGTGAATAAATTTGTGGTAAGTTTTCCGACTACACCACCAGACGCCCGCATTGAATACCAGCCACCGTTGCAAGACCGATGTGCCACTACACGCATATGACATAACGCTTACGATGACAATATCCTGACCATCCACAACCCAGCAGCCTGGAAGACTCACAACTCTCAAGTTCAACAGGCGTCTGTTCACCTGTCATCCTACTCGTCAACTTCGATGTACATCCTCCCTCTCCTCGGCTACCTAGGCCTCGCACTAGGTTTCTCCTTCCTTACACTCTCAATCGCATCAGGCCTCTACTACCTCTCCGAACTCGTCGAAGAACACTCCGTCCTTTCTGCAAAACTGCTCCGACGCCTCATCTACGGCATAATTGCTGTTCAATTCCTGCTCGCAGCAGTGGATAAATTTCCCTGGCACCTGACGGCCCTAGGCATGATAAGCCACGCAGTATACCTGAGCAACCTGCGACATTTCCCTATCGTCAAGTTAACCGATCCACTGTTCTTGCTCAGCTGTGTGCTAGTGCTAGTCAACCACTGGGTCTGGTTCAGGCACTTTAGCAGTCCGACCGCGTTCGCGAATCAGAGCTACAGAGGCAGAGGGAATGATCGGTACAGCTACAGTGGGTATAATTACAATCAGCCAAGTTTCACGGAGATTGCGTCCTATTTTGGGATGTGTGTGTGGTTGGTGCCGTTTGCGCTGTTCGTCAGTTTGAGTGCGGGAGAGAATGTGTTGCCGAGTATGGGGAGTGAGTATGCTACAGGGGAGCATACGAATGTTCCGCAGTTTAAGAGAGGGCATAAGAGGAGGAATACGGGGATAGCTAAGGCGACGATAGGGGGAGTTCAGCAGTGGGTTGGGGAGACGGGTGCGGTTATGGGATTGTGGAAGGCAGATAATGTGAGGAACGTATGAGAGTTCACGAATTGAATTGCTGCTATTTATTCATTCCGCTTGCTCTAAGATGGTGGCTTGTAACCATCCACGTCTGTGCTGTTGGCAATCTTTTCATACTTCTTGTAGTTTTCCCCGTATTGCTCGATCTTGCCCATGATGGCCTTGTAGGCATCACTACCGATCACACTTCTCAACGGTGGATCGTCCATGATTCCGAACTCGTACATGGCCTTTGCACCCTTCTTAGGGTCTCCAGCCTGCGTACCATTACGCTTGGTCATCTGCGTCTTCGCATCGATATGATCGTAGGCGGGATGTCGCTCCGCAAACTGCATGCTGCGTCCAGCCCAATCAGTGCGGAAACCACCAGGCTCAATGCAAGTCAGTTTGATATTCCATTCCGGCTTCAGTTCTTGAGATAGAGCCTCTGTGAATCCTTCGACAGCCCACTTGCTAGCGCAGTAAGTGCTAAAGGTTGGCACACCCCGCTGACCACCAATACTCGTGACTTGCTGGATGCGACCTCCTTGTGGGCTCTGCTTGTCACGCATCGTCTCCAATGCTATTCTTGTCACGTCCAGCAGCCCAAAGAAGTTGATCTCCATTTGCTGTCGGATCTCTTTGTCTTTGTACTCCTCGAAGCAGCCTGAGAGGCCGTATCCTGCATTGTTGCATACCACATCGACGCGGCCGAACTTGTTTAGGGCCTTGTCGAATGCCTCTTGAATTGAGGATTTGTCCGTCACGTCGAGACGGCAGGAGAGGTAGTTCTTGTCGTTGGTTCCTGAGAATTCTAGCTGCTCGGGCTTACGAGCTGTGGCTACACAGTAATCTCCGCGATCGAGGACTTCCTGAACGTAGTCTTTACCGAAGCCGGTCGAGCAGCCGGTGATGAGAAAGACGCGAGGCATGGTGAGCTGTTTTGCTGTGTAGAATTGTCAATTGGAAGGAGAACTTGAAAAGAATAAGATTAACAAATATAGACAGAGCTATTTGTAGGCTATCAGCTTTTTGCAACCCTGACGATACACCGGTACGCCCGGCGCACACTCATCTAGCCGTTGTAACCTTTTTCCCTCGATTGTACCTAGGATGAACTCATTATGCTCCAAATGATGTCCTTCTATGGAACTTTTGACAGTAAGTACAGTAGCGAACATCGCAGTGGAAGGTACAACTCCAATCCAACGAAATAGGGATGATGTCATCGTACAAGGAATGCTTCACGTCCTTGCTGTTCGCCCCGCGTCGAAGCTGATTCGGCCGATTTTGTAGGGGTACTCCAGGGCATCTCTGACGCAAAAGCTCCAGGAAAGCGGCACAGAACAGTACGGTTGAGCAGCAACTTCCCGGCCGACCTGCCAGAAACGTTCTGAGATTCACGTACTCGGAGACAGTCATTCGCGGCAACTACGAAGTTGCGTCGACAATGTGCTGTGGTGAGCGGTGTTGGCGAAGATGTCTTTCGTCCTGAGAAGTAGCCTTTTTTCGGAAGAGAAACAGCTTTCCTTTCTGATCACCTTGACTGGTCCTTGCTAAACGACCAGTATTTGAGTACAAGTGGCAGAAGCTCGGGTCTTGCGATCGGATTGCAGAATTCTCGATCGCGGCGTACTTTGCTGCAGGTCTGGGATGACAAGCGAATCTTGCACTCCCACACATATCGTGGTTCCTGCTGCCACACTCATCTGTCAGGATCGAGGCCCTTGCGCCGTTGCTCGTTACGACAGAGCTAGGTTGAGAGGAACGTTCTTGCTGTTCCAGACCCTTCGTCGATCTGGTTGCACGTGGCAGAGACCTCCTATCGCAACCACCAAATCTTGTTATCAGGCCACAAGAACGTCCGCCGCCGGAGATCCCATCCGCAATTCTATACATCCCTGCTGGTGTTTTGTTGCCTGAAGATCAGAAGATCTAGAGCCAAATATGAATGAAGAACTAAGGTAAGCTGGAACCTGCTAAGCCCAGCGTTGTGGTAAATTTCAGCCATGTGAGTGGTGATTAACGTGGACCGAACCTTCCTCTATTCCCACATTGTTCCTCCTCTATATTTCTTGTTTCTATCGTGGCAAGGGCTCAGATGTTTGGTAATTTGCACCGATCAAAGTCAGGCTATCGCACTCGGTCTCCCGATACTCCTCCATATGAACGGCCACCTAGCAGAACAATTAGGCGAGGCTCAAATAATGATCTGACACGCTATAGACGAAACACAATTCAGGACCGACAAGAGTCGCCGCCTCCGCAACCACTTCAGCAGAGCCTGACTAGCGCATTACTTTCCTCGTCGCCGAATGAGTTCAGAGCAGCGACCCAGCATCCTTTCTTACGTACAGCTGGTGAAGGCAAGGTCACAAAGCACGATCTCTCTCGTTGGCTCTCGCAGGATCGCCTATATGCAGAAACATACATCTCGTTCGTCACTAGCCTGATCGCGAGAGTATCGTTACCTTATGCCCACATCGAAGATAAAGCTGCTTCGTTGAGATGGCGTATAGTCAAACTGCTCACGGAATGCCTTGACAACATTCAACGTGAGTTGACTTTCTTCACAGAGACAGCGAGGAGGTATGACCTACGACTAGACGAGCCCTGGGGAGGATCTGAATCTTTCGGGCCGAACCCAATTACGGAGCAGTATATCAACCTCTTCACAAGTTTCCATTTCGACCCTCAGCAGACTCTGCTCGAAGGTCTTGTCGTGCTGTGGGCAACAGAGAAATGTTACCTCGATGCCTGGACATATGCTTCTATATATCTAGCCCAGGATGTATCGCCGGACGCAGACTCAGACGGTGGTGCCCTACGCAACGAATTCATACCGAACTGGTCCAACAGAGACTTTGAACGTTTCGTGCAGGACATTGCAGACATTACTGATGAGCTAGCTCAGCGAGAAGGCGCACTTCGGAAGGTCGAAGTGTTCAAAGCGTTATGGCTACATGTTTTGGTCATCGAGAAGGGCTTTTGGCCTGACCTTAGCCAATGACCGCAAAAGGGCGAACGAAAAGTTGGGACAGGGATAATTCTCGGTTTTCTTCAACATTTACACATCCTTCTAAGTGATACCACTGTATACACGAGCTCACCTTTGATCGTGCACCCTCAACACGACTCACCTCTTCCGCCCAATTCCAGCTCCAAGCCTATCTCCACCCCTAAGCACTTCCCCCTTCCTCCTCATCACTACTACTAGGGTACTTACTCCCCACATTCCTCCGCTCCTTACTCGCCCTCATCTCCCTCAAAATATCCTCCGCAAAATCCGGCTCCAACTCCTTCGCCGTCTTCCGTCGCCTCTCGCCCTCTCCTATTTTGGGATCATACAGCACGCCCGCGAGCTTCGCCTGCTCGGATTTCGGCGAGGCTTGGCGGACGATTACTTTCTTGGGTTTGGGGTCGGAGACGGCGGGGCGGCGGTCTGAGCAGGAGGTGGACGGTTTGGATGAAGATTTGTTGTTGTTGATGGTGCGCTGGGAGGAGGGGGTGGACTTACTTTTTTGGGATTTGGATCTGGACTCACCTGAGTGGGACATTTTTGCTTGGTGCGTAGTAGATGGATGGATGGGTTGGGTTGTCAAGTTTAGGTTTCAGTTGCTTTGTGTATGAAGATCTGCTTCTTGATTGGGATACTTGTGTGATTTGTGATTTTTTCGATAAATGTAGGAAACGGGGGACTGTGATGGTTTATTTATGTGCTATTTTTGGGAGTGAGAGAGCGCTGGAAGAAAGGCGTAAGTACGTCTTTGTCTCCTGGGTGTGCTGGTACCTAATGTCCTTCGCAAGAGAAAGGCGTTGTTCCAGAGACAATAAGCTGCTTCTTTGTCTTTTGGCACATGGAACCTGAACCGGTTTGCCCTCGTGGACAGATCATGCAAGGCAGCGACAGCAGATTGTTCATATGGAGTAAAAGCAGAAGAAGAAAAATAGCTATCATCACAATCGAACGCCAGTTGTGCGCGTGACTAGCCCAGAGTGAAGGCCGTCATAATTTCCGCATCCTACTGTACATCATCGGCATTACTCAAGTTAACCACATCCTGACAATTCTGGACCTGCACATTCAGCCGCTTCACCTGTTCGACGATCTTCGGCCACGCATCACTTCCAATAACTAGCCTCTCCAACCCACCTTCGCTACCATTGCTGTCTCGCAGTCGTGCAAGAGCCGCTTCCGCCGCACTCCCCTCCGTCCGCATGATCGCATCAAACAGGATTTTCGCTCCTTTACCCGGGTCACCACGTGCAGCATCAGGGACATTCGCAAACTTCATGACCATATTGACACGGGAAGTCGCAGGGTGATCTGGATCGTCGTAAGGGGCCTCCCAGATCTGACTGTTATCCGCACCCGAACCAGCTTGAGTCCGAGGACCAGAAGACATCCCAGCCCGGTCACCACTCGTAGCAAAAGCAGTTCGGAAAGAGCCCAGGTTGACGTTGATCACCCTAACTCCGAAGTAAGCGACCTCACTCGCGAGTACACCGCTCAATGCTTCGAGAGCGTGCTTGCTGGCGTCGTATGCTATCTCACCGGGGTCAGGACATAATCCTTGAGTAGAGGAAATGTTCACGATGACTTTGGGGATAAGGTTCCGTGATGTCCGCATGTTAGGTAGACATGCTTGAACGATCCAGAGGGGAGAATAGAAGTTTATAGTCATGACTTTTTCGATAGTGGATGTTGGAATGGTCTCGACTGGTGCAAAGGCACAGATGGCGGCATTGTTGACGAGGATGTCGATGGAAAGGTTAGGATGGGAGGCCAAGAAGTCGAAGATGAAGGACTTGATCTTTGTGTCGTCTCTCTTTGCTAGATCATGCTGGAGGTGGTGAAGTTGTGGTTGTTCGTCCTTTGTGATTGAAACAATGGCAGACAGTGATTCGTGTGGCTCTGAGTAGCGAGAGAGGGAGACGAGGTTATGGTCTTGTCTCAAGATATGCTGTGCAAGCGCGAGACCAAAGCCGTTTGAGGTGCCTGTGACGAACCAAGTCGGACGTGGAGAGCTCATGTTTGCCAAGATATGAGTGCCGATAGTACTTATGTGGTGCTGGCTATACTGGGCGGTATCCTTCGTAAATAGTACACCTCTGAGTTCTGAGGGAAGGTTCCCCTCTTCTTGCGACTAGATCTGCCAGATATTTATGCATTTTGAGCATGATGCTGGATCAACGGGTTCTGGTGTGACCTGGACGTAGTTAAGGCGGAATTGCATTTTTATCTCCATCAAGCTTTGCCATGAGCTATGATACGGCAACCTGTGGGACGGCATGGACGCGCTGAATGCGTGTGAACTTCAGGCGTAATCATGTTGACTATCATGTCTTCTAGACCGTCAACAATGCTAACCAAAGTGGGCGAAATAGAACAGCTTACTGCCATAGACCATGGAAGAAACATTTGACATTTCACGCTGCCCAGATAGCCGATGTCCGGCCCGTCTATCATTTGTCAATGCAGTAGAAAAGCTGCATCCATGATACAGGCATGCCAGCGTCGATTTGTAGCGCAAGGAAGAAGCACAAGAGGTCTTAAGGTGAAGAATTTGTGAAGCAAAGTGTTCAGCTATTGGAAATATGTAAAGAAGAGCCTCCAAAGTGAGACTGTAACCGAAGCTCAAATGTGTGGTCTTCACCAATAAAGATGTGGTATCATAGTGCGAAGAGTTGCTTCGCGATGAGCATATGTATGCTTGAACGCCTTGACCCCATGCTATGTCGCTTGAAGACTGTTGTCAAATGTAAAATGCAAATACACCATGTCATACATGCGTTCCTGCTGTGTATTGACCGAAAAATAATACCTGTGCTGTGCTTTTTCGAGTGTTTTCTCATTATGCGTCTTTTTGGCCAACAGTCTTGTCACTGCCGTACACACCACTGTGTAGGGCAGCAGCGATGCCCACAGCAATACCAACCATGGCACCTGCAATGACCAGGGCAATCAACAGTTTGACCATGATTCTTTGCTTCTTAGGCAACCTCTGGAGCCAGGTTTGCTTCTTCGGTCGTGTCATGCATTTCTGTCGTCTGTTCCAAAATTTGAACTTGGTGAATTTGTTCTCGGCTTGTCTCTGAGCATTCATTTTCTCTTGACTGACTGAAGGTGTAATACCCCCTAGTTCGAGGTCTCGAACGTCCATCTGAATGACTTGTTTCGGCCGCTGGTCAGTGGAGGGTCGAGGGCTATCGTGGTTGTACATGTAGAAAGGGGAGAACTTTTGTGCATTCTGACATGGATTGTAATCTTGACCTTGTTCTCGCTTGAGGTCGAGAGAATTGTCGGTGGATATATCTTGTGATCGCAGCTGCTCTTCGGAGCTGGAAAAGTGCTGCTGAAAGGCGGGCTCAGGCTTCTGAAGGGTTGCCATGCTGTCAAAGATTGTGCTGTATAAGAGCTAGAAGTGTATAGAGAGTCGAAAGTGATAAGCTGATAGCAGACAGATGTCTGATGACCCTGAGCAAGTCTAGTTGCAAGGTATTGCGTGGCAGGACTGCTATGACTGCATGGTTGGGAATGACGAGGCGAAAATCCCCAGCGTGTGCAAAGGACGTGCACCCGTCCGTGTCACTCGAGCAAGGTGCTCTGCGCGTGATTCGGAGTTTGTCACTCGTGCTTGCCGTGCACGGTCGCTTCCGTGCTGTAAGGAAGGGGTAACGATGAGCCTATGCAAGACGGATTCAATGTATGACAGTGATCTCGAAAGATCAAGATGCTGGTCGGCGATTCGAAGGTCTACTGAAACCGCAAGATGTGAATGAGCAAGTGGTTGAACACAACTGGAGCCACAAGTCCTAGTAGTCTATTGCGGAAATGAGACAGGGCAGGGTATATATCGATAACAGCAAGATAGTCTCATTCACGCTGGGCTCGCTTCTATCAGCCAACTCTCTGTACATGAGCAGCTAGTCTACGTCTCTACCCCTCTATCTGAGCGTTGCGATTGTGAATATGGAAGAATGGTCGGCTGCATGCCCGTCTTTTTGGGCGATGTGACAGTTGATTTCATTCTTAAAGCTGTGTACCTGCATTAGCCACAAAGAATCGCCTTCTCCAACTAGTTCTAGGCCGTCACGGGGAACAGTCTTGAATCTGAATGGTCAAGCACGCTCATTGGTATAGATGATACTCCTCTCGAGCAACTAACTGCTTGTGAGAATCGCTCCGCGCCGTTTACCTCCACCTCCGTCACATTGTTTCTCGTCAGAGCCGTCCACTTGCCAGCAGGCGAGAGTGTTTTCGATATCACATCCATTTGTTCATCTGTCGTCAATTTGACTGGTTACAAAACCTTGTCGACTAACAGTGGTCTGATGTTCAACTCAGATCACGGTCGAGTTAAGAGCGTTGGTGATCGCACACGACGTTTTAGGGAACACAATATCTCATTTTGAATGTACATCTTGCTTTCTGAGCATCGCTTCCTAATTCATAGAAAATGCTTGCTGACTTCAATTATATGCAATTTTCATAAATGCATTCACCAGATCTCCTAATCTCTGAAGAAGTCGTCTCTTACAATATGGCTCTTATCGCACATACCCCTAAAGATGCCTCCCTGCTCAAATAGATTGATCGGCGTGTCCAATTCTGCGATTCGTCCTTGATCCATCACACAAATTCGGTCATAATTGATGATGGTCTTCAAGCGATGCGCAATGCACAGCACCGTCTTCCCAGAAAACCCAAGTCGCATTGTGCGCTGGATCTTCTCGTCGGTTTCAAAATCCACAGACGATGTGGCCTCGTCACAAACAATGATCTGCGCGTTACGCACAAGCGCTCGTGCAAGAGCCATAAGTTGTCGTTGACCAAGGGAGAAGTTGAGACCCTCTTCCTCCACTGGGCTGTCTAGGTGAATGCGTGTCGTCTTTTCGGCTGTAGGCGTCGTTGGTGTCTGAGGAGCTTTTTCATCCACAGGACCTTGTTCATTGCCAACCAAGTCGGCCTTGCGAAGAGCGTCCCACAATGCGAGGTCGGAGTGCTCATTGAATGGATCGAGGTTAGACCGAATTGTTCCTCGGAACAATGTTGGGTCTTGAGGTATAATTGCTAACCTTGATCGCAGGTCCTGCAATCCAATCTCTGCAATGTTGACGTCGTCTATCCTGATCTGACCACCAGAAAGTTCACTGAGTCGGAATAGTGCTGACATAATACTGCTCTTACCAGCACCTGTTCTTCCAACAATACCTACCCGCTCTCCTCCTCGGATCTGGAAACTTAGTCCCTGCAAAACCAAAGGCAGCTCTGGACGGTATCTCATCTCAACATCCTTGAAATCAATTGCACCAGACTGTGGCCAACTGTCTGGAACCTCCTTCAATTTTAATGGTGCTTCTTGCTCCAATTGAGATCCGTAATAATGTAATCGTTCGGTTGCATTCATATTGTTCTCTACCTCTGCCAACTGCCGGACTGTGAACTGAATCATCTGCACAATAGCCAAGATGTAGGAAAGCACGAGACCCGCGATAGCCGGGTTGACGTTAAAGCCACCAGTAACAACTAAGATACCAGTCGTAAGTACCAAGAGATTGCCGATCAGATCGAGTCTTGTCGAGAGCCACCGCTGGTTTGCAAATGTCAAGAAATAAGCCGAGTCCATCTGATCTACCGCATCTCGAATTCGTTCTGTGAAATATTTTTGTAATCCATATGCTCTGATGGATGCAACTCCGGAGACGGACTCCGAGAAGCGTGCAAAAACAACAGACCGCAGAACTGACTCGTGGCGCTTGAGTTCTCGTGCAGAAGCCCGGTAGTAGCTCGATGCGAAGAGGAAGATAACCAGAAGTGGTACCAATGCCACAGCGAAATAGTGATAGAAAGCGATAATCAGCGCAAAGACAGAAATGATCATAGCCAGTGTGAGGAAATACATCCTCATCGCATCCGTCAAACTGTTGTCCATGGAATCGACGTCTTTCGAGAACCGGTTTGTGATTCGACCGAGTGGTGTCGTGTCGAAGAAGAACATAGGTGCGCGGAGAACACTCTCCATCGCTCTTTGCAGCATGACCTTGCTGGAATTCGTGCCACTTGTTGACAAAAGTGTAGCAAAGGTAAACATGAGGATCACTTGGACCACACCCAGCATCGCGTATATGCCAATGTAGAATCCACGGCCAGCATTGAACTTGTTGCTGACCCAGTAACTGAGCCACAAGCTAGTAGCAATATTGGCACCTTGCGAAGCGACAAGAGCGATAAAAATGAACGGCCAGAGGAATCCACGACCAGAAGCACCAATATATGCTCCCCAGACTTCCCAGCTGACAGACTTGGTTGCACGTTCCTCGACTTGCATGAGTGCTTGTGCCTTTTTCTTGCTTTTACCCCTCTTATCTTCCTTGGTAGCCTCAGGAACCTCGATTACTTCCTTCTTTTCTGTCTCGTCTTCTTGTGATGTGCTAGCCATAAGTTTTTGGAAGCTTTCACTGTTGGCCATGAGGTTATCGTATGTGTCGATTGCTTGAATGTGACCTTCCTCCATCCATATGATTCGGTCACATCTGTTGAGAACGTGCAGCTGATGCGTGGCAAGTATACGACATTTGTCCTTCATTATACCACAGATGGCCTCGTCCATGATGTGCCTGCCTACATGAGCATCCACGGCTGAGAGAGGATCGTCCATGAGTACAATGTCAGCATCGAAATAGATCGCACGAGCAATGTTAAGGCGCTGCTTCTGACCTCCTGATAGTGTAATCCCTCGTTCACCGATTTCTGTAAGATCGCCTGCAGGAAGGATAGCAAGATCAGGCCTCAAAGCGCAGGCATCTATTACGTTGTTGTACCACTTCGACTTGTAGGGCTTGCCGAATAGAATATTCTCTTTTAGGGATGCATTCTGGATCCAAGCGTATTGAGGACAGAAAGCTCTCGAACCAGCCATCTTGATTTGACCATCAGTCTTCCTCATATCTCCGGCCAGTGCTGCCAGCAAGCTTGTCTTCCCCGAGCCAACTGTTCCGATGACTGCCAACAGCTCGTTTCGTCCAACATTGAAGCTGATACCAGAAAGTCTGAATGGCTCTACCGCAGTATCATTGCTCAGCGCATCTGAGGACGACGCAGGCGAAAACTCTCGAGAAGGTTGCGGGTTCTTCTTGGCTTCCTTTTTCGCTGCTTTCGCCTCTCTAGCATCTTCTTTAGCCTTTTCCTTCGCGGCTTTCTTTGCCATCTTCATCTGCATTTTGTTAGGTGGACCTTTACCTCCTGGACCATTGCCATCCTGGGTTGCTGTGCGTTCCCAAGTGAAGGAGGCGTCCTCGACCTCGACCGCGTTCTTCGGCATCTCATCGTCCCAGATTATCTCGTCGGTCTGCTCCTCAGATAACAGGAACTCCTGTATTCGGTTGAGGGAAGCGGATGCGTCAGTGGCTTGGCCAATGACTAGTGGCAACAAGTTCAATGGCATTCGTAGAGAGTTGAACAATGCGAGTGAGGAGAAAATCCTGGACGCGGATGACACGTTGTGACCAGTGACCGAGTAGACGATGAAAGCAATCATAGATGCAAAAACAGGCATCGACATCGATAGAGCATTGATTGCGTTCCTGATGGCGAGGAGGGTCTGAATCATCCTGATCTCTCGTCTGCGTATTTCCTTTAGCCTTGCCAAAAAGCTCGATTCCCAACCAAAGAACTTGACGAAGCGTACTGCGCCAAGGATTTCCTGGGTGAGCGTGACTCGCTGATCAGTAACTTTGTTGATGCCTTTCCTGCGGACGAAGAGTGCTTTGATGGCCTTAGTAAGGAGTGGCATCATCAGCGCCAAAAGGGCGTAACCTGCCAACGCGCTGTATCCGATGTTTATGCAAAGGACGACCAGGACGATAGCAATTTGGATTGGCGAAGTCCAGAGGATATGAAATAAGCCGGACACTTGATCAACACGGTATGTATCGACACTCATCAAGTTAACTATCTTTCCATTATTCCAGCCAGTACCATCACCAGATATTCCATGACCTTTGTCAGGTGTAGACTTCGGTCCAGTTTTGGGATGCAATGCACTGGAAATTTTGCGTGCCAGAACTGGTCTGGACCTTTCTTCTGGAGCAGAAGGGACGCCATTCGAAGCATGTTCTTGAGGTAAGGCTCTGCCTCCAGCCTTTGCACGACCAGAGATTATCAAAGTCTTCTCGAAGATAGCATTAATCAGAACTGCTCTTGCTTCACCACCAACCATCATACCTCGATATATGAAATGGTTGGTGGCTGTACTCTGGCAAATTTGCATGAATGTGATACCTAGTGCCAAGCCGATACCACGACCTAAGTCTGGCTCGGGTGTGCCGTTCTGAGTGGCGTTGTAACGTTCGGTCGAGTACTGTATCAGATATCTGGTCGTGAAGGGCGAAAAGACCTGGAATAAGGCAGAGAACAATGCACACATACCTCCGAAAACGAATTCGGGACCTAGTGTATCGTATAGAGCCCACATCAGCGGCCTCTTCTCGTTTCGAGCTGCTCGCCGCTTGAAAGACTCCATCAGTTTTGTGGCCATGACCTCAGAGCTTCTGTTCGGGTTGACTAGCCAGATGTCGTTCAATTCGATTGTTCTCCTATAACCAGCCGTCATCAGGGGATTGACCCATTGAAAAGTCAAAATGCTGAAGAAGCCCGCATTATATTCTCGAGACACTATGCGCTCCTTCGGTATGGGAGGTGGTTTGCCACGTCTCAAAGGATTTATCCTGTGGTGCCATGATTGTTTTTCTGGCTCTTGAGATTTGCTTGCAGTTGTTGTTATTTCTGTTGCCTCCGTCATTTCTGAGGCATGACTGCCTATAGTAGTTGCCGCCGAAGCGACTTTCTCGAGGTCATCGTGAACACTGCTGTGGTCGCTGGCATGCCGACTGACTCTTCTTCTCGGCCTCGGTACCTCTAGGTATTCTGTACTCGCAGGCTCATCGTTCTTCTCCAAATCCTGCTCTTCAACTTCTCCTCCTGTCTGCTCCAAAGCCTCAACGGCATCTCTTTGCGGCGAACGCGACATCTCAAGGCAAACTAGATGTCAGTAGAAAATAGGGATGGTGACGAGTCATGAAAGATTTCCAGCAAACACATAAACATTGCACGATTAGGCAGACAAAGAAGCATTACTAAAGCGAATGGTATGGAGCTCGACCGAGGCGTCAGCACGGCAAAGAGTGGTGAGTATCCTCGTCATGGACATTTTCGCAGGCAAAGGCACTTCGCACTTTAAAGTGTGGATCTCCGACAGAGTAAAATTGATCGGCGCCGAACCGTTCGGGATATTCACGTGAGCGGTTGGTAGAGACAAAATTGACCAGTTGGACATCGTGGCCAAAGCAAGCATGGTTCTTTTGGAGAAAGTGGGCGCAGAAAATGACCAGAAAGAATGTGATGAAGCATCTCGAGCTGCAGTGCGTCGGCAAGCTTGTGGGGAAGGAAGATTGCCGCTTTGCCGCTCATGGCACCCGAAGTCCATGTCTGCTTCTTGCTTCGCCTTCTTGCTTAGTAAAGTGCCTGTAGTCAAGTCGGTCTTGCTTCGTCTCGGCCTCATAGCGACAATAGACAAAATATCAGGCTGTCTTCATACTCGTTTCCAAATGAACTACTTTTGATTTCTAGCGACAATCTGACGGCATAAATTGACGTAAGAATTGAAGCTAAGTTAAAGTTGTTGAGCTTAGCCCTTGCCGGAGATAGGACAATCTCCACCGTCAAACCGACGCAACGTCCGAGCAAGTACAGTGTGGCCAATTACTCATTCCAGTTGGCCGTACTCGAGAATGATTTTTGTACTACGAAAGTATACATGGTTCACGTTTGACATCCTTACTCTCGATACCACTGGAGTATGCAGTATTTCGCAAGTGCAAGGTTGCCATCTAGTGGTCCTTTTCAGCCGAGGACAATCTTCGACTCACCGCTATATCGGAAGGTTCAAGCTGAGACCGATGTGAGGTCGGACCCGAAAGAACGAATGCTTACCAATCTACTAATGCCTGGACTCCCTACTTCTGTATGAAATGCACGGTGATCTGAAATTCGCAATATGCATGGTAAGCCTAAGAGGCGATTAATGCCAGATCATATGGCTTTGATGGTACTTCGATCTGACCTACACTCGCTGCTGAACTCTTGACTACTCGGTAGCGTACGAGAGTCGCTTCACACACCAAATTATTGCTGTCCAGGACGTTGTGCAATCTACCAATGTTGTTCGCTGGTGTATGGATTTACAGGATGGCAGGAAGTTTGTGACTGTTGACGCAGAAGCGTTCTAGCAACTCGATGGTAGATATCGACACCTGTGCCCATATCACGCAGTGCCCAACTTGGCTTGATTTGGTAGTCGTGAGGGACAAGACCTGATGCATGTTGCCAACAACTGACTCTTCCCTGGGCTTTATTTGGCAGCAGACCCCAAGCTTATATTGAACAAGGATACACCTCCTCATTGTGAAGTAATTTGATTTACCTTGACTAAAAGGCGGGCATTGTACTTGTCCTCAAGGTGTAGAACAGCCTTAGTATTGTCCGAGGCGTGAATACTGCAGGTCTATCTCCACCCTGCCATCTTCCTGTCTGACGCTCAAACAAATTCTTCTGTCTCCTCAATGACCTCTTCCACAACCTCCTCGACAGTCTCCTCACCCTCAGTAGCACTTCTCGTCTTTGACAATGCCATCTCCGCCGGATCTGGTAGACCAAGCGCTTCTCTTTCCTCTTTAACATCCTCGAGCTCCGCATTAAGCCAAGCATACCACTCACCGTACAGCCGTCTTCTTTGTTCGACAACAGCCAAGTTAGCACCTTCTTCCATCTCCTTGTCAAGCTCATCGAACTCTCTTGAGTATTCTCGGAGGTTGCGGCGAACTTGTTTTTGCTCTTCCCTGCTGAGTAGCGTTGGCGGTCTTGGTCGCCAGAGGAGCTGCTTGAATTTTTCGATAGGTGACTCCTTGAGCGGTTGACCAGAAAATGACCACATGCGGAATCCGTTTTCCATCTGCAATCAGGTTAGTCTGGCACGATTTGTGCGTTGTTAGTGTAGCGAACTTACCTGATGTGTCCACATACTAGCACTCGTCACGACATATCGACCAGTAGGATCCCATTCGACATCAGTAACGCCGTAGTGCTCCTCGGTGTTCATAAGCATCAAGTTGGCAGAGACCTTGTCGTCATCGACCGTCCGATCACCCTCATAGTCGAGATCGTAGAAGTCCAGATCACAGTGTTGTTGAACAGAGATCGTACCAACTAATACGAATCGACCTTTGGGCGACCAGTAAATGCCGTTGCTATTCTTCTTGTCGAAAGTCTTCACATGTCTGAATGCCCCGGTCACACCAGCTGTCTTTGACTTTTCGGGCGAGAAGAACGACACGGAAGTCTTTGGTAGCACGTTCGAACCAGCTACTGCTTCACCTGCCGTAATGACAACGAAGCGGTCACCTTTTGGCTCCCAGGCGAAATTGATCACAGTGTCTTTTAGTGCATCGACAACCTCGACAGGCACACCTTTCTCCCTTACTCGGAAGATCTCGAGGTTAGTGGCAACGGACTTCTTTGTCTTCGAGTGTCGGTCGACCTTGACGCAAAGGAACTTCGAGTCAGACTGCCAGTGTAGCTTGGCGTCAGTAACATTGAACAGGTTTCGAGTTCGGACGATCTCGCGGCTTGGCACAGACATAAGAGCGACCGAAGCTGGTTTGCTACCCATTTCGGGTGTCCAATAAGCAAGCAGTTGTTCGGGTCGTTTGTCCTGCTTGATGCCCTCACGTTCAGGTGTGGATGGTGCCCATTCGAAGTCCACGATACCGTCGATTTTGATTGACTTTCGCTCCTTGTTGGCATCTCGAATCATGCTCATGGACGGTAGTTCGTAGATTGATAGTGATTCACCTGGTTTCATCCTTGCGACATATTTCTCGTCGGCCGACCACTTGAAAGCAGGCCATTGTACCTTCGCCTTGGGTGGAACAGCGCCGTCTGGACCAGCAGCTGGCGTGAGATCATAGGCTGCAAAGGATCGGACCGGCTTGCCTGTTGTGAGTTCCCATATGACAATATGTTTGCCATCCTCGTCAATGCTAAGCGGACCTTTGCCATCTGGATCAACACTGATGGGCTGATTTGACCAAGTTACCATATAGTTTTCGAGAGGAGAAAATTGTACTAGACTGACGAAAGGATGTGGTAGTTGTTTTTGCTTTGTAAACTGTGGGCCGCCCCAAAGCTGAACACCTTGTTGGTGAATACTAGCAAGGAAAGTACCTTGAGGGGACCATGCAATAAATAGTTGTGTCCAATGTTTCCTATCAACAACAGATTCGGGATCATCTTTCTTGTTATTCCAGAAGACTCCGACATTGTCGCCGCGAAACATAGCAAACTGGTCTCGGCCATTTGGGTCGCCTAGCCATGAGCGTAGGTGATCTTTATCTGCGAAGGGCTCGATATAAGGCGCTTGGTACTCGTCATCAATTCGACCCTCTCGTCCATAGCGGTCGATATCTGTGAGTTTGTTGACACTCAAGGTATGCTTCTTGTCGAGAGCCACGGCGTGTAATTGTTTTGTGGCAGCAATGGCTTGTTCTGGCGAGGCATATTCGATAAAGGCGAAACTGTCGATTATCAGCCGCAGCGCCTTCTTGTATAGCAGACACTCACCCTTCCGACTTTCCGTTATCGCCAATTGGCATGTAGACCGATTCCTCTCCATCCTTGACCTGACCGACCTTGTTCAAAGTCTTCATCAGAAACTTGACGAGTTTTGGTTTCTGATCCTCAGTCACTATGGGTAATCCATCGACTACCACAAAGTTGTCGAATCCCTGGTCTTCTCTAATATCTCTGTATTTCTCTTCCAGGTCGCTGAAGTCAATTTCGCCCTCGTACTCGTCCTCTAGGGACAACTGATCAAATCCTGGAGACATCTTTGGAACGGAATGCGTTGGATGGTGCGCAACCGATCCTCTTCTTGGATTTTCCTGTCAAGACTGTGCGACTCGTGACAACGCCAACTATGACTCCAAGCAGAAGTGTGAGTCAATGTGCAGTCAGTATCCGAAGTAGACTTTACACTGACAAGTGTCTAGCCTGGCTGCGATGTGCTTCACCAGAGAGGCGCTAGTTGTCACCTGGCCGATTTTGCCCACGATTTCGAAATCTTGGCACTATCGCCAAACCTGCCGTGAACTTAAATATCACCTGCCCGCCAAACCACTGGCGCAACGATCAGCACCCGCCCAGCCATTTCCACGATGCAGACGCAGGACGGCCATGCGCTCGGACTTCTAGAGTGCTATTCGTAACAATCAATGCATGATCGTGTTTATCCTTTGTCGCTAGCTCGAAGCTTTACAAACACAACCATCTAGCTGGTTTGCTTATTGCTTGACTCTGAGCAATCCTACGTTGCTCTGGCGGATCTGAGCATTGTTCCCTCTCGGATGCGCGCAATAGCCATGCAGTAGACACGCAATATTTCACTTCAAGCTCATTTTGCGCGCATCTGAACCCATCTCGCTTGAGTGTCCAGGCACTGGCCTACTGTCTGCTCCTGAAAGCCACAACGACATAGCTCACTGTCCTGAGGATGACTTGTATGTGACTATTCCCACGCATCGGCAAGCATAGATATGGATGCTCATAACTGCTCAGTACCAGCCGAGGTACGCGTACAGTACATCAACATCATCGACGATATCCTCAACAAATCAGACCTTACTCAGGTGACTGAAAAGAGAATAAGGAATGGCATCCAGGAGCGAGTTGAGTATGATATTACTCCGCAGAAGGTAGACACTCCAGTCGTCTGACGAAGACGGAAATTGACAAGACCAGGCGGCGATCAAGACGCTGATAATGGAACGGTTCGATATATTCAATGCGAAGCAGAACAAAGATCAGGAGCCTGTCCCCTCAGTCGAGACAGCAGAACCACCACACCCTCCACCTACTGTGAACGGCCACACCAAACGAGTTACAGAAACTCGATCACCCTCTTCTGCTCGACCGAAGCGAGAAGCTGATGACAGTGACCTATCGGACGTAGTCGACAAGGCTCCTCCCAGAAAGAAGCGGAAAGAGAGCAGTGTGGAGGATGATGCAGCATTTGCTGCTCGACTTCAGGCAGAGGAGGATCGTGCTGCTCGTCCTACAAGAGGTGGCACATCGAGGAAAGCTGCTCCTTCGAAAAAGAAGAAGGTTCCTAGGAAGAAGACAGCTGATAAAGTTACCGGCTCGGATGATAGCGAGGTCGAGGAGAATGGCGCGAAGCGCAAAGTTAACAGGGAAACCGGTTTCCATAAGCCAATGAATCTTTCTACGACAGCATCTGATTTCTTCAATACTCCAAAGGTACGTGAGGCACTTTCGTCAACGTTCTCTCCTAACGTTTTACTAGCTTTCGCGACCACAAGTTACAAAGCAGGTCTGGGAATACATCAAAGCTCACGATCTACAAGACCCTGGCGACAAACGGTACATCGTATGTGACGACAAGCTCAAAGTGCTTCTCAAGACAGACAAAGTGCACATGTTTCAAATGACGAAGATTCTGAATACTCACTTGTATAATCCAGAGGATTAAGGCAAGTATCTGTAGGTTGGATACTGTCAGAGGCTGCGAGCTGTAAGCACACTGTTCTTGAAGCTACAAGCAAACCCAGCCGTTTGCAATCCCGCAGATTTTGTGGAAGATCTTTGCAATCCCGCAGATTTTGTGGAAGATCTTTGCAATTCGATTGGCGTTTTTTGCAAGTTGAGGCGTAGGCTGGACACATCAGGGGCGTCAGCACGAACCTGGACATGAGAACCAGTCACAAGCACTACTATTGAGCGACTTCGAGCAGTCGAGAGAAGTTGTGACTAACACTTCTGGTGCTTTCTGCCTGGCTGAAAGGTTTCACTGCTCCATTGGGTCAAGTAGCTTTTGCTATGCAGTCCGCTTAACGAAGCGTTGAGTAGATATCATGACTGAACTTGAGGTTGATATTACTTGAGAACAGATTGAGTCATCTTACAGTCATAAAACTACAACTGAGATTTGGTAGACCTGATAGTCCTGCAAGTAGGGTTTCTGGTTGCTTTAGTGGACCCTTCCTGGTGTTGCCTGCGACTGAGCAGACGTCAGTAGTGGTTGTCGATTTCTGCAAACATTTCCCCACGTCAATATATTCTCTTTCGTCGCGAAACCACTTGACCACAATCGCAAGTTCTAAACCTGAACGTATAAGTTGAAAGCATGGAGAACAATACTAACGTTCCAACTTCGCCCACATCCCATGGAGGACGAGGAAGAGGCAGAAGAAATAGTGACGCAGCACCTGGTAGCCCATATAGAGGTCGTGGCCGAGGAAGAGGTAGAGGAGGTCGAGGTCGAGGTCGAGGTCGCGGCGACAACAATAATAGTGAAGCAAACTTAGGAAGGCCACCGGGGGGCAGCTTCGGTGCTCGTCTGACTGAAGCTGCCCCCCAAAACCAGGACGCAAATCCGCAATCCTCAACCCAGGAACCACAACAGCCTACTGAGATGCAACCTCTGACCAAAGTACAATCGATAGGCACAGAAGACTCTGAAGTCTGCTTTATCTGCGCCAGTCCGATCGAGCACATCGCAATCGCACCTTGCAACCATCAGACATGTCATATCTGTTCCTTGAGGTTGCGAGCACTTTACAAAACTCGAGCTTGTGCTCATTGTCGAACAGAATCGCCCTTTGTTGTTTTCACAAATTCACCTGACAAGCGATTTGAGGAATTTGACGACTCGGAATTTGTCAAGATCGACCCCAATCTCGGCATCAAGTACGAGAAGCAAGAGATTTTTGAGGACACAATATTGCTGCTGCGCTACAATTGCCCGGACAAGGACTGTGACGCTGCTTGCTTGGGCTGGCCAGACCTGCATCGTCACGTCAAGTCGAAGCACGGCAAGACTATGTGTGATTTGTGTACGAGAAACAAAAAGGTCTTTACTCACGAACACGAACTTTTCACGTTTGGAGAGCTGAGGAAGCACGAGAGGTACGGGGACGATCGGCCAGGAGATATCGATCAGTCCGGTTTCAAGGGTCATCCAGAATGTGGATTTTGCAAAAAGAGATTTTACGGTGATGATGAGCTCTACACTCACTGTCGTGAGGCTCACGAAAGATGTCATATCTGTGATCGACGCAATGGTGGTCGAAATCCACAGTATTACCTCAATTACCAGGAACTGGAGAAGCACTTTGCCGCTGAGCACTTCGTGTGTCTAGATGCGGAATGTCAAGCAAACAAGACCAATGTCTTTGAGTCAGAGATGGATCTTAAAGCACATCAATTATCAGAACATCCTAATGGATTGTCCAAGGATGCACGACGCGATGCACGTCTAGTCAACCTCTCCGGCTTCGATCAATTACGAACACCCTACCAACCACAACGAGGAGGTCGACGAGAACGCGAGGGTCGTGGCAATGGCCGGGGTAGAGATCCGAATGCAGAACCACTTCCTCTCTCAACTGCCCAACCTCAATCGAGGGCTGAACTTGCTTTCCAGCGTCAGATGGCTATTCAATCTTCTCAATCAGTCACTAACCGTACCTTTGGCGGTCAACTCACTCAACCGTCGCAACCATCTCGAACGCCAGCTCAAGCGCCGATTTCACCTCGACCCGCACAGGCTAATCCAGTTCCTGGGTTGGAGAACTTGTCTGTCGATCCAGCAAATATGACACCACAAGAAAGAGCTCGCCAATTGAGACATCAAGCCGTGACTGAGCGTGCAACAACTCTTCTTCACAATAATTCCACCAAGCTGGCTACGTTTCGCACCCACATCGGCAACTATCGCAATGGCAGCGTGACTGCACCCGACCTGATCGACGCATTCTTCTCCCTCTTCGACTGTCCTTCTTCCGAGCTCGGAAAACTCATCCGCGAACTCGCCGATCTCTACGAAGACGAAACCAAAAGACAAGCTCTTCTAGAAGCCTGGAACAGCTGGCGAAGCATCAACGAAGACTATCCATCCCTACCAGGACCCCACGGCACAGGCATACCAGGCCAGCCAGGCACCGCCTCATCCAGCGCATCCCACAGCTACGCCACGGCGACAACAAGTACCTCCTCCGCCAACCTAGCCGCAACCCTAGGCGCAAACGTAAACTCTGGCCGCCGTGTTCTCAAGCTCAAATCCAGCACAGCACAATCCCGTAACGCAGCAGCAAACAACAGCGCCGCAGCCCGCTCCCTCGCAAACCCAGAAGCCTTCCCCGCTCTCTCCGCCGCACGAACCATGCGCGCCCAGGGCCACGCAGCACCGACTTGGGGCGGCAGCCAACCACAAGTCACATCCAGCCATCTGTCCATCGCACCTCGTCCAACAGTATCGACTCCAAACCCAGCTAGCTCGAGAAAAGCTACCCTCCCGCCAACAATGTCTCAGCGTCGAAACGAGGATTTGTTTCCGAGCCTACCGAAGACAGCAAAACCTAACGTCATGATTGGTGGCATGAATACTCGTGGCATTGGCAGGCTGGGTGGAAGTGGTCCAAATTCTGGTGCGAATACGCCGAGACTGAATGCTTGGTCTGCGGCTCCTACACCTGGCGAAGCTGCTCGAGCGCTTGAGAGTGTAGCTGGTGAGGATAGTGCTGCTGATGGTAATGGAGGAGATGCTGCTGCCAAGGGTAAGCGGGGAAAGAAGAAGGGTCAGCAGATTGACTTGAGGGCACTGATGTCGTAGGTGGTTAGCGGTATAGATTATGCGATAAAACAGCAGGCAATTGATGGCCTGGTATAGGTTGTGGATACCATAGCGACTAAACAGCTGTGAACAGGCTAGTTCTCTGTGTACAGCATAATAGACTCTCGAGGAGGCCTTCGTTTTCTTTTTTTGAATAACGCACTGACTAGTAGCTGCTGGCCCTCCTATACTATGCTGTGACTCGACCCCTATTTCATGCCGCCGCAACGTAATCTTCCTCGAAGTCAAAATCGCAGCCTCCAAAATCCCGATCATTTAGCAACGCATTTAGTGCTCGGGTACCCTCCTCGATACTGGTAAATTCAACAATCGGAAGATCGTCGTGGGTCCGGCCAATATCAAGCACGAGACCAGCTTCAATTTGAGTTCGAAGTTTGTTCTTGAGGACCTTCTCGATGTTTTCAATCACTGCGTTGATGACCAGTATTCGTGTATGGCCATGGACGTAGATTGCCTCTTCCAATTCCTTGTTCTTTGGGTACGTTGGCTCAAGTACTTGCCAGACTCGAATTTGCGTGCCGTTGATGTAGATGCCGGGGTGCTGACCGCGCTGCAAATGTGTTAGCTAGTTCTCACAAACAGTTCGAGAAGTCGTACCATGTAAAGAGCTGCTGCTCCTGTCTCGGCGACGAAGACAACACGAGCCGTCACAAAATCAGTGGCATTACCAATTGGACCATACATCTGGACAGATTCCAATGTGCCTCCACGTATTTGAGCCAGTAGGTCAGCGTAAGAAGTACCAAATGGAATGAAGTCCATCATAACAGTACGATAGAGGTTTTTGTCAGCAAGATCTGGAACGTAACGAACCGGATGTCTTCTGAAATAGTTCTGCGTCTTTGTCTCTGACGAAGCTCCTTTGAGCTCAGAATTGTGACGACTATCTATCTTCCAGTCAATCGGTAGTGCATCTGCCATCTGAACAACTCGGGAGGAGGCCAGGTGCTCTTTTGCCGTAGCCACTGTCAATGTGGCTTTACGTGGTGTGACAACCTCAGGCCGCTCTTCCTCTGGCTTCTTGCCGTATTTTTCGAGGAAAGAGGCGGGTATCTGTGGCATTGCTTCGTCAGAGTGCATCGAGGGTGGGCGCGACGGACGTCCTCCGCAGTCGTCCCCCAACTCAATGATATTGGGGGCAGTCTCTGCTGAGGATTCATGCTGTGACATGGCCGACGGCTTGACATGTTTCTTGGGCGAAGCTTTCTCGGACTGGACCATGTGCTTCACTGTGCTTTGGAGCAGCTTGATGGAATTGAGAAGACCTTTATTGTGCTCAGTTACTCGTCGGACCTCAGCTTCGGCTGCCTGGCGTGCATTGGTCTCATGGTCGAGCTGGATTTTCGTTGCTTCATGAGCGTCTTGCTCTGCTTCAAGAGCTCTTAGCAGGCTGGCATTACCATTCGAAGACTGTTGAACACCTCTATCACTTGGGACACCGCTCATTTCGCTTGCGTACAATAAAGGCTCGTTCTCCGATGAGTCCTGTAGCTGTGAACAGAAGGGAGGAGCCTATCATGGTTAGCAACGTTGTTAGCGGAGGTGATCTAAGGACGTACCATGGCTCGCATTAGTTCTTGGTGTTTTTTGCCCATTCGTTTTCGTGGACTAGAACGGTGGTCCTCCAGAGTTGTGAGATTGTGAATCTGGTTGAAGAAGGATGGATCTGCTAGTAGATCAGGTGACCTTATGCAGTCACTGTAGCCTGCATTCTGTAGTGACTGAGAGTATTGCTGAAGTAGTAGAGGGTGCGGTTGATGCTGTGGTGAGGTATTAACAACTTCATCGACGGGTGTGAACTTGAAGGCACCAAGTTGGCCTTGACTTAAGTCCTGCCTCTGTGAAACATTAGTTCAGAGAATTGCTATCGTATCAAAAAGCTGTCTTACCTCCATTGACGGGTATTTCACATGGAGAACCATGTTGTGACGGAAAAAAAACACGAATAAAAACAATCAATATGATTTAACGTGTAATCAAAGATCTGCAGCATGGGTTGAGTGTAATTGGCTTGAAGGCAGGGAGGCGTTGTTGTGCTCAGGCTTCAGACGAAAAGTTACCATTAGACTCAAAAGGCAGTCGCTGTCGTCATGCGCAGCGAGGTTCCAGTCGCGCCTGCCATAACGTGAGCTTTGTTCTTCAACTTCTGCCCAGGCGTCCTCCCCGTAATACCAGGTCCTGTGTCCTAATCGCTTTCTGTCTAACCAACTGCGTCAATCCCTCATTCTCACATTTAAGTCCTCTACAGCGGTCATACTCCCTAACCATGTCGACGATGGTGTCTGTCACACAAAGTCGCTGATGTTGACCTCGACAAGCGAGGAGCAGGTTTCCACAGCTCTCTTGACCATGAAAGAAATTCAACTCGAACACCTTCGTATCACGCCCATCTTGGCCATCGATGTCGCATACCAGCAATCTGAAGTAGATGTCAGTAACTTTCAAAGCTTGTGCAATTAGTGAAGATCTTCAACAAGTTCATATTGAATGGCAGGGTCACGAATGGATGGTGAGGTGAAAGTAAGGGGCGTTACCCCAGATCCACGAAGTCGATCATGCACCTTTGTGGAACCTGAAATAACCCAATTTTATCCCTCCCTGATCTATCTATCATCTCTCTACCCACGACCCCGACCAGTATGCATGTTTCGATGCAGTTGCGCTGCATGGAGCCTACACTGTGTGTTGTGCAGAGGTTTTGCGATTGAACACACAATTCTTTGCTAGTAACATGTAACGCTGACGCTCGCTGCATATCACATTCGTTCAACATTCCTCACTGTCTCACTCTTCCTACAAGATGGAGAAGTTCACGACCAGATACGCAGCCCAAGAGATTCCGGCGCCCTCTACAGGCGCGACAGAAACAAGAGTCAACCGCAAGCCTGTTCCAGCTCCAGCGCGAGCAGATGTCTCATCGAAAGAGGTCCTAGTCGCCGACGCGAAACCAGAATACGATCGACAAGACACAATATCCACAATTGACACCCTCCCTTCTCGCAGTCACGCTCATTCTCGCGCTCCAACCTTGAGCGCAAGTTTTTACTCCCGATGGACGCTGTTCAGCAGGCGCACACGCATTTTTATCCTCACAGCGTTCGCTCTCTTCCTTGTGCTCATCATCGGCCTTGCAGCGGGACTTGCCCTGCGGGAATCCCGCATCACTAATTTACCACTTCCAAACTCCCACGGCGGACCACACAGCGGAGACCTAACATACTACGATCCTGCGCTGGGCGCATGCGGACTAACGAACTCAGGTTCAGACTCTATCTGCGCCGTATCACATATCTTATTCGATGCTGTGTCAACTAGCTCGAATCCAAATGCAAATCCACTGTGTGGGAAGAGAGTCCGGATAAGAAGAGAAGGAAAGAGCATTGACCTGACGGTTGTGGATCGGTGTACGGGATGTAAGCCGACGGATATTGACACGACGAGGAGTGTCTTTACGGATTTGGCGAACATTGACGACGGCAGAGTAGACGTAGAATGGTCCTGGTTAGAGGATGTGCCAGCGCAGGCTACTGGCGGCTGAATCATATGTGAATGAAATGCTTTACAACACAAAAACGGACGATCGGTGAGGTGTCCCTCAGCAGAAGAAGAAGGGATGCCAGTAAGCGCGAAAAGACTATTGCTGACCCTGCGACGAGAGCGGACACAGTCGTTGCGTTTGTCATGGATCCAACAAAGACACCTTTACCCTTTCTTGCTATAGCCGAGCAAGTTCTTTCGTGTTACCTAGGATGTAACGGATCGAGCCTTGTGTCTAGTGGACGTTAACAGGCCATACGAGACCATACGATGTGATGGATGTCATCGCCAATCTAAGAAAAAAGGGTATGAAGGGTCTGCGGCTCAAATCAGCAAGTCCAGGACCCAACACAAGCTGATGACGGAGCGACGAAAGGCTTTTCCGTTTCCCGAGGAAGGTAAGTGTGTCAATCCGCTCTGCAAGACTGAGTGTGAGCCTGGTGAAAGCCACACTGAGCGGTTTCGAACGTACTGGTGTTTCGAATCGGTCAACCAGCGCTGGTGTTGCGTGTTGTGTACGGATAGTTCCAAGGCCAACGGAGGTAAGAGTCGAGTGCCGAGTGCGACCAAGATGATAGCAACGAAGGAGGAACTGGACCCTCGCTATGACCTGAAGCGGGGCCATCCTCAGCCAGCGAACAGAATGTGTCAGAACGACCTATGCAACGTTGTGGTCGACAAGAGCGCGAGTATGCGGTTCGCAAAGGGTATTTCCTGCTCCAGACGCTCCACGGTCGACTAGCAGGCGGAGCCAATCAACCCAGTCTATACAGTCTGCCTCAAGTGCTACCCAGTATAGCACGGCATCTTTGACCAGGGAAAAAACAAGAACCAAAAGGTGATACGGATGGCGATGACGAGGAAAGACGAAGAACGAAAACATACTCTTCCTGGCACGACGCTTATCGCTCATGCTGCACAGTAGGACGCCCCTGGTCTTACTGCTGTTGGCTATACTCCTGATGGCCATACTGCTCACACCGAAAAGCAGGTGTCAGACAAGACGAAGTGTGGCTACGAGGATATCGATACTGTCATTGCAGACACAGATATTGATTCGCTGTATTCGTATGAGGATTCAGACGATGATGATAATGGCGAGGGTGGCGATGGTCCAGAGGCACGGGTCTGTTGAAGCGGGCGACCACTATGATTCAGATGCCGCAGAGGAAGGAGCTGATGAAGCCGAAAAGGCTGAGGATTCTAAGGATACAAAAAACACTGACTGCGAAGAAGAATCAAGAACAGTGGCGGCTGTAAGCGTACTGAACAATACCTGCAACTATGTGATCAACGGACTGAACCTCGACTTCAATCAGGGCGATTGTACAGGTATCTTACCAGACGAGATTGTGAACGAGCTCGATGTAAGATTCCCTGGTGGCAATGACCGTGAATTTCTTGATGTTTGTAAGACGTTGGCACGTCTCGGTCAGCAAAAGTGTCGGGGGGTACGCCCGCAGTTTTGTTGTGGGACTCCCGACACTTTTGCTGGCCAGGACGTGCTCGTATTATTTGATACAGCTATTTGACTCTGGTTATACTTTGAATCAATGTTTTATTATCTTGGTTGATATCTTGGACATCGCTATGCTATACATGTTTAATCATATAGTTGATAAGCCAGCAATATATCTGAATCGCCGATGCCTTCATGAATGGCAAATCGTCTTCGCCTGTTCTCATGTAGGCTCGAAAATCAAACAGCTGCTGCGCAGCAGTTACTCTCGAGTCGAGCAATGCAGAACTCCAAGATGAGCTTCTGCAAATCCAATACTTTGAACGGCTTGCTCATATACCCTGCCATGCCTATCTTCGTAGCACGATCGATGGCGTCGTCTGTGACATCGGCGGAGACAGCTAGCACCGTAGGCGGTATAGCAGGCAACGACTCGTAACCATCAACGTGATGCTCAGGTTTGAACATCTTCAGAATCTGTTCTGTTGCCTGATATCCATCTAGCTCGGGCATCCAAAGGTCCATGAGGATAACGTCAACTGGTGCACAACTCGAGTTTCTCTTTTTCCCGCTGCGTTCTTTCATTAGCCTGTCCATGATACGTACTGCTTCTTTTCCATCGTATGCTTCGTGAACGTCCTTGTAACCTAAGGTGTTGAGCATTTGCACGAGCAGTTTGCGATTGATCTTATTGTCCTCAGCGACCAGGAAGGTGAGAGGGTATTTCGAAGCGAGTTGTCGATCCGGCTTGATGTTTACTTTGAGCGTAGAAGATCCTCTTCTGTGAATGCTTGGCTTGGGAACGTTCGCGGATATATTCGGTGTCTCGATCGACTTAGTTGCGGGGCTCTTTGACCTCCTTTCGGCGATAGATACATTTTTGGGGATCTGCCCGTTTGCTTGTTCAGTGGTAGCAACCTCAGGGAGACTGCTAGTCGGCGAGTCCTCATTGCTCTCTTTCGTCAACGGCGGTACAGATCGAGGCGCATATTCATCGTTTCGCTTACTGGGTCCGGCGGGTGTGCTGGCACGGCTGTAAAGATCACAAGCTTCTAAAGGTAGGCGCATTTCGAATTCTGAGCCACGGTTAGGTCCTTCCACTGCAGATCTAACCAAATGTAAATCGCCACCGATCTTCCGTGACAGCCCTTTAGCAACCATTAATCCTAATCCAAGTCCCTCAGTTGTCCTTGTGATCCTGTCGTCTTCCTTGGAGAATGCTTTAAATAGCTCGGGTTGGAAAGCCTCTGGTATGCCAAATCCAGTGTCGCTGATGTTGACTAAAACATACCGCTGACTGCTACTTAGACTGAGTCGAACAACGATCTCGCCATGGTCGGTGAACTTCAGAGCATTCAGGAACACAGCTCCAATCAGCTTGTGGAGATCTCGCTCATCGATCGGCAGATACTGTGGCACATCAGCCTCGACCATCCACTTCACAATCTTGGAAGAAACATGGCCGTTCGAGTCTCGTGACCTCACTTCGATACACTCTCCCAGGGGTGTAGGTTCTGAGACAGCAAAGTCGGGTCGACCACCGACTCGGAGTGAATCGTTGATAATTATGGGCAACGCGTCCCTGATATTCGTTTGCCGGAAGCCAGGCGTGGAAACGGGGGTGTCTGCTTCTGTAGGAAAACCAGAAATAGCTGGCATTGGAATCTTATGTGGTGTGAGACTCGATCCGAACAGGGGCGGTAATTTACGTTTTGGCGATACATCATCTTCCTCAATAGTACTATGCACTGGTGACCTTGGTAGTGATGTGACGATTGATGGTGACTTGCCGATATTCCTCAATTTGGTGGCAGGCTCGGCAGCAGATATTGGTGCTGCCTCTCTCTTTCTTTTGTTCGGGTTGATGATCTGGCTTCCGTCGGTCATGGTAGGCCTCATATCGAAGTAGCTTCCACCGTTAGCATTCGCAATAGGCGCCTCATGTTCGTACGAAGGGGTCTCTGGAACCTGCATGTTCAAGTCGTATGCTTGAACCACGTTGTCCGCAGCTTCTACAGCACGTTTCGAGCTGTCCTGCACCACTTCGATATTGTTCTTCAGCATCTGAAATATTTGTCGAACCTTGTGGTTGCTCTGTCCTTCAAGTTGCTCTTGAACAGTAGCATACATTAGGTCCAGCATGCCCACCACACCCTGCATTGGGGTTCTGAGTTCGTGGGACAGTGATCGTGCATAGAGCTTGAGGGATTGTGTGGCTGTGATGGCTGCTTGTGGTATTACGACTTTTCGTGAGTCCTGCTGCAATTGTTCGGCTGATTTTGCGAACCCTTGCCCGGCTAACAGCCTCTCTGTGATCATGTCCTCAAGAGAATGCATAAATAACTCAATGAAAGCCCAAGAAAGTCCCTGCTTTTGGAGCAGTCCTTCTTTTGTCCACATCATTCCGAAGTGCGCATAACACTTCCCATTGGCAAATAATGGGACTCCAAGATATGACTCTACCTCAAACGGTAACTGGTTCGGGTTGTTCTGGATGAACTGGTGAAGATTGTCTTCAATGAGGAATACCTTGTCGTGTTTCATGTATGCACAAGGACAGCTCCAAGCATAATACTTGTAGTCGTGATGCATAGCTATTTTTGCCTCGTGGTCGTTGTAATAGAGCGCAACAGCCATGAGGCAGGCACCTTGTTCTCCAATCTTTGGCATCTCCACAGCGACTGTGTGATCGTCGACTAAGATCCTTTTCGATACGAAAGCGAATTGAGCATGACAGATTTCTGTCATTCCTACCATCAGCTTGGTCCAGAAGGCTTCACCCTCGAGTTTCGAAAGTTCTGTTTTAAGAAGAATCAACCGTTCGGCGACGTTATTTTCATCAGCTTTGTAATTTCGGCGAAGTCGAACGGCGAAATCATCTTCACCGGCATGTGTAGCGACGCCTGGGTCCGAGCCTGCCATACATAGTGTCTGGCGCTCAATGTAAGCCCCTGACATGGACTCGACCATTATTGTTATCTCTTTTGCAGTGGCGCCTGTAGCGCTTGTGCGCAGAGAAGGGTTTCCTGTATCCAGCCCACTTTCAACTAGTCATGGAGAAGATAACACCATGCTTGCCTGAACCAGCTAACACCGATATCGACCCCGAGGCAACGCCAACGATCAGACCTGTAGCGATGAAGACTGGCAATCAGCTGTAGTCAGTAGATGATGCTAAAGAGAACACTAACAGTTCGATGATTAGGATCGAACCGAAAGGCACAGCAGCTAGACAATTTACAGAATTCGAGACTAGATCAGTATGTTTTACTGCAATAGGGAGGACGTGATGCTACACTTGTTTGCGACGTGAGCTTTGGAGGAGACGAACGCAATTGCCAGAACTCTCAGTCAGCGGCACAAAACATTGTTGGCCGTGCGCCGTGATGCAGGTTCTAGACAACACGTCTGCCAGGATCGTGGATCAGTTTTTGGAGTGTCCTTCAAAGTCAAAAGTCAAAAATGGTAAGTGAGCTGGATTTAGTCCTCGGTGTAACGGTCTGATGGACGACGATAGCTGAAGATGACGATTGGGTTTGCTGTGGCAGTGGTATCAAATTGTGTGAAAGGGAAAACAATGAATGAAGCTCAGGCAGATGTGTCTCGTAAAGATCTTGTAGATTGCCGGCACGAGTACGTACTGTATTGACAGGCGAGAGCAACCAGTGGTTTAGGAAGTTGGCGGTGTGTATGCACGGACGATCAGAGGTTCGGCTTGTGAGGGAGTGGATTGTGTGGCTACGGGCTAGAGCTTTTTTTAAACGTGCCTGCAATCTCCAGAACATAAGAGCAGCGAGCAGCCAATGGGCAAGGTACATGACTCAGGGCAAGCACTTCCATCATCAATGTGACGATTTGCGATTCATCTAGTCATGCTCGGTCGGATTTGACCATCTACACCTACTTCTTCTACAATCAACGCAGCAGCTGCAGCGCCTGTCACGATGACTACAATATTGTCAACGGTAATCAGGCCATTTCCTGGTCAATAACAATATACTGTGGCAGCGAACAGAGCCAGGATCAAGTTGCTGACGAATGTTTCATCTGGAACGGCCGGCACAAATTCGCGCTAGTGAAGCGAATTGATGTTCTAGACTTCGTCGATCTGCTAATCTTTCTTAATATGGTCCAGGCTGCAGCCACAAACTGGGTCCCCAAGCTGACGGAAAAGCTCGTCTAGCGGGAGAAGGTCTTGTGCAGGTCGTCATTATTCATTGTGCAGCGACACAAGCATACTCGGACGGCGACATCATTACCTGTAATGAGAAAGCGCTTCTGGCAGGCATGATAGCCCGACAAAAAACAATATGTCTGCTGCTGAATTGAAGATGTTGTTTGATCGACAACATCCCTGCATTTGATCCTTGCAGCACGAGTTTTCCTCGTGGGTGGCCTGTCGCTAAACATCGTCCACCACCATTCCATGCCTGGAATCGCTCTGGCAACCTATTGACCATGGTGTGTTGACGGCGGCCTGTAGATACAGCATTCTATTGTGCTTGCTGGGTGTCTGATGATTGTGTGACGTCTGTGATTATGAGATGTTGGTGAAAGCAAATATATCCTCTAATTTACGTAGCTGAACGGGTAACTGTCTGTAACAAACAAACCTCTTTTCCGCAAGTGCCTCTGCCACTGCAGGCTGCCTTGTTCGGAAATGTATCGCCGGAGGGTATTCGCAGTGACCTCATTGTGGCCTGCAGCGCTTGTACTCTGGCACTGGCATTTGAAAATCCCATACCGTTCCTTCTGCTGTAGCTGTGCTGATTCTTGTAGATCTCGTGCATCGGAACACACCTGGCAGGGTTCTGCTCAGGCGTAAAGTCGGTTTTGTGGGGCGGCAGGCATCTTATTGGTGAGTCCAGGCCTTTACAAGATCTCTCGAGAACACGTTCGTTAATCACACAAGGTGATCTAGAGCATTCTCGAGCTTCGAGATAAAAGCTTGACCACGTCCCGGCCAGCAAAAGTGTCGGGGTTGTCATAGCAAGTTTATGGGCGTGCCCCCGACACTTTTGCTGGCCTGGACATGCTTGACGATGCTGCATCGGCCCCTCGGCGTCACGTACAGTGCGAATGTACAGTAGTTCCGATATGCAAGCCACCAAATTTCCACAATAGCAGAACACGAGTCATGCCACAATTCAAGATGGAGAAACACCGTATGCAGAAGAGCAGAAAGCTGCTTTGTGGACAGGACGAGTAAAAGCGAGAAGGACAAAGTGTGTATTGAAGAATTTACCAGATCAAGATTTACATAGCCATACACATACCCGTATCAGAGCTCTTCCTGACCAACGCCAAGAACCTCACAAACCACGTTTCCTGTGGTTGACAGTGCCCAGACAACAATCAAGCCTATTCCAATCTTCCTGTCCATGCGCCAGCCGTTCAACGGCACGAAGATCAGTAGGCCGCAAAGCACCACTAGAAGACTTATGCCACTGAACATCAAGGTAGTACTGACCTCCAGCTCGTAAGGTGTGTATTGGATTGGCTTGTTGGAATGCTTGTGATGTTTGTGCTGCCCATGGTGGATGGTCATGTACATGCCACCTAAGCCGATTCCAAGAAGGATGTTAAGCATTGGACCACCAAAGCAGGCAGAAAGCGCCATCATCGGATAACCTAGTCGTGCAATCGTGACGTCTGCCACAAGATCTCCTAAAGAATTGCCGACGGCGAAGATTGTCAAACCAAGTATAGCATCAGACATATCAAGGATGACCCCGATAGCTTTGAGCACACCTACAACCTCGCCTGCGATAGTAGATATCCATGCTATTGCAACGAAGAATCCCAAAAAGCATAAGATGTAGCGATATTTCGGTTCCCTGGTGGCGGAGGTCGTGCTTAAGAGGAGCAGGAGGCAAAGTAGTGAGAAAACAAGGCTGCCGAGAATTAGAACCAGCAACTCCTTCAGGTTGTGCGTTTCATCGAGATTTGCGAAGACGATCAACACCACGAAGAGAGGCGCAGTGAATAGTTGAACGACAACAAGCCACCTGTTCCACTCTCGCTGATTTGTGACGCCCTGTTCCGCGACTTCGTGCATGTCGGCTCCTTTCGTGGCATCTGTGTTGTGTCTAGAGATCATTGGCCCGTGGGGATGAGCCCCAGGCCCGCCGTTTGGAGAACCAAGCGTTGGAGGAATGCTATCTCCATTCATCAGTGTTTGCGATCTCGATCTTGCAGGCGTGGTGTTGGTGGTGTATGCCGCCTCTGGTGCTTCTTCTTGTTCGGCAGGCTCAACAACGGGCAATGTCACTGTTAACAGAAATACCATAGGCGCAGTACCAAGCGCAATCATTCTGCCAATAATGCCAATATCTCGCCACTGATATAGTTGAGGGAAGAACGTCGCCAGGATCACTTGGGGTGCAGGCAGATACTGATACGGCCACCAGTTGTATCTTCGCAATTCTTGTTGTCTTTCATGACCATCGTCCAGCAAGGTAATTGTGCCTGCACCTGACTCAGGAGACATACTTGGCGGAGGAAGACGGATACTAGGTGGTCGAGAAGAGTTCGGACTAGTTCCATTGGATATCTGATGGCTCAGTGGAGACTTGCGATGAATATGACCAGGATCAGGCAGGTGTAATTTCGGGACGTCGATGTTTGGACTCAGTAGAGGTGAAGCCTGATGAGATTGTCCGGCTTCAAAATAATCAAGGCTGTGGAACGTCCCTGAACCAGCTGACGGAGGTGCAAGCATGCCTTTGTGCTCCGTATAACTATGCCGCGGACTTGATGTGTCACTTGATATAGTTATTGCGGGGGAGAGCAAGACCTGGGACGTATATGTTGGGGACAGATGGTTGGTTTTGAGATCCGCGGATTGTGTTTGTTTGTGGCTGCTTGTGCTTGACTCTCGTCCTCCAGGACTGTAGATCGCTGTATCAGGCGTACCTCGGGAAGGATCCAGTAGATCGGGGTCGATATGGAGTCCTTCTGCATCCCCTGCAGAAACAGCTCTATTGCGTCCTTGAGGGGTACTCGATAGACCTTCGTCTGCAGAAGTGACGGCCAGTTGTGGATATGACAAGCTAGAGATATGCACAGGTTCACTAGAGCCATCATCTGAATAGCGTCGAAGGCCAATTGACTGACTGCTTGTGGATCTCTTCTCCAGCGCATTGAGGACGGAACGAAACTCGATAGCTCCGATCAAGCTGGGTCGTATAGGTGTGATGGTGTTTCGACGGTCTCGCCCGGGACGACTAACTCGCATGTTACTTTGCAACTCCGCCAGATACCGGTCCCTCGTTTCGTCCTCGTCGTCGTTGTCGTGATATTTCCAAGCCGGAGTGCCTGGTGTCATGAGTGTGGGTATGCTGCCTGCAGAAGCATTCCTCAACAGTGGGCTCCTTTCTCCGGCTGGTCTCGATTCTTCGTCAATCTCGATGTCTGGGACTTCCAACTCTTCATGGCCTGGAACGTTGTGTTGTAGTCTAGCTTCTAGCTCTGCTAAACGTATTCTTGATTGTCTCTTCTGCCACCAATGCCAACCCACCACGAACACGACATAGAAGACGTAGAATCCCACCATACAGATGCATTCCCAGAGACGTAGACTTCCGTCTCTGAGGAAGATCAAGCTGAAACTAGCCGCAACAGCGAAAAAGCCCACGTCACGTACGAAGCTCTTTCGCCCAACTCTGAAGGGTCTGATAATGGCCATGCTCCCTGTAACCACAGCTGTAATGAAGCCGGCAGCGCCCATCAATTCACCCACAGCCAGACTTCCACTGTGGCTTTTCATTGCTGCGAACGTGGAGAACACATCAGGGCTACCATTCCCAAAAGCGAGGAATGTCACTCCTGTCAGACTCTCGCTCATACCCAATACCGCCGCGATCGTGCTCAGGTTCACGCATAGGAAGTCGGACGCGGCCAAACCGATTGTGCTGAAGAGAAGACTGATCCATATCACTAAGATCGCAAATGCAACTGGTTTCGCTTTCGATAGGCTGCAATAGTATAGCTGTAGATACGAGATCAGTCCGGCTTCTTCGTCGGGGCAGTTCTTTCGAATGAAGGCGCATTGATCGGCCACATCTTGGACTCTGTGGACAAGGCGACACTACGGTGAGGTGTTAGTATCGATGCCCAATAGTTGTAGAGTTGAAGTGCGATGTCCTACCGCTAAATCGGGTTCTTCCAGAGCTCTCAAAACTCGTGAGCTCTGTGTCGTTATCACACCCTCTGAATAAGTCCTCCCAAAACTGTAAAGCGCAAACAACAGCACTATCGCAAAGGTGCTAACGAACACCACCTCTGGAGGCTTCGTAGCACCGAATCTTCGTCGTCGCGCATTTGCCATAACTAGCGATACAGTTCATTATGAGGAAGTGAACGATGAGGAAAGAGATGCGAAATTACTGGTATGCGATACAGCCACGAGTGATGCCCATCCTGCGTTGAGGTGCATCTTCTTCGAACAACGTGCGCTCATCTAGCCATCATTTGGCTTCCCTTTTACACGAAACGTGATTGGCAAACGACCCGAACCAACGTCAGTGACGTACTTGCGCAGGCTTCGGGGCTGTTCCAAGCTTGAACACATGGCTAAGCCACATAATCGAGGCTTGCCAGGCGCCACAGCAAAGCACTAGCCAGCTCAAGCACGAGGGAAGCAATTCAAGTATCCTAACGCCGGATTCTTCCGTCAGTCTCACATTGGGTCTTGCTGAGGGAATGGAGAGACAAAGACTCCCAACAGTGCTCTTGCTTGAGAGCAAATGAAGGCTCAAGGATGGACTATACGAGTTAAATAGGAAACATATCCAGATTCTGATGATCCATCCATCGAGTCATGATTGGATCAGAGAAATGGGTAAGAACTGCAGAGTTCCATCGAAATACAGGTACACAGTAGTACCGAGGCTTTTGGTGCGACAAGAAATCGAAAACATGGTGTCCTGGTAATACGAGTGTGCTGCGCTGAGGTTTTGTCTACCTCCAATTACCTGATCGCTACGACGACATGATTGTTGCTTGTCTGCTGTAGCCATAACGCTTCCAACATGACTACTTTTGCAGACGTGCTGCCAGTAGAGCAGGTCCAATCTCACCAATACCGCGTAAATCTCGAAGAGCAGTGGTGTATAGGAACTGGCAAGTCTGCGCAACCTGCTTATGTTCACCCTGGTGCTGACAGCTGTTAGTCCCAAATGGAGGCTACACTACGTCGACCTTCATGACAGTGGCTTCGCGACACATGCAGCTGACTCATGCTAAGCGAAAGCAGCCGCATGTTATCAACCTTCACCTCGAGTTCTTGCGAAGGACAGCCCAGGGCGAGGCTATCTTCAATGTCAAGGATGTGAAACTCGGCTCTCGAATTACCAATCTCCATCTCACCCTCGCTCAGATGGACGATTCGAACAAGCTTGTGGATGAGGTGGAAGGATATATAACGATGTCAGACATGGCGTCGGAGACTGGTCTTTCCCTGGAGACTGGCTACAAGCTCTATCCGGAGCCACTAGCTGTTGATCTACTTGCGCTGGCTCAGGGCAAGGATGCGAACTATATCATACGAGGTCCAGATGCATTCGCCTCGTTTCGACGAGCAGCGAACCAAATAAGAATGCATCTCATTCGACCACAACAGAGACCGCCCCACTTCCCCAAAGCGCTGATTGATCAGTGGATTACGTTTCGACCACAAGGCAAGGAAGGCAGACTCACCAACGATGCCATCGGATTCGTGGTTGATATCTTCCCTCAGATTGTCGAACAATACGTCAACCAGGATGTGGAGGAAGCTTGCCTTGGTGATGGCCTCACCCCGGAAGAAGCGAAGGCCTATATTAAGAAGAATGGCTCAAGAACATATTGGTATCCGACCTTGTCGCTCAATTTGGATGTGAAAAAGCTGCTTCCTCAGGAAGGTGTTGAATGGCTGTTTGTACGCATACAAGCCAAGTCAATTAAAGACGGTCGATTTGATTTGCTAATTCACGTCCTCGACGAGGGTGGTGATCTTGTTGCCCTTAGTACACATTCTAGCCTTGCTGTGGACGCGAGTCGTAATACCACAAGGACAAAGAAGAAAGAGAATAAGCTATGACAAGCATTAATACGTGCCGACTACCTCAAATCTGAGCTTTTGCTACGTGGAGTCAAGGTCGAATACTCGCTGTCATATTTGTTGTATGAAAGTTAGTGCTGATCGTGTAAATCTTGGAATTCAGAACTATGATTGAAAGGTTAATAAAAAGAGTACTTCGGAAGACCAAAGGTTGCATGAACTCAGACTGGTCCTAATGACGTCGTGCCTGCGAGCAACATGCAACCACTACTCCAAGTTGGAGAGATCACATCAGTATATAGTAGCGTGAGCAGGACTTTGCGATCAATTTAGAGTGTAGAGCAGTACACACTGTTGAGAACGAAGCCCACTTTGTACCTGAGCCTTGCCGATATTGTTGGAAAACAGCAAAAATGCCTCCTTCAGGACTAGCCATTCTCATTGGAGCAGGCCCGACTACTGGTGCAGGTATTGCGAGAATACTTGCTTCGCCAAGCCATGGTAACCTTGCTGTCGCCCTTCTGTCGCGTACGGGTGATGCCCAGTTAGCCGACAAACTTGCCAAAACTTCCGGAGGTGGTATCCTGAAAGCTTTCCAAACGGACACCTCGGAGAAACAGTTAAGTAAGGCTTTTGAGGACATAAAATCATGGTCCAAGTCGATCGGAGACGACCTCAAGCTCAAACTTTCCATTTACAATATCAAGCATTCCCACAAAGTATCGATCCTGGAAGAAACAGCCCAACAGTATACACAGTCGATGGAGACTTATGCCACAGGAGCCGTCTTGTTCTCTCAACTGTCTCTGAAGTGGATGCTCGACCAATATCCCGAGCATGCTGCTTTGCCAAGTGGTGCTGTACCAATGCAGAAGAAAGGAACCATCATCTTCACTGGAACACTTGGCAGCGTTCGCTGCTCCACGGCTCAGTTTGCAGCATATGGAGGTGGCCGAGCAGCCGTTCGTATGTTGGCTCAAGGATTGGCTAGAGAGTACTCAGCGCAAGGCATTCATGTTGTGCATGCTATTGCCAATGGAGGTACTGCAGAAACGTACGAGGTGCAAAAACAGTTAATAATTGTTCAACAGGTATTACGGACAACTACCACAAGTATCATGCCGACGAGAGTGGAAAGATCGAGACAGAGGGAGGTGGAGAAGATGCGGAGGCTGTTCTGCAGGGTAAGAAAATGCGTGCCGAAAGCGTCGGCAAGCTCTATCTGCATGCAATGGAGCAGGAGTGCGATCTCTGGATTCACGAGCTCGATATGCGACCAGCTGCAGAGAAATTCTAGTGACAAACGAACGGATGGGTTCGCACACTGGCAGCTCGGTAGGATCCGGTTGAAACGGGCTGAGCATGCATATTGTGTCGTTATAGTTCGCCGTAAAGATATAATTGTGGAGATAGTAGATCTTGAACTCAGAGCTTCGGCGCATGCCACTTTGCATAGCTCTATCACGTCGCAAAGACACAGAATATCTTACCCAAACCCCTACGACTCACGATGTCTCTCGCACGACCAGCACGCAGCGCGCAGGTACAGCTATTGCCGTTCTTATCAATGAAGGAGGAAGAGTACTAATTTCAACCAGTCTCTGCTGCGTACTGCTTCCAAAATCTCGACACAAGCGACTACTTCTTCCCTACCTCGATGTATGCTACTCGCGTGGTGCAGCAGACGACAACTAATATGTAGCAGCCTATGCCACAGTTGCATCCGATATCTTTAAGCCCACGAAATATGGCGGAAAATACACAGTTACACTAATTCCAGGTAAGAGGGTCAATGCGACAAGCTACGAGCTCTCTTGACTTAAGTTTGATAGGCGATGGTATCGGTGCTGAAGTCTCCGAAGCGGTAAAGACGATTTTCAAAGCAGATAACGTGCCCATCGAGTGGGAACAGATCGATGTGACTGGTGTCGAGTCAGGCGAGAAACCTACGGAAGACCTTTTTCAACAATCGATAGCCTCGCTCAAGCGCAACAAACTCGGCCTCAAAGGTATCCTACACACTCCTATAGAACGATCTGGTCATCAGTCCTTCAATGTCGCCATGCGTCAAGAACTCGATGCATATGCTTCGGTAGTGCTGATCAAGAATATCCCTGGTCTGAAGACACGGCACGATGGAGTCGATATGTGTATTATCCGAGAGAACACGGAGGGTGAATACTCCGGGCTGGAGCACCAATCCGTGCCGGGTGTCGTCGAATCTCTCAAAATCATTACCAGAACCAAGGCCGAGCGAATCGCCAAGTTCGCCTGCGCTTTTGCTATTGCTAATAACAGGAAGAAGGTTACTGCCATCCACAAAGCAAATATCATGAAACTGGCAGATGGTCTATTCAGAAATTCAGTGAAAAAGATCGCCGAAGATTACCCGACCCTCGAGTATAACGACATGATCGTTGACAATGCTTCCATGCAGGCTGTTTCTCGGCCACAGCAATTCGATGTCATGGTTATGCCTAATCTCTACGGTGGTATCCTTACTAATATCGCCGCCGCCCTTGTCGGAGGACCAGGTGTAGTTCCAGGTTGCAACATGGGTCGAGATGTAGCAATCTTTGAACCAGGGGCTAGGCATGTCGGCTTAGATATCAAGGGAAAAGACCAGGCCAATCCAACAGCACTACTGCTGTCTGCAACCATGCTTCTGAGACATCTTGGGCTCGATGACCATGCAAACAGAATCTCAAAGGCTGTGTACGCAGTCATTGCGGATGGCAAGGTTCGTACTCGGGATATGGGAGGTCAGGCTACGACACATGAGTTTACACGAGCACTGTTGGATAAGATGGAGGCAGATCTCTGAAACCTTTACGGTAGATAGGGAATTGGTAAAGGGGTATACCGATAGTGTAGCCTGAGGCATTAGTTTTTGCCTAAAACACACCGAGCCTATTGGATTTAGTCTGCTATTGTTATTGTGCCTTAGGCAGCAACAATGAGTTTCTGTACTTTCCGGTTGACGTTCATGTCCTGTAACAACACTTCAACATCTTGTACACCGACTCTATATATATAACGCCGAGTCCTGTAACTTGCAATGGAGTAGGCTCAGTCGTGGTCGCCAATGTCTTCATCCAAGCCTCAATCCTAAGTGACCCCAGATCCGATCGCACGCCAGCGTTCGACGTGAGATAATAAGGTCTTCAGAGCATAACCTTATCCAGGCGCGGTAGGTGAAAGCGATTAGAGATTACAATATGTGAGGTCTTAGTCAGATGCTTCTGAGTTCGACCCAAGACTGAGTCGACCCTTCACTAGCTGTGTACGATCAATTGTCGCTGAATCCTAACATCCCTCCCCCTACCTTTCTCATGTTTACAGCTCTGGGCCATCCAAATTGACCCAATCACTCTTGTCAGCCATCAAGTTCTGGATCGAACAAAGGTACCTTCTGGGGACCAGGACTTCGTTCCAAGACGATAAGCATGCGAACCGCCAACACGATTGGGGGAAATGGTGTGATACTTTACGACAGCAATGCAGCCATATTGGTCGGCCTAAAGTTACAAAGCCACTAATGTCCTGAAGAACACAGACTACACGATCAAATATTCCATGGTGCTCTCTCCATCCTGTCATCTTTCGGACCTGCCCTCACGACCATTCCTCTCTGCTCACTCAAAACATAGCCAGCAGTGGGCTTGCATGGAGTTCTGCGAAGGCAGAATTCATCCTTATGGCGAGGCAATGGGCCTAGGTGACGATGCGGGTCTGTTGGACCACCTCACACAACGTGGCTACCTCGAAGCACCTATGGTGGCACATCAAAAGAACGAACGGGAGATAGGAAGTCTCGATGACGTTCAACGTGGCCAACTGCGCAACAATAAACACAACAACAACGACGCGTACTAGTCGACTAGTATGTGAACTAACTTACAACGTGAACAGTGGTATTTCCAAAAAGAATCTTTTCCTCACTCCAACATCTTCTCACGTGCTCGGAAATAGTAGTAGTATTATAGTTCACATAAATAAGAATACAAAAATGATCCGAGTTTTCGCTGGCTACGTATGCAAAACTCCCCCGCTGTATATAACCTAGCCAGCCCTATAGATGATTGAGATACAGTAAGTAATACGACTAATCAAGTCGTTTCGCAGGCGATGTCAAGATAGGACTTTAGGGAAGAAGTTCATACTCGTCCCATGTCATTAAGCTGCTCACCTCCTCGGCGTGCCATTCTTACACAGCAGCTGTATATTACTGACAAAATCCTGAATCATCGGCTCATAATTATTCGGTTCCCTCAAGAAGATTTTCTGCATCTGCGCAGCCAGATACGGAGCCGCAATTTCTATTTCGACTTCATACTCTTTCTTTGGGTCGTCGTAGTGAGAGACCTGTGTCAGATCGACCTGGAACTCGCGGTGGCGGTAGCTATGCCGGGTCTTGCTGCGACCGGACAATTCTTTCACTTCTCGTAGGTGGTCTCTGTCACCTTCCCAGGGTGTTTCGAGAGATATAGAGATTCGATAGTCGAATCCGTAGTCGGGGCAGGAGATTTCTTTGTCGGCGATGCGGGATTTGATGATGTGTCTTGGGGGGTTGCTTGGTTTTTCGAGGTCTACGGTTTGGCGGACGCGTACTTCTTTGCGGCGTGCGTTGATTGATCGGTCGACCCAGTACCGAAGTTGTGGGTCAAGGACTGCTTTGCCTTCGTCGGTGAGCTCGTAGAACTCGTCGAGTTCTCTTAGCTGAGTGTGGTGTATCTGTTTGTCCTCTTTGACTTCACCGCGAACTTTCGCTTGGTGATTTTCGTGGCCACAGGAATGCAGAAATTCGTAAATAGCTTTGTGTTGTTCCTTCAATTTGTTAGTAAGAGGCGTCCATCAGATATGGGAAACAGAAAGACGAATGAAGTTTACTTACCATGGTCATGTTGCTTTCAAATCTAATTTGACCTTTCAATTCATCACTATTGAGCAGCACTTCAGAATCAGCGCCGAAGAGACGAAAGCGCTGTCTGTTGTTCATGTCAACAATATTGCCGATTTTTGCTTCTATCTCCCATGATGCTCCAACAGGGACCGCTTTATCTCCAATCGTTAAAACAATCCAATCACATATATGGCGTGTAATGCTTTGGTTTGGCACGATGTTTGAGATTGTACCCTCCCACCTCCACTTCTGTGTGTTGTTGATGATCACGGGTGGACGAGGTGGTGCGGCATGATTTTGAGTGCCGTTGGTATGTTTTACCTCATTCTGTGGTGGTGGCGCGTGCCTCGGGGGTGTGCCCTGCCTCTGAGTGCGGTCCGTGACAGGAGCATCGACAAACTTCAGTCTCCGACCTTGACGGGCAGAGTGTGCCCAAGGAGGTATATCGTGACGAGGACGTTTCGCAGGAGGAGGTTTGACTGCGGAAGTGTCAGAAAAATGGCTTGCGCTCCTCTTCAACGATGGCTGGGGTGTTTGTGCTGCAGCTTCCTCCTCTTTAATGTGCATGTCCGAGTTCATTGTTGATCGATCGCCATTGGTGGCAGAAGGGCTAGAACTAACGTGATGATCGTGACTTGACGACTGCACGTTGGATAAGATCGGCGTGGGCGTAACAGTTTCCATGGGCGGAGGCTCCACTTGACGATCTATTGAACTGTGGTGACTTAGGTTGGGTGGCTGATCGGATTGAGGTGGAAGTGAAGAACGCCCTTGTGACATAGTACGACTACTGGTGCTGTGCTGTCGTTGGGGAGGAGGTTTGGGTATCGTTTTAGGCGACACACTCGCGCTCTTCTCGCGATGGAAATCAAACGAGTGCCCTGTTCTCTGATTGTTGTGTATACTGTCTCTTCTGTGTACAGAGTCTGCTACTGATTGAGGATAATGGTTGTAATCTTTGCTGAGCACAGAACTAATTGAACTGACGGAACCTTTCCGGAGATGTTGTTCTGCCAACCCCCCCTGCGAGGGCGGTCTTTGTGCTTGAGGTGACGCTTTCGGGTAGATTATGGGTGGACCCAGCGGCGTAGCAGGTTGACTTTGGAAGTGGTTCGTGGGCGAGATCTGACGTGGATATGATTGATGTGGTAGACCGTTTGGCAATGGTGCTGGTGGAGAGGAGAAGTGTTGATAGGCGGGATGTATATTGTTCTGAGCGTACGGGCTAGGTGGAGGATAGGCGTGATGGACAGAACCAGGCGTGGAAGAGTGGTGGAGGACTGGTGAAGGTGAAACAAAGGCGGCATTGTGTGCTATGTTCGATGGAGGTATGCTGTCACGAGGCGTGTAAACTCCACCATAGCCTCCAGGACTCTGCGCATAGGCAGAGGGTGGTCCTACACTTGGAGTCGAGGCGGAAGCTGAGGTGTTGGGATGGGGTGACTGCATAGCAAAATAACCACCCCCTCCGTGCGCCCTTGTTTCTCCTGTGAGCAATGGAGGGCCATATGGAGTCGGTTTGGCCGAAGTGACATCGGAAGAGGAAGTCTGGTCTATGCGCCCATCATAGGAGGAATGAGAAGTATGTGAGGCCGTTGGGACATGTGGCGGACCTCGTTGACTCTGCGAGTCATGCAGAATGGATTTGAGATCCATCGCTGCCATGCGCTTCTTGTGCCATCAGTGAAAGTGATCACGTTCTGGCATCCACAAAATCGCGCTTGTGTAACCTGTCACAAGGCTTCACGAGAGGTGTAATTCATGTCAAATTCAGCATCGTTTCATTATGCCCGTTACGAGATGGGCAATCAGATATCAGGCTGGATTGCGCGATGGATGAGACAAGTGGTCTATCTGGCGCCTACTTTATTTCCGCTATACAGACTGCGCTTGCCCTGCGTCTGCAGAGGAGGAGTAGAGGTTACTGCCACTTCGTGTGGATGAAGTCTAGGTAACGGCAACTTGATTCAGCCAAGATAAGAATGTACGGCCTTGGCTTCACCTGCGATCTTGCAACCATTGTCCACCATGCTCACGATCAAATCGCACCACTCTTGCCTCCGTAGTCGCGCTTCACTAATAGCCTCGTTTTGACCCAAGTTCGGTCCTGCGATCAGTGGTTCGCAATCGGCACATCAAACTGCTTCGGACACGGAAGTTGGAGTGGGATACACTTCTTGTACTTCAAATTCTTGTAATTTTATTCCATGAGCGGCGCTGTGCATTGTCATTGGTCAGCCAGCAGAGCCTGCATAATACCAACACGAAGTCACGAACACATCTGCGATTGTAATCCGACAAGAGCTATGGTAGTATAGAAAGCTAACCCGTGATCAATGTATGTATTTATTACAGGTTCGACAAGAATATTAGATCATACTAGCTCGAATCCATGCTGATGCAGCTTTTGACGAATATCCTTCATATACCCAATGCAAGCCAACCTGGCAGAATCCCATCTCCCTGACGCCAGATAATTGTATGATTGTGGGAAACACTGGGTGGAAGAGGTGCTCACACATAGTTTCCCTATCCCACTCAAGCTCGCTAGTACCACTCAACCAATCGAAACCGCCTTCGGACAATGTGGCCTAAAGCAAGATTGTACACATGCATCAGAAGCCTCTTACTTGTCATTTGGTACTTCACCAGCCAGATAACGACTACTGGCGTCGTTGCCGAACAGCTGCATGTCGCCTTTACCACCCATCTCCATAAACTCTTCCTCTTGCCTATGTTCAGCGGGCTTTTCTTCCTTCTTCTTTCCTGCCTGCTTCGCAGCATCATCTGTCTGCAAAGGAGCACCACTCTTGTCTATGCTCTGCGCTACTGTCGGGCGCTTCTTCCCTTGTGGGTTCTTCTCCCAGACAGTGATGCTAGCAGGACTAGCGTCACGTCCTGGCTGACCTGGTAGATTCGACTTTGGAACTTCGACAACCTTCGAGACTCTAATATCGTTGATGTCGGACAGGAGAGTACGCTCACGCTTGACCTTGCGCTTGCTGAAATCCATTTTTAAGCCACCAATGGCACCAGTCAGACCGTTGGTACTATCTTCGGGATTGATGTAATTGGTTCTATTCTGGTTTGGTTCCAATTCCTCTGTCGATAGGTTACGAGTCCAGGGATGTTCTAGACATTCATCGATGGTGATGCGCTTCGTGACGTCTACTGTCAACATGCGATCAATAAGATCTAGCGCTGGATCGCCGACTGGGTCCCAGTAGGGTGAAGGATAATCAAAGTGACCCATTTTAATCTGTTGTGCCAGTGTGTAAGGTCGTTCTTTGGAATAAAGTTCGTCGCTGAATGGTGGAAAGCCGCACAAGCAAATGTAGAGGACGACACCGAGCGACCATACATCAACAGCACGAGTATACTTTCGATGTTTTGTGTTCTCTAGAATCTCTGGGGCAACATAGCTAGGGGTACCGCAAAGAGTGGTTGTGAAGGATTCTTCGCCAATTATTTTTGCCAAGCCAAAGTCAGCCAGTTTGACCGATAAGTTTTTATCAGTGAGCAGGATGTTCTCTGGTTTGATGTCTCGATGAACGACGTTACGTTCGTGAAGATACTTCACACCCTGGAAAAGTTGAATAAAGACCTTTCGGGTTTCTGCTTCGGACAATTTCTGCTTGGCAACAATCCAGTTGAACAGCTCGCCTTCTGCTGCCAATTCGAGAATCAGGTAGACGCCGTCAACCTCTTCGAAATTTTCTTTCAAACACAGTACGTTTGGGTGCGATACTGACATTAAGACTGCTATCTCCTGCTGCAAACCTTCGGTCTGCGATCGTTGTGAATCACCCATGCGACGTTCGAATTTCTTGACGGCATACTTGTGACCAGTACAGCGTTCGACACATAGATAAACTGTGGCGAAATGCCCCTTTCCAAGTTGTTGCAGTATCCTATACTGCGAGTGGAAGGCGCTGGACATGCGACTTTTAGGGTACCGGAAAATGAAGCGAGCACTGTCAACTAAAGAGATCTCGTCTCCATCCTCGAGCTCTCTTCTCTTGTTTCGACCTAGCAAGGCATCGTTCACGAAGGTACCGTTGCTGGAAAGATCTTCAATCACAGCTATGGAACCAGCAGGCTTGTTCTCGTTGAATAGGAGGCAGTGCCTATTAGAGATAGTACCCAGGTCAAGCCGCATGTCACACTCGGGGTGTCGACCGAGCAAGTAACCACCAGCTGGGAAGCCTTGAGTCTCTTTTTGTTTCTCATATGCTTCTTCATCTTTCAGCAGTTCATCGGGCTCCGAAACCTTGCGATTCTTTGTAGTCGGCCTTCCAATCTCCAGTGGCTTCATTGGAGCGGGACAGAAGGCTCTTCTTTTCATAGTAAGTTTGTGTCCTATATTTGGATTCACAGGTATCAGAAAACCCCATGTCCCCTCGTCGTCATCTTCAAGCTCGTCTCCCAGGTCCCTCGGTGGGTACACGAACTGTGAGAGAACTTGTGTTTCTTGTGGTGGCGAGGATAAACCTGTGAGGATAGGAGATGAGGAGGTAGGCGTCACTTGTCGATATTGGTTGGATTTGGTATCGGGTGGTGTGACGGTACCCTCCTTGTTGTCAACAGTGGTAGCTGTAGCTATCGAATCGGCATGTGTTATGGGAGAAGGATACGCTCGCTGGTTCACAACTGGAGTCTTCAAGTGTTTGTCTTGCTTGTCGTGCTTGGTCTGTTGCGGCTGAGACAATCTCTGAGATCTTCGAGGTTTCTTGTCTTCGTGGTCATCGCCAGTGCTGTGCCTACCACGTTTAAGACTGCTCTTCTCTGTCTTAGGAGGCATCGTAGCAATTATCACACTCGTAGGATCGTCCTTCCTATTTTTGCAGGCACGTCGCTTTGTTACGTGGAGGTTACAGGCGAGCCTGAAAATTCCGGAATAAAGGTGTGGTGAAGATCGGAGTGTAGGTAAGCTGTGCTTACTAGTAGTGAGCCAACTCTAGGAGAAAGTGTGAGTGGAAGCTGCTATTCTACAGCATGTAAAAGTTGGCGAGAAGGATAAACTGTCAAGCTCAAAGCATTATTGAAGTAGCATACATAGGTTGTGCTTACTACACTATGTCTACATTATGCAGGTCTGAAGTCTTCGAAGTTCTGGAGGCCTATGCCGCTCAATTGAGATCGTCATTGGTTCAGTCGCGTTCCGAGACTGAGATTCTGGTGGATGTCCCGACCTCCGGCCCTGCAGGTCGATGCCAAGGCTGCGACATCATAGGCGTATGGATCGAGTTTCAGGCTTGTCAACTGCAAACCGCGAACAAGTCGTTCGGAGACAACCATGATATGTTGAGTCGTGACGTGCAGGAGTCGCTGACTCGTGGCACTTCCCGTGACGTGACTTGAGCTATGGACTTGTGAGTAAAGGTAATCAATCCTTGCATAGTTGCTGTATACTAACAAAAAGAAAGTCGAGGCTCACTCCGACGGGAGGCCTACGCGAAGCTCGCTCAGTTATCGACCCAGCAGCCAGTCGATCAAGATGGGGGAAATATCCGTAGGCTGGTCGCAGATCTTCCTGCAAAGACCTCTACTACGACTGGGCACCTCGATGGAGTGCTGAAGACGAAAGCACCAGCTCCTCGTTCGCGCATAGACGTGAGAGAACTCGACATCCTTCTGGCCCTATGTTCAGCCGCTGCCAACCTCGAGGACTACGACCATGCTGAAAGAGCTGTCAGACAGTTGGGCACCTACCTCCCCGAAGCCCATTCGCAAATATTCGATCCCTCCCCTTTTTTGCAAGATCTTCGTCCCTCGCCATGGGTTGTCACTACTTACGCCCTTACCCATGCTCTGCTAAGTCTGGGCATCAAATTTCCAGCCTTGAAGAAAAACGTTAGAGGTAATATTCAAGCATATGTCGCGAGTTGGTCTCGTGCTGCAGCTACACTGGCCTCCACGATCACAGCTGAGGATGACGAACAGACCAATGAAGAGGAAGCTATCGAGATCGCCGCTATCTGCGTTTCGCTGGTCGGCTTCCTTGATGCTGCAGCTCAACATGCTGATTTCTGGAATGCCTTTGAGCGACTGGAATTGATCAGAAATATCAGAACAGCTATGTCCGAACAGGTCCTGGTTGCTATCGAGAAAGCTGTCTCGACTATCAGGCACACTGACTGGGACGATCCTTTGACAAGGGAGTGGAAGAAGTCCTTGAAGCACTATGCTGTACGCGGCTCACCCTTAGGTGCCATGCATGTACAACAGGCCTTCCTGAAGTTCGTCGTCAACTGCAGTGCCCACTTCGTCGCTGCTCAGCACCCAAGGCAGTCGAATGGCCTGCTGGATAGTTATGTCAACGGCACCCATTCAGGGAAGGTTCAGAATGAAAACATCGACGACGACTTGATAGAGTACGTGGTCGACTTGATTACAGACCAGATGAACGTCCTTGAGGAAGGCTCAGACTATCTTCAGCTTAGCTCTGCATGGCAGAAACGTCTCGCCTTTCAAGTCAAAGCCTACGCTATCGAAGCCTTCGTGCATTGTATGGTACTTGACGATGATCTCGCCGACCCAGAAACTCTGCTTGCCTGGCTAGAAGATGCTATCGAGAGCCAACCACAGATGACCGATCCATTACTGTCGAAGACCGTCTTTCAAAGCTTGGCAGTGACCGCTCGGCATTTACCCGATGCTACTTCGAATGTGGCGCGCATGCTGTTGAAGTTCATTGTTCAAGGAACTTCCCAGATCGAAGCCGTCACATTAGCCGCACAAAGTCTAGCACATATACTTCGCCTCATATCTACCGACGCTATTATCACAACTCTATACTCACTGGGAAATGTGTTAAGTTCGCAGAGTGGAGCTGAGAAACAGCATCATTCATTTTCACCTCTAGGCATCAACGGCCACCACAGTTCTGTAGCGTCCGATGCCCAAGGCCCAACTGGCAGTGTAATCTCCCTCTCCATGAGTGGTGATGAGGAAACTTCGATAATTTGTGGCAACGTGGCTCGAGCCATTGTCACTATTGCTACAACTTGCAACGAGCACAAGATAGTGGCTCTGGCTCAGATGCTCTTGACTCAAAAGATCAGCAGGATCAACTTGCTCGTAGACGCACATATTGTTCAGAATACTGCTGTCCTTGCTACTCACGGCAAAGAGATCGAGCTCAAATCGCTGCTCCGACTTTACTCCAAAATGCACGAGGAAGCTGTTCACCAGAGGAATGCTGTGATCTTTGAGGCTGTTCGATCGGCGAGAGAGTATCTGGCCACTCATCTGGACGTCAATTCATCACTATTTAGAGTTCTGGCCGTTTCCCTACTTGAACGCATCCTCAGCAAGGGCGATGTGGTGGAAGGAGAGTTCAAGCACTCAGCCGAAGTCGAGCAGGCTGCCCAGGAAATAGCTCCATTACTCAAACCACTGGCTATCCTAGCTTCACGCAGACCAATTACGGTCCTGGATGGTAGTGTTGAAGACCGTTCTGAGATCGAAACTTTAGCACGAGAAGCCTGGTTCAACATAGCCGTGCACGGTGTCACGCTCCAGTCGCTGATCGGTCAACAATATTACCATGAGCTCCGATTACTGGCAATGCATTCAACTCCGCTTGTCGATGAAGAGAGGGCTGCTCTTCTGGAATCAGATGTTGAGCTCAATACGGTACTGAGGCGTGGGATGAGCTCGCAACATATTGCAGAGCAACGACGTCACCTTACAAGCATTATTCCCGACCATGAATCACGAGTTCGGCATTTGAGCTATCAAAAGGTTGTTTACCTGAATGCGGTCTATCTTGTTGAGTCGCTACGAGCTGCATCTGGAAGTTGTGCTGAAATGTGCGATTATCTTGCTGACCCATCGCTCAAAGACAGCGACATGGGCGCCTGCTTGAGTGCTATCGCAGCCGAAGTTGTTAAAGGCTATATTCAGAAGGCGCGGCCTGCTAAGGACGACGATTATGGCGGCCCCTATATTGCCAAACAGCTTGTGCGAATCTTTAGTGCATGCTGTAATCGCAGTGCTAAGATGCAGGAGGTTGCGAGATTGACCGCTGACTACATCGTAACCTTCGCTCCATCTGCGTTGATGCAAAAATCGTCCATATTCGCCCTACTTGAGCTCTTATCCATCATGTGGTCTAGCTGTCTTGAGTCTGAGATCGAGGAATATGAATGGAAACCCGTCTTCTCATCTCAACGTGGAAAGGTGACTGTGGAATTGAGTGACGACTATGCATTTCGCAAGCGAACGCTTGATGGCTTGCTTGTCTCTGCACGGAAGTGGATGACAAGTGCCATTGCTATTGCTCCTCTTGACGTGAAAGGGCTCCTCCAGACATATCTATCGGAATATGACGATACTGGTGCTTACGGTCACGTTTCCCTAGGGCGCTCGTTTGCCATTGAAATGGGGTCCTTAATTCCTTCGACTGATCAAAGACTTGCTGCGATCGAACAACAGGCTCAAGAAACCGAAGTGAACGTGGCATCTGACTTTGTGGCTCAATACACGACACGACAGGAGTACAGATTCGGCGGTCTGGCTGGCGATGGCCAACACATCATGCCAGCAAATACAACCAAACTGACCGGTCCTCTTACTGATGGTATCCAGACCTCGGAAGATATCGTAGATGAAGCTCAGGCAACCCTTGCCGAGATCGAACACAAGACGAGCTTACACTCTATGATACCTTTACAGGATTTGAAAGGTGTGCTGCGCAGGGCCGCTGCGTTACTTTGTCGAAGTAAGACATCACAGACCGCGATTGTGCAATACTTGGTCACCATTCCGTTTGAAGTCTTCACGAAAGAGTCCATTAAGATGGGAATCTCCCTGTGGCTTGGTGTAATACATGAGAACACCAGGATGGAGCCTCGAATATTGACAGAAATTGCCCAGGCATGGGAGAACACTATCGACCACCGAATTGGTATCTTCAGTCCCTCTTTTCGCAATCCAGATCCTTTCTATGTCAAAGAAGAGTTTGCTCCCTCTGATCGAGCGACTCTGCTCAAGCACGCTCAGAAAGCTCAAAATACCATATCCCCACATTTGCGATTACTTCAATTTTTCGAAAGTCATTTTAACGCCATTCGTTTAGGCAGTCCTCACACACAAAGGACATTTGTTAGAATGATCATGAAAACCCTTAAAGGTATGGAGCAGTTAAAAGGTCATCCTCTACTCCGTGAGATACACTTCCATACTGTTCTCTTTGGGTTCAGAATCCTGCAGTACAGCACTTGTCTTAATAAGAACACGATGTGGCGCCTGAAGGACAGAATACTTTCGACTGCACTATCTTGGTTTCGTCATCCACCGGCATGGTCCTTCGGTGGCAACCGCCTGCAAGTCAAAGCCGAGGTCAAAGTCATGCAAGATGTTCTTGTCATGCTGGCCTCTACTAAACCTGTGGGTTCACTTGGTCCTTCAAGAAAGAACAGCAATGAACAGAAACAGGCACTACTTGAAGCCCTGCTTCATGTTGAAATTGGCCGGCTCGAGGTATGGCTTAGTCCGCTTGGCACGACGACGTTGGACACAAGTGCTCACGCAACCGTTGCTGCGCTTGCTCGTGTGGCCTGGGCAGAAAGTCCAAGTCTTGCAATTCAGCTTGTCAAAAGGTTTCCTTCTGAGCAACTAAGCCGAGATGTTCGCTTCCTGCTATGCAACTTTCCGGATAAGGCAATTCAAGATCCAGCTGCTGTCGATCTCCTATTGGGAGACGTTCTTCCATCGGATTTATCGTTCCAGCTGAAGTACCTACTCATCTGGGCACCAGTAAATCCAGTTCAAGCTGCGACCTATTTTACACCTGGTTATGGTAATCATCCTTTCGTATTGCAATATTGTGTACGCGCACTCGACTACCATTCATTGGATATCACCTTCTTCTATGTGCCACAGATTGTACAAGCACTACGTTATGATGCTCTGGGTTATGTTGAGCGATTCATTGTCGAGGCTGGCAAATTCTCACAGCTTTTTGCACATCAAATCATCTGGAATATGAGAGCAAACTCGTACAAGGATGACGATGCAACGATTGAGGATCCCTTGAAGCCAACATTGGACAGAGTGACCGAAAGATTGATTGCTAGCTTTACTGGGGCGGATAAGGAATTCTTTGAGAGAGAATTCTCCTTCTTCAGCGAAGTGACAGATATTTCTGGCAAGTTGAAACCATTCATCAAAAAGTCTAAGCCTGAGAAGAAGGCCAAGATCGAGGAAGAATTGCGGAAAATTAAGGTTGAGGTCGGAGTATATCTGCCCAGTAACCCTGACGGTGTTGTTATTGGCATTGATCGAAAGTCGGGCAAACCATTGCAGTCCCACGCCAAAGCACCATACATGGCAACATTCCGCATCAAGAAAACAAGAAGCGTCGATACCGAACAGCAGGTTGCGCAAATAACACGACCTAAACATGCACGTCACAAATCCAAAGCATCCACTGTTGTGACCACAGCCTCAGATGACCCAAACAGCTATGAAGTGTGGCAGAGCGCCATCTTCAAGGTTGGCGACGACTGTCGACAGGATGTACTAGCATTGCAGCTGATCGCAGCATTTCGTGGTATCTTCAACTCGGTTGGCCTGGATGTTTATGTTTATCCATACCGAGTCACTGCGACAGCTCCAGGTTGTGGTGTCATTGATGTCCTGCCAAACTCAATCAGCCGAGACATGCTTGGGCGAGAGAATGTGAATGGCTTGCACGAATACTTTATTACTAAGTACGGTGGTGAGCATTCAGTACGCTATCAAGAAGCAAGATCAGAGTTCGTGAAGAGTATGGCAGCATATTCTGTTATCAGCTATTTGATGCAGTTCAAGGACCGACATAATGGTAACATCATGATTGACGACAAGGGCCACATACTTCACATTGACTTCGGTTTCCTGTTTGACATATCTCCAGGTGGTGTTCGATTCGAGCGAGCACCTTTCAAATTGACACCAGAAATGCTAGCGGTTATGGGTGGCGACAATCCGCATACCTCACAAGCCTACAGATGGTTCGAAGAGCTTACTGTGAAGGCATTCCTGTGCTCTCGCCAATATTGCAGCAAGTTGCTCCACTTGGTCAGTCTGATGCTCGACTCTGGTCTACCTTGCTTCAAACCACAAACGATGAAGAACATGCGAGACAGGTTCAGACTTGATCTGAATGAGAGGGAAGCTGCTGAGTTTATGGTCGGCTGTGTGAAGAAGAGTGCCGCCAATTTCTCGACCAAGGTTTATGATGAGTTTCAACTTTTGACAAATGGTATACCCTATTAGCGAGCATGGATTTTGAGCATTATAGCATAGCTGAATAGAACAGATAAGACTATTGTCTAATAACATAATCTACCATGGTAGGACTACTACCAAAGACAGATTTCGCAAGTCTATGCCATTGTTATTGTTGAAACTCGTGCGATTGGGACTATCTTTCAATCATGCCTGAGTAACCAGTTGTTCTGGCTGACCACTTTTGAAATCGAAGTACATCCATCTAAGTTATTGTGCAGCCACGACCTGTCGCAGCAGCCAGTGCTGGACCTCGTTTCCATAACCTCTCAATTCACCACAACTCTCACCACCAATTTTTCTGATGTACCACTAGCGGTACCTCGCGGTCACCTCTCCCTTCTTACCACCAGCAATCGCTAACATGGCTTTCAAATAGTACGTATCCAGCAAAAGCTGAGCCAACATCTAAAGCTGAGCCAAATCTTCTTTCTCATTCCACGAGGGAAGAAACAGAGTCGAAAGTGGCCTCACTACCTCGATAAAATCCCAATTCTACCAAGCATATTGAGGAAATTCGACCATAGCGCTCCGCCCACCTCAGCGAAGCCTAGACCCATTGTTCCTGCTAATACGAAGGCAAGGAAGACTGTGTGTGGTATAAGTCAGTATTTGTATTCATCGTCGTAGTAGAATTGGCAATATACACTATCCCTCCACCTGCTGGAAGAGGGGAGGGATTGTTGCTCGATAAACAGAAGGCACTTTAGGAGAAGGACTTACTCAACATCGGCGTACTAATAGGACTTTTTTGAACTTCCTTCTTCTTGTACGCGGTCTCTGGTCGGCCCATGTTCTTTTCGTTTTGTTTTGCGAAAACGGCGTTGGCGCGTTTTTGTTGTGGTGTTTGGCGGGCCATTTTTGTATATCTTTGGTTTGGGTGATGCGTGGAGATTTGGGGGCGTTGAAGTATGGAGCGCTCTGTGGATGGTGCTGATTCTTGGTTGAACTGGGAGAAATGTTACAAGTTGTAGGAGATAGTGTTTGGTTGTTCTTGAGGTGTTTTTGAGAAGTGTGGCTGCAGGGCTAGATGGTAATGGGGAGGTGGCCTTTCTGATATGGTACGATATGGACACTTTGTACGTTTGTATGGTAGGTAGGCGGAAAGTAAATCCTTGCCCCTTTCCGCCATGGCCAAATGTGGTATGGTCTTTCTATAGAAATGCCGGGGTTTGGGCAAACCAAGCAAATCCCAGATTGATCGCGCCGTTATGCTATGTGCTCGAGCTTGACGAGTAACCATATAGCATAGTACACCTTCAGCACCCGAACTATCTTGAATCCGACCGCGTGCGATGTTCACCTCTAGGCAGCCATTTCTACAGCGCGCCCTACCTGCTGTCAGAACTTCGCGTATACCTATCAAATCACGACCTTTCCAACGCAGCTTCACCTCCACAAATACCAACCTTCAAACGCAACCTGCCTCCCAGCCAAGTCCTCATGGCAACTTCTACCGCTCGCATGGCCGTGCGCTGTTCAAGAGCCTAACGCTAGCATTCTTCAGCTATCAGGTCTTTTACTGGGCATGGATTACACTTGAGGCGGAAACCACAAAGGACGAGAAGAGGAAAATCATTACTGGTTTGGAAGAGGAGGTGAAATTGTTGGCAAGTGGTAAGGGGAGCCATGTGTTGAAGACGGGGGAGGGAGAAGGGAGTGGGAAGAGGTTGTTGGAGGAGGAGAAGACGTGAAGAGGAGGGAGAGTTGAGCTATAGGAAACGGACGCATGTGGACATTGTTTAATGAATTGTCTGGAAAGGGAGGGAAGACGAATGTGCGATACGTTTGTCTCATTGGTGCTGCTCTGTTGTAGCAGACTTTTGAGTCCCAGATGCGAAGCTGTCCAGGCAGAATTTAGCTGGTATCCTATGGATCAGTGGTGGTCGATTCAGTCAACACGGAATCCGATCAGATAGCCCACACGAAGAGCATACCGTCGAGACTTCCCTTTTGATGTCGTTGTCGGAAGGTCCTGAATACAGCTAATGCTCATGTGAACGAGCACGATCCGAGACCAAGAGTCTTGGTGAAGCAGGCGGCTGCTCTTTTTGTGCCATCAAGAGTAAAATGCGACACGATTTCAAAGTATATATCAAGAAGACATCGAAGACTGGGATACGGGATGGTGCGGGTTGCAAGACACAACGTGGTCAGCTCGCGAAGCCTCTGATCATACTTGCAGCTTTTGTGGATACAGCTGTTGGCTAGATGCGGAAGAGGATCCTACCGTCCCGCTGTATTGCTCCAGGGAGCGTACTCAAACTATACACTTAAAAGAAACAATGGCTGCATCGCTAGCAAGTTTTGACTTGTGTTCCGGTACTACTACCACTCAACGCGGAACAGATCTACCTTACTTGTAACAAAGGCAAGAAGAGGTCAGTACGCATCACAAGTGCTCGTCTGGAAATAGTCGAAGTTGGTTTTGGCAGGAGCAGCAGTTTGCTCGATTTCCAGCACGTGACGGAGCAGCCATGTTGTGTAGCAAAGACCTACATGATACGCAACAGAATCTCGTGGTAAAGAGTGACAAGCAGTAAGGATGTCCATCCCGCAACGTCTCCTATCTGAAGCAACACTATCTGGCTTATCAGCATACAGCCACGCTAGTGTCCGTCCCACTGATAACAAGTTCCCACATCATGGACCATCCAGCGAGAGGACAAAAGTGCCGAAGGATTGTGTGCTGAATCCTACCATCAAGACCTTGCAGAAGACAGCACAACGTGAAGCAGCAGGCCTCAACTATTGCCACGTTGAGCGTTCATTCTGATTAAGCACTACACCATGCGTATGGTGCCTTCGAGGGCTTCTAGTGTTTGGCACCGTTCTCAATATCAGTTATCGATATCTCCATCGATTTTTCTGCGAATGTGTAGAATACTCTCGACGAGCTTCGTCCCAAGGCACACCATACCAAAGTTGGAGAAATGTTCCTCCTGACACAGGATTGTCAAGTAATGCCTGTGCTCATCTCGCTAATCCCTCACTTGCGCTCCTTTGCTGTATCATCAAACACTGTGGCGTATTCAGGTACAAAGCAAGCACAAGGTCAATTGTTTGCTCATACTGCTACCAACCGTGGCGGCAATGGGAGAACAGCTATTATGCAAGACAAGCTAGCTATGCCACTTCGTCCATCGTGCTTTTTGAGGTATGTCGATACAAAAAGCTGCTGATTGATGGTACCTATCAATTTGCTGCCGGAGGGCCACATATTGATGACCTATACAAAGGACCGTCCAAGCACATCGTTCACGCTTTGATCAGTAGAGGTCAACATGTATTTTGTTCTCTGCATGAACCACACGAGTGACTCGATGACCGCGAGGTATAGCAACGTATTAGCCCGAACGAAAGTTAGGTGGAAATTGAGTAGCGGAACGAAGTGGTCCACTCGCGTACTGGCAATTCGACGATCTCCGCGCTCAAGCTGAAGCCTACTCGTATGCACTCACTATACCAAGTGAACTTATAGTCAGCTGTCGATGTTACAGGCAGGGTCAACATCTCTTTTCACATGTCATGAGTTCCGAATTCGGCTTGCGGCACGTCCTCCAAGATCGCATAGTCCACGTCGCATCTTCTGGATGGGTTGACCTGGCAAAGACTCGATGAGCATTTCGAACCTTGATAGCTCGGAAGATCCTTCCAGAGCTCGATAGTGAGGCTGCTTCTGACTTACAGTTGCTCGGGCACGGTTGCGCATGCCAATCTGGGCTCGAAAGTCCATAGCACTTGCTCCATCCTTCAGAATCACAGATCATCGTCTATGACAAAGATGAATTCGCACGTTTGCAATCTATGCATGACCTCCACCTGACTGCAGTGTTAGTGGCTTTCGTGTTCATGCGGCTCTGAAAACGCTCGTGTCTGACATAGCATTTCTGACAACACCGCTCCGTCATTCTGCTGGTGAAGGTGGAGAACCATCGCTCAAGGTGAAATTGGGGGATTTTCGCACCAATCGCTGGAAGTTTCAACCAACCGGAGAAGTTGTGGTCAGCATCACGAGATGTACCCGAGCAGCGCCTGACAAGCTCGAAGAAAGTCCAAGTGTCAGACGTGTTGGCTTCGCATGCTTCTCTCATAAAGCTGCTGCAGTTGACAACTGATAGTGTTTAGTGCTCTTGTTGAGAACCTTGGTAATATGGTCTCGCATCCGAACAGAGAGTGAAATATGAACTCCAGTCGAAACATCGAGATCACTATAACAATGCCGGATCGGACCACCATACATCCGCTACGGTATTATGCCTCCTAAATCATTCCCGCTGACTTGATCATCGTGATAAGGAATATGGAAAGTGACACTGAGTTCTTTGCTTAGAAGAACGAAGTGCAGTCTCCCTATCTCGATGACAGTTTTCTTCATGCATGGACTCCCTTTGGTGACTGAAGGGAACTGCAACAGTATTATCAACATACAACTGTGTCTACTCCCATCTTTGTTGACATTAAGAACACACTTACGTCTACCACGTTACAGTCTCCCAGAAGCTGTCACGTACAAAGCAGTTCAGCACAGCAACCTTTCACAACCACTTCAACGTACCTTCACTAGCAACACATTCAGTCTAAAATTTCACCACTAGCATTAAGGAAAGTTTTCCGCACGATTGAAATGGCAGCCACGCAAGTCCTCTTTCCCCAAACATTCCACAACTATAGATCTCTCCACGAACTCGAAGTCCACAAATTCCATCAACTACCAGTTCCAAATTACAAAAAGAGAAAACATTCAATAATGTCTTCTGCACCACCACCAGAAGTTGCAGCATTGGCTGTTGAGGTTCCTCCAAAGCTTGCCTTTGATCCAAAAAAGCACATCAACCATGTTCCGCCAAAGAAAATATGGACCATGACTGAGATCGAACGCGGCAACCAAGGTGTATCACCAAATGCTGTTTCCGAGCCTTTCTCTCTGTTCACAGAAGAAGCTGTGAAGCAGATGAGAGCAGAGATTTTGAGCAAACCTGTCTTAGAAAACTGCACTTACCAGTCCAACCTGTCTCCTTGTCAGCTCCGTGGCTATGCGCCAAAGTAAGTTGCAGTATCTCTTGCACACGTACACCCACTCACTATGCAACCAGGTATGCACCGTTTGTGTACGACGCTTGGCACTCTCCTCAAGTTCTGGAAATTGTCTCCAAGATCGCTGGCATTGACCTGGTCCCCGTGATGGATTTCGAAATTGGTCACATTAACATTTCTGTCCACTCCAAGGAAGCTCAAGAGGAAGCCAAACGAGCTATTGCCGAACACAAAAGCCGACAAGCCGATGAAGGAGTATCAGGTTGCCCTTGGGAGGACGATACCCCAATCGTTGGCTGGCACACTGATTCCTATCCCTTCGTCTGCGTCTTGATGCTCAGCGACTGCAGTCAGATGATCGGAGGTGAGACAGCCCTGCGAAAGGGATCAGGCGATATCATGAAAGTTCGAGGTCCTGGCGTGGTAAGTTTCTCCATAACACAAAGAATGTACAACATTAGCTGACAACCCAAAAGGGAAATGCTGTTGTCCTACAAGGTCGTTACATCGAGCACCAGGCACTCAAAGCTTATGGTGGCCAGGAACGAATCACTATGGTAACCTCCTTCCGACCAAAGTCACCACTCGTTCAGGACGACACTATCCTTGACACTGTCCGCGCCGTCTCCAACCTACCAGACTTATACCGAGACTACACCGAGTATCGACTTGAGCTTGTCGAGGAGCGAGTTCGGGCCCAGCTCAAGAAGATTCGAGAACGAAAGAATCGAGGACACAAGTTCGACACACCTGGCAACAAAGCCTTCCTTCGAGAACAGAAGCAGTTCTTTGAATCTATGCTGAAGGCCTTGGTGGACGAGGACAAGGTCATTCCTGGCTACACCGACTCTTCTCACTTGATCTCTCCGGACTTGAAAGAGCGTGACGAGTTCTTCTCCAAATTCTACGTGGCTACAAGAAACAAGAAGTAGTCCGCACACGGAATGGGTCACTGACGTGACGAATCACGTCTGACTTCAATACTTGACGAAAATGAATTGACGAAGAACGATGTCGTACCGCATTGTGCAGGCTGGCGTTTCTATGTCAATTTAGGCGCATATGGCCTGACTTCGGATCTTAGCGATGGCGCACGATGTTCGGTGATGCATGACTGTTTGATGAATTGATACGCCAAAGACGAAAACACAAGCTACATGAATTGAAAAGCTGAGTCTGGTATTGTGTATTATTAGACACAAGACTAGACGGCGAATAGATTCAATGATAGATATCTAATGGCTCTTTAGCCACAAATGCCATGAATATTCTCGCAAGACTCGCTGCTTAGAAGAACCACGAACTACCTTGCTGCGGAGCCTAATAACATTCACACTGGGGGAGTGAACAGGCTACAGTGTTGTTGTAGAATTGATATATTTCGGATTTGTTTTCGAAGCAAAAAATACCAACTAAAGGCGAACATTCACAAAGTCGGCTGCACTAAGGCAGTTGACGATGCAGAGGCTATAAACTGAGTCTTCGGCGCGAAAAGACTGGCAGAGAGCCTCGCCAAGGCTGCGCTTGTTCTCCCAAGTACTACAAGCTGATTTTGCGTGGTTTCCAGTCTATCAGCGACCACCCAGACCACGCTTCTAACGTCCAGCAGCACGGTGAACAAGAGAGTCGTGCTGGATGTCCGTTACTCGAAGTTTAAATGGCACGGTGCCACTGAATGTTGCGAGTAGCCTGGTGGTAAAATCATGTCCAAAGTAATCGACGGCTAATGGTGGAACAACCGAGTAGACTGCTCGATGAAGACAATACCCAGCTTATCGCAGGTATCGAACACTGCTCCATCGTTTTGACTGCCAGTAGGTGCTGCGATGTACTTGACCCCAGATCGTCCTGCACGGTAGACGTTATCGACAAATGGGAACTGTCATCGGTCAGGACTCTACTCTTGAAAGACGATGGTTACTCACAAATGCGTCACTGGACACTACCACCCCTTGAAGGTTGGACAGCCAAGCCTCCCGCTCTTCGGGTGAGAAAGGTTGCGGGACTTCCTCAAACTTTGCTTCGTAGTCTTCAACCTCGAATTGTGACTTTGGCGGTACCTGACCAGAGCAGAGCATGTCAATGGCATTGCTCTTGTCAGGTCGTTTCACACCTTTCTTCCATTTGATGTTGAGTGTTCGTTCGTGGAATCTCATCCACCAATTATCTAGCAGCGTCAGCTCTGTTTTGGACGTCTTGTCAAGCACGACTTACCAGCTTTGTCTCCTGCTAATCTTGTGCAGTGGATTCGCGATTGCTGACCAGCACCAAGACCGACCACTTGTCCTTTATAGGCATAGCATACCGAGTTGGACTGTGTATACTTCAGGGCAATGGTTGCGACTGTGAGATCTTGCAAGGTCTGTTCGGACAGCTTTGCACCGCCTTCTGGTCGTACCACGGACTTGAAGGTATTTCCGGGTGTAATTTGCACGTCGTTTCTACCTTGAGTCAGACTGACACCATAAACTGTTCGTGTCTCCTGCTGTGGTGGCTCGTAGGTCTCATCGATCTGTAGCACAAGATATTTGCCTCCTTTCTTTTTCTTCAGTATTTCGAGAGCCTCGGGTTCGTAAGCAGGCGCGATAACGCCGTCTGAAACTTCGCGAGAGATGATTTTGGCGGTTGGCACGTCAACTTTGTCTGATAGAGCGATCACATCACCGAAGCTCGACATGCGGTCTGCACCTCGTGCACGCGCATAAGCTTGTGCTAAGCCGGATCTTTCGATACCGTCAATGTCGTCGACCATGTACACTTTACGTTCAGTCTCATCCAGGGTAATGCCTACAGCGGCGCCCGCAGGGGAGACGTGCTTGAAAGATGCTGCGGCTGAGAGACCAAGAGATTGCTTGAGCTCCTTCACAAGTGGATAGGCATTGAGTGAATCGAGAAGATTGATGTAGCCTGGAGACCCACTAAGTACAGTGAATGGTAACTTTCCCTCTTTGACATAGGCTGATGCGGGTTTCTGATGTGGATTTGCGCCGTACCGTAGTGCAAGCTGCTGCACGCCGTTGCCTGCATACTGATTTCGGAAGTATCCAGAAATTGCCGTGTCATAATCCGCAGTGTGAGTGAAAGCTTTCAGTGCGTATTGCTGTCGACTCTGCTCGCTGATTTCGCCCTTTTCAAGCTCTGACAGAAAGTGGCCATAGTCTTGTGGATCGCTTAGAATGGTGACTCGGGCATGGTTCTTCGCTGCAGCTCGTAGTAAGGTAACTCCACCAATATCAATTTCTTCGACAGCCTCGGGCACAGTAACATTGGGCTTTGCAACAGTATCCTTGAATGGATAGAGATTGCACACTACATAGTCAACCTTTTCAATTTTCTGATCGGCTAAGTCTTTCTCGTCTGATTCGATATTTCGAGCTAGAATACCACCGTGTACTGCTGGGTGAAGAGTCTTTACTCGACCACCAAGCATTTCTGGTGCGTTCGTTATTGCTGAAACATCTCTACGCTACAGTCAGTCACAGAGACGGAACAGCTGCAATGTACTTACTCCACCTTGATGCCCGAGTCTCTGATGAGTTTGGCAGTGCCTCCAGAAGCCAATATGCGAACGTTCTGCTTTTCCAGACCCTTTGCTAGGTCAAGTAGACCTGTCTTGTCATACACAGACAATATGGCTAGTTTTTGAGACATTGTTCTTGATTGATTGTTTCCGTCAGCACGATCTATCGGGCCCTCTTCTACCAGTACTGAAAACAAAATATCAAATTGTTGATCAGAAATGTCGTGCTCCAAAAATTACTGCTGACTCTCGGAACCAAAAACACACCCCACATTTCCTGATGCGGTATGCAGGGAGACCATGAGTGTAACGCTACGGCATCTCGAAGAGGCGTGAAATGTGGTTCTTTTCAACAATACTCTTGAGGATATATGTCGCGTTGAGCTGAGTACCGAACAGTGAATATGCTAGTATGTACCACGCCGGCATACATTAGTAGTATCGTGCATCAAGAAAGACGAAGTGATAGTCGTTGATGGGGTAGTCTCAGATGATTCTTGTAGGCCTGCTTCGTGACTGCAGGCAGAGACAGAAAGAAGACGGCATTGCTCATAGTAACGAGCTTTGCGTAGATAGTGGCATACTTTGCCATGGTCTTTCTGTCTCGTATCAGATTTAACGTGATGAGTAGCTATATGAAAGAGCCGAAAGTCGCGTTGGACGCGTAGGTGGAGATGAGGAGCTAGGACTAATCTGATCGTCGAAAGCTCAGTCGGGGCAACGTGTAAGCTGTTCAGCACATCAATGAATGCTTCGCAGCTCCGCGCTCGAGCGCTCTTGATCGACGGGAGATTCAGCAGATTTCTCAGTAGCAGTCATGTGCGAAAATGCACCGTCCAAAGCAGACGAGGATTACATAACGTACCTCAGTTGCAGCAGGCACAAACTGATCGATTCCGACCTTACTATGTAACCAGCCCCATATTCTATGTCAACGCTGGTGAGTATCAGATCGCGGCGCCGAGAAGATAAGATCTGACCTTTAGCAGAGCCACATGCGGGACATCTATATACCCTTCTGCTTACTGATATTTTGAAAAGATGGGAAGTCTTGAAGGGAGACAATCAAGCGTCCTTGCTTACAGGCACTGACGAGCATGGCATGAAAGTGCAGAAGGCAGCTGAAAGCGCTGCGACTGCAACCAAGCAGTTCTGCGACAAGCATGCTACTCAGTTTCTCGACCTGGCTCGTGCAGCCAACATTTCGTTCGACCGATTCATACGTACAACGGACCCTGATCACAAAGTTGCAGTCGAACACTTTTGGAAGCAGTTGAAAGAGAGAGGCTATATTTATCAGTCAACTCATGAAGGCTGGTACTCGGTCAGCGATGAGACATTTTACCCTGAATCCCAAGTCCACTTGGTTCTGGAACCAAGCACCGGACGGAAGATCTATGCTTCGAAAGAGACTGGCAAGGAGGTAGAATGGACTTCAGAAACTAACTACCACTTTCGTCTTTCGGCTTTCAGAGATCGTCTACTCGAGCACTACGACCAGCACCCTCAATTCATTGTCCCATCAATGCGTATGAATTTTATCAAGAAGGAAGTAGAGGCTGGCTTATCAGATTTGTCTGTCTCTAGGCCAAGCTCAAGACTACAATGGGGCATTAGAGTGCCGGATGACGATACACAAACTATTTACGTATGGCTGGACGCCCTGATCAACTACTTGACTGCAACTGGCTACCCGTATGGTGAAGGTGGTAACCATAAATTGTGGCCACCAAATGTTCAGGTCATTGGCAAGGACATTGTGCGATTTCATTGTATATACTGGCCAGCTTTTCTTATGGCACTGGACATCCCGCTTCCTAGAGCATTCCTCACACACGCCCACTGGACAATGGGTAAAGCAAAAATGTCCAAATCATTAGGAAATGGTGTCAATCCTTTCCTTGCAATCGAGCGTTTCGGCCTCGATGCTATCCGGTACTTCATGATCCACGACGGCGGTATTGTTGATGATGCGGATTACGACAACATGTTCATTGTGGAGAAGTACAAAAAGGGCTTGCAAGATGGTCTGGGAAACCTCCTTACTCGCATACTGAGAGGCAGGAAATGGTCAATACGTACCTCTCTCGAGCAAGTGATGAACAACGGCAGCCTCAAGAAACCGGACTCGGCACGTATTCAGGATATGATCGAAATGATTAACAGCACTGCACGGTCTGCAGATGAAGCTATGCAGAGTGTCAACCCTCGCAGTGCTTTACACAACATTATGAAACTCGTCTACGAAACCAACAAATTTTTTCAAGAAATGGCCCCGTGGAACCTAGTCAAGGACGACCATCCAGACTCTCGCGAATCATTACATATGACAATATACACATCGGCCGAAGCCGCTCGTGTGGTCTGTATCTTGCTGCAACCATTCATGCCTAATAAGATGCAGCAAGCTCTCGACCACTTGCACGTTCTACCAGATAAGCGATCGTTTCAGATGGCTGAGGTTGGTTGTGATGAGACATATGGCTCAGGGGCCAGTGAAGCTGCACATGAGAAGATCCCTGAGAACATGAAGAAGAGAATTAGGTATGCACATGATGGTGTACTATTTCCACCACTTCTGACGGAGGTATGAACTCGGCCTCAGCGAAGTTGCAACTCTTTGGCTGCCTCAGCGTTGGTGCGCCTAATCGACAGTGATTACGCAACCGTCTGAAATCAGCAGAGCTGTAATCGGAAACGACAGACATGCTACGGTGTTGTCGACAATGCCAGAACTTATAGCAAGTCACAAGGCGTCGACCGCGCCACGACAGCAATGATTGGGCTGAGAGTCAGCCACGTGATGAAAAGCGGAGCTTTCTCCAACCGTACCTGCAGAAGTGCGTCGCAATGCCGGATACTGCAAAATGACCCTGCTTGTAAGTAGATCTCCAGGATTTGCCTAAAAACATCAGGTGCTGTACTATACAACGACCATCCTCTTTCGGTACAGCGAACTCTCATCATCGCTCTGACATCGATTATGGGTTCGATAGCGCTTCCCGCACCGGGAGCCAAGCCTTGGATCGAGACACCTCTTATTGAGTCCGGTGCGTTGTCCAAAGCAGCTGGCTGCCGAATTTTCCTCAAGCTCGAAAACCTTCAGCCCTCGGGTTCTTTCAAATCACGAGGTATCGGCAATCGCCTTCTCGAGGCTATCAAGGCACAGGTATCGTCTAGTGATGACAGAGCATTGCATTTTCATGCCTCTTCTGGTGGCAATGCTGGTCTTGCGTGCGTTACGGCCGCTGTGGCACTTGGTTACCGTTCAACAATTGCGGTACCTGCCTCGACTGAGGAGTCAATGGTTGCGAAACTTCGTGCTGCTGGTGCATCCGAGGTCGTTGTGCATGGATCGAACTGGTTTGTTGCGGATGCTTACTTGCGAGAAGTCATGTTAGTAATCTCAAAGTCGGACTAGCATAGTCCGATCCGGGTTACGATCGGTCTTAAACTGATCTTTTTAGGATGTCAAAAGCCGAGGAAATGGGAGAGAAAGCGGTTTATGTACCACCTTTCGACCATCCAGATATCTGGTAAGCAGCATCGACGGATCAATGCACAGGTCTTCCTATCAGCCGCGAGCCTCAATCACTTGTCGATATGGGCTAAACTCTCGCAGGACAGGTGCTGCAACGATGGTACCTGAAATCAAGGCGCAGATGCCTCGCGGAGAGGTACCAGATGCCATAGTCTGTTCTGTCGGTGGTGGCGGTCTCTTTTCCGGCATCATGCAAGGTGTCGAAGGGATTGGCTGGCAAACGAAGGTGTTAGCAGTAGAAACAGTAGGAGCGGACTCATTATCTCAAGCCGTTGAGAAAGGAGAACTTGTCAAGCTAGACGGTGAGGAAGTCCTTGGTGCTATCTCCGCCTTGAGCAAACTTGTTTCTTGCTTCTCTTCAAGATAGTCTTAAGCTGATACTCGACAGAAATCACATCTGTTGCCAAGTCATTAGGGGCTCCTGTTGTTGCACAACAAGCACTCAATGATGCGTTGAAGCCAAATGCCATCAATATGGTGATAGAAGATGCTGAAGCGTGTGCCTCCGCCTGGAGGTTCGCTGACGACGAACGAATACTCGTGGAGCCTGCTTGTGGGGCGAGTATCGCGCTTGCATATGACGGTCGTCTGGAAAAGTATCTCAAAGCCTTCTCGCCAGAAACCAAAGTTGTCATTATTGTGTGTGGTGGTAGTAGGATCGATCTCAAGACGATGGATCAGTACAAGCAGCAGTTTGGCGCAAGAGCGAAAGAGCTTGGTCTGACACGATGCGCCGATGTGCCCAGCACTTATTCGTCTTGATGGGCTACGGAGGCATCACAAGGCTTATGACGATGTATCTGGACATATTTTAATTGACATACTTGTGTCTGTGCCTCGTTCTGCTTTATCCAGGTCATGGTGATCAATAGGACATGCATTGGGAGGTTATTTACATAAGCCAGGCCTGAAACATTCAATTTCCACGTCCAGGGTGTTTGTAGAGACTACCGCGAATGCCTATCAAACGCTTGAACTCAGTAGTGCTGTACTAGCCAGCATGAATTGATTACAGTCAATCTTGAAGTGCTCGTTTCTAGGAATAGCGTCAAGCAAGTACAACTACCCGAACAAGCGTAGGAAAGCACATGACTCGCTGCAGGAGCTATAATCCGGGGTAGATACGAAAGAACAGGGTAAAACCAAGCCGCGAAATGAAGTGCATGGGATATAGCGGCTTGCTCTGTCGCGTCGACCACTACCGCTTCTTCGCATTTCCGACGCAGCCGCTTGGCTCGGAAAGGTGGCTGAAATGGTGTGCCTTTTTCGTCTTGAAGGGAGGGAAGTGAGCTCTTGGTAAGTACAACGAAGTCACACAAGGTCAGACGTGCATTTGGAAATATTGATCCAACCTCGCCCAGATTATGTCGGTTGGGACGGTTCTCAAAGTGCTCCGCAGCTAACTTTTCGTGGCGTCGATTACGCGAACGTGATGCCCATGGTTGAAGGATATGCAAGTATAGTACTAAGCATACATTATCGTGCCAGCCACGGACATCGTTGTCAAAGACGAGCTATCTTTGCTACAGTAGCACAAGCTCACGAAGGTAAATACCAATAATGGCCTTGATGAAACGACGGCTTTGCGGGTAGCGAGATGAGCTCTACTGCTGAGTCATACATAGGCCTCCGCAGTTGTCGCTGTACTATACCACATGTATGGTAACGCTCTTTTGCTAGTGCCGACCAAAGCTCGTCCTGGTACGTTGTTGAAAAGTTCAGACGCGAACCAGATTACAAAAGGTGATAGCATTCAGCCATGGGGTTTCAGGCAAGCACTAGTTTCGTGTTAGATACTTCGTGGCGGACTTTCAGCTCATTTCAACCAATCACATAGAGTTATGTAACAAAGTTCCTGAGGCTAGTCATGCAGAGGCTGAAAATAGCACATTCGAAAAGTGCTGATGGGCTCCTTTGACTCGGGGTTCCGATATGCATGAACGAGTATGAGGTGTGCCCCTGTTCACGGTTGGGGCGCGCCTTATGGCACGCTATATGAACTGCTGTGGCCGCTAGAGCATGTCTTCCCACGAAGGTCGTCTAATATCTTTCTAGGTTCTCTGGGTGCGACGAGACAACGACAACATGGCGACTTTCAAACCAGAAGAAACCACGACAATCACCGCTTCTTCTCGGGCTTCAGACACTTCAACCCCACCCCCAGAGAAGTCTGAAGCTACTCAGCCCGTAGACCTCGAGCGTCTCGGAGAGCAACATGGATACGCTCTGGACGAGACGGTCCTCAAGCAGCAGCTCGGTCTGCCAGCAGATGCAGTACTGAAGAAAGACTCGACTGGTCGCGTCCTCATCCCTCAGCCATCAGATGATCCGCGTGACCCCCTGAACTGGTCAGTCTTGCAGAAACGACTAGTCCTGGTGATGCTCGCTGTTGCCTCGTTCACTTGTGACTACTCGGCCGCGACCGGTGCATCAGCACTGCTTGCACAGGCAGCACAATGGCACATCACACCTGATACCGTCAATCATGCGACAGCCGGTAACACATTCATGTTGGGCGTTGGTGGTATCGCGACTGTCTGGTTAAGTGCATATCTTGGCCGACTTCCTATCCTTACATGGTTCACTGTCATTGCGGCTGCCACTGCCATATGGTCAGCTGCTGCCGGAACTTTCGAGAGCTACATGGCTAGCCGAATCCTGAATGGCTTCTTCGTCGTTGCAGCGGCAGGAGGTGGTCTCATGTGGATCAACGATGCATTCTTCTTCCACGAACGTCCACGAGTCATCAATGTCTGGTCAACCGCTATCATTCTGTCGCCTTTCTTGGGTCCTCAATTCATGGCTGCAGTCCTTCAGGTCGCGTCGTGGCGCGTGGGCATGTATCTCAACTTTGGCATCATAATGACTTCTTTGGTTACGATTGTCCTCATCGGGCAGGAGACGTTCTATCCTCGACACAAGCGCAGCTCTGAAATTGCGGACCTCAAATCTTATCCTCGTTGGCAAAGATTGACTGGGTTGGCGCAAAGCAAAACAAGGTCAGCTCCCTCTTTACAAGCAATGCCGTGTGGAAGATCGCATGGTTCCAGTGTTCCTCCCGCTGTGCCATGATTCTAACTTCGCATAGATTCACCGGTAATACTCTCCTCGGCGCAGGCTCCCGAACTGCTCTTACTGCCACGCGTTTGCCGGTCATTCTAATCTGTCTCTTCTACTTCTTCGACTTCGGCTGGACAATAGTGAGTACCCTTTTTCCCTCTAGCGAACGAACGAAGGCTGACGTGCTGCAGGGCAATAACACCACCATCGCTGTCATACTCGTGCCTGCCTACAAGTTGGATTACTATGGTCTTGCCGCTATTTATACTAGTCCAGTCATCGGAGCTCTACTTGCAGTGCCAGTCGGCTACTTCATGTTCGATTTCATTGGTGCACTATACGCGAAGCGACACAACGGCGTCATCTCGCCTGAAGCACGTCTGATCCCAATCTGGCTCGTTCTGCCCCTGAAGATTGCTGGTTATAACATGGTGAGTACCTCAAAGTTCATCAGGCGCTCTCTAGCACTATTCTAACGCTTGTGCTCTCGCAAGCTTCAAAACTGACATGCAATATAGATCGGCATTACAATGGGTCGTCATCTCAATATCTGGATCCTCATCATTGGCTGGGGTATGCACAACCTAGCCACTGTGTTGACTACGTGAGTCAGACCTGAAGCGGGGTCCACCTCGCTGTCGCCGCAATTTGAAAATTTTGAAGCTTACAAATTTTAGATCTGCTGTCGGCGCCTACCTCATTGACTGCTATCCAGAGGCCTCTGGCGAGTCGGCAGCGTGGCTCAATTTTGCTCGCACTATTGCTGGCTTCGCAATCGGGTATTTTCAGATTCACTGGGCTCATACGAGTGGTCCGGAGCTGGAATATGGTATACAGACGGCAATCATGGGTGCGGCGTTTGTGCTGCTGGTTGTGCCATTGACATTTTTCGGCTCGAAGATCAGGGGCATGCAGGCCCCGCTGAAGTTCAAGACCAACTGAGCAGCAAGGTCGGTTGTCAGCTCCTCAGTGAGTAGAAGATTAAAGCTCTCTGCGGCCAGGTAGATATGTGTAGTTCAATCCATATATTGCTCAGGGGTTTCCCAGTAAACACATTTCGTGCCTGAGGCATAAACCATGCCCGTGCCGCTTCTTCTGGCAGCCGTAGAACCACAACTGTAGGCGCCGTCACTCCGGTGAAGCTTTTCCGCAGCTGCGATTTTGATTTCACGTGCAAGAAAACTGCATGACGTGCACGTCGATCAAGATGTATTGTGCTACACTTGAGAACGCAACTGTACAGAGTCCTTAATTGCTGGGAGATACTGGTACAGCATTGGTGGGAAGGACTGAACCGAGCAACATGAAGCAAAACAAATGAAGTTCAATTCACGCGCTGGCATACACGATGCCGTTCTTTTTGGCAGGCACGCGAGTTCGCCTCCGCGCTCAATAACCAGATTTCTGGATCCGACTTTCAGATATCATATACCACACAGGATATCGCATCATCATACGGCTACCATAGCGACGATCTGGTCACAGCCACTGAAACCGTTCTCAAAGACAAGATGGCCACCACCCAAAGAAACATATACGGCAGCACCTGCTTCGACATTAGTACCATTGTCGACTCCTGCTCGCTTCAGGATAACGCAGCGATTTTCTTCACCCTTGCAGCGACGCTTTCTCCATATCTCATCTGGTTTGAGAGACAAACAACCACCCCGAGACCGCGAGGCGCATGAAGATGGATCATCAAAAGAGCATAAGAGCTCAGATCAACGAAATAGTGGAGAGCATTTCTATGACCGCTTCCACATACCCAACTTCCATCGTCCGACTAAAGAAGAGCTTCTTGCAGCTGCAACTGGCTTCTGGTCAAGACTTAGGGTTCGCTTCAAATGGGCGACCATCAGAAGCATGCGCCCATACAACGTGGATGAGATTGTGGGATTTTTCTCCTGGATTGCTATAGGTCATATGGTCTGGCTAGTCATAGGAACCACCACTTTCTTCTCCCTGGCTATTCTCGCTATCAACACAGTATTTGCGCAAGAGACACTTGCTGGATGGGTTGGAAAATACCTCACAAAATCGTCAGGCTTGCAGATTGTGTTCGAATCTGCGATTGTGCCGAAATGGGGAGATGGTGTCATCACTTTTAAGAATGTCTTTGTCTCTCGCAGACCTGGTCAGGATGCCAAGTCCACTGTCAAGAAGGGCTCACCAGAAGAGGCTGCTGCTGCCGCGGCCGCACGAGAGCGCATTCCTCCAGAAGAGCAAAACTACACACAATTTGATATATCTCTGGGAGAAGTCAATGTGACACTCTCGTTCAGCAAGTGGTGGAATTCCAAAGGACCATTACAGAACGTTGAGATCAAACATGTTAGAGGTGTTGTGGATCGCACCCACGTATACTGGAATCCTGATCAGCCCTACGACCCGAAAAGTGCACGACATGAGCACAATCCTGGAGACTTTGAAATTGAGTCCTTCAAAATTGAGGATTTGCTGGTCACATTACATCAGCCAAAAGGCTTCAGACCATTCACGATTAGCATCTACAATGCGGATCTGCCTCGACTACGAAAGCAGTGGATCATGTATGATTTCCTCTGTGCAACAAGCATGACAGGAGAGTTTGACCACTCTCTATTCACTATTCACCCACGACAGACACATTCTCATACAGGAATGGACTTGAACGAAGTCGCAAGTCACGAACCGTGGAAAAAGCAGTCTAGAATACGTATCGACGGTCTGAACATTGATCACCTCAATCGAGGAGTCGAGGGTCCATTTGGGTGGATCAAAGAAGGAAATGTCGATCTTGTTGCCGACATCATGATACCTAATGATAATGACGAAAGTGTAATAAAGGTGATGAGCGACTTTTACGACCAAATCGAAGCTCAGTTTCTGCTCAAGAAAAGGCATTTACAGAAACTTCTCGACAACAACGTCACTTATGGCGAGCAAGAGGATGAGAATGACCTGAGACGACCCTTGCCAGTTTCGAAGGAAGTAGATCCGACTCCAGACTCGGACCGAAGGTATTTGGTCATGGACCTCAGAATACACTTGAACGATGTTCGAGCTACAGTACCGCTCTTCACGAAAGACCTGTCCTACGTCAACAACGCTCTCATTCGACCTATCGTAGCCTACATTAATTCGAGACGGACTTTCATACCCATTCATTGTAGAGTAGTCAAGCGAGTCTCAGACATGGACGGATCATGGACCGCATACGACAGCGGCTTGATGGACGATGTGAGCGCTGAAGTCTACGATGCATTTTCAAAAGATGTCACTGATGACGAGGCACGAATGAGGAGGTTCAAAAAAGTTGGCTTATGGAGTTTGCAGTTAGCGGTGCAAGCGATCTTTCTGGTGAGCTTTCTTGCAAGCATCTGAATGGTTTTGTGCTAATATGATATACAGGGTATGGCTGGCAATATAGCCTAGTGAACGGTTTTGCGTGGCGTCAGGTTCAAAAATATTTTAAATTACTCAACGACAATCATTGTGGAGGTCCTGGGCTATTGCGTTTCGTTTAGAAGCACAGCTGATATCCTTGTACATAATCGAGGCGCTCGGGCTTAGTCAATTGTATCACTCATAGCCAGCAACATATTGTTGACCGCTGGGAACAGGCATGTATAATGAAATGTGTCATGATGGTGTGAGCACAGGTCTCACAACAACTCAATGCTGACTTCGGCCTAGTCCTTCGTATGTGTCTATGGCGAATTGCTTCAATGGACTTGAGTGATAGCTGAAGGACAGTCTGGCAATACCAGCAACATATAATTATAGATTTGTGGCATCTGTCGCTAAGAGAACTGCATTGTCTTCGGCAGCGGCAGTCCTAGGTCTCTCTGTGTGAAAAGCTGAAGCAGCAATGGCATACAGCATCTAGCCTCAGGCACAAGTATCCAGCTGATCGAAAAGCAGGACTGTCAACATCATTTCTCTTCCAGTTTCGATAACTTATAATCCCAATACCCTTTCCGTATAGGATCCCATTTTTCGGCCAACGCCCTCAAACATTCCTTGGCTCTCGCTTCGTCTTTCGCCGTCTCATCCTTACTGTATATCTCGCTCAACCATTCCACAGCATGACTACTCCGAACCCCAATCTCCTGTCGTTCCACCCTCGTTTCCTTCGTAGCTGGATCTTCGAGCTCAACGTCCACCCACTGATCAGTCCATAAGTCTCCTTCAGGACCGAGAAATTCCTCGCAGAACACTCTCAGTGTAGTGATCCTTACATCGCCATGTCTCAGTAGACCGCGGAGATAATTCCAAGTACTTCCGTTCTGCGGCGCTTTCCTGATCTCATGTTTCGTATACTCGATCTCAGCTGTTACTAGGTCTGCGTCGACGAGACCGGCCTTGTGTAGCAACTTTTGCTCGTTGACTTCTTTGAGGATTATGGGTGGAGATTGGGATTGGACGTAGGTGAGTTCGTGGTGGCCGAAGAGGATGAAGTAGCGGTGGGACCAGGCGGAGTTGTTTCGAAGGTCGTCTTGGATCATGGTGTCGATGGCTTGGACTTCGGCGTGTGTTCGGTAGGTTGACGCTATTGAGTTGCTGGCGTTTGATGAGTAGGATGGAAGTAGGAGGGATGGGAAGCGGGCACAGAGCCATTGGCGGTATGACCAGACGTGGTAGTTCTTCGTGTCTTGGGAGAGGATGCGAGAGAGGAAGAGTTGTTCGGATGCGATGAAGCTGGATAGGATCTCGTTCGTCGCTTTACTTGAGGGCTGTGTCGGTCTGTTTTTAGGGCTGTTTTTAGGGCTGTCTGGAGTGGCTGGTCCTGCTGGATCTAAGGGCAGCAACTCAACCAACGCGTGTCGGTGGTGCCAAATTTGGTAGTTTTTCAAGTTTCGAAAAGAGACCTCGTCTAGCCACTTCAGCTCATCCTGGATGTTCCTCCATAGTCCTGGTTTAATTTCGTTGTCGTCAGTGTCAGATTGCTGGCTCGATTTGTCCTCATTGATCTCCACGATCTTAGTGTCGATATTGTCGCTGCTTGTACTGCCTTGCCATAATCCTTTCAGTATTCTCATCCGATAAATCCAAACTGTATAGTGAGCAGGGTTCATGCTGATCAGGTCCTCCGTCAATGCTAACGCCCGTTCTGAGACCTCATTCTCTGCCATTAGAGCACGTAAGAAGGACATTGCTTCCGAGTATCGTGGACTATAGGCAATAGGCGCCAGAACACCGGTTTGATCGACCTGCGGAATGGGTATGACATCCTGCCAGTGTGGATGGACTGCATAGTATGCTGCCGACTTTGACTTTGGTGGCTGAGCATCAGGAGGGAGAAGAACTACTGAGGAAGATGAAGATGTCGTGGCCATGATGGTAACAGCGAGTGTCTTAACAGTATCGTAGCAATTTCGCCGCAGTGACTCTGTCTTCTGATCAGTACTTTTGCTGTTCATTACACACTAGTTTCGGACAACGTGGTAAAAGACACATATCAGGTCTGATGTGGTGAGTTTGTGGCAGACTCTAATTCCTACATTTTTATTCACACTGCTCATTGTACCATTTCCTGGTTCGCAATGACGGAAAGAGATCGGCTTGTGTGAGCTGCGCTCTCAACATGCCATACACGGAACCAGTTTCACGCATCAGCAGCCATGCAGGAATGCATAGAACAATAAGAAGCCCAGGAAGCTTGGAGCATGAGGAGCGATATGGAGCAGTGCCAATACTCTGCTATGTTGGAGCTTGCGGTCTACCCGAGAGCAACGTAGTTGACATCATCCAAGTTCGGAGAGTACTCATGTACCTGCTATTCGAGTATACCTGCTGTACAGCAAACTTGCGAATTCTTGATATCAACAACAACCATCCGAAGTTTGAAGCAATCGTCAGCATGGGATCTGGCGCATCGAAGCAGGCTGGCAAAGCTGCCGCCGCTGCTGGGCGAAGACAGTATCCATCCTCTTCTTCGATTCTGAATAACGCGACCTCGACAACGAATGCACCTTCTCAATCTACTAGACCCTTTGCGCCCTCTCAAGTTCACCCGAATCCACAGACTGCGCCTCCAACTGAGACCAAAGAGGCACACGTTGACCTCGATGGCCGTGATCCTCAGTTCGGCTCAGCTCTTCGTCAATTAGGACCAGCTATTTCTGTCGAACGCGCAGCGCCTAACAAGGCCGCTTTTCCTACTTCGAGCCAGCCTCCACTGGGACAACAGGGCCAGAATATCTTCCCCACGAATGTCCCAAGCAAGAATTCTGGTCTGGCAGTAGTGCAGACCAGAGATAGGATAGCACAACAGTACGAGCAGGAGCTGGAGGGTCTCGGCCGGTCATCCTTCGCTGGGCGAACTCTAGTATCAGCTAAAGATATAAAGGAGATATTAAGAATGAGACAGCTGGGTGGGATGCCTACAGAGGCGATAGAAAAGCAGATGCGATTGCAGCCAGGGATCCTCAAACAGCTGGCGAAACCCGGAGTATTTGCCAACGTTTGAGCTGCTCTGCTTTTCATAACCTGAGGAATGACTCGGACATGCACCATCCTAGACTACTGGCTAGACTTGAGAATCACCTATCAAGAGGGCCAGAACATCACAATTGACGCCAACTATACGATTCCCTGATACACTCATGCATACTGGCATCTCCCAATGTCTCAGCCCATTCGGAGTGAGCACTCAATATGGTTATCGACATCAGCAGGACATCCCCCCATCTTGCCACCGGGTTAGGCCGCAATCCGGCGGAGCTGCCGAGGTCATAACGTGCAGCTGTTCTTGTGGTGAAACACAACCAGCGACAAGGTCTGATCACAACACGTGCACAGTACAATAAGGAATTGTTCATGGAATGACTATCCTGAATCTGGTCTCCTGCCGTATCACATGGCTTGTTTCTGATGCTTTGCCAAGTCCGCGTCGATCTTGGTGGGGCCTCCAATCTCAATCTGCAAGAGATCCATCTGATGGTCCAATCACATTCGTCATGCAGCACAACGAGCCCAGTGACCATCAGGGAGCTTGCATGTTCGATAGAGTCATATCAATCTACATTTCCTGAATAGCCCTTGGCTACAAGTGGAAGGTAGATTGAACAACGAATAGGTTTCGAAATCACTATACAGTACATAAAGGCCTTCATTCGTGCAGACTATGTCGTGTCTCAACTCGTACTCGGACATCATCTGACCTGTTATACATTCGCTTTGCACAAACATGAAACTACATTCCTTCATCCCATACAGCTTCACGGCGGCTTTCCTCGCCACCACTGCCACCTGCCTCACTATTGCTGAGATTAACGGCAACAAGTTCATTTCTCCATATCGCAACAGAGACGTTACTAATGTCACTGGCCTGATTACTGCCAAGGGCCCAGATGGTATTTGGATCCGGTCAACGAGGCCTGACAACAGCTCGAGTACCTCAGAATCGATATATGTCTTCGGCAACACTACGTTCAGCCGTAACCTGACGACTGGCGACATTATCTCTCTGAATGGCCGAGTCACAGAGTACAGGTCTTCTTCATCCCATTTGTATCTCACCGAGCTTACGAGGCCGTCGGCGATCAGAGTCGTGTCTACTGGTAATACAGTCACTTCACTCAAGATCGGACTTGACACAACCAGTCCTCCAACGGAGCAATTCACGAGCTTGGATAATGGTGACGTATTTGGATTGCCCAACAACGCCAGCCAAATATCAAACGCCAACCCCGAGCTTCAGCCTGAGAGATATGGGTTGGACTTCTGGGAATCGATTGTAGGCGAGCTTGTAACTGTCTCAAGGCCCACGGCGGTCGCAAAGCCAAACCAGTTTGGTGACACCTGGGTTGTGGGTGACTGGAGAAAGACTGGACAGAATAGCAGAGGTGGATTGACCTTGTTATCTGGCGACGGTAACCCGGAAGCTATTGTTATTGGCAGCCCACTGGATGGTACTGACAATCCGGAGGACACCAAGCTTGGCGACGCTATCCAGGATGTTACCGGCATCGTTACCTATGCTTTCGGCAATTATCGCATTCTTCCGCTCACCAAGCTCACTGTTCTGTCGTCGAGAGAGCCAGCTCTTCCATCACCCGTGAGGTACATTTCCACTGGAGGATGTAGCGGCATCACTTTCGGTGATTACAACATCGAAAACCTAGCACCTAACAGCACGAATATACCCGCACGAGCGGAGCATATCACCACGTATCTAGGTTTACCAGATATTGTCTTTCTACAGGAGGTCCAGGATCAGACAGGCCCTTCAGACGATGGTGTAGTGTCTGCAGACCGTACTCTGGATGTGCTAGTAGCTGCTATCGCCGATGTCAGTGGTTTCACATATGCGTATGTCGATATCGATCCAGTCAACCGCGAAGACGGCGGACAGCCTGGAGGCAATATCAGACAAGCCTACCTCTATAAGCCGCAAGTCCTCGAACTGGCGAATATCAACCCTGGCGGCTCTAACGACACTACCGAGGTACTGCCGGGGCCTCGTCTAAGCTTCAACCCTGGACGTATCGCTCCAACCAGTTCTGCATGGGAAGACAGCCGAAAGCCACTTGCCGCTCAGTGGCGAGTTGTCTCGGACAATTCCACGTTTTTCACAGTCAATGTGCACTTCACGAGCAAGGGTGGCAGCTCACCAATCGAGGGCGATGCAAGACCTCCGGTCAATCTCGGTGTTGATCAGCGTTCCCAGCAGGCAAACATCACTGCAGCTTTCATCGCTGATATCCTTTCAGAAGACTCAGATGCGGCTGTCATCTTGGGAGGTGACTGCAACGAGTTCACATTCGTCGAGCCTCTAGAGTTATTTGTCCAGGAATCTGGTTTAATTGACCTTGATGAGGCTGCAGGTGTTGATCCTGTCGAGAGATACACCTATCTTTTTGACATGAATAGTCAGGAGTTGGACCATTTCTTTGTTAGTGAAAGTATCGCCGTGCAAGCACCGAAGCTTGAGCATGTGCACGTCAATACCTGGGTTAGCTATGATGATCAAATCTCTGATCATGATCCCAGTGTAGCCCAGCTAAACGTTTGTGGAAGTAGAGGCGGATCCAATGGCAACAATGGCAACGGCAACGGTAATGGGAATGGGAATGGTGCCAGCAATGGCAATGGTAACAAGAACGGGCACAACAAAGATGACAAGAAGTCAAAAGACAAAAAGAAGGATCGTCGAAGCCGTGGCTGGGGCGGCGACCAGGCATCATGGTAGACATAGACCGCCACTTCTGCAACTCCGTGGTCAGCACACAATCTACTCCTACATCGAGGCAAAGCACTTCGCCCCTCTACCTCCATTAGTACTTTTGTCTACATGCAAGCAAATGCCCGTCTTTCGCGGAGATGACAACGACCACCGACAACACATCGCAAAACCCATACATAAAAATTTTCGATGTGCAATCAGCAGATACAATGGTCAAGTTTTCAAAAGGCACAACAGGATCATCCCTGGGCAACGATGAGTATAAAGTGAGTTTGAGATGAGAGTACGACAACATTGTCGATCGAACACCTTGATGATGTTGCACTGCCTGTGTATTTATGGCTATCAATACCTTGCTTGCTGTTCCTACTTGCTACTTTCTTTCTATGTGCTTGCTTATCGCAGTTGATGAATCGCAGAATTGCGCAGTCACAGTCACAGAACAAGAAACTCATTCAGCATCATGACGACTGCGAGTGCAGACCGTTGCGCGGCGTAAGCACAGTCCTACTTCTCGTTGGGCGTCATTTGCTAACTTATGGAAGTTTCGAAGGAGCACTTAGAAGTCTTCCAGACACAAAAATTGTCCTTGATAATCATACGTGGAGAGTTGATTCGAGTCTCCTCGCGGAGAAGTCTCAGTGCTGGTCCGATATCATAGATTGCAAGGACTGGGATGTGAGTTCTTGCGCAACACCAGCAGTGTCGGCAGATCATGACACTAACATGACTCAAAAGGACGGCGACAAAACCATAGTCCTAACAAATGACGACCCCTATATCTTCGCCCGCCTCATCCAGTACCTCTACTACGCCAAATACCAAGCCAGATCCGACATCAACGTCAAGCGCGACACCATCGCAAACCTCGAACTTGGCGGCGCCTCAGTCCTAAAAATCATCACCTCAGGCCGACGTCTCTACGCTCAAGAAAACAATACCGAAGAAGTAATTTTCCACCCTAAATCCGACACCGCATTCATCAACATCGAAGTCCACCTCCTAGCCGAAAAGTATCGCATGTCCACACTTGTCGAAATGTCCGGTAGAGCATTCGCCTGTCAATCGATCAATTCATGCAAGGACTTGGTGAATGCGATGAACGGGAATTTTGGTAAAGCGACACCGGTGTTGAGGGAGAATATTGCTCGGTTTGTGGGGAGGTTGTTCAAGGAGGTGATGGAGTGTAAGGATGAGGCGGCGAAGACGGTGCATGAGTGGTTGTGGGGAGATAGGCAGTTTAGTATGCTGGTGATGAAGTCGATGAGCGCGCATATCGATCAGACGAAAAGGGAGGAGGATGTCATGATGGTTGAGCCGCCGGTGAAGAAGGCGCGGAAGTGAGGCGGTGAATTGGCGGGCAGGAGTCACAGGAGTCAGCGATTGGATATTACTTCAAGCTGCTGACAGAGCTGCAATTGAAATGGCTTTCAACGACACAAAGAGCATAACCGACATAGCACGTTCAGAGAGTCAGTCAAAAGGAGGAACCAAATAGCCCGGGCGAGGCAGATAGACAAAACTTGCACTCAGCTGGAGGTTAAAGATACTTCGTTGTTGTCCTGGCCTTAGACCGTACAGCTTTGCCGTCAAGTGCTCTCTGACTGAACGTGAATCTTCCGACTCCAAACATATGTTGACACCGTTCTGCCTGACATCGGCTCAAAGTGAACCACATGACATTGTGCTCAAGTCCAATACAGTCTGTTCTCACATTACCAAACAATTATCACACCAGCACCACCAAGTTTAGTTCTCAATTCCTATTTGCACATTCTTCTCTTGTGGTGGGATGATCTCGTCTTCCTTCTTGCCCTTTAGCGACGGCAGCTCCTTCAAGGCCTCGCCAATAATTGACAGAGCTTTCTTGACTTCCTCTTCCGTGATCACAAGTGGTGGTGCGAGTCGGATGATGTTCTGATGTGTTGGTTTGGCCTTATTCTCGTTAGCATGTGGTTGCCCATTAGCATTGTCAGTAGTCAGTGTCTCCTGCGCAGGTTGTGGTCCGGATGACTTCTTGACGTGAGCAATCTTAAGGGCTCGACCAACCAGTAATCCTTTCTCTTTCAACAGCATACACAAGTCCCAAGCACTATGACCGTTTGTCTTTGTTTCGTCGATAACGATGGCATTGAGTAGACCTTTGCCTCGAATTGTGGTGATGATATCACTGTTAAGGTCTCGGAGGCCATCTCTGAACATCTGACCGAGCTTCTCGGCTCGCTCGACTAGGTTCTCTTCTTGCACCACTTCGAGAGCTCGAATAGCAACGGCACAGCCTAATGGGTTGCCGCCGTAGGTAGAGCCGTGCGTGCCTGGTTCGATGACTAGCATCACATCCTTTCGACCTAGGACGCACGAAACAGGATACATTCCACCCGAAATCGCCTTGCCAAGAGTCACAAGATCTGGCTTGATACCTGACCATTCATGGCAGAGTAGTCTTCCAGTCCGTGCAATTCCTGTCTGAATCTCATCACAGATCATGAGGACGTTATGCTTATCACATAGTGCTCGGACCTCCTTCAGATAGTCATCGGACGGTACAACGATACCAGCTTCACCTTGGATTGGCTCAACCAGGAATCCGGCAAGTGTCTTACCATGAATCTCAAAGGCTTCTCTGAGTGCTGGAAGGTCGTTAAAAGGAATGATTTTACCAGTTGCTGGGCATGCAGAGCCAATATTTGGCAGATATGGGCCATAATTGTCTCTTGACTCTGGATCAGTCGACATGGAGATAGCGGAGAACTGTTAACGTAAGTAATGGTTCGGGCAAGACTACATCAAGGGTTGTAGCTTACTGTTCGACCATGGAAGTTTTCAGCTACACTAAAGACCATGGCCTCATCCTTTGGAATACCCTTCACCTTGTAGCCCCATTTTCTCGCAATTTTGACAACTGTTTCTACAGCCTCAGCTCCAGTATTCATCGGCAATACCATATCAAAGTCGAAGTACTTGGTGACAAACTGAGCGAAACGTGGGAAGACATCGTTGTAGAATGCTCTCGAGCTTAACGTTAGTGTTTGTGCTTGTTCTACCAATGCCTTGACGAGCTCTGGATGGCAATGGCCCTGGTTGACCGCGGAATATGCAGACAGGAAATCGAGGTATTCCTTCCCTTCTGGATCCCATACTTTCGTGCCTTGTGCTCGGGCGAAAACTATTGGCAAGGGATGGTAATTGTGCGCAGCATATGTGTGTTCGGAGTGAATAGCCTCATCGGATGAGGAGGCATGGTACCTCGACTTATCAAACGTTCTTGACGCGTTCTGGTCGATCTTAGTCTTGGTACCATTCAGGTGCGTGCCATTTTGGCTTACGCCGTTTGTGGCGACAGGAGACATTCTATTGGCTGTTTACGAAGGTGTCAGCAGTACAACCTATAAGTTATAGGCTGGGTTTCCTGAAGTTTTCTTGTTATCAGAATCAGTATTTCGGTTGTCTATATGTTGTTAGGGAAAGATGTCGTAGGGCTCTATATTGGAAAATGTATCGGTCATGTGCGCAAATGTTAAATACTCATTACACAATTGGTGCAACGCCTGGGAGGCTCAAAATCGCTAAAGGCAGGAGAACTCTCGTTAAGCGCAGGGTCAACCGGGTCATCCCACGCTCGAATATTTTCGAAGGAACAGGTTGCCAGGTATAAGTGGGGAGTAACGAATGGAAGGGATATCGAAGGCTATCCCAGGTTCGGAAGGACAGTTCCCAAGCTTATTATAGTGGGGCAAGAGCCTGCAGCGACCCCTCGACACGCTAAGATGCACCATGTGATGCTGATTCAGGAACGCTTTTTCGGCAGTCCGAGGATTGATAAGTGGTGAGGAATACTCTCTGCGGTACTATAATAAGACCTGTCTCTTTTGTTCTACATCGCTTGAATACGTTAGAATGGCATCACTGAAAGGTCCTGGTGCGGCCGAGAAACACGATGGCTCAAAGCTACGTGTGGGCATTGTACATGCACGATGGAATACGACTATGATAGAAGCACTCGTCGAGGGGTCGAAGAAAGCTTTGAAATCCCAAGGTGTGAAGGAAGAGAATATTGTAGTAGAATCGGTGCCGGGATCGTACGAGCTACCTCTTGCAGTACAGAGGTTTTACGCTGCCTCTCAAGTGCAGGCTACCACGAGTGCAGTAGCGGGAGGAGTTGCAAGCGTTGCATCTGGAATTGGCGATCTGTTAGGAGGAAGTGCTTCGCAAACAGACTTGCAGGGCAGTTTACAGCCGAAAGCGCCGGAACAAGAGTCGGATGCAGGTCTCAAGCATGCCTTCGATGCAGTCATCGCAATTGGAGTGCTGATCAAGGGAGAGACGATGCATTTTGAATACATCGCTGAAGCTGTCACACATGGCTTGATGAGAGTGCAGCTTGACACAGGCGTGCCAGTAATATTTGGCTTATTAACGGTGTTGACTGAAGAGCAAGGACTGGCAAGAGCTGGACTTCCCGGCGGTTCTGGAAAAGAAGCCAAAGGACACAATCATGGTGAGGACTGGGGTAATGCTGCAGTTGAGCTCGGAATTAAGAGAAGGCTCTGGGCTGAGGGAAGAATGGCACAATAAAGCGACAATAGCTCCTGTTCCCTCAGGATCGCTTATGGCAGAGCTTTAGGCGGACGATCAGGAGCACAGTAATGAGAGCCTACATGGCCAAGGAATACGCCTTCGTTGACATTTAACGTCAAAACGTAAACCTCAACATTGCTGACGCTCGAGCAACAAGCATCCAGGACCATTGAAGCTGGACTACTCTTCCATCTCTTCGTCCTCCTCGTCATCGCCTTCAATGCTCTTCTTCGCGTGCTTCTCAGCCTCTTCCAGCAGTTCCTTGGGAACATGCTGGTGTCGACCTTTGGTTGGACCTTCCAAATTCGATATCCAGGTTATCTCAAGCTCGAATTCTTTGTCTTTTGAGTCTTCGTGAGCCACATATATAATCCTTGCTGCTTCCAAAACAGCATCTTTCAAGGTCAGGGAGCACGTTGGGGAGGCTAGGTCGAGCTTCTCGAGTTCGGCTTTGGCGGATTGTCGACCTTTACCAGTAGCAGCACCATAGTAACCCTACTTCCAGTTAGCTATTGGTCAATGTCGCAGCGGAAGCGTAACTTACCCAATACAAGCCACTTGGTTCGACCATGTATAGAGCAGGACCTCCTCTTTTGATCTCTGGATCGTCAAACTTGCCGCCTGCGCCTGCCTTGGGACCAGAGCCGACTTCAGCATCTACGCCCATATCTGCTTCCGAATCCCAACCCCCAACGATTGCACTGACACCGAAAGGCCGTACACTGGAGTAGAGAGTATATGCTTGCACATACCCACCTAGCCGTGAAGCTAGGGCACTCATTGGTATTGGTGCTTTGTATGTTTGCCGCCAGCTGCTCGCTTCGTCTCGACCTCTGCTTGTCAAATGCCTACCATCCGGTAGCAGACCTGATGTGACGATGCCCACGTTTCTGTCAATAGTTGCTATTCTCTTGTTGCAGCCGGGTTTCAGTAGTTTGGAGGAAATGATCTTCTCGCATGCCAGTACCACGCCATGCTTCGTCCTTATGCCTATACATGTGCCACCATTTTCGACCGCTTTCACTGCATACTCGACTTGGAAGTTGCGACCGTCTGGAGAGAAGACTGAGTTGGACAAGTCATAGCCTGTGCCTATCGACGTCTGCAAGTTTAATGTCAGTGCTCGACTTGAATTCAGATAGAAACACTGACCATTGTCGTATGGTATCTGTGTTTTTATGATTGGAGTGAGGAGTGAGGAGTGAGGCCGACGATGCACTTCGTCAAGGGATTGTCAGTGATGTTCAATGCTTTCAGTTGTTTCGACGTTGTTCGTGGCTATACTGTACTTTCCGCGCAAGGCAGGACAACACGCGCAATCAAAGCGTCGGATGCTCACCTGCCGGCCCTGCCTTTCAGAGATGCCGTAGTACGGTATGCGTAAGCACCTATTTGGTTCAATATTGACGTGACGGAATAGGAGACGTTGGCGCCCGACGATGACACCTCAACCCTTCGCGGTCCTGAACCATCTCTCTTTCTCACCCACAACTAGAACACACAGTAAATTTGGCAGTTCCGCTCTTCGTTCTACTGACGGCAAGATCCACGATTGCTGCAGCAGACCTTTTTGGCTTTAATGTGAGCTGAATAGTCCTGCTGAAACACAGTCGACCACAGAAAGTTTCCGATTACCCCTCTCGTTGCACACCTTTCCTCTATTCTCTTATCGCTAACGATCAGAATCCAGTATCTGACTTCTCTGGTTACCTGGATCTGACTTGGGCCTGCTCCCGTGGACTGGTGGACTCTGAACACTACTTGGACCTGGATCGGACCGGACTGGGACTTTCTTTGTTAGCTGTCCGTTTGATAGTTTATCTAATACAATCAAATCTTCCGTGCCTCCAACCCTCCCATTGTCATCGTCGAGAGTCTCCCCAACAAGCCTACTCCTAACCTTGAAGTCAAAGGAAGACACGATGAGTACCTTTCACTGCCACAATTGTGGCACGGTCACGGATGTCTCGAATATGCTGATAGCGTTCGAGCACAATCCTCACTGTCCTACGGTTTGTTCCTTCTCAGCCCCGATCTTGACTTTCTGATTCTTGCGTCTAGTGCGGTCTTTCTGTCTCCGAGGTAGACAGCAAGATGCAGGATGAGCTGGCTGAAATGCTGACGCGCAACATGCATCTTGGTGTTCAGCCGGCCCTCGACGTATCCAGCCCTCCAACACCGCAAGTGGTACCCCAAACGGCGCCGACCTATATCAGCCAACATTACCATCATTCGTCTCACATGGTGGCCGCTCCCGCGATGGAGGAAACCCAGACTTCGACTATATTGAAAACGGCAGGTGTGAATGCAGACGCACTACTCCCATCACAGTTACAGTTATTCAAGAATGCACTGCCCGATCAGAAGGAGAGACTGGTCGAGCTCTGGCGAATTGCCCCTCCGACATATGGTGGTCAAGTAAGCCAAATGGGCAATTGGCCTCAGACAAGCATGGAATCGGAAGAGGAGGCCGCCCAGCAGAGATGGGAGAAGCAAGAGCAACATAGATTGAAGAATTTGAGTGTACTTCCGAGTCAGGAAAAGAGAGAGACAGAGCCGTACATGGTAGATGAATATGGTTCTAGCATGAATGTCGAGAACAGTTCAAAGGAATACAGATCTGCCACAGATCCTGTACATAATCGGGAACGAGAATGGTGGCACATGGCCGAGGAGCCGATGGAGCATCAATATGGAATGCTACAGCAGTATGGCATGATGCATGGTTTCTGCGGTGTTGAGGATAACGACAACATGATGCTGTAGAGTATGGATTATTAGAGGATGGCAAGGGCTGAAGTCGTTGTACATTGTTGGATACAGTGTGTTGGACTTGGTAAACATTCCTACAAGAATGATGAGACGTGTTTAAAGAGGTTTAAGTCTTCTCCGACAACCTGTCGGCCCTGCTCTGAGATACAGTAAATCGTTTAAGGAACATGTAAAAGTAAATGTTTCAGATTAGCTGATTAGTGACAGGATGAAGTCCTCGGTCGCGTCTCTGTTCACTTCAGCGCAAGTTGCGAATAATCACACCAAGTAGCGCGGAATTGCACATCTCCAATAACTGCTGCAGCAACTTGAGCGTCATCTTGCTTATGAAGATCCTTGTAGCAACTGCACGGGCTGTGTAAAGATGGCTTGAGGACACTCGCATCTATTCGACCCTGTTTGTCTCGATCTCGCATTTGTCTGTCGCGCAGCATCGTTCGAGTTTGTCCATCCCGACATGGCATCCCTGAGCAAGCGCGAGCAGGCCCGCAACGAGCGCGAATTGCAAGACCTACTGCGAGTGCCTGGGAACTCGCAATGCGCAGATTGCGGCGCAAGGAACCCCTCATGGGCAAGCTGGAATTTGGGAATATTTGTTTGCATGCGATGCGCCTCTATACATCGCAAGCTGGGCACACATATCTCGAAAGTGAAGTCCCTTAGTATGGATAAGTGGTCTTCAGAACAAGTCGAGGTAGGTCATTGCAGGTACGCGATTATACAGAGAAGCTGACAAAGGAAAGAGTATGAAACAACGAGGGAATACTGCCTCGAACAAGATCTACAATCCCAAAAATAAGAGGCCTGATATACCACTCGACGCGGACGAGGTAGATTCAGCTATGGAGAGATACATCAGGAAGAAGTACCAGGAAAAGAGTCTCGTGGATGGCAGACCCGAACCACCCTCTCGCGCTGAACCTTCACCAAGCTTGAATCAAGCACCTTCTTATTCTTCGCCTGTTCCTGATCTGCCCACTGCAGGCAAGAAACACAAGTTCTTCGGCTTCAGTCTGCGCACGTCTTCCAAGAAAGATAGACCTGGTATGAATGATGCATTTAAAATAACACCCGTCGAATACAGTCCTACTAGCGGTACTACAAGAGAAGTGCCTGAGCTCGAGTTACAGGAGAAGCTGGGACAATTGCGAGACATGGGGTTTCGTGACAATGAAAGAAATCTGAACATACTGAAACGATCTGGCGGGGACATCGAGAGAACTATCGCAACCTTGGTCAAGATGGGCCCAAGTGATCCAACACCAGGACCAAGACCTAGTCCTCCTCCAAGTCAAGCTACTGAGCCGTCGGCTCCTGCACCTGCTGCAACTTCAAATAATCCTTTTGACCAGCTGGATCAACAGCAGGGACAACAGGGGTCAAGTTTCGGACTATCGTTTGATACGTCAAGAAAATCCAGTCAACCTCAACAGCCACCACCAAGTGCTAATCCCTGGCAAGCAGCCATGCCCGCACAGAATAGAGGGCTTGAACAACAGTTCGCTAATATGCAAGTTTCGAATACGTTGTTTCCTCATCATACTGGTGGTTATACTGGACCTTCAGCATACCAGGACCTAAGGCTGCAGAATATGACTCCTCCAGTACCTGCACTGCCTCAACAGTATGGCTCAGCATCACCAACTTCGAATCCTTTCTATCATCAACAGCAACCCATGTCTAGCCAATCGACCGGGAACAACCCGTTCCTCCAGCAACAACAAAGTCAACCTGTTTTTGCACCTTCATTCGCCAACAATCCATTCTTAGGCATGCAGCAGCCACATAGTCAGAACGGATCGAATTCGAGCAACAATCCCTTCGGCATCGCTCTGGCTCAGCAACAATCTCAGTCTTCGGCACAGCAATTCACGCAAGTCCAGCAACCTCAGACACAGAATATGAACCCATACGGTTTCGTTCCACAAAATTCGCATCCCTCCTTTCAACCGTCCCAATTCAGTAGCCAGCAAATGCCACCATATACTCAGCAGACAGCTCAATCGCCCCAATCACAGATTCCGAATTTCGACTACGGTCAACCACAATCGCAATCACAATTACAATCTTCTCAATCTACTCCAGGACACTCACAACCCCAAGCACAACCAGGCTATTATCAAAACCAGCAATTCCAGGCTCAGCCACAACCTCTTCAGCCTCAAGCTACAGGGCGCTATACCAAGAATGACATCCTAGCTCTCTTTAACGCTCCGACATCCCTCCAAACACAATCTCTGGCACCGGTCCAAGAGGCACAGGACGATAATACCTCTCAACAACAGCAGCAGCAGCAGCGACAGCAAATCGTCTCACCAGTACCCTCGAACAATCCATATGGAAATCCAGCCACACTCCCTGGTAAACGCGCCGCTACCATGCCAGTGTCATCCATGCACTCATCCGGCGGTCACACGATCGGTTCTAGGAATCCGTTCTTGACTGTACAAGGAGGAAGCAATAATAATAACAACACTTTTGGAGCTGGCCAGCAGCAACAGCAGCAGCAGCAGCAGGGGTATGGTACATGGCAGCAACAGGGTGCACGACACGCGAGTAATGAGAGCGTCAGTGTTAACAATCCGAGTTTGGTGGATGGGCGGCATAGTCCGGATGCTTTTGCGAGTTTAAGTAGTAGGTATTAAGAAGGGATATGGATTGTGTGGTTTGCGGAGACACTTCAGTTATGATGGTAGGGTATGGTGGCTTTGTGTGTGTTGTTCGGATAACGATCAGACTGTGGCACGGTTTTGGCAGGCAAGGAGAGGACTTATTAGGTGGACACGTAAGCGAGTACACAGATGGCGAGTTAGCATGTATGTAGAGTGTCTGAGAATTTTATGAGCATGCAAGTGAGCATAAAAGGCAGTTCTGTGATCTTAACTGAGCTTGACAGTGGATCTGTATTGATAATTGACGAATAGTTGCTTATTCGCCAGGAATTTGTACTTATGAATATATCTGGTGGACGCCAGGCTCGCTTTTCAATCTAACAGTCGTGTACGCCATTGAGGTTCTGGTCACTTGGTGTCTTCTCCCATTCTGTACAGCGTCTGGATCGACTGTGTATTTTCCAAGTCTCCTTGACCATCAAGAGAAGACTCCCCAGAAGAATTGACCCAAATCAAACCACACAAACATGATTGTACATGACACGGCTGTATTGACGTTGATCGCGACCCGTAGAGACTTGTACAACGAGTTGTTCGGTGGTGCAATGAAGCTGTTCAGAGACCAGTTGACCGTACTGAGAAGGCAGGCGACGGTCATAGGAAGAACAGAACGTTCGAAAGGAGACTGGCGTACTCCTTGTAGGAAGATATAGTTGGTAAAGTATCCATACCATATGGGTGTCAAGAACACAGCAGCGATGATCCACCAACCTCTGCAAAGTTGTGTGACTTCGTGGTTGTTGCATTCTTGTCGTGATCTGATTGTGCCTTGCTTCTCGAGATCAATCGTGGTGAGCATGTTCTCGCGTTGTTTCTTGAAATGCAGTAGCGAATGCTGTTCTAATGTCTTTGATGACAGTCAGGACTTGTTCGTGCTGGGGGCTAGTTACATACCGTAAGAGCTTTACGCTTAATCGTGCTATAGCCAAAATCTTCGCCAAAGTAATGCCCGTCTGATAATCTTATGCTGTTTTGCTGGAAATAATGATGGGAAAAACACAAATTGTTCAAAGGATACATGCAGATTCAAAGATGATAGAAATTGGAATTGGAAGTGTAGAAGGAGCATCTGAGTAGGCCATCGTGCCTGCACCCCCAGCTTGATTAATCGAATCGCGTTTGAGGCGGGTGGCAATCGCAAATTGTCCACGACTCAAGAGCAATAGAATCTTCTTGCATGTGTCACATATCTTTGAAATGCTGAATTTTAACGATGCATGACACATGGTAAGAAGTCACGTCGTGACGCCTGCTTGCTTTTGATGTTTCGCTGAGGGTACGGCGTCGAGCAAGCTGAATCACTCACTTAAACCACCCGACACCCTCCAGATTGTGTCGACTGAAACTTGAGCTGAGTGCAAGTGTGTTTTTGCTGGGAACCTCGAGATGATCACTTCGGTGTCGAAGTCAGAAATCTTCTTCTACATTAGTATTTATGCTGAATATCTTTGACCGATATACAGCATTATTGCCCTAACCTTGTAATTAGTGTCTGATGAACATGTCTCAAAGACAGAGGGCTGGTAGAAAAAGAGGCTCGGGAAGACCAAGGCGGAGTCGGTCCTCCAGGACTAGGAACGAGCTTCCGCTCAATGTCTCTGCATCGCCCACTCGTCTCGAAGCAACTGCACTCAGTGACTTCTGCTTACGACAGACTCAAGCGCTACCCAATATCGGTAGTGAGGTAAGAAACTTGTTGTGAGTGTCAGAGACTTGCTGACCGGGCTTAGTTAACAGGCATTGCTCAGACTAGCCAACAGGTAAGACCCGCCCAGGTACAAATTGTCGATCATAGCCATGACCAGAAATCAAACGCCAATTCTGCAAGCAACTCTGGACAAGCTGTTCCTCTCACGGCGTTCGAGCGACCCAGGGTATCGATGTGCTTGCTCAACTCTGGCTTCCCACCTGGTCAAGAACCTGTTGCCCTGGAGATCAAGCGGTCTGAAACGCTGCCACTCAACGCAAACACACAAACGACCATGAACGCTGAGAGCTGCAATCATGGAGCTGCTGTTATCCTCAATAGGGACTTCACATCTCTGCACGCAACAGCAGACGAAGCTACCAATAATAGCAACTCACAAACCACCCTAATCTGTCAAGGCCAGCTGAAGTGCGGCCGTTCCCTACGCTGCCAAGGTAGAAGTGAGTGCACTCATCGACCCGACTATTAGTACAAGAATTTGGAGGGCACCCTTGACTTGGTGGCACGATTGATCTGGATTGTGATGAGGACGAGCGAGGTCAACAGAGCAAAGAAGGTTGGAAACTATGTTGTTCGTTGTTAGCGTCTTTTATATAGTGGAATGATGTGGTATATCAAGTTCCTTCTTCTGATTTATCTACGCCCGGCTTGTACTTGTGTCTCTCTGTGTGTGTTGTTCACGACATGGCTGAGATCCTAGATCGCATCACATAATGAAGGACGTGTTAGTCCCTAGCAGGGGAGCATCTCAAACTTGAGCTATAGCTCGCGGTCAAAGTGGGATAAATGACGAGATGCCACGATCTAGTACATATGATAAAACGTAGTAGAATTGAAGCGGAAGAGCTTCGAACAGTTTGGTATATGTGATCGCAACGTCGTGAGACGTGAAGCTCGCCGGACATAGCGTCTTCTTAAAGCCGATATCCAGACAGCGGCTTCGATGAGTAGTAATTCCTAAAAGGCAAACGTATACAGATATGCCACCACGAATCGTTTCGCAAAGTTTTCATTTAGCACAGTCCTACGTCCAAGCTTCTCGATCACTCCAAGGCTACGTCCTTGTACCGCGTCGCAGTCTACATAAAGCTCGTCCCAAACCAGGTTCATCACTTTGCGTGCAGCAAGCATACATCCGAAGAGTGCACTCGAGTTCTGCTGGTCAAATTCCAGGGACCTTTGACAGTGGTCTGTCAGGGGGAAATAGTGCAGAGTCATCCGAAGAACGACACTCATCGAATATTATTCACGATTACGGTCAAATACTGAAGGACTTCGAACGTATAAGCAGAGATGTTGATGACAATGAGAATTCTTGGAAAGAGCTGAAGAGCTTGAATAAGTCATGGCAACAAAGTGGTGATGGGGAAAAGAACGTCCAAAAGATAAAGATTTTTGGATATGTCACCAGCCATCGGCCAGCGAAGAATGCTTACTTCCTTCAACTTGTCGACGATAACCTAACCTCTACTGTGCAATTGGTCCTTAGCAAGAAAGATTCTGCGACTACAATTGGCAATGGACGCGCGGAAGAGGGGGAATTTCAACAGCAAATTGCGGTCATCAAACCACACACACCTGTGGTCGTAGCTGGGACTGTTGTACCACGAAACAACTCCAAAAGAGGTACAGACGCCTCAGACGGGGCTACACGGAAGCTTGACCCTTATGTTGGCTACGTTGACCTGCTACCTAATCTTGAGATACAAGTGAAGCAGATCGAGCCGCTGAATACATGGCCCGACGATTTGCTGGCCGAGGCAGATACTCAATTTCCTCCTGAACAGCGAAATCTATCCTTTCGAACCAAGAACACTCTACGTGAAAGGATACGACTACGATCAAGGTTGCGTGCGAAGTGTGCACAACACCTTAACGGACAGGATTTTCATGAGATTGAAACACCATTGTTATTCAAATCAACACCAGAAGGTGCTCGAGAGTATCTTGTGCCCACGAGGTACAAAGGTCTCGCTTACGCACTTCCTCAAAGTCCGCAGCAGTATAAGCAGATTCTGATGGGATCTGCAGTGTCGAGGTATTTTCAGTTTGCTAGATGCTTTCGCGATGAAGATCTCAGGGCTGATCGACAGCCAGAATTCACTCAGCTCGATCTGGAAATGTCTTTTGCTGGCAGCCGTAAGGTTATGTCGACCATAGAGAACCTCGTACTGGATACGGTATGGCCTGCAGCAGGTCGTGCACATTTGCTAGACCTTCCATCTAGACAAGATCCTCAAATGTTACGGTTACCAGTGATGCAGTACCACGAAGCGATGTCCAAGTTTGGCTCCGATAAGCCCGATCCTAGATGGGGAGCAGAGATTCGTAGTGTCGACTTTGTCCCTGACAGCACGAAATCTATGTTGAGCTCGTTGCAAGATCCAATTGTCGATGTTTTCAAGCTCAGTTTAGGTGGTCAATCACCTAGAGAAGTTGGTCGATTCATCAGTGAATTCATGAAACTCCCATCTTCGGCTCAGTTCTCGACTAATCCAGAAGGTATGCCTGGCATCTCTGTGTACAACACATCTGCGCCACTTAGCGGCATGGCAAGTATGGGACACGAAGCCGCCATGCACTTCGAGGAGTTGCTCGAGCCGGAGCCTGGAGACGTGCTTATTGTTCAAACTAGGCATCGCAAGCCACTAAGTGGTGGCTCAACAGTATTGGGACAAATACGACAACGTATACACGAGTTTGCTGTCGCACAAGGCATTCTTGAGGCGCCTAAGCTGGACTCATTACTGTGGATCGTAGATTTTCCATTATTCTCGCCTCTCGAAGACGACTCTCCAGGACAAGGCGGCTCGGCAGGCTTTTGTTCTACACATCATCCTTTCACAGCACCCAAGCCTGGACAAGACCTTGCGAAGCTGCTCACCAACCCGCTCGACATCCTGGGCGATCACTATGATCTTGTAGTCAATGGAGTGGAAGTCGGAGGCGGATCACGCCGTATCCACCATGCCCGCATGCAAGAACTGATATTCAGTCAAGTTCTCAAGATGCACCCGGAAAGGATTGAAGACTTTCGACACCTATTAAACGTGTTGGAGGCTGGCTGTCCTCCACATGCGGGTTTCGCATTAGGCTTCGACAGACTAGTCGCTTTGCTTACGAACACCAGTAGCGTCCGAGACGTTATCGCTTTTCCAAAGTACCAGCATGGACGAGATCTCTTCGTTGGCTCACCCTCGCAACTGAGTCAAGAACAATTGCGGACATATAATCTGAGCATCGTGGATAAGGAAGTCCTCGATGTTGAGTCTTCGCCGAAAATCTCCAACAAAGCTTAAGCTTTGTAAACTGTAAATAGCTGCACGTGTAACGACCAGATCACGGTCGTCTTAGTGTATAATTTAGACCTGCTATATGAACACTCACGTTACTGATTGACCTGGAAGTTGTTTGAAGCACATTTGTTGAAGCACTAGCCAATAAGGGTGTTGGAGCTGGAACCTTGCTGCTCGAAAGAGCTCTAGCGTCTCGAAAGCTTCGTGATGTCGGGGTCGCCCCATCACGTTCCAAAAGAGCCGATCTCGGGCACGGCCGGCATATACTCGCGAATCCCGAGGTCGTGTTAGCTTAAAGGCTGGCTAGCACTCTTCGACTCATAGTACAGGCTCACATACAATTTGTGTCGCGTATCTGAGGGATGCCAGAAGAAGTTTGTGGCAACGGCTTGGTCGATTAGCACTTATAGACACTAAGATTTCAGACATGAACACCAGGACTATATTACAACAGCTGCAAGCTGTACGAAAGCTACCTAATATAAGCCGACACTTTTTTTCCACCACTCGACAACATCAAGCTTCATCTGACCCTAAGACGATAGCAGAGAGCTTCTTGTCGAAGTTCGCCAGTGGACAGACCTTCGTCCGGAAACAACTTTTAGACAGCAATCAGCTACGACTTTTTTCCCTTACACTTGATCGTGGTAGGCTGTGGACAGATTCTTTCTCGAAGCCACTCGAGGACGAAGGACCGAAGCACGGCACACCGCTCCCTGCAGGATATCATCTGGCTTACTTTACACCTGCACAACTCCCTGGTATCCTTGGACAGGATGGCACAGATGCATCCTTCAATCCAGAGGCACCTTTCACTCGACGAATGTGGGCAGGAGGCTCAGTACACTGGCCAGGGGCACACTCAGGCAGCTCAAAGCACTACTTGAAAGTTGGCGATGTCGCTACAGAAATCACAAAAGTAATGAGCTGTGAAGCCAAGACTATCAAGAAAACAGGCGAGAGTATGCTAGTCGTGGGAGTCGAAAAAGAGTTTCGAGATAGTCAAGACAATCTATGTGTCCTGGACAAGCGGAACTGGGTGTTTCGAGAAGCGCTCGACCCATCCAAGCAAGCTAAAATACCAGAGAAGCCCGCAGAATTAACGCAGAGCCAATTGGCAGATCAAGCGAAGGACATGGTAGTGCGAGAGTTCAACCGTGATCAAGTACAGCTCTTCCGTATGTCGGCTCTAACCTTCAATGCTCACAGAATACATTACGACCTACCATGGGCAAGGGACGTAGAAGGACACCGCAACGTGGTTGTGCATGGGCCATTAAACCAGATATCAATCCTGGATTTCTGGCGCGACGAGGTGGTCAAACAAGGAAAGCACGAGGACGGTGTTGTGTATCCAAAAGAGCTCTTTTACCGTGCTACAAGTCCTGTGTACGCTGGTGAACCATACAGAATTCTTATGCCCAAATCGCTACCAGAGCAACAAGAGGCAGATGTGCAGGTTATGAGCAACGACGGCACAATATGTATGAAGGCCACGGTACACAACTCATGATTGCCGAGTCGTATGTAACATCAATGTCGAAACAACATTTTTGCCCGAGCCTGACCTTGAGAACCTCGGGACGGAGTCTCTGAACTCGTGCTTGGTGGTTGTAAGAAGTGCGATGATGTAGTTGGACTTGGTTCCCCGCAAAAAGGAAAATAGCGCTAGATCGAATTTGATCCGGGGAGTCAATCGCGATTGGCACATGGGGCAACCAGGACAAGCGGCACCCTGCTAAACCCAACTAGTTGATCGATGCTCGGTATCTTCTGGATTCGGACACATGCGACCTCAAATCTGTCTTTTACGGCTGACGGCTGCTACTCGAAAGTCTACTAGGCACCTTTAACCGAGTTCCTCCAACCGCGTTGTCCAGATTCAGTTACCGACTCAGCAGACCTTTCGAGACAGCATGGTTTTGCGATCGATACTAGAGACCTGTTTCTAAACATGCCGTCTATCGTCGAGCGGTCGCAATGATCCCACAAACACCTTCATCTACTGTCTCAGGCGACAGCTCGGCGAAAAAACTTCTAGCCTTGGGTAGGCCATTCGTCGAGTTTCCGAGATTCAGCATCCTCGAGATCCAGACCGAGCGCGACCTCGACAACCAGCCAGTACCTTTCTCAGAATGGCTCACAAGACAATTGCAGCTCGGCAAGCCTTTCGTCATACGTGATTTCGACAAGCTTGAGCGATGGCCGCGACCACCTACCAGTACCGACCCCAGAAATGGCAGCGTCCCGAGTTTCACGATAGAACGACTCATCGAGCTGAGCACGAAGAAGAATATTCCAATCAGGAATTGTAGTACAGGAAGAGACTTATCATTCACCTTGAGCAAGTTTGCAGAGAGCGCAAGACAGTCATACCCTGAATTTCAGAACCTATATGCTCGGGATCTTCATTGTCCGCAGGAATGGCTTGAAGAATGCCGGGAGTTGCTCCCAGCAGAGGTGCAATGGGGAGGGAGACTTGATCTGTTTCAATGGCTGCCTCAATGCGCGAGAAGTGAGGTTATGATGGCCTATGTTGGTAGCGAAGGAAGTTGCTCAGGCTTTCATCGTTGCTTCTCGAGCACAATTGCTCTCAATTTCTTGATCGATAGAGAAGGTCTGTCCTTTATGACGCCCTCGAGATGCGCTACTGATCCTGTTTAGATGATCGCCCCGTCGTGTGCATTGGCACCGACTTTGAATCGCAACAGAAGTACGACGCCTTCATGTCTTCGAAAGGAGTATCACCACACTTGGATTGGCACAACCTGACAACACAAGAGATGCTACAGGCAGACTTTCCCCTCTACGTCTATGATCAAGAAGTCGGTGATCTGGTAATCTTACCTCCTGCCACGGCTCATCAGATATGGAATCCTTCGATTCTATCAACCAAGCTCGTGTGGAACATCCTACATCCGCTCTCGCTGGAGGTGGGCATACAACACGTTCAACCACCCTTCAATAGGCTGTGCCATCCTGATGTGGCACGTACGAACTTATCATTGGCATATGCCATGTTATCCTTGATCGAACAACCACCTAGTGACGCCATGTCTCCCTCTCTACCACCAGACCTACCTCTTCTTTCCCGCTTGTTCAGATCCTTAGTGCACGACGAGACCATAGAATCCGCTACGCCTCCACAGATCAGTCTCGTGACTCTACAACAAGGTACAATTGCAACCTGCAACTTCTGCAGCACAGCAATCTGGAATAGACATGTTCGATGCACAATCTGTGCAGATTTTGATCTTTGTCTGCTCTGCTACCTGAATGGCAGATCATGCGAGCATGCACAATCATATGCTTGGGCTGAGCTGGTTCCGCCGGAAAAGTGTAAACAGGTATTGACTCGCGCAAGAGAAATTCTAGGGTTCCAACTTGAAGAAGCTCGATTGCCAGATAGGCAGAAGACCCTTGGTACTGCTGTCAACGACCTTATGCATGCGAAGGAGAGCCAACTGTCGAAACTATGCCATCTATGCAGGATTGACCATCCCGAGTGGAAGGGTAAGCGGTGTGATTCATGCACAGCTTTCTTCTGCTACCGTGGACTGTTCCGACATTTCGACATGCAGCCGAGCGATGTGCTCCGTCACAGTGGTATCTGGACCTGCCCGAAGTGTGAAGAGACTTGTAACTGCAGGTGCTGCCATTTCGCTGAAGCTTATATCAAAAGCGAGAAACCTGCGAGCAAACGTCGAGTCAAAGCTAGCGACTCACGTGGTAGAACGATGGGCTTTGCTGACAATGTCTTCGATCAGAAGCGCGGTGGCAGACGTGAAAGTGGCCTGAATGGTCCCATGACTGTCGCTCATCTGGCAGGGAAAAAGCGGGCTATCGAGTCGAATGGGCACGAAGGTCCTTCCACACCGTTGCGCAAGCTCGACCTGCCGACTCCGGAACCAGACTTCTCCGCAAGAATGTACATGTCTCGCGAGAGCTCAGATTTCAACGGAATATCATACACAGCGAGCTCACTACCTCCGATTCTACCGAGTGTCAAATCTGTCACTGACGATCACAATCTTTTGTCGGCTACATCAGATGATCTCGCAAGTCACTTTTCGCCATCTACTCCGAACTTTAGTGTGAATGGTCCCAACCACAGCCTTGCGCCAATACTGTCAGCACGCGGGATATATGCATCGCCATACACTGAGCGCAAGCCGCCGCCGATTCCCCAACCACCTCTCAGTAACACACCACGCAACACTGCATCTTCTTTCTTGAATACGGTTACGAATCAGCCGTCCCCACCACGTACTTCTGCTCCAGCAAACCATGTGTCATTTACTACCCACCATGTCTCTACAGCATACCCACGAACGACACGACTGGATCCAGCCCAAATTACTCCTCAGACCGAATCTCCTCCAGCAAATTTGTTCGAAGTGATCGATGACTCTATCAAGAAACTAGAGTCCCAAATTTCTACACTAAAGAACTACGACGCTGAGTTCATGGCTATGAAGCTGGAAGACAGTCGGAGGATGCTGCGAAGAGAGTTGACGGAGTTAGAGACCCGACTTGAGGCAAAGCGAAAGGACAGAGGCATAGGTCTTGTCGAAAGGTTGAGACGAGAAGGGTTTGCAGCTCTGGCGGAATCAGTACAGAGCGAGGTAGGCATTGAGCCACAACACCTGCGGTCCCCAGGTCTAGCAGACAACGGTGTGTCAAGGTTTGGCCTGGGGTTGAACCACGACTTGACGCCGAACGAATGAGCTTGCAGCTTCAAAGATGTTTATCAATCATTTGTGGGAAATATTGCGATGGGTGGGCATGTTGGCACGGCGGGATAGCCATTACTTAGCAACGGGACATTCATTGTTTTTGCACATATACCCCTTCTATATTTGGATGCACATAGTTTGGGTTCGCAGGAATTAGCTAGTATTAGTACATTCGAGTGTGAACTGCATATGTCTGGAACAACAGAGAGCACACCTCGTTGAGATGTGGCCGTCTACACCTTCCGTATCAGTTTCGTTCCGTTCGGAAACAACCCAAAATTTCGAGCCAGGTGTGATCAGCGGGGGTATTCGCTGGCGGGTAAGCGCTTGGGACATATTTCATCTCAGCGGAAATTGCAGCATTGTGCTTCTCGTCAACATGACTGACGCGAGTGAAATGCAGTCTCGGACTTGTGTGAGTTGTCGCTGTGTGGTTAACAAGGTGCTTGGGTGAGCTATTTCAGGCTCTTTGTCGGAAGACATCCGCAACGAACCACGAGATAGTGGGCAGGCATCCTCATCTTCGTCTTCCAAAGTGCTTGCTTATGCTAATACTCAAACATTCTGACAACAGCAGACCGTGAACAGGCCTCGCAAGGGCAACATGGCTCGTCAGCCAGATGCCACAAATTCTGAGCTGCCTGTTGCTCGATCGCCTATTGTAGCAGATACCTTGCATTCGGTAACTGCTCTTGCAAGATTTGAGTTTGAGCCTGGCAGAGGCAATGATGGAACCAAGATAATGATGGTAGAATGGCAAGATGACAACGAGGATAGACATAGGGTAGGTTCGTGGCAGGTGTCCTGGCCTGGCAAGAAGACGACATTCGCTGCGGACGACAACCCTTCAGAGAGCACGAACAGGCTGTACTTCCTCCTTCCTCCTGGTGAGCCGATACCACCTAGCATTACGATTTCCTACCAGCCAGCGTCGGCAAGTACTACGTCAGCGAAGGACAAATCACCACAATCTAGCCTGAAAAGGTATGACCTGTCACCAAGACCGAGCTCAAGAGATGGAAATTCAGGCTCGTTACATATGACCGTCAATCCTCTACCCGCGATCTTCACGCCTGAGCTAGGTGCCACAGCGAAAGCAAGTGGGAGGAAAGGGGTCTTACACACTATATGGGCAAAGAGACGTCTGCAGGTACTGGCAAAGGAAATCCGTACTGAATCTGAGTTCAACCTCGAAAGTATAGCGCTTGAGATGGCCATGGCTGAAAAACAGTGGATAGAACAGAACTTCGGAATCACGGTGCCTCAAGCAAAGCCTTCCAACCCAAGTGGGTTGAAGCTAGATCTTGGGTCGATACAAGTTGATGGCAGTGCGAGCCCACCAGTGAGCCCCAGCATGCAGAGTCCTCTATCGCCTGGTGGTAGAAGACTGACAGACAAGCTCAAGGGCCTGAGCATTACGACAAGCGACAAGGACGGGGTCAACACACCGACAAGGGAGATCAATCCACTAAGTCCAGAAGTCGGCGACATGGCTGTTTCCTCCTTCTCTACTTTCAAGGGTGATCGACCGACCACACAGAAAGTACCTCAGACTGCTAGGAGGATAGTACCTATAAGTCCGCCCAGCGAAGTGACGGATGACCAGGCGCAAGCTGCGAGTGCCAGTCTAGCAGAGATTGCTCGAGGCGATATGTCGTCGAGACCTGATGGTGGGATAATACCATCGAGGAGGGCTGAGAAAGAGATTGAGGCCGATGGTCTCTTCGCGGTTGCAATGAGTCCTCGGGACCCCGACGAGCCAAAGAGTCCATTTTCAATACCGAGTAGTGAGGACGGTGGAGGAGCATTCTCAAAGATAAAAGGTACATTGAGGTAGCATTCAACGATGGGCACGACAGCTCTACATAGAGCAGTTGCTAGCTCGACTGTGAAACGATGCTGCGTCATGCTTCAGTTGCACTGACCACTTATCCCTCAGTCCAATATCACCACAGACCCTGCGACTCAAAGAGTAACATTCCACTCCTACCAGCCAACGTGTAAGAATGTGCGCACGGATCATGATCACCACAACACAATCAAATCGCAGCAAGCTTCCATATATCAATTCTGTTAGCAGTTCGTTTTCGAAATCTATCCTTGCCTGCTACCTCGCGTTCGTCGCTCTTTTTTGCCAGCCTCCCAAACTTTAGAGGCATATATTTGCTTCGAGACAGTCGTTGATTCTCTCTTAGGTGTCTTACATTCTTTAACTCTCAAATTCAGCACACCTACAATACTCATAACATGTATTCGTTACTTGTTCTTGGTGCTCTCACCAGCTCAGTGATCGGTCAAGTCGTCACATTTAGCAACACCACATTCACAGCTCCTGTGACGGTCGGCTCTGTGTGGCCTATTTCTTTCGGTGCTGGTAACAGGCAGCCAGTCTCTATTGCCTTTGGAAACAGCAGCTATGCCTTCCAGGTTGTTGGTGAGTTGCTAACAATGGCCCTACGTGTTGAATGAATATGCTAACAGCCTTGGCAGATGGTCTCACTGCTCCAGGAACATACAACTGGAATGTCGCTGTTCCAGTCAACGTAGTCGAAGGAATGTACCAACTTGCCCTTGTGCAAGGAGAATCAGATCCAGTCTACAGCCCACCATTCTCCCTCGTCATCCCACCAGAGGCAGCCGACTCGACAACAGACGCTCCAACCACCACCATTCCATTCCCAACCGGCGCTGGCGCCCCAATGATGACCGTCACAGCCATCTACCTCCCACCACCAATGAACATAACAAACAACTTCTACCAAACCTTCATCTACTACGACGAAGACTGTGGCTGCCACCAAACCAGCACCTGCCCACCATCAGAGGTTCCGACCGCCACCTCCATGACCACCGTCACATACTCCGCCGTAGAGTGTGGTTGCACCACCACGATTGAAGCACCTGCCGCTGAGACCGTTATCCCTATGGCGGCAACAATGGCTCCTGCCACTAACGTGCCAGTTGCACCAACTACTGCTCCTGCTCCGCCTCCAGCTGCAGTTGCGCCTGCTGCGACCACTACTGCTGCTGCCCCTGTACCGACTACTTCAGCATCAACTCTTCCAGCATTCACTGGTTCCGCTTACAAGCTCGCTGGTACGAGCTGGGCGTTTCTTGCGCTGGCTGCTGCTTTGGTGTTGGCGTAATTGGATTGATACGCCGGATTTGTGGTTTGATGTATGGTAGTAGGACGTTTACTCGTGGAGTTGCGATTTGTGTTGGAAAGTTCGTTCTTGTCTGATTTCTTTTGTGTTTTTGTTGTTGTGCATCAGGCTTTTGGGTTCGTTACTGAGTGATTGTTTGCACGAGGCTAGATTTTGCGTGCTATAGTTAGTATGCAGGGATATGGGCATTGGAGGCATATTGGCGGCTAGGCTGGCCCTGCCTTTTTCTTATGTTGCACAGTTGCATTGGTGCTTTCTTCGTCTGTAGCCAGAAGAGATTACGGAAATAGTATTGGATAAAATTATTCATAAACCAATACTCAGTTTTCCTGTCCTGCTCGAATACTTGGAAAGCTCTTTTTTATAGCGATAGTATCGAGAGCTGCCTGCTTTCTCGGACTGAGTGTATAGTTGACCGGCATCTTTTGGCCGTTATCGACGTCATCGTCTTCACCAAGTTCACCATCGAACAGGGCTTTTAGACACCCCCACATCTTTCACATCCGACCCTATATACAAAAGACACCAACTAAACCTCAAACTACGTGACTAAACAACCACATTGTCCACTCACCAACAGACATTTCCTCCCAACCATGGCAAGCACCTACCTCTCCAACCTCATCCTCAGCAGCCTCTTCATAACTTCCATCCCCCCACTCTACCAAAGCATCACCGCCGCCCAACTCCTCCTAAACTACGAAGACATGACCAAAAAAGCCGCCAAATGGTCCAACGAAGCCGGTCGCCAACTCCACAAGACGCGCACGACTCAGACTGCCGCTGTCGTGTCTACGCTAACGTCTACGCTTAGCGCGGCTTACTTGCTTTACTCGGCGCTGAGCGGTACTGACGACAGGACGAAGAGTTCAGCGGTCTGTGGTGTGAATGCGGTGGTGTGTACGTTGGTGTATCGGTATATAAAGGAGTTTTGGGGCAATGCGGCGAGGGTGCCGTTGCCGGGGAGTAGGGAGTATAATGATGCGGTGAGGGGGACGGAGAGCGTGATGGTTTATTTGAGGGGGTTGGGGCTTGGGTGGGGGGCTTTTGTGCTTGTGAAGGTTGGGTTGAGGATTTAGGTTGGGTTTGGGTATGGGTCGTGTGTTGTGTTCTGGTCAGGGGGATTGCAGGTATGGTTGGGAGAGCAGTAAGGCTGGCTGCTGGAAGACGGGTCGACCCTGAGCGAAAGGTACAGCACTATGGTTACGGTTTTACTTTGTTCGTCGAACTACGGTCTATCAAAGTCACAGATCTCCTTTTGCTGGTTCGCCTGCCCAACACCGCCTGATCAACTCCCGAATTTTCTCCTTCTCCAACTTCCTTGGGTTTGGATATTGTGCACTCATAGCAATATCGGTTGCCTTGTCGATATCTTCCTCCTTCATACCGAAGTCCGACAACGCTCGCTTCACTTTCAATTTCTCAAGCAGAACATTTAGGCCATGTATGGCGTCCCCATTACTTTCTGGCAAGGCTGAAGCGAGATCAGCCATTTGCGACGGAATAGCGGGCGCATTGTAGCTCAGGGCATGCGGAAGGACGATGGTATGCGTCTCGGCATGTGGCAGGTTGAAGCTTCCGCCTAGTGTATGGCATAGTTTGTGGTGGAGAGCCATGGCGGATGAGCCAAGAGTGATACCACAAAGCCAGGCACCGTATTGTGCTTGTGATCGTGCGCCTTTATTGTGCGGGTCGTTGACGATGGTTGGTAGAGACTTGGCAAGAGAGCTGGTGCCTTCGAGGGCGAACATTCGGATGATGGGGTTGGTGTTGGAGGCGTAGAGAGACTCGACGGCGTGAGCGATGGCGTTGACACCGGAGGTTGCTGAGAGAGCTGCTGGTAGTGTCATGGTGAGATCGACGTCGTAGATGACTGTGCCTGGTAGAATCTTGGGGTCACTTCGAGTGGTCTTTCGTCCATCTTGTGTCTCGCCAAGGATTGGGGTCATCTCGCTGCCAGCATAGGTGGTGGGGATGGAGATGTGTGGCAGTCCAGTCCGGACACTGATGGCTTTTCCTAGACCTGTAGTGCTGCCACCACCGATACTCACAACACAATCCGCGGCGTTTTCCTTCAGGTATGCCATGGCTTCTTCGGTGATGTGCGAGGGTGTATGCATTGTTGCATTGCTATACTTTCCTGCCGGCTTGATATTGCCGTTTTCGAGGACCTTGGCCAAGTCGTCCAGATGTGACGTCTGTTGAGGTGTCGACAACAGGAGCGGTGACTTGAGACCGAGTCTCTGTACTTCAGCAGGCAGTTTGTTGATACTGCCTGAGCCGAAGACGACCCGGCCAGGATTGGCGTTGTACTCGAAAGGGTTCATGATTGTCTGTGCTGTGATAGTTGCAAGGTGAGCAAAGATGTCGAGCACAACTCTTGAATTAAAGACAATGTATACTGAAATCAAAAATTCGATTGCGAATAAAATGTTCTGTCAGGACTCACGACCGTGGTTGTTGATGTCTGCTTCTGCCGTCATCGGGGGCAGATCCGGCAGTTGGAGAAGAGCACGTTCTACGGACAACGTACTGCGGAAGGCCACAACAGCTCTTTCGCGAATTCTCAACTCGCTCACATCACGATAAGTTCGACGTCGCTGAATCGAGAGGACCAGATCGAATATCTTGCTCAGGACGAGGAGGGGCAATCACACGCTGCTCAAAACGATTGTTGCGTTGTGAACGGAAGCACTTGATGATTAGCAGATTGCCAGCAAGAACGTCAATCCGGAAAGGATAGAAGCGCGAGCTGTAACGAATTCTCGTGCGTCGGTATCAGTGCCTTCAAGCCAGAATTCGGCAGGCCTCACTGTAGCTAGTCATCTATCGGGATCGGGACCATCGACGCAGTCTACGGGGACAATAGAAGCATCGCTGTACGTTTATGCGGTCGCACGTGAGAAAATGCAACAAACCACTGAGTTCCTCATATCTGAGCCATTTTGTTTGCTGCACAATGGGATTGTGCAAGGAACAGCGAGCAGACGGCCAGGTGTCGGGAGAATTGTGCCGGTCAGTCAAGGAAGAACCCCTGCCGAGTCAGCGATACAAAAGCCTCTTCTTGGCAGGGAATCGTTGAGGGCGTATGAAATTGACAATCATTGGTTAGGTCCAAAACAAGCACTCCGGCCTTGAGCCTCATTGACCTAATCCCCCTAGCGCCAAATTAAGCTTCATGACACGCGACTGCCTTCCTTTCTCCTGACTGGTTTCGCCTGCATGTTCGAGCAGCAGGTTTCATGCAAAGTCGGAGCAATGAGCTGACGCGTCCTGCCTGATACCAAAAAACTAAGTGTGCATACTGTAAACTTGACAGAAATGTGATGCTCGTGACACTTCACTTGCCAACACTCAATTCGCGAGGTCTTGAGCTCGCTCAGGTGATACCTTCTTTCGAATTCTTGGTTATCAGTCGTGAATCAGAAGTCCGTTTGCTCGGAGTTAGCGTAATCGGCTCTGAGGCAGGCTGTTCCACCAAGGTTCCGCCCGATAGCTTGAGCCAAGTTGCCAAGGACGTATTGGAGTGATTAGCAGGGGACAGCGTAGTGCATGAGTTGTGCGACTTCACCTGCTTCTACACTCGTTCCTGCACTCCGGTGGTTGCTCAAAGGCTGATTATCTTACGTTCTGTCACCATTCTTTCTTGTTTGTACTCTATCAGAAGCAAACGTGTCGCCTAAAACCTGCGAACACTCAGAGTAACATCTTTTGTCGTTTCTATGATACCAACAATTCTAAAGTCTCATGGTCCGTCGAGACGAATCAATGAGTCGACGAAGAACCATGTCGCAGCGAGAACAAGCACGGCCTTTACTGAACACTGATACCGAGAGTCAACATTCAGAATGTCTTCTGGACGAATATGCCGACATACCATCCGCAGCTCGAAGACGTCGCATCCTCATGAAAGCTCTAGCACTGGCACGACCAACTCATGTCCTAACGATGCTGAAGCGGTTCTGTTATTGCTTTGTCCCGCAGCTCTTGAGGACACATGTCTTCGATGATCCAGCAGCTAAGCCCAAGGAATTTTCCACGAGTTACCTAAACGGACTCCGTGGTATGACTGCACTCAAAGTCTTCACTTTTCATTACTTCATGGTCTTCACAGACGCCACACACGTTCCCTATGGAGCATCAGAACGATACACATATTGGACTGAGCTTCCTTATATCAGATATCTGTGGACCGGTTTCACTTCTCACATCTTCTTCGGATTGGCTGGTTATTTGACCTGCCAACGTCTCTTTATCTTGCTGGACAAGAATGATCAAGCGTCGCAAGCGGGCGTCCTCCTGAGCGTTTCTGGGTCTCTTTTTCGACGAGCGTTTCGACTATACCTACCTGTTTTCCTAATCACTTTGTTGATGGCGACTTACATCCATCTTGGATACTACGAAACTAATAGGCCTCTCCTACTCAACTGGGGCAGACTTTTCCCGGGTGACTGGAACGAGACAAAACCAGACATGTATGAGACATGGTACGAACAATTGAAGTTCTGGGGATCTGAAATGTACAAGCTCTGCAACTTCGTCAGTGCTGATACAGTCTATCCACTGCACGACCAGCATCTATGGTCAATTCTTGCAGAAATGCGCGCGTCGCTACACCTGCACGGCATTATCGTAGCGTTGGCCCGATGCAAGCGAAACGTTCGACTAACAGCACTCTGCATGCTGGTACTTGTCTATATGTGGTGGAACCATTGGGAAATTTGGGTGTATATCCTTGGGGCTATTGTGGCACAGATTGATCAGATCATGAATGAGCAAGAGGTCGCCAAATCAATTCTAGAGGAAACCAAGCTGGCACTTAATCGTGAGATTGCCGATCAGAACATTGAGAAGGAAGAAAAACACGATGGAATGCCTCAGCATGCGCCGAACCTTTTTCAGATGTTTCAGTCGTTCTACACAATCGATCTGTCACCTTACTTCCATGTACCGACGGCATTGCAAGCAGTAAGAATCACTGGCTTTCTCATCGCCTTCTACTTGCTTTCCTATCCAATACACGGAGCGAGAGGTGATCGAGCTCCGGGGTACGAGACTCTCAATCTCTTCATACCCGAGTGGTTGGAACGCAAGGACAAATTCTATGCAAATTGGGGCACGTTTTTGCTGCTTCTTCTGCTCGTCCGTTCAGATCCCAAGATGTCTAGATGGCGGAAAATAACAAATCATTGGTTTCTTCAGTACTTGGGCAAGATTAGTTTCGGTTTCTATCTCGTGCAGCAGATCATTCAACATTCGTTCGGTTACATGATACCACATCACATCTGGTGGGCATGCGGCACAGAGGGCGTCGACACAACAGAGGCGCCATGGCTGTCCGCGATCCTCGTAGGTTGGACCTTCACGTTGATTGCAACAATGTGGATGGCAGATTGCTGGAACCGAGAAGTTGAGGGAAGATGTACCCGATTTGTGAAATGGTTGGAGACAAAGTGTTTCAGATAGAATCCTAGAAGACATTGAATTGATCCATTGTCTTGCCTCGCCTTGTTCTGCTCGACGTCGCAAGTCCTGTAATATCGTGAGCTATTGAACCTTAGTCGGTTTACGTCACGTGGGTAAATTTAATGCTATTGGCCAAGGACACCACGATGAGTATGCTCGACAGCAATAAGCTGCAGAAGCAAGAAGAGAAGCGATATGGACATCTGCCTGCAACATCACAAAACGTAAGCAGTTCTTTTGATGAAGGGATAAAGGACGATTGGACCTCAAGGCACTGAAGGTGAAGTAGAGCTCTAAACCAATCACGAATCGCTTGGCGGGAGTGGAACACCCATCCAGGTGCTGAGGACGACACGGGTAGCCATCGCAGTTTACAGCAACCAACCTCGACGCCATTTGACATCTCGCAATACTGTCGTAAACGTCTGTCGCCATTCCTGAGTTCACACAAACCATCCTGACACGATAAAACACGTCAACTACATCTCGAGAACAGAAATATCGCGTCCAAGGAGTATTCTGGAGGTTCCTGGCCCCTTCGCTGCTTCACTTGCAACTGCGCCTGCGACGTTCTGGTGCCTGCGATAAAACGCCGTGTCATATGCTGAAGTGAACCCAGCACAATTCCGCGACAGCCATGCTTGTGCCCTCAAAGAGGTTCAAGGACTGATCGAGCCCAGATGGGCAAGTTTGGCATCGCGGATTTCTTTCCAACCGCTCCAGCAGTCCGTCAGCAACGTAAATCGGAAAAGGTTCACGACGATGCGCAATCACACGCGAACGGCTCCTCTCACTCACCCAGCAAACAAAGCACTGCTGCACGATCTGACCGGACGGAAGAAAGAAGGCTAAATGACACACTCAAGACTGACACTAAACCTAAGATGCAGCAGTATGAGATAGAACACTATGCTGGCGATATCCTCAACGGCGTAGGTTCCGCGAGCTCGACCAGCACTTATTCTTCCGTCTTTAGCGACAAAATTATTGCCTCGAACACGAACGCAGCCACGGTGAGCACGCTCACCCCTCTGACAAACACTGAGTCTTCACCTCGGGGAAAACTAGCAAGCCCTTCTTTCGATCACAACTACGGTGCAGTGACAGCGAACGGTGTATATGCGGCGCAGGGCAACATGACTCCGCAACTAACCCCTCCTGCATCGAAGACATGGGCGAGATCCCAAGATCTGACAATCAAAGGGTCTACGTGCACCTACGATCCTGAACTCGATAAAGTCATCCCTCTCAAAGAACGACGGAAAATGAAAGCATCGTTTAAAGAGTTTGGAGACAAACCTGAGCATAACATGATCCCAAACGACCCTCGTGGTCCTAGGCACAGTTACCTCAAAGGCATCACTGGAAAAGGCAAATCTAAAGTGCGCCCTGCCCCATACAATGTCAAATCATGGCATGGAGAAGCCACTACTCCAGCCATTCCTACCCAACCAAGCGCCGTGGTTGTGACAGGTTTCGATCCCATGACACCCTTGGCTCAAATCACCGCCCTTTTCTCGAGTTTCGGACACATTGCAGACATTGACAACAAGATAGATCCTATCACTGGAAGATTTTTGGGCATTTGTAGCATAACCTACCAGGATTGTGTGTCCTTCCAAGGTGGTGGTCCTTTGTCCGCTCAACTCGCTGCAAAACAGGCTTTTCTGGAAGGCAAGAGGGGCCAGAGGATAGGCACAAGAACGGTAGTCATTCAATTGGATCGAGATAGTGCTGTCTCACAAAAGTTGATCGAAGCTGCGATAGCGAAGCACAGGAGAGAGAGCGGGTTTTCAGGTACACCCACGCCCAAGCCGATACCGCCGAAGCCCGTCACACATCCTTTACCTGCCGTTCCTCCTAGCTCATCCTCCGGTTTCGCGAAAGTTGATGGCCCTCCTCCAACTGCGCCGAAGGGTCCGGCTGCGAAAGCCAACAGGACCAGCTCCGTCCCTGTTGCAATTACCCAAACGTCTCATACTCTACATACCAAGCCAAAGAACAAAGATGACGAGAGAGCGAAAGGACCTGCTTTGGTTGAGGAAGAGGCTGTTGCTGAAAGTCTTAAACAACAACCTTATGTATTCATATCAAACGAGCACGTACCAGTGCTGCCCACGACCATTCCACATCTAAAGAAAAGATTGCGCATGTATGATTGGAAGGATATCAGATGCGACAAGACTGGATACTTTATCACCTTCGAGCCCTCAAGAGCTGGTCAGACGGAAGCGAAGAAAACATACCACGGCTCTCACATGCATCCACTCTTCACCTATGTGATGAACATGCAGTTGAACCTCAATGGAAATGTTAAGCCTGCCGAGCCTGGCGAGGTACCTGTTCCCGTGGCGCCACTAGACTTCGTGTCGCAGAAGCAGTACATTCGGCAGAAAAGGGAGCGTGACTTTGATCTTGAGGAAGAGAAGCGCCAGCGTGCTAAAGATTTGGACCCTTGTCGCGCTGTAATGGAAATCGCCATTCAGGAGATTAGAGACAAACTTATTGGAGATGTTAAGTCGAGGTTGGCAGCGCCTGTCCTGTATGACTACTTGGACCCGGACAAACATGTGGACAAGCGACGCAAACTGGGTATCGAAGACCCTCCTGAAGTACGGCGACAAAACATGTCTGATGGCATCGCTCTACGAAAGCCTGGCAAAAGCCTGAATATCCTCTCACTGCCAAAGATTGGCAAGAGATCTGGTCTCGAGAAACTGACCGGCTTCCGAGATGAGAGGAGAAAAGCTCCTCCTCCAAGACCAGCAATTCGTCCATTGTTTCATCAACTTTCTCAGTGGGACGAAGAGGATGAGTCCGACGAGGAGAATCGGACATCAATCACGCGCGATACGGAAGATCTAGAAAGTCGACCAGTGAGTCGCATGTCTATGACCTCTGTATCTTCTGAAGACGAGGAACTCATCAAGAAGGTACAGCGGCGGCGCCTCAACCATGCACGTGAAGACTCTGAGATGGGCGAATCTATTATGAAGGAGGAGCCCACTCCTGTCAGACAAAGCGCCGAAGATCTTTTCATTCAGGGCCTCGAAAAAGAGCTTGTAGGGCTATCGAATGACAAAGCCGGCATCCGAAAACGGAAACGAATAATGGATAAGATCGAAGCTCGTAAACGGCAGAAAGCGGATGAAGAGTTGTTCGGAGTTTCCAAGACAGAGTTCGAGAGGGAAATCTCAGTCGAACCTATCGTCAAAGAGCCTGACACACCTGTTGAAGCAACACCTGATCCTGAAGTTGCAGCCCCTAAACCAGCTAAGAAGGCAAAACCTAAAAAGAAGACGAAGAAAGAGATAGCTGCAGAGAAGGAAGCCTTACGGCAAGCGCAAGCCGAGGCTGAAGCGGCTGCTGCTGTACAGGATGTCATGGAGTTAGTAGACGAGGAAGAGGCTATGCTCGAGGCTGCTGAACGAAGACCCGAAGTCGAGTGGGGAGTGTCTGCGGATCATCCCCAACCAACGGTCGAAGATGACGAAGACATATTGCCAGACATACGTGGTTGGCAAGCCTCGCTGGTCGACGCAGAAGATCTAAGTCTCCTCGAGGATGTCCTTCATCAAAAAGCGCCACTCGATATTGGTAATTCAATAGCGTTTGCGTGGAAGCAAGAGCAGCTGCGGAATTTGGGCCAAAATGTACAGCCTGGTGTCGTGCGTAGAGAGCCGCTCATCGAAGGCTACTATGTTCCCAATCCGTCTGGATCAGCACGAACTGAGCCAATCAAGAAGATCCTCGAGTCAGAGAAGTCGAAATACCTGCCGCACAGAATTAAAGTGCAAAGAGCCCGAGAGAAGCGAGAAGCAGAAGCGCAAAATGCTGGACCAACAATGCAAGTCAAGACCGCTCCTGAATTACCCAAGGCAAGTTCGAGAGGCAAGCGTGCGGACGATCGAAGAACAGTCAAGGACATTGATCGTCAACGTGAGATGCTTAGAGATCATGGCGACGATGCGGATGTCATTGGCTTCAACCAATTGCAGAAGCGAAAGAAGCCTGTCAAGTTTGCACGATCTGCCATTCACAACTGGGGTCTGTACTCTCTTGAAAGGATACAAACCTCGGAGATGATCATCGAATATGTTGGTGAGCGTATACGGCAGGAAATCGCAGATCTGAGAGAAATTCGCTACACAGAGTCTGGAATTGGTTCTTCATATCTCTTCAGAATTGACGAAGGAACGGTAGTGGATGCCACAAAGAAAGGTGGTATTGCACGTTTCATTAATCATTCTTGCTCGCCGAATTGCACTGCCAAAATCATTCGGGTCGGAGGAACAAAACGTATCGTCATTTACGCGCTGCGAGACATTGAAAAAGGTAAGCGATCCATAACCATGCTGTTTGCATATCCAATTAACGAAAACTTAGACGAGGAATTAACATATGACTACAAATTCGAGCGAGAAATCGGCTCGGACGATCGAATACCTTGTCTCTGCGGAAGCGTCAACTGTAAAGGCTTCCTCAATTAACGTTCTTTGCAGCACTCATTCCGCCTGCATCTCTTCTTATTTCAACACTTTGCAGGCGGGAATTTCGAACAATAATATGACGATGCGATGGACTTCTCTTACGACCATATTGGGCTTGCGACATCAACACGTTTGCTAACAGGTGGTGACTTGACGTGTGCTCCCTCTTTTTTCTTTCTGGCATGTACAGCAAAAGCGCACGACGCACTTTTTAGTGGGCACAAATCGCAATGCGGTGGGATCTCACTGTTCTAGATACAATGCCTTCAAGTTGAACCTTTGCCACGATTGGTAATGAGCAAGAAACAGAAGCATGATAAGGGCTGAGGAGAAAGGAGACGAAGAAACCGACTGTAATTGTACGATGCACTCGCACTAGCTTGTATGAGACAGAGCAGAAAGCAGGATGCAGAGTTGATCTGATCTTTACTGTCAATCAACGTATTAGGACCTCTTTAGGTAGCCGGTGACAAGGTGGTAGAAGAAGAAGAACGAAACGTACGTTGTGTATCATTCTCACTCACTTTGCTTGCTAGTACTAAGCTCTATCCCTGATTGCTTGTCCTCGCTGGATTTCGCTATGTTTTCGTCTTTTATTGATGAGCTCCGCATAAGCCTGTCACGAGCATCGTTTGGGACTGAAACTGCTTTCAAAGGTGAAGAATGCACGGTGGACATGAGGACATGAAGGAAAAAAGGTATATCTACATACGATCCTGCAGGCTAAGATGTGTAGGTACGGTATCACTATACTGGCCTTCCGTTCCTAGCGGTAATTCATCCCTCCCAGACCATCTTCTATACGTTCTCTTTTTTTTACTCCACCCGCAAACACTGAAGCCTTGCCTCAGTTTCAATAACATCCAACGCCTGTTGAACCTCCAAAACTTTTCTTACATCATTCAGCCAATCCCTGCTGAGAACACCAGCCCATCCCTTGAGTTCATTCATTTCTCTTGCCGCATTGTCGAGGTCGCCTTCTTCTAAAAGTGTCTCGGTTCGAGTCAAGATACTTTCTACGTCGTTGCCTTCTGGGATACCTTGCTTTTTGAACATTACTTTGGAGAGGAGGACGGAAGCTGCGTGGGAGGCGACGCCGGCGTTTTCGGGGAGGAGTGAGGCTTTGCGGACTTCGCTTGAGACGCGCCTGAAGCGGTCGATGAGTTGTGCGGAGCTGGGGATGCCTTTTTGGTATGCTGATGGGTTGATGGATGCGACGGCTGCGTCGACGATGGGATCGTTGTTTGCGACGAGTTTTAGGGCGGCCATCTCGCGGACGAATGGGGTTGGTCTGTGCGTGTGGTTCGCGTTCTCAATTGCGGACCGCACGGCGTCAACGGCAACCTGTAACTTTTGAGTAGAAAGGTTTGCGTCTATGACACCGTTCCAATTCGAGGTCAGTTGTTGGAGCTTGTCGACATTAGTGGTCAGGTCGGTCAGCTTTGATAGCCTTCCTTCTCTTTCAGATTCGACTAGGGTTTTCACGTCTTCTATAAACTGTTCTTTCATCTTGATGGCCTGCTCGGACAGTTCGTTCTTACGACGTTGTTCGAGCACTTGTTGTGTTCGCTCAATCTCCGACTTCAATCTGTTCTCATACTGTTGAGCAATTTTCGCCCTTTCAGCCTCAAACTCTTCTCGATACCGAGCATCATCTTCCTTTTGTGCGGTTTCTATTCTCTCAAGAAGGCGCTTGGCGCCCTCGTCGAATTCCCTATGTGCTTCTTTTATTCTCTCTTCGGCCGCGGCACGTTCAGCATCTCTTAACGAGGATACGTGGCTGGCGGCTTCAATAATAGCTTGCCTTGCTTTCTCCATAGGCGCATGGTATCGATTGGCAGTCTCTGGACCGTCTGCGTTCACTACTGTAATAAGGTCATTGATAACCTTGACCATCTCTTGCACGACAGGCTCGTCGCCGTTAGGAACAGTTACTGGCGAAATGGCAGCTACTGGAGACAGGGCCGGTGGTCGTGGGTCTGCTTTAGGACTTGGAGTGGCAGGTGCAGGTGGTGCAGACGTTGCAGGTACGGGAACAGCTTTCGACTCTGGCTTTGGTTCAGATTTTGGCTCGGGTCTAGGTTGAGGTTTAGGCTGTGACTTGGGCTCCTCTTGCTTAGGCACAGTTGGGCCCTTCTTCACAGACTCGACAGCGGCTGATTTTTCCTTGGTAGTTGTATCTCCTTGATTTGTCTTGGCTTCTTCCTTTGCGCCAGATTTTGGCTCAACAGCGCTCATATGAGCACCTCGCGAAGAAGTCGTAGAAGCTTTGCCCTCATCAACAGCCTTCCATGAAAGTCCCGAATGTAAAGGAATAGTGACCTTCTTGTCCTCAACAGGGGCAGGAGCGCTCGGAGACCTGTGTAAATTGGCTTTGGCGTTTGGAAATCGACGTTGAAAAGCGCGTTCTTCGAAGTATGCCACCACATCTTCACCAAAGGGTACATATTCTGTGAAGAAGTCGTGGAAATTGTCACTCCTTAAGGCATATACTACCATACCAGAATAGCCAAGCGCAAGGAGAACAGTCGTCCAGAGCAAAAATCGCAATCTTCGGAATCGTCTTGGCTTAGCAGGCGGAGGAGAAGGTGGTGGAGGTGGTGGTGGAGGAGGAGCCGCTGACGAAGGAGGTGTTGTTGCTGTGGTAGGCCCAGAAGGTGGAGGTGGAGGAGGTTCCTTTGGCACCACGGTAGGAGGAATGGAAGTCGTCGAAGAAGGGGTAGCGGGCGTTGGTGCTGGCACTGGTGGTATTATGGTAGTAGCTGGTCCAGTAGGCTTGACCACACCTTGCAGTGGAGTTTCTGGCTTAAATTTCGGATCTGAGCTGAGCATCGAGTCCGCACGCTCAGCATATCCACGAATCTGCAGCGCAATTAATTTCTGACCTGGCGTCCAGGAAGATTCACGTACCTGTGTCGCTAACGGCCTAGCGACGAGCTGCCGCCGAGCGACCAGGCTCAACGGTCTTGTCAGTCGCAGCATAATTGGCTGAACGACCGAGAAGAGCGCGTCGTGTGAGAGGGCAAGCGAAACGAAAGGTCGCGTGTTTAGAAAGGTTCGCGGATGTTGAGGTTCTTTTCCGATCGCAGCTTCAAAAGCTTCATCAAATCGGAGCTTGCGATACGCAATAGGGTCGATTATACATTCACTTCACGCTGCACAGATAGTCACTCCACTAACCGTATTCTAAGATACTTGTTTTTTTCGCAAACTTGGGAGGAAAGTTGCATGAAGATGGACAGAAGTTATGCACAACGAGAACAGTCCGCTTATTGTTGATCCTTGCTACACCGGATAATTATCTTTTCTGCTTTTGCTCGAGCTTCCTTCTCTTACGCCGCAGCTTCTCGGCTTCTGCATCCTTAATATTGTTCGAATGTTGCATCTTCTCATACAACTTTCTCTTCTTATTGCTCATCATCATCTTCTGTCTTTCAATTTCCTCATCCTGCTGCTTCTGCTGTGTGAGCCGCTCCTGTTTGCGTTTATCTTTCGAAGTCGGCTGCTTGCGAGACGCGATCGAGGTACCGGCAGCTTCAGCAGCAAGTTCGGCTTGGTGGTCATCTTCCTCGTCTTCTTCTTCTGCCTGTTCTTCGTCCTCAAACCCGCCAAAGGCCTCGTCAATTTCTGCACCTCCCTCGTCAGAAGAGGCACCTGCCATGTCAACAGTCATGCCATCCGCTGCTCCATCGAGTTCGTCAACCTCGTCTTGTTCCTCGTCCTCTGACACATCAGGCTCGGCACCGTCCAGAAGCTCTTGGGCCTCATCTTCGCTAAGCTCTTCATCTTCCTCGCCTTCCAGCTGCTGTTCCTCCAATGGCGTACGTGGATCATATTGTCCTTTGACTGGCTTCATCCAAGGACTCAGATGTGGTGGTAACGTTTCACCAGGCGCATAAACATCGGTCCTTAGTAACTTCGCCTCGTTGACGCAGTCCCATACCCATTGTGGCTGAACGTATGTTCTGCCAGCCACCACATAGCCAGGTTTAGCCGCGGCATCGCCATTTGTCATGTTCATTGGCTTATCCACAATCTGGTGAGTAATTCGTGGATCCTTCTCATCAAAAGTAAACGCTCCCTCACCCTGCACCTGATCCCAGCCTATACGTTTGCAGCCAAAAGCCCTCAACAGGAACTCGAGCGGTGGTCGAGGTGCTTCGCGAGATATGTAGAAGGTGAAGTCGGAGAAGAGATGAGCAGCTTCGTCGCTACTTGTCTGGGGCTGTGGCAGCTCGTCAGCATTTGGGGCCGCAACCTCGAACTTGTCAACGCCTCCGTTCTCTTCAACGTCCTCTTTAAGTTCTTCCTGTAACTGTTGAGCCGCTTCCCCTTCTCCTTCCCGAGCTATCTTGTCAATGGTTGCCTGCACTTCGGCTGGGTTTTGTGTAGGATCTTGCCCACTACTGAGCTGTTTCTGCGAACTACCATTCTGAATTGCATTGTCGGCCACATTGCGTCCTTCGAGCGTGAAAGCTGCTAGCTCAGCACCTCTGTCGTCACTTTGTTGGTCGAACCTCGGAGGATATACTAAGCCGATCTCAGTGAATAACTTGTAGTTTATGAAACCAAGTAAAGTGCAGTAGAACTCGACGAAAGTGCCCATAATTCTGTAATCCACATCTTGAGTAACCCTTTGCACAAACTTATATGGCACCAACCACATGACGTCCTGTCCATGAATTGTGGCCTGGTAGTATATGCCTTTGATCGACAAGAACGACTTCTTGAGAGAATTTGTAGTTATGAGGTAGTGTTGGAACTCGTGGCACAACCGCTGACATCTGGCAATTACTCTTGGTGGCACAGTCTCAGTCGAAGGCAAGTTTGCAAACAGGAAAAGTAAAGACAGCGCATCGTCTAGATCGCGTAATGCGTCCACGAAGGTTGGATATCGCTCTCGCACAATGTGGTCGAGTTTGATCTTTGGTGTCCCATTCTTTTCTAAGCGCAACGCATCTTGTAGTTCATTGCGCCCGAGCGACTTTGCGATCTTTTTCTGTAACGCCTTCTGGTCTCGAAACTTGGCTAGAAGAGGCTCGTGAAGGAGATACTGGATGTCTTTGGTGTAGTAGAACGTCGTCGAGTGAGTGGCTGACTTGTTCGCTTTCTTGATGTTCCGTGGCTCTCTGGGGTAAATGCCCTTGAAAATGCATAGTCGCCGGAAATCTGGCAGCGATATTTGCAGCTTTCGTACAGCCTGCGTTCGAGTGATATAGTTCTTGGCTTGGCCAGACTTGCCTCTCTTCTTTTGTTTAGCCATGTTGCAGTGTGTACTTGTGAGCTGTACTTCGGAATTGTAGAGGCTGTCGAGGCTATCACTGTCCAAAAATTTATTTGCGGAGGACGAAATCGAGGTCCAACTAAGCGAAGATGTGCCGAAAGCGAGGAGAACTACGGGAGGCCAAATGCACCCAATCTGTTCGAGGTGTTCTCGACTAAGAGATGCAATGTGGCCTTCTTCGACCTTGAAAGTAATAGCTGGGACGAGGCAGACATGATATATCCTGGATCGATTGTCACACAGGTGTTTCTATACCAAAGATGAGGCCGAGTGAGAAACCATTACCTATACCATGGCACCACAACCGAAAACCATTGCAGCATACGTTGCAGCCGTGGTTCTAAGACTCTCGATATTTTATTTCTTTCCGAACATAATATCCGTCTTGATTGACAGAGTCGAGATTTCAACACCCATATCTAGCTACAAGCGATTACTGGAAGGCCTGTTTTTGTTTGAAAGAGGAGTCTCGCCCTACGATGGCGGTGTCTTTCATCAGGCTCCCCTTCTGCTGGTCATCTTCGAGATCCTGCCACCAGCAGCCATATTTACACTTCTCGATGTGCTCAACGCACACAATTTGACCGTAATTGCCAACAAGCTCAGGTTACCGACACCTCGCTTTCAAAAGCTCGATGAGACGCAGATCGCCACTGCGTACCTGTTCAATCCTTTCACTATACTGTCATGTCTGGGCTCGTCTACGACATTGGTCACTAATGCTGCAGTCATTCAGGCAGTGGCCAGCGCTGCAGCAGGAAATGCATTCGGTGCAATGTTCGCCATTGCACTAGGTACATACCTGTCTCTTTACCCAGCTCTATTATTACCTCCGCTCATCTTATACTGGGCACAGTCGAAGGCAGCCAAGCTAGAAAGGAAAAACACCCTTTCCTTACTGAGCTTGTACGCCGGTATGATTGCGATCCTTCTTCTAGTCTCGACACTACTTGTTGGTGACCTGAAGAACTTCATATCTTCATGTTATGGAGCGCAGATTAGTGTTACCGATCTCACTCCCAACATCGGCTTGTGGTGGTATTTCTTCATTGAGATCTTCGATGCTTTTCGAAGCTTTTTCATCGGTGTCTTTTGGATTCACCTGGTCGGATATGTTGGAGCATTGACCGTTCGATTACCCGAGCAGCCACTCTTTGTTATCATTGCTCTTCTTGGCTTGGTCACAATCTTCAAACCATACCCCAGCACTTCAGATGTCTCCTTGTATCTTGGAGTGTTGCCGTTGTACAAGCACGTCATGCCACGTAAGTTGTCCATTTTACCAAGTGCTTGAAGTTTGACTAACGCTATGTAGTAACACGTTATACCTTCTTGGCTGCCTCGGTCCTGCTATACTCGTCTCTTCTTGGCCCAGCATTTTACCAGATCTGGATATATGCCGGATCTGGCAATGCCAATTTTTTCTATGCTATCACACTGGTATGGAGTTTGGGACTTAGTATGCTGGTTGGAGATAGCTTGTTTGCTGTCCTTAGGGATGAGTGGGAAATGTTACGCCCTGAGATGAGGGGCAAAGAGGTGAGACAGATATGAGTCTCGAAATTCGAGTTTGCACACGTAGAGCCCGTCTACGTTGCATTTCAAACGAAAACGACCGAAAGACGCACGGCTCAGTCGTCATCTTGATCGGATGACTTCGATAGAATCAGATAGCCTGGCTCTTTTACAGTACCATTGCGAAGAAGTCGAGGTCCTGGACTGAATACATCAACGTCGTATCCTAAGCGTTCGTACCATCGAACAGCCTGCTTATTGGACTTGAAGACAGTCAACATGCACTTTTCGACTTTGATCTTACTACCAATTCTTTCGACCAGTTCCATGAGTACCTTGCCCACTCCTTGGCCTCTCAGCTCTTTTGCAAGGTGTATTTCGTACACGTAGATCACCTCGTGACCGTCCTCGTAAGTGATCATGAACGACACGAAACCAAGGATTGCCTTGTCACTTTTGCAATTAGGCTCAAACGCTTTGTCTTCACCAGAGAGGATAAGATATCTCATGTCCGGTAGCAACATCTCCTTTCGTTTGCTGCTTGGAGACCATTTTATTTCCGATGCCTTGTAGTCTGCAGCACTACTTTCCTGGATCAACTCGAAACATGCTGACAGGATGTGCTCTTCGTCGACACGCAACGACGCTGAGAAGTGCAAGTCAAGGTGCAACGCTCTTCCGGTCTTTTCAAGGACATCCTTCCTAGCCTCAGCGATCTGATGCTCTGTAAGATAGAGCTTGACAAAGTCATCGTGATTCAAAGAGTTGACCGTTTCAACGAGCTTACCCTCTGCGATAGCCCTTGTAAGCACTTTGTTCGATCTCTGGGTAAATGTCATTGCCCATGACCACGATTCATAATCTCGTGTGCGGACCTTTGAAGCCTGAAGGTTTCATTCGAGGTACTTCCCATCACTAGCTCAGCCGCTATACTTCGAAGAACTTAAACACGAGACGCGGCAGGAGCGCGTCTTGAACGCGCTCCGCATTTGCCTCTTTTGGTAACTACGACCCAGACCTCAATCTCGCGAGGGTTAGGTCAGTAGTTTCCAAGTTGAATTCATACGCTCGGCTCGGTCTTGCCGTAATACACGTTAAGTATGGCAAGAAAGGGGTCGACACCAGCATCGTCAACACCAGCTACACTGCAGAAAGCTGGCTCATCGTCCGGCCAAAAAAGTATTGCAGCGTTCTTCTCTAAAACTCCTACTTCCGCCAGTGCTGTCAAGCTACCCGAGAGGTCGAGCCCTCGTAAGAAATCGAGCAGGCCAAACTTTAGTGCACCTACATCAAGACCCAAGTTGACCCCAGTCCCGAGCAGCGATGTGGTAGGACCAGAAGACGACGAAGACATAAAGGCTAGTCCTCGCTTTGGTTATGGCCTCATTTCGCCGGCCTCTGCTGACAGAGATCAGACAAAGCCTGTAGAGGTTGTCAATGGAACAGGAACACCTTCGAGAAGAGTACGCATTCCATTCGAGTTGGAAATGGTGGCTGATAAGAATCTAGGTTAAGAGCAAGAAGATCAATTATGTCGAATCCGATAGTGAAGGAACAGACAACGATGAGATCTTTAAGTCGAGGACTGCTCGGAGACAACCACCAGCAAAACGACGTAAGATGTCCGAAAGTGCAGACGAGGACATCTACGACCAGGAGAACGATATCGACGAAGGTAAGCAGCCTTGTCGTTTCGAATCTGGATGCTAATGACGCTAGACCTCGACGACTTTATAGCGGCCGACGACTCGGAGGAGGATGTCAGACCAACCAAGAGAAAGAGACAGAACAAACCCACTATTCGTAAGCCTTCCATAGACGAAGAAGGAGAGAATGAGCCAGGTACTGAAATCGCTGTGGCTCTGGACGACCTACCCGAATCCTCAACAGCTACTCAATGGACATTCGATCCTCAGAACCCGCAGCCGTTGCAGCAAAGATCGACCAATCTACCGTCTAAGAAGCCTGGTACTGCTGGGAAGAAGCTGAAACCCCACATGACTGAGCCTGAAAAGAGGTACACCTGGCTCGAAGAAATTAGAGATATTGACGGTAACCCAAAAGGCCACCCTGATTACGATCCTCGCACAATCTTCATACCACCACTTGCATGGTCGAAGTTTTCACCATTCGAGAAGCAGTACTGGGAGATCAAGCAGAAATTCTGGGACACTATAGTGTTCTTCAAGAAGGGCAAGTTCTATGAGCTATATGAGAACGATGCCACCATTGGTCATCAGCTGTTCGATCTGAAGTTGACAGATCGAGTCAATATGCGTATGGTTGGCGTACCTGAGTCGAGCTTGGACATGTGGGCGACCCAGTTCGTTGCTAAGGGCTTCAAAATCGCTAGAGTAGATCAGCGAGAGACGGCATTAGGTAAGGAAATGCGAGATCGTGAAGAAAAGCCAGGCAAGGGCAAAGGCGCGAAAGAGGAGAAGGTCATCCGCCGTGAGCTTGCTTGCGTTCTTACAGCAGGAACGCTTGTGGAAGGAGCGATGCTGCAAAACGACATGTCAACCTGGTGTGTAGCCATTAAAGAGTCGGTAAGAGACGAAAAGCCGGCCTTTGGTATTGCATTCGTCGATACCGCCACTGGACAATTTCACGTGACAGAATTCGTTGACGACAACGATCTGACACGTTTCGAGACCTTTGTGGCTCAGACGAGACCACAGGAGCTGCTGCTCGAAAAGGGTGCACTCTCTATCAAAACCTTGAGGATACTCAAGAACAATACAGGACCTACCACGATATGGAATTACCTCAAGCCAAGCAGGGAATTCTGGGAGGGCCACATCACGGTGAAAGAGATCGAGGCTAGTAATTATTTTGCACAAGAATGGCCACAAGTCCTTGAAGAGTCCAAGGACAAGGAGCTCTTAATGTCCGCTCTGGGCGCGCTTATACACTACCTCCGAACTCTCAAGATAGAGGAAAGCTTGGTCACCATGGGCAAATTTGAGGCCTACGACCCCATCAAAAAAGCCACAAGCTTGGTGCTTGATGGTCAGACTCTTATCAACCTAGAAGTCTTTGCCAATACGTTCGATGGTGGTGCTGATGGAACACTATTTCAGCTACTTGATAGGTGTGTCACCTCATTCGGCAAGCGACTGCTTAAGCTCTGGGTTTGTCATCCTCTCTTGGATACCCAAAAGATCAATGCCCGTTTAGACGCTGTCGATTCGCTCAATGCCGATCATAAAACCCGTGATAGGTTCACGGCCGAAATGCAAAAGATGCCTGATTTGGAGAGATTGATCTCAAGGGTCCATGCTGGAACTTGCAAAGCTCAGGACTTCGTTCGTGTTCTCGAGGGCTTCGAGCAGATCGAGTATACCTTCTCACTGCTTAAGGAGGGCCAGTCTAAAAGTGTTGATGATCAAGGAGTTATTGGCCAGTTGATCACGTCGATGCCAGAGCTTCACAGCAGGTTGAAGTACTGGCAGAAAGCGTTTGACAGAGAGAAAGGCAGAGAAGCTGGCATTCTTGTACCAGAGCGAGGCATTGAAGAAGACTTTGACGAGTCACAGGATTACATCGAGTCTATTCACAAGGAACTGAATGATCTCTTGCAAATTTGGCGAAAAGAGCTAGGCTCGAGTGCTGTTTGCTACCGAGACAACGGAAAAGAGATCATGCAGATGGAGGTGCCTATCAAAGTCACGAAGAAAGTACCTAAAGACTGGAACCAAATGTCAGCGACACAAGCTGTGAAGCGGTACTATTTTGATGATCTAAAAGCTCTTGTGAGAAAGCTGCAAGAAGCTCAAGAGACACACTCGCAAATTGTTAAAGAGGTCGCTGGTCGTTTCTACGCTCGCTTTGACGAACACTACGAGATCTGGCTTGCAGCAGTCAAGCTTGTTGCTCAACTCGACTGTCTGATCTCACTGGCCAAAGCGAGCTCAAGTCTAGGACAGCCATCCTGCCGGCCGACCTTCGTCGACGACGAGAGATCAGTGCTGGAGTTTGAGGAGTTGCGGCATCCATGTCTTCTCGATAAGGTCGATGATTTCATTCCCAACGACATCAAGCTCGGTGGAGATATCGCCAATATCACGTTGTTGACAGGAGCCAATGCGGCTGGCAAGTCGACGGTCCTCAGAATGACTTGTGTGGCTGCATTGATGGCACAAGTAGGGTGCTATGTACCGTGCAAGTCGGCTAGGCTCACCCCTATCGACCGAATCATGTCACGGCTCGGCGCCCAAGATCACATCTTCGCAGCGCAGTCTACCTTCTTCGTCGAGCTTGCTGAGACCAAGAAGATCTTGACCGAAGCCTCCCCACGATCTCTCGTTATTCTTGACGAGCTTGGCCGAGGTACTTCGAGTCACGACGGAGTTGCAGTCGCACAAGCCGTGCTCCATCATCTAGCCAGTCATATCGGCTGCCTGGGTTATTTTGCAACGCACTATCATTCGCTGAGTGCAGAATTTGACCGCCATCCCGAAGTCGTGTCCAAACGCATGCAGATCATGGTTGACGATGCCGAGAGACGCGTAACATTCATGTACAAGGTTGAGGATGGAGTCGCAGAAGGTAGCTTTGGCATGCACTGCGCAGCCATGTGCGGCATAGCCAAAAGCGTCATTGACCGAGCTGAAGAGGCTGCCCACGAGTGGGAGCACACAAGCAGGATCAGCCAAAAGCTCAAGGTCAAGCAGGAAGAAGACAGCAATAACCAGGAATTACCACTAGGCTTGCTCAGTGATGTCGCGTCCTTGCTGCGTGAGGAAAGCAGTATGGATCATCGCGGAATCGATGCACTTCTGAAAAGTATTGAAGGACTGTAAGATATGGGTCCGGATCGACAATAAGTATGTATGTCTGTACGGTATATGGTCTTGTCTAGCGTTCAAGCAGAAGAATAAGGCGAATTTTTTAATATCATTCTACATCAATTGTCTCTATGCCAAGTGCAGCAAACATGTTTGACAGAGAGAATAGCGTCAAGATTGCTAATGACTCTTCAAAGATCCACGGTGTTCGTACTACTAGAACTAACGTGGAAGTGAAGGTATGCTCGCTTGTGATGATGCTATCTTATGCTGTATTACTGGGCTCTTGACCACTGAGTTATTTAGTGCCAACCAAAGCATTTGGCTATATCCACTATCGCCTTGGAGTATTCCACTGTTCGTTGCAAGCACTTCGTTTAGTGTATCCAAAACACGCTAAAGACCATATCGTGTCCCACAAGCCCAAGTCTGTACACCTCTCGCTGACACAATGTCGACAAATCGTCCTGGTCTTCACTCCTCACCCCAACCGTCTTGAGCTTTCACTGAAGACGCGTCATCATCATCATCGTCCCTCATCCCCTAGGTGAACTGCCCTAAATCCTCCTCAACATACCAGCCATGACCATACGGCATGAGCACAAACTCAATACCAGCCTTCTTGTACGCAGCCTGAACATCTTTGACAGCGTTTGTACCGTCTGCTTCTACGGTCAACTTCTCGAAAGCTGGGAAGTCTTCCTTGGCGGTATGGGCGAGTTTGATGAGTTCATCGTCGAGGTCGCCTTCCAGGTCGCAGAGGTTGTCGATCCATAGGGTTTTGAGGGTTGAAGGGAGGAGGTGGAGGAAGGGTTTGCAGGTGTCTGAGCTGGATGATGAGCCGGAGGAGGAAGAGGAGGATGTTTCTGTTTCTTCATCGTCGTCGAGGTCTGTGCTGTCGGTGTCAGTGTCGCTGGTTGAGCTTGTAGCTGCATCTGGGTGTGTGGCTGGGTCGGGCGGGAATTGGGCGTGCACAATGTTGCTGATGATCTCGTCGACGGATTCGTCTGAATCGGTTTCTTCTTCGTCGTCACTCTCGTATTCTGCTAGGTCGAAGGCGTCCAGTCTGAGGTGTTCTAAGGCGGTGAATCCGCGAAGGCTGGGGAATCCATCGTCGTCTCCTAGAGACTCAGTTGTGATTGATAAACTTTCGAGTGTATTCTTGACCGATTCGAGCCCGTTGATAATATCGGTGGGAGTGATGAAGTCTTCTGGGCTCCCATCTTCGTCGTCTAGGTCTTCTATTAGACGTTAGCTCAAAACATGGTTTTCGTCAAGTCTCTAGCTGCCCCCGTAGGATAGCTGTGAGTTTGACGTTTGAAAGTCACTCACCTAGATCGTGTGTAAAGTAATGAAACTCCTTCAAATTTGGACATCGTTCGATGATAGGACTAATATCACGTCCCCACATCCATGGCGAATTAACCAGCGTTACCTTCTGCAAAAACGGACATAGAGCTGGCATAGACAGGTCCTCGAGTTGCGTTGCATGAAGACCGACGGCCGTAAGCGTTCTAAGCTTACATCTGTGGAATATTGTGTTCAATGTGGCTAGATTACCCCAGTTGTCTTTATACACAAGATTCCTCAAGGCAGGCAGTAGTGGTTCTTTAATGTCTTTGAGTCTTCTACCAAACAATTCAATTTCTGGACAATCTTCCCATGATATGAACAAGCTGTGGACGTGCTTGAGCTTGAGCAGAAGGACTTCGAGTGCCACAACCCAGAAGAGTTCCTTGGCAGGAAATTCAGGGATCAGAGATTCTAGCTCCTGCATGTCGTGGGTTCCTTCGGCTCGAACATGTTCCGAGTAGTAGGAGACGTCCTCTTTCTCGTAGTCGTCGTATGAACAGACACGAAGTGTCACCACATGGACCGACGTTGCTAATGAGGGATTTTCGGTAATGGACTTTGTGAACCGTACAATCTGATGACCTCCTAAGTCGACTTGACGATATAGATGAGCTTGTGAAATTCGATGTAAGGTTTTAGATGTAAGAGAAAGGTTGAGGAGTGCGGCACTTGCCCGTATAACAGTGTCTTCCTCGCTCCAGTCGAGGACTTGACATATTCTTTCGATCAACTCCTCCGGCAGGCTCAACAACGAGGCCCTACTTATAGGGCTGGTCGTCTCGCAATCTGAATCATCAAATGTGGCGTTGTGGCTTCTAGCCAACTGATCCCGACTCTGAAGATCGTCGTCCATCACATCGATGTCTTCTTCGGACCATCTGTGGCTGCTGGGTCGAACCTGGTATCTTTTAGCGACTCGTGCTCGTGTTGATATATGACCTCGTCTTGGCCCAATTATCCGGGCTCGCGTCGCTACGAGCCTCCGCGCTGGTGGTGGACCGAACACCGCGGCGCGTGTCGCTGCGTGACCACTCCTTGACGTGAGAACCATTGTGATAAGGAAGATTACGTAAGGATACACTCTCAATTGGACGAAGGACGAGTGAGATGCGTCTACTATTTCGCGGCGTGAATCAAAGTTCAGTAATAACAGAATAGTAACAAGGAGTGAGTCACTGCTGCTTTTTAGAATAACAACAAGATATTAGAATATTCCGTTGCTAGCATCAAAGCGTGAAGATGATGAGAATTATGGTTCAGTGTCATTCTGATTTGCCTGTCCGACACGGTGAAGGTGTTTAGCGTGTCCGACCACACGAGGAGGTAGTCACGGAACAAAGTTATCCTTCTGTCTCAGGCATTAACAATGCTTCAATTGTTCCCCAGACAGCGAAGCGCTTTTCATCAGGATCCCTTTACTGTACCGCAAGCACACATCCCACAAATAGTCGAAGAAAATTGAACCGAGGGAAACAGATTGGCTCTATGATGGAAACAGTTGTTTGGCCTTGATGGGGTTTGCTTATTGTTCTATGGCTTCCTGAGCAGATCTTTATTGATTGAAGGATCAGTTATCACTTAGCTACTCCTAATTCTGTATCATTCATCGGGAGCAGACTTTTGCGCTACAAACTAGTCGCTCTCGATGGGCTCAGCCTCCAGCTTTTCAGCACGCGCGTTTCGAGCTGCTTCTTTCCGTCTGCTTACAAACAGCTTTGCGGTACGTGCTATGTCAGCATAGTCCTCCTGATAACTCAGATATTCATCCTTGTACTGACCATCCTCGTCTTTGAGTGAGCAGTCTAATTGGAAATATTGTAAGAGCTGAGCACGAAAGCCGATATTTGGATTGACGATTGCCCGCTTGCTCCGAATGAATTTGATGGCTTGTGCGGTGGGATCTTGGTCCCATATCGGCACTTCAGGGCTAGTGATATCTACCGTCCTGACGAGGTCGAGGTGGTACTTCAGAAGGTATGCTGCGACAATGGTTGCAGATCGCGACACGCCTTTATGGCAATGCACCAAGACAGCACCTGGTCGTGGTATTGGCGAAGTGACAACTGAGTTTTCATTCATGTATCCGTTGGTAGGTGAGCTGAAAGCGCGACGATGTGGTCTTTGCAGTATCGTTTCTCTCAAGCTAGGTTGGGCTTGTAGCGTAGGAATAGATTTGTGGCTCTGAAGCCTAGGAATATCATCGTGAATATTCATGCTTTGCATCTGGGTGATGATGGATGACATGGCTTCAACGTGGATGTTCTTGTGGAGGGACTTTGTGGCGAGCATATACTTCTGAACGCCTCCGTGTATGAATTGACCAGTTCTGTCAAGGTCTGAAAGTAATTCCTCATCAACGGTATCCAACTTGTTGAGTCGCAATCGTTCAATCTTTGTGCCTGAGCCTTTTGGGGAGGGTAGTGGCAGTGGATAAGGCCTGTCAGAGAGAATTGTAACAATTCGTGAAATCGCTGGATACTGGTGGTCGTCGTCCAGCTCACCTCTCAGGTAAGCTGCTGCTGTTTTTGCGTTGCCTAGATACAAGCCTGGAATAATTTCACTGGGAATATCAGCTTTTCTTCTCAAAAAGGATTCTTCATAGGATTTCTCACCGCGTCTGATGGTCGAGAATTTTGGAATTCTGGAGGTCAGAGGTATTTCGATCGTTGCACCACTGTCGGTGTCATTGTTTGAGCTTGCACAAGCTTTGGGCACATCTATGGTCAGTCTAGGTCTCTTCCTTTGCGTAGACAAGTCTATGTCGTCCTGTGACATTGTGAAAGTCATTGCTGGTGACGATTTAGATGTGGAAGAGTAAGGTAGAGCCTGTTTTGTATAATGATCCGTATAGTGAATGCGGATCCAAGAGACTTCTTGTGTCGAGTCAGGGGTTTGTTGTTTTGAAAGTGACTCTTTGTCACTTAGTCCTCATTGCATCTGCCCTTGGTCTGAATGACAATGACAATGACTCTGGCATTGTCCTCAGTATCAAATTCCCGCTAGACGATAGGGGGCGCATGTTCAGGGTGTGCCAGCACGACATCGCCGCCAACGCATTGTGAACGGTGGTCAACTTGCTATTATCTAGGAGGCTGAGCAACACAATCTATTAGTGGCGCCACATCTGTTACAACCGTAGTAGTGGTTCGACCATTTAGAAATGCATGAAGTTTCCAAGGCATAGATGTGAATCCTGCATGGTACGACCATGGACGTAATTGTACGTTGGTCTCACGAAATGAATCTATGAAGTTACGGGGGGATTTTGTTGTAAATGTTGATGCCCCAGGCATGAATAGAATTCAATCAGCGCCCTAACTTTCACCTGGTCGGAAGTCCTTACACTACAGCCACGAAAACTGAGGTGACTCGAAGTAGGTGATATTCTCAGCTCCTGTTAGAGAGAATAGTTAACTCGTATCAGATTATCAGTAGGTCTACGGTGACCCTGGTCCCCTTTTATTCTACTTTTGCCCCTCAAACATCACTTCTTCGAGCATCGTCTTCTCACCGCTTTTTTCTACCATCTCTCTGAAACTTCCCTCTTTGACGTCCTTGGACTGGTACAGCTCTTTCGGCGTACCGTATTCGACTACCTGCCCTTGACCTAGGACTAGTACACGCTCGAAATCGACGATTGTGCTCAATCTGTGTGCTATGACAATCAACGTACATCTTCCTCCAAACTCTTCTCTAATGCTTTGCTGTATTAGTCGATCCGTTTCCATATCCACAGAAGATGTTGCTTCGTCGAGGACAAGAATTCGTGGCCGTGAGACAATAGCTCGTGCCAGGCACAGAAGTTGCCGCTGACCTTGGGAAAGGTTGAGGCCAGATTCTGATATACGTGTGCTTAACGATAAGGCAGTGTTCTTGTTTACTGGTGTCGAAGTGCCGGTAAGACTACCTTCTTGAGCGATGCCTCGGTGAATCGGTGTGGCAGTGCCTGATGCTTGCGTCGAAGACGCTGGGTCGAGGAGATGTACTCGAGCCAGAGCATCCCTGAGCTCGATGTCGCTGTGCTGATCGAATGGATCCAGATTACTTCGCACCGTGCCTGAAAACAGGACTGGGTCTTGTGGTATGATAGCGAGTCGACTTCTGAGGTCGTATAGCTTGATCTTCGAGATATCAATGCCATCTATCCGGATAGACCCCGATTGTGCCTCGAGGAATCTGAAAAGTGCTAATGTCAAGCTCGACTTACCAGCTCCAGTTCGGCCGACAACGCCAACACGCTCATTTGCCTCGATATTGAAGTTCAGGTTTCTCAGCACTGGAGGTAGATCTGCAGAGTAGCTGACAACAAGATCCTCAACTTGGATTTCTCCTTTAGTTGGCCACGCGGCAGGAGCATCGTCGCCTCCTTGATCCTCGGTCTCAATATTCGAGAACTCAATGACGCGCTCAACAGCATTGAAGTTTAGCTCAACGTTTGCGTATTGTCTCAGTGCCCAGATAACACTTTCAGACAGGTCCAGCGAGAAGGATAGCACGAAGCCTGCCAATGAAGCATCAATCCCTATGAGCGAGACGATCAGCGCAGCCGTGGCAAAGGTGAAGAGTGCGCCGACCATATTTGCTCGGAAGCTCATCCACCGGGAAAAGAGATAAACGTGGAAGATGCAGCTGCAGTGAGTATTAATCCTAGCATACATTCGCTCGAGATAGGCCTCAGTGCGGCCAAATGCTCGGATAGTGCCAACACCAGTGAGGACTGACCCAAACTGCTCGAAGATCGGCGATTTGGCATTGCTCTCAAGACGCTTAACTTCACGTGCTCCACGCAGGAAACGCTTCGCAAACCAACCTGAGACCATGACTAGCAGGAGCGCAAAGAGGAGCATAATTGGCGAGACAAAGGCTCCTGCGATAATCACCGAGAGCACGGATATACCACAATGCAGCATGAACCCAAGATCGCTGGCCATACGTGAGTCGATCATATTGAAGTCTGCAGTGAATCTGTTCGAGAGTCGACCGACAGGCGTGGTGTCTAAGAAGCGAAGAGGTGCTCGGAGGATCGTGTTTGTCAAATTCTGGAACATGACATGGGATCCGCTTATCGATGCGAGGAATACAGTAAAATATCGTATCGTGCCTATGATCCACGCACTGAAGGATATGGCAACGTAGACTCCAATGTAGAAGAGGAGGTCGTTGGATTGCTTGTCAGCTCGCAGAGTCGATAATTTGTGGTGCGTTGTTTGGCGCCAGCTCGGTATTTGGAGTGACATCAGTAAGTCACGGTGCTTGTGTTCCTCTGTTTCGTACTGTCGTGTCCAATGCGAGACCCAGTAGGAGCGACCAAGAGAGAACCCGATCCAGGAGAGAAAGACGACGGCTAAACACAACCAGTAGAAATATCCTCGACATGCTTTTACATATGTCTTGTAGACTTGGAAACTGATTGCTCCAGTCTCACGAGCCTCTTCTTCTGTGAATTTCTTTGGCGAGTCCTTCGACTTGTGGTTCTCCTCATACCCATTAGTTGCACTTGCTCTGGACCTCTGTAGTGCTAATGTCGCCTGATCGCCTTGAAGACGAGATGAGGCTCGGCGAGATCTTCGGGATTGGTTAGTAGCAATTTTCGTGAGGTCGTTGCCACCATCATCGATCAGCAATGCATCTTCCTGGTTTGCACTCTCTTCCTCTTTCTTCTGCTCTTCGACATCATATGCTAGGATATCGCTCAAGTGTCCATTAGCACGGAGATTGTCAACAGTGTCAGCGCGGAGAGCACGTCCTTCTCCTAAAAGTACAATATATTTGGTCATTGGCAGGCATAGCGCCACGTGGTGTGTGACCAAGATCCTCGTGCGACCCTGACACAACTCACCAGTAAGAGCGTTCTCATATAACTGGCGTCCTACGTGAGCATCGACGGCACTAAAGATGTCATCCAGAACAAGTATACCAGCGCGACTGTAAAGTGCACGCGCGAAGCTCGCTCTCCATTTCTGCCCACCACTGAGATTGATGCCGTTGGCACCAATATCAGTAAGATCGCCATCTTGCAGCATCTCGAGATCTTTTTCTAGAGCGCTCGCCGAAAGGACCTTCCTGTATCGACCCTCATCATGAGGCAAACCAAACAAGATATTGTCGCGAAGCGAGGCGTTCTCAATCCATGGTATTTGACTCACGTAAGCTATTGTTGCCGGAATTATCCAGTTTGATCTGTTTGCTTTATGATCGAAACGTTCCTGCTCTGCTATGGGTCGCGGCACCGTAAGTTTGCCTGAAAGCAGGTCTGCCTCGCCTATAATAGCCGATAGCAGCAGCGACTTGCCAGAGCCAGTACGACCAGAGATAACATTCAACTCACCCATGTGAAAACTGAGGTTGAGATCGTGGAGGCTGAAGGTACGATCCTCTGCTTCTTGCTCGTCAGAAGGCCAGGATATAGTTGCATCCTGGAATGAGATTGAATCGCCTGCTGTGGTGCTTACCTTCAATTCGGCCGAGTCCATGAAACTTTGTATTCTCCTCGCGGAAACAATGGCATCAATCATCTCCGTCACTAGCTCAGGCACCACGGCTAATGTCATCTCGATTGCCTCGAAGATGGACAAAGTGGTGAACGCAACTGAGGCTGAAATTGTGCCATTGATCCATGCATAAGAAGCCAGAGATATCGCACTCATGCAGGCTGGTCCGAAGATCCATATCGAGATCAACCCAGTATCATAGCAGAAAGACTTCCATTGTTCTCTCAACTCTTTCCGACGTGTTTTGAGGATACGCTCGTACCAGTCTTTTTCAAGAGCACTGAATTTGATTTGCCGAATTCCTTGAAGCGCTTCCGTAACAACAGCCATTTTTTGGTCACGGTATTTCATAAGCTCATCCTGGGCGTCACTGTATTTCTTGCTGATCAGATAGTTGATCGGACTAATTACCACGGGTGCTGCGAAGCCACAGAGCATAGGTATCCAACCGATAAGCTTGACCAGGAAGATGATAGCGAACACTAGTTTGACAGCCGAGCCGACAAAGAGATAGTTGTAGGTACAAAAATCGGATACTCGTTTGGAATCAACACCGATAAGGTTGATGGTGCTTTGTTTGGTTTTTGTGACTTCTTCGTCATCGTCGTTCTCTTCCTCTTCCGTGGTAACCTTAGTCTGGTCGTTCTGGAGGGCTGAATCTTTAGTTACATTGACTTCCCCTCGAATTTCAGCATCCTGATCGACCTTAGCGGCACTCTTGACGTCCTTTTTTCGAATAGCTTTGCCGAATATGACCGCCGAAAGTTGCTCGTAGACTGGAATACCTAGTTTCAAGAAGCATACGTAGAAGAGTAGTGATTCGAGCCAGGCTCCAAGAGCGACCGCAAGACCCATACCGAACGCAGCAATCCAAAGCTGGAACTGGTTAGAAGCACCACTATCTCGAGCTTCGAGAAGCCTCAAAACCGTGTAGAGCACAATCTGTGGCAGGAAGTTCGTAATAGCAGTTAAGATCTGAAGACTCCATTGAGCAGCAAATAACTTCTTGTGAGACCAGAAAATCTGCTTCCATAGCTTGTCTTTTTTACCCACCGCATCGAACTCCTGTCTGAGTGTCTCGGCTCGCATTGAGTAGTTAATAACAGGCAGATCATCGTGCGTAAGAGTGCGATTTTTCGCAGCATAGTTCAGTACAGGAGCGGGCCACGAAAAGGTGAATCTGTTAATTAGAGAAACTGTGTACTCACGGTCAACAGGTTTACCATCTTTGGTAAGCTCGGGACGTCGAGGGATCGAGACGCTCGTGAAGAAGATGACCATTGCCAAAATGAATTGCGTAGCTGAGAGAATTGCATGAGTCTTCTGAGGGTCAGGATAAACGTTTTTGAAGTACAACAGGACATCCTCAACAGCGATTGATACCGCCAGCAGAAGGGCAGAGAGTGAGTTCCAAGCGCCAAGTCTGCATTTATCAATAGAAGTAGTCGTAACGTATATGCCACAAGATTGCACGAACAAGACGGTCTATCATCTGGTAAGCGTTTGACATAATTGTTAGAAAGGACCTCTTACCCAGGTGCCGAACTGAAACCATTGCTGAAGAGCAAAATCTGCCCTCTCACTATTTGTAGAGATCAGGAGAACTGGAGCAAGAGCCACTGCCAGTCCTGTAAAGCTAGCCGCCACTAACAATACTCGTTGAGGTACATCAGTAAAGGCAGACTGAGACTGCTCAGTGGCTTGACCATCTTGATCCTCGTATTTCCCAGGGAGGGTCTGATACTTGTATCGATGTGTTAGGTGCTGTTGAAAAGCATTTACCGCATGAGGTATGGACGCGATTGCCACCAACACGAGACAGGCTATTGAAACAACGAAAGACGTGGTTGTGGCTTCGTACATGATGTTCAACGGAACGAGGGTTGCGATATGATAGTTCATCGCCCAATATGCATCGCCTTTCTCAAGCATTCCAGCTGCTACAGCGTGAAGAGCGGCCAGCGCGTGAAGATTTTGTGCTGTACAAGAAGAAAATGGTCGCAACGTAGTTCGAAAACAAAAATTAGTTCTACGGCAATAGTGGCGAACCTTTGCTGCGACGAGTATTATTCATAGTGACAACCGTCATACTGTTTCCCGGCATAGGAGATAACACTTTTCAAGCAAGAAGGATTGCATTTGTTCGTTCATTTAGTAGTTGAATGACGCGAAGTCGAATACAGCACACTCCACAGCATCAACGATGTGATGCCGGCAGAATTACAGACGCTCCACTGCCGACTGGGATCTTCTGTTATTCGCTGGCTGTCGTATACGGATACAGACTACGAGTGGCGCTTTCACTTCTGGCGTGCGCCTGACTCACGAGTAAGCACACTGAGTCATACAGTTGCAACGGCATGCAGAACATTGTGCAGGTGTGGAAGGAATATCTGACCAATTTTACGTGAGACAAAAACGTGCACATGGAGGAACGGCCTGGACGACTAGCGTGAGTGCTTGGGTGTCTGGAATGTGGTCGATGGCATGTGCTAGGCCGCTATAAAGCTATGTATGGGCACCCTCGAAGTAACGAGTAATATGTCCATTGGCGTACTCCCGGACGATTTTCAGCAAAACAACTCAACCATGACACGCTTGCTAATCCCCCTTACGCCCGCTTCCAGGATATCCCAATAAGTCAATCGATCAGATGCTTGATACTATTGTGATCTGAACGGCTCATACGCTGTGTGTTTTTGAGCTGACGGGGCGCCACTCCCCATGTTTGTCAGTGGGACTGCCTGTCCTCCTTGAGGTCCGAGATATGGACTACCAACCCTTTCATATGTATATGGTGTCTTTTCAGCTCTGGTTCTTCGGGCATCCTTCGATCCTGGGTTGTATGGCGATCTAAACATATGTTAATTACTATGCAAGCACAACATGCAGGAAGACCTCTTACCTTCCAGAGCAACAGCACACGGATAACAGCCAGAAGAGCCCAGCACCAACAGCAAATGCGGTCGCAACCCAGGTGACAATATAGCCCTTGTTGCCAACATCAGCGCGTATGCCGTAATCCTCTTCAAGTGTCTCGTTCAGCACTCCTTTCATTGTGAAGAACAAAGCCGTCGCGACAACAGAAGCCACGAGTGTGAAGATACTCGAAGCAGCCGCGAAGATAGTAGTAGCAAAACTACCCCATCTGGAGAAGATGGCAGAAATGCCCACCAGGACAGTTGCGGCAGTCGATGCCACAGCAACGATGTACATTATAGACATGGCCTTGCTAACCTTCTCATACGTGTTCAAGCCGGTCCTCAAGGACGAGGGCAGGAGATCCTCAATCTCAGTTCCTGTAGTGTTTGAGTCGAGTCCCCATATCGAGATGGCGTCGAACCAAAAGATCGTTTGTGGAGAGGAGCAGTTCGCGTACAGGTCATCACCGTTCCAGCCGCAGTATCCACGCAAATATAAGGTATAGTAATCGTACATGTTCAGCTGCTGTTTCGCTGCTTCGAGGGCCCCGCCGAGTACGGAAAGATTTGCGCCAGTCGTGCCACCTGCGAGGTTTGCAGAGGCTGTCGTTGTGAAATTGGAGAGATCAAGCTGAAGGCAATTAGCATACTGATATAGCTGTAAACCGAAAGAGAAGCCACTTTTGCGAAGTACAGGCTGTCCAACGTCGAACTCCTGTCTATTGAGCCTGCAAGAAAGACCAATATTAAGCATAGCAGTGCGCCAATCGTGAGCAGAAAAGGCGTGGTGATGCACACCACACGTCCGGCGTTGACCATCTCGTTGTGTTGGTGGTACGAACAACGATGAAAATGACAAGATCTCGACCAACTTCCGTGCCTGTAGCCGAGTAACAGCAATTCTGACCCAAAGAGAAAGACCTGAGGGCAAGTGAACAACACAACGAAATAATGAGGTAGAGAAGGCAAGTCAGCACTAATATGATGGTCTCGAAGCGGAGGCTGGACTGCGCCAACTCTGACAGGTGAGATCGTTGCGCAGCTGGCTATTTTAGGGTTAGGGCATTGAAATGGTGGGGAAAGCTGTGTCTGCTCTCAGGGTCCCTGGCCAGCTGCCAAGGTGGAGGATGCTTGTCGTCCGTTTCGAGATCAATGTGATCGAGTATACTAACCCAGGCTGGTAAGGCAGGAAAGCCTAGCAGTACTCGAGTACTTCCCACATACAAACTGCACGAAAATGCAAGCACGAGGGTTTTGAGACTGGAGAAACCTGTGCGCAGCATCTGCGCTTGCGGCTGTGGCTTAGAAAGGCTCAACGCATGCCTGTTGCCGCTTCTTGTCCACTTCATCCAAGATCGTGGCCAGCAATTGTCCGGGCAATCGGCGAAGCGTCATCGCATTGTGGTCGTACGCATCACTTGTTGAGTGTTGTCTTCGAGGACGAATCGTGTGGCAAAGCAGAAGACCATCCATTTCATCTGTGCGTAAAGGTCTTAATCATTGTGCGTCTTTTCGGATTGGCCCCAGAACATCGACGCTGGAGCTCCAGCTCGGGAGCTAATTGAAAGCTCGGCAGTTCGGGACAGGTGCTAAAAATAGGAATTGCCTGGTTGCCTCGTGTCCCAGGATGAAAAGATTTCTTGGTCCTCCATAGTTTCGACAAATGAACAAGGCTCTTTCAGACCACTAACTGAACAACCTCCAAGAGTGTGTAAAACTCACATTACAACCACAGAGTGCAGTATACGAAAATCGAACATTGAATTTGTCCGGCAAACATACTTTGTGGTTTCGATGCTGTTTTATTCACCGACCCGAACACTCACCTCTGTACGATTTATCATCGTCCTCGTGGCTGGGGATTAAAGTGGTCTTCTGTATGTGAGTGGATATGGACAGGTTAGCAGGTAATTTGAGTGGTTGTCAAAGACTCAATGTAGAGAGGAGAAAAGTTGTGCGTTTAGTCACTTCGGCTCCGAAAAAGATCTCAATTAAAATGTGACAATCTACCAGGTAAAGTACAAGACGGTCCTCTGTTGATAACGTACTAGTAGTGCTCGTTCAAACTGCAACACAATCATGAAGTCCCTCTATTACATTAAATGCAGGTAGAGGCAAGGCTCGCTGTTGCTATCTCATCAGGAACAATGAATCAAGGCACAGTACAACCCTTTCTCTACATATCTCAGAAGACCCCAGACGTGGTTGGCATGGTCTCCAGAGTGATGATCTATTGTTTCTGTTTGTATCTTCTTAGTGACAGTTTCCTGCTCACTATCTTCATGTCACCAGCACCTTCCACGTACGCGAACAGCGAGACGCTCGACCTGACCGCAGTCTTCTCTGAGGACATGGCAATGAATTCTTTCTCAATATCCAGGTGCCAGACAACGGATCTGCTGCATCTTCGTCTTGCGTTCTCCTACGAAAATGGATTTGGTCCCTCAAATTCCTCACATAGAGCTTTTGAATGGTATCGAGGGTGTGAAAGATCCGGAAAGAAAGATCAAATACATGTGTCTGGCGCTGCAGCGCATGGTGAAATCAGAGAACTGCTCATGTCTGTACTGCACAGGAATATCGTCAAATCCTTTACTTGTCTTCGAAGAAGCATATCGTCAACTCGTGAAGCGAGCGCTAATACCATCATGTGTTGTACACGAGCCTGACGGGACTATCAATGTCCCATCGGCGAAGACCGATGTGCAAGTGCACACTGCTGCAAATATTCCACCCACTCCATGCTGTCAAGCACCGTCCGTTGCAGCGTCGCCTGAGCGACCTCGCAAGTACATGACGGAACCAGACCCTCTGAGTCGTTCTCATTTCCCAAGAGCGAAGCTGGATCTTAGTTCTGAAGGTCAATTGGCGATACTGGCCGATGAGCGTATGATCCGTTCTCGGCCAGTCACTGTGTCAGAGGCGGAAGTCAAGAGACTTACAACAATTAAGGAGGAGAAGGACCTTCTTGAGATCGGCAGAACGAGCGGACGAGGCGGCAAAGGTTCTAGAGGTCCATACAAGAAGAAGAAGAATCAACTTGGTGTACCAGCCAGTCGAACTCTAGCTGGAGCTTTGAAGCGCGAGCAAGCTTGCGACGATCACGACTCAAAGAGATATTGCAACAACGACATTCGTGGGCAGATAGAAAGACTTAACCCTCCATCGTTCACCAGCGGCACTGACACACCATCGGATCCTCCACCGAGGTACGATTGTAACGGACCCATTGTCAATAACGTTGCTATTCACAGGCCAAACGCTGTCCCTGCTATCAACAGACAGCCATCAACTTTTCCACGTCAGTCATCCTACACCATCCCATCCGCGCCGACAACTCCACCGCGACAGCCCGTCTCACAATACACATTCCATTCGCCTCCAAGACAGAATGGAATAGGACACCTCATCCCACCTAATTCACCGCAGAACTTGTACTCTCCCTCGCAAGTGCAGGCTATCCTGAACAATCTGGGGCGTACACAAACGCTAACACTGCCTAATCTCAACCAATCGCCCCCACGACACAATGGCTTCGCATACCCTCCAACTCCGCCACGAGCCACAGCACAACCTGTGCAAAGAGTCTCCCCACAGACCTTCGCGCAACAGCTCAGGCAAATCGCTAACAACGGAGGCACCCCATCTTCAATGTCGAGCCGTCCCTCACCAACCAGCCATCCAGCACAATGGCAGGCTCAACCACGCGGGACATCAACCTCGCCCATGAGTACATCCAGCGGCATGACAGGACACTCCCCCGCTACCCCATCTCCTCGACGATTCACGAATGGCACTACGACTGGCGTTCTCCCAAATAACATGAACAATATGCAGCAACATGGACCTGTTCTGACTCCCAGAGGACAGCTCCCGGTGCCGCCATTAAGCATTGTACGTGACAACGTTTGGATCGATAGGTTTGGGAGAAGCTGGACGAGAAACTTGGAGGGCCGATTTGTGCCTTATAGAGGTCTGTGATGAAATAATGACATTGTTTGTCGCAAGAAGATTGTTGGGCCAAGGGACATAGACGTGGATAGGATACGAGTAGAGGCCACTGTGGATAGAGATAGGCAGCCTGTAGGAGCAGGCGAGAAAAGTTATTGTTGTCATCAGTCGATTTATGTTCTTGATCACGTGCTGCGACTTGTGCCGTTGATGTACTGTAATCGACATCGCGGTTCTTAAGCATGCCAGATGACCACACGTCCGTCCACTCCACTAGTGCTAAACTGCTGCACTCCAGCTTGACTGCCAGAGAAGACTCTGATAGTGTTGATCGTGTTCTGATGAGTAGTACTCAACTGAGTATCGTCTTTAGCCTTTCCTCTGAGATCCATCTGCCTGAACATGTTCCTCGCACTTTCCTCCGTAGCAGCGCCTTGACCAGTCCTCTTGCTCTCCACACTGCCGACGAGCTCCCAACCTTGCTCACTGCCTCGGAAACGGAAGGGTTCGCAATCGTAACCAGCTGCAATTATCTCTGCGTCGCCGTTCCAGATGAGACTGGTGAATGGCAGTGTCTGGGTACTGATGCTGATCATAGCTCTTGGTGGCTGTTCCGGACCACTAGGGTAGACGACCGTGATGCTGCTGTCGTGACCTGCAAAAGCAAGCGCATCACCAGATGGCGCAAAGGATACTGCGTGGATCCACCCAGCGCTGTCGTTCAAGTATTCTCCACAAACTGTGTTGAAGGGTAATCTCTCACCCCAGACGCTGGCCTCAGGTCGCTCATCTATACCTTTGATAAATCCCGAGAAGACACGGGCATGGCTGTCCGTAGACCCAGCAGCTAGCAACACAGAGTTCGGGTGCCATGCGAGAGTCGTGATAGTGCTTCTGATCGGCTTCTTGAGATGCTTAGACACCCACCAATCATTCTCTTCCTCAAAGTAACAGACTGCAATAACACGCGCGCCAGAACCAACTGCGAACTTTCGCTCGGATGGCGACCATCGGACAAAGGTAGCAGCTCGGTTGATACGGAGGAGGACGAGGGTAGGTTTCCAGCCACCATCTGTAGATGAAGGCTCCCAAACGTAGGCATTGCGATCTGCCAGAGTCCGTCAGTGATATGAGCAAGAAGAAGCATGGCGTCACAGACCTTGGGAGCAGGTCACGATCATGCCACTATTTGGCGCAATATCGACACCAGTGACTGTCTTGTCGTGACCTTTGAGCTCATCTTTCAGAACGAACCTGTTGCCGGACTTGCCGTACAGTTCAATTGTGTTGTCTTTGGCTACTGCCAATGTCTGCCTATCGGCGGAGAAGGAGTGATCCGCAATCGGGTGGTGGAACAAGTGGTGGACTTCTGGAGCTGCCATGGTGAAAAAATCGCAATAGGAGACTCTCTACTATTGCTGTGGGAGGTACTACTGAATACGAAGTTGTATGAATTGTCAGTACGCAAGTGGGATATTCTGTAAGATGGAGATGTACAGGCTGGAAACTGGCCGCTAGAAAGCCTGACCCCATGCTACCGCCACAGCCAAAGCTCAAATACTGGCGGCCCGATGACGATCGACTGCGAGTCAAGTTGAGGATCGTAACTTTTTTCAGATACAAGTCTACCAGTTACACGAAGTCGATTTTATTAGCAGCATTCAGAAGGGAGAAGCAGCAATACACAACGGATGAGTAATCGCGGGAGGAAGAAATACCCATAGTGAGCATTTTTGGCTCGAAGAAGAACTCGAGTTGTTGGAGCGCAACACCAAAAGCCATGGCAGCTCGATCAAGTACGTTACCGCAAAAGCCTGGCTCTGGTGCACCAACAACCAACACTGGAGCACCTAACCAGACTCTATACATCAGAAATCTCAATCAGAAGATCAACCGAGATGACCTAAAGCGAGCTCTCTACATGCTCTTCTCGACATACGGACCTGTCCTCGATATCGTCAGCTGTCGCGTAAGCGCAAAGGGCCAGCAGATGAGAGGCCAGGCACACGTTTGCTTTCGCGATATTCAGACAAGTACTCAGGCAATGCGCTCGCTGCAAGGGTTCGAGATTTTTGGAAAAGAGATGAACATTCAGTATGCCAGAGGTACATCCGATATCATACCAAAATTGAGAGGCACTTTCGAACCACCTACCGCTCCTGCGCCTGCCACGGAAGCCACAGAAGTGCAGAAGTCCATCTTCAACGCACCACCTTCCAGTATCCCCGCAAAGCCTACGACGAATGGTGTCTTGTCCACTGCTGGAAGTGGCCCGCAAGGTACGAAAAGACCGCACGAGGACGTTGAAGAAGAAGAGGATCAGGACGACGTGGCAATGGAAGAAGATGACGATGATGATGCTCCTATGGAGGAGGACGACGACGATTGAGAGACCCGAAAGCGAGTTGTTTTTATCAGGGATGCCATGCCCAAAACCACCAATACTTACTTCGAGGGTTGTGGCCTTGTCGAAGCGCAACCCACAAATTGACATGTGCATGCACTTAGACGACATCCTGAGGGCCACATCCACATGTCGTGTGTGCAGCGCTCATCACATCAATTGGTGCAGCAAGTCCTACAACTGAACAGATGACGCCGAACCATAGCATCAAATACTCGAGCGGTGTCACGTCACGCTCTGAACAAACAGCCTGTAGAGCTTCTTGAGTTCTGCATGGATGAATGAATAAGGCAGGCAGATCGCTCACCGGGTGATGCTGTACTCGTGAGCTCACTTTTGCGCTAGGTCTGCGACAAACTTACGGCAACACTGATACCACCAAGAACGCCAATACTTCGAAGCCCGTCACGACTTTCAGGTAGCACTATACTGTCGTACGCCCAACCTGAAAGACCTGATGAAAGGATCGGAGCAGACGGACTGAACCACAAGACAGGAACCTGGTATGATGGGGAGAGTACGATGGAAAATTGAAGCTCAAAAGGAGCTGCAGATGTGGATGGCTGTCGAAGAAGTGACTCCTATCAAATAGGTTGTCAGCCATTGAATTCACACCTCTACCTATAGTCGTACCATATCGTCTTCCTCAGTAAGATCGCAACTCTCGGACTCCTTGTCTGCGCAAGGTGTACTCGGCAGCATTGAGCCTCGTTTCTGCCGGATCTGTAGCTCAACGCCTGTCCACTTGGCATCCAACCAATTACTGTTCTCTAGCCTAGACGTGCAGAGCACGTCCAGTTGTTGGCAAGCTTCTGCAAACTCGTTGTGACTGATGGCTGGGTAGTGTAGAACCATGATTGTCGCATTGTGCACAAGCGCATTGCAATTTGAATACTTGTTGCATAATTCGTGAGGCTGGTACTGTATATAGAGAATAGATTGATGGCCTGGCAGGCCAGATACGTGCCAAGACTAGGGCGGAGCCTGCTCTGACGCGCTGGCAAAGGCAGTCGCGGCAGGCAAGCAGCGAGTTGCGACTGCTTCAGTACTGCTCGATGATTCTTCAGCATTAAGATAGAGCATCCCATACAACCCGACACTACGACACTGCCTGTTTGTTCTATCATAACAGACCATCCGTTGTTGTTCCCGAACTCTAGAGAATAGAAGAAGAAGTACAATCTCACCATGAACCATTATCCGCAAGCTTGGGGCAGAGTAGGTTATTTCTCTCTAAGCCCGATCAAAAGCTGATGAGATATGTAGCCTCGAAATGATGTTTACGGTCCATACGATCACTCCTACACACATTCTGCGATGCCGAAAACGCATACACAATCTCCAGCGGTGACAGGAACATCGGTGTTGGGTGTAAAGTTCAAGGATGGAGTCGTTATAGCAGCAGACAACCTGGCTTCCTACGGATCTCTTGCTCGCTTCACAGATGTCAAGAGAATCCGCACGTTCGCACCCAATACAGTAATAGGCTTTGGTGGTGATGTTTCAGATATGCAATACCTCGACAGATTATTACAGACGCTTGAGATCAACGAGAACTACCTCTCCTCATCCGAGCACTCTCTGAACGCAAGAAATCTACACACATATTTGTCAAAGGTCATGTACAAGAGACGGAGCGACTTCAACCCTTTGTGGAACATGATGCTGATAGCTGGTTTTGATGAGGATGAGAAGCCTTTCCTAGCCAGCGCCGACCTGCTAGGCACTACCTTCTCAAGTCCCACACTAGCCACTGGGTTCGGTGCTCATCTTGCGCAGCCGCTGTTGAGGAGACTCATGCCACATGACGAGGAAAGTGTAAAGGATGTGACCAAAGAGCAGGCCGTCGATGCCGTCAGAGCATGCATGAAGGTTTTGTTCTACAGAGACGCAAGGAGTATGGACAAATACAGTATAGCTGTCATTACCAAGGACGGTGTTGACCTCAAAGAGGATGAGAAGCTGGAGAACCAAAGTTGGGCCTTTGCTGACCAGATTCGAGGCTATGGCACACAAGTAAATTGAGTGTGGTTATGAATGTCATGGTTCAGAAGATGCTTCAGAAGGCACGACTCGATATAGTGTAAACTGTTTTGGCATACTCAGAGCATTAACCAAAGCACAATCATGGGTTATCGGTTGACTCTCAGGTCATTTTGTGGTTACTTGCAAGCCGCGATGCTTAACGCCTGATTTGCAGGTCGGTCCTCATCTAGTATCTGACGTGATTATTTCGAGAGGTCTCGACTGAACCTCAATGCAGTCATTAAGACGAGTGCTGAACATCAGGCACGCTCTAGGTGGCAAACTCTGAAATGGAAGGCACGAGAGAAGACCAACCGGATTTGGTAGGTGGAACATGGAAAATGCTCAGTGACGCGGGCAAAGGCAGCTTTCCATAAAATAAATCGCGTTTATGCTCGTTCCTTCAAGTTGCCATTCAATCCTTAGAATCATAGTCTCAAGGCAATACCTCTGCCGCACCCACCTACTTTTCCATTGTCTTTCACTTTTCACTTTGTTCAAGGGAGATATTTTTTTGAAGCTCCCATTTCATTACTTTAACATTGTCTCCGACAACCACTGACACGAACAATTTCCACAGTGTACAGCGATTCAACCATGGCAGATGTCGCAACAACTCCTGTTACGCAACCACAAGACGCACAAGCCCAACGAGGTACCAACTCAACTCGAAGAGGCGGACGAGGTCGAGGTCGGGGTGGCAGAGCAGCAACAACGGCTTCGCATGCGGATACAACGACGCCACAACCACCGCAGACAGATGAACCTTCACAACTACCACACATACCACATCGCGGCACTGGAAGGAGATTCCGTGGTCAACTGACTAATAACGACTCGGGGTCACTTAGACCACAAGCAACAGACTTCATACCTGCCTCGATAGTACCACCGAGCAAGAATGCAAAACCCACGTCAAAGGCCTCTCAGAAACCCCCGCCTCCAAGTCAACAGAACGATGCCAAGTTCACCGCTTCTCTTACACGACGAGCCTCTCGATCAACAGCACCAGACTTGGCCACCCGGATTCAGGAAGACATAGCTCACAATATTTACGAATGTGCCATCTGCTCCAACGAAGTTGGTAGGAAGTCAAAAGTGTGGTCCTGTAATACGTGCTGGACTGTCTTCCATATCGGTTGTATTAAAAAATGGTCGAAAAATGAAGGTTCTGCGGTGCATAGGCCGAATACACAAGATACAGAAGAGAATATTGGCAAGCAGTGGAGGTGCCCTGGATGCAATCTGCCTAAGGACGTCTTACCTTCCTCCTATACATGCTGGTGTGAGAAAGAGCTAGATCCAAAGGTCATATCAGGTCTACCTCCACACTCGTGTGGTCAGACTTGTGGAAGAAACAGAAACTTCCCAAAAGCATGTCCTCATCCCTGTGATCAGCTCTGCCACGCTGGTCCTTGTCCACCATGTACTGCCATTGGATCTGTACAAAGCTGTTTCTGCGGCAAGCAATCCTCAACACGACGTTGCTTAGAGACTGACTATGAGGCTGGATGGAGCTGTGGAGAAATCTGTGGCGATATCATGCCCTGTGGGGAGCATACCTGTCAGCAGCCATGTCACGAGGGAGTATGCGGTGCTTGCACGGTAGATATACCTGCTAGATGTTACTGTGGTAAGGTTGAGAAAGTTATGCCTTGTAACCAGAAGTCTGAGGAGAAGGAAAGCTTCAGCTGGATTGGAGTTTTCGACTGCGGCCAGACTTGCCAACGGGAGTTCGACTGCGGAGTACACACTTGTGAGCAACCTTGTCATCCTCAAGAGACAGATAGGCCACATTGCCCCAGGTCAACAGATGTTGTGTCAGAATGCCCGTGTGGAAAGACACCATTATCTGCACTATCGAACTCAACTCGCACAAAATGTTCAGACCCAATACCAAGCTGTGACAAACCTTGCGGTAAGAAACTGCCATGTGGTCATGCCTGCTCAATGACATGCCACGCTGGTCAATGCGATCCGTGTTTCCGCAAAGTACCTATCAAATGTAGATGTGGTCGCGAGACATTCGAAAAACCTTGCTACAGTGGAGCAGTCGAGGCACCTTGGTGCAGGAAAGCATGCAATATCCGACTCAGTTGTGGTCGGCACCAATGCGAGGAGCGATGTTGTCCAGGGGAACGCCTCGGTCATCAACGTCTAGCTGCAAGGACTGCCAAAAAGCATGTTCTGACAGCCTTTGTCAACACGAACGTGGTCTTGCCCCGGGAAGAGTTCGAAGCTGAACATATTTGCACTCGTACCTGTGGAAGGCCGCTCAAGTGCGGCAACCACACCTGCCCAGACTTGTGCCACAAGGGACCGTGTAAGTCATGCAAAGAAGCCATTTTCGAGGACATCGCTTGCGATTGTGGTGGAACCGTGTTGCAAGCACCTCTGCCTTGTGGTACACGTCCACCTACTTGCAATCTGCCTTGTCGACGACAGAAGACGTGCGGTCATCCTCAGGTTGCTCACAATTGTCACACGGACGAAGAGGATTGTCCCAAATGTCCATTTTTGACAGTCAAACCATGTCTGTGTGGCAAGAAGACTCTTAAGAACCAGCCGTGTTGGCGTGCCGACGTCCTCTGTGGCTTGGTTTGTGGTGAGACTCTCAAATGTGGTAGTCACACATGTAGAAAGACTTGCCACAGACCTGGCGAGTGCGAGGATGCTAATCAGCATTGTCAGCAGGACTGCGGCAAGCCGAAGAAGAACTGTGGTCACCCTTGTGAACAACCCTGCCACGCACCATCATCCTGCAAGGAAGACAGACCCTGCCCTTTCAAGGTGATCATTACCTGTGACTGCCAGCGAAGGAAGGAAGAAGTTCGGTGCAATGCTCGGGCTGGCGTGTCTGATTCGGCCAGCAGACAGAACTCTTTGAAATGTGACGATGAGTGTGCTAGACTAGAGCGCAATCGCAAGCTTGCAGCCGCGCTTAGCATACCTGATGATCACGAAAACGATCACGTTCCATACTCAACAACAACCCTGAAGTTATACCTCGAGAACCCTACATGGTGTCACGAGTACGAGGAAATTCTGAGGCTATTCGCTGCTGACCCTAACGAGAAGCGTTATCGGTTCAAGCCTATGAGAGCACGACAAAGACAGTTCATCCATAGCCTGGCTGAAGATTTCGGATTTGATGGAGAAAGTGTAGATCCGGAACCACATCGCCACATACACCTATTCAAAACACCGAAGTTCGTGGCTGCGCCCATGAAGACTCTTGCGCAGGCAGCTAGGATCCGCCGTGCACAACTGAATGTCCAAACGCCTGTCGACGGTGCATCTACACCAGAAAGGAGAGCTGACGAGGTCAAGCCTCCAGAGTACAATGGGTTACTTCTGAAGCAGCCACGCTTTGGGCTTACTGAAGATGAGCTGCGACCCTGCATCCGATCCGCTGCACCTATGAACGACTTTGAGGTACTATTTTTGTCGGCCATAGATGGCATTGCATTGATACTAAGGAATGAGTGGGAAGGTCAAGAGCAGGTTCAAACTCTACTCGAGACTCTGCAACCGATAGTCTCGGCTGCAGTTGCTCGAGAAGGATTTTCATCATCAGCTGTTTTGTGCGAGTTTGACTTGAGTGTGAGCAATACCGAGCCTCAGATCGTTCACGAGGCAGGACAAGGTGCTAGTGCAGGTCGAACCACAGCGGGCGGTTGGTCACAAGTGGCGGCAAAGCGTTCTGTACCCATGGCCGTGCCTACAGTGGCACCGGTCGGCCAGCGATCTTCCTTCACAGTACTAGGCAGCAAGTTGGCGGAAGCGAAGAAGAAGAGGAAGGAAGATCAATTACTGGAAAAGCGGAGAAAAGAACTGCAGAGTGAGCCGGTTGTCGATGACTGGAGTGCTGAAGTCGAGCGCGAAGAAGAGATACGAAGTCGCAATCAGAGTGACCACGAAGAAGGTGCCAACAGTACCGTCTTGACATAGGGTACTGAAGATGCTTCTGAGAACAGAGCATACTATAGCTAACGAATATCTGTGCCTTCGACTCAAAACCTTGTTTCTGCCTTTTCATACATGTCATGTCATTACGTCTCTCCGCAGTAGTTGCTTACCTCGGTTCAACCCTGACCGTGCTTCTACGAGTACGAAGCTCTCGCCAGCAAGCTGCAGGACTGTAATAACATAAGATTATCCGAACTTGCTATCTGTACTGCAAGGCCAGCTACTCTCCTCTTCGTTTGAACACTACCATTGCTTGGAGATAGCTCCTAGCAGTGGGCTTACCAAATCCCAAGATGGCTCCACCAAAAATCACCTTTTATGTCGATATCATCAGTCCATTTGGATACATAGCTTATTGGATGCTTCGAGTGAGTCGCAACTCGACGCCTGTTCTTCACTCTCGCTATAATGCACACTAGATTTTTAGGTGCTTACCTTTATGCTAATTAATGACACCTAATTAGAACTCACCAGTCTTCGCCAACGTCGAAAAGACATACATCCCAGTCCTCCTGGGAGGTCTACACAAACAATGCGGCAACGTCGCCCCCATCCTAATCAAGAACAAAGACAAGTGGATTAATAAAGAACGTGACCGCTGGGCTCAGCTTTACAGTATCCCCATCCGACAGGGGACACCGCCTGGCTTTCCTACGTCGACAGTATCATCAGGACGCGCATTGACATCTCTCAGCCTGGAAGTCGACCAGGAACAGCTCGCGAAAGCCGCAGATGTCTTCTGGGCTGCGATGTGGTGTCCTCAGGCTGAGGTGCTCAAGGGGATCAAGGAGGGCAGGAACGAGCACGGTGAATTCGATACTAAGGATCCGAAGACGCTGGAGACGCTCTTGAGTGCTGTGTTGGATGGCGAGATTGCGAAGAAGGTTATGGGGAGCATTGGGGAGAAGCAGGTTAAGGATTTGTTAGTTGCGAATACGAATGGGGCTTTTGAGAAGGGAGCTTTTGGGCTGCCGTGGTTTGAGTGTACGAATAAGGAAGGAGAGACGGAGGGGTTCTGGGGATTTGACCATTTAGGTCATGTTGTCAGGTTTTTGGAATTGGAGGAAGAGGGAGATAAAGGCAGGAGCGGGCAGGTGATGAGGGCGATGCTGTAGATTTTGCCAGAGGCTGCTTACACGCGAAACGTGGTTTGCACCCTTGCTTCTATATCGGATTGGAGGCAATCTGAAAGCAAGGGTGATACCCATGAATACAGCTCCAACGTGGTTCCAAAGATGAACTGCCAGTGGTTTGAAGTGCTGTCAGTCGCGAGTCTGAAGAGATAGGTACCTGACCCTGATTATTTCAAACAAAACTAGCGGTACAGCAGGAAATTTTGCGTTGAAGTGACACAAGGCAGGAGCAAGAAAGTCGGAACATGGACAGCTAGCCGTTCATGCCGTTGTATCCGAACTCTCATCCCAGCTTCTGTAGTAGTTCTTCTTTTTAAACGCATGCATATGCCTTGTGCCTCACAAGATGCGACCGTTGAACCAGAAAACTACCATGCATGTCTACTGCACCCTAGACCTTCACTCCAGGTTCATGGTGGACAAGCACACAATTGGCAGAAAGCTAATGAGACAAGGGCGACAGAAACGGCGAGTCATCGGCGGTAGATTGCACAACACTTTTTCGTCTAATCACTCAGAGTAATTTATGGTTTTCGTGACGAACATCAGGTCAGGCGCGCGAGAGTAAAAGAGAATAGATCGTGATAGAGGACTGAGAACGTTTTCTGATTCGGTACATACTCACTAGTGGTTCCATACTAGATCGCGCTCATAACGCGTGAAGACGCGTCAAGCTCTTGCTCGAGCTCTTCGCCGTGCCAGGTCGAGAATGTCGTGCTCAGAAAAACTCGCTGTAACCTACATCCTTCTCTGCACCAATCCCGTTTGTATTGACAACGAGTAATACCACAGTTTTGAGGTCTACAGACGACAAAATGGTGGCAGTAATGTTTCTGTACTTCGAGGTAAAAGTTACAAACTGATGAGCACAAGACGACCAAACGAACAGCTCTGCTAGACAATTGACGATGCTCTACAGTTCTCCTTTCAGAATGTTCACAAACGGGTGACCTCATAAGCCAAATCGACTCATGCTGAGCTTTGCGCACGGACAAAGTGATCGAAAGGCAAGCTGTTCATCGGAAACTTATCGAAATCGAACTGGACCCGTTTCGGAGGATATTCTGGGCGCCTATCCTGAGGGAGTTTAGCTCATGCAGCTCGAAGTTCCTGTCTGGTTGCGTTTAGAAATGGTAGGCTCCTCCTTGACCCGCTCCCATGCTTCTGATCTGCAAGCTCTTCTTCATCCTTCTTGCGCAATCTGCTTCAACCTTCCCTGCTTCTTGTATCATTCCTGTCGCATGCCTCTTTCGACGTGCTACGGCTTTAATCAGATACTCTACTATTGCACATCTATTCCTCAAATTACGACTGCTTCACGACCTTCGATTTGCGTGCCTTCCTCCATACGCCGAGCCTAGCCAGCGCGTCGTATATATTGCACCGCACGATCAAACCTCTCTCACACCAACGAACAGATTCGAATCCCGACAATACCAAGAAAGTCCCGGGTCATGTTGTTGCCTTCCGCTCTGTCATGCGACAAGGGACTATTTCAGCCAGTCCCACAAAGATCCACGCGCCCAAAACTGCTATCCTTCGACAAATATGATCCACTACAAAGATCGCAATCGCCAGTACTTGGACTCATCGCAAGCTGTAGAGCACTCCAGGGCATGTTAGGGGAGCGTTTCGCTCCAACACCACCACCAATTCATGACTCGAAATTACGCGACAGACCTCTGGCAAGCCCATTCGGTCAACCAATATCATCACCCATTTGTCCACCTGCACCTCGTGGTATCAACAAGCGGCGAAGGGATGACGTTGAGGAGGATGATGCAACGGCGTCCGTGAAAAGCAGAGCAACACGAGCGTATGTGAATATATTCTCAACACCTAAGCGGCGGCGCATAGTACCACTAGACCTACCTCCTGGTCTTCAAGCTTCAGACTTCGAGGCTTTGACAGACACAACTTCATCATCATTGAATTCATCAGGCTACCGACGTCCTCACCAGGATATAGACATGCCAGCGCCAGAAACAAGCGATGCTTCATCAGAAGAACAGAGCTGTTACACTTCCTGGACCGACAATGATGACAAGCTCTTGGTGGAGGCAGTCCTGTCGAAGCTCAATCTATCGTCACGAGAGTGGAATGATTGTGCTGTTCGATTCGGTAAGGACAAGGATAGCATAGGCAGACGCTGGCGTCTGCTCGTTGGCGAGGGCAAAGTTGGCTTGAGGCGTGGTTCTGGCAGGATGGCACGACCTGAACTTGATATCAAGAGCTGGTAATGAAGTGTCTATTTCATGAGCACTTTTAGATTTTTGCATATTTTACGATAACCACGATGACGATACCGACGACTAAATAGATAATAATGATGATGTATGACTGCCTCGAACATTTGTAATGTCAATTTCTTCATAACTCAGACACACCACGTGTGCGCGCTCGAACTTTGTGCTCTTGTAGAGCTTCGGACAATCCTATCTTTTGAGTTCAGCGAATGAGAATGGGTGTACATGCTGGCAGCGAACCTGAGTTGGGCGACCCGCGGCGGATGTGGCTGCCCGCGCTGCTATGTCGATCGCCTCCAATGGCCTAGACGCCAACCCCTGTCTGGGAGTGGCTCGCTCTTCTTGTCCACGACAACAAAACGTTTCACGTACATCGTCTCGCCTTCCTTGACGTGATAGGCAGAAATTCATTCCAGCAGGTATACTGGAAGATGCATGTGAGACGTTACATCGATGGGCAAGAACTGTGATGGTTCGTGTATATGAATAAGCATTGATCAACATGGAGTTTCGCGGGTTTCAGGAATACAGACCAAACGCTTCCCGTTACAACGGTCGGATATCTGAGGAGGAATGGAACAAACACAAACCAAAACTCCGCGAATTGCACGAGGCCAAACTTACTAGGCAGCAGATCCTAGATATCATTTCGAAGGATTTTGGTGATACCAAGCCGACTTATGGCCAGTTATGCACAAAATTCGACAAGTGGGGATTTCATGTCTATCGCCAGAATGAAAGAAAGGAAACCGCGACCACTGGAAAGAAAGCTCAAAGAAAAAACGTCAAGAAAGATCCTGTGCCGACCTCAGTCGTGGATCATGCCGACCACAATATCCAGCAAGCACTCTCACCTGAAAGCACCAGCGATGGCAGCACAGTTGTGCCAGATTTCAATGCTCTCGACCTGAGTGACAAAGCTACTCCCAGAACCATAGCCGATATTCAGGGAACACCCAGAAGTCAATACCTAGAGCCATCACCAAACTTCTCCGACTCAACACCTCGAGCACATCACGCGCGACACTTGAGCGACCAAGATTCAACCCCATTAGGCACAATCTATGAGCCAGATCCCACTTACGCTTACGACGATCTAGTCTATGACACCAATCAGAACACACAGCCAACCCAACCATGGTCGACTTCATTACCTAGCACGTCCGCTTCTACATTGCATGGAAACCGATCATCTATTTCTGATACACACTCGAGCAGGACCTCGTTGTATCACACCACTTCTGAACTCAACAACGTCGAGCCGGACGACCCTCCTACCATCGCAGCTCGGACTCGCAAAGCAGATGAGGCGCTGGACGCTGTACATTTGTACCTGAAATCAATTGGCCAGAACCAGAACCATGAGGATCTCATCGAGATGGTCAGTCTCGCTGCATACCCATTTGCCACTCGATCTTACTCCTCGGCTTTTCGGATATATCATAAAATCTATGATATTATGTCGCAAGATATGGGATGTGATGACATCTCGAAACTGGGCGTGCTGATGAAATGCTACCAGTCTGCTGTTGAACCACAAGATCTGGATTTTATGCAAAGAGAATTACATCAAGTGCTTACATGGCACTTCGACGATGCTTCGCTTGGTGCATTCGCAGCTCAGATGCTATCAAGTGTCGAGATACAGATCAGCGAAGGGTTCAACCTGGCCCAAGGATCGTTGGTGTCGACGTCTTCGATCACACGCAATCTGAGCCACTTGATGGTCAAGGGCACTAGCTCTGAATATCCAGGAACCAAACGACTTTATTGGAGGCTAAGATTGCTAAAGCACTCGCCCTTTCATTCAGGCTGTCCACGCTTGCTTCGGCTCATGTCGGAGCTGCTGTCATGGGCATGGGCAGCAATGGCCGTGCTTAAATTTCCAGATGCTGCAGTTCCATCGACGGCCTGTTTGTGCAAGGACGGCGTGTATTTTGACTTTGTCCGTATGGTCACGACAGTCACATTGGAAGCAGCTACAGGTTTTGAGATATCACAATTGATCAAGGTTCCAGCTCTGAAGCAGACGCCATGTGCTTGTGTGATGTGCGGAGATCTCGAGACGACATTCGCAATATGTCCCATCGAAACGTTTACAGCAATCGCACTGCTGACCGTCGATCGATGTCGGCTAGATTGGACGTCTTGTCATCCCGGCGGGCGCCATCAGGAGCTCACACCGAAAATGATCCTTCACCAACAGCTTTTGCCCACAGTTGAGTTGCTACTCGACCAAGTCGCAGCCGACATTCGCTCTCAGACTACAATACACACTTCTGATCTCTACGATGACTTTCTTTCTTGCCTCTGGTCTTGCTTCGAAACTCACGATCTACCTCTGAAGAATGCCCGATTTGATGCTTCGGAACAAAAAGTCGAGGACATGATGACAACGCTGATCACCGAAGAGCTCAACAAGACCCATCCTGCCAGAAACAGCACCCTCGAAGATCCTGCTAGTGGAAAGATGCCAGTCTTCACCTACGGAGAAGCCAACGACGAGCTAGCAAACAAGATCACAGCCAAGCGCACGAGATCGAATGCCTCAGCACTTACCAAGTCCTCGTCTAACGCATCAGAGCGCAGTATGATCCGCATCAGAAAGAAGCTCAAATTTCGCACTAGTGCAGACTACCTTAACAGCATGTCATCCTATTCTTCGCTTTCTTCTAGGAATAGCATGAATCGATTCAGCTATGTCACTGGACTTCCGGAACTTGAGACAGTAATGGACGATGGAGAACTGCAAGCACTGCCGCCGGACCTGACGCCTGATGAGTTTCGTACTATGCAGCGACACGATAGCTGGACCAGACGAAGTGATCATTTTAGTTGGGTGCCTAGTCGTCCGGGAAGTACAGTGGGGAGAGGCAGTTGGAGGGAAAGCAATGGTCAATATACATCACGACGAGGAAGTGAGAATCCAGGTAGTGCTATGGCTGCGCCTAGCTCGAGGCCAGGTAGTGTGACCTTAGATCGAAGGACGAGTCAGAAAGGATATGGTCCACGAGAGCAAGCTATGCAGAATTCAATGGTACAAGCGGAACACATGCGACAGAGTCAGCATTCGCAGAATCAGAACCAGGCTGTATATCAACAGAACCACCAAACACCTCAATCGCAACCTCAGCTATATCCTCAACCTGTATCACAGCAGAGTTACTACCAACGTACCATGTCGTCCCAACCACAGTCGCAACCACAACAATTCCCACCTCACAACATGCCACCTCCACAACCTCAGCCTGAGCCACAATACCAGCACTCGTACCAAGCTCAGCCTGTCCAACAAGTTCAACAGCAATACAATCAGTCACAGTCGGCGAACTCGAGCTCGTCGTCGTTGCAGAATCAGGTGGATAATGTCGTCCTGGGTAATAAGCCGCAGAGACGGGATTCGAATAAGACTACGAAATCGAAGGAGTCGCAGAAGGGACGGTGGTCGAGTGAGAGGAAGAGGGTTGATGGTATTCTGAGTGCGTTGCAGTAGGACTGGTTTGTGAAAGAAAAGGATATGGGTGCGAGAAGGTGCTGTTGAAGGTGGCTGTCGTATTGTCGATTAAGATTGTTAATATAAGCCGGCCGAATAAAATGCTTTTCTCCTTGCCTGCACGCTCTATCGTCCTTGCCAGCCGCCAACGCCACTTCTGTGCAGAGTTTCTGCTGCAGATTCCACCACCATAGATTCGTTTCGCTTGTGACTACTTCGAGCGTGGTGCATCAAAACTATTAACGCTGATTGATTTTTGGTCAGTTCTACCAAGTACGCTGCCTTCCACATGACCACGAGAATAGGTATATAGACATCAGCTCGGTGGGGATGTGCTTCGGGAATCGTCCAGTTAGCTCTGAGTGACAGAGTGGTACAGTCTTCTGAAAGGTAGGTAGAGCTTCTCATCAACTCTGCTTGACAATCTACGTCTCAGTCCGCAACGTCAAATCGGAAAGAGGAGAGATATAAGGCCGGAAGACCTCTTCACATGAGTGTCCTATCCTCCGATTGATGGTTCAACGCACAGAACGTATGCTTAGTACAACATCCTCCTGAGGTCTCATCCTTTCTTGCTCTTGGTCTGTCGCTTTCTTCTCGCGTTCTCAGAGGGGAATACAACCTGGTTCCTGGGTTTGCGTCTCGCGTGCTTCGTGATGCGACCTGAGGATTTAGTACTTCTCAATTTTCGAGCAGAGGAAAGACCGGTCCATTGCATAGCCTCATCTACATGCTGTTAGGCAAAATTCTCAGTACCAACTCATATCGACTCACCATGAACCTGTGTCTTTGTACCGTCGTCACCTGCCTCTTCCTCTTCTTGTGCCTTCTCCCCCTCAACGTCCATCTTCTTCTCTTCGTCTGGCTTGGGCGCATTTGCTATTTCTTGCAGCTTAGCAGACAAACGTTCTAGGCGAGCATCATGAGCTGGTCCAAAGACTTTAGTGCGTAGGTTAGCATTATTGCGCTTCTTGTTTGAAGCTCGAGAACTCTTCGCCATCTTAATCAGCAACTGAGATCTCACGGCTGACTGTCACGCGTGAGTAGCTGAATACCAGCTGCGGTAAACACAGGTCTAGTGTTTCTGAAGCTGTGCTGGAGAGGAAGTGACAACCATAGACATGCAAAAGAGGAAAAAACGAGAATGACACGAGAATTTAGACAAAGCAAGCGCATTCTGGCCGGTGCTGTTCCGGGGAAGAGCATGTCAAGTCGCCTCACCAACGCCAATTCTTCATGTTCTATGCCACCAGCACTTTTGTGTTGTCCCGCATGGTGCTCGGTCTTCCATGCATCTGTACATCATGATTCTAAGAACTCGGTAGATTCAATTGACTTTCTCCCAGGGACAATCTCTGCCATTTGTGACTTCCATCTACGCGAGTGTATCCATGAGTACTATGCAAGCTGACCTCGTAAGAGGCACGATTGCAGAGGTCAAACAGCTCACAGTCGATAAACTGAAGAGGATCCTTAAAAATGAGAATCTACCAGTAGGGGGACTAAAGAGTGAGCTTCAGACGAGGCTCGTTGCCCGTAGGCAGTTTGATCCCACTTCACCCGAACATGCCATACTAAACCAACTTTACAGAAATCCACGATTGCGATAGACGAGGAGATTATGAACGACTGAGCCGTATTAGGGATGCGACTAGGGGATATCCTATTGTTGCGACAAACTCCAACTTACACTTCAATGCACCCAATCCATATCCTTCACCTTATTCGAACCATACTCCTGCCTCCTCAGCCTCACCACAATACTACGCTTCCCCTACTCCTCGGTTACCACCGCTACCATCTCTAGCCATGCCAGGTGGAGGCTATCATGCAAGTCGAGTGACGTATAAGCCTTCCCCATTTTATTCGATTATCAAGCAATTGGGCAATATGGTAGAATTAAAGGTCAGGGAACAGACAAGAGATACAGCGAGGATGACGATTAAGCTGGACACTACCACTGCGATGCAGTTCCAGAGTGACTCGAACTGCAGAGCAATGGTCTTTTGCGCCGCCGAATCATTCGATTCAACTTGGAAGCCTGCGGACATAGCATTTCCCTCGAATTCCGAGTTACGTTGCAACCAGGAAGAAGTGAAGGTCAATCTTAAGGGGTTGAAGAACAAGCCTGGTTCAACTAGGCCTGCTGACATTACGCCGTTCCTCCGTAAAAAGACTGAATTTCTAAACAACGTCGAACTAATCTATGCTCTAACAACCAAGGTACGTCTCTCACTATCTACTTCAGCTCTTTCCCCTCTTCTTGTGTCGTGCCAGATCTCACAAGCCGTATTGGTACTTACAGGAATCTCCACAGAAATACGTCTTATCGGTCAATCTGGTACAACGAAAGACGATTGAAATGCTCGTACAAGCCTTGAAATCAGGCAAATTCTTGGGCAAAGACCGAGTGGTCCGCGAGAGTAGGTGTCTCCCTTTCTTCGAGATTGCATTATCTAATTTGTACCAGTGCAAAATCGAGCGAAAGACGACGACATAATAGCTACTTCAAGCAACATGTCGTTGAAAGACCCAGTTCAGATGACGAGAATAGAAACCCCATGTCGCTCTATAAGCTGCAAGCATAATGAATGCTTTGATGCTGCAGTATTCCTGGCTTTACAAGAACAAGCCCCGACCTGGACTTGTCCAATATGCAACAGGCCGGCGGCATGGGAAACGCTCGTCTTCGATCAATTCGTACAGGACATATTAGACAATACAAGTTCAGACACAGAACAGGTGACGATAGAGCCTGACGGCAGATGGTATCTCATCAAGCACGAGGAGCCATCATACAACAAAAATCCATTCGTGAAGCACAACGATAGTGACGATGATGACGATCTAGTGGAGATTGCGGATCTTGAGGCCCCACAATCGACAGCAACAATACGGACACGGCCATCACAGGACTTAGTAAGGACACCGTCTCTGAATGGCTTCTCACCTCCACCACCACGGCCGGTCTCAGCATCACTAATGCAGCCTCTTAACACCTCACAGGTTCAATCACAGTCTCAAGGGAAGAAGAGAGCCAGAGAAGAAGTAATCGACCTGACCTTGGACGATGACGACGATGAGCCACCAGTCAGTCGGATAAAACGTCCTTCTCTAGCTTCCCAGGTTTCAGCTGACACGAACAGGCTACTAGACTTGACATCCGGACCAGGACCAGGATCAGGGCCATTTAGGTTCAACTTACCACCTCCTGTGCCAAGGACAGATAGTCCAAGTCATTACTCGGATTATTACGACTTCGACCAGCTACGGAAATTTCAATAGTGATAGATACCTGCAAAGTGCTTTTCAGGCGTAACGGGAGAGGGCAGGATTGCAGCACGAGTGCTGCTGCAGCATTCGGAAACAGAAGGGTGGTTTTCGTCGTGTTAGCGGGAGTTTTGGTGCAGAATCAGCGATTGCTTCATATGGTACAGACAAGGAGCGCTCTGACCACGACCAGCACTGGATACAAGCAGACAGAGAGAGAATGATTGTATAAATTAATGACATGGTCACATTGTCGGACTGCTTGCGCTCTACCTAAGCTGTATACATAAAACATCAGCGATGGAAGTACTAGATATAGTGGCAGACATCAGCGATTCCGATATTGCTTGCGAAAATCACTTAGATTTCACATCTCTTTCAATTGTGGTTCTCTTTACATTTAAAACATGCTCTGTTGGATTTACCTCTTCATCTCCTAACCAGCGCAGCACAGACACACCATCGCTTCGCGTGATCTTTGCTCTCACCCGGACGCTCAGCCAGCCACGGCCTCACATTGCAATCCACGTCGATCTCAAAGATCTCAGCTGCAATGAGTATGCCTTTGACTTGACGCACGTCCTCATCTTCTTTCTCTTCCTCTTCATCGTTACACCTAATCTCTTGCTCACCTGCTGTCTCACCACTACCTAATCTTGAACCAGTCGCTATCTCGAAGAACCTCGCCACGATACTTCGACCAGTATGGAATCCTGCTATCACCAACGCACACGCTTGTCCTTCGTGGTCTTCATCTTCGTCCTTCTCGCGCAGGTAGCTATTAATTGTCTTTACTAGATTAGCGTGCTGGCTGGGCATCCATAGACAATCTGCGATTATGATCTTGTCGAAGCTGTGTTTGGGTGGTTGGGGATCGGCGGGTTTGCCGTATTGTGTGGATGAGGTGAAAAGTTCGTCGCCCCAGGTTAGGCCGTGGATGGAGATGGTGGTGTTTGTGCGTGGTGGTTGGGGTGGCGTTGAGGTTTCGTTTGTGGTATCGTCTGTGGTTTGGGAGGAGACAAGTTTGATGTGTAAGTTCTCTTTGACATTGCGGGCGATTGTGTCGTTGATGATAGCTGGAGAGGAGGAGTGGTCGCTGATTGTTACGCTGCGAGCGGAGGAGAGAGCTGAGATGATTGATGGGAGAGCCGTGCCTGTTAATTGGAAATTATGCTTAGCTCTCAATTCTGCTGCTTGCCTGTGTCGAGTAGCTCTTTTAGATGGAGTCGACGCGAACATACCATCTTCGAGCTTCCTCTCGATTCTTGGCTCAGGTAGAGGTCAAAGAGGTGGACCTCAAGGCTCTTCACGTACCAGCTCCAAGTTCTAACACATCTTTTCCGCGCATATCCCAATATTCCTTGTTGTAGCTCACCTTTCCATCTTCGGAATCATCAATCCTGCGGTCATTGCTTGCAGTCTCAATTGCATCTGCTGCAACGACGCCCGCATTCCAAAGATAATGAGCAAACAGTTTCCGACCCTCTTCTACATCAGGATGCTGTGGTATGCCTAGCTTGATCTCACCATGTCGAGGTGAGTTGTAGATGACTGATTGGCCAGGTATGCCATGAGAGTTCTGTGTATCATCTGTGAACAGTGCCGACAGAGAGGAGGAAAAGATGTCCTCCTGTGTAGGATTAGGAGGATGCGGAATGAAAACTCGCGCTGGCAGCATCTTGAGATAGCGGGCGGAGCGGAACAACCTCATTCATCGCCAGAGCGAGTTCTGATAGGCGCGGGAGGATGCCACGTCGTTGCTGCTGCACCTCTCAAGGTAGACTTGGTGGTGGAGGGGTGGAGGCGATACCAAGTGCGGGGTCATGATAAGATAAGCAATATTTCTTTTCAGCTTTCGTGATGATTTGATACTATCAAATAACGAAGGTTTGGGGGTCAAGATCAATAGATCAACACCATGGGAGATCTCTCATCCAACGGCAGATTCAAACACCTTAGACCGAGCGAGTTAGGCGATAAAGACTAGTGAGTGCGTGTAGCCAGCACATATTAATGACTGTGTGCTGATATCTTAAGTTGGGACACGACCTACCAGAATGAGCTCGACAACGGCATAGGACAAGATGGGGACAGAGACATCACTGCTCTGGACTCGTGGTTCGCAGAGATAGACGCACCTATAAAAGTGCTTGAATTTCTTACCAACGAGGACTTTCCCCTGTCGCCAAACAATACGGAGAGAATAATCGAGAGTCCAACCGTGCTTGATCTAGGAACGGGAAATGGTAGCAGTCTCTTCGAGCTCAAACTGGAAGGTGAGTATGATGGCGCCATGTTCGGTGTAGACTATTCGGGTCAAAGTCTCGATTTAGCAAAACAGCTGTGGAACAAGCACCTTCATCAACAAGAAGAGGCGGAGAAACAGCAACAGGGAACGATCTCATTTGAGCAGATGGACATCCTGAAAGATGTACCGGAAGACAAGCCATGGTGGCCTAAGGCAGGGTTTGATCTTGTGCTCGACAAAGGCACTTTCGACGCGATCTCACTGTCAGCAGAGACTGTTGAATTGGAGGGTGCGATGGTGCGGGTTGTGGAAGCATATCCAGGGAAGGTGGCACCCATGGTCAAGCCAGGCGGATTTTTGATCATCACGTCAGTGAACTGGACAGAGAACGAGGTGGTAAGGTGGTTCACAGAGAGTGTAGGCACGCAGGGCGTTCTTGAAGAATTTGGGAGAGTTAAGTATCCCGTGTACGAGTTCGGTGGTCGCAAAGGACAAGGCGTTGCTAGTGTTTGTTTCCGCAGAATTGCTTCGTAGCAGTGGCCCGACCGCCCGCACTTTTTCCGAGAGGTCCAGCTCGCGTGCGAGGTCAGATACGAACATCAGCCAGCAGTCTCAGGAATCTCCTGGATGGCTGACAGCAATGTCGTTAGCATTGGTGAGCTTCAGTATTGTACCCTAGGAAGTTGAACCACCTCGGCACGAGACAACCGTCAGAGGAAAATATCCAATGCATACCGGATTCTACCAATCATGTTCAAGGTGATTACTGTAGCAAAGTCGGTGGCATTGCAATTGAAGTTCCGGCAGATCAGTGCTCCCCACAAACCTACTAGCTATCCATGACGACAGTTAATGAGGTATAGGACAGAGGTGTCGCCATATCAGCAAGCACAAGTTTTATGGGCCGACGACGATGAGCAAGATGAAGCGTAGGGTATACCTTGATACTCCCATCGTCGTGAGAAACGAAACCCGAGGACATGGTAGGAAAGCAGAGGCGTCATGAGTCTGGACGGTCGAGATGTTTCGTTAACCATCGAGAAGAAAAACTCTCTATTTGCTACGGGCAATCTTTTATTGGCTGAACAGGGGTCCGTCAGCACCGATTTTAGGACTTTCTACGCCTTTGTAAGGCCGGCATATGCTACTAGTATTGATGAGCACCATAACCCTCTTCACTTTATTACTATTTCTTTCTGCTCTATATAATTGATCTGGTCTTGCCCGCACTACAAAATCACTTACAAGCATGGAGGCTCTTCTACGGCAAAGCAAGGGAGTATGTCCCTTCCTCAAGAAAACTGCACCTGGAACTTTACGCACATTGAGCACCACTGTCCACCACAGCCCAGGAGGCGGAACAATTTCCAAGCTTCAGCACTATGCTCGACGATGCCCAGTCATGAACAAGGGGCTTGCTGTTCAGAGTGCGAAACTCAACGCACGGCACTACAGCAAGCCCGCCACCAGCTCCGGCATCGTCAAATCTTTGATGGAGAAGAAGTTGCACACGACTGCTGAAAAGAAGGCTAGCATTGACAACCAGATGTATCGTGCCGAGCAGCGACCTCCTCCACCGTCCGAAGCCAAGCAGTTCACAAAGTATCCTAAAGTGCACCAGCACGCTGGTCCTAAACCTGCCGTTCCTGAAACTCCTAAGTTCGACTACGAAGAATTCTACAAGAACGAGTTGGACAAAAAACACCAGGACAAGTCGTACCGGTACTTCAACAACATCAACCGTCTTGCCAAAGAATTTCCGAGAGCGCACATGGCTGCGCAGGACGAGCGAGTGACTGTATGGTGCTCCAACGACTACCTCGGCATGGGCAGAAACAAGCACGTTCTCAAGACTATGCACGAGACGCTCGAAATGTACGGCGCCGGCGCTGGAGGAACAAGGAACATATCCGGTCACAATCAGCACGCCGTAGCCCTCGAGAAGACTCTAGCAGACCTCCATGGCAAAGAGGGTGCTCTAGTTTTCTCTTCTTGTTATGTGGCGAACGATGCAACTCTTGCGACCTTGGGCAGCAAGCTTCCGAACTGTGTCATTCTAAGTGACAGCCTCAACCATGCCTCAATGATTCAGGGTATTCGCCACTCTGGTGCAAAGAAAATAGTCTACAAGCACAACGACCTTGAAGATCTGGAGAACAAGCTAAAATCTCTCGATCCAGCTCAACCGAAGATCATAGCCTTTGAGAGTGTGTACAGCATGTGCGGCTCGGTCGCGCCAATCGAAGCTGTCTGTGATCTAGCTGATAAATATGGCGCAATTACCTTCTTGGATGAAGTACATGCTGTTGGTATGTACGGTCCAAGAGGAGCTGGCGTAGCCGAACACCTTGACTACGACACCTGGGCGGATGAGAATCGAACGCCTGAATCTCAGAAGGGCACAGTCATGGACAGAATCGATATCATCACGGGAACACTCGGCAAGGCTTATGGTTGCGTCGGTGGTTACATTGCTGGATCTGCGAAATTTGTCGACGCAATTCGATCTCTTGCGCCGGGCTTTATCTTCACCACAAGTTTACCACCAGCAACAATGGCTGGCGCACGCACTGCGATCGAGTACCAGGCTCGATACCAGGGTGACAGGAGAATGCAACAGGTACACACTCGCGAACTCAAAGACGACTTGATTAGCCGAGGTATTCCTGTCATTCCCAACCCATCTCACATCGTTCCGCTACTCGTAGGCGACGCGGAATTGGCAAAGGCAGCGTCAGATATGCTGCTAAACGACTACCAGATCTACGTGCAGTCCATCAACTACCCGACCGTGCCGCGTGGTGAGGAAAGACTACGAATCACCCCTACCCCAGGCCACATGGGCGAGCTCAGAGCCGACCTCGTCGAAGCGCTCGAAGGTGTCTGGAACCGCCTCAACCTCAAACGCATCTCCGACTGGCAAGCCCAAGGTGGCTTTGTCGGCGTTGGTGTCAAGGACGCTGAACCAGTCGAGCCTCTTTGGACCGACGCTCAACTCGAGCACGCTGCTGAACTTCCGAAGATCGCTGTCGACAACGCGATGGAACCTCGAGTCATGCCTGTTGCTGCTGCCGCTGCCTGAAAAGGAGGGAAGTTGATGGGAAACTATGATCGTTTGGAATATAGCCGGCGAAGTGATACGCTCAGCTTTTATAAATGAGCTTTGAGCACCTTCGTATCAGAGATGATGAATACATATGCCCGCAGTGGTACTTCTCATTCTTCACCAAGATATGTCTTTCAAGTCAAATTTGTTTCTCTGTTCTTTTTACGTGCAGCGGCAAGCTTCTTTGCCTGGTCTCGTGCTATTGACTGATGGCAGAGCGTTTGTTCATATGACGATGAAGCACAATAATACCAACCTAGTAGGTAAGTCATTTCCTTTCGTTTCCAATGTCTCATCTCATCTCATCTCATCAGGAAGGTTACAAACGCCCTTGATGTGTGTCAGCATGGAAATGTCGCTGTATCGTCAGCTCTCGCTTGCGACAAGCAGCCGTGTCACTTCTACTCCAATGACCAGATCACGAAGATAGTACACCCACTCTACAACCGACCATAGCCAGTTTTTCTCCATACTATCTTGCCACTTGCACCATATTTCCCTAACGTTGTGAAACGCACTCATTTCAAAGAACAAAATCTGCTCACCTTGATTATTAGTACTGCTGGCTGAACCGAAGTTCTCAGTATCAGCATAGTGTACTACCAGTCAGCCAGCCAGTCAGCCTTTTCCTTCTTGCGATGGAGTCGCGGTATAATATCACTTCTGGGTCGTCGGACCCGACGGCGCATGCAAATATTCATACCACATCGACACAGACTAAGACAGTGACGAGCTTTACGAGCCTACCTTTCGGCAAAGCGTATGTTACGCTTACGAGCGAGTTGCCGGATCTTCGTCTTGCTAGCTATCCGGTTAGGAATTCGACGATGGGGCATATGCAGAGTCTGTCGATGGACGGTGAGATGGATGGTACGATGGCCATGGACAGTATGATGGCTAGTGGGCTCAGTGTTGGGTCCGCGAGTACTGAGGTCTCCACTACCACAGAGCAGGTCCTCACCAGCGGTACAGATAAAAGCGTTGTCCCACGCTCGGAAGATTCTACCATCACAACCTCGTCCTCGGCTACATCGGAATCATCCAGCATGTCAGATACCAGCGTAACCGGCGGCGCAGATGCGTCCACTCCCTCGACCGTCTTCGTAACAGTCACCCCCAACAATACCTCAATGTTTACCGAACATTCCACCACGATGATGCTGACCACTAGCACGTCTATCGTGCCAGTAACAATCCTCTGGACGAACACATCGCAGCCCACGAACATGCAGCTTTTGAATTCGACAGAGTCGTTGGATCTCACGACCTCCGACTCCTCGACTGGTGGTATGGATTCCTTCACCTCGATGATGCTCAGCACGGGACCGACCACCCACGCAACACAGAACGTCGTGATTCCAACGAGCCCGATCAGCATAGCTACCAACAAACCACGCGCACCACGATCAGTACCCACGGATTTCGCGTCGATCGAACCATTGACACCACAGCCAACATCAGGAGCTGGCCTGTATGCCGCTTGGAAAGAGCGCATCTCCGCGCCTAAAATGATGTCAACAGGCTATCACCACCATTGCGAAGGCCCTTTCATGGCCTATCTAGCACTGACAGTCTTCGTCCTTGCGACCTGGTTCACGATCGGTCCAACGCTCATTCGGTGGTGGAGGTACTGGGTCCTGAGGAAGTGCGACAAATGCGACGACGAATTACCTTCATACACGACCAAGCCGCCGCGCCCAGGAATGAGGAAGCGGTTGTCGATTATCGTACCAGGATCGCAGCCTGGAGGCTCGTCATGGGTTTCTGGAAATCAACGAGCGGTTCGTGGTGATGAGTTTGAGGTGCCATATGAGCGGTACAAGGGTCGAAGGCATACTAGTGATTTATGAGGATATGTAGAGATTGAGGTTGGAGCTAAATTTCTCTGTAGCATGTGACAGCAGCAGCAGACCTGAACTCTCGAAGAATTAGTTTGGTACATGGGCTTTAGTGTTTGCTTGCTGGTACAATCATGTCACCTGAAGCACGAGAAGGTAGCCAGACAGGTTGGCCTAGAATGCCACTGTGAATAGTCTCCAGTTGTTAGTACACAGTTTTCCATCTCCTGTTCATCATCCGTTGCTGTTGTCTTTCGGCTGGGACTGCTAACATGACCACCATAATGCAATCAGCAGCAACGCCGTCGATATCACAGACAATGGTTCGCCAAATGTTGGACCATTCGTTCTTGAGTAAGCGTGGAAAACGTCTCAAGTCGAAAGGATGAAAAGTGAGGTAGCGCATGAGCACTTCGGCGACCAAGACAACCATTTTGCCAAGAGTATCGGAGCTGCATGTCGCGTATCTTCTCGTTCTAGTCGCACGCGCTGAATAGAATATGCCTGCACATCTCATCAGTCCGAAAGCTATTCATGTTTCCTGGTATCGTGCCAAACAACCTCTTAACTAATGTCTTTCATCCTCTGCTCAATCTCGGGAGGTACTTTGCGGACCTGAGAACGAACAGAATGTCTCCCAACGCCTCGCTGCCCACTGTGGAGCCGCTAAAGTTATACTGTTCGTCCGCGTAATTGGCTATCCTGATACGAGATTGTTGGCTCAGGGTTTCGAGTTTCAAGCCACTGAACCCGAAAGACGTACTTTAGGACCGGACTTCAACGGTCAGGCATCCATGATTAGGACTTCCGAGATTCATGCAGCACGGAACAACTAATCTCTTGCAGTCAGTGGGTCATCACTGGACGAGGATAGGAACGCTCGAATCGAGGGCAGTAGATTGATAGTGCATACTCTTAGTTCCGAACGTATACAATTGGATGAGGCAGAAGAGGCTAGATCTGGGAATGGGCTGGAAGCTTGTAGACGAGCTCACTTAGTCAAAATCTCCATCGTAGCTTCCGCTCCTGCATCTATGAGGTACAGCATGCTTACCTATCTCTGTGAGGCAGTTGCGATGTTGTCCAGCTTGGCAGGCGCAACAGGAACGGCTAATAAGACAGTTGCACAAAAGCGGTAAGTATGTTGTCAAAGATTGGTTGTATTGTTACAGCTTTTAAACCGTCGCCATGATTGCTGCTATCTTTAGCTAATTGAAATGTACCTGTTACACGTCTGCAGATACTCCTCCCAAGAGATGTAGAACTGTAGAAATATTTCACTCCTGTACCTACACCGAACGTTCCATCGTAATGCTAAAGGTCAAAATGTATCTACCCAAGCTGTATGCAATTTGCGCCTCACACCAGTTTTCCCGAATTTTATGCTACCACAATTCAGACAATAGCACTGTCCTACTGGTGCTGAATGTCTATGCTCAGGTAGCTGACGTCGAAAGTCACGGTTTCTGGGGTCCAGAGTGCTTCACTTCCGAGACCCATGTATCCAAGATAGGTGCTTGTGCTTGGGAACTCGGCGCGACCAATCTGGGGTATCGAGGTAATGAGTGGTGCAATATCGCCGACAAAATTCTCAACATACTGGCTGGCAACCCATGTCAGAACGTATTGACCAATACTGTTGGTTCCAGAATAGAGGTTGAACGTGGTCCCGTTAATAACTTGAGAAGATACTGCTCCTAAAGCCAGACCAATAGGTTCCGTGGAGGCACCAATGGTGCAAAGCCACACCATGATTTCGTATTTGGCTTGAGTTGTTGACTGTGCGCTGTTCATATCATCATCCAAGAACATGTCTATGGCGACGTTAGTGTTGACATTTGCTGCAGTCATTCCTGCAACATCGGTAATATTGGCGGGCTCCTCGCCGAGGCCATAAGTCCATTCAACATCTACAGGGATGTTTGCAATGGTGCTTATCGACGCCGGAAAGATCGAGCCTTGTCCATCGATCTTGATGTTAGGAAAGGCATGTACAGGCTGCGTTATTGGACCTTGTGGATATTGCCATGTGACGCTGAATTTTGGCGCGGTTAAAGGCGTGGCGTAAGTGTAGTTATTGTGTTGTGTTATCTGGTAACCGAGTCAGCTTCGTCGTGACTTTCGATAAAGTGTTTGACCCATGCAAGGTCCGCTGCCAAGGTCCGTCATACATCGAGCGTAATACGCGTCGATGTAGTCTGGTAAGACGGGCATGAGAGACAATGCAGACAGGAATAGACTTACATTCATGCAGAGACCGCCTTGTTGACCATCCCAACCCCATTGATTAGGATTCACTGCGAAAGAACTGTCAGTACTGTGTTCAAGATAGAGAAAAGATCCGGAGAATATCATCCATTGTTCCGGGCTGCGGCCAAAGCTGCGTGAATGATATGCCAAGTCTTGTCGTGAAGTGGACCAGACGGATATCGAACGTCCGATATGATCAAGGGACCATTGTAGTCGAGGGAGTTTTGCGGAGGATAGGGAAGACTCACATGTATACTGTTGGCCGAGTGACCTTGGGGTGATACCATATGCCTTCTGACAGTATGTGTCTATACTGACACTATTGTCCTGAAATAGAGGTTGTTGACCTGTCGCCGACCGATGCGCATCAAGGCCGATCAAAACTCCCAAGGTTGCGCCGATAGGTACCGCTATGAGCCCAAAACTGACCAGAGACCGTATTCCCATGTTGACGGATGGGCGAATATGACCAGTGATTCTGCAGTTGAATTGACCGTGTGCCAGTACAGACAAGTTGGGAGAACCTCTCTAGACACGGAGGATTTGATGTTGAAGAGCAGTGGCGTGGGATCGCGTATTGATGGTAGTCCGTCGTTGGCGCAAGAAGTGGTTGCGTAAGTACACGTTTCTTGAAGATCTTGAAGAGCAAGAATAGCAGCACAAAGATCGTGTGATCGTGGCAAGTCTGTGGTGCGAGCAGAACGATAAGCAAGTCCTATCAAAACTGTGGGCAAAGTTGCACACTACCGGCAGTTTTACTAGGATTGCTAGACTTTGAAGGAGCCAAGTGGAGACGGACAGAGCGTTTGTTGGTCCGAGAGGCGATAGGTCGACCTACGGGAAGCTGCGAGTCCCAACCTTCTGAGACACATACATCTCGTATCCAGCCAAGTCGATAAATGCGTTTCACAGCCACGGATGATAGGCGTGTTCATCAATACCTTGATCTCCGAAGTCATCTATCGTGCCAAGTCACAAGCGTTTGGTTTGTTTCAGAAAATTGCAGAACAATAAAGACAACGAGGGTGTCGAAACGAAACGGCTATGTGCGTCACACAGAGGCGGCATTCCTGATGATGCAAGATCTTCCACTAGACTCAGGAACAGAAACTGGCCCAAGCAAATTTCGTCGGTTGTGGCACCTAAGCTTCCAGGCACTGAAAAGCTTCTGCCGGAGACGGCATTGTCCAAAGTGGTGCCCCTGCAGGATGTGCATGAGCTAGATCGCGTTTGAGCCTAGCTGGAAGTAAGATTGTGTTGTTTCGAGCAAGATCAGTGGCTCCTCGCACCGCTGGTTTCCGTGTTGTAAAAATGGCGTGGCGGCACTGAGGCAAGAGCATGGGGCTGGGAGCTGGCCGTTAGTTGAGTACCCAGTAGTCAGTAAAACTTGCAGAATCTGCTCTGATGTTGTCGCAGGTTCAGAGTTGGCTCGGACTTCGTGGTCCCTGCTGGACATTATCCTTGACGTGAAGCCATCTGCTTGTCATTCTTTTCTGCTTCCGTGCACGCTCGTTGTACATCTGAGTACATTACACGCCTCTCAAATACCTTACCTTCGTTGTTTGTCCCGCCTCCTCTACACCTGTTCAATTCAGTCTTCGTCGTTCGTTTCGAGGGCTCGAATTCTCAAAACACCATCAACAACGTTGTCGATCGCTCAGACCTTGTACACTACACCCTTTGCTCACCTGGCAACAGGTACCACCATTACCCACGATGGGTAGACAGGGCGAAATGACCGAGATCAACCTCGTACCTATGGAAGACAGCTCGAGTGGCCACAGCTCGATAGAACATCCATCGCGGACAGAACAACGTTCATCAAGTGCGAATCACAATACCATTAATCATAATCGACAATCATACTCATACTCATACTCACAATCACGCCCTCCGGCTCCGGGCCACTATCACTACTCCAGACAGTCGTACGTGGACGACACACCTGGTGCTAGTCCACCAGGCACGCCCATGACTGGAGGTGGAGGTGCACATCCTTATGGAAGCCTGCAACCTCCAAGACATCCTTCGTACGCTACTGGCAATGGTGTAGACACAAGGAGCTCGTCGCCGTTTCCACAAAGTCAAACACCTTTCGTAAGTTGCACACATCACCCAATATACCTTCTACTCCTGCTGACATTTCTATAGCGCAGTCAAGACACTCTTCGCCCCCTCTTTCCCGACACTTCTTCGACCTTTTTCAACAAGGACTGGGTCAAGGATGGCTCAATAGCACAACTGCACAGTCGAGATGACGCCGAGTTCTGGCACGGGTGGAAGAGGAACCTCTTCTATTTTGCTCCTATGCTGGTCGCTCTATCGCTGGCCTTGTACTGGATCTACTTCGGTCTGCGGATCGCCTTCATTATCTCGGCACAGAACCAGAAACGAGCAACCTTCCCCCTTGCCTGGATTTTCGTTGCTGTCGAAGTCAGTGTCGCCATACCAATCTTCATGCAGAACTTCTGGACCATGTTCGCTCTCAAGAAGAGGAGGAGGCCAAAATTGAGGCTGATTGGCAACGACGTTCCAACCGTCGACGTGTTCGTGACATGCTGTGGCGAAGATGACGACCTTGTCCTCGACACTGTACGAGCCTCTTGCGACCAAGATTGGCCCCAAGACAAATTTCGAGTCATTGTGCTAGACGATGGAAAGAGCGCAACACTCGAGCGCGCGGTGCGGGATTTGGCTGACACATATCCCAATTTGTACTACAAATCTCGTCCCAAATTCCCTGGCGTCCCACACCATTTTAAGGCTGGCAATCTCAACTATGGTCTCGACGAGGTTCATACCATGCCTGGAGGAGCTGGCCAATTTATGGCGGCTCTGGACGCTGATATGATTCCTGAACAGCATTGGCTTCGTGCTGTCACTCCACATCTTCTTTTGGACCCAAAGATGGCTCTTGCCTGTCCCCCTCAGCTCTTCTACAACACTCCTCCTGGAGACCCCCTCTGCCAATCCCTCGACTTTTTCGTACATGTCTGCGAACCCATCAAGGATGCCCTTGGTGTCGCATGGTGTACCGGATCTGGTTACGTGGTGCGAAGAGATGCGCTGGATGAGATTGGCAACTTTCCCCTTGGTTCTCTCGCCGAAGACGTGGCTACTTCCACGTTGATGCTTGGTAAAGGCTGGAAGACGGCATTCGTCCACGAGCCTTTGCAATTCGGTACTGTACCTGAGGATTTTGGCAGTCATCTGAAGCAACGGACGAGATGGGCTATTGGCACTGTTGACACTTCCCTCAAGCTCAACTTCTGTCTCTGGGGTGACAAGATCAAGCGCATGAGCTTCGCACAAAAGAGTTCGAGTTTTCTTTACGCCTTCCTTAGCTTGTTCAACATCCTGCTTACAGTCTCTATGTTCGCTCTTCCAGTTGTTCTGATCGCTGGAAAGCCATTGGTTGCTTATGCTAACTTCGAACAACTGAGATGGCTCATTAGAGCATGTTTTGCAGCATATGTTGCCAACAGGGCGACCGAGTTTGTCCTGTTTATTCCTTCTGGCTACCATACTGGTCAACGTGGTTCTCGATATCAACTATGGATGTCACCCTACATCGCACTCTGCTTGATCCGGGCCTTCGTGCTTCCTAAGTGGCTAGGAGGACAAGCTCAAGCTTTCAAGCCTACAGGATCTTTGCAATCGGCATTAAACGAAAGAGACGCAGCCAAACGTGCTCCAATGTGGAGACGGATGTGGACAATCATTGTTAATTACATGGCATGGTTTCACGTCGGCTACGTGTACTTCTGCCTAGTGGCAGTAGCTATGTCTTCCTACCGATGTTTTACCAACCTCACGACTAAGGATATCTTGATCTGTTTGATCACCCACGCCTTCTGGCCACCACTTACGTTCATCATTGTCTGCAGTTCTTTCTGGATTCCTATCACCTACGCTGTCGATCCTCCGACAGTGCCTGATCGGGAACAGCTTCTGGTTCGAGATCCAAAAACCAATGTTGCTCATCCTACGAAAGAGAGCAAAAAGATTGCGTTCAAGGGTCAAAGCGCCTGGTTCGAATTCGAGTTGACATTTACAACGTTGTATACCACTGCAGCATTCGTGGCGTCTTTCTTCTATTGAGAAAGGGCAAATTGTTTTAATGTTTATACTTAGCGGCACAAATGGGTGAGGCGCGCACGATAATAACGAAACGTGGGTCTGGAGTTGATTCATTCTGGCAATCTTTGGCTAGATTTGCACGAATGCAAAATTACATGGTGCTCATTAACTGGAAAGTTCTATCCAATTCGGAGTTCAATAGTTTAAGCAGATCTTGGAAAGACCCGAAACATGGTACAGGTGGGCTACAGCGGCGTCTGAACATAGATTTGACATAGCACATGGGAAGGTCGAAAGATTTCGACACAGTGTCTCGGATGTACAAGCAGCAACAAAAGGCTGAATACTGTTGAGGTAGACAATCTGTATCGATTGTAAGAATTAGTATTACGCACCAAACAACAAGAACAAATTCAAGCGTGAACTTCTGGTCATTTGCCTTGTTTTGATCTGATCTGGTCTGTCCCCGTAGTGACGAGCCTCGTAAGCCCATTGATAGTAATACAGACCTACCGCGTTGTTTCAATAGTCCACTTACTAAATGCTGTGATTCGCTTTCCGTAGCAATCGTCCGAGAGCAGCAATGATTCGGATAATAAAAGAGGATGTTCGCATACGGCTGATGTGATCATCGGGTGTTGCTAGTCACAATACAAAAGTATCTAACCGCAGAATAAAAACACAGGTTTCAACTTTCTTGTATACGAAACCAACCCTATTTCTGCACTCCGCCGCGTGAAGAGGTATAGATGGTAGATACTCTTCCGATCTTTCGATTGTTCAGTATGTCCTCGCTATTTACTACGTATACAGTCAGAGTCGTGTTGGGTGTGGATACATAGCGTGCAGTCCGGTCCGTGGTGCAGGGATACGGCACGGACATCGTTCCACGTTAGGATATTTTGCTTCCTTGTTAGTAAGCTAGATCTGCTGGTAGAAAGGGCACGACTCGACTTAGACGGAAGGAGGAGAAGGAACGAGAGCGTGCACGCGGAAAGAGGAGAATTTCAAGAAATAGGAGGTATGCTTCAGCGATGGGCACTGCCCTCTTTCAGCCTATTACTCGCATAAGGAGCACTATGCTCATGTTTGATTGTGTACAAGCGCCTGGTGTGTATTTAAACGACGCTCATCTTCTTACTCCGACAATCTGCCCAGCCTAGCATGTACTTTTATTCCCTAGAACTCCCTACTCCGAAGTCGAGAATACAACACGAATCTTGTGTATCCTAATTCATCTGTCTAAAAACATCGTTGCTCAGTGAGAAGGTCAATTCAACCATCTGTCATTGGTCGCTTCTCTTCCGTAAAAATACACGTCTGATACCGCCAACATCGCCGAGGCCCATTATCGATCTACGTCGGGGAGACTTGCTTCTTTGCTGTGTTAAGTGGTTCGCGGATGTGGACGATTCGGCGGAAACACTCGAGGTGCGGTCGAGGTGCGAACCCTGAGGTGTGCTGATGGCAGATGGTCGACCGCTATTGTTATTGGTTGCTAGTGGTGTAGATGTAGTACTCCAGCTTGAAACGCGGCGAGGGTTGTTATTCAGCGCCGAGACTCGAGTCTTTGGTGATATGATTGTGGTAGTCGTTGTTGTTGTCGGCGCAGTTACGGTCGTCGAGTTATTGATCGAGGTCGACGTAAGTGTTGGGCTGCGTGTAGAGTGAGAATGATTGTGAGATACTTGACTGCCACTAGCAGCTCGGGCTTTCGACATCATTGTTTCTACCCATGCATCGTTCGTAGGAGTACGTGGAGGATTTGTTGCTGGTGTTCTGCGATTCGCTGGAACTGGACCTGCACCTCCTAACGGTGTATATCTATTCGTCATAGTAACAGTCGTCGTTACAGCTGGCGAAGTCGTCGTAGTAGTCGACACCCGACTTGCTGGTCTGTATGACGGCATGGGACCTGAGATCCGGACTGGACGATCAAACCGAGCTGGACTAGTGCTCCTGGCGATGGGTAGGTCGTAATTAGGTGGTACCACAGGAACCGGAGGCGGTCGCCAGGGAGCCATTTCTGCCTTCTTCTCTTCCGCAGATTTTGGCCGATCGTTATCTGCTAAGCCAAAATCGAAATTCTGGTCGGGAACTGTGGCCTGTGGGTGTGACTGACCAGGTCCAGCAGTCTTTCTCAAACTTTCTGGTCCTTGTACTCCAGGATAGCCCGAGACTTCGAGCTTGTCATCCGTCAGGCCACGACCACCGTGATGTAGACTATATTCTCGCAGATATTCTGCAAGATCAGCCCAACCTCCTCCAACTCGCACCATGATTCGATCACCGTTTTCTCCAACAGCACGTACGAACAATTTTACCGGAGGAGCATCCTTCAGACGAGGATTTCTCAAATGATAGATTCGTACCAGATTAGGATTGTTACCAGCAGAATCACGGCCCTTCGCAGGTGATAGTTTGAGTACTCGACTTGGTGACGAAGCACGAGAGGATGTCTCTGAACTTGCATCGGACGAACCAGAATCAGAGCCGTTGGCAAGCCGAATCTTAGCCGGCATTGAAGCCAGTATACTTTTCAACTTATCGTCGAATGTCTCTGCCCTGGTCAAGTTGCTACGAGGTGTTTCTGGCACAGGGTTAGTAGTCCCGACTACAGCCGCTTCGTCGTTCTCAAGAGGAACAGTCTCCGGAGGAGGTGATGGCATTCTGGTCTGACTTGGTACCGGCAGACTCAGCCTCTTACTGGATCGTCTAGGCACCAAAGGCGGAGCTAAAGTTTGGTTTGCTGCCAAATAGGCACCCCTAAGGCTCAAAGGATCAACTCGGAGGCTTGGAGATGGAGAAGCTGGTAAGGGGGTCAGAGCTCCGAAAGTATTGTCATGATCTGCCAGTGGGTTTCCGGCTTCTTTGACAGGGGAAGTCATCTGTGCTTTTGTGACATCGTCGTAGAAAGTGCTCCGAGGACGATTTAAATTTGCGAGCATGTCGTAACTAGCACTTTTCTGTAGAACGACCTTGCGAATCTGCTCTTTCGGAACAAATTCGACGGACGCGACAGAGGCTCGGTGCATGATGGGTGGTCTGGTGGAGGATTGAGGCTCCACGCTATCAGATCTGCCGGTCATCCATGGAAATCCGTTCTTGTTGGTAGATGTTGAGCTACCAATTATGCTAATCCGTGGACTCGGAAGTACAGGAGTCGCTCGCGCGTCCATGATCTCGGCATTCTCAATGGAGTAGTTCGAGAAGGTTGATTCTGCCATGGAAATTTCCGAGACACCTCTTCTATGACCTTGGTCCGGTTTTGGATTGACTTCGCGAAGTGGTTTTCTTTTGACGCTGCTTGTACTTCGTGATGGAACCATCGAAGAGGTGGTGGAGTCCAACGAGGTACTGTGTTGTAGAGTTGGGAAAATGGGATCAGGCGATGCTGGCAGAGGAACCTTGGCTGGGGATGTGGTAGGCGTGCCAGATTTCTGGCTTTCTCTATGAGGTGTATCTTGGGCCATCTGGTTGCGAAGAACGACTCGTTCAGCTTGTGCAACCCATTCTGCATATTTGTTTTCAATGTTCTCGAGATCATTGATCCATGCTTGTGGCAAAGAGTCCTCTTGGCCTTCGAGCATGTCCAAAAGATCATCGACTCGTTTGCCAAGATTCGATACTCTAGTTCCAAAAAGTGCTTTGCCAGTTTCCAATTCTCTTTTGTTGAGTTTACGACTTTGCACCTCGTCTTGTACAATCTTGTTGATTGTCACCAATCCGAGCTTGACTTGGTCGATCGTTGTTATAAGATCAGGAATCTGGCGCAAGACGGTGAGTCGGATAGACCACGTCTCTAGAAGTATCTGCAAATTGGCCAGTACTGGGAATGATTGGATGACAGTCGCAGTAACCAGAGCAGTGAAATCCCTCATTCGACCGTAGCCCAACGAAGCTGATGACTGTGAGGTAGGATGGTGTGAGCTGAAGACATATTCCTTGATCTCATCCATGCCTAAAGTATCTATAGCATCCCAGATTTCATCAAGACGATCCTCATATTGCTGGACCACATGCTCAGGCAGAGAGCCATAGTATACAGCCTCTTTCGATTCTGGGGCTATAAAACCAGCACCCCACGCCCGGTCTGTACTGGAAGGCCATGACCAAGCTGCTACTTCGTTGGTCCACTCTTTCAATTTCTTCGCAGCTATGGCAGCGCGTATGCCCAGCTTTCGTTCCGATTCGGAGGCATCCAAAATGCTCCTGGCGATTGCGTTCTGTTCAGCTTGGTTTCTGCCTATAGCATCTGCTTGCTGCAGTGCTTCGAGAGTGGAATCAGGAGACAGATTCTTGAGCAGAGGGTCAAGTTCTCTTGCGGCGAATTGTGCTTTCCGAGTGGGGGAGCGCGAGGGAGATCTCGACGTAGAGAAGTTGCGCTTGTGAGCCGGTGGAGGCAACTGCGTGGAAACAGAGAGATGTGTAGGGTTTGGCTGCATTGCCGTCATACTTGGTTATAATTGTGGCATGGCAGTCTGGGTGGGAGAGGAGGCAGGAACGATCAATATGAGCAGCTACCTGGGTTGGTTCTCGAACGCCTCGGAAGGTCTTAGTTTTAGCGCTTTGCGGTGGTATCGTGATGGAGGGTGCTTGTGAGCATTTATCGTCGCTGTCTCAGAACTTCTTTCTTTCTACACTTCGTATACAACGGTTGCTATGGTTGGTAGTGACACACAACTGCACGTATCCGAAGCAGGAGTCTGTTATGCTTGGTAGAAAATACCTGTTCGGTACTAGCACTCAGTATTTCGTGCATGGTGACCAGGGTGATGCCAGGATCTTGACGAACTTTGAGGACTTGTGGAGTGTATTGGTCGCTTACTGTACTATGACGCGTCGCATTGTCGACACGGTGGTGAAGTTGCTGTTAAGAAAGCTCACGCAGCTGCTTTGAAGCGGTCAAGTTCATATGATGATCCCAACCATTTGTCCATACTCAGATTCGGCTCTCCTCGCCTATCATCGATATTCACATCATGCGTTTCAAGAGCAGAATCAAGTCGGTGACTATATTCGAGAAAGTATGCGCTTCACTGGCATCGCTGAATCCGATTGCCTGGTGTCGGTTGACTGAGGACGATGTCCAGTTCACGGTCATTCCTGATAAAGGAACACAATGTTGGTCCAGGCTACAGTTGGAAACGATTTTCGACAAGTACATTTGCCAGTCTGCTTCCGAGAAGAATACCATCAATCTCGAGATCCCGTTGCAAGCATTGTCGCGGGCACTGAAGTCCGCTTCAAATGCTACAGATGTGTGGATTAAGCTGACCAAGAAGGATAATGTGCCCATGCTCTCTCTAACAATTCATAGCAGTACCTATGTGGGAAACAACAGTGTAGTCACTGCGGAACCGATCACTGATGAGTTCGGTGAATTTGACGTTGATATTGATCTGAACGATCCGGCTTTCGGGGGAGCTGGATATGGACAGCATAGAGAAAGACAGACAGTTATTACTCAAGATATTCCTGTCAAGGTGCTTCATCCTAGTGACGTCGGAGGACTACATGAACCAAAGCTCCGAGAGCCTGATATACACATTTACATGCCAGGTCTGGCACAGGTCAAGAGTATATCGGACAAATTCACAAAATTAGCTACGGCAACCACTGTCTCGACCTCTGCAAAGAACGCGCCACGTCTCGAGATGAGTGCTAACATGTACGGTGCCCTGAAGATAGCAGTAAAGACAGATGCTCTATCAATCTCGAGCCTCTGGACAAACTTACTGAACCCCGACCTCGATGCGACCCAGTTTGAGGGCGGCGAGCAGGCAGTACGAGATCATCCCAGTACGAGGATGAAAGAGCTTGGCGGGCCTGATGGGCAGAATGAGGCTGGCTGGGCAAAGGTTAGAATCGATGCCAAGGATTGGTCGCGAGTCTTAAGTGTGGGCAGGGTGAGCAACAGGGTGATAGGCTGCATCATCGATGATATGGCGCTCATCATGTACTGTTGGATTGGCAACCAGGACGACGACGAAGAATCATGTCTCACAGTGAGTCTGGAAGCAATGTCAAGATCTTCTGCTAACAAGCTTGCAGTATTACATCAGCAGCTTTAGTGCTTAAGCTTTCTTTGTGACTGTCGACAACCGATAGACATATCCATAGGAAAGACTGAGATTGGAGTGGGGGGCACATGGCCGTATCTACGAAGAATGTCACGACTTCTGCCATATGAATACTTCACACAAGCGCGAAAAACCTTTGTCACTCTGTTGTACTCACTGGACGTGTGTATGGTAAAAAATGAAGTCGACAACGGACGCAACGCAAATTCGGCTTCTCGTCGCAGACCTTATGTTCGAGAGACATCAATAATCCGGTTCGCAGCAGGCGACGTCACCGATAACATCTTCCATCCGAAGAGTACAGAAACCGAAGGGTCCTACGAGACTTTTGCCAGGTCTCTAAACATATCGCCCGCCCTACTGCTACAGCAATATGCAGCTTAACACGAGTGAGCACGAGGGCTTCCAGTATTGACCACGGAGAGACTTGCAAAGAGGTCAAACGCGCGAGCTGGAGAGCAAGGTCGCGAGTGTGGCCACATTGCAGCTAAGAATCACGAGGGAAACATCAGAAAAACTCCTCTATCATCCCCGACTGGATATATACTGTCAGACGCGGGAAGAGCAGGGACGACTTCTCGATGTCGCAGAACATACCACTGCTCACATATCGTGTCGAGTTGAGCTGAATTTCGAGACCACGTACAACCTTCGGAGGTTGGCAGGTCACAAGTCTCGCTTCGAAACAACACACATCGTACAGATGGAAGAAGGATGTGACAAAAGACGAGCAAGTTTCTATCAGAACTGATTGAGCAACAACGACGATACTATCCCTCCTCACACCTGCACCTTTCTATAACTCGGCGGCCTCACCGCCCTACTAATCAATTTGCCACCCCAAACAGGCACCAAACTAATCGCCGCAACAGCCGCAACCCTCCAAACCCAGCTCCAACTAACCACATACGCAAGATCAAAATACGCTCCCAAAAACGGTACACTGGCCGCATAGAAGACACCCGTGCCAACGATGGATAATATCATGATGGGGTGCCAAGTCGTGATGCTCACGGCCACCATGATTAGCTCATTTAGCACGAGCACCGTGAAAGAAACGGATAGCATGCGTGGTCCGTCGACGGCTCCGACGAGGAGTTGAGATAGGCCTTGGATGACGATGCCTTGGTAGATACTGACTGCGACCCAGGTGAAGAAGGTCTTGTATGATAGGCTCTGTCCGGTCTTTAATTCCTTGTATAGCTCTGGGTATAAATTCGCGAGCTTCTCGTCAACGTCTCTGTCAAGCACAAGTGAGAAAACAGGCGCCATAGTGTATACAGTCGCATAGCCGACCAGCAGCCAATCCTTGAACAACCCCTTCGGGTCAAACTTCCCAGCAATATTGTACATTGTCTGACAGACACTAATAATCAGACCGCGATGGATGATAAATTGCGCCAATTTCGCAGAGCGCTTATAGCTGTTCCGCCCGTGCCAGACGAGCAGTTTTGTCACATGGCTGAATTGGGTGATGGAAAAATCCGCCGCGAGAGAGGCTTGTCGACCTTCTTTGCCGACGATGCCGATGCCGACGTCGGCGGCTTGGATCATGGAGACGTCGTTGCCGCCGTCGCCGATGCAGCAGACGCGTTTTTTAGTGTGTATGCGGATCAGGGATGCAACTTCTGCTTTTTGAGTTGGAGAGCAGCGGCAGGCGACGACGCAGGGGAGGGTGACTGCGATACTGATGAATTGTGTGCGGTGGTGGGTGAGCATGATGGCGAGGGATTCGCCGTCGATGAGCATGCAGACGTCGGATCTGTTTTGGAGGCCATCGAGGGCGTCTTGGGCTGCTTGCTTGTTGGGAATCTTGGCGATGGTTGTGATTGATTGGCCGCGGGCAACGAGGCGAGCAGATACAGCGACGCAGCGTGCTGTTTCGACTTTGTCGCCTGTCAGCATCCAGACCTTGACGCCTGCGTTGCGAAGGAGTTCGAGGGAGGGTTTAACGTCCTTCTGAAGCCGGTCTTCAACACCAGTGACGCCGAGTAGCTCTAGAGAGTGCTCCAGGTGCTGTGCCACTATTGATGCTATGTTGGTGTCGCGATTCTGCAAAGACAGGCTTGCGGTCCGGTACGCGGATGCGAAAGCGTCGTATTGTTGCTGTGTTAGCTTCTTGCGGCCAACGACTAGAGTACGAAGACCTTCTCGAGCCATGTTTGCAGTCTCTTCATTGAGCCAATCATTTGCTGCCACGATAGTACTCATTACTGTATCAGCGCCTTTCTGGTAGAAGACCAGGTCGTCAGTAATGTTCAAATCTGGCAGATCAGAAGAGACACGGACTATGACACCCATACGTTTGCTGTCGGATGTGAATGGGAAAATGTCGAGAATTTGGGCGGTGAGGACGATCTTGTTGGTCGTCGTGGATTGCAAAGTGATCATCTCGCGTGTACGCTGGTGCAATCTTAGTCCCACACTTTCCGTGAACTCGACAATAGCAATCTCATCGGGTGAAGAAGCCTGATATGAGGTTATCTGTTCGCCGTTAACTTCTTCAGTCGATGGTGTCACATTGTGACAGAGTGCAAGTGCAACCACGAGGTCGCGTACGCGAGTTCCGACCTCTCGTCGACTGCGAGGTGTAGTGCCATTTGTACGAGCAAGTTGCTTTTGTTCCACATCCTGGGCGAATGCTTGGTCAATATAGGTCGAGACTTCCTCCATTGCTTCTCCAGCATATGATACTGTGCCAACATGAATCTTCTTAAGCTGCATTTCGTTTTGAGTCAAGGTTCCTGTCTTGTCCGAGAGCAGATACTCGATGCGACCAAGATCCTCCGGGATAGTGCTAGTACGGACCACAGTGTCTGGGATTCCCCGATCGCGTTCGATGAAATGGGCATAGACAGTCTTGCCCATGTCAAGGTTGACACGCAGACTGATAGGAATGATAGTCGAGAACAAGATCAAATATATCATGATTGCAACATACCATGGTTTCTTGTTCGATGGCTCGAAGCCTTCCAGAGCAACCAGAATGATTGACAGACTAAGTGTCATTATGCACAAAATTTTGGTGAGTGTATTGATCTCCATTTCCAGAAGACCAATCTTTGATCGAGACTGACTCGTTGACATAGCTGATCGTGTTTGCTTACCAGTATAAATGATAGCAGCAAGTGTAGTCGTGTTCGACGCTAACACAGTATTGGCCCAAGCAGTATTATCAATAGACAAAGGCACAGATGTGGTTGATGGATCTGACTCGGCTGTATTCGCATCTTCGTCCTCTCTATCCTTAGCAACATGTGGATCATAGGCTGATGGTGCAGGTGTCAGAGCTGCAGTTCCTACAAAATCATTGACCTTCTGACTTGGGGCGCCAGCGGCGATTCGTAGCCGACGTAAATCGGCCACATTCAGACCTTGAGTCAGTGGACAAGGAAGTCGGAGCTTCCAGTCTGTCTCACCATCCAACTGATCAGTTCTAATAAAGGTTTCCGCTGCAGACGAATCTTCAGCAGGCGACTGATCAGGTACAATATCTACTACTGCCTCAGCAGGAGTGCTTTTCAGAATGATCACATCGGCAGGCACTCGGCGGTTCTTGTCCAGTTTCAGGACGTCGCCGACCTTGAGATCCCTCGACTTTTTCTGAATCTCCAGAGCAGGTGTGGCAATCGGTCGACCTGAGACATCCTGGTCCAGGGCCAGCACTGTATACAGCTCAGAATTAGCTTCGGCATCACGGCGCCTCCTTGCGATGTCGTCAAATGCCTCCTTGCCGATAGATATGGTTAAGACGAAGACGAGAGGAGCAATGTAGGTCGACATGTAACCGATGCGTAAATATGGGATGATTTGCGACAGAGCTACAAGCAGAAAGTAGATGTTGAGGAAGAAGCGAAACTCGTTGTAGAGGGTCAAGGGTAAGAAGGACCATAAAGAGTACTTAGCATTAGAGACAATATTGGGAGGATATCGTTTCTGCTGCAGACGGGCAACTTCGATCTCTCTTGAGTCCTTGTTGCTAACTTCAGGTTCCTCGCGCAACTCAGCATATTCCTGTCGCATGTAACCAGCAAGCTGCACACTCTGCCTTAAACTTGAACGGCGTGAGTGGTGGACTGGGCGTGATCGTGTGGTGGTTCTATCGACTCGACGGACGTTCCAGCCGCGAGAGTCCTCGTCCAACTCATCTCCAAGCAGACCTTCAAGGTCATCACCACGATCTCGTTGCTGCTTGCGTCCTTTGGCAGGCCAGAAACGCTGGGGCGAACGCTCAAGCATGGGCTTCAGAGGCACAGAGTTGATCGTGGGAGTAGGATGCCATGGTGAAGATCGAGCGTTCGCGGATCGAGGCTTGGGCTTTGGGCTAGCATAGTCCAGTTCATCTAAGTCAAGATCATCTTCGGGATCTGTGTCGTGACCGGTAGTGGGATGGTATTCGTATGGTAGAGGCATTTCCACGATCCATCATTCCATGTAGGCTGGAGGACCCTGAAGACTCAGCTCGATGTGATGTGCTGAATAGAGATGTGCTATCGGCTCGAATGGCTGCGTCCAAGTCGTATATCTCTTTTGTGTCTGTGAAATTCGTCAAATATTGTGCATGAGCTTGTGATTTCAGATTGTTATACAAACAGGATTGATTGTCTCTATAAGCGCAGGCATTAGCATTTCACATGGCTCAGGCTGCAGGCGCAAGGATAGACCCGCAGACTAAGCTCCGGAAGACACAGGGGTGGACCTTAGCGCAGGTCGTGGAGCAGACCTCCCTAAATTTCGGCTCCTGGAGGCTTCAACTTTCCTCAAGACTGCTCGATCGGGCTATCTCGAAAGACCGATACAACTACCTCTTCCAACTGCCATTGATATGGGAAGGAGTAACACAATGTATCAACACAGTTTTTGATCGATTCTATTCTTTTGCGACTTGTGGAACAAAAGCCACGAGGTAAGCATTGCGCGCTGCAACACGTCACCCTCGCTCTCAGTCGCATGGCCACCGTGGCTGACCAGAGACACAGCATTTCCCATACCGAAAGGAGGACATTATTATGGACTTCTCTAATTTGTCGCGCGACGACCAAGATGAAACTATGACAACAACGAAAGAGAGCCACTGGCAGCCCGCGCTGAGGCCGAACGACGATGAGATGGAACAGAGTGATGTTTCTTCGTCTGTTCAGCAGCAACAGATAGAGGGACCTACCCAGAGACCGAGCTTACAACCATCCATGTCGCATTTCTCCTTCTCACACCAAGACGATGACGAGGAGGAAGTAGGAGAGCAGTCAGGTCCAGCGCGTCTTGATCCATCTTGGGGAATCAAGCGTACCGACTCAGCACATCTCCTGGATAATGTTCGCCGCTCTCCATCGTTTCCTCCTCCAGAACCGGATCTTGACCAAGTCGAGCGATTGGTGCCTGTGCAAACCTCGAGCCATGCCCTGTCAGACGATCGAATTGGTACAGAAGAAGAACCCGAGCCACTATCGAACGCTGCCGAAGTTGAATATGTTCCTGAAGTTGAGGGAATCGAAGACCCAGAAAAATCACGGTATGACGAAGGAGTGCCACTGATAAGTTCAGAGCCACACCCAAGAAATCAGCCAGAATCTGTAAGCCAGGAGGACGACTACTTCACTCAGCTGGAACAGAAACCTGATGAGACCGACCTGCGTCCGTCACTTGAACGAAAAGAGACGGAAGATGTGTTAGATAGTCTCGGTGCCAGCAACACCACTCCCGACTCTCCTCCTTTGCCAGCCATACCAGAATCCGACCAAGAGTTACCGCCTACTTCTAAAGAGATAGACCTTGCCGCAGCTTTCGGTGATGGCCTTGAGGGTGAGGAGGATTTGGCTGCTGCTTTTGCCCAGACTGCTGAGCCTGAACAAGATCCTTGGAAGGCAGCCATGGATGATGGCGACAATTTCCTGGTTGATGATGCTGATGATCTGCTTTCCGATTCTGAGGACGAGCAACAACCACAACCTTCACAACAGCTGCAGGTAGCTCGAGGACAGCAAGCACGTACTTCCGCCGTGTCACACTCAAATCCTTATGCACCACATCAACCATCGACCGCAGAGCTAACCCAATTCGACTCCACTACCCAGAACATAGGTTTACAGAGACCGATGCAGAGTCCCATGAACGCCTTCCAGGCACAGCAGCGACCATCAAATATCAACAACAGAGCTGCAAGCTATGTTGACCAGGCTAAAGGTGGCTACAAATCGCCCTACGACTTACCCATGGATCTTGCTCCTAAGAAACGGGTACAAACCCAGCGCGTCGCATCGTCAACCAACGCAGTCCCTCCACCCCCGAGGTCGAGCAGCATTAACACCGACAAACAGCTTCAATCACCCTTTAGTCCCCATCCGCCATCGTACAACACACTCGCCACCTCTTCGCCTCTAAGCCCTCCAACCACCAATTTAGCTGCTGGACCGGTACAAGCAGTCCCTCCAGCTGCTAAGCGGCAAGCCTCCGGATTTTTTGAGGAATTGCCAATCGCTCCCAAATCTAGGCCACCACAACCTGCTCCACGTATACCCGTTTCACAACCACAATCGAGTCTACCAAGTTTACCACCGTACCAGAACACAGGCTTTGCAGCTAATCCCGTGCAGCAGCAGCAACCACCTCAACAAGCTGTAGACCCTTATGCACAGTTTCAACTACAGCGCCCCGAAAAGCTTGACCCTTATGCAAACGTGCCTATACCACCTACGCAGAGCTCTTTGGGCCCGACGCCTCCAGCTGTAGCTTCTCGCTACTCTCCTGCCCCTCCTGCGGCAGTGAATGGTATCAAAGCGTCGCCTTCACCACGATATTCGCCGGCTCCTCCTGCGCAAGCAGCAGGGCCACGTTACTCACCTGCACCTCCTGTACAAGCGAATCGATATGTCTCGCAACCACTACCTGGAGCTAGCTTTCCTCATCTGCCTAGAACCTCTAGTCCTTTAGCTCAACACAGAAGGTCCATTGACGACACCGCCAATCGAGCACCACCCCGACCACTACCACCACACCATGCTGCCTCTTTCTCTGCAGCCGCCGCGACCAGCATGTCGCCTCCTCGTGGTATGGATCCTGCTAAGCAAGAAATTGTACCACCGAGACGTCCTCAGACTCAATCTCCAAGCAGGCAAATGACTCGTCCAGGTATTCCTTCTCGTATAGTACCTCCCCCTAATCGCCCAGCTTCAGCTCTTGGGCAGCTATCACCTACACGGTCGCAGCCCCTTCAGAGCATATTGTCACCTCCTCGTCAGTCTCAATTGCGGCCTGTAGAACAGTTGGATTACATAAGGCCGGCGGACGAAACCGTGAATGATCCACTAGAAAGATGGAAGGGTGCACCCATATTCACCTTTGGATTTGGTGGCACAATAATCACGAGTTTCCCAAAACGCACTCCTCGTTACAATGCTGCAGCTACACGTCCTCAGATAAAAGCTACTGCTGGTGAAGTAAACATCAAGAAGCTCAATAGTGTCTTGAATCCTTCTGAGAACTCGACTGAATTTCCTGGCCCACTGAAAGGCAAAACCAAGAAGAAGGACATCCTTACCTGGCTTTCATCTAGCATAAAGAGACTAGAAGCCGATGTTATGTCCCATCCGAGCAAACGTCTCGAGGAGAAGGTGTTGCTGTGGAAAACTATAAGAGTGCTCGTTGAGCAAGATGGCAATCTTGACACTCCACAAGCTGTCCAAAACGTCAGCGCTCTTTTGTTGCCAGGGGTATACGGAGCTGATGATTTGAACCGGTCTGAGAACAACGTTCAAGATCTATCCTCCGGAATCTACCGTCCAGCTAGCTTTACCGCCAAGACCGAGACTGTAGATCCTTTGGCAGTAGAAGGACTGAGGAAGACACTACTAAAAGGCAAGCGCGAGGATGCCGTTTGGCAGGCAGTCGATAGCCGGCTTTGGTCCCATGCACTACTTTTAGCCTCAACACTTGATCGATCGGTCTGGAAGCAGGTCGTGGCAGAGTTTGTGAGACAGGAAGTTAGAACCATCGGTGCTAATTCAGACTCGTTGTGTGCGTTCTACGAGATTCTGGGTGGTAATCTGGAGGAAAGCATCGACCAACTTGTGCCTCCTTCTGCACGAGCTGGCTTACAGATGGTTAGCAAAATTGAGAGTGCCGGACCAACACGAAATGCATTGGATGGTCTGGACCGATGGAAGGAGACACTCTGCCTGGTGCTGAACAATCGCAGCCACGAAGACCAGCGAGCTCTCCTGACTTTGGCAAGACTACTGTCAGATTATGGTCGCATCGAGGCTGCCCATATGTGCTACCTCTTCGCCCGGAGCCCTGCGTTGCCTCATATGTTTGGTGGTGCAGATGATCAGAATACAATGATCGTACTGCTTGGAACTGATCACCAGCGTCAACAATCAACATTTCACAACGATACAGATGCCATATTGCTTACGGAAGTTTACGAATTTGTGACGTCGTCCTTAACAGCTGGATCAACTGGAGCACCGATGCCACACCTGGCTGCTTTCAAGCTTCGACGTGCGAATGAGCTCGCTGATATAGGTATGAAGGCCGAGGCGCAGGCCTACTGCGACGCGATTGCAGCAGGGTTAAAGTCGAACACAAAACATTCCCCCTACTACAATCCTCTGCTATTGGGAGAGGTGGAAGATTTGTCAAATCGTCTCAAGCAAGTACCGGTGCAAAGTGCATCCTGGATTGCTAAACCTAGCGTCGAAAGAGTAACTGGCTCTCTTCTGAGCAAGTTCAGCAGTTTCGTCATAGGTGAAGATTCAGACGCTGAATCAAAGGGATCTGCTCGTGAGGCTGCTGAAGCTCAGCCGTTCGCAAATATCTCAGGCTCTCCATCTCTAAGTCGCAACGCGTCTCAAACAGACTTATACGGTTCGTATCCGACACCGATACAGATGACACCTGTGGTTGCCGCAACCGCAGCCGGGTCAAGATATGCCCCTAATGGTATGAGCTCTGCCAGGTCATCCTCAGAAATAGCGCGCGGACGTGCATCTATGGAGTACCAACGTTCACCTCCCTCAACGTCTCATTCTAATCATGTCAATTCTAATATGTATATGCCGACGATGCAACCCGCACAAAATCCATATTCACCAGTGACGATGTCGCCTCCAGCAACTGGCTATCAGCCAAATCCATATCAACCCAGTCCAGAATCACATATGCCAATACTTGCGGAGGAGATGTCTCCACCTAGCCAACCGATGTCATATGCACCTGTGGCTCCATCAACAAACGGCATTGCAGTTCAACCAGCATTTGGGGGATATACGCCGCTAGAACCACCTTTCGAACCACAGCAGCAAGCGATTGATGAGAACGAATATGTGCCTGAGCAGGCTCAGACTGGGTTTGAGCCTCCTTCAGCCGACACCGGATATGGCTACCAACCTCCAGACGATGCAGGTTATGTGCCTTATGAGCCAGAACCAGAATCGGAAGATGAAAAATCAAAGCCTAAGAAGTCTTTCGTAGACGATGACGAGGATTTCGCAAGGGTTGCAAACAATGTTCCTGCGCCACAACAACACGACGGTGCAGCAGAGCAGGCACGAAAGAAAGCCAACGATGCAGCTGCTGACGCAGCTTTCCGTGCAGCTGCAGAAGAGGACGCTAAACGTGCCAAAGAACAAGCAGCGCAGAAGAAAGGAAGCGGCTCCTGGTTAGGCAGTTTCTTTGGTGGGGCTAAAAAGCCAGAATCGCTCGATGCTGGATCCAGCAACAAGGGAGGCGACGCTAAAGTGCATCGTGTACATTTAGGAGAGTCGAAGATGAAGTTGTACTATGATAAGGACAAGAAGAAGTGGATAAATCCAGACAACCCAGAAGCGAGTGAGAAGAAGGCCGCGCCTCCTCCACCAAGGTCAAACACAAGCTCTGTACCTCCGCCAATGGGCGGGCCTCCGAGAAGTGTATCGACACCATTCTCCTTGCCTGCTGGTGGGTTGAGCAGAAGTGGTACACCTGTCTCCGTTGCCGTTGATACAGGTAGTGAAGGTGGAGATTCTCGACCAGGTACTGGACACGGTCAGCCAGCCGGATTTGCAGCAACACTACCGCCCGGAACTCAGCAAAGTCTTGGCATAGGAGGTACGAGCTCCTCGCCTACACCTTCGAGTGGTCCGGCACCACCTGGTTCAGGGCCACCTACGAGGCCTCCGAGCGCATTGAGTAATGCGAGTGGTTTGGATGATCTTCTTGGTGGCCCACCTGGAGCTGGCAATAGGAGAGTTAGCGGCAGGGCCGCCAAGGGGAAGAAAGGACGTTACGTGGATGTAATGGCTCAGTAGAGCGTGCGGACATAGCTGTGGTATGCAGATTTTATCTTATAATACAAAGACTCCGAAGTTACAACTATCCTTATTCTTTGGAGCGTGTCCACATCATCACTGAGCTGCCGCGATCTTATTACTATCGCTGGTGTAAAGTTCGAAGCATAAAGGCATCAATTGTATAAAGTCCTGATCAGGACGACAACGTCAGTCGTTGTGCTTCAATCTATCCACCAAAGCTCGATAAATCATGGCGTGAACCTGCATGAACTTTGTAGCATGTATCGGAGTTCAAGCTCAGAATCCCTTCCGATAGCTGTTGGTCGCACAAGTATATCGCTTTCGAGGAAGGAGCAAAGAGCATTCCTTTCTGCTTCCTCAGCTTTGACGCAGCATGTTCATCCACCAAACCCCAACTTCCAAGCACTTCGCCTACTCAACAATCATAGCGGATGGTCGCGATAACTAAGACAAGAACATGATCAATCGGCACAATTGAGACATCCTGTACAGTCAAAAGCCTTGAGTGTGTTGAACTCACCAATTCTGTTGTGAGTGCTCGAAGTACCAGAAAGACCTGGCTGATATGGTGATCAGCCTCACAGCAGTGAATCTGTGCCCTGCATATGAAACTCTCTATCGTCTCTAATACTTTACCTTGCTAGTCGCGCTCAAGCAGCTTTGTTCTCGCCTGCTTTCAATTCTCGACTCGGTTGCACCAGCAAGGCCCTTGGGGCTGCATCGTCAACTCACCCACTACCACACTAGCTCTGCCTAGGAATATAGCCTTACACAACGTCCTGTTACACGTGGAAATAGCCACCGAGTGCTTGTCTGGTCGGTTTGCGTCTCCCTAGCAGGAGGAGAACAGACTTCTGGTAAACTCATCAGTCACTCCTTCGATCAAGGCCGAATCACAATAAATCGTCGAACAGATGGTGTGTTCCAACGACTTCTCATAGGACACATTGACAGTGTGACACGAGGTCGACGAAACAGCTGCGCCAAGACCACCCACTAGACGTTAGTGCGGTGCTAGCGAGCAATGCTAGCACTGGCACTGCACAAACGGGTTCGAAGCTTACATCCACAAACGTGATCAAACGTGATCATTCATCTCATCAACCCTATCACGTGTCTTGCGGAATACAACCAGAGCGGATGACCTTGATCAAGTATGTTTGGAATCAGCTTGTCTTGGATGCAGAGCAAGCCTGCCTACTGCATGTCCCAATCATGTCTCCTTGTCCTCTGCATACCTCTATGCCTCACTCGGCATCGCTGTGCATTGTCTTTGCTAACAATCCGTCTGCTAGATCATACCATCCTCTAGGTAAACTGCACAATCACTTATAGGTCGCGCTATTTCAAGCGAGTGCAAAGCGACGCGAGCATTAGTGAAGCCTTTGGCGAGACCATCGAAATGGCAACCAACAATCCGCCGTCTCCGAATAGCAACAAGCGCAAGAGAGACCATAGCGAGTCAGGTCCTGGACGCGGTATGAAAGCTCCTGCTACAAATGGCGACAACTCTGCAAACGCGATGTTTATTTCCCTCTTGCAAGGAATCGACGAAAACACAGGTCCAGTAGCCGCGCAAGATGAGACATCTCGTACCGCGCAAGCCGCTCTACAGCAGCAACAATCCTCTTACCCCGAGCCGAACGTCTTTGACCATTCCGGACAGACCGCATTTGACGAATCTCATCTGCAGCCAGCTCTGCCACATCATCAACTGCAAGCTAGTGGTCAAAGCATCTTCGACGCTCGACAGCCGCAGCCAGGCAAGCCGGCAGTGGGCACTCAAGCCTGGCACCAGCAGAGGAAGGACAGTCACAAAGAGGGTAAGTTGTGCATAATGCAGCATGTGAGTGTCGCTAAAACAACTCATAGTTGAGAGAAGACGTCGAGAAGTAATCAACGAGGGTATCGAGAACATTGCCAAAATGATCCCCGGCCAGGACAAGAACAAAGGCCACATCCTGGCTAGCGCATGCCGATACATACAAGAACTGCAAGCAAAGATAGCCTCCTTCGACAGCGAACGCAATGTCTTCGAGATCACGCAGCAAGAGTTGACAAGGAGGAACGAAAGTCTAAGAGATAGCGCCCAGCGTGCATGGCAAGAGACCGCCAAATGGATGGGCCGATGCCGTGAGGCAGGTCTACAGTTTGACGACTACGATGGCAGTGTCGAAGCTGCGGAAGCTTTGGAAGAGAACACTAACCTGGCAGGCGTAGCCTCCAATGGCGAAGGATATGCTGTTGACAAGGCAGAAAATACCGTCTCTTAGAAGGGGCGGTTACATTCTGCACCACAGTCTGCAGCCTCTGCTGTGCAAGACCTGGAAATGACTGCAAAATTGGCATGTACGCTTGATGCGATGGCTCAAGGTCATGCATGAGCGGTTTATGAGTGATTCGGGCAGTATCGCAACACAATTGTTGGGGAAGTATATGAAGTTCTTGCATGCTTACCTGTCATATGGAAGTGGATCGCATTACTGGGCATGAATATTGAGATATCCTACCACAGAGATGTGTGATAAATGTGCATTCTTTCATAGCCTAACCGGAAATCTTCTTGTACATTGGTCCTGACTTTTTACGGCAATGCAACCATGGCTCAAGTCTCATTTGAAGGAGCAACGCAGAATGAAAGAAGACAATACACATGCCGCACGGATTCTCTGCCCTCATCTCTTACAGTTTACTATCCTTCCACTTTGGATTCCGCTTCTCCACAAAAGCCAACACCCCCTCATGGATATTCTCACCAACAGCAAGCCTCTCCCCATACAGCAACGCTTGAACCCTCGTCGCATTCTCAACACTAGCATCCTCCCACCCAGCATCAACGCCCGCCTTCGACACAATCACACTATCCGGACTATTCGCACTAATCTCCCTCGCAAGTGCCAACGCCTTCTGAACGACAGGTCTCTGTACGATCTGTTCGGTACCTTCAGCCAGTGGGTCAGCATGATCCTCCACGACGGCATTAATAATGCCCCATTCCCTAGCTTCGTCCGCCGATATAATTCGACCCGTCAATGCCACCTCCATCGCGCGCACGCGGCCGATCTGTCTGCAGAGTCTAGGCAACGCGCCCGCCGCAGCGACGACTCCCCTTTTGACTTCAGGGAGACAGAACTTCGCAGACTTGCTCGCGACCACGAGATCCAGATTCGCGACGGCTTCCATACCGCCTCCGAATGCGATGCCGTTCACCGCGCCGATGACGGGTTTCTTGCCGCTTCGTCTGCTGAGGCCCGCGAAGCCGCCAGCTGGTATTTCGCGACGGACAGACGGTTTACCTTGGAGACGAGCTTTGTTGTGTTCGTTCCATTCTTTGAGGTCGGCGCCTGCGCAGAATGCTCGTCCGGCGCCTGTGACGATGCAGACGCGCAGGCTTGGCTCGTTATCGTACCATGTTAGGAGGGCTTGGAGGTCGTGGTGGATGGCTGACGGGATGGAGTTTAGGTGACGGGGGCGGTTGAAGATTATGAGGAAGGTGTGTGGTTGGGGGAAGAGGATGTTAGCGTAGGTTTGCGACGGGGGTGGAGATTTGAAGCTAGCTTGGCTGGCTGACATATTGTTGCTTGTCCGATGCCGCTACTCTCTCGTTTTGCGAGTGCCCCGAAGCTGTTCTTTCTTTCCACGGTGCGATTTACTAACAACACGATTGCACAAATCTTTGCAAGGTCGACAATTAGCAAGCTCGTTAGCTTCTTCTCAATTGCAGTCCTGCAAATTCCAAAGCTGACAATAGCATGCCAGGGCTGTCAGTGTTTGGAGCTTAAATCAGTAACGTTTAGTACCTCGGCTATACGGAGGTACCGGATGTTGTTGCCACTGGTTTAAGGCACCAGCCAAGAACCAGAGATACATCTTTCCTGCACGTCCTTTTGTTGTACAAACGCCAGCAGTTGTCGGTCATAATGGCGATAACTCGACAATCCGTAGCGATGTTTTCTGAAGTGTGCAAAGATATACTGCTTTTTGCCTCCGACAAAATTGTTGGCAGTTTTAGTCAGCGTCGCCCTTAGGCAATCGGTCTAGACACTTTCGACCGCGTCCACCGTAGGTGGTGCCTTGTCCTTGATTAACAAGCAGCGATAACGAAGATGTGGCTGCATTCGCGCATCAAGGTTAATACACTGGTGCGACCCTCGCCACTATTGTGTGAAAATAAATCTGGTCCACTGGGCAAGAAACCCTCCATGATTTGCAGGCTCGATCTAGTGCAATCTCGTGCATGGTGTAGTTTTTTTTGGAATCGGGTTATCGTCGAGCAATGACACGATAGAGCAGTGTTGCCTAGTATAGGGAGACTGAATTTTGACTGCTGTGATGTCTATGGTAACTGAATGTCCCGTGATACATTCTGACTTGGCGAATAAATTCATTCCTTCAGCATGAGCGCGGGAACCGGATACCCTACTATAAGGTGACGTGCTTAGGCTTGTGCATGGCAGAACCGATCTTGTTATGCCCCAAAACGGTCGTCTCGTGAGATTCCATCCTGTCCTTCAGGAGAACCCATTCGCGAAAGCAGAAGTACTGCATTCCCCGACTGGACTTTGCGGATGTGCTATCTGTGTCGGCCTTACCAGGTGTTGTGGCGACAGCACCCAATAGACTCAGCCTAGCTTTCGCCTTTCAACGTGCATATTAGCCACAAGGGCACATCCAAACTGCAGCACTGTTTCAATACCTAGTTGCCACTCATTTTGTACGACATCTCCAATTGGTAGGGAGATTGACGACCTGCATCGGCCTCTTTGATGTGCAAGCATCATGGTCTCGAGTCTTTGTTCTAAGATTGCAGTGGCTGAGGACATTTGAAACCCAGGGTTGCATCACTATTTTGGTCCTGTCGTCGTGGTCATCGCTGGCCTTTTGCGAGACATCGGATCGGCCAGGCAGAGGAGGACATTGGTTGAGACCTTCGTACTGTGGTAGATCGTTCAGATTTGTATGACAAACTACGGAGGCATCGTGCCTGGAAAGGACCTCACTACGGCTCGTGGCTGCTGGGCTTTTTGGACCTGCTACTGATTCTGGATATCTGGTATTGGCTGCTAGGTACGAAATGACGATCCTTGCAACTATCCATGCTCGGAAACAGCACATCGAGCTAGCAGAGATCTCATTTTAGTGGACTGAACCAGAATTCAAAGTATCCCTCGCTTTCGTTGCTGCTGTTGACCCTGTAACAAACCGCATGTCTTGAAATTGAGCATGGCGCAGACATTTCGCTGCACGCATTGTTAGCACAATGGAGCCACGCCCGGACTGATATTCGAGAACGAGATGGCTTCAATTGATGGTAGCGCGCTCAAGAACACGTTTGTTGGAAACAAGCTCGTGCAAGAATTGCAACAGCGGCCTCGCCCACATGCCTGCTCCTCTTCGATTGGAATGGTCGAGCACTGCGGCCTCGATAGGTGTAGCCTCAATCAGCTACGAAGCTGCTGCGTATCTGGGATGAAGTTACATGGACCATTGTGACAATTTCATAGCAAGGAGCAAGTACTCGATAGCGCCATCTCAGTACGTGAACGAAACAGCGATAGGTCTTTGATAAGGCTGAACAAGAGGTCGGGTATCTTTTGACGAAATTGTGGATGTTCGAAGAGGAAAGCACGACTTGCCACACTGAACATGGTTGGAACTGGGGTCAGGCTGAGCAAGGCTGTGGCAACCTCACCACACACTCACTCCTGCCAGTCGAGCTTTAGGCCACCAGCAATCATACTGGTCAGGGGCAGAGCAATACACAGCAGTCCTACAGTAGAGCTTGCCACGTAGCCTTCAAGCTTGCTGATAACCTTTCTTGCCACTTCTGGATAATTGAGACTATGTATGATGTGGAGGCTGCTACACACCTCCTGGCCTTTCACAGTTGAGCTACTCCTGCAGTATCGACCTGTAATAGTCCACTTCTACACAGCTTCACCTGCACGGCAAGTCATTGACTAGCAAATGGTTCTTGAAACACCCAGTAGCTCGTAGCCAGAGTGCCAAGCCTGTGTCCATCCCTGTCTGAACTCATGAGCACTCACTCGGACTGTTGCTCAAGCGCCTTGATCTCTGCAAAGATCTTCAAGTCGTCGAGGGTGAATTCGACCGTCTAGCATGCCATGTGATCGATGCATCTGCATCTCAGCTAACAGAATGTAACCGAGCTTCGTAGCGTCGCCATCGCTGAGCATCTTTGAGAGCTCTAGTCGCCTGTGGTGCTCGGCGCAATGTCCCAGTGTTTGAGAAGTTGACGTACTGCAAAGTTCCACTCAGCTATGGTTGCACTGATGAACTTCTTAGCATCCTCCTTAGTAGGCTGACGATCTCCCCATGTGCTGCGCTTTGAGGCGAGAGCTCGAGCATATTTCAAAATCAAACTTCTATCAAATATTAGTACGGCTTGCAACTCGGTATCGGATGATGACGGCTTACTCTTTTTCGATCTTCGCCAGAACTAGCCAGCAATAGTTCCAACTCCGAGCACTTGCAGGGTCGGCGACCACCAAAGCCTTAGCCTCATCTAAACACTCTGAGCTGAAAGGAATATCCCTCGTTAGACCACGTAATTCGTTCAAAAGGTTGTTCGAATTAACGTAATATGCCCAAGCTGATGTTATAGGCTCTGCAACTTCTTCAGAGTCCAGATGTGCAAAGATTCTCTCTATACGACGTAATTCGGTAATGGTGTTGACTTTATGTGTTCGTAAGGAGTGAATAAGTTGATCTTTGTTGTTCTGTAGGAAAGTCAGTATGAGTTACAGACGGCAGAATGCATCGTAGGAAAGAGGAAAAAGAGCGATGTAATGATGTTGCCAATTTGATGGCGGGATATGATATGACATAGATATAGGAAGGAAAGCAGTCGAGGAAAAGGGTGGGCATATAATCAACGCTAGACAAAGGAAATTTACAAAAATGAAACCAGGACTGACTTGAGTCAAAGAACGTGCTTGATCAGCCGGTGACTCTGAAGGCACAAGCTGATACTGCTGCGAATCTTTGCTTTGCTGAGAGGATGCATGTCGTGACATCTCGGTAGTCCTTGAGGGAAGCGTCAAGCGTGTCGATGGGGTTTGGAAGTGAGTTTCTAAGATATCGACCTAGAGCGAAGCGCTGGAAATCGTGTTGTAGAACGCAGCCTTCACCTTAAATACTGGGAAGGGCGGATCGAGTGAGGCCTGGTACGAGAGTCTAGGCCCGTATAAAGGAGTTGTTCTCCGAGCTTCTGACTCACTCAGGAAGTACCTTCAATGAGGTTGTCTCGCTCGTTTTCCTACCGACTTTCAGGGGATGTTGAGTGCAAGTATTCCGAATTGGCGAGGTAGCTCCGATCTCGATATCACGAAAGCGAATTTTACACGGGTCGGGAGTGCCAACAGCTGGCCACACTGAAGGGACAACGACGCGGAGCTTGCAATGAACAACAAAAATCGAACTAGCTTGAAGAATTGGTGACTGGAGAACCTCTCATTATGCACAAAAACCGCGTGCTTAATCATTAGTATATGACTCCGATTCGATAAGGACGAATTTCGCATTGCCTCGTGTATGGCCGATACGATGTTGATTCCAGGCAAGCTGGAATTTTGCTAGGGCGTAGTGCTGTTGCATAGGTACTATCACAATAGTAAGCAAGAGAATAGAAGCGTTTCGAAACCCGATCGTTTAGTCAGAGTTCCGCCACCTCGATGTGCTGCTGACTCCAGCGATACATCGAGGCCGCACGAATATAGCAAGATCCGATCCCTATAAGGGCCTCCAACACTTGACATTGGCAATAGGTAGACACCAAAAAGAGTGTCGTTTACTGGTGATGCTGTAAATCGAGATCTCCATCTGTCGCTGACCAATCAAGAAAAGCTTTGGGGATAGTCGAAAATGTCATGCGCACTTTTTCAAATCGCTATTTCCCAAAGCCCATTTGGTGAAAGGTTCTGCTTGCATGCCTTGCTCTCATGTAAGCGAAAGCTAAGTCGTAGCGGCGCAGGAGTATAGAGCATCGGCTGTATCGAGTATCACTATGAGAGGCGGAGTGATATATTGTTGGATCGACCAATCCTCTTTGGGCAACTCGTGCGGGTCTTGTATAGCGTCAATTGCTGCGCAGGCTCACCGGGCCCCACTCTGGCCGCAACAGGAAACGGCTATCATCCTATGTCCCCCCCATTTCTGACTCGTGGTCTGGCATCAGCTCTCAAAAAGCCCAAGGCGTCCCATGGTGAGTACTTCTTCAAGAACCTTTTCAGTTCTTCGTGCGGAGTCGATGAGAATGTACAACGGAGCCAGAGAGGCTGCGAGCATCGGCTCGTGGCTGGAAACATGACCATCGAAGCGCCAAAGTGCAGGAGCCTCCCTACCTTGTTCACTGGGAAATCCGAAATGTTCGTCCAGCGGATGAGTAGCAGGCGACGAAGACATTCGACACAGCTCGTAGCGTAAGGCTCGAGGCATGTATGAGGTCAATGTACGCTCATGAGCCTGGTGGCCAACGTCTGGCTCTAAAAATATCCCAACCAAGACAAATACTATCTCTGTACAGCAAGTTTATGCCGCGGCATTAGCACAGGACAGTTAACATTCGACATTCGGCTTGCAGCCATACAACTCGATGTCGGACCTAGCGATAATTTCCAGGCCGTTGTTGATATGCCGGATTACCAAGTCCGGAAGAGTGTGCGTCATACGAATTACTATCGTTTGACCACGGTTGTGAAGCTGATAAGTTCGGTCCACCTCCATTATAAGAGCTCTGGGGGCCAGTGGCCGGACTACTTCTTCCACTGCCGCTTCCCTGCAATCTAGCCCGGAGACGATCTCTCGGATTTCCTGTTGAGGCAGGAGTCGCGGCAGGCGCTGGTTGTATATTCTGATAACTCCCAACTCTTTGACTTGGCAGTGGTCGTGCTTGTGTTGCATAAGGATCTTGTTCGCTTTGACGAGACGAAGAGGAATCGAACGACTTCAGAGCTGCTGCGTTTGGTCGAGGAGCTCGCAAACTCTGTACTTGGGCTTGTGGCTGAGCTTGAACAGGACTTGGGTCCCATAAGTCACTCAGACCACCACCTCTTCCGCCTGAATTTCCACGACTATGTGGCAGACCACCTGAGTTTCCATATTGACTAGGATACATGTTTCCGTACTGAGAATGTTGTGGCTGCTGAACTGCTGGTGTCATAACGGGCTTTCTCGGGTCAGGCGGCAGCCATTCGGGAAAAGGTCTGCCTTTCTCGGTGTAGTAGGCTCGTAGCACATTGGAAACGTGGGAGCAGTCTTCGTTGTCTGGATCGTCCTCTTCATTGTCCCTAGCAAGGACCTTCTTGATCGCACCTATTCTAGAGGAAAAGGTGCTGGACCATGTCGCGCCTGGCTGTGCCTGCTGAGGGTTCTGCTGATATTGCTGATATTGTGGTTGGTATTGTCCGTATTGTGGTGCAGGAGTGCTAGATGTGCCACCACTGAAATATGAAGATAGGTAGGATGCCATATTTTCCCGCGAGAGTGTAGGGGAGTATTGTTCTAGGCCAGGAGTTGTGTACTGGTTGATCGAGTACGATCAACTGCGGACAATCGAGGATCAAAGTATTCCAGGTTGCGACCAGGCGTAATCAGCTGTAATCTAAGCAGATTCGACAAGGGTTGTGAATGCAAGACACTCGGTAGTATCGACACCCTAAGTCCGGCTGAGAGTCTATTGTTGTATCGGTGGGTTGTTCTCGTCAAAGGTCAAAGGTGAAAGGCAATGGGTTTGCCCACCTTGCACTGAGACAAAAGAGCATGCAGTCAATTTATTTGTGACGATATACCTCTTGTCTTAAAAGTGGCCGACCACGTCCGATTACGAGAACTCTTGAAGAGGTCATCTCACGCTTGACATCTCGCAAATAAGTCTAAAGTAAATAGTCATCCTGTATATTTTCCTATCAGCAACGAACATACTGTTTCAAGATGAATCAGGACGAACAGAGAGATCATTCTGGGTATAAGCGGCCAATGTGTCTGGGTAAGGTGATGACGCGTTCTATTCGTGACTGAGGAACTTATTTACAGCATGCAACCAGCTCGTCCAAATTTGCACTTGCATAAACAGACATAAACATTCCTTCTGCTCAATTCTTTACAGCTTTTCAGTCTGAGATCCTCGATACAACGATAGAATTCTTCACCTTCGTTCGTCAGGACAAGCTGGATCTGGTAGGATACTTCGGAAAGCACGCTTTATAGCCAAAGGTATCTGGATTAGAAGCAAACATGCGTGTCGCAATCTTACAGTATTCACCTCTGCTCCCTTCATCGTTAACCTCCCGAAATAATGTCAGCATTGCGGCCAACTTTTCTCGTGCTGAATCACTTCTGATGCGAGAGGAGCGTTCTGGTACCTTAGAGAACATAGACCTTCTAGTTCTGCCAGAACTTGCATTCACAGGCTATAACCATCCGTCCTTGGCTGCTATTGCTCCCTATCTGGAACCGACAGCAGACGGACCTTCAACACGCTGGGCGATAAGAACCGCCAAGCGCCTCAAATGTACTGTCGCTGTTGGATATCCCGAAGCTGCAACATCGCTCAGTCCAAGTGGCGAGAGCGGTGGAAACTGGAACACTGCTTACGATGCCAAGATCACAGCTGATGAAGGCACGATTGCTTACAATTCCTTAGTCTTTGTCGATGCGGAAGGACAAGTCGTGGCTCATCATCGCAAGCGCTTTCTCTACTATACCGACGAAGCGTGGGCTCAAGAGGGGACTAGCTTCTATTCGGGCGTTCTGCCCATGGGCAATTCTGGTAAACGTGTAAAGGCTGCAGCTGGAATATGTATGGACGTCAATCCATACAAGTTTGAAGCTCCATGGACAGCCTACGAGTTCGCGAACCATTGTAGGACAGCGAAAGCTAAAGTCGTGGTCTTGAGTTGTGCATGGTTGACAAGACTATCGGCACTTGAGCTTCTCGAGGAGTCTGTGAGGCCCGACATGGATACTCTAAGTTACTGGATCGAACGCTTTCGACCATTGGTCGAGGCTAATGGCGCAGAAGAAGAAGTGATCGTTGTAATTGCGAACAGAACAGGCGACGAAGGCGAAGCACCGAGGATCGGCGAGGTTAGATATGCAGGAAGCAGCACAGTCATGGGCTTAAAGAAGAGCGACAAGCATGGCAATGCACAAGTCAAAATTTGGGATGTGATGGGACGTGCGCAAGACGGACTTCTGATCATCGACACTAACACACCAGCAAAATTTAGTGTCAAGAGACAGGCACAACCTGAGATGCCGAATGTGGCAGAAGCAGATCTAGAGCACAAACCGGTCATGGAAACAGCCTTTGCAGCGAGCTGAGAGGCTTCCGAAAGACTTTAAAGGCTGTATCTTCGAGGCTACTTCTTCGCAACAGTCACCCAGGCCTCGAATTTGACACCGCCATGTTTTTGAGTCTCTGTAGCTATGGCCTGCTTGATAGCGTCTGGCCAGCTGGCAGCCTCGTCCGGACTCCAGCCCTTGATTGACGAAGCTGCGATGGACGACTTGGTCATGAATTCGAAAAGCCCGTCCCACTTCGTCCTATCATCCTCCTTCAACACGTGCTCGACAACAATGGTTTCCAGTTTCTTCTTCTCAAAACCGGCTTCAACCAATTGTTTTGACACGAATCCCTCTTGATAATACTGTGCGCCATTTACAGGTATGGCGTTCGCCTTGGCATATCCTGGTCCTTTGACAATGTCTTGCGCTGTAGCAAGAAGACCTTGTACAGCAAAGAGCTTCCACACAAGTACCACAGCAGTTCCGCTTGGTTTTAAGGTACTCCTTCAAGCTCTGCACAGGATGGGTGAATGTGAAGAGGCTGAAATTGTTGATGCTATGAGTAAAATAGTCTTTCTCGAAGCAAGATAGATCAGAGGAGTCAATCACTTTGGCTTCCACTGTGACTTCTGGCCACGCAGTCTTTATCTCTTCCAGCCTGGCTATCATACCTGCCGAATAGTCTGTGGCGACGATGCGTGGAGAGACCCCGGATGGAGCAGCTCTTTGAACAAGAATTTCTGTCGCGGTACCAGGACCGGCGGCATTGTCGTGGATGATTGAGGACGAGGAAATGTCCAGAGGATGTGATTCTAGGAATTTGGCGAATAAGTCCTGAGTCGTGTCGCCAGTCAAATGGCTATAGCGAGGTGCTAATTCGCCGAAATATTGCTGCTTCCTTTCCTCGCTCATGGTTACTTTTCAGATCAACTCGTAAAGTTCAACGAACAAGTAATTCCATTGAGACGTACCTGAGATGCATACAGAAAGCAGATCCTTTTATACGGCTTGACTTAGTAGTGGAGTTTTGAGGTACATCCAGTCCTTCTCCTCATATACGCTCATGCTTCTTCTTCTGAGAAGACAATGTTGGTGGCCTGGAATATTCGGTGCACCTTTTTGCTAGGCAATCTTCAAGCTGGTGGGCTAGTGGTACAAAATGTTACACTATCTAGACCCACTCAGCAGACCATCCCTGCCAAATGTCGCGCGATGTTTCTGGTACTACGTGGTTACTGCATAAACAAAATTTCGGCCGAGCTCGTTCTGACGCTCGAAACGTCTTTTCGGCGTGTACGAGCAAACGCATATTTTGGATGGCCGGTACGAAACATATGATCTAGCTTGCTGAGAGTAAGGCACAAAGCAGAAAGAAGCAGAACGAGGTAAGTTGATTACACATCGCATGGTTGGTTCTTCACTATCTACCATTCGATCTTTACCTTTAAGTTATACAGGTACAGGCTCAGGCTCATCGTCAGGCACCTTCTCGCCACTCTCGATTGCCTGCTCCCGCTTCTGTTTCTGCCGTTCTCGCTTCTTGTCCAGGAGACGATTCAACTTCTTCGCTACATTGAAGACTCCTCCTGTACCCGTACCACAAGCAGCACATGTAGGATCCTTCCGATACCTCTTTAATGCGCACGCCTCGCAAAAGTAATGATTGCACTTTGTGACAATTGGATTACTATAGGCCTTCTTGCAGATGATGCAAGCGAAAGGGATGCTTTCGAGCAACTTCTCGTCGTCCTCATCGAGTTCATTGTCCTTTGTAGATCTGTCGGCTGACGCAACCGTGCGACCTGTGAGCTTTTTGCCTTTCGTGCCAATTTCCCAGTCTCTGTCAAGTTGCCAGCCCTGTTTGTAATCTTCTCTTGCGTGTAAGAATTTGCACGAATCGCCAAAGCCGCAGAACCCAGTCTGCTTGTAATCTTTGCAAACATCCGGGGCAAAATCGGTTACTGTGATCGTCCTGACATTCGAGTTCAGCTTCTGAGGGCCAACATTGGTTTGGCGATCTGGATTTTTCTGTATAAAGGATTGATAATTGGCGGCGCCCTTGTACGTGCCATCAACTCCGGCGGTGGATGGTGCGCCAGGCTTCCTGACATGGCTTTTGTCGTGCTCATCGTCAAACCAATTGGAGCGCATAGTAGCATTATCTGCATTAGACTGTCGAACTGCAACACTGTCGGTCTGGTCTGGCACTCTCGCGTCTTCGTGTCGCACATTTTTGCCAGTAGAGGCTGTTACCGTACCTGCGTTCTTCCGCCTCCTCTTGATCTGTCTGCCGTTCTCGTCTTCGGATGATGTGAAATCTGAATCGGATTCTGATGCAGGTGGTGGCGTTGCAGGTCGTTTCCTAGCCGTTGTTTTGGTTGCTCTTTTCTTGAAAGTAACTGTTGGAGCCACTGCTATGTCCGACATAATTGTGAGAACAATGAGTGCCACAGTGCCAAACTCAAGAACTTGGGAACCAGAGATATTGAAACGCTGACAAACCCAAACCGTCCCAGCGAATTGGCGTTGGCTGCTGTATAGCACTTTTGTTGAGCAGATTGCGGCTACTGTTTGCAATGGCCTGCATCGCGTATTCGCTGGCTTGGCCTTATCTTCGGAAGCGGCCGTACTTGTGGATCGAACGTTACATGTACTTGTGCAGCTCTTACTCTCTCGTTCACTCTCCTGCCTCGATGCAGCAAACTTGGGCAAATGAGTCGAGAAGGTAGCTCGAAAGAACTATCGGCCACCACTCACGGCTCGGATGTGCTCACAGATGGACTGAAACGACGTGGTGGGACAAACAACAGAGCCGTCGCATTCAAGGTCTCCCACGTTCTTGTCTCAATCTTTTTTGGCTGGCTATTGTGAGTGCAGGAAGTCTCGACGTGTAAACTGCAACCTTTCTGACAGAAGTAGCTTCGTACATGCTACCGGTCTTTTCCTCTTCACGAAAGGTTTCCTATTGACACGACTTGTCCTCGATAACCGTTCGTCCTGCGAAGTACTACCCAATGGTCTACCGTCTCGAGATATCTCCGAAGGGTGCTGGCACCCGAGAACTTTCAAAAGAGCTGTTGTAATTATAGTTGATGCTTTACGCTACGATTTTACTGTACCATTCCTTCCCATTGAGCACCACACAGCCTCGAAATACTACCACGACAATCTGCCATTTCTGTACGCTACTGCTCTCCAAAACCCCGAAAAAGCCTTTCTCCTTCCCTTTATTGCAGATCCTCCCACGAGTACTCTTCAGCGATTAGGAGGCCTCACAGCTGGTAATCTGCCTACATTCATCGATATTGGCTCCAATTTCGCTGGTCAAGCCACTGAAGAAGACAATCTGCTTGTGCAGCTCAAAGATCAAGGCAAAAAGATAGTTCACTTAGGTGACGACACGTGGCACGCACTATTCCCGGGATACTTTGATTCAAATCTTACCCACGCTTACGACTCGTTTAATGTTTGGGACCTACATACAGTTGACAATGGAGTTATCGAGCACATCTTTCCTCTACTTGAGAACCAGAAATCTTTGGGATGGGATATTGTTTTTGGACATTTTCTAGGAGTAGATCATGCTGGCCATCGATATGGTCCTGATCACCCTGCAATGGGCGAGAAGTTACGTCAGATGGACAATGTGCTTCAGCGCATAGCCCAAAGTATAGACGACGAAACAGTGCTGGTCGTTATGGGAGATCACGGCATGGACCCTAAGGGTGATCATGGTGGAGAGTCTGACGAAGAAGTTGAGGCTGCGCTATGGGTCTACTCGAACAGGCCTCGCTTTGGTCGACTGCTGAAAGATCATGTTCAGCCGCCGTCAAATGCAAAAGTTCGACCTGTAGAACAAATTGATTTTGTGTCTACACTTTCTCTCCTACTAGGACTACCTGTGCCTTTCAACAACCTTGGCTCGCCCATTCCAGAAGCGTTTTTACGGCATACGCCAGCAACAGGGCAAGATCAGGAGAATTTAGCCAAGGTCAATTCTTTAGTCTTCCAACAGATGCAACGATATCAATCCAGATATGCTGAATCACGGGAATTCTCCGAAAGCTCTTCAACCAAGTCTCTACGTGATCAATTTATGTCGATCACGTCTTTCGACGCGCGCCTCAATGAAGTCTTCTCGCAGTGGCACTCTCAAACAGTTGCTATGTACCGACAATTGTGGGCGAATTTTGACCTTCAAGACATGGCTGTTGGGCTTGGTGTGCTCGTACTCGGCTTGGTGGTTCTTCTGCTTTCTTCTGGAGCGTCACCAAGAAACAACGAAGATCAATTGCTTAGGACACTAAAAGGTATAGCTGTTGGTTCATTCGCTGGGTCTGTGTTGGCCATACCTGGACTGATCAGTGATTTCACTCTGGCACAGGCCACCTCAGTCGCAGGGCCGCTATGTCTTGCAACTGTAGGAAGCGTGTTGGGCGCTCTTATCGCCATATTTTCAGCTGTCCCGAGTCTTGGATTCCCGTCACGAACATCGATATGGACGTGGCTGGGCCTTCTCTTTACCTTGTCTCAAGCGGCCGGGTTTGCTTCCAATTCTTACACAATACACGAGGATACTATCTTGACCTTCTTGCTCGGCACGTTTGGCGCGATCACCTTGCTCTCATCGCTACGCCAGACAGTTGAGTCCGATAGAGTCCTTGGAACATATCACTCGGTCCTATTTCTGATTCTGACGAGAGCTGCCTCGTACTCTCGCTTGTGCCGAGAAGAGCAAATGCCAGGCTGCCGTTCTACCTTCTACGCTTCTCAAACATCGTCCACATCAGCAACATGGCAGCTTTTGATCCCATGTCTATCAGCGATTGTGCTTCCTGAGATTGTAAAAGCTTTCTACAAAGGCACAGCTTCCTATGTCGGCACAGCGAACTTCTGGATTGGCTTTTGCTTCCGTACTGGTCTATCACTAGTCGCAATGTATTGGACGGTCGACTCAGCAGACAACGGAGAATGGTTTGCTGAACAATTTTCATCCTCAACCCTGAAGACGATCAGTATTACCATTGCTCGTTGTGTATTCGCTATAGCTGTTCCTATTGGATTCAGCACGTTCATTTGGGCCAAGCCATGTGTCGACATTAGTGTTCTCAACCTGCCCTCTTCTTCAGCAGTTGGTGACTCAAAGCCACATGTCACCATTCTCGGCTATGCCAATGCCTTTGGCAGTCGATACTTCCTCCTGATACCTGTTTTTGTGCTCTCCATCGTTGTGCTTCTGCCTCCCATGGGTCAATATTCATTGGCACTCTGTGCTTGGCAGATTCTCTGCTTACTCGAGATTCTGGACACGAACGGTCTAATCATTAACGCTGTTGCCCAACCATTTATTGGACCAGTTGTTCTGGCAATGCTCGGCTCATATCATTTCTTCAAGACTGGTCATCAAGCTGTGCTCAGCTCAATACAGTGGAATGCAGCTTTCGTTCCGCTACGAACTATACGATATCCATGGTCACCCATCTTGATCATTCTGAACAACTTTGGGCCTCAAATCATGTGCGCCGCCGCGGTACCGCTTACTGTGTTATGGAAGAGACCAATCTCCAAGGAAGGACTCAGAGGTTTCTGGAGCGATATCATGCGATCTTGCGTGGCACATCTGCTGTACTATGCAACGATTCAGGTAGCTACGACGATGTGGGCAGGTCATCTAAGAAGACATCTGATGCTGTATCGTGTTTTCATGCCGCGATTTCTGATGGCTAGTGGCGTCTTACTGATAGTCGACTTGGTCTTGATCATTTTCGCACTAGGAGGAACTCGTGTCACTGGGTCAAGTGTTGCCGAAATATTCGGCTATTGAGAAAAGAAAATTTTATGCAAGATATTCGTCGATAAGCTGAACAGCCACGGTGTCTAGCTTCCATTTAAAAAGCACCAACCACGATGCGCAAGCGCCACCGTGTCAAAATTGTGCCGTCTTGAGTAAAATCCGCAGTAGTCCTGCCTTCATGTACACGACGTTACTTGGGAAACTTTGAAGGACTCTGAAGGACTTCTGGCGATAGTGGAAGGCAGTACTTCGGGCCTTAAAGAGGAAGTTAATCTAGTCCCGCGACGCGCTAACAAGGTGACGTCACGCGTCGTGATCCTTTCCAACAACAGCTGTCGGAAGCTGTACCTGCAGTAGCGTAGTTCCTTGCAGGAAAAGTACACAGACTGGGAAGTTTTCCGCCCACAGGCGGCTTATCGCGAGATCTCTCGCGTTTTCTGTCAGATCATTGGTATATAGTCATCTGTGAGGTCTTGTTAAAACGTTTTCGCAGTTGTTTTGATACCGTCTGAACTTCTCGAAAAGGTACATCAGAGGGTAGTGAACCACTACATCTCGATGCTGCTTCTGATATAACAGATTCACTACTCATCTTACTGACTTGTTGACCTCAACCACTAACTAAAACCATATCAAACGATGGCAGCTACAGAGAAAGACCAAAGTGCTATTGAGAAAGCAAAGCAACTCAACAATATACCCTGGTGCGACGAGTACGAAAAGATGATCTCCGGCATGCTTTACGATTCTTTCGTGTCCGAGCTGGAGGCAGGTAGATTCAGAGCACGAGCGTGGTGCCATAAGTTCAACAACTGGTTCCCACATGAGGACCCCACCATGGACTTTCGTCGACTATGTGAAGCACGAAGAAAGTTGCTTCCAGAAATATTTGGTGCTGTGGGACCAGAATCGACTATCGAACCACCATTCATATGTGACTACGGCTCAAATATCAGGATAGGATCTCGCTTCTTCGCAAACTTTGGTTGCATTATTCTCGACTGTGGTCTAGTGGAAATTGGTGATCGTGTCATGTTCGGACCTAATGTTCATCTTTATGCCGCCACTCACGAAACAGAGGTTGAAAGCCGGCGTAAAGATATCGAGTATACAAGACCTATCGTGATTGAAGATGATGTGTGGGTCGGCGGTCAAGCCGTGATTCTTCCAGGCGTGACTATCGGCAAAGGCTCTACGGTCTCAGCTGCATCAGTTGTTACGAGGGACGTACCCCCATGGTCAGTGGTTCGCGGGGCGCCGGCAAGAGTTGTCAAACAGGTCACACCAGTGGAAGATTTGCCCAAAGGGACGTGAGTCTCCTACTGTTCGGTGAGACCTACAATACACGTTGACAATTGTGCGTGGATCGCCTGTATAAGGTATTATCGAACGGAAATATATTCGGGCCCAGGTCAAATTGACAGAACTCCGAGTCCCGTGACGTCCCCGCGATATGAGCAGTACGGAAGCAGTAGCCAACTTAACAACGAGGATAGGGAACAACAATTATGCAATCCCAAACACATTGCCTCATCCAAATCAATTCTTGCGGAATATTGACTCCTTCTAAATCATTCTTCTACAAGTACTGGTTCTATGGCGAGTGCTCTCGAATCCACCTCGTTGGTAAAGGACATCGAGAAAGCCCTGCCAGTAGTGCTTCCGGGATCCAGCTCAAGCCTCGGTCGGACAGAGCTTGACAGTCCTCCCGCCTGTTTTCGTTTTCGTGATCTCCCAGAGGAGCTACAGTCGTTGATTGTTCGATTTTGCATACCCGACTGGTCTATCCAGCTGTTCAAATCAGCACACCATGTGTGTAAGGCCGAGAGCGGAACACGTAAGCAGGAGGTACGATACACTGCACGACGATCGCCAGCCTTCCAGGCCTCACTATATCAGACCGACAAGCATATGAGAGAGCTATCGCGCGGAGAGGCTTCTAGAAAGTTTGTCGGCCTGCTCTCCACTGGGTATCTAACTGTTACAAGCAAATCCTGGAAGCTCAATACCGATTGTGCCTGTCTTCCCCCAGAGCAGCGTATCCTTGTGAAACAAAACTCCCTCAGCTCGGTCCTGCATTCAGTCACAACTGTTCATTGTTGGTTTTCCGGCTTTACTAATTTCGACCTTGACCTCCTGCAAGTTTTGCCTAACCTCCGGGTTGTAGTTGCCTGTTCATCGAGGATACTCTTTGATGACTACATATATGGCTTCGCTAGCGAGGATATTCTCATTCGGCATATATCTGACGATGCGCTAAATAAGTTGGCTGCAAGTGGCTTTGACACGTTGCAGATGGACATTGTAAAAAGACTCTGGGAGGTCAATGTGGCGCCAATCGTTGAGATGAAAGTGGAAGTAGGAGCAGGGAACATGAAATTCTCTTTCATTTGTATCTTTCGCCTGTACAAGGCGGAGGCTGGAAGAGTCGCTTCTACTGTCATCTATAGATGTTCGTCGGACAAGTGGAAGAGTATGGACGATCGTGGTAAGATTTCAGCGTTTGTGGGAAAGTCACAACGGGTGCAGTAGTCCGTCACTTCTGCTATTCTCGTGTGTCAGCTCGATGTAGACATTATTAATAAGAGTTGTATTTGGGATAGTTTGCATCAACTTCGCTTGCACGGTAGTGTATCATATTGTCTTACCCCTGACAATAGTCTTCGTGACAGAGACGTGGAAGTTGCTAATCAGCTCCGCCATCTTCTCTTTGCTCAACAAGAATATGAATTGGAAAAGTAAGTAATGTTCGAGGAGGCAGAAGAGCGAGCGAGAATGGATAATCGCAAGATAAACAAGTAGGCTTAGCCGTAATTGGAGTAGCGTACAGTGGAACAGTAGTATCCACCAGTGCTTCATGTTACGACGAGCATTAAGAACATGTTTCGACGTGGTTTCCTTGAAACACTTTATATTGAGTACCGACGTTTCGATGAACGAGTGTGTGTCGCAAAGGAGTCATTGACCATGAGATTTATCCACGCGACGACTGGATAGTACGACAGTGCACACATCACACTCAAAGTATTGCAGCCTCAATTATCATGGCCAACCCATCATTTCCAAATGAATACAATCTCCGTACAGTAGCCGAAACAGCCAGCAAGCCATGCTTCGTATGCCACAAAGTAAGCACGAAAGTATTGATCACAGCCGATAACAAGGTAGGCCACCCATCATCCGGCATACATTGAATCAATTCCAAGCAAAACCCCAAGTTCGAATAAGCTGAATGGCAAACGCTACAGGACTTCTTCTACACTTGTCCTTCACACCTATTAGACCGTGGCTTCGCCTCTCCTATCATCGACGAGAAGGCCGAAGCCGAGAAGAAAAAGCAAGAACAGCTTGCCAAGGAAAAGGAAGCTATCATCAAGGAGTATGAGGAGAAGATGAAGAAGAAGGGAAAGGATGTGAAAAAGGTCGACGATCCTGCGAAAGTTGCGGAGGAAGAAAAGGATCAGAAGGTGTGTTGTGGCTTTGTCGAGCTTGCGGTGGTTTGCTGTTTTACTAACGATTGACAATCACAGCTGAAAGCGCTTGATTCGAAGGCGGCAACTGGCGCAACGTCGGATGATGGACCTCGACAGTATGTACTTCACAGGTGTGTAACTTTCACCTCCAGGAGAGGTCGTCAGGAGCGGGACTAATGAGTTTGTAGAAATTTCTACCAAATCCGACTCGACCGCAAATCGAACATTGAGAGATCGAAGCGGGAAGCGGCAAGAGTCAGCAGTGCTGGGTTCTTTCCTTCTGCCCCGACAGGCAATTTGGCGTAGCAGGACGAACTGTATTACGAGGTAAATTATGGTAAGACTTCCACTGGGAGGCAACCCGCCATACTATCGGGCGTAGATATAGATTTCATGCCAGACTACAAATTGCCCTTGGACTTCAAACCTGGAGGATGACGGAGAGCAGATGTCGACCCAGTCGAACACGATGTATCTTGACCCGCAGACTGCGTGCTCGGCTTGTTAGCAAACGATGACGGACTTGGACGACGTTGATTCACGATTTCATCAACCTTAGTCCTGATAATACCAAAACCTGGAGTTACCCAACCACCACAGGAACAGCGTAGGCCTGTCCAAGCGAACTTGCCCACATTAGCACCGCACTTTTTGTTCGGACAGGTCAATCTGCCTTCCATCTTTCCTTCCGCAAGTACTTCCTTCATCCAGGACAAAGGATGCAGAAAGATGTGGGCGCATTGTGGTGGCGGCAGAGGTGTGCCGTCTTTATGTGGCTGTTCATGCGAATTTGGATCTCGGTGTGGAGGAGGTTCGTGCTCCACGACGAAAGGTGTGGTGGCCAGCACGTGCCGGCACTTTCGACATTTGATGCTGACTTGCGACATGGCTTGCAAATGTGGATGTTGTCGAGCTTTATCTTCGGTAGTGCCGTCTGGAGCCAGTATGCCAGGTGCAATTTCTGTCATCCTCTCTTTACTCGAGGTGTTTGCTTCTTTCTCAAACGGCTCATCCTCGAAAATTATGTTTTCCATTTCTGGCGCCTGCATCGTTCTGAGGCTCTCTTCGACTTTCCGTCTGTTCATCCATCGACGATAGATTTTGTGATTTGTTAGTTCCTTCTCCGTTGTAGGACAACCCATGTCCTCATACATGTGGAGTTGGTCCATGAAACCCTCGTTAGGCTCGGCGATTGGCCTTCCTTGTCGGAGTAATTGCAGTGCTTCAACCACGGACAAGGGTTTGCGTGGTAAAGCTACCATATCTGATATTTCGGAACCTTGAGCTAGCGGGGTTTGCCGAGATAACCACAGTAGGTATGCTAGTAGAATAGTTGCTGATCGTGATTTGCCCATGGCGCTAGAAAAAATGTTAGTACTAGTGAGACAGAAAGAATGGCGCTTTTTGACAGTATGTCAATCGACTTTTGCTTCAACGGTAATCCCGGTCGCCAATAGAATGAATTGAACATTTCAAATAAGTGGCAACCACGTGCCGCGTCAGAGGCTGGACTGCGTAGTTCGACTGGCTCCCAATCGTCGTAGGAGGCGGCACAAGAGCACCACGCATGGACAAGGCTTACCAGTGAATATAAACTCCACTTCCCTTCTCATCAAGATTGTTGACGCCACTGCTCGAATTGGGACCACGATCAGGCCTGTAGTCAAGACCCTGCTGTATGAAAGCATTGCTTCGCGGAAACCACTCGAGCAGGTTCTCGTCCTCAACATCATCCACAGGTATATGGAAATGCTTGTAACCGCGGATCAGTGGAGCATCGTCTTTGAATTCCCAATCAAGTACGGAAACTATATGTGTAATGTTGGCATTTTTCAAAGCTTGCGGACGTCGTAGTCCAATGAATCTGTATCATGACAGTCAGGTCAATACTGCCACCCGATATGCAAGAAAGTGTTGGTAGAAAGCAGAATTGTGGCAAGGTCTTCCAAGATTTCGGTCCATACAGGGATGATAGGAACAGCAAAACACAACGTACCCGCCAATATATAGGTTGTAACCAGGACACTTGTCGAGAGTGGGTTCCATGATGCGCGAGCCTTGTTGCGAAGTGGCATAAGAAAAGTACTAAGAAGTGATTCAAGCAATCAACTTGAAGCATAAGATTTGCCAAATCAGACACGGTGCGTCCGAGGCACATCAGGCATCAAGGTATAAACATAAACTAACAGGGTAATATTTTTTGCACAATCTCAGCGTCCCATGTGGTGCCTCCAAAGAAGCTTAAACAAGGATGCACTCCCAATTTGCCGCGATGGAATGTCGGTGTGTGAGAAGCAAATCTGCTACTACTGCTTGCTTGCACTTGATTAGTCAGACACCAAGTACTGTATGTGAGGAGGCCAGGTTCCTACTGGAGACGTTCACGGTCCTTAGCCAGCTGAGGCGGTGCATATGGACACTCCGATACCGAATGAGGGCCTCAGCCCTACAAAAACGCCACTCGAGGACCAGCGAATGGCAGACGTGGTTTCACTGCCTTCAAGCATGCCAAGATTTCATTCGCACACTTGAGCGGCACTGCGCTGCACTGTCGAACTTTCTGACTTGACTTCGAGACAGACACTTAGCACTCGCATGTCCGTGAATGCCGCTACCCATCCTCGTACAAGTGACAATGGCGCTACCACAATATCAGTCCTCTGAACCGGGTGATCCTCTATCATGTCGCCTTGCAGTGAGTGGCGGAAGATGCAAGTCTGCCAATTTTAGAATACACCTGGCGATATGTGGGTGAACGCTCAATTACCAATTGGTTGTGTCAGCGTTGCGACTGCCGTTCGTGTTAATGCTGCGCTTGAGGATCTATCACAATGCGTGGGCAGGATACTGTTGGTTACATTTGAGTCCAATCGAGCCAAGAAGGTGAGCAAAAATAAGCATCATGAGGACAACATGGGTGCATCTATCGCGTCGTACGATATTCACTACGCCGTCGCATCGGTCACATCTTCGTCACTCAAGCTGAACGTAGATATGGACTTATGGCAGCCACACAGAACAAACAAGGAACAGATACTTTCCTTCCTGCCATAGTAACCTTCTTCCTGAATTCCATCACTGATCAGATAATTCTCAGTGGGTACAGTGAAACAATATGTCCAACGAGCGATACATGTATATACCGCAGCTTCGTGATTGCTAGCCAAACGACTATCCTCCCATATTCTGTAGGCAGTTGAAGGATCGGTAGTACTTTTCTTGGCACTCATTGTTTTCTGATAGTCGAGCAAAGTATTGCATACTGCAACGTTGGTGGCCTTGGCAACATCATCGTGAGATGGTGTATATGAAATGATCACGACAGCACTTGCTGCAGGTGACCCTCAACGATGAGCTTGCGGCCAGCTTAGGGCCGAACACGGCCATGCAAGGCTAGCAGGGTTGTGACTTCCCTCGACTCCATAGTCCCACTAGGACATGCCGGTCACGGGCAAGTGCCACTCCTGAACTCAGAAAATCCTCCACTACCCTAGTAAGGCTGAGCTGCTTGGTCTCCTCCCACTCGAATGCAGAACCACCTGCACCATCCGGTGGCATGGCACGTCACTCGAGGACGATTCGCCCGCCTGATGCAGTGATTCTACCATGCATCTTAGTCCCTCAGAATGCCTGTGATGTCCTTGCTCTGTTAGCTCAGCAGTTAGCTTTTCTTTGGCAGCCATGGTCAAATCTATTCGCCCATACCACGCATCCGTCCTTCCACTCTTACTTGACGTAGAGCCGACATTCATATTGAGAAGAGAGAGCAAATGAGACAAGAGAACACCGGCCCGTCACTACCTCAGGTCAACGTCTTCTGTTGGTATCCAATGACAAGATTTCCGAGCTAAGTGCGAGGCAACCTCTATCGATCTTTTGTTCTACATGGTTCAGCTTCTTTTGCGCAAGCATTTGCCTCTTCTGCGCGTCAACCTGTCGAGAAACTCCCGGCATTCGTCAATCTCCTGGTGCCACTCAGCTGAATCCTGGCCACATATGTGGTAAATCTATTTGGTCGCCATCTTGATTGCCACAAAGTGTCTCAGATTTTGCGCGAGCAGATGTTGTTTGAACGGTCAGTACTTCGGGAGATCATTCGCAACAGGTCACGGAGAAGATGGACATACCACACAGATCGTTGACAGCCTCGCCGCTCCTCGACGCGACGTCCGGCTCTTTGAGATTTCGACGTCCTCGTCCAGTAAATACTTTCAGATTGGGCCAAGCAAGTCCGAATATGCCTATACCTGGTTCTCATCCAGAGGATGTTCCTCCACCTCTGCCGCCTCCAAGATACAACAATGATCTTGACCAGGGATTCGATCTTGCATGGGAGTGCCAGAACGAAGACATCTCAGGGGAAAATGCTATATTACCACGGCTCAAGCTGGGCTCGACTTTGTTGACTGGTCAATCACACCCTCATGTTGGTAAGGAAGATGAGGACATTGAGATGGACCTCGACGATGGCTACACGTCGAGTAGAATGCCTCCTATTCGTGGGGTGAGTCATGCGAGTTTCGCTGCATCAGACAATACACTTGCGTCGCCTACGAGGAATTCTATGTCGTCTAGCATGCAACAAAGGTGAGTAAAGACCACATACGCGCATGGTTCTAAAATACTGCTTTCTGACTCTCATCATCACATCGGTTTGCTCTTTGCTCGACGGCGAGTGTTTGAAACCCTGTAGATTTCCAAGTTCTCGTTCAGCATGGCCCACAGACTGATTGGGCTTATACTGAATTTCTTTTGAACAGGTTACATGGAGAAAATCCTCTAGCACAACAAACACATCACCAGTCGACTCATGCTTATGACAAGCATATTCTGTCGAAGATCGGCAAACCAAGTCCAACATCTCGCACAGCAACATCACCAACCAACGTTTCTGTGATTACACATCGCAGGGGTTCGATTCAGCCGAACACTCCTTCTATCCCGCCTCGACATAGTCAACAACCATCGCCGTCGATGGAGCCTCTCATACGCTGGAACACCAGTCCTGCTTCAGCGCTGTCTCCCAGCTCGGTATCGAATTGGCAAGGATATCGTTTGACTCCTATCGCTACCAGCTCAGAACAACTGCCGCGACTAACAAACCCTCGCCGTCTATCGAGCTCGGCAAAGAGCGACATCAACTCACGGCCACGTCTGGCTCCGACACGAAGCCGTGAAGACACTCGGACTCGATCGCAACGTGGAAGTTATGATTCAGCAACATCGATGAGTGACGCACGGTCTACTGGTGATGAACCTGCCTTCAGTAGACTTCGCCTCAACGAACAGGCTAATGAGATGACCTTGCATTATGGCACCAAGAGGAGAGCCATCTCACCGCCTACGGCAGACGCTCGATCTGGAAGAGCAGAACATGGTCTAGCTCGACTTCAAACGACAGATATGATGCCGAGTACATCGCTCTTTTCGTCTCATCATGTGGGATCGATTACATCGAACGCTACTACTACCGATTCCGATTCTACCACGTCATCTTTCTTAGTCTCAGATCGTTCGAGTCTAACGAGTGTGTCATCGTCGAGTATATCGTTGATGCCAGGAGCATCAGGGAGCCGTGAAGGCAGAAAGACAAGTCAGATTTACTTGAAGGATAGCCAAGACGCGAATCCGTTATATACCAACCTCTCAGACCGACCCTCAGCAGCTGTCGTGTCGTTGCAGAAGCACGATAGCCGACCATTTGTTGGTGGAACATTGCTACAAGCTACAGTGAATGATTCGCGCACAGTGCCATCACGCATTGGTGGCCATTATCTATGTGCTTGTTGTCCCAAGAAGCCCAAGAAGTTCGACACGGAACAGCAGCTGCTAAATCACGAAAACGAGAAACAGTACACATGTGCTTATTGCAACAACCGATTCAAAAACAAAAACGAAGCTGAAAGACACCAGAACTCCCTACACCTACGCAGACAGTCATGGTCTTGTGCTGCAATATCCACGTATCAGGCCGCCTTTCACCCCTCACCTGTGTCGAGTCCTGATTGCTCAACTTTAGACTTATGCGGCTTCTGTGGTAAAGAGTTTGCCAATCAGCCTCCGGATTGGGAAAACCGGATCGAGCATCTGACCAATGTGCATAAATTTGGCGAGTGCAACTCGACCAAGAAATTCTTTCGAGCCGATCACTTTCGACAGCATCTCAAACACAGTCATGCAGGCAAGAGTGGAAGATGGACAAACATATTAGAAAGCAGCTGTCAGCGCGAAGAGACGTCATCCGACTCTGGAGTCTTATCACCAACAGCCAGTGAACACTCGCAAAGTGGCAGCTTGCATCGCCGACAGGGCAATTTGGCAAATCCTTCTGATGCACCTTCATTCGGAGTGGAAACGATTGACGAGAATTACGAAGAGCCATGAAGGATGACTTTCCAGTTGGGTTTGACATCCACACTCAAATACAGAACCGTGGACCTACAATATGATCCTCGTTCTCCCTCGGCAAGCGTCTAGTGTCAAGAGCCAGAATAAAGCGTGCTGATACAGGCAATGACGGTGCTTTGATAGCTTCTCTAGCATTCGCTTGGCTGCAGAACAGTCCTCCACATGGTGCCTGCCCCAGTCAGTGCGGCAGGCGGCCTGAAAAGAGCCTAATCATGCAGCACGGGCGCTCCTCGAGCCGAAGCCGCTTGTGGTTTTCTCGTGCAGGACACGGAAGGGCCAAATGATTTGATTAGCCACTACTAAGGTCGACCTACATAAAACGAACCTGCAAGATGACTAGGTTCGTGAACGAGCAAGCGTTTTGGCATCGGAATTCCGCTGCATGAAGGATAATGACATTATAGCCCAAGAGTGGCACACGTAGCTGGACTCCTGCTCCAGTGTTGAATTGCGCCGGTCGAAGGATGGAGAGAGCACAGGACTGCATTAGCAGAATTACAGTGACTGAAGGATTTGACCTGATACATGGATTTCACACGCACAGTACCGGTACGTTCTCCAGTCCGCAGTATCGCCATCGATGTTGTGTATTCTGACCGAAGATTCTTTGTTTCGCTTTTTTTCGAGATCGCCAGTCAACTGGGAACAGGAGTGGCTGTGAACGTCGTCCAGTGTCGAGAGCAACAGTGATAGCGGTCAGCACATAACCCTTACCAACTTACCTATAATAGCAACGGCAGCCATGGAATCACAACCGTGCTGCGGTGTGTTTGATATCACGCTTAGATATTATACTAAGGCCCGACACCCCGATAGACGAGACGCTGTGATCTGGTCGTCATATAATTGGGTAGATTGGCGGACCACTAATGCATATGAGTGGTCAATGGTCTTGCTGTGCAGAGCTGACAGCTGCGCTCTTGAATGCATGTCGAAATTCAATGCGTGAACGAGCTACTTGAAAAGCTTTTATGAGCTTTTTTTAGCCGACATGCTTGGCGAGCTTGTACCACGCCCTCTGTCCCTTTGTTTGAACTTACTCTTGCAGGAAATGCGTGCCCATTTGTATAGAGACGAACATCTGCTGATTAATTCAAAGTGAAAAGTGGATTTTGGCCAGAATTCAGTTTGTCTCTTCTGCTTCAAGGCGCCTAGTTCAGCACCTGATGGGATTCGCATGCATGAATGACTACCTGTAAGAGGAAGTGCACGGATGTGGTGTACGTCGACCTAGTTGAATTGCTCCTACAGCTGCGGTCAGACCAGAGTGCGTACTCAAACAGTAGAGGCTCTTCTGAGCGATGATCCCCTCATATCGATCCGTTGGTGTGATTTGTTTGGTGAATTTGGCGGAAGAATGTTGCCATCTGAATAGCTACCAGATAACAGCCAGCATTCTCGATGATAAGCAGCCTGCATCTGCCCTAGGATATATACCGGTCAGATCACAAAATTCTCGTGGTTGTAACATCGTTAAAGAGGCCATGGTTCAGAAACGTGGGAGCTGGACGAAGTCGACGATATCAAAATGAAAGCCACGTCGTGTGTTGTATAGTCCAAGTTGTGAACCGTCGAGCAGGGGTGTGTCTGTGTCATATCACGACTGAAATTGTAATGCCTGGAACCGTGTTGGTTTGTTCTCTACACATAGGATTCCGGGAGAGTCAAAGGTGAAAAGCGTTGTGTTGATTGGTAGGGTGGATTATGTCAGGTACAACCGTGTCTGAGCGCGTTCGACACGTGCCGCGAGATGGGCAGGAGCAGCCCGATGACGATGCAGCCAAAAGTCCAGTTGTCCTGATACTCGATCGCAAAGTAAATAGAATATTACGACCTTCGACTGCCTCTGCTTGTCTAAATACGCCCTTCCTTGCAGGCAGGACGATATTTTCAACTTCTTCTTCAAGAACAAGCATAGCTCATCCCCTAATCAGCCGTCAAGATGGTGGTCTCAGGGATAGCTTCCACACAAATAGGTACAATACCTCTGCCCCTCTCAAAAGCCGGCATGCCAGCTGACAACAAACCTAGCACGAATAGATGGCCTTATGCTCTCAGCGTCAGTCGACGACGAACAGACAGAAAACGAGCTTGCTGAGGTGAAATCGCAGGCGAAACTGATCTTCCGCCGCTTAAATCGCAATTCAGCTGCAGAATGTATGATTGAGTCTGGGCCATATAACCTCTACTACCTTATTCGCGATAGTGTATGCTTTCTGTGCATTACAGACAAGTCATACCCAAAGAAATTGGCGTTCACATACCTCTCCGACCTTGCGCAGGAGTTCACCACAATCTATCCTTCCGGGCAGTACCTTTCTGCCACCTTAAGACCATATGCCTACGTTGAATTTGATGGCTTCATACAGAAAACCAAGAAAACATACCAGGATGCGAGAGCGAGCAGTAACTTGGACAAATTAAATGATGAGCTCAAGGATGTAACTAAGGTTATGACCAAGAATATTGAGGACTTGCTTTACAGAGGTGACAGTCTGGAGAAAATGGGCGAGATGAGTGGACGGCTACGAGAGGACAGCAAGAAGTACAGGAGGGCAGCAGTGAGGATCAATTGGGAGCTGATGCTCAAGCAGTATGGGCCTTTTGCTGGCTTAGGGCTCGTCATCATTTTCTTCTTGTGGTGGAGGTTCTTCTGAAGGGCTGCGTTTCGATCACGAGAAGACGTATGGTTTCGAAGAATTTGCCCTACGTCAAATCTCGTCCTCTTCCTCGTCGAAATCATCCTCCGCACCCATATCATACAGAATCCTGCCACCTTCACCACCACCTCCAGCTTTCTGTGCATCAAAATATGGCAGGACGACGCCGTCACGCTCCATGCGCTGTCGCGTCGTCAAGTTGAGCTCAAAAGTCACCCCAGCCAAGTCCTGATCTGTGGTTTCGGGCACTAATTCCGGCTTTCTGAACAGAGGATGATCATCAAGCAGCAATACAGGCTCCTTTGAAGACGCGCTATATGGTTTTGAAGGAAGCCTCTGCGGCAGAAAATACCACTCCAGGAGACCACGTCCACTTCTGCGACGATGCTCGAGCTGAATGACGATTCCCCGTTGGTCACTAGGGATCGACCTGGCTTGAGGCTTCAGACCAACAACTAGCCCTTCTTTCTGTTCTGCCAGACCAAATAATGGCGCACCGAGACTTTTCTCCTTTGCTTGCTTTTCCGCAAGTAAGATGGATAGAGAGTGCACCGTCATGATCGTTGTGGCGCTGTACTCCAGCAGCGATAACGGACCAGGGGAGTATGGGTTGGCAGAAGTATGTAACGGCATGTCTTGGTGGTACACTGCCACTAGTGATGGTGAATTCTGTGGCGTTTGTTGAGGCGGTTGCAATAAGGACATCAAGAAGGACGTCAGGTCTAGAGTCGATCTGGGCTGTGCTGACATCTTGCATAGCGCATTCAGACCATCAATGACAATGAGACATCGCTTGACAGCAGACGTGATGGCTGATCGGACAGCTTGCACAATCTGCTGAACATTCTTGTTCCAGCAAGGGATGAAAGTGTCGATGCCAGGAGGTGTACGAGCTGTCTCGAAGGCTAAGAACACGACATGACTTTTTGAGGACTAAGAATGTCAGCAGGATTATCAGTATCAGGAGGGCGGAAGCAATATGTTACATTAGCTCGGCGAATGAACTCTTTCAATAGAGGCTTCGCAGGTTGCTCCAGGTTATCAAGCACTAAGGTGAAAGGCGAAGCACCTTCTCTCTGGTTGAGTAGCTTCGATATCAACAGAATGTTATGAGTCCTCCTATGTGATGAATTTGTATGCGCCATGGTTCGCTGGGACTCTATAGAGCATGTAGTGCGTTTGTCACAACTCGGTACTCATCTATACTATAGAGAGCGAACTGGTCGAACATAGGAAGTGGTGCATTTTTTTACGTTCGTGACCTGGTCAATAAATTCAAGGCTGAAATTCGTTTGATGATCGCACTCCGTCATTTGCCCGATCCGCACCACTTTTCTTGCAAGTTGCAACACGACAGCGACTGTGCCTCGGAGCGACTGGCCTACTCAATATTCGTCCACACAAAACCCAACTTAAATCGAAATTGCTGTTTACTGCTGATCATACCTCCTGAATTCGCCAGCAGTACTGAAGCCTCACAACAAATCTGAGAAGAAGCAGGCAGGGAAGCCAGCAAGCAAGCAAGCGCGAACGAGGCATGGACGAACCGCCCGCAAAACGACCACGGCGCGACGACCGAGAAGCAGACATAAAGAGCACATCGTCCCCACGATCCCCACGACCTCCTCACGAAGACCACAGAAGCAACGGCTACGACAACCGCCGAAAAGATACCCGCGACTACGACAATCGCAAGCGGAAAAGGTCGCGGTCGCGGTCGCCTACGAGGGATAAACACAACAGGAGAGATCGAAGCCGTGATCGGGATGGTAGATCGTACAGAGACAGGGATAGAGACAGGGACAGGGACAGACACGGCGACGGAGGAAGAAGTCGCAGGGACAACAGGGAACGAGACCATAAATCACGACGATATTCCAGGTCACGGTCTCATTCACGCTCACCACACAGGAATGGCGATACTACTGCCGGTTCGAAACGTACACGTTCACCACTCCCACCACATCCTTCTTCACGCAGTGGTAATAACCACGATAGACTACCACCCTCAAAGACGAACGGGATTTCGACAACACAACCTAAGATCGAGCCAAAGAAACTTGATGATGAAAAGATGGACATTAAAGACATTGACGATGATGATCCCGAGGCAGTGATGAAGCATGTCATGGGATTTGGAGGCTTTAGGAGTACAAAGAATACGAAGGTTCCGGGGAATCAGATTTATTATGTGAGAAAGGAGAAGAAGACGGAGTATAGGCAGTATATGAATCGTGTGGGTGGATTTAATAGGCCGTTGAGTCCTACGAGGTAGCAGGTTGGTATGGTCTAAGGCAGTCTCTGCAGAGCGCGAAAAGAGACGGGTTTGAATAGCTTCAGATGAGCTGACTGGGAAATCATAGGTTCATATTCTCACAGCCTACGTGGGTTCTGAGAATGTGTTGATTCAGTTTACGGAGAACCACACTGCCACAGCTCTATATTCAGCCTTTTCTTCTGATTGAGAGCTTGTCCTCGATGTCACAGATCCAGCAGCAGGTGCTGCTTCATCATCACGAATGACACCACCGTCGTCGCTCCAGATTTCCACAACGGTCTTCGCCGGACGATCGCTCATCTCAACAAGATGGTCGTTCACGTTCCTGCACAGTTCTCTCACACGCAAAGCTTGCTCTGTATCACCAATCTCCATCACCAGCAATCTTGTCTTGGCGGCTACAGCTATACGAAGAAGAGCGACGTAGAATTGATCAGCTTGGTCAACAACTTCATCCAAGAATATACTTGGAGGAACCAGGGCAAGTCTCGGCTCGAACTTGCGGACGCTTTTGGTTGTCGTACCTCCTATTCTGAAGTCGTTGGGTGATATGTAGGGTGGATTTGACACAATAACATCGAAGAGCACATCAGAAGGATTGGAGATCTCGACCAAGCGTTTGGACAAGTTGGAACGAATCACTGTTACTGACTGCTTCGCGAGTGATAGAACGTCCATGTGCTCGAATCTTACTTCTGTTGCAGCTTGCTGGTGAAGCTTCCCAAGGCGAATATTGTGTCTCAGGTTGTCTTTGGCCAGGGCGAGCGCATGCTGAGAGACATCAAATCCCCAGACATAAGGTCCACCGTTGGTCACGGCCGCGTCTGAACTCTCGAGTAACGAGTGGAGGAGCAATGCGATACAACCACTTCCCGTGCAGATATCTGCAATTCTGAAGCTTTCTGTCTTCAGCACAGCTAGATCACGCTTCACCAGACGAGCAATTTGAGCAGTATAGACTTCTGTATCCCATCGTGGTATTAGGACATTCGGTCTGCACTTGATTTCCAGCTCTCCGAATGGCTGTGTTCCAAGAATATACTGGAGAGGTTCACCTCTTGCCCGTCGCTTGACATAATTCTCAAGTTTCTTGCCGGTCAGGCTTGATGGCTGCCATATTGTTGACTGATTGATGTTCCAATCCTGTTCGTCAATCCCAAGGTCATTCTGAAGTATGGCTTCTTTCATCCATCGTAGTTCGTTCTGTGCTGAATCGAGGTTACGACATTCTCGTAGCAGTAGAGGAAGCTGACGATTGATACGAGCTGCACGATGAACAAGACTGTGTGGCAAGCGAGGCATAAGCTGCCTCAACTCCTCAATAGCATGCGCAGCAGAAGATACATGCCAGGTGCGGATAGTGGATTACGCGTGCGCGTAGCAATCTCGCAACTACGTGTTTCCGATCGTTCATTCATGATCACCCACATCGACCGTCCCCAACTCTTCTTTGCTTGTGTTCCTCGTCCTCCACGTGATCGTCTATCATGCAACCCTGTTATTGCTTCTGCCAGGATACATTGAGTGCGACCTTCCAGAAGCGTATAGGCCGAAGCATGATCTCCTTCCTTCCTTACAGGGATCGACTTGTCACGACTGCATCTGTACTTGCACAATGCTGACTATCTTCTGGCTCCAAGACGATCGCGAAACTCTCAGATCAGTCTCCGATGCTCCCGCCGAGTATCGTTTCACGAGACCGAGATCGAGGGAGTCGATTGTGGCACTCTTTTGCTACACCAGTGACGATCATATAGACAATGGGACAAGAACCGAGATTGCAACACGATCAATTACACTGACTTCACCTAATTCATCCTGCCAGAGTATATGCATCTCTTTTCGTGACGTCTCTCGTTATGTGGAGAAACAGCCTCGAAGTCCTGCTGTAAATGGCTATTCATTGCACAATGCAAGGTACAGTAGTCGCACATTTGACAAAGTCCGTTCTCCTGGGATACTCACACTATCATGCACGACAGGTGTATTCTCTAGAACGAGGCTCAAAGTTTCACAGGGTGGTCAAGTGTTGCTGGCTTTGCGAAGCCGACAGAAGTACAGCTTCACATCAGTTCCTGTGTAAGGTTCCAAGATGCCCAAGATCGTTGGGGGCAGCTGATATCGTCTTTAATGAGATTCTTGCAAAACTCACACCTCTGACCACTGCTTTGCATTTTCAAAATATGACGGCTGCAAGGGTAATGGCTACAAACATATGCATTTGAGTTTCTGCCATCACCTTTCACATTCCGGATCCGCAAGACCTCCCAATATCCTGGTAGCATTGAAGAGGACGAGCTTACGATCGCGCACCTTGTCAGGTCGGTACCTGCATGACTGATTGTCTGGGACCAATACCACTTCCCAAATGTTGCTTGTTTACGCAGACTGTTACACCGCCTATTTCTGTTGCAATCGGGATCAACATTGCCGTTAACCAGGATGATTGTTGGGCGCCAGAATCTCCATACAGTCACATGACCCTTAGGCTGTGCTATCTGATCTTGGATTTTGTCAGCTGGAATCGTAACTTATCTGCCGAAGTAGTGTAGCACGATGACATTGTTTCAGGCGGACATACAGCTGGCTATTGCTGACTATTGTGACTTCGCAAGCCACAGGAACTCAGGCAGATCAGCTCTTACCCTACGTTTCTGAAAGATGGTAGCCGATCTTCTTTGGAGAGGAGCTAATGTAGCTTGCTGCACTAGCAAGCTTCACCGCTTTCTTCTCCAGGACTGTCCTTAGCATTGTATGGACTGGAAGACAATCTCAGCTTCAATCGTTTCTTGAGAAGCGAACAAACATTATGAGGCGATTAGGCAGGACTGGTCCGGCTTGTACCAGGACTAATTAACTAGCACAAGACCACAAGTCTTTTCATACGTCAAAACGTCACTTGTCGAACCAAGACAGTATAGTGGCAAAGAAAGTACTGACACCGACTTCAGACGAATCCATAAGGTAAGGCCTCGTTTGCATATGTGCGCTCTCGTGAAGGTATTTATGATGGCTCGCCCGTCCTCAAACTCCTCGCTGGCACTATCGTTACCACATCAAAGATATTACAACAATCCTGCAATACTCGACTGAATTCCACAACACAGATCAGTATGGAAACACTATTAAACTATGGCCGAGGAACTTACGATACTACTGGTGTTATGAAACCTCTCGGAACTGTTGGGCCTGCTCGACCAGGATCCTCATCGCCACCAGCCACATCACCGAGCTCTCCATCACCAAGTGAGTGAAGGTCTTTCATAGTCAGTACATTCAATCTGTCGCCCGGCCCATGGCAGAGATTTAGACAAGCTGGTATTTACTGTGGCGATCCTCACCGCCGCGGCACTATCAGCTCATGATCAGGCATCACCTCGTGCAAGCTGCTGGAATGGTTCCACTGCCTGAAGCCATGCATCAGTCACAAGCGAGTGAGATCTGCATTCGACCAAGACAACCAGCCGTGAGCCAAACCGTTATCGGAACCGGCGACAACAGCAACATCAATTTCGCCTCCTGACGATATCTCCAGTCCGTAGCCGAAAAGCGGTCCTGAGCTCAAGTACAGGCCATGATCGATCTTCCTATCAAATTCAATATTAATAAGGCGATGCTTGTGCAAGGACGAACGAATGGTGGAGGTGCAGGCCCAAGCACGAGGGCTAAGTGGGTTGAGAGATGTCCAGGTCGTTGTGCATTGTTCAAGTCAGCTTCATGGACGCGGTATGAAACATAGAGTAAAAGGAGCTGTTGCAGGTACATACTCCAGAGTCAGCTGTACACCACAGTACTCACTCATAGCTGTATAAAACGTAACAAGTTAAATGGTATGATCTCCAATAAGCCCGACGATTAAATCGTACTTCCAAAATCTATCCGTGGTATCTAATATACATCTATCTAAAACAAATTGTGCCACACACATACGTCCAGACTTGATCATACATAGCCTCGACTCTAGAACAGGTAGTTAGATCGTGGTGTCCCCGGAGCATCAGCGCAATGAAAACCGGCAAGTGGTGTTCAACGGCGCAGTGCGGCCTTAGCTCTGACCTATCCTCGCCAGCTCCTGATACAGCACACTCTCAACCTGACTCGCCGCACTTTCAAGTCCATCTTTCTCCCTTGCAGTAAGCTGTCCCAGCACATATGCAGAAACATCGTTGCTCGTCCTACTGCCACCTGCAGGTCGTCCAATCCCAACTCCTATCCTAACGAACCGGTCGCCTAGTGAGTCTAGCAAGCCGCCACCGCTGAAACTCTGTTGTACACTCTTTATCCCATTATGTCCTTTTGCGGAGCCATTTCCTCTGCGCACCTTGATGGACCCAGGTTGCGTTTCCATCTCATCATGCAGGACTACTAGGCCTGGTGTTCGTGCTGCTACGTCTTGGAGGCCTGCGAAGTGTTTCCAGGCCTTGAGCAATGGTGGGCCAGAGACGTTCATCTGTACAGAGGATTGGTAGAGTGTGAATTCAGGTCGTCCTGCTTCTGCGCCAACGGATATGTGTCCGCCGCCATAGGGTTTGGACTTAGATGTGAAATGGGGCAGGTTCATTGAGGCTTGGAGGTGACGCAGAATCAAGTGCGCTGCGCTGTGCCGCGTAGAGTGGTATGGAGGTGGGTTGCCGAGACTGGCCACGAGGAGGGAAGTAGGTCGCATGGGCATAGACATGATATCAAGTGCCGGTCCGGTTGTGGCTTTTAGAACGGAGCTGCTCGGGATGCCGCGGATGGATTCGTTGGAAACACCTTGTGGTCGTGTGATGGACACACGCTTGTTCTTCGACTTGCGACCTGGTATGCAAGGTCGGGCTAAGTCGACATCGACTATGGTTTGACTAGTTTGCTGTTCAGGTGCGATTATGGTATCTGGATCGGTCGGTAAGGAAGGTTCTGTCGTAGAGGCAACATTGTGTTCCTCCTCTTTCAAATCTAAGTCGTGTATTCTTTCTGCAAGAGTATCTGGCAATGGTTTTTGGCCATCAGATGGCTCCTGCAGAATGTGCGTTCCCGTCGCGTTGTCAACGTCGGCTTGCTCTGCAGCCGCGCTACTGTCGGTGACCAAGGATACAAGGATAGGCAGAGGATCTACCCGATTGGTGATGTGTTTCAATGATGAATTCAGCTCAGTCCTGTGTTCATCAGCCATGTTGATCACTAGGGTCGTGGATTATTTACAATCGCTTACCTGGAGTTGTGCGACTACATCAGGTCGAAGGCATTGTCTTTGTTGATGGTGGGTGACAAAGCCTGTTTGAGTCATTGAGGACTCATGATCGCAGGCGATTCGAAATAAGCTGTGCTATATGAAGAAGGTATGCCGAGAAGCTCTTTATGGGTCTTCCACTAAGACTTTCTGTTATCGATTCTGCTCGCAGCCACAATACTTGTGTGACTATTTCTTTCAAGGTTCATAGCTCCTGGCGGTGTGATGCCGGGGCAACTCCATCTCGAGATCCTCGTCATCCAGCCTATACAAGCGATCAACATCTGCAATAGGTTGACGGGCTCTATTGTCTCTCGGCCCTTCAGTGCTTGTGCTACTTGATGGCTTGCGAGGAAAGTCGTCCTTTTGCCAGTCAACCATGTTGAACGCATTTGCTTCGTTATTCAGGGGTCCAACCGAGTCGGTAACGCTGGATTGTTTCTCCCGTCCCTTCTTGCCCATACCGAACATGCTGATATGCGACGTAATCCTTTTCGTGGCAATCTTTGGCTCACTTTGTCGTGTCGCATTTGATACTGGCACACTGATGCCACTAAGGTGCCTGCCATGGCTTGTACCGTCTGGGTCTGATTGTGAGCTAGAACGGTTCAAAAAGCCCTTGACTCTGAACACCTTCCGGATGATGGTCCAGCTGTACGGCATATTCGTCACGATCATGGCCGTACTTGCTTCTCTCGTATACCAATAGATCCACTCAGCCGAAAAGGGTTGAGTGAATGATAACCTCTTGGAGAGGATAGCACACACCATCGTGAAGAAGCCCAGTGAGAAAGGAAATATCAGTAGCAATTTCTTTTTCGGTTCCAGATGTGCTTTGATGAACATAGGTAATGGGATGAGGATGACTAAAAGGTCGCTGGTCAGATTAAATACGATATTGACAGTCAGATGGTGCGTTTGGGTCGCGCATTGAACATTCGGTGTAGGTGTCTGCCAAAACGCGCTGAAAGGTCGACACCAGTAGCCGTAGTAGAGAGAAATCATCACGATATAGGTGATAAGGCAGTATCCCGAGGCAAGTTTGACCATAAGTCGCTGTCGCAAATTCTCTGTCAAACGCCAGTAAAGCATCAGCAGACATGCTTTCGTTCCCCATTGCACCGCGCACATCATGGATTCCACTACCAGGACACATTTCGAACCCCATATCCGATCGTCGATGTCTTCTGGCGTGAGGGTGGGAATGTCGTGTGGTTGAATGAGGTTGGTTGATACGTCAGCGCATATATTGAGGAACACAATCAATACTGTGTATAAGACAAAGATGAAGAGCATGAACCAGTCTTCTATCTGAAACTTTCGAACGTCCTTGAATAGCAGAAACCTGGAGACACTAGATGGTTCGGTTAGCTCTATATCTTTCAACAGTCAGTACTCTCATAACTCACAGTCTTAGGATCAGCATCGAGCAGACTGCTCCATACCAAATCCATGTTTCAATAACCACGGAGACTGCCATGGTAGACACAGAAAGACCGACGGCTGGTGGTAGAAGCACTCTAAGAATGGAGAACGAGTTAGAGCCAGCAGATCGGAGCTGAATCACGAAATCTGAGTACTGTCATCCGTCCTGGTCGTTTGAGCATGACTGAAAGCGATTGTCACCATTTCGAATGTGTCTGCTCGTGCGTGCGAATGGATAGTCCGCAAGACAGACACAGCATTCGATGTTGCAAGAACGGCAACGCGTGCGAGAGATGTACGGCATTTCCTAGGGAAATCTCCAGTGGGGGTGATAAGGTTGGTACCATGGCTTCTTAGTTTCATCGTGCCTCGAATGACTCGATTGCGAACGATTCCAGCTCCTCGGCCAACCACGGGTTGAGCACTTGATGGGTCTTTATGGAGCGGCACGTTAACGATCGGCTGGCCTGGGACACCGCGCCGAGAGCCAAGATAGTTTGGCTTGCCCCAATATCATGGCTAAGAGCTCGAATGTGGCCCGCTTAATGTCGATAGCATCATGCACATTAGAATTAAACATCGACCAGGATAGGGTGCGATGTTTCTTCTGATACATCGTATATTTATGACACCACGCGACCGGAAAGTTCTCGGTCACTAATGATGCTGACAGACATACCCTAAAAAGGTGAGCTTAAAGCTTGAAGTCGCAGCAATGATGCAACACTTTATCCTTGATGGGTGCTGATGAACTTAATCATTCAGTGTCCGTTGGAGCGCAATCAAGACTCTTGTTCGGACACAACGGTACATTTTCGTCAGGCGGGTATGGATCTTTATACCTAGCCGAATGTAGACGGCGGCGTCTGCCGCAGCTTATCGCAGAATGTTGTAAACGGGGATTCCTTCTTCAAACCGGTGGTTATCGCCGTTATGAATTTCAGGTATCCTGGAGAGGCCACTGCCGCCGTACTTGGAACCTTGTCCCAACACGTGCCAATCCGACGAGCTAGGCATGCTAGGTTGTTAGCCACAGATCGCAACCACGCGTCCATTGCTCGTATTTGTCCGCGACATGGTGTAACAAAAAGCAACGATGCAAAGCCTCAGATCACAAATTGTTGTTCGTCGTATTGGGACTATGTGCTTCGAATACCAAGACAGTCGTAACAGCACAATGCAGGAGCAGGGAGCAAGAGCTGATAAAATGTGCTGGTCGATACGGTAGGGGCAGTAGGGTGTTTTACTGCCTGAGGCATCATAGGATGTTGATGCAAGGACGCGTGGGATTAAAAAAAAAAATAATGAGTCGCGCATTCTTCCTTCGACAAGATGTCCAATGACACAAAGGAAGAATACTTGAGTATTGGCGGCAACAGGCACACGTCAGCATCGGCCTGGCATGCTAAGAGTGCTTGCCTTGCATTTGGCGCCGATCAGAACATTGCGCTCTGGCAACCATTGAACAAGTCGTGCCGTGGTGTTCATGTATTACTCAAAGGCCATGCAGACAAAGTCACTGCTGTTTCCATCAAGGACGGTGCACAGCCAATTTTGATCAGTGGGGCTGCTAATGGCGAACTCATCTTGCGTTCTTGGGAACCGATTTCTGGTGGCAGCAGAATTCTGCATACCACCAAAGCGCATGATGGAGCAGTGAACGTACTTGCAAGCTTAAACGATTCTCCCTACTTTGTGACTGGTAGTGCTGATGCTACCATCAAAGTATGGAGGCACAGTGACATGAGCACTGAGCTCGTAACGACCATCAAGCCAAAGCCACGATTCATCCCATTGGCACTCGCAATCGGTACCTTTCCACATACCTCGCCTGATCGTGGTGTCTTCGTTGTCGCTGCTGGTACTAGGAACGACATGTTTGTCTATGCTCTGTCCAATCTGAGCGAGTCTGCTAGTGTGACATTAGCATGCTCTTTAACCGGACACGAAGGCTGGATTAGATCATTAGCATTACGAGGTTCCGACGATGGAGGATATATGCTTGCGTCCACAAGTGCTGATAAATATGTTCGGATCTGGCGGTTCCAGTCTAGCAATCGTGTCCCTCAGCAAAACGGCATCGTGAGCAAGGCTATCAATAATGTCGAGAGCACGCTCACTGCCAAGGTCAAAACAGTAGGTGTGGCAGACCAAAACTACTCGGTAACGTTCGAAGCTCTACTCCTCGGACATGAAGATTGGGTGTACTCCGCTGATTGGCAGGATAGTATGGATTCGAAAATCCTCACTGCATCCGCCGATGGTACGTTAGCAATATGGCAAGCTGACCCGACTTCTGGCATCTGGGTCAGTGAGACACGTCTCGGCGAGATCAGTGGTCTGAAGGGTGCGACTACAGCCACTGGATCTTCTGGTGGCTTCTGGAGTGGCAGATGGATATCCGATGGAGAAACCACAGCTGTCATTAGCCTAGGTAGGACAGGCAGCTGGAGGATATGGCATTACGACTCTACTGCAGATTTCTGGAACCTGATGCCCGGTATTGGCGGCCATATCGCATCCGTGAATGGATTGAGTTGGTCTCCACAAGGTGAGTATCTGCTGTCCACAAGCTCGGATCAAACCACTAGGTTGCATGCTGAACGGAGAAGAGGCAACGACAGAAGTTGGCATGAGTTCAGCAGATGTCAAATACATGGCTATGACTGCAACGTCGTGACATGCATCAGCTCGTCTCAATTTGTTTCTGGTGCAGACGAGAAATTACTGCGCGTCTTCAACGAGCCAAAAGAGCTCGCAGACACGCTACATCGTCTCTGCGACATCGCTTTGCCCGAGACTTCATCTTTACCAGAATCCGCCGCTATACCTGTCCTTGGCCTATCAAACAAGGAGATAGGTGAAGCCGATGACATAATCGAGGCCGGCCCACGACGCGGCGACGACGAATATGCTGCAGCAAGTGCATTGGCTCGAATATCCCTACAAGGCATCAACGAGCCTCCGAACGAGGATCTACTGTCACGCCACTCACTCTGGCCAGAACACGAGAAGCTCTACGGTCATGGCTACGAGATCAGCGAATCCGCCTACAAAGACGGCATACTAGCCACAGCTTGCAAGGCGAGCTCTATCGACCACGCCACAATCCGCCTCTACGACCCGGACAATGACTGGCGACAGGTCGAGCCACCGCTCACCGCACACTCGTTGACCGTCACGAGGCTAGTCTGGAGTTCAGGACCTAACAGCTACCTGCTAAGTGTGGGAAGAGATCGTCAATGGACTGTGTTTAGTCGTGATCACTCAACAGCAGCTAAGCGGCTCAAGCTCTATCAAGCTATGCCCAAGGCTCATACTCGAATGATACTCGATGCAGCTTGGAGCCCGAGCCACGAACACGTTTTCTTCGCTACTGCTGGTCGTGACAAAGTCGTTAAGTTCTGGGGACATGGGTCAAGCTATTCAAGCGCGGTTGGTTCACAGCGGAATGATACCGACGCTTTCGAACTCTGTACGACACTGGCAAGATCGTCGGCCGTTACTGCTGTTGATTTCACTGATCGATTCAGCAAGTCTCATGCAGTTCTTGCAGTGGGTGAGGAGGACGGCACATTGTCGGTGCATGTTTTCAATTTAGCCAGTCTGAAGCTTGAGAAGTCATTGGAGTTAGCGAAGGATGTTTGCTTGTCAAAGTCTGTCAACCGGCTTGCGTGGAGGCCACGTGGTATATCTGTCGAGACTGAGACCACAAGTGTTGAGCTAGCCGTGGCTGGAGCTGATGGGTCGGTCAGGATTCTGAGGATAGACACCGCAGAAGTTTGTGAAGGCATACTGTCAGAATGACATATCCATCGCTCATGTATGTTCATAGAATAGACAGAAATCACAGCAGTGTTGATACTTGTCTATCCCAGTGAAGCGTTAAGGCTTCGAATAGAAAATACCAATTTGTAACGCCTTGACCCATGCAGCTGAATGCAATGCTCACAGCCAGTTGAAGGCTGGACAGGGTATCTCAAACACAAACAATCGTCCTCTTATGATCTCCGTCCATTCATCAGCAATCCTATTTTGCCGGTCGTTTCTCTAAACCATAGCCTCCAATACCTTGTTCCGTTGCCATTTCTGGTGGACCTCTGCGCATTTTTTCTCTGGGCCCTCTTTCCTCAAGGTCTTCCCTCAGCCATCTCAACACAAGTTCACTCAATAAGCTATTGCCCGTCTCCTCATTAACTCGATCTCTTTCCTTCCTCGCCTCTTCCAAATACTCTTTCATCTGTCCTGATTCCTTGACCGTACCTAAATGCATATGAATCACGTACGTCGGCCAACCAACCAAGTTATCCAAAATATGCGTCGCATACACAACTGTGCACGCCCGTCTTTCAGTCTCCATCTTCAACCAATCTAAGAAATTCTTTCGGCTCAACAGGTCCAAATCAACCGTGATTTCGTCTAGGAGTAACACTTCCCACGGTCTGAGTAAACCCATCGCAAGCTGTACTCTTCGTCGCTCACCATCCGAGACAGCATGCATTCGCCAACGCAGATCAATATCCAATATCTTCACGAGCTCATCTCGTCTTTCTGGATACGCATCTCCGCCAATAGAGCTCAGAAGGTTAGGCACGTCAATGTCTGTTCGCACGATCGGATTTAGCACCCATTCTGTGCCTAGGTACGTGATCCCAGTCAGGTTACTTGTGAACGGGTCAGATCCATTGACCATAATAGTATTACGGGGTCCAAGACGCTTGCCTGAAAGCAAGCGGAGAAGCGTAGTCTTTCCTGCGCCATTGGCACCAACGAGAAGGGTACGAGATCCAGCTGGAAGAGAAAGTGATATATTCGAAAGACCCGGTTGTGAGGATTGTGGGAAGGTGTAGGTCAAGTTCGAGACTCGGATGGCGGGAGCTGCGTCGCCATTAGTATCCGCCATCTTGTTGCTGTATAAAAAGAAAGTATAGAAGGAAACTTGCGGCGCAGGAAGGCGCGGAACACCGAAATTCAAGTTGAATGATGAGCAGTATGTCATCACTTATGCTATTTAGATGCCTCGAACTTCAGGCTTACACACACAACATGGCAGGCGTGCAATGCTCGTGGAGGAAAGACCGATCGTTCTTACAGCAAAGCCTCTGTAACGTTCCCAAGAACCGCTCTATTCAAAAATTCAGCTTGCAATAATTCGTAGACTTTTTTCTATGTGCAATGAAGTTTTAGTACCTCCCCAGTCACGTTTAGAGTCTGTGAAGACCATGTTTCGTCCTGTATGCCTAGTATCAAATCATGTTATGCGTGAACCAGAGCTCGAGGCAGAATCCGGAGACGCTGTTTCATCGACGGTTCCTTGTTGCAACACTTCATTTTCTTCGGTATCAGCAAGTAAGCCCACTTGCTCATGGTGGCTGCTTGTGTCCTTTAGCGAACCCTTCCTTCCGCGTTGCGTTCGGACCCGAACTGGACTTGTCTTCGCTGATTTCTGTCCACCATCGGTCGCAACCCAGATGGCGCCAAACAGAATCAACCCACTTCCGAACCATGACCATATCCCAGGGGTAATGCCGAAAATAACCTTGTCGGAAATGAGTGCAAACAGCATCTGGGTGTAAAGCATTGACGTAGCTTTGGCTCCAGATCCCTTGATCTGCGGCGTCTTCTGATCGTGTGCAGGAATAGCTTGTGGTGTAACAGAAGCAGCTAATGGAGCGCTCATCTGAGGCTCTGTCGTCCGCGTCTGCATCTCAAGGTCGACCTGCGTACTTACAGGGGTTTCCTTCTCAACAGCTGGCGCTCCTCCATAAGCCATGCCCTTAGTCAGTAGCAACTGCATAATAAATCCAGCCAAACCGAGCATGAGAAGGAGACCCCATTCCGTGAGGTTACCAGGCAAACGAAACTTTACGCTTGGCAGCACCACGAGAGCTACCAGGCTGACGAAGGTGCACCAAGCTGAGAAGTAGTTGACCGATAGCAGGGCATGAGCTCGCTGACCAATAGCTCGAATCGATGTCATCGCGCCTATCGCGCCGACGACGCCGATCATGGCTACAGCAACGGCTGTTAGATGCTCTGCGGACGTCGGATGAGCAGACGCGTGAGACTCCATTGATGGCATAGTGGCGTTGCCAGCGACGGGCTCTGGTAAACTCTCACCTTTGTGACTGCCATTAATCAGCGATATTGGTCTGGCGATGAAGACAACTCCAGTCAAACTTATGAAGCCTGCAATCTGTTGTTGTCTACGAAATGTTTCCCCAGGAATTAGTAAGGAGAAGGCATAGCAGGAACCAATCGGTGCTAAGAACGTCAAGATTATAGCTTCACTGATTGGCAAGTACAGCAGACTATAATAGAATCCAAAGACTCCTAGAAAGCCAAAAAGACCTCTGCTGACAAGTAACAACCTCACACGACCAGGAGGTCCCAAAGGAAAGTGCGGTACAGATTTCGTCCATAGCGCATAGCAAGTAGTGATCACTACAGTGATAGATTGTCGTGCGAACAGGATTTGAAACGGATGCATAGGCTCGCCGTGCGATCCTGGTGTCTCCAGAAGTCGTGTTGCAATGTTCATCAAGGAGCCAAACATCTGGCTGAGCAGAACAAGAAATGCGCCGTAGTTAGCGACCCAAAAATCCTGCAGTCTCTCACGCCACATCGAAGGAGCAGGTATACTGTTCAAGTTTGCGGAGACATTACTCAATGTTCTTATCAGACCATCGGCATGAACACTACCAACCTCTGTTGAGCTGAAAGACAACTCTGAGATGTCTGATCCAGAAAAAATGCTTTCTGCTGAGACCCGTCTCTGGAGGCTACTCGAAGGTACAAGTAGATGCTTGTTCAAAGTTGATTGCGACCTCAATTTGTCGTCCGAGGAGGACGCTGAAGCGACAGTAGTCGGATCGTCGATAGAGTCATGATTGCTCTCGGGGTTGGCGAGTTTTTGATCTGTCATTGTGCATTACACTTGCCATGGGGCATGCTCGCGTGATCGATCTTTTGACGCACTTGCTTGATCAGCAAGATGATCCTCCTCAGCCGACTCACAAGCGAAGTTCAGCAGCGAAGGAATTTGCTGCAAGATGATACTAGAAGTCAAGGAATACCCAGCCAAGCCAGTGTTTCAACTCAACGTCGTCGTTGGGCGTTTCGACTTCCCACCGTGCCCACCTATTGGAGGTTTTGGAGGCTTTGAGTTCCAGGCGTGGCTGCCTCTGCATTCAATGTGCTACTGGTAAGTTGTCCAGCCTGCTTGAGTACGTATATATCATCTTTTGAGTGGTCCTCCGGCGTTTACAAAGAGGCAACTAGCACAACAGAAGTCAAAGGTCCGATCAGATAGAAACAATTTTGTAGATTAAGACTACCACAGGAGCTCTCGAAGCAGAAGAATCCACCCAAGATACCCCCTATCAAAGCCACTAACGCCTTGCGAATCAGGAATGCAAGACGTCTATAACGTCAACTTCATATTTACGAGTATCATGTTCTTCGTATTGTATGCCCAATACTTCGTTACTGGCGGCCTTCTCATTTTGCCGCAGCGGATGTGTCGGTTGAGCCTGGCTGATGCCGGCCTTGATAGCAGTCTATGCTAGATGCAAATCGGGTGTCCAAGAAGTTATAGCACTTGCGGTGCTCTACACTGGTCCATTCACCTTGATGATTTCGAACGCCTTGTATCGGCTGAGATATTTGTCGTCTCTTCGATGTGCTTTCAGAAGTCTCCCAGGTGTTGGTGTCGAAAATGCTAATTTATTGTTCAAAGCTAGATGTTTCAATTGCTTCGCAGGATTATACATCGGATCGAAGACCACTAGGCCGGCTCGACCATCAGTATAGACCTCGACGCCGACTACAGTCATCGAATGACCTTGATGCTGGAAAAACAGTGGTGGCTTATCGGTAATGACGACTTTGTCGGTATTGCTTGGTTCTGTTCCGTCTTCGAAGTGCTTGCAGACAGCATGCATCATGGCCGTGTATGCTTCAGTCTTGTCCTTCGACGAGAATGCTTGCGCCTCTGCAGGTATACCCAAGCTTAATAACAAAGCTTGTGCTTCTGGAGTGCCGATGTACTTCCGTGTCCAACGTATGCCACCTGTTTCGATTCTGCCCGCACTGTTGTAGCCTTGATCCCACGCACTTTCGATCATATCTTGTAGTCTTATGATTGAAGGCAATCTCTTGTTATCGAAGTGTTCGTGGCCCGGAGCGGCAGCGTCTCTGATGTAGGAGATTAACATCTGTATGTTGCGGTAGCCACAGAAGCCTCCTTCTTGTGGCAATTTGGCAACGTGCCGCACAAAAGGGTTGCAGTAGAAGGCTCGTGCCACTTTCTTATCAAGAACCGACAGTCTCGCGAGGACAGGTACAAGATTCGGGGTCTCGTTGCTGATAACTTCGACCTTGACTATTTTACCATCATGGCCGATCTTGTTCGACACAGTGGTTTTAACGCCGTCTTCGAGCAGGCGTATCAACGAGGATGGCATTCTCTTTTCATTTGCAAAGGGCCCCAACTCGGTTTTACCAAGTCGTCGTACCTCGCCAATATTCGTCTTAGTGTTGAAAGTTGGGCCAGTCTTTAGTATCGGAGTGGAGAACATGTCCTTAAGCGATGATATCCAGCGATTCTCTTTGACAGGGGACTGAACTTGAGACAGAACTTCATCATGGTTCCTGAGCGCGTTTGAGATATCGGTGGAAAAGTTATTCGAGACGTTGATAACAGCATCATGGTTTGCCATGTCTTCAGCTATATGGAAATCAGTATGGAATTGCAGATCGTCAGCAGGAATTTGCTCGCCGCATTGATAAGGACATTGTACAAATTCGATGCGAGAAGGCGTAGAACGACCAGAACGTGGGTTTGAAGACGAGCTGTCTGTTCGTTTTGGTGCATGAGACTGTCTCGCTGCTTCCATGCCATCTTTGACAGCGAATGGACTATCACCACCTTCGGAGTGAAAAACTTCAACATGCAGGAGCATCTGGTAGTCATTCTTTTCTTTGTAGTCGCAGAACGGACATTCCAGAGTCTCGACCTTGTCGCTTGTAGACGCCATGATGAGATGGGTTCGTAAAGGTGTCTGTTAGGATGATTGTTTTTGGTGGTCAAGACTGATTGCTCCAGCAGGCGAAGCGACTTTAGCGGCGATACAATCAGAAAGCTGCATGGTTAGCGACAACAATTCATGTAGACAACGGCTTGATGTTGTTGGCGATCATTAGCATGCGCGGTATCTTGATGCTCTGCACGTTGCATGACCAGACTGACGGGAACAAAAGCATGGCCAGAACAGTTCCCGTGACGCGCGTCTGGCGAGGCTGCTGTCGACGTAGATATTTCGAGGTCGGAGCGATGACTGGCTCTTCACCCCGAGACAATCACTCTTGGTGAGTACTTCAGGGTCAGCGCAGGCTCATTGTAAATAATGGCAGACTATGAATGTTGACCGTCACACACCAGCATTGCAAGCTATAACACCACGCGATGATTTTCTCCGCTTGTAAACAGACTACAGGCTGTTCAGGGTTTCAGCCATGAACATCAAACCGTGTTCGAGACGTCTGAATCTAACTTCCACGTCCCATACCTATCGAGTCTGCATCTACGTGAGATTTACTTATTGGAGGGTTTGCTCGATGTGTTATGTCAGGAATGATAACGATAAATTGGTGGCTTGAATAGAGGCTGAAGATCTGCGCACAGGGCAATGCCAAGATCGATGAGGGTTGGAGGTGGAGATTTCACCGAAGCACGTCCTTTCCCTGCTGTTCCGTCCTTGTTCCAACCGAAAGACATCTTGCTCTGCGAAAACAAATCCTACCGACACAATGTGCGATATACCTGCTGGCTATGACTTGAAGTCTATATCTCTGAAGTTGAGCTGATGCTTGTTACCGTATGTCGAGAAGTCGAAAAATCTCCCCGGCAGTGCCTGACTGAGCAAGGGGGATCGGCGTTGTCGATCTCACGCGAAGGGTATGCCTCAAAAGCAATAGGCTCTTTGCCAAGATTCGCTGCAGCATCAAACCTCTCGAGTATTCTGATGGCAAGTTATGGCTGGTCATCAAGTAGGTCGATTCCATTCACAATGTGGCTATCCGGAGCGTGTGTGTTCTCACGACCAACATGTGACTGACGTGTCCCTCTTGCCGTCCGTTTGTGCAACTACTTCACCACGGTTTGTGTGAGCGCTTTCCAACATATAATCTTCGTCCCTCTTCTCGAGACTATCATTCGATATCCTATTGCAGCCATATACCCGGTACAATTTGACCTCATCCAGAATAGCAATCATGCTGCTCCAGAGCGTCAAATCATTGACGAAGATTTTTAACACTGATGCCTTGTTGTTCCTTGGCACAAGATTGGCTGGCATTGTACTGAGCATCACTTCGGTCATTCTGCTGTGTCGAGCTGTAACGATACAACATCACTTCCACACGCGTGGGAAAGGATTGCTTCACGATCTGGGACCTCTTGGACCAGTAAGTCAACCACTTTTGGTTGCTTCACGAGGCTTACAATGGCAGCTTGCTTATTCCTTGGTGTGGTCTGTGGCGTCAGTGATACTGCCAGGCTGTCAGCGCAAATACCATCCCGCCCTCGATATGGGCTTTGACTGTCTCGGCTGGCTTGTCTCGTTCGCAGCAGGTGCAGCCCTCTTAGTCTGGTCACTTCGAGATGCATACAGTATAGATAATTGCAGGCAATCATCGGATGTTCAGGCGTGTATGGAGGCTGAGTCAGCGTTATCAAGCACAGAAAAATCGGGAGCCATTCTCCTTTTGCTTGCTGGGTATGTGCCAGCTTTTCAGAAGAGCTCAAGCTGACTGAAATGCAGTATGACTCATCTCGTCATGTTCGTACGTGCTTGTATTGCTGTTTCAGCTCGCAGGAAGAAGTATGTGCCGTCTCGAAATTCTTGGATGCAATTGGAGAAGGAGTCCAACCACAGTATCGAGATCGTGCCGCTTGACCTGAACACAATAAACTTCGTTATAGCCGAAGGACAAGCACAACCGAAAGTTGGTGGGGGGGATGAAGCAGATCATACGGACAGCACGAAAGTATCGCCTGTTTGACAACAAGCATCACTACCCATGGCCTTGCGTGGGAAGTCTCAAACGACTATAGTGAAACGAAGGCAGAAGCAGACGAGTGGTCAGAACGACAAAGCTGAGAACGCGCATATGTTGCATATACAATAGTATCATTGCTACACCAACACGACTTCCACAGATTGTCGGAGAGGTCAGGTTAGCACAAAAGATTAAAGACATAAAATCAATGAGTCGGCGACACCTACTCAGCCAACAATACCAGTGTACCTTTTGTCTGCTACAAGTAATGCATCGTGGTGCTAAGCCACAGAGATTGTCAGTCGTCGAAAAGCATAGACTACTGGTGGGTAGCACCTTTGCCGTGCTAGTCGAGGGAGAAGACCTCGTCGTCTGTTTGCCTTCTGCGTGTGAAATAGGAAAACAGCAGTTGCAAGACTTAGATCCGCGTGAAATGCATGCGTAGCTAATTTTTACTCTGCCATGCTGTGTGGTCGGAAGAAAACATATATTCAGGCTGCACGACACGTCTTCTGCGGATCAATCCACACTCTGAAAGTGCTAACTACAAATTTTTGTTCCACATCTTCACCATCCTGTACCTTTTGTTTGGACCGATTTCACGTGCTCATATGTGCTCTTTGGTCGACATTCCTGATGGCTAGCTGCAGATTCTCAAAAGATTGTGGCGACCGGCATGGCAGTGTTTGTTGACCATTGATTGAACAGGTGGCTTTTGCCTGGTAAGGCCACAATTTCTGACTGAACAACAAGCACGGTGCAAAATAAATCTCACTTCTTTGCACTGGAGCCCCAAACATTTCAGTGTGGAGGATCCCCCATCAAGACCACTGGAAGACAACTTCGCCATGATGCCTCCCTCGCTGTCAGTCATAGGCGTTTTCGAGCGCGTCTTCCAAGAGTTCGTGAAGATGAGGCCAATGCTACCCACGTATCTGCACTTGATAGCTTCAGCCATCTTCCCAATTTACACTGCGGCTCATGCTTCTCTTCGCAGACCGGTATCTGCCGCCCCGGTGTCAAAGAAGAGAACCACCAGGAGAACTCGGGTAGAGGAAGACGATGGTGAAGAGGAGGCGTCTTCGCCGATCGAAGCGTTAACCACATCAGACGCCATCATGTTTCCGATCCTCGCTGGAGCTATGCTGACGATTCTTTACTTCATCATCAAATGGCTTGAAGATCCTGCTCTTCTCAACAAGATTCTTGGCTATTACTTTAGCTGGGTAGGTACTTTCTTCACATTCAAGTTCGTGAGGGATGCTTTACGACTTGGTCGTTCCTTCATCTTCCCTACTCAAGTTTCACACAAGGGGATACTACACGAAGCTGATACTGAGCGCAACGCATTCCATACACGAGGGACACCAGACGCTTCGGCAGAGAAAGCGAACACGAACACATTGAAGGCTGCCTTCGTTGACTATATACTCCTCCCCATAAGTTCGGCGAAGATCTACTGGAGAGCACGTCAATTTCTCCACGACAAAACCACATGTGTCGCAACCACTCGAAAACCTCTGTCATCGGGAAGCGCCACATTCAGAATCGACAGACTTGATATCCTAGCTGCAGCTGCCTCCGCCACAATCGCATTACTCACCTTGACACTCAAAAGAACACCATGGTACCTGACAAACCTTTCTGGCTTCTCCTTCTGCTACGGCACATTGCAGATCATGACACCCGGTACATCAGCGACTGGGTCACTCCTCCTATCGCTCCTCTTCTTCTACGATATCTACATGGTCTTCTTCACCCCTATGATGGTCACCGTCGCTACGAAACTCGATGTACCGATCAAGTTACTTTTCCCACGGCCAGCCGACACATTCTGTCCAAAACCAATCGACGCCCTGCCAGGTAGCCAAGAGATGGAAGAGTACCTCAAATGTCTGAGTAAGCAGAGGACAATGGCGATGTTGGGTCTAGGAGACATTGTAGTGCCAGGCATTTTGATCGCGTTCGCTCTGAGGTTTGATCTGTACAATTACTACCTGAAGCTCGTCAACAAAAACAATCAGAAGATAGAGAACATTGAATCTGAAGAGAAGAACAATGACAAGAAAGATGCGCGTCCACTCTATCAACCAGCTCGAGGAATGTGGGCTGAGCGATTCTACACAGCTCGTGGCCTTTGGTCGTCAGCACTCCAAGCAAGGTCGTTCCCGAAACCATACTTTAAAGCTACCATGGCTGGCTATACTGCTGGTCTCATTGCTACTCTGCTCGTGATGCAGGTATACAAGCATGCTCAACCAGCTTTGTTGTACCTTGTGCCTGGAGTTCTCGCTGGCTTCTGGGGTATGGCTTTGTGGCGAAGAGAGGTGAAGTTGCTTTGGCAATATGACGAGACGGAGGACGAGCAAAAGAAGAAGGAGAAGCAGAGCGAGTCGACAAGCGAAACTGTTAAGAAGGATGGCAAGAGCGAAAAAGACGTGGCTGCGCGGGAAGAGGACGAAGAGAAGGACGACGCCAGATCGAGAAGTGACGCTCCTCAACCAGCATTCTCTTTTGACGTGTACATGGCTCCAAGAGAATCGAAAGCACTAGTGGAGAAGGAGGATTAGAAGTTTAGAGCTTGAAGAAAAGTAGAGAAAGACAAGGTAGAAGAGGTCTGCGAGGACAGCGTCGCTAGGATAGCGTGCCTAGGAAGCAAAATTGTGTTCTCACAGTGAAAGCGTGCTTTCAATCGTTTCCACTGTGCTTTGGTTTGCCTCTTTCTCTGTCATGTAGAGTTGTGTAATTTGCCCTCCATGCTTCGTGCTCGGACCAGGCCGTTTCTACGCAAAGACCCTGGCTCAGAGTTGCTCATCTCTCTCGTGCTGCTGATGCGACTTAATGAAGACTGACTGATTTGTGGGGTCTTTATTGATGGACGATGTCTCTGATCTTGCTCGGAGCCACAATTGGTGCTTGGTTTTGCTTCAGGTCACACCTGCTCCTGTGATGCAGCTGACCGATCTCCACCCATATTTCGTACGAGGAGCTGTCGTTGACAGATGTAGGCAGCTAAGTGTTGCTCATCGTGCTGTATCGCTATCACGGATTTGGGTGTGAGGTATTGCTGACAACCATGAATGCCGTCGGAGCGTCGTCTGGTACTATGCGATTTGAGATAGAGCTCTTCACCATCGTTAAAAAGGTCATCCACCACTACCACTCGCGCCATCCAACACGGCTTTCCATTCTTGACACCTCTTTTCAGCACTATCGACGATCTGCTTTATGCCCTCTAGTCCTAGAACTCCTCCACCACCGACCTTCTCGAGACGCAAGATTCTGCAGCTCCTACTTGACCAATCAACTACTATGTTGCCCTTCTCTGTGCAGACGTCACTCTCAAAGTAATCGATATCGAGAAGTATCGTTGCTCCTTGCGACTTTTGTTTTGAAGGTGTGGCTGTTCCATTGACCTCTGCTCCTTCATTATCGAACTTGATCCTCGAATCTGGCTCGAAAACTCCAAAACTCAGCGGACATGGTAGGCCTCTTAGCTCTAAGGTCCTTGCTTTTGTGTAGTCCGGACTGCAGAAGATCTGCTTGCTGTCCTCGTCCCATCTGGCCTGTGGTATCCTGACGTCTTTCAGTGCAGCGATAACTGCCATCACTGTAGTGTCAAACGCATTTGCTTCTCCTCCATAGCTGAGAGCCACGCAATCGATGTATAGAGTCCAATATGCTTTCAATACGTCTTTTTCAGGCTCGACGTATGCTGGGTCGTCAGGATCTAGTCCGGCAGATCCTGAGGCTGCTGGGTCTGACGTGTGTCGAATCTCAAGACTTGCAATGCTCACGAACCTGGAGCTATGTAATAAGGATAACACGCGCTGGGAGATGCTCTGTCCTGTAACAGTAGGTGCGACGTTCGCAGGAAAGGACGGATGGCAATTAGTGCTAAGCTCGAGGTTTGGCACTAGGAGATTGTTCAGAGTGACTGCTTCGTAGCTGTCTTCTTCTGTCCGTTCTTGGCTCACTCTCGCAGACTCGCTTGAGCGGTAATGTGCTATCTCTGAAATTGGCAGTAGCTCTGCACGTATAGCACATACTATTGTGCTTTCACCAAGTTTGACCAGCGAAGAGCCATTGCAGTGTGTCAAAGAGCCTGTGTTTAGGTGTATGGGCCGCGTTTCTGTAGGGGTACGATTAGAAGGACGTATCGGTGGATCCTGAGACAAGTAGGCTTGAAGTAGTGCTGACGGTGATATGAGAGGCATCGCGGAAATGGAGACTGTGGAGGGGAGCGTCTGTATGGCCATGAGCAGGGAGCAGAGTCTACCTTGTATTTAGCCCACTTGGCAAGGAACGTGCGAAAGTGGCTCGACGTATTACTCGTCTAGAGCTGAACCGGAAAGTCTAGTACATTGGTATGTTAACACCGCATTTCCGACCTCCTCCACTACTTAGCACAGCGACGCGAACATGGACACTATGGTTTCTTACGAGACTTCCTGAAGATCAGGCTTCCAGGCACTAAGAAGGCAGGCTGATCACATGATCTCTCGGCCAGTGTCCCTTGACCTCATCTTGACTGCGCCAGGAAGATAGCTAGTCAGCGACAGCAACAATTCCTACAGGCCTCACTGTCGCTCTACCGATATGTTGCGACCGACACGTACGTTTTGAACCTCAGCTCTTATTCCAGGAAGACAGCATATTTCGAACAACTTCAAAATCGATAGCGAATGCTAACACGAAGGTCATAGTGAGACGGTTAGCAGCCGGTGCCGCCCATGGCAAACCATTATACGAGGCAACTGGCAAAGATGCAGGTCACCCAGTATCGAGGATAAACAAGCAGCCTTTCATGTACAGGTTCTTTGCGAAAGGTATTGGTGCGAGCATGTGGTTCTTTGTAAGTGTTATCTCAGCAACGAGCTGGCTCAGCAGACTACAGCGCACGAGAACGATTCGAAGCATACTTTTCGTTCCTGTTGGCGATGCAATCAACAGAGCAGGCTGCATCGAGAGAGATTTCCCATATGCTAACACATATGTCAACAGCTACTGTACCGAGCGAAGCAAGATGGAGCTGCGTTGATAGGATTGAAGCATCCTTGGGATCATTAAACACTGCCGAAGCGTACTGAGGATAACAAGAAGCAAGCAGACTGGTGTGCAAAGGTCCATACCTAGTGTGAAAAGATCATGCCAGACAGCCAGGGATAAATGCTACGCGGCCATAAAGAACTGGCAAGTGGCTGTAGGACGGTTCTGCAGGAACATTGTACATACGCAAAATACACTCGATTTAAGACCTGACTTGGACTGGGATTGGCTCTGACCTCATTGTGTCAATTGTTTGACAGCTGATACTATGGACATCTTGAAGATCATTCGCGTCTTGACTCTACATTCTATCCTTTGTTATCGGGCACTTATGGGAGTCATAGCAAGACATCGTCTTGCCGCACTCAATTTGCCCAAGCTCTTGAACTGAAAAACGGCGTTCTAATATGCTGATCGCTATTAGTTCGTCTTAATGTTCATCCTGCGGTAAAATGCCCCTAGCATGGCTATAGCAGTATATATAGTCAGCCCAGCAGAACATTGTACGAACATCGAGTATTCTGAGTATCGCCGAGCAAGTTAAATAGAAGTTAGAACGGATAGACACCTGTCGGTTTGTTCTGAGGTGTCACTAAAAAGGTACGGAGCATCAGAGAAACTTAGCAGGATAAATTCCGGCGCAACGGCCCGTTGATCAGCTCTCTTCAGACGCTACTGCAGGCCCACGTTTCCACAGTCTGTCTGCGCAAGCAACATTTAATTTTCTGCTGCCAGCTGGCGTACTCAAGAATTCATCAACGTCAATAGTCGACTGATCGAGGTCTCAACCTCTCCCATTCTTTTGCCAAAAATGTCAGAGGAAGCACCTCGTAAGCGGTCGCGCTTCGATCAAACTGAACCTGAACCACGAAAGAATTCTCGATTTGATCGCAGATCGCGTTCACCTGTCGCAAGAGACCGAGACTCAGAGTCGCGTAGAAGTCGCAGCCCACTAGCAAAGTCGGCTCGGAGTCCATCAGCAGAGGAAAAATCCAAGCCAAAGACACCAGTTGATCCAGCTGCAGCTGCAGCTGCCGCAGCAGCTAGAATTAATGCGCAAATCGAAGCTCGAAGGGGTATACAACATGTCGATGTTCCACCAATTCAATCCGCAGACAGCCATGCCCCTGCCGAAACACCAAAGCCTGCTGCCGCCTCTAGTGGTAATAGCGTGAGCAAGGTAGATGGCGACATCTACATTGCTGATGGCGATTACATCAAAGACGTTGAAGTCAATGACTTGAGAAATCGTTACACACTGACCAAAGGCTCTACGCAAAAGATGGTAAATACTCCTTGTTGCTTTGCTGACCCAATCTTTGTGTTTCAAGGGCGATCTTTTGTATTGAGATGAAAGCTGATGCTTACGCTGCTGATACACTGATACTTTAGCACCAGCCCCAAATGTTGCAACTACTGACTTGCGTGTGATAGATCAAAGAAGAAACTGGCGCCGGTACGCTTTTACCACCCACACTCAACTTTGTATAGGAAAATGCTCATGTTTGGAAGATGTCACGACTCGAGGATCCTACTACCCTGACAAGAGCATGGCCACTGCAGCTGTATGTTGCGCCCTCACTGTCGTCGAGTACATACTAACTTAGACAGAATCCTCCACTATACCTTCACGTCACCTCCACAAGCAAAGAAGGCCTCGAGAAAGCTGTCGAGAAGATCGAAGAGCTCATGCAGCAGGAGTTACCAAACTTGGTCGATGAAAGGCGGTTTAGAAAACGGGAACCTGATTACGAGCGAGATGAGCTGGGAAGAGTACGTATCGATGTTGATCATGCGTAAAGAAATTGCTGACGTTTCTGTCAGCGCAAATGGCCCGAAGCCAAAATTCTTATCGATATGGAGAACATCCCTGGTTTCAACTTACGAGCACAGGTCGTCGGTCAGGGCGGTGCATACGTGAAGCATATTCAGTCCGAAACTCGTTGCAGAGTCCAGATCAAGGGCAAGAATTCAGGCTTCATGGAACATAGTACTGGCCAAGAATCTGACGAACCTATGTACCTGCACGTAGCGAGTCCGGACCAGGAGCAAGTCGACAAGGCAAAGAAGCTCTGCGAAGACCTCCTAGCCTCTGTGCGACAGAACTACGAGCATTTCAAAGCGAACCCTCCCCCAGCACGAATGGAATCCTACACAGATGGCTATGGCGCGGACGCGAATCGAGGCTCATATGGTGGCGGTGGCTATGGCCGAAGGGAGGATAGACGCCACGACTCTTACGCCTCCAACAATCACTCGAGTTATAGCCAGAACGGCAACTATGCTGGCACTCCCACAACACCTACTCCTGCTGCCTCACAAGAACCGTCTGCCACTCAATCTTATCAGGATCAGTGGGCAGCATACTACGCGAGCAACCCTCAAGCAGATCCGTACGCTGCATATGGTGGCTATCAGGCTTACATGCAATACTACTATTCCTACTACCAACAACAAGGTATCGACCCTAGCCAAGCCCAGGGAGGAACTCCGCAGCCACCACAAGATCATACAGGAGCACCTCCTCCACCTCCTGCCAATAACGGGTACGACCCCACCAATCCAGCAGGCTATCCGGGTGCTCAACAGCCCGGTGGCTACAACGCTGTACCTCCTCCACCTGGGATGTAGGATCGAGTAAAAGGACACTATCTACAAGCTCAACCTGTCAATCTCTGCCTGGCAGAACAGAAGTCTTCAGACAGTATACAATGAGGCCCGGCGCAGAATATTCTCCAAGAGCTACCAGTTCTGCTAGAAGCATTTCCTCCAAGGAGGTTGTCGGATCTACGAGTAGCCATCTCCAGACAAGTTTGCATTCAGGAGAGCCTGTTGCTGCCATACGCTGTTCTGGAAAACAACCTTGGAAAGAGGCTATCTGTGTCGCGACTATAAGGTCTCGGCGATCTTGACTGATAACATCACATCCACAAACGTCGAGACATTTCCTCGTGCGGACCTCGACGAGCAAAGAGACAACAGATCAGGACGGTACATGGAACAATCGAGTCATGAGGTCTCCTGCTGAAGAAGGCCCTGATGCAAATGCGGTTGACGTATCGACCAGTTTGGTAGTGACAGTTGGATCGACTTGACTGGTTGCCTGGCATAAAGCCAGCTATCACTGTGTGGTAATTTAACATTTGTAATCGATAGGGAGATCTCGCGTTGGCCAGCGGTTTCCCTAATTATGCTACTAATCTGGTGTTGTAGTCGTACCATGTTTTACATACTCATAAGCTCGCTCCCCATCAACCATAATCCCAATTCTGCCGTTGTGTGAATTGGCTCGCTTCCTCATCACTTGCCAGTCCCCTATCTTTGCGCCTCCTCACACCAGCAATACCTTCCTTACACACGTCACAAGCCATATCGCATATCACTTCACTCTGCACAATTGACCTGCTACTAGCAGCGCCTGTCTGTACACCTGCACCTGGCTGTCCAAAGTACTCCGTGATAGTCTTGTGTCTGCAAACATTTACGTTCTCACAGTACTCAATCACTTTCTGCAGACTCTTCGTTCTCTGCTCTGCTTGAGCCTCTGGTTGTGTTGCGGACATTTGAGTCGTTGGGTTAAATTGGCTGTTCAAGCGAGCATTTGCTGCGGGCACAAAGCCACCACGATTGTGCTTTTTCGCAGCATCTTTCTGCATGTCGAGTTTTACTCTGTAGATGGTGCGATCGCGTTCTTCGCGGGTGTAGAGAACGAGAGATTGTGCGGCTTTGCCGTCGCGGCCCGCACGGCCTGATTCTTGGATGAAAGATTCGAGGTTGCGAGGGAGACCATAGTGTACGACGAAGCGGATTGTGGGGATGTCGATGCCCATACCGAAGGCGTTGGTGGCGGTGATGATGTTGAAACTGTTGAAGATGTCCTCGTTATTAACTGGAGGAGCTTCTGTGTCTAACGTTTTGTCTAGAGGTGCTTGTGGGGAGCCGCCTGCGCTTTGCCTGATGAACTGATTTTGAATCTTGAGACGTTGCATAGGTTCCAAGCCAGCATGATAGGCATTCGCGTTAATGCCTGCAGACTGTAGCTTGGATGCTAGAGACTCTGTCAGGTTTCGTGTGTTGACATAGATGATGCCGTTGACTGCCGGCACGGTTTTTGGAGTTGTATTGTCAGGTCTTGTCTGGGGTTGCAAGTGCCGAAGCATCATACAGCGTCGATTGTGGATTGAGGTCAGCCATGCTATAAGATATGGAAAGATATCGTCACCTGAGGAGTCCCTTGGGTTGCTCTCTGAAAAATACTGTACCTCGTAGTGGATGTTAGGCCTTGCAGTACTGGTAGAAAAGAATAACGTTTTGTCTTCTTTGAGCTTGAGATATTTGTAGATATCCGCACGTACTTTGGGTGTTGCTGTTGCTGTCAAAGCCATTATTGGTACGCTCGGCAGCTGCAAGTTGGATTTTAGCCATGAAAGCTCTTTGTATGCTGGTCTGAAGTCGTGACCCCATTCTGATATGCAGTGAGCTTCATCGACCGCGACACGAACGAGTTGTCCTTGCTGATGTAGTCTTCTCAAAATCTTCCGAAAATTCTCGGTCGAGCACAGCTCTGGTGTAACATATAGTAGTCGAGTATATGGATGTCCGCACTGAAGGTCAGCTTCAATATTCCTACGCTGTGTATATGGAGTAGTCGATGTGATCGAATGCGTTACAACACCAAAGCTATTGGCGGCATTCACTTGGTTCTGTACTAGGGCAAGAAGTGGCGATATCACCACTGTAACACCTTTTGAGCACCATGCTGGCAGTTGAAAACATAGCGATTTCCCAAATGAGGTGGCAGCCTGGACGAATATGTCTTCCCCCTGTAGGGCTGCTGTTACGATCTCACGTTGCAGAGGCCGGAACGCCTGCTTCTGGAAGACCTTTTTGAGGGGATAATCGATATCAATGTTCGAAGCTGACCTCTTACGTTTCAGAGGAGTCCGAGGCATATTTCGGCATGATATCCGAGCCTCGATACCTTTGATCGAGTAGTGACCATTTTCGAAGGCGACTGAGGCAGAGCCGTTGTTAGTACACCAAGGCAGTCGCCATCGCGCCAGTAGGGCTTTATCGCGCCCGGAAGGCACACGCAGTCACGTGAACAATAAATTTGTGGCTGTCGGAAGGTGCAACGAGGTGTGCGTCCTACTAAGGACACGCTTTCTGTGTTGGACGGGAATGCGTTTCTCTTACCTTCTCGTCCTACTTCATGCGTGAATTAAATGATACTGAACGGCCATGCTCACCGTGGATGTTGCATACATTTTGACTGAACCCAACTACGTGCGGCACCGTGTTCCGATGGACTGGATTCATTGAGACGCTCATCCCCGCACGAAGTGTACCTTGTTACACGCCTCGTTTCGTACGCAATTCGCGAACTCACCACAAAGCAAACTGATCTGTCTCGCTAGATGTGACTTGAGATGTCCAGCAGCAGCTCTAGGACCGTGACAGCTCACAAGATACCTACATGAAGCGTTCCGAGGTCAATCTGGGCAAGCGCGATCTAACTGCGGGGACAAAATCTACCATGCCATTCCAGGGCGTAAGGGAGTGCTAGCAGCCCCCCCAACGACGTGCAGGGCTTATCTATACGCCACCTTGGCTATTGTATCCTACTTCTTCTGTTCATATGCTTTCCACTCATCTTTTGTGTTGAATATAGTTTTTGAGAAAACAGTCGCGCACAACTGACTCGAATAGACACCATGGGTAGTGCAGGGCAGGATATGGCAAAGATGCGCGTCAAGGAGGTAAGAGCGACCAAGAGCTGCTCAATATACAGCATTGCTGACTGGTCGTATAGGTGCGCATTTACCCTATCAAGTCGATCAGAGGTGTCAGCTTGCAGTCCTCTCAAGCCACGGCGATGGGATTCTTCTACGACCGAATCTTCATGTTACAGCGAGTGAAGGATGACAAGAATATGCATGTGCCTCACTTTCCTTCAATGTGCCTCTTCACCACTCAGCTGTCTCCTTCAGATGCGCATCCTGATAAAGTACTTGTCCGCTTTGCCCTAGATCATACCTTTGACCAGCCAGAGAAGAGATTACCTAAAGAGGAGGAAGTCCTCGAAGTACCCTTAGCGCCGGACGTGGATGGGCTTAAGACGGTTGAATACACGCTGCATCAAACAGTAACAAAAGGATACGTCATGCCAGAGAAGATGTGCAAATGGTTCAGTGATCGATTTGGATTCGAGGTCAGATTGAACTACATTGGCGGCAACAAGCGTGAGGTTCTTGGCACTGTGAATCCGAATGCACCTCAGGTCTATGTCGGAGATCCAGATCCCAAGAAAGCAGCTGCTCAGAAATCATCCTCCAGCGATGGTGGTTGGCTAGGTGGTATCAAAGCAGGAGTTGAAAACCTGGTTGGAACAGTCGCAAGCTACGCTGGAGTGGAAGGATACAAAGGCGTCAACGATGGAATAACTTACGCGGACCTAGCACCATTCCTCGTTGTGAATTGGAAGTCCTTCTTGGAGGCACAAGAACGCGTCGGGACCACCATTGACATGGAGAAGTTCAGGCCAAATATCGTGGTCGAGGGAGCTGAGGATAAGTGGGAAGAGGACTACTGGAACGAAATTAGTATTGGATCCGAGGAGAGTGGCAGTCGAATAGTTTTTACGGCCAATTGTCCCAGGTGTGCTAGCATAAACGTCGATTATGCAACAGGCAGACCAGCTGAGGATGCTCAAGGTCAGCTCCTGAAGTCGTTGCAGTCAGACAGAAGAGTCGATCCAGGCATGAAATACTCGCCCTGCTTTGGGAAGTATGGATTTTTGTCACAGAAGAATGGGATGCGGCCAACTCATCCTATCACGATCACAGTTGGTGATGTGGTGGAAATCACGAAGAAGAACGACAGGATGACCCATCTCTGTAAGTCAAAAGCCTCTATTCCGTCTACTTTACCTACTATGTCCCATGAGGATGCCCCTATTTCGCCTTGTATCCAGATTCAAACACCGTCTTGCAACAATCTCTCTAGTTAATTTGAACACCTCGCTAATCGTAATTATAGATTGGCCTGGTGTAAGCACATAACCAACGCCACTGCTTGAACACTTCTCCAGCACAAAACGTATGTGCCTCGAAATCAATTATATCGCCTTACAGCAAAGTGCTTGTCAGTATTCGGCGTCTACCACTTTGACGAATAATCACCGAGTGGGTGCTGGTACCATGGGAAGTGTTGAGGCCGACTCATATTTCGTCGAACTCAAGACTTATCGCTTTTGTGGGGCTCTAATCTGCTGAACAACAGTGTGTTCACCATCTGTGACGCTTCCCTCTGGAGTCTGCTCTGAGTTCTGGACTGCTTCCTGTAAAGGTGCTTTGGCAATGTCATCACGGTCAAGGACTGGTGTGGCAGGTTCTTCATCTTGATGCGGATGCATAACATTCAAGACCATGCTTGGCTGCTTGCTATAGATGCGTAGTCCAACCACACAGAATGCATTCCAAGGATCTCGATTTGGGTCTTTATCTTTTTCCTCCTTGACGACCTCTTTGCCGTCCTTCTTTTCTTCTAAGGTGGGAATCGCAGTCTCGACAGCTTTGCCGCTGCCTCTAGGCATGTTCTGCTGTCCCTTCTGATGTGCCAAATCATAAAGTGTGCCAACTTGCATGAGCTTCTCTTTTCGCCATATGTTTTCTCTAATCACTGCCTCGACATCCTTGCGGTTTGTCTTCCTGGCCTCGACTTTGAAGAGGACAGTATATCTGCCTTTTTCTAGTGGTACCTCGACGTTGTTGCTCCGGACCAACTCGTAGTTGTTCGCGCTACGCGAGAGGTATTCCTCTTCCTCATCGTCGTCCTTCTGGATCCGGAACTGTAGGGTATAGTTGTACTTCCCTTGGAGACCTTGGTAGTACCTGTCATCCAGCTGACTGATCACTATCACTGCGTCTGTCGGCTCAGGCACGTCGATTTGGAACTTAGTCTGTTGGTAGTTTGTCGTGTTCCAAGGCACTTGGACACTTGTCCATTGTTGAGCCACATGCCATTCTGGTCCGAAAATCCTCGTGCGATCGAGGTATTTGTACTTCCTTAGCATGTCTTCGTAGCTGATCCAGAAGATACCATCATCTCCAAAGCGATGGTTTAATCTTTCAATCCACTCGTGAGTCCACTCTTTGCTACCATCTGACCAAGCGCCGTTCCACTCGGTGCTACCCCATGGATTGCGCATTTTCACCAAACGCTGCCCATGGCCCTCATACGTGTCGAGGATGGCGTATGCGTGTTGACTGACGATACCTTGTCGTCGCTCGTTGCGGATCGAGGAGTTTCCAGGGGCACGCCATTCTCGATAGCTGGCGACAGCGGCACTGAAGACGAACTGAGAACCGATCTTACGAAGCTCGTCGTGCCAGAACTTATCCTTGTTGAGGATGTTGGTTGTGTATATCTCCGTGGTGACACCACCTGTAAGGTCTTCGATAGCTTCACCAGTCTGTCCTCCGCTAAGGGCTGCATAGCTCCCGTGAGCTTTGGCCAAAGCCTTTTCGAGTAATGGAACCCAAGTCTCGTTCTCCTCGCGGCAAGATGCGAAGTAGAGAGATTTGGAACCCGTCTGGAAAAGATCGTTGTAGCTTCTTTCTTGGTCGCGTTGCTGGACACCGTACATGCCCAGGACGACATCACCACTTTCGTCGTAGCTAGGTGCACGTAGATATAGCTTGTCGTCAATGATTGTCTGGTGCCAATCACCATCGCGGTAGAATACAAAACCATATACACCGACTTCAGCATCCTGGATTACGCAGATGTTCTTGACGAGCTTCTCATTGCAGGTCAAAATACTGAAGGCTGCAAGTAACCAGCAGTCACCAAGGTTGCCCTGGATTATATCGTCAGAGCTGGCATTGCGTGAAAAGAAGGTCGGATTTTCGAAGACGTCGCAGACACGTTTAACATCGGTAGGAGCAGTCTTGTCGGGATTTCCACCACCAGCAGTGCTGTAGTTATACAGCCCATCGAGACAATCCCGCCGTCTAGTAATCTTCAAATCCCGCTCAATGTCAAAGTGAGTATCAGTGTATCGTTTGTTGTGCGTGCGGCACTCCCTGATGATTCGTTTCACATCGCGAATACAACGAGCTTTAGCTTCTTCGTGAGAGCGGAAAGCTTTATGTGAGCGATCTCCTGCTTGCTTCGATGCGGCAGGGCTTGACTCAATCAGTGAAGACGGCAGAATGCGGTTGATTTTCCCAAGGTATTCCGGCTCAAAGACATTCCAGAATTGATCAAGCTTCTCCTGAGGATGTAATTCTGGCTTCTTCGCTGCGGTAGTTGAAGCAGCAACATCTTCAAGAGTAATTTTGATCGTCTTGTTGCTTGTAGTCGAGATCTCTTGCGAGCTAAGTTTTCCCTTCTGGCATTCGATGCTGAGTGATTGTGCTCGCGTGACATCACGTGTTGGCATCAGAGGGAAGGCTTGCGCGACGTTAGCATCTTCGCAAGCGTTGGGCGTGTATTGAAGTTTTGGAGTGATGAGAGGTGTATATTGCGGAAAGGGAAAGCCTTGTGCTTGGAACGAAGGATGCGAGGGCGTTTCCATTTGTGGTGGTGGTGTCTTGAACACGCCCTTCATGAAATGACTCATGGTGACGGAAGGTGAGCATGATACACTGGTGAAATGGCTGAGCTCAGGTTCAGTCTGTATCTGACCTCGATAAATGCCTTTCGCGGTACTCATTTCCGGGAGACAAAGGACTATCTCGAATACCAGGATGGTTGCTTAGGTAAAGAACAAAGAAGTCCTCGCCACGAGAACGAATGAACAAAGACAACATCTTGCCTAGGACGACAGATCAGTGACCCTTAAAAGGTCAGTGGAATTGGGTCGCTATCAGTGCTAGGATGAGCCGAGAAGTGAATCCTGACTAACAGGCATGGACAACAACACGAGCGAAGTCCGCCACGGCCAAAGGACCAAGCTCCACTCAAGGGATAGTCGACCCTCTGTCGGCCAGCGAGAGCTTAATCATCTCAAGCTCGCTTGATGCTCCTGGTCATTGTGATAGCTATCTTGCACGATTTGTTGAGATACACATGAGGTCCGAAACTCCCAGATGCAGGTTGGCTCTTTCCGGGGATACAGCCTCCCGGCTTGGCATGGATCAGCAGCAAAGACCCTGCATGAGACTAGTGTTCTAGTTGTGTCGCCTTGCTGGCTTTGTTCATTTGCCTTGTCTTGCTGCAGCCTGAGACCGACTGCTTGCTGGCTACATAGGGACTAAGGAAAAGACTCGTATGACTATTGGAACTACCCAACCATCCTCGAAGACGTCTTGTGTCTGGAAAGGTCTAGAAAATGTAGGCCGGTTGTGTGGTTAGTGGCATGACACGATTTGTTCCGGATGATTGTCCCCCGTTAAGCCGGACGGGTTTGGGGCGTCGGACAAGCAACTCGTGCCATACCACTCTGGTATTGCCAGACGACCCTGACACCTTGAAATGAAACAGATATACAACGTGTCCGAGATATCACTGCATGACAGCGAGTGATTGCTGTTTCCCAATGTGAAAAAAGAGCAGGTGCTCAAGGTGTAGCTATATACTCGGTCCTCGGTGAACAACAATTGATGGAAGTTGCGTTGGGGTCGTACTCGAGGGCGGGAACGAAAGTAACGACCGTTCTCCAAGCTGGACCAAAACCGGGTAATGGTGTTTTCTTTTCTCCATGGCACAGAAGCGATTGGGTCATGTCGCCAACCCTCACTTAGCGAGCGTGAGAATTTCGACCGATGCTGTTCAAAATATTGCATGATAGGGTTGAATTTGGCAACGAGGTTCAGAGCCCCAAGGCAACAGCGCACGCGAGTACACTGACAAAGGACCCTGCTCTGGATGCGGATATGGTCCACTGTTTCTGACCGCCTCGAAGTAACGTGAAGCTGCGACGCGCCGTAGTTCGAACATGGAAGGCACACCGCTTGTTGGCAACTTCTCTACTAGTGCGCCACGAGTTTAGTCAGCAGCGAGAGCTTTTGGAGGATGGGGGAAAGTTACGAGTATCACAGATTCAGCTCAAAAGTTTGCACACTTGTACAACATGGACACATCGATCGTTCCTGGTATACACACATAACGGTTTAGAGACCACCCCTTATTGGAAGGAACACTGTCGAACTGCCCTATGTTATTGCGACATCGATCGGGTTCACATTATTTGCGACGAATAAAACAGTAAGCCAAGCTTGGGGACGGCTTACAATCTCGCAAGTAGTCGTAAAGAGTGTGCTAAAAGCTACTGACCTTGTACAAAATCTTTGCTAAAAGAGAACTCCTCGTGAAAGGGACACCATTCTCTAAGTCAATCTTGAAAACACGAGGACGTCTTCAATCAGTAATTCAAAGGAGAAACGAAATCGCTGAGAGAGCCATGTTGAAGATCATGGGTGCCTCAGGCCAGGAACAGGCTGTAAGGTGCTGGCCGGCTCAAAAGCCGAGGATTAGAACCAATGACGTGTAGTTAATCGAAAATGTAATGCAATTGCTCTGCGTTTGCCTGTAAACTTTACGCGGCTTGCCTGCCCTCGTGCATACGTACGTCTCTCATTTCCTGAAGGCGTCAATGCTGTATTTTTATCCTGTCAGTCGAGGTTGTTTGCGTGGGGAGGACTGAAAGCAGCAGCAAACTATCCCTGAGCATCGATGATCTCAACATCACAGCAGCAAGCACCGCTGCAGGCAGTATCACACCCGAATTCGATCGAAACCATTCTCAAGAGCCATCATACCTCGAAGCAGTTCCTGTGCTCCGATCCTGAAGGATGGGGGCCCATCAGTAACCTTCGATGGGATCTGACTCCCTGTTTCCTCGATATCTGGGTGTTGGTCGTGGCTGCTTGGGGTCTGTTTGCAGGTGCTGGAGCTATTGTATATCTGACCAAGAAGCGGACGCCTCAGGATGTAAAGAAGAACTGGCATTACTACAGCAAACTCTCTATCATCGTCCTCATTGTTCTAGCAACCATCGTGCAGGCTGCGCTCTACGTGGCATATCCACCAAAAATCTTCTACGATGATATACGCTTCTGGACGACAGTCGCATTAGCTCTGTCTGAGATTGTTATCCTGCTCATTCAGCATCTCGAGCACAGTCGAAGTCGAAATCCCAACGGTGTCGTCCTGTTCTTTTGGCTGTTCTTTATCCTCTCGTTTGCAGTCAAGCTTCGGAGTTTGGTTTCAAGAGATGCACACAAGACAAGATTGCCCTTCTTCATTACATTCTGCTTGACGTTAGGACTTGCCATTGCGGAATTCATCCTCGAGTATTTTGTGCCCAAGAGGCAAAGTGCTTACGACGCCCTCGGAGCCGAAGACGAGTGCCCAATCGAATATGCAGACATCTTTTCCATTCTAACCTTTGGTTGGATGAGTCCTATGATGAGATTCGGTTACAAGAACTACCTGACTCAGGACGATCTATGGAATCTTCGGAATCGTGACACGACAAAGGTTACAGGTGAAACACTTCGAGAGGCCTGGGAGATGGAGCTCGAGAAAAAGAAGCCCAATCTGTGGATTGCTCTTGCACGCTCTTTTGGTGGTCCTTACATTCGTGGTGCTATGATAAAGACTATCAGCGATAGTCTTGCCTTCGTTCAGCCACAGCTTCTACGTTTACTCATCACCTTCGTCCATTCATACAGCGCTGGAAATGAACCTCAACCTGCTATCCGAGGTGTTGCTATTGCTTTGGCTATGTTCGCGACTTCTGTTTGCCAGACAGCTGCTCTTCATCAGTACTTTCAACGAGCATTTGAAACTGGTATGCGTGTCAAGTCTTCTCTAACGTCCATGATATATGCGAAATCTCTCCGGCTATCCAATGAGTCACGTGCAAAGAAGTCTACAGGAGATATTGTGACATATATGAGTGTTGACCAACAGAGGCTGTCGGATCTTGCACAATGGGGTCAACAGCTGTGGTCAGCTCCTTTTCAGATCGTCTTATGTATGGTTTCGCTCTGGAACTTGGTCGGCATATCATGTCTTGCTGGTGTTGGCGTTATGATCGTCATGATTCCGATCAATGCTTTGATTGCTCGATTCATGAAGAAGCTCCAGCTCTCACAGATGAAGTACAAAGACAGTCGTGCAAAGCTGATGACTGAGATTTTGAACAACATGAAAAGCATCAAGCTCTATGCCTGGGGTTCGGCTTTTATGGACAAGTTGAGTCACGTTCGTAACGACCTCGAGCTGAACAATCTGAGGAAGATCGGAGCTGCACAGTCTTTCGCCACTTTCACATGGTCATCGACCCCGTTCTTTGTCTCTTGCTCTACTTTCGGTGTGTATGTACTGGTCAACAAAGCTCCGCTCTCAACAGACATTGTATTTCCAGCTTTGACTTTGTTCAATTTGTTGACCTTCCCACTCACAGTACTGCCCATGGTTATCACTAGCATTGTCGAGGCAACGGTGGCTGTTGGACGTCTGACCGAGTTTTTCACCACCGACGAGCTACAGGAAGACGCCGTAAGATTTATAGATGAGCCACCTCAGAACAACGGCGAGGAGTCTGTCCGGATACGAGACGCCACCTTCACATGGGATAAGAACGAGACCAGAAATGCGCTCGAGAACATCAATTTTGTAGCAAATAAAGGCGAGCTCACAGCCATCGTTGGTCGAGTTGGTGCCGGTAAGTCCTCACTGCTTCAAGCGATACTTGGAGATCTGTGGAAGTACAACGGAGAAGTCGTTGTACGTGGACGTCTTGCTTATGTTGCTCAGCAATCGTGGGTCATGAATGCTTCGGTCAAAGAGAATATCGTGTTCGGTCACAGATGGGATCCTCATTTCTATCAGCAAACCATAAATGCTTGCGCACTGGTTGACGACTTCAGGACACTGCCCGACGGCGATCAAACAGAAGTTGGGGAGCGAGGCATCTCGCTGTCTGGAGGTCAGAAAGCACGTCTTACTTTAGCACGTGCTGTTTATGCTCGAGCTGATATTTATCTTATGGACGATGTCCTTTCGGCGGTGGATCAGCATGTTGGACGTCACCTAATCAACAATGTGCTTGGTCCGAAAGGTCTACTGAGTGGTAAGGCACGAATTTTGGCCACCAACTCAATCCCTGTTCTGAAGGAAGCCGACTATATCTTTCTGCTCCGAGATCAAACTGTTCTTGAGAAAGGCACCTATCAGCAACTCATGGCCATGAGAGGCGAGGTTGCGAACGTGGTCAAGTCTGCAACTCAAGAAGAGGACGAATCTGAAGGTGATCGCAGTCCTAGCATCCAAGCAGAGGATTCGGATGAATCCAACACCGTTGTTGCCAGTGGTATACAGGATGAGCTCGACCCTGAAGAGGCAGAAGAAGCACGACAAGAGGTCGGTGGACTTATGCCCATCAAATCCAACCAACGAAGTATTACAGCTCGCAAGACCAGCTTCAACTCATTGCGACGAGCCTCTACAGCAAGTTTCAATGGCCCGATGGGACGACTCTCGGACGAAGAGAATGACCCAAAGAAGACTAAGCAGAGCAAAGAGACTCAAGAGCAGGGTAAGGTGAAGTGGTCCGTCTACACTACATATGCTAAGGAAAGCAATCTTATTGCCGTCGCCATCTACGCTGTAGCCCTGCTTGCGGCTCAGACTGCACAGATCGGTGGCAGTTTCTGGCTGAAGAACTGGTCAGAGATTAACGAACGGTTAGGGTCTAATCCAGATGTCGGCAAATACATTGGTATCTACTTCGCGTTCGGTATCGGTGGTGCTGCATTGGTGGTAGTCCAGACCCTACTTCTCTGGATTTTCTGCTCTATAGAAGCCTCACGCAAGTTGCATGATCGGATGGCTTATGCTATTTTCAGGTCACCAATGGTCTTCTTCGAGACGACACCTGTGGGAAGGATTTTGAATCGATTCTCTAGCGATGTCTATCGTGTCGATGAAGTAATCGCGAGGACTTTCAACATGCTCTTTGTCAACACCGGCCGTGCTATGTTCACTCTGGGAGTGATTGCCTTCACTACACCTATATTTCTGGTACTGGTCATACCTCTAGGCATTGTCTACTTTGTGTACCAGAAATACTACCTGCGGACCTCGAGGGAACTGAAGCGTCTGGACAGTGTCAGTCGAAGCCCAGTCTACGCACATTTTCAGGAGTCTTTGGGCGGTATTTCGACCATTCGAGCTTTCCGTCAGGAGAAGCGTTTTGCTATCGAGAACGAGTATCGCATGGATGCAAATTTGAGAGCATACTTCCCGTCGGTTAGCGCTAACCGCTGGTTGGCAGTCAGGCTTGAATTCATGGGTTCTTTCATCATTTTCGCAGCTGCAATCTTCGCCACTATCTCGGTCACGCGTGGAGGTGGACTTTCCACGGGCCTGGTAGGTTTAGCCATGTCGTACGCACTGCAAATCACACAATCGCTCAATTGGATCGTTCGACAAACGGTGGAGGTGGAAACCAATATCGTCTCTGTGGAGCGTGTTCTCGAATATGCAAACTTGCCCAGTGAAGCTCCTGATGTAATCTTCAAGAAGCGACCTCCAATAGGCTGGCCAGCAAAAGGTGAGATCTCACTGAAGAACTATTCCACGCGATACCGGGAAGGACTTGATCCTGTGCTACGTGATATCACGCTCAACATCAAGTCTCACGAAAAGATTGGTGTCGTTGGGCGTACAGGTGCTGGCAAGAGTTCCTTGACTCTTGCTTTGTTCCGTATCATAGAACCTATCTCCGGAAACATAAAGTACGTGCTACAGCCTGTTGTCACTTTTGAGCATTGAGCTAACCTTTCACACAGCATTGATGGTCTGAACACGTCCTCTATTGGACTGCTCGATCTACGGAGACGGTTAGCTATAATACCACAGGATGCGGCTTTGTTCCAAGGTACTATCCGAGACAACCTCGACCCACGTCACGTTCACGATGACACGGAACTGTGGAGTGTGCTGGAACATGCTAGACTAAAGGACTACGTTTCAACCATGCCTGATGGCTTGGATGCATTGGTCCACGAGGGTGGTAAGTACAAAAATGCTTTTTTCTGTGCTTGTTATGTGCTCTGTCACTAACGGTCCTTTTTGTTAGGTTCCAACTTGAGTCAGGGACAACGGCAGCTGGTCTCACTTGCACGAGCACTGTTGACGCCGAGCAATATCCTAGTCCTGGATGAAGCAACAGCTGCTGTCGATGTTGAGACTGATGCCTTACTCCAGTCGACACTTCGAAGTAATGTCTTCGACAATAGGACTATTATCACGATTGCTCACAGAATCAACACAATACTGGACTCGGATCGAATCATTGTCCTTCAGCAGGGCAAGGTCGCCGAGTTCGATACTCCACGCGAGCTCATTAACAGAAGAGGATTGTTCTACGAACTGGTAAGGGAAGCTGGCCTGCTGGATAGTGTCACGAATGGTTCAACGGCACACTAGGACTCTGTTCAGAAACCCGAAACTGGCAACGATCCTCTAGCGCGGACCGTATATTCAGACCCCAAGCAGATTCCTTGCTTCACGGCCTCTACCTCAACCACATCACGAGCTCGGTGAAGAGGTAGGAAAGTACTTGGCAACGGTATTGTCGTCCTCAGCTAGCGTCAGACAACGTGTGCTGGGCGTTGTGGAACCATTTACCTCACGAGAATCCGAGATCGACATCTGTTCGACGGCCTGACTACTTCAGCTACAACGAAAGCGGGACTTCTGCACTGCTGACAAAGTACAAGATCTCCCCAGGATCACGCTTGGGTTGTGTGGTAGAGTTACACTCGTCAACCATGTTCTCGGAAGGAAACTACATGGCAGAATCATTGTGCCTGCTTTCTAAGCTTTGCTTGGCAAGCTGTCTGCGGTGATGTAGTGTTGGTTGTGCTACCTGGCTCGATAACGACTTTTGACTTTTTATAGGGTCTGGACTAGGCAGTGATAGAGACACATATGAGATGATGATAAGCAGATCACTGTATCCCGACTATCTGCAGTGTCTGCGAGCCGTTATGGGAAACCGATTATCGCGCGGTATCGCTTGCTAGATGAGAGAGAGCCATGAAAGACGGCCATAGATGTTTAGAGGGCCGAAGATTGAGTCAGCTCACAGCGCCAATTCTTGGACGATGTCGCTCCCTCGTTTCATCTAGCATTGCTGTTCCATGTGACCGCCCCAATGATGCGAGTATGTCTTAGATCGATCAGCCTTCATCTCTGTATTGATGTGGCACAAGATGCTGCGGAGAAGGTTCCTTGACCTCGCCCCAAATAGCAGTGTGAACAGACTTAGACATCGGGTGCACATTCGTGAAGAGTCGACAGTGTTCAAGCATCGAATTTGTGATGTGCGAGCCATAGCTAGTATCAGTGATCTATATAGTCTATCACGCTTCTCCCGATGAGGAGACCAGGAGTCCAGCCACCCACCAAGAAGACGAAGTACATGGTGCTATTCACGAAGGTCCTTGTGCAGCTTAAAGCTTGGCAGAATATTAGGAAAGTTTTTCCCATCTGCAGCCAATGCAATCACGGCTCGAAGTTCATTAATGTCACACAAGAACGAAAGAGGTGGTAACGAAGATGGTCAAAGTCGGCATTTGTGAGTGTCAGCTCGAGGAACTTCCAAGGCTCTTTGTGTTCCCGTAAAAGCTCCAATGTAGCATCGTGCACGATGCTGGCCAACAACAGAAGCGTTTTCTGTGGTCCATCACTTCGAATGTCTGGTCTGTCGTTTTGAAGGGCATTGTCAATGCCATTACCTCTGTACGAATGTAGTGGCGATTGTCAGCACTCGAGACTTTTGAACCCACGAACAAGAAGAAGCCATTAGTGATGCGAGACTGCAGTGATCGAAACGTTGTGTGGAGTCAGCAATTACGTTCTCGGCAGTCGGAGTTCAGAGCTCGCCTACACTCATCCTGAAGCTCTTGACCAGGTCAGTCACACAACACTAACACCTTATAGGATTGAACACATGTCAATCTCTCGGGTTAATATTAAGTTTGCTTGCATACGGCAGTAGTCTACTGATTGCTATCTCTTGACGAGTGTTGCACGAAGAGCTCATAGCGCGATGGATAGCCACTTCCGGATGCACACTCCCCATTGCCGGCTTCAAGGTAACTCGCCGACCTTTGCAGCAGACGTGCTGCTAAGACTCGGCTTGCGTGCTCATCCTTGCCACGCAGAGAATTGTGCACCTCCAATTGGGTGTCCTCAGACGAAGCAGGCATAGAACAATTGCATACAATGAGCTTGCCACCACGTTGCGGTGCACTTTGTGCGTTGTGAGGGCAGGGTTCATGTCAACCAGTGCAATCGAGCGAGCTTATGTACTACTTTGGCAGGGCCAGCGCACGTCGACCAATTGCAAATGCGATCATCCACTTCTGCGACACCTTTTCTTGTACACTGTCTAGACCAGAAGGAGTTGGATGGGTGCTTGAGTCTCCGTTAGCTGCCGTCAAGCTATACCTCACCCTCGGCAAGCCTTCGTTCCTTTGTCAAGTCATCTCAGTTGATCGACTTCTTGTTCCTTTACCTTGGCTTGACGCGGTATTTGCAAAATCAGGCTCTCCGATCTTACAAGCACATCGCCAGATCTGATTACATTCCTCACCTGCTACTACAACGTATAGTCATACCCACTCCTCGAGGTCAGCACATTCGCAGTTATTCTACTTCGGACGATTCAGAACGACCTAGCGTCGTTAGCCCATACCCTGCCGAATCGACAGCACCACTCAACACTGCTTACCGAGGGATACTGTTGCCGGTTTGACCTGAGCAAGTGCTCTTCAGCTTAGGCTGGTGGAAATTTGTTTGCTTTTTGTTTTTCTTCGTGGCGGTGTATACTTGCTACTATATTTCTGTTTTGTGCGTTAGAGTTGTCGACATACTTGTGAGGTTCAGTCGCCCGAGTATTCGGTGGCAGGCTACTGAGAGCAAGAACAGTCGTATTAGTGCTGAGAAACTCTGGTAAGTGCATCTCGTCATCCCAGAACAGAAACATTATATTCGACCACTGGCACTCAGTTACGAGAATAACCGACAGAGCATATGAGTCTGCTCGTGCTGTTGGAGGCCAATCGCAGCTGTTCCAACCTTTGGGTTAGGGTTGGCGGACACTACTCGCTCACAGCCGGAAGTTAAAATGATTTCTCCCCACTTTGGAGGCCCCATTCTGGATTTCACGCTCCAACACTCAACGAAACCACAATAATAACGGTTGCACAGGTCACAGCGGTCAAGATCATCGCTACTGTCTGGTCTTTGAGGTTCATCGATGAGGTCGATTCCAAAGCACTATCACGAGAACACCATTACGTCCTTCGAATCGAAATGCTGGTACAGAACCCAATGAGTGTGGAGTCGCACTTCAAAGACGCCGAGGCATGGGCCATGTACCAGAAAGCTCAAATGAGCGGATTCATGGATTACGACATGCCGACTTTTGGCATGAAGCAACAACAGCCACAACATAAACCTCGTTCGCATCAAAAGCAATCAGTAGGTATTTCAGTATATGCTTGCGAACCACGACGCCGCTAACCAACTGAAGAAGAGGCCACGACCCCCTGTTGAACAATCTCCTCACTGGGTAGCTCTTGTGTTCGAGCCGTCCGGCAAGATCTTGAAGAGGTCGTCATCGTCTATGAAACTGTACAGGGACGAAATGTTGAAAGAAGCGCTGCCAAAATTCTCCGACTGTCTGCAGGGAATCCACGGCAATCATATGGGTAAGCAATGTCTTGCAAATTGCGACAGCAAGTATTGATGTTGTTAGAAGCACGTACTGGATATGCCAGCGAAGATTGGACTATAATTCCTGAGGATCAGGTAACTGAGCCAGCACAGCATCGACCCCACAAACGCAAAAAAGGCATTGAGGACTTTGACATATCCGACGCCACGTCCTCGAAAGAGAACATTTACCAGTTTTCAGAAGAAGACCCTGATCCCGACAGGTCTGGTTCTGTACATTATCGAGCCGATGCTACCGAGGATTGGGAAAAGTGGTTCAATGATGCATTTCGCGCAGTACAACAGGTTAGCTGTCGCATCATTGCTAAGGAGTGGATCAAAACGATACATCCTAAGAAGCAGAGCACGCACCCATACAATGGCAAGAATCCACGAACAGGAGAACGAGGAGATCCAAGCTCCACCAAGCCCCCTTATTGGCCAAGGGACGTGATACACAAGGAGCCAGATCACATCAACAAGGAAGGTAATGATATCAAGATTGCCCTAGAATATGAAAGAAACACTAACGCTGCCTCTAGCAAGAACAAAGCTGTTGGTTCATCTGCTCATGCGGACACCCCACCAGGAGATGGTCACAACAGGTGAGGCCAAAACCGAGCGATCGATAACAGCCATGGCGTTGAAAGAATCACTTGAGCAGAAGAAGCAGGAAAGTCAGAACAAAGATCTGAGAAAGAAGTGGTCAATCGTCGAGCACATCATTGATGTACGAACACACCTCGAGCAATACGAGGACGAGGGCATATGTGAGTGCATAATGTGGCGCTTGTTTGCACTGTTTCACTGACGCACGAATAGCTGGCGATACTCTCATCAGTGCTCCTGACTTCAGCGATTACAGTCGTGGTTCAAAAGTGGATGAAGACTCGGAAGAAGCCGAAGATGCTTTGGAAAGTAATGACCAAGAGGAGATGCTAGAAGAGGCTAGAGACATCTCAGCAGAGTGTTTACAGGAAGGGATGTGTACTGATGTCGACCAAGTCAGCAATGTTTCACAACAACCCCAGTTTGCGCAAAGAGAGCCAGGTGTCAAGCAAGGCAATAGAAGGTCGTCGCGACGCGAAGAAGCTCAATCCGCGCCTGCTTGCATGCCTAGAAAATCACAGCACATACAGGTACCACAGACACAACCGTCTGGTTCAACGTTTCACCCACCATTGATCATGCCAGGATGGGACAACTTCCAGAATAGCCTTATTGGTCTCGACCATAGATCTGCCCCTCCGCCTAGTCAGCACAACAACTACCCGCAGGAAGGTTTCGGTGCCGTCCACTGGAACCATCAAGTACACCCGTGCATGGATATCACTTCACAATTTGCAGAACGATGCATGATAGCTCCTGGCCATATGGGGAACACAAACATGCATGGAGGCTATATCCACCAAACACACTCACCAGCTTTTGTACATCAGCCAAATCTTACTCATCCACCAGGGTATCCTATGGAGGGACAAAATTCGGCGCCAATGCAAGTCCGAGGGTCTATGGGCTATGATGCTTTCATGACTGAGAGGCCCACAAATGGTGAGATGATGCAACGCGGCTACTTTCCGATGTGAGTTGCAGCAACAGCGAGGTATATGGTATCAGCAGGGTGGGCATCGCTCATCGAATGAGCTTTCGCTTCAGCCTTGGACTCTCTCCACGGAAGTTTGTCTGCCAATATTGTCATCAGGCAAGCATACCGTCCATGATGTCAACCAGTTCGAAACCGTCACTAGAACTCAACCGGAAATACAGCTGTTACAGTGTAGCAGCTCGGCCTACTGTGATCAGGACCAGGACCAGGACGATGCCACAACTGGTTATCGACAACCAGCCTTGTTCTAGTGCTCTACATCCAATAGACATCTATCCGAGAGATGCAACGAATTTCCTTTTGTTCACTTACGACAAAATCACGCAATTTTCGGGAACACAGGCCACCTGCTTTGATTTCTTTTGGGGGCACAACCTTGGTCCAATACAGCGTGCGACTGGCTCTTTTGACTACAATTTTCTGGTTTTCTGCTGCCATGTGGTGGGGAATGTTTTACGTCCCCATGTTTGCAAGCGAAGTAAAGTTGGGTGGATATCTCTGTATAAGATAGTCGATTTGTTTTTGGTCGATTCAGACAATTTGTGCGCGTCGAGTTTGGTTGATTGCTGCCGACGTTGGTCTGAGAGTGCAGTACCTTAAACTGTCAAACGACCTTAGCATACAGCGTGGAGAATAAGATGCTGGAAACTCATGACCGGACTTGCAAGAAGGACGAAGATTGAGGCAAGCTGCAAGCATATCATACGGTAGTTGAGGAGGATGCGAAGAGTCGGAATGGCTGTATCGGTATGGAGCCACATGTGTTTGAGAGGCTGCCAGATAATAGTAGATGATAGCTGGCACCCTAATGAATGTACATATCGAAACTAATCAGCCATCTTGGTTATGAGTTTCGCAAGTGTAGACATCAGTAACAGGTAACTGAACGCGTTGGGGAACGCGATTTGGTGATATCTTCGGGCGTGGCTGATGCCTAGAGATTCAGGCCTAAGAATTCCATGTGAACCGAACAGCCGCTCAGAGCTAGGCTATTTCCGGCTGCACGCATATGTTCGCGTGCGGGCGCGACTGGACAATTCGCTATCCTTCACAAGTTCTGACAATCATCAATCCTCCAACTAAGAAAGACAGCACTCCCAATTTCGCGTTATATCCTTCGACATACGAGAGAATACCTACATGCACACCAAGCGATCTCATACCAACTCCGTCTGCTGGCAGCGACATTGCTGCCGTCGAGATGCAGCAGACACCTAGATCCCGATCTCCATTTCGAAACGCAAGTACAACCTTTCGAGGACAAGGACAATCACAAGGCCGAGGTCGTGGACGAGGGACTCCTGCTCAGTCTGCGACAACACCTCGGCAGAGCCATGGCGCCCCACAAAGAGGCGGGTCTGATCAGGCCTTTCGAGGTTCCAGAGGTAGAGGCACTTCAAGAGGACGAGGATCTGATTTCGCAAGACGAGTCAATTCACCACCGCTCCATACGACCCTTCCACAACTGCCAGTCGACATTACTCCAGACCAGCTCAAGCCACACAACCCAGAGAAGATAGCCGCACGTCGAGAGAAGGTGAGTCCAGCTGTGCTTTCCCTCTTTGCTAACACCACACCTTCACTATGTAGGACTTTCTGACATCGCCATGCCCAATTTAGCTAAAAGAGCAGTACCAATTGTACCGCGAGAGTGCAATCCAGAATGGATATATGAGTTCAGATGCCCAATCCAGTATCGACGATGCGATCAAAACACGCGGAACCTGTACACAGATGTGTGATGAGAAAGAGAGGGTCGAGCGTATCTTTCAGAATGCAGTTGAGCCAGAAGAGACGGTGAGCAACTACAAACATGCGTGGTTGCGAGCAGTACTGATAGGGCGCAGATCTCTAATCCAAACACGGGACACCCAGTCACAGTCGAAGGTCGCATGGTAAAGAAGTTTCGACGAGCTGCTGCTGGAGCCGAGAGACAAATTCCTGAAGAGCTTCGTACACCTGCGACGCTCAAGAAGACACTCAATTACCTTCTCAAGAATGTCATGGGACAATCGGACCGCTATGGCAAACATCACAAGTTTGTCTGGGATAGAACTCGCGCTATCAGAAACGATTTCAATATACAGAGTTTCACGAAGCCCCAGGACGTAAAGTACGAGGTGGACTGCTACGAGCGCATCGTCAGATTCCATATTCTCTCGCTGCACATTATGTCAGATCCAGACCAGCAGAAGACGGCAGAGGAGTACAACCGACAACAAGAGCTGGAACAATTACAAAAGACGTTTGCCAGCTTGATTGACAAGTACGATACCTTCGGCCGAACTATGCACTTTCGCAACGAGCCAGAGTTCAGAGCGTATTATATTCTATTTGTTGCACGAACAACTCTCTATGATCTGGACACGTTCATCCAGCGATGGCCGAGGCATGTCTTGGACGACGGTCGAGTTCAGACAGCGCTGAAGTTGCATGCGGCTGCCAGCAGCATCGACTACCCTACTGGATCTCCAAATCTAGACCCTATCCCTCCTTCCATAGCTCAGGCCAATGCTGGAGCTTATTGGACGCTTCTACAGAGCAAGCAAGTTGGCTACCTGATGGCTTGTGTTGCTGAGATCAGCTTTCAGCTTGTTCGATTCACCGCTATAAACGCTCTCTGGCAAGCTGCTAAGACTGCTCCGGAAAAAGGCCAGTCAGCTATGAGAGCTTGGTCTAAGCCTGTTCTGACCGAGTATCTTGGATTTGACTACGAGGAACAGACCGTGGAGTTTTGCGGAAAGCTCGAGATTTCTTTTGCAAAGCATCCAATGAACCAGGAGGAATATTTGGATTTCCAGTCTAATCCCGCGAAAAGTCTCGAGAGTAGGTCAATATAGTCGATTCACTTGTGGTAATGCTGACGATATTCAGGAATTAGATACAACCCATCAGAAAAGTCCTCGCAGGTGTTTTCGGAGGCCATCGTGGAGCAGAAGCGACAAGGCCGGACCTTTACTGCTGTGCTAAATGGCTTCTCCATTGCTGCCGCGATCCGTGCAGGTATGATCGCCGACGATGCTGGACACACACCGCTAGTCAAGACGCGGAATGGCATGTTTGTGCAGGATGACGACGATGACCAGGAGGAGGAAGAAGATGAGGAACAACAAGATAGGACTGGGGCGCCTGCTACATCGGCCGGATTATCATCATTCAACCCTCAAGCAGCAAGTTTCAATCCTGGCTCAGGTGCCATACCTCAATCTAGCAGTGCCCTGGAGCAGCCCAGCTGGATGAGTGATTTCGGCGCTTCCAAGACACCCGAAACGACACATCGTATCTTTGGCCTGAGCAAGCAGGAGCAACCCACTACCAGCTCCGCTGCGATTGCACAACCACTGTTTCAATCGAGCAATTCTGAGGCGTCACAGAAACCGTTCCAATTTCCAACGGTATCGACCGCCACCACGACTTCAAACCCAAGTCCCACATTTCCAACCTCCACTCAACCTGCAGCTGCAGGGTCTTCACCAACGACCTCGGCCTTCATTACCACATCTATCACCGAAGCAACTCAATCAGCTACTGCGTCACGCCCATTACCTAATTTCTCCTCATTCTCTCCTACCTCAACGACAGCTACATATCAACCAGCTCAGTCAGATGCTGCACCAGCCAAGCAACCTATATTTTCTCTCACTTCGACTTCAGCAGACGCTTCTTCAGAGTCGGCAAAGCCACTCTTTAATCTTGGCCAAACTGCAATAAAAGCTAGTGCTGAAGACCAGACGGAGCAAGCTGGCCGACCCATATTCGACAGTCTCAAGCCCACGTCGGGGACAATACGTAAGTTCATCCTGACATTGGAGTGACGCTGGGTTAACAATCTTAGTTTCTTCTGCATCGGAATCTTCGAGCACAATTTTCGACAAGCCCGAAGCTGCTACGACGGCAAGCACTGCGCCGTTCAAGTTCAACTTTGCATCACAGCCTGCGAGTGTTCAAGAACCACTACCGGCTTCTTCTGGAAGCGCTCGAACTTCGCAAAGCTCAGCGACAGGTTCTTCCGGCCAATTTGCTAGCAGCGCAAATCTCCAAGCGACGTCAGACACAACATCACAGCCTCCAGCACATTACAAACGGCCGTTTTTCGCGGATACTAATTTCACACAAGTGCCATCACTATCGGACAAAGCCGCTAGCACAACTCCTACTCATCCTGCGCAAAAAGGTGAAGGTCCAACTTTTCACATTCCACCTCCACTCGCCCAATCAACACCAATTTTCAATCCCAATGCACCTGGCAGGCCCCCAGTTGCTACAACAGTTCCTGAACCTTCAGTTACCCCAGCAGAACCAGATTCCGCGAACGAAGAACAGCTACTCGAGCATTTGTGCAGAATTGGAACGGTGCAATCCGACGGCATCCTCGATATGTATATAAGGTTATCACTTCCAAGAAAGCTACAGGATATTTTCAGCTCCTGGACCAGGAAGAGCCTTATTAAGAAGACCTGTAAGTGTTGGTCGATGGAAATACAACGAAATTGCTAACAGTCTTAGCCGTGATCGAGAAGAAGATTCGAGCAAGAAAGTTCTTTGTACTCTGGAAGTCCATCGTAGACCAGCGACGACTTCGACGACGTGCAGATAAACGTCGACGATTACTTGCTGAGACAGCCAAAGCCGAACAGCAGAGAAGAAAGCACGAGGAGGACGAAGCGGCACGAATTGTGGAGGCTGCAGCTGAAAAGAGGAGAGTTCAGGAAGAAGTGCAAAAGAGGAAGGACGAGCAGAGACAGCTGAAAGAAGAACAGAAGAGATTACAAGCACAGCAGATGAGACCTCCAGTCAATAGTCCAGCTCCACAGGCAGGACAGAAGCGTAAGACGCTCACGAACAGTGCGTCTCGAAGCAACCTCCAAGGCATTGCTATGAGCCCCATGCACAAGCGTTCACGGACGGTGGGCAGCCAGTCTACAGAGATGCCTGCGCTCGGAGCCTCATCATCCTCACTTCCGCCACTGCCTCTGTCTGCTAGCCGCACAGAGCACAACGGCTTGCGACGATCATTGAGCCACAAAAGCCTGCGCCAGTCTCTTACACAACAAAGACTTGACCAGACTCAGACCGACTATTTCAGACTCAAGGCAATGGGTGTAGACCCAGAGACACCTTTCGTACCCGACACCGCCGCCACCTTAGCCGCTAAGAAGCAGAAACAGGAGGATCATCAAGCTGCCGTCAACGAGCGCGTTATAAAGCGACCCAGTTCGACACTCAACAGATCAAGAACCTCGACACCGTCGTCTCCACCAAGATTCGCGGCGGTTACCTCTTCAAGAACATCGCTTGCCCGTACTTCTCGGCCAGCACCACAGGCTGTTGCACATACAGAAGCCACAGACGACGATCCTTTTCTCAAATCTTTGCGAGAAGCTAGAGAGGCGCTCAGTCAAGATGCCAACTGGTTCAAGACACAAGCTGTCGACCTCGAGAAACAAGTCGAGCAGCAAGAGGAGTTCCGACGCAGTCTAGGCTCAGCCTCAAGCAAGGACGAGGCTCTGGTGCGAGACGCTGCCGGCTTCTCAAAAAGTCTGAATGGCTTTGAATATGTGCCACCCGAAGTGAGGCCAGGCCAGACATTGTCGAGGACGGAGCAACGTATTCGCCGTACGGGCGCTCGAGGTCTGGCTAACAAGCCCATTGGCGGTTCCGGGCCGTCCTCGCCTCATCCGCTCGTGCCCATGTCAAGACGATCAGCAAGTTCGCTTCGCAATAGCCAGACGTCTCACGAGAACACAAATGGTGCGAGCCATGGCAGAAAGCGATCGTTTGACGAAGTTGGTCTCACCGTCCAGCATGATGTCCACAGTCTCGAGCCAAGCTTGAATGGTGAGGTCGACAATCATGCCACTAAGAAAGTGAAGAGCACGATGAGCTTACAAGGTTTACAAGCTCTGGCACGGAACCCTTTCGGCAATGGTGACTACGACGATAGCGACAAGACAGAGGAAGTAGAAGAGGGATACGACGAGGAGGAGTACGATGGGAAACAACAGTATGGCGAGCAAGAGTACGATCAGGAGGAATACGAAGATGAAGAGGAGGAAGAATTTGAGGATGGTCGACAGGTTGTCGCCTATCCTAAGATTTCAGCGTACTACGAAGAAGGCCTCGATGACGCAGAAGACGAAGAAGAGGTCCCTGAGGACGAGGAATCTGAAGAAGATGACGGTGGCGACTACACTCGATCCCGTTATCGACAGCCTGGCGCAGAGTGGAATGGTACTGGTTTCGAGGACGAGAGGCTATCACTGCCACGACAAGATAGTCGAGCTGTTAGTACCAGTGCTGCTACACCTGATACTGGACACGGCAGTACCGTCAACGATGCTATCGAGCTGAGTGATTGAGCTGCTTGTTTCGTTGTCAGGTAATACGAGCTGTCGATGGGAACGATGATCGCACGGTACAAGTCGAGGACTTCAAGTATAGTCCTGATAACCACTGTCTAGAAAGAACAATCGAAATCAAAGACAGAATGCTACAAGTTGTGCAACCTCTCTTAAGATTTTTGAAATCTTCTAAATATGTTTTATCTTCCGCTCTTGCTCAATCGTGCCCTCATCGGCAATTTTGCGATTAGATGTGTCAGTGATTCCATGGCGGTACAGCGTGTGCTTATCAGTGAGTTCAATGCAGTGAGCATTGCGGGGAGAGTACACGGAACAAACGTGAACAAAGATGAGCAGAGGTACAGCAAGGTATAGAGATTCAGTCTTCATAGAATAAAACTGTCAACTTTCTTTTCCACTCCGAGCAAATCGCGCTTGCAACATTTCCATATCGGCGAAAGGTCAATCTCGCCATCTACAACTCTATTCTTACAAAAAGTACATATCTCAGTCGAGTCCAAAGTCAATAACAGGGACACACTATGCCATAGCACCCATCGCCGCAGCCATATCCATCTTCGCCGCCCCTGTATACGCCTGCATCCAAGCCGCGTGGTTGGATTTCTTACTGTCAGGACACTGACCACACGATGGCTGCTGCGGCTGAGACTGAGGCTGAACCTCATACACGACCCAAAGACCGATTGCGCACGGATTCCAGTCCTGGAAGTACACCAGCGAGCTGTCCGTGCTGCTTAGGCCCCAGCTCATGACTCCACTGGCACCGCAAGAGCCCGTCCATGCTTTATATGCTGATCCTGGAACGATACAGTTGAGTGTTACGGGTGAATCCGGGCCAAGTGGTGGTTTGGTGTTTCCGGTTGTTGTTTCTGTGGCACCAGTGTTGTAGGCGTATTGGACGAGTTGGAGAGATCCTGGACCTTCGGTGTTGGTGTTGTTGCCATTCCATCTGAAATCTGAGGTGACGAGTTGGTCGTGGCGGGGGAAAGTGAAGTAGACTGAGCATTGCTGGTTTGTACGGGACGGTGGAATGTCGAAGTTGAAGATTGTTTCACAGTTGTTGGGGGAAACGTCGGCGAAGTAAGAATTTTCTAGGGCGATGTCGGATTTGTTTGTTGGGACGATGAGGTGGGGGAACTCGTAGTTGCCGTCTGGGAGGTAGAATGGACATTGGGATGTGTCTGCGCGAAGTTGGAGAGGTATTGCGATAGTGGTAACTGCGCTAGCCGCGAGGAGGATGATTGATTTCATGTTTGCTGATAGGTAAGCGAATCCCGTGTCCTGCAAGGATGCAAATTGTCGCTGCTGTCTTTCGTGTCTCCTTTATGTACTTCTGACGCCAGACCTATGACGGAGGAGGGCATCGTCGATCTTCGTTTTCGAGCTGTGCGAAAAGAGCATCACTACTGCTTCAGTGATGCCTGTGTTGCTACCCGAGTGTTACAGACACTAAGATCCGCGCATGCGACTTGATCAAGGACCAATGGACTGCATAAAGAATGCTTATGAGCCTCATTCCGTTGTGGCCATGCAGTACGAGAAAGCGGAGGGTGTAATTCTAGGACACGGCTCGATTCGTCAAATGCTTGTTTCGTCGTTCATCCTACGACGTCAAAGAATACTAATCTCTTGTTCAACATACCAACGGGTCTAGCGAGGTTGGCAAAATCCACAACAGTGGCTCGTGCATCATTACACAGCAGCACCATGGATCTTTCGCTGGTGTGGCCTGTATGAATTCTGTTCGACAAGAAAGGCAAGTCGCAGAAAACGTCAAAAGACATGCATGCCACATCATGCAGGAGCGCTTAGTGTTCCCTCTGATAGTCGCCAATGTTGTGAATGCTGATGTCCATTCTAGTCTTTACAGAAGGACTTTCAGCCTCTTCATGATTCGTCATATGATTATTGGCAGGCACCTCGATTTTTCCGTCGGCAGGTTCAGCAGGGACAACTTGACCATTAGTCTCGACGACAGCTCCATTCGCAGCAACCTGAAGCTGCTGTGGTCCTGCGACACCCGAAGCTACAGCACGGCGAGCTTCTTCCTCGACTTTGAGTTTCCTGCTCTGGCCACGAATTTGCTCCAAATGATCAAAGTAAGCACGGTCCACAGGAGTGACATACGTGCCGCAGAATACTCCGACCTCGAAATTCGACGGAGCATCAACTGCGCCAGAATCTGCAGCAGCCATGATGCATGCCTTTTTCAGGTCGTCAAGTGACTGGTAGATCACACTATCTGCGCCAATATGTTTCGCAATGGCATCGGCACCTTGGTGATTATGTGCTACAAGCTCATATGGCGATGCCAAATCAATGCCATAAATATGAGCATGAGTAATTGGGGGTGCACAACTTGCGAAATGTACTTTTTTGGCTCCGGATTCTCTTGCCATGTTCACTATCTCATGGCTAGTAGTACCACGAACAATGCTGTCGTCGACAAGTAACACGTTGCGATTCTTGAACTCAATGGCCATGGGGTTAAGTTTCCTTCGAACACCTTTGACGCGCTGTTTTTGTTCCGGCATGATGAATGTTCTGAAGACATACCGATTCTTGATGAAGCCACCAGTAAACTCCTTGCCAAGCTCCTTCGCCACAACGGCAGCTGAAGTGACAGATGTCTCGGGAATAGGGATGACTACATCGATCTCGTCCAGTTCTTGCTGGCTCAGTCTGTTCTTGATATTCTTGGCTAGCATGACACCCATTTGCTGCCTGCTACGATGTACACTGATCTGGTCGATGACAGAATCAGGTCGTGCGAAATAGACAAATTCAAAGATGTCAGGAGCATATGCCTTTGGCTTCTGGACTTGTCTGAAATGAGGTTCACCGCCTTTTTCGATGATAACTGCCTCTCCAGGCATTATGTCTCGGATGATCTTGAACCCAAGCTGCTCCAGAGCGACCGATTCAGAGGCCATCATGTAATCGTCACCTTCACCTTGCACTGAGGGTCGGGAGCCAAGCACTAGAGGTCGAATGCCGTAAGAGTCCCGGAAACCAATGATACCATAACCAGCAAGCATGGCAGTACATGCCCAACCGCCTTTACACTGATCGTACATCCTGCTGAGCGCTTTGAAAATATCATCCTCATTAACTCTTGCTTTTCCAGTCTCATTCAGCTCGTTCGCAAAGATATTGAGCATGAGCTCTGAATCCGAGTCTGTATTGATATGTCGATGTGCCTCCAAATCCAGGAACTCTCTTAGCTCTGGGGCATTGATGAGGTTGCCGTTGTGAGCCATGCATATACCATAAGGACTGTTCACGTAAAACGGTTGAGCTTCAGCATTGGCACTACTTCCTGCGGTAGGATATCGCAGATGTCCTACACCCATAGACCCAGGCAAATCAGCTATTCTTGATCCATCTTGAAATACTCTGGCAGCCATTCCATTTCCTTTGCACTGGTATATTCGTCCACCGGCTGCACATGTCGCAATACCGCAGGCATCTTGACCTCGGTGCTGAAGGAAGTAGAGGGCTTCGTGGAGGTCTGTCGCTGCGCCATTAGACGCCGTGTTGGCAAGTAGTAAAGCAAGGATGCCACACATAGTGGTTGCTTGAAGTTCGAAATTCAGTCCTAGTAGAGGAATCAGTCATGCTGCAAGAAGATACGCGGCAGAGGTGTGCTTGGGCAGTGTAGTGGTCAGGTCCAATTCTCAACATGTAGTTTTAGAAGTCTAACATCTTTATTTTGAATTTGCAATCATCACAAGCGGCCTGAGAGAGTGTTTTCCGACCACACGTACCGTAGTGAATTCGGCGTCAAAATATGTCGAGTCTCGATCAGGGTACTAGGTCGGATCTTGCGCGTCGTGAGCAGGGCTTACGACATTCCGCAGTGGATTTGTTGAAGCTAGAAGAGAATCTGGAGACTTGAACTAGTTCATAGATCTTAGACATCTTGTCTTTCAGGTTATTAGAACAAGTGACTGTATTTCTAAAAATTTCAACGCGGCTCTCCCGAGCACTGGAAAAGACGTTAGGCACCCCACACGCCCCACTCCTTTGCTGAGTGTACTTGTTCATTCTTTTCGACCGGAAATCTACCGAACTTCATCGTGCCTTCCTAAGTACAAACGAACACGTCTTGCGTCTGGATCAGGTTTGTCACTTTGAAGGTTGATGAGAGTCAATTGGCACATACTGATATCAAGTCAATCGCCCACGTTCTGTGGTGCAGGAATTGGAAAGGGACAGCCACAATCATGGACAGTAAAGCTATATTACATCCGGGAGGTCCAAGGGATCATACTGCTGCGCGTGTGTCTGGCTCGCGAGCTAGATGTCGTCTGTGGGTCTTACTGGTAGTTTATTTGGCAAACTGATGCAGATACTGTCTACGCTATGTCCTACGAAAGTTGAGACCAGACACAGTTGACGTTATATTAGCCTAACGGACCATGAACTTGTTACTGACTTGAGAGCACTGATAAGACCGATATGATCATACTATGAGAGATGCCAAAGAACACTTTAATTATCTGCTAGCCTGTGGGCTTTGTTATTGTGAGCGAGATTGCAAACTAGAGCAGTAAGTGAAGAGAAAGTAAGATGCTGGAAACGACGACATTTGTCCCAGTGGGGGAAAACACAGTGAAGGTGGTCCTGCTGGTAGTGAGGTACAAGTGAGTCAAACCTCTGTCCTGCCTGCATTCATGAACTATAATGTCACCACGTCTACTATTTGAACTCCTCCTGCCTCTCCCACAAGCATATCGGTATACCTTTGGTTTGATTCGTGTTCTTGCTCTTCTTCCTCTTCTGTCTACATTGTTGTCGTTATGCTTCCTTCAAAGAATTTGGGACGAAAATCATGGTCTTTCCAGCACATAGAACCAGAGTTATCCAGAACTACGATTTGTGGTACACGCCGAAATCCAGTGGCAATAGACGACGAGGACGACGATGTTTCTGCCTTGACTCCAGCAATTCGGAGGTTATCAACTAGTCCTCAGGCCCCAGATGTTCGACCTTTGTTAGAGCCACGAGCAAACCTCAAGAGAAAGAGTGCGGACCTTGACGAGGGAGTGGAACACCAAGCTTCTGTGTTCGACCAAGGCCTGCCAAAAAAGAGGGTCGCACCTGCCGGACTGTCAAGCACTACGCAACGATCAAGCTCAGATAATCTAGCCCAGCGTGGTACAGAAAAAATACAAGGATTCGGTCTAATTCACAGTACCAGCACGACAAACGACTTACAGACCAGGATTTACTCAGGGGCCACCAATGAGATAGAAGAAAGCCCCAATTTCAGACGCACCATTCGAGGCGCTACACTTTCAAATGCTGAGAAGAACATAAGAAAAGAGCCGATCGGGGCACGTACCACAGCGTCTAAGCGTACTCACGTTATCGAGCTTCTTGATGACTCCTCGGACGACTCGGACGCTGACGGCGATACTTTCAACACTGCACCTCTACATCAGCCACGGCCGAGCATCACGCCGGCCCGCAGACCAGCACTTCTGCCACGTATCTTAAAAGACAACAACTTTAATGTCCCCGGGGTCAGGTGTAATAATATCGACATACGTCGAGGCTCTTTTGTCGAGTTCAAGGATGGAACATTTATGAAGGTCAGCCGAGTCCAGCGAGCCGAGCAGAATAATCACATCCTAGTAGGTCAAATTTACAGCCGTATATCTACCTTCGGTCCACATATGCCTTTACGAAGAGATAGCTTAGCCTGGGTAGTCGATGCCAAGAGTGGTGAGACAGACACTCGCTTTCGCCAGACATATTTAGGCCAAGCACTTCTTAATGAAGTGGTACAGAAGGTTCGGACCGTATCAGGTGAACATCGAGATGACTTCGGACTCTGGCGCAGCTCGGCCACAGACGTAAAAAGGGCGCGAGAACTACGGGTGACGAACCAAGATTACAACGACTTTAACTGTATCACGGATGGCCAAGCGCAGGGAACCACAAACATCAACCAACTCTGGACAAAGGCTATACTTACCTGCCGCTGGGTTGAAACGATCGTACACGATGAGAACGGCAAAAGGAAAGAGGAAAGGCTCGAACGACCGAACAACGTCGACAGTGACTGGCAGACTAGCTCTGACGACCTACGACAGGCGTGGCGAAGTTATTCTGCAATACTGTCGCCTGGAGGAACGCCTATCACCTTTTGTGACTCGTACTGCGGTGCCGGCGGCATGTCTTGTGGAGCTAGGCAAGCAGGCTTAACGATCCTGATATCTTTTGACAAAGATGGAAAAAAGATATCGACCTATAAAGCCAACTTTCCGAATTGCAAGAGCTACAAGACGGATGTGAGCCAGTTTATTAAAAGGACTCGGAAAGGAAGTCGAAAAGTTCACGTGTTACACTTAAGTCCTCCTTGCCAGCCATTTTCAACAAACAATACTAGACCTAACGAGGCCAAAAACGAACTGAATCAGCCTCCCTTGTTAGCATGTGCCGACGTTATCAAAGGTGTTAGACCACGAATAGTAACCATTGAAGAGGCTCCAGGTATAGTACAGAGGCATCACCCCTGGTTCTATGCCTTAATTAACCAGTTCACTGAGATCGGTTTCTCTTTACGATGGTCGTTCATAACCTGCTCAGAGTTCGGGGTACCTCAAACGCGAAAAAGATTTATGATCATTGCAGCTGCACCTGGCGAGGCCTTGCCTCCCTTCCCTTCACCAACGCATACGACCGGCTCTGTTACAATCAAAACTGTTCTAGACTCAGTGGAACGCGCTCATGCACGCTCGCCATTAGCCAATCATGAGAAGAATAAAACCAGTCATCGTACACGTCAAGCACCATATGATCCGGACTGTCTAGCCAAGACTATCACATGTGGAGGAAATGAGAACCGTCACCCTAGCGGTAAGCGACCGTTCACTGCTAGAGAGCTCGCGTGCCTTCAAACATTTCCTCACAGGTACAAGTTCGGAACGAAAGAGGATGGAAGCTCACTCGCAGCCACCGAGATCAAGGTGCAGATCGGGAATGCGGTACCACCGCTTTTAGGGAAAGCGATCATGCTTGAAGTTACTAAGAGCTTGTGGAAGACGGATTCTGAAAGAAGAAATAGAGCAATGGCAGCTAGAGAAGCTATCGAGTTAGACTGACTCGACTAGAAAATGGATTAGTGTCGAAAAGACGTCGAAGAATTCCGTCCAAGGAATTCAGTTCAGTATGTATAGAATCAGAACCACATTTGCCAATTCGTTCGTGCTCTGGCGAGTTTGCATTGCATTTCGTGAATCGTCAACCTTCAAAAGAGTCATTGTCCACTCTGAGATACTCCAGAACAAGATGTGTATCAAAGCGCCTAGTGCACTGTCGGGTGTTGCTGTGGCCAGTTAGCGGATTATAAGCAACGATGTCATAGGTGCTCTAAGACGAGCGAGGCGATCCCAGCCCACCTGCGACCTTTATGTCAACCGAAAACACGATGGCTGGCAAGATGTTCCCTCTTGCTTTCTCGACTAAGGCAATCGCCTTTGCAGTGACTTGGTTATGGGAGCCAAGCGACGTTGCTGGTAGAAGTCGCAGTTTGGAAGTGACATGAAGAAGCGCAATTTAATCTCGGAACTCACTCAGCTTACAGCATATGCATACAAGGCGGAAACGCGTGTCTGGCATGTGTGACCTAAAGCAACGCCGAAACGAAAGTCCTTCACTTTTCTAGAGACGAAATTAGAGAAAGCACGGCATAGGAGACAGACCATGGATAGCGCAGGTCGCGCTTCCCATGTCAGCGGCTTTGCACCCGTTCCTGCAGCTTCTCTAGGACCTTCCGTGGCATCTTTCGTTCCTCCTCCCGGCGCATCAACCACATTTGCTGTACCACCACCTGCGCATCACTTCGCAGCCTCTGGTCACTTCAACCAGCCTAGTCATGTCGCTGCGCAATCTGCGCTTTCCATTCCTCCTGGGCGCATGGAACCTCCCCCTCTGAGTTCAACTGCTGGACCTATGCCGGGCACTGTCCACAACCCTATTATGGGTCCGAGAAAGAGGCTGATTGTTACTTGCGACGGTACTTGGCTCGATGCGGACAACGGACTGGTCAATGGACAGAAACAACCACCTTCGAACGTCAGTAGATTTGGATGGGCTGTGAAGGACACCTCAAGAGATGGTATTCCTCAAGTTGTTAACTACCAGGCCGGCGTTGCCTCGTCAGGAGGACGTATTTCCAGGGCTGTTGGGGGCGCAACAGGTCTTGGTCTGAAAGAGAACATCCGAGAAGCATACACATACCTAGCCACGAATTGGAGAGAGGGAGACGAGATCTTTCTCCTAGGCTTCAGCCGTGGCGCTTTCACTGCGCGATCTATTGGTGGATTGATTGGTTCGTTGGGCCTTTTGACACGTCGAGGCCTACCCTCTTTTGGTGAGATTTTTGAGGATTGGGAACATCGTCTAGACAATCGATATCAGTCTTCTCTCCCTGATTCACCTTTTCACAACAAGGGGCCCTTCGACGAAAGATACGTCCACGAACTAGAACGACTCGGCATGACCAAGAGGCGTGTGCCAATAAAAGCAATATGTTGTTGGGACACTGTGGGTTCACTCGGCATACCACGAACGCCTTGGCTCGAGATGTTCATAGGTCAAGGCAAAGGTATGAAGGATTATCAATTCGTTGATACCAGAATACATCCTTGTGTTGAAAATGCGTTCCATGCTCTAGCATTAGACGAGCAGCGAGCTCCATTTTCTCCAGCAGTTTGGGAGAAGCAGGCGGACAATAACGTAACGAATCTTAAACAAGTCTGGTTTCCAGGCGTTCATTCCAATGTTGGTGGAGGTTACGACGATCAAGAATTGGCGAATATCACACTGGCATGGATGATGTCCAGGTTAGAGCCCTTCCTCGACTTTCGACCAGACTTTCTTGTTACGCAGCTGGATGCGCAAAAACAATATTACCGTGATACTGATCAGAAGCCTCGAAAGTGGGCCTTCGGAGAAATCTATCGCTCGCTCAAAGGTGCCTATTCATTGACCGGAAGGAGGGTACGAACTCCAGGAGCTTACCAAAGAGTTGACCCTATGAACGGCCAACCTACGGGTAAGAAGCTCAAGAACACAAACGAATACATCCACGCCTCAGTCAGGGCGCGTCTGGGTTTGAGAGGTCCAGGACCCCAAGACAGAGGTGAATACAACCCACCTGCCCTGGCAGATTGGACCTTTGAGCCAGAACCAGCCCCAGTTGGAGGAACTGCTCAAGGCCAAGGTGGGAATCTATCAGATGGCATGATGGTTGTATGGAACTACAGGGGGGCCAAAGACCGTGACGGACAGACCCGCATACCAGAGGCAGTACTGTTGGAAACAGAACTTGCCTTGCTTCGTCAATTCCAAGCTGTAGACGACTACATCCGCTACATGAGGCCGCCAAGTGGTAAACGACGATCGAAGCGCTATCGTGGTATGAATGAAGAATCGCATAACAATGGTAGCATAATAGATGAGAAAAGGAGAAACATGGGTCCCGCGCCTGACGACTTTGCTGAGCCCATGGATGGAGACATTGACGGCACAGGCGATCATGACAGAAGACGAGAGAGGAAACATCGCAGAAGAACACGTGGGACAAGTCTAGGTCCGGATGCACCACCAGATGACTACGGACCAGATCGCAGGGAGCGCGACCCGGATAGAGAGGAGAGGAGGAAACGAAGGACGAGCGCGCGTTACTGATGATTTATTCTGTTCTATATTCCAACAGCAGTCGAGCGCCAGTCAGCAGATCTTCGATCTTCCACACTCCCCCAACCACATTGTCATAGTATCTGCCACGGCTAGATCGTCGCCAGAGTTTGCCGCATGAGCGTCAAGCCAGACCTTGGTATTATGCTTGTCAAGGTCAGGTATCCTTGATAGATTGTGACAAATAAATGGCATGATGCCAGAAAAGTCTGGCTAGCAGGATGTTGGAGTCAACCTTTTCCGATGCTCCAGTACAGCAAGTGGTTGAAGCAAATCCATCTCCAAGCAGAGGTCACAATTTACGAATCTCTATCGACGTCGACGAAGAGTTTCATGTTCGATGAACCACAGTAATCAAACACCGACTTCAACGATCAAACAGCAAATACTCGTCGCGCCTCTTGCCCGAATTTTCCCCCAAGCATCTGCTCGCCATCGTCCCACGGAATTTGTGTCTTCGGCGACCGGAACGAAAAGAGCACCGTTATCACAAACGCTGTGACAGCAGACGTTCCAGCTATGGTGTACAAGACGGTCCTGTTGTTCACACCGACTAGCTGAGCGATGACATCCAATAAGGGGTTGAACAACAGCATTCTGAAGGACGTCGCGTCTAGAACGAAGCTGAAGAACAACCCAGTGTATAACATCGTTATGAGTAAGATGAGGAGGAGGAAGAAGGAGAACATGTTTGAAAGTGATCCACGGTAGGATTGCGCTGTTGTGCTGTTGACAGATCGGAGCGAATCTTTTTCCTATTTTTCCTATTTTTCCTTTGCGCCAGGAGGGGTGAAGGTAGTGTACTAGGTAGGACTTCGAGAGTTAGCAGCACTGGGTATCGGAGGCAGACGGAGAGCAGAAGTCGTCTGAGCTTTTATGCATGGCGCCAACGATGCGACAGCTGCTCAGGTTCTCCAGCCTGTCGATGTGCCATTACCTCAAACCCATTTGAGCACATCCTGCCTGATATTCGAGTACATTACACCCAGTTCTTGGGCCAGTCGTTCACACCAGAGAATCATCATAATGTTCGGGACCGCTGTTCTTTTTGGTTTAGGTTGGTCGGACGCAATACCCGAGTACTATGGTGAGCACATTCATAGTACAGGTCCTCAAAGCGAAAATGGGTGCCTATTCTATGATTTCTATAAAAAACCCGCTGCCACGAAGGGATTCAATGCCTCATCTATCCACGTCTTCTAGTATCAAATAGCTATTGCAGATACACTACGAGGAAACTGCTTGCTGTTAGTATAAAGTATCATTAAAGCTGTCACTACAAGTTATACAACAACCTGAATCATGGGTTGCACATCCTCCTTACCTCCTGCCTTTGCATCCTCGCACAATGGCGAGGCATCTCTTCAACCAAACCCCAGCCCCATCCACACTGGTGGCTACTGCCTGGACCATCGCACCACCAGTCGTCCCACGTGGGCAGGGCAGGAACCCACCGGCTCAACTAGTAGTCTCGAATACTCAGACGAGCTCTACCTGGAAGATTTCGAAAGCGAGTACGAAGAAGAAGACGACCAATACCCCAATACACCAGTATGTCAGAGCGACATCGGCGACGATCATTTCGACGCAGACAACGAGCCTGACGAGCAGTTCGAAGCCATTTCAGGAGTTCATTATATCCTCGATGGAATGGCCGGCAGAGTCGATGTCTGGCTTGATTTCGAGTACGATTCCAACCACCAGTACGCAGCGACTCCGGAATGGTTCGAGGTTATGAACCAGAATAATTACTATACGTATATGCAGGTGTATGGGTCGTTGATGGATGTTATCGATAATGTGCCGACAATACGGGTATTTCATGAGATGGTGGATTGGGTGGCGATGATTTTGATGGTGTGGAGGTTGGTGAGGAGGGAGGCAGCGGCGGAGGTGCCGTGGGTGTGGGAGGCGAAGTTTTTGTTTGTTTGGGTGTGTGCTTGGAAGGATGGGTTTCAGGGTCTTGATCTTCGAGCTAGGTGTTTGGGTAGGAGTTTTGTGGAGGATATTAGATTGCTGATGGTGTTGGGGTCGTTGGTCAGGTTTCGAATGGATTATAAGGAACTGTCGAGGAAGAGGCAGCAGAGTGACTGTTGTGTTAAGTGGCCATCGTTGATGGTTGTCCGCGTCTTGGACCATAGAGCGTGGGCAGAGCTCTCTAAAAAACTGTCAGTAGATAATTGTTCGATTTCTTCACATTCGGGCAGCTTATTCATTCGTCTCTCGCATGTATATACCACTAAAACAGAGGGGTGTAATATTGGCGACAGGTAAATAGCGTTCTTTCATGTACGGCAATGCTCGTATCCTACCATAATTGCGCGTATGCAACATCAAGACAGTCCATGTCCTTTTCGAGAGCACAAGACATCCTTCCTTCCAAGATTCTGCTACACTAGCCGCATTGTATCAAGGAGAGTTGTTGCAATCGCATGATCAGTGGGGTGAATATAGGCTGCCGCTATATCGCCAGCTTTGAAAAGATGTGGTTGTGACACCTCGATCAGCCTCCCATGTCGTGGAAGCTTTCAGTAAACAGCGTGCTGTCTGAGTCTTCTTGGAATTGCAGTCCGAGCGACGTTTATTGCAGCAGAGCTGGCCTTATGCATTTCACCGCGTTGTTGCGTGATGCTGCATGTTCGGGTATCTCAAGTCTTAGAAATGCAGTTCATTCTAGTACACGAGAAGTTGTGAACGACGATTTCACCTAAGAAGACTGAATATGCGTTTTGTACAGCGGTACTCAAGGATGATGCTCGGACGCAGGTTGTCTCTTCCTGTCGATAGTCATGAAGTCAGCACTTGCCATGTTTTAGCTGTCATCAACATCGTCGTTGTCAGAAGGGAAAGTATCCTGAAATGATGCCCTTAATGATGCAAGGCAACGGCACATTGGGAAAGCATCCGTTGTGCTTGTCGATCTGCCGCTCTTGACCGTTGATACTGGACAACAAGCGGCCACGAACTTGCTCAAAGGTATGGCGCGTTCGTGCACGCGACAAAGCACGCGCAGCTTCTGCTCGACCAGACCAATCTGTATAAGACTGGTCAAGGTAAGTCTAAGCAGGTGTGACGAGTGTTAACGCTGACGCAGATTTCGAAAGTGAAGCCTTGTGCTGCCAATGCCGAAACCCAACCTTCACAAGTCGAGCTAAACACGCCGAAAGAGAGCCCGGATGACTTACGACCCTCAACAGCAAGTTTGTCACAGATCTTGCTGGGACTGAATGGAGCCGTGGCTCTCAAAGAAGACACAAGAACGGAAATCGAAGGATTGTGCTACAAGGTCGACTCGAGACCATTTCTTTGCCCTTCATTGCGGCCCGAATAACTGCAGGATACCCTGCAGCAAATATGGTCCACACAACCCACGACTCTGTTTGCTTGACGTTGCACAAGAGCTGGATCTTGAAAATGTTTCTTCGTTTCACTGGCTCTTCCTTATCAACTCGAAAATGAACCTGGACACGAACCGGCTGTGATGACTGAAGCACTTCAAGAAGCTCTATTGTGAGTAGGCCAGAGACTGGTGAGGTTGTGCTGGTCATCCTGGATGTGATATTCCTCGATAGCCGCTGACTGAACAAAACTCTTCCCTCACACTGCTCATGCTGCAAGCCATATTTTGTAGTTTTCAATCTGAGCCGTATGTCATATCTGTCTGCCTTTTCCTATAGTTCACTCAAAATACCCTACAGAATCCAGGGAAAGAACACCCCACATCGAGGTCGAACGTCTGCACCGTCGATCTTCCTGAAACACCAAACACAATCAATCGGTATCTAAAGTTTACAAGCTACACTGCTTGGACGGTGGATGCTCAATATTTAGCAGCTTCACCAACTGCCCTCCGGGGGAACCACACCATCAATGATTCCTCAAATTTGATCTTGCGAGTAGGGAAAATTCGGTACGCGTCAATTGATGGTCTCCACGTTCGATGAAGATTCATTGTGTCAAAAGCCAAAGTTGATTGCCAGCGCTCGGCAGCCGTCAGAACACACCAGAAATGGGCGATGGCTTGCCATGGTGTCGTTGACTATGCAAACCAGAGAGCTAATCTGAGAACACGAAGTCTTGTAGCTGCTTGACCCGTCTGCGCATCGCGAACCATTCGTTTGGAAGGGAAATACTGGGCAAGAGTTGGAATACGTTGCATGAGGCAGCACAACACAAAGAAAAGTCGAGAGAAACGTCCTTGTCTTGAGGCTGAGTCGGTCTCAAGCAAGGACCGTGCTCCAACACCCACACCACCGTGGGAACAAAGAATAGCACAACGTTGCAACTACAAACAACGCATTGTCTTAATCTGCTAAAACTATCACTACTGGTATTCTGATCACAATGTTCTTCTACGCTCTAGCAATTGGACGAACTTCCAGGTGTTGCTCGTCAAACAAAGGTAAACACGACGTAGGTCCTTCTTATTCCTGCTCGATTCCCCACAAAACAAAATCGTGACACTTCACTCCGTCAAGCAAATAAACAAAATTTCATAGACACTTCCACTTCTCTCATGCCATATCGCGATCCTAGCACTTGGCACATTTCCAACAAAATGGTCACCACTTTTGTCGTACTGGGTGTTGTACTTCTAGCTGTGCCTCTCGCTGTCGCAATCTTCATAATAGCAACCAAGCTCAGGCAAAAGAAGAGGGTAGAGGTCATGAAAAATGCCGTCACAACGTCGACAACAGTCCAAAAAGGACCAAACGGTCGAACAGTCTTCGAGACCAAGGCTACACGACCCTCACCAACACGAAATCGATTCAGTAAACAAACAGTTCCGGCAAGTCCAACTCTTCCGTTCACACAGCAGCAGGCTGCTAGACCTCCGAGACCTGCAAGGCCCGCCTCGATCAAAGGCGCGTGGCAGCGTCTATCCCGCCCCTTTTCCATGGCAGCTGAACCTCAAGAAGACCAAATCGAGCTTACCAAACCAATGCCAAAACCACACGGGTCAAGATTTCAGGAACATACCAAGACTGTATACGATGGTCCTGTGAGCCCAATCACTGGCCCTGAAATTGCAAGATCAGGCTCGAGCACTTCTTGGAACACTGTGGACAACCTCTCCAGCAGTCCGGTTAGCCCGCTCAGCGTGACAGGCATGCGCAACACGACATATCAGCGCAATGGCGGCTTCCACGACATCCCATTGACTCCTCCCACCCACTCCAAGAGCGTCAGCAAAGGCAAGGCACGCAAGAAGTCCGTGCATGGTATCGACCTTGGAGTTGCGAGAGGCTTTATGCCACCAAATGTGCACAACAAGCAGGACGCGAAAGATTTCGCAAAACAGCAGGGGAAGGAGATGGCCAAGCAGGCAGGACACTATGCGGCAGCTCAGATCAAGCAGAACATTGTGGATGCGAACAAGAAAAAGGTTGGTAAGGTGCAATTGACGCAGCCACCTAAGGCAAAGACTTCCAAGGTAAGGCAAGATGGTTGGATATAAATGACTGGAATACTTTCGATTTCTTGTGTGATGCTACGTTGTGGTACGAGCAATGTCTCCGACACATAAGATCTGGATTTGAGCAACGTTGCAAACGAGGTAGGTACGATTGAATTTCTGTATAGTCATTGTCAATAGAACGGTCAGAGGCTGTGCCTCAATTTCTCCAATCTCCTGATTCTCGCGAACGCTACACCACGGCTCTTCCTGTTGAAACCTAGCCGTTCTTGCCGCTTCTGATTTCTTGATGCGCCGTAGTCATGCCACAGGTTACGCGACTTCACAACAAGTTGTGCTGAGTTACCACCCACTGATTTATATCAAGTTGTATTGAGTTGCGACAAGTTGTGCGGAATCACTGATATACGCATCATCTAGCCTCGAATTATGTTTGGTTTAGTTGCAAATTCTTACCATGTTGCAGAAGCGCATCTCACGCTGCCGTTTCACCCTTCACCTTCACGTTCCTTGTAGAGGATAACGCGTGTGGTGCTCTTGTGTTTTGCGTAGGATGACTGCAACATAGAGAACATGTCGGCAAGTTTGAGAAAATTGATGTCAGCAAGAGCACAGGTATGAGGAGTCCATTAGCCGGCCGAGTCTCCTGCTACCACCCGATCATGGCCACGTAGCGGCAGTCGGGAAAGAGTTGTAAGACGATGGAAGAGAGCATGGCTATGTTGTGTAAGGGATGGTAGAACAAAACGAAAGCCTAGAACGACTGATCGATTGTATTGGGACATTGCTGACCAAGAGAAGGTTTGGGATACTGCAACGACTGGATGCACAAGGACGGCGCGGACTCGACCTCCTTGCCCTGCTTTTACACCATTGCTGCGTTACAGGTACTGTGCGCTCAGAGATCCGCCGCTTAAATACTGCTTAAGAATGAGATTCTGGAACACATGCGACAACACGGTTTGCTGATTTTGATTACGATGCACAACGATATCGGGAGATATCTGCTGCCGGAAAGCTAGTTGGCACTTCGAGTGTGGTGTTGTCCATGTGTCAGCTCGGAAGATTACAGTTGTTGCTTGTTCATTCAACAGATCCTTGTCGGACTCGGTTCACGCCGTGCTTGGGATTTGGGTTGTTCAGCAATGCTCATGGTTCTATGCTAATGTGGCAGCAGCCAGAAACGACTCAATGTTGACTATGACAACGGGGCGTTGGTCGGTGTATAGCAGGCACTTCCTTCGCCTTGATCAAGCACAAGGTACAGCATGTTGGCTTAGGTCGTTCGAGGTCTTACAGTGTAAATCACGTGAAAATAGTGATGGAAGAGCCCTTTTAAACCACTCTCCCATAACAGCTCGAAGTAACCACACCAGATGAATTACTGTCAAAACGAGTTCAACGAAGCACTTGGAGGAAAGCAACGTTCATAGTTATCCTACTCCGTTGCAGCCGGCATTTCCTGAGGCATCACATGCCAGGAATTGGGTTGTTGACATACTAGAGGCTGTGAATAGTCGTTTCCGAGAGGTAAGTGAAGCAGTTCTAAACCCCTCCACCTGTCTTGATTGTTTAAAAGGTCACAACTACGTGCCTTTGAAAATCAAGTGAAAGTGTTGAGTTTTGCGGATCTTGTTTGCACCTTCCTTGAAAGCAGATGAATCCTTCGAACGTTCATGACCCTGCCCTCTCTTTCTCTACCAATTTCTTACGTCTCGACAACCTTTCCAAAGCCTCTAAATTCACTGAGCACACAACTCCAGTACCAAAGCATGACTCTGGTCAACTTCCTGACAGCCACTGTGCTGTTTATTCTGGCCGCACTCAGCCAGAGCGCTGCAGCCATTGACAAGTTGCTTCTCAGTCAGATTGTTCTTGCAAAAGTCAACTACTATCGAGCACTTAGCGGTGCTGCACCAGTCATCTGGAAGGATGTTAATTCTTTGGTATCCGGTCTCGAAGCCAACAACTGCTCGGTTACCTACGATGTGAGTATCAAAAGCATAATCCGAGATCATGTTGCTAACAAAAGCTCTCAGTACTGGGATGATAAGGGTCGAATCATCTTCTCCATTGGTAGACAAGACAACCAATTCCCGGATACCGTAAATGGCAGTTACTTCGCCGTCGACCACTGGTGGGAGCAGCGAAAGCTGTACGATCCTAAGTCCGGCGAATACGACGAACTACAACCTTTCTATGACACATGGGAGTTCACTCAGATGGTCTGGTCTGCAAGCACAAACATCGCTTGTAGCTGGGGTGTGTCGGAATGTGATGTTCCTGCGGATCAGGTTGTCGCTAATGTCACTAAATATCTTCAGTTCGTGTGCAACATGGAACCTGCTGGGAACAAGTGGGAGCAATTGTAAGTCGACCTCGTTGAGATGATGTACCCGAAGTTTGATTAACACGCTCAGCTACGCAAACGTACACTGCCCCGATTGTACTGGAGTCGAACCACAAACTACCACTATTGATCCTTTGACTATCTCTTTCGAGGGTGAGAAGAAGCGAGCTGCACGATCTGTACCAACACCTCCAGCGAAGATATCCTACAGCGACGAGCAGCTCGCTGAGCTGAAGGCTGAAGTCGATCGTGTCGAGCAATACAGATACCTTTCTCCCGAGGAAGTTATGGGTCCAGACTTCATACCTGGATGGTCAAATGCAGGCATAAATGCAATGTTGGCCAAAGAAGGCATATTCGCCGACATGGACACCACAGAGATGGAGGATATGGTTCACAGTCTTCGAGCGAAGACCCTTGGCAGAGCTGCAGATGATCCAAAGCAGAAGCGAGATGCTCCTCCTTCAGGAGAGGCAGGAAAGGCGTGGGGAAACCACTACATCAGCACTGTTAATGCCTGGCGCAAGCAACACGGTCAGCAGACCCAACTCTCGAAATGATGTCTAATGTGATCAGAAGGCATTCTTTGATCTGTTCTTGATTTGAGCTAATGGTTACAGGCATCCAGCAAGAGGTTAAATTCGATACCATCCTGGAAGCAGCGCTTATCGGCTTATCGGCTGATCTTTCCGCGGATCATTGTCGATGGCCACAACGACAGGATGCTGATGCCACTCCAGGACAGACATGGAGAGCAGCATGGTGGTTGGCGGATGCGACAACTACTAACTTCAGTCAACAATTTGACTATGCTCTGCACATGTGGGAAGTCTTCGGCGACAACCCTGAAGGCAAGTTTATCGGCAGTCTTTGGACAACATTTTATGATCAGCTCGTCAATTCAGCCACTACTACTTTCGCTTGTGTCTGGACACCACAAAAATGCATAGAGAGTGTAGGCAAGCCATCGTACTTGCTTTTCTGTGGTGCTGGCGGCGTCTATGTACCAGTCCGAACAAGTGCTCATCCCACAACTTGAGCTGAGATGGCGAAACCGCAGAGAGGCATTGAGAACGAATGAATGCACATAGATCGCTTTCTGGTCGAGACACTACTTCGATAACAGCTCGACGAACCATCAGAATTCAGAGTCTCGAGTCAGTCTTCAGTAGCTGAATGAATCTGCTACCAAAGCCAATAGATTAATATTGCCCTTCTTCCTGGCCACGATTTGTGATAGTAGGAATTAGGCATAGACGACCGAACATAAATGCTTTGGCAATTGCCGCCCGTAGCTGTTTTGAGACACGTAATGACGGTTGCACTTTGCCTAGCATCTCAGAAGTGCGTCACTGCCGCGACTTGCGACGTAATAAAATTATGCCAGACCAGGCACGAGCAGAGAATATTATAGGTCGAAGTATGCGCGTCAGCTGCAGGTCAACTTTTCTAGCTCGATCGCTTCAATGTTGCAGGCTCACGATAGAAATATTTGCTAAAGTTGTACACAATAGCAGTAGAGTGTCAAGTAAGCGCGCAACTCTCTTCTGCTCTCGAAGCTCGTGGCTCGACGAGCAGCTTCCACCCCACCTCTGACAGCTTGACATCAGCCTGCAACAGCCTACTTGATCCGAGCTCCTGCCACGCGCATGCAAGATCGACGACAATGACCTTGGGCAGATAGTACGATGAGCAGACCCTCAGACCAAGGTCCGCTGCTGCGGCGGAAATCCTCTACACCTCACTACCAGACCTTCGGCGGCATATCCCCTCCCAAGTCAAGAGGTCAGCCTCTATCCGAAGCGAACAATTCCTCCAGCGACTTGTCAAGTGCGCAACATGAAGAGCAGAACAATGAGTCGCCGCTGCCGATGCGGCAGATGGCGGTCCTGGCCTTTATAGCATTATGTGAGCAGACAGCACTCAACTCCATAAGCCCATACTTGCCAGAGATGGCTTCAACTTTTCCTGAGGTCAATGCTGGGCAGGTCGGCGTGTATGTTGGCACGATAGCGTCAGCCTTCGCGCTCAGTCAGATGCTCACAGGCTTATTCTGGGGTTGGTTGTCAGATCGCATAGGAAGGAAGCCGGTCATTCTCTGTGGCACTATATTGACTGCTGCCTGCTTCGTTGCATTTGGATTCTGCAAGACCTTGTGGCAAGCCGTACTGGTACAGGCTATGATGGGTATCGTGAATGGAAATCAGGGAGTCGTATCGACATGCCTCGGTGAGATCACTGACAGGAGCAATCAATCAAAAGCCTTCACATACTTGCCAGTAATATATGGACTTGGTGGCATAACAGGTCCAATCGTAGGTGGGCTGCTGGTTATGAAGAACAACCCGTTCAAGCCATCACAACCGAACCCTTACCCTTACCTCCTGCCGAACCTATTGTCTGCTGCAGTTTTGGTAGTTGACTTTGTTGTCACTGCGATTTTCATGGAAGAGAGTTTGGAAGAAGTACAGAACCTACCACCTCTAGGCAAACGAGTTTCGAGTCTGTTCTCATGGCTGTGGCAGTTCACAAGCTCGCATCGACCTACATACTTACGGCGAGGTAGCAAGAAAGCTGGCGTGTCTCGTCGTGCCGGATCCGAGAACGAAGAGAGCGACGACGAATCAGCAGACGGAGCGATGCCGCACTTCATGGCTAATGGGGCCGAAGAACTCAAGAGGAAGGATATATTAAACCGAGACACAATTCTGTTGTTGCTTACATACCTTATCTTTCAGCTATCCAACATTTCTTTCAATTCCTTGTATCCAATATTCGCCCAAGCAGATCCTCCCACAGGTCGTGATCTCGACCCAGAAGAGATCGGCTTGTCTCTGGCGTTCGCCGGTGTTGTTACCATCCTATTTCAAGTCGGTGTTTTTGGCAAGCTACGAGATAAGATGGGAAACAGGTGGGCATATAGAGCTGGACTTGGTCTGTTCGTTATTGCCTATGTTCTAATGCCATTTGTCGGGTACAAGAAAGTACCCGAGGAAGGAGAACCTGCAATGGGCTCTGGTCTTGGTTGGCTTTGGGCTGAGATTGGTATCGTTCTTCTGATCAAGACTGTCGCTGCAGTAGGAGGTCTGACAAGTGCTCTACTTTTGGTAATCAAATCCTGTCATAGCCGATCACTTCTCATGCTAACTAATTACAGATCACAAATTCATCTCCTGACCACCGTGTATTGGGTGCCCTCAACGGCCTAGCACAAACACTTTCTGCAGCTGGACGAGCAGCTGGCCCATTTATCAGTGGTGGATTATTCACAGTCGCGACAAAAATCAGACCAAAAGGGGAGGCCTTGGCTTTTGGAGTATTTGGAGGTATCTCGTTCATCGGCTTTCTGCTGTCTTTCGGCATCAGAAGTTCTAATTTAGAGGCAGAAGGATGGGACAGCGATAACGACTCGGTGTCTGATAAGTCGGATGACGAGGACTAACGTCGATACAGCTAGGCGTAGATTATAAAAAGGCTCGAGCATCTTTATGGCACGTTGACGATGAAGAGAACGACTAGACGAAACCGAACTCGGCTTGGGTCGAAAAGTGTGGAATGGTAAACTGCATCCGCGAAGGAGTTTGCCCGTTCGAAGGTTATCACGTAAAAAGTCAGTCACTCAACTGGACAATGAGACTTATTGTATATTGACATCAACCACTTCAAACAACATACACAATACATTCACTTGATACCTGACCTCTTCCTGAACACAGACCAAACCCCTGCAAGTCATCATTTAGTATGCTTTCGATCCCATCCTCACGAAAACTAGCATATCCAGCTTTGCTGCTACTTGCGATTACTGCGACGGCACGACTCTTCTTTGGACTACGTTTACCGAATAGTGAAGAGGCGGTTACTCGAATACTATTGCACTCTTCTCAGAAATCAGTTCAAATTATCCAGCTCAGTTACGATGTTGACTTTCAGCAGTCTTTGGACAATATCTTCGTCGCTCAGTACCACTCAGAACAGTCTTTGCCAGTTGTCAATCCTCTTCTAGTGCTGCTGTCAGAATGCAGGCACAATGTGAATCCATACACGAGTCACATCCGGCTTTGGTCGGTTCCTATCCTCAACATCTCTATGGTCCCAACGGGGCAGGCTAGTGACCTTTTCAGAGACAAAAGGTACTTCAATCCAGCTATCATACCTCTACCTTCCTACGTGACGACTTCAACATCCTACCGCTACCTTTTGGTATCTCGCCTGGTTACTACAGGCTCACACCAAGAGTCCCACATTTGTTTCGCCGATGTATGCACGTATGACAGTCCTTCGATATCCACAGGCACAAGATCTTGTACCGACGACGATCTCGACGTGCTCGGCCACGGCGGTGGAATGCGATGTATTACCACTCCAGAGAAGCTGAATATTCCACCTACACCTTCGCAGAAATGTACCGGCGTTTGGAGCACCTTTCCCCACATCCCAGGCTTTCACGATCCCAGAGTCTTTTGGAGTGGACGTGGAGAACCACTGATCGAAGTGAATAGCGGTAGTGCCTACGGTTGCGTTGGATTATGGATGGTCGACTTGCGAGCTGCGTTTCCAGCTCTTGACGAAGTGCTGAAAAAGAGGAGGCAGGGAGCAGAACAGCAGGAGAAAGAGGATAGTGAAGCTGGTAAAGATGAAGGGCTCGATATGGTGGCTCTGGGAGCAAGCATGCAGTACAAGTATTTGACTGAAATCACGAGGAACCCAAGAAACAGCAGGGCTGAAGTCGAGAAGAACTGGGTCTTGTTCTTTCCAACGGAAGATGAGGCTTGGGTTCAGTACGATATGATGGGGGAAGTCCAAGGACAAATATCCGAGATACCGCATGGTTTGGGAGACGTGCCTAACATGGTGAGCACGTTTACTATACAAAATGCTTCCCCAAACACTACAAGTCTGCTTCAGGTCGAAGGCACTTTCTTAGACGAGCAGAGTTTATTAGAGAGCTCCAGAGAGCCTGCATCGGCTGACAAGCCAGGCTTGGCAGATCCTTCATCGCACGAGACTCTGCCGACTAGCCATATCCAGCAGGTAGCGGCGTCTACCTCAGTATCGGCTGAGGCAATATCGAGTCTGGTCTCCCAGGTCAGCATAATACCTCTCGAAGATGGACCAGCGAGGCGAGCCTTGATTCAAGAACCTGCTCGTACTGACATCATCGGACGAAGCGACGTTGTTCCACCAGTATCCTCGCCTGCAAGTGAAGGTTATGTTAAGTTGTCTTCGAAAACAGTCATGAGATCGGCGTCGGAAACGCCTTACACAGAACCTCCAACAGTACTGTACAACAGCAGTAGCCATGCTAGCACTTCTACAAGCTCCAGCGCCACACCACCACATACTACGTCTGACCAACGCCTACACCACATCGGTGGTCGCAGCATAGCACAGCTCTCATCCCACGGACACACCACACCAAATCTAACTCACCCTCTCGAACCCTCCTGCTTCGATCACTCCAATCCCTTCCTAACAAGTGACAAACTCAACAACACCAGCCACTGGCACCAAGGCTCAAACTCCCTCCGCCTCATCGTGTGCACACGCGAACAATTCCGCCAAAGAGCATGCATACCCAATTCACAGGACTCGCACAAACCCCTCACCAGACACGACTACACAGAACTCTTGCGGCACGAAGGCCTAATAATCCACATCTCAATCGTGCATCGAAAATTTACCAATGCCTGGAAATTGCCAATGCGGTATGAGCGGTATGTTCTGCTGTGGGAAGCGAGGAAGCCATATAGAATGATTGGTGTTAGTAGGTACCCATTGTTGTTTGAGAATGAAAGAGCTCGACCGTGGTCTTGGGAGGAAGATATGGGGTGGGATGAGGGGCACAGAAGACGAGAAGCGCGATCAACAGAAGAAGAGGAAGAAATTGCATATTTTACGTATACACCGTCAATAGCGTGGGCGTGGCGGTCGAAGGGTGAGGATGAAGGGCTGAGCCAGGACCGTGGTCATGAGGATTTAGGGACGGGGCTTCTGGGGGAAGATGTTATTGTTGGGATTGGTATGGATGATACTAAGCAGGGATTTGTGAGAGTCAAAGTCGATGTTTTACTGGGATGCATGAGATTATGTCCTGGTGTTGTTTGAACAGAACAGAGCAGAAAGTGTGGGAAAAACGACTCGGTTTCCGTAGAGCTGTACAAAATGCTATTCGTTCAACGCTGGCTTGACAGATTCTATGTCGGCAGACGCTTCAAAATCTAGTTATTACCCTCGGTACCTATTGCTGACCCTCCTCCTCCATTCCGTCCATCGTCCTTACTACTTCTTCTGGCCTTGCTCATAAAATTCGTCAGAGTCTCGCTCATACTTCTCAATCTACCTTTTGTACCCTTTATGCTGTCGACAAAACTCCCACTCTCTTCTTGTGTAGTAGTGCGCATGAGTGTTGGGCTCTCACCACTGTCCGTTGACACCTGCGCCCTGCGCGCATCATGAACACGCTGCGCAGCATTTTCGGACGCGAACGCATTTGGAATGCCAGCTTCCAGATCTACGTCGGAGCTGCCTGCTGCTGGATGTCTCAGCCTAGCAGATTCTCGGTTTGACCGAAAACGACGAAGTGGAGAGCGGACGGGAGAGTCAGTTCCCTCACCTCTTAGGATGCGGTCTGCGACAATGCCTGCCAAGGAGGATGAGAGAGGCTGTAAGATTGGACCAGGTACAAGAGATATGCTAGCTCGCTTGAGTGTGCTGACGCTGTATGGTGCCTCGAGGTGTGGCTTGGGTGGGGATGGACCACGACGTGTTGGCGTTTGTGGCTGAGCTGGAGAAGAAATCGTACGTCCAAGTCGTTGATTCGGAGTCTGTAGTTTTGTGGTCGAAGGGGTGAAGAACGGTGTCTGCGATGATGTCGAGCGTGTTATTTGATGAACTGGTGTTTGAGGCCTGTCCCCAGTGTCTGGCTGAGCCTGCATACGAGAAAGGTCGTCTGTCGAGGAGATGAACGGATTTCTGTTGATGTCTTCGGTCGAGGTAGCTGCTGGAGTGACTGCAATCGAGGGTACAGCTGAAGAAGTTCTTGAAAGTGCCAATTGTGGTGTCTCTGGAACATGAATATTCGTGTCAAGCTTGAGGTTGCGGGCTTCTTGCTTGTTGTCAGGTTCCGGCGCATGTGCCGCTTCATCATCCAAAAGACGGATGCGTTCAACGTCATGCTGAGTTACTTCTTCATTTTCTTCCTCGTCCTCCTGCTCTCGTCCACTGGTAATCAGATAAACACCACCGAATGTCAAAAGACAGCCAAAGACGAACTTCAGAACATGGTCGATGTCTGTGCGTTCAAAGTCTCGATAAAGAACGGCAGAACCGATAATGACGGACAATGTGAAGAGCACGAACTGTGTTGGAATGACCTGTGTCGAATTGAAGTTTTGCAGAGCTCGGTTGAGATATCGAATTTGGAGAACTGCTGAAGCTACCAGTACAAGAACCAGGATATAGAATATCGGATACTGGAAGGCGCGATACAACGAAGTCGAGAGCAGGGAAGCAACACCCTTTGTGGAAAGTGCAGTATAGCCACCAAAAAGACCGACCAGACCAAGGTCGACCGACAGGGTACGCTCGCCATATCTTGGACTCGCTATCATTAGAGCAATGATGAGTACGACAGTAATTGCAACATAAACCAAGAACTCCCACCTCTTGATATCAGCCAAAAGTCCGCCAGGGCCAAGTTTCTTCTCGTTCGTTTTAGCAGAAAGCACAACCGTGACTGCGCCTCCTATGGCAACAACGACACCCCAGAAGTCTCGTTGTCGAAAGCGTTCCTTCAGCATAAGCGGAGCGATTAAGCAGTTCAAAATCAAAGCAACCACTCCAAGAGGACTGACAATCGAGGCAGGTGCAAATCCGTAAGCTAGAAAATTCCCCGTCTCACCAACAGTCATAAGTGCAATCCCGAGCCACCACCAGGGCGATCTGAGGTAGGACTTTCTTTGAGGCTGGCTGTCCTCACCCTCGTTCTCATCTTCGCCGTCTTCCTCTTGAGCTGCATGCTTCTTGCCATTGTCGAAGTGCCCATCTACTTCTTCAGGTGCACCGTTAAGCTCGGTAGGAACTGTTGCAGCCTCATTTATCCTTTGTCTCTCCTCAGCCGCCTCTTCCTGCTGTATAAGAGTGCCATATTGTCTCAACTTTTTCGGCAACTGTTTTCGAGCAGTCTTTGCCTTAGGATCCTGCTTGTCTCTCAATTCTCGGTCGATTCGAATATGTGCATATCGTTGTGTGTTGAGCCCAAACGCGATTATAGCGTTTCCGACAATAGCTGTGATGATACCGACCAGCGAAGACCACTGATGTTCAGGCAGTCCAGCATAGCTGTCGATTGGCAAATATGGTGCAGGCATCGACTCATGAAGGTAGCAGTCCTACTTGGAGAGCTGCTGTGGAGATAACGATATGCCAGTAGGGCCATCAGAAGTCTACCTGCTCGATGGGTGTTTCATAGTGAGTATTAGACTGGTGCAGTGACTGCAAGAAATCGTTGCCATATCGGAAAGCTTGTTTCTTCATCTTGTGGTGGGCCATTGTTCCCAATGACGCGACGCGGAGCACAAGCTTGCGATACGGAGGAATTGAGTTTAGCCGTACCACGGTTATCTAGGGAGCCACAGAACGATAGGACGAGTGAAGCTGGAACTCAATGGCAATCACCATTACACACTTCTGACCGTAGCTGACTTGCATACTATCAACCAATTTCATAGTTTAAGGATGATACAATTTGCCGAATTCGCGCTTCATCGTAGTCATTTCGTTTATCTATGTCGAAGGGCCAAGGAGGCTCATCTCAGCTGCTCCATCTCTTATGCCTTAACCGCGTAGATATTGTATGACCCAGCATAGGCATTGAAGTCTAGCGTTTTAAGATCAACCTTGACCTGTTGCAATCCATTGCCATTCGTCTGAGCAGTCGTTCCGCAGCACGACTTCGCAGCAATAGGACTCGGCGCAGTAGTAGTGCCACAACACGACTTTGCAACAGGAGCTGGTGCCGTCGTCCCACAACAACTCTTTCCCTCCCCATTGACATTCTCGTCATCCGCATTGTAAACATTCAAATCATACCCCTTATCAACAATGAGCACGTCCTGAAACCCCGCCTCCTTCAAATACTTCTGATACCCACTTACCAAACTCGCTCCAGCAACACACCCAACGTACAGCCCCATATCCTTCTTCAAATTCTCCGGCAGCTCCACCCCATCTTTGATCAAAATGTCACTAATCGCCACTCTCCCACCACTCTTCAACGTCCTATGCATCTCCTTGAACACGAGCGGCTTCTCCTCCTCCGGCACCAGGTTCACCACACAGTTACTGATGATACAATCCACACTCCCGCTCTCAACTCCACCATTCATATCCGTGATCGGCGCCTGCACAAACTTGACGTTCTTCGCGCCCTTCCCACCATTCACGTTCTGCGCATTCCGCCGTGCCTTCTCAAGCATATCCTCATTCATATCGACGCCAATGACTGTCCCCGTCTCACCAACTTTGGGACTAGCGAGGAAGACATCGAAGCCGGCGCCACAACCTAGATCGACGACTGTCTCACCTTCGTGCAATTTTGCGAGAGCGATAGGATTGCCACAACTGAGACCTAGGTTGGATTCCTTGGGAATGCTGCTGAGTTCGGCTTCGCTATAGCCGAAGGCTTGAGCGACTTTGGATTCGTAGGTGCCGTTTGTGCTGCGGTTGCTGGAGGCGGCCGAGTAGTGCGATTTGACAGCGGCGTATATGTCGGATGTGGTTGACATGGTGGTGGTGGTTTATTGTGGTCTGGATATAGGTGATTTGTATTTATGATGCTGTCTTCGCAGTGAGTTTGATGTTTGGAATGCTGGTTTAGCACAAGCGATTGGGTGAGCTGGTGGTTACGTGTGAGATGCAAGGAACAGAACACAAGGCGTACGAGTTCGTTGTTCTTATAGAATTCAGTGGCAATGATGTAGGTAAGTCTATAGTATGAAAAGGTCTCGTACTGTTCAGTAACTTTTGAGTTAGAAAATATGCGAGGCGAAGCAAATGGGATCTTCTTGCTGCGACCAATCAAGTTCTGGATATGACAAAGCCAAGAAACCGTTACAGCGCATGAGGAATATTCCTCCGTGCTCCGCAAAGCAACCAACGGCAGGCATCGCAGGAATTCAGCACAGAAACACCTCACATCTCAACATACAATTTAGTCGAAGTTTACCTCCTGATTACACTCGAAACACCTGAATACACCTGCTCCACTTCTTTCGTCATGTATGTTGGAAGCTCTTGACCAGCTGGTACCGCGGCACAAGTACCAATGATCTTGGCGAGTGCAGCACGACTTTCCTTCTCTACACCCACCCAATGTCCTGATTGTGGTAGCAGCATCACTTCACTACCCGCGGCCAGGTAATCCGAGATACCCTCTAAACAAATTGGTCGAGTTACTGCCAGGTCGTTTTCGCCCCAGAGAATTGTGGTTGGTGCTTTAAGTGCTCCGTCGTACGTGTCCGTGAATAGTGCTGACGAGGCAGAGGAAGATGACCGTCGTCTGATTGGAGATACGGAAGCTGAGGCCGAACTCTCGCTCTCTATTTCGTAGAGAGCTGTGATAGTTTCTAAGGACTTCTCCCATCTTTTGAAGGCTGCTCCATTCCTGTAGTATGCGGTCTGATGCCAGAAAGTTTCACTTGGTGATTCGGCACGAGGGTGAACTGACTGGCCGTAGCTTTCACCACTAGCAGTCTTGCTCTCAATTTCGATCACGCCTGGGCCAAGAGTCGCCGCTAAGTACTCCTGTGGATCGCATTCGTCTTTGTGCCTGCCATGTTCTGCTCTTGCAATAGCTCGCAGAAAGAAGAAGTTTCCACCAGACCCCAGATATTGCACCATTATTTTCGGCAAGTGGAAGACGAATATGTAGCCAAACGAGACGATTTGCATGATGAGCGGTCTCAGCACATTCAAAGACTTTTGGAGGCAGCCAAAGTTTTGTCTAGGAGCTTCTCTGAACTGTTGGAATATTTTGGAGGAAGCTGCAAGGATTCGGTCTTTGTTGGCGAGCGCTAAACGGACCTGGGGTCGCGTTAGTATACACTTCTCAATTCAATCACTTCCACTTACGTGAGGCCCGTTCATCAGAACGAAGCGATCTGCTAGCTGGGGAGCCTCGGCTGCCAACCTGAAAGCTAGAACGCAGCCCCAGTCATGGCCGATGATTATGGTGTTGAAGTCCTTGTTCGCTTCACTACAAGCGTTCCCATGCTCTTCCCTGATGACCAATGTGAACTCGGCAATTGCTTCAAGCACAGTGGCATCAGGCTTGTCAAAAGTATCACTACCACCAAAATTTGGTAGGTCCAAGCAGACTATTCTTGCAGAATCGATAGGGATCGCCGGCTCTTTCAACAAAAACCTCCACATCATGCTACTATCGGGGTACCCATGTAGAAGGATGAACAAATTGCCACTGTCGTTATTGTCCCCACCACCTTCTCTTAACCTCAATTTGTTCGTGATGTAGTGTAGCTTCAATCCATTCCGAAGCTTGAAAAATGCATGCTCGAAACCAGGTATAGGCTGCTTCGAAAGGTTCCAGAATCGATCTCGTGCTGCTCTCAATTTAGCTATCTCTCACAGGCAACCTTCGCTTTGAGGACGAACAAATGGCAAACCGCAGCTGTTGTTGCTCGGTGGGCTTCTTGAAGAAAGAGCCACTTTGAATCCCTCTACCCAGGTAGAAAATCCAATTGAACAGGGCGAACGTGTAGAAGAACACCAAGTATGCTGCTCTTGTGACGAAATTCTGCAAGGTACTGGGTTCGTGAGGGTTGGAGATCATGGTTGCTGTACCATTGCAATAGGGTGTTATATAGGCACAACAACGTCCAGTGAAGAGAATGGCAGCTTCGTCGGTCTAGTATGTAGCGGTCTGAGTTCGCGAGAGCCAGGTAAAGGACTTCAACAAGAGAGGCAGGGTCGAAAAGTTATGGGTAATATCTCACGCGGTCAACAAGAAAGAGGGATGAAAACGCTTGAGCACGACTACCTTAAACAATTCTCGGTTCTGTTGCTAGAGAAGGAGCGAACCACCATCTCGATTGTATCACATTGTGTGCGTGCCACTCCCGAATGATTGCTCGTTTTCAGCCGCTTCAAGCAGTGATTTGCACCAGTTTCTGCTGAGCATCAGCAAGCAAGTCACGTAGTAGTGTTCGTACGGGGTTGAGATCTGCTAGCCCCGCGCATCGGCTACACGGTCATTCCAGCCAGGCACCCCTGTGCTGCTGGCCAATGAGAGCACAGTGATCTACGACGACAATAGACACGACGTCGATGAAGCATGTACACAATCTGTATCCATTCTTTGAACTGGTTTGCAGCAGAGATCTGTTGCGACTGCCGTTGCAAGTCTATCTTCGCTCTCTAGAGTTCAGAATCTACCGCCTATTTGTCATCGCATTCCTTGTTACCACACAGGGATATATTGAGCAATTGGACGGACGTCAACCATGTCTGAAGGTTGCTCAACACAGGATACTTTCTTCATGGACCACCGGATCCCTCACCGAAGCATTTGATGCTGCCAAATGGAAACTGACCGAAGCTGATACACTGTCCGGCCACATTCTTGATGGTTTTGGCTGTTCCGAGGTCCTCCTGCCGACAACCCGCTCGCCAATAGATATAGCAAGTGTCAAACCAGCCCGTACACTCAGATATCATTATCGCAGGGTCATTGCCGAATATGGTTGTGATATCACGGCATTGTGTATCGGCCTTGACCACGAGCTGAGAGTGGAAGATAGCAGTGTCACAGTCGAAAATGCTGAGCTTGAAAACACAACACTCAGAGCATGTGGAGCTAAAATCGTGTCAGCTATCATCCCTTAGATGTGGGTCCATATATCTTACCATCCATTGTTGTTGGGATCACATTGTCGCTTGTCCTGGACTGTGGCAGGATTTATGGATGTTGAGTCAGTAGGAGAAGGATGAGGTGAGAAGCGTCCTGGAACGTGTGGCTCCGCAGTAGTGCCAGGCAGATGCATTGGTTCTGTCTCGTTGCAAGGATAACCAGGACGGCCAACAAGAGGATGCTCAAGGTCGGTGTAACCATTACAGTTGTGGGATTCTGTGTGAGCTGGGGTATCCTCAATAGTAGTATCGGGAGGTTTGGTGAGGGTAGTGAACGTTGACGGCAGTGGACTCATGCGTGCTGGAGATCCAGGCATGAGAGGATTTGGCTCATCCCAAGCTGGATATGATGGTTCCGGCCAGGTGGTGTTGTGGTCATGATCTTGATGGAAAGGACCGTCGGAAATCTCAAGTGGCGTTCGCTTCTCAGTCGCGCAGTTACACTGCCAGTTGTAGTTCGGACCAGTGGAGCAATACAGATTGATGTCGAGGGCTCGAGGGTATGGAGCACAGCCTGGAGGAATTTTACAGATGATCTTACCGCCTGCGCAACTGCAAGCTTTACCACAGTCTGCAGCATCCCACTGGCGGTATTTGTCACCAGTAGTACCGCCGGTGCAGATGAGGGTATCCGTCCTGAAAGAACTTAGCAAGTGTAGGACCGTCGCTTGTGGAGGAAGCAGTGGTTGGCTCTGCCTACGCTTTTGCGGTGGATGAAACTTACTTGCTTTCTGAGTGAGGTCCGGTGCAGGTCATAGCAGCGATGTTAACCACTGCCAGACCAGCGAGTAGAAGAAGATAGAGGAGTTTGGGTGCCATCATCGTCGATGACCTTCAATGAGGTGCTGTAAGAATTTGTCTTATCGAGTGACAAAACCTGGCAATGTGTAACTACGAAGGTTCTTGAGTTATCAGGAAGTCGGGAGATTGGCAAAGAGAGTGGAAGAGAAAGACTATTTTGTAGTCTGCCGTGGTGAGAGTAAGTGAGTGCTGAGAGTTGTTTGCTTGCAGCAACAAGTGAAATCCCAAGGTTTTGAACGGTCTATACGTGGACATTGTCGAGGCACGACCAGAAACCTTGAGGACAGCAAACACACATGCTGTCACCAACAATGTTGAGATTTGATTCGTCATCGTTGACTCCAAAGTATCCTGTTTGTAATATGGCCAGCGCGTTTCAAGACTTTCATAGAACCTTCACTGTGACTCCGTCAACGATACCCCGATTCGCTTGATCGAATAGGCTCAAAGTAGACCCTCCTGTCCAGCATGACTAGTTTATACAAACTCTGCCAGCTGTTGTCCATCACATTGTGATTGGAGCTATCACTTGATCTTCGATCAACCTTGTAAGGTATTCACTGTATTTGATTAGTCTTAGTGGCCAACGCTCTGTCGTACAAATGACCGCATGAGTAAGCAGAAATCTCAGATATGCGAGAGTGTATCCTCCAGAACATATACCGTCTCGGTGTCTGCTTCAGACCCCACAATCTACAGTGCTTGACAGGACACGTTGGTGATTGGACGCTACTTGCAGGCCTTATTGGTGGATCTGTTGCGCTGATCAATTGATCTTGTTTCTAGAACGATTATCGAGTCAGCAGTAGGTGAATAACAATGCCTCGAGCTCGACGTGTGTACGATATAACAGGCACATCATGGATTCGAGCCTTCAGAGAGCTGTGTCAAATCAGATTACCATTCTGAGTATCAATGAATTAGCGGCCTCTTTGTACTGTACATCGTTGCCATTCTGCTGATGCTGGTCTCAGGGTGAAGGCATTGAGTGCGAGTGTGAAGGGATGGAGTGGTAGACCTTGGTTGTTGAGGAAAGCAGACCAAGGCGGCAGCCTCTGCAGAAATCTTGGTAATTGGCCAAAGTGGTGCTCCCACCCCGAGCGAGACGGGTTGCGCTTGGCGTCACGATAATTTGTCTCCATCACGCTTCGCGAATAAGCTGGGTCTGAGGTCGTTCCTTCCAGTCATCCAATGGAAGGTATCTTTGTTGCGTTGCGAGCACCACACTTGGCCATTCACTTATGTATCAGTTGGCTTTCTCGGACAATCGCCCACTATGGCGGCGCAGGGGGCACAGCGATATGACACCAAGTTGAGTCATTCGTGTTAAGCGTATATGTACAGGTTCTCAAGATTACTTTCAATTTTTAACGACTAGACGAGGCCATGAGCGATGTGCTTCGAACGAAAGTGGAAGCAGGGTGTAATCTTGGGCTGGCATCCCTAGCCTGTCCAGCATCCAGGCCACGTTGAAGGAGAGGACATCTCTTGCCGCCTCACCAAGTTGAGCATTACTTGTTCACGAAGATTCGGCCATGCTATACAAAGCAGCTAGAGGGCAAGTTTTGCTGGCTACAGACATACTAGCATGTTGGACAGCTTCGAACTATTATTGTAAGACTTCGGTTACTAGCGACTTGGCTAATTGCGGCTGCATATGCTGGGGCGAATTGGGGCTGGGAACTAATTAGCACTCAGCCTGATCCACCGATTTTTGAATCTCTCAAGATCTTGCAGCCTTTCCCCCATGAACAGCATCTTTTTCCTGTCGACAATATTATCTTGACCGTCAGGACTCGTTGGACTACTTCAGGGTGACCCCGATCATGAGGCCGACCAAGGGTTCCGACACGTTTGAGCTTCTCTTATCTGGAGATACCGCCATCCTAGAGGGGACTCAGACCAATGGAGGGACGATACACAAGTATATCACCTCATTGAGACGCTGGTTCAGACACGTAGTCCTGCTGTCTGGGTCGCAGTACACAGAATTGAATCAGTCAGAACAGCCTGCAAGAAGCAGTATCCTTCGAGGTTGGCGATTCGGAGCCCTCATATCGTGTCTTCTGGTCTGCCTCAGCCTGATCTGTAATATTGCCTTCACTGTCTATATCATACAAAGATTTCCACCAGGACCGAATGGAGTCGGCAATATTGGGCTTGAAAGCTGTGCAGACGTTCTCTCCACCACAACCAAGCTCCATATCGCCATTAATGCTTTGGCTACGATTTTGGTAGCTGCAAGCAACTACAACATGCAGTGCATGACGGCACCTTCACGTCACGATGTAGACGTCGCACATCAACAAGAACGACGGCTTGATATTGGGATACAATCTGTACACAACCTGCGCTACATCCCTAAGTGGCGAGTTGTTCTATGGTTAGCCCTTCTACTCAGTACTTTGCCTCTTCACCTGCTCTGGAATTCAGCTGTGTTCTCACTAACGACAAGCAATCGCTATGCGGTTTTGGTGGTCAACAACGATTTTTTGACTGGGGGAAACACTACTGCTGGGCTCGATTGCACAACCATTGACAAATACAAATCTCATGAGCTGGATACCTATGCGACGTGTTGGCTCTTGAATGCTGCTAAAGCAGGCTCTGACCTGGAAACGTTGTCTCCAGAACAGTGTATGCGACGCTACATGGCTAGACTTGATGGTGACTATTCCAACCTGATTGCAGTTGCTAGAGATACTTACGAGGATCAATCTGTTGCCTTCAAGCCTGCAAATGCCTCATTGCCTGTACTCGCTTATTTTGAGGCGATCTCATACTCATCCACTTTGCAATCGTCCTGTCTAGAATTAAAGGACAGCGAGTCTTGTCAGACTTACGCCGCTGGGAACAGTTCCACGTCGTGGAGACCACACGATATTGCTAGCACTTCTGACTGGGTATGCGAGCCAGATCATCTCTATGAGAAGGGCTGCTCAACCGCTTCGGCTGTGCAAAATGCCTCTCAATGGACGATCCTGCCTGAACGATACGTTATTGACCACTGTTTGTCCAGTTCAAGCGAAGTGTCGTGCAAGCTCCAATACAGTCAATTCATACTCTACGTTGTCATTGCTTGTAACGCTGTCAAATTTCTCGCAATTGTTGTCCATTTACTCCTTAGTCGCGAAGAAAGGTTAGTTACAATAGGAGATGCCTTAGCATCATTCCTGAAGCGACCCGACCCCTACACGAAAGGCAAGTGTCTCTACACCACGAACACGTCACACTCCGATCGGTATGGATCGCAACTGCATTGGGAGGGTATAGATGAAGGACACCAGCCTCTTCCATGGGAGCGAGGTCCCCTCTATATTGAACGTTGGCACCAAGGGGCATCTTGGGTACAGGTGTTTCTTGGCATGCTGCTGTAAGGAGTCGTTGTAATGAGCAATAGGAGCAGGCTAACTAACATCAAACAGGTGGCTTCTTTGCTTATTCGTCAGTATACACTATCTGGTTTTGGGTTTGCAAAAAACCGGCACACAAAATATCCTTCGAGGAGGATTTGGAACAATGAAACTAGGAGCCTTAGTCAGTACTTCCGCTGCTGAAGGAGGCTCGGTGAGATCGATTCTCTCAACGTCCCTTCTTGTGAACTTGCCTCAGGTGCTCTTCTCGAGTCTATACTTCATGTACAACTCAATCTACACCTGCATGGCATCGGCGTATGAATGGAGCCTGTTCGCCAGAGTCAGGAAAGGCCTCCGAGTAACAGATCGAGGCGGCCATCAACGCTCGTCATACTGGTTGCAACTGCCGTGGAAGTTCTCACTACCGCTTTTGATAACATCTGCAGCTCTACACTGGTTGATCTCGCAGTCTGCTTTCCTCGTCAACCTAACGGTATTCACGCCTGCTCGTGTTCCCATGACAGAGCCCGACAAATACATTCAGTCAGCGAGCTCGTCAGGCACCATCACCGCTATAGGATACAGTCCATTGGCCATGATGTGTGGCGTTTGCATCATCGCCGTCATGCTGATCGCACTGGTTACAGTGATGCAAATTCCAATGAAGCCTGGCATGCCTCTTGTGGGCAGCAACAGCTTTGCGATCAGTGCGGCGTGTCATCCGCCCGCGGACGATCACGATGTAGCGAGGAAGCGGGTCATGTGGGGCGCTACTCGCCATCAGCAGGAAGACATGCCTGGACACTGTTGCTTTACAAGTTTTTCAGTTGAGCCACCGAGACTTGGAGACTATTATGCTGGTGAGAGCTAGCTTTTGGGGATGCGTGTTTGAAAATACCGATTCTCTGAATGAAGAAAAAACAACAATCATTGTCAAGGTATTTCGACTTTCACTTCGTGACCTTCTCTGTGGCCCTGCTAATATATGCATTGTCGCTAGAACTATACTGCACGAGCAGCGCATCAGTTCACGTTTGACATGCTGTAGATGTTTAGAGTGTACCTCGACCTCCACCTCTATGTCTATGTCTATAATTCGCATTCCAGACATCTCTCCACGTCACCATCACTGCCTCACTCAAGGAATGACACCATTCCACGGCATTTTAGGACCATTGGGATGTCGCTTATAGGCAAGCTCGAGCAACTTCTGTCGAGCCTCTTTAGGGCCGAAGCCGTGTCCTTTAATATACGCCATCAGACCGGCGATAAGAGCAGAAGCTAAAAACAGGTCAGTACTGGTGGAATCAGTCCGTGAGTAAAACTTACCATGAGAAGTTCCGTGCTGAATAACGTCCTCGTTGTTGCCCTCGCCTGTTCGTGCTGCACACTGGAACCCTGTATCTTTGCCGTTGGCGTCTCGCTTGCGATCATCGCCTGGACCATGTATCGTCACCCAGTCGTCACGGTATTCTGGATCGAAGATGTGACTTCCATCGTTGATGTCGGCGTCGCCAACCGTGATCAAGTCAGGCAGATAGGGGTCATTTCCTGGTTTGCCCCAGATACATGGTGGTCCTTCGCAGACTTCGTCTCCGTTCGGAACGCCTGTAATAACTGCGACGCCTTTCTTCAGGAGGGCCTCGGTAACCTTGAAGAATGCGTCCTGGAATGCTTCCCAGTGAACATCACCATCTCCTCCACCGCCCCAGGCGAACGGAAGCAGAACGACCGCTTTGTCATTGTATTTCCTCGAGACGACCTCGTCGTAAATTTGGGCCATACCATCGAGGCTGATTTCGAGATCTAGGGCCTCCAGGAAGGTGTCCGTGAAGACATTCGTCTGTACCGCTGTAATATCGGCTCTCTTCGCAACTCCATTGATTGCACCAGCAGCAAGATCTGCCGTGCAAGATCCATGACCGTCAACGGGTCCTCTACCAGCCAAGTCTTCTTTCCTATGCGCAGAGAAGGGTTCGGCGAAGATCCAACCGATTTCGCGGCCGTTGGGTTCGTCGGAACTCTTCCAGGCCTGTCCAAGCATTAGCTAGATAACAGCAAAACTGCATTTGTGTACTGACATCCGAGTCGGGGTTGATGCCGCCGTCCACAAAGTAGATTCGAACACCTTTGCCAGCAGTCTCGTCGTACACAAACTGAGTGGCGCTATCCAAATCGTTGTGCGCACTCTCTGGCAGGGAGAGGAACTTGAGCTGTCTTGGTGCATCATCCTGTTTCGTAAATCCTCTCCTCCTTAATCGAGTCGATTTCTTGGTTGGATTATTGGCTCCATAACGCTTTCGTGGTGGTTGAGAACCGTCCTTGTTCTCTTCAACGTCATAGACGTGTCTGATCTGGTACATGCTGTCAGCCTGTTAAGCTTCTTGTTGGCATATTCCGCACTTACCATCTTGAAGGATTTGTACTTGCTGTTCACGAGGTCAACTTCCATACGTGAAGTGACATACCAAGTATAGCCTGCGTTACCGAGTTTCTGGGAGATACAGGAGGTGGTCATCTCACCATCTTGACCTATCATGCGAGCCAGTTCGGTGTTCGATTTTGGGTGACCCTCAGGAATCCCAAGACCTAAGAGGGAATTGTCGGGATAGGTTGTCCAGAAAGTGAAACAGTGCTTCTCACAAGAAATGGAAGAGAACAAGTAGAGAAGAGCAAGTAGAAGGATCTTCAGCTTCGTGTCCGCCATCTTGAAGTCTATCGCTATATGCAGGTCTAGCGGATAGAAAGGTGGTGTGGTAGTACGGTAGAAGATTATTTCCAGGGGTGGATTTGAACAACTAGAGTAGAGGTTCCAGCTCGAACTTTCACTTCGGAAGGACACATTTTGTTTGATCTTAAAGTTGTCGACCCCTCCTCCGTTTTGTCTTCATACGTGGAACAATAGCAAACAATCTGAATCTTTGCGATCGGGTTCGTCAACGTCGACTCGATATTGGCAACGTGAACTCTGGTGCTGTGTTACACGTCCAACAGGTGATAATCCTCGAGAGTTGCATAAGGCTAGCTTCAACACACCCTGGCGGTTTCGAGGACATTGTTTGAAGCATAACTTTGTGTACTAAGTGACATTGTAGAAGCTGGTGAAGTGCTTTTCATAGCGCACACCGAAATATTGAGTGAACTCAGATGTTTGATTCGATCTTCAGCAGAAGTGTTGCCAACCACTATATTTGTGTGGTGTTCCTACACTGTCAAAAACTTCAAGGTGCACCATGTGCTCCTACTGACTGTCTAACGAAGACGAGTCCTGCAGAATCTGATATAGCTTCTAGCTCGCAGCGAGAGTACCGTCACTGACACTTGGCCTCGAAGTACCAACACTGATACCCTTGGCACCGAATGTGGGGACCGTTGCGGGTGAGGTTCGACCTGAGCCTGTGCTCCCCGCCTTGTCGTCTTCATCTAACAATCTACTCCGTCTCTTGCCTATGGTACGTAATTCCTCTGTGATGATATTATCTACTGGCGTATTAGACGCGCGTCTCAATCTTGTGGCAGCACTTTCACGTCCACTATCGTCACCATTAGCGATGTCATTCAGGGCTTGCTTCCTCTGCTGAGCGACCCAAGTGGCGGTCGGCGAGGCTGGTATTGCGGACGTTGCAGGTGTTGTTGCTGGAGTCTTGGGTCGGGATGCATCCTCGTTGGTTCCCTCTATCTTATGAGTATTGTTGACCTGGTAAGGTAGCTCTCTTTGCTGTTGCGCATAACTCTTCGTTCCAGGTACTGGTCTCGTGATATTGTCTTGGTTTGTGTCGTAGTCGGAGAACGATCCTCCTTCATCTTCAGACCAGGTGCTAGCGCTGCCTTGTTTTCGATGCAGGTAAGATGTGTCTCCAATCTTAGCAGCAAGATAACGACTCGTGCCATTGACACTAGCGTTCAAGTTGTCATTAGTGTACCTAAGAGCCTCAAAAACGTGTGGAAAGACCAGCTTATCTACGTCTTGTGCCCACAGGAAGTCTAGATGCTCATAATGGGAGATCTCGCTAGCAATAGTATGACGGGGAAGCTCTCTAAGCATAACCCGGATATCGACCAGCGAGTCACTACCACCATAGACAAGCACAATTGGCGTTTTGATGTTTCGAGTTGGGAATTTCGCAGGCTTGTAGTATCGGTTTGTCGCACTGATTTTGAATTTGCCGGAATAGTCGTCGTCATACATTTGAAACGATTTGTTGCGAATGATCTGAAACCAATGCACGACAGACTTTGTGCTGGTGAAGCTATACAGATGAGGATAAGCAGCAAGTTTCTGGTGAGTAGACATGTTCTTGCTGTTCCAACCGAAGAGAAAGCTAAGAGATAGGTCGATAAGTCTGACAAAAATTGGTGGATAGAGGATAGACTGCCACATCGTGGCTGAAGATAAAATGCTCTTCCTGCCGAATGCCAGAAACAGGAGATCAGGGCTTGTCTTGACCAGAGCGTCCACAATGCCATTGCTCAAGCCAGCAGGCGACATAGCTGGAGCCAGAGCAATGAACAGGTTGACCTTTTCGTTTAATTCAGGATGAATTGCTAAAGTCGCGAAAGCCTGAGCTGTGCCTTGACTGAAACCAACGTAGGACAGGGACTGCTGGGATGTGGCCTGAAGGATGTAATTGATCGTATCGGGGATATCGTGGAAAGCAAAGTCGTCTATCGAGAAATTCCAAAACCTGATAGAGGAAGGGGAGTGCTTCGTAGACTTTTTGCTGTATTTATTGCCTCGATTGTTCCCAAGCCATACATCATAACCCTGACTCGCGAGAGCAAAGGGCAGACATCTTTCTTCTTCCGTCATGCAGACCCAGACCTCGCTGTTCATCAGCAGACCGTGATGCAGATAGACGATTGGCTTGCGGACAGAGTCCGTACCAGCATTGACTCGAACACCCGCCTGATCCTCTCCTTTCCTGAAGGGTAGTCTGTGCACTCCCAGTAGATAGCCATCTTTGGTCTGTACGATATGCTCCTCAGCGTAGTAGCCCCACAATGCGCATAGCTCGGTGAAATCTGAGCACGTTGCGATCGACGATGAGATGGTCTTCTTCTTCGAACGAGCCCGTTTCGACGTGGGCGAGGACAGGCGATTGAACAAAGCTCGTGAGGTATTGTAACAAAAACGAATGATAGGTGAAGGCAATAGCAAGGTGATAGCTCGTAAGACAACTTCGCATGCCACCAGAACGAGTGAGCCCACGAGCGCTAGATACTCGTGCCAAAAGAGCCGGCCAAGGAACGGAACTCGTTCCATGTTTCAATATGTTGTCGACTAAAGGAAACTGCACAAATTATGTAGAATGAGACGCGAATTCAGAGCCAGCTGCCATACTCTCTGCTTCCCGAGTATGGCACTGTTGCTGATAACAATAATTTCAGCTGGGTCACGACTGCGCTGGCTGGAAATCCATGCCGGGCACGGAGTACCGATTGTAAGTGAGTCGAGCACAAAGAAACAACGTCATGCAAGGGCAGAGCAAGCATGTGAAAACAGGAAGCTGTCCCGTGCTTCTCCCTGAAAAGGAATGGTCAATCAAGGCCTTAAGGCATAAACTAGAGATATTCTCTTTTTTTCTGCGAGGCACATCAATCATCTTTTCTCCTTCCATATGAACAACGCAAAACACAACGTTCCTGTAAAAGCGTTCCTATGAGGATTGCCATCTCATGGCGCCCATGAAATACGGAAATCGTCTTATGGAATGGAGATGGATAAAGGACGATCTTGGGTGCAGTGTCAGTCAACCTTCAGGTTGATGGCTGAGAGTGCAATGATTGACCTTACAAATTATACAGAACCAAGACCAGTAGGCGTCGTCAGGCATGCGGAAATCAGTAGTAGATGGAGACGTGTAGCCAGTTCCCATGCAGCGTGGTTGCAAAAAGAAAGCTCGCCGGCAGTTGTAGTCAATTTTATTCACGACTCAGGGTTCGCAAAACTTCGGAAATTTCATACATCAAGAACAGTTGAGCAGGATTGAAATTGAGTTGTTTTGTGATTGCACAACAAAACATGAAATTGACTGTTCGACACCCGCCAGACGAGTGTCAAATAAATTTGCCCACGGCTTCTAACTATGCTAGCATGCTTCCATCACAAGTCAACCTCCGCTGCTTTGTTCCTGAGCAGCTTTGTCTCTGTCTTTCGTTGGAGTTACAACCGCTACTGCTGTCGCTGTACTGCTGGCCCTCCTCAGCTTGTCGCCACCGCCGGCCTGTTCTCTGCGCGCCTTCGCGCCTGCCTTGAGCCCTTCCCATTTTTCTCGGTACTTCGCTAGAGTCTCCTTGAGTTTCACGTTTTCGTCCTCCCTCTTAGAGAGTCGTCTGTCGTTCTTCCTCAAGGCCTCCTCGAGCTCCTCAATTCGTTGCTGCGCCATACGCACGCCTGCGTCATTCGAGCGACCACTCGACACAGGTAACATCTTTCCGCGCGAGTTCTCGGGTGTGGTAATCGGGCTGAGCTGCAATGAGTGTCTTGATTGTGCAAGACGCATGTCCTGAGATGCAAGCTCGAAACTGTGCAGGCGCTTTCCGACATCATTCAACGTCTTCCGTAGGACTTGGTTTTGCAGCACTATTTCTTCTGCTGTCTGACCATTTGGCAGGATCTGACTCTGCCACTTGTCTGCGTTACTCAGCGACCTGCCAGCCATCTTCTGCGTTGCTTGCAACAACGAACCTGATGGATGAGACAGTATCTGAGACGAAGCATCTACGAAGTCGTCGTTCGAGGCATTTGACAGAACACGACCGTGGTGCCGATTACGAGCCAGTTCGCGATCGACGTAGTTTGCGGCAGTTATATCAGCGTATGACATGGTCCCGCCAGAAGTCGGCACTAGAAGGAACGATTCGTGCGGTCTAGAGTAGCCTGAGTCGTTGTTGTCACGTACGGCTCGTAATGCCGCATTTGAAATTAGTTGAGAGTAATCCAGTGCAGCAGGTGAAGGATCGGATTTGGGTAAGACTTTCGTAGACGGTCGACGGGAGGTCGATGTTGTGCCGTCTTCTTTCTGGTATGCCGGTGGCTGCGATAGTGGCAAGCTGGCAAAGGCCAGTGGAGCAGTCAAGGTCGAGATGACACCCTCAAACTTGTTGTAGAACTGCTGGAAGGGAGAGCTTGCATTCGATGAGGCTGTATCGGCCTGGGGTACAACACTTGCAGGTGGTGCCCACGAAGGACGGGTCACCTGTTGATCCCCAGCAGGGCCTAGCACCTTTCTTCCCTGGGGTGAGTCCTGGGTAAATGCGCCATCAGCATACTCGTTCGATACAAGCGGCAAGGCTGGAATGTTTCTCTTCTGTCTAACGCTGGGAATGCCTCTCTTGGTTGCTAAGTTGCTGGCAATTGAGCTAGAAAGATCTCGAGCTGTATTTCGAGCGACATGTGGGAGGCGTGGTGGCTGCGGAGAGTCGTCTGTTCTATCGGCCTCTGTAGCAGTCTGTTTCTTGTCAACTTCAGTGTGACGCGAAGGTTTGGCGTGGGAGTCCTTGAGGATCAGAGCCAGCTGCTTGTGATGCTGCTCGAGTAGATGTAAGACTCGAAGGGCTTCCTGGTCGGTCGTGCTTGCTGCCGCGGTAGCGAACTCAGCAGCAGCCAAATCATGTTCTTCGCTAGCAGCAACAGGATTTGCTCTTTTAGTTTCCTGCGCAGCGTTTCGTGCGTGTGTATATGCCTATACGTGCTGCTGTTAGTGCTTAATACCTGGTCAATCGTGGTCTACTCACCAAAGTCAAGGGTGCGCTTTCCATCTCGGTCGCTGTGTCCAAGTGTCCAGGGTTGGCGATTTCATGCTGCTCTTTGAGAACCAGATTTGAGCCGTGTTACCAGTCAAAAGGCGTCGTAGCAATCTATTGTGACAATGTCCAGTTTCACCATGAGTAATCAGATCAACTCGTGGTCACTGACGTACCACGCGCAAGGCAATGGTTTTAGGCTGCGTAGACCCACCAGATGGCGGCTAAAGGCATCGCCCGAAGCAGGCTCAGCTAGCCTATTTGAGCCCGGAGCTGAGAAAGTTGGACAAGTCGGCTGGCGGAGTGGCAGGGATGCTTGCAGCACTGCTGCGTAACCCTAGGGTATGTACAGTAACAATAGTAGACGCAGGGCATAGCAATCTAGCAATTGATTCTGGTTTCTATTCTCTGCTCAACTGCAGCACAGACTGTGTCTCGTACCCTCGATCTACACTTGTCATATCCATCGTACTTGCATCACGTCGTATCCTGCATTTATACAATCACTACTGGCAAGCCAAGCGCCGCACCGCCTTTCTCTATTAGCCAACAGTTCCAATGTCCTTCTATTGAGTATAAACTGACTGAGGCGTGCCACGTGCTCAGCAAGCTGTCGCGTGAGCAACATCACCATAGCATCGAGCTTGACCTGCCTACATGGCGACCAGCTCTGCACAGAGCCTGCCCTTATCGCCGCCTCCACCCTCCCCTCCACGAAAACGATTGAGCAAAGTGCTTACGGGCGGCCGTCGACGCTCGTCAGACGTTCAGAGTGAAAACGGTACAACTAGCCTCCACGGTTCGATTGAGTCGCTAGGTCTTGCCAAACCCCCCTCGGTTCAAAGTCGACGCAGCCCGAGCCGCGATGGAAGCACGAGATCCAGCACCAGTGGTGGTGTGAAAAAGCTGGTGCCTGGGCATGCTAAGCGAGAACGCAAAAGGATCAGAGAGGAAGAACTACAACGAATCGCTGACGAGGAGGTTGCTAGAGGCCGTCAACCCGCTCCGACCCCCGACTCACAAGCTCCTGGTGTAAGCCCAGTTGCGAGACCATCCACTTTGAATCGCAGCCGCAGCAGTCTCGTCACAGTCGACTCAGATATCGAGTCTCGACCCTCTCTTATTAGTCATGACTCGCACGCTGGCTATCTGACAACTTCATCCCCACTCATCATGACCACTACAGTTGGCAGTAATGAGGAACATTCCTCCCGCAACCCGTCTCCAGAACAATTTCCTTCAATCGCTGAATCTCACCCAACACCCATAAGTGTTCCGACTTCGCCAAAATCACCCCCACGCGTTGAAGTTCCCTCATTACCCAAATTTGCAAATCTGACAGACAAGGCAAACACGCTAAAGCCAGGTTTCGATTCCAGTCAACTAAGAGGCAAGTCTCCTGCAAGGAGATTTAGGGACGTTTTCGCAAAGACTGGCAAGAGTCCGAGAGTCAGTCCGGAGCGTCGAGATATAGACCTGGCCACGACTGTGCCTGCTCATGACGGCGCAGACTTAGACAGGAGCAGTACGGGTTTTGGAGAAAGACGACTTTCGAATGATCCAGAGGCTCGAGCCCCTTCTCCTCTAAGAGCACAAACCCTCGTCGCTGCGCCTGTATCCAGACCTACTGTGCCACCACTACAAGTTGACACTCCTCAACCTAGGACACCACCTGGCTCTATTTTCCACAATCCGACCACAACAATAACGCCTCCCACACCAACCGATCCCGAGAACAGAAAGACCCTGCACACTTCACCCAAACCTGATTACGCTGGGGGATCGTGGCCAGAGCAGAACACGACTGCCGTGCAGAGCAATGGCCACAGACGCGTACGCTCACATTCAGGTGCCATGCACCAGAAGAGCAAGCTCTCGACTTCGACTATCCCTCCTCTCACCCCCACCATCGAAGAGGTCAAAACACCTACCTTGTCTTCTGGAACATCAGGCTCTCGGAATGTCAGTTCTGGCAACGGCTTCTTCTCGTCCTGGGTTTCAGCTGCTCAAAATGCAGCAACGTCAATTACTAACTTGACCAATCAAAACCGAAGCCGTGCAGGCACTACCTCGAGTGATTCCAGTAAAACAAAACCTACAGACACTCCACCTAAAGAAAAGGAAGTAGCCGCTCCCAACTTGGAAAGGCTGCCTCAAGAATTGAAAAAAGAGCTTGCCGTAGATACTTTAGGATCCGGTGACCTCAACCTCAGTCATCTTGGCATCGAAGAGAAAGTCGATAAGAGAGCTCCATCCCCATCCCGATCGGAACATGCTGCGAGTGTGAAGGATGATATGGCTGCGAGAATGGAAGACCTCCTAGCCAAGCGGGCTGTGTCACAGGCATATGAAAAACCCAGCAAGTCAGGAGAAGCGACTCCAATCGCCGAAATCTCTGACCCTGTCGCTTCCGTCAGGCCCGCTTCCACATTTGACTCTGCGACAGGTGCACTCACCCCGCCAAACGGTAGTATCTTCGAGGGTGAAACGAATGGAGTCAAACGCACTAATAGTGTACGCAGCAAGCTCCATGATCATAGGAGTAGGGGTTCGTCAGTGACTACCGCCCAGTCAACAGCGGGTGGTATGATGGGCGCAAGCACCACGACATTAACCAACGCAACCGCAGCTTCAAAACTGTCCGGCTTTGCAATTGCTCCAAAGCCAAGAAACCGTGCTTTTCATCAGCAGTTTCGCAGCGTCCCAGAGGATGACTTTCTCATTGAGGACTACAGTTGCGCTTTGCAAAAAGAAATCCTGCTAGCTGGCAGGATCTATATTTCCGAAGGTCACATATGCTTCTCAAGCAATATTCTAGGTTGGGTCACTACCTTGATTATCTCATTTGAAGAAGTAGTTAGCATTGAAAAAGAGAACACAGCCATTGTCATTCCAAATGCCATCGCTGTACAGACACTCCATGCTCGCCACACATTTCGGAGTCTGCTCAGCAGGGAGGCCACCTACGACCTCATGATAGGAATATGGCGTGTCAGCCATCCCGACAGCTTCGAGAAGAGCATGAACGGTCAGAAACTAGCCGCAGAGATGGCCAGTGCTGAGAATGCCGCAATCAACGACGAAGCAGGTGACGCACCAGCAAGCGGCGATTCCACTGAAGAGACGGACTCAGAGGACGACGACGATGACCAAAGCGTTGGCGATACCGATAGCCTAGGTGAACAGGAGTATCAAGAGGCTAAGAGCCTGAGTCGAAAGCCCTCTGGTGGTAAAGACATAGGTTCTGGGCCAATCATGGCAGCATCTGTTGCTCCCGCAAGTGGTGATGCAACTAGTTCTGTTGCACCGATCGTCGCAACAGCGGACAGCGTTCCGGATTTTCCAGGGCCAGCCACCCATGCACCCACAGAATGTGCTGACACTGCCACTCATTACGACAAGATTATCAAGGATGAAGTAATCCAGGCACCACTAGGCAGGATATACACTCTACTATATGGTACCCAATCGACCACTTTCATGAGAAAATTCCTGGTTGATGGTGTCAGCAAAGCACAGGATCTTCAGATGGAGGACGACAAAAAGGGCCTGGACAACGAGAACAAATCAAGAAAGTATCAATACGTCAAGCCACTTGGAGGTAGTATTGGCCCGAAGCAGACAACCTGTATCACAACGGAAGTGCTTGATATGTTCGACCTTGAGAAGGCGGTTAGTGTTTCATGCACGACCGCAACACCCGATGTGCCAAGCGGCAGTGCCTTCAGCACGAAAACCAAGTATTGTCTTACCTGGGCTCCAGGCAACGCCACAAGATTTCAGATGAACATGACGATCGAATGGACGGCAAAGTCCTGGCTCAAAAATCCAATTGAAAAGGGCGCGCTTGATGGACAACAACAGTATGGTGACGACCTGATCAAGACCATCAAAGCCGCGCTTGGCCGATCGAGAGCAACGACAGCTGGCAGTAAAGTGCTGAAGAACGGTAAGAAGAAACGCAGAAGCTCCAAGAGAGACAAGAGCGAGTCGGCTCAAGCAGAGAGCAAAAAGGACGAAAATTGGGGTCCGATTGAATTTCTCAGGCCAATGCTCAACCCTATTGTCGCACCCGTAAAACCATTTGTGCAAACGAATATTGTGGTGGCCGTCCTTACAATGATGGTGTTGTGGATGTGGTTCCGAGGAACTAGCTCAAGGTCTTCTCTAGCTCTCCTAGGAAAGGCTGAACGTGGTTTGTACTATGACGACCTTTGGCGTCGCGAAGAAAACGAGTTGTGGGGCTGGTTAGAAGACCGTGCTAGTATTGATGGCATGGTGCTTCGCGAGTCGTTGCAAAGCAATGACGCACAGAAGAAAGATAACAAGCAGAAGTTCCAAAAGCGGCAGAAATTGTTGAAGAGCAGGAACATGCAGACTCGGCTAAGGGAGGAGAAGATGACTGTCAAAGAGATGGAAGAAGCCGTTCGAGTGACCCAAGAAAGACTCGAGTCACTGCAGCGAAATCTGGAGCGACACAAGAATGATGGGCATTAAACCTATGTGAAAGGATTGCGAGGACCATGTCTCATTTTGTCGTTTTCTAAGCGGACGAGTCATGTCTTGTCCTGCGTTTGACGATACTTTACCAATTAGCGTTGCAGTTTTCGTGTCTGAGCTGAAACAGTATCGATAGGCAGTGACCTGCGAACCACTCACAACAGAATGCAATGCCATGTGGAAATCAGTATCTGCCACAAAACGAAATCAGTAGCATGTTCGCGTTGTACGATACAGATGTACTTGGTGGCAGGGATTGTTCTCCGGGCGCGATCGGGCCATGAGGGACACTAAAAAATCCCCCGAGCCTGAAAGTTGATTAAGTGGGTCGGCCATGTTGCCAGCAGGAGCTTGGCTGCGCGACTTCTCAAATTGTTTGTTTGAATTGGCTTCTCTAGTTCGAATCATGCTCTCTGCTAATCTCCCAGAAGTGTTGATCTTCACAATACCTGCTCAATAGGAGTGACCTCTACTTTTCTGGCGTGTTCATGCTGAAGGAGGGGTACGAGAATGATTGACGTGGTAAACGTTGTTCCGAAGATAAGATATCATGGTTTCTAGAGGAATTCACGGATAAGGAATCTGCAGCTACTCCTGCAAGGCATGCATTTCAGCAAGGCAGCTGCACAGATCTGGAGCTACACGAATGTCCTAAGCATTGGCGAGAATGGGCTGTCCAGTCTTACCTCTTTTCGATAAGCTTGCCGCCAATCAATCTCCTTCGTGGCAGGAAATCTCCCCAAAGTCTATTTCAGTCGACCAATTTGAGTTCGTGGCGTCGACACTTGGTTAACTTCGTCCCAGAACACACCTCGAGGCTGAACCTGAACTTGTCACAGCTCGGTAGGTCGGCAGGGTCAGTCAAAGATTCTCGTTGTGTTCTGACCATACAACACGCGCCAGATGGCACTAATGAGCCGCAACTCGTCTTCTCTTCTGAACTCACCCCACAACCAGCACAAACGGGGGTTCCAATATCCCTGCTAGGTCTCTATGCAACTGCCAGCATGTGAGCATGTCATGGGTATCCGACGATCCCAACAGTGGGCTGGACTTCATCACGGTCTTGCGATGCTGGACCCCAATTTTCTGATGCTGCTGTCGAGCATTTTCCATGTACCGTACATCTAGTCTCTCGTTTCATGTCTCTTATCGTGACTGCGTCAATAAGACCAGCAATCAGTCCTTTCCTCCCGCAAACGTGCAGCTTCATGGCTGGACCTTGGTAACGCAACGCACCTACCTACAGAAGGACAGACACAGACGGGTTTGCCAAAATGCGCTTCAACCATGTGACAGTTTGTCTGAGCTATCTGTTGGGATCGACTCTGGCCAATGTGGTATTCAGAAACGAGCATCTTGCTATACGCCAGGACAGCACCGACTCGCTGCTTCCGACTCTCTCAGGCTCGGCTTCTGTCTCAACCACGCTGCTCGCCAACCCACAAAACCCATCATCAAGCGCAAGCGAGAGTACCATCCGCTCCTCAAGGACATCCGAAGCTACCACTGATACCACGGCCAGTGCAAGAGACTCGGTCGCAACAACACAAACACCATCACCGACGGTCTCGGATGCAATCGCTTCATCTACAAGTATCATACCTACCACTACTGCCACACCTTCAACAAATGGCACTTCCGCCCAAGATGACTCAGCTCAAGCACTTCCACTGCCTCCTCACATTACCCCAGCTTTGTCAATCGCAGGCGTTTTCCTTGTACTCACTGGTGTTGTCTACGGAGTCATTGGGGTCAAAAACCAATGGATACATGTCTTCCTATCAACAGCTTATCTGGCCAGTGTAGCAGTCGTGGTTCTGATCATTTATGTGGTTAATCCTCCAATCAACAATGCACTTCAAGGCGCCTACTTCGTCGGAGTTTTTATGTCTGGATTGATTTTCGGTGGCGGAGCACTTGTTTTCAAGGAGATGACCGAAGGTCTTGGGTGTCTGCTTGGAGGCTTCTGTCTGAGCATGTGGTTCTTGACTCTCAAGGCTGGTGGCCTCGTCACAAGCACGAGCGGTAAAGCAATTTTCATCGCAGTCTTCTGCCTTGTTTGCTGGTCAACGTCGTTCAGTCATTACACTCGACCTTATGGTCTGATATTTTCTACTTCATTTGCCGGCGCGACTGCACTGGTATTAGGTATCGATTGCTTTTCAAAAGGTGGTTTGAAGGAATTCTGGGTCTACCTATGGGATCTGAATGATGACTTGTTTCCCTTGGACACCAATACATACCCGGTCACCCGCGCCATACGGGTCGAGATTGCCATCATCGTCATTGCGACCATCTTCGGTGTCATCTCGCAAATCAGGCTCTGGAAAGTCGTTCAGACTCGACAGAAAGCACGTGAAGCTGCCGTAGTGGAAGACGAAAGACGTCGAAATGCTGTTGAGGAGGCTCTGGGTCGTCATCTAGAGCGACAGAATGATCGTGACAGAAGTGAATGGGAAAGACGTTATGATGATCGACGGGATATAGGAAATGGTACAACTACATGGTCTGAAGCTCACGGAGATGAGAAGGCTTTTGCGAGTTCTTCTATAACCGAGATTGGGTCGAACGAACACCTGGGGTCAAAAGAAAGTTTAGAAATGACCTCAATGGCAGCAAATCCTAACAAGCAGCTATACAGCTCCAAAAGTAAGAGGCAGAGTAACATTCCAGTCCACCCTATCCAGGAAGTGGAGGAAGAAGATCGTGGCTTGGAAAAGAGAGATCACAAACACCGATCAGTCGTCGATGTGACAGGATCGGAAGGGCTCCTACCACGTCTTGATACAGAAGACTTCGGCTTCGGGCGTGACTCGCCAAAATCACCCAGGATAGAACAACACGAATTGACTAAGAACCCATCCAGGGAGAGCATGCTACAAGACGAGTCTATATTGTCACTGCGACCACAAAATTCTAAGCCAGCTTCCAACAAGACCGCACACAGACTGCAAGTTGGGGAAGCAGAGGCACGTCCTAAGAAGCGCAAATCGTTGGAACTTTTGAACGATCTGAGGAGACGCTCAATTCAATCGCTCCGGTCGAGAAGCCCGATGGACCACGATAAATCACTGCATGAACACCGCACGGAATCCAAAGAAGCACTAGTAAGACCCACAAGCATCGCAACACGCAGTCGTGCATCATCTGTGGCAGCAACATTAGATGAAGAAAACGAGAAGTTGGATCTGCAACCCCTCGAGTTCGATGAACTCGTGCGATACGGTAGTCGACCACCACAGATAGTTATCTCGCCTTCACAGAACTTTAGTTTTACCGAACAGTTGCAAGCCGGACTTCCATCTTCACCGTCTGCGCTGTCGGAGTCGTTCGAAGCTGATCCAGAAGCAATTGTCCGATTGCCTGATGTCAAAGTTCATGGGTTTGATTTAGATCTGTCAGGAAGGTCTGCAGGCGATACAAATCAGACCTCCATCAATGAGAATTTGACAAGAGATGCTTTACAGCGCGTGCCGAGCCAGACATCGAACGTCGTCATGTCGTACCGCACAAACGAATGGGCAAAGCATATCGCCACAGCCGATGCACCCATATATGAAGAGCCAGAATCAGCAGTTGTTCGTGACAACGAAGCAGCAATGCGCCTCGTGGCTACTACACCGATACAGAACTCGAGCATAGAGTCTTCCACGAAATTGGAGTCTCCTAAAACTGCTCCTGCTCCTCCCTTAGACTTGAAGGTAGATACCGACCTCCAGGCAGCAAAATCAATCACTTCCACACCAACGTCTGAGCACGAACTACTGACAACACCCCTCGCCCAACTACACAAAGATACTAGTCTCTCCAGGGTGGCATCGGATGCTTCTACTAGAAGTCCTCCTCGACGATCGTTTACTGACCCGGTACAACAAGCAGCCACAGAACAGCCACACCAGGCCAAACAGACTCGGAGGATATCAAATCCCCTACAAAGACAGGCTAGCGTCATTCAGCACAGCACTATCGATGAGAATGCTGTGACAGACTTTGTGCCCAAACTCTACGCCCCAAAACGGGCCTCACCAAACATGAACAATATAGGACCCTATCAACATTTCTACACATCGCAAAGCTCTTCGCAGATCGACCTGACACGTTCTGGCTCTAACGGGTCAAGCAAGCAGCAGTATCCATCCGCGTTCACACGCAGCCCCAGTGCGGCCCAAGGCAGTTTTGATAATCAAGGATATGCGGCACGAAGCAATTCTCCATACGATGGTCACCACCCAACAGCCCTACGTTCAGAAACACGTCTGACTGATTATGGCTCAAAATCTCATCAACCACTACAACGCAACAACACCAACGAATCACGACGGGAGAACATGCTGGCTGATTGGCGAATGCAGCTTGGACAAACACAAAATACACAAGGTTTTCCACAAACCATGGCTCCAAATCCATATAGCCAGCAGATGCTAGACTATCAGACAGAGAAAACACGCAAAGAGCAGCAAAAGCACCAGAGAGCCAGACAGGAGGCTGCTCTAGATCAAACTATGAGAACACAGGGAATGATCGATGCACACAAGGAAGTGCTGAAAAGAATGCAAAGTCAGGCCAACAAAAAATTGGCTGACAAGTGAGTAACAAGGAAAAAAGGAGTTGTGATGATCGCAACGAGAATTTCGGATTCTGGTTTGGACCTGAATATAACATAATGCTGGGAAGCAGGGCTGCTATGATTTACGAAAAGAGGAAACATAAATATCTGCTATTACGCAATGGCTATTGGATGCCGGAAAAGTACATGGTTTGGGCACAGGGAGGTCGACACATGGCACAGGGGTGTTTTTCTTTTCTTTTTCTTGCTGCAAGATATCCACAGGTCAAAAATCTAGGTATCTTTCTTTTGAATGAGTACATATTGCACGATACATCGACCTTCATGAGATCTGTGTGACCTTTACATCAGACTTCTTCTCACACCACTGCAGACGATCGAGTCATGCGTAGAGTTCAACTCTGTGAGAAAGGTCGTCATGTGCCACAACTGTACCCAATGCGGCTCGATACCAGCCCACATATAACTACCAAGTCACCTTAGCAGACTCGCTGCTGAGTATCAGAATCTTCCAAGCAGCCCGATCCGTACAATCCGCCTGTCTCTTCCTTCATTGACCCCCCTGCTGCGCATCCCACAACCTCCTAAACCAACTCGCCTGATCCGCCAACAACTCCTTCGGCCCACCACCCTCCACAACCCGTCCCCGATCCATCACCAAAAACCTATAGAACTCCACCACAGTCTGCAATCGATGCGCCACAGCAATGATCGTAAACCCCCGGAATTCCTCCCTGATGATCCGCTGCACGACCGCATCAGTCGCAGTATCGACGCTCGCGGTCGTTTCATCAAGGATCAGGGTGCGGGAATAAGCGCGATTAGCGATTGCGCGTGCGACGCAGAAGAATTGTCTTTGGCCATGGAAGAATTGCTTGTCTGGGTGGATTTGGGCATCGAGGCCGCCTGCGTTGTTGACGATGGGTTAGGAGGCCGACGCGATTTCGTCCCCAAGGATATTGAGGCGACACTGGATATCGAGGATTGGCCTGCACGAATCCACAAGGTCCGTGGCTTGGCAACGTCCATAGGCAGTGTTAGCAGAACGTAGGCACTGAAGAGGAAACTTGGACGTATGGTTCGATTGTGCTCAAAAAATGATAGTGCACAAAGTCCCTGCCACCATTACCAGCAACGCAGCCGCGGAAGTCGAAGCACGAGTCTGGGACGCGGGTTGCAGCGTCCAGATACGCAGATTGATCACTTGGACAATCGTGAAGATGATCAGCAATAAATGGAAATTAGATCAACTGATAGTTAGCCTCTGCACAGACTGCATCTCACGGACCAATCTGGTTGTCCTCAGTGGTGAAAATCCGACTTTGCGCAATGCGCGCCATAATTGGAAGATGCGAATGGGCGTCGCGAGTAACAGCAAGCTTAAAGGCAGGATTGACAAGATCGTGTCTTCGAAGAGGTGCGTGAAACCGAAGGTCAACGCCCCAAGTAGCTGGAGGAAGGGACCGAGTTCATTGTCGCCTACCTCTATTGCGTCTGAATGCCGCTGATACTATAGGAAGGCAAGACAATCAATCCTCTGACCGCTGTAGATTCCACACGTTGTAAGAAAGATAGTTGAGAAGACGTGACACGATCGAGGACAAGCATCTTGTGCCAAAACGACGAAGCACCGAGAACGCTAAAATCGTGCAGATCAAGAGGGAGGGGACTCGGTGATTGTCCATCGAAAGCTGGAAGCGATGAGAGCCATCAGTAGCATGAACAACCGAGCGAGAGACTGTGCCGATGATATGTGGTCACCATGTCGTAAGTCGGTCAATGTCGACGTGCAGACAACAATGATTTAGTGTGCTTAATCTTGCTCGAGGAATAGCTCAACCGAGTAATAGGTGGTGCTGACGAATGGGACATCATGATAAAGCGTGCTAATGCAACACAAAAGAACATCGTGATGCATGAAATCAGCCAAGCACGTTCCGGACGCAATAAGTGTAGGGATTGCAAGTGAGAATCACCTCCTTTCATTTTGTCCGGTACGTGCCAAGACGAAAGCCTAGTCGAGTAGTGCGGGGTGCGGGCTGGGGAAAACGCGTACTTTCGACTCTGGCACCGTAGATTTGCAAACGCGCAATACCAGGTTCACTCTTAATTTGCAGAGAGAGATATCGAAGTGTTAAGGCGGTTACATCAAAAGCTGTATAAGACATTATCAGGACTAGAAGCCAAGTGATCGTGTATCCGTTTCATATATTGCTATATCGCTGTAGGCGGCGGAGGATACAAAACGGGGTTAATGTCTTGTCCGGTGTAGCCATTTATGAAGCCTCTGGACTACCTCCACCTCTATCCTCATCCAGATCTACAATCATCGAGTGAGCTCAAATACTCGAAGCTGAGCACTAACCTAGTATTGAGGTTGATCCGACAACCTTACACATCAACGACTTGACTTACGAAGACCTTGCAAAACCACAAACTGACAACAAGAAATGTCAGAAATCGAAGCACCCAGCCGTCCACCACCAGATCTTGCTAGACTCCATCAGACTAGCTCGCCAACTGTGCCAACCAAGCTAACTAGCGACGACACCTCACAGAATCAATCCTCCAAGACTCCTGGGGTTCTGCGTCGCCAGCTTCATGAACAGGGCTACATCCACATCCCGAAATTACTACCACCTCATCTCCTCCTAGCAGCCCAAGCAACGTCCAAATATCTCGTGTCTAGGACACGGACAGGTACTTTCTGGCCGTATGTGCGAACTGTGCCGAAACAATATCCACCCTGGCCTGAACTGAATCTCAAAGCGCCCAACCCTGATCTGAATATATGGGGCGTGCAGCATTTATTACATCCAAACTTGACGAGTTTGCGAGATGTGTATGCCGAGATCTATTTTAGTGAGGAGGTCATAGGTGTGGTTAGGGAATTGCTTGGAGAGCCTGACGATACTACTACAGAGAGTAGTGGCCAAGACAGGGCAGCGGTTAGCGATGAAGATCTGGTGATGGAGTTGTTTAATCTATTGTGCTCACCGACCAAGAGTCACGACTTCGAATTAGCTTGGCACAGAGATGATGTACGGCCTGACGTATCGCCAGATATAGAGGAACACGAGCTGAGGACGAAAACGCCTGGCGGAAGACAATTGCACGCTCAGTACAATATTGCGCTATTTGACGACGAGAGTTTGATAGTAATATCTGGCTCACACAGGCGAGTTCGTACACAGCAAGAGAGGGATGCAACACCTTACCAAACAGGTCTCGAAAGCGAGATCGTGGTGAAGCTACAACCTGGTGATGCTGTATTTTACGATTCAAATATCCTGCATCGAGGTGTATACAAGGGCATTGATGAGAAGAACGAGTTGGGCCGGATGACGTTACACGGAAGTGTTGGATTGAAGGGCTATGGTAACGAAAGGAGTAGGCAGGTTTTGCAGCATGGTGTAGGGACATGGATTGAGAAAGAGGAAGCGAAGTTTAGCAACGTTCAAGACGAGGGAAAGAAGAGGAGGGCAGAGACTATGCGGCAGGCTCTTGTAGACATGGGTAGGGGCAGGGATGATGTTGGATACTCACTGGAAGGATGATATGCTTGGGCATTCTGGCTGAGTGTGATCACGGATTTATTTTCAGGATGGCAATAGGTAAGGTCAGTATCACCTGTAGCGTACAACCTTGCATCGGGATTGAATCTCTTCTTGGGTCAAAGGAGAACAATATTGTCGATGGTATGTGTCCTACTCTTCCTCTACGATACTTCTATTTTATCTTTGTTCCATCATTGTTTTACCTCTGTCCTGTCGCTAATCGGCATCCTTTCTATCTCTTTCCCACATCTATCCTATCTCTATTCCAGCTCTGTTCCATGAGCTCGAAGTTGTGGACAGGTTGGTAGAGCTCAGTGATCAACAGGGGAAATAGGTGACAGAAAGTGTGACCCTACCGTTCCGGGACAGACCCGGGCGAAGATGCCAAAAGGCAAGGCCGAGACAGGCTGAAAACCCCCACCCCGCGCGCAAAAAAGATATCATGAAAGTTCTTCTGGAACTATTGATATGCTACACACTTGTTAGACTTGTTTGCTTCTCGAAGGATTCGCATAAACTTACTCCAGAGCGAGACTCGAACTCGCGGCCTTCGGATAACTTCAAGTTAGAACTTGAATTCATATATACGTGTAGTATATGAGACCGACGTGATAACCAACTACACCATCCAGACGCGTGTGGCGAATTTGAGGCAGATTTTTGTGCTGAGCCAATATGACAGTCTCGAAACTCCAAGATGTGCGCTGACTTCGATGCTCGAGAACGTCGGCCAAGATCTCGTACTATTGGAGCTCTTCCGGCTATAGATAGAAGTTAACCTACTTCCCGAAAATGGTTAGGTCCTGCTCCAAAGGACAATCTCAAAGAACTAGACCACTATATTGTACCTTTAGCTAGATATATGTATACGGTAACATCTCCATTGATAGATTACTTGAGTCTTATATACTCCACTAACTCAAGCAAATTATGTAGCTAAGTTCGGAAGGAGACGTATAGCACGAGCAACACTAACAGAGCCGCCTCACGATTCATAAAATTAATGGTTGCACACATTCACGTGCTGAAGAAGAAGTCGAACGAAAGGCACAGAGCGCAGCACAGGTCGACACCGACAGTGCCTTGGATTGTATCCGGAAAACTTGCTCTTGAACAGCACGGAAACGTGAGGGTACACGACTAACCTACCACTTTCTCAATCTGATACTCTACAGCATGTTTTGGGTAACTTTCCTGTTCATGACCAGGAATATGCATTGGCTGATCGTGGAGTGTCTCCCGGCATCGGTAGCGATGTATCGGTTTAAGAGGGCATTTGTGGACACATCTTCCAGAATTTCTAAGCATTGGAGCATCAATTTGAAGATTTTTCAGATGTCTTCTCATGTGCCGACAAGAGTAAAAGCGTAACATTCGATATCATACTCCACATCCTTGCGTTCATACAGTAGCCGACGGTATGCACTAAATATTGCTCTATTTCGGCCGAAATTTGACTGTATCCTTTCGTCATATTTCAAAGTCTACGATAGGTGGAAGACGTCATGCGACCCTTCTCCAGCCTGAAGGGCTCTGTTTTGGTGGTGTCAATGGACGGTGTTAAAGACTCACTTATAGGCAGAGGTTTGGTTTGTAAACTTCGAAATTTCAATCCTGCACGTAAACCTGTAAACACTTTTCAGAACAGGTCACAAAACCACGCAATTTGTCACAATGTCTCAAGATTACAAGTTTCAAGGATGGATGGGTCTCGACAAAGACTCCGACAAGGGCAAGATGGTATGGCAAGGATTTGAGCCAAAGCCTTTTGAGGAGACCGACGTCGATATAAAGATCACACATTGCGGTGAGTAATATTGTACTTGTGGTCAGGGCTCAACTGACGGAGAGAAGGTATCTGTGCCAGTGATCTGCACACTCTACGATCAGGCTGGGGTCCAACAGACTACCCAGTCTGTGTCGGACATGAGATCGTAGGTCAGGCGGTTAGAGTCGGCGGCCAGGTACCTGGGGGCATCAAGGTTGGTGACCGGGTCGGTGTTGGTGCTCAGAGTGGTGCTTGCCACAACAAGCAGGGTGACTGTGAAGCCTGCGCGGATGGGTGAGTTGCGCCTGAACCCTAACGACGAATCTCAACTGATCCATTCCAGGATGGAGCACCATTGCAAATACAGCACAGACACTTTCAACTCGAAATGGCCAGATGGCAGCAAATCTTACGGCGGGTATGCCGACTACTGGCGAGGGAAGTACTCGTTCGTGGTCAAGATTCCAGATGCCATTCCATCTGACAAGGCTGCACCTATGTTGTGCGGTGGTATTACAGGTGAGCCATCACACTTTCTTCGGTAAATCAAAACTGACTTGTACAGGTTTCCACCCACTGATACAGCACGGTGCAAACTCAAAGTCGAGAGTTGGTGTTATTGGAATTGGTGGTCTTGGTCACTTCGCGCTTATGGGTGCTGCACAGGCACTTGGTTGCAAGAAGGTAGTCGCCATCTCCAGATCATCGACTAAGAAGGAAGACGCCTTCAAGATGGGCGCAACTGATTTCATCGCCACCGAAGAAGACGAGGATTGGGCCGAGAAAAACGCCGGTACTCTGGACGTAATCGTCAGCACGGTTTCGTCGCACAAGATGCCTATCGAGAAGTATCTGCAGCTACTTGCGCTCAAAGGCACATACGTTCATGTCGGCGCACCAGAGGATGCCATTCCCGGCTTCAACATGTTCTCGTTGATTCCAAAGCGCGCTTCGATCCAGGGCAGCATGACTGGTTCGCCGCAGGATATCATCGATATGCTCAAGCTGTTTGCCGATAAGGGCGTAATGACATGGAACAACAATGTGCCAATGAAGAAGGCGAACGAGGCAATTGTGGATATGGACAATGGCAAGGCAAGATACAGATACGTACTTTGCCACGAGGACCACATCAAGGAGGTCAAGTACAACTAAGTGCAAATGCCAAAAAGGGCTTTCGAGCAATAATGATAAGATAATCAATGATACCATACTATAGAAACAGGTGTTCTTAGACTTCGCGACTGGATTGGGGATGGGTTCCAGCTCGCAAATGCCATTCGTTGCATGTTCTCTTGTGCTTGCTCTCCTGAGTCTTCCCACATCATTGTCCATGCTTCCGACTCCAGGTCCTGGTGCAGCCTTGGCAGAACAATTTTATTCGATTGCAATCTCCTGCCAATTGAACCGTGATCAGATATATCTCTCAAACAATACTCTAATCCGTTTTCATTGCGAAGTCACTGCTAAGATCAATTCAGCCTTGCCAAGATCATTTTGCAAATACGCAATATCTCGCATTGTGAAAACTGCCCAAGAGGTCTGACCAAGAAATCGACACCTGGTCATTTCCAGTCTACGCGACGATCACCATCGACCGAAGGTTCGCCAGCGACTCCTTCTCATTCAGGCCATGGGCCTCGCAACATACACAATGGAAGAAGACCCAACACAAGTGACCCTACCATACCCAGCACAAACCCGCCAAGCCTCTGCTACCATCAACGACACCCTCACAAACATCACCTCGATGTCCTTCTCCGACAAAATCATGATCACCATCACACAAAACGGCAGATTAGGTCAATGGGTATACCAGAGCCACAACAATTCTCGCCTCTTTATCTTGCTAACACATCCTAACTAGGTCTCCGTCCCCCTCCTCGCCGACAACCCAACCACATCCGATCCACATTTCAACCTTGCACAAGCAGGGAACGAAGACAGTTTATTACCCGTCACGCGCTTTCAACCACGTGTACTCCTCGGTGCCGGTGGTAACGAGCGAGAGACGCAGGCTCAGCTCTATGCTAGTCAGGTGGCGAGTCTGATTACTACGAAGGACCCGAGTGAGACACGAGTGCTGATGCTGGGGCTGGGTCTGGCGAAGGTCGATCTGAGCAGAGAGACGTTTCTGGAGATTTTGGATCTAGTCACGAAGGTTTTGTGATTGGTGGAGGCGTCAAAGTTTGTCTGAAGAACTATCTAATCCACAGCACGAAGCAAACAGGGCCTACGAGCATGCCAGATCCTCCTATCGCTGGTCAAACCACTTTCCGTCGCCTGCCTCCGTGCGGACTTCACCTCCTCTACCGTCGCGTTAATCTCATATACACTTCTTGCCAGAAGCACAATTCCTAGCTCTGCTTCGACAGATTCGCCAGGTGGAATTGCACCCCTCAGTGCCCTCTGCAAAACACCAGACCATACAAACTTCTTGCTCAGGTCCATGGCGACATTATGCGGCTGGCCATGCAGACTTGGCTGCAACCTCAATAATAACTTCAGTTCTTCCTGAGTCAGATTCTGCACCTTCACAACCAACGTCGCGAAAATATTCCTTTTAACCTCGAACTCCGATGCTTTGTTCCGCACAACCGCACCCTGATCATCATCTTGCACAGCCTTCACATCAAAAGAAATCTGAACATGGTCAACTCTCAACGCGTCAATCATCCGCGCACTAAACCTAATGCCCTTTCGAACATCAATTTCACCAGTACGCTTCCCGTGTTCCTCCTTCCAGGTTATTCGTAACCTCTTGCAGAGTTCTTCGCGGTACCAGAAGGCTTCTCGAGACGCTAATTCAGCTTCGAGAGTGATTTTGCTGGCGCTGACGACGAATTGACGTTTCGTGTCAAGGCTTGGAATTGGAGCGAAAGGATCGGAAACATAGATTCGAGGAATGAGGACTAGGGCGCGCTCTGTGTGTGTTGGTTGCAATGTAAGAGTGGTTGCTACTTGCCATTCGGGGTCATTTAGTTCGTCTTTTGAGTTGGGTATGCAAGTTTCGACGGTAGCTGTTATTGAGGTTTGCCAGATGCTGCGGAGGTCGAGCTGAAGAAGACATTGAGGCTCGTTAGCGACCTCGTTCTTGTGACTGGCCTCAGGTGGAAGATCCTTATCACTGTTGGAGTTAAAGTCAATATTGCTGTTAGGCGGCATACTCAAAACGTTGCAACGTGGCATGTCGACACTCGCATTGACTGTAACGTTGATCACGAAATGAATCTGTCTCGTGTAAAAAGTGCCTTCAATATCATTCCTTGGTTTGCCCAAATATGCGTAATCAATCAGAATCGAAACCTCAGTCAGACCTGGCTTGCCGAGAATCTCGAAATCGAAATCCTGCTTTGACATTGCCTCGACAAATACTGAATTGTGACCAGGTCCATCCTGGGCAACTCTTTTGATGGCTGGTCGGGAACTTAGCTGATGCTGAAGCTCATATGTGTCCGCCGGGACGAGGTCTTTGGTCCCTAAAGCGTCTTGTAGCTGCTTCGAGACAGAGTCCTGATAACTGAAGAGTACAAGATCCGCTGGAGTATCTCCAGTATTCTCCAGCGTAATGGTGAAGGTGCTCTTTTCGCCGTCCAACAGCATCAAAGACTGTTGCAGTAATGATGTCGAAATGATTTGTAATTGTGGCAAGCGATTCTCGACCTTCAGCTCAAGAATCGTGCTTGCTGGCAGATCGACTTGCACGTCCGACAGCTGTTTGCGTTTAACGATGTGTGGTGGTCTCCATGTACCCCCAAATATAGCAAAGTCTCGCTCAGTGCAGTTCTTGACTTTGGCTCTGCAGCCGATAACCTTTAATGATCCTGTTGCTTTGGGTATTCCAGTCAGAGTGAATACTTCCAGTGACAGAGGTCCAACGATGACTCCATGAAATTGTGGTTCAAATGCACAGCCTTCAGTGAGCAAGGAGATCTTCTCAATCTCAATGTCAATCTCTAGCGGGTTCTGCAGCAAGACTTCGAAGCTTGCGACGCAATCCTTCACTAGGACTAATTGACCACTGACCGACCTGTTTTCTGAGAAAGGATTGTAGATGAACGGGTCTTTCTTGGCTGTACCTGATTTGGTAGTGTGAGATAAGTCCTGCGCGGAATGTGGTATGAGCTTTCCAGCACTTGGGTGCTCATACAATTTGGTTCCTTGAACAAGAAAATCATCCCAATAGTCGGCTTGTATAGATTTCATGCCGACCCTCTGCGCAGTAGTGACGGCATTGTAGATGCCACTTGCTAGCCTGGCCTGCTCTTCACTCGCTATCAGAGGAACAGCATTGCCAAGGCCCTTGCTTACTATGATTGTCTGTCGAACGATGAAGAGGACAAGAGACATGAACTCAATACTTCCAATCAGATCCAGTACTGCATCGCTGACACGAACACAAAGTCGAAGTACCTCCAATTTTGTTGCAATATCACCAGATGTGAATACTGCCAACCATGACGAGAGGCGTTTTTGAGCACCCGCAAGAAGTTCGCTTCTGTCTATTGGCTGCTGTTGGTCTGTGGGGCTGGGCAGCCCGAAGACTCGAGCCGCAACATAGAGCAGTGCACGCATCGCAAGTGCAACCTGCTGTTGACTACGGTCATTCGGTGTAGGCAAGAGTGGTGCACCAGGTGAGGAATTGACACCTGTTTCAATGGCACCAGCCTTGCGTGCCGCAACCAACATAGGAGGTAGTCTCTGCAGAATGTCCTTGAGAAAGAAACCCTGCTTTCGCTCAAGACGGAGCTGTGACAGACTCTGGCACACAGCCAGATATATCATGGAGGCTGACTGTACCGAGAGCTGTGTTTGAGCTTCGTTGATAGTCTCGATGAGTACATTGCCGAGTGATGAGCTTCGAAGGATAAGAGCTACTGTAGCAGGTTCGAGACCAGGTGTACTAGCCAGTACCAGTGGGCCACCAACTATCTCGTTCAGCGCTTGGTCGGTGAGGAGTCCCCTGTGCTTTCGAACTGTGATGAGCAATTCGCACAGCCGAACTTTTGCTTCACACGTAAGGAGAGCTGGAAACGTACTGTCATACCCTAGAGTCGCTTTGTCGTACAAATTCATGATTGTTGCTAGGAGGCCAGGCAACATTGCCGTCAAAGCTTGGAGTTGGTGTGTAGAGCTTCCAGTAAACTTGTCTGATACAGCTCTGTTCGCTTCCGCTATGCTATGGATAGCGCTACTACTGGAAAGCCCTCTTCCTGTAGGATAGCAATCGTGTGGTATGTTGAAGCTTTGACCAGACCACGCCAGAAGTAGCATACAGACAAGAATACCTTCCAATGACTTTAGGTGCCAAGCTGAATCATCGACCTCTCGAGCCGCACGCGCGCCATCTGCAAATTGTTCTAGTGCTTCACGCAGCAAGCCCATCTGGAGTTTAATCAGTGCTGCAGCGATTATCCTTGTGGACTGAGACTTCTGAGCGCCATCTTCTGGTATCACTGAGTTTTGTGTTGGATTCCTTGTCAAAGTAGGAATGATGGACTGACGTTGGCTGTTGTCAGTCCTGTTAGTCTGACGCATATTCGTTCCGTCAGATGTACTGGACTGCTTTTCTGACACAGGAAGCACGATTTCTTGCGACCTCACTTCTTCCAGCATCCGAGTTAGCACCATCAACGCTGTACTTGAGAGCCATTCTGTCAGCTTTCCAGTGTTAGGATTGTGGCTTGTTGACTGCAGCGCTATGGACTCTCCGTCCACAGCCGTTATCGTACTGTTCAAGACTACTACCTGTGAAGGGATCTCCTTGCCCGTGAATTGTGCCGCCCATGATTTCAGGTCAACTCGAGCACTTTCGGCAACATTCGCCAGGTCCGATACTAGCGAGTCTGAGAAAGAACTACCATCGAGAATACCCAAGATCAATTGAGGTTGTCTGTTTGGCTCAAACCATTGCGTATCCCGCAAAGTTTGTGCTTCACTATGAGCACTAAAGTTGAACAGTAGTGCTCTCATGGGCTGATCGGACAGTCCTGTATCATCTTTGCCTCCTGTCTGATCTGCTTTGTCATCATGGACAGAGACGATAGTAGCAAACTTGCGAAGGCTCAGTATGCAGGAATCAAAATTCTGTGGCTTGATTCGTCCAACTGGCACACATAGAACGTTGATCGGTGCTAGTGCAATGGGCGAAAATGCGTCATGTCCCATGCTCGCATCGTCGAACTCACTCGTGGCTCGTCGAATATGTGGTTCTCGCACCTAGCACGAATACATCTTGGTGGCGTCAACGCATGTTTCAGAGGACTTGGTCAGGAGGGAGTTGACTGCACTTGATATCGAGCTGCCAATACCAGTGCTAGTACGTGCATACCGACCGATTGTCGTGGGACACGTTACAGTTTCTGGCGGCAACGTTTCAATCTTGACACGAAACACACGCGTAAACTCACCCTTCTAGTGAGGGCTTATAGGCATGAAGAGATTGAGTGACTTGTGTGCCAACGAGGTAGTACTCTGTAGTGGACTCGGATTGCCTTAAAGCGTTTCGACCACCTATCTATTCCTCTACAAGAACCTCTTCGTTTCAAAAATACCCACACGCCCACGCTCATGCCCAAATCCAAAACACCCTGTCATATACATCAACCACCCCAAGCCAATACAAATCAACAAACTTCACGTAGGCTGCGCCGTGCGATCCGGTACCACCGTCTGCCTCTGCTGTACTCTTCCTCTTCCCTCCGCAATCTTCTCAACCACTCTGCCAAAGTACTGAGCTACAAACCCTTCCGTATAATAAGAATGATTCGAGCTATGATCGGCCACCAAGTTGTGCGCCAGCTCATGACACAAAATTACCCACCAGTATACCAGCGCATCATTGCATCCCGCCTGGGCTTGTGCTGCATCACCACCTAGGATCTGCATCTCGTGCAACTGCTTGAAATATAGGTAATTGCAGAAGATGCTGCCGTTGCGATTGAAAGCAATAGTCTTGCCACCTGTCTCGTAGAATATATTGAGGATGCGAGGAGACAGACTGAAGATGTCACCTGTGCTCTTAAGCAGGTCGGAAAAACGTGTGAGGCCGTTGATGTTCTGTGAGAGGAAAGCTGACGGCTCAAGACCTTGCATTTGAGGTAGGAACATCTGAATACCGTGCTTGAGCTCGGCCACGAAAGTGAGTTCATGAGCGGGCTTTTCGTCGCAGTAAGATTTTGTTTCTGATACCGTGTTCTGCTCACCACGAGAGAAGATTTCGGAAGAATTATGAGGGCGAGACTTTTTGATAGCGCTGAGCAAGTTCTCGCGCATATGATGTGGTGCTGTCACTGTCTGATCCGGACCACCCTGCGAATATGGTGGAGGTGGATCTGTCTCAGACTGTGCAGTACGGACACGCTGCGGAATAGGCTCAGGAAGTGCTTGCGATCCTGGACGCTGTTGACGTCCACCAAAAAGATTCGAAAGCATACCACGTGCAGAACGTAGTGGTTCGTTGAAGATCTCCGATTCAGGCGGCTGTGAAGGTCCAGCCAGGGCACTCTTACTGTCTGGCGAATCTGGGAAAGCACCAATTTGTGGTCCTTCCTTCTCCTTCTTTTGTACTGCTCGTGAGGTCTCCCAAGCTTTTTGCTGTTCATGTATCTTCTTCTGCTCCTCTTCCAGTTCTTGTTGACGTTTGTTCTCTGCAAGTCTAGCTTCTGCAGCCTTTTGTCGCAGGATACGAGAAACATTGAAACCTCTGTTTCGAAGCTCTAGCAAATCTGTCTTCAATAGCATCTCAAGTGTAAGCGGCGAATGAAGTTTGGGTCGATTCAGTAATAGGTGAATGAGAGCCTGGCTGACCTGGTAGAAGTCAGGACTGCCGCCGACAACCCACAGAATATACTCTCGATTGGCTTGAGTAATGACCGCCGTCCTCTTTTCAGAGTGAGTGATGTTCCTGCCCTTGAGTGACCTCCTTAGCGTGATGTGAGATACTAATTGCACACTAAGATTCTTCTCAAGCCAGCGAGAATCGTGCTTGATGTTGTCGGCAGGTTGCTCGTGGAGGAACAGCTGTGAACGCTCGATGATGAGTCTGTGGAGCTTCTGAGCAGGACCCTGATCAGGTGCTCGCGAGCCATGTCGTGCAGCCTCTTCGACCAGCGAGCTAAGCATCTGCGAACCCAGAGCAAAATAAAAGTCTTCCAGACCTTCTTCTTGAGGCGCAGCGAGAATGCTAGACTTGAAAAGATTATAGGAAATGAACTCGTCAACGATGATAGCATCCTCGGCACTGCAAAGCTGCCACTCTGTGATACCTTGGCTCTCGTCATCATCCAGGTAATCCTCATCATCGCCGATAAGGTTGCCATTCTTGGGTCCTGGTATGTGCTTGCTCGCTAGCAGGAAGGGCGCCCGCTTCATCTCCCGGAAAAGATCTTTATTCTTCTTCAGCAGACTAACACTGTCCGCCAGACTTCTCAGCAACGTCAAGTACTTTTCTGGATTCTTGAAAGTGGACGATATTCTAGCTGGCTCTCTGACCAATATCTGAGCAACCTCTACCTTGGTCGGCTCAGGTTTCGAACCACACTTGAGAAGGAAAGCGTTGGCCTCCTGACCAAAATCCACATAGTTGAAGATCTCTCCGAAAGTGTCGCTGTCGCCAAGGAAGACATTGCGAGGAGATGTATAGCTCTTAAGTATAGTCTTCTCCTTGTTTTTGGAGAAGATAGGCACGAAGTTGAGGTCCTGCAATTTGGGAATAATCGAAGCATTGATCTCGTTTAACCGTCCTGCAAAGTATGCAAAGATAGCCCGTGCTTCTTGGTGAGACGTCAATTTCTTCGTAGCTAGAATCTGAATACAGGTTTCGATTGGTGGATGTCTTCGCACACCGAACATAGCCGCATGACCATGTAGATCTCGCCGTACAATATCAAACCCTAGCAAGCGAGCTCCTTCGTCGATGTAGCAACTGGAAGGTGTGCTAAGGTCAGGCTTGTTCTCTAGAGGCAGGAACGGAGTTTGCACTTTCGAGTAATCAAATTGAGCATAACCATTGGCGTGATAGCCACTGATGAAGAATGCCATAGCTCTGGCTGTGAGTGATGCATCACCAGTTTGACCTGCTTGAGCCATGATGGAAATAAGCTCGGCAGCGTCCGGTGTAGTGCGAAGTCCCAAAGAGGTCAAGAGACGACCTTCTGCGCTATTGCTCCTGTATGGCCCTTGCCAAGCAAGAACTGGAAGGCCAAGATCACGCAGCTGAGGACGAGGTTCGAAGAGTTCTGAAACTTTGTAGCGCTGTTCTGATTCTCGTACTTCGCTTTGTCGATCCTCTTTCGGACAAATAGGTGTGTTGCGCAATCGTTGCATGTCAGCTGAAGGAATATCGTCCCTCACAGAAGCCAAATATTGAACTAGAGCCATGTGACGACCAGGGCTTTGAGCATTCACATCCTTCGTAGGCTTGAGTAGACGATCAAATACCACGCCAAGCTCCACTGTCTTTCGCACTCCAAAGGCATTCAACACCTTGTCCTTCACGTTGTTGAACCCAGTGATGGTTGGCAAATCGTCGAAAAGCTTGACATTAGGAAAGTATGCATCACCAGGCTTCTTCATACCAAGCTTAGTAGGAACCACAGTATGAGCGCTCAGCAGTTCGACCAGCGACTGCTTCGATGATTGACTCATAGACTCCCATTGCTTTGAAATCAGAGCAAAGACTTGAGAACTGAAGGCGGCGGATGAGGTCAGATCTTGGTCTTCTCGAAGCATGGATCGACTCTTTGACTCTGCAATGAGCCACCGCATCCAGGGTACGATTTGCAACTCTTGCCAGCCCAAAGACTCTAGATTCTGCTTCGAGAAGCTGCTGGTATATTTCAAGGGCATAACTGTCTCGGGTACTGGAAAGTTTGGTGGTATCCGGCTCGGGTTGTGGAAGTATTCAATGCCGCCCAGCATGAGCAATCGACCATTTGAGCTCTCCTCGGTTTCTTCATTCGCGACAGTAATAGACAATAGCGTCGCCACGGTCTGGCCATCAAGCTGTTCCTTGGCGACGTTCTTGACCAACCAGTCCAGAAACTCGGTAAGTTGTTTGCTAGTCAATGCATTGGCCTCCAGAGCTTGCTTGATATCCGAAACCGTAACTTCGGTGACTAAGCCGAACTCAACCAGCTTGTTAACAAATGGCTTTGCTTGCTCCATAAGTTTCTCAGGCAGTACTGGCACGCCCTCGACAAAACTAAGGTCTTTCGGTGCTATACGCACTTGATGGGTTGGTAGCACACCACAGCTTGACAGTACGTCAATCGCAGCCTTCTTGCCGCTTCTCCAGAAAGCATCCTCAAGAAGCTCTCCCGTCTTTGGTGAAGGAGTTGACTCTCTGAAGGTAAAGTTTTTGAAGATAGTGATACCTTCCTGTAAGAAAGGCTGTACGTGATCCATGCGTATCTTTTTAGCACCATTTGACTGATTCTGTATTCTTACGCGCAACTCTGCCATCTCTGCTGTCCAAGCTATCCGGCACACTATACCAGCAGCACGAAGCATTTCCATGTTCCACGTCCGAACATATTTCGCGTTGAGATCGATCGATTCCCGCTCGACCGTTGGGATGACTGAGGGTGCGGAGATATGAGCATTGAGGCCAGTTGTTTGGTGGGTCGGAAATCCGATGAAGATCCTGCCTGACCTTGACGGCAGGACTGTGCCAAAGATGTCGCCGTGTTTGGTTGTGTTCGTGAGCGTGTCATTCTCGACGAAAGGACCTGTGAGTACAGCCAACTTCGTAGTCTTGGGTGGTGGTTTCTTCGTAGCTCTTTCTAGTTCCTCGTTGAATTTCACTCCAGTAAACGTCTTGATGGTTGCGGTATCTACGTTCAGGAATATGGTTGCCTTGACTTTCTGCGTCGAATCAGTCTGCTCGATCTCTTTCTGCTTGGTGGGAAGCACAGCATCTTCCGATTGTCGACCTCCAGCTAGTCTCGAGAAGAAGCCACGCAACGAAGGCGCCTCATCTCTTGCGGCTGATCGTGTCGCACCAGGTTGTGAAGACTTGAATGCAACTATTGGCATCCATTCACCGTCTATTTGAGCCAGCTCTTTTGATACATTTATCACCTTCATGAAACCTTCGCTCGTTTTTGGCTCGATGTCCTTGGGTATAGGTACATCCACACTCGGAGAGGTCTTCTTGGTCAGGGTCAAGATGTTCCATTGATCTATCCACAGCTCAATCTTTTCTATGCCAACAAAAGTGAGCGAGCTTGCTAGAAATTGACTCAAGGATATCAAGGAAGGTATCACAGAGGTTGTGTCTCTGTAGTCCAGCACGAAGTTTGTGTCAGTATTTCCTTCTCCTTCCGGCAATTTCAGCCGTCGTGTAAATAGTGCATTCGTCTTCCAGTAGAATGCCATAGCTTCTCTTCCAGACGAGACAAAAGGCTCCTCGCAATCAGCGAAGACGGAGTAGAAACCAACACCAAATGCACCGATTTTGGTCTCATCTGGATTACCCTCAGCTATTCTCTTCAACCGAGTCCAGTCGTTCTCGTTGAAGGGTGTTCCATTGTTCGTAACGACCATGCGCTTAAGAGTATGGTGCTGGATAACGTGCTTTAGCATATTCGAAGGTGTGGCATCTTGAGGCAGAGGTATCGTAGGCGATGGGACAGAATCGAACTTAATTGTGACCTTGGTCGCAGTGGCGTCCGCTGCGTTCTGTATCAGCTCTCTTAATGTCGTCCATTCTCCTGAGTATCTTGCAAGTACTTTGTCAATCAGGGCTCGAGTATTCACGGTGACAGCCTCCTCATCGGCACCCGATCTTAGAGTCTGAGCTCTCAGAGCGGTGAAATCCATGGCCGCCATACCTGTTCACCAGGAACAAGAAACTGGATAAACTCAATGCTTGGTAAATATATACGCTTGCTAGTGTCGCATGCAGTAGTCGATAAGTGGCAATGGGAACAATGTTGAGCATATGCAAGCAATTGTGGTGGCAAGGAATATGAGAGAAACCCGTTGTGGAATTAGGAAGACGAGAAAGGCATTAAACGCTACAAAAATGCAAGATCTGTGATATGCGAACAGAAGCATGAAGTCTATGCAATAGTCACTCCTCAAGTGCATCTTCGTGTTTCGATGGACAATCGCCTCGGACACGTTCAGGCAAAACACCATCACGTCACACGCTTTTAGCTTAGTCGGCTCAAGTCTGCCTCGTTTAGGCGACAAGGCCCGGCTGTAACATGAGGAGCCAGAACCTAAACTTCGGGTGCTGCTTGCTACGCGGAAGTAAGTGGCCGGCAACGAGCTGTCTGCTGGATATGCTTCAACGGCTTTTACACTGCATCGGTGTTGATACTCGTAGGCGAGTGCTCTACCAGAAATTCGTAGCCAGGTGCAGTAATTACAGAGGTCTGCAGCTTATGGGAATACTGCTCTGGCTCACTTCCTTCATCGCGTCCATCCTGACTAGTCTCATCATACAGATCTGCTTCAAGAGAATACCACGATTCAAGCACGGAAACACAACAGCAGCAGTAATCAAACCTCCTGCCGCGCATAATTTCACCATCACTCCTGCTGCAGGGGCATCAGCCTCTTCCCCCTGACATAGTCGACATCCCTCCATCTTTACAATGCCTGCCTCGTCACAGTATCGTCGGCCCCTAGGTCGGGACAGTGCCCATCGACAATCCCTCCTGCGCAACCTCGTCACGTCACTAATAAAACACGAACAAATATCCACCACATACGCCAAAGCGAAAGAAGCCCAACGTGTAGCTGAAAAGCTTATCACCCTCGGAAAAAAGAACACAAATGCCAGCCGCCTAAGCGCGAGAGGATTCTTCCACGAGCCAGACCTATACCTCCCTAAAGTCTTCGGCGAGCTTGCAAAGCGCTACGAGAGTAGACCAGGCGGTTATACGCGAGTATTGCCATGTGAGCCATTAAAAGATGACCAAGCAGCCAGCGCGATATTAAGTTTAGTCGATGGACCGAAGGACGTGAGGTTCAAGATGACGGCGAAAGCACTATCAAGGCAACAGGATGAGATGTTGCCAATGAATGAGATTACGGCCACGAATATACGCAAAGTGACGAGGTTCAGAGCGAATGGAGCAACGGAGCTGTTGAAGGAGGTTGGTCGGATACAAAAAGAGAAGGCTAGTCAAGAGACCAAGGAGAAGAAGATGTTCGAGAAGGATGGGACGAGGTTCAAGTGGACATCAGATCTGCCTAGGAACGATCCTAGATGGATAGAGAAGAGAGGACCAGGAAGGTTGGTGAGGAGAAAGATTGGGCCAGATGACGAGGAAGACGTGGATGCTAAGGAGTAAAGAACGAAAGAATGGCTTGTACAGCTGAAATTGTTTCAACCATTCGTTGGTACCCAGACAGCACACCTCACGACAAGCACGCGCAAGTTGCGGGAGAGCACCCGGGCATATCGAGAAATATAATGCCGGATCCTCACACTGCGAGACCGTCGCTCCGAAGGCGAAGGTCGAATCTTCAGGCAGAACGGTCGTGCTCGCTGAGCACAAAGACTGTGGCGAATGAGAACATGTACATTATAGCAGAAAGAGCCGGGAATGTGTCTACGAATCAGCTCGAGCACCTCTGCTGTAGAGCTCACGGCATATTCTGGCAGGCATGAAGCGAGTGAAAAGCACGACTTGAGCAATCTAAAGGGCTCGATCATGTAACAAGAACTGGTCATCGATCATGATCATTCGATCTTCTGAGATCGTGTTACATATAGACCCTGCTCGGAACGTTGCAGCATGCATATTCCTTTCCACGTTCACAACTCTTTATAGCTCCAAATCCTCGTCATGGTACTGATCCCTAATAGTGCGATACATATAGCCCGTAGCCACACCTCCTAAATTCGTCACAAACATATCAACATATTCACTCTCGACAAAATCAGTCACCGGGTTCTGTACACTTTGCAAGCCCAGCTGCATCTCCCGATCTTGATATGGGACCACTTTCTGCACGTCTCCGTAATCAACAAAGTCAAAGGGGTCGTAGGGCACGACTGGTGACAGTTTGTATGTCTCGGCCAGGACTATTACAGGTACTCGGTGGAATCTCGCAGCTGTAACTAGTGGCTTGGTGCCTGCTGCGGCGACGATCGAGCCGTTGCTGAGGACACCGGTAGCTGAGATGATGACCTTGTTGGCTCGGGACATTAGGGCGAAGATGGAGGAGTCTGGGATGAGTAGCACTGTGATACCGTGTGCGATTAAGGGCTTCGAGAATGATTCCGTGTCGAGATCCTCGTAACCCTCGGGTACCTTGCTGCCTGTAACGGTTGCATGTGTAGCTTTATGGCTGTTCGGGTAGGACTCTGCTTGGATGAGGGTGAATTTTCGTTTCGATGCCGCCTTGAGCAGGAAGCGCTGGACAACAGGTGAGGTGGAGTAGGTAAATATCGTTTCTTGTGGAGAGATGTGGTCGAGAGCATAACCTGCAACTTGTTCATCCGCTTGATCGAGTTCATCGACGATTTCTGTGATGGCTTCGAGGACTTCAGCTCGAAAGTCTGTATTCTGTGCTGGCTGAGGTACGGTGGAGGGAGTGGAACTGCCACTTCTTATTGGTGACGATCCACCGGCTGAGCCTCTCATAGTTGGATGAGCCATAATGCTAAACATGGACGTGACGGCAGGCCGTCTTTCAGGACCACCTGTTTGCTGTGATAGAAGTGCTGGCCTATTTTGTGGCCGACCAAGAGGTGAGTCGTCCCTAGCTGGTGCTATGGCTGAAGCAGGCAAGAATGATGTGGGAAGTTCGCCGGCTGGGGTGGGTGGAATTGAGTTTGGTTCACTTCCTAAGGGAGTATCTGCTTCTCGGTTCTCCTCCTCTTCCCTAATGGCTCCAAGCACTCTGCGCACGATGTTACCAACGGTAAGCTCTCTCGGAGCGGCCTCAACCAGTTTCTTGCCCACATCTTGCACTCTCAAAATTAGCTTGCCAGGCTCTGTTGCCCTCGTGGTTGAGACCACTTTTCTGAGTAACCATGCTGTTGCGAGGGCGCATGGCTTGGGTCCTCGTATTTGTCTTCTTCGGAACAGCGAGATGAGGTGTTCGATCGATTTCTCTACAGGCCAAGAGGGTAAACTTGCTCTGAAAGATGCCAGACCTGGCACTGGCAGTAAGTCCGCAGCCATGAGGAATGTTGTTCAGTCTCGTGTGTGTTTTGAGTGACGCGACTGGAATTACGGCTTGAAAATCCTTCTTTCTTGTTAGTCTGCAGTGAGCTTGAGAACTCAACACCCCAAGAAGTCTCCGATGACTGCGCCTTTGTGTATGTAGGCACAAATGGTATGCAAATATCAACGTGTTGCCGGCTGTGTGACTCTATCGTGTCCGAAATCTGGTACACATCCGCATGTGCTCGAGAGATGTGTGCCTGAGGCAAATACTCACGATTGCGGCAGGAAGCCGCTGTCCAGGTGCTCTTGACTAAGTTGGCGAATGCGTGGCTGATCTTCACGGACCTGACGTGAAGGTAGTGATGCTCCATGTCTACCAACCCCTCGTAGACTCTCGAAGTGTTTCAACTACCTGCCTTGCCAAAAGCCAATCACTTTGCACACCACTAATAAATGTATTAAACTGTCCGCCTAATATACTGCGACAACGGCACGCTTACGATTTTGTTCGGCAGTAGACTCGGCTTGAGCAAAAACAATTGCATTTACCAACCTCAGGATGTGCCGGATATAGTCAACACAACTGTGCTGCCAGAAGTTAGCGTCTCGCGCAGACCATCATGAATTCGCTGAACTTGTTATCGGCGAAAGTTATCGGCCAGCCAGTGGCTCGTTCGCGGGCCAAATCGCAAAGCGAAGACCTGCGCCGGAAGCTGAGTGGAGAGTTGGTTAGAGGAAGGTCGCATAGCGCGCAACAGGCTCCTGAGGTCAAGAGCGGGGATGCGTCCGAGCTCGACGAACCTATTATCAAGGCTGGCAGTGACGATGCCGAAACACCCGGTATTGAGCCTGGGGATGAGAAACAACTACTGCTTAACCATGAGAAGAGGAGAGAAGAGTCTGGCTTCGGAAGCAAATTACATTCAATCGTCAAGAGAATTGCCGATGCCATTACCGCGATACTAGCAACTATTGGCATGCCTGTTGTCTACGTTGCGAAATGCTTTCGAGATGAATCTGGTCAATATTCAGCCCTTGTACCATTCAAGCGCAAGAGAAGGAAGCTTACAACCAAAGATGTCAGTAAACCCAAGCCTGATGAGCTACCGGAAAAGCCGTACGATCGCATCACACGGGAGACGAAGCTCAAGCATTCTTACTCGAGTGATTCTTTGAGCTCTATGAACTCCCTGCAGACCGACTCTGATTCGGACAACAAAAGAAGAAAAGAACGCAAGGCAAAGAAGGTAGAGAAGCTGGATGTTGATGATGGGGGTCATAGACGTCGATCGAGTCGTATACGACTGCTTCAGCATGAGGATGTAACTCAAAGGCGGAAGTCAAGGCTTGCTGATAGTGCTACAACTCCAGATGGTGGACCTCTGACTGTTGACAACATCAAATCTCCCATGTCAGTAGCGACTGCCAACAAGCTGCGATATCCTCATGCTCCACAACCTCCTAGACCCCTAATACCCAGACGTCAGCCGTCATACTCTAACGTGGCAGCACAACTGTCAACACATGCTCACAGACGGCTTTCGTATACACCTCATATTCACCAGAAGACTCTGATCCTCGATCTGGACGAGACTCTAATCCACTCCTTTGCGAAGGGGGGACGAATGTCCTCCGGACACATGGTCGAAGTCAAGTTGAATTCGCCAGTCTACAACCCGGTCGCCCAAGCAGTACCTGGCCAACCCGCTCCACCTCAGCAAATCATTGGTCCTCAACACCCTATCCTATACTACGTCCATAAACGACCTCATTGCGACGAGTTTCTGAAAAAGGTTGCCAAATGGTACAAGGTAGTCATCTTTACTGCTTCAGTGCAAGAATATGCAGATCCTGTGATTGATTGGCTAGAACAGGAGAAGAAGTTCTTTGCTGGAAGGTATTATCGGCAACATTGCACGTTTAGAAACGGCTCTTATATCAAAGATCTAAGCAGTATTGAGCCTGATCTCAGCAAGGTGATTATCCTGGACAACAGTCCAGTTTCCTATGTCTTTCATGAAGGTGAGCTTTACGTGTCTATACCAACATTCGATCGAAGTTTGCTAACGAGCCTCTCAGACAACGCTATACCTATTGAAGGCTGGATCAACGATCCAACGGACAACGATTTACTTCATTTGATACCCCTTTTTGAAGCGCTGCAGTATGTCACGGACGTACGAGCGCTTTTGGCTTTGAGACGAGGAGAAGCAGATACAGGTGTGACAACTAGTGCTGCGGCATAATCTCGTCATGTGGCTGTCGCCAAACCTGTACCTCGATATCAAGCAATTGAACCTTTCCCCCCATTCTCTGATCCTGGTTTGCGTGCTGACTTGACTCATTGCCTTCTTTCCGTGGACTTGGTTCATTCTAGTTCCGACTAATGCAAGCAAACAACAACGCTAACAATAGCAGTTCCGTCCTGCTTTGACAGTGACAACAGAGATACCTTTCGCTTACAGAGTATAGAAACGATCGCCGAAATCACCCAATCCAGGCACGATATAGTTCTTGCCATTCAAGCCCTGATCCACAAAAGCAGTAATGACTCTCACCTTCGGCACCTTCTCCAGGAAATTGGCGATACCTTCAGGACTGGCAATCAAATTCAAGAACAAGATTCTTTCCTCAGGCACACCCTTTCCCTTCAGCACTTCCACCGCCATGATCGCACTTCCACCCGTAGCAAGCATAGGATCCAGTAGTAGCACCCAGCGATCCTTGATATCTGGAGGCAGTTTCTCGTAGAACAACTTTGGCAGACTCGTCTCCTCATTCCGCTGAATGAGAATCTTGCCAATTCTCACACTTCGACAGCACTCTCTAAGACCTTGCTCCATTGACTCCCCAGCCCGCATAATACTCACGCCACAGATCTTTCCCTCAAACCTCACGCCAGTATAGTCCTTACCTACCGGGGAAGTCACAGTATGCGGCACGACAGGGAGGTGGTTCAGTCCTTCCTCGACTAGGAGCCTGATGATCCGATTACTGTAGAAGATAAAGTCCGCACGTTGAGTATTCTCGTCGCGGATCATGGTGAGAAGAGCGATGAGCTGTGGTGTTTGAGGAAGGATATGGACGTTTGGTTGGTTTTTGACTTGGCGGGAGACTGTTGCTGTTGGCTTTTCGTTGGCTGGGCGGTAGTCGGGGCCTACGCCTAAGGCTGGAGAGGGACATTCCCCGTTTTTGTTGGACATTTGGAATGTGTTTTCTGGGTTGTTGTAGAGCTTTTCTTGTCAGGTCGATCACTGCTCGTGTGAGCAAGGAGAGCTTCGTAGTTGGTGGAGACTCGACTCGAGGACTTTCTCTTTTCTGCAGAGCTTATCTCAAGTCCTTTCTAAATTTGAGCTGCTACAAGAGCGTCGAGGGAGTTACTGTGTGCAGAGCGGGCTTCCAAGTAAAAGGTATAGCTCGCACAATATCAGATCACCTCGAAGTAAGACCGGTGGATTCCGTTGTAGGATACGGTCTATCTGTATCTCGGCCCACGTACAACTGTGGTCGGTGGGGTCTTGTTGGTCGAGTAGAGTTTCACTGGCATAGTAAGAACTGGCCGCTTTTCACGTGTTTTAAAACGCGTAAATTCAGCCAACTCTTTCCATTCTGCTCATTGTTGTCCTTCCACATGTGGTACTCGAGGTATCCATGCAACAAAGTGAGGTCATCCTGGTAAATAACGCGCAGTCAACCCAGTCAACCTTCACCACCTCAACAGGCCTTCACTCCCAACTTTGGCCCTGTGCCATAACATCCACAACAGTTCATTTCACTAGAATTGGACGATCATGATTGGACGCAATTCACCTTCAACTTCTCTGGCCACGACGCAGACAAAGGTCGTACTGGTCCAATAAACTAAAGCGAGTTGCTGATGCGCGAGACAATCGTGCTACATAACGATGGAATCTCAGATGCACCGGCGTCCAGTGGCCGCCAAGTATGGCAAGAATAAGGGCAGAGCCATGGGCTACAACTTTTTCGCAGAAGTCACGAATCAATCTGTACCGAAGGCACCTTCTCCCACGAAGCAGTTCCCAATCAGTCCGCAGTCCTCATCGAGCGAGGAAAGAGGAAATCGAGATGCTATACCGATAGAACCACCTTCACCTTCACCTTCGCCAGCGAGTGGACCTATACGCACTATGGCATATTCCAAGTCATCACTCTCACCTGGTCCTGGGATACGACCTGCGTCATCAATGAAGTCTTCCGCGAAACCGACAGCGAAGCAAGAGCCAGCCGCATTTGAGATTATCTCTTCAGATGAGGATAAGGACACGAATGATGGTCGTCCATCGAAAAAGCGGAGACTCGGACAAACAATGAAGCAAACGAAGCGTGTGCAGGTCGAGGTCGAAACAAGTGGTACACGCTCAGTCGCGGAGTCAAAGGAGGCCGGAAAGAAAATGGAAAAGCTGGTTTCAAGAACACAAGAGGTCTCCACGGATGAAAGTCAGACATTGAATCCTCAATCTAAACTTGCTGAAAGTGCGTGCCTTCCTCAGCCTGCGGTACAGAAGACAAACAGGCAGATTCTGGCGAAGAAGCAGGAGAATGGCATGCAAAAACAAAAGGCTGACATTCGAGACCAATCGAGACCAGAAATGCCCAGGACAAGGAGATTGGCACCGAATAACCTTCCCTCCGCAGCCAGTCGCGATGTCTTTGACTTACCAGAGGTCGTACCCATCAAGACAAAGTCAAAGACGAAGCTCAAGAGGACGAGTCGTAATCCAAACCCGTCAGACACAAAAGAGGACAAGCTTTTAGACCATGAAGAGCCCAGTGACTATTTCGAGGCAAAAGCAAAGCCAGTGCGAAGAACTAGAGCCTTAGTGAAAACCAATGCTGAGAATCTGCAGACTCCGAGAAAGAACCAGCGACGCACGACAGACGACGATGAGGTATCTGTGACGAGTGTAGGCACTCCGGGCTCGATTGGCTTGACCGAACTACGTCTTTCACCAGGGCACAGTCCAACGCCTCTGGCTAGCCGCAGTCCTTCCATATCTGGCGACTCTGCGCAGAGCCCTCGTCCTCATGGTCGCATGAGGAGAATAGATACGCTCGATGCACCTAAAGATACTTCTGCGCATACGACCTCGTGCGGTCCTTCTGCAAGTCAGGAAAGCTCAACGCTCACACGACGATTACAGCAAGTGGTCAGTCTAGAGCAGACTCAAAGTGCTATAACCTTACCGACTCTATCGCGCTCTAACAGCTCTCAACGTCTGGGCTATGGTAGAGCACGAGCTACCTATGGCAAAGAACGATCACATCTAGCTGACATGGTTAGTGACCTTGATGCACTAAACCAGACCGACAGCCAGGAGGTCAGTCAAAGACTCGCTTCTCAGCTAGCTGCCACAGGTGCCTCCTCACAATTGCAAATGGATCTTGATATCCAAGATAGTTCCAGTGACGATGCAGGAAAAGGCTTCAAGCTGAAGAGCATTCACGAGTTAAGACAAGCTGGAACCAACGACCGTTTTGAGAGGGATCTCGAAGCCCTACTGGGAGACATTGATCCTACGCCAAGAACGGCTTCCAAGTCACTAAGATTGACAGCATGTATGAAACTCTTTTCACGGCTGTCAGAGGAAAAGTTTGCGTCTTTCGTGTCTGATCGCGGCCTAGATAGGCTGACTGCGTGGTCGAGGTCATTGCACGACAATACTTCGAAGTTGTTGGTTGTGATGATTTTCTGGCGCCTGGTGCATACAAAGAATGCTTCGGCTGTAAAGGCCAGAACTATCGTTCAAGCTGTGGCCTCAAGCAGTAGTTTGATCACAAATCTAGGGTCTATGGCACAAATGATCAAAACCCGCAAAGAAAACCTCTCGAAGCATACAATCCAAGAGTTACAAGACTTCGAACAGACTCTGGTAAAAGACCATTTACTACCAGCTCAAGAGGGTGATCAGATTGTGCCAGCTGCGGTCACGCTCGGTGCTTTGAACGACTCCTTACGCAGACTTGTTGAGGTTGGGACAACCAACATTTCGATTGGTACAGAGTCCTACAGAAAGATCATTTTCTTTATGCTGCCCTCTGCCTCGCAGTCATCAGGAGCAGAGGCTTTACGGAATAAGTTTGTTATTAAACTGGCCTTGTCTCTACTGCAATTGTTCGCGACGCACTTAGATAACGATCTTGGTTTGACCGCTGAAGAATATGTCAAACTCGGAGACATTCTCGCCGACATTACGAAGAAAGCTATGGATGGAAGTGAAGACGTGATCCAGGCCGTATTGCACTTCACCATCAGCTTGTGCAATGAGAGACCTCACATCTGCCAGTACCTTAATTCCTCAAAATTCAGCGATGCAGCCATGACCATCGTGGATAGTCGCTTTCTAGATTTGGTCAAGTCAGTCGAGACCGGTTCGACAGTCGATCCAGCCGTACTTGACTCAATGCTGTTGACGCTGGCTTGTCTTCTTCAGTTCACAGAGCATGACTTGAAGGCGCGAGAGAGCTTTGCTTATAGTTGGCTACCAGACTCATTGGACAACTACCTTACCAAGCTCACTTCCATCTACACTGAAGCTGCTCCACGCCTCGCAGATGCAAAGACAGCCGAGCAGGCTCAGGTTCTCGTGGCATTCGGCTACCTTTCCCTCCTAATATGCAACTTATGCCTAAGCGACGACCTATGGACCGAGGCCTCGGCTTCTCTTGGAGACAACACGATGTCAGATGTAGTCGCGTCCGCAAAGGAGATGCTCATCCACCTACAAGGTATCGAGCAGGGACAAACACAAGATCACGACATGAGCGAGCTTGATGGAGATGGCGCATCAGCACTCGATGGCTTCACTCAACGATTCAGTGCTATCTTGGCTGCCGTAAGAGTATCTTGAAGGCGATCTATACGGTCTATGACTTGATTACGATGTTTGGATAGCGACGTAGGGTGCTTCCTGAATGTGCTTGACTCAAATTGGATACTGCGTGAGACCAAGAGTTCGGTTATAGTAAACATAATACTATTCTCCTTGGCTGTTAGCACATAGCATCTTATGATATCCGCAGTAAACGTTCGGTGCAAGCTTTGAGTAAGTAGGTCCTGCCACCTGTAATCTTAGAATTGCTGAACTCAATCCAAACGAAGATCAACAAGTATGCAGGTGCGCTTCTGTGGCTATCACGTATCTTGCGGGACCTCTCTTGTGCTTTCTGATGATGACCTCACTTGTATCGATGATTGGTATAGCGAAACACGAGCTTAAAAATTTGGGGTGAGAGATTTAACATAAAGAAGGAGTAGGAACGCGTATGTCGTCGAGATGATTATGCTATGCTCTCTAGTCATGTAGACGCAGAAAGGGTTCAGCCATATCCCAAGTAAGAGTGAGTCTCTACTGTCCACCAACGCAGGCATAGCTCTCGTGTTGGCTTGACATTTATGTCTGACAACGGTTACGGGTGTTTTGATCGCCCTCGTCGCATTGTGTTAGTGGAGATTCGAAGTCAAGCCAGTGGTACAGTCAGGAGTAAAGGGATCGATGACAACCTGCATGACTTGACACCGTGATGGGCATTTTGTGCCCATCAGTCGAGAAGGAGGGACAAGACGTGAAGTAGCAGAGCCACCCAACCGCGGAAATTCTATTACGCTTCAAGCATGGCTAAAACAAGTTAAAGAGCCAACGCCATCACGTGGCCATGAGTAATGCGATTGCCTAAGTATTGCCTCCGATGATCCCTAGAGGTTTCAGTGGTAGACACAATTCTGAAACACCTCGAGATCAGGTTACAGTATGAGGACAAAATCTGATCGACGTGCTGGAGTCCTTCGGTGTGTCAGGTACGTCGACGGGGAACAACGTTGTCAACGACGATCCCATTGTCTGGCCACCGGCATCGAACAACTCACAGTACTCCACGAGATGTAGTAATTAGAGGCTGTGACAGCTGACCCCGCCTCATGACTTCAAGCCTCTGATAGGACACGACAATCAGCTCGTACATGCTAGTTCCGGGACCTCGAAAGTGCCCGCAAAGTTGCATGGATCGACTTGCCTTTTTGAAGGTCATGAACAGACTACGACCGAGCCTTCAGCCTGATCATCTTGCAAGCTGCAGAACCGCAGTCTCGACCGGTTAGCAGATGTAGCGAACATCACGCCGTGTCTGAGGTCCTTTCCAGCACAAATAACACATGACTAGTCTTCAAGTCTGAGATTTCAAGCGATGCCTACCCAGGAATAGACAGACTACGCTATGTCCTCGCCCCAGCTTCGCAACGATGAACATCGAGTTGGAAATGTCTATGGCACCGTCGAGGTTGGCGGCCAGGCGCGGGTACAGCTCGGTAACAGCTACAATCACACCACACAGAATGTGTCAATCCAAATCAACAGCACGATTAGCACTGTCTGGAAGCTGTACAAGAAATGCAGAACCACACCAGAGAGTTATTACAATATTTCGCAAGAACTGAACTCCCTCCACGCCTTCCTCAAAGAATGTGAAGAAGTATTTCCAGAAGAGTTACGCTCGAGCGACCGGTCCGCCAGGTTGACTATCATTCTCGTTGGGTGCACAGACATCGCGGAGGAGCTCGGTGCAATTGTTCAAAAGTATGAAAGCCTTGGACTGCAGCAGAGGAGGACTTGGGACCGGCTACAGTGGCATTCGAACGAGATCAATCAGATTAGAGCTCGTATTACCTCTCACGTAGGAATGCTCACAGCTTTCATGACCACCTCACAGCTCAATGTAGCACGCAAGCTCGAAGCCTTACTTCTTGAATTTCGACGCGGCAATATGGACGGGTCTGTAGTTTCATCAGTGACGATTGACTCCCTGAATGGCGATGAACGGGCACAATGGCGAGCTGTTCGAAAAGAATTCGAGGAACATGGTATCACACTTGAAATGTTCACTTCTCAACGTAACTTCATTTTCAAGTGGTTTGCGAAGGCTGTGACAGCTGGCCACTTCGACGAAGAGAGGCCTACTGATCAGGATACAGCTTTTCTCCATGGCGACAATGACAGCTCACTTGACAATGTGCAGCACAAGCTATCTCAGTCAGCATTCACCAACAGTCCCCCCCAGGCTTCGCAGCAATCGTTGACTCCCACACATTTGTCGGAACAGCGTGACAGCATACGTCCTCCGGAACCGAACAATGTTCAAACCCACTCAGCACGCGAAGTCAAGACCCATCTAGAACCGAGCGCAGATCAAAAACAGGTTTCAGCCACACGAGTCCCTCCTCCCAATCGTCGAGGTTCTGGTGCAAAGGTGTCCCGCTTTGCACTGACACTTGTCAAACTCCGGAGAGCTCTGGAGGCGGAGCGTGATAGACAGCGCCAGAGAGCTCTGGAGCGTGATAGACAGCTGTTCGAAGACTTAGTGATGGGCTGAAGTGCGCCCGACTGACTCAATCGGACATAGACCTTGTGCTCATGATGGCGTGCACCAACATTTACATCGACGCTGATCTTGTTGCCTGCATATGCATCCGCGGCGCCAATCCAAACGCAAAGATACAAATGCCTGTACTTGACGAAAAGATTACATGTCCTTTAGAGGCCGTGATGAACCCCTGGGCCCCGCACGAGTTATGCGATGTCTTCGAGGCAAGATTGAGCAAGCTTCGAGTGCTTCTCGAAGTCGGTGCTGAGCCGGTGCACACCAACGCTCTTGTTTTCTCTTCAGGCCTGCACTGGGTTCTGCACACTTTACTTCTCCTACAAGCAGGGGCTAACATAAATGAATGCAGTAACAATATTGAAAGCCTTGTTACACCCCTAGCAGCCGGTATCGTTTGTTGTAGCTTTCATCCGCTTCCAGCTCTCGCGATCAAGGACGAGCATTCTCGACTGTGTGATACGTTACTAAGTGGAGGAACAAAGCCGACCATGGAGACCCTCTCAAACGCCCTCGCAGTTGCGGTGATATGTCCTAATCCACCTGCTTGCCAACTACTTCTTAGAGCGGGCGACAACGTGCCCGCGACATTCTTGAAACAATGGCTTCAACGACGGCATGACGGGGGTGTAACCAATAGAGATCTGCTTCAGGATGGTTGCAACACGACTCAGAAGTTTAATTTTGCATGTCCGCGTCGCTGGACCACGAGAAGATCACTTGAAGTCCTTTTTGTTCTCGAGTCTAAAGCTGAACAGTCACTAGTCCACTGAGAGACAAGCATCGTGGGACCGTGCGATCAAGAGGTAACGATCAAATGCTTATTTAGCTCTGTTGCTTGCTGCTGTGCATGCGCCGATAACAGACCGCACGCACCAGAGGGTTATCCTACGTATCAAGACGGTCGAGGCATGACCACAACATCGAAGCGTTGGCAGCATTACTGCGCAGCGTGTTATACACATCACGAGCTCATATATGAGAGAAACCTCTCTGTGCATCCGTAAGTTTAGACTCCCTCTACACTGCTCCACAAAATCACACACAACACCACATCCCAGAAGAACCCAACACCACTAACCCTTCCACCCTCTCCGCCTTCATCTACGGCGCCCATTCCGCCGCCCAGGGCCAAGGCGCCTGTGCAGGCCCTGAGAAAATCGGTGTCTGGGATAATACCCGGGGATGTCGGCGGATGACGATTGCGACGGGGTTTTCAGCTGTGAATTTTGGGGCGTTTTTCGGGAGTGCGGTTTTGGTTGCGGTGCAGTGAAGTGTGAGATGGGAGGAGGAAAGGGAGCTGAGAAGGGTGGAGCTGGAATTCTTGGAGTTAATTAAATGTATGAAGTGGTGTGTGTAAGGGACTGGGGAAGAAGAGGGAAGGCAGAGGAAAGTGACTGATTTTGGCGTTGGAGTGTGATCAGGGTCTAGTTGAGTTGGGTTGAGGCATATACACTTTGAGGCACATATAGTTGCCGCCTTTGCTGCTGTTGCTCCCTCATTCGTCAATCGTGTGAAAGGGCCAGCTAGCTCGAGCTTGTGGTTTTCGCATGGTGAGTATATTGCGGGTGAGAGAAAGCGAAAGTATTTCATGGCAGGATAATCTGATTACAACGTTTGGCCTACTTCTCTCCCAAGCATCTTCTGTCTTTTTTGCATAGCCCAACACATCCCCAAACTTTTCGTCTTTGACCTCCAGCTGTATCACTTCCTGCCTTAGTGCTGTCCTAAAAGGTCTCGTTGACTGCAACCGAGTGCGGCCATCCCAGCTACCCAAATTAGACTCCAAGCTCGAATAAACACAACGACGCGCTGCACAAAAAGCACGATAACTAATCGCTCCTAAACTCCCATAACCCAACTCCTGATTCGTAAAGACGTTATCCGTCCGTCCCAATGTACTCACTTCCCAAGAGCTATTCAAGCTCGTCCGCATTAACATGTTCATTCGACGTTGAGGAGATGACGTTGCGCATAAACTCGTTGTATCTATTTCGTGATAATTTCGTAAGCAAGAAAAGTTGAGTCGATGAGATTAAATTTGAAGGGAGCAAGATTCCATCTTGTCCAAAACACGTAGTTCAAGTACTTTGTGCCATGATACAGCCTAACAAGGCTTTGGTGAAAATATCGCCAGAAATGGTGTGGCATGTTTTTGAGGTAGTCTTAGCAGGGTTTCTGATCAAGTCTTGGTTTCCGGACGCCAGAAGAGTATCCACCTAAAATCGTGAAGTAGAGCTTCGAGCAAAGACCGGTCTTGACTTAGTAGTTGGCATAGTGGAGGTAAGAGCAGACAGATTGTTGTTGGCACTGCCAATCTTAGTGAAACCCTTAGAAATATCCAGCTCTTCACCGTCCTCTGACGCCTCGTCCGGGAAGGAGCCAAAATCGAACAGATTATCTGCATTCTCGTCATTGAAGTCGGCAAAGAAATCAGGAGTCTTTGTAGTGAATGACTTCTTAAGTGGCGAGCCAGCAAAATTTGTTGTCGTTGGAGGCTTGAATGTGACGTTGTCAGGAATCTTGCTAGGTGTTTTAGCGTTGAACTTGCCATTGGCACGCTTTGTCACGTCTGACAGAATGCCAGCTGAGGTATTGAATCGCTGCATAGGTGGCCGAGCAGAAAAGACCGACTTGATGGGTGAGGATCCAATAGGCGTTCCTGGATTGTTGAAATCATACAAGAAGTTATCATCAAACGAGTGAGATAGGCCTGGGGTAGCCAACTTAAAGGCAGGACTATACGCATCAAATTCGACTGCCAACTGGTCATCTCGCTTGCCTGGCGATCCTCCTATGAATCGAACCATTTCTTCTCGATGACGACGTAGCTGAGTATTAGGTGAGATAGACTGTGGTGGCAGGAATGGTTTCTTGAAAATTACAGGAGGGGTAGCAGGTACAGCAGGAGGGCTCTGTTGAAGTGGTGAGGAAGACCGTCGAGTGTTCAAAGCTGGGTTCTTGGAACGACGACCACTGGGAGTAATATCGTGGGAAGAGCTTCTAATGCGAGCAATCTCTTCTTCAGCACGGCCGACCTTCTTCCTGGGCACGCATCCAAGCTCCGAGGTGAGCATAACACCGCCATTCCTCGGTCGATGGGCAGACGACTCGAGTGATGAAAAATAGCCGCTGTCATCCATACCACTTGTCTGTCGTCGCTTGTGCGAGGGATGAACATTTCTAGCAGGAGACGATGTTCGCTGCGAAGTTCGAGGTACCACTGGAGGAGATGAGTTGATGACAGGAGGTGAGGACGGCGGTGGTAGCATGGAAGGCGCAGGCAGATCAGGTACCTCCTTGCTTAGAATGATCTCTTCCTCATGCAAAGCAGGATCCGAGGCAGGCAGTGTGGCATCAGAAGAGAGCTCAGGTAGAGCTAGATCAGCTGCGGGAGCAGTCTGTGGCCGAACAGGCGGGACAGGAGCAACGGGCTCGATAATGTTCTGCGACTGGACGATCCAACTCTTCGGCTGCATGACTTCTGTAATTGGTTGTGGCATAGCTTGCATCATTGGCTGGGAGCTAAAGGGCTGTTGCATGTGCATGTTAATGCTATTGTTCTTCCGTGGCTTGTCCTTGAAGAATTGAGCTTCCATACCAGGTTGAATGACCCAGTAACAGCCTTTGCCAGCATCACTCTTGGGACGTTCCTGCTTGATGAAGGCCTTGTTGAGAGACAAGTTGTGTCGTATACTATTGTGCCAACCAGTCTTGGGATCCTCTCTGTAGAAGGCAAAAGTGGTCGCGATCCAGTCGTATATACTGGCAAGCGTCAAGCGACGACCTGGTGCTCTGAGAATAGCCATGCCAATCATCTGAGCATAACTATAGGGTGGCTTCTGTCCATCATCAGAGACAGTAGGCATGTCTTCAGGCTCTGGCAGCTCAACAGGTTCCTCGCCTATTTCTTGGAAAGTGGTTGGCTTTCCTTTCTTGAAGGGTTTGTCGCTACTTGGAACAGTTTCGGAGTATGAACGTTTTAGAGGGGCTCTTCGGACCTGCGAAGGGTCGGGAAAGTCGACAAAGTTATCAGGCAGAGGCATGTGCATCTGAAAATTTTCTTGGTCGAAGTGCTGGAAATTACCATCCCACGCAGTGTAGACGGGTTGAGGATGTAGAGAGTGTGCAGGCATCAGTGGTTGAGAAGATGGCAGACTTATTCTCTTTTGAGGACTATCAGTGTATATAGGTATAGACTCTGGAAGGGACATGCTGGGAACCAAGTTCATAGTCGAGTAGTCGCCTGGCATTGGGGGATAGTTGGATTTTATGGGCGACATGTGGTGCTTCGAATGCATATGTATGGTTGGATAGGCCACCTGCGAATTGATTCTTTGACTGGCCTGTAGTGGCATGGCGGAAGGTGCGAGTTGAGGTCGTGGTCGCTTCTGTGGTAGAGGGTGTGAAAGTGGGTGGGGGTGGGGGTGTACCTCAGTGAAGTCTTGGTATATCTGGATGGGCGGTGGTTGACGCGTCGGCGACATGGTGGTTGATGGGTTAGAATATCCGAAACCTGGTCATGCGTATCTCTATATCAAACTGCGCGTCAGCGCACGTTGGCGGTGAGCTGGGGTCAAAATTGTGGAAATTGCAGACGCGGCGAAGTCGGTATCGTCGGAAGCTTAAGGTAGACCCAAAATGTGCCAAATGAGTCGGCGGCGTGCTTGCACTTCTTTGACCCCAACGACGTATTTTGACAGCTATCAACGACTATTGTGCCTGGTCTCCGTTTGACAGATTTTGAGAAAGAACGAAGGGTTTGAAGGTGTTCTTCTCGTTGGTCGTGGCTCGAGCGCGAAGGAGGGCAGGCTCTGTCCCGTGCGAAATTAAATGCTATTCGTAAATCGTCGTTTGTGGTCTGATGGTGATAATGCTCGTATGTGTTTCGTGGGTGCACCAATGACCCGAACCAGGGTATAAGTACTGAAGTATGTGTATATGTGCAACGGTGGGAGGAACAGAGGTTAGTAAAGTCGAAGTGGGCAGGCGCAGGTGGAAGATTCGAAGTGGGTGAGATTGTGCCTGTCCATAAGAGCCGACCGATACGAGTGTGGCTGCTCTCCGCTTCATATCACGGCTATGAGGAAATCCTGTATGATGAGACCGAACGTGGTGGACGCCCGGCCGGAGGTTTGTAAGATTCCCTTATCGACACGGCCGCCCACTTTGACGCTCAAACCTGGCAGAAAAGCAGGTCTACAGGCATGTCACTCCAAAGGAAGAGGTTTGAATGAAGCTACGGACGCGACACGCCCAGATGTGAGACCTTCCAATCATATCCGCCTCTCTCACGTCAAAGAGGGCCGCTCATACACACGCCAATTCAAGCTTAGTGTGACCGTATGCCAGGAACTGTCGTTCCATTCGCTGACGTTTAACGCTTTCTTGCGTCTTCCCTTGCAGCGCTGGCCAACGCATATGCGAAGCTAGTATGAGATTGTATCCAGGTCGGCTGCATTGACTGGTTCTGGCTTGCCGTAGATGGCTGTGCCTGACATGAGCTTGTCTGTGCTGCGCGACATCTCGAATCTCGATCTGTAGAATTGTTCATTCCGCTGCAAGCAGATCGCGCAATACGTCTACGTATAGAGAGATTGAGATCTGCTTGCTATATCTATAAATCTACAGACCATCTAGAGCTGGGAGCCCGGAATTGTAGAAGCCAAAACCCCGTCGATCTCACATCGAATGGATAGCTATGTTCCGGACTATCCTGGTACATGTGATTGGTGCTCCATCTCAGTTATCCAGAAAAGTGAACAGATTTGTATGCAAGATATTAAGTGCCCGGTCAGCGTCTCTCTCCTCAATGACACACGATATATTGATCTCGGATGCACCTACTCCTGCGTTAGTTTTGATAATCATAATTTGGTGAAAAGGGCTCACCTTGAGAAATCATCTCTATGTTCACGTTGTTCTCACCCAGTGTAGAGAACATTCTACCCGCTACGCCCACCATATTCTTCATCTGTTTACCAACCAGGCTCACGATAGCCATATCCGGAATTATATCAACGGCACCAAATGATCTCAAATCATTGATAGCGCCTTGAAGATCTTGGTCAACAATTTTGTACTCGTCGTCACCTCCACCTGTATAGAGTGGCGCTTCAGAATGCAGAGCCATTGAGATATTCACTTCACTCGTAGAGATGACATCGACTGACAGTCTCCATTTGTCTAGTGTCGCAAAAATGCCGGCAAAGAAGCCGTGAGAAAGCGACCTCTTGTTCGAGTGCACATTGACCACCAAAATTTGATGCTTCATGGTTACCGCAGTTGGTCGCTTGGGTCGTTTGCCAGTCAATCCATTCACCAACGTCGAGCTTCTGGATCGAAAAAGTGGAGAGGCGCCATTTTGCAACGTTGGTTCCAGCTCATGGGCAGAGTCTGGGTAGATGACGGTGCCCTTGCCTCGGGGGTTCATAACATTCTTGATCCTGATCGGGATCCTGGCTCGAATGACCTGATCCATGGTGGACGGATGAATGACCTCTGAGCCATAGAATGTCAGTTCGGCTGCTTCGGCCGGACTGATTTGTGGAATGAGCTGGGCCGTTGGCACCTTTCGAGGATCAGCAGTGAAGATGCCGTCCACCTCTTTCCAAATCTGCAATTCCTGTGCGTGTGTGCCCACCGCCACAAGAGCAGCACAAAGGTCCGTATACCCTCGACCGACTGTGGTAAGGAGTCCTCGAGGAATGGCGCCAAAATAGCCAGTAATGACTGGCACTATTTCAGAAGATGCTGGCAGAAATTTTGCCATGTTTGCTGCCACACTATCGTAGAAGTCCTGGTTGAGACTGTGTTCAACCTTGAAGTCGATGATGTCGGCAAAATCGACGTATTGAGCAGGAACGCCATGCTCTTCCAGAAGCGCGGTCATGAATCTGCAGCTCAGCTTTTCACCAACACTCATAACCTTATCTCGAGACCTCGGACTCGTCTCTCCGAGAGTCTGAGCAGCCTCAAGTATGCGGATGACTAGATCGCATTCATCATTGACCTCCTGTTTTAATCTTGCTTGTAGCTCTGGCGTCTTGATCTCCTTCTCGGCGGTTTCGATGTGGTCAGCACGAACGGCATCGATCAGGGTGTGGAAGGACTTTGAGTAGTGGTTCTCAGCGTCCGAGGCAGCACGGAGCAATCTGTTTGTGGTACCAGCAGCTTTGGTGGAACTGGACCTGGCAGAGCACACAATGGCCACATCGTTGTCGACGAGACTCGACTTGACAACGTTGACAATATCGATCGGGAACTTTCCAACGGATGTGCCTGGCAGAATAATTGTTAGTAAAGTTCATTACTGCCCTTCTGGAAGGCTTCCCACATACCACCAAATTTTTGAATAACTTTTCCCCTTGGTGGGGCGTCATCAACGCCATTTAAGGCCGTCATAATGGATGCTGAGATGAGAGTCGATCGTAAAATCGAAGGTCCATAGGGCTTTCGAACACGATCGTGAGCAGTGATGTGCTATGTTATAAGTTGCAATGCGGTGTAAAAGAGAAAAAAGCACAGCAGAAATCAGAGTCGCAATAGGGCACCACATTCATGCCGTGCATGTTTAGCGAGATCGGGAGTCAACAAACCAAAACTTTTCGAGATTGTCTCCAGTTCTGGCCCTGTGCCGGCACGTCGAAAGATGTGCGTCACTGGTGTGTTCGAGGTTGCTTCGTGCTTCGTTGTGCATGTTTGCTCGTAGATCTTGTTCCACGTCGTGTGCAAGCCTACTACTGTTCTAAGAATGCTGTGACCCTGCATACATGTACGACAACGCATTACGGACTCATCCAAAGAACCTGTCAAAGCGCTGATATGGAAAGCAAGTCCTCAGAGCTTCTACTGCCACTATTACTATCGATTACTGGCCATACTCAATCTCCTCCTCCCCACTGTGACTTCCTCGTCGCTGTCTTCACTTGCTGACTCGTCGCGGAAGCCTTCCTCGAGTTCTCGGCTCAGTCTTTGTATTGAGGCCTCGTCTCCATGCCTCGTGTGATCGACTGCAGCATTAATAGCACGAGCCTCGCCTGAATCTCGTATGCCTAGTCTTGCATCATTTCTTCTTTGGCCATGGATTCCTCTACCTTGTTCGTTCATGTCGAATCCCACCATGGCTTCTCCGCTTTCCTGATTGAACAAGCCACCATCCTCATCACTACTTGCGCTATCTCGTCTGCCTCTCCCATCAGTATCTCCGTCGTCTCCTCTATTCCTGAACTTCCATAAAGACGGCAGTACTAGCCGGAAGATCAGATCGCCCAGTCTCTCTCGTATCGATCTGGGTCGCAGCGCATCTGGTATGTATTCGCCAAAGATCGAAGTCGTAGATTGCAATGTAGATGTCAACGGCGCGTATTGTGAGTAACGCGCTATATCGGCTCGATGACGCCTGTATATGGGCAAGAGGACGAACATGAGTAGCAGGTATAGCGCTGCTGCTACCAGGAGAGGTATCAATGCAGTCTTTGGCCACGATCAGTGACTTCCTCGCGATGGATTCCAGTCTTGCTCACCTTCACTACTGCCAGTGCCGATCCTGCCATGGTGAGGATGGGTGTCCAAGCAAGTATGTCGCGCTCGTGTTTGATGCAAGATCACAACCAGCCTTGCGCAGATAGAGTAGTTGTTATCAGATAATCATGTAGGGGAGAGGAAGGAAAGCCTCAGTTTGACATCGTATTTTGACTACTCAAGCCTCTCACATATATGCAAATCTACCATTGATGTCTTTCGCGGAGACTTGCTGACTAGCACTTCGTGATCCCTCACAACACATACTGCACAGAGCGAGTTTGCGTAAACGCTGTGTATCGACCCCATGGGCTGTAAGCGACCGCAGCGTGGTGGAGCCTCAAGAAGGCCCCTGCCCTTTTTGGACTCCAGACATGTTCTTGCTTGTCAGGTCGCTTCGCAAGATCAATATTGCTCAGCATGTACCAGGAGGGAGATCTCAGTGACGGGGTGTGTGCAGCCTCGATGAGCGAGTATCCTTCTTTCTATCCACCCTAGGTCGATACACGTGTCCAGCAACATGCATGGACTCCTATACTTGACTTTACCCGTGCTACTCTGAAATAGCTTACACCAGCGGGATATGAACAAATCGTCGAAAATGCCGTTGGCCAAAAAGCGCAAGGCTCAAGCAGTAGCTAGTGAGATAGACATGAGCGAAGATCAAGACGAACTCGATCCCTCCCTACGAACCCTAGCTGAAGATGCACTTGCGGACACAATCGAAGTCACTGCTAGAGAAGACACTGCACTGGAGACTCCCTCGAAACGAGGAAGAGGCAGACCGAAAGGCGCCAGAAACAAGCGTACACCTACTCCCGACGGTGATATTCCTCCTGAAGAGCGCTACTTCTTTCAGACTCGAGTCGGTCCAGCTAATCAACAACCTACTTCTACAAACTCTTTCTCTGCTCTTGGCCTTCTCACCCATGACGAATACCTCGCTGAATCGCGCAAGTACAAAGACCCTCATGAGCTGGAAATGAGATATCTGTTGAAGCTGCACGGAAGAGCGTTTCCACAATGGCAGTTCGAGCTGGATCAGGACTTTAGTATATGTTTGTATGGTTGGGGAAGCAAGAGACAGCTAGTCACCAACTTTGCCGAGTATCTTTGCCATCAAGCTGCAAAGAAGAACGCACCACATCCCAAGATCGTTGTGATTAATGGCTATGCCCACAAGCTCAACGTACGACACGTTTTAAATACAATTGCTACAGCTCTTCATGCAGACCCTGACGAGGAAGATCCAGCACCAGTCCGTCTCGTTGGCCAACCTCAAGACATCCTCGATACCCTGTTGACTAGGCTGAATAATACTCCTTTTCGAATCCACTTGTTGATCAATAGCATCGATCATGTATCCTCTCCCTTTCGCACGACCGCCAACCAGGCTTTGCTAGCACGACTTTCAGCACATCCGATGATCAATACCTTGATGACTTGCGATACTCCAACCCTTAATTCGATCTTTCCGTCCAATATTCGTGATCAGTATAGCCTCCTGTTCCACGACGCCACCACCTTTGCTGCTTACGACACAGAAACGAACGTTGTGGACGATGTAAACGAACTGCTTGGCCGAAAGGGTCGACGTGTTGGTGGTAGCCAAGGTGTCAGCTTTGTGCTGAAATCACTACCCGAGAATGCCCGCAATCTCTATCGACTTCTTCTCTCTGAAATTCTTACAATCCTGAACGATGACGAGACAGGTGGAATACCAGAGCCAGAAGATGAATTTATCGATCCTAGTCTACTTGATGCAACAGCAACACCACGGAAGCAAAATGGCCGCAGTCAGGCAGCAGAAGACATTGGTATCGAATACAGGACCTTGTATCAGAAAGCTAGTGAAGAGTTTATCTGCTCGAGCGATATGAATTTCCGATTTTTACTCAAAGAATTCCACGACCATCAGATGTTGACCACGCGGAAAGACGCAAGCGGCACTGAAATGCTAGGCGTGCCACTTGATCGTGGAGAGATGGAGAACGTGTTGGAAGAATTAGTACTTTGACCAGACCAGCTCATGCAAACGAACAAACTTGCAAGATGCATACAACTCCTCTTTCCCATACAAAACAGCAACTTTCATTTATCGACCACTCGGAGTCCCATGTATTCAATGTTTGCAAGACCTGACTAGGTCGTTGCGACATTACCAGTCCTTTTCTTTCCGTGGCGGGCCCTCGCCGAGATTTTGATAGGGTACCTCGGCTGGACATCTGCCCTTTATACCCTTGGGCCAGTGACCACTGCTCTGACAGTCCTCCAGTCCCTTGCAAACACATACTGAATTGTAGTCGTGGTCCCCATTACGATCAATATGTCCGCGGTCCTGGCAGTAATATTTCTGAGCTCCGCAGCAGTTTCGGGATTTGCCAGGAATCCACGAAAAAGCACAGCACCATCTGAATGCACGTGTGTCGCAGCATACGCATACCGCCAGGTCAAGCAGATTAGTGGTACTGGTTTGACGCTTTTCCAGGCTAGAAGTGCTGTTGGGAGACGAGAGGTTAAACTCGGATGCTTGGTGAGTCATGTCGGGGTCGAGATGGAGGCTTTCGAAGAACTTCCATGACGCTGTCATTTCATCATCGCTGACAGGGAGGTATGGATAGGCTGCTGGATCGGCTAGATACCGGGCGGTGAAGTTGGCTTTTAGGTTGTGTCTGTCCAGAGCTGCCTCCCATTCATCTAGGAGGTGTGCGTTGTTTCCCGGGTCTGCAATCCATGCTGGATCGGGGCCAGCCAGGAGGGAAGCAATCTCTTGCTCTGTGATCGTTGTGGTGGTTGGTGCTGCTTCAGCACCGTGGATAAAGAAAACGGCGGCGACGCTACTGAGGATGTGGCGGCAATGCATCTTGACGAGGCTGTGGAGGCGTCAGGAACCTCCTCAGTGGATGAAGTGTTTGTATCTGCAATAGAAGTCTTGAGAATATGGAAGGAAAAGAAAAGAAGTACAACAGGCAGAATATCTACGTCTCATATACCTTTCAGTTGTGTGTGGTGTTGGACGTACAAGGACTGGTTCTCTAAGCTCTAACACTAACATGGCTTTAGCTGGATCTAATGAGCAGGTTCGGCTGGGAAAGCATTGCTGAGATTGTGGTTATTTCATGGGATTCGCACAAGAGGTCCCAATTAGCCGGCGTTATCATGTGAGAACGAGTCCCGTTAGTAGCTGAACATTCAATGGATCACGAATGAATATACTGGTGCATACGCGAAGACGATACTGGTCCTGTACGAGGCACGACTAAGATATAGAGTGCTCGGCAAAGGGTTGCCGAGATTGAGGAGTAACGCACACTCCAGAGGCGGCTACTTTACAGCACACTGCGCTCTTTGGTTCGTGGCTGAATAAAAAAACGACCGGTTCTTCAATCTGCTCACACAGCACATCTCGCTGAATCATGTGCACCACCAACTCGAGACCACCTTTATCATTCAAGGCTAAGTAATCCCGAGAATATTAACAACGGACTATACCTATCGCAAAACCTTCAGCTAGCTACACAGACTGATAGATCACATGCTGTGCATTCACTTTCAAATGTGTGATCGGCCCTACTTGCCTACCTATGAGATCTGACCTTTCACGGTTCTTTCCCGTGTACGATGAAGAGTCGATCGAGCTCAAGTCACGAGTTGAGTTGTAAGTTAACACTCTGGGTCAAAGCTGCAGTCAGTCTGTTAGTAATGCTGCAAAGTCAGAAAGGATGCATGTCTATTTCAGTTCTCGAGCCAAATTTGGACGGGAGAGTCGAAGGACGCGATTTGAGCAGGTATACCTTGCTGGATATGTTGTAGAGGCAGAGAAGTGCTGTGAGACTCGAGGAATAAGTGGCATGGCTAGTAACAGTGCTTCGAAACAGTTGTCAAGTCCATAGACACAAAAACGCGAGCACACAGTCGTACTACTCGAGTAGACTCGCGCTAGCATATACGTAGCATCTACAACAAGGTCCCGAGATGTCATGCCAGATTAGTCTACTGTCGTCCATGTTCAACTTCGCAGAATCACTCTCGAAAAAATGCAAAAAAAGAGATTATTCTCGTGGAGAAGCTGGCTGATTATTGTTAGACATTGCCCGATGCTGAATTGAAGAAATCACTCACGAATCGAACCCAGAACCTTTTCCAGGCCTTGGAGGGCACTGAATGCTAAGGAAACGTCATACCACTGTTTGACGTTAGGATTTGTATCCAAGGATTAGAGAAGAACCAGTCGTACCTAGACCACATCCCCATTTGAACAGCTGTATGTGCTGATTTGTGATGGCAAAATTTTGGGTTTATTATAGATACAATTTGTGCGGCTGGAGGACTATTTAGGCCTGGTGTGGTATATCGAGTCTTGGCGCTCGATGATCCGGTAATTTCAGGAATTTCTGCAGACCTCCAGCAACCTCCAGCAACCCACAGCGACCTCCGTTCGTTCATGCGACATACGAAAGACTGAATTGCAGACAGAGTCTACTCTGCTGACGGTTTTCGTTATCGGTAAACAGGCTCCCTTTGATTATGTGAAGGAGAGAGGCGACGTCTTTTCTATGTCGTGCATATTTTGAGTCATTGACGTGGTGACGCCTTTGACCAGAAACTTCGGTGGTATCAATTACCGCCTATTCGGGAGTACGCCAGTGAGCAAACCTCAAAGTACACAAATTCCGCGACTGCAACCAATAAACATAGATTTTCCTATTTTGTCCTTAAATACCTGAGCATTATCAACAGCTTTTGCTAAGACAGAGATACTCTAATCCCGACTTTGATACAGGTACCCAGCTGCTGGTCTACCTGTTTCAAGCATTCATTGCCAACCACTATCGCAGCAATGTCAAACTCAACGACTCACAGGACACTACCCTTCCCCCCGATTACCGCACAACATATACTCAATTGCTCAGTCCACTCATGGCACCCCAGGTACCGCTCAAAAACACCCAAAGCACGTCTAATCCCTCTCACCCAACCATTCATAGACTACCTCCGCGCAGACGGCATCATGCTTCCTCCCGAAACGGTACGCAACGACGACGACAGCGGCTACTCCGACAGTGAAGACGAAGACGACCCTTCCGAAGATTGGCCTGAAGTCCACGACAAGATCAGATCGACAATCGCTGAATTAGGTGGAAAGGTAGTCCCAAAGCTTAACTGGTCTGCACCAAAGGACGCCACGTGGATGTCGAGCACGAATGATATGGAATGCAGGACGCCGAATGAGATTTATCTTTTACTCAAATCGTCGGATTTCATCACGCATGACTTAGAGCAAGCGTTTGACGGGTGTATCGATACGGCAGACGTACCTTACCACCTCATTCTTCGCAAATCATTCAATCTCAATCCATCGTTGGAGTTTCGGTGTTTTGTCCGGAACAAGAAGCTCATTGCTATCACTCAGCGCGAAATGAACCACTTCCAGTTCCTCTTCGACTTGAGAAGCGAATTCAGCTTGAAGATTGAAGAGTTCTTCGAAGACATATTGAAGGACTTTCCAGACTCTAATTTCACCTTTGATGTGTATCTACCTCCACCGCACGATCGAGTATGGCTCATCGACATCAATCCATGGGCACAACGCACAGATCCGTTGTTGTTTTCGTGGCTGGAATTATTGACAATGGATGAACCGGAAGATGAGGAGTTCGTGCCAGAGTTCAGGTTGGTGCAGAGAGACGATCCAGAAGCGTATCAATTCTCGGCTACGAAGTTTAGTGCTCACAAATTACCTAAGGATGTGGTGGATGCTGGCTCGACTCCAGGTGGGATGAAGGGAATTATGGAAGAGTGGAAGAGAGTCATGAATGGTGAGGGATTGGATGATTCTGAGGACGAGACAGTGTGAGCGAAGCTGGTGAATGAGCATTGCAATTTATTCGCGCAAGATAAAAGACAATATATCTCAATTCCCTTGTGTTCACCGAGGGAGCAAACGAGTACTGAAAGCGACAAAATTCCGTGTACGATATACGTAGGACACAACACCCATGTCTTTCACTCCCAGGCTGTTCTATCACAATCATGTGACTCAGTATAATAACATCGCTACCAGGGTAACTCACGCAAGCCTCTTACTTTTCTTCTGCATATACCCCCAGACCTCGGGGATACACCCCTCCGGATTGCGATCCACGACACGCACCTTATCCCACCCATGATCAGCAGCCGCAGCAGTTCTCAGATCCCCAGCCGTATCCCTTGTCAGATCACAACCACTCGCCAAGAACTGATACCCAAGCATCATGTACACCTTCTGCAACAGATACGCAATCCGGCTACCCGACCTTCTTCGATCGCCACTATTTCCGACATGCTCGAAGAAGATAATCTTACCACCAGGCTTCAACAAGCGATAGAAGAGATTTGCAGTCTCCCGTGGATCTGGAATGCCACAGAGTGCTCGAATGCAGACAATCGTGTCGAAAAGTCCTTCGGCCTCGTCATTCTGGAGCAGGCCATGTTTATCCATGTACGGAATCAATGCGTCGGGTTGAGCACCACAAGACAATATCTGGTACATCCTCGGAGCTTTCCCGCCAAACACCTTGATAGCTTCACCTTTCAGCTGATCATGCATTTCAGTCCCTGGCTCCACGGCATAGATTTCATCGATCTTTCCTGCTTCGAAAGCTGTCTTGAAACGTTTGAGCTGGAAACCTGACCCTGGGCCGATATCTAGTACTTTGCCGCGACAGTGTTCGTCGAGAATTGGCTGGAGACCTTGTGGGACGTCGTTAGAAAGACATGATCCGATAGTTGACCACCATAAAGCGAAGCTCTTTGATTGAAGTTTGTCGAATTGGAAGTTAAGTAGTAGTCGCGGGTTGAAGAGTGTGGTTAGCAAGAAGGCTGGATACGTAGTAGTTATTAGCATGAAGATATCGACGGCAGTAATCTTGTGATCGCTGTTTATATGAAACTCACTTGGCGTCAGCACCACCATCAAGATACCTGGCGTCAGCAGGTTAAACAGCCATGCTGCTGGAGTGAGATGTTCTGTGTCCATTGCGCTCAGTATTCCCTTCGAGGATGCCCTTTCCAATCCCTATGCGAGAACGGCAATGTGTAGAGAATACCGTGGATGCTGCGAGCCCAAGAAGCCAACTTCAAGATGATCAGCAATACGAGCTAAAGCGCGTGACTGCGTGGGATGAAGTCATGCCATGCCGTGAATGCATGTCAGACAGCTATAACCCTGGAATAGGCCACCAATACATCGAGCAAGAGGACATCTGCAAGCATTTGGAGCGCCCACTGACCTGGACGAATGAGACGATACGCAGCGTAACAGAAAGCTTTGGTAAGGTATTACTGATGGTAGTCAATACCTGTAACGTAGTCGATACCTGGAACGGGAACGAATAGGTATTGAACCCATCCACGATACTGTAAAATTACAGACACCCAAACGGCATAGCAGACTGACCAGTGCCGCAGACGCGCTCACGGCGCGTGAGCAGTCTCGGCCTTCCCTGCCCTCCACATTCGTGGGTTCCTTCATGAGCATAGAATAGCATTGTGATTGTCCAGGCGTTTGCTTGACATTGAGACGAAGGGAAAAACGCGTGAAGTCTTGCTGAATTGTTTTTTGTGCTGACACGTTACAGGCAGCCTCGAACCGAATGATGATCCACTAATAGCAAAAAGCTATATAAGTATCAAGGATATGCTCAGTTGATTGGGGACTAACACCATCCGATACCCAGCCACCACATGAGACGCTAAGACCACGAAATCTCATGCATGCTAATGCTAATCTTGGCCAATCATAACCTCATATGCTCGTATAGTCAGATCTCGTAACTCATACTCAATGTCATATAGGATATCGACAAGTCCTTCTAATCATCCGCATCAAAGGTACCCTCAACCTGGACTCTTCCTACACTCCAAACCTCTCTTTCGTCCTCCACCTCGTCACTTGCAAGACCGAGAGCTCCTTTTACACCACCTTCTGCCTCTTTCTGTTCTCTCTTTTGGTTGCCTAGCTTGAGACCAACACGCTTCATGTACTCGCTAATGCTGCGCAATATTGGTGCTGGGATATCCTTCTTCGCCTCATCACTGTTCATGAACTTGTCGAACAATACGCTTTCCGACTCAACAACATCAAAGAGTTGAATGAAGCAAGCCTCAGCTGCGAGCTTGATCGGAATGACGGGATCGCGTAGCGACTGGAAGATTGGCAGCAGTAGAGACGAGGCGAAAGGCTGAATGTGACTGTTGTGATGTCTCGCTAGTGTGCGGACAACGACCAGGCTAAGTCGACGAGTATCGATATCATTACCTTGCTTGATCTTGCTGGCTAGTGCCTCGATCAATGGTCTAGCGATGGACACATCGGAAACAACCGTGTCGTCATCGTCGTTTGGATGGACGAGGAGAAGTTTGCCCACAGCCAAGACTGCATTGTGTTGAATGAAGGTTGCACCTTCTGCCAAGGAAGATACAAGAGCCTCTTTGGTGTAATCGAGATGTGCTCCTGTAACGACCTTAGGATTTTCTGCAAGCACTGCATTAACAGCCAATATCGAGGCTGATGTTGCTGGTTGAACAAGTACACGACTTTTGACCATAGAATCAGCTGTGGCAGGAGGCAACACTTTAACCATGGCACCAAGCAATTTAGCCATGACCACCATCATCTCATCAGAGTTGGCGTCCTGTGAGTCCATCAGACTCAAAATGGCGTCTCTTGATGGCTCACTCATATTACCACCTACTTTGCTGACAACCTCCTGCAAGGCTTTGAGCATGGCATTCCGTACTCCAGTGTCGCTTGTTTTTGCACCGGTCGTCAATTCTGTGATAAGAGGATCGATTCTTGGAGTCAGCGTGATCAGTGTGCTCAAAGCACGAATTGCTCTGTTGCGAAGCACATCGCTGGTAGGATCTGCAATACATTTCGTGAATGTTCGTTGCAACTGTGGTAGGAAAGGGCGCAAGAAAGCAGGGATCTTGTCCAGAAGTTGGTTGAGAGCATGGATGATGGCTGTCTTGACGTCCACGGATCGTTCTCCGACGACTCGAATGAGCGGTCCAGTAATCTGTGTCACGAATGGTTTCAACGAATCTGACGCTGATTTGTCGATCATATCGGAAATACCATTGGCGGCTTGAAGTCTCTGTTCCGCTGTACCATTCATCAAACCTTGAAGGAATATCGCCAGCACAGGCTGTATGCCTTTGGGCAGCATGAACCCAGGTAGATTGCTGCCAGGAGTTCCTACTTGCTTCATGACTGTTGTTGTCGATGCAGTAAGCGATTCCATTTCTTCCTTTCGTAGGTGACTCTGCAACGCACTCAGAGCAGACCAAGCAGCTGAGACCACAGCTTTGTCGCGATCGTCGAACGATATAAGTAGAACACGAATGAGGTCTTGGTTGTAACGGGAATAGTCGACATCAGTCTTGCTGAAAAATTGACCAAGGTGTATAGCTGCAACTGCTCGTCGATTGTGGTCATCATGTTTGATCATTTGAAGCATAACACTCATAGCGGTATTGAGACCATCGTACTCGTCAACTGAGCATATTACAGCATCAAAGGCTGCATCCAAGTCGACCTTTCGCTCGTCGTCTTTGCATGTGATGATGTTGTCGGCAAGATTATTGAGTATGGTAGGTAATCTACGGTTCATAGCCGCACCACCAACCTTGGCTAGAGAAGCGATAGCTCTGGCATTAAATGCTGAGATAGGTGAAGTAAGCAGTGTAGGTATCAGGTTTGGTAGGATTGCGTTTGCTCTCATCTGTTCTGTCAGCAAGGTCAAAAGAGCTGAAAGCGCATTTTGAGCATCATCCTCATTTCGCAGAAGGTTGAGCAGATATGGCAGTACCTGATCGACTGCACGCTTGCCGATGATATCCTGCAAAGCATCAAATGCTTCAGCAGCTGCTTCCCGAACTTCGTCAGCAGAATCGACAAGAGCCATTCTGACGATTCCAATGATTTTCTTCTCGTTGTCCTCGATCGAGTCAGGCGCCGCCGCAGTCACAATCTCACGAAGAGCTATACAAATACCTTGACGATTATCCGCATTTGTTGAGCTCTCGAGTCCTTGCTCTAACGTGGGCAACAGAGAATTGAAGATGCTTTCACCAGATTTTCTGATAACTTCGCCAAGCGCATTAGCGGCGATGTGCTTCTGCTCTGCATTACTGGAACCCAGTCTTTGGATTATCATCTGAGTAAGGGTTGGCACAATCTCACGTAGCGTTCGTGGAGTGGCAACAAGCGCTTTCCAAACTGCAACAGCTGCAGTCCTGACCAGGCCAGATGTATCGCAGCGGCAGATATACAACGAAGACAATACCCGATTCCTGCGATCTTCGCCGAGTACTTCTAATAAGGACTGACCAGCGGCTGCTGTACGATCTTCATCCTCTTCAGCTTCTGCCTTGGCTGACAGGCCCGTAAGGTTGAACAACAGATCGCCAACTAGCTCAACGGAACTGAGACGAATTCGATAACTATCATCGGCAAGACCACGTTGCAACTCAGGCAGTAACAGATCGATCGATTTCGTGGCAAAGTTTTTGACAAGTAGTCGACCTGCATGCAATGCTGTGTCTCTGATTGCTTCAACATCATCTGCAAGCCCACTAAGCACTGCTGGAATGATTTGAGCGAGATAGTTTGCGAAGCTGTTGCCGAAACAGGCGGGTAGATAGACGAAAAGTGTCATGAAACCTTCTCTGACCACAGCTCTGGTACTGGCCACATTCTGCAGGAGTGTCGGGAGAGTCTCTTCGAGACGTGCCGTGCCAAGACCCGCGAGGACTTCAGACAAAGCTTGGGCTGAACCAATTCTGTCACTAGCACCAGTATCCGTACGCAGTGAAGCCATAAGACTTGGAATCAGGTCGGGGAATGCATCTTCTCCCAGCTTCTCAACCAGACTGCCCAATGCCTTTGAAGCAGTCGCGCGAGTGGCTGGAACCGGATCTATAGCGGCAAGACGTAGACCTTGCACGAGAATAGGTAGGTGAGTGATGATGTCGCGCTTCTCGGTCAAATGAGCAAGACTACCGATGATCTGGGCAGCTTTGCGTTTTGTCGAGGATCTGTCGTTCAAACCACGTTCTAAGATACGCACAATTAACGCAAGCGAAGGTGAATCGATGTAGTGAATGAAGGACACTCTTATCAGGCCGTCGAGCGCATCTTCGGTGTGCTTCGTAGGATCGCTTAGTGCTTTAAGTAGTGTATCGACAAGGCTCTTGACCTCTGGATTACTGATGACTTCACCGAAGCGTTTCAGACTGCTGTTTGCCGCCGCTCGTACTTCCTTGTGTGAATCTGTTAGCACACTTGTCAATGGAGGGATAATGTCTGGTAGACTTTGTGCCAATTGTTGAGGGTCGAGATAAGCCATTGCTCCAAGGAGATCGCAAGCACCCTTCTTGCTTCGCCATTGTGTCTCGTCAAGTCCCTCGAGTAGCTGTGGTAAGACTTTAGCCACACCATATGAGCTGAGGCTAGAGAAGCAGGTTTTTGCAGTATCCAAGCAGGCGTCACGAACTGATGCGACAGGATCACCGAAACTGCTCAGTAGCTGTGGCAGCACATCGACAACATATGGTTCGAATGCTCTGCCTAGGATGGCCGACAACAATTCATACCCCATCAATGCACCTTGTCTCTTGTCCGGATTCTTCTTGTCGTCAGTTGCGCCTTTGAGAGATGACATGATGCGGAATTGTCGCAATGCAGAGATACCACGTCCTTTTGTCATGCCAGCCAATCCATACGCAGCACCTCTTCGAGCGGCATATTTCTTGCCTTGCAGCAGCTCTTCTAGTAGTCGAGGAAAGTATGGATCTGCATCGGGTCCAGCGGCACGCACGAGGGATGGCAAGCAGTTTGCAACAGCATATTGTACGGATTCTGACGGTGTGCTTAGAGTTTCGATGAGCTTCTCGAGCACTTTTTTCATTCGTGGATCGCCAGCAGGAAGATGTTGTGCGAGTGAGCCGTAGAAGATGATGACTGCTTCGTTGACATAGTCCGATTCTTGAGTCGCATTTTCTGATCCTTCCAAAGTCTTCTCAAACATACTCATCATGGGTTCTAGTACGTCTTTCCCTCGCTGTGTGACAATGGCCACGCCAGCATCAGCCATTTCTTGGCGTACTTTTGCATGTCGGTCGCCTAGGGGCCCGTCGGAGACCAGAAACTGCATGAAAGGCAATAGGTCATCATGGCCGAGAACATTCGCGAGCTCTTTGAAAGCAAGTGCGACACCACTTCGCTTTTCCCACGGGTCAATCAAATCACCCCGTTGCACAATACCAAATCTGTCGGCTTTTGGTGCAAGTGGCTGAGCTTCTAGTTGGTATTTAGTCTGAAGCTGTGACCTCATATCTGTTGTGCTTTCGGGAAGAGCAAGCAAAGCTTGGGCCAGAGCTTTAGCAGCTGCGTTGCGAGTGCTTCGAGCCTTGTCCTCTAGAAATGTTGGGATGAGGTCGATCATTGGTCTTTCCACCTCGAACTCATTCTCTTGCCAGATTTCGAGTGCGGTGGCGGCATTGTCCTCCTCGTCGTCTTGACAGGCAATCCAAATGTACACCGAGTACTTCATGTCAGATAAATCAAGGAATTCGTTGATAGCTTGGAGTGCTGCAGACCGAACTGATGTATCAGCGGAAGTGGTTGATTGTAGGAGCTCGTCTCGCTCCTCATCTGTGATATTGGCAGCCACAGCGGACGCAAATTCCATCGCGCAGTCCTTAATGAGCCGGTAGTGTTGAGGATATCTCTGCATAGAAGTAAACAGACGATGAAGGACAGCAGCTCGCGGCAGATGCTCATCGCTGCAGGCACTCATCTGAAAGGACAAGAATTCTAGAGCAAGCAATACTTGCGCATCAGCATCCTCTCTAGAGGCAGGCCTGCCAATTCTGCCATTATCGAGGACGGAGAAGATGAGCGGGATTGAATATGCTAAGGATGCAGTATCGAATGGTCGCTGTTCGGAAGCAAATCGTAGTCGATAAAGCACTCTTGTAGCAAGCTCTTCCAGCGGTTCAACCTCTAGCTCGGGCATCAAATTGATAGTCCCAATTGCTCGTAGTGTGACAACACCGACAAAAGGTCGCAAGGCTCCAAGTCGATCTGTAACATAATTTGAGCAAGCAAGATAGGCTGCGATGAGCTCGTCGTCAACAAAAAATGAGCCACCAGCTTCAAAGACCTCGACCAAGCATGCGATAGCTGGAGACATCCATAATCGTGCTTCAGTGGGAGGACCAACAGCCAAAGCATGGATAAAGCCTGCGCCTCTTCGCAGCTGAGCTGACAAGTTTTTGACACGCTTGCGTATCTGGGTTTCACGAGCCAGCTGCGCATCAACCTTCGCCTGCTGATCAGGAGTAAGTTTCTTTTGTGCAGCTCCCTTTTTCTTTGCAAGTTGCGACCGGAGCTCCTCTTCCCATTTCAGAGTATCGTAGTCCTTCACATTCTTGTTCTCGACATGTCCGTTGATTTTTGCTAATGGGTCTACCACCATGACTCCATCTGGGGCCCGAGCAATGGCAGCGTCTGTGACACCCAGACCATCGAGTTGAGTAGCATTAAGGTCGCGCCGTATCTGGTCGACTAATACAGGGCTGATGTGATCAGGTGCCACGAACATCAATGTGGATGCAGCTCTGCAGGCAGCTCGTTCGAATGACGATAGCACATCCATCTTTCCTGGCTCAAACATGCTAAGGATTTCGTGCATCAGCTCGGAAGTCCTCGATGCAGCTAGTGTGCCTGGATCGATACCCATAGATAGCAGGTTTGAAACCCACTCAACGCCGGGTATCAAATCTTCACCATAGAGCACAACAGTTGTAGTTGCTTGCTTGTCTAAAATTGATTGAGGCACACTTAATTGACTCTTCTCCCAGATAGCCTTCGAAGGACTTATGATTGTGACTGCTCGCTTCAGAGGCATGTGAGGTGCTGCATTTTCTGACTTTGGTTTTTTGACCTGTCCTGAATATTCCTCGCGAAGATAGCTCCAGATACCCAGAACTATACTTGAGCCAACAGCCGAAGTGTTTGCTAAATACCTTCTGGCAAGCTCTTCTCCTGTAGATTTGCGGGTTTGAGGATCGCTTTCCGGCGCAAGCAGTAAATGCAGCAGTGCTCGACCCCATGCTGATTTGCCTTCGTCAGATGCATTCTCAAGGTATGCATCAATGGCCAGGAGAGCCTTGAGAGCCCAAATCTGGTCTTCGGCAGTTGTCACCTTCGAATAGACTTGAGGATTGAGTAAGAAAGAAGTCGGCTGGATCAGAGACAAGCCTATAGCATTTGGTGAGAGTTTCGCTTTAGTATCTTGCAGGAGAGTTGCCAAAGCCTTGTGTTGGGCAAGTGCAGGGACAACGAACGCCGTCGATACGTTACCAGCCTGAGCAGCTGGAAGTGGCTTTGCGGCGATCTCAACGTATGCCTCTGCAGCATGACCTAGAAGAGCCATAACAAAGTCCTTAACTGGACCGGAAACAGGAACCGTCGACAAAGGAAGGAGAGCTGCAGCTGTACCGGTAAGCCATATTTTCTTGAACGATGCACGTTTATCAGTACATCCCTTTACTATCAAGTCTGTCATCTCCTTTGTCCACGTCTCATTAGCCAACAGGAAGGTTGAATGAGCTGCAATCGTAGCTATTTCTCTGCGAAGAGCACCTTCATTCGCTTCTTTTGCAGCCACAGGCACTGCACTCAAAACAATGTTGGCAGAAACTTTCTCTGACGGAGCGACTTCTCGTAAACAGTCGCAAACTATAGCTCGTAATTCGAAGCTTGCCGTCTTTGAAGATTTGAGGTTTGCAAGCAGGTCATTGATGACTTTTTCCAGCTCAGACCCATCTTGCTTCCTGACCAGTAACGCGGACAAGCTATGAGCGGCCCCCTCTCTGATCGAGGCATTTGTTGATCCTAGGGAGGAGAGTAAAGGTTTTAAAAGCTTGCTAGAAAGGGCCTGGGACAGATCAATCTCTTCAGGTAAGGACTTTGCTAGCGACGGAATTGGACCCTGTAGCACGTTCTCCGGAGATCGTAAGATCCCCTTCTCGATCGTCGGGATGATAGTCGAATATACGGCATCTTTCGATAGAAATCTGCTGAAGAACTCGTTGAGCCCATTGGCCTGCTGCTTCGGCAAGGTCGTCTTTGCACCAAGGATAACCTTGATATAGAAGTCAAGAATTTCGCTTATGTGCGACTCGAACGAGGGTTTGACATTGGGTAAACGTACACTAACGCCTGATACAACGCCAAGAAGGGCGGCATTTGCAGGGCCGGCAGTAGGACCAGATGTAAGTTCTTTGACCACAAGACTCAACACAGGCTCGTAATGTTGAGACTGGAACAATTTCCGCAGGCCACGCCTGCAGAGGACAAGTGCAGTGTGTGACAATCCCTCTTTTGCTTCCTGCGCTAGGCACTTGTCTAGTAGCAAGGCTTGTGCTGCACATACTTGTCTGAGAAGTGGCTCATTTATACTGGCTAGTTTAGCTTGCTCTTCCTCTACCACGGTACACCACTCGAGCAGGACGAAGGCATTGCTGGCTGCCACGACAGTCTTCTGACTCTCCTTCAGCAGGAATGCTGCCAAAAACGTGCTGACTTTGCCGGATGTATCAGTTCTCAAATATATCCTCAGGCATGACTGGATAAGTTTTCGTGGTCTACGATCGAGCTGACGGGGGTATGTGTTCAGCAGACAAGGGAAGAAAGCAGCGCTCTCGGGTGAGGTGCTAGTCTCTTTAGCTGCTCCTGTTAATTGTGATCTCTGGTAATTGTTAAGGCTAACGTACTGTCATCCTCGAGTTGCGCCAGTAGGCCTCGGAGTACTTCTATTTGAGCGTTGGTCGAGTTACTCTGAAGACCCTTCACCTTGTCCTCGAGCGTGTCGACTGTAGGAACATGATCCACCTCATTTTCCATCTCGATCGCAGCTCATGGTCGACCTGGCAGCATGGTATCGAAATTATGGGATCAAAAGATTTGGGTCGCCCGCTTCGTGCCTGCCACAAATCCCGTATATTTTGTGCCTGAGGCAGATAAGGGTGGCGGCCAGCAAATTCAGGTGTCCATTGTGCTGGGCAGTTCTAAATGCGCACAAGAAACCGACGACGAAAGCATACACGTTCGTTTGAATTAGATTCATCATTCAAGTTTTGGCTATCATCTCGTCGTAAATGTGGTGGACTGGCCCGCCATCTAATCATAATTGCTCTTTGTTCTGCTGTTCTCTCTCTACGCACGCTCAGTCTTGTACCCAAGATGATTTTCCCAATAGGCTTCACTACCGCCGTGCCCCCAAGCAGATCTGCCCGCCATCTCATTACACATCTGATGCGATGGTGGCTTATGCTATCGTTGTTCATCGTTCCAGTCCACGTCATGTCCAGGTAAATCAAAATAGGCATGGCCAATGCCGAGCTAAGTCACGGTGTCGTCTTTGTGTATGTCGTCTCTCATAATCCAGGCAAACAAAACGAAAAGCAAAATCTGGCGCCCTCCCCTTCCTGGAATCTTGGCGACATCGGAAAAAAGTCGTATCATAAGGTCGTGTCATCGGTAGTGGGCTGTCAGTAACACATTAGTCTCGTCGTCTTTCTGACCAGAGCTCATCGTCACAATCGTAAACGCTTTTGAAATAAGTCAACTCGCTGAAATGAATGTCGTGTGCCCTGTGTAGCCTCAATGTCGCCGCAGGGTGCGCCCTGCTGGAAGGATCATCAAACGTCATCAAATCATCTACCAGGCATTGGTCCGGTCTTGATGGGTTGCATGTGTGCTGTTGGTAAGGGCATACCAAAAGACTCGGGTCGGTTCATCTTTTGACGCTTCGTGTCATATCCAGGATAATCGTCGCGGCTTCCCGGACGCGGCCCCTGATCATCGTCGTCTCTGCGTCGCTTTAGTGATTGACTATACCCTCCAGATGCATAAGTGTCAATCGACCCTGGCGGATGCGAGCTCCGCGAATCTCCAGTTGGGTTATACATGCTTCCTGGGTTGGACTGTGGTGGTGTCCTATATTCTCCACCCCATTGCGGCTGACCACTCGGCATGGTGCGTGGCGTTCCTCGTCCAGAACCAGCTTGGTGAGGTGAACTGGTCATCTCTGGAGAAAGCTGCTGGTGACCTTGCGGTGCGGTATATGCATACTCTGGACGGCCCCCGTACGCGCCGTTGCTGTGAATATAGCCGTTCTCCGGATGCTCACCATGATCGCCGGCAGGATGTCCACCGAAGTCTGATTTGTGATCGCTGTGACTCTCTGAATTGCCAGTATTTGGCGCAGTAGGAGGACCCATGTCGCCTTTGTATCCGTCATAGCGGGCACCGTTCTGTGCATAACCTGTCTGTGAGCTGGGTGTTGTCGCATAATATGGTTGCTTGTTGTCATATCCTTGATGTCCCGGATATGACTGCATGTTTTGTACTTGCTGCCCAGGCGGTGTGGTTGCTGGAGTGGTCGGCATAGAGCGAGCATTATTCATGCCTCCAGTCTCAATTGAAAGCGGTTGACTCGATGCTCCATTGGTCATGTTCTGCTGATTCCATTCATACGAGCCATTGGACGATCCTACCCCCATCACGCTTGACGCGCTGGTCGGAGGAGTAGGGAAGGTGTGCGCGCGGTCGATGCCCGGACGTGGCCCAGCTGACTGTCCACCCATCGAGTGAGGCGTAGAAGGTACTTGGCCACCAACACTGGCTTGCATGGAGTGGTGGTGGTGCAAGGAAGGTGCTTGGCCAGGTTGCGAAGGTCGAGCTGAGGCAGTGCCGTTTAATCGAATTCGCTGCTCGGCTTCAGACTGCACAGCATGCGTTCGATTGGCATTGTCTGGATTGTATAGCAAGCCGCCAATGTTATGCACGAACAGCGGGTATAGAATGTCCGTGATCTTTTCCTTGTTCGCAAACTCGAGCGCGCGGTCGAAGGGTATCCTGTCATAGGTCAATCACCAGTTCATTCATAGGAAGTAGAATGCTAACCAAACACCTTTCAAGTGCATCGGACCGATCTTGACGACGTGTCGAATCTTTTCTGACTTTAGTATACCATCTCTTCGACCACGAGTCATGCCAGCGACATTAAGCAGTTTGGTGCCGTTTATGAAGTGATTGTCTGAAACAATGTATCAGTCTAGTTTCGTGTAGCCTGCGTTTCTTGAAGCTTACCTTCACGACGTGCCACACAAACACCTTTGGCCTCTACTTGAAAACACAGACTTCCTTCATCTTCCCACAAAGTTGCTGTAACTCGTGGTTTCATTCCTGGTGGTGCAACCTGACCAGTTTGATCGAAAGGCTGCTGCGCTTGGGGGTAGGGGTGTCCTGGTGGTCCACTGGGTGGCCCATAATTATGTGCTGGTGCTGGCGACATCGACGCCATTGCTAAACACGATTGTTAGTCCCTGTTCAACTATAGTGACCGAGATTACTTACCAGGTAACTGCAAGCTCGGCTGCATGTGCGGGCCACCCGATTGAGGTGATGTAACGGGGTTAGGATAGCCATAGGTAGGATAAGTCGATCCGGACGCGTACTGAGCAGAAGCTGGTGGCATAGGCTGTTGATGACCATAGGGTTGATAATGACTGGGTGCTGGATGAGAATAGGCAGGTCCCGACGACATATGAGGTGCCGCGTGTATATCCATATACGACTGTGGTTGATTCATACTGCGCGTCTGTGCCCGCGGGCAAATTCCACACCGCGCTTTGACACTTCGACCGACTTTGAAAGAGTCGAATTGTTGTACAGACTACGTCCCGCAAAGTGCGTGCAGGTCGATGTACGTGGAAGCAGAAACGATGCTTGTCGGATGTGGGAGATCTGTATGCGCACAGACTCCAGCCCCCCAAAGCTGCTGTTGATCTATCCGAGCTGCAACAGCTACACCGTGACGAAGAACCGTTGATGTATATGCACAGTCGGGACAAGGTTGGCCCCGTGCGTTGCAGCGAACAGGGTGAACGATTTGAACTATAGCCTGCAGTACTTGACAATGGAACACCTCCGTGCTCCTGCAGCTAGAAATGGAACGAAAGTTGTCTTCCGGATGTGAGTCTACCGACAACGAGACGTCGCGTTCCAGAAGTATATGACGTCCAAAACTGGGTTGCTGCACGCTGAGTGGGACTGTATAGGAGTATGTAATGGCAGCAAAGGAAGAGAATCCGGAAGTGTGCTTCGCGATGATGCTTCTTCTGCTTGCCAGTCCTGATAGAGTTGTACTTTTCGTGTTTCGCGTCAAGGTCGTAAAATTCGTGGTTTTCGTCACTTCGTCGCGTCGTTGCTTGTGTCGAAAAGTGTTGCAAAGCTCAAAACGCGAGTGCAGAAACTGAACCAGCAATGTCGAAAAGCGCTAAGCACAAACTGTACGCCGCCAAAGCATCAGCACGCATTCACAGGTATAAGCATCTAACGGGAACGTCAGACACGAGACACAAGAAGCAGGATGAAGGACGCTATACGTCAACACTGCATGCGAGACGTGAAGCTCTGACAAGCACACAGTGGGTGAAGTGAAAGAAGTGGTAAATGCGTAGATGCAGTAGTATGGGGAGAATTAACGTACCGAAGAGCTGCAGCAAAGAGGATGGCAGGTGGAGCTGGACTGACGCTCAGTTCATGATTGGAGACCGAGGCGATAAAGTCCAGAGGAAGAAGATGTGGTTATAGCCCAGGACGGAAGCGCAGATGCAGAAGCGGGCGGGTAGGCAAGAGGTGCAGTAGTGTCGACAAAGGTGTGAACCTCAGAAGGGGCAGTGAGAACAGCTGAGTTGCGGTTCTGCCACAGATAATATCAGAAGGACTATCTCAACACTCGCAAAAGAGCTTGCACACGGTTTTGCAAAGTGGATTTCTGCTAAAGAAGTGGAGGCCTCCAGGTGCAAATTCAAAGCATGGTACAGGCCTGTCGACAACGATTCCCACTCCCGGCTCAGACGAGGACACGGGTTGGCTGATCAGTTTAGGTTGGGTCAGGATTCAACGAGAGAACCATATGCTCCGAGTACGCTGAAGCTTCTTCCACCACTTCGCAGAGAAGCCGGTCAAGAGGACCGTCGAAACTGACGGCGAAAAGAGGGGATCCAGCTAAACTAGGAGAATGCCACCGCACTTTTGCTTCCACTAATGGACGATTGGCAATCATTATTCTCTGCCTTTTCGGTAGGGTCAGCTAAAACTTGCCTACTCTGAATCCGCCAGACGCTTATCCTTGTCCGTGGTGCCAGCTATCTTTCGGCTTTGGCTCAGACCATGATAGCCGATCACGAACAATGTACAATGCTTCGATCTTGCAACGACTCGTACCGCGAGACATGTCAAGACACCTCGTTGTTCTCTACGTTCCATTGTGAGGAGTACGAGTATGTGCTCACATCTTGAAATGAACTTTGTTGTAGAAGCATGATCATAGAGCCTGAACTGTCACGGAAAAAGCAAGCCTGGCTAGACTCCTTCCGTCGCTTCTCCAGCCTCTCGATGTTTACATCGGATAACCTAAGTTCAACAGCCCAGCCTCCAGCGATGATAAGCGTGTTAGTGCTTGCGTTCTCAAAAATGATGAGACGTTCGCTTTACTCTAGAAGTGGGGCAATTTAGCCATTGGCTTACACCCATGATCGCCCTGGCATGGCCAGCAAGCCACATCGGCGACGGCACCTCACAGAGCAAGAACCTTACCGTAAAGTACAGAGATTCTTGTAATGCTGATACGTCGCCTAACTAATCCAGCCCAGATAAGATCATGATCTGTGCTGCACCACACAATTCGACCATATTCTCTTCCAGCAAAAAGGCAAATGGCCTTCTGGACGATAGTCACACCCGCGTTTGTTAGAGGAGTATTGCTTGGCTTTGCCAGTCGCATTCGAAACTCGTGACCCAGAAGAAGTTGACCTGGTTACTCAAAGCAATCACCACTACTCAAATTTTCGAGCAGCATTGCGATCTGAACGAGACTGAAGGGACTAGAATCTGTGTAACGACATCGGAACATTTTGGTGGTTGCACCGCTGGCCATTCATGGCGCCAGCCCTCTTTGAGCTTGCCTAACGAGCTTCAGGGCGCCTAATCACGCAGGACTTGCAGCATGCACATTCCAATTGGCTGCGCAATTCGCGTCTTTGAACGTGTTGGGCTAATCGAAGTCCGGACCTCTTTCCTACGATACCACAGTGGAGACGGTATCCGCAACATTTCCTTCCCAGCCATACTTTTGTTGCGCACAGACCTCTTGATGTGCCTTGTGAGCACTCCTGCTAAAAAGAGACAGTGGTGACCACGAAGGAAGAAGCACAATATGTTTTCACAGACGTAGACATATCAAAGACAGCTTCGTATGTGTAGAAGAGGCAATGAGCGCGGTCCAGCTTTGGAGCTCAATCGGAATAATACAGACAATAACCATTGCTGTCAAGGTGCTCTGACTGTTTCACGTCGACCCGCGCCGAGACCGTGGTCATCTTTTGCCACATCCTGCCTGCTGAGGCTGGCTACGGCTGCTCGGCTTTTGAGTATCACACACCAGCCGCCGGATAACGGGATACCTGGTCAATGACCAGACTTTACGACTTTAGTGACTTGCTGAAAAGCTCTAGAAGGCATACCATGTTGTACGACTTACGTCATCCGAATGACCTGCACAACGGGATTCGTGACACGCGATGAACAGATCTGCGTGCTTCTAGACGAGCCTCGAGGTAGAGGCTCTCTACTTTACAGAATCGTGGCATTGACCGGCATGATACTGAATCTTCACTCAGATTCTCATCAAAGTCATGTCGGCTGAGATGCAGGGTCCCCTGAGCTTGGTATTTGCGATCAGCTGGGGTAATTGGCGGTGTGTGGAAAGAGGTGTGCCGTAAGTTTATAACACGGGTAACCTGCTTCGTTCTTTTCAGATGTGGGACTTCGATAGCGTCATTGATGTTCTGCCTTGCCCGTTATCGTTATCCAAATAGACCTAGCGGTGTTCTAATAGACTTGCCAGACATTTTTTGGTGGCATGATGGATTGAAATGAACAAGTCCTGAGATTACTTGTGGTTTGGTCAAGGCATACTAATTGAAGTTCTAAAGATCGGACCCAAATATGCAGTTCCTCGCCTAACATCCTGCCTAGTAGATCATCATGCATCCTGCAATCCAAGGCCGACTGAAACTTTGCGGCTGTTACCCATATCGAGTAGCCTTGCAGTTTGCAGGTCAACCTCACCATTCGTCGTCTTGTTCTTTATATCAAAGACGTGGCATCCTACAGTAGTCTTGGTGTAAAAAGTCACGCCCTTATGATCTGGGAAGCTGCGGTCAGCTCCAGAGACCAAACTTCGAGATACTGCACCATGTGAACGATGACCTGCCAAGCGTCATGGCTCTTTCGAAACTGTTTTTGTAAATCTGTTTGTACAGTAACATTCCGTAAGTAACACAGTCTTGTCATGACATGTGCTATCTTGCTATCGTCGGAAATACTCTCATCGCACGAAACCTCGATCTTGAGAAAAGGACCCTACGAAAGGCGTACTAGGTTGTTGTATCCGCTGGCCAGGAAGCCAGGTGGCTGGTATGATAGGCATGAAGGCTGGCCACGTCTGCGAAATCGTATCCACACCCCGTTCGGATGCTGGACTTTCCACAGTACTAGTCCTAATCAGAGCCGCGTTGAAAAGTGGGACTCATGCAAGCCACATTTCTAACAGCCTGTAAAGGTCGTCCACGAACTAAGCTGTCCACTTTCTCTCCACGAGTCAGTCCATCGGTCGTTGGCAGGTCATGGTTTGGCTACGTGGAAAACTACGAAGCTTTTGCACAGAGGAGGAAACCGTATTGATACCAGAATAATCGCTGTCATTTCTTATCTATAATTATTGCAGACAAATGACACTCTCAAATGCATGGCGTCAATCAGTGCATGTGCCATGTTTTTAAAGCAGAATGTATGCAGGAAGGCAGCTTATGTACATGCAATCAGCCGGGGATGCATCTGCAGTACCTGAGGAACTGCTCCTCGGCAGGTAAGGTCACCCGGCAGCGAAGTTCTGGTTGGCAAATTCGGCTTCGATCAGCGTTCTCTTATCCGAGACTGCTTCTCTGTACCTTCATTGGCTGTAGCGGATGAGCCCTGAAACTATGGCTTCCATATGCAAATCATACATGCATACCCTATCACGACTCCAAGGTGCCGCGAACCTTGAATGGAGTTTGATGAAGCTTTCGCTCTTGTCTCAGGAGACGAAGTTGTTCTCAAGAGCTGAGATTATGGTCAGGTATGTCAACCTTCCAAGCAGATTTGTCACTTAACGGCGCGCACAATGCGCCTGTCGACGGGGCGGGCGCTGTATACGGGGAAATGAACTTCGGTCAACAAGATTGAATTCACGATTGTGGATTTCCATCTAGGACGATTGCAGCCAGATCAAGCCACTTTTGATCTGCGATCTGAAGTGCAGACGAATCAAGCTTTGTTAGGGATGCATGGATAATCCGTTGAAGCTGAGATCTGAGACGGAGCAGTGCCAACGTCTCTCTCCATTTCCGGAAAGACAATCGTATTCGTCCGTGATCAACATCGACAACCCCTGAGAACATCTTGAAATCAGCTTCTCCTAGCAGCAGAACCAGCATGCCCTGAGAAACTCGCGATGAATGAAATGCATTCAGCCTGCCATTTTTTGATTGCGATGCTTCCAGATAACATAGCCAAGCTGGTGGCTTGTTCGCGTTTCTGTTGATCGACGTCGGAGCGACTTGTAGTTGCTGGTTAGAAAAGACATTTCGATATCCCTGACCTTCTCGCTTCAGTATCTTCGGATACAAGGCCATTGCGATGACTGCAGATATGACTGCATCATCACTGAAGGTATTATAGCGAGGAGGTGGCTCAAAATTTGGAGAGGCGGCCTTGAGATTTCTGGCCCGATGCAGCTCAGCAGTCTGGGCTGTGTCTAAGACCATAAGTCCTGCATCGACGAGATTAATGTAGAGCTGTGTCTTCTGTTCTTCCAACTGTTGCAGCTGCAATTGACTCAGGTGAAATCTACGACAGAACTGATATCCTGTGCCAGCAATACTAGCTCTTTTCCAGCCCAGATATGCGTTGTATGTCGTGAGAAAGTCCGAGTCGCCTTGTGCAAAAGTAGCACGACTGGACACGCCATTCTGTGTGCTTTCCATGAAGATGGACTTGATCGAAAAACTGGCAATGATGCTAATAACAGCGTCCAGGCACTGGAGGATGACGCCGAGGACAGCCATCTTACCTAGAGCCACATCCAGCGGCAATTTCGCCAGTATGCGACCAAGCAGCGTCAATCTCTCTGCACTGTCGATAGCGCCGACGTCTTGGAGTTTGGACATGGCTCTCCGAATGTTTTTACCTGTTGGCGGATCGATGGCTGCAGCAAGTACTTCTTCTGCTGGTCCGAGATCCCAGATTTTGACTCGCAGGATCGGATCCTGCAAGCTCAACCGAAGCATCTCAGGCGTCGTTTGCTCCGACATTTTCGTCTCGTATCTATGGCGCGTGACTAGGTGAAAGCATAGTCCATCTCTGACACGTGCGGCCCTGCCTTTACGTTGCCGAGCGGATGCTCGAGCTATGAAACCCTCGGTCAATCGCGACAATTGTCGTCTTTCATCGAACCTCATTATTTTCTCCTTGCAAGTATCGATGACCGCTGTAATGTCAGGAATGGTGATGCCAGTTTCTGCAATATTGGTTGCAATCACTATCTTGCGATGGCCTCGCGGAGGAAGCTGGAATGCCTGCTCTAACTCCTGGGTAGAGAACGAGGAATGGAGCATGTGGATTGTCCATTTCGAAGCAAAGGTTTTAGTTGTGAGCAGCAGGTTGTGAAGTCGGCGAATTTCCCCAATGCCAGGCATGAATATCAGAATCGCATCGCTGTACTGGAGAAATTTTGGTTTTGTGGCAATTGAAGAAACCAATTTCACGATGAGGTTATAGTCAATACGAGTGTAGTCGTGGTGCGCCAACACACGCTTGGTGAAGGTACTGTAGTTCTCGAGACCATCATTCATCTCACTGCCAGGTTCGCCTTCGTCGCTGTCCAAAGACTCGATATTGTCATTTTCAAGCTGCGGCAAATCCTCCTCTGGGCCTTTGGTGCTCGTAACTTCTTCGATCGCATCCTCCAGAAAGCAAACCTTTACGGGAAAAGTTCTTCCGGGGATATCGAGCACAGGAGCGTGGTTGAAGTAGGCTGAAAACTTGGTTGCATCAACTGTGGCTGACATCAGGACGATCTTCAGACTTGGTCGACGCTGCTGTACCTTTTTCAAGGCAATGAACAGTAAATCCAGGTCCATTGTCCTCTCATGTACTTCATCCAAAACCAGACAGTCAATATGATCAAGTTCTGGTGCTTCTTGCAGTATTCTCAATAGAACACCAGTAGTTGCAAATGTGATACGCGTGCTTGGGCTGGTCTTGCTTTCCAACCTTATAGCATACCCAACAAGTGACCGAGGCGAACCAACTGCGTCTTGGTCTTCACCCATTTCAGCTGAAACTCTCCTCGCTATCGAAATTGCGGATATTCTGCGCGGTTGTGTAACGAAAATGTTGTAGTCTCGACCATTACTCAAAGAGGCTTCAAGAATGTACGAAGGAATCTGAGTAGATTTGCCTGCACCAGTGTCTGCACATATAATCAGAAGCTGATGGTTCTCAAAAGCTTGCAGAATTTTAGCTTTGTATTGGTAGACTGGTAAGTGGTCACGCACTCCTTTCATTTTGTTAAAAGCTGCTGATTCTACCTTTTGTGACCAAGTTCTTCGAGCTTCATCGGGTGAAAGTCTTTCGAAGTAATGGCGTTTAGAGTGGTTCGCTCTAGCTAACCTTGTAGATTTATGTGCTAAGGAGTCTTCAGTTGTCGTTCTACCAGGCTGGCTCATCTGCAGAATGCTCCGTAGGTGCTTTAGGTTCTCCACGTCGTCCTTTGCTACAAGCTCTGCGTGCTGTTTCTCAAGGTCAAGAAGCATGTCCCTCCAGACCTTGGGTAATCGCTGTGAAGATTTTGAACTGACCAAACCAGAAGAGACGAGAAGGAAGAGGCAAGAGACCGCAAGAAAAGATTCGCTTTGCTCAATACTTTTGGTGGCGACACGCTGCATCTGAAAGCGCCAGACACCAGGAGGACTCTCGAGCAGAAGACCAACTGGCAGACATTCCCGACCTCTTTCGTTTGGTACTGAGTTTTTCTGCTTCCAATATATGTCGAGCTGTAGTCGCGCGGAATGCGCTGTAGCGAGGAGTGTCTTGAACTTGATTCCTTTTCGTTCCAGTAGATCTGCCATAGCGTCCTCGAGCACTCGACGTGGACTCACTCCTGACGGTTTCCCGAAGTCGTGTATTTGTATGAGTTCATCTTCTTTGTCTCCTGATTGTAAGGTGTCGTTCTCGTCATGTCCAAACATCCCTTCCAGTAACCCATCGCCCTCAAGCGGGTCTACTTCTTTTAGTTCAGAGATTGACTGTTTCTCCACACCAGCCAAGTCGTTCTTAGCATGTTTACTTGCTTGCCTGACCTCAATCTGTAGGTCTCTGAGAATTGGTTGCCATTTTTGCTGTGCAGAGAATTGGTCAAAGAGTATGTCACGTTCAATCACATGAATGCGAGCTCTAATTTTGTCTTTCCTCGCTTTAGATCTGGCCCCATTATCGTTGTCAGCTTCTTCTAAATCAAAGTGTTTCGTCTGTAGTTTGAGCCAGCGTTCTGTCAGTAGGTCCGGATCGTTTTCATCGTCGTCTTCTTCGGTGCTTGACTCTGTGTCTACCTCGGCAGACTCCTCAGCCGGCGCACTGGTCGGACTCCCTTGCGCTCGATGTATGTCAGCTTCAGAATTTTCTGCTTTGCTTGAAGTCAGCGTATAATGTTCAAGATGATTGCCTGATGCAAAAATACCTCGATGTTGGCTCGCGCGAAATGCAGCTGGACCTAAACCTTAAGGTAGTTTTTGCCCGTGGCTGGGGTTCTGGACTTACCAAGCGAGGGCGTCTCAAGCAGGTTATCAGAAGCTTTCTTTCCTGCACTCACTTCCCCTGTTTCGTAATCTGGCAAGTCTTCGGGCGGTACATTATCAGCATACCAGAGAAAAGCTTCATACAGGCCGAGTATATAGTCACTGGCAGTTGACAGGCCATGTAAGTACCATGTTTCAGAGACGTGTTTTAAGGCATCATGAACACGTGGCATGCACAACTGAAGCAATACTTCCTGTAACGTCCACATTTTAATCAATGCTTCGGGACTGTCGCTTTCGAGCAGATTCATGGTGCTGTCCTGTCGTGTAGGCTCAGTAAGTACAGGGCTGACTTCGAGCATGAGAATCTCATCAATTAGCTGCTTGGTTAGCCCCGTGATTATGGCTCGATCTGCTTGCTGTCGTGATTGGCGTCTCTCATTATGCAATTTTACCACTTGACGGTTTGCGTCACCTCGAAGTTTCGACACGTTTTGTTCAACCAGATTTTGCAGCTCCGCCTGTTGAAGGTGCTGCTCAAGCTCGTCGGGAGTCATGTCACGTATATCTTTCTGGCTGGTGCTCTGAGGCACATTCTCGTCGTCTCCAGGCGCACTTTCTCTGGTGCTTGACGGAACACCTTGGTTGATCTCACTGTTCGGCGTGACAAGAGTCTCTTCTTCTTGAGACAATTCTTTTGTCTTAGAAGGAACTGACACTGTAGCAAATCCTCGTGCAGGATTTGTTGCAGGTTTCTTGTTCTTCTTCTTGTTCGCCATGATAGTGTATTGTGCACAAGCACGAAGATGCTATAGTACAGTGAATGTTAGATCCATAGCATCAACCCTTGTAGTGATGTTAGTGGTACTAGTGATATGGATGTGATCTTGAGAGGCTATACTGCTTTTGGCTAGTCTGTGCCAAGGTTTCTTCCACCGCGCTAACCAAACCTCTAGAAATCTACCATCGTCACGACGACTTCAACGTTCCTGTCGACCAGTTCTCATATCAGCGGCGGACAATATGTAAGTTACTATTACCTCACCGATCCGAGCACTTCTCCTCCCATATACAACGATGTCGATATGTGCCCTGCTCTGGACGATGAAGAAACTTCCTCGATGCAAATCGCCGAAACCCCTCACTTTACTGACACAAATCTTCTCCCAGGGTCAACCTACGAACTCAGAAGCGACTGGCTGCCTCAGTCATAGGCTGTGGTAAGCGAAAGATCTGGCTCGATCCTTCAGAGAGCAGTGAAATCGCAAATGCCAACTCCCGACAAACTGTCCGAAAATTGGTCAGCGATGGCCTCATCATCCGCAAGCCTGTTGCTATGCACTCACGATCCCGAGCTCGAGCCTTGAACGCCGCACGAAGAATCGGAAGACACAGAGGTTATGGTAAGAGAAAGGGTACCGCAGACGCCAGAATGCCAAGGTATGCAAGCAGGATGAGGTGGCAATTTTCGTGAAGCTGATACTTGTGCAGCCAAGTACTCTGGATGCGACGACTCCGAGTCCTTCGACGTTTGTTGGTCAAATACCGAGCCGCTGGCAAGATTGACAAGCACCTATACCACTCCCTATACCAGGAGTCTAAGGGTAACACCTTCAAGCACAAGAGAGCTCTCGTTGAACACGTATGCATTTTTCCTATGCAACATCAGGACAATATTGACTATGTACAGATCCACAAGGCCAAGGCTGAGGCGCAGCGTGAGAAGACCCTCAAGGAGCAGATGGACGTAAGACGTGCCAAGGTCAAGGCTGCCCGAGAACGACGAGTCGAGCGCAAGACTGCCAAGGCCAACGCTCTCACTGGTGAAGAGGAGACTGCACAGACCAAAGAGACATAAAGAATCTGACTATCTTCACGACCGAGGTTATGTCGACTGATCCGGCACATTGTTGCTAGCTTTCAGGATGACGGAATGATATGTTCTGGCAACTTGTCTTGTTCAGAATACGGGTTCATGGAGTATATTGTTCAACGCGAAATGATTACGCAGCTTTCGAGATGAGGTTGAAATTGCAGCAGGACACGAGCCTGCAAGCTCGCATGGTTGCGCGGCTACATGCTACGCATTCGGGAGGAGATTGGCCAAACAGTGTGGATGGTCATTCGAAGATGTACAAAGTCGTGATTTCAGGCGGTAACGCTGCAATGTGACTGTCCTGCTATACAAGCAACTACGTCTTTGTCGTGGATGCCGTAATACCAAGATAGCTGTATTGTTGACAGGTTGGTACTTGCGCCAACAAGGCCTTGCTGCACAATGCCTGCTGCACTTCAACGCTGTCGAGTCGAGTACGTTCCATTGTTGTTGATGTCGAACCCAACTTTCTTAGTGATTGCGGTCCAGCCGATGCATGCCTAGAGCGTTGTACATGCAGAAGTGGCTCGCAAGCGCTCTCTCATGGAGAAGGCTTGTTCCTAATGTAGTAGTTTCCACAGTTCCAGGTTGTAATCAAGGTGAAACGATTATGCATTTACTAATGTTTACCATTGAATTTCCTTGTCGTCTACCACAATGTGTTGCTGATCAGAAATCTGCACACTCAACCAACACTAGAGTTGCTGAACACGAGTACCAAGACTATCTTTCAACAGAGATCATTGTCGTTGACCAATAAGGAGCGAGACTCTGGTTGAACAACAGAATGTTTGGCGGAACACTTTGGGGTGGAAATATAGGTAGGTAACGAATTCAATCATAGATGTGGCACTTTAAAGATATGTTCGAACTGGTCACGCTGCCGCTGCCACAGCTGGCAGGAGGTTCACTGGGCAAAGTCAGAATGTAGACCTGACTTCTTAGGTGGTCTGGTAATCTGATACTTTGATGCCTTGGCCTGATGGGAATATGGCATTAATGAGCCCTCACTTGATAAAGCACCTGAGCTCTCGCAGCCAGGACTTATAGCTGACTTTTATAGGAGGAGTGGATGATCATTCAGACAAGGAACGAGAACCACCACGTCGACCCATCAGCCTTGAATTTCCAGACTATGTTCCGCCTTCTTCACATGATAGGCTCGATGCTGCTTCTAGCAGCAGGGCTCGAGACAGAATATGTCACACTCGGACATTTACTTCAATATCAGATGAAGACCTAAGCGTCTTTAACATCAAGTTCAACTGCAATGTTGAGCTAATAAGACTACTGCCGAACCAAGAACAACCTTTTCCCTTTGACAAGGACCTGGAATCCATGCTGGCTGAGATCTCTGTCAACAACAACGATGCATTTCGAGAGACCCTCAGGATGGAGCCTCTGCCTGGACATGCTAAGCCTCGGTTGACATACGCTCGCAACTTCTTTGGTAGTCTAGAGGATTTGGCACGGTATTGGGATAATAGCATGGATCAATATTACCACGTCCCAGCTGGAAGAGCAGCTCGCCAACAGCTTCGCGATCAGATCAAGCAAAAGTTACCACAAGGTGACCGTGCAGCACCCACGGCTGGGAAGACTCCAACGACGGGAAAAAATACCACGACGGAAAACGTTGATGCTATGGACACCTCATGGGACGCTCAGTCAGCTGATGACAAAGATATGGCATCTCAAGTCGAGACGAAAGAAGTGTACAAAGGCTATCGCTTCGGCAATGGTGAACAGGCCAATCCTGGGACGCGTGTTGCTCTGGTCAAGAATCTTCTCAAAATGGTTATGCACAAATTTACATGCCGAGATCATGAACCTATGCCTGCACCAAGAGAGAAGCTTGTAGTACGTGGTGTACGGGTCCAAAGCATTCAGTATCAGTTCTGTGTGGCAAGAATACCAAAAGACATGAAGATGGCACGAGCTCGGATGGTGGAAGGACCACTTATGGCTGTTCACTGTCGGGAGGAACTTAGGTTCAAACAAACCCCAGCAATACCTTCTGCCGACTCCGTACTTACTGGGTCCGCTACACTCGAAGGCACAGGTGCCAAGCCTGTTGTAGGGAGTGGTGCAGGACCAAAATCTGATACACAACACTCACCATTCGTGGGTGAAAGGTTCGATCTCCTTCGTGAGGTCGGGTGCATGCTCATTCTGGCGACTCAGCGTAATCGAGAAGGAAAAAACAAGAAGACCTTCTCAGGCGCCGACAAGTGGTGGGCAACTCAACAACGATGGGGCGGTGGACCTCTTAAATGGGGGCAGTTCGCTAGCGAAGTATATGAGGATGAAGACCCAAGCTGGAGTCCTGCAGAGAAGATCTTGCAGGAGCAGAAGCGAGCTAAAGAGCTTGAGCAGAAAGCAAAAGGTAAAGAGGCGAAAGACCTCATGACAGGGTCAGATGTCGATGCACTAATAGCCAACAACGCACCAACGTTGCCACCTGTGCCAGGTGATCCTATGACTGGTCCGAGAAAGAAGAAATTACGGAGTCTTGACCGACCTCCTGGCAAGGATGAAGAAATCAGAGACGGAAAGAGGTTGATGTACGTCCCTGCATTTCGGAAGAAGTGGCATCAGGACTGGCAGATACTAAGACCCAACACGCCCATGTGGGACGACAAGATAATCTATAAGCATATCGGCAAGCCAGAGGAGTCGGAATTCGACGAAATCTACATGATTAGCAGTGTCAATCATCATGTTGCGTTGCTGAGAATGAAGGTGCACCCAGAATATCTTGCATGGCTTGAAGCTGGCGAGGAAGTACCAGATGAGAATGTTGCAGGGTTGAAAAAGAATGTCCTGCACGTCGAGAGAAGTACGTGGTTCGATATGTTCGACGTACAGGCACGCAGGGAATTTCTGACGGCGTTATGGAGGGTCATGTCTTGGCTGAACCGTGACTATGTAGAAAAGGCTGAAGTTGAAAAGGTGTAAGACAATATCGATACAATACCACGATTAGAATCCAAGTAACAAGTAGCATTCTTAGAAAGTCAGACCTACTGACTATTCATCCCGTCATGCATAGTTCTACCTGGTATATGGTATTCCTTCTTCGAAACGATTGGGTACACTACTCGAGTAGCTTCATGATCATGAAAGCAATTTGAACAACATAGGCCGCATCAGACAGATTCAAGTTGTCCCCAATGTGGTGATTGGGCCCGAGACACGTCAACATCGCCCACAAACCCTCGACCTAAGTCAAGGCGCGGGATCTTGACAGTGAAGATAAGCAGCTGCATCGTTTGCGGTTTAGTTGTGAGAAGAAGGAAAGGAAGAGATCGCGAGACGTGGAACGCGTGAAGTTTGGCTGCCAGAAGAAAAATTGCTTGGCGTTGATGGTCTGATGATCAGGTGATTCTAGGCTAGACTTGCTGGTTTTCTGAGCGAGCGAGACGGACTTGTTTCCAGCCGCCGAACTGGGCGATACTATAGATGCATTGCACGAGATTTGAGATCTGCCAGCCTGAGATACGATGGATTAAAAGTCATTGCTACTGCTGCCACGACGAGCATATCGATCTGAGCAAAATCGATCAGGTGAGGTGGAAAGGTGGTGAACAGTAAAAACAAAACCGCTCTGCGCCACTATATCAATTTTATTCCGGCTTTCTCCAAACACCTGACTTGAGTCGAGTCTTTTGAAGGCGGCTCTCTGCCAGGTGGTGATCGTTGATCAGCATGGCGAACACAAGTCGACATATGATCTCGTCGTTACGACACGTCTCGAGATACAGATCATTGTCGAGCGACGTGTCAGCAAGATGCTTCTCGACGAGTGTGGCGAGCCGAGCAACATCAGCTCAAACAAGAATTCTCGGAAGCAGCCTCAAAGATAGCGATCCCGAAATCTACAACATATTAGAAAATGAGAAGACGCGGCAGCGTCAATTTATTAATCTAATCCCATCTGAAAACTTCACCTCGCTTGCTGTATTGGAGGCTTTGGGAAGTGTTATGCAAAGTATGCTGGTGTACAATCTGAATGATTGATCTGTTACTGACGAATTACAGATAAATACTCAGAAGGATATCCTGGAGCCAGATATTACGGTGGCAACGAATTTATCGACCAAGCAGAATCACTGTGTCAGAAGAGAGCACTAGAAGCATTCTCATTGAACCCCGAAGAATGGGGCGTCAATGTGCAGCCGCTTTCTGGCTCGCCTGCCAATCTTTACGCATACTCAGCCGTGCTCAATACGCACGACAGAATCATGGGTCTCGATCTGCCGCATGGTGGTCACCTTTCTCACGGCTACCAGACACCAACCAAGAAGATCTCTATGATCTCGAAATACTTTGAGACATTACCCTACCGCTTAGACGAGAAAACAGGCATTATTGATTACGACGGTTTACATAAAATGGCACAATTGTATCGTCCAAAGGTCATCATCGCCGGCACGTCCGCTTATTCCAGACTGATTGATTATCAAAGAATGAAGCAGATCTGTAACGACGTTGGTGCCTATTTACTGGGCGACATGGCACATATATCAGGCCTGGTAGCAGGTCAGGTGATACCATCACCGTTCCCACACGCCGACATGGTGACAACGACCACTCACAAGTCTTTGCGTGGGCCCCGAGGAGCCATGATCTTTTACCGTAAAGGAGTACGAAGCACGAACAAGAAAGGTGAAAAAATCATGTATGACCTCGAAGGTCCCATCAACGCTTCAGTCTTTCCAGGCCATCAAGGAGGTCCTCACAACCACACGATAACAGCGCTCGCTGTAGCACTGAAGCAGGCACAAACCAAGGAATTCAAGGACTATCAGAAACAGGTCTTGGCCAACGCAAAATCCTTGGCCGAACGACTAGGTAACTCCGACTACACAGGCGGTCTCGGCTACAATATCGTCTCGGGTGGCACAGACAACCATCTAGTACTAGTTGACCTCAAGTCAAAAGGTGTGGACGGAGCTCGCGTCGAGCGTGTCCTCGAACTCTGCGGCGTGGCAAGCAACAAGAACACCGTACCAGGAGACAAATCAGCTTTGAAACCTGGTGGTCTGCGCATGGGCACTCCTGCCATGACGACTAGAGGTTTCGGAGAGGCGGACTTTGCTCGAGTGGCTGAGATAGTAGACAGGGCTGTCTCGATCACGGTCAAAGTTGACAAACAAGCAAGGACGGCGGCAGAATCGAAGGGCGTGAAGAATCCCGGAACTGTGAAGGCGTTCTTGGAGTATATCAAGGATGGCTCAGACGTGTCTGAGATTCTGGTAATGAAAAAAGAGGTTGAGGAGTGGGTCAGCACCTTTTCTGAACCCTGGCTCAAGGACTCTATGTGAATGACTATGCGCGTGGGAGGCTCTATTTGATCTTCTTGGGCCGCTCGCGGGCGCACTGGTGGTGCTGGTGAGCACATGTTTTCCTGACCATACACATATTCCACATCATTATATCGTAATCTTCAATCAATTGCAACGGTTACCAATTCTCCTACTGCTGATGTCTCTAAGTTGGATATTCGGCCAATCACATAGCTCGTGGTTTGGTCTCTTGTCCCTCGGAAGCTGAAGCTTCTCCACAACCCCAGACTTTCGACTCAAATCGCAGCAGCTTGAAAGTCTGTTTAGCAGTCCCATTTGTCCGGTCACCACAATGCAGCTCGAAAGCTAGGCCTACATCAGTATGGTGGTGAATATGGTGCTTGACGATCTGACTACAAGTGCCATCATGGCTCAACACATAATCCTTGATCCATAGCAGCTCGCATTGTGAACAGCTAACTCGTTACAGCTACATGTGCGACGTACATTAACACGTTCGCAAGGAAGACCGAGATATCGCTGACAGCTTTGTAATACGGTTTCATTACTTTTGTGCTGTTGTCTTCTTGTATGACACGCTGCCCTTTAGCAATCCGACCTTTCCTTCGTCCTATAAAAGCATCAGGTTTATCTCGCATCGGTCGACTCCAGCAGCAGCAAAACACCTGGATACGACCTCCAGGAACCTCGAGGCGAGCCTCTTCTACCTCTACACCTCTAGCTCCCGCTCCTTCTCCAGAACCGACATCTCTCCTCCAACGTATACCCGGCATGGGACGACCGAACAACACAGTCCAGGACTCTGTCCAGGACAAGTCACTGAAAGAGCGAAATAGCTTCTGGGACCACCACGCGAAACAGCTGACATGGTCCAAGCCATACTCCAAAGTCCTCTCGCAACAGACCAAGACCCTTCCGGACGGCACAAAGCATCCACACTGGTCGTGGTTCCCTGACGGCGAAATTTCCACAACCTACAATTGCTTGCATCGACATGTCGAGGCCGGTCGAGGGGATAATGTAGCGATGATCTGGGATAGTCCGGTGAGCAATAGCAAGGAGACATACACATACGCACAGATGAAGGAGGAGGTCGAAACTCTTGCAGGCGTGCTGAGGGAAGAAGGCGTGAAGAAAGGAGATGTGGTACTCATTTACATGCCCATGATTCCAAGCGCGATCTTTGCGATGCTAGCAACACTACATTTGGGCGCTATGCATGCTGTCGTGTTTGGTGGATTTGCAGCTGCATCGTTAGCACAGAGGATTGACGCCGCGAAGCCGAGAGTAGTCATGACTGCTAGCTGCGGTATTGAAGGTGCAAAGGGTCCTCTAGATTACAGACCATTTGTGGAAGGCGCGGTTGAAAAGAGTAAATTCAAGCCGGAGAAGGTGATTATCTGGCAGAGGGACATGAAGAGATGGGATCCGGTTGAGAAAGACAAAGGACAGAGAAATTGGCAAAGATTGGTCAAGAGTGCGAAGAACAGAGGGCTCAAAGTGTCTGAGCCAGTACCGGTAAAGAGCACGGATGGTGTGTATGTGATCTATACCAGTGGCACGACAGGCTTACCGAAAGGTGTTTTGAGGGAGGCTGGTGGACATGCTGTACACCTGAATCTAAGCATAAAATACTTGTTCGACATCAAAGGCCCAGGCGATGTGATCTTCACAGGCAGCGATATTGGATGGGTCGTCGGACATAGCTACATTGTATATGCGCCATTGTTAGCAGGAGCCACGACTATACTTTTCGAAGGCAAACCAATAGGAACACCAGATGCTGGCAAGTTCTGGCGCATGGTAGAAGAGCACAAAATCACTACATTGTTCACAGCACCAACGGCCTTGCGAGCGATTAGAAAGGAGGACCAAGGAGACAAGTTCTTCAAAGAGGTTGGAGAACGAGGTGGACTCAAGAGTCTAAGAGCATTGTTCTTGGCTGGCGAGCGAAGTGAGCCCAGTATCATCACACACTACCAAGAGCTTATCAGCAAGTATGCAAAGAGTGGTTCGCAGGTGATAGATCATTGGTGGTCAAGCGAGTCAGGTTCGCCTATGACAGGTATTGCGTTGAGACCAGCAATTGGACATGAGCACGAGTCGCAGGAGGAGCACCAAGCTCTTGTAATCAAGCCTGGCAGTGCCGGAAAACCTATGCCTGGCTTTGATGTAAGAATAGTAAACGACGACGGAGAGGAAGTGAAGAAGGGCGACATGGGTAATATTGTGCTTTCGCTGCCGTACGGACCAAGCGGCTTTACAACGTTATTCAATGATGAGGCCCGGTTCTACAAGGGCTATTTGAAGCGCTTCGACGGAAAGTGGATGGTATGTTCAACTCCGTAACACCTTCGTTCGTGCTGACATGAATTGCAGGACACTGGAGATGCTGGCATGATCGACGACGACGGCTACGTCCACGTAATGAGCAGAAGTGACGACATCATCAACGTTGCTGCCCATAGATTTAGTACTGGTGAGTTTTGTGCTCTGCTGCAAAATCCAGACGACTAACGGCGTGCTAGGTGCCATCGAGCAAGCTATTCTGTCAGCCAAGGGCGTGGCCGCTGCATGCGTGATAGGTATCCCAGATCCGATGAAAGGACACCTTCCTTTCGCGTTCGTAGAGCCAGCTGGTGCAACTTCGGATGATTTCCCGGCAACACCACCAAAAGAGCTATTCAACCAAGTCAATGCAGAAGTTCGGGCCCAGATCGGAGCCATCGCTAGCCTAGGTGGTATGATCCAGGGTAGGGGGATGATTCCAAAGACCAGATCTGGTAAGACCTTGAGGAGAGTGTTGAGGGAGCTGATTGAGCAGGCTGTTGAGGGTGACTTCGACAAGGCGGTCAACATTCCTCCTACCGTCGAAGACAAAGCTGTCGTTGATGTCGCTCGAGAACGCGTCAGGCAATTCTTCAAAGAGAAAGGACTCAAGGAAGGTGGGGACATTAAGGCTAAGCTGTAAGCTGCAGTGTTGGATGAGTTTGGATATGTTCTAATGAGATCATGGTGATCAACTTCTTCTTGTTCCTGCCTCGACGCGTGAATTTCGACGCGTTCTTGCCTGTATCTTACGCGACTATAGTGTCAGGACAAACGAATTTATGGCACTATTAGTCTGTTCACTTGAAGAATGTCACTACTAGGCTATGCCGTATGAGATCCATCTTTGAGTCGACGAACCCTCAATTCCTCGCTTTCTTCTACTACCCACATTCTTCTGTGTTCAAACCCATTACACAATCTCTTCATCATGGCAACCTCAACGAGGATTCAGCCCAAGAGAGGAGCGAAGTCAGCCTCAAAGCCCATGCGAGATGTGGTCTTGGACCTGGACGACGCGGAAGACTTGAACGAGCTTCAAGAGACTCAAGAACAAGAAGCGACACCAAGCAAGCAAAAGCCATCAACTGGAGACTTCTTCAAGGACGCTGCTCGTGATCTCTTGGCCGCCGAAACAGCTGCAGAAGACTCAGACTTTGGAAAGAGAACTACAGCTAGCAAGAAGCGTAAGCGGACCTCCGATGGTGTGGCTAAGACCAAAGCGCAGCCCTGGAAGAGATCGAAACGTCAACCATCTCCAGATGTTCCTGATATGTCGGACATGAGCTCTGACGATGAGCGTGAGGAGGATCGTCGGCTGTTTGAGAAGAAAAAACGAGCACCGCCATCACCAATCGTGAAGGCTTCCATCACATCCTCTATTCTCCGCTTAGAAGTCCGATCTGGTCCTGCAACAATAAACATCAACCTCGCCGACATCCTCCCAAGACACGTCTTCGATAGGAATATTGGTGGTGCTTCTCCCGACCTCGACGGCAGCACACTACTCGGAGATGGCAATATCGAAGCTACCCGACAAGTGAGACAGAGAATACTGGAAGACTTCTCTGCTATGAGACTCAATCCAGATTATGCATGCTTCCTAGAACTCGAGCCCGCGTTGCGTAATCGCATCTACCGAGAAATGCTAGTGGATGGCTCTGTTGTCGAATTCGACCCTTGTCCTCGCTCCTCAAGAGATCCGACGCTGCTCCAAACTTGCCGTCAGATCTACGAGGAAGGGCGTGGTATCCTGTATGGCGAAAACGCATTCCACTTTGACCGGACCTTTAGAACTCGTGGTCATTACTACGACAGAGAACAAAGAGAAGTTGGGTACAAAGATGTCCGTCGCTTCCTCGAGACAATCGGATCCCATAACATTGCAAAGCTACGATTCGTATCGCTACGCCTCCAAGACGCGGTACCATCGTTCACCCCCAAGCTCGATTCAGAAGAACGCAAATATGTCAATGACGCAGTTCTACATCGAGTACTCCGACTGCTTGGTGATTCTGAATGCGTTCTCGACAAATTCGTCGTTGGTTTCGATGGCAAAGGAGCCTTGGACCTGAACCACGTCGCATTTCTTAGAGCATTCACTTCCATTTCTTGCCGCAAGCTCATCAAGACATGCCGGTTTGGTCACTCAAAGATTGCAGATCATGTCTGGATGCGACTAAAAAACTTCATGAAGATGCCCAAGCTACTCAACGTAGACGAGGATAGACAAAAAGTACCGGTGATGCAGCATGAGCTTGCCACCCGTGGGTATTGTCATCGCTCTGGTTGGCATTATCGTAATGCAGGATGCAGCGATGAGCAGTAAGGGAGACGTAGCAAAGCCAACGAATTGATATGCCTCTGCAAAGCAACGAGTTCCAACAAGAAAGGGCGGAGATGGCTGTGAGAGGCCTCGTCACAGACTGCGCAAGCTCTAGGGAGACTATGTATTGATAGAGTGTACATGGAGGGCAGGTCTTAGGCATTCATATCGACATGATCATGGAGCAATACCGCCGATTTAGTTACGTTTGAGAGGACATACACAATGTCGAAACATTACCTAGCAGGATGTAATACGAATACCAGCATGATTCAACAAGTTCGTTTTTATCGCTCAAGAATACAAGTCAACAGGTGTGCGGACCATTTTGCAGATTGAGGCCTGTGCATACCTAGGCAGACAAAAGTTTTACAACCACACCTTTGCGCGACTTGACCAGCTATCGTGCCTCCGATTTTTACTTCTGCAGACACGTAAGTGGTACAGCGTTTCCTGACTTATCCTAGACCGACTGCTTGGTGTAATCGCAATGCTGGCATCTGGTACAGAGTGCTGTGTTCGACATCTCGAGGTGGAATCCATCGCGTGCTCTCAAGGATTCTCGCGGCGAACAGTATCACAGTGTCACACAACCTGGGGTGATACGAACTCATTTTGCGGAACATGCACATGGACAAGGTAGTCTACTTTGCAAAAGGAAGCATTATCTATATTCCGGAACATTTAAGGTTGCATGACAGGAGTACTTATCCGCAACATTAACGCAGTTCTGCTGATGAATGTCGCATTCAATGCGCCCCAAACTACTTTTGGATATCGCAAATCAGGTCAGGACTACGACTCGAAGCAAGATTACTGGAAAACCTTTCTTATGACATCTCGACCTTTATGTCTCGAACCTTGACGAGCAGCGACGCAGAACGACGAGCAAGCAATTTTGCCCAACTCCATCGTCGCCGCAAGCGGCTTGACAGTGCCGTAGTGAGCAGCAGACTGGTGCCAACAGAGATTGTAGTGGGCACGAAGCACCAATAATTGAGCTCTTGATTGCTGCAAGGCAAGCCAACCTTACTTCATGGGGTAAGACAAAAATCAGAATGCGCCACGATTGGCCGTTGCCATTTCCCTCCCCTGATCTTCCTCTCCACTATCCAGGAACACCAATGACCGAATTTCAAGTTATGCCTGCAAGCAATCTCCCGTGCTTCGATATATCACTTTCTGACCATGCCTTCTCGTCGCTCGTTCTCTTTCTTTCCCTAGCACGCCTCAGTCAAGCTCACAGTCACTCTTTTCGAGACAATCACCAACTCGTTGCTTCGGCACGTATTCACTCTTTTAACAACCCACAACGAAACTTACGAATCTTCCGATTTACCTAATTCGTCGATACCCCAATATCCAAAATGAAGGCAACAGTCGCAGCATTCGTCGCCCTTGCAGGCCTTGCAGCCGCCGATGGTTGGGAGCAATGGTCCAGCTCAACCTCATCCTCGAGCACCACCTCCAGCAGCACCTCTAGCCGTACTGTCTCAAGCACTAGCACCAAGACTACAAGCTCTACCTCGAGCTCCAGCACCACTACCTCGAGCAAGCCTTACGATCCATCCAGCACCTGGGGTAACTGGGTTTCCTGCTCAACTCCAGCTGTTTCCACCTCGACCAGCTGCACAACATACCACATCGAGACTCAGGGATACCCAATCACTTCGTCCTGCACCGCTTTGCTAGTCACACCAACTCCAGTCTGCTCAACCACCAGCTCCTCCTCGAGCTCGTCTTCCACCACCTCCTCAAAGACTACCACTACCTCCAAGCCAAATACCGCCACCTCAAGCTACAACTGGAACGACTGGGTAAGTCTACAAGAAACCATGCGCGCTTTTGACGGAGTTAATGCTAACTGATTCGTAGACCACCGAGCCTGCTGGTCCTGATGGCTGGACTACCACCGTCGTGACTGCCATCACAACCTACGTGCCAAGTGCAACCACCATCGTCCACGCCGGAAAGACCTACACGATCACCGCCAGCACAACTTTGACTGTCACTGACTGCCCATGCACAGTTTCCGTCCCAGTCTGGACCAAGACCTCAACTTCATGCGACAGCTCGGCTACTGCCTCTACCACCACTCCAAACGGCAACAAGAGCTCTACTTCAAGCGCATCCCAGACCACTGGTACTCCAAAGGTCACCACCTCTTGCTCAACCCCAGCCGCCGTCACTAGCTGCTCAACATACCACCTCGAGACCTCAGGTTACCCCGTAACCTCCACCTGCTCCGTCTCTACCCCGTCGGCAGTTTGCAGCACTGTCACTGTTCCAGATAACAACGGTGCCAGTAGCTGGACCATCTGGTCAGACAGCACCACTCTTGTCTCCAGCAGCAAGACCCCAGCTGCTTCATCATCCACAACCTATGCTACTGGTGCCATCACTGGATCCGCTTCGTGGACCGGACGGCAATCACCAGATGCCACCTCCAAGGGCCCAATTGCCAGCTACACTGGTGCTGCTTCCCACAACGCCGTCGCTGGCTTGGCCGGTGTTGCTGGTCTTGCTGCTTTCTTCCTGTAAACGCTTGGAAAGCCTTGCGTTGTTGGGTGCTTAGCATTCTAGACTGTCATGCCTTGATTCGATTTCAGGCAGATATCACAGATGTGTTAGCTTGATGTTTCCTTTATGATCGCAACGAAGCATAGCATATGATCTGTGCCTCGAATCTCTGGTTGAAATTGTATGTACGTTCGTGTACCACCAGGTCTTCGATAGCTATTGACAATACTATGTTTGTTCTGAAAAACTGTTCGAAATTGCTTCATTTGTTATGTTATCATCAGTCCGATCAGTCTGAAGTCACATCTCTGTGCACTGTCGCAAACTGTCAAAGTCACTTGCTAGTGGCAGATCTACCATTCTTTCTGACGACACAAATCTTTCTCACTGCTCATTCTGTTCAAGTGGCGTCGTTGCTTCGTTGACAAACCCAGCTCAAATCCAACATATCCCTTCCTCTCACTTCCGACACACTCCCACCACATACCGAAACACGTTCCACCCCATAAACTCCTTCGTATTCCTCACATCACAACTCTCAAACACCCCCGACTCCTTGACCGCCTTATCCACCCTCCCATTCAAATGACAATTCCCCATAGCAATTGGCCAAATCCACCCCAACAGCCACGCCCACACCCGTGTCAAAAGATCACTATCATTCGCAACATGCTCGAAGAACAAAAACTCCCCACCGGGCTTCAGTAACGCATGGATCGTACTCACTATCTCAGGCATTTGGTGTTGTGGTGCACTACACATGGATTTGATGCAAATGATTGTGTCGAAGATGCCTTCTGCTGCACCAGCACCTGCCGAAGAAGAACTCGAGGGATACATCCCCACCCTATGCAATGCGGGAATCAAACTCCCTGGCTCAGCACCCGCCTCAAGAACAACATACTTGCCTTGTCCTGGATTCAACCCAACCCCTCTCGCGTTCCCCAACAACCTCTCATGCAACGCCGCATTCGGCTCCGCGCCCACAACCCTCTCCACCCGTCCCTCCCGTACCGCATTCACAAGATGCCTCATCTGATCACCATTCCCCGGACCCAATTCTAGCACCGTGCCCTGTGCGCGGTTGAATAGTCCTGCGATGTACGGTGTCTGTTCAGGCGAGAGAGCCATTTGGGGGCCGAGGAATTTCCATAGGGCGCCGAACCAGAGGGATTGGAATTTGTGGGGGTTGGTGAGGAGAAGGGTAGGGTGGGAGAGGATGGTGATGGGGAGGTAGAGGAGGGAGTAGAGGAGGAGTTGGAGGGGAGAGGTGAGGTCGAGGAGGCGGGCGGAGAGGGTGTTGCTTGTAGGCATGGTGGGAGACATGGTGCTGGATGGTGGATGTATGTGTGTATGTGAAGGTCTCTGAGTTGTCAGGTGGTCGTAGAGGATTGGGTAATGCGTATGACGCTGCTGTTTGTTATCTGGTGTTATGAGATAGCGATCGTGTTATTCAGCTTGAGCATTTGTTGCTTGTCCAGCTGTGCTGACAGGAACGAAACGATATTTCGAGGTCAAGCCTCAATACCTCGGATGGTTTCCTACCAATACGAGTTGGAGAGACATTCGCGTTTTTAGGTTTCGTATCTCGCTTGCTAAAACCTTCCCACTCAAAATAGACAGTCGTGGCAGTATAATACTCGGGTAATGAACGTAGCATCTGACCACGATACAAGATTCTCCGTGTTGAGCAAACGCACTTTGATAGTTAGCGCACCAAAAGTTCGAGCTATTTGCGACGGAGCGTGCTTCGAAGATCTGGCAGAAAACAAGCTATGGAGAACGTGCTTAGCGACAGGCACGGAAGATGAGTGTTCGCGTTGGGTAAAGAAGTAATTGATTGTTTTATTACCACTATCTTGCATTCAAGTATGCTTGTAGAGAGTGACGATGCTGCATCTGCTTATGCTGCTCAACTTCTGCTCCGGTCAGCTTCCTATAGTACCTCCGATCCCATAACTCAATCGCTCACAGATGACCACCTTTCGAATTGCTTCCACCAGCATCAGGTTCGTGTTGTTGGCTTATCTATTTCTGATCACGAGAGTTCCGTCAGTAAGATGTTCGTAATTCGGCCAGACCAATAGTATGCTCAAGGCAACCCAAATAACAGCACTATCAAAATGGCAAATAGGCTATCACGTCGACACGTGCGAATGAGCTCCCTGAGAGGTAACTTACACCACATGCTTTGCATTGACAGTTCTGTCCACATGTGCATGTCTGAGCTCCGCTGCAGTTGCACTTCTCACCTCCTGAACCGCATGAGCAACCCATGATGAGATTCTTGTTGTAGAAGTTTTGAGTATTGGTAGTTTGTGCTAAGCTTGACTAGGTAGGAATGTCTCCCGTGTAGAAAAGGGTAGAATCGAGATAGAATGTGAACTGGTCAGGTGTAGCTATAAGTACTCCTAGATACGTACGAACGTCATGATGCGACTGATATCACAGGTATATCCTTGGGATCCGAGCAGAGTCGAATACAAGTAATTCTTGTCATTCTGCTAATGTGTTAACCAATGGCTGCGTTGCAGATGCATACTTCAGTCACCCGGCAGGTCCAGTCTGAAGCTCACGATGCACATGACCAGTTATACGGGAGAACGTGAGGGGTTGACGAGTTCAAGGGAATCCTCCTCAGTGACATTTCGACGGACCTGATTCTACTGTGTACTTGCACCAATGTGGAATACCGACATTAGCACTGTCGAGCATGCGCACTCAGCCAATACTGCCACCTCCCAACGACATAGAGAGGAAGGATGTCCTAGAACTCATTGAGTCCGCCGAGCTCTGGTGCTGCCTGAGTGCCTCAGAAACAATGCTGACAGCAGTAATCAGTCAAGTCTTGTCTTCTGCCTCAAGCATAGGTTGGGGCAGACGGTTGGTCAGAATTTGGCTGCAGTGCAGTACCCTGGCCTTTCTGGCATCAGATGATTTGCACCTGAAGATATGTAGCAAACACTGGCTTGGCAGACTCGACTTCGGGAAAGTGCAGATGCGTCAGGTATATATCAAACTTGGCAGGTATTAAGAGTGTGGGTAGGCACGATGCAACGACAGTCAAAGACATTTGACCAGAACTTAGATGCTATAGATTGGATTCTCGAATTGTATATCTATACAAAAGCTCTTTCTTGGCAGGTTTAAGGTCCTCTGCCGTAGTATATCCGTAGCCATCACGAAGCGATTAGAGCCGAGAAGACGTCTGGAGGTGTGTATAGTTTTCCTACATCAGGTAGGCGATGATCCTGATGTGTTCTTGGTAAGTTTGTGACCTGAGAACACAATCAATTCGTTCGAGGGTGACAAGTCGTGCAGTCAGGCCAGGTTTTGCATAACGCGGCAGCTCGCTAGCCCTCCTCGACCTGGTGACAGCATCACTAGAGAGTCTGTGCTATTCTGCTTGAATTTTCAAAGACGCTGCTCGTCGACAGCGCATTCGTCAATGTCACGCCACACTGCTCCATGGCATGCGATGATCGTCAACCGCCTCCGTTTCGAGCTTCGTAATTGAGCAATATCTGGAGTCAGTCGAGCGATGAGACCATCGGCATACGAGAAGGTCGTTACCGCATGTACCGCTGCTGAAATTTAGGCTTGTGAGCCAGACAAGGTAATGCTTTGACACAAGTCCTCCTGCGCTATACTTCTGTTTTCTGAAGCGATAGACGCTCATATTTGAGTGGTATGTGTAGACATAGCTCATCACGCTAATATTGTGCCTAGACTCTTTCGTAAGGCCCTCCTTTGTGGTTGCCTTGCGTAGAAGATTACTGAGAGTTGTTCAAGTTCTGCGGTGACCATCCTTAGCCCTTGGGCTTTCGTTTTGCCATCAATTTCTTGTAATGAGCTTTCTTACCACTAGTCTTCGCAGCCTGAATTTCGTTGTACTTCCTCTTAAAGCGACCAGTGTTCTGCTCAGTGCGCATCTCCTCCTCGACAAAGGTCTTCGATCGGTCTTTGTTGTTGATGCGACCAGAGTACCACTCTGTTGGACCCTCCACAACTGTGCCGACCTGAGAGAAAGTTGGGATCTTGCCCTCCCGAGTGTTCTTCTTGTAATGTCTGTGAGGATCGAGGACACTGCGCATTTCGATAAGCTGCAGATCGCGCTTGAGAGATGTAGTGAGTTCGGTCTTCGGCAAATTGAACCAATCTGCGCCTGCGTCGGTTTGATCGTTCTATTTCAATCTCGTTAGCAACCCACTCGACCCGTAATCGTGCTGAAGATGAAGGAACATGTTTGAAGAGTCAGAGTAACTATGATTTTGTGTAACTTTCATGGAAGCACGGCAACCTCAAAATGAGGCGCTGATGTGCATCAAGAAAAAGTTTGGGATTAGATTTCCTCATATTGATATGTGCTGGGAACAACAACGACTGAAACACGTACCATTTTCTTACGATTTTCCGTCTCATTGACCACACTTCTAAGACCATCTGCCATTTTGCGCTGTGCCACTGGAACCATTAGATCGGCATTTGTCTTGACCACGCCATTGTGATTCTTGAGGTAGGACGCTTTCTCGAGGTTGTGCTCAAGCTTTGGCAAGTGAACACGCTTTACAGGTCCGGCTGTGGTAGGAACAGTGTCAAGAGCCTCGAGACCGGCCTTCTGTCGTAGTCGGGTCTCAGCTTCCTGTAGCAATTCCTCGATACGCTCATCAGACAATATTTCTGGAGCAGATGTTACTACTGTTTCGTGAGGTAGCTCGACAGATAACGCCATTACGGCTCGTGCAAGTGGTCAGGATTATCGAGGATACATCAGAACATGCGACACAGCAATAGTCCTGGAATCAGCCAGTAACTCGTACTCTGAGGCAACGCGACAAAGTCAATAAAAAAAATGGATCGAGTGCAATTGCGCCCAGGTCGCAAATTGGAGGCCGTATAAACTACAGCCGACAGTTGAGCCGCATGGCGCAAACACTCAGAAAAGCTTTCGAAATATCCAGGTCAACCTGGACAGAAGAGGATGCCATTGCCACCAAAAGTTGATTGTCACGCGCTGGAGATGTCCAGCCCACCACAGTGTCGGATATATTGCAAGAGGGTGGCTTAAAGACGGTCAACACGTATTAGTGCCCAATGTGAGGCATTGACAACGATGTCTACGTAGGTTCATGGAAAGTTGAAGGGCAGTGCAAGCTCTTACTTCTGCTACCTTGAATATTGACGCAGTATCAGCAATGTAAGTAGGGTGTAGAAAGTCAGAAGCATGGGATCAAGATGGGATAGCAGTGCCATGGCGGACAACGGAGGATGGAAGACGTTACCCTGAGTTGACTGAGCTTGGAGCGGTGAGTACTTCATAATTGAATTGTTGCTACTAGGCTGTTTTGTTTCTGTGACCTCTTCTATTTACGCCTTGTACTTTTGTGGAAGAAATCGCCTAGCCTGCAGATGTCAGTCACCATATTTCAGCATGGTTACACAGAGGCTGCGTAGGAAAGTCATCGTCGACGAGGATCAGCCTGGTGTACCTGAAATACAGATCAAACTCAGGCTTCGTTCCCTTCAGGCTTTCTGAGCACTACACGCGCCTATCAGCTTCGAATGAGGCTTTGCCAACGTATCTCATAGGGCGAACCTGGTTCAGGATTTGTTGGCAAATTAAATTTCTCAGCAAGCTGGTCAGTGAGTGGTCACTGGTCCTGAAATTGAGCTAGATGATGCTGCAGGTTATTGGACCGTCAGCTCCATTATGGTCGTCGCGATGATTGGTGCTTTAAACCGCGAGGAGCTTCATGTAAACAATAGCATCATCCTAGACTGTGAACTGAGTGTGCTCTCAAGCAAGATGTCGAATTTCAAGATGAAGTCCCTTGAAGCTGGCGGACTTTTAGCAGTGTTCTTCGTCTCTTTTCGCCCTGCTCTGGAGAAGGAAAGAGACCCCGCCGTGACGCCTATCCGCTAACCACTTTCCATCAGCTATCGGTGGCTCTCAAGTCAGCGTTCACCTCTAGCCGCACCCAGGTTCACCGTCCTTTGCTCTCAGGCTCATATGCACCGTGATCACTTGTCCTTTTGTTGCGCCAGTATAAACAGATTTCTTATCTTGGCTATCAGCCAACGTGGGACGACAGGATATAACGAACACGACCTGTAGCGTGTCGAGCGCATCTTTCGGTATTCGAGCGCACCACTCTGCATGCGCGACTAGTCAAGAGTCCCACAATACGAACGAGTAGTGAAGATGGAACAGCAACAGCCAGGCTCGAATCCACAGAACCCCAGAAGCCAACAGCAGCCATTGTATGACATCTCACAAGGTGGACATTATGGTAAGTCACAATCTCTATTGTTCTGCGATCATCCGAAGATCCAGTCTCGGACCATAATACTCTCGTGAAACAAACATACTGACTTAGTCCTATATAGGCGCCAGTGCTGCGGTACGTTAGATCCCACGATCTGTTTGGTGCAAGCCATGCAATCGAAACTATGACCCTGGATCCTCCTCAAATCTGCGACCTTACTATTGACCCTAAACTACAAGACGGACCGAGATCAGAAGAGGAAGACTCGAATAACGTGGAAGACCGCACTGTACCATCCTTGGACTCAGCCAGAATTGTGCAGACAGAAACTGACTGGTGTTCATATAGCTATCAGCCCAAGGATATGTACCTCACACAGAGCTGTACTCTGGACTCTGGCAGAACGTAAGCGCAACCCGTCAGCTGCAACTGTATTGACTAACCGTGAGCTAGATCAACCAGGGCTTGACAGGCACTTCTCGTGAGATCCTCGCGACCTATTGGCAGCAAACCATCAACCATCTCGAGACCGAAAATCATGATTTCAAAATCCACCAGTTGCCACTTGCGCGTATCAAGAAGGTCATGAAGGCCGATCCCGAGGTGAAGATGATTTCCGCCGAAGCCCCAATCCTGTTTGCGAAGGGATGCGACATCTTCATCACCGAGCTTACCATGAGAGCCTGGATCCATGCAGAAGACAACAAAAGGAGGACACTACAACGCAGCGATATTGCCGCTGCTTTAGCCAAGAGTGACATGTTTGATTTTCTGATCGACATTGTGCCACGTGAAGACGCCGGCACTCACAGCTCCAAGAGGCCAACCACTTCTGGTGGTCAGCAACCAGCTCAGCAAGTGTCTCAGCAGCAACCTCCTCCACAACAAATGCCAGACTATGGAAGTATGCAGCATGGCGGCATGCCTCCACCAGACAGTCAATATCGTCCAACCTCAATCTATGGTGCTCAGCTGGGTGGTGATGGTCATCCCGATCCCAACCAAGGATATCCTCCACCAGGTGCACCAATGTTTGCGGACCAGGGTATGTACAATCCATATGCAGCTCAAAGCCAATTCGGAGGTGGTCAGTCAATGTATCCATCCATGCAACAACAAAGACCACAGTCTCAGGGCTATTCTGGTAGGCCAAGAACTGCAGGTGGCGACGATCCTCAAGAGTATGGTCCTGGCTAGCAGCCTCGCTACGAGATGAAGCCCAAGCCAAAGAGAGGGAGAAAGCGGAAGCAACCTGGCCAAGTACCGCCGGTACCTCCGGAGCAGACGAACCTGGACTACTATGCGCCAACTGAAATAGAAGGAGGCGGATACTGACTCTTTAAAATTACTTGGAGCAGACCCAGCCACCCCTTTTGTATTTAGTTAGCAAGCCGTAACAGGCAGGTATAAATGAGCAGATAGGAACTTTATGAGGCACGACCAGCACACCGCGAAGAAGAGGAGAAAGCGAGCATGAAGGCATGTTAACGAATAGTTGGAAGGTAGAATCGTACGGATAAGACCAAGAACACAGGCGTAGCACTAATTGTTACCCTCGATCTTTACTTTGGTCTTGAACATATAAGCAGATCGAAAGGTTAGAGAGTTATACAACGTAGCCCACAATCAAAGTTCCTGCGATGAACGATTTTCGCTGAAGGTGTTTTTCGATCTATAAGCAATATTTAGACGAGCATTTGTGCAACTCATGGGGAAGCTGCACAACTACGGCAATATACACTTGCGATCTATTCATTCTCGGGACGCAACCTTGACGAGGATTTAGGCAGTATCAGTCACAGTACATAGTGTGGCTATTGGAAATAGAGGATAAAAATCATTACCTGGTATGCGTCCTGGTCGTAAGTTGGTTTGTGCGGAAGTCTTGGTTTTGAGATGTTGCGATTTTATTCGTTCACGAGGTTGGCGTTCGATTACCCTGCACCGTGACTGAAACTCAATGGCGTGCTACAAGGTTGTTCGCAGAGCCAGGCAATTAGACCCGTACGAGAACAGTATGAGTAGTATGTTCAAGTTCGTAAGCGCGATAACCACAATCATCCTCAGTGCCGAAAGTCAGAACGAGAAGAGAACATTGATCACATAGCGACCGCGCATTTTGGTCAAAGAGGAAGACCTGACGATCCTGTCCGGTCTTTTACGACACCTACTGTCATTCTACCGATTATGCATCCATCGTTCTCTCAGACCAGCCGCCATACCAGCAGCTCTACCCATGCTCGCTTGGCCCATGGCACCAGCACCACCACTAGTTCTACTGCCAGCATCTTGACCACCGCTCTTTCTACTCTGAAACCCTACAGGAGCAGGTGTATCCTTGACAACTTTCTCGAGCAGTACAGGACCCTTCAGCGGATCTACACCACGATACTTCTTGTTCCGCAGGCTGATGTCATAGAACTCCTCCGGACTATCTGTCTCCATGAGCGCAACGGTCTGTCGTAGTTCGTCTAGGGATTCGAGTAGGATAGGTGCAGTAGGAAGGGTTTCGACGTATTTGACGAGTTCGTTGACGTCTATGCGGAGTTGAGCAACTGCGGAGGTTGTGATTCGGGAGACAGATTCGCTGAGGGGAAGGGCGAGGACGGAGGAAGCGGTATGGCTGATAGCGTTGAAGAGCATGAGATTTTTGAGCTCGTTGGGCAGATTAAGGAGGACGGACGACATGATGTTGCCAAGGTACTGAGTAAGGGCGGTGATGTATTCGCTCACTTCGACCGGAGGGTTGTGTGTGAGCCAGTCGTAGTCGGATGTTTCGACGAGGTCACTGACTTTACTGTTTACGAGCTCGAAGATGCGGTTCTCGGCGGTCTTTTTCTGGGCCATGAATGCTGATGTGGCGCCCAGGTGGACTGCGCCGTGGCCGAGCGAGGATATAGGACGAGAAGACGTGGCTGTGCTAGTGGTGATTGGAAGTGGTGTTGAGTTCGAGCGGCGCGCTTGCATGAGGAGACCTTCGAGTTCGTGGCACGCAATCTCAAAGTGGTCGAGGTTGATAAGGATCTGGACAACTTGACCGAGGTACTGTGAGCTGAGGCGGGCGATGAGGCTGCTGCAAACCTTGCTCGTGAGTAGGTCATCTAGACTAGCGAGGAGTTTGGTGTCTATGATGGATGGATTAGGGAAGCTATCGTCGGCGAAGAAGTAGAATTGATTGAGGAAATTGCGGATGTTGATACAGCAGAGCGGGTACATCTGACTGAAGGGGAAGGCAGTTGGGAAACGAATGGCTGATACAGGTTGATCAGGTGTGTACCAGGACACATTGACGACTTTTTCGTACTCCTCGCTGTTTTGAATTGGCATAGGCATGTAGTCGTCTGTACTGACTATTTCGAGGAAGTCTTCGCTGAAGCGCTGGTTCAGAAGGTCTGTGTATTTATCGAAGAGGGTAAGAAGGAGTTGTGACATCAGAATTGTGTTGTAGCCGTGACCTGATAAAGTCTGAATATAAACTACTACTAGCTCTTTGATTTTGAGCAGATGCTCAGCATTATCGACTTGAGGCAATGCTTTTGTAATCTGAGAGATAGCGGTATGGTTCAAACTATCCCAGAGCTCCTCGACCTCGGCAGTCGTACGGAGATCTGGCACCTTCTTCGTAGTAGCACGTTCTAATATCGCGAATCCCGCGATGTCCTCGAGAAGGGTATGTAGATCTGCAAGCTCGTCGTCTGTAAGTGTCAAAGGGTTGTTGTTGACGAGTAAATCCTTTTGTGTCCGTCGATTACTGGCGTATTCAGTACGAAACTTGTCCATCTGATTCAGAGTCTGGTGAATATGAAGAGCCTCAAGCAGAGGACTAAAATCCACTTCCAGTTCCTCTGTGTGGAGGATGTCGAACTCCTCGTGTTCATCTGCCACAAGCTCGATCGCAGAGTTGAGCTTAAAATTGGCAAGATAGTCATTATGTTCTGTTCTCTCTCGTAGTCGATCCTTGCGAAGATTTGTGTGATAGAAAGATAGTTCACCCAAGTATTGCGACATCTCTCGCACACGAAACAGCCATGTATTGAGATCTGTCATTACTGTTTCCGCGATCTTTTTTTGAGTCGCAGGTACAGACCGCTGGATGATTTCGCTAATCGTGTATTGTGTTACGGCCTGAAGATGCACACTCTGTAACTCATCAAGAGCTCGTAATGCAGCATAGTACTTGCGCTGATTCAGCAGGTCTTCAACCTGATTGGCAAGTCTTAGTACCTCGAGACAATCATCCAAGGCATGCTTGGCCTCATCAATGTTCTGCCGCACTCCACGCGACTCGACCAGTGCCTTTTTCTGGTCAACAAGTTTTTCAGTACTTGCCTGAATTTCTTGGTTGAGCTGAAGAATTTCGTTGGTCAGATGGACTGTGCCTTCTCGAATGCGAAGCAACTGATTTACAGAATCCACAAATCCTTGATGGGTTGAATTGCACTGCCTTTCAATCTCAGTTTCCTTTTCAGCAGCGAAGCTCTGCAGTTCTTGTAAGACATGAGCGGTTTTGTTGCCCTGACTGAACTCGCGCAAAGACGGAATGAGTTGGTCAACGTAGTCATCGTCCGAAGGAGAGATTACAATCTGCTTGAGTACCGACGAGGGATCATTGCGGAACCGTGTGATAGAGGGCATCTTGCAGCTGCAAATTGTAGCAGTACAGGTGCGCCAGTTCGCAATCGTTACTGACAAGCTCTCCACCAATTGAGTCGTGGAAAAGATATCACGAATTGATTGCTGTTGCTGGTCGAATCGTGATGCGGTAGTTAATTGGTTGCGCCAGGACCGGCCTACCTGCTGCTTACACGGCCATACACGACTCGCTAAAGCAACGCCGCTTGATGCAGAACTATAGACTGCATTTGCCCGAGAAACCTGAAATTTGATGGTCGTAGGTTATGGGTCACAATTTGCTCATATCAAAGATGAGTTAAGGATGAACAAGGGCGGAACTCAATTCCAAGCTGATGCCCCCTGCTAGCGTGCTATCGGCGACATGACTTCTCCACTACTCAACTTCATTTCCTCCCTCTCTTCGCTGCCCTTTCCTCTACCCTATCAGTTCACATACACCAAGCTCGACGCTTGTTCTGCGACAGCCAGGCTCTATCTGCTAGAGCTATGAGGCACCTGTCGAAGCTCTGGAGAAACAGTAGTGGCCTAACTATTGCCTCACGATATGACACTCATTTACCTTGACGTAGGTAAGTTCAAGCCAGCCATGATCATGAGAAGTCGTCTCTTCGTGATTCAGTCCTCGTTCAGAGAAGTCTTCGGCACTCGGTACGACTTGACGCTGCATACACGACCCGCCTGGTTCCCAAGGTCGAGTCTTCAATATACTGGTCCACCCTACAGGAGATTTGCCTGAGGCACGAGGCACTTCTGGAGACATAATAAGATGCCGGTCAGCACATGCACGAAATCTCTCTGCTCACCCGTACTCTACTTCCTACGGTCGTCGGCACGCACATCAAATATGGCATCGAGCCTCGAATGCTGCTTGCAGTACCATGATGAATAGCTGGTTTGCTGACGATATTCTTACATCTAGTGTAAGAAACATCTTTCTAATGGGTGCATATTGCTGTTGTACCAGCTTGAACACATCCGGACATGATTTGAAGCTCTCTCTTGACTTCACACAAGCTGTAACCACATTAGCCTCTTCCACCTTCACTCAGCTCAGGGCTGTCTCAGGTTAACGTAAGAATGAGGACCAATGACTCCAATCTGTTGAGTTTGTCGAACATGTCTTAGACAAGGTGGCTGGTAGGAAGCAAGTCCCTCCAATGACGGACCATGGAACATCTTTTTCACCGGTCCATTGTCGAGCATTGACGGGGCAGATGCCGAGTTGGGGAGGAAATGAGTTGCTAGCGTCGTTCTTGCCACATCTCGTCACCTAGAGAGGCTGGTTGTCGTCCCAGCAGGAACGTGGTTGCCAGGGTTATAAAGGTGACTCGCTCCTTCCTGTTTTGCAACGACCTTTTCCATTTTCCAACACTTGATCTTCTCACTGGGTTTCTGCACTGGTTGCACGAAGCTTCTTCAATTCTTTCAACTTTCACCTCCTCTATCAGCTTCTTGCTGCCCCATCTTTACACTGTCAAATCAGCTGCATCACAATAAGCTACCTCTTGTAAACATCTTGCAGGGATTTCGAATCATTGTCCCATCTAAGGTATGTACCGAATCATTTCCCCAGCACACCTTCTGCAGAGCAAGCAAAGTGCCTTTTCTTCCTCTTTTTTCGTCCAATTCCGTTCAAGGAAGCGGTTCGCAGAATTGGTCGAGGATCGAAATTGGTACCTGCGGAGCACAATCTCCAGCCTTAAACAGATCTGAAAACTCTCCTTACCAAATTTCGATCGCTGACTTGAGCACTTTTAGACCATCTTTCGACACAATGGAAGCGTACAACCTTTCATCAAGTCCTCCATCTGGAGGCACGAATACTCACCATGGTACACCATCTACTATTGCCACTATCATGTCTCCTGAGGCTGGAGCGTCTTCGGTTCACCGAGATGCAGACGTCAACAAGCTCGATCTTGCACTCAACCGGTAAGTCAGCGCTGTCACATTCGTGCCAGAAGAAACTAACACAACGCAGACGAGAAGCCTCTGGCAGCCTGACTATTAGCAAGCGCAGACATGTTGAATTGGCTCCGGTCAACACCTCCATTCCAAGAGCCCCTCTTCGAGTTTTGTCTGGTGCAGCGGCTCACTTCACACCGACACCAACCACCATGACACCTGGTCAGCCTCTGGTTGGCGCTGCTGCAACACACAACGTTCCGGGAGATCCTTGTGTAAGAGACCTTTTGGACGGCTCATCCTCTGACACATCTTCTACTCCTTCTCCCACAGAAGGAGTCAGTCTAACCAGATCACAGCACCCCGGTGTCATCGGTTGCGGCCCTCCACCACCACCTATGCAGCTTGACTATCGCAACGTCGGCAAATTCACAACTGAACTTGTTGGATCGACTCGAGCTTTCGTCGTAAAAGGCATAGCTATACAAGACCAAGCTGGCTATGAGCTTGTTTCTGAAACATATGAGGTACGGAACAAGCACCAACTCTTCTGATCATAAACTGACTCGCTGCAGAACTTCAAATCCCTCGTCGACACTTACGGCATCTACGTGCAGAACGGACTTTTTGCTGTCGAGTTCTATGACCACGCTGAGGCCAAGGAGGCAATGCACTTGACGCAAGCCATCTGGAATGGATTCTTCAGCACAGGTCAAGCCAAATGTTCATGGGTTTTGCCAAAAGAGCTCGCTGCGATCAAGGGATTGCCAATCGACGAGATTTCCAACCATGTCGCCGAGTTCACTATCGACATCGTCAAGTGTGGTCCAGTCGCCACCACCAACGTCGACGCTAGAACCATTTTCGACATGTGTGCAGAGCTCGGTCTCGTCAAGGCCTTCCGAGTTCTCCCCGCCTCAAGACTGTCTTCCATGCGATACCAAGTCGAATGGTCCGATGCACGAATCAAAGCTCTCAAACTATCAGGCAAAGGGATCTCAGTAAGTCCTCCCATCCTTAGTCTCTTCTATGTAACTGACCTCAGCAGGGCTTTCGAGTTGCTATCAGTGCCTTCAAGCCTGACCTTACTCCTCAACAAGCAAGTGGCATTGGTCTCTCCAGCACATTGGCATCCAGCAACGCTCGAGTCGAAGCAAACTATGGCCGTGCCACATCTCGTCGACCATTACCACCCTCTCACAGTGACGGACGCGGCCCACGATTTGGTCCACGAATGCAGACGGGCGCTAGAGGTGGCCAACAGCACAATGTTGTTGACCTCGATCGGATCCGATATGGTCTTGACGTCCGAACTACCGTGAGTACTCATTGCCGACGCCCTTACGAACGCTGACATCCTCTCAGATAATGATTCGAAACATCCCAAACCGTGTTGATCAAGCAGCTATGAAGATGATGCTTGACATGACGTCCTTCGGACGATACGATTTCATGTATCTCCGAATCGACTTCAACAATAAATGCAACGTGGGCTACGCCTTCGTTAACTTCGCACATCCTGTCGACATCATCACCTTTGCAGTTGCTCGAGTTGGCAAGAGATAGAATCTCTTCCATTCCGATAAAGTCTGCGCTATCTCCTATGCCAGTGAGTACATGGTCATAGCTTCACTGTTTCTGCTAACCTGTCTCGCAGCGATTCAAGGCCGAGACTGCCTCATCACGAAGTTTCGGAACTCATCAGTAATGGTCGAGGAGGCTGGTTTCCAACCAATGGTACGTCTTATTCCTGACCATACTAGATCCAACTAACCACCATAGCTCTTGGTCACTGGCGATGGTCCTGCGGCTGGCATGCAAGAGCTATTCCCTGCATCTGACAACGAGAAGAAGTTGCAGCGCAGCTGTGACAACGCGGAGACAGTCGGTTTGTACCACCCAACCTCAACCAACAGCGCTCAGTCCAATACCGTTGCACCAGCTGTTACCACCGTACCGCCACCCAAGACTCAGCGGGCTGGTGGAGTATACTCATTGCCGGCTAATGGTCGAAAGGCCATAGCACTCAGCCAGGCAAAACATGATCCCTCTTTATCATCATCTTCGCGCACCAGTGAGCACACACAGCCTATGCGTCATCTTTCCTTGCTTGAACATTACTGACTAGTTCTACTACAGGTCTTTATGCACCCAGAGAGGGCCAAGCTCACCGAGAGCGACTTCTGCGACAGCAGTCCACATTTGATCGAGGCACTTTGTTTGCGCAGAACGAAGTAGCTCTTCGAGAGCCCCGAACCACACAAGCTTCCTCCACTATCAACGACGCTCGAGTTCCTACAGGTGCTCTGCCAGCTCAACACTATGCAGGCTTCGCACGAGTTCCCGAGAGATTTGCTGCAGCCGACGCTGGAGCTCTTGGTCAGTCTTTCTGGCGACACGGCTAGATGATGTCTTGTATGAATTGATATCTTGATCAATGTCTTGTGTGTCATTTGGTCATTTTATGACACAATCTTGCAATCTCGAACTGGATTGTCGCATACTGGGAAATGTTACGAATCATCGTCATCATGGAACTTGAGAGGAAAAACTCAAATGGAAGAATTGATTGATTAATGAATGGAGAGAAAGTTCCTGGTGTCATGGACACTTGCGACACATTCACAAGAACGTCTGGAAGGGTATAACATGAGTATGAACAGTAGGCAATTGCCAATAAATTCATTTGCCCTCAGATATGCCCTCCTCGCTTTTGTTCCATCTCTGTGACCAGTGTAAATCTTCGTTGAGAATCTTGTTTCGTGGTGTTGGAAGAAAGAGGACTGTGAGGCTGAGATCATTTCTTTGGGTAATGTGTTCTGGTTGCTCTAGTTCCCAAGCTCTTCCCTTTTGTGAATGTAGGATGTATTGAGTCCTTCGCTCTTCTTAAGCAGCTACCACTAGACGTTGTCGGTGTCAAGGATCAAGGCGTTCGAGAAGGGTCCACTCGGATGAAGCGACTCTGTGGGGTTGTAAGCTGATGGTCAACCAAGATTTAGAGTGTGAGGTTGATCTACATGCTCACGAAGCACGAAGACTGGACAGTGTAGATTGCTTGTGCTGGAGTCATGGGAGTATAAGTGTAACTAGTCAAGCCGAAGAACAGACTGACAGGTTGGAATTTTAATGCTTCTTCCAGCTTGGTAAAGTCCTGCTTTGTTTCTGACTCTTTTTCTACGCAGAAAGGCTCAATAGCTTCTCCAGCTTCTCCAGCTACGTAAATAAGCCTTTCTTGCCTGGGTAAGCATAATTCTGGCTGCGGGAAACTGCATTAGATCGTGCGGAGCGAACCTGCCGTGCATGATTGTCCATTTGTTGTACCGCGTCATGTGCTTGTGGATATTCGGAATCGAAAGATATACATTGCATGTAGCCTGATAGCTAGCACACTATGCTCGATTGCTGCAAGTACCTGGACAAGTATCTCTGTATTGTAGCGGACAATTCTTTACGTTTCGATAGTTCCGCCGGAGACCAGACCAGCGGCCGTTGCATTGTCATACATTCGACCCTCCCCAACCATCACTTCCTCCAGTACCGAAGACTCGAGCAAGCCGAGAGCATCAAGAAGAGCTGGCAAAAGAGGAGGCAGCGGTAATACAGAATTTGGACTGAACGTCAAGGTTTGCTTATCAAGGCTTGAAGCCGGTGCAGAACTCCTTCCACGTACACAACCCATCCATACACCACCGAAATTCTCGATCGCAGTGCTGTACAGCGTGGATATATACCAAGAGAATGGTTTCACGATCGGCAGCGATGGGACCTACAGGCCTTCTGTCACTCCCCACTGAGATCCAGCAGAAAATTTACAAATACCATTTCGAAGATGTCAGCATCACGGTCGATGTCAGTCCACAGCCATACACCACACCCATGGGCCGTGGGGTCAAAACGAACATCAGCTTCCCGGATCTGGTCAACCAATATGCCCTTGTACTGACATGCCGGACGCTATACACGATCGCGAAATCATATAGGAAATATGCTGGCTTGACGCTGGATATCAGAGAGTACACAATGTCTCCGTTCATAGACCACCTCAAACGAGCGATTCTGGCGCAACCGCAATTGCTCCGACTGTTCCAGAACTGTATAAGACTGGTACTGTGGGGGATGGATGGCGAGGTCTTCAATGACTTGAGACAGTGGATGCCGATGCTGAGAACACTGCGACTCGTCGACGTACATGTTGATTATCCTGCTCCTCCGCCTCTTTGGTTCAAGAATCTGAGTGATCTCTCGCGTTTTATCTCCGGAAATGGGAAAGAGCTTGAGGATGAGACGCAAGGAAATTACGAGCAGCTCATTCGCACGAAGGGAAGTTGGGCTGTTTCTTCTTGTCTTGCAAAGTTCACTGGTCAAGACTTTGAGCACAGAAGACCACAGCCAGTATCCCTTGCTGGACTCGATACCGAAGTTGCCATCGTCCGTTCCGACTTATATACCATCGGGAACGATATGTCATGGGCCTTATTGGTAAGTGTGCTAACTATCATGCGAACATATATACCTCATTCACAAACAGTAGCCCTCACTGAATCTCAGACATACTAACGATGCGAGCAGATCACTGTAACGGCATCGGCGCCAGGTGGTCGCAAGTGCATCATGGCTAGGCGAGCCGATGACTGGCTGCGCCTCTCACCGCCGGAAGACAAGCTCTTTGAGGTTTGTAAAAGAGCTGTAACTCAGCTGGCGCTGAAGAGGAAGGTCACCACCTCGAGAAACTGGTTTGAGTGGTCGCTGGTCGAGTATCAAGGCCAGCGACCACTGTGGAGAGAAACAGTCGATGTGAACGCTCGATGGATCAGAGCAGCCAACTTGCCGAGCTGTTTGCAAGATATAGTATGAGGCATCTGAACCGAAGTCGAGCAACCACTGATGAGTCCGGCTGATACTGAGTGAGAATGAAGTCAACCAGAACACCGTCATACCCGCTTCCGTTATAGATCAACCGATGTTGACGATGCTTTTCCGACGTGAACTGCTGACCTCACAAGCAGGGAACTACATGGCTAATGTGGCAGATAGATATGGAGCATTCGACACTGGAGGATCGACACAATGGAAGTGTCGCCAGTAAGTAAGGGTCGCCCACACTCAAGGTCAAGGGTGCCCTAAATCTTGGTAAGTGGAAGCCAGGTTTGCGATTCTGCTGGCTGTTTTAGCCTGAATCTGTGTCTGTCAACCTGGCCGGAGGTAACCACTGTGTTGAAACGATCACTGGGCAGAAATCTCCTCAGGAAATCGAAGACACGATATCCTACCACGGGATGCAAAGTCCTGAAATTGCAAGCAGCGCACATATCTTGTACAATACTCACAGTCCAACCAGCGTCGAAGGACCAAGTATTAAGAGGGCATCAGCAATGATCCCTTGATTGTGGATGTGCCTGGCTCTATGAGAGCATGATGTCGTGCAGAAGGCTCCCTCCATGGAGCAAGTTATTCCAGACGAGACAATCGAGTTGTTGTTCACCTGTAGCTTGCATCCACCGCTTGAAGAGGAAGCAGTCATTGTCTGCTGGGGTCACACTTGATCTCAAGCCCCAGTGGTTTACCAAACTTGAACAATAGGACGAGTCTATGCGCATACGGCAGCTCAGATGCCATGACTCCTTGTCAACCCTTGCTCTGCGATAGGCTGTGTTCTCGTGGCTACAGTCTGGTTACGGTCAAATGCACAGCAGGCCCCAAGCCTCGAATCCAGCAGCAACCTCATCTGCTCACCCTGCCTCGTTGTGTCTGAGACCCACATCGAGATTGAAGGACGTTCAACCAAGGGTGCTATACTGTGTCGAAGAGGGCATTCTGGTTGTGTGAAGTTGAACTGGCGAGGCTTTTTGCGTGGGCCAGGATCTCATATTGTGATTGGGTGTGGAGTGCCACGTCGACATTCCAGGAGCACCGACCCTTCTCAGCCCTAGATTGAAGGCAATGCACTACGAATCAAGCACGCTGCTAGTGGCTTTGACCAATTGTGTTGTCGACTAAAAGCTCTTAGCTGTTGTCGCCCCGTCGGACTGTGATCCTTGTTCGTCGAAGGAGGCATACTGATTGTTTCGGAGCCAGTTCACCACATTGCTGCCGAGCTCAGTCGCGTTGTCTGTGTGCTTGTTTTCTTGCTGAAAGGCTCGCTAGGTCTAAGGTGCTAAAGCAGGGTCGAGGTAAGGTCGGGCTGAGGTCGAGGTCTCGAGGTCATCCGGAATTTTGACAAGTAATGGTTTTCGCTGCCCAATGCTCTCACATACAGTCACTTGCCAGGCACTGAGTACTTGCCAGCTATTCTTGTGTCTTTTGAAGCTTCAAGGCTAAGTTGTATGGGTTAGACGTTGTGGATAGCGCGGATGATTGTCATTGTTGAGTGGCAGTGCACTTTCAAATCCTGGTCAAAAAAGTTGCACAATTCTGCGCGTTTGCAAGCCCGAAGCAGGATGCTGGATACAACCTAGAAAAGCACAAGTACGATCTCCCAGACCCCTAGGCAATGGCACAACGAAGAGCCTCTGGACTACCTCACATGGTCACCCGAAAACATCTGGTCCAAACCACCGCCCACACCCAACTGTGATGCATTTACACCAAATTGAGACGACAACAATGTGGCCGGCTACAACACATGCTGATTGCACTCTCGACCTCTAGATTACGTTGCATCGCAGTGGCAGGGTGTGCATGAGCAACAGGCACTGCACTACCCCCAGCCTCGTGACCGTGGATTGGACTAGCGAAAGACCTTCACAACAACAACATTACGGCAAGCTTGGAAGCCCACCGATGCAACGACGAGCCCCTTGACGAACCGAGTTCCACTCTCCGCGGACTGTTGGGCAATGGCTAGGTAGTGACCACGACGGTCAGTAGCTGGGACAGGTCTCTCAAGGTACTAGCAAAGGAACGAACATTGACTCTGCACACATTGTCTGCTGCACGAGTATAAGCACTTGTGAAGCAGTCGTTATTTGTAAGAAGACACCGAAATGGTAGGAAAGCATATTGACCTTGCCCAAGACGATGTACAAATCCAGCTGTCAGCGCGATCCTGGTACCTTCCATTTTCAGCACAAGACCTCTGAAACTCGATCCCAGTTTTCTCCAGCAACGGACGACGTCCTCCTTACTATGACCAACTCTACTAGACCTTAAGAATCGCTTGATCTGGGTTGGAAACGCAGGCAGACCGAAATAGCAGTATTGCTTGTAAATTCGCAAGCCACGAGTCAACCCGTACAACATCTTTGCTCTCTACGAGCGTCCTCAATACATACATTCGTTCCTCAAACCCTACGCCACATGTCGGATGGTCATTCTCGATAATCAAAGAACAGCGAAATCGGTCTGAGAGCGCCAGCCAAGGCGACAGGAAGATCTTTTAGAGTCAGAGAACTTTCAAGCATGATGGCAAAAGAGTCCTCAAGTAGCAACCCTGACGTCTGCCTCCAGTTCTAGTGTTGTGCAGCTATTAGGGATTGAGGCCTTGAGACGGCACGTTCTCGAGTATTACAGGACAAGTTCATATCTGAAGAACGGAGGAAACAAGAATACTCACAACTACAGGTGAAGAGCATCGCATATGACGCGAAATGTTCGTGGCCCGTCGCGCTCATATCTATTGAGGCTACAGCAGATCTGAATCTTGTGACTTTGTCCCTAAGGTCCTGGGCTGTGATGGCGGGTTCGTGGCAGCAGTGCAAGTCTTGTCGCTGATGCAATACTGGCAATTTTCATATCGCACGCATGTTCTGAATGTCGGAATGAGGCTCGGTTTTTAGCTGCTTGCTACAGCAGACTGCTAACTTCAGGAGACAAATATTGGAGGCATTTGCAGGTATGTCTACATCGTGCCCACCCCTGTCTCCGCTCGTGTCCTGCCGCGTCAGTGAATCTGCCACCATTGGCATATATCTAAATAAGTACTTCTGACCTGACGTGTGCTTCGTCATAAGTCTTGAAAACTGGATGATTGACGAGGCTGTATTATGAAGAGGTCAAAATCCATGCCACGAAATTCATTGGACGCCCGTTCTGGCGCTCTCGTTGAGACGTAGCTGTCTTTTTAGGTAAGTCTCGAGCCAGGGATTTGCTGATCCATTGCTCAACTATATTCGGTCCTCCATGTTACAAGGGTTTCAAGTTCACAACCTCTGCTTTTTTACATTACTCGTGCATCGATGGTGGACCAGAACATGAATGACCTCATTCTTCGAGAATTGAAAGCACAATGTTAGGAAACTCGAGCGAACCAGCTACTCCAGGAGACTTCAAGAGCGTCTTTGACCCGGTTCACTGTGCTATGCTGATATTGATTGTGGCATCGGAGAAAAGCAAACTTATTGTGGCAGTGATGTGCACCTTCATGCGTACGCTGCATATTTGGTGTCTATCTCCATGACAGGCACAAGGTTCGAACTGTTTTCGAGATCAGAGGCTAAGGTGTGACTCAGAGAAATACTCTGAAAGATCCAGACGTATTTGAGTTTCTCGATAATGGAAATTTGACAATGTTACGAGATAATCATTCCCATTGGAGACTGAGAAGAGGAATGAGCAGGAGCTAAGCGACACCGTGGATCATCACCAGCAGAAGCACACAGGATCATAAGCTTCTTACGTCTGAACAGGAATCATTCACCAACTTGTATTTGAGGACAATCTTTGTGTATCTATACACTACTAACAACCAGTACTTGAAGATACGCAAGCATGCAAGAGGGGCTTAACTCAATATCACAGATTCATCCCAACACATTGTGCTTTTAGTATATGTCTCCTAAAACGTACCTCAGTTTCGTCCGCATGCAGCCGTAGTTGCCAAGTTGCCACAAGAGCAAGACGATGTTCTCTTTCTACCACTAATTGGACTCGACTTTCATTGTCCTTGCTTAAATGGTGGCACTGTGGAAGCGTGATGGAGTTCATTGCACTAGTCCAGATGAGGACTAGATCATTGAAGGCCAGCATCGCGAACACGTCCGGTACAAAACTTCGCGTCAATTCTTGAAGTTGAGTATATACATATTATACTACGAACACTGTCTACTATACCAACAAAGGCTACCTCGCTGGGTGAAATCCTGAAATCTGCAAGTTACCTGGTCGCAAGGACGTAGCCCAGGGCAAGTCGAGGATCACGTCGCTTACTTTCACCACTTCCCATGCTCGACGACGCTTCACGACCTGGAATGCCCACCTCTAGCTCCGGACTAGGCGCCCAACTTCTCGCGCGTCGCTCTTTCGCGTCTTTGAGCATGTCTGGCTCTGTGACTTCTTCCTTGATGAATTGCTTCCTACCACCATAATATTCCTCAACGTCGTTTTCAATTGACTCAACGACTTCCGATTGTCCAGGACTTCCGCCTGGGCCTAGATTGAGGGCCGAGCACATGGTAGCCATTACCTGCAAAGGCGAATCACCTGTGCTAGGGCTCGAATTTCCAGCATGCCGAGGCAATGTCTTGGTGTCGACGTCCATCTGCTCAGCCTTGATCGCTGGTTCCGGCGTACTGGAGCTAAATGACTTCGAACGTCCGCTAACACTTAGCGGGATACGTCGTTCCTCGGCATCCATACCCGCATCATCTCCCTCGGCCCTCAGTTGAACGGACAAACAGTGAGAGCATGTCTGCGGGTATAGCCAACATTTCTTGTTCTTCCGATGGTGTTTGCTACCCAAGTTTCGACACAGACCTGAACTTTGGAGACAGCACAATCGATCGTTCTTTGGATCGTCTCGTTTGTGCATCAACGAGCCTGTCTCACTCCTCCTCTTCTCTCGAGCTGCTTCGCGTAGAGCTCGGCGCGCTTTGCTAGCTTCTACGCGTCTTTTCGAGCTTGTCATTGTTCAAGCGGGTCGAAGCGGAGTTTGAAATGGCTCTTCGCGGCAGTGACCACCTCTTCTCCGGTTGTTTAAGCAAAGTCTTCTTTCTTTGTGGCAACAAGGACCGGCTGATAGTGAGGGCTCGCCGGTGTACTAAAAAGTCGTGTGGTTTGTGATGCGTAATCGCGAAGAGAATTTTACTGGCTCGAAATAGTTGCATGCTGCTATTATTGGTATACGAGGCCTAACCACGATTCTCTCGAATTGTGAATTTCGTGAAGAGCGAGCTCGAAGCATTATATGTGCTTCCTGGGAGCGATAGAGACAAAGACAAAGTTGCTCATGGTTGCTTTGTTGCCCGGATCCGGCATGACATATCTGGCCTGTCGTGTTTTAGACGTCTTCGGACGCCTATGAACTGTCTTCAGGATCTATACCGAGCTAGGACATCATATTTGCCATGATGCTCAGTTTAAGATATCAGCATGGTACCTCTGCTTGGTGGCCATGCGTCGGGGTGGAGATATGGCGGGTGGTCCGTGCGTCTACCCATCTTGGTTATATCTCTGCCACCATACCTCACCACAACACATGTCGCTTCTCTTCAGTGTTTCTCCTTTGCAATCAGAATGGCACTCTATGGCAGGTATCGAACACCACTTGATGGTAAAGAGGCTTCGATATGCAGCTCACAGTACTTCAATCCTGATCTGGCCACGGACGAGTGTGCTTGTGGCATGCCCATGCGCCCATTGGAGTTCTCAAAATTCTCAGTACGTGCATCGTAGTTGGATGAGCACCACGCTGAGAGTCATCACTGTAGCTGAGCAGCTCCGCCAGTCATCTCAACTTCTTCACTGGTTGGAGCAGTGATATTGATTCACATTACTACAAGTTATCGAGTGCTTTATTGTTGCTGCACTCTCTATCACTTCACAAATGAACAAACACGCAGGCTGCAGCCTGCCTCCATTACAATGAGTATGGCAGGTCACTGAGAGTGGCATCTGTTAACAAGTGCCAGCGTCTTCTCCACTCACGATTGGACGCGCAGAAACCGGCGTCACTTCAGTGTTTACTGAATTTCATGTCACCTCGCGAAGTCGGCTTGGCAGCCTGCTCTGTGTCTGCATCAAGATCGCGATCCTCGAACTTTCCTTCCTCCCACCTGTTCGTCAAGGCTATGTCAGAATCGTTGCATTCGCGTACAATTTTACGAAATCCATTGGTAACTTTTCACAGCCTTAGTTCGTGTAACCTCTACTTTGGTCCATCGTGCGCAAGTCCCTAAGAATTTTTGGTGTACTCTGAAACTGTCAAGCAATAGCCTCTTGTGCAGCGATATCAATTACCACCAGCGAATGAACCTATCGTCTGGTCCCGATACTGACTTCAGATTGTTCTTATCGAAGTCAACTCTTCTTCCACAACACAACTGCTTATTACTCTCCAGATGTGAGTGAGACTTGTGGCTTGCTCAGCAGCTTTACTGACATGATGTAGCCCAGTAGCAGCAGATCGTCCTGTTCTCAAACTACACGATGAGCGGTTTCAAGTCTCTTCCAGGGAAGCTCCCGTCTGCTCCGCTGAGGGCTCGAGCAGAACCTCTCAACCGTTTCTTGTCAAACTCAACTTACGAACTATGCGCTCACGAACTCGAGGCTATCACGAACCCTCAGCAATTGTTCAAAAATGATGGTACTGACAACATGCACTTCAGAAACCGTTACCACATCCGAAAGAGAATGGTAGACTTTCTCAGAAGTCCCGAGAGGCGCTACGTCGAAGGTTTTGTCCTCATGGCGGCTCGCAAGGCATTGAGACTTAGTCGAGACCCTAGCCCCAACGTGTGCGACGATGAATTGTCAGACACGTTGAAGGCAATCCAGAAGCAGGTAGCCTCCTTCTACGTCAACGGCAAGAAGATATATGATACCAAGGCTAAGATTTCAGCTGCTGCCACTGCCGAGGCCAAGTTTGGTATCGATGAGGCTGTTCGGAGTATCTTCAAGAAACGATCAAGAGAAGATGATACCGATGCTGAGCGAGCTCGGAAGAAGCACATGCCCGAAGGTTCATTTACTAGTTCTCCTACACCCACACCCACACCTGAAGAAGGTGGTGCAGGCACCAAGTCAGAATCGACTGTTCCTAGTCCTGCTGAGTCTTCTTCACAACCAAAAGCTAATGAGCCCGTTGACTCCATGGATGGTAAAGGACAAGATACGGAGGATGCTAAAGAACCCAAGCAAGGTCCAGAGGAACCGGCTCCTACTGGTTCGTCCTCACCACCTGAAGACAATTCAGCCTCCAAAAACAAACCACCACCATGCAAATTCGCAGCGTTCTGTGCCTCGACAAGGCTGACGTGTTCGAAATCTCCTCCATGCGACGTTGAGAATATCCTTCCCAACCTCAGGAACGGAAAGTTGCAAGACTTTTTCAGTATGTGTCCCGAATGTTCAAAGCAGTTGTGTATAGCCGGTCTTGGGCCTATGCCAGAGGGTGACAGAGCAGCACACCTAGCAGCAGCAGCAAGCCGTGATGCAACATGTTGGTTCAGCAATAAATTCTACGAACGATCGGAAGGTTACACACTTCTTTCTGATGAGAACCCTCTAAGTGATTACTTCAGGACTTTCTGGGGTGTGCAATCCTTTAGGAAGGCTGCAAAGGAAATCTCCGACACTGTCGAACAAGATCGGTCTAGTAGCCAATGTAGACCAAGCACCGACGCCAGAGAAGACTTTGTGCCATCTTCGTCTGCTGCCGCTGCTGCTAGTCCTGGAAGCGACGACACTGTTCCCGTGACTGCTGCGTGCAGCCCATATCCTAGCCCACCACAGACACCACAGTCCCCGGTGTTCTCTACTACCTCAAACGATCCGCCTAGTCCACTAACGCCAAGCACTCCTGTGTCGTCAACTACATCTAGCCACAGATGCCTAAAGAAGCGATTTGTCTCTGACCGTTCTCACCCATACAAGCGGGACTCATCAACAAAACCTCGAAGAAGCCCTCGAAGCAGTTTGTCGAACATATTGTCGAATCAAGGTCAGATTTTTGACGGGCTTCGACATTCATTGGGTCTCCTCAAGTGTCTGGTCCGCGAAGTCCGTCAGAACCGATGCTTGAAACACCTGTCACAGTGCCGGTGCCAACAATCGTAGCTCAGCCTACACCTCAGCTTGCACCTCACTCTGCACCTCTAGCAGCATGCCCTACCACTTTCGAACCGATGCAATCATTTGGCTTTCAGCAGGTAGCCCAGCCTCCTCAACAGACATTAGACGAACACATGGCATTGGAGCCAGCCTGCGAGAGGAACAACGACAAAGAGCAAGGAAAAGCGCAACACAAGCACACAGCCAAGGGTGGCGGTAATGCTGGCTCAACCAGCGCAGGGAAACGCAGCTTCGGCTAAAGCACAATCAAGGTCTCGGTCCCTAACACCAGTCATGCAGTCGACGCTACTGCGATTAGAGCAACAAACACTGCGATCATGCAAGGTGCATCTGAAACTACAAGTGCCACACAAAATGTGAATGTGGGTGGCCATGGAGCGACACCGGTCACCGATCACGACCTTGATCGCTTCGCAAACTTGACTAGTCGTTTCAACCCCAAGTCTTATCGTGGAATCAACAAGCTGTTCAACGAGCTGATTCAAGCGGCTCGTGGAAAGAATTTGAAGCTCGACCAGGTCCGTGCGCCAATGGCTTCAACACCAAAGCTGGTGAGCAGTATGCCAGCTTACACAAAACGCCACGATCCTGGCTGTCTCAACTGGCAGCTCAAGTATAGGGCTCCTAACGACGTCAGAAATTTCTGTTACGAGGATGTCTTGGCCAATTTGAAGGAGAAGGTGAAAGATATGTGGCGGGACACAGAGTCAGATCAGTGGGTAGATCTCTTGACCCTTGCCTTACAGTCAGGACTCCACCCCAGAGATTTGTTCACTCAGAATGAACTCGGTGAAGAATGGTATCGAAATACAGTTCTTGGAGAGAAGTTTGCAACTGAAGACCATGACCTCTATGGTAACCAATTCTTGTATCCAGGAGAAGGATTAGCATTTCCTCCCGACGATGAAGAAAAGAAGAAAGAGCCTGCAGAACCTGTCATAGACAACAAGTACTTCGACGATCTTCACTATTACAAGCACATGAGACCCGAAGCCGCCGATGCAAGAGCTGTGTTCCTCTTCGAGGAAATCCGTCAGCGAAATCTCTTCAGTTTGCTCCAAGAGGTCAACACTGAGGGTTTCACGGGAGAGCCTGGAAACGACCTGAACGCTGATAAATTACTAGATGACATGGAGACGAGCACCGATGACCTACACGCTGCCATCGAGCAAAGTGGCTACCTTTGGACTGGCAGACGAAAAGCACTGTGTGGCCTCTTCGACATGATTCACCATGCAAGAGCTGCCATTGAGAACGACATGATAGCTGAAGAGGACTGCCGAACCCCTCAGAGTCGAGCAGACTATGAATTTTTCTTCAACACGATGGAGGTATTGGTTGCACATCGCTTCCCTAGGTGCACCAAGTTCGGCGTCTTCAGTGACATTGAAGACCCGAAAGGTTTGACGGTCATCGACTGTGAAGAGTATGCAGCTCGTATGCGGGGGGCTAAGGGCTGGATCTTCCACAGTCCGCCACCATCGGCATGTCAATCGATGTCTGAGATATCGTACACGGCTGCTCTTCAACCATGGCAACGCAAATCACAGAAGTACAGCTATCGGCAGTCGCTGCGAAAGAACCGACGAAAGGTAGCGCCGAGGAGCGTTGCGCGCCGAGCCAGGGATGCCAATACGGCGATGGAGACTTGAGTGCAGAGTCCATCTGAAAGTGTTCACCAACAGCCTCTGGTGCAAGGTTGGTGTGAGACTGAACTGCGGAGCACGCAACAAAGAGTTCAAGGACAAAAGAGAAGTTTGTGTACAACGTTGATCACGACATACATCTGCAGACGCCTCACATCTCAGATACTCTATCCAGCTTCCATAACTGCAATGATCGCAACGATCGCGCCCGTCTGAGTGGCAATGGCAGAAGCAGAACAAGCGCTACCGTTTCCATGGCCAGCAAGACAATCTCGCCATGACCTTCTAGCCTTGATCGAAGCAGCCAAATATTTCCTCGAAGAACTTCAGTCCCGATCGTCCGAATAGTGATAGAGAGATAGAAGGAAAGCAGGAAAGAGGAGAGCAGGTGAAAAGGAGCAGGAGAGAACAGAACCGAAAAACCTACAAAAAAAGTTAAGAGCCACACAACACAACAACAACATCATCGTTGCTACTGTCAACGCAGAAGAATGCGACAACAACTTCTGCGGTAATGAAAGGTGGAAGAGAATAGAACCGGAACCCCGAAAAAAGAATTGCCAGAAAAGAGCTGTGCAAGACAACAACGACACCAACAACATCATCGTCGTGGTCATCACTGCCATTGTCGCAGCAGAAATGGTGACAGCGACAACAACGACAGCAGTAACAAGAAGGCAACCAGGAACTATGTCGAGGGAATGAAGAAGTAGACAGGAGGACTACTAAGGGGACGAATGTCACGGCTAAGCATGAGAAGTGCTAGCTAAACCTCTTCGAAGACACAAAGATTTGAGATAAAAGTAGATACTCCAGTAGATAGATAGACGGTAGTTCCTGGTTGCAAGACCCGTTAGAAAGTAACAGCAACATCATCAACATCATCATTGAGTACTGGAACGTGTTCCGAGCATCTACTGTGATACTACATCGTGTCGTCAACCCAGCACCACTTGGAGATTCTGGCGGGGCCATTGACTTCTCGTATGTGTGTAGGATGCGCTTTTACCCAATTCCCACATGCTTGTTTGATCGTAACCTTGACGTTGGTCGTCCAATGGCTAGATGGGTAGCGACGAATGTACAGATTACTGAGATGCAATAAGCCCACGAGTTAGCCGTAGTACGGCAAGAAAAAAGTTTGAGAATCGTACGGTTTTCAGGGTTATCGCGATGATAGCTGATCTCGAGTCCATTACGCGTCAGCAAGGATGCCTGATTTCAGTAGCTGGGCTTCACATTCGTTCGCCTTTCTCGAAGTCGGAACTTGATGATCACGAGGCGGTGAGCGTCTGACCATTCGGGCGAGATGAAGTCGATTCTCGAGCAAAACGAAGGTAACAGCAACGACACGATCGCGTCAGAAAGCACACCACTACTGGCTGGGGGAAATCATGCACCTACAGCTGATGTCCAAGCAGCAGAGGCAACCTCAGCAAGGAGGGAGTCTGCCACAAGTACACAATCCAAGAACACATCTTCGAGCCAACTAAACAGCAACGAAAGCACGATAATCGCGACACCTCCAAGCGTCTCACAGAAAGAACGACCTCTCCCTGTCCGCCAGATTCTGCTTCTATGCTTTGCACGACTAGTAGAGCCAATTGCCTTCTTCTCGATCTTCCCCTTCATCAACCAGATGTGCGCCGAGAACGGCAACCTGGAACCAGCGGACGTCGGCTTCTACTCTGGACTGATAGAATCACTCTTCAGCCTGACACAAATGGCCGTCATGATTCTCTGGGGTCGTCTGGCTGATCGCTTTGGTCGCAAGCCTGTTCTCTGTATCTCTTTGTTCGGAGTGGCATTTGCAACAGCGTTGTTTGGGTTTGCGCAGACTATTTGGCAGATGATAGTGTTCCGTTGTCTGGCAGGGATATTTGCTGGGACTATTGTCACGATTCGGACAATGTTTACGGAGCATAGTACGTCGAAAACGCAGGCTCGAGCTTTCAGCTGGTTTGCTTTTTCGGGAAACTTGGGGATTTTGTTTGGCCCTTTGATTGGAGGTGTGTTGGCGAATCCGGCCAAGCAGTACAGAGGGACTTTCAAGGGTGTTAGGTTCTTCGAGGAGTATCCTTACGCGTTGGCTACACTGGCTACTGGGACTATTGCTCTTGTCGCAGCAGTCGTGACATTCTTCTTTGTGGAGGAGACTCTTCCATCTTCTAGTAGAAAGTCTGGTCTGAGCAAGAATGATTTAGAGGCAGAATCGGCAGCGGACGAACCTATTGACAACGAAGGAAAATACAAGACTACTTGGTCCCTGGTCAAAGCGCCAGGAGTCGCACCGGTGCTCTATCTCTATTCTCACAACATGCTGCTAGCATTTGCCTATACGGCCATCATTCCAGTTTTCTACTACGAACCAATCTCCCTAGGAGGCTTCGGATTCTCCTCCAGACTAATCTCGCTTTTCATGGCTCTTACAGGAGCAGCACAGGCAACCTGGTTGCTTCTCGTCTTCCCACCTCTACAGCATCGCATCGGCACAGGGGGCGTACTACGGCTTTGTGCATATGTATATCCTCTCTTCTTCATCGTCAGTCCGGCATTGAACGCGCTTCTTCGCCAAGGATCTCACGAAGGAAAAATTATCTTCTGGGTGATTGCACCTATACTGCTCTGTCTGGGTGTCGGGGTTAGCATGTCCTTTACAGCGATTCAGCTTGCGTTGAACGACGTGAGTCCAGGTCCGAAGACACTTGGCACACTTAATGCGCTGGCATTAACGCTCGTGTCTGGACTTCGAGCATTCAGTCCAGCTGCTTTCACGAGTCTGTATGCAGTGGGCGTCAGTAAGCAGATTTTGAAGGGTTATCTGGCTTGGGTTGTGATGGTAGTGCTTGCTGCTGGTTTCAGTGTCGCTGTAAGATGGCTACCGGAGAAGGCTGAGGGAAAGATAGACGATGATAGGGGACATGTTGATGAGGAATACAGTGATCAGCCTCAAAGATAGCAAATCATTACTACCTCGACTTTATGAACTTTTATTCTTCATTGTCTTCAGTCATAGACATTTGCTTAGGTCAATAGTTTGAAGTTGCCGCTTTCACAGGCTGTAAAGTGGTTTACGCGGGCAAAAAGTTCACCCATTCGCTGATAGTTGTCACATGTTCCTGCTTGCAGCTGGTGGGCATCACAATGCATGCGGGCTGCAGCCTAGCTCAAGGTCACAAAGTATTGTCCACCAAAGTGAGGCCTGCCTCTCATTCTACAACACTACAGCACTAATAGATATTCTTTACGGCTTGTACAACAGCTCCAGTGAGATCCCATTTCGAAGTCTATCTGTCAACCCAACACAGCAAGAACCATGGCATCAGCCCTTCGATCATGGATCGACTGGGGTCGCGACCACCTCACACCCGTATCACATACCTCAACCTTCAGATCAACAGGCCAAATCACACCCGAGGAATACGTCTTAGCCGGCGACTACCTCGTCTACAAGTTCCCATCCTGGTCGTGGTCCGATGCAGCCACACCATCCAAGCGAGTAAACTATCTACCACCAAACAAGCAGTTCCTCGTAACAAGAGGCGTGCCGTGCCACAAACGACTCGACGACAACTTTGCAGGCAGTGGAGGCGCGGCTGACGACTTGGTCCGTGATGGATTTCTGGGTGGACCTGACGATGAACCTGGTGCCGATGCGGACGATGGCTGGTTGAGGACGGGTGGGACGAGTGAGAAGGAGCAGGAAGGCCTGCGTGGGCAGGTCAGGACTATGTCTGAGTCTGGTCAATTAGGGACTGCGGAGCGAGAGGATGAGGAGGAGATACCGGATATTGAAGATGAGGACGATGATAATGAGGCTATTATCCGAGACAAGTCGGATCCTTCTTCAACGTATGTCTCCTTGTGCCAGAAAACTGGGAGTACTGTAGCTGACGAACTTTACAGGTCAACACGGACATACACCCTCTACATAACCTACACACCTTACTACCGAACTCCTAGAATGTACCTCTCAGGCTACATCTCTCCCTCCGAACCACTTCCCCCCACAGCCATGATGGAAGACATAGTAGGAGACTACAAAGACAAGACCGTCACGCTCGAAGACTTTCCCTTCTTCGACAACAGCGTAAAAATGGCAAGCATACATCCCTGCAAACACGCCAGCGTTATGAAAATCCTCCTCGATCGAGCCGACGCCGCACTCAAGCTCAGACTACAAAAAGCAAAAGCATCAGGTACAAGTCAAATTGCAGGAGGAAAACCAATATCCGGAATGGAAGGGCTGATAGATGATACAAACAAGCTCGCTTTACAAGAAAACCAGAAGAGAGGGCACGAGGCTGGTGTAAAAGCTGGTGGCGGTGATGAGTGGGAGGTACTTGATCAAGCTGATGAAGATGAGAGTGATGAGAAGGTTGCGATACGGGTAGATCAGTACCTGGTCGTATTCCTGAAGTTTATGGCTAGTGTTACGCCGGGCATTGAGCATGATTTTACGATGGGTGTTTGAGCGGCATATTAGTGTTATGAAATGTGTTTTTGAATCAGCGGGTTGATGAGTCGATGATGGCGCGGGATTGAGTCATGGGGAGCGTATGAACAGTCCTTTTTTGATCCCTCATTGTAGTAGCATTGAGAGTTGAACTTCCACGATGCAGCTATCACTATGTCTCGCCGTAGCCGCTGAGTTTAGTGGAGGCAGGAGCGACGCGTTGTCTCTCCTACTTGAACTTTTTGCAGTGAGATGCTCGCATTACTCCCCAGCACTGCCTACTCTTCTACTGATGCTCAGCCCGTTATCAATTGCATAATGCCTACAATTGACTGAGAAATATGCTACTGCTTGCTTGTCACGTTCGTGTAGCAGAGGTCAAAAGTGTGCTAACGTTGACACGAAAGATGTCCGACTTTGTTCCTCAAAGTATATAAGCTAATGTAAGCGACTGTTACCTCGGGGCCAAATCGTTGATCTGTGTCCCTCATCTGTGAGGGACTGCCTGAACTTGACGGCGACGCGATTTGTGTGTGCCCAGCGTATGCATCAGTTCCTCCTCCTCCGTGCCTCGTTCGCGCTGCTCGCAGTGGCTCAAGCAAAATGTTCGCGGCTTCGTCATACCTCTCGCCCCTATCAGATTTGATCAGGCAATACCCAATATCTATACTGATTTTTCTCGTCATCTTCAACTTTCTGTGGAATAAGTTTCATCAGCCTGGCCTTGCTGGCATTCCCGGACCACCACTTGCAGCATACTCACGTTTATGGCGTGTAGCACATGTGTTGAAAGGTTCGGCTCATCTTGAGGCTCTCTTGTACCATGACAAGTATGGTCCCATCGTTCGGATTGGACCAAAACACATATCGATAGCAGATCCCAAATACATTCCAACTATCTACAGCATCAAACAAGATTATACCAAGGTGAGAGTGCCGAGTCGTATATTCATCTACAGCTGACAGACAAGACTGCCTTCTATCCCCTCCAAAGCATTTATTGGGAAAAGCAGCTAGCTCTCAACTCTTTCTCTGTACGAGATCAGGAACGACACAAAATATTGAAACGCCAGGTTGGAAATGCTTACTCATTGGCCAGTCTTTTACAATGTGAAAAAGGGGTTGACTCGTGTATTGATCTTCTCATGCAACGTCTCGATAGCTTTGCATCACAGAATCAGGTGGTTGATCTTGGCCCGTGGCTGCAGTACTATGCCTTCGACGTTGGTAAGTTTGATGATATCTACTCACCCACACAGCTAATGATCTAGTCGGCATGTTTACTTTCGACAAGAAGTTCGGCTTCCTAGAACAGGGCAAGGACATTGACTCAATCATGAGCACTATCGAGTTCATATTGGCATATTCTGCAATAATTGGTCAGGTTCCAGCGCTTCACCTATTACTCCTTGGCAATCCACTTCTGATCAAGCTCATGCCGCCTATGGAACAATGGAACCAAATCGTTCAGTTTACGTTGAAAGCCATGCGAGAAAGAGCAGAAATGAAACCTGGTGGAGAATATACCGTCTCCAATACAGATGGCAAAGACTTTCTTTCGAAGCTGGCATCATCCAAGTCCTCTGAAGATGAGAAGATGAACGTGCGCGATCTTGTGATAGCCCTTGCAGGTAACGTATTCGCTGGAAGTGATACTACCGCAATTGCCCTTCGAGCTATAGTCTATTACCTGTGTCGTTACCCAAAATGCTTAGCGAAACTAGCAGACGAGATCATGAAGCATGACAAGGACAGCAAGCTCAGCAGCCCAATCAACTTCAAGGAAGCAAGCGCAATACCATATCTCTCCGCCGTTATCAAGGAAGCTATGCGTCTCCATCCCTCAGTAGGTCTTATCCTAGAGAGGCACGTTCCTCCGCAGGGCGTCGAGATTGAAGGTCATTTCCTTCCCGGTAGGTCAGTCGTCGGCGTCAACCCATGGGTCACTGGTCGGAATGCAGAAACTTTTCCTCAGCCAAATGAATTTCGTCCAGAACGATGGCTAGAAGTGCCCGAGCAGGAGTTGAGGGCGATGGACAACCTTCTGGAATTCAATTTTGGTGCTGGAGCACGAAAGTGCCTCGGACGACATATGGCTTGTGAGTTTCTGAGGCCAATGATAGGGATCGCGAATGCTAACCATCTCGTTTGTAGGGATCAAGATGATGAAGGTTATTCCAGAGCTGATCAGGCGCTTTGAGATCGAGTTTGCGGATCCGGAGAAGGATTGGCATGTCACGAACCACTGGTGAGTCTCCTTGAAAGTCTTCGATTTTCACCCAGATAGAGCTGAAAAGTAGTGGTAAGGACCAATGCTAACGACATATCTTCCAGGTTTTTCCAGCAAGAAGGCCTCGTTTGCAAACTGAGGCGCAGACAGTGAACGCAGCGAATGCCGAGAGTCATTCTCGTGTTTCGGGTCCGTAGTGGTTTTCTCACTCTGGACCCTCGTCGATGTTGCCTCGCAGTGTTGATATACACCTCCCAATTAGTTTCTATGCAGCCGCTCTTACGACCATAGTACACCCGTCGATTCTATGTCTCCTTCCCTGCTAATGACTCTTCCACCCCATCCGCGAACCACTGACAATCAATAAGAAACCCCATCGTCTTCGCAACATTGTTCTCCACACACTCCTGGGCTCCCACCGGACTCGTCGTCGCACATCCATCCCTCAACATAACCACATCATAACCCTGACAATACGCATCCGCCAACGTTCCCAGCACGCACTGATCTGTGTTCACGCCTGCAAAGATCAGCGTCTTGATGTCCTTTTCTTGGAAGTACAAACTAGCTGGTGAAGCTGGGAGATGCATGCCACTGATCCGATTTTTGTCGATGATCATATCTGGAAGAGAAGTCTCGAGAGACGAGGTATACGACTCGTGAAGTGGTGGGGAGAGTTGCGCATTCCACTGATCAGCCATTAACATCCTACCAGCCGAGATGGCGGTCCCATCCAACAAAGTGACTGTTCCGAGATCCTGTCCAAGACCTTTATATATCCTCGCATCCTTGCCTAAATCTCTATTCAGCACCCCTCCACCAGAAGAACCCCTACCATTATCACTGTCGACCTCATTCCCCACCACCATCCTCTCAAACTCCTCCACTCCCACAACCCCAAACCCAAACGCCCTAACCGTCGCCGGCGGCATCCTCTCCAGATCCTCCTCCCTCAACCCCCAATTCAACCACACAACCTGAACCCCGGCCTTTCTCGCAGCAGGAACCGCATACCTGAGTAAATGCTCCTGAGCTTTCAGACCTTTTGAGCCGGCAGGACGACCAAGGGCCTCCGAAAGGAAGAAGTTTTGCATATCGATTATGACTAGCGCGGTTTTGGAGGGGGTGATTGTGATGGGGGAGGAAGTTGTGCGGATTGTGATGGCGCTGTGACGTGGGTTTGTGAAGGGGGGTGGAGGACGGGTTAGGTCGAAGCCTGTTTCGCTGTCGTAGATCCAGAAGTCGTGGTTGAGGTTGCCGATGATGGCTTTTTGTCGTGGTGGTTGGGTTTCTTCGTTGGACATGATTGTGGGTAACTTCGGAGGTATACTGTGTAGTGAGAACCGCGATTCTTTGGGAACGTATGACCGACCATATGATCTCTCCTCTTTGTATGCACCTTGTGCTCCAAATCTGCTTGGGATTAGCCTGTCTCCAAGGAGCGTTTCTCCGAAGGACGAATGTGGAATATTGTGATAGTTTAGCAGGACAAAAAATAGCAAGAGAGACTAGGCGACGTTAAGGGTTTCTCTTCGTTCGACGTCGCTCATCGCTGTAAATCTATGTCTATCGAATCGTCATTCATGACCTTGACATATTTGCTTATCAGCTATCTCTTTGCGAGCAAATCACTGAGCTTGTCGACATAGAAGTGTGGTCTAGCATCGCCTTCGAGGAACTCCTGTTTCGTGCTGACGCCAGTAAGCACACCAAGAGTACCACCAAGCTTTCCTTCTAATCCAAATTTGATATCCGTGTTCGCTCTGTCACCCACCATGCAGGCGCGACTACGATCGAACTTGAACTTGCCCTCAATAGCGTCCATCATTGCCTGGCTAGGCTTGCCAAGTGCAAGAGGCTCTTCTCCTAGCATCTTTACCAGTGGGGAGGCCATAGTACCTGCTCCGGGAAACAAAGCACCAGCACTAGGCAGCGTCGAGTCAATGTTTGTAGCCAAAAAGATCGCACCTCTCTTGATATAGTGGTATGCCAGGCAGATCTTGAAGTAGTTGTAGTGGAAGTCCAAACCTGAAAGCACGACTCCAACTTCGGGATCGAGGATGGTTGGGTCACCAGCTGCAATCCTTGTATAGTCACTTGGCTCGACGTATCTTCTGTATGCAGGGTCGGTGCCTCCAATATGCGGTATGTTCTCAGAATCTAGCTCTTGTTCAATTCCTGATTCACCAATCACAAAAACTTTCGGCTTTTGCTTCAATTCAGGATGTCGCTGTGGCAGAATGCGAGAAATGTAGATGCTTGCAGAGTAGCTAGACCCGAAAACTTCTTCTTCAGTCGCAGGTATGCCCATGCCTTCCAGCTTCTTCCTGTAATCTGTTCTTGATTTTGTTGAGTTATTGGTAACGAAGACTACTCTCTTGCCTGCACCTCGCAGCATCTCTAATGTAGCAACCGTGCCCTCAAACAGGTGGTCGCCTGACCAGAGAACGCCATCGCAGTCGAACAGGAAGATCTAGAAACAGTAAGTACAGCACAGGAGGATGGCGTGCGACAACTCTGTATACTGATTGAATCGTACATCAAATTTGGATAGGAAGTCCTGTATGGCTTCTGGCTGCCCAGTCAAATATTGTGGCTGCGACATCGCTTTCGAATGTCTCTGAGTCTTATAGGCAGTGCGATGAGCTATGCGACAAAGATTGTTTGCAAATCGCTGTCCTGATCCGAACGATATGCCCACGCTTCAACATTTTGTATGGGGAAAATGACATCGGCACGGAGTTCAACCCGCCGGCAGGTGCAAAGCTGAAACTCAACCCCACCTGCCAACGCCCGCAGATCGTGGTTTCGCGAAACCGACACGTGAATGACGCGTCTAATTAGCGCCCTAATCAGTCGACCAAAATAGTCTTCTCCAAGCTCGAATAGTGTTCGAAGAAGCTGCTGAAGAGTCGAATGGCATGATGCACATCGTCAGCTCCACCAGTTTCTCGACAGCTGTGCATTGACAGCTGCGGGTTACCCAAATCAAGTGTTCGTGCACCTAATGCTGCAGCGAGCATGGGACCAATTGTGCTGCCACAGCTTGAGTCGTTTCGCACAACAAACACCTGCAAGGGTACTCCAGCTTCGTCAGTATCGATCTTCTTGGGTGCCTTTCGAGCCACCTCTTGTAGCAGGACAATACCAGGCGAGTTTGTAGCATATCGATTATTGGCATTCACCTTGATCACTGGACCCTTGTTCATTTCTGGCTTGTGGTCGGCCTCGTACTTGGCAGCGTAATTTGGATGAACTGAATGAGCCATATCAGCGCTAATAAGAAAAGAACAAGATAGTGTCTGCTCATATGCCGTCGACAAATCCGGGTCGTTAGTCTTGTCGTAAGATTTGTCCGATTCACTATCGGCGAACGAGGATGCAGGAAGCACGGAAAGCCTTCGGATGACGCCAGGAAGCATTGATGAATCAGCTCCTTGAGCTGTGGTCGAGCCAATCTCTTCGTGGTCAAAAGCAGCAAATAGACGAATAGCCGTCTCGTTGTCGAGCGCACTGTCTTTCTTCACCGAATCAATCAAGGCCATAGTCCCACAGTAAGTTTGGTTGAGGTTATCAAGTCTTGCTGAGAAAATGAATTCATCAGTCAATCCACCGAGGCATGCCTTTTGCGTATCGTAGAGTACGACCTCGAAATCGACAATATCTTCCGGATCGGCGTCACAGTCATCTGCAATTAGCTCGACTATATGCTCATGATGTCTTTGGGTCGTCACTTTCATGACTGAGAATTCTTTGGTGGTGTCCTCTTCTATAGCATCTCCTTTTCCTGCCTTCCGCTTGAGTTCAGCAGCAACCAATCCGGCTATTGGGAATAGCTGTGTTTCCTTGTTGAACTGAAAGGTTTCCTGTCGGTCGAGGTGAATGGCTAAAGTAGGGATACGCAGGACTATTGATGTCAGCATTTGGGTATTGCAGCAGGAGTTGCACTTACGTGGTTTGTCAATATGCACAAGCTTCTGAGCAATCTTGCCGTCAGATCCTCGCACCATTACTCTTCCTGCAAGCCCCAAATCACGATCAAACCAGGTATGCCATAGTCCTCCACCATATGTTTCGACACCTACTTGGAGAAATCCCTCTCCTTGTTTCTTGCTTACAGGCTTAATCTTGAGGCAGGGAGAATCTGTATGCGCACCCAACATTGCTACAGGGTTTCCAGGCCGCCATTTCTTTCCAATTGCAAAGGCTATGATGGTCGAGCCATTCCGAGTGAGGTAGTACTTGCCTCCTGCCACACAAGCTGTCGACCACGAATCTCGTTCCTATTCACATTACTACTTTGTCAGCTATGCTTCTTCATTTGTCGCACCTTTATCTCCTGGAAGCCGGCTTTTGACAGTCGTTCCTTGACTGATTTCACAGCATGGAATGGTGTTGGTGAGACATTCACGAAAGACAAGAAGTCGTTAGCTGCAGTCTTGATGTTCACACGAGCCATTGTTGTTGTTGCAAAGCTTCGGCGTATGATCAGACCAAAAACCATGTATCAAAAGCCAAAGCAAACAGGAAGCGCGATAGATAATAGACAAAGTGTTGCGTTTCAAGCTGGGACTGGCTACAGGTGGGCAATCATGGGAGATGTGGGACGCTGCTGCAGATGCCTCATGCGCCTGCAATAGCCAAGCTCATGCAAGGCGCGCTCCCTCATTTTAGCGCGGCTGTTTGAGTCCAGCATGTTCGCTAAGCTTCGTGTGTGGTCGCACCCTGGCCAGTCGAATCCCATACAAACAAAAGCTTCACGCGATGTTATGATGCCAGCAAAGGCCAACATCTGGTCGTGTCATGTTATTGTTTATTCAGGATTAACTGCATATTCTGCAGTAACACAGACATCTTCGGGTGCTGTAGGCTTCACTAGCATCAAGAGCACGTTGAGTGACCGGATTGTGGTAGTCTGCCCCAAACGCAAGGGAGACTGTCAACGGAGAATGCGTTCACAATGATGACGATGAATTATATAGTCTTGTAGAGCGTATAATGTAGGAGAAATTCCGACAGATGAAGCACGCGTCTCCAGGATCCATCTGCATAAACGCTTTTGGCTGGACTGGCTGTTTACGGTAGCCCTGTAGGCATGGCGCGGGCTGCGGATCGCTGCAAGCAGCCGGCCACTGGACTTGTCGCAACGCCCACTCTCTCCAACCTCTCCAATCCATGAGTAACGGCAGTACGTACCTCGCAATTCCTCTGCGTGCTCAAACATACTGCAACAACAATACAAACGACCGTCGCAACACTCTCACATCAACTTTCGCTCACTTGTCACTTCCGTCGCTATTCAATACCCGTATCCGCTCATATTCATCAGCTTGTTTAGTCTCCTGGTTGACCACTCAACAACTCTCACTTTGAGTTGCTACCAGAGCAACATTCGCTTGTACACAATCTACACCTCGATCTATACTGCCCAAATCTACCGATCACATCCGAACAGGTCTATTGCGAGATTGAATCTTTCGCGCCTGACTTGTGGCTGCGAGCCACAACTTCTGCTTGAGCATGGAGGAGGACAAGAGCAGATCTATGACAATTGACACGACTCAAAGGCCCTCTACACCTTCACTGCTTACTCCTGCCGAGTCCAGGACACCTCCGACCATCACATCCAAGCGATATATCGACAATGAGGCTAGTTTGAGTTCAAGGAGGCATTCGGAGCAGGTAGAAGAGGATGCGCTAACGAAACGATTACGCGAGATTGAAAACGCTGGCAGACAGCGTGAGAGAACGCCTGGCCAAAGTCCACAACGTAAAAAGCAGCGAATATATGGCGACAGATTCATTCCTAATCGAGACGGTCAAGATCTACAAGCAAGTTACAGTCTTTTGCACGAAGACGGCTCTCCTGCTACGCCATCCAGGTCGAGGCGGAAAGTAGCGCACGAGGAGCTGCATTATCAGAAGACGGAAGAAGCAAATCGGACATATTCGAGAGTACTGCGTAATGAAATTATGGGAGACACTGTACCGCACGACATACGTTCCCGTACGCCTGAAGACTTTTATATGAGGCAGCATACACCACCAGGTCAACCTGCATCTTCAAACCTTCCTCCAGCTTCACTTACGCCGAATACTCCTCATACCAAGAATATGTTTCATTACAGGTCGCCTCAGAAACAAATAGGTTCGGGTCATCCGACACCAAGCTCGTCTACAGGTAGGCTTGCAGGCATAATGAACCTCAATGCGAGATCTGATCTTTACTCAATATCACCTATCAACTATGCATCACAATCGATACTACAAACACCTCGAAAACAACCCCGTCCTATTTCGAAAGTTCCATTCAAAGTACTGGACGCTCCAGAACTCCAGGACGATTTTTACCTCAACCTGGTCGACTGGGGGTCAGCAAATATTTTAGGAGTCGGCCTCGGGTCTTCTGTTTATATGTGGAACAGTCAGACAGGAAAGGTCACTCAATTATGCAAACTCAGCGATGGTGATAAGGTCACCTCGGTTCAGTGGATCCAGCGTGGCTCACACATCGCTGTCGGTACACACAAAGGCTTCGTTCAAATATACGATGCCGAGCGCTCGCGAAGATTGCGAACGATGATGGGACACACGGCAAGAGTTGGTGCTCTAGCGTGGAATGACCATATCCTAACATCCGGATCGAGAGACCGGCTAATATATCATCGCGATGTACGCAGCCCTGACCAATATCTGCGACGTCTTGCTGGTCACAAGCAGGAAATCTGTGGTCTTAAGTGGAACACGGAGGATGGTCAACTGGCAAGTGGTGGTAATGACAACAAGCTTTGCGTATGGGACAAATTATCCGAAACGCCACTTTACAGGTTCAGCTCGCACGTTGCGGCAGTAAAAGCAATAACCTGGTCGCCACATCAACGACATCTACTAGCTTCAGGCGGTGGTACCGCAGATCGCACGATCAAGTTTTGGAATACCAGTACCGGAAGCATGATAAAGGAAGTCGACACAGGCAGCCAGGTCTGCAACCTAGCGTGGAGCAAGAACAGTGACGAAATCGTCTCGACGCATGGTTACAGCCAGAATCAAATCGTCGTGTGGAAATACCCAAAGATGGAGCAGGTCGTGTCTCTCACTGGCCATACTTATCGGGTACTCTATCTTAGTATGAATCCTGAAGGCACAACTATCGTTACTGGGGCAGGAGACGAGACACTGCGGTTCTGGAAAGTCTTTGGCAAAAAGAGCGCAGGAGAGTCAGGCATCGTGAGTGATGGGACAAAAAGAGGCAGCAGAATTACGTCTAGTAGACTAAACGACTGGGGGTCGATAAGGTGATGTCGATATTTCAGGAGCAAATATCCAGAAAATGTACAGCACCTTTACCAGACACGATCGAACGAAGATTAACAAAATCAATCGCTTCCGGAAAAGCTAGTGTTGCAGTTCGACGAAATCAGAACAGTCATTATATTCAATCATTGAAAGCAGCTAGCAGCACTATCGCATAAATTCAGTCGCTGCAACACACATATATTCAGTCCCTGCGAGCAGGAAGCGCACGGAAAATTAAGGTCGAAATTAGCATTTACGAGGTTGATGTACAGCAAGCGTGCGAGTGAGCAAGCGAAAACAGCATTGGAAGCATGAGTAGACGCTCTTTTTGGCGTGAGGCAGGAGCAAGCATTTTGTGCGAAGGAGTTTTTCCCTGCGAGTGTGTGTAAAAGGTTTTGGGTTTATATGGGTGGTGGTTGAACTACCTACTTATGGAGTTTTGCGTGTTGGTCGTCTCTCGTGCTCTGTCAATCAGTCAGTCAGTCACTCTAGATAGTGCAATGCATTTGTTTATGCAAAGACAATTTCTGTCTCTATTCTCTCCTTGGTGCCTGGAAGGACGTAAATGTTATGTACTGTAGTGTGACAAAAACATAAGAACATGTGCATATTGATGGGCTCCTGTTGAACACGTTTTGAAAAAGGCAAAGGACTGTATCTGTGGGGAAAGTTGGAGTGCATTTGTCCTCCACGGAAAGTCACAACCTAGGCAAAGGGAGAGGCTGTGAGCCGAGTACCAAGAGTACAGGGGATGGATTTGCAAGATAAGAGAGCTACGGGATGAAAAGCGGTTTGCATCTCGTGGAAGTGGCTGTCAAAAACCAATCCAACGAAAGCGTGTACGAAGGATTTCACGATACTTGCGGTGTTCGTTGAATAGCCAGAACAACCTTGTGCATGTTTGAGAGAGAAGCTCGGTGGAAGAGGAATCTTGCAAGTCCACGGTAGAAGAGGAGTTTGTGTGGATCTCGACCTGACCACGTATCTCTGCCACATCCCAATTCAGATCTGCTTCACCATGGCAGACCCTTCCACCTTCCCAATATACCCAGATCTGAGAGGGCGAGTTGCTCTTATCACAGGCATTGGTCAAGTCGGCTCGACCGAAACCAAAACCTGGGGTAATGGTGCCGCAACAGCCCGGCTTCTCTCTCACAACGGCGTCAGGATCTTTGGCTGTGATCTCAAGTTAGCTGCCGCAGAACGAACACAGACACGCTTGCTTGCCGAAAACAGTAATGCGGAATGTGCAGTTGTGAGCTGCGACGTAACAAAGCCTGAGGAAGTTGACAAAATGGTGCAAGGTTGTCTGGAAAGGTACGGACGGATCGATATTCTTGTCAACAATGTGGGTATGACGGCGCCAGGAGATCCTGGTAGCATGGACCTCGAAGCGTGGGAAAAGCAAATCGATCTAAATCTCAAATCAGTCTTTCTCTGCTGTCGTGCTGTTTTGCCAATCATGGAGAAGCAGGGCAGTGGCGTGGTTATCAATAATGCTTCCATCACAGCAATGCGATACATTGGGAAGCCGCAAATTGCGTACGCGAGCGCAAAGGCGGCTGTGTTGCAGTTCACAAAGGCGAGTGGTGTCATGTATGCACCGAGAGGTGTGAGAGTGAATGCTGTCGTGCCTGGCTTGATATACAGCCCTCTTGTGGAGAATTTGCTCAATAGTGAGAAGGAGGAGGATAGGGAAGTGGGCAGGAAGATCATGGAGCACAATGTGCCCATGGGGAGAATGGGTACGCCGGAGGACGTTGCGAATGCGGTGGTGTTCTTGTGTAGCGACGCTGCAAGGTATATCACATCGCACGCCCTCGTCGTGGATGGAGGGATCACGAATTCAACAGGGACTGGAATGCCATGACAGGTCTTTCAAAGAGGTATTCGTCTTCAACAGTGACGAGGATGTCTGACGCAACATCACGAGCCTAAACATGGTCGTCGCCAGGGCTGAGACGTGGATTTCCAGATCGATCGGTCTCAACCTCTTCAAGACTTGTGACAAGGAGTTCGCACATTATAAATAGGATATTTGGTTGATTGTGCTCTCCTTCAGAAATCTGCAACGTTCTTAAGCAAGTTGCTAAAAGGCAATACATTGAGACATTCGGTGAGGACTAGGGCTGATCACAATTCCATAGTCAGTACTGGCATCTTCAAGTCGTTGTGTTTGCTAAGTATGACGCCGGTCGCATGCTTGTGGTCTGGGGTGAACCATAGACATGCCATATCGCGGACCATCGCTTATTTGGATCGGACAGATCTCGGGTTATGAGCCTGCTCTGATTCGATTACTGTACTAATAGCTCACTCTGCCGCGCGAAATGGCTGCTCCTTGGCCAGTCTAGGCACGACAGGCCGGGGAAAGATCAACTCCGGCCCTCTTTGTCGAATCAAGTGGTTATCAACGACGTCTGAGGAACCTCCACCTGGCACAGCGATTCGAGGGTACGACTGCCTGGCTGAAAAGCATTAGATCTCGTGCTCTGGATGGTATGAGAAATTTGGCCCTAATTAGACTGTAGGACTAAGGAAAAAGCAATATCGACGAGGTGCCGTTGTGCCGGGGTCACTCCCGGCATGTCAACGCTATCGATCCGTCACCACAGGTCCTTGCTCGAAGGAAAGTATCCTACAGAACCTGCTTCGACCTCTCTTTTTTGACTCGCGCATTACCTCGGTGATGCAGACTCTGGAAGATCGCCTATTGGTCGAACTGTGAATCGTGATGGTACAAGGCCATCGAGGAGGACCGGAGAAGGCGAGCAATGCGATGGACCGGTCTTCGTGGTCCACGTCATAGTATTCCACCCCAAGTCTGGGTTAATGCAGCCACGCCCTGCTTGGCGATGCACGTGAGCCGCAACGTTGTTCCCCAGTCAGGTCACGGTGGTCGTGATCGAAAATGCGCTCAATCAGCTACTGTCAATTCTGATGTAGTAGAGTAACCCACTGTTTACTGCGACTCTTGATACGTGGTGTAGATGCGCCAAAGATCACGATTAACTCAAGACCTGTTCGTGTGAGGAACGTTTTCCAAGTCACAAAACAACACGGGCTGAAAGGCTACAGCTAGAAATGCACATCGTAAGCATCTTCAGTAGTCGACATGTCGAGCCTTCTTCTACTGCGACCGCCTCCATAGGGCACTGAATTGTTTCAAGAAGACTTACCGCAAAAGCTGCGAATATCTGCTCGATCTAGTGTACCATCGCGCCTCTCGAAATGTCTTCCCACTTTCTATGGCGCCCACGGGTACAAAATTATTCCTGCAAGATAACTTATTTTGCATTCAGCCGCGATGTTTGTTGCTGTTGTCCATATATTCGCCATCGCTCGTGCAGAGCTTTCAGAACAGTGTCACCTCTTGAACATCTGCTTCACTAGCTGCTCCCAACCTGGAGAATTGACACGAGAAACGCATTGAGCCAAGAGTCTTGAGTGGTGGGAGGTTGAGTTCGCAGGGGGAGGCTGGAGCTCCGCTCACCTCCACTGAGTCGTTAGAGAGCCCCGCACACTCGCACCAAGTGGACGAACACAAAGATAACGCCACGCTAAATCTCACGGTCGGATTCCTTCCTTGTCGCATCGTCGTGACTATGGACTCACTTACTTCATTGGAGCAGATTTCAACTTGGATACGATTCCAAAAGATGCTCGATTCGGGCTTGGATGTGCTAGGCACAAAAATGCACAAGCCTATAATTCGGTTGATCCCAGCACAAATGTCGTCCTTCAAACATCTTCGCCCACCATTCGCACTCTTCAATATTGGTTGCAAACATGGCAACCAAACCGTATGGCGACAAAGACGTGCACGACCGGCATAGTGCTGGCTCTCCCAATACTCCCAGATCTCCCAGTGGTGAACTAGCCGAAGGCTTTGTCTCTGAAAATGCCGACCTTCTGCAACGACGACTCGGTAATCGCCAAATTCAACTCATCGCTATTGGCGGTTCGATCGGTACAGCTCTTTTCGTCTCCATCGGCGGAGGTCTAGCACGAGGTGGCCCTGGTAGCTTGTTTATAGCATACACACTTCACAGTATCATGCTCGGTTTTGTCAACAACTGTATGGCTGAAATGGCAACTTTACACCCCGTTTCTGGTGGCTTCATTCGAATGGCTGGTAAATGGGTCGACGACGCCTTTGGCTTTATGGCTGGCTGGAACTTCTTCATCTACGAAGCGCTACTGATCCCCTTCGAAATTTCTGCACTCAACCTAGTGCTTACCTTCTGGAGTGACAACATCCCAGTAGCGGCAATTTGTGCTGTTTGCATCGTCCTCTATGCGTGCGTCCCCAAAAGCGACTCCTTTCCAATGCGACTGTCCCAGTATCCTCGGTAGTGTGCTGACCGTGTCGCAGTATACTCAACTTTCTTGCTGTGAAGGCATATGGTGAAGCTGAGTTCTGGCTTTCCGGAGGGAAAGTCATTCTCATCTTCATGTTGTTCCTTTTCACCTTCATCACCATGGTGGGTGGCAATCCAAGAGGTGACGCTTATGGCTTTCGCTACTGGAAAAATCCTGGTTCGTTCGCCGAATATCGAACGGAAGGTACGCTTGGCCGCTTCGAAGGGTTTTGTGCTGCGTTGTGGTCAGCATCCTTTACGGTCGTGGGTCCCGAATATATTGCCATGGTTGCCGCTGAAGCAAAACGTCCACGCGTTTACATCAAGAACGCTTTTAAAACAGTCTATTACCGGTTCGGCCTGTTTTTTGTGAGTGCTCACTGCCGAGGACAGAAAGTCATGGTAATGCTAATGTGCCCACAGATCGTCGGATCACTCGCCGTCGGAGTCGTTGTTCCCTACAACGACCCTACTCTAGTCAGCATCCTTGCAGGCGAGGGTTCTGGTGGTGGAACTGCTGCTGCTTCACCATATGTCATTGCGATGAGAAACCTAGGCGTTTCCGTTTTTCCACATGTTGTGAATGCTCTACTGGTCACCAGTATTTTCTCTGCTGGCAACACCTATACCTACTGCGCTACTCGGTCCCTCTATGGTCTTGCTTTGGAAGGTCGGGCGCCCAAATTCCTCCGCCGCTGCACGAAAAACGGTGTGCCCATCTGGTGCTTCTGCATTGTCATGGTCTTTCCCTTCCTCAGCTTTCTCCAAGTTGGCAGTGGTTCCTCTATTGTCCTTAACTGGCTCACGAACTTGATCACAGCTGGAGGTGTTCTCAACTACATGATCATGGCGACTACCTACCTTTTCTTCTACCGAGCTTGTCAAGCACAAGGTATTGATCGCAAGACCTTCCCTTATACTGGTTGGTTCCAGCCATACAGTGCCTACATCGGCCTAGGTATGTCCATAAACCCGTTATTGACATGCCTTTACTAACATTCTTGCTTAGCGTGGATGACCACGGTTGTGTGCTGCTACGGATATAGCAGCTTTGCCCCTTGGAGCGTGGATAACTTCTTCATCTACTACACCATGTTACTACTCGCTCCCTTCAATTTCATCGTCTGGAAGCTTCTCAAGAAAACGAAATTCGTCAAATCTCACGAAGCGGACCTTGTTTGGGAGGCACCTGTAGTCGATGCCTACGAGGCTTCGTTCACATCACCGCCTGTTGGATTTTGGACTGAGATGCTTCAACTGGTCGGTATTGGTCGGAAGAAGAGGGATCGTCGATCATCGGTTGCCTCGTATTAAGGGATGCGGCTTTCGCAGGAACGGGCATGAGTCGCGATCACTCGGAGAGAATCACACGAAACCATCTGCTGGTCCCTAAAGCAACGCAAACGGGAGGGACAACCTCACCACGACAACCAGTATGCAGAATATCCGATCGCCTGCAGACAGACTGGAAAATTCTATCAATGACTACCTCATACCAGATATCGTCTTGAGGCTAAATGTGTCGTCTCGTGCTCGTATGCATCAATGGTAGTCAACCACCCACCCACCCAAAGCGACAACAAAACGTTGACCTCAACCATACGAAGCCATTTGCAGCAACTCGCTATCAACGAATAATATTGCTAACACGGATCGTATCTTGACAGACTTTCCAACAGCCACTACTTATCGTCTGGCTGCAGTACTTCTTGCCATACATTCCACGCCTCGATCATCTCCTAGGACCAAGTCCCCTGTCCTGCCTGGGTACTAAATAAACACCCATCAATATTGAGCGCGACATCCTACACGTCGCAACACCACGACCACGCTCTCGGTTTCCATCAATTGCCGCAGAGGCGCCTACCACGACCAAGACAACACGAATTCCGACACAAATCCGTGCTCCCCTCCCTCGCTCCCTCAAAGCTTCGCCACCACCCTATTTTCTCCCTCCAACTCCTCAATCAACCTCAACGCCGAATCCACCGACCGCCTCGTGTTCCGAAAATACCTCCAACTCTCCTCACTACTCGCCTGTCCCGTCACAGTCCTCGCCTGAATCCCATGACTGATCGTCGCGCCTCTCACCAGATTAAAGATTCGCGCAATCTGCACGTCTCGGCCGTTGTTGTCTTTGCGGACGTCATAGCCGACGATATTGGTGTAGTGGTTGAGGAGGTTGTCGAGGTCTGGGAGGCCGTATTGTTGGCGGGAGAGGGCGGTGTCGTAGGGTGTGGAGCTTGGTGAGTCGAGGTCGTTGGCTTTTGGGCCGCCGAGGAACGGGGATAGGGTGAAGAGGAGGTCGAGGAGGGGGTGGCCGATTGTGCTTAGTTCCCAGTCGAGGATTGCGATTACGCGAGGTTCCGTGGGGTGAAGGACCTGTGTACACACTTTTGCATCAGTATGCTTGGTTCTTGTCTTTTGTTCGTTGGTTCAGATGCTTTTTGCAACTTACCACATTGTCAAACTTGAAGTCTCCGTGAATGATCGCGTATCGATCTTTCGGCAAATGCTGTCTTACGTACGCCATCACCTCATCATATCGTTCATGTGCTCTGCCTAGTACAGCTCCTGTCTTGATGTCTTTGACCGCAGCTTGCTGTGCTTCGATTCGAGAGAAAGTCGTGCATTGTCGGTTGTAGAAGTCAGTCTTCTTGCCATAGCCTTCGAGACCTAATTTATCGGGATCGAGACTGTGTAGCCAGGCCAGGGTCTCAATGAGGGAGAACCAGCTGTAGGGTTGAATCGTGAGTTAGCAGTTGTATCGCGAGCATGGAAAAGGGCAGATAGTGGTGGGTTGAGAGGTCGAGCTTACACTTTATAACGATCTTCCGGCGAAAGCTCACTGAGCTCGATGTAGTCTTTCATGATGCGACCCTTGATGAACTCCATGACCTGGACGTGCACAATGTTAGCATTACAGTTCTCGTGGTAGTCGAACTGATTAAGCCTCTTTCCACTGACATAAAATGGCGTCCCAATAACATCGTTCTCCATACACAAAGCGTACACTTTGGGTACTGGAAATCCTTCCACAGATCCCAACGCTTTGAGCACCCTGTACTCGCGGTCGACCTGGTGGGCCACAGGGCTGATAATCGTCCCTGGTGGTTTCTTCCGGAGAATGTATCGCTGACCTCTGTAGATGTGGTGTTAGCTCTGTAAATTACAAACGCCATCAAGCAGTAGATTGACAACAACGGTCGGCCTCGTAGCAAGTATACGGAAGAAGGACTGATTGACTAATCCACATTATATATGTCAAGAGCTCGTATAGATTCAACTTACGCAGCATCATCCACAAAATAAGTCGGATTACTCTGTCCATAACCTATCTTGCTCGAAATCACAGGTAATTTGAGGTCAGGTATGGCTTTCGTCTGCTGTAGCCATTTTCCGAGAGCTGTGTTGTCGAAATCATGGCGTGAAGTCGAGCCAAGTCCTTGTGGTACGGGAGGAGCACCTTCAGCCATCGCTGTTTTGAGGAACCAGTCTCGACCGTATATTTGCTGGAGGACGTATACACTGCTCTTCTGAGAAGGTATATGGATATACAGGAGACATCTTGAGCACTGTGAATTACTTCCTGAGTTGTGATAGCAAGGTGGGAGGCACATTGAGCTTACCGAGCCAGAGTGGTGCCGACACCGAGGCAGGCCTGCGCAAGCGGACAAATTGCCGCCTTCATATGAAACTCAAACTCTGGTGCGGCAAGGACGATGGAAAATGTACTTGCTGGCAATAAAACTGTGAAAGGTATGCAGAGATCAGCTTCACTTATCAGATCGAGAACATTTTTATTCTCAACTATATTGAGCAAGCTAGCTGCTCTCCTCAAGATCAACTAGCGAGTTCAGCAAATGTCGTTGATCAGAAAGTCGACCTCGTAGCACCACTATCTAGGCGCCATTAAATATCCTTCAAGAAGTATTCCGGAACAGAACAACATACAGTATCGTTTACCACCGACACAAACCAGCATCGTAACAGGTCAGAACATCGTGCAATAGAATATGACACACCACGAAATGCCTTGCCAGACACCTCGTTCTACGCAACAACCTTAAAATGCTCGTAGTTCAGCTCTTGCTATGATCAAACCATATTCCTCAAATGTCACTTTCGCTCATTGCATCGTCGCCGCCTCCTTGCTGTGCCATGGCCTGCGCCGAGACGATCTCTGCTAACCGCTTCAGTCGTGGTGTTTGTAGCCCTGCGATGATGTTAGTGGATGCTTGGAATGTATGAATCATTGATGTACTCACATGAGGGTGTATAGGTTTCCAGCGCAGTGATGACCCTAGGTTCGGCGATTTCGTATGGACCACTGTCCTCCATATCTACAGGCGCGAGAAGTAGCACGTCACTCTTTTCTGTCACTCTGCTTGCTACTGCTTTCATTATTTCGCCATTGATAGGCTGCTCGTAGTCAGCAACTAGGTACTGATTGAGCAGTTTCTGAATCTGGTTGGGCGACAACATCCAGCAGATGTCCTGGATGATCTCAATGTCGTTAAGTGTGGCTTTCTTCAATTGCAAGAGCTTGGTGGCTTGCATGAGGTGTTCGAGTTGAAGAGTGCCTTCTGGCATGTCATGGCTCTTGCACCATTCTTCAATACGAGTGATATTGTAGTTGATTTGCAGACCTCTCTTCCAGGAGAGAAAGTTGCGGCGCATTAGTAAGTCGTTGAAAGCTGTCACACCTACCAGGCGTAGAAGTTCAGTGACTGTTTGTGTGACGATACTGTCTTCGAGGTAGTATGCCTTCATGGCCTTAAACACGTTGTTGAGCAGCGAAAGAAGCTGATCCATGCTATAGGCAGGTGTGTTATTGGACGGCAGTAGTTTGCCAAGGAAACGGTTCGATTCGTTCGTAACGAAGCCTGGCAGCGATTGCGATTCGATGATGGCAGGAACAATCATCTTGTGCAATTTCTTCTTCAGCACCTTCATCCAGGTGTGATAGATGTTGAACTCGAGAGATTCCAGATCGTGCTTGACGATCTCAAGCAATCTGTCGTATTCATAGTTGTCCGTCTTCTGTGCCTCATACCAGTCTTCGGCGAGGAACACGAATGACAGCATTTCGTGAACGTTCGAGAGCCAGAAAGCACCAGGATTGATGGCTTCGTCTCCATCGTGTTGCATGACTTCTTGCTGAATAGATTGCATAACGTTGGCCAGGAAACGCTCAGACTCCTTGACGAAGCCGTTGTTCCACATTTCTGAAGTGACGAGATTGATGAGGTAAGATGGGAAGAGGACTTCTTTATCGGTAGGCGCAGGATTGGCAGCTGGTGAAGGTATCTTGATGCCCTTGATTAAGCCCATCGTGACTTCCTCATTAAGATCCTCTTCCTGCGAGAGCAGATTCTCAAGCTCCATCTCAACATTATCGAGGCTTGGGTTGAATGTCGAGCCTGACAATGTCTTCATGTGTGTATCAATGGCCATTGACATCGGTCTAGCATTGAACGCTGCACTATAGCGATCCGACTCGATTCTTTCAGCAGCACCAGCGCTTCTTCTCTTGACTGGTTTCTTTGATGAGACGAGGTTGATGAGGCCGTTGGCGGGCTGCACAGCGTTACCGTTCGTGTACGGCTCCCCATTGACAGGGTAGTTGTTGGGTGCTGGAGCTCGCTTGGCCATTTCAAGTTGATCCTGCAAGTCGTTGATCTGCTGCCGTAACGTTGTTTTCTCTGATTCGTGCCCAATGTTGATCTCCTTGAACTTAGCGAGCTCATTAGTGGAAGTGCTGAGAGAGTCTTTCAGCCTCTTCTCCTCCTCTTGTAATCTCTTTGCATTTCCGAGGTGCTCGTCATGCGATCTCTGTAATGTCGTGTGTTCTTCTTCCAAGGCACTGAGCTTTGCAGCAACAATACCCGCCTGGTTGGCTTCAGACTGCAATTCCTTGGCTCTCTTGTCAAGAGCATCATGCCTGGAACGCCAGATCTTGAGCTGGCTTTCGTATGAGTCGAGCTTCTCCATGAGGTTCTTGTTCTCCTTTTTCAGTGCACCAAGAGACTGGGTAAGTTCGACGACCTTGTTCTCGAGCTTGTAGGAAATTTGTCGGAGGTCACGAGCTTCCTCTCTTTGCTTCTTGTAACCACGACGAGCCTGCTTACCACGCCACATACTTTGAGCAATGACAACCTTGCGTCGGTAAGATCTCCAAGCACGAAGTGAACGCCACGATCGGAAAGCTCGTTGTATGGTAACAGCGGCATTCCTGTAGCGGGTTTCGAGGATGGTCTTCCTGCAAGCGTAGCCCTTTGCGATGGACTGAAATAGGATGAGGTTGCTTCGGATGTCGGTGTATGTTTTGCGTTCCTTCGAACCACGCCATACTCTTTGGATAGTAGTAGCGGCTTTGATCTGTCGCAAATCATCTGCCTTTTGTCTGGCCATGTAGCCTCGAATAGCAGTCTGAATATCAAGGATAGAATCTCTGGCTTCGAGGTACTTTCGACGGTAGTACTTCGCACGCAGGTTTTTCTGGATCATGATGGCGCACTCTTTCAGTCTAGCAGACCGCAAGTTCTCCAGATAGGCAAGCATACCAGCTCTGAAGAAGATCTTCGTCAGACCAAGCTGGTACTTATCCGCCTTTTGATGCCCGATGTCACCCAGCGCCTTTTTCAATATATTATGAGCCATATCTTTGATTTCGGTGGTCCATTGATTCGAGTGACATAACATGTAGTATCTAAAAGCAAATTCCTCGTAAGTCCATCTTGTCGGGTACCCGGTAGTCGATATTCGCACGGTCTCGAGAACACCACAAGCTCGAAGTTGGGATAAAACCATTGGACCCTCAAACTTCCAGGCTTCCTTGGCTTCATTGGGTTTTATACAGCGGATATAGTGTGCATCGGTCGAGTTGATAGTGTTCATAAGCTCAATCAGAGAGCTCTTGAAAATACCGCCCAGAGTCGGCTTCCTATTTACTGCTACACCCACTCTTCGGCCTGGAGTCGAGGAAACCTGCTTCGAGCCAGCAGCACTAGCAGAGTCTTTCTCACGCACAGAGACAGCAGTCTCGAGTACCTGAAGCATGAACTGATTCGACGATTTCCGCAGTACTTCCATCTGCTCGTCCGGCACCGTATCTCTGTTCTTTTCAATGAAGCCGTCTGACTCATAGGTAACATCTAGAGCATAATGGCAGACGGTGAAAGCGGACTTTCCGAATCTTGGCTTTTTGTAGAATTTCTGCTTGTCTGCAGCAAAATTGTGATGAAGTTTTGTCACGAATTGATCATCGGAACCCATTGGCAGCCTCGATTCCTCGTCGAGTAGGGCCAGGATACCGAGCTTTCCTTCAATGAGATCGATACATGGTTGGTTATCCGAGAAATCAATGAAAGTCCAGTCAATCTGTTCTCGAATGTATTCTTCTTGCTCAAGCTTGAAAACATGTGCATTGAATTCTTGTTGTAGCTTCTCGTTGGCGTAGTTGATGCAGAACTGTTCGAAGGAGTTCTTTGCGAAATGCTCAAAACCGTAAATATCAAGCACACCAATGAATGTATGCACACGTTGAAGGACATCCTCAGCAGCCAAACCTCGATTGATGGTCTCAACAAGCCAGTCGAAAAGACAGGAATAGATGAATTTAGCAACGGAGTCCCTAACGACCGTGGCTTGCTGTTGAGTCAGGTTTGAGGTGATCTTTTCGCCTCTTGTGATCAGTTGTTTCTTGACAATCCATTTTGAGAATTCAGCAGCATTGATGCCCAATAGCTCACAAGCTTGCGCCAGCGAGGGTTCGGTAGAGGAAAGTTGGGAGTCGGTTCTCGTAGCTGTGATTTTGACATTGCCAAGATGTAGCAAACCAGCCAGCATGCGCCAGACTTCACGCTGTATAGTATCATTGACGCCAATGGTGGTCATAGACCTCCTAGTAGCTGCGAGCTCAGCTGCATCGTCTACTCCATCGATGACTGAATCACCACCTTGGTTAAGGTAGTCAAATTGTTCGACTGGCAGAAGTGCCAGTGCTTGCCTCTCCTCTTCCGTCGCGCCTGCGACCAGTTGATAGAAGATGTGGTAATTTCTCTCTTTCAATGGCTGGAAGACCAAACGTGATCGTTCGAGAAGGTAGACACGTATTCTGGCACCAATGATATCGGTCTGCTTATCAAACATGATCTCAATGTACTTTCCGAATCGGGAGGAATTATCGTTTCTTGTTGTCTTAGCGTTACCAAATGCTTCCATGACTGGGTTGGTTGCCAAGATCTGTTCTTCTGTTTCGGAAATGGTATCTGCTCTTGACTTGCTTCCCTTGCCCTGCCCAGGAGCACCTCTCGTAGCGAAATACCTCATAATGTACTTGGCAGAGACAGTCTTTCCTGCACCAGACTCGCCCGAGACTACGACTGTCTGGTTTCTTGTGTCTCTCAACATGTCCGCATAAGCTTCTTCGGCAATGGCGAAGAGATGAGGTGCCTGAGAAGCACGTTGTTTCCCAGCATAGATCTGTACCATTTGAGGGACGTATAGAGAATCAACTCTTGCAAACGGGTTGGTGGCTATCAGCACGATGCCCGAGTATGTGTATATCTCTTTCTGTGCATATCGTAGTTTGATAGCCTGCAGAATGGCTGGCTCGTTGAGATGGGATAGGTTGGTCAAATCTTCGGCAGCCTCGAACATGGGCGGATTGGCCAGAGGTGGGAGGGAGGCATTACGGGAGTCGGCCAAAGCAGCTTCGTCTGCTTCCACAACTTGTTGAGAGCCATCGTCTAACTCGAAGACGAGCTGAACTCTGTCCCCAGCTCTTCTCTTGTCCACCACGCGGCCGCCAATGTATGCATCTGTCTGAGAAGGGAACCAAGCCCTCACATCAACTTCCCACGCCGACATCTTGTTTGGTTACTTGTTTCAAATGTTATGCCCGATCCGAGGGCTCTATCTTCCGGACATGAGTGTTCTTGGAACGACACGATGAGGATCAGGTTCGGGATAGGGGTGTATATACCAGCAACAAACAGGCCGCCAACGCTTCCCCAACACCACGGCACAAACGCGACAACGACGATCGAACGGAATTAGATATTATATCCTGAAGAAGTGAAAGAGCGATAGTAATCGACGTCAAAGCGTGTCCAGGTGCTCACACCTCAGCCAGCTGAGAATAATTCTAGAGCGACTGCTTCAAAGGAGGCCGAGCGAACGCGATGGTCAGCCATACCCATCCACGCCTAACCATTTGCACTATCCGGGCCTGCGCAGCAGGACCAAAGTCGACCACTCAAAGGGTCCCTGCTGTCCAGGATCCACTTTTCGAAGACTGCTTTGCCCCTATACGTCTTAGTGTACACTTAGCGTTACCACCAAAAATATTCCACCAACCTGTAACACCCTTGATACAGGGTCGGAGAGACATTGATTTGCACGAGCAGTATCCGTCGAAATGGTTATTGTTTTTCCTTTGTGTCTCACCTTGACGAACTCTACATCACTCGAACCAATGCCCCGAGCACAATAACCCCTTCTGCTGATCTCTTCCTGTTCTACATATTTCGCTTGGTAAACCCTTCTGAAACGATTCCGCCAGCACCAAATGGGATTAGTGAAATTGATCCCCATGCGCCTCACCTCTCCTGAGCACAAGAGCTTCTTCTTGTTGTGGCTCACCGCTTCTAAACTTCCTGGGGACCCAGCAGGGTGTAATTACAAGTTTTGATGGACAACCAGGTACAAGTAGTCCCTGGCATCTCGAATGTGTAATTTGCAACACCATGCGAGCAATGAACGACTTTTGTATAATGTCATATCAAGACCTATTAACCAACGCCGCTTGTCAATGGACTGACGCATCTGAAGCAACAGCTATAGAGCTCCCCCATATACTAGATGAGGCTAGACAAGGTGACTGATCAACACCCACGATGCACTACCATCTCGGAACCACGCACAGAGAAACGTGTACGTCTCACCTCAGAGCTGCCACTCTGCTTATACTTCATCGCGCTAAGATATTCGCTTGCTCTCATCAAACAGTAAGGTAGCTCTTCGTCCAGTGTCCTTTGTCTACTGGTTCTTGCACTCAGACTGATTTTGCTGGGACCTTGGCTTGCCGCCTTCCTCCTCATCGTCATCCGAGTCTTCTTCTTCCTCCTCGTCGTCGTCCTCTTCTTCGTCATCATCAAAACCATCATCTTCCCCGTCGTCCAGCTCCTCGAATGCGAGAGCCTCACCCGTAAACCAATCAATGGCTCGTGGAATCAACTTCTCTTTGATGTCCTCACCCAGCTGATAATCGAGCTCAAGACGTTCTTCAATGTCGGACGCAACATCATCGTCGTCGCCCGGCGCAGCTGGGGGAGAAAAGAAATTGAAGAAGGATTCGGTAGGCACAGTCTTCTTGACGACTCGAGTCTGTTTTGTGTCTGCAATTAATTAGCATAAGTCACATGGTCGAGGAATTAGTACATACTCTTGTTTCGCTGCTTCTTGCTTTCAACCCTCACAGTCAAGTCCTTGCCAGCCTTCCAGTCAATCTTGTCACCCTCTGCGTGGTCGTAGATGAAGTCCCCACCGTAGCCGGTATCTTCGCGGTAGAAATATGTTTTCGACACTGTCTTGTTGGTGAAGAAATCATTGGGAGCGAACTCGAAAATAAGACGGAAGCCAGGCTTCTCGAGGTACTCCATGCGGATGTCGGTCAGTGCCTTCAAGGCGTCCTCATCACGTTCTGTGATCAGATCGGCTAATGACAGCTGATTCTTCATAGCAGTCAGCCAGAATTCTGGAATGCCTTTGGCATCTGCAGGAATGTTGCTCTCAGCGGCCTCCTCCTTCTCGACCTCAGCACCTTCCTCATCCTCGTCTTCATCCTTGCCAGCTTCGACTTCGGCGTCTGTAGGCTCAATTTCACCATTGACGATCTTGGCTCGCTTCTCGTATAGTGGGGTGAACTTAGCAAAGTATTTCTTCTCGAGTTGTAGTACCTCCTCCTGAAACTCGGCCTCGAGCTTGGCATGGTCCTTCTGAATACCTTGTAGGCCAGTTACCCGCTTCTTCACTGGCGCTGGGAGAGACTCAACATAACCGGATGAGCGGCCTACAAGAGAGCCGAGCTTTTCCTGCATCAGTGAGACTAGGGCTGGGTTCTTTGCGAATATCGAAGCTGCAGCGGCGCGCTCGAGGTCCTCTTCAATGAAGTCAGTGTCTGATCACTTGGTCTGCATGACGAGAACTAACCTTCTTGTATGCTACCAATGTTTGGCGCTTGTGCTCTAGAAGAGATTGGCGCATTTTGCGCAGGTGTATTTTGCGGCGTTCTGAGGTCGAAGGAGGCCATGTCAGTACACCAGTATGCAGAAGTGAGATAACGAGGCTCTAGCAGGAAAGACTCACGGAGCGGTCACGTCTCGCCGTCCTGGTATATTGCTGGCCATCTTGTTGGGTAGATCAATAAGGTTGAGGCCGGCTTGGGTACAGCGGGTGGATGTCAAGGATTTTGTCTGTTGGGAAGATGAAAGGCCGACTGGCTGGGATATCTGAAGATCACGAAAGGGTTCTGCAAGGTACGGAGTAACGCTGGTTTATGCCTTGTGGCTTCCAAACTTTCTCTGCAGGTCCGACAGTCACGAAATTGCCCTCAAAGTAAGATAAAGTGGTTCGTGAGAAGAAACACAATCAATATGGAAAATGTGGTGACTGTGACAGCGGGCCAACGAGGATTACCAGGACTGCCGTAGTCTTGCGTCAACGCCACTGCAAAAACGCAAAACCTGCAAGGGCTTATCGAATGCCTCTCCAACGTGATCACAGTAGGCCTGGAAAGTGGGGCACAAAACGAGGATGTCTTAGCCAATCAGAGCATAATCATAAAGTTCGAAATTCACGTTCATCTCACGCTCGAGCTTGGACGAGGCTTTCACATACAAAACCATCGACGATATGTCCCTAGATCCGTAACATTCATCCAAGGCCTAGCCACCAGACAAAGGCACGTCTTGCCGAGAGTGATAGCATCTCATCCCGCATGATCTAACCTCAACAACTCTTCTCGTGCAACTCGGGAGAGCACATTAAGCTACACGTAGCTGTCCAAAGAGCTTGGAGGAATTTACCGTTGTGCACACGTCTGCTACGATGGAACGACCCAGTGCTCGAAGGTCTTCTTCGGCTCAACGCCGGAGCAGTCAGTCATATGTCAGGCGTGGTTCACTTCGCCGACGCGACTCAAATATGAGCAAGTACGTAAAAGGTGAACTGGATATATACCTACCTAACGAGTCTGTCTGCAGCGCTAGTATTGTTTCTGAAGTCGAAATGGCAACAGATGAGGTCAGCTTTAGATCGTGCCTTCCTTGAACAACCCAGCTGACGTGCCTAAGGCATTTTCTGGGCCTATCTCCGAGAGTGTTCCAACAAGCGCCACATCATTCGCATACCAACGTCCTAGGCAAAGACAAGGCTCCATTACCAGTTTCACTTATTTTCAAGATGAGCAGGAGAGTCCCGAGTACTCAGACGAAGCTATCGAAGATGTCAGTGATGACGAGGATTTATTCATGGCCAATGGCCATGACCAAGATCTTGAAGCTGGCACTACTTCGCCTAGACGCAAATCTTCTGGACGTGACAGAGACGATGAAGACGCCCCTCTGCTCCGACGTACAGAGTCTGGTAAACCGGATATCCAGGAGCACGAGGAAGGTGGTGCCTTTAGCCAGAAGTTCTATATTCAGAGCGAGGACCTCACAATGGTCGTCGCCGGCTTCTCCACAAGCTCACTCGGCTTTATCGCCTATCTGGTCATTTGCTGTCTCACTGCAGGCATCGGCTACCTGATATTTAGGTGGATCCCCAGATGGCGAATTAGATTGATAGGAACTCCTACGCCACTCGAGAAGTGCACATGGGTCGTTGTAGAGGTGAGCTTTGAACACAACAGGAAATGGTCGAGATCGCGGGCTAAGAATAAGCAGAACCAATGGGGAGAATTCACTGTCCACGATGTTACCAGCGAGGAGTACGGCTATCCTATGTCGACAGTCTTCAATCGTCCCTCCAAGGAACAACTCAATGGCCACAGATATGACTACGAAGAGGATCTGAAGGAGCTAAGATTTCTCGACTATCGCTACATGCGCTTCATTTACCATCCTCACCAGGACAAATTCGTGCTCAACAACGACTGGTGGGATCCACAATGGACAGATGTGAAGGCTATGAAGCAAGGTCTCGACAGTGAAGAACGTGACCCGCGTGATCAAGTCTTTGGCAAGAACGTTATTGAAATCAGGCAGAAGACGATTCCAGAACTGCTCTTGGATGAGGTGAGTATAACGCAAGCTCGAACACTTCGCAGCTAATTGCGGCTAGGCTTTCCACCCTTTTTACATCTTTCAAATTGCCAGCTTGTTGCTGTGGTCCTTCGATGAGTACTATTATTATGCTGGAGCAATCTTTCTGATCTCAGTCTTCAGTATCGCCACTACTGTTATCGAAACCAAATCGACCATGCAACGTTTGAGTGAGATCTCACGTTTCGAATGTGACGTTCGTGTCCTTAGGAATGGCTTCTGGCGTCAGTCAACATCAGGCGACCTCGTGCCAGGTGACGTCTACGAAGTCTCAGATCCTTCCTTGTCACAATTACCATGTGATAGTCTTCTCCTGGCTGGCGATTGCATCATTAACGAGAGCATGTTGACGGGGGAGTCTATCCCAGTTTCAAAAGTCCCTCTTACGGATGATGTGGTCAACTATGTTGACCTGGGCGCCACATCCGTTCATCCCATCGTCGCGCGACACTTTCTCTTCTGTGGTACCAAGATTATCCGTGCCCGAAGACCACAGGACGAGGACGACGATGAAGCTGTCGCTCTGGCTGTTGTCGTCCGCACTGGTTTCAACACGACTAAAGGTGCTCTTGTCCGATCTATGCTCTTTCCCAAGCCATCCGGCTTCAAGTTCTATCGAGATTCCTTCCGCTACATCGGAGTCATGGGCTGTATTGCTGCCATTGGCTTCGTTACATCATTCGTCAACTTCGTCAAGCTCGGTCTGAAATGGCACCTGATTGTTGTTCGTGCCCTAGATCTGATCACAATCGTGGTACCTCCTGCTCTGCCAGCGACATTGACCATTGGCACCAACTTTGCATTAGGCCGCTTGAGGAAGAAGCAGATATTCTGTATCAGTCCACAACGCGTCAATGTGGCTGGCAAACTAGACGTGGTCTGTTTCGATAAGACGGGTACCTTGACAGAAGATGGTCTGGATGTGCTCGGTGTTAGGCTTGTACAGCATCCAGAAATTCGGTTCTCTGATACAGTCGAAGAAGTGCATGATCTGTTGCCCCCAGCGCCCTACGACCGTGATCCTACAGTCAACTATCGTGTCAACAAGAATATGCTCTACACAATGGCTACTTGTCACTCTTTGAGAATGGTTGACGAGGAACTCATTGGTGACCCACTCGATCTGAAGATGTTCCAATTCACAGATTGGACTTTCGAGGAAGGCTCGCAGAAGACGATGCATTTCGTTGAGCATGGCACTCATCAACCAGCTCCATCTGTTACCAAACCACCATCCGGCATGGAATACGATCTTGAAGACTCACAAAACAACGAGAACCCTATTCCCATAGAGCTTGCTGTCCTCAAACAGTTTGAGTTTGTGTCGCATCTCAGAAGAGCAAGTGTTGTCGTTCGTCAGAATGGTGATCCTGGCATCAGTATCTACGCCAAAGGTGCTCCGGAGGTCATGAAAGACATCTGCACACCATCGAGCATACCTGCCGACTTCGAAGACCTATTGAATTTCTACACACACAAAGGCTATCGAGTCATTGCTTGCGCATCAAAGTATGTGTCACGCATGAAGTGGCAGGAGATCCAGGCATTGGATCGATCAGAAGCGGAATCAAGGCTGCAGCTTACTGGTTTCATCATTTTCGAGAACAAGTTGAAAGAAATTACAACTGAGATTATCGAAGAGTTGAATGAGGCCAAGATAAGGACTGTGATGTGTACTGGTGATAACATTCTGACAGCTATCAGTGTGGCCAGAGAGTGCGACTTGATCGATAGAGATGCTCACTGCTACTATCCACATTTTGTGGAGGGTGACAAGATGGATCCTAAGGCTCAACTTTCCTGGGAGAGTGTCGACAACAACTTGTATCAACTGGACAGTGAGACGCTTCTGCCAGTACCAATACCCGTGGAGCACGACACCTCTGCACCATATGATGCACTTGCAAACACAGATTACACTCTCGCCGTCACTGGTGATGCTTTCAGATGGATTGTCGATTATGGCGCCTCAAATATGTTGAAACGCATGCTTGTCAAAGGTCATGTCTTCGCGCGCATGTCTCCCGATGAAAAAGCCGAGCTCATCGAGAAGTTGCAAAGCATTGACTATACCTGCGGCTTTTGCGGTGATGGTGCCAACGATTGTGGTGCGCTCAAAGCAGCCGATGTTGGTGTTTCGCTTTCTGAAGCCGAAGCTTCTGTTGCAGCTCCTTTCACCAGTCATATCTTCGACATCTCGTGTGTGCCAATATTGATCAAAGAGGGCCGTGCTGCGCTTGTGACCAGTTTCTGCTGTTTCAAGTACATGAGTTTGTACTCGGCCATTCAATTCACCTCGGTCAGCTTTCTCTACGCGTCGGCATCCAACCTTGGTGACTTTCAATTCCTGTTCATTGACTTGGCACTCATCCTGCCCATCGCCATTTTCATGGGCTGGACTGGTGCATATCCTCAGTTGAGCAAAAAGCGCCCGACAGCTAATCTTGTATCCAGAAAAGTATTGACACCACTACTTGGACAGATTGTGCTCTGCATCCTGGTACAAGCTGTGGCTTTCAAGACTGTCCATTGGCAATCATGGTATATACCACCCAAGCTCAACAAGAAGAAATCAAACGTCGACAACTCGCAAAACACAGCTCTCTTCCTGGTCTCATGTTATCAATACATCCTCTCAGGCATCGTCCTCAGCATTGGTCCACCCTTCAGAGAGTCGATGAGGAAGAACGTCCCGTTTTGTGTCACTATTGTCATCACATTGGCCTTTTCGCTTTACATGCTTTTGGATCCTGCCAAACCTTTACAAAAGTTCATGGATCTCACGGACATGTCTTGGGACTACGAGCTTTTCTTGCTAGCCTTGGCAATTGTCGGGTTCATTGTTGCTTACCTCGCTGAAAGACACCTGTTTCAGCCACTGGCGAAGTGGATCGGAAAGACAAGAGCGGCGCTACGGCCTTCACGATCAAAGAAGAGGAAACAGTACAAGGAGATCATTGAGGAGATGCAGTAGAGTCAGAGATGGCCTGTAAAATATTGTGAATCATTACGAAGGTGTACAAGATGTGGTATATAGACCAGAAAAGACGAACTTTCAGCCTTGTACACCATAGATGACTCGGGTCTTATCGGACCCAGCTAGATACTAGACATCATAGCAGAATGCTTTTCGGTCTTTTGCAGCTTTGCGAAAGTGTTCGGCAAGATGTTGAGTCATTAAAATACTTCGAAGGCGAAGAGTACACCTGGGCACATTCCACTGTACTCATAAGGTGTCTCTAACAAGACGAGGAAGCGATTCTTTCCAAATCGTTGATCACCCATTCACGATGGTGTCCTCCTGATGCTTGTCTTGCTTGCGGGTACAAATACAGCCACGAAAATGTTTTACTACGTTCGCTTACCTAAGGTTGAAGTTGAGCCACCCTGTACTGCACCTGGCCGCGATTTCGTGGGAGGATCGTATTGCGTTGGCGTCGCGTCTTAGCAATAGTCGCAGGGTTGTTTTCCGTTTTGAAGTACAGTAAATTCACGGCAGTGATTCTGCTGTATTTTTGGTCCTGGACTTGGTCGATCAATACATTGCGAGGAACATCCTTGGCAGTAAGAATGTTTCTTTCGTGATCGTCAACAGGGTGAGTGGCGCTGAATTGGCATCCTCCACAATTGGTGGAATTCGTGCAGAATCAACCAATACCGTTCTAGAGACTTGCGAGGCGAAACTCACTAGTAGGACACAACGTCAATTACGCAACGACATAAGCACGTACTATGAAGTGTGCGATGGACAGTCATCTATAAACCTATTCTTCATTCCAACGAAACGTTTTTTCTCTACATTTCGTGAGTAATGACTAGTTTCTCGGTAGAGCTGTTCACACCGCACATCAGGATGTGGACTACACCTTAGCCACAACTTCCAGGCTGTTAGCTTCTCACAGCCCTATCGAGCTTATATCTCGCCAACACCACGAACCACACTCTGCCTGTGCACTGCTCACCGGCTAGTGGCATGGAGGGCGACCGAAGACGTGGTGAGGCAACGCTGCTATGTACAGCACAACATAAGGAGACGTCCACTACCTCTGCACTGCTTCAGCCGTGTTTGTCAGACACCAGGGTGTTTCGTCCACCACCCGAACTAGCAGTACCGAGCCGAAAAGACTCCAACGAATACGGCTTAACAGCAATCTCAGGTCAAGCAAGCACAGTCATGGGCAACGTGTACTACACCTACCATTACCATTCTTGCGGCAATCCCGCTCCAACGGTAGAAGAATTGGATGCTCCGCATCGGGTCTCAGTGCCCACGTTCGACAACCTGCCTCGGGCAAGGCAGTCTGAGCGGTTACTTATCGAGCCACATGAAGTCAGATCAGGAGTTCCTTCACATACCAGAGTGAACCGCAAACTTTCGTCCTCATCAGCTCGGATCTTAGAGTTGGTTCTTTTGTTCCTCATTGTCGCCATCTTGACCAGATTCAATTCGCATACCTGCTCCTACAGCTGTTAACCTCGATATACTCGCCTTGCTGTGATGTTTGCACATACCCTCTCAGCACTCCATAACCACTCACTGCATGTCAGTGCAAAGAACACCACATTGTCTATACCAGAGGCGACATAGGTATCTCTTTCGCTTGATGGGACACAGTCCGACTGCTGAACAATGGCCAAGATCTTTCCCAGCACTATAGCACATTGCTCATCGTACGTTGTCGGGGCATACAGCGCGAATATTTGGCTCGAAGCAGGAATATCCGATCATTCAATTGTCCCTACAACACAGCAAACAAGTCTGAAGGTTCATCGCTACTAAGGAGCAGGAATGTTGCTATTTCGATTTTCTCCATTGCGTCGTACTGTTCAACCACCGCATCGAATTCCTGATCTTTGGCAGTGTATCTGGTAGGATCAGGGCAAGCTTTCTCGAGTCATAGGCACGAGTCTGTGTGGAAGTGGTTGATCCGGCATTGGGAAGACACGATCTTGCAGGATAGAACTCCTTTTCACTTTCTGAGAAATTGAAGATGCAGGTAGAGATATCAGCTCACGCTCAAAATAGGAATCTTTTGTTCGAGTGATCATTCAGATTCGCGAGCCGATGGACTCTGGCAACATCGGCATGTATGTTTCTAGTCACAGGGTTAGCGAGAACAATGAGTATCTGTCGCAGTGTTTCTAACCATCGAGAACCCTCGATAAGCTTCCAGGCCCATTTTTGGGTGGATTTGGTGCTTCCGTCTGTTCACAAAATCTTTGATATGTAGAGATAGGTTGCTGTCATAATCGAAGGAGGGTTGTGTTTGGTAGACGTCGTACTGCCACTTCCTAGATCCTCATGCGAATTCACTGCTGTGATGTCTGTCTTCCTGAATTAGCATATCTCACGAGAGTGTCTGTGAATGTCTGCATTGCAGCTAACAGTGAGGAAGGCGAATAGATAGCGATTGTAATCTCGTCACACACCGCAGTTTGCTGGCCTCAGAAAGTTCGCTCTTTAGTGGTAGATATCTAGGCGTGAATTAGGGCAGAAGCCGCCATGTCTCAGGCGTACTTCCAGAGCTCAGCGCCCCTATCAGAGCCTGTAAGCAACACCCAAGTTAGTTTGCGTCATTGTCAGATGCTTGCATCATTTAGTACCTCAATCCAAGTCACCATCTTCGAGCGCAATCCCCCGTTCTTCTTATACTGCCGGTGTACCTTGCTGTCAATCCTCGAGGCCTTCGCACAAGCCGAAAACACCCTGAATGAGCGTCCTGACCCGATCCCTGCCACCTCATCGCCGCTAGTTGCCATCCACAACTATCGCCATTGACCTTCCTGCACCACTCTTCCCGCCTTGAAAGCCTCGTACAAGACGAAAGCAACCATGGCCGGGGCACGCAATACAGCCCGTGCCTGGCACCCCTGTTTCGAACCTCCCTGGAGGAACAGACGGAGTAGCAAATGGTATAAATAGCAGATAAATGGCAGATAAATGGTAGATAAATGGTAGATAAATGGCAGATAAATGGTAGATAAATGGTAGATAAATGGCAGATAAATGGCAGATAAATGGCAGATAAATGGCAAGTGGTTTAGAGCTCCTGCCGACACAACACCCGCGTGAGCGAGTGAGTCATCCGGAGCAATACAACCGATAGACAAAGGAAATTCGTAAAGTCGTTACTGTTTGTAGCAATGGTTGAGAGCCGCCTAGCCGACGTGAAGAGGCCAGTGGACATCCCTTTTCTGAGTTTTTTTGGTATTTTCAGACAGTTTTCTTGTGGCAAGCTCGTAGGCATTAGCCGAAATAAATAGCTTTCACATCCATTCGCTTGGCCTCGTCCTTGGTTCGGATAGCTACACCACCAGGGATGGCATTCCTAGCAAGGGTCTCAGCAGCCCGAATGTCAAATGATTCCCAGTCAACCCTCGGAAGAGGATTGACGACAGCTTCAGTAGCTGGTGGCGCCTTCTCATAGCCTCTGCCTGTCTCGCAGAAACATATGATCGACTTCAAAGTATTCAAGACACTTCTCGCGAAAGAAGGCATGACTACTATGCAGGGGAAGGATACTATCACAATAATAACTATGTGCAAAGGCGCGGTCTCTTCGGCAGAAGCTTTGGATATGCTATTTTGCAAGTTACTCTGTGAATTCTCGAGAAAAGAGAAAGAAGGAAAGAAGGAGAGGAACTCGCATGAAGAGAGAGAGGTATATATACCCTTTCAGCGGAGCCTCTGCGTCGCTTCGATCAACTTCTGAAAGACTCTGTCGACAGTTGCTGATCTCATTCACCACATCCAATAAGAAAAACAGGAAAGGATATGGCATGTTCCGGGACGTACGACTTAATCAGCACATCATCTCTGCCAGTTTCTGTGATCTGACGAATAGTTTGGAAGGACGATCGCACACATGCATGATCTGAGCACATCGCACGAGCACTGCCCATATCTCACTAGCCATTCTCAGCAGTAAACTTTCCATGGCTGAGAATACCAGAGTGCTTGTGAGAACTCTTGACCAGTAGTTGTGTGCCTGTGGGAACCAAACGAGGTGGACCCTGGAGCTAAGCTGAACCTCACGCATGTGCAAGAATCGCAGTGCTAACTTTTTCCTGCAACAGCTGGGAATTTCAAAAGCAGAGCATCATCGTCTTGAACAAGCTTGATTAGTACCTCTGTAGGTGTGACAACGTTATATCGAGTATCAATCTGTTGGTATGGTGTAGTCGAACAAAAGTGCTTGCACATGATCGGGTTTCAATTCCGCCTAATGTCGCTAGACTGTATAGATGTGGACCTGAGGATTTTCGCCCCCACTCCACCTTGCTCCACGGAGGCTCACAGAGAACGATGAGCTTGTGAGGTTTGCCCGAAAGCAGATATTCCGCTTTCAAAAACGGAAATCTTTCCTGTTGAGAAGGCTAGACTTCTGTAGTCGGATCGGCTGTGAAATTGGTGGTTAATCTTGAAGCCGCATGAGCCTGAGGTGTCGAAATAGCATTCTTCAGCTTCGAGGTGCAGTTCTTGTTGCTGAGAGACAGGTTTTCGGTCGCTTTAATTCATCGGTCATTTACTGCGATAGTCCCATATTCTTTTAAGCTGACATGATCGTCTCGTCTTCGTGAGGTTTGATGCGCGAGAGGAAAGAAGCCGGAAGGTCTTCTGAAATGGCCAATGGCTCGTTGTGATGTGGAGCACTCGAGGAGGTACTTGAAAAATGTTGCGAGAAGCCTGACTAGACTCAGTTGGCCGAATATAGGCATCAAGTGAATCCGCCAGATGAGCGTTGTTGGAGGTCTCCCTCAGAAAGACGACCAATGTATGCCGTGACATCGATCTCCAATCGATGATCGTGTTGACTACAGTACGGATAGTAGCACTCAAGAGTTTCAGCGACAATCTATAAGGGTGCAAGTGACTGATCGGCTGTAAAGGCCTTTCTTTAGGTAGTAGTAACTTGGGATGCATGCGCCAGTAGGTAGCATGCAGGGTGCAATGCTTCGTCAGAGTGAGGTAGGCTGGTGAGCTGCAAGGTGGGATTGCAGTTACTGTGACATGCCGCCGATGCGGCTCAACTTCGCTGTACATATTCATAGCAGCAAGATTGGACAGTAAACAATGGCGTTAGCAGGCCACTCTCGATATGCATTCCATTTAGGTCGAGACCTTGGATACATTACAGGTTCTCTCCCGACCTTGAAGCATCTCTCACCATCAAGAGCATGTTTTCATATTCTATGGCCACTACCATACGACAAGTAAGGTATCTGGTAGCATGGACAGCTCAGTCAGGCTTGATATGTGCTCCTCTTGCATTTGGGTGATCGCTTCAATATGCAGTTCTGAGACGCAACCTCGTCCTACCACAGAATGATGTGACACGAACGTTGAAGTGCCCTCCCGTAGTCCCTAACTGCAACAGAGCAGAAGAGAAGCTCAGTATAGGATTCTACACTCATCCCGCAAGATGATCTCTTTTGTCGGACGAGCGTGCGGTGCAAGGGGCAATAGATGTGTTCCCTCCACTATTTTGGTTGGACTAACGAGGTTGGCGAGCATATGTAAAGCATTGTGTCATGGAAACAATACCACTAATCTATAGTATATGCCGTACGCACTCGTTGTCGGTCTTTCGGACTAGCCTCTTGCTTTGAATATCGCTGCCCTGCTCGGCCAGCTTGTACATTGTGTGGTGTACTTCAAGTACATTCGGATGCGCCTTTTCTCCGAGCACCTTTTGTGTCTAAGGTCTCTCTCTCTCTTCTTGCGCCCAACGTGTCTTATACTTCGGACGATAGGGTCATCGGTATTATCTGTGATCATTGGGGCCGACGCATGTTCCGGATATATGAATGTGTATCTTGCGGAATGGATTGCACGGCGAGACTAACAACTGTGATCAAGGGGTGGAAAAGGCTCGGGCTCTTGGTGATTGTAAGATCGTCGCTTCACTAAGCCTCAGAGTACCATTACATCCTATAGATGCTCAATAACAACTCATTGAGCAGCCTGGACCGATGCCGGAAGTTGCGACGGCACAAGGCCAGGTCAATCTAGGTATCTCGTATATCGGTGGGCGTGCTCTGGATGCCTGTCTAAAGTGGGTTGAGTAGTGCGACAATCGCGCTCAGCGTCTCTTGTGGTCATGGTGACTGGAGAGGTCTAAATGCCCGGGTAGATTGGATGATATACTTGAAACAGACTGGCATCGAGGTGCGACGATCAAATAAGGTTCATTGTGTGTATGCGAATGTGAAGCGGATTCAAAGCCGCTTTGAAAAAGACCGTTTTATTCCGTCTGTGAGAACACAAATGACCAATAAGTCGTGCATAAAGTTGATGCTATGTCAATGGACCACTAGATACTGTTCAATGAGGCTTGAACGAGGAGCTATACAGTATTTCACGAGAAACGACGCATGCAAAGCCATATGGCCACCCTCGAATGCTCGATCAGCGGAAACGGGCCTGTCTTACGAACCGACAAATGGGAAACTTTCAGTATTGTGACTCTCTCAAGTGTATGTCGATACAACATGATACAACGTGCATTGTTTAAAGGAAACCTGCAATGTTGCAGGCTCGCTATGACGATGCAGACTCCCACGCAGCGTAACGATGCTGTATAGTCACCATGAAAATACGGGCCTTATTCTCCTCGAGCCTGAAATATGTAACACAGAATTCGGCTGACTTATTGCCATGGCATAAGGACTTCACTCCAGGGCTGGCATAGACAAAGCATTGTGCTTTTCCGAGGCTGTTACAGAACGAGCTGCTTGAAGGCATTGGTAGTCCTGGTTTTCAATGCCAGTCTTGGTGTCCCTCTGCACAAGTAAGCTATTGGTGCTGAAGAATCAACGAAAGATGTCGATTGTTATACAGTCAGCCAGATCCCATTGGATAGCCAAGCGAGCATCCGGTCCGTGCCTGCCAAGTCCTCGCCACCTGGGTAGCTACTGCACTCCTCATTCCAAGATTTTGATCAGGATGCTGTAATTAGGTGTGATCTTCAAGGTTGAGGATCTCCATTGATGGAACGATTTAAAGTCACCTCTTGTATCAGCTTTGCCATTCAAAATTAGCAGCAGTAGTAACAGCATCAAACAGCACTCACAACGAAGCAGATATTCAGCCAGTATTCTTCGTACTCACTCAGGATGATGTTCTCGTCACCGATCACTTGTTGCATTCAAGCACTCCTCTTCCTTTGCCTCATCACCTCGAGCCTAGCACAATTCAACTACACAAAGCTACCTAGCGAGATGGTTATTGGTGGTACTTATGAGATTGCCTGGACTGGAGCAACTGGTCTGGTTGACCTCTACGTCAAGAAGGACCCATCACACTCCTCATGGCGGTCATATATATATGGATGTACGTATATCCCCAGTTCTGCAACTTGTCTTACGGCTAACTTATTGCAGCTGGTAACGCTACCTCAGTCAACTTCACCGTGAGCGATCTCTATGTAACAGCCGGTATGGACCCTGGACGCACCTATGTTTTCACGCTATGGGATGATCTCGGCAATTGCACCTCGTCACCCATTTACCTCCGAGCTGCATTGACGAAGTTCCGAGGTCGGCGCCAGATTACATAGATACGAATGGTTGGATTGAGTTGCAGGTGTTCGACCCAAGCTTTGCATTCCTCCTTCGACTTTAGACAGCCAACAGGTGATGTCAGGTCAACCAATATGTCAACAATTGAGACGTTGTTCAGCTTAGGTGAATTTGCTCTTCAGCCACTGTCACAATGTCGACTTCGAATGAGAGCAAAACTAGTGAAATAACGTTCACCTGACCCTGGTAAGCCTGTCACTAGGCCCGCACATCCAACCCAATTCTCATAGAATCTTCAAGCCAGACTCAGTAATTTGTTGCACTAGCGCGAATAGGACCTGCAAGTTGTAGACAGAATCGTTACCTCCATTATGAGGACATATGACGGGTAGGCCCAGCTCTCCCATGATCTTCTCCATGCCCTTCATGTTAGCATAGTGGCCTGGAGATGTGATGGCACGGTATGCTCTGCCGATATCCATTACCACTATATCTTCTAGACCAGCGATGCCCATTTGACCCAACCACTTGAGGTCACTGGCGATAGTGTGACCAACCAGGATAATCTCATCACACGTTGATGAGTAGTGACCGATCAAGGAGGAAACATACAGCGCCAGATCCGCTTGAGCAAGAACATCCGACTTGCCGAAGAGGAATCTCGTCTTGTTGTCTTCGACGAACTTCGAGTTCGTGATGTGCTCGGTCTCTCTGACGATGATGTGGTGGCCCTCAATCGCCGGCGAGGATATAATGTCGGTACAGCTAGTGAAGGCTAGGCCGACTTCGAGAGGGACTTTATGGTCTCGCTCCCATTGCTCCAAGTCAATGCTGGGTAGACCAAGCTTGTGTCCTGGCTCTTGCATGGTATTGGCCAGCTCACGTAAAAGCGCGAGATGCGCACGATCATCTTCCATAAGCGCGATTTGACTAGCAGATGGAGGAGCGGTGCTGTTCTCTGGCTGCAGAGGTGCATGCAAAGTGAGGCTTGGAGATGTAAGAATGTCTAGCGCACTTGTTAGTATTTGGTTCAGTGGCCTGAATACATAGACGAGAAACTGAGGAAGCACAAGCTCAGACATCCTTTACCTTAAGCACAGGGGATCGGGTCATTTGGACACAACTAGATGGTGGACACTAGGGAGACTTACAGTCAGATACGGCTTTCAGTGCTGCTTCTGCAACATTACGCTTTGCGACCTTTTTCGACGTGGCGCTCCCGGTGAAAGAGACCTCGACGGCCTCGCTCTCGTAGCCCACATGAAGCGTGCAGGCAAATCCACCAGTCACTGGTCCATCGTCCTTGAAAGACAGTGTATGTATGATGCGAAACTGGTAGAGCTCGTGGAGTTGAGAGATCGGCGAGGCCGGGCCTGACAGTATACTTCGTGCCCGAGACAAGATAGCATCGTGGCACTCACTGCTGAGGCTGCTTGGTGCAGTCGAGGTTGGTGACGATCTTTCGGTCGAAGAGGAAGAGTTTGAACGTGAAAGAACAGACATGATGATAGTGGGCTTGATGTATGGCGCAGAAGCTGTACAATCTGGCAGACAAGGCAGAAGATTGTGGCTGTGTAAGCTGTCTGATTATCTTCTCCTGCTGTTGATCCAGTGAGATGGCGAAGGTATGCTACTCTGGAAGAAACACTTGCGCTCATGGCCGTAAACTTGAAACAGTTAAATAGTGCCGCATCAGTCTGCAGGTCCTCAGTATCACTAGTGAGGGTCATGGTGCCTACCCTCAATATCACTTATGATGTGCTCGTGCACACTTTTGACCGTGATCGCTGTGGAGTATCTTGCACTTTCATCTTACTGTGCTGGTATTCCTGTCGATGGCAAACGCCATGAGATGCAAGCCAGTCGATTTGTCACGTAATCGAGGTCGAGCTAGTTGTCAGCTCATCACAAAAGGTTGCACACAATGCCAGAAGCTTTCGAAAAGATGAGCAGAACTTGTGTCCATCACTAAATATACAGTGCTGGTTTGCTATGGTGTCATTTTGATACATGGTGGTCTGAGTGCGCTTGATTGACAATGTCTCCTTAGGGTCTCTAGGAGACTCGTCGAAATACCTCGCTAGCGATCTGCGTCATCATGGTCGTTTGTTGTCTACACGCCATATCTGAACTCTCGCATTTTCTTTTGGTAATACCATGTTGCTAAGGCACCTGTAGCGCCTAAAGCAAGAGGTACTGGAGCTCTTCCACCAGTTTTGATAATGCGTGGCACAGCGGAACCGAAAAGAACCACGCTGTTGCCTAGCGCTAGCTCGGTGCCGTAGTCACGATTCTCCTTGATCAAGTAGCCTACCCATACATGTTAGCGTAGTTCACCTACCACTTTTGAAAACTATATCGCTGATATGACAGTAATTGGATCGAGCAGGCGTACCGGCATAGGCATAGGAGGCGCCAAGACCAAGACCAGCTATCAAGCTTGGTGCCGAGCGCGTTCTGAGATATCCTGCCGTACCGCCTACAGATACTATACTTCCAATTAGCATCTTCCTGTCAGTGTATTCATCTAGTTGTACTCACGCAGTCCCGCTAATGTAAAGGATGGATGCTGCGCCATATTTTCTGCTTTCGCTCAACATTTGCATGTTGATGGAAAGCACGATCGTCTTTCTATCGCAACGTGAAAGTAGCAAGTTCGCCGAACGTTCAGTTTCATCACGTCACTCGCGCAGCTCGGGAGTCTATAACTTCAACTTGTTCGGCAACTTTGTTATTGTGTTATTATCCTTCCCACGCACCTCGAACGATGCCTTCTTTCCGGATATCAGTATTGAACATTTTGAAGTCTCCTGTATGCTTCTGCGAGACGGGCAGAAAATACGAGCAGGTTTTGGCTTCAGCCGCGGCGGCATGCTCGGGCTTGACCGTGGCCAAGAGGTCCTTGTGCTCATTAGAGAGGCGGTAAGCATCAGTTTAGATTAATATGGAACTAAGGTAGAACAGCAGACGAACCGCATTCAGCCGTGAAGAAAGTGGTAGTTTTTCACGGGTTGTGTCTGATGCGATAGTACAATTTTGAAGCTTCGAGGGTGTTCTCGAATGTCTATGGATATGACTGATTGCTGCAGTGAGTACCATATCGTTTACTGTAGGTATGGTCGAACTATCTCCTCAAGCTTCACTTGCATGTCTGCGAAAATATTGATGGCTTTAACCTGCTTGATCTCCTGTTTACCACTATCTCGTCGTGTGAACAATATGCGAAACCTCTCCTCATCATCGATCAGATCCAGTGGCTGTTCCGGTAGCGTTGCTTCTACTTTTCTTAAACACTCGTCGTTCTCGAACAGCGAGGAAAAATTGCTATCGATGGCCAATACATCAGCGGAGGTTGTTTCGATCAAGGCGCGCAGAAGAGGTGGTGCGATAGTGATATGCTTTACCCCGCTCAAGGACATGCATTCAGCGATGGTGGTGAGAGAGGCGGGGAGAGTCGCGGTTCGTGCATAGCCATGTTTCTGAAAGTAGAGCTGAGATTGCACACAGACAAGGTGATTCGGTGAAGGGTCTACAAGCCTGCAGTAAAATGTTAGCAGGATGACACGAACCAACACAATGCCACCAAACATCGACTTACCCTTCCTCGAAGTGCACAGCGAGCTCGTTGACATATGGCGCAATGTACCGGCATTTGGCCTCAGCCGCAACAGCAGCCTGCTCGAGTGCAAACAACGTGGTGGCCAGGGTCGAAATACCGTGGTCGCGTTCTAGAGTTCGACAGGCTTGCAACCCTTCCCATGTTGACGGGATCTTGATACAAACACGATCCTTTGCATTCAGATTTGGTGAGAGATGGTCGAAGATGTCAACAATCCGTTGGGCTGCAGAAACAGTACGCGATGTGCTGTAAGCGTCGAAAGGGTTGACTTGGATGTGCATACGGCCTTTCAAATGCGGCAGAATCAATAAACCAAGTTTGATCATCTATGGCAATGGAATCGTCAGCGTGACTTTTACTTAGTGAGCCTGTTGATAGTGGAAGATGTCTTACACATATTTCGACAGCCAATGCCTCGAGCTTGATGCCAGGGTGCTTGCTAGATACTTTCTTTGCCGCATCAGCAGATTGACGAATAAGATCTTCATGTCTAGTGTTTAGAAGCTCGAAATATGCGATAGCTTGGTTGGAAGTACAGTCTTGGAACGGGCCAAGACTTTCTGCCACAGACGCGTCAAGCGTGTCGCAGTCGACAATCGTTTTTGCTCGTAGCTCGGAAAGCAGGTTTGGTGATGAGCCCATGATGTTGCTACCAGATTGTCTTCACCTACTCAGAGTCAGAGACTTCTACAATCTGGCGATGTGAACATTGAAACTGATAGAATGAGTGGAGTTGAAGAATTATGTTGAGACGTGTTTGCAACAGCAGCGGTTGCATTGCCATTCTTGAGTAATCGGAATTTGTTCGGATTAAGAGTTATTGAGATGCTGAGCAAACGTGCATGGCGCCTAGTCCAATGATCTCATAACAACGATGGAATATCCTCGATTGTGATGAGACTATCTTCTGGACTTGAGAATCTACGAGTTCTAGAAAATCTCAGCCTTCGATTCGCGGTTGAGGCCCTTCTGCTGCGCCGTTGTGCTTTAGGGTGAATCGCTGAGAGCAGATCACCCCCAAGACATCTATTGCTCGTGAGAATCCAACCGCTGTGTAAAAGCATAAAGGTCGTCATAAATGATAACAAGCAATAGAGCTTAATTCCGATCTGTCTTCGCTGTGTTGACTTCCCTTGCACCTTCTTGCATCGCTCTGAACTTCTTCTGCTGATGTTGGGCAGCGGTAAGCTCCTCTTCTTCCTCACCTTCTGGCAATGGAGGTACCATACCACCCCGTAGACGCTTCATCACTACCTCATCGTTCGGTCGTACAAAGTACACGACACTGTATCGCGGCCACAGGCCCTGTTCGCCTGGTGCAGGCACAACACGATGTCTAGCAGAGCACAAGATTCCACCTGTAAACTGTACAGCAGCGTCACCTAAATTGACAATAGCATGACCGGGCTTGGGTTTTACCCATAGCCATCGTCCTGCAGCACCACCTTCTGGCTGATCGCCCTCGAACTGCTTGTGGAAGTTGCCTCGTGATGGTTCGGACCAGACTTGCAATCCTCCCAGCCAATTGAAGAGAATGGTTATTGTCCCAAAATCAGTATGACCTGGGGTTTGTATTTCTGGCAGATCTGTAGATCTTCTTGGTGGACCACGTATCATGCGGCAGTGGCTATCACAAGGTGCTTTGAGACAATTACTATGACTAAAAACGTCCTCGGGCAAGCCCGTCTTCGTTGCAAGTACAGACATAATGTCGAGACCGACACCGTGACAGCCGACAACAAAGCTTGCGAGCATCGCACGGTTGGCCGATTCGAAGACAATAGCTGGAGGAGTGGTTGGAATGTGGTGTGGAGTATCGAGGATGTCATCCTTGCCAACATTCATGAACTCTGCTGTGTCTGGTATGCCTTGGTCGTCGGTCTTGGTCTTGCCGACACGTTTGTAGCTATGCAGAAATTAGCTCATCTGATCTTGCGCATGCACCGTGACAAACCCGAGTAGTGAGAATGGCTTCTTCGGTTCCTTGTCCTGCTTTTCCTCTAGGGGTAACTTGAAAACCGTCTCAGACAAGCGACCAATAGCTTCGGCCTCTTTCACAAGGGATTCAGACTTCGTGCCACTGAAGTCGAGATAGAAGAAGCCTTGTGTCCGACAGATCTCAAACAGTCTAGCTTGCTCAGCATCAGAACCAGCCAGCAACTCCGATAGAGAAATAGTGCTCAGATGTATTACAGGATTTGTGTCTTTAGGGAAAGGTGGATAGAGTTGAGGTGCAAATTCGGCTGAGTCGTTCATGTCCTCAGCAGCTTCGGCGCCAGCAGAAAGGGACAGACCCTGATTGCTCGAAATGTATGGTTTTGCTTGTTTGAGACCAGTAGGTTATATCGCAGTGCTGGCAAAGGATAGGGACTTCAAGATGATGAGGTGTAGTTGAGAGGCGGGCTGTACGTAAAATGAAGGACGAGGATGAGGTAGATGAGCGTGGAAATCAAGGTCGTTGGGGATTGTATCACTGGCAGACTGGACTTCAACTCAGCAATTTCTTAGTCTCAAGGCGTAAATGAAACTTGCCTTGCCTCGATTACACACAAGATCATCAAGGTTTCAGGTTAGGAATGGAATCGTTGTGTTTGCTAGCAAACAACCATACACATCATCCAAATTACCCATCACATCCTTGCCAACCTCATGTCTTGCGCAACCTCTTATTTCCACGTAGCCTTCTCGTGAACAGTGTGGTTCACCAGATGAAAATTAGCTTTCGACCTTTGAAAGACGTACTGTCGGGTTCACCAAATGAAGTTGTCCGGAACCATAATGCATCTAATTATACACCAAGTTCATTCACAATGCCAGTAGAAATAGCCAAGATAGACATCGTCGATCGAGAGACTCAATCTGTCCACAACCGGCGCTCTGCGCTATTATCTAAAGAATCCTGCATCGTTATCGACAGTTGCGGGTACCACGACGGTTGGAAGTTATAAAGACTGAACGAAGAACAGTATTTATTGCTTCAGTGCATGGTATGTTTGAAAGTTGCCGCTCGAAACAGTGAGCTGGAGCGTATACAGCGGCATGTAACCTAGATGTTGTCTGCAGCTTGAATAAGCTTACGCTGCTCGAGCTCGAGCTGCGAGCGTTCGATATCTGGACCACATGATGATTACCACTCTGCCAGAGCAGCAAGTCTGCATGTTGATCAACAACCAGCAGATGCACCATAATTCCAGGGTCTTGTGAGCAAGAAGGTGGGTGTCAGTCTTCTCAGGCGAACAACCGACGATCATAGCAACGTCGGAGACCTAGCGAGATCCTGTATATGGCCACCAGACCTTCTGATATGCTCTACTGTCGATACAAGACGATTACCGAATACTCGAGAAGAATGATCAGGACGCAGAAACCATTGCATCATCAGATGACTGAATGCAAGAACTACAAGGATGCACATACAATCCTTTTCTTTGGCTTACGTTCGAGGTCTGCCATATTGGGGATCCGTCTGTAAACGAACCTTCCAGCGGCGTTCGTTGAGCAAGAACAAAGTAGCTTGGAACTCGGAACAGGAAAGCGAGCCCAGAAGACTTAACTTTTTTGAAACGAACAGTACTCAAGTACGATCGACCTGGCTCGGCTATTGGTGGACAAATCGGAGGACATCAATTCGCTTCGGCTATCACTAGGCGAAGCGAGGATATACACATCGTGACCAGCGTGGAGAGACCGGTGATGCGACTACCCGTATTCTGCATAACGACTCCACTTGCTGAGGCACTGCTGTGCTACGTCCGCGTCTTCTTCGTCGGACAGAACGGTCTTTCCAGAACCGCAATGGGCATACAGCCGATTGTCTTGAGGCGCAGTCGGGGCCCTTCCTGTGAGTCGATCTGGAGGTAGAACTCCCTCTACGTGGTGCTCAGCAGAAGATTTCCAACTAGCTGCAAATCTTACCAACACGGTTGCAGCCTTCGCTGACCACCACGTGACCTTCGTTGGCACGCTTGCAGATCGTGCTCGAGGACGACAATCGTTGATGTACCTACAGTCGTTCAGTATCGGCCTCTGCCGGCCTTGTACCCAGTCGAAGTCTGAAGCCAACGCCACAATCAAACATAGGAAGAAGTCATCAAGTAGCAACATTTCAAACTTTTCATGTTCAGATGCTGACAGTGACGGTTCTACTTTCTGTATTTCGAAATTCGTTAGCTTCAAAACCAAATACACGTGGCTGTGATTGCTGGTTGACTCTATACGAAATCTGGCCTGGCAATCATGTAGCCGGATGGCAGATGAGTTCGTGGTTCCGCCCTCGAAGCTCACAATATGCTAGGGAAATGTGAGCCGCGAGCCGTCGGTAGTTTTGGCGCTAAGACGCGACCAAATTCAAAACGACCCGAAGCTTGCCGGAAACCCGCACAGCTCAAAGCGGAATAATCAAAAGCTGTGCTCATTCGCTGCCACCGACTATCTCTCCAGGCTTGTCGAACCTCAATGTAACACTGGGTCTTCGACGCTCGCAGTAGCACTTCTTGGCAAAGACTTTCGATACGATCTAGAAAAGACTTGCTGGAGCTTCTGCCGCCCATTGTCCGTTCGTCGAATCTAGTGCTTGCGGGACTCATTCTGGAGCATGGATCGACCTTCGATATGCTTGCCTCTGCGTGCAATCACAGCAGGAGAAATCCTGCTATGGAAAAGCAAACTACCCCACGGGTCGGCGGCAAAAGTCGTAGACCACACGGAGTCGCGATGCGATGCAGTGCAACGTTATCAAAGCCGGCGCTCTTCGTTCAGTATATAGGTCAAGACTTTGCCCAGCACTTGGCTGAGGTCTTAGCTACTCTTGTCATCAACTTGGCTGCAGACTTCTTCTAGGCACACGGCTTATCTGCTTCCAAGCATTGCCAAAAGTCTTGTTCCTCGAAGCTTCATATTTCCTACCGAATCAGACTCTACAACGAACAGAACAACCAAAAACTTACCACCGCAAATATGGGTGGTGGTGCTAAGAAACCCACGAACATCTTCAAGCTGTCTCTAGGCGACGATCCAAAAGAGGTCAACAACTGGCGACTATGGTTCGCTGCCATCTCCTTCGGCATCATGGGTGCCGCTAGAGGTATCGACGAAGGTCTTATCAGTGGTACTTTCAACACAAAATCATTCCAGAGCCTACACCACCTCAAACAATTATCACCTACCGAGTATGCCAATGTCAAGGGCAATGTCAGCGCCATGGTCCAGATAGGATCCGTTGCTGGCGCACTGCTAGCCTTTTTGCTCGCTGACCGTATCGGTCGTATATGGGCCACTCGACAACTCTGTCTTTTATGGATACTCGGCATCGTCATCTTCATGACCAATCAGGGACGAATGGGCCAGGTCTATGCCGGGCGGTTCATCGCCGGTGTTGGCATAGGTGAGACGACTGTGATCGCCCCGGTCTACATCAGCGAGATTGCTCCCAAATCCATCCGTGGTCTCTGCGTATGCATCTTTTCGGGCTCAGTGTACATCGGGATAATGCTAGCTTACTTTGCAACGTACGGCGCATCTTTACATATCAGCTCAAAGTCGAACTCACAATGGTTGGTCCCAACTTCTCTACATCTCATCTTCGCCGGCCTCATTTTTGTCCTCTCCTGGTTTCAGCTCGAGTCACCTCGTCTGCTGATCAAGAAGGGCGACAGACAACATGCAACCAGAAATCTCTCGAAGCTTCGCCATCTGCCCGAAGAGCACATCGTCGTCCAGCACGAAATCAACGAGATGGTTCGTCAGCTTCATGAGGAGGAAGAAGCCACCATGGGAGCTGGCTGGCTTGGCTACCTCAAGGAGATGTTCTTGATCAAGGAGAACTTCTACAGGATCTATCTTGGATTCTTCGTGCAATTACTCTCACAATGGTCTGGTGCTGGTTCAATCACCGTCTACGCCCAAGACTTCTTCGCACTTCTCGGCACTACCGGACAGCAGGAGAAACTCTTCGCAACCGCCATCTTCGGTGTTGTCAAGTTCGTTGCTGCAATCATGTGCGCTCTCTTCCTGGTCGATGTCATCGGTCGAAAGCGTTCCCTGGCCATCGGTATCTTCCTCCAGGCCATTTCAATGATCTACATCGCAGGATTCCTAACAGCAGTTCCAAACATCGACGAAGAAGGATTTGAATTTACGCCAACTCAAAAGCACGCTTCGCTCGGTGCTATCGTCTTCATCTATGTCTCTGGTTTCGGATGGGCCATGGGCTGGAACTCAATCCAGTACCTCATCAACGCCGAAATTTACCCTCTACGAATTCGAGCCATCTCCAGCTCATTTATCATGTGCTTCCACTTCGTCAACCAGTACGGTAACTCGCGCGCTGTTCCTCAGATGCTTCTGTCAACCAAGGAAGGAGGTCTGAGCTCCGCAGGGACATTCTGGTTCTTCGCAGTGATTACCGTTATTGGCTTCTTCTGGGCTTGGTTCTTCATCCCAGAGACGGCTGGTCTCAGCCTCGAGAGCATGGACAAGCTGTTCACGCTCAAGTGGTACCAGATTGGACGCATGGGTCGTGCTGTCGCCAACGAAGCAGAGCAAAGATCGATTGAGAGAACTTTGCAGGAGAAGGGTGCCGTTGAGCTTGTTGAGGAGACTGGTGAGAAGAGAGATACTAGAGTATAAGTTCACAATGCACTCTACTGTGTGCATGCTGTTGCGTCAAGCTTAGCTTTACGATTTTTACGAAGATAGACTACGTGATGAATTACATTCATGTTCAAATTCATTTCCATTTTCCTTTAACTCATCAGTCCTTGACCTTCGCTCCATCCTAGCCCCAAACCTCCCTAGCCCAGTCAAACATATTCTAGGACCAGGTCGTCTCGATCCGTCACGAGCAAGCGGTCCTCGTCCACCGACCTGACAGAACTTACAGCTACTCGACGGCACATTCAGGTACGTCAGAACGAGTTCGCAATTTCTGCTTTGAAGCAGACGAGCGCAAAGACCCCATCTCTCGTCATTGGCTGTAGGTATTGGTAAGTTGTCGAAGAATTGAGCACCTCTTATAGGAAAAGCGACGGGCTCTGATTACGTGGGTTGACACTCAGTGTGATGACGTGTACTTGATAAGGCGACGATGCGATGACGCGAACTGAAGGTGCTTTTCTGCAAGTCCAAGTTCTTTCTCGAAACTATGCGCTGCATTAATCCAGATCCTCCGGGAACGATAGATAGCGACTCCATTCGTGGTTTTGCTACAGCTTTTTACGACTTCTAGGTTGATGCTTGGGACCATACGCGAATTGGTTAATCGGAAGATCAACGATGCTTTGTCAGATGTGATATTGGTTCCACTCCAGTTAATTGGCTCTACTGCTACTAGTATCCCACCTTGTCAAGTATCCGCTGTGAAAGAGGCTAGTATGAGATCGAGCTGTGCGAAGACTCGAAATCTAGCATCACCAACATGACGCATCACGTAACATATCCAAATTGTCCACCCTTACAACTTATCCAAAAGTCTCTCACAATTTCATTTGTCTTCCTCCCTCCGCGTAATGCCTCAACTTGAGCGACGAACCTAGCCCGCTGCTCTGAGTTCGTGGCCTCGAGCGCTTTCTGCGTCAAAACTGCACTCTCTGGTTTGATCGCTTCTTGCATGATTCTCCTGGCTCGCATTAATTGTTTCAATATGAAGGCCCGCAATAACTGAGAGAAGACCTCGATCTCCGAACGTGCACACTCTCCAGCAAGCAGGTGTAGAGTCAACCCGAGTATGGTAGGTGAATATGTATCGAGGAGCGAGGTCAAGGTAAAGCTGGTTGCTGTGTTGTGCATGAACTTGCTAGAAGGCTCGGTCAAGTCGAGGAAGGAGGTAAAGAAGGCTGCAGCGATGCGACGAGGCAGGATATCTGTCGTACTTCTGAGCAGAAGAATTGTGAAATCGAAAATTGTGGTCATGAGCTCTAGAGCCGAAGGGCTACCAAGAATTTCAACACCAAATTTCGGCATACATCGGATGATGAAATCGCAAATTGAACTTGGTGGATTAAAGGAAGCGTCTGGTATTGGACTACTCATTGTAAGTATGGCTTCTTTGGTGATGGCAATGACTCGCTGCAGCAGTCGCTCAATGTTGGAAGACGACCCTGGCATTGGTGGAGGTGCAGCTGAGACAAAGCAAGACGACGTATTCATCGTCTGATCCAGATTAGAGTTTCTGAGATCGATTAACGCACACAGTAGTTCTGTCTCAGTGATAGGAGCAAATTTGAAAGGTGATGGATGTTCTTCCTTAAAGCCGGCTCTGAGTAGTTCGCAACACACGGCGACAAGGTCGCCGTTTTGAGGCTCTAGCAAACGGCTCCAGGGTTCAGACAGCATTTGCAGAATTGCCTGCTGAGTTGGAGTGCCGGGTCCATCTGTCCAAAATGTATTGTTGCCGATCGAGGGTGTCTCAAGGTCAATAGGTGTGTCCGAAGGGCTTTGCAGACCTTTGGCAATAGCTGCGAGCATACTGACACGATCGAAGAGTGGGTCTGGGGCATCATCATCTTGTATGTTAATATCGTCTCGTTCCTTGATTTCGAGACTCTGTACAAGTTGCAACATCTTCTGCAACGGCTCGATACGTTCTTCTTCAGAGGGCAATGCCTGAATCAGAGCAGCAATACCGCTAAGCACTTTACCACGTGAGTGCAATGAAATGTTGTTCAGGGTCGTAATCGTACTCAGGAATTGAGGTAGTCCTTGGACAAGAAAGGTTCTTTGACTGTCGCACAGATTGTGGATAGCACCAGCAGCCTGGTTTGAGAAGGCCTTGATCTGCAGGGAGCGAAAGAGAAAGTCTAGGCTGCTGATCATGAACTGAGGGTTCCGCTGTAGATATGCGGTTGCCTCTGCAAGAAGTCTTATGACAGCCCGGCGAACACGACCTGGGATTTGTGTCGAGTCCGAAATTGCTTGTGTCCACAGCTCTGAAGAAAAGATTTGTGCAAGTGATGAATCGCACTTTTCAGGGTCGTTCGTAAGAGCATCGGAAATTGAGGTTAGCACGAAGAGGCCTGCCTCGAACTCTGACCACGAGAGTGCAGCGGATTGTGTGACTGTCTGCGCGATGTCTTGTGCTAAGCCGGGTCCCAGAATACCAAAAGCTGTCTCGAAGAAATCCTTGGCCTGAAAACGGAAGTCGCCAAAGCGTGTATGTTCATCCTCGTCCCAGATCGCGGTCTGTTTGTCGAGCTCAGAGGATGGGTACTGAACCTTTACTAGGGTGGCAAGGCAGACATCCTTGATCAGGTTGGTCAGACTATCGTCGAACTGCGAAGGCTCATCCCAGTCGTTGTAACCCTCGGCAACCGTGGTCATCATCTCGAGAACAATCTGGCATATGTCATCCTCAACCATGGCGGCGCCCTGGCAACCTGTCAATTTCTGAACTCTTTCTAGAACAACAACAATTTCGGGGTCTTTCAGGTATTGATCATTTGTACAGTCCAATTGACTGACGACAGCTTCAAGAAACTCGACATAAGCAGTTCCATCTGGCGAGAAGTAGCCTGACAGCATATTATCCATAAGGTGATTTGCCGCAGCGGAGTTGTTGACTTGGGATCGATAGTCGGGAATGGTACGATTAAGGAGGCGATAGTAATCGCCCTGTAGAACTGCTATACAGGGCATGCAGTATTCGGCGAGTAGTGGTTGCTCAAGAAGATGTAGCAACAGTTGGATCGAATTGCTAAAAGGAGTGATGTTTTCGGCCACGAACTTTGTCCATAGCTATGCGCACTGTTAGATAAAGACAACTTACACTGCTCAGGACTACTTACCGGTACTTGGTGCAGGGCTTCCGCCAGGAGTTTCCCATGTAGGTTGCGATCTGCAATTATAGTGAGAGGAAGATCTTGACCTATGGACGGTGAGGTATCGATTTGTGATGAGAAAGAAAGGATCGTGTAGTGTAGTAGCTGCCACGCATCAGGAGCATTATCAGTGAGCTGTATCTCGTATCTGTGGTCAACTTGTCCTTTCGCGCTCGACCCGTGTTCCTCTTGCAAGGCAAGCGCCAACCGAAGAACAGCTTTCCATGTTGCACCCGAAAGAGTGGTTGACGAGCCCAGAATATCTGCGATACTTGCACTGGAATTTTCAGGCAGATACCGACCAGCCAGAATACAAGATAGGACGTGCCGTAGAGGATGTGCCCAAGCAGAAGTGGGCTTAGCAAAGACAGCAGCGAGCACTGAGGAAAGCTTCGTTACCACGACTTCGGATCCAGCCGCCGCGAATCTCACGTAGCAGGTGAGCAGGTGTTCGAGAAGTTGCGATACATGCTCTCTATCACCACCGATTCTGTCCCGTTCCCAATCAACTTTGACTTTCTGACCTAATGTTAAAGCCCCGTAGAACTGAAGGAGTGGTTCGTGGCTATTAAGTAATTCAAGACCAGTCTGCCAAGCCGTAGGTTCGCGCTGTAGTCTTTGCAATTGTCGCTGTATGGTATTGATGGCATCTGGGTTGCCTTGATTTTGAGGCGAATTGAGGTCGCGAATCAGCTGTTCCATGGCTCATGGAAAGCCCACCAACACGATATCGAAACGAAACTCCTAAAAGAAGTTTTTGTCAGCTTCAGTGTCATGAGAGCTAGTCTAACTGAACGACCACGATCCAGGCAGCACGACAATGACTAGCACTTCACAAACTGTAGTGGTCGAAGATGAAGGAAGTCACTTCCACTGCTTGAGAAGGCGCTAGTGGAATACACATCATTATTCTCACAATCACAGTCACAATGTGACTGAAGCAGTCAGAGCTACGCTGAAGACAAGGAATGCCGTTCGACGAGAGTATATGCTGATGAGGAAGCAGGAGTTTCACTTGCAAAAATAGGTAGGGGGGCGGGAATGTGTTACCCACCAAGCCCAATCAGGAAGTCCGTTGACATTCCTGTCCGTTGGCGACGATGAGTTTGACGTGAGTAGAATAGATTGTCATATCATAGTTGGTGCAGTAAGCGACGTGTTTGGACTTTCTTTCTTCATGCGCTGGTTGGCAAATCAACTGAGCAGTTTGTTCCGCTCTTCTATACAAAGACCTACCAGTACTGCTGCCTCTATCAGATCCTTTTCACTATCATCCCGCAAGTCGTCACTCGAGATGGAGACTGTAGATACCAGCAAAAGACTGGCTCAATTACGCCAGTTAATGAAAGAGCATAAGGTCGACGTGTACATTGTCCCATCAGAAGATAGCCATCAGTCAGAGTACATTGCACCGTGTGACGCAAGAAGAGAACATATCAGTGGCTTTTCAGGTTCGGCTGGTACTGCTGTGGTTACACTGGAAAAGGCCGCTTTGGCGACCGATGGACGATACTTTAATCAGGCTTCGAAACAGCTTGATAGCAATTGGCAACTGCTGAAGCAGGGTTTAGAGGACGTCCCAACATGGCAGGAATGGTAAGCAATATATCGGCCCGAGACATCCTAGACTAAGAACACGACAGGACGATAGAACAAGCAGAAGGTGGCAAGACCGTCGGTGTTGACCCTACTGTAATCACTGCCTCTGACGCGCAAAAGCTCAACAAGAAGCTCAAGAAGACCAATGCTCAACTGATTGGTGTTGACCAGAACCTAGTCGACAAGATATGGAAAGACAGACCTGCTCGACCCGCTGAGAAGGTTATAGTACTGCCACTGGAATATGCTGGCAAAGACTATGACGAAAAGATTGCAGAGTTGCGGAAAGAGTTGGACAAGAAAAAGACCGCAGGCATGGTTATCTCCATGCTGGATGAGATAGCCTGGCTCTTCAATCTAAGAGGCAGTGATATACCATACAACCCAGTTTTCTTCTCCTACGCTGCAGTCACTCACGATACGGCCACACTGTATGTCGATGCTTCTAAGCTCGACGATGCAGTCTACGAACACTTGCACGGATCTGTCGCAGTCAAGCCTTACGAAGAGCTGTTCTCGGATTTGACCTCAATCAGCCAAGCTGCAGCAAATTCTCCAGAGCAGAATGGAGTTGAGCAATCGAAACCGAAGCACACAAAAATTCTTGTATCCAACAAAGCCTCTTGGGCATTGACGCTAGGGCTTGGAGGCGAAGAGAAGGTTGAGGAGGTCCGCAGTCCCGTTGCCGATGCAAAAGCTATCAAGAATTCGACTGAGCTGGAGGGCATGAGACAGTGTCACATTCGAGATGGTGCAGCTCTGATTGAATACTTCGCGTGGTTGGAGGATCAGCTTGTCTCGAAAGGAGCGACGATAGATGAGGTCGAGGGAGCCGATAAATTAGAAGAGATTCGCTCAAAAGGTGACCATTTCCGAGGTTTGTCCTTTGACACCATCTCGTCTACAGGTCCAAATGCAGCTGTCATACACTACAAACCAGAACGTGGGAGCTGTTCTACCATTGATCCCAAGGCTGTCTACCTCTGCGATTCTGGCGCTCAATATCTTGACGGTACGACCGACACTACTCGGACATTGCACTTTGGTCAGCCGACTGAGATGGAAATCAAGTCCTATACACTGGTTCTAAAGGGTGTCATCGCACTTGATAGAGCCGTCTTTCCCAAAGGTACGACCGGGTTTGCGATTGACATCCTGGCGCGACAAGCCTTGTGGCGTGAAGGTCTGGACTACCGACACGGTACCGGCCATGGCGTAGGCTCATTCCTCAACGTGCATGAGGGACCAATCGGAGTCGGTACTAGAAGTGCTTATGCTGAAGTCTCCTTGAGTGTTGGTAATGTGCTCTCAGATGAGCCAGGGTATTATGAGGACGGGAACTTTGGCATTCGAATCGAGAATATGATCATGGCTAAAGAGGCCGCAACAAACCACAAATTCGGGGACAAGCCTTGGCTGGGCTTCGAACATGTGACCATGGTACCCATGTGCCAGAAGTTGATCGATTCAAGCATACTGACTCCTGAGGAGAAAGAGTGGTTGAACTCGTATCATAAAGAGGTCTGGGACAAAACTCATGCTTTCTTCAAGGACGATCTAATACTCAATTGGCTGAAGAGGGAGACCACACAAATATGATATTAGAAGATCGGTTCTTGTGCATGGATGAATGATCACCGGGCCAGTTTCTTCGAAGAACAAATGTTCACAAACGGACATATTCGTGCAGGGCGCAGTTCAATGTACACTCAGTGGTTGATACAACAGGAGCCATCATGCGCAGTCATGCATATCATCGTGACTGCGTATTGCAAGGTCACAACTCGATCTTGCACGCTTATATAGCACAGCAGCTGCAGACTAGCCACCAGCGAGGGGCCATGACAGAGGATGGATCAGCGAAGCGTCAGCCTCAACCACTCAGCCTCAACTATCTCTAAGGACAGTCTTCTAAACATTAGTGCATCGTGCGCGAGAGTCTAGGCATGTTGGGATAACACTACGTCTTCGAATTTGGGTCAAAATCGACAGGCATTCGAAGACATCTTACCACTCTGGACGTTGCGTCGGAGGCAGGACATGACACAGCGTCAGAAAGAAGATGAGTGACAGTTTAGGAGAGAAGCACACGGGCAGTACCTACGTACGGTGAATAGTATCAGAATTGACGTCCTGACTGAGGTCTGACAACATCACGGCATTTCAGCCAGGTAAAGGAATCTTCCAGACGGGCCATTACTCCAAGGTTTTGATCCTGGATTGTCGTCGAGCCAGTTGAACACAAGGTTATTTCAGTGGTCCTCAGAGCCTGGCCATGGTGCATCGAACAGCACTCATTGCTGTTCAACTTGGGTCCAGGCTTGGCAGTCTTGAAAATGCACTCATGGGTCAATGCAAGCCAAGCCCGCTCAATGCACTGCTCTTAATATCAAGCGAATGCGTGCTTTACTATCAGCCGATGCTCGACTTCTTGGCTGCTAGATTGGAGTTCCAGAAGACAATATAGACGAGCTTCGCATGCTTTGACCTCGTAGTAAATAGCAGTATTGCAAAACAGCGCGAAGCAAATGTGTGCAGATGGGGGATTGCCGTGAACCTGCGGAGGAACGTGAATGATCGGGACGATGTAATGCATTGCAAGCGCAATTGTCAACCTCGTCGCGGACGGTCAAGAGGTTCCGCCAATAGAGCTCAAGAGATACAGCTGAGATCTGTCTTGGAGATAGGGGCGAGAGCTCAGCGATCGAGATGGGGATGAACTCGATGCTCGATGAATGAATCTGGACGCGGACTCCAAGATGAGTGGGGGCCATGCTTTGCGGGGGGATCTTTCTTGGTAAAACACGTGGTTGCCCTGATCCTGATCCTTGACCTTGTGCATGTAGTGAGCAAACACGATGTTGTAGCTTTGATGGAATTGAAGCATATAGAGCACATCTTATTCCCGAATCCATGTCGCTGAACATGCTCCTCGGATTGCAGTCAAGCAGGAATGACGTCGTGTTTCCCAACCACTATACACGTATTTCCAAGATGAAACCTTATGCTTTCGCACCAGAAGCCGTTACCCCTTTGCCGTCAACCTTACGGAGTACCAGCATGGCGGTGCATGTCCCAAATTTAAGCTTCTCCAACTCCAAAACGCCAATTGGCCCAAGATCTCTGCCTGCAAGCAAAGTCGCAAGAAAGCATCCATAGACGGAGCTTATGCGACTACGCTTGTGCTTCAAGTGGTTAGTTTGTGGCCTCCAGGATCTTGGTCGCTTGGTTTGCAGGAGCGTCTTGGCCTGAATGGGCAAGTGCTCAGACGCATACTGCGCCATCGCAGCCGACGCCTCAAACTGCTTGCAAGTGTTTTGAACAGCCTCGATGAATCTCTGATCTTCGTTCCAACGTTCTCGCTTCTTTTGTACATTATTGATTGACCACCTTTTGTGAGTTCGTTACTTGGCTTACGGAGGTATCCTCGGTTCTCCTCGTTTGTATGGCTTCTTGATAGACTTGTCCCACGAACCTTTCTGGTTCTCTTCAACACACTCTTTCATGACTACTTCCCACCAGACTTTCGTTGGAATTTGACGAGAACGCATGTATCTTCTACCTTCTCAACCGCCGAATTTTCACAAGTCTACCTCTTCGCAAGGAGGCTGAAAGATGAAATGCGGCCTTAGATTCAAAGCACTCGCTGGCGCTCTCCTTTTCATTGGACTGGTCATTATTCTTCTTGTCCTCGAAGACAAATGTGAGACCTATGACCCAGTAGGCTATGTCCAAGCCTCGATACCCTGGTTTCAGGACTATAAACCACCTCATTCAGGACCTGTGGGAGGAGAAATAGCGGACAAAATCCTCGTTGTGCCGGCACTCGAGGAGGACGATGTCTCCTGGGTGACGGACGAGTTAAAAGAGTACGCGCCACGATCTGGGAACAAAAGAATTATGCTAACCCTTTGCTAGCTGGCAACACGCCATATACACAGTCAACCCATCCGCCAACTCGACCCAAGCCCGTGGACTCGTCACACCAGTCAATAAAGGCCACGAAGCAATGGCCTATCTCACCTACATAATCGATCACTACAATACTACCCTCCCCTCAGTGATCGCCTTCCTCCATTCCCACCGCAACGGCTTCTTCCAGGCCTGGCACGTCGATACCCCTCTCCACGACAACGTCTACGCAATGCGTCACCTTCAGACCTCCTATGTCGAAGAGATGGGCTACGTTAACCTCCGCTGTAACGTCAACCCAGGCTGCAAGAACCCTCAACGCAGCAACCCCCATATCACAGGTGATGTGTGGCTCGAAGTCATGGGAAATACAAGCACACCAGCATTTAACCAGCATAAATATCGCCCCGCCGCGCAGGAAGTGTTCTCAAGGGCTGAAGATAAGGAAAAGCTGCAGTTCATGCACCCTGTGATATGGACGCCGTGTTGTGCCCAGTTTGCAGTGAGCAGTCGGATGATCTACAAGAGACCATTGGAGGATTACGTCAAGATCCGACAGTGGGTGATTGAAACCAGCAAGGACGATGCGCAAAGCGGAAGGACGATGGAGTATCTCTGGCACGTCATTTTCGGACAGGAGGCGGTACATTGTCCTGATGCTGAGACATGTTATTGCAAGGTATACGGCAGGTGTTGAAACAAAGCTGTTGTATTTGCACGAAATGTTCTTTGTCATTTGTGTAGACTTTCAATGTGTTTATCTTGAGATTAGACGTCTTCGAGTATTTTAGCAAGCAAGTAAACGGCGGCGTGGGAGAATATGACGACGGGATCATGGATCTGGGAAGGAAACAAAAAAGTATATTCGAAGTTTATCTGGAGTTTCACAAACGTGTATGGGAATTTGGGGCTCCTGAAATCAAGAGCAAAATGGGCTCTGGATTTAGGGAACAGAGAATCAACTGTCATTGAGAGGAGACCAGTTTACAATGATAGATTGGTTGTCGTCAAGCCTACAGTATATATGTTCCCCGAGTTTCTTTGTCATAACTATTACTGTGATTCAATGCCCTTGTCGTGGATGAGTTCTCAATTCAGATGCTCTTCTCGTGGTGCATATATGTACAGGTTTATCTCTCCCACGTCAGATCCTTTGCATGGTATGTTTCGTTCGGTCCGAAATTGTGGTTCTCAGGCTCATTCAGATCGGCCTCGAAGCATTCTTCGATCACGCCCTTGACATCTTGAAAGGCTGTCCGCTCCATGTTGAACACTTCATACAAGCGTAGAGTACCGTCCCTCTCGATGATTAGCTTCAGCTTCGCCTACATGAAACGTTAGCGGCGTCTTGCGCGCAGTCGAGAGTCTCTCACCCTCAGTTTGCATGGGCTATCAAGACCCCTTAAGAAAGAAACTGTGAGAAAGCTCTCGAAGCTCAGTTTTTGTTCGAGCACATTTCTCCTGGCCCATGATAATGCTCTGAGTTGTCGGCGAGCTTTTGCACCGTTAGTCGTTAATGGATACGACACAATGAGTGTCCACTTACAGCAATTGCAGAAGTTGTCGTGAAGCTTTGATTTGATCTCTTGTTTCAAAACAAAGTGCTTGAGGTCGGCATAGACGGCTGGCCATAGAAATTCCCGTCTAAATAGTTCCGCAGCCACCCGAGTGCAACCGACAATGTACTGAATCTTGCTCATGGCATCGCGCCTGGCATTTATGCGATCAATGCTTCCGCACAGGGGGTGTTTATGGTGAAAGCCAGCGTTCTGAAAAAAGCTAGACATGGACGGCTCGTAGAGAGATTTGTTGGTGAGAACGATGCCGAGCCATTTGGAGCGTGACTTGGAGCCCCTATCATATTTGACCTTGGGCCAATCTCTGACGGTGACCACAATGCTTGAGAAATGCTCGGCGAGGATCATGTCTAGGATCTCCTGGGGCAGACCGAGGAATGTAATCGTTGAGGTCGTATTCATGGTGCTTGTGAACTGCGTATTTAGTTGCTTAGAAGAGGAACTCTGAGGATGTAAAATAAACAACAAGAAGGACATCGGCTCGTATATAATCTAAGCATATCTTTGCATTAAATTCTGTGAATCAGTCAACACTTTCTCTATTTCTGTTCTGTGTTAGAGTCAAGCCATATTGCAGGTATTTTAGAGGAAAATGGAAGGTAGCGGTTTTCGACCAGGAAGGTACACCTTATCCTTCGTCCAGCTTCGCCATACAATATGCCGTGAATAAGGGAAGCTCGATGTAGCGAGCGCGTTGGCACATCGAAGTACTTGGTACGAGTGCTCAATCACCAGTGAGGTACACATTCAAACAACCTCCGGGTCAGGAAGAATATGGCTTGAGGAGAAACAGCAAGAGGCTGGCAGTTGCGTTAACGTTCGGGATGAAATGTGGCGGTCGAACCATAAGCTGCGTCGAGTCTCAATCGCGATACTTCGCCATTCTTGCTATATTGTCGTATGTTAGACTCGAACAGTGACTGTGATAGTGTGAGTGCATGCACATTGGTGCCATACATGTGCTCCACTGGCGCGTCTCGTATTCTGTTGTATGTCGTCCTGGAGCTCGAAATATATGCCTGAGTCACGCGGTGATGATCGAACTTTTAGCGGCAACATGCTCCTGTGCCAACACCTAGCCTCAAACCATAGCATTACCGCGCGGAGGTAAGCAATGTGAAGTAGTGGTGGCAGTAAGTCAGAAGAAACTCCTTCACGTGTTTCGAGACCTTAGAAAGAGTACTGCCCGTCATTAGCTCGCACAATTCTAGCAATCTTATGAGGCCGACGACCAGTCGCGATGCCGTCCGCTAGACGTTGGTATAATCAGCGGCATGAGCAGTAACAACCCGTATGCCGTCAACGGCTATGGCACTCCCTCGAATGAGTCCTCTTCAAACCCCTACGGCACTAATCCATACGGAGGGACGAACCCCTACGCTGCGCAGAACAACAATTCATCATCAGCCCTAAATGGCTATGGCTCAAGGGGAGATCGCAGCAGGCCAGGTCCTGGTAATGCGCCGTCCTCAAATACCAATCCATATGGTCGAGCACCACCTCCTCGACGCGACTCAGAACGCGATCAGTCGCCTGCAGCCCATGGTTCGAACAACATATACGAAACTCCATCGCAAAGACCTCGCTCGCCAGGCGTAGGCTATGCCCAGGCAGGTCCTCCTCCGACGCGAGGAGGTGGTGGTGGTTATGGGGGACTCGGTACTGTACAACAAGGGCCAGACTATGGCAGGCAACCGTCAACGATGGATTCAAGACCAAGGTCACCACCTGTAGATATCTACGACAGAGCTAGACCACCTTCTAGTGCTCGTGGTCCAGATGAGAGAGCAGTCTCAGATACAAGAGACATGCCACCTCCGCACACGGAACGAGAAAGACCATTCATGCCCACAAAGCCCTCCACTTCAACCCTTCAGTCAACCGGACGTCCTAATAATACCACTCACAATGCGACTAGGCAATACTCGACACGTGGATCTAATAAGAGCATGGACGAGATTCTCAGACATATCCAGACACATTGGAACATGATGGAAGGCGATGAGTGTGTACCCGTCAAGGTTGCGTTGCAATTGGCCGACCCCTCCTCTCTCGGTCTTGGGAACCAGGAACAAGATTTTGCCGATACACATGTTGATCTACAGAAAAGTTTGAAAGGTGTAGTGAATGAGCACTATGCCGACTTCAACAGCGCAGTTGGTACATATCACAAAATACAGGCCAGCATAAAAGAATCCCAAAACAGAGTACGCTATCTGAAGACTGGTCTCGCAACCGTCAAGGGTGGCATGTTGACTACCAGACCAGAGTTGAGAGACCTTGCCGAGCAAAGCGGTCAATTGGACGACTTGCTGTCGACAATCAATCAGATGGAACAGCTTCGAGAATTGCCTGCAAGACTCGAGGAGAAGATCAATGAGAAGAGATGGATTGGTGCAGTTGACATCTTAGGTGATGCTCTAATTAGCAGTAGGAAGAGTGGTCTTGATGATATCGGTGCGATGAGTGATTTAAAGGGTTATTTCGCCAGTCAAGAAAGCAGTTTGGTTGATATGCTGATTGAGGAATTACACGACCATCTCTATTTGAAAAGTCCTTACTGCTCAGAACGTTGGAAAGGACGAAAAGTCGGCAATGTCGAAGTCAACCCCAGAGACTCCTTTGGTGGAAATGCTTGGGACCGTCCAGTCTACCATTTCCTCTCTGCTCTTGACACAAAAACCCCTATGACCGAGGATGCTAGCAAGAACCCAGAGTCAGACACATTTTATTACATACAGATGATTGTCGAAGCCCTCAATCGCCGTGGATATCTGGAAGAACTAGTGACCCGGATAGAGCAAAGACTACCGGTGGAGTTGTACAAAGTCGTGGAAAGAACAAATATCGAGATTGACGCGAAATATCCAGCCCATCTAAGGACGATTGACGGCAGACCAAGAACAAGCCCTGTCATTTTGCGACCGAGTCAAACTGACTCCAAAGTGCTTGCAGATTTCTTGTGGACCTTGTACGCGAAGTTTGAGGCTATTGCAGAAGGTCATAGAGTTCTCCATGAAGTTGTGCTAGGAATCGTCAGCCGCGAGCAACTGGCCAAGCCAGAACAATACGGTGCAAGCTTCAAAGAGTTGTGGAAGCTGTATCAGGCGGAAATCCGCTCTCTGCTGCATGACTATCTAGCCACGGACGGTGAGTTCGGCGCGTCTGGTACCAAGCACACTATGGCGGCTGGAGACGTCTTCTCGAAACAGCCACGAGACAGAAACAAGCGGATGTTCAAATTGTCAGAAATGGACCAGAGAGCTTCCGACATCAAAACCGAGGAAGACGAACTGGATGAAATTCTCAAGTCTTCTGTGCCCGGTTTGGTCACAAAGTCTAAGAACAGCAACGTGAACGGCCTTCTAGCAGATAGAGGAAACAACGACAGTACAGCAACTGGGCATAAGCTACTAATCGAGCCGAGCGTCTTCAATATGACCATCCTCCTGTCACCTTCCTTAACCTTCTTACAGCATCTCAAAGATATCGTTCCACAAACTTCAAACATTCCAATGAGTACTTTAACCTCTTTCTTGGACGACTTCTTGATCAACGTCTTTCACCCTCAGCTCGAAGAGGCGGTCACTGATCTGTGTACAGCGAACATGCTCGACTTTGAGGCATTCATGGAAGATCCATCGTGGAGCAAACATTCGCCACATCCCATCTTCAAGGGGACAGTCGGCTTTATGGCACTGGTGCATGCCTTTTCGGCCATGCTCAGCGAGATACCACAAGATCAGATGTTCACACAGTTGATCATCACGCAACTTTTCAAATATTATGATAGATGCTTCGGCTTCTACAAGAACATTGTGAGTCGTGTCTCTCAGGGCAATCAAGCTGGTGGTGCTCATACCACAATCCTCAAAGCAGCAGCAGAATATGCTGAGGAGGGCGATATCAGAGAGACTACGCTCTCACTGTGGAACAACAAGGACATGGAAAAGGCTGCTAAATCAGATCTCATGAAGAAGGAAGTCCAACTTCTTCTTGCAGCCTCAAAAGCAAAACCCGTCCAATCCTACGACATTATTTCAGATCGAAAGTCAGTACATCAACTCTCCCTGGTCTACAACAGCATGCAGTGGCTTTCAGCCTCTCTGTCACGCATTCGTCATACTGAGGCAGGTAAAGGGAAGGCGCATGCACGCAACACATCTTTGACAGCCCAGCATAATCAACGCAGATGGACCTTAATCACTAAGGTAAATACCGGCAGCTCAACGACAGCGCCGTCCTCAGGTACATTGCCTGTATATATGCCACTTACATCAGAAACAGTCGTACCATTTGACGAGACACTCACGTCCTACAAGAGCCTAGCGATCAAAGCCCTACTCACACTACACCTCGACATTCGCTGTGGTATCGTTCATCAACTTGCTCGCAGCCTTCGACCAGCGAGCACGAACACCCAGTTGATCTCGGATGTCAGCAGTCCTTCGTCTGGAACACCACAGCCAGGGACACGTGACTCTACACCGCCTCCACTCGACAGCGGTCTATATCATTTCGTCCTCCCTGATCCGCCATCGTCCGCTTCTCCTCTTATTCTAGAACTCAACAACGATCTCATAGACTTTGAGGCTAGCATATCCTGTTATCTCGGCCACCGCGAGCGCCGCTTCATTCTTGCAGGTCTTGGTCGTCTCGTCGATCGCTACCTCGTGGTAGGCGCAGACTTCATCGGCGTCATGAACAAGTACGGTGCAGAACGAATGCGCGTCGACGGCATGGTAGTGCAACAAGTCTTACGTGGCCTGGGAGTATCCACCAAGTCCTCCACAGGAACCGAAGGTGAGATCGGTGCTGTTGGTCTGGGTGTACACGAATCCGTCAATGGCGACGCTCCCGACGCCGACGCAGACGACGCACTTCTCACATCCAGCTCTCAGTATTACGAGCTATTCCTCCAAGGACCAGAACAAATCATGGCTTATGTGAGGGAACATAAACCGAAGAACGACGTAGCGTATAGCTATGATGAGTTGAGGACATTGATCGAATTATGCTTTAGTGCAAGCTTAAGAGGTGAGGATAGAGAAGAGAGCCTCAAGGCGAGGAAACAAATGGGTGATTTGCTGTTACAATTGGGAGAGATTATGTGGGATTCTTGATAGTGCAAAACTCGAATGTAAAACAATTCATGCGTGTGTTCATATCAGGTTATTGTTCAGTTGTTTTATTCTTCCTATGCAAAGTTCGGTCTATTGTTTACTGCGAGGAAATGACACTGAAAGTTGAGCTCAGGCTCTTACATGTTGGTACAGTCCTGAAGTTGGTCGTGATTCTTTACCTTGAGAGCTTACCGTCCTCTCTCATTCATCATCAGCGCTTAGTGCAGCCCAACTTTAGACTCGAGTAAAATGGTCCGGGGTCGAAAGGTCCACCTGACCACGGAGACGGATGAACTTTGTAGCTCCGCTCCGCGCTCCACCTCGCACTTTGCTAGCACACCACCAGCAACCATTTGTCAGAGCGGACGAAGAGAGTCTGGGAGAAGTATATGAGTATCTAGCCGTGGAGGTCTCCATGCCACTTGTCATAGAGCGGTTCATGCATAGATCATGAGTGGATGGAGGGAATCAAGTGCATGCGTGCCGTGGTGAAGGAAAAGGCTACTTCCACTTTTCGCAGACACCGAACAGGGTTGTTCCCATAGCTGTAGTGAGACGATATGTCGGCTCCAAAGGGCTATATATATGTAGCTTGACTTCCTCTCTGTCCAACTGACCTGTGAACACGTAAAACAACCACACAAAGAACAGTGTTATAGACCGACTAGTCATTCAATCTCCGTCAAAAATGGCACGCCTTCAAGTAGGCGCCTTGGTCTTTCAATACCAAGCTATCGATGTCGTGGGTCCTTTGGACTTACTCAATGGGGCAAGCAAGTTCATCCAGAACGCCGTGAACACCTACACCCCCATTGACGAGAAAGTCCTCGCCAATGCACCTGAGTTCGACTTCCACCACATCGGAGAATCACTCGAGCCAGTCGAGCTCATGTCCAGCTCCATCATTGTCAAGCCCACCGTTACGATCGAAGAATGTCCGCCTCTGGATATTTTGCTGGTTGTTGGCGCAGACCCGGGCTCTTTCCAGCTTTCGTCGAAGTTCGCCGAGTTCATACGACAACATGTCAAGAGTGGGAAGCTTGTCTTCACTACTTGCACTGGTGCAGCCATGGTCGCTTCGACAGGTATTTTGGATGGGAGGAACGCCACGGTCAACAATCAAGAGTTCAATTGGGTCAAAAAGGAGTATCCGAATGTGAAGTGGACAAAGGATACTAAGTGGGTTGTCGATGGTAACATCTGGACTGGCTCAGGTGCTATGGCTGGGATGGACATGATGGCATATTGGTTGAAGGAGACTTATGGACTGGATGTGCTTCGAGCAGGTGCGGCTGTGCTTGATTATGAGCCGCGAGACGTTGAGGGCGTGCAAAACGTGTTGCCAAAGCGGTATGATGCGAGCGGCAAGCAAATCTCTACCCACATCTTTATCTGAGTAGTGGCAACTGTGTCAATAGCACCGTAGGTTCGTTGAGGGGCGAATCAATCACCTCGCCTATATCGTCACCATCTGTTGCTTCCAGAAGTCAGTGACCATACTCAATGACCGCAAGGTACATCTAGATTGTTCACTGGAGTGATCGCTCTTGAATAGCCCGGATGTCGGCTGCGACTTCCTTCGCAAAAACACGGTCGTCTTCTGCCACATAATCGTTCGCTGGTCGCGCCAAGTGTTGAAAACCAGGACACCGAGCATGGGATTGTGTCGATATTTCTGATGTGATGGCTGCATCAGGACCTAAATCATGTGCTTTTATACCCTGTTGGAACATGAGAGGATGCTCACATACTAGGCTGTAAGCCACTTTGACGCTCTCAAGGATACCGGGGAAGATGTGGAACATGGTAACAATGCCATTGGTGGTAGGTCTGGTTGGTGATTCGAGACAACCGAGTAGACGTGTCAAGTAATTTTCCAGGTCGCATGTTGTTCGAGCCATTTCTGGGTTCCACTGAGGGACCTCTGGAATGCCGACCGAGAATCTATATGTCACAAAAAGTGCCAGCGTAAGTCGAGTCCACTCTTCGAATGGGAGATGTCGCTGAGGCGAATTAGGGGTGGCCAAAAAACAGTCGAGATAATCTTTAGCAGCATTGAGACAGCCCTGGAAAGTAGGCATCAATGAATCAGCTTCGGCGGAAGGACCCTGGAATTGTGTTGTGGTGGGTGAGGTCCTCTTTCTTCCGAAACGATGGACGAGGCCGACTTCATATACCATAACTCTGACGGCGTGATATCGCAATTCAAGCAGACCTAATCGGTCAGTATTGCATATCGAATAGTAGCAAAAGATCATACCTGTGTTGTTGACGTTGGAGGGTATATCCTTTTTCCATCGGTCAAGTCGACCCTGGAAGTCGTTTACATGGGCGAGCAAAGTTTGGAGGTCACCCAAAATCTTCTCGAATTTGTACATTTCATTCACTTCCTCCGCTAGCTGTTGCAGTGTAATGGTATGCCAGGTGAGTTCATCTGACACATATTGTTTCCTCTGGCGAAGATACTGGGCACATTCAAGAGTGTGTCTAATGAAAGGCAGCTTATTAGGCTTGCCTAAAAAGTATGATATGCTGCCCCTCGTGTAAGCCAAAAGCTAATCGTACAGGTGAGGGACTCATACATAGCAGAAAGAAGGCAACAGCCCAGGTACGCACGCTGCGCTTCCAGACTAGCAACTTCGACCGTCTTTGTAGGATCATCGCGGAGTAGAGGATACTGGAGGAAAATTTCGTGGCGATTCCCCATCAAACTGATAGGATCTGTATCCAGGCTGAGGTCTGTTACCATGGCGATAGCAAGCTGTATATATTGGTATGCTTGTTGGGAGCGTGGCGTAGAGTGAAAATGAAACCTGGCGATCTGTGAGCCGCGGAACACTACGACGAATGCAAGAGTACCATGCAAGATGAATCAGTAGGCCTTGAAGCAGATCGAGACTCTTTTCGCCGTTCACAATTATCCGTGTAGCGAGGACGACTTTGAATTCCTTGGTAAGGGCAGCTTGTAGACAAGGGTGCTCTGAACAAGCAGAGGTGACGACGGCTAGAAGAAGGAAAGGTCTCTCCTCAAGCATATAGGCGAGGGTCCACTGGTAGGGAACGACAACGAAAGGAAAGTGTATTTGACGATGGCGATACGTGTCCAAGAGGTGTTGCAACACTTTAGCTGACAAGCCATGGAAGGTAAGATTGGGCAGCTGTCTTGAAATCACCTCGGACGTGACAGACGAGTGACACGAGTGGCTCGCACATCGACTGGGAAAAGACTGTGCTCGAATTTGGCCGCTTGGTATGTAGTTGAAATCAAACTCTGTGGTATGTGAATCTGTATCAGTATGAGACAGCAAGTTGAGTATATTGTGCAGTTTGTCGTCGAGGTCGGCGACGCGTCTAAGTAGACTCGATCAATATTGGCTCAGCGACGATGTTTCTTCATGGTTCGCTCACGTTCTTTTGCGGTGCGCGAGTGGCCTCGCACAGTTGGTATGAGACATGACACATGTGACTCGCGCCTTTGCACACCTAAGTGATATATTAGTTCATGTCCGTGGGACGGACCACGGTAGTGCTGTGCACAGGATACATCCCAAAACTTCAAGCACACTACGAGGCGGTTTGCTGGAGACGTCTTCGGCAAACTCACTTCGCACATGGCACACCTTCTTCAGGTCGAACACACTTCACTTTCAACTTTCGACATTGATCGCAGGAGAGTGGCGGCTTAGCGCGACTCGACTCGAGTGACACTCCACCCCCATGGTTCATTCTCGACGGTCCCGCTCGCGGCCGAGATATCAGTCAGACCAATAGTCGGCGAGCCAAAGTATGTGAAAGTAATTGATGGAGGGAAGGAGCATCGGGACTACAAGAACGCGGAACCACGGACGCCAAGCACCATTTGATCATGACTCCGCTGGCTATCAGCTTCCTCCAACCAATGCCTTCACCATGTGTTCTTGGCCAACACGCCGAGTACAGCCATAACTTCTTCTTCTAAGCATAATGTTCTTGCGCTTCCCATCTTATCACACACTGTTGCTTTGAGAAGTCCAGCCTACCATGCCTCTCAGTCAAGTGTGGGACGTAATTCGCGAAGGTCAACGTACACATACCCCAACGGGAAAGCTCACCGACCGTGTAATCGAAGTTTTTCGTGATATCTGGTATCTTGGCTTCACAGCGTTTGGAGGACCTCCAGCGCATTTTCAGATCTTTCACAAAAAGTTCGTCGAAGAAAGAAACGGTAGAACACCATGGATCAGCGAACAGACGGTAAGCGACTAGCGACATGACTGGAATCCAGGCGTCAATATCAATGGTAAAAGAGCTTGCTAACAACACTTCTCGTTCAGTACCAGGAACTTTTTGCCCTTTCTCAGGCTCTACCAGGTCCGGCAAGCACAAAATTTCTCTTTGGTATAGTCCTCATTCATGCTGGATGGATTACAGCAATTTTTGCCTTTTTGATCTGGTCTCTGCCAGGGGCATTGGGCATGTTTGCTCTGTCGCTTGGCGTAAACAACATCTCGGAAACACTTCCTGACACAGCCTATGCTTTCCTGTCTGGTCTTAATGCCTCCACCGTCGGTATTGTTGCTGTTGCGGCAGTTGGACTTGCAGAGAAGTGTATCAAAGATCCACTTTCACGGATACTGGTCATTTTCGGAGCATGTGCAGGATTATGTTACAGCGCGTTGTGGTACTACCCTGTCATTATAGTCATCGGGGGTGCGGTGACCGTAACCTGGGATATGTGGCTTGGAAGACAGGTAAGACTTTACCAACAGCGATGGTCAGCAAAGAAGAGACGGGCAGCAGATGATGCAGCAATAGCAGAACACGAAGCAGGAAGAACTGTTTCATCTGGGTCAAACTCGCGACTTCCTGAAAATGCCGCATCGATTGAGCTTCAAGAACCTGCGAAGGCAATTCACGCTAAGAACGATAGTGCTGTCGTCCAACGTAGACAGCCTGATCAAGGTGCAACCCAGTCCAGTGCCAGCGCAGCAGAAGCAGCAGCCTCACGAGTACCTCCAGAGTCCATGCAATCTCAGCCCAGTAGACCAGAGGCACCCATTTACGGAGTTTCCATTCGCTCAGGTGTAATCGTCTTCGTCCTTTTTGTGCTCTCTTTCATCGGCATTATGGTCGCACGATCTGAAGTTCCCGGTGATCTCAACAACCGGCCTATTCAGATCTTTGCGAACATGTACTTGGCTGGGACCATCATTTTCGGTGGTGGCCCTGTAGTCATTCCACTACTCCGAGAGTATGTGGTCACACCAGGATGGGTTTCACCTCGTGATTTCCTGATCGGACTGGCTATCATCCAGGCTTTTCCAGGTCCAAACTTCAACTTCGCGGTCTATTTAGGTGGTCTAGCTCTGGTGTCAGCACAACAATATGGCACAGTCGGCGCGACAGTATTCGGAGCATTTCTCGGCTATCTTGGCATCTTCCTTCCTGGTATGGCGTTTGCCTATGCCATACAGGGAGTTTGGCGCAAGTTGCGAGATCGAGCTCTCTTCATCTCTTTGCTCAGAGGTATTAATGCAACAGCAGTTGGACTAGTCTTCACGGCTGTCTACAGGCTTTGGGAGGTTGGCTATCTGACTAACGCTTCTACGTCTAGCGATTCTGCAATTCAGGGAGGAAGAGTTAGTGGCCGAAGTCTTGCTGATGAACCTTGGTTTGTTGTGATTGCTGTATTGACTTATGCCGGCAACAAATGGTTCAATGTTCCTGCTGCCATTGGCATTGCAGCTGGTGGCATCCTTGGAATTGCGTGGTGGGGAGCCACCCAGCGCTGAGCGCCCGTCCTGATTGTTGTATCTGATTGTAAATTTTGGCCTGGCTTTACCTTCGAAGGTTGCATTCACTATGGCGATGAAGGATGCTACACCCGTAGAATGCAATCAATACCACAGAGACCATTTTCGATACCTTGAACATTCAAAGGTTGCCTCTAGTGGTAGAAAGACATATCTATGAGTTGTCTTACTATAAGACTGCTTCCCACAGTGACACTATCGGACGATGCGTTTTCGATTGTATCGACGCCCCCACCACTGAGATTTTCAATTAGATCAGACAAAGCACAGTGACAGGACACGAATCATTATGCCTCTGTAATGACCGAATCGATCACCTCTCAATTCCCACACGCCTCCCTCACTCCTTCCCTTTCCCCTCCCCCTCCTTCCCAATTACCCCCAAATGCGTACACCCAAAACCCCTCGCATACTTCAACCCAAATCCAAACATCCTATCCATCCCAATATGCGCCAACCACACCAGTCCCCCCGCAACCACATCCCCCCTCCCAACCCCCCACCCAACACACAACGCAATCAACGCCGGCGTCTCCGTGTGTAACGCATTATACGTCGCTGCTCCGACGGTGGAATCAGCGAGGTACCCGGCCATGGCGAGGTCGGGGAGGAGGAGACCGGCGCCGAAGAGCCACCAGGATAGGTTGGTACGGTGATAGGCGTAGAGGGAGCAGGTCAGGAGGGTGGCGCCTTCGAGGCGGAGGAGGAGGCGGGGCCAGGTTTGGACGATGCCTGAGGTCGTGGCGGTGGTGGGAGGTGAAGGTGGCATTCTTGTTTTTGTTGGTGTTGTGTGAGTGTGTGTGTGTGGTTTGGGAGGGTGTGGTTGTTGTGAGTGATGTGCAAGTGTTAGTCAGACTTCAGTGAGATCGTCTTCGTAGTCAGCTTGATTTCTAGCCATTCTGTACAACGTTGGTGATTGGGAAATGAATCCAATGATTCGTAATGAGGGGTCCTTTAGCGGAGGATATCGAGGTGGCCTGATTCCACTTCACCAAGTGGTACGAATACGAATAGCATAAGTACATTTAGTCCTGGCTGAAGTTCGGCGGAGTTTCATATTCAGTTTCGGCAAGCACGGTAGACATTCTATAAAGACAGTGCAGGAGAATGAAAAGACTAAGACACAGAAAATTAGGGTATTTTTCCAAGCAGCCAGCCAGTCCATGCGACCTGCAAACCACCAGCCTCGATCCGATGCTCGAGCCACGAAGGCGAGCACCAGAATGGGCGTGGTGGCGAGTTCAGCGATGGACTGACTGGCTGCTTCACCAGCTAATCTATAAGTAAAAACAAAACGCTCACCGCCGTGCGGGTATCTATCTAATGATACAGTCTCATAATTCATGCTTCGTGATATCGATACAGTTGCCATCAGGCTCTTTCCCAAACTCCAAAGGACGATCAAGATTCATCGGCCTTGATTAGACCGCCATTGACCAACTCCGCAACCAGTCTCTTTCTTGCTATTGGCATTATTTCGTGGGTATAAGGTGTCTTGTCCATCTGGCCAAGCATGATCTGTCGTGCTGTTGTGCAGGCGAACACGCCACAATCATCGCTGTTGGTTTGTTGTGGACTAACACCCTTGTCGTTAACTGTCCATTTGCCCTCTTCGAAGGCGTTACCGAGGTGGAATTTAAGGTAACCAAGAATCGTTCGTGCATGACTAGCATTACTGCCATGTCCCATGCTGTTATACATTGTGACTTTGCATTTTTTAGGCTCAATGGTGCAAAGTGTCCAGTGAGATCCTGAGTTGATAGGGAGAAGGATGAGCTCGCACTCTAGCAGGCTCTTGCCTGCGATCTTCCTGGTCCATCGTTTTGGAGCATTTGCAGGATCGGACATCTTTGCAAAGAAGTAGCTACTGAGAGCGGCGACAGTAGGAACTTGTGTTGATCGATCATCTCTGCATCCGTGTTGTGCGACCATGGCAATATAGTCGTTAATCACTGCATCATTAAGCCACTTTGATTGGTGGCCGAAACCAGAATATTGTGGGACGACTCGAGCAAAGTCAGTAGCCTCCCAGCGAGCGTGACCATTTTTGACTGCGTTTCGTACTTTCCTGTCCCATTCTGCACTCAATGGAACGAGTTTGTACTCGCCACGAGCCTTTTCGAGCTCGCGTTCCTCGATAAGGACCTGGCGACGTGTCTTGCGGTCGGTTCTAACGGTTCCGAAGATGCCTGCTTTTGGTGTTCTATACTCTTTAGCAGTAGTATCCTCTGAGATCTTCAAATTCTGAAGCTGCTTGGCTGGTGTTTCTAGGATGTCTGTAGGAACAGAGGCATCCTCCTCAACTATAGCCTCCGGTTGTTCTTCTTTGACAGCTGAAACATCTTCTGCTGCTGGACTTTCCATCTGTGGAGCAATTTCCGGCTTTATCTCTACAACTGGAGAAGCACTTCTTCCCTTCTCCTCTTCTTGTGGAACATCCTCTACGAATGGAGAGGTGTATATTGTCTTTTCAGTCTTTTCAATCTTTACTTTAAGCGTAACTTCTTGTAGCGGGTCTGGTGACGTGTCGGGAGAAAACTCTCGGGGTGGTCGTGAGGGAGTCTGCTGCTCGATAGCAGCTTGAGACGCCAATCTCTGTTGGTGCTCTTCATTCCATTTTTTGGTTTGAGGGCTAATCCATCCATCAATAGGCAGCTTGTAGCCATCTGCGTCAAATGAAAGATGGTCTCTTCGTAGGTATGCTCTGTACTCGGCATCTTCCTCTTCGTCGAAGAGACTGGACGAGGCCTCAGTGCTCTTCTCGTCATTTGTGGTTGATGGGCTAGGCATCTTCTGCTGTATAGGAGCAGGTCTGGCAAGATTAGCTGGCATGCTCTTAGCACCAACTGCCTCTGCTTTGACAGGTCCAGCCTGCGATTGTGCAGTGTTGTCCTGTTTTGGAGTCTCTTCATCCATGGTATCCTTTTCATCTTCCTCGTCTGCAGCCCAAAGAAACTCTCGAAGGCCGTTCTGCGCACGACTGAGGGTGACTACCTTAGGCAGAACGGGTCGAGGTGTTCGCTTGTAAGGTGAGAAGTGATAGGATGGATATTTCTTCGTATCGGCGCGTAGTGGTGAAATGCTGGATCGATTTCTTCCAGCGTGGGCTATATATTTAGTTTTGTGTTCTTCTTGGGACACAGACGAGTCAGGTAGAAGCGCGGTCTCTTTGATAGTTTCTTGTACCCATAGCTCTGTTTTCCACGGGCTATAGTCGTTAAAATTGGTGTCAAGTTCTCTAAGACGTCTCTTTGATGGCTTCATCGAGTCAATGTCCCCTCCTTCGATATCTCCAACCTCCTCAGAGGCTTTTCTCTTTCGCTCAACAGTTGGTCTGATTATGTCTCCATCGCCTTGTAGAACACGTTCCCGAGTAGGTATGGGAGGAATTGGAACTCTTCGTCGAATATTGTTACGCGCATTGGCAGCTTTCTTCTCGCGTTGAAACGCGCGAACGATAGCATATACGGGCTTTCTAACGAAGCCACAGAGGCTAGAGAGGAAGCCACCAATCCCAGTCGTGCTAGGAGCTGACGGCTCGGTTATTGCGCCAAGGTTGGTAGTTGCTTGCCAATCCATGTCGGCATTTGCAGCCATTTTGGCAGGTGCAAGTCAGACGTGTTTTTCTTTTGCGACAACTTGCTTGAATGTACGATTCGAATGAGAAAAAGTTTTCAGACTTGGACAAGAGGTCGAGCTACATACAATTCGTGTCAAGAATTATTGTTTGTTTGCGATCACTGAATTGCGAGAATGGTATTGACTGAGAAAGCAGAAAGCTCGTTCACGTGTTCACGAAAGTGGAAATGCTGCCGGTGGAACTGCAAGCGGCTAGTCTGGCCTGAGGCATCAGTACCGGAAAACGCATTGCAAACGTCCACCATGAAATACAATGCAGCAATATTTGGAGGCTCTGAAATCACTGTCGCTCGGCACTCGAATCTGCTGTGCCTAAAGCACGTCTTGCTGCTGCGAATAGATCATTTGCTTACATTAGAAATTATGAAGTGATCTCTCAGTCGGTCGTGACTATCCAACACGATATGTACTAAGCCAAAGGTGATGGAACAGCATAGGAGCGCCCTCAACTGCGATCCACCCAATACCGCCATAAACAATGAGCTTGGTCACAACCTCAACATCATATCTCACTCTCACTTTCTGCACGGTCGCAAACAGTTCTGATCTGTCCTTCTCATCCTCGGCCTTCATGAAGGTCTCACTGCTACCATTGACCTTTTCTGGTTGTGGTGAGCCGATTGCGATGGGCGAAAGCTCACTTGGTGAAGCGCCCATCTGCTGACGAAATTCTTCCAGGCTCAACGACCTCTTCCGAGACTGTGTCGGTATATCTGGTAGATTAGCGAAGTAGTCGTTGGCTAGCTTGCTTTCTGCGATCAACGACGTTTCCGCACCTTTGATGGAATCTCGTCTTCTCTGCTGTCTGTATGCAAGTGCTTCGTATGCGTCAGCTTCTGACTGAGGACCAATTGACACAGCACGTCTTCTGTTGCGTAGATTGCCGAGCATTTGAGGGATATCTCGTGCAGATGGTATGACATTGTCGTCGTCCTTTTGATCAGGTACACTTTGGTATTCCGAAGCACGCTTGAAGTACCGTCTTGGCAGATCTAGGCCAAGACTCTCAACCACTCGGAAGATAGGAGGTAGGATCGTTAACAGTGTCGGCTTAGCTACGGCCCTCCAGACAAAGACTGACACGACGCCGAGCACAATCCTTGCGATCACCTTCGACCATCCTAGCTGCTCAACATTGAATGGGATCGCTGAAGGATAATTCGCGGCTGTGTCGACGTACTGGGTCCTCGAGATGTGCCACCCACCTATGTCAAGACCCCATACAACACCAGCAAACGCAACACTATCGTCAAAGCACGGACAATTATCTGCTGGCTCAGGATGGATGCGGACGAGCAAGAGTACGATTAATCCGCTAATCAGCACATTCTTGATCTCCCCGGAGAACAACCATTCATCCCTGATAGGACCCAAATAGAACTGCGCAAGTGCTACTACTGCACCGAGGAGGCTGCCGCAAACGACGTCGAAGAAGCCGTGCATGCCGCAGTATACCCGTCCCATCACTATCGAGCAGGCATAGAGATATGCCGCTACTTGTAGATATAGTCTCGCTTGCGGTGAAATCGATAATTCTGGATCTTGTAGTAGGAGGATCGAAAAGACAGCCACGGATACAGCGTTGGTGGAATGCGTGGATGGGAAGCCGTACTCTAGCGCTGCTGAACCTGACATGGTGATTCGAGTAAGAGGAGGGGACAGAGGACGTGGGAGACACAGTAGGTCTTTCACAAAACCACTGGAGAAGACACCTGCTGCTAGTATATTGGTCATGCTAGAATAGTTAATTTTCTGCACAGCATTCGGCCACACCGACTTACAACCGCCCCAGATAAGGCTTGCCACACCAGAACATGACGGGCAAGACCGCCATGAAGCATGTATGCGTGCCCAGATTAGCACTCATAGCGAAGTATGAATCGAGCGCTGGACTGCGCAATTTGTCCTGTAAGACAGCCACATAAGGTGTCTCTGTGCGCACTATGGGTAGCAAGCGTTGTCGAAGTGTATATCTCCATGTTGGAAGTCGGTATTTGTCTGACAAGCTGCAAGTCAGACCTGAGCATTGAGTGGGCGGAAGATGCAAGACGCACAATGATCGAGACTCTCCAAACCAGCGTCTACTTTACCATTTTTGTGCTTGTCCATCTCTTGGATCTAGATGCGCGCAGAGCCATGAAGTACTGATCGGCAGCGCGACTGGCTTATGCGAGGAAGTTCTGGCTGGAATGCGTGAATGCAGCTTCGCTCTCACATGCTCGGCCACAAGTTAGTGTTTCGCATGCGTCGCGGTACAGTGAGCAACCGTATCTCTGCCACGGCTAGGCACAAAAGCTAGAGATGCATCGGGATGCTTCAGCGCTTCGGACACAGCACACGAACGTTGACCTCATAAGTGATGGACAAACAGACTGAGAGCTGTATGAGTAGTCACTTGGGGTATGTGTTCAAGGGCAATCGCTGTCTTGAGGCGGGGTCAGGCGCTTCAGTGCAGGAAACGTGTGCCGTGTGGCCAGGATTCAACTGTGACATCCCCGACTTTGGCGTGGTTGCCCTGCACAACCAACCGTCAATATCCAAAAATATGCGCTTGAATGTTTCGATGTCTTGCATGTAGGAAGATCCAGTAAAGCATACATACAAAGCACTATATCTGAACTTCAACGACTTTCAAATTCCTCGAACATTGTATCTTCGACATAAGTACTCAAAATAAGATCGTGATTAGTGAGACTTATCAAAAGTGCACTCGCACCAAACACAAATCATGGCTACACAAACACAGTCGCACAGCGATCATTTCACTTCGTCGATAATGTCTGAAAAGGCAGCAACTTCACACACAACCCCTCTCTCACCAAGGAAATCAACACGAGCACAAAGTACAAGGACAAGCAACGGTACAGCTAGCACACATAACAGCAGTGCGAGGATGTCGGAAGCAACCAATATTACCCAACCACCAGCCTACTCGAAGAAGTTTGTCGTTGTGGGCGATGGTGGATGTGGAAAGACTTGTCTGTTGATCAGCTATTCACAAGGCTATTTCCCTGAGGTAAGGTTGTGCCCTGCGGGTGAACGAGTTGAGCTGACACGCTACAGAAATACGTACCAACAGTATTTGAGAACTATATTACACAAGTAACACATGGTCCATCTGGCAAATCTGTTGAACTGGCCCTATGGGACACTGCTGGTCAGGAAGAATACGACCGACTGCGACCACTATCATACCCAGAAACAGATTTACTCTTCGTCTGCTTTGCGATAGACTGTCCTAACTCATTGGAGAACGTCATGGATAAGGTACATCAGCCCCCAAATCCAGCATCTACCTTCTGCTAACCATCTACCAGTGGTATCCAGAAGTTCTTCACTTCTGTCCAACGACGCCTCTCATCCTAGTCGGCCTCAAATCCGACCTCCGCAACAAGCGAACCTGCATCGAACTCCTCCGAACACAAGGTCTGACCCCAGTCACACCAGAACAAGGTGCAGCTGTAGCAAAACAGATGAACGCAAGATATGTCGAGTGTTCAGCTAAAGAACAAAAAGGTGTAGCCGAGTGCTTCGAACTCGCCATAAACACAGCAGTCTCTGTTGAGGAAGCCAGCTATGAAGCCAAGCCATCGGCGCCAGGAGTGCAGAAGGTGAAAAAGGCCAGGAAGCGGACGTGCAAGATATTGTGATCCAAGTTCTCGTCGCTTTGATTCATATATGGTTCCAGGCCACCATCCTTCGAGGATGAGGTACTGCTGAGGCGTCTGGCACATAGGGAGGCGTTTTGAGCCACTGGACTGGCTGTTTAGCTGAATATTGCTTCGCTGACGAGAACAAAGATTGTGTTGATAGACATAAAACCCTGCATGTCCATTTTGCTGATTGCAGCACCAAGCTCAGCTGATCAGAGCCACTTGGTTCTCAAGCCGTCATCCCTTAGCAGACCTCTCAGCATCGCCGTTACGACGATCACTGCGCTCTCCTGATCTATCTTCCTCTCCTGCTTGGTTGTTGCTACCACTACCCATCACATCCTCAAACTGACTCCAAAGCCCTTCAACCTGACTGAACTCGTTTCCTATCTACACCAACATCTCATTAGCTCTTCCTCATCAAACCCTCGCTTACCATGTACAAACACTTTTTATCATTTACACGTACCTCAATAATCCCTTCTAAACTCCTGTTCAACGCATTCATCTGTGTCAGGACTTGTTCGAGGGACTAGTGCTCGTACATCAGTCTCTTTGTCACACAAAGCTCGAGCAAATAGCATTTCGTAGAATGAACAGAATAGGCCTGAAGTAGAATGGTACTGTACTACTTACGTCTCCGATCTGCCCAACGAGTTCAGCACGGCGGATCTCGAACTCGCTGGGTTGGCGGGCTGGGTCTTCATGGCTGTGTAGGTTTGTCATGGTGCATTAGTATTTTCTCTTACGACACGACAATTAGCGTTACGTTTGAACCTGGTTATCTCGCATCATCGTGTGTTGTGGTGTATCTGTGTCAGTATAGACGGAGGGGTTGGTCCGGGCAGCAGCGCGGAATAAAATGGAGCGTTCCCAATCACCATCCACAACCGGCTTACAGGACCTGAACATCAACGCGTGTATCTTGTTCGCTATGAATTTCAGTCTTCAACCACAGTAATTGTGAAGTTTGTTCATTCTGGCAGAAAGCTGCATCAACGTAACAGCTGATACCGAGAAAAAGAGCGAACAATATATCGCGACGATGGGAGGACAAACATACATCTGAAAACCTGGACACAGAATCTGCCGAGAGAGCCGTCGTTGTGACACCCCGACGGACAATCAGATACCCGAAATCGTTCGAATCATATAATATTTCATACAAATCGTAATTTACATACTAGCGTGGAAAGTATCTCCCTTTGCTCAAGCTGTCTTCTTGAGGTAGAGAGTCTGGACGTTGCAGTATGCCTTCAGCCCGGCAAGAGACCATTCAAAGCCCATTCCTGACTCCTTGTGTCCACCGAATGGGAAGCGAGGGTCAAGTTCCAAATGAGCATTGACCCAGACACTTCCGGCATCTAGCTGTCTGGCGATGTTGTTGGCTCTCTGCAAGTCAGTAGCCCAGACAGAAGCACCAAGACCCATCTTGGTGTTGTTGGCACGCTCGATGACCTCTGCCTCATCCTTCCATGTCATGACTGGCACAATAGGTCCGAAAGGCTCTTCGGTGGCGAGCTTGGAGTCCTCAGCTGGTCTGTCAACGAGGGTTGGGGTCAAGAAGTAGCCTGGCTTCTCCTCGTTGACACCACCAACGGCGACCTTCTGTCCATCCTTCTCAATTTGGGCGTAGAAAGTCTTGACCTTCTCGAATTGCATGCTGTTCTGCACAGGACCGAGGAATGTGCCTTCCTCTGAACCGTCACCAACCTTGAGAGTCTTGGTGTGCTCGACCATAGCCTTGAGGAAGGGATCGTAGATATCTTCGTGGACGTAAATTCGCTTGATGGCAAGGCAAATTTGACCGGAGTTCTAGTGTTGTGTTAGTATCTTGGAATAAGCCGCCGACTATGTTGGCTTACCATGAAAGCAAGAGTTGCAATCTTAGGAGCGACTTCAGCGATGTTGACATCTGGGCAAACAATAGTTGGGTCTTTTCCACCGAGCTCGAGAGTGACTCGCTTGAGGGTCTTGGACGCTGACTCCATGACCTTCTTGCCAGTGAAGGATGAACCAGTGAAGGAGATCTTGTCGGGACTGTGAGGTGTTAGTGTTGTCCATCGAGGGTTTCATGTCATGAGGAGCATGATGAGTAGGAAATTGCTTACCCGGGATGTGCTGTTAGCCATGGACCAAGGTTGTCATCGCCAGAGAGAACTTGTACGACACCTGGAGGGAAGAATTGTTGTGCGAGCTCTCCGAGCTTCAGATCACAGTAGGGTGTGAAAGGAGATGGCTTAATAATGATTGGGTTACCGGTAACAAGTGATGGAGCAATCTTTCCACAGGCGAGGTGGATTGGGTAGTTCCATGGCACAATGCCGACTGAGACACCGAGAGGTGTATATCTGACGTGAATTTCCTTAGTACCATCATCGGATGTGGTGACCTCCTCTTCTAGATTAAAGCTAGACAAGGTCTTGGTCCATTGCACACCAGCAGCGACTTCAGCTTTGGCGAACATCAACTGGGGAATTTAGTTAGCGGATTATCCAAAGCTATGAGCTGCAGGTGCAAACTTACAGGCTTGCCTTGCTCTTGTGTGAGCATCTTAGCGAAGTCATCACCATGCTTCTCGATTGCATCGGCAAACTTGTTCAAAGCCTCTTGTCGCTCAGCCCATGGAACCTTCGACCATGTCTTGAAAGCTCTCTTCGCAGCATCAACAGCGGCGTCAACATCCTGAGGAGTCGAAACTGGAACCTCTGGGTTTGGCTTGCCGGTAGCTGGGTTGATGCCGTGTCGAGTCTGCTGTGTGCTGCTCAACTTTCCATCGATCGTGTTGTAGTACTCGCCGAAGACTGAGAATTGTGGAAGGCCAACGGAACCCATCTTGACTGCTCTGGCAAGATTTGGTATAGACAGATAGTATGTACTGGTAGACAAGATATCTGCTTGATAACGATGGCACAATTATCGACCACGACTTCCGGACGTTATATAGAGGCCCTCCGCAGGTAAAGGTGGGGTATTGTACTCTTGCTCAGCATTTTCCAAAACCACCTCGGCGACGATAAAGTCAGGAACAAAGTGGAGTAGTGGGAGCGTGCACAACGGATATCTGGTTCGTCATAATTTATGCTCGTTACTCGACTCCTCTGCGTGCGAATCATTTATCAATGCCGCACCTGATGGCTAGAGTCTCTTCTTGAAGGCATAATTAGGACACAGCCATCACTGGCCTGTCTGAAGATCGAGCTGAGCTGGCCATTTGTGCAAATTTTGTGCAAGAACGAGAACCGCGGAATGCATTTGCGAGGGTGTCATGGTGAATTATTCGCTGCGGTGGTGGAAGAGGAGTTGTTTCTGCATCGAAGGACTCGGAAGTGCTGCCTGCTTTGGTAGCACAGGAAATTGACGAGACACACCATTGGTCGAAGAAGCGGACACGCAAGTACGTCATTCGCCGCACACCTTTATAAGGCCCACCTAAAGCAATGCTTTGCTTGTGCCTGTTCCATCTTGGAAGTCATGCTTACAGATCTCGAGAGCAGCCAATGGTTGCAGCAAGAAAGAGAAAGCTGATACGCTACGTGGTACTGACCTTCGAATTGTGTCACCAGTCCAGCACAGTGGGTGATATACTACTTGAGCTGTCCACTATGCACCACGCGTCGGTTCTTCCACAGCGAGTATGCCATACAAACTCTTTGTTCTGTTCCAGTACATGGCCGCCCTACGAGTGATCTGCTCGCTCCATGCTTCGCTTGCTGGGTGTTCTCCACCTAATGCTGCGGTCAGATATGCTTTGTCAAGATCACTTCGTACGTAAAACCTATTGTACTCGTCCGACAGTGCTCTCTGAAGCACCGCACGGCGTATGTACCGTGTAGGAGTGTTATTCCAAAGGTCTATCCCGCCATTTTTCATCATCAACATACTGAGCGTTTGCAGCATGGAGACAGTCAGTGGAGTTGGTAGATCGTCTGTTTGAAAGATCAAGGATCCTGCTGGCTCTTTGCTTTCCATTGTGCTGAATAATTGGGCGGCGACCTGGTCAGCTAGTGCCTTCCATAAAACATTCATGGGCTCCACAAGTTTTGTAGATATTTTGCTAGGACCGACAGCGTCCAGAACAACCTTGGCTTCGCGGAACACTCTCAGTAGCGTACTGATTTGACCTGCTGTTATGGGACCAACATCCTGTTGCACCACTTTTTCTGCTTCAGCCGATAACGTCGCTACAAACTGTCCTGCAGCTTCTAAGAGTGCAGCGTCATACGCGCGTCGATACTGCTGAGGATCATCTTTCGATAGCCCAGTAACAATCTCGTTGGCAACCTCCTCATCCTCGTCATCGTATTCCTCGATCTTGTCTTGCCAACGAATGCGTGTAAGATTGTTCAACTCATCGTGTATTATACCATAAGCCTGTGTCCACTTGTTCAGCCGTTGCAAATATATCCGGGGGCTTTGACTTAGACCAAGCCGCTGAGATTGAACAGATATCAGGTTCGAGTCGTCGCGTCGTATATGCATATGGCGGACAAGGTCTGACCTCCAAAACGTCTCATCTGCTCCTTGTTCAGTCCGCGGCAACGTGTCTGATATTCGCTTCAGACCACTAGCTTGTGTTTGGACAAGGTCCTCAATCCGTTCCGAGAATACAGCACGAACTGTACCCAAGGACGACGTGTGAAGCAGAGTCGAAAAGCAGACCGGCATAAGTATATTCATAATCTCCTTCCTCATATGCAGTACTCCAGTAAGCTTCAGGTTGCTTAACAGATCTCTAAGATCTCGGACCACGTAGGAAACATGTTCATCTACCCAAGCTTGGTAAATATTGCGCACTTCCGACGGTGATAACACTTGACGTTTGAAGTAGGGCGTGAATGATAGGATGTCTGATGGCAAAAGAGGACGGTGAAAGTCCAATTGAAGAGTGTCAAGCTTTGCCAGGCTGCTGTCTTCGAAAATAGGATGTTTCTGCAGGTTAGCCAGTATTTCACTAACTCCACGCCCAGATAGCGCCTTGATAGCAGTGACTGTGGCGATCAAGTACTGACACTTCATTCCCACAGAAGATCTACTAATCGACGGGGTTGAGGGTTGAGTCTCTGAGTCCCTCTGAGCAAGTCTTGCGCCTCGTAATGCCTGAAAGTGCTTTAGTGCATCAGCAGACGCTGAACTTGTGGTCAAGCAGTACGCCGCCACCGCACGGTACAACCCTTGCAAGGGAGTAGTCGGCCTCACGAGTATGCCATCTAGACAGGCTAGAAGACGTTGACGCACAGTCTTGTGCCGACTCTGTAGCCACTGCAGGCTTTGTATCAGACCATTCGCCTGCTCTAAGTGTTTGATAAGTAAGCGTGACAAGACAATCAGCCGACTCGCCAGAAGAACAGACTTTTCTTTCGTCGCTTTAGCAGTGCATCTCAACATAGCATCGATCAGTCTTAGGTGGCTCAATGCGATCACTCTTGCAGGTGGCTGTGCTGCTGTCGTCTCGAAAGTTGGTGGCACGCACGCATGGCCTAAAGCCGCGATATTCGACTCTGCAGAGGGGACTTTGCGATCGAGCTCGACAATCTGCTCTGCGGTGTCAAGCAGGTCCCGATAGTTGCTCCCTACCAGTGCACGTACTTTCTCTCTATCACGTAGTGCGCTTGCACGGAGTCGTTTTTCAAACGCTCGTACTTCGACAATAGCATACTTCTCGAGGGCCTCCCCCCAAGTCGAGGGAGGTTTGGCACTATCCATGTGTTACGAGCTGTTGATTTCATAGAAGAGCATGTCGTTGGAATATCTGAGTGCACTTCGTAACATGGGCGTGTCAGAGAGGGCGGAGGAAGTGATCATTGTACATTATCTAGGACAGAAACCCTAGCAGATCTTGGCATAAGCCCGCTACAGTAGTAGCTGATCAAGTCACTCGGTTACCACATCTGTTGAGGCATGTCTATCTATTATATATCGGCATTGATGTACACTTCCTGGAGGTCGTCAAGCTCGTCTAGCTGGTCTAAGATTGTTTGAATCTCGGACGCTTGCACCTCGTTTACCTTTGCTAGAGTCTCCTCCTTAGGATCGTAGAGAATCTGACTTCTCTCAACTTCGAGACCAAGTGCTTTCTGCATTCTTTGAGATACTGCTGAAAGCATTTCCGGGACGGTCTCAACAACAAGCTGACCTTCCTCTTGAGTAATCTCCTCTGCGCCAGCTTCAATGGCTTCATCCATTGCCTCGTCGATACCAATGCTGTCATGCTGTCTGAACCATATCTTTCCTTTCTTCTCGAACGAAAAGGCTGTGGGTGACAGCGACCCGCCGGCTCTCTGGACGATCATCTTAACGTCAGCTAGCACACGATTTTTGTTCTCTGTTTGTCCTTCCATGATAGCTGCTACGCCGTAGGGCAACATGGCTTCAAGGAGAACATTGTCCAATGAAGCACCGTTCAAGCCTTTGCCTTGACCCTTTGCAATAGCTGTCTCAATTGCCTCTTTTGAGATTTGTGCCTTCTTCGCAGTAGCGATGGCAAATGCCAGGTTTGTGTTCATCTTGGGATCAGGGCCTCCATCTAGGACTATATCAGTATGAAAATCGCACCACAGAATTTGTGTAGTCTAACACACCTTTGGATGCTCTTATTAGACCAAGGACTAGACTGGTTCGTTCCTTGCTCCTGCGACGGTCATTTTGTCCTTTGTCGTGTTTAATCTTAGACCATCGATTATGTCCCGAATTAAGGCAAGCACGACTGGAGAAGTGCCGACATGGCTGGAGAGGAAGCTGCGACCACGCAGCGAGCCTCAATGACTGTCCGCGGAGCATGCGTTCCTGACTGGATTGACCAAATCGTCGCTAAACATCCTTCCCTTGAGGCGATGACTACCACTACTGCGAATATGGTACTATCCTTCGCTACAGCCTTGCCGCAGTTTCCAGGTAAACAAGGCTGGACCCATAAGAGAGCACGCGAGCGCCTGGAGATTAACCCAGTCCTTCCTCAACTTCGCAATCGTATACCTGACGCTCAGGTAGCAGCCTAGGGAGCTTGTGCGAATAAGATGATGGCAGCAGTCTTGACGGCATAAACAGTATGGCGGCCTCCGAAGGGGAGCCAAATGGGACACACACAAGCGAGAGCCCACCTCCCACTCTCGATGTCGAGAAATTGCACTCCTTACCGACTGAGCAGCAGGATCTTTTTCTCTTGACGCATGTTGCTGAGCTGCAACGGTATACTCGAGCGCTCTCCACCCAACAACTACCTAGCAATCAACCTTTGATCAAGAGGGAGGTCATCAAGATTGTTGGGTTGTCCACTCCAGCCGCTTCTAGAGTAATTCGACACTCACTAGGCCGAATATTCGCAGATACCTACACGCGTGGGAGCCGGCAGCTTCTGATTGAAACTATCAACGATCTTCTCTCATTCGCAAATGCTGGCAAATCCGAGAAAGAGCTGGGCTCGCGGTTTACAGCCATTACCTGCTTGGGATATGTTTATAAAAGCGCCGGTGATAGTGCTATAAGTCTACATGGTTTAGTGGTCTCAAGCCTGCTTAAGCTGGTCAAGACCTCTCAAAATCATACTGGCTTTCGTGCGTCTATCTTCAGAGCCCTTGGCCAATGTGTAGACGGTTTAGGATCTAGCCTCGACGAGGCTATCGCAAGAGATATATGGAGGCAAGCACGCACGACTGCTACGAGTGACAAGTCGGCTTTTGTGCAACAATGCTGTTGCTCGTGTATCTCGTTGCTCTTCAAACAGACTACCTATTTTTTGAACCAGAGCGACTTCGAGAATTTGAAGAGTGTTATTTGGAAAGTGCTCGAAACCAATACCGTTGCTGCTCGCACCTCAGCCTGCAAAACTTTGGCTGGAACTCTTTTACGTCTCTATAGCGATGCCAGACCCTCTGAGCAAGCTCCGGCTATCCGCAAACCTAAAAAGCCTATCAAGAAGCAAAACAATGTTCCAGACGAGGACGAAGACGAGCAAAGGCCTGTTACGAATTCATCAAAGTCTTTGAACCAGCTATTGTTAACACTCCCCGAACTTTTGCGTGTGATATCTGTACACTACACCAAACCAGCTACAACCAACAAGGCCAGGGCTAGCTTAGGTATCTGCTACAAGATTGTGCTTGAAGGACTCCCTGAGAAAGTCTTGCATAACCGCTATGACGAGATTGCAGAACACTTCTATTACGATGTTCTCAGCTATGCGAGCATATCCCATAATCGTGTTCGACTCCTCCTTAGCAGAAAGATAACGAACACCCTTCTGAACGACCTTGTCGGCACTCGCCTTCTTACTGAGAATGGTCAAATCCATGCTGCACGCTGGCTCATAAACGATATCCTGAAAAATTATCCGAAAGTCTTGCAGGCACGACGAGAGCCTTCGAAACATACACTGGCCGCAGCGCTGCGAAGCCTTTCTGTCCTACTGCATCAGCTTGGTCCTGCTGCGACCATCTTTCAAGATTCTTGCAGGGAGGCAATCTTCCAGGTTGCACCACACCCAAGCTATACCGTACAGGTTCATGCTGCAAGCTGTCTTCGCAACTTTGTAACGGCATGTCCAGCACAACTGGGACGTGCCATGCAGGAAGCGCTTTCGCATCTCAAGAAAGAGCTCGACCAGATCGATGGGAAGCTGTTTAGGAGAGCGCCTGTGTACAGTCTTGCCGTCGCTGCTACGCTCAGAGCCGCGCGAGAAAATCCATTACACGGCTCGTTAAATGTGTTCTCTCAAATCTTCTTGTATGCTACTGAGCTACTCAAAACCAGTGCTACCTCCGAGCTTCGACTATGTGCTGTACAGGTACAGGTTGCCTGGACGTTGTTGGGAGGCCTCATGACCCTGGGACCGAATTTTGTCAAAGTTCACTTGAATCAACTTCTCCTTCTGTGGCGCAACGCCTTACCAGCACCGCTGAACAGCGACAATACTTCACGAAGGTCCCAATTGGAGTTGAGCTTTCTCACTCATGTTCGAGAAACAGCCCTTGCCGCACTATCGGCCTTTTTGGATCACAACAGCAACCTTGTGACCAGTGATGGTTCACGTCGCATCTCGTTAATGCTTCAAAATTCCATTGTATTTGCGGACAGCTTGCCACCTGCGAGACAGACCGAAGATCTTTCTAACCGCTTGGATTCGTCCTTGCAGCTGCATGATCATGCAGTCAATCTTCGAAGGCGTGTACTACAATGTACTATCAAGATGTTGGGCTTGAAGCACATTGATCGCAACGAGGTAGTCTCTCTTAGTGATACGGTCGGTATGGCCATTCGGCTCTTTACCGATCCTGATCGTCCCATACAGCGGAACGTCGAGGCCGCTCTAGCTAGCTCTGCGAGTACTTTTGAAGGCATATGGGATCTGACGGATAATTGGGGCTATGGTGTCAATTCACTGGTAAAGAGGTTCGAGGTTTCCCTGCCGGCAAACGGTCGTATTGTAACGATTGGTAATTGCGAGTTTGCCGTTGAGCCTATGGAAACGACTATCAACGAGACCGCATCATCCCCTGTCGTATCTGCTCTTGAGCACGATTCGACATCCATATACTGTAATGATTCGGTTTCTGGCCAAGATGAGTCGTTTCTACCAGAGACGGCTTGCATAACTTTAGCCGTGCAACTGTTCGCTGTGGCTTTGCCACTTCAGCCTCCGCGTGTCCAGGAGAGTTGTGTCGAACAGGTCGCTAGTGCGCTTGCACAACCGTTTCAGCGAGAACCAGGTCGCAAGTTTGCTCTTCAGATCAACGCAGTTACAGCGATACTTGGGGCACTTGCTGTCACGAATGGAGAGACTGGCTATCTAGCAGGCAAGCTTGCAGCTGCTACCACGAGTAAAAGTCTCGCCGAATTAGTCAGAAGGAATGTCCTTGAGCATGATGCGGTCCTGCGATCAATCTCCACACAAGCTCTTGGACGATTATGCAACCTAAGTGGTAGCCAATTCACAAGCACAGAAGTCAAAAACTTGGTCGATGTGATCGTGGCGAACAGAGAACCTCATGTGCGAGCTGGTTGTGCCTTGGCTCTGGGTACAATACACGCTCAAGTGGGAGCTATGGCAGCAAGCTATCATTTGAAGAACACTATCGGAGTCCTTCTGTCATTGTGTAATGACACTCACCCGACCGTTCATTTCTGGGCATTAAAAGGTCTGGCCGAGGTTGCCGAGTCTGCTGGTCTCAGTTTCTCAGCCTACGCAAGTAGTACTTTAGGGATGCTAGCACAGCTGTATTCAAGCGATCACCATAATGAAGAATCGCATACTACCGGAACTTCGACAATTGAGATGGACTTCCAGACGCCAGTAGTGATTGGAGAATGTGTTGATTGTGTCATAAATGTCCTTGGTCCTGACCTTCAGGATGTAGCGAAGGCAAGAAACCTTATCCTTAATTTGGTGCAATACTTCCAGAACGAAGAGGCATTGGGTCTGCAAATGCAAAGCTATGTTTGTTTGGGCCACATATCGCTATATGCCCCCGCTCATGTCCAGCTTGCAAATTACGTTCATCAGCTACAGAAAGCGCTCGGATCTGGTCATTCTTCGCTAGAAGAGGCAGCTGTAACCGGCCTGGAGAATTTAATCAAGAGAAATGCAACGGAGGTGTTTCTTGTTGCCCATACAGGTTTGGCTGACAGCCTGTGGGATATGCTAGACAAGAATCCTCAACACACGGCTATCCAAAACTCGATCAGAGCATGGATGCAGCAAACATGTTTGACTGAAACTACCTTCTGGCTTGACCAATGTCAAAGCATACTATCGCGGACTCGAAAGACAACTGAGCACAAAACTTCTGATATCGAGACAGCAAAACCGAAGACGGCTTTGCCCGACCTGGCAGATGAAGACGTTGCGGGTTTGACGTCTGGCGCGGGCATAAACGAAGCTGATAAGCCCGGTCAAGCCGTAGAAGGCCAGGAGTTCATGCGCTGGCAAACTCGAGATACTGCTATGAGCTTGCTCAGCGAAATGCTCGATATCATCCGGAGCTCAATGCTGACGGATCAAATCATACCTGCGGAACAGGCTTTACAAAGCAAGATTGCTGAGATCGTCCGTGTAGCTTTCCTAGCGTCGACTGCTGTTGTCGTTGAGCTACGTATACGTGGACTTCATATCTTCGATCAGATTCTTAAGATCTTTGGGCGTACACCGGATCCCGACTTTCTCGAAGCGTCTCTCCTCGAACAATACCAAGCACAGATCAGTTCGGCGCTGACGCCTGCGTTTGCAGTCGACTCAAGTGCAGAATTGGCCGCTGAAGCCATCACTGTGTGCGCGACCTTTGTTGCCACAGGTATAGTGACCAACGTAGACCGAATGGGTAGGATATTCAAAGTGCTCTCTTCTGGCCTCGAAAACTTCTCTCAGGAAAAACCCGAGTCCTCTATCGGCGATTTGAAGGATTTGAGCTGGAATGCTCAATCAATGCTTAAGATGGCACTACTCGCTGGCTGGGCACAATTGGAGCTCGCAAGTACAGAACAAACTTACCTGGAGGAGATAGTGCGACCATATGTTCCAAGTCTTGCACCTCTATGGGTAAAATCCTTACAAGAATTCGCAAGCTTAAGGTTTGAGCCTGAGATCTCGGATTCTTTGGGTGATTTCGCTACCAACAACCTTCACGAAAGGTATGCTGCCTTCGATCGAGAAATACGTCTGGTCTTCTACCAGAGGAACTGGTTGGGCATCGTGGACGCTATTGCGTTACTGGTAGAGAAGGACAGCAATGCTGTGTTCGACGCGCTTGACAACAAAGAGACGTCGGACGCCGAGCACAAGGTTAACGGTGACACGTCAAAGAGTCAGGATGTGAGCTTCAGGCAAGAGCCTGTTGCTTTCTTCTTCATATTGTTCGGGCTAGCCTACGAGGCGCTTGTGACACAGGCAAGAGATAATCAGGCTCACACGCTGGCGATCCTTTCTGCTCTTAAGAGGATACTTACGCCTGCTGTATCGGGAAACGCCATTTATCAGGACGCGATATTCGACGAAACAACCGATACTCTTGACAGGCTCGCCTTGACGAGTACTTCGGATATACAAGGCGTGCTCGTTCATATAGCTCGAAATCTATCTCTTGACCATATCATCGCAAAATCCGAAGGTCGCGACGAAAAGCTTTCTGACGATGTCGATCAACTCTTCGAGCTTACGAGGGTTGTCATCCTTGTTCTGGCAGGCTTGGTACCCACCCTCGAAGATCCACCTGCCCAAGCTGCACGGACATTGTCCGAGGAGCATGTCAATCTCGTACAGACATCCTTTCAGGCTCTCGTCGATGTAGCTGATGTGTTTCCCACCATCATACGAGCTGATCTCTATGCGTGCATATTGCACTGCTTCTGCACAATGCTCGCCACAGGCGTATGCCAACAGGAGCTGGTGCCTGGCTTGATGCCCATCTTTCGATTGTTCCTCCAGAAAATGGTTAGATCGGCAGTGAACTCCTCGGAGAAGGCGATCAAGACAAGACTTGTTCTCGGCGCTCTTCGCCAGATACTTTCGACTCTAACGGTAGCACAGCGTCGTGAGAGTGACTACTCACTCACCTGCGCCAAGAACTGCCTTTTGTCGATTACTGTCTTGTTGACGACAGCCTCACCAGTATTGTCTCCATCGGATGCGCTCATTACCAGATCACTCGACGACATTATGGACACACTCCAGGATGTCGGCCTGGCCAAGATTGCTGCCAGTTGCGTCAGATCGCTGTTGGGTAGTTCTGCAAAGACACCTTGCGATGAGGCTGTATGCCGTATCCTGTGGCTTAAAGTGCTGTTTTTCGTCATGGATACCACAGCAGATGATCCAGAATCTGTAAAAACAGGTCTGATGCAAGCTCTTACTACATCGATAGGGACTCTTCCGACCATGACTGGAAGAACTGCTGCCGCAGTGGTACTTGTGCCTTGTCTCTTGAAAAGAGCTACCTACCCTGTACCAAACGGGAGCACAGAAGATCTCGCGAAAGAAAGCTCATCCCGATTGCTTGAAATAGCAGGCGCGGATGGACCGGCATTCAGGTCAGCAATCGTTAATCTTGAAAGTGATCAGCGAGGACAGCTAGAGGCATTGCTCCGATCAGCTGGACTAGGTAGACGACCTAGCCATAGAAGGACGGATACTGGGACAGATAGCATAGATGAAGAGAACAGCCCTGCCATCGCACTGAGGATGGACTTTTGAGGTTGAAATTAGTCAATAGCTTTTTCTGCAAGCAGCAATTCTATCACCATCATGAAGGATCATGCCACATGTCTTGTGGCATATCAGCTCGCATCTCTTCACACGCGCAAATCACTGTCAGCATATGCGGCGTCGCATTCATGCTGACAACACTATGCAGTCCTTGTTCCACGTGTCTCGCTACCCGTAGAATTATCGCATCGATATCGCAACTATACTGCTTCCCGAAAGGGATGAAATTGCTCTCCGGTCCAACGTAAATATTGTGCCAAATTGCGTCGACACCGACTACTTCGTATGAACTGTCAATGCTCTGGACGTGCCATCTGGGCGCAGAGGCTGTAGGGTTCTCAAATATTGTTACGGACCATGGTCAGTGAAGGATCGAACAACGAGTCTGGACGCGAGTACTCTTAGCATCGCCGTTGTCTGGTTCTGAGTGGTGCAGGGACGCTATAGTTAGAAAGCGGCGTGTTTTTTGTAAGTTACTTGATAGACACGAAAAACCGTAAGCGATTGATGGGTTTTCGATCTGGTGCGTCGCGTTCAAGAGCGGCAGGTTGAGTAGTAACGGTTCTGTGAGCAGAGTAGCAGGCGCCCATGGTCGGGTTTGGATTGCCTTTTCCAGTAGGAAGCCGGCGTCACAGTGCCTGAAACAGCTGTGGTTAGTGAACTGCCATGTTTAGATATATAAGTATTTATTTCTTTCACATTTTCCTCTTTGTACTGAGGTCTATCGCACGCGCAGCGTACTGCATGACTTGTTCACCACATTCTTTCGAGCAACGAGAATGGGAAAACACTTGATGCCTCTCTTGCACCAAAACACACAGCTCCTATTCAATGCACCAATCTCGGTCGTCGGCTTACAGCACACGAGATAATGCCGGATACTAACTTTAGCTTGCTTACTGGCTCACTTCAAGTTGCGGAGGGGAGGTCGATGCCACCCAGCTCCAATTGCCAGCTTCAAGTTGTTCAGAAACGTGCACGCGGCAAGAAGCATTGGCTCGGAACACTTCCAAGTTCCTGGCCGAAATTATTCCATGGACACCCCAGATACAGTGGATGGTCCCCAGAGCCCCGGACTCTGCCCCGACCGAGTTCCGTGGCTACAGGCCCCAATTTCTCCTTTGAGATCCCAGGGCCACTTTCCCAAAGTGGTCGAGAAAGGAAAGTCCTCACTGCCGTGTGGCTGGATAAGGTTGGCCCCGTCAGTGAAGGGAGCAACGTTTGTTTCGCGAATCTTGCAGATGCCGAGTATGAGCAGCAGCCTGGTCGAAGAGAGGCTGTGAAATCTACGATGAAGAGAAGACTTGATGTGTACTCATGTAGATGAGAATCGTCAGTGGCACCAGACACATGTTCATGTACTCTTGCCGCTGTTGTGTAACATGAGCGCCAATTTGACGACCAGCGGGGCAGGAATGAGCATGGTTGTGTTGTGTAATAACCAGGTACGACAATGGCCAGACTACGGCTATCAAAGAGCTTCTCAGGTCAAATGACACGAAGAGCGCCAATCGGCATGCGACAAGATGCACGTCTGCCAACGTCGCTAGTACAATGCTGTACCGATAAGATGCTTACCCACAAGCCTGAGAGGAGGAGTGACTAGGTGGTGGAAGAATGTTGCACCCCAGCGGGGTCTCCATTTTCTACAGGAAGAAGGTAAGAAGTCACGCGCGTTCGTCTCTTCGACATCCTGCATGGCCAGAAGTTGTGGGACAATACGATGTTTCTACCAGAGGTTGTCACCTTGAACCTTGTGAACATCCGACAACTCGGGTCATCTACAACGTGTTCATAGCTATGCGACGATGGCAGAGGGTTTTGGAAAGAGTGTGCTGCTTAGCCTGTCTAGACTCTCTTCTCGAAGGATCTGCGGGCGTGCCGGGGTACCGCTCCAACCACCTGCCAATTACAACATGCGCTTTTGTCAAAGTCAAGCACGCTAACACGCCGCGCTGCACGGGCATGACCATCGCGGCATGGCGATTTTCTCAAATCGGCGGGCACAAGGTCACAAGTTTCGAAATAAGTGCTGCTTCGTCAGAGCATACTAGGTAAGAGTCAACGAGTTTAACTTTCTGCCTATACACACGTTAAGATCGTAAGCTTGACCAAGACGTTATTGTATGCTTATTTGCTGCTGTGAAATCGATTCAGGCAAGTTGCACTGTAGACACAAGTGGAGTGGAAGCTTCCGAGCTGTTTCGCGTCCCACACGTTGGTCTCTTGGGTTGGAGTATTACGAAAAGTGTTATTTTTGAGACATAAAATCCTGCTTTCCCCATCGATTATCTCCTTCTCAGTCATCCGGCAAGAGGCTCATAGCGGCAGTGCAGTCAAGGATCATTGACGACTAAGTGGCAACCACAGCCCGCAGCAGTCCAGCCATGGCGACCGATATTGCCAGAGAGAAGGGCACAACCGAATCACCTCTACATTTTCAGCCAGAACACCAGATGAAGCCGACGCGATCGAATAGTGTGACTATTCGCAATGCCCGGCTTGCCACCGAAAAGGAACACAACATGACCCTGATGCAGGGTGTACGACTTTACCCGAAAGCCGTGGCCTGGTCTATGCTCATCTCCACCTGCATTGTCATGGAAGGCTTTCAAGTCTGCTTGCTTCCCAACTTTTACGCATTCCCTCAGTTCAGACAGAAGTATGGCGAATATGTTCCATCGGACGATTCTTACCAAGTGCCTGCACCATGGCAAGCTGGTCTCAGCAACGGTGCCAATGTCGGTTCAATAATCGGTCTCATTATCAACGGTTGGGTTTCCGAGCGTATTGGTTACAGAAAAACTGTCATGGGATGCCTTGTGCTGATCACGGCCTTCATCTCGATTCTCTTTACCGCACAGAACGTTCAGACTCTGCTTGCTGGTGAGATTTTGATGGGTCTGCCATGGGGTGTTTTCCAAACATTGACGATTTCCTATGCTTCTGAGGTGTGCCCAGTTGCGCTTCGTGGCCACCTTACCACCTACATCAATTTCTGCTGGGGTATCGGTCAAGTACTAGGTATCGCATCTATCAAAGGTATGGTCGGACGAACCGATCAGTGGGCTTATCGAATTCCTTTTGGTATGTTTTTCGTCTAGGTATTGATTTCGCAACTGACCCAATTCTAGGTCTACAATGGATCTGGCCGGTACCGTTGCTTATTGGTGTTTTCTTTGCGCCGGAATCTCCTTGGTGGCTCGTCCGAAAAGGTAGACTTGACGAAGCCAAGAAGTCGCTCGAGAGACTCACTAGTCGCAACCGCGAGACGAACTTTGATGCAGACGAGACAGTCGCCATGATGGTCCACACCACGGCTCTAGAGAACAAGATTACGGCTGGTGCAAGCTACTGGGACTGCTTCAAGGGTACCGATCTACGACGAACCGAGATCGTTTGCGCTTGCTGGGCGATCCAGAATCTGTCTGGCAACTCGTTCTCTGGCTACTCCACCTACTTCCTCGAACAAGCTGGTCTAGATCCATCGAACGCGCTGAGCTTTGCGCTTGGCCAGTACTCGATCAATTGTGTTGGTGTCTTCGGTGCATGGTTTTTGATGGCTCGAGGTATTGGTCGACGAACTCTCTATTTCGTTGGTCTCTGTGGTCTGTTCCTCATGCTGCTCATTCTTGGTTTCCTTGGTCTCGCACGAAGTTCGAACCCTGACGGCGTATCACTGGCTGCTGGAAGCATCATGCTGGTGTGGGCGATGTGCTACCAGCTTAGTGTGGGCACTGTCTGTTACTCACTTGTGGGTGAGCTACCAACCCGTCGACTGCAAATTAAGACTATTGTGCTTGGGCGAGCTTGCTACAACATCATCGGCATCATCTGCTCCGTTCTCACTCCCTACATGCTGAACCCAGGAGAGTGGGACTGGTCTCTTTTCACAGGTAAGCTATTCAGACTATAACTCAAAACGTATGAGCCTAATACTAACACACTTGACAGGCTTTTTCTGGGCTGGCTTCTGCTTCCTCTGCATTATTTATGTCTGGTTCCGTGTTCCTGAACCGACAGGCCGAACGTATGCAGAGCTCGATCTGCTCTTCCAGCAAGGTGTCTCGGCAAGGAACTTCAGGAAGGCCAAAGTCGATGTGTTTGGAGAGTCGGTTGAGAGCAGTGGTGTCATGTCACAATATGAGCGAAAGATGAGTAATGCCGCTAGCCATGAGGAGGATAAGGCACAATATCAAACCGACGTGAAGGGAGTTTGAAAGTCACGACGAGGCACTATGGAAGATAGGTTGCATTTTATGAAGGATGTATACGAACCAAAGAATCAGAATGGACTTGAATTGAGGCTCTCAAGAACAGACCCAACTTGCTTGGCATCACAAAAAGACGCGTGAACAGATTCCTCGCGCGGTAAGAACGCGCTAGTGCTGATCAAGTATAGCGTCCGTGCTGCATCACTCGAGCAACATTTCCAAAACACCAGCACGACCCAGAATGACAGCCATAGCAACATCATTTGGTGACTCTTAATGCCTGAATTCCTTACACCAATGAATCAACAAACAAGCCCTTGCCTTTTGTATCGCACTCGTCCATTTGATAACCTCTGCTCCTCTTTGATTGTCTTAACCACTTAGGAGAGTCCATTACTGCATTGCTCTTTTGCGAGACCACTTACGCAGACTTATCGTCCCACAGCTTGATCTGCTGCGCGCAACCAAGTCGATTCTATGGCTCTGACCATGACATCTCCGTCGAAGAGCAAACAGCCTCTCGTCGAGCGCTCCTCGAATCTACCTTCTCCAACCAAATCACCGTCTAAGATACCACTGCCACCATCTCCAGTAGCCAAGCAGAACAATAGCAGGCATCAGATACTCCAACAGAACACGCTTGGTCCGCCGCTCAACCAGCAAGACGATAAAGACAGCAGCTTGACTGCTGTCCCAGCCCCAACCCTGGACCTTGTTCAGAAACCAGAACTCGCCCGCAAAATACCAGAAGCACATGCTTCGGGTTACCTATATGTTTCGCCTAGCGACAACATATTGAGTCCTACCACGAAGAAATTAAGTGATGTGAAGGGCAGGCGGATAGGGTATGGTCATCGGCTATAGCTGCAGACGGTTATGCTAATTCGTGTTCAGAAACCTGCACAAGACTTCTCTATACAAAGCGCAAAGCTTGTTCGGACGACCGAAGGGTACGGATACGAACGTTGCTGGCGATAAGGATAAATCGTGATGGGTCGTCCTCCAGATCGTGCAGAGCCTATTTGGAAATAGTGGACAGGGATTTTGACCGTCGAAACACGGCGCATGGATAGACGATACCATTTGGATTGAAATGCATGCTTAGCATAAAGGAGTTTGGAGCAAAACTGTCCTACGATAGAACGATAATTGCGGTAAAGATCGCTTATGCAGTTAATCAGCGACCAGAAATCGTCAGCACGAATACGTTTCACATGTCGAGAGCTCGAAGCAGTTCGTCCGAAAATTGCTGCTGGACGCCGGAACGATCAGTTCCTGACGGTGAGAATATCGCCGAACTGGTTTGAAATTCGTCGCAAAAATGTCGATGACATCATGCCGCTCAGAGAATCAAGTTGCTCTTTTTCAGCCATTCGGTCTTCTTGCTGTAAAGTCCGACTACGTGACATGCTGTCTGCTATTGCGCTATCAAAGACATGCTCAGGCGGTCGTTTCATTGTCTTCTTGCCCATTCAACGTGCATTGAACGAGTGTCGCTCCGAGTCACGTAAACCTCCAAACTTCACCTGTTCACCACTAGCGTTACGACTTGTATTCCGAGTCTTGGCATTCTTCGTCATTCTGCTTACTCACTTCGCTACCCTAGACTTTTCTGCTTTGTCAACCTTTATGGCTTTTCCACTCCAACCACAGTGTCTGCATGTGCTCATACCGGCGTACGTGGGAGGATCGACATTACTCTGCCTAACGATTCAGACGCGGAGGAATATTGTCCGCTAGTACTTCAAACTAAGGCCTTAACGGAAATAGTATGCTGCAATACCGTCAGCCTCTCGTTATGACTCTTATTTTTCTGGAAACAACACCACTGCTAATGCAGCCTTCGTCCGTGCACATATATCGTGATTGGATATGACCCTGAGTATTACCAAAGCAAGTGCATATGCCTAACGTAGCAGGATGTGTGGACAGGGCTTCCAGCAGGAGTATATACAGGTAGGCTCTTTTCACCTTGTCTTGATATTGTTTGATCACATCACACAATTCGCAAGCCAGACAAAGCATTGTCCTCTACTTAACCCAAAGTTCTTCCCCTGCCACCTATTCTCTTCTAATCGAGGCGTTGCTTGACCCACCATATCCCGAGAGCACACAAGGTGAAAGATGGTGGCAGACATCATTCGAGACGCTCCATTGGGGCAATTCATCCGATATGTAACACGAAACAGAGTGTTGCAATATCCAGAAGAAAGAGACGACTGGCAGTGTCCAGAGGCATATACCGGACTCCAACCTGAGAAGCAGATTGACACCAACTCACAAGCATCCACAAGGATACCTTCTGCTGCCACCACACCAGACAAAGAGAAGGACGAAACGGATGTCGAAACTACACCGCACCCCATGTTGACAACAGCCAGGACCCAACCAGATATCGAACGTCATGCTGTCTCACCTGCATTGATTCGTACCAGATCACAGGCTGAACGGTACAATACTACAGAGGAACTCACTGAAGCCTACAACGACGTCGTTCGACAGGAGACACTCAAGACACAGCCCTCGCAAGCTCTTGCCCCTGAACGAACAGCAGACAATCGCATCTTAGTAACCTGGTACACGACCGACGATCCAGCTAATCCTCAGAACTGGTCACCCAGAAAGAAAGTTGCGGTCATTGTTCAGATCTACCTATATACACTGGCTGTGTATATTGCTAGTGCTATTTACACTCCTGCTGCTCCTGAACTTGCTGCGAAATACAATCTCAGTTCTCAAAAGGTCAGTACGGGATTGAGTATGTATGTTGTCGGCTACGGTTTAGGGGCGCTATTCTTCAGTCCCATCTCAGAGATACCACTCATCGGCAGGAATCCACCATATATTCTCACGTTCTTCCTGTTCCTGATGGTCACCATCCCACTGTCGCTGATCAACAACTTCCCCGGCTTCGTCGTCTTGCGACTGATCCAAGGTATTTTAGGTTCGCCGGCATTAGCTACAGGCGCTGCTTCTATCACGGATATCTACAACCTCATGCAAATGCCTTATGCACTGACCGCTTGGGCTGGCTTTGCAACAGCTGGACCAGCTCTGGGACCTTTGATTAGTGGGTTTAGTGTCCCAGTGATGGGTTGGCATTGGTCAATGTGGGAGATCTTGTGGCTTGCGGGACCTGTCTGGGTCTTGATGATGCTCTGCTTACCTGAAACTTCAACCCCGAATATTCTCCTCCGCCGCGCCAAGCGTCTTCGAGCCCTTCAACAGAAGGCAGGATACGAAGGCGCAGCCACTCAGTTGGTTGCCCAGTCTGAGATTGATCAAGCCAAGCTCACTACGAACGACATCATCAAGGAGAACTTGTGGCGTCCTTTCCAGATCAATCTTCTCGATCCTTCTGTCGCATTCACCTCTCTATACATTGGCCTCATCTATGGCATCTTCTACTCGTTCTTCGAGTCCTTCCCCCTGGTGTGTGGCCAAGGTCTGCCTGCACCTTCCATCACTCGTGGTTACAAGATGAACCTCGGCGAGCAGGGCTTGATTTTCTTGTCAATCACTGTCGGCGTTGCTGCTGCTGTGGCAGTGTACGTCGCATACCTTCACTACTACGCCAATCCACAACTTCGTGCTTCTTTGGCGTCTGGTCAAATGGCACCACCCGAAGGCCGTCTTCTCATCGGGTTACCAGCTTCGATCCTCGCCCCGATCTGCCTCTTCTGGTTCGGATGGACTGGATTCAACTCACCTGATATCCATTGGATCGTGCCGACGCTAGCGATCGTTGTCTTCGTCCTCGCTGTCTTCCTTGTCTTCCAGGTAGTGTTCATCTACCTTGCTCTTACCTATCCACAATACTCAGCTAGCTTGTTCGCCATGAACGATGCTGTTCGATCCTGCATGGCTTGTGGTGCGATTCATTATGCTTTTCCGTTGTTTCATAACTTGGGTATTGGAAGAGGTGCATCACTTCTGGGTGGGCTGATGGTCATAGGCACGATAGGAATTTGGGTATTGTACTTGAAGGGTGCTTGGCTGCGAAGCAAGTCAAAATTCGCTTCTACTTATTGAGGCTATAGAGAGGTCGCTATGTGTATCATGAAGTGAAGAAGAGTCATTGGTTTTTAGTTAGCAAAGCGTTATCGCATCAGGCTGCATGTAGCGTTTGGTGCTCAAAGGTATAGATTAATTTAATAGAGAATCGAAAGATTATTAACATCGTGTGTCGAAGTGCAAGTGCTCATGCTTCGTGGTTGCAATGATCGTGTCTTCAGCCTGCGGCTTTGGGGAAGCAGCAGTTTGACTTAATGCTTCGTTTAAAGGCTTTTAAGTCAATAACGTTGCTCCGTTCACAACTGGACAATCGCAGTAGGGATTCTCTTACACATGTCTCGGTCGAATTGGTCGACTTTTTAGACGAAGCGAAGACATCGAGCAAATTATCTCCACTATTCACGCCAATCATCTGGCTTGACGGCGAGCCCAAGCCCACGCCTAGCATTAATGTGCCTTGAGCGTGTCAACTTCTCAGCCGCTCCTCTACAGGTTGCATTCACAGCCGCAACCATGCAAAGTGCAACCAATGCTATACCTCTAAGGGTGACTGGGGTGTCCAGCTGTTCGCACGTGCCACTTATCGGCGATCGACTGCCATCGAGTTGTCAGAACCCTTGACAGAGATGGTCACAATACCATCATTGCGAGTCTGCTTGTGATAGAGCGAATGTCGACAATCACAATATGAGTGACAGAAAACTCAGCTGCACGATGAGCCATTCCCCGTCCGACCAGCAAGAAGCAGGGGAGCATATCGCTGAATCTGCTGCGGACAGCACTTCTAACCATGGCAGTGGCCCGGTTCAAGGTCATCACTATCCAGCTGTCAGCGCCTTCGACAATGCGCACGTTCACCTCGGCGATCGACATTCTCATTACTACGCTGCCACGAACAGTCATCAGGCTAATGGTACCGCTAGCAGCATCGCCGATAAACTCTTCTTTCCAGAAATATTTCAACGCTATGAGACTATTGAAGAACGCTACGGCGATACCTTGGATTGGATATTTGACCCTCCTGAGGACGAGCAGCCACCGTGCGACTCCTTCGTAGATTGGCTGCGAGGTGGGGACTCAATTTATTGGGTTTCTGGCAAACCTGGGTCTGGGAAGTCCACCTTGATGAAGTATCTTGTTGACAAGGTTCAGAATGGTAACTTCTTTGGCAACGATCCACCTGTTGTGCTATGTTGCTGGTTCTGGGAAGCTGGTCAACCAGTTCAGCATAATGTCTCAGGCTGCTTAAGGTCAATTTTGTGGCAGTTGTTGCAAGATCCAGTTTGTCAGCCAGTCGTCTCGAAGGCACTGTCTAGCCTTGATATTGACAAGCATGAATTGACGGAGCCTCGGTTACGTGCTGCTCTCAGAAGCGCCCTTTACGCTGTACAGAATATGTCCACAACGATTGTCATGTTCCTGGATGGCTTGGACGAATGCGGGTTGGAAGGAGGAAATCTCCTGAAAATCGCTCGGGCCCTCAATGAGGAATTCACTTGTCTCAAGATCTGTATCTCTAGTCGACCGGAGCAAGTTTACAAGGATGCCTTCTTGAGTAATCCCAAACTGTTGTTGCAAGATTTGAACAAGGGTGATATCGATGAATACATCACCCAGGAGTTTCTGTCTGACCCAACGGTCGAAAAATTGCTACAAGGTAAACATGTGAACACTCTTGACGACTTGAGATGGTCTTTGCAGGACAAGGCTGAAGGCGTCTTTCTCTGGGTTCGACTTGCTGTCAACAGCCTCCTCCGCGGCATCAGTCACCGGGACTCACTCGAAACATTACAAGAACGCCTTAGAGATCTCCCTAGCGATCTGGACAATCTGTACACAGTCATGCTTGCTCGCGCAGGAAGTGACACGAAGTACTATGAGTCTCAAGCTGCACTGTATTTCGAGCTTATCATTCATAAAGAGATGACACTAGACCAGTTCGCTGTGGCGATCAACGAGAGCTTTAGGGAACGTTGCTTCGACGGTCAGCTGGATTGGGATGACAGCGTCCTACGAGAAGAGCTTGGTGGAGAAGACCTAGCTGCTTGGATCAATGTTCGCACCAGTGGTCTGCTGGAAGTAAAAGACAACCACGTTCCTGCATTCGTGGTGACATCCAAGCCGAAAGACTTCTTGCACATGCTCCAACAGAGAAGGGTCACATTTGTTCACCGAACGGCACACACCTATCTTCTAGATACTGTTCGAGGGAGGGAGATACTTTCGGCATGCACTACAAGTAATGAGATGATATCGTCTATTTGTTTCAAATCCCATCTGGTCTGCAGAGTCTTGACTAATATCTCGAGGCAAGTTCCGACGACCCTTCATAGTATCTTGCGGGGCCTTTGCCGCTCAGGAGAATGTTATGATCTCTCCAACGTATTGTGCAAGGACTTCGAGTCCTTCTGCAATAAGCTTCTTCGTCGGAACCTCCTCCACGTCAACATGTATTGGATGCCTGGCGTCTCTATAACCGAGCCAGCTCCTTTTCCAGTTTTCACTGACGGAGAAATCGACTTTTGCCGCGTATACTGCCATTTGGGTTGGGTAGAGAATGCCTGGCGAGCGTTCAATGGCTTCTCTGGTCCTCACGACCCACAATATCTTTCGAGGCTGCTTTTCTCTGTTATTAGAATGAGCATGCGGGACAAATACAACGAAGCTAAACGGAGGTTCTTGCGGCACTTGCTGTCTCTAGGGGCGGATATGACCTGCACGTTCAGCCTTGAGCATGGCGAGCAGCTCCTCGCCTTACCACACTTCTGTGAAGTGTGGGAGCTTCCCAATGACGCCATACTGGCACAGGTATTCAACCAGGAGCTTTTAAAAATAAATTTCGCAATTTCAGCTCTGCCCACAATTCAAGCTTGTGATCACTACTCTTATACTCTGGATAGACCGAAATTACGGTGGACAGGTCGCGTGGGACTGTGTGTATGGGGTGATACGACCTTGCTCGACCCCGCGCGATCATTCATTGGCTACGACCATGCTGAACGAAGTATCTGGGTCATGCAACGAATTTACATACTTTGCCGTTCAACAGACCTTCCAAACAGGCCTGCGGAGCTTTACCTTATCTCGAAAAGCCAGTCAGACATTATGTTTAGCCAATCTGCTGACGCTGAGACAGGAACACTGAGGTTGAGTAGATGCCAGCGCTGTCTCGACTTGATATATATCTGGAAGCATATCGAGTCTATATTTAATGACCTAAGCAAGCAGCTCGAACGTGCTCGAACGCTTTTACAAGCTCTCGTGCACATGGGTCATGAGCCAGAGGTTGTCTGCCGTTACGTAGAACTGAAGGAAGCACGACTAAGGAAACAGCAAGTACCCGACGAGGTCCTTCACAAATGGAAGATATGGATGCTTGGACCAGCATTTGACCTCAAGACGCAGCCCTTTGCCAGTCTAAATCAAATCTGTGTGCTAGGCAATGCTCGACACGGTTCAGTAGCACAGGAGGGGGTGCTCGAGGCGGGAAGGAGCAATTCGATACCTAGCTTGGAAGGGCCTGGCAGCTCTATGTCACAAGTCAGAGCACGGCAGAATCCTTTACGTCTGCTAAAGCGTTCGTGAACGAGACAACGCAGTCGATCAGGTCAAACAACCGGAAAGATAGGAAGCTTTTGTGATTCATAAACAGCTAAATCTACCCGCAGTTCGTGATCTCGTTTCAACAGCCCTCAGACGTAAAGACCTGCCAACTAAAACATGGCTCCTTCTTTCTTTCCTTGTCTTTTGCTATGTTCCAAATCATAACTTCGACGCTTTAGCCGCACTACCAAAACCCTGCACCTTACTTCCACCAAGCTGCTTCTCCTCCACACCATACTGCTTCATCATCTCAGCCGCCCGTCTCTTCTGATCCTCAATCCGTCCAATACACTCGGCGGCCCTCGCTCTATTCTCCCGTCTCCCCAACTGATTCAAATGCACCTCATCCGGCCCGTCCGCAATCCTCAACGTCCGGATATGAGCCCACATACTCGCAAGCGGCGTATCCTGACACACTCCCATTGCGCCATGAGCCTGCACGGCCCGATCAATGACATCCAGCGCCATCTTCGGCACCAATATCTTGCTCTCAGCAATCTCGACCAACGCACCTTTAGCATCTCCAGCATCGATCTTCACTGAAGCATTAAGCACCACGAGTCTCGCGGCGTCGATTTCGAGACGTGATCGGGCGACCCACTCGATGAGCACGCCGTGTTCGCGGAGGGGCTTGCCAAAGGGGACTTTGCGCTCGTCGTTGAGGCGGGCGATCATCCATTCTAGGGCGACTTCGGCGGCGCCGATGGAGCGCATGGCGTGGTGGATGCGGCCGGGGCCTAGACGGCCTTGCATGATTTCGTTGCCGCGGCCGTGGCCGAGGATGAGGTTGCTGGCAGGGACGCGGACGTTGTTGAATGAGATGTGTCCGTGGCCATGAGGGGCGCTGGTGATGTTGTTAGTGTCTGCAGAATAGTAGGAGATAACAACTTACTCATCGTAGCCATAAACGCTCAACATGCGATGGCAAACAAGCCCCTTCGCATCACTGGGTACCAACACCATACTCTGCCTCTTGTACTTATCCACACTATCATCAGCATCATCATCTCGTCCCATGACAATATAGATCTTGCACCTATCATCCCCAGCCCCCGAACTCCACCACTTACTCCCATTCAACACCAACTCATTCCCCTCCTTCCTAATATTCAACGAAATATTCGACCCATCCGACGACGCCTTATCCGGCTCCGTCATCAAGAATCCCGACCTAATCTCCCCAGCAAGCAACGGCCTCAACCACTTGGCCTTTTGCTCGTGCGTCCCATACCGTGCAATAACCTCCATGTTTCCTGTGTCTGGTGCCGCGCAGTTCGTCGCCTCACTGGCCATTCGGCTGCGGCCCAGCAATTCGGCCATGAGGCCATACTCGAGGTTCGTGAAGCCGCCTGCGCTCTTGGTGGGATCGTACTCGGAGAGGTTGGAGTAGTGGTTTTTGGGGAGGAACATGTTCCAGATTCCTAGTTCGCGAGCTCGTTTTTTGAGGCCGTCGAGGACGGAGGGGTGGCCGTCCCAGCGGCCGTCGCCTGTGCCCATCTGTTGGGGATGGTAGGTTAGCTTGTGGAGTATTAAGAGGAGGAGGAGGAGAACTGTTTGGACCTGCTTACCTGCATGGAGTAGACTGCGTCGGCGGGGATACATTCTTCCTCGACGAACTTCTCGACGATGTCGAGGGCTTTGCGGGCTCTTTCACTGACGAAGGGTTCTGCCATGATTGGGATGCGTTTGCTGGCTGGTTGGCGTGGCTTGCCGCCTGCTGTTGGGAGAGGTGGAGCGTTGGACATTGTGGAAGATGAGTTCTGACTTGTTCTTGTTTCTCACTATGTAGGATCTTGTACGAGCAGACACGCTGCAAGTTAATGGCCTGCTTGTAGAGGTGAGTAGAGCTGAGAAGAAGTGGACTGTGAGAAGTAAGGTAAAGTATGCACCACGTATAGAAACAACAATCTGTATTCTCAGGCACGATCACAGGAGATACTCGGGTCTATTTACCAGAGAATCAGTTCATTCCCATGGAATTGATAGACCTCGGACGCGATCTGCTCTTGGTAAGTAAGCTGTTGGAGTACCCGAACAAAAGGACGAGGCAGAAGGGTTTAAACCTCGGTCATGTTGGCCAATCAGCTTGAGTGATTGTATCGTCGCCGATCTTTATCCCGAGTACGTCCTTTAGCTTTTAGCTACACGCCTGGAGTGACCACGAGAAAGTTGGTCTGTATTGGATAATTTCGAGGGGCAAGTGGTCAGCCCTCGATAGTGTGGTTACGTTTGTGCAGGTGTGTTGGAAGTGCTCTATCTATAAGTTGTAGATCGTGTCACCAAACTATTACCGGGAGGTCGTCTGTAGAAAACCTTGATGTGCTAATGCCAGTCACAGGCTTCTCCTCAGTGTAGTTATTGAATTGCTTCCCATGCTCCTGATTGACCTCCAATGAATGCTTCTTGAGACCTTGGCTCTATGATGCTACCTGGAGCTGTGAGTTCGCTCCTGAGTCCTGATCGAGCATTGCGAATGAATCAGTTGTGGATGCAATCTGATGAAGTAGAGGGGGAGCTGATATTTCAGTTGACAATTTTATACGAGTGCAATCGAGGACAAAGAGTGACCGGCTGAGCAGCTATAAAGTAGCTCATCATCGGTCATTATGCCGAGACCATTCCTTTTTCTTGAGTCAGTTGTATACATAGGTAACATTGCCGGGAGCACGATGTCGTCCGTTCAGAAGGCGGCAAGTACGAACGGCTGCGTCTTGCTACCATTACCTAGGGACAAGACGATACTCGAGGGAACGAATTGTCGTGCAATACAGAGATAGGTCAGATACAACACGACAACATAGCACAGAGGAATAAAAGGAACAAAAACATTGTGTTTGAGAGGGTTAAAATCTTTATTCGAGCCATAGTAGCTCGAGCAAAAATTGCTGTAACATCGATGCTGTTGTTCAGCTCGATCAAATGTTGATGGTGTTTTTCTCTCAGTTGAGCTCCCTTAGAATGCTTGTGAAGGTCAGTGCCTTTTTGATTCCCGTGTAATCGCCTTCGGCAGTGCCACTACCGCCAACCTCGCTGACAACGCTACCCATATGCAAGTGTCCATACTATGTAATTCGCCCACTCCATTTTGTTTTCGCTTTACACTCCATTTCATCAAATCACAATCCCAGTAGACATAAACTCCCAATACCCATAATGCTTCATTAGTCTTTCGACCAGATGTTGGTACACTTTGACACCTCGTTAAGGAGGGTAGTAGAACAAGCAGTCCGCAAGTCATCAGTGCCAAGGGTCCAACCAAGACTGCAACGAGGGTGAGATGGTTGTAGGAGTGTGTCGAGTTTCCTCCTCTTCCGTATCCATCAAAAAAACAATAAAAAACACAATAGCGGCACATGTCAAGCATTCCTCGCGTGAAAGGGAGATGAGAGAGTATAACATTTGACCCAAGCCCATCGAGGTTACAAGTGGAGGTTGAACACTCCAACCCACTCATGGTCCTCGTCTTCTGAGCTGTCAATAACCTTTTGCTGACGCCAATCCTGGTTCAAATATGCAGGTCGTGATTTGTTCGATTTGTTCCGACTTTGTCGTCGATTCCATGAGTCTTGTACTGTCGATCCGCTTCGCTTCTTAATGGAGGTCTGAGTCATGGTGCTCTTCTTAGTCACAGATGTAGGTGCTTCTGGTCCCGTAGGGTTCCGACGTCGATTTCCCAGAGCTGCCCATTTGTCCATAGGAACCTGGTTAGGTGAAGCTCGCCGAGGTGTCTTGGGCTGCAATGTCTGAGGCTCATTTTCGTTGAGCTTAGACTGTGATGACACCTTGCGAGGTGTCCTCCACGAAGCTTGTACATTGAGGTCAGAAGCAGGCTTGACCGTCATTGGTAGTGGTGGCATAGGAGGGACATCTTTGACACTTTCATGACTAAAGCCACGGGAGTTAATCTCGCGTCGACGCAAGGCAGCCGCTCGCTCTTGTTCTTCCTCCTCTTCGTCTTCTTCCCACATGTCACTCCAGCTCTTCGCGACGGTCTCCTTCTTGTCAAAGACTTGAGACATCGTTGGGATCGGTCGAGTGCGCTGTACAGGTAGTGAACTTGGGACAGGTCCGGGTGCTGGGCGACGTGCTCGAGCACTACGTGAGGGGATGTGCATAGACTGGAAGGATTGCCCGAAAGCAGACCCGATAGTAGATGGGGTGTTGTATCTCCCTGAGAACCAAGACTCGCCATAACCGTGACCTCTGTCCGAGAACAAATCCTCTTCGTACTCATCAGGGATGACGGGCATGTGGCTTACAGGTTTAGCTGGCGTAGCATGAAGGACCTGTGACCATGGGAAGGATTCGTCGTCTACATGCGGTGTAACAATGGACGGTGTTCGCAGTGGCTCACGATTTGCACTAGCCCGAACGACATCACGTTCTTCGGTGCAGAAATCGTCCATGTCATCTTCATCAACAGTGAAGGTCAAGGCTTGTTGTATGGCAGACCGAAGTGCTCGCATATCTCTCTTCTTTGGGTCGAGAGACAAGGCAATGGAAAGGATATCGTAAGTGTCGTTTGACATATTTGGGAATACGTCGAACAACGACTGTCGATCTCGAACGTAATCAGCAAAGAGAGGATCTGTCTCAGTCGGTGTGACGAAAGGATTCCGAGAGAAGAGGACATTGAGCAGGCATATGCCGATGGACCAAACGTCAGCGTGAGGTGCAGAGTATCCTTCGCCGGCATGATCGTACTGTTCTGGAGCCATGTACCGGTCACTTCCGACGCAGGCCTCAAACGACCATGCGTCCCTGGTAGCAAGGCCAAAGTCACCGAGCTTCATATCGCCACTCGCAGTGAGGAAGATGTTCTCAGGCTTGATGTCTCTATGATACAACCCATTTTTGTGCATGTGTTCAACAGCAGAGATGAGCTGCAACATGAATCGTCGAACATGTTCAGTCTGAAGAGGACCACGCTGTACACGAATGGCCTCGTAAAGATCACCCTGAGAGCAGTACTCGAGAACCAAATACGTATGGGCAGCTGTTTGAAAATGGTGAACCAGGTTGACGAGGTGAGGGTGGAACTTGAGGATAGCGTGGCATGCAAGCTCGTCGGCGCCTTCGTCCGCAGTAACTGGAAGTTCACATGACGCGACAGATGGTCTGGTCAAACACTTTATAGCCACCTCTTGCCTCGTCAACAGGTCTTGTGCAAGGAAGACCATGCCAAAGGAACCATGATTAAGAGGAGCTATTGTCTGAAAACGTCCATCCAGCACCTGTCCCGCCTTGAAGTAATCTCTCATACACTCCATGTCCGTAAGGATTAGCACCAACGATGGCAGCTAATTCAGTCGTCAAAGTTGTTCCGCCACCGAAGCAGTAACAAAAAATGTAAAACTTTTGGGTGCTCAATATGCGTACGATGAGCCTAGGTTTTCAAACTCCGTATTGACAATGAAGCAAGTATTTCGCCAAGTAGAATATCGAATGTGAGTCGAGTAAACAATCGAGAAGTCAACGAGGTCAGTGCCTGATGACAGCTAAGCAGAACCTCCGACACCACCAGGAAACCACCAACGTCATACAATGGATTTGATGCCAGGTGATTGTAACTCCGTGTATCTGCTTTTCGTGGGTCCTGAACTCATGTATTGTGCGAAAGGTCGTGATTAAGTAACAAAAGAAAGCGTGATCGGTCGGCTGACTCAGAGCTAGGAACTCGTGGTTCGATCGATGGAGTGTAAAAAGGAGAGGTTATCGTTATAATCGTATCATAGCTAGGTAATCGAGTGTAGATGGCAATGCCGAGGTGAAGAGTGGTAGTTGCTAGTGTAGGGAAAGGTAAAGATGGTGGTAGAGCTCAATATCCAGGTCAGGTGGAACCACGAGATGTTGCCTGGGTAAAGGTGACAGGCACTCCACGACGTAGAGCAGGCACAGCTGAAGCTTCAGTAGGATAGACAGCTTACTACTGCTGCTGCTGTTGTCTAGAGGCGATCGATGTAGTTTCTGAACGGATCGAGGTCACAAGAGCCGGCCAAGTTCGATTCCGTTGAGCTCGGAGCTAATTAGAGATGAGTAGAGCAAAAGATAGTGTCGTAAGGCAGGTGGTCGGAGCTTCTGGTGGTGTGAGGTGTCGTCGGGTGAACGCAGCTGGAATGTCGAATGGAGGGAACGTCGGCGGATAGAGTCAAAGTACAGGTACAGTAAGCTGCCACTGCAGATACACACGCTCGAACTGGGTTTGAGGTGGAAATGTAGCTGGCAACTTCAATCGTAGACTCTACATGGCAACAAGCTTGAATTCGACCTAGTAGGAAGTCATAGTGAAGAACATGGGAGTCAAGAGGCGGTATAGGTGTGTTTGTATGAGTTGCTTTCGGTGCATAGAAGGATGGAGACTGTAGAGGTGGGTTGAGATACTGCAGCAGCGCACGGGCTACCAAGGCACAGGAACAGACTCGCAGCAGCCGGCGGGCGAACACTTTGTTGGCAACAGTTGCTTTCTTTCAACTTCGAGCACTAACCAATTTGAGTCTACGTAGATGGAGTCACATTATGCAGCTATCGACTGGCTGGGGCCTGGCAAAGACTGGACAAGGACTCGACTTGGGCTGGTTCTGGCTGGCGCTTTGCCTCTGCTGGCGTCGTAATTTCCCTAATTCGGCCTTTGTCCAATCACGTATTTCTTGGCCGGACTCAGATGTACTCGTGCTGGTTTCCTTTGCTCGCAGGCACGCTTCCCGCCCTCTACACTGCCCGGCTTCGGGGCTTTGGCGCTTGTCTTTCGTCAGCTGTTCTCAGCCATGCCTCCAGAACAGGGTGTACTAAGCGGCTTTGTTATGATTGTCTTGCTCAACAGGTTTCACCAGACGAAACATGCTCCCTCTCGCTTCATCCACAGACTCAGGGTGAACCTGTGAGAGATCCCCATCGAGCCTGTATCATAATCAACCCCGTAAACAATGGGCAGATTGTGTATTCCGTACAGCCAGTTCTACGACAGCACACTCGTGACGTTTGGCGAGGTCTAGACAATAATGATGAGCCTATCAAAGTTATGAGCACCTGAGAGCGTCATTGTGCTGGTCACCCGTAATTCGCTTTTCTGCACGATTATGATCAGGAGGGCAGCACAATTCCCGAGCACATTGAGGACAATGCCGGAGATATGGCATCATCTTCATTGTTCGCCCGAACCTGCTGCGATTTGTTATCTGGTTCATCACCAGACTTGGATACCGAGATCTAGGGACGTGCCAATTCATGGCAATTCCATCACGTCATTGTCTTCTTCTCATCTTGCTTCGAGACAGAATGGACTGGTCAACCAGAATACAGAAGCGGTGGTTGAACTTGAGACACTGGTGAAGGTCGGGTGTTGCATTGTGGCATAAATGATCCGGGTGTTGTACTGCACCAAATGCGTAACTCTGCAGGTTCGTCAGTGCAACCGGCACCTTCCATGTTATTACCCCGCAAACAAACTGCACCTATCCGCGCCCCTTACAGTAGACGAAGCACGAGATCACTACTATGCTTCAAGTGGATTGGCTAATATTGAGCTCTGCCTCGATGGCCACATCAATGGCTTGAAGCAAAGGACAGGCAACTACATTGTGACCGTTCTCGTAAGAAGGCGTGGTATTACTAGGTGCGTATAGCACTGCAAGCAAACACGAACACCGAGAATGGAACGTTGTGAAGCCGATCCTGTCAATACATAGTATCGTACACGTTTTAAAAGGCTTGAAACATTGGGCCATAACTTCAAGAGATTTCGCTTCGTTGTGAAAACATCAGACAGCTGGCAGCGTGCTAAGTATACCTCGCATCGCGTCGTCGTGCTAGCAACCGCTGCCCCTAGCTCCTCGAACTCAATTGTAAACCTGCTGGATCAAAACATCAGGCATAGGTCCCTCATCAAACGTGTCCAGCGAAGTAATGAACGAGTCCGAAAGTGTTGGCAGATAGAATGGTGACCGTGACTTCCTATCGCTCAGCTAAGTACGATATCTATCGTCCAGACTTCGTTCAGGTTGTGCCATCAATGACCTCGAGAACAGATAACGAAAACCCTGCGGAAACCATATTCTGATTCTCACGTGTTCATTCCCTTTCTATGCTGTGGACCACGTGAAACGTGATTGGCTCGTTGAGCAAGACTATAGACTTACGAGGAAGGATTTCATGATTGGCCAACGCACGCGCCGCAGCTTTTCGAACGAAGCAAAATGCTTTTCACTGCACTGCGAAGCGCCTATTGACCATTCGTACCACAGTAGAAGCGCGCAACCAGTGATACAGTCTACTCAAGCATAGTAAAAGCGCCGAAATCGGCTCAGCAACGTCTGGGTATAATTCGCTCTGAGGAACATGCAAAAATTGTCGCTGGGAAAATGCTGCAAAGAGCGGTGAAGGGACTGCAATTTCATTGAGCTTCAGACCACGAATGAAAGGACAGTAGAAGTGCAGCAGTTTTTAACATCGTCGCTGCACGTCGTGCATAAGTGTATTTCCTTTCGAGTATAGTTCTCAGAGTAGATCGATCGTTCTATCAAAGTCTCGAGCTCATCACGAGGTAGTCCGTTGTTTTCCATTACAAGAGCTTGTTGAGGTCCAGATTTTGCCGAAGACTAGCCATGAGCGTACAAGCTTGGCTGAATACAGCCTAATCAGTTTGGAAAAATTGGGGAGGCTTGCACAACGGTAAGGGCCGCCCAGGCTCTCGGTTTATCCGTCCCCATGTCCGCTGGGAGGCTCGAGGTCGGCTCATTGACCGACATCCACCAGAGCTGCCCACGAAACTCTCTCGTCGTTCTATTCACTTACAGCTTGCATTGGACTGCATATCGCTCGTTGCGCTCGAAGCTTGCCACCCAAATAACAGGGCTGCTTTTCCCATTTGCCACATATACTTTCCAATCGGCCAGTTCCTTGTCCAGCAACCTCGACCCAGACATGCAAGGCATAAACTCCATCAACCATAGATCTATCCGTCCTCGACTCCGCTCATCTCGCAGCAAGAATCCATAGGACAAGCTCTCGGACGCTAAACCACGACAAAAACAGTCGTCGACATGAATTTTCACACGTTTCGAGTTCGAGGCGCGTGAGCTTTCGAGGCGGTGGCTTCACCGCCTGATCAGGACGTTTGTCGACTTCGCACATTGGCGAGGATAGCAATTTCATTTGTTCGTTTCATGGTCAGAAATGAAATTAATGGCTCATGTCGCGAAAACTTCAGGCATCTATCCATGAATGCGCAAACATCAGACATGTGCGTCTCTCAACGTTCGCAAGGAATGCGGTCGATGTCTTGCCTCTTTGCATGACTTGCCAAGGCATTGCAAGGAGTCGATGTTGTGGTGTTTTCGTGTATGTCGAATGAAGCCGGTGCCAGAGCACGGAAGAGAAACAGCGCAAGGACCACCGACTTTCCGAGCTCACCAGAATGTAGTCATGTGGTGGTCGGCAAAAGCGATCACTCGCTTTGGTGCAATTTGCAACAATTGGAAGAACGCCTTGCTGACCACCATGTGGAAGCATCTTTCGTTCCCCAGTCTCTTTCAAATCCAGTACCCTATCGCAGGTCGCAAAAACAGCATTCGATTGATCTCGTGAACGCGAGTCAACAAGGAGTGAGATCTCTGTCCGAGTCTGATGTGGTTTGCGTGTATCCAGGGGGACGCCATTGGTGACCACCTGGTTGTTCCGCATATGCTTGATCAGCTATCCACCTACCATCAACACCACCATCATTATCTTGTGCCTATTCTGCTATCCTTCAGCCTTGAATAGGTATGTCGTCGTGATTGTGTGTTCAATGCTTTTACAAGGAGTATCGAATGAAAATTGTATCGATCATTGCACCGAGCTCATACCAGTTTTTGAACAAATGGCAAAGCAAAAAATATCAGATTGGTCGTAGATTGCAGCTCAGCTTCAGCCTGAGTCACCAGCGCAGGCAGGACGACGTCAGCCTTTCAATTGTTCTACGGCTCATGAGAAGCAATAGCCTGGTCCTCAAGCAGATACCTTCGCGCGCTCGTCTTCATCGTCTCTGTTGGATGCAGCATAACGTGCTGGCTCCTTCGTCCCCATAACACAGCCTCTGTATGATGCGTTCTCTGTATCACGCCCTTCAGCAACGGCCTGCGCTCGTGGCTCTCTAGACCTGGGTAGATGTACTCTTCCCTTCCTCTGAGTCGCAGGCTCAACTGTCACCAGCCTGGTTAGCGGTCTCGCCCTTATCACCGAGGAGGCGGAGAGCTGCGGAAGCTCGTGAGTGTGTATCCTCTGGAACGCAGAAACACTGGTGTTTGAGTGCTTTGCCAAGAATGTTCTTCTTCCGATATCTGTCTGCCCAAAACTCAGAAGGCGGACCAAATCCCGGACGGTTCCATTCCTCCAAGGCGATTCTTTCTCGCTGCTCATTATTGCGCTCGACCTCATCTTCTACACGGCGCCACATGACTCGAAGCTTGTCGGTGCGAGGGTGATACAAAGCCGGCCACCTCAGTCCGTCAGTCAGGATCATCATTTCTTCAGATGGTATCCACTCTTTTTCCTTGGCATACTGCCATGGTGATCTGAAAAGCATGCCTCTATACGCTATCTTCCAGTTTGTCACATCGATATCGAGTCGCTGATGAGATTAGTAACCTGTGGAGATCTTGCGGGACGAAAACTTACATAATAAAATTTAAGTTCGTCGCTGAGTCTGAAAGAATCGATGTTCTCTTGCCAATTGATATGCATGTATTGGAGCTTGCAGATCACAGTACAAGGTGGCTCGTCAGGACCATCATCTCATCGTCTTTCTTGCCGCACAAGGTAAGGAAAAGGTCCGTCCAGCTTTTGCACACAAGCGGTCGTCCCAAGTATTCGTTGTCGAGACTAGGTCATCCAGTGTTGACACGTTCGATGTTTGGGAAGTACGCCCGATATACACTTACATCGTATGGCTCATCTTCTATATGGATCTCTTTCAACCCCGGACACGCCTTGAACGCCAACAATAAGTCCTTCTTCGAGGGAACCGTAAGAAAAAGAGCTCGTTCGAAGAGTGGAGTGGCCTCGAGGCGCAGTTGTTGATTCACCTGCGTTATGGCTCTCCAGGAGTTAAAAGCCTGCACGTCCCTTGGCCATTCTTGACTATAATCATCAGGGCAGACACGCAAGTATGCGTCTTCAAAGATTTGTTCGTAGATGGGTAAGCGAAGCTCACAAGGAATGCCCACGAGAGTTGGTTGTGCCGGAACAACCGCCATAATGACTAGGATGGTTGCTAACAGATTGCAGATAGCAAAAGATATGATGAAGAGGTGGGAATGGAAGAAGGCGGAAGTTGTACCAAACCTCAATCTTAAATTGGCGCTAGGATACTGAAGTGTCTGTCGATGTTAGTGAAACGCAGAGTGTCTACCTAAAAGTGTTCGCTGACTCGCAATCGCATCTGACTCGTCTTGTACACTCACCAAGAGACACCCATCCTGCATTGTTGAGTCGTGTCCATTGCCACTTGCCGCAGCAGGATCACTCTGTCACTATGGTTTCTAGTATGTTCCCATGTTCAAGGATTGAAAGAGTACTGTGCTGGTGCAGATATATCACCGTTTGCCTCACACCATCACATTTCTGGAAGCTCAAAAGACTTCTTCTGTAAGACAGGAATGTATTTCCAGACTTGTAGCCAGCAGACCCAACTTAAAAGAGTCCTTAAGATCCAGATGCCCCACGTTGTATCGGGATTCACCAATAATGGCAGATAGCCTCCAAGTGGAATTGGCTGCGTCTTATCGACATAAGGTCTGAATCTCTTCTCATAGTCGACAAATGCGACATCAGGACTGTCCTCCTTGGCGTGTTGCACCAGAGCCCAAGCCAGAACGTATGCACCCACAATTGCGAGATTGGTGCCTTCCCCCGTCAGAGGAGATGGGGCATACGCTGTATCGCCAAGAAGTGCGCACCTGCCATAACTCCACTTGTCGAGGTAGACCTGGGACAATTCTTCAAAATAGAAGTTGTCGGCCTTGAACATGGCATCGACCAGCCGATCACACTCCCAGCCCTGACCACGAAACCTCGAAGCCATGACCTCCTTCTGCTGTTGTGAGTCTCGACTCTTCTGTGCAATATGAAGATCCTGGCCGAACTTGGCCTGTGTCATGTACGCAGACGATGACTTGTCGTTCAGTGGCTTGATAAGAGCGCCGCGACGACCCGACATGGAGTAGAAACGTGCATTGGGCTGGTCTTGAGGCTCAACAGGAATACTGAAAAAGGCACAAAAGGCCTTGATGGACACTACACAGGACTTGGCGATTTGGGTGGGAAGGATTAGGTCTCGAGTCTTGGACCGTAACCCATCAGCTGCAACGATGATGTCGAACGTCTCGGTGGTCGTTCGAGCTCCAGACGACTGAACGTGCTCGATGGTGGCTTTGACGTTGCTGGACGTCTGTTCGAGGTTTGAGACTGTGCAGCCGTAGCGCACTGACACGTTCGGAAAGCTCGTAGCAGCATCGAGCAGAGTGCTGACAAGAGCTGGACGCATGATTTCAATCTCGTTGGACACGTTTGTCGCACCAGCAGGAATGCTAGCAAAAGTGGTGTTAGAGCTGTCGACAAAGCTCAAACCTGCTTCATGGGTAGTTTTAGCTTTGAGCTGATCTAGTAAACTCATCTTCTTCACAACTTCCTGGGCAGGCCCCTCAACATCGATGATTTGCCCTTGCTGACTCTCGGAGCGCGAGCGCTCTAAGATGACTACGTCGAATCCATGCTTTCCTAACCAATATGCAAGGACTGTGCCAGCTATGCCAGAACCACATATCAGGACCCGTTGCACTGCCATTGCTATTATCAGACGCGGTGGAAGTACAATGACCTCTTCGAAAGACAGCCAGTATCTCACTGCAGCTGAGGTCTCAAAGACAATCCAGTAAGTGAGCGTGACTTCTTTGTGTCAGTGGGTAGGGGACTATCCAGTTTTCACGGATGAGCTGGGTATCGACGAAAGTCGTGAGATATATTCATATCGTCCGTGGAGGCAGTACATGTTCTGCAAGATTTTGACTCGCTACACTGGTACTCGGCTGTGCAATGCATGCCTATCCTCGATCGAGCCCCCGAGCTGGTCATAGAAGAGCAGTGATAGAATGCCGATATCTCGGACCCCACCCCGAGAAGATGGTTTGCATGATTTGCGAGATCCACGACGATGTGAGCACATCGAGGTTAGAGTACTATCATATTGTCATACTTCGATGTCCTGTCTTTAGTGCGCCAGACACGTCTACTGCACTTCAGCTTCGACAGGTGGGAGCGTCGTACTTCTTCAACCTAGCCTTCACGGCTGAAACAAAACCAGGCATGGAACAAAGACATCACCAATCCAGGTCCTGAAAGAATCGCTATTTGTATTTCAACCTGAAGAGGAGCGTGGATACCACACTCTCAATCCTTTCTTACGTGATGATAGAGCGAAAAGGTCGTGAAATACTATCTATAATGCACCACCCAGTCTTTCCACAAGCCAAAGCGCAGCTCGTACTCGTGCACCTACACGTCTTTCAACCTTCATCAGGTCGTCCTGAGTTGTCACAGTGGCATCTTTCTCTAGCCACTCCACCTCTGCCTTCAATTTTCGCTTCAACTCTTCATCAGCAGTGACAACCAGTGCACCAACTTCCAGATCCAGGCTATAGCTGCGCTTTGTGTAATTACTGCTACCTACTAGTGTAACGCTGGGCCCAGCTTCTTCCTCTGATTGTGTATTCATTTGTGAAGGTAGTGTTATCCATATACCTTTTGCGTGGTATGTGAAGCCACCAGGCTGTCCGACAGTACCCTTTCGCCACTCCTTGAGCTGTACAGCATCTTCTTTCCCAGCTTTCGCTACCTGTCTAAGGAAGCGGCGAGATAGGAGGGTGTACGCAGCAGGCAGCATGCCGGATATACCAGAAGAGCCGTAGAAGCCGTTGGCCCAGGGACTGGCCGTGATGACTGTACATGCCTTCTCGAGGTTATTTCCTTTCTGAACAAGCTGTTTCGAGGCAGGAGTCGCTTCGAGGAGACCAGCGCAAATGTCTGGATCGATGTTGAAGTAGCCTGCTGTGAAGGTCCATCTCGCGTTACGGAGTGCGTCATCCTTTGCTAATGCTGCAAGCAACTTGGTAAGCACGGGTTTCTCAGTTGATGTCGGATTGCGAAACTCGTAGTTCATAAATGACTTGGCTGTAGGTTGACCTAGGAGGATATCGAATTGAGCTAAGGGATATACAAATGTTTTGTCTTCGTCGAACTCGAGCGGAACGATCTTCTGCCTTGCTCTGACTCGAATCAGTGGCTCGAGCAGTTGTTTCGCGTGTCGCTTGAAGCGTTGTGGGTGAAATACAGGGTCCGGAATACCTCTGTGCATTGGCGATTGAAGCTCGAAACCGGCTGTGTGCTCATCAGACGGTACAAGATTGTATGAGATTTCGGAAACACCATCGTGAATATCGTGGTAGAAGTCGGCCAGCTCTTTCGATTTGAAGATGTGGTATCGATCCAGCCGATTCGTGAAGTAATCATCTGAGAGATTGGCGCCAGAGAGCATGATTTCATCGTCGAAGCCATAAAGTTTCATGTGCTGGAGACCCCATCCTTCGTTGATGCGCTTAGGCATATACTCTTTCTTCCAGCCATTGAGATTGGGTGTATGGTACATGCGCACCTTGACTCTACCGCCAAATTCTGCAACGAGCGGCACCAGTAGGCTTGCACATGAGGGATTTGGATCTTCTCGAGTGCCGCGCAGGTAGTCAGTCAAGATGGCGACCTGCAGATTAGGGTTTGCTTGTAGTGCATCTCTTATGGTATCTATCAACTCATTCTCGGTTTTGCCAATGTAAAGGGTTGATAAGTATATTCGCTTTTGAGCCTTCTTAATCTTATCCTGCAACCGTATCTCAGCATCATGGCCAGCTCTTGACAACGATCAAATTACCTTGAGGGTCGTGTAGAATGCTGTAGGAGAATCAACAATCTCAATCTGAGACGCGTCTATCTCAAAACGAGGCGCAACCTGGTCGATTTGTGTCGTCACACCAGCCCATGGATGTGCTTTTGCCGCGACAGATGATGGTACTGGAACGGACGATGCTGTACTAGATACATGTCGTCGACTGGTCGTGCGGATCGTCGACGATCGAGCTGTCTTCGCACAATTGCAATAGCGCAGAGCTTTGGTAGCTGCACCTCTTGTGAACATGACAGGGCTTCGGCCCGCAACGACTATATCATTTCGATCTGAAGGCAATAGTACCGATTCCTACATACTAAACATGCTCTACGAAAATGGTCGCTGCAACCGGCTAAACCACGGACATAAACGAATACTGAAACTCAGAGGTACCACAGTATAAGGAACACCCTACATGAGGACATCAAATTGACGATACACGACATGAATGGCCATGATTCTCTTCTAATGTGTGTGGTCGAGATCTCCGCATGCTTGTATTTTCTGCAAAAACATACTTACGAAATCGATACGCTTCCCATGATGTAACTTTTCGATCACCTTAAGCGGGATCTATCCTGAAGCTCAACTTCTTGTGGTCCCTTGCAGCATGACCCACCAGACATGCAGGTCCTGACCGTTGGGCGATCTTTACCCCTTTGCTTAATGAACGCAAGCATCTCATGTGGAAATACTGTTAATCCGGCGGAGTCGTGGACTATGACCGACGCGGAGGCAAGTTGGTAGGGTTGGACAGCCTCGACCAGGCGACTCCGGGTGAATGCAGACTACATGCTTCTACACGAGATCATACATTGCTACACGCAGAGCTCTCAAGCATGAGGTTGAACGACCACCGGCTGGAGTGGAGAATTCGACGAGCAAGTGTTGAGGTGAAGTCAAAGTGGCATGACGGCGCACTGGGCTTGCGCAAAGGTGAGAAGATAATCAAGCAACTACCAAGACAGGAGTTGCTCTGACACAACAAATCATGGCTCTGTAGCCACGTACAAGTGTCCAAACACAAGAAAGACGCAAGGACTAACGATCGTTGGCGCGGGAATTTGGCGACCTGAGATGTCGAGGCGCCCTTCAGAGCTGTCCGCCAGGCACAGAGTATGAGATTCCGAGGTCAGAACGGCAAAGAAGTATATATCGATGAGCATGGGTCAACAACACACAGAGAATTAGTGACACCGTGCTACCCGGTCTGGACAGCCACATACGCCACAGGCAATACCGTGGCAATCGCTGGAACCGAAGCTCTCCGGACGACACCCTGTTGCTTCACGAGCAGCCTAGCTAGATTCGTGCCTCGCGTCTATCTGGTATGACAAGAACATACTCGACCAGCAACTGCGAACTATCAGATTTGCTTTCACGTAACAAGTAGTACCTGATCTGGTGAAGTGGTGTCTGCTTGACACAGATTCATGATTGAAACTTTTACCTACTGCAACGTATGGTCATAGCGTGATGGCGCCGCAAGATATACAGGTTCGCCTTACGGTTATGATCAGCTCGTAATGTCTTGGCGATATGTTATGGCTGCGCTTCATTGGTTCCCGCACAGCACGATGTTCGCATGCATCTGTTCAACCCTGGCACGACTCACGGAGTTCCGAGGCTTTCAATATCTGATTGGACCAGCTACATCGCGTGCAGTTGGTACCTGATACAATTCCAGTTCTGTGAGGGCAATATCGATGCCGTATTTGGCTGCTCTTCTTGACTAGTCGAAAGTTATACCACCAGATGCTTCCGACTGGAGCAAAAATACTGTATGCAGATGTCATCGAGGCTGTTTTACTTCCGACGCTGCTGCGCAAAGCAGGAATCCCATCCTAGCTTATTATGCGCATTGCGGAGAAGTCACAAAACAAGACATTCAAGACGGCTGGGCATGAGCTTGTCCGAGAGCTTGTGAAAGATTGGCAGCTCTTGTCTAAAGATCGGCAGGGTTCAAAAACATCCCATAAAGACTGGAAAAAGTCTCAGGATTCGTTTGTCTCATTCTAGACCAAGTTCTATACTCTACAATCATGAAGTTTCTATCAGTCCTAAGCACCTCTCTTCTCAGCGCGCTGGCATGCGCACCTCTGGCCTCTGCCTGGAGCTGTCTTTCAGATGCCGATGTAGCGGACATCATTGCCAGACAGAAGACCTTCTTGTCGAGACAAAATGTAACAGCCGCAAGAGCAGCTGTCGCAACGCTCTTCTCTCCCAACCTGTTGGAGACCAGTGACTCTATCAACGTTTTACGTGAACGCCCAGTGAGTATCCTCGGACTTGTGGTACTAACCACTTTACCCGCTGCTTGGCGCTAACCATTCCTTCCAGTACGGAGTTCCAGTTTACAACGCAGAAACACCCAGATATATCAACGATACGCTATCGGAGCCACCACTTCAAGCGCTCAACACTGTTGATCTGCTACATGACTGCACCAAGATCGCATGGTATTGGGAGATGATCGGTGTTGGCGGTCCTGGAAAGCCAAGAGCTCGAGGTGTGAGTATCATCACAGTCGACAACTCGCAACAAATCATCAGCCACCAAATCGAATTCAACAGCCTTCAGGTAAGCAGCTGTCAATCTTTGAGACGCAAAAAATTCTGACCTTTCTGTAGTGGGCATATAATATTGGCTATAACTGTACGGCGCCAGCATATGAGTAAATGTTAGTCTGGTGAAAACTTGGTCGCGGTCACTGTCGCAATACGAAACATATGATATGGTGTTCAGTTGGGTGAAGTACGGGTTAAAAATCCAGATACCAGGAAGTTGTCGACCAAAATAATAAATACCAACCTAATCAATAAGCTGAACTGATGCACATCCCTTCTGATCAAGCCCAGTCCCATGTGTCCACCGTTCGATGAGTGTAAAATATGTCATACAATGTATCGCAACATGTTCGAATCGCCAGCTGAGTAAGCAGCGTGAAAGTTCGTACGGTCATGAGTGATGAGTACTCAAAATTTGTAGCATAAATACGAAAGAGCTTCGGTGGCAACACGTGACTTGGCTCCAGACTGTCGCGCCTTCCGTCGTACCTGTTCAGTAATTCGCGAACGAGTAGGTACGCTTTACAGATTTTGATGTTGGGATTTGCTTCACGACAGGCGTCACTATTTGCGCTATAGCGTTCGTTCATCGAACCCTGATGGTGCAAGAATGATCTGTCCACGACGCTCCTACGCTACGTTGTAACGACTGTTCGTTATCGCGAGTTTATCTTCTGTTATGGCACGAACTTTGCGTGCTATAGTACAGGTCTTGCTCTTTGCCTCAGCAGTGTCGCAGAGTTCTGACACTGGTCACTTGACTTCCTCCTCTTCGTCTTTCTGTCCATCACGAACTGTGAACTATATTACTCACAAGCTTCCGCAGCAATGCCTCGCAACCAGCCGAGCAGTAAATTCCAGTCCTACACAAGCTGTTAGCAACAGCACAGCGGTTGCTGAGATTGCCGAGACCTCCACATCGATATCGTACCTCGACTCCCAAGAACCGCAGCTCAAAACCGTATCTGCTCCCTTGATAACGTTGACCGCCACGACCCTTCACGAGAGCTTCAGACAGCCACATGCCACTGTCGTCACAGAAGGACATACGCCGAAAGAGTTAGCAATACCTGACGATACTCTCAGCGAAGACTCGGCATTGGAGAGCGGCAATTTTCTCTCCTTTGAAGAATGGAAGAAACAAAATTTAAAGAAGGCAGGCCAGTCGGAACATATTGCTCAGCGAGATCAAGGGGATGGTCACGAACCTCGGCAAAGACCTGCTGGCGTGCATAATTCACTGGAGGTTCTTGGGGAAGACGGTGAGATCGATCTGGATTTTTCTGGTTTCGTGCCAGGTCATGAAAAGTCTTTTCTTGAGACTTCTCGTCCTGTCACCGGATCGCAGGCATCAGAACCAGAGGTCACATCCGATAAAAAACCCGGGGGCAAGCGTAGGAGCAAGGACGCTGGTCGCACCAGCAAAGAACGATTCAATTATGCCTCCTTTGATTGTGCTGCAAATTTCAAGAAGAGCAACAAGGAAGCTAAAAGTGCTCAGGCTGTTCTGTCTGAGAACAAGGATTCTTACATGCTCAACCAATGTTCCGCGCAAGAAAAGTTCATCATACTCGAGCTTTGTAATGATATTCTTATTGACACAGTCGTCCTCGCAAATTTCGAATTCTTCAGTTCTACCTTTCGCACCTTCAAAGTTAGTGTTTCCGATGCTTACCCAGTAAAAGTTGAGAAGTGGAAAACCTTGGGTGTGTACGAAGCTCGTAATACACGAGAAATACAGGCCTTTCTGGTTGAAGATCCGATAATATGGGCACGATACCTCCGGATCGAGTTTCTGACCCATTATGGCAATGAATTCTATTGTCCTGTGAGCCTGGTCCGTGTCCACGGTACTACGATGATGGAAGATTGGAAGCACTACCAAGGTAGTGCATCTGGTGAAGATAGTGAAGAGGACGAGCAGGTATCTGCTGAAGAGGCTGTGGTCGACTGCTCCATTATAGAAGCTGTTGCAGAACCTGCTTCTATCTCTAGCGATACAGATGCGACGTCGATCACTATTCTGCATCCAGAAGCAAGTCAATTGCCGGAAGACGTAGAGGAAGCGTCATCTCAAGAGGTGATGCCACACACGGATACCACCACTGCATCAATACCCCCGATTGAGGCTGTCATGTCGGCTCTGGCATCTTCCAGCACGTGTGTTCCAGAGGACCACACAACCGATTTACAGAGTGGTGGGAGAATAACAAGTGAACGATCGTCAATCAAGGCGAAAACAACACTGTCGGGTTCTTCTGAAATCGGGTCTCAACCCACTACGAACGCAATGCCTTCGTCCAGTAGCACTAGTACGAAGTCTGCCAAAGTTCAGCACGCAATTTCTTTGGACGTAAAGAATGTGACGGAGCACAACTCTCATGAGATCGCCACAGGAGCAGCTTCGATGAAGAACAGTAGTCAGGTCTCTCCCAACATGACATCTGCGACAAAGAATTTGAATACCACTAATATTTCGAGCGCATCTACAATGAAACCCGCATCCTCTGCGGTCAGCTTGGACAAGTCGCGGGTGAGCAGTACTGCCACGCAAGCACAACCAGCAGCACCGACCACGCAAGATTCCTTCTTCAAGGCCGTTCAGAAGCGTGTGCAAATGCTTGAGGCGAACTCATCTCTCTCGTTGCAATACATCGAGGATCAATCTCGGGCCCTGAGAGATGCGTTCAAGAAAGTGGAACAGCGGCAACTAGCACGAACGAGCAACTTCCTTGATCAGCTAAATCAGACAGTACTGATTGAGCTCAGAGAATTCCGTCAACAGTACGACCAGCTCTGGCAGTCAACAGTGATTGAGCTTGAGATGCAGCGTGAAAGATACGAGCATGATAACAAAGCCATCAACGTCAGGATCGGTCTGCTAGCTGATGAAGTCATTTTTCAACGTCGAATGGCCATTATGCAGATGGTCCTGATTGTTGTTTGTCTAGTGCTTGTACTCTTTTCACGTGGCACGATCAGTAACTATCTGGAATTACCTATCGTACAGAATGTCTTGTCAAGGTCACCGAGTTCTCGATGGCTCAACAAGTCGACTGACACAACACGACGTCCACTCGAGCCATTACACACTCAACCCGCTCATCAGCTTCGATCTGAACGAGGTGGAATCTTGAAGGGTCATCAACGAATGCGATCTGAAGACTCCGTTACTGACACACAAAGTGGTAATGATAATTATGCACCTCCGACTCCCGTCAGTGACTACGGTCAGCGTGATGAGCTCCTCTCGAAAGACGAAATCAACGACCCTTTCGACTCTGAGAAAGAGGCAGCCAAATACGAAGATCCTGAATTTGATCCCAGCACGATTGAAAGACCCGCTACGAGCCCTCCGACGCTGCGCGTCAACGGTGAATCATCAAGCATTGCAGGAACTATTGAGATGTCCGAAGACGACATTGATTCTCCCGTGGCCAATAGACTTCTGAGTCATCCTGCTACCGATCAATTCCTGCAACATCCCTTAGCCTTGCATGATGGATCATCTGTACCCAAGCATCTCTCATGGGATCTGCCAGATGGATGAACGCAATCTCGAGTTCTAACGAAGTGTCTGAAGAGCATACTCAGAAACCACCTCTGTCTGCAGAGAAAGGTGCGATCAACATCTGCGACTGGGACAAGTCGCCCTCCGGATCACTCCATCGCGTGACTGTACAGTCGACGCTGTTCCGATCAGACAGCAATGGTTCACTTAGGGGATTTGCGGCTACCTAAGAGGAATCCGAGCCACAACTACCAGAGAAAGTATGTATGAAGACCTATCAGCTAGTAGAGAATTTTCTGCACTGCTAACGCGACAGATCGGATCATGGTGTCCGTTAGCGTGCTAAGGTCATTCAACAAGATATTGCTACCAATGGTTTCGCCCACTTTCAGCCCTGGTTGGATGTTAACACGGATCCCAACAGGAAGAAGTCGCACGGCCATTTGAACAACATCAGATGCGATCCATTCAGAAAGCTGGCAGTGAATATTGACATGACGTCGGTAAGACGCTTATACACCAAAACACAATGTCGTTGTCGTTATATTAACCACGTCAAAACCGTTTTCAGCAACTATGCTTGGGGTTTACTCGCTACCATTTGAGTGCGATTCTGACTAGCACTTGCCATTCATACCCCATATTCCGAGCACCAGAACAATTACACTGTGAGTAAAGCTAGCAGTGGTTGGATCTATAGCACACTCAGTCACGATCGGGACGAATCATCTATCAGCTAATACAGTATGGATCGAGGCTCGTTGTGGTGAAACGTGTCGCGGACAGGTAATGGTCAGCGAATTCGTTATCTGTCTGCATTGGGTACTTTAGGGCCTTAAAGCTTTTTTCCTCGATATCAATAGGATTGACCTTGCCTCTTCAACACCATAGGAGGCTTGAAGAGTCTGAATCTTGAGTGTTTGCATACGTAGTGATTTAACATAAGCCATCACGATACTTCTTGATGGTCTAGGAAAATGTCAGCGCAGAGTCCAGCCCCAGCCGTGATTCTACTTGATTGTCAACCCTTTGTTTTGTTCAGCACAAGTGCTTCATTCGAATGCAGGATATTCTGGAGACAGTCGTAAAACTTTACGGCTTTTGATGTACACGAGATGTCCACATGCACAAACGTAGAAATTTTAGACTTCGCTCCTCCTTCGCAGGAACATCCAGCAGCATCAACCAATTGGCGTCTTGTCCGAATGCCTACAGAAAGAACTATTTGAGGTTGCTTTCTGCGTGGTATGGCATGTAGCTCTCTGAGAGAGCCTGTTGAAGAACTTGTTCGTCAGCACCTACGCGGGCGCGACCTACCGCGATGGCCAGCTCTCCGACCTATTCCAGGCTCGAAGCCAGGAGGAGTCGCTGCCACCTTCTCTCCACAAATCTCACCCTTCCGCATTGAGACCGAGAACATTGAAGGCAAAAGTCTCACGAAGAAGATCAAAGTATTGGCGGCGCTGGAGAAGCGAGATCCTAGCTCCCTGCACTGGATGGTTAATGCTAATCCGAGCAAGAAAGTCTTATCTTTGGGCACACAACGAGTTCGATTGCGACGGCAATGGTCAGAGGCTGTTCGTATGTCCTTGAAGAAGGCTGGTATGGACAATCATGGGAAGAGTCTGTCGCAGAATGCTGGGTCACGAAGTGGGACGAGTCTTTCTGGGACGTTGGAGTTGACTATCTATGCTGGAAAAGGGTTTGGTGAAAAGTCACAATCGATGGTGGGCACCACGGACAGGATAATTCGTGCTTTGATCAAGTCAGGTCTAGGCACGACCCGTCAAGCTACTGGTGCTGACAACGACCGTGAATCGACGCTCGAGCATCGATTGCGAAGCTGATCTTACGTGTGCTCCTGACGCACCATGAAAGTCCCCACTACCTACAAACCGGTCCTACCGCAATTTACTGGCAAGACTAATGATTGTTGTGGCTGTACGTCTGGGTTGGATGTATACGCAATTCTGGTCTGGTTGTTCGTCGTGCCTCAGCTTTGGAACCCGCCGCGCAAAGTTGCCCGGTTTCGACATCGAACACGCATGTCAAACGTCGGCATACACATGGGCATTAGCATTCGTCTCATGAATCATGAGCTGACGCTTCTGCTGACGGCTGCGATTCTGAGACCACTCTGGCTCTGCGTCGACCACTTCCATACTGTCATGTTCAGAATATCGCAAACCAATTCGAATTCGCACACACTGCACCAGCTGAAGCGTTGACGCAAGACTTTACGAGGTTGAGACTTCTGTGTTGGTTATATCGCAGAGGTACAACGTACTCTTCTACTCAAGTAGGCCTCAACTTTTCCTCCCGGCTATCCATTTTCTCTTTCCATCAACCACAAATACGATCACTCAAAGACCAAAGATATCAATCACTTCCAACCAATTCGACCAAGTACAACCCTAAACACCAAATCCATTTTTCTTCGAACGACGACCATGTTTGCCCAAGTTGACTCACCGATCAACTACTCGAAACCTGGCTCCGGAGGCAACTCTGGAGGATCTGGAGGCACCAAGCCACCTTCTGGTGGTTCCGATTCGAAACCCAAGCCTTCGGACGAAGAGCCTCCCAAGCCTCCACGAGGCCAGGAGGTCCGAGGTTGGGGTATGGGTTAAATATCTCTTACCAAAATACAACCGTTGAGCTTGAATAATCACTCAGATTCGCGCGAATCTGGTGTGGCGACAGCAACAGGACAAGGGCCGGGGCAAAGGGCGGCCCAGGGAGCTGTATAGTTATACATCGATATCGAGTGGAGGACTAAGGACACATGAGCATTTTGTGTTCGAGAGCTTTGGGGAACCAACAGTGATTGCTGAGGTGATCTGACAGTTGCTGCTAATACTTGGTCAGACAGGGCTAGATAGCTGGAATGGAATCATATCATCAACAACAACAAAACCTTTTCTTATTCTGAAAGCTGTAAATACTCTTTTACTTTCTACAAATTTTCTTTTTACTTGAGCCACTAATCCATACAGTTTGAGTCTCTGCTGTCTTGTCTGTACCTTTACCGGATCTTTATTTTCAGCTTCACGTGCTCTTTCTCGCCGGACTTGCCGACACCACTCATCTTCTACAGTACAGTATGCCCGCTCTAGGGTCTCCAGACTTTCGACTCTGGAAGGTCCGTCCCGACCGAAAATAGTGGTTGCGGTTCGGACGAGATTTCCGCTGAAATGAGGTTGAGGCTCTGCGCAGATCTGCTTGGCATGGGATTTGTTAGTAAGCAGTGTATACTTCACTTCTAGCTCGATAACTTCTCAGGCTGAGATGTTTAGAAGATAGTGTTCGGGACCGAGTCCGGTGCAGTGATCTAAGAGCTGAATGAGAGTTGAAGATGGGACGGTGTTACGGGCGGAGATTACGGCGATCGACAAATGGGTGATCTACGATAGATGTTGATCGCGTCGTACTTCGAATGTACGACGGAGGAACATGGTTCCGTTTTCTGGATACTTATTCGCGATTGTGAGAACGCTGGAAGTAGTCTCTCTTTGCACAAGACGAGACGATATCAAGGATAACTAAGCGAGCATTCAGCACGAAACATCAATATGGCGGCAACAGATTCAGCAAAGAACATGGCGGCCTTCCTCGACAAGCCAGGCACGCCGTTTGCAGTGCGTGAGGCTCTCATGCCTACACCGGCAGCTCACGAGCTTGTGCTTCGGGTTCACAGCGTTGCGATCAACCCGACTGATTACTTCCGCGCGGCTCAGGGAAGGGATGTGCCCGAAGATTCCTACCCGTACGTCATTGGCTGCGATGGTGCTGGAGTGGTTCATTCTGTTGGCAACGATGTCGAACATCTCAATGTCGGAGACCGAATCATGGCGATGAGCACTGAGTTTTTCGTGCACAAGGCCGATCATGGTATGTTCCAACGCTATGTGGTTATTGATGGGAGACATGCCTGCAAAATACCTGATCGATTGAGCTTCGACGAGGCGTGTGTGTTCCCATTGGCGATGGCTACCGCTGCTGGTGCTCTTTTCGAGAAGGAGAGCATGGATTTGAACTGGCCAAGGCTTGCAGGTACCTCCGAGTTGGTGAGCAACAGAAAAACCACGCTAATGATGTGGTCGTTGTTTGGGGAGGAAGCTCGAGTGTGGGATGCTGCGCTGTTCAGATGCTCAAAGCTGCTGGATATAGAGTCGTTGCTACAGCAAGTAAGCGCAACTTCGACTTGTGCACTCAGGCAGGAGCGGAAGTGGTGTTTGACTATAACGACGAGGAATGTATAGACAGGGTATGCGAGTGGGTGGAACAAAGGGGCTTGCAGTCTGCTGGTACATTTCCAGTCGTGATCGATCCGCCTTCCTTTGAAAAATGTGCTGCAATTGCGAAGAGGTTGCCAGGGCGAAAGTATGTGACCACAACATTACCACGAGGACTATTGACCAAGCCAAATCTCGGAGAAGGGATCGGTGTTGGGGACTGTGAGTTCTTCTCCGTTCGTCTCACGACCCCTGGCTGACAATTGTGTGACAGGTCTGGTCCTTCAGCAGGCTGATTTCCTCGAGCATTTGTGGTCGAAGTATATGCCGGATGCTCTCCGGAGCGGTGAGCTCAAGTGCTTACCTCCAGCTGAATTTGTAGGGCGAGGGCTGGAGAGCGTTCAAGGTGCTTGCGATCTCATGAGCAAGGGTGTTTCTGGTAAGAAGTTAGTCTTGAGTGGAATATAGGCAGCAATTGAAAGAATAGAGCGAATCGATACCATCCAAGTCGTTCAATCGTTTGCATACCGGCCCAGAACTGCATCAAAACGAAAGTAACTGATAGAATGAGGTAGAAGGCTCAGCCTGACCAGGGTCAGACAATGACCAATCATGGATCAACTATACACACCCAGACCCATACATGCATAAGCTGGGAATGCAGGCAAATATCTTGATCAGACACTATCTTCTGCTCTTGTTGTGTTTGACAACAGTCGAAAACACCACTTGACAGAGGTGAAAATGACCAACACTACCCCTGTTGACTGCTTAACTTCCAGACTGTCTGATTTAAGGCTGAGTGCTAAACTGAAGATCGAGCAGGAGCAGACTAAAGTCGACAGCTTTCTGAGTACTGTGCACAATAAAATCAAGACTGCAGCCTGTATTGTCTCTATCGGTCAATTCGAAGTTAGGTCGGTGAGTGGCTGGAGCTCAATGGATCTCAACTGGAACAACCATGAGATACTGTCTCAAAAGCACATGACCGAGCGGGTTCGAGAGCTTGCAGCCGACATGGGCTTCAAGTTGAAACCAAAGAACCGTGATAGACCGAACCGCCCAGGGTACTTCTCAGGCAGATATCATGCTTGCCATGCCGAGTCCCAGCTGATAGCGTGGGCCATTAATCAATATTGCCCTGTTCAACGCAGTAAGACGACTGGCAGGGAATACATGAGGGCTGGCACACTGAGCGAAGCGGTCATCATTCATGTTTCTCGTAAAGTTTGCAAAGAGTGCCACCGATTCGCTCGACAAGCACAATGGTTTACAGGCATTGAATTCGTCTTTCAGCAGCCCTACACTGTGAAATCCCTATATCCAAAGTGTGCTTTCTGTCGCAATACAACGTCAAGAGGTTATGTATGCGCTGATTGCCAAGGTGGCAACAATGGCGTACATGCTTGGTGTGAATCACTTCTCTTTGCAACTGAGATGTTCTCTTGTGAAGTGGAAAAGGATAAGAGGGTGATAGAACGGGGTACTAAGATGATGACAGAAAGGTGCACAGCCCTGAAGGTAGCTGCTAAACAACAACGTGCACGTATAAAGGCTCTCAAAAGGGACACAGCCAAGGTCCTGGCAGAGTGTAGGAATTTTAGAATGGAGCTTGAAAAGAGAACGAAAATGAACGAGTGTGAAGGCAAGAACAGAGCTTTGCGAGATACTAACACTGACTTCAGTAATCTGCCGGAACCTGCGACGACGCGGCTTGATACTGGTTTGAAAGAACTTCGGCTGTGATAACAGAAGGATGAAGATACTGCAATCGATGTGTTTCGATGAAGAGAAACATTTGAACGAAGCATCATTCCATGGCCATTTTGCTCCGCCGTAGACTACTCAATCTGCAGTGCAATCTAACAATACTCATTCGCGCATCCGTACGCGCTTCGACTGCCAGTTGACCTTCAAAGATTTGTCGATTCTCGTAGTTGCTCTACCCGGTCTCGTAGTCGTTCACGATGCTGGTCTCCCTTACCGTTGGGAAGGTCGACGCTGGGGTGGCAGTGCTTCTGACCGAAGATAAAAGATTAGTATGTTGTGACCGTTGAAACTCAACCAGGCTCTGATTCAGGCTAACAGTCTTTGTGCAGATAGAGTTCCCTTCTATACTGTTACCGCCATCTATTCGCTCAGGCAGCATAGTCGATATCACAGTTAAGCAGAACCACAATGCAGAACAGCAGGCTGAGGAGCAGTTCCAAGCTCTTCAGCAGAATATCCTCGAACGCTACGGTCTACAGGCACCAAGCTCACCTGTCCTCCGCCTACGAAATGCCACACAGACAAGTATTGTGCTGGAGTGGGATCCTGTACAGCTCGCGACCTCACAGCTCAAAAGTTTAGCACTTTACAGGAACGGTAGCAAAGCAGGGAATATACCAAGACCAATGGACATGCTGAGTACGAAGATTAGCGGGTTGAGTTTGAACACGGAATATAGTTTTTATCTGGTACTCAAGACGAGTGGCGGCACATATACCTCGAATACAGTTACAGTCAAGACACATGAGATGACCAACTTGACCGGCATTACTGTAACACCAGGTGTACTACAACCAGCATTACGAGAGGCTTGCGAAGCAGCCGTTGAACGCATAGGCGCCAAATTAGTCGACACTGTCCGAATAGACACGACCCATTTTGTCTGCACAGAACCTCGAGGCGACGCCTGGCAGAAGGCCGTCGAGATGAACATTCCAGTAGTACGACCTGAATGGCTCGAAGGATGCGAAAGAGAGGGCAAGATAGTGGGAGTGCGAGCATATTACTTGGACGCCGATCCTAAGCTGCGTCAGGTTGGAACCAATCCCAACATCCAGCAACAAAGTAGAGAAAGCATGAGCCAGAGGCAGTCAGTGCAGATTCCACCAGCGAGGACCTCAAGTATACCTCAAGCCCAAGCAAGTCAAACTAGCCTCCCAAGTCGGGCTCCTAAGAGTCCTGATAAGGAGGTCGGAGAGCCTGGTCCAACAGTTGGAGCGACTCCAGAGTTGGCCCAGGAAGAAGTACCCAGACAGAAAGATCTGCCACCAGATCCTCCGACGCGCGATGACAGTGACAACTCGGAAGCCGAAGACGGCACAGGGGATTCGGAGAAACGACTACCTGCACCGCACGCGGCCGAGGATACTGAGGATGACGATGTGCAAGAGGAAAAACATTCGCCGCCTCCTACAAAAGCAAACAAACCAGGAGTAGAAGATGAAAAAGGTGAAGACATGGAAGAGGTCGCCCTGTAGTTCTCCAGTTGGTCGGGTCAATCAATCACGAAGTTGCTTCGCATCCAGATCTTCTAGTGCAAGCGCAATTCTGATGATCGTTCGAAGCTCTGACATCCTGAATACGGCTTTCTTCATACCTTTGGATGCACTTAATAGTGCAGGTACAGGTTGTAATGGAGCACTGGCTGCGTTACCTTCTGCAATGACTTACCCAACTCACTTCGGAATGTTATCAGTCTGAACTGGGCTGTCGCTCAATTAACAGAATTCGGGGTTGGTGACTGCACACTTCGTGCCGACTAGCACCTCTGGGATGGACTCAGCTGGAAGGTCCTCGACGACCTGAAGAGGCTCCAAGACATTGTCACTAGTGAACCTCAAGTGAAGACAAGGTGACGTCGCTTTGAGCGCTCTGCCACAGATGACTGGAAAGGTCACTTATATTCCACTGCTGAACATCACAAAGATACCATCTTCTTCCATTGCCCTATTACCTGGTCCATGTATACTAAAGCAGATGTAGCCCAATCCTCCACATCTTTACACAGAAGCAGAGTCATAAATCCCAAAGATCACATTATTATCATGACGCGCGTTCCTGATCTTCCAGATGAAGTCCTTCAGCCTATGCTCAGAACTCTTCTGACTCCAGACATTTACACCTGGGATATTCGATCACTATGCAAATTCGCCATCGCGTTTCCGCTTTCGCAAGACTTGGCCTTCGAGGTATACAAGGAGTATGAGCAGAAATGGCACCAAAATCGTGGCCATCATTGGACATGGAGGAGGCCGCGCGTCAAGATAACGAAGGACGGCGAGAATATTGTTAGAAAATGGGGCAGACACCTGAAGGACTCGGGTATGGCGTTGGAAAGAGCGCAAGCTATCTGTCGGAGACTAGGTTATCAACCGACACCGTGGGATGTTGAGCCTGAGACAACTGAAATCAGAAGAAATACCAGAAAGACAAACAGGGAGCATACAGCAAAGAGCAGTGCGACTGCTAAGGCGGCCAAGACAGCTAAGACATCAGAGAAGCGTGTCCTTCCAACTCGATCGAAGAGAAAGTTCAATCAGGTTGACTAGCCCTGGCTACCTGGGCGAATTTGATCATACAACCATCACGGAGCAAGGTTCGTGAGCATCGGGTGTATACCTGCCCAACTTTACTGAGTATTCACACCTAGCTCTTCTCAGACTCTGGATTGCATCATTTCTTGGATTTCCAACCGCGAACAAGAAGTTGCATGAAAGCTAGCGCGACAATCCTCTCGTGTTAACCTAGAGTTCGGGCTACCAACTAGCATGACCATGAGCTTAAGAGATCCCAATCACTCATAATATACATCCGCCGCACAGCATGTACTGTAGCACTTCCGGACCAATCTTTCGATTTGATGTACATTGTTCGCTGTCACGAGGTCGAGGTTGTCATCTGACTGATTGCCGAATTTGGCAACGCAATAGTGGCCCTTGTCGCTCCTGCTTCCCTGGAGACTACTAGTGCCTTCAACAGGACCATAATGAAATTCTTCCTCGTCGACAAAAGTCCAGCCTCTTTTCAAGTAGACGCAAAACCTCATTACCAGACCGTAATTGCCTTTCCACTTCGACCAGCGAATTGGAAAGATGGCATCGTAGTTGCCGGTACCTCCGTTGCACTTGATGTGAATTGTGTGTATCAAACCTCTGTGCGATGAGTTTAGGTCGATGATGAAGCGAACTTCTCGATCGTACAGTGTTATAAGGGACTTCACAAGAGCGACTTCGACACGCACAACGAACTGCACCTTGAACTTCACGATCGAATCATCAGTCTCATAAGCAGCAATTCCTTGCTTGTTCGTCACATCACTAGCGCTGGCTGTAGGTTTGACTGCAATAATCTCTTGTGTTGGTCGAGAACTCTCGAGATCTTGGATACGCCTATTGATCTCCTCTATCTTGCTCCCTAGCACATCTGCTTCGTGTGGTTGATAGTTTTGCACGAACACTTGCTGGAGCTGGTCCAGTAATGATTTCGTGTCTACAGCATTGTTACCGAACATCACTGCATAGTCAAGGATCAGCATATCCTCCCAAGATATTGCTTCAAGGCTTGCTCACGTAGAGGACCATGGCTAGTGATATTACTATACCGATCGCCAGCATGAAGCGACGATCCGTCCTGGCTCGTGATCTGAGGAAATTGATGACCTGCCATGATGTGGGTCTATAGCAGTAGCATTACTGCAACCACACCCTTGCCGAATCGCAATGTGCGGAAGAAACACCTATTCACCTAAATTACAGGATCAGTATCGACATCAAGCATCACTTGGAACAGATACTGCTTATAAGCGAGGGCAGTCCGGTTGTCATTACTGACAGAAGGCAGGGTCGGTAGCGCTTGCTCCACAAACCACAACTTGCAATACAGCAATTCAGTAGACTTTTAGCTACTAGAAAAGGCTCACGAGCTGGAAAGAATGCACTGACATTCGAGACTTTGACATAGAGCTAGCATGCTTCCTTCGTTCCACGATCTGAAGCTCAATCGTTCGAGATACTTCTCTTGGTGTCCTAAGAGGAAGGTGAACCTCCTACGGTACATCAAACACGTGTGACTTCACAGAAGTCTTGGCAATAGTCGCCGCCACTATTGACGCCAAGTTTGCTCGAGACGAGACGCGTTTCCTTCTTGTCTTTGTCCCTCGATGTTCCTGATGGTTTCGCAACCAGCTACGATTCTCTGAGCTTTGCTCCACTAGGTCAGAATGGTGACGAATGCACGATCTAAAAAACGCAAGACGGAGACGATCGACCTCACTAACGATAGCGATGTGGAGAATGCTACTCCTAAGCGCAAACACCAAACGCAGACTTCATCCGCTTATGTGACTCCACCAGCGAGCAGCCAGGTCCTTCAGAGCTCGCAAGGAAGATCACAATCCAACTTATACCGTCCGACACCATCGCAGTCCCAATCACAACCATATTCACAAGATGAGCGGCATGCGTGGTCAGCCACTCAGCAGCGAGCCATTGAAGCCGATATTGGTCGCGAGATCGTTCTTACGAAAGACGATGACGATGAAGACGTTTATGAGAACCGGCAGGTCTATGGCATTCTCAATACAAGCATCGTTGGCATTCGGTACTACGCAGGCGAAGCAACAGTTGGTGAATATGTAATGGTTCGACGTGAGCCTGAAAATCCTTTTGATGGTAATGCGATTCGAATAGATAACGTGAGACGCCAGCAGATCGGTCATCTTGGCAGGGACATAGCTGCTAAACTTGCACCTTTCATGGATTCTGGCGATCTTATTGTCGAGGGAGCTCTTACTGGTCTTAAAGGAGAATACAAATGTCCTGTGGCCCTTAAGTTGTTTGGAACGACCGAGCAACCGGCAATGTGGGATCTGCGGAAAAGAATGATGGGAGTCAAGTTGCCTGTAAAGGAGCTGGACAAGGCAGAGGCTGCTCGTCAAAAACGACAGCGAGAGCTCGACAAGCAGCAGAAGGCTAGGGACAAGGAGGCCGCAAGACTGGCAAAGACTGGCAATATTGTTATTGACAACGTCGGGCCTAGCAAATACAGCAATCTTGGCACAGATGGGGACGGTACAAGCTCGACGCCGGACATCTGTGAAATGCTCGGCGATACTGCTACTTTCAACCCACGAGATGTGCAACATGCGGTGGGCAGATTTGCCCAAAGCGAAGATGATCTCGCCAAGATGGCTATGGCTGAACAGCCTGAACAACTCTCAACACAATTACTACCATATCAACGACAAGGAGTACAGTGGATGCTTGAACATGAATCACCACAGCTGTCCAAGAAGGAGGGAGAGAGCATACAGTTCTGGAAGAAACATAGAGGTGGCTATGTCAATATTGTCACGAATTTCTATGTCCAAGGTGCACCTGAGCTTGCTTCTGGTGGTATCCTAGCGGATGATATGGGCTTGGGCAAGACCATTCAGGTCCTCTCACTCATTATGTCTGACCTGAAGAAGAACGGTCACCCGACACTTATTGTTGCGCCGTTGTCGGTCATGAGCAACTGGAAGAACCAAGCAGAACTACATATCAAGAAAAAGTATACTCCGAATGTCTTGATATACCATGGTCAAGCAAATCGTGGTCTCACGCCGGACCAGCTGAAAGAATACGACATCGTCGTTACAACATACCAAACAATGACCCTGGAACTGTTCGCGAACAACAAGGACAAACCAAGCGCTCTACCAACATCAAAAGGTCTATTCTCGATCAAGTGGCGACGCGTTGTTCTCGACGAGGGACACAACATTCGGAATCCAAGAGCAAAGATGTCTCGTGCTGCACATTCCCTGGCCGCAGACTCGAGGTGGGTGCTCACAGGCACACCTATCGTGAACAACCTCAAAGACTTGTACTCTCACGTCAAGTTCTTACGCCTTACTGGTGGCCTCTCCGAGTTCGAAATCTTCAACGCAAACATCATCAGACCAGTCAAAAGCCAAGATCCTGCTGGTCAGACACTACTTCGAGCGCTGATGCAGACATTTTGTCTGCGTCGAATGAAGGACATGAAATTCGTCGACCTCAAGTTGCCCGAACTCTCCTTCCACAAATACCCTGTGAAGTTCCTTCCTCACGAGCAGGAAAGATACGATGCATTCAAGGCTGAAGCCAAAGGTCTTGTTGAGGCTGCCAAAGCCGAGAAGGGTGACAACACAATGACGCATCTGCTCGAAGTTCTGCTCCGATTGAGGCAGACGTGCAATCACTGGAAGATGTGTGGCGAAGAGCGTGTCTCGAAACTGCTCTCATTGATTGAGCAGAACGAGGGAAAGATTATCGACATCATCGATCCTGCTAATAAAAAAGCCCTACAAGACCTCCTACAACTCAAGCTCGATAGTCAAGAGGACTGTCCAATCTGTATGCAATCACTAAATGACCCTGATCGCGACCCAGTCATCACAGCCTGCGCTCACGCTTTCTGCAAAGACTGCATCGAACGCACTATCCAGACACAGCACAAATGTCCAATGTGTCGAGCCAATCTGACCAGCACAGACATGCTCGTCTACCCTGCAGCTGGCTTCGGCGAAGGCGTAGCTGAACAAAATCTCGACATCGACCCCAACGAAAGCAGCAGCAAGATCGAAGCCATCGTCAAGCTCGTACTCGCCTCAACAAAGGACGACCCAGAGACCAAAACCGTAATCTTCAGCCAATGGACCAGCTTCCTCGACATCCTCGAACCACATCTTAAGAAAAACGGCGCCAAATTCTCCCGTCTTGACGGAAAGCTATCCCCTCTCAAGCGCGACCTAGCCATCGAAACACTATTCACGGACCCAAATACTCGCATCCTACTCGCATCCCTCTCAGCCTGCAGCGTCGGTATAAACCTCACAGCAGCCAGTCAAGTCGTCCTAGCGGATTCCTGGTGGGCACCAGCCGTCGAAGATCAAGCAGTCGATCGCGTGTATAGACTTGGGCAGAAGAAGGACTGTCGTGTTGTCAGATTTGTGATGGAGGGGAGTGTTGAGGAGGAGGTTCTGGAGGTGCAGAAGAATAAGAGAAAGCTCGTTAGTGCTGCGTTCGGTGAGGCGCAGGCGAGGAGGATGAGGGGTCCGAATGCTAGGCGGGAGAGGCTGGGTGAGATTGAGAGATTGTTGCGATGAGGGTGGGGTCGAAAGTGCTCTGTGCTGGTGGAAAAGTCGACATATTTGAGTCGTTAGTCATGATACCCTGTATAATTAGCTGTTATTTGCGACGGGCTGTAGCACCTGCTGGGAACAACGTGTACAATAAAAGCTTCACGTAGACTTCGGTCTGCTACCGAAAGTGTATCAAGAGAGACCTGCGTTTCCATTTACAGCAGATCTCATTGCTATTCTCCCTAATCATCTTCCTCATCGTCATCGTCCTCGCTATCAGAGAACGTATTGAGCGTCGCATCTATGGGAGGTATCTCGAAATCCGAAGAGTCATCATCGCTACCATAATCCGCGGCCTTTTCTTTGCCTTTCGGCTCTTGCCGAGTTGACAAATTATCAGCTGGGCTTACAATTCCCTCGTCGCTGGTTTGAGGCAGTGTCGTTTGTGTATCTGGCATTTCGGGTATCTGCAAGGCTGTCGCTGTAGTCAAGGTAGATGAGACTGTCTCATTTGGCTCGTGTATTGGCCCACCTCCGACACGTTGTCGTTTGCTTGTTGACGTATTGTTCGCCGGCTCGTCAAGGGACATCGGTGGAGCTTCGCTGATACTCGCAGCAGAAGCTGCAAGCTGTGCATCCGCGCTCTGCTCGAGTAGGGTCGTGAAGTCACGTTTCTGCGCACCAGCGTATGCCTGGATGTTCGAGTGTGCGGCGTCGGATTGAGGGTGTACATCGACATTGTTCTGAGACTGGTTTTCATCCTGTGATACTGAGTCTGCCACGTTCACACCGTTTTCCGACTTTTCAAACACCATGTTATCGTTTTCGTCTTCGTCTTCCTCCATCTCATCGTCCTCGGCATCGTTCATAGGATCGTTTCCGTCGACTAACGTTCCGATCAATGGCATTCTTGGTCGCAGCAGACCTTCGAGACTCATTTGATCTCTGGCACTAATGCTATTCTTGATCTCAGCTGATCGAGCAAGGAAGGGAAGTAGGCTGGATTGATGGTCTGCTAGCTTGCCACTCACAGAGTCTTGTTGTGGTCGTAGTGGATATAGAACGCTCGCCAGCATGGCTTCATGATGTTGGAGGAGGACGGATGTACTATCCAAGCTGGCGCGCAGGGTTGAACTGCCAGTCAACTTGTGAGATGGTAGATGAGCAAGCAAGATAGGAAGGAGGTCGTAGGCCGCCCGGAATTGCTTGGAATTACTAGGCAAATTCAGAGTTCGCGATTTAACAGGTCCGAGCATGTTCATGGTCAACGCTACGGCTGAGGAGCCACTCTTGTTATTGGTGTCGCCATCAGCAGGTATTGCTGTATTTGAATCCTTCAGGCCAGCTCCAATTGATAAATCGTTGCAGCAATAATGAATCAGCCGCCTGATGTTGGCAGAATCTGCCTTGATGAAATGTGAGATGTCACGATGCATGAATGCAGCGAACAGCCTGTAGAAGGCCTCTCTCACGTTATTGTCAAACCCTTCAGAGCTGAATATGTTCCACATCTGCGAGTACAAGATAGGTGTGACAGGATAGAGTGCCTGTCCAAAGGCTGAAACAAGTGCTTGCAACAGTTCGAGCACCTGCACATGTACTCGAGGTAGGTTCGTCCACAACTCCTCTCGTTCTTCACGAGTGATCTCGTTGTTGAAGCGTAGCGCGGACTTGGCTGTAGGCACTGTAACCGCGGCTAGTCGAGCAGTGAGATCCACAATTGATGTGAGTGGTATTGTGGCCTCCTGAGCATATTGGTTTGTCAGTATCGCTCGCAATAGGCTGACTTGGGCGCAGAGACGTTCAGTACCTTCGGCGACGCCGGTCCACTTGTCCAGACCAAGTACATCAGGAGCGTTTGTGGTCGGAGTACTAGTCGTCTTCTGCTTCCGAGTGGACTTTGATATCCTTGAGCTCACAGGTGTCCAGTCTTCTACCACGGCTCGAAGGAGTAAGTCCGCAGTATCATGAGCAGCTTCAATAGTTTGCGAACATATGTGTGACCATTCAACTGCCATGTTGTTCTTGGGTGCGCAGAAGTGCAGAGATGCGAGAACATCTCTTGCCGCTATCTGGACTTCTTGACCAGCACTCTCGTCGCTAAGCAGACTGAGACATATCAACTTGATCGAAGCTATGTTGGGTCGGATTGTGGAGGCAAAGTGTTTGATAAGTGCCTGCCAACTTTTCAGCACGGCAACTAGGACCGAACTCAAAGACTTGACAATTTTTCCATCACTAGAAGAGGTACTAGGTTTAGTAGCACTGATCGATGCTGTGATATAGGCTGGCAATGTAGGCGTTGTGACATCTCGAACCAAAGCTTGATGCCTCACAGTGAGCAGATATACACGAGTGATGACACTGACACAGATAAGCTTTATTTCTGGAGGATCTGGCTTGTTGAGGCAAGATATCAGATTCCTGACCCAGCTTCCACATTCGGAGAGGAAAGTAGCACCTCCAGCTTCAATCAATGCTCTGGCGATCACGATACCACAAAATCTGCCTTCAGGCGTACGGTCTTGCAATAGGGCGGAAGTCTTGGTCTTCAGTTTGTGAATGATGATTGACTGGTCGCTGCTTGATGAGGATACCTGAAGTGCATCGCTGCAATTGGCGATAGTCGAAGCTAGATATCCGACTTGACGAGGCAGCTGATCACCGGAGGTTGAGATGAGTCTATTCGCGACTGCACGCAAACTACTGAGACTGTGGTTCATTTCTCATTAGGTCCTTATCGCCTAACGATATTAGCTGAATGCGATTTGGTGGTACGAGGAGCATACACCGAGAACAAAAAATTTCCGAGTTCGATTTCGCGTCGCTGACATAATTAAGCTGCTGCAGGTTAGCGTGCTATGTTCGTGCTACTGGGTGGAGCTAGGTATGGTCACACTACTTGAGTAGGAAGAGCATCGAGATGTTCTATACCGCGGTCATTGTCGAAGCAGGGTTACAGGGTCAAGAGGAGATTAATAAGGTTCGTGACCGTAGAGACCTAGGTATACGTCGCTCTCGGTCGACAATGCTGGTTCGCGCGTTCCGAGTGACCCTCTCATCCTGACAACGCGACTACTCCGGGTAATGTTTCGGGTCGCTCCTGCAATTAGGACATATCGAAATGCCACTCGTTACAGCTGCTGGTAAGTTCCTTTCTTCTCTCACAGCCTATACCTCACGACGGACTTATACGTATACTACAATATTGTACTGCTTGAACACAAAAGAAATACAACCCCATCTTGCCGGCAGCAAACAGATCGTATGCTTGAGAGCTCACAGTAGTTACGCATCGATAGCGTACTCACGAGGTACGCGCACACAAAGACATTCTCGAACTCCTGAGACAAGTTGGCAAGGACTTTGCAGGATAGCCCTGATCGTCGCTTCCTTGCACAATGCTGGATCTTCTCGACCTGCCTGGAGAGCTCCGTAACCAGATTTACTGCGAGATTTTCCCTCCAGCCACAAGGTTTGTGGTGTTTCAGTCAGGCGCAGGTGTAAAGCGGTTCACGTCTATCTCGTTGATGTAGACGCCGCAGAAGGGACCACCCACAGCGGCGTACTGGCAGTATACGACGTGACCAATAATAGATTGATACAGATGTCCAAGAGAAGGTTCTGCCGGGTACGTAGGGAGATGGCACCCGGCAGGTTTGCTAGAAAATATTCACCGTTGGCAATGGGTTTACAGTCCTTGGTACGTAGGTGCCAGGTCAGGTAGCGTGCTAGCTGTGTATGGTGGAATCTAGCGTCCATCAAGCACAACTCAGGGACATAGGAGAGGTCAAAAGATTCAATGTCGCTGCTTGGCAGCTGTTTGGTCCATATAGTGACTTACACGGGACAATGCTGCATTACTACTGCAATTTGGATTGTGATCTCAAGCTCTTCCGACCATCAGTGATTCAGTTTTCGTCGCACGAAGCAGCCTCTACTTCGCGTCAAAGCCTCGTGCATCAAGTCCCAATGGAGACATCAAAACTGCTGCAAATGCCTCCGATCGTTTCTCTACAGAATTACAAGCTTTAGACAAAGTAAGTGGTTACAGAATCGGCCTTGCCTATTTGGGCTGTAAAGGTGGATCGCTAGTCACGCTTCCTGGGTTAGTGTGAGATGCAATCATGTAGTGGTGGTACAACTGGAAGCAATGTTCCTTTTCATTGTAGGTTCCGAGCTTATGCATCGCTAGTCCTGTTGGTCGCATCGCCCAAGAATGCTACCATAATGTCTAGAGGCGTATCGTCCTTCAGTTGGCTCAGTGAAAGATGTCGGTACGAATCCTTGAGCCTCGCTTGCAAATGCTCGAGACACTGACAGTAGCAGGCCCACGAGGACAAAGCCACACGATACATCGGCCTGCTGAATGCAGCAAGAGTTAATGGCTCTTGGAACGAATTCCCCGAGCTCATTCGAAAAGTGAATAAACACGCACCTCAGAGGACGGTCTTGACCCAGACGGCCGCAGCAGAACATCATGTCGCGACCCATGCTACACAAAGACCTCAGACAACACATTTCTCCTCAAGTACGACTGTCGACACCTTGCAGCGCACGATCGAAGGGAGCCAGGATCATACAGAGGAAATATTTCAAGGGCGGACATGTCTAGCATGGGCGGCTTTTACTGGCATCAGCAATGGAACTCCACACTCCATACCTGTTGGTAATGTGATACAGCTATTCGATACTTATGGACGAAGAGATGCATCCCTTTGGACCAAGATCTGCCTGCTCAAAGCAGTATCGATACAAGGGAAATCTCAAATGCAACGTGAAGAAGAACTGCAGGCCGTCGCGATATACAAGGCAGCTGCTTCGTGGGTTGAGCTCAATAATGATCTCGTGAAAGCAACACCTCAAATGGCATATTGGGCCGAACAGATCCTGGCAGCATATGGAACAGGCAGTACAGACGCAGTATCGACTGAGGCAAGATCTAGAGCACTACAGACCTGGTCCACCCTAGTTTTAAGGTCACAAGAGGTGTCTCGAACCACATACGGAGACTCAGGAATCCAGATAAGTCGGACGTCTGTATGGGAGTATTATTACGATATGGCGATCCGCCGTCTCGAACAGCCCAATCATACTACAACCCACACTCGAGCCAAGCTTGCCGCCGAGCTTCGAGCTATCGAAACGGCCTACGAAACGGCTTTACTAAAGAACAAAAAATTCCCCAAAGCCACGGAGTCGAATGTTGTCATCGAGCAGTGGGTAGAACGTGTTGTACGAAATTGGCAGATCCTTTGCGGTCCTGGCTGGCAAGAGTCCGATCTTGGACCAGGTGGTCGTAATGCTGCCACCCGAAACGTTCTTGATATCCTCTATCGAGCTGCTACAAAGACTTTCCATTCCACTTTGATCCTAAGAAGGCTCTTTCAAGTACACAAATCACTTGCCGAGTTCGATCTTGCCTACCATTGCCTCGATACCTATATTGAACTTGTCGAACGAGCTCGAGAACGCGCTGCCAAAGCGGGAGAACCAAGTCCAGAATCTGAAGAAATCATGCTACTTGTCGTTGCCGAAGGTGTCGAAGGTTTGTGTTCTTATGGCCATCAGGAAGAAGCACGTAAAGCCTTCGACTTGGTCAGCCAGCTGGAAGACTGGTTGGACGAAATAGTTCCTGACGAGCATGAGGTCGTGCCAAATGGTCATGCAGATTCGGGACACACAACGCCAACACCACCGTCGAATGAAGCCCTACAGGTGGTATACCGCGCTATAGGCATTGGGAGGGCTCATTGGGCTAGGTGGACTCCATTCAGCGAAACACGATCCACACTCCAGTCAGATGCTCTTGAAGCACTGCAAAAGGCAAGCAGGCTATCGGATCCCCATCCCCAAACACTTTATGCTCTTGCTCTCCTTTGTGCTGAGACGAGAGACATCTCTCAGGCTGTGAAATGGACCAAAATGGGCTTGCAGAAACTGACACAATTACGTTCCCAAGGAAATCTGCAACAGCAAGGTGCCTTCTGGCATTTGATGACGTTGTTGTTGAGTTCGCAGCAGGACTTCGATACTGCTTTGCAAAGCAGCATTGCAACCTTAGACAATGTGCTCGGCCCCACACTGTTCAATGGACATGAAAGCTTAGCCGACGATCCCTCAACTCGAGCAACTGAGCAGATTGCTGACGACCTGGAATGCGATGACCTACAGAAGGTCGTCGAAGTCCAGATCACTTATCTTGCCTTGACAGAATTGATGGATGGGCCTGAAGCTGCTCTGAACGTCAGTGGCGAGCTGTTGAGTCTGTATGCGAAGCTTTTCAAACGCTTCGAGGTAGGCGACATCAAACCTGCCATTGACGAAATGCCTCCTCCACCAAAGACTTCGGCAGGCACGATCAAGAGCGTGAGAGGTAGCATATTTTCACGAAGAAAAGCGACGCCGTCCCTGGCTCCTTCTGTTACAACGACCAGTCTCAGGTCCGTCGCTAATACCGACATCAGTGGACGCCCGGGAACACAGACGAGTCAGGCACCAACTATTCAGGTGACCGATGAGACGGGCAAATCATCTTCGAAAAAGCATCATCACCTTGTACATAGACATCATGAGCATAAAGATAGCCGGCTAAGCAAGGATACACGACCCCTGAACACTAGACGCATCACCGAAGAGCCAGAAAGTTTGGAGAAGGAGCCCTTCGCATCGGCCGACGGGCAAACTTCGCCAAAGAACACAGCCGCCATCGACCATGCTCCCTTAACAGGACGAATCCACGACGATAGATCTGAGGCAAAACAAGATCTCGGCACCGTGCCTCACAACGTTACCTCGCATGACCAAGCACCTCCACCATTAGGACATCCTGAACAACCGCCGGAGCAGGATGTGCGGTTACCAAACATCAACTCCAGCAGCACAAGTACCTCGCCAATTCCTCGATCCTCGAAGACTGCAGCTCAGAAGCACGCCTTTGTAGTGCTGAGTAAGATGTGGCTAATGATCTCGACGCTGTACAGGCGCTCTCACATGTTTGAAGACGCTAGAGAGGCATGTGAAGAAGCTGCAAAGGCTGCATCACGTGTTGAGGCTTTGATCACCGTAGTCGATGCATCAGCTCGGGCACTTGCGAATCCCGGTTGGGGTGGTAGCGGTAAGAGCTCGGACGAAGTATGGGCTGACGTCTACTGCTCGAAGGCTGAGCTACTGCTTGCCATCACACAACGGCGAGAGAAAGAAGGTGCTGTACCCACAAGTGAGGCATGGAGGGACATCGTTGAGCAGTACGAACATTGCCTCATGTACTATCCAAATCATTCAGCTGGCATTATCGGACTGAGCAATATCCTGCTCGACTACTACGATAAAAAGATTGATCTGGCAAAAAAGGTGGACGATGGTCGGTCTTTTGGATCACGACATGCTTCTGGCAGTAAAGACGAAGACATCATGCTCGGTGCACAAACACCAAGTCAGGAGCATCTTCATGATCCGTTCATATCTAGCTCCGAAACGCCCGAGGATCTCAGGAAGACACCGGAAAATCTCAACCGAATTGCGGCACGGGATCGAGCGTATGGACTCTTGAACACTTTGACAAAGTTAGGAGGTGGATGGGACAACTCTGAGGCATGGTTTGCATTGGCTCGAGCACATGAGCTTGGTGGTGAGATTGAGAAAGCAAAAAAGATATTGTGGTGGTGCATTGAATTGGAAGATACCCGCCCCATCAGGCACTGGAGAAACCTGGGTTGTGGAGGATATGTTCTCTGAACGTTTTTAGAATTCAGTACTCCATAAAGTATGATCACACGTATCGTTCACCTTCACGCAATGAGGGTATTTATTTAGATTCTGAAGACGAACAAGTCCTATGTTTGGGGTATTTGATGTAACGTGAATGACCAAATGCTTGATGCCTGAACCGTCTCCGCCAGGCACGAGGTATAGAGTGTGACGCAGCACCTCGATAGACTGCCGTAGCAACACATCTCGAGCAACTTCTGTGCCTCACACAAGAGGCACAATGGGCTGAGGACATTCAGCTCAGCGCAATGGCGCTCCGTGCTGATAACGATCTGCTGACAGCCCAGGCTGTTGACGGAAATGAGTCTTCGCTACCCATCTTCAATGTCGAGCGAGTGCAGCTCAACTTCAACATCGCTTCCAACTTCGTGGCTGGTCAGGTAGCGAACAATGTACTTGTCCTAGCTCTAGCCACTAACCGCATCCTCCGGATCGACCTCGAGAACCCTTCTGACATTGACGGTGAATGAATCTGTGGTAATTTTACGGTTCTTGTACTGATACTAGTCAGATGTTGACCTTCCTCAGCCGTCCTCCAAGATTGGTTTGATACGGCGCATGTTCCTGGACCCGACTGCCTCACACCTGATCATATCTACCACCTTGGGCGAGAACTTTTACTTGCATTCACAAGCCAAACAGCCCAAAGCACTAGGACGTCTCAAAGGAGTATCGATAGAGTGCATAGCCTGGAATATATCACAACCTACAGCTTCGACACGAGAAATACTGATTGGTGCCACGGATGGTTCGATCTGGGAGATCTACGTCGAGCCTAGCACTGAATTCTACAGACGTGAAGAGCGATATGGAACTCAGGTATGGCGTTTACAAGAAGGACCTGTGACAGGAATTTGGGCAGATGCACTCAAGTCTGATTCCAGAAGGGTCTTGATCACCAGCCACAGCAAGATTTACCACATTACTGGGAAGGTCGCATCTAAAGGAAGAGAAGGATCGAGCAGCATATTTGCCGAGCTGTTCCAAAAGGAGGAGCCTGTCATACAGTCTGCCCAAAGCCCTTCTACGAACGCGCCATCATCCCTGGCTATATCTCCGGATCTACCTTCTACTGCAGTCCAGGACGAGAACTATGCTAGACCGTTCGGCTGGCTGGGCTCGCAGGGTGTGCTTACTGGTGTCTTAGCCACAAATCTCACAACCAACTCTCTAGGCAGCAAGATGTTCAAGGACGCTAAATTGCACCCGAGGTCGATCTTTCCTGAGTCTTTGTCGGCAAGAGGTGGTAGAAAACTCATCCAGGACCCTATACAGTCCATGACGTTGACACAATGGCACGCAGTCGCCCTTGCTGAAGGTCGAATTGTAGCCGTCAACAGGCTTACAGGTCAGATCGTTTACGACCAAACTGTGCTCGAGCCAGGTCAGACTGTCGTTGGACTGGTCTCAGATCAGAAGAAGAACACCTTCTGGCTATTCACATCCACCGAGATCTTCGAGGTTGTAGCTACAGACGAAGATAGAGATGTGTGGAAGATTATGCTCCAGCAGCAGGACTATGATGCTGCACTCAGATATGCCAAGGGAGCCCTACAGAAAGACTCCGTTGCAATGGCATCTGGCGATCACCTTTCAAGCAAAGGACAATGGACCAAGGCAGCTTCAGTATGGGGCAAGAGCAGCAAAGCTTTCGAAGAGGTCTGCTTGAATCTGATCGACTCTGGCCAGGACGATGCACTTCGAAAGTACTTGGTGACGAAATTGACAACGTACAAGAAGTCTTCTGTGATGCAGAGGGTTATGATTTCTACCTGGCTGATACAGATCTTCATGGCGAAGTTGAATTCTCTCGACGATATGGTCGCGACCAAAGCAGAATTGATGGAGAATACAGATACTAAGGGCGCCAAAGATGAACTGCAAAAGATTCGGCAGGAGTTTCAGGACTTTGTGACCAAACAGAAGCAAGATCTTGATGCCAAGACAGTCTACGAGATTATCTCATCGCACGATAGGGAGGAAGAGCTCCTCTATTTTGCCAACACGATCACCGACTATGAGTACGTCTTAACGTACTGGATCCAGCGAGAACGTTGGACTGAAGCACTATCTGTGCTCAACAAGCAGTCGAATCCAGAGACATTCTACAGATATAGCAACGTGTTAATGACACACGCTCCTGTCGGTCTGGTCGAGATCCTTACCAGAAGAAGCAATGTTGAACCACACAAGATGATCCCAGCTCTGCTAAGTTACAACGAGATTGCTCTTGCGAACAATACACCTCTGAAAGACAACCAGGCAATTCGTTACCTGAACTTCGTTGTCAACAACTACCCTGAAGCGCCATCCTCGATTCACAACACCCTGATTTCGTTCCTTGCAACACTACCCAGCACTTCGGAAACAACACTTCTATCCTATCTCGAATCCCAGCCGGCACCACCACTCTTCGATGCAGACTTCGCGTTGCGTCTTTGCACTCAACACAACCGCATCCAATCGGCGATTCATATCTACTCAGTGATCCTAAATCAACCCCTCGCCGCGGTATCCCTAGCTCTCGAACACAAAGACATCGACCTCGCCGCTCTAGTCGCCGACCGCGTCGACCCAACCCCAACAAACCGCCAACTCCGCAAACACCTCTGGCTCATGATCGCCGAGCAAAAGATCCGTCAACCTGGCTCAAGCATAAAATCCGCCATCGAATTCCTCAAACGCAGCCCCAACAGCTCCGAGCTCCTCAAGATAGAAGACCTGATCCAATTCTTCCCCGATTTCGTCGTCATCGACGACTTCAAAGAGGAGATTTGTCAGGCACTAGAAGCATACAGCCGCCACATCGACAGTCTCAAGTCGGAAATGGACCAGTCAGAGGCCACTGCGAAATCCATCCGTGACGAGATTGATACTCTGGACTCACGATACGCGATTGTCGAGCCCGGCGAGCGCTGCTGGATATGTACGCTACCTGTCCTGAGTCGACAATTCTTCGTCTTCCCCTGTCAACACGCCTTTCACAGCGATTGTCTGGGGAAGAGGGTGCTTGAGAATTGTAGCCAGACGAAGAGGAAGAATATCAAGGATTTGCAGGGAAAGGTTACTCAGGGGATGGGCGTGGGTGTGCAGAGGCAGAAGTGGATCAGGGAGTTGGATGGGATTGTGGGGGAGCAATGTGTGCTTTGTGGGGATTTGGGGATCAAGGGTGTGGATGAGCCGTTTGTCAGGGAGGGGGAGGGGAGGGGAGAGTGGGATGTTTGATTGAGTCGGAGAGTGGTAGGTTGTTGAAGTTTTTTGATTGCTCCATACGTTATGTAGCTGCCTGCAGCTACTCAAGTACTGCTGATTGACAGCTATCTACCTCTTCCATCTCGTTCTCGTCCATAGCGACTCCTCAACTATTCCATTTCCTCACTCATCCCTCCATTCCGCAGCCTCAATCTTCTAGGCAACGACGTACTATCCGGAAACATCCTCCTACCCCTCGGAATCACATCCCTAATCAAATCCAGTATCCATCCCGCAGGAGCAATCAGCAGTGCAGCCCGCCGCCCACTTCCAATAGCAGCAGGAGCCGTCTCTCCACCAGGAGATCGCCGCATGGTCAAACACATGAGATACTGGCTCGCAAGTAATATGCCGGCACCAATGAGAAGTGGTGCTGCGATGGTGAGGAGGTCTGGAGAGACGACTTGTTGTTGGTGGTAGTGGTATTCTTTGTGGAAGTCTAGGAGGGTAGGGAGTAGGTTTAGATTTAGGTTAAATTTGAGGTTGGGGAGGTAGGTGAACCACATGATGGTTAAACGGTGAGCGGATTTGTTTTTGGTTTTGGATTGTGGGAATCTTTGAAAGGTGTGGTGGTTGTGTGGTGGTCGGTCAAGTAGTGGTCTGGTGAGACGTGTATTTGTACTTGGGGACGATGGCACGATGTCCAACATGGTTCTTCGTAGTATCGATCAGGTCTCGAACGGACAAAGAAGACAGTGTATACAGTTTCGTAACCAGGATATTTCGAGATCTTGGGTGTGTTGGAGATGGATTTCCAGAGACATGTTTCGGGACGTGTAGAGTGGTTTCAAGCTTTGTACTCATGCGTGTATTGTGTCTATCCGTCTTCTAGTGGCATGTTGCTACAACAATCTGAGGCTTGGGCTGTAGTATTTGCTGCCTTAGAAGTCGGGGTAAGACCTACACTATCGTAGACAGCAAGCTTGTGCTGCGTAGCGTCTCGCCCGAGGTTTCAGATCGTAGTATCTCACGCATCGTCTTCTTTTCAGTAAGGGCAAGATGCTTTGATCGCCGCACCTGTCCAAAGAAGGCTCAAGTAGTGCAGGGTAGTAGAAAACGTCTTCAGCAGGCCTTGCTCTTCTTTGACAGGACATCTAAAGTTCTATCTCCAAGACAGGTTTGAGATAGCAGTCTTGAGATTTAACAGTACCACCTTCACGTAAGTCTGACTGTAAGCTTGTCAATATGCGTCTCATTCAACGATCTCGTTCCCAGATTCTGAACATGTCATAAGCTGGAGTCTGACGCGCGACATGGCGTTCTCTTAGGAACGAGCTGACCGTCGGGTACTCATTGAGCAAGTCAAGGATGAATTCATTCGACCAATGAAGAGGAAATTTAACGTTAATCGACGTCGCCACTTCTGGGTGTTTCAGGATCTCTGGGTACAGCGCCACGACATCGAAGGCTTTCAAAGGCCTACGGGTTCTCGAGCTTCGGCAAAAGTATGTGGTGGCAGTATCGGAAACCGAAAAGGACTGGAGATTGGGAAATCTATCGTGTTTGTTATCCAGAATGTCGACCATCCACCACAGCATATCCTCAATACTGGACGAAGACCGCAAATCAGCACTTGCCCTGTATTCTTGCCATGGAGGAAGAATCGTCGGGTCCTCTATATCGCCAATACGGTCGAGAGGCAATAAGGTCCCTTGTTCGTGGCTGAAGGACAGACCGAGTTTCTCTAGGTTCGGTGGAAGAAGCTTAACTATGGATTGCTGTCTGGTCATCCAGGATGGCATGTAAGGACTCCGTTCGCGATGAAAAACTGGAAGTAGCAGACAGCTTGGAATGTCGATGCTTTTCAGTGCTGTGAAGCCGGATATATCAAGACGGTTTTCGTTGTGGTCAAAGAACCAACACGAAGGAATGTGGAGAGATGTAGCTGAGTTTTCTAGAATTTGCAGGCCTTGTTGTACTGACGTGGGATTACACAGTATGGCATTTCCAGCAGATCCAGACAGGTTGGCTGATAATTTCAATCCCGGACAATTTTTGTATTCGGCTGTCCTTAGCATTTGTACTTTCCTCAAGCGCAAAAGGCTTTGCAGTGAGTCAAGCTTAAAATGCCATGGATCGAAGCAAAGCTCGCGTAGCGCAGGCAACATGTGGTAGTAGTCTTGGGTAGTCTCTTGACCATCTTCTGCTTCACGTGGCTCCTCTGACAAATCCGCGTGCAGGTGCACGACTTCGAGGCTGGGTACCCGGAACAAGTTCGTTATTAACTGACGTGGAAAAGGCTGACGACATTTTACTTGGATGGATATCTCTCTCAAATTGCAAAAAGGCGTGACCTGGTCAGTGAACGTGCCCAAGAGGGTTTCCAGATACGTGTCTGGAAGGGTAGAGATTGCTAGTTTCTCCAAAGACGTCGATTTAGTCAGCCAACCTAGGAAGCTTGTCACAGTACGACGCTCGTAGACCGGAGCTACCACAAAACGGACGCTCCGTACATAGTTAACAAAGTCTGGATGCTCGGACCAGGTCCTTAGCAGTAAATTGAGGCGATCGTAATATCGCCTTGGATAAAGTCCGATGCGGGCATCGGCAGCAGGTGCTCGAGTCGTGTCAACTCGCTCGAGAGAAAGGTCGCGATATATTGATGGTCGTACGACATCAGACAAGCGTTTGCAAGTCGTGGCTAGGGGCAGGTAGAACGGTTTTGCGGTGCTTCGTGGAGACGGGCTCCTTTGCGGTTGGTGCACTTCAAGATAGTCAATGATCGTCACAAGCAGCTCATTTGGGAGCTTGAGAAGGAAAGGTTGTTGTGTCTGCATGAGACCAGATGTTTGCGCAGTATTCCTGGAGTCATAAACGGTCACTTCGCTGGCTAGTCGTCTCTAGCAGCGCATGTATTGCGAAGGTAACTTCAATGCTGTCGATAAAGCTGTCATAAGGATAGTGACGTTATTTGGCCATTAGGCCGTAAATTACGGGTATTTGAGTTTACAGCTTTCGAAGTAAGGACTCATCGCACGTGGTGTTCGGCAAAGCGGTCTGGGCGGGAGCGAGGGAATCAGCAGAGAACCAAGATTTTAAGGTCTTTTCATCTTAGTCCCCCAAGCAAACCTTTACAATAAGCTGCGGCATTCGCTCACCTTGGTGTTGTCTACGGTACAGCCATCTGAGAGGGAAGCTAGTGGGCACTTCGTGCTTGCCCAACTTCTCGTCATGTTTCATTGTGTGTCTCTCGAAGTGCGCAGTTTTCTCTCTTCTTCTTGTTCGAGTTCCTTCTTCCAGCGTCAAATCGATTGGCCACACACACCAATAGACGCAAGAGGTGCGACACATTAATTATGTTCCAAAGGCCAAACGGATTTTACCACGTACTAAGCATATATCCAAGCCGTGTCATGCGGATCGACACCAAGATCCACAGATTTCTGAAACCCAGAATCGAAGTTGAACAGGGACTCATACGTTTCGAACGAGTGCTGCTGTAGTGGCGAAATAGTGGCAATGATGTTATCTACCGCTGAATCGTCCACTCCTGATGAATCTCTTGTTGCTTGGTCTACCCGAGTTGTCGACGCGGATTGTGTATCTTCCATTTTGTCGTAGAAGTGCCTGAGCATTTCCTCAGCCGAACCTGCGATACGATTTCTCTGCTTCATGACTTTCAATCTTGCGATCGCCTTTTGTATCGATTCTTGAATCTGACGATACGTATCCGACCCTTGTGCAGGCAGCTCAGTGACTACACCGGCCAGAAAGACTGAGGCGTCAATGGTATAGAACACGTTGCCATAGAGCTTGAATTGTGGAAATGGAAGTATCTGAAAGAGGTCCTCCTGAGTATCTAACTGGTCGAGTGCTGCCGAGACTGCCAACGCTCGGCTTGTAGGCTGAGAAGCAATGAAAGGCCGATGAAGGGCAATGATGACGGTGTTGATGTGATTCACTAGGCGTAAATATGATACGGATGAACGAAGTCGGTCAACGCTCGTCAAGCCCACGCTGTTGAACTTCGGCATCGTCGACCGCAGTTCGCAAATCTCATCGTGTAATGCCATGATTGCCAGATAGTCATTACGGCGCGCTCGATTCGACAAGATCGAAAGGACATCGTGTATCTTGTGAGCCACATGAAGGAGGAAAATCGTCGAGGCAAATGAGCAATCTTCGTAGGGTACAGGAATAATCTTTGCTGTGTCGTAGGGAAAATCGCAGTTCAAGAGGGTGGGTATCACGGCGTCCTCGCGATGAATAATTCGTGGTCTTTCCAGTCCCATCGCTAAATTGCTAGACTCATTTAGTGCTAAGAAGTTCGACGTGGAAGCGATATACTTACGCATCAAATATGAACAGGCGGGTCCACAAGCGCTTCTGGTGTTCCAGCTGCCAGACCGCAAGCAAATGGGGCTCAACATCTTGACCTGGTGCTGGCTCGATAGTATCGGGAAGATCATGGAGCCCGAGTTCTTGTGCTTGTCTGTAATTGAGATGTTAGCGATGTCAATCGTGGATCAGGTCAGGGTGTGGTTACCTGATCGCACTACCGAGCCGATTCCATGCCTGCGCTCCTCGTCCTGAAGTTTTCAACCAGTCTGCAGACACCAAATCATGTTCAACACTGGTTTCGCTGGGGTTATGTCTCCCGATCGTTTGCATAATGTGATCACCTGTAAAGTGGAACTTGTCTGCAAGCTGGTCACAAGACTCGTAGTCCTCCAATCTGAGTGCCCTAGCTGCTTGATGCTGAGGAGAAATACAATCGAGGGTTTGAGCAAGCACCTGCAGAAGTAGTGCAGGGAAATGTCGAATATCAAGAGTACTCTTTTCTGGGTGTGCCTGATCTAAAGCTCCTCGCCATTGGTCATAACGACGCCGAAAATGCTGTTCATCGATACACATGAAATGAAAAGTAGCCTCTCCAAAGTACAAGTCGAACAACATGAGCATCACTTCGTGGGGAGGTAGTAGAGAAGCGGTCCTGCTCTGCTGCTTTTGACGGTCCTGTTCGACCGTTTCTGTAGGTCGGATATGTGGCTGAATAATCTCTGACCTACCTAGACAGACTTTCTCTTGCATTCCATCCTGACCTCGAGTGAAGCTGTCCTGATGCAAAAGCGCAGCATTGCTAGAAGTTGAGGAGTAGCCTACCTGTCTTAGAAGGTTAGAGGGTACTGCTGGTTCCGAAATGCCATCGAAAATGTCGGACTCTGTGATCTTCGAGACAGGTCCGGTTGCTTCACGCGTTGATTGTTGAATGAGAGTTTTTCTGAGAGTCAGTCAGTAAGTTGTCGAGATTTGTGCGATAAGCGGTTACCTTTCTTCGCTAAAGATACACTTCTCTGGGATTCTTCTCGAGGTACAATGATTACACGGCTGTCGGCGATTGCATTTCTGTTTCCTTTTGTAACATTCCACGCAACTGGTCACAGGTCTTCTTCTCGATGACATAGTTGTGTGAGGTAGTGTCAAGCTGTAGTAGTTACACAGCTGCAATTGCCTGTCCAGATTCTACAACGGGTGGCAAACGCCTCATGTCAGTGCACCGTCTCGGCTATCGTGACTGCCTGCCTCTCGAAAGTCATGCCTAGATTCGGGTATGCTGGAGAGCCAATTCTAATTCGTGCATGCATGGAGCTGACGAACATTGCAGAGAGGCTCGACACGAAATCGACCACAACCATGCATGTCAACTCTACGTGTCTGGGAGCCGCGGATAACGATTGTCATTTCAATTGTTTCTCGTATCCGCGCCCCGCTATCCCTAGCTAAGGCCCCGGAGAACTTCGTTTCGCCTGCACATAATGCTTACTGGAAAACTACTGTACTTTGCTGTCTATACCTTGCCATGGTCACAACGCTATGAACCAGCCTTCTCATGTTCCAGCTGGTCGAATAGCCTTTGGTGGCTGAACATAATCGAACTCACCACAACTCTTCGCCAACGACACCTCACTTGCATGACTCGCACCTGTCTGCCTTGCATCCGCTCCAGCAAACATTGTACCACTCAAAAAGGTATGTGGGAATCCGGCGTCGAATTCATACGCCCCTTCGACCTGCGCAACCTCTTCTTCTGTCAAAAGCACTCCAATACTATTCATCGACCCCTGTAAGTGCTCAACTTTGCGCTGGCCAACAATCGGAAACACATAGGGACACTTCTGCATCACATACGCCAGCGCGACGTTCAACAAGGTCGTCTGTTCACCCTTCTTCTCGGCAATCTTCTCGAGTACCACACTGACAGACTTGTCTCTTTCGCTCGTAGGGATGAGATTTCTGCCCTCCTTCTTCTTCTCACGCTCTTCGAACCCTTTCTTGGTCTGGAATCGTCCCTGATTCAAGACGCCATAGGGAGCCAAGCCCATACCCTCAGCTTGACACATCGGAATGATGTCCCTCTCAAAGTCTCTCATTGTTGCATTCCACATTCCTTGGTAGACCACAAATTGCCTCAAACCGTGATCCCTGGCATACTGATTGGCCTTGCTGACAACCCAAGCCGGGGTATCCGATATACCTAAGTACAGAACTTTACCCTGGGCTACCAAATCGTTCAAACTATGCATCAGCTCTGGGATGCTGACTGTAAAGTCCCAATAATGTACGTAGTACAGGTCCACGTAATCCGTTTTCAATCGTTTCAGGGAGCCTTCTAGAGCCAGTTTCATCGACTTCGTACCAGTACCGCCTAAGTTGCTCTTGGTCTTGGGCTCGTAGCCGTCAACAGTAGATGGGGACACATTAGCATACTTCGTCGCAATTACCAATTCGTCCCGGTTCCCGCGTGCGGCCATCCATTCGCCAAGCCACTCTTCTGATTGACCAGCTTGGTACACGTTCGCAGTGTCGATGAAGTTGCCGCCATTTTTGTAGAAATGGTCAAGAATTGCATAGGCGGCATCTTTGCTGCACTCGCCATAGCGCTCTTTTTGTTTGTCACCAAAGGTCATGCTACCAAGACAGAGTGGTGAGACGCGTACGGCAGCGGTGGGGCTGAGTTGGCGATGACGAGCGAGCAGGGAATTCTGAGCGTTGGTGTTAGACATCTTGCCAGAGAAGTGGTTCGACAGCAGCGAGCAATAAGGCGGTAAAGTCAAGCAGCTGGTTTGCAGTACTGGACTCGTTATGAGGTTTGGTTTTCGATACGAGAAACCATTTTGATTGAGTGACAGATGAGATCTATATACGTTCCGGCTGCAACAGTGCTCTGTTCATCATCGTGAAGCCACGTAAATACGTGTGTAGTCGGAGTTAAGGTAGTCGGCGTCGTGTTGAGAACTCATTTCGATGTCATGTTCGAAGAGAATCTTTCTGCGCCATCGTTTGCACAGAGTGTGTCTCGGAAATTGCATCAGTTGTATGCTGCTTGTGCATGCGGCCGGCTTCGTCGGCAGATCGCACTCAGGTATTCTTGATCGGTGGTATTGGCATCGTCCTTGCTAGAGTGATTTTCAACGAACACTTGCAAACTTGCATCTTTGGTGCGTCACAAAAGTGACCCTTTGGCAGAGGTCTTGTATCGCCGTGTTAACGACTGTGGATCATTTCATGCAGGTGGATAAAGTTTCGGCCGACCATCAAGCTTTCAGTTCGTGTAAACTTCGGATGACACAGCGCGTCAACTCCTCTCACAACCGATCGAGCTGACAGGAGATTTTCAACTTCGTCAATTCTGCTTGAATACGATACAGGGCAGGCTTGTTGGTTTGCCGTCGCGGTGGCACGGAGGCTAACTGGAAGAACGCGGTTCGGGTGACCATCGTGGGCGATGCTAGTCGTAGTTGTGGGTGAGCAGCTCGGGCTCCAGATTAACTGCACTTCCTCCCTCATATATCGAATGGTCTTCGACATTCAGGAACACGTCAATGAATGTCTGCATCTCGAACCACTCGTGAACGGTGTTGCATATCGCTCAAGAACGACTTCCAAGGCCGCAATCGCAAAGCGCACACCGGTGCTTCTGCTTCCCTTGGAATCTTGAAACGTCCAAACACTCAGAGCAATAATAAGAGACAAGCACCGACCAATTCTTTCGTGAGCTTGTTCATCACCATTTGTCAACTAAATCGTAAATACTGATCATGCCATGTTGCACGTTTCACGCATCACACATATACTACAGACTGACCACGCTTGACAAATTGCTGGTTTCACGAAGTTCCTTTCCGTTCAGCAATCATGTGCTCACGCCTCGAAGGGAAGAGGAGCTCTAGTACGATTTTTGTGTTTCATATTGTCCCTGTACTACGTGCTTTCACTCACTCGCACTTCAAAATTTCACTTTTGCAGATACTATCCCTACAACTCGGCGGCGCAAGTGCGTTACTACTACGGGGCACATCGTCGATCGTCGAAAGAACACCTCCTGCTACTTTTGCAAGCCACTTTTGATCATGATCTAAACAACTCCGAATTGATCTGCCTCGAAATCTTCAGCTGACGCACAGATCTTGCCGCGATAATATTCCTTAGCTCATACTTTCAATGTCGTCCTTTGCGGACAGCGACCTTGTGCTTGCAGGCTACCTTGATGATGACTGCAAGAACGAAACATTCCGCACGGGGTTGAATGTAGGTACTTGTCTCTGGTCTTTCACCCAGTATGGCTCAATCTCCTTGAAGTGGCAGGCTCAAGGTATCATCGGTAAGCCAGCTGATCTAGGTACGCTCAATCAAATACTGATAGCGCCTTCTCGTCCAGGCAGTATATACCACTCAAAGCATGATTGCGAGAGCGGCGTCGATTTCTCCAGTCATCTTGTTAGTAGTGAACCTGGAAGCGGTCTGTGTATCGTGGTAAACGGCAAGCTTGCGACTTACGACGCCATAATGTTCGCGTCACGTACCGAGAGTTCAGTCGCTCCAACCACTACCAGCACCTCCGAAACCTCATCTTACACTACCTCATCGGAAACCATTCAGTCTACCTCGTCGTCCTACACAGAGACGGCGTCACCCGTTTCGTCTTTGATAACAGTATCGTCTTCCTCTCGTTCCTCTTTCACTACGTCTACCTCCTCTACTTTGACCACAGCACTGAATACCACGGGATCAGGAAACTCCACACAAACAGAAACCGGCTTGTCCACTACCGCCAAAGCAGGCATAAGTGCTGGTGCAGCAGTCGGTGCTTTCATTATTTTCGCCCCTCTCATATTCTATGTTCAGCGTCACTTACGCATATCATGGACGTCGCGTCGCGAACACCGACAGCAATATTTCTGAACACCAATGCTAAAGATCTACTGGGAGAACACCAGACACGAGTTCATGTCGAAACTGTAATATTGCACAACTTTGGAACAAGAGAGAGTCACGGTCAAGGCACTGGTTATATGATGTTCTCAAGCACAAAGGTTGTGACTCAGCGACCTACTTAGGCGAAAGGCGGAATTGATAATCAGGCGGTCAACACTTTGAACACTGAGCCGGTCGCAATGGCCAATATATTCGGACTGCACGTACCTATTGCGTCCTCCATGGAGCCGATAAGACATAGAAACATAGCGAGAAGAAACAGGCAAGAGAGAGTCAGAGGGCTACGGTAGCATCCCTGACCAAGACTTGATTTTTGATTTTTGATTTTTGAGCTGGACGGATATTGTCGAGTCGCAATCCAAGTCGAGGGTGAACTGGCCAGAAGTCTTGAGTTTCTGAGCTTCTTCCCACTACGTGCAGCGACACAATCGAGTGGACATACTGCTGACCCCAACGCAGATGAAGCGAGCTGTTGGTATGAAGACACTCATGCTATGTTTAGCAGCTACAAATAGCCAACAGCTTCACTAGCAAGGCGTAAAGAATACCAGCAACACCTACACTATTCGCCAAACATTGCACTTGTTGGTTGATACAAGGTATTGTCCTGACAGACGATGCAGACAACAGAATTACCTTGTGTTCTGTCTGGAGGTCAAACCACTGTGACTTCACAATCGTCCAGACGTTTCCCTTACGCAAGATTCAATCCTTACTGCTGCCATCGCAATTCAAACAGTACCGTGGACAGATACATATAAGTTCAAGCATGTACCACAGCAAGTCTCTCCCCCTGTCATGAGCACATCCCATATCCCATACCCCGTACCATCAATCCCAGTCCTTCCACCAAAACACACTCCTTCATAACAATGAACACACAACAACTCATCCACTACCAAAACCTCCCTTACGAGATTCAGCTCCGAGTAGTCAAGAACCTCCTTCCAAAAGACCTCGTCGCATTCGCTCGCACTAACACCGAGTCCCTTAACGTCGCGGACGTTGCACTCCAGGACGACTTAAGGAGTCTGGCGGGACGTGGGAAGATTGATGCGTTTAGGGAGTTGGTTACTATGACGAGGGTGGTTGAGGCGCGGAGGCACAGTGGTAGTGTTGCGGCTTCTAAGGCTCAGGCTGAGGCTGCTGGTGGGAATGAGTCTCAAAGCAGGAGGGAGTAGCTAGAAAATGCCAAGGTTAGCTATTACGCAGAAGACAGAGTCATTTCAGTATCACTGCGAAGCGTCGATTGACGGGGGAAGGCGGGTAGTAGAAGCTGTGTCATTTTTGGTGCGAATCTTGTGTCAATCTTTTCGCTTCGGCACTGACAATTTGCAAGTCATCACCAGCGCAAACTAGATCCTACAAGAACTTCTCACAACCCTCCAAATGTCAGACTTCATAAGATAGCCTTGTCCGACAAGAGTCAGTAAACGATGTGCTGAGGGGACGATCAAATATCATTTCTCGGCTCGTGCAAGTGCGGATGTTAGACTTCTCCGCACCTCAAGTCGGACTCCAGTATTAATCCACGTAAAAGCCCATTGGATGCAGTACTTTTTGAAGTGGCTCAATCAACGCACCAGGGTATAGCCCCGAACGCCAAATGATGCTCTGAAAACAAACGTCGTTCACAATCAGAATTCCTCGACAATAACGCATCCGTCATGCAACAAACAAGGCACATACCTCCTCATCTGACTTCTTCGTTTCGTACATCGTCTTTGCTCTTGCTGTCTCTCATCTTTCCTCTGATTCACCTTCTAGGCGACGGTCGTTGGTGATATGATTGCTTCTTCTTCTGCGTCTCGCGCAGCTTCCTGTAACGCTTCTTTGAGTGCAGTAGTCGGTGGCTCATTACCCGGGGGTAAGTCTGATCTGGTCTGGGTCGGACTGAGTGAGGACCCACTGTAGTCGAAGGAATCCGTATGATGATGCGTAGCTGTACTCACCTCGTCTGCTTCGTCACTCATATACCCTGGAGAATTGAGCACCGAGGTTTTCTCCGACGCAGCTTCTCCTTCTAGGACAATTGGATTAAATCTTGTCGGACTCTTGTGTCCAGTGGCAGTCATATGAGGATGAGCACTAGCTACCAAGCCTTCGTCTCCTAGTTGGTCATCGTCCGCTTGCGTGATCTCGAAATGAGGCTGTCGAAGAATAGGTTTCGTTGGTCCCTTTGCTCTTCCATGGCTAGCATTCAAGGCCTTCATGGCTGCTTCAATCGCTTGTTCCGCGCTCTTACTTTCGGGCATGTCTCGTTTCGGAGGAGTCTGCGATTTCGCGATGGGATCTTCGTCGCCGGTCATTAGGAGGCTTTGCCGTCTTTGAAGCTCCTCGAGTTTGATGATTGGATTCTGTTGACCACAATGTTGGCATGTGAGATGCAAAACGCCGTCATATTTAAGCAAAACTGGATTGGGAAATGTGCGGGAGGGACTTGGAAGTGAAGCGACGAACCCATTCATCTTGTTGTGGTACTCCTTGAGCCACTGGTAAATCACCTTTGCTAATTTCTTCAGCTATGCCAAAATAGTTCGTCCTACGGATGGGGGCTGGAGTTACAGGCAAACTTGGCCGCTCGACTTCTGTAGGGAAATCAGTTAATCTCAGGCTGGTTCGTCGCTCTCTGACGGGTGGTAGGTCATCCGTTCCGGTTTTTGATCGCGAATCATGGACAACCTGTATGGGTGCCTTCCGAGGTTTGTTGAAGCTTTCTATGAATCGAGTAATGTCCGGATCCTCGTCCCATTTGTTCGTCTGTTGTGAAAAAGCATCCCAAGGATTGTCAGGTGGGCGTGATCCTCTCGACTGGATATCGCCAACTAGACCAGGAGTATGTATTGTTCCAACACCTATTTGACTCATGCTAGGCGTGGTAGAAGCCATGGTTGGATCTGGCGCGAAGTATCGTGTGGGTTTAGGCGCCCTAGACTCCCATGGAAAGATGTGTCGTAGTGGAGAGGGTGGCCTTTGATCCTGATGTGGCTGCGCTGAATTTGAGGAAGTAGCATGCCTTCGCCTCTCATCTGGTTGAGGTTCCAGCATGGGCGCTACATCAGGCACTGGTTCGTCCACTGTCGTAGGTGCAAGTTCTGGCTCTGGTGGTGGTGGTGTCGACTCACGCGACTTCGGAAATACTCTTGTTGCCTTTGGTAGTCCTTTCTCTTCCCATGGGAAAATGGCTTTAGGTGGAGCCGAAGGAGTTGGTTTCTGCTGGGGAATATCATACCACATATCTCGTGGTGGTTTTGGATACTGTGTAGGTGGCTCGAATAGCTGTTTACTGTCTGACATCTCATATTGCTGTGATGGAAAATTCGCAGCTTCGGGCTTCGAGCCGGTTGGAGGTGGTTGAATAGCTGGCTGCCAATCAGTGTGTGGAGCTGACCAGCGCCTTTGCTCTTGCGTAGACATTGGTTTAGTCTCTTGTCGATCTATCCTTTCCTCCAGCGCAGGCTGGTCGCCAAATGGCCTTTCCATAGCTGCTTGATTGTGTTCAGGCGCTGTAATGTGTATGCCAGGCACCGACTGTGGCTGTGGCTGAGTTATCTGATATCCGTGGCTACTTCTTGGTTCAGATGCTTGCCCAGTAAGCTGATATGCAGGTTGGTGTGGAGTCTCTTCACCGCGTACATAATCTTGTACCTTTTTCTGCGGTTGCACGAACTGGTTGTAATCTACAGGAGCTGGTCTCCTGTAATGCCTGTCGTAGACTGACCACCATCTTGCTAGCAGCTCACTGTACACGCCGTGATCTCCTGTATGGTCTCTCCCTCTTGTCCATGGTTTATCTGCACCAATGAAGTGTATTATGTTGATACTACTTTGGAAGTGCCTGTATGCGGGCACGTATTGGTAGTTCGCATTTGGAGTGCAATTGTAGATGAAGCTCAACCTTTCCCAGTCGACAAAATGCATGTTCAGCAAGCCCTGATCCGCACCATCGAAGCTGATTCCCCTTCTAGCCAGAGCTAGCAGAGAATAATAGTCACCCATGTTCGGATTGAAGACCATCAGACCAGAATTGAAACAATCTGGCCAGCCCACATCTGGCACAGCGGCAAAGTTCGTGTCCATGGAGAGGAGTTCGTTCGGGGCTCGCAGGGCAACCATATCCGCGTCGAGGTAGATTATTCTCTTATACTGTGTCAACTTCCATAGCTCGATCTTGGTAAAGGTAGATATCAGGTCGGGCCTGTTCATAAGATAGAGGTTTGCGGGCTGTTGGTTGGCAATCTGCTCGACAGGGACGATGTCATCGTATACGGTCTGTTTAACTATCAGTCATGCTCTTTGATAGCAATCTTTTGCTCCGACCTGTAGCTCTTTTATTGTCGTCTGTGACAGCTTGTCGAGTACAACACATGCAATCAACTTTGCTTTTGCACCTCGATCGCGTAGGGAATGTCCTAAAACCATAGCACCTGAGGGAATTAGTGTTCAGTCCTCGAGTATCAGCTTTGGCATGTCTACTGACCTGGCAGGTAGCTATCTGTCATAACGAGCTAAATCGACCATTAATGCTTGTCAATCTTCTACGGATAGCACTCACTGTGGCGTAGACAGCGTAGAGCGCATCACGTTGAAAGGCCATGATGGACACTGGTGCCAGCTACTGTGGTGTGCGAAACAGAAACCCGAGCTCCAACTATGCATGTGGCTCTGAACTCAGGAAAGAGTATGCAAAGATGACCACGCTGTCGCAAACGGCAGAATGTTTGCAAAAATAACAAGACCAAATCAACAACGAAGACCTGCACGCACGGCGAGAAATGCAACTATTGATGATGGTATCGATGTGCCAGTGTTGCTCGACAGCTTTGCCGCCTCGAAATCTCCCCGCAAGGAAGTGACAACACCGTGCAGCACCCGATCGAGTCTAGCATCTGCAATAGCTTTGGTGGGCCTTTCAACGTCCAACGCGACCAGCGTTTGATTTGTTGAGCTTGGATCTGATCGATGTCTTGCTGCAGCTTGTCTTGTGACATTTGCACGACGAGTAAAATACGTATCCATAAGCGACATTGCTTCAGGCAGGCATTAGCTAGAACTAACTGGCTCACGAGGACCTGTAAGGCGGTGAGCAATCATGAGACTCTTTCGCACATTTCACCACTGCGAGATCTTGCAACGATAGTCCGGAAAGAGCGACAGCCTCACAACACGAGAGGTGGAGACCAGATCTATATTGACGTTACTGAATGAACAACTGTAATTTTGATAGCTGCAGGAAGGTTTGCTCAGAGGCTTGCTAGCGGGTCTGCAAGCTTTAAAAATGTGGGTGCGTCATTCGGTGGATTGAGGGCCGATTGAGCCAGTATAACCTCAAGATGGCTCGGCAAGTTGGACGCATGCACTTACTCGTCCATTGACCTCACAATTGCTGATGCTGTGTGCCACTACAGCACGTACCGCCTCGAACCTTAGGTCTGAGAAGTGTAGCACGAAGATAGAGCAAGTCGCCAGACTGCCTTAAGGTTCAACTCAACAGTTTCGTGTTTTCAAGCCTTCCGCAAGCAAAAATACTGTAATCTATACGCTAGCCATTCCGGAAATTACACCGGGCAGGAATCCGTTAACAACCATGTGCTGCGCGAACGTCCAAGCCATCATATACAAATATTTCGGCGAGAAGACTGTCCATACGAACAGATGTTCGCGCAGCACATAACACGCTAGCATCACCGTCGACGCGTGAACGGCTGCGAATTGACTCAAGATACTGAACCAGTCCGTCCAGGATCTCCCCTGGCTGTCATTCCTGACATTCGATCGCAGAATGCATGTAGTTGCCGATGTCCACCAAATTGGTCCTGCCCAGTTGCTGACAAAGGTTAGGATACCTACCATCAACACGTTGTATCCTGCAATACCATTGTACGCGTTGGAAAGATCGACCGAAGAGATGGCGTTTGTGCCACCGAAAGCATAGAAGCTTGAATACTGCATCATGAGCATAGTCAATAGTGTTTCGAAAGCATGTAGTCGTCTACCCTTCCTGAGTGCACTGAGCTGTAGGTGGAACAAGAGGAACAGAGGTATGTTGACTGTCCGTGTTTGTGTCATGAGGAATAGTGACACGATATCGTGAATCGTCTCCAAGAACGACGAAAGGTGCTCAGGGCTGGCCCATGGAGTCTCTGCATAGAGCGATAGCACTATCAGGTTTGCCAATCCTAGAAATACCACTCTTGCAAGACTCGTCAGTGGGTATTGAGATGCGAACTTCAGGATGGGGTCAAGAAACCCTAGACCTTTCATCAACTCTGGCGCTTCCGCAGCTGTGAATGCCAGCTTGAACACTAGTGCACTCGAAGCAACAAGTACAGGCAGCAAACCCGCCTGCTTTAAGTTCAGCGTGGTCAGTCTGTTGCGCAATCTTCGTTGCACTATCGCATAAGTGAAGAAAACAGAGGTCCATAACAGCCAAGGCGACCTGTTAAAGACTTCTCTTACCAGATCTGCTTCGCCAGCGTACTTTTGTCCAGTCTGGTTGAAGCGCCGCACAATTCCGAACAGGACGCATGAACCAATACTGCGAATAAGCGTGCCAGAATCTTTTGTGTCAACTCGTTGCTGCCTGACAGCCAGACTGACAAGCCAAGCACTTGTGATCCAGTACCAGAATTGGTGTTCCTCTTCAACGTAGCTGCTTGCGAACATGGTTGCAGAATAGGTCGCTTGCATGAAAAAGAAGAAAATGCTGGTGAATCCAGATTTGTTGAGATGTGTGTCATAGCTAATTCTCGGAGGAAAGCAACAAAGTACAGCTAGCACAATTCCCAGAAACATCAATTTCTCATTATACTTGCTCGCTGTACCACTCAGCTGAGCCTGCGCCTCTGTCAGAAAAGAGCTAATGAGTTGAGTGCCATCTCTGATGAACATGTACTCGTCGCTCGTGAAGGACTGGTGCATTTCCTTGACAACCAACCATTTACAAGCTAATCGTTGCTTCCCGGGTAGTGCCGCCTTGTTAGTACAAAGGGCCAGATCTCCGATTAAATCGAAAGCCTCAGGATATGTCGCATAAGCAACTTGTTGGATCTGTTGCGCGTTCTGGTAGAGGAGGTTATGGCGGTCTGCCTTGCTCTTCCACAGGGCTAGCATTTTCGGGATGATGGCACCTAGACTATTCTTTGGGACTGGAAAGCCTAGCAAAGCAGCCAACGTGGGAGCAACATCAGACTGATCTACCTCGTCGTAGAATCTATAATCTTGGGAATATGGTTGCGGACTTGCTTGACCCTCGAAGTACTCCTTGAACTTAGGGGAGATGAACGTAAGAGCAGTGGACACCTCGCCGGCTGAATTGGCACCATGATTGCCAGCTTCGTTCATGCCATGGTCGCCCAGCAGCACAAGCAAGGTTGACTGTAGGTGATTTTCTTGTTCCATTGCACTGTAGATTTGTTGCACAATAGAGTCCATCTCAAGCTGTTTAGCAGGCATATTAGGCCCTCGAGGTCCAGTCTTATGCCCGATATGATCAAGACCAAGATAATGCATGATCATGCCTGACCAGTCCTTCCTTCGGAGCTCATCCGGGATGTGCCGAGTTACATTGTTGTCAACCTCTGTGAAATCAGACACGAAGAAGCTTGTAGTGCCATCTGCACGGTCGAAGAAGTTTGGAAATAGCCTCAACCATGTATCGTCGCCATACATTACCAGCTTTCCTTCCGGCTTTGCCTTGAGTTGAGCTAGCCACGAGTCTTGTGTCGCTAAGGTTGATGAGGTATCTGATTCTGCAAAGTTCAACACTAAATCCAGGAAGCTCGGCACAGACCCTGTGGTGATCGATTTGACCCTAGGCATAGTGATAGTAGGCGGGCTAGCATGACCGGTAAATGGTATGGCAGCGCCGGACCTGATTAGGCCTTGCGTGAAGTTGAAGCTGGATGCATTTCCGTAGACAAAATCACTTCTCAGAGCGTCGACGACCATAAAGATTACCTTGTCGAAAGGCGCTGGGACCCTTCCAGGAGCATCCTCTGGCCATGTCGCAAGGCCAGGCAGAACGGCTTTGTGTGGGAAGAACCCTTTGGCGAAGACCAGGATCGCTACTCCGAGGACGAGGTTCCTGGCAACCAGCGCGATCTTGGTGGATAGACTGTCTTGTACCCTCATGGTATTAAGAGTGCGTGCCTCAAAGACTTCGTTTGGCAAATCAAGACAGCGCGAACCACGTCCGTATGCTGCTCCATCTCACTCTTCCCATAGTCTTGGTAATGTACAGCAGAAGGAGAAATGTGATTTTAAACGTGTCAAATCAGGAGATTGGCTACGGGTGACCGCCTATACCATACTGGTATGACGCAATGAGCCAGCCACTTCTACTTCGAAAGCAGCTATGCGGAGCTGCGTTATCCAACTTCGTTGCCAACCGTAGCAGTCATTCTCACGCGACATCATGAAGATCGAACAGTGAAGCCTTTGTTAGCTATTGTGACACGAAGGTCGGTAGAGAGCTTCCGCCTCTACAGCTTTCGAGCGCTTCCATTTCAGAGCAACATCATGTATTACACGCGTCTGTGACGTCTTTATGACCACCAAGTCAGTATGTCTCGACCTAATACCTTTTCCATCCATCCTATCAACAAGTTCAGCAACCTAGGTGCGGCAGTACGACGTCCACGTGAAATCACCTGTTTCTCGTTCGACGAAGATCACAAATACAGACAAGACGATTCCTCGTTACGATACTACTACGCTCCACTTCTCCCAGCCGACCTAAACAAGGGCTTCGACAGCTTTCGCAATCTAGATGATACAGCGGACGATCACCTTGATGGACTGCTACAGGCTCTAATACACTACGAGGGCGAGAAGAAGGCCAAGCTAGATACAGACTTCGTGACATGGCGCGGCATGATGACCAAGATCATGATTGTGCCATTTTCGAACCTCGATAGCTGGGAGATGAATGCAACCATGTTTCAAGACACTATCTTCATTGAAGAGAACCATGATAAAAAACTAGACAATCGCCAAGAACAGTATGGTCAAGCTCCTGTTCGAGGAGCTATGAGCCAGGATCTTATGAGCTATTGGGGCTACAAGTTCGAGGCCATCTCCTTACTCAATCAGCATTGGTGCTACACAGATCGCAAAAACATCGAAACCAGGGACGATCTTCAGGTGAGCAACTACGCGCAATACTGCTCCATCGTCCGCACTGGCTTCGGAAAGTCGAAAGTCGTCATTGGAGGAGAAGTCGACGCGGTCAAGGATGTCAAGCCACCAGAACAAGGTGTACCAGTAAACTGGGTAGAGCTCAAGACCACCTCAGAACTCGTCAATGAAAAGGAACAGACCAAGTATGAGCGAAAGCTGCTCAAATTTTGGGCACAATCTTTCCTGCTTGGAGTGCCGAAGATTATTGTTGGCTTTCGAGACCAACAAGGCTGGTTACAGAGATTGGAAGAGCTTGATACACAGACCATACCTGACAAGATTCTGAAATCTAGCCGTCGACTATGGGACGGACAAATTTGTATTAATTTTGCTAGCGTTTTTCTTGAGTGGTTGAAGAGTACAATCACAACCGAAGGCGTTTGGCGAATTAGGAAGCGAGAGAAATCACCAGTGCTAGAGGTCTTCAAGCTGGAAGAATCTGGTACTGGGAACATTCTGTCAGATCCCTTTATTGAGTGGCGTACGACTATCTTGCCTGGACTCCTGCCAGTACCAAATGGTGAACCTGACTTGAAGGAGAAACCAAAGGACCTCCATCGAATAGCTGATCCCCAGCCACCCTAACAGCTGCCTCACCCGGTCGTGCCGCTGAGTTAATTCGATCATGCTGTGATCGGCAATGAGCCTTGAACGCGGAGTACCTTCATGGGAGCTGATGCTAACAGTTTCCGCTCGACTGCCTGGATTCCAAGCTTATCTTCGCCTCGCCTTCGACCACAAAGACCAAAGACATGCTACAAAACAGTGGCTATTCACGAGTGCATGACCTGAAGTCATGGGTGGAGCTATTGGTTATGATGCCACCACTTGCAGGTGGGCTGCGCAGCAGTCTGACTTCTATGATCGTCCAGTTCGTTCTGGTCAGGTGAGTCCTTCGCCGCTTCGTCTCTAGGAATCGGTTAGTGCATTCATCCGGCAACACCATCCTCGCTCCGTGCAAACGTCGTCGCTACGCCTGTTTCCTGTCGTGAAAGATATTCGTCGCGTTTTGAGCGTTTTCGAAAGCCAGCTAGCACTTTCTGGTGCCTGCGGCTTTTCAGGTGTACCTGCCACTCCTGGTCGTTCATCAGAACAGTATCGCATGTTTCGCATACATGTGTTTGCCGTATCAGACCTTTTTGCTCTTTCATCTGCGTGAATGTACGTGTTGCAAGCTCAGACGTTGCATAATTAGCAGGTAGCGCCTCCCCTGCAATGAAGCAATCTACAATCTGCGAACTGGGCATAAACACTGATTCGGTCCAGTTTTGAAGGTTCGTACTATCCAGCAGAAACATCCTGTCCATAACATTAGCAGCCTTCAAGGCTTTGGCGAGTCGACGCCGTATCCATCGATTCTGCGTGTTGGCATATTGTCGAGTAGCGATCTTCACGAGATCCAGGCCTTCCTCCAAGGCTTTAGAAACACAATCGTCCTGAACCATGCCTTTCTCGTGGTCTTGACGTTCCTGCATGTCCAGCCATGACCAAAGTTGTTTGTATCCAATGGCGACCCAGATACCTTTCGTCAGATCAACTTCTAGTCCATCGAACTTCGCTTGCTTCTCCACCTTACGCATAGCTTGCACCTCTTCCAGCATGCCCTGTTCTACCATCGTGTCCACCCTGGCATCCAGACGTGTCTGCAAAGTCTTGCTTTCTGCATTCAGCCAAAAGATCAACGGATCGTATCGGAGGTGTGAGCCTCCTTCGGAAGGCGAGGTCTCTTTTCGAGCCTTTTGTGCTGCGTAGATTTCCGAGGCCTTCTGTCCAGATTGAAGCCAGATTTCTAGTGCTCTTTGGACCTTCCTTCTGTCTTTTGGATGCCAGGTTTTAGCTGCTTCGGGGTCGACTTCTAGCAGCTTTGCGTATATTGCTTCCGTGGGTCCTTCTAGAATAGTGAGGTCGGATCGTTTCTGACCGTCGATTAAAGCAGCGTTGTCGACATCCTCTGCAGTCTCTGAATCACTTCCGCTCTCGTTACCATTCTCACTGTCGTCCAAGACACCGTTCAGTAAAGCACCTTGGAACAGCAAACTGTAGACGTAAAAGTTGGTGCCTCCAACCAACACAGGCAGTTTTCCACGCTCGCGAACCTGCCCAATTATCCTTGAACTCTCGCTCACGAAGTTGTGCACCGTCCACGGCTTTTCGTGAAGTTCGATCTGGTCGAGAAGATGGTGAGGAATACCATTTCTCTCAGCTTCAGGAATTTTGTTGGTTAAGACTGGAAGTCCGCTGTACATTTGCATTGCATCTGCGTTGATGATTTCGCCATTGAACTTGGTCGCAAGCTCGACTGCTAGCTGCAACTGTGTTAGAGACGTTAACAACAATTGAAAGGCTTTGACGTACTTTGGACTTTCCACTGCCCGTTGGGCCAAGAACCACAATCAAAGGCGCCTTAGGAGGAGTTTTAGCCATGGTCGATACGCATCGTCTCACAAGCCTCCCTCCAAGCAGCATAACCAAGTCTCAAAAACAACATGTTGCCAAAAACACGGACAGATGAGACATCATGGTTTCGCTGATTGAGAGATAGGTGTGAATTGAGGCAAGCAGCCTCATGCCGCTAAGCCTCGTACTGAAAGAATGCCTTGGCGCCAACGCCAAAGCTCCGCAATTCCGCTGTCGAGTTCCAACCACTTCCCAAGAGTTACACTTGTCCCGAATACCACTGCGTGTCTCGACCGAGTCGAGGTCACAGCGCTGCTAGGAGCCGTTATGCAGCACTCAGAGTCATACGGCTTGCTCGACTATCGTGCAACTTAAATGCACGTTGCCGAAGTCGCGCAATGGACGCGACACGTTATGAGCACCGTGATGGTACGATGAACAACAACAGTGGCGCTGGCTCTCAATTCAACAATAATGGTGCTGGTAATCAGGTCAACTGGCCAGGACCAGATGGGACTGCTACCTTCAATTTCGGCAGTTCCGCAAACCACTCAAGCAGTTACGGAAATGTTGTCGTCAGTGGGCAGGCTCATTTGGGCAACCAGTACAACTTTTACAATCATCCGAGCCCAGCTATACGTAAGCTACCTGCAGTACCGGTAACAGGAGTCTAAGGTGTACCAGCAGCGTCAATCGTCGTTAATCCCAAAGAACAAGTCATGGCTTTGCTCCGAAACGACGAGACTTTTTCCCGGTATGCGCAAGTCGAAAAGTCATTTGGGAACAGCTTCTCGTGGCTCTTCGAAAACGAGGGCCTCGGATTTTCAAGGTGGTTGGAAGATGACACAAGCTTGTATTGGATCAGAGGTAAGCCCGCATCAGGCAAATCGACCCTGATGAAGATGGCGTATAGTCATCCCAGAACTCAGGCCATTCTGAAAAACAGTGACTGCAGAAGAGCCGGAGCAGCCTTCTTCTTCCATGACCGTGGATCACTTTATCAGAAATCATTCGTTGGGCTGCTCTGTAGCATATTGTATCAAGTTCTGAGTGCCCTTCCAGAGCTTATCGAGCACATTCTACCTGCGTTTGGCTCTACCCTCACAACTCTCAGGACTAGAAGGTTACATCAGGATATTACCCTCTCTTTGGCGGAACTGCAGACTGCATTCGAACTAGTCTCCACGCAGACCGTTTATTCGGTGCAGATTTCACTTTTCTTAGATGCTCTGGACGAATACTCAGGCAAACATGAGGACATTGCTAAATTTCTGGTTTCCACGGTAAGAACAGCAAACTCACTGACTGCATCAACTAGAATCAAAATATGTTTTTCGAGCCGACCTCTGAACATTTTTCTTGACTACTTCTCAGAGATCCCGGGTTTTTTCATGCAAGATCACACTATTGCGGACATGGAGATTGTAGTGGATACCATCCTTCGTGGAAACCGGAGGATGGAGCAGCAACTTGATAGCGAAGATGGTCTTGTCAATGGTCCCGTTCTGCTTCTACGGCAGCAGATCCTCGAACGTGCGGATGGGGTTTTTCTTTGGGTTCGACTTGTGCTGGACGAACTGCTAGAGGCATTTTGTGACGGAGCAGACGTTGTCCAGCTGAACACGCTTCTGGAGTGTATTCCTAATGATTTGAACGAATTCTATCTTAGGATTTTGGATCGGATACCACAGAAGTACAAGGAGGACGCCCTGATCATGCTGGACATCGTGCGATGTGTTCTTCAACCTCTGAATGCAGAAGCTTTCTACGACACCTTTCGCAATGCACAGTCGGAGAAACTGGCGACCTTTGAATTCTGTAATATGAGTGTTGGTTTGTTGGATAGACTCGAGAGGCTGCTACGTAGCCGCACAGGCGGCCTCCTAGAACTGGTCGAAATTGAGAGCCAGAAATATGACATTGGTCGGGACGTGGATGTATATCGAGTGCAGTTCATCCATCAGACGGTCAAAACGTTCGTACAACAGTCGAACACACGCCTGCGGCTTCACAAGCGGGCTTCTAGCACTACCGGTTTTGAGTACTATCTGAGGGCACAGTTTGCAGCTGCCGGACGAGTCTATAGGCTAAGCGATAAACATATGAAGACTCGGCTTGAGGGTATCTTGGGGTACAAACTTCACGAGTTTCAACTGCCTGTGCACTTTTCGATTGGCCTTCTAGAAAACATGGCGTACGCGGAAGTAACTACTAGGAAACCATTGACAAACATCTTGAGATTGGCTACAGACGAAGCAGTGGTAGCAGCGTATCACACGCGCCTGTGGACAAAAGATACAATGTATTCAGCAATAAACACAGTCACGGAGTTGGCAGCTGTAGCCGGGCTCCATCTCTACCTGAAAGAGCACTTCACGAATCGTCCATTGCCTGCGCCTGAAGCCGATCGGCTGTTGTGTATCGCGTTGGAAAGTTTTGAGATGGGCCTGATGTCTATTAATTCACTGACAGAAGTCTCCTGCTATCCTTCAGTCGTTGATACAATACTGCAGGCCATGACAAGAGACACGCCCGAAATAAGGCTTGAGGCATTTGAAGAATTGTGTCGTATCAGCGTCGATACCCTTCGTCCTGAAGGAGTCTGCTTTTTGTATGAGGCCATAGAGCTTTTCTTACAGCATGGTCAAGACGTAAACATGCTTATGCAATTTGAGATTAGAGGACGCGGCATTGTGAAGAGCACAGCACTACATTTTGCTGTGCGGAATTGCAATATGCAACAGGTCACTCTCTTGTTGCGTTATGGTGCATTGGTAAACACGTTGAACACGTTTGAGCAAACGCCTCTCGATGTGGCTTACAAGGGAATTTGGCAGGACTCAGGTGAGAACGATTGTCAAGAAATGGTCACGATCATTGCACGACTGCTCGATACTGGAGGTAAAATCACTTCAAAACGAGGCAAGACATGTGTGGATGTGCACCTCCAACGTCTTTGGCAGGCTTTCCAGCAAAATCGAGAATTACATGATGCTACTGGTGAGCATCTTGTCGAACGAATTCTCCATCCGCCGATACTGGTTATAGGAACGAGCTTCAATGGCGTCCACAGAACCATGGCCTGGGTCAAAGACAAGATATCTAAGAAGTCAGAGGGAGCCACGAAATAAAGCCTACGGACGTGCAGCCCAACTAAGAAGTACTTGCAGCGCACAAGGATACCAATACAGTCTGTGGAAGTCATGCAATCTCACTGTAACTGACACAGTGCCTTCGCTGCAGTATCGTAGGGACCACCAGTGCTTTTCTGTTGCTGCAGTGTGACGGACCAGCAATCTGCCAGCTTCTGTACTCATGTAACCGTGCAAGCCCTTAGCAGGGGAACACAGTCGATGACGAAGAGAACTCACTAGAAGCTGAACATGAAAATCCTAAGGAGTCCAGTACGAAACATGGACATGATCCCTAACTCGATCAGCCTCGCTCAACCATCACGAAGATTTGCACTTACCAATGATGAACCCTCATCCCCGTCTGCCCATCTGGCTCCTGCGCTCGCCACTCACTCCATGACTTCGGCTGATCTGGCGGATTGCGAGTCTTCCTATTCCAAATCTTCTGGCCCCAGATCACATACTTGACCTCAAGATCCTCAGCATTCCTCATCACCCACTCCGCAATCTCTTCACCGCACATAGTAGCTTGCTCAAGAGCATCCGAGACCAGGATGTCCGTAGCTGTGCCGTTATTGTGGTCCGAACCAGGATCGTTGCGCTTACATCCCACTTCACGAATTCGTCCTGGCCAGGCTTTCTTGATGGCTTCGGCTCCCTTGATGGCGATGTCGGTGCAGCCCCCTTTGTAGTTGTCGTTGCCGCCGTCGTAGCCACCGCAGCCGTCTTCAGATGATTGGCAGCATTTGAAACTCGCTGGGCCTGGGCATTGGCCGGACACGGAGGTGCCTTTGCAATCGCTCTGCCAACGACAGTTCCCGGCGACGAGGAGGTCTTGACTCAGGTCTTCGAGGGCTTGTTGGGCGCTGTCGCAGCTTGGTTTGGTGCAGCATTTGACGTTGTCGGGTGTTTTGGGGCAGGCACCTGTGATGGTTGTGCCGCCTGCAGATTTACATTTTGATTCTTCTAGGCACACGCCTGTGGAGAGGGAGAGAGGTTAGTATGTGGAAGTCAAGGTATGTTGACTAGAGACGAGGAGGATCTACAAACCAGGACCGCCATCTTTCCCAACGCAGGGTTCATTGACCGTTGAAGCAACGATGCTCACCACAAGTAAACTCAACACTTCGATGGATAGTCTCATTGTGGATAGTACAATTAGTAACCTAGTTAGGAAGCAACGCTATGAGCACGCAGCACGTCTTTATAGACTTCAGCCCCACCTACTTTGACATGCAGCCACCACGTTCGGTCCTCAAAATACGTCGAAGTCAGCCGAAGCTCGTATCTGCACGTCTCCGAGCTCTCCCACCGTATCGACACCAAAGGCCAATAACGGCATACAGGCAGTTCGAGGCTACCTACAGCGGCCTGAGAGAGCGGTGTCTCGCTTAAGGTGAGGAGTGCGTCGCAAGCTGGACCAATCGCGTTTGTGCCAAGCTTTGCTCCCGTGCTTGGCATGATGGGGAAGAGGGCAGTTTCAGCTGTGCTTGTTTTGTTCACCGGTCGTGAGTGAGACGTTCCAGATTAGTTGGATGGTCTCCTGTTCTGAAGTCGATGAACGTCAGAGCGCAAAATTGGTGACGCTTGCCTGTAACTACAGCAAGGTGCATTGTTGACTGACCTGAGAGCTGTATTTCTGAACAGGCTGAGGAAATGCGGAGAGGCATGCAGTAGTTTCTCTTCCGCAACACTCTACTATTTCGAGTCTGAAATCTATACCATGATGAACCCACATATAATGCATCAAATGATCACTGTTGTTTTGCTAGACACATAAAAGACCACAGTGAGCCTTGGTAGTATTTGATGGCAATGAGTATCCACAAATGGCAGTGTCGATACTGGCCGGATATGTTGACCAGAGTCCACAAGCTGTCCGTCTTGTTTCCAAAGTGGCAAAGATCATTAAGGCCAAGGCGAAGGTCATCGGTGTCCCAGTACGAAGCTTGCACCATTAAGCTGAAACGCATGGTAAGACGGTCGTGACCGTTGACAACCTGCTTCTCCATTCGTAATAGACAAAGATGACATTTCCACCAAGATTCAGCAGAAGATAAAAGAGGCCAATCAGTGAGTAGGTCACTGGTAGGGAGGGTGCGATGATGGTATGACCGAATAGCTTGGCTGGCAGAGAAGAACCACACAGGCAACAATATCAGCAATAAAGAATTGGACATAGAACAGTCGGATTTCGATGCTTCTGTCTTTCCTTGTGACAGTGCTTGGAAACTCATTAACAGCTGCTGGTCCTTGTAAAGATTCGAGTGTCAATACAAGCTCTACTGCCTGCTCGGCCTCCTTGGATACATGGTCGTCTGTCAACCATAGCGCAGCAGGAAGTCTTAGCAGGCCGATGATAGCAAGAAACATGAAGATTGAGTCTAACGCATAACCGCCGAAGCCGTCCGAGCCCAATAGCAGGACGGATATAGCTCCTCCTGCTTGCAGCACAATGACCCAGGTTTTCAAGCTGTTGATCGAAAAAAGTCCTTGCTTCGCTGAAGGCGGCGGACGAATGCAGAGAAATGGAGCTTGATGCATTATCGCTTCTGGACAGTCCAATCCCTGATCCGTCCAGGTTATCGGGTCTAGCGACGTGTAGGCGCGTTCAGTCTGAAGCTCAAACTTGTTGTTGAACTGCAGCTTCATGGATTAATATTCGTGGTGAGGGGGATGTACCCTTTCTTGGAACCTTTGAGCTGCGCATATCGACGGATTCATATCGTGCTAGATTGTGTAAGATGGTCGGATATATTCTGGTGGTCGTAGTCAGTAAGAAATAGCACCAATTCGTTGGTTATCAGAAGCATCAGATGTAGCATCCCATCAATCGAGGAACAACACCATTGGCGAAGCATGGTTACAACAGAGCTTTGAGGTGTTTGTTTCACCGTCGTATGAGCCACAAACAATTGTAGCGTGAACACGACTAGATCTTACCATGGCTTATGGGTTGTCGTAATATCGCGGTGACTCTTCCAGGATCCGTGTGCTTCACCACACTTTCGGAAATCAGTCGGGCAATGCGTAAACACGCGACTCCAATAAAAGATTTCTAGTAACGCGCGATGGAGAGCAGAAACTCATCTGATTGCACCTCCTTCAAGACAACCATCACGAGCGGTTGCTCCTGTGTTGAGGACATGCTACGGTTGATGAAAGGGTTAATGTGTCAACGCAGTATTGATCACAAAATTCAACCGTATCTACTCTTTCTTTCTCTCTCCTTGCCATATGGTGGATGCACAGCTTCGTCCACTAGTGCACGAGCTGTATGCCAATGCTATCGCTCAGTATTTCGGCAAGCTCTCAATATCAGGTGTTTCCAACCACCACGTCCTGATTCCTTTCATTCCACTAATGTAGCATTCATCCAACCAAACAGCGCCAAATACCGATGCTCCTTCAACAGCACTTTTTCCAATCTGACAAGTCCTGCACACTTGTTCGTGTCTTCAGTGTTCATCTTACCCTGTTCAGCCTTCGTTCGATACCATATGCAGCCCTGACAATCATCGTCGTGCCTGATTTTGTGGAGAAGGTCAGCAGCTTTGTCCAGGTGTACATGTTTGGAAGCACTGTTGTCGCTTCTTTTGATAGGCGTGTTTACTCCAATGAGGGCATGTGTCATTGCATGTAATATGGGGTATTGGTGGATGGAAGGTAGGTTTACGGCGTCGTAGAGAAGGTTGAGGCCTGCCTTGAGGTTTTCAGAGAGCTCGCCTGTGGTGTTTGAGATTGAAGCTGGTTTATGCAGGTGTTTGCAGGCCTGTCTGAAGAGGATGTGAGAATCGTTGGAGGGTGTGTATGGCGGCGGCTCATCCTTTGGAATTGAGACATCGTTGACAGCGGCAGCTGTGACCGCAGCCTTTCGCGTTCTGGGCGGCATGATGGAGGACGGCAATCCTTCGGAATGTGTGAAGGTCAAGAGTTTAATCTTTCGTGGTTGAGATCGCTTCAATTAGGTCTTGTTGTTGTCTGCTGTTTGGTTTGTCTGAATTCTTGTCGTCGTTGTCTAGAATAGAGTGTATTGTCCTCGCTGAAGATCTCTGAGAGAATTCTGTCGGGGTCGTGCATGTGAGATTGGTGAGATTCTTTTGCTCTTGTAGCTTGCTCATTCTGGGTGAAGGTGAAGGTCAATGGTATACATATTGTAAGTACTGGCCTAAGATGTCATGAAAATACTTTCGATTTAGATCTAACAAAATCTCTATACAGAAATACAATGAAAATGTGATTTTGCACCAATACACAGAGATGATCGCCTATTTTATATTCCCACAATAGCTTTGAAGACCATAAAAAGAAACTCACTTTTGCCTGCTACAAATATGTCATATTTATGCCCTCGACTTTTAGATTCGTCCTCGAACGTAGAGGTCATTTGTCATTATTCAGATCAGCTTCAGTCTCCTCGCAATCAATACAGCGCACGTAACAAACAAAGCAATAGACGCAACGATACCACCGAACCACGCATAGCCGCCCACATCCTGTCCAGGAATATGAACATTCATACCAAATAGACCTGTGATTAGATTCAGTGGCACAAGAATGGTGGCGACCACGGTGATTTTGGCCAGTGCCTTGTTGGTACTGTTACCCTTAAGTAAGTGGTCGACCGACAGCTGAGCCAGGTAATTGGCATGCGAGCGACTGAGCATCTTCTCGACGTGACCTAAGTTAGACATCATGGTCACAACGTGATCCTGGATGTCACCAAGATATAGACCGATGTCGCCACGAGGTGTTATATCGTATTGCTCGTTGCACCTCTTCGCAAAACCTTTGATGACATCTGCTTTTCCGCCTAGTAGTCGCATCATATTGAGAACACGCTTCCGAGCTTCACCTATCTGCCTTAGAAGCGCGGCGAAGTCGTCTTCGCGAGCGATGAAGACCTGGTCCTCGATGTTCTCAGACTCAGTCTCAGCCCCGTGTATGATAGGAGCGAAAGAATCGACAATATCGTCAATAAGGGCGTAACAGATATAGTCCGGACCCAGGGAGACGAAATCACCAACCTTGCTGATTCTTCGACGAACATTGCGAGCGTGCGGATTCGGGGTATAGCTGAAAGAGAGTACACCGTCGGGAGTGACAATAATATAGAGATGGACAGGCTCCAGGAAATCTTCTGACAGTTTGTTCATGTTGAACGAGCGGAAGCACACGAAATAGTAGTCACGAAACAGCTCGACCTTCTCACGTGGTTCTTGAGTTTCGATGTCCTCTTTAGTAAGCCTGTGAAGTTGAAATGCAGAAGCAAGAACATCAAGCTCGGCCTGAGTGGGATTGACGACATCAAGCCACCAGACACCACCCTCTGGACCAACGTCAAACAGTTCGGAAAACTTGCTGCCATCCGAAACATAGTCGGCCAGTGTCTTTGCAAACTTCGGCTGCTGAACATCAGTGGAGAAGAAAGTGAAACGATCAGGCACTTGCTTTGCGTCTGCCGATGGTGTAGTATTGTGTGTGGCAGTGATGCCAGAGGATACTGAGGCAAGAGGCTTTTCATAGAAGTTCTCTCCATTTAGAGCAGCATTCTGGTGATCGTCTTCAGCCTGACGCTGATCGTGGAAAACTTTCTTGTCGCTTCCACCACTGATACTTCGAGAAGCGAGATCGAGGGGAATCTTGCCTTGCTTGCATAGAGCAACGAACTCCTCTAGCTCCTCAAAGTCAACTCTATATGTCTTTCCAGGCTCATCATCAATGACAAAACTTGCATTGCGTTCGGCATCTTCGTGTGTAGCTACTCGTGATTGCAGTCCAGCAGGAATGCTGATATTGCTCAAAGTTGGCCTTCGGGTCTCTGTATGTGAAGGAGCCGCTCTGAATCGTGGAAGTTCGACGGACTCAGTCACACTTCCGATGGTGTTAGCTCGTTGTCTTCGACGTGGTTCTGCGAACGCTTCGACAGAGTTGGCAGGTGAAGTTGATCGGGAAGAAGAATTATCTCGTGATCGTTCGGTTTGACGAAGGATTCTAGGTCGACCAACTCTTCCAGCAGTATCTCGTCTCGCTGAGCCTCTCCCATTGACTCGTGCGACAACATCGGAGCCAGCCTCACTCCCATCGCTAATGGCCAATTCATCCTCGAAATCTCTGGCTATGCTAGGGTGCGCATCGTTGGCCGAGCGAAGGGCATCATCGACATGAAGCAGGTCCGTCGGAGTCAAGACACTTGCTCGTGGAGTGGCCTGCTGCAACTCCAATGTAGGAACTTCCATGTGCTGCTGTGGAGCGGGTCTCGCTTGGATAGGAGCAGCAGAACTACGTCTTGGTCGGTGGTCGTCTAGCTCGGGAGCGGGAGTGCTGAACCGAGTGTTCAGCGTCTCAATGCCCGGGGTACCGTCGGACGACATCGTGCTCGGCAAGATATGGTATACGAGATTGTGGTTGTAGTTCGTTTTTCGATACGAGTTGCGCTTGACTGCGCCTCAAGCGCAGACTACTATCTGGTTGATTAACCCAGCGTGAAGGTATTGTGAGACTGCGTAGTAGTCCAACTCGACCTCGATAGCTCAATTCAATGTATAGAGTTTATGATGTAAGATCGAGTCCAGTTATGGAGGTCGAGTTGTACCACAGAAGACCAGGAATGCAGTGCCCAACAATGGTCGGATTGGAACCGCAACAATCGTGAAGGAAGCCAATTTGGCGAAATGACTACTTAAAGGATCGTTGTCGAGCGCCAGATTGAGTAGGGTAATCGTGGTAGAAAGACTATAGCAGCCTTCCTACACTATTTGCGAAAGATCGTGTTGGTAGAGCTGCACTTGGTGTAACTTCACAACGATTGACCAACGGCCGCGACGAGAGTGGCAGATAAGACCAATCGAAAACTGATAGATATAGTGATATGAAGGACCAGTAGATACTGTGGGCAGATCGAAATGCTATATGAGGGACAAAAGTTTGAGTCTGCTAGCTAACAAATTGCCTGTGACTGTGAAGATTTTACGTGACTCTCGGCTGTGAAGGCAAGGGGTAGGGATGACAAAAACAAGCATTCTAGTGCTCCATCGTCTTGCCGACGTTGCATGTGGTAAGCGTGCTCCGATTGGGCTCTAATTCACTTCGTCGCAACGAATCCGGTCCAATATTCTTTACCGAACCAAAGTTTGGATTTACCCGTGTGTACCACAACCCTATCGCCAGCTGCGTTCAACCCCAGATCTTGATTTCACATACGCTCGCGACACAATCACTCCTTACGTTTGTTATTGGGCCAGAAGCAACACGCCCGAGGGTCAACAATAAGATGGAAGCCATGATCAAGCAAATCCAGGATGTCTCCGAAGGACAGATCGTGAGTCAATCCAAAGGTAAAAGGCTGACTCAATGAGAACGCTAACTCGAGATTTAGGACTTTCAGGGTCAGAGAGTGACTGAGTGGTTGTCTACGATAATGCTTGTCCTGACTTCGGTACTGATAAACCACGACTATGTTTTTTATGCCTGCTAATACGAAGCAGCTCGTGGGTCTTGCTATTGGCTTCGTTCAACAAGATATACACCTTACGATGTGGATTACTCTGGCAGGCACTGTAGTGACGTTACTCGTGGTTGTGCCACCATGGCCATCGTTCAACAAGAACCCTCAACCCTGGCTAGGCTCACGGACAAAAGTGTCGCATGGAGGGATAGTGGTTCAAGGCATGAAGGTCTCTTAATTCTGCTTGCCTTGAGACGGAGATACGACAACGGCATCTGATATGGGTATTTTCACATCGAGCCTGTTCAAGCCTCGGCTAGCGTTTCCCTTACATTCAGCGTTAGAATCATGTCTGAGCCTCCGTTCCCTCTCCACTTATCCTCTGACTGACAGTGATTGTGGCCTGTACCGATCCTTGCAGTAATACTCGTTCCGCCTTTATTCGTTTCATCGTAAAGCTCATGACAATCGTCCACACGTACGCCGTACCCATGCTGTTCCGCATCGTTGACCGTATGCTGGAGCACACCCACAATCTAACGACCGTATTTCTGGAACTCCCAGTCTCTGTTGTCTAGCGGACATACTTGTCTCGTCTTGAGCCATCTCGATATGCAGTGAAAGTGAAAGGCGTGATTGCATATTCCCCAGGCGACTGTGCACTCTTCATTTGTGGCAGCTCCTTGGTTGGCCTGGCACTCGATGCACAGGTCCATGATGTGGTTACGGCAAATGGCGCAGTTGTCGACGACTATATCCCAGGCCCAAAGAGCAACTGCATTCCACTGTCCCAAGTTAGCACTTGACTCTTTCCAGCACTTCAACGAGGGGCCGCATACCTTTTTGACCTCGAATTTCTTCTTGTTGTCCGTAGGTGTGTCTACTCCACCAGACTTTGTCGTCTTGAGCTTAGATTGTGGTGTAGAATCGGCAGTTGCGTCCTCCATCTCTACATCGGCCATGTTGGGAGAACGAGATGTTGAAAGGGATAGAACGACTGAGAAGATAGACTGAGAGTTGTTTGCTGGCTTGACGAGTTAATGTACAAACAATTGAGCAAGCGACACAGTGACTAGACAGTGACTCTCAATCCATTGCTGGCGCCACGAAGTGACAAACAGCCTCACGGACATGCAATTGCTAGGCAGCAATTCAGGCATGCTCTTGCCACATGCGGCGGCCTGCGGACGTCACTCTCCGCCAGGGCTTGTCCGGTCGCAACAGCTGCGCACGTATTCTCTCACCACCATTCATGCCCAAATCTCTTCTCAACTACAAGACCCGTTCTATCGTAACAACAGAAGCTCTAATCTTCTACCTCTGCATACCACTGTGTCATTCAGTCAATCGTGCTGGTCGCTTCAATCGCGCTTGCTCGTATTGACAAAGCTCTCCCACCCTCATCCCAGACAATCGACAATGAACAATACGCCAAATCCGCTTAGATCAATCCAACCAAGAATACGCAACCTGAGTTTGTACGCACATCGAAAGCGGACGAGATAGCCATCTTACAAGTCCTCGACATACTTTCGATATACCCCAAACCCCTTTGGATTCGATTTATCGCATTTTGATTTTGAGCGCTGCAGCATTTGGTCACTTTTCAGTATCTCAGGTCGAAGGTCGCCTATTTAATCAGACCTTACTGTATACAAGATGCAGACACCACAGAAGGACGAACCACAGCCAGGTGCTCGAAGGTCCTCCAAACAACATCGACCACGTACGGAGCACAAAGTGCAGTCCGATAACGACATCACCCAGGTGAATCAGCAAGAAGGAGAGCTGACACCTTCGAAGAAGAATAGAAAACCACGTAAAGCATCGAACGCGAGGAAGAACGGGGTGCAGTCAGATGTGGGTGAGACTATAGATCAAGGCCAGCGGCACGGCAACTACCACGACAGAAATAAGAAGACCCCAGCTAAAGCAATTCGAAGCGACGCCTATGCAGGGCCTACCTTTCATCAGTCTCCTGCCGCCTCTGCCCTGCCCATGCCGAGTTTTCTCTCTAGATCCGTGCCGAACAATGCCCCCGTCAGCACTATTACTGAAACTGCTGATGGCTCTTCGGATGCCAAGGAAGAGGCTGTAGCAGATATCGAGGAGAGAAGAGAAGCCACACCACTAGACTGGATGTTCAATGCCGCTCGACAAGCTCGTGTAACACCGGATGAGGCAAGCCCGGCACGTAGATTATCTCCATCAAACCAGAGCCCAACCATACGACGAGAAGATACAGACTTTCCTTTTGAGCTTGATGCCATCCAAGACAAGAGACCTAATCAATCTACACCGTTCAGCCAACTACTTGCTGCGTCACGGGCACCACAATCCATCTCTGAGGGAGGACAATCCCTTACAGACGAAGAGCGCAAAGCCAAGACTGCTGCTTTGAAGAAGGCACTCTTGAATGCAGGCAACGAGCAGCAAATCCTACCCGCAAATGATAGCAACCCATTCAACGCAAAGAATGCTCCTGCTAATAGTTACACTCCTCGACATACGTCCAATCCCAGTACTCCTTCTTATACCAATGGCTACGGTCCTGGTCAGAATAGCCACTATTTTCAGTACGCTCCTCAGGGGTCACCAACGCGCAATTTCACTAGCCAGACTACTAATCGTCCACCGTCTTCCGGCTTGCGCAACGTTTACAACCCAGCCATGGCACCGCCTCTATCGCCACCACCAACTACGATGCCTGAGCAACGCATCTCGACTGCTCGAAGTCCTCAACCACAGCCTGCCAGAGCACTAAACTTCGGAGCTATTTATGGCACGACCCCATCTCGACCACAAAGTGAGGGCAATCAGCATGGGCACAACTCAAAGCCAAGTCTCGAGCAAGGACTTGATGACCTTAAGAGAGCTCTCAATATGAACTTCTTTGGACAAGCTTGAGTTGCTGTGTCGATTACTCCGATCAGACAACACAGATTTCTTGGAACCGTCGTTGCAGGTCGATAACAGGGCACATTCATTGAAAGAAATAACTACTAAGGCAAGATGTACAGTCGCTCTCTTGGTTCAAATATGCCTTGCTTTTCAAATGGAGCACAGCTTCGAGCATTTCGACAGTAGCTATATACAACCATAAAGAGTAGAGGATCCCATCCACCTACGTTACGCTCGTTACCAATACATACCATTGCCCCGTGTTTTCTCAGCCGCTGAACTGCTTTCGTTGTCGCAACCATTATTAAGATGTTGTACATGGTAGTCGTTTCGTGACCTTCGGTTCGAGACAGGAGTGAGGGATCTTCGGCACGGATGTCATACCTTCGGCAGATGCTACTCGAACCATCTGGGCCTAAACAGAGGCATATCATCGCTGGCAGTCCGTAGGGGAAAATGTGTCGAGCCCATCTTCCTGCCGAGTGTGCTGACTCTGGTCTTGCACGTACGATATCTATCGTAGCTCAATGTCGATGGCACATCTCTTCAAATTCTTTGCTCTTAAAGCCTTACTGGCTTGCCCTCATCATCTCCAAATGTCTCAGCACTGCTAGGTTACTGTCCATATAGCGATTCACACAGTTCGTCATGCATGTATTTTCTTTACTGGTCAATTGTCCAGTTGATATGTTGCCACGAATACATTTCTTGAAACAGGTTTCTGTGAATTCGTGGATCGCTAAGATACTGGTCAGCTTGTGTTCCGAAGTAGTGCTTGGACGATAGGGAGGTTGGGCTCCACGTACTTCTTTGCACGTTCGCTTGCTGATTCTGCACCTGGACGAATTGTTGTAGATCGCGCTGGTCGGCTGGAGAGAGGCGCGAGATGTCCTCGGCGGAGATGTTGAGGGTATCGGAATCGTCCATGTCTGGCAAGTGTTTTGTCAGGGAGATGATATTGGATGCTTGACTGAGCGTGAATAGAATGGTAATGTCAGCGCTGGACGATATCGACGTCGCAGGATGAGGCTCGACTATCAAAGCGCAAGAGCATCGGAAGAACTTCGGGCCTGTGTTAGTTTCCTTCGTTCCAACTTGACGTATGCTCCCAGTTCTCTTGTTACTATTCGAAGAACGAGCTCGAGTATCTTAAGCAAGTCCAAGATGCTGCATAGTATGCTTCCTGATCTACGGCTGAAAAGTTCATGTCCATCATGAACCACGAGATTTGTCCATGCCTGTCAAAACTTTATCGCTGATTGTCCAATAACAGTCGTGGGCTTTTTGTTCACTACTGCATGAACTCGCTTATGTCTGCATGGCTCGACAAGGCACATTCGGCGCCAGCTGCGACTCATGCGTGATGTCTCGCGGTCTGCTGCTTAGTTCTTGCTCTGCGAGAAAGTGACAAAGACGATGACACTAAACTTGGGACAGTGATGAAGAGAACGTTCTGAGTACAAGCCGATTCAGCTTGGATATGGCTGGCAACCAATACCCTAGCATAGTAGGACAAGGGTCGTCCTCGATTCATGCTGGGAACCGGTACGATAATGTAACAAATCATGGATTGATAGGTGTGGTCTTTCTACGAATGGCAGGATATTTGTGCTGATGGTCCAGTTCATTTCAATGGGGAGCGCGTGGATACCGAAGCTCTCAAGCTTCTGCTCGATCGTATGTCATTGTCGCCAGATGAGTCGCTCAGACTACCGGACGATCTACAGCCAGCGCTAGTGGTTCCCGCCGCCCTCCTAGACCCACGCTCTCAAACGGATCAGCGGCAGCATAACAACATCGACGTGCCCGGGTCGCTACCTGTACCAGCAATTCATACTGAGTCTGCCGGCTTTGCTAATAACACTTCTGGCACGAACTACAGTCGTGACAGAGTGGGATCTGATGGGTTCGGATCCGCGTATCGAGAACGAGAAAGAAGGAAATACACAGTCATCGAACTGGTGCCATTGCGACGGAAAGACGTTCCATCTTTTGCGGTCATGACGTTGATTGGGCACCCTCTGGCCAGGGTCGTCACTGATATAGGCGCAGCGACTAGAACTTATACCAAAGCGGTTCACCGATGGCGCTGGACAACCAAACAGGGAGTTGTGACTGCCGTAGAGCACCCGATTATACAGCTGAAGACACGTAACAGTTCTGCACTAAATCTACATCTAACCTCGGGTTGGGCTTGGGCGCCCCGTGACGGTTTGGAAGTCCCGCCGCTAGTTCCAGGGGTGACTTGTGAGCATCCACGACCCAGCAAGTGTGTCCTGAAGTTCGACCGTGCTGTGTTCGCAACTAGGAGGGCGAACGTTCAAATACACCTTGCCTACGTCGAAGCAGATTCAGATTCTAGTCCCTCGAGTGTGATCCTAAAACAGCCTGCAGAGCTGGTTCTTCCACCAGTCCTCGTCGAACGAACCGAAGTCAGCTCTATCCCATTTGACACAACTATCAGTCTGAAACGAAGCCTTGCTAGCAGACAACACAACAACACTAATGAGCCGATCTGCGTGGAATTAAGCATTAACGTAGTTCCTAAGAGTCGTGTTCGATCAGTAGCTTTTACGACTGGCGAAGTGGATGCTCAAGCACTTGAAATTTACGACAATGCGGAGGACGCTGGTTGGCGAAAGCGCGGCGCACGTTCTGGTAGAGTCACCAATCTTACTACACAGACACTTTCCATCATATCTGCCGAGGACATCCACGTTTTCGTGCGTCTTGTTAACGGATGGCAATGGGTCCCACGTACTGAGAACAATGCCGGAGTCCTTCTATCCTACGATATGTCTAACCTGACGGGGATGGGACATTGCTACGGCCTCACCATCAAGACATCCTCGCCTCTCGATCTCAAGCCAATTGAGCTCAAAGAGAAGATCGAAAGGTGCACACTTTGGAACTGCCAAAATTACAACTCCCGTTCTCGACCTCCTTTCTGAATAGTGGCCGTATCGGTGGTCTCTACCAGAACTCAGTCAGTTGGTGGTCAGGAGTAGCGACCACTCACCTTGTCATGCGTCGCAGCAGTCTGGGGCACACCCTCGACAACAACCGCGTGTCAGTGTTCCTCAGTGTCAGGTATTGGCCAGAAGCACGTAGCGAGAGTGGGCGTCAATGTGGCTCTACAAGAAAAGAAGTTGCAATTGGAAATCTGGCTTTTACAAAAGCACGATGCTGAACGTCTGGCGGAGCCGATCTGGCACGTAATACTGTATCGGCGACATTTTGCGCCAGGTATGGCTGACATGTGACGTTGCCCGCAGAGACAACATGAGAAGTGACCCAGATTTTTTAAATGTTTGTCTTGAACGTAAGCGAGTTCCACGTTAGATGTGGGATCACTAGCACGTCTGGACTCATTAGCAGGGTCGCTTCGGCGAAAGTGGACATTCTTGACCGCCAAGAAGCTCAAGAACAAAGATGGCAGGTACGCGCAGGAAGAAGAGACCATGAGAAGCAGCTCCGCGCAGTCCCGGCTTGCCTTGTATTGCTTTGCAAGCACGAGGAATACACATTTTGGACGTCCATACTGCCCGAATTACCATTCTGTGCAGGTTCACTAAGAGTGGACATGCAAGATCGTGCGTGGTTCAGTACTTTTGGCGTGCTCCACAATTGTTTTTTGCTTACCAAGTACGGTAGGCCCCTCTGGACCCTGCAAGCCACTTCTCAGGAACATGATGAGCGCCAAAAACACCCTCTCTCATCGAAATCTTTATGTTAATACATGATATCGTTGCTCAGCGTCAATGCCAGCAATACCAGCGTCACGCGTGATGGTCTAGGTATTCAATCTTACAGCTTTGTTATGGCTGGTCATCAATACGGGAATTTTAGTGGACAAGGCTCGTCGGCCATTCATGCTGGCGATAACCACTACCATGGCCTCATCGTGAACCTTGATGGACAGAACTTGAGTGTAGAGACGCTCAAGCTTCTCCTTGACAGCTTAAACCGTCCAGCAATAGACGCGCCAGAGACTTTGAAGCAAAAGCCCGCTGATGACACACTGTCCAGCCTTACGCAGAAAGGAAGCTTGGTGGCAAAATCACTCATAGTTGCGACCTCTCCAAGTTGGCAGAAATTACCCAGCAAACGTGCTGTCTCTTTTACACGGGCCACTGCTCAAACCAATTGCAATGACGTGGTGTATGGAACGAAACCCGACCCTGATCAGCCCTTCTCACCGACTTTGCAAATCCAGCATGATGAATATCCGGAGCAATATGTGAAAGAGGCTCGCGTGGTGCGATCGCGATTGAAAACCTCCAGGCACGATGCAAGAACTGCCAGTCGTGATCGGAGTCGATTGGCTGGGCATTACAAGGAAACAATTGGGATTCTCGCACAACCCGAGCCGTCATCGCCGCTGCTCGATCTCAGTCTACTTGCATCAGCGTTGCCAACGATGATTCCCTCCGAGATCCCAATTGAGCACACTCCTATGAGCCAAGCCAAGATTCGTCGCCTACAGACATCATCCATCGCCAATGACGGTCACACCAAAGACGCAATCGACGCATCAGATACGAGAAACCAGACTTCTGAGGAAGCTGAGACCGAGTCGCAGCCAAGTATGTCAATCTGCCTTCGTGAAGTTCAGCTCGAGCACAAAATTGAAGGGCCGAATATTCAAAAGCACTTCACTGTAACCTTTGATGCTCCATACTGCATGGAACGTATCGTCATGTCCACAAGGTCGGGAACACGCACATATGTCCAGACTCAAGGTCACTGGAGGGATGTATCCACAACGCAGCTTGTGAACTGCCTAACAATGCAATCAGTACCTGACGAAAGCCTCGAATTAAAGCTTTACCTGCATAAACCCTGGGTTTGGACTAGTGAGGTCCATACACGCGAGCATCGGTCAAAACACAAAGATGAGATACTTTATGGCTTCCATGGATCGCTTTGTGCTATCAAAGTACCACCGTCAGCGCTTCGGGTGGACGATCTGTGTATTGACAGAAAGCTGCGTTTTGGGCTGGGTCAAATATGTCTTCGAACACAAGTGGCTCACAGCCCTTCGTACCCGGTGCTTGAACTGCCACTATTCCCGCCTGAAGCTAGTACAAAGGGCAACGAAATCAACATATGCTTCGGCACGTTCTTGAAAAATCTGGAGAGACATGTTGACTCTTCTCGAAGAAGAATCACTGCTTTTTCGACTGTCAACTTTCCTCGTTTCCATGCTCAGTATATCCAAAGTGTAGAGTTGAGGAGTGGTTGCCTTTGCGTCACATATTTACGTGCTAACAGACAGTGGCGTCGAACCGGCTGTTCCGTAAATGCCCAAGAGTTCTTAGGACAACAACCTGGCATTGTCTGGGGACATTCGACAATACAGATATGTGTGATTCTGCGAAAGGGGTGGCGATGGTGTCAGAAAACTCCCTCGTACATACAGGCGGCCACCTGGTGCGAAGATCGTGAAGAGGGTCATGCGTTCGTCCTTACTAGGACAGCGACAGCGATAGACAACCTTACCATGCACGTGCTGCCATGCAACTCAACTTGTTGTGCCGACTCCCAGATTAGCTCGTTGTTCTCTGAGCCCTTGTGATCAGCAGAACCGCGAAGAAGATCTCCAGTCTCAAATTGTGTATATGCGCACATCAGACCTTCCTACAGAGTGTGCTATCCTCTGGATCATTTCCGTCGCACGACAATTGTCTACAAGGTTCACTTCGTTCCATTCTCCATGGACAGAGGTCTGTCAGCTTTACACAGTTGTGCATACCTTGCGATAGATTATTGACGTCTCAACGAACTGTGATTTGACATCTGCTTGAGCGAACAAGAATCCAGTTCAGCTCCTGCACTTCTCAGCTGCTGCTCAAACAGCCATATTAGCTGTTGAAAGTTGCCGTTTCGAGTCATGACATTCACATTTTGACGCGGTAAAAGTGCTACTATGCAGCCATATCAAATGCGGTGAACAATAACCTCCCGGACGAAGTCAAGGGTGCGCTAGTGCTGGGTTTGGTTCAATTATGCGAAGATATTACACCTTTGTAATCTCGGCTGGGAGGCTGAAGACACACTTCTACTTACGGATGGCAGCTTCTAGGTCGAGGTTGTGCATGTAGCCAATAGCTCTTTCTATTTACGGTCAAAGCAAACAGTATGATTCATCCTTTGCAGCTGAGCCGCACGCTAGAGCATGTCCATGTACTCGTCACAATACACTATGAAGGTGTATAGCTATCACGCAGGAGCAAGCTTCTATAAGTATACCGAGATGGTATGCATACAGCAAAAATCACACTCTCGTCTACAAGCAAACAATCAGCGACCTTCTTCGACTTACCAATCAGTTCACAGGCATTACTCTGCTTGTCCTTGAATATCATTGAATTTAGAGTGGAGTGGCCAATTATTCTATAACATCACCTCAGGAATCATATCATGGCAGTCATAACAATGACATCCGTCCCCAACGTCGCGATGCATGACAAGAAGTCATCGACAACTACTGTGGTTGTACAAGAAGTGGGCAGTGACCACGATGACGATGCCAGCCCTCACCCAGATACCGACTACAAGCTCAATCGGGATGGTCGGGAGTCACTCCGACTCACGGCTCAGCACTACTGCCTTGTTGCTCGCCAAGGGTTCCTCCTCCACCCCACGCTTGCAGAATCTATCAGAAACATTTCTCAGCCACGCATCGCCGATGTAGCGACGGGCAATGGAGTCTGGGCAGCGGAAGTTGCTCGAGAGTATCCTCACGCCTCGGTGCTCGGCCTCGATGTTTCCGATGCACAGTACTCACCCAAATGGACATGGGGACGGAATTCGGGATTCGATCTCTATGATCTACTCCAGGATGTCCCTGCCCACCTTCAGGGACAATTCGACGTGGTGCACGTGCGATTGATACTTGCCGCAGGACCAAATGTTGACAAAAACATATTCATTGATCGTTTTCGAAAGTTACTGAGACCTGACGGATGGTTGCAGTGGGACGATCTATGCTACCCAAACGTTCACCTCGTGCAAATGCCTACAGATGGTGTGGTCAAGACCTCAAGCGCACGCGACTACCCCATCATGCATCTGTTGAACAAATACCTTAGTCAGGAGGAGCGTATCTCGTGGATCGACCATTTTCAACCAACGATACAGCAAGCAGGAGGTTTCGACAGCATCATACATTCCGTTGCGCCTGTGAGACCCGAGCTGTTGACCATGGAGACAGAATTAACGATTGCCGTCTTTTCTGACCTTGCAAATATCCTCATCCTGAATAGCAGAATTACGAGTCCACAAGAAGTATCAGATCTGCGGAGGGCTGTGGTCAGGATGTGCAATGATCGGAATGAGGGTCTGCTGTTCACATATAATTGGCATACGGGGATCGCACGGAGAAGTTTTGCATAGCAGGTCGTGCCGTTGTTAGAGTGGCGCATTTCCATAGACTTCTGGCTATGTATAGCAATCTATTCTATATTTTCACTTACCACTGAAACTGTGTGATATTTCTTGGTTGTTTTACCATATTCACAACTTTGCCAATACAGCAAGTGCTCCTGAGACCTACTGCCGTGTCAGTAATGATCCCAGATCTTGCTACCTATGTACCACGTACCGTAACATCCCTCCCAGGCTCCTTCTCAGCATAAACCACCTTCCCGTGATCAAGCACCATCGCATACCGCGCCGTCCTATTCGGACTAACACCCATATCCCATCCTATCGACTTACTGAACTTCGCATCCGGATCAGACAAGAACAAAATCTCATCTTTGATGCCCTGTGCACATCACATTAGCCTCACCACGATACACAGCCCTGACCCAAAACACGTCATTCCCTTATACACAGTCGGAAAAGCACTCACATTAACCTTTCCCCAAGCACTCATAACGAAAGCATCGTTACTCGCAACCACACACACCAAATCCACACCTTTTCCCCTCATCTTCTCCGCGTGCTCGATGTACCCCGGTAAATGCCGCACTGAACATCCTGGCGTGAACGCACCGGGAACAGCGAAGAGGACAACTTTCTTGGAGGAGAATTCTTGGCTGGCTTTGAGGGTAATAGGAATGCCGCAGGAGGTGGGGGAGGAGGTTTCGGGAGTGTAGGGGATGTAGCTATTGGGGGAGAAGAGGGAGGTTAGTATTGTTGTATAGGAGGGGGGATGGTTGTGACGAGGCGGTGTTTGTTGAGTATGATGGACTTACGAGAACTCTACACCTTCGGGGAAGGTATCGCCTTCTTTGAGGCTCGCCATAGTGTTCGGGGTTTTGGATACTTCTTGAAGGTATGTTTCAGATCGTCGTATGAAGTTGGACTTGAGCAAAAATTCCAATGGTTGCTAGTTCCTTCAAGGTGAAGGTCATCAGCCCCGCTACTACAATGATCGGCCTCATCCCGGGTACATCCGCTGTCCTGCCGCGGTATCTGCCGCGGTATATGCGAGTGCCTGAGGCATATATACCGCAAGCAGTATGTGAATCTGATTCATGTTTTCTGCTGAAAAGACTACTTATACTTCTACCTATGCGAAAATAGTCTCTAGCAACAAATGATATCACGGAGTTGAGTAGATGAGTCAGACTTGAAAACTGTGAATTGCTTCAAAATTGCATGACGCAATGGGATATCTCTATGAAATGCTTTCTGTTTGGAAACCTGCCTGGTTCACCAGTGTCTGGGGAGTGATCTGATAACAACTCCTTCTGGTCTCTTCAGCGGCTGATATCATCTGAATTCAATTAATTTTCTTTGTACAGAAATACTGCTCAGCTCATCCAACAAAGATGTCGTTAATTCGTGAGAATTTTGACAATGCACATACTCCCTCATATCGCATAGTTCTCAGCGTGCAGGAAGATCTCATCACGATTTGGATCTGTCCAAACCAATTTCTGTAGATCTGCCACTGTACGTGCCACATCACACCGCATCTCGGCTGGACCGCAGACATATATACACGTCCGTCTGCTGAACTCACTGCTCAGGTTCTTGAGCATGAATGAGATATCGGGTCGTCCGTATTCTGTCCGCCAGCCGTCATTGCGTTTTGTTGTGTACAGCGAGGCTCGATTGGGTAAAGTCGAGAGTGGTCTTGCAGAGCTGACGTTGTCGCCAGTCAGTATAGCTGGTGCCGGAGTATGTGCGCTTGCTGGCTCCGTTGGTGGGAGCGTGCCTGGCAAGAAGGCAAAGCGCATCAAGGACTTTTGAAATCTAGTTGGTGTTTCAGGAAAACCAAAGTCAAATCCTGAGTTGCGATTCCGCTTCTCCTCATCTTCAGGACTCCTCGACCCTGAGAATGCCCAGTCGTTGGTCGATATGTCAGACGTTCGTTGTGCTGTGGATCGATGCTGATTGTAGAGACGATCTGTTTGCGTTATCACTCCAGCGTCCTTCTGCATCTCTGATAGCGATGAGCTGGCTCTCTTTTCGTCGATATTGGTCCGCACCGATACATCACTTTGACCAGGCGGCGGGGGGAAGTACGGCTGTCTCGTTATCGGAGATGCAAACGAAGTCTTCTGAGGTAATGCTGTGACAAGATCTAGCTCTTCACCTTGCACATCGAAGTCGTCAACAAGTCTCGAATCACGTTTGTTGCCAATGCCTTGCATAACGTCATCTACCTTTTCTGCAATCAATTGACTTATTCTGTTCTGTCTGCCATCGACACCAATACCGAGACCTGTAGTGTTGTAGCGTCTGGCACTGGTGATAAAGAAGTGGCAGTGAACAGAGCCAGCAGGAGCATATTCGCGACATATCCTCAGCTCTTCTTTGAACCATTCCATGATGTCCGGTCGCTTCATTGCCCAAATAACATGCACACTTCTGGTAGTTGCCTTGCCATCTCGCATACGCTTCACCAAATCCAGCAACTGAGATGCAATGGCAGTGATGCCAGATCCTCCAGCGAAGAAGATAACTTGGTCGAAAGACGACATCTGCCTTTGCATGCCACCATAAGGTCCTTCGATGAAAGACCGATATGTCTTGAAAGGACCTTTCTTGGTCGCTGTGTCGAACACACGTTTCGTGAAACCACTGAAGGGCCGAAACACCAACATCATATCTCTGTATTTGTCGCCATACTCTGACGGGAAGTCCTCGCTACATAAAGAAGCAATGGTAAAAGGATGGTTTTGTACAACTGAGATACCTGGCATGCGAAGGTAGGCATATTGACCTGGCTTCCACCTTGTCTGAGTTGGAATTGTGACCTTGACAGCATTCTCAGGTAAGATTGTGACAGCGGACTCCTCGCCAATGAGCCAAGATGGTCGAAATGGATTCATCCAGTTGAGGTAGAACAGCCGTGTAATCAATGAGACGACCATAATGATGACGGTTGTATACAAATATGCCCATGACGTGAGGTAATTGTGGCAATGCCAGAAGAGCAGACCGATGAAAGCCCATGCTACAGGAATATGCATGAAGACAAACACTTCGTAGAACCTATTCCTCAGAACAGGTAGAGAATGGATCACCAGAAAGGCCAAAGGAACCAGAGCAGCTATACCGGTGGTGAAGATGTAGTACTGTTGGTTGAAGTAGAGCTTGAATTTATCAAATCCATCTGGGTCGTTCACGGACTGATACCAGTATGGCACAGCGTGGATTATCGCCAAGATGATGCATATGTAAGCACCCCATCTGTGCAGGACAATGAGTCTTTCATGGCCGATTCCAGTCATAAAAGAGATGACGTTAGCCTTCGAGGCCAACGCTACAATCCACGGCACTAGAGCTATTGACATCATTCCAGCTCGTATAGCAAGTGGTGGTGAACCAAATGACATGCTCTCATAAAACAATGGCTTGGGAAGGAAGCAGTATAGTACGGAGAAGATGAGACCGATGGCCGCAATGAAGATGACTGCGAACGAAGGAAAGGTGAACCGCCATCCAGCAATCTTGAGGTGTGGTACAGGTCGATAGAAGACATACCGGAATAGAGCTACCACGTTATTGAAAGGAGCAATGGCAGATGCTGTTGATTGCTGCTTCTGCTGACGATATAGTAGAGGTCCAGAGGCAGGAAAGAAGACCTGTTTCGAGTTGTCTGTTGTAGTGCTCGGTACCTCCCATGGTGCCGAGTTGGCTGAGTTTTGCGAAGCTGATAGTGCCGAAGTAATGTATTCGTCCTTGTATAGCGCTATCCGTATCCTGTCACCCCAGTAATTCCATAATCTTAGCAATGTGGTGATTGTGAGTAATATTATGCAAAAGAAGACCCATCCAAGAGCGTATTTATCAGCTTCCGTCCATGGATCCTGCTTTATTGCTTCTATCAGATGTGGAGGTGTTGTACTGTTGATTGGAATCTTGACTCTCTTTACCAGCTCTAATATACCCTCCTCCACATGCGACAATTGCTCTGGCACTCTCTTCACTAAATCCTCCAGAACATGTGGCACTGGTATCGAAGGCATTTCGGTACGATGTCGTGGCTTCGGAAACACAATGCCTCGAGCCTGGATTGCCACGGGTAGTCGCTGTCAAGGCTGGCCGTAGTTTCGTATTGTTGTCCTTCTACTGCTCGCCAGTTGATCGATTGGCTAGTGTTGCTGATTGAATACGCGCTTGCGGCACAGTAATATGCTTCAAGCAAGTTTTGCAATGGCAGCCAGCTGCACGGAAGACGGTGTTTTCTTAAGCGAAGGAATTGAAGTTGGTGAGGTCGATCGGTATTGTCTTGCACAGAGAGCACAGCTCGTCGGCGAGGATGTGAAGTTGTTGCACAGACAAGCACATGGGATCACTATCTACCTTCGAGGTACATGAGGGATCTAGAATGAAACAAAGTTCAGGTGTTTCTTTCTAAGCGCGAAAGAAACAGGCCGGATTCGATATGAGAGTGATGGACGTCCGAGCAGAGGACTCATGGGGTCCGTCTAGAAAGCATTCTGTGTGGTAGTCGTACTCATTGTGATAGTTCATCTGGGCATGTATAGCGTGCAGATCATAAGCCAGTGCAGGTCCTGGCAGGTCATGGTCACACATCGCGCACAGAGGTCACTCTGCGCCAGTTTGTTGGCTTGCAGCCATATAGCGGCTTCGAAAGAGCAGGCATTGGGTAAATCGATCGTGAGTCCAGCAGAACAAGGGAAGCCGCAGGTGCGGGCCGCGGAAAGGTGGGGAGCAGCCAGCAAGCAAGAGGTTACCAACGGCGTTATTGAGTGCAGTTCACCTTGATTGGTGTGATATGCTCGAGTACCTGCAGTCTAGCAAAGATCTAGTTCTGTGAAACAGAAGAACAGAAGCGAATCACGTCTGTGATGCAGCCGCTCGCCAGGTTGTTCTCTTCTTAGCGTGCTCTAATTCTAGCGAATGACGATACATCATCCTGCCAAGAGAGTGCTTCACTTCATGGCCCGCAGCCACCAACCAAGAGACTCCCCAACCACCCAATTACACCTTCACAACTTCTGTCCTCATTGATTTTCCTCGTAAATCAAACTGCGCAAGACTTCTTATTTGACCACGAGAGTATGAGAGGATATGATTGTGGTTAGTTTGTCTGCAACGAATTCGTGATGGATTTGGTGTGGGATCTATCAATTCACTGGTATTGTAGACGATCCGATGGAGTGGTTTATAGGAGCACGTGGAGATATGGCTTGAAGTTGTACCAGTCTGGCATGTGAGCTGCCAGCTGTTACGGTCCGGACGGTTCCAATGCCGTGTGCACAAAATGCATGCATTGCAATACATTCTACATCTGCGTGCTCGTCTTTCTGCATGAACTTCGTGCATTCAGTATGCATCCGTGACGATCAGATATCACCACGAACGATAATGAGAGCGCTTTGCGGCACAGTCAGGCTTCACCTTCGACGTAATTGAGCGTTGGTATCACAACAATTCGGTGCAACTAGACCTGATCTGCAGCCACATGCCCACGACTTACCATCGGGCGCTTGGGTACTCGTTGGCTTCCTCGTGGTTGTCGACGCACCTCCCTTAGGATTGATCATCTCCAGATTATACCGAGAACGAGCAAGCCACATCTCCAGAAGGAGATTGTGATGTGAAAGCGGGCATGTAGCACAAGAAATCTCCTAGTCTCTTCTCTGTAGAAATTTCTCTGCTCATGCTTATCTCACTATTGCTGGCTATTGAGCGTCAAGCAAATTCTTTCCATGTCACCTTCATCCTTTCTCTTCTTGAAGCCATTGCTGCACCGACCCAAACGGTAGCATGTGGGTTGAGAACAACGGCACCTTCTAGCTAAATTTTCGTCCGCTTGGACTTGGCAATCCTGCGATCGGTCTCGCCGAAATAGTGAAGCTCGAATCGTCACGCCATTCAAGAAGGGGGCTTGGGCATAGAAATCGTGTTTATCTCGTATAGCATCTGGAGGGATAGAGACATCATAGTCCTCGCTCTTCTCATTGAATGTGGTTAGGTTGGCAGTCAGTTTGTAGTATACATGCTTAATGCCATCAAAAACTGATAAGAACGTGTCTCACTGAACCAGTCTTCGTCGCCAAGCTCAGCACAGTTCAGCCCTCATGCCTGCGGATGACCATGATTTGCACAAGTTGCATCCCACAGCGTGCTCATGTTGTCCTTGACAAACTCGAGCTCCGTGTACCACAGTATAGTCAGTGGATCATGTCGATAGTATCTCAAGTCTAGGAGCTGGGATTGTTATCTCGTCCGAACCAGCTTGCCCAAAAAGCAGCTGCCCAGTGCTGGCAGTGATATCCACGCAACATGGCTGCTGAGCGCTACAACTAACACGAGCTGTAAAAGTACTACTTTAGTCGCAGTGTAGACTCACGTGGTAGGCGCCTCGCCGAACAGCCTTCACGACAACTCAGGACGGAGCTTTATGCACTCGTTCGTCTATGAGACCTCATCCCCTGGAGGTGCAAGTCGTCTCTACGCTAAGCAGAATTCAAGCTCGAACTGAAGCAATTCTTCCCCAGATTGATCTGCACGACACAAATTCCAAGTGAGTGCGGGAGAGTTGGTGGAGAAGCACGGAGAGCTTGAATAAAATTCCCGCATTTTTCGTTGCCTATTTCCGCGCCCGAGAAGGTGGTCACTGGTCAGCACTTCGAGAAGTACGACTACGGTTTGATCACAGCAAAGCGACAGAATGACATCCAACTTCTCAAGAACAACACGCTGGATAGCGAGAAAAAAGCAAAAAGCAAAAATCAAATATCGGCAAGGTTGAGATTGAATCTATCTGCGTGGATGTAGAAGTCGTATCCGCTCCATCACCACATTCCCCGAACTTATCACAGTAATCAGCACGATGTGCAATGCTGTACCGTTCAAGAACGCCCACAACACCCAGGTCAAGGTGTTTCCTACCCATGCAATTATCAGAGTGTCCCGCCGTTATGCAAGAATCCCTTTCGCCTTTGCTAATTCACTTTTCGTTATGATATTGGTATCATGCACATTGGCCAACGCCATCAAGAGAGGCCGGAGCAATGATCGAGGATTGACCATGTGCCTGCTGTAGTATTGCATTGTTGGAAATTTCTGGTGCCTGTTTGCTCTCCTGAGGCGGTGGTTTCTTGGGCAGACTGGCAGGAGTACCGTATTTCTGCTTCAAAGAGTCTTCTCTGTTCAAGGATGTGACATTGCTATTAGAGTTTTGGTGATGCATTACCGAGTTCAGGCTGTGCCTAGAATTGTTTTTAGTCCTTCCAGACCGGGCAGCAGAACGCCCTTCTCTATTGTTTGGCACGAAAGATCTGGTTTGAGGATTAAACAGCGATCTCTTGTGGCTGTGATATTCTTGACCAGTTGAAGTATTAGGGAGGGCACGATGAGTATTCGATCCATACTGCTCGTTTTGTATAGAGTTCGGTGTTATCACTCCATAAGGTGGAGGATAAGGTGAAGTCGGACTCATCGGGCTAGGAGCCATGAAATTTTGATTCTGGCTGGGGTACCACTCCGGAAACTGACCTTGTATAGGCAGTGCTCCCATCATCATCATGTTCTGGTTTTGTGGATACTGCATAGCCTGAGGATATATGAAGTACGGGTTTTGCATTTGCATAGCTTGCATAGCCTGCCAGTCACTAGGACTAATTTGCTGGGGGACCATGGTAGATTGGTAGCCTTGCATATTGCCATACGCTATGCTTGGTTCGAATCCAGGGAACGTCTGTGTAGGAGTTGCTCCATAGATAGTTTGGTCATAATTCATTGGTGTCATGTTGTAATTAGGGGTCGTTGCAGGGTCGGCATATGCTTGGGCATACTGAGCCTGGAATGGCCCGGAAGGAACAAAAGCAGAACGTGCTTCGAAACTATCGTCCTTAGGCTGCTTGTGCTTCTTCGTCTTTTTCTTACCGCTAGACGAAGAAGATCTGGACATGCTACCTGAATGCTCTTCATTCGAGGTAGCATCACTGGTGAAGGGTTCTTGAAAGTCGGCAAAGATTCTGTCACGCGCTAGTTTATACTGTGCCTGTCGCTCTTCCCGAGTAAGCTTGGACTTGTCGCGACTAGGCGTACTTTCTGTGGGTGATGCTAAACCATCATCACTGCGAGCTTCGACGCCATTCTCAGACGTCGTCTTGGAAGGTGCACACGAGCTTGGTGCCGTACTGTTCCCAGCCGAGAAGTGCCTGCTACTAAGCTGTTCTCTGCGCATAATCTTGATTGCAGCGGCAGTCGGGCCAGATGTGCCTGCCACTGCGACTGACTTAGCAAGCTCAGATAATGGTGGCGGGAGTGGGCGCGAGTTTGAACGCAGAATTCTGACTGATAAGTTGTCTTCCGTGACAGCGTGGACTAGACCGTAATAGTCAGCCAGCTTGTGTGCCAACATACGGGCGAAAGAGGTTTGTGGGGGGAGGTCTAAAACATCGTTTGTACCGTCTCGAATGAAACCGATCAACTTCTCCTCTAACTGAAGCAAGGACAATCGATCTTTTTGACACGTCAGTGCGTCCATCAATTTGTCGTCAGGAAGAGTATGTATTGTTGGTATCGGCTCACGCACATCATCGAGTGTCAGAATCGGAATATTGGGCTTCGGCATCTGTACATCTTGTGTTTCCAGGACCGGGCTGATGGGCAGGTTGCCAAAGCGAGGAGGGTTTGCGAGTGTGGGAAATCGTCGGCCAGGGATAATGACATTTGAGGAAAACGTCCTCGATGATTTGTGAGAGTGAATCTCAGTGTCGTGTTGGAAGCTCGAGTTCCTACTCAGGGCAGGATGAGGATTCTCGTCGTCAACAGCTCTAACGCTGGCTGAATCGTCAGGACGAATGCTCTCCTTGTCGTCCATGGCAAACGTGGTGACCGAGGCCAGGCTCTTTGTATCGAAGCTTTGTGGTTTGTTGACAGATGAGCCTGATAACTGAGATTGGTCCTCCTCGTAGGAGTCCGCGCTATCTCCGCTATTCTCCATTTGAGCGGTCTCTATACTCGCATGGTTCAACGATAGCTTTTGCATGGATTTGGTCACGGTCTCGTCGACCGAAGCTTTCTTTATACCATCTTGATCACCTCGTCCCTCCACAAGCACAGCGCCCGCGCCAATCTTCGGAGCCGAAGCTGCAGGCACTTCGGAGGGATTCGAAGTCGTATGCTTCACCTCTTTCCGAGAAGTGTTAATGCTTGTGGCCACTTTTGGAGCTGGCATTGCGGCTATTTTGGCGTAGGAGGATATTTTCGAAGGAATGGAAGCGAGCTGGGGTTGTGCCATTTTGAGCAGGATGACAAGGTTGTCTCGTTGTGTATAGTGCTACACTGGATTTCTCACCAAGCGGAGGTGCTGAAACACGAGAAGTATCTGCTTCGCCTTTTTCGCTCACACAACTGTCGCGTCGATCTTGACGATGCGTACAGGACCGAAAGCCTCCATTGGATGATGTTCGTAAAAAAGGACCGCAGCCCGAGTTTTAGGCAGTATTTTCTTCGAAAGTTCGACTAGGTACTCCGGGGAACGTCTATCGCAAACGAAATAAGTGATACTTCGTGAATAGTCAGGCAAGGAGGATTGGTCGAACGAAGGCAGAAGCCTGGACGTCTGTCGTGAGGTATTTGTGGGTTATCGACTTCAGTGTTTTCGCCCTTCCTTCATCTGTCTCTGCACCAAGCGTAGCCCTCAATCCATTGTCGACTTGTCACTTCCTGCCTCAAACGAATCGACCCGACACAACAAGTCGCAAAATTAATAGTGCGGATGTGTCAAGCAACAATTGAGAATTGTGGACCAACTCCAGATCATGCACTAGTACGTCTTAGGTCAAGTCTTCGCTAACCTTACTTGCCACAAGATGTCTGACTTTTACTTGCGAGATGCGGCAAGTAACTGGAACACATTGACCGATCCAACTTCAAGTTGACCAGGTTGGATGTACATAGTAGAATTTGATGCTCGAATTGCGTGTATGATCATTCCTGCATCCAGATCTCAACAACAGCATATCTTGATTGACCAGAGTTTTGAGTGTTGTCCGGCTGATCAGGCATGAACCGCTACAAGACCGCGCCAGGTCTAGGGCCACCAAAAGCTGGCACAACCACAACTTGTCAGAAGTGTTTGCAGAAAGGCCATTATAGCTACGAGTGCAAGGCGAGTTTACAAAGTCGGCCTTATGTCAGTCGAGCTTCGCGCACTCAACAGCTGCGGAACCCCAAACTGAAACCGGCGTTGACTGAAACCAAACTGAACGAAGCTGGGGTGAAAGAGTGAGTATTGTTTCTGGTAGCATTTGCTTCGTAGTTGCATTAATCATGATTCTAGCATCACGAAATCCAGCGATGAGTCGCACAAACAGCATCTCCCAGACGAGGCTCCGATTGAACCGCAGCGAGGAAGATCGAGGAGCAGTAGCCTGAATCGACCTAGCAAACGGCAACGACGCTCAGTCTCTTCTTCCTCCCTGAATTCAGTTTCCACAATCTCCACGGTGTCTTCGCGTTCAGATGAGCATACTAGACAGCCACCTTCGCGGCGACCTAGACGAGGAGTGGCTCGAAGATCGATATCCAGGTCGCCTTCCAATGGAAATACTCACTCGCCGTCGCATCGATCCCCATCGCCGGCTCAGATTGTGCAATCCAGAAGCAGGGGACGATTTGATCATGTTCCTAATCGTGATGAAGACATCGCCAACGACCAGCGCTTCCATGGGCGCAACCCGAAGGCTTCGAAAGCCTCTGACAGCGTAAGACATCAGATCCACCGGTCGCGAAGCCCTGAGAGAGTCCCCAGAAGTAGACCTTCTAGGCAGAGGAGCCTTAGTCCGTACAGCAGACGCTTAGCCTTGACACAGGCCATGAACGCCGAGCGATAACATACGGACCGGCCGTAGCGATAATGTATAAATGATATTATCGACTGTCATGGGATGTCGTTCTCGTTGTCTGATGCTTCCCGTTGGCGATCCCTTTCGTCTTCTTGCTCGCGTACATGGACAGCCTCGACCAGAGTGCTTCCCTCCACGCCTAGTTCCTCTCCCTCGTCATTACGTAGACCAACCTTTTTCTGCTCTGCTTCCTGCTTCGTCTTCTGTATCCTCTCCCGTACCAGTTTCGCAATTGCATTTTGAGTCTTGACATCTACCACTTTCATTCTCTCAGCCAGATCCCTCTTCAGATCCCAGTTGGGCTTCTTTGGCTGCAATTTAAACAGATCCAATCCCTTCTGGGCTTCCTCCTCGTCCTTGGCAGCCTGTTCTGCTGCTGCTGCCGCGATACGTTGTGCCTCCTCCTCAACAGTTTCGTGCCTCGAGTCTGGTTGCTGCTCGAAGCCGAGCTTCGGTCCCTTGGCAGTTACATCGTAGTTCCTGCCCGAAATATAGCGCTCAGATGTCGAACTCGGTGCTGTTTCGGAACGATCAGCTAGACTTTGATCAGCAGTTGGCTCTACACCTGGTCTTTTTCTCTTCAGGGATGCGAGTTTCGCAAGACGTGCTTTGCGTTCAGTTGCGGCAGCGTCAAGCCCGGTACGTTCATTAGACATACTGCTACTCTTATGCGAAACACGAAACCTGAATCCAGATAAGCGAATAATGCTGTCATGAAGAGTGTATAATCTACTTGTATGCGACTTTCTTGTCCCGCTCCGTATTGGTTATCAAATCGGAGGTGGATAAAGAGTGGATTCAGAGGCTACGGAAAGAGCTGACCAGGACTTCTCCCACTCGCGACTGTCATATAACCAAGACTTTCAACTGTTACTGTAACTGCACGGCTTGTCAGCCATTGCGCTCAAATGTGGTGGCATCTGAATGTCATTTCATGTCAGTGCAATTGCCCGATGGATGCACTGTAGGCGTGTCCGCAGTCAAGGAATTCACTCAATCTATCAAGTCTCGCAATGGTACGCGCTTACGAACACAAACCAGCGTCCTATCATACCTCCGACACGACGAGCTAATCACCTGACAACGCTCCGCTGCAACAGCTATTGTTCAAGCACGTCTACCGAACCAGGAGTAGCTAATTCTCTACCACCTCATCCAAACACTGCGAATAAAGATACCAGGGATAACCAAACTTCGTTGTCTCAGGAGACCGGCGACGAGAAAGAGCCTCGAGGGACATCCTTCAACCCATTCACAGTAACATTAGATCAGCTGCCTGCGCATGCAGACCTTCTCTCACACTCTGAAAGAATTGCAGATTTTCCCCACATTTTTGCGACATATTTGTTTGACGTCCTCTCTGCCCGCGAGGCCGATTCAGGCCAGGAAGGGAACAAAAATGCATGGTGGTCAATCCACATCGACCGTGCAGATCAGTATTGGAAAACACAAACCAGTGAGAGTCGGCAAAACTGGTTGAATGGCTTTCGGAGTCCATTAGCACGAGCGCAGTCTGTTGCCCGTCTTCTTGTTGGCAGCATCTTGATTTCTCCAGATCGTATACTCGATGTACTGGCTCAACTCAAGCGTTTAGAAAATGACTTCGAAGTCAGAGCTTGCTGCCTGTATGTTACTTGCAGATTCCACAAGGAGAGACTTCTGAAAGATGTGGACTTGATTCACAGGTATGACGAGGAGGTCAACAAGCTTCGGTCGGCGTCATATTGGCCCGAGAGATGCATGTCAGTCGCCCTACTTCAACCTATGATCTGGCGTTCAAACGATGAAAAAGTCAAAGAATTGGTTGCAAATCTACTAACTAAATACAATTTCATCCGTGGTAGGACTGCTACCGCTCTCGCGGAGGTCTGCTTATCAAGGAAGTTGCCAAACGAAGCCTTCTCCCTTCTTAAACATCTCTCTCGAGAACAGATGGAGAGAGAACAAACAAAAATATTAGGATGTTGTTCCAGGTTGCTCAAACACGACACTGTGGTACAAACAGCAGGCGGGCTAAACTTTCACTACCTCTCAGAACTCCTGGAAAAGGGCTTGATACCCAACGCAGACCTCTATAATCGCATCATCCGTAGAGCGATGCAGACAGGCTACGATACTGTTGCCTGGGACATATACGACTATGCAAAGTCGGTGCAGGTAGCAATTGACCCAAAGACTTACGTTATCTTGCTTCGTGACGCTTTTACAGCTGGGAAGGCCGCAAGGCTCGGAGAAATTATGTCAATCATCCACCATCAGGAAGAGCTGTACGACCATCGTGACTTGCTGATCTACTCAATGAATATTGTAAGGAGAATACACCACTCACAAAGACATATGACTGTGGCTGAAGGTCTTTCACATCTGGTAGCCCTCTACGATCGAGCATACATCAGAACGTCTCTGGCAAAATTCGGGTTTATTGCTGATCAGCAGCTCACAAGCTCCGATACAGCAAAGCGTGAGCCTGATTCATATGCCCTGAGCTTCACTGTCTGGGCCCATGTACTTTGTCATAGACATGGAGAATCGGCATTACCACTGTGGGGCAACATCGTGCGTCTAGTAGGAGAGGGAGAGCAGACTGTTGTTGCATGTATGAAGCACGATCTAATCTATAATGCGTTTATATGGCTGCATCTGAGGAGAAAAGGTACCATGTCCACCGCTCTGGAGGTCTTCCAATATATGTTGGAAAAGGATCTCTGCCGCCCGACCGCAAGGACCTGGTCGATCCTGATCTGTGGATTCCTGCGCCATGAACAACGTGACCAGGCAAAAGAGATATTCGATCTGATGCAGCTGCATGGGTTCACAATTCAGAACGTTTGCGAGGAGTACGTACCTTGGGGTGTCAGCTTGGAAACCCTTGATCAACGGAAAGAAGATGTGCTCAACGAGCAAAGCATGCCTGATGGCACTGATCTATCTTGGATAGGCGAAAGTCCAGGACTTAGCGCGGACGCTCAGAGCACCCCTCAACTGAAGTTTTGGGAAGCCATTGCGATGGAAGATATGCTTCCGGATCCGATGGAGCCGCAGCTTGCGATCGCGGCTAGTTAATGCTGGTGTCCATTAGTTAACTCACTCTACAGCTGTCATGTGTTATCAGTCCCTATGTGTATAATCTAGAGAGACCCAATCATAGGATCTGCCTGGTCTTTGTTCTGCTTGTAAACTGCCGGCCTTTGTCCAAACCATTACGGATGGAAACCGAATTTACCACATGCGCGTAACGCTAACAAAAGAACTGCCAACGCACCCAGAATATTCATGCGTGACGCGCTAGTCTCTGCCTTTCCTGTGCTTTCCAGGTGGAGCCTGAAACTGGCAGGCACGAATGACTTGGAGTAAAAGTGCTATGGAGCATCTATACTGAACTAGCGTGTTCGGTTTTCACTATACCAGCTTCGATCGCTGATCACTTTCTACACGCTTCTTACACAGGTGCAGTTCCGACCCAGTAAACTGTCCTTTCTCTTCTGCTTTCTTGCAGTCCATCATGAGCGTTCAACCACTTTGAATCGTACTGCGTGTTTCATGCGCTATAGGCAAGCTGTACTTTGTGAATCGCCCGGGTTTATCTACTTATCCCGGCACACTCTTTGAGCGACACAGCGTTCTGTGCTCTTCACTCAAACATCGCGCCGGTGATACATACGACAAGCCTCCTCACTGCTTCTGAAACTCCAACGTCAGCCGTTGGCAAATTTTGATCGTCAAATGAGTCTGTTCTTGCTCTCGCAATTCTGCTTCGGCTTCTCGACTCAAGCACCGCAACAGGATAGCTGCATGCTCGATAGCAGTAGCAAAGTCCTTTCACAACACTGTCATCCGTATAATTCATCGGTCGAAACATAGCTGCGCAATCTGGCAGTCTTTCATCTCAGTCACTTTCTGGTTGTGAACTCGTACTGCTTCAGGTTTCCTGGCGCGAAATTTCATCGACGCTTGCTCTCATGAGTGTTCACACTATTGCAAAGACCTAGGGTATCATTGTGGTAACACGAAACGACTTGGAAATACCTATAATCATATGTATACCTGGCTGCGCTGCCGCCGCTCAGATAATAGGGCAGAACTGCAATAGGACTGACTGTGTCCAAACAGATTGTCTGACCGTTACCTATGTCGCCTTCGAGAGGTCCTCGGCAACTGAACTTTTCGCCTGAGTACACAAACAGTTGAGATGGCATTTGCTGGTCATAGTAGAGCTTTGAGCCTTGCAAAAGATTCACAACTCAGAGAACAGATTGATAGCGCTGCACTTTCCGCTTCCGGTCAGACGATACAGTCGCGTTACAGTATCCATGCGCCTACCTCACCCACCGCAAATGATACATTTGACGAGTCTGACACCAAAGGGAACCCCCCCACGTCTTCTTTATGGGTTGGAAATATACCGGTCGGTATTGCTACTGAGGAGCTTGAGAAGTTGTTTTCGAGATACGGAGCCATCAAATCTGTTCGCATTCCTACAGGCAAACCTCACGCTTTCGTTAATTACCTTGATGTGGCTGCAGCTATCCGTGCTTGCATCGAATTGCATGGCCACTACTTGTTCAACAACGAGACGCCGAACCACATCCATTACCAGAGATCACGTCATCCTGTCTCCGTTGAAGGCCCTCACAACAGCCTCAGAGCTCGGGGCGATATCTCACCACCACCATTAAGAAGAGCCCTCAAGTGCGACTTGTACCGTCCCTCGACATACAGGAATGCTTACATAAAAGAAGACAACGATGACGGAGGACAAAATCAGGAACGCACAAAAGACGATCGCACATATATACGAGATCTCGTGGATGCTACCAGTGAGATCGAACACATAGAGAACATCGAGCCACGAAATGCTTTCAACAGTAGAAACCAACAGAGCCACGGTAAGAATGCCAAGTTGTATGCTACATTACCAGAACCGGAGTTACAGGATCCATCATACAGCCCCGATATAAGACCCTTTATAGGATTTCGTATAAAAGGAACGGCGGCAGAAGAGTCAAAAAAGTTGGCACCCTTGAATAAGGTTAGACACGATGACGCCAATGGCTCGAACGTTCATCACAATAATGTCAGCGCGGAGGGCATGGTGCTGGATAACCACATCTCGTCAAGTACCGAGTCAATGTCACTCTCTAAAATGAACCAACCAACGCCGTCGATCAAAAATTCAACTCACGGTCCTGATGACTTGAGTCACAAGGCAAGCGAAACCAACACATCCACGCACGAATCGTTATTGATAGAACAGTTTGACAAGGTATCCGATAGACCACATAACTCAGGCGATCGTGCTGCCAAGGATAAGCTGAAGCTGAACGATGATCGCAATCAGGACACCGGTTATCCCTTTTTAGGTTCTATTGTAGATGCTGCGGATAAGACAGACAGCGCAGGCCTACCTCTGACCTTGACCTATAATAGCTTGCTGTCGAAGAACAAAGGAATTTCGACGACTACTCAACCCTTAGGCTCTAGGTTGTCGATCACGCCTTCCTCCGACTTAACCTCATCAAGCAGAACGTCAACGCTGAAGAAAAGATGTTCCGATTGCAGGAAGCCGGAGATGAAAGGCGTACCACTCATCTGGTGCTCAAAGTGTCCACGACGTTACCACGAAGTGTGTGGAGATCCTCGCCCCAACTTGTGAGTTATGAAAGGAGATCATTTTGCTGCTTGAAAGACTAATTTGATCTCGGCAGGGACGATCTGTCAAACTTTGTATGCGGTCGGTGCTTGTATAAAGCTAAGCAAGCACTTCTGAGAAAGATTTCTACACCAGATCTAGTTAACGATCCGGTATCCGGCGCAGCTGCTGAAAATGCGACCGAAGATGAAAGAAACTCCACCAAAAACAGTACTCATGTATCCACTGTTGATCAACAGCAACGTGAGGTAGCAAAGTCAGAAGTCTCAGTCTCGCCTATTAGGTTCGATGACTTAGACAAGTTGCTGGGTCATGGGCGTGCGCTCGACGTCGATGCTGCCTTCAACCCTGGTAGGCTAGAAATGTCGAAAGCTGTGCATGTTGATCAAAAGGGGGGAGAGTGGTATCCTGATGGTTTAGCAGCTGGAGGAGAAAAGACCCGTTGCAAGACTCAATGTGAGAGCCCTAAAGGTACTCTTGCACTAGTACCAGAGATTACTGATAAGCAAGTCGAACCGGAGAGATATTTTCCGGAAGCAACACTTCACACACAAAGGTGGAACCCCACGAATCTCATGACTACTAGCCATCAAGATCAGCTCGAGTTCCAACAATCGGCATCTGCCGCTATGCATGACCTGGCGACTAATGATATACGAAGACCTTGGTTGACGATCAACAAGGAGTATATCAGGCAATGTCAAGACATCGGCAACAGGTACAGAACTGAGGTGACTTGCGACAAGTGGCCAGATCGCTGCTACCATACTTCAGACTGCCGGTTTGCGCACTGGGATACAGGGGTCTATTTGCCTCAGTATGGTGGAAAAGCCAAAGCGTGGACTTGCCCATCACATCCTGACTGTCCTATAGACGAAGAACAGTGTCGATTCAGTCACCGTAACACGGGACTATACGTGAGACCCGATGGGAGAGCTGAGAGTCTCAAACACTTGACCTGCCTCTTCTGGTACCGGGATGGTCGATGTAACAAAGCAGCTAGTGAATGCAACTTTGCTCACCGGTGGACTGGGCTCGTGACTAAGTATCCAGCAAAAGATCAGCGCCGTACGACTACTGATTCACTTTCAATTGAACTCTCGACAAACCCTTCTTCGACGTCTCTAATGATGACAAGTTCTGGCAGATATGGGTTATCGCCCTCTCAGCCTGTTCTTAGATGGACAACACCTCCATCCCCTTCGCAGCTCTCTTCCGGGAACCTTCCTCGCTACAACCGCAGCCTTGCAGCGCACGAGTATTTCACACACGCAGAGCCGCGGGTTAATCCTAGCCGAAAGTTTTCAGACTCTATTGAGGACTCAACTCAAGACCCCAGGTATACACATGGCCCTAGAACTCTCAACGGGCAAGGCATGTCCTCTACAGACGCGCAATGTTCAAAGGATAAGTCAGAGAACGATACATCTGTTATCACCGATAGTCAGAATACTGATAAACAAAGTGTCTCGAGTCAGGGTAAATTAGCCAGCGAGGACTATCGCCGGAAGTCGACGAATAACTGTAAAAGTTGTGGCAAGGTTGTGTGGAAAGCAGACATCTGTACATCATGTCAGAAGGAGAACGCTGAACCTGTCGATGCCACCCCAGACCGTGCTGACAACCAAAGGTCTTCTGCTATTTCACCACAACAGTCCTTGTTGTCAAGCCCAGATATCCTGGGGGATACAAGACTCGTGGAAGTCTCAATGCATGCTGTTCCTGACCCGAGCTCGAAATGTAAGGCACAACCTTCGATGGCACGATCCATCAAAAGAAAGAGAGAGTCCCTTACAATGTTTTCGAAGAAACGGCTCAAACCTGACTTGAGTATTCTAACAAAAGCTTCCTTGGAAGACGTCTCGAAGATACCAGCTATGCTCGAGTCAACATCTCATGCTCCGAAGCAGGGGAGTAGCACTGGTACTCGGCGAACACAAGAACAAGACAGGCGAGAAGAGGAAGAAGTCATCTCGTTCCAGAATGTGATCTCAGAAGTGAAATCGGCAAGGACTGAAGCACAAGTTTCAAACATTAGCTCTACAGATGAGATTGCCGACCATGCGGTCGAACATGATGATCCAACATTAGACCACACTGAAGAAACACCGGTAATCACGGAGCCTGATACGCTCAGTGATGCTAGCTTTGGCGACAATGATTCGGATGCCCCACTAGCTCGGAGACGTCCTAATTCACGACCTGACCAAGAAACAAACCACAAGCAAGATCTATGGTCCGATACTACGAATAAGTCACAAGAAGCAGATGTACCTCCTAGCAACCCTGGTATCGAGGTAAATGAAATAGATGACAGCAGTGACATTCGTCCGCCCCGTCGATCACGACCATGTGATTGCAGCACAAAGCATAACAAGTGTTTACATAACGAGCAAGGTGAATTAGATGTTCGCAGATGCTTTGTGTGGATGTCCGAGGGACATCACCGCAAGTCCAATCGTGGTCGACAACAACTTCAGGACATCGCAGAAGCGACCCAGCGATATTTTCAGTTCTGCGAGAACGGCGACGGCCTCGATCCTTACAGCGAGGGAGCTCGACTCAAGTATTTGCAGCATCAACAATCCGGTCAAGCGATTCAGGGTTATTATATCACATCCGATGCTATCAATACATCACCACACCCGCATACCCGCTCTCTCAACATTCCGGATAGCCGTCTATCACTAAGGGCGCCAGATATCAGATACGAGGATGTCGTATCAGAATCTGCTGTAGAAATCACACCATCAAGGCTAATTTTCGAAGTTCAAGATGATATACAAGAGCTGCAGCAGCAGCAGCTAACCATTCGAAATGTGTCTAGAACTCGTCATCTGATATTCAAAATTATTCTGCCAGATTTTGTTTCCATGGATATCAAAGTCGACCCAAGCAAAGGCAATATCGAGCCGCAAAGTTCATTCACCATTAAGGTCGCGGTGGCTCTGATTGCAGACAAAAATTATTGTTTTACGGAACTCGATTCTAAGACGAGCACTGGTGCCGAATTAGAGATTGGCTATGCTTACCTCAAAGGCGCATCAGTCGATGATGTGGGCTGGTTTCAGCAAGATTTTTCGGCGAGGAGAAAGGTGACGCTTAAATGCATAGATTTGCGACTGTCAAAGAAGCGGGATACTACCGTGTTCCAAACAGATGCTTCCCAATCAACAGAAAAAATGCCTGTAACCAACTTGCCACTGTCCAAAGTCCCAGCAGCGCCACTTGCCAGCGATACAGCTTTAAGCTCGGGATTGCAAGCAAGACGTAACAAAGTCGGTCATGACTTTTATGATCTGTACTTTTATCATTTGCACAACGCTACCGCTGTTGTGGACGCAGTGCTCCGGGGCATGCGGAAGGATAATACGTTGAGTATTATCAAAGTGATCCAGCTCGCTCATTCTCGGATGTATCATCGCCTTGTGTCTGCACGTTCATTGAATAAAGCAGGGTTCGAGCAACTTGGTCTTAGAGATGTCAGGAAAGCTCTCGAGGAGTATGCGGAACAACACCACGCCGAAGTGCAAACCCCTCTGGAGTCCGGTTGGACTAGGGACGGCCACGATGTGATATGGAAGATTGGTAAGCCGCATACAGCGAATCACCTTCACATCTCTTCTCCTCTACCTAGAGCCGATCAACCTACAGAACGCATCGGGTCGTTGGGGATGCCGAAAGTGCTTAACAGCGAACCTCTCACTGCTGTGACCAGCACGATCCAGGATGCGCTCAATGAATCGTCACAGCGACCATCGATCAAGCTGATATTGAAAGTTCCGAATGGTCCACAGAGTTTCGATAGACAGTCTGCATCTACTGCTTCGTGTAATACCACATCTACTCTACCAGAATCTAGAACCCAGCCACCCTTGGCGGCAATATCGGAAAGGTTGGCGAACTTTCCACCAACACCAGAAAGCGATCGACCGACGCCTCAGCGAGAGGGTTTGAACAACCATGACGTCGATGCAAGTGATATGGTAGACACCAATAACGAGAACAAGAACATGCATGTGCAAGATGTGATGGCTCGGATGAGAGCGTGCGGTATTCAGTTTGAAGACGCGAATGATGAGGACTCTAGCGACGAATCCATCATTCTACCGGGGCAGCATGTGTCAAAGCACATCACGTCTGGGGTCAAGTTCACGAATGACAGTATTCAACTATCGCGGATCACGAAGAAGCAGGGACTGAAGCATACAGCCCGCCAACGACTGATACAAGATCGTCAAAGATCGCGAAACGTCCAAATGAGTGGTAACCCACATGAAGAATGTGACAAGAAGCACGCTAAGCAACCACGACTTACTGCCTGGGTGGACCGAAAGATTCTAACAGACAGGACGGCGGACAGATATGCTCCAGACACCATAAGCTCTAAAGTGGAGAAGATAAGCTACAGGCAGTTTCTTGGTATTTCTGGAGACTTGGAGACCGAGCCCTGCGTGGTCAGAAATGGAAAGAGTATACAATTGGCATTTCGAGAAAAGCAAGCACGGTACGGAGAGATAGGTCGTGTAAGGAGCAAGAGGCTGAAGGGACAATTTTGGCCAGTAAGTCAGAGGGAGTAGCCAACAACAGGATGTCTGTTTGTTATTTTCTAGGCAACTGTTAGGTGAATCTGCTGTTAGCAAGCGTTAGATAAATGCATTGAATCACTTCCACCAGATCTTCTGAAGCATAGTATCGTGATGTGTTTCTGTTCTCTTCCGCTAATTCCCGTCCTGCTAATTCGTGAGTCAGAGTTCGGCATAAGTCAGCTATACGTACAACTTGCGAGTTAGGTCGCGAGTTGGGTTGCGAGTTAGCACGACTGGCTACTCTGTGGCCTTAAAAATTGTGTCTTGTTGTGACAAACCGAAGAGTGGCTGAATCGTGTTCAAGCAACGATATAGTGAAGGGACTGAAAAGCTTCGACAATTAGGCACGGTGTTTTTGGAGGAAAACCAATTCCCAAGCCATGCACTCTGCGATTATTTGACCACAAGTAGGGGAAATCCTAGGCATTGATGAAAACAAGGAGAACGCACTTTCAACTCTGTCTACCATCTCAGTTTGCGTTGTGAGGTATTTGAACATCTTCAAGACCTGATCGATGCCGCAACGGGCTTGTACCAACGTTCTGTCAGTAGGTATATAGCTTGCGTGATGTCTACCGCCTTCTCATGTGTGGTGCAAAAGAACAACAGCATTCGAACATAGTAATTTTGCAACAACGTCAACCTAGTCAGCCGACAAAGCATTAGCACGTCGCAGATCGAAACCACTGCCACTCATCCTGAATAGTATACAACTAAGTGCGAACGAAAAGCCATGTGTTATTGCATCTGGTCAGCAGACTATGACCACAGGACACAAACATGGAGAATTTATATTTGTGTCGCGTTGTGGCGATGATAACTGTGATTGAATAGACCAGCACCACTGGACGAGGGAAATACCAGCAGAGAACGATGAGGATGCTGAGAATGTAAGGGATAATGTGGACGAGGTGGGCGACGAGGACGACGACGGGTATGATGGGGACGATGGAAAGAGGGAAGACGAGGAAGACGATTTATTACATTTGGTGGAAAGTAACCTAAAACTCAGCTGAACAGTGGTCTGGGCTAATCTCAAATCCACAGTTCGCTTGGACAACGGTTGCAGTAGCAAGAGTCACCACCAAGATGTCTGTATTCAACATGACACGTCCATAGATTGCATCATGTTCGGCCAATGAGCTCGAGGAACATTGGGTTTCGGTCCAGCTTGTGCAGCTCAGCGGCCGCTCACATTGATGGGATCAGTTTGGCCGGTATATGAGGGCGTAGATCTATTTGCCGTCAATCGTCACTGTGGCTGAACACGACGTGGTATCTGGAATCATCCACTATCAGCAAATTGATGATGTCTGTTTGGCTGACAGCACCTCTTCCCCCTGTAATTTACCACTGGAGATTTGTTGGGATTTGTTTGATGAAGTGGTTGTGCCGAGCGATTGCTTTTCAAAAGACCTGTACGGATTCCGCTATCATGTGCAACATTTCATCTGTCCACAGACCATTCAAGCACCGCCAACTAGGTAGTAACCCTACACATATTGATCAGCCTCTCCATCCTCTCCCCGAGATTGAGTTGATCTTACCGCCATGACGAAACATAGAAGAGAAACGTAAGGACTCAGCCGTTCACCTATTCTGGCACTTTTCCAGAAAACGCTTAGAGGCCCTTCTTTGTTCCGGTCCATGACACTAGGTATCAGACTGTGGATGTATGTCGATGTACATATGAAAAGAAGTATGACTAGAAGGAGAGACTGAAAATTGAAGATCGCTGTCTGAGTGGAGGTTCAAGTCAGTCGAGAGTTCTTAGGAGAATCGCGCAGACATTAGTGCTTGGCAGATTTTGAACCATACATATGTATACATATGTATGGCTGAAGAGGGAAGAGACTGTATATCCGAAGAAAAGACGCTATGAGAAAGATCGAAATAATCCTCTTTTATATGTGGTGTGGTATGGTCCAGGACGACACAATCGGCCGACTGTGACTCCGACAAGCTGTTTGACAACAATGCGAGCCAGCGCACGCTGCATATATGCATGTTCTGCATGAGAACAACAATCACAATTTGATGATCTCAAATTTGTAGGTCCTGGGGGGACTCATCCTATGATGTGCCTTCCGCGCCCTGGTCGTGCTGATGACTAAGATGAAACATATAGACTTACCATTTTCCCGGCTATTGCTGTAGTACAATTCAAGTCCAGATTGCAAGCAACAGTTGTAGAGGACTAACAGATACCTGGGTACTCCTCTTCAGGTGAATTCGATTTTTGTGACAAGTTGTCCTTGTTCAGAAAGAAGTGAACGAGCCGTTTCGAATGAGAAGCTAACCGGGTAGGACTCAGCCTATCGGAGTGCAGCATTTCACTATGGTCGCAACCGCCTTGACTGCGTTTATGTCGCAAACCTACTGCATCTTCGAGCGACTTCATTTGTGTACGGTCATTTTTCAAGCGTTCAGAAGGAACCGTCAGTTTGGTAAAGCAATGAAGCTGTGAAATACGATGTATGGTAAACGTGCGTCATTGCACTCCAACCTCAGTTCAGTCTCAAAAGCACGGAAGGTCTGAATGTTTGTCATCTGTGACAGAAAGTCGACCTGCGGCACGCTCCGGTTACCACAACTTCCGACTGATTCGAATTAAAAGAGGCTATTGAGGTCTGAACCTACATCATGGAACCACGAGCGCGCGCTGGCAAGCACAAAGCTGGCCTCAACTTTGGCGACGAACTGCGCAGTCTTCTTTATGGTGCGGGTGCTCCTGCTCATCCAGACCTTACTCAACCACTCGAGGGCGAGTACTCCAGACACTACTTGAACACGCTTCCAACCGAGAACAAGAACCATCCTCCAACCCCTTTCGCTGTGAAGCGTGGTGAAGCCAATCTCGCAGAGCCCTATCCCGAAACCCTACGTGTGCTAGACGAAATCGTAACAGACTACATAATAGAAATGTCTCACAGCGCTCTCGAGGTTGCTACGTATGCAGGGCGTGCAAAACTGAAGGTAGATGATTTCCTATTCAGTTTGCGGAAAGATCAGGCAAAGTTAGGACGTGTCTACGACTTCTTTGGACGAAAGAAAAAGGTCGACAAAGCGAAGAGGACGGCCGACCAAGGGAACCTCACAGATTTGAGAAATGTAACCTCGCAGCAAATGCAGGACCTGGCAGACGTTGTTGGCGAAGAGGGCACAGGAAAAGGCAAAGGCAGAGGAAGAGGCAGAAAGAAGAAGAGAGGTATCGAAGAAGTCAACGATACGCCTGCAGACTATAGTGAAGCTGCAAATTTCGTGAAGCAGGTTGAGAGTGGCGGGGTTGACTTTGGGAATGGTGGAGTAATCGAACAGATTATAGATGTGGATGTTGAGCTGGATGACTTGGAGGCTTTCGAGGACGAAGATGACAACGACAAGCACAGAGACAAACGGACAAAGGGTGTGGCTGATTGAGCAAAATTCACGAAAGGAAACACTGGGTGCTGTTACGAGCAGCACAAATTTCCTCACTGACCAATACGAAAGTGGGCACATCAGTCATCAGACGAGTGTCTGGCGAAGTGGGACAAGGGACAGAATAAGACATCATTATTGAGCGAAGGCGTTGGAGGTGTGATTGCATATTTGAAGCGCTTGCGAGTCGCTCAGAATACTTCTTAGTATATAGGATCCCCGTTCTCTATCAAATCAGAACCAGATTCTACAACACAATCTGCAAGCCTCGATCGTCGAGATCCACGTTCATCATTCGTTGTCATGCTGGACCGATCTCCCACAAGTCGTTGGAAGTCGTGATTAGAAACTCCATACGCCATACTTTTGATGCAGCCGACCAGCCCATAAAGCCTTTAAGCGAGAACATCAACCAGCTTCTGCGTCTCCTAAGCAGCAGAGATACTTTCACCTCGATTCTGTCTTGGACCTCTGTTCTGCTTCCTGTCTCCGCCCTCCTTGTTGTTGTCGGTGCCGCCTACTGGTCCACCACCCATGGTCAACGTGCTGGTCGCGAGGCGATTGCTCAGATCCATCTGCGTTCGTACCATATTGGCCAAGTACGACACTGTAAGTACATCTTGAATATGCTCGTTGAAGTTTCTCTCAATGTCGGTAGGCTCGACCTTTGGTGCTAATGCCAGTGTGTTCAGCAGGTACTGGCCTAGCGCAGTACTTGGTTCTACCTCCTCTTCTATCACACCCTCGACATATTTCGAGACACGATCCAGCATGTCTATCGTGCTCACGAGGCTTTGCTCCAGTGTCTCGATGTCTGTAAGGATGTTTGTCGTTCTGTTCTCGGCGTCTCGTGCACCTCCTAGTGAGTCGATGGCACTTACGTCCGCAGCGTCGTATGCGATCGAGTGTGGTACAGGGATGAATGCTGCACTATCGGCCGCTCTTTCAGGTGTCACTCCCACAGCGGAGGAAATGTATGCTCGAACTTCCACATCTTTTCCAGCCTGGCTAGCGACCGTCAAGTGCACGGCCGGGTATGGATATGTGCCCTCTCCTTGACTGCTGTAGTGGTTCTGAATCAATGCCGAAAACGTGTTGAGCTCCGAACTTGTCGCATACCATCCTACCAGTACTTCTTTGGGATTTGCTCGCATGTGTAGTGCCAACATTGCTTTCTGATACTCCATATCCACCTCGACCTGATCTGTGGTTTCGGTATGGCCAACCGCGAATGCGGAGTGTATTGTGACGGAACTGTCATCGGTGTCGCTGCGAGTGCCAAGTAGGGTACCGATTACACGATGTTGATCTGGCGGTCGTCGAGAACTGTGGTCAAGGATCGAGAATAGCGCTTGTGGCTGAATTACGACTGTGAGAGGGGTGGTCGAGGTTTGGTATCCTGCAGCCGGGCCCAGCGGCCTTGACAGGTGAAGTGAGGAGTCGAGTTCGACCATTTTGGCGATATGCTTTCGTTGGAAGAGGCAAGGTCGACGTTCGATGCAGAGTGTATGACTACCAACTCAAATTGTATCGCAGCCTCGTGTATCCTGCAATTTTCCAAGATCGACTTGTGCGCGGAGGACGTCCCGGAGCATGAATGACTGATTGGCCTAGTAGAGCGACAAGGTGGATGATCAAACCAGCAACTATTGCTAGTTACTACAAACGGTTTAGCCTTCACCTATTTACCTTCTTGCGTCACATCTTCTCTTCTCCTTATCGATAAGTATTTTCGGTTCGGTGAAGGAGAAGGAGTGCCTTGCCACTGTCTTTCCCAACCTTTTCCTTCTTTTTCTGCGGGTGTAGGGCCAGAGGAAGAGTGTCAACATGTCAAATCACAGTCTGCTACGAAAAGACCAATTGGAAGTCAGCCTACATAATGAGAAGAAGCTCATAGAGGAGGGTGTCCTGAAAGAGGACAACCCTTTAGATCTGACCGAGGACTTCCGGAGGCTATGTGAGGCGTCGAGAAGGGGTGACTTGAAGGTGTGCCAGGAAATGATACAGGAGGGTGCCAACATCAACGCTAAGGACCAATACGACTACACCCCGCTCATTTTGGCCAGTTTATGCGGTCATTACGAAACTGTCCAACTCTTGCTAGAGTCCGGGGCTCTTTGTGAACGAGACACCTTTCAGGGAGAACGTTGCCTATACAATGCCTTGAACGACAGGATACGGAATCTCCTATTATCATACGACTATTCGAAATCGACGGATCCATTACAACCATTAGCAGCTCATTTGACTAGCTTGCTGTATCGACAACAGCCAAGGACCTCCGACCTTACTGTGGCAGCTGGTAATGATAAAGATCCCTTCGAGTTGCACAAATTTATTCTTGCGGCGAGATCTCCTTATTTCAAGAAGAAGCTTGATACAGCTCCGGAGACAACGGCATGGAAATTGCCATCCTCAATTCCACAGCAGTCTTTTGGCATAGCCTTGAAGCATTTGTATTTAGGTGAACTGCCGAGAGAGCTTGGTGGTGGTCCAGGCACCGGCTTTTCCGACTCGGAGATCTTGGCAGGTGTTGATAGAATCAGCAAGCATCTGGAAATCAAGAATCTGTCCGAGCTTATCCTCGACAACAGCGACCGCCGATTGGCAAGACAAAGACGACAAGACGATGTCCAATTTGGAGTTAGTCAACTTGATGCATGGTTCCGGAACAATGTTCTCTACCACGCCATTGAGATCGAGACATCGAAAGCCAACGATGTGAAGTGGGACCGCGTCAATGGTATCTTCGCTGATATCCTGCTTCGTGCCGATGAGGATGAGGATGAGGATGAAGATGGAGACATTGTCCAGAAACTTACTGGAGACACGAACGTCAGTACGAATGCGCTAGGAATTCCTCTTGGGACTGGCACACCATCAAGATCACCATCACGATCACGATCTGTTCGGAAGTCTAAACTGTATCCATGCCACAAAGCGATGCTGATACGGTCGGAGTTCTTTATGACCATGTTTGATTCCCACTTCAAAGAGGCGCAAGACACGCCGCACCTGCAGATAATACCTATCGATTGTTCTCCAGCTGTACTCGAGATCATTCTAGCCTTCTTGTACAGTGAGAGGTCAGACTTCGGTTTGGATATCGCAATAGATGTATTATTTGCATCCGACATGCTCTTCTTAGAAAAGCTGAAAACAAAAGCAGCAGTGATCATCTCAACTTTAGGCAATGGTACAGCAACAGGAATGCAAGATCAACTACAAAGAGATGACGTTGACCTTGATATCTATGAGATTCTCCGAGCAGCCTGGACGACCCGAGTTCAAAGGCTGGAAGAATTCGCTGCTCGATACTTTGCCTACCGCCTGGAACAGTATATCGACGAGCCGGCTTTTGCGGAGATCGTGAAAGAATCGGCCGGACGCATTCAAGCTCGACAAGAGACAGATACAATCGAGATTCTGGACGACATCAAGTACTATCTCAGTGAGCGTTTCCGTTTGCGATTCGAGGACACTGGATTCGACGAGGCCTTGGCTGCTGAGGAGCAGGCACAACATGTCGAGCTCCAGGACATACCGAACATTGGTGATTTTGAGACGTCGAAGAAGCCAGCAGGTGTACCTACGGATGAAGGTGTCGATATGAGTTCGCCACCACGAGAATTAGAGCACGAGGTTCCGCCACAACAAGAAGTTTCGCTCGAACACGAAGGCATTATCCGGACCCTGGACGGTGAGGTCGCTGGCGATGAATTTGAACAAGATGCCATGAATTATCAGATTCTGCTTGGCAAGATCGACACTTTGCTGGACCAACTTAAGCTCGATGCCTAGTGGTATTTGTGATTTAGTCAATGGTCAGGTCATAATTAAACAAGTTACACGAAAGAGGGATGTCAATGCCTAAGGCATTAGACTCTCCGAGCAGGTCCTGTGGTTGTGCAGGCTGCTATTTGGTTACGTTCCTGTTTCTAAGGTCACTCAAGTGGCAATTCTGTCAGCTAGGAGCTACCTTCGGAGGCAACTGTAGCTGAGGCCTTGAAGCATTCGAGGTGAAGGCACAAAAACGTGTGCTCATTGTTGGCCCAGAACTGGGAATTCTTATCTGCAGAGGTCCTGGCTGTTGGACAACGAAAATGTCTACAACGGTTCTCCTTCGTTAGCGCTTGGAGACATGCAATTCAAGAAATACCTTCCGGTCAATATCAATGCATGACGTCAGAGGCCAATAGTTGTTGTGGCGGTGGAGATATCAAGTTGCGCAACCTGCGATCATCCTCTACTCGACACACGTCGATGTTTGGCTGAGTAGGTTCCAGCCTTGGACTGTGTTCTTGAGGAACTGAAAAGTTCGAACGTGTGATGCATTTGGCCGCGACTTGCCATACTGAGAAGGAGATGAACCTCTCTTTGGAAGGTCGACCACTCGCACCGTCGTGACCATTTGACACTCCTGCAAATGAGCTCAAACAGTGTGATGGTACACGAGCAAGAAGAAGGAGTGAGGCAGTGCAGTGAATCGTCAGCCCTACTTTCGACTGGAGATCAAGGTTGGTGTTGATTCTCATTCGTGTCCGAAAACCCTGTCCTCTTGATTCAGGGCTGTGTGGCTCTGACTAGCTCTCTGAAGAGCCAAGCAGCCTACTGCATGCAAACGAAAAAACTCGACTGTTGGAGGGGAAAGGCTCGCCAGGTCTAGGTCGGGAGGCATGCAAAGCTGCTGAGAGGATGTGCACGTGGTTGACGGTCTCATCTTGCTTCTCGGTGATGCACTGCCTCGATCTGCCACGAGTGTGCGAAGCGCTAGCAGGGCCGAAGAGCTCTTGAATTGTCTCAGTAAGTCGACTCAGTGTCGTCAGTCGCTTTAGAGTCAGTCAAGTGTATGTATCGAAAATCCCGTAGAACTTGGATTACAACCAGTGTTGTTGGCATTGTATGGTGGCAGATATTGTTGTTGTAAACACTAGCTGTATTTTCGTTTCCCGTCGAAAACTTTACTCCAGGCGAAAGATTCACAAGAAGCTGCCGCATTACTTTGCAAATCCACGCTTCCCACCATCGACACCGTAAGACAATTCGAAGGTGAGGGTGAATAACTGTCGAGGACGTGATTTGGCTTGATACCTTGATGCCTGAGACTCGCCTCGTGTTCGTGTCCCCACTCAGTCGTACCAATTTCGTACAACGCACCAAGTAAAGCAACCCGGAATAACACGGAGGTCAGAGTGATGATCTACAGAAACAACGTTTGTGCGGGAATTTAGCGAACACACTCAACTTGGACTTCATTCTTACCCATTTCTCAATTGTCCTAGGTGTTTAGGACAACTTTCATCCCTTTAGACTGCGTCTTCTTTGTTCTTGGCCTTGGTAGACATGGTTTCAGCTTGTTGCCGCCACGTCACCTCCCTGGTCGTGTGCTGACGACTGAAATTGACTTGTCAGTCATGGCGCACGACCTGAATATGGTTGAGTTTTGGTGTCAATATCCGTGGTGGTTGCCCATGTGAATACCTGTGTATTGGTTGTGCAAGCGCACCATCCTTGGCCGACAGGAGAAGTGAAATCTGCCATCTGGCTGCACGTAGGCAAGCAATTCAACGTCGGCAGAATGTGCATGCCCATCTTTCTGGTGGTCGAGTGTACCGGCAAGTTGCAATAGGCAGCGACTCAAGTGCGAAAACCGAAGTACAACTCTTTCAGATTTCGTTGTCGCTTATGCTCAGAGCCATACTTGAAAAGACTGCATTGGCGTAACGATTGCCGTCACATATCTTGACGAAGTGCATATACTTTCAGCGATACTTCTTCGAATAACGTTGTCGTTGAGAAGTTACCTCGGTCCTGCTCCTAGGCTATCGCTCGAGAATTGGACCATTGCCTGTCAGTCTCGAATATGGTTGGCACTTGCCGCGACCGGTGCTGTAGACTCATCGGGAACAGGACCGATATCAGAACATCCAGCGATATTGTGCGAGATGGTATTTGCATGCGTCAGCCTTGGGCATGCATCGCAAGCAACGATATTTCGTCGGAAAAGAAGGATGCAACACGAGATGGCTTCCGATGAAAGACCAATGTCGCGACCAGCGAGATAGTGTCTGACATCCGAAGTCGAAAAGAAAAGCAGCCCAGACAATCATGTTCGCCACGACCCCACGCGTCATCCTCAGCGCATCGACATCTCACACGATTAGCTGACCATCCGACACCCTTTCCGCATAAATGCAGGTTTGAAGGTTTATATGCCCTAAAGCCAGGTTATCGCCCAACAAAAAAAACACCAGAGAGCTGGCCTTGCTCTAGTTGTCCTAGTGGTCAAGCGTTGAGAGCGTGTGGAGTAACATCCTGCCTCGCAGCCACCTAGTCTCATTGATGGTGTTTTCTCTTCAAGGTCCTAAAGCTGCGCACGACGCTGCAATGTGATTGAAGATAGCCCGGAGCTCCTATTCTAAACAGGAACGCTTGCGCAGCTAGTACATCGATGGATAGCGAAGAAGGGTAATTGCAACAACAGTATTGGGCGGCTGAAAAGCAAGCGGTGTTACGTTAGCCCCTGGTTGAGTTTTTGCTACTTTCAGGAAGTACTGCGGTTCGAGTCCTGCAATGGCAGAAATCACCCTGTATTGCTTTTTGCCAGAGACACCATACCACTAGCGTCAATAAAGTAGCAAGACCAATCTTTGGACTTTGGCGTGCGTTGACATCGAGCATTGGAAGACTCTGCAGGCTGCATCTCTGAAGTGGCGGTCAACGCTTAGCTCATGCCCGGAAGCAATGCTTAGAAAATGCTACAGGCATGGGGCACTCTGAACATCGTTTCTCAGCTACAATTGCATCAACATAATATTGTCCAGATGCATCCATCTGGCGTGTATTGCACAGACAGATACTACATACTACAACAAAGATGCTACCTACGGTGACGGCATTGGCTTCGTGTTTTGCCATCTTGTAATTCAAAATCTTGAGTTGCACGACCTCTGTTCGCATCTCAAGGCGTACGGCTATATATCGAGCCTCCTCACAGTGACAACTGTATTGGGTTCGTCGTGGAGGTCCATCACGTATCTGCAGGTTGCTGCTATATCTTGTCCCGCCCTCGTCTGCAGCTCTGAAACAATAGCCAGGAAATCAATCCCAGCAACATGCAGACAGTTTGCTGAATAGGGTTTGCTGCCTCGAACTGGTCATAGTCCCTCTTTATGATTCAGGGACCGGATAGCTTGCGCAACGCTTCCTGCAACGTTCTTGTACTGAAAAAAGATTGGGCTTGTCCTGCAGCGGCCGAGCGAGTCGCGAAGCGCTTTCATTCGCCCTTGTCTCCGACGTTCTTTCAGAAAGTGCAAGATAGACTGACGCTACTCCTTTCGCTGACGGTACGTGTCTACTGCCACGCACGATCGCGAGCGGACGACACCTCAAGGGACTGAATGCTGCTCGCTGCTGCTTTGGTCAACCCAGTCAGTCAAAGCAATTCAACCCGTTGACTAATCTTTGGAGCTTCTTGCCTAAGCAGGCAACTGATCATGATCGTTCTGTAATTGCAAAGCTTCGTGTTTAATGCTGCAATCCTAAGACGACAAGCGCCTCTATTCACGTGCTACGCTCGTCTGCAATCATGTTTTTCGACCGAACAGATATAGTACACGATCGGAACACAGTTTATGATAGCATCTCTGCGCAACGTCAAGATGTGAAATACTGCACGTCGGTTCTCGATCTCGGAGTCAAATAAAATAGTAGGACATTCTCTCTTGCCAAAGTCACGGCTGGGTACTTGCACGATGCTGTACAATACCATACCTGAGGTTTGAAAGCTGCTTCTCGATCAGGTCGGCCTCGACGAATTGTCGAGAAATTGAATGAGCCACAAAGGGAACTCAGACATATGTTGCGCAGGTATTGACATGATGTCCGAGTTATCACGAGTCAGCGTCCGCTTTGATGATTGGTGATCCAGCTACTCCACGTTTGTGCCTTAAGAAACGGAGCCAGGTCCTACAAGCCATGGTGACATCGACAACCTGCTTCATTGAGCCACCACATGCTACGATCAGTGCCCTAGCACGTGCACTTTTAGAGTATATATGTACAAGCTCAAAAATTTGTTCTCAACCCAAACACAGCACACCAGACCCGGCTGGTGTAGGAGCTGGACCTGTCAGGTCGAAGCAGACATCGGGTCTGTGGGCATCAGAGAATCCTCCGTTGTGTCGATAAACCTCGTCCATTCTGCTCCTATCAGTCGCATCGCACGGAGTATCTGGGGTTTCCTTGGAATGCCACCGAGATGTTTCAAGTTTTTGCTTCTTTGAGCGTTTACAACTGTGGGAATCGAACACCTTGCTCATGGGTTCGACTCCAGACCTGGTAGAGAGCAATCTTTCTACGATACGATTCCTGCGATGGCATATATCTGCACCATACTCGACATATGCTTATTTTTTCAAACATGCTACTGTCATATTGTTATGTTCTCGTCTCTCGATGCATCTTTTCATCGATAAGACGTATGCAAGCATAAAAACGTATCAAAGTCGTTGCGAACTCTTCTGATACCGCTTTACTACGCCGTCTAATTATTATACGTTTCTTACAGGGATCGGCAAACAACCAATGGGATATCGACGCAACTCGCTTGGTGATCCCTATAGCATCCGTGCAGCTGAGAAACTCATCGTCGATGTAATTACACATAGACAGCCATTGCAATTGAGGCACATTGACGTAAGCTTGGGTCGACAGTATGCCTGCATAGCACAGTAACGATGGACTGGGGTTCGATTCCCGTAGATATTATCCCACTACCTCGAAGGCCGAGAACGGATGAGTTGTTACTATCATTGTGGAGTACACATGATCCCTCTTGCCACACCATAGGTCAATTCGAGGTCGGCCTCAATATTAGTGGCCACAACGGTACCTATTCTTGCTCCAATTCAAAGGTATATGAATTAGTCGTTCAAAAATGATCCCACAATAGCACAACACACAGCCACCACTGCCAGCAAAATGTGTATGGGTTGAATCCGGCCAGGTCAATGTGAGCACTTCGGGCTCGCGGGCACCGGTGCTACCTCGGTGTGCAAATGAAATCTCTAAGGTCCTGACTTCGTGTTGGGGTTGCAACGATTTAGTGGTGAGGTCGACTACATCACGGTCCAGAGAGGTTTCCCTGAAGGTTTCGCGATTTAAGCCTTTCAGTTTTTTGCGGCCTGTATGGCTCAATGGCAGGATTTTTGCTACTTTGCTGTTTTCTCAGCTATTATATGCTCGCGTCAATGCATATCTATTACCAGTTGGCGACTACAGAAACTGCTGAGTAAATTTGGAGAAGACAGAAGAAATGACTGCTCTGGCGGACGCCCGATAGGTATAGTGCAAGAGGACCTGCAAGTTAGCGGATGTCGTCACATATCTTACAGTATATAAAGGTCCTTTCCTCCTTGTCCATGGCCATGTTCTTTTCTTTCTAACACTTACTATGTAGCACCAATACTAGCATCCATACTAGCAATCATAGCAATAATTTTGAACGACATACTAATAGTAGCAGACACATCATTGAGCATCTACAGCATGAACGCATTGGTACGAGCATTCGTGGCAATTCTCTGCAGCACGTTGGTCGGAGCAACGATCGTATTGACTATGCGAACCCTCCGTGACATGGTGGCCACGATGCTAGCAGACCGGGCGTCCCCTCCAGCACAACTTCCTGTGCTCACGCAACCCGCTCCCACGCAGCATATTCCCTCAGAATCCAATACGATTCGACCCACCCTTGCCGGCTTACCCACCGATGTTCGTGCACGAATCTTCAAACACCTTTTCAAAGGCACGAACCTACATATCCCTGACTACGACGATTTGGTGGATACAACTGATTCTACTATCGATGATTTCAATACCGTTAGGGCAGTATTGCAAGTCAACAAGCAGCTACGCTACGAAAGTACCAGCGCGCTTGAGAAGTCCATTTCTATTACCATTGAACACAACGGACTCGTAAAGTTGGCCGCTCGAGTGTGCCCGAAATTGAGAGAACTCATCGTGGAGGAACAGCCTATGACTATCAAGAAGTACCGGAAACATCTCCCGCACCTTCAACGCATTATCGTTGCTCAACCAGCAGAAGATCCAATCTTTTATGAAGAGCTTGCCTGCGTGGGTTGGCAACAGTTTTTCATGATGCTGTGTGGACATAAAGACACCAAGTTGCTGAACGATCTCAAGAGACTTGCCAAACACGTGGATAGACGGGATGACCATTTCCGCTTCCTGCCTAGGGACATGACAGTGGAGAAGGGCGAGACACCATGTGCTTTGATCTACCGACTTGATCAGATGTACATTGACTGCAAGGCAGACTGTAAGACTGGAAGTTACGGAATTTCCGTACGATATGTAAGTCTCGGAATCGTGAGCTCAAAGGCTTTTGCTAATGCTAGCAGCGACTGGACATCGATGTCACAAACTGGACAATTGTTTATAGAGGAATTGACATCAGCTCCCCATCTGAGGCGTGCTTCTGGATATCTGCAGAAGAAGTCGTAATCTTGACCAAGAAACTCGAACGCCCGGTCCTGTATCACCCCAGCACAGGCTACACCAGGGTGCTAATGTGGTGCATCGAAGACGAGGAGCACGAACGGCAGGGAATATACAATGATGACTGGTGGGACTTGCGAGAAGTCAGTCCTGTGCTAGGGTGGGAACATAGGTTCTGCGATGAACGGACTCTCAACCGAGCACTCGAATCACAATGTCAGTGCATACCCATAGATGCAGAAAAGCGAGTCAAGAAAGCTGTCAAACTCCTCGCCAATAAGAATTAAAGGGTGGATGAGGCCGGTACAGGGAGTATCTGTGCAGCATCATAGCTGGTCAGTAGAATAGATATCTTTCTCAGATTGTGTCTTCCGTAATTGCTGAATCTACTGCCGCGCCTCGCTCGAGAAATATGTTCGGGTACGGGCGTCCACCTCAGCGACTGCTTGATGTTGCGATACACATCAGGTGGATGCATGTCTCAGATGCCTCGTTCGGTTTTCATGCATGACGTTAATGCCTCAGGTGTCAATACCGACTTTTTTTATTCACTTCCCGCCGTTGAGGCTTCGGCACTCGAGAATTGCACAATGCCTTCTTTCAAGCCAACACGAGAACGCAAGCACAAAAAACTTGCGCGCCGGACTGAGGGTGAGAATGCTCGTCCGTCGAAGAAGCAGCGTCGCCTGGAAAAATACGTCGAGAAGAAGTTGAAGCATGATGAGGCTAAGGATTACCTGCGCAAGCTAGAATCACAAAAAGAGACTTACAATGGGCTTCAAAGTTCGAGCACGCTCAAGCGAAAGTTCGGCGACTTTGTGCATGGACATGTGAGTCAGCACGAATCTTCCAAGCTGCAAAGGAATAGCAGTTACTCGAGCGAAGACTCTTTCGACGGCGCGAATGACGATGTCCCCGATCCTACCAGCGACTTCGGCGACGAGCCTGCAGTGGTTGCAGATGCTATAGCGGACGATGCTTGGACTAGGACTCGTGCTCCTCCGATACAGGGGACTGGTCTGGCGCAGCCTCTCAAGCTCGATGCGAATGGCATGCCGGTTATACCTATGCGACAGAAGCCTTTGCCTGTGACTGCCAGCATCAGTAGTGACGGAAGTGAGACCGACAGCGAACAAGAGAACGAGGATGATGAAGATGATAGTGAGGAAGAAGAGTCATGGGCGGGCTTCTCAGGATCAGCAGCTACCTCCTCTGAGGAATCAAGTGAGAATAGCGCGGAAGAGGAGTCGGACGACGAGACGGACGCCAGTAGCAATGCTGAGGTAGACACTCGGCTCAAGCCACGAACCTCAGCCTTCAAATCATGGGCAACTCAACAGATCAATCAGTCGATCGGCCATACACCTTTCTACGAACAGCCACAAGCCACACCTCAAACCTTCGAAAAACCTGCAGCAGGTTACAGGCTTGGTATCAAAGAGACGGAAAGACCAAAAGACGACCATCGTGCGTATAGTGTGCATGTTGAGAGAGCAGAGAGCATACAAGAAATTCGACTGCAACTACCAATCCTACAAAAAGAGCAAGAGATCATGGAAGCTGTGCACAACAATACTGTGGTCGTGCTGAAAGGAGATACAGGCAGTGGCAAGACTACCCAGCTACCACAATTTCTGTTTGAAGCTGGATATGGCGACAAGGACGGGCTGACCCCGGGCATGATTGGCATCACACAACCCAGACGGGTCGCTGCGGTGAGCATGGCAAAACGCGTCGCCCAAGAGCTGGGCAATCACGGCGACAAAGTCGCTCATCAGATCCGGTTCGACACGACTGTATCCTCCAAGACTGCTATCAAGTTCATGACTGACGGCGTATTATTACGGGAGCTGAGTCAGGACCTGCTTTTGAAGAAATACTCGGCAATCATCATTGACGAAGCGCACGAACGAAGTGTTAATACAGATCTGTTAATAGGTATCCTAAGCAAGATTGTTCCTGCCCGCATGAAGAAAAGTGAACCAAATCCTGATCCTAAGCCTCTAAAGTTGATCATCATGTCTGCTACCCTGAATATCAAAGACTTTCTACACGAGAAGCTTTTCTCAACATTTATGAGGCCAGCCTTGGTGGAAGCTGAAGGCAGGCAGCATCGTGTTACCACTCATTTCGCGTTGCGTTCGAGGCCAGATTATCTGGAGGAAACAGTTGAGAAGGTCAAGCGTGCTCATAAGAAATTGCCTCGAGGTGGTATTCTGGTCTTCCTTACTGGACAAAATGAAATCAAGTATGTTCTGTCGCGCTTACGGAAAGACCTTGTACGACCCACGGCGAAGCTGGAAGAGGCCGCACCTCGGATGCACATTTCTGCAGTTGACACACCACTTGAGCTCGAGGACCTCGATATCGGTGATATTCACACTACAAGCCAGGAAGACCTGGACCTAGCCGATGAAATTGACATCGTCACGGATGAAGAGGAGCTTGATAAAGAGTTTGAGGTGTCGGATGATGACGATGAGGAAGGTATGGTTGATGTACCTGCGCTCAGGCAGGACAAAATTGCTTTGAAACGCGATCCTTACGACACGGTTCACTTGCTACCTCTATACTCACAACTTCCAACCAAGGACCAACTAAGAATCTTCGAACCGCCTCCTGAAAGGTCGCGCCTCATCGTTCTATCAACGAACGTAGCAGAGACCTCCCTTACCATACCAAACATACGCTATGTCATAGACTGTGGTCGAAGCAAAGAACGCAAGTTTAATTCTGAGACGAACACACAATCCTTCGAAGTGGACTACATCAGTAAAGCTAGTGCACAGCAACGTGCTGGACGAGCAGGCCGAACTGCTCCAGGCCACTGTTGGAGATTGTACAGTAGTGCAACATACGAGCAATACTTCCCTGAGCATACTGAGCCAGAAATCCTGCGCACCCCGGCCGAGAATGTTGTGCTATCAGTCAAGGGATTTCGATTTCCGAAGCCTGTGACTGACTTTCCCTTCCCGACCGCACCGACTCGAACAACCCTTGCGAATGCGGAGCGACTCTTGAAACATTTGGGAGCCATCGCTGGTCCAAACGGCGCCCTTACTGATCTCGGCAAGAAGATGACGTTGTATCCAGTGAACCCCAGGTTGAGCAAAATCATAATACATGCCATTGAAAAGGCACCCAAAGCACTGAATCAGATCATACTCCTGGCGTCTGCACTTTCAGTGGACGACATCTTTGTCAACCAGACTCAAATTAGTCCGGAAGTGGACGACGACGGCCACGACGATGAGCAAGACAAACTGAAGCAGCGATACGGCAGAGCTCATGCCCGCTTCAGCAGGCAGGACAAGGCTTCAGATGCATTAAAGCTGCTCACTGCTGCACAGCTGTACCTCAAGGATTCCGAGAAAGATCACTTCTGTCAACAATTCTTCCTTCGGTCAAAGGCTATGCAGGAGATCTCTCAGCTCTACTCACAGCTTTGCAGCATGATTCGGTCTACACATCCGCACCTATCGCATGTACTCGGCACTGCGCAATTGACGGAAACCACGAAGCCTGATGTGGTCAAGTCAATCAATACTTCTGCCGCGTCTGGGTACATCGATCAAATTGCGATCCGTTACGACCTGCATCCTGAGCAGTCCATAGTCGCTTCTTCGCCACGGCGAGCCATCGATGTACCATATTTTCCACTCATACCCATCAATCAACGTACAGGAAACTCGGAGAAGAGACCAGCCTTCATTCATCCATCGTCTGTGCTAGCGAAACTCAGCACCAAAGTGCTGCCGCAGTATATAGTGTACAGACACCTACAAGAAAGAACAAACTCGCAGGTTTTGACGTCCTCCGATACCGAGATAGTCAAGACGCGCATGCTGCCTCTATGTACTGTCGATGCTACAGCCCTGCTGTCGCTGGTACGCGATACAGGCGTCATGTCTTACGGCAAGCCTGTACCAAAGACCAAGATAGAGGACGTCAAGAATACGAGTCCGAAAGAGCGAATCGCGTGGGTAAGCTGCGAGATGAATGGGTGGCCTTTGCCGCCGAGTAGAGTCAGACAGGTGATGGATGTGAAAGAGGCATCGGGATGGAGGGTTGTTGAGGTGCTCGCTTGAACATTAGAGTCATCTTGATATAGATAAAATGAAGAACAACGAATAATTAACCACTTCCTAGAGTGCCTTGCTTAGTCTTTTGTTACATATATATGAATATATCACTTCAAATCTCCTATCCGAATTTCCTGAAGGATATTGACTCGTCCAAGCACTGGCATTGCAACTGTGAAACTGGGATTCGAGGGATCATACTTTGATGACCAGTACGCGAAATTCAAAGCTGAAAATTTTCTATACCAACAAGTAAAAGTACATTCCCAACCTCTTCTCACTCAACTCATACGGTGAGAAGTCGTGTCTCTTAGGCCTGCGAAGATGCATAGGTGATCTGGTTTTGGTCAGGATCAGATACTCGTGGTCCAAATCCGGGCCTGACTCCCGACGAAGAGTCGCGTGTCATCGTTGTGACTTCCCATTGATCTGTTCGAGTAATGCCTCCTTCGGTCAAATTCCTCTCACTTTCGCTTGTCATGCGGCCGCCAGACCGTGATGTATCATGCTTACTGGAATCTTTGCTAAGCCCTAAGCGGTCTGCGATCTTGGAGGACAGGTTCGTATGAGACTTCGTTCCCAGACTACGATCTCTTGTATTTCGGGCACTAGGAGTGTCGGGTGTTATGATGAAGGGACTTTTCTTATCGCCGGAAGATGTGATATTGTATCCGCCTTGTATTCTTGCATGTAGACCACCAGTCAACAGGCTATCTAGAATGCTTTTGAGGCCGGGAATACAGGCCGTCAATACGGATAGATTGACTGAGATCTGGCCGAGGATAGTGGGAACTACCGCGTGCCATGTTTGATCGGCGTGCAGGTTTTCGTAGTATGGTTGGCTGGTAGCAAGTGCTGGGATAGTGAAGGCCGGGCAAAAGATGCGCGATGCGAAGAGAGCGCAGACTGCGCATTTCTTCCGTAGTGATGTCTGTACGCTCCACATCATGGTTACTGGTAATATGCAGATTGCAAAGTCAGTCAAAATATTGAGGATGCCGTTGTATAGCCTGATGCCTTGCAGTGATGTGCAGATATCACCTTCGGACGAGCGCCATGGATGTGGTATGCCACAAGCAAATGCGAGTGCGAGGATTCCAGATACCGTCCAGACAGTAATGACACCCATGAGGATGCGATTCGCCTGTAACACTCTTGCTTGTGGACTGATGACGGCAATCCAGAGACACACGGAGATCTTGGTCGCAGCTTGAATTGCGATAGCCAATATTGATGCCGCATAGTACCGTGTACTATATCTCTCAAAGCTTTGGATACTCAGGGCACTTCTATGTTGACCCAGTCCGTTATTGCAAGAAGCGACTATTAATGCTGTTTGCGTAACGAGCATCACCAGACTTGTTATCAGAAAAACCTCTGGAAGTTTAATCTGTGTGAGGTTGATTCGAATAGTGATCTTTCCAACCACTGCCATTGCTGAGTAGATCAAGAATATGATACTCGTTGCGACGATCCATGCTGAATGATTTTCCGGCGTCACAGCGAAGTAGGGAGGAGAAATTTGGTCATCCATCGTGCCTGGTCAGTTTGCAGCAGCAAGTCTCTTCAGTGCGAAGGAGGGCTTCCCACAACGAGGTCGAGCGCAAAATACGTTCTCATCACCATAGCCTGCAGCCTAACCCTTGGGGTTGGACGCGACTATGCAGGTACAAATAGTAGTGTGTCATTGTCGTAGTGAATATCCCTACCTTCACAACTTAGCGGCGCAATGCATCTCAGCATTTCCAGTAGCCAAGCGAGCTATCAGCGATTCAGTAAGAGTGCCTGTGTGGATGACAGAATGTGGCGTGTCTTTTTGGTCGATGACAGTGACTTCCTTGTCCATTAGACTGCATGTGCAAGAAATGGTACTGAACAAGCATCGATGGCACTAGTTCAAGGAGCTGCTCGAGCATTAGCTTCTTCTAGCTTATTTACTAGACCTTTGAATCATTCAGCTCATTTTCAATCCAACGAAAAATTGGTTGCTGCCGTCAAGATATGCCCACTTAGACACATGCCCGTGGCAGACCAACATAGTGCGATGAGATTTTGAACCAAAGAGCAGCCCATTCATCCCAGCATGCGTTCAAAGGTCTTCGAAACTGCATATCCCTTGACTAGAGTCTTCTTGTCCATGGAGACGGTCTAATCGAGGCGAACTTTGCACATCATTCGAAGATACGATGAAAGTATCGATGCGATCTCTCGAAAGGAATGGATTGACGTTCGGTACGAGCGGCACATCAATCCTTGTCGTCTAATTCTGATAAGGTGAGCTACAGTACTGTACTCGAGTACCACTGGTGGGCGCTCTTGTACAAGCGGCGCCCACCATCAGCAAGCACGACGCTTGTTCGAGGCCCATCTTCCTTACGGACACAACTGCTGGTCATTACATAGATCTTTGCTCTCTTCCTCAACTGGCACGCCAATGATACCATGCCCGTTCCTCTGGAATACTACACCGTGTACCGTGTCAAGTAAAAACACCGTAAGGAACACGCACTAATTTGATGCCCAGGGTGTTTTCGAGAACACCGAAAAGGTTCCCTTAGCCCGAAACCACCGAACATCCCACTGTAGGCGTGCTCCGGCCATCGTTTTCCAGGCGCAGAGTCCGAAGGTGGGTCAACAAGTACAAGAAATGACTTTAAGACTCATCTCCTAATTGTATTCTTGTTGACTTCGTGTCTTGCAAGCATGCAAGTGTCGACTGATCGTTCATGCGCTAACACGTACACTGCTAGCGACACATCGTACTGAGAGACCATACTACTTGAGTAGGATCGCAAAGAGAAGCTGGTCGGCGTTGGGCAAGTACCCTGACCCCACCTTCCTTACGTTCCCCACCTCTGGTCATTACATAGCTGTCTCTCTCTCTTCCTTAGCTAGTACATACACAATACATACCCACTCTCTCAGATATCAACATCGGACAATGCCATGCTCACCTCCACCTTTCGTGCATGGGTGATCTGCCGGGAGAAAGCTGCCGGGTGGAGCTTTGGCGAGCGGTCCCTCTTGATTCACCTGTGCTCAACCTTGCTACAAGCGCATTTTCGACCTATTCCTTGGAATTTTCTGGTGCCGAGAGGTCTCTGCCCCTATCTCTACTCTATCCAGATTTATACCAGAGACGAAAAAGACGTGATTGTTATGTTGCAACTGAAAAGCTCACCATTTCTACAGAGCAAAATTCATATACGATTGTTATGATGTTGTCGAAATAGAGTACAAGGTTAATACCTCTTTTTAAGGTACTGTCCGCACTGCCCGTAACGTTCTTTACAGTTTGTGAGGAGACGCTTGGAACCCGCTGGGTATTACTTGAATATGTCCACTCCTGCGCGGACGATGCCAGGCGTTTCGACCTGCTCTAGCTCTAAGCCCTGAAGATTGCACAAGTCGACTCAACAAGGATATGTATAACCACGATACCTATTTGGGCACAATGGAACCGCGATCGTGTTCCGCGAGATCTCTTATTTTGGTATGGTCTACATTCGACTATATGATCCTGCCACGTGGGATTCTGACGAGAAGTCACCTCTGCTTTTTGGCGGTATCTTTAAGGTTCTAATATCTCTCCGAAGGGAACAGGAAGTACTTTATTATCTGTATAAGTGCTCGTTAAGCATAGTCGTTGCAGACGCAACGGTGGCTTCAATCAGCGCAACAATCTGTGCAGCTCGCAGCAGATCCGCATCAGATATCATCAGCCAAGATGTCCTCCTATCTACACCATCGGCGACCTTCACAGAACATTGACCAGGGCCAGGCGTACGAGCTCGGCCACACCAGCAAAAGTGTGGGCGTTGATATTTCAGAGACTCATGATGAATCCAAACAACCTCCACCTGCTGTGCCGCCTACGCTCGAATCTCAAGTCAGAGTACGAAGACTATTCAGTGGTGCTCAACTGTTCATGTTCTCACTGACCAACATGGGCTTGTGGGAGGGGATGTGCACGTGAGCAGCAGAGGAACGAATTGGCTGAAAGCGCTAACGTCTTACAGGAACATGTATTTTGCGCTTTACGAAGGCGGCCCATATACCTTCTCCTGGAGTATCTTGATCTGCTTCTTCGGAGCAATTTCACAAGCAGCCTCGATCGGCGAGATGGCCAGTATAATTCCAATCGCAGGGGCACAGTACCACTGGACGTGGCATCTGGCGCCTTCAAAAATCAAGCGTTTCGCTACTTATATGCAGGCTTGGTTCACATGGTTTGGTTACATATCGTTACTTGCGGCTGTCGCAAACGTTACCATTATCCTCCTGGAATCACTGGTGGGGTTAAACAACCCAAGCTATGTCGCGCAAGGTTGGCACACCGCACTCCTAGTGATTGCAATGTGCACACTTCAGGCAGGCATGAATATGTACCTCTTCTGGCTCATTCCATGGGTTGAGTTCGTTGCTGGCATTCTGCATATATGTCTGTTTGTGGTCTTCCTTGTCGTGTTGGCAGTCATGGGCAATCGACACAGCGCATCCTTCGTCTTCACCGCACGCAATACCTCTGAGATTCAATCAGGTTGGACTAACCAATTTGTCTCCTTCCACCTCGGTATGCTGACCTGTGTTTGGTCGTTTACAGGTGAGTTCAATGTGTGTTAGCTCAATTCACGTACTGACCAGATTCAGGATTTGACGGAGCTATCCATATGAGCGAGGAAGTACGAAAAGCGAAATCCGCTGTGCCAAGAGCCATGTTCTGGTCCATCTTCATGAACGGACTCCTCGGATATGCAATGGTCATTACCATCCTGGTCGCCATGGGATCTGTCGAGGACGCCCTGAACTCAAGTAGTCCCATCGTCGCCATCCTGATGGAAGTGACTGGGTCATCAGCAGCTACTACAGCAATGGTAACAGGCCTGTTCATCATCTCCTTCGCCATCAACATGGGCATGATCGCATCAGTTTCTCGGCTAACATGGGCCTGGGCCCGAGACGGTGGCTTACCAACGCACTTCGCCTATGTAAGTTGGATTTTCTTCCATCTATCAGCTTCAAGTCAGTCTAACCACTCCTTACAGGTCGATCCCAAACACCGCGTCCCAGTCCGTGCAGTCTGGATCGTCACCCTCCTCGTCTGCATCCTCTGCCTCCTCAACATTGGAAGCTCAAGCTACATCGCCTTCGGCGCCATTACCTCCCTCTCCTCCCTCGCCCTCTATGCCTCCTACGCAATTGCCATCAGCAGCATGTTATACGCACGGTACTCTAGCAAGGGCACCCTGCAACTAGGAGAATGGAACTTTGGCCGATGGGGACCATATATCAACATGTTTGCTTTGGTGTATACGTTGTGGATGTGTGTTTTCTTGCCGTTCCCGTCGAGTTTACCTGTTACTGGTGCGAACATGAATTACTGTGGACCGGTGTTCTTGTTTGTTGTGGTTGTGGCTCTGGTGCTTTGGGTTGTAAGTGCGGGTAAGAACTGGCAGGGTCCGAATATTACGATTATGGATTTTGTGATGGCTCAGTCGTAGAGAAGTGGTACAAGAAATGAGTCGAGGAGATTTGGATATAGCATATCGAGTTTGGAGTCGATGCAATGAATTTGGTATCTCATAGGGTCGTGACAGACCACAGGAAATGATTATATGTCGGCCTTGAAGACCAACGACACACTATCATCGCCAGCAGTGATGATGCGATTACCTCCTCCACCTTGCACGAAGCCAAGTACACCACCGCCTTCACCACCTCCACGATGACCCTGCCACTCCTGTATGAAGCCCTGACCAGCAGCAGTCGTACCTCCTCTGACATCCCACCTGCGCACGACACCATCCATGCCCGCACTAGTCAATAGCCAGCCTCCTTTCGCTTGATTGCGAACAAAGTCGACCTTGACCACAGTCTGATCTTCATGTGCCTCTTTGATGTGCCGTCGTACAGCGAATCGATGAGCCGTGTCGAACAGCGCTATCGAGCCATCTACGCTACCTGCTGCCAGCATTGTGAGAGGTGGAGAGGAGAATGAGAGTGTTTCGACGCCATCGCCTTGTGCTTGTAAGGAGGCTAGTATTTGACCTGTAGAGCCGACTTGCTGCTTCGACGCGCCACCCGCCTTGTTCTTTTTCGATGTGTCGGCTGTTTGTGGTAGGCCCACGACTCTGATGTTGCCTCCCGCGCCACCTACAGCGACTATGGCTGTTGTGCATGCTACGCTGTACAGGCCTCCTTCGACCTCGAAGCGCTGATCTTCTGCAGTCATGCTAACGACGGGTTGTGCTGATCCGAATACGTCCCAGACGTATAGGCTGCTGTCTTCTGATACCGTGGCTAAGAACTTGCCGTCTGGAGTCCAAGCGCCAGCTGTAGAGGAGGCTGTGTGTAGATACTGGGTCATCAGAATATTGAGCTCATTGCCCTCATCTGCAGCATCAATCCTGTAGACCCAGACACTTCCGTCATTGGCACCGAGCGCAACCACATTCGGCTGCTGTGGATTCGGACACACTGATAACCAATTAATCTCTTCAACCTCCCTTGCTTCTGCGACAAAATCCCATTGTGACCAGTCATCTTTCTTGCTATGCCTCCATGTTCTCAGCTTGCCATCTAGACCTGCTGTGGCCACATATTCGCCGTGAGGTATCGTGAACACAATCGCATTCACGCTATCGGTATGTCCTTCCAGCTTTTTCAGCAGAGGTAGTCCCTTTCGTTCTTGCTGTTGCTGCTGTGGTCCGCTCTGGTAGCTGCTGGGAAGTACTGGGCCAGGCTCGACAGTTGCATCGAATATATAGCCTATATCATCACCACCTCCTGTCGCAACTATCGCGGGGTTTGTAGGATGCTGCGCTATACAGAATATGCTGTCTTTGTGCTCGTCGAAGTGTGCTATTGAGTCGTTCTGTAAGTGTATTTCTTCTTGGATGTCCTCCTCGTCATCTTCCATAGGGTGATCATCGTCTTCAGGTATTTCTTCGCCTACTTCGTCGGCGTCTAGGAGGTCTTCGTCCTCGTTTTCGTTAGAGATATTTTCTGGCTCTCGAGTGGGCTGATTCGAGGCCATAGTTTTTGAACTGGTGCCTATGGTGGATTGTTAGATTGTGGGGGCGATGTAAAAACTGATCTGCTTTATGTACATCTATCCTTTCTCTAGCAATATTCCGCTGATAAATCTTGGGGCAGTCACAGAATTTCCAGTCAGATATTGCGTCATTGCCGACGATCGACCGGATATTAGTAAGCACTTCAATTGGAAGCTGATAGCGAAGCACGAGTATGGTCCTGGACGACTACAAAGCATTCCTACTCACCTTGCGTAGAAGACAGCACAGACATGTCATGCCTCTGCGCCAATGCTTACAGCACAGATTCGAGAAATATCGCTAAATTGGAAAGAGTCCTAATGTTGAGAAGTCGTACTTATTAGGTTATCATTATCCTTAGTTCATGAACATTAAAGTCCCAGAAAAGAATGATACGACCAGGGGTATCACTATGCACAACTTTTGTCGAAGAGAGAGAGCAGGTATAGACGCTGAAGCCGCGTTGGAGCTGCTAGCATTGGGTGCTGCACTGGTCGCAGATGCTGATGAGCTCGTGGAGGAACCAGCTTGTCCCGTCGGCATGATAGTTGGTTTACTCATCGACGCTGTTGAGGTAGGTTTCGGGTTCGGATCGTCCTTATCACCCTCTCGATACAGCTTCAGCTCATAGTTGTTCGCCTCAAAAGTGGTTGTTTCTCCAGCATGCATGACCTCTGCGCCAAATTCGATCTGACCAAGGTAAAGAGCGCCAGACAGCAAGCCTTTCTTCCAGATATAGCTCAACAATGGTCCAAAGTCATCATCTGCGCTTGTCATGTTTTGATGAGCTAACCAGGAAAAGACGTTTTGACCCTGCGCATTCCAGCCGTGATATAGACTGAAGTTCGTTCCTGATACCTCAATAGTATCGATTTGCGGAGTGGATTCCGAATGGCCAAGTGGCAGCATTGTGGGAGGATACCAGAGCCAGATCATGATTTCGATAGGACTTCCTAGACCTGTCGAATTGGTGATATCGTCGCTGAGGAACATATCGATAGCTGCGTTGGCCTTGAGAGCGGTGTTGTCGTAGGCAACGGCTTGCACCTCAGGATCATGGTCGTATCCTTCAACCAACATAGACCAGTTACCTGAGAAGTGTAGAGTTGATGCATTCCACAGCTGAACCGGCAGTCTTTCCGGATGCAATTTCAAATATGGAAAGGCCTTGACTGTGTCGGCAGGACCTCTCCATTGGAAAGTGACAGAGAATGACTCGCCTTGGTCAAGTACATTTGTGCAGGAGAAACCAGTGCCATCGTCACCCCATTTGTTGTTATTAACTATAAAACAAGGTCAGTCGTTGCAAGATATCGGAAAGAAAGTCCGCATACAAGAGTAAGGCACTGCAGTCGAGTTGTAAAAGTCCGACACTCCACAGAGCGTCACATTATTCGGGTTGTCATCTTGCGCCCGTACAACCCTTGCAAAACACAATTGCCATGTGGCTAACAAGGCAATGAAGCCAGTCAGCAGGTCAGGCATGAAAGAAAGACAGAGGGAACCGGTTGGATGTACGTGAAACCGAAAAGAAAGTCGTTGCTAATAGGTGCAGGCTGGAGAGGGCTTCGTACAGTATATATTGAGAACCTGTCAAGTCAGGAGCACAGGTGCAGGCGAAATTAGTTGGGCCCGTTCTTAGGTTTGAGGCGAATTTCAAAGTTTCGATCAACAAAGACATTGTTCACTCGGCATGACGACGCCTTCCGCGCCTCGACAAGTTCGAATTTAATATAGTCGTTCTTGCTCGATATCACATCTGACATTCTCGTCGGTGAGTACAACACAATGACCTCTTCACTCATGCCACCGCATCCCTGTAGGGGCTGAATGCACCATGACAGATCGCGGGCCTAACCCACAATGTTGGGGCAGAAGCGAGGGGATCTCAAGCTGTTCTTAGCATGGTTAAACCCTAAAACCGCCACTAATCACAGGGTTTTCTTGGGTGACGACAGCAATCCACCCCTGCTAACGTGACTGTGTTGTGGGGAGAATATGGTCGCGTTTCGAGATGCGACTTCTCAACGCGACGAATATTGCTGTATCTGAATATGCTGGTCGTGCTTTCAATATGGCTATTCGCACAATCCTGTCCTCAAGACACATCATATCATAACCAAGTCTAATGCTACAGTCCGTTCGTGATACCAGCGAGACGAGTCATACCAAGATGCTGTGCTAACTTCCTTAAAATCCCATAGGATGCACTTCTAACCACTGCCTTTCCGTTTCAGTATGGCCCCTCCCCAGCGGCTCATTACGTTTCGGAAACCTGCCTAGAGCTGAGACACAGTCCAAATGCTTCTGCGAGAATTCACACCCTTTCTCGACCAAATCTTGTATGGTCTTCTCGGCCTCGCTGTCCTCCTTGCCTTCGGCCAGACGCTTCAACTGAGCAACCTCTCCTTCTTGCTTCATGACCTCGAAAAGAGCGCGACACGCTATCTGAGATGGCAGATTCTCGGCATGCATAAAAGGCAAATAGAAAAAGTAACGATGTGGAACACCAAGCAAGGGCTTTGATTCATTTTCCTGCTGTATTTGGCGATCATATCCCTTTGCGATAGCTTCCGATGCGAGCCTCAAAGCTTTGACGTCTCCAGAAAAAGAGAGGCCCGGGTCCTCGTGGTTGCCGACGCGGAATATGTTACGGGTAAATTGGTCAAGCAGGATAACCAAAGCAAGTGAGCCAGAAGGTGTACTCGTCCATGTCGCATTGAGCTCGTCCGTCAGCCTTGCCTTTTCCACTAGAGGTGCAAACCGTTCCTTGATGATTGCATCCTGACTGGCTGATCCCATAAACCAATCTTTAGGGCTAAGGCCGAACCAATAATCAAGGATGTCCTGAATCGCCGGATCTGTTCTCGAGACGGTGGCCATCGTTCTTGATGTCTGCGACGTGTATGAAGTTGTTGAGATTGCTCCCGAATTGTGCAAAGAGAGATGAGCTTGAGACGCGCCCAAAGCAAAGCTTCGGTGACTGGAGCTGAGGCAAAGCTGGATGAGAAATAACCTGTTCACAATTCTTGAAGTCCTACTAAAGCTGCCGTGTTTGAAAATTCTGGTAAAGGTGTTGGCGTCCAGCCTACTGAACGACATTGTTAACGCTGGCCTTTATCTAAAAGTCCAAACGCTCGACCATGCTTCGATGACAACATGAGCGAATGTCAAGCTTCGACTGCAGGACTCCACTTCCAGGTGGCGCCAGTCGACGCGCTGGCAACCAATAACGGTCTTGATCAGGTACGAGCTTATCTAAGCATTGTACCAGATTCATGAGTAAGCACAGCATAAATACCTTTAATTACTACCAGTCAAGATATCGTTCTCAAGGAGAAGGCTGACCTGCGACAGCCTTGAGATCTCGAGTACAGTACAGGAGACCTCTCCGTTCTCGGCCGATCTGTCTTTCTGACATCTTCCTGTGTCTATTTGCCTCGTGCAATTTGCCGTTTTACTGTAACGATTTTGGTAATTGAGTAGCCATGGTCTTTCAGTCTGGCGCCAGGACGATCGCAAAGTTATTCCTTTCTCCGCCGGGTCTGAGCTCTATCTTCTTGAATACCGTGCTCTTGTCCCGTTGCTGCTGAACGTGGTCCAACCTGAATAGCATATACGCTAGCTTCTGGCTGTTGTGCTTCTCAATCGACTCATACCCGAGATGTTGCATGATCGACAGAAAGTGTTCGTGGGTCATGTATCGAGAATTGCTTAGGCAAGGCAGTGGCAATACCACAAAGAGACAAGGTAATCGAGTGTCCTTGGCTGGTTCTCTTGCTTCTTGCTCGTCCTTATCGGTCTCCGAGAGTGTACTCAGTTTTCGCAGAAAGTCTCTCGTTCGTCGTAACATATTACCGCGATGAGCAACGTCCGGCACATAATTCAACACTAGACTCAGACTCACGATATCAAACTTATCTTCATCGTGCAGAGGAATTGGCAAATCCATAAAATCAATCTCTTCGATCGTACTCTTGTCCTGACTGTGTAGATCAATCCTCTTCACATCTCGTACACCCTTACCAACAAGTCGCGAGATAGCATTTTGACTGCTCAGAGCACCAATCTCAAGCACACGAAGATCCTGTCCAGGGTCCGTATTGCTTTGCTGTCCAATGAGCCCACGTTTCCGCAACCACTCGACGAGCTTGATGCTACTATCGCCGCCTCGGTCTTTATCCTGTCCAGTCAGACTTGCTGCTTGATATGCTGCCAGACCACCCAGCTGCTCAATTTGCGTGTCAAGATCCCGAACGAGTTGCTGGTTATCGCCGGCAACTGCTATGGCGCGAGCCTTGTGCAATTGATGGTGTGTGTTTATGAGCTTTCGAGTTGCTTTTGCCGATTTACGGCGTGGATTGACTTCATTCGTTGTGGTGGTAGCAGTGGAATGATTCGAAGTAGAAAGCTTTTTGCTTGTAAGTGGTGGGCGTCCACCTTTTAAGGACTTTACGGCTTTGGCAGTCCTAACCATCTTCGTGAAACGAGAAAATCGATGGAAATTGACTATTCCTTTTCATGGTTGGCTTGTCTATATCTTGAGGAGGTCATTGAGCTAAGACCAGAGTGCCAGTGCGACAGCGGATTTAACAAGTGCTCTCTATAGCCGTATTGTATAACGATACAGGCTTTGGTGTGTCAAATTGAGGTGGCTGAGACTTGTGATGCCCTGCGACGACAATGGCTAATGCTTCGGGCGCATTCAGGCTATGAATGTTGTAAATTTATTCAGGTTGCACATTTGGCTTATTTGATCCGACGAAATTTACTGCGAAGCGTAATCCTTACGAGTGCACATTTTACAAGCAACCAAAGGACGTCTCTCCGCCATCATGTTGCATGAGTCTTCTCTAATCTCCCAGATAGCTCAGGTACCATCTCATCTTACGTTTCGTGCGAATGAAGCAATCGATGGTGACCTCCGCAACGTGCATGAGGACCCCTACCTCAAAGCTTCGACTATTCGGCTCTCGCTACTCGAGTAGGAAGAGTCTAAACAATCGTAGCTCTAGCTTCTCCGCAGGTGAATATTCCTCTTAGCCACAGGTTCGACTCCGATTGACTTCCAATGTCTCACGCTTTTTTACAAACAATCCCTATGTCGAGATCACCACAGTCAAACATGGCGCCAATACGCCAGGTTGAAAGTTGTCCATGTTGAGCTCCAGGTGCCTCAGGCTTCCAACTTTGACCTTAGTAGCGTGGCCAGGCAGGCGAAACGCGCTAAGTGGAGTTCACAGCCTAATATGCCTGGTAGTGCAGGCACAACAAAAGTCAGTGGTCTTTCCGCCTGTAGATTATTAGGGAAGTATGCCACTTATCACCACAACCCAGCACCAAATACCGGCAAGTTTCATCTTGGAAATTGTATCTATGCTGCTAGACACGCTGAGCACCTTCACATTCAATCTCATAAGTACTTCGTCTTCTTTGTGCACTTGAGGTATATACCAGGTGCTTGTTACATACTTTTACATCTTCTGCCTTTATCAAGTCCTCAAGAGGTCTCTTCATGCTAGCATGCCACCAAAGAAAGCCAAAGCACCGGCAGTACAGTCCCTGCAGGGGTACGCTATCGCTATCGGGACAAACACGATCCCTAAAGGACTTCTCGGTGGCAAGTCACTTACTGATGTCAAGGATGAGATTGGCGTCAATGGAGGATCTTATGTCACCAAAGTGCATGAATGCACCCACCTCGTTGTCACAGAAGCACAATATAGCAAGCCTGTTGGCAAGGTCGACGAAGCCAAGACTGACCCTAATATTCATATAGTCAGCTATGAGTGGCTTGAAAAATCTCTGTCTGCCATAGCTCCTGTGGATTCTTCAATCTACTCTTACCGAAATCAATCTAGTTCAGTCAAAGACACCACGACCGATACTCACGCAAAAAGCACGAAGGCCAGTGATGGAGGCCAAAATGACACCAGTGACGACCAGGCGCCCTCCAAAAAGCGAAAACGTGACAGTGATGTCGACGGAGCACAGAAAAAGATAGCCACTGGCGACGAGAAGGCTATGAATGTAACTAAGCAACTCGATATGAAAATTCCACTTGACGAGGGATTTGCCTCTGCATTTGGTACCAAGTTCACTGTTCACATCGACGAAGATAGTGTCATTTACGATGTAACTCTCAATCAGACCAACTCAGGTGCTAATGCCAATAAATTTTATCGAATGCAACTCTGGCATGACGGGATGGGCAGATGGTATACCCCAACACGCTGGGGACGAGTGGGTGAGACTGGTCAATTAAAGATGGCTGCCGACGCCACGACTTACAACAACGCACTCGCCGAGTTCAAGAAGAAATTCAAAGATAAGACAGGAAATTCATGGGAAGAACGATCTACCGGCTCCATCAAGAAGGGCAAATATGCCTTCATCGAGAGGTCATACGAAGACACGGACACTGAAGGCGAGAATGAACTTCCAGGTGCAGAGAAGAGGAAGGAAGAAGACAACAAGGATGCGAAGCCCGACAAGGAGATGTACGAAAGCAAACTGCCAGAACCGGTACAACGCCTACTGAAGCTCATTTTCAATCAGGACAACTTTCAGTCCGTGTTTGATGACCTTCAGTACGACGCGAAGAAGATGCCTCTAGGTAAACTGAGTAAAAATTCTCTTATGAGAGGCTATGCGGTACTGAAAGAGCTTGCATCGCTGGTAGGCAACTCTGGAGACCACGATGACATCCAGGACCTTTCCAACCAATACTTGTCCCTTGTCCCTCACGTCATCAGTCGAAGCCAGCGACCACCTGTCCTCGATCACATGGACAAGATCAAGAGGGAATTAGAGCTTCTAGAAGCCCTGACGGACATGCAGATTGCAAATGACCTAATCAAAAAATCCAGCCAGAGCAAAGAAGAGGTCAACTTGCTCGACCAACAATATGAGAAACTGGGTATGCAGGAGATGGAACCTGTCAAAGCTGGAACAGAGGAGTACATGCAGCTCGAGAGCTATCTTACAAAGTCTGTTGGTCACACACACGGCACACGGTATAAAGTTCAGGTCAGTATCCCTGTAAATCCTCAAGAAGGCCCCAATCAGCATACTTTTCGACCGCTTACCCAGTACGTCCGAGTTAACATTGAACAGGACATCTTCCGCATAGAACGAAATGGGGAGCATGAGAGATTCGACAATTCCGAGTATGCCAAAGTCCCGAACAAGAATCGGCGGCTTCTATGGCATGGCAGTCGAGCTACAAATTTCGGTGGAATTCTTTCTCAAGGCTTGCGCATCGCTCCACCAGAGGTATGCTAGCAATCCTTCGTCGTACCACGCATGCTAACAGTCACAGGCTCCTGTCAGTGGATATATGTTCGGTAAAGGTGTCTACCTTGCAGATATGTCTAGCAAGTCTGCAAATTACTGCTGCGCTGGGAGTTCAGGAGGCACGGGTCTGCTTCTACTCTGCGAAGCTGAGCTAGGCGAACCACCACTGAAATTGACTGACGCCGACTACAATGCTGGGGATCGTGTCAAACAAGAGAATTGTTTGTCGACTTTAGGCATGGGTCGAACGACTCCTCAAGCATGGAAGGATGCGAGTTGCCTGCATCCTAGCTTGAAAGGTGTCAGCATGCCCGACGTTGTGTCTGTCAAGCCCGGACCCAATAGAGCTGGAGGACAATGGTTACAATACAACGAGTACATTGTCTATGATGTTGCTCAAATCAAGCTGAGGTACCTTTTCCGTGTGCAGATGTAGGACTATGGATACTGAAAAAAGGAGGAGTCAGTTGAGTATCGTGCGTTCAAGCAATGGGCGTCTGGAGAGCGAACTACGTATTCTAGAGCAGGTGTCAAGGCAAAATTCAAGGGGCGCACGGTATCTTATGTTTTATGGCTGGTATCGAGGATCAGTGAGCCACATCTTCTATTCTCATAGATATTGAGGGTAGCATTCTACATGACGAAAAAGGCTTTCGGTGGTCAACAAAGGTTGCTTGCCAGATGGTGGTTGGCATTCGAGTGTGAAGTCGTGTTACAGACTAACTTTCAATCACACACTTCACGGATCGCAACGTACATATCTATTCGAGACAGCTAGACAGTATATCGAGACAACGCAGTGATGTCCAAGATTGTTTTTCAAGCATGATTTATTTTCATATGCTGGCTGAAGCTCGCCCTCTATGAAAGTGGTGCTTGTAGTTCGGTGGCTTGCATAGAATTCCCGGCTCACTCCGAACCCCGAGCCGCGTCCACAACGTTTTCACTTGGCAAGACCTCAACGAATCCATTCACATCGAACAAAGTTCGAATGTTTCTGCAAGTTCATATGGGTATTACGATGCTAAACTGTATTGTCATTGTCCCATACGGTCGTGATGGCGAACGGCCAATCCTCAGCTCCTAGCGGCGACTCCCATGTACACACCAGGAATAAGACAAATCCTCTGCTTAAGCCATGCACTAATGCACCAGCCGTAGAACAAGCGAGCTCTCGTCTCTGCGAGGACGACACCCTGGAGAGCCTGCTCGATCATGAGCCTCATTCATTGACCAGCACATCCACATGGAAAGCAGAATCATGGCTTTTGCTATCTTACGCTCTACCACTGATAGGCACTTACTTGCTTCAATACTTCTACAGCGTTGTCACAATTTTTGTTGCAGGCCATATCGATAGCGATGCACTTGCGGCGGCCAGTATTGGCGTCACGACCATGACTATCATCGGCTATGCCATTTTTGAGGGCATGGCAACTGCCCTAGACACACTTTGTGCCCAGGCTTTCGGCTTGGGCAATCTGACAGGTGTTGGCCTACACGTTCAGAAAATGATGTTGTTGATGGTCATCGTTGGTATTCCTATCGGTGCATTCTGGCTCAGCTCGCCGTGGGTTCTGGCACTTTTCGTCAAGCAGGAGCGTCTTGCTCACATGGCTGGACGATTTTTGCAGATCAGCTTGATTGGCCTTCCAGGCTATGCTAGCTTTGAGGCTCTGAAGCGATTTGTGCAAGCGCAAGGAGAGTTCAATTCGTCGTTGGTCGTCCTTGTTGTTTGTGCACCAGTCAACATCTTCTTGAACTGGCTATTCTGCTTCAAGCTCGATTGGGGACTAGGTGGAACAGCTCTTGCAGCTGCGTTGACTAACAATCTTCGACCTATTTTGCTTGTGGCGACCATTTTCACCTGGAATAGATGGACTTTACAATGCTGGGGCGGTTTCAGCCGGAACGTATTCACAAGATGGGGTCCTATGATCCAGCTCTCTACTGCTGGTTCAGTACTCAATCTAGCGGAGTGGTTCGCTTTCGAAGTGCTCACTTTCAGCAGCTCGTATATCAGCACAAAGCACATAGCTGCTCAGACAATTTTGACCACATGCTCGGTGCTCGTATGGCACATTCCGTTCTCAGTAAGTGTTGCCGTCACTACACGAGTTGGACATTTAATTGGCGCTGGGTCTCTAAAGACTGCGAAACGAGTCATAATCTTCTACGGCGTTCTCTTCATCTGTATCGGTATCTTCGACGGAATTTTGCTCTTCTGTTTGCGGCATATCATACCAAAATTCTTTTCTGACGATGCCGAAGTGCAAGCCATCGCTGCTCGAACTATGCCATTTGTCGCACTCTTTCAACTCATTGATGCGATCATCGCTGGTTGTAGTGGAGTTCTGCGAGGGTTCGGCCGACAGGCGATATGTGCATGGGTAGCATTTCCTGTCAATTACCTTGGTGCAGTACCCCTAGCGCTGTGGCTTGAACTCGGATCTCCTAACCTACAACTTGTGGGCTGTTGGACTGCGCTGCAGGGTGGAATGGTTGTGATTGCTGTTGTCGAGCTTGCCGCACTCAAGATCATGAATTGGGAAAGATGTGTCGAGGATGCTCGTTTGAGAATTTAGACCTCGCTCATTGAAGATTCAGGAGTCAACAGCAAACAGCCTTGTTAGTCAGTGAACACCATTGCGGCCCACACACTATCGTTGAAGTTGCCAGTTGCTCTCGTAAGATCACCTACTTCACGTTTTTATCGACGACCGATATGATAGTGTGCGGCAGACGTCCACGTCTGCCGCGGCGGCATGCACAGTCTATGCCCCTTGATCCGGCATGCGTGAGCAGAAAGATGTGCTGGTTAGCCTTTCTGAGGTACTCCGTGACGGCTACTCTGTTACCGAGTTCTCGAAAGTCTTCTATTGGTGGCAATGCAGTTCATTCAGACTTTTGGATGTTCACGATATGGCTACTAGAGACGATGTGAGGGCCGTCGTTTTCAGCAAAAGGCCGGTCGTGGAACAGCTGGCGATCACATTTCATGTCATCGAGATGATTGCATCCGGGTGTCCTACACATAAAATAATGGGTGATCGCAGGCTCTATTACGCACTCGAAAAGGCACTGGTTGACAATGACGACACGGCTTTTCTATCGATTCTAGATAAATATCTAGCTAGCTTGCCGCAGCAAAAGGGGGACCGACTGGAAAGCCGTATTGTCTGCATACAAAAAGGACGGCATCTCAGCATGGCAACAAGAGTGGTATGATAATCCTATATCGTCGCTCGGTAGAGGAGGTCACTCAGTTCAATTGATATAGATAAGTGCATTTCTGGCACGTCTATAGCCCACGCTCAACTAGGTCGTGATGACTTGTCTTGGTGCTATTTGTCCTTTACGTTGTATTGGTGAACAGTCCTAAGTATACAAACTGAAATACAGGCTTCCGTTAATTAGCGGAGCACACAACAATGTTTGAGACCTCGATCAGCATCATCTGCGGGGATACTTAACTCCATCGATGATTTGTACTTAACCAGTTGATTCTCACCTCGACACCCTGCCAGAGTCCGGACTTTGAACATCGACGTTAACATCGCTCACCCTCAACTGCTTGCAATGTACTGATTATGTCCGTGGATAAGAATTGAGCTCGAATATTACGATGTGGCCACGACTACCAGATCCGCTTCGTGGAAGAGACCACAGAGAAGCAAGAGGTCGAGATGAAAAGCTCACGGGGTTTGGTAGCACTTCGCCAGCATGAACCAAGAAGTCCTGCAAATACTATCTCAACAGGCCATGATTCGACATGGGCGTCCTACAATCGCTTACCCCATTCGCTATAAATATACGCCTCATACTCAAGGCAACGTCGAATCTTATGTGCAAGGTTCTCGTAGGCTGGCCATTGTTGAAGCCTACACCTTTTAGTGATACTCTGTGCCTCGAGTAGCACTCAGAACTTGCAGTTTTGCATTTTTACGTTTGTTCAACGGCACTATCGTCTGAACCGCATAGCTCTGAAATGCTGGTTCACTCGAGCTGAAAGTCTGCAAGTAATCAACCTTTCGCTCCAGATTTGAAACTTGCAACACAAGAAACACAGCAAAGATGTCAAGACTTACCTTTAGCCTGTCAGAGGCAGACCAAACCACCTCCAATTTACTACAACTTCCTGCGGAGATTCGACTTGTTATCTTGCGGCATCTAATGAAACGAGAATACCCCTTGGCAGATCAGATGGCTTATCACCTCCTTGACGGATTATCGACGTTCCGGGAGGGAAAGGATCCGGCCTGCAAATCCAGAACGAGAGTCACATCAGACCTGGACCTGTCAGGACAAATTCTAAGGTGCTGTCAATTGCTCTATCAAGAAGCCAGCGGAGTGTTGTTTGACGAGAACAGCTTGGCGGTACTCTACACAACAAGATCGTCAAAGACCTGTCTAATAGCCGATCTCGTCATTCCTATGCCGCCAGACGTTATCCGGGATGCTGAGATTGTGACAGACTTGATCTCAGCGGCTGAGCGCCCTCTTCCTCACTCGGGTACAGCCTCGAGTCGATCGAGCCGAACGCGAGAGATATACCCGAGCCTACTTGAGTTCCGACATCTCGCAGTCTACATCGAAAGCTGCGAACCAGAAAACGTGGCGTCGTTTTTCCGGACCACTAGAGACTTCGTTGCTAATCGAAACGTCTCGATTCGGAATATTGATGTTAATTCACGCTATGTGCACAGAGTATCGGATGCACTGCAGTGGTCCAGCTACTGGCGCTGTAAGAGCATCACCTTTCCCGACAACCTCACATTTGACACCTCAGACCTCGCCCACCTGACCACCGGCTCAACGACCGTCATAGACATGGTCGCATTCGCCAAGATGTTCTTTCGTGTCGTAACCGATCATTCAGGCATCAAGCACAATGACCCGCGTTATCGTTCTCCCTGCTGGCTAGTTGAACTAGTCGACGCCAATATGCCACCACCTGCCAAGCGTTACAACGCGAACGACCTATCGGACCTTCTGTGGCCATCTGTCCGCGCAGGCAACAAGACTGAATTCTGCAGACTGGCTAGAATCGTCTTGGAGAAACTTGTGGAGGTCACCCAAAGACAGACTGAAGAAGCGGTACAGGAAAACATCAACTTCGCCAAGTTCATTCCAGATTCGGTCGAGAGAATCGTAGAGTTGCGGGTCAAGCAGAAGGAAGCTGAGGAAAGCATCAGTTCCTTTTTCAGGGATGTCATCGGCGATAGAGGACTGCCACAGGTGGTTGAGGAGGAGCCCTTGGATGGAGGTGACGAGGTCGGTAAATAGAGCAAGTGACAATGTCAGGAATAGGCATTCGAGGAAGAAGAAAAAAAAATTAAGGGCAAGCAGACTGTTGCGGGTTTGAAGGAAAAGTACAGATCAAGAATGAATCTTATCAAGAAGACTCACCACATTTTCTCTTTCTTGTGAGACGACACCCCCGTCGAATTCAATCACATCTCTTCCTGGATGGTCGCGAACTATAGACCATCGTCTCGGGCTTGCCTACCATCTTTCCCACACTGAACTTGGTATATTGAATTTGCTTTTTGTATTACAATTGACCTCAGACCAGAAAAGATCCAATCCACATGTTTCGACGTTGATTCCCAACACCTATCGTAGAAATGTGTGTTAGTCATCAGGTTCTGTGTACACTTCGGTAGAACAGACTTACCATGACACAGTCGTTCACTTCATTGTTGACAGCTGAAAGAGATTTTACATCATACACCACCTGACAGTGGACGATGCTCCAGAAGCGTACGCGACAATGACGTCTGCCATGGTTCATGAGCTTGCTCAGAGTTCGGGCGTTTCGAAAAGCGAAATCATTGAGCACACGTTCTTGCAGACAAGTTTCCAGACCCTCGGGAAATTCCAGCTTCTCATCACACTGGAGAAGATGGTCTCCGGTTACCATGTGTTGATTTGCTGTTAGTGAAAGATCATTGTAATCAGCGTCCCCATGCATGATGACAGCCGATCGACCTGATTGCGGTAGATGTACCCGATAGTTAGGCTCTTCGCTGTCCGGGTAAATATCGATACGTCGTACTACGTCTAGAAAGAGACCCAAACCAAAGGGGTTGGGAGACAAACCTCCAAGTATAGAGTCGTCGATGGCGACTCGAGGTGTGTAGCGAAACATGGTCTTGAGAATGTTCTCGCAAACCGCTGATTGGGGAGTCGAGCTTTTGACGTGGGAAAACAGCTGAAGGGGCTCAGACTCGTCGCAATCGATGAAGGTCTGCGCTGCGAATACTGGTAATGCTTCTTCATAGAATTGACGGGAGGTGAAGAGTTGTACCATGTCTTCTGGTGCGAACATCTACATTGTGTTGTTTCCTCCCCAGGAGTGTTCTTGTCGAATTACAACTTCTCTGCAAACACTATAGCGTCGATCATCATTATCATCGAATAAGAATTGTAGGACCATGTGACGGAGTTCGAAGGGTAGATCGAAGGAAGGGAATATTGCCATCGTCTCATCATCCCGTTGGGAAGACCGCCGGGTTCTCCGCCGCCTTCGACGGCTCTTTGACAAGCTCAAATTTGCTGACGGACCATTTGCTGTCTGAAGATCTTATGTCTCTGCAGTGCTGATAAGTAGGATATGCACACCAGGTGTGGACCCTTCCATTTTTCCAGACATAAGCATTACGATCTGACAGTTTTGTGACGTCTCCAAAGTTGTATGCCGGATGATTGTTCATGACGAGGTAGGAAGAGGTCCTTGCTGCCATGTTGATTCGTGGTCTTTCATTTCTTTCGTGGTAGCAGGAAAAAGAAATAGGGGAATGACTCTGCTATCTCTTCTGTTCATATAGCTTCCGGGGGCTGAGGACCTGCAACCATAAAACGTTGTTTTGAGCGACCTTGCGCTAGCGAAGGCTACACCACAAGAGTCAAATTATCGAGCTCTTCCTGTCGTGGATTCGATGATGTCTGCCTGGCAACATTATTACAAGATCGAAGGATTCGAAACTAGATATGTGCAGCAATTGCACTATGAATGCCCTCCCGGACAGATTCTTGGTGCGCTCTCCAGCCGATGAATATCTTCACAGTCATTTCTAAGTCGCAGCTCGGTCTCATAGTCGATGGAGCGATGCATGGGTATATGTTTTGGGATATCACCAGCCGCCAAGTCTCGTGTGAGCGTGAGAAGACATTGTAATGCATAATTCGATAACAAAGGGCTGTCGGAGTTTGCCAAGAATCCGTCAGAAGGGGGCAGTAGCATTCATAGGACTGCCTCGTCCTTACCCTCAGATTGACCATTTTTCTTTGTGCCTCGCGTTGTTCTCGAACAATAGTGTGTACGGCGTGCCCCACGAAACGGAAATAGATCGGCCAGCCAGATATAGCTTGATATACGATTATGCTGTGTTGAAGACATCATTCACCGCGAGAACCAAAATTCGAAGCTGCAACCTGCGAACATTTTAGCAGAATGGTAACACCAATACGAGATCCTGAAATTTTCCAAACCTGTTACGAAGCATTGTTTCCCTATATATTAGCAACATTATATCCTCCTCTCGGTGTCATTATAGCAACTGGATCAGCAAGAGAATGCTGGTGGGTAGTCCGCTTCCTGGATTTAGCCATCAATTTGGGGCTGCTCTATTGCAGTTATTTCCTCGGTCTCATCCATAGCTGTTACATAATTTGGCATTTCTGTAGGGGCAACCCATTTTATCCTTCATGCGAGGATGTGGCGAGGCATGAAGAAAACAATAGACGAAAATTGTAATGACGCAGGAAAAGCGATGAGAAAGAGGTGTATGTGCTACAAGATATTAATCGATCGATTTGTGTAGAACCTCATCCTGAAGCTTGTCCGTTTCAAAACCATGTTCAATCTCTCTTAGGCTTGAAAACCCTCTAGCCCTTCATGCGTCAGCAGACAGCAGATATTGTGGTAGTCGCACAAGTACATTGAACGTGAGTTCTAAGTGGCAATACTATGTGAGTAGTCTTACCCAAGAATGATGAAACAATTGTCTCAGAAATCTAGGTAGTAGGGTGCAAGACGCGCACGATCGACAAAGATGCAATAGAATGAGCCTAATGACAGAGAAGGAAAGATTTCAATCTGGCAGTCAATGAGCTTGAAGGAATATCCTCGGAAGGACCAGGATAGGTCGAGCTGTGAAACAAGTCAAATCAACAGGCAAATTATGCCGCTCGCCGGGCAATTTACGAGCTCCACTCATGTGCTTCCAAGCGGCAACAAGAGAGGCCATATATACCAGGAAAAGCAAGCTTCGAGAAGGCCAATGAAACGTATGTTATACAGCTTGATGTTTCAGCTTGCAGCTTGAATGTCATGGTCTGCTTGTGCAAACCATAGAACGTGCCTGTATTGCGATATTCGAGAGTGGCGAATATAGCCTCGTGATGGATAGAGTTCGTTCTCGTGAGTGAGCTATATCCTGCAAGAACAAGGATAGATGGAAGAAGCGACATGGCTAAACATGGAACATCCGCTTAGTGGAAGATCATGTCCCAGGAACTGCATAGCGACTGAAATACTGTGTACTGGGTTATCGTAGTGGAGCAGTATGGCCGTGCTTGAGCTTGGAGGTACAGCACACCTGCACGTTATGTACATGTTCTTGCAGCAGTCCAGACTGTAATGGTAGTAGCGAGAGACAAACAGCTCGAGTGATTCAGTAGAGACGAAAGACATGGCCAAACATATGGCTTGATATGGCAACTACGGAAGTGGCTCACCCTATCTGCATCGCGCTTGCAGAGTGTGGCGTATTACGGAGACGTAATGGAGAGCTATGAGTGGTCGACTGGGTTGATGGTCCCTGTTGGTGATGCGTGCCTCCCTGAACATACAAAAGTTGACGAACAAACGAGCGATACCATGATCCGGACAGAGTCCTTTGTTCAACTTGATCCAAGTCGTCGGTCTGTATCTCTTGACACTGTTTTCAGATCTGTTAATTTTCAGCCACTGCTCGTGGTAGACGCTATACTGCCACCACTGTACAGCCATAAACTCTAAGAGGGTCTAACAACGAGCCCTGACCTGTTTCCGTCGGACAAACAAACAAACACGTTCCGCAACATCAATACACCAACCCTTTTTGCTGTCGCTTCATTACCGCAGAAGTGGCTACGGCGGTCATGACATCGACGCCGACCATGGCGAATCCGTAAGGAGTTTGTTATTGCGCATTGAAGGAGTGCTAATAGTCGCCAGAATCGCTGATGCGTTCCGCTCGTTTTGGCATTCAATGACCTCGAACGACCGCCATGCTACACACAACAGTCCTTACAGAACAGGTCAGCATGTGCCCATCAGTCAGAGTCGCCACGCGCCGCTTTCCTCCATTGCGACCAGTGCCTTAGAGTCGCATCCCGACGTTTCCACTCCCTATCACGATGAATCAAAGAGACCTTCAATCTCCTCCGCCAGTTTCGCTCAATCTCCCTCGAGGCCTTACTCTCCCGGTATGCGCTCGATGTCCTCTCCCAAAGTCCCTAACGTGGACGAAGTCGCATCTCCTGGTGAGATTCAGATGCAAAGTTTCGCCGATGGTGCTCCTCCGCCTCCTCCACCCTCGCATTCCTGGAAAAAGATTGACAGATGGGCCGAAGCGAATTACGAAGAGCTCTTCGACAACCTCTGCGAGGGTTGCTCTCACAACGATGTAAACGAGCTAGAACACGAACTGGATGTGACTCTCCCGCAGGACGTTAGAGAGTCTCTAGCTATACATGATGGCCAGGAAAGAGGCGGACGTCCGACTGGTATCCTACTTGGCTGCATGCTACTCGACTGTGAGGAGATCGTCCAAGAATGGCAGAATTGGAAAGTCGTGAATGAAGAGTATCTTGCAGGAGTCCGACGCTCACAACAACCCATCTATCCCATCAAAGGCTTGAGCAACGGCGCTTCCTCGAGTAGTAGCGCCTATCATCAACAACAGAATGGCAAAGCCTGGCGCGAAGAGCTTCTGGCTAGACAAGACTCACAACCTCCCAAAGCTGTACAAAAAGCATACGCGCATCCGGCCTGGATTCCTCTAGCACGCGACTGGGGTGGCAACAATATCGCAGTTGACCTTGCTCCTGGTCCCACGGGCAAGTGGGGTCAGGTCATTCTTTTCGGTAGAGATTATGACTGCAAGTATGTCATTGCTAAATCGTGGGCTCATTTTCTAGCCACAGTTGCGGACGACATCACAAGCTCAAAGGTAGTCGTTGACGACGAATCTGGCGAAATGAAGTTGAAAGAGTTTAGGACCGAGAACGTGGAGCCTGCCTATATGGACATCCTGCGCTGGAGAGCAGATCAAAGATATGGTAGACGTGGTTCCGCCACGGGTCGAAGAAAGTCTCAAGGCCCTCCTGGTCTCAATACAAATGTCGCCAACGTTAATGGTAGAGGCTCGCCGTACGGCAGCCCGACTTTGGAAGAGCGCGGTCGATCGCCCCATCGCTTCGCAAGGACCGCCAGCGGCAGTCCTCGACATGGTATGAGCAGTCCTCTGGCTAGGGTACAAGAGGAAATAGCTCATCCACAACCTGTACGCCCAGGCGGCGATACAGTCAGAGATTTTGCGAATGTGATAGAGTCAAGAAGAGCGGACAAGCTGGTAGATGCCCCAACTCCGATCGATGCAAACTCTTCCTCGAACAAACTAGTGGACGCACCCACTCCAGTCTCCACAACAGCAGAGAAAAGGGATTTCCCTAAATCAAGCTTGAGCCGTGTCTCAACAGCTGACGATCTGAGCCCGACTTCCTCCAATGCACATTCCAAGGCAAATGGGAACGTAAAAGGGCTTGGGGTGAACGGGATCGAGGATGACATGAAAACTGTGGCTATATGACAAGCACATCCTTCACTTTGAGCCATCGAGACCAGTCCCTCCTTGTGTCGATTACTTCTTGGATACGGTATCAGTTAGCGAGCTAGGCTACGAAGAATGCATGACTCATACTGTTTGACGAACAACTTTATAAATGGGTATTGTTCAGTTATACATTATCAGCATATTGTATGACTAGAGAACTTTGCCAGATGTACATTGAGGAACTCAGTGAGTTCCGATCCAGCGTTACCGCATTGCTTGGTTGGTACCTTAGCAAAGAGAAGTGAGCTTACGGGTCTGTTGACAGTATCAACTGATCTTGCTTACAGCAACGAGAAAGTTTAGCTAGAATTAGGCAAAGAAGTATAATGTTGTACCAGTAAGTATAAGAGTGACTAGGATACATGTCCACAATCCAGGCTCCGAAAATAAGTCCTGTAGGTACCGTATGCAGCACTACGAAGATAGCTAGAAATAGTAGCACTTACCTCACTACCTTTGCAATCCCCGTCTTGACTTTGGGTCAGTGCAAAGGTTCATGTAAACCAGTGCGGTGACCCAGAAGTACTCAGAGGGGAAAAGACTGCCACTGTACTAGTGTGTTGAAACAAAAGGAGTAAGGAGCCATTATTGCTGCCTGACAAAGCACGACGAACCAGGCATCTAGTGGCCGAGGCCGGAGGTAAATAGGCGTCCTCCCATTCGCTGCATCCTCGACGCGTTTCTTTCCGCTTCAACTTTTTGTTTCGAAATCGCTGGTTGAGACAGGCTTGATGTGCTTTTCTCTATACATCATTTACGTGTGAGCCGAAAGGCTGGGTGAGGTCAATCCAGCGTGCTTGTTGTAGTATGCATCACTAAAGAAGACGAATTGCTGTCATGCTGATCCACCGGGCCATAGCTCGCAGCTTGCGAGCACGGCCTCACTCGAGCCTGGCGTTTTGCGGATATGTTTCCCCTATAGCTTGTCGAGCAGTTCCTGCTGAACTGAGACATAATGGTTGTCCACGTCGGGCATTCAACACATCAAGACCAGCGCCTGCCGTTGAGAGTGTATTTCACTCGCAACTCGAAGATCCCTCGAACGCAGCAATCCTCAACTCCCTCAAAACCTCTCCGCCTGTACCTCAGACCTTGACCGAGAAGATTGTCCAGCGCTATGCCGTTGGCCTCCCGGAAGGTAAATATGTCACCTCTGGCGACTATGTCACAATTGCACCACACCATTGCATGACTCACGACAACTCCTGGCCCGTCGCTCTCAAGTTCATGTCTATTGGGGCAACCAAAATCAACAACCCTCAACAAGTGGTCATGACCCTCGATCACGATGTGCAGAACAAATCAGAGAAAAATTTGACCAAGTACAAACAAATCGAAGAGTTTGCGCAGAAGCAAGGTGTGGATTTCTATCCTGCTGGAAGAGGAATTGGTCACCAGATCATGGTCGAGGAGGGCTATGCTTGGCCAGGAACACTTGTGGTTGCTAGCGACTCGCATACGAACATGTATGGTGGTATCGGGTGTCTTGGGACTCCTGTGGTTCGGACGGATGCTGCCAGCATTTGGGCTACTGGACGGACGTGGTGGCAGATCCCACCTGTCGCAAACGTGGTTCTTAAGGGTGTCCTGCCAAAAGGTGTTACTGGGAAAGACGTGATCGTAGCACTTTGTGGACTGTTCGACAAAGACGATGTATTGAATCATGCCATTGAGTTCACAGGCTCCGAGGAGACGATGCGCAGCCTGCCTATCGATTCTCGACTCACGATTGCGAACATGACTACTGAGTGGGGAGCTCTTAGCGGGCTGTTTCCTCGAGACTCGCTGCTGGAGGGTTGGCTGAGGTCAAAGGCCACAATGGCTGCTCTAGACAAAGCGGAGGGTCGTGCCGGCAACAATCGCTTCACGCATGCACACATTGATGAACTATTCCAGGAGAACCTGATGGCCGACAAGGGTGCAAAGTATGCAAAACAGCTTTACCTTGACCTCAATACCTTGTCGCCTTATGTTTCTGGGCCGAACTCTGTCAAAGTAGCAACGCCTTTGGTGGACTTAGAAGCACAAGACATCAAAGTCAACAAGGCATACCTGGTTTCGTGCACAAACTCGAGAGCTTCGGATCTTGCTGCAGCCGCTAAAGTGTTCAAGGATGCTGCGGAGAAGAACAACGGAGCTATACCAAAGATTGCCGATGGTGTAAACTTCTATATTGCTGCAGCTTCACTGCCGGAGCAGCAGATAGCAGAGGATAATGGTGACTGGCAAGCCCTTCTCGACGCAGGTGCCCAACCTCTGCCTGCTGGATGTGGTCCGTGCATTGGGCTCGGGACTGGTTTACTCGAACCAGGCGAGGTCGGCGTCAGTGCTACGAACAGAAACTTCAAGGGACGTATGGGAAGCACAGATGCAAAGGCTTATCTTGCCAGTCCCGAGGTTGTTGCTGCAAGTGCTTTGAGTGGCAAGCTCAGTGGTCCAGGCTGGTACGAGAAGCCGGAGGGCTGGACTGGTGTCCTTCGGGGTGAAGGTGATGGCATCCGGGAGGAGGACCGTATGATGACGGCTGACGAAGCATTGGACAAAATTATCGGTCAGCTAGACAGCATGATTGGAGCAGCTGAGAAGGACTTCGGTGAATCCAATGAGGAAGCAACCTTAGTAGCGGCTACAGAAGTCTACCCCGGCTTTCCTGAGCGTGTTGAAGGCGAGATCGTCTTCTGTGATGCTGACAACATCAACACAGACGGAATCTACCCAGGTAAGTACACCTACCAGGATAATGTGCCAGTCGAGAAGATGGCCGAAGTGTGCATGGAAAACTACGATACCAAGTTCTCCCAGCTCGCGAAGCCTGGTAATATCCTGGTGGCTGGCTTTAATTTTGGGTGTGGTAGCTCAAGAGAACAAGCTGCAACCGCCATACTTGCCAAGAAAATCCCACTCGTGGTTGCAGGTAGTTTTGGCAACATCTTCTCTCGAAACAGCATCAATAACGCGCTAATGGGACTCGAAGTTCCTAAGCTAATCGAGAGGTTACGAGATACCTTCAGTGTCGCACCAAAGACTTCGACTCACGAGATTACTGAACCATTTGGAAACAAGGAGGATCAGCAAAGTCTCGACTCTACAACTCCTGGCCCCTTGAAAACGTTCGAGAAACAGCTATCTAGGAGAACTGGCTGGAAGCTAGTTTGGGATGTCAAAAAGAGCCAAATTCAGGTTACCGAAGGTGAAGGTGGAAAGACGTGGACGGAAAAGGTCGGCGAATTGCCACCGAATGTGCAGGAGATAATCGCGAAGGGTGGTCTGGAAAAATGGGTACAGAACGAGATCGGAAGTTGAACCTCAACTGCGAAAACGCTTGACGCATCAGGTTAGACGAACCATGGCCTATATACCAAGCTCTTTTTATCAGCTTTCTTCGGTTGCTTCCTCCTCTGGGCATGCTGAGGGAAGGCCCATTGATGTGCAGTCATACGCCTGGCCTAGCCTCGCACCGAGCGACTGATTAGACTGGCGCCAAACCATGAAGTCTAGCACCTGCAGACCGACGTAACAACTCCATATTGTATGGTTCTTCAATCGAGCTAGGTCAGGACAGAAGGGGTATCAATTCGACGCAATAACCAAGACAATGGCCTGAGCAAGAGAAGAATAGGCATACCACTGGTCGCTGCAAGCTACCCTCTGCATATTCGAAAAGACACGAACAAGGCTATCGCCCCGAAGGCTCTTATGACCATGATCAAAAGATTTCCGAGACGAAGGTCGTTCCTGTGATGATGCACTAGTCATGTGTTCCGCCGAGCACCGTGAGAAACCTTGAACTCGAGTGAAGGGAGGTCACGTTGACTTTGCAATTCTATAATTCGCAAGAGGTTCCAACAAGAAGTGGTCAAGAAGCTCGAGAATATAGTATGTCCCTATGAGCCATAGCAGCAGGTGGCTTGAAAAGTTTAAGCGTCGCTTGAAGGACAAAGACTTGTGTGACATGAAAGGGTCGGAAGAACGTGCAAACTTGATGGGAGTGCGAGGTACTAATAAAGTGCATGCAATATACATATAGTCGATAGATGAATAGAAGGTGCTCTCTGGGATATAGAGGACTGATCGCCCTGACCAACTGGCGGGAATACCTGTGGACAATGCTACGTGGTCTTGTGTCCGTAACAAGCCATTTGTCAACACCGTCGTGTAAATAGCTACAGTATTATAGCTACAGTATTATCATCTTCAAATTGTGGATACGATAGATCTCCGAGCCTCGCACTGTTCAGATTGACGTGTCAGGCAGAAGTGGCTGCCTTGCAGTGGTGTTTGCATTCAGTAAGGCACCTTCCTACTATTCTTGCAAGTCATATCTTTCAAACTACACTTGTGGATCCATTATTTCACCAGCACAAATTAGAAATCGTCGACTCTCAAGTCTACCTTATCGTTCTCTCAAGTGACTCAATCGCGGCGAGTTTCGAGCTGTGTATGGGAAAATTCAAGCAATCGAAGAAGCGCGACAAACCAGATGCCTCGAAAGCTGCTGGCCGTGGAGTCAAGCGGCGGCAGCATAGTCAAGCTGCGAGATCAAACGCGAGGGTGAAGCAAGTAAAGATCAGCAACGGGCGATCATCGGCAGCTGGTCGCCAAAACCCGAAGATACCATTTTCGAAGCATGATCGTGTTTTACTCGTGGGAGAGGGCGATTTTTCCTTCACGCTCTCTCTGGTGAAGAATTACAAGGTTAGTGCTGTTCTCGCCACATCCTATGACGACGAAGACACGTTGAAGCAGAAATATCCCAACATCAACAGCACTTTGAATCAAATAGCCAAAGTGGGCAAAGGTCTATCTGTCGAAGATCTCCGAACCAGTGATGTGGGCGGTGACGAGGAATGGGCCGGTTTTTCATCTGATGAGGTCGCGAATGCTACTGAAGATGTTTCTGTCGCCAGCACGAAAAGCGCAGAAGTGAATATCCTACACGGCATTGACGCGACGTTATTAAGCAAAGCTCATCGGAAAGTGTTGAGTCAATATGCACCATTTACCAAGATTGTATTCAATTTCCCACATACTGGCGGGCTCAGTACAGACGTCAACCGCCAAGTACGAGCGAACCAGGAGCTTCTTGTCGACTTCTTCAATAGTGCGAAACCATTACTTGCGACCTCTTCACGACCTGCAAAGTCGAGGGAAAACGAAGATCTAGGGGTTCAGGACGAAGACCTTGAGAATTTCGAGGCGAAAGAACAGGAAGAGTCTGCAGCGCTCACGAGAGGCCAGGTACTAATCACTCTGTTTGAGGGTGAACCATATACGTTGTGGAATATTCGTGACTTGGCAAGACACTGCGGACTACAGGTAGTCGAGTCCTTCAAATTCCCGTGGGCTGCATATCCGGGGTACAAGCATGCCAGGACGGTGGGTGATATCGTGACTGGCAAAGATCGCGGCGAGGAGGGCAAGAGAAAAGGTGCTTGGAGAGGTGAAGAGCGTGATGCGAGGTGTTATGTGCTTGCACTTAAGGAGGAGTCAGGTCTGCAGGACAAAAACGGAAAGAAGCGGAAGCCGAATGATGGTAGTGATGAGAGCGATTGAGCTGCAAACAAGTTTGGGCTTACTAATACAGAAGACGCCTAGCGATCAGAACGACGTTCTGTCTGTAATGCCTAAGGTATGTTTCCTTTCACATTGTTCTATAATGCATCCGTTGAAAGGCTACGACGAGGGTTGCAGCAAACCAGCAGTGTCAGGAAGGTGCACAGCCTGTCTCGAGCAACGGTTCAGATTCAAGGGGTTTCAGTTTTCTGTCTTCATTTTGGTCAAGAGTCGTGGCAAAACATGACCTATGATGATGTTTGCAGCAAGCTTGGGATTGTCAATGCTGAAACTGCAATTGTTCTGTTTGGCATTCGCTTTGCTAGCAATTGAATGATGCATTCAATGTGCTTGTCGATGGCTACTTAAAGCTGGTGGCAAGACACCAAGCAACGTACCTTTCTTACCACCGACCACGCAGAACGTTGCATTGACCAACATGAATATGAACTGGCGACTACAACCTGAAACCAACCCATTTCCGAAGATTCAAAAAGATGGCCAGTGGATAGCAAGCCCACCTTTCAAGCGAAAACCAATTCGACAAAGTTCCTCTCGCTTTATGCAAATGCCTGGCGAGGTTCATGAAAAGATATTGCGGTTCTGTCTCAAGTCAGATAAACCATTGACGCCCTCCATCAGTCCTACCACAAGCAAAGGTGATTTGTCCTATGGACGATCAGCCTATAGTCCCTATTCAAGGTGGCCTTTGTCATCACAGCTGCTCAGGGTAAGCCAGGATCTATATCGCGAGGCACGCCATGTGCTTTATAGTGATAATGTACTCTCCATCACGTGGCAAACTATCTATGGCCCTCCCCGAAGGGTACCAGAATACTCTTGCACGATTTTGGGAGCAAGTATAGTTTATTCGGACCACCACTTTGACTGGAGTTCTGAATGGGGAACCGACCTACTCAGCCTGGTTAGCATACTCAGGGAAGAACGTAAACGCTGGGAGCCAGACACGGAGTGGCTTGAACAGATTTACCCCGCCTTATTGCAGTTTGACAAGGTGCAGGTGGTCATGCAAGATACCATTGCCTGGGGCTATTTCCATATGTCTAAAACATTGCAGAATGTGCTGAAAAACAAGAAGGTGGTTCTTGTCTTGCCGGGGCAGCAAGGCAGCTTACTGAAAAGTCCCGCAGATTTAGGCGACTTGCTCGCACGTTGCCACAGCCTTCGGTGCAAAACCTTCGATGTTGCACATCGCAGCGATAAGCACGAGGCAGCTGTACAGCCGCATCGTTGGCTGATCCAGAGTCAAGCGCGTGTTTCCGACCTACACGATAGATGGCAGCTCATGTTCACCAAACTGATCCCTCAGCTCAGAGACATTGGCCAATCAATGTTCATAATTCGCAACGACCGGGCGGTCCATAGCTTGCAATGTGCTATGATGTCCGACAACGAAGCCAGCTTTGAACTTGCCATGGTCGAGATCCTGCGCTTGACAAGGTTGTGGATAACTGAGCTCGAACAACATATGCAGGAATGCATCAACGAAACGGGACAACAGTTACTAGCCACGCAGGATTCAGGATAATCTAATTGAGTATGGCAGAGACGATTTGAAAAGGGCCTTAATTGACAAGCGTTGGGCGCATAGGGAGAGGCACTCGAGGTATGGGTAACACTGGTTTGGTTCATGGAAGTATGTGTGTTACGAGAGCAAGGACAGCATGCAAGATATGTAGTCAACTTTTGTTCCGAATGGAATCGGTTTTTTTTTCTTTTTTTTTTTCCTTTCTTTTTCTTTTCTCGCAATTCGGCACTGGTAAGGTCGTCCATCGAGAGGAGAAGGAGACTGTTCCCAGCCATCACGAGATCAACCGTATCAGTGACGTGAATATTCCAGGAGAACTCCCTGTGCAACGAAGCTCGGGTAACACCCATGCCAGTGCTGCCTCGAGCCCTCTTGCAATGACCGAGCGACGATTTGGCTGTAACTTGAAGGACGGATAGAGACGGTACACAAAATTCCCACGCCAGGCTGAAAAAGAACTGAAATGCAACGCCCAAGAAACGAAAGACTACTACACAACACCGGCAAAACGATCTCGAGGTTGAGCGGACAGAGGTAAGCAATACGGCAAGATAGACAACGACTAAATACAGAAACAATGGCAGACATGGCAAAATTTCAAGGACGAGCATACAGATATGCTAAACACATAATTTAAAGGAGCAACGAGCTCAGACTGACGTGTCGATATCGAGAAGATGAATGATATGTCAGCATCAGCTGGATGTTGCGGAGCCACTCCTCGAACCAATGTAGACTTGCGTCAAGCTTGAATTTGACAATAACCGGAGCGAGCTGGCTATAGTATAGAGTATTGTTCTTTTTCAATCACTAGACATATAGTGTTTTCGCTTCCCATTATACGTTCCTAGCTGTACAGAGCTATTTTCAAACATCGAGCCAGCCAGTATGAAGCACATATTCGACGCCAGATCATTCCCAAACACCCATCGAAAGCTCGTTCGCCCTCCGTTGTCGAAACAGCTGGCTTGCACAGGAGAACAATACTCGAGAACTTGAATCTTGGTCTTCTCACACAATGGCCACATTTCTTTTTGAGTCTGCTGTCGTTCAGTCACTGTCGGAATCTTCGGCCTTGCCTGTGCCACTCTTTCTCTTCTCCTTTTTCTCCTTCTTTTCCTTCTTCCTGCGCTTGCGTTCGGCTCGCTCTTCTGGTGTCTCTCCTTCGTGCTTGCTCTTGCGCTTCTTCGTGTCATCGCCGTTCGTCTGTGGTATGGCGGGTATGCTTGGGTCTTGTTCCTCAGCTCTTCCTGTAGGAGCGACTGGTGGTGCTGCCAATACATCAGCTTTGCTGGTAGTCTCGGAAAGACCGGGACCAGATGTGAGTGGTGCGCCGGGGCCGTCGTTCGCTGATGGGTCTTCCGACGCATTGTAATCTTGATATTCGGCATTCCATTTGGCTGGAGTATTTTCGTTTGCTCGGCCATATTTCTAGAACTTGTTAGTATGTGCAATAGGTAGGTACTGCGTAGACAATTCACTCACGTCAAGTTTGCCTTCTGACTTCATCTTCTTCTTCTCGAGCGCCACAGGGCCCATGCCCCATCTTCGTGGGTACAAATCCCTCTCCATAATGCATCGTTTGACCTTGGCCACCACGCCATGGTCACATGTTGAGAGCTCTACAGTCGACATCTGCGCCACACCCAACGCGATAGCCTCTCCCTTGGTCGTCATTAGAACAACCTCCTCGTGCACCTCGATGCCAGATTCGAATCGAAGCAGACCAGGTATCATGAGCTTGGCACCATAGCAAACAGCATTGACCGCGCTATCCTTCACCACAATTCTTTTGTACGTTGTAAGCAAGCTCTCAAGTGGGGATATGACCGTGCGTAAGTGCGACTCGTCTCTGTTGTTGTCGTAAACCCACTGCGCATCCAAGACGTCGTGTAAAGTGACCAGTTGCTTGCTTTCGTCCATAGCACCACTCCTCACCCTTCTCAGCTCCTGCATATGAGCACCGACGCCAGTAAGCAATCCTAGATGTACGCAAAGGGTACGAATATATGTGCCTGCTTCGCAACTAACCCAAAATACACCGAGATGTCTGTCGTTATCAAACTCCATCAGCCTGCTGTCGTAAATTGTCCTGACACGCAGCTGTCTCTTGACGGCGGAGATCAATGGAGGTCGTTGGAAGAGTGCTCCAGTGAGAGTCTCCAGTGCTCTGGCAAATTGAGCTTCACCTCCAGGCAGCTTGTCATGAAACCTCACCACAGCCACATACTCTTTTCCTGCGCCCTGCTGCGACTTGACGAGCCGAGTAGCGCGATCTATGCAGACAATGAGACATCCTGTAACTTTGGGATCGAGAGTACCACTGTGACCAGTCTTCTCCACTCTAAGCATGCGCTTGACCCACGCAACAACTTCGTGGCTGGAAGGGTTCGATGGTTTGTCGAGGTTTATCACACCGGAGGAGACATAGGACTTCAAATCGCGCTTGTATGGTGTACAACCTGCTGGAATAGGTGTAAAATGACCAGTTCTCACGAGCACTGCGTCTTATTAGCTCAACATCATATCCAAATTAGCTTGCCACGCACATTTGTCGTAATTCTTGAGCAATAGCGGCCAGTCCTCGGTAGATATTGCAGGAGTCACATTCTCAGGCTTGATGCTGAAGTCCATCTGGTCGGCTTTTGCCATCTTGTCTATGCTTTTCTGTCACACGATTGGGAGCTGCGTTGCTTGCGCCCAGCGCACTTTCGCTAGCTGAGCAAGCTGTCAAGGGCCACGGTACATGAGCCTTTTGTGAAAATACAACAGTAAGAGATGTCACTGGTAAGGATATTCACTTGTATTGCTGTCGACAATAACCATGCACATTGCGCTCCGACAACTTTTCCTCCGCAGAATATCTCACAAAATTCTGGCTGCCACACTAAACCCAAAACTTATTAGCTCCACTTTCGATTTTCACCTATAAGCTGAGGTGGCCTTTACGACCTTCTTCATCATCTTTGAACTATTTTGACCACTCCAGAACTTCTCTGTCTTAATTGATCTCGCGTCGATTAGAAATGGCGGACATTATGGACAAGTTCTGGAGTGCACCTCCTGTATCAAGGTAGGACGAGCGAGGCCGGAACGATTCATCCTGCTAATGTGCGACCAGGACTCTTGTGGCTGCTATAGCTGTTGAATCGCTCCTCGTCCATGGTGGCTTGGTCAATGGCTACCTCGCACTGTTTCATCTGCCTTCCCTCCTCAAGTTTCCTTTTCCTCAGATCTGGCGCCTCATTACACCATTTCTCTTAGTTGGAAGTGGGTTCAATGCACTTTGGGATCTGTACATGTTCTGGACTTACGTTACTCAACTTGAACTAAACTCGCCGCGCTTCGCACAACCAGGAGATTTCGCAACTTATGTCGCTTTCATAGCGGCAACGATTCTGGTAAGTCTTTTCAACCCAATTCAGAAATACCTCGCCTTTCTGCCCGCTCAGATTCTATATCTGATTCGGTTCCTGGTGAGCGAGGAAGATTACCCCTGCGTGACATGCAGCCTGTCATTCGCATATCAATCTAAGGCTGTATGTGGCGTAGGCATGGTGGTAGCTGTTTGAGATAAGCTGTGCGCACAAAAAGGTTGCGTACGGCGGTTATGGCTCCCTACATTTCATTCTTGTACAAACGTCTTCGTCTTAGTCATTGACTAACAAGGAAACAGGCAGTGGCTGGTCTACTCCTCAAGTCCTACATCTTCACTAACGCTCTCCTACTCGCTTTCGTCTATACATATGCCCAGGACAACCGTGGTAGAAAAGTCCATTTTATCTTTTTCCAGATTCCAGCCGAATTACTCCCATGGGCCATGCTTGGCATGTCACTAGTCATGGGCGGCACGAACGCAGCACTACAACAAGGTGCTGGTCTGGTCGCAGCACATCTATACGACTTTTTGACCCGACTATATCCGACATTTCAAGGTGGACGCAACTACATTCAGACACCAACGTTTGTCAGGGATTACTTCGCCTCTGCTCGGCCAGCTACAACCCAAAGAGCCTATGGGACGAGCTTTAGACCTCAGCCGGCGGCCCAGCAGATACCATCTACTGGCAGGAGCTGGACAAGTGGTTTCTCGTCCGGTGCGTGGTCCGGTAGAGGGGCTGGTCATCGTCTTGGCGGTGACTGAATCATGAGATAGATGTGTAGCTGCTCATTATTTTCGCATTCAATCATTTTCCCTTTTCCACTAACTCTCGTGTTGCATCTGAATGCAAAGCTGACTTTGTTCGCCTTGACACAGTGTATCAACTTTCCTGCTGTCTCACGTTGACGCGCAGATAGACACGATTCGAGAAATCAGAGTCATGCACTTCACCGAGGTAAAACTTCTGTTTTATCCATGCTATACATCATCATCACAGATTCAAACAGTCACGTTGCTGCTGAACACGACCGTTCAGCGAGAGCGAAGGTCCAGGGAATCTAACTGCTCCACATCGTCTAGTGCACGATTTCCAGCCCTCCGCATATGGAAAAGTTCTTCGAACAACAGTCGTGCTCTGCGGTTACACACGACATCAATCCAGAGCAGAGAACTCATATTCCTTTTCGCACCAGCCCAGTCTTCAACGCCACAGCACTCAGCGGCCTCCAAAAGCCACACCCACATTTGAGCGCTATGGCTCAAAGCCAACGGTTGAAAAGCAATAAGGCGTACAACAAGGACCCACAGGACCAGGTTACCGTTGATTTCTTGCTGGTTGCGTTGCATCATATTAGCTGTGGCAGCATCTATCTGATTCTGGAGCCAAGGGAACGGTATTCGTAAAAGTGGCCAGTCGAGAAAGATCAGTACACAGAAGGCAAGGATGGTCAGTTGAACTAGTTCATAAACTGCGTCAGATGAGAGAGGCAGATTCGAGGCACGATATGTGGCTGATGCCATTGTCTCGAGAAGTAGGTTTGTGTCAATATTGCTGATCCAGGCTACGTCAAAGGAACAGAGAGTGTGAGCAAGATGCCTGAGATCACAGCGCTGATGGCTAAGTTGTTTGCTGCAGTCACGGGACGAACAGTGGAGGTTAGAGCATCCACATATATCGATGCTGTCGCGGTCAAAGGCAAGGAAAGCCATTGTTGCTTCCTTACGAGCTGGAGGGTCCATCCGTAGGTCACTTGTCGATGCAATCCATGGCATCTGTCACTGACCACCATCTCTAGCTTCGTTCCATTCCTCTACGAGCCCCAAGGACAAAAGCTGATGCAGCGATTATGGGACGAGACTATGGCGGAGCTGAGTTTCGCTGATCCCAAAACTATCTTATCTGGCATGGGAGCCCAGGATGCTTTGAGGGCCTCAGCATAGCAAGCTATGTCAACATCCTGAGTTGCCAGGCTGGGTCCAGTATGCTATGCCTGGATCGATGGCGGTCTGCGCAGTCGATTTGCCATCCAGAAGTTGTGTGCCTCATACCGTGGCTAGTATGAGTCGGCAAACTAAATATTGTGGTCACATCCGCGCTTTGAGACCGAAAGCACAGCCTACCACTTCTGAGACAGCAGCAGAAGAAGATAGCTTGTAGACGTGTTAAAGAGCCAGTGACGTGGTTTGGATATCCATTCCGTCCATAGTCCACAGTAACAACAAGATTCGGTGTTGAATAAAATTGCAAGCCTGACTGAACGGATCCGACCCCCATGCATCTTTTCCGAGTACCAGACTACCACAACACTCATAGAACGCGAATTGGCCAAATCGATTACAATGAGATTTGAATGCTGGTCTAGTCAAATGGTGACAGCTCTCTAAACTTGAACAAGAAAGCTTGTATGACACGTATGAAGTTGCGTGCCAGGCCAGGAACGTAAAAGTTCCGGCAAAATCCCATTCTATTGTTTTACAGAGATTGCATGAAGACTTTTGAATGCTACGTCACGAGGTCTCCTTCCGCAGCTTCTGACTGACTTCCTCTCTTGGAGGCTCACAATACAGCCAAAGTACAACAAAGGCCACAAATCCAATCACGACTGTCCAGAGTCCAGCAACCCAGGGCCATGCTGCTGTGATCACAAAACTCCTCGGCCATTCATCGTGAGCGAAGTGCCGTACGGTGACTTGCCGACGCTCCTCAATATCTGTCAAGAACGGCCTCTTGTAATTGACCTTGAATGCAAATATACCATGCTGGTCTGGAGTACGGAAAGTGGTACCATACGTCGTCGAATTTAAGGAAGTCGATGTTGGACTCAGGGCTAAGCGATGGAAGGGCGAAAGCATCGTAAACTCGAGTTGAACAGCATCCGAGGCGGGATGCGTGAAAGGTGCCCAATGAGTGCGGTCCCACTGGGATAGCTCAATGGCGAACGACTACACGAGTTAGCTGTAGTCTGGAACAGAACGATATATACGCACCACATCAGTTTTGATTCTATAAATCTCTGGGTCGGGAAAGCCAACCTGTGTCGTGTTAGATATTGGTTTCGAGGCATCCAATATCTGGTGATGTTGCACACGACCAGCCCTGAGTACACCAATCTCCTTGAATGTCCATTCTGTTAGTTGTCTGGCAAACTGCTTATTCGCAGTCTTAGTAGGCTTGCCACCTGGTAGCTTGACTTCAGCGTCGAACCACTTGTTTTGTAACATCTCTAGAGACCCTAGAACAGTAAATCGTGCATTGTTTCTTGCCTGCAGCGCGGAGACCAGCGCAATCTGAGAACCCGTCGCGAATACATCTGGTTCAGCATCTGCCTCTTCTTTCGGGTTGTATGTGTATGCCGTCTCCGGTGCTCTGAGGATGGGGTTGATCAGGGTACTCGCAGCACCTAGTGTCTGTCCGACAGCCTTTGGCACCGCCAACATACCATCTCCTCCAAAAAGACTGATCACATCTGATCGTGATGGTCTGGGCTGAGGCAGGACAAGGACATTGTGACTGTCGGCGCTGGAGGTAGTATCGTAGTGGAAGTGATCGATAATCTGAGACGATCGATCGGTAGGTAGAGCAATATCGAATTCGAGGAGCAAACTTGAAATTGCAGATGGGATGGCCGTTTCACTGGACAAGGCTAGCAGGATGTTACCGCCTGCATTTGTAAAATCGAGAAGGTTCTTCGGTGTCAGGTTCGGTCCATAGCCTACGTGTGTTAACATATGTGCTTCATCTTAAAGTGCAACGAACCTTTGGACTTGGGTGGAAGTAAAAGCACATGGTCATACGTCTTTGCTCCAAGCCTGAATAGCGATAACGCTTCGGACTTAGGTGACTCAAACTGTAGTACGAACGACCTCGCTGTTTATAATCATCAGCAACGGCATCTTGTGTCCTGGAACTGCGCCTTACATTCGAGATCGGACCACAATTGGCTATAGAGGTCTTTGTCTGCTGTATCTTCGAGCACAACCAGTAGTCGGTCACCAGTCGCACTCTTAGCTTGCACCCATATCAGCAAATAACACAGCAAGAAAGATATCGAGCTGAGTAGTCTCATTGTGGTTGCGATATACACGGCTGTTGCCAGCAGCCAGAGTATCGAAGAATCTATTGAGCGGACTGCACCTGCCGCTTTGGAGACGTGTTCACCTTCCGCAGCGTAAATCTTTGCCAAGGCTTTTAGGGTTCGATGCGGCGGATGTTCCTGCAGCTTGACTGGGGTAACAGAAAGAGAGCTCTCCCTCCTCCTGTGCAGTAGACATACACGACTACGTAAAGAGTACGCACGGCTAGCAGTGCGAGGGAACCGTCGCGATTCGAAGTCTAGTCCATTATCCAAGAATTTGAGTACTCAACGTTGGCCGCAACTGCGCGCCCCATATACCTCGAAACAGCCCTCAGCGCACCTACAACCACCACAGACATCATGTCGGCCGGCATACCAAGGACCTTCTGGTCATCACCAGTTCGCTATTTGAAATGGGCTTCCCATGAAAAGCCAGCAATATTCTTCAGCGTCATAGTGGGCTCTATGGGGCCTGCCTCTTTCTTCATTATACCTCCAATTAGACGGATCGTAGGCGATCAAGATCCTCCACCAATTCCAATGACATATCCAAGTAAGTCTCTTCGTATTGGTTGAACATACACGAGTCTGCGGCGTGAATCGAACAGCATAGGTGCTAATACCTGCGTTCACAGTTCCTGAGGGGCCGAGGAAGATACCACAAGGATACGATGACTGAAGATTAGCAGCGACCTCTTGACGGAGCACAACTAAGGAAAGAGATGAGATGAATAGGCGAAGCGTTGAGCTCGAACGACTGTTTCGTGTATATACTGGGAAATTCTTGATGAGTCACAACCACAGCTCAAGAGCACGACCATTTCTCTCGTGGACGTTATCGTATGGAACCTGGTTCCTCAGTACCAGACTCTGGACGAGCATTCTCGCTGTTCACTCTCGCCTGCTTGTAACTTCACGATAGCCTCTTATGCATGTATAACCTCAGCTCGTATTGAAGCATGTTCCTGCTGTACCTTTCCTCCGAGTCTGAAGAACTTCTCTCACTCAGTCAAGTGTTCGGCAGCTAACGTAGTCGCAGACCCTTCGATATCGTTGTCAATACTCACCGTATCATTGGTCGTGTGCTCCCTCCTCCAATACATACCATGGCAAGTCCTCCTTGTCCACTTTTGTGCAGGTCAACCACGGTTTGATTACCTCTTCCATGGTAGCTGGATCGATATGTGTCCTCACCACCATCAGATCCTTGACGAATACCTTCATATCCTCCTTTAGCACGTTCATGTGGCTTTCCAAAACGCTGCACGCCTTGCTGGACATCGGGAAGTACGTGTGGAATGCCCTCATTGCATCGTGATCCAGGTACGCATCTCCTCCCTGACTGAATTGCTTGTACCATGCATAGCCGCCATCTTCAGCCTGTCTATTCATGCCATCATTACCTGATTGAGAGACGTATTGTCGGAAGCAAGATAGGGCCATCCACATGTAGATGTCGTTGGCGTAGCCGGTTCGGTGAGGTTTGTCGACGTGGTTGCGACATAGAAACTCTGGGTAATGCCCTGCGATCCTGATTTCGATAGCTCGTTTAGCCAGTTCTAGCTCATCCCACTTTCGCTGACACAGCTCTTTAGTTGCTGCACGAAGCTGTCCCTTGGTTGCCTCGCCCAGCATCTTCCACTTTCCCACAATGTGAACCACAGCTTCCCTAAAGATGGCAGGACTCTTGACTCGTCGACCGAGTTCAGCCCAAACGACCGGATTAGTAGCTATCGATGGCCAGAGAACCTTATCCTGCCTCAAAAGCGCCAGATCTACTACTTCCCTAATGTGAGTTACAGCGGCGATCGTGTCTGCAACTTCAAGCAAGTTCGAACAGTCCAGTACAGTTGCGCCAAATGTGCTCGTATCAAATGCTGGTGTGATGCCATAGAAGCAGCCAAAGAGCCAGTCCCAACACTTATCCTCATCTTGACCGCTCAGATCGACTCTAGCAGCACGAGCTGTAATAGGGTTCTGTACTCGACCTGATTCACTGATTTGCTTGGCCAAGGGTTAGTTTACATGCTCAAAGCATTAGAAAATAGCATACCAGGGAAATAAAAGCACCACGATCGTCCGAATCGCTATGCTGCTGGACCAGGACAAACCTATATGGCGTATGGCCATCTCTTCTAGCTGCAGCAGTCAATCTAGGTGCTTCGCCATTCTCGAAGGCATTTCGGAAGAAATCAGACACACGGCGCAAAGTGTGTGAATGTAGCCTATATACCTTGCTTGTGGACACAACAATTGTAACATCGCCGTCTTGATACTGTGGAAAATCACTAGAAGACGCCATCTTGTGATAGGTAGGGGAAAAGAAGGAAAAGCAGGATAGTTGCAGGATATGTGTTTCTATGGATATGATGCCTGTGCAGATTTCAAAGAGGAATTGAGATCTCTAGCTCTGTCTGAGGAAGAACAGAGATTAAGGAGAGGAAAAATACGCGAGAACTGAGGTCGAACAGACGGTGAACAGAGGAAGAACACAATAAAGGAAAGGAGACTATAGACACGCTCAGCAGAGGTAAAGCTAGGAGGAGCAAATGGAGGATAAACAGAGGCTGGACAGAGGTTGAATCGAGGGAGAACAGATAGCGAACTAGGTCAATGGAGTGGGAAAATTAGTACCCGGTATGGGTGAAGCTATGATCCTGTCGCACCCTCTCTTGAGATAGACGGGAAAGGCAGAGGAACAGAGTCAGAGTAGGCAGAGAGAACAGGCATATGGACATGACGAAGATGAGAGCTTTGCGGGGAGGAGACGAATACCGAGCTCGGTTAGAGAAAGAACAGATTTCGAACAGAGAAGAGGTAAAGAAAGAACAAGGTTTAGAATAGAGGTAGAGAAGCGATGGAGTGAAGGAGAGAGCAGTCGAGAGAGAGGACATAAGACAGAGCGTAAAGAGAACAGGGAATAGGAGAGACGGAAGATGAAGAATAGATCACTAGTAGAGAAATAGAGGAAGAACAGAAATCGAATTAATTATAAAAAATGAAAATTTTATATTGCTGAACAAGAGAACCGCAAACCTAATCTCAATTCTCTTACCTGACTCTGGCTTCACACCTGAACTTGTCCTTGACTTGGATACTGCAATGGTACTGACATGAAAATAAGCAGGCTGGCCAACTGTGCACTGGGAAGGTGGTGTGCAAAACCGGAGACAAGGAAGCGCAAGACACTAAAAACTACGGCACCTCAGCGCAAGGCGAAGCTCAGATGATGCCAGGCTAAAGCCCACGACATCGAGATCGGAGTCTGAGGAAGCGGAAGCGGAAGCGAGACTGGGACGGGACGTGAGCCTTTAACCAAACATATCGATCGCACGCCCCAACAATACGAGCTGACAGCTTTCTCAGACATCAAGTTGACCTTAGGTTTGACCCCATGACATCTGAGCTGACCTCAAAATGCATCCGAATTTACACTTTTAGAACCTTGTCTGCACATGGTTCGGACCTCCTTCAGAAGTACATCTGAATCTCACCGTGAATCTGGGTCTTCAAGTAGTGGTCACTCACTCCACTTCCTCCTCAACATGGCCATTCCTGTCAATTACTGAGCACTGAAGCTAGTCAGGTATCTCATTCAGGATCCTCAAGGTAAGGATGGCATGTTAGCTGCATACCAGAAGTCACTGCAGTAATGACTAAAAGGTTTGCAGATTGTGGTGGTGATCGGATCGACACCATGTGAGAATAGCATGCGAAGGATCAATCGATGTTTTCTGTCCTGCTTGACTCCTCCATAGCTTGCTCTGTGGACTGAGGGAAGTTTACTGGCTTGCCATCCTGCACATACACCTCCTCCCACCCAACCAGCATCTTCGACCTCTCCATATCTGCAAAGTACTTATCATCTAGGGCGACCACATTCACATAATACTCGTCCTGCAAAGCTTTTTCATAGCAGTCCAGGCTGGGCATCAACAACTCCACAAAGCCATCGTAGTCCGCTGCACTATCAGCACCCTTACTGAGACTCGGGATGGCGGACGTGAATGATTGACGCAGTGATGAAGGACAGTGATATTGCTTGTAGCTCAAGATGCCGAACTTGGCGAGATGAGCAGAGACTTTGGGAGCATGGATATTTGTCCAATGGTAGTGGAATTGTTCTTCAGTGAGATTGGGATTACGGTAAGCTAGTAGGGTGACGCGGAGAAGTCGTTGTCTCTGAATGTTGGAATTAGCAGATGTTGGCTGTGTTCCTGTTTCCGCCATGGCTTCAGAAATTCTTAGTTCAATCCTGTGTCACTTTAGTAGATAGAGTCGATCAGCGAGCACTTTCAAATCTTTGTAGTCACAATGCTATGTGTCGGATCACGTCGTGCAGGAGGAGGTTGTATGGAATGACGACAGTATTTCAAAGTTTCTGTGGTTTTGATATGTGGTGGTTCCACCAAAGCTTTGTGCTGTAAGCCCCTTTACTGGTACTGTAGTAGAGCGCTTCAATAAAGCATCTTAGGAAGGTCTACATGCGAATAATTCACCAGGTTGTGGCAAGCATAATACTGCGAGCACCACGACCACCGACCACGACTTCGTTGGCTGTCGGGTTTTTGACCTCATCTTCAGTTGCAGCATCGAATGCATTCGCGAATTCTCAGCCAAAGCAATTGAGAGCTTTGTATCCTTCCCTCAGCCTAGGAAGTTTCTGCACTACTTCTTCCGATCGTCTTTCCCGCGCTGCGTATAGCCCTCTTCGGCCTCCTTGCTCATACCCTGTCCCCAGCCACCACTAACTTTCTGCCCCATCTGCCTCTGCTCGATACGCTTGAGCGAATCCTCTATCAGCCCTATGTGTCCACGTAAAGTGCCTTCTACCTCGTCTAGACGAGCTTCCATCTCCTCATAGATGAAGTCGTGCTTTTGATTAGCGTCGTAGATGAGATAGCCTGTCAGAAATTGTTAGGAGGCAACCTGGTCCACGGTAGCGAGGCTCGTGGCTTCTGATCTACCAAGGAGAATGCCAGTATCTGCTAAGCAAACACAAGGTACATACCTGTCAGACCTATGTTGGCTCCTAACAGGCCAAGGAGTAGTCTCTGCGCCATGCTGGTAGTGTTGTTTCACGCGAAAGATGCAGTGTTGCTGGCCGTTGAAACGAGGGCTTGTTTGACGTTGCTTGGGCAGAGCCGGTCAGAATAGCTCACGGTTTGTGTTTGTCCATCTGGCTCTTTCTAACAACGTGTCATGAAGGACCGGCTTCGAGATGCTAGCTTCAAGTTGAGGCCAGCTAGTTGCCTAATAGAGTCTAGCGTGACGTGATGACATCTTTGATTGGACGGAGGAGCAAAAAAAGGCCCAGGAGCTTCAGGCGTTCACTATGTCGAGATGAGTTTCGCCGTTCTTCTGCCTCGTCCTGTTGCTAGCCTCGTTTGGCAGAAATTATAGCTTGATTAATAGCTCAATGTCGTTTTTGCTGAATGTCGAGGGGTGTACTCAGGGAATTAAGCTTTCTGTCCGCGAGAAAGATGCCGAGGTTCTCTCCAGCAATGAACATGCTATCGAAAGTTGTGGCTGGCACCTGCTGGTGCTCAAATAGTTCTGTCCCGCGCAACGATAGCAGCGTCTGAGCATACGGCATCCCAATATGACTGACGATACAGATAAGAGCATTGTTCTATACCACTACAATGCATCACCGTACGCAAGGAAGATTGTCATGTACTTGGCTCTTCGTGGGTTGCCATACTCCGAGGTAAAGCAACCAGTTATCATGCCACGGCCTGATCTTCAGGCTATCGGCGTAGAATATCGACGGATCCCAATCATGGCAATAGGTAAAGATGTATATTGCGACACACGCATCATCATACAGAAGCTCGAAGAACTATTCCCGAACGATAAGCTTGGGTCAACGACTCCTGAAGGGCGAGCTCTTCAGAAACTATTCGAGATCTGGCACACCGAAGGTCCGCTGTTCTTCAGAGGCGTGCGATCTATGCCAACCAAAAACTTTACGGACCCAGCGTTTCGAAAGGATAGAGAGCAAATGACGGGGTCATCCTGGACTGCTGAAGACCTCGAGCGAGCGAAGCCGGAAGCACACATATACATGCGTAACTTGTACAACATGCTCGAGAACTTATTGGCTGATGACAGGACCTGGGTTCTCAAGACTAACAGGCCAGGATTGATAGATATTGAAGGTACGGTATACTTTGAAGGCGTTCCATTTCCAGCAAATGCTAACCTCGATAATAGCTTCCTGGCTCCTAATGTGGTTACGTGGGGCAAAGGCGCTCCCAGAAAGCCTCTTTTCCAGGGCTATTTTCCCAAAGACTTTTGCATGGATAGAACGCTTTGACGCTGTCCTGCAATCTGCACGAATGCAATCGCCAAAGCCGAAACAGTTGGAAGGTGCCACAGCAGCAAAACAGATTCTATCTTCAAGTTTTGCAGAGGGTGAAGGTGGGGTACCCTCCACAGACCCACAGAAGTTGCGCAAAGGGGACCATGTTGAACTATACCCAACTGATAGTGGATTCAATAACAAGGATCATGGACAACTGGTCAGCTTGACCGACCAGGAAATAGTGATTAGTCTCAATAATGGACTAAGGTTACACACACCACGCTCAGGGTTCAGAGTTCGACAGGTTGACTCTAAGCTATAGCTGAGCTCGCGAAGCTAGCCTGGTGAGAAAGGAGGTCTAGCTGGCCACTGACAGATCACCTGACTGATAAGCCGGGCGTGTGTTACCCTAGCCATCTGTCGCTCCACATGCACGCACCTCGACATCTCGACTTCACTCACGGGGATGTAAGCAATCCCCATGGACACACGAGTGTTTCATCAAAGCCTCGGAATATACATTCCGTGCGTTCACCAAGTCAGACTGAGTACAGAATATGAGATTTGTGTACTTTTTTTTTGGGAGTGGGAAGATGACGTGTATTTGTACTTGCACCAGTGACGAGAGTCAACCTCATATACCATCTGAGGGAAATGTCCTGCCCGAAGTAATGGTGGACGCCTGTAGAGAGCATGGCGGTCCGATGCAAGGACCCGGTTGTGGTTGTCGATAGAACTTGTATACGAAGCATGATTTACTCGCATAGCAAGCAACAGAAGCTGGAGTAATCATTGTGCTTTTCTCTGATTCGTCGAATCAGAAAAGGTTCGAGGAAAAGGTCGGCTAGAGTGACAGGCGTTATTAGACTTTCAGAAAGGCCCGAGCATTGCTGCCCAACGCGAAGGGACCGACGTACGAAACGACTTCCTGTTATTCGATCAGGTTCAGGTCCTGCGGTCTGCGCATAGCGTGCACTGTCGCGATGATCCGCCCTTATTTTTCCTATTCGACAAGTTGCTTGGCTAACAGTGTACTGAATACAGTAGAGAATTGGTTTGATAGATACCACGCAACGCTGACTCGTCATGGCCTGGAGCATACGTAGCCAAATATTAGAGTTTTGTACACAGTGTCAATGCTTGGGAGCCTCGAAGTAGACGGTACAATGGTCAGACATGACCATCACATAACGCAACAGAAGCTGACCATTAATTCTTTACTCGTTCTTCACCTGGGCGGTGAACACAACATCATAAATGACGATGAACGAAAGGACAACTGAATGACAAGTGACACGAACTAGTACCAGGAGTACTTCGTAGATGGTCCAGCCAATCACGAACGACGCTCAATGTAGCACATGGCCAGGTGGAAGTATGGCCGACCGAAAGAGAAAGGATAGGCTGGAATAGAGCCTGGCAAAACAGTTTTGGCGCGGCGGCAAGTCAATGTTACGGCCAGAAAGGACGATCTCATCGCTCTCAGGCTCCTGCCTGCGACAAGTCAGAAAAACTGCCCAACCAGTCAGATGATTGGCAGGCCACCCCATCCCACTTTGCTTCGCTGTGCTCTTCACGTTCTCTTCCTGTCGCAGCTTCCATTCCTCCCCTACATCCTTTCATTGTCGCCGTCGCTGTATACTCACTGTACCAAGTGAGCCTGTTCCGTCGCCGGATTTGCATTTGGACCCTGGTTGGCATTCTGGAGCAGTCATCTAGAGCTATCAAGTGATTGTGTGCTCGCTTACGGCAAGCCTGCGTCATTGGGCACTCAGGCGTTAACCGGTTCGAAGTCTCTATCAAAGCGTCTTGCTCAGCCAGAGTATATCGGCCTCAGTTTTGATTCGATCTACCAAGGATCTCCACGTCTCAAGGACTTCTCCTGCCCGACTGCCTGTTGGGCATCTAACCAGGATCTTGTACCATAGGAGTGTCCCGGCCCTCCATTTGTCAAATCCACCATAGGCATCTTTCCACCTGGCTCAGTCCTAGTCGTGATTATTCCCTGGTCGGACCTGTTTCATAGCCGCCTCGCTTCATAAGCTGTTCCAGCCCAAATTGTGCCGCAATGCCTTCGCACTCGCATCCTCGCGGATATCCTTTGGACGAACCTGACTATGGTCGTGATCGTGAACCTGCGCGAGGCACAAGAAGGGAAAGAGACGGCCGCGACGTGAGAGAAAGAGAACGCGAAGTAGCAAGAGAACCCAGAAGGCCCATGGACCCTGAAACCGCTCGTCTCCCAGCCCGTGTGATCGAAACTGATATCATGGGAGGTGACCGACAACGCGTTGCGAATACTGGTATTGTGCGTCCACCGCCACAACAGGAGCCAAGAACCGGTAGGAACATAATGAATCTACGGGATCGTGATGATGAAATGATATATGACACTCGTCCCTCTCAGTATCCTACACTCCGGGATCAAGCAGACAGAGAACCAGCCAGGCGTACACCGTACGATGGCGAATTCGACGATATACCCGCTGCTGTTCGACCTGTCATTGACCCCTCAGGTGGACGCTCCCGGGTTGATTCAAGGCCAAAGTACAATGAATATTTCCTCCCTGGAGATGGCATAGACCGGGAAGTCATACAGTCCGAACTCTGCAGATACCTTGGACAGGACGCCACCATGAAACCGGGTGAACACCACGATGTACGGGCAATTTCTGCAGTGTATTGTGCACTGGATGCTGACGAAAGACTAGGGACGAAAAGGATATATAATACGGGCCTATCGTGCTCTGACAACAGTACGTGGTTGACTTTTTCACTACCTGCAAACAACTAACAGTGTATAGGAAATGATTCGTTCTCTCAAGGAAGACAGCGTCAAGTATGCTCGTGAACGAGAGACGGCTATTCGCAGAAATCGGCAGCCAGGTCAGTGAAATTTCGTGTGCAATGTAGTTTGTCCTAATACTGAGACTTTGCAGCCCCATTCCAGCAATTTCGGGATCAAGATCGTTATGGTGCAGACGATGAGATGATGGTTGACGCACCGGAAGAATCTTACTCCAGGACCCGTTACGAAGAGCCAAGGATGCGTGCACCTCCTGTTACCTCTGGCTACATGGCCGAAGCCGGATACCCTGCTTACTATCCTGTCTCTACCACACAACCACCTCCTCCAGGTGTTGACCCACGGATGGATCCACGATATATACCAGGCAACACGACCCCTCCTACTGGCAGAGCACCAGGATATTCTACCCAAGGATACGCACCGATCACGACACGGACTTCTATTCCTGCAATCCCTGCTGGTGGTGCTGCGTACGCCGATCCTAGAACTGGTGTTGTGCGAGATCCAGGTTATGGTGCTTATCAGTCAGAAACCAGAGGTAATCGTCACCGGTGATGTGCCGCTGTTCGTCGAACAGCATGTCCTCCACGTTTGGAGCTTTACCTAGCCTGGAGTCTGGCGCCTGACTTTGAAACGGAAATGATTCTCCCATGCTGCCTGCGAGGACATCATGCACAATACATTGTCCTCTGATCCTAGGCCATGTCCGTCAATATTGCACCTCGACGAATTACTATATGTCGAAGATTTTTGTTGCCATTTCAAGGACCCTGATGTTTTACGTATATTTTCACCACTTTGGATATACCTCAATTTTCCTGTTGAGTGACCACTTCCGGTATCGGAAACCTCTTCTTGCATAGCACGTACTGGACTTTGGCGCCGACGAATGTTGTTCTGTTTGGGACCACGACTATCATGCTTGTGGCTGCAGTGATTAGATATTAGGTACGGACGAATTTAGCGGAAGACTTGGGCTGGTTGGATGCATTTCTTACACGAAAATAATGACATGACATCCCTGAATTTCTCCAAAACAAACGTTGGTCTTCCACTATCTTTTGTCACAGGTTCGTGATCCGTCTCGTTGAACCTGAAGCTTGATTTCTTGCCTTGGACTGGCCATCGCTCACTTAACGTTGACCGAGCATTTGTGGGTTTGCGAGAGTATTGTTCTAAGGTATACACACAGTATTACGGCACCATGCATGGTTCTAGATGAAGCAACGTAGATCTACATTTTGAACTTCATGGACTTTCCTTGCGTGGATGAGCATTGAAGAAATGATATGTTGACTCCCTCCGGCCTATATTCTTCGATTCCACATTCTACGGAACACTATTGCCCACGACATCTGCATGTGATCACACTGAACTCACACGCAGGCAGAAGACGACTTCATGCAAGCTTAGAACAACGTTTCGGAATTTCTATTTTTTTATGCCACAATCTATCATACGATGTGATCCACAAATGCCCTATCACGCCATCAAATATCGTACATTCTTTGATGAAGATCGTTCTTGGGACCAGTTGGCGCCCTCCTCACCACCTGCCTTGCCTGTCTGAACTCTCGACGTGCCATGCTCGCAGCTCGAGATGATCCAGCCCCACTGGCTTCGCCCTCACCAGCCAGGAAACCCTCTCCAGGCACTGGCGGTGGGAAGCCAGCTGGGAGAGTGCCTTCTTTTGTGGTTGAGCCTGAGCCAGGAGCTGTTGCGTTCACTCCGACGGCAGATCCAGGGGTTCCAGTTGTCAAAGGTGGGTCATCTGATGTACCGGTGGAGTTTGAGTTCTGGTTTATAGGAGATGTGCCGTTGGCTTGGAGGCCATCGATGTTGTTTCCACCAGTGTTGCCTCTGCCTTGGCCGGCAGCGTTGTCGTCATCGTCGTTGTCGCCAGCTGCACCACGACCTGTGGCAGCGTCATCATCATCATCATCAGTGTCATCGGCACCACCGTCGCGATCAACGCGACCACCTGCAGCTGCAGCAGCGTTATCATCGTCATCATCATCGTTGTCGTCGTCGTCGTCACCACCACCTCTATTTCTGCCGCCACCATTTCGTTGTCGTTGGCCAGCTTGTCTTGGACCTGCACCCTCAGCTGCGTCCTCATCGCCGGCTTCAGCACTGCCACTGCCACGACCATGCCTCTTCACCACGTCGACTTCATCTGAACGGGCAACGTTCGGCAGAGCATAAGCCGATGTCAAAGAGGTGTGGAAGATTGAAACTGATAGAGCGAGTGGTAGTGATAGATCTGTCGAAGTTTGTAACCGACCAAATGCTGATGTGCTTGCTATTGCAGATGACAAGAGAGTGACTGTGGAGAACTTCATATTGACTAGCAAGGAGTGTAGCGAAAGACCAGCTTTCGAGGAATGAATGGGGAAGAACAGAAAATCACTTTTTGGGAGACGAAGGAAAGACAACAGACCTGCTGCAGGAAATAAATGAAGAGCTTGAGGGAAATAGAAGGATCGATACTTCGATGTACGTGTAGATATACCTCTTTCGAGGTCCAGCAGTTTCACGTAGGGACTTTACCGCGTTGCAGTCAGCATACGATGAAGCTCAAACTTACAGCCAAGAGTTACCAAGCAACAGCGATAAAGCTGCTTGTGCTTCGTAGACCATCGAACCAGACAACAATATCTTCAACATGTGGATAGAGAATCAACGTGCCTGATGCATGCTGTCAGGGAGAGCCGCCAGCTCTCGCAGAACATAGCATGGCATCTCGACAAAGGCTCGGCGTGAACTGGGACTCTCCTGTCACAGAGGCGGAGACGCGTACTCGTCTAGACACTGGTGTTTGTATGGAGAATATCTCTGAAACGCGAAGATGTTTCGTCGTGGAGTAACACTGGACGCGCCTGTTGTAAGCAGTTTCGGAGTTGAGATGGCTACAGCAGGTCCGCCGAGGTATTGCCTTAGGCAGTCGTCTCAGGCACGACACCCAGGCAGCAGTGACGTCAAGTTGTAGTGGGTGAGACGGTGACTCTTCAAAATAGTAAACGAGACCAAAGTCCTGTCGCCAATCTTTGCGCGAAAGCTAGATACATCCGATCACGAACCGAGTCAGATCTTATCGACATGTCGCCGCCAGTACAAGACACCAACATTTACACGAAGCGACCTCTCTACATCTACGACCTGCCTTCTGAGCTGATCGAGACACTAACCTTGCAGACCACAGCATCACGTACCTTGGAGGCATCAGACGACATCGAGGAGAAGCCAACAACGAGGAACTTGAACGAAGACGGACTACCTACCTCCCTATCATGCGCGCTGTGTAAGGCCTCCTTCCGAGACGTGAGCGATCAAAGACAGCACGTTAGATCAGATTTCCACAGGTACAATTTGAAACTACAGCTAAAGCAACTTCCTCCTATAGACGAGGCTACTTTTGTGCAAAAGATTGGAGAGCTTGATGAGTCGATATCCGGGTCAGATTCTTCCGAGTCGGAGGAAGACAATGAGAATGGTAACGACACGACACTATCGGCGCTTCTCAAGAGGCAGGCCAGGTTGGCTCAGCAAGATGAGGAGGGCACGAAGATAATGCAGAAAAAGCGCGGACCTGGCAATGCGCCCATGTACTGGTTGACCAGCCCCAAACTACCCGATGGGATGGGTTTGGGATTGTACAAAGCCATATTGTCCGAAGCAGAGCAACAGACAGCCGAGAAAGAGCTCGTCACTACTCTCAAGAGAAAGCAGATACAGCCGACACAAGTGAAGCATAGCGGTAATAGGCAGCAACTCACGTCAGGTCCTATCGATCCACATTTCTTCCTATGCATGATTGGCGGTGGTCATTTCGCCGCAGCGATAATAGGTCTTGCGCCAGAAGTACGGAAAGGTCCTGGTGGCGTCGAAGAGCGACATGCTGTAGTAAAAGCACATAAGACCTTCCACAGATACACCACAAGAAGAAAACAAGGTGGATCTCAGTCTGCGAACGACAATGCAAAGGGCAACGCTCACTCTGTCGGAAGCTCAAGACGTCGCGCCAATGAGGCGGCCCTTGTGGTAGACATCAGGAATCTGCTTGCTGAGTGGAAGCAAATGATCGATACAGCTGAGCTGATCTTCATCCGGGCGACTGGTAGTCAAAACAGACATACATTGTTTGGGCCATACGAGGGCCAAGTTATGACCTCCAAGGACAAGAGGTTGCGTGGCTTTCCATTCAGTACTCGACGCGCCACCCAGAACGAGCTAATACGCGCGTTTCAAGAGCTCACCCGAGCCAAAGTGGAAAAGCTGATTGAGGAAGAGCCAGAAAAGCCTGTGTCAATGACACCAAAAGCCCAGCCAAAGAAAGACGTACCTGTAAAGCCTACTGCAGAGCAAGAGGAAGCTCTACTTCATACCTCTCAACTTCAAAACTTGATCAGACGATCGAAAGCTCCGGGTGTCCTTCTCTATCTGAAAAAGAACAATTTGTCGGCAAATCTCACCTTCTATCCACCTAATCAAGGTACAAATCACCATGCACCAACACCACTGCACCTTGCTGCGTCGCAGAATGCTGCTGCAGTTGTTGCGGCACTTCTGACCAAGGCTGGCGCAGATCCTACTGTTCAAAATGCAGACAGCAAAGTCGCTTACGATATAGCCGGAGACAGTAAGACTCACGACGCTTTCCGCATCGCTCGATATGCACTTGGTGATCAGGCCATTAACTGGAACGCGGCTCATGTGCCATCAGCTATATCTCAAGAGGAAGCGGACGCGCGGCACAAGCAAGAGCAGGCCGATACGGAGTCGGCAGAGGCTGAGCGCCGCAAAGCAGATCTTGCAAGGATAAGACAAGAAGAAGAGGAGCGCAAAGTCGGCAAGATCGAAAAGAAGGCCGGTACAGGCAAGACGCTTGGGGCTGTGCCTGAAAAGACTTGGATTGAGAAGAATGAGGAAGACCTGAGAGGCCTGTCGCCCGAGATGAGGCAGAGACTCGAGCGGGAAAGGAGGGCAAGAGCTGCTGAGGCAAGGATGAAGGCTCTGGCTGGAGGTAAGTAGGTGCACATAACGCTCGTGAGTACCTTCCGATAAAATGGTATTCTTGAGATGCATTGCGAAAGATACAGCTCAAGAATATCGTCAGCCTTGGCCATCGATAAGCTCAGAATTTCGCTGTATCCTTCAGGTAGCTGACTACATAAGACTCAGCTCAGAGCTGAGAACGATGAACCTGTACTCCAAAGCTGAAAAGCGCAATTCGCCTGGGCGACCTCACCAGTGGCTTCTCGTCAAAAGTTTCCGCAGACCAAGAGGTTATTCAGACTGCTCTTGGCGGACCAGGAGGACTGAAATGCGCCTCGTATTCTCCCCTCACCAATACTTTGGCAGTCTTCAGCAGCTCGATGCGATTGTGCAATCACAGTCCACTTGTATCGTATTGATAGCAGATGCTGATTTTGACGTGCGTCTGCCGCGCAGTACCATCCTCTGATAAGTTTGATGACCAGGATACGCTAATGGAACAGATGTGAAAAGTCGTCATGTCGCAGCTGCAGTGCAAAAATATCTGGGCTGCTTCGGCATCGATGTGGCATAATGCTCATGCCAGGCACGACCATAAAATACCGAACCTGATCGAATACTAGGTCTGTGAGTCATCACGCGATGTATCGACTGCTCTACGACTCTGGTCGAGTTCCCTTCAGCTGGCTTTACTGCTAGTATACGAACCTCCACGTTGGCACAGTCACTGCTCGAGACCATTCTCAACAGCATGAGGTATGACTGTTCTTTTCTCTCAGGAGGTTTGTGTGACAGCTCCGCCACTCTCAGGTCGAGTACGCCCTTGGCCATACTAGGGTTTGCATGCATAGCTGTACTTTCTCTAATACTACGGAAATATCTGCCTCAAGACTGTCCACAACCATATTCTTTCCACCAATCGATAAAATACCTGGCATTGCTGCCTGCGCTTGTGGATAGCAACAAAATGCATTCTTGTTTAGGAACATAGGCAGTGTTTTGCCTTTTTGATCTGATCGTTTTCAGTGATGCGCATTGCGGACAACTCTCTCTACGAGATAAAAGCCTTTGATTAGATCTCATGGTGTGCGCCTCCTCGCTCTCATCCTATCGCCGCTTGTTGTTGCGTATCTCAATGAACCAAGTGGTTGCTGTCAAAGGCTGTGATACAGATTCGTACGATGTGGAGCCAGACCGTTTTCTCTCGAGCACTAAGATCTGTGCCTGGCTACGAAAATCTTCGATCAGCTCCTGACCATGCCGCACATGCGTCGTCTCATGATCAGCCCAACAGGGAAAGTTCTTACATCTCTCACGAGTCAGAGGAACTGCATACGTGGGGCGCTTCTTTGGATGTTACAGTGGCCCAGCCACGCTCCACGAGATCCCACTCCGACAGCCATTCAGACAATCATTCACTTTCGCAACGAAGTGAGGATATCACGGTGAGTCGGAGTGATGATTTTGAAGCTCGACCACAACAGCGATCCGAACCCCCACCAGAAATCATCAGGGAAGCCGGACGATCATGTCCTGCAATATGGCGCGAGATTTGGCTGCCCCTCTTGTGGATTTACGGCTTGATGTTGTCAATGCTGGTCACATTGGCCTTCGTGGTTTGGAGATATCAAGTAAGGCCTGCTAAAGGATTCTTCTTCGAACCCCCAGGCTGGACATTCAAAAAGCAACGAGCATATATCTTGCCAAGTATACCTGCCAGTACATATGCCTCGCTACGAGAGTCTACGTCTACAACGACTAATTTTGGCTCTAGCTCGATTGACGTTTATCATCGCTAGAGCACCACAAATTGCAACTTTTCTCGCCGGACCTTTGATGCAACTATGGGCTTGGCGAACTGCACAAGCACTAGTGGAAGCTTCTATAACGGTCGACGAATTGCCAACTCCGTACCAGTTCAGTCTGCTCATTGGCATTTGCATGGCTTCTCCAGATAGGTTGCGACGATGGACGTCGTTTCGCTCATGTCGTCAGCAACGAAAAAGGTCAACAAGTTCTCCTAAAGTTCTTGTGCATGCTGGATTCGTGCTGTATGTCTGTATCTCTATGGCAATGATCATGTTTATGGCGGACGGCTTGATACACTACACTACCAGGACAGTTGAGGTTCACCAGGCAAAACGATCTAACGATATCCAAGAGTTTGGGAAGGGCTTGGCTCAACAATGCCTCTCTATGGATAGAACGGCCAACTATGGCTTGCCATGCACGGTCAATAACCTCATCCCCATCATCGATTTTTTACGACAACAGAATGAGATGCTCGCCTTGTACCACAATACCTCTACGATGTCGGAAATTCGTACGGTGGAAGCAAACGGGCAAGAAATAGCGATCCTACTTCCAAAGACATCGGGGCTTTCTCCATTTGTTGATTTCCGGGCATCAACTATCGGCATCACGACGCAATGTAGACCCATCACTCATCTGTGTAATCTGGTACCTTCTGGAATAGACGATATGTTCTCGCAATTCACCTGCAGCTCAAATTTCTGGGGATTGCTTGGCAAAACGACAAATGGTACATTTGATCCCGACTATCCACCTCTATCTATCAAGGCAAATAGGAACATTGTGTAAGCATGTAACTCACTACACCGCTAATGCCAATTTAACATGCGTCACAGTATGGCATACTTCATGGACAAGAATTTGACGGTACCCTACAACAGCGTCGGCTACAATCCTACAACGGGCGGACCTGACGAGAATGGAATCGTCTTACCTGACGACCAGCTCGTTAACGAGGTCCACATGGCTCTCGCCATGAGGTTTGCATCGACAGCTGTAGATGCCGATGTAGACCTTTCTATGGATAAAGGTTTTTACAGGGGACCTACAGGGACGTACGACATCATTCTGAGCTGCAATTACGAATCTTTACACGTCGATTACACTTGGTTCAACGGCACGATCCGCGACGTTATGACTGCTCCCGCACCGAACGGCACGCTATCCGAGATCTGGCATGGCCGTAGTTCGCCAACATCAGTATCGGGCGATAGTCCTACCTTACAGACAATCCTCAAACAGGCTGCTGTACAGGACTCCAGCGAGACCTTTGCACGAAAATGGGCTGACCTCTTCTCGCCCGTCGTTATGGCTACTATTGGTGGCGTCACATCAAACAGAATGAACTCGTTGGAACAGATCAGGGAACCGACACTGGTCGTGAAAGTTTCGATTCCAGCGCTGACGTTCCTGGCTTTCTGGTGCATTGTCTACATTATCTTTGGCACTGTGCTCATGGTTCTTGCGCTTCGAGCAGCCTCAGAACAAGACATCAGGGATGCAAGGGCTCGTCTGAATGTGTATGGCATAGTTACATGGGCAGTCTCGTTAGCTCAGTCAGCCGGACGAGAGGACCACGAAGAGCTCATGCCTAGGGAGCAGAACGTCAGAGAAGAGCGACACCTGGTGGGTTTGTTACAAGGTCCTCAGCAAAATTTCTACTACAAAGTCTTTCGTGGTGGTGGTGGCATATGAGAAACAGCATGTTTTCATTTCTACCAATTATGCTATCTTCCATGACCTTCCATGTCCTTGAACTGTATCGTCCCAGATGTACCAGCTACAGAGACAAACTCTTTTGCCACTCGGACTTTCCACTGCAAACGAGCTACAGACAGAGCGACCAGACTCGAAACCTTTGACTCATGCGGAGGGCGAGATTTCACGATCTCACTTATCGCAAAACAACTCCTTGGAACGATTGCTATAGAAGAAATTATAGCTCTCAAGCTGCTTGATCAAAGCCGTGGCGGCGTCGAAGCAGCAAACAGCCCGCGCATGGCATCTGTCACTGCAGGCAATAGACGGGCTGCAAGGGCAACCTGAGTGAGCCCTGTCGTCATGCTGGCAGTCGGCCTTGACGTAGAAGGAGAGCTGTTCGAGGTTGAAGACGAGTTGTTCTTTGACGCCGCAGATGACATTGTCTTTTGATGGTGCTGCCATACTAGCTTCGAGTGGTGTCTGGTCGTGGGAGAAGGCGTGGTTCGACCGTGTCTGCTCTGTGGTAACGAAAGTAATGCTTAGGGTGGCGATGAGGAGGACTATAAGAAGGGCTTTGAGGTGCAAATTTTGTCTTGCCATTTTTCTCTCGATGTGGAAGAGGCTCTGTGGACTTTTGCGGTGGCTATGGGAAGTGGTACTCGGTGTTCATTTGAGAAGAGAAGGAGAGTAAGACTACTCTTTCGCAGACTGTCTCACAAAATTCCCCGCAGGGCACAGTCACAACAGGCAGCAACACCGTCTCGCTAGATTCTCGCAAGTAACCCTGTATACTATTTCGCCTCTGACGTTCACGTCGCCAGCCACAAAGCGTAGATGATTCAATCATAGAAATGACTCACGAAAGCCGTCAAAGTAGCTTGTAGCGACCGGCTGAAAGACAGCAGGTCGCCTGCACAACTTTATGTCGTGGAACTTCCAAAGTAGGCAATCATCAGTGAAGTTTGGGTCAGTTGTATCGGCGAAAGTCTCGGCATCGTGACCCAGTTAGCTGTGTAAGCGAACAATCATGCACTGCTTACAAGAGGCGTTTCGATGTTCGTGGCTACGATCAGTAAAGGATTTCTATTGGCTCTTCTGCTTGTAGACGATCATGGGTCGGTTGGTTCGAATAAATGACCGCAAGCTTTAAGTTCGCACTCGTAGGTTTGATGTTTAGAGGTCTTCCTGTCTCCACCTTGTACTCTTGCGCTCAACTGTGTCCCCTACCCTGTCCCATAGCTCGTCAACTTTGAAAAACGAGGATGTTCTTGATGGGTAAGTTGTTGCTCCGCGGCCACAATGCTGGACACAAGTACCAAGGGACCTTAGTAATCACGTGGGTCGTCTTGAAACTTGGTCCATGCTCACCCGGGGAGAGTGGAGACACGCGGTATATCTGGCCTGAGGCAACAAGTCAAGAAGACAGGTCTTATAATATTTGTCACTCAAAGTGACGGGATACTGTGTGCTTGAGGAGCTAGGAACATAAAAGCGTTGAGATCTCAGAATCAAGTGCCGATTCCCTCGTTCCTACTCACAATGCGTAATCCTTCTCAGATAGTTTATGCCTGAGGCATATCACAATTAGGTTCGTTCGTTCGCAGCTGGTGGAGGTGGTTTTGGGGGAACGTGGTTGACTACCACTTCTGCTCCTATTGCTAGCCAATCACGATCAAGACTGCTGCAGCTGCAGGCTTGAACATAAGGTTGAACGCAGCTCGGATACTCTTGCTGGTCAAGATGATACTCAGTCCACCGCAGAAGTGGTCCAGCGGAACATGTTCACAAGGAACGACCTACTATCGCGTATTTCGAGCTCCCTTCACACCCGACCAGCATTCGAAAGGACCAGAAAAGAGATGCAACGAGATTTTCATAGTTTTGGTGCGAATGGCAGGAACATTTTTCGGCAACTCGAGTATTGCTGAGGCTCGCGACCCCAGCTTGATTGTGTATTCGTTCCCTGGATGTCTGCAGCTGCGCCGAACAGTAAGATATGGGACGTACAGACGAAGGCTTGGAACATGAAAAACACGTACACCAGAATACAAACTCTCAAGATCAGTCATTGAATATCCGATCTGGACACGAATATGGCAATACTGTTGTCCAGGGAAATGCAACAGCTCATTTCGGCGACGTTGTTGAGTACCATTATCATGCCTCGCGAGAAGGCCCACCGGCTATAGAGATCCTTGTGCGCTCACTGTCATTTCCTCGCATGAGTGCTCGTCTACAGAACGTGGCAGATGCCTCACCTACAACTTGTGAGTGGCTGTTCAGAACCAAGCAATATACAGACTGGCTAGACGATCGTCGCCTCTCTGTCCACCATGGCTTCTTCTGGATAAAGGGCAAGCCGGGAACCGGGAAGTCAACCATTATGAAGAAAACAGTCGATTGGATCGAGATGGAAAGGGCCGACCAGCTTCGAATCTCCTATTTCTTCAATGCGCGATCGGCGCATCCCCTAGAGAAATCCACTCTGGGACTCTACCGCTCCGTCATACATCAACTGCTGACAGTTTATACCAACTTGCACCAGCCATTTGTCTCGATGTTCCAGAGCAAAATAGACGAAGATCTCAAGGTTCATGATGCTTGGACAGAGATTGAGCTGCAAAATTTCTTGACCAGGAACGTTGCAGCACTTCCTGCTCTTATGCTCTTCATCGACGCATTGGACGAAGGAAACGATTTGGAAGTCGCGGCAATGGTAACATATCTCGAAGAACTTATCAGCCGTGCTACCGCAGCAAACGTACCACTTCGTATTTGCCTCTCGAGTCGCCACTATCCGCATATCGTCGTTCGACATGGGCTGACGATAGTACTGGAAGCTGAACCGGGCCATGCTCAGGACGTGCAGCTTTATATCGACAATATCCTGCCAAAGGTAGATAACCAAATTCTGAAAGATCTACGCACAAAAATTCTCGATCGGTCCCAGGGTATCTTTCTCTGGGTTGTCCTAGTACTTCCGATGCTGATGCATGTTCACAGGCAAGGCAAGAGCATTAAAGCCATGCATAACGCTCTCGATCAGGTTCCGAATGGTATCAATGAACTGTTTGCGTCAATATTGAGCAGAGACCTCGAAGATATTGACGAATGTCTGGTTCTACTTCGATAGGTTCTTTATGCCTTGGGACCTTTGCACTACAATGCCCTCTTTACTGCCTTGCGTGAGATTCACCGTTCCCCAGACCCTGACGACATTTCGAATCTGAGCCTAGACGATGTACAGCGTTATATTTTGAACTGCTCACGAGGACTAGTGGAGATTACACAAGAACATGAGTCAAAGACGGACGATCTTCTAGACACTGGCAGGCACGACTACGAAGGATCAAGTACAACCTCATCTTTCTCGACAGCGCAGAAGCGCGTTTCTGCAGAAATGCTAGGTGAGTCTGCCCGCAACGTTCAGCTGATTCACCAGAGTCTACGGGAGTATTTGATAGACACGATTCAATATCCAGAACAACTCGCACATATCAAAGAACATACCTCGTCGTCACCTACCTTCGAGGCCGAAAGCTGCCATGCTGAGATCGCCACCCATTGTCTTAGTTATCTGATGCGTCTAAGCGATGGAGTGCAAGACGCAAAGGTGGACGAAGAAGACATCGAACAACATTGGCCCTTGGCAGACTATGCTGCAAAATTCTGGTGGCAGCACTTGCGAGCTAGCGGTTCTTCGTGCTCACGCACATTGGTAGAGTTGGCTTCCACGTTTCTTAGTGGCCAATACCTTGCTTCCCTTAGGTCAGTCCAACTTGATGATATAGACCTCAATTGCGCCATCGGCTTGGCAGACACCACGCTTTATCCCAGAGCTCCCAAAGGAGGCATAGACCAGGGTCCGTACTATGCTGCAATGATGAATCTGCCACTTGTGATGTCTGACTTGCTTTCCCAAAAGCCCGATTTGCAACTGCACGTCGGCTATATGGGCACCGCTGTGCATGCTGCTGCATATTATGGGCACGACAACATTGTCCGAATATTGCTCGATGCAGGTGCTAACCCAGCCAACCACAACTCCTTCCATGGTAGTGCACTAGACTTAGCGGCATTCAGAGGACGTGAGTCAATCGTACGCATGCTTCTTGCACCAGGTGCCTCGGTGAATTCGAAAGGCGGATCTCGATACACTGCTTTGACGGCAGCATGCTCTCACGGTCATCTTGAAATCGTGAGTTTATTACTAGCTGCAGGCGCTGATGTGCATGCCTTGGACCGCACAGGACGATCTGCTCTTGTAATTGCAGTTAGAGCAGGACATAAGGAACTGGTAAAGATGCTCCTCAACGCCGGTGCAAATGTCAACAAAAGAGATTACCAACAGACTACTGCACTGATGTGGGCATGCTATCATCGGCACTCGCAAGTAGTGGAAATCTTACTCGAGTAAGGGGCTGATATTACCGCAACTAATTGGCGGGGCAAGACAGTATTACAGCTGGCCATCGTTGAAGCTCTGAGAGGGCATTCTGATGCAGAAGATATCATTAAATTACTTCTCGACCACAAGGTGGATGCACCTTACGATAGGAGGACACTCCTAGGGAATGGTCTCTGCACCGCGGCAGAACATCGCAACGGGGTAGAGGCATTAAAAGCAATAGCTTTGTTGCTGGCATATGGTGCTGATCCATTGTTTGTGAGAGAATCTCCTGGTCCCTTCATCTCTCCCATCGATATTGCGCAACAATCCGCTCATTCGGCCTTGGTTGATCTATTGAGAAAGGCCGTCGTTGATATGGCTCCAAGCATCGACATCAGTGCGGAGCCTGCTCCAGACACAGCAACAGCAACAGCAACAGCAACGACTGCAGGACCGATAGTGTGCGACCATGCGAAATCGATTAACAGTACGAATGAGACAACCTTGCCCGACCACGTTCCTGATAACTCAGTGGAGCCGCTTTACGAAGCGGAAAAGGGAAGAGCTTCTGGCTGTGCGGAGTATGCGGTAGAAGGGAATGCTCCAGCGTTACCACAAGCAGCAGAAGATGAATTTTCTTCGTTACACATAGCAAAAGCACATGCAAAAGCGAGTTTCTGGCGACGTACTCGAGACAAGCTAAAGGACAAAGTTCGCAAAGGTTCTGCCAGTGGCAACAACAGGTAAATGTTCAATTCTATGTGTGCATAGGTTTTGGGAAACCCTGCAAGATATTGCATCGGTACATATATTCAGCAATATTGAAATTCACCTGCTGCTGTGTAATTCTCGAATAGCACGTTTTGTTCGCCTCGTGAAGTGATTTCCTTCAACAAGAATGGAAATGTACAGTGCTAGTTGCTCTTGTGATTGAAGACAGGTTGAACAACAAACATTTAAAGGTCGCACCTTCTCGTGTTGGGGCCTGAAACGTGGTCTTGCTTCGAACCTCGTCACCGATATTGGGGTTCAAGTTCGGTACACCTGATAACGCATGTCTGCTAAATTGTTAATTTTTATGCAGTCCGGTCTTCATTACACGATCTTCGCAAAGCCCATTCTGCCTTCCGGCTTCATTCAGCTTTGGTACAGCAAAGTATTCATCAAAGACATCTGCAGCAACACGTGGCCTGTAGTTCGTGTATCTATTCCACCAACGAAGAGACTGAAACGGGTTGGGAGAACAAGCTAGTAGTGTTCGATTGAATGGATGGAGACCTGAAACGCTGATCGTTCCGGAGGCCAGGAGCTCGACTACAGGATCCTCGTCATGGTTGGCTGGCCGGAGGTCGATAGCGTACTTTTGAATGCACGGCAGAGGGTTGCGCGATGTTTCTAGAATTTGGTTGGACCGATTGAAGCTGAAAGGGAAGTGCATGCCTCGACTGCGTGTGCGATTTATGAACTGAGATTATACACAGTAGCAAAACGTGGATATACGTTTCAGGTAGAAATCCTTTCGTGAGCGGCCCGCCTAATCGGTAACCAATGTTTTGGACTTGGGCATCCGACACAAACGCAGGCAAGCCTTGACAAGGATTAGGCATCGCAGTTGAGACGCCGAGCTTTTCAAGAGCTCGAATTGATTGAACATCATTCGCTTATGTGACACGATGCTCGAAAAGGCAAGCATACTCGCATACAATTGCAATAGGTGCGTCATGTTGACCAGGCCCTAGAACACCAACACTTCGGTTATTCATACTGTCTACGAACAGAAACACAAATCTTGACACGAGTGGTCCTTTTATCTCCTGTCCAGTAATTATGGCGGATCAGATCGACACATCTGGACGTGAGAACCATTCCATACGTGCCAGGCAACTAACAAGCTGAAAAAGGCGGTACAGCGGGACCACTTGTTGCCATTACTTGAGGCCAATGATGTGAGATGTCTCAGAAGTCAGGTTACAGGGCAAGTTCTGTTTGAGCCAGCAGATCATCATTCACGATTACGTCGCTTCTCTGTTGAAAGCCAATACAACAGGTCGTACAATATCAGCAAGCGCGGAGAACGATAATGCATCGTTGTACAAAGTGAAGGAAGTCCACGAACATGTCACTCACATTTTTTAGACGCGTCAAAATGGACTCTGAGGAGTTTGAAGCCCTTGGTGAAATCTGCGATGGATTGGGTCAGTTGCATCGCTCCTTCCGGCTAGCTCATCTCAAGACATCCAGGCTCAGGAGACCGCACCCAATGAAAAGCGGTTTTCTAGGGAGTTGAAACTGTAGTGCCGTGTTAGCGGGCACGCCTAGCACAAGCCTGCACGCTTGATAAGCCCACGATGGCTTGTCCGTGGCCGCGGCGTGCATGCTGTTTGAACTGACTTCCCACTCTTTTGCTCGCTGTTAGCGCCTCAGACTGTCCATGTCCATCTCAAGAGCTTTCTCTCGTCTTTTGCACCTCGTCCTTTTTCCTGCTCTTCACCAGCCGTGCTCTTGCCGCTGCCACCAATCCAGGGTTGTTGAATTCGACGACCTAGCCGCTCGTTGATCACACATTGCTGCGTCTACCATTTTCGCTCGTTCCACTGCCCACGTACAGCCGCACGAAAGTAGCCTTGGGACCCAAACAGCAGTACACGACTGAGATAGGCACAGAAGGTTAGCTGTGCAATCGCAGGTGTCCACGAAGAGTATCAGTCAACAACGATTTGACACCCTTGAACAATTCTCTGAGCTCAATTCACAAAATAATGTCGACGGTCGTGGCTGCACCCAGCCCTGCTCCCATGTCTGTACACGATCGACATCCAAGTCCGCGCTCCTATGCTCCCTTGGCACCTGCCATGAGCTCAACACCAGTAGAAAGATATGGAAGTGGTGCAATAGAAATACCTGCGACCGACAGAACCCCACCGGGAGGAAAGAGATCCCCATTGTTGTGAGTAGGGCGGACATGAACATATTCAGTACTAATAGCAGTAGACAACGCATAACCAGCAATCCTAAGATTGTCGTTAAAAAGGAGCCACCATCCTCACCCTCTCTGAACCCGAATGCGCGACATCGACCACGCAAACTTGATTTGAACACTACTACAAACATACCTGGTCCCTTGAGCTCAAGACCTTCCGCAGGCGCCTCGATGCATGATGTTGGCCTAGCATGTTTGTCGCCTGGCTTTCAGACACAAGATCCTAGCATGCGAGAGCAGTTGCAAAGGAGCATTTCGGTTAGAGATCAACAGCGGTCTATTATCGAGTCGAGATTACTCAAATCTGCAAAGGGAGATCATACCCCAGAATCTGCAAGAGCTATCGAGAATCCGAATCCTTTCTCACGAGCTCCATCCGTAGGCAAAAAGCGTCCGCCACCATCTGGCCTTTCTATTGTGCCTCCTCGAGCCGAACAATTTGCCAATGAAAGAGTAATTCAGTCTGCTCCTCTCGGTCAGACATTTACAGGTCGTGACGCTCCACCACCTTCCATGCGAGATCCACAAGCACAAATTCATGGCCATCACGTTCAGCACGTCCCAGCGATACAGACAAACAACCGACTCCCACCAATCTTTGATGTCTTCAGTCAGGATACGCTGCAACCACAAAGACCGCCGATCTATCATGCAAATTCTACACCAGTTCACCTACACGGCCCACCTCTACCATCTCCTGGCTTCCCTCCTCAAACGGCTCATCCCATGTCTCAGCCACCACCTCCAAATTTCGACCGACCACGCGAGTACAGGTCTGCCGAGGAAGCAGTTGCTGAGTTGACTGGCGGACGAGAAGATCTACAGCCTAAGATCGTGCATTATGGTGCTCGACAGCCACCAACTCCGCCATCACCCCATCCACAACGTAATGACCATCTTACACCATACAAGTATCAGCCACCTCACCTAGAATCTGGTGCTGGCCGAAGGCGCACTCGCAACGAGTACGAGGCCGACAGTAGCCCACCCCTCGGAAACGGTCCAGACCGTGCACCACGTATCGGGCCTTTTGGTTTGGGACGTGATAGTCCTGCAACACAATCTGCGAAAAAGGAAGAGTTCATGCACTACATCTCTAAAGCTTGGGATCTCTGGCACGCTTGATTCATCGTTCGCCTTTTTCCTCTTTGGGGCTTTGACTTTGTGGAGTAGTATCAATGTATGCAGCGTGGGTGGTCTTTGTTTTACATTTCTCGTCATATCACGAAACTTATGTTGGATTTATGCATTCATGCTGTTGATGGGGCATGAAATGGCAGGCTATTTACCATCACTAATCTAACGAAGGAGGAGGAGGGACGGTTCTGGTCATGTAGTTACTCTTGGCTATGGTATTTGTTGATGGCACCAATACTTACTCCCTTCGTAGGATGCAGCAGTCGCTCATTATATAGTCGTAACGGTCCGACGTTCGCTTCCCAACAGATCATTCGACCTACGTAGAGCATAATCCTGCATTCTAGCTCATGCAACCAATTCTGCTGATTATCGCACCACAGTCAGTGGCACCATCACGGAGAAGAGCGTATGCTGCCGCTGATATGGTTCCTGAGGCACCACGTTGAGGGCAGTCTTTCTTCTAATATCGAGTCAGAAAGGGCTGAAGCATCTCGGGCGTATCTGTTGTCTCGATCTAGTGCAGAAATCGACATGCTCCCACTATCAATTCACAGACATCTTCTTTGCAAACTCGTAGGCTGACGTCTGTATCGAGGTTAATAATGTAGAAGTAATCCTGTGGTGTTATCCGCAATTTTTGGCGCGGCTTTGCTTACTTGATTAAGCTTTCAGCGAACCTCGGTTGGAGGGTGATCGGGGCAACCACCGAAGAAAGTCGATGATAGATTCATCTTTTGTTAGAGTTCGTCGAAGGCGACTTCTCAAAGTGCTTCATATACAGCTTTCGTTGAGCTTGTGACAACGTCTTATACTTCTCGAAAGATTGCAGCCATTGTTGGCAGTGAAAGAAACATTCGTAACAGATTGCAAGAAGGTCCTGATATACACACTCGCTATCTCAGTCCATCATCAAGATGTCTGTTCCATATCTCATCAACTCTGACAAGGGCTATGTCCCAGCCAGCCAACGCATCCCGTCAGTCGTAAAGCACCTCGTCAGCGACCGCGCCAAGAAAGCTTTGGACCTCGTCGAACGCTTCGTCGAGGAGGAATGTATTCCCGCCGATGCCGTCTTCACACAACAGATCAGAGAAGCTGGTGATGCTCACTCATCAAACATTGTCGGCAGATTCGAATCTCATCCTTCTGTCATCGAGGACCTGAAGAAGCGAGCTCAGGAATTGGGCTTGTGGAATATGTTCTTGCCTAAGAATCACTTCAAGGAGGAGGGTGCTGGGTTCAGTAATTTGGAGTATGGATTGATGGCGGAGTATTTGGGACGAAGTATTACTGCTTCGGAGGTATGTGTTTACTGATCGGGGGTTAATGCTTATGCTAATTTATGGTTCGTAGGCAGTGAACTGTGCTGCTCCAGATACAGGTAACATGGAAGTGTTTGCCAAGTATGGTACTCAAGAACAAAAGGCGCAGTGGTTGAAGCCATTGATGGACGGCAAGATCCGATCAGCTTTCCTCATGACTGAGCCGCAAGTTTCGTCTTCTGATGCGACAAACATTGAGATGAGAATGCACAAAGAGGGCAACGAGTGGGTACTGAATGGCCAGGTATGAATTTTATCACTTGCCTTCTTGACTTTTACTGACAATATCCGCAGAAATGGTGGTCTTCTGGTGCTGGCGACAAGCGCTGCAAGATCTACATAGTGATGGCCAAATCTGATCCCAACAACAGCAGCAAGTACAAGCAACAGTCCGTCATCCTTGTCCCAGCAGATACTCCTGGTGTTACCGTCCACCGCATGCTTGGTGTTATGGGCTACGACGATGCGCCGCATGGTCACGGCCACATCTACTTCGACAACGTACGTGTACCGGACAGCAACATGATTCTTGGTGCTGGACGAGGTTTCGAGGTTGTCCAAGGCCGACTTGGACCTGGTCGTATTCACCACGCGATGAGAAGTATCGGCAGTGCAGAGAAGGCTATGGACTGGTATCTCGCACGACTCAACGACCCCGCCCGAACACCATTCGGAAAGCAATTGGCCGAGCACGCCATTCAGCTCGAGAGAGTAGCGCGGAGCAGAGTCGAGATAGACAGTGCTCGACTTGCTGTCTTGAACGCAGCCAATACCATAGACGAGGGTGATGCCAAGTCGGCACTGAAGGAGATCGCAGAAGTCAAGGTTGAGGTCCCAGGCGTACTGATGAACGTACTCGATCGTGCCATGCAAGCATACGGTGGTGCCGGTGTCAGTCAAGACACACCACTGGCGCAGATGTGGGCTAGTGGAAGGACAATGAGAATTGTCGACGGTCCAGATGAGGTTCATATGATACAGTTGGGACGCAACGAGAGCAAGAGAGGTGGAGCGCTGCTGAAGAGGATTGAGGCTCAGAAGGAGAAGACGAGAGAGCTCATGAAGCAGTATGGTTTGAAGAACGAGGATCCACTGGCGATCAACAGGGTCAGTGGAAAGAGCAAGCTTTGAAGCAAGCCATGGGTGGAAAGTTTGTACATTGGCAGTGATGTGTAGCGCTAGGTTTTTTTGAATAACCCGAATTTACCTACAAGTACTTCGCCATGCCCAATGTTCTTCTCCCTCGCGTTCCCTTTACCGGTGCACAGTTTTAGAAAACGACGGAACACTGACCGTTGATCACCAAGATTCTGAGCTGGCAACAACCCAGTCTCATAGGCATCATTCACAGTATGGACTTATGGTGATGCTCGAGAATTGAAGATGGGAGCTCGGACGACTTGGAGCGGATAAGTATTGAAAGTAGCCGCTCAAAACCAACGTACCGCCCGGCTGACGAGGCAAGTACCGTCACAGCGGACGAAGCAGATTAGTGCCAAGAACATCTCACTGTCTTCTTCCTTCACCAAGTTCTTCTGCACTTCAATCATACCTACAGCTACTTGCATTCGGCCATCATGATCCGCTCACTACCTGAAGCCAGATCATGATACTACGATATAGTCACAACCCATGACTAACATTGCTTGCTATGAAGTGCATTTGCAGTACAACGTCGCCAGCGAGGGATAAGAGACCTATCTCAGAATTCCATCTCTCGAGCAGCGCTGTGTCAATTGTCTGATTTAGCTCGCCGCTGTGAACAATCGCTACGATGCCATTACCCTGATGATCGACGAGATGATCCACGTGTTGACGGTTTTATGAGGTACACCAGAACGTTGCCGCGAGCTAGAGGCTCAACTATACCAACAAAGAATTTCGTGGCCAGTATCGTATCAGTGAGCGACGGATGCTAAGAGCGATCTTACTGTATGTCAATCACGTCTGTGATTGTCGCAGAACTAAGTGTCCAAACCATCAACAGGCTACATCAAAGAGAAATGACTACAGGCAAGCGGTTACCCGTGATTCGTGACCATGCCTCACGTATATGTGTACGGACGCCCGCTTCTAACGAACCGACGCATTCCACTCACGACAGGTAGAAGTATGGCTTCGTGCCGGATGACTGATAAGCATATAGAGGCTGGCCAGATACTCGCGTCATTCTGACAATAACAGCTCTGCGCAGAGCCAGGATGTGTCAGGAGTATCGCAAACGATGTGCTGTATACGTACGCTTACTCTATAAGTAGCTTCCTCTGCTTACAGTGATTCTGTACCATCACAACCCCTTACCAATACCGGAAAGCAAGAGCGGCACGTTCTTCTTCTCAACCAAGCACACCCGAACAGTATTTCAACATCCAACACAATCTCACACTCGACAACCACGTCTGGCAGATCAAACCAATACACAGAAGGACAACCGCACATGCACGAAGGCAACCCGTCCGATCCCACAGCCGGAAACGATAGGCATTATGATATTCTAAGTCGTGTTGATAAATCCTTCCAGGGTCGAGAAATCCCGTTTCGTGATACAGCAAACTCGGTAACCGACAACTACGGCACCTCTAAAGGCGCTCCAGGTCAACTTCCGCAAAGACCAAAGAAGGAATGGCTACATGGCAGTCCAACAAAGAAATCCACCAAACACAGCAACTTACATCGTCCTTCTACCACAGTAGCACAACAACAACAACAACAACACCCCTCTCAACCGTGCTGCCTAGAAACAGGCCAGCCCACCCACCAACAACAACAAGCCCAACATATCTTTTACTACGGCGATCCTCGCTACTCCCGCGGCTTCGGCCCCGTCATGACATTTCCAAACAGTAATTGGAACGGAGTCACTAGATCAGATTACCCTCGACCCTACAGAGCGGGTGGGAACACTTATCACGGCGGTTTCAAATACAAGGACAAAGATCCGTATGACTACCGTTATGCGGAAGATTACGTTGAGCACACCTCGAAGTATCGGCCTTACATCGGCGATCCAGAACGAGATCATCATCGTCGGCACCATCATCATCGATGACTCAGCGATGCATCATCGTCAAAGTTGAAGTCATGTATGGATTCGACAGGGCGTGAGTTGCTTGGTATTCACCGGTTGCGGTGCTCATCGTAGGGCGAAATACAGCATGTTTCACATTCCCTAGCTGGCTTTTACAGACACGAAATAGGGTATAGCTATATTCTCATGGTTGTTTGCTGGAGATGTGGCTCTCTATACTAGCATGACAGGACAAGCAAGTGCTACTGCATTGAATTAGGACTTCGCTTCATTAACATCACGTAGTGTATCCATCTCCAACTTTGCACTCCTGCCACGATGCTCGAGGATGGAAGCGATGCTTTTGTGTTCATTGTGTACGTTCTAATCCACACTATCCCGCACACCTTCGACCAGTGCAGGCGCGATGAATTCCCCACTTCTGCAAGTATGTATGTGTGCCCTTAACCAACTTCCTACTTCCTCCCAAATCCAAAGTTCAGAAATGACAAGCTACTGGGTGCACTACTAGCAGTCTTTCCAGCAGCTGACTCATCTGTGACTAGACGCTTCTTGACAGGATCTGTATCAACATCCTTCATCCACTCATCGCCCGGAGCATCGAGCACTTCTGTGAAAACACTCTGTGAATGACCTTTGCTCGGCGATAGGTTGATATCTTCGAAGTGTTGAGCGTTGTGTCCTGCTGCATTGATCTTTGTGGGTTCTGGTCGTGAAGTTGGTAGGTTTTCATCGTCGTGAGCTGGCTTCAGCTGTAGAAAAGATGCGATGTTTGCTTCTGATGCTGCACGGCGAGCTTTCTCGGAGTATGATGGGTCTTTGGATTTGTCTTTGGACCGATCACTGCTGCCACTGCTGGGTTTACCCTGGCGGAAGAAATCTGTCAACAGGCGTTGTTGAGAGGTAGTTCTTTGTAAGGTGTTGATTTCAGGTTCTGGCGTATTCAATGTCGAAGACGGGACTTTCTTTGATCTGTCTTTGCTAGTGACTTCGAATTGAGGATCGTTGACCTTGGAATTGACTCGCTTCTTGGCTCCTGACTTTTGTGATTGCTTCTCGGCTGATGAGGACGGCGATGCTTGCTGGCCAGCAAGAGCTGCTTTGAGGGTCGCTTCGATTGCTGTAAGTTCATTCATGTCCGAGCTCTTTGTCGAGGCGCCATCCTCCTGGGTCAGAGTTCCTTCTGACAACGAGTTGGTGGACAACGAGGGAAGAGTCGCGTCGAATTTGCCCTGCTCGGATGAGTTTTCTGCATCTCGTCTCCCAGAGGAGTCGTCGCTAGTCTTGCTTCTGGTCAAACTCGAATAGAAGCGCTGCCTTCCTGAAGGTGATCGATCAGTTTTCGACATTGTGTTCTTGCTTGGACTATCACTTCTTGCGGTCCGTCGTGCAGTCAAGTTTTTCTCCTCTGTTGTGTGCTTCTCCTTCGAGGCAGAGGCTGTCTTCTTTAGTAGCCGTTCTTCCTCGAAAGCAGTTTTCTCAGGACTGATCATCTCTTCGACTTCGTCCTTGACGATTGCCTTCAAGTCATTCTCATCAATGTATCGGTCAAATGGCAAGCGTTCTTGTTTTGGCCTACTTTCGTAGCGACATTGACTAGGAAAACAGCAGCCTTCACATCCATACAGTATCGGTCCTTCTTCTTCTCCTTCGGCAAAAGCCTTCAAAGCTGAACACTTTCGCTTCCACTTCTCCACATCCTGCCAACCAACATAGTCGAACTCGGATGTACAGGATCGATTCGCTTTTCGACGCTTGACATTGCGCTGATTCGAGGTAGTCTGACCGGAGCAGTAGTAGTGGCCGTCGTTGAGGCATCTACGTGTCACTGCTAGAGAATACCGAGAACGGCAGATGTGACATTGCCATTGCCAAGCAAGAGGCTTGGTTGGTGGTGGTGGAAGCACGAGCTGGGAATAACGTGGTCGACGACCACTCAACATACTCGATTGCTGGTTGGTTGTGCTGGCAGTTGATGGTGTCGCGGGAGAGATATCATTGAAGTAGCTTGACGGCGAAACTGTGCTAATAGAGAGTTTTCTCGTCGCTGAGCTAGCAGAGACTGGTGAAGTGTTGGACTTCTTCGCAGGAGACTTGCTGCTGTCGAAGCTGAACCAATCGAAATTGAACTTCTCCTTGAATGGACTGATCGGAGTTGTCTGGATCAAGGCTTCGGTCATGATAATGTCACCGTCTCGATCTACCGGAGGCATTCTGTCAGGCTTGGAAAGGTCTTTGGTACTGAGTAAGTCATCTGTACAAATGTGAGTGATGTCAGCGTAAAAGCGACCCATATCGAAAGGCAGGAGCGAGGGCAAGAGGGTATAGGCAAATCGAAAAAGCAGTCCAAGCGTGTAAAGTCTTTGTTCATTTATTCCTTTGATGTTCTTGGAAGGAGAACTGGAAGCGGCAACCCGGATGCGTTGATTGTGCTGTGCTCGTGACATTTGCTACTTCCTCTTGTTCTTTCGACGATATGCTTGCTCAATATGCCTTTGTGTTGTTCGTTCCTTTCATGTAAACCTCATGCTTGCTCTGGTAACCATTCATATGCATGTTTGCTTCAGTCTCTTGTACTGGATTGCACAATTGTATCCGAAATCGATGCATGGCAGTTGAGGTGATCGAGATCAAAGTCTGTCTGCGTTCAGAAGCGATTGCTCACGACAAGTCTGTGCGTATTGACGTATGGCGCTTGGACTTTCACGACTGCACATCACTATAGATATGTTCCACACCGAACATTAACTTGATGCTGCTCCCTCCGGAGAAAGATCTTGATCACATTGTAGGAAATCGAGTGCAACATGCTCGATGTCCTCAGGTGGTTAATAAACTGCCATCATTATGAGATCCTTGAGTGAGTAATTCGCGCAGGTAGTACACTGGTAATCCAGATATCCTATCACTATTGCGATAGAAGATAGTTTGCGCATAGCAGATACTAGGCCGACGATATAAAGACACAAGTCTCATCTATACGATAAACCGTGGTAGATGATCGGTGGGCTCGGAAATATTGCCAAGGCGGCACGAGGCTGGTAGCGCGGCACTTGCCATTTTGAGCTTTAGCGTATATCTAACGAGTGGCTGGTGACCAGTAAGTGGAATCCACGTCTGCGACGCGTTCTTTCCTCGAATCAACGACTTCGCTACACCTCCAGCCCCTCGATATCGCAGACACTGCGCTATACACAATCATGAGGCTGGCATCGACATGTCGGTCAAATATGACACTCTGTGCTCTGCATTCCGTAGATTCCTATTTTCTCCTACCATGTGCTTGTGATACTACCAGCTTTTCTGATCTGTGCTTACTGAACCTTTAGTAGAACAACAGCGATCATCTCACCTGCACAGTACAATAGCTTTGACCACGTCAGGAACACTAGAGGATCCTGATCGGTCCTCATTCAAACTCAACATCAGCCAAAATTCTCTTCCTCTCAGGTACAGACGCTGCGTTTGATTTTCTGCATCAAACCCCTCCAGAATTTGAGGCCAAAGTCTATACATCGAGCCCTGTCCGCCTGCAACGACTTCCAGACAGCAGCTCTCTTCTTTCCGGTCCAGGACTCAGTCCACCACCTCCACACCGCTTCCGCTTGGTAGAACACACCCGTTCATTTGAGCCAGGTGCATCTCCATCAGCAGGCGTGAGGATTCCATCACACGCGGACGAGTCAGATACTCCCAGCTTCTCCTACGAAGGTCGAGAGTCTGATATCAAGGCTGTTACCAACGTCAGCCATGGTGCAAAGAAACTACGTGATTGCGATAATAGTCATCGTCCTCTTTGTCATTCTGGCACTAGTGGGCTACGCCATCTACGCCGTCCAGAACCGAGTCAGTATGTTCTCGAAGAGGGAGAAAGAGCTGGACGAGGAGGAAGCAGAATAAAACACAGAAGACAAAGGACTGGCGTTAAGCTTGACACCGTCAAAAGCATGGTCGCCTCGTTCGAGTCCTCGCAACCCAATGCTGAAGAGCAACCACAAATCCGAGCTCCCCTCCAGGGTGTCGTACAAACTCGGGTTGCAAGCTTCGAGAACCTACATGGGTCGACCACAAACATCAACGACCAGCCGACGAGGTCAGCCACAGCATCAGCAGACCTTCCACCAAGACGACAACCTGCCACTCTTGAGCCACCAATATTGTTTTCTCCACAGGCAGCGAGCAAACGTCGCTGGGAAAATCCCTCTCTTCGGCAGATGGCCCAGATGCGTGTTCCCAGCCTTGTCCAGCAGGATGACGACCTCGACCTTGAGATCAGGAATGACGAGCTTCTAACCATGAAATCTCGTCCGTTGCCAAAGCCAAGAGCTCAGAAGCCAACACACAAGCATTCGACCACATTAGCTGCGTCAATGAACACCATTTCGCGTGCAGCAAGCATTATGTACGAGCCGGAAGATCGAGTCTTGCACACACGATCAAAGTCTGTGCCAAAAACTCCGATAACAGCAATAGACTCAAGGTCTCGGTCACGAAGTTCTACCAGATTAGTGCCAGCGAGCTCGCATGCAACCATGTTCCCGTCAGCCTTCCGTATTGTTGCCACAGAGACTGATGAACGACCATCCTCGTCATGCAGTAATGCTTCCACAATATCCTCTCCTGGTCCTGCGACGCCTAAGAGTCCGACTTTAACTGCTGGCAGCTCATGGTTGTCTTGGCTGACCAGCCCCGTCACGTCCCCCGTCACAGAGAAGCCACCTTCACGCGCAGAGCACGCCTTAACCAAACTAGGCCGTGCACTTAGTCCTCTTGCGTCTGACGCTGATGACTTCGGCTTTGTGGTGCAAAAAGGCGTCGGTGATCACTGGGCTGATTTGCGAGATGCTGACCACCATGATGAGAACTTGGCTCCGTCAACAGCCAAGGCTCGGACGGTCAGTCGACAAGTCCAGTGGCAGGACGAAGAGAGTGTTCGTTTTCGGTGGTTTTGAGTTTGGAGGATATTGTTTTGAGAATTAGCGTCAAGTGTACAGCGAAATATGGGTAAATGGATGATTTAAGCAGCATCGGTTCTTGGGTAACAATGACTGCCCAGGCTATTGCTCATGTTCTAGGAACGTGACTAATGAGAAGATGACTGTGAATTTAGCGATATTTGCATATATTTCATGAGCAGTAGTATATATCATGCACAAATACAAATCTGTCAAGAAAAACAACTTGTTTAACTTGCAAATGCATTACCAAATACTCGTTTCCTCCTGTTCTTTCTCCCAAACAACGTTTCGAAACCTAGCCATCATGTGGCGTTCTGTCAGTCCTACAAAATGGCCTTGATTAATAGGCCCCTTCATCTTCTGCTAAGTGAGTAAATGAGGAAATACAATTCGTCCCGTCTGGTATATTCACCAACTACGTCCTCGATAACAGATCACATTCGGATGGCTTTGAGGAGTTCATGTGGATCGAGCTCATTATGAAGTTCAGTGAGTGCGCCGTTGACGATGGGGATCAGACGCTGTATAGATTCAAACAGTTGGGGGCATTCGCAACGTACTCACTCTGCGCTGAGCTCGTTGAAGATTGCTTGCGTTGGTGCCGTGTTCGTGGATGGACCGCTCAATGCTTCTCTAATGTTGTGAAGCTGGCAAAACGCGTACGAACCGTGTTTGTCGTCGAACGGCGGCATGTTGGCAGAGACATCTCGTCGTACAAGGAGCAGGACCAACGCTCTTGATCGTAAGGCAAACGTGTAGGTTAGTGTTGCTGAAGATACAAATGCGACGCTGGCGGCGGCATCTGAGACGATGTTTCCATACATCAAATCACCTTGAAACTTGGACAACGCCTGACATACTCACCTCGAACGCAAACAACAGTACTCATTATCCATCATGAGCAACTTCTGGCACCCGGACGGACAGCCTCAAGTCATGCACCAAGGGGGATACTTTGTCCCCATTGCCACTGCACGAGCCGGACAATGGCAATGTCTTAGTTGCCAACCGCAGTGGTCTGCACAACAGCCTGCTGTATACCAGACTCTTCCAGCTCCGTCAAACCAAAGCGGACCTCAGACACTTCCGCACGGACGGAATTCGTGGCCTAGTTTCGTCTCCGGATCGATGAGGCCTTGGTGGGAGGGGTGAAAGAACAGGAGGAGAAGCTGTTTAGCATTGACGAAGCATTAGTCTATTGGAACGTGTGCGGAGGTCTTCCTGGCAGCGATGATGGAAGACGAAGTTCTGGCACACAAGGCTGGCTGGATAGCTGTTTGTGTTGTTGATGGTAGACAATCGATCATCTTGAACATGACGATGCAAACGCAAGAGGGGCCTTGTAGATCAACCTTCGTTCAAACTCGTTGTAAAGCGGGTAATGATGAACTGACAAGGCATTGGGACAGGATACAGAGTCACCTGAGAGTCCGGATTCGTAAGGATGTTACATTGTGGAAGTATCGGAAAGAATGAGTCTCCAAGCGTCGACGCCTGAGCGGCTTCATGCCTCAGGCGTCAATGAGCGGCTCATTGACGCTGTTTGAGCTTTCCTACGTATAGATAGACTTGTTCGATTTCCTCCTATTTCGAAGTCAAAAGATCGACATCGATAACGATATCTGTGTCTAAGGATCGATTGAGTCCGCCAATCAAGGTCAATATGTGAGATGCCGTAGTGAAGCTTCCTCCTGAAAAACCAAGATGTGACTAGACGATGGATTTTGCCCAAACATTCTGGTTCATGATCGACAGCTACTTGTATTCATCAGTGCATCAGAAAGTCGTCTCAATCTCGAGTCTCTTGTCTGCTCGACGTTATTGTCCTTCACAAGGCTGAAACTGGCGCGGCAGTGGCTGACCCCTTAATCTGCCTATTTCAGAACTAGTGCTCCTTCCTGTTCAACCAAAAGCAGAGCAGGAACAGCACCATACCTTGGCAGTTCATCTTCTAGAATGATCAAAACTCACCAGCATCGTCAAGCTTCGCTTGGCTAACACCAGCTAATTAGGCGAGATATTCTGGTTGTCGCCCCGTGTCGTCTTACAAGGATTGAAGTCACCAACTATGGCAGACCCCGGGCAGGCGTCTTTCAGCCCCCAGATGCATGGGAGCCGGGAAATGACCATGGTGTGCCTTTTCGAAACGGCATCGACCATTTCTCGATATCGCCTTCGTAGGCTGTTCTCTGCTGATGCTTCAGCTCGACAGAGGCCACAACGAACACCTATACTATGGCGGCCATCATCACCACTGGAAGTTCCCAACCCATAGTCACGATCACTCCAACTTCAACTTCAAATTCTTCAGCGTTTCCCACGCTTTCCGCAGATAGGACTTCGAGCTCATTCACCATCAGCACTTCCATCACGAGCGCGTCGACAACAAGCAGCACGAGCACAATTGCCACGAGCGCACCCATACCATCTGGGTCCAATTCCAATGGTTCAGCTCCTCCGTCAGGTCTGAGCACCGCAGCCAAAGCCGGCACAGCGATTGGAGCTTTCCTCATTATCCTAATTGGCACTTTCATCGTTTTGTTCTGCATCCGACACAGAAGAAGGAAGCGCAATTCCAATTCCTATTCGCGTCCAGACGATTCGACCTTCCTACCTTACGAGAAGGGCATCGATATATCAAACTCGCACGCCAAGCCAGAGCTACACGGCTTTTCCGCCGCCGCAACACAACAAGAAGGAACAGACACATTACATGGCAAGCCCGAATTGGCCGCTGAGACATACCCGATCAGTCCCCGAAATGGAAGCAGAACCGAGAACGCGCATCTCCTATCCACAGAAACGTCTACACAATCAGACTCGTCGAGGAGCCAACAAGGTCACATGCACAATCACAGTAGCAGAAACAATGGCAACAGCGAACTAGCAACAGACCTCATCCCACCACCTCCACCAGACGAAACAAACATCAACGTCCTCAAAGCCCAAGAGCGCGAACTTGCACATCGCATGGAAGTCAACGAAGAAGTACAAAGACTGAGGCACGAACATGCCGCGCTGGTTGATAGGATAAGGGTTGCGGAGATGAGGGCGAGAGAAGTTAATCAGCATTAGTTAGTAGATGTATCGACATCATACATGAGTAGTTATTGAAAGAATGAAAACGAAGACACGTATTAACGAGGAACGAAGTGGGGTCCAACCGTCACAAAAGACCACAAAGGACCACAAAAGGCCATACTCCGAGTTGACGTGCTTCTCTTTGACTTCAATAATTGATTGCACTATGTTGATTTAACTTCACCCCTCAATATTGTAGATGTCCATGTAAGACACAAGTACACTATTGATCTACATGGACAACTCTGCATCCGTCTCTTTCCGCCTTTATTGAAGTCAATTCAGGACATTTGTTCAGAAAGTGTAAAAGTGTAAGTATGTAACTATGTAACTATGTACATATCAAGATCAACCACGATGGGTCCAGCCGCCGTTGCTGATGAGGAAAAAGGCACATGATGCCCTGAAGAACTAGTGTGTTTGAAGCGAATAGAAAAAGAAATGTACTGTTGTCCTCTTTACCGAGTTCGTGCCAATAAAATTCGTGACACGTGCAAACCTCGTGTCTGCATCAAGTTTCGTGCATATATCATGGTCCCATTAGGTTACTGTCAATTGATATCGTGAGTCATTCAAGCGATCACCTCATCCATCTGCTTGATACTCTCCTCAAAAGGATTCAAGTCCATAAACCTGCCATCGTCAGAAGGCGAAGGTGTCGGCAACAATCTCAGTTCCGGAAGTCGTGATTCAGTACAGCCGTGATCTCGGTCGCGTGCCAAGAAGGAACGTCTGGCGTTCGCAGCGTTGTAGATTGAGACGAGAGGCTTGCGGGTATAATCGTCATGCCGCTCGGTCATTGCGAGTGTGGGATAGGATCTCATGGGTGTGATTGATTGTCTTGTTGGATCGGTTAGTGTCGAGCCAGCCTTGATGGGGAACTGGATCTTGATCGGCTTGGGTTCGATTGTTGGAAACAATGAGAACCTAGCGCTCTTTCGTATTGATGTTGATGCACGTGTAGACTTGCATATGGTAGATACAGATCGACATTGCGAATTTGGGCTGTCTGGTGTCTCTGGCCGTCTTACCATCGCATCCATGACCTTTACTCTGGAAAAAAGAGGCGAGATGTCAGCTATAATGCTGCCTCCGTCGCTATCTGTCTCGTCTGTTCTCAACGAAATTGATAGGTCAGCCTCAATCTCTGCAAGGACAAGATTCGTCTTGCTTGCGGAGGATAAGCCGAGTGGTTGATATATTTCACTTGGAGCAAGTGTATCAGCGTTCAGATCTTGCTTTTGCACATTGCATTCTTGTAAAAATCGATCAGAAATTGTTTTTGTGACTGGTGATGAGGGAGGCGAATCGAATCGTGACGAGATCATGTTCTCTGGTTCAGGATACAATGGCGAATCCATGTCGTAAGAAGCGTCTTCAGAGCAACTGGTACCCAATGATGACGGAGACTCGATGTTAGCGTCGTCGCACTCGTCAGCGATGTTGACTGAAGCAATTGGGCTTGCTACTGAGTATTGACTAACGTCGTTGTTGCAGTCCGAGTAACCGCCAAGGACAAGTTTCGATGCTTGTCTATTTTCCCAAGGGTAACGACTGCAGCTAGCTCCAGTATCTCGAGCACTGTTGGGACGCTTTTCAGCACCAGTCATGACATCGGAGCTTGACAGCGAAGAGGGTGTGGCTGGGCGATTGGTAACCTCAAATGATGTGCTAGGAATTTGTACCTCTTGACCATCTGCAGCGTTTCCAATAAAATCTGTGGTATCACTCGCAGAGTCAAGATGCCACACATATCCGGTATCATAAGGAGGTGAAGGTAATGGCTTTTGGGCTAACGGATTAAATACTTTGGTAGTGTTCTGATGTGGGGTTATGCTAGGTTGCATAGCATCGGATGATGGACCATACCGATGAGGTTCTGTGTTGCTGATCACGTAGCTGTCATTGGGTCGGTCATCGTAGTTGTCGTTGGTGAGCATGAAGATGTGTTTGCGCCTCACCAAGTCGACTCGCCTGTTTCTACTACCTCTACTGTGACCAGGCTTTAGTAGCGCTGGAGCAGCATTATTGGATCGACCATCATGATCTTTACGGTTGACTGACAGGCGTGTGACAGTATCAGGAACTACAGACAACCCGTTGTTGATAGCGACATGTCTGATTCTAGCGGTCTCGGCCATCATATTCTCCTGGATGATATCGCTTGAGAGATAGCTGCAAGAATCTGCAATCGACTGTCGTCGACCAACATGATTGAAGAAGACGGGCGATGCAGGCGATACGGGCGACTCCGAATTAGAAGTACGAACTCTTTTCCCTGGAGTTGGAGGCAATGAGACACAAGGTGGTTGTGATGGCGGACCTCTACCATATAGTCGGCGAGTTGCGCACGAAGCTTCTGAAACCTTCGACACTGTCCTGGACAGACGTGGGCCAAACAGGTCCGCGGGCAACATGGTGGAAGGGTTTTTCAAATCTAGTGAACCGGCTAGACTGGAGTCAGGCCTAGGACGCCCAGGTCCAAGGCCACTCTCGGTTTGGTGGTTTGAGTTTTGTTCTGGCCAGCCAAAGTCGAGGATGCTACTGCTGACCGAGATAGCTTCCGAAGTCCTGCGAGAGCGGTGTGGACTCCATAATAATGGACCGAGTGAATTGCCTTGAAGCCGAGGGCTGTCGAGGGATTGTGTCTCATCTTTCAAGTCAGGCGACGAATTTTTCCTGAAGGACAACATCTCCATACATTCATCAGTGAATGCCTGATCTTGTGCAGCGTCGTGCAGAGCAGGCAGTGGTCTCAAAACACCGCCAAAGGTCTCTTCACGCGGCAACAAACGCCCGGCCTGGGTCATTTTGCTCTTCTCTAAATGCGCAATCGTAGGAGCAACAGTAGCTCCCTGGACCATCTTACGTCGCTTCTTAGAGGTAGAATGCGCACAGAGGCTCTTTAAAGTTGTGATAGCCTTGGCCGACGGTCGTGGAGTAGATGGCTTGTCAGAACATTCAAGGGATTTTGCTCTGGTCGGAGCACCACATCGTTGGTTGTCGTAGTTGGTACGTCTGTGAGACTCACTGATCACATTGACAAGAGCGTCCAAAGTAGTTGATTGAGTACGCATAGACATATCACTTCTGCTCTTGATACTGGACATGGATACTGGTCGACTTGTAAGCCTCGATCGTGGCCTGTCGATGATCGTCTGAGCAAGTGATGTGGACGACTGACAGGCAATTTCGTCCTGAACAGCTCCCTCTCGAGAGAATGGTGGCACGAGGAGCGGCTCACGAGACGTCTTCTCTCGAACGTACTCGTGGCTCGGTAACATAGCAGGCGCGGGAATCGTAAGTCGTAGTTGTTCTCGTCCTCTACTCTTACAAACACCTTGTTGCCTGTTGATATCCATTGTAGGACACGAACTCATCCCAGAAAGTATTTTAATGCTTCCACCTTGACAAGATGGTAGACCGTAAGTTTGGAAGAATGTTCACGACTTATACCAGCAAGGACCTGCAATGTCTTTGAACAGATGGTTTGTTGTGTCTTCGTCCTTGTTGAAGAATATGGTTTGGAGAATCTACTCACGGGGTACTGGCGGGTCTCATAGTCCCTCGATAGATATGTTTGATTCGGGAAGTCCAAAGCAGGTAGGTGTCGAGTGGATTGGGATCTGTGGCGTATGGCAAATGGATCCTAATATGCAGGTCACCCATCTAGAGCACATATCATGGTAGGTAGATCCGGAGCAAGACAGGGAACCTTTGCATCATGCATGCAAGCCAAGGAGGCGAGGAAGACCGTTGTGAGCATTCGCAGCAGACATGGATTGCAAATGCACGTCAGGCTTGCAACCCGGAAGTTAAGGTGGTCTCAACTGGGTTCACTCGACTTGGACGTTCCGAGTACATACTCACGAACGATTGATGTCAGATAGTACTTGTAATGACCCCCCATCTCTTCCTCTCAATCACAACAATACGAGTGTGCTCAAAAGTTCTTAGCCTAGAACAACACAGCATCTGATTGAGCATCTGACCCGCCTTGAGCAGTGGCAAGCATCATCATTAATTTGATGAGATGTTCGAGCCGAGGTGGCTGCCTTGGAGGTGTCAAGCTGTTTGAGGTACAGAGCCCACGATGCAAGGTGAATATTTTCAAGAACAATGTGGCTCATGAGACTTGCATCAGACCACGGCTTGGCTGTCAGCCCTGCATACACAGGCTTGGTTTCCTGCCCTGCCTTGTATGACTACTGCACTTGAGTGCTATTGAAAATCAGGGAGTATCTGGTCGTTCTTTAACCTTCCGTTATGGCATGAACCATTTGAAGATCTCGCTTCGGATCTCGGACTGATGTAAAGCCGAGAATAATTGCGGGCAGTACGGAAAGGAACGACGAAGGTGCAAGTGAACACAGGTGCGAACCTCCCAGGCTTCATCCTACATCGAATCGGTGGGATTCCGTTAGTATTGACAGATGGCGTTCAGCAGCATTGAAAACGCAAGCCGCATCGGGGCAGCAGCAGCCCCGACCGTGCTAAGCTTCGTTCAGCGATTGACGTCTGTGATAGTACTCCACCCGATCAGGAGCGTACCGACCGCCGGTACCGAAAAGTTAATGTTCTAATAAACTCTGCCAGCGCAAGCTCGTTTTGATATTCGACCGGCCATATACAATTTCACAATTGTGTCCACTCAGCTTTCTTTGAGATCTACATCTAGCTATGTTCTATATTGAAGACGATCGCCAACGCACATACATATACTCATTTGACTTGAACACGGAGTATTGTGAATCTGAAGCGAGATTTGCTACTGCCGGGTCTCACCACGATAAGGTTACGATATCAACTCGAAACGGAAGACGATGTATTCCTCCTATTGGATGTTTCGGGATGCAGCAAGCTGTTTTCAGTCAACTTCATACTCGCATGTGACGGGATTTGGAACAGAACCAAGATCTGAGTTCCGAAAAAATAGTTGCTCCAAAGTACTTGATTACAAGCGAGTTTTACTGAGAAAGCAGCTAATTGTTGTAATTGCAGGTAAGCTGGAACGTCCCAGGTTTTACCTCTCCCTTACTGGTAGACGTTGTCTATACCTTGTTAGCTTCGCATTACCATGCCCCGGATTATGGGGTGTAAGCCACATCATTAGGTTGGTGCCACCATCGCGCGGTCCGGCGATCTAAGCTTCGAGAAAACAACCTCGATAGATTGTCGAGCGACCCTTAAGTGATACATTGCGACGTATCGTTGCAGATGCTAACATATCGATTGCTGGAATGCGCAAGTTGTATATCAGCAAATCTCCCTACTGATGATCGCAATTTCTGGTCTCGTTGGGTTTGGATAGGTCATGAGTCCATGTCGTCTCTACGTTGGCGCTCTGTCCCGACTAGCCCAGGAATAAGGTAATTGCATACGCTAAGATACCGAGATTTCGTGTCTACGCCGCTCGCTTCGTGTAAACAAGAAAATTTGTCGCAAGCTTATCGACTCGTCATGCGTGTTTCCAATCATCCACGCAGTGTTGATGAGCATTTTGTAGCTGCCCTCTCGCACATACTGAATGACATCCCCGCTCATCTCTTCTTTGCAAACATGGCACTTTCGCCTCTCTTCTTACGTATAATAGGAGCACCATTTGGTCCCAGATCTGGTCTCGTCATTTTTGGTTCCGATGTTCTTCGTGTCGCGGGGTCGCCTGCCGTGGGTTGAGGTACCTCCTTTTCAAGCCTCGGAGCCTTTGCAGCATTTCTGTCATGTTCCGAATCTCTTTTACGTTTGCTGTGGTCGACAAGAACCCCATCGGTCTTCACTGTTGGGATACTAGCACCATGCTCACCTAGCTGTTTTTGTGCTCGCTGTTCTCGTCTTCTCTGCAATAATCTCTGATGCTCATCCTCTTGTCTCGACACGTCCTGTCGCATCTCCCTACCAAGTCTTTGACTTGCGTCAGAGGTACAGGCACTTTCCATATGTCCAAAATCGCCGCAGGCCAAACATCGACTAGCGGTGCAAGATGGTTTCGTGTGACCCACTCCACCACAACGCATACACTTGCCAAGTGACGCCTCCCGCGCCCTTCTGTTGTCGCAATTGTGAGAGAAATGTGCATTAGACCCACATGTTGTACAGTTGATGTTTGCGTTCAGTCCAAATCGACCTCCTGATGGACCGTTGGTGCCTGTACCTGAGGTTTGATCTTTTGGTGTGAAAGGTCGATCATTAGCTTTCAAGGGTTGTACTGATGATCTCGGTATTGCGTCCCTGAGTGATGATGCGGAATGTCCTGAACTTTGTCGCGGTAACGAGTCAGGCTTAGAAGGCCCAAGTGTGCCGCGAGCGGAAGCTGGCCCAGTGTCTAGCTGCTTGGCTTGTTTTGCACCATTAGTTTGTGCTATGCTGACTTCTCGTGGAGAAGACCGGCCCGATTCTAGGGATGGAACGGCGGATGCTTGTCTCGAAGGTGCACTATCGAAGGTAGGGGTAGCTGTTCCATATCTCGAAGACGCTCCAGACGTGTTAGGGTTTGAGGTAAAATCAGAGATTTGATTTCCAAATGCATTGGTAGGTTGGTCGTCCATGTTTTCCATTTCAACGTCGTCCTTCATCATATCTTCTGTCAAAAGTGGCCTGCTTAGAAGTCTTAGGATGTTGTCCTTGGTGTACAAGTTTCGAGCCTTGGCATCCTCAACTAGAGCTTTCCAGAACTCGCCCTGAACCAGAGCCTGCGAATTTCCTAGTACCCATAGAGAACATTTCGCACGCGTTAAACCCACGTTCATACGTCTGACGTCTTTTAAGAAACCAATACCCTGGGTGCTTGCTCGCACGCAGGAAAAGATGATAATTTCGCTCTCTCGGCCCTGGAAAGCGTCCGTCGTGTTGAAGTCGATGGCACCCAGTATAGCTTCGCCGTAACGCATGGAAAATCGTTGTTTGAGTGACTTCAGCTGTCCCTTGTATGGTGTGATGATACCAATCTTTCTCTTGAAATTATACCGAGGCACGTCCGTGGTCAGTCGGTCATACATTGCCATAGCAGCCTCAATCTCAGCTTCGTTGACGAGTGAGCGTCCTTTTGGAGCGGACGAACTCATACCCTCGACATCGAAAAAGCGATAAGGACTGAAATATTGGCTTCGATGCCAAGGTCGTGTTCGCAGCTGTGCCATATCGGGACCGTCACGTAGTCTCGAATCATAAAAGGTCTTGCTCGGAAAAGCACTGATTTCAGGGTGCATACGATACTGGACATCGAGTAGGTGCACGTCTTTCCCATGGTTGTTGGCCATTCTTGCAAACAAGCTCTGTTCATATTGATATTTGGCAGCTTGCCGTGACAATACCGTTGGAGGTAATTGCTTTGGATCACCCACCAATATGCATTTTGAGCAGCCATATTTCAGTGGGATCAGAGCAGATAACTCAATCGACTGAGCAGCCTCATCGATTATCACTGTGTCAAACTCGACGTTCAGACCTTGGAAAATCTCATGTCCGGAACCGCTCAATGTTGCACATAGCACATGAGCAGAATCCAAGATTTCCTGTTGTATACGACGACGATTGATGTCAGCGTCTCGATTAGCAGAATTTTGTTGCTCTCGCATCTGGTCGATCTTTGCGGACAGAGCTGTCTTTTTGCGCCGAAGGCCATCCTGCAGCTGATCATCAGCAGGAGAGACTTGTTCACCCTTCTGTCGAGTGGCATCCATCTTCTGCCTGAGTTCAACCATGTCGTCTGAAGCTTTCTTGTGCTCCATCATAACCGCATGGATATCTTCTCTGTTCCCGTTGGTCCCTACGTTTTCACTGAGTCGAGCATTGACCAATTCTTCAAGCGTGACATCCTTGACTGCAGTGTTAATGGCTTCACTCCTGCCTAGCCGCACGACGTTGATTTTCTGTACATGACCGCCTGGCACTTTAATTCCATCTTTGAAGCGCATGACCAGCTCATCGACTGCAGCATTACTGGGAGCTGCAACCAATATCTTTTTCGTTGACGGTGGCGGACCTCCACTACCAAGTGGTCGATACGTGTTAGGACCATTGGTCGAGGCCATGCCAGTCAACATGGCACTGAGAATGGCTGTAATTGTCTTCGTCTTACCAGACCCAGGAGGACCTTGGATCAATGTGAATGCATCATTATCGACTGCCGATTTGACAGCCTTGGCCTGTGCAACATTCAGATTGTGAAGGTCGCGAATTCCTTCGACTTGCTCGTCCCTATATGCCAGCAGCGGAGATGGCTTGGCTCGTATGATCTCCTCCGACAGATCGTAGTATGGCAGTGCCATGAGTGCACCATATTCTCTCTCCAATGGGGTCAGTGAGAGCACGTTGACCGCAAACACAGTGGCCTTGTCGTTCAGATAGTTACGTAACTTGTTGTTGCTTGAGTTCACTCGGTAGACGATCTGCATTTCGCCACGTTTTCGTGTTATCTCCTTGATTCGGGCGAGACAATGCGGCTCATTAGGCTCAACATGAGGTCGACTACCTTTCGAGAGAAGGACAACATCAGCAGGAGCAAGATTCAACTCCTTACCTTCATTCATCGATATAGTACTGTTGACCTCAAAGAAGTTATCGACAATCATAGAGTTAGCGACCTTGACTTCAAATACCTTGAAGCTACCATCCTCTCGAGCAGTACGAAAGCTTTGCCAGCCTTCAAGCACTAGTAATGGTTCAAAAGTCTTCTGGTAGTCCTCGACTGTCCGAAAAGTGTTAGTGACGAGAGTGTAATCATCCTTGGTTGAATTCGGAGGTGTATCAGTCTCAACGAAAAAGTCCCAAGCCAGAATCGTTTTGTGCAAACCTGTCAGATCTGGACTGAGTCGTGCTCTCATGTCTTTAGCCGATCGAACTTGCTTCACCTTCTTGGTCGGCATAGGTACAGCTCGATCCGGGCGACGAATGCCATTTGTTGCAGTTGCAGTTGCAGTCTTCGAGCTTGTTCCAAACAGCTCGTCTTCCTCAGAGTCTTCGTCTTCCGATTCAGAAGAGACCATCAGGTCACTGCGTGGTGTGGTATGGTCTTTTCCAGGTACACCAAGACCACGGAGACCGGAGCCAGCATTGGATGTCTGCGTAGCACCAGCTTTTCTCCGAGCAGCAAGCTCCTTTTGTCTTGCTTTTGCTTCAGCTTCAGCCTTCTTCCGCTGCTCGATGAAGGTCCTTGAACTTTCAGCTTGCTTCTTCGCTAGCTGTTCTTGGAGCGACGGAGGGGCAGGCCTCGAAGGTATCGAAGGTCTCTTTTGCTGCTGTGGCTTTTGTTCCTTCTTCTCCATCGGTAGACCTTGTTTGCGGATGGCTTGAACCTTCTCGAGTTCTAGCAAATCTTCATCCTTGATATCGTCATCGTCGTCGTCGTCAATGGAAATGACCTCAGGCTTAGGCTTGACTTCTTGCTTTAGGTTGGGGTCTGTCCAGGAGTCAAGTCGTTGTTGCTTTTTGAGCTGCGCCTTTGTCCTGATCGCGATTTGCTTGCCGGTATACTGTTCGAGTGCTCTGACTAGCTCAGCTTTTTGGTTGTCGTTGAGTATCGTTTTAGTGCCTCTACCCTTCACATTCGAGCCAGCGGCGACTTCTTCGACGAAAGTTAAGGCATAGCCGTCCTGTGGTATTTGAGTTCCATACTCTTTGAGACGTCTCAGCATGCCAATGATCAAGTTGACGAGAGTTTCGGCCAAGTATGGATCTCTCAGTCTGAGCCACTTCACCATCGAGTCCAGAGCCTTCGGCGGCGATGCGACGGTCGACTCGACGTCGACGTTAAGCAGTAGCGTAGACACATCGACATCTGGCTCCTTGTTTCGCTCGAGCACGTTGACAAAGAGATAGTAGTGGCCAAAAAGTGCTTGCGCGAACTGCATAGTGTTGCGGCAAACCTCGGTCATCAGAGGTCTATCGCCCACATCAACCGACCACTTCTCCATTCGACGGAAGATGGTGGTGAGGATTCCCCAGCAGTATTGCCAGAAGGCTTGAACAGCATTGCCATCACGTTCTACAAGAGATTGTTCTCGAAGCAATCCTGTATTGTCACATAGAATATCCATGAGATCCTTTCCTGTCTTGAGTAATCTAGGAATTGGTGAAAAGGGCATAAGGTTGGCGATCCTTCTAAAGACCCAGCAGGTGGAATACAATGTGTTAGCAAAAAAAGCTTTGGTGACATGGTGAAGTGCTTCGATTCGACCCGACTGATTCGAGATGTTCTTGATGAGCTCAAGGGTCGCCTGGTATATGCTGTCGTTGCCTGAGAACAATAAGGCCATCAGAGCCATATTCGTGTTCTGATGGGAGAACAAGGGATCCAAATGCTCGGCTGGAAATTCTGCTAGATGGTCGATGCATTGACTCAACAAATCTTCTACCTTGCCAAACATTGTGTTGAAGGATTCCTTCTCTATCTTGTGCGAGGTCATGTTTCGTGCAGGGAATTGTTCAAGGCCCGTCAGAGACATTGTGCTGATAAGCAAAGCTTGGGAAAGATCAGAACGGTCAGGATCGAGGTGGCGATTGACTGTCCGCCACAGATCTGGGGTGTGCGAGCTGCTATTCGTCACAGGATTGCCAGCGTGAATGCCTTCCCAATCAGTCTTGAGCATAAGGCAATCCAACGCTAAAGTGTTCCTGACCAAGGTGACGATCAGATCCCGGAGCTTGTCTTTCTTGTTATCGGGGCGCGTGTACTGGAAGCTGAGGATGTTTGGCAAATGTGTGCTGACCAGGGTGAGAACATCAGACAGAACAGGTCGAGCAGTTGCTTTACGGATTTTATCATCTTCGGAGAAAGGGATAATGGTTGTAACTAATGCTCTGACAGCCCATTCAAAACACAATTGCCTAGCTTGATCCGAGGTTGATGTGGACTTGACCCTGATGAAAAGTTGATGGGTCAGCGTTCGAGTTGCTGGAGGTCGGTTTGCAGGCGGCAAACTGTTCAGGAAGGGTGCGATCCATGACAGCAAGTCTGCATTACCGTCCTTCGCTCCAATGTCAAGGCCCTCGTTGAACTTGGGACTCGCGAAGATCTGCTCAGCAACAGTGCCAGCTGAGACGGAAGGGAGGTTTTGCCAGTATACATCAGGTGTTCTCGTCCAAACAACGTGCAATGTACCGATTATATAACTGATTGCAACTGTTGGCTTAGCTAGATGATCCAAGAAGAGTCGAGCAAAATTAAAACCAAGATCGAAGAGCTTGATTGTGATCTGCTCGTCACTCAATGTTCCGCAGATGACCTTGGTAGCGCCCCAAAAGCGGACGAGACCAATGTCGTCCTTTATGGCATCTAGCTCTTGCTTGATAAGGTTCTTGATGGCCCAGTCCCACTCTTCATCGCTAGGATGTCTCCCAAGTCGTTGGTATGTCTTGATTGCCCAGTTTAGTCGGTGTTGGTGGGGAGAGAATAGGAACTTGGTAACAGCAGGTAGGATGTCCTTGATCCTCAGATCTCTATGTGTTTGAACGAGGTTGAAAGGCCTGTCAAAATGTGCTTTTAGTAATTCGTCGTTGTCGTAAAAGGCATCACAATGTAGGGTTTCGAAGAAAGCAAACAGCTGTCTGTTATTTAGCGCCTTTGGTCCTCGCTCTTCCTTAGGGAGTGGTTGGAGTGTTGCAGTTGCGTCGTCGAGGCCGGTCTTGATTCTGGATAAATCTCTTCTGTGAATTATGCTGAGAAATTGCTGTACTTCGGCATCATCGTATTCTTGCAGCAGTTGTTCCTTGAACGCAATCTTCCCGAGATAATATTGTCTGATACAGGCTTCGCACTTGGCGAGTTGTGTGTCCATGGCATTGTACAGCCATTGGTGGTATTCGTAGCATTCGGGGCCATCGTAGGCAAGGAGAGGTAGTGCTGAAAAGAATTTGTCCCGTCGTTGTCTCGCTTCTAGCACACGATCATCTTCTTGACCAGGATCATCGCTGTCGTCGGTCCGGTTGTCGGACAATCTAGGACAGAAGATGTGAGCACCGTCTGGTAATTGCTTCAATTCCCTAAACTCAGTTAGCCACTGTGTACACATTTTCTAGATAGTCACACTCACTGAATGACCTGTACGTGCTCGGCCATGCCGACTACCTATACGCATGCGCTGGCCTTACTAAGGTGGCCAAGCTATCGTATACTACTTGATTTGGAATTATGGTGGGTGTGGAAGGGGGATGTACTGTTAGGAGACACATCATAGTCTCTTTGTCCTGCAGATAGAACCTCAATTTCCACAAAGCCTCCAGCGACAAGCGATGGTGGTTTGCGAGTTCAGCATGATCTGTGAGTGAAATGTGAACGAGTGTGTCGCCCTCATTAGAACCGCTGCCGAACCACAATAGAAAATCAAAGCGCGCGATCAAAGAACGCGTTGAAGTGGTTATTCCTGCCTATCACGTCATCATGCCGCGTCGCGTCGCTCTTGCTTATTAGTTGATTCACATTGGCTTCACAAAGGGTTTGTAGTAATCAATTACGAGCCCTCCTCGAGTGAAAGTCACTGGCAGCCTCGCTTTACACTTGCAATCTCGAATCTAAAATAATATTGATTGTCAAGTACGCTAACGCTTGTGCCCAAAATGCGTCTCTAATTGAACTAGATGAGATCAAACGCCAGTATCAAGCAAAACATCGCAGTCGTCGGGAGTCAGGTCTATTCCATGTCATATCGGTACTATCTCGCGTGTGGCTCTGTGGAGTCAGGTCTTTCCCCCTCTTCTTGCACTACTGTATACCTCCTCCTCTGCTGGTTCGTCGATACAGGTGTAAGTCCGGGTTGTGAATGCGCTGATTCCGTCCTCATCAAATATGCTGCAGATGTGAAATCTCTGCTCTGTTCGAAACTCTGCCGCATAGGGCCCTCAAATGATTGTCGTGGCCTTGACCGCTCGAACGACGGTCTCGGCCTGTCTATTGATATCCTTGGCGCAGTGTTAGGCCTTGGCGTTTCTGGTGACGATTCGATCCTATTCAATCCGCCCCTCGTAAAATCGAAAGATGGAACCGTTCTGTCCGTACCATCACTGCCCGTCTGGCTATGAGGCTGTCGTGTACCCGCTGTTGGCGCTTCTGAAGGTGGATAGATGGGCCTTGCTGATTCTGTCATGCTAGGATATCGTGCATGGTGGCTGCCAGCCTTGGTATGATGTTCGCTATCATGTGCAACCTCTGTCATCTCCGATGAACTTTGTGACCCAACGGCTGCCTTTGGTGGCACGAAAGCCTCATATCGTTCCAAATAATCGAACTTGCCTTGCCGAACCTGTTCTCGAACAATGTCCACATCGTATGGTCGGTAGTTCTTCTGGAAGAATTTGACACAAAATCGTGGTAGCAAGCAAATTACCACAATCAGGAGCAGCAAGCACCAGAAATTGAGCGTACCATAGACTTCAGCAGCGGATTTGTAGAATTGGAAGGAGCCGGTGAAAGAGGAATAGACACCTGTCCAGAAAAAGATCAGCAGGCAACTGATTACCGTGACCAGAACCATGAGCCAGTCCCATCGATACGTGTTAAGCAGGATGTATGTGTTCACAACCACGATTGTCGCACAAGCAATGTAAATGCCAATTCGGCTTCTGTCGTCGACGTTTCGACCACTTTCGGTTTGGAATGTCGCAGGTGCAAAGAGCAAATGACCCATGAAATAGCAGATGGCTGACTGGTAGACGCCATCAAACATGTATGCCCAGAACTTGAGTTCTGACCACTCTTTCCGCTCCATTCCTTTACGGTATAGCTGAGGAACAGCAAGCGAGACTTTATCGCTAACGTCCTGGTCCAGTATACCCATCAGAATGACGGGAAGAGATGTGAAGGCCAAGTTGACCAGCAAGATGTACGTGTAATCGAACAGATACGTGATGTCGAAGTTGTTGTAGATTTGGTACCAGAAGAGGGCGAAAGTCCAGACAATGTTCTGTGAGACAAGTTAGCAAGATTTGTTATACACAGGACACGACAACCTACCTTGTAGAAAAAGTTGCCCGTCATTTGAGCAAGTCTTTTGTAAGACCAGCGTCCATGGACGAGCACCAAGCGTTGCAAGAACCGGAACTGACCAATGGCGTAGTCCGAGGACATGACAGCCTGCCTACCTTCCTCGCCAGCAATACCCACTCCCACATCTGCTTCTTGGATCATGGCTACATCGTTGGCACCGTCGCCAATTGAAAGTGCCATGATGTCGAGACCATGTCGAACAAGTTGGACCACCGCTGCTTTTTGTGCAGGACTGACTCGGCAGCAGAGAACTGATCGACACTGTTTGCACAAAAGCAAGAACCTTTGTCTCAGATCGTCTGACAGCACAAGCTTGAGTGACTCTCCATCGATAACCAAGGCATGAGTTGCCGCTGGTGGTTCGTGGTTCAGACGTGCCGCTGCGAGCTCTTCATCCGAGCCTGTCAGACCGAATGTATTCAGGTGCTGATCAAGCAGTTTTCCAGCATCGACAGGAGTGGCATCGGGGCCAAGATCGAACAGGATCAGCTCCATTTCATTGGACAGAAGGTTACATGAGAAGCCAATATTGATAGCAGTCTCAACTTTGTCGCCGGTAAGGACCCAGAGCTTGATTCCTGCTCGTCCGAGCAAAGCAATAGTGTCGGGAACACCGTCTTGGAGACGATCCTCAATTGCAGTACCACCAATCAGCATCAGCTCTTGTTCGATTCGATCGGAAACCTCCTCAAGACGGTCTTCACGGTTTTGTACAGCCGCAGCTGCGAAGTCGTGGTCTCTGACCCAGTCCTGATAGTACTCCTCAGTCAAATCCCTTTCGGCGACGCAGAGTGTACGAAGACCTTCTCTGGCAAAGACTTCGAGGTTCTCGGCGGTGGCCTTACGTAGTTCTGATTGTTGTCCTTTTACCAGTCGCGAATAGATCATGCTATCAGCACCTTTGCAGAAAAGCTTGATATTACCGTCCGGCATACGAATAATGGCAGACATCCTCTTTCTAGTCGAGTTAAATTCCAAAGTGTTCAACACTGTATATGTACGATCTTCGCCCTGCACGTTCAACATCAGGTCGTCGTTGTTGCGACCGAGCACAACAAACCCACAATCTCGAGCTGTGGCAACTAAAGCTGCTTCATCGGGCGACTGAGCCTTGAACTCAATGATAGGAGGATCGCCAGGCGTGGTTTCGGTAATGACTGTATGGCACAATGCAAGTGCTATCATGAAGTGTTCGCATGCACGCTTCTGTTCCTCACCTGCACGTCCGCCAAGGTCATAGACATAGTCAGGAGAGACAAAGGTCAAGTTTTCATCCTGCAGGTAGGGATTGTCGTGCCTTTTACGCAGCTCTTCGAGCATCACAACCCTCGATTCGGCAATGTGAGCACCCATTTCGGCGGCTTCCTTCTCAACATCGACGCCCTGTCTGCGGCGCAGTCCCATTTCGGCTTCAGTGTAAGCCTCACCATATGGGCGACCATTTATTGTGCACTTTTTGAATTCCATCACGTTTTGAGTCAACGTTCCAGTCTTGTCGGAGAAAATGTACTCGATTTGACCCAAGTCATCAGAAATATTCCAGGATTTAGGAGTGCAGGGATAATCCAGTCGCTCGTAGTACATGAACATGTCCGAGTAGATGAAGAATGCTTGCGCAGACCTGATGATCTCCAAGGAGATGTACAGTGAGATAGGTACCAAGTTTTGAAACAGGATCACAGCCGACCAGAAGGTGACGATTCCATCAACTGGAGGGGTGCCACCATAAGAGCCATACTCAAAGAACTGTGCCGTGTAGCCACCATTGACATTCCATATGACACCCTGAACGATGCCGGCAACCAAACACATGATAAAGAGGATAACGAAGTTGTAGATGACGTTGCGATTAAGCTCTTTCGCCAGTCTGGCACGCTTGCTGGGAGTGATACCAGCGTTCAGCATGATCTTGGTCTGTGAGCCAGTGAAGATTACGACACCCAGTACCCATTCAGTATTTCGAAGATTGCAACCACGAAGCAGCAAGTTATTGATACCAATAGGTTCTGTCCGTTCGTGCTTTGGGCCATCAGGAATCTTAGCATCTCTTTCATACCACCGCATCGCACCATTATACGAGTACAGGTTAGGGTGCGGGCCCTCACTCTCAATTAGAAAATCGGCTTTTTCACAATCTCGAGCGTGTTGAACTTGTCGACTGGCGTGGAGAGCACTTCGGACCTTGAGATTGGTCTCCCCGTCCAAGTTCTTAGTCTCAATGTAGCAAGCACCATCAGGATCTGACGTGGAGAGGACTACGACGTCAGCGGGTATTTGATCGTCGTTGTAGATCCTGATGAAATCGCCAACTTGAACATTCTTCCAGTAGTCTCTCTTAAAGACAGCCTTGCCTTCAGTCTCTTTATGCTTGTCGAGAATGTTGCCATAATCACGGACAGTCAGTGTACTCTTACGCTTTGAACTTCGCTTGTTGCGTAAGGCTGAGGTAGCGTTTGCCGCTCCAACGGTCAAGTGATTGGGATCTTCTGGGGCAGTGTCGAAAGATCGAGGACTTCCTGGAGTGTCGGGCGCTAAGTGACCATTTATTTGAGGACTATGAGCAGATCGAGAGACAGGGGTCATGGGTATATCATCGTCATCGGTGCCAATGGACTGGATAGAGCTGCGGTGTGACTGGATTGAGGTTCTGATCGTGGGTCTTGTCATGTTCGTGGCCTGTCGAGTCAATTCTTCTCCATCGACGCCCTTTTCACTCGTCTTTGTCTTCTTCTTGTGGACAAGCAAACCCTTCATGTGCTTGTATGTACTTACGATTATTCTCGTACTGGCCTTCTTGATACGACGCCAGAGAGAGATGTTGTCAGCGGATGCATTAACATTGTTCCATTCTACTAGTCGGTAGACTGGGGAATTATTGAGCTCGTTGTCCAAGACTGTGCGGCGCCAGTCTTCTATTGCGTCCTTGATTGCGGTGAGAGCAAGAATGACAATCAACGGTACGGCAGATAAACCCGGGTTGTCCACACCAAAGATGCTGAAAATACCAAGGATGATCACAAACAGGAAATATATATTAGCGATATTGTGGAATTGAAACCACAGGTTCTTGGGTATAAAGCTCAGCGCCGTATACTTTGCGGTCCTGATCTTGTTTCGAGCGTATTGTGCTTTGGGCAGGCCATGTTCGTTCCTCGCATCCTGTGGAAGTGGCGTATTGAACCATATTGTGCGTCCCTGAGATTCTTCAACAGGCTGTTCCTGGCCCATCGGGCTCTCTTCCTCAATTGTGCCATTGTTTTTCTGACCACTACGCTTTTCTTCATACGGAGATAGTTTGGCAGTTCGATTAAGGATGGACAGTCTTTTCTTGACTGCGCTTTGACCAGTTTTACGCTGAGTCGCCCATCTCATTCGCTTTGTCGGTTTCGATATGCTGGCATTGGTCTGACTCGGTTTTAGCCCTGGCTCGAGGTCTTCGGGATCGACCTTCGTTCCCTCAAATTGCACCCTCTGCATGGCTGATACTGTCTATGCTAACCAGGACTTTGTTGATGTTCTCCGGCCTCCTAAAGTGCAAGTGTCACGAGACGTTCCCAAAACCTCGAAGTGTGTTCAGCGTTGATCTCTGTATCTCGCGCGGACTACCGAAGCACGCGTTCGCACGCCTTGAAGTGCTGACCGGCTTCAGCTTCGATGTATTCGGTGGTGGTGCATTGTTGAAACGCCCGGCTAAGACAATGCCGCAGTGAGACAGTTTTTGTTTTGACGTGAAGGCAGTTGCAAACAACCCTCCTCTTCAATACGTGCAGGGTAAATCGGCTTTAGTTGTGGAACGAAAGACGACCAAGCGCGGATGAACCGGAACTAGATGATTGACTGGAAAGATTCGAGAAAAAGATACACAGCTCGCCAGCGATGGTGTAGGCAACGAGTAACGCAATGGCGACAATAGCGAAGACAGAGGCAAAGTGAACGTGTCGGATGCGCTGGTAGTCGATGATCAATCGGACTTTTGGTTGGTGAGTGAAGGGGTTTACGGGGCATTTTCTCATGTCAGCGATGGCTCCTAAGGCGCAGGAGCACGTACTTGCTAACCCCAAAACGTCACTAGCGCCTGCCGCAAAGATGCACGATGGGATATGCTACAGGCTTGGTAACTATTCGGCCGAGTTCAGCTCTCTTCCAACGAGTCAACGATAGGCTGGAGGAATAATCATCTAGTCTACCTATGGCTAGACCTACTGGTTGCCATGGTTCACCTTCCTTTTTTTCGAATAGCACAGTCAGACACCGCATCTTTCATGGTTCTTGTCTATGCAAGTCATGACAGAGTTGCGCAGAGAAACGCGGAGTAGTGAACATAGGTCAGGCGGTATTAAAACTCGAGAAGTTGTGATTACTCCTAAGTTTGCACGTCTATAAAGCTCAGAGCTGGGCATATAAAGTTCGTGTTCAGCACAAATAATCGCCGCTTGTCAGATTTACCTTATCCAATCATGTGTGTGCTTGTAGTCTGGCATCCTTCTTGAATTGCTTTTTCAGGCCGCCCCTCGTGTGCTGTGCAGACATTAAATCCGATGGACTTGACCTGTTCGGTGATTCGTTCAAACAAAGGTCGAGAAGTCGTCCGTCAACCAAGTGTGGTGGCCTCAATACGTCCCGGACTACGGATATCCGGCATCCGATGATGCACAATACATATTCAGTCCAAGATGCCGTTCTCACGACCAACCCCACGAATACAAATTGCTGGTCGCTGGTCGCTGGTCGCAAGGCGCAGCGTATATCTATGTTGGTGTTGTATGACCAGGACTGGACGCCTGAGAACCCGTGAGATATTGATTCACACAAAGGAGACGATCCGAGGCCAACATGACAACCATGAAACTCAGGTATTTGAAAATGAAAATCAAGGCTCGAATAAAAATGCTTCACGTTGGCTGGGGGGCGGAACTTATGCAGGATGGTTATTCATTCAGCACGTAATTGCCGCTTGTAAGCGTTTGATAACACTGTCTTAGATGCAACTCTTCGTGTGAGCTCTCGTAAACACATCACATACGAAATCATGCACGTGGAAACTAGAAGAAGAGCTGCATTCACTGAAGCTCTAAGCTGAAGCTGACTAATCCAAGATCGGCGGATTAAGACAGTCGCGACGTATGGTATTCCCACAAGTGCGACTGTGTCAAGCAAAAGACTGTGCTCCCGACTACTTTGAACTTCGTGGGTACTACTGTCACTCGAGAACCAGACACGACCAGGAGCAAGGACCTCGGATACGTATGTCGCATTTGCATCACCATAGCAGCGCGCCTCCCAGTTCTATGCTGATCCATAAGGCCTGTATCGCGACGCAATCAACACAAGTCAAATATCTGAACCGCGTTTTCTTCAGTACAATACGAATAACGGATCTCGAGCCCGTTGCGGACCGTAAAAGTCAATATCATCCACCGAGACACTATCCAGGCCGTGCCTGGGCTGACAATGTCAGAAACAGCCACTCGCCATATCCGCTGCAGTTGATGCGTGTCTTGACTCCTCAACAATCAGCTAGAAGCAATGTAGATCAATGGTTTGTACGTGTTACCTCGCAAGAACAATTGAAAACGACTCAGGTCATGTCTGATGGAGTTGCACGCACCGTTGCATTGAGCAACACTGAAGTGTTAGGACCACTAGGAAGATCGTTCTGTGACGATTTGGAAGCGTCCCATGCCGGCGTCTTCGTCCTGTCATTGACCAAACAACGTGCGTTGCGACTGATCCAGATCGTCGATAGTTGGAAAGACACTTACTCAATTCCCCTGATTCAGCACGATATTCGATGGAACAATCGGGACCGTCGGAGAATGCTCAATATCACATTCTATGACTCCGGTCGAACTGCATGCAAGTTTTTTCGCGACTGAATGGCGTTTACCAATGGCTTGTTCTTCCCCGAGATTGCCTCACACATGACCACATCTGCGGTCTCGCAAAAAGCGTACGAAATTTGGAAAAAGGAATAAGGGCTGACCTATTGAAAGACTTCAGTCATTATTAGTACCGCCTACCGTATTTCGAAGCCATGAGCGTGCACTTTGACATATCAGAACTCGCTTGAGCCACATGGGGGCAGACGAGCGGAGTATGAGGCGACACGAGCCATTGGAGTGTGGCTACCTGAATACGAAGTGCAGCTTGTCCCAGAAACGTTCTGCGTCGAGATGTCTGACCAATTGGAAAGGCTGTACGTGGTTCTTGCTGCGCTCATCTCCATCACTAGCACGTGGCAACAACGACAAGAGAAAAGGATCCAAGAGAAAGGGGTCGTAAGAGAGCTAACGCTCTTGTTCTGGAGTGTCTGTTGTAGTGAGGCTATCTCTCTTGGACTGAGGCGGAAGCTGGGTTCGTGGATTTACCGCTCGGCATGTCCAAGTTCACAACGTCCTCAAAGATATCACGTCTGATGGTGAAGAGGGTCAGTATTGGAGCCTGCTAGGTATTGGTATGGGGAATATCACCATCAACGTTGTGGGTTGCGTGCAAATTAGGCTCATTGAAGCGAAGTTGTCCAAATGGTAGTGCACGAAAATACTTGCAGCCAGCCTATCTATCGAGAGACAAGTAGGACAAGCGTGTGCTGAGCTCAGCAAAAGCACTCTCGGCGAACCTTCGAAAGAGTTAGCGCAGACTCCAATTATGGAAGAGTTGTTTCGCTTAGAATTCTAGTGGTTGCAGACCGCATTCATAATCCCTGCTACTTCAAAGATCAGCAATTTCCTGCGGCCGACGGAGCGGCTATTAGCTCGTGGCAAGACATCGTCGCAGTCGTCGTTCGGAGAAGAGTCGAGCTACATCGAGGTAATCATTATCGACAGCAACAACCACGTGGAGATAAAATGGTTTGGTTTCAGACCTGCCTGCAAAGTTGATACCCGATGGATCGCCGGATACTGGACGGAGGATAACTTCAGCTAGTCGAACAATGACGAATCGGCACAATTATCGTTGTTTGCAGGGAACTTGAAGTTGAATCCCGCAAACTGCTCCTGGCGTGCGTTTAATTCAGAGCTCAAGCCTTCTGTGTAGTGGTGCGCCACGGACGCGGTGTTGTAGTGTCAACATAAGGTTCTGCAGGTCTCACCCTGATCCAAGTTCACAGACCAGGAGCACGCCTGCTTGCCTATCAGACGCTGGCCTCAAGCTGCGATTTCGTTGAGGTCTTGGAGTCTTAGATTGTCAAGGGCTGCTGTGTCAGCAAGAAGGCTTGTATGGTAGAAGTGTTTTGCCTCATGGTCTCAAAGCTCAAAGACATTGTCGATCGTGGTGCTCGCAGATCGTGAGACCTTCCCAGCGAGCAGCATAACGGATTGTGGTGCCAAGCGACGACGTAGCTTCATCATGACCTCAAGATTCGAGTGCAGCACGCTTCGGATATCGTGTGGACCCATGTCGATCCACTTGATGGCGTGCAAGTGCGGATTCATACATTAAACGTGAACTATCCTATCGTTGTGCATGCTACAGTACCGTAAAACGTGGCACTTGTGATAAAGGTCACAAATGTGCCTGAGAGATCCCTTGAAAGCAAGGTAATTCAACGGCAACAAGTGATCCAAACGTGTTGCACAAGGCTCTTGTCTGAAACAAGCGCACGACAGGTCTCGGTGTGTTCAATGTCGCGTTGCTGTGGAATTGGCGCTCGAGGTACGCGAGACTCGTGGCCAAGCAGTGCAACTGGCCAGATTGTACAGTACAAAGTGCGCATATAGTCGTTTCAGGTTTACCACCACCGTCAGGGAATGGGTATTCCCGATGGTCCGCAATACTTGTTTCCACGGTGGTCATGTATTGTATACGTCTCTACATTGAATCATTTTCTATCTCTTTGTCAGTAGTACGTTAAAGTACAGTGCACTTCACGAAGTACAGCATCGGTTCCGAGTCGGTGAGTAAGTGGCCTGAGCAGGAGATAGTCGCGTGTCTCTGCAGAACCCGAAATTGCACAGCAGCTGTGTTGTTGAGCATAAGATAAGCAGGTGTGAACAACTGAATGGCGAGAAGAGACCTACAGTAGCGGATACGTAGAGAATGAGGTCCTCCGGGCACGACAAGCTCGAAGCTTATCCGTAGATGAAGGCTACACCATGAGCTCAGTGCACACGCTTGAGAGGCGCTTGGCTGATTGTGGACTGGTGTGGCTGCCGAGCCAGCAACGGGTGCTTAATCTGGACGAAGATCCAGAAAACAGAGGCCGACCTCCGTGCTGGGAGGGAGCAATGCGCAGTCGCACTCGTCAAGCCTGTCGGCAGTAGTGGCCTACGCTTTGATTCGCAGGGCACGCCTAGCAAAGCCCAAAGCTCCGTTCTGGCAGGATTGCAGGCATTTGCAAGCCTGCGGGTTGTACAAGGCACGATCATTTTCAGGTTGATTATCTCGTCCGCCAGCCTGCGAAGTTAGCTAGTGCGTCTTCATTTTCCAGTTGCGCTTTTACTGATTCTCGCGCTCTTTATTCCCATTGTATGTCACCACCTCTGCATCATCGACGTTCGTTTTCCCTGAAGTCCTTTCACCTTCTATCGACCTTGTTCACGCAGACACACACAGTCTGCTTGTGCTTGGGCTCGTCTCCATCGGCGTATACTACTGCTTAGAAAAATTCCGTGCATACCAGACCCGAATAACTCAACGATTCATCCTTCTTCTTTGTTGGACCTCTCCCACTCCGACCCAACGACACTCTTTCGAAAGCCAGATGTCCCTGCTACGACTTTGAGACAAAATCCCTCCTTTGCTCATCGCCATTTTTGCACCTATTTCGGATCCTTGCTGGCTTGTGTACGGCCCTCAAGCAATACAGGCGATAAGCAACGAGAAACACGAGTACTGGATTTTGGACAAAAAGAAAACTCTTAATACTTAATTCATCGATCTTGCCTTGACTGGCCCGCTGAAGATTTCGTGCAGCGATAGGCCTCTCTGTCGCCATGGCACCTGCCCAACCTCGATTGAGAGTGCTTTCAGGTACGTAACCCAGCGCCATCTTCCTCTCCTGCAGCATCGTATTCCTATGTCCCGTCTTTCGTTGCTATTTGCTGTCACTTTCTTCCTCTCCTTCACGACTCGAAATGCATAAAGAGCTAAGACGAATATGTACAGTCGGCGGCAATGCTGTATCGGCATTTCTCTCCTGGCGACTCTCCGCGACGAACGCTTGCGACGTTACTTTAGTGTGGAAATCCAACTTCCAGCAAGTAGCGCAATACGGGATTTCTTTCAAGTAAGCCGCAACAGCACATACGAGGTTATGAGAATTAACACAATCAGGTCTGCAGCATTTGGGAACGAACGTTTCAAGCCCAGATATGGTATGTACCTATTGCAGCACCGTTGAGGGAGGTACTAACCTTTCCCTAGTCGTCTCGAGTCCTGAAGAAGCCGCTTCGGACCGTGGACCAGCATTTGACTATGTCATTCTCTGTGTCAAAGCACTCCCTGATGTCTACAACCTGGCAGATATAATACAGTCGGTCGTTACGCCTCAGCACACTTGTATCATAGTCAACACCACCAACACCTTGGGCGTCGAGAAGCAGTTAGAGAGCAGATTCCCTACAAACGTCGTGCTTTCTCTGGTATCAGGAGCAGCTATTACACAGATCGGCGCCAGCGAGTTTGAACACACTGGTTCGCGAGAAGTCTGGGTTGGTCCAGCAAACTTGGACGCCAAAATTCCACACTCTATTCAAAGGGATATGTCTGAAGCCTTAGCCATGACTCTCACGACTGGCCAAGTCGACTGCAAGGTTTCTGACAATATCCGTCAACAACAGTATGAAAGAATGATTGGGTATGTGCAAGAAACCTTTCTTTCATGGCTAGATACTGATTATTAGCGCAGGCCTATCGCATTTCACCCGATAAGCGTAATATTCGAGACCTCGAACTTGTCGGAGCTAATCAACAAGCCTGGAGTCCGCGATCTGGTATCGGACGTCATTGAAGAGCTCATCCACTTAGCAAGCTCCAACAAGTGTATGCTTCCTGCTAACTTCAAGCAAAGGACGATCGAATCGATGAGCCAGTCATCTCAGGAGCAGAGCACAATGTACCAGGATTTTACTGCGAGACGGCCGATGGAGGTTGAGACATACTTAGGTGCTCCTACTGAGTTGGCAAAAGAGGCTGGCATAGCTGTGCCGCGCATAGAGACATTGTATACTATTCTCCGACACATCAACGCTACAAACAAGGATAGACCAGCCCAAGCGACACAGCAAGTGCATCCTCCACCAGCCAGCGAAAATCAAACGCCAGTACCTCAGCCTGCTCGTATGGCACATAACCCTCCACCTCCACGCCCCATGAACGGAAACCCAGGTCCCATGAATTCAGGTCCTCACATGCGCCCGAATGGCATGCGTATGGGCCCTCCACCTGCCCGACGAGGTCCGCCTCCTGTCAATGGATACCGAGGCATACCTCCCAATGGCTATCCTCCTCGAGGGCCGAGTCAGCTCGGCCGAAGACCATCTTTTGACGAGAATAATATGGACGAGTTTCAACATGTCGTTCTGTACGATGACGTCCCCGATGGTGATGTAGCAGCAGCATATGGAGAGCCTGGAAACGCTATGGCTATGCGCGAGCGCGAACTCATGCTTCGTGAGAAGGAATTACGAATGCGAGAGCACGAAATATCCATGAGAAGCAGGAACGGTAGCAGGAAACCTCATCAGAGCAAACACCAAGCCTATATGGATGACGATGATGATGACGACGACGCGTTCGACCCAATGGACAACAGAATGGCACACGCACCAGTGCTCGATGCGGACAACATTGATATGATGAGCGTTACGTCTCGCCGCACGAAACGTGCACCTAGCCAGAGTCAACTTCGACGGGGCATGTTCGAAGGTGGTGCTCCAATGAGAGGAGGCTCTCAACGGCCACACAATGGTCGTCACAGAACCAGCGCTCAACTGATGTCCGACATGCCAGTTCTTGGAGGGAATATACTTGATAACCCCATGACGGGATTTTCGTCAAACAGATATGGTGCTGTCGATCGTAAAGAGATGGCTGATGAATCGCGTGCCAATTCGTTAACAGCAAGCAGACTCCATGAGATGGGAGGAGCTGGTGGCCCCTATCCTCAGTCAAGTCGCCGAACGAGCCGCTCGCCTGGCAACCCTCTTAGCCCGATGGGACCAGGCCCTATGGCCCCAATGGGTCGACCTCATGGGCGACCATCACCACCAAACGATACTTACATGCAAGGTCCACCTCGGAATGGTCGTCCCTCACCACCAGGTGGGATGCAGGCACCGGTGCCTAGGTATCCGGTAGGGCCGGGGAATTTGATGCATGAGCAACAAGCTGGGGTGAGCAAGCCATACCCACCTAAACCCACCAAAAGTCTGACAGGTAGCGCCAGTGCTAGCGCCAACAGTGGTGATAGTGGCAGTGCCAACATCGAAAGCGACCCGTCTGCACACAGCAGCACCAGCAGTTTTGCACCACGAGCGATGATGGGAGTCCATTGAATGAGACTCTCCTAGCCCCACGAATCGGCAGATCATGCAACGGTCTCTGTGTGTCCGACCCCTCCCTTACACGTTTTTATCTCATCTACCAGCGACTGGTGTCAGAAGCTGGCATTGTCGGGCGACACGATCGGCCTTGACGCTTGTGTATACATGGAAGGATCTTCTATCTGGATCAGCAAATAGTGTAATGGAAAAACAGAGCAAACTTCACGACCTTACGAATACAGCCTTGGTGGGACAGGTTACAGCGAAGCAACAAAAAGCAAGCATTTTTCTGCCGGAATTGTCGCTTAAGGACAAGAAACACGAATTGGCCTTTCTTTTTCTTGAGTACATAGACCTTTGAAGACAATCTTGAGACTGGCAGGCAAGAGGGAGATGCTGTGGTAGATGGAAATGCTTCGCAGCCTGCGAGTGAGACAGTGGTTATGCATGAGGGATATCCACAAGACCTCCTCTGTGAACATTGGAGGCTTGTTTGTATTGCATTTTGTACGGCGAAATACCCCTTGTTAACAGATATAAGACTGTATGGGCATTGGGACTACAGATAATGTCATGGTCATGAGATTAGGTAGCATAATAATTTGGACGTACACGACAGCCAGTCATTGAATAGCAAGAACAAACAACACTGTGAGAGGCAAGGTCCTTCTTCGCTTTATCGATGGTCTCTCCTTCCTGCCCGTATTTTGACTTTCGTCAGCAAGTTCAGCTCTGGCTCCATGTCGCGCCTGCCCGTGGTTTGGACAGTAGTAGTTGCCTTAAGGCAGTAACATTAGCGTGCCTGCCTGAAGGTGACGCGCCATGCTCTCGTTTGAAACCCTCTTGTACAGTAGTATGAGACACATCAGTCTACGGCCAGCACTCTTCCCTTTAATAAACGATGATCAGCCGTCTGGACAGGGACTTAAGTAGCCTTTAGACTCCTGCAATAAGACTCTGAGCGTCCTTCAAGTCGCAGCCCCCGTGCAGATCTGACAGAGAACAATCCTGCTAGTACAACAGGTCTTTCCCGAAGGACAATCATTCCCGGTGCGAGATCGTTTTTCCTTCAATCGAGCGACAGCCGTTGTCAATTGTCCTTCCTCTATCAGCTCAAAGCAACGCTCCACTTCCTGTGTTCGATCCTGATCGATGTCCGGAATGGCATCCCGCATTCCCAGCACGCAGCAGACTCGAGCCTCCACGATAAATGCGATAACAGGCACAGCTTCGAGTCAGGATCCCAACTCTTCTTTGTCGACGAGCCTTAACAAGCAAAGACAATATACACATCTTCATGCACAGCTCGCACAGCTAAATGCCCGCCTTGCAGATACTGAGAACTTGCTTCGCATGACTAGTATGCAGGCTCAGGATATGAGGTTCCTTGGCGGGTATGTGGGTGCTTTGTTCATGGGAGCTGGTAGAGTGCTCGGTGAAGAGAGTGTGAAGGGTCGAGAGGAGAGGAAAGTCTGAGATGACCGTATAACGTCAATGCAGCACGATTCAATCGCCGTAGCATTGCAGCCAGGACAATCAACAGAGCTCCAAGCTGCCCTGCCTCCAAGGCAGTCAAAGAGGACATGGCATGATATGGCGTAGATCACGCAACACATATGCTAATATACCAAGCGCGATTCTCAAGCCTGTAGACCTAGTGTTTCCTACTGGATAGGACACTGACCACGAATGATGAGCACTTGTATGCTCCCTCGAAGACAAAGGACAAGGCCCTGGGACATATCCAGGTTATTCGTTGAACAAGGCTCAGGTCTCTCCTGCGTATAGAGAAGCACAAAGCTCAAACTTTCAATTTCGAAGCTGATGAGCTATTGAATCAACAATGTACATTGTGACCTGTTGCTGAGGTCTTGAGCAACATCCCTGATCTCGAACGACCTATCAATGGTCGACGCCTGCTTTTGAAGCTCTGACAACTGCTCGGGGAAAGCCTGCCAAAAGCTTTGTCATCCATGTCTTCCTAGCTCTTTGACTCCTCGTAGGCTTAATCTGGTAGAAGCCTCAATCAGCAGAACCAAATCCTCGACCCACAAAAGCAGACTCGAGCATCTGAAAACTCATCAATTCGGGAAGCTGCCACAGTCTAGGGGTAATCTTGCTGTCCACAATCTATACTTTGGCGCCACACCTTGTGTAGTGTAGTGGTTTCTTGACGGCAGGACTTCAATGCCAGAGTGGCCGAAGTTGTGCTGATAGGGGCACTGGCGAGCACGACCGTAGTATTCTTTGCAGAATCAATCCGAGGGAAGACGCTAGAACTCTAGCTGGTCGAGCACGAAATCTAGATATCGTTACCGCTGATGACGCTATTACGCTCTTAGACAGAGTCAAAGACTTTTGTCAGGACGAAGACAAGGCTATGGTTCAAACCCTTATCCCTAAGATTCAGCAATACATCAGCCGTCCGTTAACATCTACTAGCGCTGCTGTGCTAGATGGAACATTACAAATAGTTGCAAATTCTCATTTCACTCCTACCTTAGCTGTGGAAACTCCGGGTCTGGTTCTTGAGAACGAAAGCAGTCATGAGCCATATACATACGATCACGTACTGCAACCCCCAATCGACCGCAGCGGCGATACTAGTGATGGACGACGCGGGCTGAAACGCCGTGCAGAAGACATTGGCATCCAAGCCGAGGCTTTTGGAACACTACTCAGCTCGATTAGATCTGCAGATGAGTCCTCGTTGCTGCAACTGCGCGATCTTGCTCGCGATGATCGAGCCATCGAAGAGCTCATTCGAGTTGCGCGAGACATCCTGAGAAGCAACGAGCTTCGCACCAAGAATCAAATTCGATTGAGACAAGCAGTTATGAGTATCGGGACCCTCATTGACATTCCACCTATCCGCATTCCAGCTTCTCCATGGACTCAGGTTACAGATGATGACGACGCTGTCTCACATTCGGTGTCCGTCTATTTTACCTGGCAACATCATGCTTATCCTTCCTTGAATAAGGACGTTTTTGTGGAACATATGATTTCCAGGGATTTGGCCAGCTAGTTCTGCTCGCCTTTCCTGGTGAACTGCATCCTGACGGTGGCATGCGTGCGTAACCACTACTACTTGCAAACCTTTCTGACCCTAGCCAGATGTATACGGACCACCGAATTGCTTTCGCAGATCCGAAAGACTCTACCACCAGGGCAATCCATTTTGTAGAAGAGGCTACAAGACTATGGGGACTCGAAGAAGGTAGAGCGTCGTTGACAAATTTACAAGCCTTTCCCTCGTTGGTTATAAGGTAAGTCATGCTCTTACGAAGTTGCCAAGGTCCTTTTTGACATGCTCAAGCGCGAACACACTTGGAAAAGACCATCTCGGTTCGCTCTATGCAGATCAGTGCGCATCTCTTGCTAAAGATATGACCAAACGTGTTAAGCGGATCTTGAGGCAAGGCCAAACTGATGAAAGTAAAACTTTCCACCAGTCGTGCTGTGCGGCACTCCGAAGTGCTTTCATACTGCAAACGTGAGGCATTGTCTGTCTGAAGAAGGCAACTGCTAATATCATATAGCGACATATATCTGGCGTGGATGAAACCACACGATCTGACACCACCAAAAATAGAAGCCCTATATGAAGAATCGCTGGAAGAGGTTAATTGGCAATCATACCCCCAGAATGGCCTAATTAGAATGCCTTCCACCAAATTGATTGCTGATGAAAAACATCATCTATATACCATCGCAGCGGAACTATTGCCGTTTGTCCTGAGCGGCAATCCTGATGATAGTCCATTGCCTGGCTACACCATCATAGAAGCGAGCGCAAAGCATGACGGACTCCACGACATCGAGCAGCGATTGTCGAAGTGATACCAAGATCTCCATCCCGAATGCAGAGTCCGGAACATGGGCAAAACACCCATTGCTGTTCCGCTCGTTGACCTACAGTGAGTTTTTGAGTCTTCGAGATTTGAAGCTAATTGATCTCAGTCTCGCTTACTATGGTTTTATCATTATGGCTCAAGGCATCTTACTGGGTTCGGCGAGCACCGCAGATCCGGAATTCTCATGTGCCAAGGATAAAATCATCAACGCTTCTAATCATGTTGCCAGTTTGTTCCAAATGCTCCAACACATCACCAGCCAAGGCAATTTCGGAGTCTACTTCGCACACATATCCGCCATAAGCGCACTCATTCTTGTCCAATTCCTCACTGAACCGGGTGTCCCCGACATCTTTCATATACTGACTGTTGTATTGGTATGTGTCTCTCGGCGCTGGGTAATTGTGCGTGGAATTCTAAGGATGATCTGGGCTACACTCACACGGCATAAAGTGGAATGGTACCTCAATGCAGCCACCTCAAGCCTCTTCCATCTTGCTGCCCTAGAAGAGTGGGGCCCGCGAGAGCATCAGTTACTTAAGAAGTGTGCATATCCAAACTACGCTGAAGTGCACGAGAAAGGCCGAGATTATGTGGAGATGGGTGATATACTGCAAGAATATGCTTCTATGCAGATAAGTGGGAGCACAGAAGTAGACCCTTCTATTAGCCGGCCATAACCCTGAACGCCCTTCGAGCAGGGTTGATTTTATCATGTTGTTTCTATCGAAGCGATTTCTGATCCAGGAAGCCTGTTTCCATCCCCTGATGTGTACACATGGATTCGAGAGTCCAGTCATACAACCCTCTGCTTCGAAGAGATGGGGTAAGGCGTTGTTACTATGGCTGTGCGTTTGTTGATGGTTCGCTTACAATGACTTGCTCCAACAAGTGAGGGAGCCTTACACTGCGAGATGACGTTGAGAAAGTGGGCCGCTATAGACGCATCGCTGAGTAAAGAAGGACGGCAGGAGCTGGCTATGTCCACGGGGTGTTTGAGCTCCGCATTGCATCAAGACCATGTAGATCACTAAGGTTGTTCAACAAGGCTAGAGGCTTTCGAAAACTACCAATGTCAAAATCAAGTTCCGTGTACACGAGCTCGATAGCGCGTACTTGCGAGCTCATGATATTACCTATGCACTAGGGTGTCCTCAAGACTCGAGCTGCTGAATGCTGGAAGCTACCTGCTCTTACTCACGTTGCATGAACACGTGCAGATATCTACCAAGGAGTTTTACGCCAATTCTCTTCCGCTTTAAACCCTTCTTTTCTGACCATGTCGTGAAAGAAAGGGAAATAAGAACTGGCTGCCCGTTCTAAATTGTAGGCTTGATGGCTGATGGCGATTAGAGGTCGAAGGGTAATTTTGAGGTTGCTTGTGTATAGCTCTACCTAGGCTAGCGCCCTGAATATCACATCTGATACACTTCATAATTGGCGTGTGTGTCTAGCTCTAGTCGCGCTGTCCATGGTAGAATCGATCCACACCCTACCTCGGGAGAGCGGAATACGAAAAATCAGCTTGACAAGCGACCAGTGTATCTGGCACTGAACAGTATTTTCCGTGCAAGCCATGCACAGCTCTGTAGGAGGAAGAAGATTTGCGAGCTTGGAGACCCGTGAGGTCATGGTCGATCGCGGAGCTATATGTCAGGACGGATGGACAACCGCTGGTAGTCTGCAACGAGAAGAAGAACACCATCTCGTATGCCATGCTCAAGAGTGACGAGGTTACTCGAAGTAGTAAAGACCAAGAGCAGTAAGCTGAAGGCTTGATCTTTAAATACGCCTGAAGGCTTAGCAAGAAGAGCTAGTAATTAAGCTTACACGACACAACCACATCCTGATCAGCAAAATCGTCCAGTCAAAATGTGGCTCTACCACATTCGTAGGCCAGCCGGGTATGTCGATTAGGACAGGCATTAATGTCTCTTCGTAATTACGACTTGACCAACGGCCGGCCTTGTGAGGAGGTTCTGATGATGTGCTCTGATTGGCTGAAGCAGCACCTGCATTTGGCCCAAGGTGCAAAGTGTGTTTAATCTTTTGTCCCTGGGGAGGTACGTGGAAGCTGACAAAACATCCCATTGCAGAGTTACGAATTGCGTTCTATGGTGTCACAAGCACCGAGAACGTAAATCTACACCATGAAACCTCATGTATATCTATCCTGCCGACTCCTGATGAAAGTATCAACAGCAAATTCTTCGTGCCACCACTGAAAGACAACCGTCATGGGTGACTGTACCGCCTCTGGTTGACATATCGGTGCTTGTGCTTAGTCAGTAACTTCGTAGCACAAGAACTTCTTACCACCAGGACCAATCATTGTGTAGCCAGTGCTTGTTGGTGCAGAGGTGGATGGAGATGTACTCGTTGGCGCAGGCACTCCGCTAGTTGTTGCAGTGCCGGAAGTCGAGAAGGAGAAAGATGATGGAGCAGCGGTAGTTTCTGATTGCGACCAGGTGTACCGGCTAGTTGACACTGTAGCAAAGGTTGTCGGCTGTGCAGCACGAGAAGTTGTAGTGGTCGTTTTGCTGGCTGCCTGTGAGGTTCTTGAGGTGGTACTAGTTGCGCTGCTTGCGGATGAGATTCTTTGGGTAGTGGTAGTGCTTGAAACGACAATATTCTTCGTGGTGACTGACGCACTGATGCTGACTGATCTAGACGATGTAGCAGCGACCGAGGTGGAGGAAACTGGTCTGGTAGCTGGTGAGTTGCCACCACCACATTTCAGGACTGCCGGGCCAGGGATGGTGTAAGCCTTGCCACCGTTGTCTGGCTGACCACTGCTACCATAGATGCTGATCTTGATGCTTGGGTCATTCGCGTCGTAAGCACCTGGGAAGGAGACGGTATTGGTGGGTACACAAATGCCGGAACCAGTGACTCTGATACCAACACAAGACATGTAGAATTGCGCACCACCTACGTCGTATGCGCTGTGTAGAGCAATAATTTCACCGCGGAGGAGATAATCACCTGGCTCGAGGCTCGGCATGGAGAAGGACCATAGACCTCCGTTGGAGATGAGGGCTGTAGATACCGTTAGCCAAGTAACGAAGTGGAAGGGTAATCAAGACGTACTATCAACACCCCATTTGCCTGTGGAGGTATCTAATCCCTCTTCTGCTACCTTGAACCACTTCAAACCACTTCCATCGTCAGTCGCAGCATCGTCGACTTTGGCCATGTAGGCAATAACAGGTCCTTTGTGAGAGGCGGCGATCGGATCGTCAGCGTCGCCTGCCGTTGGACCCGAGATGGCGTGGTTCCACTGCATGCCAAACCTGTCACCTGGCGCAATTTCAATGACATTGGTGCTCACGGGGCTATGCAAGGGAGCATTGCAGATAAGAGCTGAAGAGCTAACATCTTGAATCGGACTGTTGGAAGATGGTGCTCGGACAGCGAAGAGGTGGCCTTGCGATACACCATTGACATAGCCAGTGTGAAAGAAGGCATGTGCAGAAACCGATGTGGCGAGAGCGCTGATGGAGAGGATGGCCGAGACGAACTTCGCGACCATTTTAGGTAGTGTTTTCAACTGTTGTCTGCTTAGGCGCCAGAATGAGTCGATGCTGGGGTTGTCGAATGAGAGGATACGAAAACCAGTCTCGAATCAAAAGAATATTTGCCTTGTCTGTATGAAAGAATGAATGAAGCACAGCTTCTGACTTTGAGTGAATGGACGAGAGGGGCTCAACCACGACTCTGTGCTGCTTGCTGGGTTAGTGAAGCAGAACGTTGACACCGACATCAGCTGCTCCTATATATTACCTTCAAATGAGCTGTGGGAGCAACCTCCTTGACAACCTCATCCTGACAGAGGGTCGTATGTCATGTGAACATCCTGAGCAATATCGCCTGCGATGCAGAACTCTTCGACTGATGCCAACAAGCACTCCTGGTTTTGTTGTGGCCATTTCTGAAGCCGAAAGCATGCTAGTCGCCCAAGTTGAAAGCCATTGGTGGCAAGGACAGCATGGTCTGCATATCGCTTAGAAGAGAAGGTATTGTGGCGGCAGGACAGAGGTCTCCAGATCGGAAGATATGGTAATAGTTTCAAGGACTACGAGGTGCTGGAGAAGGGTAGACGACGGACCTCGATAATCTCGGTACTAGTAGTTCATAAAATTAGTGCAAACCAGACATGGCAGCTAATGCTTGGCGTTTCACGTCAGGCCTAGATGCTGGTCAACGACAAGGCTGTGTCATAAAACGAGACAAGTTTATCGTGAAGAGTAATAGCCGATCACCTTAGACATGACCAGTCGGAGGCTGAAACGAAGGCTAAATGCTAAAGAACGCCAGGGAGAGGGCGGAAACACGATTTCATGATTCGCGTGAAAACTGCATAAGCTGAGAAACGGTTACATGCAAACTGGCTGGGTTAGCCGTTCTCATCCTGACAGTCAGGAGCATCGTGTTCTGAGGATCGACGCCTGGCCTTACCAGTCAGATCGTAACGACTTGGCATACCTGTCTCAAAATGTACAGTGTGTCCTCTTTTTCTTGTGACAGGCTCTGTTATGTCCAGGTCTCCTGCTTGTCTATCTGCATGACCAGCGCTCGCGGATCTCGCACCCTTCATAGAGGACCTTCGTGGTTTGGGTGGGCCAGTCTTCATGTCATCGCCACTTTGCTCGCTTGCGCTTGAGGCGGCTTGTGAAGTTGGAGATTTGGACCTTCGCTTGGGTGGTCTGAGAAATTGTGGGTGTGCTTTGGGTAAAGAGGAAAGAAAGTCTTCAGGACCAGCTTCATCGTCGAGTGCTGCCCAAATGTCTCTTTTATCAGTGACCAGTAGGCTGGATGGCGCGTCCGATGGAGTCTGGGAACGCTTTCGCAGCAATGGCGCACTCTCGTCGTTCACGCTCTCTCTATGAGATGATGGCGAGGTTGGCCCAAGGCTAGGTGGTCCGAAAGTACCCATACCAGGCGCGAGAGGAGCTCCAGGTAAACCAGCTTCATGGCCATGGGCAGAAGCCTCTGGTTCGGCATGGTCTAATCTCCAGGATAGAGCCAGGACACCAGCTAACAAAATGACAGTACCTAGAGCGACCAGCCCAGCATCCAAACCGCTAAGACGAGAACCCTGCTGGAAGTAGATAAGGCCGTCGAGTATGGCGATGATATTGTAGATGCAAAAGACGAAAGGATAGAGAACACTAGTACTGCATAGACGCAAGCCCAAGTGCAGATAGTAGAGCTGGATCAGAGCAAAGAAGACCAAGGCTAGCAAAATCAGCCAGGATTCAAAGCGATTGAACTGATTGCGGTGATCGACGAGTGTTCTGACGATTAATTCGACAGCGGACTTTGCCATGAGCAGGGAATGTGCCGAAAGAATACCAGAAATTAAGCCGTAGGACAAGCCACGAATGAGGCGAAGTCTTGCAAGACGTAGTTGCATAGGCCTGGGAAGCGACGAGGTAAATTGACGTTTCGGATGTGCAGACTGAGGGGATCCTGCAGATGAGGACGAACGAGGCCTCTCATGGTGGGTAAACCAGTGGCGCATGATGTGCCTGTGTGAGGAGTAGTATTTCAGCAGATACGAAAAGGCAATGGTCAGGACTGCGACGAAGAGGGTGGCTGCCATCCAGATTATGAAGGGCTTCTCTTTCAGTAGTGCGATGAGCTGAGAAAGGTTATGAGCGGGCTCGCCAATTGCGCCGAAGGTAGCGATCAAAGCTGCGCCTGCGCATGTTCCAATAGTGCCCATAGCAGAATACCTCGTAAATTGCTCCTTCAACAGTAGAGTGGCAAAGGCTGTGTTGAAAACAAGGCCAGAGGCTTGCAAGGTGGACAGAACAGGCAGAGGCAAGGTGGTGATCTGGATGGTGCTTCCGATCAAATTCGAGGACACGAACATGAGCATGCCAGCCTGCCATCTCGGCCGTTTCCAAGCGGGCTTGCGATCATCGTAGTCTTTCTCGTCTTCGCGTAGATGGGACTGTCGCTGGAGGGTCAGGCCTAAGCTCTGGACCGAGGTCGAGATTAGACCAACGAGGATGCCGACCTGTGCTCGTCAATTGGCATGCCATCGTAGTCAGTGGACGAACATACGGCAATGGTGCCTTGCGGCGAAAGGTCACCTAGCCCAGGCATCTTGACCTGTTTTGCGGTGAAGGTGGTGGGCAGACTTTAGCTAGTGCACCTGTCGGAAGCGACATCGTGACATAACATGTAGAGTTGTGAGTTACTGAACCATAAGGAAGGTGAATTACTTGTTGTTGGCTAGCAATGTGAGCTCAGATGTATATCACTGAAAGACAGTTGCAAGTCAGTATGGCCAGTAGAATACGCAGGTGCCAGAATGGAGAATCGAAATGGGAAGGTGACGTTGTTGTCGCAGCGCTTGGCTGCGGCTGCTGGATCTACTGCAGGCCTACCTATCCATGTCTGATTAGCGAATTCTATACAAGTGTGATAGCTCAATTGTTCTTCCTGAGCTTCAAAGTTGCTCAACTCTCTAGAAACTGCATTGCACCGTGTGTGTCTGAATCGGCTAAATTACCACAACTTTGAGAAGGGCTGGCAGCTGCGTCCTTCGCGACTTCCCTGCCTCGTTCAACCACGATAAAGCTTCGAGACTCAGAATCATATCTGTAACTAAACAGATCGTCTTGCCTCTACGGCCAAAAGCTATCCACCACCGCAACTATGTCGGCCCAAGCACTCTCGGACGACCAGGTAAGTCGATCGAGCCTACGAAGATATAACCCAAAAGAGGACGGGAGCTGATGTGTCTCAACGACAGGTCGCCCAGGAGCTTAAGAAGATGACCGCTTTCATCAAGCAAGAAGCCATGGAGAAAGCTCGAGAAGTCCAGCTCAAGGCTGATGAGGAATTCGCTATCGAGAAATCGAAACTGGTCAGACAGGAAACCCAGAACATTGACACACAGTACGAGAAGAAGTTCAAGCAGGCTGCCATGTCTCAACAGATCACTCGCTCTACCGCTGCCAACAAAACCCGTCTGAAGGTACTGCAAGCCCGTCAGGAACTCCTAGATAAGCTCTTTGAGGACGCCAGGAAAAAGATCGGCGAAAAGAGTAAGGACGAGGACTACGGGGACATTCTGAAAGATCTTATCCTAGAAGGCATGTACATGCTGTACGAGCCCAAGGTCGGCCTCAAGTGCAGGAAAGCCGACGTCGACAAGGTCAAAACAGCCGCCGAGTCTGCTGCCAAAGAGTATGAGCAAAACACTGGCGACAAGACCGAGGGCGTGATAGACGAGAAGGACTACCTACCAGAAGATTCGTATGTTCTCAGTTGTTTCTTTTCAAGGTTCAGCACTGACTTCAAACAGGACTGGAGGTGTCTTCATCACAGGCAGCGGCGGTAAGATCGAGCTCGACAACACCTTTGAACAACGGCTGAAGATGTGCGAAATCGAGGCTCTCCCTACTGTCAGAAATACCCTGTTTGGCGCCAACGAGAACAGACATTTTACCACTTAAATACTTGTCAATCCACGTCTCTAACAACCAGCATCGGCGTTCGTCTTGCATCACTATCTGGCAGGCTATGTTTCGTAGCCAGATAGACGGCTCCTTGTGGGATGGGACCAGGGTGCTACAATGAAGTATGCTGCTCGCTCTATAGCCGATCCGGCTATGCCCAGCAAGAGGTACACCCACTGCTCTGCCATAGCCAAACTTCCTTTCCTGGTGGCGATCTGTATCAGCGCGTGCTGTTGATGTGTCTACTTCTTACTCAGCGGATGTGTCAGCTTATGATAGAATGTTTATGAGATGCTCGTTCATCGCAAAGATCGACTTAACGATGTCCTTCCCGTATACCCCGTATACTGCTTCGACCATCCTCCCTTGTTCTTCTGGCTGTGTCAAAAGTGTGCTTTTTTGTACACAATTGATTCCGCTAAACAGTTCAGAGAGGTCATATACCATTATACATGCTGAAGGTCTTCTAACTTGTCTAACTTATTTACCAACGGTCGAAGATATGCCGCATAAATTAGAACTCTGGTACCATTTCAACATGACCAGTCTACAATACATGATAGCTACCGCCATGGCTCAAGGTATAGCCGCTCGACAAGTAGAGCGACATTCACATCTTTCAGACCTTTTTAAACACGGACAATCACCGCACGATAAGGGGGACAAACACTACGTGGCATGATTTCACGTACAACACCTACCAACCTGATCCATTGCGATTCGCTTCTTGAGCAGGTCATGCTTTATACGTTTGCAAATCTTCCTCAAGTCATCGTGTCCGCCGCGAGGTGGTCCAGCCTTGGTCTTTGTAGACCCCTCTGTAGGGAGTGGCTATCATGCTCCTCAATACTTGCCAGTTGTCGTTGGAAGGTGTAGTGGCGTGCTTGACCTTTTGGGAAGCAGGAGCTGCACGGGGATTCGACCAGCTTCCGTATGCTCGCGCACATAGCTCTTGCCGTTGCCTGCCTGCGATCTGACGCGCTGTCTGCTGGAAGGAGCTTGATGGCTTGACTCTGCTTGATGGCTGTCTAGATCTCAGCGGATCTCCTTCGTATCTCTCTGTGTAGGAGGATAGTCAATAGTACCTGGTGTTCCTTCGTATTTAGCTTGTCTTGTATCAATAGCTGGTCACGCCTTCTGCTGCTGCTTGTCGTGATTGCCAAATGGTATCCCAGTGATGTGCTCAAATAGATCTTCTCGTTTGTAGCACTCTTCTTCCTTCTTCTCAACACATTCCACACAGAGCTTCTGGAAAAGTTACGTTACTCATTCAACCTCCTAAGATTTGCTCAATTGTTGTACTTTGCCTATACTCAAATACTATGAGCTTCTAAGCGGACACAGACTGACCTCGTTGAGAAGAGCATCGCCATACCCAAGCCTATTCAGCATAGAAGTTGACTTCTCCTGCCGAGTAAGTAGTGTTGATAACAGACACACTTGTTCTCACTAACCAGGAACATAGTTCAGCATGGATGAATCCACATCTCCAGTTCAGTGCTGTTGCCCGCGACAACGTCGTCAGCAGAGTCAGGCAATGTGACAGCGTGTAGCATGTCACGTCATGTCATCACCCTCTGCATTTGGGTCCGACAATCCTCAAGTGTGGCCCCGTCGTCGACAACCATCTTGGAGCTTCCAAAAGGCTATTCGATTCAGCAGCACACACCGATGTTCTCTTTACCAGAGCCCTCGTCACCGATACCCTCTTGTTTAGGTCTGCAATGCCAGCCCTGCTGAGCTTCAAAGCACAAAAAGGTAGGAGCAGGATGATGATCAATTCATATCTGAGGGTTTCGGTCCGATGATGAGACATATACTTGTTACGATCTGACTCTCCTACTCGGCCATGCGCTGACTCCTACTTTTTGGCTTGTCCAAGTACTTATAGCTTCGCGACGATTGCCAAGACTGTTGCCTAATGGTACCACGGTCGACGAGTGCTCCACTGAGCACATTTGGACTTAAGCAGAAAGTCTTGACTGGTAGGTACTTCCCAGTCCAACATTTCGCATGTATATCCTAAATCGAGCTTCAGGTCATTTGCATATTGAGTCTGTCAATTGAAGTTTGCTGGAAAGATCCTGGGAGAGAGACATGGTGACGGAGTACGGGAGCATGTATGAGGATGGCTCACATCATTTCCTCGTCAAGAATATAATACTAGGAGCGTGCTGGTAAGTGTGCTCGTTTTCCATGGCTGATATCGAAAAATGGCTCGTATTGACTTACCCTTGAGGTTTTGTTGTTGTGAATAGGTTCTGGTCGATTGAGAATCGAGTAGCAGTTTCTGATTACGTCAGTCAAAAGATCTTTTCGCCGGCTCCAATCAATCGCCCTACAGCACGTTGAAAGGCAACGCCAGCATAGTGTGACCTGAGATTCCTTTTGGAGTCGAATGACAACCAACATGCATTGATCAGGCTACAACCCTCGCAAATTATCTAATCCACAGTCTTCTCAATGAGCTCGATGTCGTATTTCTCCTTCAACTCGACAAGTAATGGCTCGGCAATATCCCACGTAACGGGCGCCAAAATGCCCTTCTTGTTAATCTTGCCATCCATCACCTGCTGACAGGCAACAGCACATGGCACACCGACCAATTTAGCCATGCTCGAATAGCCCTTTGGATCACCATAATCTACCAATGTGCTCGTCCGTGTCTCGTTCGTGCCGTCTGCCCATTGGATTCCGAACTTGTGCTGCAGCATGACCATGTCACGCTCACCAGGCTCGTACTGGCACTTCTCTTCTAACGTTGCGCATAAGGTGTCTAGCGGTGTGCCTCGTGGAGTGATCGGCTTGTCTGAGAAGATACCGATCCACTTCAGACCAGAGATAATCTTGGCTTTCTCTTCATTGTCGGCGAACGAGGTCGCTGAGCTGATTGCCCAGAGCAGATCTGGCTCGCTGTGAGAGGTTGCGCCGACGATTTTTGCAGTCGCTTCGGCCCAGGGGATTGGTTTGTCGGAGAGGAAGTCGCGCTTGTCTTCGGAGAGGAAACCGATGTCGACGAGGACTTTAATGAATTGTGGGAAACCTTGGTATCTCAGTGTTCCTCGTACTAACGTCTTGGCTTCGGGGATGTTGTATTTCTCGGCGAAGGGTGTGCTGTCTCTGTTTCCGTATGCGACAAAGGCGAAACCTGGATAGATGAAGTATGGCTTTGCGCTTGCCATTAGTTCTGGACCGCTGTATGTCACTGTCTGTCCGTCTTGGTAGAACGTGGCTGTGTTTCTGAGAGCAAGGAGTACACCTCTACTCGACCAGGAGAATTTGTAGCCGAGTGGATTGTCGCTTGCTTCGGGCGCTGGAAGACCACCGCAGAAACTCTTGAAGGAAGTGATCTTTCCGCCTGCCTTGTGGACTTCTTCGATCGTCTTGACTGCGTAGAGGTGGTCAAGGCCTGGGTCGAGACCGATCTCGTTCAGGACTGTAATTCCTGCTTCTTTGGCTGCAGAGTCGAGCTCCATCATGGCGGGAGAGACGTAGGAAGTTGTGACTACGTTCTTCTTCTTTCGGATTGCGGACTTGATCACGGCTGCGTGGAAGGTGTAGGGGATGAGAGATATGGCCAGGTCGACCTTCTCCATCTCGGCGTCAAGAGCGGCATCATCGTTGACATCGAGGGAAACTGCTTTTGTGTTGGGAATGCCAGAGCTAAGTTTCTGTGCTGATTGAAGTGTTCTGCAGGCTAGGAGTTGTTAGTACAATCTCACCACGATTTCCTCTCTCACTTGCTATAACTTACCGACTGTGACCTCAACGCCAGACTTGGCGAGAATCTCAACTGTAGGCTTGGTGACGAACCCAGCACCAAGTAGAAGAGCTTTCTGACCGGTCGTGGTGGTGGTTGCGGAAGTCCCTCCAAGGTTCAGTTTCTCCTGAATCGACGATATAAGTGATGCCATGTTGCGCAATGTGTTATTGCTTTGTATACAAGATTTTTAGAGAAGTCGTAGTGATCGTATCTTTGTGTATATTTCCCGAAATTTTAATCCCCAAGCAAGCACACGATCGTACTGTGTTTCTGCAGGGACAATTTCATACCCCACTGATGCAATAATCTCAGGGCGACTTCGGAGTTGTGCGAGGGGCCGTACACGTGAAACGCGCTAGGGGATATTCTTTCCGCTCGGCATTTTCGCAACGCGTCTCTACACTCAATACAATAATGTATAACTCATCGGGGAACGTGAGCGCAAGTATATACTGAGGTGCTTAGAGTATTGCGGAAGTTTCGACGTTCCAAACTGCATGACCGAGTCGCACCGCAGCGAGGATATCTATTGGATGTGTGCCAGAGCGAAAACCAGCTTTGTGAGCTTAGACTCTGAGTAGTCGGCAGTGCCGATATACAACCTCCTTCAAAAGTGTCAATGTGATGACTTTGGGACTCTGACAAAACAGAAAGATCTCGTTCTTTGAAAGAGACCGTCCATACCAGTTGGGGACAGGTCTACGTGCTTTTGTGCCTGATTAACACATCTTGTTCCGAGTCGTTATTCGAATGATGCACTTTCACCCACTCCGGTCAAATATTTGTGCATACCATAAAAAGTGTAGCCTTGAGGCAGCCTGGCTGATATTGCAGATCGAGGAGAATGCGGAGATGAAGGGGTGTCTCCACTTGCAGAATGCTCTATTGACCGAATGACTTATAGAGTCTGATGAACCTTCGTGATAACTCACAATTCGTATCTGACCTCAGGACAGGTAGTCAATAACACCAGAAGTCGAAATCCAACTACTTTCACCTACCAGGAATGGCGACCGAACAGCTCGCTGAATGGATACACAATCTGAATTACAGCGACCTACCAGACTCCGTGATTGAAGCAGCAACCCGTTCATTCCACAATTCATTGGGCTGTATTATTGGCGCAGCAGGCCATGAAACAGTCCTGAAACTGAATCGTATGTACAGATATGAAGACCGACCAGCACAATGCACTATATTTGGTCGATCGCGATTTGACGGATTCCACCGGGAAACTACTATCTCCAATGCGATATCCATCAACGGTGTTGCGTCTCACGTGAACGACTATGACGATACTCATCTTCAAACAATCATTCATCCCGCTGGCGCCATCGTCGTCGCTCTTCTCGCGCAAACTGAGTCCTCGCCTGACTGGGCCTGTAATGGTGAGGAATTTATCACTGCTGTCGTTGTCGGAATCGAAACCTCTTTACGACTTGGTAATGCCATCTCGCCTAATCACTACAGTGCAGGTTGGCATATAACAGGTACAGTATCTCCCATTGGTGTCGCAGCTGCAGTCTCAAAGCTTATGCACTTAACCCTCGAGCAAATTGTTTATGCTCTGGGAATTGCCAGTACACAACCTGTTGGACTACGAGTGCACTTCGGCACAGACACAAAAGCTCTTCATGTCAGTCGTGCCGCACAAAGTGGTCTACAAGCCGTCGAGTTGGCACAAGGTGGGTTCACTGCAGCAGTCGACGCTCTCGAAGGACGGAGAGGCTGGGTTGAAGTCCTTGGGCATGGCGCGAACAATCTGAACGAACAGATCAACCAGCTGATGCGACTGACTGAGGAGGCGAGAAACGGCAATCGGCAAAGTACCGAAAAATGGGAGACCGAAAAGAACACCTTCAAGCCTTTCCCTTGTGGCATCGTCATCCACCCGATCATCGACGCTTGCATACAGTTACACAACGAGCAAAAACTCAAGGAGAAACTTGCCACGATCAGTTCTATACATCTACAAGTCCATCCACTTGTCCTCGATCTAACCGGAAAGAGAACACCACAAGACGACCTCGAAGCCAAATTCAGCGTCTACCACGGTGCCGCCATCGGCCTTCTATTCGGATCCGCAACGCCCGCTCAGTACAAAACCAAGGTCGTCCAAAGCCTACAAGTCATTCAGATACGTGACAGAGTAACAGCAGAAGCGAACGAGAAAATTCGCAGCGACGAAGCATTCGTGACAATAAGATTGACCACCGGTGAAGAGATCACCAAGCACGTCGAGCACGCTGTTGGCAGTCAAGATCGGCCGATGACAGACGAAGAGCTCAGGGACAAATTCAGGAAACAGGTCGAGCCAGTGCTTGAGGCTGAACAGGCGGCCTTGCTTGAACGGTTGGCGTGGGAAGTGAATAAATGCGGGGATATGTCTTTGATTATCGATGCTGCGCAATGAATTAGACCTAGGTTAGAGGGGAACACTTTGCTTCGGGTCAACGGGTCGGCGAGCAATATGGTGTGGGACCCAGACATGACAAAGGGAGCGGCAAGTGGGCTTGGATAATAGTTTCAGTCAATCGCCGTCAAGGAAGAGACGTCGCAGGAGGTGAACTTGACCTTCTTAAAGACAGCACAACCGTAAGGACTTCGCTTCGTTGCTCCTACTCTAGCAGAGCCGTCCTAAGTTGGTCCACAATACATGAACGAAAGGCGAAGAGAAAATTCGAACCCCTGCTATACTACCCTATTACCTCCACCATTTCTCAATACCAGATTCACAGCAAGTTCTGCCACTGCTACACCACTACGTGCTTGAGTTTCCACCGTCGAAGCACCAATATGCGGCGTCAGTATGACGTTCTCATGGCTGAGCAGCGAGCCGTAAACCTCTTGAGTCGGTGGCTCAACTTCCATTGCATCAAGTCCTGCGCCTAACAATTTGCCTGAATCCAGAGCCTCGAGCAAGGCAGCCTCGTCCACAACACCACCTCGAGCACAGTTGAGGAGGATGGCGTCTTGTTTCATTTGCGCGAACTCTCTACGAGATATGAGGGCAGTTGTCGCTTTCGTTAATGGTACGTGAAGTGAGACTACGTCTGCCTCTTTGAGCAGGTCTCCCAGATCATGAACCTGTCGCATTCGAGACCCGAAGATATCTGACCACGAAGAGCCCTTGTGATTTGGGTCGTATGCGATGATGGTACCTTCCATGGCTGCGAACCATTTCTTAGCGAATGCTAGGCCAATGTTGCCCATGCCTGCGATACCGAGCACTTTCCTGGAAAGACTTCTGCCAAGAGTTTGACTGCGGATGACGGTCCTCCTGTCTCGTATAGCTCGATCGACCTCACAAACTCTTCTGGCAAGACATAGTGCCAACGACAGCGCGAGTTCTGCGACAGCTTCGCTGTTCAGACCAGGCGTGTTGTATACTTCCACACCTGCCTTGACTGCTGCATCGAGGTCGATATTGTCGACGCCCACACCTTGTTTGACGGCGTATTTGAGCTGGCTATATTTCTCAAACTCTGAAGTTGTTAAACGTGAATCGCTGCGAAGCATGACTGCATTGGCTCGCTCGTAGATAATTTCTTGCGAAGAGTCAGGCCGTACCAGTACTTCGACTTCATCGTTGTTCTTCAGCTTAGCAAGAGCTTCAGGATGATAAGGGTCCAGAACGGCGATTGTTGGCTTGATCATTTTTGCAATCGTGGCGGCGTTGTGGTTGAGTATTTTCGAACAACCTCTAGCTGTGTGTATGTCTTGATACTAAGTTCGGATCAGACCGGTTGAGGTAGGTGGAGTCAGGTGCGGAAGGTGGACTCGGCCCGGATGTTTTTCTGAAACGATCTCAGTCCTCCTCATATGCATGCTCACCACAAGTTCAGGCCCTGTTTACCACTCCTGCGCGGATCTCCTCCGGATCTCATCACAAAAGAAAGCTCTGGCAACGCGAGTTCGTCGGCAGTTCCTCGAGTTTCGTAGAGGTACTCGACCCGTATCAATGTTAGTAAACAGCATGTAATCAAAACCAAGTCACCACACATGCTGGTCAGCACATCAGGTACGACAATTTCTGATGCCCTTCTTAGCATCCTCATAGAGTGTTCTTGTCTGAATCAGCATATAGGCTTGAAGCTGCAGGAGGCAACGAGGGAATTCTGTCCACAGCCAGATCGTAAATGTATGACAGCCAGCTCAGCACATATACCGCACATGGAAACCTACCTCGATTTCTTGCGCTGTCAATCTCATGATAGATGCCATACCGAAAATGCAGTCGTCTTCATTTCATGTTGTCGAATATCTTCAGTACTGTTCGTGGGGAACCCAGGAACCTGCAGGTCAAGTCTTCAAGTGAAATACGCACGATTGTCAACAGCGTTTCCATGACTCACAAGAGCACCGCAGGTGCCAACATCTGGCAAGAGCGTTCTGAAAGTCGTAGTTCTATTTGATCACACCAATGCAGGAAAAGACGATATACCTAGCTCGATCGGAGTGAGGTCGCAGAGCAAATTATAGCTCGGTACACAGATCTAGTACACTCGACCTTGAAAGAAGTCCCGGCGAGGAGAACAGGCAACCACTGTAAATTCGACTTGGAAGTCGCGTTGGAATAACACGAAATTGACGCGAGCTTGTAAAGATTTACGGTGGTCCGTATGACCAGCTACACAGCTACACAGACACCATCGATGACTTCAATACAAACATCAATCCCTAGATAAATAGTGACCGAGTCATTGGTGTGAACGAGGTTTTGACAAATCGAGGTCAAGTCTTTACGTGTCAGAATTGCCACAGAGATGTATACTTGAAACATGGTTCTTTAGTTATGTACGAAGTTCCCAGGATCAATCTATGGTTTAAGAATACAATTATCAGTTGACCTCAACTCTTCGCCATTTTCCAACTCAACGTAACTCAACTTTTTACACGATTCCATAGAGTTTCTTACATAACAGGTAGCATCCAAGAGCGAAAACGAACAAGAAGCCAGTGATGCCCCAGAACCACCACAGACTATCGACATCCTGACCAGGTACCTTGACGTTCATACCCCACATACCACAGATGATGTTCATCGGCAAGACAATCGTACCAAAGACAGTCAACTTACTCAAGACATCACCGGTCTGCTCGGATCGCTCGTTCATGCGGATGCTGACCTGCGCAAGGTAATTGCTGTGTGCTCGACTAAGCAGAGTTTCGTAGTGGCCAAGATTGGAAGTCATGGTTAAGATGTGGTCCTGAATATCGCCAAGGTAGAGACCAATTTCACTTTTGGGTGCAACGTCCCATTGCTCGTTGCATCGCTTTGCGAAACCTTTAATCACATCTGCCTTGGTTCCGAGTAGGCGGTAAAGGCTCATGACTTTCTTTCTGGTCTCACCCACTCGACGCAGCATGTCGTATCCACTAGTATCCCGCTTATCTTCTCCTTTACCGAACGGCAATGAGAATGAGAACGTACTAGATTTGTCATCCTTAATACCATTCTTCTCGTTGTTCTCTTTCTTTAGCTTCTCATCGCCAGTCGCGTCTTTGTTGACTGCAAAAGCACCTGGGGTGTAATCCAGCACAGACTCGTCGATGTCATCAACTTCAACCTCAATATTGTGGATCATAGGCACGTAAGCATCAGTGATATCATCGATCATGGCGTAGCCTACCCAGTCCGAAGAAAGGATAAGATAGTCCTTGAGTTGTCTGATTCTCCGTCTGACATTTGCGGGATGTGGTATTTGTCCGAAATGGAAAGTGAGGATGCCATATCGAAAGACGACGATGTACACATTGACTGGTTCGAGATAGTCCTCGGATTCAGTATCTTGCTCAAAGGTACGATAATTGATGAAGTAGTAATTCTTGAACAACTCCACCTTTTCTCGGGCTTCTTGCATAAGAATATCCTCTTTGGTCAGTGGATGCAATCCAAAGGCCTTCTGAAGGACAGACATTTCGGCGTCGGTGGGCGACATCACATCGAGCCAAAAGGTAGGACGAGGGCCATACTTCGTTGGCTTTTCCTTCTTCTTTGGTGCGGAAGTAGATCCAGCGTTCTGTTGTGCAAGTTCGCCATGGTCAATTGAACGAGCCTTGCTGGGCGCACGAGAACCCGAGCTCGACTTGCCCTGCTGGCGGGTGTGGCGAGCCGACTCGAGTTGAGATGGTTCTTGAGATTGAGATCGCTGTTGAAGAGTGCTAACTTGGCTTAGTCGGGATTGAAGGTGACCAGATTCGCCTTCTCCATTCTTGGGACTGGTAACGCCTGACGACTTTGCACCATTGAGAGGGGCAGGAATCGAGCTTAAGTCAGCATCGGATTCACTCGAGCTTGACTCATCTAACTCGGGTGGCTCGGGGATGAACAGCTCCCTGAAACAACCACCTTCTGGAACCAGTTCGGAGATTGTGGCCGCGTGAATTGTGCTCTCGAATTCTTCATTGAAGTAAGTATAGCGCAAAGGAGCGGCCTCCTCGTCTCGATGCCAAGCTTTGGGCTTAGAAGGACGTAATCTGCCTTCAACCATGACAGGCTCGTTGATACGTCTCATTCGGCGTTGATCTGCGGCCCTGTCCTCCTTCTCTTCCCGAGACCATTCGTCCAGTACCCAAAGCTGTGGCCATTCTCGCTTCCTCCTCCGTGGACGACTGTAGTTGGTTTCGTCCCTAGAACCAGTTTGTTCAAAGTCCTCCTCTGCCATTTCGGACATGGCCTCAGAAGGAAAGCAAACATCCGCATCAGGACCATAAGTCATTGCACGTTTATGGCGGGTCATGCCTTCTGGAGCAAGTCGAGGGCTTGGTGGAGCTGAATTTGGGTCGCCATCCAACAGTTCCTGTCTGTCAATGTCGATCAAAGCATCTCCAGCGAATTTGTTCTTGATGTTTCGAGAGCTCGACAAAGATCTTTTCAAGAAGCCGGGTTCAGGCATCATGGGGTCATCGGCTGCCCCAACATGTGGACTACCAGGAACAGAGGGCGGGTTATTGACGTCGTAAGGAAGATTGTCTGAGTATTTTGGAAAGGAGTTACCAAGATTGCCCATGTTCGATCGTGTTCTTTTCCTGGCACCAGAGGATCTACTAGAACCTCGAGTGTCCGAACGATGCATACCATATCCAGATTGAATGACTGGACTTCGATGGCTCTCAGAAATCAAGGGGGTTCGGTCGGTCGGATCGTCTTCATCAGACTCATCTGAGTGTCTAGAAACAGTTCTTCGACGAGCGTGGTGACGGCTATCGTGACTACGCTGTCTCGCACTGGCACCAGCCCTCTGAGCAGCAAGCACATTGAGACGACTCTCCCTTCTTTGTCGCATAGGTTGATGATTACGATGATCAAGTAACGCGTCGCTATCCACACTTTCAGTGCTCCTGTTACTTTTTCTCTTGTAGAACGACTCCCCTGGTCGCATGGGACCACTATCTTGTTCCTCTTCGTCGATGATGTTGTCCATGTTGCTAGCTATACCCGAGGTTTCGGAGGGAGGAGCGGCGAACGACTGTCTTCTGTTCCTTCTCTTCTTTCCACCACGATGTCTACGCTTCTTGGAGGGACCTGTTGCAGACGAGGCAGTACGGGCACCTTGAGCAGACCCGCTCCCGTCTTCGGCAGGCAAGACGTTCAGAGCTGGGCGAGTTGTTGATGAATCTGTCTGGTCGCGTGCTCCAGTCATTGATGCAGAAGACTGCGCTTTGAGTGGCGGAGGTAGAGGCTGCATGATAAGTTCCCGACCTTATTGCTCAAAAGGCAACTCCGCTTCTGCGTTCTCTGCCCAAGCCGCTAATCAATTGCTTGAGCTGGACGAGCGTGGTATGTTACCATGTGAACCTTGAAATCGATGCAGTGATATGTCAGATAGTGAAAGCTCTCCTTCTCAACACGTGAACAACGCCTTGGTCAGACTCGGGACCTCCAAAGACGATGACGATTGGCAAGCACAAACAAGCTCGAGTCGACAAGAAGTTTGCAGAAGCTCCACTGAATTTCGTCTGTGGCTTGTATGTGAAAAGTCTTGGGGATTGGTCGAAACCTGTCAATCACCGTTTCGCTGACACGGGGCCTTGCTTTGCTTGTGACACGCTCGGCAGGCACGGCTTTGCTGAATGTTTGTTTATTGGAGAGCACGTTTCTACGAACACTCCGCTGGTGGTTCGGAAATTCCTCGACGCATCGTATGCCTGAGGCAGGACTCGCACAGGATTCAATGTTTGACGAATTCGCACGCATTCCCTCCAAGCCTTCCTCTACGCGTTTCGTACCTCTTCGCTCCTCATCATGCCGCTATGTCCTCCGTTACTGCACACGCTTCCTGCTTACACTCCCACCTCAGGCCTGTCGTCTTGCATAAAATTAGGTGATATGTTCTGTTCTTGACTAAAAGTGATTGATGACTGACTTCAACGACATTGATAAATCGCAGTGCAGTGGTATACTTGCCGCTCGACCAGGATACTTTGCATTCTGTTAGCGGCATATTTGTTCTAGAATCAAGCAGCCACGAATAAATCCTCCATCTTTTCTACATCAACATACTGCGAAGAATCAACAGATTGCGGTCAATAGACAATCGATCAATTCATATCTCATGCGTATCTACCAAAAAGCCATTTAATCAGTCAATCGCTATCTACTCCTCAACAACCATGTAATGATGTACATCCATTTTATGTACCTCTAGCCACATTGCCCGCCCAACACCACTATCCGAAAGAAGTTGTCCAGGTCATAAAGTCGTGAATAGAATATGTTCAAAAGCAAAGTACAACCGGCATCATCTTTTCGTACCCAAGATAAGTGATGATGCAACTTGATATCCAAGAAACGTGCCAGATCGCCTGCTAAATTTATTCTGAAAAGCATTCCATACGCCTATCCGACTCTTTGAATTTCGAAAAGCTTCAAATCAAATCACATTCCCCTCTTGCACACCACTCATCGCACCCAGACTATGGGTACTCGCCATGGCAGCCTGACTCATCCTGCTTTGAGCTCTCTCCTTCTCTTCTCTCCCACCACCTGATCGTCTGGATCGTTTCCCCTTTTCAGGTCGCGCCACAAGAACCTGCGCAGGACAAACGACAATCTCTTCTTCTCCACCACCTTCGTCGCCGCCTTTCTTCACCACGAGCGGGAACAGAACCATTCGCACGATCGCCTGTTGAGCTTCGAGTTCCTCGTTACTGCTTGTTTCGCCAGATCGTTCGTTCATGAGGCTGGCGTTGAAGAAGACTTTTCTGGCTAGGTCGCCGTTGGTGTCGTACTCGGGCTGTAGAGGTGGTAGCATGATGTATTCTGCTTTTTGAGTGCGCATCTCAATTGATAACTTGACGGCCGTGCGCATGACGTTCTTGAGGCTGTCAAAGATTTGTTGTTCCAAGTTCTGGGGTGGCGGTAGGAACTTGGAAAGGGTTTGTAGGATTTCGGTTGCGACGGCATCGGTGTCTGCATCCTTTTGTGTCTTGAAGGATTGTCGCTTGGCGAGCAAGGTCAATGTGAGTGCTCGCCATTGCTGTACAGCTGACGCAGGACCGACTTCGGCGAGGTTCTTCTCGAGCTGTTTGAGTTTCTGTCGTTGCTCACGATCCATACCAAAGAGGTATCTGGTGAAGACAAACTCCCAAATCATGGTCATAACCACCGACATGAAGACATCGCGACGTTTGACTCGGTCGGACAGGAAGTCGTCCACATCCGAGCCATCAAGAATTGAATTGTCGAAACGGTCAACAATCTTTTCGTCGCGAACCTCACTCGTAGAGCGACAGACTCGGGTATCGCTGAATTTGCTGAATCGCAGGACCCATTGTTTGACGTGCTGACACAACTGCTGGCACGCAGTGTCGAAGTAGTCCTCGTCACGTACAACGACAACTTCATCGACACCTCTAGCCAGAATCTTAGACTGCAAGTCTCTGATCTTGGCTCTTGCGACCTCCAGATCACGGCGCAATCTTTGTAGCTCGGCATCCTTGTCGGCAAGCGCGTCTTCCAAGTCGGTGGTTTGGGCAGTAACAGCGGCACCAACTTGGGCAGCAATGACACCTTCCACACCTCTCGAGACTGACTCATGCTCGCTCCTCAAGTGCTCGAGGTCGCGACTCGTCTCTTGAAATCTGGCATGCGCTGTGTCTTTCTCGTTGAGGAGAAGGGTATATTTGTTCTCGTGCTCTTCTCTCAGGGCGTCTCGAGCTGCAGCAATTTTGCCAATCTCCTCTCTCAACTGTTCGATCTCTTCATCGCGTAGACGGAGCTGCTCATTCACAGTGCGAAGGGCTTCTTCTGTCGCAGAATCGGCTTTGCTGTGTTCGAGGTGCAAATCTTCAATGTGTCGTTCGGCGAGGGCTTTTTGTTCAAGCAGCCCTCTGTTCTCATCGGCAAGTTGATCGACGCGTGCTTGCAGATCGAGGACTTGGTTCAGAGACTGTCGCTTGCGCAAAGAGGGAGGCCGTGAAGGAGATCGAGGAGAGGAAGGTGCAGCGCCATAGCCGTTATAACTCTCGGCCATCGAGGCGCTTCTGTCGCGTGCTGCACCATCAGCCGACTGAGGCTGCTGTGGTTCTTGAGTGTCACTGAACTGGCGCAGGTTCCGCAACGAGTTCGTTCGCGATTTGCTGAGGGATCCACCTACACGTTCACGTGATAAGAGTGCTGCCCCACCAGCAATTCCTAGTGCTGCTGCGCCCAAGGCAAGACCTGTATTCTCATCGATGGTACCAAGGCTGCTGCTGCCTCTAGGCGAGAAAGGTCGCTCATTCGAGTGCCGTGGAGATGGGCTGAAAGCTTGTCGGTCAATATCCTGCGTTTGTACTCGGTCGAGTAGATTTGACGATAGTCCTTCGGGTTTTCCTGCTCGAGGTGAAAGAGGTGACCCTGCGACTGCTCGAAGATTACCAAACGAATCTTTCTGTGATCGCAATGAGGTTGGCGATGTTGTTGACTCTCGAAGATTACCGTAGCTATCTCGGATCATGCGCATGCTAGGACTCACTCGCCGACTGCCGACTGATGACCCGGATCGAGGCTGTACAATCTCCCCTGATGTTCTTGGTGTCGTCGCCGATTGCGTTCGTAAGTGCGCAAGTTCGGGAGGACCTCTAGATGCGCTGTCTGGTCCAGCTGGTGACGACTCGAACAGAAGAGAGTCTCGCTCCTTCGAGGTTGGTTCTAGCTCAGATCTTTGTCTTCTGTGCTGCGTGGAGAAGTCGCCAGCTGGTGAGACACTGCCTGACGAGCTCGCGGTAGAACGAGGTCGTAGTGATCGTAGTGGTTCACTTGCTTCTTGTATCATTTGCTTGCCATGTTGTGGAGGAAGCTGAGGACTGCTCGGATAGCCACTATCTCTGTCTCGAGGGAATACATGCTGTACGTCTTGAGGTGAGTCAAATTGTACACCGCTGTCTCGCACTGTCGGTTGACTTTGTTCGACGTTCGCAAACGACCATCCAGGAGTTTGTATAGCTGGAACATTTCGTTCTGACTGTATACGACCACTTCTCGATTGGCCGGCATCAGCTACTGCACCAAGACCAAGTCCAGCTGCAATGCCAAGCGCGGTATCCATAAGATCGTCGTGATCCGGAGGTGGTGTCAGAGCACGGTTTCGCGGTAGATCGTCAGGGTCGTGCTCTATCGTCAATTGAGGCGAACGTCTTCGTCGTCGACGCTCTCTTGTCGTCTCACTCACTTGCGAGCCGTCGCTATCCTCAGCAGTTGGTACTTGTTCGATTGCGATTGGTTGACTTGTCCATTCCTGTGATGCTTTTCGAGGTATATTCTGTTGGGCTGTAGACATTTCTTCAGCTTCTCGCTGCTCCGATATCGTTTCAATATCTTCATTGGCATTCGCCCTCTTGGGCTTCTTCTCCTTCTTGGACTTCTTACTGCTCTTGCGCGACAAAGGAGTTTCAGGTTCCTCCTCTTGTGGCATCCTCACACCTTCTGACTTTTTGAATGGCACCTTGTAGAATTCCTCTGGGTCTGGTGATTCTACTTGAGCCTTTTGCTCTTTGACTACCACGTCTTGCAATGGCATTAGCTCTTCAAGCGCAATTGTTTGAGACCGTGATGCGCTTTGCTCCGCCTCCATTGGTTCTGGGTCCGCCAAGATCGTTCGTTCTTGTCTAGGCGCAAAGTTTCGATAGAAATCTTCTACATCTTGCTCAGGTAGTGCCACCTCCGCCATACCGGTATCTTCGTCCATTGCACTTTCTGATTTGAATGGTGCAGGCGGTGGCATTCGCACTTCCGACTCATCAGCTAATGGCTCATAGCTGCTGGCTGTGGCAGAATTTTGATTTTTCTTTTTCTTGTCCTTCTTCGACTTCTTCGCTGTTGACAAAGCCCACTCATCCTCGACATCCTGCTCAATTGCAGGTGTGACGGGCTGAGGATCGTCAGTAAGTAACGAGTCCTCTGCAGAAATTTCTCGTGCAGCTTTGGTTGCTGGAAGTGGTTCTGGCGCGGATGCTTCAACAGAGTGTGGCGTGTCGATAGCTTCTACAGCTTCAGACAGCACAGGTTCACTAAGTGCTTCCTTAGGATCTTGCATTTGAGGCTCTGCTTCGACCATGTTGGATTTGCGTTTCTTTTTGTCCTTTTTGGACTTCTTGACAGGAGTAGCCATTGCCCATGCATCTTCAGCGGCTTCTGCTTGTTCCTCTATTGCTGGCTCAGAAATTTCTTTGCTGCCTGCTAACAGCTCAGCTACCGCCACAGGTTGCGCTGGCTGCTCGACTTGTGCAGGGGTGTCCACAATGTCCTTGTCGTAAACAAGATCTATGTCGGTCTCGATGGCTGGCGTGGAAACTCCAGAACTCGGTTCGGCAGCGCTCGACTTTCGCTTCTTTTTCTTGTCTTTCTTTGATGCCTTTACCGGTAGAGCCCATTCGTCTTTTTCGACCTTCACTTCCGCAGCTCGTGCTGGACCAAGTAACACTTCAGGCTCTGTCGCAATGTGTTGAGATTCTGCATCCACAAGCATTGGCTTTTCCCCACTCTTGACCAATGCCTCCATGGTCTTCTCATTCTCAGCCAGAACAGTAGGTTGTACTTGATCATCCTCCATTGCTTCGTTGTTGCCCCCGCTGGCTTCAGTATGGGAAAGCTCAAGCGGCTCGTCATGAGGTAAAGAGGTACCAGTTTCTAGATCGGGGACATCAACATCAGACTTGCGTTTCTTCTTCTTGTCCTTCTTCGACTTCTTAGTCGGCGCAGACCACTCATCCTCTGGCTCTTCAAGTTGCCTGTCCGTGCTACCTCTAAGTTGTTCCATCGCCATCTCTGCTGGAATAGCAACAACGACTGGAGTTGAGTGAACGTCTTTCAAGGTTGATTTATTAGCGCGCTCGTCAGCGACAGGCACATCAGCTGTGGTCTGGTCTTCCTGTGTATCGGTGTTGTCAAAGCTTGGCTGACCCTTCTCTACGGGGTCGATAACTGGCTCAGGTTCATAGACATCGGCTGGCGTTCTGTCGTCTGTGACTCTTGCTGAGGCATCATCTTGACCTGACGCTAAGTCTTCTTCCTGCTTCGCCACGAGGTTTGCCGCTTCGCTTTGGATGGAACGGTCAAAAGAAGTGTCGGTGTTGTCGCGCATAAGTCCTTCCTCCATTAGTGTGTCTTTCGCGACTGCATCCATCTGGCCTTCTTCTGCGACGGCGTCTTCGTCCACTTTTGGAGTGTTCATCGCTTCCTCGATCACTTCCGGTTGGTGCGTTGGCTCGTCAATGACCTCTGTCGAGTCTCGTCTAGACAGTGATTGTTGGGTAACGTCCTGTGCTTTCGTCTGATCTGCCGATTCTGCCCGTGGTTCCGCAAGAGAGGGCTCAGTCTCGCCGAATGTCGAAGCACGTTTGTTCTTGTTCTTGTCTTTCTTCGACTTCTTCGAGGTAGGCTTGGTGTACCACTCTTGCGACTCTTCAGCTGGCGTAACCATGGCAGGGTCATTGAGAGTAGCTCCGAAAGTATCCGTAGCCTCACGTGCAGGCTCTTCAGTTGCGTCTCTCTGCACTGCCTCTATAGCCCTCTCTTCCGCAACAGTGATGTGCGGCTCGGAGGACTGGACTTCGAGATCGATCGATGGTTCCACGGGTCCTTGGTCGGGCGGTGCTGCCGCACCTCTAGGCTCCTCGTCTGCAAGAGGGTCATTGTCAACTGGTTTAATTGCAGGTTCGGCTTGCAGCAAATATGATTCAAGATCTTCTTGTGGAGTTGAGATACCACTCTCGTCGGCTGTGGACACTGCTCGGCTGCCCTTCTTCTTTTTCTTGTCCTTCTTTGTCTTCTTTGCAGTTGCAGGTACCGACCACTCGTCCTCTACTTCCACATCAGTTGCAGCAGGATCTACAATGGTAGGCTCGATCGGAAGTGTAACAGGATCAACAGCTTCCGACACAGTCTCTTCGAAAGTGTCAGGCTCGACAGGGTCAACAGGAGTAGGCTCATCCATGTCGACATCTCCAGTGACTGACTGCGAACGACTCTTCTTGCCCTTTTTCTTGTCCTTTTTCGCCTTCTTGACTGGCAGTGCCCATGTTTCGTCGCCTGCTTCATCGATTGTCCGAGCTGAACTCTCGGGTTCAGTAGGTTCATGGGAAAGCGGATCTGGCGTTAGCGCGGGCGCAGGATCTGCAAGAAGGAGTTGATCTTCGCCCATAGTGACAGATTTCTCGACTAAATGCTGCCCTCGAACTACGGGCGGCCGTGTGGGTTGACTGTCCTCGGATAGGTCCAGGTCGACAAGCTTTAGAGGTGCGGCTTCAACTTTCGTGTACTCGGAAGTGGCTTGAAGTGCTGGAGACTCAGGCAGAGGAACTGATTGTGCTTCTTGAACTATGGTTGGATGTGTTGATGGTTCGTATGCGGTCACTGGTGCTTGATCCTCCTTAACCATATCTCTTGAGGACGGCATTTCACTTCCACTGTGAGGTGGAATCTTCTCCGTTCGTATCGTCGCTTCGGCTGATGCATCGGCAGGAAGATTGGCAGTCTGGACGTCTTCAATCGCTGGCAGTGGGACATCTGGCACGATGACAGCTTCATCCTGTACGTTTTCGACAGAATCTGGAACCGTTTCAGGTAGTTCTGATTGCTCAGTTGGCTCATCTTGCAGTGTATACTTGCGCTTTTTCTTCTTGTCCTTCTTTGACTTCTTCGTCAGCATGGACCATTCGTCCTCTGCTGCTACAGGTTCTGGCTCAACAGGAGTTTCTTTTTCCAAGGGCAACATCGCATCCACCGTCGTGCTGGGTCCTGAGACAAGCTCGGCCATAGCTTCGGGGATGGCACTCAAAGTGTCATGATCCTTGGTTTCCGGGAAGGACTCTATCTCTTCAATTTCCTCTATGGCTTGAGATGGGAGGGGAATTTCTTCGGGACGATCAATATCCGATTGTACTGGCTCGTTCTCGAGCCCACGCTCTGAACCCTCGATAGGTGCGGTAGTTGGAGCACGCTCAATATAGGCTTCTTGCTGTCTCGCTTCGGGCAATAGAGATATTGCATTGTCCTCGTCAGGAACAATTGGGTCTGCCGTTGTAGTCGGCTCATTTGCATTTGAAGCGATAGGGTCGATCAGTAGGGATTTTTCAGCTGCCATCTCTTCAGCTTCCGCAACGGGCGTCGCAGGCTCGCTCAAATCGAATGGAGTGGTCTTCTTCTTTTTCCTCTTGTCTTTTTTCGACTTTTTGCCCGAAGTTGAAAGAGCCCACTCATCGTCATCTTGGTCTTGGGTACTGACCACTGTAGGCTCTGTGTCGATGGGTCGCTTGGTCGGCTCGTCCGAGCTCGTTGAAGGTTCGACGGGTGTCGTGGCTTCTGCAACGAGTGAAAGATCTGAGGCCGCTTTTGACAGGATGGTTGTAGGTTCATCTAAGGTTGGCTCTTCATTCAATGTCACAATTTCTTCCGCATCTGGAGCAGGAAGGCTCACATCCTTGGCCGTCACTTCCTCGGACACTTCTACTGGGTCGACTGTAGTAGGTTCTACAGCCACGACTGCATTAGCAGATGCCTTCCGCTTCTGCTTCTTATCTTTCTTGCTAGGAGCCGCTGATGACCATTCATTTTCAGATACAATGTCAGTGACCTGTGTGGGCAAAGTAAGCTCATCCTCAGCAGCCACATCTGGTTCTCGCTCAGCAGTGTCAAACGATCGCTCTTCTTTGGTAGCAGGTTCAGGCAAGGCCTCCTCGGCTAGAGGTTTCGGAGTAGAAGGCGTCAAAATGACTTCCTGTACAATAGCAGCTTCGTCTTCGAGCAAGGACTTGCGCTTTTTCTTTTTGTCCTTCTTGCCCTTTTTGCTCGAGGAAGAGAAACTCCATTCGTCCTCGACTACTGGCTCAGCATCCCGGTGTGGTTCTGTTTCATCCAACGCGAAAGCATCTTCGAACTTCGTTTGTTGAGGAGCTGAGTCATCGATCCCAGTCGTGCTAGCGATTGCTTCAGCTGCTGCATCATCAGGCTCCGGCAGAGGCGTAGTGGTTGTCGTTGAGATGGCTTGTTCCTCCAAAGGCTCATCCTGCAGCACAGATTGCCGCTTCTTTTTCTTGTCCTTCTTCGACTTCCTGAAGCTGGAAGGCAGGACCCATTCCTCCTCTGGCTCTGGAGCCACAGAGTCAGCCACTTTAGCTTGCTCGACTGATGTATCATTGTCCGCAGGCATAGTCGAGAGCTCTTCTTCATTGACAATCTCGGCTGCATCAGGCTGAGGGACGAATTCTTGAGGGAGCTCAAGCTCCTCCGTCACTGCTACTTCGCGTGCAAGATCTTCTTCGGTCGCGGGCTCAGGAGTATTCCCAGCCATAGGTTGTCGCTTCTTGTTCTTCTTGTCTTTCTTGGGTTTCTTGCCCACAATTGGCACAGACCACTCGTCCTCAGCTGCTTCGTCAATTTCTGTGGGTGCTTGAACTGGAACATCGTCATGTATCGTATAATCCCCTTCCGCAGGCTTCAGAGTATCGGTCTGCAACGCCTCTGTGGTCGAGATTTCGGTTTTGGGCAGAGATACAGGCTGGGCAGTTTCATCGTGCTGGATGTCGGCCAGTGGCTCGTCCCTCAAGTCGACAGCGCCGGAGTGCTCTTGAGCTTGCTCTTCGTTTGCTGCGACGGCTGCACGTTCGGTCTCGACTGTAAGTGGTGCAGTCTCGAGTTCATCGATGGCTTTGACGTCCAGAATCTCATCGGTAGGAGTGGTTTCCACCTCGACTTGTATCTTATCAGCTGATTGTTCTTCAGCAATGTTCGTCGGCTCATCGACAATGAGATTCGCTGTTTCATCACTTAGCGCCAGCTTCTCATCTTCTGTGACTTCAGGCAACGGCTCGTCAGCTCCAATTACTTCGGAAACTGACACCTCAGCGGTAGCGTCTACTTCAGCAGGAATGGTCGAATCGGTTATGAGTGGGCTTGACTGCTCTTCAGCTTCGGCATCAGCGGTGAGTGACTTTCGCTTCTTTTTCTTGTCCTTTTTCTTTCTGCTTGAAGACGACGAAAATCCCCATTCCTCATCTTCAGGCTGAACGTCAGTCGTTCCGGTTATAGGTTCGGATACCGCTGGTTCTTGTTCTGTCAGCTCTCGTGCTTCGGGGTGGACGAGATGTGGCTCGTCAACGGTTTGTGTGCCTTGGACCTCGGATTCTGCTTGAGTGCTTTCAGAAACTTCAACATCCTCGAGTTGCATAAACTTTTTCTTCTTTTTATCCTTCTTGTCTTTCTTACTCTTCTTGCTCGAGCTTGGTAGTGCCCATTCGTCGTCTTCAGGCTTAGCAGCAGGCACTCCAGTGTTTTCAATTGTTTCAGGAATTGCTTGACTCGTTTGATGGTCCGAATTGGCATCGTGAGGGACTGTTTGAGCAATCTCTCTTGATATTTCGATTGTGCTGTCAGGCTCGTCTTTGATAGTGGCTGGTTCATCGACAGGTTGGACAGAATCATCAACAGGTGGTTCTTCTGCAACGACAGTCAAAGCACCAGTAGGCTCAACAGCAGGGTCGACAAGGGTTTTCAATGGCGCGACCAGTGTGGCTAGTGGCTCAATTAATGTTTGTAACGGCTTGACTAGAGCTACCAATGGCGCGTCGGGCAAGATTGATTGTCGCTTCTTTTTCTCTTTGTCCTTCTTGCTCGTCTTGCTATTGCTTGATATGGACCATTCAGTGTCGTCTGCTTCGGTGACCTCGGGCTCCGCATCGTCCACTTCAATAGGTAATTCTGCCGCTGCCGGTTCCTCTTTCTCGAGCTGTACCTTAGGCTCAGATACTGTGGTATCAATCGCTCGCGTCGCCGTGAGTTCTACTTCAGATGCCAGCTCCAGCTCATGCACGGCAACGTCATCCTGGCTCCCTTGGTTGAAAGTTTCTGACACATCTTCGCTTGTAGTAGCAGGTTCGTCCTTGATGGTCTCGGAAACAGATGCTCGGATAGGTGCTCTTTCCAAATGTTGTTCCAGGTGTCGTTCAGCCTCTGGTGCCATGACTGAAATATCAGGTTCCACAACTTCAGCAGGTTCGTCGGCCTCTTTCTCGTCAGCTTTTGCCGTAGTCGATGTAACTTCTGCAGGCGCTATTGACAAATCAGGCACGGTAGGCTCGGGTGTTCCATCAACCGCTGGAGTTGAGCCACGCTTTTTCTTCTTCTTGTCCTTCTTGCCTTTCTTGCTGCTTGTAGACGTCGACCATTCATGCTCAGCCGTTACCTCAACAGCAGGTTCTGTTAACAATTCCTCCTGTAGGGCTTCGATCTGCGTAGACTCATATGATGCCGCTTCAGGCTCCGCCGCCGTGTCTCGTGCCAGAACAGGCTTTTCCAAAGATTCAGGATCCGCAATATCATGGGTAACCTCTGGAGCAGAGGGACCTTCGTTTGTAGGTTCAGGGTCTGAGAAGGTAGTTTTCGAACGCTTCTTTTTGTTCTTCTTGTCTTTCTTGCTGCTCTTGACCGGTAAAGCCCATTCGTCCTCCGCCTCGGTAAGAACCGGCGCAGTGCTGGAATCGGCAGTATCGGCTTGTTGGGAAGGATCAACGACTTCTGCGGCAGGCTCTATCTCCGACCTAGGCATAGACATCTCCTTACGTGAAGTTTCTGGAGATCGCGGCATTGCTTCGACTTTAGCATCATTCATGCCCTCGCTGATACGATCCGGCAGGGTGGAGGCCTCGGCTCCGACATCAATCGCAGCGGGCACTTCAACATCAGCCTCAGAATCTGACTCTGGCAAGGGCACAAGGTGAGCCGCAGTCGTGATGGGCAAGGTTTGATCCTGTCCTCCAGGCGCCTCTTTCGCAGATTGGGGGGTCTGCTGCATAACTTCTTCCCCAGGCAAGGAAACATCTCCGAGTTCGTCGATCGTCTCAACTAAATCAAGTGAGCGAGGTAAAGTATCGTGTATTGTGTCAGAGAGTTCTTGTGAAGGAAGTTGCAGGCCTGCTGTGAAGTCGTCTGTAGGGCTAGGTGAGTCCGCACTTTCCATAGGTCTCTGAACGTGGCCAACTATGTTCAGTTGCTCGCTCGGTGAAATGGAAGATTGGTCCGCGCTCAGACTTGAGGTTGTAGTAGGCTGCGCTTGACTTTCAGATGACTTGTCTTGCGAAGCGGGTTCAGTCGGAAGTTGCTCTTTGTCTTCTGCAAGCAGTTCTGCGGACGTGTCCTCGGCCTTTTCCAATGCCACAAGTACGGGTTCGGGAATAAGATCCGTAGATTGCGAGGCGATATCGACTGGAATAGCCTCAGATTCAGGCATGGTTGGAGCATGTGTCTCACTTGCGATTTGATCATCGGTGAGCGCTATGCCGCGTGTGACATCGCCTGCTGAAGTAGCTTCTTCAGTGAAGGTTCCGGCATCTTCACTTGGATCGTCCAGAGACAGAGAAGTTGTCGAGCCACGGTTTTTCTTCTTCTTGTCCTTTTTCGACTTCTTACTTGGTAGAGCCCACTCATCTTCGTCGACTGATTGTGGTTGTAAGGGCGCAGCCTCTTCGAAAGCTGGCAGTAGTGCTCGTTGACCATCCGCCTCGGCGGCTTCCACAGGTTCATCCGCTGAAGTCTCAATTGCTTTCTGCTCAACAGGAAGTTCTTGAGCTTCTTCTGCTGATTTTACTACAGACACAGGTACAGACTCAGGTCCAGCTTCAGAAAAAGTACCTTTCTTCTTTTTCTTCTTGTCCTTCTTGCCTTTCTTGCCAACACTCACAGGAACGGACCACTCGTCTTCAGCCTCAGCTTCAGCTGACACAGGTGGTTCCACTTCTTCTGCAGCGGACGACAGCTCCTCCAGAGGCTTGCTCTCAATCTCCAATGGCTCAGCCACGATCTCAGGTTCCAAGTCTTCTAGTTTGCGTTCTCTTCTGCTTGTGTCCGCAGTGGCCTCTTTCTGGTCTGTAGGGGCCTGAGTATCAAGGTCGTCCTTGTATACACGTTCAGGAGAAGGTGGTACTATCAGCTCCAGTCCAGATTCGCTGGCAGGCGTGCCTGGTACAGAATCTGCGTCGGCCCAGATGACGCTCTTCCGCTTCTTGTTCTTCTTAGATGAGCGTCTAGATAACGATGGAGCCCATGAAAGCTCATTGTTCTCCTCCAACGGTGTTTCAGGTAATGGCACTATTGCGGCCTCGTCGAGCGGATTTGTCATACGCTCATTAACAGGTGTAGCCAGTGGTGACTCGAATGGTGTATCCAATGCTAGACCCTCATTAGCTGCTACTGGTGGCAAAGATGTGGCTATCGTATCTGCCTCAGCAGCGGCTGACTTGAATTCAGCATCCGGACCGCTCAAGGAAACGGATTGATCTTGGCCAACGATCGTAGGTGTATCAACTTCAGGTGCTAGTTCGTCCTTCAGCACTTGTGCCTCCGGTGCAGGTAACAGTGCTTGCTCTGCGCTGTTCACTGACTCACTCTCGGGCAGGCTCAACTCTTTCTCAATGGTCGGCGTTGTTGGCGCTGATACATCCTCAACGCTACTGGAGACGCTAGAGCTAGAAGTTTTCTTTCCCTTCCTACTTTTCTTGCCCTTCTTGTTGCCTTTGATCCAAGAATCGTCGTCGCCACGAGGAGATTTTGGTACGTCGAAGAATTCGTCAATGGTTGGATCTGCATAGCCTTGTCGTACTTGCTCTGTTGTCTGAGTGTCGGCCCAAACGTCTTCCGGAAGGTGCTGTTCATCGTCCTCAATAGCTTCGACTGACGTCTTTGGCGTGACCCCCCGTTCGTGAGTCTCAACAAGTTTGCTTTGATCTGCCGCAGCGGCCTCGACAGGTACAACAGGAGTAGATGCCGCATCTGCTCCTGCTTCGCGTGACATGTCCGCCACCTCCCCAATCTCTTTCGACTCCAGAGGAGGCTCGATTGTATCTTCCATAGGTCGACCCAGATTGACGTCTACAGATACGGCATCATCAACTTTGACTGTATCTGTTGGAGGTCGACCAAGATTGACATCTAGAGAGTGCTTATCATCGTCCTCTGCGGCAGGATCGTCAAGACCCAGGTCAATGGCCAGTGCCTCAGCTTCAGCTTTCGTCAACATGATGCCATCAATTTCAACCATTTCTTCATCCTGAGCTGGCGGAACGTCAGAAACAACATCCTCAGCTAGCTTGTCTTCACTAATTCCCGTGGCAGTATCCGATGGCAGAGGAGCATCAATAGCTTCGTCCTCGATCGCCTCGGGAAGAGGTGCTTCTTCAGCTTTAATGTCAGCAGGTGATTGGCGCTTCTTGGCCTTCTTGTCTTTCTTCGACTTCTTAGATGCAGGAGTGGCCGCACTTTTGGATACCTCTTCAGCAGGTAGATGAACATCTAAGATTTCAGCCTCGGCTGTATCACGTAGAGATTCAGGTTCTGCGACAAGCGGTGCTTGATCTGCGACAACGCCAGAAGTGTGGTCGCCCTCGTCATCTAAAGAGCGAACTCCTTCGGGCAGAAGGCCAGTCACTTCTGGCTGAGCAGTCTCAGGCTCTTCCAGAGTCCAATCAATTGTGCTCTTTCGCTTCTTTTTGTCTTTCTTCTTTAATTTCCTGCTAGGCACAGCCCAGGTATCGTCCTCGGTGGCAGCAGGAGTGTCGTCGACAGATTTACTGAATGAAGGCTCAACGAGTTCGGCGCTGTCTTGTTCTTGGTCGCGAGACCGTTCTGGTACTATCGATAAGTTCGGATCTTCAAGTATAGTTGATTTGAACTGCTCTGTCTGAATTGTCGATGGTACTCGTGAAGTTTGCTCCAGCTCTTCTTCGAGACTTCTGGGGACATCGGGACTCGACTCGAGTGTTTCAGTGTCAATGTTGGGCGTTGTGCTCCTTGCTGGTTGGTGTTGTTGTCTTGCAGAATCACTGACAGATTGTCTCCTGTTCAGTAGATCGAGAACGACTGCCGGTAGGTGTGATTGTGCTTGCTCGTCTGGAGCATTGTTGCTCGTTGCCTCGTCTCCGTCCAAGAACGAATTTGTTGTGTTGCCAGCTCGATCAAGTTCATCACTGGCCTCTAGCAGTGTTTCAGCTGCGTTGACAATTGGAATAAGCGCTGCTTCTTTCTGCGCCAGTGGCTCAAGCGGACGTTGTTCAAGCTCGTCAGCTCCTATAGCTGCAGCTCCGGACCTAGATCTCTGCACAGGTTCAGTCGTAACCTCCTTCTTAGCTTCTTGAGCCTCGGCGTCACTGCCCAGTTCTAGAATTGCGATATCCTCTCTGTCATTCATGGACTTGTTGGCTGCTGAAACAGGGGCAGATTCTGGTTCGGAAGCAGGAGGCCCAGCGTCGATGTCTATGGTCTCCGAAGGTTGCTCTTCGACCTGCGAGCTGGCATCAATCATCTCCTGAGTTACGCGACTGTCCCATGTGCCTTGACGTTTCATGTCCTTCTCTTTGGCCTTCTTCTCCCTCTTGGAAAGCCCAAAGTCCCACGGAACCTGCTCTTCAACTTGCTCTGACAGATCTTGTCGTTCTCCAGCCGCAGATAATGGGACTTCAGCTTCGTTCGATAGGGCAGATTCAACTGGTTCAGAAGTGTCATGTGGCTTGTCAGCCTCTAGATCAATTGCTTGTGCATCAATGTCTTCTTGTGTAACCCGCATGCCCCAAGTACCCTTACGCCTCATCTCTTTCTCCTTGTTCTTCTTCTCCTTCTTAGATAGGCCGAAGTCCCATGGGATCTGCTGCTGAACCTTCGGATCTGCTACATCCCTACTAGATTCATCTCTGCCCCCTTCAAGTCCACTGACGGGCAAGAACGCTTCGGTATCTTTTGGTGGAACCTCAGCTGGGGAAGCAGCTTCGTCAGCCAGCACAGCATCGATAGACTCCTGAGTGATGCGGTCATCCCATGTGCCATCTCTCCGCATCGCTTTCTCTTTCTTCTTCTTTTCCTTGGAAGAAAGGCCAAAGTCCCATGGTAATTGTTCCTCAGCTGACGCGCGATCTTGAGCTGTAGTGTCGGCGTCAACTTCAGCTTCAGCCTCGAGCTCTCCGATCGTGGCTACAGGCTCATCGACAGTATCCTGGGTATCAAGTTCAAGTCTGTCCAGATCCTGCTGAGCGACTGGCTCTTCAGGTAATGGCTGGCTCAACTCAGACTTTGCATGACTCGCGACTTCAGGCGGAAGCACATCTTCTGCTTCTTCATCGTCATCTTCCGCATCGGCCTCTGCAGTGTTCTCCGGCTTCTTGCTTCCCCAAAGACCGAATCCCCCAGCTGCAGCACTCAAAACTCCAAGAACAGGGTTGAATGCTTGCTCAGTCAGGGATTTCTTTTTGTCTTTTCTGCCCTTCTTGCCTTTCTTTGATTTCGAGCTCGAACTAATCTCTAGTTCTTCTGTGTCCTGCATTGCCTCTACTGATTTAGCTTTGTCCTCATCATCGATTTCGGCTTGTGCAGGCTTTGCAGATAGTGTTGTTGGCTCAGTAGAACCTTCAACTTCTTCTGGCGCTTGACGTGCGACCACTCCTGGCTCGGCTGGTGTATAGTGTGGTTCAGACTGTCCAGCTTCATGCTGGGATTCCATTACAGGTGTGACCATGTCGCTATTGCTGACCTTTTGGTCGGAGCTGACAGGTTCAGGTAGCGAAGGTCCTCTCTTCACAGCATCAGTGGGTACAGTGTCCACTATTATCGACGAGACTTTTGGTGAACCGACGACGATACCTCCCTTGACTGGTTCGGCTTCGGCTACTGGCTCAGCCGCCTCAAGTTGCAGACCTTGGTCAGCATCTTCGAGCGATTCTTCCTGTTTGGTCGCAACCTCACTTGGCTGTTCTGCCCCCAGCAATTCCACAATCTCTAATGGTTGATCTATCTCCTGGGTGACGTCCTCAAGATTGAACTCCTGGCTAAGCCGACTTGAAGGCGTCTTCTTCTTATCCTTCTTGTCCTTTTTCTTGTCCTTCTTAGTAGACTTTTTGCCTGCACGAAGGTCGTGCGAAGGTTCGTCTGTCAAGGGCAAGTCTCTGTCCTGGCTCTCTGATGGGGACACACTCACGCTTGATGGAACACTTCCAGCGATTGGACTAAGCTTGTCTTTTGGTACAAAGGGAGCATTGTTGCGTAGAGGCAGGAAAGCTTCGAGTGCTTGCTCACGAGTAGTTTCTTCAGGAAGACCTCGCGAGTTGACTGCGCGAGCAAAGGCAAGCTCGAAGGCACCAAGCTTTGTGTTTGCACGATTCAGATCTTCCGCAGTCGGTGCGAAAGCTTCACTGCGCTCTTGTCTAGCGTCAGTGACTGATCCCAGGTGTTCTTCACGCGTCATATTCTTATCAGATGTGAATATTTCGCCAGCGAGATCTTTCTCGATAGTCCGGTCTTCAGCAGCGTGGGGCACTTCTGGAGCAGCTGCTAAATCTCCCATGTCGGCTGACTGATCAACGACCGGAACTGCTTCGGACTCAAGACCATGCACAATGTCATCTACCTGTTCTTTGACATCTTCAGGCAGATCAGGCTTTTCCTCGACCTTGGTCATCAAGTCAGCTGTCTTGTCGTCATCGGCAAGGTGTTTACCATCGACTGATTCCAGTGTTCTCTTGGACAATTCCACCGGTTTTCCAATATCGAGATCTTTTGTTCCACCTGACTGCAAAATGTCCTTCTCAATTGATTCCTCTTGTTGCGGTTCAAGCTTAGGTGAAAATTCGTGCGGTTGGAGTGCTCTTCTACTCTCAACAGGCGTAGGTTCTGTGATGGAAATGCTTGGTCGCTTGTTCTCATCTTCGGCAGCAGCAAATGACTCCTCAGAGAGCGCAACATCTGCATCTCTGGTCTCGCTTTGACTTCTGTGTGCCTCGGCAGCCATACCGCCAATCGCAAGACCAAGAGCTGTTCCACCGAGTAGAGCAGCTGCTCTCGAAGAGATTCCACTGCTGGTTCGATGCTTGAACGGTGAAGCAGATTGAGATCTCGATGGAGGAGTGACACCTCCAACAGGTGACTTTGACAACGACCTGACGACTGGCACAGCACTCTCAGACGGTGTCCTTTGTGGCAATGAAGGTGATGGACCGGTAGGTGGCGACCTGAACGGCGACGCTCGTCGAGCAGGCGGCGAGGATGCCACACTGGATGTCAGCTCTTGTGAAGGAGGTGATCGGTTCCAATCCATGGTAGGCGTATCCGGCCGACTTTCCGCGCTCATGAATTCTTGATCATCTGTCGTGCTGGCCACACTTGGCAAAGGACTAGCAGATCTTGGGACGATATCCTCCTCCTCGAGCTCGGCAAATAATGCAGGATCTTGCAACAGTTCACTAGGTGAATGGAACAGATTCTTCGGCAGTTCACGACGACTCGTTGGCTGTCTTGGCTGAACCAGTTGTTGCTGCTGTTCTCTTGCTCGCTGTCTCTCACCTGGCACAGGAGTGACAGATCTGGAGTCCGTGGTTTCTTTCTTCACTCTGATCTCACCACCAGACCAGCTACGTCTGCGATCCGTCCTGCCTCGCTTGTCCTCAGCTTCACTGTCAGACACAGAGGCTGCAGCGAGACCTTGTAAGTCTTCCGTCGAACCATATGCCGACGTAGTTCGACTAGGTGGAAGGGGAGGAAGTGTTGGCAGGTCATCATCAACAGGTATTTCAGCTTTCACTGGAGTGTGTCTCTCGACCAGGTACAAAGGCCTGAATTCTCGCGAGTGGAATTCAGTTGACTTCGGTCGGTTCTGACGAGCTTTGGGTGTAATTGGTGAAGTTGGCGCAAAAATTGGTGAGCTTGCAGTCTCCTTCGTGGCTGATCGGGGAGTGATTGGTGGACGTCTGAACAATGGCACACGTGTCGTTGCCGGAGAGGAAGTAGATTCTTCCTTGCCTGCATGTGCTAGCCGTATGATTGACTGCGTTCGTGGACGCGGTTGTGTGTCTTTCTCCGAAATCTCGAAAGCGGTTTCTTCACCACTATCGATGGCAGCAACTGCAGTAATAGGCTCTAGCAATTCAGGTTGCACTGCTGTAAGCGCTCTCGGATGATTAGTTAGAAGGTCTGTAATAGTTGGAGCTTCGTCGAAATGCTTTCCCTTGACCAGCTCGTCTGGCTCAGCATTCGCTCCGGTCATGTAATAGTTTTCTTCCGGTACTATGATCCCCTCTTGTTTCCCCATAGCACCATGGGCTTCTTCTTCGTCTCCCTTCTCGAGCCCCGAGACACCGTTAGTACCCGTTGACACGTCCGTTTTGGCCGTTGGTAGTGGCATTTCGGGGCGTTCCGCTAAAAAAGACCGCTCATCCTGTGCTGAAACAAACCCATCATCGGTACTGCGATCACGTACCTCATCAGTCGTGTTGGATTGTACGCGCTTTCGAGATATGCTTGGTGAGATTTCGTAATCTGCTGGCGGCTTAGAGAGGTCGGGAACACTAGCTGAAGCTGCAGATTTGGATGAGTGCTTCCTTCGACGCCTTACGTCGTCGTCAGAATCATCTCGGCGTCCAAGGTCTGATTTGCTGGATTTAGAATCCTTGCGTCGAGGTGTACTAACATCGGACTTGCTGCTCGAGAAAATACCTGAGAAGAAGCCTCCAGATTTACGCTCTTCCTTCTCCTTCTTGTCTTTCCTACTTGAGGAGCTCTTGATAGATCGGGCATCGTCGTCATCATCCCAACCACCAGAACCTCGCTTCGAGTCCTTCTCTCGCGACTTGCGCTCGCTTCTGCTTGATGTGCTCTTTACTGATTTTGTATCGTCGTCGTCATCATAAGCCTTTGAGTCACGCTTTGATCTTCTCCTGGAGCTCTCTTCCTCAGCAGGCCTGGAGGTTACGGACTGTGAATTTTCAACGTCAAAGCAGTCAGCATCCTGTCCTGACTTCCTTCGAGACTTTCTGTCTTCGTCCCGCAGAACTGTGGTGCTGGCAACTGATTGAGTATCATCATCGCCGTCGTCATAGTCGGTCTGCCGCCTTGATTTGCGGCGAGACTTCGAATCTTCGTCCTTAGTGCTGGGCAGACTTGTCATTGACTTGGAAGCTCCAAAATCATCGAAAATCTCACTGCCACGCTTGGACTTCCGCTTCTTCAGTTTCTCAGGCTCAGCATTGTAGAAATCTGGCTCGACTTGAGGAGCGACAGCACTGGGTGCAGCCTTTGAGGCTCTTGATTCGGGCTCGGCCACAGGTGCGGGCGGCGCGACAGGCATGACAATGTCTCTAGATGTAGGGGCAGGAGTGTCCGACTTTCGACTCCTCGCACTTAGGTCGGACTTCTCAGACTTCAAGTCAGGCACTGATCTACGAGAACCTAGATCCGACTTGGGTTCAGCATGTGTTGCCTCCGCACGTTTTGCGCCGATACCAGCAATGGCCGCAGATGCGGCTGCGATCATCGCAGCCTTCGAGGTACCACCAACCTCGCTCCTTGCGCGTGAAGGTTTGATCTTTTCGTCGTTGGAGGAGCCAGCAAGATAGTCAAATACTGAGGCGCCATTTTTCTTGGGCCCAGCTGCCAGACTGGATGATCGTTCCCGCGGAGTTTGTGATGCAGGCATGGGAGCTGAGACGTCAACTTCGCTGACCTTGGCCGCATCTGGCTTTGCTGTAGAAACGAGAGTCTGCCGTCGATTCTTTTCAGCGGAGGCTGCTGCCGCGGCGGCTGCCACATCCATAAATGCACTTCGCAAAGCAGGATTGGGCTTTGACGAGTCGGATCGTCCAGTGTCACGTCGTGAAGGCGGTAGGGGAATCTCAGTAGGGTTGACTGCTGGTCGTTCGTCAGCAGTAGATGGTTCCGCTCTGACGGCTGCAGGACTGGAATCGACTTTGTGCGACTGAGAATCCGTGCCGACCGCGGAGCTAGCCCGTTCCGCGCGTCTGGCTTCAATTCTGCTTTGCCTAGACGACTCGGCAGAAGACTTGCTCTCGAAATACGATTTAATTGCTGGTTCTGTTGCTGGACGAGGAAGTGGTTCTTGCTGGAGTGTTTCGTCAGGCAAAGTTTCAACACGGCTCAGCTCCGGTCGGCGAGAAGAGGGGACCTCCTCATCCTCCATGTCGTCCACTGAATGGACGAACGGACTCTGGTAAAAGCTCTTGGCTCCAAGCAGGTCCGCCAAGCCGCGTTCGTCTAGTGGAGTAGGTTCAGCAGAAGAGTATCGCTGCTCATCTGGTGGATGATCTTCTTGTACTGGCTCGTGGACTGCAGGCGCTGATGCCAGGTCTTGACCTTCTAGTCGGGACGACTCGCCAGCAAAAGATCTTTCATGCAAGAATTTAGCCTCTTCGTCGTCATCCTCCAAAGTGTACAAACGTTCTGGTCTTGGTCTGTAAAATTGCTCAGGATGTACCTCTGGAACTTGCGCACTCCCTGGCTCGGCGTAAAAGGCTTCTGGTTCTGGACTGTGTGCTTGAGCGTCATGCTGCAGGTCATCTTCTATCTGCTCATATCTTTTGGTTTGCTCCGCCGGGTCCTGGCGTTCGTATTCAGGTGTTCTGGCCTCGTAAACCCAGGTGTCGTGGTTCCCAAAGGTGACTTTAGAGCCGGACCTCTTTCGCATTATTGGTTCGCCAGTGCTCTCTTCTTGCTCGTCGATCGTCTTCGGAGTTTGTTGTTGCATTGAAGGCGCCAAAGGGCTATGAGGGTCCTGTTCGCTGACCGCGCGGCTTGCCGGTGGTGTAGGCTCTATCAGACTCAGTCGGGGAACTTTCCACGGTAGTGTTAGTGGATCTTTATGGCCATCATCCAAGCCATAAATCTCATAGAGATCTTTATCGAAATGCGACCTTCGCTTCGATGGAGACAGACTTGATGTGAAGGAAGGCACGATATCGACGATGGTGGGCGACACGTCGACACGATTCTGAGCAGCACGATTGTTTTCCTCGACCTTCGCGGCAATCTCTTCAGGCACGAAGAATGACTTGTAGTCTTCGTACATAGGCGACGGGCTCCGAGATACTCTCTGTGCAGCCCTACGTGCAATTCTTTGTTCTGGACTCTCACGAATAGATTCACCTGGTTGTGTTTTTTTAGCGTCACGAACTGGCGACTCTGCTCGCTCAATACTTTGTCGCTTTTTGCCAGATTTCTGTTTCCGCTTGTCTTCCTCTGGGTCCGCAGCGTCTTTCTTGTGGCTAGAAACAGCTGTGGCTACAGCGATTCCAGCACCAGCGGCTATGGCAGCCGCAGTAATTTCTATTGGCAATGACTTGCGGTTTTGTTCATCCTGTTGTCGAGTTTGTGCTGCTTCCTCTTCGCGATGTTTCTGTGATTGCTCTAGACGATTTTCCTCTTCTTTCTGCCGCCGCTCTTCTTCCTGTTTTCGCCTTCTTCGTCCTTCTTGCTGTTGCTTCTGCTCTGCGCGTAGTCGCTCGATCTCGGCATCGATATCGGCTTCAGTGCGCGATGATGCACCAACAGATGCCCGGCGGCCGGATTGTCTTGTGCTCTCATTAGGCGCTATGTCCACAGTAGCATCTGATCCCCTTGCCACACTTTGTTGCTGCTCATCTTCTGCAGCTCTCTGCAGCTCAGCTACATCCGTGGTGCGGCGACGTTCTTCCTTCTCACGTTTACGAATTCGTCGCTGTTCCTTTTCGCGGACACGTCTTTCGTTATCGAGCTGTTCTGGAGTCAGATCCCAGGACACGCTGTTCCTGCTGAGGCTCGAAGGATTGAACATGGCGGGATCTGGACTAGCGGGCTTGATTGGAGTCGTGGTAGAGGATGCTCGACGCCTTTCAAAATCCTCGCGAGGTCTAATTTCACGACGTGTAGTCGGATTTTCATCTGATGAAAATGTGGTAGGATCAGGAGAGACAAACGAATCCAGTTCACCAGCATGCGGATAAGGTCGGCCCGTAGGTTGCGGTTGTCGTAGTGGTGGTTGGTTAGCAGTAGCATTTATTTCTGGCTGAGAAATAACCCTTGACGAGCCGACTGGAGTGGTGGACTCGGACAACGGTATTGGATCGATATATTGCATCGAGGGTTTGGACGATGAAGACGGGCCGCTCGGCATGTCAGTTCTTGAAGCAGCTAAAGCTCCCAGGCCTGCGACTGCTGCTGTTGCTGCCACGGTTGGGTTGAAGTAACTGGAGCTAGTCGGCTCGAAGGGCTGATCGAACGATCCTGGCATACGAGGTTGGGTAGCTTGGACGATCTCAGGTCCAGATCGCTGATGCAGAACCTCTTGGTCTTGCTTGGCAGCTTCCATAGATTGTCGTCGCTTGAGCTTCTTTTCCTCACGTTCTTTCTTATTCTTGTTCCACCGCCAGTCCCATTTGCCTGTTCCTGATGATTGCGATGCCAATGACTCCTTACTTTGTGTTGTAGAAAGCCGGCCGCCATACGCTAGACCCATGTCAACACCATCATTTGACTCGTCGTCACTTGCGTCCTCCCATATGTCGTCGTACTCATGGTTCGTAGTCTCGCTGTCTTTTAGATTGATCTTGCGGCCAGGTCTTGATTGAGTATGATCTGTTCTTCTGTCAGCGTTCCTCTTGTCCTTACCTTTTTTGTCGCTTTCAGCAGCAAGTGCAGCACCAGCAGCTGCCAATCCCATAATAGCCGCGGTATCATTGCCACCATATCGATCTTTTCTCCGTCTCTCATTTCTCGAGTCCGATTTGGTAGAACTTTGCCGTCTAATGGTGCCTTCTCCAAAAGCCAAATCTGCATCGGACGAGGACGATGAGGCATTTGAGAAGGTAAAGATGCCTTTTGATTTCTTGCCCTTCTTCTGATTGGCAGAAGGACTGCTAAAGAAGGAGCCAAAACCAGTATTGCCTTGCTCGGTTGCTGTAAGGTCCACATACGAGTGCTGGGGAGATACACGTTTCGAGAAGTACTTCCGACGTGTCGATGGTCGCTCTCTGCTACGCGATCTACTGCGACGTCGATGCGCTGCCTCAGCTGCTACACCAAGAGCGGCCGCACCAACTGCTACACTTGCCACATTGCCACGGCTCCGGCCTTCTGTTGAGGAACCTGATGAGCGTCGCCGCCGAGGCCTGGAGTGTCCAATTTCCGCACTTCTGCGATCGAGTTTATTTGTCGAACTTTTCCGATGTAAACGTAAATCTTCTTGCGAGGAATGGCGACTGTGTACACGGTCATCGCCTTTTCTCGAGTAGCTTGTTCGCTGCTGTACGATTGGTCTGCCCGATTTGACCGAATAGGTATCGTCAAAGTCGTGTCTCGAATTGTAGAGCGTGTTCCCAAGCTTTGCAGCACCTAGACCTGCAAGACCTACAGCGGCAGCCTTCTTGACATTAGATGACTTCTTGCGCTCGTCGTCTGAGGAAGAATGCCGATACGGTTTGTCCACTCGCAGGTTGCCTCCTTGCCTACTTGGATGTCGCTTGAGATTGTGGTGATAATGATGCTTTCGAGGGCCGTGTCCAGGCTGAGAGTCCGGGTCAAAACAGTACTTACAGACCCCGATGTACTCAGTATACTCCTCAAAATGAGCCACATCTTGGGGAGCGTTCCACCAATTGGCTAACTTGCCGAGCGGACCAGTTCGTTTGCGCCTCAGCTTTTGTTGCTGCATAGTGGGAAAAACTGACTGATTCTGGCCCATCTGGAAATTGGAGCTTGACCCGTAGCCTTGCATGCCTGAATGGGTCGAATGATGTGCCTGTTGTTGGTTGTGATTTTGGTGAGTCATGTACGCACCAGCAGCAGCCCCAGCCAAGCCCATGGCTGCAGCAGTGCCGAGACCGTGGCCAGGTTGACTTGATTGCTCGGGACGTAGAGGGCGAGGATCTGGACCATACATATCCGCAGGCTCTTGAACTTGCGATCCTGAATGATATTGAGCTTGGTGAGCCTGCCCATTCTGCTGGGCGTAATGACCGTGTTGTTTGTAATCGTGCTGAGTGGTCTGGTTATTGCCGAAATAATTCATAGCAGCTCCTGCGCCGACGCTAACAGCAGCCGCTGTAAGAGGATTAAAACCCGCACTTGACTGAGAAGGGCGACTCCAACGTTTTGGACTCTCACGTTGACCTGGTTTGACCTTGGTGGGCTTCTGTGAAGAGCCAGAATTTGATGGCTTCACATTCTCAGGTTCGCTAGCAGAGTTCATAGCATAAAAGCTTGCAGCTGCGCCCATCTGACCACTCGCACTTGGTTCAGGAGGAGGTTTAGCATCGACTGTCGGTGCTTGTAAATGGAGCTGTTCCTGGTTGACCACATATGCAGGTACGTTGGGGCGCACACCAGGCTGAAATTGAACGGATTCGCCCTGATCGCCATAATAGTCTGACGCATGCCCAATCAGTGGGGGTCGATATGGAGGGGTATATGTGTTTGGCTCAGAGAAGAATTGATTTTGTGGCAGCGCGGCGTCATGATTGTTTAAGGCCCGACTACTTTCGTATCGCTCGGACTCTCGTCGAGATTGTCTGTGGTGTGGCGCATCGCTAACAGAGCGAGTAGCCGCACGCCTCGAGTCCTCATAACCGCTGCGATTCGACCCCCTATCAGTTCTGCTCGATTTCTGAGGCTTTCGACTTGATTCTAGCTGGTCCGGTCTGGCATAATGATCTTCTTCCTTCTGTCGGAGAACCAGTGCCCTTCCATCGCCATCTTGATCATAGCCATCGTTTCTGCTTCCTCGGTATGTAGCTAGCGACCTCTCATTTCCATCGGACACCCAGCCGTCGTTCTGATCGTAGTTTCGCCTATAGTCGTCCGCTCTTCGATCTTCTTCCCTCGACACTAAAGCTCTCTCATTGTTGTTTTGCGCTCCGCTTCTTCGTTGAGTATTGGGTTCGTCGTACTCATAAGTGTCGTCATCGGTTCTTCGTCGAGCCAACGATCTCTCAGGATTATCCTGTCCACGAGAATGCGCAGTGACATAGGTAGAGGATTCTGACGGAGCGGTATCGGCACGTCTACTCTTGGAAGTGGAGGAGTGGTATGTGCTTCCAGTCTCTGGGTCATCGTCGCGTCGGGATGATTTGCGTCGTGGTTTAGCAAGAGATGTGCTGGACATATTGGAGCGCGATTTCTTCCTCGATATGGTCGACTCATCCTCACCGTCTTCCCTATGCTTGGACTTTGAGGGCTCTGAGCCGGTCTTTGACCGACCAGAGGTCGATCGTCCGAAGCTGAACATGGTGATACACTATCTTTACGATTTATTTATCATCTTTCACAATTTCTATACGTGTTCGATTCGAATTCGCGGTAACGGGGGTATCAAATGTCGTCAAATAGCAACCAACTGCGTCGCGTCGCTAATCGGATTGCGTAGCAGTAATTTAAGAATTGAACTGAGATGCTGTACAGTCGTGAAATCGTTATAATATACACCGGTATATGTCAAAAGCAGCGAAAGTGAACACAATGAGAACATGCATGAGAAAGTGATGCGAATCGTCGTTCTGCACGCTGCGCTGCACAGTGGACGCTGCTGTGCTGTGCTGGCTGATCGACATCCACATCTTAATTTCGAGTGGCTGGAGTCGCCACAACTGGGTCAGCCTAAAAGTCAATCACTAAGTTCAATTGGGTAATGCTGGGCATCAATTGTGGACATTCACTTCGCTAGAAGCCTTCAATTCAATGGAAATGTTCGTCAATTGATGTCAAACAACATTGTTGCAGTGAACCTTCCCGGGCCTGTTCCCATGACGGTGTTGTCTTTGCTGAGATCGAGACACTGCGCTCGAAGTGCACAGACATCTGATGGTAAACGTCGAAGCCACGAGCAGTAGAGTTAAGAGCCTCCCGAGACCACGTGAGGTCCACCTCAGCTGAGCTTGGACGCGACTGAACCAGGCTTCAGGCCCGAGCCTTTTTATGTGGAGGACGACAGACACTTGTCCTAATCTTGTGTGGGAAAAACATGCAAAGCACGGCCGTTCTTCAAAAGATGACAGTCGATATGGTACGTCGCGTTCACCATGATTGTTATTCCTCACTATTTCAATTCCAAAATTGGTCGACCAGTCCTGCAGTTGTCAGGTTGTCTGTCATATAAGGCCTCCTCGTGGTTCTGAGCCATCACCATACCGAACTCTTTTTCTTCACGATTTTATTGGAGTCCTGATCACTATGCCTCCTAAATCCAAATATGCTAGATTTCTGTTTCAACTTTGGAGTGACGGGCTGCAATAACGCCGATTGTGACGCTCCGCTGGCCATATAAGGTCCGGATGGGTATCCTGTTTGTGCCTCATACGCTGACCCAGACACTGACGAAGCACTATGTCGATGTTGTGGAGGTTGTGGCGTCTGAATAGCTGGAATATCTTGCTGTCCGTATAATTTCTTAAGTCTTTCGGTTTCGGCGTCGACTTCGGCTTGTCTACGCCGCCTCTCCTTCTCCTCTTCTTCAAGCATTTTCTGTATCTGTTTCTGTTCAGCTTCTTCACGTTTTCTTCGTGCACGTTCCTCGGCCGCTGCTTCACGTCGAAGACGCTCTGTCTCTTGATCAATTTCCCATTGTGTGCGTGGATCAGTAGGAGGGATCCTGTTCTCGCTTTGTGGTTGTGTTGCTGATTGATGGGCAAGAGCTGAAGAAGAAGCCGCCAGGGCAGGTGGTGTATTAACTGGAGAGGTCGCGCTGCCTTTTCTACCGCCAGCTAGATTAAAGGTCTCCTTCATTGAGTTAAAGTAAACATCCCGAATCACAACAGCGCCAAGCAGCAAAGCTACTTCAAATCCTTTGAGATCTTCAACCTCAACCCGAGCCATGTTGGGTTCGTAGATTGTGACCTCCTTCAAGTTCTTCAGTATTGCTATAGTTATATCAGGCTCCTTGTTCTTGTTTTTGCTTCCATCTGGATTCGTCGACCTGCCTGATAAATAGCAAGCCAAGTCCTTGGACAATCTTCCGTCCTTCTTCCATTTCAACGCTAGCTTGGGTGTGAACTCAGATATTGTAGGGTCATTTTGACCGCGGTCAAGCTGAGAGTGAGAAGGGGTGCGAAAGGTCTGCGTAGGTATTTCAAACTCCCAGGAGGCTGTCGATGTTATAGAAGCAGGCCTATGCTTCACCACAATCTGCTGATCAGGGTTGTAGAGCTGGATAGCAAACTCAAGTGGTAAGATGGGCTCCGGAGCAGGCGTAACTCCGCCATTTCTTCTAATTTCGTCTTGACTTAGTGTAGGCTTTGTCCAGTCTGGAACTAGAAGCACTTCCGCAAAGAGTACATCTGGATTGTATGCATCGTATAGTGCAGCGGCATATCTATTTCGGGAAGCAGACTGTTCAGGGTCGAGGTATCGAAGGGAATAGGCAGGCTCGAAATCGTTCCCGTACTGTGAGAACAGCAAAGTCGAATGCGTCTTCGGTTTCTCTTTGGTCGTTTTAATAAGGTATGCTGCAATCCAGGTTAGCACACATACCACAAGCCTGACAGCCTCGCGACTCAACTCACTGGGCAGATTCTCGTCAAGCATTGTCACGACTGTTTGTTAGGGGATATGGTAAGCAACGCAGTACAGAGGCAAGAATCACGAACGTTGCAAAGCATATCATTACTATCAACTCGCAGACGTTGTAGCAACGGTGAAATTCAGAATAGGCTGATTCACGAGTACACAGCCTCATGTGCAGCGTAATTGGTTGAATGCTCTTTCAGCTCTTGCGTGTTGTGGGAGGTTGACGAACGTCGTTGTCGACTCTCGCGTTAGTGGGTGCAACCTTTTTGCCTTGCCGAAAGTCTGACGAATCAGACGCATAGCCTCACAGACGCGCAACCCAAACCCGCTCTGAGGTTCCTGACTTCGACAACCCTGTTCCGAAAATAGATCAGTCGTAGAAAGGCATACGACTGCACGAGTATGTCGTCCAACATCCCGAGTCCTGTGCATTGATCACCAAGTGTTCATTATGATGCGGTCATTGTCTCCAACGCTTTCAGTGTGGACATGGACTCAATCTGTCTGGGGAGAATGTATCAAAGTGCTGTCAGGCTTTCAGGCAGCCACAAGTACTCGTACGGAGGCGGAGGCTGCGAGACTGGCGAAGGGCTGGTAAAGAATTTGAGTCATGTAGGATGGCATCGACGTGAGTAGATATGGTGTCTTCTATCATGCAATACTCACACTTCTCTCCTGCTGGATGAATCTCTGCAGCCTCAACATGAGGAGCAGTGAGCACAATGCCATCATCGATGTTTCACCTTGCAAGTTGCGCAAAACAGGCTCAACTTGAGCCACACGGTACGGAGTCATTGTTCCAGATCGCAAGAACATCGGTCCAGATTGCCAACAAATTCACGACCTTGATGGAGGCCTGCCCGGGTCATGCTGAGAGGTACACAGATCTTGGTGAAACACCCGAGGTTGACGCACGTCAATCGACTCCAAGATTGCTTGCTTCTGCCCCTTCTTCGACCCGCGTGATGGCAGCCAGGTTCTGGGCTGTGTCTGTTGATACAAAGCATTGGTCGGAACTCAAATCCACTGGACAACGTGGTTGTTTAACTCTACGTCACACTCAACTTGGTTTGGATCCCGCAGTTCTCCTTCTGCCGAGAATTGTCCTCATTGGCCTAACCTGGATACCATCGTCACTCCCAAACAAAGGTGTTCAAGCAGGTCGTCCTTGCTCTCAGCGTGTCAGCAGGCCAGAGACGCTCCTTCATGAGTTCACATGTGAGAACAGGATGACGTACGACAGGCGTCGCGGGGCATTGTATCGTGATTGCCTGCAAACACAACTTCTCATAGTGGGGTGCTAACCTGCCAGCAATAGTCTATAAAGAAACCTTTTCTACTTTCGATCCTCTTAACTTTCTTCCTCTCAAAGCAAATTTTAAAGCTTACTACTTCAAAGAACTTTACCAACCAAACTCAATTCACAAATCACATTCACAATGGAGTCCGTCAAGAACGCAGCAAACTGTATGTGACCTTCACTCTACGATCGAGTAGCACTCGCTAATATTGCTCTAGACGTCAGCGACAAGGCCGGTGAGATGACATCCGGTGCTTCCAAGGAGGCCAACAAGAACGTCGCTCAGGACAGCAACGCCAGCCTCGGTACCCGAGCCTCCGCAGCCAAGGATGCCGCTGGTGACAAGCTCGATGAGAGCAAGAACTCTGTACGTGCATCCTCACTCTACATATGAGCGACTACTAACAATACTACCAGGCTTCCGCTGAGGGCAACAAGCAGGCCGCTACTCATTAAGTAGTCGATCGTCTACCTCTATGCTTCACGAACCTAAGATTGATACGATTCGATATTGATTGAGAAGTTTTAAAAAATGCACCAACCCGAAGGTTGTGCTGTTATGATAATGAACGCATGAGCAAATGAGCCCAATAGCTATACACCTCAAGAGGGGTCAGCACTCTTAATCAGAGCTGTTACAATCAAACATCTTCATCGTCACTGCCATTCTACTTCCATATGCTATTGTGATGCTGTACATTGTGTCTTTTGAACTCATTCATGCACCATCAAGTATTATAACTCTATTACGTGAAAGATGTATACAGTTGCAAGCAAAATGTTGCTAACAGCTCTTGGTTGGGTGGCATTGAATGTTCTGTACCCGCATGCTTGATTCGCTGCAGGCTATGCCGCTTTCAGAACGCGTCTGCTGTAACGACCACAACCACAAGGTCGGTGTTGTGATCTTTCCAACTCCTGCAAACCTCTTGGATTAATATACTACGCAATCTGACGACTCTTCGAACCGTCTAGCTGTCCTGCCTATGACAGCTTTGAAATCGTCATGCTTGTAACCTTGAACCAGGACAGTCTCGATATCAGAACAAACGACCCTCCCATTTCCATGCATGATCCAGGTCGCATCCAGATACCCCCTAAGCATCACAAGCCATATCCCGGGTTTCCATTAGTTGTCATTCTCTACGTTGCGATTTTCTAGCAGCCACTATAACGGACATTATGATTTGAAGCTGACAGATAAAGCTCAGCTCACAATGTGCTTCATATTAGCACTACTTGTCTGATAAAACTTCCTCCTAATAGTGGTATCGATGGTCAAACAAGCACTTGAAGATTCGCAGGTTTGCATATCTCATCCCTGCCTACTCATCACAGGAGTCACATCTTCGTACAAAAAGATTCAAACTGATCTCTTGTGGTAGTTCGGCACGACATAGATGACCTCTGTCTCAGCGACAATTCGCCGTAAGAGGGCTGTAGGAGAAACTTGCTCTACCAAGAAATAGTTTGAGACTTCCTAGAACAGTATGTTGTCATCCCTAAAGCGAGTACTTATCAAGATAGCCACGAGTCATGCCACATGCCTGCTCTAGAAAGCACACGATATTGACACAATGTTGCCTCTGCCCCATTGCGACTCTAGACGGCCATTTCATGGTCTAGGGTTATGTTGTCCAACACGGGCGATTCAAGACGACATTCTCTATCGAGGTCAATACCACAAGCACTCCTCTCGTTGAGATGGGTCCAATACATGGTTTCCTGAAGGTATAGGGAGTTGCCCCTCGACTAGAAAGATATTCATGCTATACTTTTGACCCTTAGCGTAGTGAAGGTCTGGTGAGAGCTGTCACATGTCTTCAGACACTGGTGATAGAAGCTTCTTAAGTGACACTTGTCGCTCGATGCAATGCGCGAGACTCCAGAGGTAAACAAACATGCTTTGTTTTTGTCAACCTTCACTAACCATTTCGTTCTCTACAGGCAGCACTACATTCCGTTCTTGAGAATCACACTTCAGTGTTTAGTGATGGGATGATAAGTGGAGATATATCTCACAATCACTACACTCAAGATGCAAAGTGTTGCTCCCAGTCCATCGACGAAAGATAGCATCGTAACCTTGAAACTACTACCTAATGTCCTTCGAAATATCGACACCTCCAAACCCCTATCAACAAAGAAAAAGACAAGATCTGTACCTGTAAGTCACTTGTGCCTCCGCTGCTAGCAAACTGGCACCCAGAACGTGCTCGAAATACGATTGTCGTACAAGCTGACTCACATTAACTTCGCAGCGCAAGAATGGTGTCTCTCGACGACAAAAGCTGGGCAGACCTCAAAAATCCTCATTAGAACCACTGCGTAAAAAAGTCAGACGCCGTCCAGGCGACGCAGAGAGAAGGCGGAAACTGAAACGCGAAATTGAGATAGCTAGAGCGCATCAAGAGAGTGAGAAGTACTTGATCAAGAAGAACGCTGCGAAGTGGGCCACGTTCGAACCCGAAGACAATCCTGAATTGGACTGGCTAGAGGTCCAAGTAACTCCTAACACAGTTGGAATTCCTGTCCTTATTCGGAGGCCACCACACGGACTGCCTGACGCAGCAATATCCGGCATTGCTCGAACACAATACATGACACAAGCCGTTGGTCACAAGCTCGGCATACCTCCACCGAACGCCAATCTATCCCCTCTCCTACATCGGCTCATCGACGCTGACAGTATGGAGCGCATCGAGGCAGCAATCTCTCGACAGAAGCTTCCTCTACAGCCTGCCACTCCCACTTCTGAAACATCGTTGATGATGCCAACAATGTATGGCAAGCTACAAGACCGAGAGAGAGCACAAGTGCAGGCTGTTCTCGATGCAGGTCAACAGGTCTTCCCATCTGTCTCACCTCCTCGCTATGGCGCCCCAAGCTATGCCATGCAACCTGTCAGGCCTCCACGAACAGGTCAATATGACATCAACGATCCATCCTACCATCATGCGGCGAATATTCGCGACAACACATTGGCTCCAAACCCTCTACGCTCTCGCGACCCGAAAGTCCAAGTGGATCTCTCAATGGTGGCTCTGAAAAACCTTCATCAATACAATGCCAATCACATCGAGCACGATCTCTTCATGAGTGGTGGATTGGCTGCAGACGACTTACCCTACCAAGACTCCGAGGAAAATCAAACAGCTATTGCTGCTCTGCAAGAACCGAACGCCAGAAATTCCGAATTTATCATCAATGTTGACGACAAAGACTTTAACAACGGAGCGACAAATGCCAAAGATACAAGATGGATCATTCGACACCGCACTACTTCACTCTTCCCACCAGTCTGTCTCCTCTCAAGAATTCGCGATACAGCAGTGGCAGTGCACAACTCTCGTCGTGGCCGTGCTCGCATCTGCTCAGTCGTCGCCCAGCACTGCGCTCACGAAGTCAGATGGCGGGAGGAATCTCGCGGCCGTTTCATCGTGGACGACGACTTGAATGGTGGTTACCAGCAGAACGCTGTGGCAGTGAACCCTCAAGATATCCACGTCAGACATCCCGATATGCATTTTCAAAACATGGGACCGGAGAACACTATTCCTCAAGACATGAATTATCAGAACACGAACCAGGAGAAGCTTGGATACAGAAGACAAGGGATTTTCAACCCGCAAATCAATGCTTATGAGCTTGAGGAAGAACGACCTGAGGATCCGAAGTGGCGCACGGCGCAGGAGTGGCGCGAGGTGCTACGCACTGGTGGAAGAGACCTGACCGAGGACGAGAGATGGAGATTGGGTTTGATGAACGATCATCACTCTGTGGTTGATCTGACTGAAGACCAGGTGGATATGATGATGGAGGGTGATAGGCCTTGGGATATTAGTGCAATTGGTGGACATGGTAAGATGGTGTTTGATGGTGTTGTCATGAATCACATGGTTGGTGGTGTGAGAGGACATTTGGTACGGACACCTGATTGGGATTGAAGGACATTAGGAGTCAGGTATTGAGTATTTGGTGTATCTGAGTAAGACTGGCGTAGCTCTTGGGTCTTGCATATTGAAGAAATTGAGCCTGTTCAACCTTTAGCACAACAAGCTATTGGAGAGACTTGAATAAATAGCAGACGTACTTGGCGTACTGAAGTCATTTTATGCTACGTAAAGCCCTCCTGTACACTGTTCCAAGCCACACAATCTACGAACTTGGCCCCTTCTCCACCAAAAACGTCTAGGGCACTGCCGATTGTGAGATCAACTTTGCCATCACTGGCTGCTCGTACGAGCTCTAGATCTTCCACTGTTCGAGCTCCGCCTGCATAAGTGACTGGGATGGTGCACCACTCCGCTAACTTGGCGACAAGCTCGTGGTCGATTCCTGCTTGGAGGCCTTCGTTGTCGGCGGCATGAACCAGAAACTCAGAACAGAAGGGTTGAAGAATCGCTATTGTGTCTGCGAATAATTTAGCGCCAAGCTCGAAACATCATCGAGTGTGAAGATTGCTGAGAAGAGGCCATGACAGCAAGTCGGAAAAGTGCCTACCTTTGGTTATCTCCATTTCAGTCATGGTCTGCCATTTGTTCATAGCTACGAACCAGGTATCGTCCTTGCGCCTACAAGACAAGTCAAGTACCAATTTCGATTTGTCGTCATCCAGCGCTTTCAGCACAGACTGTAATCTTTCGAAAGCGAATCTTCCTTGTGGAAATAGGAATGAGGTGATAATGACCTACCACTTCTCAGTCATCAGCTCCGATATTCTGGTCTCAGCCTCGGATCGTCGCAAGCCTACCTTTTCAGCACCAGCATCAATCCATTGTTGTGCATTCTGGTCTGTGATGCCACCACCGACCTGCAGTTTGCCCGGCCACGCAGAAAGTGCTTCACGAGCAGCATCGTCGTTTCCTGGACCAAGCATGATCACGTGTGCGCCGAGACAGTTGGTCTCTTTGTAAAGGTTCGCATAGTAAGCTGCAGAATGCTGGGAGACATAATTCGTTTTGAGGTCGCTGTCTTTCTCTGTAAGCGTGCCGCCTACGATCTGCTTGACCTGGCCAGCGTGAAGATCTATACAAGGACGGAAACGAGTCATCTGGAGTATGTGAGCTCACAACAGGATGGCAGTAGCGTTCGCAATCTCAAGGGTTTGACTTGTGCATAGTGATGGATAAATTCGAGGTTAGTGCTGCACCCAGACAGGCAGGAATAAATCTGGCGAATATCGTTTCGGGCAACCACGAACATTATCCGCATGATTTCTGGAGCACATCGCTGGACATTCTGCAATTCTACGATTCGCGACATGACTCAACTCGTCTTGCATGTATGAAAACTCCCAGGGCTCGACTTACAAGACACAGAGAATGCATATTCGGTGCCTGTATAAAGCCAGCTCAACGAGACACCATGTGATTGAGGCCTGCAGTCATCCCGCCTGAGCAAACATTGCAAATTTCAGCCTGCAGGCTCTCATCGCTACTCTGAAATGTTCACTTTGGTGGCTGCGCAGTAAGACACAACATAGCATACTCCTACATTAAGAACTCCTTAAAATGCTGGGTAAAAGAAAACGAGAGACGCAGGTTGTTTCAAGAACCCGAGACGAAGCAGAATCTGAAGCTAGCCACCAGGGCGCAAGTGTGAACATCAACGATATTTTTCGCAAGCATTTCGAAGCGACCTTTTCGCCTCTGCCTGAGGAGGATACTTGCCAGGGCGGCGACGAGGATGAGGATGAACTTGACGACTCTGATGCGGAGTCGGAAGTTTCGGTATGGTCTGGGTTGTCCGAAACGAGAGACGACCCTCTCGTTGTAGAGGTCGTCGACTATGCAATTGCCAAACATGGCGATAGCAACGAGTTCCATCGTGCTCGACAGAAAGCTTTCATGGTGAGACTATCTCGCCTCACGAACCTACAAGAACATCAAACTCACGATAGCTAGTCTTCCCGACCTCCTCGCGATATTGTAGCCACGAACGAGAACCGACGACTAAAAACCCTGGATGAAGATGACCCTGCGGAAAAGCTCAATCTGAAACACGACCTCGATCTTCAGCGACTACTCAAAGAATCGCATTTGCTAGAAAAGTCCAAAGCATCTGAAAACCCTAGCAAGCAGAGACACATGGCGCTCGAGTTGAGATTGCAGGAACTAGGAGCTAAGCAGTCTATACTGACACAGCAGAAAATGCCCGCTGCTCACCGCATTGGCATGGCGAAAAAGGCGGATCACAGAGAGACACTTCGACGCAGAGAAGCGAAAGAGAATGGCGTCATCCTGGAGAAAGCTGCTAAGAAGTCAAAGAACGTTCGAAGAGATCGTGGCGTTGATGTTCCTGGTGTGGGTAAGTTCGCTGGTGGTACTTTGAAACTATCCCGCCGAGATATTGCAAGCATCCAAGGTCCACCAACCACTATCACACGCAAAGGCAAGAGAAAATAGCGTGTGGGATAGGAGAGTTAAATCGTGTCGTCGAGCCTCTAGTAGCTCAAGTCGATTTAGCTGCGCTGTAACTTGCTCGGCTTGACAGTTTGGCGAGCCGACTAGCAATGCTGTTTCATAGTCACCGAAGCGGGTAAGTTTTCGAACACTGTCGAGGGACAGCGCCGAGATCTCGAAATCAGCAAAGACGGCTTCTCTTCCTTATTGGGCGTAAGAGCTTGCGGGATACAGCTATGCGAGACTGCTAATGAACGACGACAAAGCGTCTGCCGAGCGGCACTCGAGGGGCCGCGGCGTATTCGAGGAATGACAGCAACTCTCTACGACCGCTCGCATGAAGTGCAATCTCGCTCGTATTTGATCTTTTCCTTCTATCGACCTCGATCACATTTTCCCAGTGATATGCAGCCAGGAGGGCAACACTTCACATGCCAACTTTGTGTCGATCACGAAACAAGCAGCCAATTGAAGCCATTGCCGTTGAGGCGTCAGCCAGGATTGGAGGTCTTCAATGAAATGCGCAGCCAATTATGGGGAACGTGTGCCATCATCCTGGTATGCATAAGAGCAAAACATCTGAAACCTTAGCGTTGACGCTTACACCTGCCACACAAAAGCAAGCAACACCCACCTGTGACCACACGCGCTTGTTTTGAAAATCTAGAACTCTAACTATTTTCAATAGAAGCAAGATAATGTTGTAAACTGCCAGACTCTTCCCATGGGCAAGGACCCTGGGTCTCTGTAACCTTTGTAGACTCAGCAACTCAGCAACACGAGCAGAACCTTGTACTCTGACGCCTTCTCCGTTCTGGAATATACTCTTTGAATCGTAGCGTGATTGCTGCGGAGTACTCAACGAAAAGCTCGATGGCAAGCTGCGAGTGAACTTCATGCATTTAACATTGCGGTTTCGGATCATAACGGTTCCTGAGCTCGGTAAGAATGGTGTCGGCTCTGTTGGTGGAAAATTAGCAAAGTGGTGGTGTCACTTCATGTCTGTCTTATGCACGGCCAGTCTGAGGACCATCAAAGTTAATGCACGATCCTGGTATGATCTGTAGTGGTTGTTCTTACAAACAGCTACGTATCCCAACCATAGCAGGCGGATATACTTTCCATCTTACACGCTGCTTGTTCTATGCTGATGGACAAGCCACTGGAACCTGCGAAGCTTGCAAGACGAATGGAGCAAAAGCACAGAGAATATCTCGAGTGTGGGCGCGTGTTTGAGGCATGTTTTGACTGCTGGCAGCCAATCAAACCGCGCAGCGCCAATGGCTCAAGCCGAGCGCTAGCAGCTAATGCTGGCTCAATCGTTCTCAGCCACTCGTTTCAGATGTTGATTCCGTTGATCAAGCACCGCACTGGATCTTGGGCGATGCGCTGGAATACACTAGTCACATTCAACGTCTGCTTCAAGTTTTGCGCACACAACGAAGTGCTAAGCACCGCCATCAAAATAGCTATTCGTCTTTACTGACACGTTTGAGCTTTCTGGTAGAGTGGTGGTCCCTGGAAGAAGGATTCCTTGGTTATGCCAATGTCAACAGAAATCGAGTCAATCTGACCTGTCAAGTCAGTTTTTCTTTCGGATATCAAGCTCTCTTCAAACGTGACTTGGTCCAGTTATTTGATTAGAAGACTTTTCGCGGAATGATTCATGCAAGTGACAGTGAAGGGAACGTTGTCCGAGTACTGACCGTTCGATATTGATTCGAGAACATAGTTCGGCTTTTGAGGGGAACTAACCTATCTGTAGCAAGGCTTGATACTTTCGATACATAGCACAAACATGAGTAGTATACCACGACACTGCTTCTCAGTGATGTAGAACAGAAATAACAACTGTCGATGGCCTTGGCAGCCAAAGATGGATCCTCTACCCAAAGCACGAGATGCCCACTGGGCGCGAGTTCGGGTCCCACTCCCCTAGACCCGAATCCCTGTAGTGGCAGCGCGGTCCTTTAACCATGCCGCATTTTGCACCGACCGCGTCCCTGGCTTCGCTTTCCCATATTTGCACCACATTCTACTCGTGGTGGAATTGGACGTTGTCTCACTTTCCTCTGCACGTCTTCCCTCTTTCGACCTTCTTCGGTCTCTACACGAGTTTCACCTTTCCCCACGCTGCTGTTGCAAGCTGTGTATATTCACTTTTTTGTCTATCTCAAGACTTTCTCTCTGCGAGGTTTATACTCGCTGTTTAAGACGCAGGTTAACGTCTATCCGAGTGAGACTAGTTCTCCTTTTCCCCGTCCACTTTCGTTTCACTGCGCCGATCGCTACATTGCGAGACTGCTATCGAGTATCAACCAGAACCGACGTCAGGACGTTCGGTACGAAGCAGGTACTTCGTTGTTCACTACACACATCATAGATACCCTCGCGCACTCGTTGTTAAACGTCCGAGTCTCAATCGTGGCCCACACGTGCCCAAATCGACAGCCCACAGACCACTTCTCATGAGAAGGTGATCAAGGACGTCGGTGATCAAACACAAACGGAACATTGGGCCCTTCCCCACCACAGAGCAGACACTTTTCACACAGAAACACTACTACAAGAACTCGTGTTTGAGCAAACTCGATTTGATACGCTTTCGATGTTTCCAGCCGGCGCGATGGCGCAGTCACAAAAGCCTGAGACTTTCATGCTCTCGAGTGAAGCCCAGCAGAGTCTACCTCAAGATGCACAGGTTGCACTGCAGCAGGTAGATAACCTAAAGTACTTCCTCATTTCTGCTCCTGTCGACTGGAATCAAGAACACCTCATCCGTCGATTCCTCCTCCCGACTGGCGAATACGTTTCCTGTGTACTGTGGAACAACCTCTTCCATGTCTCGGGCACAGACATTGTGCGATGTCTGTCTTTCAGATTCCAGGCATTCGGTCGACCGGTTAAGAACCCTAAGAAATTCGAAGAGGGTATCTTTTCAGATCTCAGAAATTTGAAAGCAGGCACAGATGCATCTCTAGAAGAGCCAAAGAGTCCTTTCCTAGACTTCTTGTACAAGAACAACTGCATTCGCACACAAAAGAAGCAGAAAGTCTTCTACTGGTACAGTGTTCCGCACGACCGACTCTTCCTCGATGCACTGGAAAGAGACTTGAAGAGGGAGAAAATGGGCCAGGACGCAACCACCAAAGCCATTGCTGAACCAGCTCTGTCCTTCGAGTTCGACTCATCTCAGTCACTGTTTGAGCAACTGACGAAAGCTCAACAAACTCAATCCTCGTCGTTTGCAGGATCAAATAGCATTTCAGCGCAACAGCCCAGTCAGTCTCAATCCACATCTCCTGTTACTAGAGCGATCGATTCTATGCCGCCTCCACAGATGCCCCAGCAAATGCTGCCACCACAGCCACCACGGACACAAGAGCAGTACCACCAACCGTCATATACCACCATGCCCATGCAACAGCAAATGACACATGAACCACTAGGTCAGCCAGTTCACCAGCAGGATTATGCTCAACAGATGTACTACGATCGGAACAATCATATGCGGCATTCGTCTATGCCTGCCTTTATGGAGTATTCTCCTGCCCCCTCGTTTGTCTCATCGCACTACGACAGCTTCAGTGCTCGAGGTGTCAGCTATGAGCCTATCACACCTCCTCAGCAAGCTGTGCCAGTTGGTGTGGAGCCAGCCTACATCGCTAATGAGGAGACTGGTCTGTACACTGCCATTCCTGAGATGAATACTATGCACGCGTACAATCCCATGGCCACTATGCCACCATCGACTATGGCTGGACCACAATTTACACAAGCCACGAGAGCGTTCGCGCCAACATACCCGATGATGGAAGGTTCGCCAACTTACAAAGCACGAAGGCGACGGTCTAGCATTCCTTCGTCCATCATGAATGCTGTTGCTGCCAACGCTGCAGCTCAGCTACACAACATCAAGACATCTCATATGCCACAGAGACCATCCGATCTCCGGCGATCGATGTCCAGCTCCGTCATACCAATGGCAGAGCGTCATGAAAGCACCGCAACACCACCGCCACCGTCATCACACCCATATCCTTCGACCTTGGTGTCTCGAGAACAATTTCATGATTACTCTCGACATAGCACGCCACTCGCAAGCCTGGAAGAGAACGCTTCTGAGCCTATGCAATTCCCAAACTTTGATGGCAACGACTATACCCAGTCATTGCAGACTAGCCCAGCTTCAGCTCAACGGCCAGGTCCCATTCGACGTGCTAGAAGTGCAACAATGATGGAGCTCGGTGTTCCTTACAAGTCTCACTCCTGCCCAATTCCTTCTTGTGGTCGACTTTTCAAGCGTCTCGAGCATCTGAAGAGACACGTCCGAACACATACTCAAGAACGACCCTACATCTGCAATCACTGCAACAAGGCCTTTTCTAGGTCTGACAACCTTGCACAGTAAGCCCATATTCCTTCTCCTGCACAATCTAGCACTAACATTGTCCAGACATAGACGAACTCATGAACCACAAGCAGATGGGCAACCATTGAGTGGCCTGAGTGAAGACGACGACTTCGAACAGGAAGAACTAGAATTCGGCTCAATGGATGACCTTGCTTCTCCTGACGAGATGGGTCTTACTAGATCTGACCTCCTGGGAAGAACATCTATGCCACCACCAACGAGCATGCCTCTTCCACAACCAATGCTCACACCATCTCAACTCATTCAGCCACAAATGCTCGCGCATATGTAAGTGATCTATTATGATCTAGAATTGTACAATCTCATATGTTGGACATACTTCAAAAAAGCTTTGCATAGCATATGGCGTCTGCTTCGACATCAAGTTCTTGCAAGCTTGTTTACGACCAGGTTACGAACTTGCAAAGTTGCTGTTAGATATTCTTTTGTCGACTTAGTCTTGCGCTTATTGAGTTGTTGGGCCTATGATCGCATCAGCCAGGCTTGGGCGTTATCATTGCTACGAGATGCATTTGAGGAGCTTGGTACTGCATTTTGATGCGTTTATTTTTCGATTACTTCTCTTCGGATCGAGTTCTGTACTCGAACTGCGGTTGATTAGCAAGCATTTGATGTTTCGGTGGCGCTTGTGTATTTGTATATAGCGACTGCTCGTCAGGACTGTCTGATACGAGCTGCAAGCCTCAATACGGAGCTGGTCGGCGTGACTAGCAAGTTTCATGAATCCAAGACTTCGAATTCACAAGTACAAAAATCGCGTTTATTTGACAACTCAGAATACTCATCTAAAGCGCCTGACTCAGGCTCATAGTTGCCATAGACTTTGTTGTAATTGCTCGAGGCCATTCCGATTTAGCTATTGGAACCACCACAACCTTGCGCGTTACCTACACCTGAATCTCCTCACTGCTCACAATCGTAGCAAACGCATCCCCCAACTCCTGCAAAACCACTTTCGTAACCTCAAGTCCACCAATTCCCGGAATGTCTCGGTCTCCAATCGCATCACTCACAACCACAACATCATACCCAAGCTCGGCCCCCGTCCTTGCCGTCGTACTCACACAAACATGCGCCATATACCCCACCAACACAATCTGCTTCCCCAAATCCCCCAGCCCCTTCAAATACTCATCCAAATCCGTCTTTCCAAACGAACTTGGGAAATTCTTCGCGATGACTTTCTCTGCCTGTTTAGGGGTCAATTCTTCGAATTCATCGAAGAGGGGTGTTTCGGAGGTGAATACTGGTGCGCCCTGAGGTGTTTGATGTTGGACGTGGATGATGTTTTTGCCCGAGTGGGTTGATTGGCGGTATTTTTCGAGGACGGAGGAGATGGCGCGGCGGGATTGGGTCACGTTGACGGTTTTGAGGATGCCGTCGGCGTATTCGTTTTGGGCATCGATAATGACGAGGGTTGAGGAGTTGATGTTGGGGGCTGAGGGGGGGATGCCGAGGAGTTGGCGGAAGCCTTTGACGTCGGCGCTGCCCATGGTTGGTGGAGGGTGGGTGGAGGTTGGTGTGGTTTTAGTATGTGGTGAGGTCAAGGTATGGAGTCCTTGGAACAGAACTTTGACTTGGAAGGCTGGTTAACAAGTCTTGAGATCTTGTTTGTAACCTGTGACTGTATGTTGTTCAGAATCTCTGGATTGTGAAGTACCATCATCCATGTCGGAGCACGTTCTTATACACTTTCCATTTACGCTATCGAATTGCGGGCAAATGGACCGGACGTCATCAGGCCGAGGCCCACTAGTGTCGGACCTCAATGTTCTTCAAAACTGTATACTGTCAATAGCATGTGTCGATATTTCAGTTGCAGAGTGTAGGCTGAGTTCAATACAGGCACTGTATTCACAAGCCATCGAAACATGTATAAGATCAGGGAACCTGCAAGCCTTCGCTTGACATGTCTTAGCATTTCTTGGCAGACTCGAGTTCCTGATTCAAGTTTGGGTAATAGAGTTAGCAAGTGGCGCCGGGACAGGAGCGTCTCAGAGATCCGAACAGCATAAACAGCACAAACTGGTAGGTTCTGCCAACGCAAAAACTCACAGGTAGGAGATGGTAGGTAAAACTACCCTGTCGAGGTCAGAAAGCATAATGAAGGCAAGAAACGGGACTAGTATGACTGGATATCTTTCAGCGACCTGAGCTTCGAACACACCAGAGTTGCCATCAACGCCTCTCTGAGATCTCAAAGGAATGAGCAAGACGTGGCCAGATGGTTTCGTTTTGAAGCCGAAATGGTAAGAATTCTTTCACAGCTGCAGGGAGCACTTTAAATTGTCTGAGTTCAGCAGCTTCAGGAGCCTGGACTTTGTTAGGTGTTTGGACAATCGACAAGAAAGATGTCCCATGCTCTGGTACGTAGTGCCTCGCGACCGAAATCAACCATTGACGGGATGAGCTGCTGAACCTGAATCGAGAGATTGAGTTGCTCCTGCTCCTAGGCTCGAGGTCTGGGTATGGTGAAAAGAAGTGCAACAGATGGCTTTCGTCCGTAAGCCTTCTTGGTAGGTCTGCACTAAGACAATCTGCGGGCTCCGTATATTCGAGCTGTTATCACCATTATGTGAGGATTTCATCATTTCCTTTTTGAGGCCATGGACACGTAGCCGGATGATCAGCTGCTCCCTGGTATTCAGTCTGATCGAGAGAGAGCGGCGAGTGATTACATGAGTATGCACATAGACATCTCCTCTGAAATGTATACGGTTGATAAAGTAGCCAAAGTGTGCAACCACGCCTGCTGCCGATAGACGTCATTATATGACCAGAACCGTAATGTACACCTGCTCTATCTGTACCAGTATAGCTGTAACGTCCTACACTTTGCTTAGAGTCAAAGACCTACTACAATTCTGATCAGCTGATGCTCCTACTTTGACGTACCAATTCTTCATCATCCAAATCATCACATCTACTTCACGATGCTGTTCCGACTAGCTCTGAGGCCAGCAGCGCCTTCTTGCAAGATACACAGTATAGGTCTTTCCCTCTCTCAGTCGACGTCACGGACCTTCTCTTCTTCTCCGATACCACTTTTTGCGCGTCGCATACCTTCTTCCTCGACTTCAACAGCAGCAGTGCCACTGCGCAGACATCCTCTCCTGCTCACAGCTGGCACCATAGCCTTCGCAGCGCCTTTTATTGCCTCGAGAACAACTACATATCACGACACAGCTGACTTTAGTACCACACCTTACTCCCATGGCAGGGATGCAAAGGTTCCGCTGAGCAAAGACGGAGGCAGAACATTGAATCCAGCTGCAGTACGACAAATCAGCTTTGGCAGTATATTAGGGCTTGGCTTGGGCATAGTGGTGAGCGCATTCAGCAGGATGTTGGTCTTAGTGTTTGGGCTGGGAGTTGTTGCTGCTCAGGTAAGCTCGATCTACACCCTAAACCGTGACTGCGCAGGCAGCATTCGATAGGCGAGAGCACATTGCTGACACGTCCGTAAATAGTATGCTGCCCGTCGAGGCTACAATATCTTCCCCATCGAGAGGTTTCAGCGCTACTTTCGAAACACCAATCTCAGATCAGCCATCAATGACAATGCTGCTTTCAAGATTAGCTTTGGTCTGATGTTTGCCCTGACAGCTCTAGGAGACTTTCAGTCGTGAAATCACAGGCTTTGGCAGGCTCTAACACTCAAAACATATGACGCAATCCCCTTTCCGTGGCTTTCATACCGGACCGTGTTTAGCATCGAGCAGATTGGTACTCGTGTGTGCTGATTTATGGCAGACATCCAGCATCGACAAGAGTGTTTAATGGTGCAGAGACTGTTTCTGGATTCGACCGAAAGAGAAGGCATTGAGGACAAATGCGCCTTGGATGGCACAGCTAGCAAATGGAAATAGAACAAATACTATTGGATGTGAAGAGCATGGTGTTGAACTTTACAAATTCATCCTCGAGACGTCCTTCAGACCCTGTGTTATCCAGCACTTTCGAAATGCCTAATATGAGGACTAAAACATCTCTAGATTCCTTATACACGGATCCTAGTCTGTCAGAACACTATCCCAACTCAATGTCACGTCCATGCATTACTCGGCCAGCGCCGGCCCCACCATCGCCGCCATTCCACATCTCCTGCCGCCATCACAAGCTTCATTTTTTCCAATGGAGAATTCTTGGCTTTCAATAAGTACACACATTCGGGGATGTGGTCTAGGTACGACTGACTTTTCTCTAATATGGATCTGCACTCTCTAACAGACAACAGTGGTATGACGTTTCCTTAGCATCGTTCAGTGGTGAAACCTGAATGGAAAAGGTTCTGGGTTCGATTCGTGAGTAATTGAGGCTTCACTTGATCTGTACCCAATCTAACAAAAGAATAGCCAGCTTCTCCACAAACATGTCTTTTTGTATTTTATTGCTTCGATTTCTTGAAATCTGCCAAATGCTTGGCTAACGAAAGTTGCTGACTCATATGCAGAGATGCGCCACGGTATCGGCAAGTATACGGATTGGCTTTCTGCGAAATAGAGGTGCACCATCTCCTGAGCGGTAGTCACGCTTCCTCAACTAGACGCCGAGCTTGTAAGCTGGAGTTGTGTATATAGCGTCTGTCGATTTACCTAGGATCTGCTAGGACTAATGAGGTTACAAAGCCTCGTCCTTCTATTTACACTATCTCCTCCGTATACAAATAGTGGTGTTGTGTCAGGGTACTCCGTCCTGATCTATCTCAATTAGTCTATTCTATCTAATTACGTACCTCTGGTGTGACAGCGATTCATCGCCTGAAGGGCGATACTAAGGAGCAGTCGACACGCAGTCTACTTATCTATCGTATCACGTGCCTTCCTTCTCCTCCGGGTCTCAAACTAGCCTAGTCTCTGTGACCGTAACATGTTGGCTCTACCGCGCTAAGAGCTACCTAGGCCTCTGTAGAGGTAGGGTTAGGCTCTAACTCGGTTCTAATTCGACCCTAACTTTACTAAGGCGTTACTACTAAATGTAAAATCAAATAAGGATTAATTAGATACTAAGCTAGAAGAAAAGGACGTAGTAGGCCGCTCTAAGTAGCTACGCAGCGCTAAGCCGCTAGCCCGTTTCACATTAGTCTCCGGCACAACGCTAACCGACACTTCAGCTCTACTTTGATTCAAGGATACGCTTGACGTCACGGAGACCCGACCTTGTTATCCCCATACAATTCAAATCTACAGGAGATATCTAAGGTAGTTTAGCGTGATCAGTGATGCTAATTTGATGACGTTCTACGCTTTCACTGCCTCGACAACTCGACTCAGCTCCCTTTCTGGTTAGGCATGCCATAATAAGCAGCTTACCTATGTTACCTTTCAATCTGCAGTCGGACCATTCTGGATATAACTCAGGTCTATTGTGATCGAGCACTTGCGTTTAATTGAATCCACATATACCCGCACGCAAGGCTAGACCCCGCCATGCCAGAATCAAAGGCAGCAGACACAACCAAACCAAACAGTGAAACCACAAAGTCCAGCACGATTCAGAGCGCAGTTCAACAGACCGCAGTATCAGACCCATCAAAGGAAGGCAAGGAGGAACCGAAGAAGAAGATGGGATTCTTCGAGAAGTGGCGGGCTAAGACAGCTGCCGGTTATGAGAAGCATCGTGCCAGGGGTGGGAATTTCTGATTTTTAAATGTTTGCTCAATGAATTTGGTGTTTTCAGTACTGGTGTTTTCAGTACTGGTGTTTTCAGTACTGGTGTTTTCAGTACTGGTCGCTATGAATATGCGTAAGGTGGAAATTCTGATGCATCGCGTACAATGTCGCCGGCAACGCTCATGTCCCAGCTACGTTCCGGTCCCTCCTAAATACCTCTACCAAGAAGCTTGTCGCACATTGTGAACATATGTCAATACCACAGACACGACGGTGTTCACGTTCACAATCCTCGTGACGTATCCGAAAGCGCTGTTCCGATCGACTCCCTCACCATTCCAAGACCCGGCACCTGGCCACAATGCCCAGTCGAACCAAAGCCTTTTGCAGAAGTGACTCCATCTCAACTGTAGATTCAATCGAACATACCAAAAAGTCCAGCAGCAATAAATGTCAAAACCGGTGGAAAAATCCAATGCTGCGTTGCACCACATGGAGCCAGTTTAGAGCAATGTCTAGATGTCTGTCGTCACCTTTTGGACCATATCAACAAGATCAAGCATTCAATCGACGAAGGTATTTCACGCGTGTCAGTCGCTTCCGAACATGTCGATGATGGAACCAAAGCTTACAACCTGGCGCCACGCCTCATGACCGATGCATTACAGATGTGCACTTACAATCTGAGTGCCGTCATGCAGCACTTGCGCGAACTTCGGACGAAGAGTAAGGTACCGGATGAGACGGGTGAAAGTCAAATGATAAGGCAACTCAACGAAGCGCGTCAGTGCCTTATCATACTTTCAAAAGCTCAGCAGCATCGAGTACATGCGTTCCAGGACATCACTATGGCCGAGGCCTCCCTTTCGACGGCAGTATCGACGATAGGTGACTTGATTCGTATGAGAGGACTCGATCTTGGGTCGCGGACGATTAACATTATGGGTCGAATGGATGATGAAACCCTACAGCAAATTAGCCTAGGAGACTGGTATGCAACAATTGGACCATCAGCAAGCCGAAAAGAGGCAAGTGCCACATTCTAACACATGCAACGATACAATTTTGCGACACACTGGATTTTTTCAGGCATCAAGTTTGGCTTCTCACGGACACAAGACTGAAATCCTTGATAAAAGCTTTCGCATTCAGCGTAGCGGTTTGTCAACATCTGCACCGTAAGAAGACAGCGTTGACCGGAGGATACAGGATCCGTCCTTAGGCAGCAAACTTCGGGCGTGCTCGAGGCTTCCTTTCGCAAGTTTTTCCACCTGTACATGATCTTGTCTTCAGTCAGTGCTAAACCTGCTTCATTTCTGATCTCACAGGCGAAGTAGGCAAAGAAGACGACTGTTCACCAGTGCTGCCCAATGACTGCTGACGTGGATAATGCCGAGAAATTCAAGACTCCCAACTTATCTATCTCTTAGTTCCACAGTGTCCTTTTTCCTGTTCTTTTCACAGTACGAGGCACTGACACGAACATCATTGAGAGAAGAAATATGGCTGATGTCGACAATGGGTGGTTAGAGATTCCAGGCGAACGCGTAGAATGCCAAGCCTGATGTAGACTAGTCCAGTCTGTCAAAAATGGTGGCCGCCAGGGCGTTGAAGCACTAGTACGATGCTTGAAGATAAGGGTTATGTGGTATACCCCTCCATTCGAGTACGTATAGTCCTCACAAAGGTATTAAGCTAGCCTAAATAGGGAAGGATCTATGTTACGGGTATTAGCGTATCGTCCGGCACAAACTAACGAACGTTCTAGGTTTTGATAGTAACATCACCTACTAGTTAGTACAGCTTACTCAATCGTCGCAGCCAATCACCAGCCACAGACTTTGAACGTGTGGCCTCGCTTGACCTGCCTTAGCGAGTCGTCTCGACATGATTGTTCCTTGCCTATGCCTTTCCACCTCCTTCTAACAATTCTCTGAACACGCTTTCGTCAATCGGGCTTTCACTGCGAATTTGGTCTCCTGTATCCTGGTTAGACTCTAGACCGACTCCACTATCATCCTGGTCTTCGAGGCTGTCAGGTGTTGGAAGATGAGCTTGCACATCTTTGACGTAATGTTGGTTGTCAGCCCGTTTCTCTTGCACATCCTTCTGATCGACTGTTTCTTCCACGCTGACCTCCTGGCCAGGCACGGATGGGACTGCTATCGTTCCATCTTGCCATCTGCGAATGAGTCTGCTGACATCAGCTTGATATTTTAGCACCTCCAACTTTGATTGTAGCTGTTGAACAAGATCTTGCTGGCTCTTGAACATGTGCTGCTGCTCTTCCTTTGTAGTGCCTTTTTCAGGGTTCAGGGTTGCATCATATTCAGGGACCTGAAGTAGGTTGTGAGGTTGAGCAAGAGCCTTGAGCTTGCTGTCATCGATAAGAACCGTGTTTGATTGATCCCAGCGATGGCCTGGACCCGCTGTGGTTTGAATGCTTATATCGTTCCAGACTTTACCGAGCTTTTTGTAAACCTGAACTTTGTTGTTATATTGTGAAGTAGTCAAGTCGAGTTTGTCGCGCGCCCACAAGGCAGCGAGCTTGTTGCGATAAGTAGGATGTAGGAATTGACTGACCATCGAGGCAGCAGAATCAGGTTTTGCTGAAGTATAGATCATGACAACATGATTATCAAAGAGGTAGTCGATGAAAGGGGCAACTCCAGGACGCATATAACACTTTTGACCTACAGCACGTCTGTTACGGTAAAGAAGAGTGCCATTGAGGTCCAAGACTACCAATAACTTTCTGGGTTCGTCAACCAGAATTGGCTCTTTGGAGGCTTTGGCGATGTAGGCAGGATCGGTCGTTGGTGGTTCTGGGGATTTCGTCCTGGACTTCCGTGGACTGGCGTGACGACGATTCTCGAACGAGTCAAGAGACTGGCGGATGTGTGCTAGATATGGGTCGTCGATGGCTTCGATCGACGGAACAGGCTGGTCTGGTTGAGTGCCACGCGTCGATCTGACAGGATATCTGTTACTAAATTCAGTGGTTGGTTGCACTGCTGATTCCACCAGCTTCTTCTTTTTCTTCTGTTTCTTCGATAGTGCTGGAGCTGGAGCAGGTGCTGCATCTTGAACCATCTTGCGCTCTGCGATGCCGTTGGATACTCTATACGCTTTGTCAACTCGATAGCTGGGATATCGAGCATATGTGTGTACTGACCTCAGTGGCTCATAGGGTTTGAACTTTGGGTTGGTCGGGCCCGCGGTACTGTAATTCGGCTGAAACGGGGCTGCATGGGCATTCAATGCTCCGGATGTACTGGTTGCGGTCTGTAGATTTGAAGCGTCATCTTTATAGGAACGCCAGGAATCCACTAAAGCATATATGTCAATGTTGGTCTTGTGGTTCTGCCTGTTATATTCACCTTTTCTCCATGGAATTGGGTTAGCAGGCGGGTGTTGCTGGAATTGGGGCAAAGGCTGGTAATTTAGTGGCTGCCAGGTAGGTGCGCCTGCTTGATACGCATGATGTGGGACATGCTGGTGATATTCTTGAGGTGGAGGTGGCGGGATATAATAGGTCGCCGGCAGGTATATATTGTTATTTTCCATGGTACAGGAACAGGCAGGAGCCAGGCGAGGTTTGAGAAGTGCGGGCAGGCTTGACAACCACTGTGGGAAATTTAGGTTAGCAGGTGCGATGTGGTAGGATGAGTGAACAGGAAGTCACCCCTACTCTTGTCGCAATCGCGCGGATTGATGCTTCCTGATTAGTATGTGCTTTGGGAGTTATTCTGACTCTTCAAGAAACTAAATTTGTAGAGCAGAGTGTGGTGCAGATAAGATTACGGAAAAATAAAGAAAGATCGCGCAGAGGTGTCTGTTCATTCAGGATCGGCTAAATTGCCTACTTTCGTTGTGAAGATTGTGCCACCAATGTGAGACACGAGCGACTGAAAGAAGCAGGACATCTTGCCACTTCTACTGCGATCCTACCTCTTGTTGTCGTGTACGAGCTTTGTTGGGCCACGAGCACCGTGAAAATGCAGCCTGTACAGCCACGGGACGAATCTGACCACGACGAAGACCTTGAGCTGCACACTAATTCCTCTTCGGCAGACGACGCGAGTGACCTTGATAGTGAGGCCGACGCAAAGTCGAATGATTCGCAATCTTCTGTCGCGTCCCAGGGAGAAACTGGTACGGATGATCTCAAGGACATCAGCTTTGGTGCCCTGGCCGAAGCTCAAGCGCGACTGAATCCAAACCCTCGCAAACGGAAACGTCCAGATTTAAAGGATGCTCCTCTAGAAGATAGCAACGACGATGTGCGACCAGCTCGTAGGCAGAATGTTTCAAAAGAAGAGAACTTCCAGGACCTCAGTCGGACATCCAAGCATGCCCCAGCAATCATGTCCAGCCGAAATCCTGTCTCAAGAAAGAGAGAAGTCTTTTCTCCTCCACCAGTCTTGAAGTCAAGAGATCCACGATTTGATGCTGCAATAGTCGCTGACGGTCGCCGTGGCAATACTTCTTCCACACAACGAGCCGCTAAAAATTATGCCTTCCTTAGTGATTACCAAGCAAATGAGGTTTTAGATCTAAAATCGCAGCTCAAGAAGACAAAAGATCCTGATCAACAAGCACAATTGAAGCGTCAAATCATGTCAATAGAGGCAAAGTTGCGCAATGCTCAGACAGATCAACGTGAAGCCGAAATATTGCAAGAGCACAAGAGAAAAGAAAGACAAGCCATCAAGGAGGGAAGGAAGGCCAAGCCCTACTACCTGAAACCCAGTGAAGTCAAAAAGCAGATCATACAAGAACGTCAAGATGCCATGGGTAAACGGGCTCGAGACAAGGCAGAAAAGAGAAAGAAGAAGAGGGAGAAGACCAAGGAGGCTCGAGATATGCCCCGAACACGACGCTTCGTTGATTGAACATGTCAGATAATCAGCAATACTACGAATGTGCCAGAGATCATAGACCATTTCTCGATGGGTCAATATTTTTACAGATACAGAAGCTTCATATCTTCGTCTTAGCTTGTGCGAACGAGGTAGGTCTCGATTGCTTGTCATCCGTCCAGTAAAGTGGATGTCGAAAGGTAGGTAGCCACATCATCTCGTTGCCTCCCTCGGACACAGCCCCTGTAGAGCATACAGAATGGAATACTCATTCTTCTCTCTACTGTCTTTCCTTCGATGCTTTGGTATACTGGTCGACATGGTCTGTGCACAACGCCTTTCCGTTCCCGCAAGCACCATCTATTGTCTTTGTGCCGATATTATCATACGCCCACAATGTGAACAATGAGACGTCTACGACCCTGCCATTGCAGTTGTTGAACTATGCAGGACCTCGACCTTGCTGGTTGTACAATATGTACAGCATCAAATCGGCAACGAGCTATCATCAGCAAACACAATAACTACCAGGGTTGTCTACGTCTCAGTGATGGACCCTCAGGGGTTCACGTCTCTCGTGCATATTCAGGACGAATATGTCCTGTACCCATACGACAATCGTGAGGTCTTGGATCGCTTCGCTTTACTGACCATAATCATTGCTATCATAGCACTTCTAGCCTCTTGCTGCGGTACTCGATACCGTGGTATCTCGACATTATGGCAGCCACATCCTTCTCGCAAACTCCCAACAGCAGACTCCTCGGAGGATGATTTCGATGCGGACACGCCTGTTTCACCATCAACGTGGTCTGCCTCTATTACCACCTCTCCTGTCGAATGGACTATACCAGACACAGCGCCCACCATACGATCTACAATTGATGGCGCTGCAGAACTGACACGTCTCCAAGAAGCATTCAGAGCCTACAGACTACGATCCGAGCAACGCCTAGCCAACCAACAAGAAGACTTTGCCAATGAGCAAGACGAGCTCGCTACACGATTCACAGACCTACACCACAAGATCCAACAGCTCATGTCTTCCCGAGGCCTCGAGATCCGGACTCGAGCACAAGGCCGCTTCCTCGCATCACTCGAGATCGAGACTGAGACCATCGATACCGAGGAGTTCATAAAACGCGAGCAGGAGAAGTTTGCTGAAGAGAAGACACAAATGCAAAGAGAATACGATCACAAGCTATCCGAGTTGAGAGCACAGCTCGAAACAGAGCAAGTCTTTGTCTTTAATATGGAACAGCGATCTCGAGCTCTCGTTGGTCAACAACGCGACCTCTTCAACGCACTATGCCAACCTGATATGCTATCGTCAGAGTCAAATACTTCAACTCCAACATCCCTACGGACTCCTCAACCAGAATCCAATCCCAACATAGAAGCAGCAGAAGCAGACAGCGCCCGAACCAACCTTCCATCAAACCTCGACCATATGCAAGCAAGCATCAAACAAATGACCACAATAATTCTGACCCTAGAACAACAAATCCTAGAACTTGAGGAAAACTACAAACGCGTCCTTGCATTGATGGAAAAATCGTGGTTCGGGGAAGTGCCCTTTGACGTTTACTATCCTGATTATGCTCCGGATCGGTTTAGGAGCAAGAAGACGCCATCTCCAATCGAAAGAATAGGGGGTTTGGAGAAGCCAAAACAGGATTTGTACGAGTCTATTGAGGGTGATGACGATGATGATGGTTTGCCTGAAGGGGACTTCAGGGGAATTTTCAATCCCGGGAATATACCGGCGCCATTAAGTCCTATGCAGGATGGAGATAGGCATTATGAGCCGCCAAGTGTTGAGTCATTGCCGGACACACCGAAGAGCCCGGTTGCTGAAGGAGATGTTCAAGAAAATAAATCAGAAGAGCCCATCGTAGAGCTCATTAACCCACCGGTACCACCACCGGAGAGTCCTAAATTGCCAGTGAGCGGACATCGAGGTCCAAGGAAGCGAAGACCTGATTCCATCAAAGTTCCTGGCAGAGGAGGTCCTCCAGACCCAGGGAGTCCTGGAGGCGGGGGAAGTCCTTCACCACCAAAAAGCTCTGGTCTTCCTAATGGTAAGCCTCGTCCTCCAAGACCTCGATCCGTGAGCAGTCCACTGCATACTGCGACCTATCCGACCACACCTGGATCAGGATTTGTACCTCGAAGGCCAGAGTGGACTATTCAGTCACCTTTCTTGGCGGATTTTACTACTTGGGCTAAGCAGAGTCCAAAGTACTCGACACCACCACCACCACCACCAGAGCAGAGGGAGGAGGACAAGGACAATGACGATATCGAAGACGATGAGGAAGGGGACAGTGATGAAGAAGAGGACGAGGACGAGGACGATTTCTCTCCAGCAGATCCGATTAACACAGCACAACCTGAAGATGATTACACGGAACTGATCATCCAGCTGTCGAAAACAAACAATGCAGACCACCTGGTCAAGTACTTCTGGTCACTCAAAAAGTCTCAACGCATAACAGCCTTTACAATGTTTCGCTCGCAGGGTTGGAAAGCATTCTGTAATTACATGTTACTTACAGGATTGCAGCCGCCCCCACCACAACCCAATCAGCAGCAGCGGCAGCCACCCGATGGTGAGAACTCTGTAGCAAGACAGCGAAGATTGATCGCTGAAAGGCAGTTCGGAATAGACTTTCCCAACGGCCATCGAATAATCCCGACCTCAGGAGCAGGTGACCTGTGCGCCCCTGAGGCTGCGGTCAACAGCTGGCGTGCTCAAAACCCTGGCTTGCCAGCGATGACGGTCGCACAGCTGCAATTGGAGGTCCAAAAACTCATGCGCAATACGGTCTTTGCGAAAAACTTCGGCATCGAAGCAACATATTGGGGCGCAAGTCAACTTGCCCTAGCTGTACACAAGTGGGGATCCCAGCATAATCTCAACATCCAGCTAGGTTGTTTCTCGCCTGGTATTCTCACGCACCTCGAGACTTTTAAGGAAGTTTCCAAATTGCCTGTGATTTATTTGTGGGTACACAATGACAATCGCCATCAAGAGGTAAATGGACGTATCATTTCCAAGGGTCACTGGTCAGGATTAGGACATAGATATGGGAGTGGCGATACACCTGGAAATGGTTCATGGGGACGAAGCAGTCGAAGAGGGGGAGGCAATCGTGGAAGAGGAGGTAATCGTGGAGGACGCAACCGTGGAGGACGAGGCAATCGAGGAGGAGGACGTAGCGATAGAAGAGGTGCTCGAGGCAGAGGGTAGAGACTGCTCAAGTGTTAGTTGGAAATTCAAAGTAGTATGCCCGGTTCTTAGATAGGCCTTTTGAGTCTTGAAGTTGCTACCAAATACAAGTCTCTCCTGTGTCAATGCTGTGGAAGTATATGCTGCTGTTGGCCTCTGCATTCCTCATGTTCTGCCTGTTTCTCGATGGAAGATCTGTTGCTATGTTCTCAATTTCTTTGTCTCTTTTTTGCTCTGGCACGACCCAGTTCGAGCTTCGTGGCTGGTCGAGCTGGGCATGATATAAGCGAGGTTTTCGTAGATAAAGAACTAAAGCTGTTATATCTAGAGTCATTCGTCAGCTTCAATAATGTTATATATGGTTGTATATGCATATCTCGGCTGCTGTGGTGTGTACTTGTGACTATTCAGCACATGGCTACACTTACGAAAAATCTCGAATCCGGGAGCTCTTTCGTGCAACGAGCTGGATCAGCGGGCATATATACAGGTACTGTAGGAGAAGCTCTCCGTTGTAGCTACGTAGAAAGCAAGTAAGAACAAAGGCTTGCCAGTGGTAGGAGGATGACGACCTGAGTGCACAACTGAGGCATGCCTGCAGACGCCCCTAAGGACACCTGTAGTTCTGAGTCGTTCGAGCCTGATTGTAGGCACTTTGAGCACCCACTAACCGCTAAGCATGCAGCGCAGTCAAATCTTGCCAGCACACGCACCGCAGCCACCTCGCCGCCGTCAGTTCCTATCTTCAACCATCTTCCTTCCACCACAGTTGCCGCCTCGAGAGCCTCGTACAAGACGAAAGCAAGCATGGCGCCACCTGTTTTGGAACCCTCCCGGGTCCCAACGGGGCTAGACAAAGGAAATTCGTAACTTCGTAACAAAGGAAATTCGTAAGGTGTGTGGCTCGTAGGCCCGGCATGTAACTTGCAGCAAGCAGTGGGTGCAAAACGTTAACCAGGTCTTGATGATGACCGCGCCAACGCCAAGGGTCCTGTGGTCAGGCAGTACCACCACAAGTCTCCGGTCCATCAGCCCATCGACAAATGCAATGGTCGCGAGACCTATGGTCAAGCGGTATCATTGCAAAGAGTCTGAAGACTCCTCCCCTGCGAATGTTAGTGAGCTGCTTGGACAAGAGGGAGAGATAGAGAAGAGAAAAGAACTTACTAAAAAGGGTTTGTCGTCAAGTCAGCAATATACTCTTCGGCAGTGAAGACGAGGTTGCCAGTCTCAGTCTTCGGCCGGAAGAGATAATCTTGCCATTGCTCACCAGTCATTCTGGTGACCCCTTTGGCTTGTAACTCCTTGATGGAGTCGGGGCGCGATGGCTCGTCGTGATAATCACGAAAGTTTTCGGATCCGAACTGGATCTGTCTTCGTCGGAGGACTTCGGAGCCCCGAACATCGGTCGCTGGCTTCTAATCGGCGACCGGGTCGGAGCGAGGAGGGGCAAAGCAGCAGAGGCTTTTGAAAATGGCCTTGACCACTGATGTGATACCCATTGTGGTGAGGTAAGAGGATCGTGAGGAATGTGTGAGAGTGAGGTGGTTTGATAGTCGATGGTTAAAGCTGTTTGGATCTTGGTGCTGTATGTCTCTTGTCAGTAATCTGAGTGAAGATGGTGGAAGGGAGTTACTAACTTGTTGTGGATACTCGGTGAGTTGGAAAGGAAAGAAAGAGAGGAAGAGACAAGCAGCTGAGGAGCGAGGTATTTATGCCCTTCTGCTGTGCTCTCAGATCAACCATGGATTCTCAGATCAACCACGAATCCACAGAGCCTTTGAGAATTTCGAAATTCGATGCTGGCCCTTCTCGACAGAGAGCACATTATGCGCCAATCATGTTGTGAGAATGTCTGGCGCAAGTGTGGACATTGAGGTTCGTGTAGATCAGAGGATATGGTGGACTCAAAAGGACGGGCAGGCTTGAGACTATACTGCAATAGGACAACTTTTCCCTGCTCTCATGTGCACGACGTACTGCCACACCTCGTACGCTTCTTGGTCGTCGATATTGCTCTGTAAATGCATCGCATTGTTTGATACTAGTTCATGCATCAGCACTCGAGACATACCCTCAGAAAGACAACAATCCTCCTGCAAAATCTCTTCAAGCATGTACAACGGCATGGTAAGTCCTCAGTCCAGCTGCTCTGAATCTCTGATGTGGAAGTGGATCCAGGAGGCTATAGTATGCGCGACATTTTAGCGCGGTCGATCATCTGTTATCCACTCCTTAATAGCTGCCATGGGCGCTAAGTGGTAGAGGGTCCAGCTTCGAACTTGTCGCAAAGTTGAATACTGCAAATTCTGCTGCTTGATGTTGCTACAATCGATGTGCTCTGATGAAAGTCGAAAACTGTAGTGTGTTGCGACTTTCCAGTGTAGAGCTCTTCTCTTGCAAGGAAGCGGCAAGCTCGTTGAGTGAGAGAGCACATGTTCGATGGCGGCCATTTTCCAGCACACAATGGCTCAGGTTCACGCTCAGCCTCAACTATCAGCTAGTTCGTGGAGTCTCCTGTACGTTTTGTCGTTCATGAATCCGCTTGGGTCCACCGCGCTTGACAATCTACAGACTTGATGGTGATCCGTGATGTCGAAGCGGACCATCCCATTCTTTTCATTTCGGTGAGTTGCTGTTGATCTGAGATGCGCTCGACTGGTATTGGTCCAAAAATCGACATCAACGCTCTTTAATTGAAGCCGTTTTTTGTCCATTTGCAAAATTGGAAGCTGGCCGAGAGCTGCTGATCTGGCAGTCTTTGGACTGACGTTTGACGAAACTCAATGGTCGGTGTTGATCTGTGGCAGTCAACTCGTTTCTATCTCCTTCTGTGTGTCTCTGTTGCCTCTGGCTCCATAGTCGTTGAACTCGTCGCTAATCTCTTTTGCGAAACTTTGTATAGTACGTCTTGCACATCTCTGCTGGTCCGTAAAAAGCAAGTGCAACATCATACCTCATTGGCTTGCTGCTTCCATTGCGCTAAGATCTGCCATAGTATAGGTTGAAGCAGCAGGTCGGTTCGAAGTGCTGGGATTGAAGGCTTTCATCAACGGATAGATAGCTAGATTGAGGTCGTAGGTAGTCCTATGCCAAGATTGCGCGCGTTGTCTTTGTAGAAAGTAGAGTAATCAAGTCTTGATTGGCAGCTAGTGTCAAGGATCAGCCCTGAATTTGTTTTCAATCATGTACCTCTTTGTCCGAGGACAGAGTCTCCCTCGTCGATGTCTTACGTGCTAGCTGAGCTCACAAAGTCAGCTTCGGACCGAACGAAGCGGCTACGATGGCTTGGGACATCAGCTTTTGATTCTGGCAGTATTGTAGAATTTGGATAGCCACTTGTAAAATAATCACTTGCGAAGTGCTAGCCCTGATGAGCTGAGAGCCTGAACAGCATGTGATGTGTATCTAAGATAAGTCGCGTTCGAGTAAGAGTTCAAGCACCAACGACATATTGGACTTCTGCTAAGTATATTCACTGCTGCATTGGTGAAAGAGAAGCACGATGTCTTGCTAGAGCTCAACGCCTAACCCATGACAGGAGTAGGATTTCGTAGGATCTCACAGCTTACCTGGAGGCAAGTGGACCTTACGACATAGGCAGCCATGGAATCCAATCGCACAAAGCATTACAAGGTGATTGTAAGGACGGTGGAACAACTCGTTGTCATGCCACAAGTGAGCTCATTGTCGCTCCTCGAAACAGATAGGTATAACTAGCCGCGTCTCTCCCCTGCGGCTAATGCTATATGCGGCCAAGCTCTGATGAGCAGGTCGACGTCTCTCAGACCGAGCTCATTTTATTGTTTCGTGACATTAGGACAAGACCCGATCGAACACGGCTACATTGATGGCTTACAGCCTGAGCTTCGCCGTAAGACAGCTGCAACGTGGTCTGGCAAGCAGACGATCTTGATGCTCTCCCCAATCGGTTGAGAACAATGCGGTCGCCATGATCAGCTCATGGACGACCTGCATTGATCGAATCACAATAACGCCTTCTCGTGATCGACGTACTAAATGATTCTTGATCAGGCCATGCATTCGCGTTGACAGTGCTTGCAGCTAGACTTCAGCTTTTGTCTCTCTCTTCCACGACCACACAGGCTCGCGACTCTCGTAGCGTTCGAGGATGCCGAGTCCGCTCATTCGATGTCGTAACAATCTTTCGAACGTTTCCCAACAGCAGCAGAAGATACCGGCACCAAAGATATCTACTCTACAATACCAAACCTCCTTAAACGTGTACGAAACATGTCCTATCACGATAGAGGTGGAAAGTAGCGGAGAATGAGGTGAGATTGGCAGCAAGAGGATGATGGTGGTATACTTTGACATACCAAACACCAAGATGTGGTACAAGTCCTTGGGCGTTTATATCGTTTCTGCCGGATTGAAGCTGTCCTTTCAAGCTCTGCACTGTATCCTGGAGAGCGTCCATTGGCCTTAAACATTGAACTGCACATGCATGACTTGGACAGCACCCAGAGGTTGCATCTAGGACAACTAACAAATCGGCTATATACATCAAATGCACGTAGCATCTGCGTGACACATTGTCGGGCCTTAGTAGTACTTGCTGGACGTTCTGGGAACGAGCCTGAGGTTCTCGCATCGGACGCCAGCATCAACGACGATGTCCTTCGCACGAACCTGCTTAGATCCATCATCATCACACAACTTTCGACGTTTCGAGCGCCGAGGCTTTCGAAGAGCTCATATTTGAGCGTGACCTGGCAGTCAAGTCCGTTTCCACAACTGAAACTAGGCCGGGCCCTCCTTCAATTGCTGTTTGAAAGAGCCCCAATATCTGCACGTTGCTTGTTCGACCTTGGGTTCGTCTTTAGGACTTGCGTTCTTTACAAGTTGAGCAACTGCTTGGTCAGGCGCTTGCTAGTTGCCGCAGAGTTTGTCAAGCAGCAATACCGTTACTCGACACCTCAACCTGAATTTATTGTTTGAGCCCTGCAATGCTCTGAGGAAGGAGCTTCGGCACCCCAGCTTCTGCATCTGCAAGTTCACTCTCCTGGACGCCACGCCTTCGTGCCTTGGGCCAGAACGGAACAAAGCAAGACGTGCAGATCAACCAGCAAGAGTTAGTCACTTTCAACAACAAGCTAAGCATCAGTGCGTATATATGTACGCAGATCGTATCACGACACTGGCGAAATCCTGTTCTCCAAACTCGCTGATGTCGATGAGGTACTGTGTCGAGCTGGATCTCAACCCAGGATCCATCGTTCAGCTCTTCGTTCGAGCAGGTAACCAACCAGAATCACCGTCGTGCATTCGTGGGTTAAGATTGTACCGAGCTGGAATGCAGACACAACATCTGCATTCCATTTGTGAGACAGAGCAGGCCCCTTAGTACTCCGTACTAATGCAAGCCTTGCTGGCTACACGTATAAACCACCGCTTGCTGCAACGTCGTTGATTGTGCATGAACCCGAGAGGATGTCGCATTCTTGGCGAGCAGACGATAGCGATACCATTGCTTGTCATACTGACAGGAAATTTCCAGAGCAATAGTCTCCGACCTGGCCAGCATTGATGCTCGAATTGCTGACAGCTGGTAGGAACTCAGGTTCAAGGATAGTCTGTGAAGGTGTGCTTGTTCTGTTGAAGTTCTTGTTCACATCCAACTCTTATTGATATCGGCAACCGTCGCCGAGGAAGCGCAAGCTGTCTTGCTGAGTCGTATGGAAGGAAGTCTGCGAGAGGCTGCAATACTTTCGCTGTCCTGGTATTAGTCAACGCTTTGCGGTATCTAATTCGTGACAATTCCAATCGCGTGCCTCAGAAAAGGTTGTCAGAGACTTGGCAGTACGCAGGCGAGATACTGCGAACTTGCGAGGCGGTCTCCTCCATACTACCATATCGCGGGCCTGCAGAGCTATTCCAGCAAGGAACGGTTGAGCGTGATCGAGGCTACCTTGCATCGGACAGTATGCAGACTCAAGGGTGTAGAGCACCAAGTACGTCCGGAACGAAAACAAGGTGGAGGCAGATCGTTCTATTACTCACAATTCCGATTTCCAGCACGGCCCTCGCAAGTGACGCGGAAATTGATTTCCAACAACTTTCTTCTACACAACAAAAAGTTACCATTCGCATTTCCTCTGGGCACTACACCGAATCTGCTGCCAAAACTTCGTACTTCTTGTACCTACGAACCAGTTGCGACCGACAAACGACGATGAGTACAATCACGAGTGAAGCGCTAGAGCCTGTAGACCCCATCTCTCGACTACCATCAGAGTTGCGCCTAAACATTTGGGAACACGTTATCGACGACTGGGAGCTCTGGCCAATTATGTACGATCCTGATGAGTTTCGGTCGTTCACACGGGTTAGTTTCCGCCATCGACCCCCTGTAGATCTCCTCCTGATTGCACCTCACTTCTACGGCGAAATCAGTCAGGTCATCAAGAACAAATGTAACGGCACGTTTGTCGTGAACAACGGTCTCGAACTTTCCGCCTGGAACCGAGGCGGCCTACTGAACCTGATGCTGTCACAATACGGTCACCTTGTCCGCCGCTTCTTCGACATCTGGACACTTCTCGAGCCTAAAAACGACCCTTTTTCGTCGGTCCAGTGGGCGATGATGCCGAACATTGATACGGTCGTCCTTGATGGCTCTCTCCGAATGTGGCTGTTTGAGCTCGATCCACAGCCTGCGCTACTCGATATCTTGTCCAGAAATTGTGATGCCCAGCTGTGGAAGAGCCTACGGGAATATGGTGCATACCGCATGGCCGCCGACGTCTACGACCTGCCCTCGAACGTGATTGCTCATTTTCGCCTTACTGTCAACATTCGGTTGGTTTGGATTCAGCAGTTTCTCAAACTAGACCTTCCAGGTGATTTGCTTGTAAGTTTCAAGAGAAGGAAAACCCTGCCACTTCTCTCGTTACTTGTATGACTCTAACACGATTTACAGCTATTCGAATTCACGATGTCCTGGAAAAACGTCCAGCGTGCCGCGGCAGACAAGGACTTTCAGGTTTGGCCTGGCCACGGTGAGCTCAAGATCAAGTTTGCCTACACAGAATGGTATCAGGAGGCGTGGATCAATGCTACGGACAAGACAGAGTTTAAGCGGGCTGTGCTTGAACCTGAACGATGCGAGGAGGATCAATGGCCGTCACAGGCGGAGCTCGAAGCCATCCAGATACCAGCTGACGACGCATATCGAGCAACTACGGTACCAAGACATCATGGGGTGGACTTCGATGCGGTATTGAACCTGAACGCCTGTTCAGATTCCATCATACCTGATTGAACGATCACAGATTCACCCGTCTGTCCTGCGGGGCACATTATCTATCCATGGTGTGAATAGGTAGAAATAACTTCTGATACCACGGATTGTCTTATATCAAGTCCGGCGAAAAGCGTGCTCGAGCCAATGTGGACATCCCTAGGGCCTGTGCTGGTGAAAGCCTGGACCTTACTCTCACGTGACCAAACTCTAAGGCAGTAAGGTTTACTTGACTGGATGGCTATTTATACTCGATATGAGTATTCACTAGCATGGGCTTCACATCGATTGTCACAGCAATCCTCGACGGTCTTTGCTGCTTTACCAGAGGTGCCTCGACGCCGACAGATCCAGAGACTGGGGCCGCTGGCACTAGCAACCGCTACAGAACTCTCGCTGGCCCCGGTCGAGCCAGGCTGGCCTGCGATCTTACGGCCTAGATAGCATCTCAGACCTGAGGATCGTTAAAGTCCATTGTGTTTTTCTAGTGAGAGCATTATGCACACCAACTGAACGACGAAAGAACTACACTAGTACAGATGATTCGGTTTAGTGGTCTTGTCATTATCGATAGTTGTGCAACTTGTCTGTATTTTGGGTCTATGGTGAGATCGAGTTCTTCCCCGGCTAAGCCCGTATTCTGGTCCGGGTTTGATACCACAAAGTTTTCCAACCAGGGCCTAAATACCTAGACTCGGCAGATTTTTTCTTGTTCTTGGTAGCTTCGAGTTTCAATACAATGCAGCATTTTTCAGTATTGAATGACCAGTGTTGTGAAGTGCGTACAACGTCCTGAGACTCGTGGAACATCACGTCACGGTGAGTGATCCTCGAACATGCTGCTCGAAAGTACCACTAGCAAAAGAATGCGAGTCATGATCCGTTTTGCGCCTTTGGTTGTCGGTTATTCAGCAAGTTCGCTACCCGTACCAACTTAATGTGCGAGAAGACAAGGATCATCCAGTTCCTCACTATGATCTGAAAGCTACATCTATACCGACAACAGAGATGACAGGTAACTTCCAACTTGGACCCCCTGCGATATACGAACATATAGCTTCTACGCGTAGTGTTGGTATCCTTTAGATGTCTGCCACGGCATTGGGTTGACGGATGGAGTATGTGCTATTCTCAGATGGTACGACCTAGACACAGCAGGGTTCGGAGGTCTTGACGAGAACAATATGGTGGCTAGCCTTTCGAAGAATGATAGTCTGATTGTGGAAGGTACACTTTTGCCAAAGTCAGCATGCATATGAAGGACTGAACTCACCTGATGGAAGACGCGAACGGCGACCTTAGAGTCACCAGCGATGCTTCTCCTGCAAGTACAATACCTTGCCCTTGTGTTTGATGCTGATATGCTGTAGATGTATAATGCCGACAATTGGGTGTTCTGTGCGATCGAGATCTTCCTGAAGAGATACTTCAATCTCCCATTTGAGTGGGCTGATCCGCCAGACCGACGAAATGGACGACACTTTCCACCAGATCATCCACTATCTCCTAATCATGTACCGGACGAACCAACAACGAATCCAGAATCTCCTCAAGCGATGGAAGTGGATATTTAAATTGGGAGTGGTCAAACATGTGATGTCAGGTGCTTTGTTGTTGGAAATATCGAGGCGATACGGAAGATGTTGTGGAAACGCGGCGATGTAGGACGAAAAGCAATGCAGATCCGCTCGTGCCAGGGCCAGTAGATGTTGAACAACACCTGTGTATGAAAGAAAAGGGGCTCTACTTTACTGTTGATGCCCCAGGCATCTCTTCTCACCCAAACATTTTTACTCCGCATGCGATCTGACGTTCTGTTTACTCATCCGGCGCGCCCTGAACTTCGACTGCTCATTCGTACCTATGGCACGTCTATACGTGCCAACACGTGCTATATTTAATCAATAATGGCTGGGAGGCCCCCAGTGATTACCTAAACTGTTTCTCGCCAGTTTGCAAGCATTCGACTACAAAGCGCAGAAGTATATTCTTAGCCGAAGTCTTATCTCCCTTTCAATGTCCTAGTCCCCGCTATCCCGACGTCTCGTGAGAGCATACTGTCGACTTTTTTTCACATCGACTGCCTATCCTTAACCTCTTGACTTCTTATCATGGCTACCGATCTGCGCCATCGCACCACAACTACGTCTCCTATTAACCATGTCGACGCCAATTACAAAAACCCCAGCGTCAGCTCAACACCACGTCCTCCCCTCCAATCTCGAGTAACCAACCATCCAGCAGGAGAAGTGAAACACGGCCTACCGAGTCAAATCCTCAGAGCGGTAGTCTCGCTAGGCTGGTTCCTCATCTCCTGCGTCTGCATTCACATCACTCAATGGCTCGGTGCCCCTCTCTACTACTGGGATAAATCCTATTTTTACGCCTGGATGGCTTTGTCGAAACAGTCGTTCGCAATCATTACCATAATGCTCACACAGTGTTTCTCTCCAACCACGATCCGATTAAGCGGCGACAGTAGTATGCGCGGGCAGTTTTCAAAAGCAAAGGATGGCTCAGGATTGTTGGAGACGCGGTTCCCAGAACGGATGGTTCTAATCTCAAATCATCAGATATACACGGATTGGATATATCTGTGGTATACGGCCTATGCGAGTCGTATGCACGGCGCCATCTATATAATCTTGAAAGAGAGTCTGAAATACATTCCACTTATAGGATGGGGAATGCAGTTCAATGGCTTTGTCTTCATGAGCAGGAAGTGGGACACGGATAAACCCAGGTTGCAGCATCGTATGCGACAGCTTAGTACGAAACATGCTGTGAAGGTTGCAGGTACTGGAGGAATAGTCAAGACTGACGCTTCGAGTGGATTAGATCCGATGTGGATGATCATCTTTCCGGAAGGCACGAATTACAGCGCCAACACGAAGAAGAAGAGTGTGGCTTGGAGTGAGAAGAGTGGAATCCCGGATATGAGGCATCAGCTACTACCTCGTGCTACTGGCATGTTCTTCTGCTTGAACGAGCTCAAAGAAACGGTCGAATATGTATACGATTGTACCGTTGCTTATGAAGGTTCACCGAAAACCGGCTATGCGCAGGACTACTTCTCGCTACGCTCGACCTTCCTCCAAGGACGACCACCGAAAAGTGTCAACTTCTACTGGAGACGTTTCGCCATCAAGGACCTGCCACTTGACGACCAAAAAGCTTTCGAGAAATGGATCTTGAACTGCTGGAGGGAAAAAGATGACCTTCTCGAGACGTTCTACAATACTGGCCGGTTTCCGGCAGATCAAGACTCGCAAGCAGAGCCGTACGTCGAGTCGCCTGTCAAGTTGAGGAGTTTGGCCGAGCTCCTGCAACCTTATGTGGTGGTAATTACCGCGGCATTACTATTGAACATCGGTAGGATGCTCTGGACACGGTTTATCTCGAGACTATGGATTGCTCTACGTCCTGGCGCAGAATAGATCAGTCCTGAATTACACATTACGACCTTAAACCAACCTAACCACTTCTGCTTCCTGATCTCTGCTTTCGTCCTATTGCCCTTCCATTTCCACTCCCCTCCTCACCACAAACTACCCTCAAACAATCGTCATTTACACTTCCGCCCATCCTTCGGTCCCTGTACTCACCCGTCCTCCCCATCCCTCCGAGCACCCTTAGTCCAATCGAAATCATCGCTTACGCACCTGAACGCCGCATACCCATGCACCCCGTTCTGCTTCTGATTTCGGCCTTCGTTATGGTTGGCCGTGTAGATCCAGGGGCTGTCGCATTCGGTGTCCACCTGGCAGTCGGCCCAAAAATAGCGTTTGCAGTTTAGGCGGTCTGAGATCTGAAGAGGGGAGAGAAACGTTAGTATTCATAAGAAGGGAAACGATTAGTAAAGAGAGTGATGATTGTGACTGTGACTTACAAACATACTTCCCAGCTCGAAGCCGGGGAGTGATGGGATGGCGTTTATCATCCTCGGGGACGATGGTGTAGTTTTTGCCGACGCGGAAATTTGAGCCTGCTGAGCTTTCTTTGCCCCAATAGGGGTTTTCGAAGATTACGACTCCTTTTGGGGAACATCGCCAATCCAGTCGTTTGGGCCTGCTAGGGCTGTTGGAGTCAGGAGCAGGCTGAGGACCGCTAGGATGGTGGTGCTTGGGAAATGCATCTTGTGAGGATGTGGACGTGATTAGCGGGGCTAAACGAGTGAGATATAATGGAAGATCGGATTGTATGGAGTAAACGAATGATATGATAAGCGATGGGATAAAGAGTGAATACGTAGCAATGATAGAAGCACGATATCTGGAAATCTATAGATGTGCGTTCATCGATTGCTAATCTCACAGTTTCAGTCTCCTTGTCTATTGTTGATATTGTTGAGGCTTCATATTGTCTACGATGAGACCAGCTTGTTGTGCCTACATCCACATGCCAATTTTTTGCGCATTCTTTGTATTAGAGCTTCGCCAGGACTGCTGCAGCACTTTCCATGCAATCCCATTACCAGATTCCAACAGTTTGGCTATTTCTGCGTCTTCGATGAGATTAGGATGTGCTACGATTGTGTCAACCACGATGTTCCGTAGACCGTGATCGGAAGGCAGAGTTGTGCTGAAGACTAATTCCGCTGCACGAACAAACGCAGTCGTCTCCCAATCTTCTGCGGCAGCAGACTCGAACTTTTGCTGAGCAAGGTCTTTCAGATCAGCGATTCCATACTTGTCAGCCAATGCATATACATAAGTGTTAGTGCTTAATCTTTCTGTGCTACTCTTTGTGCTGCTTTTTGTGCTGGGTTGTGGTAGAGGTGTTGTCATCGACAAGGTCCTCTTCTTGCTCTTTTCCACAGCCTGGGGTGGATTTCGTCCCCATGGATCAAAAAAAAACGGTTGGTATGCTGTCTGGCTCCTTCCCAATGCTAGGTATAAACCTTTTGCTGGACTTCGACTCTGATGGACGCCAATACGCCTCGTATTCGACTTGTGATCTGAATGCGTCTATGTTGTCTTCCACCCGGAATGGTGTTTTTGCTTCTTGACCAGCTACGTCGTCTTCATCTGGTTTACGGTCATCGTAGTCTAGCCGATACAGGTAATCGAACATCAAGCTGACCAGTCTCGGATCGTCATCGTTACCCAGATCTATCTCGTTTTTCGACTCTCCCTCCTACACCAGTATCAGTATGGCTCTTTTCCAGTAGTGAGTACCAACATTGCCCCATGCACATGCAGTGCAGAAATACGACGATCGAGGACAAAGCACAGCCTTGTGAACATGGAAGGTTGCGTTGTTACACGATACATTCAGATCAGAGTATTGACCCGAGATTCGCAATCTGAGTGAGTCGCCAGTCAGTGATACCCTATACAAGCATTTGCGTTGACGGACTTTTCCAACGACGCAAATAATGCGTCCTGGCCCTTTCTGTACATCTTCGCCCATTAAGTAGCAGTCCCAACTTCTTCTCACAGCCTGGTGTATGAATGTGGTTCAAACTACAAACTGCTACAGCCCGTTGAGCTTATAGTGCGTGAATTGACTAAGGCGGAGAATTTGGTTGTGCCTCGACTCTATGACCAAAGAGAAGAGTAATAAAAGAGGCGAGAGTGTTCGTGGCCTTAAGTGCTGAGCGGTGATTTGAAGCAAATACGCTGCTGCCTGGTACCTGGTTTTGACTTGCTTGGAGACATCCAGCAACCACCCCGCCATCCACGTCTAGTTGAAGCAGAGGGAGTTCTCCTCTAAAAAGTGTATCATTAACGAAGACAACGGCATTGCAGGCGAGATTCAAGTTTTGTGGTTGGGCTGGCCATCGATCTGAAACTGGCCCTAGGTGATCGCGTGGCATTGCTAATACACGCTTCATTTCGAGTGGACGCGACCAACAGCCATAGTTCTTGTTTCAAAGAAGAGCAGGTGACGAATATTGAGGTCATGGTCACAATTCTCAAGCTAGATTCGATATTCGACATCGTCATGCTGATACAAAGTGGAAAAATCCACAGTTTCTGCTTACTTTTAGCGCTATTCGTGCAGGAAGGAGCCATTCACATTACATTCAGTTAATACTCCCACTAGTTATGAACGACATCTCGATCACGGTTGAATACGTTACGAAAGCACGTGCAATACGTAGCTGTCTGGTTCTCTGTATAATACTCTCAGTCCAGTCCACTCATATTCCTTTTCACTCTAATTTTGTTCCGAGTTGCTAGGCAAGACTAGCTCGCCATGTCTGTACTCGCCTTAGATCTCCAAAGGATGATCAGCGTTCTCTTCTCGCTCGCCTTCTCGAACAACAGTCTCACCAGACTGTGTCTCTGAGCTCTGCTCAGGATTGGCTGCTGGCTCGGCATCTATGTTGAGGTTCTTCTTCCATAGCTTGAACATGGTTGCAGTGGCCGCTTTGCGCTTCTTCTCACTGCTCTCTAGCTTTTATTGTAGCTGGAAAATCGACTCTTGCTGAATCTGGAGTTTCTCTTGATTTGCAGCGTATCGTGCGTCGAGGTCTCTGAGGGTATCGACAAGAATATTTTGCTCGTTGCGATATTGCGTCTGCTTGTGGTCGAGGTATGCGATGTGCTTCTTGTGCAGGTTCACTTCTAGCTCGAGGAGAGTCTTGGACTTCTGGAGACAAGCATTTTCGTGTTCAAGGTCCTTAACATGTGCCTGAGATATTGCGTGATGGTCGGCTATCTCGTCAACCAGGGCTTTAATCTCTGGTTGAGACGACCTGAGGTGCAGCTGCTGTAGTCGAAGATTCTCTCCTTCGAGAAAACGAGTGTACTTCTCCAGCTTGTTCACTCGTTGAGGCCAGTTTGCCTGACGCATCTGCTCCAGTTCTTCCAACTGCGCCATGCCGAGGAGACCACCTTCGTCCTCCCCACTGCCACGCACTTCCCCACATCCGCCTTGGATGAACCCTTCTTCAGGTCCACCCCTCATCTTCAGTATTGTATTGGATGATTTCTCGATTGATTGTGTTGTGTTGGATTGTATTCTGCTGAATTGATTTGCTGTCTGATGTTATTTCAATGGAGAGAAGAACAGGAAACAACCACAGCCATCTCACTCAGCATATTTATACTCTTATCACTGTTGGAGTACACATAAAGAAGGTAAGTACGTAGCTGGACAACGACGATCAAAGACTGCATTGTTCGAACTTGAAGTCATTGTCGGACCTTGAGGAACGCCAACGAGCATTGTAGTCAGCATTGCGTCGTCAATTGTGTTGTTTGTCTTTCATCATTACCTTGGCTAAGAAGCATGAACAACATGGCAGTGTCACGGTCGGAGATCGATGAGACTGTGACAAGCTTGTAGACGTTACATTGTTCACACCATAAATTCACTTCATGGGACCTTCTGGAATCTTGGAATCGATCTCAGATCATCGATGAGGCCAGCAACAGCCTTGTCGCGTGATAACATAAAGAAGCTGGACGAGCTTCCGCTGCAGCGATGGACTATGGCGATCCGTCAGACGGTGTACCAAAAGTTTGTGTTGCAATGGCCACTGGTTGAAACCATTGAACTGCCGAAGCAGACCAGGACAGACCAGCACGTAGAGTACTTCGTGGTGAGTTCACATAGCACATAGTACAGGACATTCGACGACAAAAGAGATGACACGAAGATAACGCGTCAAATACGGTGCACTCTAGATGCGTGAAGCGACAGACTGCAGACAGCATTGATTTCTGCCGTAGCATGTACTGAAGTGTAGTTAGTGGCTGTGCTCCTCAGATGCTGAAGCCAGTTACAGATCTTCGTTCGAGGGTCACGATGGAAGAGTCCCTCGCTTAAAAAGAACACGAAGATTATGTTGTGTGCCAATATATAGTATTTCGTAGATCAATTCCGCAGAGCTATTGTATACATTTGCAAAAGTCTATAGTGGATGGTAAATAACGCCAACACCACTTCTGATCTGTTGCATTGAGCAATAGTTGAGGTCAGCTAGCTCGCAATGATGCGTCGACATTGTACAATAGTTCGAGGTGATTCTCAATACTCGTACATCATTTGAAAATGGCTGACCACTCTAAGAGTCGATATCCATTTCCATCAACACTTCAATCCACTCATGCTCGTCATGCTTGTCATCCTTATCGAACACGCTGGCTTTTCGCTTAGCGCTAGCCTGCACGTCTGTCTTTGTATCGTTCGTTCCGAAGTGCTGCTTGTTCTTGCTCTTGGTTCGATCCGTTCTGTCCACAACCTTCTGCTTGGACTTCTGCACCTTCCCACCCTCAACTTTGGAACCATCCACTTTCACGTAAGGATTTACACAGCCTGTTCGCAGCCTCACTGCCTGCTCATCTTCGGGACTGAGCTCGACATCGAAAGGAATTAGAGCAGGTCGGCGTTGGTGCGTTATGTAGCTCTGTGAGTAGGTATTCTTGTCATGGTCCGAGGACATCAATGGTCGACCCGGTAGAACGGTACCCATCGACATCTTGTCTAGGACATTGGGAGGTATATCGGGAGACGACCTGATAAGACTACTGCTGCTGTTAGACATGCTTCGAGAGCTCTTCGGGCTGGGTTCTGCCATACTTAGAATTTCTGGACGATAGATAAGCTTTGGAGGTAAAGATTTTTGACTATGCGGACTTTTCGTGATCTAATGGATGAGAACTGTTTGATAGCCTTCCTGCTACTTTGTGATCGACTGTACTGCGGTTTCGAGACAAGCAGGAGGTGGTGTGACAGACCTATAAATCGTTTGAGAGCACGCCTCGGAGAGGAATCAGTTTGCTCAAATGGAGAGATGGCATGGAAACTTTGTCGTCACAAAGAGACTCATGCTGGAGCGCAGACCTCACAATGAAGAGGGTCTCACCTATAGCTGAAGACAAGGGGGCGTGCATCATGAAGATGCGATCATTGTGCCTGTCCGTCATTGTGATCAAGCAGGCTGAATGATCAGTTGGAAGTTCATTATCGATACAACAACCACTGATGATCTGCCGTGTAACGTCGGGAAGTTGCGTCGGTCCAGCCCGCCTGACGACAGCATGTCGCACGTATTGACCACATCCTATTCTGCTGTTAGTATGTGTGGGTGTATGAGACCATGGCAGATAATATTCGATATGCTGAACAATCTGTAAAAATAGTCAAGGGATGAAGAAAGTAGACTTTGCATGCAGTCACATGCGCAAGTTGGCTTCAGGACCAGCTTGGGATAGGTTTTCTTGTGACACGGTCGAAAAGCATAAAACTGTAATGGTTATTCAATTCTAATATTGGTTGCCAACCATTATATAGCACAACAATCCAAATGGCGAGAAGTACTCAGAATAGTCAAGCAACCAGTTTAGATGTCGGATTGACGTAGATTCCGCAACAGTGTTGAGCTAACCCCAATGGAACATGGTCGTAGCCATCTCTGAATTCTCCAGACTAACGCTATAGTGGTAATTTCGAAGTTGCAGAAGTTGTCGAGACCAAGCATTTAGAGTCGTAAGGAGTCGGCGACAGGTATTGGTCCAGGCCATGGCGCCATCCAGACGTAGTGCATAAGGCCAACATGCTCCGAATCAGTGTCACGGCGTGCAGCTCCGACGGACCTATGCCTCAACCCATAGTGATAGTCTGGATATGACGCTGGTGTATGTCGTGCTATCTGCTTGAATGACGCTTTGTGCCCAGACACGGCTGAACTTGGTCAAACTTGGTCATTTAGAGGAAGTAAAAGTCACTGAAAGTCCTGGTCTCGTGACATCCGAAGTAGAGAGGCGACGTGGTAGCCTCGACAACTCGTTCTCGAAGTCTTTCTGATCACCAATATTTGATGTTCAATCTGCACGGAGGATTTCGTGGATCGACATGCTTTCTTCTTTATTAAGCCTGTAGTTGTGGATGAGCCGACCTTTTCGTATCGTCGTGAAAGTCGTGGGTCAAATTCTTCACCAATCGTCACCCCAGCCTTCATCTTTCTTCTTGGCAGGTACGTCGTTCGTGGTCTTCTTCATTGCGCTCGTGCCGATACTGCTTGGTTTAGCAGCTGGAGCGTCAGAGGATACACCGAAACTATCCCAAAAGTCCTTGCGCTCGGGCTCAGCGCCTGGTCTTCTGGAAGCAGCTGAGGCAGCGGCATTGTCCTGGCCTTCGACGAACTTGTGAAATTGCTGAGTTGCACCTTTGGCACCGGACGCGACACCGGAAGAGACAGTAGCGAGGCTTTTCTGAGCCTGAGCAGCGAAATCTGTGGATGCAATGTTCTTCGCAGTTGGCTGAATATAAGAGTCGTTCACTATCTTGGCTTGTTTTGTGACGGCCGAGCTGAACCAGCCAAAGCCACGGGTGAGCGCAGCTACAGGATCTTTTTGGAAGTCATCTGCGGAGGGCATTCCTCCTTGTTGTTGCTGGGGTTCTGAGACTGCAGAGCCAAAGCCGCCATACTTCCCGCCTTGACTCGGTGGGAGATTTTCAGGTCTAGAGGAATTTGCACTTCCCATACGCTGGAAGTATTCTTCATTCCTCGCTCTCTGCTCGGGATCCATCATCCCACCTTTCCCAGGAACGGGAGACTGTGTTCGTGACCCTAGAGTATTTCTATTCATGCCCGCAGGCGTCCCACTGCGACTCTGCTCTTTCTCCTTCTGCTTTTGTAACATCTTGGCTCTTTCCTCTCTGAACTTGGCAAGATCAAAGCCTCGGTCTTCGACTTGTGCAGTCAATCGTTCTTTGTACTCTTCACCAGCCTCTGAATCGTAGCGTTCTTTTATCGTACAATCTTCGAAGTCTGCACCTTTCGAGGAATGAGCATTGAAGAAAGCTTGCCATGCTTTGTTGCCTCCCAGTTGCATCCGTTTTATTTCAGTCGACTTGAAGGCGTCCATCGATATAGAGCGGACGAAGGAGATATGGACGCCGAGTCCACGATGGGTGCCGGCGCATTGTAAGCAAATGAAGACAGCAAATTTAGGTGAAGCCTGGCACAGAATCAGTATGAGGAAGAGGCAGGTGTGTAGAGGCAGTACCCATTGTGGTGAAGGAGCGCCGCAGTCGCAACATCGATCGTTGCCCGCACCTTCCCTTTTCTGTAATGCTGCAAGCTGTTCAGTTTTAGCAGGCGCGATCTTAGAAGTTGGCAGTCACGACTCACTTTGGTCCGAGTCTCCGGGTCAAGCTCCCAATTCGCTTGTGTAGCCATTTCTGTTGCTGTTGTGCTCCTGCAAGCACCAGAATGAGGTGAAAGTTGTGGGGGACTTTCTCGAGGGTCTGTGTGACGTTGAGCCGGCGATGATCCTTGTCAGTAACCCCTTTTCTTGCGAGACTCTGGCAAGAAAACTATAACGATGGGTGTTAAAAGGTAGACATTTGTCTGAGAAGAAGTGGTAATTTATATTCAACAATCTATAGTACAGAGACAGGTCCTCGCCCATATCTGGTGCGTAATCACGCTCCACCTCGTAGCTCTGCTATCAACGCCTTTTCTCTTTGTCCTGTCATTCTCTCGAATCTATCGACTGACATGGTAAAGGTACCTCTACCGCCAGTCATGCTCCTCAAATGCTTCAGATAGCCAATCATCTCTTTCAGAGGCACTTTCGCCTTGATCGATCTCTGCTTGTTTACCTGTTGGTCTAATCCGGCCGAGCTGCCAAATTCGAAAGGATCTTTGGGCGCATAAATTCTGCTTACGTCAATTTCTCGTGGAAACGCTTGTGCATTAGCCTCCGCTTCCTCGTTGTCACCTAGCGATACAATTTGACCTCCTCGACTCGATGAGATATCCTGGATGATGCTGCCGATGCTGGCGTCGTCTGCTCCAATGTCCACGTTCATCACAGGTTCCATGATTGCAATCCCACCCATCGACGACACTTCTCGGAAAGCTGCAATAGTCGCGAGTCGAGCTGCTGCTGTTAAGGATGCATAAGATGTGTCGCTACCGAAGATGTGTTTGGCCGGATCGAGCGTGAGTGTGACTTGAACGTTACGCATCGGATAAGAGAAGCCAGGTCCTCGTGCCAACGCAGCCAGTGCACCATTCGTGAATGCGCTTTGTACTTCACTAAGTGTAAGATGACCAGGCAGAGACGCACAATCATCATCTAATGGTCGTCCTTTTCTATCGAGTGTGGGAGCTTCCACGATGACTAGGTTTCCATCCTGTTCGTGCTGGAGAGCGTAGTCAGAGTGTTCGTCCGTCAATGTCCGAGACCTGTACGGCTCTACCGCAGCAGTGCATCCTGCCTTCCCTTTCGCATCTCCTCTTGCCGAGGAGTCAAAGATTTTCGAATTTGATCTTGAGATTTGTGTGACAGTTTCGCGATAACCGATCGCAATCTTCCCCATCGTAGCATTCGCTTTCAAATCGCCAACAAGTCGGTCTCTAGCAATCTCAAGATGTAGTTCACCCATTCCACTGATCAGGGTCTGGCCAGTGTCCTCGTCCTGTGTAACGTGTAAACTCGGGTCTTCTCGTAATAAGAGGTTGAGCTTGTCGTGCATATCTTTTTCGTCCTTTAAGCTGTTTGGCTCAATGCTCGCAAAGAACACAGGAGGGGGCACATGAATAGGCCGTAGTTGCAGCTGGTCCAGAGGAGAGGGGGGTACTGCCTTGTTTGTAGCGCAAGATATCAGCGTATCACCTGTTCTTGCATACTTCGAGCCTGCTATCACGCCTATCTGCCCAGCTTCCAGAGACTGTACTGGGACTGATTCGTTCGCGTACATTCTAAGCAGATTTGTCGCTCTCTCAGACTGCTTAAGATTTGTGTTATATAGCAAGGCGTTACGCTCGATGGTGCCAGAATACACACGAATATAAACTAGCATTCCCTTTCGAGAATCGTTGACCACTTTGAAAGCCAAGGCACAACCTTTCAGCGTCTTGTCGATCCCCACAACTGGAACTACGGCTTGCCTGCTTGATTTGGATTTCGTAGAGCTGTGCACGATCATTCTCCCAGCAAGCAGATCGTCAAGATATCCCGTCGTTGCACCGATACTGACCTCTGCTTGAGGTCTTTCAGCAGGGCTAGGCAGCATGTTGTTGACTGCATCTAAAACAGGCTGAACACCAATATTGCGAAAGCTCGCACCAGCAAAGACTGGAATGACCTTGCCGTCACCTGCGTTGAGACACTGGCGTATACAGGATAGGATTTGTGCAGGGGTAATGGCCAGATGGTCTTCCTCAGCGTCGAGAAAAGCCTCAACCATGGCGTCATCATGTTCGCTGAGCACTTCTACCAGTGCAGCTCGTGCTTTCCGTAGTTCTTGCGCCAAGGCTGGTTCTTCTGCCTCTAAATGCGTCATGTTGTAAGTGGTGATAGACTTCCCATCACCACCAGAGGCATATTTCAAGCCAACTAGATTAACGACATCTACTACACCACAGAAATTGCCTCTACCTCCTTCGAACCAAGGTATTTGACACAAAGCGGGCCAACCACCAAGGCGAACGCCAATTTCTCGCACGGTTTGTCCGAAAGCAGCACCGTCGCGGTCTAGTTTGTTGACATATGCAATACGAGGGATCTTCCAATCCGCAGCTTGGTTCCATACCTGCTCGGTTTGAGCTTCGACTCCAGCAACGCCATCGAGAACACAAACAGCCCCATCTAGGATGCGCAAAGATCGTCGAACTTCGAAAGTAAAGTCTGCATGTCCAGGTGTGTCAATCAAGTTGATGCGATGAGATAGAGTGGATCGAGGTAGAGATTGACTTGCAACGGCTTCAGCGGTCTTGACATCCTCTGCAGAATCCACCTGTGGCGGCCAGTTGAACGTAATGGCAGCCGACTGAATAGTGATGCCTCTTGCACGTTCAGCAGGCAAGAAATCTGTTACTGTTGAACCTTCGTCGACGTCACCAATTCTGCGCGTATGGCCGCTGTAGTAGAGCATACGCTCCGTAGTGGTTGTTTTGCCCGCATCAATATGAGCGATGATACCAATATTTCGGGTTCGGTCAGTATCTGTAAGTTGCAAAGTATCGTGTTTTACTCTGCCACATGAGAATGGCCGCCCAGTAGGCCAGTGTGCTATATGAGGCGTCCTTGCATGTGCTACAGCCAACCCGTGTCTTCTCAGTGGTCCATAGCGTAAAACCATACCCTGACAAAGGGTCGAGCAGGCGACAATTAGGATCAATAGGGAAAGAAACGAAACGGTCAAGAAAGAGTGACGGAACTGAAGGATCTGCGATGCTGTTGCTGATGGTAAAAGTTCGATGCGACTCTTCGACCTCATCGCCGCTTCCGAAAGAGGTAAGGTGCGCCAAGGTTCCGCAACATCGAGCCTGCAATGCGGGCCGGTCGGTCGGTCGTGCTTTCCACGTATTAGCTTATCCTATACACTGCTGCAACAACCTAGTGAAGAGACGCGTAACCGACTGCTTACTTGTTCCACAGATCTGTTAGCACCTGTTCCGTTGTGCAACAATCTTGTACTCTTCTGCCCACACGACTCGCGCTTTCGAAGCTCCTGCCTGATCATCTTAAGGGCAGATGGACTACTCTGCAGCCATTGCAGACGATCCAGCAGCCGCCTCACCATGGGGCTCTTCCTCACCTCGAGCACATAGAACGCCTTTCGCAGGGTCAGTGCCTGATTCTCCGACCGGACCGATCAGAAGCGACACGGACGAGGCGCAAAGCAGATTACCTGAGCCAGCACTTGAAACTCCGACTGGACCTTCGCTCAACGGCCAGCCAGTTCCGGAGGTACAAGGCTCTGACCCTCGGCAGGCACAGCAACAGGTGCGGCCATCATCCCAAGCTCAGCATCCACATGGTCAGCAATACACTCAGCAGGATCAACAGCAGCAGTCCAGACCTGGCGCTGTAAGATATCACAGTGCTCGTCAGCAGCGGCAGGTACCACAGTATAAGCTACAGGCGAAGGTCACAGGATTGGAAAGGACTGGCAGAAAGGATCCAGTCTTACGTTTTGATGTCTACGTATGCCTCTCTATGCTGTCCATGCATACCTGCTAATACCACCATAGACCAATCTACCCAAATTTCGAACTACCCAATTCCGTGATGTGCGTCGAACACATTCCGAGTTCATTAAATTACAAGAACATCTGATCTCCTCAAATCCTGAAACCATCGTGCCGGCTGTGCCACCTGCCTTGACTTCGGCCGGTGCTGGCACCGAAGAAGACGAAATCCGAGTAAAAGCAAACATCCAAAGGTGGTTGAATATCGTATGCAGCAATGAAGTGCTTATGCGCGATGAAGAGATGGTCTTCTTTGTCGAGGCTGATTTTGGCTACTCCCCTGTAGTAAGGATGAAACAACCAGCCACAGGTGTAAGGAGGAAGGTTCTCAAGCAGTTTGCGCCGCCACCTGATGATACTCCCGAGTTGCATTTTGCACGACCTATCGTCAAAGCTTTCTACCTGGCTACCTTGGACTCAGCTCAGCGGCTGGACAAGGTGGTCAAGGCTAGAAGAGGTACTATGTCACGCACCTGGAGATAGAACTATGCTAACGAGTTGCAGGACTTGGTTTGGCAGAATCCTCACTAGGAGAAAAGGTGGCTGCCATGCACGTTCAGGAAACACATCCAGGTCTATCTCACGCTTATCGCAAGCTTGGTCGTGTAATACAGTCGTGCGGCGATTTTCATGCTGCACAAGGAACTGCTGAGGCAACGACATTGGCCGATGCCCTAAACTACCACTCTGCGGATGCTTTCATCGTCAAAGAAACTTTGACAAATAGACACATCCTTTTGCGAGAACTGGTGCAAGCTGAGCAAATTCGAAGGTCGAAAGAAAGCGCTGCCACTCGACTGAAAAGCAGCTCCAGCATAAAGAAAGACAAAGTAGAAGAAGCCATCACACAACTCGATGAGGCCTCCCAAGCTGAAAATTTCCTCCGAGGCAAGACACAGCGAGTAACACAAAATTTGTTGGCCGAGAAAAGACGCTGGTTTGATCGCTCTTCAGAAGACATGCTGAACTCCATACGAGATTATGTTCTACGACAAATTGATCATGAGCGACGTATGTTGGCCACTCTTGAATCTGTAAGACCAGACATTCGGGCAATTGATGCATCTGGCGGTCTCTCAAGGCTAGGTAGGGAACATTTCCAAAATGTCAGAAAAGCTAGCATGGCATCGTCACAAACAGCAAGGGGTGACGCATGGTCCGGGGTACAGCGTTCTAGAGATGCCCTTAGTAGGAGCATGAGTGGCAGCTTTGTTGGTGGCATTCCTGAAGCTGAAGATGAAACCGAGGCGAATGAGGGCGAGGCACAGAGTGGTCGACCCAGAAGTGGCACTGGTAGTGCAAGCTTGAAGAGCGTCAAGGAAGACGAAGACAATGATCGTGTGGATGCGCGAAATGCAGCGAGTCGGTTGGCGCAGAGCACCTTCTGATGCGCTTTGTCTATAGTCTGTCCAACTATGATCTGCATGCCTTTTCTACACAACATGCCTAAGTACCTCTATCCTCAGCTCTTTTGTAAGCATAGCTTATCCGTACATTCACAATGTTCGAAAGACGAACTCCTGAACCCCGGGAATGCGTCTGATCTCCCTCAGTGTGTAGCATCCTGGACGAAGGCCTTCGCGGACCGGATCGATCACAACAGGACCATCATGAGCCTCACCGGCGTCGGCCTCCAGGTTACCTGGGTTGGTTCGTCGTGGAGGAGGAGGCAAAGGTTCCATACCGTGAAGAGTACGACGAGCAGGGGCGGCCGACGACTCTGGCTCAAAGGCTGAATCAAGACTTCGTGGAGAGTGGCTGCCACTTGCCACGGTCGAGCTAAAATCTCCTTCTTCATCCTCCTTCTCATCCTCAGTTAGGAGTCGTTCAGCGTCCTCCTCGGCCCTCCTCCATGCTCCAGTGGTAGTGGTAGTGGGATTGATACTACCATTTTCGACTCTGGTAGAGCTGTGAAAACCACTATCCTCGCTTTCACCCGTGAGTTGACGCTGAATTTCAAACTGTGCGACTACTGGCTCAGTGTTGGCGAGGCGGGCACGGGCGGCTTCTTTCTCTGCGCGGGCTTGTTTGTCGGCCTTGTCCTTAGCCTCGAGTTTGCGGAGTAGAGTGGCTGTGAGGTCGGCTCTGGCTTGATCGGCTTTGGCGTTGTTTCGAGCTCGAGACTTAGCTTCTTTGGCTGCTGCGGTGGCGGTGGCGGTGACAGCGGCAGCGGCAGCGGCAGCAGCGACAACAAATACTGGAGGCTGGGTGGGTGCATGGGCACTGGCATCCCAGTTTGGTGGTCCGTATGCTGGAGCAGAAGCCTGAGCTGGCACTGAAACTGCAACTGGAGCTGAGATTGGTGCTGGAGCTGGGCCTACTGCTGCTGCTGCTGCTGCTGCTGCTTGAGGAGCAGCTGGCGGATTCCACCAACTTCCTGATGCTGCGGAGGGATGGACTTGTCCTTGTGCGGCTGCTGCGGGCTGGGCAGCTGCTTGTTGCTGTCGTCGTACTTGTTGCTTTCTTAAAATGCGTGCGTTACTTCCCGCAACACACTGTTTACCGACTACGGTTGGTTTGTTGGCCATAACCATACCTGGCCGCATGATGTGTGAGTACTTGCATGCTGCGCTGTGGTAGCAATGGCCCTGTACAAAGTGGTAGTAGCAGCCCAGTGTGCGGGTGTCGATAGTATTTCGGTTGGGGATGTGCGGAGGCATCCTGCTGGTGGAGTGATTAGACAGGATGCATCAATGGACCAGGGATAGTGTTACGTATGTGTTTGTATGGCATGGGAGTGGGGTGGTGTGTGTGTGCAAGCAGTATATTGGATGTAGTATATGCACTTAATGTGTGATGAACAAGCCATACTGAAGAGTTTGCATATGCCGTGCTTTGGGTATATATGTATGTGAGAGTGAAGAAGGAGAGGTAATATGTCAGGAGATGATATGATATGGTGTACTATAGCACTTACCTTTCGGTGGATTGACTGTAGCTTGCTATAATTGGCTAGTCCAAAGGCTAAGTTGTGGTCAGTATAGTATTGCTATGAGTGAGTGAAGAGGTGTTGCACCTACCGAGTTGGATGTGTGTATTGGAGGTCTCTGAGACGCTATAGCCTTTGGCTATACTTGGATTTTGAGCTAGCGAAGGTGCTACTGTATGTGTGAATTAACGATGATTGAGACTGGAGCACAACTGACTGGTACTGGACTGGTGTTGTAAGTAGACTTGGTGTTCGAGCCATCGAGTGCCGTTTTGGCGCCGGAAGACAGACATACTTATAGCCATGAGATGCCCATTCTTGATCTGACGAAACTTAAACTGAGCACTATAGCAAGGGGACCTGTATAGAGACTCATCGCGAGTGGTCAAACATGAGCATGTAAAGAGTTGGAAAGCTGCAAGACTTTCGATATGGATTTGGATACCAATCGCGAGCAATGGAAATGGCACAGATCAGGCGTGTAAGTCAAGACTGTCAGACTCTGACCCCACAAATATTGTAGGTGAACGATAACTTGCTCTGATCGAAGCTGAGGGACGAGGTGAGAAGAGCAAAGGTCCTCAGGAATGGAGTAGAGGAAAGGTCCTCAAGAATAAAGTAGAGGTATGGTAAGCTCAAACATCCTCACCAGCACCCATACTGCGGCGTTTCTTGACGCAGGCTTCATTGTCCTATGGAGACGACGATAACTTGTGAAACAAAGAGCTGTGTATATATTCGAATGATCGCGGAGATGTTGTGTTCTGTTTCCTGCAGGCAAAAAGCTGGGCTTGGCGTGATGCGCGTAGGAGTATCGGAGCTCCAAGATCCCAGTGCTGGATTTCCCGTAATAGGCAGGAGACATGCCATTTAGAGCAATCTGTGAATTAGATGCGAAGCCTCGTTGTCAGACAACAGCAACTAATGAGTGCATAGAAATAGGCAGCAAGGTCAAAAGTCGATCTAAGCCGTCGAACCAAAGACTGCACTCAGAGGGATTCCATATCGCGTGTAATGCTTTGCATCATTGTGTATGATCGTGTATGATTAAATTGATTCTGTATGATCTGCTAAATTGATGGAAAAAGATGTGAAGTTTCGCAAATGGTGTGCCGTGATGGAAAAATTGGATGGATGAAGGGACTTTTGCTTAGAGCCAAGAAAGAATCGCGAACAACTCTGGTTTTGAAAAGAGCTCGCAAAATCGCATTGTCCTGCGAATCCCTCTATCACAGATATCCAAATTGCATCTTTTCCGAGTCTAAAGAAGAGCACCACCGTACAGATGATCTGAATGGCAAGCATTGGGAATCAGCTCGACCCGTTAAATCCACGAAAAGCTGGAATATCCTTAGGTAACTCAGCCCAATGAGGCTTCTCTTCCACGAAGATGCACTTGGACACAGGTTCAGCAAGCTCGACACCTTCGTCAAAGCATCCTAAGAGAACACCGACTTCCTCAGAGTCCTTGTAATACATCATGGAGATGGACGACCCACAGGTTGAGCAATGAGCTCTGGCTGCGTTGTCGCTTTTGTGCCATTCATCAGGCTCAGTTTCGAAGACGACATCGGCCTTGTGAAAGTGTACGAAAGGCAAGAATGCCGCACCAGAGCACTTCCTGCAGGTAGTGCAGTAGCAAAAGACGGTTTGACGTGGCTTTGTGGCTGTAAATTTTATCCGACCACATGCGCAACTTCCTTTCATTGACGACGATGAGTTTTGCGAAGTCATGCTGTATGCAAAAGCAGTGATGAATGTTCGAAAATAGAAAGTAGTGGTTAGATTAGAGGTTGTTGGAGAAGAGCGCGATGCTGTCGTTGTTTATCCTATCACTCTTGGCGATAAGGTCTCCAACGATGACGATGGCTTTAGTTCAGTCATGATAGAGACAAGAGATAAGTGTGCCAGAATTGTAAACATAGCACCTTTGCAACATCATCAGTGCACGCGGATCTAGGTCGTAGCGAGGCCTCCCAAGCAGCGAATAAAAACGTGAAGGTCGAGTGAAGGGGAAAATAAGTCGCTAACCAGAAGTGGTAATGGTAGCGACAGCTTATCTAATCCAGAAGCCGGATACTTGTAAGCAATACAACATGTCATAGTCTGACGACGCAGGAGCGCTGATAAGTGCGCAGAAGTTATTGGATTTGTGACTCTAACAATATTCGAATATCATCAGTGGTGTGAGGATAGCATCGCTGATTCGTTTGTCCACTGCCCGGGAGAACGTCCATCAATTGTCCAGAACAAGCTACAAACTGAATTCAATTTACGATGGCTCCCAAGGTTTTTGCGTGAGTGTATAACGGTTCCGAACCACGTATACTGACTGAGATACTTAGAACAGGCACAACTGGCTATATCGGAGGTGACGCACTAGTAGAGCTCGTTCAGGCTCATCCGGACTGGGACATGTAAGCCCAGACACTTGAGCCTACGAGGTCGGAAGTCTTATCTACCAAGGCTATCTGGCTGGGGAGTGTTGACTGATTCTCTGGCAGTACGTGCTCTGTCCGGAACTCGGAGAAAGGAGCCAAGATCGCCAAGGTATGTCATTGCTTCTGCTACCGGAGAATTATAATTGACAAGGCAGGAATTTGCACACATAAAGCTGGTATATGGAACTCTGGACGATGTTGACGTGATCGAGGAAGAGGCTTCAAAGGCCGATATTGTCTACCGTATGTCGTGCAAGGCCTGAAAGGCTCAGGATGGTGACGTTTTGCAGATTTTGCAGATTGCGACCATATTCCATCAGCCGAAGCAATCATTCGAGGGCTTGCCCGTCGCGAGACAAGCACACCAGGATGGTATATCCATACTTCCGGAACATTGATTCTGGGATGGAAGTCTCAGAAGGACAATACCTTTGGTGAAACTCAAGCAAAAGTGTACAACGACTTAGATGGTGTGGACGAACTCGTCAACCTGCCTGATGGCGCAGCACACCGACACGTTGACAAGATCGTGCTCGCCGCCGCAAAGAACCACCCTGGCAGAATCAAAACGGCCATTGTGTGTCCTCCATGTATCTGGGGAGGAGGTCGAGGGTAAGTTGCGACCACGCAATGGCTAACGCTAGTCCTCCAGACACTGTGGCGGTTTTCTAGGGGCCATGACCGCTGCGGTGCTTTGTACAAAAGCTAATCGGTTGTCCAGGCCCGGCAATCAGAGAAGCGTTCAACTGTATAAATCTGCTGAAACTATGGTGAGTGACTGCCAATCAACCCCATCGGAACGATAGCTAATTGTCGGTAGCTCAAAAGACAGCAGGGTTTCATGATCAATAAGGGAAAAAACGTGTGGCATCATGTTCATGTCGGAGATCTAGCAAAGCTGTACCTACTGTTGGGAGAAGCTGCTGTGGCAGGAGGTCCGCCAGCCACATGGGATGATCAAGGATACTATCTCGCAGAAAATGGTAGGTTTGTTTGGGGAGAAATGCTGACTGCAATTACGCAAGAGGCTCAGAAACAAGATCTGTTACCCTCGGCGGCGATGGAACAACTTGAGCCAAGTGCAGCGCTGGGTCGTTACACATTTTCCATTGGTACTGATTCGCAAGGACAAGCTCTCCGTAGCAGGACATTGTTAGGATGGATGCCGGAGAAAACAACTGCGGACATGTACCAGGAGATACCGAAGATCGTGGAAAGTGAGGCCAAGACACTTGGACTCATTAAAGGTCATGCTGAAAAGGTCGCTTCGTAAGACCGACTAGGGTAGGCTGGACTCAGAGCTTGCGAGGGTGTACTTTCGAAGCATAATGGGATTCTCGGCGTTCAACGGCTGAGAAAGCCCACATTAGAGCTTCACGATAGCAGCCTCACGCTACATCGTTCACTCGCCAATATAGCAATGTGAAAGCCACAGGAAAACGATCGTGATGTGGAGATTTTTGAGAATTGAGTACGGTTGAACTTAGCGCGAATATTGCATCCACGCTTGTCAGGCAACAAAGACGAGGCTGAGGCAGCAAAATACACCCGCTGCCGCATTCCTCGCAATCGTGACAATGAAACAAGCGACACAAACGACATCTTGAGGTTATCGACATGTTGTACCCTCAATAATTCCACTTCCTACTCATCAACGCAACTGCTCGGCATTAATCTGAGAAATCAGCCGCGAGCAAGAAACTGCCTACACGATATTCTTGCTAGGTATAGAAATACTAACCATCCCTTCGCATGAGCAGCATTTCATCAATTCGTCCTTTTTGGTCAAGGACGGCGCGGGAGGCTAGGCCTTAGACCATGGCGTATGGCGGTGGGTCAAAGAGAAAGAGAAGTGATAGGAGCATCCCCGGCGATGAAGGAGCACGCGCTTCGCCGCATCGACCTCAAGATCTGGATCTTGCTCGACAATCACAGTCACAATCTCCCTCCCAGAATCGAGACGATGGTGGTGCAAGAACGACGAGACGACAGATTAGAGGTGTGCGCAATGCTAGCCAACAGCAAGAGGAGGACAATATGGCTGCTACAGGCATTGAAGCACCAACTATCGAATCATCCACTCCACCGGCTCCTGCACCTGTCCTTGAGGCCCCTTCCACGAATGGGCAATCAGACACATCCAATATGCCGCCTCCACCTCTGCCTTCTGGACACAATGGTGAAGCGAGCGTGGTCTACGATTACATCACCGACGACGTGGTTCAAGACTGGCCAGGTCAAGGAAGGGAGAAGATAAAGACGAAAGTCCTGGAGACCTACACAGACACTACCGACATCACACTGAACGTGATCGTGGAAGAGTTGTTGGAAGCAGCCACGATTGGCCGGATTGACCCTCATGAAGCTGGACTGCTCGTCAAAGAATGCATCGACGACACTTCATCCACTGCACAAGCAATCAATCCTGTCCAAGATGCTGTTCTCGGTGCAGTTCACATACTTTTCGCAGAAGAGTTTTCGAATCCTCACATTGCTGAATTGGCTCTGTTCCTCTCCGCCGCCGATATTAGTATGGGTATCCTCCGTCTTGAGCTTGAGGCCAAATTACTGGAGCAGCTGAACCTTATCCGCGACAAATTTCACAAAAGATTCATTGTCAAGCAGACTAGCGCCCTGTATAAACAGGCGAACTACAATCTCCTACGGGAGGAATCAGAAGGTTTCTCAAAACTCTTGACTGAATTGTTCACAACTGCCACACACGAACCGCCCACTAGCGATGCTGTCAACGGCGCCGTGGAGAAGGTGAAGGCTATGATCGGCGCCTTTAACCTCGACGTCGGCCGCAGCCTGGATGTTGTCCTTGACGTTGTCGGTTCCTCAGTTGTTAGACAGTCACGTTTTTTCGTCAAATTCCTTAGAGCTAGTCCGTGGTGGCCAAGGATAGAGGGCGATCAACCGTCATCTGGAACGTTCGATATCACGGGTGGTCTTCCGGCATGGGCATTGCCTGAAAACATACACGCTGAACTGACACCAGACCAGCGAGCACAGCAATTGAAGCTTGCCGAGGAACGTGATCTACACTTCTGGAACCAGGCGCGTCATGAAGGTCTGCGTGCCTACTTTCAACTCGGTAGACATCGGTCCTTCACCAACGACCATAGGCGGCCTTCTACAGATGATGCAAACCTAAAATATGTCGAGGAAACAGGCACAATACCTCATTCTGGTAGCCGTGAAGCTGCTCAGCTCCTTGGCTTTAAGCTTCGCTTCTACGCTCAGGACGCGGAGGGTGATAGTGCTGACGGTACTCCCCCAAATCTAATCTACCTAGCCGCCTTGCTGATCAAGATTGGCTTCATATCTCTGTATGACCTCTATCCGCATTTGTGGCGGTCTGACGAGAACATGGAAGCGCTGAAAGAATTGAAAACGAAAGAGAAAGAGCAGAGAGATCGAGCTGCTCGACCAGGCGCGGGCGCCTTGAATGCGCTTGCGAGAGCAGGCGCTCTTCCTGACGACGAGAAACCATCTGCTGTTTCCAGACTTAAGGACCAAGGAACACGTGCTAGTACCCCAAACGAGTCTGAAAAATCTGCTTCGAAGGAGCCAGCAGTTGAAAAACCTGATCAAAAAGTCATGTTACTTCAGAGTCTGCTTGCCATCGGTGCTTTGCCAGAAGCCTTGTTCATCCTGGGTCGCTTCTCGTGGATGACGGACCTGATACCCGAATTACCAGAGTATATCAATCGCATAATACATCATTCTCTCAGCCACATCTACGACAACTTGCGACCCCTGAAATCGGCATCCTCTCTTCAAGCCCAAAGACCAACCTATGAAGCAGATACGCCGGGTCTACAAAGAGGCTACGCGACACTCGAGCAGGCTCCACTTAGAAGAACACTGCGATGGCCATTGCTCGACAGGGACGATGCTGAAGCTGATGGCGTTAACTACAAATTCTACTGGGACGAGTGGAGCGATAATGTTCCTATGTGCAGAACAACCGAGGATGTATTCACACTTAGCAAGACATTGCTGCCTCTAGTTGGCGCCAAAATCGGCCAGGACACCTCGCTTATCTTAAAATTTACTCGCATCGGCAAGGCCAGTCTTCAAGACGACAATTCCCAAGAGAATAGAGATCGTTGGCTCGATCTGATCAAGCGTATTCTGCTTCCATCGCTCAGCCTCACAAAGTCAAATCCCGGAGTCGTTAACGAGGTATTTGAACTGGTTAGCACATACTCCACCGAAACTCGATACCGAATGTATCTTGAATGGTCGAAAGGAGACACCTCAAGGACAGATGACATGCGATCAGCCTTCGAATTGGCGAGAGCCGAAACGAGGGACGTCCTCAAGAAGATTTCGAAAACAAACGTCAAACCGATGGCGCGAACTCTAGCCAAAATCGCCTATGCAAATCCACATGTTGTCATTACTGCAGCGCTGCCCCAGATCGAGTCTTATGACAGTATTGCAGACGTCTTTGTGGAAGGCTCGCGGTATTTTACAGATCTTGGTTATGATGTTTTGACGTGGGCGCTGGTCGAATCGATGGAAAAGGACAATCGTGTGGGTGTACAAGCTGATGGTATCTTCACTAGCAAGTGGCTTACGGCTCTTTCTCACTTCATTGGAAAAGTCTACAAACGACACAACCTCATGAAGCCGGGACCTGTTTTACAATACGTCGCTAAGCAGCTTTATAAGGGCAAGAACATCAACCTGATCATTCTTGAGCAGCTGATCGTTGCTATGGCTGGTATTGCACCCGACACTGATTACAATGACACGCAATTAGTTGCCATGGGTGGTGGCCCCCTCCTACAATCTCAGACAGTTCTTCAACTGCTGGATCAGAGGCACAATCTGAAGGCTACGGCAAAACGTCTGATCAAAGCTCTCCAGGATTGCGACTTGGTATCCAATCTGTTACTTTCTATGGCGCAGCAGCGACAGGCATGCGTATTTCAAGAGGGCGATGCTCCTCTGAAAGCCGTGGGCCATAGTTTTGACGAGATTACTCGAGTAATGGCTCAGTATCTGGAGTTGCTCAAGACGAACATGTCTATTGACGAATTCCAGAAGTCGATACCCTCAACCGTCGTCATGCTCAACGAGTGGGACGTCCCCGCAGAGATCGCGTTTTGGATTGGCCGACCAACAATTCAGAGACAGATCAATGACTTTGACAAAGACAACACTACGAATGGTGCTTTGAAAGATGCAAACGGCGACGTCGACATGAAAGAGGAAGAAGAGGCTTCCGAGGAAGACGGCGAAGCTATCGAAACTGAAGATGTTGCGACTAGTGCTGCCACCCCGACCGAAATTGAGATGACAGGCAATGCGGACGACAGCATGGTAGATGAGGAGCAGACGACCAACCAGCAATGGCATCCCGTGCTAAAGGACATTATGAATGAGATTGAACCTCGTCTTCCAAGTGAAGTGGTCGATCTAATTGGCGTTGGCTTCTACGTCACGTTTTGGCAGTTGTCCTTGTACGATATCAGTGTCCCTAAATCTTCGTATGGCGACGAGGTCAATCGCAACAAGAAGAAGATCACAAGCATTATGGCCGATCGCACCAACATTAGCAGTTCTGGAGCCAAGGCCCGAGAGAATCAGGTGAAGGCTTTGGAACTGCTCAACGACGACCTTTTGTCAGAAAACAGACAGCATCTCAAAGCCTTCTATGAGAGCAAAGCTCGGTTGACCAAGGAAAAAGACCAGTGGTTCGCTGCTAAGAGCCGCGTCTCCAAGGAGTTAAACTATGCGTTGATGGAATACTGCTTCTTACCGCGAATATTTCTCTCACCACTCGATGCATACTTCTGCTTCAAGTTCGTCAAGATGCTCCACAGTCTGGCGGCTGCAAACTTCAGGACCTTGGGCTTTTACGATAACCTGTTTAAAGCAGAAAGACTATCGTCGCTCTTCTTCATGTGCACCTCAAAGGAAGCCGACAACCTTGGAAAGTTTCTGTGTGAAGTGTTAAGAGACTTGTCTAGATGGCACAATAGCAAGCATACCTACGAGCAAGAAGCTTTTGGTATTAGAAAACATCTACCTGGCTTCGCTTTGCGAGTCGAAAATGGTAAGCCTCAAAAATTGCTGGACTACGACAAATTCCGTGACGTGCTCTTCAAGTGGCAGTCGGCTCTTTACTCAGCTTTGGTCAAGTGCCTGGGGACAAACGACTACATGCATGTACGAAATGCTATCTCGATCCTCCGTACACTTTCACCTGCTTTCCCAGTTGTCGACTTTCATGGCAGATCTTTGCAGAAAGCTGTTGACAAGCTGCGAGAGTCTGATCGGGAGGACCTCAAGGTCGCCTCACAAGCACTACTTGGTACTTTGACCCGTCGGCAGAAGGAATGGATTAGTCCAGAAGTGTTCCGGAAGGGACCAGGCGCAGTGGCGGAGAAATTGACTGACACACCAGAACCCATAAAAGAGGAGTCGAAGCCTCAGATCCAGGCACCAGCTATCAAGAACGTGGACACCATGACTAGAGACACGCCTGTCAGTAAGCCTGAGCGGTCAAACACACCATCTCTCAAGGACTCTGACAAGACGCCTTCGAGAGATGGTAGAAGTTCTTCGCGCACGAACACACCATTACCTCCACGCCCTTCACAAGACACTAGCACACTCCGTCCTTCAAGGCCTGAAAGTCGGCCACACGATCTGCCTAGAAGAGTTTCACCACCTCCTCGCTTCAACTCTTCCAGTAATCTCCCTCCTCGCGCTGACGTGGACGTTCGCAATGGGTATCGAGACTCAAGATCTGGTCGCCTACCAGCTGGTGAATCGCCTCGTCCGGAGAGCCGCACTGACAGCAGACCGGAGTATCCGCCTCGACATGCACCTCGTGGATACGAAATACCTCCGGATCCTACACAACGATATCCTCCTCGATCGTCGGATCGTCCTAGCATGCTCGACCGTGATGAGAGACCTGTTCGCAGGGAACATGATGCAAGACACGATCCGCGAGCAGCACATGACGAAAGAAGATATAACGAACGTGATCCGAGGTCAGATCGTGACCCACGAGCTGACGTTCATGGACGACCCGAAAGAGATGTACGGCATGATAGAGAATACGGACGACCTCTTGAAAGAGAGCATGGTCGAGCCCCCGAACGACACGAACGGCCGGAGCGTGAGTATGAACACTCTAGCAGACGAAGAGATGAGGCACAATTTTCCGGTCGTAGGGACGATCCAAGAGACGGACCAACATCAGGTAGAACACCAACAGCTCCGCCTGCACCTCAAGCTCCCGCGATCAACCCAGCCAGAGCTGCATTAATCCAAGCCAACGATGAGCAACCTAGCATATCCATACGCGGTCAAGCGCAGGATCGAGCACGTTCGTCAAGACCGGCATCGCCAAGACGTGAAGACGATCGCAAGCACGTAGCTCGTCACGAAAGAGAAGGACGGCACGATCATAGGGCCGATCAAGAGAGAAATGCTCCAATGTCAGCACCACCTACAAGGAATCTGCCCTCAGCAGGACCACCACCACGAGATGGTCGCAATCAAGGTAGACCTCCTGTGGACATGTCTCATGGCCGTCTTGAGCAAGAGAGCTCGCATCGACCACAGTCTCGCACGGAGCGTGGACCTGAGATGGAACCACCATCTGGACCTCGAAGTCGGCCTTCTAACCCAACATTACGCAACGAGGCTGTACCAGCAGCACATGCTTCTCCTCGACAGCCACCTTCGGGTCCTGGCAGACATTCCCGTTCTGGCTCTTATGTTGAACCAGCAGTACCACCAGTGACTGCCGACACTAGCGGGGTGCACCCTAGTCGGATGAGTAACCTACCGCTAGCAGAACAGCCTCGAAACATCAGGCCACCACCATTGCAGACTGCTCCCCCGTCGGGGCCGCGAGGAGCGCCAACAGGACCGGCATCTGCAAGTATACCATCGCCGAATACGCGTGGACCTCCTTCTGGTCCACAGGCAGATACTCCTGCGGGACGTGGTCAACGGCATCCTGTGGCTGCAGTTAACAACACCCTTGCGCAAGCAGCCAGTGGACCAAGAGGTGGTGGTGGTGGTGGTCGAGGAAGAGGAGGCGTGCGGCAGAATAGTGTCTCGTACAACAATGGCATGCCGCCATCACCAGTCGGTGGTCCACCAAGTCAAGGATACAATAATGCTCCGCAAGATCTCATCAAGAATCCCAATGGTATGCCTGTACAGCCTAGAGGACCTTCGAATAGACCTGACTTGCGGGGAGAGGATGGATCAAGGTCGACACGATCCCATCAACACGATGATCGAGGTCACAGGAATGAGCGAGAAGGGGGCTACAAGCAAGATGATGGCAGGAGAGATCGAGGTCCGCCTGGTGGATCACGAGAGGATGGTGCATCACGTAATGGACCAAGAGGATACCCAAGAGGTCCCAATCCCAACGGACCTGGCGATGACGGACCCCCAAGCAGGAAACATGCGAGAGACGAGAGCAGTAATGCACCATATAGTGGTGGTCGTGGTGGCAGAATTGCAAGTGAGTCAAAAAGACCGAGACGTGGCGGTTAGAAGCTTCACAATGTCAAACAGAAGACCGGATGAGATAGTATTCGGTTTGATGTGTTAGTTGTGCTAGTGGAAAGGCAGGGCAGAAGAGAATTGGATTGACATGTAGTTGTGCAAGTTGAAGTGCATCCAGATGAGCTCATTCGTACATTAAGCGGCCATTGCAGGGCGTCTTGTGTTACTAGGTGTCAGGAATTGAACTTCCGATTCATTGAAGACTTTCACTTTCGGAATTCCCATCATAGACGTTTTCCTTGCTGTCCTTGGTTGACCAATTCGTAGTGGCGTGTAGAGGAGATCAACCTGCTGAGTAATGAGTCTAACCAATCGGCACAACTGGGAAAGACGCGCTGTCGGAGAAGTGCAGGCCTTGTGTGGCTCCAGCGGAAAGTCAGTCTCGTCCTTTTCTCAACTGCGCCGCCATCGACATCCCTGAATTATCTGCAACGCCTTCTCTGACAATACACCCGACTGTATAGTCGCTCGACGTACGATGGAACGGTAGCATTCCCACGTTCCTTGCATAGACTTTTAATTTCGAGCACTCGATACCTCCACGTATCGTCCCAGCGAACAGCATACAACTATCCACCTTCGAATGTTGACATCGCAATCGATATACCGAGACGTAGTCCACCACTGGCGACAACAGCAAATTTGTGCTGCAGTCCAGCTTCAAGGAGTGGACTCAAGAGAACAGGACTTACATCACCATCACTACCACAACCACCACGATGCGCCTCTCGACCCGCTCGACGTCGTCGCTTTTCCTCACCACCCTCTCATTCGTCTCCATCGCATCAGCTCACGGCGGACACAACAAGGTCCCAGAAGGCGAAGCCATATCAGAAGAGCCAATCGACCTCCGACTATGGCTGCATATCCTCCTCATGACCCTGACTTTCGGTCTCCTCTTCCCACTAGGCATGGTTCTAGGCATAGTTCGCAGCAGATGGCATGTCCCTGTCCAGACCGTCGCAGCCGCAATCTTTGTCCCAGCGTACTTCCTAGGTCATTTACACAAGGGAAGACAATTCGCTGGACCGCATGTGCATGCCTATTTTGCGAATGTGGTGTTGCTCATGTTGGTTGCGCAGGTCACGTTGGGTGCGGGACTGAAACTGCATCTTGAGAATAAAAGTGGATGGGTGGGCAGGGTATTTGGCGGAAAAGGTGGATTGTATGGACGGAGAATGATTGTGATTGTGCATGGTCTGATTGGAAAGATTTTCCCTGTGGTGAGCTGGACTCAGATGCTGTTTGGCGGAATCGTCGCGATGGGGTACTGCCGAGGCGACCACTTGGGTCAGTGTTTGGCTCATTTCATCATGGGTTCTGCATTTATTGGGTATGGTATCGTTATGACTATTCTTTTGTTGGTGGGACAGGCTTGGATAAGAAAGACGGGCAAGAGTCAGGAGTTCTTTGATTCGATCGTCATTGCGCTTTGGGGCTGTGTCAACACCTTCACCGAGCATAGATGGGGTCATCCGTGGGTCAAGAACGATTTACAGCACACAAGCATGGGCATAATCTGGTGGTGTGCAGGTCTATTAGGAATTTGGTTGAGCAGAAGCCGGGGAGGGCGGCCAAGGAGAAATGTGATACCCGCGCTGGTTATTATCTTCACTGGTTGGGGCATGAGCGCGCATCCACAAGAGCTGCCTTTGAGCACAATGGTCCATACCATTTTCGGTTACAGCTTGATGGCTGCAGGTGCTGCCAGAATCATCGAGATATCCTTTGTCCTCCGCGATAGCAGAGGCGCTGGTGAGCCGAACAGCTGGCAGCATTTGACTCCATTCGTAAGTCACCTTTTCTCACACTATCACCTCCTCATATACTAATCCAATTCCCAGCTCCTCTACGCCTCCGGCTTCCTCTTCATGGGCGCCACCGAGGAGCAAATGGCCTTCCTTTCCGCCGCCAACGTCACCCACGTCTCCTACATCCTCATCCTCTACTCCGTCGCCTTTCTCCTCTACCTCTTCGTCAACATCCTCCTTCACATCTACGCCCAACACACCTGGCCCGATGACGAATCTAATGGCCAGATTGCCCTCGCGAAGCAGATGCGTACGACGCGCGGCGCTCACAGCCGGAGTGTTAGTTTCGTTCCCGGCTCTGTGGGGCTTGGAGTTGTGAATCGTACACCGAGTGCGATACAGAGTCCGTTCTTGGACGTTCCTGAAGAAGAGGATGAGGAGGAGAAGGAAGGAAGAGCGAGGATTAATGGACATGCGAAACCGAAGCAGAAACCGAGGTTGCCGAGTCGGAGTCATAGGGTGACGGATAGTCAACAGGTGAGGGATGCGGAAGAGTTTGAGCTTGAGGGTTTGATTAGTGATGTTGATGAGGATGCCGAGGATGTGGGACGCGACAACAAAGAGAGGAAGAGACAGGGAGATAAAGAGGTTGTATAAGGGAAGAAAGTTAGTATGATTAATGAGCATTGGCTGTGTAGTGTTGATGAGAGGTGAACAAAAAGAGGAATGCAGACATTTTGATATATTAATTCTCTACCAATATCTGGCTGATGCAACACTCTCTCAATGGCTGTGCCCCTTGTGCCGTGCTCCGTTGTCACCGCTGTCGGGAGATCGTACCTGAAGCTGACCAATAGTGCAGGACATGACACCAAGTCTAGACCCCAGAGTACATACCCATTCTCATCTACTACCTAAAGCATCGAATATCCGACAACACAAGAACGGTCGAGTAGCCTCCAGTCATCGTTGATCAGGATGACACGCTGCTTTGCTCGAGCTCATCGACTTCAACTATGTCCCCCCGAACAATTCATTGGCTATATTCATACATGACCCCTATGATAACAGCCTGATCAGTTGTTGTGTGATAGGAATCCAAGCTGTAAGAGTGAAGTCGGAGTATTATCGCCGCATACGGCTGGCTGTTCGAGAACAATGAGCTTGACATGGGCCCCAGCTCTCACCGAAATCCAAATACAGGAGTTGGGTACAAAGCCTTTGTTCGGAAGAAAAGTGCTTGGCTCCACGTTGGATTTCTTACAACCTCGAACGCATGTCAAACTTGTAGGAATGAAGCCGAAATAATTCGCTCACTATGGGTGCAGGAGCGCTGAGCAAATCTAGCAATGTCGCAAGAGACTGTGAAGATGCAAAAGAGAAAAGCAATCTCTACCGATGCTCTCACAACCAAGCCCAACAGCACCAACCACAAAATCATTTTCTGCACAGCCCGCCTGACGTCCACCCGAACTCGCCATAAAACCATAATCTACCACAATCATACCTTGACCACGAACGGCCACCGTCACCGCCGCCGCAAGAACCAGATCGTCTTCTCTCCTCAAGCTCTCTCAACATTTGACATTCACGTCCCACTGACTTGCACAACCCGCAAGAAAGTCGAAGCCTTAATGCTTGAATGGATCCGCATCGTGCCCGCCGTTGTCGAGAAGGTACTAGACTGGGATCGAGAGGTTCTGCTGGTATTCGATGAGGAGAAGGAATTAGGAGATGTTGGGTGGATGGAGATTTGTGTGTATTATCCGGGAGAATTGGACATAGACTGGACGGAGGATATGATGAGTGAGGGAAGAGCGAGGGCGTGGGCGAAAGTGGCGTCCAGGGAGGGATCGAGGACGAGTAGTGCTGTTGCTGAGGATTGAGACTAAGAGATGTGGTCGTGCTATGCAGTGCGTAGTGGCAGGATCTGGGCATATGCAGACCTAGCCTAGGATTATGAGCTTCTAGACACTGACAGGACAGTACAGGCATACGCTGTCACCAGAGATTCGTTCTTAGATAGGTGAAGGAGATGATCGAAGTTGCTTGCTTCGCGGCCTCAAGGACAAAGTCGTTGCTGTGGCGCATCAATAAAGCTAAGATTTATGGCCTCAGAGTGCAGCACAGTACTCCGATTCATGAGATAGAGTTGGCTGGTAGGTCGTAGAGTCCGCAAGTGGGGGTGGAGCAATTCGAAAAGAGAACTTTGGTAGACTTTGTGTTCGCCTCCATTGTGTTCAACGCGCATCATGTAATCACGAGTACTCATTTCGGCATCAATTGGCACGGTCAAGCCATCGAAAGGCCGCTCGTATTTGCGATCGAGTCCAAAAACATAGACCACACAAGAGAGATCTTCCGAGGCATCTTCGGAATCCCAACAAGACATGCTGAAGTACACTCCGCGCTACGCTGGACCTCTCAAGATGGACATTGGGATGGAATAGGTTTTCACAAGGGAATCTGCAAGGCAGAGCTTCATCTGTAAAACGACTTCTATACCGTATGTTTGAGCGTCCAAGAGCAGTCTGTGAACCAACGGTTAAACATGAGTGGACAAGTCGGAGCGACTGTTTGGATATTGAGTACTAATGAAGCTCATCGCGACATGGTGCAATCTCTGTGAGAAGCTTCTGGGCTGTTGAGACCGGTCTGAGGGTTTTCTGTCAAATACATCTCTCACCATATCATCGTGTACCTGCTTTATTGGTCTCCTGTTCTCTGACGCCACCTAGAAACCGATTGCAGCGCAATACGGCGGTATGGATACATGTAAGTGTTTCAATGCCGAGAATTGGGTCGACAGAATGATCTGGTGCGGTTGAAAAGAGAGGAAACTGTCATAGAGGTGTAATCAATCGCTGTACAAACACACGCTGGGGTTTACACGGCGCATGCCTTTTCTGACCGCTACAGATGCATTGCCAACAAACTCACAAAGACCGGAAAGTGAAGATTGATGTTTTGATCATAGCAAGCAGGAAGCCATCGCTAATGAGAAAAGGCATTGAAACGACGAGGAGGTCACCCAGCCGACGTTCTGTGTGATGACATGGTTGTGCAGCCTTTCGCTATTTCTCGGGAATGTAGACGAGCGAGACATCAAAGACATGACGAAAGACGATCCTTTCGATTTCCGGTGGCAGAGCGTACCAGCTTGCTATACTTTGGTGTAGAGAGGAACTGCGTTGTTTCCAGTCAATTTACAAAGTTTGGAGGGCAAAGTTGCAACTGCTCAGATCTGTGATCAAGCTGAAAGCATCGCCTGGTAAAGCTTCACGATAGTAGTCACTCCAGAAATTCTCGGCCAGTATTTGGTTCTTGGAAGCTATAGATGGAGCTAAATCAAAGCAGGCGAAGCTGCTCCTGCTACCAATTCTCCCAAATCGTTGCGGGCATTACTTTCCTCATCAGTTGCCAATGGCCGATTGCGCTTGCCACATGCAGTTTCTCAAGTACTTTTGTGTTAGCACGAGTCAACAGGTCTCCCGCTCTCACGAATCTTGCAGCAGGTACTTCGTGCTTCGGAACCATGTACGCCTTCCTCGATTTGCTACCAAGAAAGTCTGCCTCAACAGGTTTCCTAAATTCGACAGGTATGGTATTCTTTCTACAGAAGAAGACCATGTTCGTAAAGTCATCTTGATTGTCCACTACCGTATCACCTTCACTGATCTGCTCGTCTTCGCGGAAGACGCGGCAAGTGGGAAAGACCTTGTTGATGGTACGGTAGATCAATGAAGTGGAAGGCATGCGTAGATCTCCTGCGTAGTTGATGGCGATGACTCCGTCGGGCTTTAACATCTCACTGAGACTGGACAAGAACTCGAAGGTGAAAAGATCGACAGGTTCTGCTCCGCCAGTGAAGACATCGTGAATGATGTAGTCGTAGTATGCTTGTTGTTCTGCTTTCCTAGTTTCGACCACATTGATAGCATCGCCAATATATGCTGTATGATTTTGAGGTAAGCCAAAGTAGTTCACAGCAAAGCGATGGACAGTCGGATCGAGCTCGATGATGGTAGTGCTCACACCATGAGCCAGTAGGGCTGAAGGTGCTGTACCTACTCCAAGACCAATGTTCAAAGCTCTTTCCTGCTCTGTTGGCTTCTTTCGATCGACCAGTCGGACAGCTTCGAGCATGGTGAAGACGGCATATACAGGCTCGGCCACCCGCCGTTTGGTGTTTGGAGGAAGGATCCATTCACCACCAAGCAGACTATGATCACATCGCATAACACGGAAGTTGTCCTTGTTGTTTTGCAAGACGGAGATATAGCCGGTGAGGGATTCATGCCTGTCGATCAAAGCGTAATCTGATAGATGCAATGTGTTATTGAGCAGTTCTGTCGTCTTTTGCAAAGGTGCATGGACATTAGCCAGGGCGTTGAAGATCAAAGCGGGAAATGCTGGCCAGAAGACACTCTGTGGGACAATTGTAGTGTAGGTGGTAGCTATCAGCATCTGAAGTCCTACTCGAGTGAAAAGTTTGTTCGTACCCATCCACGTTGGCAATATTGTACGAAATGTTCGCTCCAAAATTGTAAACAGAAAGTAGTTGAGCATAGGTGGTGCTGCTTCTGCTATACTATCGTCTAGAAAACTCAAATCGAGACTTTGGAGCTGTTTGGTTGCAAGGTATATCGATGTGGTAACCAAGGGATACAGAGTGACACATTCGATGACTAAAGGTCCGGTGGGATTTCCCAGGGTTGAGCTGAACTGAAAGAGAGCAAAATGGACTACTGGGATCCAAAAGACAAAGGCAGCGAAGTACTTGTCTAGCCAAATGGGTACATAGCCTTTGATGGCAAAGGATAGCATGCCGGCCACCACAAGGCCGTATTTGTGGTAGACTGTAGATGGAATAGAGCCATATACTGGTGCAAGGATGAGCTGTGAAAGAGGAGCATAAAGTGCTGCCAGCAGCACGAGATAGAATGCTCGCCGTACAGAGGCATCCAGGATGACGGAAAACATCCTTCTCGAAGTTGGCTGTTGGCTGGTGGTATTGGCGACTGTCACGTCTGGACTTGGGGCTTGTGGTGCAGAGCTCAGCGTTGTCGCTACTTGAGCGTTCTTTCGTGGTCTCCTGGCCATGACTTCGAGTTCTTCGAGGTATTGGTGTTGTTGGACTGCGCCTTGCTAGAGCAACATTGAATGATCATTCAGTAACGAAAATGGATAAACATGTCCGTTTTATGCGCCTGATCGACCTTGCTGCCTTCTCTTCAGCGAGCAGCCTTCCACAGAAGTCTCTCGCCTTGTATGCGACTTTTGCCGGCTAGAACGGTAGGCCCAGGACCATGAACGATAACGACACAATTTCATCAACATACAAGTACGACTGCAAGGATCATTTACACCCAAGGCCGCCGAGGTGAATTTGAGCTTCCGGCCTTGGCACAAGCGTTAGCCTTAACTTAAACCCTTGATCTCGTCTACGCTTCGTAATCTATTTCACACGTCCGACCTCGCTATCTTATTCGCTAACAAGGTCGGGAACGCGCGTATGGTGTCTACTTCATTCTGCAGTATGTCTGCCAGGACAACATCAACTTTCTGTCTTCGGAGGGCTGTCAGTGCGGACAAAGACGCTCGTTAGGGAAGTGAGCGCAGATACCCTGCATATACCACGTTCCTCAGCCAGAAACACTATGTTCTCACTCGCGCATCTTTGTTCTACAGAACATCGCTGTCAGCATGCCAAGCCAAAGAGTCACTCGTAACCTCTTTTGCACAGCTGCTAGAGACGATCCATGGCCAACCCAATTACCGAAGCGACTGATGCAGCCATACACTCCGTGTCCTTGCCGCGGCTAGGTAACGTCTATGAAGCAGTGGCAGCGGTTGTTGAAATGTCGGGATGGCGAAAAGAGACGGGTTGAACAGAACGAAGGGATATACACCGAGCAGGATGAATTGGCAGACGCGCCCACGCTGGCCCTTCGAAGCCCATAGCACAAGCCCTGCAACCATGGCAGTCAGCAAGATATGGCGACCTTCACGGCGGCGCAAATACATCAGAAACAGCAAGTACTGTCACTGGTGCTACATATACCACAACTGTTACTATGGTAGCAATGTGCCCGGTCAGGCGAGCAAGGGGTATCTTGTGAGAGACAAACATGTTGAGCAGTGGTGAGACCAGCCAATAGCTTCCATCGAGTCCAGTCAGCTCCACCTTGACTCCAACTGGGAATACGATGCCAGTTCGCTACTCGGTCCAGAACTGAACAACATCTTCACCATACGTGCCACGGAACCTTGAGAATGTGTGTGTTGGACGACCATTTCTATCTACACTATTTCAGGCAGCAAGGCTTGAAAACTATTTACTAGGCCGTTGTGATGGACGGCGTTGGTGCCAGGAGCGACAAGGAGGTACACAACTATCCAGAATCTGCAGACCGTCTGGACATGCTGAAGCACTAGTGAGCCGCCAGCAAAATCGATCAAAATCCCAACCTCAGATGCGGAAGCAACGCAAAAGTCTGGAGATGAATACCAAGTAGATTAGCGCAGGACTACAAGCGCTGCAAGAGCTGGAGTTGGGAGTGCCAAGCCACAGATCAGAAAGAAGGATAGCTGGGCCTTCATCTCGACGTGTCTAGCTCGGCGGTTTGTGATGGTTGTTGGTGAGCCGGCAGCTCATTGTATTGCTGCTGCATGTCTGGCTGAGGTTTTTGATATTGGTTATAGCTCGTCTGGCCCCCGTATGCCAATGAGGTTGCATCTGGCGGCATTGTCCCGGTTCTAGCTTTTGTTTGCTGTCGCAGCAACAAGAACGCGATGATCGCGATCACTGCGACTCCACCGAGTGTGGCACCAACACCTATTCCTGCTTTCGCTCCTGTTGACAACCCGCCTGAAAGATTACTGGCCGAGCCTGCAGCCGTCGCTGTTGAGGAAGGTATCGATCCGGTTCCGGTTGCCGAAGTGCTATGGGAGGAGTTTCCAAGCGTGGTGCTGGCTGACGAGCTTTGAAGAGATGTACTCAGAGTAGGGGCAGCGCTTGTCGCGGTCGCATTCGCAGCTATCGTGGTCAGAATATTACCAGCTGCGAGGCTGAAGGTTGAACTTGAGCAGTCGCAGCCGCTGAAGCCGTAGCAACAGTATGTACCGAAACCACAACCCTGGACACCATTTCCTCTGGCTAGAACAGCAATCGGTACTACAGCTTCAAGCTTCGCGTGTTCACGCACCATTCAAACATTGGTTCCTACAAGCAGGATCACGACCTTTGCTCAATTCGTCTATCGGGATCCACCTTCAGTGTGCACTAGTGGCGTACTTTTGATCGGCACGCTTGACCTTCTTAAAGTATGAAGTGCCGTGCTACTAGTGTGAGGAGATCCACGAGCAACGCGGCCCGGAACACGGTATCAGAGCCAAGAGCATGAAACCTAATGGCCGGTGCTCGTCGGGCCTCGACAGCCGCGACTCCGCATCATCACGCTCGTTTACTCATGTGAGAGGTTAAGGGCAATTCGCCACGGATGTTCCAACTGCTTTCCTCTGAAAGATCATAGCCAAATTCGTCTTCAGATAGACGATACGTTCTGAACTTAAACAGCATCGTGATGCTGCGGGCGGTACGAGCTGTCGATTGGCCTTTGCCAGTATAATGGCCCTGCCTGTCGTGCGCATCGTCGAGGTAGGCCCGCGTGATGGCCTACAGGCAGTCAAAGAAACCATTCCCACAGACACCAAGATCGAATTGATCCGACGGCTCTCTAGGACTGGACTTAAAACGATCGAGGCGACGTCCTTTACCTCTAAACGTTGGATTCCGCAGCTGGCCGACCACAAGACGGTTTTGCAGGCCATTTTATAAATCGATACCTGGTACTCGTGCTGGTAGTCCTTCTCATCGTCGAGCTAACGGCTGATTGATAGATGATTCAAGGAGAGACAGATTCGATTGGTCTAGTCACATAGGAGTCCATTCACTCATCTGAGTAGTGATTGTATCATGTCAATGTGGGCAGAAGAAACTCCTTAACGTTGCCTGAGGTATCACTCATCAAATGAATTACGCTAAATCTTACTCAACTCGAGAACAGGCCGACGGACATCATTTTCAATTTTGATGGGCTTGATCTGTCTGGTGAGATGATTACGGTGAGAGCCCTGCTAAAGGGGGCAAGCCTCACATCTCTCATCGATGCAACGCCCGAAGACGTTCCGCGTGCGTTGCAATTGGCCTGGCAGACTGGATCGCAAGATCGCATTGACAGTATCTCCGCCGTCACCATCTACCTCAGTACCGCGACGAGTTGTGATTGCCTCCTAGCATCGGCTTGCTTCATCGACCTAATGTCCTCTATAGTTGTCCACTTCTTTCAACATCCCACCCCGAGCTTGAAGATGGCTGTCTGAGAAAGCTTCGAAGATCATTTGTATACCCTACTACTAACTCTCGCCCTTCATGCCACCAGAACGGAGGAGCCCACTCTAGACTACTTAAAGGTGCCTCTAGTCCGTGTGCGCCGGCTTTCGATCAGCGACCTCCACAACCTAATCAATTTAGTCGCTTTGATCGCATTGTCCGCCGAGTCTACGCTGGACATCGTCATAGAGGCTTTCGATCCCGCAATGAGTTGGATCGTATCTCTCGCACCCGAAGTCTCTACTTATCTCATCCGTCAACTTTCAACTACCGCCGCTGATCACATCGAAGAGGCGGTCGATGCAGTTCAAGGACTTACTGCCGGCTTGTGCCAATGAATCTTCGATCAAGCGATCAGGAAAGCTGACGGTACTCACACATTGGCCTACTGGTGGCGCGAACAAAAGCAGGCAAAGTGGCCCTCACTTTCATACGCCATCTACCGACGATCTATCAGTTATCCACTTAGCAGTATGGCCATTGTGGTTCTCTTATGACTAGCCAAGCTACAGTGGAAGCGGCAGCGATATCATTGTAGTGAGGGAGATCTGCTGTCCGATTCAACCTTATCTACTAATGACATCCGTCGATGCAAGCAGTCAGGCTCAACTGGTAGTCGGTCTACTTACCCTCGACCCTGACTTCACTTCTGGTCAGCAAAAGGCGGTGCTGGTGTTCCTTCAACGCCCTATCACGTATGTCAGGGGTTCATCAGGAACAAAAAAGGCATCGTGGCCAGAATCAAGCAAATCCTCCATGCAGAATCAATTACCCTCGTGCTTGTTGTTACACCCACGCATGATGCAGGTGACCACCTTCTGTGACGACTGCTCGAAAACTGCCCTGGCTATACGCCTGCACGGGTTTCGACTAATGTTTATCGAGTTCAACTGTACGTAAGAGCCTATATTTACATAGCCGTGGTTGGGAAAGACACTAATTACTATCTAGGAGCCCGTGGTAAGGTACAGAAACGAGTTTCTGAAGTATGACTTGTCTTTACCACATGCGTTAGAGTCGGACCAGGAATTTTGCGCGGTCAGCACTTTGAGAATATAATCGTCGATAAAATATTACAGCAGACTGGGGCAGCATCACTGATCCGTCTAATCGAGGGGTCCTCAGGCCTAGTATGTATCGAAGACCACGTACAGCTTCATGCGGTGGTACAACCTCATGCTACGGCTCTGAGCTTCGACGTGCTGCTTTTCGAAGCATTATGAATCGGTCAACAAAGGGTGAGCAGGGTCATGCTCAACACACAATACGGTATGCGTCTGATGATCTATAACGTTTCATCTGCCGTATTCTATGAGGTAAAGTCGGATCAAGTCTGCACTGCGCGCAGATCCCGCTGCCTCGTTCGACTCTCGCTTGACCTGACCGCCGTTGATTACTTTTCTTACAGCATCCAGCAAAGGAGGATTTAGGTCGAAGATCTCGGTCTAACCGTGGACGGGTGCAACCATGTTCAACCGTCGTAACTCAGCTACGTAATGGTCCTGAGCGTGGGAAGAATTCCATCATCATTCTGACACCATACACTCGACACGCGGCACTCCTAAAGCAGCACTTGCCATACGAAACAGTGACAGGTACTGACAGCTTTCAAGGACTGAAGGCCGATGTGATCATATTTGTCACCGTTTGGTGCAATATGCATTGAGAGATTGTATTCTTGAATAGCATAAGGCGCTTCAATGTGGTGCTGACAAGAGCACGAGCTGGAATTGTCATCGTTGGCAACGAGTATACCTTGACGGGCACGGGTGTGGTGCGCAGTCGGGACGAGCAGACACATCATCTAACCTGACAAAGGCTCATCAACCCCTGTCACGTATACAAGATGGTTCAGTCAGTGGTCAAGCAGTAGAATAAGATGGACAAGTAGGATTGGTATAGCAGCACAGAACGAAAAACTTTTTCATAGGAGAGTGAAGTGTTGAATTGTGGGCATTATGTAATGGCCAACCAACCAATCGACCCGATGTCTGTATCTACCTCTTATTCTATGTCCTGGAGGGCTCAACCATACCATGCTGAATGCACCAAGTTGACGAAGGTGATTCATGTAGTGTAGTTGTGCGGTCTGAGGTGCAGTGCCGGACGCGGGGTTGAGTGTGATTCCGAGTGTGATCTCTACATGTACTCGTTACAGTACTCCGGTCGGAAGTGGCTCAGCCTCACCTGATAGCCAGGGAGCTCACAACTTGACCTCGAGTCCTATGTCGGCTTCTTTGTCAGAGTTGCGGCAAATGCTCTAGTGAGATCTTCGAGAGTACAATCGATCACTCAGCTCCATTGTCCTTCCTCTGTTTCACTACGTAGGCATGATGTCATGTCGTAATCCACAACTTGCGACTACCATCGTAGTCGCAAGTCAGTGGGTCATTCGGTCTAATAGTGTGCCCCTGAAATGCCACATGTCATGTTGCCCTAGATGAAACCCCTGCTCTCGCTTTGACCTTGAATAGATTGTGTTGTTCGGCCAGAATTTGCCGAAGCTGTTCGCCAGCCAATTTCGCGGCTGCCTGCTCTTTTTCCAACTCTTGTTGCTCAATTTTAATTTGCTTGCGGCGCTCCTCAATACTTTGTTGGAGCTGCAGCGACTGACGCAAGAGCTCGCCATAAGTCTGCTCGCTTCGTGCCAGTCGAGTTCGCAGGCGCATGCTTGCATCCTCATGCGTGTGCTGTCGAGTGGCCAGCTCATTCGCTTGGGAGGAAAGCTGATGCAGTGCCTTGATATCTACCTCTACAGCACATCCTTTCTCGCTTCTCGACGTGGAAGATTGGATGCTGGATGATCCCTGGTCATTGTGCTGCAATTCCTCTTAGCTGTAGCGGCTCAGTACTGACATGATCATACCGTTAATGCCTCTGATCCGTCCGATGTTTCTGTTGCTGGTGACCTCGATCTTGGTCCGGATCGTGCTCTTTTCAATCTCAAGTCCACGGAAACTGTCAGCCTTGACTGGCAAGAGACATACAACATTTCGAACACAGATCTTGCTCTCTTGGACCAGCTTCCTACTGTAGGGCCATCTTACCAGCATACACACAACTCTGCAGACACAGTCTCGCCAGCGATGCGAGTTCCGCATCGTTGTGTAGAGTCAGATGTGCTTGCAGTCTTACAGAACCATCGGGACTTGACGCGTGGTGATGTCGCAGTTTCAATATCCACTGATCCACGCCAACCGTCTTCGAGTGATGATCAGGCTGCTACAATGGGGATTTCGTCTGACAGGTTACTGATCATGAACAATGACTCCCGCCTGACAGATAAAGATGGTACTCTGGATCTTCCAGCTAGATGTCCAAGAGCGAAGCAATATAGCGAGAATCATCGCAAACAGCAAACTTCCAAACCAGTCGACTCGCGAACACGGACCTCTAAGTATAGTTCGGTACCTGAGGTTCAGCCTCTTCGCACACGATTGCCTGGACAGCCTAGCCAGTACCTCAGAGCATTGGAGATTCTGTCTCTGGAAATGGCCAAACAAGACAGCTTCACACAATTTGCAGGTGCATTAAGATTCCTGCGATCGCATGAACGCATCCGTCTACCACAGGTGTCAGAAAACTCCGTGGCACTGTTGTGTTCCTTGGACACCATTGATAGTAGTCAGCATGCGATCACTCTACTTCGAGCCATGGCTTTGGTACGATTTCACAGGCATTATCTCGTAGTCAAAGGCGGTTTCAAGAACATGGGCTCTTGTATTCTACGCGATACGAATCAGGTCCAGAGAAAACAGAGGTTACAAGCCGCTATCTTGGACGTGCTCGTCAATGAGGCTCAAGAGTGCTACGTAGGGGAAGAGCTTATCAAAACTCGGAAAAGGATCAAGAACTTCTTGACAGCGAGTAGATCTTGGTCATGCCTGCACAAAGCATTTGGGAACGGATCATTCGCTCTCATACCACGGATTGCTGCTTCTCAGTAGGGTTTTCTGATGATTCTCTATGCACTGAGGTTCTGACTAACTGTTCATAGAGTTGAAAGATTACCCAGCATTTGTATGGGTGTTTTTATTGGCTACCTCACCGAGAAAAGAGGCGAAGAAATCCTTCCTCTGAGTCGAGCACTATCCTCACATCTAACAGGTATTTTGGAGGGCGGCGAATGTGTCCTCGCAGACAGTATCAGTAGCGGTATGTACCAGAGCTGGTCAGACGTATTATCTGAAGAGACGGTAGTCTTGAGATGTGCTCACTCGTCGGACAGGTAAATGAGTACTTCGTGATACCTGAGATTGTTATTGCAGACACTTCTCAGTCACCTATATTATCCGTTTACTGAGTAATGCTGTAGCGCTTAGCAGAAGCAAAAGACACTAGCATTGCTTCTTGACTCACCCCAAGGTGTTGACCAGTTTGGATACCACAGTGATATCCTTGTCCGAGTCCAACCAGACTGCTCCAATGAGTGCAGTTACGGCGAGCTTGAGTGTCTTTGGAGAAGGTCCATCGAGATCTTGTCGGACGCAATTGTTTACACAGAGGTCGAGACCGTGCCGCCGAGCCACTGCGGCCAGATAACTGGCACTTGTGCAAGTCGTAACAATATTATTGACACTTTCTGCTCACAGACGGCTTCAGCATGATACGCAATCAAGACACGGCTCTCGCAAGATACGCACCACGATCACTGCCAGCATGGAACCAGACATCGTTCAAGACCAGATCAAGCACTTTGTGGCCGAGTTGAGCAAGACGTCTGTTACCGTCGTCAAGATACAGGATCTTATCTGTCTCTTTGTCTTGTAATTTCACAGGAGCGTGCAGGGCCTGCGTCAGAAGAGTCTTTTCTTTGAAATGATACTGCATGATACCTTCACTCTTCTGCAAGTCAATAAGGTGTGCCATGATAAGTATGACACTGATAGCAATGAGACGCTGGATCTGTCTTCAGGTCAGTTGGAGTGTGAGAAGAGAGGCACACAACGTGACGATATATGTTGTGTCTCCGCACGCTGGGCGCTATGGTACTTTGTCTACTCGTCGACAGGGAAACCCTGAATGAACAGGAGCAAAACCAGACTCAGAAATGACCGTCATATGGAATAGAAGCATGACGGTCAATGACACTGTCATACGTACTGCATCACGATGCACCGGGTCATAACTTGAGGATGGCGTTATACACGAATCTCCAGGCCTCGTGCATTTGTGATTCTGAGATACATTGCAACTTGTCAACGTGCTAAGAAGGGAACCTGTGTTACCCGATCTGGGAATCGTTAGCGGATCTGCTGAGAATCAACCCCGGGAGAAAAGTTGACCGACGAATAACGATGATCGATACACATCACGTTGCCATCATGGGCAAAATAGAGTGTCTGTATCAAACCTGTATCGTTCATCAATATGTGTTCTAACTGGCTCATCTGATTCCACATAGCCCCTATAACACATCGCTCTCCATTCAGATTTGGGAAGGACTCAATATAAGATGACTCATAGACGTTCTTGCACGGTTGCTAATCGAACATCCAGAATATCGTCTCAATGTCCCAACCTGCCTCAGAGACCACTGCAACCCGGAATGCACGCATTAAGACAAGGGCAGCAACCACGATGTCGGTGATCAAACCTTCAAAACAGCCTCGACCAATTCAGTTAGATGCGAAGAGGTGGCCATATCGAGGTACAGGCATACTCATTCAAACGATTTTCGCCACAAGTCTCGAAGAATGTCCCACTCATGTGGGCAGCGCAGATGGGTATGAGGTCTTATGCTCCTACAATTGGAGATCAACCATCCATCCTTCAATCTATGTCCCAGGTAAGTCGTTGGTAGATCTGTAGGAGCATCGATCAAGGTAACGTTGCGACGCAGGAGCTCCTCCGACATACATGCCTCCAGCCTTGGCTACGACCCTACCTCAGGATCATGGCACATATTTCATCGACCAAAATGCGTATAGATCGCCGTGGTCCACGTTCGAGCCCATGTTTCGAGCACTGTCTGTGATGCAACCTAGCTGTGCCTTCGATCAGGTCGATGTTATCGTCAATCGAAACAGCTTGAGGAAACTCCTGACATTCGTCCACGGCAGTGTGCCAGATACATTTCGAGTAGATCTGACACTTGTGCACGATACATTGGTCATTACACGCCACGAACGAAAAACACGCGAAAGAGTCTGGGACTCAGTGACTGCTGGATATGGGCATGAGTACGAACGCCATTGCACAACTCCAGCGCCAGGAATGGCAGACAGCACGAGCCACCACCGTGTTATCCGATATCGCCTGGGTCTCCTTGATTGTGTGGTGCGCTTTGAGGTTGACGCCCGCACAGACGATTCGAGCACTACCACAAATGCATTTACCATGCATGTGGAAACCCCTAAATCCACGGACGACATCGCGGAAGCGCTAGAAGGACTCTCTATCACCGCGAACACAGTCAAAGGTCGGCATGAGGGAAGCGACCATCAACGGCACCGTATCGAAGTGGTACAAAAGGGTAGTCTTCAATACCCCGGTTCGCTTGTTGAGCTAAAAGCACGAAAAAAGATACCTCGTGACAAAGACGTGCTTCCACAACTTTGGTTCGGTCGTGTGAATTACCTGGCGGTTGGGTTGCATACCAATGGCGACCTCCGTGACGTGTTGTTCGAGAATGTCGAAAGCAGATGTCTCGAGTGGGAAACAAGATGCCAAAGCGATCTACGCAAGCTCGAACAATTGTTGAAGCGGCTCACAGTAATTACTAGGTCGACCAGTCGTAGATCTTGTGTCATGGTTTGTGATCGCGGTTGTAAGCCTCCACGACTTGCTATCTACGAAGATCTGGACACTCAGCCTGTTCTGTCCGACCAAATCTTAAAGCAATGGTGGACCAAAAGTGACCGGTCTTACCAACACGAAAACAACGCGTGATGGATTTATTTGTTGTCTCTAGCTAGTCGTACACTTCCATGTTGAGGTATGGTAGAACTCATAAGAAAAGTGCAATAGCACAATCTGGGTCGTGAGCGATAAACTGCAGCTGTGCATCACATGCAGAGCTACTCAAGCAAGTATGCAATCAAGAGTAACAGGTCTATTTGCGAATGCACATCTATCACCAACTATTTGCTCCATCGTATTTGAATTAGAAGTCATCGAGGGATCGCAGCGATACAGTGTCCATTTGGATCCACCGTCCCCAGTAACTAGTGCATATCGCAATCGAAATTACAGCAGCTGCCTACCAACCTTCGACGTTCCTGGCTGCGTGGTATCGAGGACTCCGTGCTCAATAACCGGGTCAATGATTGGAAAATCTGTGTATATAAAGGCAGTCCTTGTAAACGCTCATCCAAAATGCTTCTCTACTGCTTCCAGAGCCTAATCTGCACTACATTGGAGGTACTCTTGCCCATACACTGTGTGAATTTGAAATGGTAAGAAGACCTCCGCGAAACAAGAAGCAGCAGAAGCAGAAGTCCGAAAATCTAGCAAAACCCGAGACAGAGATGACTGCCTGTCTATTGTTTCCTGCACTACATCAAAAAGTGTGTCAGGCAGTAGAGGACGACATTCCCGTGCCGACATTCCACGCTGACGACGACGACGACAATGCCGAAAAGAAATGGTCGACTAACATCATGGGCAAATTCAGTTGCACCAACACCGATTGTGGTACAAGCACTTGGGGAAGCAAAAGAATCGCTATCTTGATTCGGGGGTATCGCGGGAATGAGTACAATGTGGTGGTTTTTAACCAGTATTGCCGGAGTTGCGAAGAGCTCGGTACGATAGAAATTGATGAATCTACCTATGTCGATCGTGTTGCGTATCGACTCAAGAAATGGGCAGGTATCATCATGGAGCCGCCAATCTTCCGCTCACAGAGAGGCTTACCGCACAGAGAGGAACTGTGCGAGGGATGCCGAAGAGGCTACTGTGAAAATATGACTGCTCAAAGAGAGACACGGTAAAGGACAAACGCCACCAAAATTAGCCTCATGGCTTGGATGAATAGGATCAGAAAGCACAAACACCGAACAAGATACCGACCTACGCAATGTTGTCCCAGCACCTGAGGCTTATTCTCACGTGGCCCACCGTCGATGGCAGTGAAAGTTGAAAGTATGCAAACAATCGTGTCTCAAGTACTGTAGAAGACCGTTTGCACAATCTGCGAGAAGCTTGCTAATGACAGTCTATATTGGGAGAGGGGGATTGATTACAATCGGGTCGATTAGTTCACTTAGGTCAAACAACCGAAGTCTGGTTATGACATGGTTGTTAGACAGACAAGAATGTTTTGAGCTTGTCTCATTGCCTACAGAATAAGTCTCTCGCACATCTGAAAGTCTTACACACTTTGCAATGCTCCGAAACCTCCCATCTATGCCATTGACATTCCTGTAACAGTCAGTGTATACTAGAGGCAATTCGATTGGAAGGAGAAAGAAAAAACGACGTCTGCTACCTTCGCCCTCCACAAGCAGTTCTGTGCAATATAGTGTCGCTACTAGGAAGTAACTGATACCTGATATTTGATATTTGATGTTATGTATCATGTTCTACCATCACTTTCACCCGACCTCTACTTGTTCTCTCACTTCTCATTGCGCTTGCCGCAACCCTGACTTGAGTTTGCCCGTGTGATAGTCATGAACGGGAAGATGTAGACACCTTGCTTATATACAAACTGTGTGATACCTGCTCTCACTCGTGCTAGAGTCGAGGCACTACGAATGGAAACAATAGCTCGTCCACCAGGTTTCTGACTATTCGTGCTACTCCAAAGCAGTGGATGTATCCTCCGTTTGCGAAGCCTGATGAAACATAAACATAAGCGAGTCATATTATATTCTTTCTGTAAGTAGACTCACCATATGCGTGGACGATGTGCTGTCCGTTACGGACTTCCTTTTCAACTCGAATACCGGTTCTTCTTGCCGTCCTAAACCCAACGTTGTGTCGAATGATCTGATAATCTGCCAAATTCGATGAGAAGTGGTCAGGTATATTCTCGTGGATTCGATTCACAATCTGGTCGAGGATCAGCTTTTATGTGTATACCGCAGGCAAGACATAGCTGAGACTTACATCTTGTGCTACATCTATATCCACGTCCGTATGGCTAGTATTTGATAAATTCCGATCCTACTGCTCATGTGATGGTACTTACTGGACATCTGGCTGTCGTATGCCTCCAATAATAGCGTTCCCGTTTCCATGTGGAATTACATATGTATAGGTTTTTCCTGTATCGTGCATAAAAAGCTTGTCGTACGAGGTCTTGATCAACATAGTCTGACCACGGACTGGCTGGATGTCGGTGTCGTGAATGTCGGATAAAGAGCTAGACCCATTACCTGTAGCGTTGATAACGATATCCGCATCCTTGCAAGAGATGTCCGAGAGTGCTGTTATCGTAGCCCTTCGAAACTTTACACCTGACTCCTTAAGTCTTTTCTGTAGCCACGGCAAAAAAACGACCGGCTGGAGAATCATACTTCTATCTGTGGTATTGTTTGAGCCGCTCGTTCATCAAGCTAGGTTGGTAGCGACCTACATGAGACACCAATCTTAGAGCCCTTGACAAGTCTTGCTTCAGGCAGAAACATGAACTTGCGAATACGTCAGCCGTGCCTCGAATCAATTTACCTATTCATCAAGCATAAGTTACCTCTGGCAGCATCCTCCACCAAATTTGACTGTTGTCGTCAAAGTCAAAAAAATCCTCGAGCATAATCAATCTCACACTCGACTCAGGATAATTCTCAGCCCAGTGGCTGAGCTGCGAGTAGGTATCAAGCTGCATCTGCTGTTCAATGCGGCTACTCGTGCCTCCAGCAATGAAGCTCGCTCCTGCCCACGGACTTGCCCATTCCGCGGATAGTCCATCGCCAGGTAAATTCCTGGCAACGATGATTATTTCATGTTCTCGTGCCAGAGCACTCGCTGTGACTAAACCTATCACCCTGTGTTGAATATAGATTGTTAGCTCATACTGTGTTGTGGATCATACTGGGTCGGCAAGTTGACCTACCCGGCGCCAACGATTGTAATGCGAGCCATGGCTCTTACGGCTAGTATCGTTCCGGTCCTGCTGCAACCGTCGATGATACTACAACATAAACATGCAGAAGCTAAAGAGAAGAAAGATTATCTCCTGGGGTGTGAACCGACGATCGGCTAGCCACCCGATGGGTTTCTTGTTCATTGGAGACGACCTGTTGGCTAAAACGCCCTTTCACATACTAGCCGTAGTTGAGCCGGTCGAGCCTGTGATACAGTTTTGATGTGCAGCATTGCTATCCGGATATATCCTATCTATGACTTTGATCCTGTCACGATCGCGATAACCAGTCTGGGTTCAGGCCACCGTTCTCGAATATAGTAATGGAATCGCCTTTCTCAAAGCAAGAACTTGAACTATAATAGCTATGCTTTGTGATCTGAGATACCTTTTGACAGCATCACCCCAGGCAACTCCCCGTTTATAGAAATGCATTCCAGTCGCACTACCAGTCCGTAAACCATCGATAGCATCCGCTAGCTGTGCACCAAGACCTTCCTCCTTAACTTCTTGGATGGAGTTGAGATATGTTTTGAAGGCAAACACGATACTCCCGGAACATGGTAAACGATGTAGTGTTTGTCGTTCACACCTCAGGAAAGTCTGCAGCGGGTCAGCAAATCTTGAACATTCAGTGAAACTGCTTTACCTTTTCCGGGTCAATTTGTTCTGAACGCTCAACCTTATCATCAGCCCTTGCATGATTTGTGCTATGTCCAAGAACGAACAAATCACCGCTTGTGACAATGGACCAGTTCGATCTCTTAACATATTTGCCAGCTTTCAAATTCTTGAAGAAGCGATCCATACTAAGCTCTATCTTCTCCTTGTAATGAGGTACTGGTTCATGAATATCTGCTAGCCGTTTTCCGAGTTTGTCTCTTGGATTCCAGCCCGAGGGGCAGATTGTGATATAAGCTTCCAGAACGTATTTAGGATTAGTCGAGTTCTCTTCGGGAAGTAGAAGTAGAAAATCTTCGTCCAGTATCTTTCCCAACGTGTTGAGAAGCACAATTGGGTTAACCTCGGGAATGACTTGCGCTGGGTAGATCTCCCCGGTAACAAGATTTCGCAACACAGCGACTTCGCCTACCTGGGAACCGGCTCGATGAATCTTGAACATGGTAGGATATCTCTGAGGCAGATAACTACCTAGTAGCCATGTATAAAGCTCAGACATTGCCGGAGCGATACGAACACCGTCATTGACTGAACACGCAATATCTGGATATTTTGCTAGGATAGCCCTTCTGTATGCCAATCTGTCTACGTAGTTCTTGTCCATAAGAACCTGTTCCGATGGATCGAGATACTGAACAGCTAATTTTCGAATTTTGTTAGTGAATTCTTGGTTTCTACTAAAGAACAGCATGAAAGCGTTGCTAGAAAATAGCTTCAACGTACCCATTGTAAGATGATATTGTGGTTTAAACAGTCGGAGCTTGAGAGGCTCTTCATTCTTCCAGCAAAAATCGTGTAGTGCTGTTATTGGTGAAGAAACACTGCTCGCCAGGTGTGGCTGCTTGTGACTCTGGCTCTTAGCGATGGTTTTATCCTCGTTAGCAGCTACTCGTGAGCAGCATTTCACTATGCCGACACTTGTAACTCTCCAGCGCTCAAGAAAAACAGCAAAAACGATCACACAAAGGACGAGAATGAGGTTATAATGGCTGGTGCATGTGGTACTCATGGTAGTGCCCATGGCCCTAGTATTCCTGGACTCTGGTTTTGGTTGACAAGAGAACACTTGTAACGGTCGCTTAGATGCTCTCGTTGCAACGTGGGCAGGACAACTGGCCAGGCATATTGTTTCGTAAAGTGCAAATAAATGGTTGCTTTGCTTCGTAGAATACCCTGAGTGATCTTTGAACATAGATATCTTGAGAAACACTACTCGATACGTTTCCCGCCAGTTATATCAGTCGTGCCCGTAATCCATGTTGTTTTACGGGTTTTTTCCGCCTGTAAGGCTTGCAAAAGCTTGTGATGCTGACTCTGTGCAAACACCAGCTGAACGAAAAGAAGGGAAGCCTCGTACGTGGTACAACAAGCCGGTTCACCGGGCCGGTTGCGTTTGAAACCCCAGATAAAATCATTGCGCTGCAAGCCGTTTCGAGCCGCCATCAATAGATCTCCACATTCAACGAAAGCTTCCTCTACTGGACAACAGCAAACTTCGGTATTGTCATTGATTGTTGCGTGACGGCCGTTACTACGTTAAATGCACGGTCGGATATTGACAGGTCAGTCCGCTAGCGATGAATGAATCAGCTTGAGCCTAATCTCCGTTACGGTTCCATGCTAAGCAGATTCCCCAGAGCCAGAACAGAAGAATACCTGGCAAAGTTTTGATGCGCTTCAGCTTGTGTAATACGAGGAATGACTCGTGACGGGCCTCCCAGCGCGTCCACATTCTGATTAACTTTCTGTATGCATGTTGCATCCACTTGGTTTCCCTGCATGCAGATCATCATTATGCTTAGGTTATGAGGTATCTGGCACTTCAAGGAACAAGGCACTCTCTTCAGTCCTATGTGCTCAATTCCCTCGTGGCATGCTGCATTTTCTGGTGTTTGCATATTGGTGACTGATACCCCCAAATCATTACAACTCTAGTACAATTCACCTACATCCTGACAAGGCAGTGTTTCAACGCACAAGGGCTACGCAAGCTTCTGACACAGCTTGTTTACCGTCAACGTCCTGCAAATTCCCGTTGCGAGCCATTCCGTGGTAGATAGTTTTTCCCAAACTAAAACTTGAAGGAATAATTTTAATCATAATTGTACTTCGACTGGGTATTGTAGCATTTTGCTCACTGATATGTCTTCTCGCCAAGTATCGCTTCCGGTGCGTTTACTGATATAGGAAATGAACGCGAAGGTCAGAATTACGTCGAACAACAACAACTTCAGAACAGACTTACCGTGTTCCTCACGAAAAATCAACATAGGTCTTAGTCGGATCGTCGAATTTCCATAGGCACCCAAGATGATACCGTGGCTTCGCATTTTCGCCATGAGATCAGCAGCTCCGATAGTGTCAAAGGCAATGTAAGTGCTATGATGGGTCAGCATAGTTGAAATTTGCGAACTAGACTTACCCTTTTCCTCGGCCTCTCAAGTTCATGACCTTCTCAGAGTTCGTTTTAGCAATTTTCTCGAGCTCGGTATACAAAATAGTCACATCACGTGCCTATCGATCAGTCAACCTCAATATTCTTACATGTAAGACGACATGACTTACGACTTGGCTTACGAGATCTCCGCTGTAAATACAATCGATAAGCGCGTCATTCATAATGACTCGAGCTGGATCACCCATCCAACTGCACAAATTATCAGCCTGTGCACATTTTCAAAATAAGCATTACTCACGTATTGATTGACGATCTGCTTTGTCTGGTTGGAGGAGATGATTACCAAAGTAATAACCTGCGGTTTGTGCCTTCTTGGAGTATGTCACAATATCTCGAGGAGTAGTTAACTCCCCGATATCGTATCACGAGCCGGATACAGCTTCGACCGACCGGGTGCTTGTACCCGGCGCATCTAATGAACGTTGTAAAATACCAGAGACAAGCATCAGTCATCAAGACTCACGACCATAAGGCAAATAGCTGGTTGCTACTCCTAGAACGTATCAAAGCTTCGGTTGCCAATGGTGAATGAGGTTGATATGGATACATCCCAACAAGGGATCAGCATTGCGGCAAGATAGACTTCAGCCTTGCTAGTCTGAAGTCCGAGCCGACGATTAAATCACTCATATACTCTCAGGGAGAGCTTTCAAGTTAGCCGCAAGAAGCCGTGAAGAACCGTCGGTGAGGAAGATATGGGCGATACGATCTTCGGAAGAATTTCATCCCAGACCCTACATTGACGTCTATAAAACTAGAAACATCTCTCAACTTATCGATTATAATCCACAGAAGCCATCCCTCCTAGTTACCGATAAGACCTTATAAAAATTTATTCTTGCCTGCTTCACAATGTCTAATCTCACAGACTACAAACTCCTCTCATTTGATGTTTACGGCACCTTGATTGACTGGGAAACCGGTGTTCTGGAAAATGGCAAAAGCGTCGCTTCTCAATCAGACAAATCACGAGAGGACCTCCTGCGCATTTATTCTGAGCTCGAGAAGATTCAACAGGTCAAAACTCCTGACATGCCATATTCCAAACTTTGCGCAACCGTCTATCCACAATTTGCTGAACGACTTAGAGTTTCAGTCAAACCGACGGTTCAGGAATCTGAAGTGTTTGGCCAGTCAGTCGGAAATTGGCCAGCATTCCCGGATACAGTGGATGCATTGCGAAGGCTTAAGAAACATTTTAAACTTGTTGTCCTCTCTAACGTGGACAGAGAGTCCTTTAAAGTCAGTCATGCGGGGTCTCTTCAAGATTCTCATTTCGACAAAATCATTACAGCCCAGGATGTCGGATCTTACAAGCCTGATCCCAAGAACTTTGAGTACATGTTTAAGACTGTGAAGCAAGAATTCGGCGTTGAACAAAATCAGATCTTACAAACTGCTCAGAGTCAATTTCATGACCATCATCCAGCAAGGAAGATTGGATTGAAATCAGTCTGGATTGAGAGGCGTGGAACTATGGGTAATCTGAAAGAACAAGTTTACGACTGGAAATTTGTTACACTAGGAGATATGGCTGATGCTGTTGAGAAGGAAGTAGCAGCACAATTTCAGTAGTTTGCTAGTAAGCACCGACCGGGAACTGTAGCCGGCGGCGGAACAACCGAACAGCTCTTGATATGGAAAAGTTTATCAACACGAATTCCTTACGCAAATCTCTGTCTTGAACCATTTGTAATGTATTATTCCTTGGATCAGCTCCGTATTTCTTTTACGTGGCACTCGATATGGATAAATTAGAGAAACTTCGGCCTCTAGGTATGTCCTGCCAAACTGATACTTACCGTGATCTCAACACCGGCATGCTAATTCCGGATAGGCGCTCTTGAAAAGTACATGGTAGCTAGAAGCGATCTAGGCATTTACAACAATGTTGCAGTTACCGCAATATACACGTATGCCGATAATGGTAGCCTGAAGTTGGCACTGTTTAATGCTCTTGCTTTGGTCATACCACAGCATCCGATTCTATCTGCTATACCAGTCGATACAGCTACAACAACACCAAGATTCGCTAAACTCCCGTGCCTAGATCTCGATCAAATCGTTACCTTTGCAAAAGGCGACGGATACTGTCCTACCGGCGAAACCTCACCAAGTGTTGATGTCTTCCTTCAACAGCAACACAACTTTGTATTCCAACACACGAACCCGTTGTCACCTTGGTGGAGGTTACACGTGCTTGAAGAGACCAGTAATTCCACTCACTTTACGCTGGTTTTCGTCTTCCATCATTGTATCGGTGATACCAAAAGCGCTATGGCCTTCCACGAGGCTATCGAGGATGCTCTGAAGACACCGTGTTATAATAATGTGGATTCCTTGCTACAGGTTTCTAATCCGATTCTTCTTCCACCTGTAGATGAAATTCTTGTCGATAATACCTACACATGTCCTCCACCGAAGGAAGAAAATTCATCGAGAGCATGGACAGCTACTGTACAATCGATACCTGCGCAGACAAGATTCTGCTCGCATTGGATTTCAGCAAATACAACCACAGCGCTCCTCAAAGTCGCCAAAAGCCACTCGCTATCACTGACTGCCATTTTGCAAGCCATACTTGTGACAGCGATCTTCCGTTGCATACCATCAGCCTACGACGAGATTAAGGTGGATTGCGCAGTGTCCTTGCGTCCCTGGTTATCATCACCAGTGACCTCAAAATCAATGGGAGTTTTCATTGACAATTTTTCGCAATCATATCGGCGACGCCCCTTTAGCTGGGAGGTGGCACAGGCAACGCAGATCTCAATTAATGAGGTAGTCAAGTATAATCGTGGCGATGGCATGTACCGTAGTCTTGGTCAGATACCTGATCTCAGGCAATGGTTGCAAGCTAAGAGGGGTTGTCCAAGACCAAGTGCACTGGAGTTATCCAATGTTGGAAGGCTTACACCGGATCCGTTGTCAGATCGAAATAACTTCCAAATCCAAGGTATGTTGTTTAGTCAAAGTGCTGGAGCATACAGTGGAGCGATCAAAGTAAGTGTCGTGACGGGGCGGGATGATAGGCTGGCTCTCGGATTTTCATGGCAGGAAGGCGTGGTGGAAGACGCGGTAATTGAAAATGCGATACAAGAGCTCCGAAGCACTCTCTTCGAAGTGATAAACGAAGACGAGACTCATGCTTAAATTTCTTCCCAGGAATATATGGCTCGGTTCGTGGAGCCTGGGTACATGCCGGCACCATATCTGCATAAATACAGTCTCGATCTTGTGTCCTCAGACACCTGTAGTAAAGTCAAGCTCGTCAATGAACAGCATGGGTGAACAGAAGTCCTGGTCAGCATTTTGCATTGGTGACAATAACCCACCAGACACGATTTCTGAACGGTTGCTTCCTCCACTCGTATCAATATTCCATAGCAATGCCCAGTTCTTGAAATTTTCATAAGCTGAGCCATCTGACTCAAAGTGTCCCATATGTCGAGCTTGAGTTCTTGTTTCAAGACGCTCGAAAACAGTCTGCATAGCTTCAGTGGCGGCCTTTTCTGCAGTAGCAGCATACAAGCCCAGTGACATGTGCTTCAAAAGTCTTATTCCTTGCGCTGACGCTGTTCGTAGCCGAGTGTCTGACTCACAGGTACGTTTGGCAAGGACCACAAGAAGCGCTGCCCAACATGTAGTAAACTCGGTATACGATGCTCGTGCTAGGCCCGTTGTCTCTTGTAGTTTCTCGCATAAGCCAAAAATGGCCAACGCGCTTTCGAAACAATTTTCGGTAAGTTCTGTGCGGATACTGGCATGCGCGGCATCTAGTCGTGCGTCGACGTTCATGCTGATACGAGGGGCATCAAAGATGAGGTATCGACCGACGAAGACGTGAACTAAATGATAAGTCAACGCTAGATGTAAGTTAGGTCGAAACAACACGCCACTTGTCGACAAGTCTCTGCAATATGTAGTTTGTGGTAAGGTTTGCCAGTACTTAAAGAGATCTTGTTGGATCTGTGAAAGTGAGGCAAGGATCGGATAATTGGACGTCTCTACAGATCTTCTCATAGAGGAACTAGTTTTGCAGTCAGTCATCGATATTTAGCTGAACAGAAGGCCAAGAAAGTGCCACTTACACTAGTTCTCTTGTATTTTCGAGAAAACTGGTAATCTTGATCATTGCGAGCATATTAGGCAGATTGTCGATTCTTCCTGGAGTTTGAAGAGCTGGGTAATCCACTGGTTGGCATGCATCTACCTCAGATACAGTTATGGAAGGAGGTCTTCCATGCAAGACGCAGATTCTCCTAGATCATGTCAACATATACACATAAATGGTATAAGCATATTTACTTCTCAAGGATGTACGTAGTCCACCATAATCTGTTTCGTACTTCGATGTTCCGAGCATCTGACATCTTGCAATACTTGCGATGCATTCCATTCCGAATTGCTATCTTCATAGCAAGGCCGATATATGTGTAGCATAGTCCGCCGGCATCGACTGGTAAAGTATACATGGCCATTAGGAGGAATGCTTGAACGCTTTCGATAGATGCGATTGAAATGACATCCGGAATAAGACTGGTTGCAGCCTGATAGAAGGTTAATGCAACGCTGTCGTCTAGTGACGATAGATCCTCAAGGTCCAAAGAGCTGGTCTTGTGAGCAGTATAAAATCCACCTTGTGAGCTTAAATGTGCAAATTGTGTTCCCACAGCCATAACCATTAAGATAACACAAACAGAAGCAGCATCCTGATTGTTGAACGGGTAAGATTGAGTGAAGAAGTTATCGAGGCTGTAACGCAGCAGCTGCTCGTCGACGTAAAAATAATTGGTTTGAGCGTAGTTAAAAAATACATCGACAAGAAATTTCGCAATAGCTAAGGGCGGGAAGCACATTGCAGCATCGTAGACAGTCGACCTCGGAGGATTCAGCCTTGCTACTCTGTGCAATTCCGCATCTGGAGGTACGCTTGGTATATTCTACACGCAGTAATATGTTAATTCCATCGACAATTGTTATCGCCGTGATATTACCTCGACGTTGGAACTGAGAAGGCCCTTGTTGAGAGCATGCTGTACATGGATTGAAAAATGACAGTGAGAGAGTTCGCCCGTATATACTTCTCAGATTAGTTTCGTAATTAGCAAATCGGCATTGTGCTAGAGCTCACCAGCAGTTTTCGAGGATATTTGGTCGATGATAAAGTCCTCACTATCGTTAAGTGGCCCTGCACGCTCGATACTGCCTCTTTCGGAGTATTCCATGCCCTGACTTGTTTGTCGACTTTGTAAAGAGCGAGCAAGCGTGATCAGTGACTGTTTGTCAAAAGCTGTGCGTCCCGTAAACTGCTTGATAATGTCTTCCATGACTTTGATTCTCTCTGGATCTAAGTCTTCATCTGCAGCACCTTCGCATGCAGATGAGTGTGGCAAGGTACCGGGCAAAACGACATCCCTTCCACTACGAGAGGGTTTATGCGTTCTAACTGACGGAGAAATCTCCGAGAATACACAACGACGTTGCAATCGGACGCATCTTGTGCACGGGGATTCACCGTGACATTTTTCTTTGAGATGTCGACAGATATCGCATCTGAATGTCTGTCAGTTAGAGCTAAGTAGCTTTCGACGGGGGGCCTTGTTTACGCGCGTTTGACTCGTTTTCGTTTCTCCACAGGAACTTGTGGTCTTGTTCGACGACCGCTTGCGAGAGTTGAGGTTGTTTCGCTACCAGACGTGTTCATGATAGCTCAGGCGCCAGAGACTAAGGCTTGTAATTTACGTTCATTAGCCCACCGACATATACCACCACGAAAGTAGGTCCACAAGACAACGACGGTCACTGGAGATACACCAAGAAAATAATGGTCTGATCTATGGGCTGGTACTGTATCGTGCTACGGAGAGAGATGTAAAATAGTCAAAAGAGGTGTGGCTGTAAATCAATCCTCGAATGACGTACTGAGTTGCGCCTGCCATATTGGGCTTAGTAGCATCGACATCCCACGTAGAGGATGGTTACGACCTGCAATCCCTCGCCGACCACGATAAATCGAGTAAATCTACATATACTATGGTTGAATATTTTGGTCTCATGCTCTTCTGATCTAGCTCTTGACAACCAGAGCATAAGATCACAAGAGCAACCGAAACCATGGAACATATATACTACGTTGGTCAGACACATCTGACATTTCATAGTTACTCCGTGATCAATCTCCCTTACCAATTGCACTGCTACCTTCCAAAGTAATTTCCCTATCGTTTTCGCACTCCTTGTTACTACCCAGCCAACATACCACCCCACTGCCTGTGATCAGACCTACTTGCCCTAGGCCTGAGAACTTGCGTGATACCCTGCTTTGTACGAACTTCTACGTTGCGATGCTTGCACTTGGATACACATCTATCGCTGATGACCGTAGGACCACCAGAAATCTAACTGATAACGACAGCCACTGCGCGCAGCTGAGCATGCGTAGGCCCCAGTCCCATAGTCTTAAGGTCTATCAACCATCTAAAAAGTATCCTCATGTGTAGGCGAAATTGCCTGCTCGTGGGCGTGTGCTCTTCGTCTAGGTCGCTCACCATGGTACCAAACGCGCGTTGTCGACTCTGCGACACGACACGCCTTCGGAGGCGCTCGAGTAGACGGGAAGACACCACGACGTCAATCCATGACAGCTGCGTCGACCGAAGCTAGAGTTTCAGCGTATATAGTGACGAATCGCGGTAGAGATCAAGTGACAGAGAGGAAGGGTAAGACATTGGTGGACTGCGCAAGTATCGGTGCTGCAAAATTAGCGTAAGCCGACTCAACTCAGCATGCTCACGAATCGAAGGTCTACGTCTGCTAAACTTCATCAGTCTTATAACACTCGATTCAGGTAGTTACTGTAAGCTATTGACATCAATTCTCGTTGCAACTTCACTGCTAATGCGAGTATTGCAGTGTCGAAGACTCTCGAAAATAATCGACAAAAACACCTATACTTCCCCAAATTATATATACAATCTATGTTATAGGCTCTATGTCTATCGAGAAAAAGTAGAATGACGACTGAATCATACACAGTCTCGGAACTTCAGACCTTCACCCTAGGAAGGCCTCCATTACCCAATGATATCGTGCTCTCAACGACCTTTAAAGGTTCTGCATAGCAGTCTCAGTCCAAGGTTTCTTACCAGACTGTCGCAATAACACCTCGATTTCGCTTGGGTGAATTACTGCTAAGACAACCATAGTTAACCACATGAGTAGCGCATCAAAAATATAGAGGTAAACCTCGTGTGAAATAAGGTAACCATCATTGCCCTGAGCATACTCAATTAGACGGAACACACACCGGACCCAGATAAGAACACTGGCTAGGTACAGTGTTATCATGTGCTTCTGCCATGGAATTGACTCATACGGAACCCTGGTATGTTTCGTCTTGAGCATTCGTTTGTGGAAAGTGCCGGCAGTGATGACGAAAGCTGTGAAGAAGAGAATCTGAACCACTAGACCGCTGATAATGATGGTTTCGCCGGTGTGGAGAGCGCTGACTGATCCTGATGCCATAATACCACCACCTGCGAAACGTGAGCATCGTTATTGCAAGTGTCAAACGTCGTCACAAACCTGCGCCTTGCATGACGAAAGAGATGATGTCTCCGACAACAAACCCCTTAGTCAGCCATCGTCGAGGTACTAGAGAGTACCGTTCTCCGTTTGTGAGCAGAACGATACGCCCTAGACACATATAGATGCTAGCAGCGTACAAAGCAGGTGCGACAAGGACAAGGATAGTGTGTAATGAATAGATGATGACGGTCCAGTCGGGACTTTGTTCGGCGGCGACAGCTCTCTTGCGTCCTGTCAGTACTAGTGATCAAATACCGGTTCACATGGAGAAATTCACCGTCACATAGCCGACAACCTCAACTGTCGAGCATGTTAGCACAGAACGGTCAAATGGCTTTGTGTGGCTAACATAAACCTCCAACTGCGAACACAGTCCAGAGCCATGTTCTCGTCCGTACTAGTTGCCAGATATGCACTACTGTAATGGCTGCGAAAAGCAACACGAAGACTATGGCTGCAGCAAGGTTGGGATAATAGCGAAAGAGCTGGAAGTCAACGGTTTCCTCGTTAGCAGTAGCCATAGTGCGAATGGAAAAGTGGTTGCTGGAGGGGGTGTCTTCGATACTCTAGCCAGGTGTGGTCGGTATACTGGTGCTGAACACTGGATGGCCTTGACGTAGATAACCATTTTGCAACTGGCAGGTTGTGCGTTATATATAAGCTCTCTTTGCCGACTTATGGTGACCTGGATGTGTAGTAAACTATATCAGAGTACACGCGTATACTACCCTGCCCTGTTCCATTCGCAGCAATTTAAGAGTCTCAGATTCAGCATAGAACGCCATGAATAGCGGCAGCGGGGACAGCGCTTCTTCATCTTTTTGCAGAATGCTTCGACATGGAGGAATGCGCGTATTCGTTTGCCGCGGTGGGCACTCATGGCTCCATGCGTGGAATCATCATAAGCTCATACCAAGGAGCTAGTGGCAAGCATTTACCTTCTCGAGCGAAATCCATTATGCATTATTCACTACTCATGACTGGCACGATGCCGCTGCTCAGCAACATGAGAAATCTATCGATATCATTCTGGCTAATCCTCGCCGAATTTTGTGCAGATCTCGAAACAATGCATGAGTGCTCAAGCTAATTTCTTGCGGGCAGTATTGGAAGAGCATTACCATTCGTCACCGCTTACGGGTTATGATGCAACCTCCAGGTAGATTCACTTTCATTACTCTTATTTGATACAATACATGATTCTTTCTGTGGGGCCACCAATTTTATATCGCTCTTACATGCAACAGCCTCGTGGAGAATAGTTTCATATCATATGTTACCTATCTCGATTTTCGACCTCAAATACAAAACAGCTGCAGACTGGGTAGGTTGTAACGAGTCAAGCGATGCAGTGGTGAACTCTTCAATCAACTCTCTTCCGATCTCACCTGCCCACCAGAAACTTCGGAGATCATTCATCAACGCTCCCCAGAATGCAACGATCAAGATCGCGAACAGATCCTTTTGCAGCACAAGCTCCATGAAAGATCTGTCGACCATGCTCATCCATACGATAGTGGCCGGTCGCCCTAATTTTTTACAGCTTCGCAAACACTCTATCGCTCTACCAAGTCCCGACTTCTCGTACTGCACGTTCGATGTCTGTGATCTGATATGTGTTTCCAAGCTGTCGAGAGCTGAATCAAAGTCACCTCCATTGTCGTCGATATTTTCAGAACAGTAGTCGTCTATCAAGATCTTTGTTGGACCAGTAGAGATATACTCAAATACGGCGTGGGATATGCTACCCATTCCTTGTAAGCACGAAAATATTTCCGCAACTTTGTGGGTAACAGTCTTCTGCTCGCTACCGATTGGTGAACTGATCTGTGCGAGTGTGCAAAGCATGTTGACAATAGTAAACAGGAAGATTGCATTGGCATTTTGTTGCCCGACACTTCGTACATTCTGTTGAAACTTAGCAAAAGCAGCGGCTTGATACTCTAGCGCATGGCAGGTATATTGTGTACGGATTTCATGTCGTGTGGCTGCTAGATGGTAGGCTGATAATGCCAAGATCCCACTGAGCAGAAAATCGTGTTGTAAAGCTTCTTCGATCGCAAGACTTTGCCAGATTGCCAGTAGACCCGGTTTGATGTTCATCGTTGAGCACGTGTACAAAAGATAGTGATGTGTAAGTTCAATGTCCAGCTTTCTGTGGTGTAGGCCAGTTTCGTGATCATTCAATTCTGGTCGTAACTGCTGATTAATATTATCTGAAGGACTGTCGTTCACTAGATTTTGCGACGACACAGGTGATGCGTCTGATGACTCGAGTTCTAGGACGTTTCCGAAGCGACAGTCGAGCTTTCGAACCGCACAATTTGCGCACACAGGGCGTTGCTCATCACACTATAAATGTCGATCAGCAACTACTAGTTAGAGCCAAGTCGTAGTAAGAGATTGTTGTTCATTCGACATTGCGTAGAGCCGATCGGTAACGTACTCAACTCGCGAGGTTCGAGAGCTGACTTACCTTGATGTGTCTCGACCTGCATTGGGTACATCCTCTGCGAGATTTCGTGTGTGTCTTTCGCCCCTTGGTGGTGACAAGGTGACTGCGTGGGCCCATGATGCCCTAGAACAATGTACAACTATGCCTGGCGCAGATATTACGTAGATCTCAAAAACATGTTAACTGCATTGAAAATGAAAGACTCAAGGCTCGAAGTTGGCAGTGTAGCTTGAATGTCTCCAGCTGGACATAAGCCAGATACGGAACAGTGTACATTCCCAACACTCTCTGAGCAACGGTAATTGTCACAGAACTCGCCCAATACTCCTACATGCAAGACTTGGTCGTGTTAAATCTACTGGATAGCCATCGAACTGCTCGAATGCGCAGTCCCTTGATTACAGATCCTTAATGTCCAACGAGAAACCACCTCCGGCCAGTCCGCCTCCAACGAAGCCTCACACGTGATGAAACACGCAGGAAAGTAGAGCGCAGGAATCAATGCTACAGTCTAAGCTTGCATAAAATCATAGCTTTAGTGAGCAGGATCAACTAACTTATACACCACAATGCATGAATTCACAATGTTCCCTTTCCTATCCGTTCTCTAGTCTTTATACGCTCTTCGTAATACACTTATCCAGATACGAATGTACCTCCACTGCCGTCTGCGGCCACTACTACACACGCCTCGCCTTCCACAACTACAAACGATGATATCGAGCAAGGCCGCGAAGAACCACCCTGGAGTCTCTCCCACCCTTGCTTCTCCTGCTCAGGCTAATTGTCTACAATATCCGCCCGTACTTGCTACTGCTCTGCTCATCTACAGATATCGAGTGAGCATCCAAACATGAGGTTATAGGACTGCAGAACTTGATCACCGCTCGGCTCACGACCTCTCAAGAACCTATTTAGCATACAAGAAGAACACAGAATGTGGCCACAAGTGGTGAGAACGGCTCAGCCTTTGTGGCGCTCGAGAATCAATAAAAGTTCGTCACACATGCTCTTCAATGCCCCTCCGGTGCAAGCTTCAGTTGTTTCCTCAATCGATGACACTCATTCTGGATGAGTGTGTACCTACATGCCCTGAAAGCGCTATGCCTGCCGCTCGCAAGCAGCGTTCAGATTCCATCTCCAACTCCGTTCAGCATGAATTAGCGCACCTTGCAGCGCAGCGAGCTTCGCACTACCTGACCTTGCCCATTTGTAGATTGTTATGGCGTTGAGCTGATTGACAGGGGTAGAGGACGATGGCTGTTAAGGAGTGAAGATTGGAAGTTTTCGCACGTTCACTAGTGGGAAAGATTCAACCGAGCACTTAGCAACCACGAGTTGATCGGATCTTGGATCAAGATCTCTGACACAACATCTGAGACAAGCAATCGGTTGTGGTTAAGGTCTGTTATCTACTATCTAGCCTACCTAGCAGTAAGCTGCTAGGTGTGTAGGCCGATTTTGTGGAAAGGCTACGCTAAATCGGTCTATACAGCTGGTATATACTCCCTGCCTAGTGCCGTAGCGGAAAGAGCTGTTAGCTATAGAACTGCAGCTGCTTCACAATTCCGCAGTTGTGGAGAGATTTAGAAATGTCGTACCAGCCACGCTCTACTGACTGGCGCCTCATTCCTGCTGTAACACATTTGTCTCTAGCGTATACAGACCTCAAACCAAGCCGGCAGTAGCGACCTTGAGAGCGTCGATTGGAGGTCTTCAACGTATATTTATTGGACAACAACGAGTATAACGAGCTAAGGCTCTTAAACCAAACGAGGTTTGTCGTGCTACAGATCGAGGTCATGGACGAGGCTATCGTATAACAAAAGAATCGTCTTACACATAGTTTTTGCCCATTCCTGCTTCGGCCAATTTGCAATCAGGTTCGGTCGCAACCCTGCTCCGATGATCTATCATGGTCGGAATAATACACGAAAAGCTCTCTTAATACGACTCCGACGAAACGTCCAACTTGAGGTATAACCACGATTAAATCGGCTTCTTCTCTCCATATGTCCACAAGCGTCCGTGATCATCGCACGCTCGCTTTCTGAGTTGCTGATGTCCTGAGACTCATGTCATTGCCCAAAAAGATGCTATCGATGCATTCCAACCAGCTTACCCTTTCTACGATCAATGTGCGAAACATGATCAGTATACAATTCCCCCAATATGCCAAAGAGGACGTCAAGTCTTTGCGCTCAAGCACAGGAACGGTAAATTCCATTTTCCGAATAGGTGAAGTCGCCAGCGCACGTTTCGCGCTTCAGCAACAGCGTGACAAAGAGTGTCACTTTCGCTCACTACAATCAGAATCGACTGCTATGATCGAGTTCGCAGACAGTTGTTACTTTCCAAGCCCACGTCCTATCGGAATTGGCCAACCAAGCGATAGCTATCCTCTACCATGGATGCTCCAAACCTGGATTACAGGCGAGACTTGCACGTCAAAGGGCTTGGCGAGTTCAAGGGTGTTTGCATCAGATATCGCACAGTTAATCACATCGCTGCGCGCTGTGGAAGTCAAAGGCAGACACTTCGTTGGACAGAATCGAGGAGGACGTCTCACCGATCACGATGCGTGGATGGCGACTTGCTTTAACAAAAGTGAGGCTTTACTCGATGTGCCACGTCTGCGTGCTCTTTGGAATTCATTTCGAGACCTTCCACCATCCGAAACACCGAACACAATGTCCCATGGTGACTTGACACCAATGAATGTCCTCGCACGAGAGGAAAAAATTGTCGGCATTCTTGACACAGGATCGTTCGGCCCGGCTGACTCCGCCTTAGATCTTGTAGCCGTATGGCATATGCTTGAAAAAGAGCAGCGGGAAGTGATCAAAGATACTCTTGACGTTGGAGATGTTGAATGGAGGAGAGGAGCTGCGTGGGCTTTTGAGCAAGCCATGGGCTGGGTTTGGTACTACCAGCACAGCAATCCTATCCTGGCAGCCTCAGGTAAGATCACTTTGCAGAGGATTCTCGAAGACGATGAGGTAACGTCTCTTGTCTGATATATTGTGACTTGTCTTAGCGTTCGTGCTCTCGGAGAAGGTGTGGGACAACCGATTGAGCGCTGACTGTGAGTCGAAAAAGGTATGCAAAAAAGACCTAACGACTTGTCACGAATTTAAAGATGTCTGATGCCAACGAGGTAGTTACACTCGGTTGAGGTTGACACTGAGGTGAAGGCTTCTTCGGCTGTAGCAAAAGACGATTCCTTCAACTAATTCATTGCATTAATGCCTGAGCAGTTACCGGAACACCTGAGCTTTGATGTTTGACACATGATTCGAGTACACGCCAATTCTACGAGGGTGCTCTTCTACGTGGCGTTGCAATGGTCAGGAAACCTTGCACTCATCCAACCGGTACCAGAAGTGACGCCTCAGAATCTCGATGCGGCCAGTAAGGCTCTCCACGAAGCTTGTTCACTGATCTTCGGAATTTTGAATCACTGCTGCTGTATTTTGTGGTGTAGGGCTTGCCAGTAAGTAGAGATTCCATTTTAATTACTACTGTCCACCCAATCGGGCTAATCAGATCCGTCGTCGGTCTTCCTCCATAATGCCACGAACAGCTTCACACAGCATGTTGATGCTCCGGTGGAAGCGGAACTCACGAAGGTTGAAGTGCTTGCTGAAGCGCTTGTTGAGGCTCTTCAGAGTGACAGTATCGAAAAACCGGACAGGCGCCGAAGAGGCAGGTGGACTCCTTCAGCCCTGAAGTATAGACTAATTGACGGAAGGCACTCTTTCAAGTAATTGTCACATGTGAAAAGCAGTATTTGCTGTCCGAATCATGCGCACGAAAGCTGGTAATTCGAGCTGGTAGATAGATAGTAGTGTCTGTACTCTGCTCAAGGTATCGGCCCTGGGGTTCTTATCTGAGTTCACATGCTCACGTGGATGTGGCCCAAGGCAATCATCGTGTGCGCCTGTGCCGTTCATGCCTCAGGCCTGGGGCGGGTTTCGTGTAGGATTTCCAGGCAATTTACTAGTGACGTTGAAACTTTTTGGACGTGATCACTCTCTTACCGATCATCCCATGTTTCAAGCTCCATCACTACCGAAGTCCATCGAGCCAGATCTTGTCCTCTGAGACAAGCCATGAGCACATTGGTTGGGGTGCCAGCGCCGTCCAGAGCCCTTCTACGGTACCTACGTGCTCAAACCCAAGTGACTGGCCACTTTCAGCACTCTTCAATCCAACCTTCACGTCGACTATGTCGACGACAGTTCTCCTGCTCGTCGCAAAGATGCTACGGCAGCCCGCGATCATACAGCGACGCCCTGTTTGCCAGGAATAGAGAGATGTGCAAAGCTTTACCAGCGCCACGATCATACCCGTCCACTATCTCGAACCGCAATCGATATGCCTCATCAGACACAACTCCCACTAGGAACGAAAGACCATCGTTGTGGGATCGTATATTCCACCGGAGTCGCATACGTGACCATCAAGCGCACGTGAATCAAGAACACACCAAGCCACTACCAGATCTGTCCTTCAGCAGCACTGGTAGTTACGAAGAGACATCGGCTCAGTTGTTTAATTTATCGCGTGCACTTTCACGCAGTCCTACCGGTGCAGAGCTGAAATTGCGCTGCACAGAATTTGATAAGAATGGAAACGTTACATTGGTTTCAGGAGAATTCAAGAAGAGCGAGTTGATTGCGAAATATGGGCTTCTGCCACGAGATTTGCGCAAAATAGACAGCAGTGTATTGCCCCATATACTGGTTCGACCGACTGCGATTTTACTAAACCTCCTCCATCTTCGAGTCCTCATTCAATCCGATCGAGTCCTTGTTTTTGATGCCTATGGCAGCACGGACTCGTACACGCAGTCTCTTTTCATGTACGATCTAGAAGGCAAACTTCATCAAAAGACAACCGCAAACTCGTCAGTCATCTCAGATCCAAATACTCCCAGCAACACATACCTCCCCTACGAGTTTCGCGCCCTCGAAGCAGTCCTTATCTCCGTGACCAGTGGTCTAGAAGCAGAATTCGCCCTGGTCAGAGAGCCAGTAACGCACATCTTACGAGAGCTAGAAGAAGACATTGATCGTGAAAAACTGCGACATCTACTTATTCACTCGAAAAAGCTAGGAACTTTTGAACAAAAAGCGCGACTGGTCAGGGATGCGCTCTACGAACTACTCGAAGCAGACGACGACCTAGCAAGCATGTATCTCACCGAACGAAAGACAACAGGAAAACCAAGACCCACACAAGAACACACCGAAGTTGAAATGCTCCTAGAGTCCTACCACAAAATCTGTGACGAAGTCGTCGAGATCTCAGGCAATTTAATCTCCAACATCCGCAACACCGAGGAAGTAGTCAAAGCCATCCTGGACGCAAACCGCAACCAGCTCATGCTCTTCGAAATCAAAGTCTCAATCGCAACACTCGGTCTCGCGGGCGGAACACTAGTCGCAGGTTTCTACGGCATGAACCTCGAAAATTTCATCGAAGAAACAAATTGGGGCTTCGGCGCCGTCACTGGCTTCTCCATCGCCTTCAGCGGCTGGTTGTGTGTCTACGGCCTCAGGAAATTACGCAAAGTCCAGAAAGTGCGAATGTGGGGAGAAGGAGGCATGGATCTATATAGCCCAAACCACGGCGCTAAGAGTGTTGCGTTGCGACGAGAGGCCCTTGCTCGTGGACCTGGAACTGGAGCTAGTCAGGGAAATTGGAGAGCTGAGGCGCTGGAAGCATTGGCAATGACTAAAGAAAGAGAACGAAAACTAAACGCTAGGTTTGGTGGTCCAGGTTTGGCTGCTGGTGGAATGGCTGTCAGTGCAACTTCTGGACCTGTGCTATGGCCAGGTATGGAAGGACTGGGCCTGCATAAATACAGTTCAGACTCCTTGGGTGACATGGAAGACACAAACTCTGATGCAGACGATGCAGGAAGTCGGCTGAGTCTGCTGAAGAAACAGAAAGCAAAAGTGAAAGAACCAGCCTCGGTCAGTGTCAAGGACGACACGGCTATTGGATTAACAGAAAAGGGAACGAAGAAGTGAGCTGGATTTGTTTCTCATCTCTTCTCATATCGTGGGTCAGGGAATCGTTTTGTTTTGTGAGCTGATAAGCGTTCAAGCGTTTGCAGGTGGCGTGTATAGTACAGCGTCAAGTACCATAATTGAGTAGATGGATTAACGTTCTTCAAGGATTTCATATAATGCTAAGATGAACAAGACATGCAACGACTAGAAGACCACCCAGTTCGCTCGAATTCAACTTTAAGATAGATTTGAACCAAATTTAGAGGAAATACAGTAATCTATAGCTCCTTTCACAACATGTTCCCTTTGCCGGAAACTCTTACCAAAACCCCCGTCCGATACACAATCAACAAATGACATGACTCCGCCAACAAACGAACTGGTAACGATGTAGCGAACGACATCGTTGACTCTTTTTCGACTGTCCGCGAGTGCTGAGAACGTCCTTGCAGTTTCACGCGTCACGGAAGTATTGTGATGTTTCGCAATGCCATGGAACACCGAACGGCTGGATAGTACAGGCTGCGGGTAATAGTGAATTGAGTTCTCTCAACACCGGACGTTTCCGATATTCGAACGTTTTGTAGAGCTGGGTATAGGCCACAGCAACATTTGGATTGACGGACAACTTCTGGTGAACACATATGGTAGGCCAAGACAATACTCACTCAGACCCAAAGAGGAACGACATTACACTATCGTGGTTCTATTCCTGAGCCCTCACGGCCTGAGGAGGGTTCTTGGGACTGTATATGATCTGGTCCGGATACCAAGCCAGTCTTCCAGCGGCCTTTGCTTCCAAGTGCAAGGCATCGCGTCTCGGCTTGGTCAGCTCAACACCAGACGTTGGCTCGCCACAATCTGGAATCTCCTCGCTTCCCCAGACCCATTCATCCCAGCCTTTCCAGTCTTCCGGGCACTCGTCGAATTGACGGAGAAACTTCTCGTGAGTGTACCACTTTCTGATAGTATCTTCGGTCTTGCCCATGTAGCGGAATGTCTCGACGAAGCTGTTAAGTCGTCGGCTTCGGCCACGTATTTGTTGAAAGACAACAGGCATATGGATATTAACATACGCCACACCAAATTCGTTGCTAGCTTGGGGAAAATCGCGGATGTGGAACTCGCGTTGTTCAAGAAGAATGGAAGAATCCTCGGCAAGCACGGCGTACAGAACAGGTGTATGCCACTGCTCAGACTGCTTGTTGATTTCGGCAATGATGTAAGCGTGTGTTGCTTTCACGAGGTACCTATTTGCATCGAGTGTTACCGACATTGCATACCAGATACAAGATACATGTTCGTTTGCTGTCCAGGAGTAGTTGCGCTCTGAACAAGTTGGCAGCAAATTTGCTAAATTATTCGAGCGCTTATCTTGTCTATCTGTGTTAATAGTCGTGCCGTGGAAATTCCGAGGTCTGATCCGAAATGGTGGCATCTGCTCTCCAAAGGGATTGGTAAATGTGCCATCAGAAGTTGCTATGTGTTGCTTGAGGAAGTCTACGAGTTCAAACCTGCCTCTATCGTAAGGGTCTACGATTTGACCCGGGTCTGCAACATCGACGTATTGCTCACGGGTAAGTAACGACCGCAATTTCAGAAGATAAGTCAAGTTTTTAACCTCACCACTGGTCTTTAACTTCTCTAGTACATCATCATACCAGCCATCAGGTATCAGCAGACGACAGGCATCAAGGAGGAAGGCCGAAGAAGCTGGAAAACTGCGGTAACCATTGGCGGTGTCTAGCCAACTTTGGTCCGGAATTATATATCCACACTGATAAAAATTCTTACGAAGACTATCGAGCTCTTCCATCAGTATGTGTTGCAGGCTATCCAGGCTGTACCCAAGAGCATTGATCAACATGGCGCCAGTCACAAAACTTTCCATCAACGCTGGAAGTGTTAAATAGATTACAAATCGAGACTCGAAGTATGCACGATGAATGTCATCGTCTGTTTTCACACAAGCGGAGCACAATGTTTGCCCTTCAACTGTCTCGAGGATGTAATCTTTAGCAGTCCGTTGTATGAACTGAACCAATTGTTGACTGTACGCGTCCAAGCTTTCCGACAGGCACGGAAGTCGGGAATCTGTTGGCGAAACCACTAAACCATAGCTGCTATAATAAACATTCGTCACTTCCAACAAGCCTCCAGATCGAACACCAACACGACTGGAAATGGTAGCCAGGTCTATGTTCGTACCTGTTTGTGACCTGTTTGTGCCAAAGGTCATCAAGATTGAGATACTGCCGCCGCAAGTTGTCCTCAACAGCGAAGCAGAAATCCACTGATTCCCAAGCCTTACCCCCTCGATGCTCAAGCAGCTTAAAGTACAGAGCAGCCTCTTGCCTGTAGAATCTCATGTCCTCGTCGTTACGCTGCAGCATGTGTGTGTACAACTTAATCATGTCTCCTGGCATTTCTATCGAAGTCTTGGTCAGCTGGTATTGGTTGACGCTGCGGACTGCTGACGAGCAGCTTGAGGGTACGTGTCTGTATCGACTGAGTCGGCCGAAGAATGTGACATGTGAAGCCTTCACGTCCTCTTCACCACGATTCCCATTACGTAGACGTTCATAAGCGATTGGTGGCAGAGTTACCCAGAAGTATTGGGGCTGCGTGCTGCCATACACGGCAAACCTTCGATTGACATCTGAGGTCCTGCTCTGGGCTCAGCGAGGAACTTGTTCACGTCGTTTGTGGCTCTCGGAGAGTTCGTTTCTGTTGCATTAAGACTGAAACTGTAAATGTTGAAGCTCAAGAGGCTAGTCGACAGAGTCGAATGTGTTTTTCAGATCGACGAAGACGCAAGGACCTAGCTTTTGATATCACATGGTCGTATGTGCGAAGCAGCCGCCTTGATTACACCTCCGTCTGAAGAGTGCAAGTACGAATATGCGACTGTGGCGTGGGTCGTGGCCGTGGTCGAACGAGTCAGATCTCAACTGAGGTTGACGAATCCGCATTCCGCGATCAGCTGCCTACCCGGTCATGCGTCGCCCCACATCGTTTAAGGGAACGGCCATGTGTCGATCACTACCTTGCTTTACCCAACGAAGACCTAGTCGCATTGCTGAGAACAACATAACGATTCATCAAGCGTTGAGGCCAACAATGCCGCTTAGACCCATATTTAGCTCTTGACTGTTAAAACCCTAGCTAATGTCCCCTGTCGCCAACATTACTAGCGCTCGACTTAGGCTGAGCTCAATGCCCTCCGTGGCTGCCTGCGCCTGCGGGTCGTGAGCAGTGGCCTACAACGCGTGTATCACTCACCTGATACAGCCCCTTATCGTTGCACGAATGTTGCTTCAGCCATCTACTGGCTGCACTGCACATCGACTGGAACACCGAATCGTATGCCATCCATGGCTCTTTAGTGAATGTTAACATCGTGAACATGACTAACGACTTGGACAATGATTATGGTCCTGTTTCTATCTACGACAATGCTAGAGTGCATCAAGGTGACAATTACTATTACGGACAGGCTGATAAGATTGCGAACCCAAGAAAAAGATCACGAGGGTTCTGGGCCGCAACTGCCACTATGATCCTGATTGTTTGCGCAGCTGTCGGTGTGGGTATTGGGATACCATTAGCTACTAAGTCTCGTAGCACAGGAGTAGCACAGTAAGAACACTTACAATTTACGAACAAGTGTCTGACTATGCAGAATCAACGGCACAACTTCTATCCTACTCACCCCTTCTACCGCCTCTTCTACCCCCTCGTCTACACCTAGCATCCAAACAGATCAAAATGGCTGTCCTGGCACTCACCGTCAGAATATGACCGCGAATGGTGCCGATTTCACTATATATTGTTATACGACCTGCAACACCTACTCTAATGACATAGGACACTTCAAAGCAGATAGTCTCCTTTCCTGCGCCGGTAACTGTACCCAGTATCCAGATTGTCGGGGCGCGGTTTATATCATGGAGCCTGATAGTAAGACTACGTGCTATTTGAAGAACCAGACAGATAGATATACACCAGACGAAGGCAACGTATGTGTTGTAAGGATATAAAAAGGAGCATTATTCCTGGCATCTCTACTGCACAAGGAAGATAAAATGCGCTCTTTATGCATATCTCCGCGACTATCGTGCGGCAATGTTTCTCTGCGGTGCCTCCGCACTGCTGCGACTACAATGACCGAGCTCGATTCGGCACGTGATAGTTTCGTGCTCAGCAAGTCCAACCCGAGCCTAGTCACCCAGTGTGACCAGAACAGTTACACTCTCGGAGAAATAGCAGGTCACAACATGGTCATCGCGGTGCTGCCGGAGATTGGGAGTAACTTGGCGGTGACTGTGGCCACGCAGCTCTTGAACGACTTTCCCTCCATTCAATTAGGGCTGCTGGTAGGAATCGGCGGAGGAATACCTAACGAAGAGGAGGACGGCGATGACATTCACTTGAGAGATGTGGTGGTCAGCAAGCCTACTACCAGTTTTCGTAAAGTGGTGCAGTTTGACATGAGCAAAGTACTTCACCAGCGGCGGCTTCGAGCGAAGGGGAGTGTTGGCAAAATCTCCTCGCGTCCTGCAGGCGAATGTCAAGATGCTGAGAGTCATATACCTGCCGCCAGGTGGCTGTCTGGTTAGGTGGCTCCGCTTCCTCCGCAAGACCCTCGAGCAAATGGCTAAGCTACTCACTCCTTGTCTTTGTAGTTATTGGACAGAGCCTGGCCACTTTGAAGCGCCTTCTCCAGCTTTCAATGTTTCACTCGCCCGGCCAGCTTGATCAAGTCAGCATCGGCGCTTTGTTGTTCTCAATTCCTATGTGTTATGACGCTCATCATGAAGTACTCGTACCTATACGAAGAAATGTGATGAGCGCTGATATGCAGAACACTTGCCGCGAGCCGGGACTACTACGAGGTCAACAATATCAATGAGTCATCTGGCCACACAAGATAGAGGAAGACCAAGTGCAAATTATCTACAATAGTAGTATCGCTCCACGCTTCGCGAGGCTGCGCGTCCCAGCCTTCCTGCGATGCCACATACTCGGCTCGCCCTGCCTCTTGTCCCAATGTTTTCTACCTACATATAGTATCCAGTAAGGTTCTTCGTTTGGCCAGGTCATCCGCGACAGGATATACCTCTTCCCCTCTCATCTTCTGCTCTCTTTGACGCATCCTAGAGCTGAAAGTAGGTATCGGGTGGATAGTATAAACTGACTACGGGGTCTATCTAAGGAAAATGCAATCCCATCGAAGAACGAGCTGGGGCGTTAGCCTCATGCTCACTATTTGGACCAGGCAAGTGAACAGATTATAGAATATCGTCGATATCTGAGCAGACGCGTACACAGCCTACATCTTTACGTGTGCACATCAAGAGCAGCCGTGATTGCCACCAGTTCGACTCGCAGAATTCTTGTAGGTCAGAACCGTACTTCTCAAGCAAGGAACAGACCTTTCAGCTGGTGATATTGTACATAGAAGAAATACTTCTAGTTAACCTGAGACTGTTCTGCTCAAGCATATTTTCCCACAAAAGAGATCAAAGCATCATCAACCTCCTTTGGATGCGAAGCCGACAAGAAATGTGCACCTCCCTGAACAGTAACCAGATCCGTGGCCTTCGCATTTGTGAACAACTTAATCTCTTCCTCCGCATTCGCGACTGAATAGACAGCATCATCGGTACCCTGCAAATCAACGTCAGTATCAATCACACCAGCACACACAAAACACCCATTGAGAAAAAGACCAACTCACATGCAACCACATAACCGGACAGACAACATCAAACAACCGCCCATGCAACCCATCCCTCTCCCTCAAATTAATCGCCGCCATCCTCGCCCTCCTTCTCCCCTCATCCCCTTGATAATTCGCCTGAATAGTCTTGCACCAGAACTCTCGCTCCTCCTTGGGGCAATCCTTGCCGAATCCGATATCAATCAGAAAATTGCAGTAGTCGAGATCGGGCTGGAAATCTGGGGTTGAGTTGGTGGTGGTCCAGTTGTTGATGGGGCCGGTGCAGGCGGCGGCGCCGTCCCAGCAGCCGAGTTTGCGGGTGCGTTCGGATTCGTGGTCCATGGAGGTGCCGAGAGGTATTATGCCTTGGATCTGTCAGGGGTGAGTGTGTGTTAGCAAATCCCGTGTCGGACGGAGCGCTGCAAGTTATGGGCATAACATACCTTATCTGGCGCAAGCAACGCCATCCTCACCGTGATCCATCCACCCTGACTCGTCCCGAGGACAAAAGCCTTGGATATCCCCAGTGCCTCCATGACCTGAAGATTCATAATCGCGGTGTCCCAGTAGGTAAAGTTCTCCGATTTCGTCCTTGTCTGTCCGTGTCCAAGCAGCTCAATGGCCAAGAGGTTCATCTTGTCGGTCAGCTGTTTGTTAGCATACTGCTTGCGGTAGAGCTCAGACGAGGTAGTGAAACTGTTGACTAGGACCAGAGTGGGTTTAGACGAGTCATATGAGTAGGGCATCTGGTATGCTGCGTCAATGCCGCCCAGATGGGGAACGTGGACTGTCTTTGTGTTTGGCATTTTGTGGTTAGTAGTCGATACGAACACAGTGTAACGGAGGCAGATGTGAGGGTTAGTTATACACTGAGACGTGGTAATGTGCTAACAGTATGAAATGTATCAGATTGAAACTATATCAACCATCGCATCATTCCCAAGATGGCGGATGCTCTGCTCATATTGTCTTCGTTGATATTTCCCCTCTTCTTACGTCCGTTCCCGAGCTCTCCGCGCGAAACACGGTTACACAATGGATCGACACAAACGTGCTTCCGCTTGGAGGAGCTGTGTTCTGCCTCGAGAGTTCCTCAATTATTCGGTGCTGTGTTTGGTCTGTTTAAACTTCAGCAACTTTCGGAGACGTTTTCTACGCTCCCGCCTTGCGCTGTTCTCCAAATCTTCTCGACACGACGGCGCAAGGAAATTCCGTCCAATACGCTCTTCCGAAGCATAATCACTTACCAGTATATTCAAAGTGTATCCGAACTTGATTTTCAGTAACGGAAAAGAGGCAAGAAATAACTCGAGATACAAGAGGTAACATTCTCATATCTTGCAGAGATTGTAGACCTTGCAAATATCTGCACCGACCATACAAACTTAGAAATGACCGCTCCAACGCTTCAAGAAACCATAGTACAGTAGAGCATAGCAGGACCGGGATAGCGAAAAACACAGCTTTCCATTCGAAAGGGTCGCTTCACCAATCGTCGTCGTCATCCTTCTCGTCATCTGCAAGCGCATTAGTACTTCAAACACAGATATCGGTAGAGCTTGTGACTTACCAGAGCCACTAACTTTGGTCTTTCGTTTAGCAAGTGCAGCTTGCAATGCCCCAGCAAGTCCACCAGCGTCACCAGCTGGAGTTGGTGGCGCACCATCAGGTGCAGAGGAACCTGTCTCACCACCAGGAACCTGAGCAGCTGATCTATCACGTTTCTCGGTGTTCTTCACTTTCCTGAGACCACCAGTTCCTCCACCTCGAATAGCGGCCAGTAAATCGTCTCGTCCACCCCCGCCAGCTTGAGGTAATGGCGGAGCGTTGCCGCCAGGAGGTAAAGGTGGTGGCGGTGGCCCGCCAGCGCCCATTGGTGGCAGCGGAGGAGGTGGTGGAGCTCCTGATCCCATGGGTGGGAGAGGTGGTGGAGGCGGTGCATTATTCATGTGAGGCATGGGTGGCGGAAGTGGAGGAGCACTACCTGACGATGAAGGTGGTGGAAGTGGTCGCGAGGTTGCAGGCATAGGAGGTGGAATTGGTGCTGCATTAGTACGTGATGCAGGAGGTGGAGGTCCAGAACCTCTTGAAGGTGGTGGAGGTGGAACAGGGCCACGACTTGGTGGAGGAGGTGCATTGGGCTGTCGTTGACCTGTAAATGGAGGTGGTACTTTGAAAGCCTGACCAGGTATTTCGTCATCTGCTTCTTTTGGTGGGCGTGGTGGCGGAGGCGGACCGGGATTAGCGAGAGCCGCACCTGAAGATGCCCTAGATCGACCAGCAGATTGTAAAGGTGAGGCATCCTTGACAGCGAACTTTCCAGCATCGGCCAGTGGTGGAGGTGCCCTGAATTTGGGTTGTGGTGTAGAAGGAGGTGACGGTGTACGTGCTGGTACGGGAGAAGGCTCTCTTGGTGGTGATGAAGCTCGACCAACAGGTCTTCGCGATGGTGGAGGTGCAGGTGGTGGTCCTCTGCGGCTGGATGTTGTGGTGCCTGTGTTATCTGGACTCAATCTAGGAGCAGCTGGCCCTGCAGGTGGAGGAGGCGGAGGTGGTGCTCTGCCTGAGTTCTGCCGGGCTGGTAAGGCTGATGCAATACCATTAGCCATTTCTTGAGCTTGTTTTTGTTCAACATATGATTTGATAAAGTCCGCGTTCTGTGCAATCTGATCTTCAGTAATGCCCATTTGCAACAATTCGTCCAGTATTGGTCTCCATGATGGGTCTGTGAGATCTATCCCTCCACTACTTTGCGGTCTGCTTCCTCCCACTCCGGTTGGCACAGAGCTGTAGATGGGTTGTGGAGCAGCCATCTGTGGTTGCTGAGGTGGAGGAGGATTTGAGTTGTTTCTACCTCTTCCAAACAGTCCTCCGAGCCTACTATGGCCCTTGTGACCACCACCATTGACGTGAGCGACCTGCGCACCACCTGCTCCCGAGCCGAATGGTGTTGATTTGGTTGCTTTGCTAGCATTCTTCTCCCTCTCATCCATCTTTTTCTTGAACTGCTTCGCCTCTTTCTCATCGACAAAGGAAAGCGCTGCTATACATTGCTCGAGCTCGAAGGAGTGGAAAAAGGTTCGATCCTGGTTGTATTGAAAACTGTCGTAGACCTCCTGATCCCATATCACACCACGGTTAGCAGGCGAGATGTCGAGGAGTTTGATCCAGAAAGTGTTCCCAACAAGATCGTTGGAGAGCACAGCAGCTCCCTGCAGACCTGTATACTTCCATCTGTTCTGACCAGGCGGGACTACGTATAGACGAGCAACAGCTACTGCTTGGATCTTGTTCGAGGCTTTGGGTACTAGTCGCTTGACGGTCTCCTTGTCATGGTCGCTGAGGACAGAGGGCATGGTCGAGGAGAATGTAGCTGTCCTTGATAGTGCTTCGGTAACATGCCATATGAGAAGGAACCGGCTCGCGTGTCGCAGTTATGGGATAGTCAGAAATAATAGTGCTTGGGAGACGAATGGAAAGGCTGACGAGGAATGGAGACGCCGGGTGACCAGGATGATGCTCGACCAGTGCGACCATGAGCCACATGGCAGCCTAAGCCACCCTGAATCCCCCACTAATGACGTGTTCGTACCAAATGAGCAGACTCAGCACGAGACATTGATATATATCCCACCATTATTTTCAGAAACTTCTACAGACTTAGTACACATCTCAGAAAACACACAAGGTCAACTTTCGATTTCTCAGGACTCAATAAGCTACCTACCAATATGCCTAGCCACCCAAGTGAAGAAAGAGCACCAGAAGGCCTCACTGACAAAATTGCACAACACTCGTCAGACTCGAATGCCTCTGATCACCCCATCCATGATGAGAATAAGGGTCCAATAGAGGAAGCAGGCGGCCCACTGAAATCAAAGGGCCCCCAGATTCCCGAGGGCAGTAAGCAACGATTATTTCGAGGAATTTGACAGTAGCTAACATTCTGCAAGAAATGCCAGAAGCAAAGAGCAAGGATGAGCTACACGCAAAGGCTGCTGAGCTCAACAAATGAGCAAAGGAGACAGTTTCTCGCCTGCGAGCTGGCCATCACACCAAACCATAGTACAAATAGCATTGACCCGAGTGTCTTGAAGGAGCGTTCCGTTGCATATACAGCATGGCAGGAAAACAACGCATGTGGTCACCCGGCATCTTTTTTGCTAATTGCAAATGCTTCGTGTTCCTCTCCAGAGCTGTCTCGTTCCTCATGATTGTCCTGAAAGCAGTGTCCTCAGCGCGTGTCACCTGACCCCTGCGTTATGCTCTATCCGATCGTGGTACACACATGAACGATTCGAAGGATTGTAAGTCGAGAATAGACACCGTGTTGTTAGATTATTGTCCTTCTTCAGCGTCAGCTGCACATTCGGACTCCTATGCCATTGATGATGTTTCAAGGACAAAGCTGCTCCTTCGATTGAGAGAAAAGAAAGAAAAAAAAGATTGGCATAATTCAAAGGTAGATATGCGACGACCGAGACTCGAACTCGGACCTCGAGCATGGGAAGCTCGAATTCTACCCCTTCACAAGAGTTAGTGGAGGCCACGAATGTGACAGAAAAGGATTTCTCACCTAAACTATCGTCGCCATTGGAGGAAGATTGTCGATAGTCCCAGTAATCTGAAACCCCATGCTTATGTGGCATATTAGCTCCACAATTTTGACAAGAACAAATATGAAGACATGATAACCCCTCGAAGAACAGCGAAGATGAAGCTGCTCCGATGGATGCCCGTCTGTGTACCCCGCGCTGCTGTCAGATGCTGTGCATCATTGTCTCATGATCAGCTCATCACCGCATTTCAGAATCTTGATATCTGGCCTGAGGCAACAAGAGATCGAGATGAGGTGTCGGCCAATGAGATTCCGTCGGCTGGACAGCAGATGCCTCAGACCAGTTCAGGCACCACGCGTCTAACCCTCGTCTATATACTTTGCACAGCCAGGTCAATTGTCCACGTCACAGATCAAGCAATCATGCAACAAAAGTCAGATAAAGAAAACAGAGAAAGCCTGGTACATGGCACCGCGGATCACAAACAGCTGGGCTTTAGGAAAATGATATCGATCTCGCTGGGCCATGACTTATGACAATCAGGCATGTATCTTCATCGCCGCCTTTTTCGAGCTCCTCCCTTTTGGCATGGCTAGGAGGCCTTCTACCGCCCTTCTGCTGCCCATAGTCTTGTCGATGTTTATGCGTAGACATCCCTCCTCCAGCCATCGCCACACACCTTCTCTATGTCTGTCTCTCCGTTCTGGTAAGACATCACCTACCAGAAACCTCCTCATCTTCAGTCCCTATCCAATAAATCGGAAAGGGTTCTCGACGCCATACCGCTCGTTTGGCAATTTTTTATACTGACTCATTACACCACACACAACGATCGTTCGCCCTCTACTCATTTGGCCTATGGCGAGCTTCCGTGACGCGCCCTGACTTCCCTAGCAGGACTTCCAGACTGGAAATCTGCGACAGTAATCGCCTTGACGAGTTACTCGAAACGGAAGCCTGTGTCCCGGCAATGAAACCAAACTGACGGACGGACTCGAGCAAGTCTAGTAGTTCTTTTACTTCTGCCGCAAGGGTCTACTCGACGTAAAGGAGGCGTAGCGTCATCGCTATAGAGAGCCAGGTGTCATGGCACTTCGCAGGAAACAGTTTTGTTCTCGTAATGGTCTAAATATGACCTTCGAATGGTCGCTGGTTGTTGCGCAGCCTCTTTAGCCCATTCAGAACCAGTGCAATTGTTCTTCCAAGCTCCCATCCAGTCTCCCACACCTCGTGATGAGCACTTTCTAGCTCAGCCAAAGCGAAATTTTCTGACCTATCAGGAATTTTACTCTCCGAACATTTGACGTTCTGTGTATCCCCTTCGTTCTGAGGGGCTTGCAGTTCGTGTTCTTTCCAAACAGATTGTACTTTCTGAGCCATCACTTCAGCTTAATGCCAGTCCACCAGCTCGTCTTTCGAACTATGAGCGATCACAAGCAGAGTCTTGCCGTCAGCACCCCATGCATTTGGACTACTTAGCCAACCTCCTTGTGCGGGAGAAACAGTTTCCCATACTCTTTCATCCTCACCGAAAGCTCCCACCACAGTGTCGCGATGCTCAGGTATTTCCGAAAAAGTTCGGATCAGTGCGGGGATGTCGTAGATGCCATGTACTCCGAGAATTGCCTGCGGCGGTGTCCAAGATAGCGCGCGTTTCTCAACCTCATTCAGACGCATTACGGATTGCAGTGCCACCGTCGCCCCACAAGAGTGGCCAACAAGAATATATCGCGAGCCAAAATCATATTTCCTTCGGAGGACTGAAATTCCCGTTATAATGTCGATTACGTGGTCTGAACGACGTGCCTCTCGCATCAAGAAAGTGTCAAGACTCGAGGCATCTTTGGGGTAATCAGGATGTACGCTGAGCCGATAATCCAGCGAGGTATAGTCTTCGATGTTTACCACGACATGAGTCAGCAAGGGCGATGTAAGCAGTTGCTTGCATGTTGGAACGAAGGCAGCGGCGCCGATTGTAGGATCCCCTCCACGCGCCTCCATGGATAAACACAACCCAGTATCTAGTGCTTGTTGCTCCTGCTGTAAACTCGGCCGGTGGAATGAATACCTGGTACTTCTGGAGCTCGTTTTGTGTTTCATAAATCCCATGTGTCTCGTAATCTTCGGTTTCAGCTCGTGAGTTTACACGTCTGAGGGAGGCTAGAGAGGATAGAGCATCTTTTCCTTGAGAGCGAGACCCGGCTGGTCTGTGTTGCGCCTGACTCTGCTGCGCAACTATTCATCGTGAGCACTGTTTGCGGCAGGTGCACGGAAAAGCGAGAAGAAGCTGGACATGATCAATTCTGCTTACCCTGCTTTTGAAGATACCTTATCACCTTCTTCATGGCAAATGAAACGTCCTTACGTTAGCTGAAAGATTGCAAATTAGTTCAGCTGAAAAAGATTGTAAGTCAGTGCTGAGCCGCTTGAACACATTATCATGTCAGAAAGCACAAAAGTATTCTACTGTCGTCAAGCAATCCTGAGCACCAGCTCACCTCCTCATCCATCGTGACCGGAACGTGATAACAAAAGCTTGCTCGTAAGAGAACTTTTCGCCACGTGGAAAGGTAGGCATAGATGATGGCTCGATCCGGCGAAAGGAGTGAAGGAAATCAATCAGTTCGGCAGGCCGGGAATGACATCATATGCCTTGAGATCCTGTCTAAACATCTCACCAGATCTCTGCTTTCCTCTTAGTGCGCCAATAGAATGAATACTATGTTGTTGTTTTCGCGCAGGGAATATCGGACCTTGCATTCTAGGTGCCGGCGTTCGACGCCTGTGTCATGTGCAGGAAGACACTACAGGACCAGATACAGTGCGGATCGTTCATTGCTGTAGCCCTCTTTTGCGATGATCTCGATGTTGCTATATTCAGCTACACAGTGCTGCAGTGGATTGCTACAGGCCGTTAAATACTCGACCATTTGTTTGTGTCCAGAGGTAATCACGCACACAGCTCTGTCAACATGGCCAGCACCTTCGTTAAGATCGCGGTCCCTTCATCACTTGTGACATACCTAGTCCTCCAGTATTTTGACCCACACCAGAGAGGCACGCATTCAGCTGCAATGCGACAGAATTTGCAGGGTGAGTCATTGAGTCAGCTCGTAACTATCCAATCATATGCTGAGGCAATAATGCAGATGAGAACAAGCGTATCGGCAGAGCTCATGATTGCCAGGAAATGCATGCAAGTGATGTAGAGAAATGGGTAAGGGACCATCCTGAGGAGGCGGCGCACTGGAAAAGGATCAAGGAGAAAGCTGGAAAACATACTAGGAGCTCGTAGTGGGCTGCCCTTCAGGCGCAAGGTTGTTGTCACGCAGCTCTCGTAAAGGGTGGAACAAAGTTGTGTCGTAGTGCTCTACTCCTCGTCCATGTCTGAGAGCTTGCGACACGTCTCTGAATGCTACGGCAGGATAAAATAAAGCCTTCCGAGCTTCGCTCAGTGGTGCACGATGTACAGTTTAGCTCGATGAATTGCTCCATAGTAAGCTTGCTGTTACGGCATGAGGCACATATCTCCTTTTCGCTCCATAAGATAGTGAAAGATCAAATTCGCTCGGAGGCACGATAACCTGCCATGCAGGCATCGGCATTCCTGCTGAACAAGTCGTCCATTCGAATCGTTCTTCTCCGGGTTGCAGGATCGCAGCTTTAACATAACCATCAGAGGGCCAACTGAAATCAACTCAGAACACCACCAAAACGACCACAAAAAGTCCAACACATATAATCATACATGCACCCGTGCTAACAACGATAGCTAACCGAGCGGGCCGAGCTTTGCCTCTTCTTGCCACCGAAGCTGTTGCCGTAGGCTCATCTCTCCCATCAGCAGCACGCACAGCTTCCGGTTGAAGTGCTCTTGACTGCGAAACATACCTCCAGCATCCAAACAAGCTAACCAGGATACCGACACCTATCATGAAGTGACCACATACAAGGCCTAGATGTTGGTGCTCATCCTTGAGTATCAGCAACTGAGCCACGATAACGCCATGACTGGCGAGGTGGTTCGCGGTTCTGTTATACGCAAGAAATGTTCGCTCCAGCGCATACAGGTCGCGGACGTTCGCAGAAGTGTGTTCGAATGTTTGTGACTTTTGCCAATTCTTCCAAAAGCTGCTGAAAAAGCCTCTTGACAGCTTACGCCGTGTCGGCTCTTGTCTCGGCGGGTTCGAAATTAAACTGTTCATCTGTATGCTGCTCGGAAGGGCAGGTGCCTTGACATTTCTAGGCATGCTCCTAAGCTTTTGTGTCGTCTCCTTTCTCCCTCCCCTGTGACGGGTCTTGTCCTCTTCGGCTGCAGTCGTGGGCTCGATACCGGTGTTTGTGTCGGCGTCCACACCTTAGTGTGGTGGTTTTGCAGAGGAAGGATCAGGAATGGGTGGTCGAACAGGCAGGTTTGCGCCCAGGAACCGGCCACAAGGTTCCTAGGCGCCTTTTGGCATTCTGGGCACTCGAGGCTCTGTGCCCAGGCGCTCGGAGGCGGGGAAAGTGGGGTTCCAGATCCCTCCTTTTTGTGAGGCCTCGTTTCCTGGGTTTTGGGAGCAGCCAAACGGCGATCAAAGCGGTGGCAAACCCAGGTCGTCGCAGCGGACAGGCGAAAGCACGGGAGATCAATCGGCTAGCTAGGGAGGCGACCTCGGGGCTATAACTGCTGTGGAACGAGCTATCACTACTAGCAGCGCTGAAGAAAGCTCGAAGTTTAACAGTGCAGACGAAGCTGAAGAAAGCAGACAATACCGACGGTGCCCTACCAGGATCACACGTGAGAATGTCGTACGACGATTTCGGGTACCAGAAAGCTGCGATTTTGTGTTTAACTCCGTACGGGCAAAAGTCGACTGAAGGGATATTTAGCCAGAATTGGAGCCGTTGAGACCGACAAATGTGACTGCGAGCGAGCACCGCCAGAAACAGCGCAGCATTTCCTCTTCGAATGTTCTCGATGAACAGAACATCGTTAGGCCTCGATGTGAAGGAGGCGTGGCGTCATTGCTGTCGAGGTGATTGATGTTCAGCTTCGAATCACTGTTGGTATGCATTGAATCGTGAACAACAAGCCGGTTTTATTCATGAAACTGTCCTATGGGCTAACCGGCAATCATGTATTCATCAATTCCCCCACCCTGTGTATGGCAATTGCCCCAGCTGGTGACAGCCCTCCTATTGCGCCACACAAAGCATGTGGACACCCTTATGCTGAGGCCAGCATAGAATGGCCACAATGTGCCCTAAATCAAAATCAGCCGCTGAGTTACGATGTGCTGATGAGCGCATTTCAACAGATCAACTTCAAGCTTCCTATTAAGGTGGATCCGTCCCGTACCAGACACTTGATTAATGGCACAACGAAACGAGGCACAGTCGAAGTCAAGTAATTTGCCAGCTCATACAAGCACATCATATACACTCCCTCGTCAGTATGGCATTTCTTGGTGATTATCAGAGAAGCTCGAACGCGGATAGCAAGCATGATGTCTTGACCACAACTCGTCGACTTCGACAATTGCTTGCTGATGATAAGAACATCGTCGTTGCTCCAGGAGTCTACGATGGTCTGACAGCACCAATAGCTCTCGCAGTGGGCCATCAGTGCCTCTCCATGACAGAAGCTGGTGCGAGTGTCTCTCGCCTTGGACTGCCAGACACGGGTTTTCTTACTTTGAATGACACGCTCGCAAATGCCACCATGATGACTGGTCTCGACAAGGCCGTGTCGGTAATAGCAGACGCTGGTACGGGGTTAGCTGGCCCACTACAAGTTGGTAAAAATGTAGGCTTGTACGTGTCTGCTGGTGTTCCTGGTTTGCACATCGAAGATCAGGTTCTGGCGAAAAGGTGTTGGCATCCGGCCTTTGCCCAAACCTTTCAGTCCCGCAAGCTCAGGAGTTGAGATTCCGCATTATCATTTTCCCCGGTGCCGCTCTCGGGCCGATTACGCTTGTGGTCGAGCAAACTATGTCGGAGCTAAAGGCCACCGGGCATGTGGGTTCGATCAGCGGTCAAGGTACTTCGTCTCTGCGTACTCTGTTCGAGGTTTGTGGTTTCACAGTGTCTGGTTTTTGACAGGCATGTTGCCGAAGATGTATCGGCGATGTGAGACGAATAGACACACTGGTCGATTGGACCGTAATGCCCCAAGTTGTAACTAGCTGGTCCAGATCTGTCGGACGCCATAACTGTTTCGCCGCTTTTCGGCAATGGGAACTTTTCGTTACTTTCCATGGAGTTCGTCCCTTTTGTCGTTATGATAATGGTGATTCGTGCAGCGCAGGTCAGTGGAGCGAAGAGATCGTGGACTCGCTTTGCAGGTGATCGGTTGCCCTACGTCCAGGCGGGTAGCCGATGCAGTGACTGGAGATATCGTTAGGAATTTTGAGGTGAGCTTCTGAGAAACGTAATCGACTCAAAAGTCCTGTAACTTCACGGCTGTGGTGTTGCAGGTGACCGCTGACGCCATTGATTAATCGGACGTATGCTTGACTCATTGGTCGTTTGAGCACAAGAACCTCACAGCAAGGCTCCTGTGTTCGTTGAGGGCGGACACCACAGTCGGCGCAATAATCATGAGCCTTCTGTTTTTGCCATTCTTGATACGCACGTTGTGCTCTTGCCAATGCTCGTTGCCTGGCTTGGCTGCGTTAATATATGTATGCTGCAATCTCCATGCCATGACAATCCTTCTCGTTCCTTGACAGAGTCGCAGCTATTCCGCCATGGCTACTCATAACGAAGCTTGCTGCAAGTAGGGGTTTCCTGAAAATAGCCTACTTTCAGGCACGAGTCTGACAGCTGCAGAGTACCACCTATCATCGACGATAAGTTTTCGTCAAAAGGCAAGTATGTCGATCTTGGTGGCATGGAAACTTGTATGTTCGCAAGCGACATTAAGTTGCATCCCTGAGACTAAACAAAGCCATAGCTGTGACGGGCTCCTAAAACGCGATGACCGCCATTCTCGTCATCTACGACATCTTCGGCTTCTTTCCGCAGACATTGCAAGGGGCCGATATCCTCGCGTACAGCGACAGTGCATCTCCGTGTCAAGTGTTCATCCCAGACTGCTTCAACGATAATACCGCGAATATCGATTGGATGCCACCAGACAACGAGGAAAAGCAGAAAGCACTGGGAGAGTGGTTTGGCAATGCACATCCGCCGACTCATCTACCCAAAGTCAACGGTTTTCTCGAGGCAGCCGAGGCAGCTCACAAAGGAATCAAACAATGGGCTGTAGTCGGATACTGCTGGGGTGGAAAGATGACGAATTTGCTTGCAGGAGAAGGTACTCGTTTCGAGGCCGCAGTCCAGACGAGTTCAGCGATGGTCGATCCAACAGAAGCGAAGAGTGTTACGATCCCTACGATGATCTTGGCCAGTAAAGAGGAACCAAAAGATGCTGTTGAGGAGTACGTTGCGAATCTGGTAGTCTCGAGGCACGTTGAAACTTTTGGAGATCAAGTCCACGGCTTCATGGGTGCAAGAGCTGACTTGGCAGATGCGAACGTCAAGAAAGAGTACGAGCGAGGATATCAACTCGTCTTACAGTTTCTGCACGAGCAAACCAAATAGACAGCGAGTTTCAGCCCCATCTGGACGCACTTGTTTGGGGCTTGGACCTGCTCGGCGACGTGTAGCTATGAATCAGATCAAGAAGTGTGCTTTTTCTTCTCACGACAAGACTTGTGATTGTACGGCCTGTATGTCTTGTAGCACAGATCTGGTTATCTGATATCGTTCTTCACTCAGGCTTGAAAATCGATAACGTGAACCCGAAGGTTGTATCTGTGAGATTTGCTCTTCTCGGAGCACCCCCATATCGAGGGTACCGATGAACATCAGGAACAATCGCAAGTCACGTGATCAGGTATGCCGTTCTCACGCCGCAGCCAGGAGCACAAGGCCGGCTTATACCAAGGTCGATCATTAAAACCGACACTTGTGACCTCTAAAGTTGACCACGAGTCACAATGCGTAGAAGGCGGCTACTTCCTATCGAATTGCGTTGCTGTCAATACCAAAGGCGGTCGTGATAGCCTTACGTTTGTCAATGGCATTGTTGCCTTGATTTGTCTTCGACCAATCTTTGTGCATTCGAGATTTCGTTGACATCAGAATACCTACGGCTTCGATGGATTTAGTATCAGCCTCGGAGGCGTAGCATGACCTCTTCGGCATTGACAACTCCTTGCCGCCTACGCTTGTGATGCTCGATGGAGGGGGCAGGCTCCATGGGGCCTCTCATCGTCATGTGAGCTCTCACGGCACCAAAGCCGCGCACGGAGCCAAATCAAAGAACAACGAGGCCGGTCAAAGCCTCGACGATCTCTGCGAAGACTGGTCAATGCCACCAAGCGACCCGGAGTGACGTTCGTCATGGGTCGTCGTGCACCGAAGGAATCGTCCAGCAAACTTCTTCTTTCAAGCCAAATTCGATTGCTTCGACTTGCTGACTCGGTCCGAGCTTGAGACTTATCGGCCTGGTTGCATCACCGACATCGATGGTCACGGTACGTATCTGAGAAAAAGAACGTTGCGTATATCAGTTCCACCCAGGGCTATTGACAGGATAGGCCGTGTTTCCTGCTTTGACCGAGAGGAGATGGCTATTTCCCAGCAGGATGGGCGTGATCGTCTGTCTTACCCGTGGAACCTTGACGCCTGAGAACAATTTTGATCTTCGAGACTATGCCATTATTTTGAGTCGCTGCAGCGATAACCAAAAAATTCAGATGCTGAGACGCAAGCACGCCAGGAAGGTGCCGGGGATCTGCAACGAATGGGGCTAGTAGAGCCAAAAAGATTATATGTGGTGGTAGAGTTCAATCCCACGAGAGTAATCAGAAGTCCACGGAGGACTATTGGAACTGTCCAGCCAGGCCTGTCGTGTGTATTCATTTTCGTTGACCACTGCGTCTCAGATCTTCTGCTCGTTTTCAAGCCCCTTGTAAGATCTTCAAAGACGCAGTTCGCGCTCTGTCCGGAATGTTTATCTCACTGTGTATGCGACCCTCCTTTCACGATGGGAGGTAGACCACTCGGGCCGCAGAATGTCGAAGTAGAAGTCGCATCTCATTGGAGACGAGAAAACCATAACGAGCAAGTCGATAGAAACGTCAACGCTGCACCATTGGATCTGCAACCAAGGCGGGTATAATTCTTGCAGAGATGGCACGATGTTTACCGTTGACAAGGATTTTGGTCAAAACGGACTGTCCCGGTCGTGCCTACCAAGAAATACTTTGCCGAGCAAGACCAAGGCATATTTTGTTCCAGTTCCACAAAATAGGAACGGCCTATTCTCGCAGCCTGACGGACACTTGTCTTCATCTACCAAGAATTCACGAAAACGCCATAGTTCCAGTCTCATTTCCACAATCACGTGAGCTCAAATTCGAGCTTGGCTTTTGACGTTCCGAGGTGGAACTGAACGTCGACGCCACAAGTGTGAGCATAGCGTCGATGACGATGACGTTATATATAGCTCTGGCTGGAAATGATTTATGCTCGGAGACGTAGATTTTGTGCTTGTTAGCAGTAGAGTTGTTTTCTGTACGTATCAATTTGTGACGATATAAAAGCTAGAGGAGAAAGGAGGGTAACAGTAGCAATTGCCGGCGGAAGTATTACATGGAAGTGTTCCAGCGGCAGGAAACCTTCTTGGCTGCTTGTCCCGAGAAACTTGAAGCTGACATAACGAATAGATGGGGAAAAGCGGCCACTATTACAGTGTCAAGCTTCGGGTACTTGTGCAGTGGATTCAGTTCACATTCTGACTGGAAGATTGTGATCGAGTCATAAGAGTTCCGGCGTTGGGGATGATCGGCGTTGAATTGAGATGAAAGAGGTGTTTCGGAAGCACTCCCATTCAGGAAGCTCACCGGGTTGAATTTCCTGGTGGGTGAGCATTTTATTATCGGAGTTTGTCAATGACGTACCTCGTTGATAGGGCGGTCGAAGCTGTTCTAAGTTTTCGGTAATCGCAAGCGAAGAGATATACGGACAGAGAGATCCTTGTTCGAAGTGATGTTGGGTAGTTACTAGAAGTACAGTATACAGGCCGAACATGCACTATTGTTTTCGAGCATGGTAGACAGCACGAGCCTAGCTGAGGACCAGCCACTGCACATGTTCCGTGCATTGATCTCCATGCACTTATCACGAACCAATGCAAAACATTCACGTAGCTACAAGGATATAGTGCATAACGTTAGCACAAATCAATGCGAACAGAGACACTTTAACTCATGTGTGAAGGGACATTTGTATGTCAATTGACCTAACATGATCGTTGCATGTGGTCATGGCTGGTCCGATGTAGGTCAAAGGCGGCGATACCTAGCTGCATCATCGGGAAGACAATTGGGACTTTTTATCATCTTCGTGGAGAGATTGGTAGAAATTGTATGTACAGCAACTCGTCGGCTTTTCCGCAGTAGATGTAACCCACGTGCGACTTTTACCAACGCTCTACAACAAAGCTGACGACTCTGAAACTCGGTGTACTCGTGACATGGTCGCGTATTCATACACGACCAATAGAACACTAGCTACAATCGCACAACAGCTGTCACGTCGACTTAGACAGTACTCTTTCTCGATCAAGGGTCAAGATGGTAGTTCTCCCGAAACACGTAAATGGACGTACTCGAGTACAGTCTAGATGCGATTCAGACCACATGCGCCACACGCCGAATCGTGAATGATCGTCAGATGGATGGTTGTGATTTGTCGTCGAGGATAGGCTTGATTGAGTGTGCATAAGTGCAGAAATGCAGAAGCAGCCCTGCATGGTCAAGCTGCAAGATTCGGGGTAAGATCTTGATTCCAACACCTTTGGGTCACGAACGAAGTTTATACGAGCTCGAGCATTTGTCAAATCGACGTGCTTCGCCTGCTGCATCTGAGCTGCTGTGTTGCCGCGCGAAAGCAAAGGACAATCATCGTGGTCAGATTATTGGTCGACAGATAAAGTCCAGCAGTTGTGCAGACGTCGAAACGCAGGCGAAGCAGTGCGATGGCTTTTGGACGTGTGATTGGTACATTCCGTGGCTGGGGTCTGACAATCCATTGTTCTTACCTTGGTCGGGTGTTTTTCTACCATGTCTGAAGGTCAGCAGATTTTGCTGCGACAAGTCAATAAAAGAGTAAGCCAACCAGATCCTGGCATGCACGGTAATGATGTAGGAAATCAAGCAACGAGCCACACATAGATTTGTAGTTGGTGACATTCAGAATTGCAGGGTTGTAAGTGACAGTGATCTACATGGAGAAATTGCAACAGCTCAAAACCAAGCCATAACACAGGAGAGTTCTAGGTGAATGAGAAGACGTGGGCAAGCATACGAGTGCCGATTGATACCGAAAATGTCTACTCCACCTCGCTGTGATTGTCGATACTGGATTTGATGTGTTGATGTGGCAAGTGTCGGATATTTATTGAGAAGTGGGATTGGCTTGTGGAGAGATAGAGAGGTCATCACTTTTATGCAGCACAGTGAAAGCACATCCTCCGGCACAGTAAGGTGATGGTAGAGAGTGATGATGCAAGTGTGAAAGACTCAACGGCAGTGACGCTGAATATTCGTCGTAATGTCAACTTACAATCGATTGGGTTTTCCTTGCAAGAAGCACCGCGCCTGGGCCTTTTCTTGGGCCGGGCAGAGCTTTGTGCAGGATTTCTGATGATTTCTGGAGGATGAATGCGCAGGCAAGCCGGGATATCCCTGTATCAAGCAGCCGAGCATCTCCAATTTGTCCTTAGCTCCAAAGTCTCCTTCCTTTTCCTGCTGCAGTTAAGTCCTTAGCGAAAACTGGCGGATCGCCAAGCCTGGTTATTGCCGCCTCGCATCCATCTCATCGTCTGCAGTCCTCAGTCTGTAGCTGCGACGAAACTATTCCATCTTTCTCCGCCCGTTCGATCGTCCTTCAGTACTCAGTACTTTGTCATTGCCTACCTACCTCGTTCCTCTCCACCATCTCGTCGGAACTACAATCGAATTCCTCTTTACACTCCTTCGACGGTGCTGGCCATATCGACTAATTGAGTTTGGAATCAACGAACCTCGACTCAACCTCCAAGACAATTATCGGCCTTACATTCACGACAAAAACAGACCGCAGACGTAGACTCAATCCGTTGTGCCCGTCAAACGCAACCACGAGTCATCACTACATCCTAACATCACTTGGTCTTTTACTAGATCCGGCGAACCTCTCTACTCACGACTATTCGCGTTTACACTCAAGCTCTACCTAGCCAAGAACTGCGTCCTCCATTGTCGTCAGAATCCTTACCAAGATCGCGTTGCAGCTCGGCCAATGTTGTCGACATAACCACACCACGTCGGACTAGCGCCATCTTTCCACGTTCTCCTCGTCCTACACAATGTCTTCCTCAAGAGCTCGGTCACAACCTGGGACACAATGGTATCTAGGAGGATTGCTCTTCCTGCTCCTCGCGAGTTCGGCTCAGGCTTTGTCGGTAGCGTACTGCTCGCCACAAAATTCTGGTCAAGTCCTAAGTATGTCTGAGGTGGCCATGGCCATGGATCGACTTTGCTAACGGCATCCGCAGCTTCCAGCCCTTACATGTCTAATGGCTTTTGTCAGACACACTGCCAGGGCTCCTATGTCTTCGCCGTTATCCAAGGAGAGGACTGCTGGTGCTCCAATGAACAGCCGGCCAATACTGTGCCTACCGCAAACTGCAACGAGCAATGTCCTGGCTATCCTGCTGACACCTGTGGCAATCCTGGTCGAGGATACTTTGCCTACTTTAATCTGGGAGGATCGCCCACTGGTACCTATGGCGGTAGCTCTCCATCCTCCTCGAGAGCTCCATCTTCTTCGGTTAGTACTTTTGTCCCGGCTACTACTTTCTCTGTGGCTTCTTCCTCTACCGGTCGGTCTCGCTCGTCTTGGACCTTTTCTTCTTCTGTTTCTTCATCTTCTCGCGTTGTGTCTTTTCTGACAAGTTCGGTTGTTTTGCAGACTTCTGCTCAGATATCGACATCATCTTTGGCTCCTTCATCTGATCCTCAGACCGATCCTGGTACTAGTTCTTCGACAACTGTGAGTGCGGCTAGTCTATAATCTCCTATCCAACTGCTTCGTCGCATGATTTCTCGAGTCTGCGCTGTACCAGAGTCTGTCGTTGCCAATCTCTACCTGCACAACATATTTCAGACTGTGCTAACCCGGTTGTGTGTAGTCTACATATCTTCCTCCTCCTCCTCCTCCACCACCGACTTCCTCATCATCTACTTCTCCCGAACCCTCGCAGGTCTATACCAGTGTTGTGACAGTCACAGGCAGAGCCAGCACTATCCTAGTAACACCTACACCTGCGCAAACCACCGATTCGGCCATAGGGGCTAGTGGCCAGCAGGCCGGCACTACACGTTCTAGTGGACTTAGTGGAGGTGCTGTTGCTGGCATTGTCGTTGGAGTTGCCATCATCATTGGCCTGGCCATTGGTGCCATTGTCTTCTTCATTTTGCGCCGAAGACATAGGAAGGATTTGGACGCAATATCAGAGGGAGCCAGTGTCACCTCGCCCTCTCACGCCAGCAAAAGCAATGGTGGCATTCCGTCGCGACAAATTAGTCAGATGTCGTCGGCAGGCTTGCTTACTAGAACAGCACGACCTGACACTGGAGGCTTCTCGCAACCTGAAACCAGTGCTCACAATCTGACAACCTCGGATCGTGCCAGCACGCACATGACGGTCGACCAAAGGCTGAATCCTTGGGCTATTTACTCAAATGAACCCAGCCGAGTCAGTAATGTGTCGCTACAGGATAACCAAGATTATTCGCGACAGCTCAGAGTGGCCAATCCAGATCTGTAACAGTTGCGACTGAGGTAGGCAGATGTGCAAACCCTCGAGATTGGGCGGAGTGATGATGTCTGGGTCCAACGAACAGGCTACATGACGTTACTAGACAGGTATCGAAAAGCGAATGACGGTAGACAGCTACTAATATTGGCACTGGCTCACGAGCAGCCTTATTTACATATACACGAATTGACGACGACATGGACGTTCTGAGGTTTGCAGTCAAGTTTACTGCAAGGGTTTATTTTAGCATGGATCGGTGTAAAGTGGCATAATTTGTACAGATATTTTCTCCTGGCAGACAGCTGATGAGCCTGGAGTGAGACGTGTGCGCAGAGGGTATGTATCACCCTCTGAAAGCTCGTCGTTTCACACGTCTAATTTCAAGAGAGATCTTATATGAGAAACTTGAGCTACGACCATGGGGCACAGGATTCGTGGCAGAAAAGTAATCCTCGTGTAGAGAAGTAGCTATACGAGTGGCAGAAATCGAATGGTTTGCGACACACTCCTGCAAGATGCTAGCTAGGATCAAAAATGCAACACTGGTCTCATGGTCAATAGCCCTCTTGCCTTCACTTTGCCTACCATGTAACACTACAGACATGGGCATTGTCGCATAGAGTAGAGCTTGGTAAGGAACTCGCTAGACCGGGTTGTGCATTGCCACATCCTTGTTGAGGCACGTGCTCTTCGAAAGAAAAGAACAATGCTGCTGGAACATTAGGCAATAATACTGACTTGTACCTGTTATATATGATGTAAACTATACACTACTTGTATGAGTAGTGTATAATCCTCCCTGTTCGTGCCGAGCCAGTTCCCGTAAATCTTCTCTCGGGATAGACGTGATTGATGGAACGCAAGTCTTGCCACGATGGGATTGGGCAGCCATCGAAGAAAATACACGAAAACCAATGCCATGTTGGGCTCGAACGGAATGGGTCGAAATGTGGGAAGAAAGACCTCGCGTAGCCAGATGGTGGTGCACATGCAGACCGACGTCAGAACTTTGGGGGATGTGAAGTGGGCGCCGAAAACTTGAAGCTGGCATTGGCAGGCAATCTGACTTGCCAGCGCAATTGAGCCCAATGACTGCAATATGCATCGCTTGCGCCTGTATTTTTCATGTTCTGTCGAGCTCAACCATTACGGATTTCTTTCTTTCCTCTTGACGCGGTGCTGATTCTGTTTCGTTCCTGCTGACTTTCCAAAAATCAGTACTTGCTTCCGGGACAACACCACCCACTGGCTCGCGAATCGTTGCATTGCAATTGACATACAGCCCCCACCACACCACAATCCTGGTTCTTCTGATACAATCCTGGATTTCTAGTTGGACATCCCGAGCCTTTGTTCTTGGTTGCCTGTCGTGCAACGTTTTGTCATCCTCCACGTTGTCTGACGCACGAATACTCTTTGTGCTGCTTTCTGGAGTGCTATTCCAAGGTCATCGTGCAGCGTAGAATCAGGCTTATTCGATTTCCGCTGATCACTTTGGTCCGCAGCGGAGAACGACCAGTTCAGGTTCTGTCAGCAAGTGCAACTGTGGCAGGAAACACAGCTTTGTTGTTGTCGAACCATGTCTCGCTACGGCTCCAGGAGTGAAGTCGATTTCGACGATCGTCGTAGCTATGCTGGTGGCCGTGCCCGCCACGATGATAGGTACGCCGAGGCTGATGTAACCTTCAGGACCGGTACTGGCGCCGTCCCGAGACGAGAGCGCGAAGCTGTCTTACTCAAGGAACGGGATGATTATGATCGTCGTGGTTCCCTCCCTGCTTTTCTGAGAGACGATTACGGTCAGACGAACGCGAGCGCCATGGTGCTGAGAGCTAGAGATAAAGAAGATGTCACTTATGCTGTTCCACGAAGGAGACGTTCCCCATCTCCAGAAAAGCAGGAACGCGACGAGATTATTATTCGACGAGAGGAGAGGTCAGAGTCACGACCTCCTGCGCCTCGTCCGCGACGTCGAGAAGGATCGAGGGAAAGAGAAGAGATAATCATTCGAAGGGACGAACGTACTGAATCTCTACCACCGGCACCGCGTCCACGACCTCGACCACGAGAAGAGGAAAGAGAACGAGAAGAAATCATCATTCGAAGAGACGAGAGATCCGAGGCACCTCCAGCCCCACGATATCGAGAACGAGGACGAGACTCGTCACGGGAAAGGGAAGAAATTATCATTCGTAGGGAGGAAAGATCGCAGTCTCGTCCAGCTGCTCCAAGATACAGAGAGCGCGACACTTCAAGGGAAAGAGAGGAGATCATCATACGCAGAGAAGAAAGAGATGACCACTATGCTCCTCCTCCACGTTCTAGAACAGCTCCGATAAGAGAAACGGAACGAGAAGAGATCATCATTCGCCGTGACGAACGAGATGATGACAATTACTCGAGACGAAGCTATAGACCACCTCCACCACCAGTCAAGGATGAACTTGAACGGCAGGAGATCATCATTCGAAGGGACAAGGTCGACTCAAACGATCGTGCACGAGTCCCTGCTCGTAGATACGAGGATGACCTAGCTCTTACCCGTCCCATTTCTCACGAGCGTTCGAGGGGTCGATCGCATAGCAGTGCTTCTGAAGACGAGATCATAATACGTCGAGATGAGCGTGAAGGACGTCGTGGTGAGCGCTCAAGGCAGGAGATCATCATTCGACATCAATCTCGATCCAGGTCACCATCTCCAACTGCTTCAGTAAGCACAAGAGCTCCAGCTCCAGCTCCTCCACCTCCAGCGCCAGAACCTCAAGTCATATATGCTCCTCAAATTCATCAGGAAGTCATTACGCACCACCGACACGTCGATCACGGCTACGAGGTCAGAATTCCACCCAGGCCAGCACCTGTCTATTCTCGACCACCATCGCCTCCAAGTCCACCTCCTGCTCCTCCACCAGCACCTGCATCGATCAGAAGTCTATCAGAGGAAAGGATCGAAATCAGAAGATCTGAGATGAGGAACGGCGAAAGAGAAACACAAGATATCGTCATTAGCCGAAATGAACGCTCTAGAAGCCGCGGACCTCCGCCTGTTAGATTCCGCGAGGATGACTACAGAGAAGAAGTCGACAGGACTGAAATTGACATCCGGCGAGAAAGGGACTATCACAATGATCGAGCTCTAATTCGACCAGAACCTGAACCAGAACCACCAACGATTGGACCTAGATACGGTGCTCGACGTGACCCACGAGATGGACTCTGGACTGAAATCACCAAAGACTTGGTCGTAAAAGAAGCCATACGTGAGATGGGATATGAATTTGAAGAAACTGATGACCACTATTACATCTTCAAGTACATGACATATGTAAGTCTCTTGATATATCGACATTCTTGTCGCATGCTAACAATCAGCAGCCCGATGTCGCACGCTTAGTCGGTCTATCAGAAGATATTCGTCGCGACCGCGCCAAACGCATCAACGAGATTCGATGGGAAAATGCTGCTTCACCACGTCCTGTCGTCGAACCAACGAGTCCAAGAGCACCACTGGCTATCGAAGGTCCGCCGTCTCGAGGGTTTAGAGACGACAGAGGCTGGAACCGAGAAGACGAGCGATACGTGGAGCGCGAGGTTGTGTATCGTGGTGGAAGACCTCCACCACCTGTTGGATGGAGGAGGTGAGCTGCAGACTCAAGAGAACTGACGTCCGGAAAACCTTTGCGCCAGCAGAAAAGCGCGATGTTTAATGTCTCATGGTACTGGGTCCAGTCTTCGTGACTGTCTATCAGAAAACTGGAATGGCAATGTCAGAGTATGGAGTGGGCACGGCTACTGTCTCATCAAATCCACAGATACAACCTGAAGAATGAGGCTTCGTGGAATAGTGACTATCCACTCGGGACGATCTGAGCTCTTGCAGGCACCTTGACATTACATGTCTGAGTCCCGCGCCAAGAATTGAGCTGGAGCACAGAAGCATCAGAGGCACACCTTGTCCTTCTGCTGGCGACGTCTTTTGTCTTCCCTGAAATCCCGCGAACCAGGAATGCGCTGTCCCGTATCTTGCCGAAACAACGAATGATGAACAAAAACCTTCATCGTCCAGTATGCGGTTCTGGTCTCGGTACACCCAACGAGCAGGCAAATCATGGACCTTCCAAAACCCAATGAGGAACGAGGCGGAAGTGAAAGATCTGGCGCATCGAAATGAGCCATGTTGCAACGAAGAAACGATGAGAGAACCATTCATGAACATGAAAACGAGACGAACTTACGAGAAAACGACGAGATGAGGATTGACAAACGGATGGACAGTTAAGCATAAAGCATGTAGATTGAGATAGGTATAGAAATGGTGTTCTGGTTTTTCATTTGCTCGAGTTTGGTGCTGAGCGGTGCGTTTTCCGCTGCTGTGTTTGAATAAAGAGACTTGAGCTGACCAACATTTGTCCTCTTGAGCACACGCCATGGGACCAGAGCAGATTTCAGAGAAGCTCTCGAATCTGGTCAGAGACAATCGAGGTGAATACAGATATCAGGCTGGCTCGACCAGACTCTCTGCACGCGGGCTGTGCAATGTTCTTGCCTGTCTTCGCAGCCCCTACACCACATGACCACTCACCTCACAACCGTGCCACTCCAAGAACTACAATCAACCTGCGTGGCTGTCCCCAGCGCCAAACCCACACCACTACTCCCGAAAAACGCAGCCTGAGCACCACTGTCCGAGCACAAATCGAAATTGACATTTGCACCGTACTGATTCGTGCCGGTCAGACCGGATTGGCTGCAGAGTGGGTTTCCTTGTGCTGGGCAGAGGTTGTTGACCATGACGACGATGGTGGTGCCGGCGTTGGAGAGGGTGTTGCCGCTGCTGTCGGTTTGGCTGGTGAGGCGCCAGCAGGTTCCGCAGGCTGGACCGACGCCGAACCCGGGACCGACGCCGAAGCTAGGAGGGGGTGTTAGTGGTTTACCATGTGCAGAGAGAGCAGGAGAGAGGGGTGAGATCTTGAATGGGAGGGCAGGGGCTTACAGATTTTCTGATGCGGCTGCGCTGTAGCCTGGGTATGTGTAGAAACCACAGGCGGCTGTGTTGGTGTTGCAGTTGGGGGAGCCGAAGGTGTCACCTGCACCATAGTGGGTGAAGGAGGCTCTGTAGGTGACGCCTCCGCTTGGGCTGGTGCTGGTCGACGATCTAGCTGAGGAGGTCGAGGCGGAGGTGACGCGTGAGGTAGCAGGTGTGGTGGTTCTGACGCTACTGCTACTACTGCCGGATGACTTCAAGCATTGCGAGTAGTACGGGTTCGAGACGACGCAAACGAGCCCAGCAGCACAAGTCGTGCCGCCTGTCCAACTAAGACCGCCACCTGAGGCTTGTCAGTATTGCGGGAAACTTGGATTGAAGATTGCATTACATTGAGCATATTCAGGCTGCTGTGCAGTAGTAGTAATGGTCAAAGCGCTGAGGGCGAGCAAGAGAGACGCTGCATGAGAATGCATCCTGAACTTTCGTATGAAGTGGAAGTAGCTGAGCTCAGCTCAAAACGCAGGTAGTACTTAAGTCGAAGCTCGAAGGAAATGGCTGATGGGCTGCTGGGGAAGGGAACCCATCTTCGTGGTGCAGCAATGTATTCATATGTACTTGCTTGAACAACAACGATCTTCGCTCAGGAGGTCAAGCATCATTATTATCTGATGATTTCAATATCGCGTAGCAAACGAAGGACTCATGTTCGATGAATGAACTAGGTAGACGAAACCAGTATAGCTGGCTGTTTCACCTGTACAAGATAAGTCGTTCAGGACCAGAGTCCTATTTGCTAGGGTGAACAATTCGGCATTTGGAGACCTCTGACCTACTTCCTCGAAGCGTTTGGCTTGTCTACTGTTGTTAGCAGCTAACTGCTCTTGCGCATCAGGTTGTAGTGTGTCGGCAAGTGACTTTCGAATAAAATTGTAACAGTTTAGTGGGTCCAGGTCTTGAAACACGAAGCTAACGAAGCGAGATCTACGGAAGAGCTCGATTTCGGCTGGCTGTTGACATCTTGTGCGATACTTGTACTCGAGGACATCCTCAAGGATCATCTCCCCAAATCTTGGTCGAGCTGGCTGAGACGTTCTCGGTAAGGGATGTCTACCGGGATGACCCAGGTACAAATCGGACTGAGCTTGATCGCGACCAACGACTAGCATCGATCTTGCTGTTGCGAATACATGTCTATCGAGATCGGACCACTTGCAGATGAGCTCAGTCTGCGCTGGAACTATTGAGTGGCTCGATCGCCATATATATCTGTTCTCTAGACAACGTGGAAGACTTGTGACTTGGCTTGAGTTCTGAATAGATCATGTACGATCGTGTTGCTGTGTATGGTGGCCAGATCACGGAACTGATGAAAGCAGAACAACCATGTAAAAGGTGACAAAAGGACTGCGAAAGCAGAAGTGATGGGATCAGAGTAAGATCCTGTCAGCTGCACCCATCTCGTCCATCTTCGATCTTCAAATGACAGGCGCTCCCAGACGGTGCTCTGCATGAATAGAGACAGAGGAACAGATACGAATTTGAGGGAGTAATAAGATGCCGCAGCAAAGTTTTCCTTGAGAAATGGTACTACTGCTGCTTGACGCATTCATATAGTCTTCTATCGTTCTAAACACCAAAATTATACTTGTATGTGCCAGACAACCAGCTCCGTGTTAACTTGGAAGTCGCTCAGTACTACAACAGCCAATTCCTTTGTCCTCCTCAAAAACATGTGCCACAAAGGGAAGGCAAGAGCTAGTACACAATCATTTCGTCGTGACCATACACTTCGATTGGTGACAACTTTTCCTACCAGTCGGCACATATGGGAACAATGAGATGAGAATTGCACCGCAGCTCTTGAGAGTACAACACAATTCCTGTCAGTATAGGGTTCGTGAGCCCCACGACTTTGAATCTGCCTCCTCTCGTCGATCTCAGCTTGTTGCTTCAGATTTCATCCTGAAATAGCGCCGCCTCTCAAGGATGACGTTTGTTACAAGATAGGTACGCAGTTATGGCAAAGCTCTTCCTCATGTATCTGTTCGTCGCCTTCAAGCGTGTCTCATCACTCAGCCGAGGACATTGGAGGTTGCCAAAGCATTATCAACATTGTTGTTGGAGTGTTTTGGCGCTGGGGCTGAATGCCAAGGCGCTAAGCTGATACGCGTGGTGCTTCGTTCTGGACAACAGCAAGAGTGCTCCGTGGGGCGAAATAGGCAGGGAGACACCCTGTTGCAATGAATGCAGTGTTCGTATAATCACACGACGTGTGTCGGCAGAGGGAGAGAAGGATATATTCCGATCGTTGGTCAGCCACGTCTGGCGACATCAGTCGGATTACTCTGTTGTAACATAAAGGCTGCCTGTTACAGCTCGGTCTCAATCGTATGCCTCTGCTGACACGGAAGCTCTTCTAAGTACCTCTTCATTGTCCTCCTTCGGTCGTCGTATGAAGAAAAGCTCAATAACTCCAATAATCGCAATTAGTGTTGCACTCCACCAGCCACCAGCAGAACCCAATGCGCTGTATACCGCTCCCACAATCGGTGGTGCTATAGTTCGTGCCGCTGAGCAGCCTGACATTGCTAGTCCATTAACTCTGCCCAGGACAAGTGGTGAGGGACAGGCATTCTTGAGGAGAAGTAAGATGATTGGATACGCCATCGTAGATGTCAGAGCTTGGAAGATCATGACAAGATAGATGCCGATGACGGGATCCGACATTAGTGAGACGAATGGTGGCAAGAAGTAGACCAGTGGAGAAAGCACGATCAGTATGATTCCTGACCACCAGACACCAATTTTGGCAACGAAGATGGGGAATACCACCGCCTGAGCCAGGAGGGAGATGACGCTGTTCACGGCCAAAATCGTGCCGACTTCGGGCAGTGTTTTGCCTAGGCCACCAAGAAGATCAAGACTCGACTTACGTGGATCGTCCACGAGGTAAACAGGCAACAAAGCAGCAAAAGCCATTTGGTGGTAGCAAAGCAGCCACAAAGCCGAAACCCACAACCAGACCTCCTTGGTGAATGCTTTCTCTGGTACCTCCAGAGACTCTTCCTCGTCATCCTCCTCGTCGTCAACAGCAACGGCATGAGTATGAGCATGAGCTCGCATATACTCAGCAATCGACGGGCGTTTCCTGAGCGTACCGAAAGAACCGATCGACACGATGGAACCACGGCGCAGATCGAAGCCAGGATCGATAGGAATTGGAGCATGCACCGCAATGTACGGCAGACCCCCACTCCGATAGCTGGCTTTCGACATGACAGACTCACGACGTTCTCGGCGTAAGGATGCAATTCCTGGATTCAGAGGAGTTCTTTCGTCGGCAGCCATGGCAGGATTAGTCCGAGTAGGTTTCTGTGCGTCCTCTTTGTCACCAATCAGAGCTGGGTTCGTCTCTTCAAGTAGGAAAAGGCCTTGTATCATGGCTAGCAGGATCATGACCACAGCAACAAGATTTGGCAGCAGGTAGGGATAGTGACCGAAAATGCCATCCTCGGAAAAGACGTTTGGATACCAACGTGCAGGTTGGGCAGTAAAACCACCCAATGCACTCCCAGCAACTGATCCCACTGCCCACATCACAGGTTGAAGAGCATAGGCCATAGGTTCATGCTCTGGTTTATGAACCATTTCTGCCACCATGGTTTGCATAACAGCAACATTGCCTAACAACTTTGTCAGACCGTATTCTTCGAACCGATATGTTTCGCTTACCATTCAATGCACCACCAACGATTCGTGCAAAGATTGCAAGCCAATAGTTCTTGGCAAACCCAAATATCAGACTCGACAAAGCAGTACCAGCAAGTGCGACGAGAATGATTGGTTTCCTTCCATAGCGATCTGATAGACTGCCCCAGAGGAAGGCTGTACAAGCTTCAGCAGCAGCGAAAGCTGAGACCAATAGGCCAGCATAAAAGGAGGCGTCCTTGTCTCCATGGATGTCCTGTACCATCACAAAGGCATAGGATGTGATGGAGACAAAAGCTATTGGCTCAGCGAGACGACATATTGCAAGAACGCCTGCCTGCCGCCAGGGAAAGTCGTCGTTATTGGAAGGTGCCATGGCTCGTAACTGACGGGTTATTGCAGACTACCCATTGACCAGACTGCAAGTAAAATTTAGTAGAAACTGTAAATATGTGGTTGCGATATGTCGAAAGAACTGGCTTGCGAATACGAGACACCTCGAATTCAGCTCTAGGAAGAACAACGGTCAACGATTGAATATTTTCGCTGAGGCAAAAGCTCGTCACGGACGGCACAGCAGCTTTGCTCTTGGTTGGGAGCGGAGTAGTGTTCACCGCATGTGTTCTTTGCTCACACAAGACGGTCTTTGCCACAGCTCCTCAGGCGGGGAATGCAGAGCATAATCGCGAGAAGATCTTGAAATTGATGTACTGGGTTTGTGTGAACTATACTTTGTTCGGTGGACATGGGCAAGGAATAGCTGACCGCCACTAGATCATGCTGCATGTAAGAGCGAGTGGATGACGATGATTGTGTGAGAGAATGGAGGCGGGCGGCATGATAGTGGGCATCGGCACAGATACCACATTCATCGCTTGAGTAATCTCCGGCGACTAGGCTACGGGTAGCGGCGATTTGTTCAGATCGTGCTTGCCACTGCATTTCAGTCGCGACACATAACCCGATGCCCTGGCGACAGTGATGATGTACTTGTGATGAGGACAAGACAGTACAACTGTGCTCGACATGAAGTTGCGCACCAATAAAGGCATCGGTGAGCATTGACAGGCAGACTAGCACAGATTAGGACAAAGTAATGTCAATTTCCTTCCAATCAATTCGGCTCGTTTTGGAGGCTGGTAATTGATAATGGTGGAGCTTCCACTTTGGTATTGGCACCAACGCAGGTTCCCAATACTCGGTATTCGTTTAAGTTTCGGAAACGCAAAACTGCATTATTGCTAGTACTGGTAAATTAGCCGTTAGCTGCCAGGCCTATTGACGATAAACTTGAGTAGCGGTTTGAAGATATCAGTAGTGAGATGCAATGTATGTATTTGTGGGTAAGCTAAAGAAAGGACTGAGCTAATAATCATCCCCTCCACCATTGTCGTCGCCGCCATCATCGTCGTCCTCGCCGTCGTCAAAGTATTGCTCGGCATCGTAGTCGTTCTGATCAGAGTCATCTGAGAAATCACTATCTTCAGGCTCGTCTTCAGCTGCCTCTTCCTCAGCGTCCTCTGGATTCTGCTCAGCATCGACATCATCCTCTGCATCGAGACCCCTCCTCTCTCCTTCCTGTCTTCCCAACTTGTCCTTTGTTTTCCTCTTTTTTCTGCTTTCTGCTTGTACCGGATCCTCGTCGTCTGTATCTTCCTGCTCAGCAGCCTGATCTCCCCGTGCTACCACTTCTCGATCCAATCTTTCGTAATCTAAAGCTTTCTTCCTCTTCTTCTTTTCTGAGCCTGGTTTCCTTCGTCCAGGCAGGTTTGCATAAGCGACACCTCCTTCGTCCACAAGTTTCCAGTCTGGCAGTTTCAGGCCAGGATCAAGTACACCCCAAAGTTCTTCAGGAAACATAGCAAGAGTGTAGCCATAATCACCTCTTCCCTTTGGTCCAAGATCTGGTTCGGTCCGTGCTTTCTTTAAATGTCGTGTTGAGTATCTCTCTTGCTGCTCGAAAGGGTCAAACCCTCTTCTTTTCGCTTCTGTACTCTTCCTGCTGACACCATCTACCAGCAATCTATTCTTGTCGAGAACTGTGAATAATGGGCTTTCGCGACAACGCTGCCTGAACTTCAGCTGCGCATCTACGGCCTTTTTTTCATGCACGCCGAGAGGCTTGGGAGTACGTATGATGTTCTTGTATGTTCGGGGAGGAAAGATAGGTCCAGGCACGTTGGAAGGTGGTGAGACAGCACGGTTATTCCTATCGTTAGGGTCGACAAGATCATCATCAGCCCAGGACAAGTCAGGGCCAGTTTTCTTAGCACCATAGGACCGCGGTGCCATGACGGCAGTCAACAGGTTTTCACGAGTCTCGTCTCAGAAATTTGCGACGAGTAACAGGAAAGAAGTTCGTAAGGATGTTCAGCAAGTTCTTTACCTAGCTGCGCACAGAATGTTGCTGGTCGTTCACAGTCAGCCAGAAAGCGTTGCTAACCAGTATTGCTCTTTACAGCAGCATAAATTCCAGCTTCAGCTGTGGATGTGTTTGAAGAGTATCAGCTGCTGGGCGAATTGTTGACCACTCGTAAAACTAGAGCTCTGAGTTGTCAATCCATATGCGCAACAAATTTTGAAACTGCTGGAGCCGCCCCACACCACGATCGTTTCAGGCCTCAGGCTCCTTCAATGAGGCAGACAAGCTAAATTTTAGCGGGTGCTTTAAGCTTCGCCTCGCCTGAGCTCAGCTCTCCACCCTCCTCCCATACACATATCAGCCACCGACTTTGTACATTACTTTGAGCTTCAGGCGCTACTATCTGACAAACTTCCTGTCGATATATACGCTTATGCTCTCATTCTATTCAGATATCCAGATCTGTTGGTTCAAACGAAGACCGAGTACTGGGTATGGAAATGCTACACGCAATGCTTGACCAATGAGCTCGGGTTACATAGTCACGTGGCCGGTTGTATTAGCGTGCTCTAGTCGTGAGCTCGTGCATCGCACCAGCGGGGAGACGTGTTTACTTTCCGTAGTGCATGCATTATCCCTCCAACCTTGCACTACCCTCGTATTCGCACAAGCTGCTGATCCTCCCCGTACTTGAGGACTGCCTGTCTCAGACAGACATGCCCTCTAACCATCCCAAATTACCCAAAGCACCCGAACCAACACGCGTCTTCTTCGACCCCTTCAATTCATCGTCCACTGGCCACCAAAGAGCCGAGAATAGATTGTCTGGAAGCACATCATGGCGTGATTCTAGATCGTACAAGCTAGCGCATCAATTCAGAGACACGACAGGCTCAGGTGGAAAGCAGCACTTATCTGACCTGGTTGGCGCAGGCAGTGCAAACTTTGGCAAGGATGGGAGGAAAGACAATGGATCTTGGGAGAAAGGCGCTCCTGGCCTGAGGCCACAGGGCTGGCAGGACATCAGAGGACTGCTGGGCAAGACCAAGAAACGGAAAAGTGACAGCATTGAGCCCGAAGCTGAAAGCAAGAAGAGGCGCATATCATCCGAACCAGCTCAACCGAAAGGTGTGCTAGCACAGGACGACACAGACAAAGACAACACAAGACACAAAACTGAGGAGACCGACTCGACACTCGACAATAAAGAGAGCGTGCCTCGACAGATCTTCCGCGGCCTGACAATGTATATCAACGGATCAACCATGCCTCTAATATCCGACCACAAACTTAAACAACTCTTCGTCCAGCACGGCGGCAACTCCTCACTGGGCCTAGCACGCCGCACAGTCACGCATGTCATCCTAGGTGAACCAGGTCGTGGCGGAGGTCTCGCAGCCACCAAGATACAAAAAGAAAACACTACGGTACGTGGGAAAGGCATAAAATACGTCTCTGCGAAGTGGGTCATTGAGAGTATAGAAAGGGGCATTCGACAGCCTGAGACACGGTACGTCGTAGCTGATGTGAGAGATAGGCTGGGAGGGAGTGGGCAGAAGAGTGTTGCTACTTTGTTTCGAGCGAAGACGGAGTGATTTCAGAACGTGCAATGCAGTACGGTTTATGGGATTATACATGATATTGACGAGGAACGAGCTATGGATAATGACAGGAAAGAGTGAGGCTACACTAGCTAGGAGGCTTGTTGTAGGGATGAATGATGTTCTTCTACGAAATATCAAACTATCCGTTCTGGCCCTCGGGTTCTTCTGATGGATCGTCGAAGGTCTGCATAAGCATAAGTTGATAAAAACAAGCTAATAGAATGCAATGGTGGTTGGCTGGTAAGTCCTCTTTGAAAATATAGACCTTCCCACTATATATGTAGTGCCCCAGGCAGAAGTTCGCCTTGTACAACGCTCGGTACTTTCTGACTTAGCCAATCGCAAATCAGCATCATGGTCAGGCGTCCATCCACGATCTGCGCCCAGCATCCGAAGTCAACGGTCAAATCGTGTAGTATATATATTCTCCTGTAAGCTTTGAACTCTCATATTATTGTGCTATCTCCTCGAGTCCTCTCGAAGTGAGGCACGCTTGCTACTGCTAATAAAATACATTTGATTAAGCGAAGACTGATCTTCTGTGATAATGTCTAAGAATGTAGTAGGGTAGACTTGCGTCAGTGATCTTTTTCCTCTTTCCTTTTTGTCTACCATCCACTACACCTTCAACGCCGCCGAAACCATGATCCTAATTGACTTTTGGACTGAAAGGAAGTGTATGCTTTTGCAGGATTGAAACAACGCCCAAGAACCAGGACTCCATACCTATGAGGCTCAGAGTGTGACGCCAGGAGAGGGATTAATTGGGTCCACAGAAATGAAGCAACGAACGAAGTACAGTGCTGACTGCTCGTTAGAACGGCACAAGAGATGATCCAGAGACGCCAGATAAGCCGGTATTCAGTACACTATTCCACTAAACCTAAGTCGTTTCAATAAACAAGCCGAGTACCAGAACTCCTGAAACCAGAAAACATGTCTTCCGAGCCGAACGGATTACCAAGGTACACCAGATCGTGCCAGACCTGCCAATGGATGACAGCGATATGTGCCAGTCGTCGTGCAATATCCTCTAGATCAGGAGCTGCTGAGAAGCCCTTCTCGGACCTTCGTGCTGACCATGATCGTTGATCGTTGGATATGGCCAGTGTATCAGGGAGTCGCGAGAACCGATTTGCGTGCCACGAAGTTTTTTCGCTAAGTTGTGAGGTAAGAACTTCTAATCCATGACTGTACTTCTGTCGAAGATTGCGTCTAAGGTGAAGATCAGCTTGATCGAAATGGACTGTGGCTATGTTGGAGGGCGTTGAGAGCACGTCGCCGACTCCGACACCAGCAGCAGCTCGTGCTATCTCCCCGATTATTTCTTCGCGATGTAGCTCGACTCCTTCGCAGACCCCGTCATTTGTCATGAGCTGTTTTAGGCGATCCGAAATTCTTTGAACCTCTGATGGTGAAGGATGGCGTCCTGGTTGCTTCCTAGCAAGCTCTTCGAAAGTTTCCAGGCATATGTCTAGCTGGATCAAATCGACGATGTCGTTTTGCAGGACCTGCAGTCGTTCTTTGTCATAGCTGAGCGTGCTGGGAAGCGATTTGTTGGAGTCACAGCAGATATCGACAAGACCCAGAACGACACATTCGAAAGCAGACTCGGAGCTGAACTCGTGCTGTTTACAGAGGCTAGCAAACCAACGCTTTGAACCTAGAACATCGAGTTGATGATTTTCTATCATCTTCTTAAAGCAATCTCTGAGGAAAGGTACAGTATCAGAAATAAGAAGCAGTTTGAAACTGCGCACTTGATGGTTCGCCACATCAATTTTCATGTTCTCGAGAAGGTTCAGAAGAGTTTCTAGGCCTTGCACTAGGAGGTCCATGTTGTTGGTCTCCGCCCCAGCAATCACCTTGTCCCGCATGTCCTGTGCCATCTCATCTCGCATAGGGGCGCAGTGACTAGTGATGAGATCGCATAGCCAGGTGGAAAATGATACAAGGTCGAACTGACCTGTCCTAACCTGCTTTGTCAGCCACTCGACATCGATCTTTTGAACGACATCTTCTTTCTCGTTCTCTGGCACAAGTAGCTCAAGCAAATCTCGCAGGGTGGTAAAGAAGGAAGCAAGTCGTGAAGGCAAGTGAAAATACTGTTCATGTCCTTGGCCTAAGCATTCTTGACACGAACCCTGCAGATCGTGGGTGATAGCTTGTAATTCGAGAGACAGGCACTGATAGTAAATCTTGGCTTTTGTGCGCTTCTCTTCCCCCTTCAAACCGCTTATGCGTTGAAAAAAGAGGTCATGGTCGAAACAAAGGTCTATGCGCAACGACAAGGTATTCTGGATGGCAGGCAGCTCAAGCTCTTTGAGGTTGTCGATTGTGACGGGAGGGATAGTGCTTTGCATTGCTTGTACCTCCCAACCATACTCGTCAGAAGGTAATACTGAGTCTCCATCTACAACACCAAGGTCGAAGTCGAGATCGGCCTGCACGCCTACACCACATCGTTGTTGAGGGCCAGCTCCTGTTTTGATTGGATGGTTTGGTATGGTATTGTGTCTGAGCCGCGACAAGGACGTAAGATCCCTCGAGTCGTCGTGAGATAGTCTGGTCTGTTGGGTGTATGGCTGTGACGGAAAAGCCAAGCTGGTGAGATCCCGCAAAGCCGGAGTGATAAGACATGCCGGTGCCTGAAAGTTTCCTCTCACTGTTTGTTGGTGCACCTGAGCAATACGGCACAATATGTCTTTCGTTGACAGCCTACTCTGCCTTGATTGGTCGTCTCCATTATCTGTGGTTGAGGCTCTGCGATTGCCTGACCGTTGTTGCGACCTCTGTTGAGCAGGCGAACAAGCTGTTGTAGGATAAGTGCCTGTCACTTCAGTGTTATCTGCTATGGTGGTGGCATAAGGATTACAGGCCATGTTTGGATGGGTGTTCTCATGATCGGTGATGTGTGTCAGTGAAGCAGCAACCGGCGCGCTTTCACTGTTGTCTTCGATTTCATCTTCCCTTAGCATCAAGCTGCATTATATTGTGCCTTCCCGAGATACAGCGAAGATAATGCAAAAGGTTCGTAGGTTAAAAAAGTGATGCTATAGCGTGGGAGTCGTGTGAAGTGATTCTACCAGTGTGCTTCAATTCAGGAGTGTTGGAGTTAGCGTCTAACGTTCATAGATACTAGTATCCTTGATCAGGTGAAAAAGTACTCTGCAGATACGGAGTACGCACTGTCAGCCATATAACAAAAGAAAGGATAAAGCTCCCTCCTTGCAACGAGAGCACCTTGCCACTCGCGGAGCACAAGACCGGGAACAGGCGTCAATCTCGCGGAAGACAACCACGAAGGCCGCATTGGCATTACCAGCGCCAGGAAGCTGTCATACTCGTAATGGCCACAGCGTTAAGGGTGTGACCTGGTATGAGCAATCATAAAGAAATTGTGTCCACAAGCCCAGCTTCTATCATTGGCTGGAGTGGTTCAGGCGTGACATCCTCGCCGGCAGCTAAGATCTGGCCTCTTTTTAAGGCTTAAGTCACTCGTCTAAAAGTTCCGCCTTTTATGCCATCGCCTTATCGCCAACTACAAGTACAACAGCGTTTTGTGTGAAATGTGTCTACATGTGCGATAGAGGACACACATTACACAGTCTTCTTGTTGTCTTTCTTACTCCTCACATAATCACTGGCAATGTAACTGGATCGCGTCGCACTTTCAGCTGTTTCGATGTTCAGCTTACTAGTGTAGTCCGGCTATAGTGGCGAGTCCCCAGAATAGCATCACGAGCATTTTTGAGTCCGACGATATATTCAAGTGATATCTGCGAGGACAATGGGGGCTTCGAAAAAGGTCTAGGCAGAAGGCTTGACACCACTCACGCACCGCAAAGTCAATTTCGCAGTCACGTTCTTCGATCACCTGCTTGCGGATGTTAGTACACGCAGACATCGAGGTGGCGACAGCACAGCCCGACGTCGTGAAATCCTCGATTATTCAACGTCCATCCCATGCCTGTTTTAACGCGCTTGCCTGACTACGTTGGCTTTTCCAGGTGAGACGCAAATTTTAGCTGAGCCCAGAAGTCGATGCAGCTACGCCGTGCTCAGATGACCACGCTCTCTGCTGGGGGAGACAAGTTTCTCGTGCAGATTTCAGTGTTGTCCGTACTCATCGAGTGCAGAATTTTCAGCAGCGTCGATATCAAGGATGCAAGCAAGTATGGCTGTGCGACTGAGCATGCATTACATATTGTGCAACAACATTGCTGCTGTACTGTCCACTCAACTGTTCTTCTTCCCAACTTACATGCTACACTACAGCGTTCATGCTTTTCGGAGGCTCTATCGAGATGATCGAAATCGTTCACAGCAACGAAGTCTCCTTCATTTGGTCAGGACTCAACACTCTAACCGCTGTATCTTGCTTTGACTATAGAGGATCGGCTACTCCGGAACCGTCCTTCCTGATGAGTCCTCCACCAGGAAGTTGAAATGCGTATCCGAGAAAGTGGGCTTTCGACCTGTTATCGCCTGGTATCATATTCACAACCGTCAATAGCAATATTGATTCATCACGTATATCTCAAATGTCTTCGCTTCGCGGGTTCTTGGTTTGTGCGGGTGAGATGCTGGAACCGGTACCGGGATCTGCGAGCCTGCATACCAACGTTTAGTCTGCAAAAGAGAGACCGCTCGGCTTATGCTGCCTCGTATGGCTCATGCTCATAAATGAAAACCGGCTTATCGACGAACCAGATTTCGCATACCATCAGTCTGGAACTTAGGCAACTCACTAAATGCAGGTCACGACAACGACATCTCTAGCTTTCTCAGGCCTTTCATATTCGCCCTACGCTGCTCCCAAAGCGCTCAGCGAATGACTTTCTCAGTCCACCTGGTCCATGCATGACACATTCACCTGAATCATGGTTTCTGCTCTGATCCTGACGACCCGAGAGCATTGTTTTCCTGCTCTATAAAGCCCGGGCGCTGCCACGGGAAGCTGATGCGTTATGCACGGCTGTCTTGAAAATTACATGGCCTCAAGGTCAAATTGCATGCGTAGGCAAACGGAAAGGAAGCGGCCGACCCGTCAAAGCAGCACGATACAGTGACTATTGATCAAAGCCGTTGTTTCAGGCTACTTTGGACCATGACCGCACCTGAAGGGGATTGGTTCGGCGGACAACCTGATACGTCTCGGATCGAATGCTGGCTCTTTCCGGAGAATTTCAAGGGGCTATCCGCCTGCCCCGAGAGCCATGCAGCGCCGTCAGCAAGCCAAGTGCCACCATTCCTGGTTCTGACAACATCAGAGGCCAAACTCAGCGTCACTACACTGATAATATGCACCATTGATCACTTCATTTCCCTCTGTAATACTCTACTGAATTTGAAAAAGTATTGTGTTGGTATAGAAGACTATGCCTCTCGCGCCTCAACATCCATAGATGGGGGCAAGCTTTAGCAACGCAGAGCCAGGATTATGAGGCAAGCACTCAGCAGGTAGTGCAGTCATGATATTGCAAGCTCACCTGAATACGACTCCTATGCTAACGTGCATTATCCTATAATGTGGTCTGTGGGAGAATGTGAGGACAATCGACTCAGCGCGGCTCACCATCGCCCGGGATGCTTCACTTTGTGCTCGGCTGCCCTTCAGTAGGACAGCGCCAAATGCCGTGCATGGTATTTCTTGAAACGAGAAAGTTGAGTTGACCAGCATACCAGAATTGCAGCACATGTGCCCAGTCCGGTCCTGTTTCTATAACGCACGACGGCTGTGTGCAAACAGCAGCACGCGCACTCACCAAGCTTTGTTCGACGAAGCACGAGGAAGGACCTAACCAGGTTTTAAACTTCAAGAGCAGAGTATCATTGCACGAACCGGGGTAAATGTGTTACAGTTCGCGGGCAGCTAGATTCTACCCATTACAGATCCTGGCCGCCTCCGTTCATGGCTGCCAACCTCGTCTCCATGTTGTATGCATAATTCGTCGCGCAGAGAACGTTCAACGACATACCTGCACGACTCCTCGCGCCGATCTGACCAGCAATTCATTACACAATGTCAACGTGCTACAGCATGCAAGGCAGAAGTGAGGCAAAGTTCCACACTACATTAAACAGTTATGGAAAATCCCTGGTTGTCTAGCTTCTTAGCTCTGCAACAGTGCAGATCCGTCGCACCACTCGATTTGACTTAGGCAGAACCATCCTCCAGAGTTACGCAGAGAGCATAGACTTGCGTGAATACCTGTTAACATACTGCAGTGTTCCTCGGTTTTCAGCGTAATATCTCGACTCGACCTCGACATGGTTGCTGACATTTCGCTATCATTACGAAATCCACTTTCACAGCAGCATCCGGTCACATTGATGACAAAGTCATGCTCGAGTGGAATTTCGGCCAACGATTGAGCCAACCAAGGTGATTCACTGCTAGCCGCTTGGAGGGCCTGCTGAATTTTGTTCATTACACTGAGCGAGTATACATGCAAGATCATATCAGCTCACTCTCCCTGCTTTCCACCGCTGGAGCACCTTCATGAATCCATCATCAAACTCCTCCCATCTCCTTACCCCATCATCTGGCATCACATACCACACTGGCTTCCTGCTGACAAACAAATGACAATCCACTTTCGGTACTTTCTCGACACCTTTGACGATGGTTCCAGCTGCGACATGAGTCTTCTCAGGATAGCAATCGTACTGCATGGTAAGTGTCCCACCACATTTTGTACAGAATGAGCGTGTCGCGATATCGCTCAGCCTATAGTGGCCAACAGGACCGTCAAAGCTCAGTCCAAACTTCTCAATGCCCGCCCAAGCACCAAATGGCGCACCTGTTATCTGCTGGCATTGTCTGCAGTAGCAGAAATCGAGGTGGTCTGGTGCTGAGGTGCTCGTCCAAGTGACTGAGTTGCAAGCGCATGTGCCTTCCATGATCGCAATATTGTCGTAGCCGATGACTCTCGATCCCGACTTGTCCTTTGTGAATCACGAGGTCCAGACGGTACGGTACGGTACCACTGTCCCGCTTCGTTATCGAAGAATCTGTGTTTGTGCCTTGCTATCGTTCAAGCTTGAAATGCCATCGCAGTTCTTCACACGTGCACTCGACTGATCGAGTAGTAGTGGTATTAACCTCCAAGATGCTTAGTGTCACTTACGGGTAAAGCATTGTAGCGTGCGTAATCTATAGATTGTGGTAATTAGGGTAAACGAAGTGGACACAAGCGCAGGTCGGCTCGGTCGGGTTCTCGCGGGCTTCCGACAGTAGTGGATTAGTAACAGCATACTCACAACTTGGAGTGACGAGCTCTTTATGACGAAGGAAGACTTAGGGACCTTACATATACGAGGAGGACTGAGTGCCTTGTCAGGCGTGAAGGGAGTTGGTGAACTTTACGAGGTGTCGAGTTCCTCCTGAGCTCCGCATCACACGCTAGAACACGCACGATCCACATTGCACCTGGGGTGTGATTATTTTGCTCCTATCAGCAGTCTGAAAGAAAATGAGGGTAGAGTGCTTTTTTGAGGATGCAATTCTTCAATCTTGACGCTCTACAGACTCAACGATCTTCATCACTTGGGTCGTTTCCAAGAAGACCTTGGAATCTTGCTCCGAGATGCCAGACGTCGAGCAAGTGCGTATTTCAGGACCGCCACAAAAGATCGGGTCGATTCATCACACAGGAGGCCTCAACCTGGAAATGTCTGTGCATACGTGGTGACCTTGTACTGGAGCAGCCATGCGACGTTAAAGCAAAGGAGTCCTGTATACAACCGTGGTGTGAAGCAAGAGTCCTGGTTGGGCAGCCACAGTACTCCTGTAACCGCAGTGATCGATGGCGATGAGGCAGGACGCGTCGCGAAGACCCTCTTCGGCTAGCAAGCATAGATTTCAGCACGCGTTCTGTACAGAGTTTGTGGCATCCTCAAGCTGCATCTCCCGAAACCAGACCACGTAGGTGAGTCAGCCTTCGGTGCTTACAAGAAGCCACAGCCATGAAAGAAATGTTCACATTCAACCATCACTTCAATGTGCTCCAGACAGCATGAGTGGGAGCTTCTCGAAACGTGATCGATGCACAGGGTATTCTCTTTCTGCATCCTCTCTGGGCGTCTTCTACATCGCACTTTTTCCAGTACTTTGAGAGTCCTTATCTTTTTGTCTCCGACTGAAATATTGTGCGTTCTGAGTCCGACAGGTACTCTCCTCTATCGTAGTGCTGACGTTCAGTCTAGTAGCTGATTTCAACCACTCGTCCCATCATGGACGTCTAAGTCATTACCATTCTATGAGAGCAGACACGTCTTGTATCTACTCACTGCAACAGCTACGTATCACATGTGGGCTAGCCATCAAAGTAGATGTATTTGCGATCATGGACTGTATCTGAGCTCTTCTCCGAGTGAACACAAGTTTTTATATCGTCCTCTCACCAGTCAGTCTCTGCGTAGACCTTCCATCTGAGATGAGAAGCTAGTTAGCTCATGCACGACTTCGTCGAGCATCACTTCGAGCGGCTCAAGCACCTTGAAGAAGGCCATCATAAAAATACGCAGGAGCCGCAGAGACAGTTGCCATCATGTGCGCAGCTAGCAAGTATCTGTCTTCAGCCAGGTAACCTATCAATCGCTGGCTAAGAAGTGCACTAAAGCGTCGTCTAAGTTGACTTATGTTTCGAGGCCCTGTAGGCCTCTAGCATCTCGACCTGCAACTCCTGTGCGTCTCTAAGCCTCGCATCTGAATTGTCAATCACCGGCACTTCCGTATGTGCATGTTCTCGTTCAAGTCCGGTGTCTCCCAGAGATTCGTGACTGTCATCGTCACCGTCGACATCAGAACTCGTCTCCCAGGCTTCCCACGCATCTTCTCCAACCTCGCCTATTGATCCTTCTTCATCTCTACTACTTCCTTCCCCTCTGGAGCTTTCATATTCTTCGCCCTCACTCCATCCATATGGCACTTCCTCCACATGTCTGAGCTTTCTGAAACTTAAATACTCCGCAAACGTCAGCAATGGCTGTCGGAACGATGCTCCTTGAAAGTCATGTCCTGAAGACCAGCATACAGTTTCTTCTTCTGCGCCCATCACACTTGGTGAGTCGTAGCCACATTCTTCAAGGGCCCTTATCCATTCGCGCTCATGGCCCCATTCGCAGGCGATATCAGAAGGTGATTTTCCGTCGTCGTTTCTGGCATGAACGTTGGCGCCAGCAGTGATGAGCAGTATGAGTATATCCAACAGCTCTCCGTCACATTCTTTGTCAATTTTGTTCTGGAAAATGCGTCTCGAAGCATAGTCTTCAGTTCTGTATTGCATGAAGAGATGGAGGCAAGTATTGCGCTTACTGTCATGAGCGTCAGCAGCAGCACCTCGGGAAAGCAACAGAGCCGCTTTGTCAGGTATCTGATAAACTTTAGAAAGTCCGCATCTGTGATAGAATGCAAGTTCTAGCAATGGTACTTTGTCGCTCGTGTGAATTGCATTAGGGGAGAAGAACGGGTATCCATGGTCAAGCATGACTCTAAATGCATCCTATGTACGAGTCAGTGAAGCTTGTCCTTCCATGACGGATTCGAGCACATACCGCAGGAGCAAACCCCAGAGCAAATGACACCCAACCATCCTGCCTTGAGGAAAACAAATTGGGTACACTAGGGTCCGCACCACCTTCCATCAACAATCTGGCACAGTCTGTCGATCTAAGGCAGCATTCCGCTGACCTTTTCGGGTATTTTATGGTAACCCAGAACAGGGTGTATCTAAAGAGCACTGTCAGTACCCACTGGACATACAGGCTTGAACTAGCAAAGACGTGTGGCCTTATGTGGAATTGAGTGACAATACTTACACTGGCCCAATTCCTTCCATTGTTTCACATGCATCGGCGTCTGCGCCGTTGTCTAGTAAGAATTTCACAACCGGGACGTTTGCTGCGAACAAAGCATGCTGTTAATACGTATCAGCATGTGCAGCAGACTAAGTGATGTGATGTGCGACGAACAGCAAGCAGTGAGCGTCCGTCTGAGCCGCAGTCTAAAATTGAGCCTTCACCAGTAGCCAGCAGTTGACGTAGTTCGCTAACGGATCCGTGCTCTGCGATGACAAATATGTCTGAGTCAAAGGGCCTAATGTTTCGAAGCTGCATTGTAGGTGGCAACGTCATGACAATATGTGTTGATCGTACTTGACAGACGCGCACGACGAGCAGTCGACCAGAACCGTTTTCCACTGTAGACGGGATAATCTTGATTGTGCTTGTGAATATCCACTTATCGCTTTGTCCAATACTTCCAACTTCATTGGAAGATATTTCTGGTTTAGATGTTGTCCGAAGATCGATCTTACCAAGTCTTGTCGTCCAGGAGGTCATGCTTGATTGTGTCCGCGATCTTTCAGATGTCGCAGCGGGTAATTCGGATATATTGGAGCGTCTTGCAAGTTGATGCTCCGATGGCTGGAACTTGCGAGATCTTTTTCTGTTACGCAATACTATAGTCGATTCCCTGCCTGATGGCTGAGTCGTGGAGAGAGCTGCTTCGGTAGGACGCTCTTCAGCTCTCGCCGATGAACGTCGTGCGAACCCGTTGTATTGTAGGTCAAACCTCCGATTAGACAAACTCTCTTTTTGACTCAAAAAATGGCTCAGTGTAGGAACGCTATTACTCTGTACTAAATCTCCTTGCATTTCCGCAGAAACACCAAGAATTCCGACAGTCATGGCAAACTGGCTGCTTAAGCTATCTCGGTACGTGTGCGACAACTCTTCCAGAATGAAGTCCTCCGAAGGAAGCAGATTCGCCATTAGAGCGCCAAGATCGCGGATACATTGTTTCACTTGACTGGGGCTGTAAATTTCGTCCATACTCCTCGAGATATCGATGATTCTGGATAGGCTAGTACGTGCCTTTTCACCGGATAGTTGCTTGTTGCGAAGCTCAAGCCTTGTAAGCAAGTCGTCATCCAAACATTTTAGACTCTTCAGCACAGACATCGCACTCGCTAGGCTATCTTCATCGAAACCTAGAGCCTGACTGGATTGAAACAATCCATGGACATCGCCCTGAATAACGGTACCTCCACTCACATACGTACGGCCATAGGAGTGACCAGTGCGTATGTCCTCAGTCGATGCTCCGACTAACGGGACAACTGGAGTATCGGTCTGTTGACTGGGACTCCTGACCTGACTTCCGCTACTGTGGATTGAGGTGGCCATAGCCACCGTATCAAGGCTCTGGATACTGAATCAAGTGATAGCTGTCACAAGCGTACTTTTTGAGCTTCGGACCTGCGTTGCTTGTGGATGATATCGTGCTTGGTTATAGCATTGCAGTCGCAATCAAATACAAAGAAACAGATTAGCAAAGAAAATTCTAGCTCATTCGACCTTGAGTATGTAGAATGTGGTCGCCTCGCAGGTAATCTGGCTGGTCGATGTTAAGCTCAAAGCATCGTGTTGAAGACCTGTTGCAGATCACATGAGAATTACTAATCCACTGATACACGCACCGAGAGTTTTATGGCCATGCTGTGCAGTCATTCGTTAGCGGTGTGGCTTCGAGATGATCGGCATGAAATAGACACCACAAGAAATCGAATGCCACGATATACGCTTGCCCCAGTATAGTTCCAAGAACTAACGACAGATGAAGAATTTTACCCTACTCTTGAATCAGCCGCACTCTTCGAAAGGCTGACCGATGTCCTTTTGACGTGAAATTCAGAGCGGCGAGCTACTAACAGGCTGCCACACCAGGTAAAGGCTGACCAAAGATCCATGCAGTGAAAGTGGATTTACACCACCTGGTGCATGACCAATGAGCAATACATGTCAGCGACCCTTTTTAAGGACTTTACCAGAGCAAGGATGATCGTAGTACACCGTCCAATCAGTCAGACGCTCCTGAGCTGGCTGTCAGGCTGAGACTGAGGACAAACCCCCAGTTGTCGCTGCCCAAATTACCACTTTTTGATCGAATCTAGTTCTGTTTGCTCTCTTGTGGCAGGATCGCTCTGCGACAGGAGTTGTCGAGGCTGTCGCACGCCTATCAAGCAAATCACCGGCTGGATGTGTGGGCACGAGGGTAGTTTACCTAGAGCACTTTTTTCTGATGGGACCAAGACGCTTGGCGCAACCCTGAATGACTTTGGACAAGTTCGAACGATTTTGAATGACTTGGGCTAAATGCAGTAACCTCTCACGCCTCTATAGAGCAGATTGTAGTTCTTTTGGAGCATAGTATACGTAGTGCTGTGTGCAACAAGCAGCATTCCAAGATTTTCCAACGTTGTTAACTTCCCTTCATCTTCTGCATGTTATCATTCGCTCCCAACAACAGCTCCCGCAACCAGCGCAGATCAAGGAATAAGGACAAGGACAAAAAGGGAAAGCAGGAAGGCAATAAAAGCATGTATTAAGAAAAGGTTCAAAGCGCACGCATCCTATAAGCAACTGAATGCAATTGAAACCAAATCAAAGTGCAAGCAGACAGATATACAGTGACGAAGGACCTCGAAAATATAGGCCTGAGGAACTGCTGCTGCTGCTGCTGCTGCTGTTTCGCCATGACGCCAACGCTCAGAGTAAGTCTCAACATGGGAGGGTAATTCCCTGCTTGTCCAACAAGAAGACGACGCGCAGCCAACGCTGACAAAGTTTCCACACCTCTTCATAGTGCTTCGATCTCAAGCATCATGTTGCTCAACAAGCTCATATCTTTCTTGAGCCTTTCCACCCATGGTCCAAATTCTCCACGAGCTGAAGCCTCCTTTTCTAGGACTTGCCCTCGAACTCGCTCTGCTAGGGACAAGTTTCGGGCTTCCGTTCGGCGCCACCATAGCATACCCCTTTCTCTTCTGACCTAGAAGCAGGATTCGACCATATACCCACCACAAAGCGAAGCCAATACTCAGCACAATAACAGTACCGGCAGCAGTAAGCAACATCCAATTCTTGCCCATCCAAAAGATAAGTTGTGCATCCTTGCCGTGCCAGCTGTCACCCTTGTACTCCTCGAAAAAGGACCAGGTGTGTCTACTGTACTCGTCGGGCATGAGGACACGCACACGACCTTTCCATTCCGTCAGTGAACTCGTGGCACTATTCTGCAAGTTCTGCGATTGAGATTCGAGGTCTGCGTGTTCGCCCATCCATTTTTTCCAGACGACGCTGAGGAAGAGAGGACCCGTCGAGGCCATGATGGTAATGTAGGGGAGGACCCATTTTCGATTGGCGCCCTGGAGGCTTTCGATGACGTGGAGGAAGAAGGGATGTTGTGGTATGGCGCCCATGACGTCGTTTGAGATACCGGTAGGAATGGTGCGACGGACGAAGGCGTTGTAGGAAAGGAGAGGGTCGAGACGGCGCTTGCAACCGTCGTCTAAATCGATGTAGACGCCTCCGTAGTGGGCTAGGACGAAGTATCGGATCGAGTCTGCTCGCTGTATGGGGTAAGGATAACTCTTGAAAGTGGTGGTAAACCAAGGATACTCCTTCTCTATAAATTCAAGTGCCATGGCGTCGGTCCATAGGATGTACTCGTAGTCCTCATGTAAATCTTTGCAAGATTGTTGTGCCGCCTGCCATCTTTGTGGGATGGACTCATTAATGTATGTCTGATGTATGATCTTGGGGATCAGTCGTGGACGAGAAGTCAGGAGGGTCGAATTCGGTGCAGGTAATTCGGACTTCTGTATCGCATCGGCTGAGGCATCTTCGAGGAGGAGTGCGATTAGAGTTGAGACGGAATGGAGGAGGAAAGTCAGTATGGCGACTGCGATGAGCAGGAAGACAAGGACTGAGCGTCGCATGTTGAGGAGGACGGCAGCTTGGTGGGCGAGGGTAGGCGGAGAGCCAGCACTGGCACAGATGCGTGTGGCTGTTTGATTCGTGTTATTGCATATGGCGTACTCTGGCTATTGTCGACTGTGACCAGTTTGAAGGGAAGGATACTCGGTATAAACGGTAGTCGCTTTCGCTTTCGTTTTCAATGGATACGTCCTTATCGAAGGTACTGGATGACGGAGATGGTGGCTGTGCAGCAGGCAAAAGCTGCTCAATTATGCTCAAGATTCGTCCACTTTGCTGAGGCACGATTGCGTCGTTCTGTTAGAACCATACAGACACGGTATCGAGGATACTTAAAACTGCAAGTCTGCTTGCTGACGGTGACAAGTTAGTAATGGCTCGATTCAATGAACTGCGAGACTCCTTTCAATCGCGAAATAAACTATGTGGAGAGCAATTAACCTTAGTGGAGTGATAGTTGAGCTAGAACTGTCGATCTGAATGGAGAATGCCACTGTTCCACGGTGACGGGTCTGTCTACAGAATGATTTGAAGCGGTCTCTTCTTCCGGACTTCGCCATGGTCGAGAGCTCTCATGGTGATTGCTTCTCGACTCTCGCTGTTCAGGCCCTCAAAGAGTGTCCCATCATCGTTATGCATGACAAGTCCACTAAAATTCCTTGGTCCGAAGCGGCGTCCGCCCAAATGTCCTCTCAGATGAAATCATCTCGGCGATAGAAATCCGTCGGGATCAGGCTAGATAGGCCGTGCTAATCTTGTCCAATCATCTGGATGTTAGGGCCTAAACACTGCAGTGCTTGCACTGGCACTAATGGCTCACAAGACTGCAAAGCACTCATCTCGTAACATGGTATTTGTGTCGGCTTTGCTCAGGTAGCATGTACAACTTGGTACTGTATATAGGTAGCTGGATTATGTGCAGACCGTATTCATAGTCCATTACAATAGGTAGTATATATCTTGCTTTTTGTCTGAACCACGTCCAATGCCTTGTTTGCTCCCATGTGATTACAGAATGGTGTAGCAGTACCTCACAGCGAGCGATGAAACGCCTCTGTATGCATTTGCAATACCTCGTCTCTCAGATTTTCATAATATTGCTCGCCTGTAAATGAACAAGTACCGCTTTAGATATACCACCACTCCAGTGCCATGCGATGCTCCCATTTTCGTTTCTTGTCCTTCCCTTCGTATACATGCCACATTACCTTTTCGCATTATTCATGTTCGTTTGACTAGTCCTCTGGCAACGTAAATACCATGGCCCATCTTTGTTTGTTGCCTTTCTCGTCGAGCTGCACAGGGCTTTCTGTACGGTTGATATCTATACCCAAGCCTGTTTCTGCACATGTCGCTGATGGTTGTGTATCAAAATTCACCTGAGCTAGCATTTTCGCCAACGAATTTGCTGTGCTAGGTCGTGTATTGGCTTGACTTTGACTTTGACCCACGATTTCTTCTGCAGTCAATCCTGTCGCTAGCTGATAATTGCGCAGCAGATACTGCTGCAGTCTGACAACTTGCATGTTCCATTTCTCTTCCAAAGCTGCCAATGTCTCGTTCACGTCGTGCTGAGTAAAGGAGTTATTCGACTGACTGCTTATGGTGCTGCTCTGGCGTCTGTGGTGGGAGACGGGGTGCGTGAACACATTGATTGATTTCTTCAGTGTGCTGGTGCGCGGCGACTTTGGTTCTTCGGCCTTCTCGAGCGCTTCGAATTCTTCTTTGACCCTTTCAATGGATTTTGCTCGATCCGCTGCCTGAGCTGGAAGGTATATTATCGAGTTATTCCTTTGTAGTGCATTGACGAGGACGGTGAAACTTTGCAAGTTGAGTTCGTTGTGCTCGCAATGAATCTCAGTCAGAGTTTTGTTGACTTCGATGACTCCAGCAAGGGTGCTAGCACCCTGCAGACCGAGACTTTGATGTTCGATTCGCAGTAACCTCAATGCTGTATTCTGTTCGAGGCCTGTAAGTGCTATGTTTAAACCGATACCAAATTTTGCAACGTCAAGATGTGCGACGTCGCCGCTAATATCCAACTCCTCTAATGTCTGATTTTGAGCAAACATTTCTTTCAATGCCTCGCAGGTCTCCATGCTCGCATCATATGGCAAAGATGCCTGCGAAATGTCAAGGCTTCTGACAGTCGTGTTTCTAGCCAATGCCGCCATTAGTTCTCTGAACTGGTACTCCTTCTCGAAATCGACCATTCGCATTGTGATCGACACAGGGGCGTGGTTTTCTGCAATGCACTGGCAAAGCAACGAGCTTCCGTGGCCGAGCCTATTTTCTGATGCACTAACATGCATATTTCGAGCAGCTCCCTCTTCTCGTGACATCGACCTGAAGAGTACTGCCAAATCCTTGCCAGTCAGCCCGCACTGATTGAGGGACATCTCTCTCAAAACATTCGATTTCGGACTGGCTAGATAGGTCGAAATCGTATCAACACTTTGCTCGTTAAGATTGGTTCCGTTGAGGTGTAGTGATTCGAGACGCCAACTCAATAAAATTTCCGGTGCTATCAGTGGTTCAGGTCCGGCCGTCTTTTGAACTCGTGTCAGATTGAGCCGACGTATCCGACTGAATGCGCCAATGGCTCTTTGAAAAAGTTCGGGGCTGAAACGCCCTTGTGTACCGGATAGATCTAACACTTCCATAGTGTTGTCATGCACCCCAAGCGTCGATAATAATACATCAGCATCATGAACAGACAAGCCACACTCTCCGATGTCAAGTGCCCGTAGATGGCATTGCCGTTCCGATGCAGCATCCACAAGGTATTCAATATCGTGATCAGAGAGCCTTATGCCAGTCAAAGTAACAAAGTCAACATTCGTCCAAGACTTTTTCATCAGTGGTGTCAATGCCTCAGGTATACCACAGCTCACTTTCCCGTTTTTAGCTAAAGGAAGAGAATGCGAGAAGTCGAAGCGTCGAAGTCTTCGGCTTTTCAAAGCCAATGCTCGTATCTCCTGCTGTAGCACAGACAGGTTAGCATGATCGGGTACGTCAAGAAGCACACCAGACCTGGTGCACAGAATGTCCTCCGTGTCAGCAAAGGGATCGTAGACGGTACGCAAAGAGCATAGATTGATATTGGCGAATGATATCGAGGCGAATGACTCGTTGTAGCGAAGTGCTCGAAAAACAGCAAGTAGCTCCATAGTAGTATAGAGGTTACCCGTGACTGGTGGCAGTAGGCGAAAACAAGGCGCATCCTCACATTCGTAGTCTACAGAATAGTAGATCCGGGATGGCTCCACCTCAAAAGCTGCACAGAATGCAGTCAAGGTTCGGTCAAAGTAGCCATGGTCGTCGCTGCTCAGGTCGAATGTAGGAGGATCCATTTGATCCTCCAGTCCTTTCGGCACATCGAATACAAATGGCTGCACAGTCCATGCTGGACGTATGTACTCAGATGCGTATCGTAACCAGAGCACAATCTGTGGCGCATCGTAGGAAGCCAGTGCAGCCGTGTATGGTTGTCGCAACGGGGTTCGGAAGTAAATTTCGAAAACATCGTCGTAACCAGGGAATCGAATAGAAGTAATACTGGTGATGCCGAAGGAGCTCGGGGTGTCCATGTCGGACAAAGAGGTGGAAGAAGATCGACCGGATGTCTTCGGTATCGGAACGAAATGTATTCGGTTGGTGCCAATTACGAGGTAACACACACTAGAAGAGCTTTTCGATATGTCTTCGCTAGTGAGACGACCGGCAGCTCGGACCGGACAACGCTGTACAACCTTGAAAACTCGAAATTGAGAGGGATCGTAGTCGCGCTCCTTGCCGACAGCACGAGCTAAATACTCGAGAGTCTTCGGGTGGTATGTTTGGACACGTTGTGATCTTCGCAGTGCTGCGTGCTCGCGAATGGCCGCAGCCCAGGCTTCTGATTCTCGTGGCGAATTCAAGCTCATCTGCAGTGTAGATGTCCTCTTCCCTCTATCGTCCAAATAAGATACCTCGATTGTAAAATAGGGTCTGCCGTCCTCGATCTTGTAGACTGCAATTACTTCGTCAAGCGGTACACCCTGCGTGATATCCGTATACGCGCTCAATTGCATGTCGGTCAGAGAGCCAACAGACGGCATGGTACTGCTTCTCGGTAGAGAACCCTTGTTGTTGTTTGGAATGATGGGGAACATTTCTGCAGCTCTCGCCTGGCTCTTGAAGCGAATGAGATGAGACTCAGTCAAGACTATAAAGTATCTGTTCCTCTTGAAGATAGATGTCCCTGTCACCTGCACCTCTCCAGCTTTCTTGACCACATCGCCAAAGATGCCCTTGCCAGGAGAGTCGACATGATCATGTAGAGAGGAGGACTTGGAGTCGAGCTTGAGCAGAGTCTTCTCGTCGTCGTCAAATGAATGTTTCGATCTTAGTGACCCAAAGACTGAATTCCGGTTTGCTCTGCTAAGCATGCGCGGACGTGCCTTGGGACTGGCATCCTCAGTAGACGCGCTTCCATCCGACCGCTCGCGATGGAACTCGACCGGGCTAGGTTGCGATGATGGTGCTGGTGTTATATCTGGCGTGCTGGTACGAGGATGAAAGATGCGCAAGCTCCTTCTTCTCGTCCTCTTATCTGCCATTGTCTTTGAGCCACGAGGCCGGGCAGAATATTAGTCTGGCGCTCGAATCGCATAGTAAATATTGAACACTATGAATGTAGCGTCATATTGATAGAATTGACAGTACAGCACGAGCGCGCTGCAACCTTGGTGTCATCGGCGGCAGCAAGGTCGATATAAGGGAGAGGAAGAAGACGACTATGATCTTAATTTGGTGCCAACAATCACAAATCCTTGCATGTCAGGAATACCAAGCTGTAACCAGGGCCCGCTAAAGCACGTAGATCGGTCGCTTCCAGGTGGAGATTCTCACAACCGGAACTGTTATACAAGATACGTGGGACAGATATCCGACACAATCACAGCAATAATCAAGACAAAGCTCGGAAGGAAATGGCCAAGCACGCTCATGCCGCTTATGAACATTGTCGTTGTTTCCTCCGTTTGCACATCATGGATATCCTCGAATGCAGGGCAAAAGCAGCTTGAACAGAATCAACCACATGGCATTGTGGCGAGTGATGGTACCTTAGCGCACTACTTTTGCATAGCTCGAAGAGGATTGTGCCAATCGGTGCAAGCGCGACTCTAAGCGCCCGCTGCCTTCCGCACTAATAATTGTTGATTGCGTCAACATGAAGGTCATCGTCGATTCTGGCCAAACAGGCGTGTTTGGTATTTTCGCATTGTCGCAACAGGTGTTGGAATTGTCTTCCGTCTATCAAAACTCGTTCATTAGGATTCTAATCATGTCTATCCTATTTCCAAGGTCTCGGTCTTGCCAATGTGCCACAACATATTCTCGGACCGTGCACGAACACAGTTGGTGGTACAATATAGACGTACATGTGGATCATCAGATTTGGGGGCCATCTCTGAATCAGGAGATAGAGAAGGATTTCCTGTTCACGAGGCTTCGGTCTATCCGGGCTCACAGTCTTTTGAAACTGTTTAATTATTGTACAACGTAACCTTTTCTCTCTGACCATCGAGTTGATCCTGTTCTGCACGCCATTCTCGACCAGACTCGTTCAATTGCCGGATCATTCTCTGAAAGTAGCCTTCCTTGTCGTCTCGGCCTAGAGCCTGAGCTCTTTTGGTACGACTTCTGTTCGAATTCGCTCGAGTCGTGTTGTTATCCATTCGATCGAGCTTGTATTTGACAGTCCAGCGGTCTTCCGAGGTGATATCAGTAGGGCGAAGGACGTTTTTACCATTAACCTCGTTCCAGATGTGGAGTTCGTAACCTATAACGGGCGCCGCTTCGACCTTTGCTTGGTTGTTGCCTTGTGTTTTCCCCTGCGCCTCTGGCTTCTCACCGTCCGGCGCTCGGGTACCTAGGATGCTGTCAAGGAACCCGATATCAGCAGCGTTAGACTCGAGTGTAGACGGCGAGCTTTGTCCGCTTGCGAAAACCTCTTCAAGTGTCCGTGAAGGCGACGGGGCAGATTTGTCCAATTTCAAACCCTGCGCCATGGCTTTCTCGTACGCGTCCAGCTTCACTTTGCTGGATTTTTGGGTCTTCTCAATTACATCTTCGGGCATAGGTTCCACAAATATGCGCATATATATGGCTGATTGATCGTTGACAGGCTCTTTTGTATCAAAAGTCATTCTCAGCGATTGTTCAGGGAATACCTGGACCGCCGCATCGAAGATTTCCCCCATTAATTTCAAGGTTACCAGGAACTCACGATCTCCCAGCACAGTGTCTGCCTGACCATGGAGCGCCATGTCCATCTCAGGCAAAGAGATATATTGAAATCCAAATATTCTGGCGATGTTGTGATAAGCGACGAAGATACCGTCCATGCGGCCCATTCGCACCTGCATCGAGTACTTCAGAAACGCAGATCGGATCATGTCGTAGTATTCGCGGTCAAATGACTCCCACATGCCAAAACGGTCTTTTATCTCATAGTTCATTCCACTCTCATGCTCATGCATAAGCATTCGAACACCAGCTACAGACCGGGTCTTCAAATCGAAGGTTCCTGTACCTGGCAGTCGTGGATCGTAAGCATCAAGCTGAGAACGTAGCAAGAACTTGTCAGTGGTTGAGTAATGATAAACCTCAGGCTCAGTGTCAATGGCTGGTGCATCTTGGCCTGCTTTGGGTTTCCGATACTTCTCAAATTCGTTCTTTTCCAGAGTCAGTAGCTTCTCCATTGATTTACCCTGCATCATTAGAATGTTAGGTGAATCGTGCTCTTTGTCAGCATCAACGGCATACACTCCGTCTCTCCACCTCAGAAAGATGCTTGCTGGTGCTCGTGTGATTGTCGTGAAACTGCTTAAATGTCCCATAAACCTTTGGCTCAATATTGAGAAATTGATAGGCCTCCAGGCCGAGAGAAGAAAGTGGAACTGCGACATGGCTCCCGACATACTAGACGAGGAGCCAATGTATCGCTTCTGATGCTTCATGGAGACGTCTCGCAAGGTAGTGTCTTGCGAAGAGGTAACGTAAGGGTTCAAGGCGTCGAAATTAAATTCTGTTATCGGCATGATGTTCTCCAGATAAGGATCGAAGTTATAAACTCGGGACCTCGGGTCCTGTAGATGATATACACCTGGATTGAACAAGACCCGCGAGAGGTCGAAGCTCAATTTCGGCACTTGAGCTGCTGCTTCTACATCCACTGCTTTGTAGCGGACGAATGAGCTGTCTATTGATCTGGCATCTGTCGGCGGTTGGACGGTGGCTGCTTTGGATGAAGCATATCTCTCCATAGCAACGTCTTTTGAGGGCGTTTTCTTGCCCGGTGCATTATTCGATGCAACCATTAGCGGTTTTCTAGCAGCCAGCCTCACAGGTTTAGCGCTGGAAGGGACTTTGCGAGCCTTGACCCTAGCCCGAGCAGTTCTCCTTGCTTTTCGTGCGGTCTTCTTAGCTTCAGCTGTTGGATTTGAAGAAGCATTGTCTGTCTGCAAAGTTGACTTGTCTTTAGAGACAGGACCTTTCGATTTTGATGCAGTTGTCTTCTCTTTTGGTATACCCTCCTGCAGAACGCCCAAATTTTTTAGCATAACGATAGTGTCCGCGTTATCAACAAGCTTTGCTGAAGGTCGTCTATGTGGTGTGATACGATCCAGATCTTGAATGAACGCGCGAGTTGGCACTTCGGAGTAGTGCTTCCCTGCGGCACTTGTAAATGTTCGTAATCCATCATCTTCTGTGTGCGCCAAAACTTTCTCGATCATGGCTCCCAGAGGACTATCGTCTCTATTTGACGCTATTTTTGCCGAAGCGTCAAGCTGTTCTTGAAGTCTCACACGAAATTCGTGAAACCTTCCAATCTTTGACCTTTCTGCGGAACTGAGTTCGACACTGACAGGAGCCGGAGGTTCAGCAGCTGGCTTGCTGGCAAGTGTCGACGCCGCATCGTGTGGATTATGTCCATCTTGGGCTGCTCTGGCTTGTCGACGCAAGCTGACACTCGAATGTATCGCCGACTTGGGTGTCTGTTGCAGGGACTTGTCAAGACGGAGGGATCGATGAGGTGTTTGAGTCCTCGTGCTTCTGAGGAGGCATGGCAGACAGACGTAGCCTGGTCCATTGCCAGCAGGAGGCATCGAACGAGTTGTCGGTCGTGCTTCAGAGGTGCATTTGTAGCTCGACTAGCGACAAAGGAATCTATGGGAATGGCCGCAGGGCTTGTTGTACAGAGGCAGCTGCTATCAGAGAGTTGACTGGTTGCGGTATGCAATCGATCGCAACTCGAACTTGTCTCGATAATTTGCAGATCGACATGCATTTGCAGTGGAGTTACTGCAAACAGACTCCGATTGGCTATTGACAGGACGGACCCCTATCTATGAGGCTATCATCTGAGCATGCCCTTCTTGCCTACTCATTGACTACTCAACTACGACGACCATGTCTCTAAACTCAAGAACACACAACCTTCGTCCTCCTTCCTGGGTATCAATCTGCCAATTTTGTGTACTTTTTCGCCCTCCGCCTCAAGCATCCTCTTTACCTCCCCATGCGCCATTTCCGAAACTGCCAGTACCATTCCAATACCATTGTTGAACGTTCTGCTCATTTCATGCAGATCGACCTTTCCGGCGTCTTGAAGCCACCTGAAAATTGCTGGCCGCTCCCATGTTTTGACGTCAATCTCAGCAGTAAGATGCTTCGGTAGCATTCTTGGTACATTCTCCAGCAATCCTCCGCCTGTGATGTGTGACATGCCCTTGACCAGATCTTTCTTAACCACACTCAACAGTGGCTTGACATAGATCCGGGTGGGTGTGAGTACGCTCTTGCTGACTATAGTATCTGGATCCCATGGTGCTGGCGTGTCCCATGCTAACCGCTTTCGATCGATGATTTTCCTTACCAGGGAGAACCCATTGGAATGCAGACCATTCGATGCAAGACCGAGCAAGATATCGCCTTCTGTCATGCCATCAATTTCTGGCAGCACTTTTTGACCGGACCCCGTATCTATCCAGCCAACAGCTGTGCCCACTGCATCGTACTCTGTGCTAGCAAGCAGCCCTGGCATCTCAGCTGTTTCGCCTCCCACTAGTGTACATCCCGACTGCTCACAGCCATCAGCCACACCTTTCACGAAAGCCTCACATGTGTCGACGTCCAGTGTACTGCATGTGTATGTGTCCACAAAAGCGAGGGGTTCTGCACCCTGCACAATCAGATCGTTTACACTCATCGCGACGAGATCAATGCCAACTGTATTATGTATCTGTGTAGCAAATGCGACCTTGAGCTTCGTTCCTATTCCGTCGCAACAAGTTACAATGGTAGGGAATCCTGGTTTGCCCAGTTTGGACATGTCAAATGCTCCACCGAACCCACCAATCTCGCCATCTGCGCCAGGTCGCATGGTTCTTTTGACATGCTTCTTGATTCTCTGCACTAACGTATTGCCAGCGTCAATAGAAACACCAGCAGAAGCATATGTGAGAGGTGTTTCACTTGGCCGCCTCGGTTTCTCTTTGGCCGCGAAGGCTCGGTGAGCAATATCTTTCCGGAAATGCATACCATCGAATTTAATTGTTTCCATGCCTTGGTAAGCCTTAGCAACAGCTTCTTCAAGGTCGGTACCTGTCGCTGTTGACCCAATGACTCTGCCACCGACTGACCACAGTCCTTTGCCGTCTCGGAGTGTGCCTGCATGGAAGATGTATGTGTCTGCAGCTGCTTTGTGGAGAGATATTTGTCGATTCTTCGCATACTCACCAGGGTAGCCTTCTGCGCTGGCAACCACAGTTGCTGATGCTCCTGGTTTGATCTTAAGGGTAGCACAATCGAGCCATCCTTCTGCGCAAGCAAGCATAACCTCCGCCAGGTCAGTGTCGTCGCTTAGTAATGGAAGAAGAGTTTGCGTCTCCGGATCACCACCTCGAACATTGTACTCGAGCACTTTTGGACCAGTCGCAGTTATCATCAGGCCAGTAAAGAGTATACCTTTGAACGGCATGCGCTCTTTTCGCATCGCATCAATCGTGGGCTGAATAATATCTCGGTCGATCTGCGTACAGAGCTCTGGCGTAGCAAGGTTTGTTGGCGCATAAGCACCCATTCCACCAGTGTTCGGCCCCTGGTCGCCGTCAAGAGCTCGCTTGTGATCCTGGGCAGGAGGGAGAGATCGTACTGTGTAGCCATCGCAGAAGGTCAGTACACTCAGTTCTTCGCCCTCAAGAAACTCCTCAACAACAACCTCGTCTCCTGCCTCCTTGAACTCTTTCTTGACCATAATAGTCTCCAGTGCATCGTATGCTTCTTGTTTGCTAGTAGGAATGATCACACCTTTTCCTGCAGCCAGACCAGACGCTTTGATCACAACATTGTGCTTGACGGTATGAACATACTCTTTAGCCTTTTCGTAGTCGGTAAAGTTCTGATAAGCCGCTGTAGGGATTCCATATTTCTGCATGAAGTCCTTCGAGAACGTCTTCGACCCTTCCATCATAGCAGCCTCTTTCGACGGGCCAAATACTGGTATACCTACACTATGAAAGAAGCTCTCAATGCCATCGACCAGGGGTGCTTCTGGACCCACCACGACCAGATTGAGGCCATGGTTCTTAGCATGTGAGACAAGATCAGGAAAATGTGTCTTTGAGGTTCCGATGTTGAAGTTAAGGATCTTGTCGTGGGCCTCACTTGTACCACCATTCCCGGGCGCAACGTGCACAACTTCGACTCTGGGAGATGCTGCCAGACGCCAAGCGAGTGCATGTTCTCGTCCACCTGAACCCACCACTAGGACTCTCAGCCGTCGCTCGATTTCTCTGTTCGTGGTCGACATTGTGCTATGTCAACGCTTGCAAGAGTGAGCCAGTGGCTCGCATTCAAACCTTATCTTGGTACTTCGAGGATGGCCTCAATAAATAAATCTCAGAAAATGCACTCTAATCGGTGCCGACTTTATTCACGCATCAATTTTGTGAGCACAGTCGTTTCGCGCCTCTTGTTTCCGTGCAGCGAAGCAGTAGAGTATCGCAATCGACCTCTTCTTGTGCAATCTTCAAATCATAAAAGATTTAGAAATTGTTTGTGCCTGAAATCCTTAGTAACAAGAATTTTAACAACAACGAATGATATCGCGACCCAAACCCTCGATCTTCCCAATGAGGCAGAAAATTTCCCTGCCAAGATAAGTTCCAGGCGTGGATAGACCGACACCGGCCTGGACTTGACCTCTATGAAGCTGAATAAGAGACACACAATCAAAATAGGTAGGTCAGTTTTGACAGACAGTGACTGCGGTATTGGAACCTGAACAGAACGATCAGCACAACACTTACGACTTGGGACTGTGTTGCGCCAGCAAGTTAAGGAAGACCACTACAATTCGAATCGTGGCCCATGCTTGCTGCCATATGCCACATCCACTGCTGATATAGCTCTAACCTATACACAAGATCGAAAGTTGCAATTCGAGTTTCAAAGACCTCGAAAGCTGACTATATCCTTTTTACCCACAATAACAAATATCACAAAACCTGCGAAGAGTTACATCATTTTGATATTTCTGGAGGGAGGGACTCTATAACCTACACGACTCGTTTGTGCTGCAAGCCTCCAAAATGCATATCATCAGTGTGTCCTATGAGACCGACGATCAGCTAGACCATGCTAACATGTCTTAGAGGTGCCATGCTCCTCCGCCAATATCGGTAACGACCTTGCCTGCCACCGTCAAGTGCAGCACCGGAACTAACATTACATCTCCAGGCCCAGGGTTCGATGTCATAGGCCTCGCTTTGTCAATGTACCTCGAAATCAGTGTCACCACTAAACCAACACACACCACCACGACCTCCTCCTCTAACCCTCTCAACTGCACAATAACCTACTCGGGCGTAGGCTCCGACTCTATCGACCTCAACCCAGCCAACAACCTCATCACCCGCACAGCCCTCTACGTCCTCCGCTGTCACTCCCAACGTACCTTTCCGCCCTCCACCCATGTGCACATCAACAATCCCATCCCCCTCGGTCGCGGTCTAGGCTCCTCTGGCGCCGCTGTAGTCGGCGGCGTCATGCTCGGCAACATCTGTGGGGACCTCTCCCTGCCCAAGTCACGTCTGCTAGATTTCGCACTAATGGTCGAGCGACATCCCGATAACGTGGCTGCAGCGCTTTACGGTGGGTTTGTGGGAACGTACCTGAACGAGTTGAACCCGGAGGACATGGCGCGGAAGGAGGTCCCTCTGGCAGAGGTATTGCCTCAACCTGCTGGAGGGGAAGATACTGGGTTGATGCCGCCAGTGCCACCGAATGATATTGGGCATTTCAGGCGGTTTGATTGGAGTGGGGAATTGAAGGCTGTGGCTATTATTCCAGATTTCGAGGTCAGTACGGCAAAGGCTAGGGAGGTTTTGCCGCAGAGTTATTCGAGGAAGGATATGGTAAGTCTAATCTGGACGAGTGTGCTGTTTTGCAGTGAGTGTTATACTGATTGTGCATTTCTCAGATATTCAACTTGCAGAGACTTGCGTTACTAACCACAGTACTCTCGGACTCACCACCAGATCCAGATCTGATCTACTCAGCCATGCAGGACAAAATCCATCAGCCGTATCGAGCTGGTCTGATTCCAGGGCTTACAGAGATTCTGCAATCTGTAACACCAAAGTCACATGCTGGACTTTGTGGTATTTGTCTATCTGGTGCTGGCCCAACAATACTGGCACTAGCAACTGCAAACTTTGAAAAGATCGCAGAGACGATAACAGCACGCTTCAAACAGGAGGGCATTGCATGTGACTGGAGGATATTAGAACCTGCTGAGGATGGTACAACGGTCACGGAAGTGCCTGACAGCTAAGCGGCGCAGAACTTATCCAGTAATAGTCAATAAAGAAAACTACTTGTCTGGACACGCTTCATTCTCGCTTAACAAAAATGCGTATCTGCTTCATACATCATCGACTTGAGCTGCGTAAAACTTGCCAGTCAACATGACCCAAACTCAAGCCGACCTCTGGACATGCACTGCATGTAATCTATATTCTTCGAAACCACTTTTCGCCAGGACCACATCCTGCTTCTAGTCGCCAGCAATTCGTCCAGGATTGTATATAGTGATTCAGTATACGTGCAAAGCTTAGAAGCACTTTCTGTGGACAATCGATGGTCCTGACTCGTCGTACTCCTGCTTGGAGATCCACATCTGCTGGAAGGTCGAGAGGGAAGCGAGGATGGAACCGCCGATCCAGACGGAGTATTTACGCTCAGGAGGTGCGATGATCTTGACCTTCATGGAGGATGGAGCGAGAGCAGTAATCTCCTTCTGCATTCGGTCAGAGATACCTGGGTACATGGTAGTACCACCAGACTATAAAACGTTAGCGCATGCGCACATACAGCGTTGTGAGGAAAGCTTACCATGACAATGTTTCCGTAGAGATCTTTTCGGACATCGACGTCGCACTTCATGATGGAGTTGAAAGTGGTGACGTGGATACCACCAGACTCAAGACCAAGAACAGATGGTTGGAACAGAGCCTCTGGTGCTCTGAATCGCTCATTACCGATTGTGATGACCTGACCATCGGGAAGCTCGTAGGACTTCTCAAGGGAAGAGCTTTGAGCTGCGGTCTGAATTTCCTGCTCGAAGTCAAGCGCAACGTAGCAGAGCTTCTCCTTGATGTCTCGAACGATTTCTCGCTCAGCGGTTGTGGAGAAAGCATAGCCTCTTTCTGCCAAAATCTTCATCAAGTAATCGGTCAAATCTCGACCAGCCATATCAACACGAGAGATGGCGTGGGGGAGAGCAAAACCTTCATAAATAGGAACAACGTGAGTGACACCATCGCCAGAGTCCAACACGATACCGGTGGTTCGACCAGAAGCGTACAGCGAGAGGACGGCCTGGATAGAGACGTAGAAGGCTGGTGCATTGAAGGTCTCGAAGACGATCTGTGTCATCTTCTCTCGGTTGGACTTTGGATTGATTGGTGCTTCAGTAAGGAGAACCGGGTGCTCTTCTGGAGCCACACGCAGCTCGTTGTAGAAAGTGTGATGCC